GCATAGCCTATATAATAGCTAGGCACTCTACCTATATTCTAATAGCTAGTTAGTAACTAGTTAGAAACTAGTAGGAATTAGACTTACTCTATAATTATATTAGTGAATTATAGGTTAATAATCTAGATAAAAGGTTTTATAAACGTCACCCTAAAGGAACTTCTTTTTAATTATATTATATAGTCTATAGAGATTAGTTTAGTTAAGAACTAATTTAGAATTAGTTTATTTACCTAATACTATTAGACTACGCCAAAACCTATAATAGGTTCTAGAATCAAAACCTAACCTAACCCGCCAAAACCCATAAATTCATAAAATAGCTTCAATAGGCAGGTAACCTTCCTATTTAGGCTATTTTTATGGAATTTATATAGTTATATAGGTTTATGGGTTTTGAAATATAAGTAAAACCCATAAGAGCCCTACTTTTATAGGTTTTTTTTAGGTTTTGGCGTAGTCTAAATACTATTACGCTATAGCTCTCTATAGCCCTCTAAGAGCGAGGAATCCACAATCTCTTAGCGTATATTTATAATTAGGGTCTATAGATCTTTATCCACTTTTATATAGGCTAGATATAAGAGTCTAGGATTAATAAACTTATAGCTCTTAACACTATTATATTTAAAGCGTTTTCGCTCTATTTAGTAGCTAAGGAATATAGAATATATAAATTCTCTTAATCTATATCTATCTATAGCGTAATATATCTAATAACTAGTTAGTAAGTAGTTTATAAATAGTTAATGTCAGGATTTTAGGTGCATGCATTAATTCATGTAGATTTCCAGAGCTTCCAATTCAACATGGAAAGTTCCAGTTGATGTTCCCGTTCTGCCATCTCTCACCGCTTTCATCTGATCTTCCAATTATCTCTCATTTATCTCTCACTTTCCCCTCACTTCGGCCTTTACTATGCTTTTTATCTACGTCAGCCTACCAAACCGAGGTTATTAGGCCTATCCTGTCTATAGCCGCGGGTAACAGCACGTTTACCTACCTCGGGCAACAGCACGTTTACGGCAAGATTACCTCGGGCAAACAGCCTACGCTTACCTTGGGTAATTAGCTAGATGAACTGAATATTTTCTGTCTATAAATATGGCCTAGAAACCAGACTGAATAAAACAAGAGCTTTCATCTGAATTATTCTCTTACTACCTTTCTCTCCTAAAGGCAGACCAAAGAGACCCTCTATCTTTATCTTTATTCATCTTCCAGGGGTAAGCCACTACGCCGCAGTAGTAGCTAACCTCTACGGGAGGTAGTATTTCTCTCTACAAATATTTGTCCTGAGGACAGCCCTGCCGCATAGGGACCCGCAGGCATTTATTTATCTCTCTTATTATTATATACTACCAATCCCGACAGTTAATAACTAGTTATTCACTAATAGATTTTATTATAGCTCGTAGCTTATCTAGTCTAGATTTATTAATATTCACGATATAGGTAAACCCTTCCTTATAAGTTTCTAGATACTCTAGAAGTAGAGGTATATACTTAATAATAGTAGCTAATATTAGGTAGGTTAGATAAAAGGTTAATAGTGTTAGAATATAACTTAGCTAGGAATAAATTAGTTTGAAACTAGTTTAGATCTAGTTATTATTAATATATATTTACCTTATCTAGGTTAGGAATTGCTACTTAGAATTCTTACCAGTCTTCAAACTTATCGATATACTCGCTCGCTGATTCCGTATTAGGTTTAGGATTAACCTATATAAGCTTAGTGAGGGTACAATCCTTATAGGCCCTCTAGATATAATCTATACTGTGTTCTATGGTAATTAGGATAATAATAGAAAGAGACTAATAATCTATATAGGTAAATTACTAGGTTACTAGGGTATACCCTACAAAATTACATAATTGCGATGAGCACGGACCAAAACTACCAAAAAAGTCACGTGACCCTTGCAGCGACCTAAGTGCCTACTTGCGATCACCTGGTTCCTCCATCTAATCGCCCTGGCGACCACCTTCTATAGATTTCTGTCCGTTATATTCTTGCATGGATCAGCATGAGGAGCGCCCTGAGGAAATGTTTACGTGGCTTTTCCTAGTAAAGCAACTGCTCCAACGACCCATATAAAGATCCTCTACGCAACGAAATACTAATCAATTTTCACACACTGTGTATTGCGCTTAGTCCTCAGAAATATATCCCCTCGTTGCTCAGCCGATCATATTAATAGGCTAAGTATGGTCCAAATAGTACTACTATATTTTGAAAATTTCTGTAAAGCTATTGTCAAATAACGAGTTGTAAAATATCGCATTTACTATGGTGTTTTGGGGTGCGCCGCTCGCTTGGGAAATACGTAATATAACTAACTAACTAGTTAACTAGTTAACGTATTTCCCGGTTGACCTGCGCACCCGGTTGACCTGCGCACACCGCCCGAAACGCGTCGCGTTTCCACACCTACTTTCTTTAACCATCTACTATGCCACCAAAACGCGGTCAAAACGCTCCAAAATCACTAGAACGCGAGGGTAAAACCCTTCTAGCTATCCAGGCCTATAAAAATGGCCAATTTTCCTCTCTTCGCGCAGCGGCTCTTAAATACGGTGTGCCTAAAACTACAGCACGTACGCGTATGAATGGAACACCCTTTCGCGCTGATAAACGCCATCCACGACATCTATTGACCCAAACCGAGGAAGATTCGCTTACATAATGGATACTCTCTATGGATGCACGTAGAGCAGCGCCTAGGCCAGCTACTGTAGGAGAAATGGCCAATATTCTCCTCGTAGCGCGTGGCTCTACACCATCACCTACAGTCGGCAAAAATTGGCCATCAGCCTTTATTAACCACCGGTCAGAGCTTTGTACGCGATTCTCGAGACGATATGACTATCAACGCGCCTTAAACGAAGATCCAAAGGCCTTACGCGCGTGGTTTACGACTATATAAAGCGTTATCGAAGAGAACGGTATCCAACTAGAGGATATCTATAACTTTAATGAGACAGGCTTCGCGATAGGCCTAATCGCTATAGCTAGGGTCGTTACCCGCGCTAAATACTACGGTCGGCGAGCTATTTTATAAGCTGGAAATCGTGAATAGGTCACTACAATTGAATCAATCAACGCTACTGGTAGGGCGTTACCGCCCTATATAATATTTAAAGGCAAAAACTATATTGGAGGATGGTTTGATGGCCTACCGCGTGATTGGCGTATTGAGGTCTCGCCGAATGGCTAGACTACCGATGAGATTGGCCTACGCTAGCTAGAAAAACACTTTATTCCTGCGACCGCTAGGCGTACGCGTGGAAAATATCGATTGTTGATTCTTGATAGCTATGGTAGCCATCTTATAGCGCAATTTGATCGAATCTACACTGAAAACGCAATTATTCCGCTTTATATGCCAGCGCATTTATCACATCTCCTACAACCTCTTGATGTAGGTTGCTTTACTATATTAAAACGCGCCTATAGCCGCCTTATAGAGAATCAAGTGCGTCTTGGCTATAATCATATCGATAAGCTCGATTTTTTAATAGCCTACCCTAAAGCGCGTGCGGATACATTAAGGCCAGAAACTATTCAAAATAGCTTCGCAGTAGCTGGTTTAGTGCTATTCGACCCAGAACGAGTGCTTTCAAAGCTTAATATCCAGCTTCGGACGCCTACGCCTCCTAATAGCCGACTAAGCAGCAGATCTAGCGTTTTTACACCAAAAACGCCTAGAACAGCTATTCAATTAGAGAAATAGGCTAAAGCGCTTAAAGATCTACTTAAGCAACGTTCAAAAAGCCCACCAAGTCCTACCAAAACTATGCTTGACCAAATTATCAAAGGCCACTCTCTTGCTTTGCATCACACAGCACTACTCGCGAAGGAAGTTAGTGATCTACGCGCGCATAATGAGAAAAAGCGGCAGAAACGCGCACGATTAACTAGGCAGATAGCATATCCAGGTGGCCTAACAGTCGCTGAGGCCTCATAGATTCTACAGCCTCCTACACAGGCTATAGAGCGCATTAAATCGCCTACGCCTACGGCCGTTCAACAGCCTAATTTACTACCTCTGCCAGCCAAACGTACTCAACCAAAGTGTTCTTGGTGTGGAGATATAGGGCATAAGATCAATTCATGTAAAAATCGATAGGTTTTCAATATATTATGGCGTTTAGGTGGAAAAAATCCTAATTAAAAATACAGTGGTAGGCGGTGTGCGCAGGTCAACCGGGTGCGTAGGTCAACCGGGAAATACGTTAGTTAACTATTCAATGTTATAATGGGATTATGTAATGCATGGGGATGTCAATACTGGCAGTTTACTGTACCGTAATAATTTTATTATATCAGGCAAAATATAGTAACAACATATGACTACAATCTATACTTTTTGAAGTAAATTAAGTTATATAAAATCTTATGGCCCCGAGAGTCGAACCTGTGCGCTCAGGAGTTGCGCAGCCCTCGCTCATAACCAGTTAAATAATCGATAGACTAAAATACGAATCCGCCCTCAGTCTAGTAGGTGGTGGTTTATGAACTTTTTTGCGAGGAGTCAGGGAAATGACATCAACCAACCAACCAACCAACCTACTGTAAACGACCGAAGGTTCAACTCTTCACGGAGTTCAGCAGTTCTCATCATCTTAAATTCCGCGCAAAACCTAGAATCGCCTCGGGCTTGATTTTGGAACACTGGGAGTGAATCATCCCAAGCCTCGCCGAATTTGCTCAACAGCAATCCCCCATCGCCACAATATCTTTTCTTGATTCTATTCTACTTTGAATGCCTTGCCTAATCTAATTTTCATTTTCATCGTATACTCAAGACTTTTGGAACGCCTCTGTATGCTGATTCAAGGCTCATGCTGAATTGTTTCTACTACCCAAGGTGGATGAATGTAGATGTTAACAGGGCCAACCGCCCCTTTGTGATCAATGGGCTTAAACCGCCTAGATGCTAGCAGCTATCGCAGAACTAGTCTGACCTATAAATGGCACAGTATACCGTTTCTCTTCACATAAACTTGTTGATCGCGTTGTTAACACCCTGGTTGATGGTATTGCTCATCCCAGAAGGGGCATATTGGTCGACTTCCTTGTCGATGGTCGAATCCGCAAAGCTGTCAGCTCCGCCGCCTTGTTGGGTGTTATTGTTGTTATTGTTGTTGCTAGAGCCACTGCCCTGGTTCATGAACCCTATCACAGAGAAAATTATCAGATTCTGACTCAAGGCAACTCTCCACAAAGGAGCCTTAGGGTATCAATCATGAACAAACCCTCTGCCTTGTTCAAAATTCCACCGATGCCACCGCCGGAGGAGTTCCCGCTCTGGTTCCCAGATGACTGATTGTCAAAATTGTCGCTACCACCTTGGTTGCCGAAGCTGCTAGATTGGCTACCATAGCTGTCGTTGCCGCTGTCGCCGGACCCACTGCTTCCTTGGTTGCCTCCATAGTTGGAGTCATTGCTGCCGCCGTAGCCTCCTTGGTTGGAGTCATTGCTGCCGCCGTAGCCTCCTTGGTTGCCACCGTAGCTAGAATCGTTTCCACCAAAGCCGGAGCCTTGGTTTTGACTACCGTAATTGTCGGAGGATTGGTCGTTGTTGTAAGACATGTTGGTTGACTTCGAACACGAAAACAATAGTTGGCAAGGTAGGAAATTCCAAAGGGAAAAGAGGGACGGGGATATAGAGCAATCTTCAACTGAGGGGAAGGGGCTATTTATCCTGTTTCCTGAATGTGAAAAGAAGTGAATTTCCCTCTGACCCCTCATTTTTTAGCACAAGATATACCTCGTATGTGGCCCCACAGAATGGACCAATGGAATGAGCATTGAGGGGCTAAGACTTTGGGAGGGTAGTAGACTATTCCTTATTTGTCGCTAGGACTCTCTAACGAACTCTAATTAAGGGGACACGAACTCAAACCATGAACTAGCTTGTTGTGCCGACCGTGGGCGATGTGGCGCAGTCGGATTTGCGACAACGCTTAGCTGAATTACGCTATACGAAAAGTGAGGCAGTTCCGTGATTGGCCGATCAGACTGATCTTATTGAGGCTTGCTGAAAGAGTAGCGTTCTTTCCCTCTCCAGCCACCACAGCCTAGACTTAGACACCGATGGTGCTGTTTCCAGTCAATCATCGCCTTCACCAACCGTTGCACTCTGTGCACTCAAGAAACGCCGGTTTTATCTGCAACTGGTGAGCGCTCTGTAGGAATTGAAAAGAAAAAGTAGCCAAGGGCTTCAGAAAAACAGGAGTGAAAAAGAAAGCAGAACCAAAAAAAAAAAACACTTTTTAGAAGGTATTCGCCGGCGGTCACCCCCCGACCTCTAAGCTATCGGCGTGTGGCTTATGGGAAGCTAGTAGTTCGGTGTCTGTTGCTTGGGTGAGAAACGGCTTCTTATTCTATGTGCTATGCTTAAATGAGGTCAGGAGGTGGGCCTTATTTCGGCAAAGGAACCCTGTCGCGCAATTCCATAAATAGGAGTAGTAACAATGATAGATGGATTAATTTCACAAAGCGATAGCTGGCTTTTATTTGTGCGCCCACTTGAATGAATATCTACAGTTAGATTCTACTGTTGCTGCTCGAGGCTTTCTGACTATTTTTTGCAAGCCTACGCCTAGGTCCTAACTTCTCTGAGGCGTTGGTGCTATATACGCCGTCCGCTGGTTTGGATCGATTGGGGCTATGTTTATTCTGGTCTTCACCAACACTATGGCATCACCATCAGTGATCGTCGATAGCTACCGGTAACTAGTGGAGTGGCGATGGCGGGTGCGATTCTTGTGCGCAACACTATGTCTGTCGCCATCGGTTATGAGTAAGTCTGCTTTTGTCACATTAACAACAATTCAACGTACAAAATACTATTGCACTGTCGATAAAAAATGTGGGCTATTATAACTGGTTCATCTTGTATCGTATAGTATAGAAGGAAGGCTGGAAAATCCTCTAGTAGAGCAGAAGGGGATAATATCTCTCACATCTCTTGTGGTATCTTGTGTAAAAGGAGAAGGAAAGGTACAATTCTGTTAGATGGATTGGAAGATTGATAACATCTCATTATCCAATTCAGTTCCCGTTGCCGAGCTGCTGGATCTGGAGGTCTGTTCAGATGTCGTATGCAGCCCTGGCGGGACAGGCATCATGTTGGCGTCTATCTTAGGTGAGTAGATCAGGACTAGGCCGAGCTCCACAAGGCATGGAAACTGGCCTAATGCAGTCTAGACATCCGTCTCGAGACCTTGATATCTTTATAAGCGTGTAAATAGCTTCTGCAGAGACGGACACCGGCCTGCTAGCTCCAAAATATCCTTAGCCGAAAATATAGGCGCAATTGGTCCTATTTTAGAAAGCCTGCATATATCTTGACTAGTCTCCCCTAGTTAGTTAACGTATTTCACTACCGAGTGGGACACCGCAAAACACCATATTAAATGCTGCTTTTTACAACCTTATATCTAATCAACCATCGCTCTAATTTATTATCATATAAATATACTGGTACTGATAAGCATACTTCATGGGAGATATTAATTTTAAGCCGATCAAAATGTTGTATAATAACAATACCATAAATTACGTTGTAATTTATCTTAATAAACCGGAAATATATATTCTCCGGTACCAAAATTTCCTAGACTCCATTTTAGTACTATATTTACTGTATAGAACATGGCCTTACAGTTTGCTATCTATACGAGCCCCGGTTATTGAGATATAATGTTGTAAAAAGCAGCATTTAATATGGTGTTTTGCGGTGGCCCACTCGGTGTGTGGCCTGGTGGGTAGTAAATTACGTTACAGCAGAGAAAGATTGCGAGCTCAGCTCCCTAACCGCCAGGGACGCCCACGGATGACTAGGATATTGGGAATAGGCTGAGAAACAAAGCGTGGCTTTAAGGAAGTAGGTTTGAATTTCACTGTACGGCCTGAGAAACAAACTATGAGTGTGGGGGAATCTGTTTTCTAACACTTTGTACTGTATTACAGTATTTCTGAGTAACGGTGTCTTTCATTATTACCCGGTACCTAAGGCCAAGTTCAAGCAAAACCTAATTAGAAGGGAATGGCAATAACAAATTCCTAACAAATTTTCCGGTTTTTAACGCATACCAACATTTATGAAACCAAGTTACATATCACATGCGCATTAGTGTATGGGTGACTAGAACCTTCCAGAGAGATGTAAACAATTCAAACAACTCCAGCAGCGGTGGATCTTGCGGTTCCAGCCACCTATCATCTTCTCCACACATGCAGCCATCCGAATGCTACCTCGTATTCATATTATTCGATTCAGCTTTCTTCCCTTGATTCCCTTTCCGTCAGATTGAAAATGGCGCTTACTCAGCATGTCAGACCTCCTGAGTGGAAAGCAGAAAGTCGGGGGCTGATGATGCTTTGGAATGTCGACGAAGCTGCAGCTTTCCATACTCATATGAATGTCTAGTGGCCATTCTTCTCGTCTGTTTCACGGTGGACCCCATCATTTTCGATCATGAAGCGAGCTATTCCTTGTTACTGGGTTCGTCTCCTTCTAGTCTTCTCACTTTCGTTCTCTACACTGGCCACATCCGTCTGCTACTCTCCAAATGAGCAAAGTACGGAGGCCGACTCGGTATACCAGCCTTGCTCTTTCTCAAATGACGGTGTCAGCATGTGCTGTGCCCTAAACCGTGACAACCCTCCCGGCGGGAACAGCAGTGACGGGCTCACTAGAGATACTTGTCTTCAAAATGGACTGTGTATGAACAGCCAGAATTCTGGAGCTGCGATAACCTATTGGAGAGATATGTGTACTAGCACGGACTGGTCGGACAGAGGAAAGTGCTTAAATGTCTGCACAGACATCGATGTAAGTCCCAGAAACAGACCTATCCGGGCATTCCATATGATCACGACCTAACCTTCGCCGTGATTCATCACTTAGACCGGAGATACCCAGCAGCTCACTCCATGCGATGGGACGGCAACTTCGACCACTTGGTGTTGCGGTTTTAATAATACTGATTGTTGCAACACGACGAGTGCCATCACCATCCCTGCCCTTTTCGGTGCCATATCTAGCTCTACCTCTACCACGATCCCTACCACGATCCCTACAACTATCCATACCATGATCCCTACCACGATCCCTACCACTACCCCTACCACGAATCAGACATCACACACCTCGGAATCATCGGGCCTCTCGATAGGGGCAAAGGCAGGCATTGGTGTTGGTGTTGGCGTCGGTGCTCTGCTGGCGATATCTGCTTTTGCGGCGCTTTTCCTTCGAGAACGGAAGAACAAAAAGCTGAAAGGTAATTCTCAATACACCTTTGCAGCGACTTCGGACACCTTAGCGCGTGAGGTTCCCCATCGAATGCCACAATCGGAATTAGAGTGCAATACGATTCGTGAAGCATCGGCAGGTGGCCAGGAGCTTAAGCAAGACGTGCACCATAATGCTAGACACGAATTACCGGGGGAATCGACTGGTGCTAGAGGGATATAGGAATGACGTCAAAAGCCGGAGATGTCTGTCAAGAGCTGGAGCTGCGAACCAACTCTGCTGCTTTTTGTTTCAATATGTTAGTTGATGCTCGATGGGTGCTTGATAGCACTGATTATACGCTTATTGGATACAATCGAAAAATACCCTGCATGAGAATCAGTCCTTCCGAATATCGCTGCAACCACCTTGATCTTATATTTCCGTAACCAAGAAGCGCTGATCTACATCAAGGTGGCAACCCGAAATATTAATATTCCAATTTACGACTACGTCGTCTCAATACGTTAAGCTAAATACGTATCTATATCTTGTTAATATAGTTTCGGTGTGGTAAAAATGTGACTGCTTCTTGCCACGGGCTAGCCCTGACATAAGCATAGATAGTAACGTAATTCCCGGCCGACCTGGCCACCCGGCCGTCCTGGCCACCCCATCCAAAACCGCGTCTTCCTACCTACCTACCTACTTCAACCACCTATTATGCCACCAAAACGCTCTGAATCTTCGCAGAAATTAGCCAATCAGGAGGGCAAGATCTTATTAGCCCTTAATGATATTAAAAATGGCCGCATCAAATCTCTCCGCGCAGTAGCGAAGCTATACGCAATACCGCGTTCAACACTACAAACGCGCGCCCACGGCCAAACCTCACGCGCTGAGAAACGCCCATCTGGTCATAAATTGACCCAATACGAAGAGGATTCGCTTACTAGGTGGATTATCTCTATGGATACGCGTGGAGCAGCGCCTAGGCCATCTACTGTGCGAGATATGGCTAATATCCTACTTACTGCGCGCGGCGAGACCCCTCCGCCTAGTGTAGGCAAAAATTGGCCATCAACCTTTATTCAACGGCGCGATGAGCTTCGCACACGCTTCTCAAGAAGATATGACTACCAGCGCGCCCTAAACGAAGACCCGAACTCGCTACGACAGTGGTTTGCGACTGTACAACGCGTTATCGATGAGAACGGTATACAATCGGAGGATATCTACAACTTTGATGAGACAGGATTTGCAATGGGTCTTATTTCAGCGCAGAAGGTGGTTACGCGGGCAGAATACTACGGTCGGCGATCTATTCTGTAGCCAGGAAATCGCGAATGGGTTACTGCTATCGAAGCAATCTGCGCGGATGGTTATTCGCTACCGCCATGCGTGATCTTTAAGGGCCAAGTTGCTATTGCGGGTTGGTTTGATAACCTACCAAGAGACTGGCGAATCGAGGTCTCAAATAACGGCTGGACTACCGATAAGATTGGCCTACGGTGGCTACAAAAACTCTTTATTCCAGCGACTACTACCCGTACGCGAGGCAAATATCGTCTATTGATTCTTGATGGCCACGGAAGCCATCTTACACCCCAATTCGACCGAATCTGCGCAGAAAACGATATTATATCGCTTTGTATGCCTGCGCATTCTTCGCATCTTCTACAACCGCTTGATGTTGGGTGTTTTGCTATACTTAAACGCGCGTACGGTCGCTTCGTAAGCGATCTTGCGCGTGTAGGCTATAACCATATCGACAAGTTTGATTTCTTGGACGATTACCAACGCGCGCGGCTAGAAGCCTTTCAACCAAATACTATTCGAAATAGCTTCGTGGCTACTAGTCTAGTGCCAATCGATCCAGAAAGGGTGCTTTCAAAGCTTAATATCTCACTCCGAACGCCTACACCACCGGGTAGTCGACCAAGCAGCAGATCGAGCCAATTCACCCCAAAAACGCCAAAAACTGTTATTCAGCTCCAAAAGCAAGCTTCGATGCTTAAGGATCTACTAAAGCAACGGTCAACTAGCCCTCCGAGCCCATCAAAAACTATACTAGATCAGATTATCAAAGGCCACTACATATCGCTACACAACACTGCGCTACTAGCGCAAGAAAATGCGAATCTACGCGCAGCGAACGAGAAGAAACGACAAAAACGCAATCGGTCAACTAGGCAGATACCCTGTGAAGATGGCCTATGGGTCGAAGAGGGCCTACAGCTAGCTCAGCAGCTAAACCAACCAGTTGAAGGTATTAGGTTAGCATCGCATGCGCAGGGCGATCTGCCTAATCAGCCAGATCAGCCAGCCAAAAGGGCTCCGCCAAGGTGTAGCGGGTGCGGGGTGATTGGGCATAAGATCAATCGTTGTAATAATCACTAGTTTTATATCAATTAATCCGTTTTGGTTGAGATATGCCGATTTAAAATCTTCTAATGGGGGTGGGTGGCCGGGACGGGCGGGTGGCCAGGTCGGCCGGGAATTACGTTATGCAGTGGAAGAAAATCAAGGTTCTTTCGCGAGCCATCACAAGAGAACGCGACGGTGCCCGCATTTGATAGAAAATATATGACAATAATCTATAATAGATAGTAGGCTCCCTGCGTCAAATCCCAAAGGTAACAATAAGCTGATTGCAACGCCAAAGAACATACAAGTTGCTTACTTAAGTAATATGTTCGGAATGACTGTGTTATAGGTAGGGTTGGACTAGGTAAGGGACTAGATCAAATATGTATATTCTCATGCGACGCTGAGTTCGTTACTGATTGGCTGATGTCTATACAAGTCCGCGGGCCCTCACACTCGCTATTCTTTTCTAAGTGATTGGCTATACCTATACCTATTGCGTGCAGATTATATGTGGTTAGCATCTCTACCCCTTCGAAACCAATTTCCCCATTATATATATCTTGGTCATTCTCGCTGCATTTGTAACAGGCTAGTGCCTGGTTAGTTAGTAAGGTTATGCCTTACCCTTGCTTATAGTGCCCTGGCGAACAACAGACGTTGGTCTGTTGTCTTGTATGATCTTTTGGTCAAGGGGAAATGGTGGTGAAACCAGCGCCCCGCTCCGACCCCTCACAAAAGTAAGGCCTTCATCAAAGAAGATTTAAAGTAAAGTAAAGGAAATACTAAAAAATGTAGGCTAAAACAGCAAATTTTATGTAGTCACAAGTCTCTGCTTTGTTTGCATTGTTTGGGGCCCATTAGGGGCCTACTAGGGGTCCACGGTGTGCTCATGGGCCTAATGGTAAAGCCCAGAGCCCACTGTGGTCTCAAGGACCGGGCCAAAGCTCAACCCATTTGCTGGTTGGGTTAGGTTGGGCCGTGGGCCCCGGGGGGCTTTGGCACAGTCTCAGTTGGGATAGGCTACCCACGCGGGCTTAAAGCCTATAATAGGTCGAAGGTTTGGACCCCTAACCAAACCCACGATTGGGTTGGGTTAGGTTGGGCTTTAGGCTTTATGGGTTATGGCACAGTCTAGGAGAGGGTAAATAAGTGATAGTTGTGAGTGTTAGAACCAAAATAAATGTAAAAAGCAAAGTTGAATTAGCTATTTATGCAAAAAATTCAGGCTAAAGTAGGCCAAATCAGGCCAAATCAAGTGTCGATGGATAGACCCACTTTATCTATAGAGGGACAAAAACTCTATATCCATAATGGATAGTCTATGGATGGATAATGGACCAGCCCCCTGTGTCCATGGACTGTCCATACTGATGTCTAGTTCGGGTTAAAGATTATAACCCGCCCGCGGGTTTTGGTGCAGTCTAACTGCAACGTAATAACCGAGAATACTGGCATGTGGCATGCCCCGTTGGCTGCTAGCACCCTCACTTTACTATAGCTTTTGCGCTTAATCCTCTATCCTAGTCAGTCCGCTTCACAACTTCTGGGCTGTCGGTAACGTGGGACCTACGAAATTGGTCTTACTGGGTACGACCATAAAAGACTGAGTTGATTTGCCTTGAATATCTGCATGTTATGACATGTCATTGTGCCTCCATGATCCTCGGAATTTATGCTGTACCAACGCCTCCTCCGGAATTGACCCGTCCCTTGTGCTATTCGAATGCGGCTGACCCATTCCGAATCCGTCAATTGGGAAGATCAAAATATCACCTATGAGTCTCGGCTGCACTAGTCCACTCAAATTCCTTAATGACGTCAAATCTGGCTCATACTGCTGCAGCTGCCGGAATACAGCGTCCGTCCAAGCAGCTGGACCAGTCATTTTCATAACTTCAGCTGATTTGACTTTAAGTTCCGAAAATGTTGTTTGCCGTCCCTCCATGAAAATCTCTAGTGCTGAAATTACCCAGTCTATCATGTAGCTGAATAAAGGGTGTCCAGGAGTCGCAGCAATGGTCCACTGGCAGAATTGCAGGTCGGGATGAACCTCGCCCCAATTTCCCCCATCAAGACGGTCGAATTCTACCCCTATAACCACGCGAACGTTTTTCTGATAACCTTCAGGCACCCATTGATCAATCGGCTTCAGGTTTACCGTATCAATATCCGAGTAAACGCCGCCTTGTTTTGAAAGTATCAGGTACCTCAGCAAATCGGACTTCATTCCGGTATTTTGCAGCTCTCTGAATATCCTCAATAGGGTTGGATTTCCCATAAAATGTTGGCGCACAAGTGATTCGGCGCCTTTGTCTCCAACCAAAACGTATTCGTATTCGGGGTTGTGAGCGAGCCAAGAGCCGGTGTCGACAAGATTCTGAGGGTCGATTTGAAAACTGGTCTTATTGGCGGTCGGGGGCGCAAGGTATATCTGCCACATTTTTTGGGGAAGGAGAGAATGCCAGTCTTGATCAGGTTGAATCTCCTTTTCTTCGGCACTTGGCTCTATCGAGCGACCAATATGTCCGTTGAAAGAATAGTCAAGAAAGGCAACCACTAGAAGCAACCAAACAACTGTGATGAACCCGGTCTTCAGCATCCGACTTTTAAAGTTGGGAAGCCGCCACGAATTCTTAAAGAAAGGGACAAAGGACATAGAAAGGACGAAGAACCGTTCGAGCCTGTCTTTGAACATCTCGCAAGAAGCAAGGAAGGAATGACAGAAACCAAGAGGGAAAGAAATATAGTGTCGCGTTGGTGCCGTCTCATCGATGGTCTCTTTTATCGACAGTCACTATCGGACACACTCCGCTGTCTTGAAAGACAGATGGATGATGTTTCCAGGAATTCCAGATCCGCAGACTGCTAGTACGTGGATCAAAAGCAAGACCGATGGTTCTATAAATATCAGGGACTTGGCACAACCTGACTAGACTTTAATTGACTTCTGGGCTAGGTTATGAAAAGCTTCGGCGAATTTCCAAATAGATCAAGCCGAATGGAAAGGTCGCCAAGCTAACTAGACACCAGCATGGACATGGACATGGACATGGAAAAAAATAATTTGTCCATGGACGATTTTTTTGGGTCCATTCTGTAATTACCATGAAATTTATTAAAAACATTAATAAATCTATGCAATATACGTATATATTACCGTCTATGGACAGCTTTTTGGACCCCTTTTGTCTAATAGACCGTCCATGCTGATGTCTAAAGCTAACCCACCTTAGGCACGACTTCAAATGTCTCAAAGATAGATTAGGTTGAAGGCAGCAGGATAACCAACTATGGATCTTCTATATTTAGCATACATTGCATAGTAATAGCCATGGCCGTGTCAATGTAACTTGCTGCTTACGCAGATCCTGGCGCAGCGTCATTGTTGATCCTCGTATAGGATGTAACTCTGTGTGGATTTAATGCTAGCCTTTCCACTGCCACAAGAGCAGTGCTAGTCCAGATGTGGGCTACCGCTGCACTAATCCTCCCACGGACTGCATCCCTGCTTCGCCTCATCTCCTGTGGAATACTGCAGAGCACCAGTCGGACGGAATGAGTATCCCATCCGACCACCAAACGGGAGTTTCGCCCCCACCCCCAATTACGGCAGTGATTTAGGCGTCCAAATTTTATTGGCTTAGGCCAAGAAGGATTCACGGAATCCTTCCCTCCGCGCAAATTGTTTCACAAATACGGGTGGGACTTGGCTACTACGGTAACGTAATTCCTAAGCGAGAGGCCACCCCACCCATTTTTTACGCGTCAACGTGTCTCTTCTATTTTCTACCGACCACCATGCCTCCAGATTAGCTCTTATATTTCGCCATTAGGTTTATGTTTCCCGAACGTGATTAAACTGCGCCAAACCTCGCGAATGGGTTCTGGAATGAAAACTAGACTTCCGCATAACCCAATCTAACCCAGACCCAACCTGTGCGCCAAAGCCCACTGGCCCACGGCTAGACTTGGCACTCACCCGCCCCGCGGGTCTAAAGTTTGGAATCCACCGCACCTCCGAGGGTCAGGGTCCAACCTCACCGACCCTGACCCGGACCCGGACCCTCGAAGGGTCCATGCTAAACCTCGCTTTGGGTCGGGCTTAGCTGCTTGTAAAATACAATGAAAATATGAATGCCTGAAGACGGATGAAGGAATAATGATGGAATGAAAAAACTGCATTCGAAGCCCACTCTCACGGAATTCAGGGCAGTACTCCGAAGTTCGACGTATAGTATACTATAAAAATATCCTCCTTGGGGGGTTAAGTCCATATTCCAAATTCACTACATCTGCCCTCCTCACTATCCTAAAGGTATTAGTGCCTCGTAATAGCGCCCCCCACCTGGCGGTGAGGGTGCGCTGCACCGGTAGGCCCATTTTCAGCGGTAGGCCCAAATTTTCCATTATCCATCGTTTTTCATCATAACCAGCCACCACCATGCCTAACCAGCCCGAAATTCCGGAATCTCGTGTAATCGAGGCCTGCGAAGCCGCCTATGCCCAAAAAAAGCCGAATTTGTCGAAGATCGCCAAGGAATATGGTGTTTCGTATTACGTGCTGCGGGGACGCGTCCGACGGGGTAAACTAGCTCGCACTGCCCAGAAACCGGTCAATAAGGCTCTTCAAGACTATCAGGAGGAAGCTTTGACTCACTGGATATGTGATATGCGTGATCGCTATCTCCCAGTGACGCCTGCGCTAGTAGAGGAGATAGCGAATCTCTCGCTAAAGCGTGCGGGTGTCGAACGCGAGCTAGGCAGTACGTGGGTGTATCGCTTCATTAAACGACTTCCTCAAGGCCTTGATCTTGCCCCGGTAAAGCAGAGAACGAAGGAGTATAAGCGGATCCAGGCAGACGATAGCGGAATACTAGAACTCTAGTATTCTCGATGGGGGAACGTCGTTAAAAATGCAGCGCCACGGTTAATATATAACGTCGATGAATGTGGCTTCCAACCCGGTCGGGGTAAAGCGTAGACGGTAATCAGTGGCCGTATGATGCCTATCCCTGATCTCTGCGAAGCTAAACGTGGCGAAACTATTACCGCCGTCGAATGTATCGCTGCCGATGGTTGGCAGATGGATCCACTGTTTATCTTCAAGGGCTCGACGTATATAGAGACTTAGTATCATAGCAGCGAAGCTCTTCCACCGCGGACGCTCACGGCTGTGTCTCCAAATGGCTAGATCTCTGATGAATTAGCTATTGAATGGCTTCAATACTTCCACAAGGCGACGATTAGTCGTACGTTAAAAGGGGAGAAACGTATCTTGTTGTTCGATGGCCATAGTGCCCACTTCACGAAGGAGTTTCTACAGAGATGCGAGGATTATCAGCTTATCTGCTTTGCTTTCGAACCTCATTTAACGCACCTTTGTCAACCGCTTAATGGAAAGCCCTTTTTGAGCTATAAGCAGCACTTCCGAAGAGAGAATAATAACCTCGCGTTCCTCGCGGGTGAGCCTATCGGAAAGGCTGATTTCCTACGATGTATCGCGGATGTACGACGACGAGCATTCAACGCACGGATTATTCGTGAATCCTTCAAAGAACGTGGCATTTGGCCACCAAATGGTATACATATCATCAAGAAGCTTGCCAATAGCTAGCTAGAGCTACCAGTGCTCTTAGCGCCTAATCTCCGTACGTATGGGGAACAGACACCATTAGACATTGACACTCCCATGGGTATTCCTATTTGGGACAGTCCCGTCCCGCCCATGGGTGGGATATGGGACCGACCCTTAGTCCCATAGGTGGGACGGCCTTTTCCCTACCCATCTATGGGACTCCTATACTCCCATGAGTACCCATAATACAAGGAGGTATAATTAATGCATATTATGTAGGAATCTTTGGTATTTAGGTGGTAAAATTACAGTCGAAAGGTAATAAAATAAGAAAAAGAAAGTGAGGTTTGAATGAGAGAATAGCACCTATATTATTCTATAGAATTTCAAAGCCCTCAGGCCCCCAAGGACGTCTTTTCACCCGACTAGAGGCCCGAATCTAGCTTTCTGGAATTATAGGCAAAGAGACTAAATTATCATCACTCTCATTAGATAAAACACTCTTTCTTCTCTTACTAGCCCGAACAGAAGATAGCCTAGAAATATCTATCCTATCTAGCTTATCTAGCTCATCTAGCTCATCTACCCTATCCGCCTTAGTATCACTAATTAGCTCAAAACCTTCTATTTACTGAGAAGGTTTATCTGTTTCACCGTCCTCGTGGATAGATAGAGATCGGATAAAAGCTAGCTACTAATCTTCCATCTCGAACCTAGTCGTACACATAAACATCATTAGGTCTTGGATAGTTGAAGAATTCAGACGACCCCTCCGATAATAATAGATATCCTAGGCTAAATTAAATAACCTTTCTACACTAGCACTAGTAGCAGGGATAGAGAAAATATCCTATACTATATATACTAGTGTAGGGAACTAATGCGTATGATCTTTCCAGAATAGACGAGGGCTAATTAGGACCAAACCTAAGTAAAACTAAAGAAATTAGACGAGAGGTAAAATAAGAGGTAAGACTAGAAGTGAGAGAAAAGTGAGAGGAAAGTGAGAGGAAAGTGAGAGGAAAGTGAGAGGAAAGTGAGAGGAAAAAGTAAGCTTACCTCCTTGGAGATATTAGGTTAATTCATCCTGATCCTTGGTGGATTTAGGCTTAGAAGCAAGCAATTAATCAAGCTTAGAAGCTTAGATAGAAGCCTAAGGTTTTAGGATTGAATCACTCTCTATTTAATATACTTTTATTCGCTCTTAAAAGCTCGCTCGATATAAAGAAGCATAGTCTTTATCTATCTAGTTGGGGCCAGAAAAGAACTGCAACTTATACTAAGGGGCGAGGATTGTGCTATGCGTATAGATATCACTAAGTTCTAGATTATCTATTTTTGTATAGTACTCTCGAAGCTTATTTTTAGCTAATTTAAGAGCTTTAAGCATCTACCATTTCTACCTAGCCTAGAAGTGAAGGAAAAGTAAGTAAGTGAGACTTAAATAAATCCCTTTTCCGCTAATTGTGACTCTGATTTTTCGCACTTTAACCCTTGTTATATAGGTTGAAGTGCGAAAAATCAGAGTTATAATTAGCGGAAAAGGGAGAGAATATAGGAGACTAACCTTTTTCCGCCTTAACTGCCGAATCGAAGCTTTAAGGTGGTCAAAAAGCTTATTATAGATACTAAAAATACTATAGATAGTAATATCCTTAGTCTTAGATAGGGTAGTGGTAAATTAGAAGAAAGGCTTAGTTAAATAAAGAAGATAATCAATCTAACGCCATTCCTCTAAATTAATTATTAACTATTTAACCTAGTAGGTAATACAGTACTGATTTAAATCAGATTAAAGCCTTTTAGCCCGGTAAAGCATTAGATATATCGAATTCCAACGCGTACGGACGTCCTAGATTGGGACTAATATAGGCTAATTAGTCTAAAGCTTTAGGAAGTTATCCCGTCTCTATAGGCTTATATTAATATATATAGCAAGACTATAAGCCTTACGAAGGGTATTCGTAATATCTAGCTTTCTAGATCTCTACTAAGCCCGAGTAGTAGCCTAACTATGCTCTTCTGTCTAAACTATTTCCACTATATTATTCTAGGGGTTTGCCTTTATCTAACTAAGAAGCTATTTTAGACTAAGCTAAATCACATACGTAAGGCAAGGAATACGGATCAAAGGTAGACTAGGATAACTAGCTTAGATGCTTATAATCATCGTCTAGTTATTTAACGCATTATCCGTAGTAATAGCCATAATCTAGTCTAGAATCTAATACTTTTAAAGGGTATCAGTTAGGACTAACCTAAGATTCGTCCTAGTGTATGTTCCTTCTAGGGGTTTAAATCCTAGAAGTACCTCTCGGTAATCCTAATTCTGGTCTAGGAAATAGCCAGTTATAGCTATAAATGCCTATTGAAAGGGGGATATCTAGTAATCTAGACTAATAGAGAGCTTTAAACAAGGTGGAAGCGTCCGAAGGATATCTTTCTATTGGTCTTCGACTATATTTTGTAGTCGGCGCTATATTATACGACCGGTGGGAAAGGTTGGGACCGAAGGGGCGGATTGGGTTAGGCGTAGAAGCTTCCAGAAGTGCTCGTTCTCGATAATCTAGAAAGGTAGGCGTAGGCTAGTGATTATAGTCAAAAGCTGCTCCTGCTAGAGCTTATTAGACTAAGGTTGGGATAGATAGGAATTAATTGCCTAGTGAGAGAATAATAGGTTAGTTATCTCTCACTTTTCTCTCACTTCTCTCTCACTTCTCTCTCACTTCTCTCTTACTTCTCTCTCACTTCTCTCTCACTTTTCTCTCTCTAGTAAATATACCGCTTTCTCTATTAAATGCTTAATATTTGTTTGCTTAGTTTTCCTCCGACATAGGCCATTTTTCTAATGCCTACCCATTGCTAACGTCCTATTAGAGATTAGATGTTCTAGTATAACACCACACTTCTTGCAAATAACCTTAGGCTTCCTAGTATTAATATATGTAATCTAATCAAACTGCGCCTAGACATAAGACTGAAAGCCCTTTTTATCCCAACGGATACGTTTTGCCTCGGGTTTCGTCCTATACTAGGTTGTAAGCCACTATTCAATAAACTCAGCCTTCGTCATTTCCGTCCAAAGTGCCCACTATTGCTTCCGGTCTCCAATACGTTAAATAGAGGGTGGTAGTAGTGGTTAGGTAGTGTTAGGCTCATTAAGCTGGCTTCTAGTTAGTTCGGATGGTTCTAGTTCAAAAGAGAAGGAATCAGATAAAAGAGGTTCAATACTATCGCTATAGATAGATTGGCTTATAGGGTCCGAAAGGTGTGCTATAGTGGCCGAAAGTGAAGAGAAACCGAGACCAAAATAAGAGAAAGAGCTTAGAAGGTAAGGCATACTAAGGGATTTTAGTATATACGCTAATATAATTAGTTCTTTAGGAGCCAATCACTACTAAGTGGGTTAGGTTAGTCTATCCTATTGGCCTAAATCTCTATATGCCCACGGGTATATCTATAGGTATACCTATAGGCCCGTAGAATTCGCTGAGAGCTATGCCCCCCAAAAATTTTCAACTTTTCTCTCAACTCTACCCTTTTTATCTCAACCACACACCCTACACTAATAATTAAGTGTTTATAAGATAAGTATAGATAAAAGAAGCTATAATAATTTAATTAAATAATAAAATAAGCCCTAATAACCTCGTATTATACTATAATAAAATTACTAAATTAAAGGAAATAATATAGTGGTGTGGTCGCATACAACAAATATATATCTTTAAGCACTAACTATAATTTGTACCACCACTTTGTTACCTTTACTTCTATAGGCCTAGAGTATTAATAAAACTAATGAACCGACCCTTAAATATATAAAATAAATTTATTTCTTAAAATTACCTAGTAGGTAGGCTGAAAAGTGGTGATATTACTTATTCCGACCAAAACAGACGTAAATAACAGAGATTAATCAGCAGAATCTGCATAATAATTCAGGCTAAATCAGGCCAAATCAGGCCAAATCAGGCAGAATTAGGTGTCCACGGGTACCCGTGGGTATAACGGGTATGACTCACGGGCGGGTAGGCAAAGACAATACCCGCGCGGGTATACCCACGGGCGGGCTACGGGTAGGACTTCCTACCCGCGGGCGGGCTATGTCAATGCCTACATCCATCTTCCTGGGGTAAGCTACTACGCCGCAGTAGTAGCCGACCTCTACGGGAGGTAGTATTTCTCTCTACAAATATTTGTCCTAAGGACTGCCCTGCCGCATAGGGACCCTTAGGCATTTATAGACTGCGCCAAAGCCCATACATGGGCCCAGAGGTCGGGCCCAAGGCCCAACCCGCATGGGCCGTGGGCCCTGAACTAAAAGCCCAACCCAACCCACGGCCCACGATGGGCCGAAGGTTTCAGCCCATTTAGGCCCATTTAGGCCCATTTTTGCATAAAATCTAGGTCTTAATGTACATTAATACGCTTATAAATAATGCATTTGTATTCTCTAATACACTGTATTCTAGCTTTTTTTATATATACTTTATAGATTTATATTAATATATAGTATATTTATATATAAGATCTATAGATATAGTTTAGTATTATATAAAATATAAATATATTTAGTATCCTAGGGTAATATATATATATATATATATCCTACGATGGCGTTTGGCCACCTACTTGGGACGAACTCTGGAAGGCACGGAACATCGTGCCGAAAGAAAATTACTTTCGCTCAATGCCGCTTGGCTCCGCTTATGAATAGTTAGAATGCACAAGGATCTTTTTTCGGTAGTAGTGGTCCAATGAGCTGTCATCGCGGTCCACTTTACCCACTCCCTGCTCTGGAAAACTCGAAAAGAAGCAATCTCGGTATCCGAGCTCTCAGTTGATTCTCTGTTTGGTTTAGTGACCTGAGATACTTGCATTTATCACCCGCGAATCTCCCACGTGCTCCACTGGCAGGCTAACCGACTTCGTTAGATGCTGTATGTATTGACTATCTACTTTACTATCCGAAGTGCCGAAATTGCAACCGAAAGAGACTCTAACTAATTCAATACACGTGTCTGGGTATGCTCAAAATATCTATTTATTTCGGGTTTCTTCTACATATTTTCTTTTTCATCCAGATGCAAATTCACCCTCAAGATGAAGATCCTTTTGTTACCTTTTCCAGTTCTAGGCCTTGTTGCCCTAGTTCAGGCATCTTACATTAACTATACCACTGTAACCGGGTATTTTATGCAAGATGAGGCTTCCACCAATGCCGACACTTTTGTTTACGTGAGAAGATGAAATGAAAACCAACGATATTTCCCTCTCGCTGACATGCTCCATTCAGTATGAAGAGAACTTCGGTCTCATCAATCGCACCTATGCCGCCGATCTCAATAATCCCGCATCCAAGGACATGACCCAGTGGCAGAGATTCTATCGCGAGGTTTCCCTGCTGAATCAGCTATCCCCCAACAATGTTGAATACAAAGTCTTTTTCTTCGGAAGGCACGGAGATGGATATCACAATGATGCGCAAGCTTACTATGGTACCCCAGCATGGAACGTACGTGCAGACAAAAAGCCCTTCTCTGTGGCTTTTTTCCTTCTTTTATTGCTTTGCAATCCATGATTCTGATATGATTATAACAGTGTTACTGGGCAGAACTTAACGGCAACGGCACAATATCATGGTATGACGCCGCTCTCTCGCCCGCCGGCATTTCTCAGGCCCAGATTGCCCATGATTTCTGGCAGTGGCTCATTAACGACCAAAAGATACACACCCCCGATGCTTACTATACCTCTCCGCTCACTCGGTGTCTGGAAACGGCGAATATCACTTTTACTGGCCTTGATATGCCTAAAGATAGCTCGGAGTTCAAACCTACGGTCAAGGAACTCTTCCGTGAAAACATTAGCATTCACACTTGTGACAATCGCCACAACAAGACATACATCCACGATATGTTTCCCTCATGGATTATTGAAGCCGGCTTCTCTGAGAATGATAAACTCTGGAACGGCGTCACAGCCGAGACAGACGCTGCTGAGGCCGTTCGATCTAAGATGGTTATGGATGAGGTGTTCCTGCAGTTGAAAATGAAGCAGACCTCAAACCTTTTCGTTTCCGTGACAAGCCATTCTGGTGAAATCGGGTCGCTCTTGAGCGTCTTGGGACACCGCACATTCAGCTTGAATACCGGGGCAGTCATTCCGGTTCTTATCAAGGCCGAGACACTTGAAAGGGATGTTGCTACGACTTGTAAGACCTGGTCGGTGAGTGCGCATTGTACCGCTCCACCGGCAACATCGCTGGCGAGCTGTGTGTGCGCTGCATCCGCGGCGCCGGTGACGACGCTGTTGGTGACCGTGACTTCTGTGCTGCCTACGGAGACTGGACCAGTCTGCTATAATACCGCGCTACCTACTGATATCGTTCAGGCTGGTCGAGTTGGTCGAGTGTAACTATAATTCCTTGCGTGATGCAATCAGTCGCTGAGTATCTCGTATCTCACAAATGGTTGCGTGTGGATTTTCTGGACCGTGGATGCTGCTAAACTAGCAAATAAAATTCTTTTCGTATGCTTTACAATAAAAAGATAAATGAAAAACTAGCTTTATAACTCTCAAAATCGATGTAGTTAGTAATAAGCCATATTTTCTAGTCAAGTAAGCTTCTATACAAGCGTTTTAAAAGTATAGAGAATTTCTAGGCGACTAAACGTCGTAAGGTTTAAAGGGTAGCTAACTCTCTCACCGAGAACTTACAAGGCATTACCTTGTCCTCGAAGAACTGATTAAATACGTCGTAAATGGCAGAGTAGAACTAGTTTTAACGAGCACCTTCACTTAACTGTTGTCAGACCTTGTTATAGACTTTGACCAACTTTCTATTGATTCCGTACATGATAGGGAGCGCCCGCAGGTCCAAGATGTCGACTGTATTCGGCCTAGGACGTGTAATCAGTCTATGTTTTTTGTGTAAACAGAGATAAAATTAAGAAGCGTCTCCCTTTGCAACATTCCACGGGCGATACATGGACGAAAACCGAGCTACTACGGGCTCAGGAATGAATCTCATCCCAGGCTTTAGGGCAGTCGCGATAGATGAAATAACAGTAAATACTGTCAAGAGAAGAAAGGATATAGGCACCCAAAAATCACATTGGGCTTGTATGGTGAATAGAATTCCTATAGTGATTGTTTTATCGATGCAGCAAAGAGAACGGTAATGATGTCTAGGGAGGCTATACTTCTAGCATTGCCACGAGTCAAGTCTTAAGCCCAAAGTATTAATCTAACGGCTGCCCTCCGCAATCTAGAACCTGGGTCATCCGAGGAAAAGTCACGCCTTCAGTGATCTACGCTGGGGCGTACTCCAAGTTGCGGGATCTATCGTGACGGCTAATCGAACCGCGGGGAGCGGGGGAGGGGGCAGATCAAAATCTAATTCAAAGCCAACCATCGTTCTACATACTTAAACCTTACATTGGATATTTTGAGATTTATTGACAGGTTTTTTTTCATTGCGCAATGAGTAAACTGATTATAAGTCTATGCTTGATTGGAGAGCAAAGGTTTCGTCGGACAGCGAGCTGAATCCTGTATATCATGGAGTTCAAAGCTAGGATGAGCAACCATGTGATAGCGGGATGTGGAAAATGGCGCAACTCTGGCTCTAAGTGTGACCTAAATTAGAAAAGAAAGGCTTCTCAGAAGCCCCTCCACTTTCTCGACTGCTCATATTTCATTATATCGACGTCTCTTTATCAGTCAAATATATAGCCATGCCGCCGAAATCACGATGGAGCGTTTCTATTTCCGGCCACGTTTAATAATAAAAGTCTCCCATATTACCCCCATGCACTTCGGCCGTTGTCAAGGTCCAATCCCATTGGTATAATTGGTTCGTAAGCGAAACAGCTTCCAGTATTTATCAATTCAATAGCCGTCAGTGTTCGACATCGTCTCATTGCACATCATGTGTCTCTCCACTAACGTCTGATCAAGTCTATCAAAATCCGGGGCACCACTTTGCATTTTCACAGGTCTATCTCTTGAAAATTTTCAGTTCAAGGGTTCTCAAAATAGCGTATGAGAAAGCAGCAAATGCAAACCCAAGCTCAAATCCAACATCTCCTCCAGTTGGGGCCGGGCCAGCCGATGCTGCGATTGGTCCAACATACCATGACTGACTCATGCCAGTCACCATTCCTACAACGCCGCAGCAAAACGCGAGCAAGGCCGCGATTCCGGGAGGTAACCTGTGACGGTTATCATAGTCTCCTGCGTTGTATCCCGAAAAGCCTCGACGGAACACAAAATGCTCAGTCAGGGCAACACCTTCGTATATGGCCAGCCAGTAGCCTATGAAATTCATGAAATTTTCGAGGACAGCTTCAAAATGGCTGTATCCGGGGATTGCAATTGCAATATAAACCCCAGTGGCGACAATGGTCCAAATAAAGCGGGGAATGTGGCGTGTCCACCGTCCCATAACCATGAGCGTCAAAGAAACCGAGTAAATATTCGGGCAGTTGTTGGCGACAATTGATAGAGCGAGGATCACAACGCAAAATTTCCCAAAGCCCCCAACTCGTGGGAAAAGGAGAGCTCCGAGAAGGCCTCCCACTCCAGCATCATCATAGCCCTTTTGATATGCGTTATCGCCTCCATTTAAGTCCGTAGCAGTGACCAGGGCTGCACCCAGAAGCTCAGTAAAGAGAAGGGTTGGGAAGATTCCCAGCCATGTAACCATAAACACTTTGCGTCGCGGGCGATTACTTGGTTGATAGACTGTATAATCTGCGGCAAAGCTCGTATATCCGGTGCCGAAGCCAAAGACAGTGGAGCCGTAGGAAAGAACGGCACCAAGCTCGGCAGTTCCAGCTCCCATTGGTAAGTTTGTAAAATCACCAGAGTGTGCAAGGACGCCCAAAACGACCAGAAATACAATAAATGTCGGAATCCAACTCCAGTACTCATAGGCGTGAACCACCTGATATCCAAAGAAAACGACCAGAAGGGTGCAAAATGCAATGATCAGAATTCCTGCATATCCGGGGACATTTGGGTTCACTGCATTGATTAGCTGGGCCCCAACAATAATATTGGCAGCAGCCCATCCAATACAGGCCAGAACATTGAAGAGGGCAACTATAGATTGATCAATAAATGATGCACACAGACAAAAGGTGTGGTCCATACTCAGCTTGACGCCCCACCAACCAAACCAAAATCGGGATAAAACCATCTGACGTAGTCCGAATACTGCACCGAAAACCGAGAAAAAGCAGACGGTCAAAACGCCGATGAAGTTGAAGAATATTATGACCAAGGCCGAATCGACGAAGCTCAATCCAAATAGTGGCTTGCCCAAGACGCCAATCGTAAACGAAGGGACAACCATATTCGCAGCCAGCCACTGAAAATTGTCGCTCGAATTAGAGAAAACTCAATTGGCGATCAGGATGAATGTACCATTGAGCCAATATTCCAATAGGAACCGTCCGTTCTTTCGTCGTCAGGGACACGTTCGATGCCTCTTTGCTCAACCTTGATTTTTCCTCCTAATCGTTGAAGCTTCGCATACACGGAATTGCCATATTCAAAGCTCGAGGCTGGAACAGCGCCCGTTTCGTCTTCAAAGAGCGGGGGGTCGATCGCTCCGGCTCGCTTCTCCACATCGCGGTTCAATGTTTCCGTCATGTTCATCAGAATTCAACATGCAAGCGACACAGATACAGAAATTGAGGAGTGGGACCTCTTTTAATACCAGACTCCAAAACCCGGGGTAGGGTCGACCCACGGGGGGCTCCGGACCATCATGGGCTGGGTAGACTAAAACGAGTTGCGACCGCTATTCTGGTCATGGCTTTGCTGGCAGTAAGAGGTGCAAGGGGGGTTCTTCCGTCTCGGCGGGTCCTGGGTAATCGGGTCTATCAGTCTCAAAAGCTTCCGAGGCTGCATCGCTTTCCCGTTTTCGTCAATCAATTATGCATAAGAGTACAAGCGAGGCCCCTCTCCCAATTTTAGAAACCCTTGGCGAGATCCCATCGTCATTCTACGCCAATTAAACTTTCGAGCCTACCCCGTTACGTCTGGTCCAGCCGGAATCCCCGCAGTTCCGGTGCCACGGACAGGGCGGAGGCCCGCGATAGAAGCGGGGTTGTGATGCGATTGGAACGGAGGCCGCCGAGACCCATCTCTGATAGCAGATCGTGGGGCTATCATTAAGAGGAGATATCACTAATATGCAGGTCCAGGGTTTTGTGGAGTAAATCGCTCATATTAGAAACGAAAGAAATCGGCTGCCAACGTTGTAGAGATAAGTCAGATAAGCACATGATAGATCGTAAGTATCGAACTTTGATGCTCTCCTCACGGAAGGATACTAGGTTCACATTCCCGATTACTGCCGTGGCCTGTGCACCTTCTGTTGGATTATAAGGGGGAAGCTGAGCCTTTACGATCTCATATCTGCAAAGGGAGCTTGAATATCGGCTGTGTTTTGGGTGGTTCCGAGTGTCTCCGAAAAATTTGCCGACCGCGGCTCGGACTACAATCGTTTTCTTCCTGGTCAAAACTCCCCATGACGGATTGTCGAGCCTATCAAGATGACAGATCCCATTGAGCTTCCCTTGATTGACCTGACCAGTTCAGATCTCGACGCTGCTGGTAAAGCAATGCTAGACGCGGCAGTCGGATTTGGCTTTCTCTACATCGATAGTAGAACCACCGTTTTCTCGTCCACCGATGTGGACCGAACTTTTGGAATGGTATGTTTGCGCGTTCTCAATTTTCACCAGACTCAATTCCATGATAATCAACAATTCCAATACTGCTCTCTGCAATGGAATGTTATCGTGAATGAGCATACCGGTGACGTCGCACAGGAAGTTGCTGATCTTGGTACAGGCTGAACAGTTCTTCAAGCTACCTCTCTCTGATAAGGTACCATATCGAAGAGGATCAGATGTGAGTACCTGCATTGTGGATCCTCCCCTACCCCAAAGCCCAAAAGAATGGTCGTTGAATGGCAGCTAAATTTTGCAATGCTTTTCTTAGAACAGAGGTTGGGTAGGGATGCATGTCGAGACGTTAGATCCTGAGCATCATGAGGTAACTTGGCTCTTTCAAATCCCGATTACAGAACAGAATATCTGACCCAGGCGCCCTAAATAGAGAGGAGATTTCAAAGAGTGGGTTCATCACTAAAGTTATCGTTCAGGAATCAGTGCTTATATGTCGGCATAGGGCTCTGAACATTGGCGAGCTTCAAGACGAGAAGATCCAGCAACCCCTGCCTGAATCTCTTATGTCCCGCGAGGCAGACATTGCTACCTTCATAAGTCTCTGTAATAAGACATGCGACCAGATCCTCAGACTCTTGGCACGTGGTCTTGAGGTAAAGGATCACTTCAGTGCCAACATGGCATCGACGGAAGGTGACTGAATCTCTACCAGGTCGCAGATGATTTTTTCGCTTCCCGACATGACCCAGCCAAAGGCTCAACCGGGAACTCCCTGAGACTTCTATACTACCCTGCAGCCGTGTCCTCCTACCGCCCTGATAAAGATATCCGAGCAGGAGCTCATTCGGATTATGGGAGTATCACGCTACTATTTCAACGGCCGGGACAGCCAGGCCTGGAGATCTTAACCACCGATCAAAAGTGGGCCCCGGTACCCGTGTATCCAAGCGACAAGGCCGATTTCCCATTTCCCCCAATTTTAGTCAACATTGGTGATATGTTAAGTTACTGGACTGACGGGCTGCTCAAATCGACAATTCACCGAGTCGTATTCCCCCATGACAAGCAGTCCATTGCGAAACCAACTCCCCAGGACCGCTATAGTATCGCCTTCTTCTGTCAACCTGTTGGAAGCACAGAGCTTGTACCAGTGCCTAGCAAGGTGATCGCTGCTCACCGACACAAGAAGCAAGATACAGATCCTAACGCTATTGTTGGTTATGGGGGCGGTGCAAGTGGACTTAGCATCGACCAGCATCGGCTGACAGCCGGCGAACACTTGCAATCCCGACTGGCCGCTACGTATATTACAACTAAATGAGCCCCTTTCTTGTTTCAAATGGTTCAGTGGGGTGAGATGTATATTCGCCTGGGATATATACACATTTGAACAGACGTGATAAACAAGATTTGTTCCTAAATCATCAAATTTATTTTGTATCTCTCCAGATCCAGACATCGAGCACAATCGATCAATGAGGATTGTCCTCATGCTGGTCAAAGTGCTCTCTTGCCCAGGGGCTCCGAAGCCGGATAGCCCTGCCCTTATAGAAAAAGATAAACGGGATAGGTACCAGGAGAATGGAAATGAATCCCAAAAGACTGGAAGCCCATTCGTAATCCAATTTCTCGTACATCTGAGTGGCGAACAGAGGGAAACCAGCGCCGACCACATTGCGTACCAAAATCACGCCGGCAAGGGCCGAAGCTGAGTAGGTCTGATAACTGTCGACGACGTAATTAAGAATGCTCAGAATCACGATATAAATGCCGGCACCGAAGAAGGAAGACGCAATGATCGGAACGATCCAGTGAACCGATCGGTAACTAGTCCATCCAAACCAGAAGAGGCTGATGGGAAGGAGAAGTGCACCGCCTCGCGCCATCCACATACGTGCCTCGGGGACACCTTTTCCATTATTCTCAGCAACGCGCCGGAGATAGTACCGTTCTTGAAGTGGATAAAAGCAGAAGGCAATGATGGGACCGATCGCCAGGCCGAGGAATGCGAGACCTTGTTGACCGCCGTTGAAGGGATGCCCCTTCGGCGGGCCGAAGACGAGGGGGATCGCCTCGTTGAAGAGATAAACCAGTCCGTAGATAAACCCATTGTAGATGGCGGAGAACAGTGTGATAGGCTCTGAAAACAAGAAACGGAAGGGCCGCGTGAGGGTGATGGCGAACAACTCGTGCAGGCCTTTTCGGTCACCGGCATGAAGGTCAACGGTGGATTCCGCCGACCGTAGATTCTCCTTTGCCATCTGCTTGCGCGCCCGCTTGGCTTTCTTTTGCAGGACGGCCGAATGACGCGTTTCGGGAACTGTAACGACCAGGAGGATCCAAACGCCGCCAGAAATGGCCATGAGCACCCAGAAGATCATACGCCATCCACAGTTCAGGCCAATATAACCCGTGACGACCAGAGCCATGGGGGGACCGAAAGTGCTGCTCAGTCCATAAACGGCCATCGGGCCACCACTCTCATTTCTTTCCCACAAATCACTGATACTACCTCCAGTGTTGGTCAAGGGGGCACCTCCGGCACATCCTGCGATAAACCTGCAGACCAATATGGTGCCGATGTTGGGTGCAAGAGCAAGAGGGAGCTGGAAGATGAACAGAATAAACCACGACACCACGTATACCGGCTGGCGCCCAAAGTATTCCGATAGCGGAGCGAGGAGGACTGGACCGATCGCGTAACCCAGAACATACAGCGACAGGGCCAACGTGGTGATCTCGGCGGAAACTCCAAACTCTTTCTGAATTCCAGTCGCCCCGGATGAGATACCTCCTGCGCACCAAGTTCTACAATTCACCGTTAACAAAGTTGACGCCGGGAGGGAGGGAAAGGATTTCGACGTACGTGAATACATTGAGCATGCTCACGAGACAGGTGATATACCACTTTTTCCACTTGGGCCAGTTTCGTGGGTTGTCTTGATCATTGAGGCCGTAGGTAATGACGATTGGGAGCGCATCATTCGGACTGCTTCTAGCTTTCGCGAGGGCCTGATCTTCCGATACCTCCAAGCTCGACGATTCGCGGCACGAGTCGGTGACCTTTTCCACGTCATGCATCTGGCCGGGCTGCATTTCTGCCGGAGGGGAAGCCATGGCTCCTCCAGCTGGTGGTATACGAGGGGTGAACTGGGAGTGATAGAGTCGAGGGGCAAAGCAATTTGAAAAATCGGGGAGAACATGGAGCGCAGTGACCGATCGGAGCTCCCATCCCACGAACAACATTTCTTCTCCACAATAATAATTTCCCCGAACGTGACCGAGACGGGCAGCTCTCTTGCCACCGGCCTCCGCCACGGTACATGTCGGCGGGTCGGCGTGCCGAAAAAGAAGCAAGAGGGCGCAATGCTTGGCTGGATGCGGCTCCACTTTGACAACGCCCGTCCTCCGGTGAAGACATTACTAATTGTCACAGTACACACTTGGCTCCAGCTTGGGGAAAATCTCATTTCCTTATGCGCGACTGCGTGGGGTCTCGGAACTTCTCCGTTCCAACCCCCGGCCCCGGGGGGAAGTGGATGTCGAGCCTCCAACGCGTGGGTACAGAGTCCACCGCGGATACTCCGGGCCTCCCAAGTTTCCAACCGGTGGCTTCGGCGCCTCCCTTGCCGGCATCTACCTCGTGAACCGGAGGGTCTGATTGCGCCGATTTGTTTGACACTTCCTTCGAAGCCTATGAGGGTTGTTTGGGTAAATATACTTCGATGATGAAGAGAGCACCGCTCCTACATAGCGCTGATCTGTGACTGGGCTTACGTTCCGTGCGGAGCTATGGTGTTGTACAGGTCACTGCACGTACGAAGCCCCGATGTCGGAAAGAATATAGCGGGGGAGATCGGATATATTGATGATCCGATGGAACGACCTCTTATGTAATCGGACATCCCTGCAAATTGCCGGACAAAAAAAAAAAAAGGGATATTGTAAATACAGAGTTCTTTTCACTGTCTGATTGGCCGATATATTACTGTGTATATACTCCGACACCCGATGTTGATCAAACTTGCGCAAACATGATTTATTTTCCTGGAAGTTATACTTCGCTAGGAATCGATCTGCGAAAGCGGCGACGAAGATGCTGCCTGTCTATTTCCGTATTATATTCTGCCCCGAATGAAAACTTTTCCCAACTTGTCCATCATGAAAATCTCCCCCTCCACCCTCTGCATGGTTTCTCAAGTGGATGCCCTGGGGTTCACCACCAAGGCTTCTCCGTACAGGCTAATATCATAGCCATGCTCCTCCAAGTAAGCCTTGAAGCGAGCATCTTCCGTCTCCAACTCGCGAGACATGTCGGGGATCAAAATCCAGGAGAGAATTCCACCAACCACCGTAAAAGCAGCCCCGATGAGGAACACGGCCTGTTGGCCCTTCTCCGTAGACGAGAAGGAATCCTGAATCGGCGTGAAGACTTGAGTGCCGATAGATGCACCCGCCTTTCCAACTGCCGCCGCGAATCCAAGGAAATGGCCTCGCAGAGGAGTCGGGAAAGACTCCGCAGCACACAGGAAAGTGGAGACGCCGGGCCCCATCTCACCCAGTGCTTGGAAAATGCCGTACATCACGATGAACAAGGGGAAAATCCTTTGGATTTGCGGCAAGGCTCCACCAAGAATGAATCCCCACACGCCCCAGAGCAGGAAGCCGAGTGTCATGTTCTGCTTTCGACCAATTCGGTCCATCAAAAGCCCACCCAGGAGACATCCCGGAAGATAGAAGCAATTGACCACAGTCTATTAATCTTTACGTTAGCAACCGGAATTTCCCGCGAGGGAATTCAATCAACGTACTCCGTATCCGATGTTTTGGACGGTGGTGTTGTTCGGGTTGAGCTGCTCCACGATTGTCGAGGAGAAAAGTCCGAAAGGGTATGTCACAAAATCGTAGCAGAACCAGGCCAAGGCTAAGGAGACACAGAAGGTTAGGACGGTATGTAAAATGAGGAAACCGGAGAACTCACATGTACCGAGCATGGGCTTCCAGTAGCGTTTCAAAACCAATCCATAGGGGTATTGCGACTTGATGGCGTGCTTCCTGTACTGGGTGGAGTTGATCATGCGAACACGGAAGAAGCAGATCGAAAGCGGCAGCTAGATTTCCAGTCAGTGAGATCGAGCTCAAAGAAAAGCAACCTTCATGGCTAGACAATGACTCACCACGATGCCCAACCCAAAGGCAACTCTCCAGACTCCTTCCGAATTCTGCTGATGATAGCATGCTAGGACAATCAATGCCACAAGCCCTGCCACAACGAATCCCTGGGTATCTTCATCAGCACGGGATCATCAAATGGAAGTTCTGTAAGGGCCTACCAAATCCACAGCGAAATCGGTGCTTACTGCCACCAGGAAGCCTCGCCGCTTGCGCAGCTGAGCTGTTTCGTCGGCTGCCTCGGTAGCGCTGGTGGCACAAACGGGATATTCACCACCGGCGCCAAAGCCAGCGATACCGCGCGCCACAATCATCATCCAGAACATTCTGTGTTTTGAGTGTCAGCCTTTGGTCCAACTATCAACAGAACGGGGTCGCCCGTACCCTAGCTGTGAGGACCCGTGAGCAGCCGTGGCAAGAACGATGCCGAGAATGAACAAAACGGTGGCCGCCACAATTCCCGTGCGACGACCGATGCGGTCAATCAAGACACCGAAGAAGAGCATGCCGAAGATCTCGCCAATTAAGTAAGAGTTGGAAAGGCGAGACTTGATGGTCGACGACATGCCATCCTTGTAACTGGAGAGAACGCGTCAATGAACATTCGATCGGTGAACTCGGTCTGTGGGAGGGAAACTGACAGGACCGAGAAGAGAGGCTCCATGTAGCCGACTATTGGCAAAATTAACATCGGTGGAAAGTGGAATTGAAGAGACCAGACCACCTACTGATTTGAGCATTGTACCCATCACTGAACAGCGCAAGTCCAGCAATCACGACGGTCAACAAACCCGAGCGCCGCCGCACAGGCTGCGGCTCCTCGAGGGCCCAGGTCTCGTTGTGGCTTTGGTCCTTGGAGTCATCCATCTTCATGACGGAATCACTCGGAGAGGCGTCCATGGTGCTTGAGCGGAAAAATTGAGGTGGAAGAAGGATCAAGGCTGAAGAACGGGATCCAAAGCAGGAGGAATGCAACACTCGTATATAACATGCTCACATGCTCACATGCATCTAGCCCCGAGCCCCTATCCAAAATGCAACCTTTCCGAACGGGACGATCCAATGGCAAGCGGTGCTGCATGCACGAGAGATGCGATAGTGCATCGTCGGCGATTGCCGGGACGAAGTGCGAGATGTCAACTTCCCTAACCGAGAGCCACGTCGCAGGTCCAAGCTTCATCGAGGCGACATAAGAATGCAAGGCCCGCGAATCTCTGGCTTCGGACAGGTCAACCGAGGAAATAGGGTTCCGCCGCCAGTCCACTCGGTGGATCCGGCCCGGTTGTTTCGCCGCCAATCGTTCGCCCCATGTGCGGCCTGCCGAGCTCTTCGACTGGTCAACGGCCCTGAGTCGTGCGGCGACCCCTGTCCCTTCCACGTGCCCTTGTTTTCTAGATCTTGTTTGCATGTTCCTCGGTGCGAAGCGCGAAACCCGTCCCCGTTTGCCTCATCCGGACGCGATGTGTCGGGACCACCCGCATCCCACGGTCAATCTATATAATGCATGCGTCGAGGGCTCCAATACCCAGCCCACGTTTTCTTTCTTTCCTTCTTTCTATCGTTACTGCTAGCATCTCGCACGTCCTTCTCGCCATCATGGATAACTTCCACTACGATCTGACTTCCGAGCAGCTCCAGAGCTTCCAGGATCGAGGATATCTACTTGTTTGTGGCTTCTTCAACCCGACGGAGACGAGAGTGTTGCAGCAGTGGGCGCAGGAGGTCCATGACCTCCCTCGTACCCCTGGCGTTCCGTGGATGCCGTACGAAGAGGTCAATGGAGAGGGCAAGCACGTCCTGTGTCGCACGGAGAACTTTGCCAACTCTCACGCCGGATTTGACAGCTTCCTTCGGGGGCTGCGTGCCACTAGCGCACTGAACCAGCTGGCCGGTGAGGAGATGCTTCTTTTCAAGGAGAAAATCAACTACAAGTTGGCAGGAAGTGGTAAGGACTCTCGATGGTGACATGGACACCCAGCAAGCTCGCGCGGCTCATACGTCCTGCAGGGGGTTTCGACCCGCACATCGACGCCAATGCGTACACTCACGTCAAGAACATCAAACATTTGACAATTCTCGCCGCCGTGGACGAGATGAATGAGACCAACGGCGGACTGGAGGTTGTTGACGGCAGCCATCGCATGGAAGTCCCTCTGGGTAGCGATCGTTGCATTGAACCAAGTTGGGTCAAGAGTCACACGTGGACACCGTGCAACCTGGAGCCCGGTATGTTGACAGTTCGCGGAAATCTTACACAACGCCGCTGACGACTTTTCATAGGTGATATTCTTGTCTTTGGATCTTACTTGGCCCACCGTAGCGGTGCCAACACGAGTTCCAAAGATCGGCGCGCCATCTACGCCACATACAACTGTGCGGCCGAGGGGAGTCTGCATGATCAGTACTATGCCGACAGGCAGAAGCTCTGGCCTGCGACTCACATGCGGAAGCAGGGCATGACTTACGAGGAGGGGCGAGCTCGCTACGCCTTTGGGTCCCCCATGTTGACCGTCGATTCGAAGAAGGTTTCTGCAGTCTGAGTTGGTGAAAGCCGAAAAATGCCACCAACCTTTTGGGTCTGTGGCCCTTGATTTCATAGACCGTGCGAGGCTCCATATACCCCGTTTACATCCAAAATATCCCGTGTAAAATAGCAGACCCAGTGTGAAATTCCAAAATGAAAGCGTGCAAAGGCGTCTGTGAGGGTTCATACGTGGCCGGCATGGAGCTGTGTCAACGAGTACCCGATGAAACCGCTTGTGGCGAGTATTCGCGAGTCGTCTCGTCTCGCCAAGTTTATTTTAATGATTCTGTATTGGTGGACCATGGTTACTTCCGAGAAGAAATTCGCGCACGGTCAGGTCGGGAAGAAGACCCTCGGGCCAGTGCTCGGAAATCTTTATATAAAGACCCTCCCCCACCTCGCCCCTACCGACCTCTCACAATTCTCTCGCCTTTTCAAGGTTTCTCCGACCCTCTTCCGTTCAGCCCATAAGCCACATAGTCTTATCGCTAAATCCAACTCGATTATGGAATCGCCATCATCATCGACGACATCGTCTGCCAAGGCCGAGTCGTTGATCGGCGCCTTGGAGCAATATGGCCAAGGTGATTACATTGGCGAATCTATTAGCCAGCTCGAACACTGCCTGCAGGCGGCTCATCAAGCAAGAAAATCCGGTAGGGAACGCGCCCGGCACGAATGAACTTGCATCTGACCATTTGATGCAGGCGCACGGGATGAATTGGTGATTGCTGCCTTACTACACGATATTGGGCAGATCATTCCGCTGGAGTCGGTCGAAGAAGTCCGCATGAACCTCCGCGGAAGCACCGAGAATGTCGGACGCGTAGGTCATGAAGCTATCGGCGCGGCCTATCTTCGGTCTTTGGGCTTCAGCGAACCGGTTTGTCGGTTAGTCAATAGCCACGTCGCGGCAAAACGGTACGTGGGCGCATGCCCCTTCCTATTCCTCACGATGCTCATCGAATTGTACCCAGATATCTCACGGCTGTGGACCGCGCATACCATGGCTCCCTGTCATCAGCGTCGCAGAAATCCTTGGCATTCCAGGGAGGTCCTTTTGAAGGGAGCGAGCTACGGGAGTTCGAGCAAGATCCCCTCCGAGACGAGATGGTTGCTCTGCGGCTTTGGGATGATGGAGCGAAGTTGGTTGGAGTGGAATCGACTACGCCGCGTGCACGCTCGTATCTAGACATGATTACCGCCCATTTATGCCAACAAACGACAGCTGCAGAGTGAACAATCCGCGATCATAGCGAGGAGAAGTTTTGCGGGCAGACAAAAGTACCGGAAATCAATCCAACAGATATTCAATCTGACTACCGCGCTCTCGTTTCTGCGAAAGCATGTAATAGAATGACACCTAGAATTAGTCAATTGGCGGACTGATATCGCAATAAGAAGTTTCGTGACCGTAACTCCAGCGGTGTCTCCGGTTGTTATCAACGCAGCCTTTCCTGTGGCTCGCGATGGCAGGTTTCCGTTTCCCCGCAGATGGAATTCCTCCTTTACCAACAATCCCAATTTATGGCTGGCATATTGGGATTTTGAGGTGTGATATGGATGTAACTCGGGGCCACCGGGGCTGACCCCGTCAATGCAGGGGTCCTCCCGCTACCAATATGAAACGGATGATACAAAACGGCCATGATTGACAAATGATCGCGAGAGTATTTGATTTCCGATTCTAGATGCTTGGTCTACCCGGGTGTCGATTGCATTGATATGTACATGGTTTCACGTATGGTTCGCTCAGAGCAGGCCCCGGGCAAATTGCCAGGAAACTGAGATATCAACTCCAAGTTTCTTCGCGGCTGTAAATACCCACTCGGGCTCCCGAAGGAACTGCCGGGCCATCAGCACGGCGTCAGCCTTGGGCTCCTTGCCAGACAGCATTATCTCCGCAGCGTGTGCTTCGTCCGCACCCTGGATAATATCCCGGGCTGCGTCGGCCTCCGTGATAAGACCGACGGCACCCACCAGGGTCTTCTGGCCGGCGGCACGGATCTCCTTGCGAATTTGGCTTGCGAGGTCAATTTGATAATTGGTGTGTGGCTGGAACTTTTGATCCTTGTGATTGCCTCCAGAACTCACGTCCAACAAGTCCACGCCGAGTTCGGGAAGCAACTTGGCCAGTTGAATGGATGAGGTCAGGTCCCAGCTGCCCGTTTCCGCCGCCACCGGTTGATCTTCTAGCCACTCCGTGGCGCTTATCCGAAGAAACAAGGGGATCCCCGAAGGCACGGCTGCCCGGATGGCAGCGCAAACCTCGCGCACGATGCGAGTGCGGTTCTCAAAGTCACCACCGTATTTATCGGTGCGGCGGTTGGTGACCGGACTTAGGAATTCATTCAGCAGGTAGCCATGCGCCGCGTGCACCTCAATCACATCCACGCCCGCCTCCACGGCCAGCTTGGCACTTCGCGCGAAAGCACGCACGACCTCCTCCACTTCCTGTGTACTGAGTTCGCGAGGAGGCCAGTACTTGACATCTCCAGGGGCCCACATCTGCTCCTCCCCGCCCGTGGGACCTGCAACATCGGATGGCCAGCCACCTACACTTTCATCCGCTTTGATGCTGCTTCGTTTCCCCTGTGAGGATAACCACGGAGCCACAGTGCTGGCTTTTCGTCCGGCATGGGCAAGCTGGATCCCGACCTTGGCTCCCTGGCTGTGAGCAAAATCGACCACCCGCCGTAGGCCTCTGAACTGCTCGGAGTCGGTTCCTTTCTGCCAGAGTCCGGAGTCGTTTGGAGAGATTCGTCCATTTGGCTGGACTGCAGTCGCCTCAATGATGACCAGGCCGACGCCCTTCGAGGCGAGATGACCGAGATGGGCAATGTGGAAATCCGTCAGGGCGCCTACCGCAGGAGAGGTGGGATCGGACTCCGCGGAGTACATGCACATGGGCGCCACCATAATGCGATTCTTCAGCGTCTGATCGCGGATTTGCAGCGGACGAAACAGCGTTGGCGTATCGGGATGCTGAGGGTTCATTGCAGCGCCTCCATTGTTTTGGGGCGTGAAGTAGGGCACGCCCTCGGCCTTCAAGACGCGCGGCGAACGAAATTCAGTTGACCCCATCGTACTAGTAAGCCTGCCGGCGATGGAAGTGGAATTGAAAAAAGAATGTCTCGCCTGGAAGCCGTTTGAATGATTTTGATAACCATCTGCTGGATTCCTCGGATGACAAATCCCTTTTTTCCCCGCGCCGAGGTCGCTCTGCTCATTGGCCTGGGTAAAAAGGTACGTGGCCCGAAATCCGATCGCGGAAGTCATCGTTGACATGGACATGAGAAACGTATTAATGTCCTTCCCAGTATATCCTCAACATGTCCCCGAGTCGCCTCATGGTCCCATTATTCGTCGCGGCTCCAAAAGCCTCGACCTGTCTCATAAGCAAATCTCGGTCAGGTGTACGTCCCAGATTCATCCCGAGCACCAGAAATGGCCAGCAGTAATAATCCGCGTAATAGTCCTGCGCAGGCTGGAGCCGACCTACGATCTCCATGCCTTCCTGAACCAACAGAGAAAGGGACAGGGCCGGCAGGCCCGAAGGAGACATTCGTCGGAGCAGGATGCGACACCCTAGAATGTATAATCTGGGTCCACTCGAAGTAATATCAGCGAGTCCTTCCATGGTTGCCATGATGCGTTCGTCCCATTGACACAGACTACCGTCCATTCTCTGCCAAATCTCCGGATCGATTTGGGCTCGGTCTGACACTCGGTAGAGCCGATAAACAGTGTAGATGCATCGGAATAGCTGGGGTGGGAAACCGAGCACTGGCGAGTCAAGGTGGGCGAAGTAGCGAGAGCCAAAATGCTGAGATATGGCCTCTTCTGCAAGAGCCAAAGCTGCCTCAATCTCCCCGTTATAGAAATCCTCGTCATGGAATGGAAGGCTAGTTGTGACATGGAAGATAAAAGACTCTCGAACGAGATGTTGCATAGCCGGCTCGATTCCCGTGCCCTGCAAACGGACCGTGTAACTTCTAGAGACAAGTTGAATCAATCTAGCCGCTCCTGCAAGATGAGTCTCCACTCCCGAAGATCCGCTCGGCTTGGATCGCTGGTTGGGCGTTAGTCGAGTGGTTCTCAGCGTGAAAGCTAGGAGGAAACCCGGAGCCTTACCTCGTAAATACACAGCATCATGATGGTCAGCAGGACAACAACCCACCGATCCTGCAAGAGCCCGTCATTCAAATTATTGCGGAGCCCAGCTACCGCATGGGTATAGTGATAGCGGGCCAGTTGACGGAAGCTAGCCTTGGCGGAGGGTATCTCAGCGCCACAACAAGCGAGCAATGCATGCATGCAGAAAGTGTTGTCGAGGGCTAGAGCAAGGGTCTGCTTGCTCAAAGCATCGCTGATGCGGCCATTTGTCCCCGGTCGAATCAGTTGGGGAAGAAAGGTGGATTTGAGAAAATCGAAAAGGGGGGCCACTTTCCGCGGTGATGGCGGATGAATAAATGATGGAGATATGTGGAGGCAATTGGGGGATGCTTGTAGCAAATTTGACTCGAGGAGCCATGGACAAAGGAATTTCCAAGTCATCCGAGGACAGTAAAGATGCACTTGGCTTTTCTGGGCCAGAAGAGGCGCTCGTTGCGACGGACAACTGCGTCGAATGGAGGCAGGGGCTGGGAACCTCTGCGCTCGATGCCTGGTTGATGACTCGATTTGCAGTGGGATATGCCATCGGAGATTTCTCACCCGGAGGGTATTGTTGGAAGCTCGAGGTATCGCTCTGGATGTCTGGTGATTGCCAGACGCAGTCCAGTTCTTGTTTGGCGCAGTTCAGACATTGCGAATGAGTCTCGTCGCACTTTTTCTTCCGTTTCCGACCTATCGGCTTTCATTAGAAGGCGCCTGAACTGCCGGTCCAATAAAACAAGTACGGCTAACTTACAGGTCAGACAACCTGACTTGGTGCGCAAATGGGCTGGCCGCCGTCGAGGTCGCCGATAGTCATTATGGGGCGAAGCCGCATGTCGATTCTCCCTGGCTTCAGCAACCATTACCATGACTCGTGTATCGGAATAGTCGCATTGACGGCAGGGATATTATACGAGAAATGAAAGTCTGGTCTACGATACGATGCAGGGGCAAGCGGTGGCATCACGTGGGTCGGGATTCCCCGGCCACAAAACTATACACGAAGTACACATCAAGTACACACCAAGAACACGCCAAGTATACGTGGACTACGGTGATAACCGACTTTGACTTTACGGGGGCTGTAGTTGGGACCTTTGCGACGGGGCAGAGGGTTGAAGTGGACTTCGAGGCCTTCATGATTGATGGCATCAGTTCCGAGTGATCAAGTTCTAACATGAATTTCTCGTGGTATCGGTCATTAAAATGGTAGGGCAGGTAGGGCATCTCTCAAACGATAAGGGAACCCCGTGCCACTCGCTTGCATCACCACCGTCGCCCCCGGCGTCCACCTCCAGGTCCACAGCCACCACCGGGACCAAAGCCAGGTCGACCACCAAATCCTCCTCCGTATCGTCCGTATCCACCACCGATAGGACTACCGAACCCTCCGCCGTACCCATAACCACCACCCATTCCCATTCCACCGCCATAATACCGACGAGGGGGTGCACCAAAACCGCCCATACCACCCATACCACCCATACCCATGGCGGGATGGCGACGGTGGCGAGGGAATGACATGCAAAGACCCATGGTGATTTTGGATTTATGGGGTTGTAGGCCGAATTCGTTCGTTTAGGTTGGTAGTGGAACCTTGGAAGGCGCAATGTAGATGTTGAAGACTCGTTACAGAATGGGTTTCTCCCTGTATGGTTTTTTAGGGTGTTCAAAATGCCCTTCCTACATATTGAGCCCGTCGAGGTCTCTATATACCCCGTTTCCATGGTCGTCTGCGTCATCTATTTGTTGTCCGTATTCCACGGTTGACCAATCAGACGCGATAATTCAACCTCCCCGGACACGCGGTCGACACTTCTCTTATCGAAAAGGATAAAGATAGAGATGAGAGAATTGAAACTATTGTGGTTACAATGAGCGGACGATATATCAACTGAGGGTCGATTTATGAATCTGGAAAATGTAACCTCCGGCTTAGTAGTGATACTTGAAGTCCACGGCGCCATCGCCTGAACGAACGCGTCGAGTGTCTTCTGCATCTCCGCTGAGAATTTGTTCCTTGATCTTGTTCTCACGCCGCAAGTACAGCCCTAGCATGGCGACAACCAGCTGTGCTATCACTAGCGCACCCAGGGAGAAGGCGTTTCCCAATACATAAGGGGAATGACGATAAATCTGGCCTGCCACGATCCCGGCACAATTTCCCATGGTCTGTTGCAGGCCAATCTCTAGGGCCCGTCGGTATTGCGGTGCAACGTTCACATTTATCCACGCGACATTGAGACCGACACCCGTGTAGGTGGTGATTCCAATCAGGAACGTGGCAAAGTACTTGATTGCCGTGTTCTCGACCACAAGTAGCAGGATGTACCCAATTATACCAAAGATGTTGGCGGCAAAGATAAACTGAGGCTGTGTTAGTCTCACGATCCCAATTAACGTTCTGAAAGTTTCTCACGCACCGATGCAAACTTCGAATATCGGTCTGAGCAAAAGGCCACCGAGATGAAAACGACCGCAGCCCAAATGTAGACCGGAACGGTCAGGACATTGCTCATCAGGGAATTGTACCCCATGCCCTCCAGGATGGTGGGCAGAAATGTGCTAAATCCATAAAGAAGAATATCCTGGCAGAACTGGATGACCCCGGAGAAGAAGAGCTTGGGATCGCCGAGGGCAATCCGCATTTCTTCCCAGCTGAACTTGTCACTGCCCATATACTTGCGCCGTTGCTCGTTTCGGACTCGCATCATCCATCGTTCCTCCTCCGTAAGGAAGTAGGCTTCTGTCGGGTTGTTCGGAAGTCCGAACCAAATCAGAATGGCGCAGATTCCGCTGAACAAGCCCTCGATGATATAAACCCATCTTTGACACGGTTAGCTGATTGTGTCGTGTGGGGTGGGGTGGGGGGATCCAGGTTACATGCCTCCAGCCTGCTTTACCTCCAATGCCGTCCATGTGCAATAATCCATATGCCAAAAGACCGCCCACGGCTCCCGAGATAGCAGCACAGCTCATCAAGTAGGATACACGCTTCGCCTGCTCCTCGCGGCGATAGACCATGGTGAGATACAGATTCAAGCAGGGAAACAATCCCGCTTCGCAGGCACCCAGGATGAGCCGAGTGGCATACAGCGAGCCCACGGATTCAATGAAGCCTGTAAAAATGGTGGTCAAGGACCATACAATGCAGAGTCCGGTCAGGATATTTCGCGGCGTCAATTTCTTCATGAGCACAGCCCACGGTGATTCGAACAGAACGTAGGTTACATAAAAGATAGATACCGCGGTTGAAAACTGGCTGTCGGAGGCATTGATGTCTTCAGGCATGTTGGCCACCTTGACATTTCCTATACTTCTGATAAGTTTCCATTTCCATGACGAAGCTTGCTAGTATTCGTACCAATATTCGACCGATCCAAAAAGCAGGATAAGTAGGTGAGCATGATAATTGGTACAAAGGCAAGATCCAGTTTCACCAAAAGCTTTTTCTCCATCTCGGGATCAAGCACGACATCGAGAGCTTCACCAGCAGAGGCTTCATCCGGTATTTCATGATCCACTCCTTTTTGAACAGACAGCGTCTGCTCCAAGGCAACGCCGTCGTCGTGGTTGTTGGCGGCCATGAAGTCGGATCCTCAACCCCCAGAATGAGAGAATGTCAGGACGCTGGATTGATCGGTCGAATAGAGAGATGAAAGCAAATGTCGGCAATCTGTCGCAGCGTTTCAAGGATGTCAAGCAGCGCCGTCGTCATGCGAGATAATGGAGAGCGGATCCGTGCCTATCTCCAGCCATCCAGACCCGCTGGAGAGCTACTTCAGATTGGCCCCGTTCATGGGGCATCGGGCCGATGGCGCTGATAAGACGGTAGACGATCGTCAGAATTGCCACTCGTGTATCAGGCCTCTCCGCTCATTATGTGGATCCCTTCCAGATAAGACAGGCCACAGTCAATTTCCCGTTCAGCGAGGTATGTGATTGGCGTCGATAGCCCCTGGGCCCGTGAAGAGACCCCAAACTTCCCCAGACCCGTCGGCAAGTGGATCCCGATGGGAAGCATCTCCAAGTCGGGGAGGTCGTTCCACTCCGCATAATCGAGGATTGCATTCGAGGATTTCAAATGAAACGAAATCCTCGAATATGTAGATTTGTATAGACCAGTGTCGGCCTTCCTCATAGAACTGTGTATCATGGGCAGCATCGACGTCGCAGCTCAGGCACGCATATTAGGTCGTCAGAACCGTCTGACCACCACGGCCGGCATCGCTCCGGGCTATCTCCAAGCCAACCTGCTGGTGTTGCCCGCCAAATATGCCTCCGATTTCCAGGACCTCTGTCTGCGCAACCCGGTGTCATGTCCTTTGCTAGGGATATCTGCTAGTCCCGGTGACCCGCACACGGTCAAACCAGCGGGATGTATTCGGTCTGCAGATTTCGACCTCAGGACGGATTTTCCCAAGTACCGAGTGTACAAGCGAGGTAAATACCTCGACAGTCGCCGTGATCTCCTCGACGTATGGACCCCGGACCATGTTGGTTTCCTCATCGGGTGCTCGTTCTCCTTCGAAGATGCTTTGACGGCCGCCGGTCTCCTACCACGGCATCAGCAAACGGGCTCGATCGTAGCAATGTATCGATCAAACATTCCGCTTCTACCCGCGGGCATCTTCACGGGAGCACATTGCATTGTCTCCATGCGGCCATATAGGCCAGATCAAATCGACCGCGTGCGAGAGGTGACCCGACCGTATCTCTCCACGCACGGCGAGCCAGTCGCGTGGGGATGGGACGGTGTCAAACAGCTTGGAATCGAAGATATTGGCCAACCGGATTTTGGAGAGCCGCAGGTCTTCGAGGAGGGTGAGGTCCCCGTCTTTTGGGTAAGTCAAATCCTACTTTTTCTCCAGTATCGGCGGCCCGTGAACTGATCTTCGTACAGGCATGCGGTGTCACGCCTCAGATGGCGGTTGAATCATCAGGTCATCATATTGACGGGCTGGTATTTGCTCACGAACCCGGTCATATGCTGGTGACGGACTGGACATCTCAGGATCTGCCGAAGTTGCGACCGAGCAATGTCTAAATTATGACTCACTATATGCTAAACGGAGGAAGATTCGCTCGAATGCTACATTTCGATATCTAGCAATACGTAATTAGAAACAGTCCTTCATCACACTCGATAACTCTCCCCCGTAATCAAACATGAACCCCCCGTTGGGCATTTGTTGCCAGGGGATTTCTTCGGGTGCTGGGCCCGTGTCTGTGCCGACTCCTATAATCTGATCTTCCAGGTTTCCGACTGCTTCAAACCATTCCATTAGCTCCTGTGTCATCTGCGCTCCATTCAGTGGTGTTTCGCGAAGTGTGCTGGAGCCGGTAGTGGGAAGAGGCGACTCCTGCGGTCGGGGTGGTCCTGGCTCTGAGGGTTCAACGGCTGACCGACGCTTCTGAACTCCTAATCCCATTTCAGGGCCAAGCTTGCGAAGGCTTCGAATAGACTTCCAGAGGCGTCGAGAGATGTATGACTCGGTTGAAAAGCCTTTGACTAGCTCCAGGGCCCAGTAGAATTCCTCCTTGCATGATCCGCTGAACTGAGACGGGGCTTGAGAGACGGCAAGGAACAGGACTGCCAATGCGGAAACTAGGAACCAGTTGAAGGCTACCTGTTGGAGTTGATAGATATCCGAGGTTTCATTGAGACGGGTAATGAAGCGAATCGTGTCCTTCGCGATGTCGACAACCGTTTCGGACTCCGCGGGATACCGGACAATGTCCCCGGCGGTATGCAGAACGGGCCGATGAATGAGCATGCGCAGCTGATTCGCACGTAGATAAAGCAGTGCACGGAGGCGACGGAGGCTTCGCGGGCCCTCGGTATCACCCGAGTCCGGTGTGCTGAAGTGATGCAGGCGCAACTCATCGGGGATATCATGCACCCAGCGCAGCACCTGCCAATCCAAATAGTTCATTTCATCCTTTTTGATTTCGTTCGTGTTATTGAAGGCTGAGATGAATTTCCAAACCTTGGCAGCAATTCGGCTGTAGCGAATCATGACCCGCAGGTACGGTGTTTTCTCCTCGGGCTCGGGCAACCAGGGGTCAATGTCCGAATCCTCGAGAGCGAAAGGCATTCCCGTTCCGAAGCTCCAGCGCATGTCAAGAACGTAGACGGACCAGAAGAGTCGCAAAATCCGGTCCCTGCCTCCAGCCACGATGGCTGGTTGATTTAGCGTTTTGCGCCGGTGGAGGCCTTTCTCTAGGCACATGCGTTCCACGATTCCAATAGTCCGCCAGGCAAGAGTCTCTTCATCCATTTGAAAATAAAATATTGACTATCGAACCAGTTAGTAAGGCGGATTTCCCGGTCGTCCGTCCGTCACATACCACCAGGGTCAGAAAGATGATGCTTTTGATCTCGGGAGGTCTCCAAACACAATTGTCCTGAACTTCTCGGACGCTGTCAAACAGCGCAATGGCCGGTTCACTGCGACCGCTGGCTTCCGCCGTCAAGGCACATGCAAATACCAGTCGAAGAATGAATACATCTTCCGGATCCAGTGCGTCCCTCTGCCTGAGTTGCGCTTCAGGGTTGATTGAATGATCCATCATACCATAAAGAAGCTCGACCTGATCCAACAGCTCTGAAAGCTCCAGCACAGGGTACATGATTCCCATCTCTTCCTCGTACACCCGACATAAACGAAGAGCCTCAGCTTTGGGCAAAGCCCAGAGTGGATCAACTGCCTGGCGCACTTCCAGGTCGCGATGGGTAGCGGATGGCGAAGCGAGTGGTGATGGCTCCTGGGTCAAATCCCCTTCGTCGCCAGCTTCATTGCCCTCCACGATTCCTCGCTGCTGCAGACTGGATTTGGCCAGATCAAAGCTAAATGCCGACGTGGTCGGGCCCTGGAAGAGCGTCTTTTTCTCAGTGAAAACTCGTCGAAGCGCCCGCTGCGTTGACACAGGCCCGTACGCCGCGGTGGCTGGACCGGCCACGCTCGACCGGCCGACGGGCGAGCTGTCGCTATTCGTCATAGACCGCACAGCCGCCGACAACGAATAGATCTGGTCCTGCATTGACTTCATTTGATCGAAGAGTCGCTCGAAGTTTCTGTTCCCATTGTCAGTGTGAGCATCGGGCGGTCAACGGTATCCATACTCTTGCTCGCCAACGCTCTCTCGTTGGGGATTCTCCACGTAAGCACACTCAATGTGTTGCCTGCCGCAACGATGACAAGGTGTTTGACCATTGCACTTGATTTTGCGGCGCTTGCATTCATTACTGTACATCAATTAGAATCCGGATCCCAGCGTTTGCGGGAGAAAACATACCAAGCTCTGGCAATGTACTTCCGCCGTTTCTTGCGCGATGGGTCGTCCCGCGTATCGGCCTCTACCGAAGTCGACTTCTCCCATTCCAAGGGCCGCAAGAAGTCCATTTCGTACAAGACTTATCGTGGGATGGGTACAACAGGGTTGGGGGAAGAGAAGGGAAGAAGAAATGCGGGGGGGAAACAACGCCCCGGAATTGGCACCGCGGTGGCGTCGCCGGGGGTTCGGTGTAAGCCATGAGTCCCGCGCATTTGGTTCATGTTCATGGCGACTACTCGCTTAACTACTCACACTTGGTGCTCTTTCTAGCTTGGATCTCCTGGCCACGCGTGATACTGAGAAATTTGACATTTTTCACATTTTTTGATCATCGGCTTTGACGCCTCCACGGCCCAACTACTAATCCGGTAGTATGTACAAAGATTCCATCAATTCCCTCGACCCGCTCTGACTTCACAAAAATGCATATCGTCAGAATCCGGTATCAAATTCACAGATCCTTGGTGCGTTCGTCACTTTCGGCAATCCACCGCTCCAATTTCTTCGAATCGCGCGCGACGAAGCCCACCTTGAACGGCTTAGGCTCCGTGGTCAGGCTCGTCGGGATGGCGTTGCACTCGATCGCATTCAGGATGGGCCGGTCACTAATTTCCTTTGCCGGGTGCATTTGGAACGCAGTGATCAAACGAAGAAACGCCGTGTAAAGCTCTCGATTCGCCAGGTGAGAACCTGCACACATGCGGGAGCCTGCACCATATGCATAGTGGGGAGTGCCAGACGCGTCTCCGAGGTCGAGGTAGCGCTCGGGAATAAACTTGGTCGCATCTTTGAAGTGGTCCTCGTCGTAGTCAGCAGCCCAGGCATTCTAGATGGAGTTAACTTCATACGGTCTTTGCGATTCGAAGGCGATCATAGAACTCACCATGAAAAAGGTCGTGCCGGCGGGGATGTTAGCTCCATTCCATTGGATATCCTTGGTGCTCTCGCGAGGCAGGCAGATGGGAATGACGGTCCAGAACCGCAGAACCTCCCTGACCAGGGCTGTCACGTAGGGCACCTTCTCCTCAACCAGACATTTCTCCCAAGCATCGTCATCCGGATAGACCTTCATGATCTCCTCGTAGGCCTTCTTCTGGATCCGCTGGCCATCTTCCGAGGCCAGATACGCGATGCCCATGATCAGGTTACCGGGGACGGTGTCCAGACCGGCCGACACCATCGTGAGACAGATCGACTTCACCTCAGCTGTCGGACTGGTCAGTCAATTTTACATCATGTGCCTTTCTTGGTGGACCCTTACCGTCGTTGAGCTTAGCCTCGGGGTCTTTGAGAATGTTGCCCGTGATACAGGGCTTGTCCGTGCCTTTGGCGATACGTTCTTTCAACATGTCCAGAAGGAAGGTCAGGTACTTGTCGCGACGAGCCCGGAATCCCTCGGCCTCGTTATTCATCTTGGGCAGGATACGCAGCAAAGGAATGTAATCCTGCCAGTTGTTGGACGTGCTGCGGAAATTGGACACGCCGCGCTCGACGTCACAGATTTCCTTCAGCAACCGGTCATCAACATTGCCTTCGATGCGGAAGCCGTAGTTGAGTGTCAGACTGGTGTTGAGGGCAAACCGCTGAAAGTACGCGGTCGGGTTCACGTCCAGGGTGCCGTTCTGGCTCTCCCGGTACAGTTCCTTGATGCTGGTGTTGGCCTCGAGGTCGATGATGGGCATATAGGACTGTGTCGCCGGTCGGTTCAAGGCCGTGGCCGCGGCCTTGCGACGTCGCTTGCAGGATTCATCCCACGGAGAAGTGCCGATGGTAAAGCCCTGGGAGCTGGAGACGACGCTGTGGAACGTGTGGAAGGTTGGTCGCGAGATCAGGGCCGACTGATCCTTAATCCACAGTTGACGCACCGAGTCGAAGCTGTTGGCAAACACGATGCGCTATCCGGAGTCCAGTCAGCCCACGTCCGTTTTATCCCATCGGGAGCATCTTACCTTATTTCCCATGCGCACCTGGAAGACAGGGCCGAACTTCTTCGCCCACTTGCCTGTGACCACCGCGTGTTGGTCTCTCAGCTGCAACAAGTTGCCGAAGAGGGGCACGCCGGGGATTTCCGGCAACCCCTTGATCTTGGGTACATCTGTACGGTTGAAGTAGCGGATGACAAAGTAGACGACCGTAACCACCGCCACGGCAAGTGTTTGGAGCGTCATGGCTATTACTTCACGACAAACATACACTGGAAGCCAAGGTTGGTTTTAAATATACTGACGGTGTTCACCGAACGGCGCTTTTCCGGCACAAGCATCATGCAGTGATTATTAACGTACATTTGAACCCCCCTCCTCTCAACTGGAGCCAGTCATGTTCAACATGAACGATATTCCGTAGCCGGCGATGATCCACCACGTCGCGGGGTCCGGCTCCACTGCGGATCTGCGGAACTGGCGCCCGCGACCCCAGGTGTGCCTCAGGATCCCAGAGCGCGGAATATCGCGGGGTAATCGCCGCTGCCCAAGGAGAAATTATAGTATGTATGGAAACAGTCAAGACTCGACGGGTGGCGCCCATTTGACTGGCGCTCACCCGACTGGCTCGGCGATTGGCACCGCGCGCTGCTACAGTGGTTTTATACTCATCGCCCCGTTCATCGAAGCCCCTTCGGCGTCGCATGGGATGCTCCACTTGCCCCTCCCCTTCCTCCCAGGCCCTCGACGTAATCATAGTCATCGTCGTTTGCAATCCTTTTCGTTGGCTCGAGAATGGTTCGCACCCGACTCGGGCTTCTTGTAAAGCTCGTCATACCGCTACAGCTCGGTGGGATAGGCCTCCAGTAGTACAGCTTAGGAAATATCGCAGGACTGAAAGGTAATGAGACAGCCATAAACTTAGGAAAGCTAGAAATCGAATGTCAACCGATCAGAATCGACGAAGCAAACAGACCCTCAATCGGGTTCGTCCAGATATCCCACCGTCGATGCCGCTCGACTTCCCCGTTGGCCTGACGAATCGGGCACCACGCGTCCCGTCGATGGAACCGCGTGCGACGAGGTTTCTAGGCTCTTGGTCTTCATGGCACCGGAGCATTGCGACGCACGCCATGGCCTCTCAATCATTTCTCCCTTTGTCGTCACCTCCGTCGCCCTGGCTCCTGCCACGCCGGCCGAGCTTGGATCCCGAACGCGAGATCCTGTCGACCAGAGGCCAACAGCGGATCCTGACTTTCCTGCCCAGTCGCGCGTCTTCCACCGCGTTGCACGACTTGGATGAAGGAACGGCCTCTCACCCGACTTTCCTCCGACGCGGATCCCTGTTGATTGGGCCGAGTAATCCCCGCTATGAATGGTGCGTGGCATGGCTGCCCCACGTCGCCCCATACTGATGCAAGTATAGGCAGCGATATTATCGACCGTCCGAGTCGCTGAAACACCTCCGTAAACCTGTGTATGTAAACCCGGCGCTTCTCCCGCCATGGAATCTCATCGCTAACCCTTGCATACGACAGACGGCAGTACTACGAGCGCAACAACTCGTTGATATCCCAATATCTCTACATTGATCGCCTCCTGGACTCGTCGCTGCCGCACAATCTCATCGACGACTACAATGAATGCCGTCATTTTGATGCCTCCGGCAACCGCAAACACCCGTCTCCTCCAGGCAGCCCACCGGAGTCCACCGACCAGCCCGACTCCAAGGCGGCCCGGATCAAGCGCACCCCTCACAACCTCTATCGCATTCCCGATGAAACGGCGCCGTTGCTCCAACGCGCCGACGACCTGGCTGCCAGTCACCTCGTGCCCGATGTCGAATCCCATGCGGGAATGTCTCCCGAGCAGGAGGAGCATCTCATCAACCTGGCCATCCGCATCAACTTCGTCGCCAATGTCGCGCTTCTGGGATCCAAGATAGCCATCATAGTACTTACTAGCTCCATGTCAATGCTGGCGGCCCTGGTTGACGGGGTTTTGGATTTTCTCAGCACGGTCATCGTTTGGGTCACGACGGTCATGATCCGCCGGCAAGACCGCAATAGCTATCCCATCAGTCGCCGACGTTTGGAGCCCTTGAGTGTCTTGGTCTTTTCGGTCATCATGGTCACTTCATTTTTCCAGGTGGCGTTGACCTCCTTCAACAGACTGACTGCCGACGATCACACTCTGGTCGAGCTCTCGCTTCCCTCCATGGGTCTCATGGCGGGCACCGTCCTGGTCAAGCTGTTTTGTTGGGTTTGGTGCCGCCTCATTCCTAGTCCTGGCGTCCAGGTGCTGGCTCAGGACGCAATGACCGACGTCGTCTTCAACACATTCAGTATCATCTTTCCACTCGGTATGTATTTCCCCTCGCTACTATCCCGCAAGGAACGCCGGCATGCTGATGACCGACAATCACAGTCGGCGCGTTCGCTCGTTTGTGGTACCTCGACCCAGTCGGTGGGTTGTTGCTCTCGGCGTACATCATGTGGAACTGGGGCTCGACTGCAAGCGAGTATATTCGTCGATTGACGGGAGCGGCAGCTTCACCGACGGACCATAACATATTGCTCTACATGACAATGCGCTTCTCTCAAGTCATTCGGAAGATCCAGGACCTCAAGGCCTACTACGCAGGGGACAAGCTCAACGTCGAAGTTGATTTGGTTGTCGACGAACACACCAGTCTACGCGACGCTCACGACGTCGGGGAGAGTTTGCAGTACATCCTCGAAAGCGTGCCCACTGTTGACCGTGCCTTTGTGCACTTGGATTATGATGAGTGGAATCTTCCAAGTCACATGAATCAGTTGGATCGTTAGTCCTTCTGTTGACTGCTGTATACTACTAGCACCTACTAGCATCACGGAAGTAATCAAACATGGATACATCAAGTCATTCATCTAATTGTACATTACAAAACAAGCCATAGTTCAACCCCGTGGAGATGTCGAGATCATGTATGAGATCCAAGAAGGACATCCCGCCCAATATACAGCGAACGCCTCCCACAACTAGTCAACTTCCAACCAATTGACACTATCGGACCATGAGAATTTTTCATCATCGCAACACATGATCATGAGGGCTTAACGAGGCTGTTGCGATGATGGATGCAACGGTCCCGGCAGTCCACCTTGTGCCGATCCTTGGCTGTAGACACGATGGTGCGTCGGCGTGGAGGCAGGCTCGCCCCGCGAGCCTGGTCCTGATGGCCGTTGAGGGGGCGGAATCGGGCCTGATGTCGACAATGGGGGCGGGGCGTAGCCCATGCTGCTGCCAGGCGGAAGCATGCCTGCTGGTGGAGTGTACGAGCGATCGAGACTTGCCAGAGATGGCATTGATCGACCACCCTGCGCCTGAGGAGGGGGAGTGCTATGTCCATACTGGGAAGGCCCGCCAGCTAGGCCGGCGGGTGTTGAGCGATGCGACTGATGTGATCCGCTGACCAAGGTTTGCACATGCTGCTGGTAACTTTGGTTATGCGCCTGTGCCGAAGCGGGAGTGGGTGGTGCAGCAGAAGCGTACGAGGACTGCGAGCCGGGCTGGCGGGATGGGAGGCCAAACAGGCTGGCCGAAGACTGAACAGGCGTTGTTTGTTCCTGTCGGGAGCCAAAAGCAACACTGCTGGGCCGCGGTGGGGGAGAGCCGGGGCGATACACTGACGGCTGAGAGGGCATATCACGAGACCCAGAGGCTGTAGGGGCCGGCTGCGAGAAGACATTAGGATAAGAGGAACGTTGGGACGCCGGTGGCGGCGTTGCGGCGGGAGAGGGGGCGGAGAGGTTGCTCAAGGAAGCTGACGGCTGCGGCGGAGCAGAAGCGTAGGGCGAGAAGGAGCTTTGAGTCAATGCACGGCCACTTGACTGCGGTGGCTGTGATTGTGGCGGCGGGCCAGCTTGCTGTGCCCGAGGGTCAAAACGTGCCATCCAGTCATTGTTCGCCGATGTCCCTGAACCGCCTGGAGGAAGTCCATAGCTCGAATATTCCGTATAACCACGTGAAGGTGTCGGATATTGGCTTTGTTGAGAGTAGCTAGATGACTTTGGCCCAGTACCTGCAATAAGCGTCTCGTCGGGGCGAGCAGGCCCAGCAGGTTGGTAGGCGGATCTCGATGCAGAGGAGCCAGAGACAGGGATAGGAGTCGCCTGTTCACTAGCAAACCGCTTCCGTGGCTGCGGATCCTCCGGTTCGTCGTTGAGTATGCTCATGATATTGGAGCGCTTCGCGGGAACTTGGCGAGAGGTTGGCTCGGGAACCGGAGTGGCACTCGTTCGAGGAGCATCCTTGACGGGGGACAAAACCGGTCGTGGTGATTGAGCAAGACCAACTGACTGACCGGGCAGTGGATAGTATTGTCTCTGAGCGAAGGGGTCACGGTGCACAGAAGAGATATCGAGCTCGGGCCGTGGGAGTTGTGTCGGTGATCCGGGGGCTTGAGTAAGACTCGGGTGACGTGAATGCGACGGAGGAAGAAAGGATGGCGGGGGTTGGGTAGACATGTAGGCCTGGGTGGATAGAGGATCCATGCGGGCCAAGTCTGGAGGCATAGACGCTCCAGGGTTGTGCCGTGACGAAATTTGCATTTCTTGAGCTCGAGGGTTCGGATGCGCCATCATTGAATCGCGTCGGTCATCAGTGAAGTACCCTAGACGCGGTCCCTGTATCCGATGGGCTGCCCCTGCCTGGGTGCGCATCGCGCGAGACGCATCCTCGCCGAGAGTAGAGGCCACAGTCGGCACTGAACCCACATTGGATGCTTGTGCAAGCGCCGGGTAGCGGTTGGAACTCCGCTCATTCTCGGACATTGGTCGCCCATGAAGAGGCATGGGCTGAGGTGACATGGCGAGGGGCTTGCCCTTGGAGGGGAACCTTGCCTCATCAACCTCGGTCATCAACTCGCCATGGGGAGCAAGAGGACGAGGAATAATGGCTGACGGTGTGGCCTCATACCGGCGTTTGGGTGCAACGCTGGGGACTGGTAAAGGACCAGTTGGCTCGCCGCGGGCTTTCTTTTCCTCTGCGATCAAAAGTGTGTCTTCGAAATCTTTCTGCCCCGAATCGAGCCGTCGCTGGTAGTAGTTTTTTACCTGTATTGAACGGGTTAGCATGGGAAAGACTGCAGAACGAGTGAGATAGGATAAACCTACCATGACCGTTGTCTTGGTTTTCATGAAGTTCGAAATACCCTCGAAGTCACGTCCAAAGTGTGCGAGCAACCGGGGGAAATCGCGTTGCTCCGGTACAGACCAGTAGCTTGTCGGTTGTAAAGACCCGTATCCAGTCTCCATCTGTTTGCCTGGCATGGTAGTTTCCGCCTCGGTCGATTCAAAGACATACATGCCCTCCTTGGCTCTCCCACGCGCTGTCCTGGAACGCGGCGTTTGTGGGTGAAGCTCCTTGTCGACGAGCTCTCGATCCTGAGGCATAATACTCTCTACCAGCCCATCCGCACCTATTTCCACCTGTGGCATGACAATAATGGGGGTGTTGCTTTGTGGTGTTGGTCCCTGGGATTTCTGCTCTGGCTGAGTAGTCCTCCCACGGCGTTGGCCTCGAGTCCCCGCCGTTCGACCACCGCGCCTGGACGCAGGTTTCTCAATGAGTTCGCCATCTTTACCCATTTGGCTTCGGCGTCCGGTGGCTGCACCTTCGGGTTCGTTGGAATCACCGAAGGTAGGCGCTGCTGCGCGTCGTGGACGGCCGGTATCGGTCACAGGAGCAGGCTCCTCCTCGCCATCAAAGTCTGGCTTGACCACACCCAAATCGGCGATAAGCGCATTGGATTTGGGACGGCTTGACTTTTGTTTTCCCCTTCCCCGGCGGCTCCACCGCTTGTTGAGCTTCGCCTTGTACTTGATCTCTTCCTTGGTGAGATAATAGTGGATGATGCACTGCTGGAAAGTCCGACCAGGCAAAGACTCTGCAATCTTACCCCATTTCTTAGGGTACGCCATGAAGGCATTAGTGAAGATCTCATGCTCTTCTTTCGTGAAATCATTTCGCGGCGGGACGAAACCAAAGACATCCAAGGCATGGCGGGCTTCGACAATGTTGTTGACATCCTTGTAGATACGAGCAACCTCCTCCTCACGCTCTAACATGTCTGGAATAATTGCCTCGCGGCTCAAGTCGGGCCTAGCAGTCGCCATTTTGGTTCTGCGACGTTCCAGCTCCTCCTGTGCAGAAATCTCAGAGGCTCTCAACGCGTTGAGAAAATCGAGCTCGCTGTTACCCTTGTATCGCCGTCCCTCGCGTCCTTCTGGGATCGGTGCCGGGGATACAGGGGCAGGAGGTGCAGGTGGCGATGCAGGGCCCGGAGTCATAGGCTTCTTGTCCTTGGAACGATCTAATTCCCAAACCGTCAACCTCCAGGGTTTGTAATATGACATGTATTCATCCCGGAGCGCGGCGTTCTTCTTTGCAATCGCCTTTTTCTTCTTGGAAAGTTCGCTGCAGAAGGTATTTTTGAGGTGCTCCTGAATGGATACATTTTCTTGACATACTTCCAAGTCGGATAAAGGCGTGGGAGGACCAGAGTTCAGGAAAGGAAGACTATCAATGGTGATTTCAGGATGTGACTCAACGGGTGAAACAACAGGCTCCAGATGGGGCTCGGGCTGCTCCGGCTTGAGGTACGGGTCGAAAGCGACCACACGCTCATTGCCTGAAGCATTGGAAACCTCTTCCTTCTCAACTGATGGAAGCGGAAGAAGATCCGGGGGTTGCTGTGCCTCTTCATGGGCGAGCATGCCAAGTAACTGAATTCGCATCAACAGAGAGACAATGGTAGGATCTTCCAAAGGGGGAGGTGGAATCTCTGCTCGAAGGAGCTGCATGTCTCTTTCGAAAATCTGCTTCCGCTCTTCGAGATATTCTTGGTTGAACACCACATTTTCTTCTTCCTCTTCGTCGCTCGATTGCCCAAAACCGGGAATCAAAGCAGAGTCATCTTTATCACCCTGTTCGGATTCTACACTCCTTTTTGTATCCACAGTAGGGACCGGTGCCGGACTGGTGCGAATCGGAAGCTTCATGGAAGGCGAACTCGGAGGAGTGGGCTTTTCGGCGTGATCAGTGGCCATATTGTGAGTGCCCTGGCCGTCTGCGCGGGTCGGTGAGTTTGGTCGGCCATTTTGGCGGGCCTTGTCATCCACTGGAAGAGAGTTATCGTACTCATCAGCTTCCCTTTTAGGCAGCAAAGTGGACACGGAAGGGGCAAAGCTGGAGCTGGGGCGAGTCCACGGCTTGCTACCTTTGTTCGGTCCCCGAGGTGAAGCGGCATACGCTCGCGGACCCGTCGGAATCGTCGATGATTGCATTCTCGGGGAGATGGAGGGTTCCTGGGATGAGGCTTGCAGCCCCGGTGGAGGCAGTCGCGCAAAGGTGGGAGACATGTTCATGGAGATCGGTTTCGTCAGTCTATGCGATTCGGTTGTGCCCGAGATAGAATCACGCTTCGCCATGGCCGCCGGAGCTGTTGGTGGAGATCGCTCGGAGAGGTGGCTGTATCCTTGGGCGGCACGAATTGGTCCCTCTTGCTGATGGCCGCTATCCGAGGAGTAGAAAGGAGGGTCTGGAGACCTTTCGACTCGTCCAGCTTTCGGGCCCGTCGGAGGCTGCACCGATAGGCGACGTGGTCCATATGTTCGATCTTTCTCGATTTGCGCGGAGGAGTCAGTGGTCGGGCGCCCTTCAGAGGGATCTTTGCTTGACGGCACAGCTGTTATCGGAGCAGCCACTGAGCCAAAAGCAGGAACCTGAGGAGCTGATGGAGGAGGTGAGTGTTGAGCAAGGGGTCCCAGATCCTTGGATGGTTCAGGGCGAAGAAGGGCAGGATCCGAGCGTTCGCTATCCCGTCGAGTTTCCATCCCGACTGTACCAGAGACGATCGATGCTTTTCGGAACTGGTCCAAGGGGGGCTGGTCTGGCAAGCGGCCCTGAATAGGAGGCCCTGCTGTGGGGGGCATAGCATTGGGGTTTGAGGAGGCGGTTGAGCTGATCGGACCACGACTAGAGGCCCGGCTTGGGGGACGTTCCCGCTTCCAGGGCTCTACAGGCCGGTCTCGGTCTTCACGATCGGGGCGCCGAGGATCCCAGTCATCCCGACGATCAAATCGTTCTCGTCGTTCTTGGTCACGATCCCGATCTCTCTCGCGGATATCCCGGTCTCGTTCTCGTTCGAGCAGACGATCGCGGTCTATCTCGCGGTCTCTGTCGCGATCAGGCATCCGATCTCGACCGCGATCTCGCCATGTATCGCGAGAACGACTCCGTCGTCGAAACGGGGGCTCCCGGTCATCCATGTAAGGTGGACGACCCCGGCCTCGCCCTCCTTCCCAGTCCCCGCGTGCACGTCCTCGCATGGAGCCACCGCGCGGATGGCCACCACTGGAGGGCGGGCCTTCAGGACCGCCTGATGATGCCGATAACAGACTATCACGAGAATTGCGTCGCATGCGAATCAGATCGAAGTCTCGTCCGGGAGGGTCTCTTAGGTCGCGGAAATCGCGTGTGGGGGAGCGTGAACGGCCGCGGCCGAAGCCCATTCGGGGCGCATCTCGAGGGTCGAAGTTACGGTCGCGGCGACTCCAGTCCCGGTCCATATCGCGGCGGAATGGGGGTGCATCGCGATTGTCTCGAAAATCGCGGTCGCGGTCACGGTCTCGCATGTCTCGGTCGCGGTCTCGATCTCTAAAATCACCACGACCATAGCCGCGTCCTCGACCGAAGCCACCTCGAGGAGAGTCAACAAGAGCACGGGGGCCACGCGGAGGCTCCCTGTCAAAAGAAGGACTCCCGTCGTCGGGGCCACGGGGACCGACAGGGGCACGGCGGTCCCCGAAGCGCGGCGGGGAGCGGTCGCGGGAGTTAAACCCGGACGAAGGGGGAAATCGAGACGACATTACCAGGTCATGCTCTGGGATGACCTGGAGCGGGTAAGTTGGAACGAGCTTTAGGGAATGAAGAATCCAATACCGATTGGGGGTGGGTTGCACGTGATCTTATATGCACGGGCCACGTGAAGATGGGTCCCTTAAATCGGGGAAGCAGACAAGGTTCACCGTAGCCTGTGAACTATGTAATACGATGTGGATAGTGGGATAGCGGCGATGGAGTAGATAGAAAACAAGCAGTGTGGCACGGAAAGGAAGGAAGGCTATCCGATCTCAAGAGAATCACGTGCGAGTGGGTGAATCGAACCTGATACAGAGGGAAGGGGCGACCCGGGTGCACGGAAACGGGTCTTGAAGATTCCCGATCGGGAAGGCCCGATGGATCGTCCATAGTGTCCCGAATACTATTTATGGTCTATGGTGAAAATGAAGAGTGTTGAGTTGATCACTACACAGGTGCCATGGTAGCTATTCTATTATGCTAAATACTTTCTTAGACCTGGTCAAGACCTTCACATTTCTTATGTTTTTCATTTTATCCTTATATTCCTCGACCTACTAGAACTCGGCGGGACTCGATCCTCCACGGTACTCGATAGCAAGACACAGCAAGCGAGAATCAACACCTACGTGGACACGTACATGGTAAGTTCATCGACTCAATTCTAATATGGAAAGTGCTTCAAGGCGTCTTTTCTGCCCGAGTTGCTCGATCGGAGCCGGTGTCGCCTCAGGTGTCAATGTGTGCCTGACGATAGCATTTTCCCCGCTTAAAAAAAATAGATACATATATATCGCCGACAGCCCCAACACAACCCCTCCATGAACTTCCATTGCTAAGGAAACGAGCCCGGCCGTGCCGTTCTCCCCAGTTTACTCACACTCTTTCTCCAATATTTTCTCCATCTATCTTTCCCTTCTCCATCCACTCATCCACAATGAGCTCCCAACCCGTCACCGCACCCCCCGCCTCCGCGACCGATTCAGTCCTCCTCGCCTCCGAGCCCATGCCCGAAGGAACTCGAGAAGTGTCCGGGGTGGATTTCGATCGGTTTCAGGGTCGAGACATCACGGTGGCCGAGCTGGTAGATGACCTGACCCATACAGGGTTCCAGGGAAGTGCCGTCGCCGAGGCTGCCCACATCATCAATGAGATGGTACGCTTGTGATCCGGTCAATTGAACGGGAATATGGGGAGACTAACCCAAGATGACTGTAGCGTGCTTTCCGCCACCCCGAAAGCGGCGAGAAAACCACCATTTTTCTTGGATACACATCCAATCTGATCTCCTCTGGTCTCCGAGACACCCTCCGCTATCTCGTCAAGCACAAACACGTGTCGGCCATTGTGACCACCGCGGGTGGTGTAGAGGAGGATCTCATCAAATGTCTGGCCCCAACCTACATGGGATCGTTCACGACCCCCGGTGCCGGGCTACGGGCCAAGGGTCTCAACCGCATTGGTAATCTGCTGGTGCCAAACAACAACTACTGCGCCTTCGAGGACTGGGTGGTCCCCATTCTGGATACAATGCTGGAGGAGCAAGAGGCGGCGAAACGGAAGGCGCGGGAGACGGGCGACGAGGAGGACGAGCTCCACTGGACGCCGAGTCGCATCACCGAACGCCTGGGTCGGGAGATCAACCACGAGGACTCGGTCCTCTACTGGGCGGCCCGGAATAACATCCCCGTCTTCTGCCCGGCTCTGACCGACGGATCATTGGGGGATATGCTCTACTTCCACACCTACAAATCGTCGCCGCAGCGGCTCCGGGTGGATATCGTGGACGACGTGCGACGCATCAACACCATGGCGGTGCGAGCGGCACGGGCCGGCATGATTATCTTGGGCGGCGGCGTGGTCAAGCACCATATCGCCAACGCGTGTCTCATGCGTAACGGGGCCGAGCACGCCGTGTATGTCAACACAGCGCAGGAGTTTGACGGCAGCGATGCGGGAGCCCGGCCCGACGAGGCCGTGAGCTGGGGCAAGATCAAAACGGACGCAAAGGCCGTCAAAGTGTATGCCGAGGCTACCGTAGCCTTCCCGCTGATTGTGGCAGCCTCGTTTGCGCGGGCAGCCCCGTCGCAGAACTTGACTCAGAACTGAAGGCGGTTGGACAGCCGACACTACGGCGATGCAGGGACCCGCGAGACACGACAATTGGCAACCAATCACGACACTCACGATTGACAGTCCACCGGCTTCCCCCGGGCTTGGTGGGCGTTAGAGATACGATATCCACACGCCGGGGGGAAGAGGGGCGGGCACCGATGCCCGAAGTATATCTCCCGAACATGCTTCCTCAGATATGCCTGGGTATCACTGAGGCCAGGAGTGCGTCCAACCCGGCCCCTTTTTTTTTTCTCCCCTTATTGCCTTTTGCCAGGGACACCGATTCCAGGGATAGCCGGGCAGTCGGGTACGTCGTGGCCAATCCCCACCGCGGAAGACCTAGGTGGCAAATGGGAAGTGGCAAGGAAAGGGTTTTCCTTCAAGAATGTGTTAAATAATCAGCCGAATTTAAGGTTAGGATCCGTTGGCTCCCCTGAGTGGAGTCCGGATCCACTGCACTATTGCCGATCAGGAGGAGACGACACCGCCAGTTCTGTACTCCGTAGAGCACGATAGAATGAATACCCGGGGGTGATGAGGAGGGGACGAAGATGGTCAAGTGTCCAAGAGGTCGATAGAACTTGCTTAGCACTGGAGCCCGGAATCGACAGGCAAAGTCGGACCGAGACCATCCACGAATCGGCTCCACTTCTGCCCCCGGACTTCGGCCTTCTTATCTTTCTCTGTCTCTGTCTCTGTCTCTTTCTTTTTCTGTTCGGTCCCCTTGACACTTTTTTCTTTCCTTCACCACCCTCTGTTCCCTCTTTCCTCCCCTCTTCGCTCTTTTATCCCCTCTTTCAATTCCCTCCTCCACTGCTCCCAATCTCTCGCTATATACTCTCTTTTGCCCCTTATCAGAAAAGGCTCTTCATCCTTATCTCTCCAGTGGATCGCGGTCTTGGCCCGAACTTTCTAGTTTGGTCTGATCTGCGCTCAACTGTGACCTTCAATTTGCCTCGTTCTGTTCGTCTTTCACTCGATAATTCGGCTATGGATCCCTCTCGGGACGCGGTGAATAACCGCCTGTCGGTCCCCGAGATGGAGGCCCACGACCTGGGGTCACCCAATTCGCCGTCGAACCTCCCAGACACCAATTCCACACCGATTCAATCTTTAGCTGATGCCTCTGAATCGTCCGATCCCGTTTTCCCCACACAACCTCGGGCTCCTACGCCACCCCTGACGGTCGAGCCTGGGGAGGAGATCGAACATGCGTACTGGGCCGAGTTTGAAGAGGACACAACCACCCCGGACGAGGCGGAGCTGAAGGATATCGATGGGGCCGATGCCGACTATAGTGCCTGTGATCGTGAGTGTTTGTTGAACTTGACGGGTGTTTCGAGAGGCGCCGGCCGGTTACTGACGCCGTGGCAGATTCGTACTGGGAAAACAATTTCTTTCGGGACCTGGACGACCCTGAGTATGCGCCTGGTGAGAAGGCCCGCGTGACCTGGACTATCAAGGGCGTTCGCGGTACGCCAGAGGCTCCCAACCGCGCCAAGGTTATGCGATCTCCGGCCGCCTACATTGGCGGTTACTGGTGGCGAATCAAGTTTTATCCTCGCGGCAACAACGTCGGCTCTCTGAGTATCTACATCGAATGCTCTCCGACTTTGCCCGCCCCGGACGATACCCTTCCAGAGACCGAGTTTACGGTTCGCCGAGGCACCTCGGATGCCAGCCTGAAAACCAGTATTCCCGATGTCAGCATGCAGACCCCAGCAACAAGCGATGCTGCCGCCTGGCAAGAACGTTTCAAGTCTCAATATCCCGCTGCAGCTTCGCCTCCTCAAACCGCACAGGATGCCTCTGCCAGCCCGTGGCGAGTGGCGGCACAGATCGGTGTCATCGTGTACAATCCCGAAGAGCCTCGGACGGGATGGATGCAGTCTTCGTGTCACCAGTTCAATCCTCACAACTTGGACTGGGGGTGGACTTATTTCCACGGTCCATGGGATCAGATTCACCAGCGTCGTCGTGGCCAACACCGTGCGCTGCTGAACAATGACACCCTTGCCTTCGATGCCTATATCCGCGTGATTGATGACCCGACCCGGTCTCTGTGGTGGCACCCAAGCGACGCCGAACCTACCTGGGATAGCCTGGCCTTGACTGGATATCGTCCCCTGGGCGATTCGGTGATCAACCATAGCGCAGAGGTTGCTGGCTTGGCTTCGTGGCTCCACATTGCCCCCTTCTGCAAGATCATCCAAAAAATCGACGTCCTTGAACACCTTTCCAATTGTGATGTCAAGCCCAAGCCCCTGTGTGATGCTCTCCAAAAGCTCCTGTGGCAGTTGCGCCGTCGTGACCATTCTCTCCAGTACGTTGACACCGATGGTATTACATCTACCTTGCGCAACCTGCGCGAGTTTTCGAGTGATGTCTCGGAGTTCTGGGAACGCCTTCGTCGGACACTGGAGATTGAACTCGCCGGCACCGGTGCCAGCAAGGAACTTGCCAAGCTTTTTGACAGCCCATCTCCAGGCTCCGGCTCCGCCAACACACTTCCCACAGACTTCAATTCTCGCATCTGTGTTCGAGCCGATGAGGTCAAGTCTACTGGCGAGGCTGTGACGGGATACTTGGGGAACAAGCCCGGCACTTGGACTCTTCCACCCATTCTCCATGTTGAACTTGGACGCCATACCTTGGACAAGGCGATGCGCTGGCAGTTGCAGTTCAACAAAGTGGATCTGGACGAGGAATTGGATCTGACGCCGTTCGTGGTCAACGGACAGGACGGCAAATATGTTCTTTATGGCTATGTCGTTCACCGTGGCCGTCGCACCTCTGGCAAGTTTTTCAGCATTCTTCGTCCGGCGGGTCCAGGAACCAAGTGGCTGGCATTCGACGATGGCAGTGACAACCGAGTGGAATGCTTGACCCAGAAGACTGCACTGGGCCCTCACCTTGGTCTCGATACTTCGCAGACTGTGGATCACAAGAAGGGTCATGATGTCCCGGTGGTGGCCATGTATGTCCGTAAAGACATGGTGTCGGAGCTTCTGCCCGGTCCCCAAGGACCGTGGGAAGTCTCGGAACCTTTGAAGCAGTATTATGAGACCGGCGTCTACCAACCTGCCCCAGAATCCCATGCGGTGCCGGTAAAGGATGACCTTCAGGTTGAAGTATACTCCACGACTGGGTACGATCAACTGAACAGCCTGTTTGACACCTACGATCTCATGTCCCTCTCCAAGGCAGCCAACGGTGTCATGTATATGACCCTGCCTCGTTCGTCTCGCATTGCTGAGCTTCGCAAGAAGATTTCCATGTGGAAGTCGGCGGGCGAGGAAGTCGTTGGACCCGAGCGCGTACGCCTCTGGCATATTGGACACACCCGTGCCCAATGCGGACCCACTCTTGCGTTTGATCTCATCTCGGACATGAACGTCCCATTGGATGTCTCTGGCGGCCCTCTGCGGTTCTGGATGGAGACGATCTCAGAAGGTTTGCGACAACCGACTTTGCTCGAAAGCTTTCAACTAACGTGTCAATTCACAGAGGACGCCAAATTCTTCGCCATTCCGGATCCGCCTTCATTGGCTGCGACTGAAGATAAGGCCGAAGAATCCATCGTGGAGCGGGCTAGCTCGAGCACCCCTGAACCACAATCATCTGTGGCCGATGGAGACGCCGTTGCCAGCTCATCGAGTGGTGTTCATGAGACCGCTGCAACGACAGCCGATGAGCCGAACGTTACCAGCAACGAGCCTTCTTCACCCATGCTGGCGACCTTGTCTCCCGAAAATGATGCCCTCGCGGAAGAAAGAGCTGAACATGATGCCGTTCTTGCTGTGGCTGCGGCCCATGACCGGCAGTTTACGAACAGCACCACTTCTGTTACTCCTGAGACAAGCTCCTCTGGTGCAGCTGCCACATCTACACCCGTCGAGAACCGCCCAGCAGAGCCTGTAACTGAAACCACTGCCGAGCCCGAAGTCACCCTGCCAGTCGGGCATGTGTATTATTTCATCCAGGTGTTCGACGCGGACAATCAAGTCCTCCGTACAGTGGGCTCATTTTTCTCCAAGCTCGAGGCGAACGTCAAGGCGTCCATTCGGAAGCATCTTCAGTGGCCCATCCGCCAAGACTTCCTAATGTGGAAACGAGTGGATGGCACCACCGTGACGACCGTGTCCCCGGCCGAGAACTTCCTAGATGTCGTCGTTCCCCATGGCTCTTGTATCATCGTTGGGGAAAAGCTGAGCAAAGAGAAGCGCTCCCAGCTCGGCATCTCCGGCCGGTTTTCGAGCCCCGATCGCCTGGTCCATTACCTGTGGGCTGAATCGCGCCACCACCCAATTCAAGGTTTCACCGGTACCAAAACCGTCGAGGCCACTTTCACCAGTGACTTCTACAGTGGAGACTTCCTGAAGGGCTATTACCACGGCCATGGTAAACATTTCTCGGGCACAGGAACCGTCTACGAGGGCGAATTTGTCTTTGGACGGCGCCATGGTTCAGGCAAGATGGAATATCCGACAGGTGACACCTATGACGGCGATTGGGTCGAGGATGTGCGCCATGGACAAGGCACTTACATCGAGAAGCAGACGGGCAACAAGTATGTCGGCGGCTACAAGGATGGCAAGCGACACGGCAAGGGCATCAGCTACTGGGAGGTGGCTGATGAGGAGACGGATCTCTGCCAGATCTGCTACTCCGAGGAGCAAAACGCGGTCTTCTGCGACTGTGGCCACGTCTGCTCATGCGTGACCTGCGCCAAGCAAGTGGATTTGTGCCCAATCTGTCGCAAGACCATTAAGAGTGTTATCAAGATTTACAGGACTTAGCATATGTTCGAAGCACTCTGGAGTTTTTTGGGCATTCTGGTTTTGATTTTGTTGGGTTTTCATGTGCACAAGGCCGTGGGGAAAGGGGCTCTGGCATGAGGTTTCTTATGGATATATTAGCGATTGGTATTTTCGGGAGTCGGGGAGTGATGTATTGACTCTTTTCTACTTTCATTTTTGGATATAGCTGCATGCCACCCTGGGTGGACATAGACATCGTTCATAGACATACACGCGTAACATCGCAATTGACGCTGAATGAAACGTTTTTTTGACATTGAAAGAATCTAACAAGGTATATGTCCATATGCGCCATCCAACCAACTAAAAGAAGATGCTTTTCGACTTGCAGAGCTATACATACACATGAGACGCTCGAATGCCAGGAGATCATTTGGCCGCCTTCTTAACTTTCTTTTCCTTCCGGTCGCTCTTGGTCACCGTCTTCTTCTCCCCCTTGCCCTGGTTGGAGGACTTCTTTGTGGCATTTGCCTTGATCTCCTGGTCCTGGATGGGCTCGACGGGCTTTGATGATGCCTCGCCCTTGGTCTTTTTGGGCTTGTTCAAGACACCCTTCGGATTGAGACCCTTGCGACGCAGACGGTTGCGCTCAGCCCGAGCGATTCTGTCCGCATCCTCGGTTTCCTCGAAAGGACCGAAAGCACCACCCTCGAAATCCACCGTGACTCCGTCTTCATCGACGATAGGGGTCTTATCGATCTCATCGTCGGTAGAAGCAGCCTGAGAGCTAGCACGAGCGGGACGACGGTCTCGGGCAGAGGTGGCGTCATCGGCTGGCTTGGCCGCAGGGCTAGGACCGGTCTTCTTCAGTTTGCAAACGTAGAAGCCGTCGACGTTCTCGCGGTGTGGGAAATAGCGACGGGTAAGAGCCATCTTGGCGTCGAACTTCTTGCCCATGTAGCTGATGAATCCGGGGCTGCCAAAGTCGCCCAGGCCCGTGTCAACGATCTTGACGTTGGGCCGCTTCCGCAGGACGTACTGCACGACTGACTCGTTCTCTTCCACGGTAACACTGCATGTGGAGTAGACCACATAGCCACCCGTCTTAGAAGAATGGTCAACTGAGTCGATGGCAGCCAGGAGCAGCTGTCGTTGCATGTGGGGGATGGCCAAGAAGTCACGCTCATCCTTCGACGTCTTCACGCCGGGATCCTTGGAAATAACGCCGGTACCGGTGCAAGGAGCGTCCAACAACACACGGTCAAAGCCGCCCATGGCCTTGGGGAAGGCCGTACGGGCATCCAGGTTTGTGACGATGGTGTTCTTGCAGCCCAGACGGTGGATGTTACCAATCAGACCCTTAGCACGGGGCTTGCTGGCATCGTTGGCGATCACAGTGCCGGTGTTACGCATCAAGGCAGACATGTAGGTAGTCTTACCGCCGGGAGCGGCGGCCATATCGAGACAGCGCTCATTTGGCTGAGGGGCCAGCGCCATGACAGGAAGGAACGAAGACGCAGCTTGGAGAATGTATTGACCCGCGAGGTATTCGGGAGTGGCACCCAGAGGGACCGGAGACTCGAAAACTTGCAGACCAACCTTAGACCACTTGCCGACAGGCTCGAGCACGACGCCACGGTTGATCAGAGCTTGAGCGAGGGAGCGGCGGTTCGTTCGCAGGGTGTTGGTACGGATGACAACGGGACGGGGTGTCTCGTTGGCTTCGAAAAACGCAAACGCCTCCATCGGGGTAAACAGGTTGAACAGCTTCTCGGCCAGGAATCGGGTGTAGCCGTAGTAGGTGCAGATGTCGCTGAGCAGGAGATCGACGTATTCAGCGCGCGACTTGCCGGCCTGTCCCAGGGTCTTCAGGTCTCCGAGGATGCGAATAGTATCCGTGATGCGCTGACGCAGGAGCTGCAGATCCGGCGCCAGTCCCTGCTGGGCCTGGTCGGCAAAGACGTCGGGACCGTCGCCGGCAATGTTGGTCTGCAAAGCCGCCTCCTGCAATTCCTGCTCTGCCTCCTCCTCTTCGGCCTGCTTCGCTGCATCGAGCTTCCTCGAGAGTCCCTCGATGTTGGCAGCGGTCAATTTCTCCTCGGCATCAGAAAGATCCTCGTCGTCCGAAAACATGGTTCCGCGGGGGTGGTCATCCTCATCAGAGTCGACGACCGAATCATTCTCGGGTTCATCGTCGTCATACCCCCAGTCTGATAGTCTCTCGACCTGATCATCACTGTCCATGGAACCTTCGCTGACACCGTCCAGATCATCAAACTCGTCGTCTTCCATGTCTAAATCCTCTTCGTCCGAGCCCATTGGCACAGGCTTCTTCTTTCCAGTGACTTCCTTCTTGTCGACTTTGCTCGCAGCCACGCCATTGACCTTGTTCTTCTTGGGGGTGATCTTCTTGGCAACGACTTCTTCCTCGACATCGGCTCTGCGGCGCTTCTTCGCTGCGGCAACCTTGGGGGCTGAATCTGCCTCAGCAGCCTTGCGCTTCTTCAGTATGGAAATCTTCGACTCATCCAGCGGGCCCGGTGGGCCCTGTTTCTTCATGCGACGTCCTTTACCCATGGTGAATGTTGTGTCTGGGTGTACGGTTTGCAGGTTTCCGACTTTTTTGGGGCTTTTTTTTTTCTCGGCAGCGGTGACTTGCGGCAGTAATCAGAAGGCGGTGAGTTCTACTTGCTGCCTCAATTATGGGGCCACCATTGGCCGCGCGGGGGAAAGCAAGTCAAACATCCACGGCTACAACGCGAGATTCATTTTCCTCATAGTTTCTCACAAAACCTGCGTCCACAATGTCCGAGCTTTCCTTTACCAAGACCTTTCTCTCTACGCTGGACTCTCGTCCTATTAAGCTGCGGGCTGACCATGTCTTCGACCCGGAGCGGATTGGTTTGCGTGTCCCGGTGAGTCTTTTCCCTTAACGCCGCGCTCTAATTCAGGATTGAAATCGTTTGCAGCTTATGACTGACTTCCATGGCCCTAATCAACAGTACACTCTCCCCCGCCTTCAAGCCCCGCACCCCGAGATGCCGAAGAAGGTGAAGCATACACAGGCCCCGGGCTCTTCGAAGTCGATCAACATCAATGTCAAGTCCGCGCGGAATCCGGCCCTTGAATTCTCCATTTCCAGCGCTCCTATTTCTACGACGACCGTGCAGGATTTGCGAGATGCTGTGCGTGCCCGTGTCAGCGACACGCAAGGCAACCAAGTGCCACTGGACAAGATCAAGATTCTGTACCACCGGAAGCCTGTCATGGGAACAGGAAAGACCGTGGCGGAGATCCTGGCCGACGAACCCGAGATGTTGGCAGGAGGGAAAGCCGTTGAGTTTGGCGTGATGATTATCGGAGGCGCTCAGGCAATGGAGGCACCATCTCGACCAGAAGTCACAGACCATCATGTGTCTCCGCCCAAGGCTGCGGTTGGGCCAAGTGGCGAGGAGGTGTTGCAGACCGACGCTTTCTGGAATGATCTCCAGGGCTATCTGGAGCAGCGGTTGAAGGACGAGGACGAGGCGAAACGGTTACAGGCGCTGTTCAAGGATGCTTGGAGCTCGAGTCGGTCATAGCGTAGTTTGTTTTCAAGTTCATACAAAATAATACCCAGGATCAATCGAATCGACATCTACGCCCCAGAAAGTTTAGAGAGCACCAAGGGTATGGATTCAAATATTATACACACCCAACAGGGTCCGCATGAGGATGGCCAAGACAGACCCTGTGGATCCAGAAATGAATGCCAGATAAAGCCTTGTTCACCGGACTTCCGACACATCAGAAGATACGAAACGCCAGAGGGGTCTGGAATAAACCCAGCCGAACAGAGATCAAAGGGTAAGCGAGGGAATCGGTAATGGGATGAGGGCACTGTCGTGTATACATCGAAGCAAAGACAAGAAACAAATCAGAAATGTACGCCGGGCAATCATCGCGAAGACGGCATATTATCAGCGTTGGGGTCAAAAGTACACATGTAGAAGAAGAAAAAAACCACATAGAAGAGTACCATATGCCAGGCAGCTGGATGGGACACCGTTGCAAATGCTCGAGAAGAACTGGTCCGGCCAATCGCTCATCCGGTTTCATGGGATCATATCACGGTGAGAAGACTGAAGAAATACACACGACAGTAGAAGGAGAAAATCATACAAGAGCTGTCATCTCATCGTCCGGTCATCTCGAGAAGACCTTGACCACGCCGTCTCCGCCACCGCTGACGACCCAGCGTCCGTCACGGCTCCAGACAACGGCGCAGACCCCCTCGCCGCGCATTAACCGATGGCTGGTCAGTTCCTGAGTGCAGCTGCGCTTCTCAAGATTCCAGAAGCGTAGGCTCGCGTCATGGCCCGCCGAGACAAGTTCACGTCCATCCGGAGACAGTGACAGGGAGGCAATCGCAGCCGGGTGGGCGAGCATGGTATATGTGCATTGACCTGGAGAAATGTGTCAGATGGACGAATAACTTAAGAAGGGAACTGGGAAATTTGACATACCACTGTTGGCATCGAAGAAGCGAATGTATCGATCCTCATAGCCGCTAATTATGACACCCTCCACGCTACTTGATCCGGTGGCCCCATGGACGACCTCTTCCTCGGCCATGGTGCGATTGGGATCCAAGTGGGCAGAACCATCAAAGCCCACGGTGGTAGCAACCACAGAATTCACGCCGGTTGACGGCGTGCCATCGTAAGTTTCGAGACTGGCCATGCCAACGATTTCCTCGCCAGTTCGTGTATCATAGACGAGAATGGAAGCATCCGTGTAGGAAACCACGAAGTTGACCCCGGCCAGGGACAATGGACTAATACAAGTGGGAGATGGAGAATCGCTGCGCTGGATATGGTGGACGAGAGTGTAATGGAAGGGTGTGGTCGTAGCCACGCTGGGCTGCGGAGAGGATGGGAAGTTGGACCCAGACGATATTGAGTTCGCACGACGGCTGCCGCCCTGGCGACGCGACCCAGCCTGGGGTGAGGAGACGAGAGGAGGTGCACTAACGGCCCAGATCAAAATGCGCCCGTCTGCTGCACCAGAGGCCAACAAGATGCGGTCTGCGCCGCCGTAGTGACTGCACGAGTCACCAAAGACAGAGCCAGCAGTCCCGGGAAGCACGCAGAGCCCCCACACAGCGTCAGTGTGTCCATCCAGAGTGGCTTTGGGGTCAATCCGACCACGTTCCCATACCCTCACACTAGCATCTTGTCCCCCGGAGAAGATCCATCCATCACCCAGGACTCGGCCACCGTTCGAGATGTTCTGCGACGGCGAACAAGCCGCCAATGAAGTCACGGCACCTTCATGGCCGCGATGGGTGAAGTAGCTGGTAATGTCCAAATCATTGCTCGAGCTTGGGCCCTGAGCTCCAAACGTACCGTACGTGGCAGGGATGATCCACCGCTTGATGGTACCATCGTCACTGCACGTACAAATCTCCGGTTCAGATGGGCTACCGCCACCCGTGAAGATCACGGAGCGGATAACATCGAGATGTCCACGGAGGGCAAATCGAACCTTGAAATTGGAGTCCTGTTGGCCAAATCCAGCGCCGAAGTCCCGCGAGTCCACCGCACCGTCACTTTTCCGCCGAGAGCCTGAGCTCTTCCGTCGGTGGGAGAGGGACCCGCTCCTGGAAGGCGACTTGGAACGCACAAAGTTGGCATTTGGGAATGCATCGGTGTCAGGACGGTGCGGCGGCATGGGCTCGGCCACAGTTTCTTGCACCACGGGTTCATCAAAATTCCAGCCATCCATATCCTCCGCGCTTTCCTCCTTTTCCGGCTGCACATCCTCTTTGACAGCAACCCGAGGTCCCGGGCCGTCGTATGACGACTGCGCACCCACTGCCCTCTCGTCACCTAGCCCCTGTTCATAGATCTGCTTTTGGTTTTCAGTAACATTGGCTGAGGCCTGTTGCTGTTCGAGCTGGCGTCGGTCAACCGCATCGCGAGGAGCAGAAGCATGGTTATATTGGTTCTGGGCACGAGCCATGCCGGCGTTCTCCGCATATTGGCCGCCCATGGACTGGTGATTCGGAAGGACCACTTCGCGCGAGATCATATGGTTTGCCTTCTGCTGCTGTTGAAGATATGCCTCCTCCAAATTCTGCTGCGATAGTTGTTGGTTGGCATAGAAATGGCTAGATAGATCGGGATCACTGAGGTCCGGGGCAGGGTGGGAGGTAGGAATAACATGGTAGGCGATTTCCTGGGCGCACTTGGAAAGGTACACGCGTGATTTATCCCGCTCGTCTTCCTGGCGGAAGTCGTTGGAGTTCATGGAGTCATCTTGGCCAGCATCCGGATCTCGGTTGGACGGGGAGCGTTGGGCTGCGAGGGCAAATCAATGAATGCGCACAGGGATTTGACATAGAGAATGGTATACACACCTTTCAGAAAGTTCACGCTGTCCCGCGCGATATCCTTCGGATCCGCAGGGTCCTCCACTGTCTCGTTATTGGTGAGTTTCTTCACCTTGTCCCGTTCTTTCTTCAGCGCTGACTCCATCAATCGAACGTGTTTGCCTAGAGACTCGTGAAGACGCTTGCTCGTCCGCAGCTCACCCTCCAGCCGGCCGATGCGAGATTTCATCTCGGCGCGTTCGATCTCCCATGCATTACGGTCGCGTTCGTGTCGGTGCCATTCGGTCTGGAGAAACCGCATCACGCCTATTCGCCGACCGTCAGTCCACCTGTGGCGAGGACAAAAATTGGGAGCAAACTCACCCTGTAGCGTGTATTCTGTGCCCTGTGGATGTCCGCCATTGGAGCCATCGCCCATAGCCCCGTGCATTCCTCCAACCCCAGACATGGCAGATGGAGATTGCCAGGCCATGTACACGTCGTTTTATGAGCACTCAGCGCAGTCAGCCTGTGCAGCACGAGCGTTCGGAAGCTAACCAGCTCCCGGTTGGAAAGCAACGAGCTCGAGCTGGTCTCCTGACCCCCGTTCGAATCCGCACCGCAGTAAGCGAGTTTCAGTCGCCCAGGGGGGCGACAACGGCAAGGGAACCGCGTTCCACGCCGTATCCGGTAAATGTACGGAGAAACCCGATCGAGCTGAGAGGAAAGGAGGCCAATTCTCGACTGCGGGAGGTTCGAGGGCGTGCGATTTTGTTTGTTGTCAAGAGTGGTCGGGGTTGGCCTCACGGCTGGTGAAGGGCAGAATGTTCACCGCTTTTGTTTAAGCATCACGGATGCGAGGAAAACGTAGAAACAAAATATCGTGGAAGGTATGAGAGGGGGAGGAATACGCATATGAAATGTAGGTTTGTTCGGGTCCGAGAGATCTAAAGGGTTCTGAACGAGTTGCTTCCGTGTGCTGGGAAAGTGAGGGTTAACCTGCATGCCCGGGTGGTGGTCCTGGCTCTTACACCGCTAGTCAGATATCGATTATTGACATTCGAAGAGTTTTTAGGATGCAGAGGATGGGAAACGTATTGTTGCGGGAGGTAGCTATGTGCGTCCTACAGCTATCGAAGCGCTCGGGTGGTGTTTTGTGCTGACCGAGTCTCCCGATGTATATCTTGCATCTCTCTGCTGGAGGCATACCATCTGTATACTTGCAACGTTCAAAACCCTATGCAGGGAAGACAGGGATCTGATTTGAGCCGCGCACCACCACGATAACCTTGAAATCTGTGCCGAATTTCTCCATCTACAACCGATCGACATTCAAGGTTATCAAGCTGCTATTTAAAATTCAGTCAAAATCACAACTTTGGAGTTTTGTGATATTCGTGGTCTCGTCAGATACTCATGGTGTCGTGTCGTATACTATGGTACATTGGAATTAGAATTCCAGCTCCTCCACCTCCATGCCGCAGTCCACGCAGGTCTTGACGCCGATGCCCGTCTCCGGATTCTCCACGGATCGACCCCATTGGTGTACATGCTTCCGATTATTGCCCAGGTCGTCCCCGAACTCTCCACCCGACGCTCCTTTCCGATTTCGTCGGTACGCCTCAACGCGCGTGCGCTTCTTCAGGTCCTGCAGCTTCGTCTTGAACTTGGCTTCTCGTCGCTTCTTCTTGTCGTTCTCGCGTCGCTCAAACTCGGCATCCAGAGCCTCGGCAGAGCCCCATTTCTTCGGCGAAAAGGCATATTCTTCGACCTGAAAGCGGAGGTACAGCATCATGTTATTCCACGTCGATTTATGTGGATTTGGCCGTTCCAGATGGGGGAGAAGCTCCTCATCCCGTAATTCAGCTATCGAGCAAGATCAGCAATGAGACTCTCACGTGTCAAATGTCAATCATGAACGGACTCACGATCTGTCAAAAGATAATCCTCCTTGGCTTCTGTTTTAGTGAGAAGGCTGTACCGTTCCGGATATTTCTCCTTGCATGAATGGCAGATGCAACATCGGAGCATCTCCTCCCACTTCCAATCAATCTCTAGACTTCCGCACTCGCGACACGTCTTTTGCTTGCTTTTATCATCTAAGACACTCAACCCCGGCTCGAAGGGGCCCTCGCGATTCCGCCGGAGAGACTGGAGTAGTTGGTGGCGCTCCCATTCCTTCTGTGTCATATTTGCCGGCTTCTGTTCCTCCTTACCATCTGAAACATGCAGTGCCTTGTTGAACGGATCGTCCTCTTGCGTCAGGAAGCCACCCTTGGTGTCGGTCATCTTGCTGAAATCATAGTCAACGTATCGGGTGAAGTTGCGCGCCGGTTTGATCGTATCAAGCGGCCGATCGGAGGCCGTATTCGTACGGGCATCTCTCACAGAAGCCGGATGCTCGGCACCCGTCATCGAGTTGAAAGAACGCTTAACTCCTGGAGTGGCGCGAGGCGTCGCAATAGAGCTTGGGCTTTTGGACAGTTCGGCTTCGCGTTGTTCTCGAAGAGCTTTCGCCTTCATTCGATTCATTTCCTGGAGGTAGCAACGTGAGCAAGCGATAAGCTCAAGGGTAGCTCAGCAAGGTGACCTACAATCTTCCGCTGCTGTTCGGGGGTTAGCGGCCCGCGGGGGAGCTGACCCGACTCAGCAAGATTCTGCCGAGGAGGCGTTGAAGGTCGCTCTGCTGACATTTTGCCGGATCGCTCAGTGTGACTCGTTCGTATGGGAGGCAAAAGAGCAAAGGGCAAAGAGCAAAGAGAGTGAAGAAGGGAAAGCTTATCGCCACGTGACCGGCACTTGTGATTCGCGTCATGAACACGAGCCCGATGTTTCTGATTGTCTCCAAAAAAAAGCTACGACTCAGCAGCTAAGGAGTTTGCGTGTAAACACTCATCCTCATCACGTTATTGACCGTACAGGACCTCGCACACACCGCCGACCGGGATATCCATAACGGCATCGGTTCCCTCGCTCCAAATTTCCCACCAGTTAACTTTGCGGTTCTGCGGGCCCATGATTTGGTATGAGGTCGCGCCGGGCTTCATCTTGGTGGCTCCGCCTGGTCGTCTCCGAGCCTTCCCATCGATGACTGCTACATTCGCAACTTCATCCACAACATTCTCTATGCTGTTCATAGGCAGAGTCATGTAGCCAGTGTTGTAGGAAGCGAGTGCGACGTAGATGTAGACGATGCACATGACGAGCCATGCTGGGATAGCCAGGGACCACCAGCGGTTAGGGTAGTAGTAGATTCCGAGCTGATGTAGGAATGGGGATGGGAGGTATGACCAGAGGAGGTAAATCACTAGGTTGTCTCACGGTCAGCACGCAGCGACTAAAGCAAGACCAAGGGCTCGAGGGGGGGCGATTCCGATCAAGCACCTACAAAATGCAAGCGACGACGCTAGGTAGAGCACAAAGCCGTAATACTCGTAGGTCGGGACCTTGGGGCTGGCGCGCGGGACGGTTGTTGCGCGACGGGCTGACTTGGCCACGGCGGCCTCGGTGTCATTGGGGGTTTCCACATCAGAGCTATCTGGAGTGGTCGGACGGGAGGTAGTTGTCGAAAACGGGGGTCGGAGTAGTGATGTCAATGAGGGGGACGGCGGCAACGGTGTTGGCGGGCGATTGTAAAAGGGAGGCGCAAATGCATTTGGGCCGTGAAGAGAGCTGGATGACTGCCGAAAGGGATGATGCCTCTCGATATCGTCGGCCGAGTCGTCGGACTCGGAAGCGGAGAGCGATTGGGGGTCTAGCGAGTAGTGTGACTGGAAGTCCGCGTCATCCTCGACCTCGATCTCATCGTAGCCGGGGGAGGTAACCTCGTCCTCCGCAAAGCTCTCCTGTGCCTCCTCGGGCGAGTTGAGGTCATCAAGCAGAGGGGGAAACGGCTGCTTGGACTCGAAGGACGCCTCAAAACCCGGCTGCTTCGAAACTGAGTCCCCCATCAGGTCGATAGTCGTTTTGTGCAGGAAGGTGCTTGTCGAGATGTTCAAGATGTTTACTCCACGACGCTTTTCTGCCACTCGCATCCACCGCTCGCTGGTACTCGGCAACTAGGGGGAACGACGTAGGTTACTCTCTGAACGTTTTTACGTGTTATTTTTGGCACCCGGGCTCATTTAAGGAGCCATTTTAAAAAGCTATCTGGAAATAACTTAGTAGCTGTCTAGAAATAAGTGGTTGGAATAGACATAAGTATGTCCGGCGATTGATTTTCCGATTGGGTCACTTTTCACCAATCCAGAAAGATGTTTGAAGTTATTTGGCTGCTGGTAGTTAATCGCATTCTCTTGGTCGCAAATACGGATAACCATCAAGAATAATTGGCCAAGACCACTGATTGAGAAACCTGTCGGACCGGCCGCCTCTGCGGTCCGACGTCCGGCATGATACAATATTGCTGGACCCAGCCAGTTTAATCACCAAGTTAAATCGAAGGAAGGACAAACGATAGATACAGCTGGTTCCTCCTTGTTCAAACAGGCGCTGAGAAGTCGACAGAAGAGATATTGTACACTTTCAACTTGGCTGATACCACCTGGATCATACCTTGGATTTTCTTAGCGGAGGGAAACTTCTTGCCGAAAGCCTCCAACAGCTCGACCACCAAACCCAGATCATCAATGGCCCTGGTACTATCTAGTATCGGAGAAAGATTGTCCCCGTGGGCGGTAGAGGTGTACATAAGAGACAATGCGGAGTTGAAAACAGCCACGAGATTAAGCCAGTTGTAAGCGAATCGACTTTGTCGGTGCAGGTTTATTGCTTGTCGAATTGCCATTCCTGATGCTTCGCCGAGAATCTTCAATTTAGGAAGATCCAAGTTGGGGCTCAGCGGGGAGGGGCGATACAACATAATTACATGGGTGTAATAATTGAAGTCAAACCAGCTGGTACACAGATGTGGTACCTTGGATTGTAGATCTGGCAGGGGAAATGGCATACTTCGGCGCCATTCAACGAGTCGTTTGTGGAGGTCCTGAATAATTTCATCGCACGCTTCTGGAGTTTGTCTCTTGGCGTATTTCATCGCATGCACCCTACTGCCGATATCGCTTGCAATTCTTCGAAGCGCAAGAATGTGAAGTGGTATTGCCGTTGTAGACGGCTCCAAGGTGCTGGATGATCTGATGATTCCTTCTGGTTTGATGTTTTCATCATCGGCGTCGACAAAGGGCTGGAAGGCGGTTGTGAGCATACAAGAGAGACGGCGTGTTTGAATAGAGAACAAACCTCGACAGTAACATCATCATCTTGAATAGCAAATGGTCTACCTAATGCCAACGACACCACACTTCAAAAGATCAGCCGCGAGACACTCGCAAGAAGTGTTGCCAGAAAAAAGTAACATACCGGTCCATCATATAAAGAGAAAAGAAAAGGCGTTTTTGTTGTTCAGCCGTGTCCACTGTGAGAGCCTGATAAGTCTCCGATGCGTGAAGACCCATGCCCGTTGCCATACGAGCTGCTACTCCCACCAGGAACCAGGTATCTTCAAGAGTCAATGATAAAGTGATAAGAGTGTGGGGAGAGTGGCACATACTGGGACCAATCTTATTAAAGAACGAGTAGGAAACCTGCAACATCAGTACCTCTAAGCCGGCCTAAATTCCGCGTTAGCCGTAAACTGCTTTGACTTTTTGTAGGACCTACCAAGTCGCCACATCCCATTGCGGGCTCAAAATAAGTCATGGCTTTATTGAAAAACTGCACAGGCTCCGTCTCATCCATCAATGAAACGGAGCAATACGTGGTTGATCCGATCGCAAGAACCATCCAGATTCGAAATTGCCATAGCGGCGCTTGGGCTAGTGGATCCAACGGGTCGGCGTATACTCTCCACAGCACTGTTTCAAACTCGTGTTTTCGAATGAACGGGTAGAGAGTATGCGAATGTGCAAAATAGAATTCCAGGACGTAGTTGATGTGGGCGGGTTCCAGCAGCGCAAGGCCCGTTGGATCTTCATAATCCTCCACCGCGGGGTTTCCAAACAACGAGTTCAAGGGCAGTGGGCTTGTCAAAGAAGGATTTGCTTCGAAGAAAATGGGATTGAAGCTCGACGAGGGATCGGTGTCGGAGCTGGAACTCTGTTGTTCATTCCTACCGAAGTCATCGTCAAATACGAATCCATCCTGGTCTGGCGACAGCCGTTCGAGGACGGTCTGAATGAGCTTGGCAAATGAGAGCCCTGATGAGGAGCCCAAGTATCGCTCTGCCGCTGCTTCTAATGATAGCAGCCTGAGCTCCTCGGCCAAGTTATCTGTCCTCTGTCCAGTTCCAGTTGGATTACTGGGCGAAATCGGCGCAGTGTCGAAATCCGGCATGTAAGTCTCCGCACATCGCAGAGGTGAGTGGTTCATGACATTATCGGCATTCAGCAGATCGTCACTCAGACGAATCTCAGCATCCCGGTCCCAAGGATACGATGAAGGGTCATTTTGGGAATTCTGAGGCGTAAGTGACGCAGCTAGTTGTTCTTCAAGCTCCTTGACTCGTCGCTCCAGACCACGCACGTAACTGTCAATTGTCAGCTATCGTTTCATGTCGAAATCCCTTCCAAAACATACGCGATCGGATATGATGCCACTTGAGACTCATCGTCAAGAAAGCTACATGCGACTTTGGCATGCTGACACGCATGGCACTGAGGTAAAGTCTTGTCGCAACGCTTCTTCCTCCGATGGCATCGTTTGCAAGAGCTTTCTGCCCGTGCAGCCGGTTCTGGCATCATCAGTATGAGGCAGTTCGGAGAGCAGCGGGGAAGATAAGGCTCATCGGGCGCGCTCCGCTCTCACTTTATCTAGCCGTCTCTGGTCGCGATGTGGCCAATTTCGCTTCTCCTTTCTACGTTCCACTCGCTAATACGTCTCTCTGGGATCTTGGATCTCACGCACGAAGATCACTACCCTTACTAAAATACGAGTCGAGCCCGCGGGGACGACGGTCGACGCCAATGGGAAGCCGGGGATTGATTACAGCGGGGATGGTATCGAGTGAGGGGAAGCAGTGAACCTACTGATTTACGAGAATGAGCTTCGTGAATCACACTGATTGATCACCGATTCCGAACTGGCAACAAGTAGAGCCAAAGGCACCTTAGTTTGACCGTACCCCGGGGTATATTCTTATCTGCTACATGGGCAGCCTCATGTACATGCTACGGGGCATAGGTCCAGTTCAAAACACGTACGAAAGGTGTTTTACATAGTCCCCAGAAGATCTAATCCGTTGCAACGGCAATCTGTGACCTATAAACGTCATCATCAAAGGTCAGCCGAAACTGTTACTTCGGGTCCTCCGCCTGTGTTTACCGTCGGGTAACCCGCCTTCCCCGCGTGGAGATGTTAGCAATTCGAGAATATAAGAGTAGAAGGGGAAAAAAGTAAACAACCGTATCGTTTCACCAAACTTTTATCTATCCTCGATCCGATCATGTCCCTCAACGGCCAGTCTTTCCTTCTCGATCCCGAGAAGCGAGCCGGTCCAACCAGATATTCGCACGCGCGCGTCGTTCAACCCTCAACCCACCACACCGTCTACGTCTCGGGGATTGCCGCGGTTAGTCCAGATGGAACCTATGAGGGTGTCATAGAAAACGCGGATGGGTCATTCACAGCCGATGTGAAGCAGCAGACGGCTGCCGTCCTACGCAGGATCGACAGCATTATCCGAGGCGCTTCGAACGGAAAAGCGAATCTATACAACGTCGTGGACTCGACAGTCTATATCTTGGACATGAAGACCCAATATGCGGATATGAATGATGAATGGAACAAGATCTGGACCGACCGTGCGAGCGCACCGAGCCGAGCAACGATCGGAGTCAGGGAGCTTCCTGATCCGCACTTTGCTGTTGAAATTAAAGTGACAGCCATCTTCGAGGCATGAAAGCAAAGGGGCTGGGAGGGATTCTGTGAATAATTCAAGCTGACGGAACTATCGGTTTGGTTGTCCCGATGACTCACGAGGTTGTAGTTCGGGGTAACTCGCGCTCTGATCTTCATCGTTCTTAATATTTTATGTCATATAAACCGCTCTCCACATTCTCCTCTCTTTACCCCTCCCCCTCAATTCCGACTTCTTCATCTCTCGCAATGGCATCCACGTACGATGGAACCGGTATTCAGTACTTTGAATTGAAAGATTTCGTCTTTCACAATGGTACCTCCCTCCCATCAGTACGCCTGGCATATCGAGAGTTCAATCCCACGGGCCAGAAAACAGCTCTGATCCCAACGTGCTTCCACGGCAGAATAAACAGTACGTTGAACTTTACCAACGGAACACTTCGCGATTACCGAGTGATCGTAGTCGCACTGTTTGGCAACGGCGAATCTGCCAGCCCGTCCAACACGCCCAATTTTCCATCTCGCCTCGACTATCGGGACTGCGTCAAGGCCCAGTATCAGTTGACTACGGAGCATCTGCAGATTACTTCGCTGGATGCTGTGATTGGCTTTTCAATGGGAGGGCAAACTACTTACCATTGGCTTGCCTTGTACCCTCAAATGGTCCACAACGCAGTGATTATCTGCTCGGCAGCCAAAACCAGCCTGCACAACTACCAGTTCCTGGAAGGTCCCAAAAATGCTCTTCTGCACTCCGTTGATTACAACGACAGCTCTTTTCAGTCTCAGGGCAAACTACCAATTCGAGGATTGCGCGCATTTGGACAGGCATACTCTGCCTGGCTGACCAGTGCTGAATGGTTTGAGGAACGCCTGTTTGAAAAGCAGGGCTATAAGACGCTAGGCGAATGGGCTGCTGTGGTTGGCGGGAAAAGCTATGAAGATTGGCACCCGGATGACCTGCTCGTTATGCTTGGAATGTGGCAGCGGTCGGATCTTGGTGCCGTGGTGGGATCGGATCAGCCTCTACCCCTCGAAGATGCCCTCCGCACTTTTACAGGCAGGGTCCTCCTGATGCCTTGCCAAACGGATCAATACTTCAGATGGGAGGCAAATTCAAAGGAAGTTACGCACCTTCAGAAAGGGGAACTAGCGGTGATACCCTCAATCTGGGGTCATCTGGCGGGTGGCGGTGCCAGCCAGACCGACGTCGAGTGGATGGATGGCAGAATTGCCAAATTTCTCAATCAAAGCACCTGAGACTCAGATGCACGATACGAATAGAGTTGATGACAAAAATGAGTCATCATTTACCGAAATTTCAATACCTACATACTCTGGCGACTTGCCCGACGTGACCTTTAAAGAATATTGTAAGGGTGCAGAACGCCAAGAACAACACGGCCAGCTAGGAATTTAGTGGCGTAGGGGAATCGCTCTCATTGCATTGGCCGGATATCCCGATAGAGCACTGGTAGAGGTCTTATCGAGTGTGACACTCAGGTGGTCGGACCGTCCGACGGTGCTGCCAATGGCGCAACGAGACCGATGAGGGGTCACTCGCTGTCCGAAAATAGCTTGACTGTCGGGAGCACGAACGATTCTTTACTCATTCTCCGACAATTCTCACAAGATGTCTTTCTGCTTGCTATTTAATCCCAGCATCTGCATGCAAAAGCGAACGTGAGTCGCCGTGGAATTCTCACAGTTTCGGATTTAACTCTTGTGCAAAGACAAACCTGATAGATATCAAAATGGAAGAGCATCTGGTTCCTTTGAGTATAATTCCCAGAAGCTATGTCCTTGCTTTGATACCCTTAGTTATCTACCTGCTCTACAAAGTAAGCCGGCAGTCGAAGGGTCAAGCCTCTCCTATTCTAATATCCTGACAGTGGACACTGGTGACCGACATCCCTCACATCAAAGGTCTCCCGGAGATTCCCGGTGCAGTCCCAATCTTCGGCCATCTCCTCAAGCTTGGTGACGATCACGCCACCGTTTGTGAACGGTGGTGGAGGGAGTATGGCCACTCTGTCTTCCAGATCAAGCTCGGCAACACACGGGCTGTCGTCGTTAACTCCTTTGATGACTGTCGAAAGATGCTTCTTGGGCATCAGAGTGCGGTGATTGACCGACCAAAGCTCTATACCTTTCACGGAGTGGTAAGCAGCACGCAGGGATTCACCATCGGCTCCTCGCCTTGGGATGATTCGTGCAAAAAGAAGCGTAAAGCGGCGGGAACAGCCTTGGGACGACCGGCTTTGCGTAACTACCATCCCATGTTCGATTTGGAAAGTTACTGCATTGTACGCGACGTTTATCGCGACAGTTCAAATGGTGCCATCGAGCTGAATATCAGACCGTACATTCAACGATTCGCTTTGAACACGACCCTGACCCTCTGCTATGGTATTCGTATGGATGCCGTCTACGACGATCTTTTGCGTGAAATTCTCCACGTCGGATCCGCAATCTCCCTTCTCCGAAGTGCATCGGAAAACCTGCAGGATTACATCCCGGCCCTACGCTACGTCCCAAATAATGAGAAGACAGCACGCTCAAAAGAGCTGCGAGATCGTCGAGATGCTTATTTGAATCTTTTGCTGGACAAAGTACGCGCAATGATCAAGAAAGGCACCGACAAGCCTTGCATCTCTGCGGCAATCCTCAAAGACGAAGAGACAAAGCTCACCGGAGTCGAAGTCTCTTCGATTTGCCTGTCGCTAGTTTCTGGAGGTTTCGAGACCATCCCGGGCACCTTGACTTCCACCATCGGCTCGCTATCTACCCCCGAAGGACAGATCTGGCAAGACCGCGCTTATGAAGACATCAAGCGATATTACCCTGATACCCGAGACGCATGGACTAGCTCTATCTACGAGGAGAAAATTCCATATGTGAACGCAATTATCAAGGAAGCCGGACGTTACTATACAGTTAGCGCCATGAGCTTACCCCGAAAAACGGTCACAGAGGTCAACTGGAATGGTGCAATCATCCCACCGGAAACGATGATGTTGATCAATGCGCAGGCGGGTAACCATGGTGAGTGCTCCTTTGTTTTACTTCGGTCCTTGTACTAAGTCGAGGACTAGATGTGGACCATTTTGGACCCGACGCAGGGAAATTCGACCCCGAAAGGTGGCTGAAGTCGCTCGATCCCCCTGTAGAAAGAGAAGGAAACGGACTCCTCCATTTGAGCTTCGGTGCCGGATCGCGCGCCTGCTCCGGCCAATACATCGCCGCCAGACTGTTATACTCCGCCCTCATTCGTCTGCTCACTTCCTATAAGATTGTGGCAAGCGAGGAAGATCCCCCTAATACTGACTATGTCGACTACAACCAATTCAAGACGGCGCTAGTTGCTATTCCAAGAGACTTCAAGGTCAGATTAATTCCAAGGGACGATGCAGTTACCAGCGACTGCTTGAATGCGGCGGAACTTCGTACCAAGGAGCACTACAAGGAATGAAAGTTGGATATTATCTGGTATTTACAAGTTTTCTGTTTTGTTTTCCTTTTCTCTCATGATTTGTTGCAATTTGCAATACCCAGAAAGTGGCTAGACCTTTTAGTCTGAATGTATTCACTGCCTGGGATTTGATAATAGTAGTGACCTTGACATTCTATCTTATTCAAATGTTCCTTCATGTCTACTGATTTCTCTATGGAACGAAATCCGATTCAATATAAGCATAATTTGTTTCGCAAGATTGGAGTGATTAATGAATATTTTGCGACTTTACATTGGTCTTAAAGACGGACCTAAGACGCAGATTTGCCGTTTCGGCCGGTCCGACACCTAGGCAATGGGAATTAGCTAGGTAGACTTCCCCACCTTGATAGCTATGTAGTGATAAATTCCATGTTCCAAAATTCAAGAATCACTCAATATCAATTTTTGACTTTCATCAAACGCAAAATGGGTTCCCTAAGTACATCGGATCTATTCAGTGTCAAGGGCCGCGTGGCGCTGGTCACCGGGGGAAGCAGCGGCATTGGCCTCATGATATCCAGAGTGAGCGGCAGATCCAGAGCCTCAGGAGGGAGAGCTAACGCCGGGCCAGGGACTAGTAGCCAATGGAGCCAAGGTTTACCTGGTGGCCCTGCCGAGCGATCCAATTGCTGAAACTATTCAAGACCTGAATCACCTGGGGCGTGATACTGGCGGAAGCGCAGAAGGGTATCTACTCTTGCCAAGTACGCAAATCTCGGCTAACGAGTGACTTGAAGATTTCCTTGTGACCTTTCATCCAAAGTGTCAATACAGGAGCTTGCTGAAAAGATCTCCAAGATGGAAACAACTCTAGACATGCTCATCTCGAATGCGGGCATCCGTCGCGATCCACCGAAAGCATGCAATGTCCTCACAGCGCCGCTACGTGAGCTTCAAGCTTCGATGTGGTCAATTGATCAGAAGGACTGGGAAGATACGTTTCGGGTAAATACCACAGCACATTACTTCCTCAGTGTGGCATTGCTTCCATTACTTGCTGCAGCCGCCGATCAGCCAACGAGCGATGGCGGCAAGGGCCGAGATGAGGGAAGAGGTGTTATTGTCGTCACCAGCTCCTGCGCGAGTATGCACAATGCTACTAATGTGGATCTAACGAGCTATGCGACAAGCAAGGCCGCAACCGATCACCTTGTAAAACTGTTGGCGGCCAAATACAATCGGTTCTACGTCCGAGTTGTGGGCATCAACCCCGGATGTACGGGAACATTCAATCCCGCATAAGTGATCATTGCTAATGTACTCAGTTGTACCAAGCAATATGAATCCTGTCGGTGCTGCAGGAAATATCTTCAGTTCGCTTTTCGACAAAGTGCCGGCGAAAAGAGCAGGAACGTCACAGGATATTGCAGGGGCAGTGATTTACCTCGTGAGCAAAGCAGGGGTAAGTTGGACTCTTCGATGTTCAAAATATGTCTTTAATTTACTGGAAATAGTCATATGTCGATGGCATTTCGCTTTGCGTAGATGGGGGTCGTATTCTGTTGGCGAACGGACAGGAGTGATAACATACAATGCCGCGAATAATTCCAGCAGGTACAGAATGTCAATATTAACCTACCGCTAGTCCATATACTGCATTTAGAGTGGCCCTCCTAAGCGAGAGATCAGAGTTGCCGATAATGGGAATACATCGGGTTTCCCGCTCGGTCGTCGTAGTGAATCGGAACCTCCGCTTCTTACGCAGGTACATTTGCTGGCTTTGCACCGTCAGTACTTTGCAACTCGGGTAGAAGGGGGATTATATAAGTAATACTTAGTAGTTACTACCCTATCATTTCCGAGTCCCATACAATACCCTGTCCGAGCTTCGTCATGTCGGTGGCTTTCTTGGCCGACAAGACTCAGTACGTGCATCTGGGGCAAAGAGGATCATTTGCTAATAAGAGGTAGATCCGATATCTCGATCAAGGACTTGCACAACGCTGCTGCAAAACTCGGCTTAGAGATTCCAGATGGCCCAGATGCCGAAGACTATTTGCATCTGCTTCAATCGGTAGAGGCCGTCATGAAACAAATCCGATGCAGCGAAGATTACATTCATCCATCCCTATCACCTGTAGAAACTGTCGCTTTACGCACCTATTGGGAGCCCCGGGCCGAAGATAATTCGTTGAATGCCTGGAGACATCGATGTGAGCTGGTGGCGGCAAGTCCGACAAGCACCGCACTGCGCGGCAAGTCCATCGCGATCAAGGACAACATCTGCATCGGCGGATTGCCAACGACTGTTGGAACCTTTACCGAGTTGCTATGTCCGGACGGTCATCTTCGGGTTTCCCCCATTGATGCGACCGTAGTCTCGAGAGTCCTTGCAGCGGGTGCAACGCTCAAAGGATCCGCCAATTGTGAGAATTATTGCGCATCTCCTCTGTCATATAGCGCTGCCACAGGCCCCGTCCATAATGCCTGGAAGAAAGGATATACTTCGGGTGGAAGTAGTAGTGGCAGTGCGACGCTTGTTGCCACCTCGATGATACAGCTTAGGGATGGCACATCCTCCGAAGAAGCAGTGGATATCGCAATAGGCGGCGATCAAGCTGGGTCAGTGAGGATACCGGCATCGTATAGCGGGATTTACGGATTGAAGCCCACCTACGGACTGGTTCCTTATACTGGAGCGGTGCCCCTGGCTCCAATGCTCGATCATTTGGGTCCCCTCGCTGGCAACCTGGAGGACGTGGCACTTCTGCTCCAAGTGATGGCGGGCTATGATGGGATTGATCCACGAATGACTCCAGAGTCTCCACTTCGATACCAAGTGCCGGAATACGCGCAGATTTTATCGGATTTTAGAACCTGCCAACGAGATGGGAGGGAAAATCTGGGCTCTGGGTTGACGATTGGCTTGCTCACCGAGTCTTTCGATGTTCCAGGGGTCTCAGATGAAGTCCGTGATACCGTCCTGCGATCGGCCAACGACTTTTTTGCGGCTGCTGGAGCTAAGGTAGTGGACATATCGATTCCGATGCACCGCGACGGAAGTCTCATTTGGACTGCTGCCACCAGACTGTCAATGTCCGAATGGGTATGCCAAGGCAAGACGTCGGGCTTCCTGTCCTTTTTGCCGCCTCACCTCGACGCACGATGGCCCCCGGATCAGAGGATGTACGAGCTGCTGACCGCAACCAACCCGGCAATCGTGAATGTGATGCTTAGTGGGCCATTTCTTCAAGAACATTTCGGTCCCGGCATCGAGGCCAAGGCACATCGCAAGGCATTTGAACTCAGGGCGGCTTATGATAAGGCTTTTGCGAAAGTCGACATCCTCGTCACGCCGTGTGCGCCGACAGTGGCCATGCCACACCCCAAAATGCAAGCCGATACCGAGGAGCCATCGAGTGTCATGGAGAAGCTATCTGTGGCCGTCGGGGTCACCACCAACACGGCGCCATTCAACGTCACGGGCCATCCAGCCCTAAATGTTCCTTGCGGATTCGGTCGAGCACTAAATCAGCCAGAGGTAAAATTACCGATTGGTATGCAGCTCATCGGCAGGCGGTGGGAAGATGCAACCCTGCTCAAAGCAGCAGCCGTTTTTGAAGAAGGACGGACACTGGCATCGTGTGGATGGTAGATAATAATAAAAATACTTGCTTGTTCTGCTTGTCCTCTTCTCTGCCATCGGTATATCGCGAGGACGTTACTCCGTAGCGCACGGAGGGCATGAGTTGATCGCTAGTCAAGAGGCTGGGGAATGGAACGAGGCTGCAGGTGTATGTAGAGTATTCAGAATATGCAGAGTCAAATATGCAGACGCGAATTGCAATCCGTGGCAAATCGGTAGACGCTTCCCATTCAGTCGAGTCATGGCTTGCAGATCCTCCTGACGTCGGGGATGATCCGTTACACAATAGGGTTGTGCAGCTGGGAATTACATTCGAAGTATTCTCGACACGAGTCAATTCGACACGCCTACGTCTACGGGGAAGCATCTTCAGGTGCGCTGCAACCCTAAGGTGCGTCCTTCCTCCCACGCCCCTTGCGTCCAGCTCAGTTGCACATTCCAGTCAGGCCGAGGCCTGATGTTCTGGAGGGGGAGAAGTAATCCGATTCCAGCTTCTCTCCCCACGCGGCCAGTCCCATGAGGTAGTTGGGCGGCTTCATGTCCTACAAAGACGCTTCTACGATGGCATCTCAGAACGAGAACGGATGATTTCACTTGTCACCTCGCAGATGAACATGCCAATGAGCATCCCCCATGGATCATGGTTGGCAGCCCGTGGAAAGAGCACGAACCACCGTTTGAGTGGTTGACTTTCAGGGGCGAACTTTTGACTCGACCCCCGATCCTCACGTCTCCACTCGATAGTTTGTTTCTTGATCCACACCAATGTCGCTCTGCTCGGATCGGCTCCGGGACAGCCCCCGATAGGACTCGACATGCCCTGTTATGCTCTATCAAGCATGGAGCGGCCGGCATGGATAGGCACCCGAGTTAATAACCAACCTCCAGGACTGATCGGACGTTGCATGTGTGCAGGGAGTGCGGCGCGCAAACGAGGCGATCGACAAACTATCGCGAACCCGAGGACTGAGTGCCATAGGACCCACCTATCAGCGCTGCCCAAATTCACACGAAAACCTACTCCGTATGCGCGTCTTATTTCCGAAAGACCTGTCCAAAAGGCGGAACATGACACCCTAAGAGCGGGCCGTTAGACTTTTGTGATGAATGAACGGGTCACGACCTCGTTTGCTTTTTTGATCGGCGCCTTTTCGCTTTAATAGCCACCCTCTGCCAGGACCGGAGAGATTCAGGCACCGGGCACGCCCACTATGTCGAGTCCAGTCGTACGCCAGATTTCCATTCCTACCGAAGGAACATGCTGATATGACCCCTAGAACCCAAACAATGACCCCAACATCGGTTCATCCCGGGGCAATGCCTCCTCCACCTCGGGCCAGATCGCCGGCGACCTCACCGGCGATGGTGGCTCGTCGGCCTCGGCTCTGACGATGACCCTGATTCCGGCCTTGATCTATGCGCTGTTTTGGTTTGCTCTCTTCCTCCTTTTTCGACGAACACAGCGTCGATGGTACGCTCCACGATCTCATTTACCCGATCTACATGAACACCAACGGAGTCCCGAATTGCCTTCGGGATGGGTCAACTGGTTCGGCACATTCTTCAAGATCGAAGACAACCATGTACTACATCATTCCTCTCTCGATGGGTACCTCTTTTTGCGCTTTCTGCGAGTCCTCTGTGCGATATGCTTCTTCGGCTGTTTGATTTCATGGCCGATTCTGCTGCCCATCCATGCCACAGGCGGCGCTGGCAACACCCAGCTCAACATGCTCAGTTTCAGCAACGTCACAAACCCTACCAAATATTACGCAAACGTGTTTGTGGCCCTGGTATTCTTCAGTGCGTACTCAGCCCCCCGGTAGAGTGGCAGCTTTCTAACCGAGTGGCAGCGTTCGTGTTCTATATCGTTGTCCGAGAGAGTCTCTACTACGCACATCTTCGCCAGGCCTACCTAAACTCACCGGCCTACGCTTCTCGAATCTCCTCGAGAACTGTCCTGTTCATGTCTGTACCGGATGACTACAAAAATGAAAAGAAGCTGCAGCAGGTATTCGGCGACTGCATTCGTCGCGTTTGGATCACATCGGACTGCGAAGAGCTGGACAAGCTCGTCGACGAGCGAGACAAACTGGCCTTCAATCTTGAAACTGCGGAAACGAAGCTGATTCGACGAGCGAACAAAGCTCGAATTAAGACTCTCCGGACTGGGGAATGTTCATCGGACACCTGCCTCGACTGCGAGTCAAGCAATCCTGCCGGCTCCCACACAGTCAAGCGACCGACACATCGACTGAAATTTATTTTTGGCAAAAAGGTGGACTCGATTCACTGGTACCGATCGGAACTGGTTAGAGTGACTAAAGAGGTGGAGGCCCTCCAACGAAGGCACCAAAATGGCGAAGCCAAACAGCTGTCCGCGATGTTTATCGAATTCAATTCCCAATCCGACGCCCAGATTTCCCTGCAAACCCTTGCACACCATCGACCCTTCCACATGGCACCTCGCTTCATTGGGGTATCTCCGCGGGAAGTTGTCTGGGGGGCGTTAAATCTAAGCTGGTGGCAACGAATTGTCCGGAGATTTGCTGTTCAAGGAGCCCTTGGAGCTCTGGTGATCTTTTGGTCATTCCCGGCGGCCATTGTGGGGACCCTCTCGAACATCACCTATCTTTCCAACTTGATTCCGTTCCTCCGGTTTATCCGTCACCTGCCCAATCTGGTCAAGGGGGCCATCGAAGGTCTACTGCCCTCCGCGGCTCTTGTGGCCTTGATGTCGTTGGTGCCGATCATCTGCCGAAGTATGATTTGTCTCCACTGTAGGATCGAAAGATAACTGACATATCGAGGTAGTTGGCGCAAAGCGTGCCGGCGTGCCGTCGTTGGCGCGGGTTGAACTGTTCACACAGAGCGCCTACTTTGTCTTCCAGGTCGTGCAGGTGTTCTTGGTGACAACCCTGACATCTGCTGCATCTGCTGCGACAACACAGATTATCAAGAATCCTCTTTCGGCAAAGGATCTCCTGGCGCAGAATTTGCCCAAAGCCACCAATTTCTACATCTCTTACTTCTTGCTCCAGGGATTGAGTTTGAGCTCAATGGCACTCGTACAGATTGCGAGTGCCCTAGTGTTCAAATTTATCACCACTTTTTTCGCCTATTCGCCGCGCCGTCTTTATCAGAAATGGGCTCAGCTCGTTACTCTGAGCTGGGGCAATGTTTTCCCTGTTTTCACCAATATGGGTGTGATCGGTAGGCGTATTCCATACTTTCGTCAGGTTCGTCTAACTAAAATCAAAACAGCATTAACTTACTCCTGTATCGCGCCGTTGATTCTGGGCTTTGCTTTCATCGGCCTGTACCTTGTCTACCAGGCCTACCGATATAACTTTTTCTTCGTTTACGATATCGAGATTGATACCAAGGGACTGGTCTATCCACGCGCGTTGCAGCACCTGTTGACTGGTCTCTACCTCGCTGAAGTCTGTATGATCGGCCTGTTTGCCATCAAAAGTGCGATCGGCCCGGTTATTATTATGGTCCTCTTCCTCATTGGCATCGTCTTGGCCCACATCTCCCTTAACGAAGCTCTCGCCCCGCTGAACACATTCCTGCCTCGGTCTCTCGACGCCGAAGAGGAGCTTCTTCTGGACAAGGAGGATGCCCAGGCCGAAATCAACGAGATCAATGCCCAGCGCCGCTCGCGAATCTTGGCATTTTGGAAATGGTTCCACCCGAACATGTACAAAGATTTTGCGGCGATGCGTCGAAAAGTGCGACGCAACGTTGCCGCGGTCGATTACACTGAAGAAGAGATGCGCACGGCCTATTTTGAGCCCAGCGTAGCGTCTCCCAATCCTACTCTTTGGATCCCCCGTGACAGGTGGGGATTTAGTCGGCATGAGATTATGGAGACAGATCCTGCCATTCAAATCACGGACGAAGGAGCCCACCTCAACGAGAAAAACAAAATCGTGTGGGACAAATACGATCCCCATCTTCCGCTGCGAGAACGGAAGACGCTGTATTGATGGATCTTGCTCTTGTTTTGATACCACGAGAGATATATGATGACCGACGACCTCTTGTTGTATAATATTTTCCATGTTTGGTCACGTCGGCGTTTTCAATTTCTCGATGGCAGGGATATAGTGGGCGTTATGAGTTATGATATGGCAGATTTTCAGGTGACACAATAGTCCAATTCAAATGTTTGATAAGCCAATGGTCATTCCTCCAAAGTATACCGATAGGAACATCAAGACTACAACGGTTCGACATTCAAAGTAAAAGTTAACTGCATTCACAGCGCCATTGTCTCGAGGATAAAATTCAAAAATGAAGACCGTTACGCGGAGGAAGTCCGTGTTGGATTCTGCAGCACCGTAGCTAAGAAGTGTTCAAATTGGGATGAATTAATGGGTGTGATGAATCTCAGAAAACTGGATTTGAGCTTTCGTATCGTATAGATCTAGGTACACGTGCATTGCTTCATGATATGCGTTCCATCGTATCGGGCCTTCGTAAACCAAGTTCGAGATGGGCCCTTCTTGCGCGTTCAAATAGCGATTTCACATCATGATGCAGTCTCTATTGTTCCTCCCATTTGAGCTATATCGATTGGGAGGATACTGAGCCGAATAGTGGTTTGCTGCATACCGATCGCCTTGATCACCGCCGTTCCGAGGCCTTGGGTCCGGCGGAGAAAACCGGGGCCCCGTGGCCGCTTGTTCATAAGGAGGCGGAGGCGCGTTCGGATCCTCCGGATCGGGATCACTATGTGGCTGTGTGAACCTGGGGGAAGTTCGAGTTGGCGGGTTGGACAGATGAGGGCTGGACCCTTGGCTTGTCCGAACGGGGCCCGAGGGGCGAATGCCTCGCGGGGGTTGGGGTTCTTGCTGGCTTTCTGTTTGGTTCCCCGTTTGATTGCCTGTCTGATTGCCTGTCTGATTTCCCGTCTGATTCCCCGTCTGTTCCCGTTGCTCTTCTTCCTGAAACTGAAGTGAGAGGGCATAGGCATAATCCGCATCGCTCTGTTCTTGCGATGATAATTCACCCCCTGATGATTCGGCTGCAGCAGGAGTGCTGATTGCAGCAGCACTCGATGTACGGGGACCCGCTGGACCCGTTGGACCCGCTGATCCAGATGCAGCGTGGGTGACAGCACGGAAGTCACCCGCGAGAAATTCAGAGTTGAAGCCGGTCACATCGACTAATGATTCCCATACAATCTCGGCATGATTTGCGTAGCCAGCGTCGGTGACCAACGTATAGAGCTGGTGTGATTGTGGATGTTTGTAAAGTGTCGAAAAATGGTCGTTGCGGAAGAAAATTGAGACTGACCCAGGCGCCAATCGAGTGGTCAGCTGGGTCAAGCCAAAGGGGCTCAGTTGCGTCGCATTCTCAACGTTGACAAAGTTCTGGATGGCCTGAATATCTGCCATCTTCTGCTCCTCTTCTGACGACAGGGAGTGCCCTTGCATGACTCGATCCTCCAGCTCCTGTTTGCGGAAATGCAAAAGTTGGATATCTTCATGATATTGGGCAACCCGGGTCATTGCGGTATGTTCTGGGCTCGACCACGATGCGAGCCATCCATGTATTAAAGGGACGCCAAATGTACTGTATAGTCGGAGATCCGCAGTTTGAAGAAACGTACCGAGTGAATCCGTCGTTTCCTGTTAAAAGAATTAGCCAAAGGAGTACCAGACGCATAGGAAAGACTATGCTTACCAAAGTCAATCGAGGATTGACATTCATGCCAGTATGCAACATGGTGAGAAACTGGGTGAGTGCCTCAATATCCGGAAATTCCTCGTCCGGGCCCAGGCAATTAGTCAACTCCTCAAACAAAGCCTCAATGAGAAGACCCAAAGAGATTTGCTCGCGCGTCTGCAATGCTCTGACAATCGGTGTTTGGGTTTTGGGATCAGCACGAAGCACGAGGGCATTGATAAGAGCGAGGAGAGGGCATGGTCCATTCAGATTCTGAACCAATATGGGCGACTGAAGTAATTGCCCCGTTCGGTCAGTCCAATTTATCTGCCGGATCGAGTATGTTTCGGATCTTTTTTCCTTCTGTTTGGCTACATCCGCAGCAGAAAGATTGGTGCTTGATGCTGATGAGTTTTGTTCTTGCGTAACATCTAAAGGCAGCAGCATGGAGGATGTATTTTGAGGAACTTGCGCATCAAAGTGTACTTTTTCCCCTTTTGCTTCAGCTCCCGGTGAGTAAATTGACGAGGCGGCTCGATGAGACCCGGTCTCTACCCCGAGGGTGTCGGCAGCATTCAAGTCTATCAGCTCATGCGACGTGGCCGAGGTCCCACTGGAGATCGCTGATGGGGTCCCGATGCCGCCGTCTGAGCCCAATCGGTCATGTGTATATGTTGGTTGAGACCCATGGGGAATTTGAGGATGATCCAAGTGCTGTACGACTAACGCTGGGGCGTAAGGGTTGGATTGTCCGCCCTGCAAATAAATTTCCTGGGGCGCCGAGATCTTGATCGAATGTTGTGATCCCCACGGAGACGCATCGTGAGATGTGTCGCCATGAAGATGGTGAGCAGCAACATGAGAGGACCCCGGTTCATTCCACGGAGATTCCTGCCCCGATGAGTCAAGTAAAGATAGCCGGGCCGTCATCGGGATATATCCTTCCGCTATGACACGTCAGTATGCTTGGTTCTCGCGAGGAGGTGAGTATTCGTACATTGACTCAAAGGGTCACTGCTGGTGGTAGCATGTGAATGACGATTTTCCCAGTCATTCTGTTCCGAGTAGTCCTGCCTCGAGTCCGAGGCTCTGGGCTTCAAAAACGGGTTATTCGACTGTAGCTGCACGGGTACATCCCCGGTCGTCGCGTCTTTATCCTCGGGTGCTGGCTGCCAGCCAACTTCGGCAGCTCCCTGTTGGCCGGGCATGAGCACCGAGGAAACCCAAGCACCTTTTGAATTTGTCCCCGTCGGGTATGAGCTCGAGGTGGCTGGGCGATCCCCAGCTGCCCGGTCCCCCAAGCCCTCTGGCCATGAATTTGGCGGGCGGCTAGTTGGTGAGCCCACAGGAGACCTCTGAGCCTCTTCGAGAGGCATCAAGTCGAAGGCTGGAGAGGTATTGAGGTCTGGAGAGTAGACGGACTCTTGCGATGGGATACGATTTAGGCGAGCGTGACGCGAAGCGGAGTTGCTGGACGGAGAGGTTGGGGAATGGCAGTCCGATCGAGCATCCCTTTTGTTGAGGTTCTCAAGACGTGGCGGGGGAGGTTTGCGGAGCACCATGAAGACAGCCGGTGGATATCACACGGAAATAGAAACGGACAGGCTATATAGTCCGGGGGGATCAACCAGCCCTCTGAATGTTCACAAGGCGAATACCAAGAGGCGCTCTGGGATTTCAGCCATGGGACAAACCCAAAGCAACCTTGCGCCCAGTCAAAAGCAGTCAAGTCAAGAGCTCCGCCTCCAAGTACATGGATATCAAGGGGCCGCAGGCACCAGCCGATCTCTGGAGTGAGTCCGGAGCACGGAGTACGGGTATTACCGACCGGTTGCCAGTGTTGCCCCATGTGGGGCGGGCCCCGGTAGGGTACTGTGTACTGAAATTACACTGCGCATGGGTAGTGCTCTGCTCTCCGTTTTAGATACTGTCCAGCGGTAGCGTGGGGGCCAAGCTCCGGCAGCACGAAACCTAGAAGAGCAAAATTCAATATCAAGGCCTTGCAAAAGCCATCCTAAGGGGTTTATAAAGGTTCCTACACCTAGAAACCCCAGAACTTTTAAGTATGCAAAAATACCAATTACATAAGCATTGATAACGACGGGCCGACTGTTTGTCCGAGAGCTCCCCGCGGCTTCTCATTGGCCGTCCAATGCCGTTTTTTCGATTGTTCGCAGCGAGCTTCATTTTGTGCCTCACGCCATGCACTCGTCAATTCGGCCGCACCAGTTCGTGGCGGTCCAGCTGCCGTCAGAACAGACTCGCCTCGTCAAGCTAGTTCCTAATACGTATGCAAAACATTCACTTGTCCTCGAAGCGAGCTAACGCCCGTCTCTAGCATAGTCAATCTGGGCAAGTATGGCAGCTTTTCCTCCAATCAGGTCATCGGTCGGCCCTTTTACTTGACTTTCGAGATACTTGATACCCCGGAGAGTGATGGCTACGGGCTGCGCGTCGTCTCCGCCACCGAACTGCATGCCGAAACCCTGATTGAAGAGGCCGAGGCAGACGGAGAAGGCGACGATGCAGAGGCGGGAGACGGGACACCAATGCGGACGAACCGCGAGATCGTGGACGACGCTTCGACGCAGCGCTTGACCTTGGAGGAGATTGAGGAGCTGAAAAGGGAGGCCAGTGGGGCAGGCAAGGATATTGTCGCAAAGCTGTTGGAGTCGCATTCAGCCTTGGATCAGAAGACGGCCTTCTCGCTCGCCAAATACACACTGCGCAAGCGCAAAAAGTATATCCGGAGATTTACCATTCTCCCCTTGGACGTCAGCCTTCTCGTCAACTACTCGTTGCAAGAACGCGATGCGGGAAGAACCATGGAGCTGCGTGATGAGCACATCGGCCTGCTTGGATGCTTGGCCAATGTCCACCACGGCGGACAAGTGGCCATGGATGTGATTCCCGACGTGAAACCGAACGGTCGATACATGGTGGTGGATGAGACTGGAGGTCTCATTGTCGCCGCGATGGCTGAGCGTATGGGGATCTTGTATCCCCGCGATGAGGAGGATCTGGATTCTGAAGAACAGCTTACTCCCAGTGAAGGCAACGAGCAGCCAACAGATGCCAGTGGTGCTGCTCCAAAACCTTATCGACGTGTTCGTCCTCGCCCAATGTCAGCATCAGGAAACACCATCACCGTCATCCACGCTTACTCGCAACCAAACCTGTCCCTCTTGAAATACTTCGGATACGACACCAACAACCCCGATGAATCACATCCACTTCACACCAACCTCAAGTCCGTTTCGTGGCTCCAGCTCGTCAACCCTGAGAACGATCCAATCCTATCTGCCGAGCCTCCTACCTTGCCCGCACAGGAGCTGGCCGAGCTCAAGTCCAGCAAGCGCACTGCATACTTTTTCAAGCGTAACCGATGGGAGAGAGTCAAGAATGTGGTGAATGAGACTCGAGAAGGCGACTTCGACGGTCTCGTGGTTGCCACTCTGCTCGAGCCCGCCACGGTCTTCAAGCACTTGGTCCCACGTCTCGCCGGGTCGGCGCCAGTTGCCATGTACTCTCCGTCCGCCGAGCCTCTCGTCGAGTTGATGGATCTTTACTCTACTGGGCGGAGAACAGCCTTTATCAACAAGAAGCGGGAACTGGAGGCGCAAAAGTCCTCGGAAGACGACGAAGTCGACTTGTCCTCCCTGTACGAGGAATTCGAACTAGATCCAACCCTTCTCCTGCCCCCGACCCTGCATACTTCTCGCGTTCGTGCCTGGCAAGTGCTTCCCGGCCGGACACATCCGCTCATGACGGGAAGAGGCGGTGCAGAGGGATATCTGTTCCACGGCGTCCGCGTCATCCCCACCACAGACCACATCCAGGCAGCTGGCACTTTTCGGAAACGGAGAAAGACGGCTGCATCTACACCCACTACTGATCAAGATGTGGAGATGGCCACCTGATCCTACATGCACGGCCTCGGTGGTGCCTTGGAGTCATCACTCGATAAAATCAAAATGTACGAATATAATGATTCACCTGGTCCGACAAGCACCTTCTATAATGAACGTAACAGGGAGCGACAGGGGAATGTCGAGTAATCATTTTGGATGGAGGGAGCAGTGCTGCCCGGAATCCGGTTCTGGCAGTTACGGTGCTCGCCGAGTATCAATGTCCCATTCAAGCGCTGAAATTCATGAAACAATATACAACTATCCTGGCATTTACAGGCTCTTTCCCATGAACTTTCTCTTGGTAAAGCTAAGCCAGAACTGCAGGGAAGATTAGCTGCCCATTCGATGTCGCGGGGGTTAGCAGACGCACCTTGGACGGGCCTTCTCCACCGGGGTATAATCTAGCGTGTAGCCGCACGGCGGTCTCTTGCCGCACTTGCGAAATGTATCTGAACATTAACTTTAGCGGCTGGTGACGGATGGGGCAATATCATAATGGGTGACGTACGCCCGAAGACTCTCCGCATCCTGGCGGTCGCGTGGAGGCTCAAAGGCCTGGTTGAGAGGGAATGACACATCACCGGGAATGGCGAAATTTTCGAGCGCAGCGTTAATCAGAGCCTAGCTACCTTGTCAGTGCTTCCTCCATTGTATGGTAGGCGTGGCATCCACCTTCTCCGCATCGCGAGCACTCATCGTCGGCCTGACCTTCCCGAGGCATTCGCTGACGAACAGAGTTCCGTAGATAAGCATGCGGTCGGCGGGGCCGTTGATCTCGAAGTTTCGGAAGAGTACATTGGCACGGAAGAGGGAGAGGATCTCGTCGACGCAATCGTAGGACTCGCTGTCGGGGGCAACGTCGATGTCGAGGGTATTAGGGGGCAGCGGGGGTAGGGTGTATGCGGGACCCCGAGTGCGAGTGCGCAGGGGCAGGATAGGGAAGTTCCCTGCAATCAATGTCAACTCGAGGTCTCCGGGGTAGATCACATATGAGGGGTGGTTCAAGGGAGCGCTGTTGGCGGGGCCACGTACCTATCACGGGGACATCGCGGTCCTCCAGGAAAATGGAGTGGTATGCCTAGGGAGGTCAGAATAAGTGATGCCGATGACAGTAGTGGAGAGCACATACAGGCATTGTGGGGTGAAGTCAGGTGGGTGAAGTTGAAATGAGGGTCGAGACGTTCGGGCAGAGGAGATGTCATCCTGTGGAGCGCCCTCCGAGCTCCCTTTGATTTTCCGCCCCGAGCCTCTTTACGCGCGGAACGCGTCGAGCTTCAGTTCACTTTTCGCGACTACGCTCGTTCACTCTACCAAGCCCTCATCATGTCAGACTACGAGGATGAAATGGACGTGGATGCGCCCTCCAAGGTGCAATTCACTTCCGACAATGCCAGTGGGAAGAAGCGAACGGCGGCCGACCTTCCCATCGCAGCCCTGGACAACTTGCCATGGTATGCCCTGACATTTTAATTCAAGCAGTTCGAAGCTGACGATCCGGACAGGGTCGAGAAATACCGCCCGAGCAGCCTGGATGATGTCTCCGGTCACCAAGATATCCTCGCGACCATCAACCGGTTTATTGAAGCAAATGTATGATCTCGCAAATCCACCATGAATCCCGGCCCCTAATTGTTTCACAGCGCTTGCCGCACCTCCTTCTTTATGGACCTCCCGGTACCGGAAAGACTTCGACTGTTCTCGCGCTCGCCCGGCGGATATATGGCGAGAAAAACATGCGGCAGATGGTGTTGGAGCTGAACGCCAGTGACGACCGTGGCATCGACGTTGTCCGAGAACAGATTAAGACTTTTGCCAGTGTGTACATCCTCGTCGATGGTCAAAGGGTCCTGCGTACTGACCACAGAATGCAGGCACGAAGCAGATCTTTTCTATGGCACCCCAGTCCGGCAATTCAGGGATTGCTGGTTTTAAGTTGATCATTCTTGATGAGGCAGACGCCATGACAGCCACCGCTCAGATGGCTTTACGCCGCATTATGGAGCGCTACACGGCCAACACTCGGTTCTGCATCATCGCTAACTACACACACAAGCTCTCGCCAGCGCTCCTGTCGCGATGCACGCGATTCCGGTTCAGCCCACTCAAGGAGGCTGATATCCGCAGTCTCGTTGACCAGGTCATTGAGAAGGAACAAGTCCGTATCCAACCCGAGGCGGTGGATAGTCTGGTAGCTCTGAGCAAGGGTGACATGCGACGGGCCCTGAACGTGCTTCAAGCCTGTCATGCAAGCAGTACGATCCGCTCATTCACCCCCAATTCTACAATCGGCCCACTGACTGTCCACAGGCATCCCATTACCGATGCGCGATGCACCGAATGCTCCTCGGCCCGAACCCGAAACGATCACCAATGCCACAATCTATGACTGCATTGCGGCCCCGCACCCGTCTGATATCCAAGAGATCATGAGCACCATCCTGTCAACCAGCGACGTCACATCCTGCCTCAACACAATCAACACGCTCAAGGCAAACAAGGGTCTGGCACTGGCCGACATTCTCTCGGCCCTGGCCGATCAACTACAACGGCTTGAAGTCCCGGCCGCGACGCGCATCACCTGGCTGGAAGGACTAGCTGAGATCGAGTGGCGCCTATCCGGTGGAGGGTCAGAGGCGGTCCAGACCGGAGGCATGGTTGGGGTGGTGCGGAATGGATGTGAGCTGATGGGGGACAAGGGTGTCCCATTGGCATGAAGAGAATGTAATGAGAACGAATCCTACTGTAGCATTTCAATCGGAGTTGTGTTTTGGTTTTCGGGTATCGAAAGACCAGGCGGAGTATGCATATGCGAGTATGGGACAACGACCCTTACGGTGGGGAGAAGCCCTAAGTCCGGTGTCGACGCGCGGGGACAGACTGTCCAGCGTTCCCGCTCTTCATGCACTTCGACTCCTCGACTCCACCTTCCACTTCCACTTTCTTATCGCCCGGAAATCGGCATTTCAATTAGCTAATTTGTTGCTCGCAACTCCTCGGACTTTGGTTTTGCTTGGCCTGCAGTAGCCTCTGCCATTCTCATTTGGGTTTAGATCCATGCGGCAGGCTCCGTCGCCAGTGACGCCCCAGTACATGAGACGGAAGAGGGATTTCAACTCGTCCACCTGCGATGGCACTTGAGGGGCCCGTGATGGTCTTAGACCCTGCGGAGACCCTCCGGAGACCCTGCACGAGCCCATCTCCGCGGATCGGTGCAATGCTATCGGTATCCGTATTTAATTAGCATGGCTCGCACCGGGTTGGCAGCGTCTCGGGTTTTCTTTTCTCTCTGCTGCTCCTTGCCAATTTCAGCATGCGCTATTCGCTTCAGTCCGGCCTGATTCTGGCCGCCTGCATCGCCGCGCCTGTGGTGGATGCCGAGCGCGTTCTGGGTGCATACCTTTACTCGCGCCATGGTGATCGCACCGCGAAGGTGCTTGGCAACACCCAGTTGACTGACCTGGGTTACCACGAGGTCTTTTCGTCCGGTTCCTTCTATCACGACCGGTACATCGCTGCCGGCTCTGACGAGCAGATCGAAGGAATCAGTGAACCCATCGTCAATCCAAACCAAATTTCTGCCAGCGCGCCCGATGACGCCGTGCTGCAGAACTCGGCCACGGGTTTCTTGCAGGGAGTGTATCCGCCAGCTCTCAAGGCAGCCTCGCAGACTTTGGGCAACGGCACTTTCATCCAGTCGCCGCTGGACGGATATCAGATCATCCAGCTTCAAACCACGGACACCAGCCAAGACAGCGAGAGCTCTGCCTGGCTGCAGGGCTCCAGTGACTGCAGCAAGGCCACTGTCAGCAGCAACAACTACTACCTCTCCGACTCGTACATGTCGATGCTGGCGTCCACCAAGGATTTCTATACTTCGCTCTCGCCCATGCTCAACGGCGCCTTCGGCGCGGACCAGATGAGTTTCAAGAACGCCTACACCATCTTCGACTACCTGAACGTGGGCTACATCCACAACTCCACCAAGACCTTCCCTCTCCGGGACAACCTGACCACTGAGCTGTACGGCCAGCTGCTTCAATTGGCCAGCAACCAGCAATATAACCTGGCTTTCAACGAGTCCGACCCGGTGCGCGCCATTGACGGTGCCGTCCTTGCCGGCGAGATCTTGTCTCAGCTCAACAAGACCATCACCTCGGACGGCAAGACCAAGCTGGGAGTCCAGTTCGGTTCATATGGAACCTTCATGTCTTTCTTCGGACTGATGCAGCTGCCCGTCGCGTCTGTCAATTTCACGGGCATCTGTGACTATGCGTCCACCTTTGTATTGGAGCTGGTGACCAACGCTACCGGCAGCGGTATCCCCTCGACCGACGATATCAGCGTGCGCTTCATGTTCCACAACGGCACCATCACTGGTTCTGACGAGCCCACCGTTTACCCGCTGTTCGGACAGCGGAACGACCTCATCTCCTGGGACGACTTCAAGACTCAGACCGAGAAGATCGCGATCCTCTCGGACGACCAGTGGTGTAACCAGTGCGGCAACACCGGTGGCAAGTGCGCCAGCTCCGCAAGCACCAGCTCGACCTCCGATTCGACTGGCTCTTCTAGCAGCGGCTCTGGCGGTATGTCGCGTGCCGTGGCCGGCGTTATTGGCGCTATGGTGACTCTCGCCGTGATCTTGGGCTTGGAGGCCCTGTTCTTCCTGGTCGGTGGATTCCGCATCGCCAAGCGCCGTAAGAGCGGCCCCGAGATGAGCTCGTCTGCTGCTGTGGCCGAGGATAAGTAGTCCTAAATGGAAATGGAAGGGATTGAAGTGCCGAGCGAGCTGGTATCTCCACCAAGTCGGAGACTTGCTGTGATTTTGATGCAAAACGTAACTGGTAAATACACGGTCCGTAATAATCCATGAACCAAGATAAATATTCCATCTCTCCATCCATTTATTCGCAAGTAGATAGTTGATGTATACCGGTGGGCTCGGGTGTAAACACCGGAGATTCACCGCCTTAAACCCCTCCGTCATCCCTCATTTCTCGTGTTTCCTCCTTTCTTTCTCCACCAAACACCATGCCGCGCCAACAAATTAACCTCGAACCCTACCGGGATGAGATCATCACGCTGTTTCAACACGGCATCAGTAGTGACTCGATCAGCCGCACGCTTGAGAGCCGGTATAACATCCAAGTTAAAGAGCGCACCATCCAGTCAAGACTACGCAAGTGGGGTATTCGCAAACGCAGCCGGACAACGACGGCCGACGAGGTGCTGCATGCACGGATCAAGGTGCTTTTCGTGCAAGATAGGCTGACCGACAAGGCAATGCTCAAGCTGCTGCGGCAGGATGGCTATGACATCTCCGAACGCACGCTGCGCCGGCTACGGTTCCAGCTCGGGCTCCATGCCCGGGCTTCTCTGGATCACGACCAGGGTTCCACTCCCATTGCATCATTGCCTCTAGCTGTTCCGGTATCAGTGTTATCCAAGGAAGATAGCAGTCCTTGACTCAAATTGCCGCACACCCTGCAATCCCCTGCTCTGTCCATTCGTTGATGGGGCCTTTTCGTGGCTGGATTTGCTGTGCCAGTCTATCTACATCACCACCCCCATGCGCCAATTTACTCCGGTAAAAGTCCTTCTTCCCTATGCGACAATTCAAAGGACATATTCCGCCTGGACAGCTAGTAAGCGACTATTTACTGGCCCGACACATTTGCCGATTACATGTTTTATGCTCCACGCGCCACTACTGCCTCTCTATTTGGCCAGCCCTCGAGGGCTTGTAATTGATTACATGGCCAGTCGGGGTGTCAACAATATCTCGGACCAAGGTCTTCGTTTTGATTGATTTGATGAGGCCGGACCTCTCATACCATCATTACGATCGAAGCGCTCTGACCAGGCATGATATTTCCTGTGAATCAGATTGAACAACACCACCGCCTGCAACCTCCCGCTTGCGACACTACACAAGACAACTTCAACCTACCGCGGACAGTCAACACCAAGAGGACCGAAGGACCCTTCGACCAAATCTCTGCCGTATGCGACAATCCATCCCTGCATTCATGCATTCGGGACTAGGACAAATGACCGAGAAGACCTGGAATGTATCGTATCTCCTGCATTAGATCTCTAGCGCTGTGTATATCTGAAGTGTATTTGATACCCGGAACGGGTCACGTGCCATGACGTCCGCTTTTCGCGGAGCTGCGAAATGTAGACTTCCCTTCAGCGACATTTCAATCGCCATTGACTCTCTCCTGCGCAGGGTGTGGCTTCGCCCACTTTCCAATCGCCATGTCCTCCCAGTACGCCAGTGAACCGAACCCAACCGCGTCGGCCACTCTGAATACGACCGTCGGGCCCATTCACATTGCTTTGTTCGCGAACCAGACCCCTCTCACCTGCAAGAACTTCCTCCAGCATTGCAAGGACAACTACTATGCCGGTACAATATTCCATCGTGTCGTCCCGGGCTTCGTGATCCAGGGTGGTGACCCCACAGGCACCGGGTCGGGCGGTAATTCCATCTACGAGTATCCCGAATTTGAGTACGATCCTGAAGCCCGCGACCCGAATGAGCGTGTGGTTCTTCGAGATGAGCTACACAGTCGCCTGCGCTTCAACCGGCGCGGTTTGTTGGGCATGGCCAAGAGTGAGGATGGGACATACGGAAGTCAATTCTTCATCACGCTCGCGAACACCGAGCGTGAGTTGAATGGGCAGTGCACGCTTTTCGGACGACTAGAGGGTGACAGTATCTATAACGTGCTGAAGATTGCAGACGCAGAACGCGTCGAAGGGACCGAACGGCCTGTATACCCAATCAAGGTGACCTCGTGCGAGGTTGGAGAACTGGGGCCCCTGGCCGGCAAGTTGAAGGACAGGATAACTACCGCATCCGCATCAACGGGCGGTGGAAAGGAAGCGCCGAAGAAAAAGAAGAAGGCTGGCAAAGCCGGGAAAGTGCTTCTAAGCTTTGGAGGCGATGAGGGCGACGAGGAAATGCCCATGCGGCCGGCGAAGCCCAAGTTCAATACCAAACTTGTCGCGGATGCGCCTGGTGCCTCCAGCAACACCGAGAAAACGCCTAAATCTCAGACAGCAGAGCCAACCCAACCGCGCAAACGACCGCGGTCTCCATCTCCGAAGCGCTCGCGAGAGCCGGAACGCAAGCGCGTCAAGACGCCAGATCCACAGGCCCAGTTGCCCTTGAAGGACCCTGAATCGCCAGTCCGATCACCGAGTCCAGACCAACAGCCTACGAAACAGTCCAAGCTTTCCCGGACAAATGCCGAAATCGAGAATCTCAAGGCGTCTATGCGTCGCAACGTCGACACGGGGCCCGCTAATACCGGCCGAAAGAAGTCGGCACTCGAATCTATGATCCCTGAAACTGCAATTCGCGGCCGTAGGCGGCCACCACCAGGCTCGGCCAATGGAGCAGGATCTAGTGCCGGCCCTAGAAATGCAGCCGAATCCGAAGCGTTGCGGATGTTCAATGCCTTCAAGGCCAAGTTGGAAGGTGGCGAATCCAAGCCTTCAACATCGCACAGCGGGAAGCACACCGACAAGGACAACGTCCAAAGCCAGTACCAGGACGCAGACGACGAAGAAGCTCAACTCTGTGACCTGCACTTTATCGCCAATTGCCAGTCGTGCCGATCCTGGGACGACCCCGACGCTGCAGAAGCAGACGATACGGGACGAGAAGACGCGAACTGGCTAAGCCATGAACTCCGCTTCGGCAAGGATACCCTGGGCAAAGACCTCAAGTGGAAGAAGGAGCATCAAGACGCAGATTCACTGATGGTAATCGATCCACGCGAGAAGGAGAAGGATTTGGGTGATGGACGTAAGCGAGGTCTTCAGCGAGATCGTGAACGTGAGCGCAAACGAGAGCGAGCGGGAGAGTTGGAATGGGATCGAGAGAGGCGTTGATACTTGATACCTTTGGTGCTACGAATATGAAAAACTATGAATAATCAAATACAGGCTTGACCAAGACACAAATGAGCAAAGAAATCAAGCTCATTACAAATGATTTCATCGTGGATCATGATAAGTTTTTTTACAACCACCCAGCTCCGCCCAGAAACAAGCATAGAACTCCCCCTATGAACAACGCCGTGGCACCGGGGCCGTCGATGATCCCGTGCTTTCTTTTGGTATCCTTCTCACGTCCATCTCATTTGATTTCATCACGCCTTCCGACGTCGCTTCGCACTGCCTCCATCCTCGGGGCCATTGGTATCATCATTCGGTCCTACCGGGCTAGTTGCCTCGCTATCGGTCAACTGCTCAATAACACGGCCCGAATCGGCATTGTTCCCCGAGCCCGAGTCGCCACCGTAGTGGGCATCGTCGAAGCCGTAGTTGTATCCCGAATGACCCTGGTCATGGGTCGCTCCTTCAAAGAGGTCGCCATTGTCAGGGATGTGGTCGAAATTGAACAGGTCGTTGGTGTCTCCGTCATCGGCATGACCAGTGCCCTCGTGCTTATTCACACCCGTTCCAGATCCTTGGCCAGCATTGTCATCCAAGTTGAAATTCTTCTTGTCGTGGTCCGTATCGGCGAAATCCGTGAAATAGTCCTGGTTGAAGATAGTGTCAAGGTCAAGAGGCGGAGGCGGCACGTTGCCATCACTATCGAGACCCGGTATCGCGCCCGTTGGGCTTAATGGTTGAAGAAGGTGGGTCAGGTTTTGGACGGACCGGTCCTGTTCGGCTTGCATCTTCACCAAATTATCGATTTCTTGTCGAGTGTCTGCAAGACGGCCCGAGTAGTTCTGCGGCATGGGCGGGGGGTTCGGCGTCGTCAGAGCATTGTTAGTTGCATTCGGGCCAGTGTCTCCGGTGTTGGTTTCGTTGGCCATCAGTCGAAGCATATCGGCACGCTGGTTCGGCGTGAGAGGGACGTTGCCGCCGGCGTTTTCCAGGGACGAAAGAACATTGGGGAACTCGGAGAAACTTGTCGGGATACCATTGCGCGCATTGGAATTCTGGATGACGGACATGATATCCCGCTGCGGGAAGTTGTCGTCTGTTGGTGGGAGTCCCGGGGGGAGGTTCGTATTGTCCTGTTGTGGACTGTTTTCGAGTACTTCCTCGACATGTCCAGGCTGCGTGGCACTCGGCTGGCGAGCATGAGCGCGGGACCGAGTTTCGTAGGAACCGCTGGTCCCGGGGGACAGCGTGGTAGCTCGACCGTCATCTGTGGCAGGGGGCGCTTTCAAGAGCAGCGGCTGCTTCTTCATGGTGCGTTGTCCGCCAGGGCTAGTCAACCCACTCAGCGGGTTGAAAGAAAAGTTTTCGCCCATGTCAACGATATTGCCTTGATCGCCCGAGATGGCTCCAGCGAAAGAGTTGGCAAGATTTTGAGTGTTACCATCCTGTCCCTGCAGACTGCGGTTGTACACCGTCGCAAGGAATGTGAGAATGGCATTTATCGAGTTCTCGTGGCGAGTGTGCTGCTCCTGGAAATTGGCTGCCTGTGCATAGAGCTGTTCATGCTCTTTGCGCAACCTGGAGATCGTTGTCGAAATAATCGACTGCTGCTGACGAATTGCCTGCAGCTCGCGGTACACCCCGGCAAGTTGGTCATTAGGCATTTGAGTGTCCGTGAGCAGTGAGAGGTGCCGTGGTCGCGCACGCTCATCGCGGTTTGCCGTCCCACTATCCTCGGTATACTCGTCCATGTCATTCTCATCCGCGTCTTCCGTCTTCACCCTGGGGCCGCTCTTGCTGCCCTTGCTAGCGTGACCGGTCGCGTTTTTCGGCTTCTGGATCAACCAAAGCAGATCGGGATGGCCTCGTTTGAAATAGGGATTGGCGTATTCGCTGGGGCTCTTGTTCTTGCGCTCGCTGGCGCGCATAGAATTATCCGAAAGGCCCACCTTCTTGTGGAAGCCGTACATGTTCAGTTGTCGCACAAATGATGCATAGTTGTTGTGCTTGAAAAGTTCGGGAATTAGAGTCCTGGCAAACTCGTCCTCGTCCAACACGATGAAAGAATTGCCATCGTCAGACCACCGGATTAGTTCAGTGTTTTTCGACTCATCCAAGAAACTTTAATTCATCAGTTAGCTCCAACTCCGCTTTGCAGGGGTTTCCATTCGGCCATACCTGCTCAACTTCTGCACAAAAGGAGGAATCTGTTTTCGCTTCGCTTGCGAATCTCTCTTGGCTGCTAGAGCTCGTTGATACAATTCCTCTAATGACTCCCCCCACGCGCCAGACTCTCCTCCGCCATGGCCAGGGTCGTTCTCCTGATACACGGTTGGGGCTTGTTCATAGCCGCGGTTGCGGCTGACCAGCTGATTTGCTGCTTGTCGGCGGGCAAGTTGGTTTGAGGCGGATGCGCCCGGTGCAGACAGCTCCTGAGATGTCGCATATGCCGCCGGGTTGTAGGTAGAGGGATCAGCGAAGGAGGAGGGATTGACGACATTGGCGGAAGGATTCTGGCCCCACTGCAGAAACTGGTCGTTGGATAGTTGCGCTCCGGGGTTCGAGGAGGAGTAATTTGGGACAGCGCCCATCTGGGCATGACCAGCCGGGGCCGTTCCTGGAGCCGGTCGCTTGCGAGTCGTACCTTGGGAGCCCATTGAGAATCGACGAGTCTAAGACGTTCTTATGGCGTGTATCACCGGGACAGTTGAGAGAGACGTGTCGGCAGAATCAAGCGCTGGTTTCAGTCGAGGCGCGCGTGTTACCGGTATAAATGAGGACGGTGTATTTCGCGCTCCGAACCTGATGAATTGTTCGTGAATATCGACTTGACGTGAGTCACATAAAAAATGTCTAGATCCGCCCGACGGGCAACGGACAAGCTGATGATGACGATCGGGCCGAACTTTTTGCAATGCAAATCAGTTTGATGCACCGAAATAGGGTTGACGACCACGGATCAACGAGGAAGGGCCAGCAACGATCTGCGAGACTTTGGCGAGAAACACCACAATCAGCGGGCGCTGGAATGAACCGACATTCGAGAGCGCTCGGGAGGATCCAGCAGGGTTCACCCGGTATGTGTGAAAGAGATCGCGCGGGGAGCCGAGGCGAAGGCGGCAGGGTCGAAGTGGAAGCGCAGACACGAAACTTCACAACAATTTGTCCTGAGAAGTCGGCGATGAGGTCAATTTGAGCGGAGTCGCGCTTTGATTGGTGGCTGACTCAGCCGGGCCCATCATCCCATGTGCGATTCATATTCATTCTTCTTTCACCGATGTACGGGAAAAGTCGTCTTCATTTAAACTATCGACTATTCTAATTTTCTCCGATCAATGCTCGGAAGCCCGTAAGGAGTTGCTGCCACTGCTCTGGCTGCGCCTGCGTGAACTCCTCCACTTTCTTCGGTGCTTCCAGATCCTCGCTCATGCGTCCTTCATTCTTGGTTCCATTTAGCACGGTGACGTCGCCCAGTCCCATCACTAGAGTGTACAGCGCAGCCGCAGGACTTGTGTTGGTGCGCGCCGCCAATTGCTGAACGGGCGTGGAATGTACCAGGTCCGGGTTGGCCGTCAAAGTCCAGAAGCTCTGATAGATGATCTGATGCTCGCGACAGAAGGCCCGTAGAGAGACATCAAACGAGGTGTCCTCGTAGAATCGGTTCTGCACCACTGCAGGCTTCACCTTAACCTGAGGAGAGTCGTTAATCTCGCGAAGCACGGGCAACGAACAATTGGAGATGCCCAAGTTCCGGATCCGGTGAGGCACGTAAGTCTCCAATGCAGACCAAGCCTCAAGGGTCATTTCCAAGGTACGTAGCGGTGAGTGAATCACTAGCGTATCAATGTAAGCATCATCCACGCTGGCCGGGTCCGAGGACGGCCGCAGGTTGTGCAGGGAGGACTTGATGGATGTATGAACCTGTTCCGTCACAGAGGCTTTCGGATCATACGGCATGTTGTTCGGGTCTTGCGCCCCGATGGGGCTGAACTTGGTTTGCACCTTGTCGTGGGTCAGCCATGATACACACCTTGAGGAGTTGGATTGAATGGGCTCTCACATATAAGTCTTCCCGGCGAACAATACCATCGGCAATAGCCCTGCGGATTCCCTCACCAGCTAGATCTTCCTGATAATGTCTCGGCTGGGCCGCCGTGTCTATGGCCCGGAAACCGGCGTTGACCGCAGCGTAGACGAGATCCGCGGACTGTTCTTTCTTCCAGGCTGTGCCGTAGAGGAAGACGGGAATGAATGTGGGACTAGAATCGAGAGCGGGACGTAGGCAGTACTTTTCCCACATTTTGCCGACAGCTCGAGCCATGTTGGATGGGGTATCTTGCTCGAGATCAGTCGATGTCAAGTTTATATTTAACATGGCGGTTGCGGGGTCGCTCTTACTAACCTTGGACATGGCCAGGGACTGCAACATTGCAGATACTATCGGGGTATCCCAGAAGAGCTCTTCCACGACATTTGGATTGTCGATGTTTAAATGTTCAAACGTTATATACAACGCTGCCTAGGTAGCTGTCTAGCTATTAAAGGTTCCCTCGGGCTTGGGCTTTAATTGGTGTTTATGTTTGACCCTTGTACGATTAAGGTGGTGGTCTATCTACTGTACACTTCTGATCATCTTGGACCAGAATAAAAGATGCCCCAAGGATCAGAATGTTGAAGCCTGGAGAAATATGTGACCTTTACTATTATATATCGAGCCGCAGCCGGAGAGCGGACTGGCCCGGGTCGCGGCTATATGGGCGCCCACCAGAATCCGACAGTTTGATTCGGACAAGCTCCTAGCGACCTGCGGATCCCCGATGAATTTTCCGTGAGACCTCGGACCCATCACAGAATGCGGTTGACTGAACGAGCCCGCAGAAATAGCCGAGTCAAAGCAATAGCGGCCCCACCAGCGTGGCTTAGATGAACATTGGCGGTTTGCAGGCTTGGCGAACACTGTGCTCTCTTTCTAATTGTTGACAACCTGGGATTCAGATACTCTGAGAAAGGCATAAATCTGGGTAATAATAAGATTGTACACAGCCACACTGCAGACTAGTCTTGCTAGTCCATCTACGGCCCGAGCTCAATGAAAGAATGTCCATTCATGTCGTGGCTGGATCTTGGCTGATTCAATTGTAAACCAGGCAACGGCTTTCTCCTTGTAGACATTGGCAGTGTTCCATGTTGATCAGTGGGGTGGCATATCCTGCCCAAGTGGACGACTTCGCTTGTATACTTCACAATGACGGTCTACATGCCCTCGGGGCTCAGCGTCACGGATCCTACCTGAACACCGCATTAGGGTACGGATGGGAGAAAGAAATGCTCGGCAAGCTGCTATGATCGGCAGTGTCCAGTATTTGACGTCAATTATAGAAATAACGCCGTGAATGTCGATGCCAACGTATAAGTATATCCGTAACGTCCATGGAAATGCAGATCCAACAACATTCACACTCAGTCGATCAGCATTTTGTGATCCTCTATTCAAATCAAGCCCAACTTTTCAAACAATATGCGTACACAGCAGCTTCTCACTCTCGGTGGCCTCGTGCTTGCCGGCAATGTGGCCATCGCAGCCAAGCTGGAACACGATGACGTTCCTAACCGTTGCTGGGCTGTCTGCGGTCCCGTCGTGGGAACCTCGGAGCGGTGTGATCACCAGCACGACAATGACTCGGCTGAGCTGAAGTGCATCTGCGACTGGAGCTCGGCGAAGACCCAAATTCCCCTCTGTGCAGTTTGCATCACCCAGCATGGAAACAACGACAACGACAACGACAACGACAACGACAATGACAATGACAATGATCACAACAACGACAACGATAATGACCGTGATGGTGATGGTGATGGTGATGACAACGGTATGTAGTTTATTTATTATGACCAGGTATAACGTACTCCTAACACCATTCCAGAGGCCCTTGATATCGTGCGCTCTTGCAACTTCAGCACGACTACATACAACGCGGCTGCTGCCACAACAATGAGTGCCACTGCTACCGCAACCGACTCGACTTTCCACGCTGCGACCACATCTGGTGGCTCCGGCAGTGACTCTACTAGTTCCAGTGGCTCGATTAGCTCCGATTCAACTCAAACGGGAAGCTCTGTTTCGTCTACCCCGACCCTCGACGCTGCTGCAGGTGTATCCGTTCCTGGAGCTGCTGCTCTCGCTATCGCTGGTCTGATGCCCCTGGCTTGGCTGTAATCATATGCTTGGCTTCACTTCTGGTGGTCAAGTACGATGTGACTAGAATGCAGGACGATGATGGTGATATGAATGACTTTCCTTAAGTTCCCTAGGGCTTTATCCGTGATGCTATACAGTTTGATGCTCGTCTATAGCCTTGAAACGGAAAATATTACTTCGCTGGAATCTTGTTCAGTAGCTTTTGATATATCCTAGTCCTAGTTTTCAACGTTTACCTTTCTTCGAGTGATCAAACTAAAATTGCCAATGGATATAGACACTAGGCGACAATTTGATGGGAACGTTCAACGGAATCTTACGAAGCGGTTCGAACTATTGAGAACCACGTGCATCAAAGGAGCAGAGAACACGAACACGGGGTATCTGTTCATTCATATGCCTCTGAATGTACAAGAGGTTCAAAATTTATATATTTATACACGAAAGCGTGATTCATTAATCCGATAAATCATCACTCACCACATACTGATCCTTGTCAGTTTTTGACGAATTTCCGCTGGTGACTTGTGCATCATCTTCAATCACAGATGATAAATCTTCTTCGTCTAGATCTTCTAGATCGTCATTCCACTCCCCTTCGCCAAGCCACCCGTCCTCGGGCAAAGTCCAGTCCCATTCCGGGAGATATTCGATGTTGTATACATCGCTATAACACTGTGCCTTTGACGGACAACTGCACAAACAAGTTAGCACAAATGTCCCATCCAATCTTGGGATAATCAAACCTACTATACAGCCTCCTTCCCGAAGATAATATGCCACAGGTACTCGAAGACCCGGCCGCTGGTTTCGTCATCCAGCTCGGTAGTCATGAGCCAGTGGTGATAAGCCTGGTAGTCACTCAACGGACGAGCACGTATCTGCTCCTTCGTCTACGCAAGTTAGCACACATGTGTCCTCTACTCTTGAATAAACAAACTTACGACTGCGAACTGCGCACAGCACGGCGCGGCGATAACTTCGGGGACATCGGTGTTGTTGAAAATACGGATCCAAGCGCCAGCAAATGCAATCTCGGTTGTGCGCCCGTCCAGTTGTCGGAATGGCTGAACTTCATCGGGACACCCGGGACCCCAATCACATCGCAGGTTAACATAGCCCGACGTTTTAAGATAGTCGAGTTGGAGACGTTGTACGGTGAGAGCGTTGTTCTGCTCCATGAATTCGACGTGCGCGCTGCTGCGGTGCGCATGGAGGAAGACGATGTAGTCCGGGAGCGACTTGTCATCGTAATGATCCATGATGTACTGAAGGTAGACATTGCTCTCCTTGCCTTTATTCTCCTGGACGGAGTATTCAGCGTCCGGGTCGTCGACCACGTAGACTGCATGCTGCCAGCTATAGTTCGGGTCGATCAGGTCAGAATTAAACATCTCAATATAGCCGGGGGTATAATGGGGGAGATGGGATCGATGATTGACTTACTCGGGCAGCTCCTCTTCGAGCCAATCCGTGTTTTCCCAAGACGTCCTGCCCATGACGACGATGCGATCGGACTTTGGGGTCACTTTGGGCTTCGGGGGCGACGACGGGGTGAGCTTGCGCTCTTCCTCCTCCTCCTCGTCGTCGTCCTCCTCCTCCTCGTCGTCGTCCTCCTCCTCCTTGTCATCCTCCGTAGAGTCCCATAAGAATGGGGCAAAATCAAAACTGTCGTCATCCCATCCCCCCGGTACTTCCACCGGTATAATCTGTGGCTTAAACTCCGTTCGCTTTATACCCGGGTTAGTGGGCTCCGGCCACGCTTTGGAGGTGGGTGTCGGGGTCGTGGTAGTTGAACTAGACACCCGCGATGAAGAATGAACCGGAGTCGGCACTTGATCTTTCGAGACCAGCTCGATAAGTGCACCTCCGTCGTTGACCACAAAGTCGAATCTGCGGCGGTCCTGGTGATCGGACTTGATAGAGTCCAGATGGCTCTTGACGAGCAACAAGGTCAGGACCAGGCTGCAGATGAGCGATATGCGAAACGTGGGCATCATCTTAGGACAGCAACAGGTCCAGCTGTTTCGAAGCCATTTTCAATGACAGGCTCGAGCCCGGCGACAAGCAACTTTAAAGATGCCGACATTCTCGGCGCGGGACCCACATTCGACGGATCGAGATATCGTCACCACGTCACTTCGTCACCTCCCAGCAGCGGTTTATCAGCCCCGCGACCTTCCGTAGGGCCCGGCTTGGAGTCTATTTCATCCTTGACGGTGAATTCAATGGTCCCAATGGGCTCGAAATTACCCGCTAGTGTGAATTCCTCCGCTATTCGCTATCTGTGAAGAAATGTAAGCTCGGCAAAAGATATCCATAGTGGGGCGCACTCGTCAGCAATTCGTGTCCCCCTGGAGTGTGGTTGGTTTCAGATCCACGTCTATCCTCTTACGGCACGTCTTGTCCTGCGCGTGCGCTCTATCATTGGGTTCCAGGTGGCTTCATGGCTACAATTCGCTATAAGATAACCCGTCCGGATTGCAATATGCAACCCCCCGCAAACTTTGTTTCCTAGTATGTATTGGGTGACTCAGTCTCTTCCTCGTCGTAGTTCTCCTTTGCGCCAGAGTCTAGCCGTTGAACATAGCTCGACTCTTTAAAATAATGTCATTTTTTCAGAATGCTGTTTGTTCCTGGAAGTCCCCTCCTTCAGACCAATCTTTCCCCCGGACGCTGATGAATCTAGGCACGACTACGGGTCTTGCCCAGCCGGCGATCTTGGAATGCTTCATAGCAAGTTGAAATGGCCATTCTGAGTGACCAGGTGGGTTACTTCGTAGTCCTATCCTTCTTCATCGGTGTGACTTTGCTGTCTTCCATCATTCCTTCTCGCGATGGTCTCTCTGCAGCGACACGCTTGGCCGTCAACGGGGGAGACCTGAAGTGCGCTTGATCTTTGCTTATTTTTCGTTGACTTACATTTCAGATCCGGTCCGTGACATAACTCTACATCGCCTTGTTTCGGGAGGCTGCTTAGGGTACAGGCGATGATTCCACCTCTTAAAGCATCGAGTCAGTGACCCTCGAAACCGATCATCCACAAGGCTGGGTTTCATCGCTCAGGGGTGGACTCTCGCCCCTTTTCGAAACATCGGGATGACTATATTCCCAACGCCGCAGAAACAGGGTCCCGCTCGACTTGGCTAGAGCATTCGAAGCACCTGTTCCACTTTCTATTGATCCTGATGGCTCCTGTGCCCCTGACTGAACAACGTCTTTCCGTAACCCCGATGAGACACGCCAACGACTTGCTTACCGACCGGGCTATGAAGCTATTGTTTAGCGGCAGGGAGCTCTACTCCATAGACGGCGGTCCGCCGCGAAGGCAAGTTCCGGCTGCGAGGAGCCCACTTCACCATTTATCGGGGTATTCGACCGAAGTTCGCAGCATTTGGCAAGCCAAGGATCGTCGGGTCTGAAAAGGGGGTCGTCGAGCTGCTACCGTGAGTCTCAGTGGCAAGAGTGAACCACAGACCTGTAAATCAATATGACCACCGTGCTCTCTGCTATCGCCATGCAGGGTCGATCAGGTAAATCAGGGGGAGTGGCCGGAAATGACCAGCAGCTCCGGACAGCTTTCCCCATCCTCACCCTGCATCGTCAGAGGACGAGTCGGAGCAGACAGGAGGCCCTGCACTCCACCGGCAGACCATCGGGTTCTGACGTTCCCACTCGAGGGTTCTAACCGGCCTCTAGCGGGTTCTAGCTGGTGTCTAGGAGCTTCGCCGGCGGTTCCGCGGCGCCACTAGTACGGAGGATGTGCGGATCGTGGAGACGCGCCCGAAGGTTTCAATTTCATGGAGTGGGCCTGGCGTGACATAGCAGCACGCACCGTCTGTCATAGCGAGGACCAAGTGCCGATGGGGAATCGCTGGCCCGTCCCGCGAGACCAAACGATTGGTGAGAAAGGCCCCGGGGGCCAGAAATAGGCTGTGGCCGACAAGTACTAAATTGGTGGCGAACGAGAGGCGCTTCCAGATCGAGATAGGAGATGATTCGCCGGAGACGCTAAGAGGAGAAAAGGGGGAAAGGACGAGTGGCCATGATATTACGGAGTAGAGTAGTCTACTGTAGGTAGAGGCAGCTCCAATATACATGGCCGAAATAGAAAATTAAATCACGCCGCAAGGGCCCAGGTGCCTGTCAGGCGTATCGGATAAAGTGGCACTGGCGCACGAGGCAGGGCGTGGACTGAGAACGCGCTAGACTGGTCAGATGTCAACTTGTGACCCCTCGTGCGAGATCATCACGGCCCGATTGAAGTGTTACGCTGATTCGACGTTGAATCTTTTCCGTGCGTCGTAGTATAAACCCGGAGTATATCTAGGCAGCCGTGTACTCCGTCCTTGGGGCGGGTTATTTTTTACCAACTCCTTGGACAATTCAGGGATATTGGCACGTTTCCGGTGCCCACCGTGGCGGAGACAGCACCCACCGAGAACAGAGTCTAAAGTCGAAGCACGGGGCGCTCGACAGGAACCGGAAAGCATGGGCAGGGGAACCGAAGGTTGATTTGCATACTGATTCAGTGCCCAGGTCAACCGGGAAGAACCCGATCCCCGATTCGTTTCCGACAGGGGGAATTGAGGATCAAACTAGGAGAGGTAGTTAAAGAAAAAGAACTATAGAGGGACAGAGTAGAGAGGATCCAGAGGATCCAGAGGATGGGTAATTGGCAAAATATGAAATAGTAACAAAGACGGTAGGCCCAGAATAGATGGAGAGTTAGGGGGAAGGGGGGAACGAAAGGAAAAGGGACCAAAACGACTCCGTAATAGCTCTGCTATAAAAGCTCGAGTGCGCCCAGATCCTAGTGGTTTGACTCTCGCCCTGCCCGACTTTTGATAGTGAAAAAACACCCGCAAACTCCTTACTCCCCGTTCTTGGCGGATTTGTGGACCGCTCACCCACTTCCGGCCTTGCGTGTCCCGAATTCAAACCTTTTCCCTTCTCTCCCCCCCCCCCCGCTCCGCTTGTTGGCCTCTTTTCTTTAAACCTCTTCACGGTGTGAATCCTCATTCATACCGGAGAGACGTCTCACGCCCGAGATCAGATTCAACGGAAAAAAGCAAAAAAAAAAAGAAGAAAAAACCTCTCTACCCCCCCCCCTTTCATGACCCGCACGAGCACGACTTTGCATCCGTGAGCGATTTTGCCTGTGTTTTTCACGGTCCCTCGCACCTTTCGTGCCCTAACCATTCATCCTCCTTTTCACCTCATGTTCGCATAGCTCTGTGCGACTCCTTTTGTGCGTGTTGTTGGTGGATTTTTTAACGTGCCCACATTCCTCGGAATCCTCCCTCGGCCATGAGTTATCAACAATCGGACATGTATCACGATCCCTCCGCGCGTTCCCCTGGCTCCCAGCGGCATCAACAACCTCTGCACCGCCAGCCTTCTCGCCAGTTCGACGCATATGGCGCCATGCCCGTCAACCTGTACGAGGACCAGATGGCCCGCTACGAGTCCGCCCGGCTGGAGCGGTTGAACCCGTCGCTGCAGAACAATTCTTACGCCTATGATCTGTCCGGCTCGCAGACCTGGAATCCCAACGGGTTTTCGAATGCTCAGTCCCTCGGTGGCATTCGCTCTGCCTCCGCTAGTCTGAAGCCTTCCGCCCGCGGACGGACCGGCCTGCCCACGGTATGTGTTGTTTTATCTCCTTTCTCCTCCCCCCCTCGAAAAAACTTCCCCCAGTATCACCAGCCACCCAAAACTAACGCAACATCATCCTACTCTAGACCTGGCTCGATCAGCAACCTGGCATGCCTAATGCCTTCTCCAACATGGGCCCTGGCCCCATTCAGAGCAGTGCGATGCGACCGGAAGCATCGGCTTCCTCGGAGGGCGATGACGAACTGATCCCGACCGCAATCGTCATCAAGAACATCCCGTTCGCTGTCAAGAAGGAGCAGTTGGTGCAGCTCATGACCGAGCTGAACCTGCCTCTGCCCTATGCCTTCAACTACCACTTTGACAACGGCGTTTTCCGTGGTCTGGCTTTTGCCAACTTCACCTCGGCGGAGGAGACCGCGACGGTGATCGAGGTGCTGAACCACTTCGAGTTGCAGGGCCGGAAGTTGCGGGTCGAATACAAGAAGATGCTGCCTCTGCAGGAACGGGAACGGATTGAACGGGAGAAGCGAGAGCGTCGCGGTCAGCTAGAGGAGCAGCACCGGCCCATGCCATCGACTCTGCAGACCCAGAGTTCCATGTCTTCACTCGCCTCGCACATCCCGGCCACTTCGCCCTCTCCTGTGTCGCAGCGTGGCCAGAAAATCGGTAAGTTGATTTTTCCTCCTCTTCCACAATCCATAAAACTCACCCCCGAAGAAGGACAAGTGGAAGTGGACTTGAACGACAGCCAGACTCTTTCCTACTACTCCCAACTCCTGCTGTTCAAGGAGGACACCGCTCGCGATTCCGTGATCTTCCCTCCTAACCTCACCCCGTCCCAGCGACGCACGGTTCACACTCTGGCTCACAACATGGGGTTGGCCCACGCCTCCCGCGGCAACGGCGATCAGCGCCAGGTTCAGGTTTTCAAGGTCGCCGCTGGCACCAACGTCAGCCCACCCCTGTCTTCGATCCCGCCCGCTGGCCAGAATGACAGTGGTCGTCGCGGTCTCAACCGGGCCGCCACCATCGACTTTAGCGAGGCTCGGAACGAAGGTGGCCCCGGCTCCTTCAACACCATGCGCGGACAGAACTCCAACTTCCTCGGCGTAATGGACTCTCCTGGCAACTATGGCAACACGCAGAACCTGCGCGCCGCCAAGTCGTTCGCCGACTTGCGCTCCTATACCCCGTCCCCTGTACCTTCCTCCGCCAGCTTTCCGGCCGCCCTCCAATCCAATGGCGCCCGTCTCCAGTACGAGAATGCTCAAACGGGCAGTTCGAACACCCCGACTCTCACCTCCGCCCCGTCCGGCTCGTCTCTCGGCATGCAACGCGACGATAACCTGTTGGTCAACAGCCTGGGTGGTCTGTCTCTGGGCACGGGCATTGGAGGTCCCAACTCCAGCCCCCGCCGATTGCGTGGTATGTTCTCCTGGGACCAGGACAGCCAGCCCTCGTCTGCAGGCGCGATTGGCAGCAACCGTGGAATGGGAGTTGGATTTGACAATGCCCAGCAAGAGCGCATGCCGATCCGACAGCCCCGTGGCCCGACCCCCGAGAAAGGCACCGGTTTCCGTCGTCAGAACGGCCACCAGGCCCGCGGCAGTGACGAACTTCGTGCCACCTCGGGCGTCGAGATCATCGTGGAGTAAACGAGCCGACCAAAAAAATAGCGATTTGACGATGGCGATCCCCCACCTATACTGTTTTTGCCAACATCCGACTGATTTGCCGCGAGACGAATACGAACCTGTATCACGAGGCCTTGTTCTGCCAAATTCACCGGCTTACGATTCGATGAGGGATGACGAGATGACAACCAAAAAGAAAGAGAAAAAAAAAATGAAAGAAAAATCCATTGTTTTTCGCTGATTTGAAAGCCAAGTTTAGACGTTTATTACTTTTTGGGGCAGCCCACGTTGAAACCGTTTCTTCGCCATTGTTTCCTCTCGCCTTCCAGCCGAGATTCAAACACTGGTTCTGTTTCCGTTTCTGATCTGATTCTGCGGGCGCCGTTCTTTTTATTGCATGCAAATCCAAGTGTTTCCCCCCCGACTGCTGGAAAGCGGATTTACGACCGCCACCGCTCGGTGGGACGCCTACGAAGAATGACTTGAAAAGAACCCTGCCCTGGCAGGAGACACGACAAAGCATTTGCATATTCTTGTTAAGTTTGTACATGGGGCGACTCGCATCCGTTTAATGTTTCTGGCCCGATTTTTGTGTTCTCTTCTGCCTTTGTGTCCCCTAATTGTGACGACAGCCCACACTGAGTCTCGGGGACCCTGAGCTCCTTCTACTATATACGTCCATGATGGCGGAAATGTCTCGTTCATTTGTCTTTCTGCGTGATTTCACTCTGATCTGGATGTTCTGTTCGCCTTGCAGAATCGAGGCAACACACCCGTGCCTCCGTGGACTATTTGCCGTTCATCTGTCTATTTTCTTGGAAGACAGCACTGAATGGCTGCAGTATATGTCAAACCAAATGACTCCAGATCCCCGACTCGATTTGATGGATGCAATTTTCTCACATTTTTCATCCGATCGAGGGAGTTTTCTCTTCCTGTTTGGTATCTTTTGCAGTCTAGGGGCTTTCTCTTGGACCGTTGTACCCAGATTTCGACAATCCATGTACCTTTTATGTTTTCCCACTCTCTTCTCCGATTTGAAGCAATGTAGTTCACTTGTCTTGTACCTTGACACAAAATGACCTCGTTAACTTGAATAACATCCATGCACGTAGGCATTTTTGGCAGTGTGATTCCAAACGCCGGCATACTTAGCCAGGTAGTCAGTCTCCCGGTAGTCGGAACCCGACATTTACCGAGGGGATCTGCGAGTTCCTGTTTTGTTTATTATGGTCTCGGCATTCCCGTCCCTGTCGATCCCCCGTATCTATGCATGCGAGTCGAGATTGGTTGAAAGTTCCCATGCAAGCGACTAGTAATAACGGAAAAAGATCTCCGATCTCGTTATATCAACTGCTTGCAATATCATGTTAGGGAACACGCCCATGCAAAAGCGTGCAACACCGCCGCTCATGCCGGAGGCGATCTGGCGCAATGTATCACTGCGAGGAATGTTACGACGATGAGTGGGTGATTTCGATAAATTGCATTGCCCACGGCTCGGGGTACTAAATGGCTGGAAATTCTCCAAACAAGATTGGTGAATGGCTACAGATCAAGTCGCGAGAGTAGATCAAAGAAGTAGTAATTTCCACACTACCAGGATATCCCCCAATTTTCCCATTACAGCGCCCTGTGAACTAGAAATAGACATGGAACGAAAAACCAACAGCACGATAAAACCGGGGAATAGACAAATACATCAGAGTCGCGCCGTGAAGAATGATAAGACAAAAAGACACGGAGAGGAGCGAATTCGGGAAACCGATTGCGCAGCCACATCCACCGTCTCGTTTACAGCTCGGGCTTGCCCTTCTTCTTCTGCTCGACCTTCAGGAGCAAAGCACGGTTGATGCGGGGCAGGACACCACCGAAGGCGATGGTCGCGCGAATGAGGCTGTCCAACTCTTCGTCGCCACGGATGGCGAGCTGCAGGTGACGAGGAGTGATACGCTTGACCTTCAGATCCTTGGCAGCGTTGCCGGCCAATTCCAGTACTTCGGCAGTTAGGTACTCAAGGACGGCGGTCACGTAGACGGCGGCTGCGGATTTGTCAGCTTTTCAAAGAGTCATCAGGCGGGAAAAAGGGAACATACCCTTGGCACCGACACGCATCTTGTTCTGGGTGTTGTTCTTCAAAAAACGCTTAACACGACCGCAGGGGAACTAGAGGAACAAGGTTAGTATTCTAAGGCAGAGACAGCGGGGCCGACGCGACCCGAGGGTCGTGCGCGATAGAAAGGACATGCGACAGGGCCGGACGATGCATTAGACCTCTCGGAAGACCCTGGCACTCAAGGCCAGTGAGGGGAAGTCAACTCGACGCGTCGTGGTGACGACTCGTATCGTCCGCCTACCCCCAGATCACGCGTCCTCCATCGACAGCACACGTCACGGGCCTGGGCAATAACGGGCGACGACACACCTGCAGGCCAGCCTTTGCGCTGTGAGACTTCTGGGCCTTCCCCGCAGAGTCCTTGGAACCACCCTTTCCACCGATAGACTTGCCCTTTCCGCCAGGCATTTTGGGAGAGTATTCGCGAAGAAGAGGGGAGCGCGTTGGAATAGAATCGCAGGCGATCCGGCAGGAAGTTGGATGGGAAAGCGATTCAGAATGCGGGAGGCACGCGCGTTGTTGATGGATGGAGAAGTCAGAAATGTCCACGCCGGCACGGTCGCTAAAGACGGCCCGACGCTAGTCCCAATTTGGTAGTCGTCTCAAGGACGCCCGGCGTAGTTGCACGGTTGACTCGCCGTCTGCGTGGGTCGGTTAGTTCCGCTGGGTCGAGTGATACCCGGGTATATAGATATCTAATTCGTCTGCCCATGACTGGGGGAAGCGTTGGGTTAGTTGGACTGTGTGGTGAGTAGTCGTGACAGTGGGAGGCCCGTTTGCGGGCATCCACTGGGCCATCAGGTCATCTCGGGTGGCGCCAGACCCGGAAGTCTGGTCGTCGAGAATTCATCGGTATATAGTCCTGCTTCTCATAGAGTCGAGCGGGCCAAGTGTGCAGTCGAGCCCCGGAGGTGTGGTTTTAGAGATCAGAACACAGACCGTGGAGTCGAGCGGAGCTGATCAGGTGACTGCGGCAAGACAGTTGTTCCGAAGTGCCAGGTGGCCCGGGGCAAATGCGATCGAGTTTTGGTTCTCCGGTGTTCTTTTATTCCCCCCCGTACTTCCTCCAGCAACAAGGGTCCAACTCGTCAAAATGGTGTCTCCTCAAATGTACGTCTTGCTTCTATTCTGAATGCGCGCATCTGTCTAACCTTTCATGCAGTACCAACCTGGCCATCATCTTGGTGATGATGCAGCTGTCCAAGAAGGTTCCCTTCGACAACCCCGATGTCCTGATGGGTGTCCGTGCTCTCTACATCCTGTCGAATGTCCTCATCCTGGGTCTCTACCTGTACACGCAGGCCAAGATCAACAAGAAGAAGGGTACGTGATACCGGAGCACCTGCGACGCGACTGTTGACTAACCGACATCCAGACATGACAACGCTCAAGTACGTCGAGCCCGCGCAGATGGGCAGCGGTGAGGAGGCCAAGCCCGTGACGACCACCAACATGGACTACGACAAGGGACAGCTGCGCCAGTTGATCCGCAGCCAGCTGATGGGTGTGGGCATGATGGGCGTGATGCATCTGTACATGAAGTACACCAACCCGCTCCTGATCCAGTCGATCATCCCTCTCAAGGGTGCTATCGAGGCCAACCTGGTCAAGATCCACGTCTTCGGCAAGCCCGCTACCGGTGACCTTGCCCGTCCCTTCAAGGCCGGCGGCGGCTTCATGTCCCAGGGCCAACCCAAGAGCGACAAGGCCTCGATCGAGAACGCCGAGAAGAACTACCGCGGCGGTGTCAAGGAGGAGTAAACGGCGGCGAATCGATTGGTATTATCGATGGTCATGCATCGACATGAACTTGCGTGGAGGGAAGCTACACCACGGGCTCCGCTTCTTGACTTGTATTATATCCCATCCTTCCAATTCCATGGCATGTTGGCCTGAGCAGTGACGCTGCGCGTGATAATTGCATTGTATTTTCCTTTTCTTCGTTATGACCACGGGCCTACAATTACGGCCTTTGTTCGAGGGGGTTCCGCGATACGGATAAGATTCGTTGCGGGTATCTGCGAGCTTCCATGCCCTTCCACGGCGATAGAGATCGCATTGGTTCAGCCGTGGCATGCCATATCATGTCATATGCTTGCCATCATTGCCATCATTGTCATCATTGCCACCGTGAAATTGTCATCGTCACGGTCCGATAATGTCGCGCCTCTGTCTCACTCGGATAGCCGGAGCCGGAGATTTATAATCTGGAGGCGGGATTTGCCAGCCCGGATCTGGGAGTCAACAGTCATAAACCAACAAAAAGAAACATAATAAAAAAAATCGGTCTGTTCCCGTGGCCCCAGGGGCTCCTACCGGTGACCTTTTCAGGGCGCGGGCCACTTCTTATACAGTTGCCCCATACCCGATCGGTCCACCGCAAGCTGTTTTGAGGCATGCCCTTTTCGCATGCGGCATAGACGGGCCCAACCGAGAGGGGGGGGAAACAGAAAATAAAATAAAATAAATGGAATCGATGCAGTCGACCATGAAATCTGATGGATCTTGTACCTGGTCTCCATGCTCGAAGTGGGTTAGCACATGGTAGTGTTGAGAGTGGTAACTAAGGAGACTGCCCCTCAGTCATGGCATCATCCACCTGCCCCTCCACCCCTCCAAGCTTCTGCCCCTCGGGCATCGGAACGGCCTCGACGGGCTCGTAGACTACATTATCGTGCCGAAGGAGACTGGTAGAGCATTCTCGAGCTCAATCGCCGAGGCAAATAGTCATAGTAACCCGACGTGGGAGGATTGCGGCACGCTCATTGGCACAGAGCAGAGCAAATATCGTGAAGCTTCCTGAATTCCCCGGTGTATGAAACCGGAAAAGGGCGCTGGGGAGCTGTGCAAGCGGCAAGTGCCGGAAAGTGCAGCTAACTGCTCCGACACGCCGAGACTCTGGGGACTCCCTAACAAGGTGCGCTCGGTGTAGAGTTGGGTGATCTGTTCGTTGCGTCAGCCACTACTTCTTCCCCTCCCCCGCCGGCTTTTTTTCTCTTCTTCTTTCTTCCCCATCATTCTTCACTTCCCTTCAAAAGTAAGTCCCTCCTTGATCCTTTCCTTTTGGATCGATTCTTGCCTCCTACCATCCACACATACTTACAGCTCCCTCCAGAACTCATCTATCCGCAAACATGGTCCCCAAGGTATGCCCTCCGTGACGCAATCACGGCGTGTCGCAAATTCTCATCATTCTCTAGGTTGGAATCAACGGCTTCGGTCGCATTGGCCGTATTGTAAGTCTCTTCGTTCTCATCATGACACTTTCGATCACCAGCTAATTTCTCCTGCAGGTCTTCCGCAATGCGTAAGTTACTCATTATTCGTCCCCGCGTCTGGTGGGACGAATTTGACTCTAACCGTTGCACAGCATTAACCACGGCGGTGTTGACGTTGTTGCCGTCAACGACCCCTTCATTGAGGTCCACTACGCTGTACGTTTCTCCTGGTGGCGGGGTGACCCCTCTGCCCCCCCTCCTTGCAATTGCCCCGCATCGTGTACTAACCGCTCACCCCACCGGGTAGGCCTACATGCTCCGCTACGACAGCACCCACGGCCAGTTCAAGGGCACCATCGAGGTTGCTGGTGACGGCCTGATCGTCAACGGCAAGAAGATCACCTTCTACGCCGAGCGCGACCCCGCTGCCATCCCCTGGGGCAAGGCCGGTGCCGACTACATCGTCGAGTCTACCGGTGTCTTCACCACCCAGGAGAAGGCCGCGCTTCACCTGAAGGGCGGTGCCAAGAAGGTTATCATCTCCGCTCCCTCCGCTGATGCCCCCATGTTCGTCATGGGTGTCAACAACTCCTCCTACAAGTCCGACATCAACGTCCTCTCCAACGCCTCGTGCACCACCAACTGCCTGGCTCCCCTCGCCAAGGTCGTCAACGACAACTTCGGTCTTGTTGAGGGTCTCATGACCACCATCCACTCCTACACTGCCACCCAGAAGACTGTCGACGGTCCCTCCGCCAAGGACTGGCGCGGTGGCCGCACTGCGGCCCAGAACATCATCCCCTCCTCCACCGGTGCCGCCAAGGCCGTCGGCAAGGTCATCCCCTCCCTCAACGGAAAGCTGACCGGTATGGCTATGCGTGTGCCCACCGCCAACGTCTCCGTTGTCGACCTGACCTGCCGTATCGAGAAGGCCGCCACCTACGAGGAGATCAAAGCCGTCGTCAAGAAGGCCTCCGAGAACGAGCTCAAGGGTATCCTTGGCTACACCGAGGACGAGATCGTCTCCACTGACCTGAACGGTGACGACCACTCCTCCATCTTCGATGCCAAGGCTGGTATCGCCCTGAACTCCAACTTCATCAAGCTCGTTTCCTGGTACGACAACGAGTGGGGCTACTCTCACCGTGTCGTTGACCTGATTGCCTACATCGCCAAGGTTGATGGCCAGTAGGAATCAGGACAGCGTCCTGGGGCCAGGAGTCTTCTCTGAGGTGATTGGTTTGCCGTGAAGGTACCCGATGATGCGGGGCTGGATGGGAATCTGCCTCGCAGAAAAAACTAGCTGTTAACGTCAATTTAATGAGAAACAAATACATTTCGTTTGCGTTTATCCTGCATCTGTAGATCTGAGAGCAGTATTTAATATAACGCTTCCGTAATGCTTCCTTGATTATCGGTTTGTACCTGCGATCCTAGGCAACGCCAAGGTAGACCTCGGGACATGGTTACTGTTCCGTTGACCCGAAGGTTGGATGAGAATACCCGTTCGGATAGGCTGGGCTGTGGTTAGGCAAATTACCTCAGGGGATGTAGGTGAATAGGTACAACTCCGAGTCTGTACTCTATCTAATCCTTACAAGCCATATTTCCCAGCTCCCGCATATCCCGCCATATATTACCTCACGACATTGGACCCGGACAATTGGTGTACGTGGATGCCAAAATAAAATATTATTGAATCAATTCAAACCCCTTTGCACGATAGCCAAATGCCGATACTGTCAACCACTGTCACTGTATGTATTGCAAGCATCTCGTATAGTCCGAGGAAATCAAATGGTGGCCCGAATAACAAGGCATGAAGTCCCTCACCGCCATCTCTACCGCCGAAGCCATGTCTGGCAGTAAGACCAAGGGAGATCCGCCATGCACATCAATCAATCTTGGGAAATCCACCTACCACCCTGTGCTACTGCTGTGTCTAAGCGGTCACATCTTCACACCAACAGCGTCGCATTGGATTTGGTTGCTTGGCTTCCAAATATTGTTTCTTGCCTCTGGGCTTGTACGCACGAGAGTTGCACTGGTGTCTCTGCGTGTCGCAATTGCTTGCGCGGGAATACGAAGGACGGAGCTCTATACGGCCACGGTTCCACCCTGGCACTGTCGCATATCTGTCATTGTATGCTGGCGATCCATTGAAACAGCATCACCTAAGATTGTCTCTGACTTTTGCTGCTCTATCGCCTGATCAAACATCTTCTGCGGAAGCCGCGCATGTTTGAACCAGACGTTCATTCACGATATCTTGTCATGAAACTTTAAGCACGAAGAGTCTAGCCTCATGGAAAGGGGACTGATCCTCAACGTTGAAACGCCGCCCAAAATGGAAGAAGACGAGGACACCATGATGGGGCAGACCCCCAAGCTCCCTACCACGTCCTCTTATGCATCTCTCACGCATCCCCCTCCCTCCACCCATCTACACAACGAGGGGGACCTTGCTCTTGCTCCTGAATTCATGCCCCCATCAGCACCAAAATCTCTATCTCCTGGATCTGAACCTTTTTTATCCCACCAGTCTACCGGCCACGTGGGAGATGCTTCTCTAGAAGGACAAATCAAACCAAGTGACTCTGAGAGCAATTCCGCCTCGCAACTCGCAAAACGTGATAGTCTTATTGAACCTAACTCCGACTGGTCGGATGAAGAAGTCATGCTCCGGTCTGGCCTTCCAGTAGGGTCGCTACCGACGGGTCTTTGCTATGACGAGCGCATGCGCTTCCACTGCGAGGTCCGTCCCACCTCGGACGTGCATCCGGAGGACCCGCGGCGCATCTGGTATATTTACAAGGAACTATGCCGTGCCGGCCTGGTCGATGACCCGATATCGACTCGACCGCTAGCTCCTCAGACTCTTCAGAGGATCAACGCACGCAAGGCTACCGAAGAGGAAATTACCATGATCCACACAGATGCTCACTATGCCTTTGTCAAAAGCACTGCAGGTATGATTCAAGCCTGATTCTGGTTTGAATACCCGAACACTGACCGAATGCTAGACATGTCGGATGACGATTTGGTTCTCCTGGAGAGAGAGAAAGATTCGATTTACTTCAATGATCTGACATTTGCCTCTTCTATCTTGTCTGCTGGAGGAGCCATTGAAACCTGCCTGGCAGTCGCGCAGCGCAAGGTCAAGAATGCCATCGCCGTCATCCGCCCGCCCGGCCACCATGCCGAGCACAACGAGGCCATGGGCTTCTGTCTTTTCAATAATGTCTCAGTCGCAGCACGTGTCTGTCAAAAGGAACTCGGTGAAAAATGTCGCAAGATTATGATTCTTGATTGGTGAGTGTTTTGCATGTCATTCTTTCTCAAGTCCCAATACTGACCCAACTCTTAAGGGATGTCCATCATGGTATGCGAATCTCGTCCACGTTTGATCATGTGGATTTATGAACTCACACAAGCGCAGGGAATGGAATTCAGAAAGCGTTCTATGAAGACCCAAATGTTCTCTACGTCTCTATTCACGTTCATCAGAACGGCAGATTTTACCCCGGTGGCCCTGCAGGAGATTGGGACCACTGTGGTGAGGGTCCGGGACTCGGAAGGTAATTGCTCAACCTCATGGCCCAGGACGATGGGTTTCAGGAGAGAGTGTGTACTGACATCAGATTGAAGGAACATTAACATCCCATGGCCGGATCAGGGAATGGGGGATGGTGACTACATGTGGGCTTTCCAGAAAGTCGTGATGCCCATTGCGACGGAGTTCAACCCAGACCTGGTGATCAGTAAGTGGCACTTCCTTGGATATGAGACTTTTCTGACCCTGCTGCAGTTTCGGCTGGATTTGACGCTGCTGCTGGCGATGTCCTGGGCGGCTGCTTCGTGTCTCCTCCCTGCTATGCTCAGATGACCCACATGCTCATGACTCTTGCTGATGGTAAGATTGCTGTCTGTTTGGAAGGAGGATACAACTTCCGTTCCATTTCCAAGTCTGCCCTGGCGGTGGCTAAGACCCTTATGGGTGAGCCGCCGGACCGTCTGATGAACACTATTCCCACGGAGGCTGCCAAGGCCACCGTCGGTCGCGTCATGAACATCCAGGCTCAACATTGGCGTTGCATGTTCCCGAAGCCCCCGAGCCATCCGGTCTGGGCAGATCGACTTCACGGTATGCTTGGTGTCCCGCCAGCCCACGAACAGTCATTGACGGCCGCTGCAGACATCCTTCGTGACTACCAGTCCAAGCAACTCTACGAGGAATTTAAACTCACCCCTCTGTGGATCTATCGCACGGCAATTTCCAAATCGTTCAAGAATCAAGTTCTGGCAAGGTAAGCGTTAGATGAACTATCAGACAAATGACGCTCGGGCTCACCAGTCCTTTTAGCTCCAACTGCAACGAAATAACTCCCCTTATTGTCATTTTCCATGACCCGTAAGTATCTTCTGGAAATTGAGAGTTGTCGTTTCTGACTGTTTCCAGTCCTGAGCTTATGGGACATCCCGATCCCGTGACCAACCGATTGGATGCCCACAACACGTGGGTGGTAAGTCAACCCGGAGAAGTTTCGGTGAAGAGACATGTGCTAACTTGACAAAGGCCGATGCATCGAAGGATTACATTGCATGGATCGCGAAAAAGGGCTATGCCCTGATTGATGTTAATATCCCCAAGCACATCACTCGGGAGCCGGTAAGAGTCGACAGCAAGCGCTTCATGTAGATGACCGACTAATGAGACCATCAGGCAACCGGCAAATACGAGGAAGAGGATGAAAATCGGCCCACTGCAACCGAAGAGCTGGCCAGCTACTTGTGGGACAACTACATTGAGTAAGCAGTCGGACTTATCAACCAGTCAATTGAACACGAAGCTAAGGCCAATCAACAGACCGACAGATGCCACCGAAATCTTTTTCATGGGGATCGGCAACGCCTTTTACGGGATAGCTAACTTGCTGATCAACAGAGGTGTGCCTAACCCTAGTTGGAGCCAAGAAAACCGCTGACTCGAGGCAGAAAACCTGTACAAACGCGTCAATGGCATCGTATCCTTCGTGGCCGAGAACCCCGTCCGCGCGATTGCATCACCTACGCAAACGTGGCTGTCGAAATGGTACCGCGAGGTAAGAACTTCTCAATTCCGATCTAATGCCTCCCCCGCTTACCCTTTTTTCTAGAACTCTCTGGTCTTTGTCTCGGAGACGCACGGCGTCTGGGGCAACCCGGATCGCAAACCCTCCAAGCGCTATGGAACTTTGATCAAGTCCCCCGAAAGCCAACTGAACGAGATGCTTGCCCGACACAAGGAGCAAGTCTTCGAATGGATTTCCGAACGTGCCGATGATGACGAGGACGAAGATGAGGACGCTGATCAGGATGCAGAAATGAAGGATTAACGAGGTTGCATCAGCCGCAGCCCTAAGCTCGACGAATTCCCCAATGTTGTTTTAGAGTACTTTCCCTTTGAGACCCTATCGTGTTGCCGAGGAAGGGATGGTGGTAGACCCACCGCGATAGTTTTCCGCAGAGTTGCATGAATCCATTCATCCATTTGATAGCTCACCACGTCACCGAGTGTTAATAACCACTTTAAACGGAGATTGCATATTCAAGTAAAAATCGGGAGGCGCTTTACCGCGTGGTAGCCTGGTCAAGTCGAGACGATTTAGCGTAGGGTTATTTTTCTTCACCTGGCGTATTCTAGGACACTGCGACCACGCAGCTGCCGGCGAAGCGATGACCGAGTCGATACGAGAACCGGTCCGTGAGGCACCTGATTTTATGCAAGTGAGACACCACCAACCCCACCAGTACATCTCTGGCGGTGACCGGACAAAATTCCGGTTAGCTGACCTCGGAGAGATCTATCCACGAGATACATGAGCTAAAGCATGCACGACGTGCCCTGGATGTAACTATGTCTCAGAACTTTACCCCAGAATTGAAGGGTGGCACGGCAATCAGGGCCCGAGACGAGCATCCACCTGCATCTCCACCCTTGGCATGCACTGATGTCAGCGCATCACGACATTCGAATCGAAATCGGGTTGGAGCGACCTGAGACATTCGAGTTCATGGTGACTTCCATTCTTAGACATTTCCGACCTGTGGCCACTCGGTTCCCCAACGCTGATGCGGGGTCATGACCTACAGATGCGGACCTTTCTTACGCTCTGCCTATATTGTCTCGGAAAAAAGACAGGCGCAGGCAGATGGCGTACTTTTGGCATAGAAGCTATTCCCCCACGGAAGAACAGATGAGACTCTCTGCTCGCCGACAGCGCATCCTGCTTGGGCCAAGAAAACTATATAAACCAAGGAAGCCCTCGCCTTTCAGATCTCCATCAGCACTTCAGTCTCAAATCTCAAGTCTACATTGAACCATAACCCTACCACAATGCATTTCACCACTGCCGTTATCGCCTCGGTTGCCGCCCTGGCTCCTCTGGTTAGCGCTGTCGGCCAAGCCCGCGTGGTGAACCACTGCGACTTCCCCGTCTACCTGTGGTCCGTTGGCGGCTCTGTTGGCCCGGAGGTCACCATCCAGCCCAAGGGCACGTACACAGAGCAGTTGCACCACGATCCCGCCTCCGGTGGCATCGCGTTGAAGATTACCACCGGCGAGAACGGTCTGTATGACGGTAGTGCCCAGACCGACTTCGCCTACACCCTGGACGGCAACACCGTCTGGTACGACTTGTCCGATGTCTTCGGTGATGCCTTCTCCGGCCACGCCCTGAACGTCGTTCCCTCCGACACTACCTGTCCCCACATCTGTTGGGGTAACGGTGTCTCTCCCAGTGGAAGCCAGACCAGGGACTGCCAGGCCAACTCGGACATTTCTCTGAACCTGTGCGCCGCCAAGTGCTAGATGCTCTATGTTGGATGCTAGGATGTGAATAGGTGTATTATGGAGGTGCAGCATGACTAGGCTTCGCGGGGTCTAAAAGAGCCTCAAACTCTGTCGTGGGCCATGAGTGTTGGCTGTTGGATATAGTTAATGAGTAATGAATTCGACATGCGACAATACAAATACATTCTTGCACGTTTCCCCCGAGTCTGCGTAACATCGAAAAGCAAGTGTCTCCAACCGGCGGAAAAGGTGTCGAGTGAAATGCGCTCTCCGGAAAGACGGTATCGGATGCTGACACTCGTGCCCATGTCTAGTTATGTCTAGTTATGTCTATGCACCCGCAAAGCTTGGACGATAACGGCTTACTCATCGCTCGAGGGGCATTTGGCCCTTTCTGGGGCTTGGCGAGTCGCCTCCGCCTCGGTCGACTTCACAATCGGACACGCTTCTCTCGTCATCTTCATTCCATTCTGTATTGCATTGTCTCTTAGATATACATTCCTTGCGTGACTTTGGTGCATTGGCCATACCGGACTCACCGCTGTCTTCTCCGGACCCGTACCTTGATGCTCCCAAGGTCCTCTGCTGCACGATTGTGGTACAGAGGCCTGAGTTGCAATTCAACCGCTCGACCATATTTTCTGTCACATATCTTGCCGACTCGCTCTGTTTGGCCCCCGTTCCCGATTCCTTCATCCGAGCACGTCTGGGCCCGTTCGTTTGCTTCCACCCACCCTTTCTCCGCCACAAAACCCTCCGCCATGACTCAAATTGAGCGCATCACAGAACGCTTGGAGAGACCGGAGCTCGATGATCGGTCCTATCGTGTCATTCGTTTGCCCAACCAGCTCGAGGCTCTTCTGGTGCACGATCCCGATACCGATAAGGCTAGTGCCGCCGTCAACGTCAATGTGGGCAATTTCTCCGACGAGGATGATATGCCAGGGATGGCGCACGCGGTAGAGCACTTGCTGTTTATGGGTACGAAAAAGGTACGTTCATTTGTCCGAGCTGGAGAGTGGAGAGCAATGCTGACGTGCATATCCGCACTGCATAGTACCCCAAGGAGAATGCCTACAACCAATACCTAGCTTCCCATTCCGGTTCTTCCAACGCATACACTGCTGCCACCGAAACGAACTATTTCTTCGAGGTATCAGCCACTGGCGACTCGAGCGCGCCGAAATCCACAGGACAGAACACCCCGGCCGAATCAACAAATGGGACGAATGGGGCGAATGGGGCGAATGGAACAAATGGGACAAATGGGACAAATGGAGCCAGTGAGACTTCATCCATCAGTGCTGGAGAATTAGATGGCAAGTCGCCGTTGTATGGTGCCCTGGACCGCTTTGCCCAATTCTTCGTTTCCCCGCTCTTCTTGGAGTCGACGTTAGATCGTGAGTTGAGGGCGGTGGATTCAGAGAACAAGAAGAACCTTCAGAGTGACTTGTGGCGGTTGATGCAACTGAACAAGTCCCTCTCAAACCCCAAGCACCCTTATCATCACTTCTCGACTGGTAACTTGCAGACACTGAAGGAAGACCCCCAGAAACGAGGACTGGAAGTGCGTAGTGAGTTTATCCGTTTCTATGAGAAGCACTACTCTGCCAACCGGGCCAAGTTGGTAGTCTTGGGACGCGAGACCTTGGACACACTGGAACAATGGGTCTGGGAGTTGTTCGCCGACGTCGAGAACAAGAACCTGGCCCAGAACCGGTGGGACGATGTGCAGCCTTTTTCCGAGGAGGACATGTGCACTCAGGTGTTTGCGAAGCCTGTCATGGATTCCCGCTCCATGGACATGTATTTCCCCTTCCTGGATGAGGAGAACCTGAACGACGTTCAGCCGAGCCGATATATCAGTCATTTGATTGGCCACGAAGGACCCGGTAGTGTCCTCTCCTACCTGAAGGCCAAGGGCTGGGCCAATGGTCTTTCCGCTGGTGCTATGCCGATCTGTCCTGGCTCGGCCTTCTTCACCATCTCGGTGCGCCTGACGCCTGAGGGTCTCAACCAGTACCAGGAAGTTGCCAAGGTGATCTTCGAGTATATCGCCATGATCAAGGAGCGCGAGCCGGAGCAGTGGATTTTTGACGAGATGAGGAACCTGGCCGAGGTGGACTTCCGCTTTAAGCAGAAGACGCCCGCCAGCCGATTCACCAGCCGTCTCAGCAGTGTTATGCAGAAGTCGTTGCCTCGCGAGCGGCTTCTTAGCGGATCGCTGTTGCGCCGGTTCGACCCGGAGTTGATCAAGAAGGCCATGTCTTATCTCCGGACTGATAACTTCCGGCTCATCATCGTGTCGCAGAACTACCCGGGGACCTGGGACCAGAAGGAGAAGTGGTATGGTACTGAGTACAAGTCGGAGAAGATCCCTCAAGACTTCTTGAATAGCATTCAGAAAGCCTTGGAGTCGACCGAGGCCACTCGTACCTCCAACGTGCACATGCCGCATCGGAACGAGTTCGTTCCAACGAGATTGTCGGTGGAAAAGAAGGAAGCCGAGGAGCCCGCCAAGACTCCCAAGCTAATCCGTCACGATGACCGCGTACGACTGTGGTTCAAGAAGGACGATCGCTTCTGGGTTCCCAAGGCGACTATTAATGTGACTCTGCGCAACCCCTTGGTGTGGGCAACTCCGGCCAACCTTATCAAGACGAAGCTTTACTGCGAGTTGGTCCGGGATTCCCTGGATGAATACTCTTACGATGCCGAGCTTGCAGGCCTGGACTACCACCTTGCAGCAAACATCCTGGGCCTGGATATCTCTGTAGATGGATACAACGATAAGATGTCCGTTCTGCTGGAGAAGGTGCTTACCACTATGCGCAACCTGTCCGTCAACCAGGACCGGTTCAACATCATCAAGGAGCGCCTGAGCCGGGCATTCCGCAATGCAGAGTACTCGCAGCCTTTCTACCAGGTCGGTGACTACACTCGCTACCTGCTGGCCGAGCGTAGCTGGGTCAACGAGCAGTATATCGAGGAGTTGGAGCACATTCAGGCAGACGACGTGACCAATTTCTTCCCTCAGCTGCTGGAGCAGACCCACATTGAGGTCCTCGCTCACGGCAACTTGTACAAGGAGGATGCGCTACGCATGACCGACTCTATCGAGAAGATCCTCCAAGGTCGGGCCTTGCCTCCGTCGCAGTGGTACCTGAGACGTAACATGATGATTCCCCCGGGAAGCAACTTTGTCTACCCCCGGACTCTTCAGGATCCCGCTAACGTCAACCACTGTATCGAGTACTATCTCTTCATCGGACTCTTCTCGGATTCCACCCTGCGTTCAAAACTCCAGTTGTTCTCTCAGATGACCGACGAGCCTGCATTCGATCAGCTGCGCAGCAAGGAACAGCTCGGATATGTGGTGTGGAGTGGCTCCCGTTACAACGCGACCACCATGGGCTACCGGGTGATCATTCAGAGCGAGCGCAACGCCAAGTACCTCGAGTCTCGCATTGAGTCGTTCCTGCGAACATTCAGAAGTATCCTTGAGGAAATGCCCGAAGAGGAATTCGAGGGCCACAAGCGCAGCGTCATCAACAAGCGACTGGAGAAGCTGAAGAACCTGGGTTCGGAGACTGGCCGGTACTGGTCTCACGTCGGGTCGGAGTACTTTGACTTCTTGCAGCACGAGACCGACGCGGCCAATGTGCGCACCCTGAACAAGGCGGATCTGATCGCATTCTACCGCCAGTACATCGACCCCGCCTCAACGACGCGGGCTAAGCTGGCTATTCATTTAAATGCGCAGTCCGGCACCCACGCTGCGGAGAGTGACAGCTTGGATGAGAAGCGCGCCCGTCTGGTTGATATTGTCAACAAGCAGCTTGAGGCTGCTGGTTTCGCCTCGGACGATGCCCGTCTGCAGACGGCGTTCAAGGATTTAGACCTGACGGTGATTGATCGCTCCCAGGTCTTATACATGGTCAGGACATACATGGCCGGGGATATGAGCTTGTCGCCAGCACAAATCGACCCTGTTATTGAGAAATTGGACAGCAACCTGGGCCTGCAGCTGAAGCAGCTTGGCCTGGTGGCGGAGAAGGGCGAGTCGACCAATGGTACCGTGGTGGCCCAGGAGCCCATCACCATCACGGACGTGTCTGTTTTCAAGGCCCGTCTGCCCGTCAGCACCGGCCCCGTGGCCGTATCGGATCTCACTGAGTTTGAGGACTTTGATGCGAAACTGTGAGCGGGGGTTTACTTTTATGTGGTGTTGGTGCAATGAAGCAGGAGAGTTGGGGGGGGGGGGGGGGGGGTTCGTAGAGGGGCATGGATTCCGCATGGTGATGAACATGGTAACTAATTGCGCCCGTCAATGTAACAAATAAAACAATACCTACTGTACCAGCTGAACCAAGTCCAATTGTAATATCACCGCCTGCTAAAAGTAGCCTCATCCGATCACACACGTGACCGTCTTTATTGATAGCGATACCGAGCTGTCTCGGCGCAGCGCGCCCTTGGATCGTTAACCCCGAGCAACAATGGCGACCACAACCGCCACGGCGATCCAAAGCAGTCGCCCGTGAGTGATACCTATCTGGATGATGCCAATGTGGAACAGGAATGCCGCTGACACAATCCAATTCCAGTCCGATCCTCCCCAAGGATTTCTCGGGCCAGCAGCCGGAGACTATCCGTCTATACCCCCTGTCCAACTACACATTCGGTACGAAAGAAACGCAGCCCGAGGAGGATCCATCTGTCCTTGCGCGACTCAAGCGGTTGGAGGAACATTATGACCTTCATGGCATGCGGCGCACCTGCGAGGGTATCCTGGTCTGCCACGAACACAACCACCCGCACGTCTTGATGCTGCAGATCGCCAATGCTTTTTTCAAGCTGTACGCTTAGGTCCATTCAGAGGATGAGTGTGTACGGGAGGTGCTAATGATATACAGACCAGGTGACTACCTGCACCACGAGGACGAGGAGATCGACGGCTTCAAGAAGCGACTGAATGAGCGTCTGGCCCCGGTGGGCTCACAATTCTCCGGTGAAGGCGTCAATGAAGACTGGGAGATCGGCGATACCCTGGCCCAATGGTGGCGGCCGAACTTTGAGACCTTCATGTACCCGTTCCTGCCGGGGCACGTCACACGGCCGAAGGAGTGCAAGAAGCTGTACTTCATCCAACTGCCCAAGAAAAGTGAGTGACCTGCGCATGTCCCAGTTCTCTTTCGCTGATCCCCTTGGTTTTGTAGAGGTCCTCTCGGTCCCCAAGAACATGAAGCTTCTCGCCGTGCCGCTGTTTGAACTATATGACAACACCGCCCGCTACGGCCCGCAGCTGTCCGCCATCCCTCACCTGCTCTCGCGATACAACTTTGAATTCGTGGACGAGAATGACAACGTGGTTGCCGTGACTCCGGGCACTCCTCTGGCAGAGAACCAGATCCCGCGCACCAAGGTCCTGGCTGGCGATGACGGGCAAGATACCGGAATGACGGATATTGGAGCGGAAGGGGAGAGAGTGGAGGGTTAGTCCGACGCAAGGATAGAAAGAAATTTAATGTCATCCGTTTATGAGCGTGCGCCCGTTCTTGCTCTTCTGTGGTGCTTGGTCCAGTGAAAGTATAGAGACTTGATCGGATAAAAATGCAAGTTACCAACTGCACCTCCCAGCTCCCGCTGCAACTGGCGAGTCCTCGAATCTACTCCATACCTTCCACCGGTGATGTTTTTGGTTTCAGGCTTGGAGGATACCTCTCGCTATTTTGCTCTCTCTCTCTTTCTCTCTTTCTCCAGGGCTCCTGTATACATTGCAAATATAGGAAACGGCTCATATCTTCCAAAACAGCCTATCTCTCTAACCTCGGAGGTCTGCGACTTGCATGGGAAACAGGCCCGGACCGCCTGACCCACTTTACCGCGGCCCTCAAGAGTATAAAACACATTTATGCTTCTGATTCCTGTTGAATTTGACGATCTTCTAGTGTTCGACACGGGAGGGAATAATAATAATTTGTGTTCTTTTAGAGTATTCTTTTAGAGTATATTCCGGGATAGGTAATGGTCGAAGGGGACAATACATAGCAGTGTTGTCTGCGTGGGATCACCCGTCCAAAGGACGACTGTATATTTTTTCCAAAGGGAAATCTAAGCTCCCTTTGCACTTCCGATCACGGATTCGAATGTTCACTCGGATGCTACCAGTCCAGCCACGTCTGCCTTTCTGGAACAGCGAATGTGCCGACAACGGAAAAAGGCCCCGGCACATCCACTCCCATCGAGCTGATGGTCCCCTCGGTTCTTAATGCCGGAAAAAACCTACGGAGAAAACGGAAAGAACCCAAAAGGAACTATCCTCGTGGACAACTCAAGCCCCCAAGCCCCACTTCCCAGTGAGAGCCGAGTCTGACGGGTTGCATTCATCCGTGAGGAAACCCTCTGCAGAATGTCGATCTCTTCCCCAGGCGGACTCTCCACCAGTCAGGCGAAGAATCTGCCCTCAGGAACGGACGACGAGCCTGTTTGGAACATTCTCCAGGATGAGTCTTGACGCCTCCTGTTCATCCCTCGGGTTATACCCCGCCCCGGGGCCTCGTGGTCTTGGGTCTTGTCTTTTCTGATATCGCGAAGAGGAGGTATATAACGGTGGTACTGGCCATGTGAGAGGTCCAAAATAAACAAGACCACATCGGGCTCTGATTTGAGTCTGCGGTATCTCCAGCAAGCCCTTCAACTCGCCGTGAGTATGCATCTCGGTCAACTCTGGCATCTTGTGGCTGCCGCGGCGTTTGCCGTGGCTGCACCTGCTCGTCCGATGCCTCGTGGTGAGTCGAGCCCTGCCTTGTTGACGGGCCACGCTCATGTAAGATCTAGATGTCTCGTCCGCTGTGTTGGATCAGCTCACGGTCTTCGCCCAGTGGGCGGCCGCATCGTACTGCACCAACAATATCAATTCCACAGGAAACGCCGTAACTTGCGCTGGAGATTATTGTCCGGAAGTGCAGTCGGCTAAGACCGCCACGCTATCCGAGTTCGACGAGTATGTACATATCATCTCGTACTTGTAGAACAAAGTACTAACGCCTCAGCTCCACGCAATTTGGCGACGTTGCCGGCTTCGTGGCCGTCGACGAGACGAACGAACTGATCGTGATCTCCTTCCGGGGCAGTCGCACCGTCAGCAACTGGATCGCCAACCTGGACTTTGACTTGACCGATGCCAGTGATCTGTGTGATGGTTGTGAAGCGCATTCTGGCTTTCTGGCGGCGTGGGAGACCGTGTCTGCCGCTATCACATCCCAGGTCCACTCGGCCATGCAGACCTACTCGGGCTACAAGCTTGTCGTGACGGGCCATAGCTTGGGAGCTGCCCTCGCAGCTCTGGGCGGGACTGCGCTGCGCAATGCCGGATACGAACTGGACTTGGTAAGTCGTCCTCCTCCTCCTCCCCCTCTCGATTCATACTGACACATTCGCAGTACACCTATGGCCAACCGCGCGTTGGCAATTTGGCCCTGGCAACGTACATGACTGGCCAGGGAGTCAACCGAGTCACTCATACCAACGATATCGTACCTAGGCTTCCGCCTATGTCATTTGGCTTTTCACATTCTAGTCCTGAACTTTGGATAACCAGTGGGAACGACGTGACGGTAACCACGTCGGATATCGATGTGATTGAAGGCATTGACTCGACGGCCGGCAATGCAGGAGAGCCCTTCCCTGATGTCGCGGCACATGCCTGGTATATTGAAGATATCGATGGGTGCCAGTAGAGTTTGAGGTTACGAGCTATGATAAATATGAAACATGTCCTCGAGAGCCCCGGATTTAACGGGGTACTCGCTAAAATTTGCACCTAGCACTCCTCCCTAGGGATATTGTAGAAATGCGGGATTCCGTCTACTCATCATCGTCACCGCGTAGTGCACCGAGTATATAGATGCGGACCCACCGATCGGCTGTGGCTGGAGCTTTTTGTGGCGGAGACGGGACACCTTCACCTTTCCAGCGACTCGGATTTGTGCTGTGCGCCCTCTGTTCCAGACTCAGAACCAAGATCGCCAAGCTCTCAAAGTTAGGGGTCACTCTCGGTGCGAACGCATCCCCGGATTCTCCGACGCCGCATTTGGCCCTGGAGCTTCACCCTTGCCGACTCGCGATGTTCTGACATGTTCGACCCCCTCGTCCTTCACTATGCTATTCGCCCCGAGCGGACCGCAGAGTCCTCGCCGTCGCAATCGCATTAAATCCATACTCGTCACTATATTCATCGTCCTCGCCATATACTTCCTCTTCTTCGCGCACGCCGAGTCGTCCCATAAACCCACCGCCAAAACCGACTATGCGCAGCTACACAAATCAACGCCGTCGCCCAAAGCGGACGAGCAGGCTCGTCCGGAGATTCGGCGACGGAAGGAAATGGTTGTGGCCAGCATGAAGAGCGACGATACCTCATGGCTGGCCGAGTACTTCCCGGACTGGTCCAGGAGCATCTACGTGGTGAACGACAAAACGGCCCCCTTGACAGTGCCGTACAACAAGGGGCGCGAGTCAATGGTCTACTTGACGTACGTTCTGCAAGCGGGATAAGCTACAACGCGGTGCTAACGCGAACGTAAATACAGCTACATAATTGACCATTACGACTCCCTGCCAGAGGTCATGCTCTTTATACACTCCCAGCGCTTCCAATGGCACAATGACGACCCATACTACGACGGTGTAGCCATGTTGCGCAACTTCCAGGTGCCCTACCTGCAGAAAAAGGGCTACGTGAACCTGCGCTGCGTCTGGACGCTCGGCTGTCCGGTCGAGATTCACCCGCTGAGTGATAGGCACCGCGACGACGTGCACGCGGGCGAATATTTCTTGAATGCATTCAAGGAGCTGTTCCCCCAATCTCCGATCCCGGAGGAAATCGGCGCGAGCTGCTGCGCTCAGTTTGGCGTGACGAAGGAGCAGGTTCTTTCTCGCCCAAAGAGCGACTATGAGCACTTCCGGAGATGGCTTCTGGAGACGGACTTGACGGATGACTTGTCAGGAAGAATCTTAGAATACACCTGGCACAGTAAGTGTTTACCCCCATGCTATGGAAAAGGGGCTGGTACTGATGCTTTGCAGTTATATTTGGACAAGATCCGGTATATTGCCCAGACGCTAGAGCGTGCTACTGCAATGTCTTTGGAATTTGTGACGACAAATTAAACTGTGACGAAGGTACTTGTGAAGGTCGATATGTTTTGCCGCCATTCTCGTCGCTGCCCAAGGGATGGCCATACGTTGGATGGAAGGGCCAGCCACAGAATCCGAGTAGCGGTCTGCCGGAATCCTGAGGAGGAAGAATACCGCGAGGTCTGCACTGCCTCGAATATATTCGAAGGCGGTGGGTATAAAATCATAGAGCCAGGAATTGACCCTCGTGCTGACGAGTATACTGCGCTGGTTCTCAGAGCCCATGAGCCTCAAAGGTTGCAAGCGCCGGCCGATCAAGGCCATGGAAGAAACTGGGTAACACTTGGAGTCTAGGAACATGTCCCTACCAATAGCCTCGGAATGGCGTGTATAGCAAATATACCTAGTGCAGAGGGGCGTTCATTGCTAATCTATCGTAGCAGACGGATCGAGATTGTAAACGGCTTTCCAAGATCGGGTTCATGCATGAAGCATCACCTTATCACGTAGTTTTTAGGTCCGGCCTCGGTGGTATTCCGGGGTAAGCGCATATTGTTAATCTTGTTCCCATGGTTCGAGCTCTTGGGGCTGGAAGATCTAGTTCCCTCTTACGATCCCTGCAGCAGCCAACATTGGCCCAAGCACTCGGCGTGAACTACGAAGTCCCATGCAACACTGTATACATCACACCGTTACGGCCACCATTTCACGGGTCCCGGCTTTACGCTTCACATTTTCTCCGATACTTAATCATATCAAAACACGAGCCTCCCTCTCTACCATCAGCACTTCCCGGTGATTTTTCATTCCGTTTTGGACGGTTCGAGTTGACCTATTGTTGCGTTTCAATCATGCCTTTTCATTGTTCAATCTGTTTTCCATAGCTAGGCTTTGGATGGCAAGTGTGGGAATTATCATACTTCAAATGACGCTAGCCACTTTTAGGCAAAAGTCAATAATGTGCTGAAGTTTTGCCAAAGTCTGCAAGACAGAGACGACCACGAAGAGGGAGGGACCCAAAAAAAAAAAAAACGCTACAACTTTTGAAGGAGAATCTGGCCGTGCTTAAACAGCAATCGCCAGATGCTCATGGGCAAAGGAGAGGAGATCGTCGCTGGCCTCCGCCCGGCCGGACCCGAACGACTGCAGGTTCCATTTGTCCACGCCATCCACTCCCTCCAGGTCATTCGCAAACGCGCGGAACACATCGTCGTTGAGCCGTTCATACTCGGAATAGTCCTTGGGCCAATCCCCGAGGCGCTCGACGGCAAGCTTGAGCATATGCAGGTGCTGTCGGACATGCTTTCCTTCTTCCGCGGTTTCGCCTGGACTGGAGGCGGACGAAGGGGATGACATGCCCGAGATGACCTCCGCGTCCATCTCGGTGGCAGACGCCGAGGACGGGTCGATGAACGTGCGCAGGGCGTTCTCGTGCAGCGCGGCCGCTTTCCGATAATATCGATAGGCCAGCTCGCGCCGGCCTTTCTGGCTCTGATAGCCCTGGGCCACGCTGGTGTACATCTGCGATAGCAGCACGGTCATCTCGACGGTACTTGGGTGCCGGGGCCCATGGACACGAGCGCAATTATACACAAGATCCTCCGCGAGCCGGACGGCTGCAGTATAGTCGTTGATCATATAGCGGGTAATGACCAGCATGCGCCCGAGAGCAAGCGTATACGCATGCTGCGGCTGTGACAGGGCATGGGTGTCCCGGCTGTTCCAGAGGGAGGTGAGGACCCAGGCCAAGGTTTGGTAGTCATGTTGCTCATCCAGAACGCTAATCAGGCTATTGACGTTCACCAGATCAAGCTGTGCGAGCTCAACGTTGTGCTCCTTGAAATAACTCAGCGTATCGTGCAAGATCATCGCCGACACGCTCAGCATGTACTTCTTGATCGAGGCCGCCGGACGCGCGTCAGTCTCTCGACCAGCGATGAGCAGGCCCAGCTTGAACACCAGCTTGAGTGTCGGCAGGGCCGAGTAACCCTGGTGTGCACCGATATACCTCAATGCTGCCAACGCGAGGTGGCAGGCGGACTGGTAGTCCTCGGAGTCGAGCAGCTGGGCAGCCCGGTTGTAGCTAGCGATGGCCACTGAACGCACAAAGTCGCGCGAGATATGGGTGCTGAAATAATCTAGGACCGTCTCAATAAAGACCTTGGCCTGCTGAGGGTCGATCTTCAGGCTGGAGCCCTCGGTGGCCAAGAAGAACCTGGTGTACTGATTCACCACCTGCGTGGCGGCCGACTGGCGGCCGCGGCCGAGTAAGAACGCGTGCAGGCGGGCAACCGTAGCCGTTGTATTCTGGAGGTTGCCGGCGTCTGAACCGAGGACTTTCCGGAACTGCTCAAAGTATAGATATTCCGTGGTCAGGGCGGCGTAGATCTCGTTCAACGTTACCGAAGCGTCGTCGGATTCCCGGAGGCTGTATTCGAGCTGAGCTAGGAAAATAAGGTTTTGCCGCCGTCTTGAACTCTGGTCAAAACCAAAGGCACTGGAATTGCCGGCGTCCTTGATGATGATCTGGCGGTAGATCTCGTGTGAGAGCTCCCTGGCCTGCTGCATCTGGCCCGCGGTGATGTAGCCAGATGCAATGGTTTTGGCCGCCGCAGTCAGCTCGACGGCGGACGTTTCGGTCGACAGCACCTGCACTGTTGTCTCCTGTAGCATTGACACAGCAGCTTGCGGCTCCCCGCGCTTGGTATGCAGCGAGACGATCTCTTCCATCTGGGACAGGGCATCCTCGTGAGCCCATCCGCAGCTGGAGCGGATGGACGTCAGGCGTTGGGTGCGAATAGACGCTTCCTTCTGCAGCTCCTTTGCCGTCATTGTTTCCACTCTCGACGCAGTCGACGAGGCACCCTGCTGCTCGTAGATAATATCCAAAGTGGCGCGGATGTCCTGATGATCGAGGTCGGCTTCGCTGGACTTGGTCTGCAAGAGCCCTTCGTAGAGCTGGATCGCTTCCGCTTCATATTGCTTCGACTCTTGACAGATGTTTGCCAGCGTCTTGGTCGCCTGGATGGTAATCGAGGCACTAGCGCCGAAGAGGCTGATGCACGCTTTGCGATATTGTACCGTCACATCGTGTATGATGGCGGTGTCGCTGTGAACCATACGCAAACAGTGGACATAGCGTTCGTAGATGGTCTGAACGAACGCCGGATCCCGCAACTTCTGGCTGATCTTCGGGCTCTGCAGGGTGTTGAACAACACCCGGCAGGGCTTCAGCGCGTCTGCGTACCGTTCTTGTTTCAGGAGCTCCGTTGCCACAATCAAGAGCGGCTCGAAGGCATCCGGGTGGCAGGTCTCCGAGCCCTTGTTCAGAATATGGACGATCTGACGATAGTAGTCCACTGCAATTGGGCGCGGGCGTGTCAGCTCAGCAAGAGTCCACAGATTTCGGATAACAGTGGGATGTTCCTCGCCGAAGCGCTTGGTGTAGTCATGTAGTATATCCTGGTGAACGGTGATGACCTTGTCGTTCTGGGAGGTACGCTCGTATAGACGAAGAAGGCTCTTCGTGACTCGCTCCAAGAGTTGATCTCCACTCGCCGGTCGATCGCGCCGAACTGCACGATAAAGGCGAGTCCGGATGTCCTCTTCCTTGACCGGACGACGGCGGGAGCGGTAGCAGCTCGCCAGGCGCTCCGCGAGCTCAACGCAATACTCGACATGGGCCGATGGCAGGACGACTTCTTCAAGCGAAGGCGCAAACACCGCAGGCCACACACTTCGCAGTACTCGTTTCAGCACGCTCGTGGCGTCGTGCCACCGGTGTTGGGATAGGTACATCTCGACCAGCTTGGTGGTCGCTGTGGTGGACACCTCGTCGACAGTGGATGTGCTATATACCATGTCTTTGAGGTTCGACTCCGTCACCACAGATGATGTAGACGACGAGGTAGTGGCCATCCGCATCGCTTCCCGGGACGTGGATTGGATATTCTGTTCCGCCTCCTTGTGAGTTGCACTCTGGCTGCTGGTACTCTGTGCGCAGTGTTTGAAGACTTCGAGAGCCAGTACGTACAATCCCACGGACTTCATGACTTTGGCAAGCTGTATGAAGTGAGACACCAAAACTTCCGCGCTGGAGACGGTTTCCTTGTACTCCTCCCAGAACCCGGCAAGGACCGAGGCCGCTTCATTGTCTCTCTGCTGACTTTTGAGGAATTGGGCATACGCGAGAACGGCTCGAACCGTCTTAAGCTTGCTCTCAATGGAGTGGTTCATCCGGTACTCCCGGCTGGCCTGCTGCCACAGCTCCACATACGTGCGCTCGCCCTCCTCTGCCGACTGCCCCTCGGCTTTGGTCAGCAGAGTCTCCAGGTCAAGGGACCAGGTGATCAGCTCATCCTCTTCCGTCCCATCCAAAGCGAGGGTGGTACCTGTCTCTGTCGTCGTCGTATCCTTACGGCCGCAGAGGTGGACCAGCAATGAGTCGTCAATCTGGCGAGATCCGCTCCGCTGGGTCTTATTATCGGCGACAGATCCCTGCAAAGAGTCGGTAATCTCCTGCGCCTTGCGCTCCTCTTTGATGAAACGATAATGTTCGGACAGCTGCGTCAACGTCGAGGTGACCATGACGTTTGTCGCACCGTGATGCACCTTATAGCATTCTACCAGTAGCTGAAGCATCTCGACGCGCCATATCATGACCTCCGTCTTGGACTCAGTGATTTGATCTGCCGTGGCCTCCAGGAAGAACTGGGCCATCTGCATGGTGATGAGATGCCGGACGGATAACATGGTCTGACTGATTCTCGCTGCCTCGTAGAGGATCCGGTTGCTCTCGACAGGCACGCTGTTACGGATCTGTCGGTGGAAGAGCGCCTGGGAGAGAATGACCTGCAGAGTAGCTGGGTGGTTGCTGTTCAAGGTTTGGCGGTATAGACGTGTCTGAATTCCGTGAATCGATCGGAGCAACGGAGTTGCTTTGTTCGCCCAAATATTCATCTCCAGGAGCGGCACGGTGGGACTAGTAGGGATGACGGATCGCAAGACCTTGCCCGCCGTGGCAACTTCTTGGTCGCTGGTGCACCCGAACGCAATCTTGACATAACTCACCCAGTAGCGAAGCGCGAACTCCAGCAGAGGATGCTTCTCCAGCAGGTGTTCCGTCACCCGCCCATCCAGCGGAGCCAAGGAGGGATCATGGCTGTCGGTCACACTGTGCTTTGCGTACAGCAGGAGCCTTTGCACAAAGTCCACGTGCCTGTTTTTAATCGCGGGCAGGAACTTGCCTTTCGAGATGACGTCTAGGATGGCGGCGCGCACCTGCCCGTGCCTCAAATAGACCAAGTTATTTTGGAAGAAGATAAGCGAGGAGACTGGCTTTAGTAGGTGAGGGAAGTTGACATCGCGGTACTCAGCGACGGTGGCCTTGTCGGGCTGGATGGAGAGAAGAGCGGCCAGTTCCCGCTGGGTGAGAGGGCGGCCCGCGGTGGTCAGCCAGACCAAAACCTTCTTAGTATCCTCATCCAGCTTGGAATGCAGTGTGTGCGCGACGAGATCGGTGATCGAGTATCCCGCTCGAATGATGTTCTCCACGGACGTGGAGAGCGCATCCTTATGCGGCAGGTGGTCATCGCGCACCCGCTTGGCGGCCAGTTTTGCCCAGAGGAAGGAGCCTTCGGATGATTCCGTGATACGGGTCACCATCAGCTCCTGCTCTTCGTCGGACATGGTGTTGAACGCGGGGCTCTGGTGGAGGATCTTGCGGGTGACCGCAGCAACGTCATCAAAGATGAGCTCCGGCGTAATCCGCACCGTCGTCTGGGATACGACTGCATCCAGCGGCTGCGATGCGAGCACGATCAGTTTCACGGTGGGGGCGTTGGACACTGCCTCGTGGAGTCGGCGCGATAGAGATCTCTCCCCACAGCTGGCCTCGTCGATGCCGTCGACGACTAGGACCAGCTCCCTGGCGCCCACTCGACTGGCCTGGATGGCATGCGAAAGGGCGTCCCATAACAGATCATCATACGACACTTCGTCGACATTCCGCTGGCTCTGATCGTAGGCGTTGGCCAAGATCTGGTACATCTGCACGTTGCCAATGCGCCTGTTAAATATTTGTGATAACATCGTCTTGGCGACGGCGCGCGGAGTCGTGGTGGCGGGGATTCGACCATCTGGTACGACTGGTTAGAGACGATATGAAGTGTAAGGGCAGCAGGACTGACTGATGGGCGCCAGGATGGATGTGTATCTCATTCCTCCGACGGGATGCTGCAGATGATCGTTGATCACGGCTGATAGGACCGACTTGCCGGAACCCGGATTGCCTGTAATGGAGAGGACCTGCTGCTCGCCTTTCAAGAACCGCGTCAAGTATGGCTTTACCCACAGGCAGGTGGCCTCCTCGCGCTCCTGGGCCGAGGGGGCCATGGCTTCGGTGAGGTGGGCGAGCACCGGGTCTTCTGGCTTCAACCAGTCTTTGAGGGTATTGATTCCGACGGCTGGATCACTATCATTAGACCAAACCAGATTAAATTTGGGGTCGGGATGTCTTATAAAACGACATTACCTGTATCGCCTTGGAGACCCTCTCGCGTCAGCTGGTGACGCCACATAAGTTCTGACACCTGCTCGCAACGACCGCGAAAACTGTCGATCGGACCGGGAAAGGTGCTATAGATATCAATCGACACCGATTCAGAGGCGAGCAGAGACCGGTGGAAATGCGTGGCCACACAAACGACGAGGGTGACCAGGTCGGCTAACGCGAGAATGAGTTGATCTTTGATATCCGCAGAGACTACAAAGAGCTCCGCACGATCCAGCAGGTTGCCGAGCCCGGCGGAGCAGCGGTAGAAAAAGCCAAATAGGTCCATGAGGGCCGGGGCGTTTTGCTCGCCCAACTACACGCTCGTGGTTAGTGAAATGACTCCATCGGCCCGACGGCCCGCCATGCTTGACGTACCTCGAGCAGGCTCGCGCAGTAGCAGTAAGATAGCTGAGCAGCGAGATGGCTGTCGCCCGCAAACTGCTCGATTCCAGAATCGAACGAGTGCACGCGCTCAACGAACAAGGCCGCCCACACAAGGGCCTTGTCGTAGTTGCTCCCCTCGGGTGGGAGTTTCTTCATCCTCTCGCACCGAATCCACTCCAACAGGCTTGCATAATCGGCGTCGGCCACCCGGGAGGCCGTCAGGTCGTCGCCTCCCCGGCCTGCAAGCGTGTGGACCACGTCGGCGAGCGTGGTGTTCCCCCCATTGAACGTCTTAGTGGTTTGCTGGTAGGAGTGACTGAAGCCCTTCGCCCCAGTCGCATGCTGCTCCAGCAGGTCCGACGTCTGTCGCAGACCGAGAAGGGAAGTGGAGGCGAGAGGAGACACACCATTTGGCACGGAAGAGGCCATGTCTGATTCTGATTATTATAGTCGGAGTATCAAGAAGGCGCAATATCAAGTAGACGTAATAGCAAGTTGTCGTAATATCAAGTAGTCATAAAAGTAGTCGAAGTATCAAGTAATATCAAGTCACACGAAAGAATCGTGTCAATAAGAAAGTCAGTGAGTAAATTGGGCCATGCTGGGGAGCATCTCTAAACCCCATGCCGGAGATGGAACTCTTCTTTCTTATACCCCTTCTTCCCCCCCCTCTTTTTCACGATTGTCTCGCCGTTTTTCTGCTACAAAGTCCACGACGTCAGCATGAGGCAGCCGCAACTGAACACGGTTCCTCGACCTGCAGGGAGCTACATCATGGCTGCCACGGGGGAGCCGTCTCCTTCGCCACTGACAGTGGGATCTTTTGGTCTAAGTTGGCTTCACATGGGTCACACGGAGCCTTTCAGGCGATTGAGCCATGTATGCGACATACCATAAACGCCCACTTCGCGTGGATGGCCAAAATGGAGTCCGAGGCCCACATTCTCCAGCCTTTCTCTGGAAGGACCCCGGACGGTTCCCGAACCGAACGTCTATTTTGACTGACGAGAAGCGGGGCCGATCTTTCCGAATCTCGGCTACCATTGGTCCGCGGCTTCGGCAGCCGGAATTAGACAACAATGAGATGGAGCACCCATGGATGCTGGATCGGTCCGAAGCGCTCGCACTTAATCTCTTAAGATTCACATCGGAACCGCCGTATGGCGGGTTTATAGAACCGCCCATGATAGTGAGGGACGTCCACGGGCATGTTTCTCAAAATGCACCCGTGGTAAAGGTATTTGGAATCAATCCTGAACACAGGGAAAGTACGGCTTTAGCGTAGAAATATTGACGGTCTCATAAAAGATCTCCCGCTCGTGAGTTCAATGTGAGCAAACTGATCACGGTTCCGTGGGAAACTCGTCAGGTGAGACCTGAGATTGGTTTCGAATGTAGGAATTTTGGCCGAGGTGCGAGCCGAGCGTGAATTGTGTTGATCCCACGGGGACGACGATCACGGTTCCAGCGTGGCAAACCCTTGATTAGGGTTCCATGATTCGACCTTGCGCTTGGTTCCACCGAGAGCGTCCCGGTCCTTCGGCCATAACCTATTCTCCGATCCATGGATGATTGGCATGGGCCGTGACATACCGTAGTTCCGGCCTTAAGACGGCCAATCTTGTTCTCCTCTCGGAGTAACAATAATATTAGCTTTCTGCCTACGTGCAATGATCATGGATCATACCTCTGGGCTATCACGGCGGGACGTCCGCCGCACCAAACATTGTGGATGTGGTGGTGGTTTACGTCATGAGGTCGAAAGAGGCAACAGCCAACGCGAAATTTCATCTACTTCGATAAGTGACAGTTCCAACCCTGAAAGTGACGGAGGATCGGTTGTCCATACAATTGTGATATGCTGTATTTTACGGAGTTCCGAACCATAGCTCAAGCCAACCACCCAATCCTCAGGATTCCGCCATGGTTCGTTTGAGTGTGACTTCCAGTGCTTCAGCGCCTGGAGGTAAGTCGGCCCCATCGTCATGCTCGTCAAAGTACAGTCTCCAAAGGCTCTGGCCCTCCTCCATACCTAGCTCTTTGGCTCTCTTCTCGTCATCCGGAAGTCGCACGGCTAGCCAGCCTTCCCAGCCCTCCAGTGTGACCCGCTCTTCATCTTTTGTCCAGTCGAAAGGACCACAGACATGTCCCTCACTATCTTGTCTCCCTCCCCATCGTATCTCATGGGTCTGCGAATCCAGATAAACCCAGCGGAGAGTGGGAGGCGTTTCGTTTGAGATGGTGACAAACCCTGCTGTATTACCAGGGGAGAAATCAGGGTGTTGGTAAAAGCCACCACTTAGCGGGACAAGCTGTGGGCTGGGAAATTTGGTGATATATACCTGGATTGTGGTCAGTAACGATCAGACTCGATTTCAGATGGCCGATACGCAGAAGAAGATAGGGTGCCAATCAATGGTCAGGAAGCCTACCTTTCTATCTGCGCCCAAGTATACTTGCGCGTTATGGATTGCCAGTCTCTGTTGCCGTGATCCATCGTAGGACGTGCATTGGACCGATAGATAAGAGCGCTGTTTCCGCGCACTTTCCCGCCGGCGGTCTTCATGATCCCGCGTGCCCTTGGAGGCCTCGTTGACCCCAATCATGGTTGGCACCATTGCCGTCATCAGGAAAATGCCTAATACCATCTTCGCGGGGGGGGTTTTATGCTAGTTCACCGAACACATAAATGTGTTGTATTCGTAAGGCCCTGCTTGGCCATTCTAATAAGTTTCCAGCGATTCGATTCGCCCGGCTCAGTCTCACGTCCTGCGATGAAAGCGGAACCGTCCACGTATCTTTCATAAGAGGTCCTCAAAGCCCCAATACACTTGACGTAAGAAATGACATCGCCAAACCTTATATTTACAAGTTGATAGTCGCTAAGATCGATATTTATCAGGTGCGTCATTCTATGAAAACACAATGAGGTAAATTTTCTGGTTTCCGCACACGGCTTATTCTGTGTTCTTCCAATTGCCGGAAGCTGAAGGTACCGTCTTCAGTCACATTTCGGAAACAAAACTTTATCATCACCGTGGTCCCTAAACCGTGGAATCTTTAAACCATAAACTCATACGCGCGGCACATATGGTTCGTGTCGCTGCATTCATCTGACCGAAGGTAAATACGGATATAATCCACATGACAGAATATATAGCGAGTGTCCTTTCTGCCCAGCAATTCCCCAAGCTATTTTATCCCAGCCTAGTTAGTGAGTTTCATCTCCAGTCTTCATTGTATGATCAACAAGAAATAACTAATTTTGTTCTTCAGCATTTACCCAAAACAGAAAGATTGCGAGCACAAAGATGGGCGACCCTGTCCCAGCATTGAGGTACATAAAATCTCAGATTATACTCTACACTCTCCTATTATTGTTCTATATGCAACAAGATCCCTCTCTCCCAGTCACAAAGGCTAACGCAAAAGTCGACCGGTGCAGTAGCGCCGCCCCCGTCCTTGGCAAGGGAAACCGGAAGGGCCGTCAGAACTCGGACACCTCGTCTTTCAGCAGCGACCCCATTGAGAGTCTCGTGGATCCCGAGACGCTGGCTAATGGGGAAGGTCAGCTGATCGGACCCGCGGCCGCGCGTGAACTTGACAAGAAAAACAAGAAAGATAATGAAATGAAGAAGAAGGAGGATAATGGCAGTCTGAATATCAAGATCCACCTGGACCTGCATGCCAAGGTCAAGTTGGATTTGGAGGCTGATCTCTATGGAGACATTGTAATCGGGCTACTGTAATTAAGATACTTACGATCTTTTGCTACCTATTGAGGTTTTAAATGGAAGGTAAAAATGATGCAATTGTGGCAATTATAGATGTAAATAACTGTTGGTATAAACTTAAATATTGCCGTCGCCTCCGTAGTACTGTGGCGTGAAGAGATTATTACAAATGCGTCTTACATTCAAGACGTTCAGCTCCGACTTCCTTGCTTGTGATATCTTGAATGGTCTTCCAATTATCGTGTGTCGGGATCGTCCTCGCTAGTCTTAGCTTATGGTTCCTCGCGGAGAACGATTGGCAGTCCAAAAATGAGACGACCCCGGATCGACCTGTTTTAGGTTATCCCCGGTTGATTTTGGGAAGAGGAGGGAAGGGCGTGTCGCCACTTCCCATTTTTTACGAGGAAATCATTAATACAGAAGCAGCTCGAGGACAATTTTATAGACGTCACATGGAGCGGGGGTCTGGTTCAATTACACAATTTAATTCAACGGGCTCCAAGCTGCACACCTGTACCCCACAGATGCGACGACATCGATGGAAAGCTGCCATTTCAAATCACCGCTTCCGAAGTTTGTCATCATTAACACCGGCAAAAAAAACATGAAGAGCCAGGTTCATGTCGCCAATCGGGGGTAACTTTTGTCAAGCAACTGACAGTAGCAGAGATTCCAAAACGGGTAATGAAGCTTCGAAAGTTTAGATAGAGGCAAAAGATGTCGAAAGGTCCACTCTTTCCACCCCTCCATGGGGTCAGCATCATTGACTTCGCACATTGTACTGTGTCATGACGACGAGGCCATTGCTTTCTTGGATCAGCTCGCGGACCGGAATCTAAACGAGTCAATCTCCAGATACTTCCCGCACAATATATGCTAATGGGCAAGCTAAGTGGAGTGGCTAGAGGGGCCCGAGTGCTTCTTTCGGTATAGGCTGAGCGTGGACTAGGTGCTCAATATAAGCCTCGGATGAATCTCTGAGTAACCACTGAGTGATCAGTAACCATGAGCCCTGACTAAATTGTACTTAGTGAGTGACCCTCAGCGCCCTCATATAGCCGGGCCAAGGAGACATTGCAAATGGGACAGCCCCACCCGGTACAGGAAATCCCCTACGTAGAGATACCTCGGTGGCTCGTCGAATGTCTAAGATTGGAACTTGGAAAGTGGTTTTCCCAAGCGGTCTCGGGAACCGAGGTCTCCGCATTCATGGATTTGTACCTGACCCCACTCCAACTCCTCCCCTCTACACACCCCAAACGAGCCAAAATGCTCATCATCGGGCTTACCGGCTCTATAGCCACCGGAAAAACCACAGTCGCCTCCATTCTCTCCTCCCCACCTTATTCTCTCCCCATCATCGATGCCGACATCCTTGCCCGCAAGGTCGTCGAACCAGGCACGGCCGGGTACAAAGCAATCGTCAATTACTTCGGCCCGAGCACCCCCGATCTCCTCCTCGATGACTCTTCAAGCTCACAGGGCAAGTCACTCAACCGGCCGGCGCTAGGCCGGCGCGTCTTCGGCGATTCCGAGGAACGCAAGCGCGACCGCCAGGTGCTGAATGGGATTATCCACCCGGCCGTGCGGTGGGAGGTGTATAAAGCACTGATCTACCACTACGTGCGAGGACAATGGGCCATTGTTCTGGACGTGCCGCTGCTGTTCGAGAGCGGGATGGATCTGATCTGCGGGACGGTCATCGTGGTCGGCGTGCGTGATCCGGCGGTGCAGATGGCACGACTACGGGCCCGCAACGCAGATCTCACAGCCGAGGACGCAGAGAATAGAATACGCAGCCAAGGCGATGTGCGGATGAAGGCAGCACAGGCGGAGTTCCGAGGCACGACTACCGCGCGCGGGGTCGTAGTGTGGAATGATGCGGACAAGGCAGAGCTGGAGCGTGCGGTCAAGGGAGCGATGGCCAGCATTGAAGCGTCGAGTCCACGATGGTGGGCGTGGGCGCTGCTGGCGGCGCCGCCAGTGGGCATCGGGATTGCGGCGTGGAATTTGGTAGTCAACTTTGCGACGCAGAAAGGGTGGGAGAAGAAGAAGCAGGAGAAGGCGCGGTTATGATAAACCTCAGCTCTAATACCCTTTTGATTTGAATATACAATTTTCTTGCGTTTATCGGTACTGGATACGGGAGGCTTTTTGAAGGGTTTGCTTTGGCCTCATACAGGATCTACTTGGGAATGTTTCTGAAAGTAGAAATTCGAACCTTATCACCCGAAATTGCTGCCCAGCTACTTTCTCATCTTGTGAACGCAAGGCAACATGTACTAAAGCGGCTGTGTTAAACGGTACGGATTTGAGAACTACAAGTGAGCTTTGGCAGAAAAGGTGATGATTCTAGACTAAACGCCAATGCGGGACTCCCGGGGTATCTGCAGATTCATGAAATAACGTCACCAGGTTGCGCTCAATTGCTCTTGCGCTTCTTCTTATTCTTTTGCTTCTTCTGAGACGAAGATCTTTGCGGTACTTGGTTGCGGCCACCTCCACCAGAGATACTCGTCAGATCGGACAGCTTAAAATTGTCCGTCTTGTTCTTTCTCAATGCCCTAGCCGCAGCCTTGGCCCTCTGCTTCTGGATCATGGCTTCCACCGCGGCTGGGTCTGCCGGGTCCATCATTTCATCCTCCTCATCCTCCTCGTCATCTTCTCCGTCTTCTGTTTGGGTTTGTACCTTGGACATGTCAGCATGGTTGTCGATAGACGGTCGAGTAGAAACTCACGTATTTCGGCTTGCGCTTGAAGTTGCCGAAGGACTGACGACCTCCGCGCAGAGTATCACCTTCAGTATCCAACGAATCCGCTGCTACCACCATAGGCTGTGAAGGGTAAGAGGCAGCGGGGATGTCCAGCACCCATTCAGTCTCACCCGCTTCGGCAGCCTGTCGTGCAACTGCTTCCCGGCGCTTTTCCTCTTCTGCTTTTAGAGCTGCATTGATCGCGTCGAGTTCTGCCTGCGGTGTTCGCGGTGTTCCAGGGCTCTGGGCGTCAGTTGATAGCCTGGCACGTTTCGGAGTGGGCGAGTAATCGTCGGATCCCGACTGGGATTCTTTGGCAGCTGCCGTTGCCGCGGCGCGTTGCATGAACTGTAGAGCGTCAGTTTCGCTAATTACCACATGGTTTGTCAAATTTACCTTCATTGTGAGTAGACGTGACGACATGGTCTTTTCCGGCTTTGCAGCCGCACCTGGAGAGGACGACATGTCGGGCTATGGTGTACAAAGTATCGCTGGATTCAAGTTTCGACGAAGAAAATGGGTGGCAGAAAAAGTGATGGCAAAGTAGGCGGTAGGCCAAGGCGGGCCAGCCAATTGCACCGCGCATTATTCAGAGTCCTGCACCTCCTCCCGACCTTCTCTCCACGCCCACCCCATCTTGTCCACCACGATTTCCCCCTCGGGACTCAATTTGCCCAGCATGATGTCCTGCAGCCGCCGTCTTACGAGCCTGGCGTCGGTTCGCCCGCGCTTTGCCGTCCGCAACTTCTCCTCCGCCGTCCCTCGTCTGTCCGAGAACCGCATGCAGGCCAACGACCCCAACCCGCCCGTCGTCAAGCCGAATGTCTCGGAGACCAATGCTGAGCCCACTGACTCCTTTGGTCGCTGGGATGGCACTATGCAGGAGGATCCGGCCGTGGCAGAGAAGATCCGCAGCATGCAGGCGCCGAACCGGACCTCCACCTGGGCCGCCAGCCAGCAGCCACGTCACGAGGCGATGGTTGGACCGCGCTTCGAGCAGACCATCATGGAGGCTCAGGTGTGTCGATAACCCCTGGATCGGTGCCAATTGGACCCCGGTCTCGAAGTGGGGAAGAAAGCAGTAGAACTAACTCCGATTTCTTAGCCGCGTCCCATGGCTGCCATCGAGCTCATTCACAAGCAACCCGTGCGGTGGACAAAGTCCAAGGTCGTCAGCTGTGATGGCGGCGGCGGTCCCCTCGGCCACCCCAAGATTTTCATCAACACTGACAAGCCCGAAATTGCGACCTGCGGGTACTGCGGAGTTCCCTTCGTACGTGTACTTCCTATGACAATCGAGAATCACCACTAACATAGCCTACAGGCCAATGAGCAGCACCGCGTCTACCTCCAGTCTCTGCCCGAAACCAGCTACCCCCTCGAGTCCACCAACGACCCCGCCGAGGTGAACGAACAGCAGCGCGTCACGGAGGGCGGCTTGGAGCAGCGGTAAACGACTAGCATCAGATTCCTTTTGTCGGCGTTGATCATTCCCGCGTATTATTTGTTATTTTTAGGGCCAGAGGCCGTTGTACAGATAGGATCAATTGGATCTGCCGTTCGCCCGTGCGATAATTTAGGAACTAGACTGTATTCGGGCAGTTTTTTGTTCGACTGAGAGTCCAATTATCTACAGACGATAATTAAACGCTGTAGCTCTAAAGAAATATACACCCCGGACTCTCCAAATACAGTACTCGAAATGTAGAGAGAAAAACGCGGTAAAGATCAAGAGAAGTACAGCCTCTTACTTTCCACGAACCTCTCCGGATGAATCTCTTGAAACTGGACAAGGGAAGCAGAGCCTTTGGCCATGACCAGGGGCGCCAAGGCAGACCGCCGCGGCTCCAATCTCTTTGTAGTGGAGGAGGACTGGCATCAAAACCCATCTTCATGAGTATTCTAAGCTATGATTGGTTCAGCCTTCCTATTCAGTTCAATTCTAAACTGTCTAACAATAAATAGAAGACTATGGAGAGTGATGAATTAGCAGGAAAGATAAAATCCTTGTAACAGAACGTATAGATTGTCAGTATAGGGAGATGACCAGTAATGACTGCATAGACTAGGAAGAAAGGTGTGGCGCAGAGTTTTGGCCTAGTAATGTGTCCGAGTGGACATATACATCAATATTAGCAGCACATGATCTATGACGGTTTTCTTTCCTCATTGACTCTCAACTTCTTACTGAATCGTCGTTTTTATTTTATTCTTTCATCTTCGATAATCCTAGCCTCATCAAAGCCGCATACACACATCTTCCCAGGACACCTTCAAAAAACTCTATCTTCTTTCGACAGTCCCCAAACTCAAACTCACGCTCACAATTATGCCTCCAGACTACGAAATTCCGGAACTTGACCTGTCCGAATTGATTTTTGTGGAGCTTCTCCAAGAGCCAGAAGATCTTAGTGACAAATACAGAAAGGAAGAATATCGCAGGGCTTGCGTCTCCCGGGCTCGCTGGCAGGAGAAAGACTGTATTGTGAAAGTGGTAAGCAAATCTATGCCTCAAAAGTTGATCTGTATTCCTAAAAATTTTAGTTCCATCCCACTCCGCCTGGGCTTATATTTCCAGCGCATCGTCAAGTTGATCCTTTTACAAACGAAACTCGCGCGTACAGTCGGCTGAAAGCACGTGGATTCTGTGAGCGAGGTGATATCCCGGACGTCTATGGCGTGATTAAGCAGATTAATCCTGCGTCCGAGGGTTGGGGTTTTCTCCGTCCTTACTTCGAAGACGGTCCACGCCCAAATGCTATTGTCATTGAATACGTTCCAAATTCACGCATCATCGACTTGTCCAACTTCTCAGACGAGGCGCTCAGAAATCTCAGACATATTCTAACCGAGATGCACGAGGCCTGGGTATACCACGGTGATCCGTACCCGCGAAACATGTTGCTGCAGGAGGGCTCTGGCAGGGCTCTCTGGATCGACTTCGGTTCTGCCCAGACTTACGCACCGGGCATAGTGACGGAGCGTCAACGATCTTGGTTTGTATCGGAGGTTAGGTTGATGGATGAGTTTATTGAAGAACTGGTATGCGTCGAGTCCTTGTCATCCATTGTGCATAACTAATTTCTACTCAGACTTTTGACCACAAGTTAGGCAAGATTTACAAGTCGCTGGGATGTTACACTGCCATGTTTGATCCACCAGAAGGCTACCTTACCGAGGAGGAGCAACGAAGAGCGGACGCGATTGAGCAGGATGAGAACAAGAATAAAAATCATGGGAATTGGAAATGAGCTGGGTATGCAGAAACGTTTGTGGCCTGTTCTTAAAAAGATACTTTTCAGATGTCTACTACTGTCAACAAACATGTAGGATGATAGCTAAGCGTTAGCTAAATAATAACTGCATACATAAGTCCTATAAAGAGCGCTACCTATGAATAGTATAAGCTTGATGAGTACTGTAGGTTCTATATTGCTGTAGGTTCTATAGGTGATGTAGGCTCTATAGATACTATAGGTTCTGCCTATACTATAGGTGCTATAGGTATTCTAGGCTCTACAGGTATTCTAGGCTCTACAGGTATTCTAGGCTCTATAGGTATTGTAAGCTCTATAGGTATTGTAGGCTCTATAGATATTCTAGGCTCTATAGATATTGTAGGCTCTATAGGTACTATAGGTTCTGCCTATGCTATAGGTTCTGCCTATACTATAGATGCTATAGATATTGTAGTCTTGGAAGGTATTGTAGTCTTTATAGGTATTGTAGTCTCTATAGGTATTGTAGTCTCTATAGGTATTGTAGTCTCTATAGGTATTGTAGGTTCTATAGGTACTGTAGGCTCTGCCTATGCTGTAGGTTCTGCCTGTGCCGATTTCCCAAGTCGACCGTCTATTTATACTTCTGGATCCCCTCTGAACGCATTCCTGCAAGCCCTATCCTCCACAACCATGCCTCAAGTCAGCCTCTTCGAGTATCTTATGCACGAGCCGCCAAATCTCTTGATCGAGCCCCCGATCCCGCCTCCATCCATGACCGAGAGCAAGCATTACAAATCGAATGATGTCAAAAGCGTGAGCCATTGGGGTGACTTCAACTTAACTACCATCAGGAAGTACTACGAACTTCTCACCAGCACCCAGATTCCCGATGAACCGATGCCATCCGCACCTCTTCGGCGAATTTTGAAGGAGGGCGAGCTTCAAGATTATTTCTCGCGCTTGATCCCCGATCGAGTCGAGCGGGCACTCGGTTATGCCTTCGATCGTCTCCAAAGCAATAGCAAACTCGGACCTGCGAACTTCACGCGCGTGGGTTTCGGCAGTGGAACTTTTGCGACTTTCATTCAAGGAGGTCAGCCAGATCTGGCCTACGCCGATCCCAACAAACCCCGCCGCGCCAGAGTCAACCGGCTCCCTGGGGAACTCAAGCTTTTCTTTAAATGGAATACGGCTATGCAACATAGCCAGAATGACAAGAAACGACACTGCTTCCTGCAAGTACTATCGCAGGTCAACTTCTACATGCTCAAGAACAACACCAGATATGGATACATAATCACGAACGAAGAAATGGTGGCCATCCGACGACTTGACTCCGACGGCAATTTGGAGTTGTCTACTCCCATCCCGTGGAGAAGCTCAGCCAACGGCCCACATCCGCCACGGCTGACGATGTTGCTGGCATTTTGGTACCTGGGAATGCTGGCAGCAGATAACAACGACTGGAAATTTTCGTAGTCTCCCTGGTCTTGCATTCTATTTTTGTCACCGGCTCTGAAGAACGTTTTCATTATCTCATCTCCATTATCTCGTCAACGGCTTTGCACAATGCATTTCATTATGCATAGATAGCCACAGTTTAGCATCAAGATTCGCGCCTTCTAAATTCAAGCTTCTTCAAAACTTTCTTTCAAACTTTCTCTAGCTCTCCTCGTGAATGTAGTTCCCTATAAGACATGGCGACATTGTCGGCTGTACTTAAGTAGATCCAGCTCCAACATCTACTCCAAAGCCAACATCCATTCAATAATTTTTCATTGTTCAAAGATAATATCATAGATGCTCCTTCATTTCAGCATCGAGTCACGCCTTCTGACCTTGGATGGTCGCGACGACCTTGCGCGAGTGGCGGCTTGTGCGGAACTCGAGGTGCCAGATACCTTGCCACTTTTTGGCGCAAGATAACATTAGTATGAAGGCTGCAAGAAATAAAGAGTTTTGACACGTACAGTACCGGTCGCCAGGCGGCCGTTGGAGATGGGGATATTCACTGAAGCGCCGATGAGAGCGGACTTGATATGAGCCTGCCACCAGCAGTAAATTAGCATTGCATTCAGTCAGCGCGTACACACTTCAACCTGTACTCTGACGCGGGGTTGGGAAGCGAACGCACCGGCATATCATCGTCGCCCTCGGCGGAATGACGGTAGAGGTTTGATTCAGGTGCGATTCGGTCAAGGGCATCACTCATATCCGCGCGGACATCGTCATCCCAGTTCTCGTTGAGCGAAAGCGCGCAGCTGGTGTGCTGGATGAACAGGTTGAGCATGCCGACCTTGTAGTCGCGGATCTCGGGCACCTCCTTCAGGACATGATCGGTGATCAGGTAGGAGCCGCGGCTGCGCGCGGGCAGGGTAAAGTTCTTCTGGGACCAGGACATGATTGTGTGTGTATGTGTGAATGATTTGAAGTGGGGGATTCACTGGAATAAGATGGTTTTGATTGGGTGGGGCGTGATGTCATCGTGGTTTTATACTCCTGCAACTACATATCGTCCTGGACACTTTCAATTTAGAGAGAAAAAAAAACAGGGATAAGAAACAGACGTAAGCATAAAATGCAAAGCTGCTCGGCCTGTCTATCCAATCTTCGCTGTCTAATACGTGCCTGTCGAACGGGGTCTTTCCGACCACGTATCCCCCGACTTCCTTCTTTTCTCCTTCGTTTTCCTCTTGAGAGGAATTATTCGAGGGGCCAATTGATCCAGTGTTTGTCGGTGCGACTAGCGCCACATACCGCGATTTTGAATAAGCAACGGACTCGGCTCTTAATCCTGATGACCTTTGCCAGGTCCCAGTTTGGAGAACCTTGAGAATTGGAAGGTTTACACTGGGGGTCTACTCCAGAGTATCTACAATATAGTGAATGCGAAATAATCTTGAAAGTACGACTGGTTGATGTTCTATCATTCGTCTTGGGGACTTGGTTCTTGGAAATGCAATCATCTATGTGGAAATACCTTCCTCAAGACCGCACCTGTTTCTATAAATACACTGCCTTCTATAATACATCATCTTCTTGTGTCTCGTCATTACTCAATTGGATTTCCATAGTCATCCAGCCGCTGGCTGCTCTCATCCAGGTCAGACCACTTGGTAATTCCATCGGGTATGTCCATCATGCGTTGTGCGTAAAAGATATGGCAGCTGTGACCGGGTTAGCAAGAACTGTCTAATCATTATAAGGATACATACTTTGGCTTGAATAGGTCTCTTTGCGACCGCTGCTCGTCCATTGAGCCTTTAAATTTGATCAATGGTGGAAAGATCGAGCACGTAGACCCCTTCCCTTCATGCATAATAGGGGTGTGGCAAGATTCGCAGGAGACGCTTGGGCTGGCGGGCAGATCGGACGAGGACGAGAAGGATAGCCCGTTGCACCCATTGTCGAAAGAGATATCACTTTTATGGACAAGGGCGGCCCATTCGACGGGCGCTCCGTGCATGATCTGGGTGCTTCGCGCATGGGAAAAAGTTGCCCTGATTGGCTTCCCTTTTAGCGAATAGGATATCTTTTGGCATTGACAGGAGCCGCGCCACTTGATTTCGCCGAATTCCTGTGTGGATTGTATGAGATAGGGTGGGCGGTGTTTCCATTCTTCGGCTACCAAAGTATGCTCGGGGGGATTGTTGGTCACAGCCGGCGTGGGCAGCGGGTCGCCAACATTTCCATCGTATCCCATTTCTGCCATATTGAATTGAGTAGATGTGTGATTGTCAGAAAACAAGCTCTGGTGCAAAAACTTTGACTTTTAAACGATCGGTCAGATATCCAATGATGTCAGTTGGTCTTGAAAATCAAGGTCGCGTGCATCTACATACCCCCGTCATCATCCTTGTCTCCGATCCGATTACCTAGATCTCTTCCCCTTAATTGGTTGAGCCTATTAGAAAATATTCGCCTTAGCCTTGTTCTCAATTAACTGCCATCGACTAGCATCATTTTACAGTAGAAAATGAACTCTAGACCGGTGATGTCATGGCGGCGAGGCCCAGATCTCCGCCCTCGTCGACTCTGCCGAACCACTCGTGGCTCTTCATTGGGTGTCCACCGATTATATTTGCCTTATTTGCCGGGTTTACAGTGCTTGTACACAGTACATAGCTGGTCCCTGATCCAGACTCCTCCAGTCAAAGGCAATCACCGCTCGGTGACAGCTCGCGACGAAACCGCCAATGAGGGCGACTGCGGGGAACTCGGGTGTTTCATCCCTGGTGGCTAGCGGGGCCTGCATTTCTCTCTGCAACCTCCGGATTCATCTTTTGTGCCCCTTTCAGTTTCTCATCCCACCTCTCACCAGGATGGGCCTTTTGGATAAGCTCCGGGCCCGTCCCCGCCGCAGTGCGGGGGCTGCGACTGAGTTCCAAACGCCGCCCCGCTCCAAAACAATCCGCGGCCGCGATCACACCAGGAAGCTGTCGCGCCCCGTGTTGGCCTATATTTTCGCCCTAGTCTGTCCACACACCGTCGATGAATCCTATGAGACCTCCGAGGAGTCCATGACCGATGGCTGCATGCTATGTGACATGCGCGACCTGGCGCACTGCGCTCAGGTCTGTAAGCGCTGGTTTATAGAGGCACGCGCCCTGCTGTAAGTCATTTCACTCCAAGTTTGGGATGACCCCGGCCGATGTGTACATTCGTTAGGTACCTGCATGTCCGTATCGACGCCGTCCACTACTGTGAACTCGAAGTCCAACTGGCCGCCAAACGAAAGCGCCGCTCATTCTTTGATCGCAACGGTGAACCCATCGATGCCCCGCAGGTCCGTCTCGAGCTCTTCATGCGAACGGTCCGAGAGTCTCAGGGTCTCGCAAATATGGTTCTCTCTCTCCGAATCCCCTATATGACTCGAGAGGCCAACAAAGCCAACCTTGCCCGTACCATTTCCGTGCTTCCCCACCTCCGCTTTGTCGATCTGCCGACCGGTCTCTTTAGTGATGAGCCTTCGTGTGCCGCTCTGAAGCAAGAATTGAAGGTTCGATGTCCCGATCTTCGCCACATGGCCTACCGCCATGGCTCCGAGGGGAGTTTCGCGCGTCTCCCAGGATCTCAGCTATGGGTGAATTTGGAGAAGCTGGAACTGTCGGGCCTGCAAATTGAACCCAGCATCCTCCGTAATGGCCTGGCGTCCTTTCCACACCTGCGCGATCTCACGTTGGATAATCTCTCTTGGCTCGACGATTCTGCATTCTCCGTGAATGGGCCCCTGCCACCCTTCCCCGCGGTAGAGCAACTCACCCTTCGCGATACCCCTAATGTCACGGCAAGCGGGCTTGCCTCATTACTTTCTTCTCCAAACAATCGCGCGGCACTGCAGTCTTTGACTCTCGGCGCAACCGGTGTGCTGCCGTCGGCATTACACCAGCTTTTGGCGGCAGCTCCCCGGCTGCACAGTCTCTCCATCATCCAGGAGGTATCGAGATCGTTCCCGACGGAGCAGATCCCTCCCATGGCGTCCAAGTCATTGCGTCTTTTACACTACGAGATCACCTCTGAAACAGAAAGTCACGGACTGGCTTCCGTCGCAGGCTCTTTCTACACCTACCTTATTTCATCCCTGGTGTCCCACTCATTTCCCGCACTGCGCGACCTCTATGTTCGGGATGCACAATTCCCTGATACTCTTCTTCTGGCACCGGCTCCCCGACTTTTCGGCGGTGAGAATCGTCCGCAGATGAGTGGAGGTGGCCTGTCCCAGCCCCTGAACGTGTACAGTAAGGGGCTGGACGAGCTCGAATGGAACTTTACCCCGTACGACCCAGGCCCCGGGCCCGGCCATCGCACGGGGAATACCCGGCCCATCAGTTTCCACGATGCACAGTTGAGCCGATCCTGGGGTGGAGATGCACGTAAGAGCGTGCTCGTGGGGAACGGATTTGGCGGGTTTCTTGCCGTGCCGGCAGAGGAGGACGAGCAGCCCCAAAGCAGTGGCGGATACAGGCGGGCAAGTCGACAGGATCTTTGGCGGTAATCTACAAGATACTTTACGCAGCCAAAATAAATGAATTCATATACAACAGCATGTTTAGATATACAGTATTTGTCGGTTGGACATAAGATCAGCCTCCGGTCTCATCCGGCCAACCATCCGGCAGCACCAAGCCACGCCAAATCCACTGGTTCTGTAGCTCGTAATCGGTCATGTTGCAAAGGCCATACGTTTTGCAATAGGATTCTCGGGGCATCGGGCAATATACCGGGTCTTTTCCAAATATCACTGCGAAGCATCAGTACCCATCTCTTCATGACACGAGGGAAACACTTACTGTGCCAGGTGTACTCCAGAATTCTTCCTGACACGTCGTTCGTCAATTTTGTCTGCACGAGCCATTGTCTGTACCGTTTGTAATCGCTCTTAGGGCGGCGATGTACTTGTGCACGGCTGACACTAAATTGACTACAACACGGCGCTCCTACAACCTCCGGCACCGGTGTATCGGGGAAGAGCAGCCTGAATTGGTCCGGGTACGCGACGGCCGTAGGGTGCCCCTGATCATCCGGTCGATCCCTCAGATATCTGGCGGGTTCAAGCTCGGCAGGGCAGCCGATCGCCCATGTACATCGGAGGTTGACGTAGCCTGCTTCGCGCACGAAATCGAGATTGAGATTCTTGATTGAAATGGACGAATCATAACGTTCGTTGTCGTTGTGCCACTGATACCTCTTGCCGTGAAGGAAGACGATAATTTCAGGGAGCGAGGCATAGCGATCGATCAGATACGTGAGGTAAACCATCGCCTCGTTGCCCTTATTGATCGGCACCGTCAAATCGGCCTCGCCGGGCGGAACATCAGCTCGATATACGTTCATTGGCCAGGAAAGTTCCTCTGCCCAGGTCATATTGCTGTCGCGCATCGCTGCGAAAACCAGCTCTTTCTCGCGGGGTTCGTTTTCGCCTGGTAAAATCGTCGGCGCAGGATCTGGATCACCATTAACGACCACGTTATCGATCACCACGAAACCCTGCTCTTCCGGCCGGGAGATAGATCCATGGTTCAGGACGAGCTGGTATGAGAGCATGCAGAAGGCCGCGGCCAGCGCCAGAAATATAAAGATGCGCCCGCGACCGGGCGAGTGACCGGGGCGTGAAGAGCGACACGGCCAGTTCATTTTCCCGTCAGTACTCGCATCGTCATTCTATAGTGGAACGACTGGATCAATTGAGATGACCTGAAGTATGTTAAAGGAGGGATTTGAATCCAAGTCAAAGAAGCAGGTCGGGGTCGAGCAGTTGACGTAAACGAGCTGTGCCGGGTCCTTTCCACGGAACGACATGTGGGCAAGGAACACAGACCCCGGTGGGAGGGGGGCTAGAGGCCATTAGAACAATGGAACCCAAGGCCCAATGTATTTCGTTAGGACAGTCGGGTGTACGTCAGTCGCCGATTTATGCTAGTTCGGCGCGAAAGACTGCACGAGCGGAGGCAGCGGGCGGGGATTGGTGGAGGGGTTGGTGAGTCTCCGCCAATTGCTGATAGAGAGGCTACCTCCATTAAGATAGCCGTCCAAGTACTTCAAGCTCCAATGGGCGCGTTCAATCGGTGGTAACGCGACGCATTTGGCGCGAATGTCATCTTTGTTCATATCTGTGCCCAGTGGCAAGTCCCGACAGCTTCCCTTGCATCCCATGCTGTTTCTCCATCGTCAACTCCAGGCCCATAGAGTCGTGCTCCCGTGAGACACAACGGAAATCCCATCATTACCGACGAGTAGTTTGATGCGAGCTTCATGACCTGGTCGAACGTCGGGAACTGGTCGCGAAGCTCTCCAGATTCCCCCCGCAGGGTAGACCCGGAGATATTCCACCGGCCTTTACGTCTCGCGTTCTCTATCGACCCCTGAAATGCCTGCTCCAGGATTTTATTTGTATGATTTACAGCAGCTGGGATGATGAACAAGGGTCGGAGGTCATAGAAACATGCCAGCTCGTAGGCATTTCCAGAAGGGTCTGGTTGGCTCCTGGCGTAGAAGACCGTTCGCACAGCAGCTCGAAGAACTACAGACTCGGGAAAGATGAGTCTCATATATAAAATTTTGTTATTGGGTAGAGAAAGAGGATCTCACAATTGGATTGAGTAGTTTGTAGCTCTCGAAGTCTCTTCTGTGTCCATGTCCCGACTATTTTCTTCATAATGGCATGGCATCCGAACATTACCGAGGGACTTTTTCACACGATGGTGAATTCGTTAGAAAAGGAAATCCACCAAAATACTCCTGAAAACGGAATGAGTATATACTCACCTTGGTATCCTGGAGGCGTATAAGTCTCTGGTCGTATTCCTTCCGTAGTCCACAAGAACCACGGTGGGGTTCGTGTTCCCAGGCATGAGCGTTGGAGAAGTCATTGTTCGTAGACTCCGGTATTTTCAATCAATACATACCGAAACTACTCTCCCGTGCCTACAGTCGCAACGATCATCATAAAACGTTTCGATATCAGTCTCCTCGTCTTAGTCATCCGAGAGAAATGTAGCTCTTTTCAGAAGTTATGTCCATATCGAAGTACCACTGCCAATGTAGAAAAAGCACTCAATCAAGGGGGGGGAGGTGTTGGCTTTCTCCGCTTTTAAGCTGCCTTGGGCATCTTTCATCCGTTCCATAAATGATGACACCTTGCGCAGTCATCGTGTTGCAAGGTGTCAGCGCTTATGCCCTGCCTCGAGGTCTGAGTGGTGAGCCTTGAGCTTCTGCCGCTGACACATATACTCGGAAAGATGCCGAGAACAAGTGTGGAGAATAGGGTCATTCAACAGGACAGAAGTCCAGGGTTAAGGGTACCTAGCCCGCAACCACTGGAAAAGTTGGTCAGGCTGACTTGTGGACAGAGCTAGACGTCGTCTGCTGAGACCTCCACGCGGGACCGAGCGAAGTTGCCCCAGCCTGTCAGTCTCTATTGGCCGTAAGCTGCGCGAGCCATCTGTAGAGATGGCAGCTTGATGCATCGTGTGGTCGATAAGATCCACTGATGCAACTTCCCCACTAGGGTAACTGTGGAGATAGCAGCATTCGGATAGCCGAGCGTCCGAAAGGCCGAGTACGAGGCGGAAATCACCTAGAAGGCTGTCGAAACTGTAGATCGCCAACTCGACATCCAGTCAGAGGCTGTAAGACCCACGTCTTTCGGGGTCGATCTGCATGCCATACTCCGTACTCCGAACTATAGTCCGAATGGGACCCCCGTCTTTGTGGAGCGATTGCTGGGGCAGTCTAGGACTTTAGCGATACGACAGCACGGTCTGGAGTCCGAGTTTGGTACATTTTCCGTAGGGGTCCCGTCACTCTATGTACAGACGGTCTTATTTAACCCCCGGGATCACGCCATCTGACCATCGTTTTGCTCATTTTCACGCACGCCCATTGCCCTGTGTCAACTTAAGCTTATTTGTCCGATCGATTTGAATCTCCGCCATGACTGTCGCTGATAACGTGCCGGCGCCTCGCCGATTGCTGCTGGTCAGCGTGCCTCGCACAGCCTCGAACCTATTCCGTGAGCAAGTTTCTACCGTGTTTGGCCCATTTGCCTAACAAGAGAGCAGTGAAAATCCTCAATATTCAAAACCAGCCCAACCTGCTCACCAGCCAGAAGGGCGGGTATTTCTTCTATCCCGCATTTATGAAGGTTACGCACGAGGGGTATCTTGCCAAGCGCCCAGAAGACTGGTCTGATGCCGATATTGAAGCCGTTCAGGGCGCCTTCCAGTCATGCACTGATGATCTCGAGGAGCACGGCGCGCGAGCGCGCGAGGAGGGCAAGATGCTCTTCACGAAGGAACATGCGTTCTGGTTCGCGAGCCCCGCAATTGATCAGAGTGCTATCGCCGGCCGTGATGCCCTCGAATTGTCCAAGAAGCTCCGTATCTCCACCCCCGCATACGGCTCCGACCAGAGCTTCTCCCCGTCCAACAAGACCATCCTGTCAGACGAATATCTGCGCAGCTGGCAGATGGCTTTTATTATCCGTCACCCGGCGCTTGCATGGCCGTCAATGTACCGTGCAATGAAGAAGATTGCCGCCGAGGGCTTCATCGACGAGGACGGTCTCCAGGGGGCGTCAAGGACCAACATGGATCTGCGCTATAGCAGGATGCTCTATGACTGGTGCCTGGAGCAGCCAGATGTGCCGACCCCGCCCCCGGTTATTGATGCTCATGACCTCATTACAACTCCCCAGGTGGTCCTCAAGTTCTGCGAGCAGACAGGGCTCGATAAGAGCGTGGTGCAGTTCGAGTGGGATCAGAATGATGCTACGAAGTCCAAGAATTTGGCCCCGGCCGACCCTAATGCCAATACCGCAGAGCATGATCGACAAAAACGATCTGCTTCCATCATGCTTTCCTCTCTCTTGGGATCCAAGGGCGTTATTAAGGATAAGGCGCCCGCGAACCTGGATATTGCCGCCGAGGCAGCGAAGTGGAAGGTTGAGTTTGGAGAGGAGGCCGCACAGATGCTTGAAAAGGCTGTCTGGGATTCCATGCCCGATTACGAATACCTCAAGTCAAAGCGAATCACTGCTTAAATTGTGATGCTATGAACGTGTGAAGAGACGGATGTGATGAACACAGCCAATTGCATCAATCCGAGGTAGATGGTGTAAGGTATTTACGGACTTTCGGTATATACAGTACGATATTTTCTCGCATCCATTTATTATCCTGAGGTTCTAGCTACTTCGTGCATCTTAGATATTAATCAAGGATTGGAGGCTCTTGGCTTCATACCCATGTGTTTCAACACGTGTTCAGCGCACTTCTAAGCAACGAACCCTCTTTTTGAGCGGTGATGGCCCAGATAGCGGTGCATATAGCAATTTCCTGTGTTAGCTATACTTCAATATACACTTCAGACGAAAGTGCCCGACTATGGCCTGGGGAATCTTGGTCGAGGCAACCACGGCAATGGATCAGCTAGACCCTCCAGGGCCCTACCTGCAGGAGAGAGTGTAAAGTAAAAATAAGTTTCAATATTGACAGGCTATAATACATTCTTTAATATGCGAATCGACTGCGCCGTATCTTTGCTTTAACGCCGCCTGCCACCACCCATGAAAGCCTTCTTCTGGCGGACGTAGGCAGCCACGACATTCTCGACGCTGCGGCGGTCGTGCTTGCGGGACCTAATAATAGGAAACAGATTAGTAAAATGATTAAATCGGTGAACTATGGGGGGTGGACGAACCGCATGTAATACAGACGAGCGCGACGAGGCTTGCGCTCCGCACGCTGGACAATCTCCACACTCGAGACATTCGGGTTGAACACCTTGACCGACATCTCCACGGCGACACGAGTAAGCTCGTTCCGCATCAGGAAAGAGGTATCGATGCCGCGCATCTTAATGCTCAGGACAACGCCGTTGAATGGGTCGCCGTTCTTGAATGTGACCCGGACAATGTCACCCTGCTTGATACTGCGCGGGTTCCGTCGGTAGTCGAAGAGAGCCTTGCGCTCGCCCTTGGGATCGATCTCCGCCAATTGCGACTCGGTAACACTTGCAATTGGGTCCTTGCAAACGGCGCGGGTGGAGGGCGGAGGAGGGTAGACCTTGATCGGCTTGGGGGCTGTAATGAGTCGCTCGGGTTAGCAAAAATGGCACGAATGCATCAAGATTTATTGTAAAGCACATACCATTCTGAGGTTGATGGCGAACTGGTATTTGTGACAGGAATTGTTCGGGGATGTTCGAAGGGAAAGGGACGCGCTTGGGACGCTGCGAGTAGGTGGTCGAGATGAAGCGGCGGCTGATCTGGGGCTGAATAGCCTCTTGAGTCTTGAAAAAAGATCTCAGGCAGCCCAGCTGCCGCATTGCTGGTAAAGCCGCCATGGTTGTGGTGTAAGAGGTGGTTGACAAACTCGGAGGTCGAACCTTGAAGTTTTGGCTCCACCGCCAGAATTGCCAAGCCTTCCGCCAATTTGTTCGGCGTCGAGATTCTTCCGCGACTCTCTTCGTCTCCCAATCCAATCCTCTGTCAAAAGCCACCCCAGTGGTTGTGATTGCTACGCCTATTCGGAAAGCCTGGATTTCAGCATTCACGATCATCAATCATGGCTGGCAGGCTCTTTCGTTGGCAGGGCGCCGTGCGCCAATCGGTCATCTTGCAGACTCGCGGCTACGCTTCAAAGTCAGGTAAGAACTGGTTCATAACATAGCCTAGTGGTGTCTCTATTTGCTAATGGACGAATCTCAGCGATTCCAACCTTTTCCCCGTCCTCTTCCTCCGAATTGAACGAGGCCCTCGACCGATTCCGACAAGACCTCTTCATTCCGTTCGGCATCCCGAAAAGACAGCGAATGAGCATGTTCAGGGAGAAGCACGCGCAGCGATTGAGGGACGAGCCTATCACCATCAACATCAGCGAAACGGAGGAATATACTTTGCAGCCCAAGAAGTACATTGAGACCCCAACGAAGAAGGAAGCCATCCAGGTCATTAAAATGATGCAAGCCACCGAGGACTATAAGAATTTCATTCCCTTTGTCAGTGCGCTGTGGGGGTCCCAGTACGTTTTGAAAGGAGACCGCTGGCAACAAATCATGCGCAAGGCTCGCGAAGCCGGCAAGCTTCATCTTATCGTCGAGTGCGCCAGGCAATCGGGGAGCACTGGCCTGCGTCTCCGGAATTCGGACGTTGTGCGGAGTCTTTTCTTCGAACTTCACCTGGCTGCTCAAAAGGCAGACTTCAAGGGCCCGGAGATTGCCAAGACCCTGAATATGGCCAAGCAGGCAGTGGATATTATGGACGCCGACCTCCCGGACCACTCATACAGCGATTCTTCCAAAAACCCGAAGAGCCAACCGATCGTCGTCGCTACTCTTTTGGAGCTGAGTGCCGCTCGCGCTATCAACGATTTCGCTGGCAAGGACCAGGCCAAAGAAGTCATGGGCTACGTGCAGAAGCTTCTCGCAGTTGCCCCCAAGGGCAAGTACCAAAACGCCCCCACAGAAAAGACTCCCCGCATGGAGGTCAACCACTGGCTGCATGAGGCCATCACAGTCTATAATGGATTGCAACTGAGTCTTACGATCCATGGCCTCGCTGCTGACAGGGCACTTCACCGCGATGTGTCTTCTCGCCTCGACGAAGTGAAGAAGTCGCTGAAGGAGCTGCTCGAGGATCCCGCGCACCAGGACAAAGATACATCGTACTGGAACCTCGCTCGGGATCTGCTTCAAGGTTAGGTGTACGAAGTTTGGTGTTCTTCTTCGAGTCATGTTGATTCTAGGCCTACTAGCATGTGTATATTACTTTGACCCCGTCATATCTGGAGCAGACTGTATTTCATAAAATGGACTTTGATTTCCTGAAACCCGAAATTTCTGGGCTGCTTGCAACATTCACAACATAACGCGTGCTATCTTTTCAACCCGAAATGAAAATGGGAACGCTCAAGGGAAAATGCACTGTTCACTTGAAGGCATCCCTGAGAGGCTTTCAAGAGGACAGCTCCAGGGTGTTGTCATTGCTGATGCGACCCCGTGACGAAAGCGTAGTCTTGCTGCTGACGACTGCAGGACCGGAGACGGCGATCTTAAAAAAGTCAGTAATGTTCTCACACTCAGACCAATGATTGAAGATATGATATCTTACCTGGCCCTCGGGGATGCTGTCGGACACATTCGCCTCAGACATGCCAGTCAGAGTGACCTCGATGCTGCTGAGAGGAGATCCAAAGTGGCTTGGACCGGTGAGGCATCGGTAATCAAAGACATTAGTTTGGGCGATAGCACCGGCAATGCCAGGTCCAGTGAGCGCATAGACCACGCGAGCCCCAGTGTAGACCCGAAGGTCGGTCAACTGCTCCGAGCTGAGGCGAGCTGAGGCATCACCATCAGCACGATGCGAAATGCATAGCAAGCGGAGTTTATCCAACGAGAGCTCGGCAGTCGGGCCAATTCGGGCCAGCTGGCTGAAGATGTTCTTGGATGGCATGTTTCCGGCTTCCAGAGTCCGGCTTTGCACCCACCGACCAAGAGAAGAAATGGGCCCGGTATGCGGCTTCATAACTCGATCATGGTAATCCGACATAGTGCGTGACGACGCAATGATGACTGTCGGAGACACACCCATCGTAGCCAATGCAAAATCCACCTTCTCGCCCGCAACAGAATTCAAAGCAACAGAGGCATTGCAAAACAAGGCATTCATGACTTGCAACAGAGGGTATGACCGCGCGAGAGAATCAATCGAGAGGACAAGATCAGATGGGGAGAAACGTTGGGTGCGAGGCAGTGCAGAGTTCAAGGCGGCAATTGCAGACACAAGGTTCTAAAATTTTGTTAAGATCTGGACGTATGGAAACGGACTTCTTTCCTTACATCCGATTGGAAATCAATGAACTCCCCAGCCTGCGAGGATGACGGCCAGACAGTACTCAAACCAGGCGGCGGGGTGTTGGGGTCGTATTCAGGGACCGTCAGGCTCGTCAAGTCCTTTTGCTCTTCAACAAGCTCGTGCCAGACGGAAACGTTCAAGTCGCCTTTGACGCCCTCGGGGACCTCATGCCAGTCCATGTGCCGGTTGCCATACTTTGCGACCCAGAGAACGAGCGACAGCTGCTTGTTCTCTTTGGTCACCAGAGAGAGATCGAGTGATCCGGCCTCGGCAATGAGAGCGTCGGCCTGAGCATGCTGCAGGTGAGCTGACAGAGTCTCAGCTGGGAGGTTATGGGGCACAATGATCGTCTTGAAACCGTAGAAGGCGCCAGCTACCGAATATTAGCACACAATTCTGATCGCAGACAACGATTTCCGTACCAAAAATAGCAGTCAGCAATTCAACGGAGTCGGTCAGGCAGATGGCGACGGTCTTTACTTCGGATTTCTGAAGATGCCGGCCGATGACATTGAGTTCCTGGGTGACCTGGCTCAGCGAGTGCTCGATGGCCTGCTTGCCCAAAACAGTGTAGATTTTGCCTTGTTCTCCTGCGACCGTTCCATCGGGATTAAGTGACCCGCGCAGAGCAGCCTTCCAGATATCACGCAGATCACCGCGTCTTCCGGCTGTCCACTTGGGTGCTCCGGTGTCTTTGACATTCAATCCGAGGCGTAGAGGGAAGCCATGAGGGGTCTCCAGGCTGCGGTAGGTTGCAGATTCACCTTTTTGTCGAATAGGGGACCCTGTGGACTGGCGAGCAAGTAGAAATGGGTGCACATCCGGGTCTTGAGACGAGCTGACGGAGTAAACGACGAAGGCAGCAATGATGCCGGCGAAGATGGTGGTGTAGATGTTCCAGTCGGCAACCAGACCATCCAAAGCAGCATCAATCTGCTGCAGAATGGAAGATTGGTCTGCCATTGTGAGAGATCTGATAGTAATCCGTTAAAAAAAGTGTCAACAATGATCCCCAAACTATGACGTTGAGGGGTTCCGCGGCACCGGTGCTCGGGTCAACAGTAGGGCCGGCGTCTAAATTCGACGCGCCAGCGGCGTCTGTTTCTCGGTCCCAGCCTCATAACATCTCCTGAGCAATGACCACTTGACCAGTCCCCTCCTGGCAGTTTCATTGCTGCTGTGATTGACTCGTCCTCAATTCGACCAAAGGTAAGTGCTCTCCGTTTCCGTTCATTCAGGTAAGTCCACGCCCCTGCACTGCGATGGACAATTCATTGATCCCAACTCTCAGTTTTACTTTTCGCCTTGGCTTCTCTGCCTCTCACTCGTCCCTTGTTTACTGTGCATGATAAATGGCTACGCAAGCTGCTCCCTCGACTCCCAAAGCTGCAGCAATCGCGGCTCCTGCCTCGGAAGGGTCTGGTACACCGGGCAAATGGCGTCATCCACAACTCAATGAGATTGTGAGGCGTCAGAATGCCGCGACATTCGGCGACAAGGATGTTAAGAGGTTACTATGGAACGGAGCTGCTTTGGTGACGACTTGGCTCTTTGGGAACACCTTCAAAACCTAGTAAGTCGCGAGACGCTGCCGACCATGTCCAGCGTACTGACGAGTTTCCCTACAGCGCACGTCTCATTTTCGAGACCAAACCCTTCTACCACGAGCTTTCACTCCTACTACTCCAGCTCTTCTTCGCCTTGAATATTTTCCTGGCTCTCTACCCTCTCTACAGACCCAAGGACGACCTTTCGGACATTCCCCTTACCCCCACCCAGCGTGCTCTGTTGGGCCTGGACCCTACTGCTACACCACCCGCCACCCCCGGAACCACATATGTCACCCCTCCGAGATACCGAATGTCCACTTCACGCAAGGCCAGCCCTGCAAGCCGACAGACTTCTCCAATGTCTGCGACCCCGACCCTTTCCGAGCGACTGGTTTCCTCAGGACCCTCGTTCTCGCCCGCGTCTAGCCCGCTGTTCCACAAAGCAGTCGCAAATGGAGGCAGAGACACCGGCCGGAGACAGAGCTTTGGGTCATCGTCACCTCTTGGTCGGAGCAATTCATTTGGGGAGTCCAGCATTGGACCTAGCACCCCTTCTCCACTAGGTGGCAAGCGAGCGAGTCTGGGAGTGAGCAACCGGTGGCTGTATGAGAGAAGTCGACGACTCTCTGCTAGCAATGGGGCTCATTGATTTTCTTTTTCTGTATCCAATACTGGGCTGGGCGGCATGGAGTTTGTAGCATACGGTTTCTGAGCGATTTCTTCATAATGAACTGGAAGAATATCCAAATTATCCTGATTCTAAAATAGCAGCTTGAAAAGATCGGGCTGAAAGAAAGTCAAAAGGTGTCAAAACGTAGTGTACCTGGTGGCGGCTCGGCAGATCCTCTCAAAGGTCGTGTTCCGGCCAAGACTCCGCATCAGGGACGAACCGCAACACCACACTTGGTTCTGACAACACGCTTCCTGAGCCATCTTGGGCTATTCTGCCGACATACTGCATGACGCCCGTGCTGTGAGCGACTGCTCTCTTCAGCAATGGGGGCCTCGGAGTCAAAGTTGGTATTCAAGCAGGGCATCTTCCGCCTCTCCGAAGAGAAGGAGATCCCCGCTGACGACCCGTACTGGACGCGTGTATGTCAATGAACACAGGATGTGTTCGATATGACGAGCAAGGATCACTGAAACTGACCTGCTTTACAGTTCTGGGAACTCCCTGAATCCTCCGAGGACATCTTCAGCTTGTTCACGCCCGCCGACATTCGACGAACGCGCGACCATGCCTTTTCCAACTTTGAAACGCTGTTACTGTCGGTCTCATCGCGACTGATAGTCCTTAAGAACCACCCCTCATTTCCCGACCCTGATCTAGCTCCCGATCGTGATGTGCTCAACTGCATTCGCATCCTCACCCGTCTCCTGCCCTTTGTCTACGAAGCCGAACACCTTGAAGACTGGGAAGAGAAATTCTTCTGGACTCGTCGCAAGAAGAAGACCAGACAGGCACAGATTGCTGGCGAGGTTCTCTTTGATGACTCACAAGCGGAAGGCCTGCAAGGCTCCTCACCTCGAGGGGAAGAGTACGAGGATGTGAAACCTCTTGGCGAAGAGCTGATTGACACTCTTCTCGATCTACTCTTCTTCGCTGACTTCACTATTCCAATGCTTCCTACCGCGAAGAGCAAGATTTCGTACTCTATTTGGCAGAGTGGTGTGGGCTGCAACACGGCCATGGGATCAAACAAGACATTGGAGAATAATCGATGCGAGATTGTGCGCCTGTTGTTGACTATGACAGGCAAGGCTATGTACTTACCATCCAGTGAGTGTATCTGCTATAAATTTGGGTGTGGTGGTAACGGCTGACCGTCATAAGATACCCTTCCTGTGCAAGGTGTCAGGGCTATTACCTATATCACCACGTGCCAGGACAAGCAGGCCGTCCTAACGCTTCTATGCTCCCTTCTCAATACGGTACGCTTATTGAAGACTCATTGCTTGGCTGTAACTGACGTGAGAATAGGCTATGAAATATAACCCCGCTACTTGGAGGGTTCCATACGACCATGTTGTGTGGAAAGATCCCAAGCAGATCCTGGTGATATACTGCTTGCAGTTCCTCCTCGTTCTGCTCTTATACCCTATTCCAGAGGATGGTCGCGGAGCTCCGCCAAAAAACTACTACCGCCACTACTTTGGGAGACTTCATCGGCCGCAGGACTTCCAGTTCCTTGTGGATGGCATGACAAGAATCTTGAACCAGCCTGTATGTGACGCGCGTACTTTTGATATACGCCGTTGTTAATAAGAAACAGATGCAAGCCACAAATTCCTATCTCCCGGGAAGTCAAAGATCGGTGAAATGGGCACCCGAGATCCTCATCCTCTTTTGGGAGACCTTGCAATGCAACAAGCGGTTCCGGTCATTTATCATTGATTCCAACCGCTCCCACGATTTCGTGATTCTTTGCATATTCTACGCGATGGAGTACAGAACGGATCCATCCAAGCAAGGCGTGGTCCGGATGTGCATTTTCATTCTTCAAACTATGAGTGCAGAGCCTACTTTTGGCAAAAGCCTGAACATGAGTTTCGAGGCACAGGAAACCCTGCCTCAGTCTATTAGACTACTAAAGTTCCGGGGCTCGTATGCCGACTATCTCATCATGGTTCGTTTACCTGTTCTATTGGACACAAAGTGCTATCGCTAACGTAACCAGTCGGTTCACACCCTCATGGCTACCAGCAAAGGTAATCTCGATACTGTCTATCCCGCTCTTCTTATTGTTCTCAACAATATCGCCCCCTACATCAAACATATCTCCCCGAGCGCCTGTTCCAAGGTCATGCAACTCTTCTCCTCGATGTCTGCACCCAGCTTTCTACTGGCCAATGAGACGAATCACACCCTTCTTGCTTCGCTGCTTGACGTTGTCAATGCAATCCTCGAGCACAACTTCACGGAAAACCCGTACCTGGTTTACGCAGTCTTGAAGTACAAAGAACGATTCGAGGCTGTCCGGGCGTTTACTCTCGAAAGTGGCCAGCAGGAGATTGAGCGCCAGAAAGAGAAGCAGAAGGCAGGAGATACAGCAGGGGATATTACCACCAGCCCAACACTTTCGCACTCGGAAGACGATCTTCACGCTCCCTCGGGCGCTCGATCGTCTCTGACTCGGATTCCAGAAGAGAACAGCGCCTTTGCGATTGGCGAGGATGATTCCGATGATGAGGGAGGACATGAAGGACAGAACACTCCGTCTCAATCGTCTCCGTCGGCTCAAACCTCACGCCGGCCCTCCGTTGCCTCTACGGCCGATGAGAGCATCTCTCAGGTCCGGGGGATGTCCGAAAAGGCACGTGGCAAGATGCCTGCTGGAAGACCATCTTTCTCGCGCCAGAACAGCATGACCAGCCAGACCAGCATGTCTATGTCTGCTTTGTTCACAACATCCTCTACCGGCTTCATGCCAACTGTTGCTTGGGTAAGTTTTTGATCGTTGTAAAGAAGGCATCCGTACTCACTCAATCTTCCCAGCTTGAATCTTGGCTTCCGGAGCTTCCTCTGCATACGATCCTCACCATCATCTCCGCCATCGCACCCCACATCCCCGGGGCGGCACTCCAACCCACATCTAGCCCTGAGGCTCGTACCTTGATCAACAACCTTCCATCCTTCTCTGAAGAACCCCAGATCAAGAGCATCACGTCGGAGCCTACCCCGATCCGTGCCCAGTCCTTTGAATGGTCGGCACTGTCGATGGGTTGGTACGAGTCGCTTCTTTGGGGATTCATCTTCTCCAGTGAAATGGTCGTCGGCTCCGCTGCGAGTGCGACGCCAGGCACCGTTGGTGTTTGGAATGGAACCAGCATCCGGCTCTTTAGGGTACAGGAGGCAGCCGCTCAGGGTCCCACGTTGTTGGCCCCGAAGGGCGCTGTAGATGCGGTCGGTAGCAACCTGGTACAGCGCATTGGGAACCTCAGCCTTCGAGGCCGCAACTCGATTTCCCAGGAGGCTGGACAATCCCCGAGTGTGAGGGAGGTTTAGGATGATGTGATCAACATCAATGTACATAAAATGATATGAATTGTTCTCCGAATGACCATTTCTACACTATGTCGATATCTGAAAGGCATGGAAATTGAAGTAGTATGGCATGTGTCAACTGTAATTGTAGACCTCCAATGGATGGCTCGAATCGACGATTTGTATGAGCGCACTCGAACACGTGCGAACGCGCCGCGTTCCCGAAACCTGCTTTGTCAGCCTTCAACCCCTTCACAGTTGAACTCACTCGGACTGGATATTACATCTTTACCGGCGTCAATCCATTCGGTTTAGTCGGAGCTATGGTTTCTGCGCTTTTGCTGCTCACAGCCGTGGTCGTGGGTCTGTTGGCCGGCCCGGACCCCGTTATAGGCGCGCTCACCTCGAGCTTACAGAGTATCTTGAAAAACACCCACGGCAGCAAAGAGTATGAATATCCCACCGATATCACAAGGGACATCTATCCGGTGAGTGAACTTCTGATCCTTTTCACCTTCAGTGGTCGGGGGGGAGGGGGGGCCTCGGGAGCTGTGGCTAACGTCATATTTAGATTCCCGTACACTCTCATAAGTAAGAACCCCTGCGCCCTTCTACGCATTGGATTCCCTGGGCGATTCTAACTGTCGAACAGTGACTACTGGAGAGATGAACCTTTCTATACCGGTATGTTCCAAGCTACATAGAGACCGGACCCCTGCTAATAAAGCCCTTAGGTCTGTCAAAGGGCTGCACGTCCACTGAAGCCGACGTTTGGCTGTATAATGGTACCCTCTATGTTCGTTTCGCTGCACGTTTTATTCCCGTAATTATGTGCCAATTGAACTAATTGATTCAGGTTGGACACGATCAATCTGCTCTGACAGAGGAGCGGACTCTCGAGGCCCTCTACATCAACCCGATTTTGGACGTTTTGGATCGCCAGAACCCCGACAGCCCCTTTGTGACAGAGCCCACCAAGAAGTAAGTACTTCGACATTGACTACCGCTTCAATGCTGATAGCGGTGGAAACAGCGGTGTCTGGGATACGACCCCCGATCAAACACTCTACTTTTTCATCGACGTGAAGACTTCTGGTCCCGAGACCTTCAAGGCCGTCATTGAAGCCCTGAAGCCCCTTCGTGAGAAGGGCTATTTGACCACTCTCAAGGGAGGTAGAACCATGACGAATGGCGCTGTCACCATCATCGGCACGGGCGAAACCCCACTCGACATGGTCGCGCCCGTCAAGGATCGTGACTATTTCTTTGATGCGCCTCTTGCCGATCTCAATGATCGCAAATATAAAGATATTACGGGACTGGTCTCTCCTATCGCGTCTACAGACTTTGCCGCCGCGGTGGGAAAAATCACCGTCGACACTGACCCTATCCTCTCAGAGGACCAGCTCAAGGCTCTCCGTGATCAAATCGCCACGGCTGAGAAGCGCGGAATTGGTGCGAGATATTGGAACACGCCCGTCTGGCCCATCCGGCAGCGTAACCTCGTTTGGAGGACGCTTCTGCGCGAGGGAGTTACTCTCCTTAATGCGGATGATCTGGATGCAGTGACTGCAGAGTTCTAATGGTGTGATATGTAGTACTGTGGGGGTATTCCTCATCTACTTGTATGATTCCCGATGGTTGATTTCGAAATAGATTCAATTGATTGAATAAAATATCAAGCAGTGCATATCTTGCAGGTAACCCTTATGGTATCCTCTGACCGATTGCAGTTGAAATCGCCAGTCCTCCGAAACTCCAGTCCCAAATGCAAGCCCAGGCCGTGGCATAGAGTCAACTCAAGGTTGCATCTTCATTCGCTTCGGAGACACTGGCGACACTTGTGAGGCGACAGTTTGCCCTCAACGTAGGCGATCTCTCGAGCCGAGCAGCGTTCATCCTCTTTATTGATGTGTTGCTGGCACTTGATAAACTCACCTCCTGTTTGGTGTCCGCACGAGTATCTGATCTGCATAATAGTACAGCGCCGAGGCAAGCTTTTGTCGATGGCTATCGACGTATTCGATATCAGTCTCGGTATGGGTACTATAGCGTGACACCTACTTTGATGGGATGAGATGATCATTGGTGGAATTGGAGGCAGGTTTCCTGGGAAGATGCTTCTCTGGTCTCTTATGTCAGTAACAAGGCACCGACTTCAACGTGTTGCTCATCGGCTAGGTGGGGAACTCTACGGTGTGAGGGACACTTACCTGTTCGAGCTTTATTTCGGTTCGGTTGAAAGCAGAGTAGTGTTCAGGAAGAAAGCAGGTGAGGCTTGGGGGTGGGCGTCGCAAGTCAAGAAGTGACCGTCAACGCTGGGAGTGCAGTTACCGGGTGAGCACTTACCTTACGAGCCCTTTCGCAGGCTGAGCATCAATAAGTTCAATTTGAAGACAACTTGAATGCCATACGTCTGTTGGCCTGAAGGTCATGGTTGTGGCTATTCTTGTTCTGATGTTCCGGAAGCTCAAATCGGCCGCGATGCCGATTGCGATGAACCGTAGGGCAGCCATCAGCACGACTTGCCATCCATCGCCAGACGACATCGGTGCTCTGGAGAAGCCTGTTATTAGGGCACAGGCTGACATGGAAATGCTAGAGCTTTCTACATTCCTAGGGCCCGGCTTACCGGAGATCGACAAAATGCCGCCGCTGCACTTTCACATCAAAAGACGTCGTTGGGCCGAGTCCTGATTTTGTATATTATTAAGATACGTGAAATATTAAACCGTAACAAGTGGCCAAGGTCTTGGATTTACAACCATGATAAAGAAGTTTGTTTTCTTCCTAATCGAGATCTTGATTATGTATCTTTAGGGCTGATATAGGTACTTAGGTACCTTATCTACTACGTGTGTAGAAGGACTCTCTCCCGCAACCATCAGTCGTCAACCCTCCAAGTGAGAGGATTTTAGTTCAGATTGCTGCCCATATACCCCATTTGATTATTTCACCTTTGAAGTGCAGACACAATCCCTTGCTTCAGTCACTGCAGTCACTAACTGGTACCTGGCACGTGATCCGCAACGACATGGGCAATGCGACGAAATGCGGCTCCACAACTATTCAGTTCAACATCCCCCAAAGCCTCCTCTCATTGGTTGCGTGAGAACAATGGCATCGGACGGGGACCTGGGAGATCTCTTGGCCAAGGCCCTCCCCTTCGGGGCCGAGCTCACTGTCCGCCATGTCTCATCCACTCCCGCCCCCTCGCCAGCTCTCTTTGCTGCTCCTCCCGGTCGGGAACCGGAGCAAACATTCCTTGAAAGTCACTTTTTGTCGGCCTCAATTGACTCCCCGAAACATGACGGGACAGAGATCATTGTCTTCGGGATGGAGGTTCTGGTGTATACCACGGCCTACTTGACCACCATCTTTGTCTCCAAGGCCGACTCGACCGGATTTCTTCACCTACTCCAGCTGCCCCAGAAAGTATCGGTTCTGAGGCTGATCTCAAACACGTTTTTATCATATTTGGCACGCAAACATCAACGCCCCGGTGTACGCCTGGTCGTGTCCTTGTTTGCGCGAGCCCAGAACCAGTACCTGTTCCCGGGTAGTATCGAAAATGCCGAAAAGCACGTCCTCGATGACCGGGGTCTGATCAAATGGTGGTGTCGTGCCGTGGATCCAATTATCCGCGAGTATGAGCCTGAATCAGTCTCAAAAGACCCGAAGCTTCTGAACCAGACAGTCGAGGCGACCCAGGCTTCCGCGACCGCGTACTTGATCGTTCCGGGTTGTGATCGCTTCGAGACACGCAACTTTTTCCCTGCCACGGCCAAATCCGATGCGCAGGGTCACCCGCGATGGCTCAACGGCTATCCTCTTCAACAGATATGCCATGACCCCTCAGCTCCACCGCGCTGCTTGGTTCCCCGTCTCCCGGATGACCCCAAGACCCGGTTTCTAATTGACTTGGATGATGAACTTCCTGAGCCTGCAGAAGGGGACAATACAACGCCTGGCACCGGCCAATGGAAAAGTGTCAAGTCGTTGGATCAGTTTTGGGAAATGATGTCGTTCCGGCAGGAGTGCGCTGCCGGTCGGCTGGTAGGATTCCTCTGGCTGGTCATTAACCCACCGGGTCTGATGAACTCGACAACCATGGCTAGTCGGACTCGTGGCTCTACTGCCACAAAAGAGGCTGCCTCTCCGGTTGTCCCCGGCCAAGCTCAGTCGGAGGATGGGCCCGAGCAGCCCAAGGCGGAGCTATCATCAGAAGCCCGCGAGAAAACTGCGGAGAAGGAAAAGTCTGCAGAGCCTCAAGCGGAACCAGCGCCTTATTTCGATTGCCCGCCAACGGAGCCTGTTCCTTTTCCTGCATTTACAGAGACCAGCCCCTTCTACTGGCCCGAAGCCGTGCGAGGGAACGTCATTCTTAGCGAGGTCGATTACAAGAAGATGATGGATGGGATCTTGGATCATTTCTACGATGAAAACGACATTGTCGCCAGCACCAAAGCGTATGTTGACCAGGTCGCCATCCTCGCCGACGAACTTACTTGGGGCAAGCGGGTAGTCGGCACCCACATCCCACAGAGTACCTCGTCGGAGTCTGCGCCGGTCAACAATCTTCTCGATAACGGCTTGGTCCGTAAGCGAAAGAAGTCCGAGGGTGAGGGTAGCAAGGCAACCACCCAGGGAGGCTCAGCACAGCCGAGCGGGCTGGACGACACGCAAGCTGCTCCATCGCAGCCAGCGCCGGTCAACATGCTCAATGCCGGTCTCATTCGGAAGAAGAAGAAGAAGACATAATACATTGGAATTGGCATGGTATTGGGATTGGAGTCTTAAGGGGTTTTTTTTAGCATTGGGACAGGAATGAACGGAAACTTTAGTCTTAGAATACAACAACGATTTATGGATGTCAACCGACATTGTAGATATTGGATGAGTCTTAGAGACTCAACACGCATCTTTCTTCTCCCTCGCTAGACTACGGTGTTCTCTCGTCGTTACAGAATATTCGAATATCGATCAAGAATTCCGAGGCCCGAGTCCTCAAGACAGCGCTAGTCCCATATGCATGTCAACACTCAATTTACGTCACGAAACCCTACCCTATTGAGGTGACATACTACCGAAGCCCCCGGGGGAAAGGGGTTTTTTGGGTTGACAGATGGCCACGCTACCTTCCCAATTATGGGTCCAGAGGGGTACACCCGCCCTCTTGAACCCTCGAACCAGGAACCAGGCACCAGAGACCAACACAATAACCACGCACCAGCGCGGCGACACAAGGCATCTGAGAAGAAAGTGAGACGGGGGGCAACACGCAGCTTGATCAAGTTCCGTGCATCACTCTTCGTGTGCAGAGCCTCCGAGACCTCAAACGAGGACACGCAACCAAGAGGCGGTGCGCCGGCAAAACCGAAATCCACTCCGCAATATCCGAGCTGCGCTCTGGGGCCACAACCCACCAAGTCCCGGCTCGAATTCCTAGAATGTTCTTGTTCGTGTTACTCACCTGCGACCTATGCTAGAGCCGACCTCGCATCTCCTTGCACGAGTGCCCGTCGGGCATGGCGCCATGTCTGCATCTGCGGTGGCGGGCTGGATCGGACTGATCTGGTATCTCACCGTGTTGCTGGTGTGTGCTCTGGGCTACGTTCAGATGTACGTATGGAGGATCAATTCGCGACTGTGCTTGGTACAGTGTCTTTGAACACGGTTTTTGTGGCTGACCAGATTTCTTGAACCTCAGATGGAGATATTTTTCGCGACAGCCGCGCCGCTCCCGGTTGGCCTCCGCCGCGGACGCTCCCCATGTCACTGCCATTCGACCTGTGAAGGGCCTCGAGCCTCATCTCTACGACTGCCTCGCCGCTACATTTCGTCAAGACTACCCGCGCGACAAGCTGACGATTTGCCTGTGTGTGTCTACGCGTGATGACCCGGCCCACCCGACCCTCCGCAAGCTGATCGCCGATTTCCCCGACGTTGATGCGCGATTGTACGTGGAAGATGACGATCCGTTGTTGCAGGGTGGCGGCCCCGATTCATACGCGCTTGGTCCAAACCCCAAAATCCGAAACATGAGCCGGGCATACCGCGAAGCCAAAGGGGATATCATTTGGATCATTGATTGCAATGTCTGGGTTGGAAAGGGAGTGTGTGCCCGCATGGTGGACAGGCTCTGTGGATCAGGGACGACACCCGGCAAGAAGTACAAGTTCGTGCATCATCTGCCTGTAGCTGTCGACGTGACGGGCGAGAGCAACCGGCAAGCAGAGCGCCAGGCCCTCTTGGACGACAATCCTGAAGCTACGGTTCCCAGGGAAGCAGACTTCTCGTTGACATCCAACCGCCCGGAAGACGGTCTGGCAAACATGCTTGCTCATGGGGGAGGACGTCTTGAAGAGCTGTTCCTTTCCTCGTCCCACGCAAAGATGTACACTGCCATCAACACGGTTCTCATCGCCCCTTGTATCGTAGGAAAGTCCAACATGTTCCGTCGTTCCCACTTGGACTCCCTCACGGCTCCACCTCCAGGCGAACCCAATCCACGCCTTCCCGGGATCGATTTCTTCTCCGATAACATCTGCGAGGACCACTTGATTGGCGATCTTTTATGGAGGAAGAAAGTACCCGAAGAGAAGGTATCCGGCGAGCGCTGGGGCAAACATGCTATGGTCTTTGGGGATCTGGCCATCCAGCCCGTGGCCAACATGAGCGTGCGAGGGTACATTGCGCGTCGTGTACGGTGGCTCCGTGTTCGCAAGTTTACCGTTCTTCTGGCAACCCTCGTTGAGCCCGGTACAGAGTCCTTTGTGTGCTCCATTTACGGTGCTTGGGGTGTCACCACTGCCTTGGCGCCATACCTTGAACAAAAGGGCGTGTCTTTCGCCTCCACTCTCGCAACTTGGACTTCCTTCCTTGCATTGTTTGTGCTCAGCATGGCGTTCTGGATCCTTATCGACTGGACATTGTATATCAAACTGCATTCGGCAAAAGCTATTGAGCTTGAAGAAGACACCCCGATCTTCGCTCGGCCCACTCGTCGTTCATTGTCTCAGACCACGCGCCGCCCCTTCCAACAGTGGTTCACGGCATGGTTGGGTCGCGAACTTTTGGCCCTCCCCATTTGGCTCTCGGCTGTCTACGGCGGCGTAACAGTTGTATGGCGAGACCGACGGTTCAAGGTCGGCTTTGATGCCAAGGTTCGGGAGATTGACCCCGAGAATACCGAAGGCTCGTACTCCACTGGCTCTGTGGTGGACTGGTTTCCTGTGACACCACAGAATACTAACAGGAAGTTAGATAAAGTGCGGCGTGATTGATGAGCTGGTGGCAACCCCTGGCCAACGTTGTGTATATTATTACCCCCACGAAATGGATTTTTCGGATGAATATAATGTCTTAAATTCATGAAATGTGGCCAAATGCTTTGTCTATCTAAAACTTTTATCATGTTTCCATCACTTTGTTCTCACAATCCCCTATGCCGAGCCCTCGCCCTCATTAGCACCACTCTCCAGGCCAGCCGCTTTCTCTGATGACAGTAGCCACTCAACAACCTGTCTGCCCGCAGACATTTCCCCAGTCTGTTGCTGGTTCTCACCCTGGCCCTCACCTTCGTTCTCGCCCTCACCAATGGTCATCTCGATCTCCTGTGTCTGGTCTTCATCCTCGTTGACTTCCTCCGCAGAGGCAGACCAGGCAGCCCGCTCAGCGAGGAACACGGCATCGTGACCAGCATCGTTCTTGACAGTAACATCAGCACCAGACTCAACAAGAGCCTTGACACATTCCAGGTGCGTGTTCAGTGCAGCCCAGTGCAGCGGCGTGTTGCCAGAGTGGTTACGGTGATTGACAATCGCAGCACGCTCGGCAGCGTCCAAGTCGGAGAGTTTTTGGAGAAGAACGTTGAGGATTTCTTGAAATTTGTCAGTTGATACATTCAAGAGCCAGCGGTATAGCGAAAGGTAGAGAAATCAAGTTTTGACCTACCGATGTTGCCATTTGCGGCCGGGAAGTGCAACACACAGGAGCCTGTGCCGCCTTCGCTCTCTTCTTCCATATCGATGGCAGATGCGATGATGTGGGACTCGGGGCAGCTGTGCTGCGACGCCAAAGTGGTGATGTCGGCCTTCAGAGCCTCGAGATCACCAGCCCGGGCATCGTAGATGAGATCATCAATTGCCTCGAAAGAAAGTGCGACGGGCACCGTCGGCTTGGGCTTTGGTGCTGAGACAGACATCTTGCTCGGATCAATATTAATGTGTGCTCGTGGCAAGCTTGAGGTTCTCCAACGGCAATTATTTTCACGCCCGGTGGAGAATTTGATATGTGCTGGTGGGGTGTCAGTCGATGTATTCTGAAAGTTTTTGAAGAAGCCAAAACAACGAATAAAATGGCCCAATAATGTTTGAATCAAATGAGGTGATTTATCCACTCTCCACAACCGATTGAAGGTTAACAACTCGAAGATTTGCATGAGGCGTTGATAAGCGCATGGATAGTGATGCAATTTCAGCCCCTCAAGAATGAAGCAGGCGTGAGTTTCATGTACAATCGAAAATAAAATGACTGAATAAGAGGATTCAACCCCCAAAAAAGGCTTACCTTTGCGTCTCTTTGACAGGCGTAGATTCTTGCAGCGTCGAAGTTGCTCTCGCCGAAGAAACTTTGATATCGCAGGTCATGTGACACGATGGTGGGGTTCACCAGAATCTACACTTTTTATACTTCACGTATCGTTTAGAACTCAATGTACAACGTCAGTTGCTTGATTGCTCGTAGCTAATAGTACAGGTGCTGTGAGGAAGATAGAGGTTGGCAGATGAAAGCCCCTCTATACAACATGCTAGAAGAAACCGCAAGAAAAATAGCCACAAACGCCCCGAATCCCACACCCGGTGTGGGTGGTATCACAAATATTCAGCATGCAAATGGTCATCAGTATGCGACAGCCAGGGAGAAGATCGCCGGTACATGGCTGGGTCGTTTTAGTCCTCCCAGGTTCAATCAATCCCGCAACCATGCCCTCCGCTTCTCCTCTTTCTTCTCCCGGCGCTTCTCTTTGAACATCTTCAGTTCCTTCTTGGTGAGCTTCTTGGCGCTGCGCTCGGCCCGGAGACTCCGACCATCATGAGCATTAGCCGCGGCATCGACGTCAAAGAAAGCGTTCAACTGTCGCCGTGATTTGTTCTCGTCGTTGTGATTCTCCGGGTTGATCGAGTCTGCTTGCCAGCGCCCCGTAAACCGGTTGAAGGTACCGGTGGCGGCGTACGCGGCTGCCGGATCGATCGCCGCGCCGTTTACGTCTTCTGCTTGCTCTTCGTACAGCTGTGCATATGGTGCGGTTGGGTCGTAGTCGCCGTGGATGGCGGGGTTGTAACCACCAAGCACAGGAGCTTTCTTCTTCGGGGGTTCTTCGGTGGTGATCTCTTCGGTGCCTGGTGCGGCGGCGGTGGGCACGCGAGGGTTGTCCCACTGAGAAAGTCCGGTGAAGCGGTTGTAGAAATAGAATGCGTTGGCATTGGCGTCCCACACAGGCTCCCATCCATCGTCATCCACCGGGCCTGGGGGTGCTTCATCGGGCAGTGGTGGAGGGATCTCGTCGGGCAAAGGCGGTGCGGCTGTATCTTCTTCTTCGGCTTCCTCCGCTTGTTTTCCTTGGGTTTCTTGTCCCTCGGTTTCGAGCTGTTCTTTCTCTGTTGGAAACTCAGCTTGAGCTTCGGACGGGGCGTGCGGCGACTCAGGTGCAGATGAGGAGTCTACGCGCTGCTCTGCAGCAGGCGCAGAAGGGTGCGATGGATCGGACATTCCGGCGACTGGTCCTGCTGCAACAGCCAAATTAAATCTCGACGGGGAGAGCGTCACAGATCGTCAGCACATCTCAGTCTGGGGGATCGAAGCAAAGCGCGATTGATCCACTACGGCTGCCCGCAGAACTTCACCGCCTATGCCTATTTGAGACTAGCGGCATCTGGTACAAATTGAGTCTCAAATGAGAGGTCAAGTAGACTACATTATCTTTGACCTTGGAACTTGCGGACTGTTATGGGTACAAATCAGGGAAATTCCTGTGACTAGCTCATAATCCACAGTTTAAAAGTTGTCGGCATGCGAATATCCGCTGCCATGCAATGGACCAAAGCCATCCTGACTGATGCGGTAGGTAACGACGGGCAGCACTAAAAATTCGATGACAATAAAATTCAACACACTGGCTGTTTCATACAAGTCCAAATACTTATTTTTGTTCCCAATATTGTACCTGCATATTCAATGTGAATGGCGGTGACGATGGAGTGAGACTGTACTTCCACGTCCGGGAGCAAAATATATACATAAACCACCTGGGCAGCAGAAGAGAAACTCTGATAACTACAGAGAAGTTGAGTTCAAACTCTATTTTAGCAGCTCATTTACCAGAACTGTCGTATGGCCCGAAATATGCATTTCATCATCTCCAGGGCTACCAAGCCTGTGCGTCTTTTGATCACCGTGCCTTTTCCACAATAGAGGCCGATATCGTCATATATGAAGTTTGATTACTGCCCTGCTGATTTGTTCGAGGGTCACGGGTTTGTGATTACGGGAATGTATGCAAGGGCCAGTAGGTGGTCCGCATGGGACCTCCTGGACTATGAACTTGCGGGCTATTATCTGTGTACCTTGGACATGCGATCCAGTCACATAATGGAACAGGCAGTGAATATTCAGGATTTAGACAGTGCAAAATGCCCCTGCGGATTCGCAATTGTTCAGTGTTCCGAGGTTGAGTGAGTCCACCCACCGTCCTGATGGATTGAAATGTCAACATTGATGACATCAATGTATATTAAATTATTATCCACGTAAGTGCTCTGAATAACAGTCTGGAATCATTGTATCACATGTTAAGGTACATATGTAATTGGTGGGTGGGAATCTAGATAGCTGGTGAAACCCGTGGAAGAGAAAATTAGCCATCAATCAAGGAATATATATCATGTTTACCCAGAGTCCCTCCACCATCCTCAACCCTTTGGTGTGAAAATCACCAAACTGATAGAAAAATAGTCATAATACTAGATATTCAAAAGCAATCAAGGCTTAGTGTAGAATTTGATGTATTGTTATTGAAGGCGATCGAAAAGAGTCGCATTGCTGTATTGCGTCATGTTGTTTATTACCCGGGCATTCAACAATGGCGATCGAAAGACGATCCCCTATGACCACAAATATACACAAAGTAAATGCAATGTCAAACATAACGCGTTACAAAATTTTATTAGGACGATTAACTGCCTTTCCATACAAGTGGCATCGAGCGCGATGAGCTAGTCACATGCATCTTTGCAACCAACTACTGCACACCTGGGGAAACTCCTTACTAGTGGCCCACTGGCTCATCCTACAACGGTGAAGACCAAAATTTCCTTGCAACATGAACTGTGTCCATTGCAACTACTCCATCTACTTTACCAACAAACAAAGAAGAGCCTTTTCAATACCAATGATTCAGGACCCAAAAGAAATTGCGATGACCATCAAAGGCATTGTAAAGTGTCTCGACCATTCGAGATTGCACGTATCTTCCAGCTTAACATGAAACAGGGTACAGCGTCACGAACGTACCAAGTAGGGATAATAAGATGAAAGGGGCGGTGGGTTGCTTGGCTGATGGGGGAGGGAGAGTGCCTCGGGATATGGACTTGGGTATGAGCCCAAAGGAGGGAATCAGATGTTGCAACCGGGATTAGTTAGGGTATGTTCTGGGCAGTGAAACCTCGGCCGGAAGCAAGATTGGCATTGCTGGTAGAGCCAGGCTCACATAATCCGATCGGAGAGATCTGAAGCATCATGGATGACTGTTACGATGTCTAATTCTTTCTCGTGGACTAAGGGCGGAAACAATGAAGGGAGAGCGCGGGAGGCCTCTGATTCACGGGCTTCGGGTTTCGCGCGCGATCCCTTGCGCGGATTAACCATGCGTCACCGACTCCACACAAAACAGCCGAGTCAGTCATGGGTAGAAGTGGTTTGGTAGGGCCGGTTACATGCCTTAATTCCCGGATGATGTAGGGTCAACAGCTCAATGATCGGCTCCCTACCGTGGTGGCTGGGGAAGAGCCGAATGACCCACTCTGGAACTACATGGCGTAAAGCTTAGGGTTTAGCGGCGGCAGAGTGCATTCATGCTGCTCGACCCGTCATGGAACCGTTGACGAATAGTCGTCCATCTCGATACTGCAGTTTGGATGCCGCGTTGATGGCTCTATACCTGAGAACAACCATACTCTCATACACCCACATGTAAACAATCGGGGTGGAGCCCGCAAAGGGAAGCCGGCAATACAACGAGAACGAGGCCAGGGCGCAGGAATGCCAGGGCAGATTACACAGTCGCGTGAAGAAAGTACCATGGGCTTGGTAGATCCATACCAGAAGGCCCCAGAAGGAGCGTTCTTTGGACGGCGAGCCCTGGGAAGTGGAGAGATCCCCCTTTCATTACCTTACAGGCCACATTCCGGGAAGAAGGGGAAGATTGTGTGGGCCAAAGAAGAAAACAGAGATCATACTTGGAGGAGGTGATCGAGAGAGCTCACATACCGCCACCCTGGTGTATATAAGCATGTTCATTCATCGCCCAAGATGTGATTCCTTCCAACCCGCCTCACTTTCTTTAATCTTCGCTTCTGAAGTACAGTCTTCTCTTTTCTGAAAACCTAACAACTCCGAGTCTCTCTCGTTCAAATCCAACCCCACACAATGCAGTTCACCCTCGCCACCGTTCTCGGCCTCGCTGCCACCGTCGCTGCCCTCCCCCCCCGTCGGCCCCTCGGCCGGTGGTTTTGGTAACGCCAACGGTGTTGGCAACAAGGGCAACACCATGGTCAAGTTCCCCGTTCCCGAGAGCATGACCGTCAAGCAGGCTCAGGCCAAGTGCGGTGACCAGGCTCAGCTCTCCTGCTGCAACAAGGCAGTCTACGCCGGTGACACCACCGATGTCAACTCCGGCATGCTCGGCGGTGCTCTGTCCAACCTGATCGGTTCCGGCTCCGGTGCTGACGGTCTCGGCCTGTTCGACCAGTGCTCCAAGCTGGACCTCCAGAGTAAGCTCCCTGTCTTCGACTGTCGTGATCCAATGCTAATAACCATCTTCAGTCCCAATCCTGATTGCCATCCCCATCCAGGATCTTGTCAACCAGAAGTGCAAGCAGAACATTGCTTGCTGCCAGAACTCCCCCTCATCCGCCAACTCGGATCTGATCGGCGTGGGCCTCCCCTGCGTTGCCCTCGGCTCCATCATCTAAGTGTTCTCCTTTTGTTTTCTGGCATTATGCGGGAAGCAATGGTCGCCACGCCGGCCTTCTTGGCCTTGGCTAGAACGCGAACTCGGACCGTTATCGATTCTCGGGGTGGATAGCAGGTGTTTGGCAATTGTTTTGAATAGTTAGGCGATGTTGTTCTCGAGCCCGTGTATCATTAACTGTGTCGTGTGGCACCCCTCGGAGAAAGAAGACTGTTTTGGTTTACGTGATGTTTGGCATGGTGCCCTTTTTGCTTCTTGCTGTGTGCTTTGGAACCGTGGTTTAGCTGCTGCCTATCCAGGTGTTCTTCGCATATATATTCTTTAATTCACTAGAGTTCACTTTGATTTAACTGCACGAGCCAATTTAGTCGACAATGTAGGATGAATGTATTGACAACATTTTCTTTGCAGTTGGAAAACCACTATCTACTTATATCAATCATCTCGGCTTCTTGTCTCAGCCCCTCCCTCGAAACTTCAAAGACCCTCCACTCTTCCATCCGTGGAAGCGCTGTTGCGCAAACCTTGTGTCTGTGTTCTGAAGTTCAAAATCCCATCGTATACCTTAGAGGCTTTTACGGAATCACCAGGACCTCGATTTCCATGTTCTTTGAGTGTTCAATTCATTACTCGATTGATTTCATTCTAGCCATAACTCGTTGGTAAACTCAGTCTATTTATACTCCGAAATCGTCCAGTCGTCACGAAATAGCCGTTCATGCATTCATTACCAGGGCCGTCCCAAGCCCCCGCCGGTCCACATCCCGATGTTTTTGCCTCCGCCGAGCCCATGAGCCTCCAGCCACTTTTCCTCCTCCCCATTAATCAGGGACTCTTCATCGGCAAGATCAGAGGCATCGATCCAACTAGGCGAGGAGCGGCCCCGCAAGTTTCTCGATGAACGAGACGCTCGTGGAAGCTTCCTAGACAAGCGCCTCCTCAGCATGCCTGTCTTGGACCGCTTGAGCTTCGACACAGCCTGCTTTTGCTCCGGAGCATGATCCCACTCCACCAGTGTCTTTGGCACGGAAATTTCTTTCCTTATTTTCTCATCCATCCACTCGACAGACTTTCGTCCCGTGTCTTTCTTTTCCGGATCAATTGGAGACTCCAGCTTCTTCGCCGGCGTATCAGTCGGCGACTTGGTCGTGTCCAGCTTATAGACAGGGTACTCGGGAATATCGGGCACCCTTGCTGTAAGGCACGTCCCAGCATCCAGTGCCTTGCCGTTGTCGAAGAGCGTTTGGAGGCTCAACTCGGCGGGACTGAGTTGCTTACGCCTTGGTGACTTGATGGGCGGGGTTGGCTCATGGGCTGAATAGTACATGCCTGTTGAGCCGAACGCGTTGCTTTCCGCTAGTGCAAGGGACGAGCCATTATGGGAGTTGGACTGGATCAGGTCGTTTGTTTCGTCGTCTAGACGCTGTGGCTTGGAGGTGCGGTGCTTGCGGGAGAACGTGTTGTCCCATATGCAGTGAGCGATGGATGAGATGAAGCCCATTGTTGTCAATAGTGGTGAGGGCACCTGAGTAAAGGTATAGGTAGAGTATTGGGAGAAATGAATTGGTGGGCTGAAGAGGGATTGTATAGTTGATAAACCAGTCTGGGGCAGATCGGGGCAAGGGGGTTCCAGAGCTGGAATTACTGCACCATGCGGGTCTAGACACCGCTGTACGAACTATACCGCTACTATATAGATCATGAGGGTTTAATGCTGAGCTAGTGACTTTTTGTGAAACATCCGATGGATCTAGTTTGGAGATCCAAAGTTTCGGGCTCATTTGTTTAATTATGATGAGACTACCTATCTACAGGCATGAAGACCTCAAAAATCTTGAATACTAACACCTATTATTGCAGGCCTTTCGACGGAGTTTCTACAGTGAGAGAATCACCCCCATAATTGTGGTACGAAACGATGACTAGACAGCCATGCGCCTGACGTCCTGCACTGCAACCACAGAAGCAAGAAGCACCCGAGCTCTTAGCTCGTGGTCTTACATGCGGTTTCTACTGCACGTCTGCGAGGTAGATCAAAACAAACCCAATCGCAAGAGCCGTGTTGAGGTAGCGGCTGCATTCCCCAGGCGATCTCCAAGGGCGTATGCAAGGACGTCTCCACACCCCTTGAACCTCGCGAGCGACTCGTGACGACGTAATTGATCTCGCCAGCCTCCAGCTTTCAAACATAGAGGCATGCACGGGTCACAGAATATTCTCAATTCGCATTGTGGATTAGGAATGTCTTGGGTGAGCCGCCGAAATCTGCAGCGCAGGAAGCCCAAACCCTAAGAATGTAGCCGCGTTGGAAAAATGCCGCGTATTGACCCGACCACTCCGAGCCCCTTGGAGAGAAGCGGTGTCGCTACCGAAAAACATGTTTCGCTACGGATGAATATCGGAGGCTTCAAAGGGAAAGCTATATTGCTCAAAGTCAAAGTGACGTACAGATAACGGTTCGTAAGTCGAACAGAGGTCGCGTGAGGCAGCCAGTTCCTCTTCTACACGCTCTAATGCGTTGGAAAATAAGAAAATAACACAAGAAAAAGTCCAAAATCATGCCACATCACAGCTTGCTGGTGGGCGCGTCACTGTACAGGGACTTGGTCCGGTTCATGGCCTCCACAGCCTCCTTCTCGATCCGTTTCAGGAGAACATCGCAGGTGGGGATGTCGTGGATCAATCCAATGACTTGGCCAGCAGTCCAAACCTATAGATGCCGTTAGATAATATAGAGGAACGAGTGTAACAGAGAAAACTTACGCCAAAGTCAGGGTCACCGTTCAAGAAGACCTGGCGACCGCGCTGGCCACTAACGTACGGGCCGACCTCACTGAATTCACCAGTCTTGCTCTCGCGCTCGATCTTCAACGCATCCTGAGTGACCTTGTTGGCAAACAGGCGGGTGGTGTTCTTCCACCGACGCAGAACGAGGGCGGTGTCGGTCTCCTGTGCATTAACAATAGCCTCCTTAATCTTCTGGTGAATGGGAGCCTCGACGGTGGACATGAAACGGGTGCCCATGTTAATACCCTCGGCGCCGAGAGCCAGGGCAGCGGCAAGACCTTGGCCATCAGCAAAACCGCCCGAGGCAATGAAGGGAACCTTCAGTTCCTGGCGCGCACGGCTGAGCAGAATGAAGTTGGTGATGTCGTGCTCGCCGACGTGGCCGGCACACTCGAAGCCGTCAATGGACAAGAAGTCAACGCCCAGCTTCACGGCAGACTTGGCGTGGCGGACAGTCGTGCACTTGTGCAGAATGATGATGCCGGCCGCCTTCAGCTGCTTGATGACGGGGCCCGGGTTGTTTCCGGCAGTCTCGACGATCTTGATTCCCTCATCGATAATCACCTGGGCGTAGGCAGGGTAGTCCGGGGGCACGAGGGCCGGGAGGAGAGTCAGGTTGACACCGAAGGGATACTTGGTCATTTCGCGGCATCGTCGAATCTCCTTGCGCAGATCTTCGGGTGTAGGTTGAGTGAGGGCAGTGAGCTTGGGTCTCGTGTTAGTTTGGTTTTGAATAGTTTTCAATAGTTGAGGGGCAGGCGTACCAGTCCCAATCCACCTGCGTTGCTTACGGCCGAGGCCAACTCGGCGTATCCCACCCATTGCATGCCACCCTGCACGATAGGCACTGTTGACGTGAGTAACTATTCAGAGAGACAGATAGGAAACCGTGTGCGTACCTCGGATGCCCAACTTGCGGGTCAAGGCTGTGTTAAACGGCATCGTGAAGGTGTAACTGGGTAGCGGAAGTTTTGGTGAACGTGAACGTGAACAGCTTCAAAGCAGCGACCGTGGTATTTCAAGAACTCAATATAAAAAGAGAAAGAGATTCGGATGTAAAGATCGTATTAACAGGAAACAAAAGCCCGGGGATATGGACTGGGGCAGTTAAAAAGCAGCGAGTGACCCCGGTTCACCCGCGGACTTCTGCTGTGGGGAGCGAGTTGCCGAGGTTCGACGGGCTGTGCCTAATAGTTGATTAGATGTTTAGGCCGAGGAATAATGCAACCTGGACAAACTCAAAACTTGTCGAATTGGAACACTCTTCATTAGAGTGGCATATTTTATACAATGTATCCACGGTTGCCTTGACGAAGCCGTCCACCTGGGCACTTGTATAACCGGGCGATATGACCACAGCATGTGAAGGACCCTCGGGATGGCACCAGTTCGGCATCCCGGTTTTACTCGGACCCTTCCTTATACATTTTGGAAGAGAGCTTCCGTAGATCAACGGGTTCTATCGATGACCATGATCGATAGGACACAACCCGGTACAACCTTGACCTCAGACTGCAGCTATAGGAGACTGCTCTCCAGAGTTCCGGTAGGTTGGATCTGCGCCTACTCCTTGCACATGTGATAACTACGATGATTTTGTAGGCAAGGACGGAAATAATTAAAACGCTGTCAGCAAATTCCTGTCAAGTCCTTTTACTAGTCGACGATATGTAGCCCTGATATGAAACCCATTCGGCTCACGGGAAGAGGCAAATGGGCGATTAACGACGGGATCTCCTTCTGCGAGTTTCGAAGGTCCCTTGACAGTCGCGACAGAATGCCGAAACCAAAGGGTGCTAAGCACGCCGACTTCATCCCGGCCCGGGGGGCTAGTACATCGACGTGAGCAGAGACTCGTGAAGAAGGGAAAAAGAGAGCGGGAGCGTCAGGAGAAAGACTGTGGACACAAGCGAGCGGCACGTGACACAGAAGAACGAAAGTCCGGCACGTAATCAGTGCCGAATTATCGAGGCCGCCATTGGCTGCCGAGCATCCCGTGACGGGTCCAAACCCGAGGTAGTCCCTTCCGATTGTTCGCGATTGAATCCTCACTCTTCAACGCTTGGTGAGAACACGTCTACGCCGCCTCATCATGTTCTCTCAGAAGGTTGCCCAACAATCGCTGCGACGGCGTATGTTTGAACACCCTTGATACTGCCTGAAGTGGCTTTCGCGCTGACAATCCCGTTCCGAATCACAGTTGCCGTCCAGCAGCCGCTCGCCATGCAGTGGTCTATGATGCGTGCCACCCCGGCCGCCGTCGCTCTCGGAAAGGGAATCCAGTCGAGGTCAGTTCCCATCCACTCGATTCCTGCGAATTTTGACTTTGGCAAAGCCCACGAAGACCGACGTCATCCGCAATCGACCGAAACTAACTCCCCCCATATCTAGACCCGTCTCTTCGTCTCCCAACACTGAGGACCCGACCCAGATCCTGGCCAAGCAGCGCCTGAACCGTCCCATCGCTCCCCACCTGACTATTTACCGTCCCCAGATCGGCTGGATTGGCAGTTCCCTGCACCGTATCACCGGTGTCGCCCTCTCCGGCACTCTCTACCTGTGGGCCACCGCATACCTCGCCTCGCCCGCCATCGGCTGGCACCTGGAGTCCGCCTCCATGGTTGCTGCCATGGGCGCTCTCCCCCTCGCCGCCAAGGTCGCCCTCAAGGCTACCCTTGCCCTCCCCTTCACCTACCACTGCATGAACGGTGTCCGCCACCTGATCTGGGATACCGGCCGCGCTCTCACCAACCCCGCCATTATCAAGTCGGGCTGGACCGTCATCGGATTGAGCGTCACCAGCGCGATCGCTCTTGCTTTCCTCTGATTTCACCTCATACCTCTTGAATTTTCCTTGTGTTATTAAAGTGATTTTGTCGATCAATTATACATGAAATCCCGGTCCCGTGGCGCGAGCTCAAAAGGCGCAGATTTCTTTGTTACCCAATTTCTCAAATTATTTTTGGCTTCGGAGACCGAGGCATGACCTCGGTCCCAATGGTTCTTAAATCTACATCCTAGGGGATCCTCTGTTCTGATTTAGGCCGTTGAAGTTTGTCATGAACCAAATGCACAATTTTAAAAATCTTAGTACACATTACTCCATGTATCGCCGTGGCCTTTCAATCCAAGTCTCCCGATGGAGAGAGAATCTCGATAAGATCGACCACTTTGTCATTCCCCCCCCCAAACCTTCGGAGTCTCCACGGTGGTATCAAATTATCAGGTACTACCCATCTCGAATCTCTTCATGCCAGGAATCGAATGCTTTGCGGTCTGCATTGCACCGTGACTTAGCGTGATACTTCACCAATAACGCGTACGACTCACCTATATAGCCTGTTTTCCTCAACGCCAAAGATGAAACCCAATCAAGTTGATTTAGGCAGGGCTCGGAGGCGGGTTGGGAGGGAATGGTCGTGGCGAGGGAGGATCCTGCACTGAGTGGTCACTTGGTGGCAGTCCGCCGACAGATGTATAGGTTTGAGTCAATGATGACAGTGTGGCATTGGGGATGATGTAGCAGGCCATTATCGTTGTTTGGAAAGGTCCAAGCGAGTGCAAAAATACCTTTGGCTGGGCAGAGGAGAAAAACGTATGAACAATATGCCTCGAGGGAAGGTAAAGTTGACAAGGCAAAAACTAAATAATGATGAAGATGGAACAGATCCAGGCCGATCTCCATTTAATAGTGAGAACCCAGAGCAATCAGGGCCTTCGGAGGCGCCATCCCTCAGCAAGTCGTACACCGCCATCCCGTCGGACATCCCAATCAATCAAGCCGTTTGGAAGACGACAACCGTCCTGGCGTGGAGTTTGCTAAGATCTGGAAACCTTCAGTCTGCAAGGGCCCGACGGAAGACTTGATGTATAAACGGTTGGACGGTACCGTAACACCCGCTTTGTCTCAAGCTCCTCTGTGTCTTTCGTATGCTTCCCCAAAGCTCTCAGCCAATAAGCCAGTGATACCTTCCTGCGGTCGAAGCGGACCGAAGATCTTTTCCCCAGGCCCTTCCGAAAGCCTGCAGATTCCTGTGGAATGGCATCAGCGGTCTGAGCCGTTATTTTCCGGCTTCTTGCAGCGATCATCTGGGTCTGAAAAGATCGACTCTACTTGGCTCCACCTGACTGTTTTCTTGAGTATCGTCTGTGACAGCGATTAACCGTGAGTAATCACGGTCTGGGTCTGAGTTCTGACAGGTTCTAAAGTTGTGATAGCCGTGGGGCCTCAGGAGTTGATAGGTATACTTCATCCCTTCACGGGCTGAATCAAGGCAGCTTTATATATTTTTTTGGCACCCTTGGAAGTTTTTGAACCACCCGCGTTCCAAGTTTTTATTTTGAAACTTTGGGTTGTATCTACTGCTCTAGTCGTACGTGGGCAGAGAAAATAGACGGCAAGTATATCTTCAGGATATACAGGAGGCAAACACGGCCGGGGATACGCACTCGTGGATCCTTCTGTGCTTCCGGGCTTAAAGTCTCCTGCCCTATTCAGAGGTGAAAGAGCTTTACACAGCAGCCGTTTTCCGCAGTCATTCTATTGCGGGAGCAGGGGTCCTTCGGGCCAACCACCGGGGCTTGAGATATGCCAATATCCGATGGCGACATCAAGCAGCCTCAGAATCGCCGGTGCGGCGCATGAGGTCATCTAGAACCCTACTTCTTCTAGATGGGTGCTGTTTTCTGGGCAGTGGCTGGAGACCTCGGCCCCCGGGCCATCTAAGTAGTTATCGCACTTGCTTGTATCGTGACTACTCAGTTGATAAGCTGGACGAGGTTACCTAGCAGTGTTCTCGGACCTTTTTGCCAGGAGTAGGGAAACACGAATTATCGCGGAGTATATCCATAGAGGGAAGCTGCTGGATGAGAATGCCGTCGAAGCTCCTGCAGATGGAAATATACTGGATTCCTGAAGACCGAATATATCGCACCGAGGCCACCGTAGGTGCTGTTGTGAAAGCTCCTACGGGTACAACCAACAACCAGCAAGTAGCTCTAGCTCTAGGTCTTCAAACAGCGGTATGGGCAGTTAGCAAGGCCCCCATGTTCATCCTTGACCGCTAAAGGAGATTCTGCAGATGCGAGTCATGATACGAGCTTTTGTACATGCATCGAAACATGACTATCTCGGATTATCACCCGGCCAATAATGGCCTGGTTGTCACAGTCAGTGGCTGTGGCCCCGGACTACTCTGTCAAGCTTCCACACAGCGGTGAAGCTCAGGTTGCATGATATTGTTAGATCATGGAGCAATCAAAAGACGCATAGTACTTTTGCATCCCCGTAAAATTTCATCGTCGGAGTAGGGCAATGAACGGGGTCGGGGAATAGTAAACAATCCGTGGAAGCGGTGAAGATGGCAGAATCATCACGCCGAATTCTTTCTTCGCTCCGCCAATTCACATCTGAAGACAACCCGCCCCCCATGGCTTCGAATTTGTCCACTCGAGCGGTCAGGTCCGCCTGCATCGCATCGAGAGCCGCTACTCGTCCCATTGCGACCCTTGGCCACCGCCGCACCTTCGCCTCGGGCCCAGAATCCTCGACCGGCGAGGCCGCTCCGCCTCGATGGTCATACACTCCGCCGCGCACGAAGGCGCCATTCAGCCTGCGGATGCACTCGAAGCGCCCCGATTTCCACGTCAATGCAGACCCGGCCGTGCTGGACCAGTTCTATACCCGCATGCTGGGCAATGAGGGTGAGAAGATGCTCTCGGAGGAGACGAAGTGGCTGGCTGTTACGCATAAGAGCTTCGATCAAGGACGCCGAGGGTTCAACGATCGATTGGCCTTCCTCGGTATGAGAACAATTTGACACCATATAATTCGGGAGTTGTGCTTACACGATGACCAGGAAAACGGATCGTGCAGTTGCAGGCTTCGCTCGCTCTCGTGCAAAACCCCGCGACCGCGACCTCACCCATGGAGAAGGACGAGCATGGTCGCGTGCCATTTGCTCACCCGGCGCTGGATGGACTGAAGAACCTTTCTTCAAGCACCAAGAGTTTCCTGACGGACCGGGCAAAGCTGGCTGAGCTTGCGCAAAAATACGATATGCAGAAGGTCCTTCGCTGGTCGCCCAGAAAGGTTCGATTGCCTTGCTCCTCGACTTTGATATTGCGCTAATCTCACTTTTTATAGCCCGACAACCTCCACGCTTCCGGCCTCGAGTTGGTTCTGGCGCACACCATGTACGCGGTCGTGGGTGCGGTTTCGTTGGAGAAGGGAGGACACATTGCGAACAAGGTGGCTCAGGAGCGGATACTCGAGCCCTTGGGAATCAAGACGGTCTCGTGAACTTGACCATACAGACCTGCAGCGGTTGGGGACACTCCGCAGCATTTTCCGGCGTTCAGATATTCTTGATTTTCCGTCAGGGTGATGGGAGGGCTGTACCTGGATCTACAGTGATGTACATGTACTTTTACACTTTTATTCTGTGCTCAATTGCAAATACCATTTGAAAGATATATTATTCAATTATAAGAAAAGGTATGGGAATGTACGGCTCCTCTGACACCGCCCGCGTAACAGATGCAAAATACACGGCCAGCTCTTATGGATCCCTCAACAAAATCGTAGTCTCCGCAAACTCTGTATCGCAAGTATAGTAATTGAAACTGACAGCCACCTAGCAGAATGCTAGGTAGTTGCAGAAAGCCTCAAGGACCTTGTACTGCCTTGCACTGTCTAATGAGAGCGTTGAAGAAGAGAAGAAAACTTGCGGGAAGAGAATTTTATTTAAGGAGCCCGCGCTAACCCCTTTTGGCCGGGGGCAACTCCACTGCGGGCATCTCGACTCTCGCGACCTCCGACTCCCCTTCTCAGCTCATTCCACTCTCGACCTTCGCTTTGATCTTCTGTGTCGCGCAAATCTGCATGAAGGCACAGAATGCGGCTTTGTTGTTTAACTGACTCCCATCCCCGATAATCGATTCCCGAAGCACTTCTGTTGACACGTCATGGCGTCGGCACTCTTCTTCCTCGACCTGAAGGGCAAGGTGCGTGTTTCCAAGAAACCGGAGCTACGATGCATTCTTCGAATTGAATGCTGGTCCAATTGTGCAGGGCAGGATAAGTGCTAACGTAGTGACAGACCCTTCTGGCTCGCAACTACCGCGGAGACATTCCCATGTCCGCAGTCGAGAAGTTCCCTATCCTCCTTAGCGACGCCGAAGAAGAAAGCTCCGCCGTTCCTCCCTGCTTCTCTCATGAGGGCATCAACGTACGTTTCCCGGCATGCCGATTGCTTCCCCGGCCCCGTGATCTCGAGTCTCCTTTTTGTGTGGACCCAACCCACTGATTCGATTTGTACAGTACCTTTATATCCGCCACAGCAACCTCTACATCCTCGCATTGACGAAGCGAAACACAAATGCCACCGAGATCCTTCTGTTCCTCCACAAGCTCGTGGAAGTCTTCACCGAATACTTCAAAGTGTTGGAGGAGGAGAGTATTCGGGACAATTTCGTTGTTATCTACGAATTGCTGGATGAGATGATGGATTTTGGATACCCGCAGACAACAGAAAGCAAGATCTTGCAAGAGTAAGCAGAACCACAATCATGATTCGGGCGGCTTGCTGACAACTACTAGGTATATTACCCAAGAATCACACAAGCTCGAGGTGCAAGCACGACCACCTATTGCTGTTACAAACGCCGTCTCGTGGCGAAGCGAGGGAATCCGCTACCGCAAGAACGAGGTTTTCCTGGACGTGGTCGAGTCTCTCAACCTGCTGGTTTCGGCAAACGGAAACGTGCTCCGGTCTGAGATTCTGGGTGCTGTTAAGATGAAGTGTTATCTGAGCGGCATGCCCGAGCTGAGGTTGGGTCTGAACGACAAGGCTATGTTCGAGACCACTGGCCGTGCTACACGAGGCAAGGCTGTCGAGATGGAAGATGTCAAGTTCCACCAGTGTGTGCGACTGTCGCGGTTTGAGAATGACCGAACAATCAGTTTCATTCCTCCGGATGGCGAGTTCGAGCTCATGAGTTACCGATTGAACACGCAAGTGAAGCCGCTGATCTGGGTCGAATGCCTGGTGGAATCGCACTCGGGATCACGGATTGAATACATGCTGAAGGTAAGATCTGCCGCCACGGAGATTTCCATCTCTTGCTAACCAGCCCCCTCTGCTATAGGCCAAAGCACAGTTCAAACGCCGCAGTACCGCCAACAACGTCGAAATTATCGTCCCCGTCCCCGAAGACGCAGACTCTCCCCGGTTCCGCACCAACATCGGCACCGTGCACTACGCCCCCGAGAAATCAGCAATCATCTGGAAGATCAAGCAGTTCGGCGGCGGCAAGGAGTTCCTCATGCGGGCGGAGCTGGGTCTGCCGTCCGTGAAGGGAGATGACGAGACCGGTGGTGGTATGACGGGTGGATTCGGAGGCAGCATGGGCGGCGCTGGCGCCATTGGCAAGGCGAAGCGGCCCATCAACGTCAAGTTCGAGATCCCGTACTTCACCACCAGTGGTATCCAGGTGCGGTACCTGAAGATCACCGAGCCCAAGGTATGTTCCAATTCCCAACCCTTTAGGGTAAGGGCACGACTGACTCCTCGCAGCTGCAATACCCCTCCCTCCCCTGGGTGCGCTACATCACACAATCAGGCGACATCGCCGTCCGCATGCCAGATGTCCAATAACGCGTTTATTTTGTAGCTGGATTTGCATGAGTGATTTGTACAGCCTTGGTCCTTCTTCCATTTGCCTTTTCGCGCTCCCGTTTGAGGCCGGCCGGTCCGATAGATAATTCAATCCCGATATTCAAGGTTCTTTCCTGTCCGGTATCTGCATGGATGAATGAAATATAGATAGACGGATGCTACATTCATGCCTCTCGAGTCATACATGGTATGTTTATTGTGGCTTTCAAGGTTGGATCTAGGTCGTGGATGAACTGTGATGTTTCCTACTCCCAAGGGGGTCAGGCCTATACAGGGCTGAGATCATTTCCTGGGTAGATAACCCCATTGATAAGGCTCGAAGGAGTCTGAAGCCGCCATAGGACAGTTTACAGAGAAACGTTCAATTGAAATAAGAACCAGATGTACAAAATGCCATGGCCAGGGTATCTCGACTCTCAGCACTAGCGCAACAAGACATGCAACATCTCTCATACCGCAACGCTGGGACATATCAGCGCCCGTCAAAACTTTTCAATCCCAAAAATGACTGCTATACATGACAAAACGCTGCAAATCATGACAATCCATTTGTCGCTTCTTCTGACGTTTCCGGCGGCGGAAGCGGGAACCCGTCCGTCCGACCCGAAGCTGCCGCTTTGGAGAAGCCTTCTCGAGCTAACATGGTGTTCAGCACGGCGCAGTTGTATGCCGCCTCACCCGGAGGCAAGACGAGGAAGATGTATGTGTTGTCTGTGAAGCGGCCGAGGAAAATATTGAATTGCGGCGTTTTGGTGTGCATGACGACGAACCCGGCTGAGGCGGGGGTCGTCATGGTATTGCGGGCGGCGCAGTGCTTGAATGCCTTCATGATGTTGGAGAGGCGCTCGTGACGGTCGTAGATGGGATTGAGCTCGCCTATTTCCGAGGTCACGGATGTGACGGTGAGGAAGGTTGATCGCTCGAAGAGAATGACTTCCTCGGCGTCGATCTTCTTTGCGAACGCGCTCAGGAACCGTTCTATCACTGTTAGATTCGGGATGAGCTTGTGCACGATCCCCGCCCATGCTTTGTATAGTGATTGATCCCAGATGCTGCTGCCAAAGGTGTCGACGCGGAAGTCCTCAGACCGGCTGCGGATTAGTGCAGAGCGCTCCTCGTAGATGCGTTGGCGATGCTCGGCTTGGATAAGGTCCATCTTGTGCACGAGACAAAAGACATAGGCATTGGGACTAAATTCGCCCAGTGCTTCGATGATCGCATTGTATGTGTCCAGGTCGCGGTCAACTTCTCGAGATTCAATGTCGAAGACGTAGATAAGCACGGCAACGTCCGAGAAGATGTTGCCGCGCTGCGAGGCGAGGTACGTTTCCATAAAGGCATCTTGTCTGTGCGTAATCACAGAATTAGTTAGAGCTTGGATACTAGTCGCAGAGGAGGCGACTTACCCTCCACAGTCCCACAGGTTGAGAGTCAGGTTGCCCATGAACTTGACATGACTGTGCTCCACATCGATAGTAGCACCGAGGCGGCGCACATCCTTAGCGACGTAGTTGCTAAAGATGATGGAGCGCATAGAGGACTTCCCTGAGCCACTCTTGCCCATCAAGAGCACCTTCCTCTTCTTCTTGCGGGCGTCCATGTTTCTGGTCTACTGGCGGTTGCTGAGCTCGGATGCCCCGCAAGAGCGGGGGCCACTCGGGTGGTGCTGGGGGGAGCGACTCGGTGACTTCACAGAGCTGCTGTGGAGCTCGTGAGGGTTTATATGCAGTGCTTAATAGGAGGAGAGCATTTGCCACAACTGATCTGCGGAATTGGGGACGCGAGAAGAGGAGATGAGTAGCTCCAGCCTCAGATGCGGAGTGACGGATCAACTTTAGCCCGGCCGGTGATCACGTGGCAGGTACGGAAAACGATGACCGAATGCGGCGGTGGGCTTTTCTTGAATTGGAGCTGGCGATAGGTTAGAGGTTTAAAGGTTACATAAGAGAAGGATTGATAGACTAGATATGATGTGAAATGGATTGGAGAAAGCCAGGACAAACCACCAGCGGCATAGCCGAGGGAGCAAGGAGATAACGTCATCGACGAGCTCCCGGTTATGCAATCTATTGGTAATAACAGAATTCATAAATGCAGCCATGTGAATGTGTCAAATAAGAATAAAGCTGCTTAAAATGCTGAAGAAGAAATTGGTAAAAGTGGTATCCGAGAAAGAAACGCAGCGATGCACCATTCAATGGCTGGCACACCATGCAAAAAGCCTCAATCGGGAAGAAAACAAAAACCTTGAACGTCAAAGACAAAGAGGCCATCATCAAATCAAAGGGTCGTCATCGAGATTTCATAAGGACCACACCAAATGGTAGGTCAGGTATCCAATCATCCATTAAACTCGTGTGTATAGGGGGCATTAGAAGACCGTGCCGTCGGAACGGATCATGATGGGTGGCTCCTTGGTGTTGGGCCTGGAGACTTCGGCGATTTCGCGACCTCCCTAAGCCAAGTTAGAACGGATTATTTGCAGGGAAAAGGGGGTTGCAAACCTTCCATGTGCCAGCCTCAAGCATCTGGGCTAGCGTCAATTGCAACTCCGAGCCACTAAGTCCCAGCTGCGTGTTTACCTCATCGAGTAGCTCGTCCAGGAAGCCCACGGTAGCAGCGCGCCATTCCACAATCACGTCGTCATCCGTAGAGAAGAGAGGAACGACCTCCACACTGGGTTGGCCCTTGATCTGTGCATTCTCCTTGTAGGCTCGAATGCCGCGCTCCTGGTCTTTCGCCTTCAGACTCAGGAGTCCCATATCAATCAAAAGGCCGCCGTTGCGGTACTCGGGAAGGCCGGTCAACAAATCGCTGCCGGCGAAGTGAATATGCATCAATTTCGACATCGGCACCATAATCGAGTAACATAGCCACTGCGTCAGTTTATGGAAGGGCATAATACTCTCCCACAGTTGCGCGGGCGGAGATGGCGGGAGATTCGAGCATTCCCATGCATCGCCGATAGGCACGCCGTCGATTTGTGTTCGTGACTCGGGCCAGATTGATGAGAGGCCGTCCATAAGGACCGTCCATACTGTGGTGATAGGGACAATGGGAACGGATGAAGCAAGTGTCGAAGGGTGGCAAAGAAGATAATCTGGAAGAGAAAATCAGCAGGCGCTCGGAATAGGATGCACAATTCAATCTTACCGAGCATGTTGCCAGGCCGGGCGTCTACACCGAAGAAGTCCTGGTGATTCAAAGCGTCTGCGAGTCGCACCAACAGCCCAGTGCGACCTTCAATACCAGCCAATGGATTCTGTTCGGAATGTTGCATCCCCTTGGCCAACTTCTCGACAGTCATCTTTTTCAACCCGGCACCATCCACCTGGCAGGGCTCTGTCGGGTCGCTACTGAAAAGACCCGACTTGAACATCTCCAAGCTGGCGACGGCCAGACCTTCACTTCGCGAGTAGATCTTGCCGGACTCTTTGGACTTGTAGGACCATTTGTTGCCGGCCCCGGCGTCGAGCAGCACCGACACCACGAACAGATCGATTAAGCGACGGGTGCGCTCCTGAGCATCAATACTGCTGGGCCATGACTGGAGGAGCTGGTTAATGCGGGGTCTCCCGCCGACGTCGAAATGCTGCCAGCGGCCATGAGGCGGAATGTTTTCATAGTCCGGCGCATAGTCACGCTATTGTTTTTGAATATAGGGGTTAGAAACCGGTTTTAAGTTTAGGCGGAGGGGGTAATATTTACCTTGATGATGGACACTACATAGGAGGCGGTGGCCTTGAACTTGGTGAGGTCGACGTCGAAGTGGTTGAGCCGGTTGCACTTGGCTCTGCCAAGGACTAGAGATGCGCGTTCGCGCACGGCATGAATGCTTCGGAGATATGCGGCGGGGTCTAATGCTGGGTCCGGCGGTTTCGAAATAGGGAGCTCGGGGATGGATGCCGGGAGGCCACTGCCCTTGTAACCGGGGGACCTTAAGGAGGTATTGGAAGTGCGGGCGCTGTTGACGGAGACGAAGGATTCTTGCTCGTCCTTTTCACTGGCGGAGTTTTTCGAGTTGCGCTTGAAGAGACCCATGGTTGTCGCGATCACAGGCAATGTGGAGAAAGGGTGATAGGGGAAGAGGGCGAGGGCGAAGCGACTCCCATCCGGTATCCAATACCTCTTCTCTTGAAGAAACGAGGAGAAAGAGGGAAAGAAAGGTGTCTAGGGTATGATGATTTTTTTTTTAAAACCCAAGCTCCGGAGTAATAATAGTAGGGCGGGGCGGTCGGTGACCGGGCTCTTCACAATCTCCACGGTTCAGGGTCGGATCTAGGTCGTTTGAGCCCCGAGCCTTCCAGTGGAGATGAATAATCTCGACGATGACGATATAGGTTGGGGAGAGCAAAGACTCCAAGACTCCGAGAGGAACGGGAGGAGTAAGGGGAAAGCTGGGCGTATCGGTGATGTGTGTCGCCTCGATGGAAAAAGGTAGGTTAAACCTTTAGGGCGCGAAGATCTTTCTACGAATGGTTCACCAGCGCATGGTACGTGTATAGATCGCTAGCGCGGGTAATTGTCTGGACTTTTCGACTTGCATCAGGTCAAGTAACGCTATGGCACGGACCTGTGCGGGACGCGGGTAAGTGTTTTGAGTGGTTGCAAAGCTCGCGCATAGGGATTGTCGCTCGAAATCTTGGGTCGCTCCGAGTCCCGTTAATTATTCCGGGTCCTATGTCACCCCCTAAATCTAGATCCCCCTTGGAGCCACGGATCCCGGCAGCGTGACGGTGCGAGATGGCCTCTCCCGCAATGGCTCTGACTCGTGAGATTGCATTTCACATGCATTTTCCTTGCCCTGAAAGGTGCGTCGTCCGACCTTGATCCCATTGTGGCGGGCCTTGTCCCCCGAGTCAGCACTAGCGGAGCAAATGCCGGGGACGGTCAATTCCATCAATTCACCTCGTCGGACACTCGATAGACCCTGCAGTCTCCGGGTTCTCACGAACCGACGAAGCGATGTGCCGTATACGCCCCTCGGCAATGACAACCGCCGGTCTAGATCGTGCAGCACGCTCCAGTGGCTCGTTATAGGATAGTGGACAGTGCGAGACAAAATCGCCGAAAAGACCTCGTTCCCCTGGCGATCAATGATAGAGTGGTGACCGGGAGGGTCTCATCTCCGCCCGTTGGCCCATCGACCCCCTCCCGGGTAGCACAGGCCCGTTATACTGGGTCTATACTGGGGTCTATACTGGGTCGTTTCATCTTCAAACTCTGTCAGTTTCAATTTCCGCCCTCCGATGCATTGCTAGAGAACAATGCCCCTGCTTCTCCGGGATCAGAGGGGAGCTATGGATTGATGCAACGGTGCACTCACTAGAGGAGAGTGCAGGCCCCACCGGGAAGAATAGTTTCACTTCGTATCCCTTTCCAATTACCGCGCGGCTCCTCTACCCGAGGAGTCCGCTACGTGCAAAAAGCCAAAAAGCGGAGAATTAACTTTTCGTTGTTATCCCGTCTGGGGCCCTACTACTAGGGGCACAGGGACGGAACCCGCCGTGGACATAAACATTAGGTACGGAGTACATCCTGTGCTCGGTTCGGCTCTCGCAGGAAATTACTCCAAGCAAAATAACCCTTGCTGTGGCTGCCCTCGGCCGCTCTTAGCTGCTGCTGACCGGTTCGAACAGTCTTCCTGGGTGGCTTGTACCTGCAGCCACCGTCTCATCGGTATACGTATGCCTACTCAATCCTACAGCCCAGCGCTTCTAGTCCGGTCTTAATGGACCGCCAAGCAGAGCAGATTAGCAGTGATATCATATTCCAAGCTACGGACTCCGTGTGTGTGTGGTCCCAGCTCTCGGGCAGGGAGTCGCACGGTTCATTGCCAAATATCGGTAACGGAGAGAGCCGCCCCGGTTGCTCCACTCCATCGTGAAGCCTTCAGGGTTGCTATTTGTGTTCCGGCCTCGTATTATTATTGACCAAGTCCCGACAGATGTCAAAGTTGTCCACATGGGGCCTTCGCATTGGCAGGTCCAGGGTGATATCCAACTCTAAATCTCTGCCGGGTCTCGGAACTTAGGAGAAATGCCCTAAAGAGTTTTCTAGACGAGCTTATGTGCGCTCGGGGCTCCCTTGGATGGGCCGAAACTTTCCTCCTTGAGGTATCCATGGTTGTACTACGTGTTAGTGAGCTTGATGCGCGGGAGGCTATTTGATCGTCAAAGTATATCGTCTGCGAGTACCGGTTTCGGTGCGATATGGCCCGTTATAGCTATTTACGCGAGTTTGATCGGCACCTAGGTCTGCAGGTTATGTATTAAGGTTGCTTCATGCAGGCTCGGATGGCGAGTCTAGTCTTTATAGGAGATAGAATACGGGGTGCGGTCGAGTTTTTGAATGGTCGGCTACACGGCAAGCTCGCACATGGAAGACACGATGGACTGCGTCGGGGCGACCCACCACTATTTGGACGGCATACAAATCCAAGACTGTGACCGTTTACGTTTTATGGAAAAGTTCCGGATTCCTGGGCCATTACGTATCGGCATGCATACACCTTCCGTAAATGTCTAGCTCTTTCACGTACTCCCAAGCTAACCTCGACCACAGACCATATGGTGAGCCTTTTACTTCCCACGTGTATTCTAGCATACATGAACAGCTAGACTAGATGTTCGCTTAACCCGGTTAAGATCCTTGAAAAGAAATTCATTGCGCCCCAAACTGAAGCCAACTCGGCTTCCACTCAGACGCACGACACAGCCGACCATTCTGGCGTTCAGCCCACTCGTCAGATCCAACAGCAGTTTTGCCGTATAATATATCATTAGGGTCATACTTGGCCTTTATCTGGCGCAGCTTGCGGTAGTTGCGTCCATAAAAGACCTTTTGGAAGTTCGGCTGGCGGAAGTCACCTTCGTTCATATAAGCGCCGGAGTGAGGGTCAAGAGCCTCGAGTTTGGGCATGTACACGTCGGTCATCTTCCGCTGTTGAGCCAGCATCTTCTCGGGCGCATTCCACTCCCATGGGGTCGTGATGGTTGTAGAAATAATTGCGTTTCTCCACGTGGGCAGCACGCAGTTGTAAACATCCCCTGTGACCTCACGTGAGACGTTCAAGCCGACACCGATGAACGTGGCGCCCGATTCCACGATCTCACGGTATGCATTTGTCAGGCCTCTATTGTTGTTCTCGACCACCGACCGCGAGATAAGATATCCGCCGTACTGGGCCTCGCTAACGCCGATGGCGCCCTGCTCGCCCTTGAACTCGTCATAATAAGAGTCGTACTGCTTGGAGGACAGATCATACTTGATTCCCAGCTGCTTCAAGCCGTCGGTGAAAGGCTTCAAGAGGGCGACTAGTTTTGCCTCTGGGATGTTTGGTCCGGTGAGAGGCGAGATGGCGAAGCTGGTGTTGGTGTAGAACCAAATGCTCATAGCGCCTGCGTCGACCAATGCTGGAAGATTGGTGTGGAAAATCGAGATTGCTTCGTAATAGGTATCTTTGGAGATATCGGAGGCGGAGAAGGAGAGCTTCAGTCCAGACACTGGAGTTCCGGGGTGAGCTTTGGAAACCATGCTGTAGACCACTCCATAAGTTCCACCACCGCCACCACAAAGAGCCCAGAATAGGTCCGAGTATTCGTTATCGCGTGTTGCGGTAATGAAGTTTCCCTTTCCGTCAAACACTTTCCACTGCAATACCTGGTCCGCTGCGAGTCCGTATCTAGAGGCCAATGCCGAGTGCCCTCCACCTTGGCTATATCCACCGGCAAGGCCGACGGTAGGACATTCGCCACCAACAACTTGGAGACCGACCTTGTCTCCAAGCTCGTAGGCTTCAAATCCTTGAACTCCTGCACCCATCTCGATAGCCTTGCCATCGTAATGATTGTCTTTCCAGTCGCGAATCCTAAGCCTCTTGAGATTATGGGTCCAAATACCCAGGGCACCAGCTCCTGTACTTTTTCCATTATAATCATGTCCTGTGTTTCTTACAACAACTCGAATGTTGTGCTTTGTCGCGAACTTCAACGATTTCGAAATATGGTCCGGCGAGCTAACATTGACTGCGTAGTTCACGTAGTTGCCAAGCGTACAAGGCTTCGAAATCGGATGATAAGGGTCACATGTTCCATTTGCAAAGAAGGGTGCCATCACCGAAGACGACGATACATAGCTATCCAAAATGTTAAGTGAATCTTTTTAAAGTGACAATGGACACTCACTGTTCCTCTGGAAGAGTCCATCCTTTTCGCAACATTGAACAGGTCTCGGCATCGTATTCGGGGGCATGACACGGAGCCCCCAAGGGAATTGTTTTAATCAATTGTCCATCGATGGATTGATTGAATTGTGCCCAAGTGCCCTCGGATGGCCAGCATGCATCGCCTGGAAAGCAGCGGCACGCGGTGTTTGACGAACCTGAACCCGAAGCGGAGATCGCCAGCAGAGAGGCCGCGAGACATGCGCGAACGAGCATGGTAAATGGTGAATGGTGTAAGGTTGTCAGAGCACGAGAAGTTGGAGAGCTGAATAGGATCTGCACTACGGACTGGTCACACGAAATGCTTGGCCAAGCTGGCAATGATTGAATTACATCCCACGCGGAGTAAGCTGCTACCGGAAGACCCAGATTTCTCCAAAGTCATCAAAACAGCCGTGAATGCACCCGCTAGGGGCTTCCCCCGCTGCGGGGTGAGGTGGCCAATGATACAGTCAAACGTGGGCGATCTGCATCCTTATTCTCATAGAAGCCGAGAATCTCGGATTCAAGCCCATTAATTTAGATACTCGGTGTGGTTAGGAATATAGCGTTATAAAGAGTCCGTAGCTCGGTGTAGAGAGAAGTCGAGAAAGCCATCAATGGCCTTTCAGAAAGTGGTAATGAATATGTGAGAACAAATTGACAAATATTTCAAGAGTGGAATGTTTAGAAAGCATTCACTTAGTTAGACAGAAGCCTATTACTTGTCCGATGAGCAAGACTGACAATATTTTACGATACAACGCCACTCGACATTAAATTGGACTTATTCCCACGGAATACGTTTGCTTAAGAGGGGGTCCTGGAACCCTCCTGCGATCTTCATACTACCCAGTTCTTTCCAATTAACTGAACACTGACTCCGCGGCCAAGTTCTATCATCAACCTAACATCTTCGAACATCCACGAACGTCATCTTCCCCCTCATCAATCTGGCGGATCTTCCATTAAACAGACCCAACATCTTCTGTTCTCCATATCCTCTAGCGAAGATCCTCCATCGATCATGCTGCGTCAAACTCCCAAGATGGAGTCAAGGGCCCTTAGACAGGCAGCCCAAAATGGGCAGAACACCGAAGAACCCAAGGTATGCAAGCACCCCATATCATCTTCCACAAACTAACAAATCCACCGTTACTGATACCCCGTAGACACCTCTGCCACCGGGAGTGAATGATGTCCCCGGGAACCCCAACAGGCCAGCCACCTTCCTCAGCGTCGAACACGATGAACAAAAGCTGGCAGCATACCTTGGCTTTCACCATACCTCCCATCTACGGAAGCTGGCTCTCACCTGGCCCGTGACGCAGGCATTCCTAAAATTTGATAGGCTTAACCTTCACACCGACGACGCCAAAGAAGGCACATTCTATGTCCTTCGTGACTTTGAAAATACACGTGGGTTTCTATGGCGTATCTACAGCGTAAACCCCAGCCTGGAATGGCCAATCCGCAAAGAAGACCGGGCACTTGAAGACCGGGCAAGCCGAGCCAAAGACCTATCGAGAGAGGAGTTCCGGCGCCAAGCGACACGGAAACTGCATCGCTATGCGCGCATCGCCCATATTCTACTTCACATGGGGGCGGACTTTGTTACATACGGACGAAATGATGCCATCAACAACTGGACAGAGAATGAGTTTCACAAACTGGCTCTGCAAAATCATCTGGGTGTAGACATACGATACACAAGCACTCTGTCGGGGCCTCCAATAAGACCGGGCATCTTTGAGCTTCGAGCTGATGAGGATCACCTGGAAAAATGCAACAAGTTTTACAATCTCTTGAGATACCTGCAGCTTTCGGCTGAGAAGTGCAAAGAGAGTGATTCTCTGTGGTCGAAGAGATTTCAAACTTCCGATGCGGTCATGGACGGCCAAGCGGTCGAGCTCGAGCATGTTCCAAAGTGGATGCGGCCTGCACCACAGGTACGCCCTATCGTGCTGCCTCCTGTTGTTGCTTGAAGCGGACTCGGAGACGGACGAATGCCAAAATACAGGTAGTCGTAAAGCTGGCGCGTGGGACAACCAATTCGATTTACAACGGCCTTGACTCGAGAAAAGTGCAAGCAGGGAAGGTGGAACTTGAAATCGGTCCAGTGGGTGAGATAGTTATTGTAACGAAATGGATTTGAGATGCACAATTCTCCCCTCGCAGATTAACGAAAGCGCAATACATGAAACTTGAACAAGCCAAGGTACCCCATTCATTCGCAAAATACTCGCAGCAGAGTGACTTGACGGACTGTTGCGATTACAAGATTGACAGCTGGTTCAAGCTAACCCGCCCGTAACCTGTGGAGCCTATTTTGGGGCAGTGATGCGAAGCTCCGAAACCCCCCATGCATAGTTCCTAGGTAGGCAGGACCCACTGTGAATCGTGGTTCGGATTGGGTCAATCAGAGTTGAGCTTGGCAGCTCCTAAGATCTAATGCATGTAAATCTGAACTAAACTGGACTGAAAATTGGAAGGAAAAACACCGAAAGGTCGCTGAAATTCTTAACGCACGGCGAAAGAGTGAAGGATATAAACAAACATGGATATCAAACATAAAGAAACGTGACATGACCATAAGACCGGAAGACCAAAAATTAAAGGATATCAAATCCTCATGTTTTCTCAGTACCCGTCATCTCAACATCCTCCGAGGCAGCCCCGTTGGCAATAGGTTGCTTGATATCCATACCGTACGGTTGAGCGTTCGGCGCAGGGGGCTGTTCCTTCTCCGCATCCGGTGCGGAGATGTTCTCGGGGCGTTTTCTTCCCAGACGTTCACACCAGTGCTCTGCACTAACCAGGGTGTCGTTCACCACGCCGCTGACCTGGCCCAAGATGTCCAGACCTTCATTGGCCAAGACGAGAATCCGGTGGGCTCCGACAGTTGCATCGGATGAAGCTGCAGGAGAGTCCGGGGGAGGCTGCGATGTGCTAGCCATCTGGAATCGGTGGGGGAGAGAGGTCAAGTGTCGTCGAACCAAGTGACGGGCATTTTCTGGCAAAGCACCTCCGGCGTACTTGGACACGACATCGACAACCTGCTTCAAAGTCGACAGCACATCCTCCCTGACAGCTTGGATGCGTTGCGTCAACAGAGACGCATTCTCGGGACTGTTCGAGCGCTCCCCATTCTCGGCGTCGCCCTGCTGTTGTAAGCGGGTCTTGTGGTTCTCCCACTCCGTGACGGCACTCTGGAGAGCCAAGATTGCTTTACCCAGCCGACCGTTAGCCCAACGAAGCCAGGTTAGACAGTAGGTCAAACTGCGCAGCGACTCCTCGCTCATTGCCACGCCGAGTCCAGAAGTCGAAATTACCAGCCGACTTTGCCAGGTGGGCGGGGCCTGCCGCCAGGACCTTTCCTCATAGAGAGGAGACTTCATCTCATCATAAGGTGGGAGCGTCTCCGCCATGGAGAGATCCGAAGATCTTCGAGTCCGTGGCTGATCGGTGATATCGGCACCCTGCTCGAGATCCATCTGGTCGCCCTCTACCTTGCGGCGCTTACTCGAGTGGTCCGAGTCGGCGGTCGATTCCCGTCGCTGAAGCGCCCAGCGCAATCCGCTCTCGACACCAGTCTTCCGTCCAACCGTTCCAACGGTGTTTGCGACGGGCGAGCCAATGTTGCGCTCGATGAACTCGGCGCCGGACTTGAAACGCGCCGAGTATGACTTCGAACTGGTGTATGCGGAAACGGACTTGGAGATGGTCGAGGAGATAAGCGGGTGGGAGGAGGTTAAGAGGGAAAGAAGTGGCTCCGGTTGCGCAGGGTCCGGTGAAGCTGCTGAGATGGTCTGCGATGCTCGTGGCGAGTGTCCGAAATCTGGAGCGATAAACGATCGAAGAATTAGCCGGTGTCCAAGCCTCATCCCCACTAACTCATCCCCAACAAAAGTGCGTGAAGGTTTCAGCCTCGGGACGACTCACCGGAACGAAGGCCTTCGAGGGCCTGTGCCGCCTCGAGGTCGTCCATGGATAATACGCTGGCAGCGCGACGAGAGCGGTCGTCTTGAGGGTCGAAATCCATCACGGGGGCATGGCGAACCGGATCAGCGATATAAGAGTCGGTGGCAAGGCTAGAAACCTTAGGGACTCTGGGGTCGTCCATTGGGGTGAAATGGAAGGGTGATGTGCAATTTACACGTGAAGGTGGAATGTCACTTAGTCACCGGATTGGCTCCATTTCATCATCCTTCACATGTCATCCCAACACTTTCCCCCAGTCTTTTCGATCGGCTCAGTTTTACTCACTTGGGTATGCCGGATGTCGCCCAGCGCACTAGCTCGATTATGCAGTCCCTGACTACTGGGAAGACGAACGCCTCCACATGGGTACTTGGCATTTCCCCGTGGAGAGACCATTATTCAGTAACGACGGGTTCGCGGAACACACTGCCCCGTCACATGCGAGCATGCACACCCGTGCACTGTACTCTCCGCCCGCTTTCGTAGTGTAAGTACTGTGTATAATCGATCCTCCAGGACTGTTCTCAACTATGCGCCACAGTTGATCCGGTCTCCCGTACACAACTGCCGGGCGCCACGACTGGAGGCCCAAACAGTACCCTTTCCGGCCTAGGTCAATGCCACGCTTTTGCCTAAAGTGATTACGGATCTACATGTGACCTCGACTTTTGCGGAGCTGTCGTGATGATTTGTCCGGCCCCTAGCTTTTGGACTTTTCGAGCTAGGGGTGAGGCTGGGCGTTTCAAATGTGTGATTCATATGAATGTCTCGGTGTTGGCTTCTGATACTGCACAAGACAGACCACCGTGCCCAATTTAGAGACTGAAGACATGCCACGGGAGTTGGGATATTTGGGATATTCGAAAAGACTGACTAGGGCACCGTAAGAATCGTGAAAATGTCCCAAATCTAATACAAATCGAGGCCTCATCTCTCATTCAACGGACAAGTCGTCCTCAAAGTCATCATAGAATTCCAAGCCCTGGGAAGATGAGAGCGACTCAATAGCCTCTGCACCTTGATACTCGTCTTCGTACTCGTCCGCATCTTCCTCCACCGACTCGCATTCGTCCGGTATCTCTCTCGCGCTGAGACGCGCCACCATCTTTTGATTCACTCTGTAGGTTGCGAGCACGTCATGGGTAATGCTGCGCGAGGATTGGCAACTTGCTTTGAGCTGGCAGAGAGCTTCGCCGAAAGCGTGGAAGGATAGGGAGCTATTGGGGTGCTGTTTGTAAATGTATGAGCCCAGTAGGCGCTGCCATTCTTCGGGGCGGTTATGCCAGAGGGAGATTAGCCAGTGGGACCCAGACGGTGGTCCGAGGGCGGCGAATTTGTCGATTACTTCGCGTGATTTGGGAGAAAATGTTTCCGTCTCGCTGGGGTTGGCGAAGGATGTTCTCCACTGGCTGTAGAGGTTCTTGACCGTTTGCTCGACGGTTGACAAGGCGAGGCATAACTCTCGGGTATTGTGGTCACGGCCGCTGGCTACTGTGATGGCTTCTTGCCATGGACGGAGAAGGTCTTCGTCCCGGTCATTGAGGCCTTCATTTTCTGGAAAGGTGTCGTTGAGCTGTTTCAGGATAGCTTGGCGTTGGGATTCGGCGATCACGAACTTCAAGTAGTCTACTATGTTGTCCTCTTTCGGTTTGCGGTCTGGAAGTCGGTATGCAGGTGGGCGACGCTTCATCGGGCTGATCTTCTTGCGGTACTGTTGCCATGCCAGCTCGGATAGATGGACACCACCCTTTCGTCCGTCGACAAGATAGCTGAGAAGACAGGCCAGCTCTTTCGCTTGGGGGCATTCGATTGACTCGTCATATGCAATCTTCTCGTGCTCGACTGTGCACTTTCCGAGGCTGGACATGGTGAGGTTGAACTCGAACACACTTTGTAAGAAGTCTTCTGTCGATGAGAGCTGGGCCATAGGCACCGAATGTTCCGTGAGGCCAAAGTGCTGAGGCGGGTATTCCTTGTCTGGGAGATCGGAGTTGTGGAATTTTTCGACAATTTCCCTGTCCCAACAAATCCACGGGGTATCACCGTCGTAATCACCTCCAGACAACATATGCGCAAGCGGAATACTGCCCGTTGTCGGGAAAACAATGACATCTTTGAAGTGGCGGAGCTCGTTCTTCCACACGGTTCTGCGACGTTGAATATCTGACGGAACATGAGCAGGCAATCGACCAACCAAGACATCCCTTCCGGTGACCATGTTATCAAGGAACTCATTGTTAGGATCTCGCCAATTATTCGAAAGACCAAAGTGAACCTCGTCCGGTTGAAGAACACCGTAGGGATCTGCGATGCAGTAAGCATACGTTGACAGAGGCACCCGGATGTGCAGTTCTTCTACATGTCGCTCGAGAAGGTACTCAAGATATCTCCGCAGGCGCCTTCGGAGTGGCCAGAATTGTTGGGGCTTGAAGCCAGCCTCTGACAGTCGGATGATATATTCTGCATCGCTTATCATCCACTGCTCCATGCGTTGCGCCTTATTCGGTCCATCCTCTCCAGACGGGCGGAGTTTCTGAAGGAGGCTTCGACACAGAACAGCATCATTCATTTGTAAAACATGTGCAAAGTCATGATACAATGCCCACATCCTGTCGTGAGTGAGCTTGGCAATATACTCTTTGACATGTCCACCGTATTCAAGAATGCCCAGTAGTTGAATGTTTAGATCAACCGGGTGCAAAGGCTTGGACCAATTGACAACCTCAGATGTGAGCTTCTCCTCATCAACCGGATCTTTCCAATCGACCGGATGCGGCTTGATTTTCAACTGTGAATCAGAGATCTCGATCCAGATACCATCCCCGCCATTCTCGCTGAAGACGCGGTGTTTCGATCTTTCACTGTCGACCATCCAAAGACCTTTGGCGCCTGCAATCCGGCCTTGGAAGGCACTTGGGATGTCGCTCTGGATACCAAGTTGCTCACAGATCTGCTTTGCCAGGTTCCGGGACATGAGCGCGCATCCATCGTTCATGACGGGCTTTCGAATGTCTGGCAGGCTGATGACTCGAGTACGGGGAATGACCACTGATGTAAATGTTTTTGGACAACCCGAGGGAAATGCGCTGGAACAGCTTGCAATCACTCTGATTGCGATTGGCAGCGGAGGGCATGTGCCATTCGAGCAGATCCTCCACGCTCATGGGTGTGTGCTTGTCGCTGGCTTGGTGCGGTGGTGCAATTGACGACCGAATAGATCTATGGAGGAAATCTATACCGTCGACGGCGAAGAATTCGACTCGAAAGCGGGGGTCGGCCTTTACTTTCTTCTTCGACTTGACTTCTTCCACGAAGAATGCCCGCCAAACGCGACCTAGACAATAATGATCATTCCGCGTCAACCAAGCGGCGATACTCTCTCGAAGAACGGGCGTTTGGTCATCGAACCTGAGATGATCGGGAGGACGAGCTGCCGCGGGCATGGTCAATGTTAAGAACCGATCGGATCCAAATCGTCGGTGGAAGCGACAGGTACGCTCCAGTCTGAAGGGGTTCAATTTCAACTTGAAAATCCCAGGTTCATTCTTTGCGCACCAATCTAGGTCTCCTGTCATGACCACGACTTCCGAGTGTCGGCCCGTCTTGAAGTCACCAACAGCGGCATCCCAAGCTCGGTGCGGGGACTTTTCTGGGACAAGACGGTCTCCTCGTTGACTATGGCCTTGTACCCATGCCCAGAATCCGTCATGGTCGGAATAGATCTCTGAACTCTTCAGTCTTTGATCGAGTGGAACATTCCAGGCACGTCCAATGCGTTCCAATTCGTAGCGGCATCGCAATGGAATCTTCTCTGAAAACGATTGATCAATGGAGAAAGGCCCATCTCGCAGTAGCTGGGCGATAAGGTTGTCTTGTAGAGAGTCTGCCGTTCCACCTGAGGCAGGTATGTCAACATTCATACTCATCTCCTGTTCGATGAACATGCCGACAACAGAGTCCACATACGTTGACTGGGTTTCAATCGGCTCGGTTATGTCGGTTGCGAAAGACTCCCCCTGCCGAGTGCTGCGTGATGCAAACGAGGTCGAGCTTGTGACGGTCGAGAAGCTTGTATCCATTGCATCCGAGGCGGGAGGCGGCGCATCACGAAGTTCCATAGATTCATTGCGTGGAGCGGACTGACCGGCTGTGAGTTTCTCCATGAAAGTAGGCGCTCTCTTCGCCTGCGCCCGGTCAGTCTGTCGGCGGAAACCTGGCTCGCCATATTCAGAGATATCCAGCTGCATTAGGTCAGGCGTAAGGGGTTGGCCCCGTTTGACGGGCGAGTTGGGCGCAGTGTAATACTCTTCATCGTCTTCATTAGAAATCCGACGCTTCTTCGGTGAGAAATCTGGAGTCTTTTCTGTCGAATACTTAGGGGCATGCTTATTCGAGAACGAAGGGTTATTGTTGAGCAAATACAGTTGATCCTCGATCAAGTGTCGTAGATATTGCACTCGCTCATCTCTGACCTTGTCGTTAAATACTTGCGGTTCAAAGCTCCACCGTTCAAAGCTCCACCGTCGCCCGGTGCGCGTTTCTTGAGTCCCCGCAATCCATTCGTCGAAATTGGCGAGGATGTCTTCGATGACGGGTCGATGTCCATAATAAAGAATTCGGAGGCCTTTGAAAACGGCCCGTAGCGGCGATGTTTCCTTTCCAAGTGCGACAAGTGACCAATCCTGCGGGATAGGAATTTGGAGTCCGTATCTCTGGTTCAAGTTGTTGAGGAAGTTTCGAAAGCCGTCGCGACGGTGCTGCGGGGTAATTGGGGGAAGAGGCGGAGACATTTTGTCAAGATGTAGGTTTGGTCTCTTTCAAGGCTGGTTTTATCAGTCTCAGCCAGTCGAAGAAATCGCGAGGTGTAAACAAACCACCAAATCGAGATGAGGCCATGGGCGAGCTCGTGTGTGGGGATATTGAGGGAGATGAAAAGGGGCAGATGCAGTACCTGACAAGGCAAACAGAACAGCTGCATACCCTCGACTTCTACGATAGGCAGTGTACTTGCCGCGCAAAAGAAATGATACTTTTCGTCCGGGTTTGAACGGTCTATCTTAGCGCCCCGCCAAACCCACCCATCACACCGCATCAAAGAAGTACCCTGTAGGGCGGCTTACGCTTGACATTTTAGAGGTTGAAAACCAATTTCTTCATGACATCTGAGTAAAGTACCACTGAAAACAGACCGTCTATTCCGGGCGAATCTCTTCCAACTCATTCGGAGGTTCTTGTTTGTCCGTCCACAGATCCACTTCACTTGGAATAACATGCTTACTCTTCCTGGCGACCTTGTGGCCGATATACAAGGAAAGATAAATGGGGATGCCGATATACGACGCCACGAAGGACCGATAGTCGAATTTGATCTCACCAGACTCGAAAGAAAAGGCCCCGAAGATCATGGTTGTGGAAATGAAAAGACACAGGGCCAAGGCCAGCCAGGTTCCCGCAGGGCCAAACTGAGCTTTGAAGGAGAGGTCTTTGTCGTCGATTCCTTGGGCTCTTCGTGCTCGCACAAAGGATAAATGGGTGAGGAGTATAGATATCCAGGTCAGGAGACCCAGCATCGTGACGGTGTCCATGAAGTATCCGAACATGAGGGCGGTATCTTGAGGCACATTGAGGTAGGCGAGGGTTGCTACAGAGGCACATACTGCCAGCGCATAGACAGGAACGCCTCTTCGATTAACGCGCGACAAAAACGCAGGCGCTCTGTGTTTGATGGCCAAATCACACATTGCCTTGGTAGCGAGCCAGAGATCGTAGTTGGCGATGGACAGAACGAATAGCAGTATAAAGGCGTTCAGGATATCGGGGACGACGGGAATTCCAGCCAGGTATAGCGCCGCCACAAATGGCGAGGCTGCCGCACCTTTTTGTGCTTTGCGATAGAAAGCGAGAGCGATCGAGTCATGAGGCACAAGCATTCCGAGCAGGATAATTGCAAGTAGGTGAAAGACCAGACTCCGGTAGAAGGTGTGCTTGATGGAACGAGAGATCGCTTTCCGCACGTTCGGGGACTGGACCATGATGCCAGCCCGCTCGCTCCCGATATACACGAAAGCGGCCGAAGACATCGTCCCACAAGTCAAGACAAGATTCTCGACCAGGCTGTGATCATATCGACTCCCAAATGAGCCGGAGCCCTTCCAGTATCGAAACCCACGCATGTCACGGTCTGGACCTCCACCAAGAGCAATGACAAGGGACAGAATCATAAGTGCGAACATGACCAACAGCTTGAATGATGATACATAAAACTCCACTTGGCTGGCGAGTCCATGATGGAGGTAGTTCAGCGCAGTAATGGTCAAAAGGAAGACGGTAATCCAGACACCTGGATTGACTCGCTCGGGGTCTAGCCAGTACGATATCAACAAGGCCGCGGCGGTCAATTGATTCGGTGTGACAATAGCATATTTCAGCCAGTATCTGAAAACGTTCAGTGGATGTCCGGTAGCATGGCCAGGCACTTACATCCAACCCAAGCTGAACCCTAGTGCCGGATCACAGAACCGGACTGCCTGATCTGCGACGGTATATGGCCTGGGTAGCCAAGCGGCGACCTCGCCCAGGGCCGATAGAACCAGATAAACGGAGAATCCGACGACAGTATAGGAGATCGTGATGGCGGCGGGCTATAGAGTCAGTCACACACAGCAGGCATCGTACAAATGGTACTCACGCCGCTTCTATACCACATCAGTGGACTGGAGATCATCGGATACAAAAAGAAATCGGCTTACATGGACAACGCCCTTCCCGTCCCGATCATCAAGCCGGTTCCGATGGCGGATCCCACCGCTGTCAACTTTGTTAGCGCTAGTACAAGCCACAAAAGCCACACGAACTGATAACGGCGAACTGCCGGGGTGTCAATGCATTGTAAATATCATCGAATCCCGTCGCGACGTCGCCTGGGGTCGTTGAGGGAGCCGAGGGAGTTTCTGCGAGAGGTGGTGGCCCGGTATCTGTCTGGTGCTGTGGGTCATCGGAAAATCGCACTCGTCGGCGAGGATATGACATGTTTCTGGATCTAGCAAGTCGTTGGTGGAGAGAAAACTAGACGGACCATTTTGAGTGTCCGCTGATACAAAGGGAAGGCGCGGTGCAGAAAGGAACCCAAGGCAGTTGGGATATTCATGGATATTTCTATATGCAAAAACGCGGATGACCTCCGTAGAGAAACCCTTAATAAACGTAGTATGAAACAACCAACAACCAAAAAAAAACGAAATCCTGATCATCGCCCCAAAGGGCCCTCAATCCAGGAAGGCCAGCGGGTAAGCGTCTATGGATTCCCCGTCGAAGCCGTGATCGCAACGCCCAAAGTAAGCTAGTAAGACGCCCAAAATGAATCAGCGGGCCCCCATTTCTATGGGGGAGAGAGGAGGGATGTCGTAAAATCTTCAATAGCCAAATTTGAAAGGAGTCGGGTCAACCGAGGTAGGAAATGCGTGAAACCGTCCGAATCTTTTTATCGCGACATGAGGGAGTCGCTTGACTCCGTGCGCGGGAAAATGCGCGTGTACAGCGAGTCGCTAGACTCGGTGCGGGGGAAGTGCCGTTGGTGCTTGCGCGAGATCACCCGGTCTTGATACACACCCGTGGCGGTGCCCCGGATCACGGACTCGAGGTACTCCCTGAAGTCGGTCGGCTTGAAATCGGGGTAGAGTTCGGTGGTGAGATGGTAACCCAGGTACTTGGCGTACGCCGGGTTGTTGTCGCCGCGAATGCCCCAGGAGTATTGGTACTCGGCGAGGTATCGGGGGATGAACTTGATCGGGTCGAAGGGGTAGGTTTCACTGGCCTGGCGGGCTGCGAGGACTCGGCTGTTGATGGTCTCCTCGGGGACCTGCAATCCGTTAGTAAAAACCGTCGTATAGGGATGCTGTTGAATACATACGTAGTTGCGATCGACCTTCTCCTCGCTGATTTCCTCCATGAGGTTGTAGATCTCGTTTTGTGTCGACACCAAGTTGTATGCGAGGATCTTCTTGTTCAGCGTGCGCTCGTCGCTGATGATCATAGCCATGTAGCGACCGATGTCGCGCAGGTCAGTGAGCGCGGTGGGCATGTTTCCATCGCCGATGATCTCATCGTTGCCAGATGTCATGGCGTAGTCAACACGGCCGGACAAAAGGCGCGGGTAGGACAGCTGGTACCACCAGCCGACGTCGACGATGGTGTAGGGGAGCCACATCTGGCGAATTTGGTTGTAGACAATCTCTTTCTGTTCCCAGTCAGCCTCCGATACTATCGCACCAGCAGAGTATCTATCTCATACCTCATCGCGCAGCCACATAACACCTCCGGGAGGTGCCACAGTGATGAAACCACACGGGATGAACCGCTTGACGCCTACTTTCTTGGCCGCCTTGGCCAGAGGGATCTGGTCCTGCTGCTCGGCGGGGCCAACACAGCTGATAACGACTTCAATGTCGGCGAGAGCTTCAATCAGGTGCTCCTCAGGCGCCTTCAGGTCGCATTTGCGGATCTTAACCCCGCGCTCCTCCAGCTTCCTGATGGCGGGTTTGTGGACCGAGATAGGGCGAACAAGGGCGATCACCTCCTGCGGAAAACGAGACCCCGGTTAGCACGGTCACGACAGTCGTAATGCAGGCAACGTACAAATCGGCCATCCTCCAGCAGTCCATTCGCAATAGAACCTCCGGTTTCACCCGCAGCTCCGACCAGAAGAACGCTGGTCTTCGACATGATGGGCGTTATCAGCGTTCAGGGAGTTCAGAGTTTATCGGGAGAGTGAAGTGGGGGGAGGGGAAATAATTGAGATGCAGGGTGGTGTAGGTCGTGGAAGTGGAAGGGGAAAGGTGGGAAAGAAGGAACAGGGATCGGGCGCGACGTTATAAATTCCCAATGTTCCCACCCAAGGATGCTTGCTACCCACTTTGTCTCCCATTCGGAGTGGACGGTGGGTCGAAGTGGATGTTCAGTTCCCCTCGTTTGGGGTGGACGTCATGATATTTCGGTTTGATCATCAAGCGATGTCTTTAAATATATGCTAGTCTATATCTGAGATACGATGGTCTTCTGTACATCGTTGCCGGTCCTCCAGACGACAGGGGCAGCTTTGAAACCAGTGTTACGGGCCGGTCAACGGAGAAACGTGAAGGCCCTTGGCTCGGGAATCGCCCTTACGTCATGCCCGGCTTCCCGTTCATCATGACCTCGATGTTTGCAGACGCCAGGTGATGGGTCGTCGGTAGATACTGTATGCAATGCTCTATCTGTTATGCTAATTGCTGCTGCCCGCGCCGTGTGACATCTGGGACAATAGTTTTTGTCCGAGACACGACCAGTCTCATCAGAGCATGCCCGCTCTGCCGTGCAGAATCTTCACCGGGGCATTGGTACTGTCCCCCCACGTCAGCGATCTTCCGATCTGCGAAAGGCCTTGGACAAAGAGCCAAGTCCCATTCATCATCCAGTAGTGGCGGTGGAAGAAGTGACGAAATGAGACCCTCGGGAGGGCTGTGGTTAGTTACAAGTGCCGTGCCCCTGATTGGGCTCTGCCAGCCTCAAAAAGCGGAGAAAGACACGGTCCCAAACTTGTTCCGTCACCAATCATTGGCATCCGGACGTCTGAGGTCCTGAGGTCCTGAGATCCTGTAGGCCACGGCCCCCGGTTTGGGCAAATCGGAGTGCCATTATTAACCGACACGGTCAAAGCCTGTGCCACATCCGCCCTCCGCGCGGGAGATCGGTGCCTGGCGCGACAATCCCTTCAATGCCCTTCAAAGGCGGCCGCTGTTGTCTGCGCCCTTCCAAACGGAAATTATGTTTCTCCGTACAGCACATGCACCCCGACTTTCTATCCCGGATTTTCTCGGTCAAATTTCCCCCAGCATTGAGGGGTGAAGTGGGGTACGGTAAGTTGACGGCGAAACTTGAGAATCCGTCTCGATCCAGTAGGCCGGTGCGATGATCTCGGGATCCCATGGTCGCGCCCTAGGGAAGGTGTCTTGTGAACGTGAAGGTCACGCTTGATTCTTGCCTTCCCCCGCATCCTGATGATCGGTGAGCTGCTGCAACCCTATGGAATATGGAACATGCGGTCCCCGCGGCAAAATTACGCTTGAATTCAAGCTGAGCACGTCGATGCTTGGTGGCTGCTGCCCTGATCTCTGGTAATCAAGGGCAGCAAGCCGCTGTCGCCATGCTCAATCAGAGTTGCAAGAGCCCACAAACCTCGAAATGTGTGGATTATCTTATTCTATCAAGCTACCGAATGCACAAGAACGCGGGGCTTTTGCAATGATTGACTAGTTAGTTAACTAAGTTATTGACTATCCGGCTGATTCAGCCATGAACGTAGGTAGACCAATGAATACACGGTGGTACCGCGGCTTCCATTCTTCCTGCTAATGCGGATGATCCACTGGATCCGTCCCATCCTCCCGGCGGTGCGCTTTTGCCAATTATACGTTACCCATTCCAAGGTTCCGATAAGTTGCAAGTTTTGGGCATTCCGCGCTTCTCAATGCACCAAATCAGTGACAAAATGGAAAGAGGTATGCCCCTGAAGCACTCCTGTGCTGATATAGATTTGGTTACAGGAACGATGGCTTGTTAAATTTGCTGTCTTGACTGAAAAAGACTTGTGGAAAGACTGATCTAAGTATCGCCAAAGCTGTTATACTTGTATTCCCCTCCGAGTGGTAGCTCAATACAACCGCATCTTACAATGTAGTATGGGTACTGAGTCGAGTCTCACGGCACTCGATGTGTAGTGTTGTTCCACGAAGATTCAAGCATTTGGGGTCAACCAAGTTGATCAAGTTCCTGCCGATCGCATAAACATGAGGCTATCAGCGAATTATGACGGAGACAGGAAGCGGGTTTTAGATGAGATGGATCCTCTGTGGCTCAGGCGTATGTCTATTGCTAACGGAGGCAAACTTTCGATGTCATAAGGCATACTTCATAGAGGCTTTGGGATAGGCTACTGCCCTCTCGAACCGTCGTTTTCTACTCCATATCCAATGTAGCGGTCGATATCCTCAGAATCTACAAGGGGGTGTCTCGGACTGTACTTTGACTCGGCATGCTGCAAGATTCCGCAAGAAACCTCGTATTCACACATCTCAAGCGCCCAGAGTGTATTTAAGCGGCTAGCAGGGGTAGCTCTGGACGCCCACCAGTTCCCAGCCCACCATGAAATTCCAGGGTGCATCGCGCGTAACAGAACCCCGCATGCTAAGCAACAAAAACGCAGGGTGGCGCAAATGAGACCTCGTGATATCCTGGATCTTTCATTCCGAGCTGCATGGATCATGGATGTGAGATTGAACCTCGGATCCTGCTGCGCAAACTCTATACTCGAAGCCAAGGTTGAATCAGAAAGGCATGTGAATTCACAGGGTATCAATATGCTTGGACAACGATAGAAAGTGACATGACCGCCAGCAGTCATGTCTTACGTCCACGTATTCTTCTCACAGTCCCATACTCCGGGTGACCCTTCCCACTCGTAAAATCGGCACGGTTGACACAGGGTACACGGTATTCAACGTTCGAATATCCCACAACTCTCCGCGGCAGTAGACTCGCACAGTCAGGGTAGCTCCTTGCTTAAGCAAGAGCTGTTCTCTCTGCTTGCGCCTCTCCTCCATAATAATCGCCCATCGCGCTCTGACCTCGCGTACGCGCTTCAGTCGTGCCTGCGACGAGCGTTTCCACATAATATGCTGGTATGTCATTTCCAAGTTCTTGTCGCTTGGCCAGCTCCATTGCCTCGCTCCGACCGGTTCAATCTCTGCTGGCTTGGATGAAGTGATGGTATCAATATCGGACGTCTTCCATTGCCATCTGCGAAGTTGCTGGATGTCGGAGTTGTCGCGGCATAGTGTCATAACCCCTCGTCGGGAAAGATAGTGTTGGCGAACATGATAATCGACTTGGTAGTGGGAAAATAGAACAGCCACTTCTTGGTCGATATCCTTCGTCTCACCGAGTACCTTGTTCAGGTTCTGCTCCACCAGCTTGTAGTAGAGCTGGCGCTGAGATAGCGAAGTGTGGTTCCAGTATGTCGGGTTTTCACTTTGTGTGGTGGTGTCAAAGGGAGAGGTGCTTTCGTCGTTTATGACGTTGCTTTGAAAGAAGGGCGGGTAATGCTTCACGTTGTAATTGCCATTGTCGATATCGATGGTCATGATGTCTTTGGTGACTGCGATCTGGCAATTTTCACAACATAGAGCCTCATCCAGGGCGTCGAGCTAAATTTTGTAACCTCTTAGTGTGCGACACACTCCGAATTCATTAGACAACGTACCAGCTCCTTCTCCCTTGCGTCCTTCGAGGCCTTTTCCTGGGTTCGAGTATCTGGGATGGTATTCTTCATCCTGAGACCGAGGACCTGCTCCGGTCTGAACAAAATGTAAGGTCGATTTGAGAGGCAGCTGACGAGATCAGTGTATCCGGTACACCCAAGCAATGTATGTATATGAGAGCGAAGATGTAGAAGTTAGGATCGCTCTTTCCCACATCTTTATATTCGACCCGACCCAAATTCTAGAGGTTCTCAATCGTGGATGGTGACATAAAGTAGAACAAGGAGCTCCGTTGAAAGCGAAACAAAGGGTGGTGGCTGCCTTTACTCCAAGCATTCACATAAAGGAACAAAGGGCCGTTGCCTCGATCGTTCGAAAACCACAAAAATGAACGGGACCACACGGCTTTCGCGGACACTCCATATTATAGCCCCGAATACTGACTGCCGCAAATTCCGCATGGTCCATGATCAAGTGACGGTGCATCTGAACGTGGCAGTCATTCGGAAACGCGGAGCGCGCGTGATGTGGTCACTGGATTTCGGTGTCGCGATGACCGAGGTCAGGCCGCACCACCAGCCAGGGAAAAACAAGGAACATCAAAAGTAGAAACATTAAAGTGATAATATAGTCCGCTTATTGGAATGCATCGTTGGGAAACTACGGTGAGGCACTCATTCCTCCTAGGTAGATCAGACTATACGACTACCGATACCTAGTATCGTTCGGAATACTACAAACACATGCAACTAGCAATCCATGAGTACATTCACAATTACGCACATCTGTATAGATCGTTCAGTCGTGTAGAGATCGCTAAGTCGTCGTCGGTGTCCGTCTGCGTAGTAAATTAGCTGCCCCTCAGTGCGTACACATCAAGAAACTCGCAACCAAGCTCCTGTCAATGAGAATCTTTCGCATCATGACCGACAAAGTATCTCTGACCTTCCCTCTAGTCCTTCTTTCCCTCTCTTTCGCCTTTACGGCATACCTGAATCGCCAAGCCATCAGCCACACCTTGAAGGCCGGCAGCAACTTCCTGTACCGCTGCATCCAACCTTCTGAGAAGAAGGCTCGACGTATGGTCCGCAGAATCGTACATCGCATCCGCCGATGTATCGTCAGGCGACGCCAACTCGGCAAGGACACGGGATACGAGCTGGTTGACATGTCCGGCAACACTGTCGCCGTGTCGATGTTGGACGACGCGGAGCTCGAGTATCCATCCGACTCAGAATCCTGCAGCGATGGTACTTACAGCACCAACAGCACCGACAGAACCTACTCGAGCTCGCACGGCCATGATACAGTACCCGACAGCGCCAGTAACGACTCGCGGGACGGCGAGATCTCACCTCGGTACCCATCACGGTCAACCCACATGGCATCCACGCGAATTTCAAGCTCTGGCCTCATCAACATCTCACCTAAGATCATGCCTATGGAGTGGGAGGTCGAGCATGCGCGCCGTATGCAGCAGGGCGGACCCAGCACATGGCTGCACCGGGTGGTCGACTGGACGGTTGAGCGTTTGCAAGCCAACTTCGAAGCAGGTAACGAGATCAGCGAGTTCGATCGCGCGCCCTACATCAACGTTCATAACGGCAGCGGCGAGCAAGCAAGCTCCGAGCATATCGAGTGAGGGGTCCACGCAACTTGACGTATGTACGCTAGTCACGAGATTCCAGCTTGGGCCGCCACGGTCGATCGACTCCGCTTATCGAGAAAGCTTGCAGGGCTGCATGCACCACGCAAGGGTACAGCCAGGGATAGCTGGCGGTTGGCGCTCTTAGCTCGGCTTCATCGCACAGTGAATTTTGAATGCTGGTAGGAAATCTGTTCCATCTTACGAGGGGATAATATTGTACCGGCATAGGCATCGTTCATAGATAACCAAAAAAAATATTGTGTCATCTCGATCTTCTATCTCGTAATATGTATATCGTATCTCGTAAATATCAGACCCCTTCTCAAACGCTTTTTTGTAAATTGCTTTAGGGAGCGCAGTAGCCGCCGTCGACGATAATGTCGGCACCGGTAGTATAAGATGACGCATCCGAGGCCAGGTAGAGGTAGGCACCCTTCAGCTCGTGCGCCTGACCCTCACGACCCATGGGGATTTTGTCACGCCAGATGTTCTTGGTGTCCTCAGGAACAAAGCTGGAGATCTCGGTGGCGATGTAGCCGGGGGAGATGGTGTTAGCACGGGCGAAGCGGACCCACTCGACGGAGAGAGACTTGCCTGTCGGAATTGTTAGCGGGTTCGCAACGGGAGGATTGAAGATCACGTACAAAGGTGGATAACACCAGTCTTTGCGGCGTTGTAGGCGGCCTGCATCTGAGGGAAGTTGACAATGTGGCCACTCATGGAAGCAGTCGCAACGAAGCTACCGTAGGTGAAGTTGGTGAGCTTCTTGCCGTTGATATCGGTGCCCTCCTCCTTCTGGCGGCGCCAGTGACCGGCAGCGGCCTTAGCACAGTAGAAGGTACCGTCAAGATCAATGGCGACGACATCACGGTAGTGCTCGAGAGGGCCGTCGACCATGGGGCCCTGGGTCCAGGGGATACCAGCGTTGGCAATGAAGACGTCGAGACGGCCGTTGAAGTCCTTGACAACAGCGTCGGTAGCGGCCTGGACGGCCTTGGGGTCGGTTATTTGAACCTGGTAGGCCTTGGCTGTAAAGAAAGAAAGTCAATTAGCTGTGTCGGTTGGCTGGCAATGCAGTGGGCAGACACACTCTGCACACCGTACTTCTGGGCAATCTCGGCGGCACGCTCAGAAGCCTTGGTGTTGGAGTTATACCACAGCGCCACGTTGGCACCGGCCTCAGCCAGGCCCTGGGCAACGGCGAGACCGATACCGGCACCGGCACCAGTGACGATGGCAGTCTTGCCCTTGAGGGAGAACATGCTCATCAAGCTGGGGTGCTCGGGAGCAACGGTATTGTTATGGACGAAAAGTCCATTCTTGATCGGGTTGGCAGCCATTGTGTGCAAGGGGATATAGACTGAAGTATAGACGAAGTAGGAAGAAAAGAAACAGGAAAACTTCCGAGATCCGGGGGATCAATTAAATATAGCTGCGGAGGGGCAATTCTGGAAGGAATACCCATCCAATGCGGTCAGACGGCGTAATGCGCTGGCGGGGAAGCAGGAGATAGGAGGACTAGACCCCCTCCCCTGGATCTCTGGTGGGGGCGAGCTCTGGCATCTGTCCACTGCCTCAATCGCGGCGTATCGTTCCTGTGGGTAATGACGCTATGCGCCCCAGGATTTGTTGGACGCGATGCTGTTGACGAGACAGGGTCGATTTCAGATCTCATAGATAATGTTGAGGCCGTATCATGGTGGATGCTGGGTGCTGTTGTCTTGCCCAGATATGGCATCTTTTGTTATGCCGATCTGACGTATCCGGTGTGTCGGATCAGGTGACAGCTCGGGCGGGCCGTGAAGGAGAGTTGGCTCACCCTGTACTCTAAGAGTTATTTTGTACAGAGACTGGAACTATAGACCAAAGAAAAGGGGCGGAAGGTAAACTATCTCCCTGGCGTGTCTCTGCTTTCGATACAGTGGAGAAACAGATGTGTCCCGACCAGCGGACCATTCGCCCGAGATATCAACAATGTCCGACCTCCATCTCCAGCGTCGGTTGAGACCTCGAATTGGATCCTCATGGACACTCATGCGGGCGCGACTGCATCGATCCAGTGGGGTGACGCTGAACCCGCGGGCGAGTTACCCTCGTTGTCACCTGCATGGATCGAACATAACATGCTGGGATTAACAACAGGATATTGCCAACTGCCTAGAACTTCTAAGAACTGCTGAAAGCTGTTCATGTGCTCACCTGCTCACCTGTTCAGATGGCTTTATCTCACGAGGGAGCGCCACCATTCTTGACCATCATGCTGATCACACTTCCTAGTATAGTATATTACAATGTCGATGAGGTTGGGAACTTCCATTCCAACCCAGATCCTGTCTGTACTCACGAACAACCCAATCAATTGCGTCGTTCCCTTGGTAGCGGAGGACTGTGTGGCCGCCAACATTCCTGACGATGCCGTTGGCGATGCGCCCCCCATTCCTCGGTACCGACCAATGTTCCCATAACAATGTCACCAGAATGCCGCCCGCACGGCGCCCTTTCGCTTCCTCGAGACTCTGTTGTGCTTCTGTTTCTGGTTTGATCCGTGGCCCTGTTGCTTTCTACGGATTCAACGGCTGCGTTGACAGTATACGAAAGTTGGAACGATAACCGAGCGAACCACTTCAAACTTCGCATGCGGATGAGCGACTGAATCATTGATCTCGCGAGTCGCACTCTGATCAAAGCAGTTAGCTGGTGGCTATGCTGCAACTGAGTAGCGTCGTCGCCATCGCCGCCTCGGCTGCGGCCATCTTCGTGGTCTTCTCGGTCGTGGGAATCGTGGTCTGGGTCAGAGTTCGCAAGGAGCGTCATGCGCTGAGACTCCTCCGTCTCAAGCAGGGACAATATGCCCGGAGCACCAATACCTTCACGGGAAATACCCTGACCGAACTTTCTCACGAAGAAGGACATGTCCTGGGGACCCATGGACAGTTGCCCTATGGCAAACCGGGAGAATGGGGTCAATTAACCTCACGAGAAAGTCTAGTGAGGAAGAACAATTCGGATCCATCTTTCCCCTTAATAGAGAAAGCGCGGTCGTTGCGCCATTCGATCTCTCGGACCCGTTCAAGACGACTATCACGATTCTCCAAACATAGTCGACTGAGCTCGATGGCCACGGTAGACGAAACCGTCATCCACCATCCAATCAGCCCTCCACGCATTTCGAAAGACGACATCCCACTCTCCGCAGTTGAAGGGGTTCTTGAATTGCCAGCAGAGCGAACGCCCAGACACACACCGGAAATGAACCAGGATAATGCCGGTTTTCACTTGGGTATGCGACCAGTATCCCCAGGCTGGCCTTTCCCCAGCCAAAAGGAACGATCCGGGTTGTTCCCAGTTCTGGAAGACCGCAACTCGCAGGAGATGTTTGATCCGCCACCGAGAGTCTTTGAGGAATTACCACAGCGAATTCGAGGTAACAGTATCTGCAGTCAATCAGCAGGCATTGCACCAGATGACCCAATTCCTCCTCCGCCACCGGCTGCATTTCCAACGGACAGAATGAGTTACGCCAGGAACGATTCGGTAATGCGCCTATCTTCCATGAGTCTTGATACCACAAACAGCTCGATTCTGGATGATGGCAGGAACGGCCCGGGATCTGCAGACACCGACCTGACGTCGCCCATCTTCCCATCTGGAGGCACCTTTGTGCCATTCAGCGCCAACGATGTTGGAAAGAAGGACGGGCGACGAAGCTTCATTGCTGCCAATACCAACACGGCCATGCCGCCCCTGCAAAACTTCCCTGTTCGCTCTTCCTCGACCGCTGAGGCTCGAAAGAAGTCCTCAATGGATTGGATTTCACCTCGACGCAGCATGACTACAACCTCCCGAAACCCTAGCAGCTCAAGTCAACGTTGGAGTGGCCCGCCATGCCGGAGCGACTCCTTGTCATCAAATCCACCGTCCAGGAATGCATCACTCCGGAGCGGTACTCCTGTGTCAATAAAGGGTTTCCAGATGCTGAATTCTATCAACTGGAGGTCGTCTGGCTCACAAAACGGCTGCGTTCCCCACTTCAGCCAGTTCCAGCAACCAACAGTCTACGAGAACGAGCAGCAGCATGATCCTTTTTACGGCGGCTCTCCCCAGTCGACTGGAACCCTGTTCTCTGCTGGGTCTCCTGGACAAACAATCTCCTCCTCAATGCCTCCAAGCACTATGCAACGCTCCAGTCTGTCCCAGCGAGGTCCTCTGACTTCTGCTTTGAAGAGTGCAAATTCACAGCGCAAAGGCCACAGACGCCAGAACTGCGTGCGTATCTCGATTCATCCTCCTATGACATTCACCGGACCTGCCTTCTCCCCCACGGTGGAGGAAGAGCCCGAGGATATTGATCAGATGGAAGAGGTGGACCTGCGCGAAAGTACTATCAATGCAAAGTCATTGCCGGCCCTGCCGGCCAACACAACGTCGCCAGTGTCTCTCTCCAAGGGGGCCAGCAGGCGGAACAAGGCTCAGCCAAGCACCTTGGGCCCTCTCGCAGAGGAGCCGCAGTCTCATGTCAACAAGAGTTCCTCGAAGAAAAGGAAGCAATCCCCAAGTGATGCCCTCGATACGAATCCTTTGAACAAGCACCGAGATCTGCCTGGGCTTGACACTGCTCTCCCCCCAGACACCGATGACGCTCTCACCCACACGCCTTCCCCATCAAGAATCCCGCCTCTTTGGGAGCTTCCTGAAGCCCCGTTGTCATCATACGAAAACTCCCCTGGTACTGGAAGCCCACGTCGTTCCGCCGTGAAGGGCCCGCGCAGCCAACCACCTCAGGCTCCCAGGGCTGCACGCAGCAACTCGGCACGGTCTCCATCCAAGGCCTCCATTGACCCGTTCATCGGACCCGGCTTGACCAGTGGATTGCCTCTAGTCACTGGGACTCAAGGAAGCGACTGGCGGAAATCAACCGACTCCCTCCACCGTGCTGCTACCGACGCATCTGATGGCGTACATCGGCGGGATCGTAACTCGCAGGGCTCCTTGGCTGGTGGTCTTGGTCCACTGCCTGCATCACCCATGTACGGCGTTACAACCAGCAAAGGAAGCTCAACGGTGCGAGATCGCGTCACGATCTGGGAAGATGCCAACCGCGGAGGCTCACCACCCAAGCCCCCGGCCACGCATCTCCCTGGGACATACACGTTCCCTGATAACGTCTCGCCAACCCACGCCAAAAACAGTACCCCGCGATCTCTTTGCAAGAATAGCTCTCCTACCCGATTGAACGGCCAACAAATTACTCCCACCCCTGCCTCTGCGCGACGAGGCATGACAACACCAACTGGGAAGGCTCTCGGCTTAGGGATTGGGGCTGCTACCCCGATGAGTTTGTACGATGGTGAGGGTTTTCTGAGAGAGTAATGATTCGCCGGCGGTTTTTTTCTGTTCACTCCTCTGCTTCAAAAGTATTATACCTTCTTACCTGGAGCCTCTTCATTTCTGTTTTATCTTCTCTGCCCTCCCCCCCGCCCTCCCCTTCTCCCTTTTTGACGTGTGACCTGTCTTTATTCAATATACACCGTATAGGTAGTCGTAATTAGAAACTTCTGGAATCAACATCCATCTCGATTTCGTATTTTGTGGTATCATAGCACATTCATGACTATCCTTACGCTTGTACCATCGCCTCTTGAACAGTAGAAGAAGATATAAGCAGCAAGCCGTACGCCATATTTAGTCAGTCCTCCGCCACTTCGTCTCCTCGCCCTCGTCATCTTCGCCGTTCTCGTCACCATTATCTCTTTCCCTCACAGTCCCAGCTCCAGGACCGAGCGGGAAAGCCGGCGGCTCACCCTCCGCAATCCAATTCCCATCCTCGTCAAAGAATTCATGCATATTGTCCGCCGTAATCCACCCAGAGCTCCCTTCAACAGGCGGTGGCAGATCCCCATTACTCGAGTCCAGCGCCTCTCTTCCGAGCTGGAACAATGCCTGTCCGTGTTCCTCGGTTGACAGGAACTTAGACTCGTCCTCGTCCTCATCACCGGGCTCCACGGGATCCGGGTGCAGGTTTGAGCACGCCGAAACAGCACCGTACAGCATCTGCGTCGGTGTTTCCTCCGGCTCCGAGCTCACGTCTTCCGTTGCGCGCTCTGCGGCTGCCGGTGGCACCACGGTCAGCGTGATGCACTGCTCCTCGTCATCTTCGGCGGGCGCGGACGGTGTCGCGATCTGCATGTACAGACCTTGCACCTCGGCGTCGGTGCCCGGTACGCGCAGGCGCTGGATGGCGTGCAGGGAGATGGAGGGATAGGGAATGGAAACTCCCGTGGACGCGGAGGGAGAAAAGAGGAGGAATTTACTAGATAGTCGGTTTGTTAGCTCCGTTTGTCTCTCTGTATTTTGGAGCACTCACTCGGATGTCACCCACGTGTCGACGTCTTCAATGGCGATCTCTTTTTCCTCGTCCTGCTCTGATTCTTGCGCGGACCCGTTCGCAGAGGCGTTCGCTCCGCGCAGCGCATTAAGAGCAGGTGTGGCGACGAGGTCGCGCTCGAGAATCACGACTTTGCAGCGCTGGCTCTGGTAGTGAAGCACCGGAGGTCCGTCATGGAACGAGCTCGGTGTTCGCGACTGGTGCTCTGCGATCGGGACGAAAGTCGATGCTTCCGGAGCGGTCCGTAGCGTCTCCATTGTGAATAATTGGTGATTAAATCGGGTGAACTGCTAGGTGGTTTCGTCGTGGTTAAATTGGGGAGATTGGGGTCGTTGGCGGTTGTCACCGAAAAAAGCTGGAGCTCCCGGGCGGAGGGGGCGCAGCTCAAGCTCTGGCCGCCCGCGGTAGAGCTGTCCGACAACCAGTCAAGTCGATAGACCTAATTTACAGTAGCAGGGTCAAGGGCTGCATATAAAGCTGAAAAATTGCCGCTAAATTTACAAGAAAGTGTCAACGGTGAAATCAGAACTCATTTGCGTACTTGTTAGAGAAATTCATTCCTCGATATGTATATATTGAACCTCTATGCTTTCACCCAACGGACACCTGGACAGACTACTTCTACGGACTGGACCTCGGGAGACTACTATAACATTGGAAATTGCCCCTCATGCAAGACGAATTGCCTGGAGAAATGGAAATCTGCATTTACTTCGAAAGAGAATAGATTATTCCAAAGCTACTATCTCCGTTGATCTTCTAGAGACGAGTGGGACAATCATTCATCACTGGAATGTAGGAGAAATAATGAACTGAATCGCCTGAAAAAGGCTCCTCCATTACATGTCACATTCCAGAGAGCCTCAGGTGCTGTGCTCATTCAGATCTTAGCTGCAGCGGACAGGGAGGGGGATTATCCGCTGCTTGTAGGTGGATCAGATCAGTCCATTGGAACCTTGGGCCCGCAATTTGCCATGCCCAAGCCCTGCAACGCTAGCTATTGCTCCAAGCTGGTGATCAATCAAGAAGGCGCTTAGCTTAATATGCGTTCCAGACAAGGTTGATATTTGGGGGAGAAGTCAGAGAGCTTCGCGGGGTAGGCGAACACTGGTTCATTTCACGCCCAGCCCACCAAACGCTCGATCCAACTCTGCTCCCTCATCCCGAGGGGCCATTGCTGGCATACTTGAGGAACCCTGATCGGCCGAGGTGCTGTCTAACAGACTCTCAGCCCCTCCTTGGGATTCCGGGGGAATCGATGTTCTGCTCGGCCGTAGCAGTTTCTCTTCACTATCCAGCCACCCGGGCGCGACACGTCGCTTCTCTGCCAGATCCCGCTGTCGAATGGACTCCTCCCAGGCCTTGAGGGCTTCTTCGGCATCACTCCGGGTTTTCTTCAGGTGCTGCTCGAGGGATTGGCACGCGGCCAGGATCTCGTCTGGGTGTGCTGCATGTTCGCCGTTGGAGGAGACGACATAGCGGGCCTTGCCTCCGGGATTACTTGGGTCGATTGTGACAGACGGCGGGAGGGTCGAGGAGACAGACTTGTAGGTGTAAGGCAGAGTGACCGAAGTGGGGAGGTTGATGAAGGGCGAGACGGTCAGAGGCACCTGGGCCAGGAGCAAATGAGGACCTAACGGGGTCAGCTACCAAGCAAATGTAGATATTAGGCCATACTCACGGTACGAATCATACATGGCGGACAGAGGAGGGTGTTGACAGAGGTAAGACGGAGTTCCACCGCTCGGCCGAACGCCGATGATCGCCTCTCTTTCCGTCTCCCACCCAAGTAACTCCCAACCCCACACACTTGATCTCACCTCGGCACCCAAGTGGGGGAGAGACTGCCTGGTTACCTGCTTCCTCCGCATCAGCCCCGTTAGCGCCTCAACGGTGTTCGCAGGGTGTTTCCAATTATGGAATAGTCCTGCAGGGGTATGTCAGCAGCCAGCCAATGTCGATTGCTTTGCTTTATATGTCTTGTCGCATATGCTATGCATGCAATATGTTCTCTTTCCTAATTTGACCATCGAACCAAGATATGCCATATGTGTGACTTAACCACGACACATAATGTGATCCCGCTACGAAATGCTGTCAGGCATACCAGCAACCAGAAAGCGCCGTGGTTGGTAGATCGATTGGGTCCGATGGCCCAATGCCCTGTCTTTCCTTGTCTAGCAAGGGGTTCCACTCTAGGACCGCAAGTTCGACCCCTGTCAAATAGGCCAAGTAGCTTCGAAATCCTCCAGCGAAAGCCTGTACCCGCCGATCAAGGAATAGCAGCGGAGGACTCGATCCCCTCGCGTGCCGTGTGTTTGGTTGGATTAAACCGAGTAGAGCTAGGTCCAATTTTCATGTAAAATAGGACTCACGCCTCATATGGCTCAGCCTCTTGAAGCTTTTTCTCTGTTTGAACAACCCCCCTTCTTTCTTTTACAAATAAGGCTCGCAAACGTACCCATTACCTTATTCACGATGACAAGCGAAATAATTGCAGCTGTTAGTGTGACTGGCGAGAACGTTCTAATCCATGTGTTGATTTTCTTCATAGGACCCGACCCTGCACTATAGTACCGACGAACACGCCCCAGATGACTGGCAATCGTATGAGACGTAGCATCGCCCACACGAACATAGTTAACACTGGCATCTAGAGAAACGACGTCTCTTGCTTCGGCTATCTACAGGGGACTAGTGGAGAATGGTCGGAGGTAGGTTCCCCATCATCTATGCCTTATATAGTGCTCACCCGGTTGATAGATACCAGACTCTCCGCCCAAACGGCTCTCAGTATGATAACAGGACCACTGAACCAGGCAAGAGGAAGGCTATTCTGACTCCTTCAGTGTCCCTTCGGATGATCAGATGTTTGAAACATATGAAGCAAGGTTGGTCCCATCGAGACACAAAGTCACAGTCTTTTACTGAAATGTTAGCCATCTTTTGGCTCTGATTATGGATTTGGAAGAGGAGAACCCGTTCTTTAGATCGCCGGTGGGGAAAGACCCGAAGGTAAATAATTAGGCTCTATTTGAAATTATCAATACTGACATAGATAGCACATTCTTGATATCGGAACTGGAACAGGCTCATGGGCGATGTATGAAAGAGCATCACCGAACGGATCGCTAGGCCATGCTAACTTGAATCAAGCGATGTTGCTGATTTGTTCCCCAATGGTATACCCCTCGATTCAAACAATAAAAAGCACCTTAGAAACCGCCTATTCTGACCCCATAAACAGCGACCGTGCGTGGTGTGGACCTGTTCCCACCCCCAGTATCCTGGATACCTCCCAATTGCCTCCTAGAGGTGGACGACATCCTTCAGCCTTGGACATGGCGTGATGAATTTGATCTAGTTCATCTCCGGCTGCTCGACTCAGCATTCACACCGGTGGAAACAGATCATCTTTACAAACAATGCTACGAGTGAGCCTTGACAAATCCCGCTTCAATAATCTCAACTCGGTAGTTTGCTAATGAGAATGAGGATGCAGCCATATTAAATCCGGAGGATGGATCGAACAGCTCGAAATGAGTTCATTTATCGAATGCGATGACGACAGCGTTCCTGAAGACAGTCTGCTCTGGAGCTGGGGTCCCAGATTCACTCTTGTAGCCGATAAAGCGGGCAAGCCTCTCGGTATTATGCGCACTTTCAGAGAGTCGATTGAGAAAGCTGGTTTTGAGGACATCCACACCAAAGAATACAAGTGGCCCATCGGAGCCTGGCCGAAAGATAAGGGGTACAAAGAAGCTGGCGCTGTTAACTTCCAACACTGGCTGTCGGGTATGGAAGGCTACGGTATGTGGCTTCTAACCAAGTTTGGGGACCCGGTTCCTTGGACAAAGGAAGAAGTACAGGTCTATGTGGCCAAGATGCGGAAGGAATTGAGCAACCCTCGATTTCATGCCTACCACAGAGCGTATGTGTTGTCACATTGATTGACGTGCTTTAAGCTGCTAAATATCCCCTGACTGACCATTATGCAGACGAAGAATCTGGGCGAGGAAGCCTCTTCACGGCGTCGACATCACGGCTGAACCTTCCTCTTGAATGAATGTCAAGAGATTGCTTGTATATCGATTGATTGAAAAGTCATTTCCATACCTCGAAGTTGAGATACGGCGAAGGGAATATTCTCTTGGTTAACAGCTTGCTGTTGCATGACTTCAATACGAACCTGACCAGCTTCAAGTAGTTCCCAAATGAAGACGCAACCGATTTCGCTGGGGTAATGAGGAGTAGCTCCAGCTGAGGGGGGTGGTTCTACGGAAAAGATAAACTGGCAAGGCTTGGCGGTATCACTTATTCCGTTGAACTTGACCTGCTTATATTACACACTAGAGGAAAAAAGGTCTGCGTTGGAATCGATTGAACACGAACTGCAAACATGTACTGCACGCATGCAAAGGAATACTTTTCTATGATATTGAAGAGATATGTACGGTAAGGTGGATTCAAAACTGGTGTTGGTTTAGGTCTCATTTCAAATACAGTGCTTGGAAAACTTTGTTGTAAACCCGTTTAGCCTGTTCTTTATATTATAACATATTACTTTCGGAGCGGACCAAAGGTCAAATTTCTCCGTGATGAGTGTATAGAGCCGGGGAAAAGATGGGCTCAGAAAAGAACCAAGGCATGTCCACCGTGATCAGGTCATTTGGCCAATTCATTGAGTCTAATTAGTTGCCGCGTTTTTGAGTATGCTCAAAATCCACATTCATCACTTGGTTTATTGATTTTGGTTCTGCCATGAGTGATACAGAATTAACAAATCTGGTCCAGTTGACTATATATCAGGTACGTAAATCGGACAAATTCTCCACTGTATTTCAGTGTGGCCTGGTAGGCTAGTGGTAGACTTCCACCTTTGGGTTCGATCACATATCCACAGGTGTGGTGGAGACCCGCGTTCGATTCGCGGCCAGGCCCTTTCCTTTTTGAACTTTGTCACACCCCGTCCCATTGTGTCTTTATTGCGACAATAATTACCTCGGGGGGAGAGATGGAGGAGTCGATCCATTCTTTTTCTTCATTATAGGTATGTACTGTGCAAGGAAGAGGATGTAGAATGCAACTCTTTATTTACAGCGCCGCCTTGATCCAGATAGAGGCCCCCGTCCTGTACATACATACCGGCTTTCATCTTTGCATAAATTCAACAAACGAAATCAAGCCACGTCCAGTCATTTTAAACACTTTCAAGGCCCACCAGATACAGCAGCCGAAGTCCCTGCAACGGCGCCGGTGTTGGAATTCGCCATACGTCTCCGTCTATTGTCCTTATCCATGTACTTTTCGTATTCCTTCTGGTATCGATCATAGTCGCGAAGATATTTGTCGTTGTTCTTTCCGTATTTTTCCCGGCGTGGGGGGTGTGGCTTAACGTAGAAACCAAAACACATCTTTAAGAAAGCAGAAAACAGGGTGTGGTTTCAGTTCGGGATGGATGATCGGATTTAAACAGAGTGTGATTTAAGAAATGAATTATTTCTTCTCTCCTCTCGGTCTGGAACAGGGGGAATTGTTTGAGCTGCGAAATACTCCGTTATTCTTGTACCGAGCCGGATGGAACGAACAATCGCTCTTTTATAAGGCACCTGAGGACTAACCCAAGGACACCCAGCATACCCACTTGGCTACCCTTGGCCTTCGTCATCGAGACTTGGCCTTCGTCATCGAGGCTTGGGGCCAAAATGCCAGGGCGCATTTATGAGCCCCATAGGGATTGGGGCCATTTCTCACCTAATACGGAAGAATAACTATCGACGATCATGGGTTCTATAATCTGGATACTACAGTGCATCGAGGTATGATATCCACAGGCAATCAAGTCACCGCACTCTTCGTTTCGTTCCTTTTAAATTAAAGACCATTACTGAGCATCAACCGCAACCTTTTCGTGTGTGATCCAAAATTAGTACGATGATGTGCCGTTGGATCTGCTCCGGCCTCCAGAAGTAGCTTGATACAAGCTTTTGTAACGATGATGCTTGTGCAGCGATATCATCCAATCTGAGCGGTATTTAAGATCAACACCGCTGTTAAACAGTAATTTGAAAACATCTTTATCGGATCTACAGACACACAAGGCATCTGCCCTAAACCAAATAGGCAGTGAGTGTCGGCACTTTTCTCGATCAGCAAAGGAACCAATATGTTTCGATTCTTCCTAACAGGAGATGTCCGGCCAGTGCCTCCTTCCTCTATTGGTATCGAGGCCATCCTCAAGTGACATTCGCACCTTCCATTCAGCCGGCACTCGAAGGTCTGATGACTGGTAGGTACCTAATTGATACTACTTTCTCTGTGAGGGAGCCAAATGTCTCTTTTTTGGAAGCCTGGTTGTGCGACATCAAACCATCCGATTCACCCGAGAACAGGAAACTTTCTTGATAATGGAAGCTGAACCTTGAATTAAGCGTTCTGCAAGAGCTCCATTTCCTAGTTCCGGACTATCAAGGCTCAGCAGAGTAAGGAGGTTACTTTCCTTCATGAGCCATTAGAATGCCCTGCATGCAAGCCTTGATCATATGCAAATTCGAGTATGTGAGGGCCACTTATCTGACCAATCTGGCCCATTACTCCTCGGCCCCGACATTAGATGTATTACACCGAACCAAGTACGAAAGTGGTGCTTTTTTTTAAAAAAACTGCGTGGTGGCCTGTCAGTGTAGCATCCCTTATCTAGCCGATCCCAAACTCTCACATGTGCAGATGGCTAAAACAGTAGTAGATGTGGCTCACCTATCTGGCCCTTGAACATGAACGATTGCAGCTATAAATACGGGAGAAGTACATCCCCACATATCCGTTAAGCAGACTTCCAGAGCTAGACAGAGGAAATCTTTATTCAAAATTTCGTCATTATTTGAGACTTATCTCTCCCTTCAAGATTCACTCGGAATGATTTGCAAGCTCATCATCTCTACTGCTCTGCTACTTGCTGGAGCACAAGCTCAGCAAGCCACCAACTGCGAATACCAGTCATTGAAGTGCGCTTCCGTCCTGCTCGGTACCCCTTATAGTATGTATCTATACCAGCCTGGCCATAGAGGGACCTTCTCTTACTTTACGACAAGACTACACCATAGCCCAACTCATTGCAGCAGTTAACGACACAGTCTCAATCCCGCCCCTCACAACTGCTCAGATCTCCCAATGCTTGTTCCACTGCACCGATATCCTCGGCACCATCACCGGAAACAGCTACTGCTTCGCTGGCTGTGACACCAAGCCCGGCACTCGCAATGACCAATGCATCATGTAGTCATCTGGTATTTGGGATATCTGCATCGTTGTTGTGGACCACTTACCAGTCGTTGCTAAGTATGATGAAGCAGTTGCCTGAGTGCGGAGATGCACTGCATTTTGCTGTGTTCATGGCGTGGGTCTAGTTAAACAACTCCCTTCTGGTCCTAGCAATCACAAATACGTATCCATTATCAGGGATTGATATGAGCAGGAGGCATTCATTCTTTGCTAGGAACACAGTCTGTGTTTCCCTATATAGTCAATGCAGAATTGAAAGGTCTGTTTGGAAACTTGATACGGTGGCCTATTGTAGAGTATCGAATAACCATTACGAGTTCTGGCATGAACTAGTTCTTGCTTCATTTATGTATGCCTGAGTCGTGGTTCGATATATCAAGACTCGGCAAATATGAGAGCAGTCAGTGACTTCGGTTGTATCGATTTTTCATACTCGAGTTTTCGCCGAGGTACCTATACGAGACACGAAGGTGTGAAGGCATCGCAAAGCGCAGTATACACAGTGTTTTCATTATACTCAAGCTCTGGCGACCTTGGAATCTCAAAAGGCAGGAGGTAAAAATGTTTGGGCAGTCATCGGCACAGATGGACCCTTTCCAGTACAGTTTCCACCAAAACACCACGTCTGGCAATGCCGAACGCAGGTTACAGATCCTCCGCCTCCAACGGTTATTGTAACCGTCGTCGTAGTTGTACTGAGAACAACGGTAGTGGTGCTTGTCGTCGTAACCGTGACTGTGCTTGTGCCATTGGTAGGCGGTGGACATGTCCCGTTGCCTGCTATTTGACAGGTGTCGTCTACAAGGAGATTCTGGGATGAGAGACATCCATTAATGCAGAATACGTTTCCTGTAATGTTCCCGTATATGTCTTCACAGTGAAATATCACCTGAGGAAGTTGATCTACTGTCAAGGGTGGGATTGATGCTGTGTCGTTGACCGCAAGGGTGAGCTCGGTTAAGTTGTATCCTGAATTTTGTTATTTCTGTTCACCATTCCATATAATGATACTAAAATGGCATACCATAGGTTGAAATTAATGTATATCCACATTTATCGGATTGGTAGACGCATGGTCTGGTGAATGCCCCGGCTTTCAGGTAAAAGGCAGGTACGGTCGAAAGTAAAAGCCATTGCAATTGGCGCATCTCTCGTCTGCTTGCAAAGCAGATTATTCGGTTACCTTTTGAAGTGCGATTGCAGTAGGTTTTCTTGCAAATCCTCAGTGGTTGGTATATAGCATCAATTCTAGGTAGCCCTCCCGTACAATATCCCTCGGTCATGAATATAAGCTTTGCGGGCTTTCAATGCTTAAAATAATGAAGGTTACTTTGGCTCCTGCGTGGAACGCAGGGAATGCAACCCTCAAGACATGATCCCCCGGTGGTGACATTGTAACCCGATGTTGATCTCCATTGGACCGATGGTCACTGCAAAACACTCGGCACATCCACATGTTAATTATCAGTGCAGTGAAGATTCAGCAGGTAGATTTAATGGCTGGATGGATATGGACTCGAGGGTACTTTGACGGGGAACCTCAGACATGTGGGCAATGCTCTCCGCATCTCAAGTCACACCCAGGCCGTTGTGTTGCAAATCGACCCCGTAGGGCGCTCCTGCTTGTGTCACCGATTAACAGATCCAAAACCCGACAGAGGAATGGACAGTTCTGGCAGCAGGAGCTTGAGTATATCTAGTACCAGATGCCGGTGCATTCAGTGATTCACTGCTTGCCTTAGCTGCAGATCATCGAGCTTGCGTCGTTAGGCCCTAAGACCGACCAGAGGTCTAGCACCACGGACAGTGTTCAAAGTGTATTCACAAAGCTGAATCAAGAGCCAGCCCAGGAGAAATTGCATCGACAGATGGCAGCAGTTCACTTATCTGCAAACCCCAGTTTGTCAGTGTTTGGGTTTGGAAATCGGCGGAGACCGAGTGGTTCGGTCCCTGTTTCTGCCTGAGGCCATGACAAGCACGCGGTTGAGGCTGTTGCCCAACTCCGCTCGTCTCTGTGTGACATCTTGATCTATTGAAAGGATCACTGGATCGATCCGTATTCCAGAAAGTGCAGAGTCGTAACCGAGGTTGGTGCATCGTCAAAGGTGCAGTGGAGCGGCAGAGAGAGGCCCAGCCCGCTTATCCAATTTGTTTCTCTTTTTCCAACTTCGCCATCACACGCGATCTTTTGCCAACTTCCAACTCTTAACATCCCCTTTCCCCCCACCCCTCCCAGACTTCCTCATTATTCAACCCACGGGGAAAGTCTATTTATCTGATCCTCCTTCGCCCTCTGTGGGACATCTCCTTCCCGCACTGAACTCACCCCGCCACACGATCTCCGCGCCGTGAACCCCCCCTCCTCGGCCCCCTTGCTCCGATCTTCGACGCTTCAGCAATCTATATCCATTTACTTCCAAAATGGATCGAGCTCTCGCGCGCGCGGTGACCGAGAAGAAGCCGGTCCCCGAGATCGATTTCTCATTGCACACCATGGAGGATGGAAGCCAGGTGTCGACAATGGAACGGGTGGTTAAAGGTATCGGCAGATCCATCGAATCGCTATCGCCGGTTTGCAACCCATCCGCTGACATGTCTATAAATCACCAGAGGTGCAAGCGCCGGCCCTGAGCACCCCGCCGGATGATATGTTTTGGTCCCCCGATGACCCTTCCAAGCCGAACCTCCAGTACCTCAAGCAGCACCTGTATCGCGAGGGTCGCCTCACCGAAGAACAGGCGCTATGGATCATTCACGCCGGTACTGAAGTCTTGCGCTCTGAGCCGAACCTGCTCGAGATGGATGCCCCTATCACGGTTTGTGGCGATGTCCACGGCCAATACTACGACTTAATGAAGCTGTTCGAGGTTGGTGGCGATCCTTCGGAGACACGATACTTATTCTTGGGTGACTACGTCGACCGTGGCTATTTTAGCATTGAGGTGTGTATATTCTCGTGTTCCGATTGGAATCGCGGTTCTGACTGTTGCAGTGCGTTTTGTACCTCTGGGCATTGAAGATCTGGTATCCCGATTCGCTCTGGCTGCTCCGCGGGAACCACGAGTGTCGCCACCTGACGGATTACTTTACCTTCAAGCTCGAGTGCAAACACAAGTATAGCGAACGGATCTACGAGGCGTGCATCGAATCCTTCTGTTCTCTGCCGCTGGCGGCGGTCATGAACAAGCAGTTTCTGTGTATTCACGGTGGTCTCAGCCCGGAGCTGCACACCCTCGAGGACATCAAGGCCGTATGTACATGCCACCCATCGTCTCGATTTGTCACTAACGACAGTAGATCGATCGTTTCCGCGAACCCCCGACCCACGGTCTGATGTGCGACCTTCTCTGGGCCGATCCTCTGGAAGAATTTGGCCAGGAAAAGACCGGTGATTTCTTCATTCACAACAGCGTTCGTGGTTGCTCTTACTTCTTCTCTTATCCGGCTGCATGCGCCTTTCTCGAGAAGAACAACCTCCTTTCTATCATTCGAGCACACGAGGCCCAGGACGCTGGGTACCGTATGTATAGAAAAACTCGAACGACTGGATTCCCTAGTGTTATGACGATTTTCAGCGCTCCCAACTACCTTGACGTATACAACAACAAGGCCGCCGTCCTCAAGTATGAAAACAACGTCATGAACATCCGGCAATTCAACTGCACCCCGCACCCCTACTGGCTGCCCAACTTCATGGATGTCTTTACTTGGTCCCTGCCATTCGTCGGTGAGAAGATCACTGATATGCTGATCGCCATTCTCAACACCTGCTCGAAGGAAGAATTGGAGGAGGAGGAAACCCCTACTTCTGCTTCTGCCGGTCCCTCTTCTCCTCCCTTGCCGATGGATACCACCGATGCCAGCGAGATCAAGCGCCGGGCCATCAAGAACAAAATTCTTGCTATCGGCCGTCTCTCGCGTGTGTTCCAGGTGCTGCGTGAGCAGTCTGAGAGTGTTACTGAATTGAAGACGGCGGCTGGCGGTCGTCTTCCCCCGGGTACTCTCATGCTGGGTGCTGAGGGTATCAAGCAAGCCATTCACAACTTCGAGGATGCCCGTAAGGTCGATATCCAGAACGAGCATCTGCCGCCTAGCCAAGAGGAGGTCATCGAGCGGAGCGAAGAGGCTCGTCGTCAAGCCTTGGAGCGCGCCGAACACGAGGCTGCCAACGATGCCGGACTGGCCACTGTTGCCAGAAGAATCAGCATGTAAGTGATGTCCCGTCAATGATGAGACATGTATATCTAACCCCTCTTTAGGTCTGCCGGCGGGGGTCGCAATCGTCGCCAGCGGGACCCCACTCCCAGGGAGGCCTAGGAAGGCCGGGGATTTGGCTGAGCTGATATTATGACACTCTATGCATTTCCTCTTCCTGCCCTCCAGCGCACACGCCTTTGCCACGACATGATCGACACGATACCCTTCCTATCAGCTTGATCCCACCAATTGTCTGGCTATACAACTGGATCTACAATAATAGCTGTCAAATCAGATGACTCGCGTTCATTTTGTTGATATTGCTCCTGGGATCCATGGGTGGATCCAGGGGCTCAGTAGATCTACAAGTGTAGTTTGACTCGATATCGGATGGTTTCTTTAAGGCAAGAAAAAAAAAAGATTATCATGTAATGATGGCTTTGTTCTAATGTATGACCTTTCAAATTGCATTTCAATTCCTACAACAGACAAATGTAAAGCAGGGAGTGAGTGGAGCACCGCCAAGCCCGATGTCGCCTTCCGACCTCAAAACAAGTCCCTCGTTCACTCACATCTCCGAGGACTCGCCCACAACCCTCGCCTTACCGCACCCTAATGCCTTCCAGACTGCGCAGCGTGCTCCCACGGAGCCTGTTGCGTCCGCTGGATAGTGCCGGTGTCTTCTACTGCCCATCCTGTTCAACCTGGAGACGAGCGCTTTCGACGCGTGCCGGCGCCAGCAGCACCGGCCTTGATAAAATCGGCTCGGCGCATCGATCGGGTCGCCTTCCAGAGTCGCCTACGGCTGTTGCTGCTCGTTCATTCACCACTTCATCGGTTATCACTGCGGGAAAGACGGTCCCACCACGGTTCAAGGAGCTGTACGATGCTCTGAGCGGAGTCCAGGATGCGGCGATCCAGGAAGTCAGTATTAGCCGGTTGCAACTGGCTTTGCGTGGCTTAGAGTCTGAGACTCCTCTTATTCGAGTTGCTGGTGAGTTATGCCCCGCGCAATAGTTGAGTGTTCGCTGCTGCGATATTTTGTTTTGAGGACAGGCTCTGACGATTTCGCGGTTTTTCAGTTCTTGGACTAGACAATGCCGACTCTGCGCGAAAATTAGTTCGATTGCTTCTGGCCGATCCTCTCAGCCAGCGCGAGAGCTGGGAGGATGTTTTAGAGGGTCTTGATGCAGACCCGACGCGGGGACTACTAATTCGGTACGAAGTCACTTCGAAATCAAGGTCATGGTTGGAATATTGACGGATCTTTCATCTAATAGATACGGCGAAGTCTCTGAATCTATACCCAATGATCTTCTCCCGACACTTGCAGTCCGATCGCCCGTCCTGAAGAAGGGCAACATCGAAATCCTCATCGGTTCAATCGGCTCTGAAGCAGCCTCGACTGGCACCACTCTCTCCGCCGATACCTTCCTCGTCCCCAATGTCACCATCCCAACATCACACTCGGGCCGACAAAACATGGTCCGATACCCTGTGCACCGGAGCATCGTGTGCGGCAACGGAGTGAATGGATTGCTGGCTTTTTGCAGCTTGGTGGGCCGTTCAGACTTGAAGAATGAAGTAGCATCGGTGCGCGGTGCAATCGAGCTCTCTGCGGCAAACCAGACACACGATGATAGTCGTCTTTCGTTTGTGGATATCGATCGCGCGAGTACTGCCTTGGACAAGATCCGCGAATCTGTGCAAAATGCCACCGAGTATGAACGTGGGTGGAACGCTAGTGGTGTGCAGCCTGTGGTCGACTGGCTTGCAACCTCTTCCCAGGCGGCCAGCGGGGAAGCTTTGAACCCAGCTCTAGTCCCTTTGATTGAATCGCTGCTCAATGCGGCCGACGAAGGTGTCTCTGCTCGGGACATCCAAGCTCTTCAGGAACAGACCGTTGGAGTCACCCCTCAGGAAGTCCGCTCCGAGCTTGAGCGTGGAGTTGTCACCTGGGCGGAGCAGGGTCACTCGGAGCTCCGCAGCTCTCTCGAGGCAGGCTTTGCGAGTCCGCGGTGGCGAGGCCTCGCATGGTGGAAGCTTTTCTGGCGGGTTGATGATGTCGGCATGATCACTTCCGAGATCTTGGAGAAACAGTTCCTCCGCCGCGCAGAGCAAGAAGTTATCTACAACTCGGGCAAGTACCAGCAGGCGGGCCTGCTGGAGGAACCCATTACTTCTCCCGAATCCACCACAGACTCAACCCCTGCCAAGTCTGCTCCGCCTCCCTGGCCAACTCTGATCCCCGATATCCGAGCCAAACTGCTCAATACAACCGTGCCCTCCCTCCAAGCCCTCGCCCAGAGCCTGGTGCTCTTCAGCGTCTCCACCACCACCTTGACCTCTTTCCTTTCTGTCCTCACCTATCTCTCCGTCCCCTCTGCTTCGGCCTACGAATCGGCCACCCTTGGTGCCATTGGCCTGATCTACTCTTTGCGCCGCCAGCAGAAGAAATGGGACAGTGCCCGTGGTTTCTGGGAGGACGAGGTACGCGAAGAAGGCCGCACTTCCCTGCTCGAGACGGAGGCACTCCTGCGTCGGATTGTCCGCGAGGGTGGTAAGAGCGTCGGCGATGTGTCCGACCACAGCGCACGAGACGCAATTGTCCGCTCACGAAAGGCATTGGAAGCCGTTCGCTCGTGATTCACCCCTCAATGACCTACTGTACATGTACCATGATTTTAGAATAAACGTCGCTTAGCTGTACAATTTACTCTGCTATGTTATCACTCGATGGAATCCCGTGACAATCTCGGGATGCAGGGCAGTCTTTCCTATTCCACACTCGCTGTTTCAGTTGTGTTGGAGCGATCCTAAATTGTTCGGCAACGAATCGCGAGACCCGCAAAACACAATTTACTTGGGCAGTCGGCTGGGATCAGTGATTGCCGGCAATCTAAAAGGTCGCGGTATGGAATATTTCGAGTGTAAGCAACATTTGAAATGTCTGACAGGTGTGCCCAAGGTGCTGGGTGCCCGGTCGAGTTTTGTTTTGGGGTGTGCCAATTGATACTTCACCCCGGTATGTCTCCGATGACATTCTTCAAGCCCCATATACTTCCAAGGTTCAAAACAAACCCCATTTATCCCCATTTGCCATTATTGTCCAATAATTCAGATACACTCAAAGCGGGAATACGAATGACCGATTCCATATCGAGCCAAGACTCCCTAATATTAGTGGTCTGTTTCATGATGCGCGACATGGCCCAATCCGCGAGCACAGCGTGGGGCACCCGAGACGGTGGAGTTGGACCAAGTCCTTAGCTCAGGAACAACATGAGCGATTCAACGTCTCAAATTGCAGACCAAACGGTGGGTTCCTCACTATCACCCCAAGCACTGGTCATGTTACGTTACAGATTTTGCTAGTGCCAGCCTCGCACGAGGTTCTATTGCACGTTTGCCGGCTGGAAACACCGCCAGATCCGCCCGTCTCTAGAGTGGGCTTTTCATTCCTGTTCATTTCCCGGATGACCCCAATCGTATACGACATGAGCCATGCCCCCGTGCCACTGATTTCGGCAGAGGGGCAGAGGGGCTTAATATTAGGATATCAAGGGATTGGCGGAGTCCTGTAATGTCATAGGACCAAGTGACTAAAGGGGGAACTGGTACTCTATCGTTGGGGCTCTGGGGGTTAAAGTACTTGATAGCTTGATTCCCTTGTTCTGCCTTTGGCCCTTGGTTTCTCTGGTCTTGTCGTATTTCGCCTTCGCTTTGCCGTCCGTTCCTTTCCAGCCCTATCTCAGGGCAAGGCATACACTCGTTCTCCCTACGTTTCGTCTCTCCTTTTTTTATACCCTTCTTCACTCTTTTTGATCAAAGTGGAGGCGCTTTCTATCACACTGGAAATTATCGTATGTATAGTCTGATCCTTTCTAAGTCGGGGAGCCTCGATGTTGATGATCTTTTATAGATCCGATAGCTTCAACTAAGTCATAGCGGGCCGTGTTTGTTTATTGACGTCAGAGAGAACGCATTTGAAAACTAATCGGTAAGATGCATGCCTGAAGATTGACTTTATTTCGCGATCCCACCCCTCAATTGGCCTCTTTGGCGCCCTTGGCAAGGGTGGCAGCCCCGAAGCAAGGGGACCATTCTTTTCAAAGGGAGGCTTCCACGTCGATCTCCGAGGTTCGCGAATAGGATCGCCTCCTTCCTTTCGATGACGATTGATTGGCAATTGGAATCCCTCTCAGCGTCTCCATGGGGCCGGCGCATTGGACGCCTCTTGGTTCAAAACCACTCGTGGCGCCACAGATCCACTGACATCCTTCTAGCGTCACGATCCCCGCCATATACACGAACCATTTTCTTGCTTAATCGTGCTCGCTGCGCCAGTTCCGGTTGATTCGGTGCTCCTGGCGAGTCACTGCCATTCGTTCTCATCAGATATCATTCGTTTATATCGACCGTAAGCGCGTCGACGCGCCTTATACCATTGCAATATGCAGGACATTCGCCTAACAACCGTCTTGGGAGCCTGCCTCACCATTTTTCCTGTCTTTACCAACGCATTTTGGCGCCTTCCCTGCCGTGGGCGAACTGGTGTCGCCCGTTTGGATCCTATTGTTGACCCTGGGATGATCTCCGGGCACGTGCATACGGTCCATGGAGCAGGAAGTGAGCTCCCCATGGCCCTGTTCTGAGAACTAGCTCTGACGAAAATGATACAGACTTCGGCATGAGCGCTGATACGGAGACTCTGCTTGAGTCTAGTTGTACCTCCTGCGCCGTGGAGCAGGACATGTCCGCGTATTGGACTCCTGCTCTGTACTTTATGCACACCAACGGTAGCGCTGAACTGGTTGAAGAGGTCGGAGGCATGCTTGCGTGAGTCCAATTGCTTCATCCGGAAATTAATTTCCATGCTAACGTATCCTGTGAACAGTTACTACCTCCTCTACGGAGAGAGTGTTACAGCATTCCCGGATAACTTCCGGATGTTGGCAGGGGATTCCTTACAGCGAAACTTTACTTGGCCAATCCCTGACCCGCCGAAATCTTCATGGTCTGGCGCCCAGGAATCACAGGCGGCTCTACGCCAAAAGGCCATTGGCTTCAACTGCCTAAACTATGCCAAGGATCCCGAACCATCCCTCTACCGTCATTTCATGCCGAACAAAACTTACCTCGATGAACATTGTACGGACGGGATCCGTATCGAGCTGATGTTCCCATCGTGCTGGAATGGCAAGGATGTCGATTCAGAGGACCACAAATCTCACGTTGCGTATCCGTCTGTCGTGATGGATGGCACCTGCCCGGAAGGATACGAGACGCGCCTTGTTTCACTTTTCTACGAGACAATCTGGAACACATACGCCTTCCAAGACCGGGATGGCTATTTTGCCATTGCAAATGGCGACCCGACTGGATTCGGGTACCATGGCGATTTCATGTACGGCTGGGAAGATGGCGTCCTGCAGCAAGCCGTCGACACTTGCACGAGTGAGACGGGCCTGGTCGGCGATTGCGAAATATTCCGTCTCCAGTCGGAAAAAAAGCAGAGAAAATGTTCCTTTGACATACCATCCGGCCTGCGGCATGAAAATGTCTACATGCATGCGAGTGGATTGCCTGGAGATCTTCTGATCCAATGGGGCCCGGAATATGCCACCATGACAATGCCTTCGGACTCGGACTCGGCCACTACAGCACTGCCGCCCGGCATGTCCATTCCTTCCATTCTGCTGCCATCCCTCTCGCTTAGTCCCACCATCAGTATTGGCAACATGGTCGGTAATATTGACGACTTCGGCACCCAAGAAGCTGCGGCTGCTACTACCGTCTTCTCTACCACCACCTCGACCTCCAACCCTACTCCAATCCCCACTACCTCCATCGAAGTGGACTCCATCACCGAAGAGGTTGTCTATCTGGAACAGGACGTGGTTGTCAAGGTTGACGGAAACGGCACTCCATATGCCACTTCCACTGGCACTCTGCGCACGCTCTCTTCGACGACTATAACCGCTACATCGACATCTACAGCGGTCTCGTACGTTGAAAGGGACATGCCTACAGAACCTGAAAGACGGGAGTACATTGCTGAGCATGCTCGCAGACACATCCACCACCATCGCCACCTGCACAAGAGGTTCTAAGATAGCATGATAAGAGCTTGGTCGGGGAACAGTCCACGCTGAGCGTTGCTTTGCTATTGTCAATATTTTTGAAGTTCACAGCCGTTGCCACGTACTGTTGCAGTGCCATCATCCGTCTTGGCTCGCTGGACTGAGCTTTCCATTTTTGTACATATTTTCTCAGTTTTATTAGACAGTCCATCTGGTATGGTGAAGTGATCATAATGTCATTGTCAAAAAGATTTCAATCTTCCTGGTCATAAGCTATAGGGTTGCTTCGATGGCCTCACCCAGTCAAAACTTATCGGCTCGTGTGTAATCTCCGGGCCTTTTATTTGTGTTCTCCGAGGATCAGCTTGATATTCGTAGAATCGGTTGAACGACAGGGTATTGTCTTAAGCAACCTAGTACCGGGGGGGGGGGGGGGGGGGGGCAGGGTACTCTTTCAAATGCTGAGACAGTATCTGTTTCACGTCAGACATCATCAACATGATGTCTCAGACAGGTTATATGTTGGCGTGGATGAGGGAGGCCTTTGAATTACTGTTGTGTGACCTGGCAGTGGGACTCATGAGACACAAGCAGGACTCGAGTATGCAGTGTAAGAGCTCAACCTGATGACAAGGCTCACCACATTATCATTCTATCTCGCAATTTGAAAAAGCTGCTACCCAAAACGTCGACGACCTCCCTACCAGGATGGATGTTGAACAGCAGATCAGAACGGACAGCGGCGCAACGTGTCAACAGGGTTGCCATTTTTTCTTCGACTTTTTTTTCCAACCATATTGTGTTGCTCTATGGCAAATTTATCTTGCTCCAATTGTCAATCATAATGTCACATCATGAACTCTGGCCACCACAGGAGACACCAAGCCCTGTTCGCCCTGTATATACGTTGTTGATGTTTCAAAAAGATTAGCATCTAGTGCTTGCTATTTTGGGAAATAGCTAGCATGGCATGACTATTCTTATCCAGAGGCGGGGTGAAGGGTTACATGCCGGCTGCCAGGAAGTGATGGCGCTGTCTTATCTGTGTCTCCAAAAGTATACTCTCATGCATAGCTACAGCTACCGTGAGATCTACTACCAGAGATAGCGTTGGATCATTGTGGAAGATTGAACAAAGTAGCAATGGCTTACTCGATGGCGTGTGGGTGGCATATAAGACCATAGTTCTCAACGGATTCATACGATCACACATCAGTAGGCAACAAAAGTATTCGCTTCTATTCGCTGTAGTACAACTATTTGTTCTCATAGTTTGTTATCAACTTGCACGATGGGCTTCTATTACACCACCTGCGTATCTCTCGCCTTCTTTGTCGTTGCCCTAGCGTTTCCTCGGGAGACGTCCGTTAGTGGCCAGTTGAACCTGCCACATGCTACAACATCCGCTTCACCCCCAGCCGTCACCGAAGACGCAAATCTCCGCTGCGTGGACGAATCGACCATCGTGTACACGACTGACTGTACAATGGGCACCCCAGTATCCTATTGCTGGAAGCCTAAACCCCCAATCAAATGTCGAGCAGGCTATTTCCCATCAGTATGGCATCCAGACCACTGCATGGAAGAACAGACCTGTTTCCCGCTAAATGCAGCATGGATCACGACCGAGTGCTCGAACGGTGCTATTCCTTACAGTACAACGACTCTGTACGATGGGACATTGGCTGGAGGAAAGTCCACTGCGATAATCTGTAAGCAGAGATATTCCGCGCGAGACCCGCATCGATTAACTTGATTATAGCAGTATCGTGCTGCTGTGGCACAAATCAATGGTATAGCATGACTATGCTGGATGGAGGCTCCCAATCCGATACATTCTGCATGCCCTGCAATAATTGTCCTCCCGGCATGGTGACTTCCACCAGCACTAATACATACTGTGCATCTGCGACGGAGGCAGCAGCGGTGGCTGCTTGCTCCGATATCTCTCCAGAAGCTCATTACTGCCAGTGTGAAGATCCTATGCAGACTCCGGTGTATCCAGATGAGCCCGGTGCTGCCGCTACGGGATGTGAGTACTAAGTGATATACACTGCGAGGTTTTAAAGGCACGTTTCAGGAAATACGAAGGAATTGGAGCTTGCTATTGGGGGTTGATTTGAAAAGTCGGGGTCCTGTGGGCTCGGTAGCAGTCTCGTAAATGCGGTATCTCCCAAGGTTGGTTGCTGGAACTGGAATCGCTCTTTCAGCTATCGTCGAAACATGTTAAAATTGTGACAGATGGAATCAACAACTTTGCTAAACTTCTTTTCTACGTAGCTACCAGCTACCCCAGTACAAATGACTAATATCCATAGCTTCACCGAGTAGCAAAAGAAGACCCCCCATCGACCATTGCCAGGGGGTTCCATCGGTTTCGCTCCCAATTAGCCCCAACCCGAAAGCACCATCTGAACCAGACGCCACGTGCGTCAGCCCTCCATCGGCGTCCGAATCGGGCAAATACACGGCGTCTTGCCCGAGAAAAGGCTCCGTGCGCACCCCGCATCGGCCCGCATTGTTCAAAGAAGCTACGTAATAGGCAGAAGCTCTCGATTTACCCCTCAAATAACGCCATTCGCCCTTTCTTTGTCTTTTTATTATCGTGTCTCTCGTCCAAAATGGCTGAATCACTCCCTGAAATGCAGTATCGCTCCCTTGGCCGCACGGGCTTGAAGGTTTCTGTTATCTCTCTTGGTAGCTGGCTTACCTATGGCGGACATGTCGGAAATGGTATTGCATTGCATCCCTGGTCCGATTTGAAAAAATGTATGCTGACTATGGAAAAAAGATATTGCGTTTGACTGCATGAAGGCTGCATATGATGCCGGAGTCAACTTCTTCGACACCGCCGAGGTCTACTCGGGTGGACAGTCAGAGATTGTACTGGGAGAGGCGATTAAGAAGTTTGGATGGAAGCAGAATGATCTGGTGATTTCTACCAAGGTATGTTATCACAATTTCCAGGTACAAGATGGTAAAATCCTGACCTTGGACTAGATCTACTGGGGTAAAGCCAACAGCGCCAACCCTGACAAGCCGCTGAACAACCACGGCCTCTCGCGAAAGCACATCATCGAGGGCATGAACCTGTCCCTCAAGCGTCTTGACCTCCCCTACGTGGATGTGGTCTATGCCCATCGCCCAGACCGCGACACCCCCATGGAGGAAGTCGTGCGTGGCTTCAACTACTTGATTGACAATGGCAAGGCATTCTACTGGGGTACATCCGAGTGGTCTGCTAGTGAAATCGCCGACGCTTGGCGCATTGCTGATAGACTGGGTCTCGTCGGCCCCGTCGTGGAACAGCCGCAGTATAACCTTCTCGTACGCGAGCGCGTTGAGAAGGAATACCGCTGGCTGTATGAAGCTCACGGTCTGGGATTGACTGTGTTCTCGCCTCTCAAGGGCGGTATTCTTACCGGCAAGTATAATGATACTACCTCGCCTCCTCCTGAATCTCGGCTGGCGCAGTCTGGGGATGGGTATATCGAGAGCCTGCGCAAGACTGTCGGTGACGATACCTGGCAACGGCAGTTGAAGCAGACTGCTGCGTTGAAAACGGTTGCGGAGGAGCTGGGTGTTTCTACGGCGCAGTTGGCCTTGGCTTGGATTCTGAAGAACCCTAATATCTCTTCCATGATCACCGGTGCGTCGCGGCCGGAGCAGGTCCGCGATAATGTGCGTGCCTTGGCTCTTGTCGATAAGTTGACCGATGAGGTTATGGAGAAGATCGAGGCAGCGGTTGGAAACCAGCCTGAGGAGGAGAAACGGCGGCTCTAGATTAAAATATGGCGACTAGTTTGTGAATACATAGAGATGTCATGAATTCATGTTTATCTGCAGTCTTCAACTATCGTTGAGATACTGGTCAAATAAATCGGCGTAAAACTTCCGTCCCACATCACGATGACTTCGGATCTTTGTCCGCAGTTGTGACTCGCCCCATGTATCATAATTTCCACGCAAAAAAGCCGAGTCGATATGAACCCCTGCATCGACTTCCGATGATGACCTCTTGGTACCAAAATAGTCCTTCAAGGTCCCCAATGCCTCCCCTTTGGTTAGACTACCACGGACACCCTGGAAGAACGGAACACTATATCTTTCGAGAGGGCCAGATAGCACACGGTGAGTTGTAGCTTTGCAGACCCCATGTGTCACCACTTCGAAAGCCTGTCCAATATTCACGACGAAAGTGTCTTGAATGACGGGAACATCAATCCATTCACCATTCTTGTTGAGTGCCTGTAGTCCCTTGACATGGGGAGGGGATGCTTGCAAGAGGAATGTCCACCAGCCGGATGAGTCCTTATGCGGACCAACTCCCTGTGCACGAGAGCCTAATGAAGGATCTGAGGGTGGATAGTGAACAAGCTTGAGACGATGCTGATATGAGAGGAATGAGAAGAGGGCTTTCGAAGGTACGGAAAGAGCCTCAGCAACGAGTGCCAGAAATCGTTCACCAAGTTGTGTGAGCTCCTGAATGTACCTCTCAACAAACTTCCGGGTCTGGGGGTCATCGGACGGCCACTACCTACATGTCAGTCCATTGCGACAGTTAAAGCTGACTGGACGTACCTGATTAGGCCCCATTAATCTTTCATACAGAGGACGTCCATCTCGCCAGGAATTCGGCAACTCTGTCGCAAATTCGAATTGCTCACGCCTATCTTCGGCTCCGGCTGTCGTTTCCGATCCGACGTGGCTGTAACCTAGGAAATGCGGCGAGTTATGAAGGGCCACTTTTTCCTTGGCCTCTTGGTCCAGCTCGAAGAGTCGAGGGAGCAGGTTTCTCAGGTCTTGTATAACCTCTCGAGGCACGCTGTGATTCGACACGTACAGAAAGCCGACCTGTGTGAGGGCGTAGTGGAGCTGTTCCAGAAGCCCTGGACGTGTCTCGGGTGACTCCGCGAGCGAGAGGTCGATAACGGGAATGGATTGAAAGTCGGATGCCATTGTAGGAACTAGAGATGAGGTAAAGGTCGACTACCTAGTTAGCCGAGGTAGTTATCCCCGAGATAGTCACTAGCGAAATCGGCTTCCACCTTAAGTGACTAACAAACTGAAATTACTGAAATAGCGGCTATACGTAATCAGAGGTACCTGACAACAGCTTTACAGCATTAGTTCTACTAAAACCGGCATGGGCGTGTCTCACTATATACGGGACGGATCAAGACCAGTTTTATCACTTTAGTGTTACTGTATGGAATTGTTTCTTAAGCTCTCATCTTGGTCACCTGTTACGACATCTCTGTTTCCGCTTGGTTGTTCAATATTCGTATTGCGGGATGAACCCAAATGACTTTTGTGGAATATAGTGTGCAGGAATATTTCAACGGCTGCTTCAACAGCTGCTCTGGAACGTGCTAAGAAAGCTGGCCCAACTAGATTGCTCCCCCGCCCGACCGGATGCTGTCTTGTGTATCCCAGTCTTACTACCTACCACGTTCGTCATTGTTCTTCTCATCGAAACAAATACACAAGGCGGCGATCAGTGCTGCGTCTACACCAGGTGCCACAATGACGGCGTAGGTCTGCTGCCCAAACGCAAGATCGCGGCCGCTAAGCAGTTTGCGGTCAATGCGAGCCACGGTTTGGCCGGTTTTATGATTGACAATATCGGCACTATGATCATACCAGCCTCCTTTCATAATGAAAGTCACTGCCTTGTCGTTATGATCAGTGAAAGTGGCGGTGGCTTTGGAGCCGAGTACTAGTGCAGTCAGTAATGTCCATATCATATGGGGTCTCCTTTGTCATTCCGGATGGCGTTGGATCATAAAAGACAGAACTTACCCGTGAGATTACTCTTGACCTCACAAACCTTCTTGTGATGGGGGTCTTCGATCGCATACGTGCTATGGAGGTGCAGATGCTCCTTGACAATATCAAACAGATGCTTGCCGTGGGCGTCCTCGACCTTCTTGCGACCAGAAAGCGATACCCAGGCTCCATGCACTTTCAGAATCGGCTGGCCATCGGCCAATTTGATTTCGAAGCTGTCCCCAGAGACGGAGAGCACCTTTTCTCTCAGGACTAATGTCTGCGGCTCGCTCGAAACAAATTGTTCGAATATGGCGATAGGCTCGACGACAGGGTCGAGATTGTGGTGGCCCCAGATACCCATGGTGACGGATGGATTCAATTAAAGCCTTTCCAAAGATAAAGGAAAATCGATCACAGGAGCGCGCGGGGCAGAGTCACGGTGAAGCCGATCGTCGCTCGGCATCACGTGACATCTACTTCCAACTCGTGGCGTCATCAGGCGTCATTATCTAGTTTTATTGTTGTTCTGGACGTGTTTACGAGTAATACTTTTCTAGAAAGCATAGAACTTTTCATTAACCACTTCCTTTCTCGCTTTGACCGAACCCTATTAGTAAACATCAACAACCGATATGATGTACCAACAATCTTATTCCTTTCTTTTTTGTATCCGCCATTGCGAGGCCAGGATTATGAAGTCTACCTACCCACAATAGTGTATAGTATGCAAATGAATTATTCATTAGAATCAAGTCAATAAAAGCGTCGATCGAGTGAATATTGAGGACCTAAAAAGAAGAAACGCCTTTGCATTGTGCAATTCGGCATCCATTTCTATCGATCCAATCAACTAGATCAACAGGCCCTGGTATTTGGTGCATTGCGTTTAGGTTATTTCTAGGTAGTTTTATTGCTGGGGTTTGTTTTAATCGGTTGTCGGTTTCTACTGGGAGCGCCAACGCGAAGAATGAAGCTACCTTAAAACGCTTATTGTCTAGAAAATGAGTTAAGTAATAATAATAATTTTCTTGAATAAGAAAAGAGCCAAGTCCTGCTGGGCAAGACTACACTACAGTAGCGCTTGACCACCGCCCCAGAAGCAAAAGAGGTAATTATGGTGTTTATCAAGTATTATTGGCTCTTTGGTCCCCACCTGCCCGGATGTCCGTGCATTTCCTAATACCCCGACAGCCCCAAATCTACCAGCGATGTTTCCTCACCTGGCTCATACAAAAACTTCATGGGCCAGAGGCCAGTGACGTAGTTGTTTCCATATCTGCCACGTCTCCTAGATTCAGTATTTCTCACCAGAAAAGTACGGACGTGACCAATATGATTGTATGGATATCTATCCCTACACGTAACTACTGACCCATCAACACTCATCACATTACCACAACTCATTTAGTGGTAGTCTATACCAACTTTATACCTTTTTAATATACCGATAGCAAGGTCGCGGGCCATTGTAGAAGAGTGAGATGAGGGTATTAAATCAGCCACTCATACCAATTACGCTTTTGCCAAGAGCTCCTCCCATTCACTTCAACCCCTCACACCCAGTGACTATCCGCTTTGCCACTTGGATTGCCAAGATGACTGCAGTCTGCAGGCAGCATAATAACCCAGCTTCATAAGAAGATTTAATCTCGTCACCTCTACAATACGCTATTTAGAGATATGTCAACTGCCAATATTAAAGTGCCTTTGAGGACTACCAATCAGATCCCTGCTTCTCCTTTGAAACCAGAGGAAAGCGAGTGCTATCCAGGGAATGGACCAGGCGAGAGCGCAAATTACAGCAATGAGAGGGGCATCCAGTTCCCTCCGAAGGAAGTTTCAGCGCAAGATTCCGACGACCTTCAACAGCTTGAGGATACAGGCTTTGGTAACACCGCCGATCAGAGCACAGGCGCTGGTCATGGCCACATCATCAATTCACCTAGAAGAAATATCTTTCTTAAATTCCTTAAAAAGGGATTTCCTCATCAAGGCAACTCCAGTACCCATGGCACCCCAGACTCAGCAGTTCAAGTCATCAAAAGTACATCGCCAAAAGCGCGCCAGCCGAAAGAGGACCTTGATCCCAGATCAAAGCTTCTCTTGTCCGAGAAACCATCGTCTGAAATTCCCAAAGCCACAAGTGAATCCATTTTGCGGAGACAAAACGAATTTAACCTAGAAACGATTATTTGGGATGATTCCTCTCGAGGTCGCAGCAATATGGAGAGATCCACCTTAATTGATCTAGATGGAATGATTTCACGATTACTACAAGTGGAAAAATCAAGGGTTGACAAAAAATTATGTCTCAAGACTGATGAAATTCTGTCTATTTGCTCGGCCGCCCGCAATACGTTCCTTTCCCAGCCTGCTCTCCTGGAACTAAATGCTCCAATTCAAATCGTTGGGGACATCCACGGTCAATATTTAGATCTTCTTCGATTATTTGAAATGTCTGGATTTCCTCCTGCATCAAACTATTTGTTCTTGGGGGACTATGTTGACCGCGGCAAGCAAAGCTTGGAAACAATGCTTCTGCTTCTATGCTACAAACTCAAATACCCCGAAAACTTTTTTTTACTCCGGGGGAACCATGAATGCGCCAATGTCTCTCGAATCTATGGGTTTCATGACGAGTGCAAGCGAAGATGCAGTGTTAAAATCTGGAAAACATTCACCGATGTCTTTAACTGCCTTCCAATTGCTGCGGTTGTGGCCGAAAAGATCTTCTGTGTGCATGGAGGCCTTTCTCCAAATCTCGTTGATATGGATGAGATCCGAAATATCGCTCGCCCCACCGAAGTGCCTGATCAGGGTCTTCTAAATGACCTTCTTTGGAGCGATCCCGCAAATATCAAAGACTGGGCACCCAATGATGATCGAGGTGTGAGCTGGTTCTTTGGAAGGAAGCCTCTTACGAATTTCCTGAAGCGCCACGATTTGGACTTAGTATGCAGGTCACATATGGTGGTTGAAGGGGGATATCAATTTTTTGGGGAGCGGGATTTGGTTACGGTTTTTTCAGCACCAAATGTGAGTATCCAAATCCGTTATTGGCTGGCCGCGGGCATAGGTCCTGACTCAATCTTTCGTTCCAAGTACTGTGGCAAGTTCGACAACTGGGGAGCTAGTATGGAGGTCTCTGCTGACCTTCGTTGCAATTTCAATGTGTTGAAACCATGTGATGGGATTGCTTTGAATAAGCGAACGGTGAGAATGGGTAGGTCGAGGAAATGGGGGAAACCTCTATGAGTACTTGGTCCCTGCAATTTTTATTTTCTATTTTTTGCTTTTCTCGAATTATGTGAATAATCTTGACTTGACTTAAATGATAAAGGCCATACAAGGGACCTTTAACCTAACGTTGTTTCTTGCTGGTCGTTTTGTCGTGAATACATCTTTTTGGGCGTATGAAAGGGTCGAGGAATAGCTTGCTCCTAGTATTGTACTATTCTTATAATGACCACCAACATTAGGTCCCCAAGGTATCACTACTGAGGATTGACATCAAACTGCCCAAGTTCCGACTTTAGTTTCAGACGATGTTGAAAGGGAGCGGATACTTACGATACATTGCTCAAATGGCACGCTCGAGATCAGAATAGCCTCAAAGGTCGCCCGTGCAATAGTTACCGGCATGCCGATGTGCACGGCTTGCTGCTCCGCCTGACGGACCACCTCTTCATTACGGGAAGGTACATTCACAGAAGCGCGTGTGGACTTGAAACGCGTGGCCTCGCGCACGTAGGCGGCTCTAGAGAATGCAGGCGCGTTAATGAAAATAGGGTTGGGTGAAATGACAGTGATCAAGGAGTCAGGAGTTACCGTACCGTTGATTGAGCAGATTTAAAAGCCGATCATCAATATCGTCGAGCGCGGTGCGCACATCGTCGAGAGAGTTGCAGCATGTGGTAAGCGTACCGTTTAGGGATGAAAAGTGCACACTAGGGGAGCCCCAGGGCACAGAGCGATGATCGGTAGAGGGAGAGATCGTAGGAAGAGCGGATCCATAGCAAGAGTCTGCAATTGAAGACGCGGTGGGGGCAGACGTCAAGAGAGAAGTAAGCAAGGGAAGAAGGCCCTGCAGAAGCATGATAGATCAGTTCAAACTTGCAAGTCGGGTGAGGGATGCCAGAACACCAACACCGATTGAGTTCTGTTTGAATCACTCGCGGCAGACTCGGGATGTCTTAACCCTGCAAGGTCGAGATATGTTGACTGTGGAGCCTCGCGTCGACGATCTTAACTCGATGTAAACAGATGCAGGCGGCACACACTCAATATTGGGCGCGTCGGCCCGTTAAGACCGGTGTCAATTGCATGTTCGAATGACAAAAATCTCGTACTGGGAATAACAAATGCCATGCTTTCTCTTATGCAACGCCGTGAATGTTGAACGTCGTCCCCCCGTACCCGGAGCTAATGCCGGGTACTCAACGGCCATAAAGGCCTTGTCGGCGTCTGACGTGCGGGGGAACGGAATTCACGCCGATCCTGCGGGCCAACTGCCCCTCCTCCCCTCTTTACTTTTTAGGGCCTTCGTACTTCCTGTCGAGTTCAATTCTTCTTTCTCCTATAATCAATTCGAACAAAATGGCTCAAGGCTCGCGACTGCAAGGAAAGGTTGTCATTGTCACGGGTAAGTCCGGCCTACCTTAACTTCCGCAATGTACATTGGCCGATCCATATTCTACAGGAGGCGGCTCCGGCTTTGGCGCGGCTATCGCCCGTCGATTCGGCGAAGAGGGCGCCAAGGTTATCGTGGCGGACATCAATGTCGAAGGCGGCGAAAAGGTCGCCGCGCAGAACCCCACCAGCCTGATCTTCCAGCGCATGGATGTTACACAAGAGAGTGATTGGAAGACCGCTGTCGACCTGGCATTCTCCAAGTTTGGTGGACTGGATGGGTTGGTGAATAACGCGGGAACGACCTACCGGAACAAGGTTGGTACATCTGTCTGCAGAGAATGGCCCAATGCTGATGTCTCCAGCCCACCGCCGAGGTCACCGAGGATGAATGGGAGCGCGTCTTCAGGGTTAACGTCAAGAGCATCTTTCTGGCTGGTAAAGTCGTGATGCCTCGCTTTATTGAGCAGGGCAAGGGTGGATCCATGATCAACATTTCTTCCACCGGCGCAAGTCGCCCACGGCCTGGTCTGGTGTGGTATAACGCATCCAAGGGCGCCGTTACAAACGTACGTGGTTTGACAAAGAGACGAACTAAGGACATAGGCTGATTTCCACTAGGCTACCAAGGGCCTCGCTGCCGAGTACGGTCCCCACAACATCCGTGTGAACTGCGTTGCTCCTCTACTCTCGGGAACGGGTCTGTTTTCCATGTTCACCGGTATGGAAGACACCCCGGAGAACCGAGAAAAGTTCATTGGAAACGTGCCACTGGGTCGTCTCACGGAGGCGGACGATATTGCCAACATGTGTCTGTATCTTGCCAGTGACGAGGGCAGTTTCATCAACGGCACGGAGATGGTGGTTGATGGCGGCAAGTGCATTTAATCGAATTGTAACCATTAGAGATAGCGATGTTGGCTAACCCAAGAATCCATTGCCAAATTTTTAAACACCATTATAAGATCTAAAAAGTTTCTTCCTGCAGTGTCCTGTGGTTCCACGGTATTGCGATCGACTTGCATGCACAGTTGGAGGTGTTGGGGGTAGATGTATAGACAAGGTGAGACTTGGGTAAAGTGAAACACGCCAGTGTCATATTGCTTTTTCTAGAGCTAGGGTTCGCCCATACAATGGACATGAATTCGTCATAGACATTGCCACGGATTGATCCTATACCCGATCCATTTGGGACTGCGTCAACCCGAAGGCGCCGGAGCCGCCAACGTGGGATCTGCGCCGTTGTGGCCGCCAATAAAGTGCATTGTGAAGCGGGAAATTACAGAGCCAATTAATGATAGGTGGGTTTCACCGGCAGGTAGGGGCCAGAAAAAGTCAGAAAAGCCACCGGCTGGCACGAGTGGAATCTGCGTGGGGTGAGAAAAAAGGGCAAAAAAAGCAGGAAGTGGGGAGAAGAGGCACGATCCACGATCCCCGACTTATCGGGTGATCAGCAGAATGCCTCCAAACCCCTCTCTGCCTCGTATTCTTTTCTCCTGTCAACTATGCTGTGATCGCTGAGTCTTCATGTCTTCACCCTCTGCACCTCCCTCCCGTCCATGGAGATTCGAACCGGAGGCGCCCCAGTGACCGAGACGTCAGAGTTACCCGAGTCGCGGCCACAACCCACCTCTGCGCGGAAACGCGTCCGCCGCTGGCACCATCGAGGTTTCACCGGCTGCTCAACTTGCCGTCGCCGCCATGTTCGCTGTGATGAGGCCTCGCCCATATGCAATAACTGCACCCGCTTGGGGCTCGAGTGTGATGGGACACAAGGGCGGATGACGTTCAAGGTCTACGGGCCGTCCCAGACCCAGGAATCACCCAAGCCGCCGCGGGGGAGAAACAAGACAGCCAGCCCAGACTCCTGTGGTGCATCGTCTACGGGGTCACTGGCCGTGAAGAAGGAGGACCGGAAAGGTTCATGGCAGGCCGTGGTGGTGTCACCGACCACAGTACCGCAACCACAACAACAACAACAACAACAACCGATCTTCTTTCGCTTCCAGGAACCCTTGGGCCCGGCCAACCTAGCGAATTTGCAATGTACCGATGAGCTCTATTTCACACACTTCATCGACCAAGTGTCCACTCTCCTCATCATTTACGACAGCCCCATCAACGCAAACCCGTACCGCAGTTACTTTCCCGACTTTGCTCGCTCGTCCCCGTCGATGGTGGGTGCCATGCAGGCCTTGGGCGCGTTACATTTGGCAAATACATCGGTCGGACCGCAGCGAAATAAACATTTCCAGAAGGCGATGGGCAAATACGGGCAGGTTGTGCAGATGTTCAGGGCTCGGTATGCTGCACCGAAGCGGCAACTCGGGATGACGGACTTTGCGACGTGTCTACTGCTGTGTCTGTTCGAGGTGGGTTTCCTTTTTTTTTTTTTTGGTCTGAATGGATTGGAACGCTTTATATTGACTGCTGCAGATGATGGACTCCCAACACCTGAACTGGGCTGTACATCTGAAAGGAGCCCGCGAGATCTATAACCTCCTCTTCTATCCACATACCGGCAGCTCCGAACGCGAGGTTCAACGAGTCGCCGACACAAATCACCCTCTTCGATCATTCCTTGTATCGTTACTATCTTATCTCGATGTTGCCGGCGCATGTGCCACACCCGGTGGCACCGTGGTTGATGGCAGTTACTGGAAGACCCTCGGGGGCGGATGGGAGTACAATCTCGGCACTCCGAGCCTGTCAGGTATCCACGATGATCCAACTTTAGTAGAGTTGCGGTCGGCGTGGTCTGGCATGATGGAGGTCCAGGCAGCCATCAGCACTCTCGCTCGCGACAAGCAGTGGATGTCTCCAGAGCAGCAGGATATGGTGTACAAGGAAATCTTCAACCGGCTGGTGGTCTGGCGTGCCAGCACGCCGGTCAGTTTGCAGCTTCTCGGAGATATGGAGTTGGATGATGAGACCCTTGACCGATTCCCGTTCCTCGACATGCTAGAGTACGTGGGATGCATCGAGGCCTACGAAAAGGCAACATTTGTGCACCTGCATCAGGTAGCCGGAGCCGGTCGATCAGGCTGGATCACCGATCGAGCCTATTTGGACATGCTCATCACTCGCATTTTGACATTGATCCGCAAGCTGTCCAAGGACGTGGGTCAGTTGGCAGTGCTATGGCCTCTTTTCATAGCCGGCCAGGAAACCCGAAAGGAAGAAGAGCAGCAGTACGTTCGTCAGACGATGCAAGAACTCAAGCGGTTCGGATTCCGAAATGTCGACAAAGGCCTCGAGCTACTCGAAAGCGTGTGGTTTAAGCGACGCACCTTTCCCCAGGGGTGGACCGAGACGCTGGATGAAATTCAGTCTAATATTCTCCTGCCCTGATTTGCTTTGCTGCAACTCTTCTCTGAACATACCTTTTCCCATTTGCGCAGTGCAGTTCAAGTGGGCAGGACTTGGACGATGTCAACCCTGCATATGTTTTCCTCTCTCCATTGCCAGACTACTGTACGTCTGACATAGCTATAGACACGACGCTTCATGAATCTTGAGCCCGCAAAGGCTGTCATCTATTCTTCATATCTTGCTTATATTGGAAGCGCGTTTTCATTTTGAACTCTACGGGATTTGAAACCCATTGTATAGATATACGAATTTTAGCATTTCTTCTCACTTCACTTCAGCCCTATCGACAAGTTGATAGAAACCCAGGCAACCATGCGTGGCTGAAGAATCTATACCAGCCACGAATTATAAGTAGTTCGAGCCGAGGGTGCAAAGACCAGCTCCGCGAACCACGGGCCCGACCGCGGGGCCAGATCCCGTCCTATCGGGTCCCCAAACGAACAGGCCAGGCCCGGGAGTACAATGAAAAAAAGAACTCGGCCCCCGCGGACCAGACCACTCCGGGCGTATCTAGAAATCAAAGACCGATATTGATCGTCTCGGGTCGCTACACGAGCCCGTGACCGAGCCATGTCTTTTTAAAGTGATACAGTACGGTCGCATTGCGGTTAGAGCGTGAACTGCGGCATCGCGTGCCCTGGGCAGCACGTTTCACAGGTTCCTGGCGCCCCTTCGTAATCTTCCCGCGGTGGGGCAGCCTTGACCGGGCCGCAAAACGGCATTCAGGGTTTTCAATGAAATTTATTTATCTGCGCTCTTGAGCAAAAATTCTTCACACCTTTTCGCTCGCTGTCACTCGCAATATAGGTTGCCTTCGCCTTGCAACCATGGTGCCCGAGCAGGAACACGAGCACCAGAGCGTCGCTCGCGACGAGCTTATCACTACTGGAGAGGATGATCGGAGTGATATGCAGGCCAAGGATGATGCGGCTTTGCTGGTGAGTAAATGCAAATGAGCTATTGATGAAGACTCTTACTGACACGATCCAGCGAACCATGGGCTATAAGCCGGTATGTTGAGACTGATTGATAGATGATCGGAAAACTCACGACCCGCAGGTGCTTCATCGGACCTATACGTTGTTCGAGAACTTTGCCACCACTTTCGGTATTTCACCTTCAAAAATATTGACTCGTTGCCGTGCTAATTGTCCCAGCTGCGCTCTACTTCGTCGGTGGCGTGCGCGTCACGTACAGCACCGGCATTGCTGCCGGTGGTAACTTGGCTTACTGGACCAGCTACCTGGTTACGATGGTCTTTACCTTCATCACCGCTGCTGTGATTGCCGAGGTTTGCTCGGCATCCCCATCGGCCGGCTCGATCTATATCTGGGCTGCTGAGGCGGGTGGTCCTCGCTTTGGCCGGCTGCTTGGTTTCGTCGTCGCGTGGTGGAGTACCACTGCTTGGACGACCTTTTGCGCCAGCAACACGCAGTCTGCGGTTAATTATATGCTTGCCGAGCTGACTGTCTTCAATGTCGACTTCCCCCAAAACACCGACAGCGTCAAGTTCCGCGCTGTCCAGTGGATCTGTACCGAGGTTCTCCTTGCCCTGGCTGCTCTGCTGAACTTCCTGCCGCCTCGCTACTTCAAGTGGGTGTTTTGGGCCTCCGCTGGTTTCGTCATGCTCGATTTCTTCCTGAACATTATCTGGCTGCCCATTGGCACGGCCCAGACCTGGGGCTTCCGCTCTACCCACGAGGCCTTCATGACTACCTACAACGGTACTGGTGCTCCGGCTGGTTGGAACTGGTGTCTTTCCTACCTGGCCACTGCCGGTATCCTGATCGGTTTCGATGCGTCGGGCCATGTGGCGGAAGAGACCAAGAATGCTTCCGTAACTGCTGCCCGGGGTATTTTCTGGAGCACCATTGCCAGTGGATTCGGCGGTCTGGCCACCATCATTCTTTTCCTGTTCTGCGCTGTAAGCGACTCCTTCAACGGTCTAGTAACCCAAAATGCTGATTATTTTGTTTTCCCCAGCCTACTGCAGACAAGCTCATGGAGTTTGGCTCCCCTCAGCCTTTTGTTCCGCTCTACGCCGTCGTCCTGGGCCAGGGCGGACATATTTTCATGAACATCATCTGCATTGTCGCCCTGTGGCTGAACACCGCCATTGCCATCATCGCCGCCTCCCGTCTGGTCTTCGCCGTTGCCCGTGACGGTGTGCTGCCCTTCTCCGGCTGGGTCTCCAAGGTGCAGGGCGGCCAGCCCCGTAACGCGGTCATCGTCGTCTGGGGAGTCGCTGCTCTTGTCACCTGCACCATTCTCCCGTCGAACGTAGCTTTCACCTCGCTCGTCTCCGCAGCTGGTGTCCCCAGTGCTGCCGCCTACGGTCTCATCTGTCTGGGTCGGCTGCTCTGCACGCCGAACCGCTTCCCCAAGCCGAAGTGGAGCTTGGGCCGCTGGAGCAAGCCGTTCCAGTTCATCGGTGTGTTCTGGAACGGCTGGGTTGTGGCCGTTCTGTTCTCGCCTTACGAGTGGCCTGTGACTGGGGCAAACCTGAACTGTAAGTTCTTCTCTCTGAGTTTGTTGAATTCCCCAACTGATTATTTGACTAGATGCTCCCATTATCATGGTTGGCGTCACCATCCTCGCCCTGGTTTCCTACTTTGTCATGCCGGAGAGCGCCTGGCTTCCTAGCGACCGCATCTCGCATTTCATCGACACCAAGGGTGCCGTTGAGACCTTGGAAGAAGTCGGCTCTTCAGTTCATGCTGAGGCGAACGACAGCCGATGATGTCTCAATAGTCATCCCTAACGGCCTTCTCGGGCACTATGCCTAGAGAGCACATAAAAATAAGAGGTCTTTTCCTATGGCCTCTTTCGATCGTTGTATAAGATACACTTGAGCACATACGCCGCTTCCAGGCTCATTCATATAATCAATGCATATATTCAAATAGAGTCAAGTTTTATTCCAAATCATCACCCGTTAATCCTTCAGGAATTTCCTATGGGCTGCCCATATGTACCGGGTTTCTCTACTCATCTCTCCGCCGAAGCGGGTAACCCGGTAACTCGGATGTGCGGCTGTTCGATTACGGCAGCGAGTGCGGGGGAGTGGCTTGACCCCTGACCTCAGCGCGAACTTTCAATCAGCTATCTAGTCCCCCGGGTAAATGCGAATTTGGATTTAATGAGGTCACCGGCATCTTCGCTTCAAGCGCAAGTGTCATATAAATCCGAATCTCCAGGTGTCAACCGTCGCGGTGGAGTAGGGCGGGAGATCCATCTTCTCCACCCCCCGTGCGGGGGAATAAGATGTGGCGGGTCTAGTAAATAACCGGACCAGCGGGTGCCAGGCCAAGCTCATGGCTCACGAACCCCCAAGGACTAAGAGCGACTACCGTTTCATTGCATGGTGGGAGCCCTGTAACCGCCCTCTTTGTCCGAACCTTTCCCCTTCTTCTCTCCTTACCCGTTCTCCCTCCCTTGACTCAACCTCGCCCACCTCAGATGCGCCCGGTTCTTGTCTGATCGCCCTGCGAGACTCCAGCCATGAGTGTCTCGCTGCCCTTGAGGTCGGCGCTGGGGTGCCTGGTGGCCCCCAGCACTCGCGCGGGGGAAAGTGCTCCTTGCGCCGTCCGGTAAGCTTCGCTTTGTGACGGCTCCCGGAGGTAGTTTCTAACTCTCATCCAATCAGTCTCGCAAATTCACCGATTCTCGTTCTGTACCTCTTCGAAGACGCGTTCGCTCGCTTTGCCTCAATGGTCGCTCGTGTCGCTCGTCTCCAAACGAGCCGCTTCCACCGCTCCTCCGGCTTCGGAGCCCGTCTCGGCAACACCGTATTCCGAGCTGACCATCGGTGTCCCAAAGGAAATACACCAAAATGAGCTGCGCGTGGCGATCACTCCTCAGAATGTTGCTCTACTGCTTAAGAAAGGGTTCTCGCGTGTGTTGATCGAGCGTGGTGCTGGCGAGGGAGCCCAACTACTGGACCATGCCTATGAACAAGCCGGCGCGACAATGGTCGATCGCGATGCGGTCTGGTCCCAGAGTGACATCGTGCTGAAAGTTCGAAGCCCCCAGGTGGAAGGTCCTCTCAACGAGGTGGAAGGTCTACGCAAAGGCTCGACCATTATCTCTTTCTTGTATCCCGCCCAGAACAAGCCCATTGTCGACGCGCTGGCTGCCCGTGGTGTGACCGCGTTTGCTATGGATCGCATTCCTCGTATTTCTCGTGCCCAGGTCTTTGATGCTCTGAGCTCTATGGCCAATATTGCCGGTTATAAAGCTGTACTAGAGGCTTCAAACCACTTCGGTCGCTTCTTGACCGGTCAGGTAACTGCCGCAGGAAAGATCCCTCCCAGTAAAGTCCTCGTGATCGGTGCGGGCGTCGCGGGTCTGTCAGCCATTGCCTCGGCCCGACGCATGGGTGCTATCGTCCGAGGTTTTGATACTCGTCCAGCTGTCCGTGAACAAGTCCAGTCTTTAGGTGCGGAATTCATCGAGGTTGATTTGGAAGAAGATGGTTCTGGACAAGGTGGCTACGCAAAGGAAATGTCCAAAGAGTTCATCGAGGCCGAGATGAAATTGTTTATGGAACAGGCCCGTGAGGTCGATATTATCATCACGACGGCTTTGATCCCTGGGAAGCCAGCCCCAAAGCTAATCACCAAGGAAATGGTAGCTGCCATGAAGCCTGGTTCGGTCATTGTTGATCTTGCGGCCGAAGCTGGTGGTAACTGCGAAGCAACTGTTCCTGGTCAACTCTCAAACTACAAGGACGTCACGATCATCGGCTACACGGATCTTCCTTCTCGTCTGCCCACTCAGTCTTCGACTCTGTATTCCAACAATATCACGAAGCTTCTGCTGTCTATGGCACCCAAGGACAAGTCGTACGGTATCGATTTCAATGACGAAGTGGTTCGTGGATCCATTGTCACACGCGATGGTGAAATAATTCCTCCAGCCGCACCGCCTGCCCCGCCTCCGGCACCGAAGGCAGATGCCCAGAGTGTTGCCGCAAAGAAGGAAGAAGTTGCGCTCACGCCGTGGCAGAAGGTTACTCGGGAAGTGGCCACCGTCACGGGAGCCATGGGCGCCACACTCGCTCTTGGTAAAGCTACTGGTCCCATGTTCATGGGCAACATGATGACATTCGGTCTTGCTGGTCTGGTCGGCTATCGTGCAGTCTGGGGAGTAGCACCTGCTCTTCACTCGCCCCTTATGAGTGTTACCAATGCCATCTCCGGTATGGTTGGTATCGGTGGTCTGTTTATCATGGGTGGAGGCTATACCCCGACTACTCTCCCTGAATACCTCGGTGCTGCTTCTGTTCTCCTGGCGTTTGTCAATGTCTCGGGTGGATTTGTCGTGACAAAGCGCATGCTCGATATGTTCAAGCGCGCCACCGATCCTCCAGAGTACCCGTGGCTGTATGCTATCCCCGGTGTTGTATTCGGCGGTGGCTTCCTGGCTGCTGCAAGTACTGGAATGGCTGGTATTGTTCAAGCTGGATATCTTGTCAGCACCATTCTTTGTATGAGCTCCATCTCCAGTCTGGCTTCACAACAGACTGCGCGCCGCGGCAACATCTTCGGCATCCTGGGTGTCGTTTCTGGAATTCTTGCCTCGCTGGCTGCAGTAGGCTTCTCGACTGAGACTTTGACTCAGTTCGCTGCTGTTGCTGGTACTGGTGTTCTGGTTGGAGGTTTGATTGGACGCCGCATCACCCCTACCGGGCTTCCTCAGACTGTCGCTGCTCTGCACTCGGTCGTTGGTCTCGCTGCTGTTCTGACCAGCATCGGCAGCGTGATGGCCGACATCGCTGACATTTCGACTTTGCATTTGGTTACGGCGTATATGGGTGTTCTCATCGGTGGCATCACGTTCACTGGTTCGATTGTTGCCTTCATGAAACTCGCCGGCCGAATGTCGTCCACTCCGAAGATTCTCCCGGGGAGACATGTGATCAACTCGACATTGCTGGGCAGCAACATAGCAACCATGGGAGCTTTCGTAACCATGGCCCCCGCAAACCCAACGATTGCGTTAACCTGTCTAGGTGCAAACACTCTCCTCAGTTTCATGAAAGGATACACCACGACTGCGGCTATCGGCGGACCTGATATGCCGGTGGTGGTTACAGTTCTCAACGCCTATTCTGGCTTCGCTCTAGTCGCTGAGGGACTGATGCTCAACAATCCGCTCTTGACTAGTGTCGGGTCACTCATCGGGGTCAGCGGTTCTATCCTGTCGTACATCATGTGTGTCGCCATGAATCGATCGCTCACCAATGTTTTGTTTGGCGGTCTTGGCACCCCGGCACAGCAAACGCAGAAGAAGATCGAGGGCGAAGTCACGCAGACAAACATCGACGATACAGTGGAGGCACTTTCGGGTGCTGAGAATGTCATCATCATCGTCGGCTACGGAATGGCTGTCGCAAAGGCTCAGTATCCTCTAGCCGAAATCGTCAGCATTCTCCGTGCTCGCGGCGTTAATGTCCGCTTTGCTATCCACCCCGTGGCTGGCCGCATGCCCGGGCAGTGCAATGTGCTCCTCGCCGAGGCATCCGTTCCGTATGATAGTAAGTACTGACTAGTTCCTCTTACCTGAAAATTCTAACCCCCTGAAAGTTGTCCTGGAAATGGACGAGATCAACGAGGACTTCTCCGATACGGACGTGACCCTGGTAATCGGCGCCAATGACACCGTCAACCCAATTGCTCTTGAGCCCGACTCTGCGATTTCCGGAATGCCGGTCCTGCACGCTTGGAAGAGCAAGGAAGTGATTGTCATGAAGCGGGGCATGGCAAGCGGATACGGTACGTCCTTCATCTACTCTATATTAACCGCGACTAATATGGCTTGAACTGAACAGCTGACGTCCCCAACCCGATGTTCTACATGCCTGGAACGAGGATGCTCTTTGGAGACGCGAAGGCTTCTTGTGATGGTCAGTATTTTCCCTACGCCAGTCTATCCGTATACTAACTTGTCAATAGCTATCAAGTCGGCCCTAGAGGCAAGGAAGTAGATATAGACATTTTTCATACCCTTACCCGTCGTGCTATCTTACTGTCAAATTTTGTGATCACGTCTATACTCTCTGCACTGCCCCATTCCCCGGTTCACTTTTTTACTCTCTAGCTGCCAGTATTTTACTCTGCAATATACCAAGTTTCCATTGAAGTATCTCATCTTTTTCTTCGTCCTGATTGTTTGATTCTTGATCTTCGTGGTACCCACTCGTACTCTTCATTCTTCTGTTGGAAGAGCCGACCAGCAAAACTCATCATCTGGTTGACTGACAACGCTCCAGCCAAATAGTCAAATAGTCATGTCATCAACCTTGCCTCGCCGATAAAAACAACCTTGGAACCCAGAGATCAACTCAATCGTATAAATCAAGAACAATGCTACCGATAAAATAAGACATTATGCAGCCTGGAACTGCAGCAAACCTCCGAACCAGTTTCAAACATGGTTAAAACCCCACGGCAGAACCAGAGATATTCAACCCAAACCAAACCTCCAGATTCCCGAACAAAAGAAAAACCAGTGACAAAATCCGCCCATATAAAAAAACATTACTAAATTAAGATAAAACTCGCTAAGATTTCGTAAAAGTCCTCTTCCCAAGTTTCAAGCCCATAAAGCCCCTCCCACCAAAAGCAGAGCTGTTATGTCTCGCATGACGGCGCTGGCTCGGTTTCCGCACAACGTGAGAATCATAGTTGATCGCATTCAGATTGGGCTGGCTTGCGGCAGCAGGGATGGGGGCAGAGGCGTCCATTTCGGAACGCAGGCTGGCCATCGACGCGACGCTGGATGAGGCGGAGTGTTTACGAGCCATGCGGCGCATCATCGGGGATCGTTGTGCGAGCATGTTACTCATGCTGCGTTTGGAAGGGTGGCTGAGTGGCTGGGGAGAGAACGTGGGGCCGCAGGTGTGTGAGTACAGGGAGGCTGTTTCGCTTCGGTCGGCGATGTAGCCCAGTCTGATGTCGTCTGGGAAGGGGGAGGCCGGGCGTGATGAGTAGGATGGCACGCTGCTGTTGCTGCTGCTGCGGATGGAGGCTGGGCGGCGCCCTGGCTCTGTTGGGCGGCGGGTGCGGGGGTTACTGGCTGGTGTTGGGAAGGGCTTTTCGCAGCCTGCTGTGCGCGGTCGTGCTCGATACATTGACTGGTCTCTCGTGTGAGGTGATGGTGGGATGTAGGGGACCACCGGAATCTCAGACACTCGGTTGATGGTGGCGCTTTGGATGGGCGGCGTGTCCTCTTCTGGCATAGCAGGTGTTGGACTGTCTGGCTCTTCATGCTCCTCGAGTGTCTGTGAGGGTCGAGGGGACGCAGATGGGGTCTCGACCAGGCGTGGTACATGGAGGCTGCTCTCGGTCTTTTCGGGGAACATGCGAGAGCCTCGATCCCGAGGGTTTCCTCGGGTTCGAGAGTGGTTGGGCCTGGATCGAGCGCCCTTCAACCGAGCACCCAAAGAGTTGATGAAGACCAGCGTAGGACGAGTCGGTGGCTCCATCATGCTCACCTTCTTTGCGGTCTGAATCTCCGCAGTCTCCATGGAGAAGATGGATGATGGGGATGGGGAGCGAGACCTAGGGTTTGGGTTGGCCTGTGGTGAGTTGGGCCGGACATAGATGGTAGGCTGCAAGTAGAGGGTCGATGCCATCGGCGGGGTATCCGGCGAAGGCAGTTCGAGAACCATATCCTCTTCTGGGTCGAAGACATAGGCATCATCTGCAAAATTGGCATCGCTGTTCCGCTTGATAGTATCCATAGATACCGGTCGTGGCCTCTTGGCTGGAGGATAGGGGGCCAGCAGGTGTTCCTCTCGATCCGAGTCCGGGTCTGCATGGGAGTTCTCGTCGGCACTGAGATCTGAATCAAAGGTACCGGCTCTTTGGGAGCCTACGAGCGAGGGGACAAAGTCCTGGGCGCCAGCCTCGGACTCGGACACATCCTCTTCGTCAGACTCGTAGCGCTTCTGGAGGTTTTGCCTGCTTAGACGGTGCAGGCCCAGCGAGGTGGTAGTCTCGTACATCTTTGCCAGTAAGATCTTCCAAACAACTTGATCAATCAAAAGGAAAAAGCTGTTTCGGGCAGGGTAGGCAAAAGTGGCAGTGGGAAAGGAGACCAGCCCAGGATAGAAGTAAAGCAAGCGGAAATATGTAACGAGGAATTCCTCCAACGAACGTAAGCCCAAGCCCAGGGAGGCGTTCCAGTCCCTTGAAGTCAAATATCCCACGGGGTTGAAACGGACTGTGAAGGAGATCTTTCTCCTGTCACGACATGGGAAACACGGGACAGGGGACGGTCTTTAAGGTCCGGCGGAACCGCTGAGGAAGTGGGTGAAGAACAGGGGATCCGCCCTCGATTGCCGTTTAAGAGCTAGGAATAGAAGCAGAATAAAAAGGTCCCACCCGTCAGGAATTGATCCACTGGGGAGGGGGAGGGCTTTTTTAGTCCCGGCGCCTCAATGTAGAAAAGAGGGGACACGAAAATCAGTCCCTGTCCACGTGTGCCATAAAACCAAGGCCCTGGGCAAGGTCTGCACTGTAGAAGCAGGGGAAAGTCAAAATTCCTGCTATCTCCTGCAGGCCCAAAGGCGTGAGTGAACCTGGATTGGCCGGACACTCCGGGGCTAGTGACAGAGAAAGCCACGATTGGGACGGGCGTGGCCCTTGCATTGGCAGCGATGAGTTTCACCATTTTGGCGACGCGCACCCTCCGCATCGTGGCGGGCGCGAAGTTGGGACCAAACCTAAATCTAGTGATTGTGACGCCGGAAGAAAAATCTGATAGATCAAGCCGAGCTATCGTTGGCTGTAGCCCCTGCACCTAACGCTGGGGCTGCCGCAAGTTAAGTCTGTGCAGCGTCATTGGCTCCGTATGATCAGCAAAAAAGGGCTCGGGGCAAGATCTGGATTGGCTAACCCATCCACGGGTCGAAGGAGATCGGTTCCACAGTGATAAGGAGGGCCCCAGTCGTGGTACTCGGCACTCCGTCCTCCTACTCAAGGTGGACGGGATCGTAGGGACAGGAGTCAGCCCATGAGTGCTGCGAAGCGCCCAGGTGAGAAGCTAGTGGACTCGGCCAGGTGCAAATCAGCCGATTCGGGAATCCAGTGGATTGTTGCCAAATTAGCGCCGCTCCAGATGTGTGGGGTCCGCGTATAACTCAAACGCCGACGAACTCCTTGGGGTCGATACTCGAAACTTGACAATCTTCGGTGGATCCCTGCGGCCGGCTCGCTCGCACCGAGGGTTTGAACGGTCGGTTCGCACTACGATGCTAGCCGATGCCAGGGGCAACCTCCTACAGGATCCCCATTCGGGTTAGGGGGTCTGCGCATAAATGCAAAAGAGACAGTAGATACGTACATTCAGGGTCCTTCAGGGTCCTTCAGGGACCTCAGGGGTTATCAGGGGTCTTGAGGGGTCACTGTAGCCGAAGTAATCTGATGTGAGAGGGGGCTGCAGGAGAATTCCAAGCTCCTGCTGAGGGGGATGAGGCCCTAGGGTTACGGATTCCTGTGCCCTGGTATGGAGGCACAGTCCCTGGAACATACAATCTACAGATCATACTGCAAACCTTGCAAATATTAATGGCCAGCTTGTTAGATACCTAACGAAGACGCTAGATCCTCGGTATTATTTCTTCGGTACTCAACTTTATTCCAAAGGTTCACCTGGAACTCCTTGCATGGGCTGATCAAAGTCGGCGAATTCTCCAGAACTGAACTTCCGACTAGCGCAACCTTCTCACGCTATCGTTTCAGGATTTCTTTTTTTTTTTTGTATTTTCTGGATATACGCCATCTATCTCCTGCAACCAATAGTCGATGGCGGACATCCCCCAATAGGCTGTTGGAGCCGTCACGTCAGGCAAGGACCTCCGTTCCTAACTCACGAACCCGTCAACGAACCGGGTAAACAAGCTCCTGACAGCGGCGCCGAGCGGGACTGACGATGTCATAAGCGCCGCATTTCGGCCGAAGCGTCGAATATACAGTAGCGTCCGCGCATGGCGCGCGCTGAGCATGGGACATGCTCGCTTTTGGAACTCGGCCGGTCCATATAAGGAGAACCATGCTATCAACATGCCACGCCAGGCGCCACGCTCTGCTCCGTCGAAATGACAACTGTTGCTCGGCCTTTTTCCGCTCATGACCCGACCGAGGGCAGAGCTCACGGCCATGCGCATTCGATCTCTAGATTGATAGCGCATAGCTGATACGCAAGGCATCGGCCAAACTCCCGAGTGACAGCCGTCTGCTAGTTGCCATGCTCGATGATCTGGCTTTATTGAATATGCATAGACGACGCGCTATTGAAAATCTCCCGGCCACGTTACGTGGATGGCTGGTCGCAGGGATGTCAATCGACCGGTCATTGCACATTGGCTGCACTCCGTACTCCGTACACTCTGCGTTATGGGTTTTTCGGCCTCTCGGTCATCGGTGGCTGGATCTTGATACTGTTTGTGCCGTGCGTCGGAGAAGCATGACCAGCCTCCGAGTCTTCGAGATGGCTGGTGAGCTTGATTATGCTTCATTTCTTAACGGAATCCTCGATGATCTGCTCTCGACCTATCACTTCGCGGCGTTGTTTGCTCCCCGTCGCACAAGCCTTCCTGCACGGATCTACATCCCAGCTCAGTTCCTGCATTTGCTGCGGGTCCAATACTGTAGATGTGATGCTGCACATCGAGGTGCTCAGGAACATCTTGGTTCCCCCATCAACACAAAGTGTATTTGTGTTTACATTCTTGTTGTTTGTTGATGCTGAAGATGACCGCGAGGCAACCGGATGGTAGATCGAGTTGCATGTTGTCTTGTCGCCCGGTTATGGGCCTTCATATCTATCTACATTGACCTGTCGTGTGTTGGGACTACTAATGGCATATGCAGAACACTACCGAATTCCCATGCAAGTATTCATTGGCACCGCATAACCAACGAGGCTGACCGGAACAATGCAAAGACCATGCCTTGCTCTCACAAACTCGACCATCGACTACCTTACACGCTGCGAGGAACTCAACTCACATGGTCAATTGATTATATTAAACATGTATGCTTCTATAAAATACTTTACTAACAATAATGGTGAAGAGATGCGGTCAAAAGGCCTGCCGCTAGCAGGCCGGCGGGGGTCATAACGACAAACATGAACAGAAGAATATGACATTATAGAATACAACCGGGACGAGGACCGACAGCCCTCCCGGATGAAAAGAAATCGCCTCACTCGGGACTTCTTTTCGCCCCGCTTCCCAACCCAACCCCCATCATTCCTCTAACCTGGGGATATGCCTGCACCTCCAGACGAGTCGAATCGAAACGTGTCTGGCATCATGAAGGGGTCATTCATTAAAAGGCTATAAAGCGAATCACCATAGAGCAGCCAACGCCCTCCCGGCTCGTGCTCCCCGTGTTTCATGCTGCAATATGTTCGAAGAATTTTCGGAAAATTCGTTTGTCATCTCACGATGATTGCACAACGCTTTCCTCTTGCGTAATTTCGCCTCCCTACGCGCGCTTCGGAATCCAACAGACAATCCCTAGGGATTGATTTACGCCTTGCGGGAGCGAGTGACGGGGCCGTTGGAGCGGCCGGTGGTCGCGGCACCGTTGGAGGCCTTGCCGTTGGCATGGGGGGAAGGAACCTCGAAGTTCTTCATGTCGATCAAGGACTTCTTGCCGGTGTTGCGGCGAGGGCGGCCAACCTTGGTCTCCTTCTTGTAGGTGGCAATGTAGAAGGAGATGAACAGGAGCAGGTACGAGGTGATGATCCCAATACCAGCGAAGGCGGCAAACTCCTCACCGGCACACTGGCCCATGTTAGGGGCCCAGGGGAAGTAGGAGGACGAGAAGTAGGTGTACGAGGCGAAGTAGATGAAGCCTATTCGTGCATGTTAGTATCGCAAATCAAACCTCTCCAGTTTCAGCACTTACCCAAATCAATGACGAATTGCACAATCTGCAGCATGGTGATGTACTTCTTCCACCAAATGCGGATGCCACGGGCACTCTGGAAGTAGTACCAGTACATGACGACGTGGACAAGCAGGTTGATGGTGATGGGAACCCATTGCACCGCGGTCAGACCGATGAGCTGGGTGTAGCACAGGAGGGCGGTGGCACCGTGGTGGTAGGTGTGGAGGAAGGTCAACGGCTTCTTCTTGAGGACGAGGAAGACGGTGTCGAGCAGCTCAACGTACTTGTTGATGTAGTTCAGCTAATGGGAAGTTAGTCGCGTCGAATCGGTCAATGCTCGCACACTAGACGCAACTTACGTAGTAGAGGATGATGAGGGGCTGAGTCCATCCACCGCGATGGTCGCAGATGGTGTAGAAAACGCCGTTGCGAACGAGGGTGGGCAGGAGCTGCTCGATGAACAGGGCCAAGAGGATGGCGCTGATGGCGGTCAAGACAAAGTTGTGGATCATGAACAGAGTGTTCAGCTTGAAGGCGGGCAACTTCTTCATGACCTCACGACCACCGAAGATGACAATGTAGTAGGTGACCAGCATGGTCGCGGTCTCCTTGAAGGTGGACATGGGGGTCACGCCCTCGGCGAACTTGAACTTGCTGGCGGGATAACCCATGACCTGCTCGTAGGCCTTATCGAACAGGGGCCACAGGTGGACGCCAAAGGGCCGGTCCAGGGTGGGGAGAGGCACATTCTGAAGGAATTCGGCCATGGTGAACGGGGTGGTTCGGATGGGGTAGACGAGAGTCGGAAGTCACGTAAGAAAAAAAATTAAAACCAAGCCGATTGGGCTACTGCAGAGACTCAGGGCGCGCGCGCGCAGTCAGGGCAGCGTAAGCCAGATGAAGGGAAGAAGGGAATGGAAAGGACCGACGATGGGGGAAAGAAGAAGGTCAGGGAGGAAGAAGAGTAGTGAACAGCGTTACTTTTTTGCGGCGCGTTGGGTCGCCCAAAAAGGACTAGCGCGGCCGTAAAAGGGGGTGCGTAAGAAAATCCCCAGCCGTGGCTTCCGAGGTTATCGGTGCATAACACCTTGTTCAAGTTTGATTTGGTTGGGATTCTTAGGTACGGTAGTTCCATAGAGCATTCTCCGTCTCGAGTTGATCCCGTTTCTCTACGCTGGTGTGATATTTGGTAGCTCAGGTACCCGAACTTTCACATGCGCATCATCTAACGCTACCTGCATGGCTGTTTTCAGTAAGCCAATCTCAGGTCTATATCGACCCCTTCTTTTATGACGTGCCAGACATTTCCATGCTTCTTCGGACATGGAATTGGGGGTTAACCGTCTATTTTGCTCTTATTCATGAACGAGGCTAAGGTTGCAGATGGATGCCACGGTGATGGGGGGGGTACCATCCACACACAACCTTCTCTCACATTCAAGTAGCCGAGGCTGTCATACCGCCTCCTGCCATTCATGCGCTAGAGCTGAACTATGAATGGCGTAGTTTAAGTCGGGCTCCACATTAGGAGATTGGCCGTGCTATGTGTGGTCTACTGTTTATTGTCCGGGGTATACATTTTCATACCGTTGGTGCGTTGGTCAACTGGGCGTGGACAGCGGTTGCCCCGAATGGCATCCCTGTATTTTAGTATTTTGGTAAAAGTATCAATTACACACTCGTGGGGAAAGGTGAATATCCAGTTTGCACTTGAACCTCTTAAGCCGGGGAATGTGATTATTCCCCGTCGGTCTCGATACCTCCGCCGTGCATCTGTCCGCGACTGTGCATCTATAAATCGCCACTTTTCGTACATACGATCGATCATAAACAAGGCCCCTGGAGCTTGCGCTTTGGCCAAATGAAGTCCTCGGTACCTATTATCTTGATTTAAAATTGGGCGAGTTTTAACTCTAAAATCATCGTCAATGTATAGACTTGATTGCAAATATATATTGACCCTCACGTCATTGGACGACTTGTCGAAAGCTATACTTGTTGAAATCTGGTCATAACTAGATAAAACGGTGCTAGCATAAAACCAAGTCTCAGCAACTTCACTAGCGCAACTTAACGGGTACAAGTAGCCCGTTGAATGCCATTCTGCCCCGACTTATCAGCATGATGCGTACTTGGGGCCTCATCAGCCAATCAGCCGCACGCGTTTGAGATCAGACGGGCCACATCGGGAGATGACTCAGCTCCCGACGGTCAGGCCACAAGGCACCAACACCACACCACCCGCAAAATCCAGCCGGCAAACACGACACTTCGTCCTCCTCCCTTCCTCCCATCCACTTCTCCCCTCACCACCCAATCCATTGACCCCGGGTCTCAGCACTCCGCTGCCGACATGTCGTCCCTATCCATCTTCCGTGTCGCGACGCGCGCCGTTCGCCCTACCAGCTTCGTCCGAGCTCCCATCGTCCGGTCCCGGGTGCAGACCCCAGTGACTCTGGCTGCCCGCGCCCGCACCTTCGGCACCACCTCTAAGTTCCTCTCCGGCCACGAGGACGAGACATACGAGGAGTTCACTTCCCGGTACGATCATCTACATCACCCATTGGCTTCGGCAGATCTCGGAAGAGGGGACGCGGCCCAGGGCTTTGCGCGGCCAGGCGCTTCCCGGGCCCTGTGCCTATCATTATCTAGGCTCAATTGAGATTGAATTTACTGACTGTGTGTCCCGAGTACAGATTCGAGAAGGAATTCGAGGGTGTGCAGGATGTCTTCGAGCTCCAGGTAAGACCCGATACCTCCAATCCGGAGAGCCGGCTCCCGATGCGATATCCCATTTCAACAACCTTTCCACCACCCGCCTCGCAATGCCAGTGAAAACCAGCTGATTGGTTTCTAATATAGCGCAACCTGAACAACTGCTTCGCCTACGATCTGGTCCCCTCCATCGAGGTTCTCAGCGCCGCCCTGAAGGCCGCCCGCCGCGTCAACGACTTCCCCACTGCCGTCCGTGTTTTCGAGGGTACGCAATGCTTCCAACGTAACCGACCACATAATTTTGGAGCCGATGACTAACATATCGCATTCTACAGGCATCAAGGCCAAGGTCGAGAACCAGGACCAGTACAAGCAATACCTTGAGCAGCTCGAGGGTCTGCGCCAGGAGTTGGGCGTTGCTCTCCGGGAAGAGCTCTACCCCCAGGAGGAGTAAATTCGCGTTGCCCTTGTTCTTTCTTCCATCAATTTTCTCTCCGGTTACCCAAACCCCCACATGTCGCCAATGGCCCACGCGTTTCCTTCTTGGTCGGGAGCAGATCGGGTAGAAGAGAAAGCTGTATACATACTTTAGAGATCTCCTGTGTTGTTAGTGCTGCCGCTATTTTGGAAAAAGGTCGTTTGTACCTTGATTGGTGCTTAATCTATCTTCCTCTCTTGTCCAGCGCTTGCCCTTTGCCTCGTACCTTGAATATAACATCCGTTTGCAATCTGTCTGCTCCGATTTTGCTGGTTTTAAAGTTGCTATAATTTGTTTTATATTGCGCACTGCCCGAGCAAGAACGTGTTCGGCATACCGTCATCTGAAACACGAATGGAGACCCACTGGGCCCAGCAAAGAGACAGGAAAACGCAAGATAAACACCCAAAGAAATTGGTAATGTGCGATCAATATAAGTACACAGAAAGCTAGACCCGCAGCTACCCCAAAGGAGTTTGCCCAAGGGGCTGCCACGGCCAGGAACGTATTTTATGAGAAGGGAATTAAAAGGGGACAGAACACAACAGAAACCATCAAGAGGTATGAGTCCGCTCAAAACGCCAGGTACCGAGCCACCGAGTTGCCAGGAATATACTCATCGGGTATGCGAGAGATGATGCAAAGAGTTCATGAAGCGACATGGCCGTCAAGTTCGGTCTATCGCTCAGTGTGTTCCGACGTACTTGAAGTACGTTGGGCGGCAGTCCTCCTTGGCCAGGAAGTCTGCGCCGGCGAAGAACTTGCCCGGGGTACAGCCGGAACACTTGGGGGAGTTCGGGCAGTTGTAGTAGGGGATGTGGTTGTAGCCAATGTCGCGGAACCTGGAACAAAGGTTAGCAAACCTATATTTGAATGCATGTTAGGAGGGGGTTATAGACGTACCAGTGCACGTTGTTGGAATCCGCGAAGAGGCCAACGCCGAGAGAGTGGACGGGCGCATCACCCCAGCGTTCGTAGAAGAAGCCACCGGCACGATCCAGGTGCTGGAAGTAGGCCTCGTACTTCTCACCGCGGAAGAAGTCCATATCGCCAATCTCAAAGTTGGACCAGAAGTGGCAGGTGGAGTATCCGCTGCCACCCTTGGTGTGCTCGGGGCGCGCCTGATCATCCGTGATCCATTCCCACATGTTGTTCTCGCTCAGATACGACGGGTTCGCAGCCAGGAACTTGCGAGTCTCGGGCCAAAGGGTCTTGATGGTTTGCGGGGCGTCGTAAAGGTTGATGGTGAAGCCGTAGGTCTTGTTTCGGTCCTCCATGTAGCGGAATACATCGTAGTCGACATTGCAGAAGAATTGAACCTTGGGCTCGATGCGCCAATAGTAACGGTACTTCTCGAGCGCGGGGTGCTTGTAGAACATGCCGCTGTTCCACCGGCACATCTGATGATAGGAGATCTTCGAAGCGTACTGGATGTTTTCTTCCTCAAGCATTTGGGCTGATACCCGGAAAAGATCCATGTTGATCCAGTCGGGAACACCCCAGTGTGCCTCGGGGACCAGTTCTGTGAAGCAAGAAAAAAAAGTTAGCCCGAAAATCAAGGAGCAAAACTAAGGGTGAGCGCACCGTATTGACACTTGGCCTTGGTGATCGCCTGAGTCTGACGTTTGAATTCTTCGGAGAAGGGCTGGTCATTGAAGAAGATGTAGGGATAGTTGAACTTGTGGTTCCAAGTGCGCTCGAGATCCTGCATGGTGTGAATCAAGTCGCCAAGTTCCTCATTCCGCACAAGGGAGATAATGGCGGCATTGGTGCGAGCGGTCTTTTCGCTATCGGGGGAGTAATCGTGATCTTCGGCTCGCCATAATTCGCCTTCCGGTTCACCGGTTGCTGAAGGATGTTAGTTGAGGCGGATGTCATGGATGGTGGCAAACACACGGTCTAGAAGAGGGTCTTTGGTCATGCCATGGACGAGTTTGGAGGTGGATCTGGGAGAATCCTGGCGCATCTGAAAGACCAAGAACAAACAGAGTAGGATGCATGCAGCACCGAGCATGCGAATTGGACGGGCGATCGCCATGGTGGAGGGAGGTGAAAGGGGGATAAAGCCAGATGCGCCGAGACCGCGATATAAGGCGCCTCCCGCCTTTACCCCCTGTGGATTAGCGCCCGTGCGTCCAGTTGGCTTCCGCGCAGCCTTCGCAGCTTCAACTCCACGGCATTGTCGATCATGGCTCTGGCCTTGAGCTCCTTGACCGATGAGCTCATTACAGTGCTGGCCAAGGTCCCGGCTGACCAGAAAGTGAGTTTTGTGTCTTTGTGTCTATCTCCGTGACCAAGTGTTGATCCCGACTAGCAGTTTCCGCGCGTCCAGAATCTCCGCCGACGCGTAGAGGGCGCTCTACGCACTGGTACTCATGGACGTACCAACCAGTTCGCCGTAGCGCGCAAGCTGGAAGGTCTTCAAGAGAAGTTCCAAGTCCTCAATCGAGATGAGCTGGCCAATGCTCTGAGCATTCGCCTCAAAGAACTAGAGGGCTACCGCGACACATGGCATCCGGAGATTCTGAGTCTGCTTTTGCAGCTTTCAGATCGCCCGGATCAATTATCTAACCTCGATCGACTCCCGGATCCTTGTGATGCACCCACAGAAGAACAATCGCTCTTGTGGTCTGACCTCAATGCTCAGGGAACCGCCTACAGCAGTGAAGACATCTGGGAGGAGGTGGACTTTGCGGCCGACTCTTCGGAAGATGACTTTGTGTCAATCTCAGATGGTGATGATCTATTGCCCTCTAAATTTTTACCAGTGATTCCCGGCTCTCCAGAAAAGGAATACGTCATTCCAGACGAAGTCTTTGTGTCCGCCGACGACGAAGATCTCATTGCCTCTGTAGAAAAGGCCCAGTTTTGGAAACCAGAGAACCATCCAAAAGTCACACGGGAAAAAGAAGATGCATCTCGCATTATTACAGAATTACAGTTTGCCAGAGAGACAATATTCATGCTGCAAGGCTTACCGACGTCCATCTTCTGGCGCCTGAACCACGATATTGAAGTGGATCGCACCTATACTCTTGCGTATTCCTCCAGCAAGAGTGTTTCATCATTACTGCGATCTTTCGCCGAGATTGGAGCCAAAATAGATACTGCCCGGCGCTTCACACAGATACCACAGACCATTCCCTATCTGCAGACCTTCTGCCGTGGCATCGAGGAGTGTTTGCGTGAGTTTGATCGGACTCTGTCTCAAATCCAATGCAAATGCCTTTCTCCTGGTTCTACAGTCAGCTTGCTCCAATTGTTCGATGATGTTCGCCGATTTTCTCGCAATCTCGAGATGCTATCAGAGCTGATCTCCAAGCTGGGCCAAACATCGACGACTCAGCCGATGCTCTGCCTTGATCTATTGTATAGTTTGGTCTGCATGGCTGAAGCTCTTGGCGATGAGAGTGCATCCCGAAGCCTTGCAACACTATTCTTTTCCTGCTTCAAAACATATACAAGATCAATACAGTTCTGGATGAAGACTGGAAAGGTTGATTCCAAAGACAGCGCATTCTTCGTGCGGGTCAACCAGGAGAACGGGGAACTACGTACCCTCTGGCACAACTGGTTCGTGCTGGACGAGGGCAGCAGACGACAGAAAATCCCTCAATTCTTGGAACCCGGAGTGCAAAAGGTGTTTACGACTGGCAAAAGCATGGTTTTCTTGCATCATTTGAACGCACTACCAGACCTTTCAGAGACCGAAAGCTCTGACGCGATTTTCGATGAAATTTATCCCCCAAACGGACCCTCTTCATTTTCGCTTCCGTTCTCCGTGCTTGTCGAGACCGCATTTGATAAACTGGTAGATGCAAACCATTCACTCAGCTCTGGGCTATTACGCAAAGAGCTCGACGAACAATGCGGTTTGTGGATATCTCTCGATGCCTTGCAACACGTCTACCTAGGAAAAGATTCAAGCATTCTTGGTACGATCGATGCAAAGATCTTCGAGCTGATGGACCGAGGTCGCTCCTGGGACGACAAGTTTCTAATTACCGAAGTGACAAGATCGGCATTTACTGTCATGCCTGCCATTGACCTATCAAGGCTGGCCGTGCGATCAGCAGGCTCTTCAGCTTCCAGCCCTCAAAACCGAACCGTGAGGGTCCTCGAAACAATCTCAATAGATTACATTCTTCCGTGGCCTGTCGCAAACATCATTACCCGAGACGCCATCCAATCTTACCGGCGCATTTCCACCTTCCTCATGCAGATACGACGTGCAAAGTATGTCATTGTGCGGGAGCGCATTAGAGATGCACGAAACCCGGTCACAGACGCTCAAGATGACGATACTCTTGTCCACGCTCTGCATCACAACTTCCTTTGGTTCCTTGACTTTCTCTACTCCCACCTTACATACCTTGTCATCTCCACCGCATATCAATGCCTACGCATGGCGCTCTCCAGTGCGGAAGACGTTGATGCCATGATAGCCGCCCACCAGTCCTACATATCCTCACTGGAAGACCAATGCCTCTTATCTGAGAACCTTGCTCCAATTCACGAGGCAGTCATCAATATCTTGGATCTCTGCATCCATTTTGCAGATCTGCAGATTGCACGAGTGTCGGAGGAGGATCAGGATGGTCGGATGAACACATCACGCGAAGATGGCTTTGACTCCGACTCGGATGAAGAAGATGATATCCACGAGCAGACTTTGACCATTTCGTTCCGTGAATCGCCCTACGACCACCAGATGCGAAATGTCAAGCGCCAGTTCGACCACCTTACCAGCTTCGTCGCGGATGGATTGAAGGGCGTAGCGCGGGCCGATGGACTCCCCAGCTGGAATATTTTGGCGGATCGATTGGAGTGGAGGAAAGGCTGGCTCAAGCCGTGATGGATATTCCAGCACCTTTAGATATCTCTGGCTTTGCTGATCATCGGGCATGATCTTGCCCTTGATATTTTTTCATGCCCTTACGATCTATGGAGAATACGCGCCCCATGACTGTACATCAAAATCGAAATAAACATAAAAATCTGGCTTGTATTTTGGTATATCTTTAGTATCTTTCACGGTGTGCACTCACAATAACTTGAATATGAATAGGCCTCGGGTAAATTTCTTGTTTCGTAATTATTTTTCGACGCGACGGAGGAAACCCTTTGCACTCCAAAACAGCGTTGAATCAAAGTGAAAATATAGACAGAAATGACAGGGCAAATATTGAACAAGAATCCAATTCGCTTGTCTCCCTAACCGACCCAGCGTCTGGCGCTGAAGAAGATCCGGCCCCAGGGACCAATGTCGCCCCATTCCTCGGCGTTGGGTGGCAGGTAGCTGGCAATGCCGTTCATGATGGTACGCTCGGGGTGAGGCATGATAGCCAGGACACGGCCGTCGGGGCTGCGCACACCAGCGATACCCTCAGGACTGCCGTTGGGGTTGAAGGGGTAGGTCATGGTCGGCTTGAGGGTGGCGTTATCGACGTAGCGGACGGGGGCAAGACCCTCGCGAACGAAGTCATTGGCAGTCATGGACGGGTTGCCGGCGAAGGAGGCACGGCCCTCACCGTGGGCAACGGCAATGGGGAACGAAGAGCCGTCCATGCCGTGGAAGAAGACGCTGGGACGCGAAGGGTCGGGGTCAGAAATGCGGACCATGGCCACACGGCCTTCGTACTGCTCGCTGGTGTTGCGCTCGAAGCTGGGCCAGCTGCGGGCGCCGGGGATCAGCTCCTTGACACGAGACAAGAACTGACAACCGTTGCAGACACCCAGAGCGAAGGTGTCGGGGCGCTCGAAGAAGCTCTGGAACTCCTTGCGGGTGTTTTCGTGCAGCAGAACAGACTTGGCCCAGCCTTGGCCGGCACCCAAAACGTCACCGTAGGAGAAACCACCGCAGGCGGCCAGACCGGCAAAGCTGGCCAGGGAGACACGGCCCGAGATGATGTCGGTCATGTGGACATCGACGGCGGAGAAGCCGGCGGTGTTAAAGGCAAAGGCCATCTCGGCTTGACTGTTGACACCTTGCTCACGCAGAATGGCGACACGGGGCTTGTTCGCGAAGGGAGAGTACTGGGAAAGGCTGGCCAGGAAGGGCAGGCCACGGTCCTTGGGTTCGAAGGTAGGGTTCCACGACAGACCAGGGTTGGCGTTGTCGAGAAGGTTGGCAAACTCCTGCTCCGCGCACTCAGCGTTGTCACGGAGCTTCTGTATGTGGTAGGAGGTCTTGGACCAAGTCTGCTGGAGGTTGGATCGGGTGTTGCGGTACACCAGGGAGGCCTTGTGGTAGATGGTGAGGTTCTGCTTGGACTTCTCGGAGACACGGCCAATTTTGTGGATCAGGCCAGGGGGAGGCCCGCAGGTGGCGAAGCAGGAGCGGAAGTGAATCTCGTCCTCCTTACGGACCTGGAAGACAGCACCCAGCTCCTCATTGAAGAGAGACTCAATGACATCCTGGGTGTGGAAGGAAGAGCAGATATTGTCGAGCATGATCTCCACACCGCAGCGACCGGCAAACATCATCTCAGCAAGAGTGGTCAGCAGACCACCGTCGGAGCGGTCGTGGTAGGCCAGAACGATGCCAGATTCCTGCAGCTGTTGGGTGGCGTCAAAGAAGTCGCGGAAGAGGTCAATGTCGTGGATATCAGGGCACTCAGCGCCAACCTCGTTAAAGACCTGAGCGAGGGCAGATCCACCAAGGGACTTGCGGCCGAACGAAAGATCGACAAACATGAGGACAGTCTCTCCAACATCCTCGAGGTTACGGAGAGCGGGAGTCCAGGTCTTGCGGAAGTCACTGACCGGGGCGAAGGCGGAGACGACAAGCGACATGGGCGCAGTAACCTCCTTAGCCTCATTCGAAGCCTCGTCCTTCCACTTCATCTTCATGGACATGGAGTCCTTTCCGACCGGAATGCTGATACCAAGCTTGGGGCACAGGTCGAGACCAATGGCCTCAACAGCCTCGTAGATAGCAGCACCCTCACCAGGGTGGCTGCCAGCCGACATCCAGTTAGCAGACAGTTTCACGCGGCTGAGGCGGTCCACTAAGTCAGAAGCAGCAATGTTCATCAGAGACTCAGCGACGGCCATACGGGCAGAGGCACCGGCGGAGATCAGGGCCAGGGTAGGCTTCTCACCCATCGCCATAGCCTCACCGGTCTTTACGCCTTGGAGCAGCGACGTGGCAGTAACGGAAACATCGGCAACGGGGGTCTGCCACTTGCCAACCATCTGATCACGAGCAGTGAGACCACCGACAGTACGATCACCAATTGTGATCAGGAAAGACTTGGAGCCGACCGCAGGCAGAGACAAGACACGGTTGACGGCCTCGCTAACAAGCTCCACCTTTGAAGTAAGCGACGGAAGGTACCTGGCGAGGCTAGAGTCCACGGCAGGCAGAGTCAACTTGCGCGAGTCCACGGTCCGGGTCATGCGCGGCGTCTTGCCAAACAGCACAGACAGAGGCAGATCAATGGGGGCCGGGTACTCCTTGGACTCTCGGTCGAGCAGGATAAGACGCTTCTCCTCCTCGGAAGTGCCACCTCCGCGGCCAACAACTGAGAAACCGCAGCGCTCACGCTGAGCAATGGCTGTGAATTTGTTCATACCGTCCTCACCAACGGCAAGGACATACCGCTCCTGCGCTTCACAGCACCAGATCTGCATGGGGCTCATGCTTCGATCGGCGCTGTCAATCTCGCGCAGCTCGAATTTAGCGCCCAGACCCGAGTCGTGAATCAGCTCGGGAAGAGCGTTGGACAGACCACCAGCACCAACGTCGTGGATGAACTTGATGGGATTGTTGTCGCCCATGGAGACACAAGCATTGATGACCTCCTGGGCTCTGCGCTGAACTTCGGCGTTGCCTCTCTGGACACTAGCGAAGTCGAGATCCGCAGATCCTTCACCCGATGCGATACTAGAAGCAGCACCACCTCCAAGACCGATAAGCATGGCAGGGCCACCGAGAACAACAAGGTAGGAACCAGGCTTAACAACGTCAGGGTTCTTCAGAGCGTGCTGGGGACGGACGGTACCGACGCCGCCAGCAATCATGATAGGCTTGTGGTAGCCTCGCAGCTCCTTCTGACCGTTACCGATGTCAATCTCGGTCAGGAGGGTACGGAAGTAACCAGCTGTGCAGGGACGACCGAACTCGTTGTTGAACGCAGCACTGCCGATAGGGGCCTCCAGCATGATATCCAGACTGCTGGCGATGTGGTTGGGTCTGCCTACATCAAGCTCCCAGGGCTGACGGAGCCCGGGAATCAAAAGGTCGGACACACAGTATCCAGCCAAACCAGCCTTGGGGCGAGAGCCACGACCGACGGCGCCCTCATCACGGATCTCACCACCAGATCCGGTGGCGGCTCCCGGATAGGGAGAGACCGCAGTAGGGTGGTTGTGAGTTTCGACCTTGGCCAAAAAGTGAACGAGTTCCTTTGTATGCGACCATTCTCCGGTGGTGGTGTCAGGGGCCCAAAAGGCGGCCTCGGAACCCTCGAGCACAGCAGCGTTATCACTGTAGGCACTGACAGTGTATTCCGGGTTCTTCTTGTGAGTGTTACGAATCATAGCGAACAGGCTGTTGGGCATGGGCTTGCCATCGATGACCCACGAGGCGTTGAACTGCTTGTGGCGACAGTGCTCCGAGTTCACCTGGGCGAACATGAAAAGCTCGACGTCGGTCGGATCGCGAGCAATTGTGCCGTTCGGACCATAGGCCTCGGCAAGATAATCGATCTCCGATTCATCCAGAGCGAGACCCAATTCCTTGTTGGCCTCCTGGAGAACCTCCTTGGGAGACTTGCTCCCACCCTGGAGCGAAATGGTCTTGAGGGGCTGAGGAGCGTGCTCAGAGAACATCTGGCTCAGCTCGGGCTCATCCTTGCTAATGATCTGCGTCATGCGATCGTGCAGCGTGTCCAAATATCCAGTCTTGTAGTCCTCGGTATCGTTGCGAAGGCATGAGACCTTCATACCGCGCTCAATACGCTTCACGAACTGGCGGAGGCCGCAGACGTGCGAGATACCGGTGGCCTGGGAGCTCCATGGCGAGATAGTTCCGGTGCGAGGGAAGACGTAGAAGGTATCGAATTGGCCGTCGTCGGAGGTGAAGGTGGGGGGAACGTCGGTGATGTCGCCGTATCGCAGCAGTTGCTCCAGCACGACACGCTGGGGCTCATCCAGAGGCTGAGAAAGGTGAACGTAGTGAATGAATTGAGCCCGGACATCCTTGACTCCCAAGCTGGCAGCAATGGCATGTCCTCGCGAACGAGAGAACGCCACCGAGCCCGGGATGGCCAAGTAGGAATCGGTAGAAGTCATCGTGAAAAAACGATGAAGTGGGTATGTACCAAGCCTCCCTGAGAAAGGAGGAGGAATGGCTCAGATGCCTCTCAAGATTGACTTAAGGGAAACCCCGCTATGAGTCGATCTCGAACTTTTCGTAAAAAAAAGAGGCGGCCCCGCCCTAAGCCCATTGCGGCACCGCTTATCGGTGGATCACGTGGTGATTACCGAATTTGGATCTATTGAACACCTTCAAGCGAGCCTTCCGTTGAGATGATCCCCCAGAATACAGTAGAAGCAATCTGCAAATCATTTAGTTTAGCCTACCAGGATAAACTATTGAAATTTCCCAGATGGCGGCATTTTAGAAATGGACACCCCATCCGCGCATCAAGAACAGCAGAATCCCCTTTTTCAAAGGGATAGGCTTTCCGAAATCGACAATGAGTTTTTCGTGCTCGTGGCTTCAGGGGGCAATTGCAGCCTTGAAAGAAACAGAACGGCCCAAAATACCTAGCGTGAAATTGATGGTAGGCTTGATCTCCGTGTCGTTTTCTCCAATAGGGTTTTCTGATGTCGAATACGGCCAGCGAATGCACGATCATCATAAAAACAGATGTTTCAGCAATTAGTCGTCCCAGACAAACTCCGCAACCGAAGTCGAAGCTAAAATCTCCTAGGTCAAGGGCAAGCGATTTTTAGTGGCCTCGGATGAACGTAATGCCAAAACCGTCATCGGTGAATAGGATGTTTAAAACGAGGTTAAAGTCGGCGGATTATAGCCTTCCAATAATCGTCACATGGTTACGTGGACTAAGTGATTTTATCCGTGGATTTAAAGAGACTGGAAAGGCTAATTTGTCTCATATGCCGGCCATAAACCGCTGCAAACTGATTTGATATCACATCATACGTAGATGAAGAAGAGCGATTTCTAAACATAAATCATATGCCTCGGGGCTGAGGGTTCAATTTTGCTTTTATCTCAGGCAATTATCTAATTTATTTACAAAACTGCTTGGTAGAAAACAATGCTTGGGGTTAAGTTATCAGATCGAGTAAATTTGTCAAAGCATACGTCGAAGGAACCTTGGGTTTGTAACCAGGGGATTTTCGATATACTTCGACAATAGTCCTATAATTGCTCAAGTATTGGGCACTTATGATAATTCTACAACTGCTTTCTAGTATTTACTGTCTCGGTTTCTACCTGGCCACGAGTGTCGAGCTGACAGTGTGGACCTGCCTATCTGATCACCTACAAGACACGTATATTCGCGCAAATCGCGGCCATTGGGTGAACAGAGCGACAGCCTGATCACGCGAAATTTTCGCATCGCATAGACGGTTTTCTTTCGATAGGTCCGCAATAAAATCGCTCACGGGAGGTTTTTGGGTTAGACTCGCCGGAGCGGTTCTTGAGGGATTTGTTATACCAAACGGCGCCGCAGCAGCAAGCCACGTCAAAATAAATCCCTCGGCAGTAACCAAACTCCCGGGCAAGATTGATCTGTTGGCCCGGAATGACATTTCCAAGCTTGCGCAAGAGTCACCTACCACATGGCTCCCGCATAGACCTTTTTCTCCCCACAGTCTACCCACACCTTTGAGCCCGATACCCACTAGTGAGGGCTCATTGATTTAATTCTGTGCTGCGGACTTATTCTGACCTATCGCATAACGCGCCGACTGAAAACTTCTTCACTTACGGGGACGATAGCGTAGCACGAAATATTTTTGCTTTGTCGAATTTACGTAAATAGTAATTTTAACACGAGAAAACTCAGCTCGTGGAAGTGCCTTCTTGTCTGGCGTGGGTTAGACCGTGGTCTATAAACAGGGTCGATTGGCCTTTTAGCTTCTTCAAAATATCTCTCCCTTTGTCTGTGGCTAGCTTTGCCCAACATTACCTGATCGACTCGCATAGACTTTGTCTACTCCGACCTATCTCAAGAAGCCTTGCCTCAGCCTTCTTCTCTTGTCTCATTTTAACTTGAGACCCTCTATTCTTCCCCAATTATTTCCTTCCTTCTTTGCCTGCTGCTCTCCCTCGTGTTTTCGTGAAAAGTGCCAGGTTCGCTCATTGCTATTTTGAGGGATGTCTATAGAGTGGTCAAGCAGTCAGCTCAACGATCAATCTGAAGAAAACAAGCCAAACTCCCCCTCGGTCGAACAATATGGCGTTAGTATGCGAGATCGCGCTATCTCCTTCGGCCCCGATGAGCGTGAGCCTGGCGCCGATCGATCCAGACGTGGGAAGATAGCAGGTCGGGCTCGTTCCTCCTTGTCCCGCTCGCGCTCTCGCAGCCGTGCTAGGTCCGCTTCCAATATGCAGATCGAGTTTCGTCGGATGAGCTTCCAAATCTCCGAATCGGAGAGCCGTGAGAAATACGACGAAGACTTGAAAGCCAAAGGCAAAGAAGCCGAAGAGACTTCCGACAATTCTCGCTATTTGGAGACTCTGGACTACCACACTCAGTCTGTCGAAGATCTCTATAAGCGCTTTAACAGCAGCGTTGAGGGGATTTCTCAGGCGGAATCGACTGCCCGTTTAGCCCGCGATGGCAAGAACGAATTGCCCCATATCCCTCCTAACTACGTCAAGAAGATCTTGAAGTACGTCTTTGGAGGCTTCTGCTCGGTACTTTGGATTGGTGTCATTATTTTCTTCATCTGCTGGCGCCCTCTTGGTGATCCAGATCCGGCTCCATACAATCTTGGCTTGGGAATCCTTGTCCTGATAGTCATTTTCCTCCAGGCCTCATTCTCTGCCTTTCAAGATTGGTCCACTGCGCGTACCATGAAAGCCATTCTGGACTTGGTGCCCACAGATGCTGTGGTATTACGATCCGGTGTCGCCACGAGAATTCCATCCACTGAAGTCGTCGTCGGCGATGTTGTCCAGCTGAATATCGGTAACAAAGTCCCTGCGGACCTTTGTCTTCTCACCACCTCTGGGGATGTCCGCTTCGATCGCTCGATCCTGACTGGAGAATCCGATGAAATTGAGGGTTCCCTTGAGGCAACAGACACCAATTTCCTCGAGTCCCGCAACGTTGCATTGATGGGAACTATGGTAACAAATGGTAGCGCAATTGGCATCGTTGTGTTGACAGGCAAAAATACGGTTATGGGCCATATCACAGTATCATCTTCCTCAATCAAGGAGCAACCCACGCTCATCCAGCGTGAGATTACTCGATTTGTCTATATCATTGTCGGTCTGACCGTTTTCCTTGCCGGCCTTCTGGTCTTCACCTGGCTTGGTTGGCTTCGGAAAGATCACTACGAATTTATGAATGTGGTGGATATGCTTGATGACGTGATGGGCTGCGTCGTCGCCTTCATTCCAGAGGGTATGCCTGTTGGTGTCGCCCTCACCCTCATGATGGTGGCTCGACGCATGAAAAACAACAACATCCTTCCCAAGGGTCTGTCCACAGTGGAAACTCTGGGTTGTGTCAACGTCATTTGTTCTGATAAGACGGGTACCCTGACCGAAAATCGCATGAGTGTGATCACGACCGCGTTTGTGGACTCGAGCATGCCTGCCGAAGAGGCCTTTCCAACTTTCGCTGAAGGCAGCCTGAAGCCACTGTTGACTCTTCATAAAGTTGCCGCTCTTTGCAACGATGCGACTTTTGACCCGGCGACTATTCAACTTCCGATTGCAGAGAGAAAAATTCTTGGCAATCCCACCGACGGTGCTGTTCTCAAATTCGTTGAAACCGCCCAGCAGGGTGCGGTCAAGGCCCTGAATGATGAATATCCACGGGTCTTCAGCATTCCCTTTAATTCGAAGAACAAGTGGATGCTCACAGTGCATAAGCCTCGACAGACCGACGAAACTTCTCCAAGCTACCTGCTTCTCATGAAGGGGGCTTCTGACATTCTTCTTCCCTATTGTACTTCCTACTGGTCCTGCAAGACCAATAGCGTCCAGCTACTGGATGAAGTGGCCATCCAGGAACTTGCGACAGTTCAGAACAAAATGTCTAGGGGTGCCCAGAGAGTGATTCTTCTTTGCCAGCGCTCGTATATATCGACCCAGCCCGTTGGAACGAACGCTTTTGGTGACGAGATTCAAAGCCAAGGCATCTGCGATCTTACGTTAGTCGGAATGTTTGGTATCCTCGATCCGCCTCGCAAAGAAGCCTCCTCAACGGTAGCGGCTTGCAGACGAGCGGGTGCTCGCTTCTTCATGATCACCGGTGATCTTGGTCTTACTGGAGCTGCCATTGCACGTGAGATCGGCATCTTTTCCGGGGATGCCGAGCCCGATACTTTCGACACGATCGTACAGAGGCGACTAATCAAGGAATCTACCTCTCAATCATCAACAAATACCGATGCCTCGTGGTCCCAGACCTCCCTGCTTCTGGAAGGCACCTCAATCTCTCAACTGACCAATGAGGATTGGGACATGGTTTGCGGTTACCAAGAAATTGTATTTGGGCGAACTATGCCAGATCAGAAGCTTCGCATCGTCAATGAGTTGAGAGCTCGTGATAATGTTGTCGCAGTGACTGGCGACGGCGTTAATGACGCACCTGCCATGCGTGCTGCTGATGTCGGTGTCGCCGTGATAACTGGCAGCGACGTGGCCCTTGAAGCCGCTGATCTCATCTTGATGGATAAATTCGACTCTATCATTGATGCTATTCGCCTCGGACGTTTGGTTTTCCAGAATCTTCAGAAAGTCATCAGTTATCTCCTTCCGGCAGGTTCATGGTCAGAAATTTGGCCTGTGCTTCTCAACGTGTTCTTCGGTGTTCCTCTTCCGCTGTCTTCATTCTTGATGATCATCATTTGCGTCTTTACTGATCTTTTTTGCTCCTTATCCCTCATAATGGAGCAGGAAGAATTCGACTTGCTTGATCTGCCTCCTCGCAACCACAAGAAGGATCATTTGATCAACCTGAAAGTCTATATTCAAAGCTACCTCTTTATGGGAGTCTTGGAAACAGTCTGTGCGCATTCTATGTATTTCCTCTATTATTGGAGACATGCCGGTATTCCAGCGAGCGCACTTTTCTTTGCATTTGAGAAATACGCCGATGGGTTCTATGGTTACACTGAAGCCGAGCTGACGCAATTCAACGTCGTCGGTCAAAGTGTATATTTCATCTGTCTTCTCATTCTGCAGTGGGGCAACATTCTCAGTGTGCGAAACAAGCGTCTTTCTATTCTACAGGCAGATCCCATTCGCAAGAAGCGCCGAAACCCATGGCTTCTGGCTAGCTTGGTGGTTAGTCTCTCTATTGCTGTTTTCGTGACCGAGGAACCAGGGCTTCAGAGAATATTTGGCACTGGCTCAGCACCACTGGAGTTTTGGTTCCTCCCTCTGCCGCTTGCCTTGGGCATTCTTTGCATGGATGAGATCAGGAAGCTGTCGGTGCGTCTGTGGCCAAAGGGCCCTACTGCTCGAATTGCGTGGTAGATGATCATTTGATTTGTGGGAAAGAAACTTTTGAAATCAGAGTTTACAAAAATTAAAGATTTATAGCAGGGTGGGTGCAGCAGTGCACTTTGGACGATGCGGGCCCGTATCATTGGGTGGGAGCTTGAGAGGGCAGCTCAACTTTCTTTTTTTTTAAATTCATTGTATTGAGTGCGAGACTTAAGTTTTCATTACTACCTTCAAAAATATATAGAATCAAGATTGTGAATAACTTTAGCACATATGTAAATTAGCCAACAATTAGCCTCACCTGGAAGTGACTCAATACATCTACATGTGTTTTGGTTAAGTTAGAATGCGACAAGACTGCTCCTTGCGTGTTCTGCTCCTTATGGCCCAAATAAATCCCGCAACCGTGAATCAGGTGATTCGTTTCCCGTCAGGCATACTAGTGTATGCCTCTCCCTCTTTATTGTCTCTGGTTGTTTTTGCTTTCCCCGGAAATATCAGGAGATGTCGGCGACTCAATCTGGTTCCACAATCTCTCCAGCTGCCACCGCAGTTATATGTATTGCCCTGGCCGCAAGTCTATGGTAAGCAACTAAGATTCTGATAGAAACGCCGTGAATTCAAACTGATCTGTTCAAAATATACAGTTTAGCTGCCTTTGCTAATTGGTTCTGCCGATATCGAACACACTCTGAAGAGGACACATCACAGGCAGCTTCTTCTATATTTATCCAATTGCAGTCAAGGTTGGCCAAGGCGCCGCAGCAGAAGCTTCCAACCATTCATGACCTCGACATATATGTACCGATAACCAAATACAAGACGTGGAAAGGCCAACAATGTCAAGAAAGGTGCTGTATCGATACAAGCTCGATCTTGCTACTTCCTTTGCTAATGTGTCACACAGAAGTGGCTCTCATGGACCCGCGGTTTTGGATTCGTTGAACAACATCGCCGTTTCCAATTTTTCGGCGCCACTTCTTCACTCCCCAGCCGAAAGCCCTATTTATCTTCCTGTTGGGAAGGGCAATGAGGACAGGATCTCACTTACACTATATCGAGAGAAACCTGGCGGGGGCAGTCTTGCTATAGAACTTGAAAATCATGTTCATTGTACTTGTGGCCAGGTAGATAGAAGAGTCTTCGACGATACGTGCGCTATCTGCTTGGATGTAATGGAAGACGAACATGGCGTACGTGGCCTGGCCTGTAATCATGTTTTTCATGAGACTTGCATTGGCAAGTGGTTGATGTCTCGGCGAGCTTGCTGTCCAGTTTGCAAGTCTAACTACAGAACGGGGTCGAGCTTGGTCTGAAAAATCCGGAATTTCGGATATGAAACATTGCTCGACGTCAGAAGAGAAAAAGCGGTCTAAGAATAATCAATGCTAGGAGCCAAGGTCATTGCATTTCTGCGGGTGTTCGGAGATTGGAGTAGAAAATGCCGCATCTCCAGGCCGTAACCGAGCCCTATGCCCACGATAACATTATATAAGGCACCAGTGTCTTCCCAATTGCACTCACAACCCTTACGAAGTTTCTTTGCCCAACTTGTTCCTTTTGTGTTCGGCCAGACCCTAGTGTGACATAATGGGCCCTCGTCCTGTTCCGTGAGTTTGACATGGTCAGCTGAGGATTGAACCACGAGCTGACAACGTATATCAGGACCGTCTCTTCGAAGACCTACAGAACTCCCCGTCGTGGTTAGTCATTATCCCATTTTCTCAGCAGGAAATTAACATTAACATCTTGATACTAGCCTTTGGCGCCGCCCGATTGTATGTCTCATCGAACCGACATATCTCCCGTGATGAAGGGGCAGCGTCGAATAAGTCCCCTCTCTTTCTAGACCTTTCACTTACAGCTTTTGCATAGGGATGCTGAGCTAAAGCTGATCGGGGAGTATGGCCTGAAGAACAAACGTGAAGTCTGGCGGGTTCAGTATACCCTATCGAAGATTCGTCGTGCTGCTCGGTTCGAACATTCCCCCCCTTAATGATTTCCTAGTCTAACGTAAATCTGTCCGTTATATAGAGTCTTGCTCACTCTTGACGAAAAAGACCCGAAACGCCTGTTTGAGGGTAATGCACTCATTCGCCGGCTCGTCCGTCTCGGTGTGCTGGACGACTCTCGCAGGAAACTGGACTATGTCCTGTCTTTGCGCACTGAAGACTTCCTCGAGCGTCGGCTGCAGACAGTTATTTTCCGCCTCGGACTTGCGCGATCCATTCATCATGCGCGTGTTCTGATCAAACAGAGACACATCCGGTGAGTCGTCGTTAGCTCCCACAGTGAGGCAGAATAGCTCATTGTAATAATTTAGGGTCGGCAAACAGAATGTCAATGTGCCATCTTACCTCGTCCAGCTCGATTCCCAGAAGCATATTGATTTTACGCTGGAGTCACCCCTGGCTGGGGGGCGCCCTGGGCGAGTGGCAAGGAAGAAGGCTCAGGCTATGGAGGAGGGTCAAGGGGAAGGGATGGAAAATGAAGAAACTCTGTAGTAGAAACTCCTGACAAGCTGCGCTTAGATGTATACATTGAAACATGATATAATAATAAAAACAAAAACGACGTGACCCTTCACGCACATCTATTGCTTGAGATTAACTATCTCAGTCTACTAAGCAGTGGCGATTTGAACTTTGCTCCAAAATACGTTTGCCACCTCTCGCATTCTTTCCTCACCAAAGAGCCTTGCATCGAACTCTATCGACGGCCGAACGATATTGTCATCCATGATATGCAAGGTGTGCACCAAGACATCAAACTATTCAAGACCAATCAACGTTAGCAAGGGCTTAAAAATCGAGTGAAAGAAGGTGAAGATGTCACTCGCTATATTAGAAACTTACATGCCAAGGGTCTCTTGATCGCTTCAAATGATCATACACCTTTAAAGTCTCCGTTTGTACGTCGAGAGGTCGTCGGAAATTCAAGGCAGTGTTGAATGGCAGATCCATCGTCAAGTCGTCTTGAAGTATCTCGCGAAGATTACTTGCAGTATGGCCGCCATCCTGTAACCTTTGCTCTTGAATTTTATCAGCGAGAGTTGCTAGCCCCTGCGGATTGTGATCCGTGGAAACATCACGTAGATGGTAGGCCAGAAGGTTCATGACCGGCCCAACAATATCAAAGATCCCGTCTACTTCCAGGTCTCTATTAGAGACAAAATATTCGTATGTCACGTCCGGCGAACCTGTAAAAAAACTGAGAGTTTGTGCCCATGCAGCATCAAAGATGCTATCTGGAGTGATGTTATATTTTGAGTTGAATTTCGATAGCGCTGGGATGTCCAGCTCAGGTAGGTAGATGACGGTCTTCGTCAGACTGGATGGATGTTCTGAGCCGGAGACACTGACGGCGAAAGAAAGACGTGATGCCTGCTGATCACGTAAGATGGCAGTCCAATACTTTCTATCATTATCAATGCAGCTAGGCTGGTGAGCCTTCACAACCGACTTGAAAGCATATTTTGGCCAACTTCCAGGCCCGCGCGAGGCGTTCCAAAGATATCGAGGGTAATTTTGAGGTAAACTCCATCTTCTATGAAAGGATAAAAATTGCAGGATTCATCTCTCGCTGCCTAAGAATTTCCCTCTGGATTGAAGTGAAAGGATACGTTCCTTTCACCTCTTTATGGAACAAAAGTCTTACATATGGTCGCCGAGGGTTCAAGACCTCCCACCCAACACCGTAAAGGGGTCTAAAAAGATTAGTGGAAAGCCCAGAGGTGGAAGGGACGGAATTGACAGCCTCGTACGCGAAACTGCCCTGGGACTCGGCAGGTACACCGCGGCACAGGATTTGATCCCGGTCCATTTGATGTCTTGGGAACGGAGGAATGGGTGGGGCAGGAGGGACCGACACGTACATGTAGTTCTCTGGACGACTAAACTCCTGCGAGGCTTAAGCTCTCCTACACAGCCTGGATAGAGCGGAGAACATTTCGCCCAACGGGTAACATCAGGGCGAGCGGTGATGGCGTAAGAGCTCTAGATACTTGTACTAAGGTATTACCGAGCGGTGAGATTGACACACTGGCCGCGAATCCAACACGGCTCGCTCCGACTATTAGTATCTGGGTAGTCTACGTAGGGCGGATGGGCGGATGGGCGGGTGTGGCACAAACCTCCCACACCTAATGCTTGGTTCAAGTCCAGACTCCCTACCTCCTGTACATAACTAGTGTTTTTGAGGATGTACGTCATGGAACTTAGGACTTGATTTGCATTATAGATATTTCCTGGGATACTAAAATGTCTAGTCAGGGGCCTTCGTTGCGACCAACTACTGCGGCTTAATTCGACACCTTAGTATGTTCTCGGATTCTATATCACCCCATTTACCACATTTTGATAGGCGTTATTGCGATAGTGCTTCTGCGATTTATTATACCTGTGGCCAATAATGTATCATAGGAATGGATGACAGTGAAGGCAAAGCTGCAGTATCGTCGTCTGTAATCATCAAAGGCAGGTCATCAAAGAAAGAGGTGCAACTGGAAAACGCCATCTGACTTCTGCCAAAGGTATCTGGGATGGCGCGCACAAGCTCAGTTAGATCCGAGTCTTTGCAATGATGTGTTGGGTTCTCACCTCCGCCTGCTTGAGATGACGCCCTTCCTTCTATTGTAGTGTCTGTACAGGGATCCTCGGGTTTTCCGAGTACGACTCTCAGAGCCGTGACCACTTTGCTTGCTTCTCTCGACAAGTCATTTGTGCAGCTCCAGATGGCTAGACTCTTTTCCAGCAGAATTTGCACTTCCAATAGATCCTGGACCGACAATCTGTCCTTGCGATGCTGCACGAGAAAGCACGCGATACTTGCGGCTAGAAAGTACCCATTATTTATAAAGCACGAGTCGACCATACCAGTAGGGCGGAACTCATCCAAGACCTCGGAATCCTCCGCCATGCGGTGCTGCAGCCGCATGATCTTCAAGGCCGCCTCGATTACGATACTCCAGCACTGATTGCTGCGAGTCGTATCCTTCGAGGTACTGAGGAACTTCCAGTTGACTAGGATCCGGGCTCTCTGGTAATGCATGTAAAAGTTTATCCGCTGTTGAGGACAAAGGGCATGTTAGCAGCTCTGTCTACTCTGAATCGCTATGGTTGTGATGATTCGCTTTTTTTTTCATTGCCAGTATGAGGGATTTACTCCTGGGTTCGAGTGTGTTTCTGCGAGGGAGAGCCACAGCACTTACCTGAAATAAGACGCTTGGAGGGTCCAGTAGAGATTCGGACATGGGTCGGAATTTGCATGGGTCGGGAATGGTCGCATGAGTTATGTCTAGTGTTGAATTCGCCGCGACGAGGTCCTCGTGTGATAGCCGGTGAGGACTGCATACCTTGTCTAATATGACGCCCAAACTGGTGGCAACGTGAAGCTTGGCGAGGATCACGGTGCTTGAGGTGAGTTCGTCGATGGGTCTCGCGGGCGGCAGGCCAGTCGATCTGGCGTCAAAATCGCGATCCTGTAGGTTTCGGGGCGGCAGAGTGTCGCTAAGCGAGTGCTTGATGCTGCTAGGGAGGCCCATCTGCGTTGCGAATCCTATGTCAAGCGAGTATATCATAGCCCACATCCGGCGCCTCATCTCACCCTGGTAAGGGGATAGGGACTTGAAGTGCTGCGGGTCTCGATGGTAGCCCATGCGGATAGCTGTCCAAGCTCCTGTTAGCAGATTTCCTTCAGAGATGACAGAGAAACGGGGGACCCTCTTTTTGGGTACTAGAAGAAGGCTTCGCTGTGAAAGTCTGGCACAGACGAGCATGAAGACGTACCTATTTGGACAATGTTGCCCATCAAGAGCCAGACTCCAATGTTGGAGACTCTGTTCAAGTAGCTCTCGATCAAGAGGTAATGAACAAGGGTTTCCATAATGTCAGGACCCCCCTTGGCAAACTGACCCTGGACTAGGCACTGGACGACCTTTTCTCGATATCTCAATATCTTATATAAGACTGTGGGGGACCAGGCAGATGACCAGTTGTTCTGGGCTCTGGCCCGGCCATTCTCTTGGCTCTGGACTTGACTGGTGAGGCAGAAGATGCTGTACAAGAGGCCGAGCCAGGAGACGGATGTAGCACTAGGATTCTCCCAGAATGCGTTATACTTTGATTAATGCGGCCGGTGATTAGTATTCTCCTAGTGGTATGTGTGAGGACTTACTCTTTTCAAAAACTCGGCCGGATGTATTACAGCTGTTTAGATCTAGCGTCAGTAGGGATGCGTGAGTGCGCTCTGTATCCTGAGTCGCGTGGACACCTACACCGATATTCCTGAGCTCGAAAGTAGAGTGCGACCAATCCGTCGGATTCTTTCCTGGACGGCATTGAACCGAGGAGATCTTGATTAGTTGCATGTTTGAACCCCTCAAAGAGGAGGACATTCTGATCGAGTGGTGATGAACCCTCGTCGAATGCAGGCTCCGATTGGATCGCGCCTAGCGGATGATTTTGGCCCTTTGCCTCTATCACGCCGCTCAGCACGGAGGTCCAGTGGGTTGAATCTTTAAAGCCAGTTCCGGACTCGGTTAATTTCAAATCTGTAGCCTCTGGCGATGGAACGGAAGCGGAACTGCTTGGCGTCGCCAACCCACCTAGCTCGCTGACAGATGTGCTGCTATCTTCGTGAAGGTGCTGGGCAGTGGGCGAGATAGCGTGCAATTGTCTAGATAGAGAGCATGGCGCTGACGAGTTGGCGTAAGTACACGTTGGCTCGAGGTGGTGTTTCTGATCGACATTGTTGTAAGCTTCACCATCCTTTACTTTTCTTCCTCTCGGATGAGTCGTTCCGTAGACGTGGGACTTACAATGCAATGAGAACAAGGCTTTTGGCGGTCACACTTTCGCCTAATCACTGCGTTAGCTCTATTTCTTGTGGGGTCGGGGAATGTATTTGCGGAGCAGGCGGGCGAAACACACTTTCGCTGGCGGCAGGAATTGCAAGAAAGCTGCGGCTTGTCGCGTCGGCGGCTCGGGCGAGGGCGCAGGAGGACTGGAGATTCGTCAGGGGCATCCATCGTACATGAGGTCCACAGGAGATTGAGGCTCGGACGATGCAAATAGTCGGAAGTGTAGGAGCGTTCGAGAAAGAGAGAGCGCGCTATTTCAATGTAGCGGAGCATTCGTACCCACCCATTAATTTTAGGTATTATAACTGGTAATTTACGACGGATTATCATAGGGAATTGCTAAGGACACCCCAACTCTCCTACGGGTCCTGATAGGGACATCGCCCTTTTTACTCAGGACACCACCTTGGTGCTGAGACTCAGCATCATTGGTTTCCTACGCTAATGATACAATTTATGGTTTAGCTTCTTTCCGGCTTTTATCATCTTCTTATACTCGAGGCACTGGTTTACCTTGGATCCCTTTTCGTGGCAATGGGAGCATGTCGGCGGTCGTCTCGTCTGTCTCAACGTAGACGACCTCCTCTCTGGACTAGGACATTCATGACCCTTGATCTCGAATTCCAACGAGCTACGACACTCGAGTTTGCCTTCACAAGTTGTGAACGATGAATTGTCACAACATGCCCCTGTGTTAGGGCAAAGTTCCCCACTGACGTGAGAAGGTCTTCTCTACTAGAGTATATTGCTTCTGGTGTTGCCTCCATGGTTTGTTAGAGGATATAGTTCAAGAGTAAGGCGCTGTAGTATTAAGTATAGTCGTGAGTAAAACGGTCTGTGTCCCTATCAGGGCCCAGGAAGAACTCATTGATAACATTTGGTACCAAGGCATGAATCCCTGCCCTTTTTAATGCATTAGATCATATGATATTTGCCATATGGCTTGCCTGATTCCTAAGCAAATCCGCAAGCAAGTCCGTCAAGTCCATTGTCCGCACTGTTTGTTAGCTCCGCCACGAAACACCACTCATGGATCGCCCGACCCTCCGCATGGCCCCACTTATCGTCCGCCGCTTGTATAAAAGAAACTTGTATAAAAGAAATTGGTTCCCAAGGGCCAGGGATCTTAGAGACAGTTGCATCTCGAGCTGTTCGCTTCCCTCTGCACATTCAAAGTTTATTGCAATTGGTCAATTCATTGCTTTCCCACCCTACTCCTCCAGTCTCTTAACCACGGCCAGTACGGACAACGCCGAGAATATTACTACCATGGGCGACTTGAAGGCCGACCCCGAGAAGGCTGTATGGCCAGAGTCCGATTTCGACGGCGAGACTGAGCGGGAACCCGGAGACGCCGGATGCCCAATTCCCGGCGACAAGCCAGGCGATGCCACCAAATCGGAAGACGCTGGCCCCCCCGATGGTGGCGTCACTGCGTGGTTGGTCGTCCTGGGAGCGTGGTGCTGCTCCTTCTCCAGCCCGGGCTGGATCAACAGTACGTGTTTTCTCTCTTCCCAATGCCTTACTAGCTTCCCAATATGAGGCATCCAGCAGCAACGCGATGGACTAACAGCAACGCTCTTCCACCAGGCATAGGCAGTTTCCAGGCGTATTACGAGGTTGGACCTCTGAAAGAATACTCCAGCAGCACCATTGCCTGGATTCCGTCGCTTCAACTCTTCTTCCTGTTTGCTTTGGGTCCTGTTGTCGGTATAATATTCGACAACTACGGACCAAGGCCGCTCATTATTGGCGGAACACTTTTTCACGTCTTTGGGCTGATGATGGCGTCGTTGGCGAAGACATACTATCAATTCCTCTTGTCCCAGGGCGTGTGCAGTGCGGTCGGCGTTGCGTGTTTATACTCGCCTGGTAATTCTAACCCATTTCCCCATTGGTTGAGTGTTCCATGCTGACCGAATCCTGTGCGGTGAAGCGCTTGCCTGTGTCTCAACCTGGTTTGCCAAGAAGCGCGGAGCAGCTATGGGAATCATGGTGACAGGATCATCAGTCGGCGGTGTCGTCTTCCCCATCATGATCAGTCGCATGATCAAGAGAGCCGGGTACCCCTGGGCCATGAGGACTGCGGCCTTTCTTATTCTCGGCCTGCAGATCATTGCAATTCTCACAGTCCGCCCGAGAGCAAAGCCCGTGCCCAAGAAGATGCCCGTCGGTCGCTTCGCTGCACCATTCACAGAGTTCCCGTTTGTCATGTTGCTGCTGGGAATCTTCGTCCTGACTTATGGCATTTTCATCCCTATCGACTACCTAGCTGTACAGGGTCTTCAAGATGCACACATGTCCGAGGAGATGTCTCAATACTTGGTGTCCATCTTCAACGGTGCAAGGTAGGTCGACATCCAGCCCAGTTACCGGCATCCCCAAATCTAGTGGAATGCTGACGACTATACCCCAAGTCTCTTCGGCCGTCTAGCCTCCGGTTATGGTGCCGATAGAATCGGAAGATGGAATATGTTCATCATCGCCTGTAGTCTTTCCGGAATCGCCGAGTTCGCCGTCTGGATCCCCGCCAAGCACTCGTCAATCGCTATTGGCTTCGCCATCATGTTCGGCTTTGTGTCAGGAGCCTTTATAGGTCTTTCCGGAGCCCTTACCGTCTCAGTGTCTCCCCTGCCTGAGATCGGCTACCGGCTGGGCGTAGTCTTCCTCGCTATCTCCATCCCCTCTCTCACCATGGCGCCCATCGGCGGAGCCATCCTGCAAAATTCGGCCAACGGCTGGCTGGACGTTAAGATCTTTGGCGGCGTCATGTGTCTCACAGGGTCGGCGATAATTCTGGTGTCGAGGTTGCTCTATACCGAGAAAAAACTTCTCAAGGTGTTTTGAGTGTGGAGTTGGCACATTAGTCAAATCGTTGGAACATGCGGAGGAGAGTAGGGGACTACTCTGGCGTGATGTTTCAGTCTAGAGTTGGAGGTACTTTGGTTCTCATAATTATCATTTCCGGGGGTGCTCGATCTCTTTGGTCTTGAGCACATTACCACGCAATAATGACAAATAGCATAGTGCCAGGTGGGAGTAGAATAAGGGGTCAACCTGAAGAATCGGCGTATCACCTGGTATCAAGGATTTCCAATTAGAGGATGGTGAATTGATGTAAATCCAGAAATCGAAAATAAAAGGCAAGGGACTTAAGAAAAGAACCTCCCGATTGGTAGAATAACCCGCTTCTATAGCCCAAGATATGCGAAAATCACTAACTAGAAATGACATGCTTCTGTTCCGAGTGGTGATTAAACGAAGAACCAACTCGGCTAATTGAAAAAGCCCTTGAATTAGACTTGTCGTGACGATACAGTAATACTGCACTCCTGGTTGAGGGTGTATAGCTTGATTGGGAAAAGATCTATGGGCCAGTATGAACACCGAAACTTAAAGTCAACTAAAGAATAACTCGTTGGAGCACAAAGTTGCAGATCTCAGGTGGACTTTCTCCCAACCTTTAGCGGACTCTTCTGGAGTGGTAAAGCGGCAAGGATCAATACCCCGGCCAGAGCAACCGCCAAGTAGAAGGTCGATCGTACTGCAAGATTATATGAAAAAGCGACAGCCGCCACGTCCTGTGAAGGGATTTTTCCTGCTAAGTTGGTTGCGCCCAGATGAATCACGCTTTCAGGGTCGAGTTCCGGCGCTGTGATTTGCAGGGCGCTCGAGAGGCGATTTAAAAAGATTGCCTGAGCTATACTAATAAAGACTGCTTCCCCGAGATCCTGAGAGAAGGTCATTAGGGCCATTCCCGCAGATAAATCTCCCAAACCCAACACAGCTTGCGCCGCAATGAATGGGATCGAAACGCTACTTCCGGACCCGATACCCAGAAGAATGAGTGACGGGATCCAAAGTCTTTTGGGGGTTTCAGAGGAGAAGCTAGTCATAATACCCATACCAGCCACGACCAAAAAGCCTGCGGGAATCATAATTGGGGTATATATTCCAGTCTTGGACATGAGGGGACCTGTACCAATGGCGGAGACGAGAATTGCAATCACCATAGGTAATGTGCAGATGCCAGACTGTAGCGCCGTGGTACCACGAACTGTCTGAAACCATATTGCGAGCTACAAATTTCATCAGTTAAGATATAAAGATAGCTACTGGATGATCTTACATAGTATTGCACGATCGCCCGACATGCCGACAGTGACAGGCTAAACAAGGCCCCAGCGAGAATCACTTTTTTTTTGATTATGCGCGGTGGCAGCATAGCGCTATCTTGTTTGACGTGTTGGATAAAACAAAACACCACGAAAAATAGGGGTGCGAGAAGGAGGATGGCAACGATACGAGCATTACTCCAGCTGTAAGTTGATCCGCCCCATTGTAAGGCAAGCAAGAGACAAAGTACAGCCGGGGCGAAGAAGAAACACCCCAAGAGATCCAGCTCTCGCAATCGCTCGATCTGCGACTTCTTGTTGCTACACAATGCCGTATTAGGCAGCTTGAGCATTAAAATCATTGCTGCCGGCGCGGCGGCCGTTGGAAGGTTGATAAAGAAGCACCACCTCCAAGATAGGGATGAAGTCAATGCGCCACCAATAATAGGGGCAGTGGCCATGGCAGTGTACTCACTGGCGCTGATGAAGCCAAGGTAGGTTGCGCGTTTTCGTAAGGGCGTGGAAATGGCAACGATTCTATTCAAAACGCGACGTTATTACCACCCGAATTTATTCGCAGATCATTCATCCCGGGAGGCACAGGCCGCACTTACACCATACATCCCTGACTGATGCCGGAAAAGCCGAGTCCAGTGATTGCACGCCCGATGATGAATACCAGAGAGCTCGAAGCCAGCCCCGATATGAGAATCCCTGCCTCAAATATCACCGTTGTTAAAGAGAAACACCCATTTGATCGAATAGTTATCGAAGAGTCTTCCTTGGGAGAGCTGTGACATGCAGGATGTGAGCCGGAAAGCAGCATCATACCAACCGACATCCTCTACCGAGCCAAACTCATCAGTAATGCTTGGGATGGCTGTCGTTAGAATGGTTGCATCCTAGACACAAGTTGTAACGAAGTCTTAGTTTTAGCAGTGTCGTAAGTCTGGTAAAGGCAGCTGGCAATGCGATGGACGTACCAATCCAACAAGAAACACACATAAGCAGAGGGATATACATATCAGAAATAGCTGAAGTCCCTGGGCATAATAACCCGTCTCCTCCTGCTCCGGAAGGTCTCTAGGCACGGCTCGGCGCTTTTCTGGATCGTGCGGGGCCAGTCGAGGATCGTCATTGTCAACAAGAGTGAAGGCGGTACGCTGATCCATGATTTCTATTCAGCAAGTGCCGCTCCAGTGCGCAAATCAATAGAAGAATGAGGGTTTGGGATGCAGAGAAGGAATTGAGAGGGAAATTTGTGAAATTATCGTCATAGAACCATACTAGAGAAAGTATCCATAAATCAACGCCAGCTGCCACCAGCTCCGACTCCGATGCCAGTGAGGCTTATCATGCATGTCAGCATGCGTCATCTAGAACAAGATTTTGTGCCTTTGAGAGTATCATTGATTGGCCTCTAAAGAGTCTCCTCTCTAGGTCGATCGGGCGAGTCCCGTTTCCTGATCAGCCTTTTAGCCAGCGTTACTTCATCTTTATTCCCGACTCCGACTCCGACTCCGACTCCCAGTTCTTGTTACGACACCTTTTGAAGTATATAAAGGTCTCGTCTCCGCAAGATGATACAGTCTTGCTGGTAGTATTCGTTTTTTGGCTATTTTGGTTAGCGTTGCCCGGGTGTGGCAGAGGATCCTTTTATGGCTCACGAAAATACTCCGCTTCTCATCAGCCCACAATCGGAGTCAGACGGGGAGCTCCTTATTTCGTCTTTGGCAGGAGAAACGATAACATTGCTCAAATCGTCTGTACGCCTAGTTCTTGTCTCCTATCTGCAATGTTCGCTTCCCTTCACTGGGCTTTTCTTTGTAGGCCGCCTCGGAATCGAAGAACTAGGGGCTGTCAGTCTCGGATCCAGTATCACCTGTATCACCGCTTATGGGATTTACCAAGGTCTTTGTTCGGGAATGGATACGCTGTGTCCGCTTGCCTACGGCTCGGGTCGGCCGGACCTGGCCGTTATGTACTTGAAGCTAACATTAATCCTCCTGGCAATAATCACAATCCCTATCGCAGTAGGTTGGTGGCATAGCCAATATATTCTTCAAACACTGGTTTCTCCCAACATCGCCGTGTTAATCTCCAAATACTTACGCGTCTCGTTGCTCGGCCTACCCGGCCATGCGGGGTTTGAAACAGGCAAGCGCTTCCTGCAAGCTCAGGGGATCTTCAATGCACCCATCTATCTCCTTTGCTGCACGGTACCTGTCAACGTCGCTTTACATTGGTGGTTGGTCTACCAGCAGCAGTGCGGCTTTATCGGTGCACCAATCTCAGCAGCTCTCTCCGACACGATGCTCGGAGCGGGTCTTTTGGCATACGTGATTTATTTCCAGATCGGACGGACCAAACTCCAGAGCCGGTCGGTCATCCGCGTAGGGCCGCACTGGTGGAAGCTGCTACGTCTTGCCTTGCCAGGGTCCATTACGGTCCTAGCCAAGTACTTGACATTTGAACTGTTGACCGTCGGGGCGGGAAAGATTGATGACATCAGTCTGGCGGCGCAGAGCTTGCTCAATGCGACAGTGGCAATCGCCTTTCAGCTCTCATTTGCAGTCGCGACGTCCGTGACTCTGCGTGTGGCAACCCTCATGGGTCAGAAGCGCCCAGGGCGCACCAAGCTTCAGATCAGGGTGGCCTTTGCCACTATCACGGTGGTGGGGCTTCTCAACATGGTTCTGCTTATAACCTTGCGGTTCTGGATTTCTCGTCAGCTGTCCACATCGGTCGAAGTGCAGACCCTGGTAGTCCGGACCATGCCCATCTGCGCGATCATGCAGATATTCTACGCCACAGCCGAGTGGTCGAATGGGGTCATGAATGGCCTACAAATGCAGCAAACCGCGGGCATTCTATCCCTGATTTGTCATTATACTGTGCGTCTGTCTCTCGGTCGATTCCCTTCATATATCTAATTGTTTGATTCAGATCGCGATTCCGACCTCCTTTGGGGCTGGGTTACTTTGGAAATGGGGCCTTGCAGGTTTATGGCTTGGCCCAGTCGTTGGAATGGCCATGTTAGATTACCCCAGTCCTGCCTACGTTGCTGTGCCCAGATTCCAGTCTCATCAGCCTCACCACACCAGGTTTACCCTACTTGCCACTACATCGGTGATTAGAGGAGGTCTCTATTGAGCTCTGTAAGTCGTCTCTTCATCTGTGTAGCTTTCTTTTGGCTTTTTCTTTCACTGATACCTGTCTTCAATTTTGTGGACAGTGCAACGCAACGAGACACCATTCGCCACTTCCACACTTCCACTCACTTCCCGAACAAGGTTCTGAGCATCAAATATATATGTGGAACCGAGACTAGTTTAAGCCCGAATATCCCGCCTCGTGTCTATTATCTCGAGGAGCCTTGTCTGCACCCGATAAAATAGTGGAAGATGGATTGACAGGTTATCTGAAATACCAAGCGCTACGGCCCATCCGCATTGCGTCCCCAACAATCGGGCTAAGCAAGACGAATTGCCAAGAACGAGAAGTCTACAAAGTCAAATGTACGACGTAGATTATTTTTTAAAAAATTAAAAATTATTCTTTTTTTAACGAAAGTAGTTTTGAGAGGCTAGACTAAGAATTACACCTCCATTAGAAAGTGAGTGTAGCATATTAGTGCGCCAGTAGCCTTAGCTTTGCAAACAACTCGATTCAATGACCCATATTTCAGCTAAAGGGAAATCCACGCATTAAGCTAGAAGCAGAGATGAGATGCCACTGTGAATATAGTGGTCCTTCGTGGCATATTACCATATCTGACTAGCGCAATCGTTCCGTTTAAGGCAATTTGGTTTAAAGTGGGTCTTCCGCCCGGGATGCCAAGCTCCCAGAACTATGCTCATCGGGCCGCATATCCTTTCTCGGATCGATCAATATGTTAATTTCTGGCATGCCAAGTCCAATGAACCGGAATATAAAGGCCCTGCCTTACCTCCAGGGGACATAATTGTTACGGAAAAGGGGCACATTCTACATTTATTCAGTCTGGGCAACTCGATACTTTCCCATACTGACAGGTTCGATACATCTCAGCAACATGGAGAACCCCCAATCACAACGGACCCACAAGGTTGACTCCAGTCAAAAAGCCTCCATTGAGTCTGAACGGGTGGACTATCTCGATCTTCCTGTGCGAGAACTGGCTGACGGCGCCGATCTTCGAGAATACACCACCGAGACACAAACAGGGGAGATCATCAAGCCTGTCAAGTCCAATGCTACCGGCAAGATTGGAGATTGGAAGCTAGTCACATTCACCATTGATGATCCTGAGAATCCCAAAAACTGGTCGAAAGCCTACAAATGGTACTGCACAATGGTTGTCGCGGTCACCTGCTTCGTTGTCGCATTTGCTAGCAGTGTTATCACTGCTGATTTAACAGGTCCTATGAAATCCTTCGACGTTTCTCGTGAAGTTAGCTTCGTGGTTGTTACTGTTTTTGTCATTGGATTTGGTGTTGGTAAGTGATGACAACATTTCAACTTGTTCATATTTCACTGACAACGTACTAGGGCCGATGGTCTTTGCTCCAATGTCAGAAATGTTCGGTCGACGCCCGGTATATGCCATTACTCTACTGATAGCAGTGGTCTTTATTATCCCTTGCGCCGTCTCTAAGAACATCGGAACCCTTATTGTTTGCCGAGCGATTGACGGCATCGCCTTCAGTGCGCCAATGACCCTGGTCGGTGGTACACTGGCGGACATGTGGAAAAACGAGGAGCGAGGCGTGCCAATGGCTGCGTTTAGTGCAGCACCCTTCATTGGCCCGGCCATTGGTCCTCTTGCTGGTGGCTTTCTTAGTGATAATTGTGGCTGGAGGTGGCTCTACTGGTTGCAACTGATTCTGGCCTTTGTTGCCTGGGTCTTAATCACTTTCACCGTCCCTGAGACATATGCGCCAATCTTGTTGAAGAAACGTGCCCAGGAGCTTCGCAGGGCTGAAAACGACCCTAGGTACACTACTGAAGCTGAGCTCGACCCTCGCCCTATGGGGCAGAAGTTGCGCATCTTCCTCTTCCGTCCGTTCCAGCTTCTCTGCCTAGAACCGATTGTCTTTTTTATTGCCATTTACATGTCGGTCCTGTACGGATTGCTGTACATGTTCTTCGTTGCGTAAGTTTTGCTGCTTCTCCTGTCTCTTAGTAAAGATTCTGACGATATATCCAGATACCCTATTGTCTACCAAATTGGCAAAGGATGGAGCGCCTCGAGCACTGGTATGATGTTCATTCCTATGGCTATCGGAGTACTCATGAGCGCCGCCTGTGCTCCTTTCGTGAACAAGAACTATCTTAAGATCTCCGAACAGTATGGTGGCAAGCCTCCGGCTGAGAAGCGCCTGATTCCCATGATGTATTCTTGCTGGCTCATCCCGGTTGGACTTTTTATCTTTGCCTGGACATCATACCCCGAGGTCCACTGGATTGGACCCGCCATTGGAGGTTTGCCCGTCGGTTTCGGATTCATCTTCCTGTATAACTCCGCCAACAACTACCTTGGTAGGTTCTGCCTTGCAGCGAGCGATATTTCAATGCTAACGATAGTTCAGTCGACACCTATCAACACCAGGCCGCCTCTGCTCTTGCAGCCAAGACATTCCTGCGGTCCATGTGGGGTGCTTCCACTGTTCTCTTCACAGAGCAGATGTACGACCGCCTCGGCTACCAGTGGGCAAGCTCACTTATTGCATTTATTGCCTTGGCCTGCTGTGCCATCCCGTACGTCTTCTACTTCAAGGGCGAGTCCATCCGTCGCTTCTCCAAGTATGCCTTCGCCGATGATGAGGAGCAGACGGCCAAAGTTTGAACAAAAATAAGAAAGACAGAAAGTGCTGGTCGGCGGGATTCCATCCCTAAGCCCACCCGCGATATTCCTCTTATTTGCATTTTGCATTCAAAATGAATGCAAAATGACACTGATTTTTCTGCTTCCATGACCAAATGATGAAATGGGCATGGCGTTGATGATATATATTACCTGGGTGCACATACAAACCTTGGATAATTAGATATACACTTATGCAAATAATAAACCCATTCGAAGAAAATCCATTCATATTATATTACACAGCTTTCTGACCGTTTCATTTCTGACGTAGAGCATAATTCGCCGCATTTGGGCGGCCCCACTATGAATCACGTGCTCACGGCAGATAAGGCGCGGGCGATGATGCACTCTCGGTTCTCCAATCGTCTCCAATTAGCAACTGCCTGCGCTGCTGCGCCAACACGAGTAATGAATAGACGTTGAGACTTTTTTTGGAATTTACGAACACCCACAGGCTACGGCATTGCTTTCGCTTCTCGAATCGGTCCCTATTTTCTGTGGCGAGTCGCCAACAGTTGCAAACACCTGCAGTGCTCGACGCACGATAAACTCGCGAAGCCTAGAGAAGTACCGTGGAGGAATTTTGGAAGCACAATGACGTCGCCATATCCACTGGGCCCTTCATTTTCGCCGTCCGATATCCCCGCGGCGCCCAACAGATCCGTTTCCGAACTTCCGCAGTCCCAGGTGGACGCCATCATTCGCACGAAGCGCAAAGCGCGCGAGCCCAAGGCTTGCTACCCGTGCCATGCGCGCAAGGTTAAGTGCGATCGAAACCTGCCGTGCGACGGATGTGTCAAGCGCGACCATGCAGATCTTTGCTCCTACGAACGGCCCTCCAAGAAACGCTCACAAGGTTTCCGCGAAAGCCCCGTGGGTGGCCCTCAGACCGGCCCTAGGACGGAGCATTCCTCTCTCTACGCCTGTGATGATAATCCTACACAAGTGAAACACGAGCCCACTGCAATCCGAGCAAATGGCGGTGGTGCAGGCGCCCGTGTGTCGATTGCGCGGGAGGAATGGGACAATGTGCGCAACCGACTGCGAGAAATGGAGTCAACCATCTCATCATTACGCGTGGGTCTCGAAAGGGCAGACGAAGGTCCCTCTACAATAATGGACTCCGGGAGTGTGCAGAGCGGCGGTGCGAGTTCCCGGTCTAAGGCCGCCTCGCCGGAACGTGAGGGCATCCACGCTGCAAACACTCTCGGTAAAGGCACGGTTCACCTGGGATCCCGTTCCGTCCTGGCCTATATCTTGAATAATAAGTCTGGGTCTGATCAGCTTCAGGCTCTACTGGAGGGTGGAATACTGCCCAAGTTGGGGCTCGACAACGAATCTGCAACGTACCCATTTGTCGATCTGTGGTCGTCGGACATGTCGACATTTGATATTAGTGCGGTTTGCAGTGCCCTCCCGACGGATCAACAGTGCAGAGAGTGAGTCAACTTTGCCGAATGATCAAGCTCATAAAATTTCTAATTCCTTTGTGCAGGTTCTTCTACTATTACAAGGATATCGCGGGGGCAATATATCCCGTGCTTGAAGATGTCCACCAATTTGAGAACAGTCTCGAGCTTCTCTTGGAAAGTAGGGCTGCTTCTGGTGGAGCTTACCGAGAGGATGTCGACGAAGCGCAATCCCCATTTGGTGTGAGCATCGCATATCTCGGTTTGCTATTTGCTGTACTGGCGTCCGGCTGTCAGTCATCGGATCTCGGAAGTAAGGAAAGGGAATTAACCTCTCAGGTCTATGGTAATTCAGGAACCCCCAGATACAGATTAACCGCTCCATTGACTGACATTTCATCCAGTTTGCTGTTCCTACCAGTGCCTTCGCATGACCAATTTCTTGTCTCAGCCAACTATTGAAGCAATCCAAACGCTTTTGGTTATTGGCAACGTCTTGTCCTACAACATGAACCCTGGAATTTCCTATGTTCTACTCGGCATGACTCTCCGTATGGGTCTGGCCCTCGGTCTTCATGTGGAGTCAAGCAGGTTTTCGTCGCTTGAACGGTACCGCCGTCGTCATGTTTGGTGAGTGATTCCCAGCTAGATCCCCGAGGGTCTCCTGGTCATGTCTAACTGATATCCATAGGTGGTCCATGGCTTGGCAAGATAGCCATTTCTCTCTTTCTTATGATCGCCCGTCTACGACGGCGGTCAGCCAGCCTGATATTGCGTACCGAGAGGGCTCAACTCCGGGCCATTTCTCGTACTTTGAAACTCTCTGTCGAGTCATTTCCCTGGCATTGGAGGTTGTTCGCATCCGAATGCTCAGCCCTCATTCTCAAATAAACTTCGAAAGCATTCAGGGGTACAAAGAAAGGATACAGCAGATTATGGTGGATGCAAAGCCCTACCTGCGGGATGCGCAGTGGTGTTCCACCGCAACTGAACATCTGGAGCGGCTCGTGCTAAAATTGCACTCGTCATACTTCTCCTCTGAGCTCTGCCGGCCAGCGCTGAAAGCGAACGCCGAGTCTAGTGATGCCGATACTGCCAGCATGCGTGGTCACTGTGTGTCCAATCTCATGTTGACTGTGGAGGCGTACATTGAGATGCACAACATCAGTTCGCATGCAGCACGCTCATGGATTGCACTCCAACGCGCGATTAGCTCTGCATTCCTTCTCGCGGTCATCGAGGAAGCCAAGTTGGATCCGAACGTGTGGAATCTTTTGCGCCAACTCGAGAGCATTATTGCTCAGCGAGCTAGCAACGAGCGGGCCTACGATACGGGCGACGTGGCGGGTGCTACTGACAGCATGACCTCGCCTCTCCAAGGCATCGCTACCTATGACCCGATCACCGGTGTGACAAACCCGCCAGCTGCCGTTCAACCCGCCCTGGATCCCACTTCTCCTGCCGCCGGTGGTCCTGACACCCAGACGCAATGGGCGAAGTCCTTGGCTAAGACCCACCGTGCTCTGCAGAAACTCCTCACTGCACTCGGGAATCAGCATGGGCGGTCTACTAATGGACGCAGTTCTGCATATCCGCACCAGCCTAATACTAACCCTGCTGCCGCCTCATTAGGCATGTTTGCTCCCCCTGTATCGGCAGGCATGACTCCCAGTGTTTCATCTCTACCACCTCCTACCCCAGAGAGCTCCGGCAGTGGGGAATGGACGATACCAAACATCCTTGATCGCGCGTCGGAGTACATTCATCCGCCACTCTGGAGTTAGAGTGGGTGTACGTAAGACTTGATGTGGGTGTTGTTTTTCGAATATCTTTCTCCTTTGGCGCGACCCTAGAGCATTTTCTCGGCGCCGGATTATCTCGTGTTCTGCTTTATTAAACATCGGGGTGTTGGTATTTGGGACTCTTGGGATGACTTGTTTGTTGTTTGCAATTCTTGATATCTCAGTACTTCATACACGGTTTATAATTTTTGGTTTACTAATTCACGATATCTCGAACATTGAATAACTTCATACCTGTAGAGTACAAGAGTTGGGCCTCCGTTCTAAATAAAACTTCGTGAAACAGCTGACCGAATCTATACTCTCTGCGCGGGCTTCAACTCGCCCACGCATTCCCCAAAACCAACACCAGAACCTGCACCCCCAGCCACGGCAGTCATGCGAACTACATCCCCATCCTGTAGTTGTGTGCGCTTCGAGCCATCGACGAGTGTGATGGGTTCGTTCCCAGCCTTTGTCATTTCTACCAGACACCCGAGTGTTCCATCATCCGGGCCACTGACAGTTCCCGTGCCGAGGATATCTCCGGTCTGAAGATCGGCACCCACGCTTGCGAGATGAGCTGCCATTTGTCGTCCACTCCAGTACAGGTGCTGGTTATTGGATTCGCTTACAGTCGAAGCTTGACCTGCCGTGATAATTTCGACCTTCATACCAATGTCATAGCTGGACTCGGGGATATCCTCCAGATGGCTGGCCAGTGCAACCTCGGGCTTGGGGCCAGGCACTTTGAATGGCTCCAAGGCGTCCAATGTGACCGCCCAAGGGGAAATTGATGTGCCAAATGACTTTCCATTCATCGGACCAAGCGGCTTCATCTCACATGCTTGAATATCGCGAGCTGAAAGATTTAGTTAGGGCTCGGTTGATCCGATGGTGAGTATGTAGTTACACTCACAGCTCCAGTCATTCAGAATCACCATCCCGAAGATATGTTCATCTGCATCCTTTGCATTCAATCCTTGCGTGGCGTCAAGCTTCTTTCCCACGATTAAACCAATCTCCAGCTCATAGTCCATGGCTCTCGACGGGCCATAGATGATCGGCTTTTTCTCTGAAGAGGCGGTCAGGTCATAGAAATGGCCATGCGGTCGAATGATTGGAGTTCCCGAGACCACGATAGTGCTAGCGCGGCCATTGTATGCGATTGGGAAATGAAAGAATCCAGGAGGGGGAGTGGGATCGTTGATGATCGCGCGCCCCGCGTTGCGAACGTGGTGCAGACTACACGAGAAGTCCGTGAAGCCGCCTACGGAAACGGGAAGATACAACGTAACTGCGCTGATATCTTCGGTAAAGGCCGTGGGTAAAGTCTTCTTCAATGTTTCTTGCAGCACGGCCCGAACTTGGCGATGTACGGACTTGTCCAAGCCCGCATACTCGTTGAGCGTGGGTTTTTCAAAAACATTATTTGGAAGACCAGAAACTCCAGCGAAGAATCCTGATCGCTGCAACTCTGCAAGGAAGACGACGTTGTTTTCAAGCCGAGTGGCACATTGGATCTGATGGCACTTGGACGAGGCTACTCCGAACGGGATATTGGCAATGGAGAAATGACAGTTATAGTTTGGCGAGGTCATATTGCGAGTATGTGTAGATGCAAATGACATTGGTATTGGACGGGAAATGCTTTCTACGCCCTGAAAGTTGACAGTTAGTAACGTGTAGTTTATAAGCATCCCCCACCACCCGAGGTTCGATCAATCGCGCCCACATCCCGATGGACCTTAACTCCGCTCAATGGCTAGAACTAGAGGCTGATAAAGCCCTCAAAAAAAATACACTATTAAATCGAGAAGGAACTTATTGCCAAAGATAGCATGACAGGATCTCCCTGCACGACAAAAGCACCGCATGGATCAAGTGTCGGTGAAGGATCTTCAGTCAATCGGCGAACCCGGAGATATCCCATGAGGTGGTACCGCATCGGCGTCAGCAGAGGAATATCCACCGTCGATGTAAATCTCACTTCCGTCTCTTTGCTTCCCTTCCACAGTCTAAACCCCGGTGTTTTCAAAGCATTCGTCTGCTCTTCGCTATCCACTGACCTATACTTGCGGTCTTTGCCTTCGTGACATCCCAGGAGGCCAGATCATAACTCTGACGCCATGTCTTCAACAACCGGTCCATGCTACAAGGTCGGGGTACTGCTCTTCCAAGGAACAGATATCCTCGATTTTGCGGGCCCGATGGAGGTTCTGTCTCATGTCTCTCACAACCGCAACCCCAACCAGCCAGATCGCATGTTTACACTTGAAACCATCGCCCAGAGCCCGACCATTTGTGCAGCCGGTGGAAGCTGCCTAACCGTGCAGGTCGATACATTGCTCGAACATGCACTCAGGCAGATCTACAAGTACGACATCCTGGTCGTTCCGGGTGGGACTCCCTCCGTGACCCAACCACTCGTCGATGGCGATGGGCCGGAGCTAGAATTCATTCGCCAATTTGCGGCCCTCTCTATTCCGCCGTCTCGGAAACCGCGCATCCTCTTTTCGGTCTGTACCGGGGTCCTCTTAGTGGGGGCTGCAGGTGTTCTAGGTGGGATGACTGTCACGACTCATCATCGCGCTGTCGACGAACTTCGAGCGATCTGTGAGCGCTTCAACAAGAGTGGGTCGTCTAATGTGTTGCATAAGCGTTACATTGATGGCGGTCTCCTAAAGGGGGGTTCGGTGCAGCTTATTACGGCCGGCGGGATTAGTTCGGGACTAGACGCTTCTCTTCACCTCGTGAGTCAGCTCACTGACCCGGATATGGCAGCCTTTGTATCTCGGGTGATGGAGTATGACTGGACTGAACAGGACAAATAATGTATGGTACGCTTGTAAGCCGGGCGAATTATGTCGTGTTTTAGCCGTTTCTTTTTTTTGGGGTTTTTTCTTAGCGAGCCTACACAAGATGTTGTTCTATCTACTATCGATGCTTATCCTTCATCACAGTAGTATCTTCCAAAGCTTCATGACCCCAATGTACCCTATAAACAAAACTTCACAGCGGCTTGCACTGCCACCGTCCTACGAGAACTCTACCAGCATTGAGAGTCTTCGTATGCTGAAATGACTCCAGGTTACACTGAGGGAACCATGGACACGAATGATTTGAGTTGAACTTGGAGCATTTCGACAAAGCCAACTAGATCGTTAAGCCGAATCCTATCTGTAGAGCCAACCGTTGTACCCAAATGCAACAGGAGTCATCCGGATCTAGCACGTCGACGGGGTTTCCAGTGACATTCTGGGGACATCCTTTACTCTCCGTTATCCCGCCGGTCTTATACGGGCTCTGCTGACACAATCTAATTCATGTTTCATCATTCTGCATCTCGATGACTGTAACAATCGGTGCCTTGGCAGTGGAAGTTTCCCCGCAAGCAGGGTTGTCCCGTTTTGTTTCATGTCCAGAGTATATCTTGTTTTAGACTCCGATTGCAGGAAAATGGGGTGAGACCCATCTACCTCGAGTTGTACAGGGCCAATGGATCGAGTGTTTTCGACCTCGATGGTTCAGCGTTATCCCCGTGATCTGAGTCCGCAGCGACGGACACAGTCATCAGGACGAATGTCATTGCCGATATCGTGCGGGAGGCTCTATACGCTCAGCACCGAGTATATAGCGTGATATCGCTCCGGTGAACCCGCTCTGTTCCGCTCTGGGTTTGTATGAATAGATTAGAGAGATTCTTCTGTCTCTAATTCAGAACTTGACTCGATCAATAGGACTTACCCATCAGTGTGACCCAAGTTCAACTCCGGCCACGATGGTTGCCCTCGCACCCATTGCGGACATCCTTCCCGCGCTATATCAGCAGAAACTCACTCAGAATGGTATGGTTCATTCCGAGGAGGAGTATACCGGCGATGTTACACCAACCAGCGTCATGACTGTGGGTATAGGCCCGTCGTCCGAATCTGACAGCGCCGATCCCATTCCCATTACCGCAAACGGCAATGCGTCTACAAGCCACGCGACAAATAGTGTCAACAAGGATATTGCACCTTCAATTCACTCTGGTAATAACCCGATCAATAGGAAGATGGCTGTCGATATCCTCAAGGTCATAGAGAGTTATGGTGTTGATTATGAGAAGAATGATGGTTCCTGGCAAGGGCTCGAGTCCTTCATCCCCACCGTGGAAGAACGAGTCAAACGAAGCGAACCGATTCGCATGATCCTTCCTGCTTTTCCTTTCAAGTCTCCCAATACACGAGACAAGGTACTGGGCACGATGCCTGACTTTGGTGAAGAGTTGGCCCTTGCTCATCTGAACGGGCTGTGCGAGAACATCGCTCAGGTATACGAACCTGGCGCCGATGTATACATCAGCTCGGACGGACTGATATACAATGGTAAGGGTCACCCCTATAGCTTATAATAAGGCTCTCTAAGAAAGCTACTAGATATCCTCGGAGTCTCTGACGAAACTGTCTGGGACTATGGAGAGGCCTTGCGACAAATGGCCGTCGAAAGAGGCCTCCGCCATGTGAAATTCATCCGTCTCTTCGAACTACTCGAACATCCCTGGGTCAAGACCGACAGCTCGGACGCTGCCAAAGCGTTCTATTTGGCCCATGCTAGCTGTCTTCGCCGCGAACTCATGTATAAACATGGTGACCCAGACTTTGACGCCGACGAGGCAATTAAGACTGACAACGACACCTGCTTGACATATCGCGGGTACATCAAATTCCTGACCAAAGATCTTGCGCACCAAAGCCAGATTCAGTTGCTGTCCAAACGCGCCAGACAGAGCCAGATTGCTCAAATCGCGCGCCAGATGATCGTCCGCGGCAAAATGTTCGCAGCCGCCATCAGAGCCAACCGAAAGGACTATGTCCGACTCTCCATCCACGAGTCCGCAGGGGAGAAGAAGCTGTCTGTATCTCTCATTCCTCAGCTTCGAGGAACCCTGGGTTTTACTCCGTGGCATACATCGGTAGTAGTGAGTGTGGATGGCTCATATCGCACTGTCCACACCGAGAACGTGCGCGAAACCCACGACCTGATCTACAAGAACGGCCAGCCGTATTACTTCCGCGAAAAGTCCGACATCTTCAACTGGGCTGAAGATGGTGTCTCCGTCAAGTTCGAGCACCTTTATCCCTGCGGGCTTATCGTTCGTCCTGCCGACATTGACAATGTCAACCCGCCCCCTTCCATCAGTGCTCTGCCCATGCGCAAGGTCCGCCAGCTTTCAAACAACATGTCGCCTGTAATTCTGCGCGGTTTTGCGGATACTCTCCAGGAGGATCTATACGTTCAAGCTGGTGAAAATCTGGGTACTATTCTCCCGTGGAGTTTTGGCATTATCCAAAAAGTCCGCGACGCCGGACGCACCGACAAGCTGGCCAACAATGTCTCCTCAAACGAAGCTATGCCCATGCACTTTGATGGAATGTTCAAGCTTGAAGAGGTTACAGATCCTGTAACGGGAGAGACGAAGAAAGTCCAGCGTCCACCGGGGTACCAATTCTTCACCTGCCTCGCCACGGCACCGAAGGGAAGTGGATATACGCTCTTTGCCAGCTCGCGGCTCTTCTTCAGGTATCTGCCGCTCCCATGGACAGCAGATCGTTTGGAGAATATCACTTGGGCAATGGATAACGACGGGTTCTGGGACGCGAAGCTGAGGAACTTACCACTGGTTGTGAAGCATCCTGTTTCAGGATTGCCCTGTGTGCGCTGGCACCAGCCGTGGGACTCGACCAAGACAAAGTTCTCAACTTGTGATGTCATCATTGAGAATGATCATCCCAGTCTAGTTGATGTTATGGATAGAGTTACTTATGACCATCGTGTCTGTTTGCGTTTTGAGTGGGAGAAGGGTGACATGCTCATTAGCGATAACACGGCCATGCTGCATACCCGCACGGGGTATAAGACTGATTGTGATCGGGAGCTGTGGCGTATTCATTTTGATTAGATACTCTGGATCTGCTCTCGGGCTTTGGACTCTTGTTTGTCACTCGTTGTCTGGACTCGTGGAAGTTTCGTGTGCCTAGGTGACCAAACTGTGACAGACTCTTGCTAAGAGAAGGCATAATCTCGATCTTATTAAGCTCTTTTCAGATCCTGCGTCTAGTCTCTTGTGGTTTGTTGTGATCTTCGCTTACTAAAGTATACTAACCAATCCTTAAAAATGGTCAGCTTGAATAACGCTGGCTTCTCGTCTGCCTGACGGTTGCACTCATGCATCTATTCTGACCCCGCAATGTGACCAACCGATCAAAAAAAGCTGAAATTCCCGACGACTCTTGTAATTTATTTATGTAATCTAGTCATGGTTCGGGTCGAGAAGTGCCAGTCCAAAGTATGGCGCCCCTTCCCCGTCACCACCATCACCGCATGCTTCTACATTTTGATATCAGCCTATCGTTTCATTTGAGAAATACTTTTTTCCCCTTTCTTTGACAAGTGACCAGGTGGTATAGGCTGCACATTTGCCCTTTCTGGCAGTCGCATAAGCAGCTTCCCTAGCCATCTCCCTACTTTTATACAACTCACATAGTCTGCAATAATTTGACGCTGTTATGATCTAGAGATTTAACACACAATTCTCTATGGGAAATATCACATATATAGCCGTTATTCCTCACAGAAAATCATTGAAGTGAGGGAAGATGACATTGTTCTTACCAGCACCATCCATATTTGATATATCTCACCATTGCGAAATGATTGCTTTTCTTATGCTTTATGATATATGCCCTCGGCGCCAGTGTCATCTTCATAACTGTCATCTATCATGATACAAATCAGACCTTTACATGGTCCCAGAGCTGAATTCTTTCCTGGCATCTCACAACCTCATCCCTGAAAGCCCTCCACCGGGGGAACTCTGCATCTTGTGTGGTGGATATCTCGGCGTGTAGGTACCCGGAACCGTCCACGGCCCAGATGACATCTGCGCTGTGGAAGATGCAGTTGAACTCTGCATTTGGCACTGACATCCCAGTGATGCATTCATCTGCAGTGGTGATAGTGGTTCCATCCCATTTCCTAGTAGTGTTGGCGCAGGTGAAGGATATCCGGCTGTGGCTGCGAAGGCTGAGTCTGGAGGAACAAGAACGATAATCTTGGATTGTGGTGATATGGTGCTAAGCACTTGGAGGATCTGCGGTAATGCTGTTTCTATATGTCGTATTAGATTAGTTGATGCCCATTTGTGTAACGTAAAGCCCGGACTGGCTCACCAGTAGCAACATAGTATAGAGGCTGGTTTTGATTGTTAGCTTGCTCGCTTGGAAGAGAGTTCCCCGTGTCGAATACATCATGAAAATTCTCTTCGCTGCTGCGCTCAGATGGCTCTATACCGGCGTTTTCCACCCAGTTTGGCGCTGAAGGTACCGAGCACATTGACTCAGTAGAAAGCCCTCCATCAGGGAAGCATGTCTGATCTCCCTGGAGTCCCGAGGTTGCAGGAAAAGACATATGTCGAGACCACGGAGCTGGTGTATATGGCTGAGTAAATTGGGAGGATGGCTCAGCGGTCAAAGGGGACGGATGTCGAGAATCAATGTTGAAACTAGAGTTTGGGGGTATATGGCGTGAAGAAAGCAGAGGCGAAGGTACGTATGGATGGCCCCAGCCATTGAGAGCAGCGGCAGCCCTAAGCTCGTTGGCAATTACACGCTCCTGTAGCTTGGCAATGCGATCCCTGATTTTACGTCCTAGCTAGTGTTAGCCTTGAATCCACTCGCCATTGCGGACTCACGATGATTTCTCTGGGACAGACGGTTTTGAAGGCGCCGCCGTTCTAACGGATCCTCTTTCTGGTCGAGCGAATCATCGCTATTTGGCGACTTCGGGGACTTAGCGGTTTTCATGACTGCTGTTTTTGATTTGTATCAATTTTATGCGTCAGAGTATTTTTAACATCGTCGAGGGTTTATAAATGAGAGAGATATCGGCGCGCAGAAACTCTGCACCGGCAGGCTGTTGCTGGATATCCAGAATTTATAATGGCGCAATCCATGTGCAAGGACCATAAATCTCACGGTGACACGCACCTGTGCAACCGGTGGCCCGAGGCCAGAGTCGGTCTGAAAATGACTGGCGATGGATCAAGCCTTTCAGCCTCGTGATGGGTCTATGCGACTTTGCCTTTCTCAGCTTATTAGTAGGTGGGAGGATTCCTGGACAGGCAACTCTTGCATCTCATTGTTGCTCCTGTTGTGTTCGTTCCACGCATCAAAGAATGCAGGGATGATCCAGCCGCCAGCGATGGCGATTGCCCTGAATATCCGGCTACCAGCGGCCTGGAATATGGCGTGGCACATGTTTAGATGGCAATGGCTTCAGAAACCGGCCTATTCGCATCGTCTGGAGCCACTTGGCGTGGCGAGAACTGTGAGACATTTCTTGGGAGCTATTCTCCTGATTCCTAGAAGTAACGGTGATTCTCGGAACAAGGCTTGATCTGGTGAGACTCGTGGTGAGCTGGGATGTACCCCCGATAGAAGTCCATCACCCCTTTATCCAAGTATTTCGCTGTAGATGCGATTATATGCCATGGCTTAAGCACCCCGGAACACGCCTGGTGATGTTCATTTCGATCCACGCTGCAATTCTGACCTAACGTCTCACGGCAATGTCGCACTTTCAGCGACGTGAATCCAGCCTTTAAATCTGGCATTCCAAAATAGAACAGTATGCCCTGCTAGTTTTTCCTCTCTTTCTCCGGGCGTTAAATGGACACGCAATGATGACGAGATCCGAATATGCCCCGGGCCGCGCAAAGTCCAAAGCCAGTCTTTACCACCTGCCTTATTAGGAAAGTAGATAAAATGGTATTCTAGCACGATGGCATTCCCAGCTCACCGCTATGTCATTGTGCTCTGGCGTGTATATGTACCCATGTCCTAGCCAGTTTCTGGCATGTGCCAGCTGCGATGATCTGGAGGCGGCTCGACGCTGGCAGAACCCTGCCACTGCCATGTGGACGAGATCGAGGACTGGATCTACTTGTGCCGGAGAGATGCGTGTGAGATTTTGACCCCGGTGATGGGCAGCGGAGCGGTCGGTTTCACTTTCCTATGGCCTTGGGCTGGAGGACCGATACACTGTGCGACGCCCGTGGATCGGCCGCGGTAATTGGCGAGGAGATCCTAGGTCTTTATGGCTCTGATTAAGCAGGATATAGCGATTTACTTAGGCTGGTACTTTCGTATGTCGAAGTTGAACATGGGGGCACCTACGTAAATGACACTGGAGGTACAATGGAACAGGCATACTTTGTTGTCTACATAAGATAGTGTAAAGGCGACGACATCCACGTCAAGTGCTCACTGATATTTGGGCAAATTCGGGTCAAATAAACTTTGCTAACCAGGCTTTATTTTGTACATTTCCGTCTACCAAAGTTGTCGGCGACACCGATGATCACCACGACACGAAGTTAGGGCACGGCCGTTCACCAATCACCATCATCACTTTACATATTTCCAACGGCCAACCAAGTCAACCAAGCCAACCTGCGATCAGCTCAAATCAGAATTCATAGCCAAACTAGCCAACGGCACAAGAAATCCCCGTCAGCCACCAAGCCCCAAGTAACCAGGCAGCCAGATTTGCCAGGTACTTTGTTCAAAGGATTGCGTTCCGTGCAACCCCACCTTTTCTCCCTGCACCGAGCCGTAGATATTTGCTGACCAGATACACTGACTTAACTCTTTCCAAGATTCTCACATCCTCCCTGCCACTCATCACTACTTACCAGCAAGATGGAAGTCCTCAAAACAGTCGGAAACCTGCTCCCCTGCCACCTGCTCTCCTATGGCGCTCTGCTCGGTACGGAAGTGTACCAGGTACCCCTGCCCATCATCTACACCACCAATACAAAGAGATAACACCCCATCAGACCTTCGTCAACACCAAAATATGCTACCGAGAGCTCCCGATGCGCGAGTTCATCGCACTCAACAAACGCATCTTCCCCGTTTACTTCGGCTGCCAGGTCGGACTAGTCGCGCTGACAGCTGCCACACGACCACCGTTCAGTATCGTGTCACTGGCAAAGGATCTGTGGAGCGCTGCGCCACTGGGTGTGGTTTTGGTGATGGGTTCTTTGAACTGGTTTGTTTACGGGCCTCGGACTACGACCGCTTCGCTGGTTAGACGAGTGCTTCATGGTAATATTTCTCCTCTCGGCTGCAAGTATCGGGACTGATTGGTATACAGAAAAGCAGGATGGATCGGCAGACCCGGATGATGCAAAGATTCACCGGGCGAATCGGAGCTTTGCGCGAAACCACGCCATGTCCATCCACATCAACGCTATTGCACTTGTGGCTACGGTCTGGTACGGCTTTTCGCTGTCGTCTAGCATTCTGAATGGATTCTAAACTTGATCAAAAGGCAGGGAAATACATGACCGGCAGAAACCTTGATAAAATACAATGTAAATGTAAATCCATAAGACCATCACGTCTTGTATCTCTACTCCTTTATCAATGCAGTCATTGAAAACTCTCGCTTCTCAAACAGATATCCGGGTAAATCGGATACTCTTACCCTGCGATAGCCGCTTGCATGAATATCCTCTCTCGCTATCATCCAATTAGCTCCATTTCCTTGTTTGGCTTGGTGAATCAACGTGCCTTCATAAACAGAGACCCAACAACCGTCAAAGCGCCGGCGGTTACGACCAGATAGTATGTGCGAGACATGGCATCGACCACGGCATGGAGCACCTTCAGTCGAGTCTCTGCTGGTATCTGCTTAAGGACCCCGCTGTTTGACCCCGAAATTGCTCCCCGGAGTGCATGCTGGGGGAGGTTGGGCAGAATACTCTGTAGCTTGTCGAGTGCCTTGTTTTGGAACACGGCTCCGGAAATTGCTAATGCAAGAACGATGCCAAGGTTCTGCGCCAGAGCAATAAAAGATGAGGCATCCGATGCCCGTGACGGGGATACCTTGGCCTGTGCTACCGAGAAGCTTGCCTGGATGAACATACCCGCGCCGATTCCGATGAGAGCAGAATATCCGTAGACCCGGCTGTTGGGGCTATTCTCGTCGATGATGCCTTTGCCTCGTATAAGCCATCCGCCAATTCACGCAAGCGAAGATACATACTCATTAAAGCGCCTCCAATGGTTGTCAGTATCCCACCAGTCAGATACCAAGGCATGTAGTATCCAAATTTGGACATCAGACCGCCGTTTGCGAATCCGAAGACTACCATGAGGCAAATAAATGGAAGCAATCGCACGCCTGCAGTTAGAGCTGAGTCTCCTCTCACGAATTGGAAATACAAGGGAATGTAGTAGGTGGGAATCTAGAGAGCATCAGCTAATTCGGGCTCGGTCAAGGAAGACATCACTCACGAAAACACAGGTGGAAGCAGAGCACATGAGTGCAAACAGCAGCCACATAAGAGGTTGGCGTAGAAAGTCAGCTGGAAAAATGCGCTCTGTATCCGTAGTGCCAATGGTGAATCGCTGTTGCAGAGCAAACAAAAGCAGCAAGACTCCACCGACAACCCAAAGAGCGATTTCTTGCCCAGCACCCCAGTCATAGATATTGCCTCCAAAGTTGATAGCCATGATGAGGGCCGTGAAAGCACCGACATTCAATATCATGCCGAGATAGTCGATCTGCAGCAGCTTCTGTTTGAGCCCGATGTCCTGTGGATCTCCACGGGGCAGGAAGAAGATGTAAATCGGAGCGAAAGCACCGCCGATGCAGAGATTGATATAAAAGGCCCATCGCCAGGTCGCATGTGAGTTTTCCGAGAACGCACCACCGATTCTATCAAGTGTTGTCAGTATTGGCTTTTGCAAAGAGTCAGTATTATCCTTACACCGGCCCAAGCACAGTCCCAGATCCCCAAGCTAGAACAATCATTAGCATCTGGATAATATCTAAAGGTCCAAAACATACTGATTCCGGTGAGCGCCATATAGTTTGGGCGTTGCCGAACGGAAGTAGTGAGCGAGAGCAGGGTAATGCAGCCAAGGTACATTCCCGCGCCCTGTTATCTGTCAGCTCCAAGGTATCCACGGGGTTTCTTCATACTTACCCCCAACCCTGCAAGAGCACGGCCAACAATGAACGCGTTCATGCTAGGAGCAGCTCCACAGAGAGCACTGCCAGCCTCAAAGAGGATGACCGAGATCAGGTATAGCCATTTCGCGCTGAAGATGCCGAACAGCTTTCCCCTGCACAGAAGCTGTCAATCGAGTGTCTAGAGAATCTCTTGAAGAGATCATTACCAGGTAATAATCGTAGCTGAACCAGACAGCACAAAAGCGACACCCAGCCAGCTCAGCTTTCCCACCTCCCCAAACCGATTGACGATAGGCGACTGTACATCAGCGACAATTGTATTATCCAGCGAAAAAAGGAAAGTGGAGGAGAGGATCGTCAGGACAATGAGAATCCACTGTTCGGGGTTAGTAGACATGCCGGACGCGATAGAATGGATAACAAAACTCACCAACGGTTTGGAGACCTTGGACTGGAGATTCTCCTGAACAAAGTCCACATCCTGAACAGTTTCCTGAGTACTATCCTTGCTTTCAGTATCCATATTGCGCTTCCACATGTAAATCAAAGAAGAAAAGACAGAAGTGAAGCCACGCGGTCAGGGACAGTTATGAAGCAGGGAAAGAGCGTCAAGGGGCATTTCGCTCATGTCATCTGTTGTGCAACCACACCGGGACAGTCCGATAACTGACTCAGGTTGAGCACGATTCAGGCTCCTCTCTTGCCGGGACATGCGTTGGGGTCTTGAATAGTATCATCCCACGGCCCATAAATTGCTCACTTGCCCATTCTTGCGAGGGTATCACAATGGTATGTCCTGTTTCATGAATGTCGCAAAGAATTCGATGGGTCTATGGATGAGAAAGGGGAAATATACTTTCAGGATTACCCTCCGGTCCCCTCGATGGCGTTGAGCTGATTTTTGGGCACTGATGGAAGTGGAGGAAGCCGTCGTGTTCTGAACTTGGGCTGTCCGTTTGTAATTGGCTTCGTTTCTGCTACGTTTGACTGGAAATAAGGTCGACGGATTTCTGTTTGTTCTGCTGTGTGCAGTAGTCAGGTACCTAGCTACTTAGCAAGTATAGACAGGAGTATTCAAGGCCGGCTGTATAGAGTGAACCCTTGTGGTCTTGGGTTGTCCACTAAGCGGAAGCAAACTTACTGTATTCCCGTCAGATTCCTCTGAATATAGTCTCGATCATTGGTAGCATGCCATTATTGGCCCTGGCATAATTTCCAAGGTTCGACTGTCCACCACAGAGCTCGGAGGTTTCGGAACAGATGCTCAAACGCCGAAACCCGGGAGATACGATCGCCCGAGAACAGGCTCCGTGCCGCTGACAGTCGAGGTGGGGTTTCTTGAGACATGTATCTGCCATGCAGATAGTACCTAGATCCATATATCCCCGGGCTCGTCTTAGAGCAGCTCATCTCATCTCATCTCCGGAAGTCATCTTCTCCTCTACATCCCTGCCTTTGACGAAGCAATTGTGAAAGAAAGGATTCAAATCCTCGTCCCCATATTATTAAAGGTATCTGTATCTGAATCTATCTGTATATGCCAGGCTGCCAAAAAAAAAAAAAGAAAAGAAAAGAAAATCAATGCTGTGGTATCACGTATATCACGCTGAACGCCTCCGTTGCTGATTGACATCTCTCTTCCCTTCAACTCCAACTGTGCGCGTGAAAAAAGGCGGCACGGGGAAGATATCTAACATTATGGTGTATGGATTAGGGTCGTAGCTCTCTATTGATGTTTATGCAGGTCACGAAAAGGCCACATCGGCCCGGAACTCGAGCATCTTCGGACTCTCCAGCAGCACGAATGACTCGTACCGCAGTCCGCGCTCCTTGCCGTCTCGGACGGACCATGGATTCACCGTGCTGTTCCACACGCTGCCGTAGCCGCCAAAGAGCGAACGCCAATAGCATGCTTCGGCTGCCGGTGTGAGATAGCGCTCACGGAAGGTCTTGACGCTGTTTTTTGCGATGCGTTCCGCCGCGTCGGTGTCGCGAACCAGTGGCTCGATCTTGTCGGCCAGGTCGCTAAAGTCGCGCTCGACTTCGACGTAGTTCTGATTCGGTCCTTCGGAAACGAGGAGATAGTGGTGGTGTTGGATGTATTGGAGTTTGTGTGCGACGATGACTGAGTTACAGGCTTGTCGGTATTTGAGGGATGCGGAGTATGATCGTCCTGCGGAAAGAGTGTCAGTGATGATCCACCGGGAAAACGTTGCTGCTGATCTCGGATCTCACCTTCGACGTGGGCAATGAACATGTAATGGCAGTGGTCCTCCATCTTGAGCACGTTGGTGCCGGATGACCATTCGACCTGCTTTACATCGCCCCACGGCTTGTTTCGTGCCGCTTCCATTAACGCGCGGCGCAATTTCGGCGCAAAACTGGGCTTGCCGCGCCACACAAGCTGCGGCTTCTTCTCATCCCAGGGAAGATCCAATCGTTTGATGCGATCGACCACCTGGTCATAGGGACCGATGTAGTTGTTGGGATTGTCCCAGGCCCAGAAGCTGAAGTCCGGCATGAGCCAGACGCCCTCCTCCGTCGGAGTGCGCGCAAAGACCCAGACGGGATATTCCGAATTGGTCACGTCCTCCACTTTGTCTTCCACCGAGAAGACAAATTCGATGTCGCGGCGCGAGGCACGATCCTGGTCGGCGGCCAGCGCGCGGTGGATCGAGCTCAGCACTCCCAGAATTTTCCGTCGGTGGTCCTCACCATTGGCGCGTGCAGCAACGATGTGCAGGTAGCCCCGTGAAATAAAAACGCGCGCCATGCCCGGTTGCAGGTGAATGGCGTCGAGGTCCTCGGTCACCAAGCCGTTGAGGGAGCGCCAGTATTTCTGACCGCGCACGACATCTTCGAACAGGCCCGGGAAGGCAGCGTCGCATTGCCTGTGGTCAAGGGCCTCATTGCGGGCGTCGCGAGAGTAGTCGAAGTTCCACCGAGGGGAGGATGTGATTTCGACGCCGGCGTCGGGACAGGAGAGACAGGTAGAGCATTGGAAGGTGGTGGAGGTTTGACAGGCACAGTGGCCAGCGGGAATCAATTGCGTGAGGATGGGATGGATGTAGTCGCGATCGGAGTTCATGCCATACCAGATGGCGAGAATGACGCTGCAGGACAGACAAGCGATGATACAGAGAAGGGACAAGCCGCGTCTCGGGCGGATTAAGGGGAATATCGCGGTCATCGTGGTAGGAGCATATCTGCGTGGGAGGTCGGAGGGGTAGATGGAGGAGGGAAAGGGGAGGGTGGAGTGGAAACGGGCAAGGTCAGGGCAAAAGTTGGATATGAAATCCAAGTAGTGAAGAGGCTCACTTTTGAGCGCGGTGGGGCAGGCGTCATTCCCGTCATTCCTGCTGCTTTTGGCTGGCTTCGGTGCCTGCATGAGGCCCACATCGCGCCGTGGACGCGTCCAACACTGTTGCAGGGACTGCCCCTTGCCACCCGGGGTCGAGATGACCGTGGAATAGGTCTCCGTACTCTCCGTAAATTCATAGGACTAGGACGGTCCTATGGACGGAATCCAGGGTCCAAAACTAACAAGGTTCGAGCTCCGCCATCGCCGCGAAGCCAAGTAGCCTTGCGCCCGGACAAAAAGCAGGATCTTCATCATGACAGCCAGTCCAGACTCGGAATAGATTCAGCCCCCACGTAACCCTGCCCCAACCCGAGCTCGGGGGCCAAACCCTTTGGGGCCTTTCACGTTTACCGCTGTAACCATCCTACGTTTCATGGAGCCCAAGGCTCTTCGGGGCGAGGCTGTCGGGGCCCTTGTGGTGCTAAAATAAGGCCTAGCCACTAGCGGCAATCCACCCCCGTTGTGGCTGCTTGGCAAACCCCTAAAAACAGGCTCCCGTGAGAGGGATGAGATGGAAATGCGGGAAGTCTTCGAGTGGATATTGGGAATAAGATGGGAATAATACCGATCACTGCCTTTTTATCTTAGCAGCCGCGCCTAAGCCTTTTGACCTTATTTCTCGAGCATCGCCGTTGCGTGGACGGCGACAGGTACGTGGAGGTCACGTGAGGTCCTTTAGCCGCAGCTCGGCGACCCTGGTACACGTTACGCCCACGGGAAAACAGGGTCGGGAAGGAAAATCATCCGTTACAGAGCCCTGGCTCTGATGTATGCTGTGGAAGCCCCCCAATTCGCATACTTCCGTAAGTCTATCGGGTGAAAATGCCTGGTATAATAACATGAATCTGCTCCGCCCATGCCCCGTAGAATCTCCTCTTTTTCCTCCATAACGCCTGAAATACAATACGAGTCTTACTGTCGGGAGTGGCTTCGACGATGCTTGCGATTGCGTGCCGGTGTGTCTTTCATCCCCGTTTCTGGAGTCGCCGGCAGAGCCGACCGGCGCTGTCGACCGGGACGCACGCGACCCAAAGCCCGCCGAAGAAGTCCGTCAGCCTCCTCATCAAGAACCGATTCGACGTTTTCCTCGGCAGATTCGGTATCCACCGTTTCCGGTGTGGCTGCATGTGTCACTTCGTCCGTCCATTCCTCGGTATATGGTTCTGGCCGTGCTCGACGGCGCGAGCTCTCGTCCGTCATGTATCGTTCTTTGCCCCGCACCTCGCGCGATCGGTTCGGATTCCGACTTTGTGATCGGGCTCCTTCTTCGATCACTCTACGATCTTTCTCTCGGCCCTCCAGAGCCCAGAGTTCGAGAGCCCGCGAGAGTAGCGTACCCGCAACGCCTGCACCGCCTGCGGCATCTCCGCCCCCACTTGCTCCCAAGACTCGCACGGCCTCGTGCAGGGTGGCCACAGCCTCGGTAGTGCGACCGAGCTCCAGCAGCAGGAGTCCGCGCGAGGTATGCAATGATCCAACCAGACCCCGGTCTTCGTAGCCTCCAACGCCCGACGATGTAGCAACCGCTGAGGAGCCACCTGCCCCGCCGCCTAGGAAGGGAGAGTAGCCCATGCTAGTTCCACCTGCTCCCACTCGGAGGCATTCGTCGAATTCGCGAAGAGCTTCGGGGAGACGACCCAAGCGCCGCAAAGCATGTCCGAGATTGGCACGAGTAGCAACCCAAGCGCCAGGTTCACAGTGAAGAGAGATTGCTAACGCCAGGGCTTGTCGGAACAACTCCACGGCTGCGCCCAGGTTGTTTTGATGGTAGAATACGACGCCGAGCTCGTTCAGGACGAGGGGGTCCCCACCAAGCGGCGCGGCTGAGAGATTTGGAGGCAGACTAGGAGAAGAGCCCGGCACAGACCCCGTGGACATCGCATATGCAGCACACAGATACTCATGGGCGAGAGACATGTTGTTCAGTGCCAGATGTTGCATACCCAAGAAGAGCTGTGGCAGGTGACTGCCTTGGAACAGTCGTGCAGCTGTACTGTATGCCGCAATGGCTTGGTCATGCTCACCCTCGGCAGCAAAGGTGTGGGCGAATCCAATCCACGCTGGTGCTGAATGGGGATCAAGTAAAGAAGCCTTGGAGAAGAAGCGTCTGGCCTCGGCAATCTTGGACACTGCGAGGTAGTAAACACCGATGGCCAAGTACGTGTAGGGTTCTTCTGGAGCGTGGTCGGCCAGCATGTGGGAAAGCAAGAAAAGCGCATTGGTAGCTCCAGTTTCGTATAAACAGGCCAGATGCAGGGGATAAACTGCTGGAGCATGACCAAGATGGCTGTTCGCAGGCATGCTGGCGTTGTTCGTGGTCGTCAAGTCAGTCGATTGGGAGGTGGAGAGGATGGAAGAGGTCAATTCCAGGGCTTCCGCGAAGCGACACTGCGTGTAGAGTGCCTCTGCACGGGACAAGAGTATGTCCGGGTTTTCCGAGAGGTTGTAGTGTGTGGATAGTGTCTCCGTCGCATCCGATAGAATGGCGGGCGAGGAGTATTTGGACAGCCGGGTTGTATAGAGCATTTTGGTGAAATGTGCTGCTTCTTGAGCAATGGTGGGGTCCGGTGAGGAGACTGAGTCAAAGTCCAGGGATTCGAGGAACTCGAGCTCCTCCGTGGGCGACATCAACGAGTTCTTCATGAGTTGGTCGAATGCCTCGAAGCATTGCACGTCGATTCGCACCGCGTCTTTGTAACAGTCGCGAGCCCGGTCGAACGCGTTCTGCTTCGCAAAGCAGAGACCTCTCAAAAAACACATGGCCGCCTCGAATCGAACATTGTTGGCATCATCTCTCTCACGATCCTCCCCTCCTCGCTCGCTGCGCGCACTCTTCCCATTCCGCAATGTGACATGACTTTGGCCGTTAAGGTGCTGGATCTTTCGCCGACTGTTGGTATCGCGAACCAGGTCGGTGGGGTTGTGTTCGCCAAGTATTGATAGGGCCTGCTCGAATTGGTTCTGTTTGATATAGCAGTGGGCTGCAAGGTAACGACAGGCGGTGCTTCGAGAGACGAGATCTTTGCGGGACAACAAAGCTAGTGCGCGTGTGAAGTTGTTATTCGAAAAGTGGACTTGAGCGAGCCAGAAGGCATCCGAGTCGCTATCTGCACAAAATCTGTAAGCTTTGCTGCATTGAACCTGGCGCGACGAGAATCATACTGGTTAGTGCCAGCACCTTGTCGCCAATGTAGATGGCGGAATCATGCTGGCCGCGATTCAACGCGTCCTGCCGCCAGGAGCGTAGGTACTTTTCCATGGCCACAGGTCGGACGTGTCAGGGCCGGCGATACACAGCGTGGTGAAGCGGGCATTAGCTCTCGCGATGCACCTTCGGAGAATTTGCCAGTCGAGCGCCGCGGTGCTGCTCGCATGAGCGGGTCGCGGGTTGTGGACAAACAGTGGCCCGTGCACGTACACAGTAAAGTCGCTGCTCAACTTCAGCAGCAGACGCAGCGGTTTAATAGGATAAATACTGCATAAAGACAATCTATCGGATCACCAACGGAGGATCTGGTCATAGCCGCCCTCGAAACTTGTCCAACTGCGCAACTGCCCAAAACAAAAATCTTGGCACGTGATGGCACGTGATTTAATATCACGTGCTGATATCAGCATCGGCGGCGCAGTCCGCCACTTCTCTCTTGAATCCCCCAAGCACATTCTTGATACCCTCACACTACCGTCAAAATGTCTGAGCGAAAGGTCTTGACCAAATACTACCCTCCCGACTTCGACCCGTCGGCGATCGGGCGCACGCCCAAGCATCTCCGACAGAAGGGCCCGAAAGTCATCACCGTCCGTCTGATGGCCCCGTTCCCAATGAAATGCACCAACTGCGGCGAATACATCTACCGAGGGCGCAAATTCAACGCGCGCAAACAAACACTCGAAGAAAAGTACCTCAATATTCCGATCTACCGCTTCTACATCCGGTGCACACGATGCAGCGGCGAAATCACATTCCGCACGGACCCGAAGAACATGGACTACGAATGCGAAAAGGGTGCCAAGCGGAACTTCGAGCCGTGGCGAGACTCCAAGGATAACAAATACAACGAGACCGAGGAGCAGACGCTCGACCGCCTGGAGCGCGAGGAGGGTGAAGAGCAGGAACAGCTTGAGCGCGACAAGATGGCTGAGCTGGAGGAGAAGATGAAGGACTCCAAGCGAGAGATGGCTATCGCGGATGCACTGGATGAGATACGCACGCGCAATGCGCGCATTGAGCGGAACGAGACGAAGAGTGACGATGTGGCTTTGAACTTTGTCCGAGACGAGGTGGATGAGGCCAAGCTACAGCAGGAAAAGGAGGATGAGGAGGCAGCGCGACAGGCTTTTATGACTTCTACCGGAGAAAGAGTCAAGCGCATTGTTGAGGAGGAAGAGCCAGCTGCTTCGGCTGGACCGTCGGCATCGAAGCCCTCCTCAGTTCTAATGCCACCGCCATCGACTTCGTTTGCACGAGTCAAGAAGCCGAAGAAGCCTGCTGCTACTAGTCTTGGAATCAAGAAGAAGCCGTCTCTGGTTTGATGTTTTATGTCTGGTATCCTCGGCGCGGGCGTTTCGATTTATTCATACGAAATCATAGGGTGATTCAAGGCGTCTACTTTTTATATTAATGACAACTACTCCAAGAGAGAATTTTGAATAACTGAATAAATTAAACTTATTGGACTGTAAACGGAGAAATAAAATAATACAGAAATCGGTATCACCAACATCGCATCCAAGCCAAAGACGGAGGATCATGTCCTCCTCGCCAAAGCGCCACGCTTAAAAGCAAAACCAACCCGCAAAAGCCATGCAGCAAGGACAGAAAGGCCACTCCAACATCTAGAGAAAACACAGTAATAACTAATCAGGAAGAAAGCAGCCGTTTAGAGATACGGCATCCACAACGCATCGCCCTGAGCCAGGTGCTGGGGGTTGACAGCCCTGGAGATCAGGTCGATCGAAGTCTGATTCGCAGGCAGGTTGCCTTCCGGCGGGCTGGCCAGACTGACAGCGCGATTGGCGATGATATCGCTGTTGTTGTAGACCAGCTCGCGCAGCTGCGGGACAGGCAGGACACCACGGTGCTGGGCAGTAGCCCAGAACATCATCTCGTCACGGACGAAGACGCTGAGCTGCTGCTCCAGCTCATGCCGTGGCTCCGTCAGGCAGCGCGCAATCGCCATCATGGCACAGGCAAACAGGCCCTCGGTGGCAATGGGACCCAGCAGAGTCTGGATGTTGGGAGTGAATCGGAAAGGAACATGCTCTGGGTTGTAGAAGATCGCCTTGCCGGGGTTGATGGTCGGGATCAACTCTGCGCCCCAGATATCACCAGTCGAGCGAGAGATCAAGATCTTGTTAGGGTACCGGTTGCCAATATGCATGATGTAGGTCATGAACGCAACCGCGGCGTACTGGTAGGCAAATTGTCGCCGGAAGAGCCAGAAGTCCGCGAAGTTGGGGTAAGTCTGCTGGAAGTAGTCCAACACCACGGTACTGGGAACCCATTTCTCTTGAATAGCGGTCAAGATCTCCGTTCGAAGAACTTGTTGTTGATCGGTCGTGCGCTGCCAGGAATTAGTTTTATCCTCATAGATATTAAAGGCGGTTACACTCACATTCTGCTTCGTCTCTGCCAAAGAACGCATACGATCCATCGTGAAGAGGACCGGCTCATCCTTGTTCATACCAACCCGTCTGCAGTAGTCCTCGTAGATGCCTTGCATAGAGATATAAGACGAATCATCGCGGACCAAGCGGATATGCGGGGCCAGTGGAACCATTAGAGGAAGATGGAAGTATAGGTTGCGCCGACGGCTTTCCTTGCGTTTAGTCAGAAGGCCGTTGAAGATTCGGAACAGCTGAAGAATACGCTCCTCACGGCGGCAGTGGCGTGCCGCAGGGTGCTGAACAGCAAAGGCATGAATACTGCCATCGTGTCCACGAATCTTGAGCCGACGGTGGCAGACACCAATACCCCGTACAAGGTCCACATCGGGAAGGAAGCGATCAATGCGGACAAAGTCTTGGTTCTTGTCCTTGTGCAGGAGGTACTGTCCGGGAACTTCGACTTCATCGAACTTGAGGAAACGGAACTCGCTGAGGTGCGGGGAGTAGGTCTCCAGGAATCCGGACTGGGGTCGGCGATCGAGCTTCTCCTCGAACTTATCACGCCAGCGCCGCAGCTTATGGATGTACTCGTGCATGGTAGGCTTCTTGACGACAAAGTCAGCCTCGAAAGACTTCCGGATATGTGCCGGAAGAATTGTTTCCGCAAAGCGCGTGATATTAGCTTCCGTGGCAGCAGGCAGCTTGAAGTCTAGCGCGTACGATCCAGGCATACGTCCCACGTAGGACAACCCATCGTTCAGCAGGGCAACAATGAGTCGATAAGCGTCCTCGTCAGGTGGACACTTGAAGTTCTTGTGGATCTGGTCGACCATCGTCTCCATGGACAGAGCAAGCAATGGGAAAGCCGTCTTGAGACCGGACATGATTTCGTCTGAGTACTCCCAAGGCTTCTTGAGGGGCTCCTTTTCGGGCTGCTCTGTGGAGGCGGACTGATTCTGGTTCTGTTGCGGGGTTCCACTCTGGCCTGGCACTTGTAGGTGTCCTTGCGCTTGAGCTGGAGTCTGACCGGACTGACCTAGATTGGGGCTTTGGCCTTGTCCCTGGGCCGGAGACTGACTTTGAGCCTGGGTCTGAGCAGGAGATTGAATGGTAGGCAAGTTCGCAGCTTTGTTGGCAGGCGAGGCACTAGCAGCGCTGGTCGGAGCCTTCTGAGCAGGAGAGGCTTCTCCACTTGCTAGGGGCTTGGTGCTCGGCGAAGACCCCTGTTGCTGCTGTCTAGCCCGGTTCAACTTCTCCTGCTTCTGGTCATGCTGCTTCTTGATGCTCAGCATGTCCTCCCGGTTCGTACGAAGGAGGAAGAAGAGAGCCTGCGGGTACAGCTTGGCGATCTTCACAAGGACAGCCTTGCACAGCCGCGCCTCGCGATGAGACAAGCTGGTCAAGAGCTGAGGGATGAAAGTGATCCAGTACCAGACAGGAGTGTCTCCCTTGAAGTTCTCAAAGGCACTGGCAATCTGGTTTTCATCGTTGTCCAAGCTGAGCAGCCACAAGATACGGCTGAGCAACTTCCGCGACTTAGCGCTCTTGTAGAGACCAGCAGCCTCCAGATAGCAGCTGACTGCATTGCTAGCCAGTTCGTAGTCATCCGGCTTCTGCTTGAATCGCTGATCGCTATATTGACCCCACTCAGACCAGGCCTTGGCAAGACGGAGATCGTAGTAAAGAGCAACTCCGAATGCTTCGTTGGCCTCGTTGGTATGGTCGAGCTTGGCAAGGAACATTCCCTTCAGGGTGTAGAACTCGGCCTTCTGCTGCGGTCCAAAGTAGTTGAGGTTGGTGTTGTTGATGACATCCAATCCACTGTTAAGTTCCTTCGGGTTCTGGTAATGGCACTTGGCTTGTTCGCGCAGCTTGAGGAATGCCTCCTGGATTTCAATGTTCGGGAGCGTGTAGATGCGGCTGAGTTGGTTGATGCAAACTTCGGGCATTTGGTGCTTGCGAGCGACGTGGGCAAAGCGATTGATGATCCAGGCTGTCTCGTGGTATCCGCGGTAGGCATACGAGTTGCTGGCAACATTATTGGTCTGAGGAGGAAGAAGACCAAGGTAGGTCTGGTTGATGAGCTGGAAGATGTGCTGTCGCCATGTAACAAGGTCCTGCCAAGTGTTGATATCGTCCCAAAGGTTTGGCAACCGGTCCCGCCAGGTTCCAAGGAGAAGCTTCAACTCGGCAGATTTAGTGTCCAAGTTGCGTTCATTGGTCTGAGCCAAGCTGCCGCAAATGTGGCTAGCATCGTGCAGTTCGACCAGCAGCTGGAAGTGTTGCAGAATCGGAATGTGCGCATTTGTGATGCGCTTAGGCAGCTGCAGCCACTTGCGAATAGACAGCTGGATCGATTCATCACAGACGCTGTTGAAGTCTTGCATGTTCTCTTTCTTCACGTGGTACTGAAGGAGAGCCATGAAAGCTTGGAAGAAAGTGCGACGCGGCGTGGGAGCGTCAGAAACAGACTTGATCAAGGACTCCAGCTGTTCACGGTTGCCCTCACTCTGCCAATTTTCGATGTTCCTCCAAGCAGCCTCCAGTAAAAGATCGTTCAAATTTTCGTGCTTAGCGAAATCACTCAAAATCTCCCACTGCTGAAGCTTCTGGGCGCAAATCAGCCAGTGGTCTTCCCACACGAAGTATTCACCCTGTGAGAAAGGCATGGCTCCAGAACGCGCCTTGATCTGCGCGTTTTCATAAAGCTGCTGAGACTTGTCCCACATGCCCTGCTGTTCATAGGACAACGCTGCATTGGTTTCAACAAACTTGCAGCGACGCCGCCATGTTCCATAGAAGAAGTCATCTTCTTGGAGACCAGCGTAAACTTCAACCAGCGCGTCGAGGTTGCTCTCGCGAACAGTGGAACTATCAATGATCGGGTTGATAGCGCTCTCTTCAAGGTATGTGGCAGCAGTGTACCACGCATCATAAGTACGGCTGAGGTGCTTCATGACATGCGGGGGAACCTTGAATCGGGGCCGAGCTCGCACAATGCCCTCGAGAAGAGCCTGCACGACGTTCGGCCGCTTGTCCAATTGTCTCTGGTGGTACTCGCGGGTAAGCAAAGAGACCATACCCTTCTCAAGGTCGATACGGTCATCCTTGGACAGAGTCGACCAGAAGATGGGAAAGAGCGTGGTCCACAGCTCGTAAGCAACGCTCGGGTCAGTGTGCTGGAGTTGGCACAAAGGCTCCATCAAATCACGAACCCGAACGTCGCCGATGTCAGACATGAACTTCTTCCGCTCGGCAACGAAAGTCTCGAGCTGGTTATCAACCATGATATCGGACTTTCTTGGATCCTTCTCGCCACTAGAGAAGAGGAATGACATAGGGTACAAGGTGAAATCGTCAGGGTGGAGACGGGCTGTTGTGTTCATGTCGACGCATCCAAGTACCAAGTGTGAGGCCTGAGCCAACCAGAAGGAGTCGGAAAGAGTATCCCAGTTCTGGCAGGTAAGCACATAGCTCAATCTTGAACTAGCCAAACGAGTCAGACTACGATCGAAGATGTTCATGAAACGGTTGCGCATCTCGACATCCTGCGCTCGAGTACCAATCAGGAAAGCATGCTCGAGTCGGACGGTCAACTCGGTGCGGGTGATCTTGGAGTCCTCGTAGATACGAATCACCAAATCAAGGAACTTTTTGAGCATGGTCTGGTCAGGTCGAGACTCAAAGAGCAGCATCTTGTGTAGAACTGCCGTTTTCTCCTTCAGAGTAGGCCATGACTCGGTCGAGTGGAATATCCATGACTCTGCCATACCCAGAACCTTGCTGCACAGCTTGATGTTCTGCGACCGTTCCACAATGGAAGCCAACACGCTGAGGAACGGACGTCGTTGGTCACCGAGGTGGGACATGCGAACGGAAATCAACTCAATGGTCTTGTAGATAAGGTCAACACCGAGCTCAAATTCTTGCTGATCTGGCACTGCTTCAGGAGGTTTCTGGCCGTTCGGAGATGGTGTTCCAGGCTGGTTGGTAGAGGCCGCGACATGCTCCTTGGCAAGCTTCTGCGAGAAAGCCTTCATCACAGCGGGGATGTGAGTGTCAATTTCGGCAGGCTTGATCTTTGAAAGCGTCCAAAGGGTGTTAAGGCTAGACACATAGTTGCTAGCCGAAAGAGTCTCAGTAGCAATCGCAGACAAGTACGTTGCGAACTCTGACGGGGTGCTTTCGGTGTCCATAGCATCTTCATCGTCAGGTGTGTCATCTGGGATGGCCTCAAGAACACGGCGAACTGGAGGTGGCAGCTTCGGGGAAATGTCCAATTCATCCTCAAGGCCATGCAGGCAATCCTGAATTTCCGGATTGTCGGACTTCAAAGGCTTCTCAAGGAGCTTCTGGATGCTAGAAAGACGTGCAGTAATCCACTCATCCGGCTTGGTAGCGATGAGCACCCGCAATACCTGCAGAGCATTGACCATGGAGGTAGTGTGTTTGTCATCGGGCTTGTCGGCCTTCTCGCCTGCAAGGATGGGCTCCGTGACTTTCTGGTAGAGATCGATGTCAAGATCCCCCCAGTAGTCCTTGGACAGGAGCTGTCTGAGAAGGTTCATAGCCTTGTTGACCATCTCACCAGTAGGCACAGGTGGTGTCTGTTTGGCCGAAGGCATTTGGCGAATCTCAGCAGCTGGAACTTGGAAGCGCTCCGGGATCGTGGTGATAAAGGTAATGAGATACTTGACCAAGGCAGCGCGCAATTCGGACGGCACAGTGTAATCAGATCCTCGGCTAGCCGGGGGAGGAAGAGAAGGAGATGCAGAAGACTCTGTTTCTTCCAGCTTGCGCTTCTTGGTATTCGGCGACTCCACAGTACCATTTGATACGATACTGTTAGAATCTGTGGTCAGCGCCCGTTTCTCTTCCCAGTGCCAAATCAACCCAATCAGATTGAGAGCCAGCTTTTTGCTGTCATTAGAGGTGTTTGGCGGACCAGCAATCTTGATGAGCGAGGGGACAATAAGTGGCACGAAATGTTCCCGAGACTCGTAGAAGAGATCTGGCTGTCGCACCAAGAACTGGAAGATGCTCATCACCTGCTGCAAGTTGGCAGTCTCCTCGGCCAAAATGCGGCGAGGCCATTTGGCCCACAGCGGATACCGCGCCTCCGGTCCTTGATTTCCTGCTGTTCGTGTGGGCAAGACAGGAGCCAGAACGTCAAGAGCCTGTGTGACAAGGGCCCGGCCTTCATTCTGGTGGGCTCTCAACAAGGCAACGTAGACCTGAATGACGATCTTGAAAGGAGTCTCGTAGTGGGCGATGAAGTAACTGATCAGGACATAGGCACCATACTTGTTGATAATGTCCTCGAGACGAATGTAGTTCCAGGCGAACTTGATGATATCCTTTCGGGAATCCTGCACAGTCTGGGCGTGGTATTTGATCAACAGGGCTGAAAGCTGAAGCAGCTCCATACGAGAGTGATCCACACCAGCTTGGCTAGACTCTTCGCTGAGATCGGCCAGCTGAGGTTTCCACAGGCGACTCTGAATGGACTCCGTCATGCTCTTATCCATCAGTCTAGGACCATTCGTCGAGCTGTTCCACGTCAGCTGGACATCCATGGCAAAGATAGGATTAACTAGGTGGCGGAATGCATAGGTCTTGGTCCTCTGCGAGCAAGCCCGCTGGCCGTAGAGGTCCAAACAGCGCATGATAACGGATCGTCGGTAGTCAATTGACTCGTTGGTGATGACGTGCTTATAGATGAACTTGGGAAGAGCTAGTGTACGCTTCAACTCATCGGCAGACAGACCGTCGATGACCTCAAAGAGGAAATCAAGATCATGGCTAGCCTCCGCCAGGTAGACCGTAAACACATCCATCAACTGGTCCTCAGCTTGTTCCACCCTGAGGCGCTCGTCAGGGGGCAGGCTGTCACCACGAAGCTTCCGCTCCAACTCTCGTCCAGAGCTCAGGAGCTTGGCCCTCAAGTCTGCGTGAGAAACCAACCAGCGCTTGGTTGAGCTGTAGGAGCAGATGGAGTGGGCAACGTAGATCCCATTGATCGCAGCGGTGTTCTTACCATCGGCCTCCTGTCCGAACGCACTCGATATGAATCCTTCGGTGTCGGCCACAACGGCATTTCGCAGTGCTTCACTCTCCGGGTCAGCCAAGATCTGTCCGAAGAAGCGTCCGTAGCGGACATCCTTGAAGCGTGCGAGGAAGAATGTCAAGCTCTCCTTAGGGTAGCGGTTGAGGTATTTGACGAGAGGCTTTCGGAAAGGACTGTGGGAGGTTCTTCGGAGCTTCTGCTCGAGATCAAGGACCTTGTTGACCAGATGATCCATGAAAGAAGTGGCCGCAGGGGGAAGGAGGTGGAAGATATTAAAGATTGCGGCCACGATCTTCATGGCAGGGTTCTGCTCCACCAGACTGAAAGAAACCTTCTGCAGGACTGAGTCGTCGGCAATAACCTTCATGTGGTCCAGTAGACGAGCACCGATCTCAACCTTGAAGTAGTTTGTCAACAAGGTCAATAGCCGAGCCAGTCCATCAAGCCCTGCAACGCTTAGGCGCTTGGGATCTTGCAGGTTCATGAGGATGGGACGTAGACCATTCTGAAGCAAATCCTTCGGGAGCTTGTTGGTCTGAGTAAGAACATCTTTCAGACCAGCATTAGCTGCTTCGATCACTTCGGGAGACCGCGAGTAAAGCGATTTGAAGAATACAGAGATGATGCGTGCACGACTGGTGTTCTGCGGTGTGTTGGCGAACTCGGGGAAGTTCATCGCCATGGACAAAAGGCGCAGGCAGGCAACACGGAGGTTGACAATCATCTCGGCGTTCTTGAACTCATTGGGCTTGGATGCAAGCGACTCGTCATCAGCGTCGGCAAGGGCGAGTGACTCGAGCATTAATCGATTAAGAGGCTCGTTGAACGTGACAATGTCGTTGTGCAGACTTAAGCAATAGGTGATGGCGTCGATAAAGCCAATCTGTGTCGGGAAAGGCAGAGCGCGCAATGGCTTGTTGAAAATCGACTGGAGAAGGCGATCCCTTACTGGGAAGATGAGTTCGTGTACTTCACAGCCTAGTTCCTCCTTCAAGGTGTCGAAGCACAGACGGCAAGTCTCGCGAACGTGCTTGTTCATGTGTCCAAGCTCGAAGACAAAGAAGCCACACAAGGTGGACAGGCGACTCTTCTCGTTTTTAAGATCATCCTTAGGGATAAGCTTGCCGCACTTCTTGAGGATCAACGCCATCGTCTCCTGGGATTGGATCCGTGTGGAAGCAGGAAGATCTGCAGGTGTGTCCTTGATGACATGCAAGAGGGCGCGACAGAATTCGACGTGTCGCTCATAGATCCAAGACTCTCCAAGGTCCAAATTGGTGGCAAGGAGATTGATGCCCAGGCTTCCACCCGCTTTCGTGAACCACTCCTCGCTGTGGCAGCTGTGGCAGAATACACGTCCCAGATGCTGGAAGAATGGAAGTTTGGCTGCCTTATCGGATGCGCCAAATATAACATCCGCGGCTTCCTTAACAACCAGCATTGCTTTTTCGGCTGCTTCCCGTACATGGACGTGGTCCGACGAAAGAGACTCCACGATTGCCTCTGCGAGGATTCGGGAATCAAGGTAGACAGGACCCTCTCCATTTGCCACATCGAAAGGCTTGCGGTTGTGGCGGGCTTGAGCTAGAGCACGACCAACCTCGACGATAGTGAAGTGCTTGCAAACATCAGCCATAAAGAGAGTCGCAGCAGGCTCAAGATCGGGAATAGTTGTAGCAAATATGCAGGCCTTGAGAAGCTTCTTCAAAGTGGCTTCCTGCGCCATCTTTTTGGGGATCGAGGCCGATCTTTCTGACTTCTCTAGAATGTCAGCCATGGCACCAGGTTTGCTTTCGAACAGATCGTTTGCATGAAGGCGAATCAAGGATGCCAGGTCGTCGGGAAGATTCTCGTATCCGATTTGGAGCTTGAGGTGGGAGCTAAGCATACGGTATGCCTGCTGTTTGTAATATGTGTCCGAGGCCACAGCCGAGGGCGACTTGGGGACCTCCATGAGTTTGCCGATGGCCAGATCAATGCCAGTGTCCACGGGGAAAGGTCGCTTCTCACTGGGGCCAATGAGTCGGATGTCAAAGCTCGGGTTATCATCAGAGTATTGCTGGAACGACAACTCGGGTGGGTGGTTCAGGAACTTCCGGTTGCGACCACCCAGCTTTCCAAGAATCCGCATGGTGGTGTGTGCGTGGAAATGGTTGTAGGGGTGAGGTCGCAGGTGGTCCCAAAGCGCAGTCATCAGCTCGTCCATAATGGGTGCCATGATTGGGTCCAGGTAGTCGGCCGTAAGATTGTCCACGCAAAGCTCCAGTGTGCGTAAACCTTGACCAACGAGGTCAGAATCGGCACGCAAGGCCACCACAATTGGGCGCATGAGATAGCTCAGGTGTGGCAAGAGATGGCTAAGCCTCGCGGGGACCGTGAGAGTGAGCTCGACGTAGAGATCTCGCTCCTGAGGCTTGCGAGCGGCAAGCAGCAGGTTGTTGAACGTCTCAAGGAGCATCTCCAGGAGAGGAAGAATCTCCTTATACAAAAGCTCGAATCGGCCACCACCAATGCTTCGGAAAAGAGACCGTAGAAGCAGAAAATAGTTCATAGGTTCCTCAGCCGTAATGGACAGCTCAATGCACTTTGTGACGATCTTAGTAACATGTGGGTGGAGAACCTGCTCATTCTGCACAGAGAATAGAGTCACTGCCATGAAAGACAGCTTAAACATTCTCAAGAGAATCTTCGCTTTTGTCATGTCAGAAGTGCCAACCTCATGGATACGCTCCATGAGATACTGGAGCACCATGCCTGAGAATGCAGGCGAGGTAGCTTCACTAGCCAGGAAAAACTGGGGCAGATGGAGCAGTGCCCCATGCTCGAACATGAGCTCATGAAGGTACGGGATTTCAGAGTGGAAGACCTCGTGGAATGTCGCTGTATCGATACAGTGGAACACGGTGCCAAAGCTCTCCAGAAGCTCTTTCTCTTCGCGCGACATGGGTGCAGTGTATTGACTCGCAAGGAAATCGAAAGGAGACGAGTAGTTCATTTCCGGAGGGGATTGGTCCACACCGTAGTATCGGAAAACGCGAGCACCTTCGTGGAAGAGCTTCTTGATGACTCGAACCTCCTCAGCATTGTATCCATACGACACTTCGGACCAGTTAATGGGTACACTGTTTGGATCGATCTGGATATCATCGGGATTGCAGTTCTTCAGCTGGTGGAAGATGTTCTTCAGTCCATTGATGAGGTTCTTGAAGAGGAAGATATTATCCGAAACAGGGTCCCCTCCGCGATCGCGTGGACTGGAGGTCTTGATGGGAGAAGCGGAGAAGATGTCGATATCGTCCCAGTCCGGTGGTTGGTCTTTCTCAGCAAGATAATTCTCAGCAGATGGCGAAGTGTCCTTGCGGCTTTCCTTGTAGAGCTTGGAAACCTTAACGGCATTGTTAAATTGGTGGTTCATGGAAGCGAACTTATCACCAATGGCATCCAAGATCATGATGAGGAAATAGCGAGCCTCGCGCTTATCCTCCAGCTTAGATATCTTCTCAGCCATGTTTAACAGCAGCTTGGCGCTCATCGTTTGGAAACTAGTGCCAGGGAAGTCATCGTGAAGATTCTTGGTGTAGACTTCGACAGTGCGGCGAATCTGGTCGCGGCTTAGGTGGTCACGAACATGATGAATAAGATCCGCCAGCATGCTATACGCCAAAGGCCTCATGGTCTCATAGACAGTCAGTCCATCACCAATCAGAGTTCGCTCGTCCAGGAGCTCGTCGATCTTCTCCAGGAAGATCTTGCGATAGTTGAAGTTGATAATGTGCCGAATCGCAACGAGCAACTCCTTTCGAGCACCAGACTTCTCTCGGGGACAATCTTGGAGAAGACGAACGACGACGGAGGGAAGTGTGGGGAGGAAATCTTGGAGTTGGTGTGCATATAGTCGCAAGAGATACGCTAAAAAGCTCATCGTCTTGACTTGGGCAGTGATGAACTCCCCAAATGCCGGCCTGTTCTTAATCTCTTTGCAAACTCCGGTGAAGATTGTACCTTGCGCAGCAGCATCCGCGTGTGCCTTTTCTTGCGGTTTGGCCTGCAGTAGCAAGATCGTCTTGATCAGCGGGACGAACAGCTTGACGTTGGCCGCTACCGAAGCGCGGTGGGTCTGGAAAATTGATACGACGATGATGGGACACTCTGCAAGAACCTTGAACGACTGCATGCCCTTCAAAATGACATTGCTGGACTGCTGCTCAGGTCCAAGGTCTGACACGGAAGTCGCAGGAGAACTAGGTCGAGGCGACTGGAAGTTTTGGGCGCTTGCATTCGGTGTTGAGGGCATTCCGGAAGGGGTCGCTTGGTTTGGAGTGTCGAAGGTATCCCGCACCACCTGCTCCATGGTCTGGAACATCTCCTGGATCAGTTCCAAGAAAGGCTGTACGCGTGCCGATGTGGCCTTCGCTTGGTTCCGCTCCAGGTCCATGATAGTCTTCATGCACAGAACAGCATTATCTTCGTTTTCGATGCGCGCGAGATCCATTAGCAGGTCGACCATGTCCGCAGCATACGGTTCAACATCGGGCGAATTCATTGGTAGTCGGTGCAGGGTCTCGAGGATACAGTTTCGTAGTTTCTAATTCGCGTCAGAGGATTAAGATTCATCTTCGAACGCGGCCATCGGGGACGTGGCTCGGCGGAGATCTCACCTGCTCATATGACATGCTGAAGAACACGGGATCCCCCTTCAGGATGGTCTTGAAGACCGGCCATAACTTGGCTAGGAAGATAGGGTAGCTTGCGCCGGAGCATAGCGGCTCAATGCTGTCTCGCAGCTCGGTTGCGACATTGGCTCGGACTTTCACATCTGCGACGGGGAAGACACAGTTAATCAAGTTGTTCGATAGTCGCTCAGACCCCTTGAATCCAATCGCACGTACCCAGCTTCTCATCCCCCAACTTGTTGGCATAAATATCGATATTCCGCTCCATGGTAAGGAGGAGGCCCCCGCGAAAGGGCCAGTCAAAGGAATAAGACTGTAATTAGGGCCTGGCCGAATGGCCGGCTGATAGAAATTCAGCCCGCGCAGGTAGCTCCGGTCAAAATCGGGGGTGCATATGCGAGGACGTGGAGTGGTTGAAGCTCTGCGGAGTTCGAGCAATTAGGTCGAAAAAGATCGATCGGAGGAAGCGAGGAAGCGAGGAATTCGTCAAGTCATTTAAAGAACAAAAGAGGAAGATGCCTGATCCATGTAAATGAGAGACTGGACGGCAGAAGAAAAGACGAACGAGCCCCGCGGGGGAAAGAGTGGAATAGGGAACCGGGAGAGCTGAATAGCGCGCGAGACCTGGCCCCGAGAAGAAGGGACGCGGGCTATCGTAGAGACCCCGAAAGAAACACTAGTCCGCTTTGGGTAACCCGGAGTGGGTTGTTCCGCCCCGACTCACGCGCGTGTCGTAAGCGACTAAGCGCGCGTGTGCCCTTGTACCTTGGAAGGTACCCATGTATCCACAGTACCTGACTGGGGCGTCTACAAGGGTCATTGGAGCCACTACAAAATGTGTCTCCTTACGTCTTGAAATAAACCCAGAGGTCATCACTCAGTATTTGTCTAAAAAGGAAAACTGGCAACACATAGTAAGCCACCGACACTCGTCGGCAGATGGAAACGCCATTCGCACCCATTTTCCATACCCGAACACGGTTCTAAGACGGAGTCCAACTCAGAGGTCCGTTCAGTGATCTCAAGCCCATGATGAACCGAGCCACAGAAGAGGAAATATCAGAAAGACCATGTACACAAAAGAAAATGAAGGGAGAAATAAAGGCAAAGAGAGGCACTCGAGAGCGGAAGGGAAGGGGGGGGAAGGGAAAGGGAAAAGGAGGCATCAATCCGGGCGAATCGAAATCAAGGCACAAAGAAACATTCGTCGCAGCCCGTATTCGCTATGCCATGGTCGCAGAAATATCAACGAAAGTCACATGTCCATTGGAAAGAAGAGAAATCTTCATTTGGTCGAGTTGCTTCGATGCAAGATCTGTACATTGGTCGCACTGGTTCCGCCGACCGAACGTCGTCGCGGTCGAATCTCGCTGCCGCTGCCGCTCCGTCGCCTCCGGGTACCGCGAATGGAGCCACGGCGTCGTGTCTGGAGCAAACCCGATGGTCCCACGTTAGAATCAGGCTGGCTAAACGGGTGGACGGGTCTTAGCAAAAGACGAATACAAGGGTAAAAGCAGCCAAAGGGTAAAAATTAAGAAAGACCCGCAGGGGGATGCATGAATGTGGACAGCACAGTGACAAGCTGTCAGAGATGCACAAGACTCACCGAAGTTGGGGTTCCTTCCCGAGCAGGTCGCTCCTTGGGGGTCTCGGTCTCCTCTTGGAGCTTCAAGGTGTTCAGTTTCTTCTGGCTTTCGTGGGTCATAGCCTCAACCTCGTCGATTGGCTCAGGCACGTCAAGAACAGGCGCAGGAGGAGGTGGAACTCCATTCTTTCTGCTGGTCGCTTGCTGTTCGATTGTGATCCATCGGTCCTTGCGGGACTTCTCCCGCTGCTCGGCACTGTTTTGCTGTTCAGTGTACTCATGAGAGCACTCATCAAAGAGCTGAGGGTTAATTTCCATGAACATCTTCATGGCATTGTACACCATGCTGTGGATAGTCCTGTAACGGAAGTAGTCAGTATCGATTGACAAAATAAAGCTGGAAATTTCATAACTCACCGGTTCCAGTGGCCCTTGGAGTTCTCGTAGAGCGGAGCAAACATGATCGGGAGAATGGTTTCCACATTGTCGCTCACGAGGTTGCAGAAGTACTCGTTGTTCCAGAAGTACAGAGCGCGCTCAGCAACCTGATTATGTCCAAAGTAAGCCATCGGCGGAAAAACTCGGAGGCATTGCATACATACCTGGAAGTGAGGGCTGGCCACCGATTTGGCTAGCTGGTTGAAAAGAGGCTCCTGGACCTTCGCAAACTCGGCTGGGTCCATGACTTCGAAGATATCTTCCACCTCGTTCAGGTACATAACTTCCTTGGTGCTGTTTGTCTTCGGCCAGTAGCGCAACAGACCGAGAACAACCTACAGAAAAGCATCAGTATATGAAACGAACAGGGGGAAAGGATCAACGCATACATCTTCAGTCAGTGTCGAGTCCTTCTCCAAGAACTGGACGATACAATAGGCCAGCTGCGGGTGATACATGCTCAGGCTCTTGACCTTGTGCATGGGAAGCAAGACCCGGGTCAAGAAGAGCTTGTGCTCCTCCTTGAGGGGCAAGGCGAAACCGTTGATGATGGAACCCAGGATTTCCAGTAACTCAGCGATACCGTTGTGTCTCTCGGTTTCATACATAAACTGGAAGAAAACATTGTTGATAGATCTTCGGATATATGATCGCAGGTTCAAAAATTTGCCGTAAATCCGGTGCAAGGTTGTCTTGAGGAAGTCACGCTCTCGGGGGTCTTCTGAGTCAAAGAGATCGAGTAACTGCATTGATCGTTAGCCTTTTGATATTCAAATCTCACGACTTCAAACGCATACCTGCAGTACAAACTGATGATCAATATATTGCTTCGCAACATTCGTGTTGAAATCCTGGCTCTCGATGAATCGAAGGAAGAACTCGTAGACAACCTGGATGTGCGGCCAGGCAACTTCCAAAACAGGCTCATCCTCTTCGGGATCAAATGCTTCGCCCTGGGGGGTCATCGGTGGGGGGATAGGTCGAAACAAGTTTTTGGCGAACATCTCCACCACGCGAGGGTACATGGGCTCGGTGATCACGGACCGGTTGTTGGCGACGTAATCTAAGAGCTCGTGAAGAGCCAGCCTCTTGATCTCTTTGGACTTCATATCTGCCGTGGGATCGTTGAAGTCGAAGATAATGTTGCACTGATCGATCTTTTGCATGAACAATTCCTGGCGCCGGTTAGGAGCCACTTCATGGAAGCCTGGCAATTTCTCCAGCTCTCGTTGGCGCTGGTCAGAAATATCGAATCGCGATGAGTGTTGACGCTTGGGGGTCCGGATTCCTTCCGACAGATCCTTCGGGGTAGTCTGAAGGCGATCGAAGACATGGGACTTCCTTGGGGGCGCGAGGTCTCCGGGCATCGTCTCGGCAGCTCCAGGGGGAGGAGGATGCTGTGTGAACGCAGAGAATGAGCCAGGTCCATCGATGTCACCTTCATCCGAGGGGCTAGGTGAGCTTACCGAAGTGCTGGGGCTGATGATCACACTGGGTGCCACAGGCTGTCCTTGCCGCGTCGGAGTACCCGGACCATTGTTCACAGGCTGGCCTGCGATGTTGACTCCTTGGGTTATATAATGCTGGCCTGGGGCGGCGCCCACAGACGGGGTTCCCGCCGGCGAAGCTTCATCGGGCGATTTGCCTCGCGCATCATTGAGAGAAGTTGTGGATGATGTCGGGGTACCTTGGTTCGGCGATGTCGGCTGCTGTGTGTTGGAAACGCCGAGGGAGGCCTGGCTTGATGTTGAGTTGGAGTCTTTCTTCTTCGACGACTTGTTGGCGTCCTTCGCCCGCGACAACTGCTCGTGCTATGATGAACAAAAACATAAGTTTGGATTCAATCCGAATTAAGGAGAACCACCACTTGCATAGTGGGGAGAAGGGGGCTGGCGGAGATGACCGTGCGGTGAGAAGCACACGAAGATAGACACCTACCACTCTCTGTCTGAATCCCTTCATTTTGAAGCCAGTATTGACAACCACATAAACTTCGCTAGGCTTCTTCGTGCCAGTGCAGCCGAGCGCTGCACTCTAGCCAGGGCGATTCGGGTGAGGACAACGGGGGGCCGCTTAGGAAAGCCACGAGGGGGAGGAGGGTGTGTTTGTATCGACCTAGGGGAAACTCATAAGCGCTCCGAATTATCCAACAAATGAAAGTCCCAGGGTATCGTAGAATGACATGAAGCAGTGATATCAGATCATTTGCAGGGGGGAGGTCATCACCCAATGGCGGCCGCTCCAGAAGACCAGAGCGGAGTGTAACCACACGCGCACGGGGTAAGGTGGTTCAGCGTTGGGGGAGAAAGGTACGACTGCAAAAAGATGGAGGGCGACGTACCTCTTTGACCTGAGATGGGACAATTGGTGTTCGAGGTGCAATGGGGACTGGCCGGACGGCGCAGAGGTCGAGATGGGACTGGCGTGCTGGGTCCGCTCTGGAGGATCTCCGTGTCGCTTAGTGGCAGGCTGGGAGCGGGGGGTTCGAAAGCGCCAGGGCCACCCGATTGCAATCCACGACCAGAACCTGAATCAACTGGACTAAAAGGAGGTTGGCCGAGGCCTCGAAATGTAGCAGATCGAAGTCCGAGTGTGTGGGTGGGGGAAGGGGGGAGAAAGAGGAGTGTGTTGTTGAGGTAAAGTGAAAGGCGGCGGGATCTCCTGGCTGTGATGGTGATGGGAGGGGGAAGGGGTCAACTCCAAGGCCAGCACAAACTGCCGAGGCGTTCTTCTACAGTGCTTATCATGTTTAGGCTATCACCAGGTGTCCCTCAGCGTCTGCTCCACGTCTACTCGAGCCTCTACGTGTCGCGCTTCTCCAATACCCTCTTTGTCCACACTATTTTGTATGCGTTTTCCCGCTACTTGTTCGGCTTATGTCATCATGTCACGTGGGTGTATACCAGGGGCAGTGAATCCGGTCAGGCGACTCGTCTCCGAAGATAATATTCTGAATATTCTGAGGGATAAGGTTCTGGAGGATAGTTTATATTTGGGATATTCTCCGATGGCCCCTTGTCTTTCAAAATCCGTGGCCAATTACAACACCAAGCAATACTTTTGATATGGTACTGCCCACATACGCCCGCAAAATATATTCTTCAACGTATGAGACGAATCTGATGTGAGATGTGAAAGTCATCAGGGCAACGAATAATTTTCAACACATATCGGTAGTGCGATAGGTCTTATTAAAAACAAGAAAAGGGTTACCTCTCCAACTAGATATCTTACGACTCTATCAATCCTGAAACGAGTAAATTGAGGTCAACCCTGGGATGAGAGATGTCGAAGGCGATTAGTCATCATATCCGCCGGTATGGAATGCGCCGCCTCAACTGAAGAGGGCTCATATCGGTAATTAATATCTCGGACTGAGAGGGGCGGGCCGATGGAAAAGCTTTCTCCGTATATCAGACCAAGTGAAACGCGAGTCAAATATCGTGCCGTTGGTAAATGCTGCGCCCTCATGGTCTTTTCATCATTGACCCGCCTCCAAACGAAAGCAGCCTGAACCACATAAACACGGCCATACGCTTCTGGATCGTCTCGAGTCCTCAATATTTTCGCTTATAATAGCACGTCCTCACCATGGACTCACAACGTGAATCCAGAACCGCACCGTTCTATCCCGTCCCGCCTCGACGTCTGGTCAGCCTCGAGCACCCTGCCGTGATCCTCAACCTCGACAGAGCCATGGACACGCTCCAGGGGAACGCGGGGATCGAAACTGTGAGGCTTACAGCTCATATATTAAAGTACTTCAGATTCAATCATACTGACATGACGCAGATCCTCAACCCGCCTAAGGCCGATACACCGGCGAAACTAACACTGCGACCTGAAGATGTTATGGCTCGACCGATCCAGTCGATGAGCTGTGCAACAAATAATGTCCTGCTCAAAATCACTGTCCCCAAACGGACAGGTCGGAAGCGCAAACGAGGCTCGGATGAGCCCTTCACCAATGCCCTGCCAGAGGATGTTGAAGAAGCTTCCCTCCGACGGACCTCAAAGGACTTGCTGCGCAGTCTACAAGACAATGCTTCCAAGTACCGGATTGAGGCAGTAGGGAGAGTGGAGCGCACGCATGTCTTTCGAGGTGTGTTCAAAGCTTTCTCTTAATATCTGGATTGAATCTAACAATCCTAGGCTTGCCGGATTTCATGTGGTCGTCTACACGTAGTTCCTTCACGAACCAATTTCGTGAGTGTATCATCCCATTTGACTGTAGGTGAGCTCACTATTCGAGAAAAGACACCTGGCTAAGACAATTTCAGTGGAGAAAATGAAGAGATATCACCTCGACATGTCCAAAGGAGCTACTGTGGACGTGGATATCATCCCGCCGCCCTCGTTCACCCAGGGTGATATTCCGTTCCAGTATATGTAAGGATCCCAATATTCAGGAATAGCTGGAGACATATGCTAACATTCCATCCACTCAAAGGTACCGCCAAAATCCAACAGTCAAACAAGCCGTCGACCAATCCGGCGAAATTTTCACAGTGAACACACAGCAACCAACGAAGATCCGCAGCCACCTAGTCTCGTTTGACATTCCCGTCGTGCCCTCGGAGCCACAAGAAGACGTCGCTCCAATCGATACTGTCGACCCAGCCCTTCGCGCAACCATCGAAAAAGTCAAAGAACTCTTCGAGCAGCGACCAGCCTGGACACGACGTGCCATCCGCAGCAACCTTACCTCAGATGAACAGCAAACCCTCCTCCGCCACGCATTACCCTACGTTGGGTACATTTTCCGATCCGGACCTTGGCGCGACGCTATCATCAAGCTGGGCGTGGATCCGCGCACTTCACCCGAGTACCGCCATTATCAAACCTTCATGTTCCGCGTCACAGAATCCAACGAGGCAGAGCAGGCCCGCGATACTGCTGACGGCCGTGGCCCCAACCACCGTCGCCAGGGATCCGAAAACGAGACCATCAGCTCGGGTTCCAGGTCTGCACAAGCAAATTCACACATCTTCACAGGCCAACCGCCCCTCCAGCGTGATGGCCGCATCTGGATGGCCTGTGATATCAAAGATCCACTCCTACAATCAATCCTCTACCCACCCGATCCGCCTCCTTCCTTCCTGTGCTCCGAATGCGTCTCCATCAGCAACGGTTGGTTCGGAAACGGTACAATGGCGAAAGTGAAGACGATTATGCGTGCCAAGATCGCCGCGCTAATGGAAGACCGTGTGGCGCCTGATTCTGACTTCCGACGCATTCTACAATTTCCCGACCATGCGTCGAGCGAGGCTGATCTTGCGTACTTTACGGTCGATCCAGCTACATCCTCTAGCAAGGAGATTCAATACGCGACGGAGATTAGGGCGACTATCAAGGGAGCGCCGCATTGGAGAAGAAAGAACGAGAAGGAATCGTACGGGCTGGAACGGAGGCCTGGGCGTGGTGGGCCAAGGAAGAAGGGGAAGATGGGGAAAATGGTCGGTTTTGATGGGACTGATGGGGATGTTCAGCCGGAGCTGGAGCAGAGTGAGGGCGAGGAAGAGGAGATGCAGCGGAAAGAGATGCTCGAGGAGCAGGTTGCTGCTGCTGTGGCGGCGAGGGACGCAGCTGAGCAAGAAGAGGAAGGCGATGAAGGGGATAATGATGGGGACGATGGAGATGATATGGACGAGGATGATGATGACCAAAGTGATGGCACAGCAACTTAAAACGGAACTTTACTTACTATGAAGTCTACAATTGAAGTGAAGAAGATTCATCAAAACAATAATCATTCCAATCGTATATCGAGACTTGCGTGTATACATCGTGAACCAGCATCAGACATGACAAAAGTTTCTCATTAATTAAAGGGTTGAGACAAAACAATGTGCAGCCCATATAAAAAAAGGAAACAGGATGAAGAGACAAAAACAAGACGAGAAAAGGGTATGCAAAAGAACATCCAGACAGAACCCAAAATCAAAACATCGGACCCAGAAATCATCAACGCCATGAATGAATCAAATGCAAGGCCACAACCGGGCCGAAGACAGAGAGCGCCAAGGACCATGCAAATGCAAGTGTGTTTTTAGAGTAATCAAGGAGTGGGCTGTGTCTACTCCTCCGCAGCTTGAGCTTCTTCAGCAGCACTCTCGCTTTCCCAAATCTCGATCTTCAAGTCAGCAGATTCGGTGGTCTCGGTAGAATCGGCAGCTGGCTTGGGAGGGGTGGCAGTCTCCAGCAAGGAGGCAATAGAGGTAGTGATGGACGGAGGGAGAAGAGTAGCCTGGGTAGATACGGAAGCCTTCTTAGACGAGGGAATGTTGTCATTCTCCTCATCGTGGACAACTGTATAAGAAAAGGCATTGCAGTCTTCGGGGTAATAGTCGGAGGCAGTGAGCTCTCCAAGTGGCGCGCGGTCCTCCTCCATCTTGGAGGCCTTGCGGGCGGCAGCAGCAGCGGCCAGGGCAACAGCCTGATGGGAGCGAGGAAGGTCAATGCCCAGCTCAGCAGGCGGGACGTTTTCCTTCCCGCGGCCCTCGATGACGGAGGCCTTGCCCTCGTCGTCGCTGATATCGAGGACGCCGGTCGAGTGCTGCATGAGGTTGGTCATCTCCTCTTGCTCAGAGTCGACATGAATATCGAATAACCAAGACGACGGGCCCTTGGCCTTGGGAGCAGCGGGCTTGTTTTGGGAAAGGGCAGCAGCGAGAGAGAAAGGGCGAGTGACACCGCGCTTGCTAGGCTCCGGACGGGCCTTGGCGATGGTCGACCGGCGACTGAATGTCTTGCATGACTTGGGTGGCGGGGTCCGGCCAGCGGGCTTGAGAACAGGAGCGGATCGAGGAGTGGTGGGAACAAGTTTTAGCGGTGTCGAGAGTCGAGATGAGACATTGTCCCGGTTGGTGAGGGCCATGCGGGAGGTCTTGAGGGGCTTGGGTGAGCCCTTGGAGATATCGTCGTCATCGTCCAAGGTGCGCTTGCGCTTTACAGATGAATTCAGTCTGCTAAGATCGATGTTTTCGGAATCGTTGGTGAAGACGGATTGTTTTGCAGACAAGACGGCTCCTGGTGGGTATTAGTTTCTGTGCTTTGGTTACCACAACAAACGAAACGAATCGTACCATTTTGCTGGTTCTGGCGGTTCAGCTTGGAACGCATCAAGGCGTTCATCCTCGGTGTGTCCAGACTCGCAAAGGGTTGGCGGGAGGGAGTCATGGTGAGAGTGGCCATGATGGTAGGAGGCGCGTGAGATTCGGGTTGTTTTGACGTGTCGGCGCTAAGTGGGGAGATTGGCGGTCTACACTAAGTCGATCGCGAGACCGAACGGGAGATTTTCTTTCGTGAGATCGAGAGATAATATAGTAGAAAAGGGAAGAATGAGGAAAATGTAAAGAAATCTAGTCAAAGACAGGAAGATGGTCGGGTGAAGCCTGGAAGGAGAGGAAAGTGGATATAGGGTCCACAAGAGTGTATAGTCCTAGAAAGAGAGGCACGGCTTGGAGAGTGGCAATGGAGGTGGGATGGATCGATAGATATACACTCGAGTAGAAGAGATGGTAGGATGAAGGCAAGGAGGGCGAGGGCAAAGGGGGCTATTTCAAGGCCTCGTGCATTGCACATTGCTCATAGCACGGAGACCGCGACCGCGTTCGCATGCAAGGCGCCTTGCATTCGAGGCGATTGGATCATACCAGGCTCAGGGTTGGAGGTGGCGTTCATGCGGTCTCGGCACAATCCAATTATCATTCCTTTTCCTCGTGTGGGATCAATGGAAGTGGTGTGGAATGTCGACGCGGGTACGCGCTTCTATACTGTACGTTTACTCGTTACTATACCACTATGTATACCATTCAGCTACTGTACGTGTAGCGTAGAGTCATTATTGGACACAATATAATGATAGGAGAGTTCGACTAAGAATATCGTTCACCATGTCCGTGTTTCTGCCGATGCATCACACACTACACGCGTATCCCGTATCCCCTGCGACGCGCGCCAAGTACCCAGTACCCGCCACGATCCCGCTACAATGCCCGATCTCCAAGTACCGGATACTCTACGCGCGACACGCTCGCGTTCCGCCCCTCCTTACACCAGCGCGCGACGGGTTGAACACACCCCACTTGCCAACGCATCTCACCATCGCTCCATTGGCCCCCAGCCCGGTGCAAGATCAGCATGAAACTCCGGGTGCATGCGAATACTGGGAGGTTGAGGGTTGCAGCTTGCAGGTCGCAGGTCGCAGGTCGCGAGGGCCGTGTGCCGGAGGCTGGAGAATGTCCAAAGTCCAATGACCTTCTTTCAGGTATCCAGGTGTAGAATTCAGGGATTGCCACCGGGAGCGTGTGAGCGTGTGAATGAGAGGTAGTCATGAACCTGGTGATTCCTTGAATAGGGTGACGCCCCTCTTGCTCGTGGACTGTGCCATCCCCGTCGTTGACATGCATTCCTCGACAAAAAAGGTTGAGGACTTCTGTTGCACGGTCCTCAATTTACTTCAAGGGGCAAGCCAAGGGCTGATCTAAAACGGATAGATTGAAATTCAAGTCGAGCTTCTCTATACCTATGATATAATTACATTTATGAACTCTATAGTCTCTGCCAATGCGTTACACCTCGTCCTCAAACGGAATGCTATCCATAGCACCCTGGCGCTCCACGGCGCGAGCTGACGCGCGCGCTGCCAGGTGCATCGCCTCGTCCATGACAGTCTGATACCGATGCGGTTTCTCTGCATCGGTGATATCCTGGCCCGCCCTGTCCTCGACGCGACGTTGCTCCCGCCACCGCGCAACCTTCACCGCGTACGCTCCAACAAATGTGTCGCCCGCTGCCGTGGTATCCAAGACTTGAGACACGGCCGCTGCAGGAATCTCGTTCGTAAAGCGCTGGACCCCATCGCTAGGGCCAGAGGACCCTCCATCTGTAGCACTGTACCAGACGCCCTTGGCCCCCAGCGTAATGAGTAGGTACGTCACACCCAGCTTGTGGAAGTATCGGGCCACTTTTTCCTTGCCGTCCAGCCCCTCGGCGTCTGGAACGACTCGGAGGAGCTGCTCGGTCGGCGGCGTCATCAGCTCCGCTTCTGTTTCATTCAAAATCAAGTGATCGACCGCAGCATAGACATCCTCTGGCAGACCGCCCGGTGGTGCAGGAGCTGGGTTGAGCATAACGTCGGGCCCGCACTCAATGCCGCGCTTGCCAGCAGCGCGGTTCTTCTTCTTGTATGCTGCGACTTCCCGAAGGATTCCAATTACCGTGTCAACTGGGATCTCGCCCTGCATCACGATCACATCAGGCACTGGGGGAGATAAAGCCGGTCCCAGAACTTCGGGTTTGGGCTGCATGCCCGTATAGTTCGCACCGGGCGAGAACAAGATGCGGTTTTCACCCCCAGCAGACGAGTCAACGATGATAACTGCCACGCCAGTGTATGCATTCTCAATGACTCGCACTCGCGACGGATCGACTCCGGACTTCTCAAGTGTCGGCTTCAGCAGGGCAGAGAAGTGGCCATCCAGCGCGCCGACAGCGCCGACCATCTCGACGTGAACGTCGCTTTTCGCATTCATTCCCTCTCCAGTGGGTTGTGGTCGTGACATCCGGCCACATGCGACAGCCTGATTCGCGCCCTTACCGCCGGCGCTGGTGAAGTACTTTGAAGAAGTGATCGTCTCTCCAGGATCGGGGAAACGGGGTGTGACTGACACCATGTCGGCATTCAGGGAACCGATGACACGAATGAGGGGGGCCATGATTGGGGATCAGTAGTTCACGTGTAGATGGTGATAGTCGTCCATGTGTTTCAAGAGTCGGTAAGCCGGTGCGGGGGTGGGGGGTAGGAAGCTCAAGAGCGATTGAGGAGCAGACCGCTCAATTCGAATGGACAGAAAAAGCAGAGAAGGATTTCAAGGTTCGCTATTGCTGTTTGTAGAGAAATCGGCCGTACCTGGAGGAGTGCAAAGAGAATGGGGGAAGACAAAGTGACGTGAGAGCGCGGGGCACATTTATCCGGATGTGATTTGCGCGATCCACATCCCGCAACGGAGTCGACTATGTAAAGTCGCGGGTCGTAGACGATATCGCAACCCACGGAAAGGCGTTACTGCCATCTGAGATCTGTTAGTATTCGAGAAACTAGATACATTGAATGATGGGTCTGGAACAAAAGAGCCTGGTCTGCTAATTAATACCTATAACCTCTTGTATACTATGTAGAGTCAACCGCAGTTCGCAAGGTAAAAAGCCATAGGCCCCCGGGGGAGGAGGGGGATCTGACGCTAGTTCAATGGCGGTCAGTCTCTATAAGGTTTCTTGACCTTTCTCGTCCAGATTTGGGTACTGTCTTAGATTACACATATCCGTCCAGAAGGCCTTGGTATTTTCGTGCGCCTCACTATATACGTCTAAGCGCGCCCGGAGTAACTTTTTCCATTCAACATCTATGGCTAAAACGTATTTATACCAAATAGGAAAGAAGGCAGCGTATTCCAAATCAAGTATACTAATAACCTTTCCGTTTTGGACTATGATATTTCCCAAATTGAGATCGCAATGAGTAAGCATATAGGGTTCGCACTTTAGTAGGCGCTTTTTTAAGTTCTCCAAAACTTGTGGAGGGAGGTGAGGAAGGTCAAGGGCCAAAGCATCCTGGAGCTCTTAGTTAGATTAGAACAGTCCACAAGGCTCAAGATCAAAAAATAATAAGCCTAGATAGTATAGGCTTTAATCGACACACTAAATAGAAGTTAATGTAACGGATCAAAGCTACTTTCGCACTTTTACGTTAAACTAGTGAAAATACGCGTTCCCTAGAAATCTTTGTTATATTGGCTAGGTCCAGCAAGCTTGGTCGTGATAACAACTAACCGCATCTAGTAAATCATAGGTCCGAATATTACGCACTATAAGTTCAAATAATGCTACATATCTGCAAAGAAGACAGATGCCAACGGATTGAATAAGAATTACATGAAGAGATTCTCAAGGTATTTTCATTGCTTCAAGAAGTTACAATTCATGGTATATGAAAATTTTCTCTCTGCGTGAGTACCCATTCTGTGGCATCTGTTTTTGATGCATGCTGATGATCAAATTGCCACTGCACAAGACCGTCAAGAGTTACCTTGAGAAAAGCACCGCTTTGCGTGAGGTTGAAGATGGCCTTCAATTCGCTTCCGTTGAGTATAGGCTTAGCGAGTGGTGCGTTTTGCAAGCCCTAATCAAACACGTGGTCCATGAACTTCGAATATCCGCCAAGTAGGTCGGCAAAGACGCCATCGTCCACAGCCTGAGAAATGGCGTCGGCTAATAGCGTGTATAACACTTGGAGCTTCCACGACCTACCCCAAGACCTGACTGCCATGCCGAGAGTGCTTCGGGATACCCCGACTGAAGCTGTCGCAATCTGTCGTACGGATGCATGGATAGAATCCATATTCTTGAGGCAATCGCCTAGAATTTTTGAAGTTTTGCTTGTTATCTTGATTGCCCCGGTTGCAGTCTTCACAACTTTCTCGATGTCGGTTCTCCGAAGTGGTGCGAGCGGCGCCCAGGCCGCCATCAACCAGATGTGCTCCCGTGCTTCAGACTCCCAGAAGTCTCTCTTCGAGTGCCCGGATTTATGTTGCAATAGAAACGCAAGATTCCTGAATGCGAGGGGCCACGAATTCGGCCATGGGATGTTATGTTCACTGTGAGGAAAAGCATGTAGCAGCCTTTGTCCTAGATAACCTGGCGGATCTAGGAAGACTGTGGAATATAGATCGCATTCATAGAGAAACTCAAAGGCGGTCAACGGATCTGGGCCCTTGATCATTATCTCAATTTCAATCCCCACTCGCTCGCGAGTGATTTTCACATTGAAAGCCGTGTGAACGAGTGGGTCTTTCATCGCTTGTGCCGTTTCTTGATCAATTTGGAAGCCAAGCCAGCTGGCAAATCTGACCAACCTTAGGATCCGAAGAGGGTCATCCATGAAGGTCTGAGTAGGCTGGAGTGGTGTCCTAATGATGCCGGCTGCCAAGTCTGATAGCCCCATCTGGGTGTGATCTTCGACTTGTCTTCTGGTTAGGTTGTAAAAGATGGAGTTGATTGTAGCATCACGGCGATAAGCATCTTCTACCGCAGTACCGAATTCGACTTGAGGATTCCGGCTCTGGTCTGTATAGACTTCTTTTCTCAGGTTGACAAAGTCAACCGACAACCCAAATATTTCGATAGTTCCTGTCTCTAGGTGCTTCGACTTCTCTGGATTGCTGTTGATTTTGTGCAGCCCTTTGATGGTTGGGGGTACACCAAGCCTCTGGGCTTCGGCGATGTACTCTGCGGCCGAGCGAGCAAAATGGTCTTCGAGGGCTTCCCCAAACTGAGTCCCAGTCATGGAGCTAAGAGCCACATCGATATCCTGGCTTTCGCCGCCGAGTAGTCTGTCCCGAACCCAGCCCCCAGTGAACCATATCTCGAGATTGATGGCGTCATGGCTGTTGTGCACGATGTGATCCCGGCAATCCAGCAGAAGCTTCCGCAAAAGCTCTTCGGCTGGTGATAAGTCTATTGTACTTTCGGAATGTTTCGCCATTTGCTGCTGACGAGCCAGCGACTTCTGATGACGTCTGTGTTGGTGAGTCAGTCAAGCATTTCGTGCTCAAAGCAGCCGCCAACTTGGAGACTCGTAGAAGGTTGGGTATGTGAGGCTTCCGAGGCTGAAACTGTTCAAAGAGCCGGCGTAACAACCACGTGATCGTATGTGTGTATAACCCAACATAGTTGATTGATCTCATAAAGCCGTATACGCCGCGAGATAAGAGTATCCAGGGAGAGACCAGTAAAAATACGCTTGTGCCAAATTAATGGGAGCCGGTAATAGAAATGATGAGCCATGAAAGTGAAAGTGGAAGTGGAAGTGGAAGTGCTTCCTCGAATAGCCTTGGAACGTCCGCATCTCAACAAGGAAAGAGTGTCTCGAAGGAAGCTCTTACTCTTCCACTTCGCATCTTCCAATCACTTGCTTTGCTTTGGCTCATCCTCACAGGTCCGCTCATCCTCCCTCCTCTTTTCCTCGTCCAGTCGACCCTTCGACACGGCTTCGCCGAGATATCAACCCAAATCGCCACGATGTTCACCTCTTACTGCAAGAGTGTTCAAGGACATCTGGAGCATATTCAGGAGTATGAGCCGACAGGCTTGCAGGACAACCTTCTCGCTTTCGAAGCTCGGCTGACTTCTCTTAGTGCCGCCAGACGGACCCTTTCCCCCAACAAGCACGGTGATGAGGCTTGCAGACCGCTCGAAGGCCACCCCTCTTCATCTTCTTTGGATGTTATTCCGGAAAATCCAGCCCGCGTGTTTTCAAAGGAAGAGATGGCCGAGTGGGCCAACATGCATCGCAAGCCATCTCCTTTGCCCTTGAAGAAGACATCGACAAGTTCATCTCTCGCAGATGGTCCGGGCCGCAGGATACCGGTTGTTACCTTCAAGCGCAAACGATCCCCTTCACCATGTGTCTCCCGTTCTCGCCCCCGTCAGGGGCTGTCTGAGGGATACAAGGGTCACATTTTGGTTGAGAATCGTGAAGAGGCCCGAAGATTCGCTCTGATGATGGAAGGTCTTCCATACAGAACTGAAAAGGTGCACCGCATCGTTTTGTGGACTGATGGATCTGTTGTCCATAACTGCGGAGCTGGATCAGTGGTGTGGAAGAGGTCGCCTGATCACAAAGACTGGGATGGCAAAGGATTTCCTTTGCCATATAAAACCAACTGCTCCGTTCTCACGGAGGTCTTTGCGATTTCACATGCCTTAGAGATTGCCGTGGATCAGCTGAAGGGCATCCGGGGCCTTGCTTCCAAAGCATTTCGCGACGAAGGTCGTGAAGTTCAGATCCAACCAGAGTATCGCGTATTTGTTTTCACAGACTCTTGTGAGGCGCTTGATATCATCCGCTCTGGCCGTCCGATGCGAGGCCGGGAGGCAGTTGAACTGTGGCACGATTATATCCGCAAATGCATCAGACATTACAGTGAGCTTCGGGGGCTTGGGGCAAATATCCAATTACGCTTGGTCCCCGGACACAAGGGTGTACCGGGCAACGAAGAGGCCCACAAGATTGCAAACACGACTGCCCATTCCCTAGCATCTGACTGGGGCCTTGAACGGGGATGCAAGAGCCGCCGGATTCATAAAATGCTTCAGTCTATGGGTCGGTCTATGGGCAGAAAGCTTTGTTGGACACATCGGGGCTCTGAAAATTTATCGATCCCGAGAAGCTCTGGTGCGGATGAAACTTACTCACCTCCGACAGTACGTCCAATTCCTTCTGCGGACAACGCCTGGGAGGTAGAACAGCCAGTAACAAGAAAGAGACCATGGCGCCGGCTCCTTCATTCGATGACACCGCACGTTTCATTCCCAGTCCCTCTCGCTATCATGATGCCAAATATTGACAGAGATGCCGATGAATGGATTCATGGCCCCCAGGAGACACTACCAGCTCCAGCGCTGGACCCTTATTTGGGTTGGACACCCGTCAATTACCAACGACGAGTTTCCAATGGTACTGTGGCGGCTAAGCCTTTGAATCCAGTTCTCCTTGAGCCACCAGCCATCGTCATCATTGATTCTGACTCAAGTACTTCGGCTGATATCTGAAAGGAATCAAGATGTGTTGTGTTGATCTTGAAAAAGTCGATTTGAGTCTGTATCACCAAATCGGAATTCATGTCTTTCCAGGATCCTGTCAACCACCCTGCAAGCGATAACTTATTCTTAACTCCTCTCCTATGCATGAACATTCTGTTTTTAAAAATCCCTTTGATTGTCTTTCCTCTAAGTCCTCCCAGAGCGACCATCCTAAATAGAACAGGAGCTGCTGACCACGTAATCCAGATGCAAGCCATCTATTTCATCAGATAAACACCAGGTTTCCATTTTCATTTGTGATCCGCTCCGCCAGATTGATATCCGCATCCACCTCATCACCGTCGAGGTTGTTCAATTTAGCACGAAGGATAGGGACCTCCTCGTCTCCTTCGCGGTGGAGCTCAATGTCACCGGCACTGTCTTTGAAGTTCTCCCCTCCCCACTCAAAAGAGCCTACGAATCAATCAGCCTTGGAGTTTCAAGAAGGGTAAAACACAACGGGCAACATACCGTCGTTATTGCCAATAATGTTGTTTAGATCCAGTTCAGACTCTTGTTCATCGCCATCCTCGTTTCGGAGCACAGCTTTGAGGATGTGATCATCATCCAGCTCAAAGCTAACAGCAGACTGGTGGAAGCTCATCGTGTTCGATTGAAAGGTTCCAAGGTTGATATGGGGGTTGATATCTGGGTTGACTGTCTAAGATTATGATGAGAACCATGGCCCTATTTTATATATTTCAATGACCTGCACTCTACGAAAGTCCTCTGCAGCAGCCCGGTTTCTTGTCCGATCCTTGTCCCAGACTCATTTGCTACCCATTCAGATGTGGGCTGTTCACTTGCAGATGTCCCACCCTGGGCGCCCCAGGAAGCAGGTTCGAGGACACAGGTGTCACACCGTGGAGAGGCTGAGATGCATCTAAATACTTAATTGGTTAGTATATACAGCGCATCAAGCCGTAGATGATCTTGGCATTGCACCGAGCTAGAGAATAAGTGGGGTTAACTTCATCCTTTGCTATGAAATATACCGTAGTTCCCTCCTCCACGGAGCCATTCATCAGGCGCCACCATTATCCCATTATCGTGGCGCATGATGCAGCCCTATTTCTCAGCCACAGGATCGAGTGGATTTCCATGATGTTGCACTCGCTATGCAGGCCAAGAATGCCCCCATTGCCTCGCTTGTGGTATAACGTGCTGTCAATGTAAAGTCTAGGGAATATGGGGCGCCAAGAGCGAAAATTCTGGTGCCTAGGGCGCTTTAGTCACAAGGCCTTACCTACCTATATGCAAGAAGATTAGAAGTCTGGGCAAACACTTGGCTGTCAGATTGAAGAAGCGCGGAGGGCGTTGGATTGATGGCAGGAATAAACATGTCCGTATCTCTCCACCACCCTTTGTGAACCCATTTGATATATTCCTAGATGATATGGTAAAGATGAGGAAAAAACAGAGGAATCGAAAACAAACCCACATGCAAAAGAGCTGCTTGGCAGTCTATGTTGACCGCTATTTGCAAACCAGGCGTATCTGCCCCCACTGTCGCTAGGACAAGGTCAAACGTCTTAGATGACACGTACGAGAGTGGATTGGGAGGATTCATTGGGAATAGATAATGCATTCGTGCTCATAAAAATAATGCACCGCCAAGCCTGATATCATACACGCCAAATACTCCATAAACTCCCATGCCTTTCGAGCCGAAGATGCACAAACCGAAGAACCGTCGCCAGTAGCACATAGTGTATCAAAGTAAACATTTCAGAATCATCATAGACACAGATCAAGGCGCGTTGCGGTAGATCTGCGAGCCACCGGAGCGAATCTGCACAGTCTCTCTGCGTTGCAAGACTATCAGAGACCGGTTGAGTGCCTGCTCGCTGTAACCCTTGCCATCAACGAACTCACGACGCAACGTCGCCAAACTGGTGCTCCAGCCGAGAGGCAGGCGGCGCTTGAGCTCTTCTTCGATCTTGTGTGCCTCCTCCATGAGTTCCTTACTGCCCTGGCCTTCACCCTGGGTGACGGCATCCATGGTGGAAGCTAGGAACAGACGGATGGCCTCATCAACGTGGGCCTCGGTGGCAATGGGAGAGAGCTGCAGCTTGGCAAGAGATTCTGTGATACGAACAATGGCTTCCAATTGACGCACGGTGATGGGGATTGATGAACGGGTGTTGGACTCGAGCTCGGTTCGGTGCACTTGCTTTCGGATGGAAACGAAGTGAGACGAGAGTTTCTCGGCAGCCTCGGGGGACAGGCGAGGTGCGCAGCGGCTGTAGAAATATTATGTTAGAACCAATGCAAAGGGTGGCTGAGAATACCGAACTTACCTGCGGCAGTAGCTGATGTAACGCTTCATCTGGTCAACCGGAATTTCAGCCTCGACCTGCTCCTCCATACCACGACCACCCATGTGCACGCCCATGACGTGACGTGCGATTTTCTCATCACGACTGCGCTCGTGTTCATCCCGAACGATGAAGATCATATCAAAACGGGACAAAATGGTGGTCTGGAAGTCGATGTTCTCGCCGGGGGTCTTCAGGTCGTCGTAACGACCAAAGATCGGATTGGCCGCGGCCAGAACGGACGTCCGGGAGTTGAGGATCGTGGTAATACCGGCCTTGGCAATGGAGATAGTCTGCTGTTCCATGGCTTCGTGGATGGCCACTCGGTCCTCGTCACGCATCTTATCGAACTCGTCAATACAGACAACACCCCCGTCTGCAAGCACCATTGCACCACCTTCCAGGTAAAACTCGCGGGTGGTGTGGTCTCGCTGCACAGAGGCCGTCAAACCGGCAGCCGAAGAACCCTTTCCGGAGGTGTAGATGGCGATGGGTGCAGCCTTCTCAACAAACTTCAACAACTGCGACTTGGCAGTACCAGGGTCACCCAGCATGAGCACGTTAATATCACCACGGAGTTTCATTCCATCGGGAAGAATCTTCTTTGAGCCACCCATCAAAAGACAGACGATGGCCTTCTTGATGTCCACATTGCCGTAAATGGACGGAGCAATACTTCGGGCCAACGCGTCATACAGATCGGGACGACGGCTAAGCTCCAAGAATTCCTGCTCCTCCTCTTCAGAAAAGACGGAGTTACCCTTGGCGGTCTGGTCCATGTCTGTGTTGAGACCCACTGCCCGCAGATACGGGTTCCGAATAGCAACTGCTGCCTCCTTCTTGACACCCTTGGCTTGGTAAATTGAGAAGATACCCATGACAGTGCAGCGAGAACCAGGAACCACTCGGTTGGCCAGATAGCGATCCGCAGAAATAAGGACGTGTCGTGGAAGTTCACCCACCGGCACCTGATCAGGGGCTTCCTGAAGCTTCAGGACTTGCTGGTCCACGAACTGGCACTTTTCGTGATGAACCACGTACGGATCGAGAGGGCACTGTTCACCGGGCTGGTCACCAGGCTCCTTAGTACGACCGCAGCGCCGCGGGAGTGACAGGCCAGAGAAGCCACCTTCGACATGAATATTTTCACTGTGGTCGCATTTCTGGCAACGAATGTGGATAAGAGTCGACTTGGACGAGATAGTCGAAGCACCAATGACGATACCGGGGATTCGAACCAGATGGGAGATGTTGGTGGCATTTAGGTCACGGATAGATATGTGGGATGCCGAGGAGTGCAGGAGAAGCTGGTGGGATGGAAGAGTGATGTCCCGCTGGCCGGGGTAGACGATCCGGCGAGTGCAGTCTTGAAGTGCCAACTCGAACTACTCGGGTTAGCAGGAATGTCCAGTCTAAGGATAGTGATTTCGCCTACCAAAGGAATAATATCGGCCGGCTCGGTCGTGATTTTGTGGGCCAGCTCCTCATTGTAGGAAATTAGATGGGCAATGTCAATGTCGCAGTAATATTGCTTCACAAGCACATTTTGGCGTAATTGATCACTGTTGCATCAGGTTAGCTTTTGGAAACAAGCCTCTCGAGAACATGAATGTGGGATGCCGTACCGGTAGATGAATGCATTATCCAACTGGAATTCAAGCACAAAGTCCCTCAAACGATTTTGAGTGGTTGTACGAGACTCATCAACACCATTGGTGCTGGGCGCAAGAACGCTCAGGGTATAGGGAGTGCGTCTATCCATGGCTGGTGGTGATGGTTGATGGTGGAGGTCAAGAAGGGAGAGAACTTTTGGCTTGGGCGGAAACACGCAACGCGTCGCGTCAGGCTTCACGCGTTAAGTGGTTCTGCCTGAGGCATAAAGGCACAGTTGACCGGATAAACCATTTTGCCGAAAGATCTCCCGTTCGGGCTAGCGTCCTTCCCGATTGGGTGGACATGCGCATGGCATCCTGGAAACAAAAACCACCTCACTACGTTTGGCCCCCTTGGTCTGTGGACGACATCGGACCGAAGCTGCATAGTCTGATGAGCTCAAGCGTTGAGTGTGGTTGTTGCTGTGCTGGACTGAGAGTTCCGCTGTCAGACATACGTGTGTCATGATCAGATAACTCCGAGCTTCCCCAACGATCGACCCCGGGCTGTCGCATCCGCCTCGCGGACCTGCACAACATGGCACCATCCAGTCCGCGCAAGTCAATTGATAGCCTGGCATCAGGCGCATCGACTCCGTCTATCTCCTTTTACTCTTCGCCTCAGCTAGAGTCGCCGCGGGTACCCTCTCAACGGTACCCCCTGAGGAGGGGATCTACGGCGAGCTCCATCGTGAGCATTGGAGGGGCCCTAGACACTTCTCACCACCATGGCTCAATTGCCGAGTCTGGACAGAATGGTTCGTTGGACGGACAAGGGTTCGGAGCATCTTGATTGTTGATTTGCTAACGCTCTCCACAGCCATTTCCACGCTGCTGCAACCGCCCATAGTCCGCACCGGCTTGACACCTCATACTGCTGCCTCTGCCACCGGATACAAACCCCCCTCCTCCCGCGATATTCCCCCAGTTACTCTCACAAACATCATGCATGTGGACCCCAAGGTATTCCAACCGTACCTGTCGCAAGTCGGCGGTCTGTATGATGTCTTCCAACAATCAAAGGAGAACGCCGGGGAAGAGAATCAGCAGGGACAGGGGATTAAATCTCCCAAGCCAGACGATAGTGAATCATTGATGCCATGGAGTCCCGAGCGAAGATCTTCATTCATGTCTACGAGTAGTTCACGGCCCACCTCGCCTTATGACCCCCGCGGACGACGTTCCTCGGCTGGCTCACGGGGTCGCGGGCCTGCCGTGACGCCTTTATCTACCATTCCATCTGTTTATTTCGACGAGGATTTCCACCTAGAGAATCCCCGCACATTTGATGTGGTCTCGGAGAAATCCGAGGTTGTCAGACCACCAAGGCCGCCGATAAAGGATGATAAGCACTCGAATGGAGGCCCGCCAGAGCCTGTTTATACCGGAAGAAAGGCACTGGCTACCAATGCTATTCTCCAAGAGAAGCTCTCTTGGTATATGGATACGGTGGAAATTCACCTGATTTCGTCCATTTCGACCGCTTCCAAGTCATTCTTCACAGCTTTAGGTTCACTACGGGAATTGCATGCCGAAGCTGCCGATTCAGTGGACCGTATCCAGATCTTACGGCGAGACTTGCAGAAAATCGATAAAGAGATGGCTCTGGGTGGCCTGAAAATAGTGAATTTGAGACGGCGGAGGGAAAACGTGCGGATGCTGGCAGCCGCAGTGGCTCAGCTTCGTGACGTTGTCGAGTCTGTCTCCCGGTGCGAGGAACTCGTCGAACAAGGAGATATTGAGGTTGCCGCGGATGAGCTTGAAGAGGTTGATAAATTGATGGCCGGCGAGAAAGTTTCCGATCGCCCCGCCGAAGAAGACGACAGGGATCTCCCAAGGCGAGCAATTGACATTCGAGGTCTCAAGGCTCTTGAAGGGGCGTCCGATGATCTTGCGATGCTGCGACAGCGCATTGGAATGGGCTACGAATCCCGTTTCTTGAACGATCTTTTGGGAGACTTGCGTCAACATGTCCAAAATGTGTCTTCCAATGTGACTTTGCAGCGTTGGGGTGCCTCTTTCCAGCGACAACGTGGTGGTCAACGTCCTGCATCCATGGTGTCTCCGGCATATATGAACTTTGATAGTGAGCTCCGGTCTAGATTGCAAACTCAGCTCAATGGCTTGGCCCGAGCCCGGTATACAACTCCTGCGGCAACCTCTTTCAAAACGGCCGTTCTACGAGAGATGAAAGGATTGATTCGCAACCACTTGCCCAGCTCCAGTGATGACGACAACGAGTCTATGGCATCAGTATCGACACACAACGACCGGCAGCGAAGCCAACAGGAGAAATCATCAACTCTTGCGCGCAATCTTCGTGCACTTGAACCAGAGGATGCCTACGCAATGCTCGTGGCAGTATACACGGGCATTAGCGAATGCTTGCGTCGCCTGAGTGTTCAGGTCAAAATTCTTTTGGATGTCGCCAGTGGTCTTGGAAGCTCCCCAACTGTTGGTGCCAAATCCCCACGAAGCCCTCATCCGGAGCGTGGGGACGATGGATCATCCGCATCCGCCATGGCACAGGATGAGATCTTGCAAGTTTTGGACATGTCGAGTCTGCTCGGCCAAGCGGTAGACATTGCTCAGTCTCAGATCACAAAGGTTCTCAAAGTTCGGTCGGAACAGACATCTCAGCTTTCGAAAGAAGAATTCCTGAAATACTTCACTCTTAACCGCCTGTTTGCTGACGAGTGCGAAGCAATTTCCGGGCGAGGTGGCACTGCACTGAAGACTATTGTGAGCAACCAGATCAAGGAATTTATTACTCGATTTGGTGAAGGCCAGCGACATCGTATTGTCAAGGTCATGGATGCAGACCGGTGGGATGCTCGTGACTTTGGAGATTCCGAGGTCATCATTCTCACGCGTATCCTCAACGCTAGCACCAAGGATATTGAAGCCTGGGTTGAAGTTTCGAAGATTTGGGTGCCAGATAATGACAATGAGAAACACAAAACCCCCGAAGCAAGCAGCGGCGTCAACGGATCTGGCAAGGAGAAGGTGCGCCCTGCGGTCATTGACGAACAGAAATACATTCTGCCCGACTCAGCCGTGGAAATTATGCGCAGCATCGAGGAATTCGAGTTCCTCATGGCCAATATTCCTAGCATGATCCAGGATATTGCTCCACAATTGCTGGAAATTTTGAAACTGTTCAATTCTCGATCCTCACAATTGATTCTCGGGGCGGGCGCTACGCGCAGCGCAGGCCTGAAGAACATCACGACCAAGCACCTTGCCCTTTCATCGCAGGCATTGAGCTTCGTTATTGCCATGGTACCGTATGCTCGAGAATTTGTTCGACGCCATGGACAAGGGAATCAAGTCATGGCCGAGTTTGACAAGGTCAAGCGGCTCTGCCAGGAACACCAGACCGGCATCCATGAGAAGCTTGTGGATATCATGAGCTCACGGTCAACTGTTCATGTCAATGCCATGAAAAAGATTGATTGGGATGTGGACAACTCATCAGGCGTTCATGGTTACATGGAGACCCTGGCCAAGGAGACCGGCACTTTGCACCGTGTCCTGAGCAAGCATCTCCCCGATCTGACCGTTGAAATGATTATGGGCCCTGTGTTTAGCAACTACCGAGGCCAATGGATGAAGGCCTTTGAAGAAGCCCAAGTTGAGTCGGAGGCAGGCAAGAAGAGGTTAGTCTTATCTATATGCCTTGCGTGATGATTTGCTAATCCCATGACCAGAATGCAAGCCGACATCGAGCATTTCCGCACGAAGCTCGGCAAAATCAACGGCGCTGGCGAAGTCGGTGATAAGCTGCTCGAGCTTGTCCAAGCCAAAACCACTGCCCCTCCTGTCCCTGCACCCGAGCCAGAAGCCGAATCCGCGAGCGAAAATCAAGACCAAGGCAGCAGCTCCGAATCACCCGAGTTTTGATGTTCCTTGCCATTGATCGGCACATCTACACTATACATATAATTTCTTTCACGTTGTTTCTCGCATGCTTGCATGGATTTTAGAATCTGTACAGAAGCGCTCTGTCATTTGCTTGTTGAATCATTGTCAACACATAGCCTGTCTGATGAGTTGCATTTATAGAATCAGCCTGGCGTTTTTCGTGGATATTCATTGAAGATGTCTGTTTCGACTCTCCATCTGATTGATATGTTAAGTAGACTTAAAGTTCTATTTTCAACACCCTTTGGTGGTATGTAGTTGAATGTCCTAAAACCATACACTTTTTAAGTAAAATCTTGGAATGCAGAAAACAAGAAGACATCTACACACGCCGAATAATAAATACAGATCTAGGTACTCGTGGACCAGGGCCATCTTCCCCCTCCCCCAGCCTCTCGGTCCTTGAAAATCCGGAACCAAAACTTTCCCTCCGGTGGCAAGGGGGCTATACCATGAACCAGCATGGGAAGATCCCGACCACGCGCGTAATCACAAATTGCCCTCATCGCAGTCGTGCCCTGCCAACCACCACGCCTCTTTTGAAGAAAACTGCCGAGGTTCTGACACTTTGCAGCTGCCACCCGCCATGAATTCTCCCATTCCATCCTGTGCTCCAGAGTAGGATGGGCATGTTGGATAGCCATATTCTGTCTGGTTGTAAAAAGAGTGTCGCAGATCAATTTAAAAATGGAGATTGCGTTGTGGAGGTTCTCAAAGTGGTTTCTCGGGATACGGAGCATTATACCGCGGAAGATGTCTGGGCTGTTCTCCTCCATTGACTCTGCTGCAAGTCTCAGTGCATATGCCGGGCCACTTCCAACATCTTGTGTGGCTGGGTTAACCCAGTTCTCCATCGGGTCGACATGGCTGCATAGCCATTGTATGGACGTGCTTCGATTCCCCATAGCAGCGTGCATCAGTGCATTGTGGCCCTTGTTATCTTTGATGGTTGGCTCCGTGCCCGACCGGCTTGAGAGCCAGATCATGAAATCTTCTCCGTGAGGGTTCCCTCGTGCTGCGGCGTGCCATGAAGTCGTCCCGTGCTCGTCCCTGGCGTTGCCGATATTCAGATCCATCACAAAGAGCTGTTCAGCAAACTCCGGAGAGACAAAGGCGCACAATTTGAGCTTGAAGTAGTTGTCAGTGAACAGATCAGCTGGGTTATAGTGCCCGAGGAGCTGTTGCAGGACGAGTTCGAAGCCGCGCTGGTTACGCTTTTCAGCCAGCTGAACGAGAGGATGTCCACAGAGTCGACTGAGGTTAATGGCTGTGGTTCGGTCAATGTCTCCTGGGGCTAGGTTATTGAGTATATATTGCAGACAGTCGTTGTTGTCATTGTCAATCGCGGCGTGGAGATAGTTTCTCCCAGTCTCGTCGTAGAATTGAATACCGACAAGGTGGTTCTCGGTGAGAAATTTCAAACAATCCACGCAATTTGCTGCGGCATCATAAGCCAGAGTATTTCCTCTCGGCACGCGGACAGAGTACACATTGCTTTGTGAGAGTTGCATGGGGCCACGGATGAGAATATCCTTTTGAATGGTTCCGAAGAAGTTTTGGATCTCCTCGCGTCCAATCCAAGCATGGCCTACATCGCAGATTTCCTTGCAAGAGGATCTAAGGGTATGTAGAGCATGTATACTGCCACAGGTCAGATGGGGAAATTCGGTTCCGATAAAGAACAGCCTGTCGAGCACAGCTGTGAGGATATCTGCTGGAACCTGAGCAAGAGAGATGTGCTCAGACCACACGTATAGCTCCTCGTGTGTTGCAATGGAGTAGTCTAGGCTGTCAAAAGAGTAGATGGGTTGGGATGGCGCATCGACAGTAAGACAGAGGGCTCTTCCGTGCAGAAGATCGAGCAAAATGTAAGAGAAGGGCAAGCGTTTCTCCGCACGTGCCGGCAGCGAGCTCGTATTCCCATCCATGATGAAGCATGAGATCTGACAGGGAAGTGAGTTGATTGTAAAGAGCAAGCATTGGTCCCTTTATTTCTGTACTTGGCCTCGACTTTAGGGGGCAACGGCTTAAGATTAGCTCAATGGGCTTTAGAATAAAGAGACAAGACAGAAAAATAGGACAAAGAGTCTCGAGGTCAGCCATCGAGATGTATATAATCACAACGGGTGATAACAATACAACCAGCACTCGCATACAAAGACCGTGGCATCTTGTCTGTCCAGCTTATTTCGGCAATTGTTCCTAAAGATGAAATCCGACGGACGACTTGAAACCCACGTAAAAACATGCACAACTCAGTAAAAGTGTGATATCTCCTATATCTTGATTTCAAATAGGGAACCATGGTCCTTGCAACCCAAGGCACATGACATGGGCGGAGTTGAAAGGAGGTAATCTAAGAACAAAGAGTACCCACACCCATGTAGCAAACATGAGTACATGGCTGTTATCGGGAAAGTCAGCGGTTGTGGTGAATATTAGAACCCTAAAAATGGATGTGACAAAGCAAGCCACAATGACCACAAACGAGGAAACACAAAGGTAGACTCGGCGAGGTGGTTCTTTGATAGCGAACTCATTGAGTCCAGATTTTAAAAATAGAACCAACGAATTTGAAACCAGTAGTTGATCCTCAAAAAGGTAGGTAAAGAGCTATGTACCCGGAAAAATCTTGCTGACTACCAGGACAGGGATGTGTTGGTCTATAGTTCTCATCCAATAGAGTCGACGTGTAAAGACGGGCAAACACACATTTTTGCAAAGCTCCCAGATAGAGTTTTTACCATCCTTTTAGCCCTACATGATCTACGTAAACTCTGACCCGAAATGAACCTTTAGATCATTTATTCATATTCATGTAGCTATGCTAGACAAGCCCTCAAACCCGAAAGCAAAAAAACTCCACTGATCATTTTGAAGTATACAGGAAACTTGCGTAGCTCGTGCCACTAGACTTGAAGTAAAATGGTGCCAGCACCGAAATTACTGTCCGGGCAGGGAACCGAGACCCTTCTTCTCGCCGAGAGTCTTGGGCTCGTGGCCGCCCTTGCCGCTGCTGTGGCCGGGCGCGCCGGTACCGCTGTAGACTTCGCGGTCGGAACCGGTCTCTTCAGGCATGGGGGCGACCTTGCGGTCGAGAGGGCCGTCCTGCTGAGGTGTTAGATATGGGTTTTCCGATGGGCAAATTTTGGGTAAAGTTGCACGTACATCAGCACCGACACCGTGGGCCTTGTTGGGGCCGGTCTCGATGGCGTTGTCGCTCTGGGGGATCCCGTTGTCGTAATCGGCACCGCGAGGCATTGTGAAGGTTTTGTAGGTGGTTGGGGGAGATAGAGGAGATAAGAGATGATTATATAAAGTTGGACTGTGTCAATTGTTAGATGAATTCCCGGAGCGCATGAGATGAATCGAGACCAGATTGCGTACCTTTTGAAGTTCTTGACTTGATTGATGGATGGCAAAGAAATTAGTGGTTATGGGCGCCTTTAATACCTCGATCGAAGAGTCTCTAGATCTTGACCGGATCCGTGACAGCATCATGAAGTCATCCCCCCACAATGACTTCATCAACGAATGGGCTGCGGCCTTGAGTTGATCCATTGAAATGACGCTAGTAGAGGGTCCATGTGGAAATTAAATGACATAGAGAGATGGAAATAAGCATGTTCTAGAAAAAGTAGATGGTGTTCTGCGTCGATTTTTATTGGTGGTGGTGGTGGTGGTGGTGCTGGGCACACGACCAACAATTCTGTAACAATGAAACGCGCAAAAATCAACATCCTCTACAGGCGAACCTAGATCAATCTAAAATTAAATAAATTAGTTAAACCGCACGGGACGCTTTTACAATAGCCTACGATTCCGTGCAGCTTGACCTGATGCGAGGGTATGAGGTACGAGTCGCAAGCTGTCGGCCCTGACGAACACACCCCGGTCCCAGCTCGGACGGGGGGTTAGGGCTCTAGACATCTTTTTTGATTGCGAGCGGGCACCTCTTGACCACTCTTTGCCCTCTCGATCGACCAACTCAATCAAAGACTCCATGGTCTGAATCTTTAACGAGGGAAGGTATCCGCTCAAGATGCTCGTTCCTGTGATCTCGATTCTGTCAGGATTGAGGGCTGGGCTATCATTTCTTCGCGATGGGCGTTGAGTGTGAGAAATTTGGGGTGTAGTGAGAACTGGTTCCGATGTCTGACATCTCATATGAACTGAGAAAGTGGGACGTCCTGAAGACGTAGACCGCCCACTATGACCTGAAGCGGGAGAGAAGCCGCGAGGCATTCTTTCGGGCTCAGATAGAGGACAGAGAACATCTCTGGTCATATTAGTCACCTGGCCCTCCAACGACATGGATGACCCGCTGGGATAAAGATACGTACTCATGGCGTGTTCCAGAGAGATTTGAGGATGTTTGACGAAGAAGAGACTAGGCAGAGAGACGAGGGCAGGGATGGAGAAGATGGAAGAGGCAGAAGAGTCAGAAGATGCGGGAGAGGTGGAAGAGATACTTGGATCAGGATTCACCACTATGAGAGAACCCGTGTTTCCCATGAAGGCAGCAGAGGCCGCCGAGGCCGCAGAGAGGCTTGGGCTGGAACTGGCCATACTGAGAACACCCGAGTCATAATTCTGAGTCTCAAGTTCTATGTTCCTGTTTTCCCTGAAGGCGTCCATGGTGGGCATCAGGACGGACGCACAGTCGCAAGGGATAGAGGGGGTAATAGAAAAAGATGATACGGATATAGTTCTCCGAGACAAAGGAATCGTAGAGCCAGAGGACCAGGATGATGTTGTGGAGTCAGAGGTCTGTATGCTACTCCATAGCTTTCGAAACAGCCTTCGTGACGCCCGGCCCAGTCGCCGAACGAAACACGGCGCTGACATGCCACGGTAAGTGCCACTCAGTGACCGGGCGAGAGGCAACTGGAAAGACACCTACCCACTGCAGGTAGTAGGGGTGGTGATATTGGGTTCTTCGTGTCTGGTAGGGTAATGCACAGAGAGTACTACAGAAGCAAGACTCTCCATCATCGGGCGAGAGAAGCCGCGGTATTTATGCTCAGTGAACATGGCGGCCACCGTATCTTAAATTCGAGCTATCCATGTATGTTTCTTTGACAATGCCGTTGATCAATCCCGAGTAGCGTGAATCGTATCCGATATGATAAAGAGTCTTTGTATCCCGTGGGCGTCATTTCTTTTGACAAATCCAGTGAATGCGAGGCGTAAACGAGATGAGTTGTCACGTGACAGTGTCTTTGTCGTCGGCACAATTCAAGGAAGACCAGAGGTGGCCGTGGGTGGTACTATTCCGGGTATACGAGGTACCGGAGACGCGGGCGCAAAGACCACAAGGGCAGCGGTGGAGACATGCCCGATGACGTCATCAACAGCTTTCCCCAGAATCGAGCTCCGCCGAGAACGTCCATTCGTCGTGCTTGCTGCTGCAGTGGCGGACCAGGAAATCCCGACGAACTCAGAACTCAGGATCCGGATTGGAGGCATTGACTCTGATCGACGCCTCCACAGTACATAGAACCCCAAATGGCCGATCGAGGGAAGTCAGGGCGGCCAATTTCGGTTCGGTCACTCTCCGCACACCCTGGGACGCAAATAATCGGGACCCTGGAGTCAGAGGTCGAGGGAGTTTCTGATGTACCACAGTAGTGTATCTGGCGAGCGACTGACCGGGAACCGGTTCGGGATCCATTCGTAAACGAGGCTAACGGGGTCGGAGCCAGAACGTCGTACCGTGTTCCAACCCGGACAGCCGCCTCGGCCAGTCTCGGGAGAAAACTCGAATGCTAGGGGAAATATTGAATTTTGAGGAACGATTGCCACATCTTGCATGGGGACTCCGTAGATGTCTCTCGGTCTTCAAATACATGTGGGATTCCAATTGGCAATCCCCATCCAATCCTTGAAATAAAGTCCCAGCCTCCACCGGGGAAAATCAAGATCCCGCCCCCGCACAGACCGAGTCCGGAGCTGCCACCCCCGTGTCCAAGGTCCCAAGTCCCCGAGCTTGCCACTCCCCCTCTTTCGTTTGATTTTTCTTCAGAGCTTCATCTTCCCTGGTATTCACCTAGCTTGAGCTCCGTGACTGCTGCCATGGCCGACGAGAACGGCACCGAGCCCATCAAGCGCGATGTGCGCAACCACATGCTGTTCGAGGTGGCCACCGAGGTGGCCAACCGCGTTGGCGGCATCTACTCGGTGCTCAAGTCCAAAGCTCCCGTCACCACCGCCGAGTATGGCGAGCGCTATACGTTGATCGGCCCTCTCAACAAGGCTTCTGCCGCTGTCGAGGTTGAGGAGCTCACGCCCTCCAACCCCGCCATGCGCGAGACCATTCAGTCTATGCAATCGCGCGGCATCGAGATCCTCTACGGCCGCTGGCTGATTGAGGGGGCCCCGCGCGTGCTGCTGATCAACACTGGCACGGGCTACCGGTGGCTGGACGAGTGGAAGGGTGATCTGTGGAACACCTCCGGCATCCCGTCGCCGGCGGCCGATCATGAGACTAACGAGGCGATCATCTTTGGATACTTGGTGGCCTGGTTCTTGGGTGAGGTATGTTAATAGGCTCCCGACATCTGCTATGAGTATTGAAACCTTTGTTCTAACGACTATATAGTACATCGCCCATGAACGTCGCCGGGCTGTCGTCGCCCATTTCCATGAATGGCTGGCCGGTGTGGCTCTGCCCTTGACCAAGAAGCGGCATATGGACCTGACTACCATCTTCACCACGCACGCCACACTGCTGGGTCGTTATCTCTGCGCGGGATCCGTCGATTTCTACAACAACCTTCAATACTTTGATGTGGATGCCGAGGCCGGAAAGCGTGGTATTTACCACCGCTACTGCATTGAACGAGCCGCTGCTCACAGTTGCGATGTCTTTACCACGGTCTCGCACATTACTGCCTTTGAGAGCGAGCACTTGCTCAAGCGCAAGCCCGACGGCGTCCTGCCCAATGGTTTGAACGTGAAGAAGTTCTCCGCCATGCACGAGTTCCAGAACCTGCACTCGCAGGCCAAGGAGAAGATCAACGACTTTGTCCGCGGCCACTTCTACGGACACAACAACTTTGACCTGGACAACACCCTCTATCTTTTCACCGCTGGTCGGTACGAGTTCCGCAACAAGGGTGTTGACATGTTCATCGAGGGTCTGGCTCGTCTCAACCATCGTCTCAAGTCCGCCGGGTCCACCATGACTGTCGTTGCCTTTATCATTATGCCGGCTCAGACTTCATCCCTCACGGTCGAGGCCCTCAAGGGCCAGGCTGTGGTCAAGTCCCTCCGTGACACCATTGAGAACATCGAGAAGGGCATCGGCAAGCGCATGTACGAGCGTTGTCTCGAGTGGAAGGAGGGTGACAACATGCCCGACGAGAAGGATCTCATCACCAGTCAGGACCGAGTCCTGCTCCGTCGCCGCCTGTTCGCCATGAAACGACACGGCCTCCCGCCGATCGTCACCCACAACATGGTCAACGACCACGAGGATCCGATCTTGAATCAGCTCCGCCGTGTGGAACTCTTCAACAAGTCTTCCGATCGCGTGAAGGTGGTCTTCCATCCCGAGTTCCTCAACTCCTCCAACCCGGTGCTACCCTTGGATTACGATGACTTTGTCCGCGGAACCCATTTGGGAGTGTTCCCGTCCTATTATGAGCCGTGGGGATATACACCGGCCGAGTGCACGGTGATGGGTGTTCCCAGCATCACCACTAACCTGTCCGGTTTCGGTTGCTACATGGAGGAGCTGATCGAGAACTCCTCCGACTATGGTATCTACATTGTGGATCGTCGCACCAAGGGAGTGGACGACTCGGTCAACCAGTTGTCCGACTTCATGTATAACTTCACCGAGAAGAGCCGACGCCAGCGAATCAACCAGCGTAACCGGACGGAGCGCCTGAGCGATCTGCTCGACTGGAAGCGGATGGGCCTGGAATACGTGAAAGCCCGCCAGCTGGCCCTTCGGAGAGGTATGTTTCATCGTCTTTTCTCAACGCATTCGCTGATCTTGTATCACAGCCTATCCCTCCTCGTTTGACGGAACCGAGGACTATTTCAACATCATCGGTGGCACTGATCAGAAGCTTTCCCGGCCTCTGTCAGTTCCGGGCTCCCCCTCGGGATCGGTCTGGCATGATGACTCCGGGCGACTTTGCATCGCTCCAGGAGGGCCGCGAGGGACTGACCACCGAGGACTACATCGCTTGGAAGCTCCCGTAAGTTGACCTCTGCCTAGGGTTTTCTTTTTTTTTTTTTTTCAATGCTTACACATACAGTAGTGAGGAGGAAGAGCCAGATGACCACTTCTATCCACTTACCCTGCGACCTCGCAAGACGGCGGAGCGTCCCCAGTCCCCACTGGACAGCATAGCGATCAATGGGGTCCGCCAAGCGGAGGGCAGTAGTCCGAAGCAGGAGTGAGAGGCTGGAATCGGGAGAAGGTCGAAGCTGATTCATTGGTCCGCCGGGGCCCCTTTTGTTCTGCACTCGTTGTTTCTCTTTTTCCCCGGAGTGGATCTTCCCCTCCATAGCCTGACATCATGTTTGTAATATGTGTTCCCTTGGCTTGACTGCCCTTTATCTGTTGCCTGCATTTGGAGCCTATGTTGTTATACTGGAATTTGATTCAATTATTCGCACTTTACGTCCCCGGGTTGCAGTAGATTACTCCGAGATGAGAGAGTATGGATCAGCTCGGAAACATTTCGGTAGCTAGACCGGTTGGATTCGGAAGCAGGTGGGTTACCACCGAATAGAGTTGCGAGACAACACCAACCGCGCAGGTCGTTTTCGTCCCGGTGAGCCTTTTTCCCTTGTATGCGCGATGCAGTCATGATGAGCGAAACCCCGTGGATCCCGCGAGCTGCCCCGCCTCGGAGTATTTCTACCCCTCCATTGTTTCATTTCACTTCCCCTCCGCAAACACTTCTCTACTCAGTCACACCTCAACCACTCACCACTCCAATTTCTAGTCTACCATCGGTACGACACTCTATGGAGCCGCGCACGTCCTAGTTTCGATCCCCCGTGGGGGGTCCCAGGACTCTCGCTATGATGATCATCGCGGATCAAGGTATTTTTCATGGTATAACGGTCACTGCACACGCATGACAGGTGTTCGGTCAGACCAAGCTCCTCGGGGGTGAAATCTGGCCGTTCTGAGATTATACTGTCAAAACTTGATCTAGATAATTCTAGCGAAAGGACATGCGTGACTTTTGATTGTTCCCCCTTGCCCTCGTTCGTGACTTCGGTCTCGATTGAGGGCGCCCTTCTCTCTGGGATACTGACCGTTTTTTAAGTATCAACAGTTGAACTTTTTTTCCCGTCAAAATGGCCACTGACAAGATCACTTTCCTGACCAACTGGTATGGCTGACTGAAACAGAATCAATTGATAGAACACGGCTAAGTGAGGTTCGCAGGCACGCGACCCCGTACCACGCCCCCCTGTACCTCGCCCAGGCCCGTGGCTACTTCAAGGATGAAGGCCTCAAGGTGGCCCTGCTCGAGCCCAATGACCCCTCCGATGTGACCGAGATCATCGGCAGCGGCAAGGTCGACATGGGTTTTAAGGCTATGATTCACACCCTAGCCGTGCGTATTGTTCTTCTGCTATATGCGTGCCTTGTTCTAATAATTCCCAGGCCAAAGCCCGCAACTTCCCCGTCACCTCGATTGGCTCTCTGCTCGATGAGCCCTTCACCGGTGTCGTCTACCTGAAGTCCAGCGGTATCACCGAGGACTTCCGCAGCCTCAAGGGCAAGCGCATCGGCTACGTCGGCGAGTTCGGCAAGATCCAGATCGACGAGCTCACCAAGTACTACGGCATGACCGCCGACGACTACACTGCCGTCCGCTGCGGCATGAACGTGACCAAGGCCATCATCCGCGGTGACATCGACGCCGGTATCGGCCTCGAGAACGTGCAAATGGTCGAGCTGGAGGAGTGGCTGGCCGAGCAGGGCCGTCCCCGCGACGACGTTCAGATGCTCCGTATTGACCAGCTGGCCGAGCTGGGCTGCTGCTGCTTCTGCTCGATCCTATACATCGCCAACGACTCTTTCCTGGCCGCCAACCAGGATAAGGTTCATAAGTTCATGCGTGCCGTCAAGCGTGCCACCGACGCCGTCATTGCCGACCCTAACGGTACCTATGAGGAATACATCGATGTGAAGCCCATCATGGGAACCCCCGTCAACCGCAAGATCTTCGAGCGCTCCTACGCCTACTTCAGCCGCGACCTGAAGAACGTCAAGCGTGACTGGGAGAAGGTTACCAACTATGGCAAGCGTCTCGGTATCCTCGATGCCAGCTTCGAGCCCAACTACGTTAACACCTACTTGTCCTGGACTCTGGATGCGGACTCTACTGATCCCACCGGTGACCAGAAGCGCATGGCTGCACTGCAGAAGGAGGTCGCTGCCAACGGTGGCTTCAAGCGTCTTGCCGTCGGAGCAACTGCTTAGTGGTGGAGTATAGGTCTATCTCTACACTCTTATCGGCTTCACTCGTTAGCCAGATGTTGATTAGCAGAATGAATGAAAGAAATAAAGCGCTCTTCGCTTGGTATTCAAGATGCAATCAAGTAGTCAAAGCTCCTTACGCCGTATATGCAATGTACAATGCTGAGCAGTCCTCACTTGTCCTCTTCCCGCGTCAAGAGAGGATCGTCTGCTCGCACCCCATACTCCAAATCACTCAGGTCATCCAGTTCATCCAGTTCCTCTCCAGAATTCACGGTCTGCCGTTGAGTGCCACCCACTTCATGGCCATCTTTGGCGAAAGACCGCCTCCAAGTACAGAAAGGTACATACTTCCACACAAGCAATGCACACAAAACGACAGCCGTAGCAGTCACAAATCCCATCCCGAACATCAGAGCAGGCGGGATATGCACTTTCATCTCATCCTCATCCTCCCCATCATAAACGGCAACCTCCAGTCCCAGTTTCTTCGGGTCATCCCAGTCCATCAACGGCGATGCACCAAGATATCCACCTGTCTTGTCAAGCCCGACAATACGTAACTTTCTGTACGGGCAATCCGGCGGGATATTGATCACAGTCTCAAACCCAGTCTTCGGAACAGCGAGTATGAAATCAAGCTCCACATCTTTCATCTCCTCCACATAAACAAAGCGCCGCACAGTCCCATTCTGCTGTGCGAATGCACCCTGCAACACCCAGGTCGCAACCTCCGTAGCTCCATTCCAGCTCACGGAAGCGTGCGTCTCAGCCAGTGCCACGTCGGGATTGGTAAGAGGCCGACCGACCCAGTCCTGCTTGAAAACGCGGTATGACATGATCTGCCCGGTGTAGAAGTCATATTCGGAACCGAAGTGTACTTCGCAGAGCACCTCGCCGTCGGAGGAAAACTCGGTCCATGCTGCATTGTATCCGTATCCAACGAGCACGTTGCCGTTGTCCAGAACCTGTACCGAGCCTTGGGACTGGCTGCTGATCGGAAGTCGGTTCCAGTACTCCTGTCGGAGGGAGGTGGTCATGTTGGTCTCGTCGATATCGATGAACAATCCACGGCTCGGGTTCTCCGGTGCGCCTTTTCCACGAGACGAGTTATCGAAGATGGTGATAGCTCGCGTAGTCTCGGTGTCGTAGTCCTTCTGGAAGCGAGCATGATGCTGCCAGCTGATATTTGACGCGGCACCCTCCGATAAATCCACGAAGGAATTGAGCTTCCCACCCAATTTCCAGATAATATCACCCGTCCGGCCATCAATATACGCCAGACAACTCATAAACCTCGACGAAATCAAGAAATTGCCCTTCTCGTCCTTATCGACACTATTGATATGGAAGAAGTCCCATGGCTGTTCTTTACTATCGCCATTCCCTTCACGCTCCCGGTCGACCTCTGCGAATGAGAAATGCTCCGAGGCGCGCCATTCGAAAAGCAGCTCGTTCGTCTCGACGTCCACTTCCTGAATGATCCCATCCCAGATCCACCCGTCTTCTAATCCGCCTACTTCGCGCAAGTCGGCGGGGGTGATCGCGTAAGCAACAAAGAGGGCCGTGTCGTTGAGCGTGATCTGGAACTCGTGCATGTCAAAGTCCAGACCGTTCACGCCGGTGATTTTGTATACTTCTTCGTAGTGGGAGTTGAGCTAAAATTTCAGCACTGCATACATCAAAAGCAGAAAACCCAAAGCGGAGCAAGCTTTATACAGTACTTGCAGGACATTGAAACTCACCATATAACCCACACCTACAGGATGGGCTCCGTCAACTTGGGTCCCCGTCCAGTACGTCAAGTACTTCTCGCCCTTATAGGTATAAACATTGACATTGAACGTAACCAAATACTCATACTCTTTGAACCAAACAAGATGGCCCTCCGAGTCCAGAATCATCGGCCCGGCGTTGCGCACCGCCGGACCACGCGGCGCGAGAAGAGTATACCCATTACTGCACGCCACACTGCGCTGCCAATAATTCAGAATCGGACCCCGAATCCCCTTCGACGCGTACCGCTGCAGGGGAAACGGCCCGTCAAAGCCGCTCCCATACCTCTGGCTGCGCCAGTAACTGTCCTTGTCTGCTCGAGCGTATAGTATCAGTGCTAGGCACGCTGCTATCCGTACAAGGAGAGACAGGGCCATCGTGCGACGGTGAAGGAGGAATCATAGCGGGCCGAGAAAAGCTTGGTTATCGGCTGGGCCTTAGTATGTATTACTTTGCGATTTGCAATGAGTCCACGCGGCTGGTTCCTTGGGCGGGACCTGACAATTGGGTCCGACACCCGGCAGCGCCGCACAATAAGGGGGTGGAGACTTGTCTTTTCCACCCTCGTTTCTGGCATTGAGTGGAGGGTTTTTCGGTTAGAGATTCGAATTCAGAATCTGAATTTCCACGTGGATATCGCCGTTGCTTCATTGGCTCTGGTGATCTCTCTCTCTGTGGTTGTTGGGGCTGCTTTCCACGTCTGGAGGGGTGTTTTATTCCGCGTCATCGGGGATTACGCGGTCTGCGGTCGGATGTGGTGGCTGATACCTCCGGTAAAAATACGCCGGAGGATTGACCTGTTGAATCGGGCACTTATCCTCGGCATCCTCTGTGTAATTGGAGGGCCATTTCAGTGCCCCGAGTCTGTTGATCCTGCACTTGCATACTTCGTTTAGCTATCCGAGAGCCAAGCCTCAGCCATTGTAATACCTGCCGCTTGACCCAACCTCGCAGGCGTCCGAATTGAATCTAGTGCCCGGAGTCTGATGTTTGGGCGCATTGACTTGAATGCGAGGTAAAAGTATGAGTCTACATGTACTCAAGAAATCGAACTGATAATGCTAAATGTGTATTATTTACAGGATGATCGAACTGAAACCTGCATCGCATCGTCACGCATCAATCGAAGCGCCGGGTATCAAGTATTTTCGGTTATGCCCAATGCGCCAAGTCCGGTTCGTCTATTTGGTCCGCTTGTAGATCTTGCCGAGGAAGGCCTCGAAGACCTCCTTCTTGAGACCCTTGGACTCGTCCACGGCCGCAATCTTGGACCGCAGCTCGCCCACAACCTTCTCCTCGTACTCCTTGTACAGCTTCTCCAGCTCCAGCTCATGGAAGATCTTCTTCACCTTGGCCTCCTGCTCCTTGTCCTTGCGGCCGTAGGCAGCGTCCAGCACCTGGCGCTGCTCGGGAGTGCAGCGCTGAATGGCTTGGTTGACCAACCACGAGCACTTGTTGTCCTGGATATCGGTGCCGATCTTGCCGATGACCGAAGGGTCACCGAAGTTGTCCAGGTAGTCATCCTGGATCTGGAAGTACTGGCCCAGAGGGATCAGGATGTCGTGGGCCTGCTTGAGGTTCTCCTCGGTGGCCACCTGCAGGTAGTGCATGGCCAAAGCCACAGGAAGGTAGAAGCTGTAGTACGCTGTCTTGTAGGTGACGATGAACATGTACTTCTCCATGGAGAAGTTGTCCAGGTTGACATTGTCCTCGGGGGCGGTGATCAGATCGCAGAGCTGACCCAGCTCGGTTTGCCAGGTGACCTCGTGGAAGAGCTCAACGATGTCGATGTAAGCGGGATGCGAGCGGAAGCGCTGCTTCAGGATGAGGTAGATGGCCCCCTCCAGCATGAAGGCGTCGTTGATGGCGATCAGACCAACACCCTCGTTACGGTACCAGCAGGGCAGGCCACGACGGGTAATGGAACTGTCCATAAGATCATCGCTGACCAGGAAGAAGGCCTGGAGCAGCTCGGTGAGCCAGCCCAGGATGCTCAAGTGCTCGAATTGCTCGTCGGTCAGGGGCTTCTTCAGGAGGGCGAGAGCGGTGTCGGGGACGGAGAGGCCACGGTTGAGCTTTCCACCGGGGACATTGGTGTTCAGAGACTATAGTTTCGAAGGGTTAGCTGGCGTCCACGATTGAGCGTTGTGCCGTTCCTCAAAAGGAGGGGCACTCACCTTTTCGAACCACTCGAGGGCATTGGCGGGGAGGTTGTACTTCTTCGCGTGGGCCAGGATATCCTGGGCCAGCGAGGGGAAGATGGCCTCAAAGTCGGCACGCTTGGTAGTGGAAGCCATAATGACGCGATTGGTAAAAGCAAATGTGAAGACAAAGACCAAAAGTCCCCTTAACACAATCGATAAATTGACTTCCCCCGCGGAGGGTCCACTTGGCGTGTTTGTTGTGTTTGCGGTGTTGACATGCAGTTGCTCCGCGCCGCCATTTCTTGTCGTTGCTTCTCGTGAGAATTGCGTTGCATATTTCCAGATATTCGACCGAGAGTGGCCTCTGTGCTTATATCCCGGCTTGACATTTGCTATCTCTGTGTTGAACGTTCTCGCCCACCACCCGTCGCGTTACTAACGCGCCGAGCTCGAGAATTCATTGCGGTCCGAACTTCCAGTGTTGATTGAGCCGGCGACCTGCTTTCTGGGATACGAGCACAATATCTATGGTCAACTACTGGCAATAATTGTCTCGCATACCGGTTGCCTGCTGGCCAATATCTGCGTGCGCAGCGCTCCAGATAGCCCAGCATGGAGTTCACCGAAGATACTATCCAGGATCTCAAGTACCGCTTTGAAGATGCAGCCATAAAGTGCTCAGAGCGATGTCTCTATCAATCAGCTAAATGGTATGGCGAGCCAGTCGTGAATACCTATGCGCAAGAACTGACGTTTCGTGCATTACCCAGGGCAGCAGAGATGTTGGATTCTCTCCTACCGGTCGAGCGCGAAGACACCGATCCGGATTCCTCGATGGACACAGCGGACACAAACCCCGCCGTAAACCCGTACTTGCGCGTGAAGGACCCCTCGGAGGCTGCGCTCGAGACCCAAGAAGCTCACAAGTACCTCTTGGCCAAATCTTACTTTGATACCCGCGAATATGACCGATGCGCAGCGGTATTTCTGCCTCCGAAAGCACCCCTCGTTCCACTTTCCATGAAATCGCCCAATTCCAAGCCGAAGCAGCCTCGAACAACTCCTATGAAAGCAAAGGACAAAGCCTCTCCGTTCCAAGGATCCAAAGGCCACGCCGCGAGCAACCCGTACCCTAAAATCAGCCAAAAATCACTGTTCCTTGCTCTGTACGCGAAATATCTTGCTGGAGAGAAACGCAAGGACGAGGAAACCGAGATGGTGCTGGGTCCTGCGGATGGCGGAATGGCGGTCAACAGAGAATTGTCAGATCTCGCGCGTGGTTTGGAGGGGTGGTTAGCAGAACGAACTGCCAAAGGACTAGAAGAGCAAAGCCAAGGCTGGCTGGAGTATCTCTATGCTGTCGTGCTGCTGAAGGGCCGGAACGAGGACCTGGCCAAGACATGGCTCATCCGAAGTGTGCACCAGAACCCGTTCCACTGGGGTGCATGGCAGGAGTTGAATGATTTGCTGGGAAATACCGAAGATGTAAGATACTCGACCGATGTTCTGCAAAATTTGCAAGTGCTAACATGGTATTAGTTGAACCAAATCCTGCCTCATCTGCCGGAGAACGTGATGACCCTAATCTTCCACGTCTACTGCAGTCAGGAGCTATATCAAGCAACGAACGCGACAGACAAAGCCCTCAATGAGCTCGAATCCCTTTTCCCCACCAGTTCATTTTTACAGACCCAGCGAGCGTTGCTCTACTACCACAACAAAGGTTAGCCTCTTTGCCTCACGTTCCCACTTCCAGTACTGACAGACAGCAGAATTCGACGAGGCGTCCCAAATCTTTACTCAAATCTTAACTACATCACCGCACCGACTCGACAGTCTCGATCACTTCTCGAACATCCTATATGTGATGGGCGAACGGCCCAAACTCGCCTTTATTGCCCAAGTAGCAACCGCCACTGACAAATTCCGGCCCGAAACGTGCTGTGTCGTCGGCAACTACTACTCCTTGAAATCCGAGCATGAAAAGGCGGTCATGTACTTCCGCCGTGCTCTGACCTTGGATCGCAACTTCTTGTCTGCCTGGACACTGATGGGCCACGAATATATTGAAATGAAAAACACTCACACCGCCATCGAGTCCTATCGCCGTGCCGTCGATGTCAATCGCAAGGACTACCGAGCCTGGTATGGTCTCGGTCAAGCCTATGAGGTTCTCGACATGGCCTTTTATGCCCTTTTCTACTATCAACGTGCTGCAGCTCTTCAGCCTTACGACCCTAAGATGTGGCAGGCCGTCGGGTCATGCTACGCGAAGATGGGCCGAATCGAGCAGAGTATCCAGGCGCTGAAGCGTGCCCTGGTTGCGGGCTCTTACTACGCAGATGACGGCGCCCCCAGCTCAAGCCCCGGCTCTAACACCCGCAAGATCCTCGACCCGGAAACCCTGCACCAGATCGCGACTCTTTACGAGCGTTTAGGCGACGAGGACGAGGCCTCCGCATACATGGAATTGACCCTCCAACAAGAAACCGGCGGTGCACCTGTCCACGAGGAGGAAGGCTCTGACGAGGATGAGTACTCGTCTGCTTCCGATAATGTCGCTCACAGTGATGTCGAAGATGAAGGCTCCGGGGATGATGGTGGTGACATAAACTCTCGTGGACATCGCCGCAAGCCGCGCCCTAGGACGTCATCCTTTGGCATGCAGCACGATGACTCAACTGCTAGCGATGCCTGGCACCATGGTACAGGACCGACGGCCACCACATCCAAGGCACGCCTGTGGTTGGCACAGTTTGCCTTGCGGAATGGGGACTTGGAGCGCGCAGATCATCTCGCGGGAGAATTGTGTCAGGACGGAATGGAAGTGGAGGAAGCCAAGGCGTTGATGAGAGATATCCGTGCTAGGAGGGAAGATGCGGACTAGTCTCGTCTTGCTGGTATCTCACTGTCATGATAGCGCGGCGTTTACTTTTCTACACGGTTACTAGTAATTACGGTATTTGCATGGTTGGTGCTAGAACAGTTTCTCGGTCATGATTCATTCATTAAGTGGGTAACATTACTTATCGACGTGGAGGAGCGGGTTGATGGACCTGTACTCGCCCAAAGCCAGAATTTCATTTGGATCAAAGCTCACGGCAACAGGCGGGATTTTTCCTGGCTCGGAGCTCTTGTAGCGAGTATCCAATTGAGCGTGACAGCGAATAGATTGACCAACTTCTCTGCTCGAATCTGGACCCAAATCCCAGTGTAGACAAGCGTAGTAGTACTTTTGACCAAGATCCACCCAAGTTGCGCGCAGGCAAAACTGCAAATCCTCGTGGTGCACGTCTTCTTTTACAATACCGGAATCCAGAAAGAATATTCTTCCTGATGGTAGACAGGATTGTCTGGCTCTGAAACCCCGAACGGCTAGGGCGATCTGATGGATCTCTTGACCAAGAGACGATACACGAGGGTTGACAAGTGCGATACCAAAAGCTATGCCCTTGGAGACGGCTTTGGGGTTAGATTGCCGAAGAGAAGTTCTTGACTCGGTGGAGCCTAGGGCTTGGAGGAATTTGTCAAGGCCAGCGGACCCTTTTGGTTTGGGTCGGAGATTGGAAGGAGTATCTGACATGTAGACGGGGATGGTTGTCAGAGGGGGAGCGAGGCTCATCTTCGTTGGAAGATGCAGCCATGGGATGTGAACGTGGGGCATGTGCGTGGTGTGTAGAGACGATTCTTGATATCTGTGAATTGGATGAAATAGTCGGCATCGCTTTCATTGGCACTTTGCTTAGCGAAAATTTGCCGGATTTATTGAGTGTTTGAGCAAGGGTGTTGGCTCCTGTCTGGCTACAGGATCGGCGACGTGACAAGTTCTCGTTTTCAGCCAGGACGCCATCATTCTGAGGACTCTGAAGCTTCTCCGGGAAAGAGGTCTCATCGATGTACACGGCAGAAGCAGCTCCACTGTTGTGCTGTGGGCCACGGCCGGTGGATCGAGTTTGGTGTGCATGTCCTTCATTTCGAAGCGAATAGAAGGAGTCCTCATCATCATGAGATGTAACCGATGATCCATCCGCCTCCGAATCCGCATTTGGTTCAACACTGGAGCTTCTTGAAGATGGACTCCGCGATCTTTGCACAATATACTGGTTGAGTCCATTGCCAGCCTTCAATCGTTTGCGCCACTCGTCTCTTTCTTTGAAAATATCATCCACTGGTATAGACCGAGCCTCTTCTGCGGAAAGTTGGAGCTCTCGATGAGAGGCTGCATCTTGAAATGTTCTGTCGGTGTGGACTTTCAGGATACGAGGAAATCGCAGGGTGAAGTATCGAGCATTGGACGGCTTTCCAAACCCGCTGCCCATCATCTCCACCACAAATGGCTTCTTGAAAAGGTTGGATGCTCGAGGAAGATTGGCATGCCCATATTCAAGGTCAAATCCCTGGAAATCTTCGGGGTCGCACGCGTGAAACTCTCCGATTTGGTTGAGATATTGAAGGATGTCTCGGTGCATGCAGTGATGGTTGACAACGTCGATCACTTTGAATCGAGGTACAGCCGCGGACAGCTCGACGTCGTCCTTGTTTAGAAGACATCCAACTAAAAGGTGTGTCCACCGCAAGCTTTTAAAGGAAGCTGCAGCATCATGAGCATCATAATACCCACCAATTAAAGCGAGGTCGACAGTGTCTCCCAGGCCGGGGATGTAATCTTTCTTAAGCTTGATCCACCGACCAAATGCCATGTCCACGCCGGCAGAATACATAGGGAAATACGGCTCGTCGCAAGCCTTCAGGACATATCCCTCCCATCTCTGAGCGATTGCGTTGGCAAAGCTGACCTCTAATCGATCTCGGCTGTCGGGCCGACTGAAATCTAGGATTTCCTGCTCAGCGATGGCGGCTCGTCCAGGGATTGTATGGACTACATCTTGGAGTAGTCGTCTTCTTTGCCGATAGGGCGCCCTCAAGCAGACATCATTGTCAAACAAAAGAATATCAAAGAAAACGATCATCAGATGTTCATAAGGCTGGGGCCTGTTCAGGTTAGCATATGTGATGGCATTTGTACTCCATGTAGACATACGGAGAGTCGCTGTCAATCCCAATAAACGTGCCTGATCGAGGAAGGAATTTTCGAAGTTTATGGAAGTCTGCCACTCCATTCTGTTTTTCACTCCACACAAGCAGTTCTCCTTCAAGAATGCAGTGGCGCGCGAACTTGCATTTGGCGGTTTCCATTTGAAGGGATTCCTCTACAGTTGGAATTATGCCAAACCTGTCCGCTGTCGAGTCCTTGCCGCTTTTGGAGAAGATTTGTACTGGGTTTTGCTTGTTCGTGAGGTCGATGTGAACCTGGCAATATTCCCCGTCATATTTCCGTTCGATGCTCATACGACGACGCTTTGCCATCTGGTGGCAATCTTTGATACTGCGAGCTTTGAAATATTCCGGTCGTCCGATTTTAACTCCGGGGCGTGGCTGCAGATGTTCAAGGGCAATCGAGCACAAGTTGGCGGCAAGTCGGGGATCTGGACGAGATGGAAAATGGTTCATCGGCTCTGAAGAAAGTATTTGTAAAGCACCCTCGAACGTGTCTTGGAATTGGAGGAGATATGGAAGCAAAAAGTGGAACCGATCTAGAGTATACTTCTGCGGAAGCACGACGGGGTAGCTCTTCAAGATCATACGAGTAAGCCACTTAGCATCACGGCTACTCAGTCGACGATATAAAGGTGATAGAGCACCTTCCACGTCCACGGCAGTCTTCTGACGACGAACTTGAGGACCCGAAAAGCGGCATCGGGATGCAATCATGCCCAGGGCCAGGTCGATTTCTTCTACTGTCACTTCTCGGCTCTGGGGGACGTCGTTTTCGGCCTGCCGCATGACATTCTCCACGCATTGTCCGAGATCAGGGCCTCCAGACTTGCGCCATTGGTCTAGCTCTGCCAAACGGGATGATCCCAGACCCAAACAGCGGGCGATGACTCTAGCTAGCGAGGTAGCCTGCAGCCAGTATACCCGGTCTATGCGTCTCTCGGGAAACATGCACGATAATAGTGCCAGCCTGTCTGTGTCTGCATGATGAATGTGTCGGTCATGTCGAGCAAACCACTGCCCGATAGTTCGTATGTCTACTGTATCCTTCTTGACAGCAGTGGCCCGGGCCACTGTGTTGTCTTCGAGGCTGGACAAAAGATCGCACAGGAAGGTAAATTTGAATCCCATGGGGCATGAAGGCACCAACAACACTTCACACCTGGAAGAACAACATGGAACACAAGGAAAGTGGAAGCGGGACGCGCAAATTCGCGAGTGGACCGCATCCACGGAACACGAAAGCACGTGACTACGACCTATACAGAACAAAAGGAGGTATATCGCAAACATACTTCAGGTATATTGGTCTATCTGTATAGACATCCATGGTATTCGCCAAACTCCGAGCTTTTAATAATAACACACCATCCCCACCCAAAACCAGCGAAAGAAGGGACGGGAAAATGCAGGACCCGTTGCGATTAGAGAATGCCCTGCTTTTGAAGACTGCGAGTTGTTAGTATCTGCACCATGCAATGAATAGAAATGAAGGAATACTGACTCAAGATAGATCCTCTCTGGCATAACGTTGCCCTCGGCATCCTCCATCTGCACAACGTTGTCGCGGGCATCCCGCTCCTTCTTGCGTTCGGCTTCCAACGAGTTCCAAAGCTGTATGGCCTGGTCAATGCTAGTGATCTCGCGGAAGAGGTTGGTGTTTGCTGTGATGCCCAGGCACTTCAACCCGTGAATGTGTGTAGCTTCAGAGAAATGCTTATCGAATGCCCGACGACCCATGTAGGTGTGGTTACCGCAGATCTCACACTGATACTCGACTCCAAGACCATGGAGCTTGTAGAGCCAGTATGGGATGGGCTTGCCATCCCAGGCCAAAGGCAACTTCAACGGATTGTAGATCTTGTCCTCGTCATCATCGTCGTCGGAATGCTCTCCTGCCTGGCCTTCCGCAAAACTCTCGGGCTCGGCCATCAAGGCCTCAAGTTCCATTTGGCGTTCACGTTCCGTCATTCCCTGTCTCCGCTCCACGTTGGTCCTGGTGGCTTGTCGATGGTCTTTGAGCGTCTTCGCCAAGCATCGTACGCGGTGCTCACGTTCAGCAACAGCACGCTCCTTCAAGCTGTAAGATGAGCCATTGCTCATTGACCCTGAGGGCTTCTCGCCCGAAGCGCCCGAGGCTTTGCGAGCCTCCGCAGCTCGAATATGTTTCTTGCCCGTCAAGTGATTCCGGTAGACGTTCTCGTTCTTGAACTCCCTCTCGCAATCTGGGCACCATATTCCTTCGCCTGTCCCTTCAGTTTTAGGGTCAGAGGCTCCGTTCTCAACCTTTTCTTCCGTCCAGCCGGGAACCTCCTTCGCCGCCCACTGTTTGTCGAATTCCTCATCGAAGCTCCCAAATAACTTGTCCAGGTCTTCCAGGGGTCGAGCTCGCCTGATAAAGCTTTCCAGGTAGGTGGCGAGCTCGCCCACATAGCGGAAATATTTGTCGGAAAGCTTGTCTTTCCGTTTAATCATCATGGCCGGGGGAGTGAAAACGTCGAAGATATCAAGATATTGGATATAATTCAACCGCTTCACGCTGGGCAGGTTCAGGTAATCTTCGTGAATCGTGGTCAAGTCGAAGTACTGTCCGAAACCTTCCTCACCAGTGAACATGTTGTCGATTTGCATGCCGTACACCTCGCCTTCGCCGGGCTGTCGGCGCTTGTATGCCCGCTCGAGGTTGTCGACAGGTTGGTTCGGGTACCGCTTGTGGAAACCCTTGATGTCATCAAGCTGTTTGTAGAATTCTTCAAACTGATCTCCCGTCGCAATCGACTGCACTTCCTTCTCGCGTAGTCCGTCCGCATCCTTGTAGATCTCCAGTAACCTCTTGGACTGTTCCTCGATTCGGTCCAGGAGTTTCGCAAGCTCATGGTCGCGAGCAAGTTCTTCGCGGATCTATCAAAAAGTAATAGTCAGCATGCGAGACCAGCCATAAGATACCACGGACGAAGCAACTTACGTTTCGCGGTTTCTCCGCCACGCGATCAGCAACGGCTTGCTCCAACCTCTCGAGGTCTTCATGGAGGAATCGTTGGTCCTCGATCAACATATTGAGTGTGCGACCGTATTCCGGCTTACCTCTGACCAGTTCAGAGAAAATGTGGCTGGAGACTGCGGTGACCGTTGAGAAGAGAATTGGATTTGCGGGTTTGAGCTGCAGCTTTGCGGACGGTCACGTGCCGGTGCCACTTCCATCGCAAAAAGTCGATTTGAACTCTCACTTACAGACAGCGACAACTGTCAACTCCGATCAAATAAACAGATCCCTTCCTTGCAGTCAGCTGAATACTTCCTCCTTTCATCATGGCGGACGGAATCGACAGACGTGCTGAAGGTATGCGCCTCGAGTCCGACTAAAACAAGACCCTGCTAACAGGAACGCAGAGCGAATGGAGTTCAGCACCTCCAAGGAGGTTACGGTGGCCCCGACCTTCGAGGACATGCACCTGAAGGAGAGCCTTCTCCGCGGTATCTACGCCTACGGTTACGAGTCCCCCTCGGCTGTCCAGTCGCGTGCCATTGTTCAGATCTGCAAAGGTCGCGATACCATTGCGCAAGCCCAGTCTGGTACTGGTAAAACTGCTACATTCGCGATCAGTACCCTGCAGGTTATTGACACCGTCGTGCGCGAGACCCAAGGTACATACCCCTGTGGATTTGACTGGTGCAGAACGTGGTGCTAACGAGTGTTTCTTTTGCGATAGCTTTGGTCCTGTCTCCTACCCGTGAACTTGCAACCCAGATTCAGTCCGTTGTCATGGCTCTCGGCGACTACATGAACGTCCAATGCCACGCATGCATTGGTGGTACCAACATTGGCGAGGATATCCGCAAGCTCGATTACGGCCAGCACGTCGTGTCTGGAACCCCCGGCCGTGTCGCTGATATGATCCGGCGCCGACACCTGCGTACCCGTCACATTAAGATGCTCGTCCTCGATGAGGCAGACGAGCTTCTCAACCGCGGTTTCCGCGAGCAGATCTACGATGTTTACCGCTACCTTCCGCCGGCGACGCAGGTTGTGGTTGTTTCGGCCACTCTCCCTTACGATGTGCTGGATATGACGACCAAATTTATGACAGACCCCGTGCGCGTCCTGGTCAAGCGTGATGAGTTGACTCTGGAGGGTATCAAGCAGTACTTCATCGCTGTTGAAAAGGAGGAATGGAAGTTCGACACACTCTGCGATCTCTACGACACTTTGACTATCACTCAGGCCGTGATCTTCTGCAACACCCGCCGAAAGGTCGACTGGCTGACCGACAAGATGCGCGAGGCCAACTTTACCGTTTCCAGCATGCACGGCGAGATGCCCCAGAAAGAGCGCGACAGCATTATGCAGGACTTCCGTCAGGGCAATTCCCGTGTCCTCATCTCCACCGATGTGTGGGCCCGTGGTATCGATGTCCAGCAGGTGTCGCTTGTGATCAACTACGATCTGCCTACAAACCGTGAGAACTACATCCACCGCATCGGTCGATCCGGTCGTTTCGGCCGCAAGGGTGTGGCTATCAACTTTGTTACCAGCGATGATGTCCGTATTCTGCGGGATATCGAGCTGTACTACTCGACCCAGATTGACGAGATGCCCATGAATGGTGAGTTCAAGTTCCAAGTATCATTCCAGGCTTTTATGCTAATCAGTACATTCCACAGTTGCCGATCTTCTTTCATAAATGCAGTGACCTTGATTCAACAAGAGTTTAGTGCTTGCTTTTTCACCAACCAAAATGAATTGATGTGCCCTCGAGGGGTACATCACGCCCATTTGCGTCCATCGGCAATTTTGCAAATGTAAATGACGAAATTTCAGTCAAGGATGACTGAGAAGGCCGGTTCTAGCGTGGAGGAAAGGGAAAACAATATGATTCAGTGAGTATGCACTGTTTCCATCTGGACCTTGGTTTTTGTCACTGACCAGCTCCTAGTCCAAGATTGGCAGACAAGGTGACCACCCCGTAAAAGGTGCACTTGTGATTTATGTTTCTTTTTTTTTTTTTGCTGGGATTTCTAGTTTACCCCGGATGTTATTGGGAGTTACGAATGGCGGAATCAAATTATTTACTCTCATTTTGTTCGCGACGTACCTTCAACGCAGTAGACGACGAGGTCCTTGTCTCATGGGTGATACAAACTCAACTACGAGGTCACTGTAGGGGAAAATAATTACAAAAGAAAACGCCAGCGCATTTCCTGTATTGATTGAGATGCTACAAAACTGCTTCCGGGAGGATCTGTGTATATGTGGGATGGCAAGGGATCGTGAGCGGAGTCGAGTATGGAGGAAGAAGAGCCTACGCATGGAATCAAAGAAAGAAATGGGGAAAAGCACAGGTTTATCGTCTTTCCAGAAGCTCCTAGTATGATTGCCTTGACCGTGGTACGAACATTGCCTGTTAATGAAAACGCCAGCGGTAGAAATGGGAGAGGAAACGCCTGTTGAATAGAAGCTTGATATGGAAACATTCTTGTTATGCTTGCGCGGCGTTGTCTATCACCGATCGGTATCAGAATGCTGACGTGGTTCTCAATGCGCTGGTTCGTGGGAATCCGTTGGATGAGACGCCGCGCTGTTGACTTGGGCCTCCTGTCGGGCGAGGTCGGTTGTTTTCGCCGGTCCAGCTGATAGATCATTAGAGATGCCTCGAGTAGTAAATAGGGAGGAAGAAGACTTACATGCGCACGGCGCAGTCATCGCCTGCTGAGGCAAACATTGATGGGTTTGTCGGGTTCCATGATATTGAGTTGACACAACCCGAGATATGCCCTTCGAGAGTCTCCACGAGGTTACCATTTTCCTTGTGCCAGATATAGATTCGGGAATCTGAAAATCGTTAGTACGCGACGTCCAAACCCAAGATATGTGGAGTTCTCACCTTCACTGCCGCTGACGACAAAGTTCTCAGCTGCCCCGCCAAACGTACTTCGGATAACAAACTCGCCCTGCTTCTGACCCGTGAAACACCGTACTACAGAAGCTGTCTCCATGTCAACGAGTTGTATCTGTCCCTCTGCCAGATTCACGAGCATGTGCTTTGAGTCCCGGCTAATAGCAACTGATGTGGGTTTGCTGGGAAGCGAAAGGCAGTAGTCTTCCTCGTATGTACGGAAATCGAATACGTGGATCTTTGCTTCCGTATCTGCTGCCACAAGTCGTCGTCCGTCTGGGCTGATAGCGCAATCTTGTACCCGGAATCCGCCTTTCCACATGTACAGCGACGGGCCGCGAATGCTCCAGTGACAGAGTTGTGAGCTTGAATCGAAAGAAGCCGTCACAAATGACTCGCCATCGGCAGCCCAGGCGGCGGCGGTTACAGGATCGCAATGGTGGTCGATGGTGAGGAGACAACGCCCATTCTAATAAAATCAGCATCAGAAGAGCGGTCTCAACGGTTAGATATTGCTTACCTCAACGTTCCATACCCGCGCCTTTTTATCTTGAGAGCAGGTGATCAGCTTCGTGTCGTCTGGACTCCAGCTAGCACATGCAACTCCCTGCCCGTGATCATTCAGACGGTGGAGTACTCTAAAATCACTGGTGTCGTATATGAGCACGGTGTGGTCCTTGCCTGCAGTGACCAGCTTCGTGCCATCGTGAGAAAACTCGCAGTACCAGACTTCGTCCGAGTGCTGGTTGAGATCGTGGGTGACTTGCAATGGGAAGTCGTTTCGGTCACACATGTGATCCGAGTAGAGTGATGGTGATTCAGCAGTGTTGTGGTACAAGCAGTTGTTGATCTGGCTCTGCTTCACATTCTCTAACAGGATTGCAAGTCGGTGCTGGGGTATCATGACAGAGGGGGAAATGGACTTGGAAAGATCCCCGAGGAGGCGTTCTCGCGATAAACTGGTTGGGCCATCCCATCCAGCTTGATCATGTAGCAATTCCGTGGGGCACATCAGAAGGCTGTTGAGGTGTAACGTAATTAGTAACCCAGGCGATACATATCATCGGGAGTAAATCAACTCACCTGGAGAGAGAATGAAGACGGTCAATATCGTAGTTTAATGGCGTGAGTTCTTGCCTAAGAACAATCAATGCCGCACCCAAATCACCTGCCTCTAGCAGCTCGAGGAACTTCTGCTGCCGCAAGTAGAACAGCATTTCGTTCCTGTCGGCATTTTCCGCTAATACCAAGGTCTTCTCCGGTGGAGGTTTCTGGGTATTGTGTGCATCTCCGTTCCGGAACGACTGAATGAGGATCTTTTCAGCCTCCGACCATCGTCCATCCAATACAGCACTTCGGAATGTCGCCACCCCGGGGGTCTCTAGCTGATAGCCGCTCTCCGCACTCAGCATAGATGCGGCGCTGTTGTAGCCCAACTCATACAGACTTTGAATCAAGATCCGCGTGACTTCCTCCCGATTGTGTCCGTAGTAGCTCGAGGTAGCCGGGGACTTGCCAGATCCATTTGTATGCGACTCTCCGTTCGAAGCCGCGGTTGATTGGCCGTTCATGCTGGCTTTCCTTGAGGCGGGAATCGACCCGTTGGACGCCTGCGAAAAGCCATTTGTCGATAGTCCATCCGCACGCATGGTTACCAGGCGCCTGCGCTTGCGGGATGGAGACCGGCCGTCAGCTCGGCCGGATGTTCTGGAATCGTTCGGGGACGCAACTGCGCGAGTCCCAGCGTCTTCGGGTGAGACACCGATCCCCGCGGGAGCAGAGGGGTCAGGACTGCTCGAAGCAAGGCGGCGGCGTCGGGGATTGGGCTGGGTACGAGAGGATGGCTGGGGGGATCGGTACTCTGACGAAGGGGAATCGGGATTGCCGTCGGAGGCAATAGGATGGTGGGGGACAGGAAGTTCGGGGTGGTCGGGGGCGAAAGGTTCGAAGGGAGGATTGTTGGCCAGGTCGAAAAGTCGGGATCTGCCCAGTCCCCTGGCTCTTTGGAAAGAACCAGGTGAGCAGATCTACAGGCGGGTAGATAGTTCCTCGCCGTTTAAGAGCTCCGTGAGATGGAGCTTCGGATAAGAGAAAGGTGTCACAGAGGGCAAATAGACCTGGGCTCCAGGGGTCGAGATATGATGAAAAAGGAGGGGTGGTAAGTAGATAGAGATTCAAGTCGTGGGTCCCCTCTTTCTGGGGGTTTTGGAGGTTGGGTCGCGGGCGGAGATGCTCAGATGAGCTCTTATCGGTTACCCACTCGGCCACTGACGAAAGATGGCCACCAGTCAGGCGTCACCGGACAAACGTGTTTGGCCTTTGGCTATCAGCCGACTCGGAGGTTTGAAAGAGAAGAGAGCCCTGTTCCTTTTTCCCCTTGAAAACAGCTAGCTGCTGCTTGCCGCCAAAGTCGAGGAGGAAAGCAGGTTGCTGCGTTTGTATGGTACTTTGATTCAGCGTTAGGGGGGTCGAGTCTGTGCTCGTATTCTAGTTCTATTTTCCCTGGCTTAGGCAACTCGGTGAATCCATGGCACCGTTCGGAGGATCATCACCGCGATCGAGCTCTATACATCAACATCCATCCCTGCACTAGAGCTACGTAGCTACTGAGCCCACACCTGGCCACCCGCTTCTTCCGGTCGTACCTTGGACAGTGACTCGCACTGAAGCCTCATAGGTAGGACGCCGCATTCCACTCGGGGAGTTCGCCATTCCCCGCTGACGCCATCATGATGCTTCTGATCCTACCTCTGCGGGCCACCTCAGGTATAAGAACCACCGAAACTCTGCTTTTCAATATGACTTCTACACCCTTCTTCCCGTGACATATCAAATCCTTTGTTCTCTCGTCAAAACACTTTGAAACACCTCGAAACACCTCGAAATACTATCCATCATGGGCTGTGACTGCGGATCTTCTTGTGGTTGCACCGGTCCTAAGGGCTGCACCTGCGAACAGGGCTCCTGCACCTGCAAGGAATGCGGAGTATGCAATCCTTTTTTGCCTTCGAGGAAGACTGGCGAACTGTTCGTTAAGGATAGATATGAGCTAACGTTCACTCCCTGTTTAGAAGTAATGGCACTCTACTACTACTGCGCCGCGTACGAGACCGCTCACAAATGACATCAAGGTCAAGTTTCGGATGAGATTTATAAATGAAAATTAAAAAATATTCGTGTACAATTGCTACTTTCTTGATGCTGTGGTGTAGGGTAATGTGATTCATTCTGATATGAACATCTTGCGTATGAATCGGTTTTTCCGGATTTGTAGACGTCATGATGCTGGACCGGAACCGCCTCGGACGCTTTCAGTGCACCCGTGATTGTGAAACATAAATGGCGAGAGCGCATACATAGGCTAGATCTAGTGGGATAGGATTCCAAACTGAGGAGCATTTCGTACCGTCAAAATTCTTTGCAATAGCCATCTTCTCCGACTCCGCTGTGTGCGCGGACTCGGCCGGGACCAGAATCACCAGCGCTGGCGGACCGGCTGGCATCAGCATCATGCTAAATCATAGCATCGAATCATTTTCCAGGAGGGATAGATAAATAACCGCCCGATATGACGCACACTGGTCGTCAGCCACGCATGGAAGACATCCTGATCTTCATCTCGCGCAAACAATGTCCGATGCAGGGCTGGGTAACAAGCCAAGCAAGACGCCAAGCGGCGTGCAGCCAATGATTACATCGGCGAACGGGTCCTCAAATGCTGCCATCAGCTCTTGCTTTACGCGATGCAGGAAGAACGAGCCTACCCACCAGCTTCAGCGGCCGACGCGGATCCCAGTCCTGCGGAGCCATCTGTGCGCGTCGCGGAAGGAGGGAGCCGAGATACGCGTCAAGCAAGCCTGCATCCATGATTTGAATATGTATATGGATTCGTGCTGCAGAGACAAGGAATCATAATTGAATGTACATATGGGTTCACTCGAGATTATGTACAGAGAAAAAAGAACACCTTCCGATATCTTGACGTGATCAAACATATCTGCGCTATTTCAAAATCCATCTACACTCGAACACCATAAAATAGCTGGTTCGCGGGCAGTACTCTCGCTGCAAAGATCAGGCCCATGCCCAAGGCCACCACTCCAGTCAACGCGGCGAGAAGCCCCAGCCGCGCCAAGTTCTCGACGCCAGGTCGCTCAAACTTGGTACTGCGCCGCTCTCCCACCTGCGTAGTACGTGTCAGAGTGGGCACATACTTGAATTCGAAGCGAGACTCTTTGCCGAGACCGGTTTTCTCATCCATGATCATCTTGTAATAGTATTTACGGCGTAGCTGAGATCCATTAGTTTCCTATTGCAGGGCAGTGTCAGGCTTGAAAATAACTTACTCCAATCATCAGACGATCCAGGAAGGATATCTTGGGAATGATGAATGAGACGCCCGCAACCCAGAAACAGTAGCCCCATATCATCACGCGGTAGTAGAGACTCGACCGTGGGATTTCCAGCTCGTCCGCGAGTTGATCTCCGTTCAAAAGCCTAGTCAACGCCTCCATGAACTCTTTGGAAGCATAGGCCGGTGCTGTGTTCTCCAGCCCGATAATGATATTCTTGGCCAGCACCCTCCCTATCTCTGTTGGGTCAATCTCGGAGATCAGAAGCGACTCCATCATAGCCCGAGCCTTGGCTGGATTCTCAAAAGGCTCAGTCGGCGTACCCATGTAAAAGGCGACAAGTCGCCAGAGAGCGATGTAATCTTCGATCTCTTGCTCGCTGAGATAGATTCCCTGTCGAGGCAGACCGAGGTAGACTACGGAGCTGCAGAAAGTGTTAATCGTCCCGATGCAGTCCAGGTCGTTGACTGGTGTTCCATATTTGGCGATGTCGTAGTAGTCGGGCTTCTGTTTCACCAGCTCCAATATCTTCAGGCGGACGGATGAGTGAAGAAGTCGCACGCGAACTGATGAGACATTTCCCTCGCCTCCTGGCTTCATTCCTTCCACCGAACTGTTGACTTGCAGGATATGTTGGAGTGTTTCGAGAAGTCGGCGTCGGACGACTTTGGCACCGAAGCCACCGGTTCGCGCAAGTGTCTCGACGACCCGGATTGCTCCCCTGGAGATAATCAGCATGCGACATGGACCGCATTTGCTCCAAAGATATATTCATACATTCCACCTAGTAAGCTTTCAAAGCTGAGCTGAGGTTTTGATTTAGCATGCACACAGTTAACAATAGACAGTGCCAGAAACACACCACATTCAGGATCGGAAGACCATATCGGAAGAAGATATCCTGTCCTCTTTGAATCTGGTCCCAGTCAACCCAGTCTGGAACCGTATTGACCTGAGTCCAAAGCTCCTGGAGCCTGGGGTCTTCGTCGGCATGGTCTCTGAGCAGGCCGTACAGATCCTTCTTAAAAGGCCTGTCTGAATCACCATCCGTGGGGATTTTGTTCAAGAGCTGTACACACTCGTCGGCGATACCGTCATAGGTAAAGGCCATAGGACGTAGCTCGTCCGCCGACCTGTGAAGAGCAGTCCAGTGAAACGAGTAATCCCAGTAGTGGCACTCGGTGCTATTCCCTTTTTTGGGGCTTTTCATAGCCATAATTGGAGTCAGTGATGCAGAGTGTCAAATGGTGTGATTCAAGGCACGATTCAACCGGTTATGAAGCCCGTTCCATTATGTATAAATAGTGAAAATCCCCTGAGGCACCGTCACGACCAGGGTGGCTCCTCCGCTCGCCTTCTACCGTGGTCCGGGGTAAAACGAGAGGGGTTAGGGTTGGGATCACTTGCATGTGAACCCCCATGGGGGATCGGCACTTCTACATTTACTCTTCTGAAACATGTGTGATTCTTTCCTCTTGGGGCATGTTTTTCATCGGCATCATTGGCTGGGGTGCATTTGTCACGAGCAGCGATTTGGTGTACTCCGTCTATACCTCCGGTGTCACTCCAATGAGAACCCGAGCCACACTACTCACATGTGGCTCTTCGTAAACGGCGGGGAGATATCTGCGACTATACGTCTTATGATGGTTTTTATGAATATTGTGAAAGAAGACTCGACTGCACAGTGATACTGCCTAGGTGCCACGTGAATTTTAAAGGGCTGACATTGTACCCCAGCTTCCCCGTAGCGAGATAATGTAAAGGTCCGAGTGCCTTCATGAGCCCATCAGATTAATCAGTGCAGAATCGAATATTGGGCCTATTTAGCCCTGGTGATTAAGTTTAATCCACTGCGCAATGGTGCGGTGATCAGTGGCCCTGCTAAGCTGTAACTATACAGAGGGGCATGCTACCCATGTGTTTGGTCCGTGAAATCCTCCATGTCGCAACCCAGGACAGTAGTCAGCTAAAGCCCTGGATTTCAGCCACCACATTTCACAGCGGACAGTTAAACTCGCGGACAATGGAGACCTGGTCGATCTCGGGCGCTAATCGCTCGGATGAACGAGCGAAAGGATTGGATGGCTTAGGGGGGGAAACTCCACGACCAAGACCCTCCGGTCATTCAGCCCCGTGAGCACAATCTGTACATTGATTGTACATAGATCACGGTCAGAAAAAACGAATGTTAGGCTTGCAAAGGCCTCGACTGAAAGCCCGGCCGTCCCTGCTGCAACTGATTAGCAGAGAGCCCGAGCGTCCTGCTCCTCCACCGCCCGTAGAGCTTCCAAAGTCTCCGCTTCCAGACTCACCCACCTCGACCATCTCCTCCACGTCGAATCCCTCCCCCCAAGCTACCTCCACCATGGCTTCCAAGGACCAGGAGTCTCATGGCTCCATCTTCTCGGTTTCCGGTCCCGTCGTCGTGGCCGAGCACATGATCGGTTGTGCCATGTACGAGCTGGTAAGCCTCCGGAAGCTCACCCCAATGTCATCCGAGTCGTCCATACTGACCTGATGGCTGCCAGTGCCATATCGGACACGATCTGCTAGTCGGTGAAGTCATTCGTATCGAAGCAGACAAGGCCACGATTCAGGTTTATGAAGAGACCGGTACGACTGCTTCCATCTTGCGGGCCACGTATTCTCTCGATCAATCAACGCCAAAGCTAACTGATTGCTTCCTACAGCCGGTTTGACCGTTGGTGACCCCGTTACGCGGACGGGCAAGCCCCTTTCCGTCGAACTGGGCCCCGGTCTGATGGAAACGATTTACGACGGTATCCAACGACCCCTCAAGGCCATCGCCGACCAGTCCAAGGGTATCTACATTCCCCGCGGTATCTCCGTCAATGCGCTGGACCGCAAGAAGAAATGGGAGTATAAGCCCGCCGGCTTCAAGGTCGGCGACCACATCACCGGCGGTGACATCTGGGGTACCGTGTTCGAGAACAGCTTGGTGAACGACCACAAGATCCTGCTGCCCCCGCGTGCCCGCGGTACCATCACACGGATAGCCCCCGCGGGTGATTACACTGTCGAGGAGAAGCTGCTGGAGGTCGAGTTCGAGGGCAAGAAGACCGAGTACGGGATGATGCAGACCTGGCCCGTCCGTGTGCCCCGCCCGGTCAACGACAGGCTGTCCGCCGATTCGCCCTTCATTGTCGGCCAGAGAGTGCTGGATTCTCTCTTCCCCAGTGTCCAGGGTGGAACGGTGTGTATTCCCGGTGCCTTCGGATGTGGCAAGACCGTCATTTCCCAGTCGGTGTCCAAGTTCTCGAACAGCGACATCATCGTCTATGTCGGTTGCGGTGAGCGCGGTAACGAGATGGCTGAGGTGTTGATGGATTTCCCCGAGGTATGTAATCTGGTTTTGGCATAGACTACGGTGCACTTGCGTTAACGACTTCATTACCGATAGCTTTCCATCACCGTCGAGGGCCGCAAGGAGCCCATCATGAAGCGTACCTGCCTGATCGCCAATACCTCGAACATGCCCGTGGCCGCCCGTGAGGCCTCCATTTACACCGGTATCACCATCGCCGAATACTTCCGTGACCAGGGCAAGGACGTGGCGATGATGGCGGACTCGAGTTCTCGCTGGGCCGAGGCTCTGCGCGAGATTTCGGGTCGTCTGGGTGAGATGCCCGCCGATCAGGGTTTCCCCGCGTATCTGGGTGCCAAGCTGGCCTCCTTCTACGAGCGTGCCGGCCGCAGCAGTGCTCTGGGTAGCCCCGAGCGCTACGGCAGTGTTAGTATTGTCGGTGCCGTCAGCCCACCCGGCGGTGATTTCTCCGACCCCGTCACCAGCAGTACCCTGGGTATTGTGCAAGTGTTCTGGGGTCTCGACAAGAAGCTGGCCCAGCGCAAGCACTTCCCGTCCGTCAACACCTCGATGTCCTACAGCAAGTACACCACCGTTCTGGACAAGTACTACGAAAAGCACAACCCAGACTTCCCTCGCCTGCGTGACCAGATTCGAGAGCTGCTGTCCAAGTCGGAGGACCTCGACCAGGTGGTGCAGCTGGTCGGTAAGGCGGCGCTCGGTGACTCGGACAAGATTACTCTGGACGTCGCCGCCATGCTCAAGGACGACTTCCTGCAGCAGAACGGTTACAGTGACTACGATCAGTTCTGCCCGCTGTGGAAGACCGAGTACATGATGAAGGCATTTATGGGCTTCCACGACGAGGCTCAGAAGGCCGTTGCGCAGGGCCAGCAGTGGAGCAAGGTCCGCGATTCCACCTCAGACTTGCAAAACTCTCTGCGGAGCATGAAGTTCGAGATTCCCGACAACGAGAAGGAGGTGTCGGCCAAGTACGAGCAGATCCTGCAGACCATGTCGGATCGATTCGCCTCGGTCACGGATGAGTAGAAAGTAGAGAGTCCGCGGTGCATCTTGTGTTCGGTTTTTGATAAGCACATTACCCTGTAGTTATGTTCAATAAATTTTTGGCTTTGATCCGAGTGCTAGGCAGATGTATAAAATAGGTACCTAAGCAGTAAACCAGTAAACCCAAAGGCGCGTGTCAGCCACAGGTGATGACGGATGCCTGTCCACGAGCCGAGACTCTACCCAACGGTGGGTCCGCCACTCGCACCGCATCGACTGTCACCGCCTGTGACTGCACCCAACAAACACCGAGAGTCCTCCGCTTCTATTCTCGAGATACCTCCTTATTCCCTGGGTCTTCTCTTTAGCACTTTCTTTTGATCCCTACCTTTCTGCTAAGATATCCTCCCACATCTCGCCAGCCATGGCAACCCCGACTGGCTACTCGTGCGCACCCCTGTCCCACCCCCTCCACTCCGTGCGGCCCAGCTAACTCGTGCGCAGCATAAACGTGAACGACCCCAGCCTGATCTCGCTGGTCAACAAACTCCAGGATGTCTTCTCTACAGTCGGAGTAAGTACAACCCGCTGCTCTCCCTGTGTGGCGACCGTGGTCTTTCCCCCGTCACTGACACCGCTTGCGTCTAGGTCCACAACCCCATCGACTTGCCGCAGATCGTTGTCGTTGGTTCGCAGTCAAGCGGAAAGAGTTCAGTACTAGAGAACATTGTTGGTCGTGATTTGTATGGTCTCCTCCCCCTTCCAGAGGCACCCTGGTCTCCATCACTCCACAACAGTGCTGGTGGCGGGGGTGCCTCCGGCGGCGTCGTCAGCCATTGCTAACCACACATTCTGTCATTTTCAGCCTGCCTCGTGGCTCGGGAATTGTCACCCGCAGACCTCTCATCCTGCAGCTTATCAACAAGACCCCCACCGCGCAAACGAACGGCGAAAAGAAGTTGGAAACAACGGACAGCGAGTCCAACGTGGACGAGTATGGCGAGTTCCTGCATTTGCCCGGCGAGAAGTTCTACGACTTCAACAAGATCCGAGAGGAGATAGTGCGCGAGACGGAATTGAAGGTCGGCAAGAACGCTGGCATTTCTCCCTCCCCGATTAACCTGCGCATCTACTCCCCCAACGTCCTCACACTGACTCTGGTCGATCTGCCCGGTCTTACCAAGGTGCCCGTCGGAGACCAGCCGAAGGATATCGAGCGCCAAATTAAGGACATGGTGCTCAAGTACATCAGCAAGCCCAATGCCATTATCCTGGCCGTGACTGCGGCCAACCAGGATCTGGCCAACTCCGACGGTTTGAAGCTGGCGCGTGAGGTGGACCCCGAGGGACAGCGCACCATTGGTGTGTTGAGTAAGGTCGACCTGATGGACGAGGGCACCGACGTCGTGGATATTCTCGCTGGACGGATTATCCCGCTGCGCCTGGGTTACGTTCCCGTTGTCAACCGTGGCCAACGTGACATTGAGAACAAGAAGCTCATTTCCTACGCTTTGGAGAATGAGAAGAACTTCTTCGAGAACCACAAGGCGTATCGGAACAAGGCCTCGTACTGCGGTACCCCATACCTTGCCCGTAAGCTGAACTTGGTACGTTTATTGCATCCGCGGAGATCACGCGAACGGTAAACTAACCTCTCCTTTTTAGATCTTGATGATGCACATCAAGCAGACCCTGCCTGATATCAAGGCCCGTATTTCCTCCTCTCTCCAGAAGTACAGCACGGAGCTGTCCCAACTCGGCGATTCCATGCTCGGCAACAGCGCCAACATCGTCCTCAACATCATCACGGAGTTCAGCAATGAATACCGCACTGTTTTGGAAGGAAACAACCAGGAGCTCTCCAGCATCGAGCTGTCGGGTGGTGCTCGTATCAGTTTCGTGTTCCACGAGCTCTACTCGAACGGTGTCAAGGCCGTTGATCCCTTCGACATTGTAAAGGACATTGACATTCGCACAATCCTGTACAACTCGTCCGGTTCCTCGCCCGCGCTGTTCGTCGGAACCACTGCCTTTGAGTTGATTGTCAAGCAACAAATCAAGCGGTTGGAGGAGCCTAGCACAAAGTGTATCTCGCTGGTCTACGACGAGCTGGTGCGCATTCTTGGCCAGCTACTGAACAAGAACCTCTTCCGCCGGTACCCCATGCTCAAGGAGAAGGTCCACACCGTGGTCATTGCCTTCTTCAAGAAGTGCATGGATCCTACCAATAAGCTGGTCAAGGATTTGATCGCCATGGAGGCCACCTACATCAACACCGGTCACCCCGACTTCCTCAACGGCCAACGCGTAAGAAACCTTTCGATTTTGAAATGATAGACTGGAAAAGCTAACTTGATGCAGGCCATGGCCCTTGTGAACGACCGCCAGCAAGCCGCCAAGCCCACCCAGGTCGACCCCAAGACCGGCAAGCCTCTGCCTGCGCCGGCCCGCGCCCAGAGCCCTTCTCTGGACACCACTGGCGAAGCCCAAAACGGCAGCGGGTTCTTCGGCAGCTTCTGGGCCTCCAAGAACAAGAAGAAGATGGCCGCTATGGAGGCCCCGCCCCCCACACTCAAAGCTTCTGCCAGTTTGTCCGAGCGGGAATCCACCGAAGTTGAGGTTATCAGTAAGTCTGCCTGATTTCTTTCGGCAATGTACTATTCTAATCCCAAACAGAGCTCCTCATCACCTCTTACTTCAACATCGTGAAGCGTACAATGATCGACATGGTCCCCAAGGCCGTCATGTACACACTGGTGCAGTACGTATTACCCCTTATCACATTGATAACCCCGCATACTAACACCACCCAGGTTCACCAAGGACGAGATGCAACGCGAGCTGCTGGAGAACATGTACCGCAACAACGAGCTGGATGATCTACTGAAGGAGAGCGACTACACCGTACGCCGACGGAAGGAGTGCCAGCAGATGGTGGAGAGCCTCGGCCGCGCCAGCGAGATCGTCAGCCAGGTGCAGTAAACTCGGACATGCAACAAGCATTCCGGGAGATAGATTTCGACTGTATGATTGAGCTTCTCGTGTTGGCGGAGTTGGGCCATTATTCTGTGACTTTGCAACGGACGCAAATCTTGACTATATTCGATATTCGTACTTTCGCACCGTCGCCACTTTTTGCCTTTTTCCTGGGCCGCTTTTAGAACCATTTGGTCTTGGAAGTCTAGCGATTCCGGGATGCCCAATGGCATTTGATTGTCTTTGACGAGGAGTTCATAATTAATGATTTGTTACTGCTCTACGACTTGCTTTAGAATCTACTAAATTATATTTGTTCTTTGTTTAAAACTTTCCGCGATTGAATCTAGCGGTAACTCGGAGGATGAGGCCACGGTATAGAGGGAATTCTGCCCTTACGCCATATTATGCAAGTTGCTTTGTCTCCAGAGTTTCCATGTCCGGTTTCTCATCATCGGACTAGCAACGAACTATACACATGCGATAGAAGACACATAGTCCATCCAACTTATTGATTCACCGTATGCCGGTACACGTAATGCCAATCATCCTTCTTCAAATCCTGCCGCACCTTGTAGTTCCTCTCCGCGACATCCAAAATCCCCAAATCCATATCCACAACCCGCACGCCTTCCTCATTGCCCATCTTGGCAATAGGCCCTACAAGGGGCATTGTGACCTGCGAAAGACCCAGGAAATTCTCTCCGGGACCCGCACCATTAGCAAAGATGATACCGCAGGTATTCTCAAAGCAGCGCGCAGTCAGAGTCGAGTCTAGGAACAACGCCTCGACATCGGGATTAAAGGAGCGCGCTTCCAGTGAAGCGTCATGCGGTGTCCAGAAAGTGGGAATAACCACGATATCTGCACCGTCCGCAATCAGTTCGCGGAATGCCTCGGGGAAGGCGAGATCCCAACAGATCAGCATGCCCACGCGGCCAATCGGCGTGTCAATGGCGACATGGCGATCCAGCCCGGACGAGGCCAGAGTCGAGCGTTCAGGGTGCCAGATGTTCTTCTTGCGGTAAAAGCCGAGAATAGACCCGTCGTTGGAAATGAAGTACGCCGTATTCCAGAACAGCTCGGACCCATCGGGCCCCTGCTCCTTCTCGATAATGGTTCCCGGTACAAGACAGATCTTCAACTCCTTGGCCAGTGCCTGGTAACGGGCGAGGAATTTGGCGGATTCGCCCGCCTGGACTGCCCAGCGAGGGTCGGAAGGCACGAAAGCACTGAGGTGGTATTCAGGGAGAACGGCTAGTTCTGCGCCTTCAGCGGCAGCTTCGCGGATGTACTTGCATGCAGCTGCATAGTTCTCTTCAATGGCCACTTCCTGTACGATGATTAACGTCATTGGCGTCATAGATAACGAGTTGGCGGTCGGGGGCGTACCTTGATATGCCACTGAATAACGGCGACGCGACGAGTAGGTGCCATATTGAATCAATGTACAGGTGCAATGGTCAAAAGAAACTGAACAATAAGTGTAGAATATGAGTAACATTAATTATATACGAAGTCGCGCTGATAGTCGAGTTGACTCCAACTCGTTGGAGACGGTGGGGCGCGGTGAAATGCACGAATTACAGCGCCGAGAAAGACTCCCCCGCGCCGAGTTCTATCATTACTTGGGGTCTAACTATATACGAACACAGGATTAAAGCTATACACATTAGGTCAGGTATACCATGCAGAAAGAACAACCATACAAACGTGGAAACATCTCGTTTATGCCAATGCCACCGCATCCAGGATGAAGGTAGGCTTCTTGCTGACCCGATAGACCAACCGGTCGGTGAAGAAGTGTGCGAATACGGCGTGGATCGTTGGAACGGCGCCGAACAGGGTACCTGCGATCGGGAAGGCGATACGGTCAAGCAGGTATTGGGGCTTGTACCAGATACGCTGGGAGCAGCCCGTGTCGGGCAAATTGGCTTCCCGCATATCGCGCATGCGAGCGTTGAGGCAGAGTGTGTGCCACCGCTCATACAAAGCAAGACAGATATTCATTCCAACAAATGACATCCCTCGCACTATATCGGTGACGGAGAATGCCCATGCGAGGGTGGGGTGCATCTGTGCGGCGGGTGTCAAGAGGGTGTATATAACCGAGAACAGCATGATGATGGTCAGATGACATGGCAGGAAATGGGCCTCATACAGAAGCTCCAACAGAGCAAAGTGTCGAGGGCGCAGGAACAAGCATCGCTTGTGAAAGCGGAGATATCCCAGTGAGCGCCGCGCCGCGAAGCCCGAGTCCAGAGCTCCCCACATGTGTCGGAGAGCCTGGCGATACCGCGCAAACAAGGTGTCCATTGAACGTCTCCAGCCATGGCCACGGTCACTCGACACATTGCACTGGCTTGCGGGAACGTACACCACACGGGAGATCACGTTGCCCGCGGTCTCGAAGTAACACTTCAGCAGCATGTGCATGTCTTCTCCAATGGCGGTCGGGTCGCTGTCCCACCCACCGACCTTCTCGGCCAGGGATAGCGGAAGCGAATATACGGAGGTTGGTATGGAGATCATCGTTCCAGGATACATGGTCGACAATCCGGCAAAGCCCCAGAGCAGATCTGCACATCGCACCAAAACGGGGCTCTCGTGGGAGTTGCGATCGAAGATAATCGGGCAGCAATAGAGGGATCGGTCTGCCTCGCTGAGGTGGGCATAATGCAGTCGACGAATCTCGGTGAAATAGTCGCGCGAGAGATGAGTGTCGGCTGTGTACTGTTAGGGTCTATCATCTTCGGAGACCTCGAGGCACTTACCATCCATGACGGTGACCACGACATTACAAGAGTCCTCATTCAATTCATCGCGATGAATTTCCACGATGCGCCGCGCCGCAAAAGCCACATTCGAGCTCTTTCCAGCAATTTCACCCTTGATACCCGACGGGTGGAAGGTGCTGCAGATATGGAGGAAGGACTTTTCGAACTTGGACAGCAGGTGGCCAGCTTTGTCGGAGGAGGTATCTTCCTTTTGTTCCATTGCCAGGTATATCTCATACTGCAACTTGGCCCGTGGGTGACTTGCCAGGACTTTGAGCGTGGTTTCGAGCGTGTGGAGGTCTTCGCAATAGTTGGGCAGGATGATAGCATGGACTAGCTCCTCCTCAACAACTTCGCTGACGGTAACGTCCGTCTTGAGGTTCTTCGAGATCAGAGAGTCCACCGATGACATGGAGATTGGCGAAACCGGTTGCTGAATATAGTCTTCGTCCTCGGACTGGGGCGAAGGAAGGGGAGTATACCAGATGCGTCTCTCCAGAGCCGTTTTGGCCTTTCCGGTGGCTCGGAAGATGGACCAGCCCAGACGAAGGGTAAAACCGAGCATATGTATATGAATGAGGACCGCATATACGACAAAAATGCTCTGTGCTATGTTCATGCCACCCCAAAAGCCCCCCTGCGCGGGGTTCTTGGACGGAGGGAAGTAGCTCTTCCATAGTTCGGATTTGAGGATATCGGAGAAGGCGCAGACCAGCAACAGCACCAGGCCAATAATGCTGAAGCCCGGCAGGCAGCGAGTTACCCAGCCTAACATCTTGACGGAGGCCACGAAAAGAAACCAAAAAGCTGTCGAAAAAGAAGAAGGGAAACAGGCCGAGTGAAAAGGGGCCCCTCGAGGGGGGTTTACCCCAAAGCCGTCGATTGATCTACATGGAAAAGTGTACCTGAGGAGTATACGAGCTGAGCGAGGGAGCGAATCAAACGCCACGGTGCAGGCAAATGGGCATCAGCAACGACGAGGCACTTTGATACTGCGCAAGTGGAGCCCCATCCAAAAGCTTGGCGGATATCGTGTGTTTCACGGCGTGCGATTGGAGGCACGGTGCACGGCCTCCCCACCGGCATCCGCGATGCACCCAATCACCGCAACTATATACAAGGCGTGGGAGACCCTGAGGACGTCCGGTCTTGGTTCACGAATATCTTCCTTCAAAGTTGAGTCCCAAGCGCTGCAAATCCGCAAGGCGATCATGAGATCGAGTACTCGACCAGTCCCAGTCATCGCCCACCAACCCATAGCTTTCCCACTCGCCCGTCGCCTTGCGTGGATTCAACGCCCAATAGCCCCAACTTACATCGACTTGGCTCAAAAATTGCACCAGATGACGCCAATAGTTGCGGTCGCCGTCCGTCTGGTCATCAGGTGTGCCGAATTCACCCACCCACACGGGAGCCGTGTCCTCGGCGACCAGATAAGCCCAGTTCTTCCACATCTCCGCTGCAAAGTCTTCATATGACCGTCCACCAAAGGGGCGTAGACTGCCCCAGCCGGACCATTTATAAACATGTGCCGAGTAAACCACCCTATCCGGAACGCTGAGTTGCACGTGCCGTTCGCGCACCCCCGATAAGTCGTTGGCTGATGATATCCCCTCCACGATCATGAGCCAGTTCGGATTCATCGCCAGCAATCGCTCCGATGCCTTTTCCGCAGCACTTGCCCACTCTTCCCAGTGCATCGTTCCCCAGAGCCCGCGTACTTCATTTCGCAGGTCCGCTCCCAGCACAAGAGGGTTCCCCACCAGCGGCCGCATCACCTTTTCCCAGTTGCGCATCCAATCTTCTTCGGTTTGTGAGACGCGACACAATAGTTGACCTCCGAACCAATCGTTCGACCAACTTGCATCGCAAGGGTTCATCCCGCAGCACCATGTTGCCTGCGTGATGTGATTGTTGACGATGACCAGTAACCCGGCCGTCGTCAGGCTCTCCACGACGGCGTGAAATACATCCAACGCCCGAAGCGGCGACCCCTGGGGCGCGCCGCGTAACAGATCCTGATTTGCCGCGATTACCCCGGTCCCTATTACCGCGTTGTCGCTCACGATCTCGTCGGCGTAGGGTAACCGCACGCTGTTGAACCCCAAATCAAGGATCAACTGTGCGATCTCGTCACGATGCCGCACGTCCAGTCCACCCGGTACAAAGTCACTTTCACTTGCGCCATACCAGTTGATACTAGCCAGTTTGATGGGTCTTCCTAGCGCATCCAGGATGTGTCGGCCTCTGGTGCGGAAGGGCGGAGTAAAATTGGTGCTGGCCTGTACTGGGTGAGTGCTGATGGGGATACTCGGGACGATAAAGGATTCATCCTGCCGGACCTTCCACGATGAAGTTTGAAGGAGTAGCAGTGTGGTCGTGACCAGCACGATGGACGCCGCCCGGTGTCTGCGGATCCAGTGGATTATTGACGGCATGCTGTAGAGCGTCCCACCCACTCGTAGACCCGGCAAGGGAAGCAAGCCCTGTTCAGTAATCTTTGGGAATTAATGAATTTGATCCCGGGAAGGAAAACAAATGGATTGTTTGATAGAAAATTCAGTGCCTGTGATGATGGCCACATCCGGCCGAGCCGCGCTTAGTAGTCTGTGGTAGTCCATCGGCCAATAACAAGGTGCACTGGATGCATTGGCATAGCCGTAGCCTAAACGCTGTCGTTGATGAGGTGTCAATATCTCTGCGGGAGTAAGAGGATCGAAAACAGCCAGATTATCTAAATATTTGATAGTTCCTGAAAGACAAGGACCTGTCAAAAGATATTCGAGCTCTATAGGGCTGAGGTATATGAACTTGCGACGAGTTTTGTGTTTTCCTTATGGACCCAGTTCTACCACTCCATATTTCACCCCTTCAGAGCAACTTAGAAATTGGACGGAAACTTCTAAATTTCTACTACGGAAATGTGAATGGTGATATGGGTATTGTGAGAGCATGTTTCGATCGCCTTCCGCCATTCGTCACGCCAGTAATTCTGCTGGAAATATCCCTGAATGACATACATCATCTGCTTTTCCATACAGACGGCTTCTTTTTTTGTCGACCAAGTTCAAGAGCTTCAGGCAAATTGTTGGAATGGTGAAAGTCGAGTCTCGCATAGTTTTCTCCAGGATATAGTATCTACTTTGAATATAACGCTGATGCTTAGGTCTTCAAAAATAAACAGTCATCCCCACTAGCAGATAAATCCTATCGTTTATTATGAAAAATGATTGGTGACAGTAAGCCTCCCGCCTCGCGAAGTGAGATAGTCTTGATTAGAAGCATGCCTAGGCCGCATCTTCGTTTGCTCCAGAATTCAAGTTCAACCTCTGTCGGAGACTGGAATTCTCTTCTCGAAGGTTTTCTATCGTATGCTCGTACTGTTCCATCGTATCTTGACTGGCGGAGCTTAACTCCTCGATGATCTGGAACACGCGCCAGAGACGCAAAACAATGACGAGAGAGCCCACTTCCTCTTCTATGCCCTGAAGTGAGACTGAGATGACGAAGGCGACAACGATCACCAGCGCATCAAAGATGTGGAACCAGTCCGCGAAATAGCTAGTTCATATTGTCAGCTGAGCCAGAGTGGACAGGGGTTCCAGGAAAAGGTCGAGATAGACGGATCGAAAATTGAAATCGAGGACAAAAGCTGTCGGAGAAGACTTACCCCATTCCAAAAGCGAGAATTGACACAGTCAACTCCAACATGAAAAGACATGAAATCACAAGACCGGCAATGCCTAGGGCCTCCTCAGTGATTCCCCATTCTCGGTCCACGCCATAACCATTCTGTTTCAACTCGCAGACGTGCAGCTTGATAAGAAATTCCGAAAAGCTACAGCAAACGTCGACCGTAACCAGCATGAGCACAAGGTAGTGACCCCATCGAGAAGTTAAAAAGTTGACTGTTGATCTTCTCCACCTAACGATGAGAGACTCGTCCACGGAGTCAGAAAAGAGTCGGGGGAGGAATACTCTGGTATTACGCTGCGGGAGTAATGGTTGCAGAGCAGAGGCCATAGTGGGTTTCAAGACAGTATTGCTTCTCGTTAGGCGACGTGTGGTAAGATGTTGTGCTACCCCTGCGCGCCCTGACGAAGCGGGGGGCTTGAGGATATCGTCGAAACTCAACGGTCACGTGAAATGGGTCTGTGAACTATAAGAAAAACAGATTTGATTACCAGCAGAGACTAAGGGGTACGTCAAAGATAAAAAGAGTAGAGAAGGAATGGATCAATTCATGGTGGGCATAAACCACACCACGGTCTAGGTGTACATTGGCACCAGTTCTAGTTACATTGAAATATACAAAAACAAACTCCCAGAATAAAGTATCATCAAACGTCTATTCCAAAGGCCAAGTTTTCATTTACTGCACTCGTTCAGTGACGCTGGGCAGCAGGAGTTGCCGAGGGGATCGAGGAGGACCAAGCCGCAGCCTCAGCAGACTGGATAGCCTGGAGGTCAGGTGTCAACTTGCTGTACAGCGATGACTGGGCGGCTCCAGTCGCGGAAAGGTAGCTGGAGTAGTCTGCCAGATACTGTGATTCGGCTGACTGTACAGCCGGAGCAGAATAGACCATGGGGCCCGACGAGGAGGGGGTTGGAATGACGGAGACGGTAGATGTAGAACCCGAGCGAGCGACGTGGTTCTGGGCGGGCACGGCGAAGGCAGAGCCCAGAAGAGTCATGGCGGCGAGAGCAGTGAATTGCATTGTGATAAGTTGATCAGGTTATTCCTTTCTATAGTTCAGAAGCGAGTGCAGACAAATGAATGTAGAGGCCGCTTTGTGTCGGAGTTCGTTAGGCACTTGAGAGAAATTGAGATCTGTGATGATGATGAGCACCAGCTGATGAAAATTGGCAGCATCTTTATAGATATCGCGGGTCCAGGATGACGCGTAATAGAAGGGATTGGACAGTGGAGCTATGATCTCAGAATTGCAGCCTGGTCGACTGAAATAGAAAACAATCTATTCGATGGTGGATCACTAAGCTGTCGGGCGGTGCACGTGTGGGGCGATGGCGTTGTCACGGCCTTCTATAGAGTAGGTATCGGCATCAATCGGCATCAATCGGCATCCGCGGTGGCGCATTCCCTCGCCGTGTCCGACTCCCGTCAGGCTCGATATGCCGCCATCACGGACAATTTTCGAATCAAGTTCGAGAACTTCGAGGTGGTCCCTGATTTCCCGGCTCTCTGTGGGGCTTCTGTTGTGGTAAAAAGCCTATCATAGCAAACAGTCAGACTTCTAGACAGGGCACAGCCTGCGTCACAAGTCTAGACCCGTTCCTTGACACCAAATATTGGCTATACGGCTTATTCATTCATTCACGACAAGTCATTTCCACAGTACTTAGGTGAGACACCTAGGTAGGCCTCTTCGAGATAGTCCAGCCAAAATCAGAGGTATAGGAAGACCTTCATGTGGTCGGGCTGTAGAGAGCCTTGGGATTCCAAGAAATTAGTCACGTAAGGCCATCTTCAGAATGGCTTATTCTTGATAATGCGCTCTCAACACAATCATTCCCGAGAAGATCTGCTTAGGCAAGGGACATGCATGAGACGGGATCTATCCTAAGAGATCCCATCAAAGACATTTATTTCGGCGCGGGTCCATGATCACTGGGCCGGAGTCAGTGATGAGATTTACTCACTGAGCCTGAGCCTGAGCCTGAGCGCCTTCGCAAAAGCGGCGGCAGCTAGAATAGGAAAGCCTCCTCTGGCAGGGAAACCCCGGTAGGTAGAGGTGCATGTATCCATTAATATAGAACATGCTAGATCAATCGTCAGACGTATGAATACACCAACGAAAACGGTTTACTGATTGGATGATCGATGGGCACGCGTGTCAACGGCTCACCAGCAAAAGAGATGTGTTTTCCTACTACTGTACGTGATCACCGGCATGACGTTGGTCTGAGAAACGGTCAAGGTCCTTTGTACATATCCAAACACCCAAGACTCCCGTTCGGGGAATTCTGGACGAGCTTTCACAGGGTTATGCAGCACGAGTCGGTGAAGACAGTTAATATTGGCTTATCGCCGAGATCCCTGTCGATAGAGCTGCACTGATAAAGCTCGCGAGATACTCGGCATGCGGCAGTCAATGAATCATATAAGACACTGGAATGTGGGTATCTCAGAGAAACCAGCTATTAGCGAAGTTCTCGTGGTAAAGTTGGATGGAGAATTCGAGCTTCGGCATGGAAGCACGGCCGGGGGCTAATCCCGGCACACGGTAGGCGCCGTTGGAACGGGGTATTAAAAGGAAGGACTGAGGACGGGCCACGACGGGGAATGAAAAGTGGGCCGAGGGCTTTCTCCCCTGACGAAGCCCACTTTCCCTTTCAAGGTGCGCACTTTGAGTGTGTCCAATCCAGGCAGATGCAGGAGACAGATTCAGCCCGGGCTGCATGAAGACGTAGTTGGATGCAGGCAGGATCGTACTCGGTACGGCGTACGGCGATTTGAGTGGAGGGGCGTTTCAGAGTCTCGACTCAACGAGACCACGCCAAAAGCTTGGCTTTCAGCCCGGTGGATATCGCTCCCTTTCCTCACGGCAGATATATAAGTGGAAGCAGCTTGGTCTCTTCCCGTACGCGGTAAAAATCAAAATATGAAATCCACGACATCAAATCCAATCTCATTTTCCTGTCCGAGTTCGGGTATCGCCATGGTAGAAAACGGCGGAAAACGCAAAGGCGCGATCGACAGTGCACGTTTTTGGCAGTTTTTACCGTAATTTACCATCCGTGACAATCTCCGTTTGCGCCTTTTTTCTGCTCCTTTCGTTTCCAGTGTATTTTTGCTTTTTCCATTTCCTTGTTTAGAGCTTCTTCACTCATCTACGCCATGTCCTCGATCCCCTATATTTACTGTGGCCCGATGCCACGCGGTTAACCGCGGTGCTGCCCGTGCTCCTGCACGAGTCCCGGCGATCTGCCATTACACATGTATGTCGCCCCGATGTCGCCCCGATCTGGTGTGGCCGAGTGCAGCTAAATGACACGGCACCACAGGACCGAAAAGTTTCCCCTCCCTCAAACAGTTCCTTTCAGGCACTTCACCTTCGCGGACGGTGGTCTCCGCTTGGGAACGGCGACGCCGTGTGCCTTCGCATACCATGTACTCAACTTTCATCCGTCGCTGCTCAGCTTTCTTCCACCGAGCGAACAGGATCAAGCAGCGCATCCCGCTGCTCAACCAGCTGCACCTTAACTTCATCTTTATCCACTATACCTACATCATCTCCTTTGCGTTCATCGGCTCCATCATCCTTTACCCCGGTAGCGAAATCGCTTATATCGATGCCCTCTTCCTGTCCGCCGGCGCCGCTACCCAGAGCGGGCTGAACACAGTCGACCTGAACAAGCTACGCCTCTACCAACAAATCGTGCTCTACTTTATTGCAATTCTCTGCACTCCGATCTTCATCCACGGTGGGCTGGTTTTCATTCGCCTGTATTGGTTCGAAAAGCGGTTCCAGCACGTGGTCCGAGATGCACGCGCCTTACGTTCCACTCGCTCTCGCATGGACACCGCCAGCCGAGGCAAAGAAAGCGACGAAATCAATCGCGCGGAGCTGGGAGTCAGCGGTCGCCCTATCGTCGTGCTCCGGGACAATGCCGGTGATGCGCGGGGGGGTCGAACGCTCGATCCCGCGGGCAAGTCGGCCGACGAGGTGCAGTCCGAGTCCGAAAGCCCCGGCAACGAGGGGAGCGGTCAGTCCAGCCTCGAGGACCTCCAGAACGAACGAATGGAACGCCGGTTCGGGTTGGGCAGCTTGAGGGTGCCGACGCAGCTGAATCCGGAACAACACATCGCTTTTTTGGAAAACCAGCGGAAGAATAAAGGCGCTCTACGCATCCCCAGTCCTCGCGAATACGACCGCGGTGGAGTTCCCGAAACGTTGGACGATGGCGAGGACGAGACGAACGAACCGGTTCAGCCCTCGAGTCCCCGGTCCGATCGTCGGCTGAGCTCTACGTACTCGGACGAAAACGATCACGTCGCTCCCATGGAAGGGCCGCACATCACCATCAACGAACCCGATATGCCACGCACGCGCACTCGTGGGAGTACATTCCCCCGCTTGGATACGAGGCCGACTGTGCGAGAAACCAAGGAGGTGAATGAGGCTACCGGAGGGATGGGTAATGTGACCACGCGGAACACGGTCCGAGGTATCTGGCGATCGTTGACGCAGGAGCGAGACCAGTCAACCCAGCCGTATCTCAGCTGGAATGCGACAGTGGCCCGAAATTCCAACTTCATCGACCTGACCGAGGAGCAGCGTGATGAGCTAGGCGGTATTGAATACCGCGCGCTCAAGACCCTGGCCGTCGTGCTGATTACTTACTATCTTGGGTTCCACATCTTTGGCATGGTCTCCCTGATCGGTTGGATTATGACTGAAAATTCATGGGGCAATGTGGTAAGGCAAGATGGAATTGGACGACCATGGTGGGGTATCTTCACCGCGGCCTCTGCCTTTAACGATTTAGGCTTTACCTTGACGCCGGACTCGATGTACTCCTTCCAGAAGGCCGTCTTCCCTTTACTGCTCATGACCTTTTTGATCATCATCGGCAACACGGCATTCCCATGTATGCTTCGGCTGGTTATTTGGGTTCTCTCGAAATTCTCTCGACCGGGAACGGCTCTTTGGGAAGAGCTCAAGTTCCTTCTTGATCATCCTCGTCGTTGCTTTACCCTTTTATTCCCTCGGAATGCCACCTGGTGGTTGTTTGCCATTCTTGCTGCACTGAACGGCATCGATGTTATCTTCTTCATTATTCTGGACGTGAGTTTATTTGAACATGCCTTGATTCGTATTTGTACTAACTACTGGTCTGCAGCTGAGCGATTCTACGGTGACTGCACTTCCACCAGGTATCCGGGTCCTTGACGGCTTTTTCCAAGCCGCATCTACCCGTACTGCTGGTTTCGGGATTGTGAGTCTGTCGGACCTGCACCCTGCTATTCAAGTCTCGTACTTGATCATGATGTACATTTCCGTTTTCCCCATTGCCATCTCCATGCGGCGCACAAACGTGTACGAAGAAAAGAGTCTGGGTATCTACAGCCCCGGCGACGAAGAGGGTGACGACGAGGATGATCAGACAGCACCCAGCTACATCGGAGCTCACTTGCGGCGCCAGCTGAGTTTTGACCTGTGGTACGTGTTCTTGGGGCTGTTCATCATCGCCATCGCAGAGGGGCCTCGTTTGGAGGCCGACAACTATAACTTCCAGCTCTTCACCATCCTGTTTGAGGTTGTGTCTGCCTACGGTACCGTCGGTCTGTCATTTGGCTACCCCGGTGTCGACACGTCTTTCTCCGGTCAGTTCAACGTGGTGTCCAAGCTGGTGATTATCGCGATGCAAATCCGTGGTCGCCACCGTGGTCTACCATACTCGCTGGACCGTGCTGTCCTCTTACCTTCTGACGCGCTCAACAAGCGCGAGGCTGCTGAATCCGACCGCCGCATGCGCCGACGCGCTTCAAATCTCAGCGGCGGCGAATCCATGGGTCGCCCGCAGTCGCGGTCCCTCTCACAGGCACGGGATCGGGATGCTGGCATGTCTACGGGCACAGCGGGCTACGACTGGCAACCCCAGCAGCCTGCGGCGAATGGCGACATCGTTCACCGATCATCGACCATGCGCTCTGCTCGATAGTGACTGTGGGTATTACATATTTTGCACATATTTTGTATCTATACAGAGGGTCGGCGTTGTTTGGGCATATACGTCATTGCGAATGGCTTGTTATTGTTGCATATATTGGATATATTGATGATCTACAAATGGATTCTGCATACATCATTCACTTCAGGCTATTTTGGGCATTTCTTTATGTGTAGGTAAGCCAGAGCCTTTTGGCTCTTCCCCGCGTGCGGAAATCCCGCATTCCTTTCCGATTGCGGATGCCCAAGGTGGTGTGGCGTGTCCAGCGGGGGATTGGGAAGCCGGCAGTAAGATTGTAGACAAGAAAAGGATAAGCTTAAAGGAAAAGCTTGGGGAAATTTTAAAATGAACCAACTATGATTGTCACACTAGGTTAATTTGAGTGGTCGTGTTTATGGTTTATACTCGCAAACGGGCCGCCCTGAAATGATCGGCGCTAATCCTCTCCGAGCGCACTTGTACATACCAGGGTCCGCCATGACGGCATCCATATCGAAAGACAATGCCATACTTAAGTCGCTAAGGTTTGCTGACTTGACTTATGACATATCCTTCACCTAGTCAACATTCAACTCTTCACAACTGCATTCATCACGCTCGTTGATTCAAATTCCCGGTATAAACACAACTATACATTCTAATCATGGATGGCAGAACGCTCCCTCCAGATTACCTCGACCGCTATAGCGGTGCCACTTCAAAATATCCACATTTGTGTCCCACAGATGTCCCCAAGACCCCTGAGACGCCGGTGGCCCCGGTGTCCGAGTCGCTCGAGCGGAATCCGGACACGCCATGGTACAACCCACGAGGCTGGTCATCACGAAAGAAACTCATATCTACCTGTGCCATAATAGTGGTCATCGTGGTTGTTATCGTCGGCGCTGTCGAAGGCGTCAAAGCGAACCGGTATCCAAACTACAGTCCCTTGAAATACCAATTAAAGGATACATACGCCGGGCCGTCATTCTTCGAACAATTCAACTATTTCACCGAACAAGACCCTACAAATGGCTTCGTCGTCTACGTGAACGAAAAAGCAGCCACGAAGCTCAATCTGACATATGCCACCGACACATCAGCCATCCTGCGGGTGGACTCGTCCACGCCCAATGCCATCGGAGGCCGTAAGTCGGTGCGCATCGAGTCGAAGAAGGCCTATGATATGGGACTCTTCATTTTCGACATCATACACACGCCTCATGGCTGTGGTACATGGCCAGCCCTGTGGATGACGGACGGAGCCATCTGGCCTGCGAACGGCGAGATCGATATCCTCGAGTCAACCAATGAAGGTTCTCACGGCAACGAGATCTCACTGCATACCACGCCCGGATGTAATATGAACGTCAAGCGCAAAGAGACTGGACACCCCCTCTACGACACCTGCGACAATAGCACCAATGGCAACGCGGGCTGCAGCGTCGTGGGAAACCCTGACACCTACGGCGCAGCATTGAACAAGATTGGCGGCGGCGTAAGTCATCATCCTCCCCCTTCCCTCTTTATTTGAAACATAAAACTGATGTACTGGCCAGATCTACGCCCTTGAAATCCGCAACGCTGGTATCCGCACCTGGTTCTTCCCTCGTGACTCCATCCCCGCGGATATCACCGAATCCACCGGCACACCGGATCCCTCAACCTGGGGCATCGCACTGGCCGACTTCCCCAGCACGGAATGCAATATCCCCTCGCACTTCCGGAACCAGAATATCATTGCCAATATCGACCTGTGCGGTGAACTCGCTGCGCAGCCGCAGTACTATGATCAGATGTATAATTGTCCTTCGACTTGCACGGATTATGTAGCGCAGAACCCGACTGCGTTTGCGGACGCGTTCTGGGAGTTTGGGAGCTTTAAGGTTTATCAAGCTGTTTCAGGGTAGTGCTTGCGGTGGTTTCTGGGGTTGCTGTACTATAATGCTATGCTGGATTTTGCTTGATAATGATACTTTGGGGGTTAATGGTTGGATGATAGGGGATGTACTTTATAACTATGATGCCCATCTGCGGGTCCAGAGATGAATCCAATATACGGTAGTATTGACTTGCAATGATGCTTGGTCAGTTTTCTTTCTACTCTTCGGGCGTGATACAGTTACGAAAGGAATGTCAGTATGTATGACTCGTACATTATCCACATTTGGGTATCTCTAACAGGAATCGTGCACACACAAGCACGCCGGGGTTTCCCGAGCGAGAGTATAGGGAAAGGACGTGCCAACTGGCGTACTTCATTAATTTGACAAATAGAGTCATGACGCGTGTTGTCGAATCTATGAGAAGCTTAAGCAGGACCGAGATCAAACACCGAGGGGCATGAAAAATTCGTGTAGTCGTAAAACACAGAAAGATGGTTACAGCTTCTGGAGAAGGCTGCCCTCTGCAAACGGGTTTTCGGGAGACATGTCTAGCAACGGCTGCGTGGCGTTGCGGTCACCTGTTGCCACGCCACGCCCTTTGAATGGCTTGCTCTGGCCGGCCACTCTGTTGGAGGAAGCCAGTAAGCTGTTCGGTTGAAAGGGGTTGGTCGGTACGGTGGGACTGCCCTCGGCAGAACTCATCTGTGAGGGTTTGTGTGGTTGCGATGCTTGGCGTATGCTGCGAGCGGTGTTGGAGCGGTAAGGGGTCTGTGAGGACACTTCGGCAGACGGTCGTCGCCATGTTGTTGCAGACGGGATAGCCACCGCACTAACGGCGAACTCAGGTCCAGTGGCAGCGTCGACAAGCTTTACGCCGGGCTCGACAGTCACACCACGACCTTTGCGCGTGTGCTGTGGCGGTTCTTGGAAAACCGGTGTTAGGTCAAGAAGAGGCTTCGGCTTCTGGCTGGCAGACAAGGACCGACGAAGACCATCCGGCGCGCGAGTCATGGTGTTTGAGCGGTGGTTCTGGTGATTCGACGAGTACTCGGGCGAGAAAGCAGGGCTTTCATTAAGGAGACCCTGTTCCGTGAAGGGTTGTTCCTTCGCTCGCTTCTCTCTCTCTTCTCTCTCATGCATTGCATTTTTTCGCTGTGTATAAGTTCTACCCAGCAACCCGCCAGGGGAAAAGGTGGTAGCCTCCATTTCTTCGGAGGGTCTTCCCGGGGCGGGGCCGTAGCCACCAACGGTGGTATCGATAGCCAAATCCTTAGGGAAGGACGATGGCGGTGGAGCATGTTCACGGCTGCTCTTCTTCTGAGCCCTGGAAGTCGATGGGCGTGGCCCCGAATCATCAGTGAGCCGGTTCGTCAGAGATCTCGCTGGAAGTGAGACATCAGGCTCGATCTTCTCGGTTACTCCCATCTTGTTCACCAGATACCAACTCCGCCACGCCTGGGTCACTTTGAGCCACCTGTCGGCCGTGGCGTGGTCATTGGTACTGAAGAAGTGCACAAATTTGTCGGTAGACAAAAACATGGAAGATTTCTGCTGGCTTTTGATGGCCACGCAGATCTTCTTGGGAGGTTTTATTTCCTTCGCAAGAGCTCGTGCGTTAGGTCTGTAAACGTCAAAGTCGGAAAGATGGCAGATGGCGATATGATCTTTGGCGGACTCCTTCTTTGCAATGGTGACCTGACCATTAGGACATAGTGTCACGTATCGCTTATTCCATTTCCCGGGACGCTGAGAGTAATAGAGGTAAACACTTGTCTCACCGGGCTTCTCGCTCGGAACAAGCTGAGCGTCCAGTTGGGCGAGAGCATCCATGCTCGAAGGAGGGATGACAATCAGCTGGTTGTCCCCATCATGTGCCCAGGAGTTCATGACATCCCGCACACGCTCGTAACGGCGCAGATTTCTCTCCAGGCCAACCTGGTGGAAGGATTCAATGACGATGAACTGTTCAGGGTCGATGTCTCGAGAGAGCTTTTTGGAGGCGGACAGAAGTAGATCCTGCACTTGAGTTGATGGCGTCACAGGCAGTTCAACTGAGGTATTGTGGTACTGCACGGTGACTCGGCGTTCTCCAGCATTCACAGCGGAAATCGGTGCATCTATTCCAGGGACGATACCTCCTCCGCCCACCCCAATATACCTGGGGGCGGACTCGTCAGAATTCATCGAATCTTTGTTCTTTGAGAGTCCCACTCTTTGGAAGAAAGACTTGCGGGTTTTGTCGTTGGGTGAGGCATGTGCGTTTGCTTGGCGACCCTCTAGATCGCGAGCCTCCGGTGTTGAGCGAGTAGCCTTCGTCTTGGCCCCATCTTTCTCAACCTGCACCTTCTCCGATTTAACCGACCGCAAGGGTTTCGAAAATGACGTCTCTTTCCCACCCGTGAGCTGTGCCATCGCATCCTGTCTATTTTTTTCCCCGCGCGTTCTCTTCTTGCGCGCTTGGATAATGCTTGGCGCCGGCCAAAGGAGGCACCACCTGGGCCTGTGCACGGGCATGATCTGGCATAGGCGGGGTTGGAGGAGCCGCCGCTGCGACCGTGCTGCTATTTGCGGAGGGGCGATTGCGGCGGTACCGAGACATGCTTCTGGCGATTGACGGGTTCTGATCGTTTGTCGTGCCCACGGCCGACTGGGTAGATTGAACAGGTAGTTCATGGCAGTCGGCACCCTTGGCCTCTCGAACGGACCGATATCGCGACATTTTCTGCGGCGCCGTGTCCGTAGCAGACACAGCGGGCTTCACCATGGTTGCGCAGACACACCGTGGGTTTGGAGTCGGAATTTCAGGTAAAGTTTGATTTTGATCGCAATGCGCTCAGTCCCATTCTGGGTTGTATGAGTTGTAAGTCTGGAGTCACGAGTCACGAGTTAACAAGGACTGGGAATCAAGTATCAGGGGGTGGTGAGCCGGTGAAAAAACCAGGAAATTGAAAGCGCCAAGGTGAGGCTGGAACAAAATGCGACAGGCCCATTAAACGCACGACAAGGTAAGAGGCGCGTGACAATCAGGAATTGGGCTGCATTTGGGCTGCGATGGTAGAGGGTATGTGATACATCAGACAGAACATACCTGGCAGAGTTTCATGAGATCATGGAAGTCAAAAAGTTGGAAAGTTGGAGTTGGAGCGGAGATGGAAGAAGGAAAGAAGGGGTTGAGTGGAGCCGGAAACGTCGTGCGACCTCCTCGTGTTTTACCCTGTGCGCTACGGTCGGCGACTATTGACAAGCGACTGAACTCTGAATGATGATCTGTCTATCTGAGTCGCACAGGGACACAAGGTACGAGACACAATGCCTTGGACCCTGGATCCACCCGGATCCGCGACATCGTGGATAGACCCGAGGTCCACCCGGTGGGGGATCGTCCTGAAGATTCTCCATGCTACTAGTACCTGCGGCTGAGAGCTGGGATGGACTGAATGGCCGAATCTCTCCATCTCCAGCCTTCTGTCTGTTTCTATGCACATTCACTCGCATGGTTTCGAGTCTACCTCCCTTCGAGACTCCTACTCCTAAATAGACGCACTAAGACAGATCGGAAATTGGTCGTTGCTGGCATGGGTGTGGACAAGCGGGACTCATTCCATTTGGTGTTTATTTTAATCTTGCATCCCAGGATGGCCGGGTGAAGCTAGTAATCTGCTCTATACCTCACTGCCCACCCTGGTCAGTTGATAACATATTAGACATCTACTTCCTGTATGCGCCCAGCTCTCTCCGCCTGTGGTGTCGTTAATATCAGAGTCAAAAGTAAGAGAGGACACAACTTACCACCAGGCAACAAAGTCCATGGTCCGCACGTCAATGCCCAGTTCCTTTAGCACCTTGGTGGACAGGTGCGTGTCATAGGGTCGCTGCACGCTGGCGTTGGGGTCGTTGCCCTGCTTGTTGGGAATCATGCCGGGCAGAGGTACTGAGAGCACCTGAGCCAGCTTCTCACAGATCTCATACTTGGTCATGCAATCCTCGGAGCTGAACTGCAGGATCTTCGGCATCTCCTTCAGACGCTTCTTCTCTTTCAGGTACTTGATGACGATGTCACGGCACACGCGAGCCACATCCTCGGTGTTGGTGGGGTATCGTAGCGCCCAGTCATCCATCTTAATACCGGCGTTTTCGTCCTGCGCCTTCATGACCGCGTCCACCAGGGTGTTGACCGCGCTCTCGGAGTTCTCCTTGGCGGTTCCGTACAGCACGGGGACTCTCAACACGACACCTAACCCGCTATCACGAGTGACTTCCAAAACCGCCACCTCACCGTCACGCTTCAGCTCGCCGTACAGGTTGGGCGGTGCGGTCTTTGCATCGGCCTCGTAGGGGGCGTCGCCCTCTTTACCCGGGAAGACGTAGTCGGTCGAGATGTAGACGAGGAACGCGCCGCGAGACTGGCATTCTTCGGCGAGAGTGCGAGTGGCGTCGACATTGAGCTTGCGCGCCTGATCCGGGTTCTTGTCGCATAGGTCTGGGGATCTGTTTGCCGCGCCTATACTCCCTGCGTCAGCTGGAAAGGCACGATCGGCGGTCATGGAGTAGTTTACAATGGATCACAATGTGGGGCCTGGCAGCATGAATGAGCTTCGTGTGCTTGAGAAGATCTCCTGGGATGGATATACTCACTTGACATCATCTAGGAGGGCCTTGATATCCTCCGACTTCTCCAGGTTCGCCTTGAGAATTGTTGGCGGGACTGCACGCGAGTATCCCTGTCCGACGACGAGAACCCCCGAGTGCTGGAAGGTATTAAAGACCTGGCGTCCGAGGAGGCCGGTAGCTCCAGTAACAAGTACTATGGAAGTCATATTCGGGCAATTGTGAAAGGGAAGATGTCCGCCGGTGAGAATTCGAACCCGTCCGTGGCTTTGCGGGGGGGTTCCATGACGTAACTGACTCGCCGTCAGGTTACGCGTGGCCCAAGTTTGTTTATGATTTGAGCTGCGAACTTGCGAGATCTATGCTTGCTATGTCTAATTTTGAAGTTCTTAGACTCTACTTGTTATTTCCAAGTGTACTTCACAGTAGCTGCTTTTCCTGGTGTTGCGGAAATTAGCCTAATTTAGAGTTGGAAGCTTACCCAACATCTTGGCCCAAGCCCAGTCCCTGCCGAGTGCCACCTGTCGCGTTTTAGTACTCTCGAACTTTAGCTCTGATTATGCCTAACGGATTGCGCTCGGTAGTGGCATTCCCATATGCTTTTTAATATGCATTCCATGCCGGAACCTAATGCTGGCCACACGACTTTGGAAGCCCACTTTACGAAGCACGCTTGGGCCGTTTGGCCGATAGAACTTGTACTGTAGATGGTGCTATTGCCGATTCAAATATGCTCTCCATGGACATCGAGAGAATTCAATTTAACTATACACCTATATTTGGCAATTGTACTCGATTTAAGACATGGTGAATCGATGACGAAGGATGAATTTGACGGCCAAAAGATCGGCCGGCAAATACAAAGGGCACGGGTTTTCCATTTTCGGAGCTCGAGACCGCTCATTCACATACCGAATTCGGCCATATATCAAATCAGGTAACTAATGAACATCGATAGCGAGTGACAACAGGATGGAAATGAATCCCGAGAGCACAAATTCCGGATTCCCGAGAAACGCCGAGTACATCTCACGGAGACAAATCCGATGGTGCAATCCATTCGGTGATCGGAGCGGGATCTCCACTCTTCAATTGACCGGGCATCCACTTCCAAATTTCCTTTTCCTCTCTACTCATCTCGACCGCCCTCGCGATGTCTGGTGCCAGGAACATCTCTGCTGCTTTGCGGCGGGCGCGAGTGCCTCGCCCTCGCATCGTCCTCCGACCCGCACTCCCCCAGACACCGCTGGCGACCGCCGCGCGCAGCTTCAGCGCCAGCTCTACCGTCCGAGCCGACAAGCAGATCAAGTACACTAGCGACGCATACCCCAACATCAAGCGCGATCCCAAGTTTGGGGAGCTTACCGCCGAGGATGTCGCACACTTCAAGGAGCTTCTGGGCTCCCAATCAGCCGTGGTCGACGGCGTGACCACCGATGCGACGGACGATCTCGAGCTCTTCAACAGCGACTGGATGCGCAAGTACCGTGGCCACACACGACTGGTGTTGAAGCCTGGAAGCACGGAGGAGGTCAGTAAGGTGCTGAAATACTGCAATGAACGGAAGTTGGCTGTGGTGCCGCAGGGTGGTAACACTGGTCTGGTCGGTGGCTCCGTGCCCGTCTTCGACGAGATCGTGATCAACACCTCGCGTATGAACAATATCCGCTCCTTCGACCAGGCTTCGGGCGTTCTGGTCGCGGACGCCGGTGTGATCCTCGAGGTCGCGGACCAGTACCTCGCCGAGCGCGATCACCTTTTCCCTCTGGACCTGGGTGCCAAGGGATCGTGCCACATCGGAGGCAACGTCTCTACCAATGCGGGTGGTTTGCGCCTGATGCGCTACGGTAGCTTGCACGGAAGCGTGCTGGGTCTCGAAGCGGTCCTGCCGGACGGGACCATCGTCGACGCTCTCTCCACCCTGCGGAAGAACAACACTGGCTACGACTTGAAGCAGCTGTTCATTGGCTCCGAAGGCACCATTGGTCTTATTACTGGGGTCTCCATCATCTGTCCCTCACGCCCCAAGGCCGTGAATGTTGCCTACTTTGGACTGGAGAGCTTCGAGCAGGTCCAGCAGGCTTACCTCCAGGCCAAGGGCCAACTGTCTGAGATCCTGTCTGCCTTTGAGCTGATGGATGGGCGCAGCCAGGCCTTGGTGCATGAGTCTGCTGGCATGAAGTACCCTCTCGAAGGTGAATACCCCTTCTACTGTCTGATTGAGACCAGTGGCTCCAACGCCGAGCACGACATGGCCAAGCTGGAGACATTCCTTGAGAACGTCATGGGCAAAGGCATCGTCGCTGACGGTGTATTGGCTCAGGATGAAACCCAGTTTCATGCTCTTTGGCGCTGGCGCGAAGGTATTACCGAGGCCCTGAGCCACCTGGGTGGCACTTACAAGTACGATGTGTCGATTCCCCTGTCCGATCTGTACCAGCTGGTGGAGGACTGCAAGGCACGTCTGACCGAGAAGGGATTCGTCGGTGATGATGACTCTTTCCCTGTTCGTGCTGTTGTTGGTTACGGCCATATGGGTGACTCCAATTTGCACCTGAACGTTGCCGTGCGTCAATACAACAAGGAGGTGGAGAAGGCTATCGAGCCTTGGGTGTATGAGTGGATCCAGAAGCGCCAGGGCAGTATTAGTGCTGAGCACGGACTGGGTATTGCCAAGCGGGAGTTTATCGGATATAGCCAGAACGAGACCATGGTGAAGTTGATGAAGCAGTTGAAGGCTCTCTACGATCCGGTGAGTACAGACACTGCTCTGTGTGTGAATGTTGCTAACCGAGGGACTGCAGAACGGTATTATGAACCCGTACAAGTACATCTAGACAGATTTAGAGCCATGAATACGGTCTACGTAGTGTATAAAATATCGAATACTTTCCCTAGCTGCCAATTATTCCTTCAATTATTTGACTAGTCGATGTTATACAATAGGAAGTCATGTGATGGTGGACCCTTGCATCCGCGCTAGCCCATATCGCGTTAGCGCATCCCCACTTGATGCCTCAGGCGACTTTCCGTTGCCATGCGAAACGCGCTTGTTTGGACAAGCGTGGTTCATATATGCTCCACCCCTTTCGATTCTGGGTGCCCAGCTGCCCGACATTTTCTTTCCTTGTTGCTGCCGCGAAGCTATAGCTTTGAGACAAAGCTCTTCCAAACCCACAGCTCACCCGGCTAGCCCCTGAATGAGCACCGTCGGCCCTGCTGCAGCCCTATTCGACCGGAGTCGCTAGTTCATTCCGATTGTTGCAAAACCATGGCGGAGGATATGGCGAGCCGTTACCAGGTGATGGAGGAGTTGGGAAGTGAGTGCCGGGATTCCCTCCAGGATTTCTTCATGGTGATGTACTGACCCATGATCTTTTGTTTCCCAGGTGGAAGCTTCGGCGTCGTTTACAAGGCAATTGATACAGCCACGGGAGAGATTGTTGCGGTGAAACATGTATGCATCTCCTTTCATCCTATACTCCTCGCATGCTCCCAATTGACTTATTCCCCCGTCCCAGATCGATCTCGAGTCCAGCGAAGACGATATTCAGGAAATCCAGCAGGAGATTTCCGTCCTGGCCACCTGCGCCAGCGCATATGTTACACAGTACAAAGCGAGCTTTCTGAAGGGTCACAAGCTCTGGATTGTCATGGAATTTTTGGGTGGAGGATCATGTCTGGATCTGGTACGTGGTCTACACCTGCTCGTTTGCAATTCTTGCGGGGCCTGTCGCTAACCGGCTACAGTTAAAACCAGGGGTCTTCAACGAAGCGCATGTGGCAATTGTCTGCCGAGAATTGCTACAGGGTCTTGAATATCTTCATGCTGAAGGCAAGATCCATCGAGACGTCAAAGCTGCAAATGTGTTGCTCTCCCATACCGGAAAGGTGAAGCTGGCCGACTTTGGCGTGGCCGCGCAGCTTGTCAATATCAAGTCGCAGCGCAATACCTTCGTGGGTACTCCGTTCTGGATGGCGCCCGAAGTTATCCAGCAGGCTGGATACGACTTCAAGGCGGATATTTGGTCTCTGGGTATCACTGCGATTGAAATGATCAACGGCGAGCCACCGCACGCTAGCACCCATCCGATGAAAGTGCTCTTCCTCATTCCCAAGCAGCCTGCCCCGCGACTGGAGGGCAACGAATACAGCAGCACATTCAAGGACTTTATTGCCCAATGTCTGACTAAGGACGCAGACCGTCGTCCCAGTGCGAAGGAACTGTTACGACACAAATTCATCCGCAACGCAGGGAAACCCGAGGCGCTGCAGGAACTCATTCATCGCAAGCAGGATTGGGATGCCGGCCGCGGAGTCAGCAAGGATGTCAAATACTACGCGGAGTCCCTGTTAGTTTCCCCAGACACTGATCGTTCCCAACTCCGGCTAACAACGGATTTCAGCAACACCATCACGAAGCCACCTTCCCCCGAAGAAGAAGATGATGACGATTGGGTATTCGACACTGTCAAGGCTCCATCTATGTGGGTGCCCAAGGGCACTGACTGGACCACCCTGGACGAGGACGAAAACGAGACCGACCCTGCTCAATTGATGGCAGATATGCACATTTCTCAGCCCCCGCTTCCTCCCAGGCACCAACCCAATTCTACCGTCCGACGAACCCCGGTTGCCGAGCGGTCACCTTCAACCCGTCGAGCCAACACCAAGCGACGATCCAGTGGTATCAAGCAGCCTCTGGGGCTAGACTTGAGCTATGGAAACAGCCCGTCTACTGTTAGGCAGTTCCGCCGCGTGTCGGACAAGGCTCCTAGCGAGACGCCCAAAGTTCCGCCTGGCTTTGATGAGAATTCTAGTCCGAAGGTTGCCTCTGGTGAGCCGACCAGCAAAGAGGCTCAGCTCGGACACCGTGCATACAGCCGGGCTGTTGGACTTTCCTGCCAGGAAGTCCTCTCTACTACTGGCGATGGAGAGAAGCGCGAGGCCATTTCTCGGCTGGCCGAGGCCTGGAGTGACCTGGAGATGGTTGATCCTGAAGGTCTCTACCACATCATTCGCATCATGAACGAGAAACTTCAGGCGTACGTCACAAACCCCGACAATTACGACAACGAAGGAATACTAATATCCCACAGCGACCCTCGCCTCAACACCATGATCCCCACATCCCCTCAACCCGACTCTCCTGGACGCCCGCGCCTCGTTCTGGCCCAGAACAACCCCCACCTCAAAAGCCACCGTCGCCGACAGTCGAGTGTGGCCGAACCCAACCCACCATCACCTCTTTCCAACATGCCTGGCCAAAATCCGGCTGGTATGGAACACACCAAACAACTCTCCGATGTGCTCTACCAGCGTTGGGCAGAGGGACTGCGCAACCGCTGGGGAATCTAAGCGGCCCTTCACAGCATATTCCTCCCGCGCATCTAACTCTCCATTGACTCTTCTTCCGTTCGTTGTATAGACCATTCTGGCGTTTTTACCTTTGTACAACCTCCCTTGCGTTCGTTCCAGGCTTATCACCAGCCTTGCATCCTTGGTGTCCGATCTTTCTTTTCGTTTCTTGTACCTGGTGGGATCAGTCCCGGAGTTCTGATCCGGAGTAATATTTCTGATGTTTATGTCTTTTTACTGGTCCAGGCGTGTGTCTCAGACCATTTTCCCTTCTCATAGATAGCTTTTTTCCCACTTGCTGTCATTTACGTCCGCTTTTGTCCTTTTCCCCTGCCTTGTGCATTGTCTTCTCAAGGGTGCTTTTTTTGTGCAATATGTGTCTTGATATGTGTAAAGTGTCTGCCCGAATGAAACATGATGAAGTGAGCGGACTTGGGGTTGTTTATTCCGAGTATTCTCGTCCAATCAGGCCTCTGCCATATGTATAGTCCTTGCACGTCAACCCCTCCGCACTGATGGTGATCTACCTTGGATACCTTGGAAAATGTATTGTCTGGTTTTGAGAGTTTCTATTACTCAAATGTGCCATGCTGGCTTTTTTTTGGCCTCAAAGCTCGTATTGACGTAGTCTGGCATCAAGTCCCTGAAATCGACAGCCAAGAGGTCCGGAGCTTGTTAGCTCCGCTAAGCATCTCCGATGCGTGCCAATTCTGCGGTCTGGCTGCAGCTATCCGCGCCGCTCTTGAGCCAGGGACCGTTCAGGAAGCTAGGGAACTTGGGGAGGAAGTCCATCAAGAAAGTGGCGTCGATGCTGGAGTCACTTCGTTTCACAAGCGTCTTCGGCATTCCAATTTAGGCTGTTCGATTGCAAGTAGCCACGCAGCAGCTTGGATAGTTCGGAAAACAAATATTCGTGTTTGGCCATGCAATGGGGCGGCGTCCATGATCCGTGGAGTTCATCCCAAGTGATAGGGACGTTGATCGCATGGATTCTGCTCATCCTGACTTTTAGCATTGACCTGGCCGCAAGATCGCCGTGTGCTGCGCGTTCATCTTCTTGTATGCCTGATACTGCATGCCCTAACAAAAAACTGCATTAAATAACGATGTCTAGCTTCAACTCGTCCAATTTCTTGCTTATTTACAACCTCCCCGTTTACATCCAGGAGATCGCCAACGCCTCGCCGATGGGAAATGGCAGTCGCAATCTCCCGCTGATACTCGCGAGCTGTAATCCCATCCCGTATACGCCCCTGAAATTCAACTCACTGACCATAAAACCCAGCCATCTGTACTCTCCTTAGCGGAAACATCTTCAAATACGCCAAGGGCTGCTTCCAGCTCTTCCTAGCGGCAGGATCCACCGTCCAGACTATTGGCGCAGGCATGCTGTACACTATGGGCCTCAACCCCTCCATCGGCCAGTACATCGGGTACCAGGTCCTGGTGGGCGTGGGCGTGGGACCGAGTTTCCAGATTCCCGTGATGGCATGCCAGATGCTGGTAGATCCGGTGGATATTCCCGTCGTGACGTCCATGGTGCTATGGACGCTATTCCATACCCTCCATTGGTTCTCAAATTTTATGACTAATAATAAATTGGACAGTCTTCCAACTCATCAGTGGTGCCCTCTCCGTCTCCGCTGCCCAGAGCATCTTCGACAACGAGCTTGTCGCCAGCCTGGACATCTACGTGCCCTCTGTCTCTTCCGCGTCTGACTTCGCCGCCGGCGTGACCGAGATCCGAGATTTATTCCCGACTTCTCAGCTACCAGGCATTTTACTCGCGTATTTGAAGGGAATTCAGGCGTCGTGGGCGTTGGGGATCGCGCTGGGCGGGACGGCGGTGCTAGTCAGCTGGGTTCCTATGAAGAGGTTGAGGAATACGCCTGTCATCGGTGCGGTGGGTTGATTGATGAGGAAGTTGGTGTGTCACTTGCTATTGTGGCTGAGACTGAGATGGGTTTGATATAATATTGGCTACATACAGGCGGCTTGTACTTGTAGCTATAGTAGCTGCCCTTATGCTACCTAGCGCAATGGCAGCCTAGTAGCTACAAACCTTTCGCGAATACGATATGGGGTTAATCATGGGTCAAAACAACTCTGATTATCCTGTCGTTTAATCAAATGCGGACAGTAGGGTCCCGCGTAGTCGTGGCAACCTTGATCACTAGCTCGCGCTTGAGGTAGCATTTTGCCGTCTTTTCAATCGTTTTGCGTCTTTTGCGATCTTTGATTTATTCCAGTGACAACCTCACCGCGAGATCGAATAGATCAAAGCTTGTAGAAGAAAAGACAGGAAGTATAAAATCCCAGTTATCTATTTAAGCCTATTCTTAATGTTAAGGTACTCAGATACGTTATAATTAAGCTGGTTCTGGCTTTTTTCCAACGCGCCGATGCCTCCAAACGATTTAATGACCTACATTCACCTAGTTAGTATCAGTTAGGGTTTGGTGAGTTTATTTCGCATATGTAGTACTGATAAACTGTCAGGGCCTGTCTTATCGCTGCTGCTCTCTCTCACTAGACTTGGCACTCACCCGCCCTGCGGGTCCAAAGTCAGGAACCTCCACCCGCACCTCCTCTTGACGGGTGGAGTGTCCGGAGGGTCACCCGCGGGTGAGTGCCAGGTCTACTCCCACTACCCTTTCTCTCTCATAAAGGGCAGGCCAGGGATATTCCTCTATCTCTCTCTCTTATATTATCTTTATCCATCTACTAGGGGTTACTACGCTGCAGTAGTAGCCTGCCTCCACGGAAGGGTAGTATTCTTCATAAATATTTGTGCTAAGAACAACCCTGCCGCATAAGGACCCTCAGGCAATGTATTTATTTCTTTTATGTATATACCACTACTCCCGACAACTCCTCGCAACGGCTGTTCGTTCCAACAACGAACTAGTCCTCTATCAAACTCTCCGTGTGTTCACACGGCAACATACACCATCAGTTTAACTGTAAAAACAAAATCATTCTTAGCAATCAAGTGCATATTGAAAAGTATCCCTCGCGACTCACACCAATTTCATCTTCAAGGCATGTCTTCCCGAATGATACAGAGTATTTAGCTTTTCATTCGTTTCCCGAATCTTCTCAGTTCCCTCGGCGTCGGCTTCCTTGTAGACTAAGTCTAACCACCTCCCAAGAAAAGCGGAATCATTTGCGAGAGATTCCATGAGAGTTTTCTGCACTCCGATACTTTTTGAGTCTTTAGACCATTCTGGATCGTTCATGAGCTGGGAGTACAGTTTTGCCTTCTGGTCACTGTCAAAATAGTCCCGAAATGCATCTGCTGTCTCAATACGAAACCATTGTTCTTGTTGAAGTAGATCCACACATTCATGAATGAAAGCCTTAGTCTGTTCTTCGGTATGACCAGAAGGGACAAGGCGGCCGATCTGCTTATCCGTTGCAAACTTTCGGAGGTCGCATAGAATCTCCGAATAACTCTAAAGATCTTGGGCATCAAGTTTGAGTTCACGAGCCAGTACATCGTTGGTGATTGCCTATAGACTCCCAACATACAGTCAACCAGGCAGTCCCAAATGTAAGGTGAATATTGAGAATGGGTGGGAGCTATACCTTCTTCTGTTTACCTTCGATTAGCCGCTCAATATCACTTTTTTCGAGAGGGCCAACTCCTCCCCTTTCGTAAGTTTCCAGGACCAGTTGCTCAGAAATGAATTCCCAGTCCATTTCGGCAGTGAGGGGCGAAGGCGGTAATTTTTCAAGGCCCGTCTTAACCTCCTCCCATGTGTCTACACTTAATCCTGGGTAACATTCTTGTAATTGCTTCAGTTCCCAGTACCGGTCAAGGATCTGTTTTTTTTCCTCATCTGTGACGGCCATGAGTTCCGGTGGTAGACAATTATATACCACCACCACCGTAACGATACTCAAGGCCACCCTATTGATCGAGTCTTCGGAGATTTTCTCCCCTCCCTCGGGTGTATAGGTGGCTTGAATCACCGTTTTGACCTGGTCCAACATTTTGGTCGCCCGATACTGTTGTGCGTCCTGCCGTTTCGCCAAGAGCTTGCGTTCGATATCTAGCCACTTGGCCCATTCGCCAGGTTGCCAAATATCCTCCTTGGGAATCAAACCTGGAGCCCTGATAGCATCTTCGCGCGTCTGGGCCGCTAAATCGGCCGCTTCCCATTGCGCGTCGTAGGTCCGTTGCATATTCCAACCCATTTTGTAGGAAGAAAAATGAAATTATGTAATAGTGATTGGAGAGTAGTGTATAGCAAAGATGGTCACAAAAATCTGAGTTGTTGTTCCGGGGCAAAGATGGTAAATACGTCTCTTTAAATAGTCGCAGCTTCACCGCTTTTGTTCTGTACTATCCTCTATATGATACTATTATCGTCGATCGTAGCTCACGTAGACTGTATTAATTACAGTCCTCTGAAGATCGACAGCGACAAAACTCTGATCAATGCATCGACCTCGGGAACTTGATGACGCGATTCCGCTAATTCCACGTCATTGCAAGGTAGATATCTGGAATAGTAGTGTGATGGTATGTCTGGCAAAGTTGATGTATCACATTGACAATTCTGTGATACCCTTTTGGGGACAGAGAAGTGGGATATCCCTGTTCACCTTGGACAGGTCTAAAACTGCAGGAAGCAGTGGGGTGTCTAGGAGGGGATGCAGTTACGATCGTGCTCATAGCTCGAGATGAATGCTACCCTAACCTCAATATACGTCATTGTGCACGTATTGCGTGAATGCTTGGCCCACTACCAAGACCTAACGGATTATCCGCAATCCCCGCGAACTCGGCGATTCCAGCTCCCTTGAGTCTATAAGCATTACAAACATGACGCGCGGGTTGGAGAGAGGATATCGTGATGCTGCTAAGATTTCTAAACAATGGAGTTGATAACGAGTCCTGGCGTAGGGAATTTGGCAAAGGTGGAGATCTTGATCTGTGATGCATTTTGCTGTTGTCTAGGTCCAACTTATTGATCATCTATTCCCTTTGGCAACTATCTTGGCAGTAGGTTCTAGGAAGAACAAATGTGGTTGATGATGAAGCTGATTATGCCTGGGCTTACAGGTAAGCCCTTTTTCAGGAGTCTTTAGCACGTACTGACCGAGGGGCTCTCATATCCTTGAACCCTTGAATTAGCAATACCGAGGGTCACCAAACTTATGAAAAATAGAAAAAGGACCTTTGTTTGTCATTGTACTATGAAGTATAAAGTCTACTATTCGGGACAGGGAGGTAAGAATATACAAAAAAATCAAATTAGTCCGGGCTGCCATAAGGCTGCGGACCTCTACAGGCACTTCATTACAGTACGCCGCTATATAGCCATAGAAATAGGATTACCTTGGCTCAACTCCAGCTAGCCTTGCAACCCTTAAAAAATGACTCAAGAAGTAACCCAGGAGGGTGGAAACTAAGATCAACCACGGAACAATAATAAAATATATACCGGGTAAAGTCTGTCAGTGGATTTGTTCACTCTTGTGCTCACTGAGCGTGAGTATTGGTCGATACATATCTTGATCGTGGTTCAACGTTTGAGAATCAGGGGATGCTCAGAGAGCAGCAGTTCAAACCGCTCAGAGGCGTGCTCAGTTCTACTCAGTGAGTAAAAAGCGGCAAGGTCTGAGCACTAAAATGGAACGGGAACGCCAAGGCGTGGCAGAGGAAATGCGATATTTCAGCAAGTATAGAGCGGAAGTGCAGAAATGCGCAACCGCACCCGACTTGAATGACCAATTCGATAGAGATAACTAGTGCTATCTATTCCCAAGGTTCCAAGGTTGAAAGTGACATTCCTTGATGACGAAGCATTGTGGTTAAAATAACTACTAGAAAGCTTGAAAGACATAGAATGATTGTTAATTGACATCGGCGTCAAGGTATATAGGGACTACTTTAACCCCCGTATGAACAATCCGTTATTTTGCCGCTCCATCAGAGTATCCAAACGTTCAAGAGGGCGACAAATTAAGATAAACCGATACCGGGTCTAGGCTCCGACATATTTCCTGTGCGCATTCTTGTTGGGAACTTGTATCCTGTAATCGGCATGCTGCTTCGCGTGGGAGTTTACAACGCCGATCACTCTACGAATCTGGGGCGCACGCAGTTCCCAGATTCTACAATAGTAAAATAGTATTCACCGAGGGTTGCCTGTTGACGGTATAATTGTAGTCCACGAAAGACATGTTCAAATGAAGCTCAGCAACGCTAAGTAGCCGGCTCCGCCTCGGCCCCTGAACACTCGTGGCAAGGATGCGCGGTCCAGGGACCCGCTGTGGGCTCAGGAGACGGGAGGACCACAGCAGACTTCCTGTCAGCTCGCTTTTTCTTTTCTCAACTGTACATATACTCCTACCTATACTCTCGTTCATTCATGCCCACATTTCCCACATAGTTCTCTCTCAGCTGGCTGGCCCACAATGGAGAGCTCCCCGGGAACGGGCGACGTCCATGGCTCTGTGCCGGATGCGTCCCACACGACATTCGAGTCTCGACCCCAACCGAAGCCTGCCTCCGAGCAAACCACTCCCTCTCGATCCTCATCGCTGTTGCAGAAAGGGTCATCGCTACCACCCCGTGCCCATTCCGGGGCCCGACATACGAAACGGTTGACCTTGAACTTCCCCATCAACATCCCGCTGGAGCAACCGCCGTCCGCCACTGACCCCAGTGTCGCCTCCCCCGGATCCATGACCCCCATCACACAATCGTCGACTCGTCCGTCCTCCGCACTCCCGGCTGATGCTCCTGTTCCTCTTGATGTCGATGGCGATGGCATCGACTTCCTTCGGGCTATCGCCTCGCAAGAGCGGAGGGTGATGGAGCTCCGGGAGGAGCTGACCCGGGCCGAGACGGACCTGTCCACCCTCAAGAAACAATGGGCGCAGTCTGAGAAATCGAGGAAACGCACCGAGATCAGTCTTCATGCTGAGCCGATGCTGCCACTGCGGTCTCCCGATCTTAGCGGGGCGGAGGGGTCCAGTTCGCATCGTCGGGAACAAAGCATGAGCTCGGTCGGAAGCTCTTCAGTATCACAGGAACGTATCAGCCGGGAAATGGATCGGCGAAGTATCGTCCGTCCTACGCCACCTAAAGGTACAACCATTTCTGCCAACGGGCGGCGTGTCTTCCAGGGCTCCCATACGCGCACTCTGTCTCTTCTGTCACCAGTAACAGCTCCAAGCCCATCTATCGGCGGGCCAAGCCCGTCGGATGCCGAACGCGTGGGCCGCTCCCCGCGGTCGGCTACGCTGCCATCCGTTGAGCGTAACAATGTTGCCAACATTGGGATGCCGATGGATGAAAGCCAGGTGCCGGAGCATTTGCTTTCGCAGTGGCGGAAGACCATGCCGCCTCCATCTCGTGAGGCCCTCATGCGTACTGGAAAACAGATGGCTTCTGATTTGCGCGAGGGTCTCTGGACATTCTTCGAGGACATCCGACAGGCAACGGTGGGCGAAGAGGGCATCAACGCAACCGAATCCAGGACCATGTCGCAATCCAACTCGTTAACCCCGTCGACCTCACGCAAACGTGATTCTTTGGCCAAATCACAAAGTCGAGATCGGTTATCAGCCACAGGAAGCGGCTCACGATCAGCATCGTCATCATCGCGGGGGAGGAGGCCGGCGGCCGAAACATCATCTGGTAAAGACACCAAGCCGGTGGACATTTCCTCGTCTTTCTGGCATGAATTCGGCGTTGATTCACCAGCGCAGACGTCGACAGGCGCTCGTCGCAGTCCCTCCGACACCATCGACGCGACGACCCCACGAGGCGCGAACGAACCCGAGCAGCAAAATCACCGCTCCAGCAGTCCAGTCGCAGCGGAGGATGATACGGCCGACAACTGGGATATGTGGGATACGCCGCTCCCAGCATCGAAGATGACACACACGCCCTCCTCCAGCCGGTCGACAGTCGAGTCGAAGCACGATCAGTCCCCAGATACGCAGGGCAGCAGTCCACGAACGAGTGCCAGGTACATTGCGACTTTTCCTGATTTTATTTATGACAACCTCGTTATGCGCTGACGCCCTATTCCCAGCTTTGGCGAATGGAACCCCAGTTCCGCCGCACCCGATCCCAGCGTGACCGAAGGTATTCCCTGGCCTACCATCACCCAGCTGGCCCCGTCCAAGCTACAGCGCACCGCCTCCAATCTCATGGCCGAGTGGGAGCGAAGTCTCTCACCTTCACCGGAACGAAAGGACTCGTCGTCCTCGTCCAGCCGAAGCAAGAGCAGCAAGAAGGATTGATGGTCCTTTTATATCTTTTTCTTTCTTTTCTCTATGTATATATTAGACCCTTTTCCTTCTTCGGCCCAATATAGGGTCTCCGTTGGGCGAATTGGCACGAACGCACCACGGATTCATACAGGGTTACGACTGTTCAACCCACGAGAGCGTTGTTTCTTTCTCTTGCGAATACTAGGAGCGACTGGCTTCATTGCTTTTCTAGCTGGCCAACTACGATGGAATATTTGAAGACTATTAACGACTGCCAGAACGACAAAATAGAAACCTGGATTTATCAATGAAAAATAGCCGAACTATTTCATGCTAGCGTTAATGTACTTGTTGAGGACGATGATTTCCCGGGTGTTTGATATCACGTGCCGAGCTGCACTTTTGGTGGACTCGGGTCGCCGTAAAAATAAATTTGCGCGAGTCGCCTCCGCAAGATCTCCGAGCTTCCTCGCCGTGAGCTTCTTGAACGCATTTCTTCGAGGGGAAGATACCCACCCTACCATTTCTTATCAAAAGGCCCTCTCGCCCCGGATTCCACACACACAACTACGCTCCCCTTTTACCCTTAATATCGACCTACCTCGCGTTTAATCCACTATGAGCATTCCGGGTATGACAACGCCCATGGGCCTCGGTGGTGCTGGCAACCAGACAGCAGGAATGAATGATCAGGAACAGGCCATGGTGAAGATGGTACGTGGTTGAGTCCAAGGCCGCGAAACGCGCATTTGCTAACTTGATCGTCTAGATGCAAGCTGGTATGGAGTCGTGTCCAGTAAAGACAGTCATCTCCGGTACGATGGGTTTCGGTCTCGGTGGTGCCTTCGGCCTGTTCATGGCCAGTGTAAGTTACCAGGTTGATTCTCATTCACGCCCACAATATCTAACGACTCGCCACTAGATGTCCTACGACTCTCCCCTCACCCCTCAGGGCCGCGAAATTTCCAACCTCCCCTGGCGCGAGCAAGTCCGTCGTGGCTTTAAGGATATGGGTTCCCGCTCCTGGTCGTCCGCTAAGAACTTCGGTATTGTCGGCGCGTTGTACTCCGGTACCGAGTGCTGCATTGAAGGTCTCCGCGCCAAAAACGACCTGACCAACAGTGTCGCCTCTGGTTGTATTACCGGTGGTATCCTCGGTGCCAAGGCTGGTCCGCAGGCGGCTGCCTTTGGTTGCGCTGGCTTCGCAGCATTCAGTGCCGCTATCGATGCTTATATGAGGATGCCTGAGTCAGAGTAAGCTCGAGGCTTTTGAGCGTGCTTCGTGGTAACCTGCTTCACTGCATACCGCCGTTAGATTCGCTTTTTCGACGCCTCGACTCCGTTGCCTTTCTTCGATCTGTATATTTTCTGCGGCGCTTCGCGACATTTGGGATAGAACGGGAGCATAGAAGGCGTTTGGGTTGTGTTATTTTGCAACGTCTTCCTGTTCTGTATGATGATTTCAGGAGGGCTTTTCCGTGGAGGGGTTCTTATTCCTTTGGAGCTGCACCGGACGAGCCGAGTGTGTGATATCCTCTCGGCTTGGTTATTTGCATTGCATTCCTGAAGAGCTAGGAAAACCTCCAGTTCTTGTTTGTTTGTGGGCTATCTTCACTCGTGTACTATATTTGCATGTTCTATGTGAACATGCATTAGAAGCCCTTCATTGGGAAATTCTCCATCTCATCTTTGATACCAATTCGATCAAGTCATTTCCACTTTTTCACCAGTTCTCAGCTTACCATGCAAAGAAACTAATGCCTCCCGGCTATGACCTATTTGAGTTGGCTATTTCACTTGAATCAGATCTACCTCGAGAGATGCGTGACCCGCATTGCAATCGTGCATCTCTTCAAACCACTCCATTGGGCTAGACTTAATACGAATATGTAAGGTAATGCAGGCCTCCTCATTCCAAGGTTGTCATATCAGGAACTCTTCATTTGTCTATGTACTTTCAAGGTTCTAATCATAAGTTGATATGGGGCAAAGAGTGTCGTACAGCCGGCACTATGCATCACGATAAAGCCGTATAAGAGGCGTGTGGTTTCAAAAAGGCGGAATTTTTATATCGTATCGTCCGTTAGCGGCATCGCGGACCACTCTACAGTGTCTTCCGCTGGCTCTTCAGAGACACAGCGATCACAATGACACACGAACCGAAATGATTTTCGAAGATGCCCACGGCGCGAGTCGAGTTCTGAGTGTTGCGTGAGGTCGAAGTAGGAGATGCAGCATTCCTGACCGGGGAAAATATCGCGAGACGCGGTAAAGACCATGTGGCCTTCATCGTTGGGCTTATGAATGATCTTTAGCTCTGTTAGTACTTCTCTTTCCGTAGGGTGAATGACGGAATACATACATTAGGCACACATGAATGGTTAGCTATTGCTGCAGTGGGATAAACGGCCGCAGCGAACTGCTCTCCTCTATCAATTGGCGGGCTCGGCGGAGGAAAATGCCCTGTTTCTCTGGGATAAAGTCCGAATGAATTCGCCTCTTCTTGACAGATGAGATGAAGGATTCGGTCCGTACTCAACCCGTGGGGTAGCGCCGGGCTGCTCTTGAGGTACTTCTTCACGAGAGTCGTCCAGGACTTGACCTGATCATGGGACCATGTTCCGGATGACCCGCATAGCGAGTCGATGGCTTCCCAGCCATGTTTGAAACGCCGGGTTTGGGATCCGGTCATGGATCCGTGCTCTTGCAATTCAACATGTCGAGTGGCGAGCAGACGGACAATCAGCCAGAGCATGCCGAATTCGTATTCACCCAGTTTGTTTCGTATTGACTCAGCATATCTTTTGAGCCACGTGCATTCAAAGTCATGTCGAGATTTATCGGCGTCTTTGCAGATGCTGCTGCACCATGCCACGTCTTGAATGCAAGCATTCAGACATGAGTATCTCTCGGCGCGAGGGGCTCGACGATTACAAGCGGGATTGTTGCAAATAAGATTGTCGTTGACAGCAGGCTCATCAACGACGGGAATAACTGCATAAGGGCGGTCGACGAGGAGACAGGTGCCTTTCGGGATGTGATGGGATGCGCGGAACTGGCGGCCTTTGACAGGATCGGCGCTCTCGATCAAATGTTCGTGGATCCAACCGGACTGCTTTTGGGAGATCCCGTCTACACAAGTCTGTTCCGATGGTTCGACGGTGATATATACGACTTGGGACATGGCGTGGTGCTGAAGCTGCCCCGGAAGGTTTCTAGTATGTTTTTTTTTACGGGTTCAGAATCGAGGCCATGCGGCAAAATCTTTTGCTCTGAAACGTTTTTGAGAACCGCAGTGTAAAGGGTTCCGCTAGTGGGGCGCATCGTCGCCATACTGGGCCAGGGTAGCCAATACCGTCTCTGTCCGGGATCCCGAGGTGAGGTTATCCCAAGCGACAGCGCTTGATTGGCGGTAGCAGCATGAGCCAAGATAAGCTCAATTTATTGGTTAACTGGAGACTCGATCTGTGACGTTCTTTCGATTACCATCTTGTTGCATGAGCCTGAATCTACGTAGCCCAGTCGTGGGAAATCTTTTCAGGACGGATTAAAAATTGATCGTTGGTCGCCGAAATAGTGCTTGAAAACATTCTTGGGTTTGATTAACAACAGGAAGGAAAACCGACAACATGGATATGGTCAAAAGATCTAAAGGGTACTTCAAATTTAGCCTCTAAAAATATATATGTATAGTTATAACCAGCTGGAGTCTACTTCTTCCTGTGTAAACTTACTTTTGCACTGTTCTTAGGGCTCGGTGACGTAATGGCAACACTGCCGGGAATACCGTCATCCCATGGTCACCGTGTAACACCTGCACTTCCAAATGGACATTACAAGTCAGATATCAATTGCCCATGAAGCAAAAGGGCTCTGCGGCCACTAAAGATATGGACCCGGTCTCCTACTCCACCGTAGGCGAAACAACACAACTGGACTACTCGCCAGAACAGCCTTTGAATCGTGAACCTAATCCTGAAGAACTGATTGAACAGTAGGTCCACCCAAATCATAGCCTGTGGAACTCTCAACGTCAGCCATAACTCTTCTGACCTTTTCTATCAATGCAGGTTTCTTACGCCCCAAGACATCAGCTATGACCGCAATCACGGTCCAATTCCTCACATCCGCGCTGAAAAGCATGTCGTTCGGATAGACGGCCAGGTCAAAACACCCATTTCTTTCTCCCCAGACCAACTTCTCGCCGAATTCCCTCAGCATGAAGTAGTATGTGCCATATCGTGCGCGGGGAATCGGCGACATACAATGCGCACCATGCTGCGCGAGGTGGAGGGTATTGATTGGGGCGACGCGGCGGTTATGAATTGCAAGTTCACAGGCCCTCGTATCCGTGATGTCCTGCTCCGTGCTGGCCTGGCAGATGATATCATGGACTCTGCTCGTGAGCTACATGTTGCTTTTGCTTCTTACCAAGTCCAATGCCAGGAAGATCACTGGTTCGGGTCCAGTGTGACGCTGGAGAGATGTATGCGAGAAGATGGAGATGCAATTCTTGCTTTGAAAGTGAGCAAATTTCTGCCCTTTGATTTTACTTATGTTAATACTGCTTTAGATCAACGACCGGCCTCTCACTGCCAATCATGGCCATCCCGTCCGCGTGGTGCTTCCTGGCATTGTTGGTGCGCGCTGGGTCAAATGGCTAGATCGCATCACCGTCCAAGATACCGAGTCCCCTAACTTCTACCAGCAGCGCGACTATAAGATCCTTCCACCTGATGTGACCGATCATTCATCTGCTGAAAAGCAGTTTGAGAATATCCCGCCAATGTATGATACACCAATCAATTCCGTTGTTGCCGTCCCTGCCGACGGAGAGACTGTTTCGCTGTCACCATCTGGATTGGTGGAAACCAAAGGCTATGCCGTTCCCCAGGGAGCAGATGGACCTCTCATTCGTGTGGAGGTATCGGGAGACGGTGGTACGACATGGATCGATGCCGAGCTCAGTGGCGGAAGTGATGAAATGAAATGGTGCTGGGTGTTGTGGAAGGCCCAATTAAAGATGGCAGTCGGAAATGGAAGGGAAATATTGAGTCGTGCAACAGATGCTGGTGGGAACACACAGCAGGAACATTCACAATGGAATCTGCGGGGCGTGGGATATAGTGGATATGGTCGAGCAGAAGACCTGACAGTAGTGGAAACAACGCACAAGGCAGACTGACCAGAGTTGGAAGATGGATCAAAGTACAAATATATTCACATTTCATACATTTTTATTCGTGTCTAAGGCAGCACAATGTATTTCTCCAGGTGCTTAGGAATAGCACTGCGAAGGTTCTTGCTCTCCAGCCAGGTGTTGGAGAACAACCGGTCTGCGTACCGGTAAGCGCCGTCGCATAGAATCGTCACAACGGTGTTGCCCTTGCCCAACTTCTCAGCAACCTCCTTAGCAGCCGCAACGTTCAGGGCAGAGCTGGCACCGAGATACAGACCCTCCTCATCCAGGCAACGGTAGACCATCTCAATGGATTTCTCGTCACTGATGTTCAGCGAGCCATCCAGCAGGTCAATGTCGGGTTTCAGGTTGTCCGTGACACGGCCCTGGCCAATCCCTTCGGTGATACTGCCACCAGAGCGCTCGGTCAGCTTACCGCCGCTTTGGATGTAGCTGTGCAGGACACTGCCCGGAGGATCAGCCAAGAAGCTCTTGACCTGGCCGTTGCTAACTTCCTTAAGATAGCGGGTGATACCAGCCAGCGTACCGCCAGTCCCGGTAGCGCAAGTGAATGCGTCGATCTTGCCGCCAGTCTGAGCCCACAATTCTGGCCCGGTAGTCTCGATATGCGCTTGGCGGTTGGCGGTGTTGTCGAACTGGTTAGTCCAAACGGCGTTATCCAGGGACTCGGCGTGCCGGCGCGCTTGGTGATTGTAGTTCTGCGGGTTGTCGAATGCCACAGCAGGAACAGGGTACACTTCCGCGCCCAGCAGCCGGAGCAGATCAATCTTGCCCTGTGATTGAGTGTTGGGCATGTAGATCACCAGCTTGTAACCCTTGGACCGGCATACGTGTGCGAGACCAATACCGGTGTTTCCAGCAGTGCCCTCAACCACTGTACCACCCGGTCGAAGAAGTCCCTTCTCTTCCGCGTCCTTGACCACGAACAGAGCAGCCCGATCCTTCACACTGCCACCGGGATTCTGAAACTCCGCCTTGCCCAACACATTGCACCCGGTCTGCTCGGATAGCTTCTTTAACCGAATCAACGGAGTGTTTCCAATTGCTATGCAAAATGTCAGATCAATTGGTCATGCATTTGTACCGAAGCTCGGACATACCCTCCGTCAGGCCATTCACAGCGCCCTGCGCCGTGGACACCCGGGTGCAGTAAGCAGTCGATCCCTCAGCGGCACGCAAGGCCGTAGTACCAAAGCGACGGATACTTTGACGGAACATCGCGCACGAGTGCAATGAAAGCAATGCAATGTAAGTCAATCGGTTCATTGCAATCGGCCGAGCAGCTCCGATGACCGGGCTGATTAAGCACACCACGTGACCCTTATCGCTCCTTCCCCGTTTGGGCTGTTTGTTTACCGCCCGCACTTCTCCTTGCCTCATCTGTGGATTCGCGACTGCCATGCTTTTCGTCCCTCATTAATTGCGCCTCGATATCGACACCCACAATGCCAGGCCGCGTCGCCGCCCGTTCGACCTCCGCGACAACACGCAGGTCGTCGGCACAGCCCTCCGCGGGGCGTGCCCCCTCGGTGACCCCATCATTCGCGATTCCTGAAGAAGCAGCACTGCCAACCGCATCCCCGAACCTTCGCCGCGATGTATGCGCCATCTTTGCTGATGCTCAGCGAGCAACCACCGGTCATCGCAAGCTCGTGGTGCGCCTGCGAAAGTTGCAGGAAATCAGCAGCGGCATCGTTCGGAAGAAGAAAGGAAAGGACCAAGAGCAAGAAGAGGTCGAGCTCCCAGAGGAAGAGAGCATTCCAGAGAGGGAGTTCAATATCGAGGTGGGCCGTTGCCTGCTTCGAATTCTTCCAATCAAGAAATCAGAACCCGTTGGCGACCGCATTGTGCGCTTCATGGACAGTTTCATCCCACATGCATTCGAAAAGGACGGTGAGCTCTTCGGCTTGAACGGTGCAGACGACGATGAGGCGAACAGAGAGACTCCCACTTCCCGCTTGACCTCGAGTCTGATTCATCTCCTGGTGCCTGTCCTATCCGCCAAGGACAAGATGATCCGGTTCCGCGCCACCCAAATCGTCGCACATGTCGTCAACTGTCTCGAGTCGATCGATGATGAGCTATACCATACAATCCGCCAAGGCCTGTTGAAGCGAATCCGTGACAAAGAGTCATCGGTGCGCGTACAAGCCGTCTTTGGCCTTGCCCGCCTAGCTGGGAACGAGGGAGACGAGGATGGCAGCGGAGATACTTCCTCTGCTCTTCTCGACAAATTGATGGACATCATGCAGAACGATACTAGTGCCGATGTCCGCAAAAGTCTCCTCACGAACCTTCCGCTCGCCCCCACCACTCTTCCGTACCTCCTCGAACGAGCCCGCGATCTCGATGCACCGACCAGACGCACCTTGTACTCCCGTCTATTGCCTACTCTGGGTGATTTCCGCCACCTGTCCCTATCAATGCGTGAAAAACTCCTCCGCTGGGGTTTGCGAGACCGCGACGAGAGCGTTCGAAAGGCGACCGGCAAACTGTTTTATGACCGTTGGGTGGAAGACTGCGCCGGAACTAACCGCGACCCTAACGAGGGTGGAAACGCCCAACGGTCAGCCCCCGACCTGAATGCCCTGCTGGAACTGCTGGAGCGAATTGATGTCATCAATTCTGGAATGGAAAGTGGCATTGCCCATGAAGCAATGCGTGCCTTCTGGGAAGGACGTCCTGATTACCGGGAAGCAGTTGTCTTTGATGAGCCTTTCTGGGAATCTCTGACGGGGGAGTCGGCCTTCCTCCTGCGATCATTCAACGATTTCTGCCGCGTCGAGAATGAGGGCAAATACGATGATTTAGCGGACGAGAAAATGCCTGAAGTTACGGCACTTGCCTACTTCCTTTCCAAGTATATGACCGAGCTTTTGCAACGGAAGAGACAATTGAAGGACTCCAGCGAAGCGAATGATGAAGATGCGGTTGAGCAGGAATTTATCGTTGAGCAGCTCTTGCACATTGCGATCACTCTGGATTACAGTGATGAGGTGGGCCGGCGGAAGATGTTCTCTCTTCTGAGGGAGTCATTGGCCGTGCCAGAACTCCCAGAAGAATGCACCAAGCTAGCTGTTGAGACCCTGCGGTGTGCCTGTGGACCCGATCTCGCCGGTGAAAGCGAGTTCTGCAGCGTTGTCCTGGAAGCCATTGCCGAAGTCCACGATACCATCGCCACCGAAGACAGCTTCGTGTCGGCCAGATCCGAAATCAGCGATGACACAAGCAGCCGCCATCGCTCCGAGACGCCTGGCGACGAGGAAGAAACCCCCTTCAACAAGGAAGAAGCCAAGGCGAAAATTGTCCGTGAAATTGTGGTCAACATGAAGTGTCTCCACATCGCCCAATGTATGCTTCAAAACGTCGAAGGCAACCTGCAGCAGAGCATGAATTTGGTGACCATGTTGAACAACCTCGTCGTTCCCGCCGTACGGAGTCACGAAGCCCCGATTCGTGAACGTGGTCTTTATTGTTTGGGTCTCTGCTGTCTTCTTGACAAGGTCAGTTTGCATCTCATCTGTGACGCAATTTTTCAACTAACAAAGCATGATTTCAGAACCTTGCCGAGGAGAACATGACTCTGTTCATCCACTGCTACAGTAAGGGCCACGAGGGGCTACAAGTAACTGCATTGCAGATCATTTGCGATATGATTACCACGCATCCCTCGCTGCTTGCGCCGAACACTCAGTCTGACGGCGAGACGGTGACCCCTCCAGCGATTCAAAAGCCTCTGCTCAAGGTGTTCTCACGAGCCCTGAAAGCAAACTCTCCTCCCAGCGTGCAGTCCGGAGCGGCTTCGGCGCTGTCAAAGTTGTTGCTCACCAGTACATTCGAACCTACCGGGCCAAATGTCCCACCTGCCATCCAGGAATATAACCAGAAAGCCGTGGAAACGCTATTGCAGAGCCTCGTGGTGTCTTTCTTCCACCCCCGCACGAAGGAGAACCCTGCACTTCGGCAGTCGCTAGCATACTTCTTCCCCGTCTATTGCCACTCGCGCCTCGACAACACTCAGCATATGCGGCGGGTTGCAGTACCCGTGGTCCGTGGAGTGATCAATGCCGCCGAGGAGCACTATTCGCTCGAGGCTGAAGAAGATAGCGATGGCGAGATCGACGACACCACTGGCGAGCGCGAAATCAAGACACTCATGACTGGTGTCATTGGTATGCTTGCCGAGTGGACTGATGAGCGTCGGGTTGTTGGCCTAGGCGGCGAGCGTATTCTGGCAGGTGGTGCCTCTAGCTCGAATGCTTGCGGCTGGGTGCACCTGGCCTTGGTGAAAGACATCCTGGAGCGTGTTTTGGGCGTCAGTGCCGGTAGCAACCGTTGCAACAAGGAAGAGCGCAAGTTGCTATTTTCCCTGTTGAGCAAACTTTTCATTGCTGCTCCAACAGTCCCCTCTCGTGCTGGTTCTCGCGCCCCAGAGAGCGAAGATCAGTTTAGAACCAGCATTCGCAGTGCTACAGCGACGGGGGTTGAGATCGAACCTGAAAATGCTCAGCTCGCCGAAGAAGTCAAGGAGTTGCTTGACCAGACTATTGAAGAGGGTCTTGCTGCCGAAGCATCTAGCAGGAACGCCCTGGTCAAGACTAAGAACTCTGTTTTGAAGATCCTCGCCGTTGCTCAGGATGCTCGTGCGGCCAGCGCACACCCTCGAGCCGGCACAGAAGAGCCTGACAGTGATGTCGCCAGCGTCCGCTCTGCTAGTGCCCGACGCTCTGTTGAGCCAACTGGTCGCCGACAGGTTTCAGTGGAGCCCTCTATCATGGAGGAAGATGAAGGCGACAGTGGCATTCGATCTGGCAGTGTGCGCCCAGCTGTTGAAGGCGGTGCTGTTCGCACCCATGTCGCCGTCGAGCCTAGCATCATGGAGGAAGATGAAGAGGACGATCATGACACTAGCCGTGGAACAATCATAAAGGAGGAAACTGCCGATGAGTGACGAAATTCTGGTTTGGGTTTAGGTTGGCGTTGGTTGTGTCTGGGTCCTGGGTTCAAAGGCATCGATGGACTTTCGATACGTGGTGACTGGCTTCGGTTGTACATGATCTCAATGTTGATTTTATGCTTGCGATTTCTATTACGAAATACCACGCTTTTACGCACTTATACTTTGTACGTGTAGCTTCTGACCGGAAGAACGATGCAAGTCATTCAGAGTATTCTATATACGAAATTCTTTTCCATTAGTCACGGTTTTGGGTGGAATTGTACCAATGCCATGATCACACAGCTGACGACCCGACGGGTTTCCACGGACACATTGACCTTGCGATCTCACCTGCTTTGCACATGCTATTCGACACCTTCGAGCCAGCTTTCAACGCGCATTTCCTCCGAGCCTCGCTGTATATCTACGTCTGATCCTGCATCATCAGGCTCTTCGTCGGTGGCTTCTAAATCTAACCAAGAATGCTGATATATGGCTCTCTCGCTGCGAGGGTACCCTGTCGATCTCAACCATCCAAATATCCCACGTGTCGCTCCTTCAGAAAGGAGTTGTGAGAAGAAATCATAGTTATAATCGTCAAGCGCAACCGATGTCCTGTTGGTAGATAAATGTGATGCTTGATCAGGAGGTTGACTAATTTCTCCAAAATCTCTCATGGAACGGTTGTTCGTCAAAATCCATTCCCAAGATTCGTATTCTAAGCAATGAGTGGTACATTGAGCATGTTGTCGGACCGACAGCTCTGTATCGCAAAGTTGTGTAAACCCAAAGGGCTTCCAAGGCCAGATTGGAGGTCGGTCATGGCCTTCACAGGCGGTAATGAAAAGCAGCCGACATTCGTCATCGCGGTTTATTATTTCACCATCACTGTCCCCTACTTTAGAGGTCAAGAATGTCTGTTTTGTTCCCGTCCAGGCAGAAGCTGGGAGATCTAGAGCCGTCATTCCTGCTCGTATGTCACGCAAGACGGATTTTGCCAGCCCTGTGAGAATTGCACCGAGCCAGAGGATGCCGAGTCGAGGCTGTCGATTTGCCATTAATGCGGCCAATAGATCTTCCCTTGGGGAAATCGAATCAAGAACCGCAAAAGCCGGATTCATCCATGCACTGACAAGATTACACGCAATATCCGTATTGAAGAAGGTGCAGCACAGAAGAGAGCGTAAACCCCACGTATTGGTACTTAATGTCATATATTTGGGAAGCAATTCGCCGTGCTCTTTGAGAAGATCTTGTATAGAAAATGCAGACTCCTTGGAACTTTCCTTTATTTCCAGTATTTCCAGCCGAGAAGGTTGTTTTGGAAAGGGGAGAGAAACTGTTCTCCCGCTTAGAAATGGAATGAAGAGTGCCCCAGCAAGGGCGACTGAGCATTGAGCGTAAAGACGATGGTGCACACAGAAACGAGAGAGGTACTTGAGAGCGGTCATCGATAGCGGCGGGTCTGAATTAACACCGGAAAAATCCTCTGTGGCCACGGTCATCCCCGCGCACTTTACCGATACCGACCATGGCGACAAATAGACATGGCCATTGTACTTAGTGGTCGCAGTCCAACCGTCATCAGAACACAAAAGAGCGCGCCACCAGAGGATTTCTTCCTCGCAAGCATCGTCGCCGAGGTCAATTTGAACCATGGGTGGTTTATTCGGCTGCGATGACCCCTGTACCCCTTGCGCGGTGTAGCGCATTTGACATTCGTGGCTAACAGAGCGGCGAAGCAATTCAACCCATCGAGCAGATAGAATATAGGCCCATGCGAGGTACAGGACGGACAGATAATTACCGTTATCATAACCTGAGAGTCCCTGAACTCCGGGCCAGTCTGAAAATGGAGAGTCTTCTGACAACTTCACACTTACTCGACTCCCATCTGCTAATAGAAGTTGCTTAGGGAGGACCCTCGGCTGTAGGTCACAAGTGCCTTTGTAAGTCCTCCAGGTTGACCGGCCATTGACGACAAGACTGCCCTTCTCCTGTGTCGATTTCTTCTCGCAAGCGAATGAGATCGACTCGCTAGGAAAAGCAAGGCCATCACCTAGGAAAGGCGGGGTCTGGCAAACGAGAGATTTCAAATCTATGGCCTGCTGGAGAAAGAAGTGATCTTCGCTCCCAGCATTCAGATAGGAGGACCATGTGTTGAGGCTCTCCTGGAGGACCTGGTTGAATTCATCATCATCAGGGCGTGCGGCATCGCCCATTTTCGCACACCCAAGTTGAATTCAGATGCTGATTCAATGTTTTAGGGCTATTCAAACATGGAGACAGGCGTGGGTGCGAAAGAACAATTCAATGAACGACTCCTGTGTCTCTTGTTCAGGAATCAAGGGAGCGAGCTGAAGTAGTAGGAGTGGCGTAGTGGGGCTTTCTCTTCTGTGGCGCGGTAGAGTCACTTGTTTCACATCGATCGCCCACCTGGTCTGTTTTTGACGCGCAATGATAACTTCCACCGCCGGTAGGACAAAACGATAGTCATATCACAAGGACCTCTTGGTGGAGTCCGGGATATTTCTAACCCACCTCAGTTCAGTACCAGGGTAGCGGGGGCATCTCCCTTATACTTTGCACCTATAGGTTTCCACCAGAATAACGATGCAAGAGTAATATTCAAACACTTCTATATACGAAAGGTTTCCCCTTAGGAGGTTGGTCGATGCCTTGGAAACGGAAAGAGCAGGTGGATCAGACCTCAGGCACACTTGTCCCTTTTTTTTTGGGAACTATCGAACTTACTTATACTGAGCTCATCCTCTTCTTCACCGTCCCAACAGTCAATGGGTAGACTGAGCCGTGAATATCCATCAGGGGTATAAGACTGGATTTAGCTTGTCAGTTATGAAAGTCGCATCCTAGCAGGGTCTTGACTTACTAGGGATAGTATGTCGGCATTGCCACATAGCAGAAGGTGGTTCACCGGCTTGAAGTCAGTCATGGGCTGGCCGGAGCGGAAGATGTGGTGCTGCAACACATGGCAATGGCGCAGAATTCCTCTTTGGATTCAAGCGTCATATAAGGCTGTTCCGGAGAGGTCTATATTGTGGATACCTCTTAATATTCTGTGCAGCCGAGCATCTAGAAGTTTCCGCTGATTCCACAGGACCGCAGCATTCGGATCAGATATTTCATCGGCCAGCGGGCTTCACCAACGTCGGAAGACCAGTGAGGAAAATGACCACCAGGCCTGAGACTCGATACGGTTCGTGGGCATAATTGTTGCTGCGAGCCAGGGAAACCTCGGCGACTTTCCTTATCGTGGATCTCATCAAGACCACCGATTGCATACAATTGCACTGTGGATCATCTTCTAGAATCCAGCTCGCTCAGTGACCGGGGAGGATCCACTTGATCCATTGATCGGAATGTCAGCACGGTGTTAACGCGATTTAAGTCCCTTCCCCGGTAGTAGCCGAGGTACGTAGGTGGCATGGATGACACTGCGCTGGGATGTCAACCGGTCAGCTCGAGCACGCCATCTCTCCCTTACTATGATCCGATCCACAGGCCACCAGCTACGGTACCGCTCTATTCTGCCATCACCACCCATTGGCTTTGTGTCAATCATGAATTTTATATTGCAGGCTGTAAAGTAGTAGTGGGGCCGGTAGTTCCTAGATTACGTTGGTTAACTATTTATTTCGATTTCTAAGCAGCCACCTAAATCAATCAACGCATAACCTCTGCATATTTAACCTTGCTCACTCCATTCTTCAGGTACTTGAAATCATCCTCGGTCCTCGGAATTCAGTACAACATCTTTCAGAATGTCATCCCAGCAGGTTCTCGTCCAAGTTATCTATCCCACCTCGGCCGCACCTAATTTCAATATGGAGTATTACCTCAACAACCATATTCCGCTGGTTAAGAAGCGTTGGGGACCACAAGGCCTGCAAAGCTGCACTGTCATCGCTGGAGCCAAAGATACAGGGTACCACGTGCAAGCCATGATGATTTGGAAGAACCTGGCATCATTTGAAAACGTGAAGGGTGCGGAGGAAGTGAGAGAAGACATCAAGAACTTCACCGATGTGGCGCCGTATCGATGGGTTGGTTCCGTTGTTTACCAGGATGTATTGACGGAGTCAGAAACAAAGGGGCTTTGAGGTTTCGATTCTGGCGCAAGTTTTGGAATATGTTGGTTAGGACTTTTGTGTCAGCATTCGTGCAGTTGGGGCGCCAAAACGTTGACGGTCAGAAAGAGGGGTTAGAAGTTCCACACACACAGATGTACTTTATTTCAATAAGCAGTTCCTCATTGCGAATCATATATCACGGGGCTTTCATTGACTATTCTGTTCTCATATCGTATATTGGTTTATTCCCTTGTCAGTTTGACTGGTTCATCTCTGCAGGGCGATAGTGATAACACAGTTGCCACGGATTTTTACATCCATTTAGTCTTATATTTGCTTCCGGAAATAGAATAGATGGGTGGAATTATAGGTTGAATTCCGTAGAGAAAATAGTGTCCTATTGAACAGTCTATTAATTTGCAGAATAACCCGCCTCTTGGCTTTGCAATGGTGCGGTAAACTTGTCTTTAATTTCACTTCCTTGCGCATGTTGTCGTTTTAACTTTTTACTGAAGACGGCTTATATTGCAGGAAATTGGCGGCACACGCGCTTCATGGTGCGGAGCTCGATGACGGGGCACATGTTACATAGTCGGAAAACCTCCGCAGCAGTCGGGCTCATTACTGATCCCGACGTGGGCCTCGGTTCTCTCCCACTTACGAGTGGCAATTAGAAAAATACACTGTGTAACGATTGAGATGTCACTTTTTATATTTACAAATCCTCAGTCCCTGGTCGTCCTATGCAACTTGGTTACTTGTGGTCTCGGGCCCCATCTTCGCCGCTACTTCAATATTAACACAACTGAAATAACTGGGAAAACAAAATGCGGTGTTACGAATTTCAGGTCTTGGACAAACAAGACTTTTCGCGGCAGCATATTTTATCTTTGCCAATCGATCACCAATTGCCAACTTTAGCCCCATCATCAGTGAGGGTACGACCGGAAACATTATCCCTGACAGTCAATAATACCACATATGCGAAGCTAGGCAGCTTCTTTGGCTGGTGGGATGTTCATCCATTACCGAATGCGATTCCAGAAAATTTCAGCGACTCGCAACAGTATGGAAGGATATCGGCGTGGAGGTTTGGCCGGGTGATCGAAAGCAATTACAGCTCATTGCCTATAAATAGCGTGATTTATGGTTACCTTCCCATTGGGAGTCTTCCCGTCGACTTGTCACTTGTCCAGTCAAAGAACGCAAAGCAGGCACTGGAAACCAGTCCCCATCGTGCTCAGTTGCTGCCAATATACAATCGCTATTCGTTGTTCTCTGCCACTGAAATGGCAGGCTTTTCTGGAGACTTCTGTGGATGGAGTTCGCTGATGCGAGTACTCTTCCAGACATCGTGGATGCTTAACAAATTCCTCTTTGCTTGGGATGACACGGTTCTGGCCAAACCGTCCAGTGGAGCTTCTTCTTGGACTATGAATGATGCCGACATTACAAACGCTGTTATCATACTGCTTTCTGCTTCTGGAAAGACTGCGTTGTCTTTAGCACATCAGCTCCGGCAGAGACGCCCACGGTCCGTACAGCCAAAGATGATTCTCGGAGTCACGTCCACAGAATCTAGAGCTTTCTCCCAAGCTACGGGATTTCACGATGACGTTGTTCAGTACGAAGATATGACTTCTAGTCTCATCAGCACTCTCAAAATTGACGCCACTGCTAAGGTGGTATTGTGTGACTTCGGTGCCCGGGGTGACACCTTTCAACTTTGGTTCAGTGCACTCAAGCCTGTTTGCAAGACCCTCATTCCACTCGGAATCGGCGACACACCGCAGACAGAGTTGCCACAGAATCTACATAATAGAGCCGCCCGAAATGCTTCTTTGGGTAATATCCAAGTCAACGCTTCTGATCTTGCAACGATGGCAATGGCATCAATTGGGGAGAAGAATTATAATCAAGAACTGGAAGAGGCCTGGAGAGCATTCTTGGATTCTGGGGCACTCCCCGGGGTATGTCTCGAATGGGGTGCTGGAATGAGCGCAGTTGAAAGGGTGTGGGACATGCTTTGCAGTGATAGAATTGAAAGCAGTAAAGGCTATGTTTTCCAAATATAAGTTTCGGGGATTTCAGATCCACTACCACTCAGAATGGAGTGGACGCAAGTTGCTTGCATTATTTTCATCGTCTTGATTTGAAGCCAAAACAGTTCTCCGTATGGTAGTTCGATAAAATCAAAATTTTCGCAACCGAACTTGAGTAGTTCGTTTTGGATAAGAAATTCGTAAGTATCCGTAAAGTAATTGGCAACTAACGGCCAGTATGCTTGTGGAAGTCTGCGAGGCAGAGCAATTTACTAGTCCACCCACCAGAGTAAATTATTGGATGATAAGCCGAATTCAAATTTTTAATAGGAAGATCATTAGGTTGAAAGAGTCACCGGCTTAGTATAGAAACATTTGGCATCAGATGTTCTGATGCGCATACATGTAGACGGATTACCATCTTTTTGCCACTGATGTTCACTATGTACTAGCTGCATTCCTGGTTTCCCGTCTACCCCCGAAATAACCCAACTGGTTGCTTTGGGGACCCGAGTGTCAATTACAGATTATTGGTCTTATTAATTATATCTCCGAACTGTCCAATTTTAGATGACCAAGCATACTTCTTTGTTGGAGCTACCCCACTTACCACACACATGCTCCATGCCCATGGACGATGGTTCTATTGAGTTCTTACAATTTCTTGCTTTCTACCATATAAAGCGACTCAATGGACCTTTTTGACTTTCGAAATTGCTAAATATTTCTTCCATCCAACAAAAATGGCTTCTAAAGTGCTGATTGTTCTCACCTCCCAGGATAAAATTCCTGCCAATGGCAACCCTACTGGATGGTTCCTGGTATGTGTCGCACATAGAACGTTTCTTTTACCAAGGGTATAATAGACTAACACCGATAGCCCGAGTTTGCCCATCCATGGGATGTCCTTCACCGGAAGGTCGAGCTCACCATCGCATCGCCCAAAGGCGGCGAGGCGCCTCTCGATCCTGGCTCGATCAAAATGTTCGAGGAGGATGCCGTATCGATGAAGTTTCTAAAAGAGCAATATAGTCTCTGGAAAAACACCATAAAACTTGTGGACGCCTTGCCCAGAGTCTCCGAATTTGACGCTCTTTTCTACGTCGGTGGTCATGGACGTGAGTAATTGCCTGAAGAATTTGGGTTTCGAATCAATATTGACTGTACTAGCCATGTACGACCTTCATTATGACCCGACATCTCTTGCTTTGATTCAAGCTTTCAGTGCAGCTAAGAAAGTCGTCGCTGCTGTCTGCCATGGTCCCACCGTATTTGTCAAGGCTACAACTAAATCCGGAGAGCCGTTGCTTTCCAACGCCACCGTCACCGGCTTTTCTAACGTTGAGGAGGATCAGGCAGGCATGACTTCCGTCATGCCGTATATGCTTGAGGACGAGTTAAACAAGGTCACCTCAGGTCAGTATGTCAAGGCCGACGAGCCGTGGGCAGAGAAGGTGGTCGTTTCAAAAACTGCAGATGGAGCCATCTTGATCACCGGTCAAAACCCTGCCAGTGGGGCGGGCGTTGGAAAAGAGATATTGAAGGCTTTGGCGATCTAACATTCATTATTGATACAATTGTTTGTCCGCTGAAACTCTTAAAAATTGAGAGCTCATCAGCGGTTGGCGTGTACTGTATCCTGCAGAACTTCTTCGATCGTGTCATTCCGCATCAATTCCGGTCAAGCATGTTCGATGAGCAAGATGTGCGAGATTCACTTAGAAACGTCCAAGAGATTTCTATCCAGTGCGGATTCCGGCGGATTAGTCTTCCGGATTAGGCTACAAAAACTTTGATATAGGAACTATCCGGAAAGGAGACTTTTTAGTTGCTCAGTCTTTGTCAGAGATGGTGATACATCGATTGAGACACTGTAAATCCTACCAATTACCACGAGTAGGTGAGATACGATGCCTGTGGCCTGCATCGGGTCGTATAGCCTCACTGTGGATCATGATCCATGCATATTCTCGGCCACAGCGGAATCACTAATTACCCCGAGTGCTGTGGGGGGTTTCCGATCGTGTTATGTAACGTTGCCCTATGTCTATAGTTATTGGTGTATAGACACTGCCACACTAATCTGCGTCAGCGCGGTGTGGGGGCGGAAAGTCCACATAAAAGCTGCCCCAGGGAGCGGGGGTGATCCGTTGATCATAACCAAGCTCTCTAGTGAGAAGAATGTCTTCTGAGAATACGACTTACAGCCAGTTCGCCTGTATCGGCGCAGGCTTCTCAGGTATTGGGTTAGGTGCAACTCTCAAGCGATGGTATAACATTACCGATGTTCAGATCTTCGAGCGCCATAACAACCTCGGTGGGACATGGTATATCAATCAATATCCAGGTTGCGCCTGCGATGTCCCAAGCGCTCTTTACAGCTTCTCCTTCGAGCAGAAGCCGGACTGGACCCGCATTCAGGCCGATGCCGGAGAGATTCGCGCGTATCTGAATGCGGTTGCCAATAAGTACGATCTTGTGCGCCGCATTCAATTTAATACGAATGTCGAGCGCTGCGAATGGATCGACGAGAGGAGGCGCTGGCGTATTCGTGCCCGCCACATTGAATCTGACGAGGTTTTTTACCACGAGTCGCGATTTCTCTTCGCTGGAACCGGCCTCCTTTCCCAGCCACGAGAATTGGACATCCCTGGCACCGAGACGTTTACGGGTCCCATTTTCCATGCTTCTCGGTGGCGCCATGATGTCGAGCTCAAGAACAAGGAGGTCATTGTTTTTGGGAATGGGTGCACGGCTGCGCAGCTCCTTCCTGCTATTCTGGGCGATGTGAAGCATGTTACACAGGTGATCAGGTCGAAGCATTGGATGTTGCCTCCTATCAACGCGCGTATGCATTCACTCCTTCGCACGGTGTTCTTTTACATCCCACCGCTGATGTGGCTTTGTCGTGTGCTTCTTTTTGTTTTTCTCGAAGCTGGGCATCGGTCGTTTCCTCTTACTGAAAGGGGCGCTAAAAACCGAGCTCGGGATCGAAATGAGGCCATCAATTACATCAAGTCGACTGCACCACAAAAGTATCACAAGTTATTGATTCCCGATCATGAAATTGGGTGCAAACGCCGAATCATCGATTCTGGGTATCTCAAGAGTCTGCACTCAGATAAATTGACCCTGACAGACGAGAAAGTTCTGAAGGTTGTGCCAGAGGGGATCCGCACCGAGACCGGAATCAAGAAAGCCGACCTGCTCATCCTGGCGAATGGATACAAGACGGGTATCTTTCTTCCCGGTATTGAGATGATCGGTCGAGGTGGCACAACGCTAACCCAGCACTGGGACTCGATCGGTGGACCGGAGGCATACAACTGCTCTGCGATGAGTAATTTCCCCAATTTCTTTCTTCTCGTAGGACCGAATGGTGCAACAGGTCACCAATCAGCAGTCCTGACGGTCGAGAACTCGGTCAACTATGCTCTTCGAATCATCTATCCGGTACTGGACGCTCTAGATGGGGTTGTCGAGCTACGTCGAGAAGCAGAAGAGAAGCATTCACAGCAGTTACAGAGCAGCTTGGATAGAACGGTGTTCAATACCGGGTGTCAGAGCTGGTACAAGCCGGAGTATAAGGGGAAGAAGTGGAACAGTATGGCATATCCTTGGTCCCAATATTATTTTTGGTATCGAAGCGTGTTTCCCGTATGGCACGACTGGAAGATTTCGGTGAGTCGTTCTCTCGAGTTAAGGTGGACAGTCTGGCTGCTAACGACAACTTCATCAGAAATGATATTGTAGAACCGCAGGAACGCGTAATTTCCTTTTGATCTTGAGTTTATTTTCTTTGAGTTTTGCCGTGACCAATAGGAAAGCGTATGCTCTTATAGAAATATATTCTAAACTGCCCTCATGGCGCGCGAATTCGGGGCTATTATGATATCTCTGTAAATCCCAGTACAGCTTCAATTGTGTTAGCTCGCGTGGCAGTGTCTTGCTTACCAGACAATGTTTAGGTGTTATAAGAATGATGACTCTTCGAAGCATTTCATCACTTTAATGGAAGGGCAAAGAGCATCATTGTGGGTTTCTGAATACTTTTTCAAATTAAATTTTGTTCGAGGACCTCTATGTATGACCAAGAGTCTGGAATATGGGATATTTGAGTTCTGATGGTTTGCGTGCCCCGCATACTCGGAGGTCAGGTTCGTTCATCATCATAGTATCCAAAACAGTATGTATAATAGAAGGGGCCAAGGCTAATGGTAGTTTTTGACAGCCCAATGAAAAACTGTAAATCTGGCATTGGAACCATACACGTCCATAAAGATGGGGTGCGGTTTAGATATTGCCTCAAATGCTGCATAGAAGCATCTTTTCTGCCATCTCTGACCGCTTCCCCTTATCTGAATTTCCAACTACTGCACAGCTCACTCTTTATCTATCATCCTGCTATGCGTTTATTGTGGGAGAGTGAGAGATGTATCTACGAAAAGGATGCGGCATTGGTCCGCATTGTTTCACCTGCGACCGAATCTGAATCAAAGCCAGCACCGGGAACCGTGCTTTTCTGCATCATCAGAATGCACCCATATAACCATCCCAAGCTATCCAGAAAAATGACAGACAAATATTTGCAGCCAGATTCCGCACGTCACTAGGTAGCAGACTACACTTATGACCGGTGTGAATAACAGTCACTAGTGGGGGGATATCCTTCGATATACGCATGTCAAGGGGCATTTAGAAGAAGCCTTGGAAAGAACAAAAGATGCGTGGAAAGACGGCGTCCATACGGGTATCAGTCAGGCACGCCACGTGACGGTCCGGTTAGTGTTTTCCCCGAGATTCCAACCCACCTCAGTTCAGTACCCGGGTACTCGTATCTCCCATGATACCCATATGCATCTGAACAGGTTATCGTTCGTACATGTATGTTTGCCGAGCATCGAATTGCTTGCCCGCCTCACGGGCGCGGCCTAATTAATCGGAAGCATGGGCCCATTCCTAGAGTTCTGACAGGGGTCCCCACTCGCGGAATGCCAGAAATAAATCACATAGGTACCCAGCTAGGACGGGCGAACTAGCTAAACAGAGTGTGGCCAGAAAATTAATTAGCGGAGGGACGCGCGAATTTCGTGAGACGGACAGGGATCTTCGGTTGGGGTTGCACACGGCGGACCGGAGGTGGGATGGGAAAATAGAAACCAGATCAGGGGGAATTGAAAAAAGACAACCCCGAGCTGCACGAGATGCACGATACTAACTCTAGAAGGTATCGAGTGAAATGAAGTAGAAAGAGACCGTGGTCCAATCTCCGCCCCGTGAGCCCGAAAATCTCCACCGAGTTGCCTCGTTTCTTCTTCTTTCCCCCTCCCCTTTCTCTTCTCCGGGCTTCTCTTTTCCATCTCTTCGCCACGACCCCCTGTTTGTCGTGTCTTTGTCTTCTGCGTTTTCCTGCAGAGGCTCTCTCCCTCCCCCTCCCTTTCTCCTCCCTCCGGGCCTTCCCCCTGCCGCTCCGTAGGCAGCGACAAGTCAAAGATGGCGGCCGTTTCAGCACCCACTCCGAAGCTGGATCGCTACATTGTCATCCACGTTGCAACTACCTGTGACGAACATGGCGTCTATGTCACCAAGGACTCGGCCGAGGTGATCGAATTGGGATGGATTCTGTTGGACTCCAAGACTTGTGAGGAGGTACATTTCTCCGCCCTCATCACTTTTCCCGATCAACGAGGGGGGGAAAAATAAAAATCTAACGATGATCTTCAATTCTTTAGTTGCACCGTGAAAGTGTCCTCGTCAAGCCAGTTAACACTCCTATCACGCCGCTCTGCAGTAAGCTTTTGCCAGCGAGGCCCCGTGTTCCCGAATTTTTGCTGACCAATTTGTACAGCGAGCTTGACCACCCTCACATGGGAGCACGTCCGCTCGGCAGGTACTTTCCGTGATGCTATCTCCCGATTCGATGCTTTCGCCCAGGAACACCTCACCAGCAAACAGCTCGAGTTTGCCTTTGTCACGTTGGATTCGTGGGATCTGCGCGTGCAGCTGCCCCGCGAGGCCCGTGACAAGGCCGTCGTGCTGCCCGCATACCTGCAGCACTCCCGAACCTTCGACCTGCGCACCGAATATCAACGCTGGCAAACCCACCACCCCGAGTCGCTGCCCTTTGGTCCTAGCTCCCTCTCCAACATCTGCGCCGCCCTCGAGGTCGAGCCCGTCCAGTCGTCGGCCCCCATCAAGCACAACCTTCCTTTCCACCTGCAAGCATTGGCCCCCGCCTCGCCCCGCCGCGCCATGGAGGAGTCCATTACTCTCGCTCGCGTGCTTCGGGGTCTGATCCGCAAGTCGCAGCCACCCCATGAGCACCCAGAAATCCTCACTCGCCCGATGGATGCCCACGCCGATGTCCGGGCCTTCCTTGCTGAGCGGAGCAAGGTGCTTCACCTCAGCGGCTTGCCCCACGACACCACTCAGTCGGAATTGGAGAGCTGGTTCACTCAATTCGGTGGCCGGCCAATTGCCTTCTGGACTCTTCGGACTCCGGACCAGCACAAGCCCACGGGCACCGGCTTTGCCGTATTCTCGTCCCACGAGGAAGTATGTTGGAGTTGAAAAGAATTCGAGATCCAAGTTCCACCTTGCTGACAATTATATAGGCCGCCGAGAGCCTGTGCATGAACGGCCGCGCACTGAATGAGAAGGCTATTGAGGTCTCTCCTTCCTCGAGCCGCGTTCTGGACCGGGCGGCCGAGATTCTCACTCCGTTCCCGCCATCCAAGAACCGCCCCCGTCCCGGTGACTGGACTTGCCCGTCGTGTGGTTTCTCCAACTTCCAGCGTCGCACTGCTTGCTTCCGTTGCTCGTTCCCCGCTATGGCGGCCACCCCTGACCCGATGGGTTACGGATACGGCTACGGCCCGCCTAACATGATGCCTCCTCATATGGGTCACGGCCACGGGATGGGTCACTCTCGTGGCATGGGTGGCAATGGTGGCGTGGTTCCTTTCCGCGCTGGTGACTGGAAGTGCGGCTCCGAGGGCTGCGGTTATCATAACTTCGCCAAGAACATCAACTGCCTGCGCTGTGGTGCCCCTCGCTCTGGCGCCGCCGTCGTGGCCGACTCGGCTTTCCCATCCCCCATGGAAGCCCCATCGCAATTCAACATGGGTCCTAACTCGATGGCGAGCACTCCCGGTCCCGGTCCGTTCGCCTCTACCGCCAGCGGTTTCGGCGGTTTCGGCGGCCAGTTCGGTGCTCCCCCGAACAACTATGCTCTCCCTACCGGTGGGCTGGGCAACGGTCCCGGAGCCTACCCACAGATGGGACAGGTGAACTCGGGATATGGATCGTCAAGCACCTCGCATTCTGCTGCCTCCTTCGCCAACCCGGCCACCCAGGCGGCTTTCAGCGGTGCTGACCACGGTGTGCCTTCCACCAGCGCTTCGAACGGTGGTTTCTACGGTACTGAGAGCTCCAGCGATCCCTTCGCATTCCTGTCGACTGGTCTCGGCGGCCTCACTGTTTCCGATGACGCTCACTCTCGGCGAAACGGTGCCGGTGCCAACAAGTCTCCTGCGTAAATGCGGAGTGGCATGTACCTATTCAAAAAGCCCGACGAACTGGGCGGTCACACTTACGTTGTCCATATTGCAACCCTGCATTGTGGCAGGTATATGCGTTGGTTGATATTCGTTGATACGCATTTGTATAAGGGATTTATGCGGTTCCGGTGCATCGGGTTGGAAGGAGCAGGCGGGTAGCGTGTCGATGATTCCGGATTTTTCTCGCCTCGCCGTCCTGTTGGTTTTTCTTTTCATCTTTTCATCAAGGGGATGAGCGGGTCCGCTCATCCCCTTGATTCCATCTTTGAGCTTGGTTTTTTTCATGGTTGTCTTTTTTTTCCTGGTCTGCTTTTTATGCAAGGATGGCGGCGACACCCCGGGGTTGGGTTTATTTTGGCCGTTGTCTGTTGAGGGTATCGGATGCGAACGCATTGTGAGCTTGGGTTGCGCACTCGACCTGCTTTGCATTTTAGATCTTTTGTCGTCCCTTTCTGCGTTGGGTCATGGCAAGCGTCGGAGAATTCAGGGTATTGATCGATCTCACGGATGGGATATACAATGGTTCGGATTCGGACTCGGGCTCCGTTGGGGGTGTTGGGGGATTTCCTTTACTTGCGCCGGCATTGTGGATGCTTTTTTTCGCCAGGCACTGTGAATGCAACAAAAATGATTGTTCTGTTCATATTTGACTCCATTTCGTGTATTTGTCTCGCCCCAGGATGATGGGCCCTGTATAGTTTCTAGGAGCTTTCCATCATTCAATTGAGGAATAGTACATGTCTGGAAGTTCCGCTTCATAGTCTCCAAGGATTGATACATGAGCGCACCTTGATAGTGAAAGCTCAGCCCCTTCGTAGACTCGCGTCGTGAGGGTGCATCCAATCTCACCTTCAACTATACTGCCAACCCACATATGGGTCAATCATGTTTCATTGAGAGTAACTCCATTGATATTCTAAATACCTTCTCGTTGCAATTGGAAGAATCTCCAATTAACATTGGGATCATTCCTAAAAATGAAAGACTCGACGGTGATATTACCACGCGGTTGCCCTTCAGGCATCCGCAGGCTGTCGCGTCCACCGCCCGCCGAACCTCGTCATTGCTGAGGTGCCGCTCCCCCATCACCGTCCTTTGCTCAGCGTCCTCCTTTCCATTCTCCAACCTTGATCTTCTAGAAACTCCTCTATTTGCATCTTAATACCTCCTACTTGATTCCCCAATTTCTGCGCCACAATGTCCGGCTACGACCGAGCTCTGTCAGGTAAGCCAGCTAGCTCCCCCCATCGCCAGCTCCCTTTGCTACCGTGCTTGACCATGGACAAATGATGCTAACTCATCCCAGTATTCAGGTATGAATCATTCAGTCCGAGTTTCAGCTCTGGCGAGTATCGTCTAACCCAGCCCCAGTCCCGATGGGCACGTCTTCCAGGTCGAATATGCCATGGAGGCCGTGAAGCGAGGTAAGACCCCATTCATCCGGACCACACGTTGACAGCTCGGGGACTACTGCCATTCATCGGCCTGTCGCTTCCTGTATCAAATTGATTGCTAATTGTTGATGATCTGCAGGGACCTGTGCCGTCGGTGTCAAAGGCAAGGACATCGTCGTCCTCGGTTGCGAGAAGCGCTCCGCCCTCAAACTCCAAGATACCCGCATTACCCCCTCGAAGATTGCTCTCGTTGACGACCACGTCTGCCTTGCTTTCGCCGGTTTGAACGCCGACGCCCGTATCCTGATCGACAAGGCCCGGCTAGAGGCCCAGTCGCACCGTCTCACTGTCGAGGACCCCGTCACCATCGAATACATCACCAAGTATATTGCTAGCGTGCAACAACGGTATACACAGAGCGGTGGTGTCCGCCCGTTCGGCATTAGTACGTTGATTGTTGGTTTCGACCAGAACGACGGCACGCCCCGACTGTACCAGACTGAGCCGTCCGGCATTTACTCCGCTTGGTAGGTGGTCCTCGAACTTAAAATACCATAGGAATATGTCTCAATTTTTTTTTTCGCGTACAGGAAAGCAAACGCCATCGGTCGATCCAGCAAGACAGTCCGCGAGTTCCTCGAGCGCAACCACCAGGATGAGATGGACCGCGAGCAGACCATCCAGCTGACCATCAAGTCATTGCTCGAGGTGGTGCAAACCGGCGCCAAGAACATCGAAGTGGCCATCATGGCACCCGGCAAGCGCGTGGAGATGCTGCCAGATGACCAGATTGAGTCGTACGTCAAGAGCATCGAGACCGAGAAGCAGGAAGAGGCAGCCAAGAAGAAGACCAGCCGAGGAGGCACCACCACAGCGGCCATTCTCACTCGGGGTGGCGAGTCGGCGGAGTAGACCGACTGAGTTAAGGTTCGATTGTGCCAATTTACAGCGCTGGTCTCTTTTCTTCACGAGAACTCAAAACCACGAATTTCTACACATCTCATTTCCGTACTGTACAACATAAAGGTATCGACACCTCGGGGTATCGGTTTATCGCCGGGGAAATAGGCCCGGATGATCGTAGCAAAGCTCAAAAGCGTCAGATCGTCAACATCATGAAACTGCATCCACAAAATGCACGCCCTCTAGCCCATGCGATCCGAGATATCCTTGAACTGGAAAATGGACTTTTCTTGATCGCCGCGGACGCGGTCATCTTTGAGCATTCTGGTCATTGTTAGCATCTGCAGCGAGTCGTAAGTGAATGGTCGCCTTCAACGAACCGGTTGTCCATGCGCGCGTCGTCACCCTCTACTTCCAATCTGGCATTCGGTGTCACGGCCTCGAGAACGAAGTGATTGTCGCAATGCGGGCAAAATTCGTCACTAAGAAAGCCAGCAAAGTCAGTCCTGCATAACCTTCCACCTGCGGAACGTGGGGTAATCATACCTCTCTTCGAACTCAGCAGCGTCCTTGCGGAAGCACTTCTTGCACTTCTTGCATGCAAAAATCTATCTCACGTTCGTCAGACACTTGTTATACCGGCCAATCCGTGCCTCAAAGGGGCTGGTGGGCCTTACCATCTCCTGAGCTTTCTGCAGCATATGGGACTCCTGTTCCTGGTGGCATTCGGCACAGTCGAACCACTTGCGGCCTGATGGATATACATTTGTGAGCGTTTGTATCATGGGAGGGTCTCGTCGAGCGTACAGCAAGGGGAGCGAATAGCCACCTGGGCATTGAGGACGTGTTTACTGTAGGGGCTGTTAGCTACTGAACTTGTAGGCTGAAAATTGGGAGAAGCTATCCCCGTAATTGCTAGCTTTCTAGCTTCCAGCTTTCAGGGCTAGCAAAGAGGTCAAGACTTACCACATGGCGCGGAGAGGGTGCCGGGTTGACGCAAAAGCGAGAAAGATGAACGTTGCGCAGGAACCACGTTGATCTGCCACTCCCGTGATCGTCCTCCACTTTCCCTCCCCGCCACTTTATTTCACCTTCCTCTCGTCTCTACTTACATGACCCCTCATTATTTTTGATTTCCTGGCCTCTGTGCCGCTTGTTATCTGCAGCCGTTTTGTTCTTTCCCCCAGAGTGCCTCGACATCCCTACTGCCCTCACCTACTCCAACTTCCGCATTCTCATACGGCACGAGTTGCTTCCCAGGCATCCGCAATCAAGCTTATGATCGATCCCACTGGCTGGTATTGGCGACGGATTTTTGCTTATGGTCATGGAGGGGAACGGCATGGACCAGGAGAACACGGATGAAACTCCCATTGTACGCTATGGCTTGTCCCATGTGGCACGCGGACCTACTAACCCCGACTTGCAGCGGAGACCGGTATCTTCCTTGCTATCCCACTTCGAAAACCTCGCCCACCGTAAAAGCCAATCGACTGTCGCTAACGGCTCGAATGATACCTCTAATCGCTTCCTGACAACCCCTGAACCCGGTGACGACCACCGGTCCTCAAGCCGCGCCTCCTTGGATCTGCCCCGGTCACACTCTCCATGGAACACAACGGCCGATGAACGACAGGGGCGCCGAAATGAGCAAGTCAATAGCGAGCAGTTACGAGCTCGCGGATCTCCCGGAGTTCGATATGGCCGGCCCATTTCCATGAACTTCAACCAATCGTCGCCACAACTTACACCTACCTTAACCGTCCATTCACCCCAATCGCCGCCGCGAGGTCTCGAGCGCGAGCTACATACAGCTCAGCAGGATAATAGTCGCATGACCAGACCCTCACTTCAGCGAACCAGAGAATCGGTGTCTGCTGGTCCAGCAGCTTCTCGATCGGTGGTGCCGCAGCTCGGTTCTTCTGTTCCGACTGGAGACACAAGTGCACGTCTCTCGCCCAATGCTCCAGGGTTAAATGGCAGTCGTTCGCAGTCAGAGCGAAAGTTAAAGAGTGCATCGCTGCCTCCGCCAGTGAACCGGGCAGATAAGCCAAAGGTCCCGGCCAAGCCGGCAATGTTTTCTCACCCGGATTCGAGCTCCTTAGCTCCTCGGCCAGATCCAGCTTCGTCTGAGGGCCATGTGTCTCCATTCAGTACTCCTCCCAGTAGCCCGGAGAAAACCCCGACCAAACCTGTCTCTATTGGGAAGATAAGACCGTCGCCTGCACGGCCTACCACGGAGCCTCCGAGTCGACGCTCGTTTGACGAACGATCACCCGCACCATCTGCTTATTCAAAACAAGATGCTAGGGAGTTCGGCTTCTCTAGGACTCGTCCGGTCCGCGAACCTTCTCGGGCCTCCAAACCTCTCATGGTACAAATTCCGCCGGCGTCTCCCGCACCTCAGGAGACTTCTACTGCTCCTCCTCTTTCTGCGCAGAGGTTGCGGGCGAGCGACAGCCTCTATGACCGTCCGGGTCTTCCTCCAAGACCAGCAGTTGCGCCTGCTCAGAGAAGTGAATTCCTCCCTGCCCGAGAATCTCCACAGCGCGTGGCTAGCCCAGCACAAATGACACCAGTTGCTCGGTCTATTCCTTCTTTCCCTCCTATAAGTGAGACACCAAGCCAGCGCGAGATACAGCGGCAGCAGTCTTTGCCCCGTGAATCACAACTATCATCAGCATACCAAGAGCGTCGAATAGCGCGGACAGATACAGAAGCAGAGGAATTACCAGCCGATGAACTCCCAGTTTCACGGACTGACTATCCCGATGCATCAAAGGCGAACCGGCGTCCCCCGCTTTTGAAATCAGGACCCAGGGAGATTCTCACGCGATACGATACTCGGCTACTTGATGTGTGCGGCAAATATGTGTGCACAACTGGATACTTGACTCGTGTTTGGGACCTCACTACTGGAGAGCAAGTCTTGAGCATCAGCCATGGGGAAACAGTGAAGAGTCTGTCTCTCGCCTTCAAACCCGGCAAAGGTCTTGAAGACGAGGGCAAACGTCTTTGGGTCGGTACCAGCGCCGGGGAGCTGCACGAAATCGACATCGCATCCCAATCCATTGTCGCTAGTCGGTCTTATCCATCTCGCAGAGAGGTCATTCAAATTCTACGTCATAAGAAGGAAATGTGGACTATTGATGACGAAGGCCGCTTATTGGTCTGGGTGCCAGATGAGACTGGTGTTCCCAATTTACAGTACAGCTACCACTGTCCCCATGAGCGAGTGGCCCGTGGCCAGTTCTCCATGGTGGTTGATGATAAGCTTTGGTTGGCAGCAGGCAAAGACGTTTATATTTACCGGCCGAACACGCGTGATGACACCTCATTCAAGGTTTTCAAGCGCCCCATAGGTCTGCAACATTCAGGTGACGTGACTTGTGGTACATATACTACCCAGGACGGCGGTCGCGTGTATCTTGGTCACGCGGACGGCAAAGTCACTGTTTATTCGTCAACCGACTACTCGTGTCTGGCCGTGGTCAATGTTAGTGTTTACAAGATCAATTGCCTCGGCTTTGTGGGCGACTACTTGTGGGCGGGCTATAAAACTGGCATGATCTACGTGTACGACACGAGAACAAATCCTTGGACTGTGAAGAAAGACTGGCGCGCGCACGACAGCCCTGTTTGTGACTTTGTGCTGGACACCAGTAGCGTGTGGACGATCAACCGTCTGCAAGTAACTTCGCTCGGCACTGACAACTGCATTCGGTTTTGGGATGGAATGCTGGAGGATGACTGGTTAGGTATGTTGGTCACATGGCTTCAATTGATAATCGATCTAACATCACCCAGACGCGCGAATGCAAAATAGAGACGTCGAGTTTTGCAAGTTCCGGGAGATACGTACCGCCGTTATTACCTGGAACGCTGGTGCTTCAACCCCTGGCAGTGTGCGCACGTCGGATTTCATCCGAGATGCCGTCCAACCAGAGAACCCGCCGGATATCGTGGTGTTTGGATTCCAGGAACTTGTTGATCTGGAAAATAAGAAGATCACAGCAAGTACGTGCTTTAGGTCGTTGTGTTCTCGTTATATACTAATTCCCGTCCGCAGAGAGCTTGTTGCTTGGTAGCAAGAAAAAGGAAAATGGCGAGAAAGAACACATGAGCCGGCAGTACCGGGTATGGGCTGACCATCTCACGCGGACTCTGCACGAGTGCATGCCTCTCGATGAATCCTACGTTCTTCTACACACTGCCAACATGGTGGGACTCTTCACCTGTGTCTTCGTCAAGCATAAGGAGCGCCACAATATCAAGAGCATCAATGCTTCCGAGATTAAGCGGGGAATGGGTGGATTGCACGGTAATAAGGTTTGTGGCTCCTGTCTGTGTTCTATGGAGCTTGCTTCTAATCGGTCGTCTCCAGGGTGCTCTGGTCTTCCGCTTCGTTCTAGACGACAGCTCGATGTGCTTTGTCAACTGCCATCTTGCAGCCGGCCAAACACAGACCGCTCATCGCAATAACGACATTGCTGCGATCCTCGAAGCAGAAGCATTTCCCGCAGAGAACAGCCTCACAGCACGGACGGACCAATACGCCAGTGGAGGGGACGGATCCATGATCATGGACCACGAGATCTGTATCCTAAACGGAGACCTAAACTACCGCATTGATTCCATCCCTCGCAATGTCATCATCGACGCCATCCGCCAAAATAACCTCAACAAACTTCTCGACCGTGATCAACTCCTGGCATCCCGCCGCAAGAATCCCGGATTCCGGCTTCGCAGCTTTACTGAAGCCCCCATCACCTTTGCCCCGACCTATAAATACGACGTTGGTACTGACCAGTACGACTCGAGTGACAAGAAACGCTCTCCCGCCTGGTGTGACCGCATTCTCTACCGTGGAGCCGGCCGCGTCAAGCAGCTGGAGTATCGCCGGCACGAGGTCCGTGCTTCCGATCATCGGCCCGTCAGTGCGACCTTCAAGGTTCGCGTTAAAACAGTGCTCCCGCAGGAACGGGCCACCGTGTGGGAGGCGTGCCAGCAGGAGTTCCAGGAGGAGAAGCGGCGGCTAGCTTCTGAAGCTAGGTAAGAGTACTTTCCAACTTGTATTTCTCACCCACTAACGGCAATCTAGTATCGAATATCTCATCACTGTCCTCGGTACCGATCCTCGCCAAGCTCGTTCGCTGATCCTGAAGTGTCAATGAGCGGGTGGTTTGCACTTGAGCCCAGACTCAGGCCCTTTATTATACCTGCGGATGTATATTAAAACGAGTAACGATTTTATGATAGACATGTAATGGATGATGACTAGAACTTTGTTTCTCTGCTACAGTAGGATTTCAAATGTGAGTTGGTGGCAAGAGTCCGGGGTCAAGCTAGTTCAATGTTATTCTACAGCAGGTTTTAAGTTCCAGCCATGCAGATTGTCTCAGCTCGTAGTTTCGGCTATTCAACTCCGTTCCTCATTCGGAATTATTCGATGGCCAATACGAGACGTCACAATGAACCCCTGTACGAAGATCGGCGGTCAAGTTGCCTGACGACCTCGGGGTGCTAGTCTGTTTAACCGTTCCCCGCACCGGAGTACTACATAATAAATGGCATACATATAGAAGAAAACTCCGCATGCCATCTCTGCTCTCAAGTTTGCGGTACGGTGCTTAATTGACTCAATTCACCATGTTTATCTCGTCTTTGGCTATGCTGGCCTTGTTGCCATCCGCGAACGCTCTTGTGAGGAAGGATGGAGTGGTAAGGCCTGATTCAAATTCAATTGAGCCAGCGATGGCGCCGCTAACCCGTACAATTCGATAGGGTCGATTGCCAGGTATGGAATACTGTTCGACTTTTATATTTGACATATTAACAGCAGAAAGCACTCGGTTGGAATAGTTGGAACGCCTTCGGATGCGATGTAAACGAAGATAAGATCATGACTGCTGCCAATGAGATGGTCAAGCTGGGGCTGAAAGATCTTGGATATGAATACGTGAATAGTAAGAAACCCACGCCTCCTGCGACTCTCCACATTGTCATGAACATTTAGTTAATTTGGTACGCTAGTCGACGACTGCTGGTCCATGAAGACCGGCCGCAACAGCATGACAGGTCGTCTGATGCCTAATATGACCTCGTTTCCCGACGGCATCTCGGGTGTTGCGGATCAGGTACACGGTCTTGGTTTGAAGATCGGCATTTACAGCAGTAAGTATATCTCGCGTTTATATATTTCGCCTTGCACATGCGCTAAAATGGGCTTCAGGTGCCGGCGAGACTACCTGTGCAGGCTATCCTGCTAGTCTTGGACATGAAAGTCTCGATGCCGAAACTTGGGCGGGATGGGGAATTGACTACCTCAAATACGACAATTGCGGTGTGCCATCTAACTGGACTGATCAGTACAATTTCTGTGTACCTGACGGCTCGGGCAACTTCCCTAATGGAACCTGCCCCAATCTGTCCAATCCAGCTCCTGCCGGCTATGACTGGACCAGTTCCAATACATTCAAGCGCTACACCGCTATGCGTAATGCTCTGCTTGGCGAGAAAAGAACTATCCTCTATTCCCTATGTGACTGGGGAGACGGGGATGTCAACACCTGGGGTAATGAAACGGGTAACTCGTGGCGCATGTCTGGCGATATTAGCGGTATGTTTCACTCGCTTCAAGCCTACGAAAGGCTCTGACCAGATACAGCATCTTGGAGCCGCATTGCGGCGATTACCAACGAAAACAGCTTCAAAATGAATTACGTTGGTTTCTGGGGTCACCCCGATCCCGACATGCTTGAAGTTGGTAACGGGGACGTGACCGACGCTGAAGCGCGCTCCCACTTTGCTCTGTGGGCAGCCATGAAGGGTCCTCTGATCATCGGCACTGATGTAGGCTATAACTTGGAGTATTAATCTCTAACAATTCGTACTAACTTCGTCTCCAGCTCGACACGCTGAGTCAGGCCAACCTGGCCACGATCAAGAATGAGTACCTCATCAAATTCAACCAAGATCCGGTCGTCGGTCGATCCGCTCACCCTTACAAATGGGGATATAACCCAGACTGGACGTTTGACCCAGTTCACCCAGCCGAGTACTGGTCGGGCCCATCGTCGAATCTCGGGGGAACTCTTGTGTTGATGCTCAACTCGGAGAACTCCACTGCCACTCGTACTGCGATCTGGGAAGAGATCCCCGAGCTCAAGGGTGGTAGTTCGTATCATGTAACTGACGCTTGGAGTGGAAAAGATCTGGGTTGCGTCAAGTCGCAGTATAGCTCGACTCTGGCGAGCCATGACTCGGCGGTGTTGGTGGTCAAGGGCTGTTGCTAGAGAACTGTATGACTTCATACGACCGAGCAATGACTTTGTCACATTTTGAATGTGAAATTGAGCTTTTTGGCAGTTGTTATGTAGTTCGTTCTATTCAAATACTGGATTTCACATCTTAGAGCAACCCGGCTCATATCACATAAGACTAAATACTTTAGCTGGGTCAACATTCTCGACGACTGCCGCCTGGTTGATGGCATAGCCCACCGTACACAGCTCTCTTTGTTTCATTTAATCGACGCTGAATTGACCCGGAACAAGGAGCTCACGGAAATGCCGTGCATGGACTCGACACAAGGTGGTAATTATAATAGAGGTGTAGTTATATGATGAGCAACGGGTAATAATATTTATGCAGTAATAAAATAGCTATGACGGCGAGGTATCAACATCTTAGAATACGTTCCACGACTTAAGTGGGTCTATGGATGTTGATCTCCTAGTAGATATACCGGAAGCTGTAAGGACGCGTTAGCAAACAGTATGACAATCTCGTACCGTTCAACACAACATGAAGGGATCAGGAAAAAAAACATACTTCAAGTTCTCACGGTCAGTCAAATCCAGGAACGCAGTCGAGTCAAGGTCCCTTCCCTCGAGGCCACCCTCCATTTGAGACTGGATGCGATCGCGTTTCCTGTTCTCCCAGCGAAGGAGTAGGCCGAGTGTAGTGATGAGAACAGCCTCAATCAAGTGCGAGACGATCATCGACCAAATTCCAAGCTCATACGTTGGTCTATGAATATGAATTGCGTTAGCACCTGAGCTATATTGATGGATAATTGATGAGTAGGCCGTACGATTGATCGGTTTTGTAGAAGAATGGTCCCGCAATATTTCCGGTGCAGTAGCCGAGGAAGAGTACTGCATTGGTGACAACCTTCTTGGTATGTCCTGCAAAACAACATTTGCATCGTTAGACATGAACTACCCTACTTATTTGGGAAACGAAACAAGTTACCTGCGGTGTTTGCAATCTGCATACTCAAGATGAGAACGAATGCGGCATTATACGGCCCGGTCAGGTAATAGCAGATCAACCGTCCAATATGATGCTGGGTAGGAACAAAACGGAGCCCAAAAGCGCCAGCTAGATTTGGAATGAGGAATATAAGGACGAAGATACATCTTCGGTTCTCGAAACGATCGTTGAGAAAGACACATGCCAGAATAGACAGTGCGATGAAGACTCCGTAGGGGATCTGAATACGGTATTCATGTTAGAGCCAGCCAATTATGAAAGTAGGGGCCAAACGAACCTGCATTAAGGTTGTTACCAAGGTGGAAAACCCAAAACCTTTAATAATGATAGTTCCAAAATTAGAAATACCGCCATTGGGAATGTTGCCTGCTTTATTTAGTGGCAACACTTTGAATAACCTGTTGGCTTCAACTTACAGACAACCCCCAGAATGAAGAACATGTAGAGCTTATAGTCCATGAAAGCTTCGAGGATTTGATAAGGCTTCATGTGTTTGTTCTCAACACCAGTCTGGTTCTCCCTCAGTCGGTCGACAGCGATCCGACGCTCTCGCTTAGTGAGGCCACGAGCAGTCACAGGCGAGTCGGGAAGGAAGATGAACATAACGATACCCCAAGTAGCACAGAGCGCGCCGCTAGTCAAAAGTCAACAAGAGACTTTTGCGATCCGCAAGTCGGTCTTACATCACAATAAACTCGTATTTCCATGAAGGAAGCGCACCGCGGATATGCCCGATGCCGTAACCGAGTAGACCACCCAGGGCGATACCTATGCCGTTCGCGGTATACCAGAGACCAAGGCGAACAGGCTGCTCACGACGGGTATACCACATACTGGTAATTAACATGAAGGCAGGGTCGGAACATGCTTCGGCAGCACCGCCCAGGGCACGAAGAACCGCGAGAGTCTCAAAACTATTGCATGCTGCCTGAAGCATGAGGAAAAGGCCCCTGTTGCTGTGTGTGAGCCATAATCAAGGAACCAAGGAACTCGACACCGAATGCGCAACTTACCACATGAAGATGTTTGCTCCGAGATATTTCCCTGGAATTTCAATTAGGTCTGAGGTTGCGCGTTTGGTCAGAAGATGAAATACCAATTGGAAGGCGTTGCATGAGAAAATTAGTAGGGAACGCCCAGGCAAGGAAGCCAAAGTAGAAAATACTACTTAGCCAGTTATACTGGGTGCCGTGTAGGTTCAGGTCATCTCGCATATCAAAGATGGCGGCGTAGCTAAGAGTTGTCTGATGCAAAGGGAATGTTAAGAAAGCGGGCTTTAATTGCGACGGCAGTAGCTGAACTGACTTTATCAATGTAAAAGAAAGCATAGCAGACAGCGAGATACGGTAGAATCATGAAATCAATCTTCAAGAGAATTCTCTTTGCCTCTGCTGGATCGACAGGCTCGTGGAGCTCGGCCGGGTCATCGAAAAGAGCCATGGCGGTATCGCCATCGGCGTTCTTGACGGACTTCCATTTGACCTGTGCTTGGCTGCTCTCAGCGTGTGCAATGGCAGGGGCGACATCAACATCGACCTTTGAGCCATTGTTGGCCATGTTGAAACAATGGCTCCCGAGTTATAGTATGAGTTCTGGTATACTCGAGGCAGGGGAAGGCGCGACAGAATGACGGGTGATGGGAAGAAAAGGAAAACGAGGAGGACTCGCAGTATAAAACAGCGATTCGTGGGGATTAAGGTGGCCGGGCCTAAAATCGGGAACTATAATCACCAGGAACTACTCCAACCTCCCTGCGTGATACCGTATTTTCCGCCTTCGTCCATCGCAGGCCTGCTTCCCCCGCAAGAAGTCAAAGCTTAAAAGAGTCAGAAAATCAAACAAAACGAAGGCTGCGGGGAAGACCCAGTTAATTCCCCACACAGACCTTGGCATCACTCGAAGATCCAGCGCTCAGCGGACGGATTCCTCTTGGCTGACGAGCTGGATCATCGGAAATGCGCCGTGTCCTGCGTCAATTCTCACGCGCGGAAAGATGTCCGTAGATAAGGGATGTCTCAACAAGACATGCAGCTATCCACTTATCCAATGGTGGCAGGGATGGCAGGGATATGCACGTCGGGAGAAGTCCGATATTAATACGCCTGTGGCTTCATGGTCATTCTCTGGCGTATTTGATAGGTGGGCTTTGCCTCGTGATGCTTCCAGGTCAGACACGTCGATCCTACACGAACAGCCCCAGCTCGTCCTACAATGGTCAAGCGGCGTGGGGTCGCGGGGGATTCGGGGATGAGTGCGAAGTCTACTTGCCCCATACTTTCCATGAAATGGGGCAATTTGTCGTATAGATAGTTGCCAAGAAGCCTCACTACGATCGGCAGTGTGGGGTTGACTGCATAGCCCTTATTTCTAACGATGTAATGGAGGGATAAGCAAATTGTTCATTACTTTTGTTATATCAATAAGCCAATATCAATAGTTGCCCGTGTCCATGTTCCCCATCGCTAATGTTAAATTTTACCTATAAATGCAATCTCCCTTTTATTTAGTATGTTGAAACAAGATACCTGATCCCACGAGGCAGGTCTATCACTGACGTCTACCTTCGGTTGAAATTGAGGAATCGCGACTGACAAAGTTAGCCAGACCCATATCTGTGATGATCGACTGGAATGCACTTACTGCCAGGAAGAGAATGATCAAATTCGACCCAACATACGCGATGAAGATACCCAGGTCTCGCCAGCGGTTGTCAAAGTGCATGCTGAACGTCGAGTAAAACTGATCACCGACCTTGTAGGCACAGTACTCGCATGCCTGGGTCGCATTGTTCAAAATATACCCTGCGCCACCACGATCAAAGAATTCCTGCATGTATTCACCACATGTCTCGTTTGCGGGCGCCTGGAAGCGATTGAATTCAGCACTGGAACATATCACCTTTCGACCATGAAGCTCCGTAACGACCATGCCACCAATGAGCCGGTTAAACGGATCCAGCTGATAGAGCCAGGCTCGCCAGAACTTCGGCATTTGTGGTTTCGGGATTGCGACACCGCAGAATAGCGAGAAAATAATCACGATCGGCGGGTTGAGCTGCGATGCGATGAAGCTGTTCGGAGTCAGAGCCGAGATCATTTGGCCAAGGGTGACGGCAAATATCTCGGTGATAAGAACCATGAAGAACTGGTATCCGGCTCTGCTGGACTCGGTTTGGAATCCGGGGATGTAGTAGAGCGGTAGGAAGAAACAAACGGCACACAGAATGCTGTATGGTAGTTCTGCAGAGACCATAGAAATGGCGAAGGCAAATTGACTGTATGTTTTCGAAGCGGATTCTCGGTAGAAGATCAATCTCGAAAGATCGTATCGGGGCTCAACTTGTTGCAGGATGATAGCTGGCAGCACGGTCACGTTGAATATGACAAAGATACGGTACTGCAGCGAAGAGCGAGAGTCATCGAGTTGCAAGAATGCTAAGCCGGTGATAAGAGCGATCACGACGTGCGTGAAAAGCCGAGTGAATCCGTAGTTGCGAGACCGCCAGAAGGCCAAGTGAGTTCGTCGGCCAACTACCTTGATTTGGTGCCAAAGGGGCGAGGCATACTCCTTCTCGACCTTTTGCAGATTTGGATCCGAGCTTCGACGAACAGCCTGGACACGATCTTCTTTGATCTGAATGATTTCTTCCTTCAGCATCTCTTGCTCGGGTGATGTACGCCAGATGTCACCCCAGTCTCTATCGCCAATTCGGCGTGTCTGGCCAGCGCCAATAGCATCCAACATCCACTCAGCCGGGTTCGCATCTGGCGGGCAGTCGGCACCGTTGCGGCGGAAGTAATCCAGCAAGATACGTGAGTCCGGTCCGATGTCACCAAAATAGATGCATTCACCACCTCTCTGGAGAAGCAGAAGTCGGTCGAATGACGTGAAAAGGGCGGAGTTAGGCTGATGAATCGTGCAAAGGATGGCCTGCCCTGCTGCTGCAAGTTTCTTCAAGAACCGAACAATATTAAAGGCCGACTGACTGTCCAGTCCAGAGGTGGGCTCGTCCAAGAAAAGTAGAAGCTCAGGCTTCGCTGCCAACTCCACGCCAATCGTGACCCTCTTTCTCTCTTCAACCGAAAGACCGGTCTCCGGCGTTCCAATGATCGCGTCGGCAAGGTTTTCGAGTTCGAGAAGGCTGATGATTTCTTCAACGTAGGCGTACTTTTCCGATCGTGGTGTCTCAAATGGTTGGCGGAGATCTGCAGAAAAGCGCAGTGCCTCGCGAACAGTTTGCATGGCCTCGTGAGTATCCTGCTGCTCAGCGTAAGATGTCCCACGCTGGAATGAATTCCTAGGCGGCTTCCCATCGACGAGAATGTCACCCTTGATCACACCGATATTCTTTCTCGCTGCCAAAACGTCCAACAAAGTTGTTTTACCCGCACCAGAGGCCCCCATTAAGGCTGTCAGTTTACCGGGCTGAACATAGCCGTAGACTGAATTCAACAGCTTTCTTGTACCCGAGGCGACCGGCACCTCGTAGGAAACATCTTCCCAGGTGAAAACAGAAGTCGAGCTAATTTTGAGATTGGCACCTCCATCCACGGTCTTTGACTGGCGATTGGCCTTCTTTATCTCCAAAATTCGATTCAGCTCTTTGCGCTCCTTATTCTCCTTCTGGTAGAAGGTGATTGTTTTACCGCCAGCTCCAAACTGAATTGTCTCGCCAAAGTAGAGGTTAGTACCGAGGAAGCCAATGATCAGGGCCAACATGATCCCAAAGTTGCGCCAGAGGTCGCCATGATAATAGCTGAAGGTGGTTGCTAGATAGCTGGAGCCTGGGATGATGTCTGAGCCCGCGTTCCCGCCAGCCAACGTACAAGCTTGATGAGCAATATCGTCATAGCCGGGCCCATTTGGCACCAGCGAGCTTTGAATGCATGTCATTGTGAGCCGACTGAACTCGTTAACCATCAAGGACGCGAAACCAAGACCGAACGGATTGATGTAGTAGATCCACCTCAACCAAACCTGCGCGCCCTTCCATTGTATGAGGTATCCCGAAGTCAAGACGAAAAGAGTAATCATCACAGCAGCAAATTTCATCGCGTAGTCAAAATCAGGACTGAGACATCCGATCGTGCGGAAGAACACGGTCATACACACGTAGCCCGTGAGAATGATCAAGACGAAGGTGAAGAAAGCACCCGCGTCCAGAGCCAGACCGCACATGAAATAGACGATGATGCTGAAAACGAGGATTCGTGCGATCGCAAAAGATGTGTCCACAAGAATTTGGGCGATGAAGAGGGCACTCGGTCGGTAGAATGTAAAGGATCGGTGTTTATTGACAATTGCCCGACCCAGCATGGTCGAAGCAAGCTCGGAAAATGCCTGGAATCCATTGAACAGCATGCTAATGAACAAAAGACCGCCTCTTGTGAAAGCACCAGCGCTGGTCTTTGGCTGCTTGAGCCAGACGGTACCCAGGATAATAGCGATGCCAGTTGAAGTAATCCATGACACCGTGAGGGCAAACTTGTCTTGCCACTTGATCAGGAACTGGCGTTGCATCAAGGCCCAGATCTGTAGGTGAAAGGGGATAGAGTACACCGAAGTTTTGGGTGTAAACTTTCGCTTTGCCTCTTGATTTGCAATTTCGAAGTCATCGTAGATTTGCTTTTGCTGTTGGACCTGAGCTCGGTATGCCTGCATTTCTTCGTCCAGTCTCTTGCTGTGGACTGAGTTTTCGAAAGCCTCCACGAGTGCTCCTGGTGTAGACGGCACATTCTCCGCATTTCGACCGTCCTTGAATTCCCTCTCAAATGGATCCGTGCATCCTGTGAGGTAGTCTGGTGTAGTTTGACGAGGTTTCTGTCGGAACCCAAGGCCTTCAAAGTAGGCTCGTGCTTCAGTCGTGGGTCCGAAGAAGACTTGTCGACCGTTGTCTATCACAAGCACCTTGTCAAATTGTTTGTAGATATTCTCGGAGGCCTGGTAGAGAGACACGAAAGTCGTGGTCTTGTAAATGTTGGTCAAAATCCGCAGCGACTTGGCAAAGTCGAGGGCGGTTGAGGCATCGAGACCGCGAGTGCTGTTGTCCCAGGCCAACACGGTCCCAGAGGTAATCATCATCTCGGCGATACTGACTCGCCTTCTCTCTCCACCACTAACACCACGAATGAACTGGTTGCCGATGACGGTATTTGCAGTGTGCTCGATGTTGAACATCCGAAGTAACATTTTCACAACTTTTTCCTTGAATTCGGCCTTGGATACGCCGAATGGGCGCTTTCCAGGAGTCTTGGTGTCTAGTGCAAACCCCAGAGTCTGTTCCACGGTCAGAGTCGCCTGATGGATGTCATCTTCCTGGTTGTATACGGCCTCGCCACGGAACCTTTTGGCAAACGTCTCGGATTCAAATGGACCGTACATGACTTCTCCATCAACACCGGTAAAGCCGAAGCGCTGGTTTGCGATCACTTTGAGGAAGGAAGTGCATCCGGATCCTGGTCTGCCCAGAACCAGCACCATTTCACCCGGTCGTGTGAGACCTCGAAACCCTTCGAGGATCTTGAATTCGGTTCCCTTCTTTCCATAACCAAAAATGTTCATGAGCGTTTCCGGGACGTTGAAGAAGTCGATTATGGCGTCTGGAAATGTCTTGATGATAGTCTTCATACCGCCCATTCCACGGACCGTGAGGTTGCTCCAGATAACGCCTGCAGTTTGTTAGATTTAGGACTTCTGCTCTATGTTTCTGAACGCACCGATGTGTTTATCCTTAATTCCAGCCTCTTCCTCTGCGGCTCTATTTCCACGCAGGGCAGTCTCCAGATCCCAACTCTCATTCGACTCGGCAAAACTTTGAGCCTTTTCTACATCCTCGGCAGTGGGAGTCGGCTTCAAGGCTCGCGATGCTTGTTTGGACAACCGCCGGGCACGATGGGAGATGTTAGAGAGTTGTTTGTTTAACTCCAAGAAGTCCTCTTCAGCTTTTTCAACGTCGACGCCAGATCGTATGGATATCACACCCTGCGAGTCGGAAGTGGTCTCTTCATGGCGCTCGTAGCTACGCGTGGGCAGAGAGTCAACCTCGGAGTCAAGACTATCTCTCATCATCGTCTTCTCACCCGCAGCCTCGATGGTTGATGCTGGAAGCATGGTGGACACTCTATGAGCTGTGATCTCGTTAACGTATCCCGCTCCCCAGCACTATCATCGGATAAGAGCACTCCAACACCGTGACCCCCAGAGTTGCTCTCTTGTATAAGGTAGGCCCGAGAGTCAAAGCAAAGTAGACTCAAAACACGCTGGACAACCCCGGTGAGCAGGAAAACGAGAATATTGAAGACAAAAGCAAGTCAGAGGAATCTAAAGGAAAGAAAAAAATATGTTAAGCCAAGACTAAAACTACACTAGGCTAATTCCCAAGTCCGTTCTTGATCCCACATTTCCCTGGTTCCCTCTCGGCTCCACCTTGACAGGGGTCTTAAGCCCTCGGTGAGAAAACAGTGATCAAATCGCAAGGCAATGCCATACTTAAGAAGTAGCGGTGATGAATAAACCTAGCTTTAGGCTACTCTGGTTGGTAATACTTCGACTCATCACGTCGGTTGACCCATGCGTCGGTGAAGGGCGTGCTAGTCAGTAGGAAAGCGCAGGTTCCATGCGGCAAAACGCCGGCAAGTTACATCCCGGACGGATATTGAGGGGGTGGGGTCGTATGAGCGGCATCTTCCGGTCCATGTCCTTGTTGGATTAGACCAGCCGATGCCAAGCTCTCGGGCTCCTTTTGGGGCTCAGATGAGCGTTTGCCCCAGTGAGTCACAGTGAATCTTTAATTCACTGAACCTCGCAGACCTATGAGTGGCTTCAACGTCCGTGAAGAGTAGCCATCCACGGACAATACCGATGTGGGGAAGAGTCGAGACTCGGGGTCCGCGGGGCCACATTCACTGTTTGTCTCCGGTAAAAATGTCCGACTCCCAGCTAGCGTTATTCTGCAGGCCAAGAGTCTCTCGGGTACTGATCCCGGAGGGTTGACCGTTTCTCCCAGGTGGTCTGTCCACGTCCCTAAAATTATGCGCTTCGATCTTCAGTTGTTCCCTGGAATTTGAAATCTATTTGATCGGTCAACTTTACATCAAATCTACCCCGGAAACTACCATCCCAGTTGCCAAGCCCACCATAAGCTAAACAATCCCCGTTACACACCCCTTTCAACAGTTCTTCTTTTACTATAAAATCATCTTTGCATCCTGGTCTGGCCCTTCGTGTTATGCCTTTTATTTCCGGTACGCTCTAACCCAAATGATCTTGCCCTATGGTAGGAGGCAGCTACTATAAAGCTGAAAGATTGCCTACGGCTCTTTGGCCAACCGTGTTTTCTTCCTACGTTTGAGCATAGAATATCATTGGTGGCCAATCACATAGATGCCCATCCCATGACCGATGTCAAACGTAATCCTAAGGCAGTACACGTGATCGTGGCAAAATCCAATCTTAAGCAACTATCTTGCGAGAAAGACGTTGTCGAAGCATTTCAACCGTGACCGCATCTGTCTCACTTCACTCCAAGATCATGTCTGGTGATCCCATTCCCAAGCTTGCGGTTCTTATCGACGCAGACAACGCGCGGCATGCCACCATAAGTCTCCTACTCGCAGAAGTCGCGAAATATGGCACAGCTCATGTGAAGCGGGCATATGGGGACTGGACTAGTTCCAACATGAATGGCTGGAAGAACGAGCTCCTTATTCAATCGATACAGCCAATTCAGCAGTTCGCTTATACCACTGGCAAAAATTCGACTGACTCGGCAATGATAATTGACGCAATGGACCTTCTGTACACGAACCGGTTTGATGGCTTTTGCATCGTGTCTAGCGACAGTGACTATACCCGGCTGGCCGCTCGTATCCGCGAGTCTGGAATGACCGTGTACGGATTCGGGGAGCACAAGACGCCTAAGCCCTTCGTCTCTGCTTGCGATAAATTTATTTATAACGAAAACCTCGTGAACCTCGAGGAGCTGGTACCGCATGCCGACAATGGTGTCGCGCACAAACATAACCCTCCAGTCCAGAAGCCCCTGGATAGTGAGCACCTTAAAAACCAACTGCGAACGACGGTGGAAACAGCCTCCGATGACGATGGATGGGCTAGACTCTGCACGGTCGGACAGCTCCTCACAACTCAATACCCTGACTTTGACCCTCGTACCTACAGATATTCTAAGCTCAGTGATCTAATTATTGCCTCGTCTTTGTTCGAGGTTGCCCGTCGACCCCATCGACAAGGCTTGCCTTCGGAATTTTGGGTACGCGATAAACGTCGCCGAGAAAAAAAAAGCTGATCAATGAAAAAACAGAATGATAATGTTTGGAGAGATTATAAGTCTTGGCTACGAATAACTGTGGAGGAAGGGAAAAGAAGTCATAGGCGGAAGATGCTGACTTGACCACGTGGGGAAAGATTCCTGACGGAGGCTAATGCCTTGTTCACGCGTTAACTTTACAGGGATTGGTCCTTAAAACCCACAAAGAGTCTTTTCTTTGTTCAAAAGATCTTTCCTTGCTGCCGAGGAGATCTTCGTATGGGCGGCGTGGAGCAGACAAGGCAAGATCACCGAATCCCCTCGTTTCATTGAGGGACGGCCGGGAAACGCTAGCCGGCAATGCCAAAAGACTATCATTGCGCACGAGCTGACGAAGTCCGTGGCTCCCGGCCCTATGTACTACATAGGAGTCGTAACAAAAGCATGTTTAATTAGCACGTATCCGAGTTCAATATACCATTTGCGCGATTTAAACTATCTTAAGGGGCTTGCGGAGAACGATTCGTGACCTATGGAAGTTTAAACCTAGAAGTTTGCTAGAAAGTTCCGGGGTGTTTACCGACCCTTCAACTATGTATGGCCAGGCGTATTTGACGCCATCTTAATATAAAACATGCACGGCATGTCATTGGCATGTTTTCTATGGATAAAAGCTCTGAATGAGTTCTCAGGTAATTAGGAATTAGCCATATCGAGCTTGAAATATTCTTTCGGTGTTAACTGCTGGGGGCTGGCCGTGAAGCATGATCGGGTCATCTGCGGACCAGAATCTATAAAGGAAAAGGGGGTCGTGCGGGGGTCGCGGGGTCCCGTCTCCACCGTACAGTCGGTCAGGTACTCTCGGCTATGCGGTGGAAGCTTGAAGAAGAGCCAGGCAAATAGGGGAGACCGGGCAGCCTCTGATTGCTGAGATTGGAGACTAGCGGTATTCGCTTACCCCACTCCTCGTTAATGAAGCCATGCTAGCACTTATCAGGAACCAGTCACACGCGCGGGATCAGGACTAGGTTATCAGTTGGTAGCAGCTAATTTCGGACCCCCGACGGAAATCAAGCACGAATCTCAACAATTCCGCAGTGAAAAGTAAACAGCGTTACACTTCCCCTCCCAGAGAACTAAACTACACGATAAAAGTGCCGCTAGTCTGAGCAGGGTAGCATTCTCGCCAATGGTTGTATCCAAGACTCACGATCTTGGTCACGGACTCCGAACTATTTCGCCTTTCCCACACTAATAGGAACACAATGCATATTCTTAGTCTACACAATGCCACTGGAACCCCGCCACTAGTAACCTACCCCATCCGAGACCGGTCTCTCCCGGTTGTTAATAAATAGTAGAAGGTCCCAGTTTTCGTTGAGCAGCAGCAGCATTCTCCTTTGCTGTGATCATTGTTCCTGTGCGCAAGGAACTTGCAGGGTCGACACTAGAGACCTGCAGAGGAGACCATAGCCCACGGTAACAGGTTCCTATCGATAATCATGTACTCTCTGGGTCTTGCTGCGCTGTCTCTGCTCTGGGCCACTACTGGTGCCCAGGCAGCAGTTGCAAGACGGCCTCTTCCACCTCCCGTCACGGCCGAGTCGACAGCGAACTTCGGCCATGCCACTTTTGACCAACTTATCGATCACAACAATCCGAGCCTTGGGACCTTTCCCCAGCACTACTGGTGGAACTCCGAATGGTGGGGTGGAGAGGGTTCGCCGGTACTTATACTTCTCCTCGAAGCTTTCAATTGATACATCTTGCTGACCACAAGACAACAATTAGGTTGTGCTCTTCACCCCTGGTGAGGAGGCTGCCGCTCAGTATACCGGCTACCTGACAAACAGGACTCTCACTGGCCTTTACGCCAAAGAGATCCAAGGCGCAGTGATCGTGATTGAGCGTATGCCTTATCAACCGTCTAAGCCTTTGGGGACTGACTAAGACTAATTCTTTCTTCATAGACCGGTACTGGGGCAACTCAACCCCGTACGCTGATTTGTCAACGGAGAACCTGCAGTACCTGACTGTGGGAAATGCCGTTGCCGATCTCGCCTACTTCGCCAACACCGTGGATCTTCCTTTTGACACAGACAGCAGCAGCAATGCCCAATACGCCGTATGTTTGCGAGATCTTTATCAAAATATCTGGACTAATTTAGATTCTTCTTTCTAGCCGTGGGTTTTGAGTGGAGGGTCTTACAGTGGAGCCCTTACTGCCTGGACCGAGTCAACCTCCCCTGGTACTTTTTGGGCATATCATTCCACCAGTGCCCCCGTGGAGGCAATCTATGACTACGTGAGTTCTTAAAAAGACCCAATCAGCCTAGGTTTAGCGCTCACATAGGCATTCAGTGGCAATACTTTATCCCCGTCCAAGAAGGGATGGCGAAGAACTGCAGTCGGGACGTTACCCGCGTTGTCGACCACATCGACAGCGTTTATGAAGCTGGAAATGAAAAGGATATCCAGGATCTGAAGGATATGTTCGGTCTGGGTGACTTGGAGTTCGATGACTTTGCAGCGTAATGTCCCTATTTCTCCTTTGGAAGGCCAGAACTAACGTGGACTGATCAGTGCGCTGGAGAATGGACCCTGGCTATGGCAGTCCAACAGCTTCTACACGGGATATTCCTCCTTCTTCCAATTCTGCGACTATGTTGAGGTGTGTCATTCTATCAACTTTGATGATTTGAGATCGCAATCTGACATGACTTTTTAGAATGTCGATCCAGGCGCGAAGGATGTACCAGGGCCAGACGGAGTTGGCCTTGAAAAGGCGCTCGCAGGATATGCCAAGTGGTTTAAGGAGATTTATTTCCCCAAATGTAAGTCAAAGCCCGCTTCCATGGAGCCGGGGCATCTCCCTAACATAAATTCTCAGCATGCTCCAGCTATGGCTACTGGACTGACCCATACACTACCGCTTGTTACGACACATATAATGCGTCAAACCCCATGTACACCGATCATTCAACGGGCAATACCATGGACAGGCAGTGGCAGTGGCTGCTCTGCAACGAGCCCCTCTTCTACTGGCAAGAGTAAGCATCAACTAATGCCTTACATTGAAATGTGTTACTGACTGAGTTTCAAGTGGCGCACCCTCCAATGTCCCATCTCTTGTCTCGCGAACCGTGAACGCCGCTTACTGGCAAAGACAATGCCCCCTCTTTTTCCCCGAAGTTAATGGTTACACCTACGGTAGCGCAGAGGGAAAGACTGCCGCGGGCGTCAATGCATGGACCCAGGGGTGGGATTTGACGGACACAACTCGACTGATGTGGGCAAACGGGTACGTTATTGGCTCTCCTATCTTCCAACTTTTAGCTCTTGGCTTCGTTTACAATGTCCGCAATATTGACGATAAAATTCTTTCTAGACAATTCGACCCCTGGAGAGAAGCCGGAGTGTCGTCAAGCACCCGCCCGGGTGGACCACTTCAGTCGCGGCCCTGGGCACCTTTGCATATCATTCCTGGTGGCTTCCACTGCTCAGATCTTATTGTGGAGAACGGAGCTGTGAATGAGGGTGTTCAGAAGGTCATCGATGCGGAGATTGCGCAGATCAAGTCCTGGGTAGATGAGTACTATATGGAGTATTGGTGATCGGGGCCCCCCTTCAGCAATCCGACCCCGCCCCCCCCCCTGCCTGATTTTGGTCGGATTACCAATTCCCACTGTATAGTTATAAGAAGTGAGGAACTAGAGCAGGCACTGGGCAATAGAATCTCTTCAATAATAGCCAATTGACTATATTAACGAGGCTTTCGAGTGCTTTGCCCATCTTTTTTCAAAAATTTCTCTCGTGTACCCTCAGACTGATCACCAAGCATCCAAATACTGGTTGGTTAATCATGTCTCGCAATGCATGGACCAGTTCACACTGTTTCTTTCCGCCTAGGCGTCCTCTTGATGCACTCAAAAGCCCGGGGGGACGCTAGTAAGAACGGGCATATCATTGATTGATATTCTAAACGGGGCAGTATAGAATGTTCCTCCAGCAGGTAGAGAGAAATTCATTATTATGCGTGACTGATCTTATCTTGAAGCTAGATGTTCAAAATGTTCATCTTACCCATTTTGGACAAAGATGCGCCGGTCCAATCAGAGACGCCCCCGCCATTTGCCCACTCCACCAGATTTCCGGCTCCTATTTCCATAGCATCCCTTTCCCTATCTGTTTTCTTCTATTTCTCATCCCTGTATGCCATTGATGGTTCATAACCATTTTCCTATTCGAACTTTGAACTCGTCGCGCTGAAATATGGCCGAAACATGGGTTGTGGTCGGTGCCTCCAGAGGTATCGGCTTGGAGTTCGTGAAGCAACTTCTAGGTCTTGGCCACAATGTGATAGCCGGTGTCCGAAACCCGTCTGGAGCAGAGGAGCTCTCGAAGTTGATTTCTAGCCAATCGAAACCAGAACGTTGTTTGGTCGAACAATGTGATGTAACGAGCGAGGACAGCATCAACGTGAGTTAGCGTGGCGTGAATCAGACCAAATTACGATTTATTCTAACTTATAACCCAGAACTTCGTTATCAAAGTGGGCGAGGCCGCTCAACGTGGGATGATTGTGAAGAATGTTGTCCTGAATGCCGGCGTGCTCAAGTATCCCAATCGAGCAACAGAAATGTATGATTTCAGTTACATGTTACTGAGATAACACTGACGCTCGAAACATAGTTCCTTTTCGGACTTTACCCTTCATTTGCATACTAATACCATCGGGCCCATTCTCTGCGCACAGAAACTAATTAAATTGAACCCTGAACATCCGCCTTCAAAGGTAGTTTTTATCTCCTCTGATTCCGGATCGACAGCCTTGTTTCGAAGTCATGAGGATGGGTTCGGGGCATATGGTGCGAGCAAAGCTGCGCTCAATCAGATGCTGAGGCACATGGCGGCAGAGCTGGAACGCTGCGGTGGAGGCCGGAGTAAAACTACGATTCTTGCTATGCACCCTGGTGAAGTTGAAACGTAAGTGGGCGCCTTGAGTTTGGAGGTTCTACGGCTGATATATTCGTAGTGATATGGCCAATGTCGAGCTAGGATGGCAGGTGGATGGTACAATTCAGCCCCCTGAAAGCGTGAAGGGGATGCTCCAGGTGGTTGAAGAAAAAGATGAGAAAGATAATGGTACATTTTGGTGCTGGGATGGCCGGGTGAGTTTCTTCAGAACCATAATCTCAAAGGGATACTAATACATAGCATATAGAGCCACCCCTGGTAAGAAATTTTGTATTTGAGATGTGCGAAATCAATATGAAAAATGCTCTCTTCTTCCAATTTCTGATTTGGAGATGCGACGTCTGAGCATAACATGAAGCGGGTGGGTTGGTACGATTACAAACTACGTCGTAAGTGATCTCCACTACGGGGGCTGTACTGCGCTCGCTATTTTTCAAAATTCTGGTCATCCCACAACAAGGCCGGCTGGCCCAATGGCAAGGCGCTTGACTACGAATCAAGAGATTGCAGGTTCGACCCCTGCGTCGGTCAATTTTTGATGTTTTTGGTTAGCTATCTATCTCTATTTTTGCCTCTGGGGAAGATGAGATGCTGAAACAATCATTTTGGTCACGGCGTGGTTTGTGTGTGGGGGGCAAGAAGCAAACGCATGGGTATTGCGAAATAGCGGGCGGCATCCAATATTTGAACTGACCTTATCCTATCGACCTCTGCCCATATAAAGTTCTATGGTCCCAAGGTCTTCCGAGAGCAGAATTGCACAATACATGAACGGTTTTCTGAGATCACAGGCAGTCAATCTAGATAAACTAGTCTATCTCGGTTCGTCTTACACGCAATTTTGCTCTTCTTGAACGCGCTACCGACATGACTATCTTAGATGAATTACTACAGCTCTCTTTCTATTATGGAGAGGGGCACTGGTAGAACCTAATGAATTCTTTGTCAGCAGATGAAGAAACCTACGAGCCTTGTTATCGAGGTAGTGACACTATCGTTTGGTGCAACTCTATACTTCGTGCCGTCTATCGGAGCTGCATCTCTGGCATGAGTCTCACCTATAAACCGTCCCATACAGGACCAATGAATTATTTCCATTAATCAGACAAAACAAAATCCAAAGAATTCAATAAAAGCCTCGCCCTCACGATCCCTAAATCTGATCCATCAAATCGCCATATGCGGCCAATCACATGACCAAACGCGACCCGCGTCGACGTCAACCACCTAACCTCCCCTGAACGGCCATCCCATCCAACCAAAACCGTGTCACCCCGCAGCAAAACAACATCACAATGCCCTCCTTCGCCCCTCTCCGCCCGACCCTAGGCCTTGTCCGCGCCGCCAACAGCGCTGCCCGCAGCTTCAGCAGCTCTGCATCGCGCTCCGTCGCCCGCATGATCATCACCGGCCGCCTGGGCGCCGAGCCCGAGTTGGCTGCTACCGCGTCCGGTCAAGATATCATACGCTACTCGATTGGTACTTCGTACGGTCCCCGCGATAACCGCCAGACGAGCTGGTTCCGCGTTGGTGCTTTCCTGCCCGAGGGTGGTCAGCGGGATTATATCCTTGGTTTGCAGAAGGGGTATGTTTTGACCTCTGGGATTCTTATTCTCACTCTCTGTTGAGGGGGTGGTGATTGGATTCTGGGTTGTTGACGTGATTGATAGAACCCTTGTCTACCTGGAGGGCGATGCCAGCATGCGTTCCTACGAGAATGCTGATGGCCAGAAGCAGACCAACCTGAACATTGTGCAGCGTATGTTTTTTTGATTCGGTTTATTTTCGCACTGCCATCTAACGCGCATCATCTTACAGGTTCCCTCGAGGTCCTCTCCCGTCCCCGCGATCAAGGCGCCAACGACCACTAAACGAGTCGCCCGCGAATGTACACGCTAGGTCCCCTCAGCGTGAGTCGAGACGGCCGATCTGTAATATGTGGTGTTCGAGGATACGGAAGGATCCAAGGATCCAGGCTGGGGTTTATTTTATTAGACGGTCTGTCAATTGAGATGGTCGGTGCGGATGGACAGGGTCGGAACTGCTGATTCTATTGCTTTGTGATTCTTTTGTACTTGTATACCCTGAATACACTCTCCATTATGCTGTAAAGTAGTCACTTTGGAGATAGTATATGGTACTATTCGCTATTTGAGTGGGTTATATGGTAAGGAAGTCTTTGAAATAGATCGATCCCATGTGTTGGAATATTACAAACGTGATAAGAGGACATTCGGCTTGCAAAGAGGAAATGGAGAATATGAAAGATCAGATCTGAGATATTGCTACACCGGCAAGGTTCTCCTGCATAGATGATTGGGCATCAGAGTATGGAGGGTCCTGAGACGCGAAACATGGGTCTTCAAAGCTGAATCTCGCTCTGCTGACGAATCACCTGCTTGACGTGGATAAAGTCTTTGGTCTGAGGCGAGGATGGGGCGGCAGAATACTCGTTACTGGCTCGGCTTTGGCTGACTCCTGCCCAGGCATTGGTGTGGATCGTCTGAGAGGGAACAGACAGATCATCCAGAAGTGTATCTTCGCCAGGGCGACGAGAAGGCTTGCTGCGATTGAAGAATGAACGATACCATGGGGTCTTCATCTTGCGGGCATCTCTGATTGTCTGTGAGGATAATTGTCTGCCCTTTTCGATATCATTGTAAGAACCGTCGTAAGTTGAATTGCTGCCGGTGCTATTCCGGTTGTTAATAAATGAGTTTCCAGAACAGAGACTGATGACGTACCGAGACGAAGAGGCCTTGCTGAAGAAGGACTTTGCCCTGTTGCTGGCACTTCCAATCAGTGTAGCCGAATTGGAAGCATTTGGAGCAGGGATACTGGCGGAAGCCTGTGAATCGAGCGGACGAGATACACCGGGGAAGCAGTACCCAAAGCCGAGATACCAAAGCATCGTACGATACATCTTAGTGGCATCACGACCGAATCCGAAGAAGATGAAGATCACGAAGCCCGCAGCAATGGGGGTCCAGCGGTCGAAGAATACAACGCCGTATGTAGCCACCTTTTGGATTTGATTCCATCCAGGCCCATGGATCCTATTCCATGAGTACGGGTGCCAGGGCAGGGAAAGGGTCAAGTCGTAATAGACCACATAGGCTTGCGCCGGCAGAATGGCGATGAGCAGGGTGAATGCGAGGAAGAAGAGACGCAGGAATCCCGACTTGTTCATGGTACTGCCACGGGAGCGCAGAATGTGCACAAAGTCACTTCGGTACTTGTAAAGCCGGATAAGAACGAGGCCTGTTATAATTAGTGGCTAGTTCAATAGTCGCAGCTCATCCGCACTTACAGCAGTAGTACCCGGCGATCAGACAGATAATGGGTGGCCATATGTATGCCAACGCCAGACTCACCCAGCTCTCGTCAAAGTTGTTAACGCACCCCGAGATGGAGTAGAGCAGATAGCGGCTCTTCTGCCACACGATGTGGGTCATCATGGAAATAACTGGAACGATCACGCAGAACAATAGATCCATGGCCCGATTGCGCCAGCGCTGGACCTTGTTTGGGACCCAGGTTGCACGGCTTGTGTCCATGACCATTGCTAGGCCGCGGAACATGCTCACCAGGCATCCCGGTACAGCCACGTACCCAGCAACCATGATATTGACTTCGATATCGCATAGCCCGTTGCCATCCCACCAGGCGTTGATGTTATCATTTGGCCAGATCAGAGCATTGACGATGTTGAACAAATTGAGGACGATGGACCAGCAGATGAGAGCAGCAGCTGGCAGGTTGCGATTCTTTGCGTGTAGGATTAATGGCGAAGTGCAAAGGGCGATGGAGATGAAAGACAGGATCGGAAGGCCGACTGCTAGTGGATAGCGTTTGTTGAGGTCGATCTCCATGGCGGGATCCATGGCGATGCAAAGTAATAGACAGCGATTGGTAGACAGATGATGGACGGATCAATTGATCGAACGAGAGCTTACCAGCAGCTCCGGAGCAATTAGAAGATGTCGAGGGGAAGAGGATAGGGAAAACATCTGCCGTTGCCATATATCAAGACACCTGGGGCTGGTAAATGCCTTGACTGGTACGAGTCCTATAGAATGAAACGAATGGTTCACAATACTGTATCGAGCGAAGCCTAGATCGAGACATTCTCTGGGAATGGAGTCAGCAAAGGCCGGTACCAAGGCATGAAGGTTGCCGCGAGGAACATGCCCAGTGAAGCAGTTGTAGGGTCTCAATAAGAAGTCACGGAGTCATCGGGGACGAGAAAATAGAAGGCTTTCCATAGAGTTGACTGGTTGACGGTTTACGCGATTCCCGTTTGGGGGGTCAATAGAGCCGACTATTGAGCAGTCAAAGAAAATGTCCCGATTGTGATTGGGGCTGGTTCGTTCTTGGTGTAACCGGGCCATGTTGCCGGTGTCCAACGTGATCAGTCGAGTTGGTCTGGCTGTCTAGTTGTGAGGTTGTATAGTTGTATAGTTGTATAGTTGTCTTGGGTGGCCCCGGATTCGGTGCCTGAGGGAAACAATGACGACAGGCGCGATAACCAACCTCGGCGCTAAGCAAGGTCAGCCCCTAAGTCCATGTCTAAGCCCCGACGCCATAGCACGAACTGCAACATACGCATAGGAGAACTCCTTTTCTGTACCATCATGGCTGATCCACCTGTTCCCCGTGCGTCCTCTCTGCGTCGCCGTCCCCCGCGCCCGCCCGTCGAGGGATCCAACTGGCAGCGTCGTAACTCCACGCTATCCGACTCGCTATCCGAGGCCCGCAACTCTATCCGCTCCTCTACTGATGACCTGTTTCTCCCCCGCGTAGCCAAAGGCGAGGACCCTGCGACCGACGAGTCGCATTGGCACTCCGCGCCGCTGGGCCTGGCGCTGCTGCCGGCCATTGCGGGTGTTTTCTTTCAGAATGGCAGTGTCTTTGTTACGGACGTCACATTATTGGTGCTCGCTGCCATCTTTCTTAATTGGTCCGTCCGGCTACCATGGTACGTCCCCATGTTTCTTTGTTTACCGAAGTTGGATCCGAACTGAGATCTGTTCCAGGGACTGGTATCGCTCGGCCCAGGCAATCCAGCGCGAGTCTGGATTCGAGGCTCCGACAGAGGAACCCATCGGAACCGATCTAGATGAGGTCGATGAGGCTGATGAGGCTGATGAGGCTGATGAAGCTGTCGAGGCTGCCGAGCCTGTCGATTCTCAAAATGGCCCTCAACGCCAGCACCTGCGTGCGTCGGCTGAAGCAGAAGCCGTGAAAGAACTCCAAATCCACGAATTGTCTGCCCTCGCCTCATGTTTCGTCTTTCCCGTGATCGGCGCTTGGCTGCTGCACGGCATCCGAGGCAGTCTCTCGCGCCCGTCGGAAGGCCTCGTCTCAAACTACAATCTCACCATCTTCCTGCTAGCATCCGAGGTCCGACCCGTCGCCCACCTTCTTAAACTTGTACAAGCACGCACCCTCCATTTGCAGCGCCTTGTAGCCTCATCCGACAATGAAGTCGTTCCCCAAACGGTCCGAGACCTCACTACCCGGCTTGAAGAGCTGGAAGCTCACGTCGCCGAGGCCGCCGCAGCCCGCCTGGAGTCGGCCTCAAAGGGTCACTCCCAGGAAGCAGATGCCCCATCTCTCATCACCCACGCAGTTGTCGAAAGTCGCCGTGCCGTACAACCAGATATCGAGGCCCTCAACCGCGCTGTTCGCCGCTACGAGAAACGCACAGCCGTTACCACCCACCAGGCTGATATACGCTTTCAACAGCTTGAAGCTCAAGTCCACGACGCCATCGCTCTAGCTGCGGCTGCGCAGCGCTCCAGTCTATCTCGACGCCAGAGCTACGCTTTCATTCTCCTCGATTGGGCATGTGCCTGTATCGTCATCCCTGCACAACTCTTCCTATCTATCCTAAACATACCGGGTCGGGCAGTAAACCACTGTCTATTAACAGCCAAGCGCATGATGGGCTCTCGTCGGCCACCCCAGCTGCGATCCAGGCCCAGCAAGGGGAAAGCTGTATCCCGTCGAACCCGTTCGCCTCCACCACCTCGTGTCCCGCTTGAACAGCGTATTTCCAGTCCGCTGAACGGACAGGGTCGCTAGTTGACACGGATTACTTGACACTTTCTTATGTGATACGACCTTTGCGTTTCAGCTTTCATTTGTAAATTTCGGGATTCTCTTCTGCTGGTGTTCCTTTAGTTTTCCATTGGTTATTGGAGTGCAGTTGACCCTCGCGGGCATATATATCTCTTCCGCCTTTGAACAAGATCATCTCAATCAAGCCATCTACGAACATGGATATGTTAACACTCGCTTGAAATTTAAGTTTCAAATTTAATCAACCTTATAACATTGGAATGCAAACTATATACATCAAGGTAATTGCAACGCATTTCAAAAAGGAAGCAGAGTCTATACCGCCAATCGTATACCAAACCAAATCGATGACATCGAGCGTTTCACCAGCCATCGTAAGACGAACATCCGTTCATTACCCCTGAAAAGAACCAATATATAATTATTAACGACCACCAGACGGCCCCCGCTCATCAACACCAATCATCTTCAAAAACGGCTCGATAATACCCTTCTTCCGCTCATCGGACGCTCGCCTCTCTTTATCCTTCGCCGGGGTAGGTACAGTCGCCGAGATAAGCACGCGAGCAAAGATGGACGCGAACGCAGACTCGACGGCTTGGCGACGCGCCACGGCGGGTTGAGAAGAGTTAGCAGCAAACAAGTCGGAACCGGATAAAGTCAGCGAGCGATTCTTGCGGCGGAAACTGCCTGCGGAAATGAATGCTGCGGCGGATGCAGGTGTCGGGGTTGGGGGTTGTGATTCTGACGTATTCAGGTCTGAGGACTTGGAGTCGGCGTCGGAGGTTTGTCTTTGGTGTTTTGATGGAGCGGTTGATTGTGCTGTGGATGGGACGGGGGCAACTTCGTTGGCGATGCGGGCAAGCATGAAGGTCACAAAGGTGAAAGAGACACTGTGTGCGGGAGAGTAGGCTAGGCTTTCGAGGACCCAGGCCTGGGTCTCTTCCCATGTTCGGGGTGGTGCTTTGGATTTCTCGCGGGCAATGACCTGCTGCTCCATTTCTTGCCAGACGGATGCGGTGACAATGCCGTCGCTTAGAGAGTTCAGGAAGTGTAAGAGGGTTTCGGAGAGGATCTCGAGGCGGTGCAGAGGCGGAATCTCAGGTGCGAATATAGAGGATAGTGATTTGTTGGTGTCCAGGGCTTCACGGACCGATGCGAGAAGAGGAGCACGGTCATGTTGATTATTCAGAGCCCAGGTGTCTGGCTGGAAGGGCCATGCGGTTCCGGATGGGTCTTTTGCCCAGGGGGGTTCTTCTCCAGACTCGCCCTTGGTCATGCTCCACTCTGCCACGGCACGTTCTGCCAACTCGGAAATCGCCTCGGTCAATCGAAATAGCTCGCGAGGGGCTGACAATCGCACTTCGGTATCACCTTGTGACAGGGGCCTCGTTCCATCCGTTGCAAGGCTCCGAGCACCAGCCTCTGGCATGCGAGTGAGCTCATCAACACTGCATCCAAAGCACGTTGGTAGCCAGTGTCCCGAAACGGTGATGAAGTGATCACGGCCACTGTCCACATGGAGGACGAGAATCTCTTCCAGCTTGATCTTCTTCAGATTAAGTAGGCGGACATCCTCGATACGGCGGACGTGAATAGTGACATCGACATTGGCAACTTCTCCTGGGTGCAAGGTATGGCTGGAAACAGCTCCTTGTTCTTTGGAATGGCTTTCTCCGACATGATTGACTTGAATGTCAAGCCAAGACGGTGTCTCGCTTTTGGAATCGCCCTCGGGGCTAGGCCGTTCGGCAAATGAAAAGGTTGCCGAGGTGCTGCTGGTATTTGCAATGGTCAAGGTTCTGCGAACAGGCACGTCGTAGAGAATAGTGCCAAAGTCGACGGCATTCGGGTCTCGTTCTGACCGTTGTTCGTTGGCATGGGTATCAACCACGACGGTGAGGCCGGGCCGGGCTTCGTTCTCAGCCTTGTCCAATTCACGGACTACCTCTTGGTGCACCTTAGCCTTGAGACTGGGGTTAACGGCATCGATGCTCAAGGTGAATATTGCATCCAAAGGTTTGTGGTCTGAAGATAGAATGCCTTGATGAGACACATAATGGTGCAGACAAATTGAGTCTTCAGATGGGTCCTGAGAGGAGCCTTGCGACGTAGCTGAGGCGGGTACCGCTGCATCTTCATCGGAGATAGAGTAATCAACATCCGCACCGTCTGAACCATCCCCACCATCCGCACCGTCCACCTCGGGGTCGTATTCAAACAAGACATTGTCGTCTGCAACGGCCTTGTCCAAACCACGAGCCTGCATTTCCTTGTCTCGCTTTCGAGCCTCTTCCGCTTCCCGGACGAGCTTCTCATGGTTGAGCATGTCCCGTCGAGTTCGGTAGAGGATTCGGTCACACCAGCTGGGACCGCGATGCTTCTCACTAGAGTCGAACATTGCCACGCTCCCGACGTCATATTTGTACGTCGGTAGAAATGAGATTTGGCCCTCGTTCCACCCTTGGTGAAAGGATATTCCTTTCTTCTGCTGGGTCCGCAGTTGATCGTGCACAACGAGAGACGAAATGGTTGTTTGCAGGGATGCAGGATCGTTGTGGGGGTCGATTTCCTCATCACCCACAGGCTCAACGTATTGTTCACCTTCTAGGGGCGATGGTGAATGCTCTTCAGGTTCATGTTCAGGCTCTGACTTGGAGCCCTCGCGACTGTTTGACTTTTGCTTTTCCTGGCGCGCAGTATCATAGGCATTGACTGTGTGTCGAGCGAGGCATTGTCGCACGTCATCGCCCGGGATATCATCAAGTCGGTAGTTCAGGTCACCGAACCAGAAAGTAAAGTCTTCATCGCCAATACTGTCGGCTTGGTCTTTCTGTATGCGATCCGGGTCAACCGACTCAAACTTGGCACGCGACACGATCTGGGATGCGTCCCAGTTGCGCCTCTCCAGGCTGCCCTTATCTGACCCAGCTGCGAGGTGGGAGTTCACAAAAACCAAGCGTGTAGTCTCACCCAGCACCAGGCGAGTCGCCACGGCGCCTTTATTGCCCATATAGCCCATCAGCCCCGTTCCGACAGAACTGCTGCTAACCGACGATACACTTTCTGCAATTACTGGAGACGCATAGATGATGAGCAAAAGGCCGAGAAGCTGAACTTCAGAAACAAGTTGATATCCCGAGGGCAGTGCCTTTTGAACAGCCTCTTTCCATCGGTTTGACGGTCCGGAATCGGTAAAGGGCCTCAGAGCCTCGGTCGCAGAAGAAACATCGACAATCTCCTGCAAGCCCAGAACATAGAGATCGACCTCCTCGGGGCTGTATTGGAATGGCTTGGCCGACTTCCCATCTTTCTGGGATTCGTCCTCGGCTTCCTCCCTGGGACCTCTGCAATCATCCGTTGTAATATTTCTTTGAAATTCCGCGCCCTTCAGGCCCGAAAATTTCTCGCACACCCCTTGGCCCTGGACAAACCACTTGCCGATATCTTTCTCGGTGCCGGAGATGGCGGCCACATTCCATGTGCCAACTTTAACCCGAATAGTCTGGCGGCGAGTATATTCTGACTTTCTTGCTTTGACCGCACGGGAAAGAGACAAGAGGTCGAGCCCTGGATTATCGATGTCTTCGACGTCATCGGTGGTATGCTCGCTAGAGTCTTCCACGGGAGGCGATGCTCCTCGCGAGTTGCTAGAAACCATTATCGGATGAAAGGTGGTGGTCGAGTCAGTGAGTTTCAAAGAATACTCTCATGACCCGGAAGCGTGGTATAGCTGAGTGTCACTGTGTATATCGGCAGGTTTATACAGAGGCGCGTATGCGGAACGATTTGGCACAGTTGTCACTTCCGGCGGGGCAAAAGCTCGATGTGGGCAGTCTATACGCAAGCGCGATGCGAGAGAATTGCAAAGGACAACTCATGTAAGGAGTATCAATCGACAAGGGCGATCAATGACTGTTCGTCTCATGCGGAGCTTAGTACGGCGAGATTCGCGAGGCGGGGGTCGGCATCATGCAGACGGATTGAATATTCGGAGAGTTTAATGAGAAAAGCAAGCTGAGCTGAGCTGAATTGAATTGACCAGTAGACAGTCGCGATCAGGCACCTCGCAAAGATGGGCCAAAGCTCCTGGTGGGAAGAGAGTGAGTGGGAGGCGGAGAGATCAACGATGACGATATGTGTGGAACTTGCCCTCACCCGCAATCGGATCACTTCTTCAACTACCAGCCACCATGACCTCCCGCAAACCACGGCGCCAAAATAATAACCACAACAATACCAGCCACCTTACCGATTATGAATCTGACGCGGCCTACCTTTCCGACATGCAACATCAACCAGCACCACCACTCCGTTCTAACGAGGAGCTGAACCTCTCCGTTCTGCAGCGCCACAACCCCTCCATCACCTCGATCCTGTCCCTTGCCCAGTACTCCGTCGTCTATATCTTCAGCCCAACAACCCGGGGGTGGGAAAAGAATGGAGTAGAGGGCACGCTTTTCGTGTGCCAGCTGACCCCGGGCAGCCTGGGCGAAGACCGATACACGGCATTCGTGTTGAACAGACGAGGCCTGCAAAACTTCGACCTACCCCTCACAGACAGCGAGAACGTCGAGTTAACAGAAGAATACGTGATCCTCAAAGCGGACGAAGCCACCGATGGCGAAAAGGGTACCAACGGCATTGCAGACCCCTTGAACCCGCAGGGCGGCCGCCAAAATGGTAACTCCACAGACGTGCGCATTTACGGTATCTGGATCTACTCCGAGCCACCGCCTAACTCAACCGCCGACATACGCATTGTCAACGCCCAGATGATTCGCGATTGCGCCACGCATGCCGGACAGAGCCTGAAACTGGCGCGCAAACGTCTCGAGGAGTTGCGTCAGAACGGGATGCACGTTGCTGCGGCGGCAGCGGAAATGCAGGCGCCGCCTCTGGAAGAGGCACAGGCTAGCGCGCCGATGGGCCGTCAGATGTCACTCAAGGATATATTTGGTCAGCAGCGAGCCCAGGATGACGCGTGGAGTGTTCGCGCGCACCACATCAGTCCCGATCAACAGCACATGCAGATGTACCAAAGCATGATGACTCCGCAGGGACAACCTCAAGATCAACACCAACCGCCGCCCCCACCGCAAGCCCAGGTCCACCCAGATGTCCTGGGCGATTTGTTCCGGAGGGCGGGATTTGCATACCAGGGAGGTGGACAGGGCTACTGAACCGAGTTCTTTTCTTCTCCTTTTTCTTTAATGGAATCATTCCAGCATATTGCACCGGCGCATGACTTGGTCTTTGGTTTTCTGCACATCCATGCCTTCCTCCTGCGGTGAACGAATGGGAAAGGGCGGCACGTCGCTTGAGATACCCGTTGTAAGAAGTCCATACACAATACCCAGCTAGATAGCTGCACCAAAAACTTTTTATCTTCCGTATTAATGGTTTTAATGTGTATGTCCATTTCTTATGTACTTCTAATATCCTGTATCATGCCCGCGACCTTGCGAGCCATGGTCTCACTATGCTCTGCAAGTGGTCAGCACCGCTTAACCTGTACGTAAAGCCATCATCATGGGAGTCGAACTTACTTAGACAAAATGCATGGGGCAAGCCCTCCTCGCAAACAAACATCCTCGGCCCCGAGCCATCTTTCTCTCCGCGAGCCGCAATAATATCATCTCTCGTCTTTTCAGCAACCCAATGATCATTAACACCAAAATAGAAGAACATTTTCGTGATGGGCTCACGCGCATGAGCAACACCCCATACATCGTCTGCCCATTTATCTGATGTGATGCTCCGCATCTCATCGGCTGCCATATGTCTAGATTGTACGATTAGACCGGAATTTCATGAAGAGAGGAAAATATGCCACATACAAAGCTTGTTTAACGCCACCACGACTCTGCAAGAAATTACATGTCGTATCCAGCGCATGTACCGGAGGATCATTCATCACAAAACGGACGATAGAGCGAAGAGCAGTCGCTGGCAGAACGAGAGTGAGCAATCGGGCAAAGAAGCTGACAACTAAGGCTAGCCTGGGGATGAACGATAAAAGTCTCTGCAAACCAGTTAGCAACCAACGATATCATTGCCAGCAGGGGTCAATCTACCGTTAGCTTCTGGCCCGATGGCGAAGCAGCAATATCCATCACAGTCGGGAACAGCATTACGCCGCCAACAATATCAAAATCAGATACATCCGCAGCCTCGCGATGTCGTTTCACGACTTCCATGGCGATGTAGGTACCAACAGAGTGCCCAATGAGCACGACCTTGCGCTTTCGCGGGACCGGCGGATCCGAGGCATCTGAAGCATTGGACTCGCCCATCACGGCAGTAAGCCGCTGATGAACAAAGCGGATCTGGTCTTCCAGGTCATGGAGCTCGGGCTCGTCCTTATTCCCCTGGAACCGAGAACCATCCAAAGATGTTCTTTCATCTACCTCGAAGCCACCAAGACTGCATCCGTAGATCTGGTAGGCGGTTTTGCTCTGTCCCGAGGGTTCCGCCAGGTTCTGCGCCAGCAAAGAAAGGAAGGGGTGGTAGTATCCGATTAAGCCTGGATTACCGGAGATGAAGAATACGGTGGTTTCTGCTTCGAAGCGTGGCCCTGTATAGGTGCAGAATGTGTTCTGGGTGATTTGGGACTCCATGGCGTCTGCTTTGGTGTGAACAGGTGGACCAGGATGTGCGTGCGGGGTGTATCCAAAGCACAGGGTTGATCGAAGTGGACTGCGGAAATGCAACCACTATTTTATCAGATTGACTCCGGTAAAAATCCCTGGAGTGTCAATTGCAGTGCGAGAAGAGTTCCGATGCACTGCGGTCTAGGACCGGAGTCGAGGGCCGCGGAGCCAGTGGATCCCATGTGAGCCGGGCCGAGTTCCAGACCGTGATCTACATCCATGTATTTACACACGCCTACAATCTTGGGACTCGCATAGCATCGTAAATGCAAATGGATTGCAAAATATCCGACTCCCCGACCAAGAGGTCCACCCTGAACCCGGTTTCTAACCCCGTCAAATGAAAGAAAGCAAAAAAGGAGCCCGAGGCGGCATCCAATGCATAGACGCCCGAGCGCAATGTACATCATTCGTCCCGGATCACCAACAAAAAATACAACACCGCTGGTTATGGACCGCCACGAAGCAGAAGGGAGAACATGCAAAAGGGATCGCCAAACAGCAGCAAAAAGCAGAAAATACAGAGTTTGTCTGTATCTGGTATCTAGCTCGGCAAATCAAAATAGAAGGGGAGGATGTGAGGTGGTTGCGGGTATAGGAGATTAGCCTTCGCCTTGGCTGTCGTCGCTTTGATTCTCCTTCTCGTTGTTTCCGCTGGATGCGTCTTCGCAAGAAGGGTCGTCTGATACAGACGACTTGACCGCTGCACCCAGATTGATGGCGATTCTCTTCGGCGGTGCGTTTGCGCCTAAACCGCCCTTCTCAGCAGACCCGAGCGAGCCGATAGACATGGTCTTCTTCCGGTTGAATGAACCAGCACTAGAGTTACTACTCGTAGAACTCCGGCGCTTGGGTCCTGTGGCAAGTTTAACCAACTCATCCTCGTCCTCTTCCTCGCGGCGACGTTTTTCGGCGAGGCGTTCGGGCACGGGGGCATTCTGGGTAGGCGAGGCGGGGGTGGCGGCCGCTTCAGGGGAATCTTCGACCTGCACGTCTACCATGGTCAATGGCTGACCCTCTACAGGTTGTTCTGGGTCTTCGGGTTTGGTGTCCATCGCGTCCTCGTCGTCGTCGTCCGGATAGTCAACTAGTGGCTTGACCAATGGAGAGGCAACTCCATTCGCGGTACCAACGGCGAGAGCGGCACGGTTTTCTTGCTGCCACTGAGAATCGGATCAGTTTATGTTCACACGAAGGGAGATAAGATAAAAGGGAGACGAGATCACTCACCTCGTCTTCGTCGTCGGACCCAGCGAAATACTCCTCTTCCGCTGCGTCCATTTCCTTCACGCCCTGCCAGCGCTGGCCGTTCATCGGAATTCTCCGCGGCGTATCACCCTCATCTTGGCTGAATAGCGTAGAATCGGCCTCGGCACCATAGCCTTGCATTTGATCGTAACGGATGATGAGATTCTGGAAGGTATCCACGTAGGTAATTCTCTCCAGTTTCTCACGGTACTTCTCAACCGCGTGAACGATGAATGGTTTGATGTTTTCCCGTTTGATGAATTCAAAAAGCTCGAGGCAGGCGGAGTTGAGAAGGTTGTCACGTGGCATGGTTTCGAGGACGATATCAATAATCAAGCCAAAGGTGTTGTTATGTGTCATTAGAGCTTGATAGAAGGTATCTTGGAGGCTAATCAGAGTGCGGAAGAATTTAAGGGCCACTGGTTTGGTCAGTGATTTGTTCCGGCATACAAGGTAGAGCACATACCCAGCTTCAGATGTTTCTGAGGGGCCGTGAGGAGTTGGGCCACTCGAGGAGCAAGCTGCTCACTGTGGATTGCATTGCGTGTGCGGAAGAGATGTTGACGGACGAAAAAGGTGAGGATGTCAACAAGATGCGAGTAGAGCGTGACTTCTTGAAACGTCAAGTCATTAACTGGGGATTGTTAGTGTCGAAAGTCTCAACTAGATAGACAGGAAGAGCTCACGGGAGGTGCGGTTGGCAAGTTGTTTGAGCGGCTGGAAGAGCCGCTTCGAAGATTCATCGAAATGTTGTTGGACAAATGCATCGGAGAGGAGATTGGATGAGCGAATTTTGAAGTAATCGGGACCAGCCCGTGCGAGGGGATCCTGCAGGGGAATCTGAGGATCGAGGAGAATCTTAATGGCATCAGCAAGTTGGTTTTTCACTCCGAGATCGGTCTCTACGTGGAGCAGGTCGATCAGAGTATCGGTGAGCGGGGTCTTTTTCTCGTTGACGGCTTTGAGCATGTATCCGCGCATCATCACCGGGTCATGGTCCAACAACGCCACCAGAATATCGATACCCGTGGTGCGCATGGCCGGGTTGGGGTGCTTCACGGCGAAGGCGATCACCGCAAACAATCCGTGGCTGATAAAGTTGCCGAACAGCTGGGCCCGCGACGGAGTCTGCAAGTTCTTTGCAATTGCAGCACACTGGTGTAGGAATTGCACGGCGTCATCCTTGCGCTTGCCGTCGGTGTTTCTCGGGTCGAACACGGAAAAGAGCTCGCGAAGAAAGACGGCGTTCGATTGGATGTGGTTGACAATCTCCATCTGGTTGAAGAAAATCAGGGAGTTGAGGACCGAGAATGTCGGGTCATCCAGGATCCGCGCGAGGACCACGTCCTTCAAGTATTGCAAGCGCCATGTACTTCGAATCTTTCTCCGAATCTGGTTGTCCTTGATGGGAACGACCTCCCTATAGCGCGACTGGTCTGCCAGGTATTGTCGGTGGTTCGCCTTATGCGTCGGAAATTCGGGATCATCTGTAGATCTCATTTAGCAATTTGCTCTCCATCCTCCAGCAGTCGAACACGTACATTCCAGAGCCCCAACCACACCCAAGATTATATGGTCAGAGACCACCATCTCGATGATGGCGTTGTCGTTCAAGAGGATCAGGGATTTCATGATGTTGCAAAGGCGATGTAAATCAGTGAGACTCTCCAAATCCTCGGCCATTGACACCAAGGGGACCAGTTTGTTGATATAGTCATCGCGGATGAGAAACTTCGATAGCGCGTCGCGACCATTTTGCGTCATGCTGGCGGCTCGAACGATCTGCTCGATTTCGGGGAGGTTGCCGAGCTCCGGTGCGGGCAACACGATGGATTGGTAGCTTTCGAGGTCGTCGGAGAGGGCATCATCTGCCATGAACGAGTTAGACGCGCGCAAAGCCAGCGGAACGATGAAACTTACCAGCCGCGGCTATGCTGAGAAGGTGCTGCTGAACGGTATGGACAAAGTCCCTATTTCCGAAGAATTGCGCCGGTCAGTCAAGCGCGCACACATAGCACCATGGGAAAGAGCCTCACCATATCACTGCGCATCCTTCCGCCTCTTGGAAGCTCAGCGCCATATCCGTGCCATTCTGCTCCGTCCAGACAATCAAGGTCTCTGATCGCGTGATACAAGTCAGTCAACCCATATTCCTCTCCGGTGATACGGTCAAGCGGGTGTGGTGGGACAGAAACCTTGCTGTTTTTGATAGCCATCGTCCTTGGTGATCTTGGTCTCCAGCAAGACGCGTTGTGGTTGGTCTTCCGATTCGACGTATATTCGCGGTTCCTCCTATGATGAGTGTGGCGCGGGTTAGCGACGGGTGCCGATGCCCGGGGGGGGGAAAGACGGAGTGCGACCACAGCACGCGCCGGCTCGTCGCGGTCGCGACGGGGACGGCGCATGCAGGAACGAGAAAAAAATAGCTTACCCCCATGATTGTGCCGGTACAGAAACCGGTGCCGCGGTCGAACCAGTCATTATCCCTCAGCTCGTAGACCTTGACCCGTTTGCGACCGTCGGGCGGCTGTAGGTCCAGCGCCATGATCCGGCAGGAAATGGGCGACTCGGCACGGGCGTCTCCAGGATGAGGGCCGGAGCGGAGTGCCTGAAAACAGAAACGGGGAAATGGGGAAGGGAAGGGGGAAAAGAGGGTGGAGGTGATGATGACAGAGTCTGCGGAGGGGATGACGATCGAAGAAGAACGGGAGAAGATGGATGATCTGGAAGGGGGTCCACCTGACGGGGCCGAGCCAGCTTTAAGCCTTCCGTACCTGAATAGTAGTCCTGAACGATAAGATTATTCAAATCGTACTGATGGCTCTAATAGTACTAACGGTGGAGAATTAAAAGATGGACAGGAATCATCATGCAGAGTAAAGCGAGCAGCCCATGATTTCATTCTCATCCAGACCGACACATATCCCACATACCAAAGCTAAGTATAGATCGAACGTGACTCAGGGGACTTTCGTCCGACGCGGAAGAATTCAGCCGCCCGCATCGAAGCTTCCATTCAACTTCTGCATCAACAGTACCTTACTGTAAAACATGTAAAGTGTAAAGCGTGTGGAGCCTGGAGTACGGCATTTTCCGCACGGACGGCGACCGCTTTGTGGTATTGGCATTTGATTGGTGGACGCTGGAAACATGGCAGATTCTTATCTTCGCCCGATCGGGAAAGGTTCCAGACCCGGCATCTCTTAGCTTTTCGGTCTCGGTTGGATTGGTGAAGAAACTTCACTTTCTCCCGTCTATTCGACTTCGGCCTCATACGAGCGACTTCTGGGAGTTTTGCGCTCGTGGTTGGCTATAAAGCTCCCTTTTTGATATCTGCGTGCCTGGTTCTGTGCATCGCAAACCCCGCTTTCTTGTACCTCCTCAAGTCGCCATGTCCGACTCCAAGGATCAAGTCACCGTGCAGACGGGCAAGCCGGCATCCCCGTCGCTGCCCAAGGATTCCACCGTGACCGTCGTGCAGAGCGGTCTCACTGTACAGACGGAGAACGAGAATGAGCCTTCGGCGCCGGCTGACAAGGTCGATGAGCAGAAGAAGGGTTTCTTCGCCTTTCTCAAGACCAAGGAATTCTACATAATCCTGGCTCTGGGGTATTTTGTTTACCCAATATCTCGTTCTTTATAATGCCGGTAGCTAATATAATTGCAGTCAACTCCTCGCAATTGCAAATACGTCAACGAGTACCTTTACTACCCTTCTCGGCGATGAGGGGTGGGCGATCCCCACTTTCCAGACCCTCCTCAACTATTTGCTGTTGACGGCGATTTTCACTCCTTATACGATATACCGCTACGGTTTCAAGGGCTGGCTCCGTGTTTGCTACCGTGACGGCTGGAAATGTATAGTTACTACTCCGATAATTTTGTACCCGCCCACTGACCGTCTCCAGACATCATCCTTGCTTTCTGCGATGTACAGGGCAACTTCTTTATTGTGCTGGCATACCAATACACCACCATGTTGAGCGCGCAACTGATCAACTTCTGGGCTATCGTCGTGGTCGTGTTCATCTCGTTCCTCTTCCTCAAGGTGCGCTACCACATCACCCAGATTGCGGGCATCGTCATCTGTATCGGCGGCATGGGCGTTCTCATCGCTTCTGATCACATCACCGGTACCAACGGCGGCGACATCTCCAGCGGCCACCAGCTCAAGGGCGATCTATTCGCTCTGCTGGGCGCCTCCTTCTACGGCCTGACGAACACCGCCGAGGAGTACTTCGTTAGCAAGCGTCCCGTGTACGAGGTGCTGGGCCAACTGTCGCTCTACGGGAGCATCATTGATGGCGTGCAGTCCGCCATCTTTGAGCGCAGCAACTACCACACTTCCACCTGGGACGGCAAGGTGGGCGGCTACCTGGTCGGCTTCACGCTGTGCCTGACGCTGTTCTACTGCCTTGCACCTCTGCTGTTCCGTCTTTCCTCGGCAGCCTTCTTCAACGTCTCGATGCTGACCATGAATTTCTGGGGCGTCTGCATCGGCATCAAGGTCTTCCACTACCACATTCACTGGATGTACCCAATTGCCTTTGTGTTGATCATCGTCGGTCAGCTAATCTATTATCTCGGCCAGAGGGCTCTCGCCGAGGCACGCAAGCCCTGGCTGGGTAAGAACCAGGAGGGCGGTATCGCCGGTCTGTTCACTGCCAAGAAGCGCATCGAGCATGTCATTCCCGGTGGTACTGAGCCGAGTGAGCACGAGCGTGCTCGTTCGCCCGTGGCCAATACCAGTGTTGCTTAGACGTTTTTTTCTGGGTATGCTTTTCTTGCTTATTTATTTTTTTATCTTTTGATCGCTTTCTGATCTGGAGATGAGAGTACATATCTAGACGCGAGATCCATATAGACTTGCTGGTGGTGACCGGTTGTGTTCTCGAGCAGCGGTAGCTGATCTCTGACTCGGGATTTTGCTTTCGCATGGCGGTCTAATATTTAATATCTTATGATTTGATGCATTGCTAAAGGCTATGAAAACGAAGTGCTTTGCGAGTTGAATTCGAGTTGAAATGTGCTCATCTCGTAGTCTCGGTATCCAATGCCAGGTTTGTATACCTTGAAAATGGTCGAGATGATATAAGACGAAAGAAAGTCATCAGTAAATTACCAACTACATCAGAGTCCAGTTATTTCCGCGGCTAAGCACATCCCAAAAAATACGCCACCAGCCTAAAGAGGGACGGGGTATTGAGCGTGCAGGCGACGCAAAGCAGACAAGACCAACACCAACAACGAGCGTAAGCGAAGAACCTAAAGTCGCTCGATCAATCGTAAAAGAAGAGAGAAGAGAGATATGAAATAGTAAAGGAAACTCCATATCCATATCAAAAAAAAAGCCCACAAAGAAGAAGACACCGGTGAACTCTCACGTAGCATAGCCCTCGCTAGCATTTTTCCCATCGCCGATGCCAACCACCAGAAAATATAAAAGAGCCTCGAGATAAGTTCGCCCCTCTGAATATTATATCACAAGTCACAAGTCAAAGACCAAAACCCAAATGTGCAGATACCAAAAAACCAACCCCCGGTCCAAAATAGAAACATTCGCAAATCAAAGACCAAAAAGACCTTGGATGAACACCGAGAAATGAGAGTTCCGTGAGCTTCACGAAGAGCGCCAGTATCCGATATCCGATATCCGATCCGTTTTTCCCAAAGGACACCAGATGGAGTTCAAACATTCAACAAGAAATAGAAGGAGAAGCCCCTGAGAGGTGTCAGGGCTTTTGGCTTTGTGCTTTTTTTTTTTTTTTTTCTCTCCTCGGAGGAGAAACAAGTCGACTGCAAATCCAGTAGCAGCACCTCTTCCACCCAAGCCAACTCGGTAAACCCCAGCCCAGAATCAAAATAACAAACCTAGATCAGTGGAGAACCAGCAGTTCTGCCTTGTATGTACCGTAGGGCTCAGGAAGCCCGTATTTCACCGTCGTAATGTAAGCCTTTTTCTCGCACAACGCCGCAAATAGGGAAAATAAAAAAAATCGAATATGCATCCCGTAGCGCCAACACAGATGTTGAAATTGTATTTAACCCCAAACGGAGGCTTGGACGCCGAGGCCGCTCTTGGAGCCCCAGACGCCGCTACCATTGCTCCAGCCCAGACCAACGCCGCCATCCTTGGGGCCAGGTCCGTTAGTAGAAGCGGTCACGGCGGGGTTGGACGCTGCCGAGGTGGACCGTTCACCGGCGGCAGCAGCCTCACCGGGAGTGAAGCCGAAACCCAGAGGTGAAGGGAGGGGGGTGGTCGAGCGCTTGGCGTTGTTCAGCGCCGGGTTAGGGGTGGAGACAGCGGGCTGTCCACCAACGGGGCGAGAGCCGATAGGACCTACAGACCCGGAGCCGATAGGGCCGGTGCTAGGCTTCGAGGGGGGCTGGCGCGAGGAAGGCGAGTCGGCACCGCCGGGCGACGAGGTCGAGGTGACGGGCTTCTCGGGGAAACCGGCGTTGATAGCAGAGCTAGGCGAGGAGGTGCTATTCGCGCGAGAGGGAGACTGGAGGCCGGAGGCACTGTCAGCAGCAGATTCAGACTGCGTCACGCCGAACGGGTGCACTCCATGAGGAGATGCACCACGAACTCCGGAAGACGGAGTGCCAGAGGGTTGACTCTCGAGCCGAGAGGCCTCATCGGACAGAGGGCCCGGGGGGAAGAAGGCAGGGCTCTCGTTTCCATAGAGGGCACGGTGCTGACGGGCGAGGAGCTCGCGACGGGATTCTTCACTCACTGCAGCGGGGCTGGCGGAGCGATCGGACTTGTTTGCAGACATCTCGGCGAGGAGGCCTTTGGAAAGAAAAAACGTATTAAAAACCGATTCGAAAAAGAACGAAGCCAAACCAATATATTATACAAGGCCGACGGATACATAGACAAGGAAGAAATGACGGGGGAATATAGCAGGAAGGAAGAGAAAAGCACACGCTACCACGTACTTCGGTTGTACTGCTGCTCCTGATGATAGTTGCGGAGCTCCCGTTCACGCTGTGCCGCCATCCGACGTTTTGCCTGCATCATCTGCTCTACTTCATTCGGGCGACCCTGGTAACGCTGAGAGGCATAAAAGCCCTGCGCATTGCCGGACGGGTGCATTCGAGGGCCCTCGAACTCGCTGACAGAGTGGTGTCGCTGAGAGCCGCCACCCATGCGAGGGTCTGAGGACGTCGAAATTCGAATTAGAGAGCGTTCAACGTCGGGTCGATCGGTTGCGTGGCCACGTACCGTATTCAGGGTAGGGACGGCCCATCATCATGGGCATCGAGTCCCGACGAGGAGCATTCCACAGCTTCCCGCTCTTGACCAGATTGTCGATCGCACGATCAACCTCTGTAGAAAGAAATCAGCACAATGTCCCCCAAAACACGCAACGATCCTTTGTTCCCTGAATTGACAACCCGTTCCTCCAGATTGTCCTCGAAACCACCGTCCTCATTCCTCGGTAGCTGTTTGACGCAGTATCCGATATTTTTTTTTCCTCCGGGCGACACAACAGGCAAGACAAGCGTGGGAAAGAGGACCGCTGACAACGGAAGAGTGTGCATACCGTCAAACTGAGAGGAAAAGGCCGGGCTGTCCTCGCGCTGGGAAACCGAACTGGAGCCTAGAGACAAAATATGAGTTTTTTTGCGTTCCGGTAACAAAGTCGACAATGAAGCCATACCTGACCGGGAAGGCGGCACCGGCTGCTCCCATGACACCTGGCGCGGCGGAGCGGAGGGCGCCTGCCAGCCCTGAGGTTCGTAGTACGAAGACATGGTCGTTGGGAAGGGAATCTTCGAGGAAACGAACGGCGACGGTTCAGGGGGTGGAAGCGGCGAAGCAGATGATCCGGTTGAGGCGATCTGTTTGGGATAGAAAAAAATTTGTAAGTTCCGAGGGCCACAACAAACGCAAGTCAACTCGACATGCAAACCCCACGAATCTAGTAGAAAGCACTCTGTTGTTTTAAGAACACTGAGTCATTTCAACAGAAAATGGGATTGCGGGTCTCTCGACTGTCGGGATCAGGGCGGTTTTTTTTTTTTTTCAACACCCGGGGAACATCCGAGGAGAACTTACAGAGAGGGAGCCTCTTGTAATTAAGTGGGCTACCACGAGTCAACGAGGCAGACGGTAAGGACAAGGGGGAGGGAGAAGAGAGAAGAGGAAAAGGAGAGGGTCCAGCCTATTTGGGGCGTGTGGGTGGGTTCGCTGAGGAGGAGGAGGGGGGGGGAGGGACCAGAATGGCTTTACGGGCGAGTCCGAGTAGGACGACCTTCGTAGCTGGTAATAATCTCGCTTCTCGGGTGGATCTGAGAGTAACTTTGTAGTTACTTATTTGCAGGGTATTGAAGGTACAGCGTTACGAGGCTTTCTTTGCTTTTTACTTCGGTAGTCGGTAGTGCCCTTAGGCACTCACCCCGTCTCGCTACGTTCCATATGTACATAGAAGTAACTCACAAAGTGACGAAGTACGCCTGTATAACCAGTACAGGTACCTCTGGGGATACCTTCTCCCCGCGGCAATTCCCGGCAAGCCCGCTGCAACGATTCCACTTATTCGCCTGGACTCTAGGCCGGTGACCGGAGATTGGATGCCCGCACGGGGGCGTGCGCCTAAGCGTCGCAAGAACAGCGTCCGACCCCCCAATGCAGTGTGATTCGTGCTGTACTGTTCTACTGTGTACTCTGACATTGTCATTGTTCTCAATCTTTTTCTTTACCTAGGTACCGAATTGACGTAGTGACTGTTCTTATATTTGTTTTTTTTCGATACCTAGGGTAGGTTCAAAGGTAACCCACCCTTTACGTCTTTCAAAACACACTACAGTACAGCCCGGGTATAAGGGCCAGACCAAGTATGGATGAATCATCCGAAACCCCTCGGGATCATCGCAGAACGTGCTGTACAATCAATAATGGCAACGCTGCAATGCGTTATGCGCCCGTGCATGCACGACCTCCCATGACGCCTCACGAGCCTGGGACTCGAGAGGTAGCACGGAACCTTGGAAAGTTAACATCGGTTTTTTCCAGTAACCCCACGGAAGGACGTTAGCTGCAGTACATAGTTGCATTCCAGGTTCTCGCGTTGGCCCGTGCTGTGACCAACGCATCGCTCGGTCAATTCAGGAGGCGGGTGGGGCCCTTTTTATATTCTTCCGCAAGGTCCGCGACTTTGGAGCCCATCTGTCCTTGGATCCTTGTTGTACAGTACATGCAGTCAGCCTCTGACCCATCTCATCCGCCCCGTATATAGTGGTGGGGCAATACTGTGGAAATGAACACTGAATGTGCCTCGTTTTCTAACCTCGAAAGATTATTTTGCTTTCTCATTTGTACACGAACTTTCAAATATTTTGCACAAGGCTATCATCTGGACAATGTTCGTCCTTGGACCTTGGATCCAGCTTTCCCCAGAAACTCTATTCGCATCATTCGCCGTGTCGTGAACCCTCCGGAGTGTATGACCAGCATGCCCGTTTCTGGGACTCCGGCCTGGCTTCAGGGCTCCGCGTTACCCTCTGGGCCTCGATCCCACCCGTCATACATGTGACCGAGACAATCTCACCCCCAAGCCCATCTCTTTGATGGCCTCGACATCTTACGCGAGGCCTGACTGCTTCAAAGAGAGCTGGGTGTCCAGAACCAACCAGGAGCTCCCCGAGAGTATGGAGTACAAAGGGTGCCATCAAGTGGCCCCGCCCTTAGGGGAGAAATCGATCCAATCAACGGGCCGGTTCTTTCAACTAGGAATCGGCTCGAAACGGCCGAAGGAAGGTTTAATAACGACAGAGCACCAGGCCGGCTCAAAGGAGGTAAAGAGGACACACAGGAAATCATACGAGAGACCAAAAAGGCCACAGGCGTGGAACCACATCTTCACCTCTCAATTAGGTTATAGTGCTTTCCCGCACGTGCAAAACGCGCAGGATCGCGGGGAGTGCAGAACGACGATCAGAAAGGGGGAGCTTAGCCTCGATATCTCCGCCATTCCATGGTACCTGCATGCCCAGTGCAGTTGTACACCTGGAAAGGGGCTTGCTAGGCTTGCTAGGCTTGAGGGGCCCGGGGGAATGCTTTGTAGAGGAACAAAGACCTGAGGTTGAGATAGTAGGGGGGGTGGTTGATCTATCAATAGTCTACTCCTATACTCCCGTCTTATACTCCTATTAGATCTAAGGTATTGCACGGGGTACTTCCTGCGTCCTACTTCGGATGAATGTCACGGATAGAAAGAACCACGAAAAACGCGTCTAGACAACGTGTTGTGAAAGAACTTTGTCCGTCGAACTCATTCATAGCCCACACAGTTCACCTTGGTGGAGAGTGCGGTCGGCAGACCTGTTACCTCTTTACCGCCGACAGGGGCTGAACGTCTTCACACCTACACATACGCGCCTTCGACCTTCCTCTCTACTTCAATTCGATCGGAGCCCCGGTTGGTTCCTCTTCTCTCTTGTATGTTATCATCCGATCCCACCGTGGTCCCCCATCTCCCCATTTCACCTTTCTAACCGCATTCTCAGGTCGACTCGGTCCGCCCGAGGACTTCCCTCCAACGCTCTCCCCCGACACCTTGTTCCCGAATATTTTCTGTTCCAAAGACTCCTGGCCGAGACAATTTTTTGCTTTTCTTTTCTTCAAATTTCCACTTCGGTGGAAATTACCACTTCTTCTGACTCTGAAACTCGTCCAATCTGGCAGCTTCTTTAGGGACGATTGATTCTCCTCCACTCTCCACTCCCGCACTTGCAACAAACCCACAACCCTCCTCCCTACCGACACCTCTTCCCACGACCTCCTTCCCAGCCCTGGAAACTCAAGTCTTCTGCGCCGCGACTGGCTTCCGCGAATATTGTTGTGGGTTCGTTTGGCGATTCACGATTGAGTGGGACCCGGAGAGGGGCTGTCTTTGAGTGTGGTGGAGTGTGGAATCCTTTCCTCAGCCGAGTCGCCGAGTCACCTCAAAAGACTGGTGTTGGAAGAATTGCTATATGGTTCCATACATCGATGGGAATGCAAATCGTTCCCATCCTCTTGGTGACAGCTCACCGATAGCCTCGGATCAGCCTCGCACTATGGCATGGATGCCGCAGTCCGACGCGTCCGAGATTCCTCCTCGGCCACCATTGAACTCGCAGCAATCGAGCTCCCTCCCCTCGACCCCTTACCAACATGCGCGCAATCTCTCCTTTCACTCGCGGACACCGTCCCCCGCCCGCGGAAGCACCTCGCCCCGCTCGACTCACTCCGAATCCACACATCTACCTCCTTCGACTCGAAAACCATTCGAGGGCTGTAAATACGAGACGGCCATGGCGTATTTTCGGAGACGAATACCGTACAGCTTGGGGGCCGATATACTGCCGGAGGAGAAGGAGGGATTGAAAGAGGCACTCGAGCCCGAGGAGGAGAAGAAATTGACGGCCGACATCATGGACCTCTACGATCGATTACTACCTTCTGCGGAGAGTGATGACCGACGCCGGCAACTGGTCGCCAAATTGGAGAACCTTTTCAACGAGCAATGGCCCGCCCACGAAATCAAAGCTCATGTCTTCGGTTCCTCGGGGAATAAACTGTGCTCTAGCGACTCGGATGGTACGTGCGGTGGAATCCAAAGCAGGGGCTTGGACAACTAAAAGCTGACTCTTGTGTAGTGGACATCTGTATCACGACCGACTACAAGGAGCTGGAGCATGTGTGTCTGTTGGCAGAGGCTTTGGCGAAGCGTAAGGACAATACTCGGAGAATTTGGGTTGCGATTCGGACTGACCTGATCGAATAGATGGGATGGAGCGAGTTGTCTGTGTTTCTCATGCCAAGGTTCCTATCGTGAAAATTTGGGACCCCGAGCTGAAACTGGCGTGCGACATGAACGTGAACAACACCCTTGCCTTGGAAAACACTCGTATGATCCGGACATATGTCGAGGTTGACGAGCGGGTACGCCCGTTGGCGATGAGTGTCAAACATTGGACAAAACGACGGATTCTGAACGATGCGGCCCTTGGAGGCACGTTGAGTTCTTACACCTGGATCTGTCTAATCATCAACTTTTTGCAAACGATTGACCCGCCTATTCTTCCCAGCTTGCAAGCTCGCCCTCACCAAAAAAGGGTTACTCCCGATGGATTGGTGTATTCGTTTGATGATGACCTCGAAACGTTGAGTCAGTTTGGCCAGAAGAATAAGCAGTCCGTGGGAGAATTGTTCTTTGCATTCTTTCGTTACTACGGACACGAGTTGAACTACGAGAAAAGCGTCATTTCTGTACGCGAGGGTGGTTTGGTTTCCAAGGACGCCAAAAACTGGACCTTTTCGGTGAACAATCGGCTTTGTGTGGAGGAACCGTTCAATACGTCAAGAAACCTGGGGAATACAGCAGATGACACGTCTTTCCGAGGCTTGCATCTGGAGTTGCGGAGAGCCTTCAAGTTTGCCGCTAAGGGTGACTTGGCTGGTTGTTGCGAAAAATTCGAGTTTCCTCAGGAGGAAGAGCGGACATGGGAACGACCACCGCCCCAACCACGACCGACCCTTACTCATTCTGTCCCCTCGCGTGGTGGCCGGGGAGGTGGACGCGGAGGAAGGTATACGAATCAGTTCTCAAGAGGCGGTTTCTCTGGTGGCCGTCGGACCTCAAATACGGGCAAGCCCAACTCATTCCGTCAGCCGAATACCAATGTCACCAATGCATCTGAACTGTCTCTGCAAGCTCAACAGCAGGCTCAGTACATGTTACACGATCAGCTGTACCAGCAGATCCAGCTCCTTCAGGCGCAAGAACAGGAGCTGAGGATGCAGTTGCACAACCAGGCACTGATCACTGGGCGGCCACCGCCTGTGTTCCTCCGGCAGCCCTTTATCCAGTTTCCTATGCCTCAGCAACAGGAATACTCACCGGATGAAAACCCACGGTCAAGATCAGGAACTGTCAATCAGCCGCCCCTTTCTCCTTTAACACCGACGTCCCAAAGGCAGACCTTTGTTAACCCCACATACGCTTCTGTGAGTGCTGTAGGCACACAAGGAACCACGACAAATCCCCCCTCGCCTTCTGCTACTTCCGCTGTCCCCGACTTTCGTCGTAATCCGCGGCGTTCATCCGTTGCCGCAAATGGATCACCGAAAGGGTCTTTCCGAGCACACTCTCAGCCTGCGCGGCCACAGAATTCACCCCTTCAGAACTTCGTACCGATTTACCCGTTACCGCAACCTCTGGATACTTCCTTTGGTTCTAGGGGACGACCGGCTCCCGAACCATCGGAAGGCGGAGAAGGCAGCAGGGATGAGAACTCAATGCCCCCGAACAGTCTCCCTAGCAATGGGTCTCGCTCAGACACCGTGGACGAAGGACGGGCTCAGGAAATGATGGGTTACTACATTACTCCTCAACAACTGCAGCTGTATCAGCAGAACGCGATGATCCCGTCTTTCACCTCACCTATGGGGCTCGGGCTGCCAAATGGCTACGCACCATTCTTACCAGTTCAGCAAGATTATCGCTCTTGTGGGCTTTCGTCGGATGGACAAAGTTCTCGAACTGAACAGTCTCCCACCCCCGTTCCGAGGGGATCGTCATCGCTGCCGCAACGCTCTTCCTCGTCACGACCAGCAGCTTCTTCTGGACCTTTGATTGTGGATGGCTCGGTGCCTCCGAGTGCATCAAGTGAACGCCGCCCGTCGTATGGGGCTGACCTGATTGATCCTTATACCGCTGTTACGCATTACACGTCGACTTCGGATGATCATACTGTCAACACACCCGCTAGCTTCTCCGACTCCCTGTCGCAAGACTTCCAAGACCCGGGGCCTTTTGAGATGGAGCAGACTCCGGTCTTTACTCGACCATTCGAGACACAGAAGATGAGCAGTAGCAATGGCGAGTCGCAGAAAGAAAGCATAAATGGCCAGCCAGAGCTCCTAGCAAGCCGGTTGCAGAATTTCCATCTATCGAATGCCGAGAAGCTGGGTCGGTCCCAGTCCACAAAGACCAACTCAGAACGGCACAAGAACGGAGCGCACCCTGCGAAGGACACAGCTCATCCCAAGGGTTCTGCATCTAGCGACAAAACCACCAGCTCGCAACCAGGAAACGAGGCTCGCCAGCAAACATCATCCTCGAGGCGGAAGCCAAACGGAGTAGACGCTTCTGAGAAGGTCAACGGGGCCAATCACGGCCACAAACCTAAGCAAAGGGGTCGGCACGATACGTCTCACAATACGTCAGCTCAACAAGGGGATGCTAAGGATCGGAATGCTGATCACCCGCCACGGAAGTCCGGCGGTGCTAATGGTACCGCCGATGCTAATCACGGGGGGTGGCAGACGACGAAGAAAAAGCACCGTCGGGGTGCTAAATCATCTGCGGAACCTCGTAACGGAGTCAACGGCGCCGAGCCTCTTCCCGCAGATGAAGCATTGCGCAAAGGCGGTTGAGGATAAAGACCGCTTTCTTTCGATCTAAACTGTTCTCTTTTCTTCTGATGTCTCTTACGTGAAAAGCGCCAGACCAGTCGCCGATATGAGCTCTCCAGTCGCCAAAAGGAATCCCCCAGTCGCCAATATGAGCTCTCCAGTCGCCAGATTGAATCCCCCAGTCACCGATATAAGTCTCTGTCCAACATCGTTCTCTCTTCATCAAACCCCACCAGCATCAAACCCATCGAAATCTGTACGACTTTGTCAAATGAATGTCAACCATTACTTGTTCATCATATTCCATTTTGTTTCCGGTGTCAAGGGTCCAAAGGGAAGGGTATTTGCGCATTAACCATCATCATCATCATCATCATGCTTTTTGGAAAGTTCCTTCCATGGTTCCTTCAAGGCTGGCTTTCCTTTTGTTCAAAAACTTCATATTCATCTTCAAAACGCATCCCATGGGCGGCTACAAAATATGGTCTGCAGCTGCTTGGAGTTTTCTTGTTTTGAATGGCTAGATCCGGTTTCTTTGTTCTTCAAGCTTATGGTGCCTTTTTTTCGGTTCTGTAAAAAGATTACCTGCCAGGTGCCGCTTGGGGATGAGTTAAATGAAAATAACAAAAAAAAACATTCAAAAATGTCCCTGTCCATGACTAGCTTGGTGAGTTGTAGAATGTAGCTTTCGTCTGTCGTTTTGTTCATCTTTGCCTGGGGGTGGTGTAGTCATGTCTGTTCCATTTCCTTGCTCGTCCCTCAATACGCCATCACTGATGGTGTATGGGGGTATGTGGTGTATAAAGGTATGAAGGGTACGCTGCTCTTATCGAACGTTCTCACTTCAGGATGATGTTTTTCTTTGCGTTGCACCTGTTAGATGCCGGAAATGTGCCTTGTTCCCCTGAACCAAGCCTAGGTCGCTGGTGAAGGAACGGAAATTAATATGTTATCTTATTGCGGTCAAGGAAACTCCATTAGATAACTGTATGTCTTATTCGGTCAGGAACGTAGTAACATTGAATCATCTATTCCAGACATGACGGTATAGCAGGCATAAGAAGACACGAGATAACTGTATGGTATAGTAGTATAGTACATCGTGACACAGCCGACACCAGAGTAGTCCGGCCATGATCGCTTTTGCAGGGATTAAATCACATAGGGGTATGGAAGACCTGCACAAAGATAATAGAGCGGTATTAAGTCAATAGAGCTCGCTAGGCAATATGTGCATCAAAAAGGCGTGGGGAAAGAGCTTTGTCTCAAAAGGTCCCAGCCATCAACCCCGAATCTCGGCAAAGATGTAGGGGAAAATCACCACGCATGCTGTCCAGAAGACCATAATGGATCGGTAGGGGAACAGGATTAATTGTGTCAGAGGAGTTTCGGTAAAGAGGACCCAGATTGAAACGAAAGCGACGGAAAAGAAGTGGTTGAAGAGGACAAGCGGTTGCTTGATCAAGCCGGCGAGAAGTCCAACGGGTCCGTCTACGTAGCCCATTTGGAAGTAGCGGAAGCAGCCTCGTTGGAGGGCAAGGAGATTTGCATCTAAGATAGTGTCAGTAAGGGAATTCTTTTCGATATAGACTAATAAAGACGAACCATTAGCGGCAAATAGCATGTACAAAGCCTGTGCAAGGATGTTGATAACAGTCGACGACTTCTTTCTCATCCAGTGGAAGCGCGAGAGCTGTTTCAGGACAAGTGCTGTGTCTCCTAGGTCCGGCACGCGTTCGGGACTGAGCAAATCACGAATGAAGCAGACATCATTGAGCGCCACGGTCATTCCACCACCAGTCAATGGATGCCGCATGTTGAGTGCGTCGCCCAAAATCATTAGCCCGGGTGTTTTGTTGGTAGAGGCGGGCAGGAACGAGTTTGGCATTGACCGCAGCTGGCCCTTGTCCAGCGCAGCTTCAAAGGCCGGCTGAACCTCCTCCGGGAGGGAGGGGAGGATGGTGTTTCGCAGGTGGCCCTTGACACCACCATTCTTGACCGACGCGGTTGTGAGGTTCTCGGGGATATCAACCAGGACGCGGGTCTCGTGGGTGCCGATCTGGTACATGAGGACGGGGGGCTTATCGCTGAGGAGGACATGGCCGTAGTGGGGGGAAGGGAGTTTGGCGTCAATCATTTCCAGGCCCCAAAACTTCGACCGGGCCTTGGGGGTGTGCGGGTGGTAGGTCTTGCGGAATTTGGAGGCGTAGCCGTCGGCGACGACAGTGAGCTGAGCAAAGTAGCAGTCCTTGAGATCGTTGGTCACACACTCAACCCCGAGAACCTGCTGTGTGTACGACGAAGTCACTAGGCCTGTGGCCTGGGTCTCAATGACGGTCACGTTGGGGCAGTCGAGGGCTGCCTGGCGCAGCTTCATCACGAAACGGCCATGGTGGAAGGACCGTCCCAGGGGCGCAGGCGAAGAGGGGTCTTCTTTGGGGTAGTCGATTAAGACTGGTTCTCCGAAATATGAGACGTAATATCCGTTGACCTGGATCGCATCGATCTCATCCAGACAGTCACGCAGACCCAGCTGCTCCAGTGCTTGCACGCCACCGGGCTGCAGCAGTTCACCGACGATGCGATCGGGCTCCTTCAGTGACTTTTCCAGCAGAATGACGCTTCGCCCTTGTCTTCCAAGTGTGACTGCAAGTGCACAGCCCAGAATGCCCGCGCCGATGATCACAATGTCGGCCTCGTGGTGTTCGATGCGGCGCTTGACGGCCTGTTGAGATTTTATGGTACGGCCGTTGACGGAGGCCATGTTGGCGGTGGAATAGAAAAAGGTGGGGAACTGTCAAGGCGGCCGTTGCCGCAGGGGCATTCTCGTTTTATAACAAAGATCAGGGCGAATTGAGTTAAGCGGACTGGCTAGAAAAGAAGAGTATGGGCTGATCCGTTTAGTTGGGAAAGGGGTGTGGCGTGACATGTGAAAGTCTGCTCTCCGCCTTCCCCAACTTTGTCTCCAACTGCACTTTGCACTCATGATTAGCAACTTAATGTGTATCTTCCCTTGTGGATTCTAGATAATAGTAGCGTCTCCTATGATCAAAGCTGTCTTATCCTGATCTAGCCAGTGTTGTAGGGGATCCGATGTATATACGCGAGGAAGAAATGCGTCTACAACACATGATAATGAGGTCTGGGTTCAAAAGTTGGAATATGTGGTATGTACAGTCATATATTATACAGGGGTGAATCTATGCATTAGCCATGGCGTGCTTCAAATCCACGGCTATTCCCGAATGCAAAGCTTGGCTTTGTTTGCGGTGATACTCAAAAGGCGCAGCCCTCTCGTCCCGGAGGGCTTTAGGCTCGGGGTAATCCGGATGCTCAGGTAGGAGGCGATGCTCAATGGTTACGGACCTCTCATCCCACCACTGCAGCACTTGATCGTCATTTGGATCGGTGGTCCTATCCATAAGGTCGAACTCCACTTCCTCGTCAAACGTCGCGAGCATTGCCTCCACTGGCTCGTCCGATAGGTGTCCGTGGCTTGTAACGAGATGCGGCAAGGCCGGCTTAGTCCGCATCTTGCGCTTTTGCTCACGGCTGACGGCATATAGGGTAGGATCGTCACTGGCAGCCTTCTTCCTGAGTAACTCCACGAGCTGCTGCACAACATTCAGGTCACTCGAAGACACTCCGGCAACCCGTCTCTCAAGCATGGGAAGCAGGCGCTCGGCTTCGGCGACGAAGAAACGCGAGACACGCTCGTAGCGAGTAAGAACAGTCGACAAGGACCACCAGATACCCCGGATGTGGTTTTCCACAGCGAAGGCGCGGAAGAGCATCTTGAGCTGGACTTGATCGAACTTGTGAGATTTGCGCCACTTGGACTTGTAAAGTGCTTTCAAGATTTCGATCGCCAGTGGTTGGCGTCCTTCTTGGATCAAGCGCCGGCAGAGGGCTGTTGATGCGTGGTTTTTGACGACGAGAGTGGGCGTGTCGGCGCAAATATTGTAAAACTCCATCAGCGCAGACTTATACAGAGTCGATTCGCGGACGTTGATTTTATCAAGCTGAATGATCTGCTGGAAGAAGACGGGCACAAAAAGAGGGAAGGGACGGGTGTATCGAACTGTCGGCCGTTTGTTCGCATCCAGCCACTGTTTCCTGATGGTTTGCCGGACTTCCTCCAGATCGGACGAGCCATTCTGGAGAATATGAGCGACGGCAGCCAGTTTGAGGTGAATCGATTCGATGGGATGGGCGCTTTGGACCGCCTTGTCGAAAGTCGCCTTCGCCGCGCCGAAGTGGCCTGCGTGAATGAAATGCTCCATCCGCTTTTCCAACGGCATGTAAAGATTAATGGACTTCTTGAAGACGAAGTCGTCCATGTTGTCCGAAAAGCTCGAGTCAGCATTGTGGCGAACCGGTGCCAAAGTATCACCATCCAGGGTGTAGGATTCGGCGCTGGTTCCCAGAATACGCCGCGAGGAAGCAACCATCCCATATTGCCTCTTTGCCGCCTTCATCATGTTCCACGACCCGACAGGGGTTGATTGCATCATCGCACGGCGAGCCCTCAGAATCTTGTCGAGTGCGTTTCGGTCGATGCCGGTTTTCCATTCGCGTTCCTGACTCAGGCGTGTGATATGCTTGAACATTTCAGTATCGCCTCTTTCGACCAAAGCCTCGATGATGTGACGGTGAAGAACCCTGTCTGGCACAATATCAAAGTCGTTGATGCAGTTTGTAATAAACTTGAAGGTTTCTCGACCAGAGTGAGTAGGATAGTACTCCAGGAGGAGACGGTCGAAGACGCGGGCGAAATTACGCTTTTCGCCTGTCAATCCTCGCGCATGCATATCGTGCAATCCATCCATAACGCTCTCCCAATCACATGACGCTGCTCGGCCATATAACAACAAGCCAATTGATCGGCATCCGGGAAGAACATTCCACTTCACCGGCATATCAGCCACCAGCTTTTCGGCATCCTCGTGTTTCCCAGAATCAATGAAAGCCTTGATCATGGGGTTGAAAACCTTCTCAGTAGGTTTGCGCTCCAAATCGGAAAGGTGTTTCAGCGTCAAGCGAAATTCATCCGCTAACAAGTCTGTGCTCCGAGCCTTCTTCCATACTCCATCGAGGTATGCTCCGCATAGACCACCGTCCACGTCATGCTTGATGTGGTTGTAAAAAAACCACTTGGCCAAGCTCAAGCGCCTGGACTCAAGAAGGCACCGCAAGACAACTTCCAGTAGATGAACGGGAACTTCTAACCGAAACCGGTGTTTTTCGAAGATAGCACAAACTGCTTCCATGTGTCCCTCTTTCGCCAGCAGATGCATCATCATGGCCCAAATCTCGGAGTCAATGGAAGTAATTTTCTCCATACGGTGGAAAAGATTCCGAGCGATGAACACGTTCCCCTTCTTGCAGTTTTCAGTGAACAGGTGGTATGCGAGCGCTCGTCTGTCCCAGGAAACTCCGTTGGGGACCTTCTTCTTGGTATGTTCCTTGATAAACATATTCGTGGCCTGAATTTCCTTGCCCTGAAGAACCATTTGACGAATCTGTTCATCAAGAGGCACCTTGCCGAGAGATTTTGACCGTTTTGCCCTTTTGGCCTCAAAATCCAATTGTTTTTTGTTGCGGGCTTCGTTTCTCAGCGCGGAGCCGGAGCCGGTATAATTGAACAAGCCGACTGGTATCTGGCCAAATTGTGACATGTTCTCCACAGAAGCAGGCTCCGTCAAAGGTGAATCTCTGGACTCCTCGGCCACATCCTTAGCTTGTGGCTTCTTGGGCTTCATAGAATCCAATCCCATAAAGTTCCCCGCTTCTGCTGCCTCCATCATGTGGGCAAGCCGCTGGGCAGATGCTTTCGCGTCGTAATTCGGTGCGGAGGTGTGGATAATGCGTTTGTTCTCGATGATCTGCTCGGCTACACGGACTCGACGGTGGACGTCATAGGTGACGGCTGCAAGAGCGCAGCAACTGCCCACCGTTCCCCCGGCGAGAGCCAATTGGCGGAGGGTTCGGAGGGCATTGCGTGAGGGTACGACCGGTGTCGAATTAGCGGCTTTGCCGAACATGGTGAAAGCGCTGGCCGCAGCTAACGCGCCGGGCTCGCCAGCCTCGCGCAAGCGAACTGAGCGGCAAAATACTAGAATACAGGAGGTAGCTGAAGCATCCCTCGTCTCGGTTGCGTTGAGAATAGGAAGGGAGGAAAGGAACGAAGAGAAGATAATCGGAGCTCGGCGGTAGAAGGGTAAACTTGGACGGGCAGCTTTTTTCGGAAATCATAAACCTGCGCGAACGGTCCGTATCGCCTACCGTATAAGCATCAGTCCGGATCAGCTGATCGTTTCTTCTTTCCCATCATACGACAACACTTTTGTGCCTAACTTGATCTAGTAATTTAGTATTTAGAACATAGCGATAGCCAAATGGCTCTAGATAAGATACATTTATCATAGGAGGAGCTGATCATGTTCGTCTTCTCCATCTTCGTTGGCTTCAGCCCGTACATCCGAAGCAGCCTCGTCCACAAGAGTGACTATGGAAATGTTAGTGGAAGATTCCAGGTACTGGATAGAATATAGAACTTACCATGTGGCCGAATCAGTAAACTCATCAAGAAAGTTACACCAAATACTGCCGCCAGACAAACAAATACCGTCGGAGGGTAGGTAGCGACCGTTAGACTATAAATCAAATTGAAGATAGTCGGCGCGACAACTCGTGCAAGCGCATGCAAGAGGCCCGTAGCACCAAGCATTTGGCCAATACGCTCATGCGGCACGTGCTTGGTGAGAGATGACTGTAAGGTTGGCGCACCCATTCCACCAAACGAAGCGATAACTCCGGAAAGGATCATCATCGATGGGTGTTTCGATAGGCCATACCCGACATAGCCCAAAACGTCGAAGAAGATGGACAGGCGGATGATGACGATGTCCAGCATGTCAGATCCGCGGATAGTGTTATCGTTGGCAGTCGAGGTACCGAAGAAGCGCGCAACAATGGGAAAAACGACGAATAGGTTGACCACACGGATCGCGTTGATGATGGACACGAACAGGCTCGACTCCACATTACCCCAGTTGAACATGTACTCGGCATAGATGATGATCAACTGAGCAGTACCCATGGCGACGCCGAAGCACACTGTATCCATTGCAGCAAGAAGAATGATGTTTCGTCGAAGAGCAGGACTAGCACCCCGGCGATTGGGGAATAATACACTCGGTCGTCCAACAGCGGGTAGAAGGATAGAGAGTGGCGTGATGAGGTTCATCGGGTTAAGGGTCTTCCAAGAATACCATTTGGTAGCTTCAGAGTCTGTCTGCTTGATACGGTGCTTCTCACGAGCAACGCGCTGTCGCTCCTTCGAGAGAGACTCTGGAACGATGAAAAAGAGCGACAGGCAAAAGACGGCATGAAATGTCAGGCCGATTAAAAAGACGATTATAACATTCCCGGTCGTTTTGATCAGGTATGCAGCACCACTGGGTCCAGCAGCGATGCCGAGGAACAAGACGCCGTGGAATAGGCCAAATGCCACACTTCGCTTGTCCGGCGGCGTGCAATCCGAACCATAGGAATGAATCAGAGCTTGCGCCGTGGTGAATGAACCGCCGAGCCCATCCATCACGGCTCCAATGAAGAGGAGTCTGATCGACTTATTCTCCGGCCGCGAAGCGATAATCACGGTGATCACTTCATTGAGCACAGTACCCATGGCACAAAGTGCGATCATTCTGGTCCTACCATAACGATCCGATAAGTGACCCAGTCGAGGACTGACCAATGCGGAGAGGATTCCGGTGATTAGATTGAGGTAAAGCTGAAACTGGGCGACGAGAGACTGGACCTCGGGGATTCGGCACTGGGCATTATCTTCTCCGAAAATGACGGGAAGAACGGTGAAATTAGGGTCTTTGGCCATTCTCTCGGAGAAATAATCACGACAAATCAGAGTCATTATCAGGTTGATTCTGGGTACGACGAGCCCTCCAAAGCCCAACATAAATAGAAGGCCAAATGGTAGCAGCCACCAAATCTGCCATCAACCGAGGATTAGAGGGGCCATGTCCAAGCACCTCGAGTTACTTACGGACGGTCTCCTCCATCGCGGTCGGGTATCGATATCGCGCTCATCCTCCTCGTAGGGTGGCGTTTCATCGTCAACATCATCGCCGGCCAGCAGCGGTTCGCTATGAACCTGCAGGGTAGGTTGCTTGGGTGCGTCTGCAGTGAGACGGATGTTCCTGGCTTGTTGCTGTGCGTCGAGCGCGGATTCACCCGCGAAGAGTTCCTCGTTTTCCATGATAGCAATAAGCCGCCTTCAGCGATCGCGCGAGTCTACCGGCACATTATGGGGTAAAGAGGATTTGACGACATGCAATAGCTCGGTCAGCATTACCCGTTCAAAGCAGGGATAAGATTGTCGGGCCTCGGGATGAGTGGAGAGAATGCGAGTGCGTCAGCGACTCTTATCTATCAATCTGGACATAATTAGGCGGTTGGCTCCGATAACTCCGGCGCCACGCAATATGAGAACAGGTTTGAATCGTTTTAGCTTGTTTTACGCGATCGCTCGGAAAATAAGCAATTTCGTGTATAGGTACAGTAGAGAATTCCAACAGCATAACGCCTGAGCCGGCCCGAAATGTTATGTACATGCAACGAAAATGTATAAAATGCCAATAAATCTCCGGCTTTTACATCACCAGAGCACCGTGCTGTTTACCGGCGAAGAACTTCTTCTGCTCCAGGCATCGCTCGCTCTTACAGCCTTGGCAGCGCAGTGTCATCTGAGCTGAGCAGGGTTCTCCCTTCTGCAGATGCTTGTGAGCGACGTCCGCCAGAGCCTTGATGAAGGTCGGATTGCCGTTCAAGCTCTCAGCGCGCTTGACGCCGGGGCTGTTGGCTTCTTCCATGACCTCCAAATCCAATTCATATAGAGTCTCAATGTGATCGCTGGTGAAAGCGATAGGCACAAGGACCAAATCCGTGTGGCCGCGCTTGACATATTGCATGACGGTATCGCTGGTCTGGGCCCCGAGCCATGCGGAGGGACCAACCTGGGATTGCCAGCACAAACGGTACGGGTTGCTGAAGTTCAGGCGCTGCATGACGGCATGAACGGTGGCGGCGACTTCGGAGGGATAGGGATCACCTGTAAAGGAGACATGGATTAGGCGCTGTTATTTTCCCGAGTTGAGGTGAGATTGGACTTACCGCGGTTGACAACGCTCATGGGCAAGCTGTGAGCGGAAAATAGTAACACCACCTTATCCCTCTTCTCTTCCGGATAGGTCTTCAACTGGGCCTCGATATTTTGCGCAAAGGCCTCGACCAAACCGGGGTGGGTTGGCCACCGGTCGATGACACTCCACTGGATAGCTCCAGTCGGGTCAGCCTGGCTGCCTTCCAGGCGATTTCGCCACTTCCACAACTCATTTAGCGAGCTTCCTGTCGTGGAGCAAGAGTACTGCGGATATTGCGTGAAAGCAACAGCACGACCTCCCTTCCCATTTCCAAATCCATCGTCCAACAGCTGTTGATACATCATCTCCGTCAAGGGAGCAGCGTAGCGGAATGCGACGTAGGGCTTGTGTGGCGCAGTCTCCGGAGATATTTGATCAAGCACCTTGCACATCTCAGCACACTGGTACTCGGACCATTTGCGGATGGGCGAGCCACCTCCAATGTCAGCATACTGCTTCTGGATCTTCGGGGTCCGGCGCTTCGCAATCAACGGGCCGAGATAGGATTGGAATCGTCCCAGGGGAATCAAATCGCCATCGGTCTGTAGAAGTGTAAGAATGACAATGTTAGCCTACTCCCAACAAGCTTTATCAGTGAAGTAATCTCGGGATGCATACAAAGAGCCTGCTCAGGAAATCCTCCACCTCGTTCGTTGTCGACGGTCCACCCATATTCAAGAAGACCATCGCAGTCGGTCCCTTCGAGCTCGTAGCATCCTGAGTCACCGGTGGTACTGCTGTTGCGAGGCCGCGACGTGGATTGCTATAACACGTCACATAACCGCCCGTCGCGGGCCGGAGGGCCGAGGTGGCAGCACTGCTCAAGATCCGACGAGGGATCGCAAAAGGCGCGCGGAATGACATGACTGGGTGTGATATTGGGATAAATTGACGCTGTGAAATAGGGTCGAAACACAGCCGGATACCCTAGTCAATGTGTGAGCTCAACGCATTTGCAGATCAGAGAATCAAGTTGGAGGCCGCGGAAAGCTTCGAGCCTCGGCCAATCATGCGATGGGGGGAGTCAGCAGCTTCCAGACCGGTGTCACATGACCTTCGCGTCTCCCCGCGTTCAAAGCGCGTCAAGGCAGCAGCTGTGGAACGAGACAGAGGCTGAGTCTTCTTTCCGTTCCTCACTTTCTTAGCCTTTGAAATCGTGAGCAACATGGCAGATGACAGCTACGCGCGAGAGGAGGAGGGGTTTGAGGAGGAAGAACTCGACGAGACCGTGAATGCCCGCTTCCCGTTACTCTCGGAGTATAGATCCAGTGGCTAACTTTATTGTTGCTTTAGAGCTTCAGGTCCGTCAAAGATGCCGTTCTATTTGCAATCGACGTTAGCAGCTCCATGCTGAAGCCTCGTCCTTCTGCCGACCCCAAAAAGCCCGGCGAAGAATCCCCGGCATCTGCAGCCCTGAAATGTGCATATCATTTGATGCAGCAGCGCATCATATCTAACCCCCATGACATGATCGGCGTTCTTCTTTATGGCACTCAGTCATCTAAGTTCTACGACGAGGACGGCGAAAGTGCTGACCTCTCCTACCCTCATTGTTACCTCTTTACCGACCTCGATATTCCATCGGCGCAGCAAGTGAAGGAATTACGATCTCTAGCAGAAGATGAAGCTGTGGCCCGGGATATCTTGAAACCTTCAGACGAGCGTGTCTCAATGGCCAATGTGTTGTTCTGTGCAAACCAGATCTTTACCTCTAAGGCACCGAACTTCCTTTCCCGGCGACTCTTCATTGTGTCCGATGACGATAACCCACACGGCGACAACAAGTCTCTTCGGTCAGCTGCAACTGTCCGTGCAAGAGACTTGTATGACCTGGGGGTCACGATTGAATTGTTTCCCATTTCGCGCCCCGATCATGAATTCGACACATCGAAATTTTATGATGTACGTCTTGAATCATATCCGGAGTTGCAGAGACCATGCTAACTCGCTACAGGATATCATCTACAAAACATCTCCCAGTGATGGCGAGGCGCCGGCATATCTCCAGCCCGATACAAACACATCGACTGCCCAAGGTGACGGAATATCCTTACTCAACTCTCTCCTATCAAGCATCAACTCCAGATCGGTACCCCGGCGATCACTCTTCTCCAATGTCCCTCTTGAACTCGGGCCCAACTTCAAAATTTCCGTAAATGGCTACCTTTTGCTCAAGCGACAAGAGCCAGCACGGAGTTGCTATGTCTGGCTCGGAGGAGAAACTCCTCAGATTGCCAAAGGAGTCACTACCCAGATGGCCGATGACACTGCGCAGGCAGTGGAGAAGTCCGAGATCCGAAAAGCGTACAAATTTGGCGGGGAGCAGATTTCCTTCACGACCGAGGAACAGCAGGCCTTAAGGAACTTTGGGGATCCTGTGATTCGGATCATCGGCTTCAAGCCACTCTCTGCGCTGCCCATTTGGGCCAATGTCAAGCACCCCTCTTTTATCTATCCTTCCGAAGAAGATTACATCGGCTCAACGCGTGTGTTCTCCGCGCTGCATCAGAAACTCCTCAAGGACGAGAAGATGGCCTTAGTCTGGTTCATTCCCCGCAAAAACTCGACACCGACCTTGTCCGCCATGATTGCCGGTGGTGAAAAGATCGATGAGAATGGTGTGCAGAAGGTGCCGCCCGGAATGTGGATTATTCCTCTCCCCTATGCAGACGACGTACGACAAAATCCGGAGTCTACTATGAACGTGGCCCCGGAACCACTGATCGACACGATGCGAGCGGTGATTCAGCAACTGCAGCTTCCGAAGGCTGTTTACGACCCGACAAAATACCCAAATCCCTGTATGTCACCTTGTGCTCCTGCTGTACGATTAAACTAATGCGTGGCAGCGCTGCAATGGCACTATCGTATTTTACAGGCTCTAGCCCTAGATGAGGATCACCCAGGAACACCGGACGACAAGACCAAGCCTCGCTATCGGCAAATTGATAAAGTAAGTCCTTTCGCCTCCCAGATACTGCAGGGCATGGCTAATCAAACATCAGCGCGCCGGTGACTACGTTCTCGCCTGGTCTGAAGAACTCGATGCCCAGTCAGCCAAGATGTTCGGCGGCACTGCCGCTACGAAGTCAACGCTGGTGAAGAGAGGCCCGAAAGAAAATCCTGAGAATGCGGACAATGCGCGAGATCCCCCAGCGAAACGCATGAAAGTTGAGGGCGGCGCTTCCGATCTTGACGATGAGGTAAAGCGAAACTTTGAGAAGGGAACAGTATCAAAGGTGAGGAACCATTCCTTCATTGCTTCTCTGTGCTATGTGACTAACCTGTGTTCCTTGGTTACAGCTTACGATGCCTATTCTGAAGGAGTTCTTGACATCTCATGGTCGTTCTCCGGTCGGTAAAAAGGCCGACCTGGTGGACCGAGTAGAGCAGTACTTTGAGCAGAAGTCCTGAGGCAATGGCTTGTACTATCTTTAGATTTGGGTCCAACTAAATAACGAATTATGATATTTGCTCCATCATTCTGTCCCGATGTGTCAATATACTCCACTCTCTCCGCGGGCCGCCTATGTCTCACTTCTGTCTCACATCGACGGACCTTCTACATAGCAACCGTGTCTCCAGAGAAACACCAGTAGTATCATGATTCGAATGTATATGGCAGAGGTGACAGTACGTCTTCTATTGGACTAAAATATCAGTATGATGATCTATGTACATCGGGACGGGATAATTATATTCCAAAGCTGTATGCTGTACGGGTAGCAAGCCCATCTACAGGAACTCCAGCGCCTGAACGCAACGGAATCTAACCCAAACCCGAATGAACGCCGGGATTCCTGCGGCTTTGCGCAGGAAATTTAAAAAAAAAAAATGAAGCTCCGGACAAATATGTGAAAACCTCAATATGTGCAAAGTGGCGGGTCAACGGCTTGCCTACCAGCATTGGCCATAGACCTGGCAGTAGCAGAGCTCCTCATCGGGGCAGTAGACGGCATTCATGCCAAAAATGACATGCCACAAGAACTCCATGACTCGTCCTGACGAGGCGTCGTTCAGTTCCGTATCGAGAATCCACTGCCGGAACTTGATGTAGTCGTCGCGGGGTCGCAAATGCACCTGGGCGCGCGAAACGGCGAACTGCGCGCAGCACGCCGCGCCGATCTGAGCCGGTTTGCGGAGATATCTCTGTGTGTGGGACTCGGTCTGGTAAGGCGAAGAGGTATTGAGAGGCGGGGTGCTGGTGCCGTCGAAAATATCCCACCAGACCTGCTCGGTGACATGGGCGTTATACCGGTGGGCTTCCTTGCAGCCGGGGTTCCAGTTGCAGCGGAGATTGACGTAGCCGTTTCGCTGGACGAAGTCGAGTTGGAGCATGCGCATTGCGGCGACGTTGTCGTGGAGCGGAGCGTCGACGTGCCAGGCCATTACGAAGCCGGAGCGGTGGGCATGGAGGAAGACGATTGTCGAAGGGAGGTCATCGTAGTGGTTGATCACGTAGGTTAGGTAGGCCATGGACTCGTGGCCTTTGTTTGCCGGGGTCGTGAGCACCTTGTCGTCTGATATTGTCGGTTGGGAAGGGTTGACGATGTAGATGGCTCGTTGCCAGCTGAGAATCGGATTAGTTCCCAACCTCGGTCAATTGAAGGGAGATAAGCGTACTCTGGAAGCTGTTCTTCTACCCAATCGGTAGGTTCTTCCTCCAGCTTGGCCATCACAATGATCTTGTCTCCCGGTGTGGTATATCCCTCCACCCGGCTGTGGACGGGCCCATTGCGATCCAGCCAATCAATTAGGTATGCGCCAGCGCGATACTGGTTATAGAGGTCCTTTAAATGGGCCTCCAGCAAATAGAGAGAAAACAACAGCAAGAAGGTAACGCATAATGCGAAACGCAGTCCACCTTTCATGGTGAAAGCAAACGAATCAGGGATGGACCAGGGAAGCCCTCAGGCGAAGTCCCAATTGTTCCAATTTCACCGCGAGAGGACCCAGTAAGCCATTGATGAGAGGGTCGGTAGAGAAAGGACAGAATAGAGATCAAAGAACTGGAGAATGAAAGTCGAACGGGAAGGGAAGTAGAGTGAAGTCGATTGAAGTTGGGGAAAGGGAGTGGGAAGCGACTCGGTCCACGGGTAATCGGGCAGAGTCGCGGTGGAGAATAAGGAAAAGGAGAGTCTAAAAAAGGTTTAAAGGAGTGATGGCGGGATAGATAACCTCGCGGACGATATAGGAAATAGTCTAAGAGGAAAGAGGAAAGGCGGGATGAAGGGGGGGGGGCTAGGAGAGAGGACCCATGCTTAATTTTTTTTTCTTTCGCAATCAAAATGAGTTTAAGCCGCGTTTTAACTTCGAATGCCATTCGGCGCGCACGTCACTGGGTCCCGGGGGCGACGAGACTGAAATGGGACTGGTTCAGGGGATATTTCGGGGCCGCAAGTCGACGCCGGGGTTGGTTAGAGTCCGCACTGGCCGTCGGCTGCAAAAGCTTGGCTCGGGGGACTGCGTAGGCCCCTGAAGCGTACGCGTAGAGAAACTGTATTAGGCAAACGAAATCGGGGGCGAGTAAGATCAACCGTGGGTGCGCAAGGACCACGGTCAATCTATAGACTAGGGCCCGTGATTGGGATCGGCTAATTAGCTGCTTTACTCCGCGTGTGATGAGTACCATGGATCGCACGTGGCCATGGACAGAGTTCGATGGAATGGCAAAATGGAAAACGGAAAATCAATGCAGAAACGCGGAGTTCGATTACGTGGTTCCCCACCGAGAGATCAATCCGGTCTCGTATTCTATGTGGGGCACGCTTGAATTCCCCCGTTGAGAGTTGAAGTTGTTGGGGGACATTCTCGGTACCCTTGGGTGTCTGGTATCGGTCCTCGTCCTGGTCGCCGCCTCGTTTGAGTGCTGACATGCCGTGGCAATCACGGAGTGAAGACCCACCACTCGCCGATCAGCGCAAGCGATGATGGTGTGACCGCTTGTCTACGGAGTATGCTCCAGCGATTGTCATGGGAGGGGCAAACTCGACCGGAGAGGATGGAGTCGTGGCCGTACTCTACGTAGGACGGAGATCCTACCGATGGGGCATCACCTCCACGCGTTTGGACCCTTGCAGAATCGGGAGAACACCACGACATTGCGTCAAGTCCCGTCCTTGCAGTCAGTCCGCTTGTCACTTAAAAGCCTTCTGCGGTCGCATTCCGTCGTGACGGGGCCATCGGGGCGCTGCTTCTCACTATCTCACGCCCACACTGATAGTCTGGGGGGCCGGTGTTTCATTGGGCCGACGGTGCTCAAGCCACGTTGGGGTTCCACGCACACTCCGCGCGTTGGCGGGCCGCAATCTTGATTTCTTGATTCTCGGGAGGGCATTGCTCTGGGGTTTGCAGATGGAGGGGGTAGGTCCAAGACCTGTACAGGAGTGAAGTCCCGAGGTCGGACATATTCGGCAGAACTGTTTCGTGTGTCGCCTACCCTGTCCACCATACCTTCTATTATTATTCCCAACGATTGCTGCCTATTCTGCTTCCACACGATACTTTCCGTTTTAGTATGCGGCGTCGTACACTGTGGAACCGGACCGGTTCAAGTTTAGCCTGTTCTACTATGTAATCCACGCTAAAAAAAAAAGTATACCCACATCCATGAACGGCCCCGGTGAGCGTCTCATCTCATAGATAGGCGGTGGAGGAAAATATCGTTCCTTTGATTCGTCTCAGGCCTTGGCTGCACCATGATGATTCTGATTTGGCCGTGAATAGTATATACTCCTGTCTGTGAGGAATTTTTACCTTTACCTCCATAGCACATCCATGAATGGACCGCTTGCAAATGATCACAAAATTGGCCCGGTTTGATCGCCCAGACTTTCAAGACAGGCTTCTCGTGACTTGGGAGTAAATATCAAAACAAAGAATCAACATAGACCTGTGTGTCAAGTATGGCTGGACTGTGCCGGGCCTAGAGTATACGTGGACCCCTGCTCAACCTTGGGAGGCCACTGCGGAAACCAACGCAGATCTTCGCCCGTCTTCAAGGTTATTGTTCTGAGAACCGATGAGCCTCTGGGATCAAAGAAGCGCTTTGCAAAGTCTTGCGCCGATCACTCTGTCAACACCAACGAAAAGCTCTTTTCCAACGGTGCCTCAGAGGTCATCGGCTCAAAGTTGTAGAGTTCCGTTGGGTCATCTGTCCCTCGCGCAACTCCTAGCCCGACGTGCATAGATAGCTGACGGAGATTACTGAAGCCTGTTGCTATGGGGTTAATGAAACTAATAGGCTATATCATTAATCAGTTAGTTTTAGTTTCAATTGAATGTGTTGGGTAGAACTGACGCATGTACCATCCGGGTTCACATTGATCTCCAAGCTTACAAGGCTTGGCAAGCGTTGATCCAAATTTTGTATTTCTTTGATGTCCAGCATCGATCTTTGTTGATCAAGTTTTTCGATTGCATAAGGCAAAGATGTTGCAGTTTGGGATGATGAGCCACATCATCTAATGAAGGGACACTCCCTTTGGCCGTCAGTCTTTCCAGAGAGTGGAAAGAGGACAAAAAGGAATCCAGCTCTGGGGGAGACGTAAATGTTTTCTGGCCGTAAGATGTTATCGTGAAAGCTGTCAAGCCGTGTATATAAACCGTGACTTGCTTCACGAAATTTTGTTGTTCTGCGGTCCCAAACTAAGTGTCCGTAGCTTCTCCCAAGGGAGTCTCTCTTTCCATAAAGAGCATATTTCGTTTACGATATGATAGCCACTTAGCGGAAGATTACGCAGAGGTGGGAAACTGTCGTTTTCGGACAACGCCAGAGGTACTATCTGCGCAGTAGGTATACCACCTATAACACAGCCTCCCCGAAACCTATTCACGAAAACGGAATAGGCTTTCTAGGTTTGGATAAGCATTAAACAGCTCGCCAAGTGCTAGCCTCCTATGATCAAACCCTGTGCCCATAGAAGTAGCATCTACTACGGTACGCAGCACACGTACACAGGGCTTTTGGATGGTTCCTTGGGTCCTGCCGTTTTCTTTCAGCAAATGTAGCTTCGGTGATGTCCTGTGGTCTTGCAACGCATCCACGAAGCTCTGTGGCAAAAGGAATTCGAGCTTCAAAGCTAAATATTTTCACAAGGAAAGATGTTAGCCAGATTCATATAGGAAAGATCGGTCATTACTGCTGGAAATGGGATAGGCGGCTCTGCTCCCTTGGGGGCCATTTGGTCTTATATACAAGCGATCCGACTCAGCCTCATTGCCCCAAGTCCCTTCGCTCAGCGAATCACGCTATTTCATTTACGTTCATTTTACCGGGCCCTTGGTCAGATTTATCAGTCATTAAGAAGTTCGTACGACTTGACAGCTTCGTGTAAATGCTGCGGAGATTAGGTATTCACGACTCGTCGCCGGGGTATATGACCCTGGAAAGACTTTCAGTATACTACTGTAACATTTCGTACCAGAATGTAACGCCCATGCTGTGCAGCCCAGCTGCATTTCAACAGCTTGCTCAGTCACTATCTTCCTCCTCCTCATCGCTAACTTCTTCTCCATTGGCAATCGCCTCCTCGCGTTGCTTGCGTGCTCGCTCCCGCTTCTTGTCCAGCAAGGCAGTGAGCTTCTTCGCAACGTTAAAAACACCTCCAGTCCCCGCGCCACAGGCAGCACAGGACGGATTCTTCCGATAACGATTCAAGGCGCAGGACTCGCAGAAATAATGCCCACATTTGGTGATGATGGGGTCTTGGTAGGGTTTCCTGCAGATGATGCAGGCGAAGGGAATGCTTTCTAGCAATTCCTCATCGTCGTCATCCTCCTCCTCTTCGTCGGCCTTGCCTGCACCTTTGCGCTGTGAGACGACCCGTCCAGTCAATTTCTTGCCGTTGGTGCCGATCTCCCAGTCGCGATCCAACTCCCATCCTTGCTTATAGTCTTCTCGCGCGTGAAGGAACTTGCATGAATCGCCGAAACCACAAACTGTAGTAAACTAGTCAGCAACTGCATCGGTCATACTTTGACGTGGAGGTCGACTTACATCCTGTTTGTTTCCAGTCCTTACACACATCAGGTGCAAAATCCATCACCGTCACCGTTCGCACGTTGGTAGGCGCCTTGGTCGGACCGAACTGTTTTGTCGGCGCATCTGGGTTCTTTTGGATGAAGGATGTATAGTTGGCGGTGCCCTTATAGGTGCCGTCTGGCCCAGTTGATTCTTGAGGGCGTGCTCTCGTCGAGCCGAGTAGGTTCTTGGAGCTCAAGTCTTCATCGTACCAGTTGGCGCTTTTGGTTGCGTCGTTGCTCGTTGTCAATGGAGGGCCAGCGGAGGACTGTTCGGCGGTGGTGTCTTTCCTAGACGCATTTCCCGCGGATGAGGCAGTTACTGCGACATTCTTACGCCTCCTCTTAATGCGCCGGCCTTCTTCGTCATCGGAGGAGGTGAAATCGGAGTCGGAGGCCGGAGGTGGCGTGGCGCGCTTCTTGCGGAAGGTGGCCTTGGCCTTGTTGGAGCGCTTCTTGAAGCCAAACTGGGGGACACCTTCTGCGACTTCAGTATCCGCTGCCATGATGAATGAATCGAGTGACAGAATGAAGGAATGGAAGAAAGAGAGATCGATTAGATATCAAGATCAAGATCGAATGACGAAGGATCTCGAATCTCGGGTGACTAATGCATGCAAACGATGCAAACATCGAACGCGCGAGAAGAAAACAACAACACAAAACGGTCGAATAGGAAGGCTCAACCTTGTTTTCGATATCTTGTTTACGTCGGGTCGATCTGTATATTTTTATGTAGTATATAGTGCTATATATCCTCGGTAGAACCCCACCAGCTATATTTATACCCACGTAGCGTCACGGAGGGGCGATCGTGATCTTCCACATCCTCGGGCCCAATCTTAAAACACCGGTGCCAATTGACAAAGGCGACTCCGACGACTACTCCCGAGCGCCTCGCCCTCTCTCTTCTTCTTCTCCCCGCCCGAGTCGCCCTCCCCCAATCACACTCCCTACACTCCCTTCCCTCGTTTTCTTTTTCCTAAGTCTATTTGTTTCATTTTCTTTTGTTGGATTCACCTGTCGAGTGATAATTCCTGCAGATTTGCAGTGTCCAGTTGGGCGATCAACTCAACGCGTGTGCCCAGATCTCGCAGGTCCGGGATTCTCGTGAATTCGTCCGTGTTGTTGTTTTCTTCCCCTCCCACCTTCGCTCCTCGCGGCGGTTTCCCACCCCTTTGTTTCCCCCTACCTGCTCCTGTGGTCGCTGGTCGGCTCACTGTCCCTGCGCGAGGACCTTGCGATACTCGAGGCGCGTTGACTTGGACGATGCTCGTTTAAATTTATTTTGGTCCATCAAATAAATCGTGCGACTCCCCTCACGGCGACTGTGTCCTCCCATCGAAGAGGATTCGGACGCCGATTGAGGCACACCGCAACCTCCGAGAATGACGGCGCCCAAGCCTGCGGATAACTCTCTCGCCGCCATGATGGAAGATCCGTTCGTTTCGAATAACGGGCAACCCCCCGTGCCCCGCGAATCTCATCGCTACTCGTCCTTCGATACACAACTTTTCAGCCTTAATGCTTCTTCGCCAGCGCAGGCCAAGCGGGCCCTCGAGGCTCATCTGGCAGAGACCGAGCGACGCCTGGAGGAGGCGTCCAAGTTGGGAACTGCACTCATTGATCAACAGCGACAACTCGAGGAACAGCTGAAACAGGTCGAACAGCAACAGGATGAGGGGGAAATGGGCCCGGAACTTCGACAGAAACTTGCCGATCTGGAACGAGAGTACAGTGAGATTGGTCGAGAGACGGCGCGCGCATTTTTGGCTCCCAAGCGGTTAGCCGGAAGCGCGGAGGAGGCCCAGCCGGGTACACCAGGGTTCGATCAAAAGGTACCATGACCGCAACGCCTATACCATTGAACTTTGCCCCGATCTAACTTGCAGGACAGTCTCCTATCAGCCCCGCTCTCTTCGCCAGCCAAGCGACAAACTCTCCCAGCAAAGTCAGTGTTCCGTCCCGCAAGCAGCGCAACCAACCAGCCAGTCGAGTGCACGATATCGAATTTGCGACCGAGATTTCCACCTCACTTCTTGCCCAAGTTCGCCAATTACAGGCACTTCTCGCCGAACGGGAGGAGTCCCTGAAGACGGTGAATTTGGAGAAGTCGCGACTGGAGTTGGAAGCAGAAGCTTATTCGCAGCGCATTCGGGCACTCGATGACAGCGAACAGCGCTACAAGGATGAAAATTGGGCCTTGGAGACGCAGACCCATGAGTTGATGGCAGCTGTTAGAGATGCCCACGAACGGGAGAAGAAACTCAACAGCAGCCTCAGCGCTTCCAACTCCGACAAAAGTGCTGTCGAACGAGAACTGGAGGAGCTGAAGCAAGCCAACTCAAAGCTCCTGGAGGAACAGACGGCCTTGCAGAAAGCCAACGATTCTGAGATGCACCTTTTGCGTCGGAATCTGAACGCCGGCGATTTGGAGAAATGCGCCCTGCAGAAAAAGCTCGAAGAGCTAACCTCTCAGAACCAAGAGCTGGCGAAAGGCCTTGCCATGCGTATCCGACACCATGAATCCCAGGGTTCTCGTGATATTCCCGATGACAACGACGGTTCCGACCAAGAACATCTCACACCTGATAACTCTCCGCCTCCGTCACCTAACAAATTCACTCCCCGCCATGGACACTTGGAATCGGAAACTCTGAAAAGTTCTCTCGGCCATGCTCATCGCATGATTCAGAACCTTAAGAGCACTATTCATCGCGAGAAGACGGAGAAGATCGAGCTTAAGCGCATGTTACAAGAGGCCCGCGATGAAGTCGAGCAGAAACGTCGTGAGACCGCTGCGCCAAACTCGAGCAAACGCCTGAAGTCCAAGCAAGACTCCTTCCGCAAACCTCTTCGTCCAGATCTTCTGGGTGCCGGCCGTAAGGAGAAATCGTTTGTTGAATTGCACGACACCGATTGGGAGGACAATGCTGGACAGATCAGCCCCACTCGCCAGGCCATAGCAGCTGTTTCCAGAGACCGTTCTGGCGCTCGCTCTCCTGATGAGCCGAGCGACGTCTACCAGACTGCCACCGAGGCTGAGGATGGATTCGAGACGGCGAATGAGCGCGCAACTGCTACTGAGAGCGAGGCATTCCAGACTGGCGTGGAAAGCATGGCGGATGACAGCAGCGACGACTCTGCAGACCTAACCGAGACCGAGAACAACGTCCAGAGAACGCCGCGCAATCGGGTGGCCTCATCGTTGATGATGGCCAAGGCCCGGGATCGTACTTCCTACCACAGCTCAGCTTCCACCTCGGACGGTGACCAGACAGACGATGGAGGTCATCCCTCACCCAGCCAAATGCATATCTCTCGTCCTCGTGTCAAGTCCAAGCGGAGCATCTTGAGGCGTATTCGTCCGTCTGGCGAAGCCCCGATGGCCTCTGTTAGCCGGCCGGGAAGTTCACGCAACTCCCCTGCCCCAAGCTTCGAGCAAGGGCCGGTGGCGCAGGAGGGCCAAAGTCTCTTCGCCGAGCTTGCAGAGCTAGAAGGTGGTGAAGAGGAAGATGAGGAGGGAGTTGCAGAGGGCTCTACCCCGCGTATGGTACCTGCATCGGGCTCTCGCAGACCCTCTGAGATAATGCTGGATGCGCCACCCAAGCCTGTTATGGTCGACAGTGGTGTGATGACGGATCCTTGGGAGCCTGCCACTCCTGTCAACGTCGTTAGCGAAGCTGCGCTTCCCGAGGCCCCGGCTACTCCGCAAAGAAGCCAGCTAGCAGACCGAGGGATCGATGCTGAGGCACAGGAGACCCCTAGGCTAGTCAGCTCTGGAACACAATGGACCCCTCTCAAGTCCCCAGCTGCCGAGGGTGACCACCTGGCTAGTGTCCCTACGCCGCCGAAGATGGTCTGGGATCAGCGCTCTGTCAGAAGTCAATGGGTCGAGGCAGGCACTCAAGCCGAGCTGGCTGAAATGGGAATGGCCACCATCTCTACTCAAGAAACCGTTCCCGAGATGCCCAATTTCACAAAGCTGGGTATTTCGTACGTTTCTGGAGGCTCTGTCGAGCCTGTTAAGCACGAGCTTCCTGTGCCTGAACTTCCAGAGATGAATGTCTCCACCATTTCTTCGCAGTACACCGAGCCCGTTATGGCAACAATTCCTGAACCGGAGTCTGTCATCCCTGTTGAACCTGTGCGAGAATTGCCCCAAGTCACCATGTCATCTCTCTTCACCCATCATTCCATTGAGCCCGTTCAGGCCCGACTCCCCGAACCTGAACCCATCCCTGAACCTCCTGTTGTCGAAGAAGCTCTATTGCTCGAGCTGGGTGTGTCGACTATTGCCTCTCAACACACTGAGCCTGTTGAGCCTCGGCTTCCGGAACCTATCCCAGAGCCAGTACCTGTCCTTATTCCTGAGCCTGAGCCAGTTCTTTCCCAGTTGTCAATCTCTTGGCTGGGTCCGACATTCACACGCCCGGTAGCACCCAAGCTTATTGAGCTTCCTCCTCTCCCGAGCCCCACTCTATCTACTCTACGCTCGATAGAGACTCGTCCAGTCCAATATGTGCCCCGTGTGGTTCCTCCGATGACCGATTTCGGCATCCAAACAGACCCCATGGAGGAGCCAAAGGCTGCGGCTGCTGCGGCTGCTGCTGCCGCCGCCACAGTTGTTGTCCATGAAGATGAGACTAGTGTCCCTGTTCGTAACCGTGCTGGTACCACTACTAGCGAGCGGCGCCTGAGCACTGGCTTGGCTCTTAGCGACATTTCTGGTAATGCCCTGCCTCATAATGGTCGACAACCGTCCAGCTCTGTCAGCATGGACCAGGGCGCTCAAACCATTCTTTCTTCGAAGCAGATCGATCAGATTCTCATGGAACGGGAGTCCGCGCGTCCTACTTCCGGCGACAGCGGTCATACAAGGGACGCTGCGTTGGCGGCAGCGGCAGCGGCTACCGCCGCGGCTGCTTCACCATTCGTTACTCCTAAGCTCAGGCCTCGCCCTCAACAGTCATTTAAATCAGGAACGCCGAGACGACCTGATACTGCAACCAGCCAGGCATCTGGTGTCAGCTCTCACCCACCATTGCCTTCAGACCACCGCGAAACTATCATGGCTGCCGAGAAGAAGTCAGTCGACATGCCTACGCCGTCCCCTGGGAGCATGGGTCCTCCTTTGGCGCCTGCTTCTGCTTATCGCATGAACGTGCAAGGGCCACGAACACCAGGCGAGAACGCCAACCGCGCTGGGTCCACTCAGGGTACCGTATCTACTCAAACTCGGATGAGAAGAGGAAGTCAGAGCCAGATGTCCAGGCGGTCCTCAGTGTCGTCGTTTGCTTCTGAGCTCGAGGAGCGGTTCAACATGAACCCTCATGCTGGCCCGATGCCTCACGGCTATGGACCTAACACTGACCCTCGCATGATCCAGGCAATCACCCAAACAATGATTGGAGAATTCCTCTGGAAGTATACCCGAAAGACTGGTTCAGCGGACATGTCGACCACACGGCATCGGCGGTACTTCTGGGTCCACCCGTATACTCGTACCCTATATTGGAGTGAAAAAGACCCACAGACCGCTGGTAAGAGCGAGCTTCGGACGAAGAGTGTGCCAATCGAGGCTGTGCGAGTGGTCGCAGATGACAACCCCTATCCCCCGGGTCTTCACTGCCGAAGCTTAGAGGTTGTCAGCCCGGGCCGTCGAGTCCGCTTCACTGCCACCACAAGCCAACGACACGAGACTTGGTTCAATGCCCTGTCGTACCTTCTCTTGCGTGAGACCAATGATAACTGCGAGGACAACGATGACAGCGTGACGTTGGATGACATCGATGAGTTCAACCCCGGCTTCCGCTCCGCCTCTCGCCAGACGGCTCGGATGTCCCTGTCGTCCTATAACAGTCACACCGTCCGTGGGAAGCCGAAGCAGCAACGTGCGGCCTCTGCCATGTCCATGCGTTCAGCTGGCACTCCTGGACGTGCGTCCCCCGCATTCAGCTCGCCAGCTCCGAACTCCACGCTGCAGGTCCCTGAAGAACCCCCGCAGCGATCCTCATCCCGGCTCAGTTCAATCCTCAACGGCTCGATCCGCGGATCGATTGCCAGTCTAAAGGGACGCCATGGTCAGTCTCCCAGTGTCAAAAACGAAAGCCTCCGTGGTCAAGACAGTGCCGAGAATCTCGGACACGACCACGAAGATGACGATCGACTTGAGAACGTTCGTGCCTGCTGCGATGGCAAACACGACGTGGGCTCGCTTTCCCGTACCAGCCGATACAGCCCACGGGTCGACCGCATCCACTCCCACCACTAAAAGCGTTCATTGGCATTGAAATCGGGTTGCTCGAGTTTGCGGGCAGGTCCTCAAACGAAGACGGCTTGCGTCACTTTCTATAATGGCTACGAGTCTCTTTTTCTCTTCTTGTCCGACCAGCATCTCTCTCTCTCTCTCTCTCTCTCTCTCTCTCTCTCTCTCTCTCTCTCTCTCTCTCTCTCTCTCTCTCTTCATCACTGAGTCACCTACCCCTAATAGAAGACACAGTGAATTGGCTCCTTGGCACTTCCCTGCATGTACACCTTTCTTACTTCACTCTCTTCCCATTTCCTTTCCGTCATACAGACATCTCCTGTCACCGTCCTTCTTTTGCGTATTCCGTGCAGCCTAATTCACGGCCGAGTCTGATCCGCCATTCACAGTTCACTATACTTTTTTTCCCCCTTTTTTCTTCTGTTGATAATTTATGTCGAACAATTCGATCCATATGTGCGATTAACTCTGCCGCTCTTTCTGCGTGATCGTGTTCACCATGTTTCTGTATTGAGCACCAGATCGTGGGCTATACTAAAATTTTGGTCTACGTTTGACAATTGACTCATGGCTTTCACAAAGATCTATCTTCGTCAAGTAGCATTCCAAAGTTCTATCAAACTCTTCAGATGTCATCGAAAGGCGTAGCTCCCCGCACGGTCACATGACTCTTCTCCGCATTGACCAGACCCTAACTTTCCATGGAACTCGAGCGGATCTTCCCTCTTTTTTATTCTTTGCCATTGTAGCACAGGTCCAGCAAAATGTCCTCGGATGCTCCCCCGCCGCTTGGAGAGCGGTTATTCGGCCTGGTCGAACCCGCAATGCTTATGGCCTGGGCCATGCGTCGTAAGTGCCACTAGAGATATCAATTCAAGTCAAACTATGTTGGATCAATCCCAGTCCGGTCTTGATGTCTGATATTTTACTCTTGCTGTCCCGTTTATGCGTCATCATCTCAGACAAAGCTAACTAGAGGCAGATTACATCCGTGTCTGCGGTGAAGCCGTCTTCAAGAATGGCCAGCTGCTAGCGCCTATCTTCCGGACCAGCGAGCTACGCGATGAATCCTTCGGTCGATTCTGGGTCGAATTTACCAGTGAGTATTCTCATGAACCACCACCCGTAGACAAGGAAACCAGTGTCCCATATAGCACCCCTGCTCTTCTCCCATTAGACATCTCAATCCAAAAAGAAAAGATACTAACACCCACCAGACACTCCATCCCAACCCGCAACCCCGCCAACCACAACGGACTCAGACGGATTCAACCCAACCAACGTCCGAAACTCAACCGCACTAATCCCACCCCTCCTCAAAACCGCCTCTGGAGTCGTCCTCGACATCGGCCCAGGCACAGGAACCCAAATGCCCCTCCTCCGCTCGCCGGCCATAACAACAATCTACGGCTGCGAGCCCTGCCACGGGCTGCACGCCCAACTGCGCGCAAAAGCCGAATCCGAAGGCCTCTCGTCCAAATACCACATTCTAGACTGCGGAGCCTCTACATCAGTTCTACTCCCGGCCCTCCGAGAAACACACACCGGAGTTACGTCCGCGTACGACGCAGATAGTACAAACGGAGTCTTCGATACGATTCTCTGCGTGCGTGTTCTCTGCTCTGTTCCGGAGATGGAGAGGAGGGTGAAGGAATTGTATGGCCTGCTGAAGCCGGGTGGAAAGTTGCTTGTGACGGAGCATGTTGTGAACCCGTGGAGGACTGCAAAGGGGTCTTTATTGGCTAGGGTTGTGCAGGGGGTTTACATGATGCTTGGATGGAGTTTCTTTGTTGGGGATTGTTGTTTGGATCGGGATACCGAGGGGGCGTTGAGACGGGCTGCGGATGGTGATGGGGGGTGGGAGAGTTTTGATATTCAGCGGTCTTTTGCTTGGGGGGCTATGCCTTATATTTCGGGGACTTTGGTTAAGAAGAGTGCTTAGATGGATGAAGGCTTGAGGAAAGTTGGATGGTGGGCTTGTATAGTGCGAAATGTGGTTGTATAGAAATGTATATTTGATTGAAATACATTGGTGGTAATCTGGCTTGCAGATGGGTATCATAATTGCGTTAGCATACTTTGATCATGGACATGTACAAGGAAGACTGTGCTCTAAGGGTATAGAAATAAACATAAAACGAGGATGATCAACTGGGCTTCGGGCGCCCCAGTGGCCAAAAGTCAAATAGATCTAGTGCTTCAGACGTCCAGGGGCCCTCTTCATTGACTTCTGGCTGTTCAGGAACTGCACTCATCGCACTTCGCATGAGGGTTGGTCGGCTCTGGAGTGTGCGTTGAGCCGTCAAGGTGGTTGGATCGGAGACCGATTTTCGCAAAGGTGCATCGAGAGCTCTTCGTGCAGGTAAATTGCAAGGTTGGGTCATTGTGGTCCCCAGGTTTGAGCCATCTGCCATCGCATCAAGAATGAATTGCGTTGAGTCTGAGGGTGAAAATTCGGCATTGGTCGAGTTCAGCTCCTGGGCGGGAGTGTTAACTGCTCTATAAGAGAATTAGTATTAGTCTGTATCATCTGACGGGCACATACTGACTGCGAATCCAGGTTTTTGGGCATAGGTTTGCTTCTTTCTGGAGGTGGGTTTGAGGGCGAGGGAGATGATTTTTGCGATGTGTCGCTGGGCAATAATGCGCTGTACATCAGCTTTCTGCGGGGTTTCTCTGGGCCCATGCGCAATGTCTTCACGGGTGCTTCAAAGGATGAGGTGTTTGAAATGGGTCGAGACATTCGCTGTAAGTTCTCATTCGGGAGCTTTCGAAGTCCAAGCGGCTCGGACTGCGCGTCTTTAGCTGCTGGAGGGACCGTTGCATTTGGCAGACGGCTCGATGATGCCGAGGGAGGGGGCAGAGAAGGCTTCACGAATGTTGGAGGTTCAGGCCTCCGTGTGTTCGTTGTGTTTCGCACATCTCTTTGCTTTTCGGGAGGGATAAAAGGATTTGTAAACTCTGCAGGCTCCGCTACTTGTGGCTTTGTTGCCTTGGGTGCCTGTCGTGACTTCTCAAGTGGCATAGAAGGTTTCACGAATTGCGGAGGCTCAGGCCTTTGCGGTTCTGTTTGTCTCGGCGTACCGCGTATCTTCTCAGGCGCTATTGAAGGCTTCGGAGGTTCCGATCTCTGTGGTTTTGTTGCTTTGGGCGCCTCTCGTAGCTTCTCCGGCCGAGGCTGCGGGATGGGCTCTGGGTTTTGAGGTCTTGGCATTTCGCGTGTTTTCGCGACGTTCCGTACTTTCGCAGCTGGAGGTATCTCTTCCGGCTCGGTCAAATCCACCACCTCAGCCGGAGCATTTCTGTTGCTGACCACTGGTCTCTGCATCGGGGTCACTTTCTGTCGTTTGGGTGCGCGTTGGGACGGCAAGGAGATATCCGATGACGGCGGAGGCGGGTGTCTTTCTTCATAAGGCGAAACCAGGTGTCCAATTGGAGTTTTCTTGATGCCAAGCAGGTCGTTCAATGAGCGAAACGGCTGCGACGAGCCCGAGGACCGGATAGGCGTCGAGGCACGCAGTGCTTGCGATGCTGGATCATTGGACTGCGGCGAGCCCTGACTGGACTTCCTCTTCTCGAAGAGGTTGGAGAGATCGGTTTGAGTTGTGCTCATTCGCTCACCGACCTGGATCAGTGCTCCCTTATCCAGCTCGAGCTCATCGCCGTCCTGGATTTCCTCGGCTGACCGCCAGTGATGATCGCCGATGTAGTTCCCCTGTTCGTCGTACACCATAACACGCTTGTTAAAGGCATGGTATCGGAGATAGCCATCTTGCCATCGTTTGGATTTGCGGCGCAGGTCGTGTGTGTATAGGCAGCGGAACTTCACCACCGACGCGGTGGCCTGGGACTGAGACTGGGACTGGGAGGTCGGGCCCGGGCCCGGTCGAGCGGACGATAACGGGGTGGACATGGTGGAAGCAGGGAAACATGGGTTCCTGCATGCCGAGGATTCAGCGGCGAGGCATGACAGTTGGTCGAGTGGACGAGAAAGGTGAGGTGGATAAGTGGATAAGTGGGTAAGGCGTGATAAGCGTAAACGCGGGTCGCGTTTCTGTTCCAGGCATTCAATCACCGTCTGCCTAGGCGTTCACTGACTTTGGATGTGTAGTTTTCGAATACAGCAGAACTGTAATGGTAATTGCTGGACTACAACCTACGAGTCGCCATCATAATACCGTATGTCCCATAGAATCACGCGCAATCTGACGAACTGGCGAGATCGGTCGACTTTTCTTTTCCTCCGGAAGTCTAGTTTGCTGCCGTGGTTGAAGAAAGGGCCTAGAGACAGCGTTTGTGTAGCAGTTTCTGTAACATACACTGTTTGAGGTCCGGGGTCGTAATGTAAAATACAGCCACTTTTCTCCCCAACGGTCTGGAAAGCGGAAGGTGGTAACAGCGCAAAGGTATAACTGAATTCGAACATCACTGTAGTTAGTTGCCTTGGAATAGTTGCACTGCTATCTATCCGGAATGACATGGAATTGATTCCATCTAATATCAACCGGTTCTCCAGGTACGTGATTCGCGTACCTGGAGAACCAAGGTAACCACAAGATTTGATGTCGCCTCAGGCATTCGTGGATCCACGGTTGACCTCAATTGTCTTTTGTCGGTTAAATCAATCTGTTCAACGAGCTTCTCCGCTATGGCCTACTGCCAAGCACCGTACCTAGCGAGCTTCTCGGGCCATGTATTTCTGCGCTGCGCGCATCGCCACCGTGCGCAGCCCCTGTCAAGTGCATTATATGACTGCCCTGATTTGCCTTCCATTATAATAGAGTGGAGCATTGTCCAACGACGATGGCTCCGATCGACTGAAACCCCGCCCAAAAAACCAAAAATAGTGAGGGGGCGGGGGCGATGTTCCCCGAGAGCCGCAGCGAGGCTGAAACACTGGAACACTTTGGGGCCGTGACGTGACACATCTTGATTCCTCTTTCTCTCTCCTTTTTTTTACAGTGCTGACTCCAGCTCCGCTTCATCTTTCAGCCTGGAAAGCTTGTCTCACTCTTCTCTTCTGTGTCCCTTCTCGGAGCCGAGCTCCCCACACTGTTTCCGTCAGCTCTTCCCAGCCACCAAAGATCAAGATGCAGAGCATGCAGCGAAAGTTCGGGCGAATGACCACCAAGCGGTCTGCCGACGACAGCCAGGTCGCCGTTCTGTTAAAGGATTTCGAGGACGCTGATAACCTTCTGGCTAAAGTAGGCAGCACCTTTCTGGTGACCCGCCCGCGACTAACTCTCGTTCCAGATTGTTGAATCCACCAAGACCTGGCGCGATGCCTGGGTGTCGATTGCAACCTTCCAGGGCCGCATGATCGATGAGTTCGACGGACTCTATGGCCCCATTGTCGGTTCCAGCGAAACCCCAGCCTCACATCGCCCGGTGGATACCGACCCCGCGATTCTAGCCCGGACCAACAGACTGCGAAGGGAATACGACGAGCTACGCGAGGACCTGGTACAGGAGCTTGATGCCGTTGAGGTGCGCATGACGCAGCCTGCAGAAAATGCGAAGAGCTACCTGCTTCCGATGAAAAAGACGATCAAGAAGCGCAATGATAAGAAGGTGAGTGACGGCCCCCCCCCCACCAACGACCCAATCCGTGTCTAATCGCCATTCTTTCCAGTCTGATTTTGAGCGCCACCAAAGCAAAGTCGATAGCCTCATGGCAAAGGGGAAACGTTCCGATCGCGACAATGCAAACCTTGCCAAGGCGAAATCTGATTTCGCCGTTGCGAAAGAGGTACGCGGCCTCCATCTCCACGATCGAACAAATGCTAATCACGATATAGGCCTACGTTGCAGCAGACGATGACTTGCGACGACGTCTACCAACCCTGATCTCGCTCCTCTTCTCTCTGGGCCCTTACATTCTTCGGGCACAGGTTGAGATCCAGAATCGCATGCTAGCACACTACTACACCGTGCTGCACACCTACTGTGAGGAAGAGGGATTCCCATCCCCACCCCCATCAATGGACCAAGTGGTCCAGGAATGGGAACTGGCCAGCAACCCAGTGAAGAGGGAGATCGAGAGTCTCGGCTGTCTCACCCAGGGCAAAGCGATCCGACAATCGGATCCCAACAACCCCGAGAACAAACGCCCATCCATGGGCAGCAAGCGCCCATCCCTCGCATCGCTCAGAAGCCACGCCAGCAGCACCTCCGGTTTCTCTGTATCCGCAGCCCGCAAACCATCATTCGCGCCTACAATGCCAGGTAACAAGCCCTGCGGCTCAGAGCTTCGCTCCGTATCTCCAGCCTCCTCCTCATACATGACACCCCGCGGCTCCGTCTCCCTCGCCAGCTCCTCGAGCACACCCCCGCTCCCAGCAGGAGACGACTACTTCGACCCCCGGCCAAAGCCCCATCCCCAATGCCAAGTCCTTTCACCCAGCCATTCACCCATGTCCCAGTGTCAATGTCGCCCGCCGGTCCCAAGATCGACCACATGCAGTACACAGCCAACGCGCGATCCAACCTAGGCGGACAGGATATGAGCGCAGCCATTGCAGCCAAGAAGAGGCGACCTCCGCCCCCGCCGCGCGGTGCCTCCTTTGTCACAGCTCTGTATGACTTTAACGGGCATCAGAATGGAGACTTGGTGTTCCGGGAAGGTGACCGGATCAAAATTGTGACCAAGACGCAGAGCACGGATGATTGGTGGGAGGGTGAGTTGCGGGGAGTGAAGGGTCAGTTTCCTGCGAATTATGTGGAGTGAGTTGAGAAACCCCCGGGGGCCCTTGATGGATGCGACATTGCTTCGACAGGATCGTAAAATTTGGTGGAGGATATATACCCAGTAGGAGGAATTGGACAGCGTATTCCCTTAGCTTTTATTGAGTTCTCATTGATATCGTGCAAGCATTTCCCTACCTTACTTTTCGATTTGTGTTGGTTTTTGACGACCTCTTGATTGTGTCTAGAGTCCAAAGTGAGAAGCCGCCGACTATTACTTGGGGTTGAGGAACATTAGGATCATGTAACAAAAACCTGGCCAACATTCCATCAACCACCCAAGTGGTCGAGCAGTAACTCGGCTATCACTTCTTCCTTGGTCTAGTGGTCATGATTTCCGCTTGTCATTAACACCGATAAGCGCGGGAGACCGGGGTTCGATTCCCCGAGGGAGAGTTTCTTTTTTGGATTTCAGTTTTCCGATTTATTTCTTTTAGACGGTATGAATCAACCGTGTAATTATTTTTGATTTGGTAATAATCTTTGTTCAATTGCAATAGCACTATTCATAACCCCATTCAATTCGACAGGTATACATATGCGTGTGCGGACACGGTCAAAATGAGCGGCTGCGGAAAAATATATACTAGACCAAACCAACGAACTTGATCCAACCCCCAACTCCTTGGAACGCAACTTATAGAAATACCTCGGCCTTGTCGACCGAAGGGGCCGTCTCTACTGGACGTCGTCGGCTGTTCAAAAACATATCCACCATGTCCTTGCTGGAGACGGTGGAGTGAATGTCCTGGAGCTTGTGATACTCGCCCATCATCTCGTCGTGCTCCTCCTGCTGCCGAGCATTCTCGTTGTTCGGACCACGTAAGTCCCGGTACGTCCGCATGGATCGGAATGAGTTGGGCTTCCCATTTGCAATTGGGCGTCGTGCGGAATACCGCCGATACTGATCCTGTGTCCAGGTGCGCTTCTGGGAACCGGCGCCATTCCGTTGAGGAGTAGGAGACTCAGGCTCGTCACGCAGATTTGCAGTCCTTACACGTATTGGGGACAAGGGGTGATCATTTGAAAAGTTTTCAAGTATGGGTGAGGAATCTTCAGCCCGGTTGGCATTGACATTAGCGTCAGAGGGGTTGATAGATTCAATTGTCGCGAAGCTGGGTTCGATCCTTTGTGAGGAGAGAATGGTTCGCACACTGGATGAGTGGCTGAAGGGACGAGAGAAGTTGCTTTGAGCCGATGACTTGGCCTCTGCCGGTATTTGTACTACACCACATACCGGCCCATCTGACCCCTCAACATATGGCAAAACTGTCGCCGAGCCTAGGACTGGGGCTCGCCGTATCATACCCATAAAATATCCATCTTCATCCTCCTGGCACTGTGAAGTCTCCCGGACGTGCTCCCTCGCAGGGTTCGTGCTCTCGATCCTTTCTATCTGCGAGCTCATCCACTGCTGCCAATCGGTACTTGGCTGCACCTGGGCCTTTGATCCAGCCTTTCGAGTTGGAGAGCTGTGGCGTTCAGAAGCGAAGATAGTCACCGTACCTGGCTCTCCATATGAGTCCAGAGCCTCCCCACCACTGGCACTGGTGTGCTTTGTGGAGGGGTCGCCGCCGGTGGAGCGAGAGTAGACGCTTGAAGATCTTGACAGCTGGTTCAGGTCTCCCAACTGGGCGACTACAACGCTTCCAGTTGATTCGTCTGAATGTTCGTCAATGATGAATGCCGAAACGGGAGACTTTTTGACCGAATGGGTGGTCAAAGGTCGACAGTTCTCTTGACCAGGAGAATAAGTAGACACCCGGGATCGTTGGACGTACTTGCTCGGTTGGGGTCGTCTATGGGGAGACTGAGAATCACCTCGACGGGCGGTTGCAAATGATACGGGCGTAGAATCTCCGCTCTGGACATGACGAACGGATCGTCTGCTGCGATGTGAATGAACGGAAGAGGCACGCTCTGGAATCACACGATGCTCTGGTACGGTGCCGAAAATGACATCCTCCTCAGGATCATGCACCGCATTTTGTCCAATCTGCTGCATTAGTGCGGTGTATAAGTCGTGGCTATTAACCCAGTCATTGAATCTGCGAGCACTCGGTCTCTTATTGGGCGAACGGTTCTCTGCACCAAGACTAACAGGCATCTGAGGGAGTGGAAGATTCAAGTCACCATGCTCCTCGATCAAGGAGAGGGATTGACGATGCCCGGTCTTGCGGGTGGTGACAGTGTTGGTGGCAGTCGAATCAGCCCAGCTGGTGACGCGCGACGGGGATGTACAGATGCTGTCACGATCAGGAGATACCTGTGTTGGCTGCAATTGGTTCGATCGATTCCAATTATCCACGCTGGTGTTTTTATCAATCACGATATTGGCGCTGACAGGCCGAGTCTCGATGGTAGGCATTTGGGCAACGACAGAAGGGCTTTCGTCGTGGAATTGGGGATTCTTCTCAGGAGGCTTAGAAAACCCAAACACACGCTTGAGACCATTCTTGATGGATGCAGAGAAGGACCTGGATCTGCTGCGGGAGCGCTTGAAGTTGGCCTGCTCAGGAGAAACCCCACCGATACCAGAGTCACTCGTGATACGAAATGTCTTGCGGAACGGCCTGGGCTCCCTGTTGCGACTGGACATGAAGAAAGATGATCGCCTAGTCTGACCTGCTCCATTGGACTCCTCGAGAAACTGGCTGCGAGCAAGCTGAATCGCTGCATCATGGCTTTTGGCATGTCGAATCCCTCGCATTCCTTGACGATTACCTCCTCGAATGAAAGAGATGGAGGGTCTCAGTGTTCGTGGCAGGTCGAAGCCTGGGCTGCGGTCAAGATCAAGAGCATTCCGAGGAGACTTGGGCTGCGCTGTGTAGGCAATATGGGATGAGCGCTGTCTCGTCGAGAACATGGACTTGGCTTTGCGTAGTCGGCGGAACGATGAAGGAACTGAGCTGTCTTGCCCATCAAGGCCTTTGAAGTCTGTATTCGGTGGAGACAGAATTGCTTTTCCAACATGAGCCTTTACTGCATCAGTCTCCATTAACTGGCTCGGTGTCGCTGGGGGTGCAACGGGCATCGAATAGACGGAAAAGCCATCATCTGTTCCCTGCAGACTTGAATTTGGGCGTCTTCTGGGGACAGCTACCTGCGTCGGGCCACCTAGTCAATCGTACGAGTTTTTGGACTCCGTAGATGATCTCTCGCTGGAGCGCATGGCGCGCGATGCTGCAGCTGTTGCATGGGCTTTGGCGACTTGGGGGTCGACCATGCCTGCTTCAGGGACCCGGGCAGTCCTGCGGAGGGAGCGAGTGGACATGGACCGACGGAGACGGTCTCTCGTACTGAATGAGGAAAACATACTGCGGATATATGCAGTGTATAGAGTATGTGAATGGAGATGTGATGCGAAAAAGTGTTTGAAGGCAACGAATAAGTATAAGGTGAGCGAAACCTTCGGGAGGTGCGCGCATGGCAGGTGCGAGGCACGCCATGGTTGGAGATTTGGAAGGTGTATAGTTCGAAGCCGCTGCCAGAGTTGGCGACTCGGTCTTTGGAAATAGTCGATGGATCTGTGGAACCGATCGAAGTTGACCCAAAGCAGCTTAGTCTATGCAAAGCCTGAATAGTGTTGTGAATGAGGTGAGTCACCAGCCTCAGCGTCGCCTGACTCAATGTGACGCACCACAAACACGAAGTCCCTAGAAGCTGCGTAGATATTTGGGAAGGATAGAGCCCAGCAACAATGTAGAGAAAACAATTTTATCTCTGTTAGTCTCATTTCAGCTGTTCTCATGGCAGATCCCGGTTGCATGCCTGGTGGAAAGTCTCCACCGATATCGCCTGTTCATCTCGACGGACGAACCCTCGAAGGCGGCGGACAGCTCATGCGGAATGCGCTGGCTCTTTCAGCTCTGACCGGTCGTGCCGTGACAGTCAGTCACATTCGCGGCAATCGGAAGGGAAAAACAGGACTGAAAGCCTCCCACACGGCCGCAGTCAAGTTCCTGGCAGAGATCAGTGGCAGCAAAGTCGACGGTGATCGAGTCGGCTCACAGTCTGTGACATTCTCACCCCGAACTCGCGAAGTAACACCTTGCCAGAAAAATGACAGACTTCTCATGTCACTGAACGACGTCTCAATACAACCCGAGTACAACATCCGCTTATCAACACCGGGCTCGGTCTTTCTCATCTTCCAGGCCTTGTACCCGTATCTACTGCATGTGGGATCTCGGGCAGGCTTAGAATGCATCAAAGTGACTATCACCGGCGGTACCAATGGTACCGATTCGCCTTCGTATGACTACGCCGCCCAAGTTATGGCGCCGAACTTTGCCAGACTTGGTCTTCCTCCTCTTGCCATAGTTCTACACAAGCGTGGCTGGTCAGCGGGGTTGGCAGGAATGGGCTCGATCAGTTTCTTCATTCACCCTCTTGCATTACCGGCAACTGAGGTGTACGAGGTGAATGACACAGGGTTGTCTACGCAGGGTGCAAAGATAGACACAGAGGCCGCTGAAATCTGTTTCCCGCGGATAAACATCATGGATCATGAGCGTGGGAAGATCACTTGCATCGAGATAACCGTCCTCGCCCCGGATGAACCCTTCGTGCGAGGAAAGACATCTGGAGCATCGACAGTGCGCAACTTTGTCGAGCGACAAACTCGCCGAGCCTTACGGAAGGCCTTGAAAACCTTGGATCCATCGACTTTCGACGCACAGTCAGACTCTCAATCAGATGAGAGCTCAGAGCAAGACACCCGCATACCCATTGCCGTGCATACATCCGAACCGACATCCCACATCAGTCGATTATACATCTTGATAGTGGCCCACACATCCACCGGATTCAGGATTGGCCAGGACATTCTATTGGGGAGAGACATTAATCCCAAGACGGGAAAGAAGGGAAAGTGGGGTCAAAAGTCGCATTCAAAGGGAGGACAACAGAAATCAGATGTGGACGTCGTCTCTGATCTGATCGATGAGTGTGTACAAGGGTTTATGGGAGAGCTCGTAGACCAGCTTGAACCAGACAGCCGCCATGGATCTGATACTGTTTCTAAAAGGAGATCCTGTCTAGATCGGCATATGCGAGACCAAATTGTGGTGTTCGAAGCCCTGGGTAACATGTACCGGGGCGGGACTGAGACAGGGTCTCAGGTACAGGAGGATGAGCGGTATTGGACTCTTCACACGCAGACTGCGAAATGGGTATGCGCGGAGATGCTCGGAAGTGATGGCACGAGAGGGAAAGAGTAGGTCGTACTGTCAGGCAAATGAACCCAGGGTCAGATCTAATATATTGTTTCCAATATACAAGCACACTCAACTCAACTGTCGATACTCGTATAGCAACGATAAAGAGAACCCTTGTGTCCGGCCCACTCGGGCATCTATCCGACATCCCGCTTACCAGCATCGCGTTTTACCCCAATCCGATATTACAGGACTCGAGGCACGCGTAATCCACGATCAATGGAACAGGGGTCCAGTTTCGTCATCCGGCATCACCAGGCCCAACACGGCAACAGTTATGAGGGCTCAGGTCTACGCGATGTCCACCCAATTGACGAGGACCGGTCTGATGCGATCCACCCGACGCTCGAGCCCGCGCACACACAAGCAGCGAAGCTCATGCCAGCTGTCGGCTATTGAAACGAGTCAAGGCCCAGTGACGGGGTCGCTAGTCGCAACCCACATCTGCATGACAGGAGTCAGCCTTGGAAGGATGGGATCAGCCTTGCGGATCCAAGACAAGACTAATACCAAATCGAACCTTTGGACAAAATACCGCCCGAATCATCCATGCGGGTAAATACACGAAAGACCAAGCCACGTCCCAGCCCACGATCAGCCCCAAGGTTTACCGAAACGAGACCCATACTGAGGAAGTGGAGTCGGCGTTCCCCACAGAGCAACCTGAAACAACCAAAACTGACCTGTGGCTGAGTTCCGCCAAAAATGGGGCCACAGCAACACGAGAACAAAAAAGGGAAAAGAGAGAAACATCTGGAAAAGACAGCAGGCCCCACGAGGTGTTTTACCTTGGACCTTCAGTCGGGCAACTCCAACTCGAACTTAAATTGTGGGGAGGGGATGATCCATGATCCAGCCCAGACAGCCCATGTGTTCTGCCCGTCGACCCGCTATTAAATTCCTGCCGAGATTAAAATTGCATGCCATGTACCAGCGCAGCTCGTCATAATTTCCCCGCGGGCATGACTCGCGTGCGACTGAGATCGACACAAGGAGGTCGCGTCTTTGCCCTTCTCCTGTACTGTACACAGTACATCATTTCCCAGACTCGTGATTGGAATTGCCCGGTGGAGCCTGAACCGGCGATCGCCAGTTCTGGTTGGCTTGCGTGAGCTCGGGTCCATTCTCCTAAAAGGGCCCTAGAGTCATAGTCGGCCCCTAAAGCCAAGGGGTGAACTGTCATAATAATGGGAATAATGGGACGGGTGGGGATTATTGAAAGATAAAAATTCCATGTTTTTGAGGTCTGCATGACAAACGGATTCTCTTTTCTAGAATCTGAAACGGACTGGAGATCTTCCAGTTCCAGATCTATCCTTGGCTTGCCCCTATCCCGCTACTCGAATCTATTCTCCGTGAGCTTCACTATCTCTCTACCTTGACATGGAATATCATCGAGGAGAAACTTGATGACTTGAACCCGAAAATGTCCAATTTTGGAACACTGCTCTGAACATTCCGGGATTCCAGTCCCGGATCCACCACGAGTGGCTGAAAATCGGACCCGGGATCGAGGCACTGGGCCGTTAGCGACGCATGGAAGACGCTGGAAAGACGCTGGAAAGACGCAAGTCGCTCGAAATGGCAGATGGTGTACGGGGGCCGTTTTGAAGAAGCTGGCCCTTGGCAGGGATCTGAAGCGTCTCAGCACGTCCCAATTGCGGCTGATAACATAGTTCCAATCCTTGGGGCCAACGGGGCGCCATGGATATGGGCAGTTCTAGACGCAAGTTGAAACACGGTTGAGCTGGCGAAGCTGAGGTGAATTTGGACGTAGTCCTTGGCGGTCCAAATATAGTCTCAATTACGAGGAGAATGACGTGGTAATGGGGCATGATATCAATGCGATGAGGTATCTAACTACCAACTATCCTAGGGGATAACGATCATGTCAAGGTTGAAAGCATAAGACGCAGGGGGGTATGGCATAGCGAACGCACAGCAAAAAAAAGCACGAGTCCAGCGACATAAGGAGAGACGTATGCGCAAGGAAAACAGAAAGAAAACGAGAGGTCGATCACTGATCGACTATTCAATGAGTCCCATCAGCGCCACTGCCCACCAGTGGCAGATCCATGAGTACCGTTCATCCATGCAATGATCTATCCTCCATGCAGTAAACCGTCTCTGCTCGCTGTAAAAAACCCACAAGGAAAAAAAAAGAGAAAAAAAGACAAAGCGCAAAGTGAGTGAAAAAGGCGCATTCACCACACCCAGCCGAGGCGCAGGAGATGCGAACGGAAAAGAAAATCCATAAAAGAAAGAGCCGCCCTCGTGTGGTGTATCAAATCAAACTCCCGGCGATGCATATGATGGTAACGTGGGGAGGTCCGTCATCCAGAATTAAGAAACCAGTGCCAGCCTGCTGGATGCATTCCAGACATGCGTGCCTGGGAAATCCGGACCGTCCCAGTAAGGGTGATGTGCTTTACAGCTCGGGAGTATCGGATTTGGAGAAGTCGGCGAGGAGCTGCGAGGGCAGCACGCGCTTGTAGTCGCGCGGTTGCGCGAAGGGAGATGCGAACGCCGGGCGTCGCAGGTTCAGAGTCTGGAAAGTAAGGTTCAGCGTGCGAGTTCCCCAAGTGAAATGCGCGATCCTCCGAGACTGGTTATAGTATGATGAAGACCGGGCGAAAAGGTACTTACGACGCAGTCGGAGCATTTAGCGCCCTGGCGGTTGACGCGACCTCGGCAGCCACGGGGGTAGTTGGCGCAGGAGTACATGACGGATAAAAGGTAGATTTCGCGGGGAAGTCGCGGGGAAGCAGTCGCGGGACTTCAAAGGAACCAAGGCGGAGTCGAAAATGGTTATGCGGTTGTGCGATTATGCGATTATACGGGTGGCAGCGAAAGGTGAAGGTTGGAGAGTTGCAGAGTTCGAAAAGTGAAGAGTTGACGAGAAGAGTCGCGGGGGCAGAGAATCGCGGTGTGGGAGTAGATCTCTTAAAGAAACGGCCAAACGGGGAAGAAAACTCGAAGCTAGGCACCTTTTGAACTCTAAAAACGCTGCGTTGATGGGTAAAGTAGCAGTCAAATTATAAGCCCAGCGGTTGATGACGTCGGAGGTGATGTTCGGGTGAATAGGGATGCGCTAGCTCCAGGGCCCGAGACTTGATGGCAGGTGGTAAAGATCTGGAAGGAGAGGACCCAAGGGGGTCGACGGGGTCTTATATTCAGAGAGGCTCAATTCCATGAAACATCCGTATGGAAAAAAAGGAGGACTAGGACTTTTAGGGTTCCATTGTTACGGGTAACGGAACGGCGCCGTTTGTTATAGACTGGGGTTGTTCGTTCCAATGAAGTTTTTTTCTCCGAAAATCCCTTTTAATTTTTTTTTTTTTTTTTTTTTTTTTTTTAATTTCTCTGTCACTTACCCCAAAGTGACCGGCCAAAGAGAAGTCATCATTGTACCTCTCTATACTCTTCAGTCCTTGGCAATTACCTGATCGTCGCCTTTCTACGTCCTAGATAGAATAATTGAATTTGCATACTCCAGAATGATTGTACACACCTCCTGGCAGATCTCAACACTCATGGCTCCTCCGTTCGCAGGCAGATCGGCCGATCCCATTCCCGGCAATGCGGGTTTCTGATCGGCTCAGATGCCTGTCTTCGATCCAGAGGGAGGAAGAGATGGGCCAATGGGGGCATAGGGATAGAACAAAAAGAATGCGTGTGCAGCCCTGGTGCATGGCCCGGATCGCGTTGGAATGACTCGCAGTCTCAACCTATATTGCAGGGCCGAGTGGATCGGGTGATGTAAGGAATCAGATTGAGTGTTTCCCACTAGCTTTAGGGTACCTGGGCAGTTGCGTGAAATGCCGACGTGGCACTGAACCCCTTCAGAGCTTCCATCTTTCCCCCCCCCCGCCCCCTTTTGTGGCCCCTTTGTCGCTTTGTCGCTATCCCGCTTATCATTCCTCCGTTTCGATTTAATTGCTGACCGATTGCTTTATGTACCGACGCGCAGGGGCGCTAGGCGTTAGCCGTTCGACGTTAGAAGGAAGGATCGGGATTCTAGAATCCAGAGTCCGAACCCGTTCCAGTTCCAGTTCCAACATCGGCGTTCTGGAAATTCCCCACCCGCGCCAGCTTTTTCTCGATTGACCCGTACGGGCCTGTTTGCACAGCTCCTTCGATAGACCAATGAGCTACTGTGCATTTGGGTTGATCTCTCGCCCCTTATGTAGTATCGACATCGCATCGCACGGTATCAGCCTTGCCCGTGTCACATCCCTTACTCTGCCCCCCTGGGGCCCCCCAGGAGCTTCTGAGCCCGATGTGATCATCGATGGGTTCTGAGCCCTATGATTGATCCCTTCGCTGTCACTTTCACATGGGCCGACGCGGGAGCTCGCTCTGTGGAGGCTGTGGAGCCCGACCTTGGACATCCGCCGTCCCGCTTAGAAACCTGAGGAAAAGTCGGCTTCGACCGAGACGTCAACGTCAACATCTAGTCCGCGTTCCAGACCGAGGCGAGCCGATCAAACGAAAGCTTGATCCTTGGGTCAAGTGTGCCCAAAAACATAAAAACATCTACTGGTTTTTTTTCCCACGGGAAACCAGGAATCCCGTTTTGGCCCTTGCAAATTACGTTTTCGTCAGCCCACCGCGTGTCGCACAGGGTTGGCAGTGTAGGGAGTGTTCCATTTGTCAAGATCTAGCTTCGGGTCACTTGACAGGCTCAGGTGGGCTATGGCTCTGCGGGCAGATAATTAATTTCACGGATGCGTCGGCACCTGTAGTCCGCCGTTCGACCTATCGTGATCTATCTTCGGGAGGTAGATATATCCGGCCACTGTAGAGCGATGGAACACCCAAATATGACAGTCTTGAAAGAGATCCCGTCCAAGGGCGACTGCAGTTCGGATGCCGCGGACCGCCAAAGAACGTGTGGACCAGACATCGGGTCAGGCACCAAAGCAAATCTAGAAGACCGTCGAAGAATGGAGTAGGTTGTGGCTGTGGCTGTGGAACACGAGCCTTGAAATCTGGATCTGGGCCACCGCAGCCAGACGTAACGCCGAATGACTGTGCTGGATGGCAAACCTTACTATGACAGCAACGACGTGCAGATGCCGTCCCAGACACAGCCGCAGTCGTCACCGGCAGACTCAAAAAGGGGCGAAAATCGGAGAGGTGAGGTCATTTGCTTGGACCTCCGTCAGACCGGCCAAGTCCATCCTGCGCATCCTGCATCTAGACCGTTTCGGCTCCGCTCATGTGAGACTATCGGTGGGCGCTGTTGGCTGCAGGTGGCTGATTTCGCCGACGAACCCTGTTTGCGAGCCGCTGCTTTGCCCGTCTGGAACAGCCGGAGTTTTATCTGATGGATATGTCGTCACGGGGTCTGGACGACGAGGCTGGTGAACCCAAAATTGAGATTACTATTGCATGATATTTTCCGATCGATACATGATATCGTAAGAGATGCCCCTTGAGGTCTAGACTAATTTAGACTTCTTAAAGAGACCGAAGCACAACCCATGCACCCAGAAGGCCCAGCGTCGATGCAAGGAGCAGCCCATTCCCTTCCCAGGTCAGTCCCAGATAGGCTAGTATACCCACCACCAACTCCTTCCGTCGCGCAACATCCCGCCGACTCTTCCAGCTGGGATCAATTGCAAACGGCGCCACCGCTTTGGAGGGTGCGTTCATGTGATCAGGCGATGGCTCAGCCGAGTGAGTAAGAGGGACCGTTGCCGCCAGTGCGACGGCGCGATGATCTGACTGCGGCAATAGAGGCAGTGCATTGTATGCTTGGGGCTTGACGTGCCCGCCTTCACCGACCCAGGATGGGCTGTCGAGGAAGAGGATCCGATCACACCAGCTGGGCCAGCGGTGGTTGGACCATTTCCATTCCGAATCGGTATCGATACCTAGCTTTGCTGCTTGGCGCGCCGCGTCGGAGTATTTGTATGTTGGGGGGAAGTCGATCGGCGCTTCAGTTAGGCCATGGAAAGTTCGACCGTTGCGCATCTCGCGTACGAGTTGGTCTTCCTTTAAAAGGTGCGAATAGTGCGCAGGGTCATCGCGGCCGACGTTGCACCTTGGAAAACGGACAACATCGCCCTTCAAGGGGCTAACATTAGAGGTGCGGTAGTTTAAGTCTCCCGCGAGAAAGACGTAGGAGTTTGGAGCAAAGAGGTCCCGGCGACTGTCTTCTGAGTGGGAAGTTGATCTGCGATGATTCAAGAGAGCTGCGTGTTCGTCGTTGTTTGAGTCTTCCTCGCTGTCCTTCGAATGAGAGAAAACAAGGCGTTCAACGATGCTTTGCCAATCCATATTCCTCTGCTTCAGGGCATCTTCCATAGGCGCCAGGTGCGCCGCGACAAAAGTCAAATCGACTGTTTTGGAGGAGTCATCATCGACAATGTAGCTCATACGCGCTCCAACAGCACCCTTGTTGCCCATTTCCTGGACACCAAAGCCAACGTGGGCCATGTCGATCCACGGTACTTTGTAGAAGATATCAGCGCGCGCAAACACCATCAACCCGGTCATGCCTGTATGGTCCTTGACCAGATTCACGTAAGATTCATCCCATTGCTTAGTAGTAGCTTTCTTGACAGCCTTGACGAATGCTTCAAAGTAAGGAGCCAAGTACGAACCGCCCAAGAAAGAGTAGGCGATGGGAGCTATTTCCTGCAGAGAAAGCACGATGAGCTCCGGTGCCGGGAAGCTCTGGGCACCCGAAGCGGGGAGGACATCGAAGAAATGCTCAGCAAAGAGGTCGACATCGATTAGGGTGCGAGCACAATTGGCGGTCAAGAGGTAGAGATTAAGATCCATCTTGGCCATGGAGTGTGTTGGAGAAAGAAGGGCGAATGGCGGTGACGTCGTTCGGTGTGCAACACGTGCCCACGCAGATCAACTTTATCTCAGTTTGTTGTTTTTGGGTACAACTTCGGGGAAATCAACGCACTAGACGTATTGTATTTGGGGAAAATTAAAAAAGGATGAGAAATAAAAACAAATAAAAAAAAGAAGAACTGCATCATCCGTGAATCGAACACGGGCCTCGTCGATGGCAACGACGAATTCTACCACTAGACCAATGATGCTGCAGGAAACGGGGATTCTGATTGCTGATTCGCCGCTTGTGATTGAGAGTCTCCAATTTGACTTTCGTTCTCATTCTGCACTGCTCTATTTACTCCCCACTTATACCTCACTTCACAGCTTTCCCCGTAGCTGCTCTTGATCACTGCCTTCCAATTCAACAAGCAGCATGCCTTCGGCAACATCTTCCTCGTCGTCCTCCATCTCATGGACCCATTTCACTTTGCCAGCGTGAGGACTGCGTACCTCCAGCTCCATCTTCATCTGCTTCACAAAGGCCAAGACCTGGTTCTCGGCGACGGTGTCTCCATCAGCAACCAATATTTCAATGAGCTTCCCAGATAGTGGGAGAATAACATGGCGTGGGTTGTTGGGGTCTCCACGCCTATGCGAGGACGAAACCAGAGCCGAAGCCGCGGTTGTGGTCGTCTCCAGCTGCATGAGATATGGAACGGCAGTCTGTGATGTGGGGGTCGTATACTCGATTTCGGCGACAAGTGCGGATGGGAACTCATTGCGGAAGACCCGCGAGAGCTTCAAATGATGCGCGACCTCTTCTGCCGATTTATCCAGTGGTTCCAGCGTGATAGACCATGCGTCGCCTTTGCGCAATAGCAGATTCGAAGGCAGTCCACCCTGGGCCATGGCCTGTTGTGAAGAAACAAAAGATCCTTCTTGACTCTGGAGCGTTTTCGACATGCGCTCTCCTATCTGATACACTTCGTCGAGCTTCATCCCTAGCCATTGCGTGTCGATCTTGCCAGCTGTGAAGTCGGGATGTGCCACAATACCCCGCAGAAGATTGATGTTAGTTTTCACGCCGGATATCTTAGAATCAGACAGGACTCGCTGGGCCTTTCTGACAGTTGCTTCCCATGTTGACGCAGTGACAATGATCTTAGCAAGAAGATTATCAAAGTTTGATCCCACGACAAGACCAGAGCCACCAGAAGAGTTGACATGACTGTCCACTCGGATGCCTTGTCCACTAGGCACTGTGAATTCTGTCACTTTGCCTATGCTAAGAGCAAAGTTGTTGCTTGTATCCTCCGCACACAGACGAAGCTGGATCGAGAAGGTAGTTGGCGGTGGCACAGTTGCATTAACCTTAGGCCCTAGGCCGAGATCATCGAAAGACCAGCCTTGGGCCAACAGGAGCTGCGTCTGCACTAGATCAATACCGCTGATGGCCTCGGTGATAGTATGCTCAACCTGGAGACGCGGGTTGACTTCCAAGAAATAAAATTCACCCTTTTGTTCGCTAACCAAGAATTCAAAAGTACCAAGCGATCGATAGTGGATTTTGCTAGCCATCTTCAATGCAGAGTTGATCACTCGAGCGACCAAATCCCGGTCACGCATTAGGGCCGGTGCAAGCTCAACAACTTTCTGGAATCGTCGCTGTACACTGCAGTCTCTCTCCCAGAGGTGGCGTACATTACCGGTTCCATCGCCGATAACCTGGATCTCAACATGGTGGAACCCATCGACGGCAGCCTTCTCTACGAACACAGTCCGTGAAGGTGACTCGCCAATGGCACGCTGAGTGCTATTAACTAATTCCGATTCCTCGCGTACAAGGCGGATTCCTCGCCCACCTCCTCCATCGACGGCTTTGACCATAACGGGAAAGCCGACCCGTCTGGCAAAAGCCCGCGCCTCGTCCACATTAGAAGTGGGCTGGCTCATAGCTTCCAGTACAGGAACTGCACATTGCTGTGCAAGTAGCTTTGCCTGGAGCTTATCACCTGTCCGAGCAAGATTCTCAGGCCCAGGCCCGATCACAACTGCGCCCGTTTCGGTCCACATGCGCTGTGCGAACTCCGCGCTCTCGCTGAGGAATCCATAGCCCGGATGCACTGCGTCAATAGAGTGCTTCCTAGCTAGGTCTACTAGCAATGAAATGTCCAGATAGGATGATGGAGAGGGTATTTGGATTGCATGATGCGGGTGCCCCAAGTCACAGTGTGAACGGTCGTCCGAAGCGTACAATGCAAAAGTCTCGACGGGACTAGGCAATTCTCTTGCCGAATGGAGTATTCGCACAGCGATTTCACCTCTGTGTATGAGTTAGTATGGGATTATTTAATCGGCTGGAGGGACCTACCTATTGGCGACCAGCAACCGCTTAAAGGGTCGGGAATGCGGGGAAGATGACATGGGGCGCATTAAATCTAGGGTAGATAACACAAGCACGCGACTGTTCTCCAAGCCAAACTAAAATTCCAGATCAAAGAGACAAGGGATTTTCCAAGGGATATGGGAGTGAGGTGTTCGGCCCAGATTGATTTTCTTATAGCTCGCTACAAATGACCCTCGGTCCTCGGGCCCAGCTTCCCCTCAGCGGAACCCTTTTGAACAAAGGCATCCAAAAGCGATCATCTCCAGCCACAAACTACATGTACATCAACACAAATTATCACCATGACAAAGGATAGCGACAAGACGCCTGAAAATGGCAATACTCAAGCCACCGAGCGCCTGAATCTGGTCTCGTCGCATATCTCCCCGAAGAAAAATAAAGCAAACTCCAGCGCGTCTCGTCTACCAGCGGACCACTCCGACGTGCTCGGCCAAATTGCCACGCTCCGAGAAATCGCTGCAACACCAGACCCCAACCACCGCGGCTACGTCCGCCAGAAACAAGCTGGTAAACTATGGGTGCGCGAGCGCATTGAGCAACTCCTCGACCAGGGCAGTTTCCAAGAAATTGGATCCGTGTCTGGCACAGTGAAATGGAAGAAGACTGCGCCTATGCGCGAGACGCCCGTTGCTTTCGTGCCTAGTAACAATGTTCAAGGCGCTGGGACTCTGCGAGGCAGAAAGGTCTTGCTTACTGCAGATGATTTTAGTATCCGGTCTGGTCACGCAGATGGCGCTAGCCATGGGAAGACGCTGTATGTGGAGAAATTGGCCGTTGTACTACGGATGCCGGTCATCAAGCTGGTTGATGGTAGCTCTGGTGGAGGTAGTGTGACTACTATCCGGAAAGAGGGATGGAGTTATCTTCCCCATGTCGCGTCGTTCGGACCCGTTATTCAGCAGTTGAATATGGGTATTCCTAATCTGGGTGCTGTTGTTGGACCGGCTGTGTGTTCTGTTTTCCCTAATTATGGAGTTTATGCTAATCCGTGTGCAGATTGGTCTCGGTGCTGCGCGTGTCGTCTCTTGTCACTTTTCTGTGATGGCGGCAGACATCGGCTCGCTGTTTAATGCTGGGCCCAAGGTTGTGGAGGGTGCAACATTCGAGGAAGGTCTGAACTTCCAGGACCTTGGAGGGCCGATGGTTCATTGCACGAACGGCACAATTGATAACCTCGCTGCCAACGAAGCCGAGTGCTTTGAGCAGCTGCGGACTGTTCTGAGCTACCTACCGAATTCCGGCAGTGAGGCTCCGCCCGTGATTCCATGCAGTGATCCTGAAGATCGTGAGGATCAGGCACTACGCAGCATTATTCCTCGCCGACAGGCCCGCATGTACAATCCTCGTACGATCATCACCTCGGTCGTTGACCGGGGCTCTTGGTTCGAGATCGGTGCACTCTGGGGTCGAACTGCCATCGGCGGTCTCGCGCGTCTTGGTGGACACCCCGTCGGTGTTATTTCGCTCAACTGCGAGGTGAACAGTGGTGCATTGGATGCTGCTGGTAGTCAGAAACTCACTCGGCTATTGAAGATGTGCGATGTGATGAACCTACCTATTGTGCAGTTCCTCGACGTCCGTAAGTACTACTTCAATCCTTCCTCAATATATCTAGGAACATACTCTAACAACACTATAGCCGGCTACGCCATCGGCACTGTCGCCGAACGCACTGCAACCATGCGCTGGGGCGTCGAGCTAGCCAAAACGTACTACACAACCACAATGCCAATCTTCAACGTGGTCACACGCCGAGTCTACGGTGTCGCCGGTGGCGTGATGATAGGCAGCCGCGACCCGGAAATGCAAGTTGCATGGCCATCCGGACAATGGGGCTCACTACCTCTGGATGGTGGCATCGAGGTGGGACACCGACACGAGCTGCGCGAAGCAGAGAAAGTTGGTAAGAAGGAGGAGCGGTACAAAGAGCTTGAGGAAGAGTATCTACGTCTGATGAATCCCGTGCGCACAGCAAATGCGTTTGGGGTGGAGGAGATTATTGACCCAAAAGATACGAGGAGTGTTTGCTGTGCTTGGGCTTCGCATATTTATGATGTGCTTATGCGTGAGAGATTGGCTGCTCGGGCTTGTGGAAAGATTCACCCATCGTTTGCTTGATTAGACTTTGCTACTTTCTAGTAAAAGAGGCCGAGTCCTTGGACCTACCGATGTCGGGAGATGAGAAATATACTGACGATTTTTCGGAGTAAATAGCTCTCAACACGTCTTAGCCACAATCTTGCATCTATGACTCAACATTTGAAATGGATTTCTTTTCTAGCTTCGAACTTCTTTTTATTTTCCTTTCTACTGATTCCTATAAATCATCTCCAGAGCTATTTAAGCACCCCCAAATGGCCGATTAGGTAACCGCGATAAGCTCCCGGCCGCGCATCATCTGATAAAATCGCACACCCCACCTCACAAGACCTCCCAAACACCACTCCCAGCAAGGCACAATGGCCTCAATCCAAATTCTAGACGGCGGTCTAGGAACCTCCCTCCAAGACCAATACGGAGTGAGCTTCGACAGCACCAGCACACCCCTCTGGTCCTCGCACTTGCTAGTATCCGACCCAACAACCCTACAAGCCTGCCAAAGCGACTTCGGCAAGGCAGGCGTGGACGTGCTCCTCACAGCAACCTACCAAGTCTCCCCCGAAGGTTTCGCCCGTACCAAGACAGACCAGTACCCCAATGGCATTCCCGTCGAGGCTGTGGGCGGGTATCTGCGCACGGCGGTGGAGGTCGCGGAACGCGCAAAGGGCCGCGACAGCACCAAGATCGCGCTGAGTCTGGGTCCGTACGGGGCTTGTATGATTCCAGGACAGGAGTATAGTGGGGCGTACGACGCGGCGCACGATAATGAGGAGGCGCTTTATCGGTGGCATTTGGAGCGGTTGAGGTTGTTTGTTCAGGCAGAAGGTGGATTGGCGGGGCGGGTGCAGTATGTTGCGTTTGAGACGCTGCCGAGGCTTGATGAGGTGCGGGCTGTGAGGAGGGCATTTAAGGATTCGGGGATTACGGCGCCGTTTTGGATTGTTTGTGTTTTTCCTAGGGAGGATGAGCTCTTGCCTGATGGGAGTTCCATTGAGCAGGTCGTTGATGCGGCTCTTGGGCCTTTGGATGGTGCGCCAGTGCCGTGGGGGATTGGTATGAATTGTACCAAGGTTCAAAAGCTTGCTGGCTTGATTGATAAGTTTGGCGCTTGTGTTGATGAGGTTATTGCTGCGGGCCAGCTGTCTGCTGCTCCAGCTTTGGTTTTGTACCCTGATGGTACGAACGGGGAGGTCTACAACACTACGACACAGGTTTGGGAGAAGCCTGACGACCTGAAGGAGGGCCAGCGGGACACGGTAAGGAATTCACCTTTGCTAAGTGTGTTGTGCATAGCTGATCAAAGTGTAGCGCTCCTGGGAAACACAACTTGCGCAAGTGGTCACCGATGCGCAGGCCAAGGGTCCCTTCCAATCATTCTTGGTGGGCGGTTGCTGCAAAGCATCTCATCGCGACATCGCGAAGCTCCGAGAGAAGTTCCACGCATGATGTCAGCAGTGCAAGAATGAATCGGCTACAGAACCGGTAGAGAAATGGTCAGTTGACGTGAATCATGTCTATTCGCCGAATGCTATGCAACTATATACAAATCTAAAATGCAATTATACGAGCCACTCGATAAAACGACCCCACAAGGTGTTGTGCGGATTCTTATGCGGCATGATCTCTCCATCCTGGAGACGGCCGGACCAAAGGTCGATGGCGGCAGCGCGTTGGAACTGCAGAGAAATGAATCAGTGGAATGTTCCGAGAACGTGAAAGCCATTCGAAGAACTCACCTTGGTGTTGTGCCAGAGTTTCCAGCCCAGAATCGGCACAATGAAAAGGGGAATGCCGATATATGAGGCGACAAAGTTCGATGTGTTCCAATTACCCTTGAGGAAGACGGGGAAACCGGCGACCAGGGTGATGATGCTAGACCCAATGAAGCCGATCCAGGCGGCATATGGTTGGAATGGGGCCTTCCAGGGCAGCGTGTCCCGGGAAACGCCCTGTGATTTCATCGCGGCGTGGAAGCGGATGTAGCAGACGCAGAGAGTGGCCCATGCGATCAACCCAGCAACGGTACTCAGGTTGAGAAGCCAGGTGAATGCTTGTGCGGCACCGCCGGATCCAAGACCTAATCCCTCGTCAGTGAACAATCGATATTCAGGAAACAGGCGAGACTTACTCAAATAAGCGAGAGGCCCAAATAGCCAGGCGACGATAACTGCAACATACGGAACACCGTTCTTGGTGCAGCGGCCGAAGATTTGGGGCAGCTGGTGGTCGGTGGTCATGGCCACGATCATGCGCGATCCAACCCAGCAGTATGAGTTACCGGCGGACCAGGCGGCGACGAGAATACATGCGTTCACGATAGACGGCAGGGCGCTGATACCAGCTTCCTTGATGGCGATGACGAAGGGAGAGCTGTTGGCGTTATCAGAGCCGGAGGTGAGATCTTTGGCATTCGGGCTCACGATGATGCCAATGAGCAGGGCACCGAGGATATAGAAAAAGGCAATGCGGTAGGTCACACGGCGGGCGGCCTTGGGAATGGCGCGATGCGGGTCGACAGACTCAGCAGCAGTGATGACGACGGTCTCCACGCCGATGAAACTGAACGAGGCGTTGACGAAGGAGGACAGGAATCCGAGGAAGTGGCCCGTGGAACCAGTGATGCCGTTATAGTCTGTCCAAGCGCCGGGGTCGTGCCAGAAGCGGAAGCCGATCGCCTCGCCGTTCGGACCACCGCCAGCCGTGATGACAATGGACACGATCACCAAGCCCAGGAAGCAGAGGACCTTGACGGCGCCGCCGATGACTTCCGTTTCGCCGTAGAAACGCACGCTCATGAGGTTGATTGCCAAAATCAAAACCAAACCGACCGTAATTACGACGGCCGGCGTTATATCTGTCCAATATGAAACGATCACGGCGGCGGCAGAAGTTTCGGAGGCGATTGCAATGGTATAACAGTATCCGTAAGAGATGGCGAGCGAGAAACCGACAGCCGGATCGATAAAGCGAGTAGCCCAGTGAGGAAACGATCCCGCCGTGGGAAACAGAGTCGCCAGCTCGGCGATACTCTGCATCACGCACCACAGCACCAGTCCCACGATAATATAGGCGAGTAGCAAACCGGCCGGGCCAGCTTTGGCGTAGGCCGAACCCGTTCCCACGAACAGACCGGTTCCAATGCCACTGCAGAAACCGATCATGGTGACCTGGTAGTTCCGTAAGTGACGCTGAGTAGCTCCGCGACCGCCAACATTCAGCTCCATTTCCCCTTTGAGGTTCGCCTCGTAGTCCTCATTCTCAAGCGGGACATCCGGCCGGATGTCTGTGGCGAGTGTTGACTTCTCCATGGTCCAGTAGTTGCGGTGAAGTTGCACCAAGTCGAGAGCCCTCCAGAGTTGAAACGAAAAGATTATAGAGATGAACCATGTGCGGGATAAGCTTTTTTTTTTTCTTCGAAAACCTCAAAACCGATCACGACATTTGGTTCTCCGCTTTACACCACGGATGGTTCCCACCGCGGCCGGCCTTATTGGGCAGGCCGACCGGGATCCCCACTCACAGAGGCAAACCCTGAATATTTTTCTCACGTTGGACATTTGACACAACATGACAGATTCGTCGATTTGTTCTCATATCACGCTTTGGTGGGGTTGTGTCGGGGTGAATATGTAGCGGCAGCGGATTGGTTATTTTATTGACGTGCAGAATCAACCCTCGTGCGCATGCAGGTGTGGGACTGGATCAGCCCTGCGATTTAAAGTGATCGTTAGCCACGAGGTCGATGCGCTTAGACCTCGCTTCCCTTGGACTAGCGAATTTTCCGGTTGATCTACCGCCCCTTTCCACCAGACCGGCATTTAGAAAGATCGACTGGGGTTGTGCGATACCGATCATCCGCCTGAGGCTCAAATTTGAGGTTCGTTGATTGACTAACGTAATCCAAAGCTATTTATAGAGGCTGTGTATTCACCAGAGGGGCAATAGAGGTAACTGGCGCGACCAAAGGAGGTCCTTCCCTAGAGTCAGACCATTTTCGTCGACTCCATTTCCTACGGATAGCAACCTGAGACAGTCCCAGTAACCCCGTTCGAATTATCTCATCATACGGAGACAACATCCTCGAAGGAGACGTACGGAAGTCAGTCGTAGAAAGTTAGGCGCACATCGCAACGGTCGCGGTTGGCAGCCAGACCGAGAACAACAGGTCATGCATCGATTTTTGCATTGGCAGGTCTTTGTCGGACGGAACCGACCCACGTCTCAGCCGAGGCCCGTCTAGGATCCAAATAGTTACTCGATAGCGCCGATCCACGACCCAAACTACAAAATGGAAAGAAAGTTCTTACCTCAGCGCATTGTTTTCCCCTCCTTTTCACCTGGAATGGGTGATTAAGTCTCTCCCTTTCCGGCTTCACTCTTCATCCCTGGGTTTTAATTCTCTTTCAAGGCACTCGATCTCGATGAAATAAATCGGTTAGGGTCATGGCCGATTCCGTCCGACAAAATGTCGGGACCGAGGGACCGTCCCCGTCGACTAGCGCGGAAGACTCCGCGATGCCCGCGAAGGAGACCCCAGTCTCCAAGCCGCGCAGGAAGCTGCCCGGCTGGCTGGATCATTTCAATGCGCGCGATCTGAAAGTGCTATTTCGCTGTTCCGTGGCGGCATGGGTCGCGTCGTTGTTAATTTTCATCGGCCCGTCCCTGCAGCAGATCGGGACCGCGACCTTCTTTGCGACGTGAGTTGGAATGCCAGATTCGCATCGAGTCAATTGCTAATGCTAATTGGTCATCAGTTTGGTCCTATTCATGGTGCCTCCCACGGGTATTGTCTTTATCTTTATCCTGGGAGCGCTCACTCTCATCATTGGCATGGCCCTTGGCTGGGCCTGGGGTGTCATCGCCATGAAGGCGGCCATGGCGGCGCGACCGGCTGCTGAGACGCAGGCCAGAATACAGGCCCTGGGTCAAACGGCGTATTCCCAGGCTAAATCGACGGGAAAGCCCATTCAACTCATCCAGCAGGAGCTCGTCTACTCCGGATGGATGCTGGATGCTCGCGTCACTGCCGTTTACTTCTGCCTCATCTGCCTCATGATCTACTTCTTGGTGAGTAGATGCTGGAGCTATTTGCACAATCAGAGTGGACACTGACATACCGATAGGCTCGTTTGCGTGCTAAAAATCCCAAGTTTACGCTGTTCCAGATCTTTGGAACCATCATTATGGATATCTTCCTGACCGTTGGTCCGCTGCTGACCTCTTTTAACGGAACCATTGCCAAGGTCCTGATTGAGCCCGCGGCTATCGGGATTGGACTGGGATTGGCTTCCCAGATACTCTTCTTCCCCAAGTCGACTTCTCATACAGTTCTTGACGGTATGGAGGGCCTTTCGCGACTGCTGAAGGGTCCACTCGATGTGACTATCGCCAGCCTGATCAAGGACGAGAAATTGGAAATGAAAGACCTACAAAAGCTGAAGCAAAAGTCTATCGCGGCCTACAAAAGCATCGAGTCTGCACTCGGCTTTTTGCCGCTAGACTTCTCCGTTGGCCGTTGGAATGCCGACGACGTCAAAAGCTTGAAGGAGCCCATCCGTCAAGCATCGGTGGCCGGTCTATCCCTGCTGGAATTTCATATTGCCCGACTTGGCGGAGAAGCCAAGCTGGGGAAGCTTTGTGAACTCACTGCTGACTCTGCAAATCAATCCGATGTTGACTTTAACGAGAAGAAACGTCCCCGCGAAGTTGGCATGCGCCAACTGATGGAGAGTGTCCACATGGTCCAGGCAATGCGAAGCCCAGAACACGAGAGTCTGCGGTTGGAAATGATTGATGCGATTCGACAGCCCTGCCAGACGATTTTGCCCGCGTGCCAGGAAGCGAGCAACGTTGTCGCTGAGTGTATCAAGACCGTGAACTCTGCTCGCTGGTTTGGTCGCCCGTCTAAGCAGCATGTAGATGAGCTCCACCAGCGCAGCCACACGGCCCTCGAGACACTTCAGAGCCTGCGGGCAACCTATGCAGAGGAGACAACGGAACGCCTTCTTCAGACTAATGAAGACATCTTCGATGAGAATGGCAAGCTCAAGGCCTTCGACAGCTCTTCTATGCACAAGGTCCGAGGCATTATGTTTGGCATGGTCTTTGAAGAACGCATTCTTGGTGTTGCTGACGCCTGGGAGCGAGTACTGGGACAAGTTGATGGCCTTATGAAAGAGCGTCAGAAAATCCGCCTGTGGCTTCCAAAAGGCCTGGGCTATGCCTTCAGCTGGGTCTTCCGGAGAAGTGCCGTGGCACCCGTTGCAGCAGTCCAGTCTCCCAGCGTAGACCCTGATGTCGTGGAAGCACAGTCTAAAGAGGCTCAGCAGGCTCTCCGAATTAGTCGTGGATACCGAGTGAAACAGCGCAGCGGTCTTGGACGCATCATCCTTGGTACCTATCACTGGCTCATCAGCTACGAGGGCATGTACGCTTTGCGTATGGTTGTCGTAACTGTTGCTCTTGCGATTCCTGCGGTGATTCCGTCCAGTGCCGGCTTCTATTACCGGGAGAAAGGACTGTGGGCTCTGATCATGGGTCAGACTACGGTTGTCGTGTACATGTCGGACTTTACTCTTTCCCTCGTCTCTCGTGGCATTGGAACCATTGTTGGCGGTGTTGCTGGTCTGGTGGCATGGTATATTGGCTCAGGCAATGGATCAGGTAACCCGTACGGCCTGGGTGCGGTTATGGCTGTTGTTCTTACGCTCTTGATGTGGGGACGCATTTTTGCTCCCGTCGCTGTGCTCCAGGCTACGATTATGGGTGGTGCGACATGCATCCTGGTCATCGGCTACAGTTACGATGATACGTAAGTAGCTTGCTATTTTGTTGAGGGCTCGAATGCTAATATTGGAACTTCAGACACATTCCCACATATGGAAACCCCGGCTTGGGATACAGTGTCTTTTGGCGACGATTGCTGCTGGTCCTCGTGGGATCCACGGCGGCCATGGTTGTGCAAATCTTCCCACGGCCACCCTCTGCAACGCGACATGTTTGCAAATCGCTATCAAATGCGATTCGAGGACTCTCCGACCATTATGCCCTGCTCCTCTCATGCTGGGGCCAGCCAGATCGTAACGAGGGCATGGTGGCTGAACAGCTTGCACTTGACGTTGCCGAAACCCTCAGCGGACTCGACGGACCCGTTGCATTACTGCGTCTTGAGTTCTCTAGTTCGCCCTTTGACAGCGATCGCCTCGCCCAGGTCAAGGCGCTGTGTCAGGAGCTCAACCAGCACATAGGCCGTCTACTCTACTTGTCAGCATCACTACCAGAGGAACTCCAACTCCGGCTTGCGCGTCAGGCTGGCCTTCTCGATCACCGTAACATCGGAGACGTCATGGCCGTCCTTGGAGTCGTCGAGCAGGCCCTCAAAACAGGCGATCCCTTGCCCGAGGTGCTCCCAACACCACTCCTCAAACGGTGCTTCGAATACTGGCGTTCACACCAGATCAATATCATGTTGAGCAAGGATCTAATTCGCGATGAGAGCTACCGCAAGTTCTGCGTTGCAGTCAGCTCCTATCTCAAGTTCCTAGGAGCAGTGGATGATTTGGTTCTGGTGATGAAAGGCACGCTTGGGGAGGCCCATATTGTGAGCCGCGAATTGATGCAGGATCTGCCGGCCGATCTTCCTGTATGATAAATAGCGCGATATAATGTATTGATATAATGCCTGGAAAGGCAATTCTATAGACAAATGAACAAAGCAAGCCAAAGCAAAGCCCGAGGAATGGAATTACAAAGAGAAATTTTAGTTATTACGAAGCCAAACACCGCCCCACACCTCGGCCTTCTCCGCACGCGTTTTTCTTCTCCTCACCAGCTTTTCTCCTCACCCTAAATGGCACTAGCGCAGGGACTTGCTTTGAAATAATGTGCAAATGACATTCTTTCTTTCCCAATGACCGGAAAGCTATACACTTGAATTTTCTGGCCCCATGGCGGCTTCCCGTCTTTCCCGTCTCCCGCGGTGGATCAGCCACTGGTTGGGCTACCGGCCAGAGTCTCCAACACCCTTGCCAACGTGGCAAATAGCCGCATGGTCTTTCATTACTGCCTTTTGCGGTCTTTCAGTGTTGCAAGGAATCTTTAATTATTCCGACTATTTCAAAGAACGCCATGTGCCAGGCATCGTCGCGTCATACGTAAGTCCCAGGCCCAAAAGGGGTTGCCACCCTACACGAAAATCCTTGATCTGACTCAAACCAACAGGGCGCATCTGCAGTCCTCGTCTTCGGTGCTATCGAAAGCCCCCTCGCGCAACCACGCGCCTTGGTATTCGGGCATTTCTTCAGCGCCTTGACAGGCCTCTGCGTCACCAAACTGTTCAGTCTCATGCCAGACCAAGCGCGTTTCGCGTCATTGCGCTGGCTAGCCGCTTCATTGTCTAGCGCTATTGCTATCGTCGTGATGCAACTTACCGGCACGACTCATCCCCCGCCGGTGCTACTGCTTTGCTCCCAGCTACCGATGAAGACATCTGGCAACTTTCGTGGTATTACTTGCCCGTAGTGCTGCTGTCGTCCACGATGCTTATGTGCTGTGCTTTGCTGCTGAATAATTTGCAACGGCGGTATCCTGTCTTTTGGATTGCGCCGAATCCACCAAAACCTGCTCCTGCGCCTGTGCCTGCACCTGCACCAGCCTTGGCACCGGCTGATGCTAGTGAAACTTCCTTGGCAGACGAAAAGCCCGACATACCTGTTTGATTCGGTGATGTGTCAATCGCCGATATAATATGGAGACTCGGCTATGAATCTGCTATTCTGAACCGAACTCCACTCAAGCTTCCACTTTGTGCTCATCTCAGATGTTCCAAACTACACATCTTGTAGCTAATGCACTATATGATGAAAGCCTTTGCACCAGTCCGTTGGTTTCTCGCTATAATGGAAAGGGCGATCCAAACCTAGCGGGACGTTACACTTGTGCCTCGGGCTATCTATTCACAGGAGAAACGGCAACAGTGTCGCCTGAAAACATGACCTGTAAATAGCGATCGGAGAAAATAAATGGACATTGGGAGACTTGTTAGACTTGTTATTTGTGTGTCCAGGACTGATTTATCGGGATCTATAAAAATTCAAGCATTAATCGCAGAGCTGAGCCCAATTACTGAAGAGGGTAGACTGACGCAGCAGACTACCTACAATGATGCGGTGCCAATAACGCGGGAAGCCGCGTAAGGGATGCATGACTCAAGCGAGAGCGAGGGTCTGAGCAATCGCCTGGGCACACAGTGGATTCTGGATTCTGGATTCTTCGTTCATTACCTCGTTGACCGTCTAGGAGCGAAACATCCTTTTACGAGTACCTTACTCGGAAGACGTGACATTGGTTGACGTGATATTCTTGATCCCCAGAAATGGTCTCGTGTGCGCCTTCACCTTTCAACCAGATCCCCAGGAGCCAGGCTAACATCATCCCCGCAGCACCTCAAGATCGTCGACCTATAGTCATCTCCGGACCTTCCGGTGTCGGCAAAGGAACGCTGATCCAAAAGCTTGTCGACGCACACCCTGACACATTTGGATTAGCCGTATCTCATACAACACGAAAACCGCGACCGGGCGAAGTAGAAGGCGTTGCTTACTTCTTCGTTTCTCCCTCCGAGTTCTCATTCCTCTTCTCGCAAGACAGTTTCGTGGAACACACATGTTTCAGTGGCAACTACTACGGCACGAGCAAGCAGACCGTCGATGATCTGACTAGCAAAGGGTTGGTAGTGATCCTGGATATCGAAATAGACGGCGTCAAGCAGTTGAAGTCGAACCCCAGCATTGATGCGCGGTATATTTTCATTAAGCCACCCAGCTTTGAAACACTCGAGGCGCGTCTCAGAGGTCGCAAAACCGAGAGCGAGGAGAAAATTCGGGAAAGGCTCTCCCGGGCCAAAGTCGAAATTGAGTACGCCGAGTCTCAGCGCGATCATGATAAGATCATCTGCAATGACAACATTGAAGAGGCGTACAAGGAGCTTGATGAGTTTGTATTTGGGATCACGTAGCAGAAGTCCACCGCAATGATTCACTTTGTTTTCCATACACTAAGGAAATTCCAGAAAATACGATCAGCCTTTAGACATATGAAAATTGTTCCTTCGCATACAATCGTATCTCCTGAGGAAGCGGTGACTTGTGATGGAAGAGCTTGAATAGAGCCATGTCCACTGCTGAGATCCTAAAAAGAACCAGCCGGGTAGCAGTTTAATTTGCAACCAAGCCTAAATTGGTATAGCTCTCTCTACGTGCTCACGGCTCGTGCCCATGTTTACTGATGACCAATGTCACGACGCGAAAAGGAGCCAACGCAGTAAGATCAGGTTCCGTCTTCAGAATTTAGAGGATTTGGTATCTTCCGTCTCGCTATTCACCATGTCATTCTACTATGAACAGCGACGCCTGGGGAATGATCGGGTTGCTCTTGAACCATTCGATGTCAGCATTTCCCCATTCCGCCCACACAGAGTACAAGATGGCACTAACCCGAACAGCCCAGCTTACACACTGCGAAATTCGTTGAAGAGAAACGGGCGCAACCAGAAATACTCACATATCTGAGTTTCCCTGCCGGCGAAACAGAAGAAGAGTTCAAAGATTTCTACGAAAAATACATAAACTCGCCGCCCAGCGACTGCCTGTACGCTATCATTGACAAAGCGAACCCCGAGAAAGACTTCAATGCAAACTACGCCGGCGCTATTGCCCTGGCAACAACGAACCGTGAAAATGCGTCTACGGAAATAGGCATCATCGTTTTCCCGGCGTTCCAGCGCTCGCACGTGTCGTCGAACGCTATAGGGCTTCTGCTGCAGTATACACTTGACCCGCCGTCTGCGGGTGGATTAGGACTGAGGCGCGTAGAGTGGAAGTGCCATGCCGGGAATGAGTCGTCTAGGAGAGCTGCTCTGCGGATGGGATTCGAGCTGGAAGGAATCTTGCGATGGGAAAGGGCATTTCCGGGAGGCGCGGTTGGACTTTCTGTAGATGCTTTGGAGAAAAGAAATGGAACGTCGGGGGAGGCGCCCGGGCGACATACTGCCATTTTTTCAATCGTTTGGGATGAGTGGGATGAGAAGCGCGCGAAGGTTGTTGGAATTATGGAGCGGAAGAGCTAGGTAGTGGCAACTTGATGACCCGTTACGCTTTGTTTCTTATGATCTAGTCTATATCAGTGCTCCCTGCCATCATTGGATATGTTCCTAGCATGGAATCCGTTATATGAAATGTACTATACATGATCCCACCCCCAAGGATGGAGAATCTGCATCTCATTGATAATGCAGAACTGACCAGGCTCCCTGTTTTCGTCAGACAAAGCAGTCCATTGAGCAACACGGTTGGAAACAGATTTCTCCTTAAACCAAGGAGAACTAGTCCACCGACGAAACCGATTCGTCCACAGCCCCTGTAGAATGGTCCTCGAAGATAGCCAATTTATAGCCGGGTTCACAGCCACATAGGCCGGCCCGCTGTATCCGACCCGCACCAGAGGATTAACATAGACGCCGTGTTGGGCAGTCAGCGGATTGTCGGCGTGGATAAGACAGCATTCGGAGCCTTCGAGATGAGAGGCTGCGAGGGAGTCTGGGATTCCTCGGAATCGAAGAGGAGACTTGCTCATGAACGGAGCGGCCGGCATGGCGACCATTCCGTTCCAGCAGCTTTTTACTGGGACTGGGGACATGCTTTTCATAGCGTGTCTGGAGACAGAGTCGCGGAAGAATGGCCACGTTGACATGATGGCCTCGTGTCCGCTGGCGTCGCGTAGAGCGAAGGTGTCATAATAGTGAGGTGGTTTGGAAAAGTCCATTGAACAAGCTGCGGCATAGTTGCCGTGGTTCGTGTCTAATAACTCGAAGATATCGTTTGGCTTTTACAGTTAGCTTGTGCTTTTCAGTGGGGAACCAAGACAGACATACCGTAAAAACAACGTCATTGAGGAAAAGAATCTTGTCAAATGTGATACCTTGCTTTGCCAACTCGTACAGCGGTTCCAGACTCAAATTCCGTATCCGAGACAGATACGGGATACGCCTGAGCTCCGTCCTCCCTTGCGGCGTGACAATCCAGCCCTCATCACCAGGAGGCGCATTAATCTCATCGTCATGAGTGACATGCGATAAAGTGATATTTCGGGGTACGCGAAGGCGATCCAACTCCACGTCGAGGTCCATCAATGCACCCTTTGTATTATCGTAGCTGCCGCTCTCATAGATGCTGATATATACGTTCTCTGGACCGAGATTCCAAGCGAGATCGAGGACAGCCTGGCTCCAGTGGCTGCGGAGGATAATTTCATTGTTCCAATTCACGCTTGCAATATAGATTCGCTCTTGTCGGCGGGGTCGCTCGCGGTAGCTGATATCTGATTCGGAGATGCGGCGCAGGATCAGGTTGAGTTCGATTAGGTTCCATGCGATGAATACGATGAGGAGAGAGCGGATTATACGGTGGCGCACCAGCACTCGGCGGAGAGTGCGCGGGTAGGATGTTATTTTGGTCATAAGGAGCGGACGCCGGGGTTCGCGGCACGAGGTGGACAGATCAGAGGAATTCAGCCCGTGGGGATTTTTCGCATGTTGCGGTCGGATATGACCGGATAAGAATGAGTGATCTCGTGGAGAGTGAAAGAATAAGAAAATAGGTGCTGCGAGGGCGAATCAAGGGGTCAAGTGGACGCTGAAGCCCTTCATACTTCCGAAGCCAGAAAGAGACGCAGCGACCCGTCGGTACACGACCAACTCGATCTATACGAGCGACGATCGGCCATGCATGTCAATTTGAATACTCTTATAAGAATTAAGTATTTGGCGGATGGATAAGAAGCAAAACGACAAAAAGGGGGTCAATTATCGCCCAGCCACGTCATCAGTGGAGCACGGTTGTGGGGCGCCAACAATGGCCAGCCCTGGTGTATACACCTGCCCAGTGTCATTTCCGATGCCTCCGCGCTCTCCGTAACGTTGCGGGCTTAATCTATCTCGGTCATTTCGCCTATCGCTAGCACGGGGTCCTGTGGTAGATTAAAACTCAATGTCATTGGAGCGTGCCTCCCCCCCCCCAAAAGGCAATGATTTAATTTACATCATTTTTGAAATAGCAAAAGGAAGCATTTCCATATTCTCCAAAAACACACCAAACTCCTTCTTCACTTTCCCCATATCTTCATCAATGTCATCAGTCCACCGATGAATATAGATGGTCTTCATGCCAACACTCTGGGCTCCCCGGAGGTCATATGCGTGGGCTGCAACCAGCACAACTTCCTCTGCCTGAAGTTTGACCAGTTGCAATGCCTTCTGGTACGTTGTATTTTATCGAGAACAACCAGCGCTTCCTTCGAGGCCTTGAGCCCGAAGATATCGACATCACTCTTTCCCGAGTCCTGGATCTGGTACTCGAACAATCTCCAAAGCACAGAGCCCACATAAACTCTGAGATTAAACGACAAATGATCGCAGCATGGCATGCCCAGCCCGCCTGGCCAGAAGTGCAGAAGGCGATCCAAAGTATCCGAGAAGAACTGGGTCTCGAGGTCTTTGTCCATGCAAATGGCACGACTCGTCTACAGCTCGATCTGACCCGGTCCTCGGGATTGAACTTCAACATGTTATTTTCGAGTCAGCTGTTAGGGGTCTACAAACCCAGCCCATTCCAGGGCTAGCTGGGATGCGTCGTCTTTGGTGATTGCGGGAGGAAACGATTGAGCCACGCTGCTATGCCAGTCGAGACAGGTGCCCATGAAGTCGAAGAATACTGCTTTGATCGGGGCTTTCGTTGTAGCCATGTCGGGTGATTGTAAAATGGCAATCCTGAGATGTCGATGCAAAAGAAGTAGTGAGGAGTAATCGATGCGAGCCGTGAGATACCTTGTAGATAAGTATAGAAGTTAGACGCTTATTATAGCTGATTCCAAGGTGGGTTGCCTGATTACAAATTCGAGACCGCACGGGAGGCGCAGCATTTGCATTCTACTTCCGTTCAGATCACTCCCGGCCTGGGGCAGATCACTCGATTTGAATTCCTTTAAGCTGCATCAATCAGCGATTTATTATGCAGTACGATAACGTACCCTCGGATAGGAAAGACGTTCTCGTTGGGCCAACTTGAGAAGTTTGTTTCTCTGAGCACCTACGAATCCCCGCTTCCCCGCATCGGCCCGCCGTCATGTCCGCAGCCGACGATCATCGGCATTGCACACTGCAGAATTTCATGCCACCCTGATATACCCCGTGTGGGAGGAGTCGGATGTCTCTAAGTTACAATCGAATACTTGTTTTAAAGTACATTGCAATCTATGTAAGAAACAATACATGTCCAACTGACAGGGGTATCCCGGAAAATCCCTAATACGGAGACTTTTGCGGTGCCACTGTATTTAGAGCGCATATTGAAGCTAAAATAGTTGTATTTAAGGTGAGTCCACTGAGATGAAATTTGCTACTTAGAGGTTTCTCCGCGGTTTTCGCTGTAGGGGGGTCCTAAGGGTTCACCCCATTCATAACATTCGCCAATTTCCGCATTATTCCAGCACGCATAGTCTTTGAGGTAACAAGTTTCAAGATTCGCAATTTCCACTGCATGCATCGCTTTCTCGCGATAGTAACGGATTGCCCGTCCACACTCGTCGTACCACATCACGAGGACGGTCCCTGCGTCGGGGCCTTCGGAGGCCAAAGTTTTTTCATCAACGATATGGATACGCCCTGCGGCTAACCGGAAGAGATACTCCGAATAAAAGCATATCCAAGGGTTTTCATCCTCCTTTGGGTCATAGCCATTTTCCTCATCGCGCTGGGGATCAATGCTCTCGGACTCAATTCCCTCTTCTCCCAGTTGGAACCGAAGTTATACAAGGATGAGTTGTTATAAACTGTAACTGGGCCGACGATCTTGGTATCAATATAATCTTGAATCTGAGCCCATAAGTCTTCTGAGGAAGGGTCATAGCAGGTGCGGAGCCAACATGGGTCATCATTTAAATCACGCTCAGCAGGTAGGCGGATACGATCCAATAGCTCTTGACTATATTGCGGAAGATCTCGTGCAGACCTGTCCTCTAGTCTTCGCTGCTGGTTTCGATACGGCTATTCCTATAGTTTAGTTTTCTCGTTGGAGTAACAGGGGGCCAAAATCAAATTACCTCGCGACCACGGACTCCGAGTGCCACATATTTAGCGAAAATTTCCTCGCGATGGGCATCAACAGATAGCGACGAGTCTTCTTGCCAATGCTCCTAGAATATTGTCAAAACATGCATATAAGTGCTGAGTGAAAGGTTTTACCAGAAGGAACAAATCGACCTGCCAGGCTCGAAAGTTGGACATTTTACAGAGTATTCTCAAGAAGGATAATAGTGGGACAGAGTCAAGCTGGGATGTAGATGTGCTGGCAAGTTTGGGACAAGGGATCGTCAGCTCCACCCCCCACCCCACTCGACCACCTTAACTATCGGGTAACCCGCTTTCCATCGTACGGGATTCGTTTGTTGGAACCGGATAATTCAAATCCTATCATGTACTTTCTACGTTTATGTATAGCGGTATTACCCTATAAAATCGAACCGTATTTGCGTGTCATTCATCGCAATGTAAATGAACAAAGGGAAGGGGACAATAACCAAGCACGGTCAACGATCATTGAAGCATTGGCGTAGTCAAAAATTTGGAATATAAATGATGCTGTAAACAACCAGTGTTCCGCCATAGCGCCAGAAAGGAAATACATCCATCGAAGCAGATCATAGTCTGTTTCGCTCAAGCATGTGACGGATGCCTCACTTCTTATCACCCCACAAGCCCACAATGCCCATGGAGAGAGCGATCGCAGCCAGCCAGGAGCGGGCGCGCTGCATCCGGCGCTCACTGTCCATCTCACGTTGGACACTCTCCCCATTGACATCCTCTTCAGCCTCCACGACCACAAGATCCTCGTCCTTCTTGGCGCACGACTTGGACAGGCAGAGACCGGTGCTGTCTTGAATGGCAGTCAGGGCCCAGGTCTTCAATCCCAGGTGGCGGTTGAACCAGAAGTCAAGACCGTAGGTGCCCAGGGTGGAGATGACGCAGACCCAAATTAGGTAGGGGTGCTTTCGTCGGGGCGGGGAGATGCTGAATGAAAATAGGAAGCAGCAATTGGCGATGCTGGAGAGTCGCAGCGCGTGTTTGCGGTTGAGGCGCTTCACCTCGGTGAAGCAGCGGGAGGCGGTGCTGGAGGATGGGAGAAGCTTGAGAGCCGGGATCGTGATGGCTGATGTGGAATAGGACATGCCCTGCATCGAGCAATTGCGTTAGCTGATACTGTCGCGACGGAATCGGAATCCGGCTTTTTCGTGCTTACCGTCAGCAGGCCCAGGGAGACGGTGCCGACGAACTTGGTGACGGTGATGGGACAAGCCATAGCGCCGGTGTCAGGAGCAGACAGTGCACAGTGCCCGAGAGACGCGTGAGTTCTGGGATGCCGTGGAGTTGATGGTCAGAAAGTTGAATCTTTGGGCGGCGGTGACGTCGCTGCCACCGGACGCGCCCGCCAATCACCGGCCGCACGTTTTTCATCTTTGGTGGCCCCCGTTCAGTCGATTAATCCCTGCAGAATACCATACAAGTCCAAAGCACTAGATAACACATTGCAAGTAGCATGAAAGCGAGTATAGTAATGACCAGGTGTTCGTCATCCTCCCCAGCGAAGATAACATCCAGTCGGGTCAATGCATACAAGACGCCTAGTGAGTTGGGATAGGAAAATTGACACTAGATATGAATGTCGGACGATGTATAGTTTGTAAAGACGTCTAATTGACTCGGGTGTATAGGCAATTTTGTGATTACTGATTGCGCATAACGCATAGTGCAGCGCATCCGAAGGGACCGAGGTTCAACCCGCCGTTGTGGGGAAAAGGCGACGGACTGCTTCACCTCCGCGCTCATCTGATAAAACCGGCCACCCTGTCTTTACTCTTCCCCAGACATCAACCCGATATTCATCATGCCTTTGAAGAAGTCTGATTATATGAGCGACATCTGGAAAGATGGCATCTTCGGTGAGTTCCTCGACCGAGTCCGAAAGCTCAACTGACACATGGTCCAGCAAACAAGGTCGTCTTCTGCACCGGTGGAGCGGGCACCATCTGCAGTGCCCAGGTCCGCGCGCTCGTCCACCTCGGGGCTAATGCTTGTATCATTGGTCGCAACGTAGAGAAGACGGAAAGTGCTGCGAAAGAAATGGCTGCTATCCGACCCGGCGCCAAGGTCATCGGCATCGGTGCTGTGGACGTCCGCAAGTTCGAGAGCTTGAAGGAAGCGGCGGAGCGCTGTGTCAAGGAGCTCGGCTCCATTGATTTCGTCATGTATGATCCCCGTTCTCAAGTTTCCAAGCACAAGTCCTGACTTATTCATAGCGCTGGTGCTGCGGGCAACTTCCTCGCCTCCATTGAGCAGCTCTCTGTCAATGCCTTCAAGTCCGTCATGGATATCGACGTTCTGGGATCTTACAACACTCTCAAGGCAACTTTGCCGTATCTGATGGAGTCCGGGAAGAAACATAGAATGGACTCGGAAACTCGTAAGCCACCCCCGTTAATGCTCATTTCATAGCATCGCTGAGACCAGCCAGTTACACCGTACCCTGGAGGCACCGGTGGAAGAATCATTTTCATCAGTGCCACTCTCCACTACCGTGGAAACCCCTTCCAGGCCCATGTCTCCGTTGCCAAGGCCGGCATTGACTCCCTCTCCAATGCCGTGGCCATCGAGTATGGCCCGCGGGGCGTGACCTCGAATATCATCTCTCCAGGTCCCATCGCTCAGACTGAGGTGAGTCTACTATGGCGTAGAATCTTCATGAAAGACATCATCTAACTTGCACAGGGCTTGGAGCGCCTGCTTCCATCCGACGCCAAGGCGGCATACACCAAAGCGCAACCCCTCGGCCGCTTCGGACACGTCCGTGATATCGCTGACGCGACCGTCTACCTCTTCTCTGACGCCGGAAGCTATGTCACCGGTCAAACCCTTGTTGGTAAGTTCTCGGCGACTCACTTCTCTCGTCGAAGGAACGGAGAAGGCTGACATGTTCTAGTTGATGGCGCGAACTGGCGCACGTCGTCCGGCATGGGACCGAGCAACTCATACCCCGAAAACCTCCTGTCCGGACAAGAGATTGCCAACGTGACCGGCAAGAAGAAGTCTAAGCTCTGAGCTAGGAGATGGCACCGATGCCCATGATGGTGATAGTCAATCTCAAGTACGAGATCATAGGTGTTTTCTAGTGGTTGCCTGAATTGTAATTCTTAGGATCTTTAGAGTATTCGGATATTCATTGCTTATTTAAAATGATTTAGAGCTGGTTCAAAGGTCAAAAAGTCGGGATGCTTATGATTTCTTTGTTTGCCCACCTAACTTCGTGAAGCACCGCTACCCCATAGACTAGAAAATGGATCGAGTGGCCCGGAGACCAAATTTCCAAACATGGAATGAAATCAAACACGAGGGCCTTTCTTTTCTACTCTCTAGGATTTTAGCTTGGGTCGGCGGATGGTGAGTAGATCCTCAAAAGCCGCAGAAGCCGACGGCCCATGGATAGCCTTCATGTCGCTTCGTATGGCGCGGAGATTCGTGAATGTCCGAAACTTCATGCAATGCTGGGCTCCGCAGCCTCATCAGCCCCTACCCTTGATTGCTCTAAAACAATAGCCCAGTGGACTCTTCGGGCTGCTTGCGACCCGAGTCGGATTGGGGGTGGAGCACTCGGATGCAGGAAACCTTAACTTTGGCAAGTACATTCCAGTTTCCGAAGGCCGACGCGGAGGAAGTATTTAAAGTGGGCGATTGAGACGGATCCAGGAGCTCTACAATCATCGCTCTGCACTGTCCCTTGCCACCAGCTCCTACTCTCTACGATGGCTTCGTCTACTAAGTCGGCCCCCCAAATCACCGTCTTCCGGGGCTTGCATGATGTAGGCTATACCTGGTCTCCATTTGTGACCAAGCTCGAGGCCCGGTTACGGTTTGGAAATATTGCATACCGCGTCGAGACAGGATCTGTGACCAAAGCCCCGCGACACAAAATACCATACGTGTCCATAAAACATGCAGACGGCCGGACGGAGGTTATGTCGGACTCGACTCTCATTGCTAAAGCATTGGTTGAATCGGGGACTTTGGAGGATCTGAAAGAAAACCTCTCGCCTGCCGAGGAGCTGAACGAGATCAGCTTGAAAGCCTTGTTCGAGGAGAAGCTCTATTTCTACCAGGTGAAACAGCCAAGACATGCAGGAAACGCCCGGGATGATAGTTTCTAATGCCATTTCGATTGTAGTCTCACGAAAGATGGGTGCTGAACTATTACACCATGAGATCCAAGATCTTGGGTTCTCTGTCGTGGCCGCTCCAGGTGATTGTGGGAAACATACTGTACACCAAAATCACGCGCACCCTGACAGGCATGGGAATCCTGAGTTTCAGCCCAGATGAAATTCGCGAGTTCCGTCGGGAAATCTGGGAGACAACGGCAAACCAATTGGTGGCAGCCCGCGCCCAAAGCCGGGGTCGTGAAGGCCCCTTTTGGCTTTGGGGTGGCGACACTCCCACCGAAGCCGACACCGTCCTGTTTGGGTTCATAATTTCTGGTCTGGTGTGCACTGCGTACGTTAATACCCATTGTTTGTCTATTCTTGCGCTAACATGTGAATAGGGGCTTGGTTTCTAGACAGGATATCAAAAGCTATCCTGTTCTTGTTGATTACGCGCGAAGAATCCATGATCATTACTTCCCCGACTACGAACTTTGGGAATAAATGATCATATTCTTCGATCTTTAGAACTGTTAATATTATATGCTCCCTACATAGGCTAATGTAACTTTTCAATCTTGCTGAATTCTTTTATGCGCGATGAAAGGGAGCTGCTTTCGAACGCTTGAGGTTTCAAGCTCTAACAAGTGTAGAATCGATTATTCACAATAGGGATTGTCTGACGCCTTGGGCCCCCAATTTTGAGATCAAAGATGGCCGAAAGGAGTCGAATCATGGTTTCACTTAAAACAATACAATGGCATTTCATTCAAGTCCAAACAAAGGAGTTGAAGACCGTTGGCAGACGAGTCCAGTGAAAGAAAGGTATTCAAATACCCCTGTAAATCCTTCCATAACCTGATTATTCTACTGCTGAAATCTGTTGAGTTGTCTTGCTAACTTTTGATTGAATCTGTCCCACTTCACAAACACCAAGTCCCAATGGCGACCATCCGATCAAAGGGTAAAACCAGATTCCGGGAGCCCTTTCCAAAGGCCCCATCCACCACGCCGGTCAATGCCAAATTCAAGCTCAGGCCTCCCCCTCTGGATCGCAACATCGAGCCTATGGTAGACCTCGAAGATGAGTCTCCAATCACCCCCTTGGATGAAGTCGCAAGAGGGTCCGTCTCTGACAAGCGGGGACTCGAGCTGGAGTTTGAGAGCATCCAGAGGCACCACATAGCAAGGGACAACATGCACGATTTTCTCGTCGATTGCGAACAGTCGATCGTTGACTTGACAGACGTCGGCAGCAAGGTTAACGCAGAGCTCCGGGAGCTGAAGGTGAAATACACAAAGGCACAGCAGGTTGGGGCTGTGAGAGAGGACTATATCACGCAAATGCATCACTTGCATGATGGGCTAAACGACGCATTTCTATTGTCAGAGGTAGAAAGGGATCGACGTGAATACGAGATTTCTTGGGAAATTAAGCGGACGCATGAAAGGGCAGCGCATCTTGAAGATTTACTCGCTTTTATGCTCGACGGTCTAGATGATGTCTTCAGCTGGCACATGAAAGACCGGGACGAAATATTTGAGGCACTGAATGTCATTGAGGAGCACGTCGATGACGAGAACGAACAGCTCTGGTGCCTCTATCTCTTCCTTAAAGACGCTGAAGAATCTGTGTGGAACCTCGATGTGCCCTCCAAAGATGGCATATATGCAGATGAGGTTTATTTAGCAGGAGGCCGAGCTCTTCTTGACCGGGGAGATACGATGGCTCGGATGGCCATGGATTGTTCCCCGGACAGTTTTCAGATAGACGCTAATGGGGATGTCAGCATGGAAAACGCGCCTATATGCCTGGACGAGGAGCACATCGAGGTAGATGCCGATGGAGACGCCATAATGCGAGAAGCACATGTGGAAAGACAAGTCGATACGGACCAGCAACGGCTCCGGATTGGACGTCCCAATGTCCCAGACTTGCCAGAATCGGCCCCATTTTGCTCGAGATCGAAGCCGCGAGGTGAACTCTTAAATTGGGATACGATGTTGTTTCGTTCGCCGGTTACCTCGCCTCTAACCTCGCCTCTCCCTATGGGCGTTTGTGAGATGCTCTTGAGAACACACATCGAAAAACCACCGTCATACTTGCTAGAAAAGCCACCGCCTCCTCCATCGAAACGAATTCGCCTAAATCGACCCTGTTTCCCAGTATGGGGTTCCTGCAAGGAGGAGGAGATTCTTGCTAGGCAACAGCTCAAACAGGGACCGTTTTTAGGGCACGGGGGTCTCAGACGAACCGATCGACCTCCACCTGAGATGCTCGCTATTGTGAATGCCACTTCCAACCCCGAGGCTAACATGAATTGGGAAATTCGTGGTAATCGGGGCCGAACTCTGTCAGTCCGCAATTGGCCCAAGGAGATGATGCCGGGGTCATGGCCCGAGAAACCGGAGGAAGCCGGAGAGGGCTATACCACCATTCATTATAATGAGCTCTGGCATTCGCTGATTGATTGGATGATAAGTGCTTATCAAGAAGTGCTAGCGAAGCCGGAGGAGTATGCGACAACCATCATGGGTATGGGCGTGATGATGTGGCTTGCGTATTATTTGCGTGTTTACGAGGACTGGATGGTGGCCAACGATGTCCCGTTGGCATCGAGTTGCCTGTACAAGATGAAGGTTTCAGAGATACAGCTAGGGGAGAAGGCCTTGTTCGGCGTTAACAGGTGGCTGGACTACGAGCGGCCGTGGACAGGTTGAGACTGATCTTTCGGTCTTGCACTCCGTTTGAGGGAAAGCGCGCGCCCGTCCATGTCGAGTGTGGATCACGATCGCGTGGGCGTACTGTAAATACACCGGCACGCTACAATTGAATTAGAAATGCATGACGACTGGGCGGACGCGTACGGTAAGATTGTCACGAATGGTACCACCGCCCGCGAATCACGTCACGAGATACGCAGCAGCTGGCGTCACCAGCTCCACTTTCGCCCCATATGCGGGCGACAGATCATCTCCACTGCCTCCCCCCTCTAAACTTCTTATTCTAAACTTCATTCTTCAAACTTCAAACTTCAAACTTCAAACTTATCTTACCTCCCCTGTCTTCGACGTCCGCTCTTTATTCCACAATGTATGTTCGCTCCATCCTTCTGGGTGGTGCGGCCGCTCTGGGCGCCAGCGCCATGCTGGTCATCCCTGAGATGGAGCCCCAGGTGGAAGCCGTCGAGGACGGTTTCATGAACATTCACCCCCTGCTCCTCGAAGACACCCGCCATGCCATCGTCGACCTGCCTTGCACTGAGTGCCCCGTCCGCCAGGTTGATGAGGAAGGTGCTGTCAGCTGGGCTGATGGCAAGCCGTCGTCACTGGTACGTCAGGTTGAACCCGTCGAGAGTGCGCTTACTGACCATCAAGATGCTCGACTTCTCCATTGAAGACAACCGCCTGCTGGCCAACGGCCGCCAGATCTTCCCTCCAGTCGCTCCCAGCCCTATCGATGTCATTCAGGAAATCGAAGATGGTGAAGTAGCCGGCCCCATGCCGGTTGGCTACGCCCTCGAGGTCATGCCCTTGCCAACCTCTGACGACCCAACCGCCGCCGACCTTCTCAATGTCCGATTCACAATTCTAGACTTGGAGACTCATCCGGTCCCCGTCGACACCGTCGCCATTACCCTCATCCAGGACCCCGCCGGTCAGTTGTATATCGCCAAAACCGAGATCGACGAGACCGCGTCCCCCACCGACCGTTTGTCCTGGAAGAAGTGCAACGGCAAGCCCAAGTGCCTCCAGAAGCTCCTTATCTCCCGTGTTCGTGGCCTTCTGGCCGCTGCGAAGGAGCGTATTATGGGAATGGGCCCGGGCTCCAAGGCCGGCCGCAAGGGCTGCCACGGAAAGCCCAAGGGCTTGAAGGGTATGCTGGGCATGGGCGGTCACCACAAGCACCATGATGAGGCTGGCCCTGAGGGCATGTCCTTCCACGACTTCGAAGGCCCCAAGGGACATCATCACCATGGCCACTTTGATTCCGAAAGTGCCGACCGTCCCCCCCACCACATGCATCACGGTCACCATCGCGGCGCTTTCGCCCACACCTTCTCTCGCATTGTGCGCTTCATTCTCGTGCCCGCTGTTCTCGGTGTTCTGGCTGGTCTCACCGCCAGCGCCGTCGGCATGCTTTTCGGCCAGGCCGTTGTCTTCCTGTGGCAGCGGTACCGCGGCACCAAGTCCCAGGAGCACATGGCTGCTTGGGAGCAGGGTGAGGCCTGTGAGAAGCAGGGTCTGATGGCCGAGACCGAAGAAGTTCTCCCCGAATACATCGAGGAGTCCTCGCAGACCCGGGAATCTATGGATAAGAACTAGATTGGTTCACTAATGGACCCGTCTCTGATCCTCCTCATTTCTTGAACGCATGGAACAGCAAAAAGTTGCTTTTGAGTCTGACTACGAGACTGATATTGCTTCAGACTTTGTTCACTGCCATGTGTTGTTTTCCTTTTCTTTACTGTAGTCATGTCCAGCTTGTACAGCGATTTTCCTTATAATGAACTTTTCTTCCATAGAAGCAACTCCTTCGTCACCATCTGTAGATTCTAAGCATTTCATTCTCCTTTCAGCAATAACCCATGCTGTTGGAATATCTCGTAGACGACGAACTCGTAACATAGGGCTGATCATCACGTGACATGGAATCAGCATCACTCTCCCCCTCTTATCGATCCGACAACAACACCCATCCCCACGTTCTCCGAGCTGCACGTTCAAAGCTCTACCAACGATGATTGGGGCTGTACAATGACCCTGAAGCTTTCTACTGAACAGATATCGGGTTAATCAACACTCTTTCCGCCCGCATCGGCTGGCCGTGCTTGCGTCTCTAGCTCCGCTCCCGTCCTCCACCGGACCTCCGTACCTGTTGAACGTCGAGTCCGACTCAGACCGGCATCTGCCCACTACCATGTCGTGGTCCTCCTTTGTGCAGAAGGCTCAATCACTGATTGACCCTGCCAACTTCAATATCCCTTCCCTCTCCTCCGACAACCACAATCCCTCCAAAGCCTCCCTCTTCCGCCAGCAATTTCGCCTGCCCGATTCTCAGAATCCCCTGCAGGAGATCACTGCCGACCTCGTCCTCCCTCTACCAAACACTGCCAGCTCTGGAGAAGGTCCCCGCAAGGTTAACCGGCCAGGTAATCGGTATACTGGGCGTCTGCACCTCAGTGAGCGGTTTATCTGCTTCTCCACACAGCCAACGAGCTTCCTACCCTCCTCCACCCTCAGTGCGTCGACCAATTTTACCGGACAAACGCACGGCACTGGCCCTTCCGGCAATGGCTTCACGCTGCCCTTGTCATGTATTCGCCGCGTCGAACGACTTCACAGCGCCAGCCATGTTTTCTCCCTGGCATTGACAACATGGAATGGGTTGTTGAACAAACAGCAGGAACCCAACTTTGTGCCTCAGCGCCTAATTCTACAGCTTGTCGGTAGCAGACAAGCTTGCGAGCGATTCTGCGATTGCCTCAAGAAAGGCCTGAGGGAAGGCATGAAGGAAGTTGACAATTTGCGGTCTGTCGTTTCGGATTGCTACTCAGAGTATTTGCTTTCGGGTGCGCGGGGGAAGCCACTGGAGGAGCAGGGGGAGAATGCTCGTCCGCCCCCAGATGCAGGGCTGGGCATGCTCTTCCGTTATCCTGGCGATGCGCGCAAGCTCCGGGACCGTAGCAAAATGCGGCTTTGGGGCGAGTATTTCCGAGGTACGCTCATGAAATAGCTATTGCCTTGTTTTCTTTCAGCTAATTTGTTCTCAGAAAACGGCCGCAATGCCACGCTTGTCCGGCAACCCACATTTCATAAGCTGATCAGAGTTGGTTTGCCGAATCGATTGCGTGGAGAGATCTGGGAACTTTCATCCGGTTCTTTTTTCCTTCGCCTCCGCTCACCCAAGCTATACCAGGAGACATTAGCCCAGTTCCAGGGCCAGGAATCCCTTGCTATTGATGAGATTGAAAAAGATCTGAACCGCAGTCTACCAGAGTATCCGGGATTCCAGAGCGAGGAGGGTATTGGTCGCTTGCGTCGCGTTCTCACAGCATACAGCTGGACCAATGCCGAAATTGGATATTGTCAAGCCATGAATATCGTGGTCGCAGCATTGTTAATGTTTGTCACAACGGCTCTTCCTGAAACATCAACCAAGTACTGACTCGAAACAGATATACGTCCGAATCTCAGGCATTTTTCCTACTCTCCATGCTCTGTGATCGTCTCCTTCCCGGATACTACTCTACCACCATGTATGGTACTCTTCTCGACCAAAAAGTGTTTGAATCTCTCGTGGAAAAGACCATGCCAGTTCTTTGGGAACACCTCGCCAAGTCCGATGTACAGCTTTCCGTCGTTTCTCTTCCGTGGTTCCTCTCCCTTTATATCAACTCCATGCCTCTCGTCTTTGCATTCCGTGTTTTGGACGTTTTCTTCTTGGAAGGCCCCAAGGTGCTGTTCCAGGTTGGTCTGGCGATTCTTCGGGTCAACGGCGAGGAGCTTTTGGATATTCAGGATGATGGATCTTTCATCTCTGTTCTGAAGTCTTACTTCTCCCGTCTGGATGAATCCGCGCATCCCAGATCGGAGAATCCGAAGTTGCGGGCCATCACACGATTCCAAGAATTGATGGTTGTGGCTTTCAAGGAATTTTCTGGAATCACACACAGCACCATTGTCGAACAGCGCGAGAAGCACAAGGACGCTGTTTTGGAGAGTATTGAAAGCTTCGCTAAGCGTACTTCCATTCGCAACCTTGGCCCCGAGAGTAAGCGTCTAAGTGTCGACGACCTCGGCACCATCTATGATCGCTTCTACGATACCTTGTATCAATGGCAGCAGCACCAGAGACTCGTCGAGGAAGAAAGAAAGCGACAGGAAAAGAAGAAATCCGAGCGTCTCTCCACCCTTGGGCCTCCTGCAAATGCGGAGATGGGCCGTGTTGGCCTCGGACCTAGTCCCACTCACATGGACTACGATGCCTTCAGGGAATTCTTGGCTGCTACCTCAAAATGGGCTGTCTCGGACACGCCCGCCGGATCTCGGAAAGATTCTCAGGGCTACAGCAGTCTCAGGGGGCCCAACAAGTCACTGCTTTGGGCCAACCGTCGACAACCAGCAGACCACGAGTTTATGCAGCGCCTGTACCGCAAGTGGTCTACTGACCCCGAGGAAGGCTTGAATTTGCAGAACGTTGTCAACGGTCTGGCTCGTCTCAAGGGATCACCGGACATCATGAATAACATCAACTATTTCTTCGACCTGTATGATGACAGTGGCAATGGCCAAGTTGACCGAGAGGGGATTCTCAAAATTTCCGAGGCACTACTTTTCCTATCACGCCGTGGGTTCGAGGGCACTATCACTGCTACTCAGTCCCTAGAAGATCTGAACGGCATTAGTGACCGCGAGCATGCCGAGCAAAACAGACTTACCGTTGACGAGAGGTTTTTGGGTAGTGTCAGCGCGTTCATTCGTCGCTGCTTCGAATACGCCGACCCCAGCCACCCTGAGAACCAGAAGGCCGCCAAACAGGATGGCGCTACGGAAGTCACAGAAAAGCTTGACTCTTTCGCCATCGGCGACGATGAAGAAGACTTGATCGACGTTGACGACAACAAGGAAAATAAATCCTCTCCTCCAGAGGCCTCTCAACCAGCAGCATCCACCGAGGCCGCTCGGCACCGGTCAACATCCGAATCGGCCAACCCGGCCCTCGACCCTAACAACCCTCTTCACATTACCCTCCCAACTTTCCGAATGGTCGTCCTAGCGGACGAGCTCCTCGAACAATTCTTCGAGTCCTACTTCCCTCAGTCCTTCCACCTGTCCGACTACCCACATCCAGCCGCGCTCGCCGCATCCTCATCCCTCTCCTCTAACCTCACAACCTTCTCAAATATCGGGAGCGCCAAACCTTCCAACGTCACCGCAGCCGGAGCCGTATCCGTCGCCGGAGCTTCCGGAGGCATCGTCCCACCCGGCAAAGGTCTCCGCGGAGTCCTGGACAACATCGTCACAGACGGTATCCGCATGGCAGCCGAAGTCAAGAAGCGCATGGACGAAGCCCAGCGCGACCTTGAACGCAACGCTCTCGGCCGTGAAGAGGATGACGAAGAGGACGACGAAGATGACTTCCGCCGTGGCTCCGCTGCCGCCATGGCCGGTGGTATCTCCAGCTGGGGCGCAGGCGCATACGGTGCGGACCCCCAACGCGGCGGCGTGCGCGATGCCGACCGCGATCTCCTCGAGGGTGCAGAGGTTGTCAGCGTCCGCGGTAAAGACGAGGCGTCTTCTCTTCTTGATGTAAAGGAAGGAGCTGACAAGCCTGACACTGGAGGGAACGGGAATGACATATCAGCGCATGATGCCGAGGTTGTCAGCAAGGTTGTTGAATTTGAATCATGATGATATCCTCTCCTTTCTGTTTTGCTTGGGTTCGGGGAGAAATTCATTTCATTCTCTGTCTGTTATGCGTTCTTTTGGTCCTGAGCTATGTGAAATTATACACTTGCGTTGGTGCATCCGGTCCCGCATTGAGGTACTAGGTTAGATAGATACCTTTATAAAGCTCCAAGGCTGCATTTATTATTTTCTTGATCATGAATTGTCCGTTGTAAACGGCAGACCTGTGAATTGCTTGTTCGAGTTCGTTTTGCTTTGTTAGGCTTAGCGCCCTAATACAGTGGCACCACACAAGTCTCCAACCCCCCTACACACCGCCCTTTCCAATCTAATATACCGCCTACCCTACCTGGAATGATAGGAATCCTACAAAGAGCCACGCTCATCGTGTTGCATAAGATTTTTGGATTCTTACGACCATATCATCTTTTGGAACATTTTTTGGAACATCTTGCGGAACATTTTCTTGGCCTTATTTCAGAGCCAAATAGTTGGTTTAACAAGTATTAGTGATGGTAGCCAAGTTTGGACCAGTAGAAAATGCGGCAGAATGAAAGACGGGTCTGTAGGGGGTCGGAGACTTGTGTGGTGCCACTGTACGCCGTCACTAACCTCCCCCTCTCTGACAGCCCGACATAACTTTGGACGAAGTATATCGAGTTCGCAAATAGGAAGAGAAGCTTATAGATAGGGCAAATTGTAAGTTGTTTTCTCTACTGGCTGTTATAATAATGAGGCTTACACTCAACAGATGTCCATACATGGGCTGCTATTTCCCCTGTGCAACCGAGGATAGAATTGAGGGTCTTCGGGCAAGTCCGGGCAAATCACCAATAACACAAGTACGCCCTGAAATTTCGCAGCATAGTGGATCATTTTTAACTTGCCTTAACTTGCCGAGATGCGGCTAACAATCGCTTCAAGTACGAGCTAATAAAGCGTCCATAACGGTGCGGCTCGGGGGTAGTGAATTACGTTTAGACTAGAAATGTCGCCCATGGTGTATTTTTGTTCTAGCGGTATTTTGCCTAAGCGACATCTCCGTACTCCGGAGCAGTGGGGGCTTCTCTCTAGGGGTCAGAGTCTTCTTTTCCTACTACCTTCGTGCTCGTTTCGCTACGTCTCTGGATCATGTCCTATAGCCACCTTGATACCCCATGGGTGGAAAATCCCCGGGAATCTGCAGAGAACGCTCTCCATGACGAACATGGTACCAGGCTCTATGAGAACGATACTGAGGACCTTCTGTTCTCAATAATTCATCTCAATGACCTCCCCAGACTGAAGCAATATCTTTCTGTCTATTCTCCGCGCCTGGATATTGAACATAAAGTATTTAATGACCCGCTCTCTATCGTCGCGTCGCAGGGACGCACTGATGTTCTCCGTGTTCTCGTGGACTACTACAAGACCGACTCGACACAAGTGCCGCTCCATCAGCGAAAGTTCTCATTGTTGACTGCGGCATGCGGGGAGACCCAGCTCGAGACAGCGCGATTTATTCTGGACAATCAGCCTGCACTCTATTCAACCCATATTGCCCAATTGTACCGTGATGAAGCGCTGCTGGCGACTGCTAGAGCTCTGAGTTCTTTGCCCCCCTACCGTGCCAATCATGAGACGCCAGGGGATTCTGATCACTGGATAAGCAACCGTGTCGCCTGTGGCGAAGAATTAATATGCTTACTCCTCGATGGCGGTGCGTCCGCCCAGGCGGCTGAAATCCCCAGGACGCACGTGGAATGGGCGACTGTGCTAGTCTCTGGAGGGTCTGCAATCCGACATGATGACTGCGACAACCAACCACTGCAGTCTTTTGGTACAGTTCTTGGTCTAGCCTCCTCTCGAGTCGGCTCCGCATTGGTGAAACGACTCATTGACCAAGGCGCCAATGTACACGCCAAGGAACAGTACTATTACGATCCTTCATCCGCATTTTGGCGGATAGAACTTCCGTCGGACGTCACTGCACTTCACATTAGCAGTATGTATTGGAATACGGAGGTCATCCAGACGCTTCTTGACTATAGTGGAAGAAGTAATATTGAAGCACTATCATGCCGCGACAGTAATGGGCGTCTACCTCTTCACTGGGCAGCTGCGGGCCCAGGCTCACATGAATGCTGGCTTCCTGACGAGAAAATCAACAATCGGATCATTGTTGCCCTCAAACTACTCTGCTCTAGTAGCGATATCAATGCTCGGGACAACAGGGGCGAGACTCCTTTACATCACGCTGTAAAAGGCCATGCCGGTTGTGGTCAGAGCATACACTTTGATAGTACGCTGAAGTTCTTTCTGGAGAATGGGGCGCATGCAGATTTAGTTGACGGCAATGATCAAACCGTGCTACATAAGCTAGCTGCCCGCTGCCTGGATGGTGATCCAATCGACACCTCTCTGATGGATAGTCTTCTTTCACACGGTGCCAAAATGTTGATCAACCAACAAGACATAGACGGAAATACAGCGTTGCATCTTATGGCCAGGAATCTACGCCAAACCCAGGCAACCCGATTTCTGATTTCTCAAGGCGCGAATGTGTCTCTCGTCAATGGCAAAGGCAATACAGCCTTCCATGAATGTTTGACAATGGGAACGATCCTGCAAAGGCAGACGAGTAACGGAAGTGTGAAAGCCACATACGCGGACATGAGAAGAGCGCTGGATGAAATGATTGCTATTTTGCTACAGGTAGGGGACGATGCTATGATGGATCAGACCAATCTAGCGGGTGAGACGCCGAGACAGCTGCAGTCTAAGAAACTGGCCCAGTGGCAGGAAATGGAGTTACGTGAGATCGCGAGAAACAGTTAATCCATCACATATTATTTCTATAACGGAAAAATCTCGAGTGAACCTATTGATGACGATACATAATATAGAAGATTCGGAAACCGAGACTATCTTTGTAGTAAAGCAACTGAACATCTCTGTAGTAAGTCGCGTGATAAGCCCTAACAGCCGAGATGTACCCAGCCGCTGAAGCTCAAAAACATTTAAATGTATCCATGGGATAATAATATTTACTCTTCAGAGTGATGGCTTGTAAATTATTGGACATGTCAGTTGTCGACCTTGCTCGGCATTTGTCCTTCCCATTGAGACTTAGCAGCAGCGAAGAGCTTGTCATTGATCAACATGTCCCAGCCAAGGAGAGCCAGCCCTTTGCCAACAATAACGGCCTCCTGGTGAGCTTCATCAGTACCAGCACAGGCAGTAAAGGAAGGATGATGTGGGTAGGAGCCCTCAGGTGTTGGAATGGCAAACGTAGAGTGAAGTGTGGGAACAGCATAGCTGACGTTTCCTGCAATTGTATCAATACAAACTTCTGCAACATAGGGGATTTCCCAGGTGGATTGTCACTTACCAACATCGGAGGAACCGGTTAAGACCTTATCGTACTTTTTAATGATGGTTTTACCATATCCTTCCATGTGGGTGGTATATCGCTCGCAAAGAGTGTCGTTCAGGACAATGTCGGTATAAAGTCCCTCTCTGTTGGAATAGCACTTATTAGCATGCATTACTTAGATGTCACGCAGCAAGACTAACTCTGCAATCTTCAATGTGCAGCCGCTGGTGGTAGCAGCACCTTCCATACACCGACGAACTCTCGCCATAAGCTTGTTGATCCCATCCAAAGTAGGACTCCGGACCTGCCAATAAGACTTCGTGTATGCGGGAATGATGTTGGCAACCTTAGGCACATCCAAAAATGCACCGTGTACTCGTTCATCGGGGAGGATATGCTGTCTCAAGGTGGAGACTGCGTTGTATGCGGTCACCAGAGCATCCAGCGCATTAACACCCTCCCATGGGTTTCCTCCGGCATGTGCGTTATTTCCAAAGTACTCCACCCAAAGCTCCTTGCGGGCATTCATGAGGACGCCAGCTACACCGTCGGCAGGAATTCCAACCATCTTCTTCGGTCCTCCGTGACTAATGACGTTTAGCTTGGTCCAGATGCGCCGAAATCATCGAGAAAGGAATATGTACGCCATCAGGGAAACATCAACCTGCTTGTAAGCTCCAGTGTCAAGCAATTTGGCCTTGCCTCCCCCATTTTCCTCCGCGGGTGTGCCGAGCAACTGAATGCGACCGCCAATTCCAAACTCCTTCTGCAGATGGCTCAAAGCCAAAAATGCCGCAATGCTGCTGGTAGCAATCAGATTATGTCCACAGGCATGTCCAATGTCAGGCAACGCGTCGTATTCGGCATTAAAATTGACCATGCGGCCTTCCGTGCCACTAATGCATTCGAAGCTGGTCTCAACACCGTAGGCATGTCGTGTTACGGCGAATCCTTGGCTTTCCAGGAAGTCGCAGATGTTATTGTGAGCTTGGTGCTCTTCGTACGCAAGTTCGGGGTTGGACCAGATCTGCACTCATGATTGTTAGCAATCGCATTGGCTATGACTTTTGTCGAGTGGAATGAAATCTCACAGCATGGTTCAATTCGCGGAGTTGCTCAGCAACCTTATCCAGGGCAGTGTCGATTGAACTTCTAACTTGCGTGTTTGACATTGTAAGGGTTTGGACTCGAGTCATCTTGATAAATATTCTGAAAAGCTTGGCTATTGATCAAGTCCTATCAGTACCTAAAGCAGATAACTTGACAAAAAAATTTGTTGGATGGCATTATGTCCCCCACGCGACTTGTGGGTTCTTATATCTGGATGTGACCGTGCACTACCCTCTCCTGGTCCCAACTGCGATCGGAAGACACGGCAACCATAGCACGAGGCCATCAACATGAGTCCGCATAAACAATTATGCCTCCAGGACATGAACTGCTGCTTTTCAAACGCTTCCCGGATAACCAAATCCTCAGTCAGGTCGAAGTTAGATCCTGAATTTACTAATTCATAACCTCTATATATGTTTGTATCGTTATCCTTGTTCATCCGGGGGGAGCATAAGATAACGAGCACCAATGCGGGGGCGGCGATTAACTTTCATAGTTGCCGACGTTACGCTAGAAATCAAAACACTAACCAATCGCCTATAAAATGATTGCCGACCCAAGCACCCTGATCGTGTCTTTTGCCGAGTTGACGCTTCCCCTCTATCGGTACAAATCACAATTCCCGTACGGATTTCCCGAATCCCCTACGGGGATTGCTCACGGCAGTTAGTTAAACTTTGAAGAACCATTGTATAAAAGATCTGCCCTTGTCTTTGGCATGGCCCTCTGATCCCGTTGAGAATCTTGGAAACAATACTATACTATATTAAATTTTATCTCTGGACTTTGAATCATCCCAATTATGCAGCTACCGCAATCAGACTCCCCTCCATATAACGAAAAGGAGCCATATGTCGCAAAGGAAACGACTCAAGATGCTGGTATTGGAGACTTTCTCGAGTATCAGGCATCTCCTGAAGAGGAACGCCAACTGCTTCGGAAACTAGATCTATTGTAAGCATGCAAAGGTTCTTGGGCAATGTCATTTTGTGAATATAACAAGACGAATGCTGATTCCTATTTCATAGCATGATCCCAATTATGGGATTTTGCTATATGCTTCAATACATGGATAAACTGGCTATAAGTCAAGCGACTCTCTTGAACATGCGAGCCGACCTTGTTAGTCTACCTCGCATGGATCTAATGTAATTTTTATTACTTGTTGTGAAATGCTAATATTTTGAAAAAGGATCTTGTTGGCTCACAATATACATGGTGCTCCGCCATATTTTACTTCGGGTATCTAGCCTGGAGCTGGCCTACATCTTATTTGATTGTTCGTCTTCCGCTAGGAAAATACTTGGCAGTATCTGTGTAGGTCCCTCTATCACTTCAAGTACCTGGAATTATTTTCTTAATGAAACTAACTGAATAGGTTTTTGTGGGGTGGTATTCTGATGTGCCACGCAGCTTGCGAGAGCTTTGCTGGGTTGATCACTGCACGATTTTTCCTCGGAGTTGCTGAGGCTGCCGTCGCACCAGGCTTCGGATTGATTACTGGAATGTTCTATAAGCGCGAGGAGCAGCCAGCACGGTATTTACTTCATGTTTTAACCCAAAACCTACAATTGGAGCTAACATGGATAATTCTTTTTAGTCAAGCTGCATGGTTCATCGGCAACTGCGTCGCCAACATAATCGGTGGTGTCATTGCATATGGAATTGGACATGCTTCCTCAAGTCTGCAAAGCTGGCGTCTCTTGTTTCTCGCACTGGGAGCCATAACCTCCGGATATTCCGTGCTCTTATTTTTCGTACTCCCTGATTCACCCGCTACAGCTTCTTTCCTTACACCTACGGAGCGAACAATTGCAGTGCAGAGAACTCTGACAAACAAGACCGGCGCGGCTAACGCCAGCGAATTTGATTGGAGCCAGGTTTTGGACACAGTAAAGGACCCGCAAGCATGGCTTATGGTATTCTACACATTTTGCGTGAATCTTGCCAATGGTGGACTTACTAGCGTGGGTGGATACTATGTCTTATGTCTTTATCAAGTGAACTAATTATATGCTAACAAGGTCTACAGTTCGGTGCCATCATTGTTGAAGGATTTGGCTTCCCTGCTTTCAAATCGTTGCTGATTCAGATGCCAATTGGCCTTTCTCAACTCGTTTTCCTCATAATTACTGCGGCTATGGCAACATACATCCCAAATTCTCGCATCCCGGGAATGATACTCAACGTCATAGTTGCCGTCATTGGTGTCGTTATGATATACACACTCGATGATGCCCACAAGGTTTCAAAGATGGTTGGTTTGTGCTTTGTCGCGGCTTTTGCTGCCAACATTCCACTCATGCTGAGTATCGTCAGCTCAAATGTGGCTGGTGTTACGAAGAGAAGTACAATCAGTGTTGCGGTGTTTGCTGCGTATTGCGTAGGCAATATTGTGGGACCACAATTCTTTTTAGCTTCTCAGGATCCTGTTTATGAGGTACGTACTCCTACCTGATTCACGTTTAATGACCAAATTTTTAACAGTTGATTAGAGTGGCATCGAGGCGTCCCTATGCGGACTTGTGTTGGGTGTTTTCTTCCTTGGCTTACTTATCACATTCTACATTTGGGAGAACAAACGGCGAGACTCTAAGCAGGGTCGGGTGGTGGAGAATTCCGACCTGCTCGATCTTGTTGCAGAACAAGCCAACAAGACCGATCGGCAGATTCCTAGCTTCCGCTATGTTATTTAAGCAGCTTTATTAGTTCCTCTTGGGGAGTGTAAAATCATTCTCTGGCTACAATACCATTGCCATAATACATAGGAGGTTAGATGCCCATTTACTACGTGTGCTCAGATAAAGGTGCTCAGTCCTTGACAGCTATCAGTTGATCTTTTATAACACGATATCAATTTTTTCTCTCCAGCAACTGAGAAACGCCCCGCATCGTGTGGGATTCACCAGGATACCAGCCATTTGTTCCAAGGAAATTGATATCCTGTCACGTCACAGTGAGGGGTGAGGGGCCCGGTGCTCAATTTCGTGAATCCCGATTCAATCGTTTCCAAAGCCAACAACACTATTCCCCTACCCCCAAATACATCCTAATACTTTGCATGATTTGAGCAAAAAGTAGCCAATCTTTTTCATTGAAAGCGAAGTAGCCTACAACCGCGAAAAAATAAACGTTGAAGAGAAGAGAGACAACTTGAGGAGAGTGGTTAAGGAGAATGGTGATCAACCATTCAATAACGTCCTGTTGACTCACTGTTGGTTACTATTGTTCTCCTTTCATGAAGATCACCGGCAAAAACGAGCTGCTGATCAATTGTTTTCGCCATTTCCGCTCAACTCTTGAATTTTCGCTGAGTTCAGCTTCGTACACCTACACCCCCGCCCCGGAGCCGACCAAGCAGTCGGTCTAGCGCGTTTAGCCCAAAACCCCCAAAAACAAGCATTCAAGAAACATCTACCGGGAGGATGGCACCTCGTATTCTATGCTGTAGAAACATAGTCTTTGGAAAATAGAGCCGTACACGGCCTCGGCCAGAATCTGATTGAGTTCAAAATGCATAGATTGCAATAGGTTGACTAAATAATAAATGTCGTTAGAGTCGTGAGATGGCACGGTCACAATTTTATGTACAAGCATGTCATCAAAACAGCGCTCTGCATCAGAAGGGAAAATGCATGCCAATACGCGTCAATGCCTTGCGTCCAAGTCCGAACATGAAGAAGGGGTTGGAAAATAAGATGTGGTAGGGCGAAGAGTTGGTATGGGAGAAAAAGAGAAGTAAACAAGTATCTCGAATTAATAGACAAGTGGAAAGGCCGATGGGAAGTGAAGGCGCAGGATATAAGGTTTGATTAGTCCTTCTGTCCCTCGTTCTCAACCAACTCCAAGACGATCTGGCTGCGCTCGTACTCGGGGTGCTGCATGCAGATCTTGACTGTGTGTGCAGCGTCACTACAAGAGGTGCCATTGGAGCCGGGGAAGCCACTCATATTGGAAGATGGAGTAGCCTGACCGAATGATCCAGGCAATTTGCTGCCATCATCCAAACAGACAACGCCGTGGCCGGGGATGACTTGTCTGAGGCGACCGTTCATAGCGTTACGAACCTCGACGAAGTCGTCATTGAAGAGGATGAGGAATTTGCCATACAGACACGCAGTGTGTGCACTGCCGACGAACTCCATGACCACGCTGCGAGAGACGTCGCCGTGCTTGTTGACGTACACAGCACATTCCTGGTACGCGACTATGAACTCGCTGTCGCTGAGACGGAACATGCCGAGCGGCCGGAGGCCTTGAATGCGGTGGGAGATGCTATACAGGGTATCGTGGGCTTCTTGGGATTCGGAACGGAAGTCGGGGACGGACCAGGACTGCTTTTTGTCCAGGGTGAGGACTTCGATGCCACGTTGGGTGGAGATAGCCAGGGAGGAGTGGAACATGTTGATGCCGTAGCTTTCGGCAGGGATGTAAAACTCGTCGTATTCGCGGAAGAACTCGGTTTGAGAGCGGCGAGATTGGAAGAGGCGTGTCTTGCTGGATGAGGATTTTTGAAGGATGGGCTCGAGGACCTTGAATGTGGAGGAAAGACCGTCTCGTTTCTTGTACAAGACCAGGTACCGGTCTTTCATGCGTCCTGCGGCAAAGAAGCCCACTTCGCGGTTGCCGGATAGCTTCTGAGGAGCTCGGCGGGCGGAATCTTGCGATTGGGCTACCCCACTAGCAGGACATACCACGTCGAGATGGTAGGCAATCAAGGAGCGGTCGGCAATAAGCAAGAATAGATTGAATTCTTCAAACACGGCGACCTGTGTTACCCGCATTATAGGGATGGCCTGGACAAGTTAGTGATAATCTGAAATCAAGTTGAGCAACCACAAGCACTTACCCGATACCAACCGCGCGGGTTACTAAGATCAGACATGTAAACGCCGTAATCCGTTCCGATTGCGCACATCATTCGACCCGGAGGCTGCTGGAATACCGTAGCACAGTTCACACCAGTCTTACAGACAGGCGGAGGTCGAGGCCCGGAATCTGCATACTTTTTCTCCACTTCCTTGATAGCACGATTCAGCGGGGTTCCCTTGATGGTCACGCTCTTCGAACCAGCCGTGTGGTCGGAATAAGCAAATGCAGTATCTGCAAGAACACGCAGACGGAAAGGCTCGGCATTCTGTGAGAATAGAGCTGCAGCGTGTTTGGTCTTTGCCTCAATAATCTTCTCGCACCATTCCTTACGGCTCTGCGCAGAGGCGGCGTACAAAGTGTATGTGCCGTTCTTGCCAAGATGCTTTATCTTGAAGGGATAAAGGATCTTGTCATCTTTGGGGTCCAGAACTGCGGTAGGGCCATTCGTGGGAGCGCCACTATGCGTCAGGGGACTCATGCTACCTTGGGCCTGAGTCACTGTTGATACCCCACGAACAGATGACTTCACAACGGGATCGTCGCGGGTGCTTTCCAACGCCAGCAGATCCATCGGAATGGGCAACTTCGAGACATCATACCGTTCGTACTTGGCCGTGCGCGATGGGTCACGGGTGGTAAATGACTTGGCAAGAACGAAATAGTGGTCAAATAGGATAGCATGGGTGTCGACGAGGAATCGAGTCCGTGTTCCTGGGCGCTGAAGATCACCTCGGAAGATGACTTCACGGCCCAGGTGCTCGAGGTTGAGCTCAACTTCCTTCTTCATTTCTGGTCGCAGCTGTAGCTTGGCCGAGAGCTCCATCAAGTCGGCTTTCTTGTTCATCTCGCCAACTTTGTTGTCACATTCCAATGCGACAATCTTGATTTCATCGATGGCTTGGGCCAAATTGGTCTTTTCTTCGGAGTCTTTGGGCATGTTCTTATGGACGGTAGCTAACAGCAGAGTGTATCGCTGGATTCGCGTGATCGGGGATTTCAGATAAGTGTCCCAACTTAATCGATGGGACAACTTGTGATCGCGCGCGGAGTTCAAGAATGCTTTAAAATGCACGTTGCGCTCGGACTCCTTGCGGACATAATAGTTGGCAGCGGGAAAGTGTGCAGCGTAGTCGATATAGACGCTCTTTGCTTTGCGGATCCACTCTCGGAAAATATCGCTGAAGCCAGCAATGAACGGACCTTGCTCCTTCTGGCGGTATTTGAGCTGCGCCAGGAGGAAGTCCTCGTTGACCCGTTTGACCGCATCGACTTTGCCAAAGACATCAGACAGGAATTTGGTTAGTCGCTTGGCTGGGATGATGGGAGGATTCATGGCAGCAAGCTGGTCACGGTAGAGTTCCCGTAAGACGTCCAGTTGTCCAATATAGGCATCTTCCGTGGTCACAATCTCATGCAAATTATTCTGCCGATCGACCTCCTTCTTTGGATGGGACTCCCACACTTCTTTTGGCACGTTGTAGAAAGTCACCCAATCCTCCATCTTCTTCTGTGGTGCCATCATCTGCGCCTTCAGATTCACCTTCTTCAGGGTTCTCATGCAGTGATAAGAATAGCACCGGCAATAGGAATCGGTGTCCTGAATGTGCAGCTCCTCCTCGTGGAGATTCGACGAGTAGCACCCAGTACCAGTGATCTGAAAGAGGACACCCGAAAGTGTTCCATTGCCTAATCTGACCCACTCCTCTTCCTTAACAAGTGCTTCCTCCTGGAACATACTGTTGACAACACGAGCAGCGAGGGTTTCGGCTTCGGTAGTGTTCATAGTTGGAACCTTATGTGTGAACAGCGCCACAATCGCATCAACAATAGCGGACATCCTGAGATCGGTTTCATCCTCGCTCAAGTCTCGAATCCAAGCCAGAATGGAGCTAAGAGCCCACGGTTCAGTACACTTCTTGAACTGGTCCGACGATAGTTTCGCGGGATTGAACTTCTTGCGGCGCCCTGCGGGAATCGTGGGCAGATCCAGAGCCATCGAAGCGGCCGCTTCGGCTGGATCAATTTTGGGAAGTTCCTTCTGCTTAAGCTGCCACAGAAACTCCTGTTCCTGCTTGTTCCTCAGGCGGTCCGCTTCGGTCTTGGATCTGATAGGTGGATCAGTACGAGGTCCCATGGGCGTCGACAGGGACGACGACCGCGGGACCTGAGAGGGACTGAGTAATGTGTCTCCGTATGAGTCCGCAGACGCTGGTAAGGAGGGTTGTCTATACTGATCATGGCCCTGCGATTCGTCCTGCTCCGGATGTCTATACGTGCCGGCGGGCATCAAATGTGTGAAAAGCTCTTGGTTCGCGGGCTCAACGGGCGCTGGGGGCAACGGGCGCATGCCTGGATGGAAGAAAAGATCTTCATGCGCGGCCCGGTGTGGGCTTTCGTCGTCGGACCGATCTCCGTCCAGATGATGTTCATATGGGCTGTCTCCATCTTCACCATAGTCGAAGCTCATCCGCCGATCATAATTCCCTGGTGCCGAGAATCCGCCGGTGCCACCAGCGTCCACCCGCGCATCAGGTGGCAGGCGATGAAAGCGACTGGCGTATTCGTACGCAATGGCAGGATGCTCGTATTCGTCCGGGTAATCACCTCGTTCATCGGGGGAAATATCGGAACTTCTGAAAGAGCCATGAGCCTTCGAAAAACCGCCCCCCGTGGCTTGATCTGAGTACTCTTCACAATTCGGCTGGTCACCATAATGGAGATTTCCTTGATAGCCTCCTTCGTAAAGAGCCAGATCGTGCCCCACAAAGTCACCGTCCTCTTGAGGATTTGAGTTCGGCGAAAGGCCTCTCGGAGAGGGGCCTCTTGGCGACACGCGAGACCCCTGAGAGCGAGTGCTACGGATAGATGCGTTAGTTTCTCGCCGAGGGCGGCCATGTTGTTGAAGACGCTCTCGGTCTTGGTGAGCTCTATCCTCCTCTTCCGCCATACGCAACATGGCAAGCCCAGCCTCGGCTTCCGCCTCGCTATCGTCACTATAGGCGTCATAGTTGACATATTGACCAGTCCCAGTGGCCATGTTGCCGTTGGTATGAGTGTGTTGTTCGTCTGGTGACAGAAGCAAATTTGAAGCAGAGCCGCTATGAGATGCCCTGGAGCTGTGACGTCGTGCAGTAAATGAAGCTTGCGTATCCATTACCGCTGACTCAATTTCTTTAATCAACTCGTCATTTTCATAGGAATCATTGAGGCCGGGAGATGGAGACGGCCCAGTAACATCGGGCGTGTCATCAACGGGTGGTCCAGGTAAAGGTCGTGCCTGTGGATGTCGAGTCAATGTGTCCGTTCGTCTCGGAGGTAGAACAGGTAAGTCTTGCTGCACTGGGGGAGTGGGAAGAGACCGCCGAGATGACGAATGAGACACACTTGGCCGATTTCCGTAAAGCCCGTTTCCCTGCGACTGATGTACTGGTGGCGCAGGAGGCCGGTCGTCAAAGTCAGGGTTTATTGGCGGAATCGTGACAGAGGGGTATGGCGAGTCGGTCCCAAAACCATGAGACGCGGGGAAGTATGGCCGCGTGGCAGATTGGGGCATATAGGCACTAGACGGTGAATTCGAGGTCACGTATCCAGTTGTTGACGGGGAGGGAGTCGGCCGATACGTGGAAGCGGTGCTCCCAGTCCGCTGACTCAAAGTGGCTGGCGATGATCCGTACGAACGTCCTCCGTAAGGATGATCGGGTCCGCGAGGCGGAGGCACTGGTGGTTGCTGTGATGATAAGCCGTACGACGGAGTCGGAGGTGTCTGGCTGTATGGCGATGCGTCGCTTGGCCGTCGTGGCAAAGTTGGAGACGCAAGGCTAGCGACTGCAGAAGGCTGGTACGCCGCCGGATTATAGGGCTGATGAGCTGACACGGGACTCACGTACGGGGCGTTATAATTCGAGGGATTGTAGCTCAGGTTTGGCTGTGTCTGCGATTGCGGCAGGCCGTACTGCTGGGGATTGTATATGCGTTGCGTCGGGATCGCGGACGGGTTCTGGTACGGGTAACCGGCCGAGCCTGTGCTGTGCGACGCAGCACGAGTGGGCGACATAGCTGCCGCGTGTGAGAATCCAGCACCTCTATCGTCATCATATTCCCCTTGGGCAGCACCGTAGCCCCCTTGTCCAACATTGCCCGTATATCCACCGCTGCTTGCCGGATACCGCGCGTTTGTATCGGTCGCTCGAGAATTGGAGAGCCGAGCGGCGTTGAAAAGCGTCGAGTCATCTCCGGCATTGTAACTGGGCATTCGTCTCGGTAGATGCTGGTTCGAGGTGGGATTTTGCTGAGGCGCGTAACCTTCATAGCGACCGGAAGCTGGCTGGGAGCTCGAAAGATTGTTGGCCTGGCCATAGTATGCCTGTTGACCGTTTTGATGCGCCATCGCTGCGGGGCCCGTGATGTATTCAAATGCCTGTCGGTGCGCTCGTGATCTCAGCGTCAAGGCTACGCGAGTCGCGCACTCGGATCGTGGAAGTCACAACAGTGGAGAGCCGCAGTCAGCCTCCAGATGTGGGGGACGCGGGCAGGTGAAGAGCTGCCGGAGAGCTTCTGGCTCTGGGCATCCCCAGTAGAGTCAAGAATTAACGAGTGTGGAGGTCGGAAAGAGAAAGAGGGGGGAGGAAGCTAAGTCAAAAACGCGGAGCCCAAGTAGCGAGGGACGGGGAATTCGGTTTCTCCACCGCCAACGCCAACAACAGTCCCTGGTGCTGAAAAATGTGCTTATGTTTTGCTTGACTCGGTCTAAGTCACTTGTTGTGTTGACATTTTGAGCCGCTCCCTAAATGACCAGAATTCGTTCATCTCCAAACGAAAACATAGGCTATTTAGGCTCTACCCACAACTAGCATGTCAACTTTCGTCGACAACAGCACACCCTGCATTTTGGGGGCACACGAACTAGTTGTTCTCGGGCACTGGCCCCACAGTCAATTCCCCATTACAAGGCTGAGGCGGCTGAGCCGATTTGCTTTGCCCCGCTTGTGCCCCGAATAGACCAGTGTGGCTGCACTGCCTCTCTAAGCCCGGTCTGTCAAGCCACCGACGATTTTATCTCGGTAGATGGAAATGAAACTCATAAGTAAATTGAATAGCTTCTTAGACTAGATGTCGCGTGTATAAGCGAGGGGATTTCAATCGTAAAGGATGCCGAGTAACGATCCGGGACGCCGTTGGTGTTCGTAAAGCAGTGAAGGAAATAAAATCAAATGAAAGCATTGGAGCAGACGAAGGCAGTAAAAGGAAACAAGGGCAAATCCAAGGCGAGGAAAACAAGTTGGAACTGGGGAGGGCAGATAAAAGCAATTGCAAAATATAAGGGAGAGAAAAGCACGAGGCTATTTCACGTATAAAGGCACTGGATATATGGGGGAAGGGCATAAAATAACCGAAAGAAGTATGGGTATAATGCGTGCAAAATAACGCCACCTGGGGATTCCGTTTGAACGATCAAGCAAAAGCGGGAAACAGAAAGGTATTTGACGTATGCAAATCAAAAGACGCAAGGCATTGCTTTGCATGCCCGTTCGGTAAATAGAGAAGGTCAAAGACGGGGATTGCATAGTGCAAGAACAATCAGCGTCCGTCGTATTTCAGGTCAGATGTGATCCGAGCCTCTGCCTGTCGGACACCATTGTCTGTACCCTCCCGAGGAGTGATGTTTCGGGCCGTGAGAGCAAAACGCATCGTGCCGTTGGGGATCACCGAATGCTGTTCCAATTAGAGGGGCTAAACGAGTCAAGCAAAAGACAAGTGTACTTGCCTCATAATAGTCCTGTAACTTCCTTCCATGCATGACAACCATGTCGCCATGCTCTAGAGTCATGCTGATAATGGGAAGTGCGTGCACGCGCCTGTCTATTTTCTTATCCTTCTTCTTGAAAACCGTAACACGAGCCTCGTCGTATGCAGCCTCTGAGAGATTGCCAGCTTTGTAGTCCTCCTTCAAGGCAGTACGCTCCTCTTCATACTTGCAGCCTGCAAGGACAGGATCGTCCTTAATAGGCTTGCCGGTCTGTCTGTAGCCGTCAAACCATGGTTTCTTCATGCGGATCTTCATCTCTGATTTGGCACCGAGAGAAAGTGTGGCGATGTCCGGACCAAGACCTTCCTCCCCATCATCGTGAAACTGTTGGCCTAAATTAGATGGAAATAGTGTACAATTTAGACAAGCAACTTACACCCATCTTCATACTTTCAAAGTATCCCAGGATCAAGAGTTCATTAGGCATCTCGTAATCGTCCCCGGCATAAGTGACAGCCTTTTCGGTGGCCCATGCCAGACGACCAAAGGCTCGGAGAACATCCTCAGTAGCTTCGTTGAACCCTTTGGAGTCCACGTCGACGACGTATTTGTATGGCGTTCCCTAGTTCACTGTCAGAAAAGCACGATTGCCTCGTAAATCTTCAATCACTTACATAGTTCACGGCAAAGTGGCACATCAACGTTCCAGAAACTTCTTGGCTATTAGCGGCGTCCTGTTTGATAATAACTACATGACAGGACTTACTTACCAGGTGAAAGTTTCAGAGGAAACCTCTTCAGACCAAGATCGGTTTCTTGGAACTTCTGGAACAAATAGTCCGGGCCGTTCCGGCGGCTTGCAATGGCTTTGTTGGCCACGAAGTGGGTGATGGACCCGACACCAGGGAGGGTGTATGTGAGCTGCCTGTAGGGGGCCGCGAATGTGTTGTTGATCACCGGGGCCATCAAACCTTCTTTGGATCTGATATTTCGTCTCAGACTAACCCTAGCCACATCGTTAATTTCAACAGGGTCAAGCAGCACCATGGCCTGAAAATTGCAGAGATCGCAAGCCCCAGAACTTTCTGAGCATTTCCATCCTCTCCAGTAAGTACGGGGGATGCACTTCGAGCAATTTGGGCAGATTATGGCTCTCCAGGCTTCCCGAACTGAGTTTCTTGCCCATGCGCCAACAACCCGGTCCCATTTTGGATTAAGCGGGTATCGAGGGACGGGATTTGTGGTATGATTGACGCGGTAGCTCAAAAAGGTAGAGTGGAAGCTCAGGCTGTTGGGAGCGGATCCATTGTCAATGAGCTTCCAGAACATATTACAGGTGGGCTCCAGACACATCCAGCCTTGGTCGTAAATGCGGGGGCTCACCTGGTGGCAAGAGAGGCACTCGACAGACTCAGGCTTGATCCCGAAGTTCCGCTGGTTCAGAGGTACAGGGTCGGGTGAGTCCAGGGCTGCCCACCAGCTTTTTTCACCAAGCTCCAGCTTTTGCAGCCGGCATTTGAGTCCCTTTTTGTCACCCATCATTTCAAACCAGATATCTGTAACCCGGAACCATGCCATGACATTGAATCGGTGTGGAAGCTGTCTTCCAAGAACCGTGTTCCTGTTTCCTGCGTCAATCGTAAGCATGGCTCATTAAAATGCTCCATCGCCCTGAATCTTACCGATGATAACACCAACGGCCTCATTTTGGTCCATGGATCCTTTCAAGCATCTTGGAATTGCTTCCTCCAGGGTCCGGTCTTTTTTGAGAATCAGGGTTCCGTCTAGGGCTTTGTCGCAACCGCCACCACTGTGTAAACCAGTGACCCGACTTTAGAAAGAACAAAAGAATTTCCAAAGTCATCTTCACTCACATTCGGGTGATGACAATCTCCTCATCAACGTAGGCATTTGATCCACTGTCGGCATCCATGAAAATGCCGTACGTCAGGCCATCGAGGTGGTAAGAACCTCCTTGGGTGCAACGAAACCAGTCCAGTGCGTCACAGAGTGGCTGACGAGTCTTGCATATGGTTAATCACATGAGAAATCCATAGAAAAGACCACGCAATGACATACCTCTGACCAAGCCGGCGGTTTTCCGTGGACTGGTGGGAGTAACCCACCGGGAGCTGCCCCCTCCGCCATTTCTATCTGGTGTCAGCTTGTGAGCTCAGATAAAAGTAGACAGGATGAATGAGGATAAAGATTGAATGGTTGTCTGCGATGAATACTTTGGTGAGCATCCGATTGGGGTCCCATGCGACTGAAGCGCTTGTTTGCTGTTCGTCGAAGGGTCGTCACACTTGCTAAAAAAGTCGCCCAAACGATACGATTGAAAAAGTACATGATGAGATGAAGAGATGAATAGATACTCACGGGATGAATATGAAGAGTCTCGAATGATCAAAGAGTGACGGGAAGTGCGAAATGGGTATGCGGCTACAGCGGGAGAACTGCAGATCTTGGAGGCGAAAATAGAAGGAACGAGTCACGGTCTTCGGCAGTCGGTCGAAGGACAACGGCAACGGCCCATGTGGAACTTGATTGAAATGAATGAAAGAAGGGAGAAGCCGTATGGTCGAGAGCACGGTTTAGAGGAGATGGTTGTGTGCCCGTCACTTACCCGTAACTTGCACAGGGCTTTGGTCCAGTGACTTGACACCTCCTCTAAAGTAACGGCTTTCCCAGAAATGACTGCAAGCAGTGTAGTATCATCGCGGTGACTTTATTTCCTCCCCAATTTGATATATGTTTATCGCGTATCACAGGTGGTACGATTTACTACATAGTATCATTCACTAAGATGCCCATGCGTAGATAATGCCTACGAGGACATATCTTCATGCCTGGTACTCTCTCTCTTTCCTTTTTCTATGTTTTTCTATGTTCTTATTGTCATCTCTGCTACCTACAATATAAGATACCTACACTCTGGTAACGGTCTGCGTAACTGAGCTTGTCACAACAAAGTTGAACCTTTTGTCGATGTCCCAGACAGGCTGGCAACGAACAACGCCGTGCCATGGAAGTCTATATGAAACGCAGTCGTAGAATTTCATAATATCTCGAAAATTAGGCAAGCCATTGGATTAACCGAAAGTAAATTGTGCTTTATAGCAACGGACAAGCTCACGAAATGCAGTAGGGATGAAGTAGGAAATTATTATTAGCAGTGGTTGCCGCCGTGGCTATACCAGTCATGACGCGTATGCCAAGAGAGACATCCAATCATCACCCGAAAATTCAGAAAATTAGCGCCCTGTGTTGTCCAGAGAGCAGACTCCGACGCACATATCAATATTTCCACGCACCGAACCCTAACTCACTCGACTTTCATTCAATTTCCTTGAAACTTCGTCCACAAGATTTCTGTGATGACGTGTCTCGAGCTGCGCATCTGAATAGGGCGATAATTCAGATATGACCCATCGTGGCAGGATTTCCTTTCGCAATTCTAGAGTCCTTCGGTGTTCACATATCGATCCCGGTCGAGGTACAGCTGCTAAACAATCATATGACAAATTGCTGGGTTACCAAGGACGATCAATCTGCTCGGCTTGGGATCTTACCTTACCTCTTTTTGCAGGTCTTTACGTCCACGTATTTGCCCCTCCCTCTTTGAACCCATGCTACAGCAAAACACTTATGTATTCATAGCCTCGGATATTGTCGGAAACAAATACAAAGCTCGGTTCTCCATATATGTGGTCTGCCGTCAGCCAATCCATAGCCCGCACAAATGTGTACATCATTGCGCATCAGAAAGGAGCCCAGTGGTCGGCACCCAAGAGAAGGCCGAATATCGGGATCTGCATGCCAAGCCGTGAAGCCCACCTTAAAAGCGCGAGAGCCGAGTTGGCGGCCGCCTCTGCCTGCCTATGCAGAATTGGTTCTAGTCAAGTGCATGTGCCGGGATATGGACAAGGATTAAGTAGCCCAGAACAAAAATAGCCGACAATGATCAGTGTCAGAACAGAAATTGCTCGAAATTACCCACATTAATAATTAGCGCAAAAATGAGCCCCTTATTTCAGATTTGCGTTCACTAGTTCCACTATCTGAGTAACTCTTGGCGTGACCGTCGGGCTTTGAAAGGACACTGGAAAAAGCCTCGGTCGGTCGGGGAATTTGCGTAGTTGCGCAGTATTTCCCCGCACGACACAAGGAGCGATTCCCCAGATCCCCAACATCCGAGGCATTTCCCCAATTGCCACTCCGACTTGGATTTTCTTTCTCCAGCGATATTTTAAGCTCTTCGCATTTACGTCCAAAGCACGTTTAGACCTGAAACGCGTCCTCCTTTGCACTTGCACATATTTCCCCTCACACATAGCGGCCTGTGTGACGGAAGACCCGCGCATTCCTGCACAATGGTTTTCTTACCCGACAAGAAGTTTGGTGAGCTGGGTACAGTCCCGGACAACGTTCCAGTCTATGAGTTCATGCTCAATGAGAAGTATGGACGAGTGCCACACGACAAATCATATGACCCCTACACGTGTGGTTTGACTGGAAAGTCCTATTCGTCGCGAGAGGTGGTCTCCCGCGTCGACCAGATCGCCCGTGGCCTCTCGAAGGAACTCGGCTGGAAGCCGAACCAGGGATCGGAATGGGACAAGACACTCGCCGTTTTCGCCGTCAACACGATAGATTCTTTGCCCTTCTTCTGGGCTGCACACCGGCTCGGTGGTGTCGTGTCTCCTGCCAACGCATCCTACTCCGCCGCTGAGCTGAAGCACCAGATATTGGACTCCGGGGCCAAGGCTCTCTTTACCTGTGTTCCGTTGCTTTCCGTCGCGTTAGATGGCGCCGCCCAGGCCGGTCTGCCCAGGAGCAAGATCTACCTGATCGATGTGCCGGAGGTGATCCTTGGCGGCGCAAAGCCCCCTACCGAGTTCAAGACCGTGAATCAGCTAGCCGAGGCCGGAAAGTCTCTTCCGCCATTGGAGCCGTTGAACTGGGGACCTGGAGAGGGAGCGCGCCGAACTGCTTTCTTGTGCTACTCGAGTGGAACATCTGGCCTGCCGGTATTCAAACCATTGTCTATGCCGTCGAGACGGACTTCTAACAATTAATTTTTAGAAAGGAGTAATGATATCCCACCGCAATGTCATCGCAAACACCCTGCAACTTTCCGCCTTCGAAAAGTCTCACCGTTCATCACCTGACAGGGATAGTTACTCCGAAGTTACTCTGGGTCTTCTACCGCAGAGCCACATCTATGCCCTGGTCGTTATTAACCACGCCGGCCCGTACCGAGGGGACCAGGTCATCATTCTTCCCAAGTTTGAGTTGAAGTCTTATTTGGCTTCCATTCAAAAATTCAAGATTTCATGTCTCTTCCTGGTAAGAATTGGGACGTTGGACTGCATTTCATGTTGCTAATTGCAGCACAGGTCCCCCCGATTATTATCAACATGCTGCGCATGCAAGATGAGTGCTCGAAGTACGACTTGAGCTCTGTGAAGTCCCTCTTCACAGGAGCGGCACCCCTTGGGATGGAGACTGCGGCCGATTTCCTGAAGGTTTATCCCAATGTCCTCATTCGTCAAGGATACGGTAAGAATAGCTCTATTGTCTCCACTAAGCTCCAAGCTCATCCTTCGTTACAGGCCTCACGGAAACCTGCACTGTGGTTTGCGCGACCCATCCCGATGACATCGTGCTCGGCTCTTCTGGATGTCTGATCCCAGGCTTCGAGGCACGCATCATGTCTGCAGAAGGCCAGGAAATCACTGCTTACGACACTCCGGGCGAGCTCGTAGTCCGATCGCCTAGCGTGGTTCTCGGCTATCTGAACAACGAAAAGGCCAACAAGGAAACCTTCGAGGACGGCTGGATGCGCACCGGAGACGAAGGAGTCGTCAAGGTTGGCCCGCACGGCACAGAGCACGTGTATATTGTGGACCGTATTAAGGAATTGATCAAGGTCAAGGTTCGTCATTTTCCAGACCTATTCAAACCCCACGTATAATACTCAACTAACCACCAATAAATAGGGTCTCCAAGTGGCACCTGCCGAGCTTGAAGCTCACCTCCTGACACATCCGGCCGTCTCCGACTGCACGGTGATCGCCGTGCCCGACGATGCCGCCGGCGAGGTGCCGAAAGCGATCGTGGTCAAATCGCCCTCCGCAGGTTCAGATGACGAGGCTATTCAATCCATCAAGAAGTACGTCGAAGACCACAAGGCCCGGCACAAGTGGCTCAAGGGCGGCGTGAGGTTTGTGGATGCGATTCCCAAGAGCCCGAGTGGAAAGATCTTGCGTCGCCTGCTGCGGGACCAAGAGAAGGAGGCTCGGAGAAAAGCCGGTGCGAAGATATAGATGCTCAAGGTTTTTGTGCAAGCATCTTCTCTAAATCTTGTTGGTCTATATTACATTTGATTGGCATTTTTAGAACCGTGTCGTTTCCTATACATATCAATGGACATACTTCAAATTATCTTCAAGCAAACAAACGCAGGCTTATTGCAGGCTGACTTTACGAAGGAGAATCGTACTTGCACGGAATGTTAGGTCTCACAAACTCCCAAGCCTAGCAAGATGGAATGCTCGAGTGCCCTGTATCCTTGAACCACATAGAATGATGACTGTATTAATCAAAATAGAGTCGTAATATGTTTTATCAGCATCTTAGAACTTTTGTTCCCGGTTGTATACGTGATTAGACTCGAGATATTGAAATTGTTTGCAGTGTTTGTCTCCCGCGGGGACACGGATTTCTAAGCGGGGGAGATTGACAAAAAAAATGATCCAGCTTCAGCTCACTCATTCTCCCACGCTCTACAATCGGACAGAGAGATACCTCTTTACTCTGTTATTTTATTTGTTGGCGAGCTTGTCTTAGGTGTTTGCCGACACATTATCCCTGCGTCGCCTTCAGCCTACATATCATACACGCTATACCTCCCACCTACTGAGCTTCCAATTGGCATCTTTTCACAATGTCCGCCCAAGATCAGCACCAGGGTGAAGATGAGGACATGTTTGTGGGCGCCGACGAGGGCGAGGAAATCGTCAACCGTGATGAGGACCACCCAATGGACTCCGACGGAGAGGAAGACCAGCAAATGAGCTACGAACAAGAAATCACTCTCCAGAACGACTCTTCCGCTCACTTCGACTCACACAACGACTCCATCTTCTGCATTGCGCAACATCCCATTCACAACAACATCATAATCACTGGCGCCGGTGATGACCTCGCTTACATCTTCGACTCGAGTCCCGCCGAGAAACCCATACTCCCGCGCAGCTACGAGTCAAACCCCCAGCCGCGTGAGCGTGAGGGCCTGCAGGCTCTGGCTAAACTGGACGGACACTCTGACACCGTCAATGCGGTAGCCTTCACCGAGCCGGCGGGTGAATATGTCGTGACGGCAGGATTGGACGGCAAGCTGCGAGCCTGGCGGGATTCGACACCTCAGAAGACAGGAATCGCGTGGGAGTTTGTGGCCGAGGCCCAGGAGGTGGAGGAGATTAACTGGGTGGCTGTCTGCCCTTACAGCCAGGGGAGTGAGGAGAAGCGCAATGTCATTGCGATGGGGGCCAACGATGGTAGTGCCTGGGTCTTCCGAATTGATCACACCGACTCGCAGCCTATTTCTATCATTCAGACTTTCTTCCAGCACACTGCTTCTTGCACTGCCGGTGCCTGGTCACCGGACGGAAACCTGCTTGCGACAGTCTCGGAGGACGGAAGCTTCTATGTCTACGATGTGTTTGGCGCTGCGGCGGCAGCTGGTATCTCAGGCTCGCCCGGTACCAACGCCGTCGTCGGTTTGACGGCCGAGGACCAACGGTTCGCCGTGGACGGTGGTCTCTACTCCGTTGCGATTTCGCCTGGTGGTGGTATTGCCGCTGTTGGTGGTGCCGAGGGTCACATCAGGATCGTCGGTCTCCCTCGTCTTGCGGGCGGTGCGCAGGCTGGCAAGGGCAAAGGCGCAGCTCAATCTGCTACTGCATCGACTGCGGGTACTATCATTGCTGCGCTCCAAGCTCAGTCAGACGGTATCGAGACTCTCTCTTTCTCTCAGCCGCCGCTGACCCTCCTCGCCGCGGGTTCCGTGGATGGCTCAATTGCGCTTTACGACGCTGCTCACAGATTTGCCGTTCGCCGGAATATCAAGGAGGCCCACGAGGGCAATGCCGTGGTCAAGGTGGAGTTCCTGCAAAGTCGGGCACCGATCGCTGCCCCTCGCGCGGGTCCTGCTGCCCAGGGCCAGGCTCGATCATGGCTGCTCACCTCCGTTGGACTGGATGGTGTTGTCCGAAGATGGGACGCTCGTGGCGGTACCACCGCTGCTGCTATGGGTCTGTTGAAGGAATGGAAGGGCCACATGGGCGCCGCCGAGAACGAGGATGGCGAGCAGGCCGGTGGCATTATGGGATTTGTGCAAGGCTTTGATGGCAAGCGCATTGTCACCGCGGGTGACGATGGCGTGTCCCTTGTCTTTGAAGAGGAGTAGAGTGTTGGTTGCATAGGACTTGGATGCGATTTTTATGATATCATGTTACACCCATAGAGGCAATGTTGCACGATTTAAGCCTTACAAGGAATGGACCTCAAAATTTACGGATTCTTATGCCACAAGCAATATTCCATGCGACGTAGGAAACTGGCAGGTGAAATGGTAGAGAAACATTTGTAGTAATTGAACATGAACTATGTACATCCGACTATTCAACCCAAAGCGCCGCTGCAAGCCACGCCCCTCGACATGAGAAGCGGGCTGCTCCGCTTCGACAAGACAAGAGGGCTTCAAAGAGATGAGGCTGTAGTATTCACCGTGGGAATTCTTGAATTTTAGGTCTCCTGATGCGATGAGACGAGTCTTACTCGCCCATTGGGGTATCCGTCCTTCACTCGATCAATTGTCGGTCGGCAGCCTTCCGACAATATCCTCCTGTACAACTTCTTAGTGGTGAGCCTCGCCATGGTGGGCGTCACCGTGGTGGTGGTCATCCTTCAGGAAGAAGTGCTCGTATGCGCAGTAGGCAGTGAAGGCGACGGTCGCGATGCCCAGGCCGGGGAAGAGACCCTTGAAACGGTTCCACCGGCTGAAGGGGCCGGTATAGCGCCAGGCCTCACTGTAGGACGGTTTAGTACTGAACGCAATTGGTCTCACAGCGGGGACAAGTCAACGTACTGGCGAGCCCAGGGATCCCGTTTAGCGTAGACGGAGGATGGGGAGGCCGCGGCCTTGAACTGGCGCATGTCGAAACCGGTGCGGTGGCGGGCAGGCATTGTGAGAGAAGATAAGGAAAAGACGGAGAGGGAGCGAAGGCGAGAGCAATCGGATCAAGACAGAAAGGCGAAGGACGTGAAGCCGGAGCGGTGCGCTCGGCAGAATAGCACCGCACTAAACCCGATACGGCGAGCAGGAGCTTTCCCGCCTTCGCGGACGAAACTGACGCCAACAACCAGCGCCAGCTTGACAAAGGCACCACCCACAATGCCACCTCCTGTCGGCAGATACGGGCCCTCGGGCCTGGCGGCTCCCTACACCCTGCAACAAGCCCACCTTCAATCCCAACACCCTCACGCACAATCCGCCAACACCGCTCTACCTCCCCCTTCACTTGGTGGCCACCCTGGTTTCGCTGGAAACCCCAACACCAACATCAATCCTTTCCTCTCAGCTGCGGGTGTTACGAACGGTATGTCGGTTGCTGGATTCGCCAGCGCAGGCGCAGATGGTGGAGGCACGGGGCTTGCGAGCCATGCGGCACAGATGGGGTTTGCGCGTGGAGCACAGATACAGCAACAGCAACTACATCAAGGGCCTGATGGTCGGTTAGCACTAGATTCAAAGGCAGGAGCTGTGAAGACCCGGATACGAGATGTGTGGAAGCACAATCTGGCCCATGAGTTGGCTGTGTTGAGATCATTGGTGGACAAATACCCATACATCAGCATGGTAAGTGGGCGGGTTGAAGATCTACGGGGTCGAGGTGTCTTTCGCTTCGAGTGATACCCCTCTATGATGAAAATCTCAGTGATGCTAACCGGTCCAAGGATACGGAGTTCCCAGGAATTGTCGCACGGCCGATCGGTTCGTTCACCAACAAGGCGGATTACCACTACCAAACCCTCCGATGCAACATCGATCTCCTCAAGATGATTCAATTGGGAATCACTCTTTTCAACGCCGATGGCGAAGTCGTCCCCGCCACAGCCACGGATGCTAATGGACAACCGTACGGTAATGCCATGGCACCGGCTCCTTGCACGTGGCAATTCAACTTCCGGTTCTCCTTGGAGGAAGATATGTATGCGCAGGACTCGACAACGATGCTCGCCAAATCTGGAATCGATTTCAACATGCATGAAAAGAACGGCATTGACCCCTTCGAGTTCGGGGCACTGCTGATTAGCTCTGGTCTCGTGCTGCTGGATGATGTCCACTGGGTTTCTTTCCACTCCGGTTACGACTTTGGTTATCTCATGAAGATCATGCTCTGCTCCCAGCTGCCCGAGAACGAAGAGGAGTTCCACAAGCTCCTCACCATCTTCTTCCCGTCGCTTTATGATATTAAGTATCTCATGAAGCACGCCGGCCGCAACCAGGCAGTCAATGACTCTCCCCTCACCCCGGCCGCTGCACAGATCCTCTCGAACCTCGGTCAAAAATCTGGTCTGCAGGATATCGCGGACGAGCTCGGTGTCAAGCGGGTTGGAATTGCCCACCAGGCCGGATCCGATTCGTTAGTGACAGGTGAGATCTACTGGAAGATGCGCCAGCTGGTTTTCGGCGGGTCGATCGACGAAAGCAAATACTCCGGCCAAATCTGGGGTCTGAACGGCCAGATGCCGGCAATGACCTACCACATGGCACAACAAACGCCCAACCTCAACGGCGCCACCATCTACTCTGCAATCGGCACACCCAGTACCCCCAACGCGGGCATGGGCACCGGCACTCACACACCTCACGGCTACGGCACACCCGGCGGGTACCAATCCGGCAAGGCATGAGATACGGGATGGGGAACGCAGGAGTATGATACGATATGATGCATGTACATATGCACGAGGGCTCTCGTGCTGGATTTCTCGCTCTTCGCCATTGTCTTCCTGTCACTTTGCATGGGTTTCCGTCAACCGCGGGCTCTCTGCGTCGGAGAGGTGTTGGGGGGCAGTGGGAGGTGTACGGTGTTCTTCTTTTGTCGTTTTGGCTGGTATTTGAATTCATCTCGCGAGGCGTTCTGGCTCAACGGCCTTTTTGCCTCTCTACTATTGTTGCGTTCTATACTTAGAGGCAGACGGGGCTTAGGTTTATCTCATGTACAGCGGCTTCGTTTCTGATCTGAGCCTCGCATGTAGAATTGTATGCTCAAAGTGTCTTCAATTACCCATTTGCGTGGTCAAGTAACAGGTTCCCCCATTGAGAAGCGATATGCGAAGCATCAAGCCCGTGACAAAGTCAATGAATAACGTATCAAGTACCGGGATCGTAGATGCGCACCGCAAGCATCCAGCTGCCTCATTGGGAAGCCCCTAAACCCGAACGGGAAAAGTGATCCGGCCTCCGCAACTCGCGTTATCTGAGTTATCTAATCGAGTCCATCGCGGTAGCTATGCGTATCAGGAGGGGTTCCTGGGTTCCTGGGTTCATGGGTTGCAGTTGATTTAAATACCGTCTCGCAGCCCTGTCTATTTTTCTCAAGCTCGTGTCCATTCCCGTGGTTATTCTGAACGGTACTTTACCATCTCCGGCTCTCCTGTATACTCTTCATCGACGCTTCCATAGAACATCGGAATGGTTCTCGACCGACTCCAGCAGTTGACCCATCAGGTCAACGCGACCGCACCGCCGCCGCATCCTTTCGATCCTCTCTCTGCTGTTGAGATCGACGCCGTTGTTGCCCTCGCTCGCAAGGAATATGGTTCGCTCAACTTCAACGCGGTTACTCTGTACGAGCCGCGCAAGGCCGAGATGTTGGCTTGGCTAGCTGATCCGGAAAATGCCCCTCGTCCTGCCCGTGCTGCTGAGGTTGTTGTCATCGCACCGGGTGGAAAAGTGTACGATGGTGTGGTGAACTTGGACCAGAAGAAGATCGTCGAGTGGACTCATACTCCGAATGTACAGCCTCTTATCACAATGGAGGATCTGCAAGAAGTGGAGCATATCGTGCGCAAAGATTCCAAAGTGATTGAACAGTGCGGTATTGTTGGTATCCCGCCGGAAGATATGCACAAGGTGTACTGTGATCGTGAGTGACCGGAACTGCAATCCTGGGAGATATCGTCCTTGCTAACTCATCACAGCGTGGACAATTGGCTATGATGAGCGTTTTGGTACTGGTGTCCGGCTGCAGCAGGCTCTCATGTACTATCGCCCTCACATTGACGACTCCCAATACACCTTCCCGCTGGATTTCTGCCCCATCTTCAACGCAGAGACCAAGCAGATTGTTCACATCGACGTGCCGCCAGTGCGGAGACCTATCAGCAAGGCCCCACCGAACAACTATCACATCGCTGCCATCGAGAAGGAAGGGGGCTATAGAACCGATATTAAGCCTATCCACATCACCCAGCCCGATGGCGTGTCTTTCCAGATCAAGGGCCGCGAGATAGAATGGCAGAATTGGAACATCCACGTTGGTTTCAACTACCGAGAGGGTATTGTCCTGAATAACATCAGCTTCAATGACAAGGGCAATGTCCGTCCCATCTTCTACCGACTTTCACTCGCAGAGATGGTCGTGCCATACGGAAACCCCGAGCACCCTCACCAGCGCAAGCATGCCTTTGATTTGGGCGAGTACGGTGGTGGCTACATGACAAACAGCCTGTCCTTGGGCTGCGACTGTAAGGGTGCTATTCACTATATGGATGCAGACTTCGTCAACCGCGCCGGTGCTTCCACAACCATCAAGAACGCCATCTGCATCCATGAAGAAGATGCCGGCATTCTCTTCAAGCACACCGACTTCCGCGACGATTCTACCATCGTCACTCGAGGCCGTAAGCTGATCATCTCGCACATTTTCACCGCCGCCAACTACGAGTACTGCGTATACTGGATCTTCCACCAAGACGGGACTGTCCAACTGGAGGTCAAGCTGACCGGTATCTTGAACACCTACTCCATGAACCCAGGCGAGGATACCAAGGGTTGGGGCACCGAGGTGTACCCTGGCGTCAATGCACACAACCACCAACACTTGTTCTGTCTGCGTGTAGACCCCAACATCGACGGACCAGACAACACAGTCTTCCAAGTTGACGCCGTCCGAGGTCCCGGAGAGGTCGGCAGCGCCGAGAACAAATACGGCAACGCCTTCTACGCTAAGAAGACCAAGTTCACCAAGCCGCTTGAGGCCATGTCCGACTACGACGGATCCACAAGCCGCACATGGGAGATGTCAAACACCAACAAGCTGAACCCATACAGCAAGAAGCCAGTCTGCTACAAGCTCGTCAGCCGTGAGGTACCACCGCTCCTCCCCAAAGAGGGCAGTCTCGTCTGGAAGCGTGCTGGTTTCGCTCGCCATGCAGTGCATGTCACCAAGTACTCCGACGAAGAGATCCACCCGGCCGGTCGCCACGTCCCCCAGACTTCTGGTGAGCCCTCGGCCGGCTTGCCTCAGTGGATCGAAGCTGCCGGGCCTAATTGCTCGATTGATAACACCGACGTCGTATTATGGCACACTTTTGGTCTGACGCATTTCCCTGCACCCGAGGACTATCCCATTATGCCTGCTGAGCCAATGACTTTGCTGCTGAGGCCGCGCAACTTCTTTGATCGGAACCCGGCGCTTGATGTACCGCCGAGCTATGCTCGTACCCCCTCGCAGATTGCCGCTGGGGCAAGTTCTTGTGGTTGTAAGAAGACCGACGGATCGAGTGTGCAGGTTTGAGGGTTGGGATAAGAGATGTTTTAGAATTCTTCGATTTTAAGTTGTGATGTATATGAGCATTTTATTTTCTTTAGTGAAGCGATTATTCCTGATTGCAAATTGAAGATAGATTTCGAAACCATCGTCTCGCTAGAGTAAATAGAATAACTGCTCTGAAGCCACTCGATCTATCTCGACCTAGATCTTTGGCAAGGTATGCACTTATCTCAGAGATGCAGTCTAATGATGAAATTGCGCATAGAAACTTCTCTGTGCTTGTGTCTACTGGCTAGCGATTAATCTCTTCTATACCTGCACTTAGACCTTGTCGAATTCGGTCCTGGTATAGCAATCAAAGATTGCTCAATCTCTGGCCGGATGTGTTTAAGGCAATGGCGAGTCATTGGTCATCCGAGTTGTCTACCTGATCTCTCATACTGGCATTATCCATACGCACCATAGCATTATTCGGCGTAAATTATCTCAGAAGAGTAGAAAGGCTTTAAATATACATCATTGAACGTAAAATAACTCCTTCCGCCAGCGTTGAAACCCTCACACTAAGCGCCCTGGCCTTTAAAACAATGACTCTCGTTATGATCTCGTGGATTCTCCTGCATTGCGGGCAGTTCGGCCGGGTATGCCTTGCTCACTTTAGAGCCAGCGTTGTACGTGACTGATGTATCTAGCTTGATATTAGTCGATTTTCGAAGGTCAATATTAGGCATACACATACCCGGCAACTCGGCCGTCACACTTGAAATGTGGTCCTGCCCGTATTGCGGGGGCGCAAAAGACTGGTGTCCCGCCCCTGACGATACCGACCACCGGGCCTGCGACGACGTCGGAGACAGCGGTTTCTGAGCATCTGCCCACTGTACCGGCGGAATATTCGACCGATCAGCCGGATTAAATGTCTTCAACCTTCCATCCTCCATGATACCCTCCAGGGCGCCCGTATCTAGTAGCTCCGCTTTCTTTATCAGCCGGTCAACGAGCACCTTCGATGAAGCCTGCAGCTCCTTTTTCACGAACGAGATGAGCGTTATGTTGCATTCAATATCAATATCCTCGCGCAGATACAGCCCGTTTGGGACTCCCTTCTCCGGCACTTCTGGCTCGTTGGGCTGGTTGCCTCCAATGCGCCATTGAATGCGCAGGTCCACGCCCGCCGGCCCGTAGGTGTGCGTCTGCAGGCCCCATGGCGTGTTGTGGAAGCTGCCCTTGAAGCTGATCTTGCCAGATCCAAGTTTCCCGATTCCGGGTAGATACTGGACGCGCTCAGTGATTTCGTACCATGTTGAATAATACTCGTCTGCGACTGCGTGCTGCGGGGCTTTGATGGGGTGGTGGGAGAGCACGAGCGGGTTGAGGGTGATAATCTCGCTATGGCTGTGGAGAATGTCGAGCGCTAGTTGGCGCGGGACTTGCGGAGGGATGGGGGTTATTTTCGTGTACTTTTCTTGCTTGCGCAGCATTTTGTCTGCTTAACGAGATGGGTGGGGGACAGATCGGATCTGACAAAATGATGAAGATGATCGCCGTCTTAAGGCTGACATGTGCCGTGCTGACGGTCAGACACGGCGAATCGAGAGCGGCCAATGCCGCAAAGCGCAGTTGGGCAGAACTGCAGGATCTCACATCTCAAGATGATGCATATTACTGTGGTATTTATTATGTCTGCACAGTACCGTGCCCATGCTACATGAAATGTGAGTCTCGTACATGTAGCATGCAGTCTCATGACAAGGATGGTAAACAATCAAAGGACCAGAATAATCACGTTTAATCGAAAGACGACTCATCCGATGAAGTAGACTAAGAAGAGATAGAGACTATGCCAGACTCTACAGGTGCCTGCGAAGTACCTGCCTCCGGTGTGGTTTTGGATATTCTCCAGACTGAAAATGTGAATGCAAACATTGTACGACGGGGGGTTTCACTACTTTCCAGCTCAGTGCAAGGATGTAGCTGACGAATCATGTGCATTCTTACGAATTCGGAATTCGGTACACGATTACAATCTATCGGCGCCCAATTTACTACCATTTAGTGCTGTGGTATAATAAACTAAAATGCGGTTGACCAATCCCGTTCAAGATGAAATGGTACAGCGAAGCAAGATCATAGAAGCCTCGTTAGTAAATATCACTCTATCTTCGCCTTGCGTTGTGCTAAGTTGCACAACTCTCTCCGTAGCAATTTACCTGTTAGATTTCGCGGTAGCTAGTCAAAGTAGAAAACGCCACTGCGCAGCTTCTTATACCCAGCAACCTTGGCAGCTACCATTCTCTGAATTTCCAAGGTGCACCTCTCATGATCCGAGGAATACACCTTAACTTTGGGAACCACAAAGTATCTCATTCTGTCAAAATCGTGAGAAAAATCTTGGACAACTGGGAAAGGAAGTGTGCCACTAGTTATTTTTTCAAATTCAGGATCTGGCGCCCCAATACCTTTTATAGCCAATCTTATCTTAAGATGTCGTGAGGAGCCTGTAATATCTAATATTTTATTCCTAGAGTCTCACGAGCCTAGCGACCTTGTATGAGGGTAGATCTGATTTAGAATATGTCTATATGCGCTCTCTAAAATTGCGGAAGTGACATTCCACCTGCGGTTCTCATCGAAAGTATTACTTGAAAGCATTCCCGAGATTTGCTGCTACGGCACGGTCTTGCCAAAGCATCAGTCGGAAGAGTTTGGTTGAGACTATGGCTTCTGGTTGCTGAAATAATTTGTGGATTCTGGTCGAGTTCACGCAAGTGCATAGCCGATCGCTCCCCAAGGCGGCAGGCAGTATTATCGTTACCTTGTCTATACATGACTTTCCCACCTCTCAATCAGGATATCACCTCGTGGCGGAACACTGGTGATATTAAATGGATCCAAAATCTCATACTTACCACCATCAAGATCAACCTTCGAGTACTTGAGCAAAGCAAAAATCCAACATTTGAGCTCTGTTTGTCACGCGGTTAGCCACATGTCTCATAATATCGCAGATTAAAAGACAAAGGGAATCAATCCATACCCATTACAGCGAGCAATCTCCCCGGGCAAGCCCATCTCCCAAGACCAAAAGCAAGGTATCCAGGGCCGGTCATAGCGGCTGATTTTCCTGATCCAACCCATCGTGCCCCACTGAACTCGTTCGGTTGATTGACAAACTCTGGAGATCGATAGGATAGGTGTGTCACTGGGAACACGAGAGACCCTATCAATAAGGAAACCGTTAGTTATTATGCAGAATGAACCAATAATGAGTTGATGATTCCCACCTTTTGGAACAATATAACCACCTAACTCGATATCACGAATGGGCGCCCGCACAAGATTGACAAGATCACCTTTCATTCGAAGAACCTCACGGATGAAAGAGTCAGTCTTAACTGCGTTTTGCATGGTTTGTACATCGACAATGGAACTTGAGTAGCTCAGCTCCCGAGAGCTGACAATGGATGAGGCTTCGTCACGAAGAGAGTTCTGACAGTCTGGATGGAGTGCCAGGTGATACGTTATCCAGACCATGATGGTAGCTCTGTTAAAGTTAGTTTCAGCCATCATAATTGGGAAGAAAGGACGAAAGATACGTTTGATGCAAGCTGGCGAACAAAAAGGTCAGGATCAACACCATAATCCACATTCTAGTGCGAACTGATAGATGTCCATCCGGCGATGCGTAAGCACGCACGAGGTAGTTGACTAGACTATCATCCTAGAATGCACGTCAGCCTGGCAATTATCTATGGCAGGACACATAAGCCCACTTTACCTTCTTCCTGGGAGACTTTGCCATGTCGGAGATATCTGTCCATAATGTCCTTGCGAATGTGAACCCAATATGAAGCGGAATACGAAACAGGACAATCTGGGCCCATGTCAATGGTTTCCACAGCCAGAAGAGATTGCGCCCCAGGAAAGATTGATTTTGGTAGATCCCCAAGAGCTCAGCAATGTCTTCAGCCAGGTCCAGAACAGACTTCACGTTTTTGGAGTTGGCATATCCCTGGTTGAGAGGTTAGTGATCTTGCGTCTCTCATGTTGGCATCGACAGACTAACTTGTCCAAAAAAGATACAAATAGTAGCCTCCGCCATGATGGCTTGTACATGATGCTGAAGCTCAACGGGCTTGCCTGGCTGGGAGATCTCGACCATCTCGCGGACTCTTTGATCGAATATTGGCCAAACTATATCTTGTTAGTATGAAACCTAGTGAAACGAGTAGGGTTGTCTCACTTTCGGGTACAACTTTCTGCATTCTTTGGGTTACAAAGCCCCGTGCGTATGTGTCCATGTCATGGAAAAATGTGCCATCATGGAGTTTATTGATCCAAGTAAGTCCAAAAAACTTGGAATAAAGTCAGCCTCGGAGTCTTCTCTCGGGGAATTTACCCACCTTTGCCATACCACCCTCGAAGCTAAAGGAACGTTCATCTGTAAGAACCTGGTGTGTGTGTTCTTTGGACGTCAGGAAAATTCTCTGTTTACTTATAATCAGTACTTCCATGGGTTTGCAGTGGGTAGGACCTGAAGCCATACATGACCATTGCGGTCAATTTGAATAATTGACCCATATTCCTTTAATGCCCTAGTAATAGACTCTATCGGTGTATGCTGAAGCTCATACGCCTACATTGTGTTTAGAAAATTGCAAAGAGGCTTTTCCGGGATGAGTGGGGGAATCAACTCACGGTTAGAGAAACGAAAGGCGGAAGAGCTGACTTGGGAACCTATGGTTATATTTTATTAGTATTCAAGAATTTCCTCTTCCGAGATCCTTTCACACACGCACTTTGGGTTTCTGCAGCAGTATTAAGAATATCAAGACTGCCACAAGCAGAAGATAGCCAGCTATCATGGACCAGTGATCGTTGAGCAGCATAACGCAGCGAGGATTGGCTGTGAGCAGGCCAGGAAATGATTTTCCTACGGAAGCAGGGGGAGTGAGAACCTAATATAAAGGGCTGCGACATGTTTACTCACAAAAGGCTAACATCTCCGAGCCGTACGTGGCAAAAGCCATCAAGGTAAATGTTATCACATTATGATCCACTTTTTCATGTGTAACCCTTACATGAGGCCTCGAGGCAACTATTCGGATGGCTATCAAGTGCCCTGTGACGTAAAGTGGTATCTGACTTTTGGGATAAGCACGGACACGATGATATGTACTAGATTCTTTTCATCATTGGTCGTTAATATTGATAGTCGCTGCGGAACCGGCAATTGTGAACCAGTGGGGTGCGCTAGGATCTCTCATCTGAGATCCGTAGAGGCAAATTTGCTTTTAGGCTGCAACCCGTTCTGCAGTCCCACCCACCTTGCATGGAAGGGAATTTTGATAAAAAGTTTCTTTGTTGCAAGACTTAAAGTCGAGGGCTCGGCCTCGGCAACGTAGAGAGACTGCACGTTGGCCTCTCAGAACCATCTCCCCTTCTTCACTAAAGTGATCAAGAACAAACGATGAATTTTCTTTCTATGTCATGCATCGATATGCTAGTCGACCGATATAGAAGGAGTTCGTAATCAAGGGATTCAGAACTACCCCACTTGCCGCCCTCCATGTGAGCAACTTCGTCCCTTGTGATAGGATAACTTGCCAGGCCGCTAGTCCCAGTCATCCCGATATCCATGGTTATAGTCTGACATAGGCTGATGGGCCTGACCATTAATATTTTTTTCCTTCGTATCAGCATCATGTGAAAAAAATACTTGGCATGTTTCCAATCCATGGTTCCCCGTGGCTTTGGGCAGGGGCGCTTCGAGGAGAAACGTAACCGTGGTTTCTATTAGGTCTTGGGGAAATTTGACTGGACGATCCGCCCCGCTGCTGTTACAAGGTACCAGGGAGTAGAACGTTGTGCACCATGCTAATGCCGTAATCTACTCCGCTCTCTAGAGACGGCTTTACGGAATAAAGGCTTCGGTTTCACGACAGCGAAATGCAATGGGGCCTACTACCATTTCTAACTTTGATATCCTCATTCTGAACAGGTCAGTAGCCAAGTAGTATTTTGAGATGACCAGTGCAGTCGTTAAAATTCACTTTGTGAGTTCGTATCCGATGTTGGAAAATTCTCCTACGGCAAAACGCCTACATGTAGGTGCCGTGGATCGTCTGAGACTTATCCTCAACATCCGACCTCTTAAAACGTTCCACTGAATCAAGCCGGGCGAGTCGTCCAACCCACTTCGTGGAAATATCGGAAGTTCACATCCGTTTCACCATCAAGCAGTAACTTTCCATGCCCCGCTAATCTACCACACATGCATAATCAACGGGTGACCCCTGGCACTGCTACCGGGGTCGGTATTTGCGGGTAGTTCGGCACAACCTCGGCCATATGGCTATGCCCGCAGTTGCTGGTCCAGTGGAACGGAGTAGTTCGGTCCCAGTTAGGTGTACCACCTGGACAGCTGTTCTATCTAATATTTACCGGAGCTCCTCGGTCAAGAAGGATCCTAGCATTACCTGCCTGAGCTGCAATTGAAGATGTAGTACGTTAAACCTAAGGCTCCTGTGCATTCACATCAACGCAGTCCAGGAGAATCTTCACTACTGTGAATCATGACTGGCCTGGTAGGTCGTAGAGTCCCTTGATGAGTTGAGAATTGGATAGTTCTCCTATAGAAAGAGTTCATGACGTAAGTGTTTGAAATTTAGTTACAATTGAAATATGAGGACCTGTGAAATTGACGACGAAAATGACCGCTTCTTGTGGCCAAAAACGGCCGTCTTTCCACCCGCACTTCACCGCCCCTTGACCTGCGTTGCACCACTATCCTGCAGCGATGCGTACTGCCATTGAGATAGCTGTGATGCATGGTTTTCAAGGCATAGGGCTTGTGCAAGTGGAATTCAATTCGAGAGAGACCAATAAAATCGGGAGTGGCGCATCCCCCCTGTTGCCAAGAGTTGCTTCGATCTTCTGAGTCCTTTCTCTATTTCTCCATTTTTGTTAGTGAATAGCTCAGGTGATGGCCGTAATCGCTGGTCATCTCTCGATCAACCTGTGGGGCCCGTTATCCTTTGTGCTGTGCTACGCGAGGTTAGGTGTATGATCCTGCAGGACAGGGGACCCCTGCCACGCAGTTTTATCAAAGGGGGGTCGTGAAAATTCTACTACTTTTCATGAACACGCAGTCTCTTCCTATGCTACCGTGTGTTGCATGCCACAATCAAAACGCATCCATTATCTTTGCTTTGTTCTCTCCTATCTGATAGTGCAGTTCATGATCGACACATGTCTTTTTCGCTTTTCAATAATTGATGGATAGATATTTCTGACGACTTCACTGTCGGTGGAACGCTATAGGGCACACTAGAGGACCGGTAGGTACCCCGCGTAACCTAAAGCTGGTAGGCGGAGCGGAAGTTTTCACCGGCATACACAAATTTCTCTCCTTTGGCCAAGAGCGTCTCTTCAATTTCCATCAGCCGGTTATATTTGGCAACTCTCTCTCCGCGGCAGGGTGCCCCTGACTTGATATGACCAGTCCGCAATCCAACAACCACGTCCGCGATAAAGTCGTCGGTGGTTTCGCCGGACCTGTGAGACACGAACACGCTCCAACCATAGCTATATGCCAGGTTAGCCCTGTGAAATGTTAGTAAATATGTCAGATTACGTATCAAGTGCGGGTGGAACTAACGATTCAATAGCTTCAGAGATCGTGCCTATCTGGTTGATCTTGAGCAACATGGAATCGCACGCCTTTTTCTCGTGAGCTTCTTGGACATAGGTCTTGTTTGTCACAAGCAGATCATCCCCCACTAGTTCAACGGGGCAATCTTTGCGGAACTCCGTCCAGCTGGACCAATCATCCTCCGCGAATGGATCTTCAAGTAGGACAATTGGATACTTTTTGAGGAGCGAATGGTATAGATCCTTGAGTTGCTTTGGGCTTTGAGGGTTTGACTTTTCGTCTTTGAATCCGATGTCATATGCTCCATCTTTGAAAAATTCGCTCGAAGCAGGGTCGATGGCGAATTTGACTTTTCCTTCGTATCCAGCATCGGAAACTGCCTGGACCAACAAGTCGAGAGCCTCATGAGGTTGTGAGATAGGTGGGGCAAAGCCGCCTTCATCGCCGATGCCGATGGCTAAATTGAAACTGTCAGTGCCGTTTCTCGTGGATGCTTAAAATTCTGTTTCCAAACTGACCCGAGGCTCCAAACTTCTTAGTGATGACCTTCTTCAGATGTTGGTAAACTTCACTGCCCATTTGCACGGCTTCGGTGATAGAGGTGGCCCCGACTGGAGCAATCATGGTCTCTTGGAATGCCATTTTGTTTCCGGAATGCACACCTCCATTAAGGACATTGAAGAACGGAACAGGCAACACATAGGGCGTTTTCGCACCGGATTCACGCCGCAGATACTCGTACAGTTGTAATCCCTGCATTCATTAGTTCCGCAAACTGTATCTCTCTCGTGTTACTGACCGAAGCAGCTGCACCGGCTCGTGCGCAAGCCATACTGACTCCCAGAATAGCATTGGCACCAAGCTTGGCTTTGTTTTTGGTGCCATCCAAGGAGTTGAGAAGTTCATCGATCTTTTTCTGGTCCGTAGCCACTCGGAGGCCGCTCTTGATCAGAGCGGGGGCAATGATGTTCTCGACATTCGAGACGGCTTTCTCCACACTTTTGCCGCCATACTTGGATGGGTCGCCATCCCGGAGCTCAACGGCTTCATTGGCACCTGTCGAGGCACCAGAGGGGACAATGGCGCGGAAACTGCCTGATCTCCAAGTTAGCCTCTTCCTGTGCTAGGATATCTGTTTTCGTAGCTTGCCTTGGTCAGTGGTCAATTCGACTTGGACAGTGGGATTGCCTCTCGAATCCAAGCGTTGAGCGGCCTTGATTGATTTGATCATTGTGGTAGGATAGTCAAGTATTTGGAACGACTGCGTGAGAAAAAGGAAGTCGAGAAACAGCAGCACTGAATTTAATAATGAAATTAAGCTCGGAAATCCGTCCTAATGATATCGATCACCCATCAATGATCATGATGATATCATCGCTGCAGGTAGTTCCGCTATAGTCGGCGGCATGCCATAGCATGGCATATGGCGCCTAGACTTCTCAAATTACTTGGATTCCATCCTGCTAGGTAACGTATTTCACTACCGAGTGGGCCACACCACCGAGTGGGCCACCCAGCCACCTACTTTTAGTTTACATCTAGTTTTTTCAACCAAAACGCCTTTATATTAATTATTCTACCTAACTGGATATGTAGGGGACTTATGCCCTTTCTCACCGCATATAGAATAGGTGTATTGACGCCGTCGCGCTGGGGCTACCGCCTGCTGAATAGGCTGGCTGGGTGCTGCTGGAGACGATGCCGAAGGCTGTATAGGAGGCTCAGGGGCTTGCGTAAGGTCCTAGGCTTCCTGGACTGATAGGCCTACTAGCGCAGGTATATACCTATTAGGACGAGAGCGCTTTTATCTTTTTTTCTCGTTCGCTGCGCGTAAATCACTATTTTCTTGTGCTAAGATAATAGCGCTATTCATAGCATATTAACACGCTTTTGTAAGTTGGTCGAGCGCCTATTCAGTAGGGCTTCTAGGGCTATGTAAGCGTTGACGTAGTAGTCTTTTAATTGACGAAGCTTATCGAAGTGTTTTAGCGACGGTTTTGGGTGTTTTAGGACTAAATATGCTTAATCGACTACTTAGGTGGCTTCCAGGCGGCGTAGGCGTCCGAAGCTAAATATTGAGCTTTAAAAGCACTCGTTCTAGGTCGAATAGCATTAAACTAGCTACTGCGAAGCTATTTTTAATCGTATTGGTTTTAAACGTATCCACGCGCGCTTATAGGTATGCTATAAGGAAAACAAATTTGTCGATATAGTTGATACCGAGCCGCATTTAGTTCTTAATAAGCCGACCGTAGGATCGCTTTAAAACCGCAAAACACCTAATATTAAGCGGCTATAAGAGATACGAGGAATATAGCGGCATATAGATTAGGATTATATTAGTTTCTGCGCAAATTTAGTCGAACTGCGGTGTTAAATGACTACTGTAGCCATAGAGTACTAGAAGTCGATATCTTCCTTGCGTACGGCTATTCGTTGACGGAATAAATAGCTTTTAAAGCCATCGAAGGCTAATCTCGTCTATCGTCCATCTATTTTGACTAACTTTAAAGCGCTAATCTCTTAGAAGGTCATTAGCCTAAGCTAGATTATATAGTTTGCCCTTAAAGATAATCGTTAGCGGGAGCGCCCACCTAGCAGCGCTAAATGACTCGATTATAGTTACCCACTCTCGATTCCCTAGCTATAAAACCAATCTCCGACCGTAGTATTCCGCGCGAGTAATGACTTTCGCGGTCGCAGTAAGGCCTATCGCGAAGCCTATCTCGTCAAAATTATAAATATCCACTAGTAGGATACCGTGCTTAGAAATTATCCGCTGAACAGTGTCAAACCACCCCTAAATAACCTTTAGATCCTCTTGTTTTGCTCGCTGATAGTCGTATCGTCGTGAAAAGCGTAATTTAAGGTCAGGATATCGGTTTACAAATTTTGTAACCCAGTTTTCGCCGACGGTTTAGATAGAGGTCGAGCCTCGCTTAAGAAGTAGGAGATTCGCCATTTCGCGCACTGTAGAGGGCCTTGGAGCTACTCCACGCGTATCTATAGATAATATCCACTGCTTAGGCGAATCCTCTTCGATTTGGGTCAATTTATAGCCATTGGCGCGAGATTCAACGCGATTTATAGTACCGCGTAGTCGGCGCTGGAGGGTAGAACGAGGGACTTGGAATCGGTTTGCTACGTCGCGTATAGAGCTGATTTCTTTGTTTTTAATAGCTTGTATAGCTAATAAAAGGCGGCCCTCCTGTTCGATAGACTTTCGGCCTGTTTGCGAGCGATTTAGTGGCATGGTGGTTGGTAGAAAATAGAAGGACGCGTGTGGACGCGAAAAAGTGGTTGGGTGGCCCACTCGGTGGTGTGGCCCACTCGGTAGTGAAATACGTTAATTTATTTCGGCTCTTGCTATCTAACAAGACTTTTCACCAATATTGTGAAAAGCCCTCGATACAGTAACGCCGTATCGCTTCTCCACGGAGAAGAATTGTTCTGCAGTCGGTAGTAACTTCATCGGAATTCCTTTCGAGGAATTTCTTTATTTCAAGCAACACATTCACAAAAGAGACTAGAACAAGATATCAATTTGCGCCACGCCGTTCCTTGGAGAGCGATTGTTCGAGAGAAGGTTCGTTCGCCATTTCCGCCTCGGTCCGTCGTGCCGCCGGCTCCTGCGCCGCGACCTCACTCAAAACCCCTTGTTGTTCTTCACCGCCATCCGCGGCATCGTTTGATGCATTTGATAACTCTTGCTCGAGGGACTTGTGGCGTGAGAGTTCTTCATGGGAAGATCGTCCTACTGGTGCGGGGGCTGCAACTTCGGTGAGCCCGGAGAACGGTTCATCGTCTGACTGGGTCGGGTCTGACTCCTTTGTGTGGGGACCGTCTTGGCTTCCATTTTCATTTCCGGTGGCAGGCTTGTCATGCTTCGATTTCATGTGTGATCGGAGCTTCTGGAAGAGCCCCATCTCAGGCGACGTGTCCGGGACGTTCGAAGGATAAATCGACGTAGATTTGAAATATTGACTCGCAAAAGTTTATCGCGGGGATTCAGAGACGTAGGACAACGGAACTCTCAAAGCTTATCACTTCATCTGTCTGAGAAAAACAACCGGGTGATTGATGGTACTGTCCGCCTTTATCCGCCTTTGCCGGTCTTGCCGGACTACCCGACCTTGAACTGAATGACAAGGTCGTGTCGCACCATCCAGCGGGGAATAAACATCCGATTCGCCCAATAATACATCTTCTCCATTACCCTTGTACCCGTCGAACTTGCTTTCCCCCGTTTTTATCCGCCCGCCAAGCCAGTGGCTTGACGGAGGGTTGATTTCATTGGTGACGTCATGTTTCAGTCTTCCCCGGACTCTTAAGTTCACCAGCTAAGCTCCCTTCGGCTATCTTCACTCCGCACATACCTGACCCGTTTAGTTATACACTAGCGTTGAGTATGTCTTCCGATATCACTACTGAGGAGACTTCGGTCTCGCAACCAGGGGAGACATGTCTGTATTTCCTGCGAAATGGTCAAAGGATCTCTCCTTGGCACGATCTCCCCTTATTCGCGGATCGAGAATATGGAATTTTGAATATGGTGGTGGAGATTCCTCGAGGAACGAACGCAAAGATGGAGGTAAGTATTTGAGTATTATTTCTAGGATATCGAACTCTGCTAAGTCGCTGGTGGCCAGATCACGAAGGAAATTAGCCTCAACCCGATCAAGCAGGACATCAAGAATGGAAAGCCGCGAGAGCTCGCCGATCTGCCTCCGTACCGTGGCTATCCCTGCAACTACGGTGCCATTCCACAGGTGAATAAATTAGTTCCCGTTCTGCTCAACGCGTCATTCGAATCCTCTTTCTAATCAAAGAATAGACCTGGGAAGACCCCAATGTCCTTGACTCTCACACCCGCGTCGCAGGAGATGATGACCCACTGGACGTTTGCGAAATTGGCAACCACGTTGCCAAATGTGGTGACATTAAGAAGGTGAACCCGCTAGGGGCTTTTGCTGTTCTGGATGAAGGGGAAACGGATTGGAAAATCATCGCCATCGATGTCAGCGATCCTCTGTCTGAGAAGATGAGAGATATTGGTGACGTTGAAAAACACCTCCCTGGATTTTTGGAGTCCCTGCAAACTTGGTATTGCAACTACAAGGTGCCGGATGGAAAGGAACCAAATACCATTGCGCTTGACGGCAAGCTTATGGATCGGCAGTGGGTATTACCCGGTGACCTCGAGTGAATTAACTGACACGCAGTATAGATTTGTAATGAGTCTTATAGACGATTGCCATAAAGCATGGAAACCGAGGAGGGGCTTTCCCGATCAGTGATTAGACAAGATGATCAGTCGGAACATTCTCAATTATATAAAAAAGCCAAACAATATCAATATTCCTTTGTTGTCACGTTCGCACCGATTTCAAGTGTGCCATTTCCCTCTTTTTTCTGTTTTCTGCGTCGGAATATCCTGCACTTGGTCCCCATGAAGCCAAGCTGCGCGTTTAACTCCGTACCGTCCTAGTTCACTGGAATAGGGCGGTCTTTGTCCCATCGGGGGGTTCTTGGTTTGGTGGACTTTTCGGACATGATAGCGTCGCTTGAGCGATAGGTGAGTTGATGTTTGAAGGCTGATGGAACGGAAAATTCGAGACTTACGTTTGGGTTGCGTAGGTTTGAGGGTATTTTGCGGAGGTGAATAAGGTGGCTAAATGTGAGGGGAATAATAAGGAGGAGATATCGGTTCGAGGTCACTACTCGTATGCGTTAATAAAAGCTAGAGAGGTGTTGAGAAGATTAAGTTGGATTAGTCGGGAAGAGAGAGTGGGTAAGTTATAGGTTGTCAGGGAGTTTTATACACTCTTTCACGTTTTGTATACGAATAGTACAGTAGTAAAAAGAGAGAAAATGCCTTGCGAAAGAAATTTTCACTCCAATAAGGCCGACGTGACTCAGTACCGGATAAGCTTTGGTAAATGTTTGACCTGGTTCTGGGGAAGTGGTGATAGGCACGGCCTTATATCGAACCCCCCCCTTTTTACTCACTGCCCACATCGCCAACATCGCTGACATTCTGACTGGCTATCTACTTATCAAGGACCCTCGGCCGGAATTTCCACCCGTAATTTCGTCTAAACGAATGCCATTCATAAAGGCCCCAGAAAGCGAATTTAGACTAGAGGGCTCCACGCGGTTCTCCCAAGCACTGTTTCCGTGCTCGTCCAACCAAAGCATTTTGGTCAGACCCGTTTCGATAGCCTCGCGGTCGAGCAGGTACACCACAACTTGAAACTCTAGCTCTGTCAAGGCTAGGCCTCTAGATTCCTCGTCTTCTATCTCTTCACATTGGGCCCGCATCTCCTCGTCGTTTTTACCCGAATGGTAAGTGAGGACATCTCCATCGTACCCGACGCCCCGGAAGTCCGTTATTCCCGGTACTCGGACGAGAACTTGTCGCCAGTGATCCAACGATCCGTCATCAAAAGCGTAGCGATTGCTGTCGTCGAGACATCGAAAGAGGGTAGTTTCATCCTCCCCATCAGCTCTCATATTTTCATATTTCTCGTTTAGGTCTTCATCGTAGCAGGTCCGAAGCCAGATTTTCTGTATGCCAGTATCCAAATTTGCACAAATATTTCGCTCATAATTTGACTGATGAATGCTCAAAACTTTTATTTGATCATTTGTCAAGTCAGACGGCAGACCATTTGCCAAATCAGTCACCTTCAAGTCTGCTCTAGATTGATAGTCCTAATCAAATATTAGTATACAATCGAGATACCCGGCGGGGGGAGATGTCAGACATATCGATCTATAAGCGATAACGCTAGATATTTCCACACTAGTTCTTCCCATTTCTGAGGGCTTTCCTCTAAGCCCTCGGGCCAATGGTCCTATTTCGTATGAGCTGAGATGGTTTGTTATGCGAGGAATACGCTTACTGCGATGTAGTAATCAAATGGGAAAGCACCGTACCCGGCACCCTCGTCGAGTTTATCTTCCGACATCTTGAAAACCTGGTCGGGCAAATTATTTGGGGGCCAAACAAAAGTGTGTCTCAAGGTGAAGGAAGCGGAACCATGGAATAAATAGCCGAGGGATGACCCTGCGCTAAAGCAGACTAATCTTAGCAAATAGTGCCGATCTTCAGCTCAATTCTTAGCGATATTGGCCCCCTCTTCTTGGCAGGGACTATCCGCGTGGATCCGAGTTATTTTATGTTGGATGTTTGTTCAAAATGTTGGATGTGGATATATTCGCCTCTCTGAAACTAGCACTTCCTAGGTTACAATGCTGGACTTGCCTAGGTAGCTTCGCTAAATCTAGTGCTACATAGGTATCTTAGGGGTCTTACTAGTAATTGAGAGAAAATGCTCTCGGAAGTGAATAAACGTGTATATAAACTGCCCGGTTTGAATGCAATACAAAGAGACTGGTGGAGTTTCGGAATGCTTTAGGAGCTCTAGTCGGTTCGCGGGGATATCCTTCCTCTGTGTTCGTCCTATACGCAGTTCATCAGCCTCTCTATATTTGCTTGATCTATATTCCCCCCACCTCAGTCCTGATTCGGATTCTACGTGTTCCGTAGCTAATCGATGGAAATTCCACTCTAACCTATAAATTTACCTATATCATACTTAACTTATTTTCACTATGAAATAGGTTGTATGCTTTCAATAAAGGATCCCCCGCAAGTACATACTATTTTTAAAAATTGAATCGCATTCTATCGTTGATCGACAAAAACATGCGGGTATATCCAAAACACGCCTTCGCGGAGAAGGTCGGGGGTGGTTCGCAGTCTCAACGATGTGAAATTCAGCATGATCCCGTCCATGCCCTCTTTGCAATGTGGGTTCAGACCCCACTGCCACTATCAAAATGCCCGAGCCCCATCCCGGTGACACTCTAAATCGCTCGAAGTCCGGGTCTTTGATGAAATGCCCCAAAGTCTATGTAAATGCCTTTAGGTGTTTTGATTTCCTCCTCTCCAAATAGTATGCTGGTTGAACGTAGCTCGTTTATTGCGTCGAACCTACATCATGATTTAAACTTGAATATTCAGCTTTTCTAGTTGGTCGACCATCTTAAACTCCACCGTCCAATTTCGCAAAAACACCGAGACCAAAAGGAACACTGTAAAGGATACATATTGGGCGTCGTTCTTATCCTGTTCCCTTTTTCGCGTAGGAATATTGCAAAATGTAACACCGAATCAACCTAGTCGTGTTGAACCTAAGCCACTTCGGGTGCGGGTCTCGAGGCCGCCATCCAAATTTCGGCACCCCGGCCATTCGCCTACTTTTCTACATCTTCTATCAACTTATACCATCGTTGCATAGATCAACTATTCAAGTTTTCAAGATATCCCCAGCAACTTTCAGGTCAACCCCATCAAAATGGTCGGGTCGCTCATTCCTCTTTATGAGAGAATCGATGCTATACTCGTGAGGTATGGCAGTTTCAACTCTACTCAGAAATTCCGCCTTTTAGTGGGAGACTACTACTTGAAATGTGACGGCCATCCCAACTACCTGTTTCCAAATGGATACATCAACGAAATCATCCGCCAAAACATCATGCTCCGACAGATTACCCAGGAAGAAGAAAATATCTCCGAAAGGTACGGAGCCTTGAAGTTAGAAACTACAACTGAAGAGAATAAGAAGCAGCTCTCCGAGTGGCTTCAACGTCTCGAAGATCTTTCCAGGGAATATTGGTTTCATGAACGGGATCTTTATCAACTTGAATCCCGATTCCCAGTTGGGCCGCTCAGGAGAGCCTATGATTCATGGCGATCCAACTCAAAGTGGTATCTCCATCCAGATCTCGTCAATGAATGTGCCGGAAGGGGGGATGCTGCGGCCGGGTCTGTGGATGCTGTGAGAAGCGCCATGAAACTCCAGGAAGAAGACGCGGGGCCGGTCATTGTACCACAGAGTGTGGATGCTGTTCCAAAGCCCGCGGGTTCGAGCTGAAGACCGATAAAGATAAGGAGAGAGTGTTTGGATCTTTTTGGGCTGCATTAGTAGACCCGAAAGACAAAATGTTTCGCCGCCGATATTGCCTAGCGTTCTTCTATGGGGTTAAGTCGGACAGAATCGCCGCGCCAAGATGGACGTGAGTGAGCCTTAATGTGAAAGATTGCCTAAGGAGGGTGACTTGAGGTCACTTTTTATCAGTAATTTCACGAATATTTGCTACGTTCTGTTACTGAGACGTTGTAGATGTTTCAATTGATAAGATACCCACATAATCTGTCTGATCTTGGGCAACGCCTGGCTATTAGCGTTCAGCACTTGAGCGTTACTGCTCTATGCCGAGGCAGATACGTTATGTTGGAGATGCGCGACAAATGCTGCACATCAACAGGTGAAGGAATGGTCAGAAAATCTCAACATTACTGTTGAGTGTATTACACACGCAGACAGCCGCGTGGTTAATATCATCAAAAAACAGAAAACAGAAATAAGGAAGAACACACACACACAGGCACACAGGCACACAGAGAGACGGGGACGTAGACACACGGTATATAAATACGTTGGCCACAGGGAGGACGGCCTGTGCCAGGAAAAGAGGAGGGCGAATCGAGCCGATCCGGCCAAACTCCGGGGCAGGCTCGTAGTAACATTGGCTACAGGGATGACGGCCTGTGCCAGGAAAAAATGAGGGCGAATCGAGCTTCCGGCCAAACTCCGGGGCAGGCTCGTAGCAAATAGAGAAGCAGAAACCGGTCCCTCACAACGCAACCCCGAGCATTGTTCCCATATTCACCATCGCCCGTCCCAAATTCTCAAACCGGTTATCTGTGGTGGCCTGGTTGGCGGGTGCCACAGATGTCGACCCTTCGCCGAGCAGAGTTGCTCCAGGCGGCATGTCGATGTAACGGACCGGGAATGAGCCCCTATCCCCGCTGGTTTTGACAAACCAGGGGGTAGAGGGAGGGCGTGCATCTGTCTGCGTCGTAGCGTCGGCAGTTACAGATGGAGTCGACTTCGTAGCGGCGGTCGACTGAGCGAAATTGGTGTGGTCCCGGGACGTCGTATCGTCAGTCGCAGGGACGGTGTTAGTGGGAACCCTGGGCTTCGTAGCGTCAGCCACAGGGATGGTGGTGATTGATACCATGGGCTTCGTAGCGTCAGCCGCATGGTGCTCGGGGTCTTGTTGGCGGAACAGGGTGAGTTCCGCCGTTTGCCGGCGACAGCAGAGAAACTCTGCGCGTGAATCACCGTTAGTAACCTGGCACCACGTACGAATCGATCTCCTCCAGAGTGGAGGAATCTTACTCGGACGGGTGATAATCCAGGCCCAATAGTTTCGGGCGGTTTCGCCCGCGGTCGCTCCGCGAATGTCAGGATGCGGGACACTATGGTGTATCTATGTTAGCGATCATGAAGAATGTAACGCTTAGCGCCGATCTTCCGGTGCGCAATGATTCTTCGAAAATCAAGGCCAGGACCCAAGTGATGACCCAAGTGATGACCAAAGTGATGACCAAAGTGATGACCAAAGCCATGACAGAAGGTAGAGGGATGTGATAGTGGAAGACAGGGTGAAGTTCCTCGATGATGGAATGGAAAAAGCAGGCATTTGGGACAAATGGGGCATTCAACTCTCGACCAAATCAAAGGGAAAGACTTACAAGTGGTAGCAAAAGATGCCCGTCAGGGCCACGAAAGCAACGAGACTGGCGACGACCACCGTTTGGGTGACGGAGATGGCCATTTTGAAAATCAACAAGGTCTGGGGAGGGGGCGCGCAGGGGGGGGGGGGACCTACGGGTTTGCTTTATACCCAGGATCTTTGGAAACAGCTCACTCAAGATCACTCCGTCGAGATCACTGATCCCCCGGGGGGAAGGTGCTCCTGGTGCATTCGAGCCGCCTACATTGTCTCGTACAGAGACTTTCCTGACGAATTACGAGCCCACAAAAAATGAAAAGTCTGGCAAGATCTGTAAAATAGATCGTCTTTACCATGTTATCAATAAATAACGCGACAAGGGAGCGCGAAGAGCCAGGCACTGCTCAGGATCAGACAAGAGAAGTTGGTATGCTACTGCGGTAAACATTTCAAACACACTAGTAATTCGGTATCGGACAATATCCAATCATAGCTTTACATTCGCACTGCATGATCTCTCCTGATCCACATTCATTGGTCTCTTCATACTTGACCGATAACTCTATTCCATCATCATCTTTGAACATTTTGTTCTGCTACTTCAATCTGACCCATGTAAACAGAAGGATCATGATTCCTGACCTCACCGTTCCGATTTGCTACCACCGTGAGCGTAGAGTTTGAATCGAACCTTGGAAACGGCCGCCCTGTCCATGACGCAGAGTCCCAACACGCAATATAGTACAACATCCAAGTTTGGGCTTTTCACAAATTCGAGGGCTCCGCCGAGTGGTACTCACTAATGGGAGTAACAGTTTGCGATCTTGGATGGTGTATCCAGGGACGGGATCAATGATCATTAGGGCCTCCGCCGGTTGCTTTCCTCTTGGAGAAAAACCAACCAGTCAAATGACAGTACGCTGTAGCTCTGATGCCGCTGCAACGCAGACAGGCAGTCTTATCTCGAGTGACAGTGTTGAAGCCAATGCTACGACATCTCCGTACAGAAAGATACGCTTGAGAGGCCGGAGACGGGTAAATGAGCTCTGCCAATAATCGACTGCAAAAGGCAAAGAAGCCTTCACAAGTCGAGGATAGATGACTGGACCGGGAGAAACCTAGCTTGGGGCAAGAGCTTACCTCTCTCTACAACTGAATGACATTCGTTTAAACAGAAAATGAACAGCGAATCCGATATTCCAAGGCTGTAGTCTAATAATCAACCTACGGCTGACAAAGAACATAACATCCCCCCGGTCATGACGAAGACATCCCCCAGCTTCAATACCACCGGTGAACTCCCCCCGACCTTGAGACCCCGATAAGCCCACCCTACATCACTTGCTTGAACCCAGAGTTTGCTGCAGGAGCCTGTACGGCGGGTGCTGCAGGCCCTGTGGATCATGTGGAAATTATCATGCCCCAGAAATAGAAAATCCTGGCGACAGAGGAATCACACGGAGTGGGTACGTGCCCTTTTCGTCGAAGCTGGTTGTGAGCTCGGCGAAGGGCCGCAAGTAAGACTGCGGAGGCGTCGTAGCGTCGGCCTCAACACTGTTGCTCGAGATCATAGCGTCACTCGAGGTAGGGTCGTCTGTCTGCGTCGCAGCGGCGGCAGAACCAGACAGAGTCGACATCTCAATTTCAGTCGACTTGGTGGCTGCCATCCAAGAGGCAAGCAGCCGGAGGAGATATTGGCGACCATTTGGCGGCGACGCGGAGACCCCGGACGTCGTAGCGTCAGTCACGGGGCGAGACAACACAACAGCAGTCTCTGGGGGGTCCGCAAGGGTAGCCAAAAAGGTGCTCTCGAGGTCGTGTTGACGGAAGATGGTGAGTTCTCATGCAAGAGGGGAGCGGCGCCAGGCTTAAAAGTCGATTGTAGTCAGCTATCTATATCACGCATTTCGTTGAGAGGACCTTACTGGGACGCGCACGGCGGCGCTCCCACAAAAGGCGAGGGGTATCCAGGACAGAAAGTCCTGGGGGAAGAGGGACGTACACAGCGCTGGAGATTATGGTCAGAGTCTCGCCTGGCATGTGGGACATGCGAACATGGCATACAGGTGACGCGATACAATATCCCGCATGCCCATAAAGGCACAAAGAGGAGGGGCCCACAGGCTTTGAAGGGATCTTAATCATGGTATCCATGTTGTGAAAGTGAGTTGGCTCCAGGAAAAAGGTCAAGGGAGGGGAATAACAGACTCTTCTTGGTTTACTTGTTTGCGAGGAAAGAGCCACCAGCAGACATCACTTAGCCCCAAACATGATACTTACCAATTTGAGGTTACGTATGTCCCATGCGTCGAGTGCTGAAGCTGTGGTATCAACAGTGGTCGATAATTTGCTCACCCCTCAACAAAGGTGATTTAATTCCATGACACTCTGTTGTCGCCGTTGTTCTTGTCTCGGGCTAAGTTGATGATTTTGCCAAATGAGTAGGGTCTTCTGGCGGACCCAGTTTAGCGGGAAAACCATTTGTTTAACAATAAAAGCTGCTCCCTGTAACCCACGCTGTACACAGTGATCAATATGGATAAAAGGATTACCGAGCCCGTGAGGGCCATACCTCAGTTGGGGAGGTAAGTTACCATCCCATCATGCACCCATTTGCAGCAGCTCGGGTTTGTATAAGAGGGTCCGGACCCACCACGTGGCACAACCAATCAAACTGCGATATAAGTCTCCACCCGACCCACATCGAAAAAAACTGAAGAGTAGCTCCATAACGGCAAAAATCCACAAACCATCATCCAATAATCCGATATGGTGTAGTGGCTAACATCGCCGTCTCTCACACGGCAGCCGGGGGTTCGATTCCCCCTATCGGAGCATCATTCACCAATCCGATATGGTGTAGTGGCTAACATCGCCGTCTCTCACACGGCAGCCGGGGGTTCGATTCCCCCTATCGGAGTCGAATGATTCACTTTTTGCCTATGTGGTGTTTGTTTTTGCTTGGGGAATTGATCGGACAGTTATAATTGACCTTTTTGGTGGGCTGTAGTGGCTAGATAGCTAAAAAGAGGTATATGGAAGCTGGACAAGTAAGCCCCGTTGGGTGAGGACCGTTATTATATCAATTAAAACGATCAAGGTTAGGTAGCAGCAAATTGGCCATGGATGTGAGGCGGACAAACCTTGGAAGAGTTGTTGGTAGGACGAGGACGAAATAGAAGCTAAAATGAGAAACATTTCAAATCCATGAGAATCAACCAATTTGTACAAAAGAGAGTAGCCTAGGCATAGATTCACCAACTCAAAGGCAAAACGTCAGTGATGAGCAAGTAGTGAATGAGAAACGATAAATGATACGATTCTGAAATCTATCAGTCAAGTACCCATAATGATGCACTATAAGAAAAAGAACCGTGCAATTCGCCCATGCAACGCCATTAACAAGAAGAGGGAATCGTCGAGTCTTGCAACCCAGCACACATGCAGAAACCAACACAAAGGAAACGCTTAAGCCCGCTGCAACGCAGCGTCAACATCCTCCAAAAGTGCAACAAGCTCCTTTCCTCCCTCACTAGTCCTCCCCTCAATCTCCAACCCCTTCAGGATGAACGACTTCGCCTCCGCATACCGACTCATCTCCGCAAGACACTTGGCAACACGCCACCAAGCCTTGACATTCCCCACGGGCTTCGAGTCGACACTTGCCTTCGCATCAATGTATCCTTCCGGCCACGCCTGCTGGCCCATCAGGGCCTGCGCGCGGTTCCCGAAGAGCCCGGCCAATTCTTCGCGGGCCAGGGTTACGGGTTCCCAGCCGGGTCGAGCGAGGGCCATTTCGATGGCGTAGGTGTACAGGCGCACGGCTTCGGCGTGATTGTTCTTGCGGTAGGCGGCATTGCCGCTGTCGCGCAGTTTGGTGATTTGGGCGCTGCGCTTGGGGTTGACGGGAAGTGGGGGTGGGGGAATGTTTGGGGGATCAAGGCTAAGCAGGGAACGGTGCAGATCGTTGAGTTCTTGGAGTTCCGTGTTGATGTTGCTTCTTTGGACGGATGTGTAGGCGGAGGATTGGGGGAGGGAGATGGCTTTGGATGAGGGGTCGATGAATAGCGGGTAATGGTTGAAGATGTCGATTTCACTGGCCATGATTGAGGCGGGTGGACTTTAAGTCCCGGGTGATTTGGTGGTTGTGGGAGGTTGCTGGGAGTTGTTAGTTTGCGTTGCGGACTTGTGTAGATAGACGGAGGCTGGCAAAGCCGCGAATGCTGGAGATCCAAGGCAAAAGACCGGTACATACCTGATGAGAGATAGGAAACTAGTGGATAGATTTCCAGAAAGTAGACAACACTTAATCAGTAGGGATCTCTGTCAAAGTGGAAGTGGACTGACTATCTGCGGCGAGAGAGCAAGCTGTCCAGAACCACACCGACGCGGAAGGCGGTGGCAGAATGTGCCAGGTACAAATACACAAAAAATAGAAACAGAAACCGGGGTATCCATGATTCAATGGGAATATTCAAAGTCTATTTGCCTTCATTCACGTCAAAAGTACAAAATATCGCTACAGACCCGTCGAAAAAGTAACACGGGAAGAGAACCATCCAGGCAGAATCTCCACGAGGGCCAAAGAGAAAAACAAAACTATGCGCCTGCCAACACCGCTCCGTGGTCATGTCCAGGGTACCACAAAGGCAGGGCGACCCGATGATTTTGGGGTATTCGTAGCTGGCATCAAGCCTCCACAGTCCTTCTATAATCTTCCATCATACAAACGCTTCAACCTCATACTCGTCCGTACCCGCTCATTGTCGATGACCCGTAGTCAGGGTGGGCGGACCCGTAATCGGACGGGGTGTATGGGATATTGTGCTGCCCGTGCGCACCGCCGTAGCCTGTGCTGTTGACATCGTGGAGGATACCTCCGGGCGCAGGAGCGGTAGGGTCATAGGCACCGTGCATCGCGTTCCGGCTGCCCAGATCGTCCACCTCGCTCTGCTGCAACAGAGCATAGTCCTCATCGCGGTCACCACGGGAGGAGGCAGCGCCTATGCCGGCCCGTCCGGAACGGAAGTCATCTTCGTCTTCCTCGAAATCGTGGGCCGGGTTGGAGTTGAAGGCGGCCTTGGTCTGGGCAGCGAAGGTCGGGTCAGAGACGGCGTCAGGGAGGGTTCCGGTGCGGCGGAAGTGCATCACGTTGCGGAAGGACATCCATGCTGTGATGGCGAAGAGAACACTATGAGGACCTCAGCGTTAGCACTGGACTTATATTGTCAGAACAGCTGGATCCACTTACAAGATGACAACGCCAATGATGGTCGTCGCCGTGCTGATATTGCACTTGGCTTCATTGCCGTACGCCCAGTTGGCGCAGCCGGACCCGCTGCTAGCGGTTGTGGTGCTGCTCTTGTCGCTGCTCGAGGTCTCGGTGGCCCGGCGGAATTTGTGCGAGCTCGAAGAGCTGGAGGACTTGTCGCTGCTGGAGGTCTTGCCGATGGACTTTCCTTGAGCAACGTATGAAGCGAGACTTACCCATGCCGCGAACCAAAGAACAGCGTAGATAGCATCGACCGTGGCGAAGGCGTAGACGTTTCCGAAGCGACGGGCGCGGGGCCACATGGGCACGGCGGCGAGATAAACCAAGGCCGGGACGCTGCCCCAGCACTGGGGAAGAAATGTCAGCTGCAAGGTTCCTCCAAATTTAGCAGATCAGAAGCCAACGAGAGAACTCACCAGGATCCAGTAAAAGATGGTGCGGCCATCGATGCCATCACCCTTGGTCCAGATCGCGATCGTCAATGCCCACGCAATGAAGACGATAAACGCCTGAGCAAAATGGATGAAGTTTTTGGTCCGCCCCAGGTTCCCACCTGACGGCCGTGGGATTCGCAGTGCCATGCTGGAAAAGGACTGCAAGGGCGTTTCAACCCTTCAGGATTACACCCGATAAGAAGGGCAGGTGTATCGCGGAATCGCAAGGAAGAGAAGAAAGGGAAGCGGAGACTCGGTCGGACACGGTCAGGAATGCGCAGATATGTGGCGGGCGCAAGTTGGGGAATGGACAGCTGAAGACTGAAAGATTGTTCGGGGGACGCGCAGCCTCCAGGAACGTTTCTTGGCTTCGATGTCAGCCTCGTACGTGCAGTGCCACTTTACTCCGTACACTGGTGGATAAATCGTTAAGAATGAAGTTGTTGACGTGAAAATAGGGTGTGAGGGTGAGGTACTTGCAAAACGAAACTATTCCATCTAGCGTTCTACTCCTCGCTGTGCCTCACGATCGCCCAGGCGACAGCCCGTGGTTCTATTTTGGGCCTCGTCAGCCACGGTGGAGTCGTACCGCCTTTTCTCTAACAGCGACGTCAGTCGTCATCAAAGTAATTAATGCTTTACTGGGTCCCACTTTCCGCCTGAGTCGAATAATTTTGTGATTCTTTCGACTGCATACATGCGGAGATGACAATGACACGCTAAAGATAACTATAAGCTTTCCCGAAAAGGTCACGGTAGTCCAACGCAACACATCGTTATTCATAGAGTCGTAATTCATAAAGGATCAACCATCGACACGACCAGTCAACCCCGAGGCTCGAGTCCGCCTCAACAGCACCCAAACCTCTCGCAGTGGCTGGTAAAAGTGGACATGCCACCACCAAGGCAACGGGTCGAGAAATGAGAACTGCGGATTCATCCAGAACAGGAAGGGCACCAGTTCTGCTTCGAGCTTTGTGATCACATCTTTGATGAACTCGAGCGGCAGGGAACGCGGGAGAAGATGAATCACAAGCTCGTTCGCCATGACAGCCGACTTTGGAGGTGAGTTGGGCGATAAGGTCGCCGTCACCTTCCAAGGGGGAGCTTCTGTTGGCTCCGAATGGAGGGCTGCGAGGTACCCAGAGATAGGGCACGTGGCATCACGCAGGAGATTCTCGACAGCTGCGGCGCCCGGGACACAATCCGCAATGTGGATAGTATGACGAACGGACGAGACATCGAAGTCCTCGTCGACCAGCAGCCGAACGGACAGATGACCGGTCATACGTTGGCCTCCTTCGGTCGCGAAACTCTGCATGAGGCGATGGATAGCGGCAGCCAGGCCTTCATCGAGTCGTGAAGCACCCCAGTGAGGAGAACGAGCATCTGAGAGTCGAACCTTGATGGCATGGATATGTCCTCGTACAACCAGTACGTCTGCAAAGAACTCTCCCAGTCGAGTCTGCTGCTGCAAGACCCACGGATGTTCTTTCGAGATTTTGATCTCGCTAACCTCCAAGTACGTCTTGCTGAGAGTACGCTTTGGCAGAGAGACGGCTGCCTCGCTTCCACCCGAGCTGAGGCGATAGGACTTGGTCGGTGACCGGTGCAATATTTTGTGAATAGAATCGCGCGACTGCACCTGATAGTAGGATAGTACGGGGAGATCTCGTTCCTCCAGAAATTCCCTGAAGGAATCCGGGCGAACAAAACATGTGATTAGCTCGGTATCAAATGTAATGCATCTGCAATTAGTTCGGCTCTCGATGACTTGTCGAGCTGTGGCATCTTCGATGGCGGTCGCCTTGGGCGAGCATGGAATCCAGAGGTCGATCTTCTCGCGATGGATGATATCCAGGATTCGCGAGATATAGTGGCCCTTGGGAACTCGGTAGAATGCGAGCAGTGTCTTGGACATGCTCCCGCCTGATCGAATGGGAAGATCGAGGTCGGCGACATCCGCACCCACTACGCGGTGGCCTTCAGCTTCCCAGGCTCTCGCGAGAGCCAGACCGTGCGGTGTACCGACTCCCGTGATCAGCACCGTCTTTGGGTAGAGCTGCACCCCTTTCGATGCTGCCGGACGCCGATCGGCAGCGCGGTGGAGTCGGGAGAGTAACACTGCCATTAGTAGAACAGTATTATCCACAAGCAGCAGCGAGAGTGACACAGCGATACGGAACAGGTGCCAGAACAAGCCCCGTAAATCCTCAGCCGAGGTTGACGCTCGGAGAGTCTTCATGGGGTTCATAGGGAGATGGATTCGTTGTCGCATCGTGAGGACCGCCATGGGAAAGACACTCCGGGCAATCAGCCAGGGCGAGGTAAAGGGTAAGAAAAAGTCGACTAAGAAGGCAAGGACGAGGTGGAATGCAGAGAGGAGCGATCGTGCGAACCCGGAGGGGTGAGCGGCGCTTGCAGGTCGACGAATAATCGACGAGTCATCGTGCGTTGTGTACACAGAGCCTGATACAGTGATGTTCGAAATCAGATATACCACCGTTCTCTCACGAATTAATTCCCGAACCCTAATCGGAAACGCGCCAGTCTAATTTTGGTTTCTCTTTTAGCAATCCCTGCTGAAATGTAGTTATTGTAACTATTGCCGGACAGTGATCGATGAGTCATTGTTATAATACCGTATCACTCCATGGAATTCTAGCCCATGTATCAGTAATGTATGGGCTATGCCGTATCCAGATCCTGGGAGCCAGCTCCCCTCTCACTGCTGATTATAGTTTTTGGAGCGGTGGGGTTGTGGAGACACGCGCGACAGTGTCAGCATGCACAGCACTCCATTGCGCATGACCAAGACCTGGCGAGAAGAACCTCAAAAATTGTTTCCGGCAGTGTCACACCTTCTGCTAGCGACAGTTCACATAACTGGGAAAAGCCAACTACCCGAGAGCTATAAATATGGACCCTAGCACAATAATCCTGGTCCTAGGCGGTACAGGGATGCTTCTGCCTGCGGTGCGCGGGTTGCTGGAGTGTGGCCACACAGTTGCACTGGTTGCTCGCCGCCCGCAGCATGCTGGTGTGCATCCCCGCCTTCTTCCAATCCATGGTGACTGGATTGATGCGAACGGGCTTGCAAGAGGAGTGCGGGCTGCGCTGGGCACCGCTCGACCGTCTAAAGCAATACTTTGGGTGCATTCGCCGTACAAGGCTGCAGTGTATGCTGCCCTCGATAGCTTACTATCCCCAGATGCTGTTGTTGTGGATCTTACTGGAAGTGCTGGCACATCGCCTCCGATAGCCCAGATTCCTGAGCCTTTTTGCCAGCCGCGGCAGTACCGCCAGGTAGTGTTGGGTTTTATGGGAAAACATGGGAGGCCAACCCGCTGGCTGACAGATCAAGAAATCTCAGATGGCTCCTTAAAAGCCCTAGACACTCCTGGCTCGCCACAGGTTGTGGGCCGACTTGAGCCTTGGGATGAGAGACCATAATATCCCTGTCCTGTGGTCGCATCAAGAGCTACCGCATGTTGAGTGCTCCCCACACTTACTGTGTTAGGGGTGCGTGGTTTCGGGTGAAGGAAACAGTGAACTGGATGAGGATAGAAAGTAATACAGATACGCGCGATGAGAGGCATCCAAGTGGTGAAACTGATTTCGAACCATCCTATATCATATTGATTATCTCTTAGCCCAAAGAACCTGAACCATAGGAACACAACTCACAATACACTCCGACTCCTGGATACTTTACAGCCCCTACGCCGTGCTGTCCACATAGAGTCCCTCCCCAAGTATGCTTACCTAGCAAGCCACTCACGACCACATATACTCGGACTGCTCCAGTTGTCCGAGTATCAAGACGGAAGAGTTTACGACGAGGACCCGCCTACCTATGTGCCATGTTGCATAGCCCAACCTGAAATCACTCGGTCGGTCTAAAAAGACGGATGACAGGAAGGAGGGGCACAGCGGTAGCAAGCGTATAGCAGTTTCATGTAAAATACATTATGACAGGTCGTTTCCGATCAGATCGAGCTTGGTAGATTCGGGCCTAATTGCCTGAAATCACCAAGCTCCGAACGAATCCACGATGTCTCGGATACATGTACGGAGTCTCCGTATTCATGGCACAATAACGCCATCACGGTGCACCTGCCAATGAGAAGGGGATGTCGGGTTAGCCAGACCTCTGTTAAGTATTTATCCCCGAGGGGATCCACCGTATTCGGGACCGTATTATTTAATCGCTGCTTAGCTAGTTATATAGACTCGGGATTTGCCATCTGCTCTTTGAACGTCATATGTTTGAACTCAGATTACTTCGTCCTGTTCGTCTTGGTATATTTCCTATCTCGCGAACCCCCGCCACTTCTCAGAGACTGTCGTACTTCTCCGCACTCAGAATGTCTACACATCCGCCGTCGCCTCCTCCCCACTCCCGCCCGGGGGAGCGCTCTGTGCGTGAACCTAGTAGCCACACTTTTATCAATGCGACTGACATCCAGGGTTACTATAGCGTGAGCCCGGTCGTGAGATGAAACTTCTGCACTTCATTTACGGCCAGAAGAACATAGATGACATCAGAGGACATCCCCAGAAGGTGCTCGACCTAATTGACGAATTCGAGAATGACTACCACCTGATGACAGTCGGAGTACCCAAGGGGAAGATCGTGAAGGATCTGATCAATGAAACCAAGCCGAAGACAATGATTGAGCTCGGTTGCTACGTGGGATATTCCGCTATTCTGTTCGGCGATGCCGTGCGTCGCAACGGCGGCGAGCGCTATCTCAGCCTCGAACTTAACCCGGAGTGGGCTGCCATTGCCAATATGCTCATAGAACTCGCTGGTCTGCGAGATTTTGTACGCGTCATCGTCGGCCGCAGTGATACTTCGCTCGACAAGTTGTTCAAGAGTGGCGAGGTAAAGAAGATCGAGCTTATGTTCATTGACCACTACAAGCCGGCCTACACGACAGACCTCAAGCTCTGTGAACAGCTTGGAATGATCCAGCCCGGCTCAGTTCTGGCTGCTGACAATGTCATTTATCCGGGCAACCCTCCCTATTTGGAATATGTCCGAAGCACCGTAGAGCAGAAGCGGGAAGCGGCTAAGAACGGCCCTGTGAAGGGTTACAGCACCCAGGGAATGAAAGACCGCAGTGTGCGGTCCTTCATGCCCGAGGATGACGTGCCTGCCTTCGAAACGGTCGGGAACCCCAACCTCGTGTACAAGAGCGAGCTATGCCAGCCCGAGGGCCAAAGAGTGAGTCGTTCGGAGTTTTCGGAGTTAATTATCACCATATTTCCGTGCATTTACTAATCGAAAATGATTAGGATGCGATTGAAGTGACGCGATGTGTTGGGGTACAGGAAGCATGAACCAGGAACAGGCTGCGGATGAGAAATAGTGGGGACTGTAGCGTGGCTAGAGCCATTGCCAAGGCCAAGATAGTGTGCAGAAATTGCAGGAATTGCCAATTGCTTAACAACCAAGTAAACCCCTTTGAAAACGCCATGTAAAACCATTGGGGTGACAGTGGTCCGTAGTGATGGCAAGCCGAGAAACACGTTGCCACGGGAGGCCGACCGAGTCGGCTTTTGGAACTTGCCCCGCCCGAGCCAGAGGTTGCCGTCGCCAGGACCTTCCCCCGCATCGGTGGGCGAAATCCGTGGGGGTAATAAGAAGCGCGACTTCTGCTCTTCAATTGACTTCTACATACTCCCTCAACCGTCTATTCAATCATGGCCTCCAAGACCTATAACGTTGGTGTGATCGGCTACGGCTTCAGTGCCAAGATCTTCCACATTCCCTTCGTGGAGCAGCTTCCCGAGCTCAAGCTTTATGCGGTTGTGCAGCGCACTCCCAAGTCCGACGACGATGCGGAGAAGGACCACCCTGGTGTCAAGTCCTTCCGCACTACTGATGACATGGTCAAGGACCCGGCAGTGGATGTGGTGATCGTCACTACCGCCCCGGACTCCCACTTTGATCTATGCAAGCTGGCTTTGGAGGCTGGCAAACACGGTACGTGCCGGAATCTCCGATCCAAATATGATCATTACTGATATAAATACTGTGCAGTCGTCTGCGAGAAGCCCTTCACTCCCACTCACAAGGAAGCCGAGGAGCTCGTTGCCATCGCCAACAAACAGAACAAGCTTCTGGCCGTGTACCAGAGTACGTCACCCCACGTGGTACCACTTTTAAACGAAGCATCTTTAACAATGTCGCTCTATAGACCGCCGCTGGGATGCCGACTTCGTGACCCTCTCCAAGCTCGTCAAGAGCGGCGCCCTTGGCCGCATCTCCGAGTTCGAAACCCACTTTGACCGTCACCGTCCTGAGGAGCCCGCCGCCGAGTCTCACAAGTGGAAGAACAAGGTCATCCCCGGTGGCTCCGCCATCTACGACCTGGGCACTCACCTTCTGGACCAAGCAGTGCATCTGCTCGGCCTTCCCAAGCGCGTGACGGCCTTCATCGGCTCCGCCCGCGCCTCCAACACCTCCGGCTTTGAGGACTCCTTTACCGTGCTGCTGCACTACCCCAACAACATGATGGTCACTGCCAAGGCGACTGTCGTCAGCCCCGAGGACGAGCAGCTCCGCTTCTGGGTGCGCGGCGAGAAGGGAAGCTTCAAGAAGGTGAGATCTCCTATAATCTACTCCAAAGAACCCAGCTAAACATATCAATCAGTACCACCTCGACATCCAAGAAGACCAGCTCAAGGCTGGAATCATGCCCCAGGACAACGGGTATGGCCGCGAGCCCAGCGAGCGCTACGGCATCATCACCACCATCCAGAACGGCAAGCCCGTCAAGGAGATCGTTCCCACCGTCGAGCCCCCCACCTACACTGAGTACTACCGCAAGCTCGTCCGTGCCCTTGGTGGCGAAGGCGACTTGCCCGCTAGCGGTGCTGAGGCTAGCCAGGTGATCCGGCTGATCGAGTTGGCTCGTGAGAGCTCCAAGACTGGCCGGACCCTGGACGTTTAGATGGATTTATTGTATGAAAGTGATGACGATTATGATTAGCGGATTGGTAGCTATGTAAAAGAATTGAATGGTACATTGAATCCGATTTTGTGGTGACAATTTGACTATCTCCACTATTCTAGAGTTTATAGGAAAGTTAATGTGTACTCCGTAATCGTGCCATGACCATCAATACCGCTTTATACAAACAAAGAATCGAAATTGCAAATACGACGATGGAAAGTCGCCTTTCCTGCAAATAATGTTCAGAGCAACTACGGTAATCAGTGAACACCTAAGTTGAAGGAGCTGCTTACGCTGACACCAAACAGATGCCAGATCTGCAGCTTGCCGAGCTAGATGCGTCTATCTGCACTAACGTCGGCGGGGTAATATTTGAGCACACAAAGAAAGTAAATGCCGAACTCCAGAATCCACAATCTCAGTAGGGTCTTCATTGTGCAAATCGCTAGCTCCATTAAGGCGTAAGAAGCTATTCCGAATCGGTGCGAACTCCCACGAACACCACTTTGCTGCCCGAGTCGTGGCGGGTCCGTACTGGCGGCTCTCCGACATCTGGCGAGACACATGAGCGCACAGCACAGCGTGGCCAGCCACAGTCTCACTAGCTTGCCTCTCAAACACCACTGTCACATGGGCGTCATGCAGGAGGGCGAGGCCCGAGCAGCCTTGTCCCACGACTCTGGCGCGTTTGACCACCGCGGATTCAAGCTCGACAACCCTTAAATCTATCGGCTGTACCAAACTTCTTATCTGATCTCCCAGAGCCACCATGGACGCAAGTTCGCTGCCCGACTTCGAGGTGTTCTCCTATCCCACGCAATTCTTGGAAACCGACAACAAGAAATGCTCGCCATTAGAAAATTCCATCACCCTCAACATCTCTTCCTCATGGACATACTGTGGACCACTCTTGACGCTCGATGAAAATCGCCTACCCTCCTCATTTCATACATGGGCCGAAGCCACCATCAACGGGCCACTTCTGACCCCTCTATTCTCCTTCTTGGCATTCGTACACGAGTTCCTAAGAGCCAACAATCTCTCAAACTACTGGCTTACCATCAGAGCCAGCACGGGATCAGACGAATTCGACATCCCGCGCTGGCACACGGACGATCTATTCTTCTCGCCGGCTTCAGGGACAATGCGATCATATCGGCGCCGCTCACTACTCTCCCGGCTGTACAGCCGTGATGAAATGACCCATCCAGGCAGCAGCCAACCAAAAAGAAGCAAAGTCCTCGAATCCACAGAAAGAATCCAAGTAATCACATCAACCCCCAACCCGACAAATTGGAAGCTCACCACCACCCTCCTGGGCCCGGGGACACTTTTCATTCCCCAAAAAAGAAGCCCATCAGCCCGCGCCATTCAACGCAACGCTAAACGCAGCGTACGCGCCGCCAATCCAGGTCACGTCTGTCTATCTGTCCGGTGCGTGGGCTGCGCTATGGCAGCGGAGACCGTGCGGACACGACTCGCCGCAGAACTGGGACACCACACCATCGTTCAGGCGCGGTCGGGCGAAAGTGTGTTCTTTCGAGTCGGCGAGGATGAAGGCGCCGTACATTCGGAGCCCAAGTCTCATGGAGATCGCATTTTTGTCAATGTTGTACCCGGGCATGAAGCGGATTTGAAGAGTCTTATGGCGAAATGGGGGATGGAGTATCCGCGTGCTTGGTGCGTGGGATTGCCCTTTCAGGTTTCAGGGGGATGATGGGGTTCATTGGAGAGATGTTGGTGAGGTGTAGATATAAATACCGCGAGGGTCTTTGGGGATACATGCTCATGTTGGGGATTGACTTGGGAGATCTCCCTCGGGCATGTGGTCCAAAGAGAAAGATTGCCCAACATTGGAAAAGAGTACAGGGGGCGATGGAGTGACCCTGTTTATAAGGATAATTCAAATGTTGAATCGATTCAGAGTCAGACGAGCTGTCTTGATGTTCATTCAAGTTATCTGCTCTATGCTACCAAGCCCAATATGATTGACGAAGTGGTACCAGTATACAAAACTTTGTTTAGTGCGTATTCGCTTTCTAGCTTAAACTAGCTTGATCCATAATTCCTAATGTCAGGGGAAAATAAACAGACCTAAAGCCATATAGGTAGATAAGATGGTAAAATTTGAAAGTATAGTTTTCAGGCTGATGAATCTCAGACCAAGGGGTCAGACATTATGCAGCTTAGTTCAAATGTGTCAATTATAAATGAGAAAGATATTCTCCTACGCAGGCGGTGCTATGTACTTGGTGACTTGGTATTCTTGGACGTGATTTGAGGCGAACTTATCTGCCAAAAGTACGAGGGGCCCCGGGCCGCAGTAGCCAGGGAAATTTGAATGAAGCGAGCAACCTCTGTCCTAGGATCGTCGGTGGCTGGCTTGGCCATGGAACCGATGTATCTAGCAACAAGTGCAGTGCTAGACGCAGTGCTCGGTGGAGCATGGGTATATTCGTTCAGATGTACCCGTATCCGTGGGGTTGGCCTACTAGGAAAGACCACGGAACAAGTCCACCCTTATGTCCTTCCCTAGCTGCCCGACTATGTATAGTCTGTACCTACGGACCTCAAGGTACTTAGAAGTGAAACAAACCGCAAGTGGCAAATGAGTGGACACCTCAGGCAACAACGCCCGAGTGCGGTGACGTCTGTCAGCCCCAATCAGATGCTACGTATTCGCTGTTTGGCCCACCGCTCGAATTTTTTTTAAATTTTGGATTTTGACGCTCGACAGGGCAAAATCGAATTATCATCCGAGGAGTTTCTATTATCGCCACTCTCAGATTCCTCATATCTCATTCTATAAGAAAGTCAAAGATTAGCGATTCAAATTCGTTCTATCGATAAGGGCTCACCATTCACACTCCCCGCTGCCCCTCTGCCTTGTCCGCCCCGCCGCTCCACTTTCAGTCTCTTTTTGCATTTCTTTGCCAGTCTCTTCGCGTCTCTCTTTCCTCCCTCCCCCTCCTCCTTCATCCCTTTTCCATTTCAATACCCGTCACCATGGTTTCTGCTTCCAAGGCCGCCCGTATGGCCAAGCGTGGCGACGCTGGCGCCAAGAAGTCCAAGAAGGACGAAGTCACTGGCGACCAGCCCGCTACCACCGACGAGAAGATGAAGGACGTCGAGAAGCTCACCTCTCAGCTGGACAAGCACGGTCTCTCCGATCGTGTCACTACCGGTGTCCTGTCGTCCCTTCCCTCCTCCCGTGACTGCAAGATTACCTCCGCCTCGCTGGTGTTCCACGGCAAGGTCCTTTTCACCGACTCCACCCTCGAGCTGAACTTCGGTCGCCGTTACGGTCTTCTGGGTGAGAACGGCTGTGGAAAGTCCACCCTGCTGAAGGCGATCGCCACCCGCGAGTTCCCCATCCCCGAACACATCGATATTTACCTTCTGAACGAGGGTGCTCCCCCCACCGAGTTTGGTGCTCTGGAGTGGGTTGTCCGTGAGGCTCAGGCCCAGCTGGACGGCATGGAGAAGAAGGCTGAGGAGGTCCTCGAACAGGACGGCCCCGACAGCCCTATCCTGGAAGATCTGTACGACGTGAGTTATTCATACCACTATTCTTGAATTCTTAAATCAAGACTGACATCCTTTTGCAGCGTATGGACAAGATGGATCCCTCCACTTTCCACACCCGTGCCTCTCTCATTTTGACCGGTCTCGGTTTCAACAAGACTACCATCGACAAGAAGACCAAGGACATGTCCGGTGGTTGGCGTATGCGTGTCGCCCTCGCCAAGGCTCTTTTCGTCAAGCCCTCCCTGCTCCTGCTCGACGATCCCACGGCCCATTTGGATCTTGAGGCCTGTGTGTGGCTTGAGGAGTACATGAAGACCTGGGACCGCACTCTTGTTCTGGTTTCCCACTCTATGGATTTCCTGAACGGTGTCTGCACCAACATGCTCGATATGCGCATGAAGCAGCTTCTTTACTATGGTGGTAACTACGATTCGTACCACAAGACCCGCTCCGAGCAGGAGACCAACCAGATGAAAGCCTACGCCAAGCAGCAGGAGGAAATCCAGCACATCAAGAAGTTCATTGCCTCTGCTGGTACCTACGCCAACTTGGTGCGTCAGGCCAAGTCTCGCCAGAAGATTCTCGACAAGATGGAGGCCGATGGCTTCATCCAGCCCGTCATCCCCGACCGTGTCTTCACTTTCCGCTTCGCCGATGTCGAGAAGCTCCCTCCTCCCGTTCTTTCCTTCGACGATGTCAGCTTCTCCTACTCAGGCGAATGGAATGACACCCTGTATGAGCACCTCGATTTCGGTGTCGACATGGACTCCCGTACCGCACTGGTCGGTCCCAACGGTGTTGGCAAGTCCACTCTGCTCCGCCTGATGACCGGCAAGCTCAGCCCCATCGGTGGCCGTGTCAGCCGTCACACTCACTTGAAGCTCGGCATTTACAGCCAGCACTCCGCTGAACAGCTTGACCTGACCAAGTCCTCTCTGGAGTTCGTTCGTGACAAGTTCCCCGAGAAGTCCCAGGACTACCAGTACTGGCGCCAGCAGCTTGGCCGCTACGGTCTCAGCGGTGAGTCCCAGACTGCCATCATGGGCACCCTGTCCGAGGGCCAGAAGTCCCGTATTGTCTTCGCCCTGCTCGCCATCGAGTCACCCAACATGATCCTGCTGGACGAGCCTACCAACGGTCTCGATATCCCCACCATCGACTCCCTGGCTGATGCCATCAACGCTTTCCACGGTGGTGTCGTCGTTGTGTCTCACGATTTCCGTCTCCTCGACAAGATCGCCAAGGACATCATGGTCTGCGAGCACAAGACCGTCCGCCGCTGGGATGGCAGCATCGGCCAGTACAAGAAGTACCTCCGTGACAAGATGGTCAGCGCCGGTGCCGTCTAAGCTACTCACCCGAGTATTTAGCATCCTGTGCTTCCATTTTTCCTTTCTCCTGATGACGACGACATGCTAGACGAGAATCGAAGGAACTGCCTGCCTAAAAGTTCAGTGATCCGGGACCGGAAACCCACCACCCCCAAAAAAGGGTTGGCTCCGTGATCTCCATCTTGGATCTTCTTTTTACTCCTTTTGTTTCTAGATCGGAGGCTTCCTGGTCCGCTATCCTTCCTCATTAGATTTTGAGCACGGGGTGGGCGATCAGTTTATTGTTTTCCTGTGATTTCCTTTTGCTGTGACGAACCCATTCCCCCTCGACACACAGCAGACATGCCTGCTGGTCGAATTTTCATTTTTTACGGTTGTTTTCACCCGCCGTGGTGCATCTTTGATAGAGAATCTGGTGCTTCCCTTGGGACGCTGGATCGTTCTGCTGTTCTGCGTGTCGATGTATCTACGGATCTTCGGGTCGATGACATGAAATGGCTTCTGTTTTATACTTCTACCAGTAGTGTTGCTTTTGATAATCGTAGATCTCGTGATGTAGTAGAAGATAGATGTATTTGAATTTAAATTGTGTAAGTTCGTTTAGATTGCGACTTTGAATGATTCGGTTCATTTGCAGATTCCTGCTCCAGGGGCTGTAAGAGATCAGCCAATTTATGCCCGGTGGTGAACTCCCGTCATGTGGTAGTTCACTCAAATAGTGGTCTCGCAGTACGAGTTTCAACCTGCCCAATCATCAACACCTGTTCTCGGTGGAAAATGGCAGCAGCAGCGATGGTAATGACAAGGTTTGGTTGTAAAGCTTCGTCTCGTCGTTCGTACAACCAGCTTTCGAGCATGGCGCAGGCTTGCAAACCGCTTCAAATTATCATGATACATATCTGGCAACTGCAAAGCTGACGCAGTCGACAAAAGCCAATTCGCTCAATCAATGCTTAGTCCGCTCAGCCACCAGCTCCGGCCCAAACATATCATTCGCACTGCGCTTCTGTTCCTCCAATTTGCGCTTCTTTGCAAGGCGCTCTGACTCCGTCTCAGAGACCGTCGCCGAGTCAGTCGCAGAAGGCGGCGGCTGGGCCGAGTCGCGCTTCAGGTTGACTTTCTCGGGGTTTTGACAGTGGTAGAGCTTCTTTGCGATGCGCTTAAGGTTCTTCATTTGATCTGGGTCGGAGGAGAGAGGTGTGTATGACTGGAGAAGAGCGGCGCAATCAGAGATGACCTGAAAGAGTTTTATGCGAAGTTCATAGAGAGGGTTCTGGAGATTGTTTTGGTTGTTGTCGGTCGTTTGTGCGAGGGGACCACCGAGCTTGGTGTCGAGGTAGAACTCAGCCAACGGCCGGTCTGCGAGTAGGAAGGCCGAAAGCCATATTTGTGAAGGGGTATAGAGGAAGTATGCGTCTGTCATTTGGGCGGCAGATTTGAGTAACTCGCGTGTTGCGCCGTGAGCGCGGCCGATTCGGTCTGCGATTGAGGAAGATGGTGTAGGAGATGGCGCAATTGCAAGAAGCCCGCGCTGGAGATCTTGGGGTGTTTGGTTGGGTAGATGGGGTGCGGGTTGGCCTTGTCCTTGTGCAATTGCTGAAAGCTCCATGACGCCGCCTTCCAGTCCGCGGAACGGGTGCCGGACGTCGAATGTGAAACGGAGTCCTTGCATAATCAGGAATTCGGGGGCGATGACTTTCTCTTCCGATGGTCCGCCTGGGATACCGGCTGCGAACTGCCGGAGGGACATGTAGTAGTTGTCGGTCTTGGTCGCGAGGAAGAGCGCGCACGCCATGATATCTTTGGGGTGATAGGTCATCGGAGAGTTGGTCAGGTAGAATCGGCGGAGGTACTGTATGGCAGTTGCCTATGAATTAAGATGAAGACGTCAGTTTGATTCTCTTGTTGGCAGCTCCAACTGCCTCGAGTCTCTTAAATTCCAACTTACCCGGACCATGGTGGGCAAAGGAGGCTTGTATTCATCACCCAGCTCTAACGTTTTCTCACAGTAATATGTGACCAAAACCAGCTCCTCCTCTGGGGTCAGACACTCAATTGGCTTCTCATCGGATCTCTTTGTTTCGCCATCGCTCCCAGGTTGCGGGGTCCCGGCCGCTGATAGTGTGGCGGACGGATGGGATTCGCGACTTCGCTGTATCGCAGCTCGCACGCGTTGACTGGCGACATCATTCGTTTTGTTTCGCAGGGACTGAAGCGATGGCTTTGTATAAGACCATAGTCGGTATTGGGAGGAGGTGCGGTAGATCTCATCTTCGATCATGGTGCTCAAAGACCCTGCTTTTGCTGCAGGAAGATGGCTCAGAAGCAGGCTTAGCAGATGACCTCAGCTGTATGGATTGAGAAATTGATGAAGGAGAACAGCTTTAGAGGAAAGGGATCATGAGACAGTCGAGGGTTACCAGCGAAGCGAGCAATGGACGAGGCTCCGTTCGTCGCGGACGTTGACGAGGTCGGGTTTGATGCGCTTATCGATAACGCCATTTGCCTTTATAGTGTGGGCTCACTCTACAATTGAACAACGCTTGGACAACACCTTTACATTCGATTTATCCGCGCAAAATCGTAATATTTGAATATTTGTTATGCAAAAAGCCTCCGTAATTATACATGGCTTTCCTTTTATCATTCAATCATCACGCATCAAGGCCAATTCCAATATATTCTTCCAAGGTTGGTCACCGACTCCTACTCCCCGAGCAGCCGGGCAGTGATATCTCCCATTTGACCATCATTCAGCTCCTGGTCTTGGCTTCCATTCGTATCGAGACCAACAAAGCGGAAAGCAGATACGACTCGTTCCACATCGAATCCCATGCCGCAGAACCGATCAACCAAATCTTTGTTGTATCCGCCGTATCTGAAGTTCAACTGTGAGCTTCTATTTTGGATCAATAAAACATATCTGATGGGACTTACTTGGCCAGATCATCCCTGGCAGCGGTTAATTGCACATCATTTGCTCTGTCCATATCTCCTCCGGCGCCAGTCGAAGGTGCACCGGCATAGATCACAGCCCATTGCCGTGCAACCCGCTCAAATTCCCTGGGATTCTGCAGCATCATATTCGCAACCTCCGCATCCTGCGGGTCTTTCGGCTCCGGGGTACTAAGAAGTGATTGCAACGAAAGTAGGGAGGATTTGACGGTTAAAACGGGCGACCAAGCATTTCCAAGGGTATCAAGACAGATAGCGCCCTATATTCGTTCCAATAAGTTATGGTCCCCAAGTGTTGGTAGCGTGAGCAACCCTCTTACCGTCTGACTGCTGATATTCGGATGCCACACTTTCGTCTCAAACTTCATCACTGGCGGCCGGAAAGGATAATCGGTAGGGATTTTGATGTCGATGTTGTAGGTACCGCCTTGGTACGGAGTGTCTGGCGGTCCTGGGAAAGAGCCGCGGAGATGTGTGATATCTTCTTGGTTGCCAATTGGCTCGACCTGGATTTGAGAATCCTTGTCTTTGTGGATGTCGGCAAGTTCTTTGCCAACTCGGCGCATGCGATTGCTAGCCATCTCGATTTGCTCTTTGCGTTAAAGCGTACAGGTAGCTATGTGATAGAAGGGCGTGGAACTAAGGTGCCGTGTTTTCAGCCTTAAGTGAGGGCGAAGCGATCGGGTCTCGGGAAAGGACTCGGATAGATAGAAATGAAATCGGAGAAGAGGAAATATGTACTGCGAAAACCATTGTTAGGATGAGGATTGCGAGTAAATTATCATACGATCTGAAGCAGATGATTCATTGCGAGGCAGCAAGGGCAAATAACAAAAAGCACAAGATAGCGATCTCACCAGTGGAGGGGAAGTATGAGGGGACGTTGAGCTCTTACCGTCTCGAGCTTTAAAGAGCTCCACGGTGACACGAGGGTGATGGCTGATAGTGCGTGCCAATATACCGCCGAATCTGCGGAACAAGCTTCGGCTCGAGGTCAGTCTCAGTCCGAAGTGTCTGCAGCTCGATTGTCCAGGATAAGAAGAAGCTTGGAAGACCGCGGGCTCAGGCATCAAGGCAGCAATGACGCACGGCCTGAGGCCCAGATCACGTGCCGGCGGCAACAGCTCACAGCTCGCAGACCCCCGAGCAGCAACATCACAGCCGTGACAGCTCATCCCTTCCACCTCTGATTCCCCATCCATCTTCAGCATCCACGTTCTTGGAGATTGCGATCTTGTCATTCTGCTTGCTGTTATTCTTTTCCGGACGTCGACAGTGATCCTGTCGCTGGCTTACAAACATGGTTGGTGACCCTGCCTACTCGAGCTCTCGTCCTGCCGATTGCCTTTACTAACGTGCTACCGAACAGGGTAACCAGCAGTCTAACATGGGCGGTGGCCCTGGTGGTGATGGACGCGATGATAAGGATAAGAAGGTATGATTCCATCCTGTTCCTTGCTACTTGACCAACTCTGACATCGCGCCTACAGAAGGACAAGCCCCGATACGAGCCTCCCCCGCCGCCTACCACCCGCCTTGGACGCAAAAAGCGCAAGGCTGCCGGTCCCAGCACTGCCGCAAAGCTCCCAGACATCTACCCTACCTCGAGATGTAAGCTGCGCTATCTTCGCATGCAGCGGATCCACGACCACCTGCTGCTCGAGGAAGAGTACGTCGAAAACATGGAGCGGCTACGCAGGGCCAAGGCACAAGCAACAAAGGGGCCCGTTAGCGATGGTGATATGGATGTGACGGACCGCAACGCAGACGAGCGGAGTCGTGTCGATGACATGCGAGGCAGCCCGATGGGAGTCGGCAACCTGGAGGAGTTGATTGACGATGACCACGCGATTGTTTCCAGCGCCACTGGCCCTGAGTACTACGTATCGATCATGTCCTTCGTCGACAAGGATCTCCTCGAGCCCGGCGCGAGCATTCTCCTGCACCATAAGTCAGTCTCAGTGGTCGGTGTTTTGACCGAGGAGTCTGACCCTCTCGTGTCCGTGATGAAACTTGACAAGGCTCCTACGGAGTCATACGCCGATATTGGTGGTCTTGAGTCCCAGATCCAAGAAGTCCGAGAGTCCGTAGAGTTGCCATTACTACACCCCGAGCTGTATGAGGAGATGGGTATCAAGCCACCGAAGGGTGTCATTCTTTACGGTGCCCCGGGTACCGGAAAGACGCTACTTGCGAAGGCCGTTGCCAACCAGACAAGCGCTACCTTCCTCCGAATCGTTGGTAGTGAGCTGATCCAGAAATACCTTGGAGATGGCCCGCGCTTGGTCCGTCAAATCTTCACAGTTGCCGCTGAGCATGCCCCTTCCATCGTGTTCATTGACGAAATTGATGCCATCGGTACCAAGCGTTACGAATCGCAATCTGGCGGTGAGCGCGAGATCCAGCGTACCATGCTGGAGCTTCTCAACCAGCTTGATGGTTTCGATGACCGTGGCGACGTGAAAGTCATTATGGCCACCAACAAGATCGAGACCCTTGATCCAGCCCTGATCCGACCCGGTCGTATCGATCGTAAGATTCTCTTCGAGAACCCTGACCGTGAGTGCTCCCCAATATTTCCCATACTTGAATGCCTATCTAACCTGCCTCTAGAAAACACCAAGAAGAAGATCTTCACCTTGCACACGTCGAAGATGTCACTTGCTGATGATGTTGATTTGGATGAGTTCATCAACCAGAAGGACGACCTCTCCGGTGCCGACATTCGTGCCATCTGTACCGAGGCCGGTCTGATGGCCTTGCGAGAGCGACGTATGCGGGTCCAGATGGAGGACTTCCGCTCCGCTCGCGAGCGCATTATGAAGACGAAGCAGGACGGTGGCCCCGTGGAGGGATTGTACTTGTAAGTGCTGATCAGAGCTCTGCTGAGGAATTCAACTTGCTGGTCAACGTCTGCACTGGACACCTCATCTGGGCGCATTGTGTATTTTAATGTAACGCATGCGAATGGCGGAAGCGACAAACACCCATATATTCTCGATTGCTTCCTTCTATGATTATTTCTTTAATCCTCTCGGAGTCTTTTAGTAGCCCGGAGGCGATCTTTCCCTTGCTGGGCCGGTAAATTTATAGATTCGTAGGTTGTCCAGTTCCATGGAGCAGCGGCCAAAAATGGTGCAAACAGTGCAAACTAGCTGGGAGCTCGATCTTATCGTCGTCGCAAGTTCTTCAACTCAACCTCTCCAACCTTGCACAATGGACGGCTTCGACGAGGAAGCTTTCAAGCAATTCTTTCCCTCCAGCTTCGGGAAGCAGGAAAAGTCCGTTGATGTTGATTCCCAGATCAATCGGTCCAAGCGCGCGGAGGTTTCTGTCCCAAAGCCTCCCGCAGACGACGACAGGAGAGAACTAACTGCATCCACCACAGCTGGCCCTGCAGAAACAGAAAGGAAGCCGCAAGAGCCAAAGGACAGTGATGATGACTCGGATGATGATGATGATTCCGAGGACGAGGATGACGAGGACGAGTTTCCCGTGTCCCACGAACTAGTCATGAAGACGCATGAGCGCGCAGTGACGACGATGACCGTGGACCCGTCGGGGGCGCGACTAATCACAGGTTCTACCGATTGCACGCTTAAGCTGCATGACTTTGCCTCCATGACCCCTTCCACCATCCGCGCTTTCAAGTCCGTCGATCCGTCCCTTAAGAAGCAATCTGCGGCGCAGGATACACACGCCGTTCACTACGCTGCCTTCAACCCGCTGTCCCCCGGCCACGTTCTGGTCGTGACTGCTACGGCACAACCGCGAATCCTCGATCGAGATGGCGACACCTTGACCGAGTTCGCAAAGGGTGACATGTACCTGCGCGATCTTCACCATACAAAGGGACATGTCTCGGAGGTATCTAGTGGAGCTTGGTGCCCATCTGATGAAAACTTATGTGCTACTGCGGGATCGGACAGCACTGTGCGCATCTGGGATGCCAATGTCGGTCGTTCACAGAAGGAAGTCATTGTCCACAAGTCAAGAGTGGCTGGGTCTGCTGGACGGACCAAGATGACAGCCGTCACCTGGGGATCCCCGAAGCAGGGTGGATCAGACATTCTGGTTGCTGCTGCTCTTGACGGCAGCTTGGCTATGTGGAGTGGCAATGGTCCTTTTACTCGACCTGCCGGTGAGGTGCGAGATGCACATACCAGAGACACCTGGACCAGTGGACTGGATGTCAGCTCTGATGGGCGATACATTGTCAGCCGAGGAGGAGATGATACAATCAAGCTGTGGGATACCAGAAAATTCAAAATGCCGGTGACAACTACATCACATCCCTCGACATCGTTCCGCTATCCCACATCGAACATCCAGTTCTCTCCATCGTCGGCGAATATTATCGTCGGCTCAGAGACTGGTCACTTGCATATTCTCAACCCAGCGCTGAAGCCCGAGCTGGTAACCCCCGTCACGACGGGCTCCCCGTTGATCACTGTTATGTGGCATGAGAAGCTCAACCAAATCTTGACCGGCTCAGCCAACGCCGAAACCCACGTTCTTTATAACCCGACAATGTCTACAAAGGGAGCTGCCTTGGTCATGTCGAAAGCACCCAAACGTCGACACGTGGACGACAATATCTCATTCACCACAGACCTGGCTTCCGGGCTTGCTGGCGATTCCGTGGTGGTTGGATCCAACGGTGTCCCACATTACAGCTCCGCGACCTGGTCTGCCCGTCATCCAAATGTTGGACTGACAGCCTCTGGTCGCTCTCGAGACCCTCGCCGACCACACTTGCCGCAGGTCACGCCGTTCGCCAAGTCTCAGTCCGATGAGAAGTATATTCGGGAGAGCATCCCTCTAAGCTCCATGCGCGATGAAGATCCCAGAGAAGCTCTTCTTAAGTATGCGGACAAGGCCCAGAAAGACCCTATCTTCACGAGAGCATATCAAGAGACACAGCCCAAAGCCATCTATGCAGAATTAAGTGACGAAGAAGAGGACCGTGGTCCTGAAAAGAAGAAAGCGCGGCGGTGATCTTCAAGTTCCACCTTGATGCCCTTATGTACTAGTTTCTACAAAATGCCCATACTCATCCGCAGTGATCTTAAATCAAAATGAACATGAAACCAAACAACGCGTACGCGTAGCTGTAGCGAAGCAACTCTACACCGATCTCGAGACAAGCAACGCATGGCCTCCTTGCATAGCTCAGGTATGTGACCACCCCTCTTTTTGCCGCAGACATGACGTCCCCCAACAGCGGGATCATCGCAGCACACGAAGGCCGCCCGAGCTGCCAATAATACATCAACACCGCAAGCTTTGACCTCGCGCGAGCTTCGGATGCACGTTTCACTCAGCGGTGCGTTGTGGCTTACATTAGTCTTCTTAGGTCCAGAGTAAGGAGCGCCGGTGGGTGCTGACATGAGCATCTCTCCGCTCCAGCTTTCTCCGTGCGCTGCCGCCTGCTTGCAAAGTCCATGACCGTTGTTTGGTCGAGAATCGATACCCCCGACTCAGCATGCCGTCTTTATGAAATGCTCACCTTTCACTCCTTGATTTGAGTCGACTCTAGTTGAGGAAGAGCTCCGGTGTACTGGAGTTTTCGATCGGTATCCCGAGTCGACCCCGGTGGATGCGACCACTATCGCACCTGGTTTCTGCCTCACTTCTATCCTACGCGACCAAATGGACTCTTCGCAGCAACAGCTGGTAGCAGGCCTGCTTACCTCACTCGTTACTTCGACCATCGCGCCATCTGCCACAACTCCGAGCTCAGCCTCCTATTCGCGCTACGCTCATTCCGTACCTCCTTCTTCGACCGCGGCCCCTCCGCATAACCACAATGGCGACGAAAATGGCAAAATGCATGAGTGGTCGTCCCTGATTGGGATTGTCACGGCGTTGATCGGCAATGTCTTGATTTCTGTGGCGCTCAACATCCAGCGCTACGCGCATCTTCGAATCTCTCGTGAATGGGAAGAAGATAAAATCAAGTTGGAGGCTGACTGGCGGCGCACGCATTCGGGGTCCTCTACGGAAAATCAATATGGGAGTGTCGGAGACGGCGATCAGAACGGATCCCGAGGACGGCCGCGCAATCAAGACCGGCGTAATGGAGGGCGCGGCTTGGAAGCGTACCGTGATGAGGACGACACTCCGAGAGACAGACATGATACGCATTCGCGCGGTTCCTTTGCGTCCGATCGAACTGCTCGCCCCGAAGACGGAGAAGGTCACCAACGCAAGTCCTATCTCAAGTCTCCATACTGGTGGGTTGGGATTGTGCTCATGTGTCTTGGGGAGATGGGCAACTTCATGGCCTACGGATTTGCGCCGGCTTCTATTGTGTCTCCTCTTGGCGTTGTGGCTTTGATCTCAAACTGCGTTATCGCGCCATGCCTGCTTAAAGAGCAGTTCCGCTCGCGGGATTTCTGGGGCGTATTGGTCGCCATCGCAGGTGCCGTGGTTGTCGTGCTCAGTGCTAAGGACTCTGAAGAGAAAATTGGCCCTGATGAGATTTGGATGATGATCACTCGCTGGGAGTTCGAGCTCTATCTAGGATTGACCATTTCGCTGATCGTTGGCCTTATGTGGGCTAGCTACAAATATGGCTCACGCTCAATCCTTATTGACGTTGGGCTGGTGGCGCTGTTCGGTAAGCCCTGTGTGGGATTTCTGTATGTAATAAAATGCTAACGGGACATTTAGGTGGATACACGGCTCTTTCTACCAAGGGTGTTTCGTCGCTGCTGTCATTCACCCTCTGGCATGTCATTACTTTCCCTATTACATATCTGCTCGTCTTTGTCCTTGTCTCCAGCGCTTTGATGCAAATTCGCTATATCAACCGAGCTTTGCAACGTTTCGATTCGACCCAAGTGATCCCGACCCAGTTTGTCCTCTTTACTCTCTCCGTCATCGTCGGTAGTGCAGTCCTCTACCGCGACTTCGAGTCAATGACGACTGAGCGTGCCGCGAAATTTGTGGGAGGCTGTTCATTAACATTCCTGGGAGTCTACTTCATCACAAGCGGCAGGATTCGTTCCGATGACGAGTCTACCTTTTCTACCGAAGACGAAGAAGAGGCCATTGGCTTGCTTCACGGCGAGCGATATCATGACCGGCTTGATCTATCTCCTCCGGGCAATCAGATCGGCTTGTCTAAAGCGCTTCATTCCACTCCTGGTGTAGAGTTTGATGTTGGTCAATCACCCTCAGGGTCACTCGTGAGCCGTGGGATCGACGACGTCGATGAGAGCCAGCTCACCCCTCGGGGAGTCCTATCCGCAGCAGAATCCTCTCCTGCGGGCTCATTGGCCGCCGTTTCAACTCTTTCGGGCCCCTCGCTCGATCACATGTCGCCTCTTCGCCCTCCTTCTCGCATGTCTAACCCCTGGGCAGACCCGGATCAAAATGTATCGACTCCCAAATCTGATACGGAGATCTACCGCGCTGCCACCCCTTCACCTCGGGCTGGTGATTCGACCCAGGAGTCCACCGTACTTCTTCGCTTCCCTTCCGCACCAGGGGTAGTAGAGTCAACTTCTGGTGATATGCATGCAACTGTTCGACGTGCCTCAACCCCTGCCGTCGGAGATGAACCCCATGTTCTTCTCGAAACACCCACCAGACGCGTTTTGCGCAACTCCCTCTCTCACCGCTTCTCCCCCGGTCCTCTCCTCCCTACTCTCTCGGGCGGTTTCAGTGCCGTGGTTGCGGAATCTCTCCGCCGCGGCGAAGGCAGTCCTTTGAAAGACCGCAGCAGGCGGAAACTCGGCCGCCGGAGACAACTGGACGGCGCATTTGACCGGGGAACGGGTCGTTCCCAAGAGGGGGATCTCGGTCATGTGGGCGCCGATGGCGATGGCCATGATTCTGCGTTGACAATTGCCAATGCTCGACTTCAGTCCGCTACAAACCTGGTCGGGCCATCCGTCGAAGTCGGTCGTTCCACTCCTGCCCTTGCTAGCGAACTCTACACAACGCAGTCCCGCAAGACTGATGAAGAAGTCACACGGCTCCGCAGCTTCAGTGACTCCTGGAGCGATGGTCTCGCCTGGCTGGGCGGTGCACTCAAAAAGAGCAATACAAACGTCGACAGTGGCGCGGTAACGCAAGGCACCGTAACTCCGCAGGTCGGCGAGGAGCCATCGGCACAGGGTGAGGACGATCAGCACAACAGTGCTAATGCCGAGTTCGAAACTCGGACATAACCGCAGCAAGGGCTTTGCCACACTTGGCCTTTGTGACTAGACCGTACATGAAGAGTGGCTGGGTCACTCAACCTTTTCATAACCCCCTCATTATCATTTCCTTGTTTTTTTCTACACTTCTTTCTCGCGAAGATTTTTTTTTCTTGTTGGTATAAATGGGCTTGTAATAGGCATTGCATTCTGCGGGGTATATTCTGTTAGGCATTTAATCTCCATTCTGTCTCATTTTTTCATCGGATTGAAGTCAAGGGCGGGCCTGCGTCGATTGATCCCTGTCATGTCTCATCTCACATCCTTTGTACAATTCATTTTATTCAAATATTTAAACTCACAGCAAAAAATATCCACTTCATCCACTCGAATTGAACAGTTAACAGAATCTCAATTCCGAAGACTAGCTACATCTCGCATGGTGCCTACCCCTTGGTCCTAACGGGGTCCTGTTATAGGTGGAAAAAGGCGAGACGGATGTGCCGCTGCAGATATGCATTTATCCCGCAAAGCGTAAATCCCCAACATCCTGAATTTAGCCGCTAATTATCTCCTCACTAGTTACCTCTCACTCAGGTCTCCAAGTAAATAAGACGGACCCTCGCCATAGACGCGGGGTGTTGCTCCGTTTCCGTATAGTCTTAGTGTATATAGATCCTGCAACCATGATTTGGCCATGGTCATCTCATCTCCGTGATGCATACTAGCCTGGAAAATAGGACTCCATATAACGTTCCACCATTCCAGAATGAGCAGGGTTTGCGGTGCGATGGAGCAAACCCCGAGGTTTGTCCCCGCGGGGTCGAGGAGTTGCACCCGACCAAAGTGTCTTATATGTAGCTTGGGTCAGCGATGGTTTTCTCTAAACATTTATCTAAGTCAACAAGCTTTATACCTTTTGATCCCGTGTGCTAGCCTGCGGTATTTACTTGGGAACAAAACGAGGAGTTTTCTGTTCCCACCAAGATGAAAGTCAACGGTCTTTCGAAGGGGTTGTTCCTAGTGCAGCTTTTTGCTGCAACTGTTCTTGGAGACCTTTCGAAAACTCCGCTCTACAAAGATGCCAATGCGCCTGTTGAGAAAAGAGTTGAGGACCTGCTGGGTCGGATGACGGTCGAGGATAAGATGGCTCAGTTGATGCAAGGTATGTTCTCGAGATGGTTCAATTGTTTTTGCATACGATAATTGTGCAAACTAATAATGCACGTAGGCGATATTACAAATTGGATGAACCAAACGTCAGGAGAGTTCAACTATACAGGGCTTGTGGCAAACATGGAGATGAAAGCTGGCTCTTTCTACGGTATGATTCTATCTTCAGCGGCATTTGTGCGCTCGGAGAATGGTGATTGACAATTGGTGCTTACGATTGCAGTGGGTTATCCTATTCCTTGGGATTGGCTTTCGGACAATATCAAGAGGGGTCAAGACTACCTTCTTCAGAATACCACTCTCGGAATCCCTGCCCTGGTGCAGACTGAAGGTACACCTTGTTTACCGAGCTCGGGCTCAAAGAATACTTTGACTGATTATATTTTCGTCTGGTAGGTATCCACGGGTTTCTGATTGGCAATGCCACAATCTTCAACTCTCCTATTGGGTATGGAAGTTCGTGGAATACCGATGTAAGTGGCTCAGAGCTACCAAATCTTGTATGGTTCAATTTCTAATAATCATGCTGCAGCTGGTCCAGAAGATGGCAGAGGTCATCGGCCGGGAAGCTCGGACACTTGGTGCTAGCCAACTCTTCGCCCCTGAGGTTGGTTTGGCTCGCGAACTCCGCTATGGCCGGGTAAGACCCAAAGCCCCTTCTCAATACATGAACTGACAGATATACAGGTCGAGGAAATATTCTCCGAGGATCCCTTCCTGGCAGGCGAGATCGGCTATAGCTATGTGAAAGGACTGCAGAGTAAGAATGTTTCGTCGATGGTGAAGCATTTCGTTGCATACAGCAACCCAGAGCAAGGGTTAAATACAGGACCTGTGCATGGCGGCGAGAGAGAACTACGAACAACGTACGCTCGAGATCCCCGCCAGTCAGAGATATACTGACCTCTTTCCAGCTGGATGCCATCATTCAAGCGAACCATCATTGATGCTGGCGCATGGGGAGTCATGGCGGCATATTCCTCGTGAGATAATTCCAGGATAACGCAGAGAAATCATTGATGTTAATACTGAGTTGACAGATACGATGGTGTTCCACAAGTTGCTGACTACCACACTCTCACGGAAATTCTGAGGGAGGAATGGGGCTACGACTACTTTGTCATGACTGATGCTGGTGGAAGTGACAGACTTTGCACCGCCTTCCAAATGTGCCAGAGTGACCCTCTCGACATGGAATCGGTCACCGAGCAGCTGTTGACGGCTGGTATTGACGTCGAGATGGGAGGCGGTTCCTTGTAAGAAAAGTCCACGATTGAACGATTGAAACCGCACCGGGATGGTGTTAACTCCAGTACAGCAATTTCCAGAAAATCCCAGAGCTCGTCAAGTCTGGAAAGTTGAATATTTCGGTCGTCGACAATGCAGTATCCAAATTGCTCCGGGCCAAGTTCGAAATGGGCCTTTTCGAGGATCCCTATCCCGCTGCTCCGGAGAACCAGTGGCATAGCCTCATCAATAATGCCGAGGCGAAGCAGGTTGCGAGAGATTTGGACAGAGAATCTATCATTCTTCTAGAAAACCATAACGAGACACTTCCACTGAAGAAGTCCGGCAGTATTGCGGTTATTGGACCTATGGCATATGGGTTCATGAACGTAAGTTGATAGTCCCTGCCATCAGCTTCGCACCCAGTATCCAGATCGGATATCTAACTTGACTGCATCGCATAGTACGGTGACTATGTGGTCTACCAAAGCCAATACCGCGGCGTTACTCCACTCGACGGCATCAAAACCGCCGTCGGCGACAAAGCCCAGATCAACTACGCTCAAGGATGCCAACGGTGGAGCAACGACCAATCTGGATTCGACGAAGCAATTGAGGCCGCGAAGAAATCCGACGTTGCCGTCGTAGTGGTTGGAACTTGGTCTCGCGATCAAGTCCAGCTTTGGGAGGGACTGAATGCAACGTGAGTGAGACATTTTCACCCGGCCCCACCGCGATACCACGACACCGTTCATGCCCTAACTACAAAGCAGCACCGGTGAGCACGTGGATGAAGACGATCTATCTCTCGTTGGGGCCCAGGCTCCACTGATCCATGCGATTGTCGATACTGGTGTTCCCACCGTGCTGGTGTTGTCTAGCGGCAAACCCGTTACAGAAACATGGCTTTCCAACACCACCGCAGCCCTAGTGCAACAGTTCTACCCATCCGAGGAAGGAGGTAATGCTCTCGCTGATGTACTTTTCGGTGATTATAACCCGTCTGGAAAGCTGTCCGTCAGTTTCCCTCGCTTTGTGGGCGATCTGCCCGTCTTCTACGATTACCTGAACTCGGGCCGCGCCATCACCAACTCGGGCTACGAGACCTGTAATGGGACCCTTGTCTTTGGCCATCAATATGTTCTAGGCAATCCCACGCCATGGTACCCATTCGGCTATGGCAAGAGTTACTCCACTTTCAAGTATGGGTCTGTCAGTCTCGATCACAGCCAGATTTCTGCGTCTGACAGCACCGTTACTGTTTCCGTTGACGTGACCAATGCTGACTCGAAGCGAGACGGGACTGAGGTAGTCCAGGTCTATGTCTCGGATGAGATCACCTCGGTGGTTGTCCCGAACCGACAGCTCAAGGGCTTTGCGAAGGTGGTGATCCCTGCTGGACAGACCAAGACTGTTAAGATTCCAATCAAGATTGAAGATCTTGGGCTGTGGAATACCCGTATGAAATATGTTGTGGAGCCAGGCAATTTTACTGTGCTGGTTGGAAGCAGTTCGGAGGATATTAGGGGCAATGCTACACTGACTGTACAGTAATGGTCAGTAGTAAGGTAGTCCCAAATCAGTCTCCCAATATTGTTGACTTTCTAATTTGATATTTTTTGAATATTTTCATGTGTTTGGAACCCATGTATCACTTTTATTTTATACCGATGGGTATCATCTATATCCATGGGGAAGAATGGGAATCATGGGCGGAGCGCTGTTCCATATCCGACTGCAGAGGCCAATTTTCCATCGTATCAGGCCCAACTCTTGTCAGGGTCAATCTCTTGTATGCGTTGGCATTTTCAGATTGCGCTCTCAACAATTGCTCCTCATTCTCGTCTGTGGAGTGTTCCACTTCCTGCTCGAGGCTCAGGATAACCTCAATCGCTTGTCGGTCTTCGATGACCTTCGGATGGCGTTTGGCGAAATAGCGTGCGTATTTGTAGAGTGACCAATAGCAGCTGACCACATTAATGACGGTGAGGGCGATTTTGTAGAATGTGTAGTAAAAGAGCAAGACGACCCAGCTGATACGCTCCTTCTTCAGTCGAAGATGGATCTCATTAAATATGATGACGTTGACAATGTACATTCCGATCGTGGCGCCGAGAAGAATGCCGCAGAATCCAGGTCGCACGATGAATGAAATGGGGAGGATAAATGGAGCAAAGAGGTAGATAAGAGTTTCATAAACCTAGATGATTGAATTAGCCTTTCCTTTATCCCAGGCCCTCGGGGCAGTGGACAAACCTCTTGGAAAACACAGAGCTTCGCGCCTATTTCCCACCATCCAAGCTTCCAGCTTGTCATAATGTACTTCAGGTCATAGTACATGCCTACGACGAAGAAAAAGTTCCATCGCTTGAATCGCTGCTGGAAAATAGTCATCTCTCCAAAGCCACCTCGGCTACCACTTCCACTGAAGAAGACCGAGGACGGAGTTTCGGTCTCGACAAAAACGGAAGAGCACATGGTGATACGCCCTCCAAGCCGACGACAACTATCTCCAAAGAACCAATCTTCAGAGACAGAGAATCCAGGGTGCTCATAGAAAGTCTGCTTCAGAAATTCCGTATTCCAAATTGAAATCGCACCGTGAGGGAAAGTTGCGCTGCCAAGTTTGCCAAAGAAAGCTCTTTGCAGACCAGACATTTTATATTCGAGATCTTGCGCTTGCTGACAGAATGTGCCTTTCGATGAATTGGGCCCAACGCTCTTGATCGTGTATCCAACGCATTTTACTTTCCCGTTCAGTCGGTCACTGACGATGGGAAAGTTTGGAGGTAATGCGCAATCGTCGTCGATGAGGAGGACATTTTCAAAACCCTTGGCGGCATAGCAGCCGGCGAACTGGGCAACGATCTTAGATCCAACGGGGACCCAGAGATGATTCACTCCATAGGGACGGCAGACTTCTTCGGTGTTGTCGAGAGGTGTTTCGGAATTGCCGTTCGCGATAACGAAGATGTTCTTCGGGGGGAAGATCTCCAAGGCTGCTTTCAAAGTTGGCCCGATGATGGTCGCTGATTTGTAGCATGGGATAATTAAGGCTGTAGACTTGACATTCGAATCATTCTTCTCCAAGTCAAAATCGCTGTCCTCGGGCTTGGGCGGAGGATCCTTTTCGAATAAGATCAGGAGAGGGAGGAAGGCATATCTAAACGAATTAATTCAAGATCAGATGGATAAAGGATCGGAAGTAGCTCACAATGCAGCCAAGCCAATTGTAATGGCATAGCCTCCTTGAATCACGAATTTGGTCTGCACGACCCAGTAGAGCCACCATACTGCTCCTTTCCATAGTGGCATGCCCACAAGGACAAAGTAGACAAATAGGATAAGCAGAGTATAGAGACTATATTCAAACAAAAGTCGAACCCAGTATTTCCTGTGAAGAGCAACGCCCCTCACTTTGGCCTTTTCGTAGACTTCGTACATGCTACTCCGGCGACTGTTGAATTGCGAGTTTGTCGGGGTTGATTTCGGACTGATGAACGACTCTTTGATCGGCGTGATTGGTTCATTTTCTGGGACCGTGGCTGGAGGCTTCAAAAAGGCGGATCGTCTGATATTCTCCCATGCTAGAAAGATAGGTCAGATGGTTGATAGTAAGAAGATGGATTGCTCGGAGCTTATACAGTGTAACTCGGGTGGATTGCTTTGCGGTCGGGTCGCCGGGCGAGGTCTCGCAACACGACGGGTGGACAGACTAGCAGACCGAACAATACCGCCGGACTGGTTTTGTTTTGACGTTGCTGAGTATTGAGGTTGTGTCCGGTCATTCTGGGGAAGGGATTTCTCCCATTTCACCTGTTCCCATGGCGAATTGAATTTTGCAGTAGCCAGAAGCTGTTTCGGAACGGGCACATCTTCCACAATGGAAAGTCTGGCATTCTCCATCTCAGGCATTATAGGGCATATAGAATATGAGAATGAATTACTGTGTTAAAGCGAAGGACAAGCGAAAAATAATGGATGGCGAGCAGAGCTTTCACCGAAGAAAGAATGAATCGTTGGACTACAGAAGAAGAAAACTTCAACTCATCTTTAAAAAAGCTATATGGCTACGGGCTAGACCTTAGCCTGGGTAGTGGGCCTGAAGTCGGTGCGTGTTCTCCATCTTCTTCCTTGCTAGACCTAGATCGGACTAATCGTGTCTAGGAAGGTGGGCTCACTGAGCCTCTAGTTGACAATTGCAGAATCGTCAGCTACAAATTTACGTTCGCTGGAGGCATATCTCTTCTCAGGACTTCCTGGCCACAATTGAAAGTCTTAGACTGAAGGCGTGAACCTTTGAAACCTCATCTGAACAGCCTTCTCAAGGCTGAGGTGGCATGTTGAGCATCATACTAATTCGGAAATTCCAATGAAATCTTCTACGGAGAACCCTATTCTTAGCTAAGTAGCCTTGGTTCCCACTTGCTGTGGATCAATTATCTGCTCCCATCCCAGTTTTGCTCTCGAAAACAACTGGCAGGGCCTTACATTATTAGAAAAACATGGACAGCTCAATAAAAGGAACCATGGATGTAAAGACAAGAGCTAGTACACTGATTAATGATCTCAGATTGGGGCGTCTAAATATTTTTACCCAGACACTTTTACGTACCTACTTGATTTGGGCTTAGCTTGGAGTCGAGACTCGGCTAGAAGAGATTTTAGCGCAACGGGAACATAGCCTTATGAAGTACCTATCCCATTCGACCAGTGAGAAAAGGGGACGAGATCTGACTTAGTGATCTCCGATTTTCTTTCTTGTTTTGTACGTACCAATCTTGCTTACCCAGAGATGTGGGGTCCGATGTACCATGGGTGCGTCGTAATGGAAATGGTGTGGGCCCTTCGTCACCCTCACGGACGGTCCATGAACGAGTACTCCGAGCTGACCTACGGGGCTCCACTCCATTTACCGAGGACTAATTTCAAGTCAACAAATAACCCTAAGAAAGGACTTGAGAAAAATCCGGTATGTTTTCCTCAATGTCATGTTGATCATCTGCCTTTGATTCGCCGCTAGATATAGTGACAGCATCATGCGAGGAAGGAGGGTTTGGGGATCAGAGGAGCGTCAAGCTAAATTTAGCTCCACTGCCCGGGAGAGGCGGCATAGTGGACGCATAAATGTATGCTTTAGACTATGTGTCAGGTACATGAGTTTTTACCGGAAAATCCATTGCCGATGAATATGGCTGTGTATGCTTTACCGGGACGCACGTGTTTTGAGAAGAAACTATGAATCGATCTATTAACCTTGTTTGAACGAGCGTATGCGCCGGATAATGTCCCGGCATTTTTTGGCTTGCTCTTTCCCGTTCTAGTGCTCACCCCTCGCTCCCTGAGTAAGACTGAGCATGCCTCTAGACGGCCTGATCCACTCACTCAACCCGATCTCAACATTGGGATCACCGCCCGAGTAAGCCCACTACCAGCAAAATAATAAAATGCACCCGGCTAGCTTTGCCCAAGTGCAAAAATTCCCTCTTTGCACTAGCCCTATTTCTCCTATGTGTCAACAAAGAACTGGCACAATCAATGTGTCCCATGTTGGACATGGTAGCGAGGCACCTACCCCGGGGGCAAATGCGCGATTGGTCCGGTTCAACAGACTTACCAATCTCTCGACATCCTGGGCAAGTACATCTGTTTTCACCCATTTTTCGAACATATGATCATTTTTAGTTTGCAAGTGCCATGAATTATTAAGCTCAGGTTTTATACACTCTGCCTACAATTGTCAAATATTGGTTGACTTCAAGATTGAAGTATTCAGGTTCAATTTATCATATAAATTCTGGTCCAGCCATAACAAATTCTCTCTCCATCAATTTACGATGACCGATCTTCCAGGGTCACGTTCTGATCCTAGGAATATAGTTTTGTTAATCCCTTAATCTGTTAATGTGGCTTCACAAAGCTACGAAGCTATGGGCAATTGGATGAAACTGCTTGAAGATCTACAGATATAGTCTATAAATCAGGTCAACCATAGTTATCCGTTCTTGGGATGTGGCGACTAAACCACTACTTTCGTCGCCACTACAGGGAACTATTACGTGGCCCTTCTATGGGTGTGATGTCGTGGCTTTTGCGCTGGTGTCCGTGTAGAGAATGACCGCTGCAACCAAATCCAACGTCGTAAGGAATACCAAGATTAGGGAAGTAATGAGCTTAGTCTTATAACCTGTCGTGTGCTTGTAGGAACCAAATTTGGAAGACAATCCCTCAACATTAGTGGCCGCTCCGTCCGACCATTCATATTGAGTGAAGGGTTTATAAGTTATAGATGAGAATAACCCGAATAAAACATGGAAGCCAATTTCGAAATTGGTTTTTCCTCGGGACAATTATTTTCGTTGACACTGCTTTCACCACCCCGTCAACAATCTACTGCACACTATTACGAGTGACTATCCAACTGTTATCACATTAATGGATCGCATGCACTGGTCAACGCCTGACCAGCACAGATAGTTGCAGCTATATGGCGGATGACGTCGACTAACATGTGGCTGATCTTTTCCTCCTTGGGGATTTGCACAAAGATGAGCGAGAGGAAACGATGGATGAGAGAAAAGAGTTAGGAGTAATGACGGAGCCGTCGCTAGTGAGGAAATCAAGTTGAAAGCGACTGCAGGTCTGAACTAGGGGAAACAAAACTCAACACTCTGAGGGCTGAGGGGCCTAAGTTAACCAGATCAACCTCGTCTTTTAACTTTGGCGCATCCAATCACACCCAGGCGAAAAGGATGGTTCACTAAGCCTAGTTCCAATCCACGTTGCTTCCGGTACCCCACACGAGGCGGAATGGCATATCTCTAGACCAGGATAGGTCTGGCGACTGCGGAGAAATAGGAGGGTCCATGAATTCCATCGTATCATACATAATAAGTCGCGCTTGAAAAACGGACACGCTGAGGGCTCATAACTAGTGTATGGAGTGGATAGCCGCACCCGAAAAATTCCTATCATTGGCTGCGGTCGAGAATCCCATTGATGGGCACTGGGATTTTCCGGCCACTGCCATATTCAACTTCATACCTGGCGGTGTTCATTTCGGTTCTTCCGCAAACCAAAAATCTGTAAGATTTCTGTCCAAAAGCCAGGAGCATAGTCCGTGAAGGTAGCCTCGTACGCGTCGATAACTGGCCGGTCCCAAATAAGATCCGCTTCGTGGGGCTTGATGAACTTGGTGCGCTTGATAATCTTCCATCCAAAGAAAAGTACCGGCGCCGCGAGGACCATTGTGTAATAAGTGAAGAAGCCACCCACGGTCCAATTGCCCGGCAAAAATGTCGAGTAGCCATACACGCAGACAATAGTCGTCATCCAGATAAGACCGATCCAAGCCGAGTAGGGCTGGAAGTAGCCATAGTAAGGGAGGGTGCGACGGTCGATATTCTGCGCGCGGAGGGCGCGGTAGAAGAAGATGTAGGTAATAGAGATAATGATATAGTCAATTACCTGTGCGGCGGTGATAATGTTGATGAGCCAGGTGAGGACCTTAGCAGAGCCACTTGAGACATTCAGGAACGCGAGGAACGGGAATGCCATCACGACGATGAGGCAGTATATTGGAACGCCTCTCTTAGTGCACCGACGTAGGCACTTAGGTGCTTGACCTTGTAGGGAGAGGCCGTAGAGACTGCGACTCCCGTAATAGACGTAGGAGTTTCCGGCAGAGAAGATACTTGTCACCAGTAGCGCGTTGGTGATATCTGGTAGCACGCTAATGCCAAGATTGCTCATCGCAATAACGTATGGAGACGCCGCTGCGGTGCCCGAACCACTAGATGAGCCACTGAGGATAGCTAACAGTGTCTTGTCATTATACGGAACCACGATACCTACGCACAAGGCGCTTCCGATAAAAAAGAAGGCGAACCGGGCATAGGTGGTCTTAAACGCTGTCTTTAGGTACCGCCGGGGTAGTTTGGTTTCCCCAGCTACCATAGACATATATTCTGGACCGACGATCGTGAAGGATGCACTCCAAAGGGCGCCCAAGAAGCCCTCAAAACGGCCCAAAGGGCCCGTAGTGATATATTCGGCAAAGGCCCCGGGGTTATTCCAGTAGCGAAAGCCATATGCATCGTGCTTTGGATTGCCGCCGACCATAGTGATAAAGGTGAAGCAGAAGACGATTAGAAGTAGAAAACACTTCCCTGAGGCAAGCCAAAACTCGGCTTCACCATACCACTTCACCGTAACGGCATTTAGAAGGCTATAATTCACATTGTTAGCCTTGGTCGTTCACAGGAAACATAGGAAATTGCTACCCACAAGTAAAGGACGATGCAAGCCGCTACCACGGCCGCCACCGGAATATCGTCTCGCCAGAACGTCAAAACCAAGTTGAGAGCTGTGATCTCAAAGGGGATCAAGAGTGCCTCGTAGAGGAAAAAGTTCCAGCCTGCCCAGAACCCACACGCCTCATCCACCCAGTGGCCGGCCATTCGGATAAAAGCGCCGGTAACGGGCATGAAGACCGCCATCTCAGCCATGCAGTTATTGACCAGAGCCAACATACACGAGTAAATGGCGTACGCGAGGAACAAACTTCCTGGGCCTCCCTTAACCAGCCCAGATGAGATAGTTACAAACACTGCCGTCCCAATGGACCCCCCGATAGCGATCAATTGGATTTGACGGTTTCCTAGGTGCCGTTTTAGCTGGTCGCTGTTATCAAGGACGATCGCCACCTGGTGGGCTTCCTGGTGGTCTTCCTGCTGGCCGGCCACAGAATTATCGGCGTCCTTCTCATTGTAGTCCATCTCAATAGTCTTCTCGGCAATAGTGGCCATGATGAATTGCTGTTTTCCCGGCGGAGGAGTGAGGAATGGGAAAGTGAGCGCAACGACGCCAAGCTGCTGGGTATAAGTACATAACCTCAAGGTACCGAGTCACCAGTATAACCAGTTATAACATGTGCAGGTGACCTCGGGAGTGTTCCGACCCCTAGTCGCGACACGGATGCGAAGGTTCCCCCGCCCCTCCAAAGACACCAATGAGGCTGCACTCTCCGCACTTTTTTGTCTTTCACGCCTGGGCCATGTGCGTCTATCTCGCCCCCCAAGGCAACCTGCGCCAACCACAGCAAGGCTCAGGAGATAGCAGATAAACCTTCGGAACCGTGTTAGTTGATGGCTTGCATCCTGAATGGTTGTCTTCTCGCAATGAACCCTTGCTATCTTGCTCGGATGGACCTCCGGCCGTTCCGGTTGTGGCCAGTACCAGGGAGAAGTTAGCGGAACGTGAGGACTGGACGGCGCGAAACTAACTCTCCTCGGGTAGTGAATGTTCAGCGGTTGGAAAGGAAGTTAAATGGTAGGATAGGGAAACCGAAAGCATACGATGAAATCTTCAACGCCGTCCCCCTTATTATTGGCCAGTCAACGGATATCCAGAGATGATATCCACGGGCTCTATCAGCCATGTCGGAGAGCCATGCAAATTGTAGCTCTCATTTTCATTTTCAACCGGGAGTAGTCCAGTAGTTGGCCGTCGCGATCGGGAGCAAACCCGGTATGGCCCCGCACGCGGGGTGCGGGGATACTGATCGTATAGCCACATGTCGCCCTAACAACTTGACCCACTTCTACTTTCCCCTAGGCTTGATGAACCGACCGGGAACTTTCCGATCCTCTTCATGTTCCCTCGGATGTTATTGATTATTCGTGTGGTTCATGAATGAGAAATATTTGGGTCGCTGGTTTCGCCGACGTGGTGAAAGTAGAGTATTGCTGGACAGACTATTCGAGAGTGCCATTTTGAGTTCGGATACGGCGCTCAATAAGGCAGCAGAAGGAGACATCGGCTGCCCTTCCGAGGGTAGAACTCAAATCTATTCGGCTCGGGATACTCGGGTTGTCTGAAGGCTGCAGGGCCCGCAGAATCCTAAACTACGGTTTTTAGTTCTGGATTGTTTCGCATGCACTTCAAAATCCAAGGCTTCTCCTAGAATTCGCAAACTATTCGTCGGCCACCCTTCCCGAAGCCAGATATGAAATGCCATGCTCAGCTTAGCCCCCTTTCAACGTGATAGATTAGACTCCTCTCTGTACTCCACGGTACAATAAAGGAAAAGACGTCTTGAATACGGTCTTTCAACAATGTCGATTTAAAAAAAAAAAACCGTGTAAATCCTATTGGGATTTTCCATTCCTCATCGGCTTGCATTTACTGCGGTGAATAACTTCAAAGGATCATTCTGCTCCTCCTGATCCTAGCTAATTTCTTGGGTGATATAGGAAACCAATGCGTCAAGCTTCTGGTCAAGCACATTGGCAGCAGCTTGAAGTTTTTCGTCCCTATTCACCCCTGCAATTAGGCTGCTCGGTAGAAAATAAATCACCTCAGTGCCTTGACCACTAGCCTCTTTCTCCTTCAGTAATAATTCCACGGGTACATATATTCCCGCATTCAAGTCATGCTCTAGCATGGTGATGGCGATGAGAGGGTTTCCCAGGATAATTCTCTTTATTTTCCGACCATTTCCCAATCCGTACAATGATACCCACGTATGGTTGATATCGTAAAATTGCGTGAAACCGAATCGGCCGACCTTTTTAGTAAAATAGTCGGTCCATGCAGCTTGCCCTTTTGAAGCTAACTCCCCAAGAGATTCAATGGGAACAGAGCTGCCAATTTCGTTGCTGAGTCTTTCAAGAACGACTTCATAAGGAACTGGTGTCGAAATGGTGACTCTTGTACCATTGAAAGTTTCCGCAATTCTGGTTGTCATATTGACCGGAGTCGGCTTGGTGTATTCAAAATATAACAAGATTCTGAAACAGATTCAGATAAATGGTTGAAAGGGGAAAATTCGGAACAAAGGATAATTTAATATGAATGGTAGTTCAAGTTGATATTTGTATACTTAAGATGGGGACAAGCGATACCTTATATATGAGGGCAAGTACACTTAACTCTATTAATTGAATTTATAAGCTTCCAATAACGTAGAGATTTAAGCTACCGATAGTTAACGTTAAATGGTCTATGAGTTTAGTAATCATAGAGTGTTGAAAAGTATAATGACGATTCTCACCGCTAAGTTACCTGCGTCTAGTTTACTCGATTATTCATCTAAACCTTACCAAAACGCAATTTTCTCCTTCATCAGGACAAAAGACACGTCTCTGAAAGACTGGATATGAATTTATTGCCCAGGATATACACTGGTCATTTTCAACGTTTTTCAAGTTTAAGTTACTCAACAGCCCGTTGTGCCGAGGTTTCACAAAAGCGTTGACAACGCATCGGTTGCCGTCATCTTCATACTAATCCGATGACACTATCAGCTATTACGGGGGTCGAAGACTGTTAGGAGCAGGAAAAGGAAAACCTAAGAATGGTTCGGCGATTGGCTGGGTTCTAGCCGTGCCCACTCCGTCACCCCACACCCACTACGGCTTTATTTCGTCACCAGCTGGGGTTTCATTCGGCGTTGAGTAATCATAATGCCTAGTTAACTAATTAACGTGATAAGAATATCTTGCAACAACATGATACGCCTGCCCCAATTATTAACCAATAATTTGCTGAAAGTACTCTCTGCGAGGAATTTTCTCCAACCCTTAGGTTTCGCGTTTCGGGTTTGCGGAAAATGCGAGTGCTTATGAATCACAGAAGAAACAGTGCTGTATGGCTGCCTCGGCTTTGGCTTCTGAAGAATCTATAAATTGAAGCGCTGCAACTCACTGACAATCAACTCGAGCAATAATCTCAAGAGGCAACATGTCTGCTCAATCCGTATTAGTCATTGGCGGCTCAGGCGCCCAGGGAATGCCAATTGTCCAAGGTGAGTGTCGACGCCATTTCGTCCTTGTGAACCCCCTGGAAAATACGAATGAACTAATAGAATGACATCTAGAGCTATCTCGACAACCACAATACTCAAGCATTCGCGTGCTGACTCGGGATTCAACCTCTGAAAACTCCAAACTTCTGGCGTCTCTCCCGAAAGTGTCCCTGTATCTGGGCCGCATTGATGACGAAGAATCTCTGAGAGGGGCTTTTGCCGGTATGGATCTCGCTTTTGTTAACACGAACAGCTTTGCTCTGGGAATAAAGAATGAGATCTACTGGGGGATCCGGATCTATGAGCTAGCCGTCCAAGCCAAGGTGAAACACTTCATCTGGTCCTCGCTAGACAATTTCACATTCGACACGCAATACGACGATACGTTGCGAGTCGGCCATTACTACGGTAAGGCCCACGTGGAGCAGTGGCTCTCTGCGATCCCGCAGAGGGAAGACTCGACGCGATGGTCCGTTTTGACGACAGGGCCTTATATTGAAATGCTATTTGAGCTGCTACGGCCCCGCCAGGACGAACACGGAACTTATGTTTTTGAGGCGCCTCTAGAAAACGGTTCTGTCCCATTCATACACCTGGAAGACTTGGGTCATTATGTGCACTGGATCTTTTCACACATCAGTCAGTCAGCCGGGATGAATCTCAAAGTGGCGATAGAGCACGTTTCGTACGACTACCTTGCGGCGACGTTTACCAAGGTCACTGGGAAGCCCGCGCGGTATCATAATGTCTTGGTTGACGAGTTATTTACCAGCGGCCCCCTCGCCACGGTGTCGGAAGTTAAACTAGGCGCTGAAACCGCTGGAGAGGATCCAACATTACTTTCATACAGGGAAAACTTTTCCGCCTGGTGGAAATTGTACCAACGCTCTGGAGGGAATAAAGGGATTATCAGAAGGGATTATGAATACTTGGACAAAATCTTCCCGCAGAGGGTGCGGAGCGTCGAGCAATGGATGCGAAAGGTGAATTACACCGGTGAAATGCGACCAGTCTTGAAGACAGGGTAGCTTCTACTTCAGGCGTGCGACGCAATTGCTGATCGTTTATATTTGTCTCTCTTCTTTATCATATTGCTTTAATATTTCTATTTCTCGCATTGTGTTCTGTTAGCAAAAAAGAAATTGAGCATGGAATATCTCTCCAGAGTCACATCAGCGTTTATTAACATGGATGGCGTTCAACATGAAGACATGCTTATCAGCAATCTGTCCCTGTGACTGTCCTCTGTCTTCTGATAGTTCATGGAGACCTACCAAGATCCGCTTCAGGCTGAAGACCAAAACTGCCTCGATGCGGGAATGGCCACAGTTCGGCAATAGATGAAGAAACTCGCTCCAACAAGAACGGCTCTCATCATTGTCTCTCATTTTCTCTTCATAGCTTTTAGCATGTGGAGCTTAAGTACGGCAAGTTTTCTATCATGCTAACCACTTTTTGTAATTCGCCATCTTTTTGATCCTGGCGACTGTGGCTCTGGCCAGTTTTATCCTCTTGGATCTCTCTCGTGGTATGTTGTTGCCTGGTGGCAAGTCATTCAACACTGGGTTTTCATTCACTTCTGGGTAGACTAACCTGTGGGCAAGGCTGCTAGAGAAATCCAATATATATGGTTAGAGGGTTACGGACTTCACAACGTTCTTTCAAATCAGGTAATATGTATTTCTGAAGCTGATAGCAACTTGATGTACCAATGTCACGATCTTGCGAATTTCATTTGGGTATTCCGAATGCACTCAAGCCACCAATTCTCCGAGTCGCGTGAAAAGCTCTACCTCCATTCTCTCAGCGGCATCTGGCTGCTCGAGAATTTGGCCGATATCGTCGCTGCCGAGATCTTCTTTCCACAGCGACCGAGGCTCAGCATTGGCTTTCATATTGCGGTACACACACATCCTCAGATGCCAACGCAGAAGATCTGCACTGACGCGGTCGTTTGGATTAGTACCACATCTGGCAGACCGCCTGAGGCGTTTCCCTCCGGTTTTTTTTGGGTCTGGCCCGAAAACGATTATTTTGTAACCATCCTAAATTCATAAGGTATTAGTTATAACAAAAAAATAGAAAAAGGGAAACATAAAAAGACTTACATCCGGATCCACCCCTAATTTGAACTGATCGAACGCTCGATGCTCTTCAGGGGAGAGAAGAAGCGCGTTTTGAGGGGAGTAAAGGCCACTTTGTCCAATTTGGTTTGCAGGACTGGTATCGGTAATGTAGCGTCGGTAATTGTTTCGGTTCCACTCTGCAAGTTGGCTTGTAGGAAATATGTGGCAGGCTTCCAGACCCTCATATGGTTTGTTAGGGTCTGGATAGGCAGGGCCATTATTCGTGATTGCACAAACTGTGTCTCTCGCACAAACACTGCTTCGGAGCCGTGACTGCTATAAATCTATCAGTTATGTCATAGTGTGCGCCTCGCAATTATAGACTCAAGTTACCAATAGTTCTCTTTCACTTCGCCCTTGAGACCGATCGCTCTGGTCCTGGGTGGTGACACGACGTGGTGCGCACTCGCTGGTGAGCTGGACGGTGATCGGGCCTTGGTCTAATGGATGTTAGAGACCTTAGCACCCAAGAATGTAGTATACCCACATTGATAGTCAAGGACAATGTAATTGCCTGGGTGGACGGGGTTTGGGCTGTCTCCACGAAGCATATGGCGGCTTGTTGACCCATTTTGGCGGAGAGGGAATAATGCCCATCTTCGATGGTTGGGGATGATGAAAATCATGCTGCAGTAGCGATAAAGCATCTCACAAGTCAAGTGAGTTTGACCCGGGGTGACTTGCAATGCTGTGTTGGCGTGGTGTAAATGGTTTGTTTGGTTTGGTTCCCATGTATATGTAGCCTCTGAGTGATTGTTGCTTACAGGCTAGTATGGTTCCATCGTTATCATAAACGCGAACGTTATGAGTGAGGACACTTGGATCTTGGAGATCCATCTTGACAAGGTGGGTGCGCGCGAGAGCAGCGATAAAAAGAAAACAGGGCTTCATGAAGCCAGCAGGTGGAAGTAAGAGAGAAATAAGAGAAGTAAGAGAGAAATAAGAGAAGTAAGAGAGAAATAAGAGAAGTAAGAGAGAAGTAAGAGAGAAGTAAGAGAGAAGTAAGAGAGAAGTAAGAGAGAAGTAAGAGAGAAGTAAGAGAGAAGTAAGAGAGAAGTAAGAGAGAAGTAAGAGAGAAGTAAGAGAGAAGTAAGAGAGAAGTAAGAGAGAAGTAAGAGAGAAGTATGAGAAGTATGAGAAGTAAGAGAAGTAAGAGAGAAAGAAATAAGAGAAGCGAGGGAAGGAAGAGAAGTGAGAGAAGCGAGAGAAGTAAGAGAAGTAAGAGACATGAGAAACATAAGAGGGAGAAATTAATAAACGAACGAGGTAGTTGAGAGACAGAGAATAAGGTACGGGAAATTCCTCTAAATGTTGTTGGAAACTACCGGGTCGCCTCATCGGCTCATACCTCCGATAGGATGATGTGTACGGATCCGCTATGATTCTCAAAAATCGACACTCGAGCGAAGGCTTGCGACGTTTACTTTAGTTCTTGGGGTTGTATTTTTCGAGAAGCCGTCGATGCATATAACACAGGTCAGCGCACTCTGGTTGAACCTCATCGCACTATGTCCATTTTCACGTGATGAGACAATTTTTGATATTGCATCTCCAGTATTCAAGCGCTCGAGTCTGTTCTTAAAGCTCTCGAATAAATATTCATAGAAAAACAGCAGACCGAATACCAAGGCTACTTTTTTCCATTACTTCTGAGACCTTCAAGAACCTGCACAAAATCTTATCCGTTATTCAAAGTACGAATACGAGTCAACTAGTACACTGCGATTATCACCAGCCTATTGGGCACCACTATCGGTCAAGCAAACACCACAACGGATTTGGTCTGCTTCACTAAGCCTGGCAAGTACAACACATTTCTAGCCGCAAACGGTGGAATTCGGAAGCAGCTAAATACCCAGGACAGGTCCAGCTGGTCTTGAAGAGTGGTAATGATACCGATGACCTGAAGGCTCTGGGCGGCATAATAAGCACTTAAGGCAAATACAAGTGATAGGTCATACACAATGCTCTATTCGGTGATGGCTACTACATCCTACTCACTCTTCCCAACAGCATGTCGGAAAATACAGTCTATAACCTTTCGCCAGAGATTTTCAATCAAAGGGTACGATAACACTTCCATGAACCGGACTGGACCTGCAACGAGTGCTTCTACTATGACAACCACTCGATCGAGCACGAGATCACCTAGTAATTCTGCACCTAGCTCCATCTCAACTGCCGCGGGCAGTGCGCCGACATCCAATGCTCCGGCTCCTTTTGCTTTGATAGGCGTGGCGGCTTTTGGTATGCTGGCTTTCTGAACATCAAACGATATGCAACTTTGGAGGGGAAGGCTTTTTGGAAATTTTGAGAGGAACCGAACAATGGAGGTTCTGAGAAGTGTTGCATGGCATACCCATGCTTATAGAGAGCTTGAGAGTCTAGACATACATCGGGCTCATGAGACGAATTTCATAAACTCAGGTAGAGGTACGAATAATTATGCTCCTCTTCATAAAGTGAACGAAACCTAAGATATCTAACCGAAATTGGCCGGTGAAGTAACAACTTAGTGGTGTCGTGAAAATAAGAGAAAAACGCATGTTTCAAGGCCCTTCTGCGTTGCCTCCACCATCTGATCCAGACGCAGTTCGGCCAGCCGCCTGGTTGGAAGAATCAGTTTCTGGCTGGGGAGAAGCCAAAACATCTGGCCTTTGGTTGCTTTGGCCATCGGGTGGACGACCTTCTGCCCGTCGCGTTTTGGCACCCTCTTTCAATTTCTCCCAACGATCGCGGTACCGCCCCAGAATGTTCTTCAGCTTTTCATTCTCCTGTCCAACGCGATCCAACTCTTGTTGTTTGAGACGAGCCAGCTCCTCTAACTCCTTGATTTTGGGATCCATGTCGGAGGTGGCAGGTGCTGAGGACATTTGGGCCACCGGGGATGTTGCGGCTGATGATGCTTGTGCTAACTGCTCTGGAGACCCAGTGTTGTGATGGTGAATCAATCTCAATGACTGCTGAAGTGCCAAGGATGACGACTGTGCATTCACTTCCCACATGTGTAGCCGTTTCGAAAGAGTATCAGACAGCTGTTTCAGTGCGTGATTCTCCATCTGTAGCTCCTCTACAGTCTTCGGGTTTTGGAGGCTCATGAGTTTGTCTGAGGCCCCATGACGCCCAGTTCGAGAATTGCCTATACTCTGGCGCATCTCTGGTGATGCTGGGGCTTCCCGTGCATCCACAAATTCGTCATCCGCCTCTTCCAAGCTGTTTCGGCGTGCCTCTTTTTCCGCTCGAGTCAGAATTCCGGCATAAGACATTGTTCCACCCGTTGTAGGAACGACGTAGAAGGACTCGGCAGTATTTCCAGGGTTGCTCCCTGGTGTATCTTGAATCGATCGCAGCGCCGCTCGAGAGAACAGACGGCTCACTTCTGGCTCTATCGACAAAGAGGATCGATCTGAAGTCGCATGATGACGATCCAGTTTGGTCTCAGCGGCCGACTTCCGGTTTGCAGGCGCAGCTTTGGCGGGGTCCTCTGACCCTAGAGGAAGGCCTGCAAAGGCTAGCGGGGCCGAAATCCTCGAGATCAGGCCTTCAAATGTGGAGTAGAAACGCTGGAACGGCTCATCGCTTGCTGACGATTTGGATTTGGAGGGCAAATTCGCGCCGACGTTTGCGGGTACAACTTCATGGGATGTGATCTCTGTATGTATGGATAGTGGAGGAGACCACGGCTGTCTGGGTGCAGGTGCTCGGCTCTGACGGCTCTTATTTGGGACCTCGCGAAGCCTTGATTCTCCAGATTTGGCCCTTGATGGCCCCTCTGTCATTTTCGCCCCGGCTTGTTGGGCAGAAAGAGTCGGTGACACCGGCGACCCACGACGAGGATGGGAAGGTATGCCTCTTGCGGATGCCAGATTGCTTGCTATATTTGAGGACTCGCGACTGGGCATCCGAGGCTTTCCCGGTAGTTTCGGAGGATGGTTCTGAGCATCCTGGCTTGTGGCCTTGGTGCTCCCGGAGTCTGTAACAGAGGGCTGACTCGCAGGATTCGGGGAGCTCGTCGGCGTTTCGGCGGTTATACTGGCTGGATGTTCATGCTGGAACCTCAAGATCTCGGCCAACGTCTTGTGGTGGTGTTCGAGTAGCTTCAGGGTTCGGAGAGCCTGTGTGCCCGATTGCGGTCAGCGCGCGATACCCTCGAAGGAGGGGCAGATACGGCTCACCTCTTGGTCAGAGCTACTCTGGGCAGCTGTAGCGAATTCACCGGCTGCCAGATCATGTTCCTCGCTGGCAGCGACGGGATTCGACTTACGGGTCTCGAGCACCGCGTTTCTCGCGTGGGTGTGGGCCTTGGGGATCAAGTCAGAGACGGAGCAGCGCGAACGTGGGGATCGCCTTACCAGGGTAAGCGGAGCTGCCTCCATGGTTATTCAACGGTGCATGGGCCGTACGAGGAGCATTCGTCGAGGTAACCAGTCTTGGATGACTCGGGAGAGAGAAGAGAACATGAGTGACGCCATGTCCACTGACAAGGGAGGAGCAACTGGCATCAGCCACAGATCTATCCGTCTTACACCACACGAGCTATCTAAGGTGCTTTCACGAGGGGTTCAGGCCTAGTACGATAAGAAATATAAAATACTGTTTTTGTTCTTATCCTAACGCTAGGTGGTATCTACTCTAATCGGCCGGAGCTCAAGCTGAAAGCAGCATCCACCGACCACAACCGTCACATCGGCATTCTGGGCGGTGGGGAAAAGCTACGCTAACCATCTCCACGAGGGAACAGTAGGATAATGTAGATGTCATCGTGGAATATTCCATACTAGAATCAAGGAATATGAACACAAAGGAAACTGGAAACATCGAAGAGTAGACTCGAAAGTACGGCCTCGGCCCCGTGCACCTGACTAAGGTCAACTGCGGAGCTTCTTCCCCTCGTTGATCTGTTGCTCCAGGGGTTCCACTTTGTCCATTGTTCTGCAATGTCCTCCCATTGACAGGGTTACCCAGCCGAAAAGCCTATGTTCTCTCTTTCGATCCATCAACTACTAACGGCCCGGGACTCATCTCTCGACCACCATGGCCGACTCCGAAACCTCTAGCCTGCAGACCAGCAGGTCACGTCGTGCCTGGACCGTCTCCGCGGAGTCGGAAGCGATGGAGAGCTCTAGTCGGAGTAACGGCCATTCATCCATCGATTCCAGCTCCGAACGACCCAAAACATCGGCCGGAGAAGTGCTAGATTCCGCCAAGGCTGGACCTAGTGGTATCTCCAAGCTCCTTAAAGCGCGACGGAGGCGGAAGAAGAACAATCAGACATCTGCGGACGCGCCGCCCGTACCGGGGATTGTCACTGAGGAGGATCTCCAACAAAGCCGATCGAACGAGTCCCGCGACGACAATTCGGCCATACCTTCATCCAACAACAGTTTCGCCCTGCCAGAGGGCGAAGTCATCAATTTACTGACCGACGATTCCGAACCCGACAGGTACGCCGAGCACCTCCTTCTCCCCTATCCAACAGTTTTGGGCATTTGACTGACATCCTCGTCATATAGAACTCCGCCCTTGACCTCTCATAACTCACATACGGGATTCTACACCTCCTCATCCCCCTTCTTCACGACCAAATCCGTGGACGCCCCTGATTCTGAAGGAGTTCATGCCGACGCCGAATCCGCTGTGACTGGTCTTAGTGCGACTGGATCAGAATCGGCTACCAGCGATGATCCTCCGAGGCCAGGCACTCAATCAAGCATGACCTTGGATGTCCCGGCAGACACCAATGGCAGGCGTCGGAGTGCTTCGCCTTCGCCGGGGAGACGCTTGAAAGATGCCTTCAGCTCGGACAAGAAAAGTTCGAACGCGAGCGACGACGCGGACCGAGCATCATCCAAATCGGGAGGTAGCAAAGGCGGGAGGAGTATATTTGGCAGCAGACGCAATAGTCTGGCATCAAAACGAGCTCAAGCAGCCCCAGAAGAAGCTCCTCGGCCCCTACCGGCTCCTATTCGTACGGATCTAGCTGAGAAGAACCCTCGTTCTCTCGAGGCAAGCCCGCTGCCGAATACGCCTCCGCATACCGCCAGCCCAGCCCCGGCTACGACTGTAACCCCTCCAACACCGACCGAACACCGACCGCTCGATAACCAAATCCTGTCCGGTGAAGTAACGGATTCGCCGGAGTCGATCAAATCTCGAAATTCTATATCCTCTCCAGGGGTCACTACTGTGAGTCCCTCTGGAAATATGATTTCGCATCGGCGGGTGCGCTCAGCCTCTGCGGCTCATGGCCCAAGCAAGTTATCGAATGTAACAGCATTGAGCCCACTGGATGAAGGAAAGTCACTCAAGAGCTCGCCGAATCAACCAAGTGGCTTTTTTTCTTCTGTGTTCTCTGTCGCCCAAAATGCGGCATCCTCCATAAGCAACACGCTCAACAACCAACAGAGAAGTCGAACAATCTCTTCAACCGGAGCTGCAGCCCCCGAAGAGACTTCTGCTGAAGGCAATCCCGAGGGTCTCGATGGTACTTCCAATGGGAGTAAGGGTGAAGACGGGAAACCATCTGCTGTGCAAACTCTCGGGGCTGGTGATCTGAATTTCAGTCACCTGGACATTGACGCGCCCCCCGGCGAGGTTATCACCACCACTGATGGCGTTGTTGTCACCAAGCCCGCAACTCCAGTTGACAAGCGCAAGAATGCAGCGGTCCAGCGGCGAGACGAGGATTCTGCAAAGCTTGAGGACCAGCACGCAGCACGTGCCATTCACATGGCTTACGAAAAGCCCACTGACTTGTCTGCCGTTGGTTCCCCTGGAGATGACGCCTTGGATATCCAGTCTACTGCTTCTCTTCCTAAAGATGGCACTATCACTGGGGACCATACCCCTCCCACTGGCAGTATCATTGATGGCGATATTGGGAGTGGTATCAAGCGGAGTGGAAGTGTGCGCAGTCGGCTTGCGCGCCGCCACCGAGGTTCGTCCGGGGCCACTGCCTCAACAATTGGTGCCATCGGGGCCAGCGCTCTGGCTCTCGGTGTTCCTGGTGTTAACTCCAGTGTACCTCGGCTGACTGGCTTCGCTGTGGCAAGCAAGAAACGCAACAGGGACTTCCATCAACTGTTCCGAAGTGTCCCAGAGGACGACTATCTGATCGAAGACTACAGCTGCGCGTTACAGCGTGAAATCATTCTCGCTGGTCGTATCTACGTCTCCGAGGGCCACATTTGTTTCTCCAGTAATATCCTAGGATGGGTAACGACTCTTGTCATCAGTTTTGATGAAGTCGTGGCCGTCGAGAAAGAAAATACCGCAATGGTTTTCCCCAATGCGATTGCTATTCAGACCTTGCATGCTCGTCATACCTTCCGCAGCTTGCTGAGCCGGGAATCCACATACGATCTGATGGTCAACATCTGGAAGATCAACCATCCGTCGATCAAGAGTTCCGTCAATGGGACTCGGGTCACCAACTCTACTGGTGACAAGACCGAGAAGGTTGGAGACGGAGAGAGTGACTCCGAAAGCGTGGTCTCCGATGAAGACGAAGTTTACGACGAGGATGAAGAAGGGAACGCTGCCGACAGTTTCTTCGAGGCCGGGGCTAGCGCAAACGTTAGTGAAAAGTCACTGCCCGGCCGAGCAGGTCTGAGCCGGCAACCCTCGGGCTTGTCCACAAATGCAATGGTCTCTGGTTCCGGGCCAAACACCAATGGCGATACCAAGAATGGCGACAAATCCGTGACTTCCAAAGAACCAGACTTCCCTGGACCGTCCACACACGCTCCCACCGAATATACGGACCCCAATGGTCAATATGAAAAGGTCATCAAGGATGAAACCATCCCGGCACCGCTCGGAAAGGTCTACTCCTTAGTATTTGGGCCTGCGTCGGGAGAGTTCATGACCAAATTTCTCGTGGACGACCAGAAATCGGGCGAGCTTCAGTTTGAAGGAACGGCCAAGGGCCTGACCAGCGAGAGCCGGATCAGAAAGTATTCCTACATCAAACCTCTCAATGGCTCGATTGGTCCCAAGCAGACCAAGTGTATCAGTACTGAGAACCTGGACTTTTTGGACTTGGAGAAGGCAGTCCTTGTCACGCTGAGTACCCAGACCCCCGACGTGCCCAGTGGTAATGTGTTTGCCACAAAAACCAAGTATCTCTTTACTTGGGCTCCTGGCAACCAAACCCGTTTCCTCATGACGTGTACGATAGAGTGGTCGGGTAAGAGTTGGTTGAAAGGTATGTTGCTTGTGATGTTGAAATGTGGGCCGTGAAGTTAACTCGCTGCAGGTCCTATTGAAAAAGGTGCAATTGACGGCCAGACGACATTTGGTAACGACCTGGTCAAGGCTCTGAAGATCGGTGTTGTTCCTCGTGGGCGCACCGCTGGCGCTGGACGCGCCAAGGGTCGTCGCAAGAAGGGCGACGCTGCCACTCGTGATGCGTCTGCGGCTGCTGGTCACAAAAAATCTGCGGATTCTGGCTCGGGACAAGCTGAGTCTTGGGGTCTCTTTGAACCGGCTCGCCCGATTCTGGAGCCCGTCACCAGCATGCTCAAGCCGCTTTGGAGTGGCAATGTTGTGATTCTAATCATCGGTCTGCTACTATACATGGTGTTCTTCCGGACACCTTCTAGTTCATCCACCCTGTCTCGCGACGCGAGCCTTTCCGGTCTCAGTCTACCTCAGCGTCTGGCCGCTTATGACGAAATGTGGCGACGTGAGGAAAGTGAGCTCTGGAACTGGCTGGAAGACCGCGTCGGAATGGATGGCATGGTTTTCCCAACGCTGCATCACCGTATGCCAGAGGCCCACCCGAGCCGCAAGTCTTCCCGAGTCAATGCGGCTGATGAGCGTGATCTTATTGATCGACTGCGTGAGGAAAAGGTTTCGGAACGAGAGATGGATCATGCACTTCGGACGACACGCCAACGGCTTGATATCCTTGAGGAAATGATGAACAAGCGCAAGGTGCAGCCAAATCCCGACGATGAGCCTGTCCGCACTGAGCTCTGAGGTTGGCAACCCTCCTGCCGTACGCACCTATCTCCAACTTCTTCGCCAACTTCCCTCTCTTTCTCTTCACCCTGGACGCCTTCTTACTCCATTCTTCACCAACCTTCACCCCTTTCTCGACTACAGCAGTACATTCCTTACCCAGGTTCCTTTTCATCTCTGCCTATTTCTTTTTTCCCTTTGGGCAAGTCCCTTCCTCTCCTTCTGACAAATACCCACCTTACTTCACTCCTTACGCTTGACTCACCTCCGCTTGATGGCGGGGTGCAAGGACAAGCCTTCTCTTTGCATGTACATGAGCGCCAACTGTTGTGTCTATACCGGTCTACACGAGCCGGTTTCCATTTCTCCTATCTGTCTGTTCGAGCGTGCCTCTTCGCAATTTTCTTAGTTTAGTGATGGTGTCTTGTATAGTTCTGTCCAAAACGTCTTTTCTCCAGCGTCGTGAGTTTGGTCTGGAGCACCTTTGAGCGTTGGGTGCAGTTCTTTTCTACTCGGATGGATTCCGGTGTTGATGTATTTGACGAATGCAAAATAGCGTATATAGACAGACTCGTTCAATTTCTTCGTACCTTGCTTCTTCCGAGGTTTCAACTATTTTTCATTTGTTATTGACTGGGTATAATTGCTATCGTATATACCGTCTGTTTCGTTCATAAATACAGTACAAAATCAAGAGATCGTTAACAGTGACCACAGTAGCCTCTGCTCTTTACGCTCAATTTACTTCGCCATCTCTTGATCCTTCTCTCGCGCACTCTGCCGCGTCATCTCGATATTGCTTGCCCGGGATGTCCTCCACGGCCGAATACCCGAATAGAAAAGGTCATCAATCTGCTCCAAGGACAGAGTCGCAGTTTCCGGTACAAGCAGGAACACCAAGACTGCAATGACGACAGTCACACCGGCATAGAAGTACCCAACATTGGGACCCATGTTACCGTGATCTGGATCCAGCATATAGGGAGTCCAGAAAGTAGCACCAAAAGAGAACAAGCCGTAAAAGATGATCGTGTTTGCTTGTCCATACGTGCGAAGCGCAACGCTGTGCATCTCCACCGAGGCCAGGCCAGCACTTGGTGCGATAGTTCCGCCGAATATGAATGCCCAGAAACAGAGCAAAATGACAACGACCATTTTAGCGATCTCGTTGTCGGATCCTAGCGCTGTATTGACCGAGGATAGAACGAGCATGCATGCTGCCATGGAGGTATAGCCGATCAGAATGGCGAATCGTCGTCCGCCGTACTCCACCACAAGGGGCCCGATAAACGATCCGGCCAAAATGCATAGCCCGATGATCACGTTGATGAGGTATGGGTTGCTGATGCCGACGCCTTTGAGGAAGGTAGTTGCGTACGGCTGCACGAACTGAATTCCAGTAATAGAGAGCCCAATCATGATCAAAGCAGAAGCTAATGTCCGGCGGATTTGGCCAGAGTTGTAAATCTCGAGCCATGAGGTGCTCGCCGCGGCAGCTCGCTCCTCTTTGATGTGAGTTTTGATGTCTTCAATTTGAGCAGTGATCTCGGGGGAATCCGCTGGGATGCGATATAAAATACTGAAAGCCTTGCGCGCCTCTTCTTCCCTTGTTTCGTCGTTGTTCAGGATCCACCGTGGAGATTCAGGGAACATCAGGATGCCCGCACCCAGGATGATTCCCATCGGAATCTGACACAGAATAGGCGTCTTCCATTGCCAGTTATTTCGCGGCTCGAGTTGGGCAGTGCCGGCACACACAGCCCCGGCAGCAACATTGCCCATGGCCAGTCCGACGTTGTAGAGCGCCAGGGAAATGCCTCGCTTGCTGGCATCTATGCACTCCGAGCCGTAGGTCACACTCGCAGAAATAAGCTGCCCGATTCCAATGGCGCTGATACACCTGCACAGCATGTAGTGCAAAAAGCTGCCGTTTCCCCTTCCTCCTGTGCCGAGCATTCCAGCAGCACCGATAATGGCCAGGATGCAACCGATCTGGATGGCACCTCGGCGTCCGGTATATCGGCCTGTGATACCTGAAATGCCACCCCCTATACCAATAAACATGTAATTCAAGCTGATAAGCGACTGTTGTAGTGGGGTGAGTGAGCAATGCTCAACGAGCTCGTTGGTCATCGGATTCATGAGTTCGGTGCATGTCCCGAACGCCCTTCTGTAGGAAGGCATGATCAATACGGTTCCGGTATAGCCGTTGTCAAAATTGGCGATCCACGCTGCGAGGGAGACCCATAGAGAGAGGCGGAGCATAGCTCCTGTCGAAGCAGATCGTTTTCCATTGGAGCCATTTGCGTGGATCTCCGGAGGGTCGATAATGTCAAGGTCATGCTCGGACTCTGCATATGAGGCCCGCATGATGAAAGAGTGTATTTGTAATGGTCCAGCGCATATATTAGACTCTTGAAATCTTGCCTGACATCTGATCTTGCCATCGACAAAACTTGGGGTTTATAAGGCCCCTCCTAGGTTCACCGTTCTGCCTGCATACCGGAGATGTGCCTGCATTTCTACAATTGTCATCAAAAATGCCAGCCCTCCAGGTCATCCAATAGGAGGAATAGTTAAGCCCGAGTGGCTGATAAGGTTATTCGCGCCAGGTTTATTCACAAATCATCTGACTTGTTTACTGTAGTGACCATTCCCGGGCCTATGAGATCCCTGTCGAATTGAAGTAGACCAAGCACCCTAGGGCTGTTTCAGGCCGTAGTACTTAATTTATTCATGCACAGGAAGTTTGCACAAGGCCCGAATATCGAGTTCCTACAGGCTCAGAAGCAGCGGTTTCCGAATGTAGCTTAATATACTTTCCAAGCCCGCCCACGAGATGGTGCCGATGCCCGATCCCGACTAGGACATTTATCAACCCTGGAAACCCCGGAGTCTGACGGCATTTCATGGCAGATCCTGATATCCGGTCGGTCGATGCCGGATTCCCGATACTGATATATTAATTGCGCTCAGGTGAGTCAACTCTTCAGTCAACTTCACCTTCACACCGACGCACAAGATGCCGCACGAAATTCGATACAAGCACCTCCAAATACTAAAGCATCTATTTCTCCAACTTGAGACCCAACTGGAGAAGAAAGGCCACCTCGAGTGGGCACAGTGGCTTCGCTTCAAACAATACCTCTGGTGGGAGTCTCAGCCTGGCAAGTTCTGGAACTGGTCCCAAAGACTGATCGAAACGGATATACGGCTCCGCGAAGTCGTTCAGAGAGAAATCTTGCTCAAGAATGAATACAACCAACTGGCTGCAAATCCAACCTCAAATCAGGTGGAGCTCTATGTCTACAACCAAGAGCTGGATGCGTTGAACAAGGAATATTGGAGACTGGAGAGGGCATACAACGCACTTGAGGCTTTATGTCCCTCCGAGCCGGCCAGACGTGCATATGCTTCTGTTCGACGCGATCCTCGGTGGCATTTGGCCAATTTTTGGATTCGGAGGGATTGTGCTAATCGCGGAGGTTGCTGTGGAAGAAAATGTCAATGCTGTGAGAAACCACCAGGACCTAACCGAATGAAAGGCTGGGGTCATTGTACCATTCAGTGCAAGTGTTGCTATCGGGCGCGAGGGTTTCCGGCTAGTACAGCAGATCGAAAATTATGTCAACCGGAGTTTCATATCGGTGATGAGGATGAGTCGGGGTGGGATCCCTACAGCCTTGCTCTACACACTGCTTATGTCTGGGGGTTGAGGCCTCACTGATCTTGCAATTTACTTTCATTTGCGGATAACCTTACGACGGTCGCTGTACCTGGGTATGGTATCATAATGACTAATGGTAATCAACAGGCTTGAATTCTTCCCCGAATCTGAGTAAGCATTACCGTATCACCTTGAGACCGTATGATTTGTGTCTACTATAGAACGGAACGTGTTGGAATGGCAGCTCGCCGAGCTACAGATCAAATCCCTCCTCATTCGGGAGAAATACTGCAGGAACACTGCGCAGTGGCTGGAACTACGCAATTCATACCACCTCGATGCGTCAAAAACAGCAATCAAAATTACTTGCTACGTAAACACTACCGCTAGACTTGCCTTTTAGACTCTTGCCTTATGTCCATCAATTAGATTCGAAAGAAACGTGGACAGCTTCGTACCCGCTCAGAGCAGATGGCGCAAGGGGGAGCAAGCTCCTCGCGCACAGTTTGCGTTGTAACTGTCGATTTCAACATCATGAACAAAAATGTCATAGCAGATTCATTCGGCAGTATAATTTTCTGATTCGAGCCGGAAGGCAACGAATATGACTGCGCATTATATGTCCGATTTATTTCTTGGTTGGAATGGGTAATCAATGGAGAGTGGAAAGATGCTGAGCCTGCTATGGCGCGTGGATGGACGAAGTTATAATGGCTTCTAGCCCAGTAGTTTGTCTTTGTAAATGCCACCACTTTCTTCTATTATTATCTCTGATTAGTTTCTTTGAACGTAGAGTATACTTCATGTAGATCACGTGTCACGATAAACATCCGACTCCACCGGCGCCCGCAATCTTCCCCAAACAACCCACAATGGAGCTCTCGACTATCCTGATCATCGCTGCACTTTTCATTGGTAAGACCCACCATGTCTCGTCGTACTGGTCTGTGGATACAGCGATGCGACAGCTATCCCGAGCAGAATAGGTCAACCGAGTCCAAGCCAACTGACACCACCTGCAGCCTTCCGAGTCATACAAGCGCGCCGCGACGCCTCGAAGCCCATGATGTCGCACGGAAAGGTAGCCAACATTGACAAGTCAGTAATCCCCGCGGGACAGATACAAATTGATAGGATGGGGACGATTGGCATCTAACATGACGCTCGGACAGCCTCGCCGTTTTCAAGGCACTCACCTCCGAAGGTCCCGCCGTTGTGGACTTTTATGCAACCTGGTGTGGGCCCTGCCGCGCAGTGGCTCCCAAGGTCGGCGAGCTGAGCGAGAAATACCAGAATGTGCGCTTTATCCAGGTCGACGTTGATAAGCTGCGCGAGGTCGCGTCGCAGTTCCAGGTTACTGCCATGCCCACCTTTGTTTTCTTGAAGAATGGCAAGGAGGTTGGTCAGCGCGTGCGTGGTGCGGATGTCCGTGCTCTGGAGGCTGGTATCCAAAGTCTTTCGGCATAATTCTATGCCCGCTGTAGGGGGAGGAATGAGAACTAGGAGGGGGAATGACGTTCCATTCAAAAAGCCAAGAAAAAACAAAAGCAATCTTATGTTGATCTCTGGCTGCTATGATGCCTCCAGCTCGTCGCATACGCTTGCCCGGCGTGCACACCAGCCGAGAGTGATCGGGTGCCTCCTGTATGGTAAATGTCTAAGAACATTAGGACCATTGTTCGGGCTTTAGACCATGTCCCAAATATATCTCCTGCTGGTGAAGTCATAACACTACGATTGCTAGGTACCAAGGTATGCGGGAAAGTAAATTATGTATTATGTGGAGATAATATTACTTCTATGATGAGTCACGAGAAAAAGATCTCTCCAAATAGAAAAGAAATGGAACATGAGGTATATCACAGGACACTTGCAACTCCCAGAAAACCAAGACCCCGAAGCATAGCGCTTACAGGATGGAGCCGAGGGCAACGCAGGGAAGCCCAGCGCCAACAAGGTCGCTGCTGGCGGTGGAAGGATCATGGGCACAGCAGGCAACGTTCTGCTTGCAGTGCTGGTCGAGAATGTTCTGGATGGGGACGGCGATGAGGAGGGCAACTGAGAGGAATTAGTATCGAAGCCAAGATAATAGGGATTGTAGGATACTCACCCTGGGCATCGAGCTTGGAGCACTGGGAGAAGATTCCGGCACCCGAAGCACCGGAGCCGGTACCGATCAGGTGGGAGAGGAGGCCGCCGCCAATGCCGGAGTTGACATCGGTGGTGTCACCAGCGTAGACTGCCTTGTTGCAGCAGGACAGCTGAGCCTGGTCACCGCACTTGGCCTGAGCCTCCTGGACGGTCATGCCCTGGGGAACCTTCCAACGGATATCGCCATGGCTCACGAGGCCGGGCTCGTGAGGCATAGCGGCAGCTAGGGTGGTGAAGGCAAGAGCGATAGCGGTCAGAGAGAACTGCATTTTGAAGATGGATTAAAGACTAAGGTCTTTAATAAAAGATCAAAATGTTTTCTTGTCGAAGAGGATGGTAGAAGGAAGAGGAAGAGAGAAAGTGAGTCGAGAAGGAAGAAAGCCCTCGAGGTCACGCCTTATATCTTCAAGAATTCGATCATCTGGGCTCACCTTTGCTCTGAGCTTTTTGCTCAATATACAAAAACAAAAAACAATCCTACCATTTTTGGCGCCTTGGAATGTCATCCGTAAGGGGGGGAGGCACACCTGTGATGGAGTTTCTACTGCTCTGAATCCCTTCATTGGCTGACGAGGTGCTCCGGAATCGACTAGTCAATCAGATAGCCCCTTTTGTCCTGGAGATGCATGGGCCCTGCATTCCAAAACCTCCGATGGCATCCACGGAAGCTACTCTACAGGAACGACTAATTTTAAAATTTTCCCAGCCACTGATTACCTCACATTCAGTTGTCTGTGAAGCAGCAATGAGTTCGAGCTATACTATGTGAACCAGCCCATCGTAGGGATGTCCCCGTTCTAGACTACGCAATCAGGGTCTGGACATGTGGACTTCCTAACCCAACAAACAAAGAATGCCTTAACCACACCGCACCACCGGATTTACGTAGTCCGGCGTAAGTGGCTTGCGGGAATAGCCTCGTGGCGTCAATAAGATCTCTTTTGTTTCGGATACTACTAGCAGCGCAATATTTGATTATCTCGATCTCTAGGTCTCGCTGTAAAGGCTGTGCCGAGCCCAAATTCAATCACCCTTGAATGACCCAACCTCCAACCTGAACTAGACGATAAAGGGTGAGCTGAGGCCCTGCTCAAATGTGTGGATCCGATCACAAGGCCGATCGAGATTCTGAACAAATCGGGAAGGAATGAATTGTCGTCCTTGCAGGCTTCGGCTTCTGCGGCGGAACGAGCACACGTTGCAGCCGCATTACTCGGACAGGGATAAGTGAAACAAGATATTCTGGAATTATTTGCAATTTCCGTAACAAAGCAACCATACAATCTTATTTGAAGAGAACTGTCGTAATAGCCATCGATTGAATTAATAGCCTTGGAGCCTTGGAATAAAGGGACAGCCCCTTGATCCCTGGTCTCGCAATCAGGACGTGTTTCCGGAGTATGCTACAATGGAAGCTTTCAATCTTTTTCCAAGTTACTGTTTGATCTTCCAACGATAGTCAAAACCAGCCAAGACATGCCTTAACCTTGGACGTATTCTCCAGATACCCTATCAATAAACAAAATCTAAGTAGGATTTCGTTAAGCCTCATTGGGAAGCTTTGTAGACTTGGCCTGTCACTTTTGTAATCCAACCTGACTATCGTAAGATAAGCAAGGTTGAAGTACTTCCGCTTCAATGGCTCTGCTTCTGTTTTATTGTTCGCTGCCAGAGATCAAGGAGTCTTAGAATGAGATTGAATTCAGTCCTAACATATCGTACGAAAGATGGACGTACTGCTCACATATACATATTTCCGTCAAATATATATATATCAACCTCCTGTACCGTGAAATGTGGAAAATACCCATACAGCCATAAATAGACAGCTCAGAAGCTTGAACCGTACATATGCAGTGCCTCCATGCACCTGTAAACGCTAAAACCTCGTGTTGAGTCCTATTTTAAACTCGTGCAGCCGGTTGCTCCTCTCGGCGTCTTAGTGGAACCGACTCTAACCGTATCTGGAATAGTGTATCCGACCCGATTTACGAGAAGTTCAGGTATCGAACGCAAATAAAGTCGAGTAGATACTTGATGTTTGAATTTATCCGTGGCTATGATAAGAGAGGGCTGTGTCCATTGTACGAGAATTTTTAACTAAGTTGTCGATGTCGATGTCGTTCATGATCTGTCCATCGCAGTTGATCAACACCTGGGCACCATCAATTACTACAAACGATACCAACTCCATTCCCAAAGAAAAACGTAATACATAAAAAGAAACTCAATCAAAATTTCCACAGCAATTGCATTCTTCAGAGCCACCGGTGGCTGCACCAACATCTGCCTCGCATACCGAGCGACTACAACGCCATCGCTCGGATCATGTTATTGCGGATCCGGGAGAGGATTCGGGGTTGAAGAAGCTGCGTGTTGTGACTGATGAGAAGCCTGAAGTTGGGTGTATGATCTCGCGGACTTTGGTTGGGGAGTGGGCCCTTGAGGAGATCGATAGAACGCGGGGAGATAAATGGGTGGGCGAGGGGGTTACCATTGACTGCTTGATTCTAGTTGGTGCCTTTGGTTCGAGAATCCCTTTTGTACATAGATGGTATTGATAATGGATGTCGTGCACATGTTGGGTTGCATATGAAGTTGATTCCATGAAGATGCCAGTAAAAATTGTCTATTTATTTACGCAGCAAATGCTGCGAATAACACAACAAGCAATCCAAAGCAATGCGAACGTAAATCGGTTCGGGCAGACATTGATCGCTAAGGGGAATAACAACCGAAGAATAAAGCAGATATTAAATTACATTGTCGCAATATATTAAAAGAAGCCGCATCCAACCCAAGGGCATCCAACAAACGCCGAGGCTGAGTGTAAAACCTCGCTGACCAAGAGGTAAAAGTGCGGGTTAGCTATGAAGACTGTACAATGAGAAAGCGACATCGTGCTCGCATGTATAATATGTATTGTTCTCGAGGTAGAAATTCGTGACGGTCGTTGAAAGATGATAGGGAAGTATGTCACAAAACAACGCTTAAGTACCAGGGAACGGCTCTGGGCGGTCCACCTGCATACTGCGGCGCTCTTCCTTGACCTTCTTCTTCTCCATCTTCTTCATGGCCTCTTCAGTCAGCTGTTGCCGGAAGAGGCGCTCCACAACATCCTTCTTTCGTGTTCGCCGGTCACCGATCATGATCATCACACCACCCGTAATATTGCAGGTGATTGAGCAGCAAAGGATGACGGTGGTCAGAGCAAACGGCCGCTGTCCCGGTCTTTCCATACTCCATGTGCAAGCACCCAGGGCAATCTGGAGAATGGAATGACAGTCGAGGATAACAACGATGGCGATAAGCAATTGCATCGGGAAAGCACGGTGGGTCACGGTCTCGTGGGGCTTATAGAAAGTGTGGGACTTGGAGAATTTGTTCTGATGGTGGATCAAGCGCAGCTGCTGGTGAGGATTAAGAACGGAGTACTCGAACTCGTCTTCTTTGGGCGTGTCCCCGAACTCGACATCCACGTCCTTTTCTTTCTGTTGGGGGATATCGTTCTTGTCCTTGAGGTCGGGAAGCGCCCTCTTGCGACGGATCTTCCAAGTCAAAAATGTGTAATGCGCGATGAAGGTCATATGGTAGGTATCAACGGCCCGGAAGGGAGCCAAACCATCACCCATGATGGCGAAAAGTCCGACCAAAACGTTGTCGATGATGTTAATGACGTAAAGCTGCTTTCCGCCGACATTGATCCAGCCTGGATGAGAAAGTCAGCAAGGAGCCCGATATAATAGGTCCGTGTCATCTATAGAAATCTTACCGATCAAGAAAAGCACCCATGCAAGACCAAATAGGGTGATTAGAGTTGCGTAAAGGGTGACAAGGAATCCCAGTGCTGTATGGCCAATTCATTAGCTTGATAATTCGAAGCACGTGAGAGTACGGAAACATACGCTTCCGGACATATTGTCCAAATCCTTTCATCGACCGCTTAAACTTAGAGCGACGGGAATGAAGCATGTGCCGAACGTGGTCGTTCAGCTCCATAAAGTCTTCCCGAGTCCATCCCTCGAGCTCGTGACCTTCAGGCAGAACAGCGTAACGAGGTCCAGGCAGTACAGAAGACATACTGGAAAACGGACGAAGCTGTTCCAGCGTCGGCCGTTCCTGGAGCTTGCTGTCCTCTGACATTTCCCCTTCCTCGGTTATGGTCCCCTGCTCTTCATCTGAAGGAGGGTGTCGCGTGAGCTGGTAGGTGGGCATGCGGTTCACCCAGCCACCGAGATTGGGTATGAATAGTGAGTTCTGGACATTTGTGAGAGTCGACAGCGCGGAAATCTCGGGATCTACAATAATCGAGAGTGTTAGTGAGTGCTTCGAGAGACAGCTGCATCGAACCAGCGCAAAGTGGCTTACCAATAACATCCAGTACGTCCACAACTTGAGGAGCGTATTCGCTCCTGCGTTGTTGTTCGTGCATGGCCAGCGTCGGAGCCACTCCTGACACGGTTGATGCCCGGTTACGGGAGAAGCGGTTGAGCGCTGCTTGACTCGTTCGCCGCAGTAAGTTTCGGGAACCCGGTCGTTCCAGCACCGGAGGGGGCGGCTCAATATGCTCCGGAGCATGCTGTTCAGACGCACCCCTCTGAGGAGTAAGTGGTCGCGGGCTCTGATGGGACGACTCTTCCGAAAGGGGCATCATCCGGATGGGAGTTGCCACGTGCGATAGGACGTTCGGGGCAGGGGACGACCATCGCCCCGGGCGCGGCTCGGAGCTGCTGCGTCGTCGGCCACCGTGCAGGGACTCATCTTCTTCAGCAACGGGAGATTGTATGGTTGGTTGGCGGGAGACGGAGGGTCCGGGTTGAAAATCCGGCTGATCCTGCGAGTTGACGGTATTCAAGGAGCCGATGGATGATAAGCGTGAAAGCCTGATACTTGGACGACGCGCTCGATTTGAATTTTCGCGAGTGCGGACAGTTGCCAGTGGCGGCCTCTGTGGAGGCTGCGCAGAATCCGAAGGCTGTTCAGGAAACGGCTCGGTGGTTTGCGATTCCGATGCCGCAGCATTCGAGTCCTCGACGGGCTCGATGCGATCCATGGAGGCGGCTTGAACGGGAGATGCCGAAGGGTGGCTGGGGGTAGACAAGGGCAGTTGAAACAAGGAATCAAACAGGGAGTACAACAAACAGCCCGGCCCCCTTAGCCGTTGATTGTCAAATCATGAAAGTTGAAGATTTTGGATTGGGGGAGTATCCCTCGCGGTGACCTTAGTCAGCGACCGAATCTTGTTTTGCGCAGTGACGACGGGGGTGGAGCCGATGCCGTGTCTATACTAGACCGTCGTGTCGATCGTTTTGGTCAATCCTTGCTCGACTGCAGGCGATCGCTGCAGCTGCATGCATCCTGGCACTAGTCATTTGACGGGGAACTACGTGGTGGATCGTATACAGCGCAGGTTTCTTGGCACGAGACTCAGTGGCGAACACTGGATACAATGGAACTGGAACTAATTGATAAGCGGACTCCACTTTGAGCTTGTACCACAGTATGAATCAGGGAGGGTCTACAGGGTCTCTACTACATATACCCGGCTGCACGGTTCCGCCGCCCCTATTGTAAATCTCTATCCGAACGTCTTTCCGGGGTTGTATCTCTGCCTCATAGGTTCTTTTGTAGTACCAAACCAACATTTCACTTTTCTTCTGCTTGCCTTTCATTTTTGACCGTGGAATGTCTACATCTGCGGCAAGCGGAAGTACCCTCCATATAATCAAACAGTGCTTGGCCCAACTTGATATCGATGGATGTCAATCCATGCTCCAGAGTTCAAACAAAAGTAGAGGAAAGGGGAGTAATTCATGCCTTTCTACTGAGTTGTGTGGTGGAGACGGGAGGGCGGGGGAGGCGATATGTATAATACCATCGGGCATACCTCTTCATGCCTCTACACCTCTACATAGACCAGCTAAGCAGAAGACAGCGGCCTCTTCTTTGCCGCAGCCCCGTGGTCGACCGGCTAAGGTCTCCTAACGCTGCTTTGGAGGAGCCAAAGAATAAAAGACGGATGAATCCCGCTTGCTTTTCTCCAGTGGATCGGTTAACGTCCTCTTCTTTCTCGACTTGGCAGCCACGATTGTTCGCGACTTCCCTCTCAAAGCATTCGCAAAGGGACACGAGTGAATCTCCGCCGACGTACTAACAGGCCTCTCCGCAGTTGTCCTGGGTCCTCTCCAAGAGCCACAATCGTGGCACGGTGCCCAGTCACCGGCTACGGCCAGGAACTCATGGACTGGCGAGCTATCAAAATCAACCCCGTTGAAGGAACGCCGGGAGAATCCATTCGCATCCCGAACAGCTTTGGCAGCTCAACTCCAGCCATTCTCTTTCATCAATCTCGAAAGATGTCGACACCCAATAGCCCCCTTACTTCTACGCTCAGCTCTAATGCTCGTGATGTTTCGGATAGCTCGCCAACACCATCCACCACGTCCGACAATACTACCAAGAAGCCACCGTCGTCTGGCACCGATCGATCCCGAGTATGGAAATCCACCTCACCCTCCTGGTGGACATCCAGAGAGGTTTCTCCAGCGTGATCAGAGACAGCAGTGCGGGCTGTCAAGAAGCCCCAGGGCATCGGCTGGAAGTGACTGGAGTTCAGGCTGACTTTCTTTCCTCAGACCAAGGCTCTTCGATGGTTTTCCGATTCCGTCGATCTTCTGTAAGCTTGTCAACGAGAACTGGGCCAACTTGACGTTCCCACACCGCAGTGGGTTCTCCTCTCACAACCGCATCAATATGCGCGCGAAGACTGTTTCGATATCGCTGTGTAGCCCACGCACGATCGTCGAGTCTCCGAGAATCCACAATGGTCACAAGTAATGGGCGACACTATATCCAATAAGGAATAAACAAGACCTCAATAGAAATGAAATGCCGTCCCTTTTCATCCGGCGGAGAATTTTCATACGTCAAAATGATTTCACGAGGACAAAGCCTCTGTTTGGCGGATCGAGAATATCAACGGGACCGCGAGTCATAGCGGAGCCGGCTGAGGTGTCGCGAGACTGCTACCCATGTTTACGGTGATGACCCCTTGGCACTTGGCGCGGTGGGAGCTGGTTACATTAGACAGAACTATGATTTCCAGGTCGAACTGGAAATAATCTTCGGTTGAAAATGGGTAGAAGAGTTGATGTGCATCTTAGTAAAACTAGCAGGGATCGAAGATGATGGCATCCGAAAGAATGGGGTCTTGGCTCCATAATGACATCAAGGCCCAGTTGCGTCGAGGACGAAGGCGGTGGGAAGTGGTATGCCTGAAGTTTGTGCCCGAGTTGGGGGGCTTGGGGGGTGCCGTAGGGGCTGGCAGCGCCTCAAGGCAGGCGACCGCACCTCAGGCAACACCCGCAACAGAGTCGCCGCCATCGTCCCAGATCTGTGCTCCCCCAACAAGGCTAGCGCTTCACCGCCTCCTTTCCTTTCCTTCCCTCCCTTCCCTCTTTCCCTTCCATCAAAACAACCAATCTCGATTTCCTATCCATCTACTTTTCCCCCCCTCCATCGGTATCTAGGGCACCAAGCTACCCTGCTCCTTCCCTCAATTCCTCCTCGTCAAGTTTTCACCCGCCCCGCAGGCTTCAATCAACAAACACCTCTGTTTGTTTGACACATACCTCGTTCGAGCTTTTCCCATCCCGAACTCTCTGTGTCTCGCCTTCAAGATGTCTGCCGTCAACGCTCTTACCACCGACATGGCCGCGACCGCCATCAACGAAACTGCCAACACCAACGGCACCGCTCCCGCCGCTACTCAGGCTGCTGACGCTGCAGCTGCCAGCGCGGATGAGGGTCGTCGTCTGTACATCGGGAACCTCGCCTACGCGACCACCGAGGAGGAGCTTAAGGAGTTCTTCAAGAGCTACACCATGTAAGTTGTGATCCGCTAGGTGGTGTTTTGGTTGAGGTACCTTCCTCCGATCTCCATGACTGACGATGACGACTTGCAGCGAGAGCACCTCGATCCCGGTGAACCCCCGCACCAACCGCCCCGTTGGCTACGCCTTTGTGGACCTCGCCACTGCCCATGAGGCCTCCGACGCCATTGAGGAACTTTCCGGCAAGGAGATACTCTCTCGCAAGGTGTCTGTGCAGCTGGCCCGCAAGCCGGAGCCCGCAGAGGCTAAGGAAGCTGCTGCCAGCAGCGGCGAGGGTGCCAGCGGCAATGAGGGCCGCAAGCGCGCCGGTGGCCGCGGCCGTGGCCGTGGTCGCGCTCGTGGCCGTGGCGGCCGTGTTGGACGTGGTCGTGGCGTACGTCATTCTTCTCTTCGTTCAATCTCAACCAATACTGACTGCAAACCCAAGGCTCAGGAGGGCCAGGAATCAACCGAGGCCAACGCTGCCGAGCAGGCTCCTCTGGCTGAGGCCACCAACGAGAACGACGCTGCTGGCACCGAGGGAGCTAAGAAGGCTCGCGCAGCCCGCCCCCAGAAGCAGCGTGGCCCCCCCGAGGATGGTATTCCCTCCAAGACCAAGGTCATGGTCGCCAACCTCCCCTACGACCTGACCGAAGACAAGGTATGTGGCTACCACTTGAACTTCTCAACGCCCCAACATCACATACTAATGCATTACACAGCTCAAGGAGATCTTCGTCGAGTACTCGCCTGTCTCCGCCAAGGTCGCTCTGCGCCCCATTCCCCGTTTCATGATCAAGAAGCTCCAGGCCCGCAACGAGCGTCGCAAGACCCGCGGCTTCGGCTTTGTTAACCTGGCCACCGAGGAGCTCCAAACCAAGGCCGTCAACGAGATGAACGGCAAGGAGATCGATGGCCGCACCATTGCCGTCAAGGTCGCCATTGACAGCCCGGGCAAGGAGGATGATGTCAACGCGGCTGCTGATCAGTATGAGGAGGCCAATACTCCCGCTGAGGAGAACACCGCCCCTGCTGCCCCCGCCGAGGCCTAAATTCTCGCTGATTCCTTCACCCCGCAGATAGCTTGCTGATTTGGCTTGAGGTTTGGAAGGGGAGGTTTAGACCACTGCCATATGGATATGATCACAATGCTCCCGGGGCTGAAATATCTTATCTATGCGACAGGTGGCCTGGAAGTTGAATCTGGAGAGAGAGAGGAGGGTGTGATGACTTTTTTTACGGATGTCATGGAACGTAACGTCCCATGCTGGAGAGCAGTTTCTTTTGTCTTGCTGATGCCTCCATCCTTAACGACCTTTGCCTTCTGTACTGTATCTTAGCACCCATTTAACTAACTGATGACGATCTGCATTTGGAGTTCCATTCGTAGTGGATATTCACATCGTAGCGGCGCCAAATTTGGCGATGACGCCAAGTTTGGGGCAACCCTTGCCGATCAGCGGACAAAACATACAATCTCCCTCGCAACTCACTCCGCCACCAACACTCGCCCGTCGTCAATTCATCTTGCATAGTTACTCGCATATCCTGCATCTCTCCCATTGCGTGATTTCGGTGGATCAATCCAAAAAAGGGGTTAGGCTCCAAATCACACCGACACCAACACCCAGCGGCGAGTTCGCATTTCTACCCTGGGACATATTCGCTCGACTCTCTCCCAAATTGTCCCTCTTTATACATAATACCCGTGATGTCTCGCATGTGGGAGGTCGACCCAGAGACAAGGACAAAGGTGCGCCCGCACCCCTCTATTCGCCGCCATCAAGGCATTCAGAGCCGGCCGCGCTGCAAGGAGAACTAACAGCCAACCCGGAACAGCTCGTCCAGATCTCGAAAACGAACGGAAACGACAGATGCTGCGACTGCGGCGCGCCATCGCCTCAATGGGTCAGTGATACCTTCTTTGACTCGCTACCCCTCATCACCCTGAACACAAACCAGGGCATCAGCTAACAGCCCTCGTGCAACAGGCCTCGCCCAAGTTCGGAACCTTTATCTGCCTTAACTGCGCAGGCACACACCGCGGGCTCGGTGTACACATCTCCTTCGTCCGCTCCATCACCATGGACGCTTTCAAGCACGCCGAGATCCAGCGCATGGAACTGGGTGGCAACGAGCCTTGGAAAGCATTCTACGACGCACATGCCGTGACCGTTTCCGAGGGCCGCACGTTCGAAGACTCGACGATCAAGGAGCGCTACGAGGGCGACGCCGGCGAGGAATGGAAGGAGAGGTTGTCGTGCAAGGTGGAGGGCCGCGAGTACGTGCCCGGGCAGGAGAAGAAGAATAACCCCTCGCGGTCGAGTACGCCGATGAGCCTTGGTGGTGCCGTCCCGATGGCGGGTACTCGGACGGGTTCGCCTTCTGCATCGTCGATTCGCTCGCAGGATAGCATGCGTGGACCGTCGACGAAGAAGGAGCAGAACGAGGCGTACTTTTCTAAGCTTGGATCCGAGAATGCTACGCGCACTGATGCACTGCCTCCGTCGCAGGGTGGCAAGTTTACTGGTTTTGGTGGTGGTATGCCTGCGCCTGCTGCTGGGGAGCGTCGGTCGTCGCCGTTTGGAGGGTTCGGTGGATTGGGAGGCTTTGGTGGGAACCCGCAGTTTGATGAATTCCAGAAAGATCCCATGGGAAGTTTGACGAAGGGTTTCGGGTGGTTCGCCTCGACTGTGGGCAAGAGTGCTAAGCAGGTTAACGATTCATATCTACAGCCCACGGCCAAGCAGGTATACATCCACACGGATATCGAAGTTAATAGATGTGCTAATAATCCGTTTTTGCAGCTCGCCGAGTCAGACTTCGCTGCTCAAGCCCGGATGCAGGCTGCCAACTGGGGTCAGAACCTGCAGACCGGTGTCCGTGGCGCCGCAGACCAATTCAACCGCTTCGTTGAAGGTGAAGACGGCCGTCCTACGCGCTCCGGCGTTGAACCGGAGCGTCGGGATTTCTGGGATGACTTCTCGTCTCTTGGCGAAGAACGCCATGGAAATGGCGACAGTCACGCACGGAGCGGGTCCCGATCTGATGTAATCGGCACAGCGGCGATGCGCAAGGGCCCTGCGGCCTCGTCGTCGCTGGCTAACTCCTCTACTTCTGAGCCCACTGGGAAAGAAGGAGCAGAGGGTGGTGCATCATCTACAGCCAAGGGCAAGGATGACTGGGATGATAACTGGTAGTTTATCTGCCGTGTATATTGGGCTGGGGCTTACAGGGTTTGTTTATTAAACGACGGGGTTCAGATGCCATGATTATGCTCGGTTTTGATCCCTGTCTGGATCTATATACCTTGCTCGATGAATGAAGTGTCGTCTCCCTATTGATGGGAGGATTTGACAGCGCATTATACACAAGTTGTGGTTTGACTGAAGTAGTGGTACATGGTAGGGGTTTGGCTATTAGAAAGTATAGTGTACAGTAGATTTGCGATGGAAAATTTAGAAGCCACCTCTTAGCTCGGTCAGAACAGCCTTTTGTCTCGGAGAAGACATGTTCTCAAATCGGTCAACGCTCATCACGAAAGTACCTCGGCCAGCAGTCAAACTGCGCAGGTGCTTCAGGTAGCCAACCATCTCCTTGAGAGGCACCTTGGCAGTGATGGTGCGCGGGCGGGAAGCAGAGACAGACACTTCGGCCCCGACAGACGGGCTCGCAAAGGGATCCGGGGGTGCGTACACCCGGCTGGGGTCGATAGGAGGCAGAGCATCTTCAGCAAGTTCAGAGGCCTCCGTCGCGGATACTGGCACTTCTTCATCCAGCGAGAGAATGTGTCCACCTCTAGAAGATGAAATGTCGTGAACAACGGAGCCAAGACTAGCTTCGTCGATGCTGATGATGACGTGCATGACTGGTTCCATCATCACTGTCCCCGGCCCGGCCAAAAGATCCCGAAGAGCAGCGGATGTGGCTTGGCGGGCAGCAGCAGAGAGTGCAGAGGGTGTAGTCTCATTGCCAAAGAGGTGTTCCTCCGGGCTGATAGTGAGTGTTACTCGAGTGTTGTGCATAGGGAATGTAAATTGGGGCCCGCGAGCAAGTGCTGCCAACGCGCCGTTCTGTAAGGCTGTGCGAAGAGCAGCTGGGTCCATGCCTGGTGAAAGAAACGGGCTGCTTCCCTCGTCAGTCTGTACCTGCAGACCTGGAGCACGGATGATAATCTGGTTGCCCTCAAGCTTCTCGGCCAGAAGGGTGTCCTCGTCCAAAACTTCAAGGGCATCTTCCTCGTTGAACGGCTCGATGATGGCAGTGCATCCCGCTTTGCCGTGACGGCCGGCGACTTCCTTGTCGAAAATTTTCGTGATAGCAGCGGATGCACCGAGCGCGGACTCTCGGTACCCAATTTCGATCCGGCCCATGGAGGCCTTAGCTTTGAGGTCGTTGATCAAACGATCTCGTGCTATCTCGAGGTGAAGTTCGCCCATTCCGCTCAGAAGAGTCTGACCTGACTCCTCATCCATGTTGACGTGCAGACTGGGGTCCTCACGGAGAAGCAAGGCTAGTGATTCCTGCATGCGCTTTTCCTCGCTCAGGCTGTGCGGTTCAACGCTGGTGAAAAAGACCGGAGGAGGTACATCGATTGGACGCAGCTGAAGGCTGGTGAGCGGCTCCGGGGGAGTGGCTTTGTTGCCTGCATAGGACACGAGGGTATCACCAGTTCGAGCATGCTTGAGTCCAACCACGACACCGATATGACCAGCAGGAATAGTCTCAACTTCGACTGCGTCATTGGCATACATTTTGAGCAGTCGAGGTGCCCGCTCAGAAAGATGTAGGTTTGTGTTAAAGAGAAGACTGTTGCGATCCAGCGAGCCAGAGTACACCCGCACGTAGACCAATACACCGCGCTTGGGGTCATTGACCACCTTGAATGCCAGAGCGCAGCTTTGCAATTTGGCGATCGCTTCTTTGGGATCAGCTTGTGCCAATGCCTTCCTCTTTTTCTTGCCTTTTGACGGGGCCGACGCTTGCTCGTTTTGCTCCACGATCAAGTCACCAGAGAGCAAACGCCTTAGTCCTCCTTTCACGCCGCCGATACTCACCTCAGGATCAGGTGCCTCGGGTGGACTGGGAAGAAGATTCACCACGGCGTCTAGCAAAGGCTGGACACCCATGTTGCGGAAACTGGCACCAGCGAAAACAGGCACAATTCGACTCGTCTGGTCAAGCACGCACCGCCGGAGACTGGCGACGATGTCCATCGGCTCAATTGCCATGTGGTCTTCATCACACTCGAAGAATTTCTCCACAATAGTCTCATCCTGTTCACTCAGCAGTTCGACCAACGCAACGCGTGCCCGACGGAGCTCCTTTGCTAGAGACGGCTCCTCGGTATCTAGTTGCTGGAGGTCCATCATCTTGACCGAGCGGCCGTCCTCTCCTTCCTTCCACCGTAGTCCCTGAAGATGGACTGCGTCTGCAATGCCCACAAAAGGCCCATTGCCGCCATCAAACCAGGGAATATGGCATACTGCCGGGTACACGCCTAAGCGAGAGCTAACCTCGCGCACGGTACGTCCAAAGGCAGCACCATCGCGATCGAGCTTGTTCACATAGATTACTCGGGGAATCTTGTACGTGCTGGCTTGATGCCAGACCTTCTCCGTCTGCGCCTCGACACCAGCTACGCCGTCTAAGATACAGACGGCGCCGTCCAGGATACGTAGGGATCGCATGACCTCGAATGTAAAGTCAGCATGCCCAGGCGTGTCAATGAGATTGATCGTATGTGAGTGTGCTGCGCGTGGCAAAGCCCGATCTTGCGGGCTTGACGGAGCTTCTTTGCCGTCTCCAGGAGGCCAGTGGAAGGTGATGGCAGCCGACTGGATAGTGATGCCACGCGCACGTTCCGCGGGCAGGAAATCAGTCACCGTGGAGCCTTCGTCAACATCACCAATACGCCGAGTGAAGCCACTGTAGAACAACATGCGTTCGGTGGTGGTGGTCTTGCCAGCATCGATGTGGGCGATGATCCCGATGTTGCGTGTTCGGTCCAGTAGCTCACTCTGCCATCTTGAGAGTGACGTGGAGAAATATCTAGGCCGAATTTTGGAAGTGACGAGGCTCTTCAGATGGTTGGTTTGAGTCCTATAGCATTGCGAACACATAAAACGCATCCCCGGTTTGGGGAGGCGCAACAACGGAACAATGGCCATGCCCGTTGATGGTGCTCATGCAACGAAGATTCTATGCTGATTAGACACGAGGAGGCATTGGAACTATGCAGAGGGTGGTCCAATGGCAGAAGTTGAAGCTAAGGAAGGAATTGCGGAGCTGCCACTCGGACGGGGCTTGGCGCGCCTTCCAGTTCGCCCATACGTAACCAATTCCTTCAACTCAACTCTCGATCGCCAGACTGCCCCGTGAACCAACTACTCTCCTGTTGCTTGTACAACTTGTCATGCGCTTCTAGAAGCGCTATTTCTCTTTGTCCCAAGCTTCCCGAGGTAAGTTCCCAGCTGTCATGAAGCTACCTGACGGACATTGTGGGGGGGTGATCCCCAGCCATTAATACTCACGCCTGCCATGAACTAGCAGCTCCTCCCCCTTCCCCGTGAACACGCTCCTTGCATCCAATCTCAATCAGGATGGACTACTCTGCCATCTCCAACGACCCCGACCACCCTGCGGGCGCTTCGCCTTGGGGTTCTCCGCGCGCCGACCGAACCACGTTCCCCACCTCCGGCACGAACGACATCCCGTCATCCCCGTTACCAGGACAGGCACAATCTGCGGAGGGCTCGGAGGGAGGCCACGAGGCTGAACCTCAATCCCCGGACCTCTCTACGCAGTTGCAGAGTGCTCAATTAGGTGACCCGGACTACCCCGAGGAGCAGCCTCCGTTCGCGACCCAGCAATCCCCAAATGCAGGCCAGCAGTCACAATCTCCCGCGCGCTATCAAACCGGACTACGCCAGCCGAACTCTCGACCTTCCGCGCCCATCTACAAGATCCAAGGCAAAATAACTGGCTTGGAGAGGACGGGCAAGAAGGACCCTATCCTCCGCTTTGATGTCCACGTGGGTTTGAAACCAAGGTCCAAGACAGATGTGTGCAGAGAATGGCTAATTCTTCTCTTTTCCGGAATATAGACCAACATCCCCAAGTTCCGCACAACTCAGTATCGCGATGTTCGCCGCACCCATTCCGAGTTCACCAAACTTGCCGACCACCTGATCTCCGCCAACCCGGAAGCATTAGTCCCAGCCGTACCACCGCCGGTGACTCCAGCTGGCGCAGGTACTGATGAAGATGAAGTTAGAGTTAAGGCAGCAATGCAGCGGTGGCTCAATTGTGTGCTCAGCAATGAGGTCCTTATCCAGGATGATGAGGTGGTGCTGTTTGTGGAGAGTGACTTTGGTTACAGCCCGGTGCTGCGAATGAAGCAACCTGCTACTGGTGTGCGACGCAAAATGTTGAAGCAATTTGCGCCGCCTCCAGATGATACTCCTGAGCTCCAAGCTGCTCGTCCAGTTGTCAAATTGTTCTACTTAGGATCAATGGACTCGAGCCACAAAGTCGACCGGATCGTCAAAGCTCGCCGAGGTACGCTATTATCGAATTCCTTTTCGATCTCCATCGTCTCATCTAATGCTCTTTTGTATAGGACTAGGATTGGCCGAGTCTGATTTTGGTGTTAAGCTGGGGCAAATGCACGTACAGGAGACCCATCCTGGCCTGAGCCTGGCCTACCGTAAACTCGGCAAGGTCATTCAGTCCGTGGGTGATTTCCACGCCGTCCAAGCAACTGCCGAGGCCACTACCCTTGGCGAGCCATTGGGCTACCACTCGTCAGATGCTTTGATCGTCAAGGAGACTTTGACCAACCGGCACATTTTGTTGCGCGAACTTCTTCAAGCCCGGCAAAGCGCGCAGAGTAAACGCGCTGCAGCAGACCGCTTGAAGGTCAGCTCGTCTGTCCGCTCTGACAAAGTCGACGATGCAATCCGTGCCCTGGAAGAGGCACAGAGCCACGAGGAATATCTAACCAAGCGCACCCACCGCGTGACCACAAATCTGCTTCAGGAGAAGCGCCGCTGGTTCGATCGCACTACTGGCGATCTTTTGTTCAGCCTGCGCGAGTATACTCTGCGCCAGATTGAAGCTGAGCGGCGCACCCTGGCTACTTTGGAAAGCGTTCGACCTGACATCCGCGCCATTGATGCCTCTGGTGGCTTGAGCCGGCTGGGCCGCGAAGCACACCCTACCGCCCGCCGAGTTAATATGGCATCAAGCCAGGGTCCCAAGGGCGACGCTTGGAGCGGTGTTCCCCGCCGTGCCGACAGCATGGGCCGTAGCATGAGCGGCAGTTTCACAGCACCGAATCTCAACGAGGAAGAGGAAGAGGAGACTCATCCCGAGTCTGGCCAGGGCCGTGTGCGATCTACGAGCCAGGTTGAGTCGATTGCGGAAGATGACGATGACCGACTTGATGCACGTAACGCTGCCAGCCGGCTGGCCACCAGCACCTTCTGATCAGGTTGACCGATTGCATTGATTCTGTACATGTAGCCTGAACACGACCTCGTGATTCCCCTTTGTTGCTTTTATAACCGTCTCTCTTATCAAGTCTTTACGTCTTTAAGCCACCTTTCCTGTTATTTGCAGATACTGTAAAGAAACTCGATCATTCAATTTGAGAGTAGCTTCAAGTACTTATGATCACATAGACCGCCCTGCTTGGTCCACACAAGCACCCCCCAAATTGAACTATTCATCCCACCCCTGGAACCTCTTAGCCCCATCATCAGGCAACTCAAACCAAGAGGCTTTCTCCTTCAAAAAGATATGAGCAGCAGGCCGCGGAACTCCAGTCTTCCCATCATCATCCAACGTGCCCACAGCAACACCCGTTCTCGATACGTCCTTATCGAGATAAATGGTCATCGTTGAGCCACAGCGAGGACAAAAACTGCGCGTAGCAGTATCACTCGACCGCCATTCAGTGGGCTGAACAGTCCATGTAATATCATCAGCAGGGAAGGATATCCAGGCCTGGTAGGGTGCCCCGGATTGCTTGCGGCATTCGACGCAGTGGCAGCTAACCAGCGTGTCGGGAGGAATGGTAGTTGTGTAGCGGATATAGCGGCAGGCACAACTTCCTGAGACCATATTGAAACTTGTAAAGCTGGATTTCCAGGATGTGAGTGGAAGAGTGACTGGTTCTGTTTGGACGTTGTCTGTATTCTGTAATCCGGAACTAGATGTAACCACAGTTGTTGCCACTTGGCTCAGGCCAACAATTTGCCACATCGAATGCTCATTGGACATATTGATATCAATAGCACAGCAGGGGCCCTTGTGCCACCAATGCCAGATCAATTTGTCTCGACTGCATGATTCTAATCTTCGCGGACCTCTAGCCACTGAAGCGAATTTGATGGACTCCCGAGTGTAGATGTGTAGATATGGCGAACGCCACCCGGACCACGGGCCCCTAGAAGGATGATTGCCAATGTTCGAGGTATGATCACCCTGGGCCATTAACTACAGTACTATGGTAACTTAAGCTCTATCTGCCTGATTTGCTCCCATTCCTTCCGAAGAATACCCATATGCACTTCGTCCCACCATTTATCGTCCTTAAACAAGCATTCCCTTCTCCTCCCCTCTTCACGAAACCCAATTCTCTCATATAGCTTCCTTACTCGAGAATTCCAGCCTAAAACATTCAATTCCACCCGATGTAGACCAGCGTTCCTAAATGCCCAGTCAAGAGCCCAGTTGATTGCCTCAGTCCCATAGCCCTGTCCCTGATATTCCCTCTTTATATCAATTCCTAGCTCTGAGCAACGATGATGCGCCATATCTGGACTTGATAACTTCAAGAACATTGTACCGATAGGTTCATGTTTAATAGGTCCGGGGTTAACGTAGGTGTTTTCGTCATTTCCCTTCCCTTCCTTAGATGCTTTGCTTATTTGGGTGCCTGGTTCTTCCACGGGTATATAGATCACCGTAAATAAAAGCGAATTCTCAAGCAGATATTTTCGAATAGTCTCGGTAAATCTGCGGTCTGCAGGGCGTTGAATTGATGGACACGAGTTTATGAATGCAACTGGATCAGATTGAATAGAATGAAAGAAGTCATCATCTTCTGGAGAGTTGTAGCTGCAATATATCAGACTCTTAGAGCGGAACGGATCTAGGGCGTGCATTGAACTGGTCTAAATAAGCTGAATACCTAATTAGTGAACATAGAAATTCAGGAATATGTACTTCAGAAATGCCAAACTTACTGGGAGGAAGGAATAGCGCTATGTTGTTGTAGGCCTAGGAGGAAGATAATAAAAAGGGCAAAGCTAGAGGAACAACTCCTATATATACCTACCCATAACTTAGTCGTTACGGAGACCGCCGGTCATCCGATGTGGGCTTGGGTTTCTTGTTTTACTGTAGCGCCTGCAATGCACATGTGAAAGTCCTCTCCAACCCGGAGTAGCGCAAATTACAACTCTTCCTGCTTGAAATAATAAAGGTTTCGTTGTAGAGTAGCACTTCTCGGGAGTACTGGGTGTCTAATGCAAAATTACTTCTATATCGAGTATTCCATGACAATGCATTAGCTAATGGTATATTGAAAGTAAGTTAGTTAGATTTATCTGCCTTTCCAATATTATTAATTTTTGAGGGTCCGGGAGTAGGTGTGGACCTTTGCTCAATTGATGAGGCTGATTGAACCGTGTACATGTACAGTGCGTCGGTGTCCACTTGCACACACTGACCTCCCGGTGGGGTCGCCGGTATGTAGGGCGGCAATTTACAAGTGTTTGCTTTTCCGCTCGGGGGGTTTTCCGAGGCATTCAAAGCCATATAGCCTATACCACTGATATGAGGAAAGAGTGATCATACTTGTCTCTAAAGGAGAGAACACGGTTATATTCAACATTTCCTCAGTATGCACGCCCGATAGTCAGCAAAACCTGGTAGCAGCCAGCAAAGCTGGCAGACCGAAGATCTGCAGATAGCCCACGCCAACATTCTCCATTGGGCTGCCCACATAGAGATTACCAAGCTTCCAGAGATTAATTATGTGAGAAAATAACCCCACTCTCGCTCTGCTTTTGACTATGCAAGGTGGGGGAGGTCCGGTCGGAGAGCTGCTCCGATAGTTACGACGCCCTGACGGGGTTATTTTTCCCTTGCGGCGAGGGTAGAAGGGTCTTTTCCCTTACATTGGATATATTAAAGGTCATCAATGCTAGATTCACTGTTCAAGGCTTTTGGGCTTCACAATGTTATCCGGCTTCGGTTCAAGGATATATGCGAGCCCGAGATCAAAGTCAGTAGGCAGCGGGATCCTCGGGCATCAAACTAGTTATCCATTGGACCGGAGCATTTAGCTCTATTCTTGATGCTTTGTCGGTATACTTTGAAGGCGTTTTTAAGAAACTTGATAGATCCACAAGGTAGCAACAGTTATGCATACCTAAGCATGTTCCAATGTGAGCTGTAATGTATATCCGAAATTGTGACATCATGTGGGGCAGCTATGAAGCTGCACAATGGAAACGATATGATCACCACGGTCTCGATATGACAATTAAGAAAGAAGCAAGGTTCTAGAGATCTTAAATAGAAGTGAAGAGAGCTCCTAAGGAATCCCGTGTGTCCTCGGGGTTGACATTGGCATTGCCCCCCACTTTCAATGCTTCGGTCCATCTCGGAGCAAACTTTCTAGATTGAGAGTTGATTTGAAAGCAAGTACAAAACATGTAACAGGCCACACTCGTCTGACTTCACATTCTTTATTTCTCTCATACGCTTCCCTTCCCCTCACCTCCATTGATAGCTCCATCGTATCCAATTTCAACATGGCTCATCCCAAGGTCTTCCTGTAGGTTACCTCACTCAGCACGCCTGACAAGTGATCTGATCGTCTCTGCAGAACCGGTGCCAGTGGGTATATTGGCGGCGATGGCCTCTGGACCATTGTCAACGCCCATCCCGACTGGCAGCTGTCGGCTCTTGTCCGCAACAAGGACAAGGCAGAGCAAGTCACGGCCCAGTACCCGAACATCCGGATTGTTCACGGTGATCTGGACTCCTCTGATATCATCGAGGAAGAAGTCAAGAATGCCGACATCGTCTTTCGTCAGTTTGCAACTCCATAAGTTGATAGAGTCACGCCTAACCTATTTTCCAGACTTCGCCGACTGCGACCATGTTGCAGCGGCTCAGGCTATTGCCAAGGGCTCCCAGCACCATACGGCTGAGCGCCCTCTCTGGTTGATTCACACCTCTGGTACCGGTATTCTGACCATTGAGGACCAGCGTGCTCATACCTACGGTATTGAGCGACCCAAGGAGTATAATGACTGGGAGGGCGTGAGCGAGCTCCTCAACCTGCCTGCTGATGCTTTCCACCGCAACGTGGACGAGATCATCATTGATGCTGGCAAGCGCGATCCATCCAGTGTCCGCACCGCCATTGTCTGCCCTCCTACTATCTATGGTCCCGGCCGTGGTCCCTGCAACACCAAGAGCGTGCAGGCCTACTGGCTGAGTGCCGCAGTTCTGAAGCGTGGCAAGGGCTTCCTGGTCGGTAAGGGCGAGAATGTTTGGCATCAGGTGCACGTCCAAGATTTGAGCAATGTCTACCTGGCATTGGGCGACGCGGCAGCTGCTGGCGGTGGCAAGGCGACCTGGAACGACGAGGGTTACTACCTTGCTGAGAACGGCTCTTTCGTCTGGGGTGATATCCAGCGAAAGGTGGCTGAGGAGGCCTTTGCCCAGAAGTTCATCAAGTCTCCCGAGGTTGACTCCATTGATGATACACAGACTACCGACCTCCATCCTGCTGGCATTTACGCCTGGGGAAGCAACTCTCGAGGCCATGCCATCCGTGCTCGCAAATTGTTTGGCTGGGATCCAAAGAAACCGAAGCTGATTGATTTGATTCCTGAAATTGTTGCGCTTGAGGCTAAGGATCTTGGCCTGAAATAAGCCAGTTTATTGCACAAGTTCCAAGTTAGTATTAAGGATCTTCTTATTTTTGAGCCATTCAAGAAATTATTTCAAATTTAGACTGCCATGTGTCAGATAGGTTGGATATAGATTAGGCTCAAAGGTATGAGCACGGAATCCTAGTCATTGTATCGACACTCAAAGCAACAAAAAACAAACAATTGAATTCAATAATATTGTAAGCCTCGACAAGTCAGTGAAGAATCAATGGGAACAACAGGAACAATACAACATCACAATTAAGAATGAATCCGCAGACCGTTGGATTACACTGGACACCTCAGGCCGTCAAGCGCTCGGACCAATCTTCACCTCCGGTCGAAGCTTCCTGCCATCATACGGGTCTTTCATCGCCATCCTCCCACGTCGACTTTCTCTCTCCACCCTCTCCTTGATGAAGCTTTGTCGCTGGTATGCCTCCCCTGCACGCATTACGTGATATGAACTTGCTCTCCCACATTGATCTCAATTGCTGACAATTGTGCTGTCATCCTCCCAGATTCAACCCTCATGAGTTACAACCTCTCAACATCACTCCCCACCGTCTCTGCCCTTCGCGTCTAAGCTGGTACTCTGACCGATATGGCGCCCGGGCAGGGTGGAAAGCGAAAGCGCGGTGAGCGCTCTTGGTCCGGAGATTCGGCGAGCAACGAAGCCTTGCGACCATCACCTCATCGCCCTGGCACCCTCAATATGGCGCAGCACCATGGTCATCAGTCCAGCCCATCCAGAGAGCAGAATGATATGCGCGACCGGTCGCGCCGCTACTCGAATCGTGGTGGTGGTCGAAACAATTCTCGCCGAGGATCGTATGAAAGCCAGCAAAATTTTTCGAGTTCGCAGCACAGGGAGCCCAGCGCAATGTCCCCTCCTCCTCCTACCCAGTCCAGGGAGGGTATAGAGACTACGCAACCAACTGGCGAGACCCCAACGGCCCAGCCCGCCCTGTCTCCAGCACCCAACACCCCGGCCGCGCATTTGCAGACGAATCCTCTATCCCACACCGAATCCGAGCCTCCTACGAGTCGCCCATCTGGCCCCCCTCCTCCCTACGACTACGAATATGTAACGGACTCGGCTCTTGAGGAATGGTCATCCACCGGAAAGCAAACGGTCGTGGAAGAAGGAACTTCGGCTCGGATGGAAGAGAATCTCGCTGGTCTGGCTTCTGTCTACCAGGAGCTCATTCGATCTGCGCTTTATGGACGAATGTCACCCTCAGAGGCAGGAGCTGCCGTCAAAGAAATTATCGGCGAGAATATCGTGTCTCAGGATGTGAACACGGAGGGTGAAGCTGCTCAAGTTTCGCCTTCTGAGTTTGATCCACGGTCATTATTCCTCGATATCCTTTCCATCATCACCGATTCTGACACCTCCAACCCCGCCTTGAAACCCCTCGTTTTTGCGACTTCGATATCCCCCGCCCTCATGCGTCTCCAACTCGATACACCTTTGTTGCAATCGCTAGGATTGGTTCGTGAGACCTTTGCGCGTATGGGAATTCGCAAGCAAACCAATTTGCTTTACCGTCAATCCAACTACAATCTTCTCCGGGAAGAGTCGGAGGGATATTCGAAACTCCTCACTGAGCTCTTCACCACTAGCAGCAATGAGCCTCCATCAGGCGAAGTGGTTGAAGACACGTTCGAGAGGGTAAAGGCCATGATTGGCGCGTTTGATATGGATGTTGGTCGAGTTCTAGATGTGACACTGGACGTGTTCGCTGCGGTGCTTGTCAAACAATATCGTTTCTTTGTGAAATTGCTGCGAGCCAGCTCCTGGTGGCCCAAAGAAGGCCCGTCTCAGGGCACACAGGAGACCCTACGCTCCTTCGGACTGCCAAACTGGGCACTTCCAGAATCAGCAGGCTGGACCACAACGGAAGACGAGCAAGCCGCCATTATGAAATCAAATGAGGAACGCGATCGAAGATTCTGGGACCGAGTGCGAGAGGTCGGTATCCAAGCTTTCTTCGAGATTGGGCACAAGCCAATCTCGGAAGAAGAAAGACTTCAATTGCTTCCGGAAAGCAATAACCCCTCCGAAGAAGAAGAAGCAACACGAGCATGGATCCAAGAGACAGGGACCTTGCCACCAAAGGGCAATCGAGTAGCAGCACAGCTTCTTGGATTCAAGCTGCGATTCTACGCCTCTTCTGTGCGTTCCAAGGACGATACATTGCCAGATAACCTTATCTATCTATCCGCGTTGCTCATCAAAGTTGGCTTCATCTCTCTACGTGACCTCTACACGCACCTCTGGAGACCCGACGAAATGATGGAGGAGTTGAAGACGGAGAAGATGACTGAGAAGACAGAGAGGGAAAAGGCTGCCCGGCCAGGTGGTGGAGTTAACGCTCTCATGCTTGCTGGTGCACTGTCAGATGACACGATTCCAACACCACGCCTTCGCGAGGACTCGCGCAAAGCCACCCCATCAAAAGATCAAGAGGCCGACAAACAGTCTGGCAAGACAGAGAATGAGCTGCCGGACCCCATTGACCAAAAGGTGTTGCTTCTCAAGAGTCTTCTTCTCATTGGTGCTATTCCTGAAGCCCTCTTCGTCATGAGCAAGTTCCCCTGGCTGATGGATGGCTTCCCTGAACTTCCTGATTTCATCCACCGCATTCTTCATCACTCGCTCAGCAAGGTCTATTCATCGCTCCGCCCTCTCCCCGAAGAAGACTTCACAGGCCAGCGACAAATATTGAGCACGGATCAGTCTGGTCTCCCCAAGGGTCAGCTTCGACTTGCGCAGCCAGCAGCAAAACGACTCCTTCGATGGCCCAAATTGGACACGGATGACGAAAATGAAGGAATCGCCTATCGATTTTACTGGGATGAGTGGTCAAACAACATCCCAATTTGCCAGTCCGTGGATGACCTCTTCGCCCTCTGTTCCTCATTTCTCAACCTCTCTGGCCACAAGATTGGTCAGGATGCAAGCTTGCTCACGAAACTGGCGCGTATCGGTAAGGACAGTCTGACAAGGGACACTTCTGAAGAAAACAGAGTTCGCTGGCGAGATCTCTGCAAGCGCCTTTTGTTGCCCTCTGTCAGTTTGACCAAAGCAAACCCAGGTGTCGTCAACGAGATATTCGATCTCCTTAGCTTCTTTCCTCGTGAGGTCCGGTACAATATGTATGCAGAATGGTATTCTGGCCAGACATCCAGATTGCCAGACATCAAGTCTGCCTTTGACCAGGCGAGGGCCGAGACCAAGGACGTGCTGAAGCGACTCAGCAAGACCAACACGAGGCCCATGGCTCGTGCACTGGCCAAAATTGCCTACGCCAACCCCGGAATTGTGATCAACGTCGCCATCAGTCAGATCGAATCGTACGAAAACCTTATCGAAGTCGTCGTTGAGTGCGCACGTTATTTCACCAACCTGGGATACGATATTCTGACCTGGTCACTCATCAACTCTCTTGGTCAGAAAGGGAGAAGTCGTGTACAGGAGGGTGGTTTGCTCACTAGCCGGTGGCTGAACGCTTTGTCCACTTTCGCCGGTCGAGCCTTCAAGCGATACTCGATTATGGATCCTACGCCGTTATTACAATATGTCGTGGAACAGCTGCGTCGCAATAACTCCACCGACCTGATCGTTTTGGAACAAATGATCGTGTCCATGGCTGGCATCATCACGGACAACAACTTTAACGATGCCCAAGTTCAAGCCATGGCAGGCGGAGACATCCTCCAGTCGCAGACTATTCTGCAGCTCCTGGATAAGCGACACGAGTCCAAGACTACTTCGAAGCGACTGATCAAGTCGCTCACTCACACCCGACTCGCAGGCCAGCTACTCGTCGCAATTGCCCAGGAGCGATTGACATGTGTCTTCAATGAGTCTTCATCGGAACTCAAACTTCTCGGAAATATCTTCGATGAGATTCACCGAATCCTCACCCAGTACCTGGACTTGCTGCGGAGCAATCTGTCGATAGATGAGTTTGACTCCTTTGTGCCCGACTTTGCCGCTCTCGTCAAAGAGTTTGGCATTCAGCCGGAGATCGCTTTCTGGATTCGCCGAGCCAGTATTTCCCGAAAGATTGCCGAGATCGAACCATCCAAGCCGGATATAGAATCCTCGGCGAAAGAAAACACTGAGAACGCCTCTCAGCCCAGTGATGAGAATCAGATGGACACTGCCGACGATGGAGAAGGGACATCCAAGACAGGACAGACCATCGCTGAGACAGCTATGGAAGTGGACAAAGAAGAAGCCACCCCTGCGCCTCTGTCTTCTAACCCTGTGATGCAAGATCTGATTGAGAATGTCAAATCTGCCTTGCCTGCCGACACATGGGAGGTTGTTGGTGCACACTTCTATGCTACCTTCTGGCAACTGGCTCTTTACGATGTACATGTTCCAGGTCAATCCTATGATGAGGAGATGGGACGGCTGAAGAAACGAATCATGACCATCTCTAATGACCGGTCTGATCTGAGTTTAGCTGGTACCCAGCGCAAGGACAGAGATAGGAAAGCTATTACAGATCTCCGTGATCGACTTCTCCGGGAAAACAAGAACCACTTGACTGCATACGGCCAAACTCGCACTCGCTTGCTGAAGGAAAAAGATCAGTGGTTCGCCGGCATGCGCCTCAAGCATGATGCCTTGAACATTGCTTTGCTGGAGCAATGCTTTATTCCGCGACTGCTCCTGTCACCACTCGATGCTTTCTTCTGTTTCAAGGTGCTAAAGTTCCTGCACAGTTCGGGTACTCCCAACTTCAGAACTGTTGGCCTCCTCGACCAGCTCTTCCGCGAGCAAAGACTTACAGCCCTAATTTTCTTGTGCACTTCCAAAGAGGCTGACAACTTAGGACGCTTCCTCAACGAAGTCTTGCGCGATCTCTCTCGCTGGCATGCCGATAAGGCTGTCTACGAAAGAGAGGCCTTTGGTACCAAGAAAGACCTCCCTGGGTTTGCCAAGAACGTCGGGCCCGAGGGCGTCCCGCTTGCCTTCTTGGAGTTCGAGGACTTCCGTCGTCTTCTCTATAAGTGGCACCGCCTGTTTTCCAATGCGCTCAAGACTTGTCTTAACGGGGGCGAGTACATGCACATTCGAAATGCGATCAGTGTCCTTAAGGCAGTCGTCCAGCATTTCCCTGCTGTGAACTGGATCGGCCGTGACATGTTGACCTGTGTCAACAACCTCAGCAAGAACGACGAACGAGACGACGTTAAGATTCCTGCAGCATCCCTGATCGGCGATCTCAACCGCCGGGAGAAGAAGTGGATGCTTCCTCAAGCCTTCAACCTGGTCAAAGCCGCACCTGGTTCCGAGCAGTCCAAGTCTGGCTCTCAGCCGCCTAGCGATGGCAAGGGTGATGCTTCACAACGACGCTCCGGGACTCCAAATTCGCTTAATGCTTCAGCTCCGGAGTTCAAGCCAACATACGGCCAAGAGTAAGTCATCATGACATGACCACCAACATTACTAGTCGACTAACCTGTCAATTATCAGTGCGGCCGAAGCGAATCGAGAAGTATCTGGCAAGATGGAAGTGGAGGACGGTGAAATTGAGGATGCGAAGATGGCTGATGCGGCCTCCGTCAAGGGGTTGGAAGACGCAAAGGCAGCAGAGGCTGGTACTGATTCGGGAACGTCCGCTGCTGCTTTTGACACGGGTCACGATGACCGTCCCGATATCCGTGGGCAGGTCGAACCTCCCGTGCGACCCCGGCCAGGCTCTCGAGCCTCCGAATCAGGTCGCCAGTCTGATATTCCAAGACGAGCAGAACCTGAACGTTCTTCGTCACAGCGCCAACAGTCAGGTCGTCCGCCTCGACATAGTGACGGCAGACTACCCCCACGGCCTGACCTGATGGTGGACGACCGACGAGATAGGCACTCTGACTTCAACCCGCGCACTCGTCACGGAGGCCCTGATCCTCGCTCTTTCGACGGTCCTCCAAATGCCCGTGATCGCTTCGGTATGAGACCTCTACCCGACGATCCTATGCGCGGCCCTCCCTATCGCGACGGCCGTATGCCACGAGAGCCGGAGTGGGCTGCTGATCGCCCTGGTCGTCTGCGCCCTGACCCATTCCATGGCCGTGATGGACCTGCTCGTGATGAACTTATGCCTGATTTCCCCGACCGTCCCGGCGATGGCCCTCGTCGTGGAGAACCAATGCGACCTGACCGGCCTTCGCGTGCTTTGTCGCCCCCAAGATCCGATCTACCCAATCGCCCTGAGCGATTCCCCGACGACCGACGATCTGCCAACTTCACCCAACTTCCTCGCCATGATGAGTTCCCTCGGGGCCCACGAGACCGTGCTGCTGAACCGAGAGATGCCGGTGTGGGTCCTGACTTGAATCACGGTCGGCTGCGTCTACCCGAATCCCAATCTGAGATCCCATCTGGGCCTCGAAGCACACGGAATCCTCGCGGGCGTAATGCCTCGGGCCGCCCGCCCAACGGTACAGCGCCCACCCCCGAGCGTCAGATGCCCACTGGCCCTAGCCGACAAGGTGGGCGCGGTGGTCCTGAACAGTCTCCTGCTGCTCCTGCTCCCCCTCCTCCCCCTCCTCCCCCCGAGACCCCTGTTGCATCCGGTGTCCATCCCGATCGACTCCGCAATATCGTCGATGACAAACCATCTCAGCAAACGCCACCAGCTGCGATGACGCCTCCCTCTGGTCCTCGAGGAGGGCTCAATCAGCAACAAGCTCCCCGTGGCCCCGGCGGGGACCGTGGGCGCGGCGATAAGCGGTTTGCCGGTATCAACAACATGCTCCAGCAGACAAATAGCCCTGCTGAGCGTGGCCCTGCTGCCACGCCGCCTGCCCGTGGAAGAGGTGGAAATCGACAATCAGATGCTGGAAACACTTCTTCTCCGCAGACCTCAAATCGTCCACCACCCACCGGTCCCAGCTCAACCGAAGATGATGGCCAGTCACGCAACCGTCCCGGCCGAGGTGACTTGATTGATGACGCTGGCCCTGACAACCGTCGCTCTGGCCGTGATCGGAATCGCGATAAAGATCGTGAGCGTCGTGGTGAAGAGAGCACCAACAGTGGCGGTGGTAACCGACGTGAGGAACGCCGTGCTCGTGACTCTGACCGTGAGCGCAACCGCAGAAGCGACGTCGGTAGTGGTGCGGGTCGAGAAGAGAAGGACCGCGATCGTGAACGCCACGCTGAGTCCCGTGAGAATTTGCGCCGGACAAACAGCTCACGTGAAGAGACAAGACGCCGAGATCGACGTGATCGTGATGATGGGCCACCAGACGCCGGCGGACCGGCTCCTGGCAGCGCCAATGAAGAAGGCCGTCTACGACCACCATCCTCTATGGGAGCGCCTCCCCCTCCCCCACCTCCCCCGCCGCCTCCTTTGCCCAGCGATGAAACCAGCACCCCTCGCCGTTGGGGCTCTGGAGGTGGAGACCGTGGCAACCGCAACGAAAACCGAGATCGTGAGCGTGAGCGCCGTGGTGAGCGCGGTCGTGACCGAGACCACCATCGTGACAGTGGCGGCGCAGGACATCGCAAGCGCGGACGTCCCAACCCCGAAGACAACAATGGTGATGGAAATGCACGAGGCCCGAGGATGGGAAGCGACAACAAACGCCCTCGTCGTGGAGCATGAGATACCCCGTGAGATAGTGTGAGTTATAGTTGCGGATAAGTTGATGTGTCTGGCTTTCAGTTTCTTTCAATATCCCATTCGTATTTCTCTCTTGTTGTTTTACTCTTTTACTGTGATCAATGCACATTGCATTTTGGCGGCGTTTGGGACCATCCACTCTGTTTTCCTTATATACTTTGCTGAATGTCAAGAAAAAATATCTCGTATACCCTGTTCTGTAATGAAACAATCAAAGCCACTGGTTATTTTCCATTGACTCCACGAGATAAGAGTCTCTGCTCACTCTGAAACATCCAATGAAGTCTTGCGGAAGACGAGGCTATCCGAGATGCAGCTAAGCCGCAGGTATACTAGTTGACCCGTCTTGTAGAATGTTCCTACACCGCTGCCTACCCCCCTGCTTCATCCTGCATAGATAAACCAAGGAGCCACCCACCAACACCGAATAGCGAAGCAACACCACCACTTGCGCTGTGGAAAGGCCACGAGTCTCTTGTTGCCATTGGTTATGCAGTGCACATCAGTTTTGAATTGTCATTGGAATGGTTATAGCCACTCGTCTGAGCACTCATCGTGCCGCCTGCAAGCCGTCGGGATCTAAACCTTGAAATATAGGTGGAACGAACGTATTGATAAATAGACAGGGTTCATCTACGATATAGGGACTATAGATACGAAGCCCAGAGTATCTCAAGGCTACGTCATTCCAAATGGCATGAGAAGCTTACATTCCTACTGCTCCAGTGAACGGGGGCAATCAAGTAGCCACTGCATATCTCGAGGCAATGCAATCTCAGCCGGCCACGCATGTATTCGTTCTCGTATATCGCCAAGGAATATGACATATGACATCACGCTTTGCACCCTGCATCTCAAGTTCCACGGCAAGAGCAGACGCAAGGCACATTATAAAGGTCTAGAGCAGTATAAACTCCCCATGAATGAAGGGTAATCAGACACAGTATTTGTTTTCTCATTCATCCGCAAAGATGGGGGCCTCTATAGATGACGACGAAAAAACTTAGTATGAATCCCTTCCCATGGCCTTCATGCCCTAAGCTAACGTTGGACAGTCTTACCTGGAAGGAATCGCAGCCGTTCCTCCAGAGTGTTCGAAATTTGGCTTTCGAGGTAAAGATTTCCGAGTAGAGGCTTCGCGCTGATAAGCTTCTATTATGCATTGATTGCGCCGTAGCTGATCCATGTTATACATTCTAGCAACTCAGATCGCTGTGGCAGAAGTACAAGGATTTGGATAATTCCCCGCCTTTTTGGGGGGATGAGGTAGACTCTCCTATCAGAAGCTATTCTGCATCATCTCCTCGAGTGCTCTAATCCATCCTAGGTCGAACATACTTTGGTGTCATTTGACCATAAAGAACAAAAGGTCAGCCTGGGCCTTCAACAGCATTATGTTCTGGAGAAATGGAATGAACATCGAAAGCAGTGAGCTTGACCCACCACTACAGCCCAAGTCCATGATAATCAGCTCACCTTTGGTAGAATGGGCCGACAGGAATTTGAACTTCACCCGGAAGGTATGCGGTACATGGTGGAAACGGTAGCCGCTCCTCCTCTTGGGCCCGGTCTCTCTGGGGCTCTCCATATTGAACACAAATTGGCGGAGAGGTAAGGTTCTTGGAGCATCACGCTTTCCAAATATTAATCTTCACAGGCGAAGGAATATCCAGAGCTTGCTAGGACCCGAAGACGCCATTCTCACTTTAGCGGGATTCCCACGCTTCGGCGCAGCCGAATCATTCAAAACTCTCGATGCCCTGACCATCGAAAAGCCTTTACACGGGGACATGGACCTCGCACTGAGCGGATACAAGCGATGGAAATGCCTCGGCGAAAACATCAAGGCGAGACGGGAGCGTGATTTTGACGCCGCACTACCAGTGTTTCAAGATAGGTTTACCGAACTTGTAAGTGGAGCGTTGGAAGCATTGAAAAGCACACGATCAATCGGCTAACCATATCGCAGGATGAAGTGGTCTTGGATAAATTCGGATATGCGCCGGGGGTGTGTGCACTGCAAGTAACATTTCAAGCGAAGAACATCGACGAAGCATGTCAGCTCCATGACCAGTTGTCTATTCTTGGCCCACTGATGATGGCGTTGACAGCTGCTACGCCGGCCTACCAGGGATTCCTGGTGGATACTGATACGCGGTGGAATTCGTATCGCCATATGGCGGACGAACGAAGCCCAGCCGAGGTCTTGAAGATGGTATGTTGACTTCGAGTTTGAATGAGTTACGATGTTAATGGTTTCATCTCGGTAGGAGACATGGGAACAGCATGAGATTGATGCAAGTCTCCGCGCCTGCACTAGTCCTATCTATCTGAGCAGAGACGTCGATGAAAAGTACCAATCCTACCTCCCAACTCCCTCGGACATTCAGGAAAAGCTCCAAAAAGAAGGAATGAACAAGAATCTCGCATCTCATTTCGCTCGCTTCCTGCAATACGACCCTTTGCTTCTGGAAGCAGATCACCTGGAAGCCCTCGGCCCGGACGATACATACCATTTGAGAACACTATACAATTCCCTATGGCCCCATGTGCGGGTGAAACTCCCACTCGATGAAAACGCGGGATGGCGAGTCGAATTCCGGCCGATGGAGGTGCAATTGACCGATTTCGAAACTGCAGCTTTTATTGTTTTCATGGTGGTTTTGCGCCATGCGATGGAACATTTCCACGTGAACCTCTACGTTCCCATGAAGCTGGTGGTTGAGAATATGCAGCGTGCCATGAACCGCAACGCGGTTCTTCATGAGCAATTCTGGTTCCGCACTGGGGACTGGACTTTTGACGAGCCATCGAACAGCGACTCGACCAAAGTCACAATCCAGCAGCTTTCTCTCAAGGAGATTTTCTGTGGCTCGAGCAACCGCTGCCGGGACGAATGCTGTGCGAATTGCAGGAACAGATTCCCCGGCTTCATACCACTCATCAACGCGTATCTTGATAGCGGTCCCGTTTCCGACGCGGAAAAATCACTCTTCATGCCGTACATCCAGTTCGTTAGCAAAAGGGCTTCGGGTCAGTTGTGGACTGATGCACGATGGATGCGACATATGATCCAGTCTCACCCGTCCTATCGGAACGACAGCGTGGTGACACCCGAGATCTGCTACAAGCTTTGTTGCCAGATCAAGGATCTGCCGAAATGGAAGCATCCCCAGCTTTTCTGATCTGGAGCATGTTTCATATTTGGCAGTCCTTGGCTTCAGGATGGGTGTTGGTTTGGTTCACGAAAAGATGGATGCAAGCTGGCTAGTGAAATACGGGACATCATCTGAGACACAACCATACGATCAGTATCAATAATCCCTTTCACAATTTGAATAGACTTTATTGGATGACAATAGAAACAAGACCCTCGTGCCATCCCCTCAATATTATGCATGCAAGGGACCAACTCTGCCTCGGGCCGGGTCCCACCAACTATAAGATGCATGTTTCACAACGTGAGACATCAACGCAATCCTAACTTCAATTATCTACCGGGAGTATCAGACTATTGAAAAAGAAATTAAATAAACGTTGCACAGTGGATGTATAGCTCAAATGGGGTATATACAATAAAATCTATGTAAGACAAGAGAAAAGGGAACGATCGACATGGTATCATAAGTGTTTTGGGAATCATCACGCAGCAGCCACCATAGGCCTATCCATCCTCCTGTTTCGGAAGGACTCCTGGTCCTTCCGTCGTTTGCCTAGCCCAGCTAGCCTCTTGAATAGCTGCGATGCCCGCTTGCGTTTATGGCGAGGTTGAGCATTTGCATCTGGGGTGACGACTAGCGAATAAAAGTTTTGGGCGTTGTATGCTTGCGCTGAATGGACGTCCCGCGAATCGTTGTCGAAAGAGAAGTCTCGCTCTTCGTCAAACGAGAGACTGCGCACGGAAAGACCGCCGTGAAGACTCGAGCCACGGCTCCCGCGCACCTTATATGATAACTCACGCGGGCCGAATCTCTTTTTTGATGGTAACTGGCGCGTACTGTAGAACCGGCGCGGGCCTGGACCGGAGAGAGGGGCTGGTGTGAAGCCAACGTGTTCGGCGCTTTGAGACGGGCTAGAAGCGTCGTAAAGACGTTTTATGTCATCACTAGCCCGGAGCCATGTCATTCCCTCTACGCCGAGGGAGGATTCCGGTTCTGAAAAAAGCTCGTCGGAAAGCGGGATATCCTTGGCGATTTCGTGCGACCACAATGCATTTGGTTGCGGGGGACTGTAGGGGAACATGTCGATGCTGGAAGCACGGGAGCGAGACCGGGAGCGCAGCGAAGTGACATCGGTAGCAACACTCCGTCCACGCTGGCGACCTCTTTTACAGTGCTCTTCAGGTGGAGTCCTTCGTCCGTAGAATCTCCCAGCTCCAGCTGAAGCACCGGTCCCCGATAGGCTGTTTCGGCCGGGTTGGCCACAGCGTCCTGAAGACTGGCCGCTGAACGCAACGCCCGAGTCATGCATCGGCTTGCATGCGGTGAACTCATTTTCCGTTGCCCCGTGAGGCAAAACTAGGCTCATTTGGTCTAGGGAGTTAAGGTGCGTTTCAGATAAAGCTTGGACCATGCTTCCACTGCCAGTGTTAGGACGTAGCTCCGTGTCGAAGGCCTGCAATATCGATAATTCTTGCTCGACGTCGTGGGCAAGCATTGTGCAGGCGTGGGTAATCTCGTCTTCTAGATCTTCTTCGATCTCCTGTCGGCTGATGAATGGTGAAACAGGACGGAAATATCCCGGCTCGTCGGTGAAATCGTAGTGTCGACTGGGGTCTGTGTTGTGCCACGCAATCTCGGTAGAGTTGGACGAGACGGGGGTCGTGGAGGAGCGAGGGCGGCTGTTGGGCGTGCTTGTAGCTCCGGACGAATTCATGGTTGAAGCGCGGTGTCGTCGCTGGCTACCGCGAGTGAAGGTGAAGCGCTGGCGCATCTTGGTAGCTTTTTCAGAAAGTTTGCGCTCCATCGTCGTCGAGAGGAGCGCGGTGTTTGTTGATGGCGGGGCGCGTGTAGATGGCGGGTTTGTTTACGGATTTTCGACGAAGTCAATCCGTTGAAAGCGGTGGCAGGAGCTTTGCAGTAGAACCGAGATACTTTGTAGTCTTCAAGAGTATGCAAAAGAAGTGACGTGCCAACGCCGGCTATGCGCTGCAAATCTAAGAATAGGACGAATGTTGTGGCGAAGAGATTCAACACCAAATCGAGAAGCGCTTTCTCCAGAGCAACGGAGCAAGGTAGAGCAGATCCCTGGCTTTCTGATGTCAACCCAGACGTTGCATTCAAAAAAAGCCAATGTGTTGGCCGTGCGACGGGTTGGTATGCGGGGGGCAAACGAGGGATGTGTAGCGGAACGCAGATCGAAGGACGCAACGAACGCTTAGAACGCTTTTATCTGAGTCAAATGGTAGAAAGAGGAGATGGCGACTTTTTCAAGGGTCAGCCTCATGACCGGTGCCCGGGGCCCAGAGCCCAGATTTAGCGGCGGGTGGAGCGAGGGGAAAGTAGGGACGATAAAGAAGGGCGCTAAGCCGTCGGGGCTCATCATAGGTGCAATTCACTAAGCTTGCAGAAGCCAGAGTGGAGTCCATTGCAGGCCCGAGGTTGCCATGGGTTGTATTAGGGCTGGGCCAGGATGGGGCTGAATGGGGCCGGGATAGCGAGGATAACGAGGATATCAACATATCAAACCGGACTCCAGGACGCGGCTCCCTCCACAACGCGCACACTGGAGTGATGGCCGGCACCCGATGCGGTTCAAGATCATCGAACAAAGCACCGCAGACAAGTCTAGACTCTGCTAGTATCGGATTCACCTCCGCTTCGAACGGCCCCCTTTTTGGATGAAGCTAGCTACTTGCTGGGCCCGTGCTGGGGCTGTGTTAGCTTCTTGCCTCTCGTGCGATAAAGAATCACTCAGTCGCACATGGGAACTGCGGCCGTGACCTGTTGCCCTCCTTCCAAGCGATCGCCGAGAGGATCCACACATCCCCGACGCTAGCGACGCCTGACTCAGAGCAAGGGTCACCGGGTGATGGGGTACCGTGGTGGTTTAATTTGCTTCTTATATTAAGACGAGGTTTCTGGTGCGGGCACTGAGGCCCAGGCCCACTCGCAACGGTCCAACGGACCGCCCTCGAAATCATCACACAAATCAGGTAAATCTCTAATGGGTATACTTGGTCAAAGCGGCGATAGCTGCATGAACGGCGGAGCGAATCGGTTACTCACACCCCCTCGACCCCGCCTTACGTTAGAACCCGGTTTTAGGCCCGAGCCAGTATTTTAACGAGCTGGGGCAAGTTGACTCATCGATCGAGGGTGACATGAGATCGCCTAGCAAAGGTTTCGAAATAGTCAGGCGTCTAGGAAGTTACCGGGAAAGGAGAAATCAAAATAAATAATTATTTGGGATACTGCGACGGCTACGGCATCGTGGCAGCCCCGAAAGAACAATTCGGTAGTCAGTTTGCTCAATCTTGTCGCTGACCTCGGTACGGTCCTCATATCAACTGGCTCGTGTTTCTCTTTTTCGCCCCTTTTATGCCTTTGATCACGGATTCGGAACACGGCTTTTTAATTTTATTTCATACCACTCATCCCAGCAAGTCTCCTTTGTATATGGATCGTCGTACGGAGAAGGACAAAGATAGAAAATGTGACCGAGCCTAATAAACCGAGTCTATCTCCATCATGTCGGCTGCTCCTGCTTCTGTAACTAATGAAAACCCACTTCGAGGGATTCACTCGCATAAAACTATGCCCCGTTCTTCTCCTATGGTCCCTGGCATCAGCTAATAGACAAACCCCTGTAGCTGCCCGGTCCGTGGGTACGCCACAATCAAAACAGAGACTCGTCAAACCACCAACGGCCCCGTCTCCGTCTTTCAGCTGCGGGTGTAAATCTTACACATCGTATATTTCCGCCCTTTAGATAGTAGCTTTCTGTATAGGACATGCCCAATACGCTGCCAAGACCGGGGGCCAGCGCCACGAACACGCCACGGGTCAGTGCAAATGTAACCAGCTGCTGACATCCCATCCCACCTTGGCGCGAAGAAGGCCTTAAGATACTCGGGATTAGATGGCAAAGATACATATCACCGTCTCGCCATCTTTCAATCCCATTCCGGCTAAGATAATAATCTATGGTTTTACGAAAATGCACAGATGTGATCGGAAGAGATTATACAGCCCAATGTCTATTTTTGATGTTCAAAATGTAAAAGCGACACGCTGTCGCAGCACGATACCTAAGCAATTCGCCAGGTTTCGGCTTCATGAAATGACCCATCAACCCCCGGAGTGAGATTTCTCCTGGAAAAAAGTGACCCAGAGGGTGGGTCTGATGGAGAGCAGTTGGATGCTTCTTGTGCAGTCATCTCGACATGGATAAGGCCCTGTGAGATTCGAGAGAGGCAGTTGGATGCTCATCTCCCTGACTAGCGAAACGGATAAAAGAACGGCAACCTCTACTTCCCCCGGTGCGCCATGGGCCGCCATCAGGACGCGGGCCCACGCCGGAATCTACTATTTCAGAAGAGACACGGCTGGGTGGGATTCCACGTCTGAGACGGGGGGCATGGGGTGGCTGCAGAACGATCTGCGCCAAAGTGCACTGATGTGATGGCATGGAGTTTACCACGCGGTAATGTCCTCCACCTCTGCCTCACCGAAGGTGCTGCTCTTCGTCAACTTGTTGACACTGGCCAAAGCGGCGGCGCCCTCGGCACCAGAGTGGGCCATGATGTCGGGCAGAACCTCGTGGAAGAACTCCACGATGTGGCGGTTGACCTGCTCAAACTGCAGAAGGAAAGCGTCGTGGCCCTCGGGGCTATCAATGCGCTTAAGTCGCGAGTCGGGAATACCGGCAGCAATCTCCTCCTGTTCGGCGAAGGTGAAGAGACCATCCGACTCAATCCCCAGAACGAGAGCGGGCTGCTCCACCCGAGATAGGGCTTCGTGGACAGGGTCCTCCGCGTCCTGGTTGACACGGTGACGGGACACGTCGTGAGTGTCGAGCTTACGGGTCATGGCAATGTAGCAATTGGCGTCAAATCGATTAACAAACTTTTCTCCCTGGTACCGAAGGTACGACTGAGCCGAGAAGTAGGTCGGCGGACGCGGACGACCAGTAAGATTAGTCTTGGCGGGGGTCGGGGCCGACAAAATCTTGGTGCCAGAGAACTGCGGGTCCATGTATTGAACTTCCGTCTGCGGGGCGGGAGTGGGGGAGTTTTGTCGACTCTCGGAGCGGGACGAGAGACCACCGCGGTGGCCATCGTTGTGGATGGCCCAATGCTCGTTGGGAGGCGTGGGCAGCTTCTCGGTGCCGTTGATGTTTTGCCGCTTGGTTGGGTCTGGCACATTTCGGCCAAAGCGCGACTCGAACGAGTTGCGGCTGCGGTAAGTGAGCAGCGCCGACATACGGGCTGCTCCGAGACCGGTGGATGGCGGATCGTCGAAGGGATAGTATCCGTCATCATACTTGGGGTCACTGTAGATGCTCTGTCTCTGTGCCTCACCCCAGCTAATGCACCAGGCGGAGTGGCGAGCGGAGGTCGCGATTGGCACGATGGCACGCACATAGTCCTTTCCAAAGAAGGCATACTCGAGGGTGAGCATACCACCCATAGAGCCGCCGACCACTGCGGCGATCTGCTTGACGCCGAGATCGTCCAGGACAATCTTATGAATGTTCACGTCGTCACGAACAGTGGTGAGAGGGAACTCAGGACCATAGTAGCCATTTTCAGGCTTACCACCCTTATAAGTGACCGCACTCGCACTGCCGTACGGGCTACCCAGACTGTTCAGGCAGACCACGAAAAACCGCGACACGTCGAAGGCTTGACCGGGACCGCCCATGAGAGGGCCCCACCAATCTGCGACATCGGCGCTGCCACTCAGGGCATGACAGATCACCAGGACGTTATCACCCTTGGGGGAAAGGACACCCCGAGTAGTATAGGCAACGGGGACATTGTACAGCGTATCCCCGGACTCGAGGGTGAAGGAGGGAATGACTGCAATTGATTGATCCTCAATCAAGCGGGCGTAAGGGTTCTCCGGCTGCGATTCGACTCTCTCTACGGGATTTAGTAGCCGTCTAGGACAATTGGGGCAGGGTATAGACTGACGGAGTCGCGCAGTGGGAGCACTGCTCTGGTCGGAAGCCATTCTTGAATGGAGATGAAGGTTAAAGGGAACAAGAAGGGAAGAGAAAGGAGAAGAAATATCCCTCCGGTCCCGCTAAATGAGTCAGGGTCCCCGCGATACCCGGTTTGCCAATCAGCGGGCGGGCGGTCAGCCCACACTGTGGCGTGATTTTTCCACATCCGAAATTTCTTGATTCTTCTTCACACTCGACTTCATTTCCTTGTTAACAAAATTATTCACTCCATACCGTCACAATGGCCAAGACCAAGTCCGGAGACAACATCTCTTCCCGCCTTGCCCTCGTCATGAAGTCTGGCAAGGGTTAGTCTCGCTTCAATTCGCAATTACAATCGATCAAACCGCTAATTCCCTTCAGTCACCATGGGTAACAAGTCGACCATGAAGACTCTTCGGTCCGGCAAGGCCAAGCTCGTCCTCATCTCCGCCAACTGCCCTCCTCTGCGCAAGTCCGAGCTGGAGTACTACGCCATGCTCGCCAAGACTCCTGTGCACCACTTCAATGGCAACAACGTACGTCAACCTTACCCAAGCCGACTCTCGCTATGTGAGATGTCGCAGCTGCAAGCCAGCTTTGCTACTCGGAGAAGAAGGGGGAATGTCCACTTCGGAGAGTGAAGTTGCTCAGCGATGGGATCTCCTAATAAAGAGATCCCGGAGAGCGAATCAACTAATACTTGTATAGATTGAACTTGGCACCGCCTGCGGTAAACTATTCCGCTGCTCCGTCATGGCCATCCTGGATGCCGGTGACTCCGACATTCTCAGCCAGGAGTAAACGTATTATACCCAGCCTTGGTTTTGAAAGGATTCCCATGACTGTTCAGTACATACCCTACTGCAATACATGGAAATTGATGATTTATGACTTCTTGGATCTTGCTGCCCGATAATACCAAATCAGGGGCTAGGGACGTTTGGGTGAAAACAAAGATGATAGCCCGCCCTGGAAAAAGGCGTTCTTTAGAAAAAGCATACAAATCACGCAATTATTCTTACAAAAAACTATGTCATCATTTCTCTCCTTAGTACTCACGCAACTCCCCACAAGACGATCCATGAACCCCCACGCCCGGTGTGTGCGGGGCAGTTGGGGGAAGTTGGAGGAAGTTGGGGGAAGTTGGGGGAGCCACCTCGCCCTCCGCATCGCGATTAGTTCCAGCACCTATAGCCTGAACTCTTGGGGAAACCCTCGGTTAAGACTAAGCTTCTTGACAGGTTTAGCCTGAACATCCCGGGAAAGGCGTCATTCTAGCATCTGCCGATCGTTCAATGCTCCCGCACGAATCGGTATAAGAAGCTCCGAGATACATTGACAAGGGATGGTGGTCCGATCTGTTTTTCACCTTCACCATGCGAGCTTTCTTTCTCCTCGCGTCTTTAGGCTTTGTTGCCGCAGAGAATGGCTTGGACGGTTGGCTGCGATATGCACCATTACCGTGTACTACCCAATGCCATTCGAAGGTCCCTGCCAACATTGTCGTCCTCAATGCAACCGAAACAAGCCCCATATACGTTGCGGGGACAGAGCTGCAAACAGGATTGAAAAGCATCTGTGGTTCTCACGCCGAACTTATTCACGGCCAATGCAAGGCGTCCTCGTCCGTCGTCGTCGGTACCATCGAGCAGTATCGCAAAACGTGCGGAAATTTGAGTGAAATCCCTGAACTCGAAGAGGATGGGTTCTGGCTTAGCACCAAGGGTAATGATGTCCAAATCCTCGGATCCAATGATAGAGGCGCTCTCTATGGTGCCTTTGAATACCTGTCGATGCTGGCACAAGGAAACTTCTCCGAAGTTGCATATGCCACGAGCCCATCCGCCCCGATTCGATGGGTCAATCAGTGGGATAACCTGGACGGAAGCATCGAACGAGGCTATGGTGGTCCATCGATCTTCTTCAAGAATGGAACCGTCGTCGAAGATCTGACCCGCGTCAAGCAGTATGGGCGTCTTCTGGCTTCCATTCGAATCAACGCAGTGGTTGTCAACAATGTAAATGCAAATGCCAGTCTTCTGTCGTCTGAAAATCTCAAGGGCCTTGGTCGAATCGCCGATGCCTTCCGACCATACGGGGTGAAGGTAGGGATCTCACTCAACTTTGCATCCCCTGAAACTTTCGGTGGCCTTGACACCTACGATCCTCTGAATTCTTCCGTTATCAAGTGGTGGTCAAACATTACGGATCAGCTCTATCAGAATGTTCCTGATATGGCTGGCTATCTTGTCAAGGGAGACTCCGAAGGTCAGCCGGGTCCTGAGATTTATAATCGCACCCTGGCTCAAGGCGCAAATCTTTTCGCCAAGGCATTGCAGCCGTACGGAGGCATCGTTATGTTCCGTGCCTTTGTTTACAACCAGCTCAACGAGTCAGACTGGAAAGCGGATCGCGCCAAGGCGGCAGTCGATTTCTTCAAGCCCCTGGACGGAGAGTTTGAAGAAAACGTGGTCATCCAGATTAAATATGGTCCCATTGACTTCCAGGTTCGCGAGCCAACCTCGCCTCTGTTTGCAAACTTGCTCAATACAAACACTGCTATCGAGCTGGAAGTGACACAGGAGTACCTTGGACAACAATCTCACCTTGTGTATCTTCCCCCTCTTTGGAAGACCGTCTTGGATTTTGATCTTCGGGTCGACCACAAGCCTTCCTTGGTTCGTGATATTGTGACGGGCAAACGCTTCAACCGGAAGCTAGGTGGATCTGCCGCTGTCGTGAATGTCGGCACCAATACCACTTGGCTGGGCAGCTACCTGTCCATGTCCAATCTCTATGCATACGGCCGTCTGGCATGGAACCCAGCCGACGACCCTGAAGCCATGGTACAAGACTGGATCCAACTGACATTCGGTCTTGATCCCACCGTACTCAAGACTTTGACGCGAATGTCCATGGAATCTTGGCCCGCTTACTTAAACTATAGCGGCAACTTGGGCATTCAGACACTGACCGATATCTTGTACACTCACTACGGCCCCAACCCTGCCACTCAGGACAATAACGGATGGGGTCAGTGGACCCGTGCAGACCATACGACAGTCGGGATGGATCGTACGATCTCCAACGGAACTGGATACTCCGGCCAATACCCGGAGGAGATTGCAGCCATGTACGAAAACATTGATACCACACCGGATAACCTCTGCCTCTGGTTCCATCACGTCAACTGGACTCACCATCTCCACTCCGGAAAGACTGTCATTCAGCATTTCTACGACGCGCACTACAGCGGTGCCGACACGGCACAAAGCTTCTTCACACAGTGGGAATCCCTAAAAGGCAAGGTTGACGAAGAACGATACAACCACGTGCGCCATCGTCTCGACTACCAGACCGGTCACTCGATCGTCTGGCGTGATGCAATCTCCAACTTTTACTATAATATGACCAGCATTCCCGACGACTCTAAACGCGTCAGCCACTACCCATGGCGTATTGAGGCCGAGGATATGGCACTAGACGGATACAAGACCTACACGGTCAGTCCTTTCGAGGCAGCCTCCCGCTCCGTGGCCATTGTTACTGTTAGTAATAACACCGTGGGTACGGCTACGACCAAGGTCGACTTTCCCTCGGGAACCTATGACCTTGCTGTCAATTACTTTGATCTCTACGGGGGTCAGTCCCATTGGCAGATCTACTTGAATGATCGCCAGATTGGCGAATGGATTGGAAATAGCGAGGATGTTCTCAGCCACACGCCTTCTATTTATTTGGACGGTCACTCTGCCATACGCATCAAGTTCCGTGGAGTCACGGTCAAGAAGGGCGATATGTTGAAAATTGTTGGTAAGCCTGACGGGGTTGAACCGGCTCCGGTGGACTATGTTTCTTTCCTTCCGCATGGGGTCGTGGATTAGCGTCAATTCTATCTAGCATATGCAGCCGGGCCTTGGTACATACTACAAAAGGACCTAAACACTTTATACTCTTAGTCCAGACGGGCTTGTAAACCTCCTATATATCTCTCTAAAAGTTTTTCAAGGCACCTTTTGATTCATTCTTCCCAATCTCTTTCTAAACGTATCTTTGAATACGCCCGGACAGATAGTCAAGACCTAATTAGGCCTACTTACAAGATCTCCCTGGTCCGGCATTAGGCAGATTTCTTAGCACTCATTGCATTCACAATTAAACGAGAGACCCCTAGTGTTTAACAAGGAAAACATCGGGGCTTGGAACTTTCGCTTAGCAAACCTCCTCACCCTGACCCGCGGGTGAGTGCCAGGTCTAATTATAGGATAGTTGTTAACAAAATTAAACTATGAATACTACAAAAAAAAGTGACCAGCGTATCACCAATCAGGGGCGATCCAATAACCCATCCAGGCACCGTTACCATTATCTGCATCCCGGAATTTATCGATTCCTCCCTCCACACCGTCCTTCCCCACTGTCCATACACCACTTTCGATTAGTTCTGTCCACCGCTGGAACAGCCTCTCTAGTCTCTGTGCCCGCCGTTCACCTCCAAATGGGCTGAAGCCATGCTGAAAGAGTTCCGTGAAGGAACCTGAGGTAACCAAACGTCCACCACTCATTCTCGCCTCCTCCTCATCACGGAAATCAGGCCGCAGTGTGAATGGAAGTAGAAGGCGGAAGCCAGCTTCCTCGGTATCGTAATCACATCGATGTAAAGATTCACTATATAATCCGGTGGGAATAAGATCATTCTCGTTAAATATGATATTGTCATCTGATCCGGAGAATAACCATCAAATTTCCTCATTGAAATTTACCATCCGGCTACTATCGGTAGACACAAAGAGCAAGACCGGTGGGATATTCTTGCCCGAATCCTCGCGGGGTATATCGGTAAACTTCTGACGCCTCGCAAATGCGATCTTGTTATGTGGGACCTCAAGACCGGGGGCGATCAATTTGAAACGCGGAGCCTTCACCTTTGTTAAGATCGAGCGAATAAAGCACTTCTGTGACACAGAAGCCGCGTTTAGGTCTTCATCGATGAAAAGGGTCGGTGTAGAGATCGATAAAAGTGACTCGGAGGGCATTCGAGATTCGATTGTAGCCGAGTAGCGGTCTACAGCAGCAACAGTGCTATCGACCTGGGCGGAGCAGTAAGGAAGCCAAGCCCATCGCCCAAGTTGCGATCTAGGTATCGTATCTGAGAAACAACACATTGTCAATACCAGCGTAACAGCACCAAGAGGTGCGTTGATGTAAAAACACCACCGCCAGCCAATTGACTGCACAATGGCTCCGCCGAGAAGTGGTGCGGATAGCGTAGCCAGGCCTTCGACGGCTCCCATCACGCCGGTGGACATAGGTCGTCTACGTAAAGGTGTTGATTGCACGAAGATCCTAGTCCAGCTACACCCCTCCCAACGATGAGCATGGTGGACGTACTGGCCGCCCCGCAGAGCAGCGAACCTGCTATAGAAATAGCATTGGCAAACAAAAAGACAGACTTAATAGAGAAGAGCTTGTACCCCTTGCCCAAAACAAACTGGAAGGAGCACTGGCAGAGCCTGAACGCAGAGGAATACCACCCGACATCTGCAACAGTGTGGAAATAGTCTGTAATGCTAGGCACGGCCGTAGCGACGATGTTCATGTCTACGCTGCTCAAGATCAGGACAGCAGCCAGGGTGAGCATGAGGAGCCAGAATTTCGCACCGGTTGGATACTCGGCTTCTCCACGTAAGCTGGCATGATCGGATATCGCGTCGAAGGTGGTTGCCGGCCTGCCTGTAGAACCGGCAAATTCATTACTGTTTGCATCGCCCGAAACCCAGCTCGCCACGTGCTGTTCGTCGGTTTTGACTTCTGTCATTGACGACGCCATTGTTGTGGGTGCAATTCTCTCAATAGATTCAGATCCTCCTAGACAAGGATTACATTCCAGTTCATGGGAGTTGACGATGATTGCTAACAGCTCCTGACTGACTGGACTCGGGCTCGGAGTTGACCATGGATAAATCACGTGCACACAGATTAAAGTGCCTTCTCTGCACCACATGAATCTATTATACAGACCCAATCTGACAAACTCAAGCATACAGTACTGTAGTACATAGCGGTCATCCTTCGTCAGTTTCCACTCTTCTCCACTGTCATTCTCCACTCGACCCAGAGGTTTGACCCAGAGCTTCCACCCGGTATGCCGTCTCTCACCGCCTTTAATCTAGTTGTCCCAACCTCTCCACAATTCACCTTACCCAACTCATGTCCAGGTACCATGGCTGATTACTCCTCTTTAAAGGTCGCCGACCTGAAGGCGGAGCTCAAGAAGCGCGGCATCCCCCAGACCGGCCTTCGCCTCAAACAGCACTTCATTGACAAGCTAGTTGAGGAGGACGCTAAAGCCCAAACAAGGGATACAGCCCCCGAGGTTGGAGCTGCAGAGACCAAAGCTGCAGATACCGAAGCTGTAGAGCCGAAAGTACAGCCGAAACCCACATCAGATACCTCTCCCCAAGCGCAAGAGCTGCAGCCGGAACAGCCACCACCTGAAGAACCCAAGCATCCAGAAGCACCTACGACACAAGACACCCATCCCTCACGAGCTGCCCTGACATCCGACAAGGCGCATGAGGAAGTGCAAGAAAAAACCAAATTTGCACCAGAGTTAGCAACTGACAATGGAGAACCTGCAGAAAATGAGAAATTGGTGGCAGCTGCTCGGTCTCAGCCATCCGAGGAAGTGAACAAGGCAGCGGCCGAATCTGAATCAGTCGAGCAGGCTCCCGGGATCGCCGATCAAACCGACAGAGCAGATTTCGCAATCTCCGCAGAACTCCCGGCGCCTCTGGTCTCGGAGGCAATCACAGAGCTATCCACACCACTCCCTCTCGAAGAGGACCTAGAGGATAAACGAAAGCGGAAGCGCCGCAGTCAGAGTCCCGTCCCAACACCAGAGGCGGTTGCGAATAAGAAAGCTCGAGCCAGGGAGGAAAGCTCCCTAGCTCCATCGCAGGAGGACCAAGAGTCCATCCCTCGAGAGGAAGAGACCAAGGATGCGCAAGGACAAAAATCTCCCGAGGACCAGAAAAAAGAACCTTCGGTTCCAGCCAAGGATGCGCGTTTCCGGGGGCTATTTGCTCCCACCGCAGCACAATCTTCGGCGTTGGACGTCATCATGGAAGATGCCGATGTTGAGCCTGCGCGGCATCCTGCAACCGCCTCCCTCTATATTGACGGATTGATGCGCCCTCTACAGCCCCCAGCATTGCGCAAGCACCTCATTAGTGTCGCTTCCGCTCCTGGCTCATCTCCCAACCCTGATGTCGTCCGAGAGTTCTTCCTCGACTCCATCAAAACACACTGTTTTGTCCAGTTCAGCGATATCACAGCAGCATCGCGGGTGCGCTCGACTCTCCACGGAAAGGTGTGGCCGGACGAGCGAAACCGCAAGAATCTCTGGGTAGACTTCATCCCCGACGAAAAGGTCCAGGAATGGATTCGCACAGAGGAGGCATCGCGGGACCGGGCCGGTCCACCAGTTCGCTGGGAAGTTCAATACGAAACGACCGACAACGGGGCGATAACTACTTTGGCCGAAGCTGGGCTCAACTCGCGCGCCGCTCCATCACGAACTCGGGAGCCCGGCTTCAACCGGACACCGCCACTTGGGCCTCGCGGCAGCCACGGGCAGATCGAGCGCGCTTCCAATGCCCCACCCCCGTCACGACCTGGACAGGGCTTCAAGCCTTTGGATGAACTATTCAAATCCACCACTGCCAAACCCAAACTGTACTACCTCCCTGTTGCCCGCCCTATCGCGGACAAGCGCTTGGACCAATTTGACGAACTACTACGTAAGGGATCATTCCCGCGCCGGGGCGGCGACGAGATGCGTCGGATCACCTTTGAAGACGAAGACTACTTCGTGGATGTCGGCCCAGAGTATGGAGCGATGGCTATGCAGCGACGCCAGGAACGAGGGGGGCGTGGGCGTGGGCGAGGGCGACGGCCATAAAATACTAAAGTATGAGAGATATCAAAAGAAAATGCCAAAAGAGATGCTCAAAGACATTTGCAAGGCAGACACAAACATGTACCATAGCCACCCAATGTATGAGTTATTCCGTTCCTGAAACAGACTTTCAGGCACAAAAAACTGGAGCCGAAACAAAAATAGACCGCAGTTGACCCACGCCTCGACGATCGTTTGCGCCTTGGGAAATTTGTCAATTTGCATCCAACAAAGGCTGCTACAACCAACGTGGCTTTGAAATTGTCAGCACGAGCCACACCTTGCTCCCTCCTAATCTCCGACTTCATTGTTGATGGTGGCGGCGCCTCCTTGTTGATCGCGGATAAGATAAACGGGGCGAAAGAAGAAACTCCGCTGCCTCCGCTAACCTTCTTCCCCTTTCACACTCTCCTCGTGAAATTTCACCCCTCATACCCCAGCCAGAATGGGCTGGACCGTGTGTAATGCCACCGCGGAACACCAGACGAGTGCGCTCCCCCTGTCGTGCCGAAACAACCCCCCTTGGATCCCAGTGAAACTGACTTGTGATTGACAGTCTCGGAGGTCGATCTTTGGGATGGCGGCATTACCTTCCACTCCCTCAGTTTAATCGTGGGCGGCGTATGTGCTGTGCTTGCCTCCGCCGTGTCGATGTTTCTGATCATGGGCCATGCGACACACTACAGCAAGCCCATCGAGCAGCGCCAGTGAGTTGTTGTCCTCAGGTGCTGCGGTAACATTGCTAACGGAAATTATTTCCTGCGCGCAGCATCATTCGCATTCTATTCATGGTCCCCGTTTACTCCATCGTCGCTTGGCTCAGTATCCTCTTCTACAATGATTCCGTCTACTTTGAGGTGATGGGTGACTGTTACGAAGCCTTCTGTATCTCCGCCTTCTTCTCCCTTTTGTGCCACTACATCGCCCCCGACTTGCATAGCCAGAAGGATTATTTCCGTGGGATTCAGCCCAAGGCGTGGCTCTGGCCGTTGAATTGGTTCCAGAACTGGAAATGTTGTTTCGGGCACCGCGGAGCGTGGAGAAACCCGCGCAGTGGGTTGACATGGTTTAACGTAAGAGAACGTGCATCTTGGATCTCTTGAGCACCGGGCTAATCGAGCGACCGTTCAGGTTATTTGGGCCGGAGTCTTCCAATACTGCGTCATGCGGGTTATGATGACCATCGTCTCTGTCATAACACAGGCTACAGGTTCCTACTGCGAAGAGTCGCTTAGCCCGGCATTTGCGCATATTTGGGTATGTCTGCTGTCTTCCCCCTCTCCGCACGGACTCGTCAATTAAAACCCAGATCTATAGGTCCTCGCCATTGAGTCCGTCTGCGTCACAATCGCTATGTACTGCCTGATCCAATTCTACCACCAAATTCACAAGGACATCACGGAACACCGCCCTTTTACGAAGATTCTATCCATCAAACTGGTTATTTTCTTGTCTTTCTGGCAATCGGTACGTTGCTCGATATCACCAGCTCTTGAGTACCCTGCTGACCTTTTCGGCTCTTAAGACCTTTATCAACCTACTCATCTCAAGTGGCGCAGTTCACGCTACCAAAAAGGTCGCCATGCCAGATCTGAAATACGCCTTACCCGAATTAATGATCAACATCGAAATGTTCATCTTTTCTATCCTGCACCTGTGGGCCTTCGCCTACAAGCCGTACATCATCGCCAATGCCAATCAAGGCGAGGTGACCGATTTCTTCGGAAATGGCAAAGCCACCTACGAAGGCGGCCGCTATGGTTTCAGGGCTCTCGTCGATGCCATGAACCCTCTTGACCTGGTCAAGGCCATCGGGCGTAGTGCACGCTGGCTCGCCGTTGGCCGCAAGCACCGTCTGGAGGACCCCAGCTACCTGCCACACCACGAAAGCATTGGCCTGGAACCTCCGGAGGCTGGCATCGATAACAATGGCACAGCATATGGAGGCGCCGGCACCGTGGTTGGTGGCCGAACGGGCCGTTACGGCGGCGACGAGGAAGGCGCGATTCTTCTCAGCAACGCACAGTCTAACCCGGAGACATCTCACATGGGCACTTCTCCATATGCATCTGACTTTGACAGCTATATGCATGAGCACGAGAACTCTGACCGCTTCTATAACAACAATAATGCCTCGTCCTACGACGATCTTGACCACGGCAACCCATACCTTGCTCAACATGATGCAGCACACCCCTACCCAGCAAACGGTCCTCTTCGCGAAGCAGTCCCCATGCCAATGCCAGATCCGTACAGACCTCCTCCACCTTATCCCGATGATCATCACTCATGATCCATGATGATCCATGATCCATTTACGACGGTTTTCCGATAGCGTCGGACTGATTTTCATTCCACATTCATGATAGCCTTAATGATCCGGGATTCGGGTGTACGGTTGGCATCTTTGTTTCTATTCTATGGTACTCACGAGCAGTTGAAATTTTTCGGCTTTATAATTTCTATTCTCTCGTTTGTTTGGATATGAATACCCGCCTTTGTTTTTCGTCGGCATGTCTTTTGTCGCCTTTTGATGCCACCCACTTCAATGCTTTGCACTTTTTTTCTCTGCATAGCAAATTTTTCTTGTACAGAACTTAGTTACCTTTACGAAGGAAACGAACATTGGAAGGCTTTGATGTCCAGTAACTTTCCCAACTTGAAAACATATACTCCAAATTCAGTACCAACACATCTAGGCAGGAAAGTGCAAATAGATAGATTCGTAATCTCGTCTAAGGATCTCATGGAACAGAAACCAGGCTCAAAACGCCGATACAAAGCAAATAATCCCCAGGCTTCTTTCCAGCGGTCATGTTTTCGTAAATGAGACATAGTTCCCACTTCAGGAATAAACGCTCTCCCCACTAGGAGGAGGCATTCCTTGAGCAAACATCTCATTCTCAAACCGCCTTTCTGCAAGGGCGGGGTTCCGGCGCGCACTTTTAGCGTGGCGCGCGCTTTGAATAACAGCCGACTTGCGGCCTAGTTCACGCATGGACTTGACGTTCTCGCCTACCTGGCCGAGCAGGGACACGAGAAGGACGTCGTTGCTTTGAGAGAGGACTTCGGAAGTGAAGGCGCTTTCTTCGTGAGGCGAGAGGATTGAGAGGTGGGAGATGAGAGAGTTGATGTTGCGGAGGATAGTGTGCGACAGGACAGGCGAGGATGGGTCGTCCTGTGCACCGTTCAATTCTGTGGTGGAGATACTCGAGACGTAGGATTTGAAGAGTGAGATGCGGGACTCGAGGGTGCGGATGGCGTTTAAGCGGGTGTTGAGATTCGCAATCAACTCTTCTTCCTCCTGCGAGAGCGCGGCTTGTAAGCTCTGTTCTCCATCCTCTGTCTCCTTATCACTGGTCTGCTTAGAGCCGGTTGCGGCTGTTCCTTGGATGGCGGTCTCAGTTCGAGTAGCTGTTCCAGATCCCTTGGCAATAGTATCGACACCGATCATCTCCGCTTCACCGGTCTCCACGGAATATGGCAGCTCGCGGAACCGGATATTCATCATATTTTCCTCGCCATCTATTTGCATATCCTTGCTCGCGTCAGCGGTATTCTCGCCTTCCAAGATGCTCTCATAGATGGTCAACGGAAGCTTGGCTCCTTGCCTTGTTTGGAGCTGAGAGGGGTGGAAGGCCAGGAACACGGCCGACTCGTTATAGTCCTGGAGAAGCTGTCGGTGGACAGGGAGGTGCGAGACATCCGGTCCGGATGGTGGAGCAGTTGACCACCATCCGACAATATCGAGAGGAGGGTCTTTGTGCACATCCTTGACTGTATATTGGTCAGCTCGGACAGCTCGGACAGCTTGCGGGGAGAGGGATCTACTGACACTGCTTCACACGCTCTTCAAACCAAGCCCCGGGCAGGAGTACCCTGCCGTTAGATTCAGTTGTAATAGGGCACTCGAATGCATGCTCCAGGGTAATCTCGCGCCCATTCTGTTGACCCAAAAGAGCCCCAATGATCGGGTCTCGCTGCTGCCGTGCGGCATGGCGGGTGATGTGGTCGGAGATAGTAAGGAGAACAAGCGGATGCAACTGAATGTGCAGACCCGAGTCCGAAGACTTCTGTGAGATGAGAGACTGTGCCTGATCCATAATTGTCGTCCGCTTAAGTGAATGTTCAAGCGCGGAGTCGAAGCGGCGGTGATGCGGTGATTCGCATGTTTGGCGTGTTTGGCGTGTTGCCTCAGGCGTCCGAGAGAGCTTTCCCCGCCGACTCTCACATTCTCCAACTTTCTCGTGTCAAGACGCCATGGCTATCCCTTCCACTTTCGATGAGCTTAAATTGCATCTTGCCAAGGTCCAGGAAGACCCATCGACCTCCTTGGATATCACCCTCATCGACCGACTGAAGCTACAGCTCGTTGAATCCACCGACCCTGTTGTCCCCGCCACGCTCTTATCGCAGATATCAGCTCTTTTGCCTGTCCTGCAAGAAGACCCTACGCCGCTCACTACTCTCGCCGTTAAAACTACGACCTACTTCAGCTTCACAGATCTTCGCGCTGTCGATCCGCCGATTAATCTTGTTGCTGGTTTAAAGGCTCCGTCCCCGCCCGTCAACCTTCTTGCTCTGTCTTTGCTGGCCAAGGCAGGACAGATATCCAGTGATGCAGCCATAGTCGCAGGAGATTCGGGTTTGGTCGCTTCCCTGGTGGAATTATGGTTGTCTACCTCTTCGACGGCGGTTGCACAGGCGGCACTCGATGCGCTGTGGACTCTCTTGGAAGTTGACGTGGCTAGTCCTCTCGAAAAAGGCGAATACGATCACACGGGCGAAGATTGCCACCCTGGGCAGGGCCTTATGTGGAGAAGGCTGTTTACGGACAAGGATGTATATGGGGTCTTATTTTCTCTGTGCAGTCTGCAACCTGATGCGCCAGGCGACTTATCCAAACGCGAACGGACCTTGGCTCAGGGAAGGCTGATGGGGCTCCTGGTGAAGGCAGGCCGTTTACGCTGGGATATCATTTCGAAATCGCATGTGCCAGAGATTGAGATGAAATATCACAGCAAGAGCCTGCTACACTTCGCCGCCTGCCAGATGGTTGACCAGAGCGATGTGTTGCTGCACATGACGCTTCTAAATTTCTACCGGGACCTGTTGGAAATCGACGCACCCGGCCTCGCTGCCCGAAGCTATGTGCAGTCTGCCTCGACCTTTTCGTCTCCTGCTCTCGACTTCCTCATTTCAGAGAAACTACATTCAAAGGTGCTTGAATATTATCTCAATGAGTCAAAGCTCGATTCTGTGGATCTTGTCTATCTCTCCGGTCCAATCATGGCTTATATGGCGAAGTATGCCGAGTCATATCCCAACCACTTCCTCCAGAATTCTCCTACCGTTCTCGAGGGAATAATCTCGCGCATCTCACGTGCTCTTGCCATTCCCTCGGCACAGTGGGCTCATGGAGAGGCTCCTACCGGACACTTGGCCATTTTGGCATCCCTCCCTCGAGTCCTTCTGATTGAAGCTGACAAGAATGGTTCAAATCCTCTTTTGAAAATTCCCACCAGCCCTCCGAACGGAGAAGCTTTGGATACTCTAGGTCGCGTTTTTCATGGGCCAGCACGAACGCATGTTTCCGACTCAATGGATCTGGATAGTTCGGGTCAAACCCCAACAGATTGGCATCATGAAGCCGCTGCGGCGCGCATGCTCTACTTCCAATATCTCAATGAGCACCCCACCTTCTGGACTGACGTCGTTGCTGCAGCAGATATCCTAGCAATGAAGGAGGTTGCCTTGGCAGCACTCAACTTCATCCGAGCCATTGTTATGGCAAAGTGGCAACCATTGCCCCCCGCATCCCATGTCTCCGGTGCATCGTCGCGGTTCCAGCTGCCATCCGAGGAGAGTTTGGGACAGCTTTCTCCAGCTATGAATGGTCTGCTCCCTCTCTCCGGCCCATGGGCTGTTCTCACTCCACCCGCTCTCACAACCCTTCTGCCATATCTGTTCAAGCCTCCCCGGTCATATTCGGAGTTTGTAGGTGGCGGTGCAGGTGACTCTCAGAATATTGTCTGGAAGGTGGCTACCGCCAAGCATGATGTTTTGGAGCTCCTCAGTCACCGGCTCCAGCAAATCGGGGGCCAGATGGAAGGATTTGAAGATATTTTGCAGACGCTGCAGCAACGGGCGAATGAGGGTCCTTGGGGACCGGTACAGCCAGGAGCTCCTCAAGTAGAGGCGACTGGACTGTGATAAGGAAGGGAAAAGAAACATCTTCAGTTCAGCTTCTCGAGTGATACTTCGTTGGGTGCCTGTTGGTATGACCCTCAACGGTATGAGGCATGAGGCTTAATAGGTTTTTCTCTGCATTTCGAACCTTGTTTCAGGAGTTCGCATATCGGTGATCCCTTTGCAGTATTAGCGTCATTTATGCAGCAATGAGATTGGCATGACCTCTGCGCTTGTTGATCACGTCCTATACACAGTAGATCGGCGCTCTTATCTTAGCGCGGGGAAGCCCTTGGTCAGGTGACCAACCTAAAGGCGGTGAGCAGCGGTATTTTCTTAGACACATGCGTTTTGTTCTGCGGACCACTGAGCATGGCGGCGTGAGCTATTTTTGCGTACATAATATACTATTGTATTTGTCGGCAATGTCACGCTTCGCTGGCAAGAAAGGCAAGCGCGGCCCCGGCGCCGAGTTTACTTGGGACACCGACCCTGGCGGCGAGCCGGACACTGCTCCGACTCCCCTCTACCCAGTACGTTTCGTTTATCTTCAACTCTTCCTCCCTTTGTTTGTTATGTCGCTTGAATCATGAGTGCTTACACTTGAACTTGTGCGCCCGCAGGCATATGTCGTTCCCTACGCCCGAAAAATCAGCACCAAAGAGCAGATCGCGGTAGACAAGTACCGGCAGTTGCGCGAGGCTCACCATGAAGGACCTTACTACTCTGTGATCGATGCTTCTGCCTCGAGTGCCAAGAAGGGCAGTGCTGCCCGCGCCAACTTTGACCCTTTTACGGGCATGCCATCTTATTCCGGACGGTACCAGAAGAAACATCGAACTATTCCCAAGATCTCTGGTGTCGGTCGTGATTATGGTGAGTTCTCAAGAATACCCAGGCACAATGTTCTCCGTGCACTACTGGTTTCAAAGCTCCAGTAATTAATTGCGTTTTTTTAATATACAGAAACACGATTCTTTCCTCGCGAGCTCTGGCAGATCATCCAGCCGAACTTCCGACCCGACGCCTCATTAGACGGCTACCAGGCCCAAACCAACGCTGTCAGCAACAAGCGTGGATTTGAAGACGAGGAAGACGAGGAAGATGCCGCGGCCAAGCGACGTGCCACTGGCGGCAACGAGGATGAAGGTGATGATGACCAGAATGAGGGAGGGTTGTTGGATGGCGACGAAGATGCGCTTGAATCAATTGCAGATGATGACTTCCAGGACGATGATGATGAGATGGGTGGTGACTACGATGCTGAACAGTACTTCGACGACGGCGGGGACGACTATGGAGATGATGGTGATGGCGGTGGTGGTGACGAGGAAGCTTACTGAGGCGTTGATTCAAGATACCCATTTTCCTTTGTACTATATGCGCTTTTGTGCGCGTCTACATTTATCATTCTATTGAGTGTCTGCCTCATGGACAACTCCAATATGATCTGCATGGGACAGCCCCACGGCGTTTTGTTTTATGCTTCGGAAAGATTATCTCCCCAATGCAACCTTCAGGATAACACTATGAATTTCAGTAAACAAGCAATACAATTTTCAAAGCACATCGACCTAATCATCACAACTTATATTGATCTATAGGACTCAAGCTCAGGCGATGCCGGTCTGGATGACGTCAGCCAGCGAAATCGGCCCCGCGGCCAACGGCATTTTTAGATGCGATGGAGGGGCAGCCGATGATTTTGCGACTCCCCAATCACCCAGCATGGACACGCAGAGCCCCGGTCAATCAAGGTCGGCACTCATTCTTTATGGGTCCGAGACCGGCAACGCGCAGGAAGTGGCCGAGGAATTGGGCGCCCTGGCCGAGCGCCTGCGGTTCACGACACATGTATCCGAGTTGAATCAGTCGAAGCCGGTTAGTTGCAATTGGCCGAGAATGACAGCCTCAACTGACATCTTCTGGTCTCTAGGAAACTTTTTCTTCGTACACGCTTACCATTTTCGTCGTATCAACAACCGGACAAGGGGATTTGCCGGGGAACGCACGGTCGTTTTGGAAGTCGCTGCTGCTTAAGAAGCTCCCACCGACATACTTGAATGGCGTGCAGTTTGCGATATTTGGGCTGGGTGATAGCTCATATCCCAAGTAGGTTCAACTTACTGTGGTTATTGGTCAATGCTCATCGTGGACAGGTTCAACTGGGCAGCACGGAAGCTCTACAAGCGGTTGCTGCAGCTCGGCGCAAATGATATCTACCCGATGGGAGAAGCTGATCAGCAGCATCCAGAAGGGTAAATTGTTCTAATCTTCCATTGTGATTGTGAAATCTTTTTTAACAATGTCAAATAAACAGAATCGAAGGCACTTTCATACCGTGGATAACTGACTTCCGAAAGCACTTGCTGGATATACACCCCCTCCCTCCTGGTCAACATCCCATTCCAGACGACGAACAGCTGCCACCAAAATGGATATTACAATTGAGAGGTGGTGAGACATCTGTCCCCGAGCCAAGGCCCGAGTCCTCGGCGGACAATTCAGTTGAAGTGGATAAATACTCTGGCTTGCACAACTTGGACCATGATATCAGACCACTACCGGATACCATGAACGCAACTCTGGTCCAAAATCAGCGGATCACACCACAGAAGCACTGGCAGGATGTCCGACGGATTTCTCTGACCGTTCCGGACTCCGTCTCCTACAATCCCGGAGACATGATCGCCATCACACCTAAAACATCACCAAGTGATGTGCAAATACTTCTGGATTTAATGGGTTGGAATGAGCAGGCAGACAAACCTATTGCCCTTGTCCCAACGGGAAACATACTCGCACCCTCTCCGATACCCGGTCTCGACTCCTATCCGAACTTGACCTTACGCTCTCTCCTCATAGATTATCTCGACATCAAAGCCATTCCCCGCAGGTCGTTCTTTTCAAGCATTGCCCACTATACAAACGATGAGATGCACAAAGAGCGACTTCACGAATTCACAAACCCCGAGTACCTGGATGAACTGTGGGACTACACATCGCGCCCACGGCGCAGCATTCTCGAGGTGCTGCACGAGTTCGACTCTGTCAAAATCCCCTGGCAGCACGCAGTTTCCGTTCTCCCCGTCATTCGTGCAAGACAATTTAGTATTGCTAGTGGCGGAGAGAGAAAGCGGACACCCGATGGCAAAGCCCAGTTTGAATTACTCATCGCCATCGTCAAGTATCAAACGGTCATCAAACGGATCCGCGAAGGTGTCTGCACCAAGTACCTATCCATCCTCCGCCCAGGCAGCACGCTTCGCGTCCAGTTACAACCGGGTGGGCTAAACTCTTCGGTGCAGCAACTCACCGGATCAACCGTTCTTATCGGACCCGGCACCGGAATCGCACCTCTGCGGTCCATGCTATGGGAAAAGGCAGCTCTGGTGCAAGCCTACCGTGAGCAGAACCCTGGTGTTGAGCCCCCGGTCGGACCTACCGTGCTACTCTACGGCGGTCGCAATCGCACCGCAGATTTCCTCTTCGAAGAGGACTGGGCCCATTTGAGTAAACTCATCCCGCTGCAGGTGCTCACTGCGTTCTCACGAGACCAACAACAGAAAGTCTACGTGCAAGATACCATTCGCCAAAATTTTAAACTTTTCTTCCGTCTTCTCCATGACATGCAGGGATCGGTTTATATCTGTGGCTCATCGGGACGTATGCCTCAAGCCGTGCGCGAAGCTCTTATCGAGGCTTTTGCAAATGGTGGGACGCCCGAGTCGGGGCAGTCCTATAACCGGTCTCAGGCGGAGGAGTATTTGATTGGAATGGAGAAGATTGGGCGGTACAAGCAGGAAACGTGGTGATTTACTATAAGAAATCCAGTTGGAGTGACTAACATTTCCACTGCCCTGATCTTCCACATGCGTAGGCAGGCGGATTGCATGTGCTTCGCCAGTAGATCTAGTCACTGAGCACCGCGGTCTATATCCCGATCGTTTTTTAACCATAAAACAATCAAATGATGCATAGGTAAAGAACAGAAGAATTAAAGTAAATACCCACACGCCCATACTTTTCCCGCCAACAGGAAGCCGTATGTGCTTAACCTCGGGTGCGGTGGTTCGAGAAAGGCTACATTCGGGCCGCGTCGGCGATTTCAAGGTCTTGGCACTCCGTCACCGCAGTCACTTTCTCCTCCGAGACCTCGACCCTCGACACCTCCTCACCCACTCGGAATTGGTCAACACTTTATCTTCCAGTCTCAAATACATCATGGCTAGCAAATTGCGGATTCTGGTGCCCGTGAAGCGGGTGATCGACTATGCGGTACGAATGAATCCCCCCTCCTCGGCGACCGGAGATCGGAGTAGCCAGAGCTGCCCGCGACAGATTGAACATTCAACGCCCGGCCTATGAATATCGTGAGACTAACATTGGAACCTACTTGGGATTCTGCAGATCAAGCCCCGCATCAACAAGGCCCAGACGGGCGTCGAGACCGCCGGCGTGAAGCACTCCCTCAACCCGTTCGACGAGCTCTCCATCGAGGAGGCCGTGCGCCTGCGCGAGAACCACAAGAACAAGAAGAGCCCCATGGAAGTCGAAAACATCCTGGCTCTGTCGGCCGGTGGTCCCAAGACACCCGATGTGCTGCGGACCGCCATGGCCATGGGCGCTGACCGGGCGTTCCACATCGATGTCCCCGAGTCGGCGGACGGCGGGCCCGAGCCGCTGACCGTGGCCAAAATGCTGCGCGGCGTCGTGGAGAAGGAGAACATCAACCTGGTTCTGCTGGGTAAGCAGGCTATTGACGGCGACCAGGGCCAGACTGGTCAGATGTTGGCTGGGTTGTTGGGCTGGCCGCAGGCGACGCAGGCTAGCAAGGTGGAGATCAAGGATGAGGCCGGTACCGTTGAGGTGACGCACGAGGTGGATGGCGGCATTGAGACTCTGCGCGCTAAGCTGCCCATGGTTATCACCACTGACCTGCGTCTTAACGAGCCTCGGTACGCCAGTCTGCCCAACATCATGAAGGCAAAGAAGAAGCCGCTGGAGAAGAAGACTCTGGCCGACTTTGGCGTTGAGGATAAGCGGCGGTTGAAGACTCTCAAGGTGACCGGTATGTATGACCTCTTGGTTTGGTTTGGTCTCGTTGCTGATTTGTTTTTTAGAACCCCCGGCGCGCACGGGTGGTGGCAAGGTCGAGGATGTTGATGGCCTCATCTCCAAGCTGAAGGAGCTTGGTGCTCTCTAAATTTGAGGGTCATGTATGGTGACGTACCTAAATTTGTGCCGTGTTTTTATACCATCGATCTGTTGTCCGCTAGACCATTTTGTCTTGCTCTGCGTCCATTGGATGCTTTCTCATAGCCCGTGGTGGCTTGGCATATCCTATGCATTGAGATGATCACTTAAATGAAAAAAGATATTTTTGACTCGCCGGCTATCATGAGCCTTTTGGTTTTTGTTTCTCTTCCAGGGCTAGTAGTACCGGGGGTATTCGGCAGTTCAAGTAGGTTCACATGAATATGCCCAGGTGGCTTAAAGAAGTGGGTATTTCTAAAGCCCCTGCAGCAGTTCTCTGCAGTTAGATCCACCGCCATAGTATCTACATCTATGCGTGGTCTGCAGGCTATCTTGCCGTGTCGACAGACTCAATAGGAATCCTCCCAGGCAATCGTCAACCCTTAGGAATAGCTGGGCCAATCGATTGAGATATAAAGTGACCCGCCAGCGTAGGAACTTTGCAAGATCTAGGTATCCAATCGGCTATTTTTCCAGGCATCCGCCTTCTTCATTGCACTCAATAATTGGAAAATGTCTCGTTTCAGCCCAGCGCCGTGTCTTCAGCGGGAGGAATGGACAGATCCAATTAGAGTTCGTGCGGTATCCTCAGCCGAGGCAGTGATTTTCAACGGTCCCGATCCCACCCCTACCACGGCCTAACTTGCCGCTTAGTCTCCGTACGAAGTAATTAGCCAAGAAAATCACCTAATTTTCACACCCGGGCCGAGTATGACATTTGAAATCCATGGTGTGCTGCTTGATAATATGACACGTCCGAAGATAGAGGTCGGCTTATGCATACATATCCCGGTGGCGCATGATCGCATTTTAGTTTTTCTTTTGGATGAAGCAAAAAAACTATATAGCCCTGAAGATCTTACAGACCTCAAGAAAATTTTCAAATTTCCCCACAAAATCTAGGCTCCATAGTGCATTAATGAGCTCTTGGCGAACCGGACAAATCGAATCGTACCGTGGACTTGGTTGGACGCGGCCTGTTAGAGTGGTGAGGCTTTGATTGCCAGGGCTGAAGGTGGGGCAGGGTGATCTATCGCCGACGAGCGGATGGCCACGGAGTACAGGTGTGTGCATGGATGCAACTAATGACTACTATCGAAGTAGTGCAGAACAGGTGCATGTAAAAACAAGATAGAATAGCCTTATTAGTTCACGCGGGGGTCCACCGAGTGATGACGTCCATCCGCGCGTTCCATGGACTAAAAGCCTCTGGACTTCTACGCCACTCCGCCAGCGCTGCTCTTCCGTCTGACCCGATTTCCACTATAAGCGGCCCTGGTGCCTGATCGTTGGCCTTTTCTTCTTCTTTTATTCCTACGTAGATTCTCCGATTCTTAGATCTGCGGTCCTCCGTTGTGGTAAGCTTCGCTCCCGGTGGTTTGGGCACATTCCTACCTTTCGCCTTTCTGCTCGCCATCAGCCACTGCCACCTGCCGTCGATTTGACTTAAGGCTGTCGGGCAGCTGGCATATGGCATCATCGTCCCATCACCGGTGTTAATCAGGCGTCCAGAGTGCTATACCTGTTGGAAGGCTGTCGCAAAGGCCATTTCGCCCCGCACGCATTCCCTAGTGGCGACCCTGCCGATCCCGGATTCCGACAGCAATCGCGATTATCTCACTACATTCCTGATCGCATTAAGAAGCATTCCTCGGACCTATGCTGTTCGCAGCGCACCTGCCGCGTTTCAGATCTCGATAGATTATTGCTGAACTCTTCCCGCATCTTGACCCTTCCCACGCCGGCGCCATGTCTCAATCTACTTGGGAAAAGACAAAGCGCTATTCGAAAAAGGGTTTCGACAAAGCATGGGACACCGTCGATAAATTGGGCGCTCCCGTCAACCGTCTCTCCAACCGCTTGGGCGCGGAGGCCTTCTGGCCCATGGCCATCGATAAAGAAAGCGACAAGGCGGCGCGCATTCTACGCAGTTTCGTCAAAGATGGCTTCTATGCCCCCGAAGCCGAAGCCGGTACCGATGAGCAGGGCAAAATCAATCGCCCCAAGGGCAAACAGAGGGTCATCAAAAAGATCCCTTCGAAAGTTATCAAGAACGCCAAGGGTCTCGCCATTTTCACCACCATGCGAACCGGTCTTTGGATCAGTGGCTCCGGAGGCAGCGGTGTACTCCTCGGTCGTATCCCCGAGACTGGCGAATGGAGTCCGCCGTCGGGCATTATGCTGCACACGGCTGGTATCGGCTTCCTGGCCGGAGTGGATATCTATGACTGTGTCGTCGTTATTAATACATACGAAGCGCTCGATGCATTCAAGAAAGTGCGATGCACTCTCGGTGGAGAGGTCAGCGCCGCCGCCGGCCCCGTTGGTATGGGAGGCGTACTCGACTCGGAAGTTCACAAGCGACAGGCACCCATCTGGACATACATGAAGAGCAAGGGCCTCTACGCCGGCGTTGCCGTGGATGGAACCATCGTCATCGAACGTACCGACGAGAATGAGAAGTTCTACGGCGAGCGAATCTCCGTCACCGACATCCTGGCCGGCAAAGTCCGACACCCGCCCGATTCGATCAAGACCCTCCACCAGACCATCAAAGCAGCGCAGGGCGACTTGGATGTCGACGAAAAATTGGTGGCTCCTGCCGGTGAGACGCCCGGCGACATGGACGTTGCGGCTGAAGACGAGCAGACCTTTGGTGTTCCCGACGCAGAAGATCCGGACCCGTACGGAGTGAAAGCGCTGGAGGCTGAGGGCATGTTCATCCGGGAGGCCGGCACCAAGGTGAGGCCAAGTCATGATATTTTTGAGTTCCGGCCCAATCCGACCAGCCCGGTGTTCGCCACGTTCTCGCGGCGCAGTGCCGATAGCTCGCCGCGGAATAGCTGGCGGACTAGTGTGCAGAGCCACGCTTATTCTGATCGTGGTACTCAAACCGATGACGCTCCGCTAACTGTCGCCACGTCAGTAAGCCGACTTTCTTCGCAGAGCGCGAGGGAATCGATGGGTAGTCGTACGCCGAACCGGTGGGAGGACGATGCGCATTGGGATAATGTACCGATTCATGGTGGTGAGGAAGAAAAGGAAGACGCGAGAGATTTCAATGGACCCGCCGAGGAGGAACAAGAAGGGGAAGAAAAACATGCCGATGATTACGATGACGACTTCGAGGTTCACGAGGTGACCAATGCGACTGTTACCAAGCAGAAGATCTCTCCGGAGGAAGAAGTCAACCCAGTCGAGTCCAAGCGCATGTCTCCTACATTCACTCGCGCTCGTCTGGTTTCTATCCCCAAACGTACCCCTCCACCCCTGCCCCCGCGTCATCCACGACACACCTGGGGCTCTGGTTCCAGCCGTGCCTCTACATCGCCGACTGCTCTTTCGCAATCTAGCCGCAGCACCGAGCAGACTGAAGCAGCCATCGAGCCAGTTGAGTCCCCCGAGCAGGCCACCGAGTCTGCTGCTCTGCCTTCGAACGTGAAGGTCCTCCAGACGAACACCATTCTCCCTGTTGTCGTGGATGAGGATGATCTGGAGTCGGACTCTGAACTGCCTGTGGATAAAGATGAATTCATGTCGGCCAATGGCGACCACGAGGACAGCATTGAAGAGAACGCTCTGACCGAGGAGCTCACTCCAACGGAAAAAATTGCTGCTACGGAGACCGAGGAAGAGGAAACTGAGCGCAAAGAGTCGGTCCTGCCGGACTCTGTGATCGAGTCGAAGATTGCGCCAGAGACAGCGGAAGAGGAAGCTGAGCGCAAAGAGTCGGCCCTGCCAGACTTTGATACCGAGTCGAAGATTGCGCCAGAGACAGCGGAAGAGGTGCCAAAGATCGAAGAAGCTCTGACATCGCTTGATCTCTCCGACAAGTCCCCAGAGGCTCTAGCGCCGCTCGGTCTCGAAGAAAAGAGTGACGAGACTAAGATCGAATTGAAGGATGAAGAGGCTGAAACCGACAAGAAGCATCTCAATGTCGAGCACAACGACACCAAGCCTGAGAATATCAGCCCTCTCCATATTTAGGCTGTGTTCCTTCGATTCCAATCTCGCGCAACGTTTACGACTTCGTCTTTTTCTGCGTATACAACTTTCATGATATCTCGATACCTCTGGTCTGTGTTGGATAGGTCGGTTCTTTCGGTGGCTCGGATAAAAGCTACTTCTTGGTTGGGTTCATTTGTGCATTTCTAGCGTCTCTTGCATTCAGCGGAAGGATTTGGGTTTGGGAATAGTCCTCCAGTGTTTGGCGTATAGACAACCCTCGGTTTCTGTTATTTCTCTTATTATATCCTGCATATTTGATGCATGTTTTGATGTATCGTCATCCATTCTTTAAAACACATTGATTCGTGATTGATTTCCGTGCATATTAGAAGATCGTCACTACATCGGACGAGCTCCCCACATCTCCTGGTACCTAGATCAACTCTGCTTTTGAGTAAAAGCTACAGCTCAAAAGTTTGTCTCCACGTCGATGTCTAGAATACTTCGAGATGAGAGAGAAGAGCCCCCAAATTCATGGATATGGACCCTATATCTTAGTATCCTAGAATAGAATTACGTCATGCTTAGACGATTCCAAGCTTCGGAATCTTCAGTGACATTTCGAAAGTGTGGTCGGACTAGAGGGAGAGGGTGGTCGGAGCACCGCAAGAGCTTTTGAGTAGGCGAGGCATGTTCTGGCAGTTGTACTCGGCAAATACAACATAGAAATGTAGAGTGAAAACTTCAGATCAATGCATACCTGTTGAGATTCTCTCTATACCCCAGTAGCGGCTGGGAATGAAGGGACAAAGTCTCCTTTTATATTTGAGATCACAGAACACGACTAGTCTGAAATAGTTCGTAAGGGTATGATCGGCTGCAGATTAAACTACGTGCTCTGCTTTCCAGACCGCTTCCTGGATAAATCGTTGTATTTTACAATATGGCTGTGAAACCACAAAAAACGTGTTTTACACAACAGGCCATACACCGGATACGTCCCCGCCTTCCCTAATTAGGCGGCAACCAAGCACCCTGGCCCATTACTCTTTCGCCTTCTAGGGTTGTAATGCGACTCAGAGCCTGTACCACAAGGAAATATAGCCCTCGAGTTCCTCTGTCGCTTTTTTTGTATTGAAAATGCCGGTGCAGGGCCGGTCATCCCGCTTCGATGATACCATCCGCATTATGAAATCGGGGAGGTATATTCCGGGATCAAGTGTGAAAGTATGACTGAATTTGAATACCACTGTATCTGAGGAAGAAATCGCAATTCGGTCTAAGAAATTCACTCCAGCGCAAGCAAAGTCCTCCGCCATAGTTCTTCCTCCTCCAAAATGGCAGTCTTCACATTCTCCTGCATCCGCAACCCGTGTCCTTCTCCTTGGAACACAACAAGCTTTACATCCTTTCCACCGCTTTTCAAGCCCCGTGTCATCTCCTCAGCTTGATCGAGAGGCACCACCCTGTCCTCATCTCCCTGCAATATCAACAACGGATTCTCAATTTTCTCCACATGGAAGACAGGACTTCTCTCCCGATAAACCTTCTCCTTCTCTTCCTCGGGCGTATCTTCTGGAAACAGGAGAGCAAAAAGATAGTGCGATTCAAACTTGTGGGTCATCATCATCAGGGACTTTAAGTTTGCGACCCCACACATGCTGGTCCCTCCGGCCCACAGTTTTGGGAAATGAACCAGTGATTGAAGTACGGTATACCCACCTGCACTTCCTCCCACGATGCCGGCCTTGGTACTATCAACGAGACCCTGTTCCGCAAGATAGGCAACGCAGGATGCGGAATCATCTATGTCTTTGATACCCCAGGAATAATTCAGGGCCTCCCGGTATTTGCGTCCATATCCAGTGCTACCAAGATAGTTGACATGGACATAAGCGTAACCTCGGGACGTCCAGTATTGGGTTCCGAGATTCAAGCCTGGCGCATCGTGGCCCGTTGGTCCACCGTGAATGGAGACTATGACTGGGGGCTTGGTTTTGGGGATAGGAGTGTAAGATGGGTTATGGGGCGGGTTGAAAATTGCATGAGCAACGCCGCCTGTTTCTTTTCCCTGTGTTCGAGGGAACGTAATGTGTTTGGCAATGGAGTATATCGAGGGTGACAGTGGAATAGCGGTGGAAGATTTAAGTAGCACCTTTTCGGATGGTTTCGATATGTCAACGAGGTATAGTGCTGACGGAGACGTCACAGTACTCCCTATCACGACGAACTCGGTGCTTGAGATCTTGCGAATCGAGTTCAGGGGAATATCGACGAGACCGAGCGAGAACTCCAGCACTTTGGAAGTCTGAAGATCTATAAGCAGCAGCGCATCCGTGGCGAGCTTGGTGGAAGAAACTACAAGCTGAGTAGGCGTCAAGATAATGTATGAGTTGCTGTCCACTAGTTAGCTAGATGCCTTCAATACAGAATCGGATACCTACTTCCCAAGTGCTGAAAATACTCGTTTGCAAGCAATGTCTGCTTCTTCCCATCCTGGTAAAACAAGTTGCTGTACTTCCAAAGATAAAGGGTTTAAACGATACAGTTGAGCAAATCCAGTACGGTCGGTGGTGAAAAATAATGACCCATCTTCGTGCCATTTAGGTTGCCCGACACCTTCCACGGCAGCTTTACCGGCAATGTGCTTTGCATTCGTTGGACCTGCAGCATCCCAATCTGCAATGTGAAGTTCGCTTCCAGTCCACGGCATATCAGGATGACTCCACTGAACCCAGCAAATTTTCGTCCCGTCATGATTGAACCTTGGTGTCGAATAGAAATCTGCTCCTTGGCAAATATTCGTAACACTCTTGTCATCTGAATTAATAAGTGCAACGGTGTTCGTGACACTATTTCCGGAATGAGCTTCCTGAACAGCAAGAATCAAGTTTGTCTGAAGAGGATGAACGTCGAAATCCGCGTATCGAAACTGTTCCGAAGCGGTGATGATCGGTTGCACATCGTTTGCTGCTTTGAGATAGAAGACACCATTCGTGTTGGCGTCTGTAAAGATCAGACTTCCATCTGGGCTGACGGTGCAGGCACCACCACCGTATTCGTGCACCTTGCTTCGAGCAGTGTACTCTAAGGGCAAGATATCAATTGATTCCGTCCCCCGTTGTTCTACGATGGCGCACCTTCCTTTCTCAGCTGGTCTGCCTTCCACGAGATAGATTGCACCCGTTTTCGGCTTTTCGTGTCAGCCACATGTTATAATTGTTGTGCCAAGCTGACTTACATTAACGTGGAGCTCGGAGAATGATACAGTACTTCCTGAGACCAGATCAGCTGATATAGGGCTGCTCCAGGTGCCATATGGCGCAATTTGAGGCTGCTGCGATCTCATCTTTGGCTACAGAAGAGGGTGACGAAGGGGAAAATGAGGGGAAATTAGCAAAACGTGACTGAGGGGTGAGAAGCGCTAGCAGGCGATATTACCAGGTTGCCAGATTTACAACACATTCGGGATGGTTCCGTGTAATATTACTAAACCATGACGATAGCTCATTTACGACAATCCAATTATTACGATGACAGTACTGCCGGATTATGAGGTGGTAAGCAAAACGGGTCAGCGTCCTCCGGAGTTATTTTCCAACAATCAAGTAGTAAGAGTATGGCGGTATAGGTGATTTCGAAAACTACTGTATAGGAGTTCTTAGGCCTCTCAATTCTTCTTGTCCTAGCTATAGAAATCTCTTATCAACTCGCATTACCGTACCTCAGCTTTTCTATTGCAGGCCTATGACGTCCCACACTGTCCTAGCGCACATTGATTTCGGTGACTTATTTAGAACTTCTTTCACCCAGGTGTTAAGCATCATTTCCCTACGTAATTCATGGCGTCTGACGAGCCACTTTCTATTTCTCTCCAGCCCATCCATGAGTATTGATTCTCAACACCACATCCCCAGCGGCAAGACAAAATGCATTATCTTCCGATAACGGACATAAAACTTCACTCTCGAGCTGCCGCACATCAATAACAGGACATGTCTCCCTTAAGCATTTGATGCTATCGGCTGTAAATCTTTTGATACTATACCCCAGTGGTTCTTTTCTAGTCGCGTAAGTTGATTCATCCTTGAGTCCAATGTTCACTTCAAGAGATTCTGTGATATAAAGATGAAGAGGTCTGTTGTGTGTCACAAAATCATTGACCAGTTCCCCTTCGAGCAGGTAAACGGTCTTCACGGAATTATCCGAAGGGATCTTAGTGCTTGGAATTCGGCTGACTGCTAATGAAGGGTTATATTTTGGCGAATCGTCCGACAGGATAATAGACGAGTCAACCGAAGAAATCTTTCCTTCTGAGATCTCTGAAATAAGCTCTGCTATACTCACCGTTGTTGACGAAGCCGGTAATGTGAGAAGGGTGCTTTCATTGGGAAACGGACGAATAGGCAGCTTCCCCTGAACTAGGCCTAGAGAAATATCGTGCTGAAGACTTTCAATAAGTCTTTTATTGAGTTTCTGCTGGAGGACTCTAAATTTCGGCAGACTTAGGAGTCTCCAGCCGGGATAAAGCCGACTATGGGTTTTCGGAGTATGCATTCGTCCGTATAGTTGAATGAAAGTGTTGCAGAGAAAGCACGCGTCTTTGCTTGAACTAACCACTCGTGGAAACAGCTTTGGGGCTTGTATTTCACAAAAGGCGATGATTTGAATTTTAGCATGGATTTTTGGTGCTGAAAGAGCCTTTTGGGCTCCTTTATACCTGGTAAAGGCAGCTTTTTGATCAAGTTTTAAATTGTGGCACAATTGAGACACAGTTCGTTGCCCCTTGACGAATCCAAGCCTAGATAGACACGAACATGGGTCAGAGAACTCGATGGAGTTTATTTGACCTTCGAATGCCTTTTGGGGCAGGCTTGCCAGTTGAATTTTCATATTCCGGACCAATGGAAATTTCTTTGCCATACGATACAGTTCCCTAGCGGCTTCCCAGTACCTTGAGACCTTTCTGATGATGTTAAATAAACTGGATCTCGAGGACGGATCTATGTCATTGTTCGAGATTAGATTTAACAAATCGTAAAAGCGTGGCGCTGTTTGTTGCAAGTGATGTATTCCTTCCACCAGATCACCTAGCTCATCCAGAGCTTGGTGTTTCAACCATCGATCAACTAGGTGTATGACCTTGCTTGCCTCTGAGGTGAATGATGACGATGTGACCGATAAGTCTTTGCTGTGAAGCTTCTGAGGATTAATCCGTCGAATACTAAATATCGCCTCTTTCAGGAGGTCTTGAATAGGTCTCTTAGTTGCCTTCCGCTCGAGTCGCAATCGGGATATAACCCGCGATGAGCACATTGAGAGGATTGACGCAAAAGTTTCCCTTTGAAGCTCGGGCCTGTCTATAATTTTGGAAAATTGTTAAAGGTTATCACTAGATGCAAAATAGTAAGGACTAACCATATTGTGAATCATGAAGTACGTGGAATATGCCTTTAAAGCTTCTTTTCAGTTTTTGTAGAATGTCATCTCCATCAGCGTAGGTGCTTTTGTTGATGGCTAGGATGACATTTAAAACTGTTCCAGGTGGGTTCTGTTCTACGCAAACCGCAGGTATATGATCCCACCCATCCTTAGTCTTCGCAAGGAATGCAAGAACTTCGGTTAGCCCACGCTCTTTAGAGAAAGGCAAGACGTAATTCTCTTGGTCGATTGACGACTGATTAATTGCATTTCGAGCGACTGGAGCAGGGATCTGATAAAAGAAGGAGCTGAGAGCGATATACTCAGCACATGCTGTTGCGGGGGATGGGATTGTCTTAGCCATGAAACTCGATGATCGAAGAATAGTGCCTGGGCCGGGCGGAGCGCTCTGGAGCGGCGGAGAGGGGAACTCTGGGTTTATGAGCTGGCGGGAAGCACCTGCAGGTTTCTAAGTACCTGATGGTGAGCTGGCACATGCATAGTTCTACGCACGATAAGATAGGGTTTCTCTATTAGCGTAGGGAGGGGGGACTACGATTCGCCTAGTCCCTTCAGCGTCGAGATGCAGGCCAACGATTGGCGGGTGGGCGAAGTGGAGTGAGTTATTTGTACCAAATGCACGTACTCCGACAGAAGCGCTCGCTCCAAGTCACAATTCAGAGGGCAGTTGGTGAAACAGCAGATTCTGCCCCTCTGTTTTTGCCTTCTATTTTTCCACCTCTCTATTTTTGACCTCGGGTTTTCTACGTGCAACAGCAGTTGCTTCGTCATCGCTGTCATTCTCTGCCTGTTTTGATCTTCGCTCATCGCTATCGATCATCAATTTCACGACTCGTCACCAACCACCCCTCTGTGCAGATTGCCCGTGTTTAACCCGGAGAATTCCATTACGTATTTGCTCTCTGCTATTTTTGTCCTTGGGTTTAGCGGAGAAAATCAGTTGCTTTTTTACTAGCTTCCATTTTCCGCCACCTCCCCTTCCTGCTGCTGCTGTTAATCTGAATGGTGTTTTTCCATACTCAACTGCTCTTTCGCCGACCACCACTTCCTCCCATCTAGTGTATATCGACAAGTCTGGGTGTGATAAACGGGTTGGCTTTAGGCGAACTGGTTGGTCACTGCTCGGCACTGCGCCAGGCCAGGTCTCCAATATCCATTGCGATCAACGGTACCAGAGTTTTTCCGCATACCAGGATGGTATCATCCTATCACGAGTGTTCTGGGGCTCGACCGACGCTCCAGTTTTTGAGGACTTCATTGAAGAGCTTCTACAGCATTGCGGAAGGTGGCCTGAGCCTAACGCATCTTTTCATCACTCCGACAGTATAGAACAAGTGTGTTTAAATGCGGGGGTAAAGCTAATGTACGTTACCTGCCGCCCTACTCACCCGATCGGGGGTTTAAGAGAGTTTCTCTATGTAAGGCATGGAAGCCAATCTCGAATTTAGCTTGTATAATGATGGTTAATTATAGAGGATAAATTGCTAAGAATAGGGAAAAAGAAGGATCTGCCTTAGACAAAATAGGAGCTCCAGAGGCCACAATCACATGATTCTCTTGACAATAGTCACCAATATTCTAACCTAGTCACCCATTGTAATGATAGTCATCCGGAGGAACATCGATAGTCCCTCACCTGTCACAGCAGGAACACTGACCACCAGTAGTGCAACACTGGGGATATCCGTCATCACAGCAGTAAATATCGCACGGATAGCTACAAATCCAACAGTCTGAATCAAGGTCAATATCCAATGAACATCCGGTTATTGCCCTGGGGGTCATAGTAAGATAAATAATGGTAGACTAACTGTTTTGATTCTCTAGACGAGAGACTGCCTCTTGTGCACTTGTTGAACGCTTAGCTGAAGCTGCTTCAGGAGATAAATGTCCAGGCACTGCAAATTATCAATTAGTAAAGGGGGGCTGCTTAATGCTTTTTGAACCCCAGGGAGTGTGTACCACTATTGGCAGAGCTACCCTCCTTCTTCACCTGGGAATAATCCGAGTTCTTTTGTGCAGCAATGCTAGGTGCTAGAAACAAAACACATAGAACTATCTTCAGAAATTAGGTAAAGGTAAATAGCAAGTAAACCTAGGTAATAAGAACTTACACAGTTGGGATGATACACGCATCTTGGAAGTAGAGTCTTTCAATGGAGTTTGTATTTAAAGGAAGGGTTAAAAATTTACAAAAGCAAACAATAGGATAAGCCGGTCTATATTTATATAGTAAAGATATCCGTGCTAAATGATTGCCCTTGCATACCAAATGGAATGCAAGTGTAACAGGCTAATGCATGGTTATTTAGTAAGGTTGTGCCTTATCCTTGCTTATAGTGCGCTTGCGAGCAACAGACGGCGGTCTGTTGTCTTATATGATCTTTTGGTCAAAGGGAAATGGCGGTGAAACCAGCGCCCCACTCCAACCCTTCACAGCAAGGGAGGAAATAGAATGGGAGCTGGTGTCTAATCAGAGGCAGATTAACTTCACTAGTACAGATCATTCCTTTCTCTCAAGGGAAAAGATTAATAACAGAGGAATTTATATTATTAGCTAATAATTGCTATAATAATGTCACGATCAGATCCAAAGAAGGGGTATCATTCAACGAAAACAACGAAGCTGAAAAGGGAAGAGAGAAATGGGCCTAGTGTACACTGTCAAACAAGCAACCCATGCAGACTCCCTCCTCCTTCCTGGCCAGTTCTCCAGCTCTTGTTCTCAGGTCCATCGTCAATCCCATCGTCACAAATAACAGCAAAACTAGAGTTTTCAGATCAATCAGGGTTTTAGGAGGCTTAATGGATATCTGGTCCCACCCTAAATATCTATGGCACACTGGAACTACTAAGGCTGCCATAGCTTACAGGCTACCTTAGGGTCCGATACAAAAGGGAGCCATGTATCCAGCCTTCTTTGACCATCTGTTAGAGATCAACCTCTGATATTAGGAGTTGTTACATATGTATCAAACTAATCCCATAGAAAAACTGCTATCTCACTGGGGTAGATATCTGGCTTTTCTAACAGGTGTTCATAGAGAGCCTCTAACATCAGTAATATGATACTGTGCTATCTGCCCACTCAAATGGAAGGAGCTCCGGGATCGCCGAACTGTTGTAGATTATTGCAGACGGTGGTAACCGAATTAGACCTCACCAACTCCTATGGGACTAAAGCGAGGTCAGTCCCATCTCCCAGACAAAGTCCTATAAGAGTCCCACGAAGAGCTAAACCCGAACTGGGGCGGTGGGGGCGGGTGCTAAACCACAACGGGCGAGGAGGCGCCGGCACAAATGCTTTTTGTACTCATTGTATTCATAGCACTCATTGTACTCGTAACATGAATCTGTACAGGCGCGAACACAATAACAATCAACACAAGCATTTGGCTAGATAAAACCAATACATATAGCTATTTCATTCAAAACAGTAGGAACCAGATCGACGTGATGTGTCACACAAACTCCGCTTATCTCCGGAAGCCTGAGAATGTTTGTTTCTTCTCAGCTCGCCCTTTTTGACTTTGGTGACATCTCCATTGCCCCTCATCTCTTGAACCTTCCACTTCTTTCCCCTCCACAACTTTCCTCAACATGCCTACCAATCAGCATGTCAGTGCGGCTCTGTCGCTCATCGAGCATGACAAGTCCAAGGTTCTGGGCCTGACTGTTGGCAAGCACCATAACGTCCAACCTGGCGACCACATTCCTCGCGCCGGTAAGGCCGGTGTCACAACACCTCCATGTGATGATTGACTGACGTGCCCCACAGACGCCCAGTCGCCCCCACAGCTCTCGTTCGAGGGCCTAGATGCTTCCAAGACCTACTTGGTCGTCGGTCTGGATATCGATGCTCCGTTCCCTTCCTTTGATATCCTGGGACCCATCCTTCACTGGATTCAGCCTGGTGTCAAGGCCACCGAGTCGTCCACTCTCGACACCAGCGGGCCGTTCGTCGCCGACTACATCGGGCCTGCTCCCCCGCCTGGCAGCTCGCCTCACCGCTACATCTTCTTCTTGTACGAGGAGCCCGCTGGCTTCGATGCGAAGAAGTATGCGCCTGCTGACGGCAAGAAACTGAGCAACTGGAACCGCATGCGCTACGACCTCGATTCTTGGGCCAAGGAGATCAACCTGGGCCCCGTGCTAGCTTTCAACTTCTTCGAGAGCAACTAGGCGTGGGGCAATCATGGCTCGGCCATTTCTGCGGTACTACCTGACACTTTTCCGGGTACTCGAGGGGGAGCCCGTGGTGGTTTTTGTTTCGTTGCTTTCTTTTCGCTACGGCGAAATTCAATGCTTAATACTTGCTCAGCTTTGCTCAGCTTTGCTCAACTTAGTCTTAATTGAATCGCATTAAATTTCCTTCTATTCTTTTTCATGTCTGTAATTTTCTTTCGATATTGTCTGTCACAATGGAGGCCTTTGTCTGAGCAGGGGCAGCTATTCTTGCACTCCCTTCTTCTCAGATAAGGCACTCCCCATCACTCCCAGAGGGTGAGAGCATTTGCTAGTAGGACAAACAGAGCAACGAGTCTAGGTATTCTCATTGTTACTTTGCTGCAGCTGCCATGTATCCTCCACCATTGTCAGTTGGCAAATGCCACTTCTGGTCCTCAAAGAGGGAAAGAATAACGCGCAATTCATGTATACAGCCTCTTTGTTTTCATACAGTGAAATCTCCACCTGACTAACATTGAATGTGGCAGTTATGAACAGGCAGATAGAAATCAACTCCTGAACCTCTTTTTTTTTGCCTGCCTTATCCAGCCCATCCTACAGCAAATTCCAACATCATGGCCATGGAGGGAAAGGGAACGGCTATCGAGCCGCTTACCACCTCATTCGCGGGAATGATAATTGGAGTCAGTGGTAAACTTCCCGGCAAAAGCCATAGTGAGTATCTCTACTACGAACCCTTGTATGAAACGCCTGGGTCGGTACGAGCTTACAATCTTCCAGGTCAAATCAAAAATGCTGTGGAGAAGCTTGGAGGGAGATTCGAGACGCTCAGCATCTCCCAATGTACCCATCTCATCACCGCAAAAGAACATCTCACAACTCAGAAGGGTATGCAATGGTATTCATCTCCCGTCGAGACTCTAACTAAACTTCACTTTCAGCCCAGGAAGCCATCGCCAAGACGGACTGCGAGCTCGTGTCAATCGAGTGGTTTCTCAAGTCTCTTGAAACGGGCAAAGCGATCGATACCACAGAGTTCTTGCTCACTACTCCAAAGGAAAGCAAAAAGCGAAAAGCCAACGAGGACCCGGAGAAAAATGAGGTCCGATTCAAGAAGCTGAAGGATGTTTTGCTGGAAGCTGGTGGGGCTTGTTGATGAGCGTTTTCCTGTGGACAGTGAGTATCCCGCATGGAATCATTTCACAGCACCTCTGACATCTGTGCTTTCGTGGTTCTAGAGGGAAGCACTGTTTGGATCGATGATGAGGGTGTGATTTTGGATGCAACCCTTGTCAAGAACGTGTCACAGGAAACTCCTGGGGAAGACACGAACATCTTCGATGCCGTTGTTCATCGCATGCAGATTATTTTCAACGTCAAGACGCAGATGTGTCACACTTGGGTTTGGGCCCCGACATCAAATCCATTTCTCCCTAATAGACAGTATTCAATGGGCAGCGGTGACTTGCAATCAGCGCAAGAAAATTTTGAGCGAACTTTCGAGCAACACACCGGTCTATCTTGGTCCAGTCGCCACAACGATCCGATAAAGGACAGGTTCATCTTTATTCCGTGCTGTTATGAGGATGAAGCCAAATTCAGTCCAGCGACGCTGTCGAAAGGCATCGCACAGTTGACTCCCACGTTCCCTGGCTCGGTTATCAATGTACTGAGCATGGTTTTCGGCCCAAACAACAAAGTCAAAAATACCCTCGCCAGTTTGTCCAAAGGCCGGTTGAAGATCAACAGCGAATCCGTGGCTGAGCACACTATCCGGGTTGGATATGCACTGCTGAACAGAATTTGCGAACTCTCCAAGAATTCGGCGGGATATCCAAGTCCTGTCCCAGACACAGCAATCTCGCTCCTGAGTCGATGCTACTTCGCCTTGATGTTTGCCAATAACCGCAAAATACCAACCGACTCGTCGTGGGTTGAAAGAGAGCGCGAACTTCTTCAATATCTGGAGAACGTGATGGCTCTTGATTCCATCGTGAATTCGCCTCTTGAGATTTCTGAGTGCAATATGCTCCATCTAGTCCACCGAAGATTGCAGCTGCCAGAAATTGCCCCATGTATATTCTCTGTTCTTTTGGCAACTTATGATGTGGCTAGAATAATGTTGACTCTTGATTCTAGTGGACAAAAACTCCAAGGAATACAAAACCTTGGCGCAATATTTCGAAGCGATACCCCCACATAAACAAGCGCATTGGACTTATCCGACCGGCAAGGTAAGCAGCTCAATCAGTGCCTATATGACGTTGTATTTCTCAAATTTAGTTGTCTCCAGCTCATCCAAATTTTGAAACTCGACAATCCTGGACAGGCCGAAAGGCTTAAGACCTGGACTGAACAAAACAAGTCCATGTCCGGCCAGCGACGACTTCTTTGGCATGGGTCACATTCGGCCAATTTCATAGGGATCCTGAGTCAAGGGCTTCGAGTCAATGCGGACGGCCGTGACATTATTGGCATACTTGGAATGGGCATATACTTCAGCGACTTTGCGGGCAAGCACTCTGTTATTGCCATTGCCAGTCCGGAGAAGAAGCTCTGTTAGCGCTTTGTGAAGTTGAGGTCGGTCACACCATGCTATGCTGCACAGTGTATCATGGAAATGCGACAAACAAGATGCTTGCGAGCAACTAAAGCTGTGCAGTCTTCGCACAAGGTCACCTAGCACCCAGCTCATGGCGCGATGCCAAGTGCGTTCATCCGAGTCTCCAAGGGATCCAAATGCCGGATCTGTACAAGAGAAAATCAATCGCGATAAATACGACATGGAAGACGAGCAACGAGTACGTGGTCTGTCACTCGGCTCAGGTTCACCACCGATATCTCTTTCATGTCAAGATTGATTGAGTCCACGCTTGTTATGGTGTCTTCTGGGTTCAATCAGGGGACCTGAATTATGGAGGACGGGGTGGTATTGGGAGGATAACGATGAGAAATAGTGCTAGATGTTGTGGTTTTGTTTAGTTTATCAGATACACGTTCTTGTCAGTTGACATTCCCAAAGGCACGTGTAGATCGGGATCTGTAGACTCCACTCGGAGCTCCGGTGCATAGCTCGGATCTGTGAGGCTAGGGAATGGAGTGTTTCGTACCTATTCGTAGCCACCGAATAATTCTAACAGTCCTTCCCTGATATGCAATAAAGTGGTTAAGCTGCAGACTATGGCCATGGCTCTACCTTGGTATCGGCTCCACCCTTATCCAGCCACTGCGGTTGCACCTCCCGCCAATCTCCGGTTCATCGGGCTTTCCGCTCCCGTTTTAAAGCCGCTCCCCCGCTATGGATCTCCTCTGGATCTTATTCCTACTTCCTGCTGGCCACCATGGTCCTCACTAACTGGCTAGCCATCTCGCTGGCCGGCCTCGCCGCGGCCCAGTATTTCCCCCCGGCACCTGACGGATTGAAGGTCGTTCACTCTAAACATGAGGAAGGCGTGAAGATATCCTACAAAGAGGTGATTTGAATGGCTTCGTTAGACCGCTGCATTCAATCAGGTACTAACAGTGTACAGCCGGGTATCTGCGAAACCAGCCCGGGCGTCAAATCATATTCAGGCTACGTCCACCTGCCTCCAGGGACACTGGAGGATGTAAATGTCGAGCAGAAATACCCCATCAACACATTTTTCTGGTTCTTTGAGGCTCGCCATAACCCGATGAATGCCCCACTCTCCATTTGGATGAATGGTGGACCCGGCAGCTCGTCCCTGATCGGTCTCATGCAGGAGAACGGCCCATGCCTGGTAAATGCAGATTCCAATTCGACCGAACTCAACCCATGGTCGTGGAACAACTACGTCAACATGCTGTACATCGATCAACCTAATCAGGTCGGCTTCAGCTACGACGTTGCCACCAACGGCACTTTCGACCAGCTCAGCGCCGCCTGGAACGTGTCCAACTGGGAGCACGGCATCCCTGTCCAGAACAATACTTTCTACGTCGGCACGACTACTAGTCAAAAGGCCAAGGCGTCTGCCAACGGTACTGAAAACGCAGCCCGCTCCCTATGGCACTTTGCGCAAACCTGGTTCACTGAATTCCCCGAGTACAAGCCGCAGGATGACCGTGTGAGCATCTGGACCGAGTCTTACGGCGGTCGCTATGGCCCAGCGTTCACTGCTTTTTTCCAAAAGCAGAATGAGAAGATTAAAACGGGAGCCATCACCGCCGCCTCTGAATCCCACTATATCCACCTGGATACTCTTGGAATTATCAACGGCTGTGTCGATCTCCTTCTACAGGAGTCATCATACCCCAAGATGGCATACAACAACACCTACGACATCGAGACTATCAACAGAACCGTCTACAACCAGGCCATAGATGCATGGAGTCGCGCGGGCGGATGCAAGGATCTGATTGAGCAATGCCGTGCCCTGGCAGCAGAGGGCGACCCACAAATGCACGGCAACAACCAGACAGTGAATAAAGCATGCCACAAGGCCGATAAATTCTGCAGTAACCAGGTTGAGGGCGCCTATGTTACCTATTCAGACCGAGGCTACTACGATATCACGCACAAGAACCCAGACCCGTTCCCCCCATCCTACTTCCTGGGGTATCTCAACCAGAACTGGGTACAAGGTGCGCTGGGCGTGCCGATAAACTACACCGAGTCTACCGACAGTGTCTACGCTGGCTTCTCGTCGACGGGCGACTACCCACGCTCCGATGTACACGGTTACCTTGATGATCTTGCGTACGTGCTGGATTCTGGAATCAAGGTGGCCCTCGTCTACGGCGATCGCGATTACGCATGCAATTGGATCGGTGGTGAGGATGTGAGTCTGCTCGTGGAGCACGCCGAGGCGGCTGCTTTCCGTGATGCCGGATACTCACCACTTCACACGAATAAGTCCTACGTCGGTGGTCAGGTCCGCCAATATGGCAACTTCTCTTTTACTCGCGTCTACGAAGCTGGTCACGAGGTCCCTGCATATCAGCCCGAGACTGCGTATCATATCTTCCACCGAGCACTTTTCAATCGTGATTTGGCTACCGGCAAGATTGATACCGCTCGCAACAGGTCGTACTCTACTGAAGGCCCAGCATCGACTTGGCATATCAAGAACGAGGTTCTCGAAAGCCCTGGTCCGCTGTGTTATATTCTTGCTCTGGAGGCGACGTGCACGGATGATCAGATTGCCAGTGTGGCTAATGGCACGGCGATTATCAAGGATTGGATTGTTTTGGATGCGCCATCGCAGTAGATAGAGATCTTGACTCGACGAAGCTTGTACTGTATATACCATAGAAGTAATGTACATCCCAGTACTTCAAGCACACTCTATGTCGCTTGGGGATCATAGCCGTTGCAGTAATGTGCGCTTGCCATCCCAAAATATTCAAATGAGAGAAAGAGTTTCATATTTCGGAGGCGAGTTTTAACGTGAACTGAGGCATATTTTCTTTTCTTTTCCCTCAATCTTATGACTTCCAATGTTGTTGTATTCCATATGTCTTTACGGTATTGATGTCCCCGTACTTATGTATTATTACAAACCTTTCTTCAAGATGTTCTTTTTCCTTTGTGCTTCAGTGACTGCCTTGATTCCTCTTTGTGTATGTACATCTATCATAGCGCCTTGAATCTCTCTCCTGTGGCGGTTATGAATAAAAGCCCGTGCTAAGACAGCCTCTCGAGGACCAGTCCGGCTTCCTTTGAGCGTAGTCCCATATTGAAAATCTATGTGACTCGGCACTCCTCCTCCCCTTCGGTACGTTAGCTTCTACTATCTAATATCATTTCTACCCCGGAGTAAGTAGGCTAAACCTTAAAAGTGGATCCGGACTGACATAATCGGTGACTAACCAAGTGGGGCCTTCCCGTCGATGATGTCGTGGATCGCGATGCTGTCAACTGCTCCTCTGCCTGCGAATACCTTTGCATGCACTTGTAGACACTTGTAGAAATGCAGGAATGATCTCCAGACTGTCCAGATCAACATCACCCCGTAGACAATCATCCACGGGCCACGGCGGCGGCAGGACGGCAGGGAAGCTTCTCGAAGCTTCGATCCGTCAACCTTCGACGTCACACGTCACTCACTCACCTGGAGACGACCAGGTGCAAAGCATTCAAGTTTCTCGAGCCCTCCTTCCTGCAGAGATAACCACTTCCTCCCGTGCAACTCCGTCTATCTCCCACTCCATCGCTCTTACCCCAACTTTCACCGCGCTATACCCCATCCCGCTACTCCCACACCGAAACTTCTACCTCATTCGAGAAAGCGCCATCGGGGATCCGTTCACTCTGACAGGATCCTTGGTTTTTAAACACGCAGCTCCCGCCATTTCGCGCTGAATTTGCCCCTTTAGTGCAAAACTCAATTCAACCCCGCAATCACAACTCACGATGGTTGCTGAGACCAAACTATACGATGCCTTGGAAGTCAAACCTGGTGCGACCCAGGATGAAATCAAGAAGGCCTACCGCAAGGCAGCTTTGAAGCACCACCCCGACAAGAACAAAGACAATCCTCAAGCCGCTGAGAAGTTCAAAGGTATGTCCACCACTCGAACATAACCCCCTCATGGATCGATTACTCACTGCTATTACAGATGTCTCTCAAGCCTACGAAGTCCTTTCCGACCCCGAGAAACGCAAGGTCTACGATCAGTTCGGTTTAGACTACCTCATGCGCGGTGGCCCCGCACCCTCGCCTGGCGGCGGAGCTGGTGGTGGTGCTGGCGCCGGTGGGATGCCCGGAGGGTTCAACTTCGGCGGCATGCCAGGCGGCGGCGGTTCGCGCACATTCCACTTCTCCACTGGCCCTGGTGGTGGCGGTGGCTTCCGATTCAGTAACGCAGACGATATCTTCCGCGAGTTCGCCAAGGCCGGCGGCGGCGGTGGAGGCGGTGGCGGCGGCGGCATGGGTGGACTTGATGAGGATGACATTTTCTCCATGCTTGGAGGTATGGGCGGCGGTGGTGGTTTCCGTAGCCGTCCCTCCGCTGGAGGAGGATTCTCATCGAAAGCCAACCGCGCCCCAACCCCCGAACCGACCGTTGTTGAAAAGGACCTGCCGATCACACTGGAAGAAACCTTCAATGGTGTGACCAAGAAGGTGAAGACGAAGAGCAAGGCGTTTGACCCCAGCGGCAAGCGTAGCGTCCAGGAAGTTACACTGGAGGCAGCCATCAAGCCCGGTCTAAAACCCGGTTCGAAGATCAAGTACAAGAACGTGGGCGACCAGGAAGAAGGCGGCCGCCAGGATGTGCACCTGATCGTGAAAGAGGTATGTGATATTCCCCCTCTCGAAACCTCCCGGAGTCCATTTCTAACGGAATCAATAGGTACCACATCCGGATTTCACTCGCAAGGGCGACGATCTCATAACTACCGTCGAACTCAGCCTCAAGGAAGCTCTGACGGGCTGGGAACGGATTGTCCGCACGATCGACGGCAAGTCCATCCGCGTGTCCAAGCCAGGACCGACACAACCTGGACATGAGGAGCGGTATCCCGGCTGGGGCATGGTAAAGTCCAAGAAGCCCAGCGAGCGCGGCGACCTCGTCGTGCAGGTCAAGGTCAAGTTCCCGACCAGCTTGGACTCGAACACCAAAGACATCCTCAAAGATCTGCTTCCTTAAAAGTCCTTATCAGCATACATTCTGGCGTTAGTTTGAGCGTTATTCATTGGGAGGTAATGACAGCAATGATTATTATGTTGGCGTTGGGGGTTGGCAATTCGCGTTTTCAAAACGAGCCGTGTACATAGTCTAACCCATTTTGGGGAATGCGGAGAAGCACCTGAACTTGGAGAAATCAACTTCCTCAACTGCACTCTTTCCATACCGTAATCATGAAGCGCAGGATTACCTTCTTTCAGCGCCCGGAGGCGCCCTTTGAGGCCAACCAGGCTGTTTTGACCTCCAAGTCCCTCGCGATCCGCGGCTTGGACGCCGCCCGCGAGGACCGCGTTACGTTCGGCCTTGACGACCTTCCCCAGGAGGTGAGCAGACAAGCACACCGGATTTCAATCAATGAGAAGACCCGGCGCTAACCTGTGTTAAATCTACAGCTCCGCGACGTCCTCCAACAGTCTCACGAACTCCGCCTTCGGTGGACAACCGAACGGTCCTACGATGCCGTGACGCCCTTGGCCAGCCGAGTGTCGCCCGGCTTGCATGTACACTATACCCCTCTAGCGGCTGAGCAGACTTCGTGAGTCGCTTTTCTCTTCACAATAGATCGGGCGGGAACTGACGGGATGGTGGTATAGAGAGGCGCTGTGCTCGTTGCTCCGCACGGTGTTTGGAGCAGGTGTGGACTGCACGAAGCCTGAGGTATATTGATCCCCTTTTCTTCTAGCGGTGCAATGTCGCTGTAACGTCTCACTCTACTGGATCAACATTGCTAAAACGGCCCTCGCGTAGGACACCTTCATCACGCCCCCGCTCCTATCCACCAGATTCGCCGCGTCGGCCTCCCTGCAGTTCTACGCACAGCTCCCCTCCCTACAACCTCTTGTCGAATTTATCCAGAGCTCTGCTTGCAGCCAGCGCAAGGTCGGCGGTGCCGAATGCAATAAACATGCTAGCTCGCTGCTTACTGCCGAGACGGTCGACATCGACTATGATAGCATCTCGCACGCCCTGACGGTGTCGACTCTCTGGGCTAGTGCGCCTAATGGAGGATGGACAGAAGATATTCAGAAACCTGCATCTGGTGCGGATCAGGTTGAGTTTGGGCTTCTGGGTGCCGAACCAGGCATCGAGCCGCAAGAGATCAAGATGGGCGGGCTGTTGGCTGTTGTTGGACAGGACAAGAAAATGAGTAAGTTCGATATTGGCTTCATCCTAATCCACGGTCAGAACAGTAACTGACTATAACAGAACCCACCATGTTCTCCTTTCCCTCGCGGCACCACCCACTCCCCAACGATGCAGGATACGTCGTCTCTTTTTCCACTCCAACGGGTCTTCACCCGACAATGTCCATCTCCATTACCCCGTCTGGTGTACAACGACCCCCAGCACCGAGCGATGCAACCTGCGCATTACACACATACCTCACGCTCCCGTCCGCCGTCTTCGGGGACCAGTATCAGCTTGGAACAAGCGACCCGCTCTTCCTGGAATCACACAATCTCGCTGCACTGCGAGCTGTCGCGGGAGAAACCGACCTTGAAGCTCCAGACTGGGCTGTTCAACGCTGGGGCTCGAACTGGCTTTTCGAACTGACTACCCCATCCACGGACTCGCTCCAGTCTAACTGGACGGCTACTATCCCCCTGCATCTGCGGTACCTCGCTCCCTCTGAATCGGGGTATCAGACCGCGGATGTGCCCTGGCCGGTCGTTTTCTGGGCCTGCACTGCAGAGGATGGAACCAAGATGGGCGTTAACCCATTCGACCGCACGAACCTAGGCTGGGACGGCTTGTTTGGCCCGCGTACCATGTTCTATCAGCTTCATCCCAAGGGTGAGCATCTTGTCGAGTCGGTGGATGTACCGGTTCTCAAGCTCACGGGCGAGGGCTTGTTCAAGGCGAAGAACATTGAGCTGGGGACTTGCATTGCCATTTTGCTCGGCTTCCTTTGGGTGTTGTGGCGCCTTGTTCGCGTGTCTTGGTCGGCTAGTGTTAGCGCCGAGAGTAGGCCTGCACGGTCTGCAGACGGACATGTCAAGAAGGAGTAAGCCTTTCCTGAATATCGTTCTTCCATTGGCGTTCACGGGTATCATGATATCAACTTTATACAAGCATTGCTGGGCAATACATACATACTCTTCCATAGACACATCATTTAGTGACCTAAACATACAAACCCAATCAAAAAAACCTTCCAAATAGAAACGCCTATTAAATCCCCATCTCAGGCAACGGCCACGGAACATCCGTCATAAGAAACTGATCCAGATCAAAGTTCTGCAAACTAGGCATATCAATCATCAAATCCCCCAACCACGACAACTCCGCATCCGAAACAGGCCCCATCTCCAATCCAGCTGACGGTTCACTTTCAACCCCATCCCTAGTCACCACCTCAGGTTCAGGAGCCATCGCCGACGCATTAGCCCTCAACACATCCACCAACACCCGGGTATCATCCTCTTTCCTCCGCTGATGCAGCGCAATAAGCAAGTACGCCGTTGAATACGCCTCGCGCATCACAGACGTATCGTACGTCGCTAGAACCTCGCCTAGCGTACGCATGGCATCAGGGAGAAGAGCCAGCGCGGCGCGGTTGTCAATTGCTAGTAGCGTGCAGACGACCTGGAAGGGCACGTTGGCGACCTGGTGCCAGGGTGATGTGGCCGCGACCATTCCTCGTGCTGCGCGGAGGCCACGAGCTGCGAGGGCGAGGACGCGATCTAGGATGCGGGACGTTAGGAGGGCGTGGGCGTTCAATGCGCGGACGCGGCGGTAAATGCAGAGCATGAGGTTGCATTGGACTAGGATTAAGGAGGGTTCGGTGTAGACTAGGTCTAACACTGAGGTGAGGGCTGTTTCGAGTTCTGGGAGGTCTTGGGGTGCTGGGCCTGTTGGGTCTAGGCTTTCGGAGAGGGGGAGGAGGTGGAAGATGTCTGTTCGTTGTGATGTCCGGGGAAGGGTTGCGTTGTTGGGTTCGGTGTTTTGGGTGTATCCTGTTGCGCCGTGGAGGATGACTCGTGAGCGACCTAGGTCGAAGGATATCCAGGTGTTGAGGTGGCGGGCCATGCCGAATAGTCGGCGGCGGGTGTCTGGGTCGCTCGTGTCGGGAATAGTTCTATTCTGATTCTGGACGAGGTCCGTTGATTCTGGGTCGGGCGTGTCTAGGTGTAGGCCTGCTGCCTCGATGAGATGCATCAATGTGCAGCTGGCCATCCAGGCGGCATGTGGGGAGGCTGTCATGCGTAGATATGCTGCTCGAAGGACCCATCCGGTTACGATATCGACCGATGGTATTTGTGCGCAAAGAACGGACTTTTCAAGAAGCAAGCGTGCCGTTTCAATGAGCTTTCGCTCTGTAGGCATGATCTCGCGGCGCGAGAATAAGAACCCAAATGCAGCGACGCCGCATAGCACAGCATCGTAGGGCTGGGTCTCTGGCGACTCGGCAGCTAGTACTGTAGTCTCCGACCAGCGTTGTGCAATATGGGCAAATACACTCTTCCGGTCCAAGAAAGCATAGCATGGATCAACTTTCTCAAAGTAGATAGCTGCCAAGCGCCGCATCTCTTCCTGCGAGATGATCTTGGTAATTGGCGCCGGTGCCGAGAGCGTGACGGGCCATGGCGAGAGATCCGGTGATACACGCCTCTCGCCCACGTTCCATGCAAACAAATGAAGTCTTGGGGCGTGTGCTGGGTCAATTCGCAGACCGAGCTTGCGAACGAAAGCCGCCCCGGAGTTAACCTCCAAGGAATGGCCCACTCCGCGGGAATCATTTACGCGAGAGGTCGGAGACGCAGCACTGCCGGCAATACTGACTGGAGGTGGTCGATTGGGCCATCCATCAGGGAGTCGCTGGCGCTCATCCAGTGCTGGTAAGCTCCGATTATACACGGGGCTGACGCGCTTCTTGCGCGGGGCCGTGCTGTAGTGGCAGTCGACGCCGGCCTGGGCGCAGGTGGTGCATGGTTGCTCGCCGGAGCATTTACGCTTGCGCGATTGACAGGAGAGACAGGCGGCACGCGACCGCTTGCGCGGCGTGGATTCGGACATTGTGTTGGCGCATGGGGTATAACTGAGAGTTTAGATCTTAGATCGTAAGTTTCCGCCCCGAAAAACAACCGATCTCCGCATTCCAAAGTTGGACCCTTTCACACTACACTTCACGCTTCCACACTCTACCCTGGATGACTGTACAAGCGTTGGAAATGTTCAATTCATCGACGTACCATCAGTCATCGTATTTTCGACCGTCGGGATAGCCCATCATACCCTCGAGCTGCTTGAGATCCGGCATCCCCGCCGGCCCCGGCATGTACTGCAGATTGTCACGCACGGTGGTCCCATTCCACCAAATCTCGTTCTTGTGCAGCGCGTCCATAATGCGCGGTGCATCGATATACGTGCGAATCTCCACCATTTGGTTGCGATACCAGCGGGTCACCCACACATTGACAATGTCGAACACGTCGCCTATGGCCTGTCAGACCCGTTCGCCACTGGACGTGTTTACCTACCGGAATTCATCACGCCCTTGAACTGGATCTCCTGAACCGACCACCGACTGTTACACCCGCCGTGGATGGCTTGTGGGTGGATCTTGAATTTGTCGGCGTGGTCGAAGAACAGCACGCTGACCCGCCGCAATGCATTGACGTAGAAATGCAGCAGATCATGATAGCGCCCGGCGATTGGGTGGTGCCCGACTACGGTGAAGGTGACGTTCTTGTGGATCAGGGTGAACAATTTGCTCATGTCCTTTTCCAAATCCTTGAAGGAGTCCCAAATATGCATTTGTGACACGTACTTGCAGTCGGTGGATGGGTTCTCAAACTCGAAGCCCTCACGGTCCCGCGGGGTCGGGTCGTGGATGATTCCATCGCCATTGCAGCGACCGTCTGGGTCGACGAGACCTGATCCATCACAGCCGGGATCTTCGAGGGTCATCTGCGGGCCTAATGTGGCCCGGCTGCTGGTTCGGGAGAGGCCGATCCCTAGGGCAATGGCGAGATATCGCGAGATAAGCATTTTCCACTTCCGTTTACTAACAGTTTGCCCGGTCTAGCATCCACTTTTCTCATTTCAATTTCCATTTTCATTTCCTTCCACGTCTCTATTTATTCCAATTGACGTTTTTAAAAATGTTCCGGTCGGGTAGCACGGAGAAATACACCGAGATGCATTCCTAAAACACCGGCGTAGTATTGCCAAGGAGAAACAAACCTACATGGCGGTGTGTATGTACTCCGTGGCTGGGGCAAGCCACGGCAATGATGCGTGAATCGTCGCTGATAGCTAGTCCGACTAAACTCGAATTAGAAATGATGTGCCCGTCTCATTGTCGAATCAAGGTACGCCGATGTCGGACCGGGCTCTTGATTGGCCTGCCGCAGCCGGTGAAGCACGTGCCCGCACTGAGTCAACGAAAAGGTCTTCTCCGACAATCGCTTTCTCTTCCTCTCTCTCTCTCCAGTTCCCCAAGTCCTCGAATTACTCCACTTCTACACCTATGTCGCACTAAACATCTTCTTTTTTTTTCTTCCTCTTTGACTGGTAATACCACAGTCGCGCTTATGTGTTTGGCACCTTCAACTTTTACTTCCCAGGACTACATCTCGGGTATGCTCACCATCTCCATCCGGTCATTGACCATCGTCCACATGCTGACCTACCCTCTAGACCACCTCTGGAAAGCTTCGATCAACTGAATTGACCGATCTATTCACCGTTCACATCTTCTTGCTATCATACACCCAAATCAAACATGTTCATGCATCTGTTCAAGGCCATGCCCGCTCGGGCTGGGGCCTTCGCTTCCGTGAAGACCCCTGCTCAGGCTCGCTTCATGGCCACTGTTCGCCAGCGTGCTGCCCTCGAGCCCGCTACCTTCACCATCCGTGACGGTCCCATGTTCACCGGAAAGTCCTTCGGTGCCCGCTCCAACATCTCCGGAGAGGCCGTCTTCACCACCTCTCTGGTCGGGTACCCCGAGTCTCTGACCGACCCCTCTTACCGTGGCCAAATCCTGGTCTTCACCCAGCCTCTCATCGGCAACTACGGTGTGCCTTCGGCCGCGAAGGACCCCAATGGCCTCCTGAAATACTTCGAGTCCCCCAACCTCCAGGCCGCCGGTGTCGTCGTGGCCGATGTTGCCGAGCAGTACTCTCACTGGACTGCTGTGGAGTCTCTGGGCGAGTGGTGCGCGCGTGAGGGTGTCCCCGCCATCTCCGGTGTCGACACCCGTGCCATTGTCACCTATCTGCGTGAACAGGGTTCGTCCCTTGCCCGCATCACCGTCGGCGAGGAGTATGACGCCAACGAGGACGAGGCCTTCACCGATCCCGAGCAGATCCACCTGGTCCGTCAGGTCAGCACCAAGCAGCCTTTCCACATCAGCGCTGCGAACCCTACCTCCCACGTTGCTGTCCTCGACTGCGGTGTGAAGGAGAACATCCTGCGGAGCCTGGTTGGCCGCGACGCTAGCGTCACGGTCTTCCCCTTCGACTACCCCATCCACAAGGTTGCCCACCACTTCGACGGTGTCTTCATCTCCAACGGTCCCGGTGACCCCACTCACTGCCAGGACACCGTCTACCATTTGAAGCGTCTGATGGAGACCTCTCAGGTCCCCATCTTCGGTATCTGTCTTGGCCACCAGCTGTTGGCTTTGGCTGCCGGCGGCCGTACCATCAAGCTCAAGTACGGTAACCGGGCCCACAACATCCCGGCTCTGGATCTGAGCACCGGCCGTTGCCACATCACCAGCCAGAACCACGGTTACGCCGTCGACGCCTCCACCCTGCCTTCGGACTGGAAGCCTTACTTCGTGAACCTGAACGACCAGAGTAACGAGGGTATGATCCACAAGTCTCGCCCCATCTTCAGCACCCAGTTCCACCCCGAGGCCAAGGGCGGTCCCCTCGACTCGTCCTACCTCTTCGACATCTACCTGGACAGCGTCCTGAAGTACAAGAACAGCCAGGCTGGTCTGTACCCCCAGCGTGACAGCCGCCCCAGCCCTCTGCTCGTGGACCTCCTCGCCAAGGAGCGTGTGGGTGTTCAGCCCACCGTCGGCATGCAGAACGTGGCCGCCGCCGCCGCCGCCGCCGTTGCGGCCTAAGCGACCATGTCCTCGTGCGGAGTTCGGCTACTGTTAAATTTGGTATATTCGGGTTGACATCTACGTCCTTTTCATACTTTGGTTCTTATTGGTGGTAAATCGGAATTCAGGTCATTTGAAGTTTTTTCATTCCTTTTAGTTTTTCGTAGTTAATCACGTCAAGGCTATAAAGTAGTAATACCCTCTCTATTTTGCCACTATCGACACCACATCCTCGTCTGCTACCGTGTGTGACAACCCCACGCGCTGCGGCACATGTCGAGCGCTGGCACCCCACACCATGGCGTACTTGAATGTTTCCTTGAGCGTGCGGTGAATCTGGTCACACACGTCCTCAATGGTCGAGTCCCGGCGCACAATGAGGGCCTCGCTGAAGTCAGGCACTTCTCCCTTCCTGCAGGTCACAGTTAGAATTTAATCCAAACAAAACACTTTCAACAAGGCAAGCAGGTTGTATCAAGTCATATCGAATCACATACCGTTTCGTGTAAAGTCGCATAAGTCTCAACTCCTTCCAGATCCGCTCGACAACCTCCTGCACGCCGAGATCAAGCTCACAACTCATGACGGCCGTGTACGGCTCACGGGCCAGCTGGTCCAGGAACTCCAGGCTGACGCTGTCGATCTTGTTGTAGACGTACAAGCTAGCACATAATTAGAACGGCTCATTGGCAGCTAGTTAGATATAGATGAGAGGGTACTTACCAGCGGATGTACTTGCGGTGATCTTTCATAATGACATCGATAAAGTCGTCGATCGTAGCTAGAACAGGCAATTAGTCGTCCGGCCTTCTGGTAGACATGAGTGAAAACTGAAAACTCACCGAGCTCATCTCGCACCAACACCTCGCAGTTGAGGATTTTGTAGTCGCGCAGCACGTTGTAGAGCATCTTCTCATCCAAGTACTTGGGTGGTGCCTGGAAGGTGATTTTCATGCCCCCAGCCTTCTTGATCTTCAGGTAAATGTTACTGGATGCTTGTTAGTGCGGGTCTCGAGCAAAGAAGAAGCAGGACGTACGGAGGCTCCTTATTCAAGCGAATGCCGACAGCATCCAATTCAGCCTCCAGCAATGCTCGCTGTTCCGCACGCTTTGTAGCATCCAAGATCATCAAAATCAGGTCACTTGTCTAGACACGCAGTTAAATATTGCTTCTTTTTTACGCTTCACATAAGTCAAAAATACCTTTGCAGCAGAGATGACCTGACGACCACGTCCCTTACCCTCCGAGGCACCTTCGATAATACCAGGCAAATCCAGAATCTGGATCTCGGCACCGCCATACTCCAGAACACCGGGGATAGCGGTCAGCGTGGTGAAAGAGTAGGAGGCAGCCTCACTCTTTGTCTTGGTGATCTTCGACAAGAAAGTGGACTTTCCGACGGACGGAAAGCCGACCAGTGCCACACGGGCATCACCACTCTTGCTGACATCGAAACCAGCGCCACCGCCAGATCCTGCACCGCCCACTGGCTCGAGAAGTTGAGCTCGAAGACGGGCGAGTTTTCTGGGGAGAGTGTTAGTAAGATACAGTCAAAGCCATCTGGAATCAAAAGTGCTCACCCTTTCAATAGACCAAGATGATATTCTGCGGATTGTTAGTTCTCTTTCTGTGCGTGATCTGCTGGTAGAACCTCATACCTGTCGCCTTGTTCTCTGCGGGGCTTTGTTAGCGGGGTGATGCAAATTCTGGCTTTGAGATGACTTACTCTGCGTCCGGCGCATCTCATCCTCAATCCTGTGGTGTGATCAATTAGTATTTCATCCATGTATACCTCTCCGGGGTGAACATACTCCTTAATCTTCTCCGTGATATTCACCATTTTGCCGGCGGTTGAGGCGTCTCGCCAAAGCTCTCGCTGAAGCCTTTATTCGGATCTTTCTGGCTTGTGCTGGATATCTCAAGACTAGCACAACTGACTTGGACCCCGATCAATCAAAACCCAAGATCCCCGAGTCTCGCGAGTATCTAAAAATCGCCGCAAAGGTTGTTCGTCGCGAAATCCGCACCCGCCAAGCCTTATGTAAGCACCTTCATTTCGCCGCGCAGCTCGACCTCACTTTTTGCCCTCGACACCTCCTTTACAAATTCACAGCCATGGCGGACACAGTCGCTGAGCCCGAAGAGGCACCTATCTCCAACAGCCCCGACAACGATGCGCCGGCCGCAGACACCACTGTCGTCAAGAAGACCAAAAAAATCATTCGCCGGAAGAAGAGGCCCGCCAGGACACAGGTCGACCCTTCTTTCGTGAAGTCCGAGCCGCCTCCGCAGACGGGCACGATTTTTAACATCTGGTATGCCAAATGGTCTGGCGGCGACCGCGGCGATCAACAAGATCTCAACACGCCGGCTCCGGGCCGCTGCAACATCGCTCGCGACAGTGGCTATACGCGCGCCGATAAAGTGCCCGGGTCGTTCTTTTGCCGTAAGTGCCTATACAATCCCCAAGTACCAACTATCACACGCAGGGACTAACATCATCTTTATCCAGTGTTCTTCGCCTACGGAACTTGTTTCAAGGGCCCCGAGTGCGAATACCTCCATCGCTTACCGACGATACACGACCTCTTCAACCCGAACGTGGACTGCTTCGGGCGAGATAAGCACTCGGATTATCGCGATGATATGGGAGGTGTGGGATCCTTCACCCGCCAGAATCGCACGTTGTATGTTGGTCGAATCCACGTCACCGATGACATCGAAGAGGTGGTCGCGAGACACTTTGCGGAGTGGGGTCAGATTGAGCGCACGCGGGTCTTGACGGGACGAGGTGTCGCTTTCGTGACGTATTCGAATGAGGCGAATGCGCAATTCGCCAAGGAAGCTATGTCTCACCAGAGCTTGGACAATAATGTGAGTAGAGCGTTGGAATCGCATGGCATGACACGTTTACTGACAACCTCAAAGGAAGTACTGAATGTCCGCTGGGCGACAGTGGACCCGAACCCGATGGCGCATAAGCGAGAGGCACGACGATTGGAAGAGCAGGCTGCGGAGGCGGTGCGTCGGGCACTTCCCGCGGCTTTCGTGGCCGAGATTGAGGGCCGTGATCCCGAGGCGAAGAAGCGGAAGAAGATTGAGGGTAGCTTTGGGTTGGATGGCTATGATGTACCGGATGATGTGTGGCATGCGCGCACACGGCAGCTGGAAAGCTCGAAGCCCGCTGCTGGTGAGCTCGAAGCACCCGAGCAGCCGCTGATGATTGAGTCTGCGACGACTGCAGTTGCGCCTGCGGCACCAGAGCCCGAGAGCGGGATCTTCTCGAGCGCAACGGTGGCAGCTTTGCGGGGACTTGCCGGTGGAAATGTCAGGACTCAAGCAGCGCCCAAAGCCTCCGGGCCGTTGGTTGCCTACGGAAGTGACGACGACAGCGACTGAGTCTGCACCGCAAGCCTCTCAAGGCTCTACATGATATTTTGGATTCTTAATGCACTAAACAGCGATACCTCATCAAAAGACGATTCTGGGCCTCACATGCACGAACTTCGTTATATTGGCGTTATTCATAAACGGGGTATCATCCCGAGCACTCGCTAAAACATAAACAAGAGAGGAGATGTATGATAGTTTGAACATAAAATTACAATGTCCGCCCCGTATGATGAGAACATGCAATAGGTCCCATGTAGACCGAAGCCAAATCAACTCCGTCGTTCACCTGTCGCTGGGTCCGAGGTCGTAGTACACACATGATCCTGTTCGGTAGTTGTAGATAAATGCATTGGTGTAGCTTTCTGTGCCTTCGCTGGCGTGGCTCTCTGAGGCGAGATCGCTGAGCAGCTCATACACTTGGCTGAGATATTTGCGTTCTGTCAGCGGTGCGGTCTGGATGACGGTTCGCCAGCTGTCGGGGTCGGAGAGCCGAGTGTCGCGAATGGAATCGAGGACGTCGTCGCGGGTGTCGATGGCGGCGACGGGGCCATTGCGAGCATTCTCGGCCACCTCACGAGCGCGAAGAAGAGCTGTATTTTCGTACGTAAGTACCATACCAAATGATAAGGAAGATGGATGAAGAAACGTACCGGACTCAACAATGTTCCTTCGATTTGTCTTCTTACTCCTGTGTTGAGGCACGAGAATCCGAACATCATTCGCCTTCTCGTTAGATAGAAGGGCATCCTGCTGCACAGACTGACGTGACTGCCGTGGATCCGCCATGCCTTCCCGATGGTGACGGGCCTGAACTTCAGATCGAAGCCAGGGTACAAGCTCGGAACTGCGAATATCACATTCTTCCCTGCGCAGGAGATTTCGCACTTTGAAGCCCCGCTCCTTGCTGTCTTGTTTCGCGATCACAATATAGTGGTGGTTGTGCTCACGGTACTTGACCAACAGCTCTTCGAGGGACGAGGCATCCACGGCAAGCTCTGCGCTGATATCATTCGCCCAGAGGTCTTCGATGATCTTGACTCCGGTAGTGCGAAGGACAGTTGCGTCGAAACTAGCAACGAGGACATCGCACTGAGTTTTGTTAGTACGTGATAAGACTTGACCAAAGCGGCATGGAAGCATGACTTACCCGGCGGGTGGTCCAGTACAGCTCGGCGCCCGTCTCGGTGTCTTTCGGCGCAGCCCTAGAGTTCAGGTATTCCCTCATAGAGGAACCAAGTCGATCCGAGCTGAGATTGAACCCGACTGCGTGCGCTCGCGGTCGATTGGACAACACCTTTGGCGAGAATTCCTGGATCAGGTGGTCATATCGGCCACCTGCTGCAAATACGTCGCGGCGTTTGCTGTCGAAGATGCACTGGAATAGGACGCTGCCCCGGTAGAACTTATCGTGTAGACTGCTCAAAGGATTGATATAGACCTTCCGTTTCACACCAAAGCTTTGCAGATAGGTCATGAGGACGTTCAAGCGGGCGATAATTGGGGGGACTCGCTCTGCATATTCGGTGCCTTCCATGATGGTCTGCAACTTCCGTTGAGTCTCTTTCAGATTGTCTGGGCAGCGCAGGTTAGCATGATCAATAATATGGGAGTGTTTCAGCGTACCTCGGAAATCAAAGCGAGCGAGATCGTCCAGCGACGTCGAGGCAACACCGATCGTAGGAGACCGAAGTTCACTTCGGATTTTGTGCATCGTCCATTTGCCAACATTCAGCTTGCTGATGACTTCCTTCACCAACGGAATCTGAGGAGGTGTAATGCGACAGAATTCCATGATCAACTGAAGGAGATCAGAATGGTTGACCAGGAAGCACATTGATGCCGATCGAAGAGGCGGGAACTCATCGATGATCTCGTCGAGCACTTTGATCACCTCCGCTTCCTTGAGGGCTAAGTCGAGGGTGTTGTAAGAGACGATATCAAAGTCCACCTCACGGTGAGTGCGAGGCTCGCTACCATGCGTGGACTCCCTGTAGACCGTTCCAAAGGCAAACGTCTTCTCCAAGGAAGGATCTTGTCGGGGAATTGCGCGAGCGTTCGGGACTGTCAGATCAAAAGGCAACTGAAGAAGATTGCCCGATGCATCCAACAGACGAACGGCGCCGCCAGAATAATGCTGGGACCGTGGGAAAAGCATCTGTCTGGCCGACTCCACCGCACCGTGTCTCCGGAATATGGAGATCAGTTTCTCTCTGACGAGACCCTGGATGAGCAACTCATTCGCCGCGGGCACTCCGTGTGAGTCCATGTCCCAGGCAATATCCTCGAACTTCTTCGGCGATTGGGAGAATATCGCTGCGAGAATTTTCTTGTAGTCCGGCGAATTCGGGTCTGAAAGGAGGTGCACGATAGCACGTCTGAAAGTCTCTTCCTCAACTTGGAGAGGGATTCGTCCACTGGAAAGCAGTTCAGAGGCAGTAGGTCGCTCGCTGGGAATGTGGCTGAGAAGAGACGCAATGATCTGTCCTTGAACGACTTTTTCAGACTGCTGGAAAGTAGACGGAAGTATGTGGTTCGGTTCTCTGATCGCCCGAAGCGTTTGATCGCGCTCCATACTCGTTGGCAACGGGTGGCACATCTCGAAAAATATAACACCGAGGGAAAACATCTATACTCTATCAGTATTCAAGCTGAACCTAGATATTGGCAGGCTATACTCACATCGACCTTCTCATTATAGTGACCCGAGAATCCGGATTTCATCTCGGGGGCAACATAGTACGTTGTCCCCAGACTGCGTGTGAAGTTCCCTTCAAAATCCGCCGCCGCCGATGAACGTACAGCTGTCGTAAACTGGCCACTGGTGGCAAGGCCAAAATCACCGATGCGAGGGTTGTTGGCAACGTCAATGAAAATATTATCTGGTTTCAAGTCTCGATGTATAATACCGTGGCTATGAATGTGGCTCAGACCATCGAGAATCTGGCGAAACAGGCGCCAGGATCGATCAACATCATCGTGCAAGCCATTCTTGATTAAATCTCGCAGTGTCTGTGAATAAAATTAGCATCAAGAAACGAACAATACAATTTTTCCAGAACCCACGTGTTTCTCGCAATACTCCATCTGGATATACAGTGTAGTCAGAACGGGTCTAACATATGAGCTAGATCTCGCCTGACCGTATTCGGCATCTTCTACGCTGCCTGTTCCCCAGTCTTCGGGGGTGTCTCGGGTACCACGATCGGATAGCGTTCCCTCACTTTCATCATCACTATCTGAGGCGGCGAATTCGATTTTCGGATACCCACTGGAGCTGATGAAGTCTAGCCCGCCAGTGCTGAATCCACGATGATCTCGGCTGGCAAAGGGGTCACCTTCAGTTGACGAGATAGCCTCTGACTCGACGTGGTTGAAGTCCTCCTCGAGCCAGGCTGTATAGTACCGTACGACATAGGGATGGTTCAGCCGTGACAGCAGCATGATCTCGGAGAGTGTATCCTTCAGTGCCGCAGCAGATGTCTGAGAAATCTTCTTGACGGCATAGAAACGCCCATCCAGCTTGTTCCTAGCTTTAACGACCTGGCCAAAGCCACCACGGCCCAAGTGGCCGGCCTCGTCAAAGTCCTGATGGTAACGAGAAAGGGCCGATACTGCACCAAACGAGTCCAATCGTGGGCGTCTCTGCAACGACACGGAGTTTGAAGACCGGTTACGCATTGTCAAAGGCGCATCCACGCGGAAGAACTCCGAAGGCTGCAGTTGGAAGGCCGTTGGGCGCTTTCTCGGGTCTGGTCGAAAGAATTCGCGAAGTAAATCTTGGAGTGGAGGAGAGAGTCCCAAGGACACCATCAATTGGTTGGCTGACGTGTATCTCAGAAGGACATCTTTTCCAAAGGCCATCTGAAGCAACACAATACCAAGATCCCAAACATCCGTCTTCATGGTTGGAGCACTTTCCTGCGTTAGCTCTGGGGGAAGCCACAATGGGGATTTGGACGTAGTTAGAGAACGTTTTCCACTTGGAGAATCGGGCAGGGCCTCCTCCACGTTGGATTGGAGTTTGACAATGGTACCCCCAGATACCGTCCTGTAAAGCATAATTCGTCCACTATGAATATTTCCATGGACAAATCCATTGCGATGGTAGAACTCCAATGCCTCGAGAAGCTGAATCATCCAACCACGAAGGGTTTCAACAGCAACGGTGCCCACAATATCGAGCAGCTCGGAAAGCGAGCCCTTGTTGGCAAACTCCAGCAGCGCACGAACTTTCCCAGAGTTCTCGGGTGAGTCCATAGGAATTCTGGGCGGAATGATAGTGAATCCCACAAATTCCACCAAGTTGGGATGCCGAAGCCGCCTCAAACTCTCCAGTTTATCTTCACTGGTTCGCATTTGCTCCCTGAATGTCAAAGTGTCCGAGCCACTTTCATTGAGACAGATCTCTTTCAGAATAAGGAGTGGAACGTGACATCGGTCTTTAGACACGACAGGCCTCACAGTAAACGTGGTCTTGCCCGGCTTGCGTTGCAAAAGAGATTTTCCGTAAACAGCACGGAATACCAAGGGCTGTTCATCAGTATCATTGACCGTAACCGGGGGGTCAAATGTCATGACTTCTGAAGTATTCTCCACGAGATCACCCGCGTCATTGAAATCAAAATCGGCGGCTCGACTCTTGCGCCTCGACTGAGCCTTGTTGCGTCGCCGCTTGTCCTGGAGCATCTCCTGCAGCTCACGCTCTTCCTTCGCATATGCAACTTCCTGTTTTCGTAGTTCTTCTTGCTTCTCAAGCTCCGCCCGCTGGATAGCAGCAGCTTTCTGCTCCATCCGTTCTTCTTCGAGGCTAGGAAGATCTTTATCCTGTTCCCGAGCTTGGGCAACATCCTCCAGAACATCCTGGATAGAGACCGCTAGCTCATAAATCATTTCGCTTCCCAGTAGTGTCTTGGGTTTCGTGCGGAGGATTTCCCGAATGCGGGAGCGGGCCCCATCGCGAAATTCGTCGAGATTTTCCAGAGATATATTGGGAACCGTTTTGGGATACGTTGCGGGCAGTTCGATGAGTAGTACAAGGCAAACATCGGGGTTCGAGGAAGCTCGGAGGTGGAGCTTGAAGGTCACGTCGGATGTTTGCTAATGTGCCCAAGTTAGTCACGAGCGACTAGAGAAGGCTTCTCTACACACCTGCCATGCCGAACGGCGCAGCTGCACTTCTTCATAGTCATCGCCATAGATTGATTGCAGAGCTTCCGCCTCTGTTTGGTGGATTTCACGATAATTGGTTGTAGCTATGGCGGGGGATGTCAAGGAAGATTCGGTGGAGGAGGTTTGCTTTTTCTCGCGGGAATGCCGTTTCCTCTGTTTGGGAGACATCGCGGGGCGTGGCGCGAAATCGCCCTACATCCGGATATTGTTGCACGACATGGGGAGCAGGATACGGGAATGATTGAGTCAATTGGGAAAGAAGAGGAATGCGGGCACGACATTCGAATAAAACAGGCGGTCAGATACGGGCTTATCGATAGCGGAGTCGCGCAGCTCCATGCGCCATCCCGGATTGGCCATTCCTCTATTTCCATACTGACTCATGTCTACAATCGATTCTTTAGGTTCAATTACGGTCGTTTTCGTTGGGTCTCTTCGTGAGAAGCTCAGTAATTCCAAGAAAAAAAAATTTTGTCTGTACATGATGCGCTTCAGCCCAAGTGTGGGGGTATGCTGAGTTGTCCCGCTATTAAGTACTGCAGTAGTCCGTTGCCAACAGATCAAACTCCAATTTTTTCCAGAGGAACAAGGCAATCCTCTCAGGTGCGGTCCGCGCCGAGGATCAAGCTCCCAGTCACCGCGATCAGTGGTGCATACCCCCAGTGGGCCCACTGGCCTTGGCCATGAGTCCAGCACACCGCACCGTCGGCGAAGGCCACGGCGCTGTTGAGAATCAAGGTCCAGCCCAAAGCCTGACGGGACCCATAATAGGCAGTTGCGTAGATGACCAGGCCCATGAAGATGTCCCGAATGCCGTAGATCGCCATCAGGCTGTCGACCATGCGGTGAAGTGCTGCATCGGCGGGCGGCTCCCACTCGAAAAAGGTGAGGCCATGATCGGGGCGTACAATGGCGTTGATTCCGAAGCCGATGGAAATAGTTGCAATTGCAGTTGCGAAAAGGTTGAGAACGGATGATTTTGAGAAGGACATGTTTGGTCAAAGGGAGGTAGATAGAGGGTGAAGCGTGCAGAGTGGGGATAGTGTTGAACCTGAGGAAAGTATTTAAGAACGAGACACATGCAGCCGGACACGAGCTTTTGAAGAGTCACTTCGTTCCGGCTGCGTGGGGGCTGTTTTTGATTTTTGACACACCCATGAACTCCTGGGCGTCAGCTTGACCGTGCCAGTGTTAGAGCTGAGGTAACGGTGTGTTTGATGTCATTCCTATTGTTTTTTTTCTTTTAGTTATAATCAAGTACCGAGGTATACCTCCGGCGTTTGGCTGAGTCCTTCCCGAGTCGCCCAGCCGTTAGCGCCCGGGCGACTTGGAACCTTGAATTGCTGCACGACATCCATGATAACTCGGACAGAAAGAAGTAACCTTAGGATGAAATTGATTTCCAAAGTAAATAAACTCTCGGTTGGTACAAAAGGTCTTCGGTAAGACTCTCTTCTCCATTCATGACCTTAAAAGGTGTAATCTCAAACCATTTGACCAGTCCTGCTATATCTTGCTAGCATTCTCAATCGACCCAGAAGTCCTTTCCTCCGTATTGATTCCCAATCAGGGCTTTTCCATCTTTTCCGACTTCGATTCCATCGTACACATGCGATCTCTTCGTAGCTGTTCCCTTCCAGTTGCTGCTAAATGCATCACCGACTTGTGCCTTGCCTTGAATCTTTATATTCGAATATCGGTGACTCAGGGCTTCTGCCGTAGCTTTTTGAAGCAAAGAATCCACGCCTTGAGCGGCACTTTGAATTGACAGAAGTGCATGTTCGCCGCCGATGTCCATCGTTTCATCTTGCGCTGCCCGTTGGCCTTGGGATGCAGGGAAAAGCGATTCCAGGTTACCGACGAGGGAGGTGACGCCTTGTATGAGGTCCGCAAATTCAGACCGGTCATAGAGAGCCCAGGACGTGGTCTTCAAGTCGCTAGTACCGTTCTTTTGGCGCCTGATTGCTAGCGCTCTCATCTTGTTGCTGAGCTCGGCAACAAAAGAATTCAGATCGGCGCGCCCCAGTACAGTGATGTTTTTCTTAGGCTCGATTTCTGCACGGTGATTCTCTGATATCTCTTTTGTATTTGCGAAAAGGACCAGGACCTGGTGCAAAATGTCACATGCTAATTGAACCTCTTCGGGGCTCGCATCCGGTCTACCCAATCTCGGATCGTCGTATATATTGACAGCTTGGCCCCAACGTGTAAGACGGAGTCTGGTGCATTCGAGAGTGAGATAATCGGTCTGAAAATTCCGTTTGAAATGACGACCAAATTTGACATATTCAAAGCAGTCAACGCATGCAGTGAAGGCGGTAGCAATACTGATAGCGCCAGCGATAACTCCAATCGGCTCTACCATATTGAGAATGATATGGGGAATCACGGACCGGGAAGAAGACCGTATTGTATTGTTCAGATCAGAGAGGACACGCCTGGATGGTTCCTGTGACCTGCAGTTGCGGTTGATTTGGGGTTCATGTAAGAGTACGCAGCCCTGGAGGAATCTTGAAACTATATCTCTTCATAAGGCTTATATAGGCAAAGCTAATTAGTTATGGTGCGTTATCAACAATAATAGAGGGCCAATTATAATTTCCTATTAGACGCCAAGCCGGGTGATAGTGTATTGCTATTTATTCCTCTGAAACGTGCGATCGGCATAAAGCTAATGTTAGCCGCGTACCCCTGTTGATGCTGCAACCTGGCCGAACAGAATTAGAATGATCACCGTGCCGAGCGCATTTTGCTCCAAACAAAATTGCTAAGGCAACGAAACAGGCGGTCGTCTGAAAATGTACGGCTGAATTCTCTGAACTCCGAAAGTTGGACCTAGTTCCGATACATTGAGGACCGCGAACATAAGTGCCTCTACGTACCAGATGAATTCCGCGAGCCAAGAGTTATATATCTTTCCCAGCTACCATTCCCTTAGCGACAACATTGATAAGGAACAGCGCCAGTGACACGCCACGTTTGTTGAAGGAGCGACACATCCCAAGTTCACTCGATCGCCCCCGCTCAAGGGAAGCAAACGGCCAGATGGCGCGTAGCTACGATAACATACACATATATGGCAAGGCCCATCTCGGGGACTCGTACTATCTTGGTGAGCTTAACCGAGACCGGATCCGAGGCGCAATGCTAAGTGTAATATAGGACAAAGTGCTCGATTAGCCGACCTCGTGCCTTGCGCCGTGCACGCGCAATTTAATGCATCCGGGAAAGACCACGATCCACACTGCCTTCAAGGAACTCGAATTGACATCCTGGACTGTATCAGAAAGTGGATAAACGGAAAGGATGATAAACACATATTCTGGCTGAGCGGATTAGCTGGCACCGGGAAATCTACCATCGCGCGAACAATTGCTCGAGAAATTTATGAGAACCCAAAGGAATGCTGGATGGCAAGCTTCTTTTTCAATAGGGGGAGTTGGGATACTGGTCACGCCAGAAAATTTGTTGGTACGATTGCTACACAACTGGCCAACAAAAATATGCCATATCGAGAACTTCTCCAAAAGGCCGTTTCGGAGGACCAAGGCATCTTCGACCGGGTCATGATAGATCAGTGGAAAGAGGTCATAGTATCACCGTTGTCTCTCCTGAAGGACGAATCAAGCCAACCTCAACTTATCATCGTGATCGATGCTTTGAATGAGTGTGACAAGAGCGAAGATATTATTCAAATACTTCAGCTTTTAGTTGCATCCCGCGAGCTGGGCCAATTTAGACCCCGCATATTAATAACGAGCACACCGGAAATTTTTATTCAAGAGTCCATGTTGAAATTCACAGGCACCGCATATCGGTGTATCTCCCTCCAAGATGAGCCGGGTGATGTTGTCGACCATGACATTCTGCTTTTCATGGAAACTGAGCTCTCAAAGGTCAAATCGCTGAGACTGCATAAACAGCAAGTTTATCAGCTGGCAAAGAAAGCTGCAGGGCTGTTCATTTGGGCCAACATTGCCTGCCGCTTTATCTCTGGCGGGAAAGGTATTTTTAGGGAGAAAAGACTAACTGCTATCTTCGAAGAAAGAAGTCCCGGTAGTCAAACAGGGATGCACCCAGAAAAGCACCTCGACGAATTATATCTGACTGTTCTTCGCAAGGCCATTCAGAAGTATGCGGATGATGGTTGGCAGGAGTTGTGTTACCTGCTACGGCAAGTACTCGGGAGCATAGTTGTTTTGCTTGCTCCTCTCTCTCTGCATTCCCTTCTCGGCCTATTGAGCGATCTGGGAGATGTCGATATCATTCACGAGCATCTCGAAGATCTATGCTCTATCTTGGATATTTCAAAAGACAAAACACATCCACTGCGTCTGCATCATCCCTCATTTTGCGACTTTCTCCTGAACAAAGAGAGGTGTCAAGACGAAAACTTTTGGATAAACGAGCAGGACATGCACCGTGCAATGATGAAGCGCTGCGTTGATCTGATGTCTGAACTGCTTGAGAAACACATATGTGATGCAAAGCTCCCTGGAGTACACGTGAGCGGTATGGAAAAGGGTCAGAAAGAGCGATACCTGCCTCATGAGCTGCAATATTCTTGTCTATACTGGGTAGAGCATCTCCGGAGGAGCAATATCAAAGTTGAGGACAATGACGACATCAGCGACTTCTTGCAAGCCCACCTGCTACATTGGCTTGAAGCATTGAGCCTTATTGGAAGAGCACCAGAAAGTTTTCATATCATCAGGAACTTGCAGTCCCTGCTCAAGGTCGGTACCATCTCTCGTGGGGCACAAAAATGCACCTAGATATCGAGGCTAACTAGATCTAGACCGACAGAAGTGAGATTATAGCTACGCTCCTGACGGATGCTATATGTCTGTTCTCAGCAAAGCTTTCGACGATTCAATATATGCCTCTCCAGATATACACCTCAGTGCTTACTTTTGCACCACGGAATAGTATCATGCGACAGAAATTCGGGATTCCGCAGTGGTTGTCCTTTCCTCAAACTACAGAGATCCTGTGGAATTCGGGTTTAGAGACCCTTCAGAACCATTATCAAGATTTTAACTTGATCAATTTGATCACTATCCCCCACCTGCGGCTGATCGCATCTGCCTCATATGATACAATTTGGATCTGGTTTACAGAGACATGGGAATACATGCAGAAAACTGAGCTTGATTCATTTCGCCCACAACTGGGATTTAACCCGGAGGGCACGAAGCTTCCGACTGGCCGAGGAGCTATCACCATTGTGGCACGACCTATTTTGAAGCTGAAATGAAATCTGCACATGTTTCCAACGTGTTCATTTCTCAAACTCCCTCAAGAACCGATCAACACAATCGACATGGCTACGGTATCAGTCGAGATTCTTACTTGAATTCTTGACGTCGCTTCAACTATACGTTGGTATTCATATGATTGTGCCAGACGTCGTAGGTGATTTTGGAATGTCTGCATTGTTGCCTTACTTAGGTATCAAGGAACTGATAACCCCTCTGGCCGGCCCCGTCAGGAACTGACCCCAATTATCATTTCTACAATCAATGATGATATGCCACCTAGAGATATCGCAGTAGATTTGATCATCAGATGTTCATTAGAGGATTCGTTAGGTACCGCACGATTACTACTACGGTCACACAATCCCTACTCTTTCTTAGAGAGCCAGAGGGCTACTATCCTACGTCCTATACCTTCGGTCTTAAGTAAGGGTTCAGAAGATTCGGCGGGTTCGCGTAGAGAAAAGATCGTTTGTACAATATCAGTTCTAGTTCCGGTTAGTCCTATTCAGGCGTTACTGGGCTACCCTAGATAGGGAAGGTATTTGATCACTTATTAGCTGAAGATAGTTCCATGAGAACTGTTGGGGGCTAATGAATGAGACTCGGCTAGGAATTTTCCATGAGAGTCGTGGATGTGACGGGGGCGCGTAGCGCAGATGCACGTGCTCCAGGGCTGAGCCCAAGGAAGTAAGGCACCTGCAGCTTTTTACACGAGCTCAGGAGAATTTTTTCGTCTCTTGACCTTGAACTGATGACCTGCCGGAGTCAGCTTACCTCGACGTGGGAATCTCGTGATACTCGTGTTCGCTATCGATAAGCGTGCTTTTCCCCTTCCGCGCGTTGTAAACAAACCTTCTTCACCTCTTCTCGGCCACTATGCTGGACTGGATGAAAGGGAATGAGGGCGATGCTGCAGGTAGGTTTTATTTTTCACGCTCGATGCTCACTGACACTGACGTTCCTTCTCCCTTATCTAGACACCTCCAAGGTGCTGGAGCCGCCCGAGACTCCAGCTCCCGTGTTTGCGATACGCGCCTTCAAAAGCGCCCTGTTTGGCACACCTGGCGCAGAAGAGGAGGATAAGCACGTCCCACAAACAAAGCCGTCTGGTCATCAACGCAGCAAAAGCGACACGACCAATCCCATCCACGTCCAGAAGGAAGATCCGAAACTAGAACACGACGCGACCTTTAACCCTTCGGGCTCCCCGACCAAGAGCATCCTCGTCACACCTGGCACAATCGCCAACCGACGGAAGACTGTTTCCTTCGGCGAGGGTGTTGTTGACAATGAAGGGAAACGCGATGCTCGAATCACCAAAACGCCTCCGAATCCTGCGGGTAATATCACCACGCAATGGATGTCCGGGTCGGCCGATGGCAAGCCGCGAAGCAAACTCACTCAGACCCTGATCGATGCGCGTGACAATGCGTCGAAAAATGCCGAATCGTCGACCAATTCTACGCCAGACTCCGCTTCTGACGCGAAGCCTGTCACGCGATCCCTATCCAAAGATGAAGCAACCACTGAAGACATCACGCTCAACTTGGACGAGCCGCGTTCGGAGTCTGGGAAATATTGGAAGACGGAGTTCGACAATTATCGAGTGCGGACTAACCGGGAGATCAAGAAACTGATTCACTATCGGTCAGTCGCCAAGTCTTACGCTCGGAAGAAGGATTCGGAGTCTCTACGGCTGGCAGACAAATTGCGCGAAGAAGAAGAGAAGGTGGTGGAGATGGAACGCCAGGTTTCACGGCTTGCCTCTGCGATTGTCGGGGAGGGATCCCAGGCCGGAAAGGATGGATTAATACAAGATCTGACCAAGCAGACTACCTTGGCGCTTCAATACAAGCAGCAGGTCACTTCTCTGCGCAAGTCACTCGAACAGCAAGGTGTTGTCAAAGGTGATGCGGTCCAGGCCCTTGAGCCGACGAAGGAAGAGCAACCTTCAGCGAACTCGTCGGAGCTTCGCAAAGTTCAGCAGGAGCTGAAGCAAGCAAACGCCCAAATTGAGGAGATGAAGCGCCAGAACCCAGACCTCAGCACACTCCAGAGCCTCGCGCAAAGCTCAGAAAAGAAAGCGCAGGATCTCGAAAAGGAAAACAAGTCCCTCAAGCAAACCCTGGCACGCGTCAAACAAGAAATGTCACGATACGAAGGCCGGCGCAAAGAAAAGGAAACGAAACTCAAGCAGAGAGAGGCCAAATTGGAAGCACGAATCCAGGAGTACCGAGATCGTTTGAAGACGACTTCTCAAGAACACCGTGCGTCAGAAGAAGCTCTACGGGCAAACTTCGAGGAAGAGCGTCGCCGAATGCAAAACCAGATCGACCTTCTGAAAGTACGATCTGCCGGCACAGACCGTGGCCCGACTCTGCGTTCCCTGCAACGCCATTCCTTCAGCCCGCGCAAAGAGTACTCAGGTGTGCATGTGTATGACTTTGCAGGCAATGACCACCCAGAAATTGAAGAAGAGGCTACCGAGGACCTCGAAGCACCCCCAAGCCCAAGCCCTCGCTCCAAAGCACGACACACTCGCAATGTGACAACAGGAGCCCTCGACCTTAAACGGGCAGCTCGCGGCGTCGCCGCCGATGACGACGAGGTCACACATTACCTGAATCAGATCCTCCCCAAGCAACACAACGCTATCAACCAAGAACGGGACGGGATCCCACCCTCGTCGCCACCTGATATCGCGCCTCTCAAATCCCTCAACCGCGCCCACACAAAATACCAGTCCACTCGAGACGGCCAGCGCACATATCGTTCTTTATACTTGCGTGATCCGGACAATGCAGACACAGGACACGCGCACACTCAACGCCCAAGAGCCCACATCAAATCCACCTTGGACTCGATATCAGGGCTTCCCGCCTCGCGGGCCAACTACGCAGGATACACAATTTCAGCGGGCGAGCTTGGTACGCGACGTGGACTAGCGGATATGAGAGGTGAACTTCTCTCGCCGGAAAGGGTGGCTGCGGCTAAGTCGAGGCTTAAGCAGAAGCATGATAGTCGGAAGGGAACGGCGCTGGCTGGGAAGGAGAATTTCTGAAGAAATGGCTGATCTTTTCGTCGTTACTTGGCGCTCCATGGATTTGAGGGGGTTTGGTCTCGTTCTAAGCGTTTGCGCTGTCTAGATAATCAGAATACCGGTGTTATGCATGTGGAAAATCGCATTACTGGAGAACAACACTAGTTTCCATTCGACAATCGTGTTTTACAGAGCTTTCGCTATGGAAATTATTCATCGGTCGATCTGGGAAATATCTTGCAGAGTGAATGAATGAATGTATTTCCGACATTTCCCTCCATCCATGGATCTATTCCAGAATGGCCCACATAGAACTGGGTCTTTGATCTATGGTGTTTGATCTATAAACCCATTGGAACCGACAAAATCCGAGACGCAACCGGGCGTTAAATACTTGAAGCCTCCTTTAAAATTCATACCTTGTATCATCACCTCCAAGGCTATTTCAATCTTAAGCCTTACCATCCGAGAACGACACCACAGCCCATTTTCCGCTCCAGGCCCACTTGCGAGCCTCGTTGCCGCCTCCATCAGGAAGCTGGCGGAGTTTCTCATCCTCGCCGGCGGGAAGACCAACAACGACGTCAGCCTTGCAGGTACGGAAAGCCAGAACACGGATACCGGACTTGGGGCCCATTGGGCCGATGGCGGTTGTAAAGGGGGTGGTTGGGTCCCATTGGGCCTGTATGACAATTAGAAATTGAGCTATATTGATGGGGTATCTTATTGGAGGAGCTTACATCGTTGGTCAACTTGCGGTAGTTCAAATCACCCTTGAACAGCACAAGCTCGCTCTCCTTCAGATCCTCGAACAGCTCCGGCGCAACGTGAGGCATGCGCCAGTAGCAGCCCTGGGTAGTCCAGAACGAGTGGGGGCGCAAGATCAGCTTGCCATCCTGGTGGAATTCGCTCCACTGTTTGAAAAGGAACTGGACGTCGGCGACTTCCTTGTCCGAGAGCGGGGGGTGGGTCTTTCCAGACTCATCTGATGCAGTGTAGAATGCTTGGGGGTCGACCATCGAGTTGAGGAGATCGGAGAAATCCTTGGGTGTGACGTCGGACACAAACCACGGAAGGCGCTTGGGGTGGAGGACAATGCTGGTGGCCAGGCCGGAGGACAGAAGATATCCAGCGAGGATCAAATCGACGAACAGCTCGAAGCCGGAGTTGTCCAGGACGATATCGACGCGACGCTCGCCATCCTTCTTCTCGCGGCGGGCCTTTTGCATGGTCTCGAAAGCGGCACCGAGATCGTTGACGATAATGTTGCTTTGCGAGTCCTTGCGTGCTTGTGAGCCCTGTAGTTTCTGGATATCCTCGTAGGTGAGAGAGGTGAGAAGCGACAGATCAGTAGCATTGCCCCAGAGGCAAATTTCACACATCTCGGAGAAGAGAAGACGTTCGGCCTGCTCAACTTCCTCTGCCGATTTGCCCTCTGATTGCTTGCCAGACGCTGCGTCTTGCGCCAGCTCGCGGTACCGCGCAGCGAGCTCCAGCACGGCTGGGCGCGAAGACTTGAAAGTGGATAATTTCTGGCGACCAAACACATCATATCCCTTCCAGTGTTTCGAGAGCGCGAAGAAGGTTTCCATGCGGCGGTCTATAGATCATCGTAAAGTCAGCTCTGGTGGTCATGTGCATAGTTAATTTCGTGGTGACGGGCATACAGAGGTAGCACTCGGCGTAAAGCCAGGCAACATTGTGCCAGGATGGATTGCCACGCTGTTCAAGTTCCTTGTTGTACGACGCAATATCCGACTCGCCATCGTCATCGAGGGGACTGTTAAGGAGTTCAGATTAAAATCTTTTCTGGTAAAGGATATAATGTGAAAGGAAGGCGGCTTGTCTTTCCCAAGGTCGAGAGCCGAACAGCTTCTTCGTCGCTCGGGAGGCATGGTGACTTACGTCAGTTGTCGGTCGTGTTGAAGCTCATACTTCAATGTGGTGAACTTCGCGATGATGCTCTTGCCTTCCTTTGCCTTGTCATCATCCGTCACATCTCCCACAGTCCGGTGCAGATCATCAATGGCACCAGTCTATCCAAGTCAGCGATTAAGTTGCGTCATATCTCATATCCAAAAGCACCTACGACGATGACGGGCCATCGTTTATGGGCCGAGACGGAGGCGAAGCTCGACGCGTCCGAGGTGAAGAACTGGGCTGACGGGAATCAGTACTCAGCGAGCGACAGATACAACTAGTGACATACGGGTCTTCGGGTCGAATTCCATCTTGTGTTTCTGACGTTGGTGGAAGTTGGGAAAAACCAGCAGAAAACAGGAGGGGAAGCGCGGGGCAGAAGGCGGTGAGCGCGGAGCTACTATGGAATTCGGATGCTCATAAATACAGTAGTAGATTCTCTCTAAATCTTTTGAAATCAACGCCCGCTACATGTCTTTAACTCATCACATCATCGAGAGAACCGAGTTCTGCGCATATGCCTGGGATGATTGTTAACTTGAGTCATGCTTAGTTTGGAGAGATATCACTCACCATCGGCTTGATATCGGGGTGCGGGACAGCGTCAAACACCTCGTACTCGAGCTTCAGCTCGGGTCCAAGGTTGATATAGGCACCCTTGTTCTCAGTTGAGTCACAGTACTTGGGCGCGGAGAAGACGGTGATACAACGGCCATCGTGTTCGACCTCATATCCTTCCATGCGCACCTCGTGGGATCGGATAATAGCCTCCAGACCGTTGTTCTCGCAGAATCTCTTAGTGATGTCCGGTCCGAATTGCAAGCCGACGCCACGCTTGCTGGGTCCTCGGCCATTCTGGGGTTGCGGGTCGGTCCAGAGCATCTCCATCATCAGACCTTGCTGACCCGGTTGCCGCTGGCTGTGGCGGTTGAGTTTCCGGATATCGTCCAATGTGATCTTATCGTCGGAGAAGAGACCACCGTGCAGGACGAGGTACTTCTCACCAATCAAGGTAGCCAGGGGTAGGGCGGAGAAGGACTCGGAGAAGACCTTGAAGACACGCTCATTATACTTGGCCTTGCATTCACCCTCAAATCCGTAGACCTTGTTCATATCGTCGGTCTCGTGGTTACCACGGTTGAGGAACAGACCGTTGGGCCGGAGCCACTTGTATGCATATAGAAGAAGGGCAATTTCACAAGACCACGAGCCACGATCCACGAAGTCACCGTTAAAGAGGTAGGCGTGGGTGTCGGAGGGGCTGCCGTTACGACGGAAAATCTCCAGCAGATCGAAGAATTGGCCTGTTCTCGTTAATCTCTTAAACTTTTTCCGTCATCCAAGATCAAACATACCGTGCGTGTCACCACAGACCGTCAACTTCTTGCCAGACTCCACGCCAACCTCCACCATGGTTGGCTCATTGTAGACCAAATCCTTGACGGCCTTGATAATCTGGAAGACATACTTGCGGTGAATCTTCTTGCCGTTCTTAAAGCGTTCAATCATGTCGTCGATAAACTCCTGCGACATCTCGGTCTCCAGACGCACACCGTCATAATCATCCTCAACCTTCATAGAATCGATATCGAGACCCTCGAAGGCCGACGGCGGATCCGAAACCTCGATAGCTTTCTCAAATTCTATCCGGCGCACAAGCTTCTCACATTCGGCCAATTTTACCCGCGCATTTTGGTTGCCGGGTTCGCGCTTGACAACGGCTTTAAAATCCCTCAGGGCCGCCTTGGGATCGAGGATGGCGGCGTTTGCCTGGGCACGTCTCCAGTATGCCTAGAATAAGTCGAAAGTCAGCACAGACCCTCTGCCTGCATGCGCCGTCTTACCGCACTTCCTTGTCCGCGGGTGTATTTCACAATAGTGACTAACCTTGACGTAGTTCGGGTCCAATTCCAACGCCTTGGTGGCGTCAGCGACGGCGTACCCAAAAGCCTCGAGTTTGATTTGGGCCTGAGAAAAGAGAAAGTAAGCATTAGCAAAACTGATACAGTGTAGATTTGTGGCCATGTCGGACGCCATGTCAGACGTACCTGGGCCCGGTTACAAAAGAACGACGGTTCTTGGTCGTATTTCTCAATCGCCTGGTTATAGAAGTCTACAGCGGTAGGCCAATCATGGTTCGCAAAGGCCTTGTTGCCCTGCAGTTTGAGGGCGTTGGCCGCCTCCTTGTCGGAAGCCATGGGGCGATACGGGCGGAGGGGCACGAGACAGCGACGATCGGAGGGTTTTGAGGGTGCGAGATGATGACAGTCGAGGAGAATCTACTGAGCGGGGGCAGACAACGACGTTGCCAATGGTCCGATGGGAAACGGGCGTGGAAGTGACGAGATATTGGAGAGTGAAAAGAAACCAGGGCCGAAACAAGGCCGTTCCTGGAGATATTCTTTTTTCTCCGATCGCAACGGGGCTTGGCAACCTTCCAGAACCCTCGACGGCTGCCCGCCTCCTCTTCTTCCACCACCTCACTCCACAATGTCCTTCTACGCCCCTCCAAACCAGCAGCGCACTTTGCGCGCCTGCATGGTCTGCTCCGTGGTCCAGCTTCATAATGTGAGAACTCCTTTTCCTCGCTGATACTGGCATCGCTAGATCGGCATTGATCGCTGACCGCTGACCTGCTCTCTGCTCCAGAAATTCATGCGTGACGGCTGTCCGAACTGCGAAAACATCCTCCAGCTCCGTGGGAATAACGATGCTATTCAAGAATGCACCTCGCAGGTCTTCGAGGGCTTGATCGCCGTCCGTGACCCGGCCGCCAGCTGGGTTGCGCGGTGGCAGCGGTTGGACAACTACGTTGCTGGGACATATGCTGCCAAGGTGACGGGAACAGTAAGTTTCAGTCTGGTCTTTTCTACTAGAGATTAGGCTGACGTTTTATTTTCACTACAGCTCCCGGAATACATCATCAGTAGTTTGGAGGACTCTGGTGTCAAATACGTCCCGTAAGTGCTACCTGTCATACTAGCTGGGCTGCTTATCGGTTCCCTTTATTCCGATGCTAATGGGTTCTTTCGATAGGCGAGACGGCAGTACCGGCGAGGAGGAGTCATAAGGCGATTACTCTCGATTCCCACCCGATTCCCCCACCTCACCCACCCTTCTACAACCACCATTGTTCATACGGTCTTGGCGGATACCCTTGCAACATCATACGGCCAAACTGGAGCATCTAAGAAGGGATGATACAATACTTTGTTGTTCTTTTAGGAGTTATAGGCCGGAAGCATGGCGCTACTTTTCATTCTCGAGCATTCGGCTACGGGTCCAATATAGCAGAGGTTTAGACTGCTACTGCGGAGTTCAAAATACAAAAGATGTGGACTTTGATCACAATGTGTGAAATCATTCAATTGCAGTGACATGGAAGTATATATGAATGTACATGGCCTATTTTTGGTGGCATCACTCGTGGCAAGTATATAGGTAAAAGAAATCCCGAAAAGAGGGTAAAAACATGGAATCCGCTTATTAAATCAAATAGCAAAAGGCCAGACAAATCGTTGATTCTGGATTTAGAGGAGCTTGATGATCTTCTCAATGCTCTCCAGAAGGATATCAGCGTGGTGCTTCTGGAAGACAAGCATGGGGCGCAGGCGGACGGCAGCAGCGCCGCTGCCACCGATGTTGACGCCGACGCTCTTGGCCTTGGCGAGGAACTGGTCGCGGTGGGGGGTGTCCCAGGCAATGAAGGTACCCTGGCCCTTACCACGCAGGTTCTGGAAGTGGTCGGGGTACTTCTGAGCCAGGCGCTCGAGGCCGCTGTACAGGTATTCACCGGTGATGCGAGTGTGCTCAACGAGACCCAGGCGCTCGACCTCCTCGATAATGCCACGGTAGATCAGAGCGCGGGCAGGGTCACCCATCCAGGTGTTGAACTGGCGGTAGGGCTTGTTGGGGCGCAGGGCGGGGTTGCCGAAGTAGTAACCGGCAGTCTGGGCCTTCTTGGAGAAGGTGACCATGTCAGGGGGGGTCTGGAGGTTCCAGTGGTCGTGGGCCCAGAACTTGCCGGTGGCACCGATACCGGTCTGCACCTCATCAACGATGAAGAGGACGTTGGTGCGCTTGGTGATCTCGCGCAGGCCCTGGAAGAAGGCGGGCGAGGCGTGGTTGTCACCGCCCTCGGACTGGATGGGCTCAACCATGACGGCCGCGACGGGGTTGTGGAACTCCTTGATGAGGCGCTCAACCTCCTCGAGACAGCGCTTCTCCTCAGCGGCGTTCTCCTGGACGTGGTCCTCCAGAGGGTACTTCAGGGAAGGGAAGCTGGCCTGGGGCCAATCAAAGGCAGGGATATCAATCTTGTGAATGGCCTTGCTGCGGGTGGTGGACAGAGAGCCGAAGAGACGGCCGTGGAAGGCAGACTTGAAGGAGAGGATAGAGAGCTGGGGAGAGCCGGGACCCTCGTTGTTCATGGTGGACTGCAGCTCCTCCTCGGTGAACTCAACCTCGGGACCACCACGCTGGAGCTGGCGGTAATACATGAAGGCGGCCTTGTAGGCAGTCTCGTTGGCATCAGAGCCAGCCATGGCGGTGAAGACCTGGTTCATGCCCTTGGGGGCAGCCTTGAGGACACCGGTCCGGAGAATGTTGGCCCAGTCAGCGGAAGGGAAGTTGCCCAGAGCCGGACGGTTGATTAGGGCATTGATCATCTCAGGAGACTGGGTGGCCTCCTTCAGGTGGGGGTTGTTGTACCCGACGGGGATGGAAGCAATCTGTGCATACACATCCAGCAGCTTGTTGCCATCGAGGTCGGCAATGTAGTTACCGACGGACTGGGAGTAGTCGGCGAGCATGTTCAAGCTGCGCACATCGAACACCTCATTGAGGTCATCGGCAGCCGCCTTGCTCTTGGGGCCGGGGATAGCCGTCTGAACGGAGGGAGCGGAAGGCTCATTGGGGAAGAAGGGCTTCTCGGCCGCACGCAGGCGGGTGGTGGTCGAGAGAGCACGAACAGCCGGGACACGAGCCGCAGCACGCAGCTTGGTGCTGCTGCGAAGGACGGAGGCCATTGTATGAACTTAGGATAACGTCAAGAGAAAAGTGAGGACAGTTGGAGTAGATGCGGGGAATGAACAGCGATGCCAAAAGAGCTATTCAATGCAACTATCCCAAGGTTCAGTTCAATGGAAATGACACGAGGGAGAAGAGTGAGAAGAAAGAGAAGAGTACCGCGGGGCAGGCGATTTATATCGGTGTCGTAACTTGTTATCTGCCATCGCGGTGAGCTCCCAGCTCTCGTCTCCCCGCGTTGATGCCATTGGATGTCGGCAGCGTGGACCAATAGAATTGCAGGGCTGCGAGCGAAAACGCCGAAGTAAAGGCAAACGGACGACGAATTGAGAAAGTCTACGCAGGTGGATTGCCATGCTACAATTCGATGTGGTAACGGCTGCACCCTACTCCGTCGGGCTCTCGCCGGGTTGCCCGGTTTAAATTGAAATGACTCACGTGGCGTGCAATGATCCCGACCCTGTGTGACTTCCCCAGCGTCGATCCCGATGGCTTATCGCCGCCGATCCGGATGTCTTGGCGCCTTTCTTATCGGCAATCACTGGCTTTTTTTTGCCAGCCTTTGAAGACTAGTAATCGATTAACTCTTCGGTCTCTTTGGTGGTGCTCTGGTTTCGTCTTGCCTGATCTTTGGCCTTCGGTTATTTCGATATACTAATTAAAACATGAAATTAGATGAACTTGCGCGCCCAAGTAGACTTGTTCCCAAATATATACTTCACGTCCGAACAGGGCGAAGCGATTTTACTTGCATTCAAAATGGGTTCATACATAAAACCAGAGCTTTAAATACCCAGCAAATGGTACAACATGCAACTGACACCCAGTAATTGTTATAACATGACTACCCAGGCACCCGAGCAGGGCCGTACCCACCCTAGCGAATATCGGGAAAAGTGAGGGCTAGTCGAAGACGGAACAGAAATATAAGACTAGTCTTCGTGTATCATACCTAGGCATGATACATACCCGAAGCATAAAAGCAGTTTCTAGAGTCAGGAACCCGATTATATCAAGGGCAGATGGTCTCAAGGCAAATCAATCCGTCGGGATGGCATTCCTAATAGGAGCACTACGGATCCACAAAAAAAACCCTATCGCTTGATATTGCGTCCCGCGAAATCGTCTTTCATCCAATTGGGCTTGTGGTTTAGTGGTATAATACTCCCTTAGCATGGGAGTGGTCCGGGGTTCGATTCCCCGCGAGTCCATTTTTTGCTCACTTGAACTATTCCCCTGCAGAGTGTAGACATAGGAATGACTTTTTGTGAGAGGCGGGATGAAAATTTTTTTTAATTTGTTTGCTTTGTTTGCTGCGCTACTAACGCTACTTAGAGCCAAATTATTTACAAAATCCTCAACAAGGTTCCATAACTCAGTTGGTTAGAGTGTGGTGCTAATAACGCCAAAGTCGAGGGTTCGACCCCCTCTGGAACCACGTTCTTTTTGAATTTCTTTTTTTTTTGGCATTGTCTTTTTCTTATTCCCTAGCTAGCACTTTGATTTCTTCTTATGGTGCAATCAACGTCAATTACTGAAAGGCAGCCATCGCTATACACCTGCAGCCCAAAGTACTTAATGACTCCTTAGATGGACAAGGTCACCGGCAATTCCAAATTGATCTCAGCTGAAGCAAAGTTCACTTAAAATCGCGCTAGAGCGATGTTCGCCGATCTTCACCACAAGATTACTGTAGTGGAAAGGCAAGATCGGGCCCAGATTCGATCTATCGAATCCTTTGGGAGGCTGAATCGCACTATAACAAAACCCCCAAAGTATCTCGGGCTGCCGCCGCAGATATTGGCAATTGGCCATTACAGTGGCTACTACAGTCAATTCAGTAGAAATTTCGAGGAAAATTTCAAAGTATCACATTGCTGTAGGTATCATACTCGTTAAGCCGTAAGAATGGCACTTTACCAACCCCAAACCGAAAACCAAAAAAGAAAGGGGATTACATCAGTGCTAACTTTTATACAAATATACTTCAAAGAACAAGAGCCACCTGGGCATCAGCGAGGGTGTCCATTCCCGAGAGGCCATTCGCTCTCGCGCGGTGTAGAAGCAGAAGACTTGGAACTCGCCGCAGAAGTGATGATCACGCCGTTATGCTTCAAGTCGATGGCACTCTCGGGAGAGACGGCGCGAAGGTTGTCGTGCGAGATATTGTAGGTATTGCCCATGTCGTTGTGGTGGGCGAGCCTGGACTCGGTCCAGGTTTCCATCTCAACAGTCCGCATGATCTCGAACCGGTCGCTTTCGTTGTCGCGTTGTCGGGAGTCGTTGGTAATGGGGTGATGGGAGTTCCGTGAGCGGCCGATTGATGACCAGAGCTTCTGGGAGCGACTTCGCTGGTTATAGTTGTAGCTGATGTTGCGTGTGGATTGGAGCAGGTGCGGCAGGAAAGCTGCGATCAGTGGGCGGAGGGCTGGTGCTGAAGAGCAGATCTGGGTTTTCTTGTTAGTCTCGTTGTTCGACTGGGTATTGATTCGGTCACATACCAAGCCCAGGCAAATCTCCACTGCAGCGGCGACCAGGACTGGCCATCCAACCCATGTAACGTCGTAGCTGGCAACCATACTCTTCCACACGAAAACGGTGCGCACAGAGCCTGCTACGTTGACAATGATACCCAAACCAAAGATGGAGATAACAGCGAGACGCTGGCGGGTAGGAAGCTTCAGACTCCAGATCAGAGGCATCGGGATTGCAGTGGCGATGAAATCGGTGAAGATGTTGATCACACTGGCCGAGAAGACAATGGCTGGGTCGTTCAAGCACTTGTAGTGGTACGTGGGCTCAATTTCCCAATAGGCTTTAATGGGTCTGCGCAAGTTATTAGTTCTTGGTTCAATATCAGTCATCATGATTCCACTCACGAGCATTGGAAGATACTGATCAGGGTGAACGTAATGCAAGAAAGTGCAACGAAGATCATCGAGACAATGAAGGCCCAGTTATACACCTTAAAGTTGCCCTTTCCGGCACCGAGAAGTCGTCGACAGAACCACAGCAAGGAGATCTTGGTAGTACTGGACGACATGGAGAACAAAATTTGGAAACTGAGATTGAGTTTCTGCACGGTGGGCAGCCAAGGGATCGGAATGTCCCAAATGTGTCGATTCCAGCCAAAATTCTCCGTAGCGAGCGAGGTAACGACCACCATTCCGATGGCAAAGGCGAGACCGATCACGATGAGTAAATCGTCCACACCGGTGCTGCATGTAATTCGAAGTCGAGTATATAGACGGAGCATCACCACCACAAACGCCAGTGAAATGCAGACCACGTTCACCACCAGAGCGCCATGGCCGCGAGTCGGAGGGTCAATGTAGTTTGGCGTTGGCCATTGGGCCATAACGGCGAGCGGGGGAAGTTGCATTATGGGCGAGGAATGGGTATGTGTATCCTATCGCTGCAATTAATCGGACAGATGAAGCGTAGGATATCGGAGTGTCGCGTGCGATGGACTATTGAGGCGAAAAGGCAACGAGAATCGCCATATCCGTATTTAACCGGCGTTATACTATTAAGGAATGAAAGGGCGAGTCACAATTAAATGCCCATATTAGGTTGAATAGAAAAAGAAAGTAAGAGAGAAGAAGAGGTGACTGGCAAAGCACCGCGCTGGAGATCTGGGGATCAGGACAGATATAATCAGCAGTAGAGCTTGACGGGGCAAAGGCTAGGGTGCCGCAGAGTAGGAAATATATTGAATTTCGCGCATACTGAAACGCTGATTCGAGAACGGATTTTCAATTGTAATCGAGACCCGACGACTCAGGACAGTCGATCGGACGCCCGCATACTAAGTCCCGGCTGTTCCATAGACCCATGCGCGATGAGCCTTGGTCCACCATCGGTCAAAATCCACTTCAGATTGGCACCAGTGCCCAAAAGGGATGCAAGACCGAGAGCCGGTCGGGGGGGAGGGGGCGGACGGACGGCGATAGGCAGACCAGAGCCCCATAGTTCTCTAATGCGATCCAACCGTAGCGAGACCGATCTGATGCGCAGGGCCCGAGAGGCTTATGCCCTGTGAAAGAGAGGTCCGGGCCCCCGGCTCGCCTTCAGGGACGGAATGTCCACAGCCTACCATTCGTATCAATGTCTTAGTGCTTCGACAATCCCTGCATCTGCATCGGCGGGCCCCTGGTCGGAAATTTCCAATCCGCAACCCGGCAGCGGCGACTGCCGAGGCACGCCACTCAAGGGACACTTCAGGCTTCGCTTATTGTTTGAAGGCGAAGTTGGGAACAGGAATCCACTTTATACGGTTTGAATTACCCCTCTTGCGGTTGTCCCATACTCGAATCACCTTGTGTTTCTGATTCAGGGCCAGGAACATTTGAAGTTGCCGCTTGTGACGAAGCTTCGTATCACGCTAATCCACTGCAACCTTTCAAGATTTTCATCCGCCGCTTCAAACCAGCGGAGAGACAACATCAAACATCACGTCCCATACGGACCCCTTGGGATTCCCATTCAAGTCGATATTTGGCCTCATAAGCCTTTGTGTAACGCTATCAATCAGTAGACCCTCTTTTCTTGCCGCGACAGTTGAAACAAGCGGGATCCATTCGACCGATCTTTGGTTGACATCACCCGCCCTCTCCAACTGATGCCTCCAACTGATGCCTCCAACTTGCTGCCAGAAACGCCGTGCCAAGACACATCCATACAAGCAGCAGCGATCCACCGGTTCTCGGCCGGTGACAAGCTTCCTGCCTTCCAAATGGCTTCGGGATCGACTGGTCTCTCGATATTCCGGGCCAAAAGCACTGACCGACTCTCATGATAGTTTAGGGCGACAGTTGATCCGCGCTCCTCCGCCGCGACCAGCTGCATTCGTCACCCAGCGGGACGCTAGAATCTATCGAATCGGTTTACAATCGAGTCGGTCGAAGATCAACGCGGGATTTGATGCTGCTTGATTTAAGACTCAAAACTAAGGCTGGATGATCTGCACGCGCTTTGACATTATGCAAGATTCCGCTGATAGATCTCAAAAAGATCAAAGGTTCTGGGATGTGAATGTCCGACTTGATTTGGGTCCCGGTCTCGACCCCGGACGCCCCCGCCAGTATCGGCCAAGTGGCGGATGATCACCCCATTGTCTGAGTTCTTCCGCTTCATTACATACATATTAACGCAGATCATTACAACTTAGTTTTTGACTTTCGACGGGATCGACTTATCAGAAACATCTATTGAATAAGACTTGCGGATAAGACATCTTGGGGAGACCCAAAATTGAGAACCGGTGCACCGGAGGGTTTGATACGGCTTTTCCGTGGGTTCCCGGTACCTGGCATGTGACGGGGACCCAAACTGACATTCTCCGCTACGAGCCGAAGTCTATTTGGTTGATCTGTTCGCGAATTGAGACATACTTACGTTCGTGGCGGGCTAACGGAATATTATTCAATCCCGCCTTCGCTTAGACATCACGAGTGCCCAAACCACGCACGGGGTAGCTTTCAACCTGCCAAGGCCGAGCATGAGGCGAAAGTGGAGGAGTCGAAAAAGGCTGAGCGGCAACTTCTGATATTTTGGGGTTTGCCGATTTCAACGCAAAGCTGCTCAAACAGCTCATATTGAATTTTCCAGCAGGACTTTGACATGACAATGGCATTGTCTTGTTTCTTACCCATTCTCTAGCCGCTGCGGGAAGGGATCTAGACCCACGGCACGGTAATTCCAGCCCACGTCGCACTGCAGCTTCACCTACGGTACCGCGGCTAACTGTGGGGATCTGTCTATATTACCCACCGGTCGACTCGAGAGTTAATACCGGCGGCAGGCCAACAGACCCCGCGATCAGATGTCGAATTCTTTAATCAGGGTGCTTCTCTGGAACCGATCGTTCCCTCACCAAGGACCCTCGAAAGAGTAAATCGAAGTGGATGTAATAAGTTGGCGGACATAAAATCCTATGTCGAGCGGCTGAACAGCTGAACGGGGTTTTTGAAGTGGGAAAGAAATAAGGCTGTCAAAAACACACAGCCAGGATATGAGTCAACATGGCCTAGATGACTTGAATGTTGTTTTAGAGGGACAACCCCTTTTGCAATGGTTGAACCTTTCCTTCAGCCTCATCGAGTGTGTTAATATCCAGCGAAAATCTAATATGTCCTTTCGTGTTGCATTACCAGCTCCTCAAAGTCTACGTATTTCGGGAGAAGCATATAAAATAATCTCCCGTATGATCGCTCTGATGATAAATTTTGATTCTCTCTCTTGTTATTGTTTATCCTGTATCCGGACAGCTTTGAGGAGCCGACAATTATCGCTTCGTCCAGCCAGGAAATCAGCTTGTTCACATTTCTCGCTCTCTTGATCTTCGCATGGTCGTCTCTCCCCCGTCTCTGCTTTTTTCGAATCTCGATATCCTGTGATCTCCTTTGCATCTCTGGAATTGACGAGCACTGCATCTAAGCCGTACTTCGCTATCGTTGACCCCGCCAGGTCTGGCGTAGAGCCTCAACAGCCACCGGTCATATCGATGACTTCCACTTCAGAATCGCCCCGTGATGAAGGGTCGGCGGGCAAGATCCAAGGAGGGCCTTGCACTCCGTTGGCATCTTCAATTTCCAGTTCCTCTGAAATTTCAAGTTCAACCTCATCGATGTGCTCTTTGTCAGACCAGAGAGAGGCGTAGCCCTTGGGGCTTCCGGCACCGATGTCGCTGTACATCTTCTGGACCATATCTGGGTGCTTCCGATTGATCGCTATGATTGCCAGAGCATTGCGCAGTCCAGGATTATCGTCCTTGGTGCCATGGATATTACGGAAGTGTTGGATAAGTAAGTGCACATTCTCGGCGGTGAAATTGATTGGACGCTTCTCTTTCAAGGTGCGGTTGTAGATCCGCTCCGCACGGGAGGCGAGGCATATTGGAGACATCTCCACCTCGGTGGTGACCTGGCTCAAGAAGTAGAAGTAGGGGGTGAGGTCAAGGTGGGTGTCACGAGTTCAGGTACGAGGGCCTGAACCTGAACGAATGAGATGGATTGCAGTAGCAGGATGAGCGAATGAGAATATGCAACATGGAAAAGGAAAGACGAGAGAGGAAGAGAGAGTGAGAGAGAAGGTTCTTTGCTTGTCGGTGCCCGAGAGAGCAGGCGCACCGGCATCTTCCATCAACCACAGCAGGGTGAAGTGGGAAAGTTTCGATTCTGCTACAGTGACAGCACGTGGTCGATTATTCTCACTACTGAAACCAACTTGAAGTGATGAGAAGAAGCTTGCGGTATATTGATAGACGGTTGTCCACTCCGCCGTAGGATGAATTTGTCCCACATCTTCGTGGCCTGTGCCAGTCTCTGTTTATTTTACGGACCGTTTAAACATTGCCCTCAAGTTCGTGCAAGTTTGTTTAATGGTCCAAAATGACGGGTGGCTATTTCCTGTTGGTCGGGGCTGATAGGGAAATGGACATTCAAGAGTGAGCAGAGCTTTCTTGGTGATAATGATCTGGCCCATCTTATATTGAGTGACATACCGCAACAGTGACGATTGATATGGCCTTTTGTACGGACACCAGACTCAAGACCATTTGAAACTTTTGATCGAGATAGAATTTAGGAAAGTCCACAAAAGATCATGCCGTACGCTATGCTACTCTGTGCAACGAATAAACTTGCGGGGCCAAGACACGGACGATGAACCGGTTGCTTCGTTAGAACCAAACCTATTGCACCTTCAACCGTCGCAGGGCACCTGGAAAGGGAGCTCGCCCTACTTCCTCTGTCGACCAAGACCCCGAGTTAGCGACGCCAGAAATCCAAAAAATACCCCGAAACAGATCTTGGTCAAGGGATTGTTGCACGGGATGGACAAGATAATCCTCACAGTAGTGTATATTGGCTCTCAATAGGTGCTGTTGTTCAAAACCATGATAGAAGATACTTACCTCTTTAAATCTAGGCTTCATGCTAGCGATATTTTTACCAATGCTATTTTGAGTACCTCGTGATTAAAATTCTAGGCCCAGTCCTCAAAAGTCAGGGACAATGACGTATAAGGAGATGCCGATCTTGAACGAAAAGGGGCGTACGGCGCGTTTGTGGCGGAGATATTTCGACGTTGTATTCGGAGCCTACGGAGTATAACGCCTGCGATGCATATGGCAACCTGAAAGCCAGCCAATTGAACAAATGAGAAAAGCTTTGTAAAGTGGCGCCACAAAAATGGCACATCGAATTGGGTTTGACACCCTGAAAGAGAGCTAAAATTAAATCTTGGGACCGCGGCGCGGCGCGAAGCTCCACTTAGTACGACTCCACGTCAAGTCTAGATCGCTATGAAACAAGCCCCTATGCGCCTTCGTGTTGTTCTGTTTCAGACTTCGTTCTCACCTAATTCTCCTTTCTCCCCCACGTTTCATTTTTTTTCTTCTATATTCTTTCGCTCCATCTTTTTTTTTTTTTTTTTTTTTTTAAGTTTGATCTGGATACCCGCATTCATTCCACTCTCGTTGCAAACCAAACCGACCGTTCCTTGCCAAGCGTTCTCTTTTCCACAGCTTGTTTTCTTTTTCTGATATTCACCATGACCGATGGACATAGTGACAATCCAGCCAACGCTATTCCTGCTGTTTCCAGCGACAGCAGCGCTGCCCCGGTCCCCGCCGACGTGCGGCCCTCCGCAAACCACCATGCCGACCCTCCCGCCCATGAATTGAAGGAGCAGGACTCCATCGGGCGGCTTATGCCGCGGCCGACCTACATGGAACATCTGGCTGACTCTCGCGACGCAATGTTCCATCTCAACCGCCGCGACTCAAGTGAATTGGAGCGGTACTTTGTAAGTTGTGGACATGGGGGAAGCGACGGATATAAGATGGAAGCCTTGTTGACTGATCGATATAGCACGGTCCCCGTGATATGGACAAGCACTCGAAATGGCCTATCTTCATGCGTATGCATGGTAGTGTCATGCCAAAAATGATCTTGCCGCTCCTTTGTGTGGCTGCTTGGTCAACATTAATTACTTGCCTTTCTCATTACTTTCATGCCCGTAAGTTCTTTCTAGAGCGCCTATGCGTCGGATCCACTGACTCGGATATAAGTTGGTATCAACAATATCTTGCTCACCGTGCTGGGTTTCGTGGTGGGTTTGGCGTTGTCATTCCGTTCTTCGACCGCATATGAAAGGTATTGTTCTCGACGGGGGTGAATTGAATCAAGACTCTGACTAACTCGTCCAAGATGGGCCGATGGACGCAAGTACTGGGCTCAGCTAATTCAGACCTCTCGCAACTTGGCCCGCACGATCTGGGTCAACACCGGCGAACGTGAGGGAGAAGAGGGCAAGGTTGATCTTCTGCGAAAGCTGTATGTGGGACCGAACTTGAACTCCCTGTATTCGAACCAAGATTGACAATTTTTGAAGCACCGCTATGAACCTCATCTTGGCATTCGCCGTCGCCCTGAAGCACAAGCTGCGCTTCGAGCCCGATATCGCATACGAAGACTTGGCCGGCCTCGTTGGCCACATGGACACATTCGCCCGCGACGCCCACGACCATGAGAGACTCCACCCAAAGACCAAGTCCTTCTGGAAATCTACTGGAGAGTACCTCGGTGTCTCTTTCGCCGAGTCCAACCCCCGAAAGATGGTCAAGCGCTCCAAGAAGCCCCTGGGACATCTTCCCCTGGAGATTCTGAACCACCTGTCAGCCTACATTGATTCGTGCGTCAAAAACGGCACCCTGACCTCGGGTCTGCACCAGAGCCAAGCTAGTGAGTCACCTGTCGACGACGCCCCTTCGTAACAATATGCTCACTGTATCGTGAAGTCACCATGATGTCGACCTTAAACGAGGTCCTGACTGGCACCGAGCGAGTGCTGGACACTCCTCTGCCTACGGCGTACACCATTGCCATTGCCCAGATCGCCTGGATCTACGTCATTGTTCTTCCCTTTCAGCTGCATCCAGTCCTTAATTGGGTCACCATCCCTGCTTCTATCGGTAAGATGCCACTCCCTTCTTGGAACAAACACTACTGACCTCTGCTATCTAGTGGCGGCATACATCATCTTGGGCCTGGCCACAATTGGCAGCGAGATCGAGAACCCCTTCGGCCAAGATGTCAATGACCTTCCGCTGGACACCTACTGCCGCCAGATTGCCCTGGAACTCGATATCATGACATCCACCCCGGCCCCGAAGGTAGATGATTTCATGAGTCGCCCGGATAACCTGGTTCTGTTCCCGCTGAGCCAGAGCGGCTACCCTGAGTGGAAGTCTCGGAGCGTCGAGGATATTCGTGCTGCTCTGAAGGCAAAGATAGTTGCGAACCCGGCCCCTGCCCCATCGGATGCCTCTACCGTCGTGGAGAACGTGTCTTTCAAGGCGTCCAAGGACTCCGTTTGATTTCGAATGGAGAAAATAAAGAGCGAAGTCTAGCAAAAGACAGACTTCGACCGCACTTAGATGGGAAGGGCATTGTCAGCATTTGATTCAAGCAGAAGCAGATTGATTTTGAACTAGCTTCGACAGCGTGCGAGTTACGGCGTTTCATCAGGGCATTATTGCTTCAAAAAGAAGACCAGAGTTGTGATATTGTCATTTAGAGTGATCGTTTTTCAATTTGAGCTTTATCGTGCATAAGTAATTTGATTCCTCATGCTATAATTCTGTCCGCGGCGTGTCGGGGTTGACTAGCGTAACCGTGATAACAGAACAACCCAGGACTTGAAGAATCTGACAGAGCGACATGGACCAAATGGGGCATCTGAAATGTATCGGGTAGGTAGGCTTTGGTCCTGCGTGCCATGAGTCTGCCATGGCCATCGAGTTATATTTTCTGACCCTGGGTGGATCGGATAAGCTCTGCATGTGCCCGAGCGAGAAAAAGTTGGTAGAGGCCACCGACGGACCTAAAGGGGCAGAAGTGCTCTCCAGCCCATTGAGCGGCTCTGTCTTTGCAGTCCCTGGTGCCTTGTGATGGGTAGAGCATCTAGCCAACGGGTCAATTTGGGACAGTATTCCCACATAGTAAAGAGGAAACCCAAGGCATGAGCAGATCAAGGAACGAACAAGTCTGATCCAGATCCAGCAACCAGCGCACCCAGATAATTCCCCTTGGCACAGATTCTCCATGCGACATTTGTGCCGCTGCCACTGCCGCCAATCCACGAGCTAAGGGCAGAGACAACAGCCGCCGCGTCTTCACGTGGGACACGCACCCAGGCACAGTCGTATTTGCTCATCCCGGCAGCCACAGGGGTTTCCAATTTCGCAGCAGAGACGGACCCGTGCTCGGTCTTCAGGATGTCGATTGGGATAGCTGTTCCCGTGACACCGAGGAATTGTGAGAGCGCAGCGGAGAGGTAGGTGCGGGCAGATAGGGCATCGAGGGGTTGTGGGATGGTACTGTCTGGCTGGGGAATGCTGTTGCGATTTCCATAAGCATTTATCTTCAGGGACCCGTTGTCGGTAAGAATTGCTTACAGTCGGAGCTTCAAATAGGTCCAGGGCGGATTGCGCGATGTGAACTGGATGGTGCTCGAGGTCGCGTCTTGCGCTTTGCGTTTCTGGCCCGTGGATGACGAAGCCTCGTTCTCCGTCGGCTTGTGTTGCATGTCTGCCATTGTTGGGGTTGGTCGTGAGATTCGGAGAAGGTGCAATTGGAGATCGCGAGCTGTCGCAAAAAAGCGGATTTTACGTCACGGGATTCCACGCAGCGTATCAACAGCTCGAGTTATTTTGAAGCTCCGTTGTTTTCAGCCGCATCGATCAGTTTTTGCATTGCCTTCTGGAGAAACACTTCTTCGCTGTCGTTTCCGATCGCCAGTTCTGCAATGTACAATGTTTTTGCGCGTGCTTTAGCACCCCGAATTACCTTGACTGTCGACTTTGGGACTTGGAAGATCTGTATCGGAATAATCAGTTAAATATACACGGTATGAATACCTTAGAAACCGAAAACTTGAAATAAAATCAGCGCTTGTAGCTACCTGTGCAAAAATTTGCGAAACAGCGAGGTTGGCTGCCCCGTCGCGGGGAACCGCAGTAGTAGAGATGTCAAACCTGTCGTTTCCCACGGCTGTCACGCCGGCTCGTTTGGCAGAGGCATTTGCTTTCACGTAGCATGGAATATAAAGGCTATATGTCTTTGGTGAAGCAGCCTGAGATTTAGCGATCAAGCGAAGAAACAAGGGAGAACGGCTCATGTTGCAATGACGAGAAGAGGTTGGGCGAGGTAGCCGAGTTTCCCTTTAGGCGGATAGTTGCGCAGTGCACTCCGTTATCCAATAGGCTTATATTTTTAAGTTAAGTCTGCAGGAGCCATCATAGTGCTCTCCGTCAACGGTGCCTTTGTTCTACAGGGGTTGACTTCATTCAAAGTAAATTTCAATGACAGTAAATGTTGAAAGCTGAATATCACTAGGAGTATGGGAAACTCAAAGCAAACCGTGCGAATTGAAACGATCATAAGAGCTGACTGAATAAAAGGGAACCCTATCATATGGCGCAACAGAAAGGGAAAGCTCTTGATATTTGAGCGAGAGGCATGCCAAGAAGACCAGAAACTGTTTAGACGTTCTCCCGCTCGTCTTTATCGCCAATGATCTCCATGAATTCCATAACCTCCGTGGCTAGCTGAGGCTCCTGTGTACCAGTAGCCTTAGGCTTGAGGGGAGACACATTTAAATCAGTCTCCGCAAGGTGATAGAGCTCAGGGCACACGGCACCTTTGCGCATCAAGATGTAGCGCTTGATCCACCATGGCAGCACCTGGGTCAGCTGGTATTTGGCATGGGTGCGGGTCGGCACTCCGAACACGTAGTCGAGCTCTTCGAGAGACCGTTGCTTTGTTTCTGGAAGAAAGAAGAAGATCAGGAGCAGTGCAATGATGTTGAGACCGGCGTAGAATGCAAAGGCACCCTGCGGAGTGAAGGCCCGCAGCATGTATGGAAAGGTGAAGGACAGAACGGAAGCCCAGAAATTGTTGGTAGCAACGGCCCAGGCCATACCTACCTCACGGTGTGAGAGAGGAAAGACTTCGGCGGAGTATGCGAATGGCACCGGCCCTTCTCCGGGTGAGTAGAAAGCGTCAAAGAGGTAGATAAAGAATGCAATCAGGCCGATATGGGCATTATTGCTTGTTGGAATCCAGAAGCAAAATCCGGCCGCAAGAAGAGTCCAGCACATGTTCGGGAAAGTAAAGAGCAGAAGACCTCGTCGACCGAAGGTATCGATTGTCCACACCGCGGGCCATGCAAAGAGGAAATTGATAAGGCCGAATCCGAAAGATGCCATCAGAGCCCCAATGTTACTCGCACCAGCCAACTAGAATTGATTAGCATAGTATTCGGTGGATTGATGCGAGCTTCGTAATGTGACTTACCGAGAAGATAGTGGACGAATAGAAGGCAATGATGTTGACTGAGACAGCGAGGTTAGTTGGCTCTTCGTTCACATGGTGACAAAGACCTGACTTACTGCCACACATCTGCTGCGCAATCATAACAATGCCTGATGCCTGAACTGCGCGGCGCAAACGAGGCACCCGGAAGAGCTCAAAGAATCGGACAAACATGTTATCGGTCTCGGCAAATCCCGAATCTGCCAGCATCTTCTTCTCCGTCTGGAGTAGAAAGTGGATCAAGTACAGGTCTCGAGCAGCCTGCAAAGGGCTGTTTCGGAGGCGGAGCAGAGACTGGTATGCTTTGCGATAATTGCCCTTGATAATCAACCATCGAGGTGATTCAGGACAGAACCAAACACCGACAAGCAGGGGCACCGCGGGGATAAAGGCAGAGCCCAGTTGAAGGCGCCATGCGATGGCCCCAGTATTGGCCACAGCCAAGTTTGCACAGGTACCCAAAAAGATGCCAAATGCAGTCCACACTTGCCAGGACATGACCAGACCACCACGAATATTTGTAGGAGCATTTTCAGCTGAGTACACGGGAACCGTGACTTCTTTGAGGCCCATTCCAATACCCAGCAGCACTCGGCATGCAACCAGTTGACCCCAAGTTTGAGTGAAAGCAGAACCAATTGGAGCAAGCAGACTAAAAACGGTTGCCACCAGGATTGTCCCCTTTCGACCGATCATGTTGTTAATGGGATCCGACAGCCAACCAGCGCTACATCAATTAGGAAATGGAAGGAAAAAGAATGGATGCGGAGGCCTTCTTACAATAGACAGATAGTAATGTAAGGCACTGAATTCACAAACCCTACGATCCACTGGTTGCGGGCGCAGGTAGCATCGTCGGGACACAGAGGCTTGTTGTTAGGAATACCAAATTGAACATCGAATGTTAGATTGGCCCCGTTGGAGCCTATCCCATATCAGTTTCATTCACATGATATTCTTGGGAGCTTGACACACCTGTCTGATCCCAGCCTTGGATGGCGGCGGCAATGGAGTTCAGGATGATGGTGTAGTAAAGTGCCCAAGGGTGGTTCCAGCGACGGGTTGTCTCCTCACGGATAATCAGCCGATCCGCATCATCCAACTCTGTAATGGAGTCAAGGTTGGCAGGGCTGTGGGCAACTAAAGCTCCCTTCCTGAGAAGCGGGAGGATATCCACGAGTTTATGCTGGTGGGCAAAAGCCTCCACATTTCCCATGAGGAGCTCTTGCGAGATACCTCCCAGAGGGTTCTTGATCCTGTCGAAGGTAAGCCATGTTTGAAAGTGCCAAGAAGTAATTACTTACTCCCCAGTGATGTTTTGGGTCATGCTGTACGCGTCGAACATCATGTCAGTGCTGTTATGCCATGTAAGGCCTGTGAATCCGTTAACTTACTCAGCGAGCGCGGCACTTCTGCGCCCAAGAGGCATGTTGCCTTCTTTGTGTCTGTATCTAAAGGGTTGGTCAGGTTCAGGAGGGAAAGATAGTGGGGCAGGGAGATAGAATGAAGAAGAGGAAAGGTGATGATGGACGAAGGGGAAAGGGCAGGCGAGCGACACTCAAGTAACGGAAGCTTCGACGGGCAAGAAGGGCAGTTACGCCTTTGAAACTTCCATTTCATATCAACGATTGGGAAATCAGGGAAGAAGAGCCGATTCTCTGTTTTCTGTACTATTAATACTAATCCCGGGCAGGAAGACTTAATCCACACTTGTGCATAATTTCCCGCAGGACTAGAGAATCACCGGCTCTGTCTCTCACCAACTCCTTTAAGATCCCTACCTCAGGTAACCAAAATTGGAATCGAACAGATGGGGAGTGATTTGAACAGAGCTGAGGTCATCTCTGTTCCAGCGGAGGCTCGGAGAAAACAACCAAGATGGCTGATTCAAGCTCTCAGCTGCAACGGCCAGCAAAAAAGAGAGTTGAGAAGATCGCTACTAGGCTCAAATTCAGATCTGTTTAAATTGTACTTTAGCATATGTTTAATAATACAAGTACGTTCATGCTCTTTTAAGTCTATAAACAACAATATTCCTCTTCTGAGGATCTAGCCATGCTCGTTCAGCCCCTCCTATAATGGTTTCATTCTCCACAAAACCACACTTATTGAGTACGTGTCTTGATGATGAATTTGCCTCATCCACTTTTGCCTCAATGGTGTCGAGATCTGGTCTAGCTTTCCAGAAGTGCTGGATGAATGCCCTCGCGGCCTCTGTCGCGTACCCTTTGCCCCAGGCCGAAGGGTGAAACAAATACCCAATCTCTGGGGTTGGGTCGACGCGGTGTACCCCTACCACGCCGATGACCGTGCTTTTGTCGCTGTTTGCATCCTTGATGAAGATCGCGTAGTTGTCACTGCCAGCTCGGTTCTCCGGTAGCATTCCGGAAAGCCAGGCGTACGTTTGGTCGATGGTTTGCAAGGTGCCCTTTCTACTATTGACTCGGTCACTATCTTGTCTGGGAGTGAGTTTTATGGTTTTGGGTAGCTTACGCCCAGCGTGTTGAGTCTGGGTTTGTCCAGATCCTGTGGAATCCGTCAAGATGGCACAGGCCGATCGGATCGAGTCGCAAACGGGCCGTCTCCATTTGACTTGCTGTGCAAAATAAATTGCAAAGGAGAATTTGCAAGCGCACATGTCCCTCACTAAATCTTTCCGCAGGATAGTACGGTAATCTACCGTGACTCATTGGAAAATACTCCACAATACGTACTGTGCCACAATACGGCTAGACAGGGGTTGTCATTATAGTGTAGTCTCACATGGTCTAGCACGGACCGAGGAACAGAGTGTGAGCGTCTTGGGGATAAAGTGTTTTCGAGTTCTACTGTACAAGTGTAATATTTGGATATGTCGTGTTCACCTTCAAGGTGTGTCAAGCCTCAAATGATAGCTATGTATTAGAAGATGGTTCAATGCTCTATAAAATGGATCTAGTACGCTAGTACAGAAGAATGCTGTCCAGACTAGAGAAACCAGCCGCCACACCACCCTCATTAACCTCTTTTCCTTTTGTTCTTAACAGCCACCCGCCTTGTTCATTATGGGAAATCTTGCCTGTATTGTCCCACAGGATAGTTCCATAGACGCCCAATTCTGAGATGACGTTTCCACGAAGGACCTCTCCATCGTTTCGCAGTGCGACATTTTCAGCGTTGGCGGCCGGGTTAATCAACTCCATCAAAACCCAGCCCTTCCAATCAGACTCGGGCAACGACCGAAGGAAGCCTGGAATTTCGGACTTGTAGATATTGTTGCCTCCACCTTCTCGTTGCGGCTTAAGAACGTGTTTCATAGCAGTCTCGGGGTTGAGAGCCAATTCTCGACCTTGGCCCGTGATTGAGAGGTCATACTGCGGAGCGAATGTTTCTCGTAGTCTTGCAATAATTTTCGGATCAACGTTGTGGAGAAAACTTGAGAGGTGATCGGGTCCCGTAGGTTCTGCGAGAACTTGCTGGATTTTCTTGCAGCCAGCCAACTGATTAAGAACGGTAGGACATTTGATTGCCGCGGACCGTTCCATATGTACCCGGGCCTCCCAATCACGACTGGTCTTGTATTCATCTGGAGCATAGTATGCTCGAAGATACACAGTTGTCACTTCGAATGCAGATGTCGGAGAGTGAGGTGGGTGATAGATTAGTGGTCGAGACGGATTCGAGCTGGGTATCTTTGTTTGGTCTAAGATCTTGTTGCTCGCCAGGCGGAAGACAGGGATTTTATGGAATTGGGTGAGTCGCTTCGACAGTGCATATTGGTCGAAGACGTTGCGTTCGCCTTCTTGGACTACGAAGAGAACGCACAAAGGAAGCTCCGGAGTAGACTTCGATCGCCCATAGGCCTTGTGGGCTGCTGCTAGGCCACCAGACAGAGTCTCAACTGCAGTGTTCTCCGGCGGTACGCCAGATTGCAAAAGGGAGTGAGGTGGATAGCTGATCGGGGACCCGGGTGGTGAAGTAAGAAGCTCCGCGTGTAACGACCTCACAAGGGCAGACAGCCCGCCGAACGACGACGATATGGTGTTGAATTCCACCTGCTTCAAGGCCGGAGCATTATTGGGCGTAACATGGGCCATATAGTCGGATCTGTAGAGACCCAAGGACAGGTTTTGAACGTAGCCCTCCTTCTGTACCGCTAGGTGTGTTTTCCAAAGATTTGCCACGAAGTCGTCCACGTCGACAAGTCTTGTAAAATCAAAATTAGCTTGAAGTCATTTCATGAGCGAGGTGTCCGTACTCTTTTATGATCTTCCCCAGCCATTCTTCATTGCAAGTGATGGCAGCATATAGTTCGTTGTAGACTGTCTGCAATGCCTGGGCTTCCTCAAAGCAGACCCTAGGGAATGGGCTCGGAAAAAGTGTCACCGGGGCATTTGTTGCCAAAACTCGATTTGGGTCTGCTCCTTCTGGAAGCGTTGCTGGGTTCGGTCGAACAGTAAGGCCATTTTGAATGGCCCAATCTTTGGTAGCGGTGACGAGGTACTCTTGCTGGGCTGGCGAGAGTCCAGGGGGATAATTGGTGTAGATTGGGTCGTCCATGATCCTGACGGTATTATCAAGAAGCTAGGAAAACAGAGAAGCTACCTCCAGACTTGAGAAATATTGGGATGCCGGCTTCCCCGCGATAGGGATTTGTAAGCACCGACCGCCTTCCACACCGCCCTATATAGCCCATACCACCCCAAGTATACTGGCAGAATAAGTGAAATACTTCTCACGTATTTGAAACCGCAATATTCCTTATCTTGACTCTCCTATCTTGTTCTCATTTTCACCCTTCCTCCACACTCTTGATGCATACTTTCTGGGTTCTGTACACATTCACAAGTGGTATTCAACAAACCGTGTACCCTACAGGGGGCCAACATCTGGTAAGCTTCCATTGACGCATGTCCTGAGACAGTGAGGGATTGACTGACACTGATTCAGGCCCCCCTACGGCGAAATGGCTGTCGATTCAGACCCACTTGACTGGAGAGTTGACGAGGTAGTGGACTTTCTTTGCAATCCCAATTTAGCTCCCTGGGCGCTGTCTGCAAATTCGTCACGACCCGACCTTGTTGCTCTGGCAGCTGCACTCCGTGCAAATGAGATTGGTGGAGAGGCCCTGCTTTACGATGTTGACTCCCAAGCTATCAAGGATGACCTAGGCGTAAAGGCTCTTGGTCATCGCAGCAGCGTCAATAGAGCCATCGAATGGCTGCGAGCGCGTTCGCGGAAATACCAAATATCCAAACCAAAAGCCCCATTGCCCGAAATTCACTCCACCGAATCACCCCTCATAGGCCCGGCATGTCCACCCCATCAACCACAAACACCCCTGGCTACCTTTTTGGAAACCGCTTCCACCGAGCCTGTCACACCGTTTAACCCGACTGCCCCGCCTTTACCCCTGCAAACTGTCCGTGGCAAACGCAAGGTAGCTCCTTCGATTGTGCCTGACTTCAGAAAGCAAAACTGTCCGCCAAATGGGGCTCGTCTTCCAAACCAACAAACATCATCACTTTCACTTTCTTCTGAACCGAGCCTGAAAAGCCAAGCGGGGCAGTCCTCTGAATTCATATTCAGTGAACAGGATCAGTTTCAAACTGATGCGAAACACCAGGCTTTCTATGACAAGCTGCTACAAAAGTACCCACCAGGAGGCGCAGTAGAGGAGAATGACAAAGTTCTCCCGCGATATGGAGAGTCTGGGTCAGAAGCCTCATTTGACTCAGAAACCTGGGATGAAATTGTGGATGACAACCCAGAACTGAAATCTGGGAAGCCGAGTGCCGATGATGCCAAACTTTCGCAGCAAAATGTCGACTCCATCGTGTCACAGTACATTGCAGAACAAGAAGAGCACTGGAGGACCAATCGCTTGCCACGCAAACTCTCTCTTGCTCGGTTTTTCTGGCTGAAAGCTCAGCGTGATGGAAGCGTGAAGTCTGAAAGTTCAGATCGGTTCCATCATCTTCAGTCTCGCCTTAATAGCCTCAGGACGGCAATTCATGAGGTTGAGTACCGCTCACGCGCCGGCATAGACAAGTCATGCATGGCAATGGAGCTGACAATCTTTGACCTCTGCACTGAACGATGGAAATTATCTGTCATGAACTCAGACATATGTCCGCCTGCTGTGTCCCCACCCCCAAGAGCTCCGCGGAGTCAGAAGCAACGTTTAAGCTCCGAAGATGCCCAGAATGATGAGTCTGACAAATCAGAGGATTTGGGAGAACTTTCTGACTCAGAGGATTTCTACGAGAGTGATGGCTTGACCGACTTCATTGTTTCAGATTCCGAAGAACAGAACGCTCAGCGCCTACCAACGGAACATGGGGCCAGCGATCACGGGGAATCGCGGTCCCCCGTTCACAAAAGGCCACGCATAACAGAGGATGAAGGTACTGAAACTGTCGATGCCAGAGCAGGGTTTTCACTTGTTTCTTCCCAGCCAGAGGAGGGTCTTGAGATCGTTGATCTCACTGAAACCAGATCTGGATCAGTCGTGGACATGAGCCCACCCGCAACGCTCCTTTCAACGAGTCCAGCCCACGCAAGTGCCACGCCACATTCTCAAGATGTAGATGATATGGAGATTGAAACACCTCCTCTGAATCCGAATCCATCACCCGCTCCGCAAGACGCCGACATGGAACTTGATCTGTCGCTGGACAGTCCTTTGATCGACCCAGTATCGGAAACCAGAATCTCTTCTCCAAACCCACTGTCGCCATTGACCAATCCCGATGACCCCTTGCAAGTTAAAGTCGGTGATCAATACTCTCGCTCTCTTCCTCATACCACTGCCAGCGACAAGACACTTCCTGTGAACCGGGATGATATCGATCTCATCGACACCGTTTCGAACCTGAGTTACAAGAAGGTCGTCTTCTCGAAGAATCGCATCCAACTGTTGGCAAAGACCATTATGAATCTGAGGCCAGATGAGCTCATGTCATACCCAACTCTCTTGGATAAAATGATAGAGTTTGCATACACAGACTTGGTTCAGGAAGCACTGAGAGCAATGATTCTCAATCAATCACAACTACAGATGGGGGTAACGTCTTCCATAGAGAACGCATTTGCCATGCGGATGGGCGCAATGTTCTTGTCCTGGCACCACTGCGTTCTTCTGGACCCTGCTGGCCTTCCTAGAGGCTTAATCAGTGAAGCACTTGAGGCTATAAAGGATGACAATCAAATGTTCGAAAACTTTCTTCGCAGAGTCAAAACACTCATTCTCGCGACACACGCCTGGAATCAGGAAAATCCATCACGGAAGCCTTCATATGGCGAGAAGGGCGGGGGAATGCCGTCGAATACCCGCCCCACTTCAAACTCCGCTGGAGAAAATGCCAACAAGAGAAGACCTGCAGGAAGGCCTGCAGGAAGAGGTCTTAGTACCCAGCAGAAGGATGCCCAAAAACGACTGAAAAGACAGGAAACAGCTAGGGCGGAGCTAGAACGCGAAAGAGAAAGGAAAGGACTGAGTATCAGTGATCCAGCTGGGCAAGCAGTGACTTTCAAAGAACCCATTATCTATCTTCATCCGGAACTTGGGAAATTTGTCAAACCACATCAGTTGATGGGTATCCAATTCATGTGGCGGGAGCTCATCGAAGCTACCAATTCGCAAGGATGTCTACTTGCCCACGTCATGGGACTGGGTAAGACATTCCAAGTGTAAGTTTCTCTTCATTTCTTATTCAGAACCAAGCATCTAACCGATAACAGCATATGCCTTCTTGTGACCATCGCCGCCGCCGCGGCGTCAGATGATCCCAAGATCCGCGAGCAGATTCCTCGGAAGTTTCATCGATCTCAGACCTTTGTCTTGTGCCCGTCTTCACTGGTAGAGAATTGGATCGACGAGTTTGCCATATGGGCACCTAGAGACCATAAGGTCGGCGCAATTCGTGGCATCTATCCCCGTGGCAAATCCGACGAACTCTTTGAACGATTTGAGCAGATCAAAGCCTGGAACGCAGAAGGCGGTGTTCTCATCATGAGCTATGAAATGTTCCGCAACTTGATACAGAACAAATCGACCAAAGTTGGCAGGGTGCTCAACAGCGAGGAACACGAGTTGCTTCAAGAATGCCTCTTATCCGGACCAAACATCATTGTCGCAGATGAGGCGCATAAGTTGAAAAGTGACAAGTCCGCCATTTCGCAAATCGCGTCTCGTTTTAAAACCACAAATCGCATTGCGATGACGGGATCTCCTTTAGCGAACCATCTTTCTGAGTATTACCAAATGGTCGAATGGATCTCACCAGGCTACTTGGAAAATCCTCAGTCTTTCAAGACCAAGTTCATGGACCCAATTCAGGCCGGATCCTGGATGGATAGCACCAAAGCAGAGCAAAGAGAAAGTTTGTGTGCATTGCAGCTTTTGGGGGGGGATCTTGAACCCCAAGATTCACCGTGCAGATACTTCTGCAATTGCATCGGAACTTCCTCACAAGACAGAGTTCATTATCTGCGTGCCTTTGACGGGCCTGCAGAAAAGTCTCTATAATACTTTCGTGACATGCCTGAAAGCGAGTCAAGAAACAGATGCTGCGACAAAATTGTGGACATGGCTGGCTCTCTTGCAACTTTGTTGTAACCATCCGTACCCATTCCGTGAAAAGCTGGCAGATCGATCAAACCAACTAACCGATGATCCCTCCGACTCGCTCGAGGGGGACAACACTGCTTCCGTTCTCCCTAGGTCGATAAGGGATGCCGGGCTTCCAAGCAACCTCTTTCCCAATATTGAGGCTCTTTTCAAACAGATCGAGAAACCTCTCGATCCCGTATTTTCTCACAGGTCTACCTTGCTCAACCAAATCCTCGACGAGTCTATGAAGGTCGAAGATAAGGTTCTGGTCTTCTCGCAAAGTATCCCGACCATGGACTACCTTGATGACCTGCTTGAAAGATCTGGAAGGAAATACCTTCGCATCGATGGTAAGACACTGGGGGCAGACCGGCAAATGCTGTGTAAGCGGTTCAATGCCACTGATAGCGAACAAGTCCTTTTGATCTCGACTCGCGCGGGAGGACTTGGCCTGAACATTTTCGGTGCAAACCGAGTAGTCATCTTCGACTTCTTATTCAATCCGACGTGGGAGGAACAGGCCATCGGGCGTGCCTATCGTCTTGGCCAAAAGAAACCGGTCTTTGTCTATCGCTTCGTTGCCGGTGGAACCTTTGAGGATAAAATCTTCAACACAGCTGTGTTTAAAAGTCAACTTGCTGTCCGCGTTGTGGACAAGAAGAATGTCATCCGTGAAGGCGCAAAGAAAACTGAAGAGTACCTCAAACCTGTACGTGATGTGGACAAGGAAAACTACGATGCAATTATGGGGAAAGATCCCCAAGTTCTTGATAAAATTCTTGTCGGACACTTCGGGGACATCGTCCTGAAAGTGACCCTGTCGCATATTCAAGACAACGAACATGATCGCCTGACCGACGAAGAACGCGAGCGTGTTGCTGATCAGCTGTTCATGGAACAACTCAAGCGTTCGGATCGATCTGCATTTGAGGCTGAAACCGAAAGGCGCAGAATGGTGTTGGCCGAGAAGCAGAGGATCGAAAACGAGCACAGGCGACAAGTACTGCTGTTGACGGCGCAGCAGCAAGAACAAGCCTTGGAACAGCACCGACAAAGACTGCAATTCCAACACTGGCAAAACCAGCAATGGCAATCCGATGTTCGTCAACACGCGCAGGGTCTTCCTTATATGATGCAACGAGACCATGTTTCTCAAGTCAGTCTCCCCTCGCATCATAATGGGGTGACTGGTCCAATGCAAACTATCCCATACATGCCCACTGCGATGAGCCTGCTACAAAGAACCCAACATGCGGCGTCAATGTCCCCAGTGAGATACTTGCCCAGTTCGGTATCTATGAACCAACCGCATCTCACCAACAATTTGGCCCCTGCCGCGGTATCAATTTCCCCTGTGGGGTATTTGCCCAGCATGCACCAACCGCGAGCGGCTCTGGCTAACGGACAGTCTGCTGGGAGCCTCCGGGCGGCGATATTTCACAATGGGTATGGTCCTCCGACGGCTGCCTCTGCCTACACCGTGACGCCACCCGTCCCTGGGGCTTCGCCAGTGCCGGGTCACAATCCGTCTGTGGCCACTAATCAGCACCCAGTCCCCCCTGCTTGTCATATCAATGCCACCTCCCCCGGAAACGATCGCCCAGTACATGATGTCCCCACTCCATCCACTCCTGATGTTTTCACTCAATTTACCCCTGATGCTGCCGGCTCAGGTGTATTCCATCCCACTTCATCCAGTCCGGGTGAGCCAATCGAAATTAGCGATGATGACAAATACCCCCTACGAATGGACACTGGCGAGAACGACGCATACTCGCCACCACCAAACTTCCCACCACTTTAGTGATTGCCTGCCAGCTCGGGCTCTTCGGGTTGTTGGAGTTCATCTCTACTCGCACCTTTTTGTTTGATTTTCATGTACAAGTGATACCCCATTTACGTTTTATCTGCTTACCATCTGCTTCGATCATGCGCATCTTGCCTGTACATCTCACCGGTCCTGCCTCTTATGATGGATCTGAAATAGCCTTATGTATTATGTATGAATGTGATGTCTGAATATGTAAGATCCTTTGCATAATAATTGTAGATCATGAAGCCTGCACCACAGAAAATAAAGATATTCCTGCATGAGCTAAACTCCGAGGGGACAAGCGTTATCTTCCCCGCAACCATCATAGGTCACTCACCTAAATGGTTTTCAAGACTTGATTCGCACACGACAAGAGCGGCTCGGAGATAATACGGACCATTTAGCTTAACCGCCTCCGGGACACTGGTTCGTAAGATAATGAAGGGAGAGCGATCCGGTTCATGCCTGAGAAACATCTAAGTCCTGGGAATTGTGGAGGTCATTGCTATCATATCGTAAGCGGCGGGTAATGCCACGAGATATCCTCTGGTACATATGAGTATACCGACCATATCGAATCTGCTCCAAGGGCAGATTATTTAATCCAGTTTCTTTTTCCTTCATTGGCGTGGCTGTCAAATTTGCCTTAGATAGTGAAGCAGTAGACTGACTGTCCTCGCTTTGTACTTCTTGCTTGCTCTTCTCCCACTCAAGTTTTTAGTTTCAATACCATAGACGGAATGAAAATCAAAACATACCTCGGCTTGGACTAGCTTGGGCCGCAGCTTGTTCAATATTTTGCATCTTTTAGAGGAGCTCATATTTAGAATGTGGTTTGTAGTATGGCAAGAGACTCTGCGATAGACTTGAAAAGTCTGCAGTGCTGAAGTCACTGAAATCGACTGTGTTTATATCCATAATAAAGGGTACGCTGGCGGTATTTATATAGTTGAGGGGTCGACAAAATAGGGTCCATGTCCTAGATGTTGTCAGAACCAATTCTTGCTCGGCCATCATTGGTGTTTGACCAGGTACACCTAATCTCGGAGCTCGGAATTCAAAGCCCAATCCAGGCTTCTCAAATGACGAGACCTATTATGCATGGGTGGCTCATTCTAGTCCAATTGTATTGTAGAATAGTGCGGACAATTTGGTAACCGAACGCCGAGCTCCGAGCGCCGAAATACCTGATTGCGACGTTATTCAGTCATCCTCTGCCAATACAGACAATCCATATGTTCCTAATGGCTACCCCGCGTCGGAATGGCCAGCTTTCATCGTGTGAGCCATGCCGCACATCAAAGCTACGGTGTGATCATACGAGTCCCGTCTGTGGGCGCTGTGAGCGCCGTGGTCTCCATACCCGCTGTACCTACCCTGCGGCACCGCTGACCCAACGAACCGTCGTTCAGTCGGTCAAGAAACGTCGTGTTCAACACACAACAGATTTTAACAATGTTAGTCAGTTACCTGACAAAGAGTCCTGGTCCGAAAAGAAAGCATCTGTCTCGGCACCAGGATTTTTATTTTAGGTCAAACCAGTTACTCCGATGTGTTCACAGGTATTTATAGTCACCTTCCAGCGGACAGTCTCGGTGTTGCAGCAGTATTCATACTTTCAGCCAGATAGCAGAGACGGCGATTTAAATGAAATGGAAAGGGGACGGGAAAAGTGTATGAAGAATCTCCTGAAGTCTGTTGTTTCATTTGAAATAATGTACCTGGGCACTGCACAATGACACAGCTAGGGACAAGAAGGATTTTTGTAATCTGGATACCAACTTAAACACCAATGAGTTACCCCGGAAATAAATATCCACCACGTGCCAGGATTGAGTTCATGGCCTGTGGCAAATTGTAACCCTAATTTTTGACTCGTTGGTGATGAGATCATTTCCAATCTAAATAACTGAATTCCTTTGAGCCGCCAAGCTTTAATTGCAGTACCTTCATCAAACCTCATTTCAACATCGATGGGTGCCAGGAGCACCACTCCCAACGGTAACTCGATATAATGGGGTCGGAATGGCCAAGATCACCTGCCAGGCCCCCGTCGATGGCATCATGGGCGCATACACCGGCAACAGCTTCGCTTTCCAAGCCGCCATTGCCAGTCTACTTGGCTGCGCCCTGTACAGCGCCCTCGAACTGATTGTCCTGGTCTTTTCAATATTTAAAACATATCACGGCCTGTACTTCTGGAGCCTGCTCATCTCCGGTCTATTCGGCATCATCCCCGATGCGCTAGGCTTACTGTTGAAATACTTCGAGCTCGCGCCAATATGGATCTCCGTTACGCTGTCGACGGCCGGGTGGGCTATCATGGTAACCGGCCAGTCGCTAGTGCTGTACTCACGACTGCATCTGGTAGTCCTGAATCCCAAAGTACTGCGGTTCGTGCTGGGAATGATCATCTTTGATGCGATAGCTATGCAAATACCGCAAGTCGTCGCCTCGTACGGCGCGATCTATCTCTGCCGGACGCAGTTCCCGATCTTCTTCAATACGTGGGAGAAGGTGCAGCTTACTGTGTTCTTCGTGCAGGAAATTATCATCTCCACCGTATTCATTGTCGCAACGATGAGGTTGATGCGTTTGAATCCAACGCGAACCAGACGAAGGACCAATATTATGTACCAGCTGCTTGTGATCAATTTTCTTATTATATCAATGGATGTCTCACTTTTGACGCTGGAGTACTTGGAACTTTACATTCCGCAGACAGTACTGAAGTGCTTTTTCTATACGGTCAAGCTTAAGTTGGAGATTGCTGTGCTGTCGCGGTTGAGTTCTTTTGCTCGATCGCACTATGAGGGGCAAAGCTCTGGGCTGAGCGGATTGAATTAGTGTTTGGCCACATTTTTGCGTAAATATAGTTCGTGCCCATCATACGCAACATATTGGAAATATCACGGGAACTGCATAAATAGCTGCAAAATAACTGCATAATATGGTTAATCCATCACGAATGAATACCGATCGTGAGTCATGCTTGCTCATGATTAGCCCTTTTGCAACTGTCTTAGGCTATCCGGCTCCGGGTTATAGGATATTATCAAAGGGTTGATTCGCTAGTATATAGGCTCTAATCTAGGCCGTCCAAATAGGAATAGGCGAATCTTTGTGAGAACCATTTAGGCTTGTGCCGAGAGGTTCTGTAGTGGATTTAAAGAGGCCACTAAAACAAGGATCAGTCTCAATGATCGAAAGGAAATAAAAAATGCAAGTTAGCTCATCATTTCCCTATAATGATTTCGATTCCCTCTGAAAAAGGCGTAGTGGATAATTTCAAAACTCAAAATGAAAGGCATCATGTAGTATTAACGAAGATGCAACTGAAGAAGAAACTAGGTCTGGGCGCGCACGGAGCTAAACATACACATGCGGGCATTGCTAATCCCAATCAAGGTAGTCCAGTTCTCCTGGCGGAACCGGTAACCGCACTCCGAGCCCATATATCGCTGCTATGCGTCACAGATAAAAAGGACCTTGACGGCAGAGAGCACGATTGTAGGTGTCGAAAAAGAAAAGTACAACTTCAGGAGATAAATTTTTTTGAGAATAGTCTCGTCTCTGTGGCAGACGGACCACAAAATGTTAGCTCTAGGACGGCCCAAAGCTGTCATACTGTTTACTCTCCTTAACTGCACCCAACGATCGGACCCTTGCAATCAATATTTCGGCAGTCTTCTCTAAATGCCGAAATACCAAAGCTGGCCAAGCCCAATTTGGAAGATTGCTTCCAGCTATAGTGATTTCTCTTGAAACCCGAGAGACCAATCTCCTATACTAGTTAGTCGGTTTCATATTCGTGGAGCCTTTTCATCTATATCGTACGGATGTAACTGCAATTGCCGCTCGGTGGAGAATCTGAAACAAAGATTATTACTACTCAAGAACCATGGCAAGTGTACCCCGGGCGACATGGCAACCTCTCATCCAGGGTTATTATGATGCATCCTTGGTCGCATTCTCGTGCTTTACGGTATAAATACCAGTGCTTCCCTACTTGAGCTTCATTTCCTTCCAACAATAACCACATTCTTCGCTCTCGTTTTTCTCCTAAGATCTCTGTCTTACTCATCATGTTGTGCCCCGTTGCATTCCTAGCATTGAGTGCAGTTGCTCAAGCACACACAGTTGCTTGGATCAAAGGAATGTACTGCCTGGGAGGTCCCGACCTTTCGACAGACAACGCGAATACAAACACAGCCGTGGATCCCCTGTATAATCTCACCTATGCAGAATGGTGGTTCCAACACGATCGCGGCTGTGACGCAGCACCTCCAGCGGCCGGCGACATCCTGCAACTCCCAGCTGGCGGAAAGTTCACGGTGGAACTTGCACACAACCGCGCACAGACTACGCTTTCATACGGCGGAAAGTATACTTCTGAATGGCCGGACGGGAAAGAGCACCCCGAAGACTGGGCCGGTCCTGGAAGCCCGCCCGAGTGCATTCAGGATGATGGAGCAATGCATACCAACAACCAATCCATGGCAGCTGGCACTGCGTTTGCCATCAGCTATCAGTCTGAAATGGCTGCGGTAACTATGGAGAACTTGGCTGTGTTTACAGTTTTGGAGCAGTAAGTTCTTTTCCGAAGCTTTTTGCACTATAGTTGCCTGGGTTTCTAATACCCGTGTAAAGCACCCCATGGAAGCGGGTCGCTACCTATGACGTGCCTGAGGATCTTCCTGCTTGTCCTCCTGGTGGATGCACCTGTGCTTGGCTCTGGGTAAGTGTATGAATATTCAATCGGGCTTTACTTAACTGACACCAGATAGGTCCCGAACGGTTGTGGGCAGTCCAACATGTAAGGGTCCATAATCTAGTTCCAGTCCGGTAACTGACAAGGGAACCAGGTATATGGCTGGTTATAAATGCAACGTCACTGGATCTACCTCTTCTAGAAAGGTCGCCGCTGCTCAAGTCCCGGTTTACTGTGTGGATGATACCAGCAAGTGCGTTAAGGGTGCTAAGCAAATGATTGCCTTTAACCGTGAGTCAATCATTCTCCTGGACGGTAGGCCCAGAAGTAACTTGAAAAATTATAGAGCGAACAGGGAACAACGTTTAAGTCCCCGATGGCAAGACACCGATGTATAACATGGCGTGGGGTTGGGAAAATGGTATGTCTTCATCTGCCATAACCATGCAATGAGAACTAATTTGCTAATGATAAAATCGCTCGCCAAAGGGGCACAAAATGATATTTTTGTTTAAATAAGGCCTGGGTTCAAACAAACTGCGATTGATCGAAGAGATGGAACGTAGATCTGGCTGAGATCATAGGATTTAGATCACCAAGTGGGGCAAGCGAACAGCAGGCTGTTCGAATCCTACCACGCAAAGATTGCCACTGTTGTAAGATTCAAGTTGCTCCTGCAAATATTTAAAATTGCTGTACTCCTAATATACAGAAGACTATGCGAGGTTCCCGTACGCAGGCAGAATATGAGGTCCTGACGGGCTGAATTTCATGGCCGCACATTCAAGCTTAAATCGCCTACGATTCTATATTTTAATATGACCATGACCGTCAGAATATTACGTCATATAACGTCAGACGGAGACTTGTGAAGCACCGCTTGTACCTTATAACTTTTTTTGGGTCATGGTCAGCTGGAACCCGCCTTATACCCCTCACTCTCTTCTTCAAGGCACCAGTATCGCGTGACGCCCCTGCTTATTCCGCCCGCAATGATTTAGCCCCTGAACAGACAAGTTCTTTGATTGTTCATTCCAGTCTCCAGGCCCTCCATCAATAAACCTATGAGTTTATCTTTACAGGAATTCCTAGTGGATGATAGTAAAGATGGATAACACCACTGCTACTACTACCACGACGCGATACAACTCGCCCATTCCGCCGAACATCGAAATCGTCGGAACAAAGCCTGAATTGGCAAAAACCCAAGAGGCCAATTTAGGCGCGCTCCTCTACCCCGAAAACGGCGGATACTATCTCAAGTATCCAGAAAGCAAGGTCGTAGCTATCGCTTCTGACCGACTATGTTCCGTTTTGGATGATTCGTACACGTCGCTGCTTTTCCATTACGAGCGGGAAGGCCTGCACCAAGAGGCCGAAGAAGTGATGAAGGAATTACGGAAAGGGGGAATAGACGCGGATGCACTCAAGAGAGATGCGAGCGTTGAGATTAAGAGCGGTGCCTGCGTTTTGGATGGTGGTCCCGACAGGGACGCCGGTGATGATGGCCAACAGCCGAAGGCTGGGCCGTAACGGATGTCCGCTGCTTTGCAAGAGTATGGGTATGAAGTTCAAATTATCATACGCATTGATATCCTACTACATTTTTCGAAACTATGGTACATTGGGATGCGTATCCAGAATCCAGGTCCACCAATGGACTATTCTCACTGGACCCTTCTCACTGGAAATGAAATAGCAATATATGCAATGCTATTGATATTACATGACTACAAGCCTCAAACGAGCGCAATTACAGCGAAGAAGGATCATAAAATGACAGTGACCTCCAATACTGTATTCCATACCAGCCTGAGCAACAAAAGGAATGACTAAAACTCAGCAGGATAACCTGCTATATCCCACCAGCCTTATACGATCTTTCATCAGATGCAAACACGGTTCGAAGAACAAATATAGCAGCCACTGTAATGGACGCATTTTCCAGGTATGTGAGGATAAACGCAGCGGGGATGGCTACATCTGTAGCTACCACCGCAAGCAGATCCGCAGTCGGTATCGTCCTCTCGCTTCTGCAAATCAGCTCCATTCTCTTGTAGTACCCGGACTACATCGACAGCCTCTTCGTGGTTCCCTTCGCCTTCAAGCTTGCGAGATAGAGACATGTAGGATTGGTCCAGTTCGGTGCTCAAGTCGTCAGATGAAACCGCCACAACTATATTACTATCGGGGTGCTTCAAGTAATAACCGCCGTTTTCGGGGAAGAGCAGCACGCCGGGGTTCGCATCTTGTACTTCGCCGAATTCAGGCTTTGTGCCGACAACTTGGACATCGGGTGGGATTGGTTGCTTGTAACGCAAGACGGTATCATTGGCACTTGCAGTTCCCCACAGGAATGCTAGAAGGATGCCTGAGAAGCTTGAAGTAATTTTCATGGTTGCGAATTGTGACGCCTTAGTCAGGGAGGAGGTTATGAATTCTGGATAAGGCTCGATCCCAAGACAACTGCTATCGAAGGAAGAGTCTGGAGGGAACAAGATGCCGTAATTTATAGATTTATAACTTACAAATCTCTTGGATAGAAGCATGTCAGCCTTACAATATGAGCCGACGGAGTCCGGACGCGTTGATGCATGTCAGCCTCCTGCGCTGATGCATGTCAGCCTCCTGCGTTCGCTTCATACGCATGGCTCTGCAGAAGCCATTATGGGCCTCATACAGTAGTTAGTACAGAGGTGCATCGCACCCTGGACCGCTCGTTCCGGCAATCCGGAGGGTACGCTGAATTGTAACTTTGCCAACCCACAATGGCCATCTTACTAGCTTCGTTTGTTATTCTTAGGGAATTTCCGTTTTTTGCTAGTTAAGTTTCTAGATAATAGAGGTAAAATGTGAGGGCCCTCTGGATTCAACCTCCCACGCGTATTTTATGTAAATCTAATTGTACAATAAAGAAGTAAATCTAGGATATTCAAGATAAGAGATATACCGAGAAAAATATTGGAGAGATCACATGGGCGATGCCACAGATATGGAAGACCCATCACATGGTAACGCCACCATTACTGCAAAAGTGTCTCGAGGTCAGCAACACGAGTAGCTCTGTCCTCAGCTTTCTTCTTAGCCGTCTCACGGAATGCAGCAAGCATAAGTTCACGCTTCCGTTTCTGAATGTCGAGGACGCGCTCCTCAATGCTATCTTCGATTACTAGCCGCCACATAGTCGTCTTCCGCTTTTGACCGAGTCGATAAACACGGTCGAGAGCCTGATCTTCAATGGCAGGTGCCCACCAGCTATCCGCGAGGATGGCCTGGTTGGCTGCAACGAGGTTGAGGCCGACGCTGCAGACACTGAGACTGGCGAGGAGGACGGCGCAGGAAGGTTCATTAGAGAATACGTTGATGGAATTGTCGCGCTTCACGGACGGCATCTTGCCGTCGATGCGGACGAATTTGATCCCGCGCTGCTCGAGATGAGGCTCGACGAGATCGAGGAACGAGGTCCACTGGCTGAATACCACGGTCTTCGTGCCCGGTGCTTGGCCCTGGGCAATTAGGACTTTCATGAGCGCCTCGATCTTGCTGCTGGGGTTATTGGGGTCGGCAACGACAGTTTCGGGGCTTTCACCCATATCGACAGCGGGAGAAACCAGAGTGGAGCTGTCTTCGATATCGGCACGGCAGAGTGGACACTTGTGCTGTCGCTCGATGACTTGCTCAACACAGTCTCGGCAATAAGCATGGGCGCATGCAGTAATTACAGGCTGTTCAAGATTGTCAAGGCAGATGGCGCACATTTCCTGACTCTCGATCTGAATTTGCAGCATATCCTGGAGGGCTTTGATGTTCTCGGGGTTCAGAGGCACAACCTTGTGTTTCTCTAGGTCGCCCATGAGTTTATTAACGCGGTCTTTGCAGAGAGCCCAGTGATCACAGACTTGACGGAGACGTAGAAGAACCTCCAACAAATGGGAATATTCTCCTTGCTTATCTTTGAACTGCATGAGAGCGCCCTTCGCTTCGGACCTGGATTTTGTTAGTGGGAAACAACAAATAACATAGAGACGGATTGATATACTGGAGTGCGTTGTACTTTTCCAACTCGTGAGGATGGAACTTGATACGGAGAACCCGAGATTCCATGGTTGGTAGACGCAAGTTGATGAATTCCATGTCCTTCCGTCGTCGTAGACAAATGGTTCCCATGAGAGCCTCGAGAAGCAGTCGAGCTTCGGGTTCGCCGTTAGTAAGAGGACGCATCAGAACACTATTGAACATAGCGAGGTCCTCCAAGCCACCGGAGAGTCCTAGGAAACGAACTTGCGAATACAAATCCTTGAGTGTATTGATAATCGGTGTTCCTGTCAAGGTCCAACGAGAGTCTGCACGCAAGGCACAGGCAGCAAGAGAGGCCTTTGAGCGGGGGTTCCGAATGGTGTGTCCTTCGTCAAGAACAACACGGCGCCAGTGAACGGAGAATATTCCCTTGGCAGGAGTCCTTTTCGCTTCCGGCTTGAAGTCCAATGCAAGGGCTCCGTAGCTTGATACCACCACGTCGTACGCTGCCAGGTTGGCCGCCTCTTTTTTGCCAGAGCCATGGTAAATTAAGACTCGTGGTGCGGTCTCACTCTGGGTGTGCTCTTGGATTTGATTCCTCCAGTTGCTCATGACACCGACCGGAGCTAAGATCAATGTCGTTTTGCTGGAATCGGAGGTGCGAGGAGCCGAATTGGCCATGATAAGGGAGATAATCTGGATGGTCTTTCCCAGACCCATGTCATCGGCTAGGATGCCACCACTCGCGAGAGGCGGTGCAGTGGTCGTTGAGAAGTTGGTAGCAACGTTGGTAAATTTGTTACCGTCGCGTTTCCAGAGCTGGACCACCGCATCAGAACCAGGCGCTGGAAGGGTAGGCGATTCTTGAGCGATCATCCACGCCAAACCCTGTCGCTGATATGGGAGCAGTTGTGTAGAAAGACCCTCTGGAGAATCGGCCAAGGGCATCTTGGCCAAATCCGCCTCTTTTTGTCCGAAGGTCTCCACAATCTGACTGATCTCTCTCGGGTTGAAGGAGCTGCTTTGGCTGAGCAATTCCTCCAGACTCTCACTTCCACAAAGCCCAGTTGGGTCAGAGAGGTTGGCGAACATTGAATTCTCGTTTGCCTGCCATTGTTGTGCAGCTTTGCCCAGAGCCATCGCACGAGCACGTTTTTCAGCCTGTTTCCTCTCTTGCTCTTGCTGCTTTTGGCGTCTTGCTTCGTCACGCTCGGCTTGGACAAGCTTGGATACTGGGAGCTTATCCTGTTGCATGTTCCTTTTCAAAGCAATCTTTTTGGTTGGTTCATTGGTACCAAAGAGGTTCAACATCACAGGGCAGTCGTAAAAGCCCTTTGGTCCTGTCAGAATACCTTCTACAAGGAGATCTCGCGGGTCCTGCAACATTAATTGCTTAGCCATTTTACCAAAAGGGTGTTTTATCGGAAAATACCATGTATTTTGCGAGCTTGGCCGCGACTCCTCGCGGGATATGGCCTATCTGAGCACCCATGACATTGTCGACCCGAATTGCATTTGAATCATATTGGTTCTGGGGTTCACGTTTCAAAAAAACATGCTCTCCAGACGTAGCAACCCCATTGTAAAAGCGAACGCCCACAATCTTTGCGGGTAATTGACCTGGTGATATTGTTGAGCTTTCCTTGGTTCTCAAAATATAGGTTTACAAGATCTTGAGAAGTAAACATACCATACAGCATGAAGTTCCCCGTCGAAGGATCATCCTGACTGCCCTGGACAAGTTCGGCAGCTTCTTCGTCCTCGTCCTCGGCCAAGGCAACCTGAGAGAGCGGAGGCAACGGAATAAAATCGGCGCTTTCGCCAAACCTCACACCAGGGCTGACATCCTGGGAGTCAAAAGACGATTCAGTCCGGCTGGCCTTTGAAGCACGCGCCGTGCCATTCTCATCTGTGTCTGTCAAGTCGACCGTATCAGGCTTTCGTTTTCCGGGATACCGGGTCATCGCAGCGGTCTCCACAAGTAGCAATGATCAAGCAATGGAAGTATTAAAAGGCCAGAAAATCCCTTTCCATTTCGGTCAAAGTGAAGGAATAGGAGAAAGTATGACGCCGATCGGAACCCACGCGTGTATGACACGTGATCACGTGATATACAAAAGACGATTTCCTTGGTCGTATAACCTTGCTTTTTCGCTTATTCTTACAATCTCAAACACCGAACATCCCAAAGAGTCGCCTATCTTCTTGGTACCTTTCTTTACCAGAAGTCGACCCTGGCTGAACCCGTCAATTGGCTGCGCCGTATCTTCAGCCCCTAGCGCATTTTGAAGACAAGCTCCCGAGTTTAGCGGCGCCCCATCCAATGACCGATCCCCATGGCTCATACAGGGCTTTCAAGCAGAGCCTCGGAAAAGAGCTCGACTCTCTTATGCAGCAAGGGGATTTTAAGCCTATTTTTCTTTACCATGTGGTTTTCTTCAATTGCCTTCCGTTTATCGGCCTGATCATACCCCGCCGCCGAGGCGGGCGCTATGTCCGCTACTTTATCTGTGCCGTCGGTCTGGGATTTGCGTTTGAGATATTAAGAAGTCATAGAGCCTTGATTGGCGGCAATGGATATATGATTGGCATTATGACTGCGTGGTGGCTAATTTGGTGTACCACGCTTTTTATGTTTAAGGATGTCGAGCATGACTTTCGGCGGATTGAAAGGGACACTAAATTTGAATCCGAAAGCACTTTCTCGTCAAACAACATTCAAGGAAAGTCAGCCCACACTGACAAGAATGATCGAAAGCGTGATGATCTCTTTCACTGGCAGTCCTATCCTCGCAAGTTCTCCCATCGTCTCGAGTGGTGTGCGGGGCTGCTCTTCAACCTCCGAGGACCAGAATGGAACTGGCGAGCTCCTCACCTTGGTCCTCTTCCTCAATCCGTCCATGAACAGCTGCGTTCAGGTTTCCCGCCGAATAGGTTTCGTGCAGAGGATGATGATACTCTCTTGACTTCGAAGCAGCGTCTTCGAGCTGCCTTCTTCACCTGCCTGCAGTCATACCTCCTGCTAGATGCCCTCAAGGTCATAATGATGCGAGACCCTTACTTCCGAGGCACTGCTGGTCCTAACTCGGTGCCACCATTCCCACTCTCCTACCTAGCACCCTTTCCCCTGCTAGTTAGATTCTACCACTGCTTCCTCAGCTGTGTGGGTGTCTACGTTGCACTCAACTTCGTCACCTCATTCGGCCCCATCTGTTTTCTCGGTCTGTCATTAGCCTTTCCCAATGCATCACGGAAATTGACAGCTGCTCCACTTGATGAGCCTTGGCTGTATGCTGATTCTTTTGGCCCTTTCATTTCCCCCGTACTCGACCATGGACTCGCCGGCTGCTGGGGTCGTTGGTGGCACCAACTCTTCCGCTATGGATTTACCTCCACTGCTAGGTGGATCCTGTCATTGCTTCCAAGAAACTGGACTGCAAATGCACAGACGAAACGAATCATCCATATTGTTGTTGCGTTCACTCTCAGTGGCTTCATACATGCTTGCGGCAGCTACACCCAATTCCCAGAGACTCGTCCTTTTTCGGGTCCATTCTTATTCTTTTCTCTGCAAAGTGTGGCAATTATTTGCGAACACATCTTTAAAACGGCCATATATCCACAACTACCTCTTGCTGGTACCCCGCGGTGGCTGAGACGCACCACAAATGCAATGTTTGTTTTCTTCTGGCTGCTTTTCTCCGGAGCTTTTATTGCGGATGACTTTTCACGAGGTGCGTTGTGGTTGATGGAGCCGATTCCACTCAGTCCACTGCGTGGAATGGGGCTTGCATATGGGGAAGGTTGGTGGTGTTGGAAGGAGCCATGGTTTCGATATTGGAGCGATGGGACATATTGGGGCAGTGGGATCCGAGTCCTATAGACCATCATAGAGAATACATACCCCAGTATACAATAGACTTTGATTTCTGGACCAGCGCATGCCCAGGTGGCAGGTTATTATGGTGAGCATCTGTAAATGTATTTATTGATACACAAAGCCGTTAACAGGTGGTATATAACGTGGCACCCAAATAGGTAGGCACGGAGTCTTTTCTATATCTACACTCTCTTCTTTAACCTCCCATATTGACGTCCTCATCATCGTCATCCTCATCCTCGGTGTCAGGGTCCATATTCAGAGTAGGCAATTCGTCGTCGCTATCATCCACAGCCGCGGACGCCTCAGCCGGGACCTGCGGGGCAACGGAAGTCGAAGACACTTGCGAGGTAACCTGGACTGGCTTCGGTCCACTTGTCGCCTCGATCTTGGCAGGCTGAGAGATTGAAGAAGACACTTGAGTAATCATCGCAGAAGGCTGGTTCATCGAAGGAGCGTTATTGCTGGAAACGCTTTCTTCGAATCGGGCTTTTTTAGTCTGCACCGGCTCCTTCAATGCCGAAGTGAGACTGGCCGGCTGAGCGGTTATTTCATCGACGTAAGTCCGCTTGTGTAAAGGTGCCGCAGGCTCAGCCCTTTGAGTCACGGTAGAGGTGGCCACCGGTTCCTTCAAGAAATCAGAAGTCTTCGACGTAACCTGGTATGGCTCATCAGCCATCTCCTCGTTCTCTTCCTCATCTTCCTCGTCTTCCTCGTCGGCAAATGAGTCCAGCTCCGGGGCAGTCATGAGAACCGGCATTCTGGGGCGGACCAGAGCCTCGACTTCCATCTGATCAGAGTGAGCCTGGACCAAAAATGGGATGATGCTAGCACCGGCCGCACGGCCCTTAATGGCTGGAATGGGATTCAATACGCTGGCAAGCATTGCGTCCTTGTCGGCAGTCAAAATGATTGTACGGTCGATGTCAGTTCGAACAGATGCCAGGAGCTCCGATGGAACATATGCAAGAACACTTTGCAGAAGCTCGGAAGCAGCGCGTTCGAGATCAGGGAAACGGTGGACGTTTTGAGACTGTCCGGCTTTTTGCAAGTTAGGATTCAAAAAGGAGTCGGCATTGACTGCGCTTTGACCCTGCTTTGATTTGGATTTGGGATCAGACTGTGCCTTGGCTTCAACAACGGAGTCTCCAGGCACCGGAAGAAGATCAGAGCAGCAAGCGCGAATAACAGGGATGATAGGGGTCACAGTTTGCTTCGTCATAGCCGAGCCGTTCACAGAGACCAGAGAGCTAAGCAAGTCATAGGCAGCCATTCGCACGTCTCTGCTGAAACGTTCATTTCGGAATACCCAAGTGACTTGCTCCACCATAGTCTGAGTAAGAGGAGCTGCGCTGTTCTCCAGAACGATCACAACGTGGGCCAATACGTCCATACAAGCCACATGAATGCGAGGCAGCTCAGCGTATAGCATTTCACGCTCCTCGCGGCCAATCTGAGGGTTAACCTGTACACCGGATGAGGATGCTTCGGCGCCTGTTGGGACAGTCACAGAACTGAGCCGGGAAATTAGGTCGAGGGTAGGCCCCAGAGGAAGAGCGACTGCAGTAGCCGATGGCATGGAGATGAAACCAGACAGAATTTGCAAAAGTGCAATCAGCCTATCAGCTCCAGCATGCATTCCCTTCCAACTGTGAAGTCCCAAGTCATCGGGAGCGTCCATCGACACTCCTTTGTTGTAGTTCTGTCGCGGTGCTGTCAAGGTCGAATCAACAGATTCCCATTGCTCTTTTACAGACCGCAGGACAAAATCGGCAGACCGGTGGGCGGAAACGATGGTCGATCTGCAATCTTCATTCCAGCTAGAGCCCGACTTGTCCTTGGGTGCGCATTTGTGGAGGGAGACGAGCAGTTGTTCGGCGACGTCAATTACTGGCTCGGGATAGAATACTGGCGGTTGGAAGCTCAGAATGCTGGTAACCAAAGACCGAAGTTGGCTGGCGAATGGGCGGAAGATTGTCGGGTGACGAGGAACCAACTCCAAAATGGCATGCAGAACCGTTTCCATGAAAGGCGTGCTAGGCTTCGGCTCCCGGATCGAACCTCCCTGGACTTTCTGCAAAGTCGCGACCAAGTTCAAGGCGGCATTGACAAATGCTGGGAGGTGAGGAGTGGTGATTTCTCGAACGAGGGTCGGATACTGGTAGGTAAGGTGAAAGATGCGCGTCAACGTAATTATACACATTTTCTTCGTGGACACCGGATCGGGTTTCTTGAAGCGTCAAATAGGTCAGTCGGGTGAACAATAGACAATTATACCAGAGAGCCATACCGCCAGGATCCCAATCAGACTGCGAACAATCGGCTCGTAACCGCGCAGAATCTCCCATTGACCCGCTTCGACAGTAGCTTTCACCAGAAGCACTGCGGTCCATCGACCCTCCACGCTGCGGTCCTGCAGCAAACTAGCCAGGCGAGTCTTGAGCTTGTGAACTTGAATCGCATTTTCGGAGTCCGATTTGCCTGGTTTTTGGGTTTGCGGGGCAGAGAGTAGTTCGGCGCAATCGCTCAGCGAAGTCGCAAGAAATAAAGCGATCGAGGGCAATTGATCGACCGGCGTGGTCGTCAAGCGATGGGTGGCTGCGCGCAAAGTGGTGGCAGCCATAGCTAAACGAAACACCTCGGGTGTTGAATCAGCACGAGCTTTCACGCTTTCGTAGGCAGAAGATCGCTGTAGAAGGAAAGAAGGTTGGTAATTTTTCGGAGGGTCAAAGCTCGGGCCACATGAAGCCTCGGGTAAATTACCGTCACGTACGTAAACGCAAGCCACCCCTGGGCGATCATCGGCACTCAACTTGGGTTGGCGGCGTGCCAACGCCATTGTCCTTCTCCAACTTCCCTATCTGCGCACTCCTCAACCATGGCGGTACGTGTTTGTTTGATCTATTGACGTCGCGCTTGACTATATTCACTGCATCGACTCGGCCCTGCAACTATACCAACTAACACGTGCGACTAGGGAGGTAATGAGAAGGGACAGCGCTACGCCGTAGCCTTGGACCAGGCGCGTGCTCAAAGCAAATGGGACGAGGTCCCAGAATTGATTCGAAAGGTCACCAAGCACGCACCACAGAGGACATGTATGATCGCCTCGCCCCGCCTCCCTAGATCGCGCTAACGGGAAGCTTCCCCCAGGTTTGATTCAAACAGCGACTGCTGAAACTCGAGTTGTCGCGTATCTACGACAGAAGACCGCCCCTGAAGCCCCCGAAGATGATCCCACGCCTGCGCCCCAGCCCAACCTTCTAGAGCTGATTCCCGCGCTGTTGACAACCATTGACAACAGCGACGGTTCCCCGCAGGAAATAGTCCAAGCGCAAGTCTGCCTGGGATGGATCCATTGGGCCCTGGGCGAGCCCAAGTTGGCCGCAGGACGTCTTCCAAAGGACTTCACAATGACCGTGCACGACTTGCTGAGTGAGGGCGACGGTCTTTCCCCATGGACCGAGGTCTGCATGGTCAAGGGATGCTACATCAAAGGTTCGTCTGTTCCGTGGACTACTCAAGGCTCTTGTGCTTATTACGGTGCAGGATCGGCGCAATCTACAATTACAGGAATAGACGAGACGCTGGAGACCTTTGCTTCGCTGGTTCCGTGGCTAGGCAGCGGGGTGCTAACTTCGAGCACCAACGCGCAGTTCTTGAGTTGGTCCGAAACCATGCTTGGAAAGGGTGCCTTGATGGCGAGTGAAACAGCGACTAGGGCCTCCCCGATGGCGGATCCCAGACATGTGGAAATTGCGCTTCAACTCTTCCGCTTGTGGGCTTCTCTTACCGCGGTGAAGCAAGGGCTCGCCTCCCCACAGACCCTCTATACGGACGCCTCCGGTTCACTTTCACGGGTCGCTATTTGGAAGGCATACTACGGATTCCTCACTACTGTTCTCCAGGACAACCTCATTTACGCCCCTGCTCATAGCGGCGTTCCAGAACGCCCCCAATTGGCTAGCGAGTTGCGGCGCATCGAGGCTATCTGTGAAAACAGTCTGCTCCGTGAAGTGAAATTCCCCACCGCCGAATCCAACAACTCCCAAGTTGAGGAATGGATTGAGTTGGTCATCAAGAATTGGCAGGTTCTTTGTGGGCCGCACTGGCAGGACCAGGATCTTGGCGAAGGGGGTCAGAATGCCGTCGGCCGGAATGTTTTGGACGTACGTGGGAATGATTGACCCTTGCTCGGTTGCAATGAACTAACTTTATTTGACAGATGCTTTACCGCGCAGCAACCAAAACATACCATTCGCACCTTATTCTTCGGCGTTTGTTCCATGTCCATTCGGCCTTGGCAGACTTTGACCTGGCCGTCAAAGCTCTAGACTCTTACATTGAGATTGTTATTGCCGCCAAAGAACGAGCAGAGAAGGGGGCCGAGCTTGGCGAATTAGAGCAAGATGAAACGCTATTACAAACCCTCTCCGAGGGCGTTGCTTTACTCTGCTGCCTCGGATCGTTCGACGAGGCTGAAAAGGCTAAAAAGTTGACGGAACTGATCAGGGAGTGTATCGACAAGCAGGTGGCCGGTCGCGAGGATGGCCAAATCGATGGCAAGCTATTGCTCTCGCAAGGCCCCAACCCTCATAACTCTCGAGAAATTCCCCTTTCGACACTCGCCACTGCCTACCGAGCAGTCGGTATCGGTCTCGCTAACTGGGCATATTACACTCCTCTGAATGAGGCACGTGATGAGATCCGAGCTGAAGCCATTCAATACCTAGAAAAGAGCATCGCTCCTGAACTGGGCGACCGAGGAAACTACTCCTCGCTATATACGCTCTCTATTGCACTGGCCGAAAACCGGGATTTGGACACTGCGATTAAGTATGTAAAATCTGCTTTAGGCTCGCGTGGTCCAGCGCCCGACTCTGAAGATCTCTTCAGGGAACGGGATCTTGTGCCACTCTGGCATTTACTTGCGCTGCTGCTCAGCGCCAAGCAGGACTTTGACATCGCGGAGCGCTCATGCGAAGCGGCTTTTGAGCAGTTCCCAGCCGAGATTTTCGCTAAAAACAAACGCCCGGAGCGACAACCGTCAAGGAACTCGCAGCTTTCCGGTCCTCCCAAGCGCACATTGGTCAGTCGATTGTCAGGTCGAGAGAAAGAACGCATCCTCGAGACTCGTATCACGCAGGTCGCGTTCACCGAGGTTCTCGAGGGGCCCGAGGCTGCTGTCAATCAGAGTGACCAGTTGCTGGGACTTTTCAGCAGTCTGTTCCATGACTTCAACCTTGACGGCGAGGGAAGAACGAAGGCCTCCAAGCCAGAACATTTGGTACCACCCAAGAGCTCTGCCGGTACTACGAAAAGCTTCCGTAGCAGTATTTTCCATCGGAACAGAATTTCTCAACTGCCAGACCGCCGGGCTGATCCAAATGGCTCGAAGCCTTCTACCCCACCCCCACCAGTTCCGGCCGTCTCAAATGGACCTTATGCTGGAGCAGATGCGCCGGCTATCCAAGTCACAGACGGAGATACCCACCTGCAGTCTGATCGGGCATCTACAATTGGGAGATCAGACTCCACGAGGCTGAAGAAACGCAGCAGCAGCTTCATCAGGAATGAGCGGCCTCGTGGTCAGGAACCCCCTCTTCCCAATGGGACGGAGTCCCTGGACATGGTTGGCATTGCGGTGTCTGGAAATACATCACCCGTGTCAGCGAATCATACCCCAACCAGCAAACAACCCCTACAGCCAATTGCACACAACATGAATCCCATGCAACAACCACTTCCAGTCGGGCACAAAAACCAGCCACCGGCGCAAGACGTTCGACTCCCTGGCACCGTTTATCACCGATTCGACTCCCCATCAAAGGCAATTACCAAGTTTTCAATTGCCCAGTCCGAGAAACACGCCCTCGGGTTGCTTATCAAATTGTGGCTTATTATTGCCGGAATGTATCGCCGCGCGTCTTTATTCGATGATGCCCGCGAGGCCTGTGAAGAAGCTGCGAAGCAAGTCGCACGGGTGGAGTCAGTGGCATCATCGTACGAGTCATCTGCGCGGGCTTTTAGCAAGCGTGGCTGGAGTGCTGCCAAGAGCCCCGACGAGCTGTGGGCTGATGTCTACACCGAACAAGGAATGTTGTGCCAGGCTCGATCAAACCCTCATAAGGCCATCAAACACTTTGAAGAAGCGCTCCTGCGCCAGGCCGACCACCCGACAGCGACGATCGGCCTTGCAAACCTCCTCTTAGATATCTGGGACAAGAAGTTGCCGCTTGAGACGGCAAAGGCCGATGCGGACCCCAATGCCTCTCGCCTCTCTCTGCTAACCGAAACTCCCAAGCCGAAGACCGGCAAGGCCGTATCCATTGATGAGCTCAAAGCCTCCGAAGCGGTGGAGACTGTGGAGTCGACAGAGGCTTCTGTCTCCGCGCACGACGTCGGCCCTAAGCACCTTCACCGTCTTGCAGCTCGGGATCGCGCCTACGGTCTCCTTTCCGCGCTGACCAAGCGTGGCAGCTCGTGGGATAGCTCCGAGGCGTGGTACGCCCTATCGCGGGCATACGAGGCCGGTGAGCAGGTCGAGAAGCTGAAAGAGGTGCTGTGGTGGTGCATTGAATTAGAGGACCGTCGGCCGATTCGGCACTGGTCGAATATCGGCTCTGGTCTCTACGTTCTCTAAATCGACAAAGGATCGGAGTCGCTTGATTTGACATATTCTTGTATCTAGTTTGTTTTCCCACCCTGCCCTCGTTTTCCCCTATCATGTTCAACAAATGAGATACCATGTCCCGGCTAGGAATTTAGAGGAGGTTAATTAGTTGCCGGAGAATTTAGCATTGAAAAATCATTGAAGTTTTGAAACAAATTTCTAGTCAAATCATTGGTAGCACAACTTTATGTACATCGCTCGAACAAGCCCCGACTGGATGCTTGCAGAGCTATAAAAAGAAAAACTGAATCAAGCACCAGTACGAAAGTTGGATTCATTTTGTTAGCCCACTAGCCAACATCAATTTACCGCGCAGCAGCAACGGGAGTCCAGGCGGAGTACTTGGGGCGGGTGCTGTGACATCAGTTAGTCAATGCGAGCATGATATGAACGATTCGAGCACACGTACGTCGAGTAGGTCTTGAAAGCAGCCCGGCTGAGGGTGGGGTTGGCGCGGTGGTCGGGCAGCTCCCAGGTACGGTGGCCGCTCTGGATGACCTTGTCGACGGTTGGGGGAGCATCGACCATGTAGGAGATCCAAGCGTGCCTAGAACCAAGATCAGTTTTCGAATTCTCGGCGTGTGGGAAAGGACGTGCTTACCAGCCAGGCTCGATGTGGGAGGCATCGTATTCGTGCTCCTTGTAGTCGACCCATCGTGTGCGGACTGTATGGGAAAACATCCTTAGCGTCCTCTTTCCTCTTAATCATGATTCCTTGAGCGGCGGGTCTTACGGGGAAGCTCCTCCTCCATGTTCTCGAAGTACTTGTTGCCGAAACGGTCGACTCCGATCAGGGTTCCGGCTTTGGTATCACCTGTGATCGTGTGGGGTCAGTTATCTGCCACTGGAAAGGTCAGGAAGGGGCAAAACATACCGATGTACTATGAAACAGCGAGAAAAAGGTCAACGTTAGTCTCCATGCATTCCTATCCATGATATCTCCCATATCCGCGGCAAGTAACGTACGTGCATCTGATGGCCATAGTCCTGGAAAATCGCGTTAGTAAACCATTTTCTCACGATAAAAGGAGCGCGCAACAAACCTTCAGGCCAACTCGGCGCAGATTGCGCAGCGTCCTCATGATGGTCGACATCTTGGCGGTGCAATGGGGGAAAAGGATGGAGACTGCCGAGTCGTGAAGCGAAATGGAAGTCGGGGCCGAATGCAAACACGAAATGTTTGCACCGGCCCTGGTCTCCTTCCCGATTGAGAAATCCTTTTGAATGAGCCAATTCAACCATGTTCGGTCGCATCGGAGGCCAAGCGCTTCGCTGCGCTGCTCGGCCGGTCGTACGTCGCAAAATCCCCGGTCGCAGGTTCTCCGCGCAAACTGCCAATACTACTTCGGCCTCTGCACCTTCGCCACTCGGAGGCATCACCGTCGAGCTCGATCGCATTGCGCCTAGATTCGAGGTCCCGGCCTCCCAGATTACGATCATTGATTCACCGGCCAATTTCTATGCCGCATTGAAGGTGCGTTGTTCCACGGCATCTATAGTCGGGCTATAAACTAACGTGTGCTCAGCATAAAATCCGCAACGCCAAGCGGCGCGTTTACCTCTCCACGCTTTACATTGGCAAGACTGAGCACGAGTTGATCGAGACCCTGTCGGAAGCTCTGCGCACCAACCCAGATCTCAAAGTATCCATCCTTACCGACGCCCTTCGCGGTACCCGAGAAACACCCAATCCCTCAAGCGCATCGTTGCTCTGTTCGTTGGTGCAGGAATATGGACCAGAACGAGTTGAGATTCGGATGTTCCATACGCCCAATCTCACGGGGTCGAAGAAAAAGTTGATCCCTCGTCGAATCAATGAGGGCTGGGGCTTGCAGCATATGAAGCTCTACGGTATCGACGATGAGATTATACTCTCGGGGTAAGAATGGCCTTTCTATTGAGAGGTGTCATGATGCTAATGATATATTCCAGAGCCAACCTGTCCTCGGACTACTTCACTAATCGCCTGGATCGCTACCATTTATTCGACTCCAAAGCCTTAACAGAGTACTACGCTCGCATTCACCATGCAATCTGCAGCCTGAGCTTCCAGGTCCTGCCAGATCCCCAAAATCAGGCGGGCTACCTTCTGCATTGGCCTACCTCAAATGGAGCGCCGTCACCTCTGGACAACCCCCAGGACTTTGTTGCATATTCATCAACTGTTTTGAGCCCGCTCATCCAGGCGCGTGATAACACGCCTGCTGTCCCCTCCTCGTCAAGTCAAACCTTTGTATACCCCGTGGCACAGTTCACCCCCCTTCTAAAGCCCGACACCTCCACCGAGTTCCCAGCTGTCGCCAGTATCCTGGGTCTGTTATCCGAGTCTCCTGCGTTCGCAGGAGCACGCTGGCTCTTCACTGCAGGATACTTTAATATCCACCCTGTCCTTTCTTCCCTCTTGATCTCCAGCACATCTTCCAGTCCTCAAAGCCCAACCACAACCCAGGGCACTGTACTAACCGCTTCCCCGTGGGCCAATGGCTTCTACGGATCCCCGGGTATTTCCGGCATGCTGCCAGCTGCATACACACACCTGTCCGCGCGCTTTTTAGACCGCGTGGCTGCAGCACAGTGCACAAACTCCATCCAATTGAAAGAATGGCGCCGCGGCACAGTCGGCACACCGAACGGATGGACATACCATGCTAAGGGGCTGTGGATCACCCTGCCTGGTGAGGAACATCCCAGCCTGACATTTGTCGGCAGCAGCAACTACACCAAGCGGAGCTACAGTCTCGATATAGAGGTCGGCGCATTAGTCGTGACGAGCGACCCGGCTTTGAAGCAGAAACTGGGCGCTGAGACCGAGTGGCTTCAGAAAGATGCCAAGGCAATCTCGAGAGAAGACCTGATGCGTACGGAGCGGCGTGTCGGGTGGAACGTACGACTTGCGATGTGGATTGTTGAGAAGGTTGGCGGGGCACTCTGATGCTCTGCTTGTATATATAGAACTTGTATAGTTGTGAACGAAGGACCTGTGAATTGCCTGTTCGAGTTAGTTTTACCTTTTCCGGCTTAGCGCCCAAATGCCGTCACGTAGCCTCAAACTTGTCGCGACCCAAAGGGAACAGTGAGAGGAGCAATAAAAGAAAGCATAGATCTGCCGGTTGAAACAGAATGAAGATATTACAGGATACCTTGTCAGTAAATACAGATCAAGTATGTCAAAATATCACATTTTGTCTAACCATTATGATCACTAACACATATGCAAGAAGCGGTTAAAAAGAAAAGCCAAACGCCGAGCCATGGATTCCATTCAATGTCGTATCATGCACAGAGCATCCGTCTAGATGACTTTGTTGCGTGTGTTCGTACCGGAGAACCGAGCCGGGCCCAGGCCCGAGCGGACTTCGTCAAGCATCCGAATACCGATTGCCTCGTTACCATTCTTGCCGCGCTTGTTTTTGGCGCCCCTTCGCTTGGCCTGGGCGCTGGTGTTATCGTCCCAGCTGGCAAGGAAGTCATCCATGACATTGTGAAACTCGCTGCGGGAGACTCCTTCGCCATTTGCGTTGACGAGACTGGGTGCTTGGGATGATGCAGTAGACATGCCAGTCATGCCAGTGGCGCCGGTCATGCCGCTGACCATTGACATGCTGTCGTCGTACTCCTCTTCTTCATCAAGGGCGTAGAGTGCCTCAACTCTGTCGAACCGGTCATCCAGGAGACGGTGGCCTTCGGTACGTGCCAATGCGGACGAGGTCATGGAATATGCGGATGGGTTGGTCAAAGCACCCTTGCGCTTCTTGCGCCGGATCGGAGTACCTCCAGCAGTAAAGGCAGTCGATGCAACTGTCTGCTGCTCAGAGGGTGCGATCGTCGGAGCGGCCGGGACACCAGTCTTGCCGGATTTGGCATCTTTCTTGAACTTGGCGAATTCGTTCATCCAGCCCTGATCGTGAGGGTGAAGATCCGGGGCGGGCTGATCAGCTTGGGGCAGTTCGCCGGGCTCGAGATCTTGCGAGGGAGTCTCGGCATCTTCGGCGAGTTGTCGTGCCTCTGTGCTATCTCTTTGAACCGGTGCCTTTTCAGTCGCATCCGACTCCCATCCCTCATCATCCTCATCTTGGTCGAACAGAGTATCCTCCCAATCACCAGAGTCCATCTCCTCGGCATGCTTTGTCAACTCGCCGAAAATATCGTCATCTTCATCATCAACGAAAGCCTCATCCTCTAGAGCTTCCAAAGCCTCTCGCAGTCGTGGGTCCATGTCTGGCTGGAAGCCAGCAATGGCATCGGGGACGTTCTGCTGATCCTGATAGGTCGGCTTGCGAACGTACGAGGACGCAGTCGAGCGCAGATCACCATACTCAGATCCGTAAAGACTCTGGCCACCGAGGGCGCTCCGCGCATCGCCTTCGTCCAAAGAAACCTGGCGCAACGCATCCTCCAGTTTTAACGCCTTACCCTTGCCCTTGCCTTTCTCAGGCTTGGCCTCCACAAAGTATGCGTCTCCACCGCCAGTGCCGAGCTCGCGCAAATGTTGCATGTAGTCATACTTGGAGTCATCGTAGTAAACGCCGTAGTTGGCAGCCTCACCCTCGTTGCGACGGACGGACTCGTCGTGGAATTCGGACTCAAGTTCGGACAGCTTCCGGAAAGGCTTTTGCGAGGAGGTTGACGCAGAAGAAGGAGCAGGCGCAGGACCACCGACGTGGTGCAGGACTCGGTCCTCTGCATGGGGGTCGTGGATCAACGGGTCATTTTGAGACCGGTGGAAGAGCTGGAAAGTGCTCGCTGTCTTCTTGTCACTGCAATTACATTAGTTGGGATCGACTAGACCAGTTGAAGATAACTTACATCCACTGCTTCTTGGGCGGCATGTTGGCTGGTGATGTGAAGATGGACGCTCGAAAAAGTGAAAAAAAGTGGGATTGATAGGGTCACGTGGGGCTTATCGCTGCCTGACCCCTCGGGTCCTCAAACTGGTGTTAAGCGAGCAAAAGACTGTGAACCGGGTGATTTCTTTATATTTTCACTAGAAAGGCTAGCTTGAATACTGCAATACTCTAATATATTGCAAAACGAAGTAAGAATAAGGAACCTTGTACAAGAAACCAGAGATTTTCACTCTTTAGCCTAGCTGAGTCAGCGTTATCTTATCCGACTGAATAATCCAAAAGATTTCCATTTTCAGGCGGGGTTGAACTTGATCTTCTCTTCAACTTCATACCACTGCACCCTCATTCACCATGGTGTTAGCAAAGTCAAAGAACTCCGTGGGGCTGGGCAACAGCCTCATGAACGACCGCTTCGGTAAGGGCAAAGCCTCGAACCAGAAGAAGGGCTCCCACAACAATGCCATTGCGCGCAAAGGCGTGAACGGCGAGACCTACATCACCAACGAGGCTCAGGAAGCATCATGGGTCAAGATGCGCTCCATCACCGAGCAAGCTGCCCTCGATGAATTCCTTAGCACTGCGGAGCTGGCAGGAACCGATTTTACTGCCGAAAAAATCAACAACGTGAAAATTATCCATACCGATCAGAAGAACCCATACCTCCTAACCCCGACCGAGGAGAAGAATAAAGTTCAGAAGCACCAGAAGAATAAGGGACGGTTGACGGTGCCGAGGCGGCCGAAGTGGGATTCCTCGACTACGCCGGCGCAGTTGGAAATGATGGAGCGTGAAAGTCTTTTGAACTGGCGTCGTGGACTGGCGGAACTGCAGGAGAATCAGGATCTGCTCATGACTCCGTTCGAGCGAAACTTGGAAGTCTGGCGCCAGCTATGGCGTGTTATTGAGCGATCGGATCTCGTCGTGCAGATTGTCGATGCCCGTAACCCTCTTCAGTTCCGCTCGGAGGATCTGGAGAACTATGTCAAGGAGATTGACTCGCGGAAGAAGAACCTGCTGTTAGTGAACAAGGCGGATATGTTGACTCTCAAGCAGCGAGAGTCTTGGGCCGAGTACTTCGAGAAGAACAACATCAACTTCCGATTCTTCTCGGCTCACCTCGCCAAGGAGAAGATGGAGCTTGAGATGCTGAAGGAGTCGCAATCGGACAACGAGGATGACTCTCAGCTTGCCGAAAGGGCGAAGAATCTTGACTTGGAAGAGGATGAAGATGAATCATCTAGTGAGGATGACGAGGAAGCTATGGCCAAGCTCGCCGACCCGGATCAGTCACTCGGACCTCACATTCTCGATGTGGATGAGCTTGAAGCGCTCTTCCTGGCAAACTCTCCCGAGACTCTCCCCCAAGAGGGAGATTCGGACGGGCAACCCAAGCAGAAGACGACCATCGGTCTGGTCGGTTACCCCAACGTGGGTAAGTCCAGCACGATCAACGCCCTCCTCGGAGCCAAGAAGGTGTCGGTTTCTGCGACTCCCGGTAAGACCAAGCACTTCCAGACATTGTACCTCTCCCCCGAGATCATGCTCTGCGATTGTCCTGGTCTGGTGTTCCCCAACTTTGCCACCACCAAGGCCGACCTGGTCGTCAACGGCGTGCTGCCCATTGACCAGCAGCGCGAGTTCACCGGCCCTGCCGCCCTGGTCGCGAAGCGTATCCCCAAGCACTTCATGGAGAATGTGTACGGTGTGAAGATCCCCATCCGACCTATCGAGGAGGGTGGTACTGGCGTCCCCACTGCCAGTGAAATCCTTCGAGCCTACGCCCGTGCCCGTGGTTTCTCGACTTCGGGTCTGGGCCAGCCCGATGAGTCTCGCGCTGCACGATACATCCTGAAGGACTTTGTGAACGGAAAGCTTCTCTTCGTGCACCCGCCTCCATCCCCTGAGGGCGAGCCGGCCATCGACCCGAATGAGTTCAACATGGAACTCTACGACGTCGCTCACCTCCCCCCAAGACGCCAGGCCATTCTCGCCAAGGCCATCGTGGACGTCGACGCCGACCTGGATTCGGAAATCAGTTCTCTCGCCTCTGCACCTTTGGAAACTCACGCTATGCCCGGCCAACGTTCTCGAAACATCGACACGGGTTTCTTCGGCACGGCCACTGGCCCCTCGGCCGGTCGCCTCAGTGTTCCGTTCCAGCACAAGTACACGGAACAGGGCCAGCAGATGCGCAAGCAGCTTACCGGTCGCAAGGAGCGGATGATGATTGCCATGGAGCGTGGCATCGACGTCTCCGAGGTGCGAAGCGGCAGCTCCAAGAAGCATTTCAAGGGCAACAAGAAGCGGGCCAAGGGCAAGCGCACCACCCCCGAGAATGACGACTACAACTAAAAGTGCTTTTTTTTTGTTAATGCTCTTATGATTTGTCCATATCGATGGCTCATGCTCTTTACATACGGGATTTCCATGTCCTGCTGATTTCGATCTGAACCTATCCAGGTGCTTATGCTTAGACATTGCCGGCGTTCGGGATAGCATTAGTTTAAATCCAAGTTATACCACATCTGCAAGTAACCAAGCTTCGAGTAAACCGAAATATCCACATTCTGATATCTTTTGACCTAAGTATCAAATAAAAGCAACGGTATGACTATAGCTCCGTTTTTACAGATGGCTCTTAGCCTTGAACCCAGAGGCAATAAGCAAGCGATCCGACTCCTCACGCTGCCACTTGAGCTTCGCAACGACGGCATCCTTACGCTCGCGGTTCTCCCGACGACCCAGCTGCGCCAGGTGGACCTCATCGGGACCATCAGCAATACGCAGGGTACGGACACCAGCCCACATGTAGGCAAGAGGGGTATCTTGGCAGACACCAGCAGCACCGTAAGCCTGAACAGCGCGGTCGATGATAGTCAACGCAGTCTGGGGCACGAGAACCTTGGCCTGCGCAATCTCCTTCAGAGCAGACTTGGCATTACCCTGATCAATCTTTATAGCAGCGTTGAGCACAACGAGACGAGCAGCGTCGACTTCAATACGCGACTTGGCAATCCACTCCAGGATAACACCGTGCGAAGAAAGAGGCTTGCCGAAGGTCTTCTTGCGGTCGTCGTTGACGCGGGCAATCAGCCACTCCAGAGCCTTCTCGGAGGCACCGATCGTGCGCATGGCGTGGTGAATACGACCGGGGCCAAGACGGCCCTGGATAATCTCGAAGCCGCGGCCCTCGCCCAGAACCATGTTGGACACGGGGACCCGCACGTTGTTGAAGGTGATGTGGCCGTGGCCGTGGGGAGCGTCATCGTAGCCGTAGACGTGCAGCATGCGGTGCACGGTGATGCCGGGGAGGCCGGTGGGCACCAGAACCACGGACTGCTGGCGGTAGGTGTCCTTGTTGTTGGGGTCTGACTTGCCCATCACCAAGTAGAGCTTGCAGCGGGGGTCACCGGCACCGGAGGACCACCATTTCTATTTGGAGTTAGAATGAAACTGCAAGAGATGTTGAGAATTTGGGACACATACCGAGCCATTGAGGACGTACTCGTTGCCCTCGCGGCGGATGTTCAACTCGATGTTGGTAGCATCACTGGACGCAACGTCGGGCTCGGTCATCAGGAAAGCAGAGCGGATCTTGCCGTCGAGCAGGGGAGCAAGCCACTCCTGCTTCTGGGAATCGTTGCCGTACTTGGCCAGCACCTCCATGTTACCAGTATCGGGAGCAGCATTGTTCGTAGCCTGTAGTCCATTAGCTGTGATCTGTTCGACGAATGTCCAACACAACGTACCTCGGAGGCAATCTTGCTCTTGCCCAGCAACTCAGCCATCAGACCGTACTCGACGTTGCTGAAGCCAGCGCCCTGCTTGAAGTGATTCTTGGGCAGGAACATGTTCCATAGGCCGAGCTTCTTAGCCTTCTCCTTCAGCTGTTCCATCACGACGGGAGTATTCTGCCATCTCTTCTCGCCCTCACCGAGCTGGGCGGAGAATATGGCCTCGGCGGGGATACAGTCCTTCTCGACGAACTCCTCGACCTGGGAATATGCTTAGCATGGGGTTGCAGTACGGAAATGGGGACCGCGATTTACCAAGTCGAGAGTCTTCTTAGCCCGGTCGCTGACGAAGGGCAGAGCGATCGGAGGAATACGGGTAGAGGCAGACATGATGAGTAGATGTGTGAAAAGATGGAGAAGAGAGGAGGGCGAAGCTGAATATAAGCCAGGCCATCGAGTTCAGAACTGCGGAGTAGCGTGGTGTGGAGAAGCCGAGAGCGGGTTTTTGCCGAGGCCCAGCTACGGCTGGCGGTTGGTGTTCACTACATACTATTCTCTCCGCCATCGGGTACCATTCTAAGAGAATAACTATAGCGTAGTGTAACATGATTAGAAATACAGCGCAGCTTTGAATTTCCTGCGCACTAAGCGTTGTGTACTTATCTACGCAATGGGCGACCAGCCTCGGCCAAATCTCCGAAGCCGAGCATATACAAAAGGAACTCAATCATTAATTGCTCCTAATCCCAAGTCCCAATGGGTCTAATTTCCACTGAACAGATTCCATAGCCCCAGAACCCCCTTTACCAAAATACAAAAATACAAAAACCAGTCACACAAAAGGCATCGCGGGTCATCACAAAAGAAAAATAAAGATGATGCTGCGGTGTAGACACAACACTCGGCCCATAAATGCAAGACCACTCTAACAATATAGTCCAGTCCAAAAGACGCCCAGCGCCATGCAGTCGGCAGATAGATATAGCAGCCGGGGAGGGGGATTGAGCGTAACGCAGACACGCGAGCGAGAAGCGAAAAGGCAAACAAGGCGATTAACAGGAGCAGAGCACGACCTACTCGGTTGCTCGGCTCTTCTCTGCGGATGATTGCTCGTAGCTCTTCTTGCCGAGCTTCGCGAACAGCGACTGGGGCTTGCCGGCACTGTGTGTGCACGTTAGCTTGTTATCCTCTTGTCGCCGGGTAAACAACACGTACTTCTTAAACCGCTTGCCCTTGATATCGCTCAGCTTCTTGGTACATGGGCTCATGAGCTCGTCGGACGGAGACACATAGGCGGTGGGTTGCCTGGAGGAGGCTGTTAGTCTGATATTTTTATTACAAGGGAACGCGGTTCAACTCACTTCTCGTCGTTGTCAAGCTTCCCCTGCAGTGTCTGGCGGTGACACTCCATTGATGAGAGATCGGCCTTCATGTCTGACTTGTCGGTGTTGGTGTTGGCGAGGTGGGTGTTGGTGTCGCGGTCCGCGAGGGGCTGGGTTTGCGTTGTGGAGTCCATTGTGTATGTGAGTGTACAAGGTTTGAAGAGTGTCGACGACGAGGATCAGAGAAGATACAGGATGATCAAGATCGGATAAGAGGAAAACGTGTTGTTGGTGCAGGTGGGCGAAAGAAATGTGCGGTTTGATTGTTGGCACGGCAACCGCTGCTTGCGCCCTGGGATCGCGATGACCGTATATGACGCACCCGCACAGGGCATTCCGCGGCAGGTTTCTTTGATCTTTTATTTATTTGTTTAGTTGTTTTATTTACTTGGATTATGGGAAAGTTTAACCGAGCAATGCAAACAATGATTAAATGTCATAGTACAGTGGGAATCATATCGTATGTCGTCCAAATGTACCCCCTCCAAAATGGAATGCCCAGTAACGCCGTAAATCATGAGGAAACAATGCATATGATGAGACATGCCTTGAACTGCCAGGGCAAATACAAGGTTATTGGTACCAGCCAATATAGGAAGTCCCCTTACTCGGGGCCTGATGACCTGGTGAGTCGCTCCTCGGACTCCTCAAGAAGACTTCGGGTCTAGGAGGTTCTCGTCCTCGCTAGCCTCGTCTAGTCCGAGATCCATCGTATGACCACCCAAGCCGGGTGGTGTACTACGGGACCGAAATTGCGGTGTCCCGAGCGTAGGCACAGTCATTGAGTCTGGCGAGGCTGGCCGGTTGGCCTTTTCATCCTCAATCCCGACCTCCCGGGAGACGTCGGACGTCGGGGTCGGTGGAATGTATTGCACCGTCGGGCTAGCCGGACTGTCCTGAGAAGAGGAGCTATCTGAAAGGTTCCGCCTGTGGAGGGCGCTTTCATGGTGCGAGGAGGTCGGCCGTGTGGATCCAGGGCTGGCCGAGGGTGAGACAAATATTGGGGATGAAGATCGCAGGCTGTAGGACCGAGCGACCATTCGCTGGACGCGTGGGAATTCCATGTAGTTGCTGACAGATCCTCGCGAGAACAGTACTAGTGCGAAGCAGCACAGAACCATGATGCTTTGGATGACCGTCACGCGTTTCTGGAAGACTAGCTCGTCGGCCAGCACACCCAGCTGGGCACTGATGGAAGTCACCTCGTGATGATAGCGCACGCGCTGGTGCTCGAATTCAAAGGCAACGGATTTCCAAACATGGTCGTATTGTTCTCGGAATTCCCTCAGCTCGTTGAGAACGGTGACGTTCAAATTCTCAAGGAAATTGGATGTTTTTGAGAGTTGACGTTTCTCAACTTTGTTGAAGGCATCACGAAGAATGCGAGATTGCTCTTCAATATAGAGAAGCGAAAGAGTCGAGTTAGATTCAAGCATTTGTAGTCGCTTGTGAACGGATTTGAAGAATGACTCTTGGGTTGTCGGGTTTGAAGGTGGAGGTTGTGTGGATGTCGGTCGAGTTGACTCCGGAAGCGCACTGTTTTGCTCCTCCTTGGGGTTCATCGTGGGTTTACCCGTATTCTCGACGGTGGAATTTTGCTGTACAGGCTCTCCGGGGACAACTGAAGCATCAGGTGTCGTTGCCACAGCTTTCGGCGATTCACCGGGCTTTCGAGCATCTTCGGCCGTCGCTGGGGCGGATGATCCGGATTGGGTCGCAGGAACACCATCTCCTGTTGTAAGTGTCGAGTTCACCGTTGGTGGTGAATCCGGCTGATCCTTGGTGGCAGTTCTCTCCGGAGTAGCCCTTGCCGGAATATCGTTGATACCACATGTCTCTGCAGGTCTAGTCCCTAGACCAAGGAGGGTTGCTTCCACTGCGGTGAGACGATGGAGGCATATCTCCTGAGGCTGTTCTTCAATCTTGGTCTCTTCAACTCGAGGCTGAACTTGTTCTGTTTGTTCATCTGCGGGGAGCTCGCCAATTTGAACTGGCTCCACGACCTCTTCATCATCTGCCCGGCCACTCTCGTCGTGCTTGTACTCCTCCATCATGGTAGTTCCATGCACACGAATGAGACTGATAGGGCAGTAGAACTCATGGCCATAGTGCGTCAAGAACTCAATTCGAAGATACCGAGCCCAAATAAGAGAATTCTCAACCGCAAATGCCTGCACCTCGCGCGTATTTCTCGCTTCGTATACGCCCAGTTCTTTCCACTGGTCCGGCTTTGCGGGATACCGGTCAGAAACGCTGACTCGAAAAGTGTGGAAGATCGAGCTGAAGAATTCGTAGTTTGCCAGGACAACGGTGTCCACGAGAATATCATCACACAGTTCGAGGATCAGGAACTTGTTCTGTGCTCGGCACTCGTTTAACATGTAACTGTCCTTATTCTCAACCAGCACGGAAGACGAGCCCTTGCACTCGGAGTTCGTCTTGAGTACCGTTGCCGCACAGTCAAAGGACGCATAGTTAAAGCGCTCTTTGCACGTAGTCCCGGCATCCTTGCGACGCGATCCGTCTTTCTGGATGATGCCATGTGCAGGAACATGCTCATCAGCCTCGCCATACAATCTGTCGGCATAATGCGATGGAATCGGCGTGCCCCAAGCCGTAGGGCTTGCCTCGGATGTCTCTGCACCAAAGCCACCAAAGTCCAGTTCGATCTCCCCATCATCCCCTAGCGAGTCCAACGCATTATTAATCCCAGGTTGCCGCCGACCTTCTTTGCCGACCGCCGCAGCGCGTCTGCTCCCTCCAACATTCTCGGCGGATTGTCCGGCATTGGCCAGATTCTGTTTCTTCCAGTCTTCAAACGAAAGGAAACTCGCACTATCCAGTAAGGAATCCGTATCCTGATCCTGCTCCGCGGTTTGTCCTGCCGCTGCATCTGCCGTTCCTGGAGGAGGAGCAACAGATTCTAGACCGGGGGTAGCTCGAGTTTCCATTGCCGATGCCGTCTGGACTTGGTATCGTCCCCAGCGAGTCTCCGGACAGATCGGAAGCTGGAAAGGCTCGGCCTCAGTCTCCCACAAACTCGTAGCCGGACATATCGTCTCCGGTATCGTCGCGGGATCCGACGACTGCGCGGGATCTTGAACAGCCGGGTTCGCAAGCGCGCCACCGGCAAATGCAGCAAATACCGAGGCCGAATGCACCCAAGCCATCCATGACCGTCGCGCATCTAACATCTTGACGTTGTGTGGGCGATAAGCAGTCACCGTCCACGTCTCTCGCGATGACTCCCAGCCACACGCCCCAAATGACCACCGGTACTTGGCTCGCGCAGACCGAGAACAGAAATTCTGCTGATAGAATCACTCCGAAAGACCGATAATGATGATTTATGACGTGCGCATGGTCGAGGGTGGAAGCGAGGCCAATCGCAACCTTGATCGTTATGTCCGAGGATTCACGGGTGTCTGGAGGGGGGAGGGCGGTGATATAGAGGTTGCTGAGTGGTACGATATCGGGGCGCTTTGGGGAGTAGCTAAGCTAGTCGAGGAGAAGGCTGAACAGAGCGACACATCGAGCTCAGATGGCGGGAAAGTGGACCTTGGCATCTCAACCGTTTGACAGCTGGGGTCACCGCCTTCTTGACCGCCGGTCTACTGGTGGCTGGTAACATTCTTGTCCATGGTTTTCTAGTTTGCAAGTTGTCTAGACCTTAGCTGTCTAGATACTATACATAATCGATAAGGTTGCAGCCTCAAGCTACAGGGTGAATGGGACAAAAAGTGTGCAGCTCAGAGCACAGACTGCGCGAGCTCCCACCGCTCTTCCAGACCCACCAAGCTCCTAGGGAATGAAACTTAGTTTCCTGACCTACCATGGCCTATGCAAGAGACGTCAACACGACAAAAGGTTTACTCTACTAACATTTTTTCTACGTTTCAGTCTGCAAGTAAATCTTTCTTCACGGATGGTAATCAATTTTCCCCTCGACTGTCCCACGGACCTAGATACAGTACACACACACGGGATTCAGTACACTTGGTCAAAGAGAAAAACGGCCACGACCGTCTCAGCATGAGACGAAACGAGGTCAACAAGGTCAACCTCCACGCAATCACAACGCCAGCTCCCACATTTCAGTCGTTTTGTGTCCATATGTAGAACCCCAGAAAGTCATCCCCAAACAGATCCACCCCGCCTTCTAGTCTTTTTGGTGCTCAACGTCTCCGCCATGCTCCGCTGTCCACGGCTTGATATAGTACATAGTTTGGAGAATTTAATAAAGCGAGCGAAAGAGCCGAGGACAAGGCTGCAGCGCGATCGTGCATCGAGTTGAAGAGCAGACGGAGACACCAGCAAACACTCAAAGTCGAAAACGAGAGAGACAAGACAAGAAACAAAATTAGTTTATCGTTGGTAAATTTTTTGAACTTTTTTCCCAACTGAATCGAATAAACCTGAGGACGTGAAACGGCTGAAAGAAAGGGGAGTGGCGATGTCAATGTAAGCATAGGCGAGATATGCTACAGGTGGAGGTCGTGCCACCCGCCCACGAGATCGAGATCTTCGTCAAGGCTGCCGTCGTAGGATGAAAATTTGACGGGAGAATGCTTGGGAAATTCCACGTGTTCACGACGCCAGTCCTTTTCGAGGAATAGGCGGCGGCGTCGGTCAGGCTGAGGTGACTCACGCTTGGCTCGGGGCGACTGATCGAACCCGGAGGAACCAAGGCCCCAATCGCGTCGCCAGTTGTTGGCGGCTCGCTGAGGACTGAAAAGATCGCGGGTCTTGCAGTTGCGACGCTTGTCACCAAGTTCCGCCCACTTGTCCACGTTGGAGGGCTTGGGAGAAGGCTGGCGGAAGGGACGAGGCGTACTGTTGGAAGTTCCGCTGTCACTGTCGACATCGAGGGACTTGGCTCGGATCGCACGGGGTACGGTAGGTTGATCGACCGGAGTGTTGGTTCGGTCATCGGAGGGAGCGGAGGCCGGCTCGCGCAACCCGTCCAGGGTATCCGGGAGGTGTTTACCCTGGCTTTCTTGGCTCCAGCTACGAGAGTTCTGCTCACGGCGTTGCTGAAGCTCAAGATCTTCATTCTCGGACTCTTCCTCCTCCTCGTCCCAGAGATCACTCCAGCTCTTTGAGATCTGGTCATTCGCGTTCTTGCCGAAGACCATCGACAAGGACGGCAGGGGCTTGCTGGCATGACTGGGCAAAGAACCGGTGATGGGGACGGGATCGGATCGAGGAAGGAATGGCATGCTGCGTTTGCCATGGAGGTTGAGTGAGCGGAAAGACTCGCCCATGGCAGAATCCAAGACCGAGGCCATCGACGGGGTGTCGAATTGTCTCGAGAACCACGAAGTACCTGCCGCCTCAGAGGGTGGGAACAGATCTTCGGAGTAGCTCTCGTTGTCCGGAATGACGGACAGCTGTCGGACGGGCTGGTGTGGGCTTGACTGCAGTGCCTTGGCCCAAGGGAAGGAATCGCCCTGGTTGATATAGGGGCTCTGAATGGAGGGGGTGCGCAGAGGCTCGCGGTTGGCACTGGCGGTGATAACCTCGCGGTCCTCGGTACAGAACTCATCCAGGGACTCATCATCGGTAGTAAACGACACAGCCCGCAGGATGCACAGACGCACCTCCGCTAGGGAGCGCTTCTCGGGGTCAATGGCCAAAGCATGAGTCAGGATCTCGTAAGTGTCCTGAGACATGTTGGGGAAGATATCGAAGAGTGATTGGCGGTCACGCACGTAATCCGCAAAGAGGACATCTGACTCGGTGGGTGTGACAAAAGGATTGCGGGCGAACAGAATGTTCAGCAAGCAGATGCCCACGGACCAAATGTCCGCCTTGGCTGGCGAGTAACCAGTGGTACCCGGTTCGTATTGTTCGGGAGCCATGTAGCGGTCACTGCCAACGCAGGCCTCATAGCACCACGAATCTCGGGTAGCAAGACCGAAGTCACCAAGCTTCATGGAGCCGTCAGACGTCAGGAAAATGTTCTCGGGCTTGATGTCACGGTGATAGAGACCGTTGGAGTGCATGAAATCAATGGCACTGATCAGCTGCAGCATGAAATCCCGAACGTGCTCAGTCTCCAGAGGACCCCGGTTGAGACGAATGGCTTCGTACAGATCACCATTGGCACAGTATTCCAAGACGAGGTACATGTGGGCCTCGGTCTCGAACGAGTGAATCAAGTTGACCAGGTTTGGGTGAAAGCGGAAGCGCCGGTGGCACTCCAACTCTTCGAAGCGATCGTCAACGAGAAGCGGGGCTGACGGATCAGACGCAGAGGGCTTGGTCAGGCACTTGATGGCGACCTCCTGGCCGGTCTTGGTATCCGTGGCGAGGAACACCATACCGAACGAGCCGTGGTTGAGCGGGGCAACCGTTCGGAATCGACCATCCAAGAGTCGACCCTTGACGAAATTGTCCTTGAGGCACTCCATGGTCGACATGGTGAGCAGTGATCTCAAGAAATCAGGTCAGGGAACCCGGGGGAGGAGATGCGGAAGGATGAAGAGGTGTGGGGAAGGTGAGGTGAGAGGAGGTGAGGTAAGAGAAGGTTCAACGAAAACAACAACAATCTATGAACCGCTCCAAAAAGTACACGTGTAGAAACGTGTCAAACAGCAACCAGGCTAATGGGTGATTAAGTGTTCAAGAAGAGAAAAACCAAGCCTGCGAGCAACAAAAACGAATCAGGGCAGTTGGCGAGTTTCTGATCGGCTCAAGTGTGTCATAAAAATATACCGGTCGAACAGAGTGAATAGACAAGGGAAAAAGGCAAGAGATGGTGGGAAGGCGCAGTGACGGCGCGGCTGAATGTACCCGGTGAGGGTTATGTGACGCTTAAGAAAATGTGTAAAGACCGTTATGTGCTCATTTGTATGTCGTTTTCGTTGTGAAGTGGCGAGGGCCTGAAAGTATTGAACGAAGAAGGTGTCACAAAGGAATGGACAAAGAGGTTGAGCGGAAAACGGAAAGGCTGAGGAATCGGAGGTGAACGCTGCGTGATATCGTAATTTGAAAGGAGAAAATATAGAAAAGACGGGAAAAAGGAGCCTGTGAACACCGGGTTCAGGGAGTGGCCGTGACTCAAATAGTTGAGATTAATGAGTCATGAGTGGACCGATTGAACAGGAAGGGTAAATGTCGAAGTCGAAGGGAAGTTCGAATCGAAAGAAAGTATTCGAATCGATCACCAGGCTCAGATCAAGCTTGACAGTCGAGACGAAACAGTTGGGCGTTGGGATCCTGGGAGGACTACCTTCCGATTCCAGGAGTCGGAAGAGACAGAGTACTCGATGCCAGGTTCCCGGCTAACGTGGATTCGAAATCGATCAAATGGCAGATGTCACCAAGCACGTATAGAAGGATCCGCAGCGTGAAGAGACGACTTTGTGATGATTGGACGGACAAAGACGATGGCGAATGCAAGTGGCGGAAAGATCACTTGAATCAAATGATGATTTCACTCGGAGCAACGAGTCGGGTTACGACTCAAGGATGTTCCTCGAGATAGAAAAGGATGAGAAGTGGCGGAGGGGAGAAGTCGAGGAGAGGAGGCGAAGCACTCGATGGACCAGCGGATCCGCAGGAGACGGTCGCAAGCAACGAGTACTATCGATCCCGTGAGAGCGAAGGAGACGAAAGGGAGAGGATGAGGCGGAGAGGTGACGAAGAGGTGACGAAGAAGTGAAGAGGGGGACCGGAGACAAAGGGCGAACGAGGGAAGGGGGTTATAGGAGAGATAGGGAAGGAGAAGATCAGGAGATGACTCTGAGCAGGTTAAGTTAGTCACTGGGTGGGGGAAACCGGAGCGACTCCAGGCAGTGCCAACCGTGTGACGGTATCCTTACGCGTTCCTAACGGGTCTTCCTCGTGGGCCGAGTGGGTGTGATCTGCATTCACCACCTTAATTTGGGGGGCAAAGCACCTGGGCCGTTTCCGTCCCGGGGTATTGTGACGATACCGGTATCCGTCTTACGCCACGCAATCCGCAGTCCCCAACTTTCATGAACCTTCCAGACATTCCATGACCCTTGGGCGTCACTGGCCGAGACCTCGGAAATACATCACCGCCGGATTCCAAGTGTTTCGAAGTTGTCTACGAGCACGAAGAATCCAATTGATCTGCATTATGGGGACCATGAAAGGCGTAGACCAAGGTTCACCTGAGGAGAGAGTCCCAAAGTTTCCTGGGACCTGCAGTATACAGTCTACACGGTAGCAGGAGCAACAGAGCGGCGGCAGCAGGGGTACCAGCTCGGGCACTGCGTTTCGACCGCGGGCGGATCATGGTGGCGCGCTATCCCCGATCCGTCGGGGCGCGCGGTGGATTCTGGGGCAACGCCAATGAGGAGCCCGTTACCGAGCACTATTTCCAGGGTGCATGACGCGATGGAGTGGAATGGTGTGATTGCTGTTGATTGGTGCCTCTGCCCCTAACATGCAGGCCCCGGAGTTTCGTTGCCGCTCTGCTGTGTACACAACTGCTGTCCCTCGGCCCCCCTGTTCCCCCTCTGCATTCGGCCCCATCGGGTCTGGCAGTCTAGGCCTATCTGAGATTCTTCTCTACGCGCCCCCCAACGCGCCAAGGATCCATTATGCTATGTATAGTAGTTCTTCAAGGATCATTTTTGGCGCGCGGGACTTTCGAAACGGACACTGTTCCAGAGTGGGAGACCCTCCTAGGCTTCTGCGGGGTTTTGGCATAATCGAGGTATCAGGGGGCATTATTGTTGACGATCCCACCGATCCGGTGGACCTTGTCTCCTTACGGCGAGACACGTACTGTACTCGGGAGGGTGGAGCATGCCCACGGCTGTCATATGCAGAAACTCCAGAGAGAGGGAGAGAGAGAGAGAGAGAGAGGGATGCTGCCCTATGTTCCTTGGCACGTCTCAAACAGCACTTCGGGGCAGGGAGTTCTGACACCCACGCAGTCCGGGTCTTTGTCCCGGTCCAGCGGTGAAGGACGGTCTGGCCAACAACCTCTGACCGCCTCCTGCGAGGGTCGGTAAGGTTTGTCCTTGCAGGCGATCGAGGCATTTCTTTGACTGGCAGACTATGCCATTTTTCCCATGACGTGGCTGCACGGCCATCACGCGGCGGAGACTCCTATACACCATCCCCTCTACCCGGTACCACCCCCTGAACTTCGTTGAGCTATGGTTTGGATTGACCATCAAATGGCAACATATTAGGCAAAATATGGCAGGGGATATGCAGTATCTCGTAGTGTACTGTACTCGTAGTACTCCGTACACGGCTCAGATTCGGATCTCCCCCCTCCATCGGCCGTCGCCGTTAGCACCCTACCTGCATCCATATTTCCATGCGTTTCGTCATTCGGCGTTGAATGAGTATCATAGGCGACCATTCCCAAAGCCACAGGCCGACCCAACATGCGCCGAGAAAAGATAACGAACCACGAAACGGTCATGGCAAGAGTACACACCATCGAGCCTTCCCGTGTCCTCATGATGATCCACAGTGATCCTATGAGTCGCAACGTGTTCCCTTTCGGTGATGACCCCGCGTTCACAGTAGATTGACTTCGGTCCCGGCTATTCAGCTGAGGCCCAACGCGAACGCACATGAAACGGGATCGGTCTCCGTGGCCCAGATAAATGATAAATGATAACGCCGCTTACCGAGCACAGTCCTATGGGCCGAAGTAGAGTTTGTCCTGTAACTACCGGTACCGGTCCTGGAAGCAGACTCCATCGAGACCGATAGAGACGATAAGATGCCCCTCTACAGTAGGCCCGAGATAGCAGCAGATACCACACCCGTGGGACGCGGTTATCACCCTATTTTGCGATCCTATCGACCCCGCACGATCGTCATTCCAAGGTCATTTCGGTTGAATTCTAAATGACATTTCTCTCGGGGAATTTGTGCTACGGGAGACCACCGATAATGGGCGTCTGTGTTGGGCCTAGTGGATGGGGCGGGACTACTGCAAAAGAGGGGGGCCATCATCGTGGTTTGGTTATCGGCCGCTTGAGATAATAATCAGATCGGCCTGGTGGCCCTGGTGATTTCTTGTTTTCCAAACCCCCGGGCCAAGTGAGCTGGGGGTTCTGTCACAGGGGTGCACACCTTTGGATTCGTTCGAGGGGGCCCTGGGGCCTTGGGGCCCTGCTCAGTTGGGGCCGGCTTGACTCCAAAAGCGATCCGGTGTTTCTGATTGCCAGGTGACCCGGGCGCAAATACCAAATTCCCCGGATTTTGGCCCCGGGGCCAACAAATGGCCCAAGATTGAGAATTGGCTTTGTTGAATATCGGCTGTGCTCCCCTCTCTCCCTATTGGATAGCTCGGCCCCAATAGCCATCGTCCACGAGAGCAATACCTTGTTCAGGGCTGACAACGTCCTCGCCATTCCCGTTGCCAGGGCCATCTGGTCTCGTGCCCCGACTCCTCATTTCGATGGCCTTCTCCGACCGTCTGTAGATCCTACGCAAAATATAGTTCCCAAATGAGATGGCTGGGACAGGGCTAAGCAAAAACACGAGGGTCGTGCAACCTCCCACCCATTTAAGACCTTTTTGATCGCGATCGGGATGCAGGGTCCATTGGCTCGGAGCGAGCTTGGACTGTGCATCGCTGGGACGCAGCGTATGTACAATGTGCAGTACAGCGTACATCGTGCAGAGCATTGGACGTACGTGAGCCCACCGCCCCTATTGGTCTTTTTCTCTCCGTATGCGACTTGGATTCCGCATGCAGGCCAAACTAAAATCTTGTTCTGAATCATCTCCATGCCGGAGATCGTCGCCTCAGGCATATTTTACTGGACACTGAGATGTGTAGACTTTGCTTTTACTCGTTACCAGGGAAGCTCGGAAAAGACTGATAGGGTACGATTTGAAAAGTATCAGCGCTCACATGGTCTTCTTGGAAAGGGTTGTCCGATGCAGTGAGGTAGATTATCAAAATTACCCCGGCATCAGCTAGTCTATACCTGCCGAAACGGCCCGTGGTCACACACTATGTAGAATTTAAAAATATATTACCCTCTAGACACTCACGCCTTGTCACGCCTTGTTTTCAGTCCGCGTCCGAAATAATGTAGCACGGATGAAGCACATCACCACTGATGCTAGAACGGCTTCGCTATAATATACTCAATATCTTGGGTCTTTAATTTGAAGACTATTATCAGTTATATTCCATAGTATCAGGAGAAATCCCGGGCTCAAAAGCCGTTTTGGAAAGAGCGCCTCATAAAAAGGCAGACGAGCAAATAGTAGAACTTATATGGTCAACCTTTCACAATGTTTCCGATTCCGAATCATATCACGTTTTTAAAATAATATGAACTTGGTAAACGAACTGGGTTTCTACAGACAAGCTCATCACCACTCATACGACATTCAATGGCACCTTTTTTGTGGGTAGAAAAACAATCAAGTATTGCCGATCTTATTTCTCAAGAAATCCTTCCTTCTATTGGCCTGAGACAGGAATATAGATGTGATTTATTTAAGATTCATACTGTGCAACCAGTTTCTGAAGGTGCTCAGGATCGAGTCCGACCACTTCCCCGACCTTCTGTCCGTCTTTGAATACCATGAATGTCGGAAAATCCTTAATACCAACTTGCTCGAAAATTTCCTTCTCATGACTAACGTTCACCGTATAGAATTCCGGACCGGAAATCTCTTCCGACAGCTTTTCGAAAGAAGGTGACAATATTTCACAAGGCTGGCTCCAAGTTGAGTAGAAATTGATAATGATGACGTTCCCATTATGTATGACCTCGTTGAAACTCGCCTTGCTAGAACACTTTTAGTAATTGTAAATGATAGGCAATATATGAAATTTATCATACCCACTAAGCGCAGTCACGACCATCGTGTCTTTCAAAAGAGGGGCGGCACTTGTCTTGGAGGGGTATGGAAGTGACGTGCTGTGATTATGTGGTATACGGATGTACTAATATGTTCACGAATTGGTGAAAACTGTCAGCTAGCCAGTTTAAATACTTGGCGCTTGCTTGGAGGATTCCGTGGATTTTGTTCCACTTTTGAACATTTAGCTTAAATGGTAAATAGTTGCGGCAGACCTGCCACACGTTTCGATTGCCGGCGGTCCTTTCGTAGCATTGTTATCTCAGGAATCGGAGCCTATTGGTGTAAATCTCAGAAGTGGGGCGAAGCTCGCGCTGTAGATGCGCACACCGCTTGTTTTCTGAATGCGATAGGTTGCTTAGGCAGCGTGCAAGAGACTTTCGGGGTAATAATTTACGCTGTGATTGGGTCGTCATATCCAAATCCTCGATGTGCTATGCAATTAAGTAAACGTGCAGCTAGGTCTCAGTAACACGAGCTCTCGGCTCTTGCCTTAGGTCTATTAACCAGGATATGTCTCTACTAGAGATATATTAAGAGAAGATAGTGGGGACTTTCTCTGGCCAAGTTTAGTTTAGGGCGATCTAATTAGGGCACTGGGAAAGAAAGCGTGAGTGTCTAAGAGGTAATCTGTTTTCGAATTCTACTGCACAGTACTACAAATAACATTGGAACTTTATAAGGATTTTTTGGGCTGTCTTTTGTGCTTGCAATTCCGGCACCTAGCCAAAACTAAATAACTATAAAGGAATGAATAATCCACAAAAACACAAGTCGTCGGTGTTTGGAGTAATCATTTCTTCCATGGAGCGCTAACCGCTGAACTCTTTTGATTTGCCGATATAAAACATTCAAGGTATTCAGTCTTCATTCTTCGTGGAGTAGATGAGAGCAGAGTCGGTAAATCGTGTAGGCAATCAAGGGGGTGTTACACACACTGACATCCCCAGCCCCATGTTTCAGGAAAACACCACACACGGACGTTGAAGTCCCAGAACTCAGGTCAGTGCTCAGTAGGGTGTCCCCTTTTGCGTATGTAATCAGTGTAATCACGAAGTGACTCGTGTGTTTGACAGGTCAATTCTCTTCAAGCGGTTGCCAAGTCAACGCAACCGGAGCATGGCATGGCCCCTCCTCAATTCACACCTTGCATCGAGACTCGACGTAATAATTGGATGCAGTCTACATCCCAACCTGATGTATCCGTACATGTACTCAACCCTCGAATTCTGTCTCAACCCTGTGTACGCCCTAGACTCCTGGAACAGATCCGTTTGTCCCAGTTTGTTTGTACAGTGGTGTTGCAAGAGTTTGAAATCACCTTATGTACCTTTCTTTACCGCCTGCTTGTTAGAAGCACACTAACGCCCGTTGAGAGAATATGAATGGTGGAACTACTAATTGCCGGCAGAATAAATAGCTCGGTACCTAAAAGGGTTTCAAACTCTTGGAACGCCACTGTACCTCGACAAAGGCGCATTCTAGACTACCCGTAGCTTTGGTTACCGTCCTCGGCACTATTTGCCACCTAGCTGAGTGAATCGCTTCCGCATTCCAACTCGCCCGGCCAACGTCATTTCTGTAACCACCCGTCCGATTGTATTTCTGGCGCTGTGGATCATGAGTGTGGCCACCTTATTACGCGTAGGTGGGCGATGATGTTGAGACAATGTTTAAAACGGGCTGGAGTTGGTTGCCTGCCAACGACAGTGAAGAGCCATGTGGAGACCGACGCAACGGGCCCTCTTTGCTTCTATTTATGGCGTTGCAGTGTACTGAGTATTATATCATCGGCTCCGCTCGCGTCCAGCTTCTTTAAGGTGATAGCGATGCACTATTTCGAGTCTTGCGCCCTCAGTATGTATTCTGTCGTAATTGTGGGCGTTTCAGTCTGGCTACAATAGGCACACGGATTCTGAGTCGATCTGGCCAGGAGAAGACCTGAGGAGAAGGACAGGTGGGAGGGAGGGGGGGGGGGGGGGGGGGTGGAATTCATTGATCTGTCACATATCAGCGTTACTGAACAAGCTTTTCACATAGACTACCTTGATGTGATCGGTGGCCTTCAATAGTGCTAGGTAGACTCTCAAAGCCCGATCGATCGTTCTCGCGAATGCTGATCCAGGTAAATTGCAAGCTTTAGTGTTATTGAAAAGGCCGCATCATCGCTGTAGGCTTGTAGCTAACACTCAGCAAGAACTCCAACCCGTGGATGAGATCGCTGTCCTTCACGACACTATCACCCTGAAGCTCACGTTCCTTGCAGATGATGTTGAAGACATCCAAGGGGACCGTGTACAAGACGACGCGGTCCTGGTAGGCGGCTATAACTCGCAACCCCCAGCTCAAGTCTGATCCTGCAGCGAAGGTGGTTGGCACGTGAGCACCTTTGTTGACATCGGCTGGTTCTTTGTTGAAAGGTGGCGGAGAAATTTATGGGCCCGCCAATAGGTTCATCTAATCCGATACAGAGAAGACCGGTGCAAGGCTCGATGAACAAGACACGGAAACCTTCGTTGATGGGAACCGCACAGTAATGGTGACAATGAGTGGCCCGCACAAGGCCTGGAGTGGATGTATTGATAGGCGGCTTGTTAGTGAACGGCTGAACGTCTACCAATAGATGAAACTGACATTTCTTGAGATGATCTGGGAACGGTGAATGCATGCAGACGCATTTGGCAACTCCAGGCCCAGCCAAAGAGATCAGCCGCAACTCCGTCGGTGTCTCCGGGCGATTTGGCAGGAATATATACAACTTCCGAAGACTGTGACATGCGGAAATGCTTTCGTTGATCCTTGTAGTTCGTCTCATCTACCCAGTGGAGTTCAACACCAGACGCCCTGCCAAATACCACGCATCGACGTCCTGGGCAGAGAGTAACGGTTCTAGGCGGGTGGTAAGATGAGCATACGTGATAATAGTAGTGAAGAGACGTAGGAATATGTGCCGGCATCGGGCAAAAGTTGGACACCTCGTCGCCAAGGACAGTTTCGTCCGTATTCTGGAAGACGTCTAGATCACCCAGTATACCGACACGGTTTCGTAGTAACGCAGCAATAACAAATGTCGGTGTGCTGATATCCACCGTGGCCAAGAGAACCTGAAAGGGCATGCAATGGTAGATTTGAACTCCAGATCAGCTTCTATCAGGCCAACTGAGGACATCCGCCAGGCTTTCCCAGAACGTAGGCGATAGACGTAGATCATGCATCCGGTAGTTACCAGCAGATGGTTGCCACAACTGCTGACGCTGAATGTAGATTTCTCTAACTCTGCCTCTGCGTTCGTCGAAGTTGCACTAGGCGAATTCCAGCGAGTCTTTGCGACTGGCAAGCCTTGCCCGTACCCTTGCGAGAGCCGAGGAAAATTGACCGCTGAAGTAGTCAGAAAGCCTGACTTTTCAACATTGGCTTTCCAACCCGATAAAAGACACTCGGTTGCAAAGCGTCGACCCATCCGCCATACGTCCGGTGGGTTGGGGGGATATTGGCTGCCGAAGGCGATGATCGATCTGGGCTATTGGAGACGGGGATGGCCGCTGCTTTTTGGAGCCACGGTGGACTGCGTAGGTTTCACAGCAGAAAAGTTTGATGTAGCATGGCTAAGCGATCTTGTAGATGGCATCTCGACCATCTTCTGTCCAACGAGCCAAGAAGCACCGGTAAAAGGAACCTGAAGTAATTCCGTTGATATTATGAATTGAAAAGAAGATTCTGGGGTGGATGTGCTAAAACCACCTCGACTTGTCCTTGGCGACTAACGAGGTAAGACAAGATATCTGGCGACAGGACGCGGAGAGATCACGCACCACATTCGGAGTCGAAGGAAACCTCTGAATGGTCAACCGAGCGACGAAATGATCAGATAGATGAATCAACTATTAACTAGCAATTGGGAATCGTAAATATTGACGATCGACATCCGTGTACAGATTATTATTTTGTCGCTCTTCGATTTGCCAAAGCCACTATTTACTATCTTCTAGCCCAGATTGTTTCCCCTAGGGAGATGAAGGAGTTTCCATACAAGCTGTCCGTCTCTGGCTGGAATGTTGGGAAACCAAAGCAAACCCCACTGTTGGCTTCAGCGGCACAAATGATTCTCAAGACTTTCCCCCTGAGGCAAGGTGTGCTTTGTCTTCCTCGACGAGACCGCTTGCGCAAATTCCGCACCGACAATTTCTTACCCCTGAAAGGCAAGTGATAATCCATCCAGAACTGGCAATTTCGACGCCAAAGACAGCTGTTAGTATCAAACTGGCTTCCCCGCGCATGATCCATGAACTAGCGTGCTACCATGTCCAAGTCTTCGTATGTTAGAGGCATCTCAAGGGAAAGCCCTGGAATAGATCACCTCAAACGACATCAGTTGATTACTTTACCCTACTGCAGATGTAGCTGAGATAAAACGATGATCTACCGAGTTGCCAATATGATAGAATTGAAGACGTATGGCCCTGTTTACTACGCACCGTGACGATCTCGAACATCCCCAACATGTTCCTATTGGCGATCATGTATCCAACTTTGACTTCAATGAAGCATATAAGGATGTCCAGGAAGACCTTTGGCATCAGAAACAAACGAGTATACGGAGTCTCCGAAGCCAGCCGAGGGCGAAGATGATTCATACTGTTGCCACCTCCAATTGGTGGAGAAGCGCGACGTGCCCCACATTCGATCTGAAAAAACGACATCGACGATATCAAGGAGTCGCGACAAGTCGGAGAATGAGGCACAATGAGCAAGCGCTCGCTCGAGGAGTCTAGGAGCCAAGCGTTCGGGGGCGACAATGGCCTGTTGCCCATTCAAGACTTGCTGTCGCCGGGCGACGAGCAGGACAGTGCTACGCCAGGAGGCGCAAACAAGAAGCCCAGGAACTTCATTGCGACCGTGGTATGCATCCCCTTCCCTGACCTGATATGTAATAGTCATTCTAATTGGAAAAGGCTTGCGAGACTTGCCGCTTGAAGAAGACGCGATGCGACGAGTCGCGACCGCGCTGCGGACTGTGCAAGTCCCTCGGCCTTGAATGCGTCTACAATGAACGCAAGACATCCAAGTATGTGACTGCCACTTTGGATCGCATTCGCTTACATATTACACAGACGAGATCAGTCTCTTTCGATGATTATGAGTACTTTGCATCGCTTGGAGACAAAGCTGGAGAACATTCCATCCTCCATCTTTAATGACCTCCAGTCGCTTCGTGGCCAGATGCATCATGTCACCAGTACTCCCCGCGCACAGCCCTCGCCCGCGGTTGGTGATGATGTTTATCGGTCAACGGTGACGCGAACACCGATCAACAACAGTTTCACTCCCGCGCACGATGAAGATGACTTTGACTTTGAAGAGAACCAAACCACTCCCGATGCAGCCGGTCGAATCGCCATTTCATTCAGCCAGCATGGCGTCATTCTCTGGCCTGGCGCACGACAGATTCTTCCTAAGCAGTTGCTTGCCGCCTATGAATTATTGGGCAAAAACTATGTCATTGAGCTGGAATCGACCCGACCACCGTTGCCTATGTTCACCAGTCCATTTCCCATACATGCAGGGGAGCACTGGCTGGAATTACTGCCCCTGGCAATGATCAAGGGCTTGGCCGATGCCTTCTTCAGTGTTTTCAACCCTTTCACTCCAATCATGGACAAGAGCTACTTCTTTTCCTTCACTCTTGGCTCGGCAATTGAAAGTGGCTTTGGTTACACCATGGAGACCTGTATCGTCCTTAATGTCATGGCGCTTGGATGTTTGGCTGTCCTCGCTCATCAGGAAGGAAATTATCCATTGCCGGGAACTCAGAGCCATCGCTTTGAGCCACCGGAATGGATGAATGTGGTCTATGAGGAACAGGCCGGTTTGAGATTTTTCAATGAGGCCCGTCGCCGCATTGGATTCTTGATGTGCGACAATGGCCTTCAAAGTTGCCAATTTTACCTCCTTTCTTCGTATGATTTCTACCATCCTCGGCCTCTGTCGCGAGATCCTCCAGCTAACCGAATGCAGTGTCTACTACAGCCAGATTCTCCGTCCAATGGACGCATGGGCAATGATACATCGCGCTGCGACCTGCTGCTTGTCAATGCTGACCAAGTATGTTCAATCCATATATATCTCGGACTAAAAACCCTATCTACTTACTTCATTCTAGTCATGAAGTGAATTTCGACGAGTGGGAAGGTGACATGAAGTCCCGCGTATACTGGAACTGTCTCATGAACGAGACAATCCTAGTTCAAGAGCTGCACCTCCCAACAAGCGGTCTATCACGTCTCGAAGAAAAGGTCCCAATCCCCAAGTTCATTGGCTTTGAAACGACAGGCTACGTGTCAACCCGTTATCCCTCGTCGACAGTGGTCGACGACTCCTACTTCCAGTATCATTTCCTAGCCCAAGTGGCCCACCGAATTATTCTCACGCGCATCCGCCATTCACTCTATTTCTATTGTTTGTATACTCCCATCTCATATTTACTTGATCCTAACCATCTCCCAGCCGACTCGGGAGCAATTCCCCTCCCCGCCGTCAACGCCGAACTACATCACCAACTCGAACAATGGCGTACCAACCTCCCCTCCGCCATCCAATTCCCCGACTCATACCACCCACAATCCTACTCAACCCCAGCAGACCCCTCGCCCTCCTCTGTCACCTCACCCAACCCAATATCCCCTCTCCCGGCAGCTCCAAATCGCCCCCTTTCCCCAGCAGTAGCAGTAACAGACGCCATGCTACGCGGCCGGCACATGATCGCACAATTCCACATCGGCCGACCGTACCTGTACAAAGCCCTGCGCATCCCAAACCTACTAACAGATGACGACCTGGAACAGATCAAAAGCGGACTTCAAAACGCAATGGACTGGCCCGTGACCCAGGGCATATTCCGGAAAATGAAAAGCTGTATCCCTATCAAATTCGCTTTCTGTTCGCAGTTCTTTGGTCAGGTTCTTCTGTTCTATTGCATTGCCCATTCACCTAGTCCGCATGTGCGTGAGACGCTTCCGGCTGGCTGGGAGCGCTGGACTGAGGAGATGATGCGGTTTTTGGAGGACTGCGCGGGACAGAGTCCTGCTGTGGCGCAGGATCTGGAGCTTTTGAAAAATTTATGGCCGGGTCATGATTGATCTTGCTGTGCTTTTTCTTTTGTTGGGATTTCCTGCATGGAGTTGGATGGGTGTTTCTTGCGTCTCTTGGATGCTATTAAATGCTAAAACGTAATAAAAGATTTGAACGATAGAATCTGACTTCTCATGAGGTGTATCGACAGTTATGTTCGCGATTTATCATGAACAATGTACATAAAAAGTAAATTCTTGCTATAGGACACTAGCGAGACGAGGAGCATTCGCGTTAAGACTTCCTCAGGTACTACATCTTTATGTAATACTTTGAAACTTCCCCATCACTTATAAACGGTCAGAAGAAAAAATGAGACTATCCTCGACGAGAAGTAAAGAGCCACAACGGATAGGGAATAACCAGTCAATTACAAAGCCCATTCATCTGTTGTATCCGAGGCTGTGATGAAGGGCTTGTCGATTTGCTTGATGGCATGGTCACCGCACAGGATACTGGGAATTGGTTAGTAAAGTGTGCCAATTATGGAGATATAGAGGACTCACCAAGCTTCAGCAACCAGTCCATCTAATTCCTTAACAATCTCCTCCCGTCGCGACGGAGCGACGTCGCCAATGCTAAGCTGCCCTTGCAGATCGCGAATGTACTTCTTCTTACCCCCGGCACCTTCCAACACCTCCTTGCCCAGGCAGTCACTGTGGAAGGCATGCTGACAGGGGAAGACAAAGAACTGGCGACTCAAAAGAGGCAACGAGCAGATCCAGCACTTCTCGCCGGGTTCCACAATCGCATAGCGGGAATCCAGGCCAGCGATCTCGGATCGAATCTGTCGAGCTGTTTGCGCAGAGTTGTCCATCTCCTGTCGCAGAGCGTCAATGTCACGCGAGTAGTGCTCCAGCGCGGTACAGATTTCGTCTTTGAAGTCGTCAATGACGACAAAGTCTGGGAAGAAGGGAATGAGGTCCTCGATGCGAAGAAGCTCGCAGCGGCGGAGGAACTCCATCGCATCTTTGATTCCTGTGCCGGGTTGGCGAATCTTTTTCTCCGCGACGAGAAGCCACAATTTCTTGCGTAGCTTTTTGTTGCCCTCTGGACGGTCGGCGACAATAGCCGCAAGCTCAATGTCATTGTGCTCCAAGGCGAGCTCTACTGCTTGAAGGTATTGACCCATAGCGCTGTAAATGTGGATGCATGATTGGACCCTCTTGTGTTGGATACAAAGTCGGAGAGCAAAGTCTGCATCGTACGGGGGTGGCGAGGATGATTGCGATTGAAGATAAGTGAGTAGTCCAGCTTCCGAAGCTGATCCACTGGAGGCATGAATAGAAATAAGTGTGTTGTGAACAGCGGCGGAGGGGTTGGGGTGGTTGACAATGATGAAGTTCAGATATCGAACGGCCTGGTTCTGATTGAGAGAGACACTGGCAGTCTTGTTGTAGTTCAGTAAGGCAGGGATGAGTCTTTCGGGTTCCAAGTTCGTCTGCCGCATAAGAATATCAGTGAGCTCAGTAGCAGCATGGGTCATGAGGACACTGCTGTACTTGTAGAAGATGTCGGGCTCGCTCTGCCGTTGCAGGACGTTCAAAGCCTCTGACCACTTCTCTCGTTGAATCCAGTAGGACAACACATAGTTATGGTCATTGGTGACGGTTGCAAAGAAGAGCAACTCTTCCTCCCGACCGTGGCTGCTGATGATGTCGTAGACTGTTTTCTTGTCCAGATCCGCCTTGTGCTTGGTCACAAAATCCTGGAATTCGGCTCGTACGCTGCCCAGTTGATCCTTGATCTCACCGGTTGTCGCCCCCTCGGTCAACTCGGCTTTGGTAGCAATGTTGTCATCAAGAGAGTTCAGCTTCGACATGAAAAGCTCCACGAGCCAGCTTGCAACCATGATTCTCTGCATGACAGACGCCTTCTTATACGTAGATAGCTGAGACAGAAGATACTTCCGCAGAGCATCATATTCCTTGTTGTCCACCATTGTCAAACAGACCTCTTCAAAGCCTTTGCTGCTTTTGCCCCAGACTTTGGCTGCCTCGAGGAAATTGCCACCTGCAGCAAGGTAATCACCGGACGCAGTCAGTATAGCGTCACGCTGTGCTTGGCTATGAGCATATTGAAGCGCTTCGTCAAATTTCTTTTCCCTCAAAAGAACTTTCCACACGTCGCGATCCTCGTCATTAGCGACGACTTCAAAAATCTCCTGCCCAGTAAACAGCCAGTATGTGCTTTGTGTCAGGTCCGTCAGCAGACCCAGAGCACTTTGTTTAGGCTCCAAGACAGCTTGATCATACACAACTTCCTCGCTCAGGCGGTTCACAGCAACCACTCGACCTTCAACCAGAGCCAACACGTGCCACTGGGACAATGTCATCGAGGAGATCGGATCCTGGATCATTTTCCTGCCCCCGCGAGCAGATTGAGAGGCGGGGTATTTCGAGCGAGGAAGCAAACTCGCGTGATCGAATGGGGCCTCAGACGACAGTTGTCCGTGGTAGATCCCCTGCGCACTCAACCATGCGAACTCCATATCCGTAGATCCTTCGGGTTGGTGGCCTCCGGAAGAAGAGGAAACCGTCAGGCCAGACGGCGCAGATGCCGATGGGTTCGAGCCATCCTGAATCACAGGCGTCTCGCGCTGGAAAATCTCCGTGTATATGGACCCGCCGCCTTCCCTCCCTTGTTTCGTGGCTCCCACGCGACCCAAAAAGTGTATCAACTTTCCATATGTCGCGACCAAGACCCTCCTCTGTTCAGGCCTTGCAGGCACTGGTGAGGCGCATATTCCAATGACTGGCGAGGCTTCTGGGACTTTGTAGACCGCAGTGGCGTACTTCTCCTCGCGCCGATAGAACTCCGTGGATGGTTCGATGTAGGTTTCGTAGACATTGCCATCGGTTGTTCCCAGAAGGATCTCGCGTGTCGATGCAGTGGGCAGAGAAGGGTTCCAGGCAATACTCTCGATCGATACGCCCTTTAACCGGGACAAGGCCTTAGGCTGTCGCGACTGGGTGTGAAGGTAGTAGTTCTCGCCGAGCGTCGTATTGATAATCAGATGAGATGCCGAGGGATCCAAAAACATGCGTCGAATCAGACCGGTCTCTGAGGACTTCTTGGGGAGGTCGATGTCTGTACAAACGAATACGATTAGCTCGGTTTGTTGCCAGCAAGCATCGCAGGAAGCAGAATTGTCTACCATCAATGTCTTCAGGGGTATCAAGATCAATTCGGAGAATACGGCCAGTTGACAATGCCAACACTAGCACGTTGTTTGCGACTTGGGCCGCGACGAAGTCCGCGGCGATGGGAAACTGGAGTTGCACCCGCTGGACGTCAAAGATAGGTAGGGATTCTGAGGGCTCCGTTAGGTTGCTTGGAGCAACATAACTGCTGGCTCCTTCCAGCGCCATGATGCGCAAGGTGTCAGCTATATCAGACCTTCGAAGGCCGTGGGGAAGCTGTAGGGAGCTGATTACGGCAGCTCACAGCTCTACCATGGTGCGAGGTCATAAAATGTGTCGCACCCACCACTCTCAGCGTGTTGGTCTGATTAACCGACTTTAATCAAACCGCGACAAAGCACGAGAATATCGTTGTCTGGTTCCCGGCGAGACGGGGGGCAGAATGCGGACGGATGCCTTAAGCACTGAGTGAAGGCCGTAGTTACGTAACCTAAGTTAAACAAGTAACTAACCAGCGCACCCCTAAACACCATACATAGTGAATCGCGATATTCAACAACGAGGCAGGGTGCGTCACTCGTTTGTGTACTACGTTAACGACTACAAACAGAAGACTGCACGCTCTTCTTTTTAAGGTCTATGATGATCGATTGAAAGGAAGAAAAAAGAAAAAAAGAAAAAAAAGACCTCCCACAAATAATGCTTCCGTGCCTTATGCATTGGGGTATCATATAAATGAAGATGCAACAGCTGGGGAAATTACAGATAAATCAAGGTATCTCGAGATCCCGAAGTCCCTTTGAACATCACATCACGGCGCATTCTCGCTCAGGCTTCCGAGTCTTCTCCTTTGACTTTTCCTTACTTTTGCCTTTGGACCCGCGATCCTTTGCCCTTCCTCTTCCTGACTTCTCTTTGCCATCGTAGGCGGCCGGTCCGAGCTTCACATCATCGGGGAAAGCATCATCAGCCTCTAAGGCAGACTCGTCGGTCTCGCCTTCGCCATCGCTGGTGAATTTGTCGCGGCTCAATCGGCCAGTAAACCGAGAAAAAGTCGATCCAACTCTATTCTCACCTGACTGACTACCAGCACGGCTTCCAGAGTTGCTCTTGGTACCAGACCTACGTCGCGAGAAGCCAAAAGTGCCTCTGGTGCTTTCTTCTTCCATGGGCGCTAAGCGTGGCGACATGGATGGCACCGAGCGGGCCTGAGGACCGGTCACGCCTTCTGAAAATACAACACTGGGCCGTCTCGTCGTGTTCTGGCTGTCTGCGTTATCAGGTGCAGTGATCTCGAAGCTGGGCCGAGCAGAGGTAAGATCTCCAGCAGTGCTACCATCTGTGTCATCAACCGCGAGGCCGAAGAGCTTCCGAGAGATCTCGGTCATATCCCCATCGAGAGTAGAATCGGATGCCCGGGATGAAGGAGCATTCTTCGGAAGATTGGCAACGGATGCATCTTGATCTATGGGCAGGATTTGGTAGAAAAGAAGGTATGGTGACTCGGTTTTCAGCGCTGTATCGACGTCAATGAGAGTCACTCGTTCGGCAGCGAGGTCATCGAAACGCAGCCAGTGTTTCGGCGCCTCGGGAGGATGATCCGAGCTGGTGCTGGAGCCAGACGGCGCAACATTGGGACTTGTGCCCCGGACAATGGAAATGTAATGCCCGGAGTCAACAGAATTGCCACGATGGCAGACCATAGCTTGCAGAGAAAGCTTGAAGTTCCCATACATAGGTGCGTCCGCGTCCAGGTTGTCATCTTGGATGAAATGAGGCAAACCGATTTCAGTTGGTATGTCAATATACGTGTTGAGCCGTGTTGCCGTTCCGTTGGGAGTAAATGAGTAGCGCTTCAAGCACATGCCAAGAATAGGTCTTTTGGAGGAGAAGTGCGCTGCAACTTGAGCATCACTGGTGGGTGTATTATCGGTGTACCATGCTATAATCAATATTAGCTTCATTCTTAGACCGTTGGTGACGTTCCGACTGACGGATGAGACTGAAGAACTGCCACGCTGGCATCATCACCTCCTTTCGATATGAACCTTTCCTTTGCTGGGGGTCTGAGGAAGGCAAGTCCGTGTCTCCAGGCTTGTTTTCCGACTCCGGAATAAATCGTTCTCGAACAATGCTATCACGCCGCCCAAGCCGCCGTGCAGTGAGAGCATCATTGAATTCTGTAAAGGATGACCAGGGGCCCGGTTTCTCAGCTTTTGGAGAATCTGACTGGACCGGAGACACGGTCGGTGTGGTGTCAATCTCCTCAACGTGTGCGGTGAATCCCTTGGAGATGGATAAAGAATCCACAGACCGAGTGGACGGAAGAGTGTTCCGCCGCCCGAGATAGCGCTTCACTTCAATACGGTTATTGAAGTAGGCCTCCAGACAATCCTCGAGGGTAAGGATCTGGCCATCAGTAGGCTCGGGTGGAATAGCCACCTCAAGAAGTCGCTCGTTGATGAATTTATGGTCGTCGCTGGCATCTTCCTTGCCAGTGTGGTAGATGTCCATTTTGAGAGTAAGAAGCGGTAGCTCAAGCTTCTCAGTAATGAAAGTGAAAGCCTCTGAGGTATCTTGTTGTCGGAGTTTGGCTGCATCTTCCCAGCCACACTCCGCGAGGGCATCCTGTATGTGCTTTGTCTATATGAACGGGTCAGCTTGTGACCATGGGTGGATATCGAGAGAAGAGAGTGCACACAATATCGGTTGTGATGAGCTTTCCAGCCCGGAGCAGGTTCACCCAGAATCGTAGCAGAATGGCAAGCTTCCGGCGGGGTTCGTCATTGAATGATTTGTACAAGATGGCTTCGAAGCAGTCAAGACGGGCAAACATGGCGAAAAGTAATGCGTCGAGGTAACAGGTAACTCCCTGGCGGTTCTCTGCACCAAGAAGTTTCGTGTTGGGGGTGTAGCTTCTGATAATGCCCTCGATTGAGTCTTCCAGCAAGAGCAATAAACTGATCGCCGCGTCGACATCGCCCTTGGTAGAATGCAATGCATAACTGAAATGTTTTTCCTCTAGCGTCGTAATTCCCATTCTTTTGATCCGGTTCTCAACATCTTTAACCTGTAACACCAACATGGTTAGTAGGACATTGGCCGACCATATGGACATCAGACAGTACCTTCTTCTCATGATCTTGACCATCATCTTGGTTCGGCGGGGATACAAAAAAGCCTCGAAACAAGGGAATATGGGTGCTCTAGCAGAATGCGACATTAGTGACCGTGTTCTTGCCTTGAACAGGAATCTGCCAGGTAAGTCTGACAGAGCAAGTGGGTGAATGGTGTACCTCATCTTTGTTGTGTCGCCCAGATTTACCACGCCCCTTGGTGAGGAAGCGATGAATGCCGCTCATGGTGAATAAATCCCCAGCGAACAGGGGTTCTAATCTGATCGGGATGATGTCTTGTCTAGATGCGACATGCGGGGGCGGCAAGCTCTCTCATGCAGAGAGCCTAGTCGAGGCTGCAAGATTTCCATAGAGTGCACGGAAGACACATCATCGAAGTAATCTGACTTGGGCACGGGACAGGATCAAGAACCACTCAGAAGAACAGGACTAACGCATGCAATTAAAAGGTACTGGAAAAAGATCGCGGGACGATCGAATGAACCTAAAGTGTGGATCACATTCCGCGGGGCTCATCGCCTGAATGGCGCCTGGCTTTTGAGGCATTAATACACGTGACACCCCCGGTGCTTGCAAACAATTTTCGGCCGCGAGTCCTGGTGATCCGCGAGTCCGACATCACCACCCTTCATAATAATGGCTGCTAGGGAGCAGTCCAGATATCTGGCACGGGCTTTGCCTCGGGCATTCATGCCCTCAGCTCGCCCTCAACCCTTTCTCGGCCGCCGCAATGCCTCCGACGAGGCACCGGCCAGACGTCTTTCAGACGAGTTGGAGACGGCATCTTCGTTGACCACAGTTGTGTCTGAAGACGCAGCAAAGTCTTTTGACCCAGCCGCGCAGGCCAAGTCACGCAAGTCTAAGCTTCCTCGCAGTCGGTATGTGATTCGTGCCCAACACTTCTCCCTAGTCGTGTGACTTGCGGAATTCTCGTGAGAATCAGTACAACTAATCACTTGACCCAGATACCAATTCCGATCTCCCAAATACGACCGTGGTCCTCTCCACCCGCATCAGCCGCCTCCTCCCTCAGACCCCTCCTCCAGATTGTTCGTTCCCGGTCCCTTTACTCTTCCGCGCGCCGAGCAAACATACAACTCGACTGTCGCATCGGACATCCTCACCCTTTGCTACGTGCACACACCACCTGGTTTCAAGCCCCCGCCGAAGGCACCACGTCTGCGCGAATGGGATGACAGCTCTCCCTACCACAAGAACCGTCCCCTCCGTGGCCCTCGTGGCGGCGATGTTCTGCGGTTACTCCGAAAGCCCATCCGGTTCAACAACATCCCCAAGATCGAGCGCATCACGATTCACAGTTATGTGAAGAACGCCGCCCACGAAAACTCATCGTGGCTGCACGTGGCCGGTATGGCCATCCAGGCTATTTCCAACACGCGCGTTGAGACCTTCAAGTCGAAGAGTAGTGTTGCGACCTGGAGCATTGCCCCTGGCCGAGACACTGTCGCTGTCAAGGCTGAGCTTCAGGGCGAAACCATGTATCACTTCCTCGGCAAGCTGATCGATGTGGTTCTGCCCCGGATTAAGGACTGGCCCGGTATCAAGGGTAGCAGCGGTGACAGCAGCGGAAACATTACCTTCGGTCTGGTACCGGAGAACGTTGCCATGTTCCCCGAGATTGAGGTCAACTATGATATGTGAGTCTCTGTTTTACCATGTTGTGATCGTGTCTTTTCTAACTGGTTTTCAGGTATCCTCCCAAGATGATCCCTGGTTGCCATATCACCCTTCACACCACCGCCAAGGCGGATAAGGATGCCCGTCTCCTCCTGAGCGCCATGGGCATTCCGTTCTACGGCAAGATCGTCCACTAAGGTGCTAACCAAAGCATACTTTCGACATCTTTGGATTTCCTATCATATATCTTCCCTGGGGCACCGTGTTCCCGCCCAACCTGTAACTTTACGAGGTGGCCTGCATAGTGGCCATTGCGATTCACCAACCTTGTGTATTATTTCTAGTCGTCTTTTTTTCGAGCGAAATCTATCAAACTCCCATTAGAGCTTCAATTACCTACGTACCAACTCGGTTTACGATGTCAAGGGCGTACCTGATTCCTGCTTGTACAGACATGCAGATAAGTACATACTGGAGGCCCACTATCAATTACGCAGCCGGTAATAATTGCACTACAAGTAATTTATGATGTTGAATTCCAGTTCTATGCAAACAAGAGCCATAAATGTGATAATAATGTCCCTGGTGAATTGTATAACTACCGAAAGACGGAATCGCTCTCACAACAAGACAAGAAATGAAATCCATCATGCATAATATCATAGTACAATCATGTTTTTGCAAAGTTCACGTAATAGGCATAGCCAGGAACCGGCATTTCAGCAGTTCATCAGCAGTGGGTCGCTTCTCAAAGTCAACCTGGAAGGTCATATCGAGGAATTGCTTGGCCTCGTCGCTGACATGTTCTGGAGCAGGCGGGCGAGCCTGGTTACTTCCGATGGCAAAGATAGCTTGCAGCTGGCTGCAGTCGGGGAAGGGGTGGACACCGCTCAACATCTCCACGACTAGACAACCCAGACTCCAGATATCGGCTTTCTTGGTATGGGCCGTTTGTCGTACAACTTCGGGCGCCATCCAGTAGACACTACCCTGCATAGATGGCCGGTGGATGTGTCCTCCGCCGCCACCGCTGGCGCGAGCGCCTAGGAGGGTGGATGCCTCGACACGCTTGGAGATACCGAAATCGGAGATCTTGACGCCACCCTTGTTGTCGACGAGGATGTTGGCTCCCTTGATGTCTCGGTGAATGATACCCTGGCTGTGCAGGTAGGAGAGACCAGCCAGGATCTGCCGAACAAAGTTCTTGACCAGGGGCTCTTGGAAGGTATTGTACTGCTTCAACATTGTGGCGATAGAGCCACCCGGCACATACTCCAGGAAAATGTTCAGGTACTGGTCGTCGGCCTGTGTGCCAAGGTACTGCACGATGTTGGGGTGGTGCATTCCTTGCAGAAGCTCAATTTCGTGCTTCAGAGCAGTGACCATGCCGTTCTTGCGTTTGTCGAATTCAGTTCCCTTGGTAGCGGAAGGAATTTCGACTTGCTTAACGGCCATAAGCTCTCCAGTGATGGCGTGGAGAGCCAGGAAGACGCTACCAAAGGAACCTTCACCGATAAGAGATCCCTTCATCCAGTTCTTGGGTGCAAAGTTGTTGCCAGCGAGGAAATCACTCATCAGGTTCTCATCTTCTTCCTCTTCCTCTTCCTCTTCCTCCTCATCCCCATCGTCGGGAACAATCACGGAAGATCGGTCATTAGAGGAATGACCGTCGGTGGCAATGACGCTAGCAGTCTCATCCAGAATACTCTGGCGTGATGGGTTGGGTTCATCAGAACCACTATCAAATGAGACGTAGGACTTGCGGTTCGGTTCAATGGGAGACTCCTCCTGGAGTGGCTGCAGAGAGCTTGAGGCAATCGAATCGCGGTAGGAAGTCTGAGGGAGGTTAAACTTGGTAGAGAGGGGCCGTGGCACACGGGTAGCATGCGCTCCCCCCTGGGGCTGGAACCATGTGTCGGCAATGTTGGGCATCGGGGGAATCGGAGGTAATGGGGGAAGAGGAGGTGCATCCTTAAGACTCGATGCCACGCTATAGTTGCTGACAACACTGAGGCGACTTGCTGCACGGCTGAGACGTTGAGATCTCCGCATCGTTTTCGCGATGTCTTCCTTGTCATGACTGGGGAAGAACGACTGGAGTTCATGAATGATCATCTCGCTCGGTGGTCTCTGCCCGAAGAATGATCGAAGCTTATTGGCCACGGGGTTGCGCTCGCTGTTGGGCGATAGATCTGGCTCATTCGTAGCATTTGTAGAAGATGAACGATGCCGAGCACCCACGGGAGAAAGTGGTTGCTTGGTATTGAGAGTATGCCATGATTCTCCAGTGAGCTGCTGGATTTTGGACTTTTGGCGAGAGGTAGATTTATCCAACGCGAGCCGGTGCGTGACCTGACTTTCATCGACCGCAAGTTGCGATGCGCGGCGAACCTCGTCAATGTCAGGCTCCCCAGCGTGGACCTTGCGCAAGATCAATCGACCACGCTCGGACTTGTTGACTCCTTCACATATTTCCATGAGTTCCGCCTCCGTCAACCGCCTACAGTTCGAGATATCCGCATCTAAGCCGTCCAGGACATAGAAGCAGTAGTTCCGATACTGGTGCTCGGGCAGCTGCAATTTCTTGAGAACGTTGATGATGACCTCGTCCGGAGTCTTGCAGTGGCGGATGTCAAGGACCTTGGTCTGGCCCCCAGTATAGATCACCCGAATTACCGGGGAATTGAGCGGAAGAGGGCCCATGGTAAGACCGTCGAGACTAGGATTCCGAGGGTGTGAGCTTCCTCGGTTCCCTTCGTTCGGCGTGGTTGGATTACGGCCAGACCCCGAACCAGCTGTGAGATAGCCATCTTTACGCCACGAATCACCAGGAGACGTGGGTTGAGAAGGGAATTTGCCCAAATAATTAAATCCATCATCGACCAGCTGCGACATGCGTCGGTTGCTCAGGGTTGTTGGGCGAGCACTTGATAGGCGGGAAAGATCGGGGGATAATGCGGCAGCTTCCAGCGCGGCTAATTTGTTCTACATCCAGAGTTAGCAGACAGCAGAAGTAAAGATCTGGGAAGTGCTTACCAAGTTCTTCTGTCTCGGGTTGGGCATGGATTTGTTCCTAAGCTGCTTGATGGCAACGAAGATGCGCACTCGGTCGCCAACTTTTTTGATGCCCATCTCCTGCAATATCTTTTGGTCACAGTCGAGCAAGTTGTCTCCGTTAAAGTTATTAGCTAGGAGAGATTAGTGTCTGTCCAGTCCAAGCAGGCAATACAGGAAGATAGGAAAGATACCTCTGAAGATCGATTCGTACTGGCCACACTTGATGCTTTGCAACCATTGAATAACCTTTTTCTCGTCCCAGGACCTGGAGAAGAGTTAGAAAAAATTGCAGGTATTGATGTCTAGATCCGACAAGTATTACCGAACTGCCGCAAGCTCATCCTGTCCCTCAGAGAATTCCGACCTGGTCGGACTGCTGAACCCAGCTCCATCCTGTACCTTTGTCGCTGTCGCAGGGCGTTGCGAGCCGGTATGGTAGGCAGTTGCAGGTGTCTGGGATCCGGATACACCCAGAGGCGCCGAGTACTGTTTGGCAGCCAGCATTATGAAGTCGAACGGCGTCCCGCGTCCTTAAGACTTTGTGATCCTCCAGCTGAGTCGGACGTGACCTCGCAGCGCCCTTTCCCCCGCCTGCGGACAAAAATGTACACCAGATTCGATACAGAAGCCGTCGGGGGTGATGCGACGAGGGTCAACGCATAATCTCGATCCCCTGACGAACAGTTAGCCTCCCGTGGTTCGTCTCGCTTGGCCGGTGGCGGGACGGGAGGGGCGATCGGAGGGAGACCCGGAGCACCACGTCGCGAAGGGGAGAGACGACTCACCGGAGTAGCACAATGGATCCAAGTGATGTCCGTCTCGTCGCAGCCGGACCGGATTGCAATGGGGGGTTGTTTTCGTGGTCGCGATCGCAACGTCTGAGCTTTTTTTATGGCGAGATCGTTGGAGCCACTTAGCGTGGTCTCGATCGGGCGTTTATCGATAAAATCTGGCTCCCCCACTCAGGCACAAGGAACAAGGCACACGGAAAATGGCAGGGAAATGATGGACACGAAAGGGAGAACAACTCCTTTCGAAGAGCTCGAAATCGGGCCGAGTGATCAAGGGGCCCTGGCGGCTTTTCCCACGCGTTTCACCCTGACGAATGTACGTGCCATCGGAAGCATCGGAGCCATCGGAGCTGTCATGTCTCATCCCCCTTGCGATCGTGAAACTTACACTATTGATGTCCGACCCTCCTACGAGCCAATGGTATTCTCGACATCGTCTATAATAGCCGACTTCGGTGGCTTTCCAGTCGTGCTATTCTATAGAAAGAAGCATGCTCGTTTCTGGCCCCACCGTTGAAACAGTGTGAAACCGCGGGTCTGGTTTGCCTTGGATGGAAATGGAACCAGCCAGGCATCTGACTCCGGGAAAGGGTAGACACGGATCTAGCAGAGTTGACGGAATCAAAACTGCTCCCTAAAGATAAGCATGAACGTACTCCAGAAGATGTGGGCCGTAGCAGTTGCCGTGAAAGACATCCGGGAAACAGAGGAATCCCGCGGGTGATGGCTTGCCTAAGTGTGTACAGGGATACTTCTAGCAGACCACACGGTGTCTGTGGCATTATAGAGTCCTATAAACGCTCCTCTCGGGGCCACACGTAGGCCACGCGTAGTCCCTTCCCTATACAGTTGATCACTCTCTTTTTGCTCCCCATGAGTCCACAGGAATGACCCGACGCGGCCTCTCCGCACCGGTGGAGACGCTGCATATTCGGACCTAGGCTTTCACCCTGGGACTCCAACTCCAACATGCACGATCAAATCATTGTCTGGATTTTCTAGGCATTCCATTCATGATACACACTTGCATTTAAGCAACCGCGATGTGTCCACACGTGACCATCCCCTCATCTGTGCCAAACCCCACAGTTCAATTTTCCCCGCTCAAAGGCTCACAAATTCTTTCCCCTCTTGACCCCCCAGGAACCCCAACAACCCCCAATATGGAGGACGAGAAATCCGCCAAAGTCAAGAAGAAGGGTGCCGCTCACCGGAAGTCTCTCTCTTGCGAATACTGCAGTCGATCCTTTGCCCGCTTGGAGCATCTCCAACGCCATCTCCGCACCCGTTGAGTAACCCCGATCTAACCTTTTCTTTCCTCTACATACTAATGTAGGACAACAGATACCAAGGAGAAACCTTTCTCATGTGAGATCTGCTCCAAGTCTTTTGCCCGGAGGTAAGGCAAATACCCTGCTTGTCAATGACCCAATCGCTTATCTTACGACCCTCGCAGTGACCTCCTGGTGCGACATGAACGATTGGTCCACCCGGCTGAGAGTGCAGCCAGTCGAGAACATCGGACACACAATGGCATCAATAATAACCAAAACGATATTCAAATCCAGTCGACCATAAGTCAACCCGCCCACCATGAGTCGCGCATGCTAGAGCTCGCCGACGCCATCCCGGTCCATACCCAAGTGCCTCCTCCACCTCCCGAGGTCCAGATCCAGCCTCCCCCGATAGTCGAGACACCGCATTTCAATCCCTCCTGGGGCTATGACTTGAATCTCTTGTCGCACGCTGCGAGTCATGTCGCTCTGGAAGGACAGCAGGAGAGTTTGGAGTCGCTTCGAAAGCCATCGCATTCGGTCGGCACGCCGTCCCAATCCATCTCACAAGCTCCAGAGAGAGCAATAACGGACAATTACGGGGTAGAGCCGTCTTTCCTTGATTTGACGGACCTGGGTGACCCCGTTCAAGACTTCACCGTCTTTCTGGAAAGTGTCGGTCTCTCGTCCGACTGGGACTCCGGGGTTTTCTCGTCGGTTGAGGACCCCATGTTGCCTCCAAATCTCTCCATGGATTCGAAACAACAAGTTCGAGAGCAAACTGCAGCGACAAGACTGGGTGGGGACTTGATGAGCGATTCACGAGTCCAGGCAGAAGATCCGCCGTCCTTCTCCAACTTCGGATCCAGATTACCGTCCTTACAACCCGACTCTCACGAGATGGAGGATCGAATTGGCCTTTCCGATGAGGGCTCACGGCCCGCGTGGGATATCACCAATTCTGATCGCCAAGTATTCATGTCAAAGCTCGAGGATTTCTCCGCTGTTCTTCCCAAGGGATTTATCCCGCCGTCACGGCATGCTCTGTCCCGCTTCTTTGCTGGATATATCAACGGGTTGAATGAACATCTTCCCTTTGTGCACGTTCCTACACTGTCTATTGCCAAGTGCTCTCCAGAACTCACTCTGGCAACGGCAGCCGCGGGATCACACTACCGCTTTGAAAATGGTCGAGGAATCGACCTTTTCCATGCGGCAAAAGCAATTCTATTAGAACGCCTACGTCGACGAGATAGCAGACAGGTCCCTCATCCAACATGGAACTATATTTCCCCTCCCTCGAATTTCCCCAACTCCCGCGGTTCATCCATGATCTCGAACACCGCGAGCAGTCCTTTTCAAAACCAACACCTCCCTAACCCACCTATCAATGCGTCGATCTATACATCGGACGATTCTGATGCCCATATGGAGGTGATTCGGACCTTTTTACTGTTGACAGTGTTTGCTTCCTGGGAGAGACACCCAGAACTGCTTCGAGAGATCCTTTCCCTCCAAAGTACGTTAGCAAGGCTTGTGCGGGAACATGGCCTGGCAGAGCCACCTCCTACCCCTGAACCTATCGGCTGGGAAGAATGGGTACGAAGAGAAGGAAACAGACGAACGAAACTCATCGTCTATTGTTTCTTCAATCTCCACTCGATCATGTACAACATCCCTCCTCTCATTCTAAATGGGGAGCTGAAATTGAACATGCCCTGTTCGCACGACCTTTGGAAGGCGACCAACGCCGCCCAGTGGCGGCGAGTACTCCGCACCCGGCAAGGCTCGGACGTTCCGTTCCAAGATGCATTTGCCCGGCTTTTCCTGAAATCATCTACTTCGCTCCCATCGGCTCCCATCTCTCCCCTTGGCAACTACATCCTCATTCATGCTATCATTCAGCAAATCTTCTTTGCCCGTCAACTCTGTCTGTCGGCTCCGAACATGCATGGCACCAGTCTAAGGCAAGAAGATCTCAATGTGTTGGATAACTCATTGGGTGCATGGAAAGCATTGTGGAAACGCACGCCCGAGTCCAGCATCGACCCTCAGAACCCAGCAGGCCCGATCGCTTTTACATCGACTGCGCTCCTGGGCCTTGCCTACATCCGACTGCATGTTGACCTAGGCCCCTGTCGACATCTGATCACTCAAGACCCGGTCCAGATTGCGGGAGCCCTGATCGAGTCACCACCTATTGTCCGAAGCCCGCGGCTGATTATGGCGCTACTACACTCAGCTCATGCTTTGTCCATCCCTGTTCGACTGGGTATTGATTTCGTGGCGAGGACACATTCATTCTTCTGGAGTATTCAGCACTCACTGTGCAGTCTGGAATGCGCTTTTCTCCTCAGCAGGTGGCTACTCGCCATCCCAGCTACACAACCAGAGCAGAGGCTGTCAGAACATGAGCGGAAATTACTTCTGTGGATCAAGAGCATGATGGATGAAACCGAAATGGCTGTTGATCCGCCAGGAGCTCCCGACACGGAGTTCATGGCAAACCCGTACAAGGTGCGCCAGCTAAGTGTTGCCATCGTTCGAGTCTGGGCCCGGACGTTCAAGGGCAACACAAGCTGGGCGATTGTGGATCTGGTCGGCTCGAGCTTGGATACCTATGCCGATCTCTTGGAGACTACAACAGGCTTTCCATGATAATATTTGGTCCTGGGATGCGATTTGACTGCCCATGCAAATACAGTGGCCCTGCCACTTTAATGACGCTATTGCTCGATTCTTCACTTCTGTTCTTTACTTTTTCTGATGGACATGATATCTAACGGAGTTCTGTACATGTGCGGTCTGGGATTTTGCAAGGAAATTTTTTGGGTTTGTTAGGTTCTTGGTCTGTATGTATAATGACTTGTCGTCACTTGTGATTGCTGTCTATACCCGGTGATGCGAGTATCTCAGCGAGGGCAGGATTGGATTTCAGGCCCGTTATATTTGGCATTTGCGTAATGAAATGAATCACGTTTGAGATGCCTTGGAGTTGAATTGGTCTTTTCATTTCAAGTATTGGGAGAGTGAACAACATTTCACATGACATTCGTTAATTCATAAGATGTTGGGTTCCTGGTTGTATCAGGATTTATTGTGAGACGCCTTAGGCCGATTCCTGGTAACGCTGACAGGCACAAACCGAAGTGCTGACATGGACTTTTCCAAATCGTCGATTTCCATTTCATCTGACTTCAGCGAAGCTTTCGACTGAGATCCTGGCGCCTGAGATGAAATCACTGGCGGTTGGGTTTGAGATGCCGAGCTGCGGCGCCGCAATCTCCCCTCAAGCGATGAGATAGACACATTGGAGATGCGTCGCCTGTGGCTGTTCAGGGGTCTCAACATGGACGTCTGTCTGTCAATGCCGTCATTGATGATGTAGAAGTTATAGCTCTGGTGAGAATGGATCAGTTAAAAGTCTCGAGTGTAAGATAGGACATCATACTCGAGGGAACATGTGTTTGTCTATCAGATGGAGTCTACGTTTTTGAGGAGTAGAGCATTTCCGGTCGCATGTTTCAATGAAACAGCCAAACTGTGCAGTTCATGTCAATTGCCACTGTCCGATAGAAGTGTTGGGCCATCACATACAGTCTTGTCCCCGCGCGCCCGCCGCGCGGACGCAAGTGGGTCATGATTCTCTTCGATATGGAGATTCAAAAAATGACCCGTGGGGAAGTTTTTACTGCATTGAGAGCAGCGATTGACATGGGCCTGTCGGTAATGGACCTCGTAGTCCTCGTACGAGGAGAACGAGAGAGTCTCGCGGTGCGGCGGGAGGGCACACTGCATAACCTCGGCAACAGGGTCGGGGTGCCGATGGAGGATCTTACTGTCAGGCTCAGGTGTTGCGGTTTTCGGAGTCGGGGACCTTGACGATTCGAGGTCCAGAGATGGCGACCTCGAGAGGCTTCGCGAACGTTTGGACATGGCGGTGATGTGATCGATCCACCGGGGCGGGGCACTCACTGCAGAACACAGCAAGGAGTGACTGAGCGAATCATAATGCGAAGATCAGATCATGTTGGACAGGGATATTGAGTATCCAAAGGAAATCAAAAGAAGAATAAAGTAAAGGTGGAAGGAAAGCCACCAGCCACGTCCAATCAGCGCCACGGGGAGAGATTCCGCGCAAAGTACTCCACGCTTTTTCCGTGACGGCGTCCTCAACTTCCTCAACTTCCTCAACTTCCTCAACTTCCTCAACTTCCTCAACTTCCCGAATGGCGTATTCAGTGCCCGTTTACCCAGCCATAGCCATCTGACGGGCGTCTACGGTGGGGGAAAGTCTCCCATCCTGAGCATGGCGTCTTTCCAAGATGCGTGGCAGTGAGTCCCTTTGTCCCGCGATCGGCCAATTTGAGATCTAACGATCCTCTAGGACTGCGCTCGACGCTGAAAAGGAGCTCTTGCAGCGCCTCGTTGAGAAGGATCCCACTTTCGCCGAGATCTCCCACTTTCTGTCGGAGTCAGTTCCGCTACCCAAAACCCCGAGCGCCGATTTTGATCTGACTGAGATTCTGTAACAGATTCCGCACCGCTTGCCAGAACGCTATCCTCCTCGACTTCGAGACCGCCCGCGACGCCGATGTCGAGGGTCGCCTGTGGGATGCGCACCTAAAATTGAATACTCGGTTTCGCAAGCTGCTTTCTCGCGTGAGTGAGACGCTGTCGATGACACGCCGGTCTTGCAGTTGGCTAATCCGATGCGACACAATAGTACCGCGAGGAAAACGCTAAAAAGAAGCCCGTCGAGAAACGCAAGCTAGAGAAGCACTATCTGGACTTCATCAAATCGAGTCAGCGGTTCTACCGTGGATACATCCAGCACCTCTCGTCGCACTTTGGAGGCATTGTGGAACTGGACAAGGTCGCGCGCAAGTTCAATTATGAAAGTGCGCAATTCCCGGGTCCTCGAATTTGGCGGTTATGGCACTAACTCCTGTTTTCTTTCCAGATTTATCGGCGCAGCCCTCGTCCATCGTTACACCTGATTTGCACAAACGCATCCTCCAATCCTGCCATGCAACACTCATTCGGCTCGGTGATCTATCGCGCTACCGAGAAACTGAACTCGTCGCCAAGGACCGCAATTGGGGCCCGGCAATTGGATACTATGATTTGGCTTCGGTGATATACCCCGTCTCTGGCGCATCGCACAACCAACTGGCTGTCATTGCCCTGGCTGATGGGAACCACCTCCGTGCCACCTATCATCTTTACAGGGCGTTGTCGGCCCAAGACCCGCACCCTTCAGCAAAGGGAAACCTGGAGATCGAATTCCGCAAGATAATGAATCTGTGGGCCAAAAGGGAGCTGATTCGTCCTGAGGATGCTGGTATTCCCGGCAGAGCCTTGGCTCCTTGGTTCGTCTATCTCCATGCACAGTGCTACAAAGGGACCGATTTCCCCGAGCATGATGAATTGGAGAGCGAGGTTATGAGTCAATTGGCTGTTGACATCAGAGAACGTACTCTTGAGGGAACTCTCCAGAAACTCTGCCTTATCAACATTGCCGCCGAAGACCTCGCTCGAATCCGGTCTACTGAGGAGTCTGTCTCAAATGCGCGTTCCTTTTTCCAAAGGATCAACGTGAAGACATTCTTCACCTTGTTGCAGATCCTTCTGGTGGAACTGGAGCGGTTTGCCGCTGAGGATTCAAGCACGAGCGGCACCGATACCCCCAAGAATGGTCCGGATAAGGTGACAGTAGTTGCGCGACGCATTCTCCCTGCGCTTCGCCATTACAGCTCCTGGCTTCTGATTACTAGTGACTTCCTTGTCGCGCAAAAGGAAGAGAAGGACTCGACTCTCTCCATCCAGATCCAGGAGTTCTGGAAAATATATGCAGGCACCCTTACCCTCCTTGCGTCTACCTTCGATGTTGTACATCTCCCCGAGATCGATTACCTTCTGGAGGAAGACGAAGAGAGTCTTGGGTTTGCACCCTTGGATCAGGCGGCAACCTCTCGCCGATACATTGGTATGGGTGACAATGTCAAGCCTCGCGTGCATGATCCTGGTGTCGAAAGAAGCCACCCGAACGAGGAGATGCTCTACCGAATCCGCGAGTTCGTGATTGATGGTCTGGACCTGGTCGTCAGAAGCAAAATCCCCATCACTCTTGTAGATGACGAGGATAAGAAGACATTCATTTACCAGGAGGATGGACTACCCTCTCAATTCTTCTCGAGCCCTCATGGTCGTCAGCACACTCTGTCGACCCCGATTATCGAGCGAGACGAGATCCCGCAGCCAACACAGGACTTAAACTCTGCTGTTGAGGGTCGCAGCCTGTTTGGTGGCTCTCAGTCGGCGTCGGCGTCCATGTCTGCCAATATGCACGGCATCGTTGAAGGCGTGGAGCGATTAGTTGAGTCCGATACTTACGAGAATTCCCCGGATCTCTCAAATCAGTTTTCTTACTTCAATGACACGGCAGAGATGCCCACGCCTTCTGCGCGAATGGCATCAAGCGCCAATGCTTTCGCTTTCAACGAGAGAGCCCCGCGGCAGCTCACGACTCCAATTGCCCCGCCGGGACTTGGTCCACCTGCCGTCAGCGCCGCCGATTCTCTTCGCGGATCTATCTCCCAAGGCTACGGAACTCTGCCTGCCCTCCCGAGTATCTGGAACACCTCGTCTCCAGGTCCACTGAGAGATGGATCCTCTCCCCGAACCCCTCCAGGTCTGGGAGGGCAATCCCCAATGCACGCGATGGGTCCAGCAGGCATGAACGCTTCAGACCGGTCCCCATCCCAGGAGCAGATGGCACATGATCTGCTCCGTCAGAGTATTATGGGCCAAACTCAGCTCTCGAACCCGATGGTCCCGTCCGGCTCTATTCCGTCATCGTGGATCCCTCCAAGCAACCTATCCGCGACACAGCCACGACCCACGGTCAACAGCTGGGACCGTGACATCGGCCGAATGACCTTTGGCTCCTACGAGCTCCCTAGCCAGCCAATTTCCAGCGGCATGACAGGTCAGACCTGGGCAAACGACGCCTTTGTCGCAAGCAGTCTGGCCTCCGGCGCCGGCCACTACAACTCAGCATTCAGTGGCCACCGCAAGCCAAGTACCCAACTCGGCGCAATCGGCCAGACTCCGCCTTGCGGCCAGGGCGGTTGATTACAGACACGAGCTACATTGGCCCAATCTGTATGATAACCGCATTTCTATCTGCGTAACAAACCCCAACACAGCCGAGCGAGATTAGGAAATCCCAGCAACCGGATCCTTCTCTCCTCAGCCCTGGCTCGTGTTCTGTTTCTCACTGGAGGCCATCTAGGACGAAGAATGTGCTCTACTCGTTTTGCTCAACGAGGTAGATCGGAGTCCAGGCCATTTTTTATTTCGTTGACTCGATGCTCCAGATGCCAGGAACGCACATGCCTTGACAATAAGCTGCGGCCCGGATACCAAGGCCCTCATTTCCCCCTGCTTTCCCTGTGGCAGTCTTTTGTTTCTTTCCGATATTTCCGCTATATCGGGAGGATGTGAGCTGCACGTTCAACACGGACATAGGAGAAGATCAAGAGACGATTACCCTGCTTTTAGCGGAGGATACGTTTGCGTTGTTCAGTCTACATGTTTTTTTGCCTATTTTATGCGTGAGATGTAGCCCCTTATGACGAAAACGTCTTTAGTGATGCGTTTTTGATTTTCAATAACGATGGCAGCGGGCACTGGTATGGATGATGGGTCTGGCGCTGCTCGGACCTAATTTTATCTTGACAATCCCGCTAGCCAATTGATAGCAATTCTACGTCTACCTTTCTAAGTATCCACGCAAGAGAATTCGTAGAAGCCGGAAATCTTATTCCAGAAATTGTTTCTTCGTTATATCGTTGTTGAAAACGGGGCACTTGTTCCACCGCTCGCGGATCTCCACAGGTTTCCTATGCTCTTTTCTCTATATCACATCGCGCCATGTCGGACATGAAACGATCATAACAGGAAGAGTGATGATGAAGAGGAAAAAAGAAAGCAAGATTTCTTACAGAAAGAATCAATGCCTTGCGGGTTCAAATGGTTGACGTTAAGTCGTTTATTTCAAGGTACATAGAAAAGGAAAAAGACAAAAGATTTGGGTATAGAGGGTTGAATCATCCAAGGTTGTTTGATGTTTCTCAATTATATGAGCTGCACCGGGATCTTCTGTAGAAGATTTTTGTGTTGAAGGTCTTCGTTTCTATTTATATTTTGAAAGAAGTTTGGTCGCTTAAGAGCGAGTGTAGGCCTGCTTGGGGTAGGGGTAGCTAGTTTTGAATGTTAGTTTGACAGGTTCTTCGTGCGGATGACTGGGTAGAAGAAACTCACGAAGGTCCAAGCTCCTGGATGCTCTTGCTGGCCAGCCACTGGCCCATGTCAACGCTGTCCTCAAGAGACTTGCCCTGGACAAGACCGGCGCAGAAGCCACCGGCAAAGGCATCACTTTTGAAATCAAGTCAGTCAATTGCTCAAAATACCTGCTGGAAGGACAAAACTTACCCGGCACCGTTGGTATCGTTGATGGCATCCTTGGAGAGCTCGTGGACAGGGAACTGCTTGACTTCAACGTTGCCGCTGGAGCCAATGGCGACAACGGTGGGCTCAAGACCCTGGGTGATGACCACAGTGCGGGGACGCTGGGCGTTCTTCTTGGGGAGAGCAGCAAGCTTCTTAGCGATCTCAACAACATCCTCAGTGCCCCACTCGTGGCTGGCAGAGTAGGCGCGAGCCTCGGTCTCGTTGCAGCAAGTATAGTCAGTGTAAGGCAGGACGCTATCGAGCTGGTCCTTGAAGAACTGGGGGATGAAGGGGGCAGAGAGGTTAAGGATGAAGACCTGAAAGTTGTGAGAGAGAATTCAATCCATAGACAAATAGTTTAAGTACCTTGTTCTTAGCGGCAGCCTCCTCAGCGAGAGCCAGGATGGCAGGGACGCAGACAGTCAGGTGGAAACCACCGACGTAGAAGAATTGGGCCTTCTCGACGAGGGACCAGATGTGGGGCTGCTTCAGGTGGTCAAGCTTGTACTCGTTGGCAGCAGCAAGGTGAGTGCACATGCTGCGGTTGTGACCAGTGATGATGACACCGCACTTGCCGGTGGGCTGAGCATCGTCGACGCGGTACTCGGTGTGGACACCAGCCTCTTCGCAAGTCTTCTTGAGGATCTCGCCGTACTTATCCTTGCCGATGCAGCCAATGTAGACGACGGAGTTGTCGGGGAGCAGGTACTTTATCGATTATTAGTATAATTGACTTAAAAAAGAGGCCCGACGTTAAATCATACCTGAGCGCCACGGGCAGTGTTCTGGGCGGCACCGCCAGGAATCAGCTTAGCATCCTTGGCCATGAGCTCCTCGTAGAGGCCCATGTGCTGCTCCTCGGCGAGGATGGCATCGTTCTCCTTGAGGCCGTACTTCTCAAGAATAGCGGCATCACTGGGAAGGGCATGTCAGCAAGTGAATTGATTCACAATCCCCGAAAGTCAATCCGTACCCACGAGCCTGGATGTCTAGAGGCACATTAGCAGACTATCCCAACTTTAAAAATAAAGAACACATACCGAGGAGAGGGTTCTCCAAGCACAGAAGAGGATAACTTTGAGCAGCCATTTTGATAGTTGAATTGGATAAGATGTAAGAAGAAAAGGTGAGGGGGGAAAAGGTGGGAGAGGATGGAGGGGTCCGGCAGAAAAGCAGCCGGGCGGAACAATCAGTCCTCAAGGTCAAGCTCCACCGTCAACACCTCCACTTCAAAGTCAACGCGGCACTCCACCATCAACAATGGCCGACCACACATTGGACATCCCGGAGCTCCTCCAGTCCGCTTCCATCAAGAGGCACCCTTCCCCAGCCCACGATATCAACCCATCGACCGCGGCTTCGGAAAAGCAACCCGTCGTCGCAGGCCCGGCTTCCGATGCTGCCAGCATCGCCTCGGACATCGTTGACCCCAGCCGGGTGATTCGGCCTGTGCGCCGGCGCCAGACACTTCCTCCCTTGCCAGATCTACGCTTTGAGCAAAGTTATTTGGCCAGCATTAAGGACGCTGACACGTGGGGGCGAGTGGCGTGGATCACCATCAGAGACCAGGTAGGACTGCCTTCCATCGGGAAACATAGGAGAACATGAAAATGAAGAATGCAAAAGTGGGAAATGAACACCAAATAGCTAACGTCGACGTCCTCCAATAGGTCCTCCTTCCCCTCATTCAAGGCACAGTCTGGACCCTAGCGCTCTCCGGCTGGCGCTTCTGGAACCGCAACGCCTCGCTCAGCGGACGCACACTTGGAAGCCGGATCCGCAGATGGTGGTACGATGTGAACAACTGGAAATTGCCGCCACTGGGCTGGACCAAGGACCCGAAGATTGCCGCGCAGGCCGAAGATGTGAGCTCGTCTCTCTAGAAGCCCTGTTTTACCCCAACGCAAAAGACCTGTGCGGCTAACGCTTCCGGAGTTCTTGCAGTTCTACGAGGCCCAGTTCTCTAACACGGGTGCGGACTAATTGTACAGTTGTACGGAGTCCCTGACAAGATATTACTTCAGGGGCTTGTGGTGATTACCTGATTCACTAGCATCATTGGCGTCTGGCCGTGGAGTTTGGTCTGATTTAAAATTACGTGTTTTGTTCTATATCCCACCATTTCGAATGGTTTCTCTCGACCGGCAAAAGCTTTGTGTACTGGTCTTATTGTCTCCAATCAACAATAGCACATATTACTGGACCTGTAAATCTGGATTCGTGGTAGAGTATTTGTTCTCCAAGACTATTGGGATCCTAGTGTCTTCTACGCCCTTGAAACATGGAGATCATAGCGGATTAGAATTCATAATGTGAGCAAACTCCATATCTTAGCCAGACCCTCGGGTAGACTAAGTGGCCAGACATTGGCCTGTTTGATATAAGACAACAGTGCGGTTAGGTAGTCGGATTCCAGCTTTGGGTGAATGGAGCCTGCGGGTGAGGAATGCCAGGGACGGGTCGATTTTCAGCACCGGTGGAAAGACCGTTCAGGCCATTTGCCTCGGCTAGCTCTTTGGGTTTCGGCACCTCAATAGGCGCAGGAACAGGAAGTGTTGGGGGTGGGGCTATAGTAGGGATATTGACGGGGGCCTGAGGAGTAGTTCCCTGAGAGCTTGACTCGAAAGGCATGGGTGGTGCAGCCATTATCGGTGCCGGTTGAGGCAACTGAGATACTGGTGCTGGAGGGAAAGAAGGCGCAGTCACTGCCGGAGCTGGCTGCGCAATCACGGTTGCTGGTGCTGGAGTGGGCAATGGTGTCGGTTGTGGTGGTAGAGTTGGTTTTGTATATGCTTCAGCTTCGCTGGCACCTTTCATCTGAGTATCTTGCGCAGGAGGAGGCTCGTCCAATGCAACTTTGGGCTGACTGGGCACATTGCCTTTGCCGTAGCGAAGCTGGACCACGAGGCTTTGCGGTTCTCCGTTCGCGATGGACTCATCTCCACTCGCGTCTTCTCCTTCATCATCGCCCTCAAATTCATTCTCGTCATCTTCCTCGCCGCCCCATTCTCTTTCGCTGTCATCGGCCTCTGAGGGGGCAGCTTCGGACTCGTCCTCGAGATCATCATCTCTGTATCCCGAATAGCCATTGGGGTTGATCGATGTCCGAGTTCTTTGGGGTCTTCCCTCATTCTCCTCGTCCTCGTCAAATTCGGAGTCCTCGCGCTGTCCAGTAAGTAGGGCCTCTCCGTAAAGGCCGCCGGCACGGGACCGAATCTGCCGGCCGCTCGCAGTGAAGCGAGGACGTGAAGACTCAGCGGGTGTCACATTGGAGGATACATTGCGAGTTGATCTTCGGGAAGGAAGCCCATCCGAGAAGATGTCCTCGTCGTCGGAGTAGGTGTACTTAAGCTTTTTCCCACGAGTACGCCCTTCATACATAGAGAATCCAGGTTCCGGTCGAGTAAAAGCAGCCTTGCGACTAAGACGGTAGTCGCGACGCTTGCGCTTCTAGAAATATTGTCAGTTCAAGCCTTTTCATTACTTTTTTGTCGGAAATTTACCTCCTCTGATGCCTCAAATCGAGGAATGGCATTCCGAATCCTTTCGCTAAGCTTCTTCGAATTCGTGCCTTTTTCTTCCTGAAGTTTATCGGCAATTTCCTGAATCTCTGGAATACTGCCAGCAACACTCCACCAGGTGTTGTGCTTAAGAGCAGGGTTGCTCTCCCGATATAAGCGAAAGTGTGTATCATCTTGTCCTTCTATGAGCCAGTATCGGCGTTTCAAGCTGTCGCGACCCCATGGCTGAACAGAGAGAGGCTGGTTGAGGTCGTCGTCGTGGCGCGCTTGCTTGTACGATTCCTTAATCTTGGCCTGGATTGCATCTGATGATGACAAGGACCAGAGTATCAGAGATCGAAGCAACTCCAGCTATGAGAGAAAAGAAAAATCAGAATTGTATGTTGTGTTTCCAGGTTTTGAAGAGCGTACTCGTTCTTCGGGCGCCATGGTTGTAAAGCTGCGGCCCCCGTGAAGGGGGTTCTTGCCCTGCCATGCCTTGGGCCACTGGGACTGGTGCGTTGAAATAGCTTCTTCCAAGGGTCGCGTGTAGTGATTTCGCCTGTAAGATACCAAATTCCAAGTCAGCCAGCTATCCTGTGGTTAATTGGCGGGTGGGAGGTGAATGCGCGCGTGTCAGAGACTCCGCGCGGGGATCAAGGCATCGAGTGGCGACCATACTCAACATCCTTCTTGCGGTTCAAAACAAGACCAAGTAACGCGCATAGTAGTCGCTCGATATATTCTCCAGGGGGGACTCTTCGACTTCTCTTTCAACGTCCTGAGGTCCGAGGTGTGGGACTCCCCGGGGGAAGCATTCGTGGAAACGCGCGCGGAACGTGACGATGAACTAAGTGTTGCGACAGCTCAGCGAACGTGTCCTCAGATAGGCTGAACGCGTCATGGACGTGTCCATACGTCCATCAATGTTTAAGGTTCATGTTGTGATAGCAAAACTCACTGCGATAATGGGGTTGTCGGCGAGGACGTATTCATGATGTGGTGATGGCTCCCGTTTCGGCGGCGGCGTCTCCGACTCCTTCTTGAAGTACTTGGCGATTCCAACAGGTTCATCGACTGACATAGCTGCTTCGTCGTCTGTCGGTGGTGCCGATGATAGCGATGAGAGATCTGAATCAGAAGGTGCCATAGTGGATGTTGTGGGGAGGTGGTGCAAGGACAAGGTTGGCGTCCACGCAGGAAGCGTCACGTCGGCAGTACCTGCGCCTGCGCCTGATTATTTAATGGAATTCCTAACGCGACGGACCCATTTACAATGCGCTTTTCGAAGGATCAGTCCGGGCATCTCTACGATTTATCATAAATATTTAGGACCAATAATGTAACATGTCTCCATTCGAAGGTCTATAAAGGCCCCGTATGAAAGGGTGTAATACGTAGACTAGACTACAAATGCATTACCGCTTGATATCATGGTTTGCAAGCGCAGGACCCTTCGACAGCAGACAAGATTAAAGTGTGGTTCTTTATAGAGCGACTTTGTATACAGAGGGGATCAGGTCAAGTTTACCAAAACTTGTTGAAAAATTGCTCACGGCAGATCGGTAGAGCTGTCATTCGAAAAAGGAAGCAGATAACAACTTCGATAGCATTGGAATGCCCGTGTTCGTGGAGCTTCTACTGACTGTATTCTGCAACTGATATTTGATCTTATAACTGGTTCCTGCTGAAATGTTCACCAAGTTGGCTCCATTTGTTGGAAAATAATCGCTAGGCGGGGTCAGTGTGTCATAAAAGGAGACGTGGGAGTCAGTAGTAGCGACTTGATAAAGGGCCGATATCTCAGATGGGTAGCATTGTCTCCGCAAAGACACTTCAGGGCTATCGAGGTAGTCACGTGGTTTGTTAGTCAGCGGTTCGACAGGCGAGGCGAAGACACAATGTCAACTTTCTGTGAAACACGGCGGTTGGAATGGAGAGCGATTGAATCTAATGTTCGACATCCATTCATTAGATTCGAACGAATATTTAATATTATCGTTTCGCCGACGCAATATCTCGTTTGCTGCAAAAGTTCTTTCGCGAGAGTGCTTACATAAGGCAGCTTACGCTAGTGCTGATTGGGTTAGGTTAGCGACCGCACCCTAAAGCCCACACAGTCCCGTCCTCCGTCGATTTCTCATCCTCCCAACGACAAGCCCATCGTCAATTCGAGGTACGACTTTCCACACCCACGACTCAAAAGTCGACGACCTTTCGCCAGTCAGCTCAAATACTAACACGGTATTCTAGACAGTCGCCATGGGTCGTGTTATCCGCAACCAGAGGAAGGGCCGTGGCTCCATTTTCAGTGAGTGCGATCGAAAAAAAATACCGTTCTATCACCAATTTTTATCGACGCTGCGCTGCGAGTAACGAGGAAATTGCGAGGATCAGGACACACCCAGGAAGGGAATTGGAGTGCTGATTTTGATTTTTTCTGTTTACAGCGGCCAACACCCGTCTCAACAAGGCGCCTGCGCAGTTCCGTACCCTCGACTACGCCGAGCGTCACGGATACACCCGTGGTGTCGTCAAGGAGATCATCCACGATGCCGGCCGTGGTGCTCCCCTCGCCAAGGTCCAGTTCCGTCACCCCTACAAGTTCAAGATGATCACCGAGACCTTCATCGCCAACGAGGGCATGTACACCGGCCAGTTCATCTACGCCGGTAAGAACGCCGCCCTGACCGTCGGCAACGTTCTGCCCCTCGCCTCCATGCCCGAGGGTACCGTCATCACCAACGTCGAGGAGAAGTCTGGTGACCGTGGTGCTCTTGGCCGTACCTCCGGCAACTACGTTACCGTCATCGGCCACAACCCCGAGGAGGGCAAGACCCGCATCAAGCTCCCCTCCGGTGCCAAGAAGGTCGTCAAGAACACCGCCCGTGGTATGGTTGGTATCGTCGCCGGTGGTGGCCGTACCGACAAGCCCCTGCTGAAGGCTTCTCGTGCCAAGCACAAGTTCGCTGTCAAGCGCAACTCCTGGCCCAAGACTCGTGGTGTTGCCATGAACCCCGTTGATCACGTACGTTTTTTCCTCCTGGATTCCTTGGTAACCAAATGTCTGACTGTTTCTCCTATAGCCTCACGGTGGTGGTAACCACCAGCATATCGGTAAGGCCTCTACCATCTCCCGCTACGCCGTTCCTGGACAGAAGGCCGGTCTTATTGCTGCCCGGAGAACCGGTCTGCTCCGTGGTACCCAGAAGACCAAGGACTAAGCGTCCAATTACGTGGAGTTTTTCTTGTGACGGGTTGAAAATGGAATTCTGCTATGAGACAAATGTACTTAGGCGACTGCGGATAAGCGTCCCATGCGCCCTAGCGAATCAAGGTTGTGGACATCATCCTTTTTCTTTGTCGAACAAAACGAAGGGTGATAGAATGGGGCCGGGGCCGGCCTCATTGTCAAGGCAGAACGGAAGATCAAAAAAGGCCCCTGGGGCTGAAATGATACACCTTTAAACTTCAGTTTGGTCCCACCCTGTAGTCTGCCCCAGTACTGTAGGTCTGCATCTGCGAACTAATACTCGTCGGATACCTCGCCTCTGGGACTAGATCGTTCCAATCGGCTCATTCCTGCTTGACACTTTCAAGTTGCTACTGGCAATATTGATGTCATTCATCGTGTTCCTATTAAATCAAAGTAAGCCTGTCGGGTGGTTCCCGCTGGGGTACTCCATGGATACTCCAGGGCTTCCCACGTGGACAAGAACTAGTAGGTGAACTAATTAAGCCACAAATATCACCCAGTTACCCTTGCTGTGCTTTCTGCATGATATTCTCTGGGTACTACGGTCGTAGTTTATGATATTACTTTTTTCTTTCATAGCGAACGTGGTTTCTGAAATCCATGTGCGGTGACTAGGTTTTAGTCACGGAATATATCGTGGCAGATTCACATCTTCGACAACTTGAAAAAAATGCTAAACTTCCTTGAACTCAAACCTGACACATAGTTCAAAGCACCCCAAATCCACCAAAATACCGCCAGAGCGTATCAAGATTGATCGTAGCTCTGTCAAGTCGAGATGGCCTTCGTTGATATCAAAGTGACCAATCAGAGGCGTTTCCCGGGAGAGAACCAAGTCACCACAACACCTTATATTTCCCAATGCCCACGCCCCACGACAATGCAGCCTCCGAAACCTGACTGAAAGGACCTCTCGTCCGTTTTTCATGACATGTCGACCCCGAAGAACACTCCACAGGAGATTCCTCGCCTCAGCCGATCCGGGGCAGCCCTCACCTCCGCCGAGCGGTGGCAAGCCGTCACCAGGCGGGATGCATCCATCGGAGGCTTTGTCTACGGTGTCCTCACAACAAAGATCTACTGCCGGCCATCGTGTCCGGCACGCCTGGCCCGTCGCGCAAACGTTGAATTTTACGACACCCCCTCACAAGCCGAGGCCGCCGGACTCCGACCCTGTAAGCGCTGCAAGCCACAATGCGACCTCATGGCGGCGGCAGACTCCCAAGCGACAATGGTCGATAAGGCATGCGAGATGATACAGGAGGCACTAGCAGCGGGGTCGAAACCCAGACTGCAAGATCTGGCGGCTCGGGCAGGCCTGACCACGAGCCACTTCCACCGCGTGTTCAAGAAGAAGACAGGCCTCACGCCAGGTCAGTATGCGAGTGGAATCCTCCAAGGGGCCCCAGAGAGTTCGCCAGGCTCCTTGAGCCCTGACACTGTGTCTATGCTTGAACCGCCCCACTTGGGTTTCGTGGATGAAAGCAGAATGGAACTGGATATGGGTGCGGGTGCGAGCCTTGCGCTGCCGGAAGCTGGTCTGTCGGCGGCTGCGTGTGAACCTGTTATGGGGGATTGGTGGAATGAATTTGATGTCCTGCTGGCTGCTGAGCAAGGGCAGATATCGCTGCTTGAGCCGTTCTCTATCGACCCCCGGATCATCTCAGCGGAGTGATCGTGGGGTAGCCCTATTGGTGGTATTGGCTCGGCCGTGATATGGATATACATGTCCTGTATGAGTTGATGAAACAGTAACATGGTACTTATTTTGATAGGCTACAAGTGAACATTGTATGTAAAGCGCCATGATCCATTAGAGATGAGGCCCCACTCAAGAGGCGCCAAGGTGTCAGGGCAAAGCAGAGTGCTGATTCCAAAGTCAATGCCACCCATGTCAATCTTGCCACATTGTAATACAACACTGCAAGGGAGAAAGTGAAACACGACCGAACCCCTTTTGTTTTTGGTGAAAGACTTAAAATGTGCCGTGCATCGGGTGGTACGTAAACCTGACAGGAGACGAGAGGATCGGCACACGCGTGTACTGTACGTACAGCCCTCACAGCCCTCTTCACCGGTATTTCATCGATTCATTGGCGCCGGGATTGCAAGCTGGCCCACATCAGATCTTGTTGGACCCTGTTCCTTGCGGTGGCAACTGGAGAAACCAGGGCAAGTTAATTATAGTAGCCGCTGATCCGGCCGCGGTTCCTGCTCTCCCAATTGGAATTGACCATCCCCACCGTCGGCCCACCAACGCGTGTCAGCTTAAGCCGAGTCTAGCCCAAAGCAATGAAACTCCTTTGTCCGGGCAATAGACGAGACGCCCCCGCAACGATAACCTGTAACATACAGTGGATGGCGTTGGACTGAAACAATTCCATTATTAAGAATAGCCCTGTCATCGATCGATACAATGTACCAACTTTGCATGCAGTGAAACGCATTGGGAATTCCAGAGATTTTTGGTGGCGCAGAGGATAATAACATTTCGATAATTGCAGGGATACTGCAATCTCATTTATCGCTTTCTTCCTCCCTTGCCCCGATCCTTCCCAACCTCAAACCTTTCCACCTTCTTTCTCCACTCTTTTGCCTCCCCTCCTCAGGGATCGTCCTCTCTTTGCTGTCCCCCCTTTTTAACTACTGATCTGTGCCCCAGATCGACTTACGATCGTTTCAGTCTCATCCTCGTCACTTCGGATTTTACCCCCGTCCAGCGCTCGCGCCACTTTTAATTGTTTACCGAATTTACCACTCGTCTCAACCCCACGAGTCACCACCATTCACCATGCATATGAACAAGAGGATCGGCCGTCTCAAGCAGTGGGCCGGAGAGCGGATGGGAGGAGAGGTCAAAACCAACCAAACCGATGACTTCAAGGCCATGGAGACGGAGATGGGAGTGCGACACGAGGGTAGGTGGTGGTCTTCCGCCTGGTGGATCTACCGATGCTAATAACGGTTTCAGGTGTCGAGCGCATTCACAAGTCCATGACCGCCTATATCAAGGCTATTTCGAAGCGCAGCGAGGGTGACGACAAGGAGAAGACTCTGCCCGTAGCGCATTTAGGAAGCAGCATGGTTAGCCACGGAGAGGACTTTGACGGAAACTCTGAATATGGACAGTGTCTTACCAGTGAGTTTCAACTCGGCATCGGTTTTGAAGGAATGACCTCTGATTGTGTTTAGTGTACGGAAGGACCGAAGAGCGCGTTGCGCGCATCCAGGAGCGCTACATCGCTCAGGCGACTTCGAGCTGGCTTGAGTCCCTGGAGCGATCCTTGACCCAGATGAAAGATTATCAGGTATGTGACCTCTGGCTATTTATCTGATCTATCTGATCTGACCTAACATTTCTACAGACTGCTCGCAAGAAGCTTGACAGCCGGCGCTTGGCATACGACACCTCTCTCGCCAAGATGGAAAAGGCCAAGAGAGAAGACTTCCGTGTTGAAGAAGAGCTGCGCAGTCAGAAGGCCAAATACGAAGAAGCCAACGACGATGTGCTCCGCCGGATGCAGGACATCAAGGAAGCGGAAGTCGACAACGTAATGGACATGGGTTCCTTTTTGGAAGCTCAGCTGGAGTATCATGAGCGCTGCCGTGAAGCCCTTTTGCAACTCAAGAACGAATGGCCTGGCAGGTCCGGCCCAAACCCATCTCCTAGCCGTCGCCCGATCCGCGCCCGATCCAACACGGCTAATTCTTACTCGGAGCGATATGATCCTCTCCAGGAGGAGCTTGCCAGTGTCACCGAGGGCCGTCCTCCAATCCGTTCCACCAGAACTATCATGACCGAGTCCCCAGCACGAGAACTCTACCCACCCAACAGTACATCCACGCGAGGTACTCTGAACCGCACGCCTACTTTTGAGGGACCGGCACAGCTGCGCCAGGAGCAGTCGCCGGCCGCGTCTCAATGGATCCAGCGAACAGCGAGTGATAACCTGGTCACTCGCGGAAGCAGCACCCAATTCCCGAATGGTCGACTGCCCATTGATCCATACGCAGACTCGGAGGAGATCAGCTCCTATGGTCGTTCCAGCCCCGAGCAGAGCTACGGCAATCGGTCCAACTCTCCTGCTACATCGCATGGGAGTGTAGCATCTCGGAGACCCAGCGCAACCACCCTAAGCACCGCCGGATTGGCCAAGAAAGCTCCCCCACCACCTCCTCCATGCCGCTCCAAAAAGCCTCCCCCTCCACCACCGCCGATGAAGCGCAGTCTGATGACAGCGAGTGATGCATAGGGGATTGGAGATTCTGGCATGTATCGTTTTTTGAGGTTTAAATTCAGCACGGGGACTTGGGGAGTTTTGACAACCACTTATTGACCGTGGCAACGGGTTTCTTTTCCATTCTTATTCTCAAGTCATGGATCCCTCGCGAATGCTGATTGGGATTGTCCATTCCTTTATTATATGCACTTTCACTTGCTGCACAGATTTCCTGGATGTTCAGGAGGACTGTTTCATACTCGGATAAGGGTCACTAGTTAGTATGTAGACTAGGCAAACTTTGCTTTGCAGAAGCAGTGTATTTGATTGTGTTGATTCTGGTGAATCTAGAGTGTATAAATTAGTGAATGCCTGGTCTCAGATGTGCGCACGGGCGCCGTAGCCCGGGACACGGCCTGAGTCAGCAGCACGTGATCTGCGCACGAAATCTCCTCTTCCTCCTGTTGTTAGCCGCCCTTTGACTGAAGCACCAGGTTTCCCCGAGTCGCGCGCAGTTCGGTCCCCTCCATCTCCATTTTCATTCATCCACCCTTCCCACGCGCCCGCCCGACGCGACTATCGCCTTTCTAGGCTCCCTCACTTGCTGTCGCGCCAGCCCTCCCCCTTTTTTATTCGCTTTCTTTCAATCCCCTTTTGGTATCAAGTACCCGCTCTCACCCCCATCCATCGATCGCATCCTCCCCCGAAGCTCCGACCACCCAAAACACCCAACCACCGAGCTTCCCATCGCCAAGGCCTCCCCCAGTCCCTTTTTCGTCAATACCTCTCCGCCCTGATCGCCCCGTCGCGCTCTTGCCATCCCCGTCGCGACTCCCCCCCCTGTTGCCTTCCGGGCGCGACCTGGCTTGGTAACAAAGTGGAGCCTGTGTTCTCTTGTCCAGATCTGCTTCGGTGCCAGTCGCATTGTGCTCCCACCGCGTACCTGATTCACATATGAATTAAGGAAATACGTGTCTCATCATGACCTCGTTGCAGTCAGCGCCAAACATGGCGCGACCGAACCAGGTGCCGATGAACATGAGCAAGGTCAAGGAGAAGCTGCAAGTAAGTAATCCGCTTCACTCCCACCACTACATCCATTGTGTCCTACCACCTTGCCTCACCTTCGTTCTTTTATCATCGAGTGTGACATCTAACAACCTCGATAGAGATATCAGCATCTGAAGAATAACAATGTCGCGCACGACGACCCCGAGTTCTTGGAGCTCCAAAACTTCGTCAGGAAGTTCCAGGAGTTCCAGGAATTTTCGAAGAACAAGGCCATGTCTCAGCAACAGATGAACGGTGCTGGCGCAAACGGTGTCCCCAATGGCGCTCATGGTAAGCCCCATTCCAACTCATTCTATCCTGCCAAATTGCCGCCTGTGACTCGCAACTAACCTGTCTTCTCTAGGCCGCACTGCCTCTGCCTCTTCTGCCGCCGGTGCGCCCCAAAGAGCACCCTCCGCCCCTGGCCAGTCTCAGACCCCAGTTGGAAAGGGACCTATTGCCGGAAATGGACGCTTCACGCAGGAGCAGGTCAGCATCTTCAGAGACCAGGTCACGGCGTTCCGGACCCTGGCTCGAAACCAACCTCTTCCGGCGGAGCTTCTCGAAAAGCTCTTTGCCGACAAAAAGGCAAAGGCTCTTACCCCCACACAGAATGTCTCTTCAGCAGAGAAAGTTGTCGATGACGCCAACAAGAAAGCAGCTGGAGAGGCTGTGGACCTTTCTGACAGTACCATTCCGGGTAAGGAGTGGTACGACAATGCTAAGCTGCCCGATTTCCTGCACAAGCCCATCACCTATGGGACTCAGCCTTACCGCATTTCGAAACGATTCCCGGCCTTCGCCCCTGCCATCGGCGTGGACATGCAAAAGATTCGACAGGACGGCGAAAGAATCTTGTACAACCGAATCACCTCTCGGATAAATGAGCTGGAGCAGCTCTCGGCCAACGTGGGCGCTTGGGATACCAGCAAGAGCGATGTGCCTACTGGCGACGACTCGACGAAGCTCTCCATTCTTCTGGAGCTCCGCAAGCTGCGCCTGTGGCAAAAGCAACAGCGCCTTCGCCAGCAACTCCGCAACGAGGAGTTATCATATAGCGATCTTCAGGCGCGACCCAACCACGCGCACCACCGTCGCATGAAGAGACCTTCCTTGCGGGAGGCACGAATTACCGAGAAGCTCGAGAAGCAGCAACGAGATGCTCGTGAGACAAGAGAGAAGAAGAAGCAGTGGGATCAGTTACAAGCTATCATCAACCACGGCGCCGAACTTGCAAACGCCACGATTCAGAACCGCACTCGCTCACAGAAACTGGGTCGCATGATGCTCCAACACCATCAGCACATGGAGCGCGAAGAGCAGCGACGCGTGGAGCGCACTGCCAAGCAGCGTCTGCAGGCTCTGAAGGCCAACGACGAGGAGACCTACATGAAGCTCCTGGGTCAGGCCAAGGATTCTCGTATCTCACACTTGCTCAAGCAGACCGACAAGTTCTTGAAGGAGCTTGCTGCATCCGTCAAGAGGCAACAGCGTAACCAGGCAGAGCGCTATGGCGATGATGATGACCTTGAAGAGGATGATGAAGAGCTCGCTGACAGCGAGGAGGATGAGGAGGAGCAACAATCCTCTGGCAAGAAGAAGGTTGACTATTATGCCGTTGCCCATCGCGTGAAAGAGGAGGTCAACGAGCAGCCTACTATCCTTGTTGGTGGTACTCTGAAGGAATATCAGATGAAGGGTCTGCAGTGGATGATTTCGCTTTACAACAACAACCTGAACGGTATCTTGGCAGATGAGATGGGTCTCGGCAAGACGATCCAGACCATCAGTTTGATCACCTACATCATCGAAAAGAAGCGGAACAACGGGCCGTTCTTGGTTATCGTGCCTTTGAGTACGCTGACCAACTGGAACATTGAATTCGACAAGTGGGCTCCGACGGTCAGCAAGGTCGTCTACAAGGGCCCTCCCAATGCACGCAAGCAGCAGCAACAGCAGATCCGCTGGGGCAACTTCCAGGTTCTTCTGACGACCTACGAGTACATTATCAAGGATCGGCCCATTCTCAGCAAGGTGAAGTGGACGCACATGATTATCGATGAAGGTCACCGTATGAAGAACAGCAACTCCAAGCTGAGCAGCACGCTGTCGCAGTACTACGTCAGCCGTTATCGTTTGATTCTGACTGGTACCCCTCTGCAAAACAACCTGCCTGAGTTGTGGGCGCTTCTCAACTTTGTTTTGCCGAACATCTTCAAGTCCGTGAAATCCTTCGACGAGTGGTTTAACACTCCGTTCGCCAACACAGGTGGCCAAGACCGTATGGACCTGAGCGAAGAAGAACAGTTGCTTGTCATTCGTCGTCTGCATAAGGTTCTTCGGCCTTTCCTGCTTCGTCGTCTCAAGAAGGACGTCGAAAAGGATCTGCCCGACAAGCAGGAGCGTGTCATCAAGTGTCGTTTCTCTGCTCTACAGACCAAGCTTTACAAACAACTTGTCACCCACAACAAGATGGCTGTCAGTGACGGCAAGGGTGGTAAGACCGGCATGCGCGGTCTCAGCAACATGCTAATGCAGCTGCGCAAGCTTTGCAACCATCCTTTCGTTTTCGAGCCTGTGGAAGACCAAATGAACCCCAGTCGCATGAGCAACGATCTGCTGTGGCGAACTGCTGGAAAATTCGAACTGCTTGATCGGATTTTGCCCAAGTTCCGTGCTACCGGCCACAGAGTCTTGATGTTCTTCCAGATGACACAGATCATGAACATCATGGAGGATTTCCTTCGCATGCGAGGCCTCAAGTACCTTCGTCTGGACGGTTCCACCAAGTCTGATGATCGATCGGACCTTCTGAAGCTCTTCAACGAACCTGGTTCCGACTATTTCTGCTTCTTGCTTTCCACTCGTGCTGGTGGTCTGGGTCTGAACCTGCAGACTGCTGATACCGTCATCATTTACGATTCCGACTGGAATCCTCACCAGGATCTTCAGGCTCAGGATCGTGCCCATCGTATCGGTCAGAAGAACGAGGTTCGCATTTTGCGACTGATCAGCTCCAATTCGGTTGAAGAGAAGATTCTGGAACGTGCGCAGTTCAAGCTTGACATGGACGGCAAGGTTATCCAGGCCGGAAAGTTCGATAACAAGTCCACCAACGAAGAGCGAGATGCGCTGCTGCGGACCCTTTTGGATACCGCAGAGGCTGCAGATCAAATCGGCGAGCAGGATGAAATGGACGATGACGATCTGAACGAAATCATGGCTCGATCCGAGGATGAGATCATTACGTTCCAAAATATCGACAAGGAGCGACAGCTGACCTCGGAATATGGCCCTGGTAAACGCTTTCCTCGACTGATGTGCGAGGAGGAGCTGCCGGATATCTACATGCAGGAAGACAACCCTGTTACTGAGGAAGTCGAGGCCGAGATTATGGGTCGTGGAGCTCGTGAACGCAAGGTTGCGCGGTACGACGACGGTCTGTCCGAGAGGCAATTCTTGGAAGCTCTGGACGACAGCGATGACGATGCTCCCACCCTAGACGAGGTCATTGAGCGAAATGCACGCCGCGCCGCTGACAAGGCAACCAGAAAAGAGGCCCGAAAGAGCGGCAAGCTGGACATCGAGGCTTCACCTGAGCTGTCTCTTGACGAGGAGGAGACTCCCCAGCGTAAGAAACGTCGTCGCGTCCCCGCTCCCAAGCGCAAAGCCGAGGAAGTCGTCGAGGAGACCCCTCAACCCAAGCGCAAACGCGGCCGCCAGCCCAAGATTCCGGACACTCTCAGCGGCGCTGATCGTGCCAACCTGAACCGCATCATGACCAGCGTTGTCCAGTCGCTGAAGGAAATGGAGCAGGAGATCCAGGGCGAATCCTCCGACAGCGATGAAGGCCCGCTCGTGCGTGCCATCATCGATCCGTTCATGAAGCCGCCCCCGCGCTCGCAGTATCCCGACTACTACATGATCATCAAGAACCCCATCGCGATCGATACCATCGAGAAGAAGATCAAGCGTGATGATTACCAGAGCCTGAAAGAATTCCGGGACGACATCCACCTGCTCTGCCAGAATGCCAGAACTTACAACGAGGACGGCAGTCTCTTGTACCAGGACGCCAACGATATCGAGGTATGTTTTCCCCCTGGTCTCTGCGGCATTTGATCTTGATTCTAACTCATAATTAGGCCAAGTGTGTTTCCGAGTTGAAGAGGCTGACCGAGGACCACCCGGAGTTCGCCAACTTTGACGAACCTGGTTCTGTCATGGGCGACGGCCAGTCGACCGGCGCTGACACGCCTATGACTGCCGGTACCCCAGGACAGCCGAAGCTGAAGCTCAAGTTTAACAACAACAATTTTGATGCCCTGTCCATGAACGGAACCGACTTCGGTGACGAGGATTAAGCCATTCCGAACCCAACTTTGCAATGCTGAATTAGTCTGATGTCCGCTTGAATTCATGTGTACCCGAAAATGTGTGCTTTCTACAGTTTGGGAAAAGGCGTTCCCCGTGATTAACCGGCTTGGGCCACCCTGGAAGGGAAATGACATGTGAGGAGGGCGCTTTATTTTTTTCTTTTGATGAGCGATTTATTTCTCGGAGCGCTGTCTGCAGACGGCCCTGATATGTGTTTAGTATGTACGTTACAATTAAGAACTGGATTCAAATACACCGAGTCGATATTTAACATTCCATTCTACTTGCAACCCTTGGAACGGACTTTTTGAAGCCCCAGATGCAGCTGATCCCCGGGGGGCTAGAGTTCAATGCCCTTAACATGAGAACTCGTTTTGTTAAACATGTAAACGAAATTTCATTCCCCGTTGGCAAGCTTTTCACTTTACATAACCTGACACTTTCCATCTATCAACTTTTCAAGTTCAAAACCGAACTCTAGAGGCTTCTAAGGTTAAGCCTACGACAATTACGGCAGTAACGCTGGTTTCTTCACGTCCCGCTGCGTCCTTATTGTTGGTGGATAGCCTGTGTTCTCAGGAGGTTGCGCATCTTGCAACTTCAACTCTGACGGACAGAACTGTTCCTTCCGGAAGGCTAAACACTTGCCCGAATGGGTCCTCGTGCCACTGCGCGAGCAAAAGCCTAATCAGCCGCTGGTGGACTTGGATATTTTTCAAGGTATTTTTCTTGGTGTGTCAGGAAACACGGGCTTTTTGTCGAATTGTCGGCTAGAGGTGCTCTCGTGTGGATAGCTATAGTTATAATATAAGGTTCACTTCTGCCCTCACTAACTCGCTACTAACCTCAGCTAAAAAGAAAAGGAAATATGGTGCATAGAGTGACTCGACCTACGCGAGACAGACCTCTCAGGTCGATGCAAGCGGGGAGGCCAGTGCGTGCAGTTGGCGACTAATAAATGCGACACCGCGAGACGCAGCTGGCTCTCACCGATTGTTCTCGGTGTGGGAGGCGCACCTCTCAATACGAACCTCTCTCCGTCTCTCATGAACACACACTATTCAATCATGTCTGAGAACAAGAACCTAGCCGGCAAAGTCGCAGTCAGTACGCTTCCACCTATTTCCCCCGCATCTATAGATCTACATTAACACGTCCAGTCACGGGCTCCAGCCGCGGCATCGGCGCTGCAATCGGCCTGAAGTTCGCCTCACAAGGTGCCAACATCGCCATAAACTATGTCTCCACAGCCTCCGCCCCAGCCGCAGAGTCCGTGGCCGAACAAATCCGAGGTCACGGCGTGCGAGCCATAACCATCCAAGCCAACGTCTCGCAAGAGAATGAGGTAAAGACCATGTTCGAGACCGTGATGCGCGAGTTCGGACGCCTGGACATTGTAGTGAGCAACTCGGGCATCGAACACTTTGGAAGTCTGGAGAAGGACACGGGCGATGACATTGACCGTATCTTCGCGGTCAATGTCAAGGGGCAGTATTTCGTTGCTCAACAGGCGTTTAAGCATATGAGCGAGTACGGGCGTGTTATGCTGACCTCGTCCATTTCTGCCGTTCGGGTGTGTATATACCTTCCAAGGTTTCTATGTTTGAAGGAGCTGACCGCTGATGATATAGGGTGTTCCGCACCATTCAATCTACGCGGCGTCCAAGTCAGCAATTATCGGCATGACCAAGTGTCTGGCTGTGGACTTTGGCGCTCGTCAAATCACCGTCAACTGCATTGCCGCTGGAGGTGTCAAGACGGATATGTACACCGAGATGGCGGCCAAGTACATCCCCGGAGGCGAGAATCTGACACCCAAGCAGATCGACGAGTGCATGTCCAAGTGGTCGCCATTGGGTCGACCCGGACTTCCGGAGGATGTTTCGGGTGTTGCGAGCTTGATTGCTAGTCGGGACTCGCAGTGGTTGACGGGGCAGACGTTCCATGTTTCTGGTGGTGCGCATATGGCTTCTTAGGGCTGGATTTGCTACCTGCCTACCTGCATAGGCAGGAGAGCCTAGCTAGTCGGTTATATCGGAGACCTCGGAACATCCGCTGAATCTACTTGTTCTCTGAGCAGTTACAAATTCGTATAAACTTGCATTCCTCCAAAAGCAGATCATAGAGTTTCCGAAAATCTCTACCCCGTTATTGGAAACCATGAGGTCTACAGCAATACTTTTGAAACCGGACTCGACTAAAGCCAGGCAACTAGAACAGGAACCGAGCAAGAAAGATTCATAAGGGTTAGATATTTGGTATACGTATTCTTTGATAGATTCTAAGGAAAGTCGGATTCGGGTTAATAACGGTCTTGTATCGGGTTTCAATCAAAAACAATCAAAGGCTTTCATGTACGGTGTGGGGTATGAACGACAAAAACGAGAGTTATATACAATGGGAAGAGTTTCCTAATGATCAAGACATCCCATAAACCCCCTTTAGTCGGCAGGAAATGATGCGACCGCAGCGCCGATGTATTAGAAGCACGCCCGTCAAGAAGATACTTCCCATCCAGTTTGTTATCTACAGGATCATCCTCAGGAGGGACTGCACCGTTTGCGCTGTGAGTTTCCAGCGCATCGAAGACATGACCGAATACCTGGCGGTGGACGTCTGACGCCCACAGGAAGTCAAGGTGCTCGTATGTGGCAATTGGTTTGGCAACGGTTCCGCGGGGTAGGCGTTGCAACAAGACGTTGATGTCGACGAGGCTGTCGCTGTCGCCGTATAGAAGCACGACGGGGGTCTTGATGTTGCGGGTTGGGTATTTGACGGGCTTGTAGAAGCGCTCACTAGCGACGACGCTGAACGGGGCATGGATTTCGTCGTCAAAGAATTGGAAATTCTTGTTGCGGATAATCTGGAACCAATGCACGACGGATTTGGTGCTCGTGAATGAATACAGGTGCATGTAGGCGGCGAGCTTTTGTGTCCGAGTGATGTTGCGGCACTTCCAGTTGAATAACATGGAGAGCATCGTGTCGATAATGCGGACGAAAATTGGTGGGTATACGATTGTTTGCCACATTGTTGTCGACGAGAGGATGCTTCGTCGACCGAATAGCAGGAAGAGGAAATCTGGCGAAGCTTTCATGAGGGAGTCGACAATGCGGTTCCGAAGGCCTGAGGGGGCCATTGCAGGCGCCAGTGCGACGAAGACATCGACCTTCCGGTTTAACAGAGGGTGAATTGCGAGAGTGGCAAATGCCTGTGCAGTACCCTGCGAGAAACCAATGTATGAGAGCGAAGGCTGGGCCGTCACGTTGAGGATATACTCGATGCTGTTGGGAATATCGTGAAAGGCGAACTGGTCCATTGAGAAGTCCCAGAACTCATTTGAGCCCGGGGAGAAGTAGACAGACTTCTTGGAGTACTTGTTGCCACGATTATTGCCCAGCCACACGTCGTAGCCCTTCTCTACCAACTGGAATGGGAGACATCGTTGCTCGTCTGTCAAGGCGACCCACACCTCACTGGACATGAGTAGACCGTGGTGGAGGTAGACCACCTTCTTGCGGATACTGTCGGAGCCGTGATTGACGCGTGTTTTCTCTTCGCCCTTCCGATATGCCAAACGGTGCAGGCCAAGTAGGTATCCATCGGCGGTTTGTACGATGTGCTCCTCCGCTTCGTAGCCAAAGAGAGCGCACATGTCAACAAAATCCGAGGCTTCAGCTATAGATCCAGCCAAGACTTCTTCTTTAGTGCGCTTGTCTTTCTTGACCTGCGCCTCGAGTGGGAGGATCTTGTTGAAAAGTGCCTTGGATTGTTCATAGCAGAATCGTATGATCGGCGTGGCTGCATGCAGGTCAGTAGTCGGCCTCCAAGCTCAAACGCGGAGCGAGAGTCAACTCACGTAGACAGAAAGTGATGAGATGAATAACGGTCTCAAGTAGGACAAGAACTAGGGACGCGAAGAGTGCCAGATACTCGAACCTGGAGTTGAATGTCAGTCGCCACGGGCATTCAGGTACCAGATACTCGGCCAGTGACGTACCATAAGAGCCTCCCAAGAAAGGGTACGCGCGCCATGATGAGAAATCACACCAGTAATGCATACAACTGCATCAACTTCGTCTCTATAGAAAGAATGGTGGAACAAAACGAGGAAGAAAGAAAAGAGTTGGAAACGACTTGAACGCACGACGTCATGTGCATGTGAAATCCTGCTTACTCATCCGGGGTTATCCAATCACCGGATGTTGAGATCGGCCGATTTTGCGACTCTTCCGATCGGAATCTGGAGACGAGTCTTATATTCGGACTCTCCACGAGCTCGCCATGCCCAGCTCATGCAATGATATCCGTGAGTATACAGCTGGCGGTGCCACAGTCCCTGCACCCGCGTCCGCCGCAATTGGCATCGCATCAGGTGAGCTAACCGCATGTCCACCCACCAGGAGAGGCGCTGGCCCAGTGCCTGCAGGAGTCGGACTGTATTATGGTCCAGCGTCATACGCCGCGCGAATGTCTCGCCTCGCCGCTAGCCGAGGAGTTGCCCATGAAGTGTCAGCAGTTGCGGAAAGGGTTCAGCGAGTGCAAGTGAGTGGATCACGAACGTGACACCGAATTCGGAGAAACGGGCCCAACACCGGAGAGTTATGGCTAACGTGAGAATTGGAATAACCTAGGCGCGGCATGATCGATATGCGCAAGCGGTTCCGTGGCAACCGTCCCATTGCGGTGTCTAAGGAGTTGGAGGGCGGCAAGTCACCTTCGGGCGAGCAGCTTTATGCTGGCCAACAGGCCTTCCAGTCCGTCAAGGAAATCAGTGGCGATGAGGTACAAATGGATCCCGAGAAGACCCGTGGTCTGTAAGGCTATGTTCAGGATGCTGTCGGAGTTGCGAAAACGCACTGCAGAGCCGAGAATACCGTGCAGTTGTTATGTATTATCAAAGCGTGAGGATATTCTGATTCATGCTGGCATGGTCCGGAGTTATCTTGTTTATTTTCCACATTTGGATGTCAGTGCCATCTCCCATCTCAGATAGACACCAAATGTACAACACGCATGGGCAATATTGGACTGCTCAACGAACCGACTTATCGACTTTGCTTGATTTCTAGAAACTATAGGCATCGGAAAATAATCCACATCATCATTGGCAATATAGTTGAATACAGATCTACTGCGTCTTCTTGGTCTTGTCAGCCACGGGGGCCGAGTACAACCACACGACAACAAACGCCAGGAAGCCTCCAATCACCGACCACAGACCGGCGATCCAGACCCAGCCGCCGCTGATGGCCCAACTGCGCGGGTACTCGTCATGCGCAAAGTGGCGCACCGTCACCTCGTGCTTCTCCTCGACGTTGGTGAGGAATGGCCGCTTGTAGTTGACGCGGAACGAGAAGATGCCGTGCTGGTCAGGCGTGACAAACTTGGTGCTGTACACGGTGCTGGTCTCCGTGCGGCTGGTCGGCTCAAGGTTCAGGCGGTGGAAGGGGGAGAGCATGGTGAATTCCAGCTGAAGCTCATCCTCGGCGGGGAGCTCGAAGGGCACCCACTTGTCGTAGGAGTATTCAGACATCTCGATGCTGAAGAACTATTCCAAGAAAGAACGGTTAGTTTGAAAACAACGAAAGTTTCATAATAGGGTGCACGTACGGTCTCGTTCTTGATCCGGTAGATCTTAGGGTTCAGGTCATGAAGAGCAACTTCGCCGTCGGTGGCCAAGTGGTGCTTGATCTCTCCAACCTTCAGGACACCGGTCTCCTTGAAAGTCCAAGCAGTCAATTGCTTAGCGAACTCCCGGTTGACAGTGGTGGTCTTCTTGCCGCCGGGTGCCTTAACGGAGGCGGAGAACCACTTGTCCTCCAGAGCCTCAACGGAGCCAAGGACAGTGAAGCGGGCAGAGTTGCGAGCTTGCATGGCCGAGACAATGTTCAACTGGGAGCCAGTCGCCTCGATATCCTCAGCCGCCGGCACTTCCTCCTTGGGGTTGTACGCGTACGCAGTGTTCGGAGCCCGCAGGACCGGTGCGATGAGAGGACTGTCACTGCCCAGGGTCTGAGGAGCAACTCGGGGCAGGGCCAGGACACCCTCGCCATCGAAGAAGGCCTTGACATCGGGACGCAGCGAGGCGGGCCGCTGGAGGAGGAGGACATCGTGTTTCTCGGCCGCCGAGACGGTATCATAGTTGAAGTGGTCAATGACGACGGCGGAGCGGTCATTCGAGAGGTGAATGTCGGCTTCAAGGAGGAGGGAGCTGATAGCGCTGGAGGTTGCGGACTTGCCCGAGAGAGCGAGGAGGATGTTGCCGTCCTTGTTCAAGAAGTCCAGAATGTGCTTGGGTGTCAAGTTGGGGCCGAGTCCTATGCCATTGGGTCAATTGACAGCTCCAAATATCAGAATATAGGATGCCCACCTTTGGACTTGGGGGGTAGGATCAGGAGGTGGTCGTAAGCTCGTTCGCCATGTTCGAAGAGGGACAGCTTGTCGCTCTTGGGTGATTCGAAAGACACATCGTACCCTCGGCCTACAACTGCTGTTAGCGAAGTCCATGACCATTTAAGGACATCCAATTACCTTCCAAATCGGACCACAAGGTCGAGAAAGAGCTCTTTTCTGTGGAGTCGTCCAAGACCACCAGCAGGCGGCTTCCGGAGCTACTCAGAGCGTTTACTGCCGCTAAAAAGCAGCAGAGAAGGAACGCAAGGCACCACCGCATCTTGGAAGAGATCCGCGCAGCGGAGCAAATGCCGGAAAAACGGAAGTAAGAAAGAAAAAAGGGTGGTGGAGGGGGGAAAGAAGAGTCGAGTATAGATAGAAAGGGCGACGTGTTAGATGGGCGATGCCAAGACCCGACGCTGGGACCTGCGGCATCTCCGAACTTCGACTTCACTTCTTCCCCACGGCCTCCCGATTTTGACTGTCTCCCCTCACCAACCCTATCTACCAAGCACCGGGTGGTATCTGCTACTCCCAATTCGTAACGTCTCGAATTGCGATCCATTATATCTCGGTTGTTAGATCCGCCTCTCAAAAATCTTCGCTTGAACCGTCGTCCGACTCTACCGTTCGTCATGTCTACCCCTCAATTCTGGTCCACTCCCCTCCGCTACTTGCGCTGGGCTTCCCACGAGAAGCCGGCAATCTTTTGGTCCCTCGTCATCGGCTCCATGGGCCCCGTCGCCCTGGTCGGCCTTCCCCCGATCCGCCGCGCTCTCGGTGACGTCGACCCGGAGCCTATCCCCATGTCCTATCCCAGTAAGGCGACCATAGCCCCTTCAAACCAAGTTTGAGTTACGAGACTGTTATTTGAAACTGTGAGGCTAACCATGATACCAACGCGCACAGTTCCGAGCGGTCCGCGGAAGATCCCTCGGGGCTACGAGGACCAATAAAAGGGACGCAAAAAGAACGAAAGTTGAGCCGTGGAGGATACTAGAGCCATGCTGGGTACATTTGGTCCAGACGAAACGGAAATTTGGCCCATGGGAGGAGAAGGGCTGTTTAGCGATGCCTCATGCAGCACTAGGGTCCTGGGCAATGTCGTCCGTTGACCATTGACTCAAGCGACCCTGTCTGTCATTGTTTTCCCGAAAAGAGGCGCTTTGATACCAACCTTGTTTGTACTGCGATCTCGGGATAGTCGGATATTGAGATCGTTGTGCCGCTGTATGTACTATGTTTTGAGAAGATCATCTATCCGACTCCGAGTCGATTTCCTGTGTTCAAACTATTGGATTCTGTGCTGCGAGATATTGCCGCTATTGTGGTTTCTTGGTAGGTGGAGTATTCATGAGCAAGCACATCATTGGGTAGAGAAATGCCACGAGTGAAATACCCCATGCTTGATATGACGGTTAAGATGCTGCTCCGACTGACTTGGGCGAGGAAGCTCGATGTGAGCATTCTTTGCGAAGTCTACATATTATTTAACATTACTTCAGCTTTGCTAAGACCAAATTTTCCCAAAAATATTACTATTGAACTTGAAATGATTGGACAGAAATCTCGGGAGCATTTGTGCCTCCCTGTAACCACTGCGATTAAGACTCCCAGTGTGCGAGCTCCTCTTATTCTCGTAGCTAGTCTACAGTACTGTTCTTTGTTGAAATATGTAAATATATGGCACCCAGACAAGGTCTAGGAAGAAGAAAGATAAAATGAATGGGAGAAATGGGTTCGATTATGTTTGTAGAACGGTAGAAGTCAAAACGGGAACCACAGAGCAGAAAAACGCCGTAAATGCTCATATCTACATGTAGGTTCATCAGCATCGCTTTATGAAAGCAGTCTTTCCCGATACCCCACGAGGCCGAAGCCCCCAAAAAGCAAACATGAAAAGCACAAGTCCCGTGTCCCACCAAGGACAGGTCCAAAGAGATGAAAAGCAGCCACTGCTAAAAGAGACACAAAATCCGGTACACCGTCAAACAACCCTGCGAGGAAACATGGAACCCAATGGTGGATATCCGGAAGTCATTAAAGCAGGAAACGAAAGCTAAAAAAAATCCAAGAATGCCACCTTTTCGAAACTGACGCACAATGCTCCTACTACTAACCGGCCGGCTGCACGATAGCACAGGATAATCAAAAGAGGAAGCCTTTTCTCCCTGGAACCATGCTCGAGTCACTGTGCTGTGGCTGGGTATCAAATGGGATTCCAGAACCTTGGCATGAGATGGGGTAGAAATGGATGTCCAGCTCTGGTGGAAACTCTTTTTCAACTGGCGGATCTCCTGATCGGGAATTTTCCTGGACTGGGGAGGTTTTCTGGTTGGAAATCATGAATGCATAGTCGGACATAGAGGAAAGCGGAGCAGAGTCCAGGAAGATCGGATTCGTAGACATCATTATTTTCCCAGGGTATTTCATCAGTTCAAGGGAAAGCAGGCAATTTTCATCCAGTGGAACCACGGAGAGAAAGAAAGCATGCATACACAAGACAAGGCTCGCTGCAATTCTGTTTTTTTTTATGTGTTTTTTTCTTTTGGCTTTCCTCATTGTCTACCGCCGGCGATGCTGATCGCGCTCTCTGGTGGGTTGCGGCCTACTGCGCTCGTATTCCGGAGTATATCTCGGCTCCATTCCTATCCGGGGATCCGGGGCAGTAGTGGTAGGGTATGCCATCCCGGAAGTCACGGGGGAATAATCCGACTGGTCATCATAGCCTGGTCCAGGGTATCTGGGGGCATTTCGGCCGCCGCCCTCGTAACCATAGCCACCACCAGTGGCGGAGTAGGTATAGGAAGGGGGATGCATGTCGGCGCCCGTCGCAACGGGCTGAGACGGGCCAGAGTAGGATACTTGAGGTGGAGGGTAAGGGGCCTGGCTTGATGTGTAGGGCGAGTGTGTGGATGTGTATGAGGAAGGGTTGTTGTAGGGAGCATTCTGGGATCCGCCGTACGGACTCTGGGAATAGGAATCCATGTATGGCTGTTGTGCCGGAGCGGCACTGAATGTGGCAGGGGATGGCCCCGGCTGTTGGCGAACCTCATGTATGGCAGATGTGGCATAGTTGGCTGAATGATTGTTAGGGGCATGAGATGGGTTGACATCTTGAATGTAACTACCTCTCGGATAGCCTAGGTCAGCCCGTCGCGAGACATCCGCCTCCCAACGGGCAGAGTCAGCCTTCAGATCAGCAATCATCTCCTGTCCAGAAAAAAGTCCATGGTCAGATTCGTTGCTCCCCGCGGTTTCAGTGGTAGATGTCGTGAGTCGACTTACAGATGTGAGATTCCGATAAGCACGGATGAAGAACCCTTGGCGGCCCTGTGATGGTCAGTCAGATTGTCTAGTCGTGAGTTAGGAAGGGAAAAAGGAGGAGACGGACACCATGGTTGCCGGGTCTCACGAGCGCATCGTTCCCCAGATAGCGGCAGATATCTGCTTGGATAACTTCGCGGCTGATTCCATCACCGGGAATAAAGTATTCATTCTGACGGCCTGTCATGATGTGTCCCGAGGAAATATTCCAGAAATCAAGTGGTTCCTCAGGGGCGGGCCCAAACAGAAAATGAAATCCGGACTGAACTGAGAATCCCGGGAGAGAAGACGGCAGGTGAGATGTGTCCGTTATATTGGAAGAAAGTACAGCTTTTCTATGGGGCGACCGGCACGGAAGATCCAAGGTTGACTTGTCACCACTTTAAATGACGAGTATGCGTAGCTTCACTCCAGGGGTTTATTAAGAATCGAAACAACAGTCCACGGGAATACAGCCAGAAATCCAAGAGTCCTTTGGTCGGATAGCAAAAATGGTGTCCAGACAAGTCCAGTGGGAGAAAGTCCGGAAAAATCCTTAGGGGTAGTCCAGGGTAGTTGTCCGGCAATGTATCCTGGGAATATCGAGCAAGAAATCACACCGTGGTCGAGCGACAAGAGACGTTTGAAGGCGGGAGGATCAAGAGGAGAGAGGCCGAGAAGCGATCAGGAGAAGAAAACGCGGACCGAGGGGGGGCTGAGGATCCTCTAGGTGGCCTTTGTTTCTTCTTTCCACGGGGGGAGATGGAGAGATGGAGAGGTGTAGGGGGAGGCAGGGGGGGCAGTGAGAAAAGGTTGAAAGATTGAAGAGATGAGAGGGAAAGGGAAAGAAGAGGAAGAGGAAGAGGGGGGCGAACTCAGGCGGTTGGGCCGTCGTCTTGGGCTGGTGCCACGACTCCCCACTGTGTGAACAAGCATGCACGGTCGAATACGGTTAGAACCTGCAGTGTACCATTCTGCTTGTAGCCGGTCCTGGTTCTTCGTGACTATGACTATAATTATGACCGGATGAGAAGATCGAGATGCATCACTCTCACGATCCTATCGCTACATCGTGCTCGACTATACCTCTTGGGCGTGAAATGATTGCCCCGCCATCCCAGCATGGACTGCTACCTAGTCTGTGCCCTGGACCGCTGCTCGGGCTGGATCCAGAGCGGGCGGGAATTAGTTACATAAAAACTATGCTCTGTATGGCCAGGGTACAGGTACAGTACAGTACTTCGTGTGTCCCTTGAGGCGACAAGGTCGGACAAATCAGGCCTAGAGGAGTCGATCATCAAGTCTCCCACGAGCCAGCCAGGGCCGGTGTGTGGATCAGGGAATCAAGAGACGTTGCCACCGCAAAGCTGGTCTACGCTGGTCCTGGTGGACGTTAGTGCAAGTGCGGAGGTTGGGCAGGAATGCGTGGCTTTGGGCACGCAATGTTCCGAGGCCGCCACTCAGCGTTGTCCGCTCCGATCGAGGATCGCTTTTGTTTGCTAAACGAGCATCACTTTTTAATCCGACGAGATTTGATTTTGGGCCGGAAGATGCCCTCGGGCATACAATGCCATCCAGAGATGAAATCCAGGACTCACGTAGGAGAAAAAGTAAGGCACGAAGCAAAGTAAACAAACACGTCCTGGTTGACACCTGAGGCTCTCACGGGTCTTGAACTAAGCCATTTTGGGGAGATGTATCCAAGGGTCAGATCCACAGATCCCCAGGTCCCTTCAACTCGACGCCTCAGGTTCTTATTGTTACCTCCATGTCGCCATGACGCCATGACGTATCGAGCATGTCCTCTGCAGACCCGGTTACTGCATCCCCCGATGCGGTGAGATGCTCCCGCTATACCCATCGCCAGATTCAGCTTCTGCGCCACGGCTCGACAGCCACCCCACTCCGCGCCATCGCGCATATCGATCTCGATGCCTTCTACGCGCAATGCGAGATGGTGCGACTGGGAACGCCTCGCGACACCCCCTGGCCGTACGTCAGTGGGACTCATTGATCGCCGTCAACTATGCAGCGAGACCGTTTGGCATCTCCCGCATGCTCTCGGCCACCGAGGCCCGAGGAAAGTGTCCTGATATCGTCCTGCAGCATGTCGCGACCTTCAGAGAGGGAGAGGGTGGGCGATGGGCCTACCGAGATGATTCGTTCAGAAACATTAAGACGGACAAGGTCTCGCTAGATCCATACCGCGCTGAATCACGAAAGATCCTCAAGACTATGAAGGATGCGTTGGAGCGATGGTGTACGGATGAGTCGGAACCTGAGCTCTATCCTCTGACCCGGGGGCTCTCCGCCGTTTTAGAGAAAGCAGGTATCGACGAAGTGTTTATTGATCTTTCTCCATTAATATACTGCGTCTTGCTACGGAGGTACCCTGAATTACGGCCAAGCCCGCAGGATGAGAACAAAGATGCCCTTCTCCCTTTCCCTCCTACTACGGCGCTGATGTGGGATCCCGAAGACTGCTTGGTCGAATTAGACAAGGATGCAAGCGAAGAAGATGACCCGGATTGGGATGATATTGTCATGCTGGTGGGTGCGGAGATTGTACGCGCAGTGAGGAATGCCGTATGGGAGAAGCTTCACTATACCTGCTCTGCAGGCCTTGCTCGCAATAAGATGCTCGCGAAGCTGGGCAGTGCATGCAACAAACCCAATCTGCAGACCGTGGTGCGGAACCGTGCGGTGCAGCACTTTCTCGGAGGCTACAAGTTCACCCAGATCCGGATGCTTGGTGGAAAGCTGGGCGACCAAATTACTTCTATCTTCGGTACGGAGCAAGTAAGCGATCTTCTCAATGTTCCCCTCGAACAGCTACGCACGAAATTAGACGATTCCACCGCCTCTTGGCTATACGGTATTATCCGCGGAGATGATCGCACCGAGGTCAATCCCCGGACACAAATCAAATCCATGTTATCTGCGAAATCCTTTCGACCAAGCATCAATTCGATGGGACAGGCTGAGAAATGGCTCCATATCTTTGCAGCTGACATTTACGGGCGTCTTGTAGAGGACGGCGTGCTTGAGAATAGACGCCGTCCTCGAGTGATCACCCTACACCACCGGACGGTTCAATCAAAATCTCGGCAAATGCATATTCCAGCTTCTAACACGATTGACGAGAATCTTCTCTTTGATCTTGCCAAGAATTTACTTCGCCAAGTCGTGGCTGACGGACAGGCCTGGCCTTGCTCGAACCTCTCGTTGAGCGTGAGTAGTTTCGAGGATGGCGTGGGCAAAAATAAGGTCATTGAAGGTTTTTTGCTTCGAGGTGAGCAGGCCAAGTCCTTGAGCTATTCAATTAGACCCCGCGATTCGGAAAGCGCTTCAAGTGAACAGCCTCCCGGGAAGAGGAAGAAAGTTGAGGACAGTGGGATAAAGCGATTTTTCCTTCATTCCCTCGTTGCTAAAGATCCCGGCTTCAATGTTGAAGATCCCGCTGCGTCTGACAATGAAGGCCTCCAGGCACCCCCAGACCAAGATCCGGACTTCGTCAATCCCGAGATCTTGGAGGGTCAAATAGAGGGCGCAGAATATGCGCAATACACTTGTCCTCAATGTTCTAAATCTATCCCTGAGTATGAAAGGGAGGAGCATGATGATTGGCACTTTGCCAAAGACCTGGAAATACAAGACCGGCAGGAAGCGAGAAGTATGCAACAGTCTCGTCCGGCGAATCCGGCCACCTCGAGGAATTCTAATACCCGTGGAAGAGGTGGGCGAGAAGGCAAGGGTAAGCCGGAGAAAGGGCAGATGCGCCTTGCTTTTCAATGAGCAGGTTGCTCTGACGAACCCTTTTGAGTCACCGAGACAAAAAACCCCGGTGTGGCTAGCCTCGAAGGGATTACATAGATGAAATAGCCTATAACGGCCCAAATCTACAAGTGAAAGAAATACAAAGAGAACCTTCCAAGGCGAAAAGATGTACCAGTTGAATGTTGATCTAAGACGCTTCACTCAGCTTCATGTGTTGGCCGTTTAAATTCAAGGAATTCCTCAACTGAATTAAGCTATTCCTTCAAAGATCATCACATCCTTGAGCAAAGGAGAAACAATTTTATCAAAAATCTGTTCCTCGAAGTTATGGCTTTCCCGGCAGATTGTACTCACACCAGACCAGGAAAGACAGCTATCGACAACATTCGCATAGTGCGAGCCACTCTTGAGGTAAACCTCTCTCGTAAGTCCCAGCGCAGTGTTGATCATAGTCCTCTTCTCGTCTTGAGTCTCGCCTCTCAAGGCAAAGAACGTATGAAGAGGTGGGCCGAGCGAAAGCTCCACGAGACTTAGTCCAAGGGATTGTAAAACGGACTCTCTTTTATCAGAACTTGAGATTGTAGACTGTGCGGCGTAGAGAGAGGCCAGGAAAGAAATACGCTATCCAGTGCCTCGGCAATTAGGTGGAAATCGGAGCTATCTCATTGATCCCTGAGCCAGTTCCCATGGAATTGCAGGACAGCACAGGCAATGCTAGCGGCTATGTGTAGCCAGTCACGCCAGCTGAGAATTTGATCTCGATATGGGGACAGGAAGATTACCTTGGATGGGTACTTTGGAGGTCCGACGTCATGTGCTCCAAACAGAGAACATTGTGTGGTTCCACCCAACGGTGGCTCTGCGTTGACCCATGGATGAAGTTACGAGCTTATATTTTCCATCTAAACCTTGCTTCTAAAGATGAGAGTAAACAGACACCGATCCCATCGGTTCATTGCGACTACACTACGTAGCCTGCATGAGTTGTCACGTCCAGAGTGTGACATCAGCGGTGCCGCGAGGGATCATCGGTCATCGGGCTGCTACTGCGCTCAGCCTCTCCAAGACGCTTTTCCTTTTCAGTCCCACTGGGTCCCAATCTCCCCTCGTCACCATCCCTCAGTTTCTTAGCCAGAGCGATTTTCGGGTCGTGCCGAGATAGGCGACGATAGGCGATAATGCGCGACAGCCCCGCCAGACCCTTGACCCGACATCTGTGACAATCCCCTGTTTCGAACACCCGCGAGAGCCTGAAGTTCCTGGGCGACTGTGTAGTGAGCTCGATATCTTCAGTGCCCAATGACTTTAGGGCTCTTGTCCCTGGTTCCACCTCGCTTTACCACCCTTCTTAACCATGTCCCGCCGACCACCCCGCGATTACTACGAGGAAGATGAGTTTGAGATCGAACGTGAACGTGATCGGTACTCTCGGTCTCGCCGGCGAGACCGCGAATTTGAGGAGGAGGATGTCCAATACCGCCGTCGCAGATCAATGCCCCCTGTCGAAGACCTGGAGCGCATGCACATTCGCGAACGCCCGCCCCGCGACTTTATCCGTGAGAGCTATGGCCCGCCGCCAGACCGCGCCCCTGTGCCTATAAGGAGACCGCGAGATGAAATAGACGGACCCTTGCCGGAGCGCGAACGCGAAGAAGCCTACATGCGTCCATCACGTGAAAGGCGCCGACCGCGTGCTCGTGAGGTTGATGAAGAGGAACTTATTATCGACGAACGAGAAGGGCATGGTGGTCGGCGACGACGTCGCTCTGAACGTGATGTTGAAGAAGAAGAAGATCTGGTTGTCCGACACAGAGGACGGCCGTCTCGCGATTATGAGAGCGAAGGTGATTTCAGAACCCGCAACAGGATGGAAGATGAGATGTACGTCCGGCGCTCAGGACCACGACGCAAACCGCGCCCTCGCTCGCGCGAAGAGGAGTTTGAAGAAGTCCGCATTGACGAGAGCAAAATGGATCGTCCTCGACGCAGAGAATCTCGCGAAGAGCCGACATTTGAGCGGCGCGAAGAAATTGATGAAGTTATGATTGACGAAAGAGAACGCGAACGACCCCGCGAGAGACGGTCTCGCAGGGAACCAAATTTCGACAGATACAGAGAAACAGACGAAATTATTGACGACAGAGAACCAGAACGGCTACGAGAAAAAAAGGTTCGAAAGCCGAGAGTAAAAGAAGAATTGGTCATGCAATGGAAAGACAGGCCGTCGCCAGGAGAGCTGGATGAAGAGGAAATTCGGATTCGGGAGACAAGGCGGCCCAAGCGTCGTAGTCCACCGGTTCCGGTGTATGCTCCAGAGCCTCCAGGTGCTTTTCCTTTAGGTGGGAATGCGGACGACATAGAGGAGGAAATCCGCGTCCGCTCGCGCTTTCACCCGAGACCTCACCATCGGGAAGCCGAAGATGATGAGGAGATTGTCATTCGACACGAGGAGAGAGACCGAGATCGCCGACGAAGAAGCGAAGAGGTCGAAGAGATTATTTTGCGGCGAGAGGAAAGAAATCGAGGTCATAGACGAAATGCCGAAGAAGATGAAGAAATCCTCATTCGGCGCGAAGAACGAGATCGAGATCGTCGCCGAGTAAATGAGGATGACGAGGAGCTGATCAAAGAAGACACGGAAGACGAAGTTATCATCCGCAAAGATAAACAACGGTCTCCGCCTCGAGAGCGTTCGCCTTCTGTTGAGCCTATTCGCGCACCTCCGATCCACCAGGATATTATCACACACCATCACCATATTGACCATGGTAAGAACTCCCATGATAATCACAGAGGGAATACGACTAACAAGTGCCAGGATATGAAGCGCCGCGACGAGCTCCCAGTCCCGATGCTGCATCCACAAGGTCTAGTATCGACGAGATCGATTTCCATCACCGGTGAGTATTGCACCAAGGCATTCCACAATCAAACCTGATCCCGTGTATAGTAGTCAAAAAGGCAGCCATAAGTCTGAAGAAGACATTGTCTTCAAACACCGCGACGAAAACGAATCACTGTCGCCCACCAGCGGCCCTTCTCTCGATTTCAACAACCCGTGGGAAGCAGATCGACAATCCACTGCCCCACGCCGCAAGCCCAAATCCACAATCGACGAGGCTGAATCCATCAAATCGACAAAGGCCGAGAGCATCCGCAGCCGCCCGAAACGAAGCCATCCTCGGAAGGTAGACCTCGACGAAGAAACCGAAGAGGAAGAAATAGAGGTCTACGAAGAGCGCTCTGGTCCTCGCTCGAGCACACGTTCCCTGCACAGGGATATCCCCAACGCTGCATCCGAGTGGTCTATGGTCCACACACCGAAAACAGAGGCTCTTGAAATGTCCGGTGCACTGGACGTCGTCGAAGTGGCCCCCAAGGGCGCGATAGACGATGAAATAGACCGCAAAGTCGCAGCCCAAGTAACCAAAGAGAGTCGCGATGAACGCTGGACGGAAATCACCAAAGACCTGGTTGTTCGCGAGGCGATTGAGCGGCTTGGATACGAGTTTGAAGAGACGAGAACGTTTTACTATATCTTCTCGTACCTGGAATCGGTAAGTCAAGTCGGTCTCGAGTCCACTGCCGGCATATACCTAATCTGGCTTACAGGGTGATATTGATGAGATCGTTGAACTGTCCGACGAGATCCGGTCAGCTCGACGGCGACGCATTCGCGAAATGCATCGTGAAAGAGCTATCCCGCCACCTCGGCCTAGGTCGCTCGTGGATAGGATGCCGCCTCGGGCGCGCATGGCTGCAGAGAGGAGAATCAGGGAGCGAGAATGGATTATTGATTCTCGTCGCTGATCAACCGAGCTGCACATTCGAAGATCTTCCTGGGTAGCATTTCTATACTTTCTGATGAATTATGATTCTGAATCTATTGATGGGTTTTTCTCGTGTCACGTTTGAACGGATGTCACGGGCCACGCGCCGTTGGCCTCACATCGTGACTTTCTAAACCGGAAAAATTCCGACTGGTCTACTGGTTTCAGCCCTTTCCGTACTCTTTTGAAGCATTCTTTTTTTGCAGCGAGATACTGCAAAGCGTAGGCAAAGCCTCGACTGGAACCTGACGAATGCTAGAGGTATACGGCTCTAGGGAAGTGCAATTACTCTGCCAATTAACGAAATGAGACACACAAACAAACACAGCCGCTATCTACATAGAACAAAAAGGCCAACCTTCCAAAGCTGGAAGTCCGCTCTAGCTATAGAAACAGAAGCAAATCTAACCGCACGCACGGAGTATACAAAACGTTGACGGATGTTTATTGCCACGACAGCGAATCACATTCGAAGACGGCATAGCCAAGAAGCAGGAGCAAGCCACCAGACGCAGAACCCTGCTCGAGCCCCGTCTGTAAATGTAAGGTCGACGAAGCCTGGCCGCATCGCATCCCCATCGGACTTGGCGAGGCCTAAAATCCCACGGGAAAGGTAACTGACGGGCGATCCTGAGGTAGCGTGGATCCTTCTAGAGATTTTGGTTTGGTCCGAGGCCCAGGATTTTCATTACCTGCTCCCTGCCGCCACCCGCGATATTGTGGGCGTCATGTCTCAGAAATATTGTATTTTGGTGTTTAGATTAATGAGTGGAGAGGGTGGATAACTCAGGTACCGAAAGCCGTCCGGGTGTGGATGAGCCCGGAAAGCATCATTGGCAACCGTGAACACAGCGATCTGGATCTCGGGAAGCTTCGAGATCGAGTACCGCTGGACCCATGTATTGGATCTGATGCACAAGAACGGCAATGCCAATTCGATTCGGTAGGGCAATGTTAAACCTCTGGAAAGTGCGTGTTTCAGACCCAAGGGACTCGATCGAGCGAGCGACGATGTCATCGAAAACAAGTCCACTTGCGGCCGTCCTGGCCAATGTTACATGCGTCCAGTCAGGTATATCCACTCGCAGGATTTTGGTAGGCCGATCACCTACAGTACCCACTACCATCCACTAGTAGAAGCGAAATCCGATATCAGGGGGAGGCAAAAAAGGAGCTCAGGTTGTGCATTGCGCATTGTGCTCGTGAATACACTCAGGGACGGGCAAAGCTTGGGCCGCAGCAGAAAACAGGGAATTGGGGAGACCGGGGATAACGGGACAGGGGGGATCCTATGGGATGCAAGAGCCATCACACACGGGTATTGCTTCCAACAGGAGATCTTTTCCTCCGCGTCTAGGGTTGCTAGTGGCCAATTGATAGCGCAGGTACAGCTGGCCCGGTTGAAATCCCCTCTCGATGACTCCATGGCGCAGGAACTTGCCCGATCGGGGGGGGAGGGGAGGAGTACTCCGTAGTGAAGACCCAATGACGGTGTAATCGTGCGTGGCATGATAGTTAGGTCGATACTCACAGAGTTCATATCTATACGGAGTACTTTGAGTAGTTCGTCTGGTAGTCAGCTCCAGTTCGTGTATAGTCAGCATTATCTGACCCGTTGCCTAGGAAAAAAGGGAAATCTTCAAGTGGCGGAGGACTCTCGTGTGGCTTGTTTTGGCTGCAGCTCTGAGACAGGCCGCTTATCCACACATTACGTATACTGACTATCATCCTACCAGGTCGCTACCCTAACACCTAACACCTAACACACCCCCATGAACACCCCATACTTTTTTCCAAACATCACGGTGTGATCTGGCCATAACGTATGTCTACAATCGAAAACCACGTCCAAGTATGAAGGGCAGCTCGGGAATGTGGTCTCCTGGAATTCGGGGAGAAAGCTTTTGGTCAGCCACGCTGGCCAATGTTACCCATTACGGTGGGGCCGCTGCGCACCAATTTGGTATTCGGTTTACTGTGCGCCGCGTCACTGCGAGTTGTGTAAACATCGCTCTCTTCACCTCTAGTACTGCGAGATCCCACGAACTGTGGTTGCCTCTAGCTAGGTAGATGGCTATCGTCCGTAAACCTTACTATAGATCAATCACTGGAAAGCGCACATGCCGGCGCAGAGAACCACAGGTCAAAACAGCAAGGACGTGCGCAGCAATCAAGTATCCACCGAGCTAGCGGCAATGCCGGGATACTCAACATCCTCCGATAGAAACGTTCACCCCGTGACTCTGTGATTCCCGCCCTTTCTCCTCTCTCCTCTTCCTCACCATCTCCACCACCAACCTCCCCGGCCACCGCACGAGGGAGACGATGCGCTTGTCGTTCTGAGACTTGCGAGGCCTTGAACGTCTGGTGGGGGATTAGCAGGCAAACGCTAACCCGATCGCCCTCCGTACCCTATTCAACACTGCCTGGTCGATATTGAAAACACCGACTCGAATCCCGATTTGCGATTTTTTTTTTTTTTTTCGATCCCAAGCCACCTCAACTGCGACCTTACGTCGAGCCCGTGGACGTGAACGTGCTCGGTGAAATTGGGGGGTTCGCGGATAATAAACACCTGAACCGCTGAGTTTCAAGACACTCGTTGCACTCCAACTCGCCATGCGTCCCACACTTCTCGTCTCGATATTTGCCCTAGTGGCTCGGCCAGTGGCTGCCGGTTTGGCCTTTTGCGCTACTGAGAACACGGGATCCTCCTTTTCGGCTGGTACGTCGACTTGAACCCTTTGATTTTTACACCCGGGTTCGTTATGCTAATGACGCCGCAGTTACCTATACCTACCAGTCCAACGGAGCGTGCGAAGAAACCTGTGCCAAATATGCCCTCGGAGTCTTGCAGGGAAAGAAGTGCTGGTGCTCGAACGTGGCGCCTTCAAGCGACTCGCAGAAAGATATCTCCGACTGTTCGACCGGATGCCCTGGCTACCCGTCTGACAGCTGTGGAAGCGCAGCCAAGGGCGTCTGGGCCTATGTGAAGATCTCAGGCAACTCGATTGCTAGCACCGCCGATGGCAGCGGATCGTCTACCACCACCACCTCCTCCTCCACTACTACTTCATCGGTAAGTTTTCTCAGATTAGTTCCCCTGTCTGCGTGCACGTAGAGTCGATGAACCACCCTTTCCTTTATGGCCGGGTGTATGTTGTGTGCTCTTTCATGGATTGTATCTCATCGTTGAGATATAGGCCACCACCTCCAGTTCATCGACCGATACGACGACCACCATGACCTCCCAAAATGTATCTTCCGGGCGCATACCTCGAATAATATGTTCTTGGAAACTAACGTTTGCCTACAGGCCACCAGTACCGATCCCAGCACCTCGGAAAGCGTCGTCAAGGAGACTACCAACGCTGGCGGCCAGGTCAAGACGATCACCGTTTCAGCGGCTGGTTCAACCTCTGGACTTGACACCTCTGCCGCCAAGTCTGTCGGTCACAGCTCCAGCCTCAGCGGAGGCTCCATTGCTGGAATCGTCATCGGTGTGATTGGAGGTATCGCTCTTGTCGGCGCCCTGATCTTCATGGTCTTCTTCTACCGGAAGCGTGCTCGTTCGGCCAGCCCCGTCCCCAGCCAAGACATGGCCGACAATCGAACCAGCCAGGGCTCCAGCTTTGTGCGGGGTGTCTTCCCCCAGGGCCATGCCCAAGACTTGCCTGGGTCGTCCTCCCTGGGTCGCAAGCACACCTTCACCGATAACCGGATGAAGACCGACATCTACCCCAACGGTCCCCGAGACAGCAGTGTATCGCTTCAGGACAACGAGGACTACTCGCGGCCTGTCCTTCGAGTACGTTCTCAATACTTCTTGGCTATACAAACGATCTATGCTAACAGAAATTCAGGTTACCAACGCTGATTAAATATGATCTAACCGCCATCCATTCTTTCTTCTCACCCACCGCCTCTCAAAAATTTCGGCTTCTCCATTATTTTGTGTGCGATTACCGCCCAAAACAGCTCTGTTAAGATACCCAATTGTCACTTGAATTCTTTCCTTCTATTATCGGTGGCGGCCGGTGCGAATTCCTGCGATCTCACCAGGAAGAAGAAAATAACCCCCGAAGCCGGGACCTCGACTCCGCCATCAGTTCCTTTTCAACAACCTGCGTGTGATGGGCAAGAAAGAGGTGGATACCAGAAGGACACGATCAGCAGAAGCAAAAAGGAAGAAGCCCGGACATGCAAACCGCTGATGGGATTCGCCGTCGAGACGATTTCACGAGCAACCTAACATACATACCTTTACATACATACCGCCGGGGCGATGGCTTCCGGAGAGTATCTATTCGAGTACATACGCCTTCCTCTCCGGGCAGCCATCGACCTAATCTCGATCTCAAGTTCGCTTTTCTTCTTCTTTCATCTCTAATCTCAATCTGCCTCTTGTGTACTATCCAGCCTACTCTCTGATCCTAATTCCACGGTCTTTCTGTTTGGTGGTTTATGTCTTTACCGCCCGGCGTTAACACCTTGATCTTTAGAGAGTGATACATCTACGAATACCAGTCCTTGATCTTGATCTGATTCTACCCCCTGATCGGAGTCGGCTTTGCGTAGCCTGCATACTGATAAAAGTAACCAGTCGGGATTTGACCTGCACACCGCTGTTTCTTGCCCCTTGCAAGGCCATATCCCGTTGCAACGCTTGTGTCGCTTCACTGCAGCCACATGGCCTGATGTGTGGAACTGTTGGTTTCTGTCACGGCGTGAAGACTACACTTTTTTTTTTTTTCTTCCTTTTTTTCTCGGCTGTGTGAATCCTAGGCTGGTTGGTTTCACAATTGCTGCTTGTCTGGTCCCACGGCAGATGCAGTGGTAAGTATAAATTTCTGGTTTTTTCGTTGCTTTACCTTGTTGCTCTATCACTCGGGGTTCTTTACCTTGTACGACGTTACTGTTCATTCTATATCGGGTTTCAAGTAAGCTATGTTGGATTTTTATTCTCTTTTGAAATTTAGATATGCTGAGACTTCAAGGGAAAGAGAAACTCACCAATGTGAAAAGAAGCAATGCAACTGATCGATCCCTAGACATCTGCGTAAAATCAATAGTCAATTGTCAAAGGAACACACATGGAAAGGCCAACCCAGCCAGACCCTTCCTTCGTGATCACTTAGGTACTAACCTTGAAACAATGAACCGTGGATGGGTGCTCAGAATCCATGCTCAAATATCGACGACCAAGGTAATCGTGTCACTCTTCCCAAATGGAACGGCCTCTTCATACGCAATGCGGCTAGACGCATCCTTGACTGTTAGGTTAAGCCGAGTGGGCCCGCCATGATGAAAAGGTGAAAAAGTACGATTGCCAAGTATGTACATCCGTGTCAGCACCATAGCAAAGCAGAGGTCAAGTTAGAATCCGCTTTAAGAATTGCCGTGTACAGCGCTGTTCTTCCCATGTTGTTCACTGCATTCTTTCGCGATGGGTTTACACTTCCGAGGAAGATACGATATTCAGTTCGGTTTACCTCCGTTCTTTCTCTTGTATTTCCGCTGCCCCGGCAGAAGTGCACTAATCCTTATCAGGTCATACCCCCGCCTACCGTGCATCTGCCAATGTACTTTTGATGAGTTAGATAAACGACGGTACTTATAGCGGCCTGCACGAGTCTCAAAGAAGAAATTCCTTCAGTCATCTACATTACATGATAAACACGCCCTAATCTCTGTTTGGAAGAGTCGAAACTCAAAATGGTACTTTGGATATGTATCACGTGACTGTGTATGTCTTTCACTACTCCGGAGTCTTTTTCACACTAGCGACCCCTCATATCTGCCAACTGCCAGGGGGCAACTAGAACTTCTCGCCATCGGTTAACCTCTCCATCATGGCTGACTTCACCATTGCGGTGGACCGAGATGTGCACCTCCCTCCAGTTGACGAATACGGTCCTGAAGACTGGAGGTCCGAGACCACTTCGATCGCGTCCTCCCTGTATAAAGGGTTTATGGAGAATGGCAGAAGATATCAAACTCTGAGAGAATCGGAATACTTCAGCCCCTCCGATGAGCAGCAATTCGAGACCTATGAAGTGGGGCACATCGCGTGTCTTCTTATGAACTCCGATGAGCCTAACCCACTGTATCTGGCGCCACTTTCTTCGCCGAAGAATGTACTCGACATAGGCACAGGGCACGGCTCATGGGCCATTGATATGGCTGATATGCACCCCGCGGCCGTTGTCCGGGGAGTTGATCTTTTCCCACCCCCTGTCAATTGGATCCCACCAAACTGCATTCTGGAAGTGGACGATGTATTGCAGCCATGGACCTGGCGTGAAAAATTCGACCTGATTCACCTTCGCCATGGCATCGGAGCATTCACGTCTGAAGAATGGGATAATCTTTACAAGCAATGTTATGATAATCTCGAACCCGGTGGCTGGTTCGAGCAAATTGAAATGGACATTCGCTGTAGGTGTGACGACGACAGCATCCCCGCGGATAACGTTCTTTTCACCTGGGGACCTAGATTTTTCACCGCCGGGGCGAAACTGGGAAAGTCTCTCGACATTACGAAAACAATGCGCTCGTCAATCGAGAAGGCCGGCTTTGTTGAAATTCACGAGAAAACCTCCAAGTGGCCTATTGGCCCTTGGCCGAAGCTGAAGACATTGAAAGAGGCCGGCATGATCAACCTCCAACACTGGCTGGCCGGCATGGAGGGCTACTCGATGTATCTGCTCACCAAGTATGGAGACCCGGAGCCCTGGACTAGGGAGGAAGTCCTAGTATATGTTGCTCAGATGCGGAAAGCATTGACAAACCCTCGTTTCCACACTTATCAGCGAGCGAAGAGAATCTGGGCCAGGAAACCATTTCCGGAGGAGGTGGTCGTGAAACAAGAACCCCAGGATTGAGATATTCATTCTACACTCACTTGTTTTATCCCTGGTTTATGAATGATTGATTTACCACGAAGGACCTGTACGTGATACAAGCGTACGGACAGGGGGTTCATTTTCGTCGTGTTCTGTACAATCTGCTCTACTGGGGCTATATTGCAATCAGCTTTTTGATGGTACAAAAGATGACCACACTGTCTCTTTCTCTCAATTTTAGAGCGTGAAGTCTTCCATTGAAAAATATTCTCTAAGTTGTGCAAGCACCGATGCCGAGAGGAGTTCGGATAGTAGACAGAATTCCAGGTTGTCCTTGATTATAAAAGACGAGAGATGTGTCCGACAAAATTGGAATCGTTCAATCAGATTTGAGGAAAAGTCACTGAGCCCTGATTGGCGATAGGTATCAACATCAGTATTGGGCAGTGTTGACTGGTGGTGCCCGGGCGATCGTGATGTTGAACCCATGCACTGCCTGTGCATTATTCAGGAGTATCACAGGACAATTGACCTTGCTGACCTGACGTGCGTATCGCTTTTGTCTAGCCAATCCTCCTACTGGTATGGCTAGGCTGTTGTCTCGAGAGATTCTTGATGATGATATGCATTCGACGACCTCTGAAGGCCTTGGATCCTGCACAAGTACAATGGTAGATACAACCGAGGGAGCGAGAGTAATTTGAAATAGTCGGATGCGGAGATGTAATACTTTATACAGCTTAGGACCTGTCTTGGGAAAGCCTGGCTGGATCGGAGATATGGCTCCCAGGTCCGATGACGTGGAGAGAAAAGTGAACCAGCGAACGACCGAGAAACTACTCTGATGGTCCAATGTACATTCTTCCCAATATGAGCAATGAGGACGAATGAAAACTGTCCTTCTTCAAGTCACCTGCTCTGCCGAGAGCCAGGACATTTTTACCTTTTCGGGTATAGCGGAGCCCTCGTTCCCTTTCAGTATACGCAGTCCTGCCTTATCTTTGCATCGCCCCCCTAAAGGCATTAGCTCATCGTATTTCCAGTTGATTTTCAATCTATTTCGTGTGCTTATGAATTCCCTTTGGCTTCCGGGTAAAGCCAGAAACATGTCCCGTTGTACCTAGACCCGACGTAGACCTTTCACCCAGGGACCACGAGATATGCTGGCAGGAACAAGTATGCAAAGTAGATCTCGATAGCAAGATAACGAGATAAGCCCATGCCATTCATGCGCCAGTGGAAGTCACCGTCGTCATAGGAGGAACTTGCCCTGCATTTCCTCGCCAAAGACGGCAAAAGCAATCGAGTGACTGCCAACCAAAGAAGCTATCCGATGCGTCTTTCTGGCCCTCACTCATGGATGCGAGCTTCCCCGCTTCGAAGATCCGGGTCTGAGTACAGTAAAAAAACTTCCGTTACTTTATCCAGACTAAAAGGAGAGAGTACTTATTGGACTTGTTTCCTTTCATTCGTATTCGTACCGTCGCTATTTACTTCGAAAATCCAGCCCCTACTCCCACTGCGACATCCATACAACGCAAATATCAGATACAGCCCTATATTTGATATCAGCCCATCCCAGCCCACTGCCACTGCCCTAACGCGCATGGATTAAAATCCCATGGATTCCTCGATGAGCCCAGAGAGCGCCTGGCGAATCGGCCTGGTCCTGATAGCAGCCACCGCCGTCTACACAATCCTATATCGAGCACCCGGCAAATCCCTCCTGAGCAGAGCATCCCTACGCGGCCGCAGAGACTCAGCAGCGAGAACCCCACCGCGGTCAATCTCCCCAGACAATAAAGAAGCCAAGAGCGCCACGTCGCCGTCTACCTATAACCATGCCTTGCCGCCGCCGCGTAGGGAAGCGATGCTCCAGTTGAAAGGAGCCCCTATACGCTGGCGCGAGGTAGAAGAACCGGAAATGCAGAAGAATATGTTGCCCATGACTGCGGACTATAGGATCAGCCCTGGCAGGCTGTACACCCCGACTGGATTCTCGGTAGATGATATCAAGAAACTTGGAGACTTCCCCGACTATGCGACCCTCAGTGGAGTCCCGTTGCCTAGTGCGTACCCTGAACATGATATCGACAAGGCTAAGCCTCGACCATATCGACCGTTCCGATGGGCTTATCACCAGACCATGTGTACGTACTGCCCCGAGTTTCCGGGAAGACAGACTGACGGACGTCTCAACGCAGCACTAACGAAGCTGGAAACCGACTGGTGGATCGAGCTCGAAAGCACATACAAGAGCCGCATTGCGCAGAGGAAAGAACTGTACGCCAAGAACGGCAAGGCCGTCCTCGACGCACTCCCCGGTTCCGAACTAGCGTGCAAAGAACTCATGGAGATGGTCCTGCAGTTTATCTGTGCGCGGTACCCGCAGCACTTCACCCTGGTGGACAAGCGCATCTTGAGGAACCACATCCTCGGCACAGAGCAGGACCTGCAGGCGAAGCATCCATTAGAGATTCTACTCGAGAACGTCCCCGAGGACTTCGCAATTATGCTGCGGGATGACAAGACGGGCTTCTATTTCCTGCGCGCGGCCGTGATCTGCTCAGCTCTAGGGTGGAATGTTGCCTCCAAGATCGGCAAACAGTTGCATCAGATTCATGCTCCGATTCCGGACTACAAGGAGAAGATGCAGTTCTCGATGGATCGGTATGTGCCACCGCCTTTTGAAAAAGAAAATCGAACTGACCAAGTTTGATGAAGCTTTTTTACCAAGATGCCGGCTGAAAAGCCCATTCAGCGCGGATCATGGGGCCTCGAGACGGGCGAGCCGCTGTACATGCCCCCCGGTGACCCTCACGAAGCACTGCGGCTTTCTCAAGACCCCAAGCTCGGTATTGATGACTGCTCGTTGCGTGTGGACTGGCAGACTCTGCGGCGCCTGCCTCTGTCGGCTTCTATCATCTTCAACTTCAAGGCAGTTTTCACGCCGGTCACGGAGTTCCGTGATGAGCCTGGTGTCCCTGCGCTGATTACGAAGCTCCTGAAAGAAGGAAAGCAGAGCCTGTTGCAGTACAAGGGGACATGGCATGTGGAGCATGTCGTCCTTCCCAAGATGGAGGAGTGGGCAAGGGAACAAGAGGAGAACAAGATGATTCCGAAGGGCTGGGAGGTCGCTACTCTGGACGAGAGTCCGTGGTTTAGAGGTTGGGAGGAGAAGTGGCATCGCCAACAAGGCTTCTAGAGCAGCTTTTCTTTTCTTTATGTTGAGATTGGTGGATTTTTCATTGACATTTTGTGATGGTCATTGGCGGAGTTGGCTGGGTATATGAATTCATGACACATTTGATCGCACATCTTTCCGATGGAGGGGCTGCGGTGCATGCTTGTAAATGGCATAGTATGGTCCAATAGACAAGTGCCGAGAGCTATCCATCCGCAGCGAGAGGACTGGTGGCATGAGGCCAGATGCCAGTTTACATCCCAATCTTGGAAAGAAGCGTCGCGAGGGCTGACTGACGACCCAGACTTGAGTTGTGTGAAGAGAGTGGGCGTCAAGTGTGCAAGCTGCGAAGCGAGACACTTGGCTGCCGTAGCGCACGTTGGGGTGGCTGGTCTGGCCACATGGAGGACGATCATTCACGGGTGAGGCGAAGCCGGAGTATGAAGCGGCAAGTCGATTCCTTCAATCATCGTCTTCATCCCGTCTGGGGGATGACTCTTTGTCACTGCCATCCCGTTCCGCCTCGCCTTCCTCCTTATCGCTATCCCGGTCGAGTTCTTCCAGCTCATCTGCCAGGGGACTAATGCGTTCGTCTAGCATGTCCAGGTCCTCTAGCTGTGTCCGCGACGGCAGCTTCCACAGACTAGTACCGCAAACGCGATCTTTCGTAAGAAGGTCGTCGATGAACTGATCCATATAGGTGAGGGTGAAGGTATCCCGTACTCGGCGCTTGAGTTTGCGATAGTCGAGTAGCAGAGGCTCCAGGGTCTTGTAGACATCTACCGCATCAAAGGTCAGGCGAACATAGAATGCAGCCAGCGCGCGCAGGTACTTGAAGTCGCCATTCGTCTTCACCACACCATTCTGGCCAGGCTCTTCACTCTCTTCACCGCTGCCAGGATCACTGAAGTTCAGGTATTCGAGGATGACGTCGCGGTCGGGACCGAGCTGCAAAAGCTTGAAGGCAAGGCACAGGAAGGGTGTGGGCTTTTCGGAGACTCCATATGTGCCACCGATGGAGCTCAATTCGACTGCGCGGTCGCAGAGAGTGGCAGCATTCAAACCGAAGCACTGCTCTTTCCAGTAGTAGGAATCGGTGATGCGATCACGCACGGCCTTTTCAAATAGAGTGACGGGGTTCACTCCACGGACGAGAGGGCCGGTGTAGCCCCGGTTGTCCAAGAAGGAGCTGGCGTCGGCGCGATGGGTGGCCATGGCTGGATTAAAGATGGAGAGGGAGTGTGGAGCTCGCGGAAAGAGAAAAGCTGGCGCCAAGACCCGAGCTTATCGATAGTCGCGCGGCCAACCCCGTAAACAAGGCTGATGTCACAGGTCTGAGACACCTTCAGGCTCAAGACGCGTGGGTTGACATTGCATTCCTTCATTCCGTCATTCCTTCTTTGCACACATGTCGCTATTCCAGTCATGGTCCTTCTCACTTCGTCGACGGTCTCCGCCATCGTCTCGATGGGGGTGATCGCCCTTTTCACAATACTGTTATTCTTCTCCGGCTACGTTTTACAGCAACAATCCGTGCGAAACATTCAAAGCGCACTACGACCTCCGTCTGACCCTGTACCCGTGAAAGGACATGGAGCCGCATTCCAGAAACCCGCACAGAAACGTGGTCTATCGGGCTCAGATCTAGGGCAAGGGGCCGATCAAGAGATACTACTAGGGAGTCAAAATCGTCACGCGAGCTTCAGCTCCAAGGGAAACTATGCATATCTCCAGCTCCTATCCAGCCCAGACCCATCCGATATCTGCTCTGCGATCCTGTTTTTCAAACAACTGGCGACAAACGGGACAGCCATTCAGGACCGCCTCTTTATGTACCCGCAACAATGGGATCGCATGTCTGCTAACGAACTTGGGAAGCCTGCTTCCGTTGCTCTATCAATTCTACGCACCGCGAGCATCAAGTACGGCATCTGGCTCCTCCCCATCGATATGACGGCTGCCACTTCACAAGGCTACGAGACAACAGACTCCAAGTTATTACGCTTGGGGCAGATCCAGTTCATGCAATACGATAGTGTGTTGTATCTACAAACACCAGGCATGATCCTCGATACTGAGCGACTTGACGAAGTCCTGCTTTCACGACCACTGCCGCTCAGGCACGATAAGAACCGACCCGAGTCATTCAATAACGAGGCGTGGATCCCAATGCCCCTTCGTGCGGAACGTGATAATCAATTGCCGCCTGTCTATTTGATTACTGTCAATAATGTTGGCGGTGGGCATGTTGAAGCTCGCACGCATATACCCAACATTGCCCTTCCAGGATTTGGTAGTCTCGTTACTCCACCGTGGGGTTACAAGCCTGCGGACACCGGCGATGACACTATTCAACAGCCGGCCTATGTTTATTTTGAAAACGACCGCGATGGCCGGGTTAAGTGGGCTGGAAACCCACTCTTCGGCACCTGGCGAGCACAGCAGTATGAAGTTTGTGAAGGGCTGGATCTTGACGACGATATCTACCACGAGCAATGATTTTGGACATTTTGGTTGAACAGCATACCCCTCGGATTGTACATGTTACGGATTACGGATTGGGTCCATGGATATGGCGTTAAACTCGTGACTTATTTCCTGAGAAGTACATTCAATGAACGATTTACGGTCTCAGTGTACATTGATTGAACCTTTTTTTATTTGCTAGTCAGGTCGATTGTGACCACTGACCAGTATATATTCGTACATTACCTCCTCATGCCCAGTCATACAAGTCGTGGATGGTATCAAGGTTGGGCGATGGCTCAACGCAGCACGAGAATTACTATTACTGAGGAACCCCGATCTCGTAGCCAAGGAGCACCTCGGTGGTGTTACCTTCCCAGCCACGATTGCCACTGGTGGAGATCATGTACCGGCAGGCATTATCGACAAAAAGCTGGGAGATTGTGCCAGTGCGATGACCTGGAATGATGAGGAATGGGGTGGTTGAGTGACGGGAACTCTGTTCATGTTTCAGGTCGTAGAGACGGAGAATATCGTGAGAGGCACTGGAAGAATTAGAAAGTGTCTTTTCCCTTGAATACGAAAAAGGACTTACCAAACGAGATGGCGACCGTTGGGCATCGCCTTTAGTGCTGTGACTGGACCGCTCCCCGGTGGGAACTTGAACGTCCGCTCGGCTTCCCGAAGTCCTTTGTGCAGGCTGAACTCTTCAACGGTGCCATTGCGTCGTCCGGCGTAAATGTAATTTCCATCAGGAGACCAGCAAGCATTCATACACCAGGGAGGAACATTACGAGGTGTAATTCGAGCAACTGGGTTAGGTTGTCGCCTGTCCCATATGCGAATGGTTCCGTCAATGGATGCAGCTAGGAATGTGGTATCCGATCCTGAACCTTCCTGTTGCATAGTCTGAGACAGGTCGGGGCCCTGCGAAGATGACTCGAGATCTTCTGCTTTGGGAAGACCGTTAACAGCCGGGCGTGAGGACTGGGTCGGGATATCGGTGTTTAGCTGCTCTTGATTTGTCTCCGTGCCTTCTACGTTGGCATTGGCATTGGCATCAGTCGATTGGGCATTTGGTTGGGGCGCCGATTCTGGTTGTGGAATCTCAGTGTCATCTTCCCCAGGAGCATCTTGATCGGCGAGAACGCCGTCTGCCATCGCACGGCCGAATTCATCGTCTTCATCAACCCCAAACACTCCTGCAGATGGCTCTCCGCCATCCGCAGCTCCACCGTCTGCATCACCAAATAACGAATCCGCACCACCGAACAGTGAGTCTGCCGGTGATCCCGCCTGCGGGTTCTCAGCAGCACCTGCCTCTCCAGCATCCTGAGTTGTATCCATAAAGTTGAAATTGTCCGCCCCGCTCGCCTCGTAGTTCGAGGAGTATGTTCCATTGGTAAGCATTGTTTCAATGGTATCTTGCGGAACAGGCAGGCTAGATTCTGGGCGGATCTGAACCGTGGATATCTGAACGGCACTTCCTCCGAACGCGCGTCGAGACTGCCCAGTGTTCAAGTCCCAGTCAATGACCCTTTTATCCCAACTTCCCGACAGCAGAGACTGTTCATCGGACGTCAAATTTAATGATGAAACCGCAGATGTATGCTGTCTCAATTGCGCAATCTCCTTGCCTTCGTCATGGCGCAATGTCTGCAGTCGAATCGTACCAGATTCCAATCCGGATAGGAGCCACAGTCCCTCACTGTGACATGCTAGGGAGTAAACTGGCGACAGGCTATTCGCGTGTATGTTCTCCCAATATGTCATGAGCACACCGGCTTTGACAACACTATCAACAAAGGGGTGCCTTTGCGCCACGGTCAACATGAGCTTGCTGTTCATCGATTCCGCCCAATTGAACTTTCGGACAAATCCATCTGATCCTCCGCTAAAAACCCAGCGCATGTCGGCTGTTGCAGCGATTGCATTGATGGATGTGCTATGAGGTGCGGCGGTGGTGGGGGCAATGTCATAAGTCTTCGCGGTCAAGCATTCGGGGCGCACGCTAGGATGGTAGATCGAAAAGGACTCCGACATGGATGTGTCGGCATTGCCAGGAGTATCCCCATCTTGGTTCTGCTGCGAGGCCATTCCAGCGCCCTCCGATGCTTGACTCGCGTTGGATGGGCTCCCTGGATCTTCATCCGCGTCAGCATCCGCGTCGGGCTCGTTGTCGGCATCGCCGTCGTCAACATCGCGCATTGTATCATCGATTTCGTTCTCGTTGTCTGAGCTACCGTCCTGAGACCCTAATGTAAGAGAAGTATTAGCCATTGGCCTTGCGTTGGGGATCGATCCGTTGCTGATCTGAGGAACAACCCACCCGCCAGGTCGCGGTCCTCATCCTCCTCGAGGGACGCCATGAATATGTTGAGGAGAGCACAGCTCCGGTCTTAGCTTCGCAAGAGTCTGATCGATGCAACAAGGCAATTGGGTGAAAGCCGGATCTTGGGACGAGAGCTTGGCTTGCAAGCGGAGCGTGGGTCAGACCCTAGCGCAGATCTCGCACTTGCTCCAGGAATTGCGAAAGACGCCGAATCGGTGCCCAAAACCTTTATGTCCAAGTCAGTGACCCAGAGTTGAATAGCTCGGACGATCGTGGAGAGCGAAAGCGGGCGAATGCGCAGGGCGGTCGCGATCTCCGCCAGGGCCACATCTCGGGCCAATCACGTTACGAGTTTGTAAATACGGCCCTGGATTCACTTCTGAAACAGTTTATTTCACGCTCTTGGGTGTCAAGCCCTCATCATGGGTACATAAGAACATCAAACCTACCTCGAAAACATTACATAGTGTAAACCAAGTCCAATCTTAGATTTTGCTGCACGAACTTGTAAGCGCTTGAGACATGTATATCCCCGGGAAGATACAGGACAACCCTCATAGAACACGCACAACAACTTTTCTTTTCTCCAACTCATTCATTAATAAAGGGGGTGGCTTTCTGAGTGGCTTACAATGATGGAAGTGCTTCTATATTGAATTAATGTTTGTAGAAAATTCCACGCAATTAATGCACCAAAATTCCGACAGTTTTAGTTCTAGTTGTATGTAGTGAGGATACTAGTTAAGCTTTAGCTGGAGAATGGGGGGCACACATCGAGGCAGTTTCAGCGAGTATGATAAACCTATATTGGTAAGGTTTGTCATACAGCCCGCTTAGCTCAGTGGTAGAGCGTGTCACTCGTACTAAAACGTCATGACAAGGTCCCCGGTTCAATCCCGTGGGTGGGCATTTTTTGTTTTTTGGCCCAACCACTTTCTTTCCTATATTTTTGTATCTGAAATTGTCCTAGGCATGATTATGTATGTTATGTATGTGCCTTGCCGGGATACCGCAGTCCTATCCTGGGGCCTTATTCCTGACCAGAATCCGATTATCATTTACCTCACTCAATCAACCTGCTCTATCCGGAATATACCTGACCAGGTAGATCCTCTACAAGGTTATTTATATTTTCACTAAATGGGGAGAGAAATGTTTCGTAAAAGGTATATATATATATATATGGCAGCATTTCGTATCGAATATATACAATCGCTTGCCGTAGTCATCAAAATTAAATCATAGTCATATACTGCTCCAAGCTCTGTCCAAGACAATTAATAAATGGCCACTGGGTATTGCGCTTGAAAAGCCTCGCCCATAACCTGAGGACCGCCATTCCCAGAGCCGCGGGCTCAAGGTTCGGTGGCAATTCAGACTCGTCTTCAATGTCGATGGATGAATAGGCCTCCTCAACGATACAACGCGTCCAGCGAAGAATGCGACTTTCATTTTCTGCAGGGGTTGTAAGTCAATCTCCTCCCCGTGAAGAGGATGTCAGGAGCATTAGGAGACATACCGCTTAGGGCCTGATCCGGACTGGCTTCGGCGAGCGTGAACAGCCACTTGCTTAATAAGACCGCACATTCAAAGCTGGCGAGTGAATGGCGGACACTCCAGAAAAAGGCCTGGCTGCGCGCAATGTGGTCAATACCAAGCCGGACGGGTATGCTGAGAGCATGTGCCGCGTAGATAAGGGCTGGAATGAGGCGGTAACTTCTTTCAGGCTTGGAAGATCGGCACAATGCAGAAGCGATGGCAGTCGGGTCACGAGTCTCGAGGCGGCGGTACGGGCCAAGGTTAAGGGATAATCGTACATATGCAAGACCTAGGAGGGCACTCGAGGTGAATGGAATGGGCCCGTTCGCGTTATGTGGATCGAGACTTGATTCCGGGGCTTGTTGCCAGACTGTAGTCCAGGAACGCAAAGCTCGCCTGTGATGCTGGTCAGACGAGGAAGGTAAGCCATGTTGGGAGACTCACTCAATTTTGTTAAGTTCTTCGGTCGGTAGGCTCGTTGATTGGTTCCCATTTGGTAACGAAAGCTCACTGACTATATGAATTCGCTGCAGCAGACCATGAAGAAGAATGTAATTGCCCAGGGGTGCAGGTATTGGCTCCAATGGTGTCGCCGACCGTGATTTCTGTAGCAACAGGGTTAAAGCATCCTGGAAGAAAAGCTGCCGGGGCCCTCTGTCTCGTTGAGCAGATTCCCACTCCGACGCACTGTTTGCAGTCCATTCCCTTGTTGAGCAAGGAAGTCGCAAGTGCATCTCACTGCTGCGAAGAGAGGGATAGACATTATAGGCCACGCTATGAATATGGATGAAGCAAAATGAAATGAGCTTTGTCCGTCGGATGGACTCATGGTCTGCCCATTCATACCAGTCCAGCGATTGGGCGCGAGGGTCTGAAGGTTGCTCTGTTAATCCGATGTCGCGCAGGTGCTGAACCAATTGTCCCTGGAGCTGGAACGCCTCTTGTACCAGTCCAGCTCGCTCCCAAGTCGCGTAACTCATGAGAACGAGGAGACAACGTATGACCTCCATTTTTCTTGACATGGCGGATACTGCTCCATCGCTGCCCGACTGGTTGTCAGCATATGGGCGGACGCCCATGGGCATCGAATAGGCTGCCTGCGATGCGATGCGAGATTCCCTCGACATGCGTTCGTATAAGACTGCTTTGGAAACATGGAATATTCTCTCGGCATTGCGATGCTCAAAACGATACTGCGCTCCGATTGTCATGATTGCCAACGCCAGCTCGGGTGAGGATTCATTCAATCGGAAGGTCGGGACGTGTATAAACGGAATGTGAGGGTGGAATCCCTCGAAATAAGAAGTAATGTATCGGGTTAAAGTATGGCGAGACGGTAGAGTAAAATCAGGGATAACATTACGAAAATCTTCAAGGGATGCTGCGAGACGGAAGCGCTGGTCCTCGGAAATATTGAATCGGGAGGAGTTGTGTGCTTGTGGGGGTTCTGGCGAGCGTTAGTTTTAGAGTCCGGAGTAGACGGTAAGCTTGCGAGTGGAATTAAGCCAAATTTAACATACCAATATCAGAGAGAGCTCCTAGACTCTGGTCACCCCGTGGTACCGATGGGAGCCATGATCGGAAAGGCGAGTCTCCTCGCGACTCCTCTCTCAGGCTGCGACGAGCCTTTGGTTGCTCCTGAGATACGAACACCGTCTTCTGAGGATCTTCCAAGGCGATCTCATTAAGTTGGGTTGCCTCTCCCTCACTAGGTAACCACTCAGCCGGCAAACCAATCGAATCTAGGAATGTAGTGAATTCCTGGAAATGATTGAGGTCTTCGGGCAAATAAGGCAAGGCTAAATGGGAATTGTCAGCACCAATATCACTTGATAAGTTGGGGTCCTTACGGGCGGCTTGATAATCGCCAGGAATAAGCAACTGAGCGGCTTGGATCATGGCCGGGTCATGCATGCTAGGATGCCCATTTGGCACTGGATTAGGATTAGGTGCCCCGGGAGGCATGATGTTACCAGGTTGGTTCTGTGCCAAATATACAGCATGTTCAGGTTGCGCAGCCGGCCATTGGTGTACAGCAGGAGGCTCCGGCATGGATCCTACTGGACGGTCCGCTGCATCATATTGCGGCGAGATGGGTGCAGCTGCAGGCGCAGGGTGGTGGGGTGCTTGAAGACCCGTCTTGACCGTGGAGCGGGACTGGGAGTCGGGTGACGCAAGGCCATCCTGATGAGAAATGCGTGTATGGCGTTTCAATAGATCGCGTCTAGTAAAAGCCGCCCCACAGAAGCAGATGAACGGCTTCTCCTTGGTATCTAGACTTGATCAGCATTCTCCATTCTCCATGATCGCATGACCCCAACGGTACTTACGGGTGCGCACATGGCGCTCCAAATGCTCTGTTCGTCGAAAACCCCGACCGCAATGGATACAGATCCGGGCCTTTGCGCCGCGGCCCGCAGTCTGGGGCGATGGGGATGGCATCAGGTACTCCGAGTACTTGGAGAAGGATGGAAAGTGGACTCGAGGCGGAAAGTGTTGGTGCGGAGAGCGCTACGACCGCTTCTCCAAGCGGTGACCCCAACTGCCCCACCTTTTTACCGCTTTCGTCGACATCGGCGATGTTCCTATCATGTACCTAGTTGTCTTGGGCAGCTGGATATAATAAACAATACTGAGTCAGATTAAGCACAACAGTCATGGCTCTAAGAAGTTTATTTCCCGGTGTGGCCGTGGTGACAGGCGCTGGCGGAACTGGTACGCCTCTTGATAGCGTAAACCCCGATCGATATAGCCGGACAACTAACACCTCATAGGTATCGGAGCAGCCGTTGTCAAGGCATTTGCCGCAGCAGGATGCGAAAGAATTGCTATCACAGATGTGAACGAAAGTTCTCTTGAGCAAACTAGGGCTGCAGTCGCCGCGGCCTATCCCACGGCCTGCCTATTTGTCCAGGCCGGGGATGTTGCCGATGACCGATTTTCAGAGTCTTTCATTGATAGAGTCGTCCAGACCTATGGCCGTGTCGACTATGGTGTCAACTGTGCCGGCGTCATTGGCGTGCCTGCTAGGTCCGCAGAGACATCTCTTGCCGAATTCGACCGGGTCAACAATATAAATTACCGCGGATGTTGGCTATCCTCTCGCGCACAACTAAAGCAGATGGTCGCACAAGATCCTCTACCCAGTCATGATCCAAGCCGTTCACCACAACGTGGTGCAGTGGTGAACATCGCCAGTCAATTAGGGATCGTTAGTCGCCCCAATGCGCGTAAGTGTCTCAGGCTCTCTAATTTTTCGAATCTCTAACAATATGATCCATGTAGCCGCATATTGTGCTTCAAAGTCAGCCATAATTGGATTGACACGCGCCGATGCGATTGATTATTCCAAAGATGGGATCCGAGTCAATTGTGTGTGTCCAGGAGTCATAGAAACGCCTCTGGTTATGGAGAAAAAGGAGGTCCGGGACTCTATCATGCCAGCAGTAGAGACAGCTCCAATGAAGAGAATGGGTACACCGGCTGAAGTTGCTGATGTGGTACTGTTCCTTTGCTCTACACAGGCGTCTTTTGTTCAGGGTCATGCCATGGTGGTAGATGGCGGATACATCACGGTGTAAATAAATTTCAAGGAGCGAACCTTGGAATGTGACATGGATAAAGCACTACATAGGTACCAAGTGGCCTACGATCGACATATTTGAAGTCTGGACCTATTTGATAGGAGAGCTGTTATGTATTGTTTTGAACTGGCTGTCTTAGGCATGGTATAATGGCCGAGAACAGTATATGAAATAATTAAGTTGATAGAAGAACAGGGAGGATGCCTCTTGAATGAATTGAAGCTAATTCTTGTCTGTGCTGAATTGCATCTTCCTCCAATCATAAGAAGACTCCCACACATGCCCAACACGCAAGATCTTCTCTTCCTGCCACAACCCTCCAACAAGTTGCATACCGACCGGAAGCAAGACGTCGTCATCCTCTTTTGCTGGAGCAAAGCCGATAGGAATAGACAGCGCCGGATGACCCGTGATATTGAAGATGGCAGTGTTGATAGTCAGGCCCATACTGGGCTTGAGAGACTCCAGTGGAAGTCCCCATTTACCGTGCTTTGGTGCCACAACGGGAGTTGTGGGCATCACCAACACATCGTATTTCTCAAACAATGCCTGATATTTGTCGCACAGCTGGCGTCCGATATTGGCGGTCTTGCTATAGAGGCCCGGGAAGCGAGATATGAGATAGAGACCGTTGATTATGACATTCTTGGTTGATGGGAATGCGCGCTGGAAGCCTTCATCTGTCCACGGAAGTCTTGTTTGCTCCGCTTCTGTCATGTATAAACCTCTTCGGCCGCTGGTTTGCCCCAAGAGGGTTTGAGCTCCAGCAATTCGCTGCTGGATAGTCCAGATGGCTGGGCCGTGGAGGTGATCTGGAAGCGATACCTCTTCTATGCTTGCACCAAGGTCTTCGAACTTCTTGGCGGCGGTTAAGACTGAATTTCTCACACTGGAGCTCACAGCATCGTGTTCAAACCCCTCTCTTAAAATTCCGATCTTGAGACCATCGAGACTCTGAGGACTGTCCTTCAGGGCATCTGCGAAAGCCGTCGAGCCTGGTTGTGCGCTGCCCAATGCCTTGTCATCAATACCATCGTATCCACTAATGGCATCCAAGCATGTTGCAACCTCGAGGGTGCTCCGGGCTAGTGGTCCTGCATGGTCATTCATGGCATCACCACTAGTAATACCGGTGAAAGGTACACGGCCATGGGTAGGCTTCAGACCGACACATCCACAGAATGATGCAGGAACTCGGATGCTTCCGCCCTGATCGCCTCCGATGGTGATATCAACCAAGCCTGCAGCAACCAATGCTGCCCCTCCTGATGTACTTCCTCCGGCAGAATACCCAGTAGCGTGTGGATTCTCCACTATACCCTGAGCACTGGTATATGAGGAAGTGGAGTGACAATGATTCTCACACGTCGAAGTTCCATGGATATGAGCACCAGCTTCCAACAGTCTTGTCACGACCGTTGCATCAGTTGTCGGTGTCCATGATGGAATGACATCGCTGCCCAGCAGCTGAGGTACCCCGGCCACTGCAATCACGTCTTTCAAACTGACGGATTTCCCTGCCAGCTTCCCTCCTTCCGGGTTGCCGCGAATAAGGAACCGATGCGCCCAAGCTTGACCTAGCACCTGCTCTTCTTTCGTCGGCCGTCGCACATTTTCACGGGGGTATTTAGCCTCATCAGGAACGGGCTGATAATCGGGCAATGAAGCGATGCCCTCCGCACAATCATGCACAGCTGCCAGCAGAGTGGTGAAATCGTCTGCTTCGGAGGGATCGATAGTAAGACCCAGGGGCTCTATGAGGGCCTGGGCATCGCCGGGCTTCACTGGATTGTTTCTTCAAGGATTTTGTCAGCTTATAATCGTCCCAATATGACCATGGATCCGTGCTCCTTACTCCGAGACGCTCGTGAAAAGAACGGACATGGTGCAGGCCGACGCGATGGCTTCGATACTCTACCCACCGGGGGCTTTGAAGGTTTTATGAGACAGAGCGAATGCATCGGCGTTTGCCGATGGCATGATTTTCCATTGGAGTTCGTCGGCAATGCGTTGTTGACTAATGTGCCTGGCTCCATCGTGAGAAGACAGTTCAAAATGACTCCAAATCGACTCCAACATGGCCCACCGACCCAGCTCTTCGGGCTATCTCTCGGCGAGATCAATGGAACGTGAGATTGGGGATGTTGATAAGATGATGATAGCGATGAACATCATAATAGGTTTTGCGAAGTAAAATGTGTTCGCTCGCGCTGGATAGGCGTGAATCCGACGGCTCGGAAGAGGGGTCGTGTCCCGTCGGTTTCCCCGCATGGATATTCACCCTTAAAACAGCTACTTTCTTCAACCCTCCAGTCATCCCACAATTGATCAACTGCACCAACTATACGCAATGAGCCCAAAAAGAGTTTTAATCACATACGGAGTCGACGTCGACGCCGTGGCCGGTTGGCTTGGCTCGTATGGCGGTGAAGATTCCACAAGCGACATCAGCCGGGGTAAGTAAGTACCTTTGTTTTCAATGTCATGCAGCTTTCTGATCCGCGACATGTAGGAGTATGGGCTGGCACGGTTGGTACCAGGCGTCTTTTGAAGATGTTTGACAAGTACAACATCAAGACGACCTGGTTCATTCCCGGTCACTCGTTGGAAACCTTTCCCGAAGACATGGCTGCCGTGCGGGACGCAGGGCACGAGATTGGACTGCATGGATATTCCCACGAGAACCCGACCGACATGACCATAGAACAGCAGCGGGATGTTCTTGATAAGACATATCGCATGCTGACCGAGTTCGCGGGTAAACCACCGCGCGGCAATGTAGCACCTTGGTGGGAGACCAGCCGGGAAGGCGCACAGTTGCTCCTCGACTACGGCATTGAATACGACCACAGCATGAGCCACGAGGACTGTCAAGCATACTATCTCCGAACGGGCGACAGCTGGACCAAAATCGACTATCAGAAAAAGGCCGAGACTTGGATGAAGCCACTGGAGCACGGTCCGCAGACCGGGCTGGTTGAGATTCCATCAAACTGGTATATTGATGACCTGCCACCCATGATGTTTATCAAGAAGGCGCCCAATAGCCATGGATTTGTCAACGCGCGCGATGTGGAGGATATCTGGCGCGACCATTTCGACTTTTTCTATCGCGAGTACGACGAGTTTATCTTCCCTATCACGATTCACCCGGACGTTTCGGGAAGACCTCATGTGCTTTTGATGCATGAACGGTACGTGGAATACAAATTAGGCCTTTGCGCAAGTGCTGACCATTTACAGGCTCATTGAACATTTCAAAAAGCATGAGGGAGTGGAGTTTATGACGATGGAGCAGGTGTGCGACGACTTCAAAAAGAAGAACGCGCCTCCACCCGGTGCCTTGATGCCGGCTCCGGCTGGATCGATACTGAAGAAATAATTTCATGTAATTCCGTCTATCGAGAATCATAATACCTCAATATAATCGTGTTTTGATATCTACGATATTTTCCGCTCTCCATCTGCAGCAGTATGACTCCAACACCTTGCTCCAACTCCAAATCATCCGTATGCGTCTACACAACATGTATCATATCCCATGTCAAGTCGAATTGCTACCTTACCACCAATCGGCTCTTATCTAGTGCATATCTCCCAGCCTCCGTAACATTTGACAAGTTGACCCCAACCACTAAACCAAATCTGGCCAGTTAACCCCCTACCCCAACGCGGACCTCACACGTAGCTTTTCAGGATTGTAGCTGCTCAGTCCAAACTGATCGGACCCTGTTATCAGACAGCTCGAATTCGTGGGGAAACACAGTGGAGCGAGCCCCACCCATCCGCTGCTCTTGTTATCGCCCTTAGAAGGCTCCAATCTTTGAAGACCCCAGAAACCTTGACTCGTGCCGCGCGAAAGAGGCAAATGGCGTTGTCGCTGGTGAGATAAGTGCCTGTTTTGCGTGTGTTTTTCGTCCTATATAGTCTTCGTGTGAAACCCCGCTTGGGGTTGCGTGTACTTTTGTCCCTTAAACATCTGGTTTGTCAGTCACTTGGCTTTTCTGTCATGTTATTGTCGGATGAAATCAAGGAGTCCCCCTATTTCAAGGGTGACTCCCAAGAGCCCGATATGCAGAACACCGATGTGCAAAAATCTGAAGTTGAAGACCACTACGAGGTATTCAAAAAGGGGGATGGCCAAGTTGATTTCCGCACCGTGAGCTGGATCAGGGCGAGTGTGATCTTTTTGAAGAGTAAGGGCCCCGTATACGTGACCTTGAATATATCAGATGCTTAACATTTCATGCAGTCATCTTTGCGACTGGCGTGCTTTCTATCCCATCGCTGATGTACGAACTGGGCGCTTTCCCCGGCGCGGTTAATGTCGTGGGCTGGACCCTCCTGAACACCTATTGCGCCATTGTGCAAGGCAATTTTCGCAATCGTTACCCGGGCTGCCACTCCATCGCCGATATGGCACAGGTCGTTGGTGGACCGATCTTGAAGGAGGTGGTCGGTTTCCTTTTCACGGTTAGCTATGTGATTGTGGCTGCGTCCGGCATCATCGGCGTCTCGACTGCCTTCAATGCATTGTCACTGCACTCCATCTGCACTGTCTGGTTCTCGTTCATTGCCACCATCATCATTGCCGGGTGTGCGAGTGTGCGCAAATTCTCTCATATTGGGTGGCTCACCTGGGTTGGGTTTGCCAGTATCTATATTGCTGTTTTCATCATTGTGTATGTTTCTGCTCCTCCATATTAAATTGCTCCTAGGACTAACAGATCCCAGGATTGGTGTAACCACAAGAGATCGCCCTGCTGCAGCACCCCAGACAGGAGATTTCGATCTTGGGTACAGGGCAATCGGTAACCCCAACTTCACCACGGGGATTTCGGCTGCGGCCACGATCTTCGTGTCGAGTGCCGCAACCTCGGCGTTCCTCCCCGTCATCTCGGAGATGCGCAAGCCCAAAGACTATCCCAAAGCGGTCTACATGAGTATGAGCCTGGTGACAGCATCCTACCTGACCTTTAGCCTGGTGATCTACGCCTGGTGCGGTAAGTGGATCGCATCCCCATCACTCGGTAGCGCAGGCACTACTGTCAAGCGCGTGGCCTACGGTATCGCGCTGCCAGGTCTGATCATCAGCGGTTGCCTGTACGTGCATGTCGCAGCCAAGTACCTGTTTGTGCGGATTCTGCGCAATTCGCGCCATCTGCAGGCGAATACTGTGGTGCACTGGGGGACTTGGCTCAGTTGCACCATCGGGATGGCTGCCATTTCCTTTATTCTAGCATGTGCCATTCCCATTTTCAATTATGTTTTGGCCCTGGTGGGCGCGCTCTGCTTCGCGCCGCTGGCCATCTGTCTGCCAGGTTGGCTATGGGTATCCAGCCATGGTGAGTATCTGAAGGGGAATGTACTGCGCAAAGCTACGTACGGGCTACATATCATGTTGATCTTATTGGGCCTGTTCATGACCGTCGGGGGAACGTACGGTGTGATCGTCCAGATCAACGAAGCATATCGCGATGGGCAGATTTCATCGGCCTTTTCGTGTGCAGACAACAGCGGATCAACCAGCTCTTGAAGTGTATATAATAGAGCGTTAAATAGTAACAATGCAGCTATGATGGGGCCAGCTAAAGCGATAATGCTAGTACAATTAATGAACCGGCGACATAAAACTAACCTCCGGCGCCAAGCCTTTCACGTCCCGGAACCAGAAAGCCGCTGCATCCGAATGCGCCTATTGTTTCTCTCGTCCTTACTTTCGCTTCTTGCTTTCTTTCTTTCTCACTCACACTCACCTCCTTTGCTCATTCTGTACCACTCTCTTGATTGCACACCCACTTTTACCAGGCTCTCAGCTCGACTCTCCAACCATCCCCGATGTGACAACGCCCACTTCTTATCAGCCGTTATCAGTGCAACCACCCTCAAAATGGTCGCGCACAGCACACTATTCGCCCTGCTATCTCTAGCACTGTTCGTCAGTCTAGCAGCCGGCGCAGCAATCCCATTCTCGCACCTTCAACCGGAAGACGAAAAAGCCTCAACTCCAGTTGAGGCCGCGTCATGGCCAGCGCTTAGATCAACCGAGTCCGGCGATAACGAAACCCTCGCCAAACGAGCCCCCTTCTACTTCCCAGAAACAGTGCCCGACGCCGAAGAAATTGCCAGCAGACTCACATCAATGCGCGAGGCGGGGTTTGTCGCAGACTCCCAGACACAAAAATCAATGGGAGTACCGGATCCAGGGATGGATACTCATGCACGGATACTTCCTATCCAGGACACTATGTCCGAGCTATCGGCTTATGCGGAGCCGTGCTCACCAAAGCTTTTGCCTCCCATGGCCTTCCTTATCTTCGCCGCGTGCGCTACCTGCGTCACCACAGTCGTCCGAAAAATCAACTGCAAGCACTGAAAAAAAAAGATTGTCTTTTTTTCTGCGATCACCCATCGGCAGGAACGATTTTCTTCTTCTCTCGGCTTATGCAATCCTTATGCGCGGCACTTATTCACTTGCGCTTGGTCCGGGCGCAAGGCCTACAATTTCCCCCGCTAATTCTGCGGTAAGGGCTGTCACACGAGTCCTTTAGTCGGTGTGTGTTTCACGACGATGGGGAAATGCACCGAAACATTCCCCCTCACGCTACATAATGTCTGAGGAACAGGCTCTCAGGCAGCGTCAGTGACGAGGTCGATTTTGACATCTTCAACAATTTGCCGGCCAAGTGCCGAGCTTCCTTTTACGGATCGGGTAGCAAATAGCATGCCTTGAACAGGATGCCAAGCCGGGATCACCTATGATCACGGTCTAGAAGCCTTATCGCGATAAATTCAATTCTTCGAGAGACCTGGATTTGATGGGCGACTGCTTTCTCCACCGAAGTGAGATTTCAGGCGCCCCTTGCGCCTCATTGCTTCGCTATCCATCAGCCATCCGAGTTACCCGCTCGGCATTCGTATATGCTCTACGTCAGGCTACAATTCCGGGTCCACCTTGACGCCCAAGTTACTCAGCTCGGGTGGCACAAGTCAACAGGCACCAGCATGATCCTGTTCTGGGCGATCGTCGTGGTCTGAAATGGAATTCTAGGCTCGATAATCAGTTGTGCCTTTACAAAATATCGAATCGGGCATGACGCGACCATGTCATGTCCAATGGTAGATAAATATTACCCGTGTGCGCAAGCGCTCAGGGGTTTCTACTAATTTTTCTTCTTCTCGAATTTACAAATAAACTGAAGGATATGATGGATTTACCTCGATGACCAAGTAGCTCTTGTGATGGATACTAAGAAGGTGACCGTGTCGCACTCACGGCAAGTCTTATGTTTGACGATATAGTCCTATCACAACCTTCATGAATGAAACCAAAATTTACTGTGCTACACTTTCTACCGTACATGGCTTCGCATCTACATCTAGATAAGCAAGTCAATTCACAAAGAAATGCCAGCATTATAGTAAACCAGATCCCCATTGTCTATCTCGCTAGGGACACAGAAGTGCCCAAGCCACTCCTCAAACCAGGACAGGCCCACAGCCGAGGAGCATGTATTACAAGAATGAAAACTTCAGGATAATGAACATTGGAACAAGGAAGAAGAGAAAGGGAACTGGTTGGTACGAAAACAGTGATGCCCTTGAACGCCATGAGAAATAATAAACAGTCAAAGGCCACATAAGAATGACCCAGACGCAGCACAACAGCCGCTCATAACGGGATAAGAATGGGAAAAAAATACATGAAACTCTTTTTTGCAGTCTCACCCAAAAGGAGAGAAAATGACAGGGATATGTACGCGAGTGGTAGGGAAAGACAGATACGATACATGTAGCATGCTTTTTAAGAGTCGTCGACCAGACGCTTCGACGCCCAGGCACGCTTGGCTCCGTCCAGGAGAACGTCCATGTTGCCGCTGTTGTCACACATGCTGCGGAACAGGCCGTCTTCCTTGTTGATCAGGGTCCAAGGGTGGTCGAACTCGACAACGCGGCCGTGGTCGAGGACCAGGACCTTGTCGTAGTCAATGATGGTCTGGAGACGGTGGGCGATGGTGATGATTGTGCTTTCGCGCAGCTCACGCAAAGTTTCCTGGATCTTGGCGTCGGTGGCATAGTCGATCGAGGCGGTGGCTTCGTCCATCATCAGGACGCGAGGTTTCTTGAGGAGTGCACGGGCGAGACACAGGAGTTGGCGCTGGCCTTGGGACAGGTTGGATCCGGACTCCGAGACAGGGCTGTCCAGGTTGTGGAAGATGTTCTTGTTGTCGGTGACGGAGGCAGTGCTGCCGTTCATGCCGTTGGTTTCGACGGCCGTGAATGTGCTCGAGGTAGCGGGTGTGGCGGTGCCCGAGGTAGCAGATCCGATCAGGTGTACCCGGCGGATGGCTGTGAAGATCTCTGAATCGCTAAACAGACCGAAGGGATCAAGGTTGCTGCGAATAGTACCCGTGAATAGGGTGGGATCCTGAGGCACGATGGTGATTGCTTCACGGAGATCCCGCAATCCAATCGAACCAATGTCGACGCCGTCAATCAAAATCTGACCCTTTTCGGCTTCCAAGCCGCGGAATAGTGCCAATGCCAAAGAACTCTTGCCCGCACCAGTGCGACCGACGATGCCAACCTTTTCACCAGGCTTCACAGAGAAGGAAACTTCCTTGAGCACGGCACCGAGGTCCGGACGGTAGCGGGTAGTGTAGCCCTTGAAGTCAACGGCACCTTGACTAGGCCAGTTAGATTCAGGGCGGTTTTCCTCGATGATAAGGGCGGCCTCTTGCTCAACTTCCAGATACTCGCGCACTCGCTCGACTGAGTTCATGTTCTGCTGAACTTCGGAGTAGAGGCGGACAAGCCAAAGCACGTTCTCCGTGAAGGTTACCGCATAAGTCAGAGAAAGACCAGCCGCACCAGCATCAATCTTACCAACGTTGAGAAGGACAAAGGTTGCGGAGAAGAAAGCGACCAGAGCACCGGTCCAGTCGACACGCAGAGCAAGCCAGCGGTTACTAGCCCAAAGGTAGATGTGTGGGCGGTTGTAAGCATTGATGCGACGGTGGTTGTCGACAATGAACCGAGGCCCATCACCATAAGCACGGATAGTCACGATACCATTGAGGGTTTCGCCGAATTGCTGGTATAGAGGGCTGCGTTGGACAGACTCCAGACGCTTGAGATCACGAGAAGAGTTCAGGTAGATGGCACCAAGGGCAGTGTAAACAAGAGTGATGAAAATACCCGCAATCAAGAAACCAGGCGTGATGACGGAAATGAGGATGACAATCATGATAACGGAAGCCAAGCTGTGAAGCATACCGATTGCCACGGGAGCAACTTCCTGATCGACAGACTCAATGTCCTTGGAGAAGCGGTTCATAAGCTGACCAAGGGGCGTCGAGTCGAAGAATCGGAACTTGGCATGCAAAACTGCGTTGAGCAGCCGGTCGTGAATCTTCCAAGATGCGTGAAGCGAGCCCCAGAACAACACGGCCTCCCGGCTCAAAGAGATCGCAATGTAAAGGAAACCGAGGAGTGCATACACACCAAGGTAGTATCCCACATTGACCTCACCATCCGCGGCAGTATTTGAGAAGCGAGAGCTCAGTTGCTGTGGGACCCAGCTGCTCACCTTGGCAACACTGCCAACGTTGAAAGTTGGGGGCTTAATGTGAGCTGCAGCCGCGTAGCTACCAGCATCATCTTGATTGACACTAGCAGTGTGGTATGCGTTGGCCCACTGGCGAATCCAGATGTTGGTCGACACCGAACCAAGTTGTTGCATGCAGAAGATCGAAACAGCCACGATCCAGTAGTAGCCTGAGCCCATTGAGCGTAGATACATGGTGACCGTGGACCATTTGATACTGCCAGTGGCCTTGCTTTCTGCCAGCTCCGACTTCTCATCCTTTTTCTGTTCATTGGCCGTTCCGTTTGCAGATTCGTCCGCATTGTCCTCTTCGTGATCCGAGGGCGCTCGCGAGAGACCGCGGGAGCTGGCTCGAGAGCCGGGCCGAGACTTGAAGAATTCGTCTCCAAGAGCGCCAGTAGCAGCGACATCATCAGGGCGACCCTGAGCGGCGACTTTTCCATTTTCAAGAACGACAACGTGGTCTGCCTGGGGTACAGCGAGGGCTATATTATGAGTCACCAAGACGCAAGAGCGGTTGAACATCAGAGGCCCGGTAAGCGCTTGACGGAAGAGGTGCTTGGCTGTGTGAGAGTCGACAGCAGAAAGGCAGTCGTCCAGTAGTAGGTGGCGAGCACTGCTATAGACAGCTCGGGCAAGGGAGATTCTCTGCTTCTGGCCACCGGACAAACTGATACCTTTCTCTCCGACGAGGGTCTGGTCGCCAGCATCGAGGATTTCGATGTCACGTTCCAGAGCACATGCCTTGAGGACGGCACGGTAACGCTTCTCGTCGAGCGGGGATGCAAAGATGATGTTTTCCTTCACGGTTGCGTTCACCAACCAGGCCTCCTGGGCACAATACGCAACACTGTCAATCAGGCCAGTTGCGGGGTCAACTGGAAGATCAGCACGGCTCGTCATGCCTCCAGGAAGACGGACACGACCCTCTACGAGTCTCATTTCACCAAGAAGGGCCATAAGAAGAGAGGTCTTTCCGGAGCCAGTAGGACCGGCAATGATGCTGAGCCGACCAATAGGGAAGTTGACATCGATATTGATCAGACGGAAGGCATCAGCGCCGTCCTCAGAAGAAGAAGCAGAAGAGGGTTGAGGCCGAGGGCTGGCGGTGCTCCAGGACAACGTAGCCTTCTCCAGTGCAATCTTGGCTGGTTCATCAGACACGCTGCTATCGCGCAGTTGATCGTATTTGCCAGTCTCCTCCTCGTTCAGGTACTTGTCCACACGATCAAGGGAGACCTTGGATTCTTGGACGTGAGCCACCATGTCTGCAAGCTGATCCAGGGGCACACGCAAGAGCGAGAACATTGAAAGAGCAGGGAAGGCAATGGATGGTGTCAATTGCTTCTTTTCGACGACGGTGTACAGGAAGAAAGACAAGAAAGTGATCAAGATCGGGGTTCCGTACCAGACGGTAGCGGCGGAAGACCAAAGGATGTAGCGGCGGCGCAGGGATTTCAGCTCAGCTTTGCGCTTCTCATTGACGATGTCCTGGAACCGTTGTTCCCAGGCAAAGTACTTGATTATGCGGATATTCTGAAGAACTTCATTCGTCGCGTGAATACGGGCATCAGTGCCCTTGAGGATCGCGTTCTGCACCTTATTAAACTGCCGGGCGATAAAGAGGTTAATGGGCAACATGAAGACCATCAGGGCGATACCAGCAAAAGAGCTGAATCCCATGATTTTATAGAGAAGTGCGATAGCCATGATGATTTGCACTGGCACACTAGCCCACAGGAAGTGAAGGTAGGCGCCAACCTCGCTAACCTTGAATGAGTCAATGGCCATCAGGTTAATGATGGTACCGATATTGGCTTGTGTGATGGCATCCTCCACGTCGGATTCAGGCTTCTGTCCTGTCTCGGCATCATTATCAGTGCCGGCCTTCTTCTTACGGCCAAAAGAAAACAATTTGCTTTTCTTTTGCTTCGTGTCCTTAGTGACAGGTTCCTCCGCGGGCTTGCGAGAAACTTCCGTAGACGCACTGGCTTTACGCCGGAGCGCCTTGGCGTATATTTCACCGATGATAATTGCGCGAATTTTGACACCCATCTTCCGGCCAATAAAGAGAGCCTGACCGTCGGCTACACCCTGGACAATGGCGGAGCAGAAGAGGAGAATCGCGTACAGCCAGGCGGCATAGGGAGTTGTCGAGCGTGGGTCCTCAACATACTCAAGGATGGCCTTGAGAAGCATACTCGGAACGAAAACAAAGAGATTGGCAAAAATGGTCCAGGCACCTTGAATCAAAATGGTCGGGGCAAAATATCGGACCAGCTTCCAGGCTAATGAACCCTTCAGCTGCCGCTTGCGAAAGGACGTCAGAACAGTGGCGGCCTTTTGCGACGGAGTCAGGTTCCAAACGTCCTTCAGCTCAAGAGGCTGTCGATAGCCTTTCAGAACCAACGGGTCCAGCCAGGAAAAAGTCGCAAGAGACAGGAGACTGGCCATGGGGTGTCGCGGGGGCTCCAACCCCTCCTCGTGCTCGACCAGAACCGGCTTGTTGCCTCGACGAGTAGTGAGGGCAATCAAGAGCAGCAATGTGCTCAGGGTGAATTGGACGATGCTGAGGGTCCTGGCAGGGTGCGAGATTGGGTGGATGATGGCAGATCGGAACACCATGATATTCAGCAGCCACTGGGCACTATACAAAATAGCCGTATGGGTCCAAAGCCTGGGAGCCGTGAAAATACCCATGGTGGACAGCAGAAGTCGAACCAAGACCAAAAACAGTATATAACCCCATGAGATCAGCCCGGCTGTCGCGGGGAGGGCTCCATGGCGGCCCCAGCCGTCGGTCGACAGGCCAACGACGTACACCGCGACCAGGCCGATAAGAAAGGCGATCTCTATCGCGATGACGGTGACTTCTCCACGCGGGCGATCGATCTCCAACTGCGGTTGTTCGCTCTGCACGGCCTGGAGGAGCATGGGATCCGATTCGCTTTCGCGGCCATTGGGGAGGTCGTCTTCGGAGCCATCGTTTGCGAGAACCTTGTAAGCAGCACCTTTGCGGTCGACTACGAAGCGATGGGCGAGGCGGAAGACGATAAGTAGCAAGGAGATAGCGCAGGCTGCGAGCGGAAGTGTGATTTGCAAAATGCTATCAGATTTTGAAGATTAGCGGGCGGATTGGTGCAACGGTCGCCGACGAGGTTGGCGCCGGTCGGAACAAGCATGCGAAGACTTACTTGCGTTGGAAGCACCTGGAGAGGTCATCGATGGCCCAGACAGGGCCGTGGCATTGCGGGAGCATGATCTGCGGGGAGCAGAATGTGAACGGCTAAAATAGCTCTCGAACAGCAGAACGTCCGGAATCAAGTCGCGGGGATAAGAATGGCGATGCGACAGGTATTAATATGACCACCACCCCGGGTCTAGCAACAATCTTCCACTAGCACGCAGGACGAAGCTGGCATTGCAGTCGGAGCGAAGCCGGAAGTGCAGTGATTTTTCTCTCTGGTACTGGAGATGACCGAGGGTCCTTGGACGGCCTAGTTGAGATTAAGAGAGAGCGGGCGGGGTTGTCAACTGCAGACCTGAGGATGAGACGAAGAGGGAGATGCAGGACAGCGGGGTGAAGAGGAGGAAGAAGAAGAGCTTAGGTCGCTGGATCTCGACCGAACCCGGCAGTGGATCGAAAGTCCGTTCCCCATTGTAAAAATGACAGGGTGACATGAACCGCCACCACGTTTGCGTGGTGGAGTGAAGTATCTCCGGTTCCTTGGACTCTACACAATGCTATTATCCTCTTCTTTACTCTAGTTATGCCCTTTCAGGGTCTCTCGACTCTTCAGGATACAATGCATGGCCTCGTGCAGGTCCGAAGTTTACCCTATGACTCGTCCCAACGCTGATCATTCCTTATCGCGGCCTTTCCCCACTGCTATCGTTGCCTTGTACTTCCCCGTTTTGTGATTCATCACGGGTTTAAGGGGGCATCTCGTGCCTATTTAGCCCAGGAGTGAGAAGGACGCGATTCTAAACGCCTTGGTGAGGCTTCTTTGTGTTCTTTGTGGCGAGGCTACGACCACGGAAATATTCCTCTTCCGTTGCCACCCTGCCCGATCCCTTAACGTCTGCGAAGCCTGCCCTTTTGCGCCCCGGCATCATCACTCCACTTCCCCTTCCCCTGCTCCCCTCCCACTTCACCTCTCTTTACCTCGGACCTGTGAGACCCCGGCTCACATCACTGGAAACTCATTCGCTAGCCGACCATGGCGGAACGCATCCTTATGAACGAGTTTCGCTCCCTCTCCAAAGAGAGATGGGTCAACGTCGATGTGAGTTTCACGCTGTTTTGAATACCTCTCGGACCGACTGCTGATACCTGCTCTGCGCCCAGCTTCACAACGACGACGTCTTCAAATGGGATGTCGCGCTCATCGTCCTCAACGAGGACTCCTTATACTACGGCGGCTACTTCAAAGCGACCATGGCCTTTCCTTCCAACTACCCCTACGCCCCTCCCGGTAAGTTTTACTACAGTGGCCCCTGTTGGCGGCTGCGTATGTGTGACACAGATTTACTGACTGACACCCATGCAGAGTTCCGCTTCCTTACGCCCTTACACCACCCCAACATCTACAAGGACGGCAGGTTATGCATTTCCATCCTCCACCCGCCAGGCGAGGATGAAATGTCTGGTGAACTTGCCGCTGAGCGCTGGTCACCTGCCCAGCGAGTCGAGTCCGTCCTCATTTCTATCCTCTCCCTCCTCGATGATGCCGAGATCTCTTCGCCTGCCAACGTCGACGCGGCTGTCATGCTTCGCGACCAACCTGAGAAGTTCCGTTCCCTGGTCAAGTCCGACGTGGAGACATCCAAGGCACATCGACCGGCTTCCTTTGATATGCCAATCCAGGAGGCTTCCACTCACGAAGTCGTGGAGAAGGAAGATGAAGACTTTTGGGCCGAGTCCGGCGATGACAGCGACCCGTTCGGGGGCAGCGACTCCGACTCCGACTTGAACCACTTGACTGGGAGCGACGACGACGATGACGACGACATGGACGCTGAGAGTGATTGAGACGGCATTTCCGCATCTGCGCCATTCAAGCATCACCACTTTACACTACGGATTTTCGGATTTTTTTCAAGGCAGCATAGCATGCACGGCGCATGAGCGTGGATCAATGGTTTACATGATTATTTTACAACGGTATTCCGGCATTCGTGGCGATTTGGACGGGGCGTTTACATAACTAGTTAACGGTAACAGGATACTTCAATAGTTCAGCCACTTATTATAAATTTTATTTTATATCCAGTGAGACAATATTCGAACAGTATAACAGGACTTGGAAGGATATGTAACACACGTAAATAGAAATCCCCAATTCAATCAATAACGCCTCCAGGTTGAGCGTTTCTGCTCTGTCTCTGAAATGGCAGATGTCGTGGCGTGTTCCATTTTGCTCACTAAACCTTGAAGGTTTATGGGTCACAACCTTCTTCGGAGTACACAATATATCGGCCAATCCGACGTGAAATAACTCTGTATTTCTATATATATCCCTGAATCTGGCAATTTCTGGCTTGCGAATGAGTGCCATATGGTTGCCTGTGTGAGGAGTTCTTTGGCCAGAGTGTGCCAGTTCTGGGGGTTGACAGAGCTGAAAAGGCTGGACAATGGTGTTGGGACTTGGAGAAACAGATAGACATGCGTCGGATCAAGGACGTGTTATGGCCCGATATACCTTGTCTACCCTAGACTACTAGACTGAATCTAGTCAGGCGCCTACGTCCTCGAAACTACATGCACGATCAAAAGCCTGAGCAGCGTGTAAATCCAACACTCATTCTAAATCGAGTTGAAATGTATGGATGTCGACAAATATACTACGTAACGATAAGGAGAGAAGCGACAGTCTGTGTACGCATGGGAGTTGTGTTGGACCACCCAAAACGACCCAAAAAAAAAAACAGATAGAAGCCAAACGAAATGTGATCTGCGCCGGTGTTAATCCCTCCATCCAAATGCCCATGTGCTGAATCCTGTCACAGACAGGACGTGGTTGGTGGTCTACTCTAGACGACAACGGCCTTCTTGATCTCGCTGTAGATGGCGCCGAGCTCCTGGTCCACGATCTTCTCGGCCTTGTTGACGAGACTGCTGATGCGGGTCTCCACGTCCTCCACGGTGGTACCAGCCTTATAGCCACCCTTGGCTAGGATCTCGGTGTAGTTGGACGAGCCACCACCGTTCCAGGCGAGAAGCTAGAATCATGTCAGCAATTATTCAGTGGTTCGTCGGTTATTCAGTATAATAACTTACGTTGGGAGTGTCAGAGGGGATGTCAGTCAGGGCACCGGAGGTGGCAATAGTAATCAGAGCCTCCTTGAGCTTCTTGGGAGTGATCTCGTCGACGGCGTAGGCTGAGTCGGAAGAGGGTTGGAGAGAGACGTAGTAGGCCAGCAAACCAGCAATGTGGGGAGAGGCCATAGAGGTTCCAGAAATGGTGTTGACGGCGTACTTGCTGCCGACCCAGGTGGAGAGGATGTTCAGGCCGGGGGCGAAAATATCAGTGCACTTTCCGTAGTTGGAGAAGTAGGCACGCTCATCAGCCAGAGTGGAGGCACCAACAGTGACGGCCTTCTCGGCGGCGGCGGGCGAGTACTTGCAAGCATCGGCGTTGTCGTTGCCAGCAGCGACAGCGAAGTGGATACCGGCATCGACGGCAGCGTTCACGGCGAGGTCAAGAGTACGAGAGGTTCCGCCGCCCAGACTCATGTTGGCAACACTGCCCTTGAAGCCCTTGACCTTGCCGTTCTTAGCATCCTTGGCCTTCTTGATGTGAGCCTCGGCAGCCCACTCGACACCCTTGACGACATCGGACATGGTACCGGAGCCGTTGGAGCGCAGCACCTTGACGGCGTAGACGTGGGCCTGCTTGGCAACACCGTACTTCTTACCGGCGATAGTACCAGAGCAGTGAGTGCCGTGGCCGTTACCGTCCTCGTCCTCGTCGTTCTCGGGGATGGTCTTGCCCCAGTTGGCACGGCCCTCGAAATCAACGTGCTCGGTGTTGGTACCGGTGTCAATCACGTAGGCATCAACGCCCTCGCCACCATCCTCAGCGTACAGGTACTTGTTGAAGGTACCGAAGGAGAGGCTGTCCCGGTGGGAGATACGCGCCAGACCCCAGGGAGCGTTCTTCTCAACGGTGGGCTTTTCCATGGTGTGAACCAAGGAGTCCTTCTCAATATACTCAACCTATTACAGAGGGTTGTTAGCAACCGCTTCATCATGGTCATGAGGAAGGGGGCAAGCTGAGCTACTTACATCCGGATGCCGGCGGACCTGCTCGATGACATCCTCGTGGAAGTGACCGGAATAACCCATCAGTGAACCAGCCACGTGGAAGGTGTGCTTTAATCCCAGGAAGGCATCGGTGTCGAAGCCGAAGAGCGATCGCTTCTTCAGCTCCATACGGCCGTTCTGGCTCGCGTGGATGTCCTGCACCCAGCTGTGGTGAACGGCCGCAGCCGAAGGGTCGACATGCTTCTTAAACACGACGATGTACGAATCGGAAACCTCCTGGGAGTTGGTGGAGGAGATGATGGGAGCTGCCCCATTGTGGATGGAGTCCACCACCACAGGTGAGGCAACTGTGAGCAGCGGAAGCAACGCTAGGCCGAACAAGCCCTTCATGACGGCGGATAGACTCGTACGATGCAAAGGATACGAAAGAAAGGACGGGAAGAATAATGGATAAGTTGGATAGAGAGAGTTGGATGGAGAGACGGATGGGGGAGGAGATGAGGAGAAGAGTGAGGAGGTAAGAGTCAGTGAGCGCTTATCAAGGGGAGACGAAAGGGCAGGCGGAGAAAGATGATGCAAGCGGAGCGATTACCGTACCGTTACGCCGTCGGATGACCAGTAGATTGCCGCCGAGCGCAGATCTCCAGCGTGCGAATGCCAGGGCGGTGGGGATCTTTACTCCGGGGGTGGGCGGTATTGTCAGGTACTGTAAAGAGGAGGCGCCCCGGAACTCTCGAGCGTGACTTCCAAGGTTCTCTTATCGGGGCGATCTTCACTATCTTCATCATTCCTTGTGACTGACCGGCTGGAGCTGTAGAAGGCTAGGTAGCTCCCATTCCGGTCTGGGTCGGGTACCTGTGTCTATGCAGGAGAGACACGGACATGGAAACTCGGGAACTCGGCGACGATCTCCAAGGCAACTTGTGCTCCGAAGTCGCGTGCTTCTGTCCGGATGACGCGAGTGGAACATAGCTCGGGCGCTGTAACCACGCACTAGGTCTCAGCAGGCCAGCGGGAGTAGGCAACATTCTCCACACTTTCTGAGCTGGACCAACCGTAGGCTTATCGTATCTCTTATCATCCGGAACGACGATCCTGTAACCCACAACTGAGGCACTCCGTACCTTGCCTTTGCCTAATGGGCCTCCGCTAAGCCCCAAAGCCCCCGAAGCCCAAGCCCCTTCGTCACCTGATATCATCTCCCCGCTGCGCGTTGATACGTTGATCCCATTTTTGCACCGCGAAAACAATATCGGCCCTATTCGTTACGCTAGTCGATCGGTTCAAGAGACCTTGTTTGTTCTCTCCGATGTGGTGTCTCAATCGGACCCGCTAAGCACAACACATATGCAGACCGCCTCAATCTGCTCGCCAATCGCGCATTCACGGTCTATGGTGGTTTACCCGCCATCGGATTGGTCGTGGATAAGATTTGGCCATGCCTCCAGCCCTCCCTCCCTCGCCTTCCGGATCGACCGAGCGACTGGTGGAAGAGCTTGCTCCCACCGTTGAGCAGCTCAAGGACCTTGGTGCAGGCAATGCCATCACCCTTCCCCAGGCACTCGGGGCCACCGAACCCCTCCTCCGTCTCCGACATACCTTTATCGATGATCCACACCCGCGGACCGCCAAGGATGCATTCCGGCACCTATCGGGCTTCCAGGCATTGCTCGACCTCGCAGGCCAACTAGCAGAGCTATACGACGTCGAGGCTTTATCCAAAGAAGAAAGGAAAAGTCTGCTCGGAGTTTACAAGGATGTCTTGGGTGTTTTGGCCGAGGGATTGAAGGACCATTTTGGCAACCGACGATACTTTGCCCGCAGGATTGCCGGGGGAGGAATTCCTGTTCTCGAAAGAACTCTTGACCTGCTGGCCGGGAAGATAGACAAGGCCGAGAGCGATGCTGGACAACTCTACGGGGCCGTTCTTGCTGCCGCCCTGTGTCAGGAAACCGTCACGGGTATATTTGTCACCCTGTGTGCGAAGCTTCAGAATAAGACGGAGTCTTTAACGGGACTTCAAGATGCGGCAGTCCAGTGCCTGGGATCTGCTGAGACCATCGAGGTTGCAGAGCTTCTGGGTCCAATGATTCGTGTGTGGTTGACACACTCTTCCTCGGGGCATGATTCTCTACGCCTCGCTCTTCCCGCATGTCTTTGTCAATTGGCTTCACAGTCCCGGAGGAACGTTGTAGCTCTTCATGGCACAGGAATGCTAACGTCCATCCTTCCGCTCTTGTTCGATGACGGCCGATCCGACATCGAGCAAGCCCTTTACCAGGATCTGGCACGCTATTTGAGCGTCCAAGGCATAAGTAGCTTGGAAGATGCCGTGGTCCTGTACCGCCGGGCACATGAAAGCACACATGTCTTAAAATTTCTTGTTTCTGCACTGAAATTCTCCAAAGAGCCCCCATCAATACAGTTCGACTTGTCTCTGCATGGCTTTTGTTCCGTTGAATTTGCGACCTTGAGCCGCCCATTCCCTCCAAATACCTCCGCTGGCTATACGCTGGTAACCTGGGTCCGCTTTGATGAATTCGATCCGAACACCCACACCACAATCTTCGGTGCCTTTGATGCTAGTCAGACGTGCTTCCTCCTTGCCTATCTGGAAAGGGATACGCGTCACTTTATCTTGCAGACCTCGATCCGTGGGCCACGTCCTAGTGTCCGGTTCAAGTCGGCCAAGTTCGAGTCAGGTCGCTGGTATCATATTTGCCTTGTCCACAAGAGACCCAAGCCTTCCTCGTCCTCCCGAGCATCTCTCTTCATAGACGGTGAATTTGTGGAGCAGTTGAAGATTGACTATCCTTCCACTCCCGCCAGTAATCATCCCAGCAGGCCACCTCGGATCCAAGCATTCTTTGGAACTCCTCAAGATCTAGCCATGCGTCTTGGGAAGGGGGTATCAACCTCTAGGTGGTCACTTGCAAACGGTATCCTTTACGAAGAGGCATTCAGCGACGATATGGTGTCCGTCTTCTACAATCTAGGACCGCGGTACTTTGGAAACTTTCAAGATTGCCTGGGCTCTTTCCAGACATACAAAGCCTCCGCCACGCTTAATCTCCGAAACGAACACCTCCACCCGGGCAAGGAAGAGTCCTCTGATATTATTACCGCCGTTCGACGCCGAGCAAGTACCCTCGTCCGCGAGAGCTCGATTTTGATCAATGTTTCTCCCGTTGCAGTGCTCGATGATGACGATAGAAACAGCGCTGATGAATTCCAACTCATCAAATGCCTGTCTCGACAGGCGGCGAAGAGCCTACACCAATTGACGAAAGCTGGTGGAAACGCTGTGGCCATCAACGGAGCTACTCCTGCTATCAACGATGGGTTAACGCAACCACAAGGAGTTGGAATTTTGACTGGTGATCCCGTTGTTGCTGTTCCAAAGTCTTTGGATGACGCCAGTTGGTGCTTAGGTGGCTGTGCTGCCGTGCAGTTGAGTTTGATCCAGGCAGCGAGTTCTGCGGAGAGTACTCGCCTGGCCGTGGAGGCGCTTTACGAAGCTGTTCAAGACAACTGGCGGAACAGCGAGGCCATGGAAAGAGAGAACGGTTACGGCATTCTTGCGTCCCTCCTACGCGAGAAACTTGGCTTTACCGTTGGCAATTTCACTGGAAATAGTCGAACGACGGCGCTTGGATGCAGTGCCGAAGAGCAAAATACGTTGACTCTAGACTTGCTGCGTCTCACCCTTGCATTTGTTGGTTACGACTTTGAGCGCCCAAATCACTCCATCATCACCAATCCTCTTGCCTACCGAATTCTTCTCGTGGACATGGATATTTGGCGGCTTGGAGATCTACCATTGCTCAAGCTTTATTATTCACAGTTCCGGACATTTGCCGCAGACAGCAATTACCGCCGATTCAATGCAAGGCGGCTTGGTCGCATGCGTAAGTCACCCAATGTCCCCTTTGTCTTAAGTGGCCTAGATAGGGACTCAGAACTAAAAGCTAACTGAGAAATAGGTGTCAACAAGAAGTTCCTAGAGACTTTAAAGGGTGGCGAACTGACTCCAGATACACTGGAGCCGTGTTTAGCATCCTTTGGGTCATTGATGGAAAGCAACCTGTCCCCCGACCTCCTCCGCTCCCTAGCTCTATCTATCACCTACGCACTTCACAAGCCGAAGCCACCTGCCAGTCTCCAGAAGAAAAAAAAGCCTTCGATTCGCGGCGGCGTCTTCCCGACCAGGCTCATCAAAGTCGTCAGACTCTGATAGGTACATATCCGCCGTTTCCCTTGGAAAAGAGATGATGCGCTTGTATTCTACCATACTGTGCAACCCTATCGACCCTGCGCCATTGAAGAAATTTGCCAAAGCGGTCACAAATAAGGTTAGTCATAAACCACCAGCGATTGTAGTTCTTATGCCTGACAGCAAACAAGTGGCTTTTATACCTTTCATGCGAAGACGAACCCGAAATTGTGGTTCATGCAGCCAAGATCTTGGCTCGGCTGCTGGTCGTTCATGGAAGTGGCTACAGCAAGAAGTTTTCTGAAAAGAATGGCGGATACACAGTCTTGGGACAACACCTGAAACGGTGGTGGAATATTCCTGCCCTGTGGCCAATCTGCTTTTCCATTTTGTTTGGCCGAGATATCGCTCTTTTGGACCTTGACCGTCCTTTTGAAGTCTCAGAACTCCGCAATCTTTTCTTGGGCGACGGTCAATTGCAAATTGCCCACCCTGAAATACTGCCAGTGATAATGGGAATGCTCAGAAGTGGATTGAAGGGCACGGTCCTTGCCAGTGAGCCCGCAACAGGCCGAAATCCCTCAGAGACAGATGGCTCCAGCACATCGCTTCCCAACATGTCTTCTTGCAAACTGCCCGGTAAGTTCCTACCGAAGCTATGGATTTTCGAATTTATATACTCATGGTTTTATGATAGATGTTGCCTTACGCCATCGTACAAAGCACGGGCTTTCCCTTTTAACCTCTGTGGTTCAGTTTTTGGCAGAGGCACGCTCGAAGTCACAAATATTCCGTGATTTCACAGTTCAGTCAAACTATGTCCAAGAGCTTCTGGCCATTCTTTATCCTGCTGTTGTTGGTTCAGACTCCGTAAACCCCAACACTGAACTGAACTCCCGCTACAGTGGGCTCAGCTTTGATGAAAGCAACTTGGTTCTACGGCCACGTTCGAGCACAGCCAACATACAAGCAAACCTGCAAACTTCCACCGTTGAGTGCTCATCCAGCCCTACTGACAGCCCTGCCGATACTCTGCGTCGCGGGTCCTCATTCATCCTAGTCTCTTCCGACAAAGCCAAACATCAGCCCTCTCTCGCGCGCATACGCCGCGTCGTGAACCCTCAATTCTCTGCAGATGGAGCTGTAACCGAACATCCGCTTGTCAAGGCTATCTTTGGGTTGGTTCTCGCTGTCTTCGAAGATCAACTTCTGGAGCGGAAAGAATTTTCCGGGCTGGGGCTGTATCACAAGACGCCCCCCGGGTTCTTAGAGCACCAAGCGTACTTTAACTCATGGATATTCAACCGCTTGTTGGAGACGTTGAAGGGATTGCCCTCTTCCAAATCTCGACTCCTCCAAGAACCTCGGACTCTGACCAACCTTGGCCGCTTTGCTACTCACCTGGCCGAGGCAGTCTATGAGGGCTGGTTCATAGACGGAGCAGCAGCCACACTGGAAGGCGTTGGGGCTATCCTTGAGTATCTCCAACGCCCGGACATCTCGCCCCTGAAAAGCATTCGGCTGTGCAGCCAGGCGGTTGCGACTCTGCAGTCGACTCTGTATAGAGTTGCCTTGTTCCAGCTGTCTGATGCAGAAGGTGGAGAAGCCCTATCCATACTGAAACGTTTGAACTACTGGCAGGTGGTCCTCCTCTCAGCATCCGAAACGCAATCAAAGTATCTACATCTTTTCTGTTACCTTCTTTACACCAAGTTGGTCAGCAACGAACAGGGCGTCCGCCTGGCGGCCGCAAGTCTTTGGCGGGTAATTCTAGTGCAAAGGCCAGATGAGATGACAGTTCTTCTCAGCCAAGGACCCGTCTCGCTCCAGCGTCGACTCGCGGACGGCTTCGATTCTCTCGTGGGATTGGAAGATGAGTCATTTTTGAACTGGATTGATGACCAGCGAGATGACCTTGATGCTCTGTTCTTCGGCATCTTGTCTCGATCCTGGGATATATTTGTTCTGGAGGAGAACACGAAGAGCGAGGATACTGCCAAGAGCCGCATCTCGAAACGCAAAGACAGGCTCAAGCAATGGGTTCAACTGGAGAAATTCGACGAAGACGTTGTTCGGAAACACGATGCGACTTTGCCTCATTGGATTTCGAACATTTCTGCGTCTGAATTCTTGAAGTCACAGAGATTCCAGCAAGACCTACAAGATAACTCTGCCTTCATGTGGTCGGCATTTTCGAACCTGTTGCTGGATCTGCGACGGCCGGGTGGTCTCCTTGCCGATGACAAAGACCGAAAATGGAGGCTTGACCAGACTGAGGGTCGCAGTCGTATGCGGTTGCGAGTGGTACCTGATGAATCAGGTGAAAGGCAAGAGTATCGCCCTAAGCGGAAAGCCTCTGAGCCTCCTGTGGTGAAGATTGACACTCGTGCACGCGCTTTGTCTGAAGGAGAGGCGCCGTCAACACCGAAGACTGCCTTGACGGCCGAGCCTGAGCCCCTGGAACCGTCTGGGCCTCGAGATGACGAAGATGGCGATGACGCCGCCGAAAACCGTAGCATGCTGGAAGAAAATTTCGAGATGATCGATGATCCCAAGTTCGAGCTCGAGGACTACGAAGACAAGAACCGAAAGGTGATGAGATCTCTTCAACGAGGTGACCAGGTTCAAAATGTGTGTAACATGTCTCGAATCATCGGTCTTGAGGCCGTGGAGGGTCTTCTGATCATCGGAAAAAACTGCATTTACATCCTGGACAGCTTCTTCCAGAGAGCGGATGGCGAGATTGTCAACGTCTGGCAAGCCCCATCTGAGGAACGAGATCCCTACGTGCGGATGATTGCGGGCCGGGAGTCCAACGATCGTCGCTCACAGGAGCACGAGACAAGAAGCTGGAAGTGGTCTGACTTGGTTAGCGTCTCCAAGCGACGTTTCCTCTTCCGCGACGTCGCTTTGGAAATTTTCTTCACCGATGGCACGAGTTATCTGTTAACCTTCTTCTCTCCGCGAGTACGAGACGACCTGAGTAACCAGCTTGGTGCCAAAGCGCCGCAAGTCACAGGAAGTGCAGGACACTCGCGGCCGGAGGATATCTGGCGCTACGAAACCCTACGCAGCCAGGAAGATGCACCTCAATCTCTCGGCTCGAAATTTGCTAGCGTCTTTGGACACCAGGCATCAAACCCAGCGACGCGGAAATGGATCCGGGGCGAGATTTCGAACTTTCATTATCTCATGTTGATCAACACGCTCGCTGGACGAACTTTCAACGATTTGACCCAGTACCCAGTCTTTCCATGGGTTCTGGCAGATTACACGAGCGAAGAGCTCGATCTAACCAACCCGAAAACATTCCGCGATCTGTCGAAGCCTATGGGTTGTCAGACCCCAGATCGTGAGGCTGGGTTCCGAGAGCGATACAATGCCTTTGCTGAGATGGGTGATGACAATGCGCCGCCCTTCCACTACGGAACCCATTACTCCTCGGCAATGATTGTCAGCTCTTATCTCATTCGCCTACAGCCGTTCGTCAAGTCCTACCTTCTCCTTCAGGGCGGCACCTTCGACCATGCAGACCGACTTTTCTACTCTATCCGCAAAGCATGGGAGTCCGCTTCGCGAAGCAACATGTCTGATGTCCGAGAATTGATACCTGAATTTTTCTACCTTCCCGAGTTCCTGGTGAACTCCAACAAATACGACTTTGGTCTTCTCCAGAACATGGCAACGGCCATCGACTCAGTTGAACTGCCGCCTTGGGCTAAGGGCGATCCAAAGATATTCATTGAGAAACACCGCGAGGCGCTCGAGAGCCCCTACGTCTCTGAAAACCTTCATCACTGGATCGATCTTGTTTTCGGCAGCAAGCAAAAGGGCGAGGCTGCCGTTGAAGCCGTCAATGTATTCCATCATCTGTCTTACAAGGGTGCCAAGGACCTGGATGCTATTGATGACCCGGTGGACAAGTTGGCCACCATTGGTATCATCCACAACTTCGGACAGACACCTCATCAGATATTCCAGCGAACTCACGCTCAACGCGAAGACCAGCGGTACCGCACACCCCGGCTGGATACACTCGCAGAATCTCTGACGCAGATGCCACTCTCACTTCTTGACATTGAGGAACGAGTATCCACTCTCTCGATGAAGCAAGACCGGTTGCTTTGCACGGCTGATTTGAGGCTCAACGTCCCACCAGCCTTCGATCACTACATGGAATGGGGCTTCTTTGATGGAAGTGTGCGCTTCTATGCCACGGATAGTCGCAAGCTCCTTGGTCACTTCGAACACCTCCATATCGGTCAACTCTCACACGCCAGCTTTGCCGATTCACGTACACTTATTACCTGTGGAACGGACTGTACGATTTCCTTGTGGACAGTCACGGCAGGCTCCAGGTCCGTTGACTTGCAGCCCATTGGGTCCCTGTTTGGTCATCGTTCTCCGGTAACCACACTCGCGGTTTCGCGATCCTTTAGCGCCTTGCTTTCTGCATCCATTGATGGCCAGATCATGCTATGGGACTTGAATCGGCGATGCTTCGTGAGATCGCTTCCTGCCGATGGGACTGTCGACTGTGCCCGAATCAACGACGTAACTGGAAACATCATTATCTGTCGAGGTAAATGCATCACCATGTATACGCTAAACGGAGAGATACTCGTGGACCAACCGGTGTGCGATTCAGCCGACGACCACGTTCTATCCTGTGTATTCTACGAAGGCGTACAAAACGAGTGGCTGGAGCGCGAGCTGGTACTCACGGGCCATAGTCGCGGCGTCGTGAACATCTGGAGCAAGGCCATTCGCGGCGGACGATTCGAGCTGGAACTCATCCGACAACTCCATCATACGGACAGCAGTCGCGACACCGGAGCCAACATCTCCTCCGGCATAAGTTGCATTCTGGCCCTCCCCCATGTTGTGTATACCGGGGATGAGGCAGGCCGAGTGGTTAGTATTTTCTGAATTGTCCATTCCCTGTTTCGAAGACAAACGCTAACTCTTGTAGTATGAGTGGAACTGTATCCAACGGCGCTGATCTGATCCCGCCATTCAATTCCCGCGCGGGCCGGCTACTGAAGAAAGCATGCAACCTTGGACTTCGATGTCCCGTTTGCAGAAGAGGCTTGTCACAAAAATACAAAAGCATAGAGAGAAGGGCGTTTTTACTTCACGGGGGTCATTTGATTTGGTTCTGTCTTCTTCGCATTTCCCCGGCTTCATTCTTTGGACCTTGGCATAAAATAGCGCAATGAAGGCATCAAGTACGAGCACGGTTCCTGCGGTAAAGTCGGAGTAGATCGCGATTTTAACCGGGCCCCGGTGAGCAGAACGCAGCCCGGTACAGCAGTGGGCCGTTGGCCGGTCGACCATACTCCGGTTGGCATGTTCGGAGCACACTGCGCCGCGGTTGGGATTCGTCCGGTTTCGAATGAAGTCATATGGACAATATGGAAGATTGTTCTATATAGTTCGACAGCACTGTAAAAACAGCTGAAGGAAAGGGTCGTCCTCGGTCCATTCGGGGAAGTGGGTGGAATTGGCGTTCCTGACACGTCGAAAACAGGTGAGTTGGAGGGGTCGTAAGCCGGCGGTGATTTCATTGTGCAGCGTCATTTCGCCCCACTCGGCATCCCACCTTGAGATACTTCCGTTAACTATGGTAGCGCTATACTGAACGGTTGTACTCTTAACTCAGCTTCCGGTCCATGGCCCCCCGCCTCTAAATACCTTCGTTCCGCCACCTTTTCTCCCTCCTTCATCCCTCTTTCTTGACCATATCTTCTTCCATCTTTCTTCCTCTAAAATCTCCATTCACATCATGACTTCCGCTCTTGAGCAGCTTAAGGCCACTGGCACCGTCGTGGTCTGCGACTCTGGTAAGTTCCACCGATCACGGAGATCCATGCAATGAGCACTCGACTAACGCGCGCGGTATAGGTGACTTTGCCAGTATGTATTCTCGAGCCTGGTGTCATGAGTGGCGATAGGTTGAACATTTGCTAACGTGCCACAGCCATCGGCAAGTACAAGCCCCAGGATGCCACCACCAACCCCTCCCTGATCCTGGCTGCTTCCAAGAAGTCCGAATATGCCCCTCTCATCGACGCCGCCGTTGCCTACGGCAAGAAGAAGGGTGGCTCCATCGACGCTCAGGTTGAAGCCACTCTGGACCGCCTTCTGGTCGAGTTCGGCAAGAAGATCCTGGAGATCATTCCCGGCAAGGTCTCGACTGAGGTCGACGCCAAGCTGTCCTTCGACACCCAGGCCTCTGTCAACAAGGCCCTTGAGATTATCAAGGTATGTGGCAATCGCCTCGTAACGGTGTTTGGCGTTTCCTAGTGCTAACTTCGTTTTTCACAGCTCTACGAAGAGGTCGGCATCAAGAAGGAACGCATCCTGATCAAGATCGCCTCCACCTACGAGGGTATTAAGGCTGCCCACATCCTCCAGTCTCAGCACGGCATCAACTGCAACCTGACCCTGATGTTCTCTCTGGTTCAGGCTATTGCTGCCGCTGAGGCCGGTGCTTTCCTGATCTCTCCCTTCGTCGGCCGTATCCTTGACTGGTACAAGGCCGCTCACAAGCGCGACTACACTCCTGAGGAGGACCCCGGTGTCAAGTCCGTCCAGGCAATCTTCAACTACTACAAGAAGCACAACTACAAGACCATCGTCATGGGTGCTTCCTTCCGTAACGTTGGCGAGATCACCGAGCTTGCCGGCTGCGACTACCTGACCATCTCCCCCAACCTGCTGGAGGACCTGTACAACTCCACCGATGCCGTCCCCAAGAAGCTTGATTCCGCCGATGCTCACAACCTGAACATCCCCAAGCGCGAGTACCTCCACCACGAGGCTGAGTTCCGCTTCGCCTTCAACGAGGAGGCCATGGCCGTCGAGAAGCTCCGTGAGGGTATCTCCAAGTTCGCTGCCGATGCCATTACCCTCAAGGACCTCCTGAAGGCTAAGATCCAGGCTTAAGTGGTCGGCCCTCGGGTTTAATATTTTCTTCATGTTCCTTTTTTTCTCTTTTGTTTTACAGACTTTATTTGTAAATTGGCGATCCTCCAAAATGTCTGTGGATTGGTAGATACGAATTGATGAATCTTTCCATGATTTGAAACCTTAGGCTATGTGTAAAATTCCGGTGTCGGACATGGGAAAGGCCGAGGGTTCCGAGACCCTGCGCTGAGGGAATCTGGGCTGGTCGGCTTATTCACCGTGGACTAAGAACACCAAAGAATGAACCCCGCAGGGCTCCGTTGGGGACACGGTGTGACCGGGTGCGACTGCCGAGGATGCACTCGAAGTAAAATGGCATACCTATAGAGAAGCAGAGGCATTGAAAAGGACGAAGGACCAGGATGCAAGAGACGAACAGAATTAACCAATCCATGAATTGGATACCTTAGATGCAGTTCGAGTTTGGTGCAAAGGTTGAAGCGGCAATTATGTCATTTCCCCTCGTTCCGAAAGCTACCCGCTTAGGAAGGTGGGGGGTTGTTTTTTTCGCGGTAATCTTGTATCTGTACCACTGATCACACACAAAAATGTATGGCCATTGAAGTACTAATACCGGATCGAGGTGGCCTCGGTAATGATGCAGTCACGTCAACATCATCCGCTTATTATCTTTCCATCACCCGCCTCTTCCTTTCTTTTCTTCTTCCTCAGATACTCAACCTACTTCGATTTTTTTAAAAAAGAATCAAACCTACAACCGTCATAATGGTCAAGGCTGGTGAGTGCACATTATTGGACGACAATATCACGAGCTCCCCGCCCGTGGCAAGGACCTTGGGGTGAGCACATTTGAGCACCTTGGGATCCTCTGCCTCGGGCCTATCGGCTGTCTTCCTCTTCCCCCCCAGCTCTCCACTGGCGTTCTCGAGCTACGATCTCCAGGGCACTCAGGCACTCAGCATTGTCTGGAAGAGCTCATTTGCTATTGATGCCCTGATGGCGCTGCTCGGAGCTCCCCTTGACTCAGATCTTCTCGGGAAGCTAGAGCGGAGACGGGAGGGGCGACGGGTGACCCTCCCACCCGTCTTCTGGAAGCATAGAAGAAACAAGCAATTACGAACTATGAACCATGAACCATGAACTAACAATGAACCAGTTGCTGTCCTCCGCGGAGACGCGAAGATCGCTGGTACCGTCACCTTCGAGCAGGCTGCCGAGAACAGCCCCACCACCATCTCCTGGAACATCACCGGCCACGACGCCAACGCCGAGCGTGCCTTCCACGTCCACCAGTTCGGTGACAACACCAACGGTTGCACCTCTGCCGGCCCCCACTGTATGTCCTACACAGTGTGTAACTATTTCCCGAGATATATACTAATCTTCCACAGTCAACCCCTTCGGCAAGACCCACGGTGCTCCCACTGACTCCGAGCGCCACGTCGGTGACCTGGGCAACTTCAAGACCGATGCCGAGGGCAACGCTACCGGCTCCATGCAGGACAAGCTCGTCAAGCTGATCGGTGCCGAGAGCGTTCTGGGCCGTACTCTGGTCGTTCACGCCGGTACTGATGACCTCGGCAAGGGTGGTAGCGAGGAGTCCAAGAAGACCGGAAACGCTGGTGCCCGTCCCGCCTGCGGTAAGTTGATCCATTTTATAGCTCTACTGTTGTTGAAGTACTGACGTTGCTTAGGTGTCATTGGTATTTCTGCTTAAATGTCCAATTTACGCCTGTAGTTGGGTCTTGTTATCCCCATCTTTCAAGATGAAAAGTTCAGGGTAGTCCCTGACTAGGATGAATGAATGTCAAATTGCTCTCACTTGCTCTCACCCCATATCCCTGTAAAGCTACAACGTAAACACTCGACGCCGTGCTCGTGATGGCGTGGCCCGTACGGATAGCTAGCGCCCAGACCGCTTTCCCCACAAACACCGGCCACGTTTCGACTCCGAACCCCTTCTTATCGCCGTCCTTCTTTCCTCTTTCTTTTTTCCATCGTTTTTTCTTCTTCTGTGCTACCAGTGGTGGCCAGTGCCTGTTTATCCATCTAGCATGCCTTTCGAAGCCCGCGTCAAGTCCGTCCTGTCAGGCGACACGGTCGTTCTGTCGCATGTCACCAACCCCTCACAAGAACGCATCCTGAGTCTGGCCTATGTGTCCGCACCAAGATTAAGGAGAGAGGGCGACGAGGTGAGTGATTTTTCCTTGCCAATTGGCTTGTTCGGCAGACCTTTCACGGCTTTTCTGTGAACTTTGATGCTCTGCCGAGCTGTTGAGCTATTCGGATGAAAAGTGAACTAATTCAGACGAATTGTTACAGGCCTACGGCTTCCACTCGCGTGAATTCCTTCGTGAGCTCCTTGTCGGCAAGGTTATCCAGTTCCAGGTTGTCTACACCATCCCCACCGGCGCCAAGCGCGAGTACGGTATCATCAAGCTGCCCGGATTCGACGCTCAGCTGCCCGACATCAGTGTTCAGGAGGGATGGACCCGTGTTCGTGAAGAGGCTGGCAAGCGATCGGATGATTCCGAGGAGACTTTGGCTTTGTTGGAGCGGTTGCGGGCTCTCGAGTCGCTCGCTCAGAGTGAGGGCAAGGGCGTCTGGTCCAGCAAGGACAATGGTCAAATTGAGACCACTTATGAATTGTCCAATGGACAGAATTTGGTGGACGAGTACCGCGGCAAGCAGTTGGAGGGTATTGTTGAGAAGGTCCTGAACGGCGACCGAGTTATTCTGCGCCTTCTGCTTTCGCCCCAAGAGCATGTTCAGACTCTGGCTGCCTTGGCTGGTGTGAGAGCGCCCTCCACGAAGCGGACCACTGCCGAGGGCAAGGAGCAGGCTGGTGAGCCTTTTGGCGAGGAGGCCCTGCAGTTTGTTGAGTCTCGTCTGCAGCAGCGCAAGGTCAAGGTCTCCCTGGTCGGTGTCACTCCGCAGGGCCAGCTGGTTGCTACTCTGCTGCACCCTATGGGCAACATTTCTCGATTCCTCCTTGAGGCTGGTCTGGCCCGCTGCCAGGATCACCACTCCACCATGCTTGGTGGTGACATGGCCTCGCTCCGTCAGGCAGAGCTCGGTGCTAAGGCTGCCCGCAAGGGTGTCTTCACCGGACACGTGGCTCCCAAGGCCAGCGGTGCCGCCGCCCTCGACTGCACTGTCACCCGTGTGTTGAATGCCGATACCATTTTCATCCGCAACAAGGCTGGGCAGGAGAAGAAGATTAGCCTTACCAGCATCCGTCAACCCAAGCCGTCTGACCCTAAGCAATCTCCGTTCGCTGCGGATGCCAAGGAGTACCTGCGCAAGCGTGTCATTGGCAAGGCTGTCAAGATCACTGTGGACGGCAAGAAGCCTGCTAATGAGGGCTTCGAGGAGCGTGAGGTTGCTACTGTGATGCAGGGCAACGTCAATGTCGGTCTGGCTTTGGTCGAAGCCGGCTATGCGTCGGTGATCCGCCACCGGATGGACGATAATGACCGTGCTCCCTACTACGATGAACTGTTGGCTGCCGAGGCTGAGGCGCAAAAGGAGACCAAGGGAATGTGGTCACCCAAGGCCCCCAAGAGCAAGCAGATTGTGGACTACTCCGAGAGTGTTCAAAAGGCCAAGCTTGAAGTTGGCATCCTGCAACGGTCAAAGCGCATTCCCGCCGTGGTCGACTTTGTCAAGTCTGGCTCTCGTTTCACCGTCATTGTGCCCCGTGAGAACGCCAAGTTGACCCTTGTACTTTCGGGCATCCGTGCCCCTCGATCTGCCCGCGGGCCGGGCGAGGTTGGTGAGCCATTTGGCCAGGAGGCCCACGATTTGGCCAACCGCCGCTGCATGCAGCGTGACGTTGAGATCGATGTTGAGACTATCGACAAGGTCGGTGGCTTCATTGGAACTCTGTACATCAACAAGGAGAACTTCACCAAGGTCCTATTGGAGGAGGGCTTCGCTACCGTGCACGCATACTCGGCTGAGCAGTCTGGCCACGCCAACGAGTACTTCGCGGCTGAGGAGCGGGCCAAGGAGGCCCGTAAGGGTCTCTGGCACGACTGGGACCCCAGCAAGGAGGCCGCCGAAGCTGAGGAGTCTGAGGCTGCCAACGCCACCGGCAATGAGAGTGATGCTGCGGGCCAGCGCCGCAAGGATTACCGTGACGTGACCGTCACCCACGTCGACCCGGCCACTGGAAAGCTGAAGCTCCAGCAGATCGGCACCGGAACCAGCGCCCTGACAGAGCTGATGAACGCCTTCCGATCCTTCCACCTGAACAAGGCCAACGACACCCCTCTGCCCGGTCCTCCCAAGGCAGGCGAGTGGGTAGCTGCCCAGTTTAGCGAGGATGGCGACTGGTACCGCGCCAAGGTTCGCCGCAACGACCGCGAGAAGGAGCAGGCTGAGGTGGTGTACATCGACTTTGGCAACTCCGAGACTCTGCCATGGAGCAGCCTGCGGCCTCTCACCCAGTCCCAGTTCTCTAGCCAGGCTCTACGCCCGCAGGCAGTCGACGCCGCCCTCTCCTTCCTCCAATTCCCCGCTTCTCCCGACTACCTTGAAGATGCTATCGCTTTCGTGAGTGACCAGACCTTCGACCGCCAGCTGGTGGCGAACGTCGACTACGTTGACCCCGAGGGCACTCTCTACGTCACGCTCCTGGATCCCGCCAACTCCAAGAGCCTTGACCAGAGTATCAACGCCGACATTGTCCACGAGGGCATGGCGATGGTTCCCCGCAAGCTGAAGGCGTGGGAGCATGCTTGCGCCGATACTCTGAGCAACCTGCGCGAGCTCGAGGACGAGGCCAAGTCCGAGCGCCGCGGTATGTGGGAGTACGGTGACCTGACCGAGGACTAAATCTGAAGCTGGAAACTTATCTGTAACTATTTTGAAAAGTATGGGATGGGGTGGCAACATTCTGTACAAAATTTGGGATCGACCTGAGCCGAAAATACCATGTGCCATGGCACTAAGCACAATGCCATTTTAATTTGCTCTTTACCTATATTGTTCCCCCGTCGATCTCAGGGATCCACGTAGTAAATGGGGTTGCCCCTGCAGTTCATGGGCGATCGCGGATAGTCCTCACCAATTAACTTTAGTTCGTATCTGATCCAGGCAGGGGGGGGAAGTAGATCTGATCTAATTATGTACTTGTCAGTGCATGCAGAGCTATAGTTAAAGAATTAACAACTAAGTCTACCACAATGGTACAGGGGGTCTGAACCGTTTGCCTCGGACTCCGAATTCTGGTTCGGGCGCAGGCTCTCAGGGTCTCCGGGACCAGATTTCAGCTGACCGCCTCTTTTCCCCGACGTCGCCGCCACCACCAACCTTCTTGGGGCCGATTTCATACAAACCACAAAAAGACACAGAACAATGCTCTGGCGTACAAAGTCCCATCACAGCCAGGCGTCCGAGCAGGACGCCTCGATCGCGCGCACCGCGTCTGCGTCCAAGAACGACCCGTCCGCTTCCGCTGACCAAGCCTCCGGCACGGCATGGCTCGCTGGACATTTGCACCACCTGACGCCGGAGCAGCAGGAGAAGCTGGACGAATTCAAGGCCGTCTGTGCTGAGCGCGGGTACTATACTCCGGCTGTGGAACAGGATGGGGAGACCAAGCCGCCCAGCCATGGCGATGCGACCATGCTGTATGTTGCACGGCCCTGCGATTCATACCCAGGTCTGGGGACTAAAGGGCTAACCTTTATGTAGACGCTTTCTGAGAGCTCGCAGATTTGATGTCGAAGGTGCTTGGGCCCAGTTCAAGGATACAGAGGACTGGCGCAAGGAGAACGCTATCGAGGCGTTGTATGAGAATATCAGCGTGGACTCGTACGAGGCTGCTCGTCGGATGGTGGGTGCTTCATCGTTGTTGAGATGGCAGCGAACCGTAGACTGACTTGTCGTGTTTATACAGTATCCCCAGTGGACCGGCCGCCGTGACCGCCGCGGTATCCCGGTCTACGTCTTCGAGATTCGCCACCTCGACTCCAAGGGAATGGCCGCTTACAACAGTACTCTGGCCGCCGGCACTCCCGAAACTCACAAGTCATCTACCGTCCCAGCTCGTCTGCTGAACCTGTTCGCCCTTTATGAAAACCTGCTGAACTTCGTTATGCCGCTGTGCTCGTCGCTGTCGCGGCCTAACCCGGAGACGCCCATCGTGACCTCCACCAATATCGTTGATGTGAGCGGCGTTGGCCTGAAGCAGTTCTGGAACCTGAAGGGCCATATGCAGGATGCTAGTGTGTTGGCGACGGCTCACTACCCCGAGACGTTGGATCGCATTTTCGTACGTCGTCCCGATATGTTTATCTCTAGCACGTTACTAACTGTCACGTCAGATCATTGGTGCTCCGGGATTCTTCCCTACCGTGTGGGGCTGGATCAAGCGCTGGTTCGACCCAGGCACCACCTCGAAGATTTTCATCCTCTCCGCGGCCGAGGTCAAGCCTACCCTCACCTCCTTCATGGATCCCAGCAGTATCCCCAAGCAATACGGCGGCGAACTCGACTGGCAGTGGGGCGATTTGCCCAACCTGGACGAGGCCGCTCAAGAAAAGCTCCAAGGCATCGAACAGCCCCCGGCTGAGGGCAAGACCAAGAAGGAAATGATAAAGGGCCCTCTGCTGTTCAAGGGTGACACGATCGAAGTGCTGGGCACCGAAAACGGCACGGAGCGGCGGAAGACTATCCCGGTACCTAATACTGAGCTGTCCGGCACTGATGAGTCAAACGAGACGATCGACGTCGCGTCGGATCCCGCCCCCACAGAGAACGAGAAGATGGGCATTGATGCGGTGAACGTCAACCAGATATCAGGCGACGAGGCCCAGACCACGACCGCTGCGGCATAGACGCGCATAGAATACCGCAACGGGCGTGGCGTGGGCGAGTGCGGGTCGCTCAACCGAGGCACCCGATCGTATCTGATAAGAGCGAATGCGTCTGCCTGGGTGAGTGTCGAGGTTCATGATTGGGATGTTTTTCTTTTTCGGCATTGCATGTGCATTTGCATAGACGAGGGTTTTGGCCCGACGGTTTTGTGTCTTGTGTTTGGTTTACACTTCTTTCGATTCGGCTTTCTGAGGCCATTTGATGACTCGTTCTTCTCTTCATTTATTCATTTTTTCATATCTTTCTATCCAGCGATGAGATATGATCTCGGGTTTGTGCTCATCCTCGGTGGATTTGGGAATCTTGGTTAATATGTATTCCCACCGGTTGGTAAGAGGATTTGGTAATAGACCATGAAAATACGCCTTTCTTTTTACACTGTTGCCTTCCACGGTTGTTCGGTAGTTGACGACGATCTCTCTAATGACTTTCACTCTCGGTGACTCATTCGTATGCACCTGCGGATTTCATGATTACTCGATCATGTTTACTTCTTCACATGAGCCCGGGTCAGGATTGTATGTCCGACGCTACGGAGATGGCGTACCAAACATTGGACCGATCCACCTCACCCACGTAGCCCACTTGGGCACCGGATTCACGTTTCATCATTGAACATGGCATGCTTTATGTATCTCGATGTATCTTTACCGATGGCAAGTCATGTAGTTCTACGGATTCCGTATACTCGGGACGCGGTCCAATCAGAACCGTGGAATGGCCAATGGCTGCAGTCACCTGACCGAGTCAGGGGCGAACCCTTACATGCAGGTCGGGCATTTGTACGACGTATAACCTCCGTATACTTCTACTTCTACTTCTATCGAGTCGCGAGTCGCGAGTCTCGTCGATTCGAGCAGGATTCCGGGGTAATCATGCGCGGTTAAATCATGGTGCCATCATGTCGTGTGTACTAGGCCCGAGTGTGCCCGACTAGAACAGATCGAGAGAACGGGGAACCACTCGGAGGCCATTCAGGGACATGTCAGGCAACCCCGTTAAGCCCAAGCGGGCGCTACATATCGGGAAGCGTTTGCGAAGATGATGGGGAACTCCGCGTCAGATGCGATCGACGTCATGTTCAAACGGCCAAAAAGAGGCAAAAGCCTCCGAGGTTCCCAATTTTGCGGAGGCTGTGGGTTCACATGCGCCGAGACGCTGCCGAACTGGAGCCAGTGATCGACAAGCGCCAAATGGATTTAAATCCACCCGGACCCCAGACTTTGATCCGCGAGAATTGGATCCTCTGTCAATATGGAACGCAACCCTAAGAACTCGATGAAGTCCACCTGGCGGCGTCAAGCCCGCTCGGAGTGGACGCTTTTCCACTGGTTCTATGAACTACTCGGCATCCACCCCGAAAACCTCGACCAGCCCGTTCCCACCCACTTGAAGGAAGACGCGGTCCCCTACGTGCCTGACTGGTCGATGCATCGCTGGGTCCTCACCCACGCGGTGATCCCCCTGCTCGTGCACCATGCCTACGTCCAATACACCGGCCACAACCTTGGCCGATTGGGCGCATTCATTCTCTACAGCATGGCCTTCAAAGCAATCGCCATCCACGAACTCCACGTGCTCCGACGCTTGGGCCACGTCCACGGCTTCCTCGACGGAGACAAGCACGAGCGTGACGGCGTCCCAGACGTCGGCGTCGGCAAAGTCTTCCGCTCTTTGATTTCAACCTCAACCTTCCGACCAATGTTCACCGTGTTCCTCGCCTACCGCGTCGCCGAAACGCCCGCCTCAATGAGCTTCGCCTGGCTACCGCTGGAAATCGGCCTGTACGGCATCATCCTCGACTTCTGGTTCTACTGGTACCACCGCCTGATGCACGACGTGGACGGCCTCTGGAAATACCACCGCACTCACCACCTCACCAAGCACCCGAACCCGCTCCTGACGCTGTACGCCGACCTGGAGCAGGAGTTCTTCGACATCGCCGGCGTCCCGCTGATGACCTGGTTCACGATGCGCTTCATGGGCATGCCGATGGGCTTCTACGAGTGGTGGATCTGCCACCAGTACGTCGTCTTCGCCGAGTTGGCCGGCCACAGCGGCCTGCGCGTTCACGCAACCCCGCCTTCAACACTGAGCTGGGCGCTGCGGATGTTCAACGCGGAGCTCGTGATCGAGGACCACGATTTGCACCACCGCAAGGGCTGGAAGAAGAGCCACAACTACGGCAAGCAGACTCGTCTCTGGGACCGCATTTTCGGCACTTGCTGTGATCGCATCGAGTCGGTCGAGAATAACGTTGACTATGCCAATCCATCAACCATGCCTCTTTACTGAGGTGGGATGATGTTGCTTGTGAGGATATGTATATATGATTTTTGGGAGATAAACGGAGCGTTTGATTTGCTTTCACTCTTTTCAAGAATGTAAGTATATGACTTTTTGATACCATGCTATATTTATGCGAATACCAACGATTGAACGAGTCAAATTTGCATCTGCTCTTTTGTAGTGCCTGTACTCACTTGTGCAGGCAGCAACCCTTGTAGTGATTGATTGCATCCGATTTGACGCTCGGGCGAGGTGATGATCGTGCAGTGATGTCAAGGTCTGAACCTTGCTCAGGCGAACTAAAATGTCCAAACCCTGTTACCCGCTTGGGCTTTGGAAGAGGCAAAGTAAACTAGATTCACAAACTGAAAGCAAGGTGTTACCATCAAGTTGCAGGGCTTGGACGGAATAGAACATTGGAAGGGGTGGGTTTAATTCCAGTATACGACTTTGTGGCTGCTATTTATCTTTTCTCTCTCTCATCTTTTGTAAACATTTGCATTAAATATATCGATGATTCAATATTCGAACTATTGGAACCTCAAAAACCACCATCAATCTTCTAATGAGAAGGCCCAGGAACCCCAGTCTGCTGCTGCTCCACGAGATTCTCCAACTGAGCAACCGAATCCTGAACTTCCTTCTCACTAGGCACATTGACGATCAGAAGATACAACACATCCTGGTGCAGGACCTTTTTGATAATACCCTGGCGCTTCGTTTTGTTCCGTCTGTCTCTCCTTGGGCCCCGGGGATGTTGGCCCCGAGCGACGCGCCTGATATCTCTGTACTCGCGCCTCATAGACCGCCTCCCCTGCCTTCTAGCCCGATTGGCTTCACGTCTAGGGACCGGATTGATCGCTCCGCCGGTAATGAGTGAGATCAGAGAGCCGCTGTTGACGGCGTGGTTGGGATCGTTGTATCGTGATTGGAAGGGTTCTCTTTGGTTGGCAGGGACGACGAGGGATGACCCGGGGTGTTGAGCTTCCTAGAAAATGGTTAGGAGGACATGAAATGAAACGACAAAAGGGGATTCAGCCTACGTAGAAAGCCTGAGCTCTCCTGTCCATGTAATCCTGGACCCAAACACCAGCATCCTTGAACTTATCACGAACTCCCGAGCCCTCGGGTCTCTTTTCATTGGACTTGACTCCAAGCTCTTGAGCAGCAACGTGATCAAGATCAGGGAATACCAACTCCGCTGACTCAGGAAGCTCAACTTCGCTATAGGTCTTACCGCTTGTCAGTCGGAGATTCTTCAGCTGCTTGTTCATCATTGACATATTCGGATCCGGATTGCTGTATTTGGCAACCGTCTCGTTGATATCAAGCTCTTTGCTTGCGAACAGAGTCTGTCCAAGGGTATTGGACAGTTTTCCCAGGAGACCCTTTTGTTGACCGGGCACTTGGTCTTTGAAGCACATCACCATGGCGAAGAGACCGCGCGGCATCAGCAGGTCCTGATTAACCCGATCGAGGAAAGTATTACGACGATGACGCGATTGGAGTTCACGAGCGGTACCAGCGACAACCTGAACGACGACACTGACCACTTGGGCAGCTGCTTCGGGGACGAAGCCGACAACACCGGCGGCGACGAAGACCACGTCGATCCATGGATCCGCCTGTATAAAGTTAGAACAAATTTACATACCCGAGGCCCTGCAGTATATCAAAGAAAGGCTCCAACACACCTTGCTCGATTTCTCCCAGTCGGCCAAGAAGCGCAAGAACACATCTTGACTAATACCACAATCTGCAAGGACTGGAGCATACGCCCTCACGAACCCACGATCTTTCTTTCCAGGCCGACGCTGCGGAATAATAACAGGGCATGGAATCTGTCGCAAAGGTTGAGGCGCAGGCCCTGCCATGCGAACCAGTCGCTGGATCATCTCATCCTCTTTGGCCTTGATATCGGTCCCGGAAGGCGACGCCGTAGCCTCCTCATACGAGGGCGGATTCACACGCTCGGCCATTTCATCAAGCTCCCAAGCCGCCTCATCGCGGTTGGCAAGGTCGTCCTCCGAGTCACTGTCGGAGTCATAGTCGACTTTGCGCACGCGCAGTACTTCTTTTCCATCTTTGACCACCCGCTCGGCCTCGCCGATGTTCACCAGCTTCTCCGCTTCGAGTTTGTCGGTGATTTCGAGATACTCATACTCGATTTCCTGGCTCTCAGATGCAGGTACCTCTCTGGATGCGGAAGAGGATGGTTCACCGGATTGACTAGATCCAGATCGTGAGCGGTGGATCATCTCCGACCCGGCTCCAATGCCTGCACTGAGGAGCTTGGAAATGATGCCCTGTTTTCCGCGAGGCATTTTGGCTCTTTGATTGATTGAATCCTGGTTCAGAAGTAACGATTACCTGAATTTAAGCAAAGGAGGGGCTGTCAGATTCAAAGTAATTTTAGCTTTCGGCACTGCCTCGACTGAGCTGACGACACCACCCCACGTTATCTTCAGCTCGAGCCACTTTCGGCCCGTCGGGGATCAGAGTTTCTAGAGCTTCGGCCCTGCTAAGCATCGCTAGATAAGGATAGTCTTCAAATTATTTCCAACTATAGATTACACCCTTAATATAAAATGAAAACAGGTATATGCATCGGATCTCTAACTGCTTAGGCCTTCCACAACATGTTGACTTGCTTCTTACGAGCCTGGAGACCGAGTTAGTAAATTAATCAGATCACATCAGAGGCGAAGAAAACTTACCATTGGCGCCAAAAACGAGACTCCGACGGCCAATGCCACCACGGTCAACACCAGCTGCAATTTAGAGAAGCTCTTGCCGAGAACGTCGAATGCCTGGCTAGGCGTGGCACGGGTGCCGAAGACATCGCCGCCAAAGGCGAAGATGAGACTGGTACTCTCCAGGAGCGTAGGTTGAGAGAGCACCGTCTTGATATCTGCGACATCGCGGGAGTGCGAGAGGTACCACCTGCCGTCAAAGTCGAGGAACGGTGCGTAGCGGAACAGACCCTCTTCCGCCTCAGCGGAGGTGGGGTCCCGACCGACGGGGCGACGAGGGTCCAGAACCGGACGAGGGATACCGACGATGGAGTTGGAGGATGGAAGGGTGCAAAGGAGCTGACGAGTAGTGATGCCCTGACGGGTCTGGGTGACGGCCATGTGGGAGATAGGTTCGGCGATCACGAAGGACTGTGAGACAACGTGAGGCAGCGGAAGGCTGTCACCATGAATACTTGAGTAGTTTCCAGCAGAGCCGAGAGGGCCACGGTCATTGGGAATGTCGGACTCATAGAGTTCGGAGACGACAAGCTGGTAGCCCTTGGCAGCGGATTCGTCGTTGGAATCGGCGTAGAACGAGTAGGCGAACCAGTTCTCGGAAATGGTGGACGCAATGGGTTGGTTCGCATCCACGCCAATTTGGATAGATTCGTGCAGGACCTTGCCCGACACACCATCCAAAAGGTAGAAGCCGGCAGTGTGGCCCTTGGGATCCACCGCGGTCACCAACGCCAGATTAGAGTTGAGATACTTGTAAAGAACAGAACGATTTCCGAGAACCTTTCCGATCGACGCCACTGGGTCGTGCGCAGGACGAGCGACGGCCTGAATGACCTTTTGACCAGAAGGAGGAACAAACTCCCAAACGGGTACTTTGTTATCACTCTTAGCCCAGCCGAGAACACGGCCATCTGCGCTGGTGGTCACCAAGAATCCAGTGCTATCGTCAAATGAAGAAGCGGGAGTGCCATCCGCCTGGATGGCCAGGACCTGGTTCTCAACGGTGGCAATCGACTGAATGTTAATATCCTTTGGGGCAGAGCGTGACTTGATAGCCCCCGTGGAGACGTCGAGTGTGATCGAGCTTCCATCACTGGGGTAAATGGTCGCCTCGCCAAGTTCGATCAAAATAGCCTTGACATTCCAGGAGGAGGTTTCGACAGCCTGGACACTCCAGATAACAGCACCCTGCTTACCGGTGTCCAGAGCATAAACACGACCCTTCCGGGTAGCGACGATCACAGGCTTGGCGACTCCGAAGCTGTCCAGATTGGTCACCTCGTCGCCCAAAATACTGCCAAGGATACGCTTAGGAAGCTCCTTGAGCCAGTCCGGCAGGTGTTGGAGGTCCCGCACGTGGCGCTTTACCCGATGGATGTATGCCCCGTGCAAGCTGTCGTGGCCCTCAATCTCCAGCTCATGTGCCAGGTCTTCCTGAGCATCGCTGTCAACAAACGCGGCCGCCACAGCATCAACTAGGGCCTCTGGGCGATTCCACTCGATTTGGCCATTTCTAATGAGCTCCCAATCGCCAGACTGGCGCAGAATGGCAGAACGCACTGCGATGGAAGAGCCCTTGGCGACAACTTCCGCGACGGCACCCGAGGCGCGTTCAGAAGATGGCGACTCGAGGTTCCACCGTCCCAGGATGCCATGAGATGCGGAAGAAACCACAATTGCCTCCGAGTCCGTAATGCGAGTAAAGTAAACATTGGCGTCAATGCTGCTGGTCGCCACTACGGACTCTCCAGACACGAAGGGCAGCTGGTAGGCCTTGGTCACAGTGGCAGACTTCAAGTCCACATGGTAAACCTCAGCCCACGATCCAGCATTTGTGCGGTACAGGACCAAAAAGTGGGAAAGAGCGTTGAGTTTATGAGGGGCGTGGACCGTGATCTGCTGGATCTCCTGACCCGAGGTGTTGTCAATGGAGACAGTGTTGACCTGTTTGGAGCCAATGACATTAACCTTGAGCGACTTCTGCGACTTGTCTGCCCAGACAATCAAGGGCGATGCGGTGTTGGCGCCCACAAAAAGGACGGATTCCGGGCCAGTGACGTCGGCGTCCGAGCTCAAAGTGTGTTGCCTAGTCTGGCGACCAGTCAATGAATCCAGCGAGGTAACCTTGATCTTATAACCCTTCAACATTGCGGACTGGAGCGAGATGTAGAAGACCTCAGTGGGAGAAGATGACACCTGGAACGGAGTATCGCCGCTGCAACCATGATTAGCCGTGTTGTAACCCTTACCTGCACGAATCTTACCCATCATCCTTGTATTCCCACTTCGTCTTTCCGGTATCACCGTCCAAACGTCTCACAACACCAGCACCATTGCTAACGAGCGCAAGAGTATCGCGGCCGCTGGCAGTCGCACTGGCATCTTCCAATTCCAGAAGCTCAAGATCCGCGACCGAACCCTCAGCAATCTTGTTTTCCCAGACCAGCTTCCCATCCTGAGCGCCCCATGACGAGATGTAGTCTCCTGCCGCTCCCACAACAGCGTTGTTTCCGTCGAGGCCACGCAGAATGCCCGCTCCGCCTGTCGGCCCCGAGGCCGACCGCGAGAGGTCATGGCGCCAGACTAACGTGCCATCACGGGGGTTGACGGCTCCCAGAATCGACTTGTCGGAGACGGTGTAGAGGAGGGATGCATTGGAGGAGGTGGAGGGCTTGAGGAAGAAAGTCGAATCGGGGGAGGGGGCGCCGAGCAACGCGTGGTGGAAATCAATGTGATTGACCTCATCGGTGTAGATGGCCGCTGCGGGCGACACGCACGCAGCGAAAAAAAGCGCCGCTTGGAGCCGCATGGTGCTATGAGATGAGCATTGACTGAAGAGGTGTTGTTAGCTTCGTAGGTGCGGACCCGCGGGCGGTGATGGAGATCTCTCCCCGGACCGATATCACTTGACTCTCCCACGACTCACTCTACACATCTCTTTTTCAATATTTTTCTACATTGCCACAAATTTTAAAGGGTATTCTCAGCTGATAGAGAGTAAATACGTTATTTTGGCAATACTTTCGAAGCCTCTTGAAGATGAGAACATTCCTTTTTGGCTTCTAAATCATCAGCTTTCAGCAATTGCATCCACCTCAATCTCAACAAGCATATCATCATCGACAAAGCCATTGGCGACCACAATCATCGTCGCAGCTGCGCCGATTTGCTCTCCATTATCTTTACCCAGGACGTCCTTGAACCCTTGGCCAACGGCAGCACAGTCTTCTTTCCTGCTCACATACAACTTGCATCGCACTATGCTCTCAGCGCCCCGGCCGCCAACAGCTTGGATAGCTTGGATGATTTCCTGCAGAATCACACGCGTCTGTTGTAGAGCATCACCGGGGAACCGAACTCGGGGGGCTTCCGGGGAAGAATCCGGATCTGCTGCAGTCGACCCGGCCACGTAGATCTGGCCGCCATGGCGCACTGCTCGATAGTATCCGACCCGGGCCTCCCAAGGAGAGGAAGTGCTGAAGAATTGCTTTTTGGTCGTCATGGTTCTAGACACTCTATAGTAAGTTTCTCAGTTCAATTGGCGGCTGGTTCAGAAATACCTTGAATGGCTGCTCGGTCTATTTATTGTGCTCCGAACCGCCCTTGCTGTCGAGTTGAAAAACGATGCCGCCCAATCTGTGCCACACGGCTACGATAACCCCTTTTATGCCTCCCGTGTCAGCCCCGCTGGGTAACTCCGTGCTTGCGGGAGGCTTACGTTTTCCAAAATGAGTCATAAATCCAGACTGGCTCGGTCGTTTGTTGGATCTATTTGTAGAAGCATAGTTCATAGCCATCATTTTCTCCGGTCCTGGCCTTTGTTATGGATATAATACTAATACATGAGGGTCCTTAGACTGCCCGATGGGAGCTATGAGTATTCGTGGCCTATTGAAATTCAAGCAGCTCAGTGTCTCCTCTTTCACTTGCAGGAACACGTTGGTATAAATGTTTCAAAGGCCTGAACCGCCGTCGCGTGGCCAACCAACAAACTCCAATCAGGATTGCGACCGATGCACCGAAGATCGGTATGAGCAATGGAAAGCTCTCGGACACATTGTCAGACTCAGCGGTCTTGCCCGGTTCCCCAACAGTCTGCGCAATCTGATGTTCAGAGGTCGTAGTCTCAGCGTCTTGTGTTTCGCCCCAGTGAGAAGGGGTTGCAGTGCGATGTACACTAGTTTTCCCTAAGACGTTGCCATCGTAGTCCACTGGCTCCGCTGAGATCCAGTCGAGAGAACCTTTAGCCGTGAATCTGGTCTCAAATTCTGTCTTTTTGACAGTCCCAAGAAGATAGCGCTGGTGATTCTCTCCTTCCTGAGCGTAGAAATTCCACGATGTGATGTCTGTTGCGCCATTCCAGCTGACATAAATAGTGGTGAGCAAACCACGTTCCCCATCTTCAATGACTGAAGCTATGAGAGCTGGCGATATGTTTGGTCGGCCGACGAACTCAAACTTATATGCCCGATAAGTTAACAATTCAGCGGCAGTAAACCTTGCCTCCATCAAAACATCTCCTTCACGTGAGAATTCAGAATGGTACCCACTATCACTCCAGCCCACGAAGATATTTCCATTGGGAAGTCGCTGAACGTTGCCTCGAAGTCGAGCCAGCTCATTGTCCGGCCGATTGTAACGGGCAATAACCCTTGCTGTTTTCGGCGAAACACCAGTCTCCAGCGCCACAATCAAAGCCGAAGATACGAGCTCTTCGTTCTCCTGGTCGTCGGAAGCATTGTTCAGGAAGGAGATGACGTGATGGGTTCCATTCGACTCCAAGAATTTGGCGTCGTGTTGTTTAGAGAAAGTGAAATCCTGATCGAAGTCGGTCTCATTTCCTCCTAATCGCCACAAAATAGTGCCATCGTTACCGGATATCAGATATATCGTATTCGTGAAACGCATGGAGACCAGGTAGTTGCCATCCACTTGCTTGTCAACTGAATTGATGTGCAAGTAATCGTGCCCGGGGGGTTCCTCCGGCAGTGTATCATTTCCGAAATAGACGGATTCATGAATCGCAATATTCCCCGGTAATGAAGAGTCCCACCAAGTCAGCATATCGCCAGTGGACATATCAACCTCCCAGAATCCAGATGCGATGAAGAAAGACTGTTCTTGAGGGCGCCCGACGTCCGCGAGGCTCATCTCTTTCGTCCAATGCGCGCAGGCTAGAGCTGATTTGCTTCCGGGGAGTATATTGAATTCGTGAATATCGAACTCTTCGAGCGCGTCTGGTCCACTGGTCTCAAACTCGACCTCGTAATTCTGGTTTAGAACCATCGCGCGCCCAGGAGCAGTAGTTCTGTTCTTTGATACAATAAACGACAGGCGTGAACGACCGTCAGTCTCATGAACGGCTTTAAAATCGTAAACCCAAAGGTTGTCGACCATCTGGGAGCCGGTCCAGATCAGAGTCTATTTACGATACTGTCTTAGTTCGCGTTTCACTCTTCAAGCAATATAGAAAGAGGATTTGATAAGAGATAACCTACTCCATTTTGGTCGTATATATGCGGCCCAACATGAAACGGTCGGCGACCTGTTGTCGGGTCTTTGGGGATCATTTTTCCATACGGGGCAACAAACCAATACCCTGCGCCCACGCGCTCGCGGCCATGATATTGGACCTCAAATCTTGGCGCATAGACCTCAGGAAGCTACAAAATCATTAGCGGAGGGTTTCCATCTCGCTGGCGCGGAATATTGACTGACAGTGACAAAGGACATGAATTCATCATTGAGGCGTTCCGCGATAGCACTGGACAAGAGCGCTAGTAACAAAGCCAGAAATTTCATCTTGGGATTAATGGGATAAATGATGCCATCGCTACAGTAACATAGTACAGAAACGGGAAGGATCCGCAACGAGTGCGGGGGTTGAGAAGACAAAGAAGCGGTTGGCAGAACAGAAGGGGACAGCAGCTAAGAAAGAGATTGGGGCTGATTCGGTCTTTGTACAGTAATGTCCGGAATAAATTTGCCCCACTCTTAGACATTGATACCCAAGCTAGGGCTCGAAATACGCTAGTCTAGTTTTAGCCTTCCGGCATCCGGCACTAATTCCTGTCGGATTGTATGGTACTGGAAGACGCGCGCGGCGCGCGCATCGGCCCTGAAACGATGGAAAGAAGAGGATGGTTAGTACAGTAGTATTCGAAATCAGTTATACTTTCACACTTTTGCAACTTGATTCCCGGAAAATAAATCCGACGGTTGTGAGTTCTGATCGGATAGACGATGAAGGCTCCCGCTTTCTAAACTGGTAGATGTATCTTACAATACAGTAGTAAGACACCACTGGATGTATTTTACACGAAAGTGGTATACGCATATACGCATGCTACCTGGGTGCGCTTTAGTATTGATGAGTGATATCAAGGTAAAGTGCACCAATCCTGCGGTGTTTCCATATACCGGTGTGATTGTGGGTTGGGAAAACAGACAGAAAGCAGTTCTAAATAATCGATGCTCTAGAAGATTTCGTGAGTTTTTGTTTTACTTTTGAATGCTCAACTCGAGTCGCAAGAGACCTGCCGTACGTTAATTCCCTGATCCTGCAAACTAGTGAGCTCCTGGTGGCCCGTGGCTGGCACCAAGGTGCTTATGGAGAGTATTGTTGCATCACAATAGTTGGAACGCTCTAGCATAGATCTTAAAAGTGGTGCGACGATCGCCGACTTTTCTGCGTGGCTAGCTGAAGATCTGCACATCGCTTGTTCTCTGCATCAATGTTTCCGACCCTTGTGACGCAACAATAATTTGTTCGAACATCTGATTGGCCACCGACGTAATAGGTCTGCCGTGACTGCCTCTCTTAGATTGAGGGCTACGGTACTTCTGCTATCTCTTTAAGTATCTCTCCTTCTCGCCCCTGTGTAGTCCAATTTTCAAATTCCAGATATCTCGGACTATTACCAGGCTACGTAACTAATATTATCCTAGGAATTTCTCCTTCAAATATAGATTTCATTGTTGAGATAATTGAGAGCCGGCAACTCGCCACCGCTCAAATTGGATTATGTCGTTACTACACTATCCACAATGCAGAAGCTAACCTCGCCTTCAAGATATTCCGCTTTAGACGCCAACAGAGAGAGAAGTGGCGTTTCTGGTCCCATCCATAGAGCCCAGTAATGTATAATAGCGGTCCGGCCACTGTCGATGATATCGAAGACTTGGGCTGGTCTGGCAGGAAGTATTAGACAAAACATTTTTCCTTGCCTGTTTAGCTCTCTATAGGATAATCACAGCCTTCTGAATTATGACTGGCGAGCGACGACGAAGTCCCACCGCCACTGATCGACGCAAAGGTCTCACCACTACTGATCAGCGATACATACGTAAATGAATAAAAAGTGGAATGATAGTATGGTATCTATATAAAGCTACCACTGCCCTGGAGCCATCGTTGTGTTAAGATATCTAATCACAAAATTTCTATCTAATAGTAAAAAGGCAAGCAAGCTCTCTGAACAAACAAGCCATGGGTTGGTTTAGCGGTAGGAATTGCGCACCTTGCACATCTCTTCCTATTGCTGACTGACTGAGTTAGATTCCTCTGACCAAGCGAGTGCCTACGACCAGCTCCTCAACACACCCGATAGAGCTAAACTTCCTGATGAACTCATTGCCGCTGCCGCCTCATATGAAGCGGCGAAAGCGTACGAGAATCATTGTGCAGAAAATGGTAAACTCACCATCCGAGGAATAAAGGCAACAAGAGTAACATGTGCAGGAAAACCTGGATCCCATGCAGAAGCTAAAGAGCTTCTAGGTGCCGTTGCGGGGGCATTCATTGACAGAATTGTTGAGACAAAAGGTAAAACAACACGCATGCCAACAACTTGATAAAGTGTCAGCGGTAGATTATTAGATTTATATTGCAAGACTTGTACCTGATTCTCAATGAGTTGATACTGTGTATATTTTAAAAAAGAGTACTATCTCTAGGTGTTAGTCCGAGTGTCATGCTTATCTTGTACCGTATTGTACCAAAGAAGAACCAGTTGTACCTGTGGCTTCCGCACAGTGCCCGCCCACACGGCGGTACTCTTGCTGGCCTCACCCTACCAAGATCAAAGCAAGAATGGGTCACATGGCCGGTCCGCTCCTAGGGTCTACCAAGCCGCTTATCCGGTACAGGGTAACAGCTGGAATGCAGATATTAGTGCATACGTAAACGCCCCCCACCTCCCGGTGAGGGTGCGCTGCACCGGTAGGCCCATTTTCACTAGTAGGCCCAAATTTTCCATAATCCATCGTTTTTCGTCATAACCAGCCACCACTATGCCTAATCAGCCCAAAATTGCGCTCGTGTAATCGAGGCCTGCGAAGCCGCCTATGCCCAAAAAAAGCCGAATTTGTCGAAGATCGCTCCGGAATATAGTGTTTCGTATTACGTACTGCGAGGACGCGTCCGATGGGGTAAATTAGCTTGCACTGCCTAGAAACTGGTCAATAAGGCTCTTTAAGACTATTAGGAGGAAGCTTTGGCTCACTGGATATGTGATATACGTGACCGCTATCTCCTGAAACAGTGGATTTGGATAGGATTTGTGAAGCCAAAAAGTGATCTAGTTTCAGGAGGTCCAAAATTGGAAGCCTAACCAAATCCCCTCCCGCTATTTTTGTTTGGATTGTTTGCGTTGATTTGGAAAGAATATTTTTGGATGATTCTAGTGCGTGAGTCGCCCATACCCTTCCGAGACATGAGGCAAAGCGTCTCTTGAGTGCGACTCCAGGCGTCTTAACGATATGCAGTCTTCCGCAACTATGTTCTGTTACATATTCATATTTAAAGTGGAACCCATACTAATCAATTTCTGCGATAGAAACATGCCGCTTGCACAAAGAACAATAAAAACTTCAAAATGGCTTGCAAGAAATCATTTGAGCCGATGGGGGCTCTAGCTTCCACGACGGGTTTCCGGAGAATGATGGACATGAGCAAAAAGACAAGCAAGCTCCGAATTGCGAATCCATTCGGAATCCTTCGTCCATGAATTGACTATGATCTCTTTTCCAAGTTTCGCTACTTGCTCAATTTGCTCGGACGTACCCCATCCGGGGGCGATGGTTCCAAAGCTGAGAAGGTGGATTCCGACCTGAAGAATGGTTCTCCAGGCGTGACTTTCTGTCTGCTCTCTCAGTCCCTCGGCGTAACCTTGCACCATCCAAAGCCCCGCATCGATCTGCTTGTATAACCACAGGGCATACATTTCTCCGATCATTTCGCCATGGTCAAAAGCAGGAACTCCGAGGTGAGCCATCTCCCAGTCTACCACAAAAATAGCCGTTTCTTTCTCTCCTTCGAGAGGTGTATCTTCAAGCAAAACACTGTAGAGTAGGGTGAGTCTGGAGCTCAAGTCGATATCACATATACGAATAATTGACTACTTACTTTCCAGTCCAAAAGTCGCCATGAACCGGTACAAGCCCCGGAGACCCGTCCTCCAATTCCTTTTTTGCCATTTCGTTCACCTGGACGAAGATGTCTCGTGCCTCATTTAGGACGTCCGGAAAGTCCTCGATACGCTGTACAAGCCAGTCATAGTTGATCATATAATTCAAATCTCGCATATCCTGGTTAAGCTCCAATGTAGCGAGAAACTTGCGCTCGTTTACCGCCGGTGGCACACCATTGTGAAAGGCCGTGATGTATTGGGCTAGTGCTTTACCCAGAAAATGACATTTCGGTCGCAAATGTTCTGCAGTCGGCGATGAAAAGTTCTTTAGAGCGTACCGTTTCAAATCAATGGCACCAAGAACATATTCCTGTATCTGATTATTGGTTCTTTCGTGGAAGAAATAGCATTGCGGCGTCTTGATAGTGAATTGGAGCTCTCTCTCATGATGCAAAGTGAAGTGGAAAGAAGCAAGCGATCTCAGACACTCAGTCTCCATTTGCTTATTGAAGTCAGCGAATTAGCCAATGAGACTCGTGAGGACACGGTTCCTTACAAGACGGTCAGCGCTAAGTTTGTTTTCCGGTGCCACGGCCATATGGCCCTCGCCGTGTTTGACGATCACATCTCTTGTGCCCTCCTGGAGAGATTTAAATAGTCGCGCTCGGAAAACAAAGTTTGTTGAGCCTCCGGATAGAGCTTCAAGCGAGGAGCATGCATATGGGGTATCTCTAAGCCACAGCAACAGCTCGCGTTGGATTTCAATTGTAGTTTTTGGGTCTGCCATTTTCAAGTTCGCATCAGGACAATTAGAGAGCCTATCTTATGAGCAATTTATACAAGAACCCATAAGCAGCTGCCTGGTCCTACAGGCAAATGGGCCTTCCTAGGCTGAAATATTCCCGTATTGCCTGCCTTTTTTGTCAAGTTCAACAAGATAAGACAAATAGGCACCACTGATAACGTCAAAACGTCCACAAATCCTATGATAGAGAAGAAGTAGAATTCTTGATTCGAGATCGAGTTTGGTAGAGCGGATTTGATTGTTAAAATAAATTAAACAAGGGGTCAAAAATGGTTGTTTATCACGCACATGTCTGAAACACTCGACTAGTAGACCAAGTCTTATTACCAGCGCAAAGGCTATATTCCTTGATCTCCCTCTGATGTCTCGAGTTCACAGAAACCTTGGAATACTCCTTAACCCTATCCGCAACCGGCTTTTTCCAACCACTCCGGAATCTCTCATTGATAACGACATATTCAGCAATGAGTGCCGGCTTTTTGGTCTGGTCCATTTGTAAGTTGATTGGAATCAACTTGGTGCTTCGCATAGACGCGGTACATCTCGAAACTGGTGCCACCCCCTACGCTCTTCAATCGATGTTCCAAATCAATGCCAAGATAGACTAGGATATATTGGGAATTACTCTAACATATCCATGGTAACTGGTGGACGCGTGCTGACGCTCGCTGTAAGCCCTGAAACGACGTGGTAATTGTTGGGGAAAAGTCAGAATTCGTGGCAGTATTGAGCACCAATACATGTATTACGAAGACAAAGTAAAAAAAAATAAGACTGAAAATCCAGGCAACGAGTGTTCTTGCTTGTAGATCACGCGATATATTAATCTATACGACAGGCTTACTCCTGCCCAACATTCCTCAAACATACATTAAAAGATATACCAAGGAATAGGTTCAGCCTCTAACTCCGCAATAGTACCCATAACCGGTGTATAGAATTCCAAACCACAAGGAAATTCCCAACAGGGTCATCAGCGTTTGTTCAGCCTTCGCCGATGAGGACAGCCTTCCATGTGTCACCAGAAGACTAACCATTGGGGTGAGGGCCTCATGCTGTCCTGGCTCATTGCTCGCCTCAAATCTAGACGGCAGTTCGGAGGGGAAACAGCCTGTGCGAAAGAATTCATCTAAAAAGTGATCCTTCTCAGCCCACCGATCTACGAGCCATTTCTCAAAGATATGCTGACTCTGTAATGGGATATCTGCTATCTTAAAGCATCTCCAATGCATGTGGATAGCAGTTGGTGATTTCCCTCCCATGAAAATCGAGCGCATCGTGAAATATATACCAGGGAAGCTTCCTCTTCTAAGATGAGATCGATATTGTTAGCTGTATGCAGTCGAACTGGCTCCATGCCCCTTCAACTTACGGTCGTCCTTCATACGCGATAGTGCAGTCATAAAGCCAAATGACAGAACCTTGTAGCTGTCGCAAACAGAAGAATAGACCTGTCGACCGTGGCAGGATTACATGTTTGAGCGGTCGGATACCTGATTTGGCTCCGTATTCATTGCTGCGCTGTTTTGACGTGGGAGTAAATACTGTTCCTTCTGGGAAAATGAGCAGCCATGCCGGGGACTGACTGTTTCGAATTGCCTTCAGGCGATGTTCCAGCCTTGGCTTGTCGACGGCCCATCTCCGGGCCATGAGTACAAACCCGTAGAATCTCATCGCAATACCAAGGAACGGGACGTATTTGAAAGATTCCTTTAAAACGATGAAGAATCGTCCGTGCATCTGATTCGCGTACGCATACCACCACATGTGAAATTGGTCGACGGATGTTTGGTGGTTCGATATAATGAGAATGCGCGCGGGAAATCTCGTCCTGAATTTCCCAGCTTTCACGTAGAGTTGCCCTCTCATGGTTCGGTCTCCACTCAATTGGATCGGGCATGAAAATGCACACTGCGTAATAGCAATGAGCGTACATCCAAAACATGCTTTTGTCCATGCTATGCACTCGTCATAGTGATAGCTGCTCATCAAGTACAAGGGAGTAACAACAAATTGAAGAAAAACTGTAGCGAAACCACAACACGTAAACCATATTATAAAGAGGAATGCTCGCAATATTCGCATATGGCTTGCAATTTGATCTTGGATCCAATTATTGGTCTTCATAGGTTGGAGAAATGAGATTCGACAGAAGTCAAATAAATTCAGCTGAAAGATGTGTCAAAGGTGTTGCCCAGTATGGTATGGTCGTACTTGGCTTCAAAATACGTCGAAAATTTAAAAGGTAGAATAGTCATTATTTCTCTTCATGATGTAGCGATTGAAAATAGAAAAATTGAGATAAAAGATGGTCATGTGGGAATATTGAACATCTAATGTACTAAATACCTTTCGATCTTTTCTACTGGATAGTGGTGATTGGACATGCTAGTATAATCGCAAAATATGCCAATCTCAGAGTCTATATGCAAGGAGAAGTGTTCGAGTCCCAGGAGCAGTGTATTCAAGGGGTATCTCAATGTAGTCCCAACCTTGCTCTTTAAATTGCCATAGGAATTCCAAAATATAGATTATCTTAATACAAACTGATAAATATTCAAAAACATAAGACATTTGATTCGCATTTCACTGTCGCAAGTAGCTGTTTCATCTTGGATAGCCCGAGACCTATCGGCTGGAAAGACTCAGATACCATTGTAGACCAGTCACCCAACTAAACATCAATAGCCTTTCTGGTATCTGTGAATGCACTGTCTACCTTAGACATATTAGGCGAAAGTGATTCCTGCTGGTCTTTTGGAAGATTCTGTCGTAGAGTATCGTGGAAGGCATTGTTTTCATCCTGGAAGTTACCCACGATTCCTTGCGCCACGTAAGCCACGCCGACCTTGCTTTTCATGGAAGTAGCCTAAATATTTCAATAACATCTATTAGCATCAGAACACCCTGATAGAAAGAAACCAAGTTCATCGCAGGTTACCTTTTCCGACACGGTCCTGAGAACTCCTAACGTCTCTGGCTGCAGCTGGTTATAAGCATCAACCACTTTGCGGGCGTCGGGAGCCGAGAGTGGTCCAGCCTCTCTGAGTTGCAGGTTCGCTTTTTTTGCGGACCTATGTGCGTGGTCGAACTTTTTGGCAACAGTGTAGCCGGTAACCTGGCCGTCACCGTAACTTTGAAGGGCTTGATGCGCTTCCCTCAGGTTACTGGCAAAAATGTTGACTCCAGCGACGGCTTTTTCAGCATCTGCAAGGCAGGTGATTGGTGATGCAGCAATCACAGCGAGGAACGAGTATAAAGAAAGCTTATGAAACAGCATTTTCAGGTCGGTGAAATAGTAATCAAGTAAGGGAAGAGTTGAGATTGAGATTAGGGATAACAGGTAAGATACAGGGTCTCTGTGGCGGACGGGCATAGCTTTAATATTTGTATTAAGGATCTATCTAAAATAAGATAAAGCGTTGGATTGCTAGGGTTTCCTACTTCCGATGTAGAGTATGGAGAGTGGCATTCTTAGGCACATACTCCAGTATTACTTTGATCATCAGACAATGCTCTCGTGGTAGACAAAGAATTTGATCCCCAGCATTTTGGATTGGTAAGAGAGGAGCAGTCTGCTAACGTTGTACATAGAGCCCTTACTGGATGTTGAAAGCCGCTGAGGGTCTTTTCCCCTTGCATCCCGGTAAAAGAATGATAAAAAGAAAGAACCATCAAGTGTAGAGTTACATTTTATCATATGCCTAAAGCAAGGGACTAGCGGTAGATGAAAGCCAAGGCATCATTTAACCTTCTTCAAATAGATGTCACTTATGCCAGTGAGCACTGCTTGGCCGTTTTAAGCTTGAGCAGAAAAGGAGAAGCTTTCTAACAACTTTTGACTATGCAAAAGGCTAATTATCTGGGCTTCTTAGCCCTATCGATAATATTCCACACGATCTATCTTTGTTCAGTCTTTGACATGTACTTCGTCGATCCTGTGGTCAGCGGATCTCAAACTTTCCGGGTTGAAGATCATTTGGGACCTGTGGCCCCCGCAAAACGACTTGTCTTGTTTGTCGGCGACGGCGTCCGAGCCGACAAAACATTCCAGGGCTTGATAAGGAAATCCAAAGAGGCCAATGATACATCGCTTTGGTATGCCGCTCCGTTTGTACGATCACGCATTCTTTCCCATGGGACTTACGGTGTTTCACACACACGCATACCCAGCAAAACCCGTCCGGGCCACATTGCCATTACCGCTGGCGTTTATGAAGACATTTCTGCTCTCACCGCAGAATGGAATCCACTTGCCGGGGAGATCGACACGATCTTCACGCGGAGTCACCGCACATGGATGTGGGGAAGTCCGGATTTAGTGCCCGTTTTGAAGGGCAATTCAGGTCACCAGCGGATATATATGGATACCTACGACGAATCTCTTGAGGACTTTGCAGCCAATGCCACGCAGCTGGATACATGGGTGTTTGACAAAGTCAAAGATATTTTTCACCGTGCCAAGAATGATCGACATTTAGAACTGTCATTGAGGGAAGATAGAAGTATATTTTTTCTCCACCTTCTCGGACCTGACACTACGGGACATGCGTATCGACCATCTTCTCAAGAATATCTGGACAATATCAGACACGTCGACAACGGTGTTCAGGAGATCACCCGACTAGTTGAAGATTTCTTTGGCGACAACCGGACGGCCTTTGTTTTTACATCTGATCATGGCATGAGTGATTGGGGTAGCCACGGTGATGGGAATCCAGATAATACTCGTACTCCGCTGGTGGCATGGGGGGCCGGTATAGCAAAGCCACAGCTCACTAGGAATGCAGGGGCAACTTCAGAGAAGGACTTGCTCTCATCAAGATGGGCACTCGACCACATACAGAGACACGATGTCCAGCAAGCTGACGTGGCGGCCCTAATTACGTTCCTCTTGGGCAGTGAGTTTCCTGTCAGCTCAATCGGACGTGTTCCTTTGCCTTATCTGGATGTGGGCTTGGAACTGAAGGCGCTTGCGGCCTTAATAAATGCAAAAGCTATATTTGAACTGTATCGAGTGAAGGAAGCTCGCAAAAAGGCACAGAAGATCGGATTCTCTCCTCACAGGATGTTCAGCAGTGAAAACTACCGCCCAGAGCAGCAAATCTCAAAAATTCAAGATCTTATATTAGCGGGCAAGTTGGAACAGGCAATTCAGGAGTCTTGGGATGTGTATTTCAGAACAAGAGAAAGCCTCGATTATCTGCAAACCTACGACTGGGCATTTCTTGGAACCATTGTGATAATGGGCTACCTGACATGGATCCTGTTTGTCTTGAACCAAGTCCTTGATACACACCTGCTACGGAATCCCAAGCCATCCAGCAGATCTCGAATTCGAATCTGTATATTCTGTTGCGTTCTACTTGGTTTATTCTCCGTGTTCCGATATGAATATGCGCCCTGGAGGTATTATCTATATGCTGTATTCCCTACTTTCTTTTGCGAGCAGTTATTGGCAAAGCGAATATCTTTCTCCGATGGGATTGCAATGTTGGCGCCCAAAAAGCCAGGTCTTTTGATCAGCGACAGTTTTGGCCTTGGTGCAGCGATTGTGCTCTGTTATTTGGAAGATTTGGTAAGTCGATATTTTCCGTGGATAATTCAAATTAATATTTCTCTAGGTTAGCATCTACTTTGATCGAAAGATGGTAACATACTCATTCTGGATAGCATCCTTTTATCCGATGTTATATGGCTGGTCCTTCTTATGCCGAAATTATCTCATTTCCATTGGATGGGCGCTTTGCTGTGTCCAAATGAGCATTTTTACACTTGCACCTGCCTTGAAAGTTGAGGACACCTACCTCATGTGAGTATCTGCATTTCATTCCAAACTGTCTCTCCTTCTAACAGAGCAGCAGCGTATTAGGTGGCATACTTATATCTCTAACAGGGATTTTGTATCTCTATTATGAGTCCGCCGTAGCCCCTTTTTTCAACTGTGTGCCAAGCAAAAAGAGCTCCCGACTGGCATTAGGTATCCAGGTACATTGTATCCCGAATCGACGAAATTTAATATATCTTAGCTTACAGATTGAGCAGGTCGTGCTGGTGATTTTCGCTTTGCTTGTAGCAAGATCTAGTGCGTTATCACTAAAAGACAAACAGGGTCTGCCTACTGCCAACCAAATTCTGGCTTGGTCTCTTTCAGGTGGGTGCATGAACACCTAAGTTCCATGTCGAGATGGGAAAAAAATAATGACATTGCAAAATTTGAAGCTAACTGTGGACAAGGGGCATCTCTCGCATTTCGACTAGTTCATCGCTTCAATCAAAATGCCTCCGACTTGACTCATCTGATGGCGACCTTTCTGTCCTTTGCGCCCATTTATATTCTGTTAACAACCTCTTATGAGTCTTTGTTCTATCTCTCCCTCTGGATAACGCTATTAATTTGGCTTGGACTGCACTACGCTATACTCCGATATAACCAATCACCCTCATCTAAGCCAGCTAAACACAGAGTCGCCCATGAAGGTATGGTAATTACCAGAAGCATCTGTGCCGAATCAAAGCATGCCCCTCCGACAGTCACTTTTCAGGCCTGCAACGTGCTCGCGGTCTGCTTTCTCCTACATGCAGCCATCTTCAGTGCAGGAAATACATCTTCTCTGTCATCTTTCTCGCTAGAGGGTGTCTGTCGCTTTATCACAACCTTCAGCCCAACAGCTCAAGGGGGACTATTAGGCATCAAACTCTTTATACCGCTTTCTATGGTTCTTGGGATAATCCGCGTTTTGAATAGCTCTACAGGGCTAACTCCCGGAGCATTGTTTACAATGGCCACCTGCCTGTTAGATTTGGTCATATTACGATTTTTCTTAACGCTGAAGAGCACGGGTGGCTGGTTTGTGGTCGGAGTGGGTATCAACCATTTTCTTCTCGCCAATGTATTACTTATAGGGGCCAGTGTACTTGAACTAGCTAGCTTTGTCGGTTAAAGTGAGGTATCAGACTCATAATGTCTGCGAAAAAGAGACGGGTGCTTGAATTGGAAACACCTGGTTATGCAAAGGAATTAACAATTTCATTGCGATTCTTGTGTTACATCTTATGAACTATCGTCTATTATAAAAATTTATTGTCCTACGCATGCACCAGTGTTTGACTTTTGGCATGTATAGTTCCGAAATGAGAACAAACGACACTGTAGACCCTGCGGATGAAGGGATGGAAGGCGGATAGCCTATGGTATTATGGGAAGTCCCAGTATACCCGGTTAGACGTGGAAGTCCAATGCAAGGCTGGAAGGTCTAACTCAAGGAGTGATGTAGGGGGTGGATCAAAATCTGCATACCATTGTAGATCTCTCATGAAGAATGGGGAAAAAAGAGGGAAAAGAGAGCTAAAATTGGCCCTCTCTGCTTTTCCTATATTAGCAATCGTCTCAAGACAAATCTTTACGCGGGCCACGTACAATCCTACATTCTTAATGACCTTAAATATCATTTGGATAATCATTTACTTGGCTGGTTTGATCCAAAGCTCGTTATCGAGCACGTCTTACTCTACTGGAAACCTCTCAATATCAGAGTTAGCGACCGCTACTTCCATGTTCAAAACGCACGACAACGAACAATGTTCCACAAGCACATGTACTGAGGAAGTGATCGAGAACCTACTGTTCAATATATCTATTACTGCATTCCAGCATGCTCGAATTTCCAAAATACCTTCTGAGTGTATTTGGTACTCGGACCTGTGCTCCAAAAGTCCAGATGAGCCACTGGGCTTCAACTTCTCGCTTAGCTGCTCCCGGCATGACTTTGGCTACCACAATCTCAAAAAGCAAAAGCGATTCACTCGTGAAATGAGAAAAAAGATTGATACCGGGCTCCGAGAAGACCTTTATGGCTACTGCAGCCAATTTTCTGGTCGGGACTTTTGGAAAGGAATAGCATGTCGCTTCGTGGCCGACGCCTACTATGTTGCCGCCCGTGTGTTTGGAAACTCTCATATGATGGGAAAACACCGTCATGTTTACGATCTGGTTATAACTGCTTCTGCTGAGAACCTTGTGTCCATTTGAGATGTAGAATAAGAGCCAGTCGCACGATTGCCTTGGAACTTCATTGAGAGATGCCTCAAAGCGTCACTGATGGGGCTTACTGAAGGGAATAGAGCTTTAAATAGTCGCAGATTCAGACTATGGAATTTTCTAGGATATTCCAAGCTACAAATTTGTAACACACCTGAGTAAGTGTCATGAATAAATTGATCCCCATTTTGCACGAATGGCTTTGTATGTATATCAAGTTTGAAATAAACGCCTATCCAATGACGGTATCAACACTGGTTCTTACACTCTGAAGCAGGCTTTGTTAGCCGACCGCACAGCCTCCTTCTCACCCTCGCTCATGGAATCAATGATTTCCCATGGCTTATCACCGAGACCCATGGCACGCTGTCCCTCCGGACTCAGCGACGACCAGTCCATCGCACCCTGGAATCCCATCTCACCAGAGCCACCGGCACCGGGGAAGTCCCAAGGTGGCGAGTAGGAAAGTGCAGCCTGGCGCTGCTTGAGGAGATAATCGACGTTCATGTCGCACAGAGGAGTAGCAGGGATATACATCACGCTGGAGTCACCCTTGCCACAATGTTCCTTGTCAACCGAGTGCAGCGAATCACAGTGCCAGCCGACAAAGTCACCAGGCCCGACCTCCGGCACAGAGACCATGGTAGTCTCCAGATTCATGTGCGGATGAGTAACGGGATTGTATTCCTGGCAGGCTCCTCCAACGGAGCCAGGGAAAGTAGCGTCCAAGTTGGGCTCGAGGGTCTTCACATCAAAGAATGGCCGCAGGATTGTGTATGCAGTACTCTGAATAAGCATGGGGCACACATGTAGTGTGCCCTCGCCGGGTGCAGTGTCGGACATGGATAGCCAACCCTGGAAGAAGCGCAACATCGAGCAGGCGCCTGCGCCGTTGTACAAATCCATCTTGGCAGCCAGACGATGCCGGACATCCCACGGGTCATACTGCTCCCAGTTACCCTCCAAAATCTTGGCATAGACATTGGAGTACTCGGGGTCTTCCCAGCGCTCAAGGGAGCCGCCGTCGATGTGCGGGCCGAGCGTGAACTTGGAGTCACCGGGGTTCCTAATTCGCAAGCGGTCCGAATAGGTGAGTGGGTTGGAGGTAGAAATTCTGGATTTGGGGTCTGACGAGTGCCACAGGCGCTGCAGGAAACGCTGGGCATCAAGCATGTTGGGATGTGCGCGGGCTTCCGCTTGAGACGGAGTCCAATACAGCTCGTAGACAGCAGGAGAATCAGCGGGGAAAGCCTTCACACGCTCTTGATTAGCAGTGACATAGTCACGGATGCGCTGCTTGTAGTCCAAGGCCTGGTCCCGAGGAATGACATTTCGAATTACCACAGTGCCTCGGTGGCGGATCTCCTTCACAGCTGCTTCGGAAATCTTGCCCGACACAACATCGGCGTAGTCCACTGAAGGGATGATCTAATTCATGTCAGCGACTATTTCTTCGGGTGAATGACAGAAGGTATTAGATATCACATACATCACTGCCCTTCGCCTTGATCTTGTCCACTTCCTCTTCCATGGTAGGCAAGAGCCGCTTCCAGCTCTCTCTCAAAGCCTTTTCATTTTTCTCCCAGAATTTCAACTTAAGATCCCGAAAACGTGGGGGAAGAGGCTCTGGCTGGTAGTCCGGTCTCAAACTTGGGAAAACAGACGAGATGTCACCGGCGGCTTTAGTTGTCTGCGCCGCCGTGGACGTTGATGCCGCACGGGCGGCTGTTTTTGATAGAATCCTGGACATTGACATGGTTGATGATTGGGGTGTGAGTTCACTGGAGACTATTTGGGAGAATACACTCGACTTTTTATATTTAAGCGGCCATCGTGGGGTGTACACTGCTGCGGTGTCGGGAGCCTACCGCTTTAAGGAAAGCAGCCGCCGGATGGCGGGTAGCATTCCATTTTAAGTCTATCGTGGCACTTGGTCCGAAATTCACACGCTCTGATTCGCGGACCTGCGTCAGGGAATTGTATACTCCGTGAACATTGTTGGCGGTATGTGAAGCAGACACTGATGGAAGATCATCCCGGTTGCCCGGAGAGAAAAGTATAAGACATGACCTCATCCACATTTCTTCAACAGTCTGGAGTTTACACCAAATACTTGCTGATGATCAAGGTATCCTTTAACAAACCTATATTTGACAGCTTTGACTCCACAATCTGTCCAGCAATCTGTCCATGAGATTTACATTTCAACTGCAGCTATAAGTCGCTTGGTTCACTTGACCCGGTAAAGCGACCACACTGGTCAAGAGAGATATGCAGCTCGTAGACGACTGACTGTTCCACTTGTCTTAGGTGGTCTCGCCCGTCCAGGGATACATATGTACCTAGTCCATTATGGGGTTTTTGGTTCGATCCCTAGCTGCTTACAGCTTCTTGTGTGTTACCCTACAAGTTAATTTAGAATGGGCTATTGTTCAAGTGTCGATCCTGCGGCTACTAATCTCAAGTCGAACCCTCTCTGTTTTGCACCTGTACTTCGGTGCACATGTGCTAATCAACCCTTGCCATGATTTATAATTCATCCGGAGAATTTATGTCAAAGGAAGCAGTGAAGAAACGTTTTCTACCAACTGAAAGCCTATGCATTATAAGTGGCCAGTACTTGCATAGACAGGGCAAACCACAAAGGGCAACTTCTCTCTCGATTGACACATTACATGCAGCTATGGTGAAGTATCGTCCAGAGATGGAAAAACACTTTTCTTGTCGGAACTATTACTGGGAAAATATCACGCCCACTCGTGTCTACCAACTTGTCGAGGAGCGATACGCACTGCCTCTTTGGGAAATCCATCCGAGATGGAGAACTGTGGTGGGGATGAGATCATCCAAACCCGCAATTCGGCTTTCATTACGCCGATTCGGTTTACGCCACAAAATTATTATTTTTTGCTGGAGCCGAGATAGATTAAAGTAAGCACAAGAAGCTCGCCAGAAGAAAGGAGATTCTTCTAATTCGAACCTGCCAAATGACTTTTACAGCCAAGAAGGCTAGAAGTGGGCTTGGGAGAGCTCGGTGATCTAGCCGGGCTCGGGCCACCTTCTTGCGATGAGCACCGATTAAAGATCCCCGCGAGGGGTCCCCCTCTTCTCTAAAGCGGCTACGGTATGCGCTGCAATTGACTCCGAAGTTCCACACGTGGACATAAAAGATCCGTAGGTGTCGCAGGTGTGGCTCTCCATATCTCCACCACTTGTCTGCACACACTATGGCTCTCTCGGTCAACGGACGGTCAGCTATCATTACTGGAGCAGGCTCTGGTATGTCGCACTGTACTATCGGTCGAGATTCGGACAAGAATTCTCACATCTAGCTAGGAATTAACTTCGCCTTTGCGAAGCTGCTGGTGGATAATGGGTGCAACGTCTTGATCGCAGACTTGGCCCTGCGCCCCGAGGCGAAGGTGCTTGTCGACAAACACTCAAGTGGAGCTGCACGAGCCGTATTCCAAGAGACAGATGTGAGAGACTGGTTGCAGCTAGAGCGCATGTTCGAGGTTGCAGAGAGAGAGTTCGGCGAGATCGATATCGTTTGCCCGGGTGCCGGAGTCTACGAACCGGTAAGTTTCTACAGCAAATGGATATGTTACGGAGAAACTCTTTGGAAGCAGGTTGCTGACAGCATATGCGAACAGCACTGGAGCAACTTTTGGCGCCCACCCGGTTCCGCGCCCAGCCAGGATTCGCCCGATGGAGGTCGATATGCTCTGGTCGACATCAACATTACACACCCCATTCGCGTGACACAACTGGCCATTGCGCATTTCCTACGCCACAAAGAAAACGGTCGACCGAAACACATCATTCACATCTCCAGCATCGCTGGGCAGAATGCCGCATTTTCGGCGCCTATCTACGTCGCGACGAAGCACGCTATTAATGGCTTGGTTCGGTCACTGGCCAAGCTCGAGACGCTCGATATTCGAGTTACAGCCGTGGCTCCAGGCGTCATCAAGACACCGCTCTGGACAGACCATCCCGAAAAGCTGAAAATGGTTGATGACAGTGTCGACGTGTGGGTGACGCCCGAAGAAGTGGCTACCGTGATGTTGGCGCTTGTGCAGCAGCAGCAGGTGAGCGAGACCATCGGAGATCGGTCTGGCCGGGGCCCGCAGTTCCCAGTGAGCGGGGGTACAATCCTAGAAGTGTCAAAGACCGTGCGGGCAGTCGGGCAGTTCAACGATCCAGGCCCCGGGGACCGGCCCGGCAACACTGCAGCCGACCATGCAGCCGTAGAGTCGGAAAGTTTCCGTCTGTTGGCGGCAGAGGGATGGGGTCGATCCAAGTTGTAATTATTCTTATCACACAATCGGTAATGAAGATCATGGCATAATTATCGCGTTCGTAGTTGTAGTCAAGGCAAAGCGGAATGCGGAGAGGAAAAAGTCAGGTGCTTGGCCTATCGGGACACTCTGATAAGAGACCACGGCTCCGTTTCTCTCCTCCTCCATCTTCATCATCCAACTCATCTCGGCTTCGCTGGTCGCAGTCGCTATGTCCGGAGCCTTCTGATTCAATTTACGGCGTAGAATCGGGCTTTCGCATACTCACTTACACCATGGAGGAGGAGGCAGCTGTGGGGGCAGGCCCTGCGAGGCTGCCCCAAAGCGGACTGCGACGGTTCGTCTCGGGACCCTTCCCCCAGTTCAGTTGGCATGCTAACATGGATCACTGTGCTAGTCGAGCAGGTCGGTCCAAACATGTTACGGGCGTCGCTGGGGAGGCCAGCTGGTCAAGCAGTGTGATCAATCTCGTCAATACGAGTGAGTGGGAAAAGTTGTTGTCCGCGGCTGAGGTCGATTTCTAACGCGATGCTTTACTGTAGTTATCGGCGCCGGAGTACTAGCGATGCCGCTCGCCATTTCGCATATGGGAATCGTCTTGGGAACATGTGTCATTTTATGGTCCGGCGTCACCGCGGGATTCGGCCTCTACCTACAATCACGATGCGCGCAATATCTCGATCAAGGGAGTGCATCCTTCTTTGCACTGTCGCAGTTGACATACCCCAACGCCGCCGTGGTTTTTGATGCCGCCATTGCGATTAAATGTTTCGGAGTCGGCGTGAGCTACCTGATCATTATCGGAGATCTTATGCCAGGAGTAGTTCAGGGCTTCGTGGGAGGCGAGCCAGTATATGACTTTCTTATCGATCGTCATTTCTGGGTAACGGCTTTTATGTGAGTTTAGATGCGTAAGAATTGAGGAACGACGTTGCTAATTGCCTGGTGACTTGCAGGTTGGTCGTGATACCTCTTTCGTACCTGCGCCGCCTAGACTCGCTCAAGTACACCAGTATCGCGGCCCTGGTGTCTATGGCCTACTTGGTTGTCTTGGTCGTTTATCACTTCGTGAAAGGAGATACGATCGCAGATCGAGGCCCAGTCCGCGTGATCCACTGGGCTGGACCAGTTTCGACGCTCGGCAGTCTCCCAGTCATCGTATTTGCGTTTACATGCCATCAGAACGTACGTCTTTTGCGAATTTGTCATTTCCGGGTATTGACTATATGAATTGATAGATGTTTTCCATCCTCAACGAAATCAAGAACAACAGCCATTTCCGGACGACAAGCGTCGTTTTTGCTAGCATCGGCAGTGCAGCTGCCACCTACATTCTGGTCGCTATCACGGGATATCTCTCATTTGGTGACCGCGTGGCCGGAAACATTGTCGGCATGTATCCACCGGGCGTCTACGCGACAATCGGGCGAGCTGCAATTGTCATGCTAGTCATTTTTTCTTATCCTCTCCAATGCCACCCTTGCCGAGCCTCAGTCGACGCCGTCCTGAAATGGCGCCCTGCGGCCCAAAAGACTGGCACTGAGAACTCTCCACACCGACACCCGCTGCTGGGACCGCGAGGCAACCGCACGCCAGAACCCATGAGTGATCTTCGATTCTCAATCATCACTACGACCATTCTAATCCTGAGCTATCTGGTCGCCATGACAGTGTCTTCCCTCGAAGCAGTGCTCGCGTACGTGGGTAGCACGGGCAGTACCAGCATCAGTTTCATCTTGCCGGGCCTGTTCTACTATAAAATTTCATCTCCTGACTCCGCCGCCCACCGTGGTTTGATGAAGGAAGACGATGAGGCTACGGACGATATCTCGGATGACGATGAGGATGCCAACGTTGAAGGCGAGGGCTCCCTGTCTCGCTCATTGACAGAGAGCGGCCTCTTGCTCCGCGGAGTCCGTCATTGGCGCAAAGCTTTGCTTCGCCGTCTGAGTTTAAGCCTGGCTATTTATGGCATTGTGGTCATGGTCGTCTGTCTGATCACAAACACTTTCTTCGTTACTTCACACTGATCAATGCACTTTCGCTCTCAAATACCCGGATCTGCCGGATGGGTTTGAAGTTTATTTAGTCATGTTTGACTGTATACCGAAAAAGCGGTTCTGTCTGCTCCTTTACCGACTTGATGCTCTTTCTTGGATATAGGATTCTTCTTCTTCATCATCTTTGATTTTGCATGGTTCTTGCAGGTATTGACCTTGGGTTGTTTTGTTTAATTTTGGTGACTGGCGTTTAGAGTGTTCAACTTTACTTTCTTGTCATTTGTTCTTTTTGAGAGAAACTATTCCTGACCATACTTGACCCATTTTGAGGTTAGCGTGAGTATAGGCAATTGCAGGCATAAGAAGGGATAGTTTTAGAATCTCCTTCTATCATGCAAAATCTCTCGTCTTCTACACGTTCTTTACTCGTCTCAGACGGTCGAATTTATGGGGCAAGACTGAGTCATAATCAAAAAGCATATAGACATTAAATGAAAGTAGTTGTAGAAGCAAGAAAGACACTAATGCATGAAACCAGGTTCGAAAAACGCCAGCAATAGCCAACTTGCCTATCCACCCTTCGTCTATCCCCTGAAAGACGATCAAATTGCAGAACAAGAGCCTGATAGCTGGCCCGCTTAGTTGTTGTTCTGGCTGTTCAGGATACGTAGAATAGACATGAAGAGGTTAATCACATCCAAGTACAGAGAGATCGAAGCCTGGATCTCGTCATCGAGGTGGTAGTGGCGCATCACCAGCTGGGTATCAACGAGGATATACCCCGAGAAGATAAGGGTCCCAAGGACACCGTAGATGAGCTCGGCAGTGCTACCGAAGGGGATGAACATGGCCACAAACCCGAACAGGACCATGAACCACAGCGCGCCGAAGAGATAAGGCATCCAGTCGGTGAAGTCATATTTGGTTTGGCATGCAAAGAGCGTCAGGGCCACGAAAATGCCCAGTGTCAGGGCTAGTGCCTGCACGACAACTCGCACTTCGTAGAAGGATGTCACCACACTGATCGAGTATCCTTCAAGTAGAGTGAAGCCGGCCAGGAAGATGAGGTTTGTCGGGTATGACTTGGCTTTCCACCACGTGGCGAGCATGAATCCGAGAGCACCGAAAACAGAGATTATTACAAGCCATGGGTTACTCTGGATCCATGTGCGGTAAGACTCGCTGAAGAAGGAGATGGAGCTGAGACCGAAAGTGACCAGCAGTTGGACGGTCCTGTGGAAGATGAGGTGTCAGTTGCATGCTTGGTATGTGAAGGATCTTTCTTTGTAGGTTTGAAGAAGGATATGGAGCTGGACTCACAGGATCGAGTACACCTTGCGCACGAACTGCATCCGGATATCAATGGTGCCTTCCGACACGCAGCCACCGAACTAAACACCACGATCAGCATCTTCTATTTGCTCCCAAAATACGCGTGGAGCTTTTCCGTACCTTGAAGTCATCGGGCAGGTTGTCATTCTCGGTGCGCGGTGCTGGGTCAGCTGTAGCCTGATATGAGGGCGGCGCCTGTGTGAACTGCTGATCCTCGAAGGAATCCCGCTGCGGGGCAGGCTCGTAACGAGCGTTGGCAGCCATGTTGTTGCGTGTTGGAAGCTTTCGCTATCGAGCAAGTTTTGATGACGGCGGAAAGATGTAAGAGAGAACAAAGAGGTGAGGCGTGGATGACTTGGCGGGCGCAGCCATGTGACGTTGAATCACGTGCATCCATATCTGCGCGATAAGAGATCACATGCGACTACTCAAGTGGAAAAAAGACGTCAAATTAAGATAGATATGTGCATTTTGATCACCGGATGGGTTTAGCTAGGTTGAAATCCATAATTATACTTTCTAAGAAATTCATACTTCTCGTCTATTCGACGACCCGATCGATCTGCGAGGGCCGGTTAGAAGCCGCCTGGTTGTCGTCATACGAATTCTCGACAGTCGACCCCGAGTCTTCATCAGTATCCAGCACGCCATCGTCGTCTTCATCTTCGTCCTCGTCACTTGAGTAATGAGCACCACGAGCCATATCTTGCGACACGGTTGCACTAGACATTTCAGTCGGAAGTCGTCGTCTCTGGAAGTCCTGCGCATGTGCAGTAGACATGGCATTTCCCACCGCTTTGGCAAAGCTGGGACGTCGGTTCCGAGCGCGCAGGGTTGAGATCGACGGCGTTCCGGTCTCAACATCACCCGGCGCCATGAAAGGTGTTGTTGGCTGCTGTTCTTGCAGCGGCACATCACCCGGCTCTACGCCATCAAGACCTGGGGTCAACGTGGCAGACGCAGGCACGTCGTATGGAAGAGGAACGTCTCTCGAGGCTCGGAATAAAAGCACGTTTGTGCAATGTTCATTCTCGACACGGAAGATGGACCACATTCCACGACGAAGAACCTCTGATAGGGAAACGACAAAGCTGAGAGCAGCCGAATGTTGGAGATCGTGGACGAAAATGGCGTAGAAAATCCAGTTGAATCGAACCACAACATCCAAGATCATCGCAACGTAATAAACCCATACGCGACGGAACGCTAGCACTTCACGGAGAAGTTTGTGTTTTGCATATGGGTTGCCCAAACTCCAGTCCATGATCAGATCCCAGACGGATGTATAGACAGCGTTCAGGAGACCGAAAGTGATGAACGCTGCCTGGAAGCGAGTGTGTCGGTCAATGCGGTACATGCTTAAAGTCGCGTAATAGAGGATACTAAAGATATACTTTCCCAAATTCAGGAGATGAGGGAAAGAATTCCTGGTGTCGACGTATCGACGAATGCACTGAAAAGCTCGCCATATCGCTGGCAAGGTGGTGAAAAAGCCCAGGAGTCTTGAATGGTTGGAGTTGCATTTGACTGGGTTGGCCCACTGTGAGGCGTACAGGCAGAAAAACAACTCGATGTTCTGGGCTGTTGTTAGTATAGCCTAAGAGAATGGACCCTGGTCAACTTACCCCCATGGCATAGACTTGAGAACAATACATGTCACCCAGGAAAAAATCACGAAACTCAACAGGGTATATCCCAGCGAGTAGAAGTCGCCACTGTTTCTGTCAATAATAATTCGAGTCGACAAGAATATTCAAAACTCACGTTTGAAAAGGCCCACCACTTCCGACTGCGGTGGTAAAGAACTCGGGCCGGCAGGAAGATGATGATGAGCGTCAAACCGATCAGCACAACAGGCCAGTATATGTACATGGCATTGATCCACGAAAAATTAAGCCACATGAAAAGACCCATAAGAAAAAGGAAGAAAGATGGAATCTGAATGACTGTTAGCATGAATTGTTGTCGGTTGGCGAAGGCTAGCACATACCTCGAATAACTGGCGCCACTCTAAGGTGTGCCTGGTATCAAATTCGAAAACGAATGCATAGTTGATCTTCGACTTTGTCCAGACCATACAATCCAAGGCAAATAGTAAGACATGAAACGCGATAAGGAAATAACCACCATAAATCTAAAAGAGTCAGGCCTGCACGTTACACGTGGAGGTGGGGGAAGTAAGGGAGCACGAACCTGCAGTAGATAGCTGGTCCAAACCTGCTCACGCACTTCAGCGGAACGTAAATGTTGTGAAGCATAGACCAGTGCCTGAATAGCAAAAAGGGTACCGGCCATTAGCAAAAGGCCGGAGCGGAATGTACTATGCGAATAATCGCCCGACTTCTTCATTGTGTGACGAAGTTTCGAGGCAGCGATCTTGCGGTTGCCACGCTCGAAATATCGAGCATATAAATCTTCCACTGCCGACATCAAGGTCTCCAGCACATCACTTTGCACAAATGAGGCCTTGTTGACCTTTTCGGACAGGTACCGCAACGGTGGTTGGGCGTTGACAGCCTTGTCGTATTTCTTGTTGATCTTGCGGAAAGCTGTTCGGTTGAGGTAGGCATATCCTTTTAGCAGCTCTATTCCGCGGTAGAACTCCTGCAAAGCATACTTGAGCTTGCGCTTGGCAGATCTATAGGAAACATCATTATTGGGCGGTTCCTGCCGCCGCATGAAATCTCTTCTGTTGGAAATGAATTCACGGTCGCGAGCCGGCATCCTTGGCGTCGCCATCTCCGCCAATGCCTGCGAATTCTTTCCAAAATGAGCCTTGCCCGTCAATGTGTCCTTCAGCCGGGAGCTGCTTAGTTTTCCGAACCCATTCGACCTATTTTCAGAGTCCACGTTCCGTCGTTTGTTTGCTCGTTTAGCGTCATACACTTCCTGGATGCGCTGGTCCCGCATGATATGCAGCTGCTGACGAAGAACCTTTAACCTCTCCGCAGCTTCCTGCTCCTTCATTTGGTAGAAGTCATCGATCTTCTTTAGCTGCTCATCTAGGAACTTGAAGAATGCTTGTTCTTGCTTTTCGAATTCCGATTTGGAGACGATCGGTGATCCTTTGCCGACCGAATCCACATCATTGTAGGAAAAGACACGCCGCATGAGCTGTGATGTACGATTCACCGAGGTGGACTTCATTAGAGCTTTGCCTTGCTGGCTTTGGCCAGTTGGCTGTCGTGCCAAGGGTGATTGGTCGGGCGCGTCTTCTGTCGCGACATTCTCCGGTAGGTCACGAAATGTAGCACGTCGGGTTGCAACGGGAGACGGCGTTCTGACTGCCTGGCGACCTTGTTGCACCTGTGGTGGCATATACTCCTCCTCCGGGTCTAGTGCGGGGTCGGGAAGCTCGAATGAAGCAGAATCAGACCCGTGGCCATGTTGCTGTGTTGGAGTCGCAAGAATACTGCCATAGCTCCCGGCAGTTTCCGAGAATCGTGATCCGGGTGTTCGAAGCGGCTGTCGCTCTGTTTTCGGCGTGGAACGAGTATTCGATGGCGAATGGGCGCCGGTCTGCTTAGGGGCCGTTGAATCGATAAACTCTCCCGCATCGAGCTGCTTGTCGGTGTTGGATGGCGTCAGTGTTTCGCCGTGGGAGAAAGGAGTAGCTTGACGAAAAGACGGAGTTCGAGGACTCCGATGAGCCGAACGAAGGGCCCGAGAAATGGCCTTGACCTTCTTCTTGCCGCCCTATAGTATAAGCGGTCAGCACTGACTCCAGTCCAGATAGTACGGAGTTCAGTCGTACCTTGTAGTCGAGATACTTCGCCCGCCATTCAGGAACCAAGTCCTGTTCCAGCTCTCTGTATGAGACTAACGTCAGCCACCGGAATGCCCCATAATGGAGCATCACAGGATCGAACTCACTTGGCAAACTTCATCCTGACTAGCGAATCTCCGTCATCGCATACTTATCAGCGGTTGGAAGGAAAACTGTATGTCGTGGCACCGGCGAGGGTTGTACGGAGGGACAAGACCGGGAATCGAATTATCTGCACAAATTCCTCCAAAGTGGACGACCGATAAGGGCAGGAAAAGCAAGCTAGGCGGCCGGGGTTCTAGTGTCGTGATAAGGAAGCATTCAGAGAAACAGAAAATTCCGGGGATCCACTGACGATCATCTACGCAAGGTACCGCCAGGGATGGAATCGTGTATCGAATACCCCGAATATAAGCGCGTGCGCCATAGTTGAATCGAGTCCCGACGACGAAGGCCGGTACGAATCGCAACAATCAAGAAGCCCGGCGCGAGCACGTGCTCCCGCACGATGAGCTCACTGCCCGTGTTGATGCCCTGGTTTTCAGGCATGGAGGATCCCTCGGTCAGCCGTGTCCGTGATTGGCCGTCTTCTTATTCGAGCTAAACCGGTTGTGGACGGCCCCACAAAGCCAGATTCCGAGCTTTAAACCGGTATCCGATGTTCGATCTATGCGATTGGTACCTTTGATTCTCGACTGCACCTGCATCCTGCATGGCGTTTGTCACAGTGCGTCATCTCATGACCGCTGCACTGTATCACTCGGGGAACACCACCCGGGTCATCATTCGGAAGCCCTGATAGGAGGTCAGGATCTACATTTGCGTTGGAATGCACACCGCTCCGGAATGTGTGCAGCGTGATTTCCCCGTGGTGGCTGGCTAGGAGATATCTGCGTCTGCAACCCTATGCACTCCGCTTATGCGCTCGGAACATTCTCGTCCTTGGCGCATTGGCTCGCCCGCGAGTGTATCAGGCATTGCGCACTGCTACTTGCCCGCAAGGGTGATGACCATTTTACTCCCTATGATGGAGATCTGTAGCAAACACCAAGGAAAGTTCGGGACAACAATTTGTCATGTCGTCATATGTTCATATTCCTGGCCTAGGTACATCTACTTGATACTATAGCCAGGATATCCTATTAAAACAAATCTGGCCTTCGTCCATTCACAGGTGACTGGTCGGCTTGCAATGCCAGATTGCAGGATCGCAACCAGTTACTCGGAAGCAGATATGATTGTCTCGAGACCGTTCACCAGCGGCCGAAGCTCTCGTGGCGCTCGTAGCGGCTGCGGTCATACTCCTCAGCACCGTGGCCGCTGATGTAGTGCTCGTCGTACATTTCGTGGGCGTTCCTCTTGGCGTGCTCCTTGGCCTTGATTTTGTCGACCTCGTCCATGCCCTTTGTCTCGGCGAGATTGTCAACCTCGGCGCCGACAAAGCCGGCAATGGCCTCCTTGGCGAAGGAGTGGCTGACGGGCTTGCTTGTATACTAGTTAGAAAGAATACCACCAATGATCATTCGACGAAATAGTATACCCTCCTTGCGCTGGAGGTCCTCGTAGGCCTTCATTCCGGCAAAGGAAGCGGCACCAGTAGCTAGCTCGTGGGTCCACTTGGTCTCGTGCTCCTGGCCGCCGTACACCTAGCGGTGAGCATCCTCAGAGTCGCCTATCACAGCCAGCCTCCAGTTCTTGGAAGTTCGGTATACTAGCGAGAACTGTAGCGGTCAAAGCGCGTGTGCTAAGACGGCCGCTCCCGCGTGCATAAGTTGTGCATGATAATCAATATCAAAAAATAACTTACCCCAGCCCCAAGCCTTTGTGAATATAATGTGTGGTGGTAAAGAAAAGGTTTCTTAGAAAGGGAGTTAATGTAGAGTGTTGATGGGAGAGAAAAGAAGCAGTTGTCACTGGGTAGATGAGGGGGCTATATACATGAGCAAGCACGACCGATCCTCCAGAAAAGCTACACGTATTTCGTTCTTGATAGTCAGGAGGTCCTTCCCTCCTCCAATCTCAGCTCTGGTGGCCCCACCACTGTGTGGACAGAGTGGCTGAGAGTGTTTACTCCGGGTTCCATCAGAGGATAGTCGGAGAAAGATGGAGCAAACCCCCTCCAAAACATTGCTCGACCTCGGATTCTACTGATTATCCGAATCCTTGCCCCTCCATCAGGGAGTGGATTGTATTCGGGGTACTAAATGGAGAAGGGGCTATGGGAACCTGGTCCAGTGAGGTAACTGACTGCCCCTCATATTAGCCAATCTCGCCCCCGAAGAATCAGGCAGTCTCATCGTCCCCAGTGGGAGGCTGCGAGGGTATCTATCATGGTTCCCAACGCACAACTTCACGAGTCCCGGTCATTTTCGGGTTCCAGTTGTACCGGTATTTAAGAGTGTCCAATGAAGCTGTTCATGAGTCCATACTGAGACGGGATATAACTTTGGGATGCTGGAGCTGTGCATATCACCTGTGCACAAGAGTACCACCCCATTTTTTGCTTCAGCCATGACCAGAGCCAAGACTCGCAATACAGTATTATCTCTTAATACCGAGCTATCGGAAATAGAGATGATACGCTACTCCCAGGGTACGAGTACGTGTCCTGTCGGACCCTTTGAAATTGTGGAATGCTGATCGAAAAGACCCAGATGGACCCAGGTGGATCCATTCAGCCTTAATCCACCGGCAGATGAGCAAATTATAAGGAGAGGCCCGGTGGAACAGTTTTCTATTTCCCCCCTAGCGGTATGAATCCCATATTTCGGGATATACGGAACGAAGTGACCCTCAGTGATGAGCGCTACAGTCTGACAAGCGCGGGCCAAGCTTCTCTCGTCCGAGGCTTGACCGCGCCCCACAAGGCATAAGGCTTGGCATCGCGAGCCACCTAATGTACGGAAAGTGGCGGTGGGCTTGAGCTGGAGCCGCAGTAGATGAAGCGTTTTGGACAAGAGAGCTCATCGGAAGTTGTTGTAAAGCGCTGGTTCTTCCCTGGCCGTAGCCTGGATCCTCCATGCGATCCCATTACGTGTCTCGTCCACCGGTCCCGCATACATCCACATCCATTCAAAGAAACTCAATGGTGCTTACACAGGCTCAATTTCCTGTATATTTCATGTGTCTGAGAGTCAATTGGGCTATCTTCTACATCCATGTAGCTCAATTGCACTTTATATAGTAAAGTTGACCAAGGTCGAATACTGAAACGTCGGAGACATGACATAGTACCCGAGAATAGCAGGGGCTTTTTCTATATGATTTCATTTCGGAATACAGGGTGCCACCGCCAAGAAACATGATAAAATGTTGTATCATGAAGCATTCCATGCCGCGAGCGTAGCCGTGTACGGAAGATCCCAGGCGCAGATCGGCAGGCGGCAAAAATACGGCAATGATACAATACACCCGCCCGGCAGCTCCGGTCTTGGCAAAACTTTTGTTGAACCATTTTCGTGATGGTGTGGTGATTGCAATCCCTCTCAGCCACATCACCGGGACCAATTGAGACCGCGCCGTCCACCATGCCTACCAAGAATCCCACACCGTCCGACTTCCCCTCCAATCTCACCGTCACCGTCACTCTTCCACCCTCCGCGTCCTCCCCAGCCCCCAACGTTCTATTGTTACTCCACGGCCTCGGCGATTCCGCTGCAGGCTTCACCTCGTTCGCGCGAGCCTTACAGCTTCCAGAAACTGCAATTGTAACAATACAAGGACCCGCCCCTCTCCCCTTGGACCTGGGCGGCTTCCACTGGGGTGACGATGTGGCATTCGATACCTCAAGTGGCGGGCTGGACATGGACGCAGGTCTGACGCGTAGCACGGCAACACTGGTCAATGATGTCGTGCGTAACACACTGGTCAGCAAATGCGGCTACCTCCTGCGCGAGATTATGATGTTCGGATTCGGGCAAGGTGGCATGGCTGCATTGACCGCGACTCGGGAGCTGGGCCTGGGCGACAATGGCGGATCTCTATCCGGAGTTATCTCCGTTGGCGCGCCATACCCGCTCTCTGGCCAGCGATCAGGAGCCAAGAACCGTACCCCGGTGCTACTGGTCGCTGGGCGTGACTCGCTTGTAGTCTCCGATGCGGCTGTTCGTAGGACAAAGGAGGTTTTTGAGTTTGTTGAGCTGAGCCGTTACCCGAGAAAGGGCGACGGTATGCCAACGAATCGGAATGAGATGATGCCTGTCATGCAGTTCTTTGCCCGGCGATTGCGCAGCCGGCAAGGCGTGCCTGAGGGCAGTGTTGAGATTGGTTGATGTGCCGCGGGCCCATCAAGATATGAATCTTTACGACATCATGGAATTGAAACTAGATCAAAACACCTATACTCCAATGCCTCCGAGCATATGCCCGATTCTTTCGTCAGAACAATAAATACACCACCTCGGTCTCAATGATTTCTCGTCCGTTACCTGCTGGGAAGCAGGAATTTCAATAATATCTAAGGACTCCTCGTCATGTTTTTGTTGGCCCTTTGTATCTTGTCGACTCTTTTAGCGTAAGTCATTACATATCAGCACGTGCAAAGCTAGCAAGGCTATAAACATGCAATGTATTGATTCTGATGGATTAGAACAGTAACTATCATGTAAACTTTGTAAAACACTATGTAATCAATCAAACCAAAGCGCTTAAATTATAGAATCACCTGCAAAGTATTCCCACCGCATCATAGAATACACTTCTCAAATCTGTGGTGAGCAATTCCCATTTAATCGTCGCGCATTTTCATCTACTACTTTCAGAAACCGTTCTCCACGAAATGGCAGCAGAAGGATAGCATAGTAGACCAACAGCAGTAAAGCACTCCTCATTCACTTGGAAGGTAGAGATCGGTAAGAATGCTGCTGTCTAGTTGCCTCAACATTGCTCAATCTCGTAGGCACCGCCGACGGTAGGCAATAATAGAGTAGGGATGCCTCGATTCATCGGTCCGGATTCAAAAAAGCCAGATCAGCAAGAATTTCCGAAGAGTAGGAAACTCATCCGCAACTTAATTATAGAACTCATCACACCATCTGCAACTCTCTAAGAGGACAGGGAAAAGTTCGTGAGTTACCTCACATGGATGATATTCGATCAAAAGCCTAGATCTATAATGATGTGGGTCAGCACCACTGGCTTGTGACAGAAACGATACAGACTGGAAACACCTTATCTTTCTCGCTATATTAAACACCAATCTTCACCAGTTATTGGCACAAAGACAGTTCTTGCTGCGCGGAACGAGGATCTGGGATGCTGTAATGCCAGCGTCTTGGGAGATTATCCTGCAACAAGAGGTGGTCAATTTTTGCTATGATCAACTGAATATGCGCGAGGAAGCAGATAGGGGAGAAGCTGGGTGAGAGCTATTCATGCGGCTATTGATCAGAGTCAGGATTGAGTTTGAGGATCAATATTTTCCCCAGCCTATGAGGATATGCAGCAGCAGCCAGGAACGAGGATAAACACAGAATGGGTGAAAATAGTTGGTAATAAATGCTAGCTGAGGAAGAAAGCGGCGTAATGATTCACGCTTAAAATCCTTGGCACTGACAATTTGGCCTAGAATAGCCTCCTTTCAGCAATTAGAATACCGCCTTATCATAACAGCCATGTCTTTATCTATTGGAAGTTGAGGTTTGGCAGGAGCTCTAAGAGAGGCGTTTCGCTTCTAGAGACAACCACTTGGCTGGTGATTTCAAAGACCGAAAAGACCAAATCCCAGGGAAATAAGACGACATTTGATTCATCTCCGCAGCGTCTAGATGCGCCAGAATGCGGGTCCATAGCGATATCCATCCCGGAGACGAGGCTGGTCCTCGCCGTCCACTGTACGACAGAGTCCCCGCTCAAGGACTTCTAGAGGTACGGTCTGCTCACAGGAGCGGAATCCGACCAGTGGACGGCGTACGATGAAAGAACACTCATTTTCGTCGACCTGTTTCTGTTCGAAAATGCATAAAGGGTCGATCAACATGATAACAAGCACGCCGACGGTGTAGACAGTCCATAGGAGGATACTGCTGCCGCGGTCAAGGGTCCCAGTAAGGCCAGAGCAGCCAAATGCGCCAATGAATATGAAGGCCCCCGGCCAATAAAAACTGTAGGGGCGGAAGTAATACACATTGGCTGGCTGTTGGACAGTTGACCAGCCAGGACGTGGTATCGGTTGGTCGGACATTACGGGAGGAGAGGGAGGAAAATAATAGGACTGTAGATATTTGGCGCTGAGTTACTTAGCAGTGAGGTGGTGTTGGGGTTGTTAAAAATGGAAGTTGAAGTTATTCGCTGAAAACTTGACGGGGTCCTGATAGGTACACCACCCTTTTTACCCAGGACACCACTTTAGCGCTGATGACCCTAGTTAACTAGTTAGCTAGTTAATGAATGCATGTGCTGACTGATCGGGCGACCAAGACAGCTGGAGATATATTCTGCTAACTACAGTACTATGTACTATTACAGGATATAGGTGGATGCTACAGCTTCCGAGTGGCCTATGTGCGGAGTAAAACAAGTACATGCAACTCCAGGACCGAGTCAGGAGAACCAGGCTGAGAGGGCGGTGCATCAACGCTAGTGCAATATTCCAATGGCAAAAATACCTCATTGATGATCTTCTCAGACTCATCAGGTTTCGAGCGCGTTCATATCCTTGGGGGGCTAGGCTATCTGTCATCCTCGCAATGTGCAATTCCCCTCCAAGCGGCCTTCTATGCTACCCGACAGGTTATTCCGGTACTAAGTAGGTGGTACGGGCTTTGCACCCCTGCACGACCATTTGTACTTCATACACGCTAGATTCTGGCGCACACAACTTGCTTCGTATTAGTAAATATCAGGCATTCATGGTCAATGGAATGCAGTTAGTTCCAGCCACTGGGTATTCGTGTGGGGGCTCCAGCCCTTGAATGACGATATTTCTCGTGCATCTTGCATAACCCGTTATACCTGGCCGCGACCCGCGGGTGACCCTCATGACCCTGACCCTGACCCTCCATATCTGAAGGTCAGGGTCTTGTTAGACCTTGAGTGGCGAGTCTTTAGTAAATGAACTAGGGTACAGGCACCTAGCCTAGGCGGTAGTTTCACTGCCGACGATAGAAATAACAGGGCGAGCGCGATTAAGGTTATTAGCAGGTTGACGATCGAGCTCGGACAGCAACAGCAGAGTTAGGAGAGCGGTGCTCTACCAATTGATTTGAATACTTAACTCGTGAGAGGTGGGTTGGTTGACGGTGTAAGTGCTATAGAAAGGCATTTTGCGGGCTTGAGAGTGATGAGGATGGAGGATGAAAGGAAAGGAAACAAAAAGCGCATCAATGTAGGGTTTAAATATCGCTTGTCCCTCGATGGCCTTTTGTATGCTTTGTTATACTATCTAGATGGAGTGAAAATCGACGGTGCTGCTCTACGCTGTGATTGGCCAACTTGGATTTAGCATAGTCCCCGCAGAACGGAAGGTGCCTTTCCCATCTTGCATTGACGTTGCAGTCATACTATAATAGGTCATACCGAACGGGATTAAGGTAGTGACGAGTTTAAAGTAGATTGTGGGGGAAAGGAGTCCTGATCCTCCTCCCGCTTTTTTTGGTGATCTGAATCCAGCGGTTTTAAATGTCCTACTGATAAACCTTGCCACGGGGCTGGGTTGGGGCCTGACTTCAGGGCCCATAACCGCGAACCTGGCTGGTACTCTAGGCCGAACCCCAAACCCGCGAGCTCGGGGGGGCCGCGGGTTGGTCGAGTTTATATCTTATCCCGAAGACCCTGAAATCTGACCGTTTTACAGAAGCGCTTTGGCAGGGGAGTCTCAAATTTGATTGGATAGCATTGGGTGGTGAAGCTGGGGGCCAAATCGCTCACAGTGCAGGATGTATCTGCTAGCAGGGGCCCGTGAGCTCTCGGGCCCATTATTATTGTTCCAGCTGTTCAGCCCCCGCAAGAAACGGAAAGATCTTCTTCATGCGACTAAGGCAACTAAGTAATAAAAATACTACTTAGCTGACTTGATTAGTTTTACAACTTCGGTCACTGTTTCTCTATTATCCTTCACCCTAAGGAAATCTCACAATCAGGCCAGTAGCATCGACCATGACAACGTGGATCTCCCTTGTTGTTTTAGTGCTGGCGTTGTCGCACTGCACATTTTGTTCCCAAGGCGATATTTGCTATGTGGTTGGGGCACAGAGTTCGTCGGCACCTCGCTAAGGAACAAAGGGGATATTGCTTCTAATCACCTTGCAGCTAGCCTTGTGGACGATCGGTTATATTTCATGGGCGGCAACTATAGCATCGTGACGTATGACGGCCAGCAGATTGAACCCAGTATGTTTTCTGGAGAAGCCACTTCTCTTAAATGCTAACGACGGGAAGCTGGGTCTCTCTACTCCATCGACCTAAACAGTCAATTTCCAGTCGAAAGGCCTATTCCCCAGGCAGGCTTCAACAATGGTACCATCGATTCCAAGATAACGGTAGCCTCTAGAAGTGCGCTAAGTGCAATCGGTGCCGACACTACTAATGGAGCAGTCTGGAAAATAAACGACATCCTCTATGTCTTTGGTGGTGGCTTCGATACTCCAATCAACACGTTATCGGCCTACAATGTTTCGACTGGCAATTGGAAAGACGTGACTGTGGCTGGTGGTGACTTCAACTTCGGAAAGCGCACCTCCGCTCAATTTGCCAGTGCTCCCGAGTCCAGCCTCGGCTTTATCTACGGCGGCAACACACCCTACATGAGCGGCATGCTACGTTTTGATGCGTCTAACCCCGATAAGCTCTCGTGGACCAACGAGACACTCTCCAATGGGTCCTATGGCGCCCAGGTGCCGAATCTGATTTCTGGTGCTTTAGTCTATATTCCAGCCGGAAAAGAGGGTATGCTTATTAGCTTTGGGGGTGGAAATGTAGGTTTAAAATTCTCCGTTGACTTGGAATGGCGATGAAAATGCTTTCCCCCGGCTAACGCTGTGTTATGAGCAGGTCACTGAAGGTATAAGTCCTGACTCCGGCTGGCCGTACGATGCGAACTGGAATACTATTTATGTATATGATATTGCCTCCCACACATGGTGGGTGCAAGAGGCTTCTGGAAATCCGCCTGCGAACCGGGGTGCCTTCTGCACTGCCCTCACAATCTCGCCCGACGGTGGGGCGTTCCACATCACGACCTATGGCGGATGGAGCTTGGCTGATCAGCGATCATACGAGGATGTGAATATTCTTACAATCCCGTCATTTACATGGATTGATGCTACAGAGCTATCCAACCAGTCCAATCGGGAAGAACAAGTCAACTCGACCGTCGGACGCGACGCCCTTGGAGGTGCTTGCCAGGCATACCGAGGCTCACAAATGATCGTCCTCGGAGGCGAGATACGTGCAGGGGCATACTCGCTCACCAAAGGGGCTTGTAGCAACGTGTTTGAGCCTGTTCGAGTGCTGGACCTTTCCACGTATAAATGGCAGACAGAGCTGGATACCAATTCTAGTTACGAAGTGCCAGCGATCATCTACGATAAGATTGGGGGAAAGTAAGAATTTCAAATTGTTTCGTTTTGATCCCAGACTAACTGCTGCAAATAGCGCAACCGGTGGCGCTACATTGACGGTTCCTAGTGCTGGATTCGCAGATGCCACACTGGCATCGCTTATCCAACAGCGCGTTTCTACCCCCACAAGCACCTTTCACCCTTCCCCTTCCGTTAATTCCTCAGTGCCGTACCAAAACAAGAAGTCTCACCACTCAAATACCGGTGCTATTGCTGGCGGTGTAGTCGGCGGCGTCGTAGGACTAGCATGCATCTTAGGAGTAGCATGGTTCCTTTTCAGGCGCAGGTTTGGCAGTGAAAGCAAAGCGGAGGGTCTTGTGCAAGGCGGAAGGGGCAAGTCACGAGTACAAGAAATGGACGCGAGACAGCTTCATGAGGCACCTACACATGGCGCGATGTCTGAAATGAGTGGACAAGGCGCTTTTGAGCTTCCTGGGACCATAGCAGTTACCGAGCTTGGGAGCAGCAAACCTCTAACGGAGTATTGAACTTCGGACTGACTGATGCAAGAATATTGGGCCATTGTATTGTATGCTGCCTGGTGGTACCCTCAGTTTTGTTCCTGAGGGTTTGGAATGCTTGTGTTGTCAGAGACCAGACCATTTTCTATGGTGTACCCAATACAATAGTTGCCAGATATAATGAATCGTGATAGAGAAAAGCATTGAACTGATTGACGGTTTTCAAGGACGTTCAAGGTAGTTGACATCGTGGCTCACATCACAAAACGCCTCCAAGCGCAAGTGGTGGATCCCACATCCTCCACAGGCTCTTCGTGTCGGCGAATACAGGAGGGTATTCCCCCAGGCCATTGGCTATGCCACTTTATTAGCGACATGCTGAAATGTGGATAATTGTAAGGTTTGGGAGTGAGAGGGGCGGATGAAGGCTATTTAACAGAGTTCAAATCGGGCGTATGAGTAGTTCCTCACATCCAGGGGTTGAAGGTGGAGCTCCCACGGACGCTGAACACTAGCAACTACATATGCAGTTCGGTTGAAAATCATATCACATTGCAAAGTGTAATCATCACTTCTTAAGCCCAATGATAGCCAAGTTCCGCGGACTCAGACTGTAGTCGAACACAGGCTCAACCCAGCATTCCTTGACGTTATCATGCTCGCGCAGGAATTGCCAGCGGTCAACGACGATAACAGCCTCGACAACCTGCGCGCTAAATGCCATCAAGCTCCACACGACGCTGAGGTTTTTCCTCGATTGCCGGAAATCGGTTTCGTAGCGATCGATTTCCTCGTCTGTCAACGGGGCAATCCGTTCCTGGATCTTGGCACCGTGTACCGGGTCACGACTGAGCTTCACCGTTGCGGCACGTACATAGGCATTGAAAGATGTGAAGGCAGCCTTGCGCAGGGATCCAATTATTACGGCCGCGGTGCCGCGTGATTCACTGTATAGATCTTCCACAGCGCCGGGCTTGGGTACGACTTCGCGGTCGACAAGGATGCGCTGGAATAAAGCGCGGAAGAAATGGCGGGTGAAAAAGCCTTCACTATCGTCGTAGCCCCAATTGTATGGTGCTTGTACGGCCATTGAGCGGGCAGTGATGTTGAGTTTCATTCCCTTTGCACCGGGGCTCTCGTAGTCCTCGAACAGCTTGGACATGGGGAAGCCATGGGGGTCATATGAGCAGCCCGTCTCGGTTAAACGGGGATGAAGGGAGCGGAGAATGGGGAGTTTGTATGTTGCGGGACCGAGACGTTCGGTCAGCAGGTTATAGCAGCAGCCGATCATGGCGACGGCCACAACAGACGGGTTGAGGATCAGCGAGCGTACGCCGTGGTGAACGAGGTTTCCGCATGAGTGTAAGGACACCACCATTACCCGAGGGTCTTGCTTCGTCTTCTCGTCTGCTTGTGCTGCAATGGCCGTTGCTTGCTTGTCTGCCGATGCCTCTCCATTTGTAGCTGCAGGAGAAGGGTTGACAACATGGTCGATAATAGGTTCCAAATAGCCGTCCTGAATCTCGTGCTCAATATAGCTAATAGTTCCTCGGGCATCGATCTCGGGCTGTTCCTTCTTTTTGTACGTGTTTTTCGTGAGAGAGCCGAGAAGTTCGTCAGGCTCAAGAGTGATTTCACCCAGCATTTTGAATGCGGTGACATCCTCAATCGTCTCGTCAAGTTCTTGCAGCAGAGGATCCTCAGAAGAAGTCCGAGGCACTTCCGTCTCTTTTTGCGAAGGTGTCTCCGTATTTTCGGGGACTACCACCTCGGGCGTCGCATCGCAGTCACTGCATGACTTCTTACGATTTTGCACATAAATTGTCTTTTCTTCCTTCTTAGCCAGTTTTGCTTGAACATCCATCCCCCGCGCACCATCGATGTACTGGTGCTTCCGCTCAATGGCGATGATGTGTTTGTGGTAGGGCGAGCTTGCTAACGTCCGTCCAAGGTAGTTTTGGCCAGATCCGAAATCCACAATGTGAGAGACGGGCTGACCTCGGCACTCATTCACGGTATCAGAAAGAGAGGCGACGTATTTCGAGAAATGCTCAACCTCATGAACTTTCTTCTTATTCATGCCTACCGCAATGTGTCTTGGCAGGGTGCTCTTGGTAGATTTGGGGAATGGAGAGGTGAAGTCTCGTCCTAGGCTCAGTCGGCGCACGTTGTAGATGTATTCCAGAAGGTCTTGCGGAGGTGATGCGCCTCCATTCCATGTACGGCCGGTCTCTTGAATGTCACCATTCGTCTCAGCCTTTCGCAAGGGCTCAATGTCTTCCCGAAGAAACAGACGAATAATATCATGGATATCATGCTGTTCAAAGAATGCTCTCCAGTTCTCTGGTAGCAATGTCGTATATAGATCGGGCTCACGGGTCAGGAAATCGAGGATATGTACGCCACCACAGAGGTTCATGAACAGCAAGTTCTCAGTCGCAAAGGAAAGAAGGGCATTGACGTAGGAGTCGGGATCCTGCCACTCCTCGCCGAGTGGAAGGGGGCGATCACGAGCCATGTCGAAGAATTGAATGCGTTTGTCCCGCAGAAAAAGCCATCGCGATAATCGTGGGGAAATTGTTATCTTTTTTTTTTTATCGCGGCGATCCGCTGAGTCATCTCCATATTGGGGAGTATGAGATCAGTTGAAAATTCTCCCTGCCAAATATGGGCCATTACGCTAGATTCAATATTCAGTGCCCCTTATTTAAGTCTGCAAGGTTCACGCAGCTTCCGATGACGATGTATGCCTATCTCCATGCAATATCGGCTTGTTAACGACGTCATAAGTACTCGGCCCTGCCCCTGTGAACACGTGATTGCCGGCGAGCTGGCAGCTTCTCCGTCGAGACTCAATCGTCTCTCATCTTCCACACCACTAATATACCGCAGCCATGGAGCACGCAGATCCCTTTCTCCAAGTCCAAGCGTAAGTTACTCCCAACATCCATCCGGACCCAGCAAAGAGACTAACCAGCTATCACCAGGGACGTCCTGTCAACACTACAATCCAGCCGTCCCCTCTTCTCCTCATATCTCCGCATCCGCTCCTTAACCAAGAATCCGTCAAACCCCGAGCTCAAACAAGCGCGATCAGAGCTCGAAAGCACAATATCAGAGCTCAGCGCCGACCTAGACGATCTCGTCGAGAGTGTCCGCGCCATCGAACAAGACCCGTACCGCTTCGGTCTGGAGCTGGAAGAGGTGCAACGCCGACGCAAACTAGTCGATGATGTCGGTGCTGAGGTCGAGAAGATGCGCGAGGAGCTACAAGCGGCTGTTTCCCATGCGCCGGAGCCAGACCTGCCTAACCCTACAGAGTTCGATGCTGCACTTGATGAGGAGGAGCGTGGTGGAGATGATTACTATGCTTCTATGGAACAGCAGCGGCAGTCGGAGTTGATGCATGAGCAGGACGAGCAGCTGGATGGTGTCTTTCGCACTGTTGGGAACTTGAGGCAGCAGGCTAATGATATGGGTCGCGAGTTGGAGGATCAGGCGGTTATGATTGATGAGGTTGATACGTTGGCAGACCGCGTGGGCGGTAAATTGACCAACGGCATGACACGCATTCGACATATTGTGCGCAAGAATGAGGGTAAGTGTGCTTATTGTCTACGTCCATTACGGCTGTGAACTGTGGAGTATCGATATGGGAATCACAAATTTCAGGCTAACTTTTTCTCCGTTAGATACATGGTCTTCCTTTTGCATAGCGGCGCTAATCTTTGCGCTCGTCCTATTATTAATACTCGTTATCGTCCTGTGATAGTACATCAATGAGGACGCCGGAAGACACCAGCGTCACACGGAGCATGGCATTTCATAGCGGGCATTTCAGAGGAATTTAATTGCGAGCCTTCTTGCGCGGGCGCGAGGCGTCACCGCCCTCATTCTCATCATCCTCGTCCTCCATCATCTCATCGGCGTCGATCTCGCTGACGTCGAGCTCATCGAGGTCGTCACCCATCTCATAGGATTCAACTGTGTTCCAAGTCAGCTCGAATTCTCGTTTTTGTTATGGTCGTTTGTTACGTACCGTAATATTTCATGGCATCGGTCCAGAGGTCCTCAGCGATGGCGATGGCAAGCTCCTCGCCGTCGGGGAAGATCTCGGCATCCTCGAGGTCATCGAGAAGCTCATCATCATCATCCTCGTCGTCATCCTCGTCGTCATCAACCTTCTCACCCTTGAGAATCTTGGCATAGCGCTCGTCGTCGAGCTTGGAAGCCTCCTTGGACTGCTCGGCGGAGACGTCACGGCCGCGGTAGCCGAAGAAAGCGAAGAAGCTGGTGCCGGCGGGGCTCTCGATGCCCTCATCGTCATCCTCATCATCCTCGTCGTCCTTCATGGCCTCGGCCTCGGCGATCTCAAGCTTCTTGACGAGAGCCGCGTACTCGGGGAGCTTGGAGCGCTCGCCACCCTTCTTCTTCTCGGCCTCAGCGAGGTCACAGGCAGCATCGAGCAGACCCTTGGTGAGGTCCATATCCTTCTTCCAGTTGATGCGGACGGGCTCAGAAACCAGACCCTCCCAGGTGCGGACCTTGCCGCTGGAGGTCTTGATGCTCTGCTTGCGCCAGTAGAACTCCTTGACGAGCTGAGAGTTGGTGAAGAAGGGGTTCTCATCCTCGCCGGTGTGGAAGTCAAAGATGAAGCGCAAGCTGCGGGGCTCGCCGTTGCCCTGAGCATCAACCTCGAAGCGCTCGACCTTCATGTTCTTCAGGGCGGAGCCGATAGCAGCAGCATCGGTGGGCAGGATGTACTCGTCAATCTCGGCCGGGGCGCTGGCAAACACGCGGATCCAGAAGTCGTTCTGGACCTCGGGGGAGGAGATAATCTCATTGCGCTTCTCAAAGAGGGGGTTCAGGAGAGGAACCGACTTGCGCACTGTTGTGGAATTAGCATTGATCTTTGTAAATAAAGATAGAGCAATCGCATCATGATGATGACTGTAGTGTCACATGAAAATATCGCACGGACACCCCCTCGCAGAGAAAAAGTTCCCTCATCGATTGGGTGTGTCGCCACCCTATCATCACTGGAAAATAAAGAAACGGGTAACTTACGCTGCTCAACCTCAGCGCGGATGAACTGCTCTTGCAGATGAGCGATCTTGATAGCAGTCTCCTTGGGGATAGAGGGGACCTCGACACGTTCGAGGAGCGACTGGTCTTCAGCAGACATTATGATGGGAGGAGGGGGGTATCGAGGGATTGGGTATAAAGTGGGGGTATATAAAGGTCTGAAAGCTCGAAGCTCGGAAAATGAATAAATCAAAGAATAATCAAGAAGACTTGACTGACGGGAAGGGGGGGGAGGTATTTAGAAGGAGAGATGAAAGAGGGAAAGAAGTGGAAGGTGGGAGAGGGGGAGCTAAGAAAAAAAAATTCAGCACTGGCCGATCAGCAGCTGTCGATGCGCGCGTCAGAAAACTTTGGAGAGCTAGACCTACTCGGAGATACAGTGAGATACTTCCGTTTGCGTGAGATTAGAGTGGCTACAAAAGTCACTCTGAGTACACATAGGTACCCACAGGCGGTGCACCCAGCAACGGGGCGACGGATTGGATGGCGGTGGGGTCGCGCGGCCTGAGGTGTCGCCGGAAGTTTCACGCGGCTTCTTTCTCCTTGGAAGATTGCATCATGGCCTTCCATTGTAGTCGGTGGATTTGTCCTAGATTCTTCAATTGTCCTCCGGTGTGCCTCGATGAGTCTTGGATTTCTCTCTCTTCGAGAAAAAGCAACCTATCCTTGCAATGTCTCTTTGAATGCTCCAACAACGCAGAGAAGTACATAGTATATGTATCCGGATCCAGATCTTAGACTAGCAGGTGATAAAATCCCCATCCGCGATTCGCCAGTCGACCAAATACGAAATTTTCAGACCTGAATCTACATAGTCAGCAGTCTAAATTTAACTCAATTGGGACAGCTCAAGCCTCATTGCTTTTTCCGATTTTCACCTTAGCCTTCTTAAGATAGCGTGGAACTCAAGGTGATCAGATAGAGCACTTTATTTCGACCCCATCTGTAATCTGTGTCTCCAAGTATCTCCAGTTCTACAATTATTCCAAGCTACCATGTCATCGATGATCCAATTGCCTTTGTCCTCCCCGTCTCTATTAGTTCGTTCCCCTCACTGGGCCGTCGGTCGCGGTAAAGGAGCGGTCTGAACATGCGCAGTCAATTGGTGGGTAACGCTGCTACAAACATTTCCTACTCGCTGGATATGGCCTCGGTTAGAAAAGGATAATGCAGGTTCAGAGGCGCAGACAAAGACAACTTGTTGGTATCATGCAGTATTCTGCAAGATTCTGCAGCTTAGCTGTTAAAAAAAAATAATAAAAAAATTAAAAAAAAAGAGAGACTGCGAATCAAGGAAAACACTGAAAGAAAAGAACTCGAAAACCGCAAGGAAAATCGCGGTGTCTCATTCGATGAAGAATAATATTTTAGTGACCGCATCCTGGCTATCAACGAGGATGGTCCGAAAGCAACAAATAACTTTTTTCAATCAGAGAAGACGTCCCCTGACGCCTGCCAGACATCGTTCCGATTAAGAGCAGTAGAAAAAGTCATGACCCATAAATTCCCCATGCCCATTCGCCAACAATGCAATGATTAGAGCAAAACACAAAACAAGGCAGGTTTCAACATGCACAGGCATCATCACCATGCACGTCTGCCGGGGATCGAACAATCGCAATGAAAAAAAAAAAACCAGGCGATGATAATCATCAGCGACGCCAAGACACATGCACCGCGAACAAAGAATGAAAGGATCTAGACCTGTGCTCAGAGCATCCAGTCTAGTCCGTTTGCTTCTTCTTCCACTGGGAATACTTCGCGCGCATACTCCTCCATGTCGCGCCAACCCTGCCACAGATGCCGAGCCTCGTCCGTCACGCGCTGAGAGACTACACCGCCCGGCCCTTGCATCATACCGGCGCCAGCGCCCTTTCCACCGGCCGGACCCAGGCCCTTGGGCGAGCCCGCGGCCGGCTGCGAGAACTCGGGCTGCGGGAAGTAGGGCGCGTTGAACTCGCCGAACAGGACCTCGAGCGTCTCCAGCTGTTCCCTGTAACCCGGCGGGATGTTGACTTTGATCTCGATCTGAGACACGTGCACGTAGCGGCATGGGCGGCCCAGAGCGCGCGAGAAGGCCGCGCACACTTGGTTGGGGGAGAGGGTTTCGAAAGTGAGTGCGATTCTGGAAATTGAGCGGGTTAGTTCTGTGTCTCGGAGGTCGGGGAAGGGGTGATCCTGGTAGATCCGGGGAGGTTCCGGAACTCACCGATGACCGTGCCACTTCTTCGGGCCATCTTTGAAGATTTGTAGCAGCGTCGGACCGACGTCGTGCTCGGCGTCCAGCCAAGGGAGCGGGGTCTCCGAGTCGAAGGGTGCGTGCCACTCGAAGCTGCCGTCGGGCATGAGTTCCATCTGGAACAGCGGGTATGGAAGACTGGTGAAGTTGTTGTTGTAGATTCCGGCGTAGACGAAAGTCGCCGGAAGAGACAGCTGGCGCACGTAGTTCTCGACGGTGAACTTGGGAGCCCACTGCGGGACGGCGGGCCAAGGGCCGTGTACGGAGTGATCTGGCATGCTGCTGTAGATGTAATGGGTGATGGAACCGGAGCGTTTGGCGGCGTCGGCTAGAGCGCGGCCGATAGCGACCTCGTCGCCGGCCTGCGATGTAGTGTTGATGAAGGCGAACGAGGCGCCCTTGAAGAGCTCGTCCATCAGTCGGTCATTGCCGAGGAGGGGGCCCTGCAGGAGGGTCACGTTGGGCAAGGTCTGTAATTCATCCGCAATGATACCCTTGAGTGAATGAATCTGCGCGCGAACAGAATATCCCACGGCCGACGCGACTCGAATCAACGACGCCGCTTGTCGCCCGGCGGCATTCACCACGGCGATCGTCTTCTGCGGTTGTGTCATCCGGGACGGAAGGCTACTCTAGCCAGGATGCAGAGGGTATAAAGGGGGGAGGTATAAAGTGGATCTTGAGAAGAGAAGATGGGAAGAGGGCAAGATAAAAGAATATCCGGAGTAAAGGCCTTGGCGAGAATAAATGGATGTGAGGGCTTTGCGATAGTGGGGTACCTTGGGAGGGGAGCAAAAGTTGTATGTAACAAGAATCGCGATCAGACGGCGGGGGGGAGCTCCACCAAGGCTTAGAGGCAATTATGCGATCGAAACAGTCATCACGAGAAAGAAGATCTGCGAACAGAATTTTTTCAGGCTCCGTTCCAGTGGATTCTCTGTATGGTTCGGACCAGACGCGGAGAGAAAGGATAAGATAAAAGGTCAGGTGGTCAGCCGATATAGGGTTATCGATCGCGACGCCCTGCTATAGTGTACGGTGACGGGGGTCGGGGTCTCTGATATTCTCAGTCCTGCGTACTATACACTGGGATATAACTCCTTTCTAGCTCCTTGCCCCTTACAACACCATGGAGTCTGGGCTGGGCGGTTCCCCTTTTCCTTTACGTAAATCGGCACCCAGTCGGCTCCAATAGTTGGACGGGAAGATCCTAGCCCGGCCGCGCATCGGGACCCAGACTCGGCCTTGATTGTCTACTGACTTGGCCATGCTGAAACGATTTGCAGGGCGAGAGAAGCCGAGTAGGCTAATGCCAAGCCGTGCTGGTCCGGCTGGTTGTCAGTTGTTGTTCCGGATGGAGTAGTCAAATGGCGCAGGGCGAGTTCGTCCAACAACCTGTCAGGGGCGGCCTCACGTGGTCCTAGGATGTGGGTTCCATGGCTCCAATTGGCACGCGTGGCCTAATTATATTCGTGTGCGAGATCACCTGGACGCTGGACAACGCACGCTTTAGTTCTATAGCAGAAGGAGATAGCGATTCCGCCTCCCAAGGTACCGGGGTTTCACGGTGGTGTTTTTATGATGCACGCCCTTAGGGAGGCAGCTAGCTACTCGCAGACGTGCTTAACCCCGCAAATTCTATCGGGCATCTCCCTTGCTGCCGGACCCCGGTCGCCGATGTTTCAACGGCACTGACCGAGATGGGAGATGAGATCTCGACATGACAACTCCCACGAACTACCTATGCAGTATGCCATACTCAAAATTGCCCGTGTCCAGTCCAACATCACCCCAGGAAAGAAAATATGTTAGAGGCAAGGCCCTTCGCCTTTATCACCTTCCCCACTTGGTGTACTTTGACCCCTCGACGGTAAGGCCCGATCTCCGCGGACGCAAGAACCTGGATCCAATGGTTCGATTCCGTTCTGGCGTGATCGTTGCGCTTTATGTTTTTGTACTACCGCGATGATGTGACTGAGCTGCTCTAGGGCATACAGTATTAATACGGCATGTGAGCCGTTCTTCATGGTGCTGACCCGGCCATCATCCGTCGCCCGCCATCGTTCTCTTCTTCTAGCTCGCCCTGACTATTCTCGCCGGGGTCAATGCCCGCCAGTCTCCAAACCCCGGGTCGGCGATGGGCGAGTAATTCTGCTGCCGGTCGCTCGTCCGAATGCAGATGAGCCCCCGACTTGCGCAGGAGGTGCACGTGCTCCGAGAGCCCTGCATTAGCTGCGAGAAACAGCGGGGTACGGCCGCTGCGGTTGCGAAGGTGGACGGAACCACCCTGTAACAGGAGGAAGTGGAGAATCGTGATGGCAGGGGAAGTAGCCGCCAGGTGCTGGAACACGTAAAACGTCATTAGCGACATATATCAAAGAATGTGTGCAACGGCATTCACTCACGATTGGTGTATTCCCCGAGTAATCGGCGTCATTCAATAGCCAGTGGTGTTCGGTCTTCATGATCGTCTTGACCCGTTCTAAATCTCCATGCGCGATGGCGTAACCCATCGCGGTCAGGGTCTGTACGCGCCCGGGAAGGGCTCCGTCGGGGTGCCGGAACATCGGAAGAGAAGACTCGGTAAGCTCCCCGCGGAGTGAGACGGACATTTCCCTCGCGACAGTATCTGGAGTAGCACCAGGCAGCGCCAATAGGTAGGCTAGTTTCGTCAGTGCACCCTCGGTGGTCATGTCGAGGCCAGCAACAACGCCTGCCCGGGATAAGCTCATGCCGGTGGCATAGACTGGGCTGACACTTCCGGTGAGACCTATAACAAAATGACCCGTAAGCGTCAACGAACTAAGTTCCAGGGGACCAATCGACTTACATTGAGTTACATTGACAATCACAATGCCTCTGTTAATGGCGCTAGCCAGCACGTTGATCATGGCGTTATCCTGACCGGACGGGGCGTTTCCAGCTCCAAAGGTTTCCAAAATCAGGCCGCGGAGGCCGTCCAGTTTCAGAACGGCATCCACCATCTCGGGCTTGATACCCGGGAAGATACGAAGGCACGCGACATGGGTCGTGTCAAGGTTCGTTTGGATCCGGAAGTGCTCCAGGCTTGTGGGCCTGTGCACCATATTCCAGTTGACATTCGTGCGCATCGAAGTCGTGATGGCCAGCGGGGGACAATTTGGGGCGTCAAACGCCGCGAAGTCGCTCGCCGCCACCTTGGTGGTCCGATTGCCACGGAAAAGTTTGTTATTGAAGTACAAGCACACTTCGGGAATCATGAAGTGACCCGCCACGACGAGTGACCCGAGCAGATTGTCCGTCGCGTCATTCTGGAGCTCGAGCATGGGAGCCTGGGACCCCGTGAGCACGACAGGCTTGCCGAGGTTCTGAAGCATGAAACTCAACGCCGAACAGGTATACGCCAGACTGTCGGTGCCGTGCAGAACGACGAACCCGTCGTAGAGCGTGTAGTTGTGGAAGATGGTTTGCGCAATCTGCGACCAGCCCTTTGCATCGATGGAGCTGCTGTCTAGGAGCTCTTCGAATTCGAAGACGGTATAACGCACCTGCCGCCCATAGGCGGTGATCGGAGTGCGCAGACTGGGATGGGCCTTGGTATCGCCTGCGGCATTCGTAACCACGTCCATGTGGAACGAAGAAGAGCCATCGTTGAAGCAGGGTACCCGTGCCATGCACTTGTCCTGGAATCCCCTGGCAGGCACGAACCCGGCCGGAGACGGTTGCATGCAAATCGTACCGCCGGTCATGATGATCAACACTCTGGATTCCAGGACATTCTCCTCGGGCTTCGCATAACCCACGATGGGGAGCGAGACCTCTTTCGCGGCCATTGTAATTTTCAAGCTGCGAAATTCACGGTGCTCTCTCGCGGCCTGCTCACAGACCCGATAATAAATCCGACAGTTGAGATTAAAAAGACTTCAATTCCCCGGACTTTTGTCTCGATCGCAGCCCCTGGATCAACGCGATAAGCAGACTGCCCCTCGGCAAAAGACCAAGATCGTCGAACCGGCGGATTGTGGGGAGATGACGTCGGGCGAGAAATCTTTTCCTCTCCCGGGCGATTCCTTTAGTCAAACAAAGCACGAAGGCGGGACTAGAATTCTCAAGACCGAGAAAACCTCACAAATGTCTCTCCTAGGCAGATCGTGATTGATTCTTTGGGCCGAACGGAACCCCAAAGCGACTCCGAGCGTATTACGTACGGATATTTCATTGGAGAGAGATTTTCGCCGGTTTGGACCAACTTTAAAACGCGGCTCCACTCGGCGCTTTTCGACGCAGCCAATGCATATTCTCCGGACCTTGGAATGATCGACATGATCGTGAAGGGCAATCGAGACGATATCATGATTTGAGGACAAGTGGAAGATGTGTAGAAAATAATATCACGTGAAATTGGGGGGTATTCTATGCTCTTTTTACAACTCCTTCCAATGCGATGCACTTTGCGATAACGGTATACAGTAGAATGGCCAGCATCCACGCTCAAAGACATATTTACTCCGAAGATTCATCCAGAACTTCAATCTTGGTCTCTGAATACTCGGCGCTCTTGAACGAGCGGCGCCCACGGGCAAACCAGTCGACAGCGATGATGAAGAAAACGACACCGTAAACGGCAGAGACATAGTTCATATCTGGAGCGCGTTAGTCTTGCTTCTTGATTCTTTGGAAATGCATATAACTCACTGCTTGTCGTCACCGGCATGCTCGCCGGGAACGAGTACATCACGAGCGAAAAGATCGTCCACAGGATGGTCAGAATGTTGGCAGCCAAGCCGAGCTTGCCCAGCCAAAACGGGCCATGTTGAATGTTGTTACGTCCCTTGTACCACAGACACAGAACGGGGATCGAATAGGACATGTACAGGAGAGAAATACACGCCGTCATCATGCTGTTGAATGCGGTGGACGAGCCGAGATAGAGGAGGCCAAGGAGACCGACGATGAAGCAACTCACCGAGTGTGCGACCAGCGGCACATCCAGAGTCTTGTTGACCTGGGACAACCACTGGTGACCGGGAAGGCCACCGTCACGAGCAAATGCCCAGGCCAGGCGTGACTGCCAGGTGTGGCAGGCGATCTGGCAGCCCATACCGGTGACAATCAGAAGAGTTTCCAGAACAATGGCACCGGCCTTGTTCTCCAGAGCCTGGTAGTAAAGTGCCAGAATGGGGACTCCGGTGGAGGAGTTCACCAAGGCGGAGAGGTCCTTGACACCGAAGAACATGGAGATACAGTACGTCCACGAAGTCACGAAGCCAATGGCGACGGTGGCCATGATTGCAATCGGAATGTTCTTCTCGGGGGCCGGGACCTCTTCGGCAAGGTGAGTAGCGGAATCCAGACAGGCGAAGATCCAGTTCGGGTTGATCAGACCGACAATGAAGGCCATGCCGTCCGACTTCCAACCCGTGGAGTTGGAGAAGTGGCCGAAGACAAACTCCGCGCTGGCATGAGGGTTGGCGCAGGCTGGTACGGTGACCAAAATAACCAGGTAGGAGACCAGAGAGATGTACAGGGTGGCCTTGGCAACAGCGGGCAACAATTTACCAACGCAGTTGAACAGGAAGCAGAAGAAATTGATCAGCTGGTAAGCCACCACAATGTGCCATGGCTTGACCTCGCTACAAAGGAATTAGCATTACAAACGAGATTGAGGGCATTTTTTCGTACAATTCGGGGTGGCCCAGCTGCCACATGCCCACGACACCTTCACCCAGACCGAGAACGACACTGGAGCATGCAAAGATAGCACCTGCGTATCCAAGCCAGCCGGTCAGGTAAGAGGCAAAGCGGGCATACTTCCGCGGCGCCAGCTCGTGGGCCCAGAAGTACTGACCACCGGCATTGGGCATGGCGCTAGCAAGCTCAGCGAGAGAAGAACCCACGCCCAGCGAAATGACAGTAATCCACAACAGACCGTAGATAATCAGTGGCGTGCCACCGGAGCTGATACCGGTGATCATAGAGGCAGAAATACCGAACCACGAGTTAGACATGCAGAATGCAATTCCGACCAACGATAGAATGGAGAAATTGCGGTTCAAATCCTGCGTGTAACCCATCTCGGCTAACTTGGCGGCATCAGCATCGACAATGCCGGAACCGGAGCCGGAGCTGGACCCCTTGCTCGAGGCTGGTTTGGCGCTGGCTGTTTTTTCGAGGTCGAAACCTCCTGTTTTGCTGAAGTGGTGCATGATGGGGGATTTTGCGCAAGAGTTTATAGTATGGAACTGGAATCACGGTATGAATCGCTTAGGCTGTTTGTTGCATGGGAATCGTATTGACAATCGGATTGGCGCTGCGGGACGGTACAGATGCTGCTGCTGGGTTGTCGAGGCGCAGTTGGGTAACGATTAAATCGCTTGGGAATGTCGAATGCTGCAAAGGGATCGAAGGTTGCACGGCTCCAGGCACGATACGAGCAGCAATCAGTTACAGAATGCGATCTGTATAAATGGCTTCACTTTTTGTGTTTCAGCGAATTATCAACATGGGCGACAATTATCGAGACTTCAAGTCAGCTCGGGGCACTCCGAATGTATTGAGAGAAAGGGTGATAGGTAGTGATGGGTAGTCAAAAGCGATTCGGTTGAAGAAGAGCAGAGCCGGGAGAAGATATGAAAGAAGCCACGAACTAAACCGATCATCAACCTGTTTTCCCGGAAGCCATCCCCACTGTGCTATCCATAACAAATGCATTCCCAGTCTAGCATGTGCTATGACAGGTGAAATCTCACGCGAGGCTCAAACCGCACTTTCGATGTTTGGGGTCGAGTACCATCATTGAGCGGGTCCGACCCATCTATCGGCGGACGCTATACCGAAGTTGATTCACCAGGCACCCTTTCAGCTCGGAAAGCACCCGATTTTGCCCTGGTCTGCCCCGTCCTCTGCTGCAAACCTCGCTCCACGCACCGGCTAAGACAGGGGCGGAAACTTCGCCTCCACTTAGCGCGTGTGGATGCCGTTAAATCTGCGTTATTTTGTGCCTCAACGTCATAGTGCGGGAAGGCCGGATGGTGAGTCCGGGTTTCTATTATTCTCAGGCAATGATTTTCTTTTCTTTTAGAGTAGAATTATTGTCTTGAAGAGCATGGCGGCGTTCGGTTGTTCGCTGTGTAGTCATTTCTCCTGTAACGTGCGCTGCAAAATATGCAACGCCCTGGCGTTCTCTTGAACAGTGCAGAGTGGAGCGCAGATTTTTCGCGAAGCACCAGAACAATCCCAATGAGCTCAGAGTACCCATTCGATCACTTCACATCTCGAGAACGAAGAACAAAGTCTTTGGTACTGGTTCCGTCAGTCCCGATATCCATCTTCTCATGAGGGCTAAGATTCGTAGTGCACAATTCCCCATTTCATAACCCCTCGGCAAACCACAATTGAGATCTGCAAGCCACAGCCCTATTATGGTGCGTGATGGCCGTATCCTCGTGCATTAGACTGACGCCCCGGCCGGCAACTCCATAAGAGACCTTCTGCATGGAGTAAGACTCAATATGCAGGTCACCGACGGTAACCGGAGAGTACCCGCCTTGCCCGGTCGGTTTTGGTTGCGTTGATCTTTCTGCCTGATGGGCAGGTACATTACCGGGATCGTCAAAGGTCCGTTATGCCGCGAAGATACGTAGATTGAACTCTCTATGGCAACCCTCCGAGGTTCATGCTTCCCACCGGACCATTTATTTCTACCCAGGCATTTTAATTTCCCCATTTATCTTTTCTTGAATTTAACAAGGTATTCTTTATTTTGTCATTGCCCGATTTATATACATCACAGAGAAAGGTGCTCCTATTCTCCTGTGACCCTATAGCCCATTTGGATTAAACTGGAACAAATCCTCCTCCAGCAAGCCCATCATATACTGATTCCCCGAAAACCAGTTCCCCAACTGTGCAGCCTGCGACATCTCTGCCGTAGAAATGTCCTGATTTGGAGCCTGAGGCACAGGAGTGGAGAATCCAAACGCCTGTGAGGACGAATCCGGGATACTAGTTTGCATACCAGGAATATCCGTCTGATAGTACCCCTGGGCATTCGGCATGACATTCCCAGGCGCCAGGCCGAGCGCACTGAGATAGACATCGAACTCCTGTCCAACAGAGGCGAGCGTCTGGTCTTCGCCTGCTTGGCTTCGGCTTTTCGCTTCCACGTAGAGGCGGGCGACGGTTCCGAGGACGGAGCAGAGATTGTGGAGTCGATCGATTGATTGGGAGAATGCGCATAGTGGACGTAGGGAGGCGATGAAGTCTTCCAGCCGGGTTAGGTCTTCGCTGTCGGATGTTGCGATGACGAGGCAGAAGATTACGATGAAAGGGACGAAGGGGGAGACGAGAATTGCCCTGTCGTTGCGATTAATTTGAGGTGCATTTGTATGTGGAATGGTACTTACCAATGCATGTAAGAACATCTGATCATCTCGCTTGACTCTTGTAAAGCACTCGCACACATCTGGTGATGCTCCAGAGACGCTCGTGCCATTTCTATGCATTCGGGTATGAACGTGGTAGGCGAGCCCGACTCGGGCGATGGGGGGATAGCGCGGTAGATCAAAGTCAAGATCGCCAAGCGGCTGACCTTGTCAGATCGAAGATAGATGAGATCCACGTCATTAAGAGGAAGATCAGAGGACAGAATTTGCTAAGAAGCCTGGGTTAATAGCTACCTCAATTGGCTCGCAAATGGTCAAGACATACCTCGAATGGTTCAAAAACGGTTGTCTGCAGTTCAACGGCCAGGCGACGAGCATGAGCCACCCGCTCGTTTTCGGGCTGATTCAATGCCGCGGGACTGTACAGCAAGGTATATATCTTATTCTCGATCATGGCTTGCTTTGTCCATAGAGCACAAATGGTACCCCATACCCCGTTGCTCGTGAATGTCTCGAACGGAGAAGGCAAGCCGATGTCATACTCTTGGACCGGTGAGGCGCGACCCAGACGTAAAGATAACATATTAAGGACAGTAAAGACCGACCAAAATAAAATCTGCTTTTTCGCCTGCACTTCTGGAGGATCTTGTTCCATAGACGATATGCGATGATATCCCAATGTTTGACACATTTGAATAGCCATTGTAGAAAGAGTCCAACTGACCGAGGGTTTTGAGATCTCGATCCCGTGCATTGCCTAGATCCATTAGCATTCAAGTGATTTGGAATGAAACAAAAGGACAAAGCTCACTCCAACAGTCAGTGCAACAATGGTATCAAAAGTTGCGGGCATTAGGATGTTCAGATTGGCCAGTGCGGCTTCCAAATTATACTTGCACAGTCGCGTGTAGTGTTGGTACTTCTCCAGCTCAGCATGATCTTTCTCAGGAATTTCGAGCTCGATGAAGACGTTATAAAGTCCCGCGTTAACTGTAACGAACGTTGCATCGGAGTAGTCTTCAGTACAGAAATAGACTTCACGACACTTCTCCGTGAAATATTCGACCGTGAAGAACGGTATATAGCCACCAAATGAAGACGGGGGGTTGTCTGTAGAGTTCAGTGAGGACAACACTTGGATATAGGCAATTTGAAGGCACCATACCTTTGATTCTCCCTAGGAGAGTTAGAACAACCTGTAGAGGCGGCATCTCCAAATCCCGGACATCGCGGTGGGCACCTTGCCGATTACTCTGGCTAGAGAACTGCCCTCTCCGAGTATCATTGCCTCGCCGTTTATTTTGCATCTCTACAATCTGCTTGAGGGACGATAATGCCTCGCTGATCTTCGGACTGGAAAGTACCTCAGGTGTGCTGTGCGAGACTGCAGATTCAAGAAACGCCCTGGCATATGCCGAATGGGCAGCTAAAGAAGAATTACCCTCAAAGCCGGAGCTAGAGTCGTGCTGCTCGATAGCTGCATTGGATGTATATCCGGGCTCCTTGATGCCTTCGTGCTCTTGTCCATTAGGTGGCGATTGCCGTCGGGCATTGCTCTGAGGCGATGCCTGAGATGACGTCTGCATTTTAATTGCTGATGATCCATTGGAGTGGGATGAGACTACCAGCTGCCGGAGAGTTTGCTCGATTCCCCCAAGACGGTCTTCGATCATATCAATCTTCTTCTCACTGCGAACTTTGGTTAGCCCGGCATAGTCCCACCCCCACCACGCTACATACAGCAGGCAAGGCGAAAGTTTGAGGAATACATACTACTGGCTTGAAATCAATACCCGGCGCCTCGGCTCCTGCGGTCTCTGGCCTTCACCAGTGGAACGACAGGCAATGTTTGAGCTTCGACAATTGGAACATGGGGTGCGTTTATCGCACCGAATCTGTAAAAGGTGTTAAATCAAACGCATCATGCAATATAGAGAGGCTTTTTATACTTTTCGAGAACGGCACTGGTCGCACTATACATTTTGTGAGTCGTGATTGCTCTGGAATGTCTCGGTCCACCGAGTCCTCTGGGGAAGTGGAGCACATACTGCACGTCGGGCCAAAGCACTTGACCCCTCACCGCGGTCGGAACCCTCGGGTTCCATGACAGGGGCAGCCACGTAGGGATCTGGTCGAAAAGAGTTGCACAATCAAGGTGTAAAAAGGGCTGTGCAGGTCCAAGACGGACCCGGTGTTGCCTTGTTGGAGGTCACGTGGTCAGGAGCCTGGACTTAAAAAAAAAGAGCTACGAGCTACAAAGACGGGTCGATGGGCACAGGGCGATCCGAAGCGGTATTGAAATTCATGGAATCTTTCATTCGGCGTATCGCGTCATCCCTTAAGGAGCTTTGTCCAGCATGCGCGGTGTCTCTTAGTGTGGGGCAGAGCGTGTCCAGCACACGCATCCCACCAGTGTATAATAATCTATCCAGCAGAAACAGAGAAAAAAAAATCAAAACAATATGTAATGCAAAGGAGCGCAAAAGCCAGGCTATTTTGGAGGGGGTGGTGAGCTCCACGATCCATCACTGCGCCAGACCGCGGTGGGCCCGTAGCGACCGGCCTCGGATCCCCGCAAGAATGCAAAACGGAAGAAGAGATCCTCGGGTTCATCCTCGGGATCGCTATCGGCCAGCAGAACAGACTGAGCACCAAATGCAGTCTCTGAAATGTCGCGGCGTTCAAGTAGAGGCTCGTCATTCTGCAGCTCCAGACCGTCATGGCCATGGCGATGCCAAGTGAATTCACCCAGTTTGTCCTCATCAAGATAGCCACGCCAGCGCTCTACGTCGTTGAGCAAGACCGAGACACCATCCACGTCAAGTTTCTCCATGCGGTCGTGTTCCCACAGCGCGAAAGTGATATTGCCATTGCCGCGATGAGTCTCGTTAGATCCAGGCCCGGGAAGGGAGATATGGACGGAGGATTCGGTGATGTTTGGGTACGTGGCACCCCACCATCCATTGCTCCCACTGCGGCCTGGGGCCAATTCTCCCAAGGCAGCGGGGGTCTCAATGATGGAAGCAAATCCCCAGCGAGCAACACCGTTGATGAATAGACCAAGCAGCAGCCCTTGGTAGAACAATGATGGACGAGTAGGGAACGCGGTGCCGGGCATAAGCAGAATTGCCAGGATGTAATGATGGATGCGGAGTCGCAGACCAGGTAGCGGAAGAAGAATGAAGATCACGAGAAGGATGGCACAATAAATCTTGAGGTAGTGGGGAAGCAAGCCACCCTGGCGAATCTGCCATGCTTGGGTAAGAACAATCGTGAGCACAGTGGGAATGACCAAAGCGAGCGCTAATTTTGCGCCCGGCTGTTGCTGAATGTCCATGGGTGTCAGACGCTGGAGTGGGATCAACCGCGCAAAAGTATAGTTGTTCAAAGCTCCAATGAAAAGCGGTGGGAGGAACAGTAGCATCTTTTCGAACTGATAGATTGGCGATGAAATCGGTTGGAGAAGCGGAGCGGCGCAGAACTTGAAGAGAACGTAGACAACGAACGCCGCGGGGAGCAGTCGAGACAATAGGGTGGAGACAAGGTCGGCCAGGAAAGGATAAGACGGCGGATCCGCGACCAGTCCGGTATGGGAGAACACCATGAAGAACGTACTGAAAAATAGCACAGGCGGAGAGGTACAGAACAGCCAAAGAACCCCGACGGCGGCCGCTGTAACTCCCAGGAGCGACCAGCGCGGATCAGCGGGGCAGTTAGTTTGGGAGGATTGCAGCTCGAGGAAGCTGAAAGCCTTGGGGAAGGTCGAGGGGAAGGCTTCCGACTTGATGCCATGCTGCTTGACCGACGGGAACGAGTGCGCCGCGCCTTCAAGCTTCACGACGCCGCAGCCACCGTCGTTCGAGATGGCACCTGCGTGAATTGCCGCTTGACAAACGAAACTGTCGGCGCGATAGATCGCGGGTTCGGACGAATGTGGTTGCGGCCCTCCGATCACGAGTCCCTGGTAGTTGAATGATTGGTTTCCAACAACATGGGGCTCTAGTAGCTTCTCATCGCGGCAGTTCGCAGGGCATCGGAAAGCGACGGTCGAAGAGGAAAACGGGCGACACCCGTTGCCATTGAGGCCACACCCATTATCGAATTCCCTATATCAAAATCAATTAGCAAATGGAAATATGTAGTATACGCTCTGATTGTACGCACCAGAGATTCGTGCCGCATGAGAGTGTCTGCAGCTGGCCATAGCCTTCGATATAGCCGGAGGAGCGCGAGTGCACAAGAACCGAAAACCACGGTACGAACCACGACACATATAACAGTATGAGAAGCGAGATCTTGTGTTTGCGCTTGGGGAAGAAGTGGTCTAGGTACTGGACCGGCAGTTCCTGGACGCGCGGGAAGAGCGGCTTCAACAAAAGCATATGCGGAGGATCGGGGCCTTTGATCCAGTTTGCGGTCGCGCGACCGGCTTTCCTCAGCGGTAGTGGTACCCAGCCCCAGCGAAAGGACTTGGATGACTCCTGCAGCCAGACCGGCAAGGTGCTACCGCTACCCGCTTCGACATCGGGCGGTGGGAGATCCTCGGAAGTGTCGGGGTTGCGCTCATCGTCCTCGAGCAGTGGCGGAACATAGAAGCGACCGGCCTCTTCGCGACCCTCTCCAAGCATGGCTAAAGGCTACAGGGAACCTTTTGGAAGATGAGTCGGACGACGAGTCGGAAGACGTCTTTGAAACGAACGGCAGTTATGTCGGTGTCGGAGCAGTCGGCACGCTAGTGAGTGGGGATTCCCCAGTGGGTTCACCAGGATGATCGTCAGCCAGGAACAGGAACACCCAGTCTCTGAGTTGATCAGAACACAAGTTAGATAATATAAATGGGTATAAGGGAGTGTATGAAGAAAAGAGACAAAACTCGCGCGAGGGCAACCGGGGGTTAAAAGGACTCAAAGACAGGCAGGAGGCCAGGCAGCCAATCACAGGGCCTCCTGTCCCCAGTGGCGACCCCCTTCCAGTCTGGAGAGAGACATTCTTTTACTATGGTATACACTGCGTCAAGTCACGAGCCTCTTTAGCGCATCCCAGTCAAGTCCAGGGGCTCGGGATATTCTCAAAGTCAAATCCCTTGAAGGTACACACTAATGCAGGACAGTACGACGCGATCTGTTTCCCCGCAAGTGCCCGTCATCACCTACGTTAGTGGATGGGCGTGTGCAGTGGCCATTATGGGGGGAATGACGCAGTTTAGATATCGATAAATGTATCTAGAAATACTTTTAGCGAGCGGCTAGAAAGATATCCAAGACATCTAGTAACGGATTTAGAAAACTGAAGAGCGCAGAATGTGTTCCGTCACGTGAGGGAATGGGCATATATATTCAGCATAATTGAGCCGATCAACGCATAACATAGGTAGCATACTCGTTTCTCAGTTATGACCTCTATTGATGAGTTGCTACTAGCGGGAAGTATTTAAAGCTATACTAATCGTGTGGAAGCTCTCAAAATACACGGTTTCCTAGTGGCGCTAATCACACTCGTAGGCATCTTGGGATGCTCCCTAGGGTACACATTCAGCACCTAGGAATAAGGTATACGAGTACACAAATCCCTAATCGGGTATTTCTGGCGGTCTAGATGCCGTCTCGTCGAGATATCAAGCACTCCTTATCTCCTCCCCACGCACGGATGGGCCGGAGATGCCCCCGATGCTTATCAAGCACGACGTTGGGACCAAGGACTGTGCGGGGGTGGGATCAACGGAGATTAGAAATAGAAATACTGTAAAATCCTCCGTCTCGATTATTATTAGTTCTTGGTCCGGCCTAACATCTCGTTTTGACTTCTTCTTGTGGCGCACCTGCAAGCACGTTGAGCGTGCAGCGATCGTCAATCATGACAGCCGTGACTCCACCCGTCGACCTGTCGCATTTTTACAGCTACACCGCGAGTAATCGCAAGCCTAGCAGCGTCAAGGAATTTTACAAGTACTTCCTCATCCCCGGAATTGCAAATTTCGCCGGCGGTACTACTTTTCCCTATACCCATTGTAAACAACCAACTAATTGGATGGCTCTTCAGGTTTACCACACCCCTCATACTTCCCTTATGATACCCTTGAAGCTACCGTCGCCCGCCCCCGGAGACTCCAGCCCACTTCCGATAAGGACGCCATCCCAGACCGAGTGATCGTCCCCAAAGACAGCGGAATCCCCGACCCTCGGCTCCGCATCGATTTGACAACCGCGCTGCAATATGGCACTGCCGAGGGCTACCCTGCTCTATTATCGTTTCTGCGACAATTCACCCGGGATCATCTCCATCCGAACGTTCCCTACGCTGGAGGTCCTGAGATTTTACTGTCCTGTGGAAACACCGATGGGTTTTCCAAAGCGGTTGATCTCTTCACCAATGTCTGGAATCCCGGTCGGGACTGGATCCAGCAGCGTGAAGGTGTCCTGTGCGAGGAGTTTGCATACATGAACGCTATCCAGACTGTCCGCCCGCGGGGATTGAATGTGATTAGCGTCGCAATGGATGGACAGGGTATGTGTGCTTCGGGTAAGGGTGGCCTGGCCGACGTGCTAGAGAATTGGGACTTTCGCCGCGGTCGCCGGCCACATCTGATGTATACCGTAACGTGAGTATATTCCACTGCTTTAAAGATGGTCCAATGCTGATTAATATCCAGAATTGGCCAGAATCCCACTGGAGGGACACTGTCGGTTGAGCGTAGGAAGAAAATCTACGCTCTCTGTCAACAATACGACGTGATCATTGTCGAGGACGATCCATATTGGAATCTACAATTCCCCTCGGCGTACGAGATGGAAGCCCGTCACCGTGGCTCATCTCAGGAACCCGGCCCTGGTATTCGGAACTACAATGAGCACGGCAAATCTTCGGGCTATGCCTTCCTAGACTCCCTGGTCCCCTCCTATCTGTCTATTGACACCGAGGGCCGGGTAGTAAGACTAGACACATTTTCCAAGACCGTCGCACCTGGTAGCCGTCTTGGTTGGATTACCGCACAACCAGCTGTCATCGAGCGTCTGACTCGGATTACTGAGACCACGACCCAACAACCCTCAGGATTTGTCCAATCTCTGATCGCTGAAATGATCATTGGAAAGCAAGACGCCGATGGAACACGCGTCTCCCAAAAGGAAGACGGCCGGGGTTGGCACATGGACGGCTGGGTCCGCTGGCTGGAAGGCCTGCGTGGAGGTTATGAAAGACGCATGATTGCCATGTGCAACGTCCTCGAGGAGAATAAGTATCTTCTCTCCCAGCAATCCGAAAACTCGAAGACTACAAGCGATCACGTCGATGACTGGGAAGTCGTGGATCGAGTTCAGATGTTCGACTTTGTCTGGCCAAAGGCCGGCATGTTCGCCTGGGTTGAGATTCTCCTGGATAGCCACCCTTTGAGGTCCCAGTACAGCGCCGAGAGACTTTCCAAAGCTTTATGGGTTCATCTCACCAAGAAGCCGCATTTGTGCCTGGTCGGACCCGGCAGTTTGTTTGCGACGAGTGAGAAGTCTGCTGCGGAGGCTCACAGATACATCCGTATCGCCTTTGCGCCTATGGATGCTGAAGATGTGAAGCCATTCACCTGCAGACTGGTGGAGGGTGTCCGCGCGTTTTGGCAGCGGAAGAATTTGGATGGGTTGGAAGATGAGGATGCAGCAATGGCGATGCAGGGTTTGAAATTGAAAGGCGGTGCTAATTTCTTAGGGCCTGGCTATTAAGACATTTAGATCGGAGATGTCGTGCGATGTCAAGAATATCTATGGATATAGCCTTGGAGGTGACTTTTATTTTCTTATCTTAAATTGTCACAAGATCCAATATAATGTCTCAACTTATTATGTTAGACCTTGGTCGTTGCCCTCCCTGAGTAAGATCCATCAATAAAATGTCTTCTTGTCGATATGAAGAGAGTAGCATTCAATCTTTGTCCGCGGTGAGCGAATCATGTTCTTTTCGGGAGAATTTCATCCTTTCCGTCTACCAGCACCAGGACTATGGCTGGATGTGTTCCAGAAGATCAAGGCAATGGGCTTCAATGGAGTCTCTTTCTACACGAATTGGGCCTTGCTTGAAGGGAAAGAAGGGGACTTCTCTGCCGAAGTGTCTTCTCACTTGAACCGTTCTTTGAAGCTGCGAGCACAGCAGGTTGGTATCGTGTACAAATGACCCGTACATGTAACTAACAGATATCAGGAATCTACCTTCTCGCACGTCCCGGGCCCTACATCAATGCTGAAGTTAGTGGTGTTGGATTCCCAGGATGGCTAGCACGCAACCCGGCTGCACTTAGGACCGCTGAACCCGGGTACCTGAATGCTACAGAGAATTATGTGTCCAGCATCGGCTCAATCATTGCCAAAGCTCAGATCACAAAGGGTGGTCCCATCATTCTTGTGCAGCCCGAGAATGAATATTCATCAGGAAACCCGCCCTTCCCGGATCCTGTCTATTTCCGCGACGTTGAAGAGCAATACAGGAATGCTGGGGTCGAGGTTCCGTTTATCAGCAATGATAATGCGCCTAATGGATATTTCTATGATCAGGGTCCCCCGGAGTGGCCAATCTATGGCCATGACAGCTACCCGATAGGTCAATCAGAGATCTTAATATGATCGAGAATTACAAAGCTCATACGTTCTCTAGGATTCGACGATAAAATCTACCAGTGGCCGGCCGATGCGCTCCCAATTAATTATGGTGATCTACACGAAGAACAAGCGCCCGATACTCCGTACTCTGTCGTCGAATGCCAGGCGGGAAGCTGGGATCCCTGGGGTGGCTACGGCTACAACAAGACCGCCGCAAGGCTAGGTCCCGACTATGAACGAGTCTTCTTCAAGAATATTTACAGTTTCGCAGCAAGCATCTTCAATGTCTACATGGGTGTCGGCGGTACTAACTGGGGCAACCTGGGATACCCAGAAGGGTATACCAGCTACGACTATGGTGCGCCGATCACGGAGCTCAGAACCGTCGAGCGAGAGAAATACAGCCAGTTGAAGCTCCAGGCCATGTTCCTCCACTCTTCACCTGCCTACCTCTCTGCTATCCCGCAGAATAATACATATGCCAATGGCTCCTATACTGGAAACCCGAAAATCGCGACGACTGCGCTTTTTGGAAACAAGACTAATTTCTTCGTCATTCGTCATGCTGCTTATAACTCCCTGTCTACCAACGAGTACAATATTACTCTTCTCACTAGCAAAGGAAACGTCAGTATTCCACAGCTTGGTGGGTCTTTGTCACTTGTTGGACGTGATTCGAAGTTCCATGTCACGAGTTACGATATCGGGGGCATCAACATGCTTTATTCCACTGCTGAGATCTTCACCTGCAGAAAATTCAGCAACAAAAACGTGCTGGTTGTCTATGGTGGACCTGGAGAGACCCATGAGCTTGCGATTGAGGGCGGCGCACAGCCAACCGTCGTGGAGGGGAATAATGATCTCGTCAAGTTTGGGAACAAGCTTGGGTCAACAGTCATACAATACACTGTTGATGCGGAAAGAATCATCGTGAAACTCTCAAATGGGCTTTACCTCTACCTTTTGGGTAAGTCACATCGGACGCTCCCTAGACTCTGCTCTAACTTTGAAAGATCGCTATTCTGCATACAACTATTGGTCTATCGATTTACCCAGTGACCCTGTGTCTGGCAACTACACCAACGCAGAATCCTTTTCCTCATCCCCGATCGTAAAAGCGGGCTACTTGCTCAGAACTGCCAAAGTGATCAAGGACGGTATTTACCTGACCGGGGACTTCAACGCCACCACAGATATTGAAGTCATTGGCGGTCCCGAGCAGACCAAGTCGCTTTTCGTGAACAGTAAGCCCATGGAATTCTCACAAGACTCGCACGGAGTCATCAAATCAGTTATAAGATTTGCCGAGCCCAAGCTCAGCTGGCCGGATCTTTCAAAGACTGGGTGGAAAGTTTTGGACTCCTTGCCAGAGATTCAACCAGGTCAGCGACACAAAAGTCCTTCACTCTGACCTTGTTCTAACAGTCATTTTATAGGTTATAATGATGAATTGTGGACCTCTGCATCCCTAACCTCGAGCAACAATACCGAGCGCAACCTCACTACACCGGTCTCCCTGTACGCCTCTGACTACGGCTACAATACAGGCTACCTCCTCTACCGTGGCCAATTCCGCTCCAACGGCAACGAGACTCTGCATCTAGAGACGCAGGGCGGTTCGGCATTCGGCCACTCGGTTTGGCTCAACGAAACATTTGTGGGCTCGTTTTCCGGAGCCATCACAGCGTATACATGGAACCAGACCTTTGCTCTTCCCACACAGAAGGGACAGAACTATGTTATTACCGTCTTGGTTGATCAAATGGGTTTCGAAGAGAATGGGTCAGCCGGAACGAGTGAAATGAAGACACCGCGTGGTGTGCTCGATTACTCGCTTTCCGGACATGAGAAGTCGGATATCTCGTGGAAGATTACTGGAAATCTTGGAGGAGAAGATTATCGGGATCGCACGCGTGGTCCGCTTAATGAGGGTTAGTTCTCTTGGAGTGAAGTCATATAGTCTTTGATATTTTCAGTGACTCACTTCTTTCACTCTACAGGTGGCCTATTCGCAGAGCGACAGGGCTCTCATCTACCCGGCTCACCCATCTCATCATGGAAAAGCAGTGACTTGGGACCTATGGAGGGACTTGAGGGCCCTGGAGTGGCATTCTACGCCACATACTTTGACCTAGATATACCAACCGGCTACGACATTCCAATCTCTATATCCTTCGCCAACACCACCGATGAGACCTCCAGCGTTCGCTGCCAGATCTATGTCAACGGGTACCAATTCGGGAAGTGGGTTCACAACATTGGACCGCAGGACATCTTCCCGGTCCCTGAAGGCATTTGGAACTACCATGGTAGTAACTACTTGGCCGTCAGTCTGTGGGCTCTTGAAGAAGGTGGTGCGAAGGTTGAGAATTTGGAGCTGGTTGCTGGTCCGGTGGTCCAGAGTAGTTATCCCCGACCTATTGAGATGAGTCCGATTTCGAAGTGGCATAAGAGGCCTGGGGCTTATTGAATCATATATCCATGATTAGTCGAAATCCGTCAATATGCGTTCTTCCATCATTTACGTCCATCTTAAACAGGTTAAAAGCGTGGTGTAGATATTGATGCCTTGATGCCTGACGATAGTCGTGTGGGGACAGTCAATTTCGCGGCGGCGTGCGAAGTCGGCATTCTTCACTACGCGGGGCCTTGCCCGAACAATGTCGCAGCTGGACGATTTACAAAACCGAGACCTCGCCGAGGAGATTGAAGCCATCAATGCCATCTACGAGCCCGATACCGTCACGGTGAGCCGGGCGGCCGGCGCTCACTCCAACAGCACAATCGACTTGGGGTCTTCCGGTATCTCAAATGACAACACGCAAACAACAGTAACACTCCAGATCCCCGGTCAACCACATCTATCTTTTCGGCTTGGCTTCGGTGCCACATACCCGGAGGCGCGGCCTACAGTGCTTGGGACTGCGTCGACTGCCGCGCGTGGGGAAGGAAAGATCGCCGTGGATGTGTTGGAAGATATTGTGCAACGAACGTGGCAGCCCGGTACTGTCTGTCTCTTTGATGTGATCAGTGAGGCCGTGGAGGTATTCCCCGAGTTGAATATCGGTGGAAACAAGGACAATGATGAGGCTGGACCGGCCGAGTCAAACGCCTCAGGGCAATCTTCGAGCAAAGTTGCCGACGAATCCAAGATACCGGCAGAAGGTTTTGCTGCGCTGTCATTACGCGATAGGTTCGGTCTCGATAACCCACCCGACTGGATTCTCTCCGACATCATCACGGAAAAGAAATCCGTATTCCTAGCTCGAGCGGTGCAGGTCACCAGCTTGGGGCAGGCACAGGCATTTCTAGACCATCTGACAGCGACGGATAAGAAAGTGGCTGTGGCAACGCACAACATCAGTGCCTGGCGGATCAAACAAAAGAAAGACGGCGGGTCCAGCACTGATCCTGATGCAGCGGAGACGGTGGTTCAAGATTATGACGATGATGGAGAGACCGCTGCTGGGGGCCGCTTACTGCATGTGATGCAACTCATGAATGTATGGAACGTACTGGTTGTCGTCTCTCGGTGGTATGGAGGAATCCACCTAGGTCCTGCGCGCTTCCGGCTCATTAATGATGCCGGGCGGGATGCTTTGGTCAAGGGTGGTTTCGACAAAAAGGAGAACTCGGCTGCTCCTGAAAAGGGCAAAAAGAAAGGGAAGAAATGAACTGCTCTTTTGCAGTCTCTTTTGGTACCCTTTTCTCTCGAGAGTCCGTCTCCGTGATGGTGGGAAAGGATCATTGCGCTGGAAAGTTGCTCGCTTGAGATATTAGCACCCTACCCATTCCCCCGCCGGAGGCATAGTGCCAACATGGCACCGAGGGCCCTCTTGGTTACAACCACCTGCCAGTATATGAGGGTGAAGATACATTTCTCTACTATGTTTACTGTGGCAAGTGATACGCCTGCACCTTCCGGGTCTGAAAACGCGATGGCAGCATAGGTCGCGGTTTGCTCATAGATCCTGAACTTGTCCCTTCGGACATGTCAAGTTCCCGAGATCATCACACTTGGTTTTAAACAAAGCATTGAAGAAGCTTATCTTCGGCCATAATTGTAGTCTCCGAAGAATTGGGGCGGCCCTCACGTTTAGACACGGGGCCCGGCCCTACTTCGATCATGTTGCTCAAGAGCTTTTAGCAATGTTCAATTCATAAATCACGACTGCGACTGGGGTATTCTATGACGCCATTCCAAGGTTGGATTGTTGCAATCAACTGGGCTTTATTTGTAGGGTTGAATCAGTCGGAAATGATAGGCGAAAGGCGGTAGTATCTGTTCCACAAAATGATAGAGTCGACTGGCATCAGAGAAATCGTTCCTGGCTGAAATCCTCTCGGTGGGCATGCTGGGGTATCTGGACATTTCATGACTTGGGAAATATCAGGGTCTTCGCCCCAGAAGCAGACTTCCAGCCACATTGGACCTATCGTCTTGGCATGGCAACGCCAACAGCATGCCTTCCCGCGCAATTAGGAGTCGATACTACCTTGGGCCCACAAAGAGCGTGCATGGGACAGAAAGTTTGATTGCGATGAACATCAATGAAATTTCACCCGTCCACTCTTTCCAGTTTGGTTGGAATTTGAGCTTACGACGCGCTTCCATGGGTAGCGTGGCCGACCGTACGTCCCTTTCCGCGAGAAAGGTGTTGAATAGTTAATATCCAGCTATATTTTTGGAGCTCTGCACTTGTTGATCACATTGAGATTAAGTTGAGGGGCTGAAGACGGAAGAGGCGAGTTCAGAATCGATTCCAAAGAGTCCGGCGTGACCATGAGGCAGATAGAAGTGGCATATCCACGAGAGAGATTTGGCCACATCTCATCAAAGCGCCTAAGTTCTGTTAGCAGCGAAAGCAAAGTTGTAAACACTTAAAATAATGTCGAGGACGTACCGCGAAACCTCTTGAGGCGAGGCGCCATCCAAAGTAGGATCTTCTACCCAGCGGTTCTTCCGCAATTCGATCGCTCGATCCAGTTTAGGATGGTAATTGTGATACTCCGCAATTTCCTGCTGCATAATCAGGTCCCAGCGATCGCGAAATTCGGCCCAAAGAGCTTCATGAGTTGGTCCATAATAGCAAGTGCGGAATATAACAAACCCCCAAGCGGACCATTGATCAGAGAACTTGAAACCATTTTTTAAGCTATCTAGGTAGGGAGAAAAACCCTCTCGCTGCGCTAGCTTTTCATCTTTCTGGTTTTTGGGCATCCGCAGCAGCCCGAGCCTCTTGGTCGCGGCGTTCCGTAACCTCCATCACATAGTCAAAAAGACCAGCTTCGCTGAGACCATTGAACATCGTTGTATGTTGTTCGTCTGTTAAGCCCATAATCTCATCATCAGATGCATTTAAGACCCGATTGTAGTCCCATCCCGGCGGGTAGAAGGACATAGTCACGAATGGTAAGTGAACAACACAATGAAGCAATAGATGAAGAGAGAAAGAAGAAAACCCCTCAGATAGGGGGAGTGGGTTACATTACGCAAATTAGGGGAGCCTAAATGAAAGCGGCCTGCTGGTGAGGGTGCGTTGCACCGCAACGCTAATTTTTCCATAATCCATCGTTTTTCACCCATACTAGAGTGCGCCAAAGCCCACGCCAACCCAAACCCAACTTGGGAGTTTGTCCGGTCTTACAAGAATTTTAGACTTCTAGTTTAATTTGAGAACCACCAGTGTACCATGGAATGAGGGAACTGATCAGCAAGTCAGAATCGGTTTTGAAAGCTTCACGATCGAGCTCACGACAGACTCTCTCGAAATCAGGCATCCACACATCAAGGTATCGGGATCACCGAGATTGGTGATGGGGCCAGTCCACCCGAGGGACGAGAATGCAGGGAGGGTCGAAGACAAGAACTGTCATTCTATCAAGGTGCGGAAGAGGTTCAAGATGGGGCAGTGATCAACTTGAAACGGCTAACAGGCACATTTGCTGGGCTTTTTTTGATGGATCGCTCATTCGGATGCGGAGAACTGTGACCATGGATTGGCCGGCTGTCACTCTTCATATATCGCAGGGAGTAGGTATCCGCAGACTAGGGTCTTGGCTGCTCTAGATCATGATTCTTCTCTTTTTTTTTTTTTCCGAGTCCAAGGCAGTCGCAGTGGCATCCAGAGGACGGCTCAGATGCACTCTGCGCCAAGAACTAGATGGACCCTGAAACACAAAAACAAAGCTCGGCTGACACATTCAATGCCTCCCGAACCGGGATATCCACCGGCGCTAAGCCGCACCACGTCGGGCCTTCATTCACGGGCGAAGAAGGGCTAGTATACCCACAGCTTTGAGCATTACCCTTGTCGAGCCGATGTGATGCTACCGGAAGCCACTGTGGATCGGAAGCTCATTGCCGAGCCCCTGGTATATCTTAAATTCCGACAAGGGTCAAGCATAGTGAGAACGCAGTGGTGCAAAATGATTGCCTTTAACCAGAAAACAAGCCAGCTATAGCCATGTCCAAGATGCGCTGCATCATACGGTTAGATCAGAGTTTGTATAGGTCGCAATGGCGTGGATGCATGGACATGCCAATCGCGGGCAGGGAAGGTGAAGGTGAAGGTGAAGGTGAAGGGTGGAGCTGTCAAGTCTGATGAAACTGAGCCGGCCACGAGTGCAACCTCCAGTTTCGAGCTCACGGGTGGCACAAGACGGCACTGAAATCGGCATTGCCTCGATGATTCGCAGACGACCGCTAGGAGAACGGAGGGCGCTAACGGGCAGACAGTCTTGGCGGTCTTGGAGGCCCAGACACATGGAACCCTTGGAACTCGTTGGAAACCCCAGCTTCATGGTGCGACAGGTCATCCCCCTTGACTCGGGTGGACCGTGCCTTGGGCCAACTATTGCGCCCAACTATTGCGCGGGTGGTTGGCTCGCCACCAGTCGCCAAGCTCGGCTCATTTAGTAGATCGCGCTTCTGCTGTCATGATTGGTTGGGGCCTCCTTGGCCTGATTACCACTCAAGTTCGCGATCTCTAACGTAATTCACGGCCAACCCGTTAACACGGCCAACCCGTTAGTCCACCTCCATTACCAATTTTCTATTCAAGATAACTCCACCAAGAAAGTATAAATTCATCTCAAACTAGCGCTTCTTACAACGATTAATCTTATGCCCTAACTCCCCACACCCGCTACACCTTGGCGGAGCCCTCTTGCGTGGCAAATCTGCCTGACTAGCTGATTCGCCTGCCTCACGCGATACCACCGGGCTATCTTCAACTGGCTGGTCTGGCTGCTGAGCTAGCAGTTGGCCCTCTGCGATAGATAGGCCTCCTTCATGTGCTATTTGTCGATTCGACCGTGTACGTTTCTGGCGTTTCTTCTCGTTTGCTCTACGTAGACTAGCGTTCTCCTGCGCTAGTATCGCAGCGTTATACATCGATAAATAAGCACCTTTGATAATCTGATCCACAGCAGTTTTTGAGGGTGACGGAGGGCTATTTGACCGCTGTCTCAATAGATTCTTGAGTAAGGTAGCCTGCTTTTGTAGCTGAATCACTGTTTTAGGCGTTTTTGGTGTGAATTGGCTAGATCTACTGCTTGGTCGGCTTCCTGGCGGTGTTGGCGTTCGGAGCGAGATATTGAGCTTAGAAAGCACACGCTCTGGGTCAAACGGTGTAAGACCAGTAGCAGCGAAGCTAGTCTGGATAGTCTGCGGTTGAAACGCCTCGATACGCGCCCGAGGGTAATCTGCGAGAAAGTCGAGCTTATCGATGTGGTTATAGCCATATCGGGCGAGGTCGCTCACGAAGCGACCGTATGCGCGCTTCAACGGAGCAAAACACGCAACATCAAGCGGTTGGAGTAAATGCGAAGAATGCGAAGGCATACAGAGCGGTATAATATTATTCTCAGCGCAGATTCGGTCGAATTGAGGTGTAAGGTGGCTACCGTGGCCATCAAGAATTAATAGCCGATATCGACCTCGTACGCGCGAATTCGTATATGGAATGAAGTGCTTCTGTAGCCAGCGAAGGCCTATCTCATCGGTAGTCCAGCCGTTATTCGAGACCTCAATCCGCCAATCGCTAGGCAGATTTGATTCGAACCAGCCAGCAATATAAACCTTGCCTTGAAATATCACACATGGCGGTAGTGCGTAGCCATCGGCGCATATAGCCTCGATAGCAGTAACCCATTCGCGGTTTCCTGGCTGTAAGATAGAGCGCCGACCGTAGTATTCAGCTCGCGTAACCACCTTCTGTGACGATATAAGGCCCATCGCAAAGCCCGTCTCATCAAAGTTATAAATATCCTCTAGTTGTATCCCATTCTCATCGACCACGCGCTTTACGGTATTAAACCACTCTCGTATCGACTTCGGATCTTCATTCAGGGCGCGCTGGTAATCGTAGCGTCTCGAGAAGCGCGAGCGGATCTCTTCGCGGCGTTTAACGAAGGATGATGTCCAATTCACGCCTACAGTAGGCGGAGGGTGAATCCCACGAGTGGCCAGTAGGATATTAGCCATCTCTCTCACAGTAGAGGGCCTAGGTGCTGCACCACGCGAATCCATAGAGATGATCCACTCAGTAAGCGAATCCTCTTCTAATTGTGTCATTTTATGGCTATGCCAGCGTTTATCGACGCGTGGAGACGTTCCGGTAGCGCGGTCGTGGAGGGTAGTGTAGGGCATATCGTATAGCTTCGCTGCGGCGTAGAGAGATTTAATTTGGCCCTTTTGCACCGCCTGAAGGGCTAATAGGATCCTGCCCTCCTGCTCAGCAGATTTATGCCAGGATTCAGAGCGATTTGGTGGCATGGTGGGTAGTTGAAGATGGTAGGTAGGACTGGACGCGCGATTTCTGGTGGGGCTAACGGGTTGGCCGTGTTAACGGGTTGGCCGTGAATTACGTTATACTTCGACGGTGCAGGAAAATTGTGAAACATCCCATCTTTTCTCGAATGCTATCCCCACTCGCCCTGCACTCAGTGCAGCGGGATGTGATCATTGTCCGTCTCCGGGGTTTGTGTGTGGAGGATCAAACGTCGGAAGTATCCGATTGATTAAATCGTGTAATGATGGGATGATGGGATGATGGGATGATGGGCAGCTGGATCCATTTCCAGGGACCTGACGTTGGCTCTGGCGGCAGTGCCGACTCCAGCTATACATATAAAATCTCCCGGCGCCAATGTTGCATGTGTTTTTTCTTCTCTCGTGCACTTCCGTCCTTCCCTTCTTCCCATCTCGGTTCGACTTCAACAGGCCAGTCCTGTGTTCCTTTCCCTTGACTTCCTTGGTAGTCTTCGCCTGTGGCAGACTCCGACATTCATTCCTTTTTTCGCTTCTGCAGCTTCGTCTATTCCAGACCGATATCTCCAATTCCTCTCTGTGAGAGCCAAGTCTCAGTCCTTGACATTCCACGACTATTCCATTAGCAGGATTTGTTTAACAAGGCATTTCCTGTTCTTTCATACAAAGGTATTGTCTCCTGTTGTCTCATTGTCTGCCTTTGATCTGCTTTGTCAATGGGGCTGGTGAATTACGTCGTTTGTTTCACTCTGCCTATGACACAATGCCTTTGGAGGTTGCCTTCAGGCTGCATGAGGCTCCTTATATACATCCCACGTTTCTGATCAGCTTCCATCCCTGTCGTTTTGGAATATCATGTCCTATTCTTCACATTTTACTAACACCCCAAACGCAGGAATCCTCTCTTTTCCCACTCGCGACTACCAAGATCCAATCCTTTCTTGTTTGATCCCATTCGTCTGGTACAAAGCGGATCTACTATTGCAACCTTCTGTCGAACCAGAAAAAAAAAGTCCATTGTCCAAGATGTTCGTTAAGTCGATGCTGGCGGCCATGCTGGGCGCCTCCGCGGTCAACGCTCATATGGTCATGACCAACCCGGTGCCCTATGGCAAGGACACCCTCACCAACGCCCCAATGGCGGCTGATGGCAGTGATTTCCCCTGCAAGCTGCGCAGCAACACCTACGAGGTCACTGAGGAGAACAAGATTGCCATTGGCGAGTCCCACCTTCTCACTTTCCAAGGCAGTGCCACCCACGGCGGCGGTTCGTGCCAGATCAGTATGACCACCGACCGCGCTCCCTCCAAGGACACGGAGTGGAAGGTCATCAAGTCCTTCGAGGGCGGTTGCCCTGCCAATGTCGACGGTAACCTCTCCGGTGGCTCCACCATGGCTGATCCCTATACTTTCAATTTCACCATTCCCGAGGGCATTGAAGCCGGCAAGTACACCCTCGCCTGGACCTGGTTCAACCGCATCGGCAACCGTGAGATGTACATGAACTGTGCTCCCGTCACCGTTACCGGCGGCTCTTCCAAGCGCTCCCCCGAGGAGCAAGTCTCTGTTGTTGAGAAGCGTACCGCCAATTTCCCTCCCATGTTCGTTGCCAACGTCAACGGCTGCACCACCAAGGAAGGCGTCGACATTCGCTTCCCCCAGCCTGGTGATGATGTTGAGTTCCTGGGTGAGCCCGCTAACCTCGCTCCTGAGGGTTCAGCTGCTTGTACTGGTACTCCCACGTTCGCCGGCTCGGGCGATACCAGCTCTGGTTCCTCCAGCTCCGGTTCCTCCAGCTCCGACTCTGGCTCCGGCTCCGGCTCCTCTGGCTCCAGCTCTGGTTCTTCGTCTGCCGCTAGCAGTGCTCCCACTGAGACTTCCTCTGCTGCCCCGGCCCCGACCTCCTCTTCAACCCTGGCTGAGACCAGTGCGCCTGCTGTACCCGAATCTGTTCCGTCGTCCACCCAGGTCGCTCCCGCTCCTTCGTCCTCGACCAGCTCCGGCTCCAGTTCCAGCTCCGGTGCCCTTAGCGGCCCCTGCAGCAACGAGGGACAGTGGAACTGCATCGCCGGTACTTCCTTCCAACGCTGCGCCAGTGGTGCATGGTCGGCCATCACTCAGATGGCTGCCGGCACCACTTGCAACGCCGGCCAGAGCTCCGAGTTGTCCGTTTCCGCCTCCAAGATGGCTCGCCGAGTCTCCGAGATGCGCTTCCGCAAGCGCACCATCGGTGGCCACCACGCTTGAGTATGCTTTTAGCATAGACCCACGGCATCTGCTGGTTTCGGATACTGTCTTCTTTTCTCTTCGCTTCTCTGCATTCTCTGCATCATTTGCATCATTTGCATCATTTGCATCATTTGCATCATTTGCATCATTTGCATCATTTGCATCTTTCTGTTTCCTTTCGTTTCTGATCCTGGATATAAGGCGCCCCAGGACGGACCCTCTTTATTTCGGTGCACTTTTTTGCCCTTTTTCATCGTGTACATTTTAGAGATGGGACTTCGGAGTAGGCCATCTCACGAGCTTTGTGCAATCAAATGTGTTCCTATTTATCATCAGTTGTTTTTACTGTAATCATCGTAGAGAGGTAGTCCAGTAGGGTTAGTTCCATTTTGAAGTAATGCGAGACGTCCAAGATCAAGTCTACAGATCTGTATGTAGGAGGCTTGGAGGTGATAGTTGACAGCACTAGACCCACTGAGTCTCGCCATAAATGATATTCCGACACGGACAATTTGACAGTGACGAAGTCTTCGAATCTTCAAGTAGGTGACGGATGTAGTGGCAGCTCCACAAGGGTTGATTGAGTAGATGAGATGTCAACAATGATCAATTCAAGAGTGGGGCCTTATTGCCTCAGGTGTCAATTACTGGTTATGTCATCGTGCGCTAGCGCCTTTGGGTGGCTAGGCTAGTCCTATTATGGTAATCAGGGTTAGGGCTAGCGTGCCCACGACCCGCAACTCACAGTAAGCGAAAAAATCCACAGGTGAGGCTTGACGGCAAAGTTGGATCTTCAACCTCACCATCGCCAATCGACAACAATGGCCTCTCGCCCTACCGTCTCTATCGCCACGGCTGAGGGCAAGCCCTCCGGGGCTTCCCACCCCCTGCCCTCGGTCTTCGCCGCCCCCATCCGTTCGGACATTGTCCAGTACGTCAAATTCGATCTCGAAAAAATGTGGTTATTCAAGATGGGAAATACTGACGCCTCATCTACAGGCAGGTGCACGCCGGTATGGCCAAGAACAAGCGCCAGCCCTACGCCGTGAGCGAGAAGGCCGGCGAGCAGACCTCTGCTGAGTCCTGGGGTACTGGTACGTGAAGAATCAAATTCTCGAGATTCGAGTGAGAACGACCAAAAAAACTCAATTCGAGTCCGCTGGGAAGGCATTGGTCACAACAGACGCTGACAAGATGATTGTTACTGAATAGGCCGTGCTGTTGCCCGTATTCCCCGTGTCTCTGGTGGTGGTACTCACCGTGCCGGTCAGGCTGCCTTCGGTAATATGTGCCGTTCCGGTCGTATGTTCGCTCCCACCAAGGTCTGGCGCAAGTGGCACCAGAAGATCAACCTGAACCAGAAGCGCTTCGCTACCGCCTCTGCTCTGGCTGCCTCTTCCGTCCCCGCCCTCCTGTTCGCCCGTGGCCACCGCGTCGCCAAGGTCCCCGAGGTTCCCCTCGTTATCGAGTCCAAGGCCTTCGGCACTACTTTCACCAAGACCAAGGCCGCCATTGCCCTCCTCCAGGCCGTCGGTGCCGGTGAGGACCTCGTCAAGGTCCAGAAGTCCAAGAAGATGCGTGCCGGTAAGGGTAAGCTCCGTAACCGCCGCTACCGCCAGCGCCGCGGTCCTCTGGTTGTCTACAACCCCGAGACCGATGGCAAGGAGCTCGTCAAGGCCTTCCGCAACGTTCCCGGTGTTGAGACCTCCTCCGTCTTCTCCCTGAACCTCCTTCAGCTCGCCCCCGGTGGTCACCTCGGCCGCTTCGTCGTCTGGACCTCTTCCGCCTTCGAGGCCCTCGACCAGGTCTACGGCACCACCACCACTCCCTCGGCTCTCAAGAAGGACTTCCTCCTGCCCTCCAACTCCGTCTCCAACGCCGACCTGACCCGCCTCATCAACTCTTCTGAAATCCAGTCCGTTCTCCGCGCTCCCAAGGGTGACGCCCGCACCAAGCGCACCAACGTTCAGAAGAAGAACCCCCTGCGCAACAAGCAGGTTATGCTGCGTCTCAACCCCTACGCCGCTGCCTACTCCAAGCAGAAGCTTGGCCAGCAGAAGGTCGAGGGTGGCAAGCCTACTCGCGCCGCTGCTGCTTTCGAGCAGGTCCTGAAGGAGGAGTAAACGTGTTTTCCTCTGTTCTGGTAACGGTGAATGGATGAAAAAACGGTAGTCTCAGAGCAAAAATGAATCAATGCCTTTTTTGCAATATCCCTTGGGTTCATTTGGAGTAATAATATGATCATGATCGATTCTATATTTTCGTTTGTCACCCTCACCCGGGAACCCCCCTTTTTCATGCACCATGGTAAGTCCTGTAGATGTAAACCGAACAACATTTTTCTGGTAAGTAGCAGCTACATCAAGGTTCTATCAAGATCCTGCGGCCTCGGTATTCTACTTATAATGCCAGGAATCGCCCCGTACAGACTGGGTTACCCAGCCTAAATGACGGCTTTGGACTATTTTCGCCTGTTATTTTGATTTGAGACAAGCTCTGGGGTCCAAAGCTTTCTTGATATTTTGATTATTTGTCACTACTCTGCCAATTTGCAATTTTGGTCCCCGAACGGACAGTAGTATCACCGACGGCCAATGCCCTCTCCTGGGTAGATCGCGCCGAAATCTCCAGGGCTAGATGTGCATTCCTTTATAGCAAATCCATTTTTATCATACCCTTGGGACCTTGAGAGATTCTTAATGTCGTGTCTTGCCAGCTTGAGTTGCAAAGTAATTCAAGTTGTTTCGTTGATTCAGCGTGAGCTGACCGAGTAAATATATAGATCGCCTCGGCACCTGTTGGTAGCACGGAGATTGATAATGATTCGGATAACCCGGGTGAAACATGCCAGCTGCCCGGCAAAACTGAACTACCTATTGGATAACCCGAGAAGATTCTAGGCACTGCAATGGGTTTGTTAAACAGGTTATTTTACCAGCACCGAGAGGTGTGATCAGACTTGATATGCAGCTGGCAAACTTGAAGCACGAGCCTACAAATAGAGTACAACGAGAGGTCACAACTCAAATAAAGTCATCTGACGCCATTGGCAACGTGTTCATGCGAGTCACCGTCTTTCCCTATAGCCTGGGCTGCCCGGGCCCAGGCCGGAACAAAACAGATATCAACGGGTATTTACAATCACATGCCTCCTAGTGGACTTGACCTAGGTCCACGGAACATGTGTGTACATGTATGTACGAGCAGCAGGTGTAACTCAACAAAAGGATAGAACGGAGGCCGTGGAGGTACTAAATAGATTAAGATGAAACATGCATCAGTAACCCTCGAACTAGTCTCCTCGGACCCGTTTCCGGTCCACGAAAAATGCGACCTGTCAAGCCGGTGATCCCAATCGAGCCCGGCGATCATAACCCAACGTTGAGGCTGAAGCCTAAGAGAGCCGGAGTCCGAAGCATGGAACTACTTTTTAGCTGAAACGCGGAGCAGGAGGAACCAGGCACCACCGGATACACCACAGGGAGAAAAAAAAAAAACCCTCAAATTACTTCACATGCCAATTGTTCTAGAAGCACAATTAATTAGACTTTTTCTCGGCGCCCGCCGGTTCCCAGTACCCTTGGAGATGGAATCCACAGAAGGGGGAGGGGTGAGTGGGTGAGTGGGTGCCTATTGGGTTGCTGGATTGATTGGATCTTACGAGATCAATACATGGACCCCTCCTCGGCTCCAGACGGGGGGTGAACCCAGTAGGCAGGTCAGTCATCAGGAATCTGCACGGGCACGGACGAACGCTGGGTTTTCCGGGAAATTCACCCGTCACTACCGACGTCCAAACGAGTCCTGTAGGTCATCCAACGGGGCGAAGATCAGAGGCCGTGGCCGGGTGGGCACACGGTTGCCAAGAACACCGTCAGGTTCCGGCGGCTGATAGTCGCCAGCTTGAGGCCTATCCCGGCGCGAGTGGAGATGATTTACGTCAGGGGCCGAAACGGACCTTCCTTTAAAGTACAGCGGGCTTGCCCTTTCGGTGTCTTAGGGATCGCATCTAGCGTACCATGTGGATGGTAGCGAGACCAGGTGACGGGTGAATTGAGTTTTTTTTATTGCTCCCTTTGTTCGATGACACAGTTCGCGTTGACGGGTGGCTTGGCTCTCGGTGCGACACTGTGAAAGCTTCACAGCAGCCGAGTTACAATGGCCACCCGCTAGTGAGCCCGTGAGTTTAATTGCACGGTAACTGGGGCAGATGCAACATGGGGAGCCACTCACTAACCGTGACCCGTCAGGTGTCGCATTCCAAGGTTTTTTTGTAAATGTAAACAGAGAAACGTGGGTCGGAGATTTCTTCGCCTCCGGTCAAATTAATTCCCGTACGGAGTAAAAGGAGTACAGTAAGCATAAATGCGGTCGGACGACCATCGGGAGTTAAGCTCAGCATTGACCTCCGATGAGAAATTACCGATCTGAGGGCACGAGACAAGCCCGTAGGTGCATGCAAAACTTTGCAAAAATTGCAAAAGTGGCAACGATTGCGAAGTCGTGATTTCGCCCGTTGGAGACCCGTTGCAGATCTGATAGCCAAGGTCTTTTTCCAAGGTTGGCCCATGGAGTGGTGTGCATGTCTCACCCTCACACGAATCGGTTCAGGGGGGTTGCAGCACAGAGTGCGGCGTTGCGCTACCGGGAGTTCTCTCCGACGCTACTCCGCAGAGTTTTAGTTTGGAGCACGGGTCATGCAAAACATCTCTTCTCGCAGTAGTAGAGTCGTAGTACAGTAGTGTGGCCAGGAACCGGGCGTTAGTCGTTCACCGATCCACCCTCGGTGAAAGGACGACGGGATCTGTCCCTTTTCCTACTTGCGATGGATCTAGAGGCAGCTTGGCGTGTCTGAAGTCATTCCCAACATGAATTGTCGGTATCCAAGTGAAAAGTCTATTGCCTGGAGACTCGGGATATGGTATGGAAATATCATCCACCATATCATAGTCGAAGAAGAGACAACGTCGCAGCCGGTAATTGTTCGGAACAGAGTAGGGTCCGTGGGTGAATTGTCCAATGGCGTGATCTTGCCCTAACTCTCGTAGAGTGCGGGTTGCGGATTTCTCGGGTGGAAATGCCAGATGAAATTGTGCTAATTGCCCTGTACAATTCATGGATTGGATTCTTCCCGGTCGACTCTGGGTTCCATGAATGATACATGGGTAATTTTTTTTCTGTCTCTTAGACTTTGGGTGTAACCCGGAACAGCAAAAGCAGGGGCTGAGACTGCGGCGATCCCGACTGACGGCTTGCAGATCGGATCGCCGTGCCTTTGAGACATCGCTACGTGGTCAACGGAGTTCTTCGTCGTTGGAGCAGCAGGTTCCGGTGGGTTGGTGGCTCGGTGGAGAGCTGGCCCATTGGACGTTGCCTGCTGCCTGGATCCCTGCTGGCAGGGTTACTTGCATCTCAACCCCGTAAGCTGTTGCTTCTGGTGAAATAGGAGAGGAGATGTATCATAACACGGTCAAGGTGCGATGGTAAACGTTGGATAGATCGTGGGTGTACCCGTACGGAGTAGAAGATTCTGCCCAGGACAGTCTGGCCGTTTTGTCCGAAAAGGGGCGTCAGGGCCACCTGAGACCAAACATGCAGTTCAGCAATAACCTCAAGCGAGGAGGGTCTCGGCTTTGAGTCTCAGAACAGTTTAAACCACTCCGGAATTAAAACACTGGGGGAGGGGAGAGCACCCGAACCACTCCAACCGAGGGGGGCCAGAATTTGGGAACCCATCGGAGTCCACCCAGTCTACCGCACTACGCGATCCAGCGATCTTCACGGAGGCTTTCGGCCAGATAAGCCCTGCGGCCCCAACGCTGGATCCAGGAGGATTTGCCCGTCTAGGCATCTAGTCGCCCGCGCCACCCTGCCGCCCATGACCATGCCCCGCCGGCAGGGTATCCACGGCCGTCATTCCCGTCCCAGATCGGCTTTTCCTCTCCTCTCCAGCCGCGCTCTCCATTTCTTCATGACGATCTGTGCTGGCGCTTCTTTCCGACGGCTGGACTGTTGTAACCCCATGTCCACTCCCTTGTCGCAAATCAAACGCCCTTGTCCTCATTCATTGGATGTCGTGCGTCCTTTTACATGAGACTCGTCAGGAAGCAGGGTCATGTATCTCATGTCCACCTACATCATGGGGAAGTCAAACGTGCAAGTTGATCTCACCTGGGAGGCCCGGGACTAACGCCTCTAATACATAAATGAAGCCTCCACCCTGGAATCCGGAAGGTTCATGATTTAATATAGAGGTGTAGCAAAAAGGCCGCTCTTGGCTCATCCGGCACCCATAGAGGTTACCCCCCAACCGTCGAAGCAATTGGCGTAGTCTCGAGTATCAGAGCCCTCTCCACCGGGCAGGTATAACGGCAATGAAAATCAAATGCCGTCTGACAAGGTCAAGATTGCGCCAGCAAACCCCCCATCCCCCCCCCATCGGCGATCCGGAGGCAGCGTCTGACGACCGAATGCCGAACTCCTCGGACCTGGTAGTGGAACGGTGCCTGGGAGTGGTCCCCACATAATGCGTTATATTGATCTCAATTTTTCGATGGGGTGGGATACTGAATTTAAACAACGTAGCTCTTGGCGTGCGGGACTGGTAGAAAGGGCCCGAAACCATGGGTGGGAATTGTCGCATAAATTTGCACTTATCCGCCGCATTTATTCCCATGTGCCTTCGGTCGCCCTTTATGAAAACAGGCGCGGACGGGGCGTCCCAGAAGAGTATAGATCGATCCCGTCGATCGTATGGTATGAGTCGTAAAAGTAGTTAAATTAAAAGAAATAAAATTCATTTTTTTGAAGTACTTTTGAGACCTGTAATTATCACGTACCCATAATACATACTGTGACTCCTGCCCTCTTCTGAAGCGTCGTTGAACCCCTCCTTCACTTTTTTCTGGTCCCGCCTTGTTTCTTTTTCCTTGTTCGGTCTTTTCAAGGTTTGGTCTTTGTTTTGGGTTCCATCCGTCTTTGCACTTTTTCAGGTAATCTCATTACCGGGGTCGAGTATTTGCTGGGCTCGAGTCCACTAAGGGAGAAGAGAAGCGCTCGGGGCAAACCGCTGTCTTTTCCCTCTAGTTTATTTGAATTTACCGCGGGGACGCTACTTTTAGCTCTCGTTCCAGGATCCCCTTGCAACGGACCAGTGGCGACGCTTACGACCAGGCTACTTTTCCCTGTATAGTCCGGGTGCGTGCCACCATCGGCTCCTGGATCCTTCATTCCGACTTCATCACGACCGCCAGGCCAGAACACTTCAGTCCTTTCTGAGATCAGGGCTATCTAGGGCTTGTTCGCTTCATCTGCCTATCTTTTGTTGGTCGCCTTTTACATTTCGACAGTTCGTGCCGACACTGGTTGTTAGATTGGGTAGGGTTGTCGTCGCTGTCGCTACCTGTCTGCCGTCCTTTTGATTCTCGCGACCAAGCGTTAATTTATTGTTCAACATTATCGGCTCGTCTTTCGCCACCTGTTGGGTTGTTTGGTGTTTGCGAGTTGTCCGACTATCGTCGCATTCTTGAGCGTCTCGACGAAACTCATGCAAATCACTGGGATCCTGCCCTGCAGCGCCACTGGTATATGAACATGCACCCAAGGCCAAGACTGCCAGAACTGTTTGCGACGCATTGGTCTGAATTTGTTATCGACTTTTAACCGCTCGGCACTTGCATGCGCCGGAGCAGACACCGCTTGGTTCGATTTCCGAGGACTGAAATCGGTCTTCATATCTGTTCGAATTAGCCCATTGGAACTGATCAGAGTTATTTGAGCTCTGAGCAGGCCGTGACTGGGAAGTTCATCGTTCACGATCATTCGGGTTGGCATTTTGATCTTATACTGCATTGCTTTTAATGGTAAACCGACTGTTGCGCTGGACTCCGTGCAAGTCGAGTTGGTACGTCTGAATTAGAGGGGGTGTTCTTGAAGTTACTGCTAAATTGTTTGATTCACTAGACCTGTTGCCTTCTCTTTTCTGTTCACTTATCGGCGCCTCAAGCAACCGGCCGGTAAATCTGCCTTTCAGTCATCGCAGTCTACAGACTTGACCTCCGCAGTCGTGCTACTGAGCACACTGAGGACGACAGACTAGCTACTTGTGGAACGGGTCTTTTGGCTCTCATGCGAATGGCCTTCTGCTGAACGATCCACGCACTCGACGCTCAATCCAAACGCCCGTCATGTCAGGTTACTACGTTGGACCCTTCGGTCGTATGTTATCATCCAGAGACGGCCAATTACCGGAACAGCCCTCGGAGCGCCCAGCTAACCGATCAGTATCTGGGGAAAACCCATACCAGCTTCCACCTCCACGGACACTAACAAACGTCCAATTTGGATCGGACCCTTTCCGACGACACGTCCATGGAGAAAATGTCGAGCCAGGAAGAGGGCCTGCACAAGCAGAGACCCCTTTACAACGCCAACAGACCGAGCAACTTCCATCTGTCAGGCAATTGTTGACACCATCTACGGACCCGAACCCCCCTCCTTCTTATCCTCAAGCATTCGGAGCACCTGCACCCACCATTGACCATCGCGAGCTTTCTTATCCACACCGGCATCATGATCAGAGCTTAGCATCACAGATGACTTCGGTCGGGGCGCAAGACAGAGCAAAATCCCGCTCGGAATCGCATCCACAGCCCCCGACTGGTCTTCCACCTTTGTCCCAGGTGGCCATGAATAATCCTAGAGACTTAAAACATCACACAGCAACGCGAAGTGACCCGTCGACAGCATCTTTTCAACACAGCCAACTACATTTCCACGGCACCCTCTATCACGAAAAGGCCATGAGTGGTGACCTCTCATCGCCAGAAAGCGGGAGTCGGAAAAAGGGGTCATTGCTTCCTCACGTCGTGGACGAGCGATATATCGACGGTGAAGGAATTTGCTACATCTATGCGGATGGATCTCACTGCCCCAAGGCCATTGAGGGAATCCCGGTCAATGCAAACTGGGGTGTTACCAAGGCAGGAAAGCCGAGGAAGCGGCTTGCACAGGCGTGCCTGACATGCCGAGAGAAGAAAATCAAGTGCCAACCGAACCTGCCCAAATGCGACCAGTGCCAGAAGTCTGGACGTGAATGCAGGTTTGAGAGTGCGTAAGTACTCAGCCTACACCGGCCTCTAGAAATGTTGAATACTGACGCTCTTCAAGCCCTCGTGGAAACCGCTCGGCTTTGAGAGCCTCCCACTCCGCGGGCCCTTCTAGCAAATACGATTCAAAGGAGGGCCTTTCACCAGGCAGCCATGGGGCTTCGGATGTCTCCCCTCTGTATAACATGCCACGAGCCTCGAACAGCCCAACCTCTATGCCAGGAACCGGTGGACAGTCGCCGATATCCGAGGGACCATCGGGAACAGAAGGCACCTACGAAACAATGGCCGACGTGGACAGAGCATACCGGTCACGAATGTACAGAATCCCACACCTTTTTGCTGGAGATGAATCGGTCGCACGACACCCGGAGCATATCGAAGCCAATCGACTCCCCGAATACTCTGAGATCCTGGGCGAACTCAGGGACATCAACCCCAACGACCCGCTTGCAGGTTCCTGGAACATCGATCCATACGAAAGCGACCCCGACATGACCGTGCATTATGTCGAATCATACTTTTCCAACGTGAACGACGGCCTGTACCATATCTTCCCACATGCACGATTCATTCTGTGGCTGAAATCGTGCCATACGAAATCCGCCGAGGACAAGATGCTGCTCTATTCGATGATGGCCTTGGGATCGATATTTTCTGATCGATCTGGTAAGGTCGTCGCATTGAGGGAGTATTCCCGCATAGCGCGCTTCGCCGTTCAGAAGAGTCAGCACAAATTGTCTTTGCAGCTTGCTCAGAGCCACTTGATTTTGAGTCTCTGGTATTATGCCACAGGTTCTTTGGTGGGGTGTTGGGACTCGATCGGCGCCGCAGGACGAGCGGTCTCTGGCTTGCGGTATAATATGGAGTCCGGAGGTGTCATTGTGGATCATAGCCAGGTTTGCGATTATGGGTTGCACCCGCAGGCGTTGATCGAGTGTCGTCGCCGAACATTTTGGGTTGCATTTATTCTGGATGTAAGGACCTAATTCTGACCGTGGGCGAAGAGTAAATTGCTAACATCATCCAGAGGGTTTCGAGCTTATTTTCTGCATCCTCGTCATTCATCTCATCAGAATCAGTATTGATCCGACTGCCTTGCCGAGAAGAGATATACGAGGCACAACAATATGCCACGGCACCATATTTCCAATCCGTCCTCAACCAGTCTCCTGCACCAGAAGATGACCGGTCAACCCTGAGTTCCATGGCGTTTTTAATTCAGATACTATCAATCTGGGGAGATGTCTCCCTCCACATCCTTCGCCTATCACACATTCCGCCGGACGGATACACCCGCCTCGCCGAAGAGTTTCACGTCAACATCATCCGTCGAACCGAAGATTGGTCTCGGCAGCTTCCAGAACATCTGGCGTTCTCACCCATCAACATGGAGCGGGCCAGTCAGACCAAGGAAGCGGACACATTTGTTTTGATCCACATGTTTTACCACGCTACGTTGATGAAGCTCTACCGACATGCACGATACCAGGGCCTCCGATCTGAGGACCTAGCTCAGTACATTCACCGAGCTCGTTTTCATGCAGTGGAGACCCTCCGTATCGCTCTTGCGGTCACTCAATACGCCAGCGAAATGCATTCCTCCCGATCCCCCCCGGAGAAACCATCACCCAAAGCTACCTTGTTGAGCCCATTCCTAGGCTACGCAGTTTTATCAGCGGTGGACGTGCTCAGCGCAGCCGGCCTGGTCGCTGAGTTACCGGATTGTATCTCTTTCATCAGAGGAGCGCTCGGCATGGTCCAGCTTCTCGGCCGCCACTGGGACAGCTCTCTCGAAGTGACGAATCTCATCCAGAAGCGCCTGGACTTGATGATCGACTGCCTTAACGATCGCATCCGATGCCAAGATAAATTGGGCTTCGCAGTGGATGGTCCGTCACTCGAAACGAAGATCCACGCCGGTACTTCACCTTCTCATCCGCCTGGGACTCTTGATGAGGATCTATTCTACGGGTCCATGCCGCGGGAGGTACTTTTGCACGCGATGCGAGTCGATGACAGAACGTTTTCACAGCCTAGCATCGTCTGGCTGACGGACCGCTGATGTTTTCCGCCAAGGATAATCTCTGATTTTATGATTTTCGTTTGTACATTAACGACATGATGGTATTGGTTTACTGTATGTCCCCACATCATGCCCTCTCCTGGCCAGGGCAAGCTGTTTCTTTAGCCCCTGTATTATAGTACAGTCATTTTTCGCTCGTTTTTGAGTCATTTTGAAGCGTCTGCTGCATGTATTACTATCTACCATGGAAATTATTGTTGCGGAATTGATATTTGGACTTCCATCAAAGATCAAAATAACGGACTTGGATCATAATGCGAGACCTCCCCCCCCCCCCTCCCAAAATTTGAGGCCCAAGGTAGATATGTGTAAAGTAGACAAATCACTCCCCCCATTCACTTGGGTCATACCATTTAACCCATACCACTTTCCCCTCAGACGGGTCCATGATAGTAGCGTAGTGCGTTTCTTCATTCAGAACCGGGTAAGTGGTGAGCCAAGATATCACTTCTTTCTCACTGATAGCCAGATCAGAGTCATCACAACGAGACATAGAAGCCTGTCTTCGCTCCATTTCCGCTTCCTTTTCCCTTTTCCGCCTCAGGCGCGGTGATGACCGCGTTCCCTGTGGCTGATCCGACAGGTTCTGCTCGGCCTCCTGCCTCTCGACATTCTCGACACTCTCGACCCTTTCCCGGGCTTGCATGTGCAGCTGCAATTTCTTGTCCCATCTGGACTTTATGCAGTCACGTCTCTCATTACTGTCTTCGATTAGGTCTGCCATGGTCTCGATGCCATCTGAGACCAGTGTGAGACCCGCATGGTGGTGTCTTTTATCTTCGGCGATAGCTTTCAGAGAAGTGTCAGACTGTTGGTCGTGATTGGTTGTGACGATGAATGAAGGTGAAGAGCGCACGATTGCTGTGCGGTGGTCTTTCTCCATGGTCACCGTGGTTGCCCCGTCGCTGAAGATGAAGTAGGCAGCTGTCGTGGGCATGCTGGGAACATTTTCAACAATGCTTTCCAGAGTCGATAGATTTGAGCCCCCAGGCCGGGCAGACGGAGAAGAAAAGATGCACTGTCGCAGCAGTGACGAGATAGATTGCCGAATCCCAAGAAGCACGAGAACATGGTTGGAATAGAAAGCCAAATTCTTCGAAGTGTCGTGAACAGGCCTGAAATTGAGCGAGGCGCTGAGACCCTTCCTCACACCCGTCAGGACACCCACATACCCAACATACGTGACCGTCGTAGCAAGCAGCGTGGGGTCATCTCCTCGCCTAAACTCTAGTTGAACGATCAAATCACGCAACGGATCCATACCCCAGTCCAAAGTCCGGAAGTGAAGCATTTTTGTACTGGATCCGCACTTGGTGCGTACACCACCGCTCGTACAGCCCATCAATAGATCGAGCACCGTATTGAGGGAGATTAAGAGGTACATATCAATATCCGTGACGCGGCTAATGCCGCGAAGCTCCTCTGTTTCTTCGTCGGTGTACAGTTTGCGCAAGAATGACCGGGCAAGGCAATGAACTAGCTTTAAGGGGATCTTGGGCGAAATGGACTGGATCAGCTCGTCGAACATGCCCCTTAGAGCCCGCATTCGATCTCGATACAGGCTGGCTAGTTCAACATAGCGCTCGGAGGGGGGCAGTGACAGGTCGATGCGGAATACCGGGGGCGGGTTACCCTCTGGGATGCTTTTTTCATCCATGGCGATCCGGTTTGTGGGTTGAATCCAGGTGAAGGTTACGCCGTGGTTGCCTGGGTCGTGAAGCGGGCTAGGCTCAAATGAGATGCGGCTCTGCTTTCTCCGCAGTTTTCACGCGTCATTTCCAAGGCTTCAGACCGAGGTAATCGAAGGAAATTAGAAGTATGGAGAGACGGATTAGTACGTAAGTATTAATATTTCTGTTATCAATTGGTGATAATGCCCGGCTGCTTCTTATATAGTTCAACTAAGACGGCTTCGCAGGTAACTGGAGACTTCGCCGTAGTTCATGTGTAAGGTACCTAGGTATTGACTCCGTCCTACATAGTAAATCTACCAAGTAAGAACAGTATTCGCCAAATTGAAATAGACCTATGGATTTAGGCATTGGTATCAAAAGATCGCAGGTCAAGCCGTTGTGCCTGCCCCAGGCATCAGGCCATGTTCATCGTGATCTCAACTCCACGTACATGCTTCCCCGTTCTTACTTCCCTTCTAAAGAACGTTGGAAAAGTTAAATATCTCTGTTCCGGATTTCTTCCGAGGCCACGAGATTATGCATAGCAATGGCGATCCACATCCGAAGCTCGCGCTAAAAAAGGCTCCATCCCTTCGATCTGCGGGGCCCGCGGAGACGGAGGCACGGAAGGTTTCTCCGGTCGAATTTCCACCACCTTGTCTTGTCGCACCACTGCGCGTCACCTGAGAGGAGACGATGGAGCTTGTTGGCTACTAATACACCAATCCCCGAGCTCAGCAAGCTTCAATGTCGTCCCCATTCGACCAGCCCGGCTCCGCGCCGCGGCAGTTCGCCGACCCGGACGACGGTCTCGATGGCTACTATAGCATAATGGCAGACTACCCCGAGGCACTTGATTACTATGCCTTGCTGGGCCTATCCTCAACACCTCCTCCGAAAGAAGCCGAAATCCGTTCCGCGTATCGCAGCCTGACCCTCAGCTTCCACCCGGACAAGCAACCGCCGCACCTCCGAGAGGCCGCTCAGCAGCATTTCACAAGGATCCAAGAAGCCTACGATGTCCTTATCGATCCCAAGAAGCGTATTGTCTACGACCTTGCGGGAGAGGAGGCTGTGCGGCAAGAATGGGGACAACACGGTGCGATGGGTCCTAGAGGGGACGCACAATCCAGACAGGTCGGCGTTAAGGCGATGTCGCCTGATGAGTTTCGACGGTGGTTCTTGAAGACAATGAAGAAGCGTGAGCGGAAGGCTATCGAGAGCTTGGTGTCGAGCCGGGTATGCGTCCCTGTTTGGTGTACATTGAATGACGTGGGTTTTGCTGACCTGTGCTTTCCCTATTCCAGGGCAACATTACACTTGGGATTAATGCGGCCTCAACCATCTCGGTGAACAAGGAAGATGGAGATGTGACGCTCCAAATTCCGTCGGCAAAATTGAGCACATATGCCGCCACATACAGCTTCAAGACTCCTTTCCCTCTACCCGAATTCTTGTACGGAACGAAAGAAGCGGATAGGGCTGAGAACCCGGACTCGGATGATTCTCCAAACGATCCGGATGAGGACTCTGAACCCATTGAAATGACGATCAGTATGGGAATCGCAGGCAAGCTCGCTCGTCCCGGGCAAAAGCTGATGGTCGAACATGAGGACGAGTCGACTGAAGAGCAGATAGTACGTTATCAGCACACTGGCCTCATTCTTTTGCTAATCCCTCCGTAGGTTCCTCTGCCACACATCTTAGTGGCTCAAAACATTAGCCTTGGTGCTACTGTCACCCCTAACATGAGAGGCTTGATAGGCACCAAGGGCTTCTGGAGTCGACAACCATTCTCAATCCTCAGAGACTCTACTGTCCACTTAGAGGCTCTTATTTTGCCAATTCCAACCTTGAAGACAACCGTCGGTCACGCTTTCCAACCGGTTTCCGGCATTAAACCGATCAATGTCAGTGCTAGCAGCATCATCACACGATCTCTCTGGGAGTCGCCGCCTTCGTTCGATGTGCAAGTCACGAAACAAGTTGCCGAACGAAAGGTTGCCTTCTTGACAGGGTCTACTGGATTCTTGGAATGGCCCGAGCTTCTCCAAGAGAGTTTCCCTTCCCTTGGGATGAGTCTTGAGAGCTATTACAATTCTGGGGTGAATGATAGCACGCTTCAGATTGGGTTGATTTCACAGCCAAAGCAACCCTCGAAAATGGCTGAATTCAACGAGGATGAAGAAGAAGATGAGGAGTTACGCGAGCATCTGGAAAAGCAAAAGAAAATCGATCGTGCCGCGGAGTTCTGGCAAACATATCTTACTGCCACTCCGGCAGGAGGCGGCATTGGGCTGACCTATTCTCGAAATCTGTTCTCGGGCAAACCAGCAGATGATCCCGTGAGGTCGGAATGGAGCGGCGAGGGTTACTTCCCGATGGCGAAAATGGAGGAACCACGGGCAGTGCGACTGGAAGTCACTACTATTCTTAGCGCAGACGCATCCATCAGCTGGGGTATCAAGGGTACTCGGCGCATTGGTGAGTACACCAAGATGTCGCTTGGAGTGGGCTTTGCCCAAAATGGGATTGTTGCTACCGTGGGTTGGAGCCGGCTTGGTCAAGGCATCAAGCTTCCCATTGTCCTCTGCTCTGCCGAGGAAGCTAATCATGATGCTGCGGCATTGGCTACCGTCTTCCCATGGCTTGCATATTGTACGATCGAGTTTGGCTATATCCGTCCGCGCGATAGAAAGAGACGTCGACAAGCGGCGGCGCGTCGTCACAAAGAGCTGAAAAAGCTTATTCCCAAGAAGCGAGAAGAGAGCGAGCAAGCCATCGAGCTCATGCTCGATCAAGTGCAAAGACGGCAGACTCGAGAAGAGGCGCAGGGTGGCTTGATCATCAAAAAGGCCGAGTATGGATACATTCCTCCGTCGAACAAGAAACCTAAGAATGGCTTCACTGAGCCCCGGGTCATTGATGTGACCATTCCTGTGGCTGCCCTGGTCGACCGAGGCCAGCTGGTGATTCCACAGAACTCCATCAAGGTAATACTAACCCCACCTGCTTATGTTGGCCCTGATCAGTAATGCTGACTCCAATTTCTCTAGTTCCAAATCATCGGCTTCCATGACCCAGCGCCTATGTTGCCAAAGCGGCTCAAGATCTGGTACACGTTCCAAGGACGTGACCATTTCGTGGAGGTTGGTGATAAAGAGCGTGTTGCCTGTCCCATGCGCACCCATTTGATCTCTGATTGAGGTTTTCTATACCCTTGAAGGCATTATTAGCCTTCGTAATTTTACTGCATCTTGTGTCTTGGAAGTCGCCACGCTGAACAGTCTTCTTCTCCTCTCATTTGCATGTGTAACTTTGGCGGAAGCATCCACTCAAGTGATCTCCCAATTAAACAAACCCCATAAATATTCTCTCAATAAATGTCTCTTGTAGTGAAATGTAATAAAAAGTTAAACGGAGGCGACTTGATATAGAAAGTCTTGGCACTGCGGTGAGCGAAACCCACCATCCGCGCAAGTCTGCAAAAGCCAAGCCATCGGTACAGGTTCTCCTCTCATCCAACCACCCGACTTGACAGCTCTTGCCTTGCTATCAAGTCTCGAAATGACTTCTATGGCATCGGGGCTTTTCAAGTCCCTCCCCAAACCCAGGTACACCGGCGAGGAGGAAGAGTTGCCACAGCATGCGCAACCCCGTGGTCCGCGTGTGGTGGGTGCCGACCAGATCGATGAAACACAGGTCGTCTTACGGGTGAGTTTACAATGGATATCTGTTTACAGCAGATTCAAAGCTAACCGATCATATTTCGAGCAGAGAACCGGACCTCCACCGTACGGAAATCGCACAGGATGGCGACCGCGAGCTCCCGAAGATTTTGGCGACGGCGGCGCGTTCCCCGAGATTCTAGTCGCACAGTACCCCCTCGACATGGGCCGGAAAGGAACATCTTCGACTTCGAATGCGCTTGCAGTACAGGTGGATGCTGAGGGCAAAGTCAAGTACGACGCGATCGCGCGCCGCGGACACGCCGACAACCGTACCGTCCATGCATCATTCAAGGATTTGATCCCGCTCCGACAGCGGGTGGATATGGGCGAGATCTCGCTGGATCGCCCTTCCCAGGAGGAAGTCGCGGCGCAGATGGAGAAGACAAAGAATGCGTTGGCCAGCTTGGTGGATGGAGCTTTGGCATCGCAGAAACCGAAAAATGTCAAGGGTGGAAGCAGAGCAGAGCCGACTTTCGTCCGATATACGCCAGCGAACCAGATGGGAGACAATGAGCGCAAAAACGACCGGATTATGAAGATTGTCGAGCGCCAGCAGGATCCCATGGAGCCGCCCAAATTTAAGCATAAGAAGATTCCCCGTGGCCCGCCATCACCGCCGCCTCCGGTCATGCACTCACCACCGCGGAAGCTCACGGCCGAAGATCAGGAAGCTTGGAAGATCCCCCCGCCTGTGTCGAATTGGAAGAACCCGAAGGGTTATACTGTCCCATTGGACAAGCGCCTGGCTGCGGATGGTCGTGGACTGCAGGATGTGTCGATCAACGACAAGTTTGCTCAGTTCGCCGAGGCACTGTTCACAGCTGACCGTCACGCCCGTGAGGAGGTGCAGCAGCGAGCTCAGATGCAGCAGAAGCTGGCAGAGAAGGAGAAGGCCCAGAAGGAGGATCACCTCCGACAGCTGGCTCAAAAGGCCCGCGAGGGACGTGCTGGTGCCGGCCGCGGCGAGTCCCGGGCACGATCTCGCTCTCGAAGCGCAAGCCGCAGTGGCTCTCCGTACTCCTCGAGGTCTGGTACCCCGAGCGAAGACGGTGAGGCTGCTCGTGAACGTGAGCTGCAGCGTCGCGAGCGACGTCAAGAAAATGAGCGCCAGCTGCGCCAGTCCCGCATGGGCACAGAACGCAAGATCCAGGCCATGGCCCGCGAGCAGAACCGTGATATTTCCGAGAAGGTGGCACTGGGTTTGGCCAAGCCCACTCAGAGCTCCGAGACTATGTGGGATTCTCGCCTGTTCAACCAAACCAGTGGCATGCACTCCGGTTTCAATGAAGACAATCCCTACGACAAGCCGCTGTTCGCCGCGCATGACGCCATCAACAGCATCTACCGACCTCGGGCCCAGGCTGACGCCGACGATGAAGAGGCGGGCGATGGCGAGATGAGCAAGATCCAGAAGACCAGCCGGTTTGAGGTTCTGGGGCGAGCCAAGGAGGGATTCAAGGGTGCTGCTGATGCCGAGGTAAGCATTACCGTGAAATGGAACATTTCTTGTCAAGCTAATTTTATTTTATTTGCAGGAGCGCCAGGGTCCTGTTCAGTTCGAGAAGGACACTGCGGATCCGTTCGGCATTGATAGCATGATTGCCGACGTAACTTCCGGCCAGAAGCGCTACGGAATTCAGGAGGCGGACGAGGACGACCGAGGCTCGAAACGCGCTCGGGTTGATGACGATTAAGCTGGCTGTACTATGATATGTCTGGGGTTTCTTTGCTGTGCCGTGTGGGCGAGGCTGTCTTCATGCATTGCGGGCGTTTTGGCGGTGCCATTTACACCATTTTGATATCACCAGAGGTAACTAAAATGAAGGAGCCTACTTGGGGCTTGCACTTTTTAAAAATGCACGGTTACGACCCTTTCTTTCCCAATAGTGGACATTTTGGCATCCTTGTTATAAGCATAAAGTACCTTTTGATTGAACGATATCCGAAGGACTTCATTTATAATCGCGGGATGTAGTCAGTGAACGACAATAAGAACAAAGCCCTAGATCCAATTTAAAGGGGCCTCTACCTAAGAAGGTAATCAAAACAATTTACTCGAATATCGAAGTCCCTCGCTAGTTCTTCAGCTCCTGCTTGTTGTCAGACAGAACCTCCTCCAGCCACTTGTAGGCAACGGGCAGACTGTGAGGGTAACCCATGTGCACCATGCCCTCGAAGAAACGGCCCTCCTTGGGACCGCCGTGGTTAAACATAACCAGCGAGTCCTCAATGGGGACGACACCATCATCCACGCCCTATTAACACATGTTAGCATCGACCCAAGATTCCTCTTTCTTTCAATCAAACATACGTTCAGCATCAGCAACCGACAGTTAGGCTGGTCCATAACACCAGTCTCAACAAGCGAGAACTTTTTCTGCGCATTCTTCACAAAGTCCTCAGCGCTATCATAGCCATACTTCTCAGCCCAAGAAGCCGTGATCCTGCAAACAATCAGTCTCAACTCCATCCACTCAAAGAAGATCAACTTACTCAAACGGATACTCGTGGTCATTAACCCGACTCAACCACTCCTCCCCCAGGAAATGATGACTCCCAGGCCCGTGAGCAACACACCCAGCAAACCTATCCCGGTGCGTAGCCGAAGCCCGAATAGCATAGTAGCCACCAGCACTCAGCCCCCAAACCGCAACGCGACGCATATCAAACTCCGGCCGCTGCGCCATGTACTCAAGCACACTGTTCCACAGGCGATCCGCACTCTCCGGATCCGCAGGGTCAGCCGGACAATCCGCCGTTCCGGGAATCTCAACGACAACAGTCGCCCAGCCGCGGTTGATGATCTCATGCGTCCGCTGGCTGTTATCAGGCCTGTAGCCATCGAGACCAGTCATGAGCAGCACGACGGGGACGGGGTTTGCAGCGCTGGCTTCCTCGGGCACGCGCACGTAGATCGGGATGTGTGCGCCGTCACGGCCGGAGGCGTGCGTGTGCGGGATGGTCTCTTCCTTCAGCACGGGTTTCCAGACGGAGGCGGCTTTCAGGTAGACCTGTTTCTGGCGCTCGAAGGCGGCGCGCTTGAGGGAGGTCTCGGGACGGCTCGCCGGGCTTACGTAGGGGAAGCGCGAGATTCGCAGCACGACGGCGGCGCGTCGGTATAGGTCCGAGGCCTGGTCTGGGTGGCTGTTTGCGAGGGCCTGTTCGGCTTGTTTTTCCAGGCCGTCGACGATGGGGATGAAGGCCCTGGTATAGGCGTCCGAGAAGGCATCGTTGATATTTTCCTGGGTTGAATGTTAATGGTTTGAGCTCGTGTAGTTCACGGAGATGGCATACGTCAATCAGCTTCTGGAAAATGGGCTCAAAGTCCTCGAATGCGCCGTCGTGGAATGGATAGATGGATTTCGAGCTCTAGTTAGGGTTAGCTTTGTATCGCATTCTCCGGATCTGCAGACAACGTACGCAGAACTTCCACTTGGTCTCCCACAGGGCCTTGATCGAGCCCTTGTGTGGGTAGACGGTGTTGAATTTCTCTCCCATCATCCATGGCGCCATGATGAATACAATTTGTATGATTCAAGAGAATCTAGATTGGTATAGTTATTCAGGTGTGACTGGTCACTAGTCAAGCATAGCATTTTAGAGCGTGCTACTCAGATTTTTATTTTATTACTATGTAGTAGCCGTGTCAACTTGAGAGAGGAGAAGTCCGGATCTGGACTTTTACTGCGGTGTAAATGTGCATGAAAACGGCAAATTGGACGATTGTGACGGAAGAACAGGGTGGGCCCGCGGCATTGGGGCGTGGCTTAGGGATAGAATGAGATCCGATTGGCATGGATTGATGTCTCAGCTTTCTTAGGTGGCTGGTGCCACTTTGGTTTGGATACAGGGGTGACTTGGTGAGTTTCCGAATCCGGGCAGGGGCCGCGGCGAGGGATTCTTGATCTCGCGCTATGCAGGTTGGATCAGTGGTATGTGACTTGGTCGCTTTTTGTGACATATCCAAAGGCTTCCTAATAAGTGGTAATGAGAATTTTACCTGTAGCTGCCATTTACTCGAAAGTTAATAGTAAATACATTTACGGGAATGGTGAGGCAACCTGTCGTTGCTGGAACAACCCTAACTTCCGCATGCGGAAACCGGGCACAATTCATGGCGAGGACCAGAACCACTTCCCCTGGCATGTGACATAGCCCATCACAGTTACATTGAGCGTCCTGTGGGCAAAACAACTAATTACGCAGACACAAGAATTGCCGACAAAATAGTAATCGTCGTGAAAAGGACTATGCAGATTATCATTAAAATCACCCCGGTGTCAATTAGACATTAGGGACTGGCAGCTTATATACAACTCCTTTCACATGTGCGCCAATCTATTACTGACGCTCGTACTGCTGCCAGTACTCGTAGCCCTTGGGAAGGTCGTTGGGCCCGTTGTCGTGCTGATGGAGAACGGTGTCTCCGTCCTTCACGGACTGATCGTTGCTTTGAGGATAAGGCCAAGATCCCCTGGAAATGGTATTAGTGTAAAGTTTCGTGTACTGTTCGCATAGGAGTACTTACTTGGTATCGGTATTAGTAACCTCAATGGGCTCATCGCCAGGTCCACCGCCGACTTGAGCGTAGGACTTGTCGGTGTGGGGGTTGGGCCAGGGACCCTTGACGTCCTGAGTATCGGCAACATCAGCCGGACCATTAGAGCCATCGCCAATCTGGGCATGGTTGTGGTCGGTGTGAGGTTGAGGCCATGGTCCACTGCGATAATTCGTTAGCATATGCTTTCGGATATCTCATCAACAAACTTACTTGGACTCGTCCTCTTGCGCGTAGATGGGCTCATCGCTCGGAGCCGGCGACACAGGCGCAGGGTAATAATCAACTGGCTCGGCCTCAGCTACGGGCGGAACTTCCTCGTTAGGCTGGGGAGCAGGAGCCGGCTGGGCCTCGGGAGCGGGCTGCTGTTGAGGAGCTGGCTGCTGCTGAGGAGCTGGCTGCTGCTGAGGAGCTGGTTGCTGCTGAGGAGCCGGTTGCAGTTGAGGAGCCGGTTGCTGATGAGGAGTCGGTTGCTGATGAGGGGCCGGTTGCTGATAAGGAGCGGGCTGCTGAGGAGGAGGAGGGGGCTGCTGCTGGCCAGTAGGCTTGGGCGCCGGCGGCGGCGGCTTGGGAGCTTGCTGAGCAGGGGCAGGCGGGGACAACACAGTAGTAGGCTTGGGCCCCTGAGACGGCGGAGGACCGGCATCGTTCTGCTTTTCTGGCGGGTACATTGCGCCATGGTTGTGGAGGGGAACCACAGTGTTAGCACCGGACAAGTCAAGCCCTTGCTTGCCGGCGGCGTTGCCGTTGGAAGGATCAGGGTAGGCAGCGCAAGCATTGTAGTGGCTCTGGGGGGGAGGGTTCTCGGACTGAGGGAAGGTCTCGGGAGCCTCGATGATAGTGGCCATCAAGCCAGCCTCGACGTGCCATTCCACATGGCAGTGCAAGAGCCAGACACCGGGGTTATCAGCGCGGAAACGAATGACGACGTGGCCGTGGTTTTGAACCATGATAGTATCGCGGCGAATTGGGGTGGGGGAGACATCCTTGTATTGACCAGTGAAGTAGCCGCCATTGACGGGGGTTCTCTGCAGAACCTGGAACTGGTGGCCGTGCAAATGCCACGGGTGCAGGTTGTTGTGGTAATTGTTGATCACAACCTCGATGACTTCTCCGTACTTAACGATGAAAGGATTCACCTGACCATACACCTCGGGGTTCGAGGCAAGGTCGGCTCCAATGGTGTTCGCGGTGTAAAGAGTGGGCACCTCCTGAGGAAGGTAGGTCTTGTTATTCACGGTGAAGCGCTTGATTCCGTTAATCTCAGTCGAGTAGGTGTCCATTATGATCCGGTGCTGAACGGGCTGCAACAGAGGCTCCTTGTCGAATGGAACCAAGCTAACGTCGTCGATGAAGTGATCGGGGTCGAGATTATGCATCACCGGGGGCGGGGGAAGGGGCTTCGCCTCGTCGTAAACCAGCCAGGCAGTCGCATTGGGGTTGTAGTTTTTCGGAATCTCACGGCCTTCGAAGATGAACATCATGTTAATATCCATAGTATCCCAGATAGCGAAGTTTCGGCTGGTATCGTTCTTGGTATGAATCAAGACAGACACGCGCTGTCCAGGAGCTATGCGAAGCAGCTTGTCTCCAACAGGCGTCGGCTGAGTGTATGTTCCATCGACCTCGACAACGGTCATCTCGTGGTCATCGAAGACCCAAGTGTGACCTGGCCAGTTGCCAATGCAAATGACATGGACCAAGTAGGTCTTGTTGGGCAAGACCTTGATCTTCGTATGACTAGAATCATTGATCAAAGCCGAGTCCGGGAGTGGCTCACGGCCTGCGAAGACCTCCTCGTTCTCACGCGACTCGTAATCGTTGAGCAGGTCGGGCATCTGGCGGTGATACCAGTCGGACAGAGTGAGGGTGAACTCCTCATCGTAGTGGAAAGGAGCTTTGGGGTCATGAACGATCAGAGCTCCACGGAACCCATCGGGGTACTGGGCCATGTTGTGCGAGTGATACCAGTATGTTCCAGTTTGGTTGATCTGTTAAATATTAGCATATAGCTCTGCAGTATTCGACGGTCGGCTTACCGCAAAGTGGTACTGCATGTGCTTGCCAGGGGGCAGAGGGCACTGGGTGACTCCGGTGGTACCATCCATAACACCAGTGGCATACTGGTAGAAGCCATGCCAGTGGATACCAGTGGACTGGTTGCCCAGACCGTTGTACACATCTACGATCAAGCGATCACCGACGTCCACGTCAATCTGAGGGCAAGGCCATTGGCCATTGATACCGATGACGGGTCGCTCGAATCCATCGGGGGACGCGTTGACCCAGGTCACGTTCCAGTCCAAGAAGACGTCCTTGGCCGCAGCCAATTTGGCGGCGCAGCTGGCCAAAAGAAGGAAATTAAGCATCCCCATAGTGGATGGTCATCCAACTAACGAGTGACAGTCGACTTTCAAATCAGAAAGATAATGAAATCCTCCGAAAGAGGCGCCGAGGGATCAGTGTCGGAATGACCAAAATGACTAGAAATTAGTAAAGAAAAAGAAAACGAAAATGTTGTCGACTAAACGAAAGTGTAAGGCGAAGGTCGGCCGTGATGATTCTTGAAGGAATCAAAAGCGAGCGATTGGGAAGGTCTTCCTTTAACAGCAGCCATAATATTGATCTACGCCAGGGGGTGCAATGTTGATGTACCTGAATCCGTCTCATAGTCTTCAGCAATGCCAGTAGGGCCGACATTATTCAGGCAATAGGAAAACAAACCCGCCGGTACAGGACTAGGCCACACGTTGGGTTACCTCCGGGCCCTGGGGAAGGCATTCCACGAAGGGGGTGGGCCGGCTGGTATGTAGACAAATTGCCCGGACCGGCAACAACCCAGAAATTACCAGCAAGGGGGTGCATACCGGGGCAACGAAGCCGGTTAAAGGTACACAAAAGTGATGTAGTGTAGAGAGTTGGAGTACTGCCGAAACTCGATCCCGTGGATGATCGACATTCTATGCATCGTAGTTAATTTCAATGCGGTTGCGGTGCCGAGTCGGCATTGAACCTCGTGGCGTCCAGATCAAATGGAATCGCAAACGCTGCCGAATTCAGCCCATCAACGCATGCCATACCCGGGCGCCCTGGATATATCGGAGATTTCATGGTCAGCCGGTAGGGCACGCATGATGCAGCGCATCATCATTTCCGTTAACGTCGTATCAGCGGAGGTTCGACCACGGTTCCACTCGGCCAACCCTTTTTCTTATCGGAAGATCACCATTTGGCCCTGGGTGAGTAGAGTCAGAGCGGGGACCCGGCAAATGACCGTGGCAACTTTCGGCCGTCATCGGTGACTCGATGGGGGCGCCTGCAGGCCGTAAGGTACAAAATTCGGGCACTTGGCCGGTGCGCTTCCCGGCCGATCATGGTGGGCGCGGGGAAGAGAGAGTAAGAGAGTACGTAGAAATTGATAAATGAACCGGCTCTTATTGGCGAGTGTACAAGAAGACGCGCAGTAGTCTCACGGGTGACAGGGGGATGCGAATCCCCCGCATCCTGGGTGTTCAGGTACGCCAGCGCCGGCGACAGCTGCACGACACTCGTCCGTGCTCTAATGGAGCGCCTAGCGCGGAGTTTTATGATAAGCGGTGGGGTCAAGGGGTTTGGTCCCCGTTGGTGGGAAATGGAAGCAGTCGCTGATAAAGAGTTGCATGAAGAGATTGGGTAACCCGGACAGCCGATAACCAGGGACGAACATGTCGAATTTTCCCAGGTCAGTGAGGGGAAATGGACGTCTGTATCGTCACCTTTTTTTTTGTTAACTCTCCTCTCTCCTCGCGGGTCACATTTAACCCACTATTTGACTCTTCGGTACTCCGCGTGCTCCCCGTTCTTACTGACGCCATACTGTGGTTAGCTTGTACCTGCGCTCAACCCTGTCGCCATAACCTCCGACATCACGTCAATGGCGTAATTGCTGTCTGGTCGTCATGTGAAGGGCTTGCACTTGATTCAAGGTCTACAGTAGTTCTTAGTGCACCTCCTCCGCCTTGAACCCTGATCATATGGGTGAAAGTGTGGACTCGCCTCGAATATGGATCAATGTATGACTCTGATCGATGCCCAGGTGCATTTCTTGGTGAGTGGTTGCCCCGTTACAAAAATTATTGCTCGGTTTTCATCGACTCATATATATTGCAGGAAGAGCGGCTGGTGGTCGTTCACATTCCTTTGGATCTCTACCCATACTTTTTCAAGGCGGTTCTGAGACTCATCTTTGACGAAATATATTCCCTCGAGGATCATGAAAAGGCAGACGACCCGGGCATTTTCGAAGAAGACATCGAAAATACCTCGGAGCGGGGATTCGACTACAAGCAACCCGCCTTCCTGAACGTGTCCATCACTCCGGTGGAAGTCTCGGTGATATGTCCCCGAAGGCTCATCCAGAAGTACTTCCAGCCCTTGTTGGACCAGCTCGATCAACTCAACAGCTCCTTACGCTCCCGCCTGGATGTCAGCGATAACGACTACATCGCCATGCAAGTCCTCGGACAGGGCCTGGAAGCCGGCAAGCGCGTACTGGAACTCACCAGTCCGCTAGCCATGGCGGGCATCTCCATCTTCTTCATCTCGACCTACTTTTCCGACTACATCATTGTGCCTCTCCGCAGCAAAGATAGCGTAATCTCCGCGCTGGAGAGTAGAGGTTTCCAATTCGAAAACGCAACCGCGGCCTTTGTCAATCCGCTCGCTAGCCCTACTTCTCCATCCTCAGAAAGACGTACCAGCGATCACTTCTCGCCAGCCACCCCGCCATCATCCGTGGCCGAGTTGCAGACGCGGACGTTCGAGAACCTCCGCAATCACCAAATTGTCCCTTGCGTAGACGACACTCTCCATCTCGTCCAGTGCGCTGCTCACCACCAGTACAACCGCGAAGAAAGCTCCATGTCCATCCTACGCGATGCACTCACCACCGTCCTCTTGGTTGACGACCCGCGTTTCCTCTCTTTGACCCTAGCAGCGCTAGACCCAGCAGCCTCTCTCCTGTTAGAAAAGCGCCTCCTACCACGCTTCGCCCGCCCAACTAGCTCACCCCAGGACTACGAAGACGGATCGGGGCTACTACTCGGGTCCAAAGAAGAATACCTCATCCCCATCATGCTCGACCTGCGCGACCTTCCCCTCGAAGCATCGGGTATCGTCTGCGGCGTAGCAGGCCGCCTCGCCGAAGCAGCCGGTAGTCCTGCACCTGAAAACAGCGGCGATGTTAGTATTGTCGGCAGCAACGATAGCAGCGTGATTGGCTCTGTGCCCGCGCTATTCGATACGTTTGGCTCGCGACTTGGGCTCGGCGGTCACAGGAAGACAAAATCTCATCAGCTGTCGCTGACCACTCATCATCTTAAGCCGGATGTGGATGCGGGTGCGGATGCAGTCGAGATTAGCTTCTTGAGTACGGCGCGTGCGGGGACGATCATTGTTGGTGAAGATGAGCTGAAGAGGGCGATTGATGCCCTGGAGGCGGAGAGGGCACAGGACGTGTATGTTACCGAGGAAGTACCTCTTGGTATTCAGGGACTTGGGATGACTCCTTAGCGCAAGGGGAGGAAAAAGTTGATTCTGATTTGGGTTTGGTTTTTGGAAATTTTTTGGGCTCTTTACCCTGTATGATTATACGACTTCCTTCCACATGTGTGCTCTCCTAGCGATTCAGCCATTCAAATTGCTCGACATGTTGCTATGTCTTAACGTCTTACGTCTCATTATATCAATATAATACGACAGACTTCTGAACCGAAGAAAGATACCATTGAGTTTGTATATTCTTGGAAGTTTCCAGTCATCCAGCCCGATCAAACCGGTATTCACCCAGATATTTATGCCGCTTCATACACGTAAAGAGTCGAGTTGTGCTGGTCAGGAAGACAGTAAATCCGCAGCTTGCCGTCCACAACGGCGATGTCAATCGGATTCTGGGTCACGGGAGTCCCCAGCTCACTCGTCATTGAAATGGGAACTTCCCAGATAGGTTGCATGGTCTGCAGGTCGACCAGCGCGATGCCGCCTAGGTAGAACGAGGGCAGGGAGCCAATGGTGTCTACTCCGCCGCAGAACATGATAATGGGCCGTTTGACACTTTTGGTACTCTCCCTGGCATCAGAATGGGCTAATATAACCTTGGGTAGCATTTGATGACCAAGGAACTTGAAATCCTGGTAGTCAATGAAAAATGATGATCTGGCACAGAGGATCGAGGTGCAGTGAAACCAGGCAGGCGTGCGAATTTTCGGGGGTAGCCGTTGAGAGACCATTTGGTGGCATTGCGGGCCCCCCAATTTAATGTGACAACATCGTTGGTGACAGTATCGTGAACGATTCCACCATTGTGGTCTCTTGCGCGGAAGAGCTTCGTTTTTTTCAGGCTGAGTGGATCGACCTGTGCAATCGTTGCCGTCGTGTTTGGTCTGTACTGCACCAGCGTTGCCCAGATGTAGCGCCCGTCGTAATCGATCCCGCCAGTATGGTACTCAATATCGCCCGGTTCAGTCAGAGTTGCGTTGGCGATGAGCCTGCCTTGTGCGTCATATATAAGCATGTGTGCGAAGCCTGCGCCAGGCGTGCGATCGGTGCCGTTGATCAGGTGAGTTTGTGAGTGGGAGTATCAGATACCAAGGCAAGTGCGTAGGTGGCAGCCACGTTCTACGGCAAAGATCACTCATTGGCTCAGCCAAAGAGTCGGACGGTACCTGGACAGCAAGTTAGCAACTACAACATCGAACAGAGAGAATATGTTCGTACCATCTGAACACCCGCCTACCCAGTATCCCTGCTCGTTCCAAGCCACACAGCTCACGGCCTTGACCTTCTCCCCCATCGGCACTGTCGCAACCGCCTCTCCACTGAGGATATCCCAGGCAAAGACAGCAGCGCCAGGCGCAGCTCCACCGTCCTTTGCAGTTTCACTGCCGCTCAAAACCACGGCATCGCCCTGCACAAAGACAGAACGGACCCGCAGCTCCTGGTTCCGGTAGACATGCCGAGGTCTAGTGCCGAGGAGGCTCTGAGTCTGTTGTTCACCATTCTTGCTGGGGCCGCCGAAAGCAGCAAGCAGCTTTCCGTCTGCTCGATCGAGCATCCGAATATAGCTATCCAACGTAGAAGCCAGCAGGGCATTGCCATCCGCCGAGCATCGGATGCTCGTTACCGGATGAGCCAGGACATCAACGGTTGTTTTGCCCGTCCGCACATCGTAAACGCGCACATGGCCGTCGTAGCTACCACTAGCGATGGAGTATGTAGGCGCATGAACATTCAAACACGAGACAGTATCGCTTGCTTCAGTGAGAGTCTGTATAGGCTTGTAGGCATTGGATCGGGTATCCCACAAGTTGATTGTCGTATCTGCACTGCCTGTTGAGAAGGAAAGGTTAGCAAGCTCGATAAACCCAGAAAAGGTACATGATCTTACCAGAGACAACCACGGAATCACCCTCTCCCGCGAATTGGACCGCTTCGACCCTACTATTATGCCCGCTCCATCGTCTCGTCGTAGCACCCTGCTCAACATCCCACAGAAAGACCTGGCGGTCGCCTCCCACACTGGCAAAACGTGCATTGTCCGCAGCGACGGCTATGTCGAGGACCGAGTAGCCATGTGCTTCGTACCGCTGGATTGGAGATGTGCTTTCGACGGCCGTCGCAGAGCTTTCCGCGTTGCTGGGCACTGCGCGCGAGAGGTGGACAGCGCGGTCCGAGGAGCCTGTCAAGACATAGGTACCTGGGTAGCTGGAGAAGGTCACGGCGTTGACGGGGCCTAGCATGCGCGGTTAGCCCTTGGTCTCCGAGGAAATGTCGATGGTTGGCTTACCATTATGTGTCCTGAGTGTATGAAGATGCCGAGTCGGGAACGTTTTCGAGGGCATGTCAAGTTGATTGCGGAGTAGAGCGGTTGAAGGTTGAAGCCAGAATGTGGATTACGCGCGGAATTCGGACCTCGGGGAATCTGGGACCGACCTCACAGAGCTAACTCTACAAACCTCCTACACAACCACACAATTAGATGATTACTAAGTGGACTACATTTGCACAAGAATAGGATTAACTCTGTATTTTGCGCGCTACATAATACAGGAGGGTTATTATCAAGGATGTAGACACCATCGCTAGCTACCAGTGGTAAATGGATATAACAGAACAAAACGAACCAGCCCTTCGAGGCGAAGGTGCACCTCCCAAGCGCGTGAACGGGAAGACATAGGGTACTCAAAGGGAAGAAAATAACGAAGGAGCGTGCAAAGTTTGCCTACCCCTTTTTTGAAAATCCAACATCTTAGCGACGACCGTGGCTGCGAGTGCTGGAGCCCTGAAGACCTTCGATCTCCTGCTCGAGTGATTTGATCCTAGAAAATAGTCAGTATGAAAGCAAGAGAGGGAAAGCAAAGCAGCAATCAACGTACGCAGCGTGAGTGGCCTCGAGATCCTTGTTGAGTCTGTCGCGCTCGGAAATGAGCTTCTGCTCCCACTGGCGGAAACGCTGCTCCTCGACCTTAACCTGCTCGGTGAATCGCTTGCGCAGGTTCTCCTCTTCTTCCTTGAATTTGGGGTTGTCCAACTTGCGGGGACGAGCCTCGCCAAACTTGCGGGTCTCCATCTGCTGGGCACGGTAGGCCTCGTAGTGAGACTCCTCGGTGGTGTGGATGAGGTCGAGCATGTGAGTACGGATCAGAATTGAGCGGAGCTTCTTGAAGTCACAGTGATCTTCGTTCTCCACCTCGGCAACACCCCAGGCGTACTGACGACCCTTGACAACACGGCCGTCGTTGGCCTTGACATCCTTCTCGGAACCGATAACGGCGAAAGGCATAGCAGCCATCAGGCTGCGAGCGTGGGTGGCGGCGTGCTCATCATCCTCCTCTACCGGCGGGGTGTAGATCTTGATGCCCTGTGCCTCGATAACAGCGCGGATCTGATCACTCGTTAGTTACGGATTTCCAAATGTTAAATCCACACATGATTCCAACATACTCTCTCCTTGTAGCGGGCCAAATCGGCATGGCTGAGGGTGTCGGCCTTGGCGACGACGGGGATCAGGTTCACACGGGAGCTCAAACGTTTCATGACCTCGATGTCGAGGGGCTTGAGGGTGTGTCCGGTGGGTCTGATGAAGTACAAGCAAGCGTGAACGCGCATGTCGATCTTGTCAGTACGGCGAGGCTGCTGCTCCTGGAGCATGTAGGACTCGTGCTGGTCATCAAGGAACTCGATGATGGGTTGCCAGGAGTCGCGGTTGTTGACATAGTCGCCGAAGCCGGGGGTATCAATGACGGTCAGACGAACTGGCAAGGCAGATAAACATCAGCATACGTAATAGGCAAGGAATATTCCCATCACTTCCAGGGGCGTGTCAATGTCGAACCTTTGAAGAACTTCTCCTCGAGCTCGGCCTTGGTGATCTCGATCTCCACGGTGCGGTCGACTTGCTTCTGGTGGCGGCGCTTGTGGTCGGCATAGTTTTTGATGGTGGTGGAGAAAAGGGTGTTGATGAAGGTCGTCTTTCCCAATCCAGACTCTCCGGCAACCTGTAGACGGCGTCATTAGCGTTGAGGTCCCGGCCGAGGCATTCCAAGCTCAGACACACCATAATTGTGAATGCCGCACCCCGCTTCGCAACAATCTTGTGTCTAGACCGCTTCAATTAGAATTCCCCTCGCTCTTAATTCGGACCGTTGCCTTGAATTGTACACACCGCTGGTTGGGGAGCTGAAAGATAACACGCAGATTAGCCATCAGAAGACAAAAAACGCGTTTGGGGGCATCGGAGTCAACTTACATTGGCAATGCCAATCGGCGAGGCAGTCTCCGTTGTAGACATGATGGATAGGGAGGTGAAGGTGAAGAAGTAGAAAACGATGAGAGACCCCTCGGGAAGTGACCTGAAAAAGTGGAAAGATGGTCGAGGGTCCTTGGGGAAAAAGGGACGTGAGCTGCTCGTTGCTGCTTCCCCCTGAATCTCCTTTCGTTTTCTGGAGTATAGCTGGCTTTGCCTATCTGGGCCTAGTTTACACACTATCCCTAATTGGGCACGGAACCGGACTATTAATGATCCGCTCTTATCACGCTGATTGTCGCTGCGCCGAAACATTTTTTGACGGAGTGCCTCAAGCTGTCGCAAGTGGGAAAATGAAGACCGACTTTAAGGTAAGTGTGTTTCTATGTCCCTAGTATGGATTTTATTAACTCAAAACGCAGTTTTCCAACCTCTTGGGGACGGTCTACCGCCAGGGCAATTTGCTCTTCACGCCCGATGGCACCTGCTTGCTCTCGCCAGTAGGCAATCGAGTCTCGGTCTTTGACCTGGTGCAGTATGATCTCTGAAATCGAAGGTGCCCGTCATTTAAAACCCAATTGCTCACTCTACTTCCTATAGAAATACCTCATATACCCTTCCCTTTTCACACCGCACGAACATCGACCGCCTCGATCTATCGCCTCGAGGGAATCTTCTGCTCACCGTTGACGAGACCGGCCGGGCAATCCTGACCAATTTCCAACGTCGCATTGCCATCCACCACTTTTCCTTTAAAGCTCGCGTGACTTCCCTCAAATTCTCCCCGTCGGGTCGGCATTTCGCGGTGGGCGTGGGGAGACGCCTGCAGATCTGGCAGACCCCCTCCACCCCCGGCACCGAGACCAATGGCGAGATTGAATTCGCTCCGTTCGTCCTACACCGAGATCTGGCCGCACACTTCGACAATGTCCACACTATTGAGTGGTCAAGCGATTCGCGCTTCCTGCTTACTGCGTCCAAGGATCTAACGGCGCGAGTTTGGAGTTTGGATCCTGAGGATGGATTTGAGCCGACCACCTTGGCCGGCCACCGACAAGGCGTGGTTGGTGCATACTTTAATGCGAACCAAGATACAGTACGTCCTGCCATCGAATCTCTCTCATTGACTTGGTTCTAACCCAGCCTGTAGATCTACACCGTGAGCCAAGACGGGGCCCTTTTCCGCTGGGAGTATGTGACCAAGAAAGACCCGGAAACAGATGAGGACATTGCGGAAGCCCGGTGGAGGATTGTCAAGAAGGACTTCTTCCTGCAGAACGATGCCAAAGTTAACTGCGCTGCGTTCCACGCAGCCTCCAACTTGCTGGTGGTGGGCTTCTCGAACGGCCTTTTCGGCCTGTACGACCTGCCAGAGTTCAACATGATCCATCTTCTCAGGTAAGTGGACTTTCTCCTATCTCCTTGACCTTTGCTAATAGGGCCTTGTTCCAGTGTCTCCCAGAGCAATATCGATGTCGTGACTATCAACCAATCCGGAGAGTGGCTCGCAATGGGGTCGTCCAAGCACGGGCAGTTGCTGGTGTGGGAGTGGCAATCAGAATCGTATATTTTGAAGCAGCAGGGTCATCTTGATTCCATGAACGCTCTCGTTTATTCACCGGACGGACAGAAAATTGTCACCACTGCCGAGGACGGCAAGGTCAAGGTTTGGGATGTCAAATCAGGCTTCTGTATCGTGACCTTCACAGAGCACTCAAGCGGAGTAACCGCATGTGAGTTTGCCAAGAAGGGTAACGTTCTGTTCACTGCTTCTCTCGACGGTTCGATCCGAGCCTGGGATCTGATTCGGTATCGCAATTTCCGGACCTTTACTGCACCCTCCCGTCTGTCGTTCTCTTCGCTAGCTGTGGACCCAAGCGGCGAGGTGGTCTGCGCTGGCTCACCAGACTCTTTCGACATCCATGTATGGTCTGTGCAGACCGGTCAATTGCTGGATCAACTTTCCGGCCACGAGGGTCCCGTGTCCAGCCTTGCATTTGCCGCCGATGGTAACCATCTGGTAAGTGGCAGCTGGGATCGCACCGTGCGTATCTGGAGCATTTTCGGCCGCACACAGACTAGTGAGCCTCTCCAGCTCATGTCTGACGTTTTGAGTGTGGCTTTCCGGGCCGACGGGAAGCAGGTCGCAGCTTCTACTCTGGATGGCCAGCTTTCATTCTGGAATGTCAACGATGCTATCCAGGAGGGTGCCGTGGATGGCCGCCGTGACGTTTCTGGAGGTCGGAAGGTATCCGATCGCCAAACCGCCGCGAATGCCGCGGGAACTAAATCGTTCAATCGAATCACCTACAGCGCCGATGGCAGCTGCATTCTGGCTGCCGGCAACAGCAAATACATTTGTCTGTATGATGTGGGCACGGGGTCACTCATCAAGAAATACACGGTGTCGGTGAACTTGTCCCTGGATGGTACTCAGGAGTTCCTGAACAGCCGCAATCTCACCGAGGCCGGCCCTCGCGCCCTCATTGATGAAACCGGTGAAGCGTCAGACAAGGAGGACCGCATTGACCGCACCCTGCCCGGTGCGAAACGTGGTGATGCTGGAGCTCGCACTACACGGCCCGAGGTACGAGTGATGTCGGTCGACTTTTCACCAACTGGTCGCGCCTTCTGTGCTGCATCTACGGAGGGTCTCCTTATTTATAGCTTGGACACGGACTTTGTCTTCGATCCCTTCGATCTGGATATTACCATCACGCCATCGACGATTCTTGAGACTCTTGAAGCCGCAAAGACGGCGTCTGCGACCAACACCGTGGATGATGATAACACATTCTTGAAGGCTTTGATCATGGCATTCCGCTTGAACGAATCCAAGCTCATGCGCGCCGTGTACGAGGCGATCCCTCCTCAAGATATCCCACATGTGGTCCGTTCCGTCCCGACGGTCTATCTGGCCCGCTTGCTTCGCTTTGTGGCGCACGCAGCCGACGAAACCCCCCACCTCGAATTCAACTTGATGTGGATCGAGTCTCTCTTCAGCTGCCACGGTCGATACTTCAAAGACAACTCGGGCACATTCGCTCCCGAGCTGCGTGCCGTCCAGCGTGCCGTCGATGACATTCGGGAGAATCTCAAGCGGTTGACAGAGAAGAACCTCTACGATCTGAATTACCTTCTGTCCAAGCCTGTCCTGGCTGATAAGAAGCCCGCTGCTACTTTATTGGCGCTGACTTCTGGTGAAGCCGAAGACGCCGAAGAGCAGATGGACGTAGCCGACGATGGAGAGGGCGAGTGGGTTGGTCTTGAATGAACTGCGTGAAGAACTCCTGTAATGTCAAATTTGCATCTGCGCATGGCGTTTGTATATTAGGACGAACCCAAAAAAAAGTGTATAGAATCAAAGAGTCTTTTAAAATCTAAAATCAAGGTTGCAATCAAAAAGTACTCACCCGGAAGTCCGCACTTCCCGGAAGTCCGTACTCCTCCCCAAAGGGTAAAGCAACATCTGAAAGTTAGCAGGGGTTTAGTTGTGTGTTGGCAAGGCGCTTGCGTTATTTAAAGGCCCCATTTTCCAACATCTTTAAGTACCACTCGATACTATCCGACGCCATTCTGTGTTACAATTCATCTTCTCTTCATCGTACAGCCAACTTCCTTAATTTTCCTGAACAATTCCCTATAAATTGAGCCTTTTCCAAAAGTATCCATCCCCAGGGTTACATCCAAATGGCAGGTTTAATTTTGTGGCCCCTCCTTGGGATATTATTTGTATTCTACCTGTTGCGGAAGAAGACAGATCCAGCCCTCAAGCGCATTCCCTACGTCAAGTACAATGCCTACTTGCCAGATATCTTCAACAGGCTCATCTACTACCCGAAGGCGTCATCTCTGATCTACCGAGGGTATAAAAAGGTTTGATCGTTATGATAATGGGGTCACTACCATGGTTATTGACGAGATCTCTAGTATACGGATAGCCCGTTTCGCATGCTGACCGGCGACGGGGAAGTGATTGTCTTACCGGTGAAATACGTAGATGAGTTGAAGCATCTACCTCCTTCGATTATTAGCTCGCTAGATGCGGTGTATGAGGTATGCGTCTCACAGTAGTGACCATCTGCATTGCGGAGGCTATAGAGTTCGGTGCTCAACTGACACCGGGACAGAACGCACTTGGAGACTATACAAACATGGTGGCCACCAGCTATCTGCCCTCAAAAACAGTTAAAAAGCGCCTGACTCCCAGTTTAGGTACTTCTGCAATCTACAACGTTGTATAACGCCAGCACTAATTCCATTTCGCAGACCGAGTCGTCCGCTGGGTCATCGACGAGCTACGCTATGCCTTCGACACTGGACTGCCAAAATGCGAAGGTGAATGCCCTCAAAGTCCACTGCATAAACAGCAAACAACTGAACATTCCCGCCCAACAGAAGACAAATGGACAGCCATCAAGCCACAGGAACTATTCGTGCACTTAATCTCACGAGCAACCTCACGCGTCATAGCAGGCGAATCTCTCCGCCGCAACGAAGAATGGCTCAACACAGCAAGCAGCTACGCCGTCAATATCGGTCTTACCGTAGTCCTCCTTCGACCATTCCCCAATTTCCTCCGTCCCTTCGTGGCGCCATTCCTCCCCTCAGTACGGCAAATGAAGCAGCAACTACAGTTCGCGAAGGACCTTTTTAGACCGATGATTCTCGAACGCCGCGAAGCAGAGGCTGCCAACGATCCTGGCTACGTCAAGCCTGACGACTTCCTGCAGTGGATGATGGACGGTGCGGAAAATGAGCAGGACTCTGATCCCGAAGCGTTGGCGCATCATATGATGCTACTCATGAGTTTGGCGGTTGTGCATACGGTTACGGTGTCCATGTGTTATTTCCTTTATGACTTGATTCATCGTCCGGAGTATCTGGACCCTTTGCGCGACGAGATCACTCGGACGTTGCCTGATGGGTGGGAAAATGGAACCAAAATGTCCTTTGATGCGCAGCGTCGCATGGATAGTTTCTTGCGCGAGTCACAGCGTTTCAGCCCCCCTGGTGAACGTGAGTTTTTTATTTTTCATGACCTATCTCATACTATACGCAGAACTATTCGGGGTACTAATGCAGATATGAAACCAGTATCTTTCCACCGCATCGTCAAAGAAGATCTCACATTACCAGACGGAGTCATCATCCCCAAGGGAGCACATATCTGCTTCCCCTCCGGCCCAATGAGTATGGACCCATCCTTCATCGAAAACCCGGAGCCCTTCGACGGTTTCCGCTGGTGTCTGGATCCAAATGACCGAAACGCCTATGACCCATCTGCCACTGCTACCGTCAACACCAACGAAAAACGAGTTAGCGAAAAACAATATAACCCCGCCCTCGTCCCATCGACATCAACCAGTTTCGTCAGTACCAGTCCGTCGAATATGCACTTTGGGTTCGGGCGCCAGGCGTGTCCCGGACGATTCTTTGCGGCGTATACGATCAAGGCGATTATGAGCCGTATCATTATGGAGTATGACTTCAAATTTGAGGATAGTCAGGCTGGACGAAGACCGGTGAATTGGGTGGTTGGAGAGTATGTCCTGCCGGATACGAGTCCGATTGTGTTGTTGCGGAAGAGGTCGACTGGGCCGTGAACGTGAATGGGAAGGTTCACGAAGGTTCAATGTTTGATGTTCTTCATGCTTTTGGTTTCTAGTCTTGGTAGTGGTTGACTTTCGTGGCATACTGACGCGTCCGATCTGATAAATCTACTTTTATACTCCATGCGGTCTTGGTTCTGGTATCAATCCGTTACGTATCCATGACTATCTTGAACAAGCACAGGTACCTATCCCGAATGGCAGGAAGACCCTAGGCAAAGAAAAGATTTCCCTATACATACATGATGGCTAAAGCCAGAGACAGATCAATCTCCTGTGGAATCTCTTCCCACAGATCACTGGGTGTTCACAGCGGGGGCACCACGTCCACGTCCCCGGCCGCGAGATCCATTTCCATTTCCATTTCCACGGCTACGGCCACGTCCTCGTCCACGCTCAAGTCCCTGCGGAGGCGGAACCGAAGTGTAGTTTTGAGGGCGGAAGTTCGGGTTGTTCTGGATAATACCCTCGCTTGGGTCCCCGTTCTCCACTGAGACATAACCACCACGCTGTCCGCCTCGTCCACGGCCACGGGGTCCACGCGGGGCACCGCCATTAGCATTGGGACGGAATGGAAGTGTAGTGGATTCGCCGTTGGAGAAACCACCGCGGCCTCCACGGGGAGCCCCCTGTCCAGAAACAGCGCCTCGGAAAGAGCCTCTCAGAGGCGCAGGGGCCGGAGCGTTTCGCAGCTGACCTTGTCCGTTTGGTCCAAGAGGAGCACCGTATCCGGCAACGGTCAAAGGAGTTTGCTCTTGCTGGGTCTGTTGACTCGTTGCAGCACGGGAGCTGGCGATCAACTGGCGATATGAGAGGTTGAGAACAGACGAAGCAAGGACGGTCTGGCCACGGAACGGTGAGCAGCGGCCACCAAGCGTGGTACCACTCATGAACGAGGCGTCAAAGACCACGTCAAGCAGCACTGTCCGCGAGGTTCTGGTGAGACCGACCACTGTGCCGCGAGTGGCGATGGGGACCTTGCCAGAGTCTTGGGCATACACAACCCGATCTCCAAGCCTGAAGCTCTGGTTGCCCAGACGGTGCTCGACATCGGCGGGCCGCAGCAGAGCGCTACGGGGAACACCGCGAACCTTCTTGGGGTGCATTGGCGGTTGCTGGGCATTGGAAGCGTCGGCATCCTGCTCAATCAGGTGGACAATATCCGAGTCCAGCTGCTCGGCATCAAGGGGCACTCTTTCAAAGTTCTTGGCCTCAACGGACTTAAGCCAGTCGCGGATCTCCTTCATTTTCAGAAGAGCGGTCTCCTCCGGGTAGAAATCATAGGGACTGTAGCGGTCGTTTTGAGGGTTGCGCTGGATGCCGGCAAAGAATTCTGGGAAATTGATCATGTACTGGGAAATCAGTTCGACAGCCTTTTGGCTGAATTCCCAGCCAGAGTCTCCGCGACGCGAGTATCCTAGGACCTTCTGCTTGCGAGCCTCGAACTTAAGGTTCAGACCGAGATTCACCCGCTGCCCGTCGACGTCAACGGAGAAAGAAGAGGTGATCTTTGCCAGCACCAGGGGGTTGAGACGAAGGCTGCGCGCAATGGCATAAGAAGGCATATACGGGCAGTAGCGCTCAGCTTCCCTGACACGCTCCTTTCCAAATTCAGGCTCTTTACCCTTGACAGCTGCGATCAAACCGTTCACCTTTCCTTCATCGTGACCGGTAATATGGACAGGCCGCCCGTAATTGAAGTCGCCCAAGAAGAACGCACGAGAGTTCTCAGGAAATTCTTCCTCGATAGGCAGAGCTTCTCGCTCAACGAAACGTTCGTCGGGATTGATCACGTCGTCAACAACCACTTGAAGCGCGTAATCAGTCTCTTGACCAGGGATATCCGCAAACTCTTTGATGGTGGCACCCTCGTCGGTTTTCGCCATGCCCTTCAGCATCTGGATATGAACCAGGGACTCAACTTCACCGATGACCATCCCGAGTCGTTTGCTGTAAGTTCCTTCGATCTTCGTCGCCTTTTTCTTCCACTGCTCAATCTGCTGAGGAGTGTGGGGGACTGAGACGACGTGTTGCTCGTGTGGCGGAAGAATATAGTCAAATAGTTCGTCCGAGACACGAATCACAAGGGCTTCTTGCAGGAATGGGTATCCGACATGGACTCGTTGTCCAAGCTTCGTCTTCGCCAGTTCGATGTTGGACCGGCTTCCGGGGTCAAGAAGAGTAATGACCTGACTTTCGTTGCGGCTTTCCTGTTGGAAAACCTGAACACCGTGGAATCCGAGTTGACCGACATGAGGAAGGGTTTTGAGAGTAGGGAAGCCGGCCAGAGCTGCCGAGCCGAGGTGCACACCCTCCATCAACCCATGGTAAGGCTCCAAACCCTCCATCACCGGGAGGTCAAAGACATTCTCAATGCAGCGGCAGTTGGGTAGATCGGGGAACACGCCAGGCATTGAGGATGGGTAAATGAAATTCACATCTGGAGAATATGTGAACTTCAGACTGGCTCCAAAAGTGTTCCGGGCCTTCTCGTCGGGGGCGAGGAGTGACTCTTTTGTCTTGAGAGCATCCAACAGCCTGGTTTCGTCAATGAAAGGAATCTTGACCACAGCCTCCCATTCCATCTTTTTGCCGTTCATATCCAATTCAAAGTCACGAGGGTAAAAATCAATGATGGGGGAGTCCGGCGAAGTCATTAGCTCCCAGTAAGCCTTGGGCACGATCTTCTTGCTGCGATCGGGCAAGACACCCATCAATTGATCGTAAGGTCGGAAAGGTCTTCCAAGTCGGAAATTCATGTCGGCTCCAAGGCCCTTCTTCACATCTGCTCCACCATCAGTAAACTATGAGACGCTCCATGGAGAATGAACTAACCGGAAATCATAGGAGCGTAGTGGTACTTGAAGAACCAGGGCCACGATGCAATGCCGCGGTAATAGTAGAACAAGACCCATTGCAATCCTTGCACATAGTTCTCCGTCAATTGCTTCATCTCCTCCTCGTTGTCAAGGCCCCAGCCGAATTTAGATCGATAGTACTTATCTTTCCATTCCTGGAACATTTCCTCGTATTTCTTCTCCGCAGCCTGTTGCGCTTCCTCAGAGGTCATTTCCTGAACCTTGGCTTTTTCGTATTTTCGAATGATACGTTGAACAGCCAGGGTCGCCTCCTCGTCATCATCGTCGGAGTCTTCGTCATCGTCATCCTTCTCGGGTTGCGGCAGCTGAAGTCTCATGAATCGATCACCACTTTCATTCTCGATAGTAGACCAGGGCAGCCGGAGTGCATCCGCAAGCTGCTCCACGAAGGTGCGGTCACGTGCTGGCAAGGTGGGAGGGAAATCCAAGGGTTTCGCCTCGGAGCCCTTCCCAGGTCGGTTCAGCACGAACTTTTTGATCTTTTTCAAGATCTCCTTCTGGTCCGGAGTGATCGTCAGCTCTTTCGGCTTCTTCTGCAACTCCATGGAGCCGTCATCTCCGTTCTTCTTGGACTTTATCCATTGCGCATCGGAATACTCGGCCTCGAAGAACCGGTGCTCAACATCACTCAATACCTCAAGAAGTATTCCCAGGCGGTCCACATTGATCACACCTTCTTCGTTAATGTAGCCACCCATCTTTCGCAGCACATCCTTGTAAATTTTGAACATCAGTGCCAGCGCACCCTCGTTGATGTGTAGATTGGGCAAATTTGGTAAGAAATCGTTTCCAACAAAGAACGCCATGAGGATGAAATCATCAATCACGCGCTCCATATCGAAGGGGAAATTCAGAGCACCTTCCTCCTCCAACTCCTGGAACTCCAATTCCAGATATTCTCTAACCAGGCTGAGATGCAAGAGATAGAAGTTCTGATGCTCGAGTTCTTTGGGTTTCTTCGACACCTGACGACCAAACGTCACCTCTTCTCGGAGAAGACAGAAGTGGGGGTCGTGACTGAGCAGACCCAGCATGATCAAGTCGGCATCCAGGCCATAAAGACAGTGGCGCATATTGGGGTGGTAATCGGGTTGCGCCTTCTTGCGCCGGATGTACTCCATAATCTTGTGCTCGCCTTCACCGGGGACCTCGTGGCCCGATAGCACAATCTCCACGCCCTGCCAGTCTCTATCCTCTGAGATCTTCTTGTTGATGAAGTACTTCAGTTGTTGTGTTAACTTCGCCATGAACTCCGTACCGGGAGTAATGCAGTTGCTGTCGAAGGCGTCTTCTTTCGGCATCTCCATGCCCTGTTCAATCGCCTTCTCCTTCGCCTTCTCGGCATCCAGCGCCGTTCGGAAGCGGCGTGCACGTTGCTGGTTCATCTTTGCGCGCGGTGCAACACCATCAACGGCCATGAAAAACAGCTGCTTGGGCTTGATCTTGCCGAACAGGTGCTCGATGTAATTGAAGATAGCAATGAACATTTGCTCTTCAGTCATGCGAAATGTCGGAGAGTCACTATCACTATGCGTGCAGTTGTGGATAATGCCGTTCATATCGAGATATAGACTATCGAACTCCGGGATGCGGCTCTCTGCGATGAGCATCGAGATGGAGGGGTACCGCTCGCTCAGCCAGCGGAAGAATTTCGGGACACCCATGATGTAGGTTGTATCAAATCGAACGATCGCGGCAAATATTGGTACAAGGAAAGGGTAGGGACAATGGTCGAGAGAGACGAACGCAAGTGGTTGATCGTCAAACGAATCGGAATGAGAGCTGCGACCGAAGGAGAAATCGTGTAAAGGTCGCACAAAGGGATAGAAGCACGCCCGATGAGAACGCCACAAATATCCCCCAAGAGTTGCGGGGAGGTCTAAGGTGCAAAGGAAGGGAGGGGGTAGTGAATAGCAAGGTCGTCAAGCTTGAATCGAAGTTGGCAGTCCGAGTCATTGCCAAGCCCGCATTTCCTGTTCAGGACTAGCGTCTGGCGGCGCCCATTAACGCGGTCTCCCGACTTGTCGCGTTTCGATCGCCCTTCGCACCTTTCCTTTCAACAGCTGCGTCCTGCTCGTCCACTTTTACTACCCTTGTCGCATTCAGCTGCAATTGCACACCGTTGGAGCTATGGATCCTTATGAGGATGAGAACCGTGAGTTCCCTGGAGCTTGGAGAGAAATCTCGAGCTAACCGTGCGCAGCTCCAGTGGAGGAGACAGAGAAAGAGAGCGAGCACAGTAGTGAAAAGATTATCAATGAAGGTAAACTTTACAGTCTTTTCTCTTCACCTCTCCCAACGTTCGCTATAGCTCACAAGGAAATCTACGCAGAGTACAAGACCTGGAAAAAGAATGCGCCATTCCTCTATGACATGATGCTGAGCACGGCTCTGGAGTGGCCGACTCTCACTACCCAGTGGCTGCCAGATAAGCAGGAGTCAGTTTTATCAGCTCCTCATTCTCATTTTCAACTCGTCGGCTAACTGCCTGTCCTTCAAGAGTTCCGGACAAGCCTTATTCAACCCATCGTCTTCTTATCGGCACGCACACTGCTGGTGATGCCCAGAACTACCTTCAGATTGCACATGTCCAGCTCCCCAACCCCAATGTTCCGAATCCCGAGGATTACGACGAGGACAAGGGTGAGATTGGTGGCTATGGCGGGGGCTCCAAGAAGCCTCAGATGGAAATCAAGTTCAACATCGTTCAAAAGATTGATCACAAAGGCGAGGTCAACAAGGCACGATACCAGCCCCAGAATCCCAACATCATTGCGACCATGTGCACGGATGGCCGAGTGATGATCTGGGACCGGTCAAAGCACCCCAGCATGCCTACTGGAACAGTGAACCCCCAAATGGAGCTCCTGGGACACGAAGCTGAAGGATTTGGCCTGAGCTGGAACCCTCACGAGGCCGGCCACCTCGCCACTGGCAGTGAAGATAAGACTGTCCGTCTCTGGTAAGTACTGGAAAATGATCAACATAGGGATGGATGCTAATATGAAATAAAGGGACCTTACCACCTACACCAAGGGCAACAAAGCCGTTCGTCCTGTTCGCACCTATACCCACCACTCTTCCATCGTCAATGATGTCCAGTACCACCCTCTTCACTCTTCCCTCATCGGCACCGTCTCCGACGACATCACTCTTCAGATCTTGGATGTCCGCGCTGCGGACACGACTCAGGCTGCTGCCTCTGCCACCGGTCAGCACCGCGATGCGATCAACTCGATCTCCTTCAATCCGGCGGCGGAGACTATTCTGGCCACTGGATCTGCAGACAAGACCATTGGCTTGTGGGATCTGCGAAATCTGAAGACGAAGCTACACTCGCTGGAGGGTCACGCTGATTCCGTGCAATCTGTTTCGTGGCATCCGTTTGAGGAATCCGTGCTAGCAAGCTCCAGCTATGATCGCAAGATTATGTTTTGGGATCTCAGCCGAGCGGGCGAGGAGCAGACTCCCGAAGATGCGCAAGACGGGCCGCCAGAGCTGTATGTACCCCTAACTGTAGATCACCATGGTTTACAACTAGCTAACCATTTGTCAGTCTGTTTATGCACGGTGGGCACACCAACCGCATTTCCGACTTTAGCTGGAACCTCAGCGATCCCTGGGTTTTGTGCTCGGCTGCTGAAGACAACCTGCTGCAGGTGTGGAAGGTGGCAGATGCGATTGTGGGCAAGGATCTGGAGGATGTCCCGACGGAAGAGCTGGAGGCATGATCTGCTGGGATTTTCTCGTGCAACTCTAGATTGCAAGTCTATTTGGCAGTTTCTTTTCCTGGTGTGGTTACAGGCGAATCATAGGGTTGATCATGATAAGTACCAATCAAAATACCACCATATGACTATTCTATGGACTTGGCCCTTTTCAATATTGTAATACATGGATAGCGCTGCTCTTCAGCCCCGGGATTGTTGGGTAGGAAGGGACGTCGGGGACTGCGGGGTGTAAAAAACTCCGATATGATCTTGAAGTATCCATGTGGGTATATGGTAGCTCCAGGCAAATCGTATTAGCACCGGCTAACCCCTGAAATGCTTTTGCCAGCCTCTTGTCAATGTTAAAAGACCGGTCTGTTTATTTTCGCCCCAAGTTAGTTTACCGAGTATCTGTGAAAGGTCTGTATTAGATGAGCCCAACCGATGAAATTCTCCTCCGAATACCCTCGAGATGCCCCGAGATAGAAATTCCGTAGCAACCCTAAATACAGACTTTCCTGCTAGTAGTCAAGCACACATGACAATAACTGTAACTAAGACACAGGGCGGAAGTGAAGCAGCGAAGATGACGGCAATAACGCTCGAGCCCACAACCAGGACAGTCTAGATCTTCTTCTCTCTCGGGAGTATTCGTTTCTTCATGCTCCGAATCAGCGTCCAAAGCGTCAACACTTGCTACAGCAGCGTCCAGTTCCACACACGTCATCCCCAGCGATTGCTAAGGTTTCCCCGGTTCATTGTTTTCAGGTAATATCCTCCGTTCTCGGGGCTGAGAATTGTCTCGGGGTTGTTGCGGACCATATCGTGTAGACTCTGTCTGTCTTGTATAAAGATAGCTCCAGCTGGTGGGTCGATTTTGTACCGGGTTATTCCTTCAGCCATTGCAGCTATATAGAGGGCGATAAAGGCAAGAGGTCCTAGGAATGATTTCATTCGTGACGTTTCCTCTCCTTTGTTAGATATGTTATTCTTCACTTTGCATACTAAAGCATAGTGTAATACATACGTGATCCTTTCTTATAGTCAAACGGTAGCAAGAAGCTTTGCTTAATGAAAGAGCTTTATAGGTGTTGAGACATCCCTAAGCGCTAACTCAGATGGAACTAGCACAGTACACTGAGAAATAGAGAGAGATAGAGACAGAGAGAGAGAGAGAGAGAGAGTTTGAGCTTTTATTTTCGAGAGTCGTGCTACGTTCAAAAACGATCTAGCTTTAAATATAAATGTTGTCTATTTGAGCGGCATGTGTAAAGGGCGTTTGTCCGTGTACGTTATGGCAATCGGTATCGACCTTCGGATGGGAGAGTAACGCCTCGACTGCTTGCTAGAGCCCTTTGTCAACTGCCCGGGCCAAAGGTGTTTGACCTCGGACTCGATGATTTCATCCCGTAACCGCGGGCAACTTAAACCACGGCCATTACCATATCCAGCATAGTTCTCCTCGGCAGCCTCTGCAACCGCCGAGTGTGAATGCGTGCCCGCGGGACAGGGTCGTTGCCACCGATGGTGATTGGTGAATCAGGAAGGCGGTGTCGGGAAAGATGAGGGGGATCGCCCCCGAATAGGCTTAGCGTCCCGTGCTCGGATTGCAATTGCGCCAAAAAAAAGTAGAGTCATCATGGCAATGCTGATCTGACTTGAACTCCTTTCCTACAGTATTGTCGGTCCTGCCAGTTCAATATTCGACTCCCTTGAAAGTCTACAGCCGTACCCCTTTCTCTCATCATGGGTTCTGGTTCTCCTCCAGGCTCGAAGCCATCGGCAATTCCGTCCCACATGCTGAATGGCAATTCTCCCCTCCAGTCGTCCACTGCCGCAGGTTCAGGCTCTGGCAATCGAGCTCGCGATGCTCGTGAGCGTGAGAGTCTCAATTCGTCTATTCAGTCCTCCTTTGCCCCTCGCGTCCCCATTGAGTTCGATTCCCTTGAGGCGGGGTCTGGCCCCGCGGGCGAGTCCACTGCCCACGAAACCGCATCAGCAGCAGCTACCGCCCACAGCACCTTGACTCTTCGGTACGACGAATCCTGAAACCCGCATGTTCATTGATTTCCAGTTCCTGACAATTCTGCAGTGGCCGGCCAACTTTGAATGACCCTCCCCGCGACCCCAGGGACGAAGGCGGTCCCTTGACCCCACCGGCGACCGTCAGCCGCCCCGCGAGTCCCTATACCATGAACCCACCAATCGACTTTGACGGTCTTAGCTGGCCTTGTAAGTCATGCAATCTCATTGTTTTGCAGATCAATGTTCTAAACTTGCCACCCAGGCCCCGGAACACGTGAGCGGTTGGAGTCGACACCGAAGGAGAACGAAGAGCGGATTCAAAAACTTGCGGGAGCAGTGCGGACAATTCTCGAGTGTGTTGGTGAGGACCCTGAACGAGAGGGGCTTCGTGGGACTCCCGAGCGATATGCCAAAGCCATGCTCTTCTTCACCAAGGGCTACGAGGAGAATGTTCGGGATCTGGTCAATGGCGCGGTTTTCCACGAGGATCACGATGAGCTGGTCATTGTGAAGGACATTGATGTGTTCTCTCTGTGTGAACACCACATGGTTCCATTTACCGGAAAGGTATGTCTTGCATGCGTTGCTCTCGAGTCGTGCTAACCAAGTGGGGCAGATGCATATCGGCTACATCCCGGATCGCCGCGTGCTCGGTCTTTCCAAATTGGCTCGCCTGGCTGAGATGTTCTCCCGTCGACTTCAGGTCCAGGAGCGCCTGACCAAGCAGGTTGCTCTTGCCATCTCCGAAGTCCTCAAGCCTCGCGGTGTTGCAGTCGTCATGGAGTCTTCCCACCTGTGCATGGTCATGCGTGGCGTGCAGAAGGTCGGCAGCACTACGACCACCAGCTGCATGCTGGGATGCATGCGGTCAAGTGCCAAGACCAGAGAAGAGTTCCTGACGCTCCTGCATCGCAAATAATTGTCTCTTCTTTGCTTTGTGCCTCATTACCCCCAACTCAGCTCTTGAGTCCGGGTGTCCATTTACGAATTCGGAGTTTCGGCAGTGACCTTTCAACAGGTGTACTTAATGTTGGCTCTTGCCTCATTTTCTAGCGTTGATTTTTGTATTCTCTTTTCATTTTCTGATTCACCTGCATCTAACTTGGCAGTATCTTGGATACACTCTGTCTCTGAGGCCAACACTTTGCACCTTTTTCGATCCGCCGTATTTGCGGGACCGCGACGAAGATCTTTTCACTCACAGATGACTCTCATTACATGATGTTTAGACTAACACTATCCCACACAGGACTTTTTGTTTGTTTGTTGGAGTTATGATTTTGGCGACTCAAAAACCTCTTGGCGGCGCCGGCGAGGCTGTTTCAACACTTGACGTTTCACATTGTACTCTCAACACCCTGATGCCAGGCTCTACCCTGTCGTCTGTATATGTTCCCTACCTATCCATATGTCGGAATATTTTGCGCATTACTGATCTATTCTGATTACCTCTTTACCGTTCTTTTTCCAATGTTGTATCATGAAAATCCCGTTATTTGGAGGGGGGAAGGGAGACAGCATGTCTTACGGGACGATCTGCATCTTTTATTGAAATATATTGTATGTTTTATGGAAGGATGAGCTCAGGGCACCTGCCCGTTTGTGAGTAATTGGCTTTTTAGGAGCCGAGGAAAGCAGTGCTTTGGTGCCCGGTATTCCATTGTTATTCCGTTTAACCTGGTAGGCGAAAGGTAGGAAGGAGCTGTCCGTTCGTGAATACACGCACTCTGTTGTTTACCTTTTCTCCTCTTCACCTTTCAACCCTTGCTCTACCCAACTTCCCGTTCCCAGTCTGTCTTTACATCCACCAACCAATCCGTCAATTCTGCACCTGGTGCAGTGAATCTCCAAACCGAATATCTCGAACAGAGAGGGAACGAGCAAGACTCGGACCAGGTATGTTAATCTGCTCGTGTCCATGAGCTTGCTAACAAGATGGAAGCAAACACGGTTCAACCTTATCACAGAGGCCGAAGAACTGAAGCCAGAATCCAATGATGGCGTCCCCGGCCCCTGATCAATTTTACACAGACCTTCTGGATGATGTAGACATTATGGATGTGAGCTCTGACTCCCACGCCGCCGCCACGGTACGGCCGGTCAGTCTGGATCTTTCTTCTCCATTGTCCTCTCTTCAAGACGCGACCCTCTCTCCTCGAAGCTCTGGAAGTTCAGATATGGATAGGAACCAGAACAAGAGACCTGCGCAAGCTCAGGCTACCCCCCAGCGCCCTTCCAAGCGTATCACTACTGAGCACAGCCCAGCCGGATATTCGACCCCAGGCTTTGATCCCAATAAAATTGACTTCGAGATCACTGACGCGGACATCCTCAATCCTGCTAATGCCGACGCTACCGCTGTCGCTGACTTTCTGTCTGACATGGACAAATTGATCGCTACTCCGACTGAGAAAAGACGCACCCCTCGTCAGAATCTCCAGGCCTTCCTGATCCAGCAGCAGCTTCTCGCTGGTATCCCTGTTGATCGTCTCGAGCCCATGAATGGCCCCGGATCGCGTCAGGCCATTTCCCCTCAGGGAGCCCTGAGGCGCTTCAATACGCCTCCTGCCATGACGGTGACGCCTAATGCCACTTTCATTCCGCATATACCACCTGCGCAGTTCCTTGGCGGGGTTGTTCCTCTCCCAATCCATGAATCACTGCCAAACCCATCGTGGATGAAGAAGGCAAACGAGAATAGCGGTGTCAATTTGTCGGATCCTGTGACTCCCACCCAAAACTCGGTCACTTCAACCGAGTCCCCAAAGGTGAACAATCCCCAGACCCCAGACAATACTACAGGCATGTCCACTTACTTTTCCTCAGTCGCAGAGCAGGCGGCACTAACTCGGTTCTATGCTGAACACTTCTCGACTGGTTCTGATCTCCTGCAACAGCCTGTCGCTGCGCCTGCTGATGCAAAGCTGGATGATGACACCGAAGACGAAGGGCTGCCCTCACAGCCGAGCAAGTCTGAGAGTGATACCGAGATAGGACTATTGTGACGGCCACAACTCTTCTCTAGGTTGATTACAAGGCTGAGAAAGGCTGTGATTTATGATACGGATGTGACTCATAGTTGTGCTATTATCTACTGCAGCCAAGGGAATAGGACGCTTCAATCCTGAAATTCATATCGCGGGGTTCAATTATAGCATGTAGCTGTGGTAAAACTTACCGTCACCTATGCCTACGACGGCATTTAAAAGCGCCATATTTGGACAAGTTATGGTCGCCAATCTCACATTGCGAATTCCCTCGATTACGCAATACCCATAGAGAGTTCTTGTGATGCTCACACCTCATTTCTTATATTGGCGAAGGCTATGAATTATACGGTTAAATGCGTTCTCAAGGTTAGCGATGAATCATCCACGACTAATCCTTCTACCCCTCTCTAAAGTGCAATTACAAATAGTGAGAAAGTACTGAGATTGAAATTGGGCTAATTGAGAACTGTATACTAGAATAAAAAGAAGACATAATAAGAAAACACTCAACGCACAGGCTGGGTCATTGCCCTTATAAAATGAATTGTTTATCAAACGCGGTAGTTATGAAATTATCTGTCCTTCAACAAAGTGAGGCATACCTCACGATAAACCGGAATTCAAGTGCTCTTCGCAGGCGTCATAGCAACTTTCGTTCCATTAGCACTTGACAGGGTCAATGTCAAAGCCTCCTCAAATGGCTTCGAGTCGCGGCTCTCAATTGCCTCGAAATGTTGAAGGAGTCTGACGGCGGTATATCCAGCCTCGGTCAAAGCAAACTGCTGCCCAATACAGATTCGAGGGCCACCATTGAAGGGGACATATGCCCAGCCGGGTCTCAGGTTCTCCCACCTCTCCGGACGGTATTCGTCTGCATCAGGCCCAAAGAATTTTTGATGGCGTTGCATTACATATACACTGTACATCACCTCTTGACCTTTGGGGATAGAGACAGGGGCCGTTCCATCTGGACCACCTCCAGTAGGTAGGTATGTGTCTTTGTTGGCCATGCGTACGTTGAAGGGAACGATGGGATATGTACGTAGAGCTTGACTAAACTTAGTAGATTTTCTATCGATATTTGGACAGAGAGGGGGGGGGGAGCTTACACTCGTTCAGAACCCAGCCCAGGTAGGCCATGGATTTCAAATCTTCATACGTGGGTTTCCGGCCATCTAGCTCTAGCACTTCTTTTCGAAGTTTGGTCCAGATGTCGGGTCGTCTCGCCAAGATGAAGAATGTGATGCTCAATAAGCTAGCGGTTGTGTCACGGCCAGCCAACAGAATGTTCAGCAGCTGGTCTGTGAGCTCCGTTTTGTCCAGGGTTCGTTTGGACAGCTCGTATAAAAAGACATATTGCTGTTCAGTAAGTTTGCTGGCTTCTTCGGAAACATCTTGACCGCTGTCTAATGCCACTCGATGGCTGATGGCTTTCTCTACAAACCTGTCGACATAAGAACGGGCGTCTACCACTGCCTTGGAGAATTCCTTGTTTCTGTAAAACATCATGAGGGAACCCATTCGACCTCGGATAGCCAGCCCCTCTTGGGATATGGCAAAGTCCTTGGCAAAGGCCGAGGCGGCGGGAGAGGTAACATCGTTCAGCGAGTGGACGGACTCTCCGAACAAAAATTCAGTGGCTGAATCAAGGGTCTGGAGACGGGTCAGTGAGAAGTGCGGTATGAAAGAGGTGGAACAGAGTGAAATTACCATTCTGAAGAACAAGTCCTGCAAATCTACCGTTGATCCGTCGCCAGGAATGTGTTGAATGAGTTTAGCGACGTGGGTCTCATAGATCTCGATGTCGGTGATTTGGTTGCGAGCAAAGTTGGGACGGAGAAGAGCTCGGGAGTGTTCCCATTGCACACCATCGGAACAAAAGATGCCGTTACCCAAAAGTGGGCGCATGGAATCTGATCGGATTGTGCCTAGCTCAAAATCTTTGAACTTGAGCGCTAAGATGGTCTGGACATTTTTAGGCTCAACTGTGAAGACGACCTTTCGACCGGCCATGGTCGCCCTAAACGTGGTACCGTAGTCCCGATGCCAGGTGCAAATCAGCTCAAGAAAACGTTTTTCGCGGCCAGCCGCGAGCATGGCCCTAACCATTCCAATGCCAAACAAGCCGTGAGACACATTGTGCAACGGTTCTTGGCAGCCGTTTTCCCGGGCGAACTTCCATTCTACACATTGTCAGCCCTACACATTCTTCATGTTCAATGAGAGGGTTCTCCATGCCTTGAAGCACTTGTGCAACCTTCAATATCGAGAAACCGATAGCAGCAGCTCCAGCGATCAGAATATAGAAGGGAATTTGCGACAAATTAAGTGAATGCAGCCCCATGGTTGCGAATGATTTTTCGTGAAATCCTTGCTGTTTGACAAGCACGGTAAGCCGGTGAGTGGGGGCGATTCATAAATGTACTTATTTCATCGGCTTAGCCGGTTCACTGTCATAAACGCCATTACACAGCCCGTTCATCAACAAGGCCATTGCGTAAGGCGTCCATAGCTGAGGGGTCAGCTTCCGCGTCTTTCCTATTATGGTAGGGATTTTCTCCGGAAGCGGTATATGCTACGGTTGATCTAGCCACGTCGCCAAATATAGCGACCACCCCACGCCTTGAGAGCCTGTCAGATCATTCTGCCGAGGCTTACTCCGTACAGTATTTTACAATTGACGCACTGAACGCTGAAAGCACCAGGCGGTGCAAGATACGATAGGGCTAAGCGGGGGTTGTTTGTAGAATAATCTAATGATCTGGTTATTTCCTTCGTGCCTGGAGGGGTGATTTCAAGGTAAGGAAGGGTACACAGTGGTAGTTGCTCTCGATTCTGAGACATACTTGCGCGTCGACTACAGCATAGATCGAAATCAGTCTCACCAGCTTACTCGCTTTGATCTTTCCCCGTACTGTACCCTATTTTGAAAGAAATAGTCATATGATAGCCGCGCCCGTAATTTAATAGAAATACTCAGACTACTCATACTCGACACCTTAATGCCTCCTGTTCCTTATATGGTAATGGAGCCCAACTGTAGGGCTGTGTTTCGCTCGATAAGCCTAGAGATCGTCCCTAGAAATGATCTAAATTCGTATCTTGCCAACGTCTAAGATCTTACGGTTCCTACCCTAAGCACCTACTACGATTCACTATAGCTGATCAGCTCTCAATCGTATTAGGGATTGCGGGTTGCTAGTTAGGCCACCCCTGTGTCCTGCGTGTTGATAGGAATACGAGTGAAGAATTCTGATGATTGGTCAGGCCATAACACTACGGAAGCACGAGGTGTATTCAGACTAATCACTGGTCATCTCACTGATCGATCGACGAGGCTTCTTATTCCATGTGCTATACTAAGCGAATCCACGCGGTTGGTCCTGCCAGGCAGAGGGACTCGCTGTGCAGCTCCATCGCTGGGGGTGGTGACACTGCTCTCGCTTGGTATTTCTCGTGATTTGGGTGCATGTTTTAGTATGAAAACCGTGCTTTTTCCATCAGCTACCAATTCAACATACAGTAGAAAGCGGGCCAATTTTTGGCGGTTCTGACCGCGTTGATATCCTGCCATCTCACCGCCTGCTAACACGTGTCCAGCCTAGTCGTCTCCCTTAGCGCAACCTCAGCCTGACGTGACATCAACACCACTTTCCGTGTCCTAGTCTCCCGACTCCGGTGGTGTACTGATAATGGATGCCCCCAGAGAACCAACCCGGTTCTTACATATTCCCCTACCTTTATTTTGGTGGCTTCCCCGGGTGCCAGTGTCATAAGCCGCAGCCCATCCCGCCCGATCTCAAGCTGACTTGCCGGCCCGTGTGGGAGCAACCCCCCTTCGTCAACACAATCTATGAGAACACCGCGAGGCGCTTAATATAAGCTACCAGACGTGGATGATAAGCTTTGTGTCTCTTTTTTGAAATTCCCAACGTCGGAGATTGGGGGCAACCACTGGACCAGCTAGAGGTTCTTTCATCGCCTCGGGCAGTCCAACTTTGTTCTTTCTGGGCTCCGTTAATTTTGAGCATTCTCTGGCTCATGGAGCTCTGGCCCTGGCTCATCTAGTTTCCTGGCCCCACCTTGGGCCAGCCCCTGTTCTCACCCCGCGCAGACCTTCTTTGCAGAGATCGACATGATGCATATTACTGGGTTCTCGGGGCTTTGAAATGACGGAATGGTTGGGATCGACTTTAAGAGGTTCGGAGGAAGAACCCCTGTTGAAATATCGCGATGTCGCGATACCCTGCCTTAGCCTTGTGGCGGTCCTTTGGATAATCACGTCCTATGTCTTATCTGCTGTAAACTACGGCCGGCACTGCACTGCGGTGTATCCGTCCCATGACGACAACGAGGAAGCCTAACGATCTGCAGACACTGGCCAGACATACCATCACTTGAATATGAGTGGGAGCCATATGGTGAGGTGAAGCCGTCAACAGGCATGTACCTCTCGGTGCCCTGCCGTGGCACGGCCACCATTGAGAGTCAAAGGGCAAAATTCTTGCCTACAGCTCAGAGCGTCACCAAGCTCTCACCTGGGCGCTTTTGGTGCCTATGTGCCTTGTCACTGGCGATGCCATTCTTGCTTTATGCAGTACGTAGATAGATCGATCCATGGAGCCATGTGATCTTGCCTCAGGCGGCTGTGCAATGCGGCGCGAGAAAACCAGAAGGGCTCGAGGACTCTGGAACCTCTACAAAACTAACCGCAGCAACCTCTTAACTGCATCTGACGCTCCACGAACAAAGGGCGGAAAGTGCGAGGCCCGAACTAGGCCAAACCAGGCCAAAACTGTTCATCGGCTCCGAATCCAGTTGTAGAGCCGCACTGCAGGCACGCATTCGCGCCCAATCACCAACTTCCTGGTCTGTCGACTCCGGATTGATTCTAACATATCAAAGTAGTTCGTTCACTGATTCACCAAGAGCCGGTGCGTATAAACCCAATTCGTGAATCCCCTTGCTCACACACCAGGCTTCACAGCACGGAAAAACCAATGATCCGCCCTGCCCCCAAAACCCCGACGGCCTGGTGAGAACGCGGACACGAGAATCGGCTCCACTCATTTGTGCTTTCCTCGACTCACTGGAGCGGTTCTCCATCATCTCTCTCTCTCTAACCCTTGTCTAGCTGCAGCCAGATGCTGTTGGCGACGCTTTCATGGCTGGGTCCCGTAGGAGTCTCCCGCTGAGAGACCAGTGGAACGCCGATCAAGACCGCGATCCCCGTGAGAGGGACAGGCGCAGAGGTCGAGGGTCGAATCGAGACCGGGGCAGAGCCCGTAATCGCGAACGAGGAGGCCGTCACTCCCGTCCTAGCGACCGCCATTTCGATTATTCTGCACGATCGCCACCCGCGCGCACTTCTCGCTTTGCCTCTGATCTATCTCACGCCGGTGATTCTGCTGAGGACCGACCCCCCCCGCGCGGCTCGCCCGGTCCTTCGTCAGGTTCCAACCACAATCGACGATCAGATTATCCCCGCCTGCCATCATCGGTTGACTGGAACTCTCATCCGTCTGGACCGTTGGATAGGGACGGTCCGGCTTCTCGACGAGACGAGTCGCCCTTCGCACCCCCATCAAAGAGAAAGAGGACCCGCAGTCCATCTCCTCACGGCCCACGTGGCCCGTTTCCTCCCCGGCGTTCATCATTTGGCAAACAAGGTGAAAGACGCGACCGGAGTCCCTCCTTCAAGAACCGAGGTCGATTTCCAGGTCGTGGTGCGTCGGGACGTGGCGCTTCTAGACGGAGATCTCCTCGTGGACGGGGACGAGATCGTCGGGGGAACGACCGCCGCCGCTCTGATATCCCACGACCGGGCAGGTCCAAATCACCTGGGCGAGATAGAGAAATCCATCCATCCCCCGACAGACGCTCTCGCTCGCTGAGTGGTGACTACAGTGACCGGGGTTCTCGCTATCGGTCCCGTTCTGCATCGCGACATTCAGCTCGCTCGGCACACTCAAGGATGTCGACGTTTTCTTCGAATTCACGAGGCCAGGATGCAATGAACTCGACAAAAGCCGTACAGTCCACCACGCACGTTACGGCTCGTTCCCCTTCGCCACCTCGTCCTATCCCAAGCTACGATTCCAGCAACTTGAGTGGCCCTAGAGATGGCCCCGCTGGCTTACGAGACGCATTCCCGATGCATGGGATGCGGAATTCGGATATGCACAATAAGCAACGACGTCGACCATCCCGACCACATCTTGATTCAAGACCATATCCGACGTCTCCAGATTTTGCAACGCCGACAAGCTCCAACCATGGATCACCACCACCGCCTGCCTCTCCTTACAATGGTGGGCGAGGAGACCGATCTGGACAACCTCCGTTTGCCGGCTCTGGGTAAGTTTTGTGCCTCGTGCCTTTTATTTGGTCTGTTTTCACACATACTGATCTTGTTCGTTTTTATAGACCATCTCCCCCTTATCGCCAGGATAACTACCACTCACAAAATGTCCCATCGGGACCACACTATCAAAACAACCACGGTCATTTTGACGGACCACCGAGTCACCATCCTCAAGCCGCTTACAACGGGCCGCCCTATCGAGGTGGCCATTCTGGGTTCCGAGGGAACCACGAAAACCAAGGCCCAAATCGCCGATTCTCTGGATCTGGACCTCATCCCTACAACAATGGGCCCTCACACCGCGGAGGAAGGGGTAACTTCAACAATTCACAATGGACTGTATCCGGATCTCGTGGCCGCAGTGGACCGTCAAGCCCTCCTCCACTTAGCCGTGGTTCGCGGACTCCATCTACTCTTGCTCCGTCCGCAAGTGATCCGCTATCTCCTCGGGCACCCGACCCTACGACTCAATTGGCAGGCACAAACAGGGATTACCAAAGAGACGATGACAGGTCTCTGCCTGTTGCAGAAGGCGATGGTGCTCATGAAATGCCCCCGCCTCCCCGTGAATCGAATATAACTACTCCTGGGGACAAAGGTGGAAAGTTCAGTTTTGCTTTGAAGCCCAAGACGACTCCAAACTTGACACCAAAGCCTGTCCCTGATCTTGCGCAGCGGATGGTCCGTGAACCACCTCCTCGTGCACCCGAACCAAAAAGCCCTCGCAACCGGCTGACAAATGGCCCATTGCCCAAGTTCAACCCTGATGCGCGGTTCGACCGACGAGATCGGGACCGCGGACGAGATAGGAAAGGGGATCGTGATCGTCGGGAATTCCGAAACCAACGGGACTTCCGGGATCCACGAGACATGCGAGATACTCGAGACGATCGTCGCTTTGACCAGCGGCATGACCGAAGGAAGAATGACAGGCGTCCTGATTTCAGACAAGACCGTCCCAGGGATCCCTCACAAGAGCCGCCCAGAGAGCCGCCGAAGCAGAAGAAGATTATCACTCGGCCCAAGCCACGCCCGATACTGCCCAAGGAGTTTGCTGATGCTGACTCGGTTTACTACCGCAAGCCAGGAAACGAGTCCGTTATCGGCGCTGGCACCTACGGCAAAGTCTTCAAGGGAATTCATGTGTTTACTCAGCGCAAGGTTGCCCTGAAAAAGATTCGAATGGAGGGTGAAAAGGATGGATTCCCAGTTACGGCGGTTCGGGAAATCAAGTTGCTGCAACACCTCCGGAGCCACAACGTGGTTAGCCTGTTGGAGGTCATGGTTGAACGGAACGAGTGCTTCATGGTCTTTGAATATCTTTCCCATGACCTGACTGGTCTCATCAACCACCCCACGTTCTCCCTCACTCTCGCGCACAAGAAGGATCTGGCCAAACAGATGTTTGAAGGGCTGAACTACCTCCACCACCGAGGCGTCCTTCACAGAGACATCAAGGCTGCCAATATCCTAATCAGCAACCAAGGATTATTGAAATATGCAGACTTTGGCCTGGCTCGCTTCTTCTCCAAGAGCCGTCAGCTCGATTACACCAACCGTGTCATCACGATCTGGTATCGACCCCCGGAGCTTCTGCTGGGTGAGACCCGCTACGGCCCAGCAGTCGATGTGTGGAGTGCTGCATGTGTCTGTATGGAAATGTTCACCAAGAAAGCTGTCTTCCCCGGCGAGGGCGGCGAGCTGAGCCAGCTGGACAAGCTCTATAACTGTCTGGGTACCCCGACTCGTGCTGACTGGCCGGATCTCGTGGAGATGCCCTGGTTCCAGTTGATGCGACCCGCCGAGCGCAAGAAGCGTGTCTTCGAGGATACTTACCAGGACGTCCTGACCCCGGCTGCGATGGACATGATTGCCCAAGTCTTTCAATACGACCCCGCGAAGCGACCATCCGCGGAAGCGGTCCTCCAGCACCCTTACTTCCTGTCCGAGGAACCTGCTCCTCAGCAGGCCGTTGAGTAAGCTTACCCCCCCTTCCCCCCATCCACGTGTTTGAACTTCACTAACGCCCTACTTTAAAGACTTGAGCACATTGAAGGAGACTGGCACGAGTTCGAGTCCAAGGCACTCCGTAAGGAGGCCCGGCGTGCCGAGTGGCAGAGCCAAAAGGACCGGGAGAAGCGCAAGGCGGAGTCGTCGGTGCCGACAAGTGAACCGGACGCCAAGCGGGCGAGACAGGAGGACTCGGACCAGGTCTCGGGATTGTGAAGCGTTTTATTCTGCTTTTTCTGTACGGCATTGGGGCATGGCTGGTGGAATGGCTTGCATCTACCATCACGGAAGTTCTGTTTGTTCGGGAATCTTTTGGGGCTTATTTTCTGTGACATACTGCCCATCATCAAAAATATTTTCTTTAATATTTATCCAAGGCCAGAGGGTATATTGTACGGGAGAATGCCTCCGTGGCCAAGCTGTAGATGGATGGGTAGAGGCAGAGGGGTTCACGGCGGGCTGAGTGACGTTCATTCAAACAAAAAACAAAGAAACGCGAGAGGGTAAATCTAGATCGGCGCTGCATATAACCCTTGTTAGCCCGTACTAAAGATAGGCGATCGTACGAAGCAGGTTGACAGGAACGACATCAGACTTTGCCAATAGACCTCACGCCCAACCAGCCGAATGTAGGAGGCGGTTGAGACCTCGGATTACCAGAGAGCTCACGGAGTTTCTTCATTTTAAAGTGTAAATTGGATTGCGTGCTATGGACGTACCCGGAAACAATCAAGCGCCAGGAAGGTTATAGGAAGAAGTGTCTCGTCAATCAGGTCATCAACGGTTCATGGCAGCACTGAGGCCCTCGTGATGATGGTTTTAGATGCGAGCTGATTCAATCTCGACACACACATCGGAAATGCCGGGAAGGTAGAAATCCAAACCCCGTCATTGATTTGAGTCGGTGGTCTTGCTGTTAAAGAAGAAAGAAGAAAGGAAGAAGGAGAAGAAAACGCGAAGAAAAAGGAAAGTCGGGAAAAAAGACGGTGCGGGCGGCAGGCGAGACGGGACCTGATTGGGCCCTGCGCGGATGGAGCTTCGAGTCTCCGATTCCATCGTCTTCAAACTGCTTCACCATCCTCCAGCTCGACCTTCCCCTCCACGCCCTACATTCCCTCTTACGTTCTTTTTCGACTCCGGAGCGCTCTCCTATTCTACATCTTTTTCCTCGACCTTCTTCCCGCTGCGATAACGTCCCCCGATATACCCCTCCCGCCACCTGCCCGCATCAATCCCGCCTCCATCCATCTGTCTCTTTTTTTCTCCCTCTGTTCTGAACTCCTGTGCCCTCTCTACGTCACCGATCACCCTGTACGAGTATCTGTTTAGTGTGCCCTGTCGTTTTTTCGAGCTTCCCATTCTCCCGGATGACCGCTCGTGACCCGGGCCGCCTCACCCGCCGCGATGGATAATGCAAACTTGTGGACTCGTCGAGCAAAGTAAGACCTCTCTTTTTATGCATTTCAAAGCATCGGCATAGGCTAATGGCTCTTCCGTTCCAGCTCCTCCAAACTGTCTTTGTCAATGTCTGGAACCGAGGGCAAAGAAGGCGCCCGCGTCGAAATGCCCCGCTCATCGAAACGGTTCGGCCCCGACAGCTCGCACGGGCGCTCCAATCCCTTTAACGCTATATCCCCAATGTCTGCCGGCGTCTCCTCACCCTCCACTAATGCTTCCTCCGCCTTTGGATTGGGATCTGGTGCCTTCGCCTCTTTCGGCGCTCCCAAGACCCCCGGCGGCTCAGACGTGAAGACACCGGGTGAGAAGGGCGAGCTCTCAGCGGAGCAGGAGGAGGCCATCAGGGCTAAGGTCCTGGCCCATTCCCATGTTTCCGGGCCCGGCGAGCATCCCCTCAAGTCTACCTGGATTGTCTGGTACCGTCCTCCCACACCCAAATACTCCGATTACGAGAAATCAACGGTTCCGTTGGCATCGATATCATCGGTGGAGAGCTTTTGGGCTGTTTATACTCATCTTAAGCGGCCGTCGCTGCTCCCGACGGTATCGGATTACCATATCTTCAAGAAGGGTATTCGTCCCGTGTGGGAGGATGAGGCTAACAAGAGAGGCGGCAAGTGGATTGTTCGGTTGAAGAAGGGTGTGGCTGACCGCTACTGGGAGGACCTACTACTGGCTATGGTGGGAGACCAGTTTGCGGAGGCCGGGGACGAGGTCTGCGGTGCCGTGCTGAGCGTACGGGGTGGGGAGGACGTCTTGAGCGTGTGGACACGCATTGACGGTGGGCGGAACATCAAGATCAGGTATGTCTGAATGCTCGCTTTATCTTCGTCGCCTTTGGAAACTAATTGCCCCCACAGGGAAACGATCAAACGCCTGCTTGCCTTCCCATTTGACACCAATATCATCTGGAAGAGCCACGACGACAGTATTGCCCAACGCTCTGCTATCGACCAGGCCCGCCAGGAGAAAGCCGCCAGTTCCAATACTCATCTGGGCACAGAACGGCGGCGCCCCACGGGCCAGGAAGACTCGGACAAGGGCAAGGGATCTGCCGCGTGAGCGTCCCTCCCTTGTGGCCTTGAGTCCTGTATAGTAACCCCAACAAAACGGAAAAAAAGATATTATGCACAACTTACTCATTGGGACGCGTTTGGTTCTCTGGGGCGATGGGGCATCGTGGCGAACTCAGCGGTTTGATTTGATTTATGTCTTGAGTAAACTCATTATGCCTGTTCCGTCTTCTTCATGCGTGACGTTTCCTTCTCTTTTCTTTTTTAACTACGTCTTCCCATTTATGGAAAAGTGCAGGTGCATATGCTTGCTGGCGTGGGAATGTTGGTCTTATGAGGATCGTTAGTCTATAGCTGATAGCTGATTCTTTTCTGGATGGCTCCCAATCAACCATCTACGACCGATACCTTCATGAATGTCTTGTTCTTGTGGCAACTACCTACTTAAGTCTGTATCATCCTGTGATGTCTTCCTAGGGTTGAGTCTCCATTTATGCCTTACAGAACAGGCACCTCGCTGACCGCCTTGCGATGAACGATACGACGACGCATCCCAATCGGCGAGAAAGCGGGAAAAAAAAAAAGAGAAAAGAGAGAACGCGGGATGGGACCGATGCCGCGCATGGTCCTGCCTTAAACGAGGCGCTCTCTGGATGTCGTTCTTTGCGAACATATCCGAGATCTTCGATAGCTTCTCTCCGCGTCGCCCGCGTCGCGCTCGGCCCGATTATCGTCAACGGTCTGACGCTGATTCTCTCAGCCGCGGCCAGTTACACTCTCCACGCCGTGAGTCTCGGTCTCCGAGCTCCAGGGCCTCGCACCGTCTCAGAGCATCCGGAAACGAATTCTCTTTGGGCTCTGATCTTGACGACAATCAGCTGCCTGACCCCGGTCTCTCACTGAACGATACCGCACATTCCCAGGTGTGTGATTCTCAAGTTACATACAGAGCTCTGTGCCAGCACTTGCTCTCCCGTTGTGATTGGGCCTTTGAAGGATTTATTTTCGCTCCTGGATGCTACTTTCTGCCCAGATGGCGCTGAATTTGCTTTTAACCACACACTTATCGTTTCCGAACGTTGCGACTAACCACTCTCAGAATATCCAGAGTTATGCCAACGACTTCATTTCCTCCCCTGGACCTACAAGAACCCGCCGACAATTGCGATCCCCGCCTTCGCAGTTTGTCGTAGACCTCACAGCCCGGTGAATATGCCCGACAATCGCCCACCCGCCGGCAAGCAGTTACTGATATCGCGTGGTGTTCTCAGTGGAGGCGATCCTTCGCAGATGTTGAACAAGGACCCGAGGCGGAATGACGCTCTTGTTCAGGCCCGTCAAGAAGAAGCGAGACTGTTGGGAGCGAGAGATTACAAGTATGTTGTGGGAAGTGGGGATGGAGGGGTTATGAACTTGCACTGACGACTGCTTTTGCGAGCTTGCAGAGATAGAAATGCTGTACCAATAACGCCTGGTGCCAGTTTGCAGAGGAATAGGAAGATTCCTGGGGTACGTTGCTCATTTCCACACTTTGGTTGTTTTGAGCTTTTATCTGACGGTCGGCAGTCGACGGTCGCATTCAGGCCGACGGACAGGATTTCTCAGCATGCGCGTGATAGCGGACCTGTTCGTGCATCTGGAAATTCGAAGACGTCGAACCATTTGAGAAGAAATCCTTCGTACTTGGATGATGCACCCGATTTTGAAGAGTCGAACCGGCCGAACAAGCGTAGACGACAAGACGACCACGCGAGAACACTTGACTTGACAGACGGAAGCCCCGTGCGCCGGGCATCATCACCTTCTAGCCAGAACTCAGCAAGACCTAAAAGCAATGGCCGGGCCAGGCAACATGAAGAGTTCCGTGGCGTGGAAGATAGCGTCAGAGTTAACCGGAGCCCACGGGTTTCTCGAAGGAGCCAGCACACGCGATTCCCGTCAGCTGAGTCCCTGGAAGAACGATTTACGTCGATGGCCGCTGAACAAAGGCGAGCTGGGGCCCTCAAAACGGATAAAGAACCGCAGGCCAACAAAGAATCGGAGCTACCTCGACAAGCTCTTCTTGACATCATCGAGAAACATGATTTGGGGGGAAAGGACCCAAGTCATCAAAATGCTACGTCTTCGAGCAAATCGCGTGTTGTGTCTGGTACCAGGGAAAGTCCAGATGAATTACAGGGCGAAACCACGACTCAACCGGTACCGAGGTTCCTCGACGCAAACCAACCCCAATCTCGTCACAAGTTCAATAAAGGCAACTTTATGTCTCCAGCCCGAAAGCGTTCGCCAACTGATATACAACCCACCGACTTTGCGGGCTCCCCACCTCAAGGGCCTAAAAAGATCAAGCGTACCCCCAACAGCTTACCCTCATCTTTTGATGTGATCTCTATTCGATATGGTTCTGTTGGAAAAAGGGTTGCGAAGGGTGAAAGAGCAGCCATTCGGTTGGCACCGGAAAAGATCGAACTTGGTGAAGACATTTTTGGGTCGGGAAAAAAATTGGAGATCCTGTTGCGAAATGTCCGAACGGTCTTGCAAGGAGTCAAGCCCAGTCTTAAGTTGAGGCTGAAACTTTCTCAGAAGTCTGAGGCACCAGGTGATAATATAGATATTGAATTCCTGGTGCAATCAGACAAGAGAAAGTTTGTGCAAGTGCTGCAGGATTTCCAGATTAAGATCTTGGACAAGACAGGGTATGTATTTCAGATGGGCTTTCTTCGCTGCAAATCGGCTGATTTGGATAGGATATTCATGGACAAGGCCTTTACAACCTACGAACATGAGATGACACGACACGGCAACCACACTAAACAACCCTTCCTGGACATTTCTGCGCCTGAGCCGGCATCCACCGCACCTGTCGGGTCTTCCACACGCCAGAAGCTTTCTTCCGCTTTGCAAAACTCGAAAGACGAGTCCAGTGAGAGCAAACGAGTTGAAAATAAAATAAGTACTCGGGACGATTCCGGGCCGATGACCGGGGCTGGCGATTCCCGAGAAAGGCCCAGTAACGGCAAAAGCGATCCTGAATCCGGGGTGGAGATTCCCGTGAAGCCCTTCCGGCCGCAAGAGTCTGCTGAACGAGAGACCCGTTCTACTAGGCGTACGACACGCATCTCTGGGGGATTGACCGGACCCAACGACGTCTCAGACTTCTTCAAAGTACCCCGCCAACCGTCCCCCAAAGATGACGCTGCTCGGAAGAAATGGAAGAAGCCCTTGGTGTATCCTTGGGTTGGGAAGAAAAAGGCCGAGGTCTGCGTTGAAGACCGAGACCGACTGCGTGACGACGAGTTCCTGAATGATAATCTCATCGGTTTCTACATGCGCTTCTTGCAAGATCACCTCGAACGCACCAACAAGAAAGCTGCCGAGCGGGTGTACTTCTTCAATTCTTATTTCTTTGACACACTCCTAAATACCCCAAAGGGAGAGCGCGGCATTAATTACAGTGGTGTGGAGAAGTGGACGCGCAACGTTGACCTCTTCAGCTACGACTACATCGTCGTTCCCATCAATCAGGCTGCACATTGGTACGTTGCCATTATTTGCAATCTGCCTAGCTTGGAGCTTGGAACTGTGGAGTCCGTGCAGCCATCCTCTGCCCACGTGAGCGACAAAGAGACCTCGAACCAGCCGGAGAGTGACGTGCATGAGATCCTTGAGTCGCCGGAACCCGAACCTGCCCCGGATCCCAGTACCCCTACCCAGACAGAACCGGAGGGAAAGAAGAAGCGAACTTCTGAATCCCCAGTATCACAGGGGGCGCGGCAGTCTTTTGCTTCGATGACCATTCAAGAGCAGGAGAAAGCACGAAATGAGGCAGGAAAATCGGAGGCTCCCGCTGACACTGAGGAGTGGCCTGAAGGGGAAGAAAACCCAGCTTCGCCACCTGCCAAGTTCTCTCCCTTCAAACAAATCTCCACTGAGCCTTACACTGCATCTTATACGGGTCGGAAAACCAAGAAAGGCAAGGCCGGCCCGAAGTTGAGCCCGAGCCAGACGACAATAGTCACATTCGACTCACTCGATCAAGGCCGCTCGCCCACGATCAGGATGCTGCGGGACTATATCTGCAAAGAGGCTGCCTCCAAGCGTGGCGTCGAGGTTGATCCGACAAACATCAAGGGCATGCGTGCTCGCCAGATCCCGTTGCAGCCAAATTACTCCGATTGTGGACTCTACCTGTTGGCGTATGTGGAGAAGTTCGTTCAAGATCCCGACTCATTCGTTACAAAGCTCCTTTCGCGTGAAATGGACCAGGTGGATGACTGGCCTCCTCTGGGATCCGGTCTTCTTCGACATCGGCTCCGCAAGTTCCTTGATGATCTGTACGATGAGCAGGCACAGGCTAAGGACATCTCTGAAGGACAGGCGATCATGGCAGATCAGCAACCGATCTCATATTTGCTGGGTCCATCTCTGCCAAGGCAAGTTGATGGTGATGATCGGGGCAATGCAGAGCTTTTGCAGCCCAAAGACGATGCAAAGAACAAGGGTGCAGAGGAGAAGCCTGCTGCGGAGGACGCTGTTCAAGGTCGTGATTCACCAAATGATGGTTCGGCTGCAGACCAGCCTGAATTGGTGCCCACCGCCTCTTCTCCTGGCCCTAAGTCGTCGAAGGGGAAGAAAGCTTCTGGTCCGCCTCCAGCAGATGAAAATGCCACCCTGCAACCAGCCCCGCCAAAAGACGAAGAAGTTTTTGTGGTGCCCGACAGCCAGGAGAACAGGCCAGCGCCAAAACCAAAGCCGAGCCGCGCCGAGAATAAAAAGGCTGCCAAAGCAGTGGATGCGCCCGTCTGCAGGAAGTCAGATCGGAAGAAGGCCCCCATACCAGTCGGCAGTGATGTGGTGAATGAGCCTACTTCGCAAAAACCTGCGAAGGGATCACAAGTGCAGCAAATCCAGGTACAGCGTACACCATCACCCAGTGAACCAGACCGAGTTCGAAAGAGCCCACGGGGCAAGACACGCAAGGATTGAGAGAGCCTTGGGGCAACTTTTTGTATTTGATACCTATTATGCAGCGTTACCATAACCTAGTCGGGCATGAACCGGCGATCCAAACATGTTGTTTCGTCCCATCGGGAATCCGATATTTACTATGTTCCCGGAGGAACAGACGGCGTTGAATGTTGAATATGGAGTATTTCGGCGCTTTGAATTTCATCAGGGCACGAGGTACCGGCATCTTCGCAATACAAATCATTCATCTATCATATCCAAGGATCTCTCCATCAAACGAAACTACCACTGACTCTCGTCCCTACCAACCCACCACGCCATCTTATCCCTCTTAAACGTCTCAAAGTCCCACTCCGCATCTTCCAGCCTCCCCTCTCCAGCAATCCACAAATAAGTCATAGCCTGTACCTCGCCACCTTCATCTGCAAACTCCGTTCCAGCCGCATCCAACACATCCCGCAAATGACCCTCCGAGCTCGACGCCTGCCCAGTCCCTTCAGGTAACGACTCTTGAAGCACGCGCACAGAAACCCCTTCCCGGATATACTCATCACCCTCGTACATATCCAAACGGTGGATATCACCATCCGTTAGGCCCGAGACGAGCGTGCCTAGAACGGATGTAGACTCTGATGCTGACACGATCCCCGGGTAGTCTTCACCCCGCACACGATGGCGCCGGTAGCCGTGCAGCACGGCGGGCTGGAAGCGGAGCATGGCTTTTTGCCAGGGTTCAGGCTCTACATTCCCGTGGACTACTCGGTGTAGCATCTGTGGTGCCATCAGTGTTCCTGGTTTGTTTGTTAGTCTTGGATTAGAGGTGTATACACGGTACACTATGGGGCTTACCGTAGACGAAGAGGACGTGGTCTCCCATTGTGGATTGTTTCAGTTCCGGAGACTAGTGATTGAGCTTTCAGGAATTGTTAATATGAGAAGAAACTTGGAATTAGGTACGTGCGAAAAGAGAAAAGTAAAAATGGAAAGCGGACAATGGACACGGTATAGATACGACGATAAGATACCTCGGGCTACGCCGATTCGGTCACTTTTCGAGTAATAAGCTGTCAACTCACATTTGCAGGATTATATTCGCGTTTGATCGAATTGGAAAAGTACTTTTAACCACAAGAATAGGCCAGCGCGTAAGCTTAATACATTTAAGTTGTTGTCGACGTGCACCCATTTCGCCCCAAGCTCTTACTAAGAGGGTCGGAGCTCCCAAACACGCCTCGCTGGCTTCAACCCTTTGACACTTGAACACTCCGCATTGTCATCCCCACAATGCACTCCTCCCTCAACCGCGCGCAAGCGGTCTTTGGCTTCTTCACCACCGTCGCCCTGGTGGTCGCGGGACTGGCCGCGCTCTCAGTGCTCCTATTCCCCAGCGATGCCACGGCGTCGGTTTCGCTGAAGAACGTCCAGGTGTAAGTCAACCACCCACTGCGCTTGACGGCGCCCCCAAAGCAACCGAGGCAATCCTAAGCTCCGCGATGCTAATTATCACCCTTTTGCGGGCCAACAGAACCAAAGGCCGTCCTCACTACTACTCCACGAAACGCGAAGAGTACGCGCAGCTCCGCTTCGACCTTGACGCCGACCTGACTCCCCTCTTCAACTGGAACACCAAGCAGCTCTTCGTCTACGTCTACGCTAGCTATTCGTCCTCCGATAAAGCGAACAGCCAAGTGCGCCCCTCCGAGGCTATCATCTGGGACTCCATCATCGAGGCGCCGACTTCGCCCTACTCATGGGATGCGTTGAAGGAAAAAGCCACCGCCCTGCTCCCGGCCTCTGTCACCGGGAAGCGCGCGCCTAAGAAGTCCAAGGCATCGAACAAGAAGAAGGACCAGAAGAAGGAGGAGGCACAGCCGGGCGTGCTTAGGCTGCGGGGACAAAGGGCCAAGTATCAGATCAATGATATTACGGGTCGTCTGGCAGAGAGGCAGAACGTGACGCTTTCCGTGGGGTGGAATGTGCAGCCATGGGTTGGGGCTCTGTGGTGGGCGCCTGCTACTGGGGCGGTGCCGAGGACGGATGGGATTATTGTGAGCAGTGAGGCGTTTGATTTCCCGCCTTTGAAGGGGAAGAAGGTTGAGGGACAGGCCGCGGAGAGTGTTTAGCTGGTGTTGGGTTATGGTTCGGACTATTGTGTGTCCTTTTAAAGAGAGATAGCATACAATTGCGATTGCATAACGGTTTTAGTTTCTAGAGGCGAGACAGTGGTAATGATATAAGAACTTCATTCGCTAGGGTAGTAGATACGGTGAAACAATAATTATGGACTTGAGGGATAGGAAACCCATTAGGCCGTTGGAGGATGTAACTGAGATTTGAACACGGTCCTTGGTGATGAAAGAAACAGCACAGGCGATTTGCATAACAATCAGATAGTGCCATAGTTGCGAGGCGCGTCCGAGCGGCTATGGCCGCCGTTCTGGATGCGCTCGGAGTAGACGCCGGGGGCAGGGCGCTGAGAGGCGCGGGTTAAGGGTCGCGGTTGCGACGTTGATAGTAGACGTATTCGAGGTAAAATGCATGAATATGGCCCGGGAAGTAGCTGTAAGCACCGAATTAGAAGCTGGGGACTTGGGGACTATAAGTTCAGTGGAGAAACTCACCCGAGAATCGTAAGGAGGACGTTGATCCAGAAGTCAACGCCGCAACCGGCGATCATGAAGACGCCGAGTGGCGGAACTGGAAGCTTTGTTAGTGAATCTGCGCAGTACAGGGCTCCTCGCGTCTAGGCAGCAGGGAAATGGACTGATTCGCGGGTTTGTCACACGCATCGTGCCGGATCAGGTAGCTGAACAGGATATCGGCGACAACAGGGAAAAGCTTCGTGAGGGCACTTACTGAACAGGGTGACGATAATCAAGCACAGCATCGAACAGGTGCCCGCCATGGTGAATGATAGTGGGGTTGGTGTAGGTGGATGGCAAGGTTACTGTTGAGGTTTGGCAGAACGCTTGTCGGCGTGAACAGTTGCGAGATGAACGAGGGGCAGAGTGGCAAGGGGCAGGAAGTAACTATAAATACCTAGGTACAAAGTTATCCTTGGCAGAATTAAGGCGTTTCAAGCTCGGCAAGACGTCACGGCGAGTCAGGGAATAATACATTTCGGGGTTGGTTGCTTTGAGGATAGGGCTGAGGTGGGGCTGACGTCATTACTACTGTGCTTTGACTGTGGAGATTTGCGGCGTTGATCGAGTCTTGATGTTTGTATACTGCACAGGATAGTGTTCAATATAGTGTTAAGAGCAGTGTTTAGGATAGCGTTAAGAGCAGTATTCAGGATACTCATAGCATTCAGGATGGTATCTAGTACAGTGTTCCAAGTACGGCGGAGCCTCGTGGGTACAAACTAGGTGCAATACTTCGTACGCGAAGAGCCTATGCGAAGAGTCTAGGTACACGGCCCGTGGTTTCATCAGGTACTATCTGGAGCGAGTACCAAGGGAAAATTCTGTGTCATCCATCACACTGCATCAATGGCTGCCCGCGTTGTCACCTGCTCGTTCTTGTTTCCAAGCTTCGAGATCTGCAGGAAGGCATCAACCCCGTAGCCTTCTAGGCTATGTAGCTCCAGGCTGCCGGCCCAGTATTCAGCATACACCCGGCTCATCGGCAGCCCCATCCCCAGTCGCAAATTCGGAGGCCGCGACGTCAGGCTATCTAAGGATCCCTCGTGGAAGTTCGCATCCCGCGTCGAGCGATCGGGCACCTTCAATTCTTGCATTGTCGCGGCCATTGCAGGCACCTGTTCCAGGTTTTGCAGCCGTGACTGCGTGCGCGGTCCCTTACTGAAAGACCACAGATAGGGCAGAATCTCTCGAGGGATCCCGCCGCCCTGATCGGAGATGCGCATGATCACGTGTTGGGGTGTCTCGCACACGAGCACTTCGATGGGCGGTGGAGGTTGCGAGGACTTCTCGTATTTCTCCGTTACGGCCTGAACCGAGTTGCGCAGTAGTTCACCCACGATATACTCCAGGTGGCTGAGGATGTACGGGAAGGTGGCGTCCACGTGGCCCTGCACCTTGATCTCTGGGAGATGAATCGATGGCGACGTCTTCCGCATCAAATCATGTGCAACCCTTCCACATCTCTCGACAACCTCCTTGGCTTTGCACTTCAGGAAAACTTCACCCACAAAGTCCGCATTCATGTCAGTTCTCTCGTGAGAGTCGGGGAAGTGCCACGGGGCGCTGAAAGTCTCGGTAAGGGCTAGATGCTGCTCTGCAATGACGCGGCGGGAAATTCGCTAATTCCGGGTATCAGTCAAGGTTCTCGAGCAAAGAACGCTCTTCAAACATACCGCTCGCAGGAGGGTGTTCATCAACCGGTCCATCTCATCGGGTGGAAACAGATCCCGACACTCCAAAACTCCCGTCGCCAGATTGGGGATCACCACAAGATGCTCCTTGAGCATCTCGCGCAGGATATCACAGAAGCGATTATTGTCTTCCAAGCTGCAGATCTCGGGGATCACTCGAAATCGCTCAAAAGCTTTATAGTATAATTCATATACGAGGGAGAGGTGTGGGTTGGCGACAACCACATAGGGCAATTGTTGGATATCTCGCAGACGGTGCGCAAGACTGCGATGGTTCCTTTAGCAGGTAGATCATCTTTGCTCTCCGGTCAATCGAGGACATACCGAGTGGGTAGCTCCGTGCGTACATAGTTCGCCGAGCTAATAAGTCGTGGCTCGGTCAAGGTGCGGCCGAAGAAAGTCAACTGCCGAAGACTGATGGGGCGGATCTCACGCTCAGCCCATCTGGATAGTCGAGTCAGCACGGATACCTCACACGACACAGTGGAGTCATACTCATCCAAAGCAGAAACGGGCCGCCATGGCGGAAGCTGGCCCGAATAGAATCGTGGCCTGGGAGCACGCAGGGTTTGCCAGCATCGTGCTGAAAGACTCGACCGCATTGTGCTCCATGCAGTCAAGTCTGGGGCAATAGAGCCACCTGGGCATGGAAACTTCATATGCGGGAGAATGAGGAGCTTCCGCATGTGTACGTCGGGCTGGGCAGGGCGGTGAGAGGGGTAGGCATGTGACGTGGTCCGAGTCGCTGTCGCTGTTGCACCTGCATTTTGGGACGGAGGCTTTACTACGAATTACATGTCGTGGCTACTTGCTCCGGGCGGTGTTTGACCGTAGGTCTGTGCTAAGGCGTGACCGTTGGAGGACTGTTGGAGCGCCATGGTGCGTAGCTGCAGGGGCTGAAGATACAGCGGGTTGTCACAGCCTGGAGCCGAGCCGACCGGTACGATGATGCAGCGGTGAAATAAGAGTGAGAAATTGGAGATTTCTATGTGCCGATGATGGCCAAGTTACAATGCCAAACATTTTTGTTCACGCCAAGCAGCATACCTTAAGCTCCTTAGCGATCTAGCCCCAGACAGGTAGCTTGAGGCTAGGGTTAGACCGTTAGGTACCGGACAGTGCGTACAATTCGCAATCAGGCATAGTAGAGCACTGGCCCAAAAACAAGGAAAAGGTACATCGTTCCGACACCCGGAATCGAAACCTTGGAAGATAAAGCTTGAAGCTGGGAAGTGAATGAAGCTTTGTTTTATACTTGCCGCCCCCGCCGTTGCTATTCCCTGCCGAGCGTTCGAGCGCTCCGCCACCGCTAGCTCCGGCCCTCATTCTGCGGGTTCAGAAGAATTTCCTTCCGACAACGACGCCCGTTCTTACATCTCCTCGTTATTCCCCCCTCAAATCCCCTCCGACAGGTGCCTTCCGGCTGGACGGGAAGGCCCCTATCGCCATGGAAAACGTGAGTGTCCGACCGTGCCCCTCGCGAGTGTCGTCATTGCAGATCTAACCTCCCTCCAGCTCGCGGAGAACGACATGCTCGTCGACGAGTATGAGCAGTACCCCAATGAGAAGACCGACGTCGTCGTCGTTTCCCGCTCAGCCTCCGATGAGCCCGAGCCCGCCCCGTCCGCTACTGACCGTATGTTTTCTTTCATCACCCTCTCCCCTCCCGTCCATCCAACAGTTCTCCGCGGTGCCTGGCATTTGGGGACAACCGGCTAACCAAGATACAAAACCAGATGCGGCGATGATGGAGCGAGTCCTTCCTAAAAACCCTGATCTCGAGACCGAAGAGGAAATACACCACTCATGGCACATCGAAAACTGGAGGAAGTTGGATCGAAAACTGCACGGGCCCGTGTTTAAGTGCGGTGGATATCCTTGGTGGGTGATGTTTTCTGGCGAGTTGGTGCTGGAGCTGACTTGAGAATAGGCGCATTCTCTTCTTCCCCTACGGAAACCATGCGGAGCACGCTTCGTTTTATTTGGAGCATGCATGGGAGGGTGAACCACCCGAGAACTGGTATGCCTGTGTGCAGTTTGCCCTCGTGTTGTCGAACGTTAAGGACCCTTCCATCTATGTTTCCCATGGTAAATCCACCCTTTTATTCCTTTCCTTTCGATGCCTTTTGCAATCATGTTTTTTGCTCTATTTCTCCATTGGTCTTGTTTGGAATGTGCCTTCGGACTAACGTGAGTGCAGTCGCTACCCATCGATTCACTGCCGAGGAGGGAGATTGGGGCTTCACTAGATTCTATGATCTCCGAACCTTATTTAATGAAGCCTGGGAGGGCAAGAACGTTCCCCTGGTCCAGGACGATGAGGCCATCGTCACGGCTTATGTGCGCGTCGTGAAGGACCCCACTGGTGTTCTCTGGCACAGTTTCCAAAAGTATTTCCCCTTCGTCAACCCTTCACTCTCCGATGTTTTTCGCTAACAGTCGCCATCGAAGCTATGATTCCAAGAAAGAGACTGGCATGGTTGGTCTTCGGAACCAAGGCGCCACTTGCTACCTGAATTCCCTGCTTCAATCTCTATACTTCACCAATGCCTTCCGCAAGGTATGTTTTCTATTTCCATTTGATGAGAAAGGTACTGATCCCGCATAGGCTGTGTATCAAATTCCCACCGAGGGGGAGGCGTCGCGTGACAACAGTGCCTGGACTCTTCAGAGACTCTTCAACAACTTGCAGACCAGCGACATGGCGGTTTCCACAACAGAGCTCACGGTGTCCTTTGGCTGGGATTCCAGACAGGCATTCGAACAACAAGACGTTCAGGAGCTCTCGCGAAAGCTCATGGAACGGCTGGAGGTGAAGATGAAGGGCACAGTCGCTGAGAAGACTCTGTCCGATCTTTTCGTGGGCAAGACGAAAACTTACATCTCTTGTGTCAATGTACCGTTCGAGTCATCCCGCGTGGAAGAGTTCTGGGATATTCAACTCAACGTTCGGGGCATGAAGACCTTGGACGACAGCTTTAGGGACTACATTCAGGTTGAGCGGTTGGATGGCGAGAACAAGTACGATGCTGGCCCGCCGCACGGCCTGCAGGATGCGGACAAGGGAGTTATCTTCGAAAGTTTTCCTCCAGTCCTGCACCTTCACCTCAAGCGATTCGAATACGACCTTAACCTCCTCACAATGATGAAAGTTAACGACCGACATGTTTTCCCGATGGAATTTGATGCTGCCCCCTATCTCTCCAAGGATGCCGACTTCAAAGAGCCCTGGGACTACGAGCTCCATGGCGTTCTTGTGCACAGCGGTGGCCTCGACGCCGGTCATTACTATGCATTCCTGAAGCCCGCTAAGGATGGACACTGGTACCGCTTCGACGACGACCGTGTGAACCGTGTCACCGAGAAGGAAGTCTTGGAGGAAAATTACGGAGGAGAGTACGAACTTGCGAACGGGAGTGCCGGAGTCAAGCAGCCATTCACTCGGCAATACTCCACAAAGCGATCAATGAACGCCTACATGCTGGTGTATGTCCGGAAGTCGCGAGTGGACGACGTTCTTGTCCCGATCACGCAGGATGATGTGCCTTCGCACATCGAAAAGCGCCTGGCCGAAGACCGCGCAGAGATGGCACGTCGCAAGAAGGAAAGAGAGGAGGCTCACCTGTACATGAACATTGGCGTTTTGACCGAACAAACTTTCCAGTCTCACCACGGATTCGATCTGACGAGTACCGACTTACCCCAAGAGGACCCAGCACTTCCCACTCAGTACCGGGTCCTGCGGACGAAGAAGGTGAAGGAATTTGCACAGGAAATTGCCGAGGAACGAGGACTCGATGCCAAGGCAATTCGCTTCTGGGTTATGGTCAACCGTCAGAACAAGACGACTCGCCCAGACCAGGTCATCAACGACCCCGAAATGACTGTTGAAGAGGCCTACACCAAATTTGGTACCAAGGGCAACTACTTCCGACTTTGGATGGAAACTGCTCCCAGCGTTCCCGAGAGCGACAACTCCCCATGGCCTGATAATGACACGATACTCGTTTTCCTGAAGAACTTCGACGTGGTGACTCAAACCCTGTCTGGTGTTGGTCCTGTGTACGTTCGCAAGAGCCAGAAGGTATCCGAATTGGCGCCCACTATCCTTTCCAGAATGAACTGGCCTACGGGTACCGAGTTCATGCTTTTCGAGGAGATCAAGCACAACATGATCGATGTGATGAAGCCCAAGCAGACATTCCAGCAATCCGAAATTCAAGACGGCGACATCATTACCTTCCAGCGTCAGGTCAAGGATTCGGAGCTTCCGTCTACTGTCATTTACCAAGATGCCAGACAATTCTACGACTACCTCCTGAACCGCATGGATGTTACATTCGCTCCCATCAAGACCGCTGATGGCCAGGAATCCCCAGAGTTTACCTTGACGCTCAGCCGGAAGATGACCTACGACCAATTCTCGAAGAAGGTTGGCGAGCACCTCCATGTGGAGCCGACTCATCTGCGGTTCTCGCCTGTGATGGCTAGCAACGGCAAACCCAAACCCTCGCTTAAGCGGAACACTACTTCTACCCTTGCTCAAATCCTCAATGGGCAATATGGTGCCTATGGCTATACCATGCACCGACCTGATGCTCTTTACTACGAGGTTTTGGAGATGAGCCTCAGTGACTACGAGAGCAAGAAATGCATCAAAGTCACATTGCTACCGGAGGGAATCACGAAAGAGGTAAGGCTATGTTTGTCGCTTCCACGTGAGAATAGTCACTAACCCCGCAACAGGAAGTTGTTGAGGTCCTGGTTGCCCGCAACGGCAATGTCTCCGAACTCCTGTCTGAATTGCAGGTGAAGGCAAACCTGAACGATGAGGTTGTTCGCGATTTGAGACTCTTCGAAGTGATGGGCGGAAAGATCAAGCAGGAGCTCCGAAACGATTACAGCGTGACGAACATCAACGAGTACTCCACTCTCTACGCAGAGCGGATCCCGGCCGAGGAGTTGAGTAAAGATGACGAGGACAGAGTGATCAGTGCCTTCAACTTTGACCGAGAGATTAACCGGACCCACGGGGTTCCGTTCAAGTTCTTTGTGAAGCCGGTCAGTCTATTCTCCTCTTCTCCCTATTCCGATTGCATACTGATGTCAAACAGGGCGAGATCTTCAAGGAGACCAAGGAGCGGCTTTCAAAGCGTACGGGAATCAAGGGCAAGCCTTTCGAGAAGATCAAGTTTGCTGTGGTCCCGCGCGCGTCCTTCTCAAGTCCCAAGTACATCGAAGATGGTAAGTCCCTTTCCTTTGTCCCTTCTGCCAGAGTTTGCGAGCTGACCACGCTCGTAGATGACATTCTCTCCGACCTTGCTGGCTCCGACGATTACCTCGGCCTTGACCACGCGAGCAAGAGCCGTGGATTCTGGGGCAAGAGTGATAGCTTCTTCATTCGATAAAGTACTTTCCAGGGCGCTGTGGGGGGTTTGTGGGAGTAGATGCTGCAATCCGGTACATGAGCAGTGACGGCCTGCGATGATTATGTTTTTCATTTCCAATTTCATTTCTCAACGCTTTTCCTTTTTGTCCCCCGACACCAAATGTTTTCTTTTTTTTTTCTCATCCTTAGCTAGTAGGAGTAGAAGAGACGTACAAATGAAAAGAGGATTGTTGGGTGCAAACAGTGCAAACCCCGGACCCGGATCTCCATCGAACTCCTGACACGCTACGTTAATCCTCGTCAACACTCAAGATCCAAGGTCTCAAGGCACAATGCGCTTCGCTCTCCTCGCCGGCCTGGCCTCCCTGGTCTCCTCCGTCACTGCTACTGCTTTGACTTATCGCCTTGAGGCCAACGAGAAGGCATGCTTCTATACCAATGTTGACCAGGCCAATGCCAAGGTGGCTTTCTACTTCGCGGTACGTACACCTTCGTTAGCCGCCTGATTCTTGATCTATTCCGGCAGATCAGGCATTGTGTTGTCAGTAACTAACATTGACTTGATGCAGGTCCAATCCGGCGGTTCCTTCGATGTCGATTTCACCGTGACCGCGCCCGGCGGCAAGGTCGTCCTGGACGGCACCAAGGAGCGCCAGGGTGACTTCGTTTTCACTGCCCAGAGCATTGGCGAGTACCAGTTCTGCTTCAACAACGAGATGTCGACATTTGCCGAGAAGATGGTGGATTTCGAGATTGCCGTACGTTACCCTGTTCCCGGTTGGAGATGGTGTGCCACGGGCACCCTCAGCCTCTCCGCCCCGACTTCATTCGGTCACTGAAGAGAAATACTTACTTACATGCCACCGCAGGTTGAGAACGAGCAGCGCGCCCAGCTTCCCTCCCGCCAGGGCGCCAGCCCCGAGCAGACCAGCAACTTGGAAGAATCCATCTACAAGCTGTCCGCCCAGCTGTCGACGATTTCCCGCAATCAGAAGTACTTCCGCACGCGCGAGAACCGTAACTTCAGTACCGTGCGCAGCACCGAGCGCCGGATCTTCAACTTCAGCGTGATCGAGTCTCTGATGATGATATCGATGGCTGGTCTGCAGGTGTTCGTGGTGCGCTTCTTTTTCCAGGGCGCCCGGAAGGGTATGTTTTCACCGCCGGTCTCTGATCAGGGACTATTCTATGAACCCAAGTTCTTGGGGGAAACCGACGCTAACACCTTGTCCAGGTTACGTGTGATGAGCATGAAGTCAATAATACGATGCATTTTATTCTATTTTGGTCATAATCGGCGTGTCGTGTATTCTTATTACTCTATAGGCTAGAGTTACTGCTCCAATTGCAAAAAGAGGATCCCTGCTTATGAGATGACTTGTTTTTTGTTCCTACTGATCTTCCAGGTACAGTGATCCACTGTCGATGCCTTGTCTTCATTGGCTTTGGTTGTGGCAACCACAGAGGCGATGGGAGGTGCGTAGCAGGATTTTCTAAGAGCGTCGGGGAAGCGGACGGTGAATCCGCTGTGCAAATTCCCGTTTTGTCTGGCCACACGCTGACTGCTGGATCAGGAAAGGGGGTGGGCTCTTCGTAGGTCCGATGTTGCTTACGCTAGTCGTACTCGTTCGTTCTAGATTGGGAGCAAAGGCGGACGGTCGCGACGTGATGATCCACAGTGTGATGCACGGTTGACAGTCCAGGCGAGCGTGAAACCGGTCTGAGCAGGTTGGTTAGTCGCCCAACGGTGTCATAGTGAAGTCAAAGCTGGATGGCGATCTTGAAGTTCGGTGAGACCTGCAGAGGCCAAGGCCGTGCGATGAGCGATGAGCATCGGCGATGGATATCGTTGAACCTGGTAGGACTGGTCAGTCAGCGATGTCAGGGAGGTGGCGTTGAATATCATGAGGCCGAGATGTTCGATATGAGCCCCTAGTTGGGCATGATGCAACCAAGCAGGTTCCACCGACTTGGTCGATTATCAGCGATTCAATGGCACAATGGCAAAATGGCAGTCGCCTCGAGGTCTTGAGTGTCCCACAAACGTCAGTCTGGTGAAAAGGGCGTGGTTCATAGTTCGCCATCCAACAAAACAGGTTTCCGTCGTCATCAACGGTCAATATCGACAGGCATACCGCAACGATGAACGCGGAGCGGCTCAATTGGTCTAGAAGCAAACATCGCCGAAGCAAAGGCCGAAGGTATTCAATTATGCGATGATGCGACGTACGAGACCGATGCAACCGCAAACTGGGTGTTGACTACCGGGCAATGTGAGCGCTAATAGCGTCAATTGCCTGCGTCCATGGTCAGATTCGTTTCACTTTCAAAGGGCTCCACCTGCCCGACTATTCCACATGACTTCATATGGTCTGCACTGATGTGTTCTCCCGGAATGTCGCCGTTTAATGAAGGTGATATCATGGCAAGCAGCGACCGGGTAGTACTGTAGTACGAATCGATCAACCCGCGTCATTTTCGCCATCTGGATCTGCGTATACCGGCAATACGAGAGCGACATACGGAGTCGATTAGTGGGTTTCGACATTGTCTTCATGGAGTGGGATGGCTTGGCGAAGTCGATCCTCCACGCTATCTCGAGGTAGAGGAAGCTGTGAAGTCATATGTGGTTGGGAGGCAAGCCACCCCTAATCTTCCCGATATGTCATATCGGCAGTACGATCACGACCTAAGGTTTCCTCAAGTGGAGCGCCGTGCATGACGACTGTTGATGGTTCGATCAGGGACATTTCTGGGGGCTTCTCCGCGACATGTCGTTACGCGATCGGACCGCTGGGGTACATTCAGTTGCAGTTGACATCGTGGACCCAATATTGGATGGAGCACAGGCTACTCCACATGTTTCTTTTGACTTGCGACATGGCACAGGTGGCTAGCTCTGATATCACTCAGCATCATGTCCCTCCACTCACGGCGTTACACCTCGTCGGGTGTCAGCATTCTGCATTGAAGCGACTGCCTTTTCCTGATCGAGTTATCATCCCGACTCTAGCACCGTTTAGGCTGAGGAACGAAGGTACGAGAATGTCGATTATTGATGCAGAGGTTTGTCTACCTTTTGGGTTTTTTGCCTGCTAGCGAAGTATCCACAAAATACCGTTTCCTCCCCTATCATCATCGTGTACTGACGTCGCATGGTGGCTCTTGGTCTGCGTCCGGCACATCACGAGGTCCGAGGATATCATTATGGAGCACACTACGTCGAGGTGGTGGAAAAGTGAGGCGAGACGTCCCAGCACAACGGTGCCCGGCCATGCGCGAGACCCATCTTCTTTGCCTCCCCCGCTGCGATGGCGAATGATCTGTCGTCCGGTCCCTGGCTCTCCTCGCCCGTCCCACGGCTATCACTGGTTACACATTGAATTCTCCGCCGACGATCCTCTGGTTTCCCTTGTTTCGGGGGACTTGTCGAGCTTGGCCCACCCTCTTCACCTCTTCATCTCCATCTCCTCGCCACATCTCAGCCAGTCGCTATACTTCGCGTGTCCAGTTGGGTCTCTCCACTCACCCTTTCGGCGGTATGAAGTATATCTCATGCCTATGGCCAATCAGTAAAGTATCATCACCATGGATATTACATACAGTAGATTCACGGGAACGTGGCTGGATGGCTCACTGGCCAGAACGGCCCCTTTCACTGTATCTGATCCGCAGTACTCAACCCAGGGCTCCCTGACGTCAGGTGCACTCTCTGCCTGAGGCAGGAATAGCAATAGCCTTTCCCCGGGGCAACGACCAATGATGATCAATGACGAGCCCTGGTTGGACTCCAGTTTTCTCATGTGGCCACATACAGGACCGTCCGGATCAGGGCGATGGATATGTACGGATCGGGCAGGCGTATAACACGGAGATATTGGTTTTCTGTACGGACTATACACAGTGTGTCTCTTAGCGACTTCACGGGTGATGGGTGATCGAATCACAAGCAACGAACTAAAACACTTGGAGTAAATAACATTACCCCGTTTTACTTGAACGGGTCGAGCTCCTTCGGGGCGTTCCTGCATCGGCCATGATTGAGCGAAAGTCTCCAAATCGAAACTCGGATCGCCCCGATGGCTGGCCGATGACGCCATGGCTTGATCCACTTGGAGCCTCAGCGTTTCGACTGTCCACGTACTTTGACTTCCCCCTGAAGGCCTCGAACACACCTACGCGAAAGCGAGTATCGAGAAGAACTGAGCGATGCGATATGACAGGATGGTCAACCGTCTGTCGCACGGGTCCAGATCACTTTCCCTTTGTATCCACCGGGGATGCCCATTTTGCGTTTCCGCATTGCGCGCCCTATCCCAAAGCGGCGCTTGAAAGGCTAACGGGGGCCTCGACGTTCGTAGGCCCCAAAAGTCGCCGCCGTGATTCGTTTAGCAGACGTCAGTCACAGATCTGCAGGGGACCGTCTGCTGGATTGCCGATCTAAGACCGACGTCGGCTCCGGCCCATTCAGGCATTCCCCAGTGACCTCATGTGGACAGTTGGGCCCTCTCGGTGGACCGACTGATGATACCGATGCCCCATCAGTACCAGTCCCCAAGCATGTGTGGAGACAAGTTATTTCATCGTGATAGACCCGTCAGCCATACGCAGCGGCCGCAGCGACCAAGCCCCCACCGAAGGAGGGGTGGATATCGTTCTTATGATGCCGCCCAGCCTCGGAGGGGCCATATTCAGCCAATGATGTCATCTCACCTGGCTCCGACGAAATCTTTCCTCGACATTTTGACCCAAGGGCTGTTTTCCTCTAAGCCTATCAGACATCACTGGCCCTCGACTCCTTTTGCCATTTTCCATCGTCCAGCGGTGATTTCATACGCTAGCCTATGATATATATACCTCAAATCGGGAAACTAAGTCCCTTTTTTTCCCATCTCCCTTACTGTCCATGCCCTAACCCCTGTACCTTCCCGCCACATAAGCCTTCTTAACTCTTATCTGTGTCTGCTGCACGGTACTCCCACAATAATTTGACTTATTTCTCACGATTTTCAATCCTTGGTTCACCTTTCCCCCAATCGCCCAAGTTGAACCTGACTTATTACCAAGGTGAGTCAAGTGTGCCCGTGCGGGAACTTGCAAGTTCCTTTTTGTCCCATGATCTCCCGTTCCGTCTTACGGAACAAACTGTTATCCGAGCGAAAGTCCCCCCACTCGGCCCATAACACCCGTTCTCGCAATAACCCCAGAGGATCCCCCACCCCTTCCCCTGCCAAACTGATCTACCTCCCTAGCATAACTGACAGCTCCCTTTCTCAAGACTCCTCCCACAATGACTGAATCCAACTCCATCCAAAATATGTTTCCTCGGGACGCTGGAGCTGGTCCTCCCGCGCCCGACAACCATGTCGAAACCCAACGATCAATTGATCCTCGAGTCTCCCTCGAGGACTACAACCGTACCATGCTGGAGTATACCCAGCAGCAGATGTCCTCGTTTGTCGACCTCGACGACGAACGTGGAAGTGGCACTAGCGGCCGAGGCAGTGAAAGCAGCGGCTCAAGCGGCAACAGCGGCCACAGTGATGATCCTGCGAAGGGTGTCATGACTAGTCAGCCCAGTGGTCTACCTCCCACCTCAGCTGGCGCTGCTGCTGCCAAGCGGCGCCACCTCCACAACGGGGGCCAGACATCTGCGCTCACTGCTAGCGAGGCTAACTCATCCCGATACTAGGATTACAGCTTACTGAAGGTATGGTCGTCTCGTCTCTTGACAACAACTCGAAAGCTGACATGCCTATTGAAGCGGTCCATCTCTTACGACACGATAGTGACGGCCTCGTTTCGACACTCAATAGGAGTTCGATGGCGCAGCATTGACGGAATCTATTATTATTATCCCAAGACCAGTCATGTTCGCCCGGAGGCGGAGTTTTCGTGGAGTTTTATGAGCACCGCGAGGGTGCTTGCGCATCTTTGCTTTTCCAGCGGTGCAAAATTTTCAAGCCTTGATTTTCCTTGAGACGGGTGTCTGAAGATCGTCATCCCTTCGCGTCCCCAGTCTCCAATATCCCTTTTTCACTTGATACACTTCAGTCCTAGGATCGGCCAGTTCCCGGTACTTTTGGTTGATGCAAGCGTTTTTGATGACATGCTGTTGCTTGCGTCACGGAATACCTGACGGGGTCTGCCTTTTCCTCCAATCCACTACATATCAAAAACCCACAAAAAAGGGTGAAATCCAACCGGATCTTCACCCACTGCCCCGACTTCTCTTCGTGACACTCATTTGATCTCTGTTGAGATCTGTGGCTGGTTTGTGTTCAGTCGATACATGAAGTCCACAAACGATGTTTCATTCTCACTTCCAAACATCCATTTTCAGGCCAACACGTGTATCACTGTTGCTTTACTGTCATCTCTTCTGCGAAGGGACGTCAGCCTGTACAACACTGCGTCTTTTCAGCGTGCGGACTTGTTTTTCTGGGATTTTCGTTCATATTCATTTCCTCCATCTGATGACCAACATCTCGAGCGAGGACGCAAGCTCGTCCCCCGAGAAAAGTTTACGACCTGATGTGATGTATTACTACGACCATGCCTTGTTTGCATCATGACTTTACAACAATTTTCCACCGAGTACGGAGTATTTAATTTTGATATGGTTTCGGGAATTCCCTTGGTGCTCTTGGATATACCTCGTACTTCTGTTTTATCTACCTCGCTCTATACCATCAAACCTTTCAATATACACGAACAATCTTGAATTGCATATTTCCCACTATAATAGGCACTTAAATCAACGTGTTTAACCTCTTATATATGTTCTGATGTTTATAAGTGTGATCACAATGTTTACCAGAGTTCGTCGGTTGGCCATGCATGATGGAATGGATATACATATATTGACGGAAAATGCTTCCACCGAGGCTCCAACTGCTTGGGTAGGAACAAAAACCCCCCTGAGATCGGCATTTCTGGAATTGGCCAGGAACCAGGATCGGTTTCAATTATCCGTATATATATACACCCGACACGCTGAAGAAACCGGAGTCAATATCCCCAAGCCCCACCCGCAGCCCTGACTTACTCTACAACATCAAAAACCCGACGTACCCACCTTCCATGAATCACGTCAACACGCAGCACGGCAGTTCCTGCATTGTAAAGGGAAAAATTATCCCTAGGCACCATGAGGCCCCTGTGAGTGGACAGTTGGCGCATTCCTCGGTCGTCGAGGGCAGGGTCTCCCTTGCATGCCATCCATATTGCGGACTGCTTCTCATGCGAGCAGCCGAGCAAATATCCCTCTACTTGTCCAACTGAGCCCTGAAAAGCCAATGTCAAATCAAAGTGGAAAATGGAACTTGCGCCTTACTCGTGGACCTCCTCACAAGTAACCTGCCGGGCCAAAGTCCCCAGGGGAAATCCAATTCACTCGGAAGACACATACACCAAAGCAACATACCGGAGAATCACAAATACTGGAGTCGTATAGCATGAGATATTCATTTGTTACATTCCCAAAGATTCTGCACGGCCTCCCAGTGGCCAATAAGCCCATGTTTTCGACTCTTTCCCTCGTGGCCTAAAACCCTTGGAATCCTGGAACCCCAAGTAACAAGGGGAGCAAAGATGGGATACTGGAGGGCATCCCACCCTGCTAATTTCGGAGATAGTCTCCCCGATGGGACATTCGTGAGATCGAACATCCCACGCGTGTTAACACAGGGCCCCGTCCTCCTTCCTTCTTTCCCTCAACACCACTTTGTCGACTACTACGAGGGCATCACCTAGTCGACACCCTTCAACGCCCTAAGCCAGCCCAGCTCTCGTCATTCCTTTCTATCAAGCAAACACTACACTCTTTTGGATCCGACTTCTCCAACCGCGCCCAATCCTTTTTAATATTGCTATCTAGCCGGCGCCGAGATCATATCCCTTTGGTATACGTTCACTACATTTGCATCTCGATAATAAACACGGAATCAACCCAAAATGCGCTTCACTTCCCACTTCGGGGCCTTCTCAACCCTCCTCTCCGCCGCGGCCGCCATTCCCGTTGCGCAAGCCTCATCAATCCGGAGCCCAACAACCTCCAAGCCCGTCATCCCTTCCGCCTCTACACCATATATCTCGCAGAGTCCCACGCCTAGCATGCTTGCCTTGGTTGGGGCCTACGAGTGCCCGCCGAGCCAACAAAAGCAATGCTGCCAGAGTCTGGAGCAGACGTCTAAAGATATCATGGAGGGATTGGGTGAACTTGTGCCGATCTTGGGAGGAATCCAAATTAGCTCGAAGATGGTGTTCCAGTGTATGTTTTACGCCTTCATAAAGGCCACGGAGTGAGACGCTAACCAGATCTACAGGCAAGAATATGGCCCCAGACGAGTCACCCGACTCTTGCGATGACAAGGAATCTTCTCCCATGTGCTGCAGTAGTGGATCCTCGGTACGTTGATCACCATCATAACCTTCTCCGCAGTAACTAATTAGTATGTGCAGAATTCTGTCGGAGCCTGCAAGCCATTTGCTGAAGCCAAGGAGGCCTATTACCGGTCGTTTGGATATGGCCAGGAGAGCCAGGTTGACTACATTAACGACGCTGTTGATTAGAGGAGCCTAGCGACGCTGGCTTGAGATTTGATGGTTGATGGTTGTCGATGGAATCCAGGAGGAAGCATTGTCATTTTTCCCCTTCATTTGATATAACTTTGGCGTCATTAGGTCGGCTTACTCTTTGTGTAAAATCAATTGGATCTTCTGACATTACTCGTGCTCGATATCTGTCTTCAGGTCGCACGCAACTCGTGTCAAAGAAAAACCGAAGGATAGGGGGTCATATATATGAGATATAGAAATATACATCTAGATCTCTAGTTCGATGTTGGAAACTTTGAATCCTTCTGGTACTCCTTGTTTGAATTATTACACTACGGTCATACTTCTTCGTAGCCTCCCGCATCTTCTTGCTATTCTCCTCTCCATATGACTGATACGTTGTGGCTGGGGATCGTAAAACCATGGAACAAGAACATCGCGGTAACATTCACTGAGGTGTAAGATGCTATTTTGGAGATACCTTGAGCTTTAAAGCTGCAATAAAGGTAGTTCTCCGTATGTTCCATCGCCAGCACAGTGTCCACCAATTCTTGCAACCTACTTCCGATCCGTCATTACAAACCAGCGCCACTTATTATAACACTTGTCGATGTTCGCCATGAAGCCCGCAAGGGAGGTGTTTTCAGTAGGCTTCTCAAGGTCCTCCTGCAGCTCCGGCTCAAACGCATTCCAGATACCGAGCAATTCAGCAAAGAGTCTGGAAGGCTTCATCGCCTGATGATGTCGCAGCATAGTATGAGCCCACACGACAGCGGGATACTCCGCCTTCACGGCATCCCATCCATACTTGGTCTCGTACAACTGTTCATCTGCGACTTCTTCAATTGGATGGAAACGTACTTGAAGGATGTGAAACCATCCGTCTTCGAGAGGCTTGGTGCGGAGATTTTGTCTCTCCTGACTCGACAACTCGGCAACCCACCATTCCAGTGCTTTGTCCCGAAGGCATAGATAGAGGTTGGTACGGATGGCGTCTTCCCGGGTAGTCTCGGCGATAGCTCGCATGTAGTTGACGAAAGCGTACACGTCCTGGAAGTACAGAATGCCGTGTTCTCTGTGGACGTGGTGGGTCAGTGTTTGGTCTGGTGCGAAGTAGCCGACCTCCGATGGGATCCAGATGGAGGACTTCCCAGCCTCGGTTGCCATTTCGTCTCTCTTGAAAGAGTCTGCGTAGTACAACTCAAGGTACGTATCGTCAAGGTCCTTAACAAACTCTGCGATACTTGTTTGCGGAAGAGGCCGAGCGAGTCTTTTCTGAAGGACCGGGTCGAGTAGTCCATGAAGAGTAACCAGCTGCTCATGTTGAGTGGCATTGGTGTACTTTGCATCGCATTGCAGGCGTCGCAGTACGTTATGAGACCATGTCACAAGGCTCCGGCAGGATTGCGTTTCCTCGAACGTGTGAATCTTTCCATGAACTTCGGCCAACGCAGTGTACTCAGATGGGCTGAACCTCTCCAGAAGACGACGGCACCAACCCTCTTGAAGTGGCAGTTCACGGAGAGATTCTCTGTCTTGGTGTGACATCTCTGAAATAAACCATTCCCGTGCTACACCTCACAGACAAGCATGAACATTGTAGCGCATCGCATCTTCTGGTTTGAAGACGGAAATAGCCCTAAGGTTGTTGACGAAAGCCAGGACGTGGCTGAAGTACATGGCACCCCTGACACAGCGGATATGATTTTCTTCAGTCATGTCGGGATCGAAGTAGCCGACCTCTTCCGTAACCCAGGAAATCGACTTGGTATCGTCTTGGTTTGGGTTAGGGCGCACTACCATATTGTTCCTATCGGGTAGACTGGGAATTGGATGCTCAAATGGAGGGTGGCCATTATTGATCCAGGCGGCATCTGGGCGGATATTTGAAGTGAGGGAACGCTGCCTGCCAGCCGAGGTGTAGACTGGCGATGCCATATCTGTGGTTTGTTAGAGCACGTTGATACTGAATCGAGAGTTGGTGATGCCTCCTGATGAGACCGAGTCTGATGTCTTCAAATAAAACAGGACGGAAATTGCGTAAGAGAGATGAATGAAGGCTCAAGACAGAGAAAAGAAGTAAAGAACGGAAGCTATGGGCGATGAGCGGAGGATGAGAGAAGGTGTCTTCCAGGCTTCGTGGGTTGAGCGAGTCAACGACAAGCAGGTTCTACGTGACAAACGATTGGAGAAACGTCGTAGCTTACGCGGAGTAGGAGTCTACTATAATGCGGCATTACATGACCATTTAAAGGAAGCCAATATTAATGGATCCGGCATTGATTAGCGCAAGCTAAGCCGTCGCATCGTGTAGACCAACGCACCTATCAAAAGGAAAAGAAAAAAACCATGGCGATGTCATGTACGCTGCGATGCTCTGAAAAAGAGTCAAGTGCATACGGGCTACTTACTCTTACCATCAACACTCAGGATACATATCATCCAGCCCTCATATAAACTGGTGCGATACAGCCAACGTCGTGTGTGCTCCAAGGGAGTTCCTTCGTAACATGCGTGTCCAAGATGGCCACTCGCTACCTGGAGCGCCGGGCGTGCTTGCTGCGGCAAAAAGGCATCTGCAGTGGTCTGCAAGTCGTAGATCTCGACGTTTCCCTTTGTCCAGGTGGGTTCGACGCGCCACCTTTCTTGTTCATCAGAAGATACATCACATGAAACAGAGTGTCATAACGGTTCATTTGATCATTTCAGCTTGTAGCATTTGCCATATCTCGGGTGGTAAAATACATCAGTCTTCTATCGCCAATTTCGGCCGCCAGGAGGGCCCCAGGCGCCATGCTGCCCCCCAGGATGGGGAGGAGGAAAGTGATACTGCCCAGGGGGCAGAGGCTGACCAGGCGGTACAGAAATAGGAGGCCCAGAGAAAGAAGGAGGAAAAGCTGAAGGGTTGATACCTGGGCCAGGTGGAGGAAAGGCCATGGCCGGGAACTGTGGTGGTGGGACAGGGGGCCAACCGGGGTACTGTGGCGGTGGGTGAGGGAAGTTGGTCCCAGAGGGTCCATATTGTGCGTTGTATGGGTATGGGTAAGGGGGAGGGGGAGGGGGATTAACATGGGAAGCTTGATGGGGAGGCGGGAAACGAGGCGGTGATGGTTGACGCGGGGAATAAGGGCTTTCGTGGCTGGCGGATCGTCGGGAGCGGCTTATCGACGACGATCCATACCGAGCCTCACGTTTCCCAGGCGCTGACCGACTCCGCGATCGGGAAGTTCGACTATCCATGGAGCTATCACTATATCGTCGGCGTTTGAGATCGCGAGTTCCACTGCGACTGAGACTGCGACTGCGAGAACCATCGGGCGCCCGCTTTTTCATCTGCTGGCAGAATGCTCGGGACCAGCCGTAGTACGTTTCGCCATCGAGAATATCCCCGGTGATTTCATCCCGTACGATCCTCTGACCTAGCTCATCAATATCGATATTCCCATCATCCTTGAGGAGCTGATCAGTTCCATAAATCTGATCCACATCCTTCAAAAAGCCCTTTAGAGCCTGTACCAAGTTCCCGTCCGCGGGACCAGCGAGGAACTGAAGCGGCTTGATGGTATCGGGATGAAGAGGGATGGTCGAGTTGGGAATAATATGGGGGATCAGGTTGCCTGCCGGAAGATCGTAGTACGGAGTTGACGGGTCACCATGAGTCGATGGCATGATAAAGGGCGCCTCCTTCCCGCCCAACTTCTTGGCTGCGTCTGCCTCGTGGACCAAAATATCGTTCGACGATGGCGAGATACCCGTGGAAGCCGAGTGCTTCACCACCTCTCGCAGCTTATGGAGAAGGTCTGGACCAAAGTATCCATGCTCGGACCAGATATCAAGCAGATCATCCAGGCGCCGATGGTGCCGGGGGTGTTTCTCCCGATCGTAGGCAGCAGCGTGGCCGAGTAGGTCCACCATGAATGGCTGCAAGGACCCGCTCACGGTGGAGAAGGTCATGGTGGTGTCCAGGTGGTACTTGCTGTGGTGCAGTAGATCATTGAGGAGATAGAGTATATGAAGCCGGCGACGCTTCGACGAAGGTTTGGGCGGAGCGCCAGTTGGAGCTTCACCAAAAGAGTCCGCCAACGCAACTAGGTATTTGGCCAGTCCCGCTACCCGGTTGGAGGAGGAGAGAACATAGTGCAGCAGCCATTCTTTGCAGGTCTGTGTGGGTCAAGGGCATTTAGTAACCGGGGTGCGACAGGATGAGGTTGCAACAGTTCAGACCTGGATGTTTGCCGGAGAGCAATGGGACAGGGCGCGTTCGAGACAAGTGTGGAAGGCCGCGATGTCGTCGCGAGGCACTGATGTCGGATCAGGGCGTAAAAGGCCAGCAGAGAAAGAGGCCTTTGCAATGGCAATCTGATGGGATGCCATTGCGGAGATTCCAGCTAAGCTCTTAGCTCGAAGAAGAGGAGCGGAGATGGGCAAGGTTGATTGTGTTATCGCACGTGACCCGGAGCTATGCTTCTCCGCATTTACTGGAGTTATGATTGCCCCAGAGCCGAATCTATGTATTACTCTACATAGTACATAGCTAGTTTATCTAGCGAGCTACTTGGTACGCTCTCATTGACCCCCGGGTCGTTGTCAAGTGTATCCCCGTAGATCGAGCGGATATGGCAGTTCCAAAGCTGCTCCTCCCGGCTTCATCATCAACTCACGCTATCTATCAACCGGCTGATCCTATAATTGATAAGATTTACCCACCCGGCTAAGGCCATCGGCTACCGCACTCCCGTCCTCAGTCCATGTGGATCCTTAATCATTTCCGTATAGGTGAGGCCTGCTACCCTCCGGACTTCCTTTGGAGGGGCAAACTCCTACCCCACTCATTCGGCCGACGCTGGCGATTTAAGACCCTGCGATGGCGTGAGGCAGAATGAGGCGTCTCTTCATTCATGAATATGAGTCGCGCTGGTCGTGCCGACAACCCGAACCCGACGATCACCACTTGAGTCTGATCACGGAAGAGCGGTTCCAGCGGTGATAGGCAGCGCGTCAGCCCACCATGTGCTGCTTTAGCCCCCGCAGCACTGCAGGGCCCCCACACGGGTGACTCGCTCACTCGCATGGCCTGACTGCATGCTACCCTTGTATAAAACGCCTCAAGGTCCTCCTTTCCCCTTTCTGTAGTCCTGTACATCTCTAGTCTCTTTGGTCTTGCTCAAGTTACACCACCACCACCATTTTCACACTTCGTTCACCACCATCACCATGGCCGCAGTCATCGCCCACGTCGTCCGTCCTTCTATCCGCCATTTCTCCGCACACCGTCCTCGCCCTGACAGCCGCGCTTCCCGCGCAGTTGCTCTATCCTGCCTGGTCTCCGGTGTTGTCCTTCCTTTTGTCCCACCTGCTCTCGAAAGCTCACGCCAAAGAAAGTCCGGCTCTCCCAATAGCAACAAGTGAGTACCAAGCAAACAAGCCTTCATACGAACAAACTAACGCTCTCTCCAGGCCCAACCCCCTCTCTCTGCTTCCACGCACGCTAGACCAGATCCCCGCAATGTGCGTAGATGTGATTTTGGTCTAAACCTCCAGACGGGTTCTGATTCTCGGTGCGGGCGCCGGCTTGGGACTTGCTATGATGCATGACATCCAGGGCGTTAGGATCCGGCGTTGCGATTTGTCTTTTTGTTTTCAATTTCTGCTGGGGCACTTCTGCATGATACCTCCAAGTATGAAGGAGACGGGTGATGTACATTCAACAGAGTTCGGGTCTAGATCTCTCGATCGACGCGAAGCGCATCTGAACCCACGATAATCCTGAAATAAAACTTATCATTGAGAAAGCTGCACTTCTCGAAAGCTTCACCTGGTAAGATCCGAGTAGACTATTTGGGACCGAGTAGTCTTCACAGAGAAAAAATCATTAGATATAGCAGGAGAATCTCGATTGATAAGAGCCCGGTGCATCCAACTCTATGGGCCAGCCCCCCAACTCGGTAGCACCCCATACAACATATTTTACACAGAATGTACACGTCCAATCACTCCTTAACTGAATCGGTTTCCACTGGGAGGTCGAAACGGAGCTGCTGCTTCGTATTTCCCCTTCTCGTGCACTCGGTCGGTCTCCGTCATGGGCTCATGGCGGGTCGGAGCTGGATCGTGGGATGCCTCCGCACTGGGAGAAGCCACGTCGTCCGCGGCGTTCTGAAAACGGGCCATATTCGCTCGCTTCAAGCTGGCATCGTCGCTCGGGGCCGGCGTGGAGGTCGAGATCGCTTGCCGCCGGTGCTCGGCTTCCTGGGCCTTGAGTTGGGCCTTACGCTTAACTTCGGTGTCGAACCGAGCGGTGCGGTCGGCGTTGATGGATTGTTTGGCAAAGTAGTAGGCCCCGCCGCCGGCTGGAGGTTGGTATGTGGTTAGATTCGTGGCTGCAGGGAAGCGGTCGAAGCGACTAGGCTTCTCCCAAGAAGAATATGGAGGCAAAAAGTACTAACCGACACAAAGAGCACCCCAGCCAACCCTGTTGACGAGTAAAAATCTTCAATCAGCTTCTCAATCCCGAATCCGGCTGCCACCCGTTTCAATCACCGGCCGGGGCAGTGTCTGCTCACCAGGTAGATCTAATCTGATAGAAGAGAAGAGTTAGCAAGGTGCTGTAGCTCAGACAAAGCTCAAAACTCACAGTGTTCATGGTTGCAAAAGTGACGGAGTCGATGTGAAGAGAGAAAGAGCTGCTTTGCGTCAGTCGCGGCTTCGCGGCGGGAGCCAATAGTTAGCGGAGTTGGTGCCTTAGGTCATCGGAGCGCAAGTCATCTTTTGACTTCGTCTGACTCTTGACTTCGCCTCTTTCTCAACATCTTTCACTTCTCACCAGGATTTCAGAACTTCGCCATTTCATACGCACCCGACAGATACACCGCAATACCCTGGGTCTTGTATTGGTCGCAACTTTCACTTGGCGCCGCCGCCTCTTCCCTGCGGCCAGCAGCGGTCGTGGCATGCAGGCCTGATTTCGCTTCAACGAGGCGTTGATCGCCTCAGCACACGCCTCTCTTCCGATCCCTCCCAACTCAAACACTCCTCCACCGCCCGGTCGACCCTCCAATAATCACCAAGATGCCCCCCAAGCGCAAGGCGACTGATAGTAAGTATCTGCAATTCGGGCTGATATCGCATGACTGACTTTCTAGGTGGCCGGTCCAACAGCTCTTCGAAGCGACCTACGCCAGTGCCCGATGCTACGGACATCTCCAGTAGCGACGAATACTCGGACCAGGACGATGGCGATGTGCCGGAGGAGCATAACCTGAAAGGTAGAGTGTGGCGGACTACTCGTACAGCAAGACTTGGATGCTAAACCGTGCAAATAAAGAGGTCGTCAGCAAGTTCTCGCTTGCATCCTTCAGCAAACGGTCTCAATTAGACAAAACCGATCCCAGATTTGGCTACAAAGACCTTTCTTCCCTCCCACTCAAGCTTGACCACTATAATCGCCCTCTATGGATCGAGCCGGTGAAAGGCACGATCACTCTCGAGAGCTTCTCTCCCCTGGCACCCCAGGCTCAGGATTTCCTTACCACTATCGCGGAACCGCTTTCTCGTCCGACCCACCTTCACGAATACCGCCTAACGGGCCACAGTTTGTATGCGGCGGTATCGGTGGGCTTGAAACCGCAGGATATTGTCGCTTTTTTGGACCGTCTGTCCAAGACGCCACTGCCGGAAAGCATTCGATCCTTCATCATTGAGTTCACCAAATCCTACGGTAAAATCAAGATGGTCCTACGACATAACCACTACTATGTGGAAACTACAGATCCTGAAATGCTGCAACGACTTCTGAAAGATGAGGTTATAGGTCCGCAACGGATTGAGAGCACGGAGGGTATCATCGAGCGAGCGGCCCCGAAGATGGGAGGTCTTGTTATTCCTGGTACCAAAGATGCGGCTGGTGTAAGAGAGACTGGTAATCAGCAGGAGGCCTCCGCTGCACCCCGGGATGACAACCAGGAGCAAGCTGTGGATTATGGAATAGACGATGTCGGAGAGGACGATAACGAAGAAGCTACCACATACAGTTTCGAAATCCCCCCGGCCGGTGTCGAAGTGGTCAAAGCTCGCTGCCAAGCGATTGGGTGCCCGGCTTTGGAAGAGTACGATTTCCAGGGCGACACTGTGAACCCCAATCTCGACATGGATTTGAAGCCCGCTGCCAGAATCCGTTCATACCAGGAGAAGAGTCTTAGTAAAATGTTTGGAAATGGACGCGCCAAAAGTGGTATCATCGTTTTGCCGTGTGGTGCTGGAAAAACGTTGGTCGGCATTACCGCAGCGGCAACGATCAAGAAGGGCACAATTGTGCTCTGTACCAGTTCCATGTCCGTGGTTCAATGGCGAAACGAGTTCTTGCGCTGGACCACCATCGACCCTAGTGATATCGCCATCTTCACGTCCGACCACAAGGAGAAATTCAAGCGGTCTACTGGAATCATCGTCTCCACCTACTCAATGGTGTCACAGACTCGAGCACGTTCCTACGATGCCCAAAAGATGATGGACTGGCTTCAGTCTCGTGAATGGGGTATGATGATTCTTGACGAGGTGCACGTCGTGCCCGCGTCGATGTTCCGTAAGGTGACATCGGCGATTGCTGCACAGAGCAAACTCGGTCTTACTGCAACTCTGCTGCGTGAAGATGACAAGATCAAGGACTTGAATTTCCTGATCGGACCGAAGCTGTACGAAGCGAACTGGATGGAACTTGCCGCGCAGGGCCATATCGCCAAGGTGCAATGTGCCGAGGTGTGGTGTCCCATGACAACCGAGTTTTATTCTGAATATCTGCGAGAGAGCTCGAGGAAACAGGCTCTACTCTACATTATGAACCCACGCAAGTTCCAGGCTTGTCAATTCCTGATCGACTTCCACGAGAAGCGAGGCGACAAAATCATTGTCTTCTCCGACAATGTCTACGCGTTGGAACGCTACGCACTCAAACTGAACAAGGCGTATATCTATGGTGGAACTCCACAGAACGAGCGAATGCGTATTTTGGAGAACTTTCAGCACAACGAGCAGGTCAACACCATATTCCTGTCCAAGATTGGTGACACCTCCCTGGATTTGCCCGAAGCTACGTGTCTGATTCAGATTTCGTCTCACTACGGTTCACGTCGTCAGGAAGCGCAGCGACTGGGTCGAATCCTGCGGGCCAAACGCCGAAACGATGAGGGCTTCAATGCCTTCTTCTACTCTCTCGTGTCCAAGGACACTCATGAGATGGTGTATTCGGCCAAGCGCCAGGCTTTCCTGATTGACCAAGGCTACGCCTTCAAGGTCATCACCCATTTGCAGGGCATTGATAACTACGATGGGTTGTCATATGCGACACCCGCAGAACGTCGAGAGCTCCTCCAAGAAGTCATGCTGCAGAATGAGTCCTCTGCCGACGTGGAACAAGTCACCGATGACCTCTTCTCCATGCGTTCTGCAGGCAAGCGCGCCGGTGGGAAGAAACCGAGCGCGAAGCGTAGCGCAGCCACTCTCAGTGGACTCGCTGGTGGCGATGATATGGCTTACATTGAATACAACAAGAGCAAGAACAAACAGCTCAAGGAAAAGGCGGGTCATCATCCGCTCTTCATGAAGATGAAGCGAGACCGCGAGCGTCGAAAGAAGGAGATGGCCTCGATGAAGGATTAAAGGCGAAGCTGACAAATTGCAACCATGATTACACAGACGAGCGGTCTATTTCCGATGCGAGTCATGTAGATCAGGGGGGCTACTCTTTTTTAGTTATTTTGGGATTTCATAGATTATGAAGCAGCTCTCGGACTCATTACTGCATTTCTGCTCTAGAATGAACCTGTGCCCAATACAACACATAACTAAACGCATCATCCCAATATAATAAGCAGTGGCCAGACACATCTGGGCGAGGCTAGTTGAACCTCATGACTCAGAACACGAACCAATCTGTCAGCAATGCGGGCCCAGTCCGCCCTGAAGCTGTTGTGAATAATGACGTCGGTCGGAAGTCCAAATGGCCCCGATCCCCGCTTTTCCAGACGAAAGCCAACTAATACTCGCTTTTGATAGGCCTGTGACCTGCTCTGCAGCAGCATCTTACAGCTGTAGTTACCCCAGAATCAGGTCGTACACGGAGTCCGACTTCTCGAAAGCTTCGTAACACGTGCTGCGATCATGGTCCTATAAAGAGGACATGAAGCCCCGGTTGTTGTCAGCCGAACCTCTCAGCTTCAGATCGATCACTCGAAAAGCTCACAGCCCAGCCAAGATCCTACGCCCTTTAAACATACCAACTGCTCTGTGTTCCCCGTCTAGGCTTCTACCGCGAGTAGCCGCATCACCTCGACCTCCGTCATCCTCGGTTCTATACAGCACTCACGCCGCACGTCTTCCGCTTTCTAGCTTGACTATGGCTACCGCAACCGAAATCCACCTGTCGCCCTCGACAGACGCGGGCATTTTTAGCTCGAATGTCACGGAGGATGCGGCCCGAGCCGCAAGTGAAGTCTTGCAGGAGGACATGGAGAACCACCACGTCTTCTTTAATGAAGAGGGGTTCCATAGTATGTTCCTACCCCGGAAGTCTGCTGATTTTTGTCTGACGGAATCATAGATCATATCCCGCACCAGATACTGAGCATGTACGCCGTCGGCGCAAAGCCCGAGGATATCAAGGCAGCCTATAAACGGAACCAGACCTATCAGAGACCCAGTTACCCCGTGGACAGAGATGTCGTGAAAGGAATGCATGACAAGGCCAAGTTCCAGGAGGGTTTTTATAATGAGAAGAATTACTCCAATTATTTGACCTTTTTCCAGGAGGAAATTGACGTTAAGGGAGTCGGTGATGTGCTTAATGAATATCTCTTTGCTGGGGATGATCGGGCGGAGAGTATGCTGTCTCGACTATTTGGTGGTGAGTATACCCTCGTTTCTTGACATGCGTCAGTTCAAAGCTCCGTGCCTCTAAGTTAATATTGACAATCTAGGTCTCGTTCACCCACTCATCCACCTCGGCTTTGGAATTGAATTTAATCAGCCTGCCATTGTGGCTCAGGCACTTGCTCAGACCGCCGTTCATGGTGAATGGATGGGCTCGCTTTTCTTCTTGCCTGCCGAGAAACTGGCCGGTGGAATCGGGAAGCCCGGTAGGAAGTCTCTTCTGCAGCTGCTGAATGAGATTCGAGAAAACAAAGCCTTAAAGGAGAGTGTGCGATGGTCCGACACGAACAAGATCCGGGACGGAGTGCTGAGCCGTGCTCCGGATGAGATGCTAAAGATCGCTGCCGAGTACACCGTATCCGAGGATCAGCTGGAAGAGCGATTGGCAGATATGATCAATAACGTCGGTGAGTTTTTCTAAATATCACATCGGCGTGGAAAGTATCCTTGCTAACGAGGGACCTGAGTTAGCTTATTACACGGGCGCCGCACAACGCCCCGACAAAACGGTCAAATTCGACTTTTTCTTTCTCCACTGTCTCAACTCGTCTATTTTCTTCTCCAAAATAATCCACCTTCCATTCCTGGCCCAGCGGACCAAGCTCCGTCTCCTAGAATGGAAAGGACGTCTCGACCTATTGCTGTACGTGTCTCGAGCCTCGCCAAATCTGCTCTTGGATGAGATAACTCGCTATCCCGTGAAGAATGACTGGCCTGCGGTCTTCTCCGGCGCTGTGAGACACCCAGAAGATGATGGGCACCTGGTCAAGATGGTGCGCGCATTAGCAAACGGACAGAAGGAGTGTCAGCCGTACGAGAGCCAGGGTCCACAGGTGATGCCGATTTCAGGGAATATGTGGCTTCAGATTGCGAATATGGGTGAGTGCATGGCATGATCGGAAAAGTGTCCAACGCTAATTGCTTGAATAGCCGTCGACTCCACTGTTGGGGACTCGATGTGGGTACGATCCACCGGGTTCGATGAGGCCTGGGAGGATCTGCCGGGACGTGCCCATCTCTGATGCTGATATTGATCATTCGTTTGGATAGTTTGAATGGATCAGCACTAGGGTGCTGCGCTGGTGGTGCTATTTCGATCAGATAACAAATTGAGGATCATTTAGTTAAGCGTGAAGTATGTTTTTCGCGCCAACGCCTGTGGGTCCAGATCAATGCCGCGCGAGGCTTCTCTCGGCGGTTAGCTGGATCGCATCATGTATGAGCAATCTGGCGTGAATTGTCAATTAGTGTGTTTAGTTGCATAATAATGAGAGAATCAATTATAAAAGAAGAGAGGATCGAAATAGAAATAAATGTCGAAAGGAGGAGACGACGAAAAAACAGAAAGAGAACGGTGGGTCTCACGTGGCAAACTGCCAGGGTGGGGCTCCCCAACAGCGTCAGCTTCGTCAACTTCTTCTTTCTCGACACTCACTACTATATCAACACAATGCCCAAGGACAACGACTCCGATGATTATCACAACCGCGATCCTTCCAAAATGCCCCACGACCGCGACTGGACCGACGAGAGCAACCCGTTTGTCGCCTTCCGCCGTTTTGCTGACGAGCAGGTCTCGTCGGTGCTACAGTCGATCACTGGGCTCCCATCCTCGGTATCCCCTCCTCAGCATGACGGCTGGACTATCTTAACCGATGATAAAGGCTATGGGAGCATGAAGTACCGCCACAGAGATGGCGCTGAAAATGCGGGAGAGCGGAACTACTCATCCGACCAGGGCGCAGGAACCAACCCTCCAGCTACCGGTGACAGAGATGAGACCCCTTCAAACAACACCGATAGATCGGTCTCGCGATCTTCCCTGTCTCGGCAACCGGAATACATGGACCAACTCCAGCAGTCGCGCAAGAACTGGCGCAACGGACCCTCTGATTTCTTCAACCTTGATTCATTCTTCGATCGCTTCGAGAACGATTTCTTTCCTTTCTCCTCAAGTTTCTTCCATCCGCACCATCGCTTCTCCTTCCCCGACATGTATGAAGAAAATTCGCCGACATGGCCCATGACATACATCATGTTCAGCCCATACTCGCCTCTGCTCCTGGAGCGTCAGGCCCATTACCGCGCGCGCCGCGAAGGAGGTGTCTTTTCCTCGATCATGTCTACTCTTCGGTCAGACTCGGAGCGTGACCCGGCCGAGCCGCAGTGGCGCGAGGCATTTGAAGATTTGCTTCGGTTAGAAAACGGGAAGCCTATGCTTGATCATGACGCTTTGACAGCAGGCAGGACTGAAAATGGAACCGAATGGCTTCAAGGTCTGGTAAAGCGAGGCAGCTTGGGTGACCGGTGGAAGTACGTGACCGGCTCGGACGGTCATCCTTGGTCCGGTATTACATTCAATGCTGGACGCAACGAGGACAGTCGCGTTCTGCCCGAAAAGTCTGCCGAAACTCAAGAGAATAATGACCAGGCCGAGAGCGAACTGGACGTGTACGAACGCTTCTTGCAAGATATCGAGGTCCGCGAGCGCGAATTCTTCCGGGGCGTTTCCGCAAGCCCTCTTCTGCGCCTGCTCCTAGATGAGCGCCACAGAGAGCAGGACGAGCCAGAGAACTACCAGCGGGGTCTACCTAGCGCTGAAGACAAACAAGGCAATGACAACGAGAGTTGGCTTGATCTCGTCTCTGGCGGTAACCGAAAATCCGTCCCAGAAACATCACCGGAGACATCTGAAACCAAGCCAGCCCCCGTGCCCGAAAATGCACGCGTTGTGTCAACCTTGAGTCGAACAGAACGCAAGCGTCTTGCAGATGGCTCAGTTCAGACTACGATTGTCAAGACGAAGCGGTATGCCGATGGCCGAGAGGAGACTGATGAGTCTGTTGAGACGACCCACCAGCGGTTGGGAGATGGACAATCATCTGAAGACAACAAGTCGAAGAGCGGCTGGTTCTGGAAAGACTGATGCAATCGTTTCTTGACGATGCACAAAGATTAATTTTGCCACTGGCATACTATTACGACACATGAATTGCAATTGCTTTGGACAGCTCATTGGCGTTTTTCATATTTTTCCTGTCAGATTCTTTCTATCTCATTGCCGAGTTATCTGGTTCTGTACATGCACCAATTTCACATATTTCCCACTTACAAAATTGTCAATAGCCTGAACTTTTGAGTTTAGTGTTGAACGATTTTATAGCAATCATAAAAGCATCCATGGGTTTATCTCGAGGTTGTCAGCTTGAGCAAGCCAAACATTTCTTTCGTAACAACATCAAGTCCAAAAGCCAAATACAATCCTGGAACTTCATTCAAACAAGTAATCTACCCATCAATCAGCCTTAACACTCTTCTTCTGTCCCTTTCCGGCAGTCCAGCCCTTGGACTCCCAGAACTTGACACTGTCCTCCATCTTCTTGTATGCCCAAGTGAAGGATGGATCTAAAAAGAGGAATTAGCCTGAAAAAGCGGCGCGGAAAGAACCAAATCTTACACAAGAACTGTCGGAGATCGTGGCGATTATCTTCGGGACTGTACTGCTCGGCGTGGTAGCTTGGAGTGATAACTGTCATCTTGTGACGGTTGATGGAATACTGGAAGGAACCCGGTTAGTACTTGCGAGTTAACTGGCATTCTCGGACACATACATGGTAGAAGAAGTGCCTCGTCTTCTCGTAGATCTCACGTGGGCTGTACTCATTGCCCCAAAGGTGCAGGAGCTTTTCATACATGCTCCACGGACCAAGTTTCGTGACCTTGCGCATGTACTAGAAGACTTTAGTAATCGGTAAAGCTGAACGGATTGGATATCGTCTTACCCCGAACACGCCGAGCTCTGCGTAAGTCACGCCCATGTCTGCCTCTGATAGTTTGTTCAGTATCAATTCAAGAGACTCGTTCCTAGGTCACTTACCATCAGACTGCACGTAGGTGGCTGTGATAGGCTCAAGCTCCGCAGTGGGGGTGGCATTGAGGAACTCTTCCAAGATTGGAAGCTCAAAGTTGTGGCCTGCCCAGCCGATGAACTTCTTCAGATCTACCTTGGAGATGGAACCGATGGGATTGAGCTGTTGGATGGGTTAGAAAAAAGAATAAAGTTTACAAGTTAGAATATGGATTACTCACGTCGGCAGAGCTGGCATCGTACTTGGTGAGGTAGCCTCGCAGACTATGGGTAGAAGCACATAATGTTAGTATTATGTTGCGGTGCCGGCCTAGAATTTCGCTCTTTTCTAAGTGATGACTCGACATACCATTCTATTGCTTTCAGTCAGTCTTGTTTCAGCATATGCAGATCTAGAGCCACTTACCATCGACGTTAGATGACGCCAAAACCAACAAACCACCACCGCCGGGGCGTTGGCGGACAGTCGGCAGCAGCTGGGCAAACAAATAAGACAGAACCATTCTCATGCGGGCCTGAACATTTTGCAAAGCCGCGTTCTCGGCACCACCGCCACCGTGAACTTTGAATCGAGGCTGGAAGTTGGTGACAACAGTGAAGAGATTCATGATGGCAGTTACAACCGTGTCGAAGTTGAAATCCACATGGTAAGAGCCAATATCTACAGCCAGTCTCTTCGCCCGATCTCTCGTTTCAAAGCTAGAGTTCTGGGTACCCATGTAGCTCGTGTGGAAGATAGCCTTGCAAATTTCTTGGCTGGTAGTGGGAAGCCAATCTGAATCTGCTGGCTTGGCACAAAGTCGGCGCACATCCTTGATGACCTGCTCATTGCCTTGTCGGACCGCCTTCAGGACCTCGCGACACATCGAGTGCACAATTACCGACGTAGCACAGCTATCAATACCGCCACTGAGAGGGATGAAGAAACCAGCTGCACCGCATCGTCGGAGGTAATCCCACAGCCAACAAGCCGGACCGAGAGCAATCTCCTCTTCTGGGGCATGGTACCGAGGCTTGATCGGCTCGGAGACTGTGAGGCCAGGATCGGCCTCCTCACCGCGGCGAGACAGTCTCGTGTCAACATCAAGACGAACATATGGTGACTGCTTGCTTGCTTGCATTCCACGGCTCACGCTGCACCGGTATGTTCGGACATCTTCAATGTCGACAGTGGCGGTGACAACCTCCACATCGTTCAAAGAGAATTGGGATCCCTGGGCTACGATCTCACCATTGACCACAATCATGGCACAACCGTCGTAGTACAAACGATCACCATCACAGCCCTGCTGATTGGCATACAGATAGATACCACCACTAAGCTTGGTGGCTTGCGTAATCAAGTTGATTCGTGTGTCGAGCTTCCTGAGCTCGTGGTGGCTTCCAGATGAATTGGAGATGATCTCCACACCGGCAAGACCGTAGGCATTGTGGGGGCCGTTGGGTGTGAACAGTTCTTCACAGGTCTCAAGACCAAAGCAGGTATCCCGGGTACTGATGACCGCATCACCGAAGGGAACCTTGTACTGGCCGGTAATGTTGCCCACAATCTGCTCCAGATAGTAATCCTCCACCTCCTGGGGGCGCTGCCATGGAGTAAAGTGACGGTGCTCTCGGTAATTACCATCTATTATTGTGTTAGTAGATTTTGGAATAGTGGGGGGTGGTATAGCCAACCATTAGCGAGCCACATCTTGGGGCGAATGAGGATGATCTTTTTGTTGTAGAAAATAACACTTGAAAGGTGTAAATAGGTGCTAGACTCCCATAATTTCTCACAGAGGTACTAACCGACAGTTATATCTCACATTGCGGTGTCTGATAGGCATTCCAACATCGACGACGATATCCTGGGTATCGGGGTGGTCGATGATGCGAGCTAGCATCTCCCATGAATGAAGGAACGTATCTCCCTCCAGAAACCCGTCAAGGACGCCATATCCGGTGATTTCTAGCTCGGGACCAACGCGGAGGGTGGCTCCAGCGGCTTTAGCCTGGCGAATACTTTCGATAATGCGTTCCGCATTACCCTCAAAGTCGAGAGCCCATTGGTTCAGAGAACTAGCCAGAGAGTCAGCAAACAATCTTCTTCAAGGCATATGAAGCTCCTACCAGGTTGCAAGGGTCACCAGGTGCCCCATTATTAAGTCGTTGAGGCGATTGAAATGCGTTACAAGCTAATGAAGAGCTCAGGAAAGTGAAGCCTTTCTTATCGGCAAATGTGAATCAGTCACGTGTGTGGGGAGTTCCGCGGTTCCCCGCTCCTTGTTCTGGTATTACCAATTAATTACGGATTTGCCGCTTATCTCGGCGACAAGTCCGATGAAATATTGGTTATCACGATACCATGCTCAGGAACTGCATCACCGAGCTGATTAATAGGTCGGGATTTGGGTCCTGGATTGTCCCAGCCGGTTCTGGTTCTCGTTGAAACCTCCTCATTTCATTGCATCTACTCCCCAGAGCCTTTGCACGCCCTTGATTACCATCTCTTATGAACAGAATGAGCATGAAACCTCAGATCCCTGCTCCGGCCCATACACTCGCCGACTCGATGTTGGCGCGACGCTTCGGAAAAGAAACGGCGAACTATTTCTCCAGTATGGATTGCCAGAGGGGAAGAGAACGATAGAGAAATCAAAATCAAGGATATTTATAACTGAACATAAACAGGTTCTCCAATCAACCGGCTGTCATTCCTTCGCTCCGAACATCCGTTCCTATCAGCGGCTTTGAAGCACCCGTCTACTCAGTTCGTGCTGCTGAACAACCTCGCCCCGTTGACTCGCTCCCCATCCGAGCCATACTATGCCAAATACGATGAATTGCACAAGCTCATTTCGCGAGACTTCTTCGATCAGCCCGAGGAGGATTTTATCAAGAGCTTCGACTCGCGCAAGACCTACCCGACGCTTATCTTCCTCGGTATGGACGAGAGCCGCAAGGAAGGCAGTATGACGTGGAAGATATACTCTGGAGTGCCGTTCTTTGCGGTTGATGTGACACCCAGGGGCTCTGAGGCGCAGCAGACGGCTGCAAAGAATGTCATTAGCGCCATGGAGGAGAAGGGATTGTCTTTCTTCCAGACGAGAATCGTCACCACGTTTACCCCAGACGACGGTATGTTTGCAATGAAGGCTGTTAGATATTGGACAAAAGAGAACAACGTAACTCACCACGTCCAATAGCTGCTATTTACGCACAAGCGCGCGCACTGAACGATTGGAACAACCGCAATACTTTCTGCGGCACCTGTGGCAATCCCACGCTGTCCGTCAACGCCGGCACCAAGCGTGCTTGCCCGCCAACAGACGCTGCCCGAACTGCGCAGGGCCTACCCGAGAAACGCCCTGAATGTAACACCCGCACCACGATTTCGAACCTGTCTTTCCCCCGCACCGACCCCACCATCATCGTGGCGGTCGTCTCTGCCGATGGCAAGCGCATCCTGCTCGGCCGATCGAAGCGATTCCCGCCGAAATGGTACTCAACCCTGGCTGGGTTTATTGAGCCTGCGGAGTCGATTGAGGATGCGGTCCGCAGGGAAGTGTGGGAAGAGGCTGGTGTGACGCTTGCTCGTGTCGTTATTCACTCGTCACAGCCCTGGCCGTACCCGGCAAACCTGATGATCGGTGCAATTGCGCAGTGCAGTGATGCCGCTCATGAGAAGATTCATCTCGAACATGACCCTGAGCTTGAGGATGCGAAGTGGTTTGACATTGAGGAGGTGGAGGAAGCTTTGCGCATTGGCACGAGTGACCTGAGTGGTGCTGCGCCTCCTGATTATAAGGGCGGCTTGAGACTGCCGCCTGCCACGGCCATTGCGAACCAGTTGATCCAGTCTGCCATCAGTGCTGATTATTTCCAGGCGGAGAAGAGTAAGATGTGAGCAATATGGGGGAGCTTTTTAGAAATATTTAACATATACAAACTAGAGGTGACTATAGTCGTACAGACAGAGATTCTACAACGAGAGTTCCCTCGTTCCGTGTGGCTATGGCTAGATACATTGTTCATGTTTCCTCATAGATCAGCATAAACCGTGCCGTCCCGCAGCTCGTGTATGCTTTCTCTACTTCCGGGAGAGCCAACTTCCGTATAGCGAGTCCCATCCCGAAGTTCATGGATGGTGACCCGCCGGTTGCGTCGCCGTGAGCGCCGCGAGCCTCGAGCAGACGAGACCGAGTCGCCGCGGACACCCGAGTCAAAACTTCCTGCCTCGCTGATTGCCACATCGCTTGGCGTAGCTCCCCTGTCCATACTGTCTCTCTCAATCGATGCCTGGAGTTGATTGTCGGCAACAAGGGCAGTACCAACTTCAGTGTACCATCTTCGCAAACCGGATGCATATGCACGTTCCTCCGAGCCATATTCCACAGGTGGGCCGCTCATATGTGCCTCTGGCGCAGATCCGTCAAACACCGCCCACGAACTGGATTCAACGCTGACGAGCATGATTGAGTGGTCGTAACTCCGGACCTTGAAGTCGCGTAGTAAGACTGCATTGCCTTCGGCTAGGGATGGCATGGCTGATTTAGTACGTCGGAAGATCTGGGCTTGGAGGGTGGTGCCAGCCATAGAGGGATCAGTAAGCTGGATAGTCATGAAATAGTCTCTTGAGCCGGAGCTACCCTTGGCAATTGGAGTTGCTTCGTGGACGACTGAGATTGTGTCCACCAGGACATTGTAGTGATCGATGAGTGCGGCAAGAGGGGCGAAATAGGACAGTTTGCTGCGCAATCCGTGGGCGTGACGGTCAGGAACTGGTGGTTCGCTAACCACCAACTGCGGAGGCTTCGCTTTCTCAAGGTCCAAAGCCTTGATGATGTTCCGGTCGACCTCAGCATCTTCAGTGGTGGCCACAGCGACATCCGCACCGTCAGTACTATCGTGGTGCTGTTGAGTGTGCAACGTGTCCGGCAGTGGCTCAACTGCAGGATGTTCAGGGGCCACAAGGTCTTCGACAAGCGTCGCCTTCTCGGTGCTACCAGCAGCATCCAAGCCAGGCGTTAATGCGACATTCAGTCTCAGGGGATGTCCTGACTCGCCCAGGGTGGGCAAGACCGCCATCTTTTCTTGACTTGGAGTGGATTGACGACCAGAAGTAACTTCTTGGGTATGATCGGGAGTCAGGAGCTGTTTTGAAGTATCATTTGGGGATACACCTTTCACGAGCTCAATATTGGTATCGGAATCTTGCTTTTGACGCTCGGAGAAGATGTCTTCTTCAGGGGCTCGTAACTGGTCTTGTTCGGCATCGACGGGTGATTGCATCCGGTCTCGGTCAACAGCTCCATCCAGGCTGTGAAATTTTGGTTTCATATGACCAGGGGAGCCTCGTTCATCAGGACTTGCTCGCTGGTCTTCTTGGGGTTCCTCTTCCTCGGCTTCTTCAGACCCATCTTCAAATTCCTCTTCGGGTTCATCTTCTTCTGAATCCAGATCAACAACCCATTCAAGCTTTTCCCTGGCATCGAAATCGTCCTGGTTTGCACGTGGCCCCTCGCCTTCGTCATGCTCTTCTCCGAAAGATCCTTCCGCGACGGAATTTTCACGACTCGAGTGCTGTTTGGTGTAATGGTCGCGTGCTATGTCGTCCATTGAAGATTCATCCTCCATGTCGCTGTCGTGCACTCGTTCATCATCTTCAACTTGAGCTCTATCTTCCGTCGCATCAGAAGCAGACTCGTAGTCTTCCCCTTCCTCTCCCTCTAGCTCTCCTTCATCCTCCTCCTCCTCCTCCTCCTCCTCCTCCTCAAAGTCGGCGACGGGAGATTCAATGAATGACTCGCGATGATAGATGCTTACTTGCTGTGTTGGTTGTGAAGGAGTTCCGGTTGGCTGAGCCGAAGCAAGCTCGTCCTCGCTGTCGCTATCCAGCACGATAAATTCAGGCTGGGATTGTTGTGGCCGCGAAAGCTGAGTAGCCCGGGGATACTCCTCATCACTGTACTCGGCCTCTTCGTCATAGTCCCCCTCATCCTCGTCATCTTCCAACATGGAGTCTGCTGCATCATCCTCATCGTAAAGAGCTTCATCTTCTTCACCACTCTCTTCACCGTAACTGCGACTGCCGGCACGATCCCCAGCGGACAGAGAGGACTCCACGAGTTCGTCTTCACTTTCAATTGCTTCCGATTCGTTTTCGACGATTTCCATGTCGACTGCCGTGAGGGCAGCATTCACGGCAGCCTCATGGTCAGCATGGTCCTCTTGCGCCAGTGTTTCCTGAACACCTTCATCGTCGAAGTAGTCATCCTCTGCCGCAGGTGGGGGTTCTTGATGCAGTACGTCCTTTTCTGCATCTTTTGCTTCTTCAACTTCGTCGATTTCCTCAGATTGACGGTTAACAGGCGCCGCAACAGGCACCGTGTGGCTATCACCAGCGTCACTCATTTCAACATTCGGCTCGCTAAACTCGGGACGTTCCTGGAACGTCGGCAAATGGAAGAATTCTGTCGAGTCTGCAGGCTGTTCATTGCTGTTCTCAGCTGCCCCATCTCCTGTCACTGTTTCAAAATGTGATTCCTGTTCTCCCGGCATTGTCGGGCTTGAAACGGGCCGCTCATTTTGTGTTGTTTCCAACTGCTCTGCAGGGGCTATGGTTGCTTGCGACTGCGGCGTAGGCGAAATGTAAGCCACGGAGCTCTGTGCCAGGGCAGTAGTATCGGCGTCTGTCCCAGTAACAATAGATTGGATAGTCTGTGTATGCTCCTGCGCGTGGAATGGCGAAAAATACTCCTGGGCGCTATTGTTATTGGACACGATAGGCGAAGGGATTGGGAGGCCTGGAGATGGCACTGGACGGAGCTGTGGCGTATCTGTAGGGAGATGTAAGGTTGCTCCAAAAAGACCTTGCAGGCCAGTATCAATCGGTCCAGCCTGCGCATTGTTTGATTGAGGCGCTGGCCTTCCGAAAAGCCTTCCAGCAAGATCAAGAGAGGGCTTCACGAAAACGAATGAACCATCTTGCAACGGATTTTCAATTTTTGCCTGGTCGTCAGAGGTGGTATTTTCGGCAGTAGGACCGTTCTCGTGGGGAGGTTTCGGAATGGTCTCCAAGTCATCCTCGGCATCCATCTCATCCTCAAGCTCCGATTCCAAGTCATTTTCCAGTTCCTCCGATCCGTCTTCTCGGGAACTTGCCGATGAATCTGCAATGTGCCATTCATCTCTCTGGAAGCTGTATCTCGGCCGTTTTCTGCCTTTGCCGGGGATGAACCCATCCTCATCTGCAAATGGATCGAAAGCAAAATCCCGCACTGCCTTAAATGGGGACTGCCCAATCCGTGCGAATGCCGGCGATAACCAGGATCCAGGCCCAGGCACCGTGTCTGAAACGGGGTGTATCGAGATCACGCGGGGGGTGGAGGGCGGTTGCAGCTCTGTATCATGCGGCGCGCGAGGGGACTGTTCGATGATCACTGTCGACAGATTCTTCGAGGAGCGATTGATCTGAGACCTGAATATTAACATCTGAATCAAAAGCAAGCGCTTTGAGTCCATAATACCTCTAATGACACGCCGTTGTCAAATTGAAGATCCCACGCGACATTTTTCCCATGTGTCTGTGTAGCCGTATCATTGGCAACAAATTCTGCGCCCTTCAGCGCGAGACGAACGGTATCACCGATCCCGACGTGTGACTCCGCCACCTTCTCTGCGACGCGCCCGTGAAATATCGTCTTTACTTGTCCGTTTGACCGACGTAGGCGGAAATCCGGTTCGGCGAGAGAAAGGCTGAGAGACTTGGTCGAGGACGAATACGGCCAAACAAGGCTAACGGTCGCAAGAATGCATTTCTCCTCGAGCTGTTCGAGGGTTGGAGATAGCTGCGCGATCGGAAGCTTGATCAATGACGACAGCGCATTGGGTGCCGTGGAATGGTCGATCGCATCCATCGCGTCCATCGCGCCCGCTTTCAAACGAGCTCCGTCACCTGTTCACGGGTACCTGCATTTCAGATACTCACTAGGAATATGGCGTGGGAAGAAGTATTGGGGGGGAGAGTGCGTGCAAGCTGAAAGACGCGGATGCAGCAAAGCGGATTCTGCGTATGCATCCCATCATGGTCGGTAATACAGCCGTAATATTACCAATTTCTAGTGGCACCATCGTGTTTTTTTGTTACCGCTGTTACATGGAGGATCTATGTACCCCTTGACCTACACCTTCCAGACTAGATATTGACGCAGGTGAAACCGGATGTTGGTTTGGTGTCGCGAAGCTGTGGCAGCGAGATTCCCACACGTGTATTTGACTCTCGTATTGACACGAAATGTATTAGAAAATCTGACATGGTATGTACATCCGAGGTCCATTTCTATATCTAATCTATCAATCTAATTTAAGTGTTTAATGGTCATTTACACCTCTCAAGCGCTATGGCTGCCGGACCCGGGAACCACTCATCTCCTCGATGCCTCACCGTATCTAAAACCCCAGGTGCCCTCGAATGATTTATCTCTTTCATAGCTTTCCTCGTTCTTGTTCCCTTTGCCAATCTTCAAACACAAATCCAAGCTCCGCGAGGGACTGTATTTGTCCCCGTTGATCACCCTTCTGAACAAACTTTCTTCTGATTTCAGGGAAGAGGGAACGCATCCACCTCTCTCGACTTCCCCAATACGTGCCAAGTTTCCCTTTCCCACTGTTTTCAAGTCCCGGGCGTGCTTCCGCCGATGATGCCCAATCGTAGAGGAAGTTCAGGTAGTCGGCGTCCTGAGGGAATGGAAGTACGTGGTATGCCTTCTGATCCCCCTTAGTCGCAATTTCAGAATCTTCCCATGTTCTCATTTCTTCTCTTGAAGGAAGTTGCAGTCGCCCCGACCATACACGAGAGAAGACAGCTGCTTGGTTCTCGGCCATAGGGAATGGGATCACTCTCTGCGACAGGACGGGAAATACAAGAGTAGGTCGATCGATATAAAACAACTGCTGGTATACATTCATCGTTCGCCATCCATGAGTGACAACGGGAGGATTCAGAGATGACAAGAACGGGAACGAATAGAAGTATCCTGTGCAGAAGACAATAGCATCGACTTGCTCCTCGACACGGCCGTCTGCAAAGCGAATGGCTCGGTCATGGGTTGCTGGAGACAGGAACTCGATGATCTCCGCGCAAATGATTTTGTCCGCTGGGGCCGAGGCGGCCAGGTACGATTCGGATTTTTGGGAGGCCAGGATTTTGCCCAAGCTCACCTCGTTGATCTGGGCCCCGATATCGAGCCCGGAGGCAGAGTTCCCCACCACAATCACCTTCTTGCCTCGAAAAGCCTCAGGAGAGTCATAGAACTTGGAATGCATGATAGCTCCTGGGTAGGATCTGTCCCAAGCCCGGATACCTGAGATATCGGGAACAAAAGGGACGGTGAAGTGGCCACTCGCTACCACCACAGCGTCATATATGCGTGACTTTGCGACGCCCGTGCGCAGGTGTTTGGTGGTTAGTTCCCATGTGCTCGATCTGGGATCTTTCAATCTTACATCCACCACCTGAGTTTCGAATTGGATGAGACTCTTCAAGCCTTCGGCATATTCCTCCAGGTATTGCTTTACCACTTGGTGTTTAGGAAATAACTGCGTTTGCGGAGGGAACGACTTATCCGAGTAGCACATCAACTCTTTGGGGATATTCGTCTCCAGCCTATCGTACAGAGGTGACACAAAAACCGCCTCACTTGTCCCATCGGGTTGATCAATCCACATCGGCTTCTCAATTGGTTCATGGGGATTCAGGTGAGGGACTGTAGTGGGTATTCCTATTTTGGAGGAGCTAGGACTATAGTTCCAGGCTCCCCCAACAGAGCTTCTCTGTTCAAAAACATCGACCTGGTCGAAATGTTTCTCGGCTAGGAGGTATCTATACCGATCAATGAACTGGTCAAAGAATAATGTCTTTCAAGAAGGACAATGCATGCAGGACTCACTTCACAGAGGCCAGGCCAGATGGCCCAGCTCCAATGACCGCAACCCGACGGATAGGATTCATGAGACGTTTTCTAAAACGCACAAGGTGCGGTTCAAGATGAGGGGTTGAAGCGAAGTATAATGGATACCTTATCGTGATGTGCAGGCCCGATAGCGATAAGCATCATCACGTGCAGGATCGTCCGCGCCCGAGTCGCCGTCTCGCCATTCACTCTTCCTTTCTATACTTCCCTACCTCCACATTGCTCTGCCTGTTGCGAACGGGCTAAAGTTGCGCCCGCACCCTTTGGACTTCCCTGCAGCTGATGATATGTATGGTTACCCTTGTTTACCTCGCTTAATCTCCCTTTCCCATCCCTCCTCCCGTCCGCTCATCCGATAGCTCCAAACATGGCTAACTTACAGAAGCTCGTGAGCACCTTGCTCTGCCCCCACGACAAACATAGCCGATGCGCTCCAGCTGAGCATCAGTATTACTCGCCGAATCCTTCTCTGAATTTCCAATCGTCAGCACTCTTCGCGCAATACCCAGCTCCTAATTTCTGCTTCCGTTCTGTTACATCTGCGCCTACTCACTGCCTCCAAGTCGCTACCTGGGGTCTTGCAAAAACCACCACCCCTCGCACTTCCACCTGTTAGCGAAGCTTTATTTAATCGGGGTGTTCTTCCAATCTACCCCCCAACCCGCTATTTCTGGAAATGGACGACAAACACACTCCGTCCTCTGTGGGCGATATTGAAGCCGAAGTGCCTGTATCTGTTCCAGAGATAATTGCACCTCTCAGTGTTCGAGTTGACAGGAACTCTATCGATCACACTCACACAGCAGTTCACCATCATCATCCAGAGCCTCTACTACAACACTCACATCTCTCTCATGGGGTCCCGGCGTCAATGGAAACCATCCAACCCAGCGCGTTAACTGTCGAGAGCGCGGAGGAAGCCCCGCCCGGCTCAGTTCGTCTTGGACCGTCCGAGTTTGCCATAACGCTTCCCATGGATTCTCGTGTGAAAGACGACTACGAGAAAGTGTTAACAGGAGCAGCCTCCAGCATGCGAGAGTTCTTTCTAAGCTTCAGTCCGACCTCTCAGGTCTCAGAAATTGAAGTAAGTTTCAATTCTATCTACTATGTGTGATTCATTTTGACATTAGATTACAGCGAGCACAATTGTTGCCGAAGATGCATGAAGTCACTGCACGTTTCAATAATGTTTCGACTCATCCAGATTTGAATATTCCCCAACACTGCCAATACAACGACTCTGAGCTGGAACAGGAGGCCTCATGGGCCGAGTATTCCAGTGCGAAATTCTTGTTCCTCAAATACTGGATTCAACTCGCGAGCACACACGATCTTCATGTGATCCTTGAGATCCGAGGCGAGATGAAGCAGAAGATCCTCGAGCGTTATTTGCTTGGCAAAGGCTTCAATTACACAAAGCCACGCACAGAGCTGGGTGACAGCGTGGAGGTATCAATGGCCAAAGGCCCCTTGAGTTTTGGAATCCATGGCAATGATGGCGTTCAAGAGCTCTTCAAGTCACCTTCTGCAATTTTTGCATTGGACACGGCTTTTGACCCTAGGAGCCCATCGGTGCAGCATATTCGAACGACTTACACTCGAAATGGAAGCCTTCTCCCTGTCATCTGGTTCCTTGTTGCCAACTCTTGTGAACACATCGGACGCTGCCTGCCAAATTTAACAGAATCTGAGCGGCTACGTCTTCTTTTGCAAGAAACCGCGTACCTCCACGATGATGTCGGTGATCTACAGGATGATGCCCTGGGTGTCTACGAAGATGTTGGAGAGATTCTCGGCTATTTATCTGACAGCCTTGCCAGCTGGCCACTCCCTAGCATCGAACCTTTGCACTTTATTTCCCAGGAAGAATTGGATTCATCTGACCCCTCATCTGATGAACCAATGCCGGCAGCCCCGAAGCGCTCACTGGTGATTCCCCTCTTCCCTTTGCTGACTGGAGCTTGACTAACTGAATCTCTAGGATGACGATGGTGATGATTACACTACGAAACGCGCGCGGGTCCACATCCCAGACACCAGTCAACTTACCGACTCAACTAAGGCGCCCAGCCAGACATTGGACCGTGACTTGCAGTCCTTGGAAAAGAACCTCATTTTAATGAAGAATGCTCATGCAGCGGAGAAGGACCAATTGCAAAATGAGCTGATCGAGACTCGGGCTCGATTGCAAGAAGTCCAGAAGGCTCTGGGCGAAGTGCAGCATCGCTATGAAAGTAGAACCAAGGACCTACACAAGACTCGGCAGGATTGCGAGCGTTTGATAGAAGGCAAAGCTTCCTTGGAACAACGCGTTGAGACGCAAAGGGAGAACCTTTCCAAGATAAAGGATGAACGCACGAAGCTGAAGCAAGAGCTCGAAGAAGCTCGACAGGAGCTCAAAAACGGCGGAGGTACCTTGGCTGAGCTGGAAACTGCCCGTGAGGAGATCCGGCGCCTTACCAAGGAGAACGCAAGCCTCGAGCGCAAGGCCGAATATTCGCAAAATCAGGCAGAATACGTCCGCGAGCAATACCAAACTGCCTCAACAGTCGCGGCTCAGGCTGGCAACGAAGCTCGCCAGTTGCGCGAGGAAAATGAAGCCTTGATGAAGAAGGTCGAGGGTAACGCCGTGCGACTCCGGGAGATTAATAAAAAGAATGACGAGGCCCGTCACATCGCGCGAATTGAAGAACTGGAAATAATCCTTGCAGTGCGAGATGAGGTCCTCCGCAAGAAGGAAGAGGAACTTCGCGACATTCGCAAGAACCGACCCTCGACTCGCTCGACCAGTACCCAGCCGCGGAGTCCCAAATGGGCTGGTAGTCGACCGACCAGCCCTGGTGTCAATCACAATGGAAATGGCAATGGCCTTGCTGGACGAGGCAGTGCCTTGCGGTATAGTTCGGAGATGCCTTTTTAGCGATTCGGGCTGAAGGGTCTAAAGGGCCTGGGCTTATGCATGTACAGATCAAGCGTCGTCTCTTCCTCTTTCTGGAGTGACACTGCGCATAATATACACTATCGTGCTCTCTTTCTCCTTGTCCTGTATTCCAGTACTCATTTCGGATGGTCCATGCACGCCCTGCTGCCGACCCCGCTTAGTGAATGTTCTTTGGGCCGATGTTACCACGCAGTCTAGGGACGTCCCACTTTTTATCTATGACGCATACATGCACGAGTTCCGAGGAATCTGGATGTGAGCGTCACATTTTGCAGGGCTTAGGTCTGACCGAGAACTAGACCCTGCATAGGCCTTGCATCTTGACCATCGAGAATCCAGCCACCAGTTACAAGCAAACCAGTAAATTCTTCAAAACATTCTCCATTCCAATATTAATATAATAAGACCCTATAACAGATTCACGAAGTTATGCATACACCGTGATTATAAAAACAAGTAAATAATTCAAACGCCAAAACAGTGAAAGCAGAATGCCCAAATAAAGGCAATCAAAAATGACCAATCTCAACCTTCCAACTCCAACCACAATCTTAATATACAGGAGAAAAAGACAAAAATGCAGGTCGTTTAAGCGGTGTTCATCGCGTTAGCCATGAACGCTGCCAGCTCCTTGGCCTTCTCGCCACGTGTCATGGTGAAGTGATTAGCTCCCTCCATGATGGTGATGCCGCGCACGTTCTGAGGTCCAACGAGGGTATCCCATCCATTGGGGCCGAGATCAGTGCGGTTGTTGAGTAGCCAGAGCATCTCCCTGGGATCGGCGCTTCCATCCTCGGCAGGCGCAGGACGAGGATCACTGGGCTTGTTACATACGCCATCCTTGGCCCAGACCAAGAAAGTCTTTGGGAGCTTCTCGGCCAGCTCACTGTCATTGAATGGGAAAGGAACGGCCTTGTATGCGTCCAGCGAGTCGATGAAGGCCAAGAAGTGCGGGAGCAGCCACTTGGGTGGAGGAGCCTTGCCCTCTCCGAACAGACCGATTGTATCGAAGAATCGGTAGAGACGGCGAGGAAGCTTCTCGAGGCCAATTGGGAAAGGCGAGTCGAGGAGAAGCAGACGCTCGACTCGCTCGCCCTCCTCAATAATCAGTTGGCGGGCTGCGTCGTAAGCGCAAATGCCACCAGCTGACCAGCCGCCAAAATTGTAAGGGCCGTGAGGCTGGCGACGGCGGATCTCAGCCACATAAGGAGCGGTCATCTCGTCCAGGCTAAATTTGAGATTCTCCGGGGTCCGCATGTAGGGGCAATTCAATCCGTACACACAGACGTCGGGAGAGATACCCGGGATTGTGGCGTAAGATGTGGCAGACCCAGATCCGTCAGGGAACAAGAAGAGCTTCTGAGTCGCTGTCTTGGGGTTTCCTTGCAGCAGGATGGAAGTCGCGGGCGGATGCTGGATAGCCGTAGTGGAGGTGGCCTTGGGTGCTTCAACCGCGATATCCTGGAGCAGCTTGACAGGCCCGGGAGCAGCAACCTTGGGCTTCAGATCGAGTGCAGTCTCGATTTCATTGACCGTCTGGTTCTCGATGAAGAACTCTCCAGAAAGATCGAGGTCCAGAGTCTCACGGATCTTACCGAGCACGGTGAGAGACATCAAAGAATCGAGGCCCATCTCACCCAGGTTTTCATCACCCTGAAGCTCATTGGGCTCAACTCCAATCTCGTTGGCCAGAATCTCGCAAATCTGCTTCATGCTGTCATTTTGCTCGTAGGTCATGCTCTTCTCATTTGCGGGAGTGGGAAGTCCACTCGAGTTGGGAGAAGAGATGTCTGTCGAGGAGGCAGAAGAGGAAATATCAGGTTCACTGCCAGATCCATCACTGCTGCTCTCAGCAGGGCTCATCTGGGTCAGGAGCTGCTTGAAGACCTTGACAGTGGGTTGATCCACGAAGACGGAGGATTCAAGGTCAAGACCCATCTCCTCACGGTAGCGACCAGTCACAGTCAAGGAAAGCAGAGAGTCGACACCGTAGTCCGCAAAGTTGAGGTCATCAGTCATCTCGGATGCGGAAAGGCCCACTTCCTCAGCCAAGACATTAAGAGCTTTGGTGATGATGCTAGGGCTGGTAGGCTTGGGAGAGGGTGCAGAGCGAGTGGTCGTCTTCTTGACTGGAGCCTTCGACTTTTGAATGTCGATGGGCGCAGGTCTTGCCTTGGCAGGAGAAGCACCAGCAGGTGGAAGAACAGTGTCGAGGATCTTCCGGGCCAAACCTTGGAACTTCACGCCACCGTAAACAGCAACAATATCGTCACCATCAAACATCCACACATCGCCTGCCCAGATAGAGTTCTGCCAGGGCTGCATCCGAACGTAGGTACGGTAAGTCACATTGGGGTCGAACTTCTTTACACAGCGCATGGAGTCCCAGCCGTGGTTGACAAACACCTGGTTCTTGGAGTCGGTTGCATCGCTGGCATTCATGATGAAGCCAGACAGATGACCAATGCTGTCAATCCAGAAGGGGTTGCGGTGGAAGTTTCCAGGAGGAGCTGCAAACTTGACCAACGCCGTAGCCTCATGCTGCTCGCTGTCGAGAATAACTTCCTGAATAGACTTGAAATTCTCGTCGTAGTCGACCAAGGATGCAAACAGTTTGTACACCATTCCACGCTTCATGCGGTGGGCTTCGCCAGACTCGGTGCTTTCCTGGAGGTGCGCAATGCTTCTCTTGATGAGATAAGCGTTGCGCTTCCATTCAAGCCCGGCAGCGCTGGTGTCAAAGAACTTGACCTGGCAGTGGGCATGATCGATTATCTTCTTGCCCTCAGGAGTGACTGACCAGACTTGCACCTGAGCGTACTCCTTGGCCCAGTTGGCAGTGGCTGAGACCCGGAACAGCTGCTTGCCACCCTTTGCGATCATGGGCTTGGGAACAACCACATCGCAGACGTCAAAGCCGCGACCCTCCCACTCAGGCTTGTAATTCTTCACCAGGAACTCACCAAGTGTTTGAGCAATGTCGGCGTACAGCGACGATGGACAAAGAGCGGCTCCATTGACTTTGTGACCTTGGATGACACGGTTCAATTCAGGATCGGCTATATCATTTTCAATAACCACAGTTGCCGTCTTATTGTCGCCGCTAGTCTCAAGGACCTTCTGAGCAGCTGTTGTCAAGTAGGTCGAGACAGGCGCGGCCACGGCCGCAGGAGTTGCCGGAGCGCCCTTCAACAAGCAAAAGTTATTGGTGTAAGGGATCCAATAGTTCTTGAGATCCCACTTGTACGCGGGAAGGTAAAGAACCTCGTGCATAGAGCTGAAATCTTGGTGGTACTCCTTCCAGCGAAGATCGACACCTGCCATGTACAGTGAGGAAAGGCTGTTAGACAACACCTTCCAGCTGTCCTCTTGGCGACGGAGAGATGCTACGGTCGTTGCTTGGGGACCGAAGGTAGCCTTTACCATTCCGGAGCAGACGGGATGGGAGCCAATTTCAACCCAGAGAGTCTTCTCGTTCATCAGTTTTGCGTGGCGAGTAGCCTCCAGAGCAGCAAGGAAGTTGACAGTCTCCCGGCAGTGACGAGTCAAGTACCCGGGAGCAAGAACCTCCAGGTTGGCTTCCTTGATAACGTCTCCAAGAAGAGCGGAGACAAACGGAACAGAGGGCTCATGGAAAGTGACACCCTTGGCCGCCTCTGCGAGATTCTCAAGGATAGGCTCAACCTGGGCAGAGTGGAACGCAAAAGGCACCTTCAGCTTAGTAGCCTTGAATCCTTCGTTGGCGAGCTTGTCAGCGAGCTTCTCAATCTCGTCAACGGTTCCGCTGATGACAGTCTCGCTGGGAGCATTGATGCATGCAACCTCAGCGGCGTTTTGGTCCAAGAACTGCTTCACTTGGGCGACCGAGGACTTGACAGCCAGCATAGCGTGGGTTCCAACTTGGCACTGATCAGTGAGCAGCTGAGCTCGGCGACCAACCAGATAGATGGTGTCACTGGTAGTCAGGATTCCAGCAGCGTTCATGGCAGCGTATTCGCCCAAGCTGTGGCCGAGGACAAAAGAAGGAGTAACTCCGAGAGAGATCCAGAACTTCGTCAACGCCATCTGAATGCATGTGGTTCCCAGTTGAGTGACAATGGGACTCAGCTCCTCAATTGGGACACTGGCGTCGATCAGAGGAATGATCGATGGGAAGCCCTGGCTTTGGGCAATACGATCAAGGTTCTCGATGTGAGTCCGGAATTGAGAGTTGTTCTCATATAACTGACCCCCCATGGCGGTGTACTGAGCGCCCTGTCCAGTGAAGATAAATCCGACACCAGGGGCAGTGGAGGGAACCGGAGTGATGCTCTCGCGGTTTGGATCAGAGGTCAAGCCATTCCGGATTTCCTCCAGCGTGGAGCCAGTCGCGGTAACCCGGAATGGGTGGTGAATGCGTCGGGCGGTAGTGGTGTAGGAAAGGCTGGCAAGGAGACTTGACTCATTGGCATTGAACATGTTCTTGCGGGTATCAATGTACTGAACCAATGCGGCCACGTTATTCTTAAGTGCAGACTGGGATCTCGCAGAAACAGTGACGGTATGCACAGATCGAGGATCCTCGCCTTTGCGCTCGCGCAGAGGGCTATCTTCAATCAACAGTGCAGTGTTTCCGCCAGCTGCTGAGAAGTTGTTGACAAAGCTCTTGCGCTTACCACCCTCAGGACGGTTCCAGGGAGTTGGTTCCATAGCGATGTGAACGTTTCGTTGCGCCAAGTCCGTGGGGAAGTTCTGATTGATCTTGTTCTTAATGCCACAGTGGGGCGGGATCATATTCTTCTGCATCATGACGAGGACCTTGATCAAGGCTGAAACACCCGAAGCGGATTCTCCGTGGCCAATGTTGGACTTGGCTGAGCCAAGATGAAGCGACTGTGCTGGCCCACGGCGATAGTCTGGAGCAAAGACCCCCAACACTGATTCCATCTCCACGGCATCACCGGCCTGGGTTCCAGTGCCATGCATCTCTATGTAGCTGACTTCCTTGGGATCAATGTCGGCCTCATTGAGCAGCTTGTCAAAAATGAAAGACTGAGCGCCAGCAAGGGGCCGAGTTATAGAGACAGCCTCAGCCGAGTGGTTGGTGTAAGCTCCATCAATGACACCATATATCGGGTCATTGTCGGCATACGCATCCTCAAGTCTCTTGAGAACGACTGAACCAATACCGTCAGCTCGGCAGTAGCCATCGGCACCATCATCGAAGGTGTTGCAGTTTCCGGTCCGCGAGAGAAAGTGGCCACGGTCAAGACCAGCGTGATTGTCCGGGTTTGTCAGGATATTGACACCACCCGCCACTGCAGAATCGCAATCATTTTGCCATAGAGAGTTGCATGCAACGTGAATGGCAGCCAGGCTGGACGAACAAGCCGTATCAACGCTGACACTAGGGCCGCTGAACTTGAAGTAATAGTTGATGCGACCAGGAGTGAAAGCGCGGTTGCCACCAGGGATGAAGTAAGTGTCAATGTCCTGACCACTGTTGATCTCACGATAGTCATCACTAGTCATTCCGTAGAACACACCAACTCGGTTCTTTTGCGTGGATGGAGTACTGTCTGGAATGAAGCCGGCCATCTCAAATGCTTCGTAGGCAGTGAGAAGGGCAAGGCGCTGTGCAGGATCTGCCTGCAGGGCCTCACGAGGCGACATGTTGAAGAATCTGGGATCGAACAAACCGGGTTCGTTGATCCAGCAACCATATTGAACTTGGCTCGTGTTTCTCTTCTTTCCATCCATGTCGACGTGAGCCTTCACATCCCAGCGCTCTGGAGGCACTTCACGGTGAACGTCGAGTCCCTTGTACAAAAGGTCCCAGAAAGCTTCAGTGTCCGGGGCTTCGGGGAATCTTCCAGAAAGACCGATGATGGCAATCTTGGATTGCTCGGAGCGGCCAGTGTGGTTGTCACGTTCCGTGTCCTTCTTCACATCACCAATGGAGGAATCAACCTCGAGGTTTGAGATTCCAGCCTTCTTTAATGACGTGTAAAGGCTTTGTGTTGCAGTGGTGGAGATAGGAAGCAGGGAACACTTCAAGTCTGTTGACTTCAATATTGAAGAACAAGAGTCGATGACCTTATCCCAGCAAAGCTGCCGTAACAGAATCTCCTCCAGTGAAATCTTCAAAAGGTCTTCCATATTTCCGGCCTCTATTGGCTTTCCCGTCTCAACTGAAAGGATCGGGATTCGAGGCACATATTTCTCAAAGTCCTCCTTGGGCCAGAAATCCATGATTCGGTTGATATCTCTCGCATCGTACAAGTGGGCGGCATGGTAAGGACCGTGGATTGGGGCCCTGGTAGGCTTGTGTTCCTTGGAGAGGCATTCATCGATGAACTTTCCGAGGGAGGAAGGTGGGCCACTGATAGTCACACCATTTTGGCTGATCGCACTGATATACGGCTCAGACACGCGAGGCAGAGCCTTTTGAGTATTAGCACTTGCTTCCTTTATTTCTTCTAATATAGAAGAGGTTGCGAGCATACTTACATGTGTTTGGGCAAAGCCTTGAATCAATTTCTGAGCCTCTGGCTCCCGGATTCCGGAGACCAAAACGGACCAGCTCGAAGATGCTCCATTTGACTCCACAAGGTCACGCACCTTGATGACGGAGGATCCGAGTCTAAGGGCCAGAACAACAGTTTGAACACCGACTGGGATGAGCTCACCCACCGTTCGTGAAGAGCTCACAGCAGCGGACGCAAGCTGACCGGTGCAAAGACCAATAATACAGCTGTCAGATCCAACAGGATAATCATGGCCAATGTCTCCGTAGTAGCTGTGAATGGTTAGTTTGCATAAATTTCCGAACTATTATTTAAAGACTTACTGGATAAAGCTTCCAAGTTGATAAATGGTCGTCAATGCACTTTCCAAAGCTGGGTTCTGTCCCGACTGTCGATACCGTGCTAGAAGATCAACAATACTCGTGAAACGAGGGAAGATCTGCCGCTGGGATGGCGACAACTGGCTGATCTCCGTCCGCAACCCATGGTAGCACTTCTGGAAGAAGGCCTTCAGTAAAGAGTTATTTTTGGCATGAAGCAGGCGGCGAAGGCCCGAGTCAAAGTCGGCAGTCTGATCTCCGAAGAGATACACACGCCTGGGGCTTTCCATTGTCAAGGCCTGATGCCAGTCAGGGGTGCGAAACTCAACGGAGAAAAAAGAAAAAAAAGGTTCAAGGACCAGCGCAAAATACTGGGGGTAATACTTTATACATGGAACGGTGGGAGTATTACTCTACGGGGCAGATTTAGGTCCAAGGGTCCACGTCCGCTTGGCACATGGGATAGAATTTTCGCAAAAGCCTTTCATCCCTGTTTTTTCTCTGCGTGGCAAAGCTACATGGGGATTCTGAGCTCACCACGGTATGCTTGCGCCATGGAGCATATGGAGCATGGCCCGGGTACCACTCCGATCGACCGGGAAATGGAATCCATCTAGACAAACCAATGGCACGGTTACTGTCTTCTTGCTAAGAGAGACCAGAATAGTGACAGAGTGGACCTCAAGGCTGTGCAGTTCCCTGGATGTTCCCGATTGGACCCTGAGTGCAAACTACCGATTGACAAAGGCACCGGGAAACCGATGATAGCTTCTTGCTTCCGACGACCGTTTGCGGATGTGACAACTACCGAACCAAGCCTAGGTTATGGACTAAGACCGTTGGAACACTGTCCATGACATATTACCAATTTAAATGACCGGAACAAGCATTGCATATAGGGAAAATCCCGGCGATTGTTGCAATCATAGGATGTTGTCGCCGCTTTCAGAAGGTTACAGCCGGAGTGATCCATGATCACGTGACTACGTTGCCCTATGTGTCGCTCAAGGGTTGCCTCATGGGCGAACTACAATGAGGGCTTGAAAGAAAGACAGAGGTTGGGAGTCTAATTAAGTTCCATTGAACTTCTATCAATGACCTTTATAAGCATTTTCCATAAAGAAAAGGGCACAAATGGCGCAAATGTTATGCTATATCAAAATATATTTTCAATCAGAGGTGACCCAATTGGAATGCAACTGCACACAAAATAAGTACATTCTCAGTGGATCCAAGAAAAAAACGTATCCCGATGTGTAGATCCCTTTGAGGTATGTACCATGCGAGGGTATACGATACGTCATGACTTCCCTCCCTTCAAAGATTTTCGAGCAGGTCAAAGAAAAGCGCGTGCGTGGCGTCGATCGCATTCTAGAAAATTCTTCCTCCCAGATCTATATGTAGCTGCTCAATTTTTATTATCTTGGCATGCTGTTAGCGAAGAGTTTTAAGCGTGGAGAGCACGCTGTCAGTTCAAATGGACCATTATCGAAGTGCGGCCTTGTAGTTGTCAAACAAATTAAACTCTCGTCCAGAGCCCGGTAAGTTTAATCCTCGACCAGCTGAAGGTGAAAGTGCTAGTGTCAGACGTTTCCAGAGCTCATATGGTCCCTCATAGGTAGGTGGGTCGGGATCTACATCAATCGAGGTGGGTCAGCGGCAACGGACCGCGATTTCCACAGAGAGTAAAGAACGCAGATAGAAAGCCCTTTGAAGAAGAAGCGTTAAGATATTAGTGAATTAATTTTTAAAATGCCAGAATATTGGTATCGCAGATAATATGGACCATCAGTGCTGAGTGAGGTCAGTGAAATACATGCGCCTCAAAAGTATTAACACAATCCGAATGTGCAACGAGGGCGAACTGCCAGTGACGAGCCTGATACTCCCCGCTTCGGCGAGATGACTGCTGAACGGGCGTATCAGAGACCTCACTAGCCTCTGCGATGACATCAATCACTTCAACGTTCTTCAGCTGAATTCAATGATGGTGTTGAGGCTCATGCCAAGAGCCTCCGTAAGGCTCCACCTTATCATCTGTAGGGGTTGCCTTGGGCGGAGGTCTCCGCGTATACAATGGCGTCGAGGAAGAGGTGGGTGTGGATGTGGACTGAGGCTTAGGGATGCTGCTGTGAGGGGGCTGTCCTTGATCAGCGCCTGGACTTTGGTCCTCACCGGCAGGCACCTGAGGCCATACATCGACGCCGTCAAGGAGTGCAACCGCCATGCCATTGGAAAGGTGCGTCTCAATGTGACAGTGGAAAAGGAATGGGCCAGGGTTCACTACCTGATATCGCACAATCATCCAGGTAGGACCCGTGGGGCCAATTGTAACAAAGGTATCACGCATTTGAGGGTTGTCCAACTGGAATAGATCGGGGCGTTCGGCGTAGGCCTCTTCGGTGCTGGCCCAGTGGAAGAAACCAGGTCCAACACCTAGAATGAATCCCTTGTTGGAGTGCTTGTGCATGACATGGGGGGCTTGAATAGCGGGCGTGTTAGGCATATCACCCAGCTGCAAAAGAAGGTCGACCCAAGTGCCGTTCTTGGTCTGAATGGTAACCTGGTCGGCCAAGTTGTTTTTGGCATCCAGATCGTAGAGAATGGGGTCATCCCAGTTTGCCATCACATCGTACAGGGCATTTCCAGATGCAGTCCAGGTGTAAGAAGATCCCCAGCGGCCCAACGTCAGGTTGACAAGCTGATCCGCATGTTTGGGGATAGTAACCGGAGGGTAGGGCTTCATAGCTCTCTGGTCCAAAGCCTTGACTGAGGCGGAAGTGTTTCGGCCCCCGTAATCCACATAAGGTTGAGAGGGATAGATGTTATCAGAACCCTGATACCGCATGGTCGCGAAACCAGAAATGACCTGATCACCCTGGGTGTCAGGGACACGGATGGTGTAGTCCTTATAGGGCTTGTCAAGCTTGACCATGGCCGCATAGCGCTCTCCATTAAAAATAGCGACACTTTCAGCCAGCTGTGGCTCAATGTAGCTTCCATCCACCTCGTAGATATACATCGGGTGCTCGTCGATGGAGAACATGAGTGCCTTCATAGCGGCAGCGCTGATAAACTTGAAACTAACCCAGCCATGGTCGGCATTGACTTTGATGATCTCGTGCGATCCGGTCGTGGGCTTGCAGCCAGAGTTGAGACCCTGAGGGACTTTGGCTTCGTTGGTCGGAGGGAAGTCACCTTGGGTTTCGTAAATGTTCGGCAGACATCTGGGATAGGGGCAAAACTTCAGTCTCATGATCGCAGGACCCTCGGGAAAACAACTTACCCCTTATCCGTCAAAGGCTGGTTGTCAATGGCAGACTTCAGGTAGGGCAGTTCTACACTGGAAATGTTGGTAGTTCCAGGACAGTACACAGCACCGCGACCGTTGATAAGAATACTATCCATGCAGCTACATCGCCATCAGCGTCCTGTTGTTATCGAAGAGTACTGTCAAAGCTCACAAAATATTGATACCAGAATCCTCCTGAACTTTTTGGTACTCCGCAGCCGTCAAGTGATCCCAATCAGACAGCATGACAAGGTGAGGATTCTTCTCTGCTTTCTGCATCGCCGCAATGTCGGTGGGATTGGTCGATATCAGGTGGAAAGGATCAAGGGTCTCGGGACCCGGACTAAAACTATTAGTATCATATAAAACATTATTGGACAGAGGAGGGCTTACTTGATCCAAATTGGACCATAAAGGCCGTCCGCTAATTCGGAACGGGCATGGGCGTGGTACCAGTAGGTTCCATATTGAGTAGCCTTCCACCGGTAGGTCCAGCTGCGGCCGGGCTCAATTGGCTTTTGCGTCAGGCCGGGAACACCATCAGACCACGGAGTGTTATGTTGCTCGATGCCGTGGAAATGAATGGAGGTGTTAAAGGGCATGTTGTTGTGAACGACAAACTAAAGCTCGTTGGTTAATTGACCTCAACAAGTACGTGACCGGAAAATGAAGCTCACCTCAACATCATCACCCTGATCAATTCGCAGTTCCGGCCCAGGGAACTGATCATTCATGAAAATCATTTCTCGGGCATTGCCATCAGGCGCTCCCTTTTGCCAAGTGAGATTCAAGTCGAAGTGGACACTTTTCGCCCATGCCAAGGGCACGAGCCCGATGGCCAGAATAGTCTTCAATGGCGCCATTGGGGTTGCTAACCACTTGGAAATCGAGGCAAATGTAAAACGAGTGATATAAGTGCTTCACACTCAGTCAATGGGCTTGGCCAGAACTGGGTCGAGGATAAACAAAGGTGACTGTCAATCTAGAGTATAATAGCTCCTAGGGGATCTGGCATTTTAACAGTTTAAGCTATCGCCCTTTCGTGGCATGCAGATCCAAAGCAGTCAATTCTTCAGAGTGCCACAATGCAAACCGATCCAAGTCCGCAAACATGTTTCCATATTCGACAAACCGGGGTAGGGCTAGGGCTTGCCATAAGAGTTTGACGAATGTACAAAATGGCAACTATAGACAGCTTCATACTCCGTTCGGAATGTTGATGTGGCTGGGGAAGACTGGAATACAACAAAATTTTCCTTTTTGGCTCGGCCCGAGAGATCATTCGGAGCCTCAGCCGAGTTGTGCAGCGAACTTCTGGGCTATACGCGCATCCATTGGACCATGGCAGCCAGACAGTAACCTTATGCAAGGGACGGTGCTCGACTTCCGCCTGCGGAAAATTGTTTTGATGTGGCTGGGCATTCTTGGTGTCCGTTAGAATGCAATGTTTCCCGATGCGGTGCAGCCGGCATGGAGCGGAACAAACGATGATCTCCCAAGAGACTGGCCTGTCATGACTTCGTAGGAGAAGTTTTTCCGACGAATGGAGTGTACTTGAACTCGGCAGCATAATATGGCCGAGAATTGGAGATGAAGTCTGGAAGGGCTTAAAAGCGTCGTTTTGAGCATTCACAATGAATGATAACCTTGCAGTAGCGCTCGTGGGTCGCCCCAGCTTATATGAAAGCGAAAATAATGTTCTTGTCCACTGACAGTGTCCTGTTCAATATTCCGAAGCATCTCCATTTGGAGATATCTAGATACGCCTCAGGATAATTACAGAAATATCCAAAGACTACTACGGGTGCATCAAGCCGGGTGATCTTGATAAGAATGCCTAGAAAAAGCTATATATTTTGTCGAGTCAACGATTCAAATGCATTCTGTTGCCGAGGGCTATGTTTCTTGGCCCCCAAAGGCGGGGGAGCGGGAGGTTGCTAAGGCCAACTTGCGGCGACAATCGAACCATGGACCAACGGACGGGATGGAGCTATGCAACCAGGAAAATATCTTCGGATATGTCTGGAATAGTCAGATCGCATGCACAAAAATCATCGATGTAACCTATCCTATACATCAAAAAGTGTAAAAATGAGAGCCTCATGCCCTGGAAACCAGAGCGATGACCACAAGGTATTAAGCTTATCGATAAGCCAGGACTCCGCCCGCTAGTCCCGATCGGGCCACCACGTAAACAACCCGACTCAGCTCGGGCCTCACCGTAGGATCCTGGCCTTCTCTCTCCCTGCCCTTTCCTCCTGTCGCATTTCCTCTTTGGCACTTCTTTGATTACTTTATACACAATCTCTTTCACCGCTTTTCCACAATGCTCGTTGCATGAACCCTTACCATCCCTGTCGTGCGAACCTCGCCCCATTCGACTTTCCAGCTACGTCGGAACTTAGAAGTATCCCCGACAACACGCCCACCCATTGCTGCAAAACACATTCGTATTGCAATCGCCGAATTCGACCTGATCACTGACGCAAGATCAGCTTTTAACTCCAGCTCTGGTGGTGCGACCAGCCACACTAGCACCCGTCCCTCGCGATGGCGCTCAGCGCACCCCAGCTGCCATCGCGGTTTCCGTGTTGGTGCCGAGCTGTTTATTCATGGGGCGGAGAAACAAATCGAGACCTGGGATTTGTGGAGGGAGACCTGATCGAATGCCTGAACGCAGGAGACGGGCAATGGTGGATGGGTCGCTTGCGGCGTGATAGACGTGCTGTTGGGCTCTTCCCATCGAACTTCGTCGAGCTCATGAGCGACGACTTTGTGCCAATTAGCCGGGATACCAGCCCAATGGTCTTATCTGGTTCTTCCCCCATTCATAATCCCACGTCCGCCCCGAAGAAAGCAAAAACCGTCTTTCGAAAGCCCTTCCAAGCGCACAAGGAAGCATTGTCTCCTGCATCAGAGCTCGCAAGGAGCGGGTCCAACACTCCAGTCAAGAGCTCGATACCCCAAACGCCCCCTCGTGATGGTGCCGGAGTTCCTCGAAGTGTGAAGCCTTTGCGCACCCATGCGTCTGCGGTCAAGAATCAAAGTCCCTTGTCTCGTCCGTCCTCTGTGTCTTCTCGACCCTCATCTCGCGGCGTTTCCCCAGCTGTATCTCCTCGCGCGTCAATGGAGCCGGAGCGCTCACCTTCCGCCATCATGCCTCGAGGGAGTATCTCGTCCTCACGCCCATCCTCCCGAGAAGTGTCGCCAATGTTCCTGCAAGAGCGCGAGGAGTCGCCCCCTCCACCTCCACCTCCTCCACATCGCGTGGCTATCAGTCGGCCACCTTCCCGATCCCCTCAACCTCCCTCGTCTCCGCAGCCATTTATGTATCAACCGTCCCATTCACCACAGCCATATATGAATCAACCGTCTCGTTCGCCACAATCGCCCATGCATCAACCACCGCGGTCTCCTCAACCATACATGTATCGAAGGTCACCTTCTCCGCAGCCGTATATGCATCAGCGGTCACCTTCTCCGCAGCCACCAATACATCAACGGACACCTTCTCCTCAGCCGCCTATGCATCAACCGCAGCATCTTTTGCACTCTCCGCAACCTGCAACGCACACTCCAAAGCCGCCACGTTCTCCTAATCCTAAGCCTTTGAGTATGAACGATCGTTATGTGATCTTTGCGCGCACCCCCTCGCCAGGGGCGCTTTCCACCCATTCGGCTCACTCAGCTATTTCGGCGCAATCAGATACAAACGGTAATACCCCATCACCGCTCAGAGATGCCATGGAAGATATTATGACTTCATTGGAAGATATGGGGCTACCACGCCAAGCTTCGCCCTCTCCTCATCATGCACCTTCGCCTTCTCCACCGCCGACATTCAACAATCCCTGGTCGGGAGATGTGTATGACGATAGCAATGACAGAACGCCGCCAGGTAACAGGCGTCGTCCCTTGACTTCAATGGGCTTTGATGGGCATAACCAGCAGCCTCATGGAGGGTTGGTACACAGGAACAGCGTCTATTCACATGACTATCATGGTGATGGGCCTCCGCAACTGAACAATTATGTGCAAAGGATGGAAAGCCGTCTCCGTCAATTGGAGGACCAGAATCGGCCTCCCGAGGACGAAACAGGACCGATTGTGGACGACGATGTACCGCCGCCGCCGCCTCCCAAACATGCCACTTATCATCCGCGACACAATTCTATTCCGGCTCAGTATCCACATCTTCGATCCAGAAGGTCAGGTCAAGATCCCCGAGGAGACATTCTCAACAGAACTTTCACCAACAAGTCAAATGCCACCAGCTCTAGTGGCATTCAAAGTATTGGTACCCAAATGACTACCAGTACGGACAAGACGAATCAGAGCATGATGAGTGGCGCTTCAGCTGGTGGCTTCAGTGCAACGAGTGCGGGAAGCTACGCAAGACGTAATGCTGGTCATGAGAGACCTAACACGGCCATGGATACCGTTCGTTCTCGAGGCTTCAGTGATGTTGGGAACACGGAACGCCCGGAATCTCCAATGACTGGCATCTCGTATCACTCTAGTCATAATACTTCTCGTCAGGGGGCTTCTTCTGCTATTCCATGGTCAGCTGCGGATCACGATGCAGGTGACTCGGGTGGGGTGTTTGGTGGGCTTTCCACTCCCAAGACTAAGAAACAAGGGTTCTTTAAGAAGATTTTTGAGTCCGCGAAGACTGGTGCGGCTAGCGCAAGAAGCAGCATTTCGGTTGGTCATAATGGTAGCTCACCATCTCCGACAAAGGGCCACAGGGTGGTTGATACGATATCCCCTCTCCTCACCTCGCGAGAATCGGCGCGTGATAGTTCTCGAGACATGGGTCTCGGTGCTAGTGCCATTGACTGGGTCCAAGTTCGCCGAGACGTCAACCGCGCATCGTCTCCTAGTAGGAACGAGCGGATTGAACGAGCTGAACGCTGCCAGATGATGGATCATCCAGTGATTTACGCAGTCGAGGAACTTTATGATACTGCAGAGGGTGACGAAAGTATTGATGGGCTCCCGATCAGCGAGCCCACAAACTTTGACAGGGCAAATCTTTCTCTCGTCGACAAGGGCGCACGCTTCATCAGCAGCCTTCCCCCCACGACAAATCCCATGAGCCTTGCTCAAGGTTATATCACTCGCCCCTACAAGAGTGATGTTCAACGGCTTCGTGCTATCTTCACATGGGTCAGTGAAAAGATCGCTTGGGAAGAGCCCGTCGACGGTCTCGATGTCGACATGAAGAGAGTACTGCACGCTAGACGCGGTAGTCCCCAAGAAATCGCTCTTCTGGTACACGAAATGTGCGCCTCTGTTGGTCTTCACACCGAAGTGATCCGTGGCTTCCTTAAACAGCCTGGTGATTCGCTGGATCTTGACAGTCTCTCTCGTCCCAACCATTGGTGGAACGCTGTCCTGGTCGACGGAGAATGGCGCATCATGGACTGTGCCCTGGCAAACCCGACAAATCCTCAAAGAAGCCGGTTCGTGACGAACAACTCTTCTGTGGCGGAAAGTTGGTACTTCCTCGCTCGCCCGCTCGACATCTGCTATACCCATGTTCCTCTTTACCCCGAGGAGCAACACATTTGCCCTCCAGTCTCACCAGATGTCCTATTGGCACTACCGGTGGTGTCCCCGCAGTACTTTAAGCTGGGCGTACAGATCCCAGACTACGATACCAGTTTGATGCGGATTGAGGGACTGGAGTGTATGCAAATCCGTCTCGTGGTGCCACCAGACGTGGAATGTGCTGCCGAAGTCGAGTCACCTGCGTTTGCCCGCGACGCCGATGGTGACTTCTTTGAAAGCGGCGACATTATCCGCAAGCGAGCGTTGGTCCAGCCGGACTGGTTCCGTGGTCAGAAACGCATCACTGTCAAGGCTGTTCTGCCAGGCGACGAGGGACAAGGTGTATTGAAAGTATATGCCGGCAAGAAGGGTCTTATGCACACCAGCCGAGACATTCCACACCCTCTGGCTCTGGCTCTTCCGATAACGCACACCGGAGAGAACCCACCCTACGACTTCGTGCTTCGCCATCCGACACCGCATGCCCAGCGCCATGATCTGTATATTATGCAGCCGCAGTGTTCGCGTCTGGCAGTCAACAACACCTTTGTCTTCGCCATCCGCCAGCACCCTTCGTCGCCAGGAGTCCCCTCAAAGGATGACTATTCATCGAATGGATGTGCCTCCCCATCGGTGTTCAACCGTCCCTCGAGCGCACTGAGCATGGTATCGAGCACTGCGGGTGGCTCAACCGTATCGAGCAACTCAAACGAGTTCTCTGCATCCACCTCCGCCATCTCGTCTACCAGGTCGGCTTCCGGACGTGAGAAGCCAGCTAAGCTGGCGATCCAGTCTCCCTCTGGCAAGATTCTGCGTCTCACCCGAAAGGCAGATCACATGATCGGCAACGACAACCCATCCGACTCGGTGACAGATGCCGCCGCGGAGGGCAGTGTATGGGAGACCGTGATCAAGATTGGCGAGCGAGGTACCTGGCGCGGTCTAGTCCTCGCCGACCGAGTCGCACGGTGGTGTGTATTCTGTGAGTGGGAGTGTGTCTGATAAACGAGCATCATTGGAGTTGAGCTGTCCACTTTTCGATTGTGATAGAATCTACCGGGGTGGTTTATTTGATGGTTATTTGAATTCTGTTTGCATATTTTGCTGCTGTCCTTCGCGCCAGCGTTGTCTTTTTATGGGTTTTCTTTTCTCGTTTTGCTACTGGCATTTGCATCAGGTTGGCTTGGAGCATTGCATATATTGCATTTCCATCTTCATTTCTAGCAGACATATTTGCCTCCTGGTCTGCAGTGTTTGGCATTCGGATAAATCGGGTCTTGCCAGAAAAATAAATAAACACCTAACCAAATTTTTTCTTTTCACCATGATAAGTCGAAGTGTGTAAGAGCTTGCGTGTCGCCCGATGTGGAATGTTGATGTGGGATGCGAAGAAGACAAAAAATTCGAGAAACCCCACAGCTTTCTTGACTATGCCAGAAAGGTCGCGGGAAGGTCTGCTCTAAGGCTCTCCATCTTCAGGTCCGAAGAGGACAGCGAACGGCTACAGGCGAGTCGAATAGAGGATAGCACGTCACCGATAATTTATACTAAGCATGTAAAGTAGATATCATAGACTGGCCACCGCGTTTCGCAACAGCGGTGCTACCTGCTTCCTACTGGCAGTCGTATTTGTCTGCAGCCACAGGCGCCTCCAATGACCCGAGTTTCCATCCAGCGTAGACCGAATCTCATGTTCTGTCGAGTCCGGGCACTTGCAGTCCACCGGTGACCATCGCTCCAGACCGAGGTGTGACCCTGCCTGCTCAACGAATGCCTCTGCCGCCTTGACTGCAGCATCGCAATCACTCATTGCGCAAACGAACAGCTCTCGAGAGAATTCATCCTCGGCGGAGGTGAACGAGGTCATCACAACCACCACATCCAGCTTTTTGCCGGCAGCAAATGCACGTACCGCATCCAGGAACTGCTGGGGCTCGCCCGCCTTCTCAACGATCCAACGAATCGGCTTGACCGACGAACAAAAGCCGAGCTTGACGGATTCCCCAGATGAAGAGGTCTCGGACCAGTCCTTGTAGTCTCGATCGAGAACTTCATCCAAAGTCAATAAATCCAGACTGTTTGCCTTCGCCGAGTGAATCTCTTCGTAGAAAGCCTCTGCGTCCCACTTCGGGTCCTCCTTGGCAACCTGCTCGCGAAGGAACTTCACGGCCTGTATATCCACATCCGTGACCTTCCCTTCAGCCGTCAGATTCGAAGTGTCGATCAGAATTGCGGCCAGTGCCAGCTTCGCCAGCTGCGCGCTTTCGGCGGACGACGCGTCTGCGGCCCAGAGACCGCGTCTGACTAATTCATTGGTGATCAGGGACGAACACGACCCCGGGCCCGGCTGAATTATCAAGGGTTGGTTGGCAGGGAGGGAGTCTTGGCTAGGTACGAAGTGCTCGTCGACGTGGTGGTCGATACACCCCACCGTACGGAAAGACACCCCGGATAGACCAGCCACCGAGCCATGTCCCTTCTGCCCCCCCACGCGATGGGGCATCGCATTCCAGTCAACCATGGTCGCATCTGCAACGAGACATTTCGACGTCGTATGTTCCTGTAGACTCTGTGCAAAGTCCGCAACTGTAACTATGTGCTCCCGCAGGACCTTCCCCGCCGACTCGGAGGAATTTTCGAAGCGCTCGTCGGGTGTCAGGGAGGGGAAGCCAGTTGATAGCCATAGTGCGGTGACAAATTCTGGGCGCAAGCGATACAGCTCGGGGCCACTGGGCACACCGGGGAGGTTAAGGAGTGGTACATGGGGGCATGGGGTTGTGCTAGGGAGACGGGTGCTGGCACAATACGAGTACACAATGGCGGAGATGATGGAGTCGAGATCGGCGGAGGGATTGCCCAGGACATATACTGGAGGCTCGGACAATGCACCCGATGGGAATTGGAGATGCACCTGGCGTGCCTGGCGCAGGAACTGGAGGAGGGTCATGGCGTGAGGGAGTTGAGGTTATGTTGTGGACTTGATATGCGGCTACGTCACCGGCGACAGATATCAGATCCCCCGATATCAACGCTGTATTCTCCATTCACGACCCGCTGTCCGAGGCATGTTCAAAATGGCTCAAAATCCATATTTATCTTCGCAGCTGTCGAGAATATCCAGGCCTTCTGAACAATTAAGATCAATTGTTCGTCTACCTGGACCATTCGCCGAGCTTCCTCGTCACCCAATCTTGTACAACCACCCTTCACCAATCCATCCACTGCCCTCTCTATCAGTCAACCCCCAAAGTCCAAACCACCCTCGAATCAACATATACGCCAAGCGTGAAGACCATGGATCACCACTCGCATGCGCAGGTAACAAATACCGCAAGCTCGAATACATCGTGCCAGACATCTTATCCTCCACACCAACATACCATTATCACGAACATCACCCGACAACACTGAAACTAGATGGCCCAGCAACCATCCTCGTAACCGAAGGCGCAATCCAAAGCAACCACACCGTTCAAGTCGCAGCACTTGCGCGTACTCTAGGCCTCAAGGCAATAGTCCTTCTTTCCCGCGGCACGGGCGGCGGCCTTCGCGCCAGCCAAAACCGCGATTCCTTCCTTCGTTCGGGGAACGTACAGATCAACCGACTTATCGGAGCCGAAGTGCGGATCCTGAATGAAGGCGACCCGGCTGCCATTGATGCCAACCCTATCCTCGAAGAACTCCGAGCGAGCGGGGAAAGACCCTACTGGATTCCCGGAGGCGCAAGTCTCCATGCGCTCGGCGGCCTGGGGTACGCACGCGCAGCATTTGAGATTGAAATGCAGGAGCTTGAATTGAATCTCGAGGGCTCAGGCAGATTCGATTACATCTTTGTGGCCTGTGGTAGTGGAAGCACTGTTGGTGGACTACTTGCTGGATTTAAGCTGGGAGAAACAGGGCCGAGACAGGTCATTGGTGTTTTGAACTCACCAACCAAGCCGCGATCGTATCACGCAGACCGAGTCCTAAGCTTTGCAAGGCGGGCAGCGGCACAGATTGGGTTTGATGGAAATGATAGGCCCAACGCAGAACAGACGATTGCTATGGATGATGTGCGGCTGGAAGATCGGTTTGTGGGGACTGGGTATGGAGTGCTAGATGTGGAGACCACGGAGGCGATGCGGATCATGGCGCAGTCAGAGAGTATCATTCTAGACCCGGTGTATACGGCCAAGGTGGCTAGAGCGATGATGCACTGGGTGAGAGAAGACAAGATACAGGAGTTTGCGCGACAGCGTGGCCTGGAAGATGTGAATATATTGTTCATCCACACAGGAGGTCAAGCTGCATTGGGAGCATACGCGGATGTGATCTAACAGTTTTATCAACTACTTTGGGTAACGAGAATAGACTCCAAGGTCTAGTTAACAATGGCTGCGTTCAACTAGTATTACAGGGTGACTGGCAACAGCAAAAGTCAACAAAGCAGACTGCTTCGATCATCACAAACATAGCCTTAGCTGGCCTGGGAAATAGGAAATAGAACACACAACCGAAGAAAGGTAGTAAACGCTGCAAAACTCCGCGGACATCACCCAGTCCTGACCCTTTAATATGGACCCCTGTTCAAAAAAAAGAAAACACAATCGAGAGGAGAATCTGATAAGACAAGAACAAAAGCTCAAGAATGAACCTCCCAAGACTGTCAGAGATAAAACAAAGGAAGGAAAAAAAAAAAAGAAGAAAAGAAAAAGAAGAAAAGAAAAAAAACCACGCCAGTGGTTAGCGATACAATTGGCCGATCAGAGCTCTGGCTCCGGGTTGTCTTTCCTAGCCGCGGCCTGTTCAGTGGCAGGTGGAACGTCAGCACTAGTAGCGGGCTCGTCATGAACGGAGCCGGCGCGACTAGTGCCGTTGCTCGCATTCAGAGCTTCAAGAGCCTCGGTGGCATGAAGGTTCTCCATGGCCTCGGCATCGGGCTCAGCGTCCTCCTGGTTGGTAAGGTCTGCGAAAACGTCGTCCAGATCCTGACGCGGACTGCTGCTGACGAACTGAGGCTCGCGGCCGCCAAAGCGCGGGGAACTGAAGAGAGAGGTTTCCATGCCCTGCCCAGCAGGCGACGGAGAGCGTGGGAGAAAAGTCGGAGATGATGGTGCGGCCGCCGCATGGGGCAGGAAAGCAGACGAGGTTGGTGCAAAGGCCGGAGTAGAGTCGCTGGCTGGTAAGGAGTAATTGGCGGAGAAGGGATATGGGGCAGCGCTAGGTTCCGCCATGGGAGTCAGGGCAGGCCCAGTGGTGGGAGGCTGGCTGTCGCCTGGGGTCGGCGGCGCGGGCTGCAGAGATGGACGAGGAGTTGTTTGAGTTGCATCGACCGACTTGCGCTTGGTAGAGATCATATGCTTCGTACGCAGGTGCTCTGGGAGGTCTTCAAGACGATCCACACCAAGCTGAGCCATGATTTTTTGCTGCTTGGTCGGGCGTGGCTTCCGAGTCGACAAAGACTGCTCCAGAATCGGCGGGGGTTCGGGCGCAACAGGAGCCCATTTGTGAATCTCCTGTCGGAAGAAATTCGTCTCGTAGGTCAAGAGAACCTCGGCACCTTCGATTTTCCGCAAATAAAAGATCAAAGTAGGTACTTCCTCAGTGGTGGTGCAGGCAGCGTTGGTGAAGCCCTGCAGGAAATCACGGAAGGCGAGAGCTTGATTGACAATGCTGTCCAGGACCTCTTCCTCGTCAGGCTGGAAAGGCAGGTTGGGAATCTCTGCGTGCCAGTCCTGGAGATCCTCCAACTTGGGACGGGCTGCATCGCGAGGGATCTTCTGTCGCCAATCGCAGATAGGGCAAGTGTACTTGTCGAACTCCTTGACTTTGCCTCGTGCAATCTTGAGACATTTACCATGATACCTGCGTAATGAACTTGTTAGCGACCACAGTTTAGAGATTTTCAAAAATACCTTAACTTACCACTCATGACAGACTTCGCATTCAATCATCATGCCTGCCTCCGAGTGTCGGCAAATGCAGAACACATCTCGCTTCCGCGACTTGGGGCCCCACACATTACTTGGGGCGTTTTCAAGTAGCCCTTCTGGACTGTTGTCTCGCGAAGAAGGCTCCACAGGGGGTCGATAACTGTCTTCAAGATCGAAACAGTACGAGTTGCGCTTTTCGACATACTCCATGTGTGATTTGAGGATGTGGAGGGGAGCATTTGCCTTTCCGAAGAGCTTCTTGCCTTTTCGCATCCAGTCCTCGTGCCGTTTCTGTTCGCGTTCCAAATCAATGGCCCCGATGGGTCGGCTGTTAAGTTGCTCCAAAGACTCCGTGAGCTCACGAACGTCCTTGTACCTGGGCCGGTTTCTCAGATCATTGTCTTTGCTCTTTTCATACAGGGTCTGGATCCGCTTCTGTGCTTCTCGCTGTTTGGTCAAGATAGCATCAACAGCGGAAAGAGTGTCTGGGGAAACAGGGAAACGGGATGCTTGCGCGGAGAGCGCCTCCAATTGCTGGTAGTGAACGGCCTCCACTGACATCAGTTCTTGGGCCTTGGCTTCCCAGGCTTCACCATGACGGCGGAGTTCCTTGAAATGGACTAGATGCTCGTTGGTATCGGAAATACCAAGCTGCTCACCCGCGGCAACGAATTCCTGGCAATCCTTGAGGGAAAGGTACTTGTCACGCTTGCCAGTGGCCTCTTCGGTCCACTTCTTTTGACGGTGGATTTGCTCCAGGTGTTCAACTTCCGGCATTTCCACGTTGAAGTTGCGGCCGGCTTCCAAAAGATCCTCAATCTCCTGGGCGGATCGTACGGAGGGGTTCATCAGGGCAACGTTAATGTCCTGGCGGAATTTCTCGATCTCGCGGGTCTTTTCTTCCAAAGCCGCCATCTGTGGACAGTCGAAGGAAAGTTTATCAGCCTCTGCCAGAAGGGCGTAGATGTGATCCACTCTGCGGACTTCACGGTCTCGATCGTCCAGCTGCGCAGCCTTGGTACTGGCTCTGCGCCACGCCTTTTCGTTTTTTCTCCGATTCTGCTGCTTCCGGGTAATGTAGTTGTTTGCTTCCTCAACCCATTTATCGCAACGCTGGACGAAAGCCGCAAGGTCTTGGAGGCCAGGCAGGTGGTACGGGATTTTCTCACCTTCACTGAGCAAGTTATGGAGAGCCTTTAACTGGGGCTTCGGTTCGTCCTCTAGGGTCTTGTCGAGCTTTTCTCCCCAAATTTCGGGGGCTCTAGCTCGCTCCTGAGCCTTTTGGACAGCCGCTTTCAGTTCTTCGTCACTCACGCGGTAGCGGAGAGTATGATCCGGTCCCAATAACTTCTGGGGAAGAGAGTCACCACAGCAGTCATAGGCTTCCACGTGCGACAAGCAGAGAGTTTTGCCTGACTTGTGGCAGCGGAACTGAGTTAGGTAAGCGTAAGCCTTGCACTGTTGGCACTGATAGTCATCCTCGGGAAGATCCTCCTCCTCCACTATAAACTTAAGTTGACAATCACCCGCCGAAGACTCGGCGCCAATCCTGCAATTATGAGGCACAATTTCCTTATGGCGAGAGAGGAATGCTGCCCGTTCGCCTAGTTCTCGGTTAGTGGTTCGCTCAAGTGCAGGAGCGAGCCACTTCGCGGTCGCAATAGATGTGTCTCGGGTAGCTGCTGTAAAAAGCAGCTCATCGTGAGAGAAGCATGGGTGTCGGCGGAAAGCCTGAAGACGCTCCACACCCGCGGCACCCCAAGGCTCCCAGTCGGCGGGTGCGAAGTTGACTGCCTCGTTGAAGTTGAAGCCATGGTTGAAGCCAGCATGGTAAGCCTGAGGGAACGTGAGAACAAACTGGCCAGCTCTCTGGTCCACAGCATAGACATTAACACCAGCCTTGCGGAGCTTGTCGGGCGGCATTAGCGTAACCAGCTGGAAGAGAAGATCTGGCTGCCCCTCGAAAAGCTCCGGAACTGCCTCCCGCATAGCCGACTCGAAAGCCTCGGCATCTGCACCGGGAATACCATACCAGGTCTTGGTCGCGCCGAAATGTTGGTAATTGGCCGAGTATGCATAATGGTCCTCATTGTGCCAACAGAAAGTCGAAAAGCACATTCCAACATAAACCCATGGCACAGTCATACCGGAGATATCAGACTTGATATAACGGAAGAGCGAATCCCCATAGAAAGGAAGCACATTCAAGTTCCAAGGGTCGGACGAATATGGGTCAAGCGGGTTGCGCTCGATAGTGGGGAATCCACTGCCGTGAGTGGTCGAATGGATGTCCGCACCGTACTCAACTTCGACAGTTTCATGTAAATCAACCACAAGTTTCCAGAATTCAGCTTCAACATCGTCCTCGGTCTCGCGGCGATGCGTGTTAAGAACAGGGTCAAAAGGCATTTTCGAAGCAAAGTAACGCTTCTTGAATTCATTGGCCTTCTCTTGGAATTGCTTCAACGAGTAAACGCCACCATCTTCGAATCCAAATTCGCCGGTACCAACAAGGCACTTTGGACAATGCCAATCATTTTCGGAAGCGGCGGTAGTGGAAGGATCAAGGCAGGCAGTATGATAACCAAGCTCACAGCTCTCGCAAACAAGAATTGTATCAGGATCATCTGACTTTCCACATGATTCGCACTTCTCGCCGGTTCTCTGGATCCCGTCCTTCCGGGCCTTGGGCGGTGCAGGACGAAGGAGGGACATGTGCGAGCCCGCGACGGTGGGAAGTGAATCTAAAAGAAAGAAAAATCAGAGTCAGATCAATGAATACAGTACAGCCAAGAAGAGTCGAAATACCTTTCTTGAGACGCTTACTCCGTCGTCCACTTCCGCCATCAGCATCGCCATTTTCAGCCTGGGAGGCACTATCGTGACTGATGGCGCGCTTGGAAGGATTCCCAGCCTCGCCGTTTGCCACAGGTGTGGACCGATGCTGCTCAGCGATACTCTGCGGAGTCGAAGCGCCGTTCTCGCCCTCGCGCTTAATCGCAGGGCCATTATTCACTGTCGCAAAGCCAGGAGAGTGATTCACAGCGGTAAAGCCAGTTGCAGCATTTACTGGGGTGAAACCAGACGGCGCTGGGCGTGGAGGAGGGGTGGGTTCCACGGGTGGAGTTGGTTCCGAGGGCTGCTCATTGGGGGTGCTGGAGTTCTGGGGCATGCGGATAGCCAGGGTCTCATCAAGGATCTTCGAAGGGGTTCCGTTCTCCTCCGTGGGCTTTTTGGCCATAGGTGAGGGACGAGGCGAAGGAGTAAACGGGCCGCCGTGTTCCATTTCAAGCTGCTGTTGAACTCCGGGCTTGGCCCGGGCCAGGTACTCCTCGTACGGCTGCAGGTAACGCTGGTAGGAGTTTTTGAGCGAGGTCGACAGCGAAGACATGATCTTGCCGCTGTAGCCGAGATCACGACCAATTTCGGCCCACTTCTTAGTCTTGCAAACCTGCTCAAAACCGCCTCTGATCTCGACAGCCTTTTTGAGCTTGTAGAGATCGAGAGGGCGTTTGTCTACGCTAGGTAATCGACTGTAGTTCGTTCCGTGTTGCTTATGAAACATGGCAAGCCCATCGATGTAGTTCATGTTGGCACGGTTACCTGGATTAGAGTTAGGATTAGATGCGTCATTCGGTGTGGTTCCACCGGCATCAGCATCAGCTGAAAACGGGGTCATACCTCCTTCGACCGAGTTGAGTTCTTGTCGACGGGTTTTGAAATGAAATCGCTGTGGCAGGTATCCATAGTTAGCTGAGAATGCCGACAAGTGAGCATTTGAAAACTCGAGAAGAAGCATTCCCGGGTGTGCTGCTGCAGCCTCCGCCAGCCAACAGCAAATGCAGAGCGGGTAACAAATTGCGTGGGAGGCCTACCTCTGTATCAATCGCGAACGTTGGCTGCCAGCCTTCAGGCGGGATAATTCTGCAGATTCCGTATTTCTTGCCCTCCGGTGCAATTTTTTGGATGTATGCCACCGGATCCTTGAATTCCTCCTCAGTTGGGCGGAAAGTCGGAGCCTCGGGGATGCCATGAGGCCGGACGCGCTTGGATGGCTCGCGGGGACCATTGAATTGCCCGCGCCGTTCAACGGTGGACAAGTCGAGCGGTGTCGACCTGCGAGCGCTCAGGGGCACATTGTGTGAATGCGACGGGTGGGTGCTCGAAGATCGAGTAGGCTGGGAGCCTATGGATGGTTGCCCGGCCATCGATTTTGCCCCGTTCAAGGCCGGGGCCACCATCTCCGATGGTTATTGGTGTTTGTAAAAGGAGAGATGGAGGTAATGCGGGCTGCGCGCGTCTTGTCGAGTGCCGAGGGAGAGATCACTGTAGCGCGAACGGGCGCATTGAAAGGGCAATGAGACTCGGGAGCAAGGGCGGATGGGGTTTGCGGAATTTCAAGGAGAGAATTCGAAAACAACCTTGAAGGGAAGGGCTGTCAGGAATAATGGATGAAAGAAGTAGAGAGAAGAAAGGGGATTAGAAGGGTGGTGTAGATCAGAGGAAAGATGGGAAGGATGGAATTGATAGAATGAGATTGAGATTATGGGAATTAGGTGGAGAGGTACTGCCCCGGTCACTTCCACCGCGCGGAGCAGCGGAAAAGCGACCTGCGAGTGACTCGAGCTTGCTCGGTAGCGAAAGCGTACCGTATCGTAATTTATCGGGGCCGCACCGTCGCAGCTACGGTACGGGTGAAAATGGTAATTATACCGTCACCCATCGGTTGCCGCAACCGGGACGGCATCATACGGTGTCCTTCTTCGTTCAGGGCCCGAGCGTTTCTTTCCAAGGTTTTTCCATTCTGCGATGCATCATCTGTACCTGGTATGTTTTCCCCTTTCGATTAATGTTTTAATTGTCACCTTGCTTGAGCTTGACACGAATGCCAAGCATCTAAACAGTGATCTACACATATTTTAGCTCTCATTGACTGGATACCCCAGTAATGAGGCTGATTCGCCGACGTCCCAACAAGCTAGATCGACGAGATCTACCGAGTCCAGGGTCTAGCCCGCGGCCTTCTCACGTAACTTGTGTAATTGCTTTGTCCGTACTCCTCCATCACCGAATATGCCTCTTTGGCTTGTAAATACGTACTGAAAAGGAATGAAAAGTGACAAGGAAAATGCATCCTCGCCCGTCGGCATATCAAAGTTGTCATGTGATCGCTTGTTTACCGTCCGCGGCGGACTCGCAAGATAAGCACTTACTATGCATCAGCCCCCAATGGGAGAGGCCGGATAGCAGCTCGCAGCCATATGGACCATGGAGACCCAAGACGAGCTTCGGCCCATCCCAGCCTACTACTGCTGCTATCTCCTTCGGTCTACCGTCCGACACGCCTCGCTCTATATCGGCTCAACGCCCAATCCCATCAGACGACTGCCTCAGCACAATGGCACGGTCAAAGGGGGCGCCAAACGTACCTCTCGGGATAAATTACGGCCCTGGGAAATGGCGCTCGTGGTGGAGGGCTTTATGAGTCGAGTAGGAGCTCTTCAATTTGAGTAAGCTTCGCAATGACCCTAGAAAGCAGAGCCGCTTGCTCATGTTGCATAGATGGGCTTGGCAACATCCCGAAAGGTCACGACACATTGAGCTTGATGACGGTGACCTCCCTAGCTCGCAGGCCAAAGTCACTGTTTGTCGGCACACGGGAAAGACCATTCCGCGTACCTCGCGCAGAAGATCCTTGACGGCCCACCTAGAGGATCTGCATTTCCTACTTCGATCATCGTATTTCACTACCTGGCCGCTACGAGTACGATTCTTCTGCGCGGATGTCTACCGCGTATGGAAAGTTTGGAATGAGCGTGTGGAGACCTCCTTACCTTTCTCCAAAATCATCCTAGACGGGAACTGTCCAAGACAAGGCGACGCAGGTACTGCAGTGGGTGGCATCAATCAGCTATCGGTCGACTACACTAAACTCGAAGACTACCTGGAGAAATCCATGTTTGCTCTGGACGACGCGGAGGATCTACACTGCGCAGTATGCAAAAAGCCAGTGAACCCCGATACGCAGCAAATAGTGGTGTGTCCACGAACATCTTGCCGTGGCACGAATCATCTATTATGTCTATCTGCCAAATTTCTTGAAAACTCCGACGACCCGGATACGTTCGTGCCAACGCAGGGAACCTGCCCGACGTGCAAAGAAGTCGTGCAATGGCCAATAATGATGCAAGAATTGAGTTTTCGCAGCCGTGCCGAAAGGGAAGTCCGTACGATTCTGCGACGAAAAGAAAAGCGCGAGCGCAAAGAATCTGCGAAGCAGTCACCCAGCAACAAAAGCAAGACCAAGACATCCAATGTGCGAAAGTCTTCTGTGGAACCAACATTCGATGCCCAGTCACAGCCTGCGCCAGATGATATGTCTCAGGATGACCCCCAGTTAGACGAAAACTGGTGTGAGGCGGTCGAGGTGGAATCAGACACGGAATTCGGAACTCGACAGCATTCATCTCCGGCTTCATCCAGATTGGAGATCGTCATTGAAGATAGCGAATGGGAAGATGCAGAACTCGTGGAATGAAGTCTCGCGATAAACTGCAAAAGGAGCACACAGGGCTAGTTGGTGAGCGGCCCCAAGGCCCTCAAGGGCCCAATCATGTCCAGACGCGCAACGCATTCTGAGACAGCGGATTGGATATCCCGGGACACCTCAACCAGTGACTTGCCAGCATTGACAATACACACGTCCTTCTGGCGCTCAAATAGCGTGCGGAAAAGCTCCCGTACGCGAGTCTGCATAGCCTCATTCTCGTACCGCTCCGCACCATAACCGCCGCGCTTCGCAGCTTCCTCGGCCGAAATACTGAGGAACAGGCAAATATCTGGACGTGGCAGACCGAGCTCGGGCTGCCACGCCCACTCGAGCGAGAGCGTGGGGTTGGCCTTGGCTGCCGAATACACAGCACCAGAGTATGAGTAGCGGTCCACGATCACCGTGATGCCACTATTGATATCTTCTTCGATGCTCTTGGCAATTTCCCAGCGATTTGCGGAGAACAGGAGGTGGATGGAGTGGTCATCCTGATTGACCGCGCCGCGTAAATAGCTATCTATGAGCTTGCCGATGGGCGTCGTCCTGTCTGCACACGGGTTAGCACAGTTCTCAAGTAGACGACCGATTCAATTACCTGGAAATCGAATATATTTCACCTTTTGCCCCTGCTCCGTGAGGTAGTTTTGTAGCATCTCGCATTGGCTCGATTTGCCGGCGCGGTCGAGTCCCTCCACCACGATGAGCGCTCCGCGTCGCGTCGGCGCTTGTTGCGACGTGCCTGTCATTCTAAGAGAGGTCTGAAAGAAGTATGGGCCAAGATAGGTAACATTCAAGGAAAGAAAGTCAATTTGACTCAAAAAGGAACCGTTCCCAAACCAGTGAACATGTGTAGCAAATACCGGGGTAGTTGGAAGCGAGGGGCCCTTGTTAACCGGTGACATCTTTTCTGCCGCCCGATAAGATCGCATCGCAGCCGCATCATGGTCATTCAATGAACAACGCCGCCATGGACCCCGAGACGTCTACGCCCTCAGAGATGACCTTCAGCGTCCTGAGCTCGGCAGCGCCCGTGCTTGCACCACGAGTCGGCAAATTGGCCATCCCCGGCCGCCAGGCGATCTCGACGCCGCATTTCATCCCACTGACCACGCGGGGTGCCGTGTCGCACATCGCGCACGACGTGATGCGAAAAGAGACTGCAATTAACAGCCTGTACATTGGACTGGAGGATTGTATGTATCTGGACCTAACCATTGCCCGGGATATGGACAACCATGACTAACAAGCTGCCCCGTTTATCAGTCATCGAAAAGAAGCATCCTGCTCCGCTATATAAAACTCCTGTCGCACCCGGAGAGTCCCCCTTGAGGCGGTTTATTTGTGCCCCTGATGACATGCCAATGATCCTTGCTCCACGACGGTTTCCTGCGATCCCTTGCCCGCCCACAAATACTGAAACCTCCATTGCGGTCTTGACCTCTGTCGGGTTCCGCCAGCTTTCAGCCCACCAGTGGGTGGAGGCGGTCCAAAATCTTCGGCCGGATATAGCTATTGGCTTGGCAGATATAGTCACTGCCCAGCCGCCGGGCATCAGGCGGCGTGGAAAGATGGTTGACAGGACGCATGCGTTTACTCGCGATGCATTGGAGCAGCTGTACGGATCCTCTTTGGCGGAAGATAAGAAGTCAAAGACGGCGTATTTTGCTCCCATATTGCCATTGGAGAATGCGCAGCAGTCGCTTTATTTGGAGGATCTGGAAACTGAGTTCCGCGATCGTCTCTCCGGCCTAGCGCTGTATGAGTCCACTTCTCTGAGTTTCATTCCAAAAGATATCGGCGACCTTCCTCGACTACTTCTAAGCGAGCCTCCCACTCCTCACGACATTCTTCGAGAGATTTCCCTCGGCGCAGATCTTCTAACTGTCCCTCTGATTGGGACATGCTCAAACGCTGGCATCGCATTGGCCTTCACCTTCCCCTCTCCATCAAACACGGAAGAACGTGGCGAGCCTCAGCCTCTAGGGATTGACTTGTGGCCCTCTGAATATGCAAAGGATACTTCGCCCTTCCTACAGGGCTGTGAATGCTATGCCTGCCGGCACCACCACCGCGCCTACTTGAACCACCTCCTCGCCGCGAAAGAAATGACCGCCTGGGTGCTTTTGCAACTGCACAACCATTATATAATGGATCAGTTCTTCGCGGGGGTACGGGATAGTATTCAGCGTGGCACATTCGAAGAGGATATCCACGCATTCAATCGTGCCTACGCTCCAACACTACCAAACCAGACTGGCGCGGGTCCTCGGTATGTCTTTCCCGTTTTACTTGTACCTGATCTCCCAGTTAAGAACTTATTTACAGACTCCGTGGTCACTACCTTGCCCCAAGGCAGGGAACTGATCACCCAAAACGTATGCAAAAGGTGTATGGTCGCCTTGACGGCCTGTCCGATAAGTTCAACGAGTCGCAGTCGTCGGTTGCGACACCGGACACCGACGCGGAAGGCCTTGAGAGACATGGGTTTGCCGAGAAAGTATGATCCGAATTCAGTGGTTGCTACAAATGTCCGAGTGGCTGGAAAGTCACACAGCATGAGCAACTTGTGCATTTGTTTACGAAGCCTTTGTTTGAAATAGGCATACCTCCGGCCATAGCGAGAGCATCATGAATAGAAGAGCCCACTTTGCATACAGGTTTTTTTGCTGGATGTTGTGTCCGTCCATGGGGATTGCGCAAGCTCAAGAGTACTGTACATGATCCAATACCTCGTGATGCCACCAAAAGCTTTCACGTGTCCAAACGACGTGTTCAAACGAGTCATATCCATAACGTTAAGAAGGGGGTTTCTAGGGTATATCCGGGTCGTAGGTGTAGATTTAGATGTGACCAAGCTCTCAGGTCTAAGCCTCACCTGCCAGCACGCGCCACATCCACTTGACTTCATCCTCCTCCTCTTTACTGCCGCGTGGGGTACCAGCGCCGAACTGTTGTCCGACGACGCAGACAAGCCAGGCCTCATTCTTGGAGGTGTTTAGGAACCGCTCGGTGGGTGAGTTGTGAGGATAAATGCGACGCCATTCGTCCCAGATACGGAACGCTTCCTCACCCCAGGCACGGAAACTGACTTCTTCGATAATAGTAGGGGTGACGATCTCTTTGCCGCGGAAGACACCCCAGGTGACGGCGTTGACGCTTTCCGGGTTTGAGTCAAGCTCTTCGAGGTCGATGTCAGCAGGCTGTATGGGGAGGGAAGACTCGAAAGCTCCAGTCTGGTTAGTGGCGAACCAGGTAAGCTTGTCATGGCCGTGCTTCTCGAACAATGGCTTGAGGATTTCTTTGTAATCCTTGTCCGGGCAGAAGAACTCGACGAACGGCTTCTGGAAGACAAAACCCTCACGCTGTGGGCCCCAGCCAAAGATCTTGTCGTCACTGCGGACACCATTAACGGCGGGCTGGGAGGCCAGTGTCCACCAGCCGCGGCCGTCGATGAGCTTGAGAAGCTCAGGACGAATCAGGTCTGTCTCAGCATTCAAGCCGCCGCCCTCTTCGGCACCGCCCTCTGACCACGGGACCATGTACAGCTCACCAGTGACATGGCGACGGAAAATGGTGTTAATGTCGGAGTGTTCGACAGGGTGGCCCCACAGTCGTCGAGCGACCGCGGAGGTGACGTGGAGTGAAGGCCCATAGCCGTCAATTTCACCGAACGCAGGTGAGCGCGCATCACCCCATCGGCCGTTGGGGAAATCGTCCCATGTAGCTTCTCGGCCAAGAGCGCCCAGGCCCTCCGAGATTTGAAGAGTGGTCCCGCGGCCGGGAGGCATTGCCGGCAACCCGGCACTGTTTGCCAGCGCCTCATGTACGGAATCATGCGATGACTCTTTTCCAGAAAACTTGTCCACAATGACACGGTTGTGTGGTTGCGAATTGACAGAAGACCGGCGTCTCGCCAGCGAGCGAGCACGGGTATCAAGAGAAACAGAGACATCCACGTCTTCAATGGCAGATTCGTCAATGGTCGAAAATGGCGGGATCAAATCACATCGCTCGAGGATGAAAGAAACGGTTTTCTCCAAGTTAAGAGTGTAGAAATGGAAACCACGCGGGCCCGGCGACTTGAGCTCTTGGATACCACCCACGACATCGCTGACGACGTCAACACCCGCCCGCTTGACAGCATCGTCATCATGCTTCAACTCTTCCATGCGTTTGGCAATGGGGGCCGGGATGTGCACATTGCTGAGCTTTGTCACGCGAGTGAGGATCTTATAGCTGTGAATGGGCATCAGGCCCGGAATGATGGGGATGGTCTTGAAGACCCCAGACTCATGGTTGCGAAGCATATTCTCAAACTTTGTGTAAGCCTCGAGATCATATGTGAGTTGGGTCATGATGAAGTCTGCGCCGGCAACGGTCTTCTCGATCAGATAGGGCAGATCACGCATGGGATCCTGAACTTCCTGGAAAGCGTCGGCAGGGTGGCCCTCTGGGTACGCGGCAACACCAATGCAGAAGTAGTCACCATGCTGCTTGCGAATATATCGAACTAGATCCACGGCGAAGGTGAAGTCCTTGTTGCTATCGTCCTCTCCATGCATATTGTATTCCTCGCTGCGAGGCGGGTCTCCACGGAGGGCCAAAATATTGCGAATGCCCAGCACCTTGGCCTCCTCCAGGGCCATATCCACCAATGCACGGCTCATATTGGTGCATGTCAGATGCAGGACGGTCGTCAACTGCAGCTGGCGCTGGCAGACCTCCGCCAGCTCGAGGGAACGGGCCGCCGTGCTTCCACCTGCACCCCAAGTGACCGTCACGAACAACGGACGCAGGGCCTGAGCCATGCGCTCCAGACGCGCAGAAAGGTTCGCAAAACCCTACAATAACCACCATCGTTAGCCATGTCTCCTTGCATCAGGTTTCCGTTGTCGCGGGGTTACCCCACCATCCGGGTCTTAGGAGGGAAGAACTCCAGCGAAAAGTAATTTGCGTCGGGCGGCAATGCCGCGATCTTCTCCGTAATCTTCTTCTCCATTGCGAAGGACGTCGTGGACGGCAATGGAAGAGGAAAGAGAGGAGGAAGTTGGGTAGAAGTGGACCGTCATGAATCTGCGATAAAAAAAAGGTTACCCGAACCCATCGGGAAATATGACGATTGATAGCTGCCGACGGGTGGCCAGTGGTCATCCGGCACTTTGCCTGATCTACGCTGCACACAGCACTTCCCCGCCGCGAATTGCATCATCTACGACCCCGTTATGTTCCGGATTCCCTTGGCAGGGTATCAAGCTTGATTTAGAGACGAGAGGATCGACCGAAAGGAGATTACTCAGCCGATACGAAGCTCGTGCGATCACCAGGAACTGAACTTCCCCAGTCGCGAGCTTATACTTTCCCTTTAGCGTGCGCAACCGCGCTCCATTGCCAAAGCGAGTCATGATTTCCCCTTGAGAGCCACCGTTTACTTCCGAATACATTTACGACACCCAATCATGGCATCTCAGCGTCCGGCGAGCTTTCTTCGCCGTTTCCGTCTCCGAGCGACAGGGCCTCGAACGCTGCGGCGAAACCTGTCCTCTCCTCCGTCGAAACCCGCCCCGTCAAGCTCAAAAGACTCCCAGTCTCGCCTCCACCGATTCAATGACCGCCTACCACGCTTCCTCCGAACCTACACTACACCCTTACTGCGGGCGCCGGTGACGCATATCACGTCTTTTCTGATCCTCCACGAAATCACCGCTCTGCTGTCGCTCTTCGGATTGGTTGGTGCATTTCATTATGGGACTTGGATGCCAGACCTCGCGTCTGAAACTGGCGAGAGCAATGCTTTTGACAAAGGGGCCGCGCGGTTCGGGCGCTGGTTGAGGAAGAAAAGCTGGGTCGATGAATCCGATGTGACCACTGTCGCGGATCATGAAGCGAACGGGCTAGCCCCTCGTGAAAAAGAACGGGCAGGCGTACGGTTGGTGCTCGAGTTCGCGACGGCTTATGCGATTACAAAGGCTTTACTACCCGTTCGTCTGGCTGCTAGTGTATGGGCGACGCCTTGGTTTGCGCGCACCGTCCTGGCACCGACAACCCGGCTGGCCAGGGGGCTAGTGGGAAAGAGCTAAAATAGTAGACACTCCATACTCGTACTCATAAATCATATGAATTGTATATTATTTGATTTTCGTAGCCATCACGACCGACTCTTGAATTACTGCAACTCTATGCCGCAAGAAGCCGAGAGGCGCTCGTCAGGCCATGACACCGTGGGACGAGTAATTTACTCGTAGATCCACTGGGAAGCGGTGTGCTTCCACTTGAGGACCTCGGAGGGAGTGAACCAGAGGCCGATCTCCTTCTGGGCAGACTCGACGGAGTCGGAGCCGTGGCAGACGTTGCGGCCAACGTCGATGGCGAAGTCACCACGGATGGTACCGGGGGCGGAGGCCAGGGGGTTGGTGGCACCGAGGATGACACGGCCGGTCTTGACGACGTCCTTACCCTCCCAGACCATGGCGCAGATGGGGCCGCTCAGCATGTCTGGCATTGAGATTAGCTTGGTGTAGGGTAGAAGCTCACGAGGGGTGTCACGCACAGGAGATGAGGCCCTTGAAGAAGCCCTTGCCGGCAAGGTCGGCGTAGTGCTTCTCGAGGTGCTCCTGGCTAGGAGAGCACAGCTTCATGGCAACGAGCTTGAAGCCGCGGTTCTCAAAGCGGGAGATGATGGGGCCAACGAGACCACGCTATTGAGATAGCGTTAGTATACACTCAATTGGCGAATGAACCGATTATCTGTCATTATTTCGGTCGAGAGATTATCATAGGCGTACCTGGACACCATCGGGCTTGATGGCAATGAAACTGCAGCAATTGGTTAGCTTCACCGCTAGAGTAGGAGGGGTAGCAGGAGTAGACTGGTGTGGAGGGGAAATAGAGAAGGCATTGGGAAGATAATCATGAACTTACGTCTGCTCGTCGGACATTTTGATGGATTGGAGTTGAAGATCTGGGATCAGCAAGGGATGGGAGGTAAAAGAGGAGGGAGGGGAGAGGGGAGAATAAATACCTAAGAGTCTTTTTTTGACCAGTGCTGCGCCATTGGTGGGGCACGAGGGGCCATCCGTTTCAGGCATCCTTGACACCTTGTGGCCTTTATGCCTTGACGCCTGAGGTGCTTTACCCCAGCTCTCCGCCGTCAGGCCAGCCTGGAGCTTCACTGTGGATGTACCGACTCCGGATGCTGGTCAACATCCTTCCTCTGTACACAATTAGAGGTTGAGGGTCTCTGACTGCACATTCTTCATCATGACCAGGAGTCAGCCTGCGTCCCGCTGGACGCTATTGCTCTCCTTGGTCTTTCTTATCGCATCCATTGTTGTTCCCGGATGTGAGATCCCATTGCAGTCGTCTGGAACCATCCTCGTATCTGACTAACGTCGCAATTGACAGTGGCTGTGAAACATGAAAACTTCAAAACCTGCGAGCAGTCCGGATTCTGCAAACGAAACCGAGCCCTCGCCGACAATGCCTCCGCCCAAGGCGCGTCATGGAGCTCCCCCTACGAGCTAGACCCCGCTACCATCCACTTCAAGGATGGCCAATTGACCGGTGTTTTGATCAAGACCACGGCTGCCAACGAAAAGATTCGGCTTCCTCTCACGGTTTCCTTCCTCGAATCCGGTGCCGCTCGTGTGCTCGTCGATGAAGAGAAGCGCATGAAGGGCGATATCGAAGTGCGACACGGCAGCAAGGCAAACAAGAAACGTTACGACGAGGCTGAGAAGTGGGTTGTTGTCGGTGGTTTGGAAATCAGCAAATCGGCCACTTTGAACGGTCAGACCGAGACTGGTTTCACCAACGTTCTCTACGGACCGAGCGACAAGTTCCAGGCGATTATCCGGCATGCCCCGTTCGAGGTGGAATTCCAGAGAGATGGCGAGACCCATGTACAAGTTAATCATCAGGGCCTGCTGAACATGGAACACTGGCGCCCTAAGATCGAAGGCAAGGAGGGCGAATCCGGAGAAGACCAGAGCACTTGGTGGGAAGAGACCTTTGGTGGCAACACCGATTCTAAGCCTCGTGGTCCGGAGAGTGTCGGTCTTGACATTACCTTCCCCGGGTATAATCATGTGTTTGGTATTCCCGAGCACGCTGACTCGCTTTCACTCAGAGAGACTAGGTATCAACCTTACCATCATTTCATTTTCGAATGCAACTGACTATAATTCAGGGGTGGATCTGGCAACCATGAGAATCCTTACCGAATGTACAACTCTGATGTCTTTGAATATGAGCTCAACAGCCCTATGACTCTGTACGGAGCGATTCCCTTCATGCAGGCTCACCGCAAGGGCTCCACCGTCGGTGTCTTCTGGCTCAATGCAGCCGAAACTTGGGTTGATATTGTCAAGAAGGCCGGTTCTTCTAACCCACTATCGATGAGTGCCCACTCAAAGACAAACACCCAGACTCACTGGTTTTCTGAAGCCGGTCGGATCGATCTCTTTGTTTTCCTTGGACCCACTCCGCAGGATATCAGCAAAACCTATGGCGAGCTCACCGGTTATACTCAGCTCCCTCAGCATTTTGCCATTGCTTATCACCAATGTCGTTGGAACTACGTCACCGATGAGGATGTGAAGGAGGTGGACTCGAAGTTCGACAAATACCAGATTCCCTACGATGTGATCTGGCTTGACTTGGAATATACCGACGATCGGAAGTATTTCACCTGGGATCCGCTCACCTTCCCGAACCCGAAGGGCATGCAGGAGAAGCTTGACGAATCCGAGCGGAAGCTTGTGGTTCTCATTGATCCCCATATCAAGAACAAGGAGGACTTTTATGTTTCCCAGGAGCTGAACAGTAAGGGTCTCGCTGTTTTGAACAAGGACGGTGAGGTATACGATGGATGGTGCTGGCCTGGTTCGTCCAACTGGGTCGACTGCTTCAACCCGGCTGCGTTCCCCTGGTGGAACAGCCTACATAAATATGACAAGTTCAAGGGATCGATGCCCAACTTGTTCATTTGGAATGACATGAATGAGCCGTCTGTCTTCAACGGGCCGGAAACTACCATGCCCAAGGATAACATGCACTATGGAGACTGGGAGCACCGTGACGTTCACAACGTGAACGGTATCACCCTTGTCAATGCCACTTACCAAGCACTGCTGGAGCGCAAGAAGGGTGAGGTCCGCCGGCCTTTCATTCTGACCCGCTCCTATTATGCTGGAGCCCAGCGTATGGCTGCCATGTGGACCGGTGACAACCAAGCCACCTGGGAGCATCTGGCTATTTCCCTGCCAATGGTCCTGACCAATGGTATCGCGGGCTTCCCCTTTGCTGGTGCAGATGTGGGCGGCTTCTTCCACAACCCTGACAAGGATCTCCTGGCCCGCTGGTACCAAGCTGGTATCTGGTATCCCTTCTTCCGTGCTCACGCTCACATTGACACCCGTCGCCGTGAGCCCTATCTGATCAGTGAGCCGCACCGGACTATTATCTCTCAGGCAATTCGTCTGAGATACCAGCTCCTTCCTGCGTGGTACACTGCTTTCCACGAGGCTTCGGTCAACGGCACGCCTATTGTGTATCCCCAGTACTACCTTTTCCCCGATGACGAGCAAGGATTTGCCATCGATGACCAGTTGTATCTCGGTAAGACCGGTCTCCTTGCCAAGCCAGTCGTCACGGAGAATACCTTCACCACGGATATCTATATCGCCGACGACGAGAAGTACTATGATTACTTCGACTTTACCGTCTACCAGGGAGCAGGCAAGAGACACACTGTCCCAGCCCCGGAAGACAAGGTGCCTCTGTTGATGCAAGGTGGCCATATTGTTCCCCGCCGGGACCGCCCTCGCCGCAGCAGCGCTCTCATGAAGTGGGACCCCTATACATTCGTCGTGACTCTCGACAAGAACGGCGAGGCCGAGGGCTCCCTTTACGTCGATGATGGAGAGACCTTCGACTATGAACGCGGTGGTTATATTCACCGCCAATTCCGCTTCCACGACTCGGTCCTGACCTCCGAAGACCTCGGCACCAAGGGACCCAAGACCGCCGAGTACCTGAAGACCATGGCTGGCGTCACTGTCGAGCGTGTGATTGTCATTGATCCTCCCACTGAGTGGAAGGGCAAGACCACCGTGACTGTCATTGAGGATGGTGCCAAGGCCGGTTCCACTGCCTCACTGGAGTACTACGAGCAGCAGGGTGGCAAGGCTGCTTATGCTGTGGTCAAGAGTCCCAATGTCGGCATTGGAAAGACGTGGCGGATAGAGTTTTGAGTAACTCGTTGTTAGATCTAGCATATATGCGCGATACAAGATATCGTAGAATTTCACTACAGCATGCGTTTCATTCAGCACTGTCATCTACCTGCCCTGGTCCATGAACCTTGAGAGCCTTTACTCAAGGTTCCATTCTTCCACGTAACATATTCGAAAGGACGCTCAGACACGTACATTGAAAGAGCATAATGAAGATGTGTAAGAAGAAGTTTAGGGAAATGCCCTGGTGAGATGTCCTCCATTCCTGGGGGTGACGACGCAGAAATCCATCCAGTCGTCCTCCGACACAAGGCCCCTCCAAAGCACACCACTTTACCCCATTGCCGCATGAGACGTCTTCGAAGAAACGACGAGCGTACATGAAATGGTGTAAAATTCTTTTTCTTTTTTTTTTGGTAAAACACGAGGACAAATTTGATGGCTTTTTTCAACCTGCTGAATAACCCCTTCGGCTCTATCGTATATCGACCAGAGTTCATACATCACAGCAAAAGCATAAACACGGTTTGTTCTTCGCTCAGGTCGGTTGTGGACCGCTGCCTTGACCTGAACTAGAAGATCATCTGGGTAGCCGCGCTCGTCGTCGTAGTCTGGCATTTATTATGAGCAGCAGAATGTAGTTTCAAGATTTGAGATGCACACAATAGTCCGCACAAAATTCGTATTCTTGACGTAGTATCTGCAGTCAAGAACAAATAGTGACAGCCATAAAAAGGCATTATTATAGTTTCGTTCCGGCTCTCATTCCAGTTCGTGGCTCTGAACATAAACGTGGATCTTTGGTCCTTTCGCATCGGTCGCCTCCAGCGACACTCCTCCATCGTAGAGAATACTCCACTCCACAGTGTTGAGGCCATCATTCTTCGCTGTGTTGGACTCGAAGAAGTTCGACATGTCTTCCTTCTGATCAAAGAAGGACGCGTAGTCTTCTATGAAAAAATTCAAAGCAGCCTCGTTGGCCTTCTCTAGCGTGGTGAATACGCCCTCGACTATGCTTGTGGTCTGGTCGTCCGTTCCCGATTCGTCAATATCGTGATACAGCACAAAAACCCAAGTGGGATTTGGAATATCGGTTTTCTGCCCGTGTGGGTATGGTCTGAATTGAGCCGCCCACACTTTTTGAAGCATATTTTGAGGATATTCAATCTCGTGTATGTCGCTCATTTCGTCCGAATCTGTGGGGTCCATCATTCCCGGTGTCTTGATCGACGATAGGCAGGCTAGATTATTGAAGCGCTGGCTCAAGAATTTGGATCAATATAATCACGCGCCCGCCCAGGCGACCGTAGAGAATGAAATTGGTTGGAGCTTGGATGTTATCAAGACCGGACTTGTTGAGGCAGATCTCAAAACGACAGGCGCTAGTGCAGTCGCTAAGCTGTGCACAGACAACGTATATTAAACTCCTCAACTGACAAAAGTACATAAATGCGGACATAGCCACGCCGTTATACTTTCATAATCCCGACCGCGCTTCTACTGACCCAAAAAATGTTTTCCACCCTTTACTTTATGAGCGATCATTCCAATAGACGCTTCTCGGACTCTCAGTGCACTCCGCCACACTAGAATCATGAACAATCATCAGGATTCGTATAACTTAGAAAATCGACTAAATGAATGAAGAGCCCCTCTGAAACCACTTGACAGTATATAAAAGAGATAGCCGGCATGTTTTACCGGAAAGGATATCGACAATCGGCCAGAGTGTTAGCTTAGAGTATCACAGTTGTGGGGAACATGGCTTGGCTACTCGGGCCGGTATCGATTCTTCGTTATGGTGGATCGGGAGTCCCTGGATTCTGTTTTGAATGCGCCAGATCCGGATCGCTGTGAGACATCGTTTGTTCGCTTGGTTTATGGAGAATGGGAGCCGGGGGTGCTGGATGAGGAGGAGTTGGAGGCGTTGGGTGAACCGCCGGAGTTTTGAGCCTCTGGAGGGGTGTACGCTTGGGGATGTTGGGTTGATGAGAGTGCCGTATGGTGAAGCCGAGTTTACTGGTTTCGTGTATATGCGCAATGCCGATGTCTGGGATCTGTTTTATTCTCGACCTCCAAGGATCCAGTCCCTAGCTGCTTTCTGATGGGGCTGAAATTGTGGGGCTTTAGGATGGAATCTGATAGTCGAGATCTAATTTATGCGATCCGGTCGTAGAGGACTGCATGGAGTCAAATAACACGAGTGGTTATACTTTCGAAACGATAATAAGTATGATCATGAGACTGATATTACAAAATTTCATCATTTGAGAGACGATCTATACATTTTGTTCGTTCCGCGGAACCATCGCTGCTTTCTTGTCCTCCTCCTTGGTCAATTTGCCTTTGCCACTTGAGTAAACAAGAATTCAACAGTTATTGAAGGTAGTGTTGATGATATCGCCTTCGAATGCGCGCTTCAAACGCAAAGGCAGTTCTTAGTGAACGTCTTCATGTTCGGGGAAATCATACACTGTATTTAATTGGATTACATTGAGTCAAATCATTAGATTGCTCATATTTTATCGATACTGAACAACACTGAGCCCGTGATGTGAATAGTTCCCATTAGATATCCCAAATCCACCACATATCATCTTTCATTATGACACTATGTACCGGCCAAGGCAGGAATGACCCTAAATGGCGGATGATCGACAGGTGCTGCGCTGCTTACATAATGACGGACAGGGACGGAAAAAAAGGGCCGCTTGCGTCGCCGCGTTGATTGTCTCTCACGCTTCTTTTTTGGTTCAACCGAAGCTTGTTCCTGTTCCTCGAGCTTCTTCCGGGTCGCATTCATACCCCGAAGCGTGTCGGAGACTTTGAATACCCTCCGATCTCGTCAAACTTGGAACAAACACGCCGCCGAATCGCTGATCACCTTTGCATACCCCCCCGGAGGTCGCGCAAGGTCTTCACCACCACCATGTACCTCATTCAGCTGGCCATTGAATATGCAGCGCCCGCCTTGTATGTCCGGGATCGCAGGATCTCCTCAAAGCCAGTATACTAATCTTTATTCGCGAACTAGTCTCATTTCCTCTCCCCTCACGTCCTATGCCGACCAGATCCTCAGCATTCATCGGAATAGGAGCTCGGCGGGATTCTCCTTGGATATTCCGTTAATCATGCTTGTCGCGTCGATTCTCAAGTAAGATTACACACGCTGTCAAAGAAGCGGAGACCCTCGTGGAATGGACATTATATTAACGCGCTTCTCAGGGTCTTCTACTGGTTTGGAGAGTACTATTCTGGCGCCCTGCTGGCACAGGCCTTGGTCATGATTGTTGTGCAGATTGGCCTTCTTAAGGTTGCTTTGGATAACCGGCCCGCCTCGGGCGCAAAGAACGGGATCGAGCATGCGCCTTTCAGCGGCGGCTCTGACGGTGAATTCGCGCGACCATACGATTTCTGGCAGTGGAGGAACACGAAGCCGTAAGTGTCACTGGGAAGGATCACTTACTGGAATGCCAAACTAACCCATTGTGGCTATAGGTACTGGTTATTCCTGGCCTATTTTGTGGCTATCCTGACCGTGATTCACCTCACCCCTATCTCCGAATCGGATACCTACATCAGCATCCTTGGCGGCATAGGTCTGGCAGTTGAGGCTACCCTTCCCCTTCCTCAGATTTTGGCCAATCACCGCTCCGGCTCGTGCAAGGGCTTCCGAGTCTCCGTTCTCGCGGCATGGATCATTGGTGATACCATGAAGATGAGCTACTTCTTCTTCAGCCAAGAGGCCATCCCCTGGTCATTCAAGCTGTGCGGTATGTTCCAATGCGTGTGCGACTTTTACCTGGGCTTCCAGTACTGGATGTTCACCCGGACGACTCCTCGGGCTCCTGTCAGCTCCCACGAGCAGGAAGAGCGGTGGGGTCAAGGAGAGAAAGATATACGGATGAACTAACGAGTCCGTGTTACGAGCGCATTATGAGCGCATTCTGCATTTTCTGTAGATATAGGGGAACCGTGGGACCATAGCGACTATAGACATGTTAATTCGGAATGAAACGGCGGTAAATAATTTCATGATTGCTGTTGCCAAAATGGGAGAAACTGATATCTCCGGAGTAAATCCGGTTCGGGAAGTCGTGGATCTGCCCCGCGATTGCGATGCGTCTGATGCTTCTGTTCCCGGACCCTTCTCTACGCGCCGGTCCCGATATTCCTGTGTCTCTATACTCTTCGTTAAAAAATCGGATCAGCTCCTCTCTTCACGATGGCTGATGTGCCTACCATCCGCATCGGCTATGTGCCCGGTATGTGCCCCGCGTTAAGCTTCAGCTCGACGTCTCCAATCCAGATCTGAGGAAGACAACGCATTCTTTCGTAACTTTGCAACCAATTCGCACTTCTATTGGTAAAAGTGACTGACATTGAACTGTCTGTTGGCTCCAGAGCACTACCTCACTCCTCTCCATCTCGCCCTCCGCTCCCCGGCCGTCGCTTCCCTTCCATTCAAGATCGATGTGACTCCCTTCCCGTCCGGAACGGGCCACATGATTACATCGCTGCGAAGCAATGAGATCGACATCGCTATTGGCTTGACTGAAGGCTGGGTTGCTGGTCTGACCGGGAAGACGCAGCCTCAGAACCCGGCGGAGGGAGGATACAAAGTCGTCGGCCACTGGGTGGATAACCCGCTGCGCTGGGCAATTGTCACGGGTCGTAACCGTGGAGAGATCAATGGTGTGTCGGACCTGAAGGACCAGAGAGTCGGTGTCAGTCGCCTTGGAAGGTAAGCATGCGGTCTAGCTTGGGAAGTGCGGTTCATTTCCAGATTCTAAGCGAATTGGGCTGATTCCTTCTAGCGGCTCCCATATCATGTCTTTCGTGCTTGCTCAGCAGCAAGGATGGAAGTCTGATTCCCTGACCAGCGTCCCTCTCGGCCCCTTCGGTGCCCTACGGAGCGGCGTTACTGGCGTGGACGATGCAAAGCCCGACCAAGCTCCCAACCCAACTGCCGAGTTCTTCATGTGGGAGCATTTCACAACCAAGCCATACTTCCATCCTACCACCGAAAAGCCAAACCCGCCGCTGAAGAAGATCGGCGAGATCTTTACTCCCTGGCCATCATGGATGATTGTTGCATCGACAGCAATGTTCCCGGATCCTGAAAAGGACTCGCGTCTGCAGAGCCTCTTCCAGGCCTTTGATCAGAGTATCAAGGAATTTGAGGCCGATACTGCTCAGGTGATCAAGCTTCTCGGAACCGGCGAGCTTGGTTGCACCTACATTGAGGAGGATGCGACTGAGTGGTTGAAGGATGTCAAGTTTACGAATGGCGTCCGCGGTGTCGATGCTAAGGTCATCGAGGGTGTTGTGGATGTCCTCAAGGTGGCGGGTGTCATTGATACCGGCATGAACAATGGCGAGGCCATCCAGCGCGTCATTGGAATCTCTCGGTAGATTACCTTTGGAGTAAAAAGTGTATTATTGAGGAGAACAGGGGCTATTGATGAAAACTGGCTTCTGTGAAATCAGCCAATTAGGGTTATAAAGGAATCTAGAAGCATTGGATCAAAGTAACGTCAAACTCGGGGTTCCGCGCTAAGAGACATCGACTACGTACCGTTTTAAAGGACGCCATGATTTCAGTTGAGTTGGTGGGAAGTCTGATAGGCAGTGGTGTCTCGAATGCATATATCCACTCAGCGCTGTGGTGTTTAGCGGAGCGAGGCTCCCGCAAGCTGCTAAAGGGGTTTCGGACAAGTATGATGCAATTATCAATATGATGGTCACTCTGAAGGCTTGCTTTCTATACTTGATGCATTGGTATCAGGTACCCATGTATTGAAGCTGAATTACTCCAGGGCTTCACATTCCGCTTGGAGACATACTCCCAACAGCAAATCTCATCGCATTTGAGCGAAAAGCTACTAGCTGCAAACTTGGACGTTGTGTCTGGCCTACATAACGCAAGTGTATGAGCATGATTCAGATCGTGCAGCTGTGGTTTACGAGCGCCTTGTTGAAACCCATCGAGGGAGCCGAGCAGAAGGCGATCTGATGTCTGTTCTTGATATAGCATCACATCGACTTAGCACTCATTACCTGGAGCAATGTCTGCGAGATGACGTCTCAAATGAAAAGTAGCAAATTTATGGTTTGGCATTTGGAGCGCTTGGCTAGAGGAAAGTCGTTTGATGCTAGTAACGCGCGCACTCAGAAATGGCCTGTCCCGGTGGAATGTTATTTCTGCCGAATCCTCGAGCAGGCCTTGTCCTTGGTCACTTCTATAGGTTACTCGGTCGAGAGGCTGACGCAAGGCACTGCTTCGAGGCACTCCAGAAACAACAGCTCAGAATGCTTAGTGGCAATAACTCAAAAATTGTCCGGTCTATCTTCCTCTCTCTGGCAATCATTTTGGCCGCAATTGGAGATGAGAAAAGTGCCACTGGAGCCTTATACCGGGATGACATCCTTGATATCCAACGACGAGCTAAAGTGGGAGACAAAGGGCATCTTTGTGACGGATGTTGTACCCTATGCAGCATTGACGGCATTACAATGTGTGTCTATTGTGAGGACGTTCAATTTTGCGAGAAATATTTTCCTCCTGCTGAAAGCGGGCATGCTCCCAGTGAGTGTCTGTGGTCCGAGGTACAAATGGCTAGTTCTTCCTCCCCGTCCAAAACATGTTCGCAATCGAGCAATCGAACCCAGGAGCATCGGTCTATGATTTATGTTGGTGGGGATTGGTTGAGCGTCGATGACTTCAAACTCCATCTAAGGGGGAAACACGAGCCGTGAGGGATAACGAAGTGTGCTCGATTGTGAAAAAAAACATGAAAATTCTCGAGGAACTCGTCCTTCTTCAATGTAAGAAGTTTCAATTGTAGTTGCGAAATGCCTTCCACTCCCTGGCTACACTTCAAAGTAGCAAGCCGAGACCGAGTCAAGTCTGCAAGCACGTCCATTCTCAGGTCGATTAGCTCTTGGCGATCGCGATCTGCGGATCAATGTGTTTGACGACTCGGTTCCTCAACCGAGGGAGTTTTAGTGCTCGCTAATACTTGCCCCTGGCTCTCTATCTCGGTAAATTTGACCTCGAGATTTAAGCTATGCTCGATGCTTTTACCATATGATAAATCAAACCTCGGAAGTAAGGATGGGACTGGGGGAAAGCCAGCCAACATTCCAGACTCGGCCCATGAAAGGGGTCTCGCACCCCTGCGCTTCACAAACTAGCTCACGTAATTCACCTCATACCGTTGGGGCAACATGTCCTTTATTTCATCCTGAGAACGCTCCCTGTGATTTGACTTTAAGAATAGGTAAGTAGAGATTTCTGCTCAATTGCACGGCGGCCAACCCCCGAAGATGGTCCTGGGAATCTTCGTGGTGCCGCAAGTGGCTTTGCATACTTGAATGAATATATTCAGCGCAAATCACTTCATTTTTTGTGAAACTATTAATCGATTCTAATCGCTTCGATAATTCTACATTTTGCAGATAATAAAATCGCACAATAATCAATTAAAATTCAATCTACCTCCAATGCTGCAATCTAAATGTGCTGGAGAGACCCCCTACATGGTTGAATTATATAGATGCAAATGATGAGCGATACAAACTTGTCACCTTGAAATTTAAAAAAGTTAAACCCTGGAACATTGCGAGGGAACAACCTTCCCCAAGTAGGGAATTAAAATGTAGCTATTGGTTCAATTCGGAGAATACCGAGGTACTAGCGTTGAGGTACAAGAACTTGGGCTTACGGTGACTTGACGACTATGGGAACACGCCCGGGCGGAGTCACATCCCCTTCCACAGCAGCAATTCAATCAAAAGTCACTCGAGCAAACCTATCGGACAAGGGACTAAACATTAGTTCTAATTTTCCAGTTATCCCTCCCGTGCGCTGATGCCGGCTCCGTAGTTCAAATCTTCCTTCCACAGCTCTTTTCTTCCATGATGATAGTGCGAACAGCAGGAAGCCATTTGGATCTCCTATCCCCTATCACATTCATAATAGACTGAAAGCCTATCACGTCCGTTATTACTGGCCTAGAACGTGTTTTACGGTGAATTGTCCGTTTCTGGTAGTACATTCCCAAGAGCTCCCTGACAACAGCGCTGGAATGTAGGCGACCATGCTAGGCGCACCAAATAGTCCAATCAGCAATGCCCGGCCAAATACTTCCGCAGTTCAAGTCCCGCAAGCCCCTCCTTTCGGCCCAGAGCGAAGTTTGTTGATATCGACGTTGGCGTGGACGGAGTGGGTCATACCATGCGCTTGGGGTACCCGGACAGCAAATGACGGAGTAGATGGAAGCATTGTTTTCCCCAATGGCATGCATACTGGGAAGCAAAACAACTCGATGCCCGCTATTTAAGAACATCCTCGGGGTCATGCTACGCTATTCTTGGTTACTCTCGTTCCGTCGTTTTAGTCGCCAACCTCCGGCCAGTCGTCACTCCTTATAATTTTTTCTTTTTCATTCTTTTCATACTCTCTTTAATACCTAATTCAGTCCCGTTCTGCCGGTAAATAAACTGGTGTATTAGCATCATGCGTCGGTATTCGAGATATCTCTCTGGGTCGGTGCTGCTCGCTTCCATGGGAGGTGTGCAGGCCAAGCTCGACCTGAATTCTTCCAGCAATATTGCAGTCTACTGGGGTGGGTAAAAATAGTGGAGAAGCATATCATGGCTCCTAACATTATTTATATCAGGCCAAAATTCGTTCGAAGCTGCTGGAGGCCAGGGTCATGCTCAACAGCCTCTTGGCTATTACTGCGACAGTACGTGCACTCGTTACCATTCAAAGAATGAGGCTGACCAGTTATTCTAAAGACAAGGACATTGATGTACGGTTCGATGGAAAGAACAAACACGTGCAAAAACTAACCCACTCGACCAGGTCATCCCGATGGCGTTCGACATGATGATCAACGGCCCGGGCGGTGCCCCCGAGATTGACTTCTCTATTACAAGCGCGGGCTGCGATGTGTTTAAAGGAACACAACTGAAGAACTGCCCTGGAATTGGGTAAGAATACCAGCGAGAACTGGGGTTCGGCTGCTAACTTGGAGTAGAAAGGACATCAAGAAATGCCAGGACCAAGGCAAGACTATCCTTCTCTCGATTGGAGGTGCAACCTACAGCGAGGGCGGCTTCAAGTCCGAAGCCGATGCCAAAAACGGAGCTCAGCTTATCTGGGAAACCTTTGGCCCGAAGAAGGAGGGATCGAAGGCTCTTCGTCCCTTCGGCGATGCCAGCCTTGATGGCTTCGACTTCGACTTCGAGGCCAACGTCGAGCACATGGTGCCATTTGCCAACGGCCTCCGCGACTTGATGAACAAGGAGACCGACAAGCAGTACTTCCTGACTGCCGCACCTCAGTGCCCGTACCCTGACCAGGCGGATAAGCAGATCCTCAACGGCCCTGTTGACATAGATGCCGTGTGGGTGCAGTTCTACAACAACTACTGCGGCGTCAACAACTTCAACACGGACCAAAAGACCTCCAAGTTTAACTTCGAGGAGTGGGACAACTGGGCCAAGACCGTCTCCAAGAACAAAAACGTCAAGGTCCTGGTCGGCGTTCCTGCTGACACCACCGCTGCCAGCACCGGATATGTGTCCGTCGACAAGATCGCCCAAGTGGTCGAGTACTCGAAGCAGTTCGAGAGCTTCGGCGGTGTCATGATGTGGGATGCGTCGCAGGCATACGCAAATCAGGGATTTATTGATGGCGTGCGCAAGGCGCTGGGTGAAGAGGGTTCCGGTTCGTCGTCGTCGTCCAGCTCGGCGTCGACCACGGCGCCTGCACCTTCGTCCACTAACACAACGAATACCTCTACCTCTTCCAATGCACCCGGCTCCTCGTCCTCGTCTTCCTCCTCCTCTGGGTCTGGCTCCTCGTCCAGTGGGCCTGATCAGACCCCTACCCCTACTCCCACCACCCTCACAACCAAGCCAACCACCAAGCCGACTACCAGCCCTGAGCCCACGCCGCCTCAGACCACGACGCCTCAGGCCACGAAGGCCGAACCGACCACGACTACACCCGCTCCCGAGCCGACGTCGACCTCTGTACCCACCGAGACGCCCACCACTACTACGCCTGCTCCAGCGCCCACTACGCCGCCCGCGCAGCCAGACGACGACGACGACGACGACGACGACAGCTCGGATGATGGCCAGAGCCCGGATTCTCTTGATAACCTCTTCAGCGGTGACCTCTTTGGGCTTCTGAGCGGCATTCGTCAAGCTAACAACGCTGTTAACGGTGTTGCCCATGGTTTGGCCAAGAACCTCCGTCGCGCCAACCGCATTGGATATTAAATGTGATAGGCAGTGTTCGAGATATTTGCTGTATCTGCCTTGCAGATGGATCGTCAGAACGGGACTCTAGGAGAAATTTTCAAATATCTACTCATTACCCTTTCACTCATTTATGTGAACTTTCGTTTCATCTTTCCTTTGGACCTTCCTACTATTTTTGTCATGTACTACTTTACCTTAATCTCCTTGATACCCATAATTTATAATTCTTCAAGTTTCAAGGAATGAGAACGGAAGGTGTCAGTTTGAGAGGAGTAGTTCCTCGTCTAAACCGGGCAGGTTGGACTTCACAACGTAAATCTTAGGATAAAGATAAGGGTTGACAGCATTAAAGCCTTGAGAAATTAAACTGAGATATTCCGATCCAGATCAGAGTATTTGAAAACGGACCGAAAACATTTAAATTGAAAAGAACATCTTCCCTGCCCATCTCGAACACCAAACATTACAGCATAAATTATAGAATGCTCCGTTTACTCCACATCCTCTTCCTCCTTGCTGGCAGCCAGGAAGAACTTGCCATTCGGTTTGCCGGGCTCCTCATACTCAACCGTCAAGCGAGCCAAATGGCCAAGCAGGTTCTCCATCTTGATCTCGCCCTTACTGCGCTTGGCACGACCGAGTTCATCAAGCCACTTAATCTTGTTAAGGGTAAAGTAGACGAGAGCAATGACGATCTCCACACCGAGAGAATAACCCCAGATGCGCACGACCGTGACAATATCCGTCCAACCATTTGCGGACTCCACGAACTTATCCGGAGGTTCGGTCTTCATATCCTGGTTAGTGAACCAGCCGAACAGACAGAAGATAGTGGCGAGGGCATCAACACCCAGAATGGCAGTAACCAGCTGGATAGATGGCAAGGTGTCGACACCGCGGGTTACGAAGATCAGCCAATTCTCGGTGAGTGCGACTTCCAGGAAGAGGACTTCTTGAATGGAACCAAAGTTTTGGATTATACCACCAGAGGGCAGGAACATGGTGCCTCGTATTATCCAGGTAGCCACTGCCAGGAGGATGCCAAGGATGACGGAGATGACCCAGATCTTTGGGAGTTGCCATTCCACGGGACGAAGTTCGAAAGATGCATGGTCATAGGCAACAGCCACGGTCGCAAGATCGGCGAAAAGAGCCAGGAAGACGACGAGCTCGACGCGGATGCTTTCATTCAGAATGAGCATCGAGGTCACGAGGTAAATTTCCAGGTGCAAGCAGAGAGCGATACGGTATTGGATATAAGCCTTCATGCGGTGGAAGATCTGGCGCGCAACCTTGATCGAGTCGATGATAGTCGACAAGCCGGGTTCTAGGAACACAATATCCGATGCAGTTTGCGCGGCTTCAGAGGCACCTTCGACGGCGATACCGCAGTCCGCTTTCTTCAGGGACGGGGCGTCGTTTACGCCGTCTCCGGTCATTGCAGTCAAGTGGCCTCGTTCTTGAAGAATCTGAACCACTTGATATTTATGTTCGGGGAACACTTCAGCAAAGCCGTCGGCTTTTTCACACAGATCTCCGGCCATAGCACCGCTAAGACCGCCGTGAATTAGCTTATCAGAGTTGTACACCTTCGTGCCTAGCGCGAGCATCTTGCAAGTTTCCTTCGCAATGGCAATCGCGTCACCCGTAAGCATCTTGACACTGATACCGAGGTTCTGAGCTTCGCTGATTGTCTGCGCTGTGTCCTCTCGGGGCGGATCGAACATTGGGAGCATCCCGAGCAGAGTCCAGTCTTCACCTTCCTTTTGAACGGCCACGCCGAGAGAGCGGAAGCCGCGGTGAGCGAATTCCTGAGCTTTGGACTTATACAAATCGGCAACATCTTTCGAACACTTGGTGAGCTGGAGCACTGCTTTCGGAGCGCCCTTGGTGCAAGTATACCGAATGCCATCGCAAGTCGCGATAGTCACAATCCGCTTCGAAACGGGATCGAAGGGCGTGAACTTTTCAGTCTTCCATCCGCGGCGCAGGATCTCTCTAGCCTTAGGGTACTGTCTGAGAGTCAAGATAGTGACCTTATCGATCGGATCGAGGGATTCGATATTGTGCGAGGACGCCAGGCAAGCCACGGCAAACATCCAGTCGACGTCGACGCCTTCTGACACGAAAGGATCGCGGATGCTCAGTTTATTCGCTGTCAGAGTTCCGGTCTTATCAGAACAGAGAATATCCACACCCTAATGCTGTTAGCACTAATCACACGAATAGAAACTTCTGAAGCAAGACATACCGCCAAAGATTCAATAGCAGTCAGCTTCTGCACAATGGCCTTCTTCTTGGCCAAATACGCAGCACCAACAGCCATGGTCGTGGTAGTGACGACGGGAAGACCGACGGGGACACCGATAATCAGCAGAGATAGAGTGTAGTGAAGCAGAGTCTGTTGCGGGGGAGAAGCAATAGGAAGATGGCGGAAGAAACCACCAATCCACGCGACCAGAATCCAGGCCATAACTAGAACCAGAAGAGACATTCCGATATTGTCCATGACGATTTCAAAGTGACCCGCGCCCTTTGCACCCTGCACCATGCTCGCAGTGCGGCCAACGAAGGAAGTCTTTGCAGGAGTTTGAACTACAGCAAAAGCCTTGCCACGCTTGCATCCAGTTGTATAGTAGATCACATCTCCCATATAACGATCCACGGCGAGAGACTCTCCGGTAATGGCGGAATGATCACAGGCCAGAATAGGGTAGCCGCGCTTGCGTGTACGCTGGGACTGCTCGCCGCCGCCCTCACCGTCGGCATTGCCCTCCTTTCCGGCATCGGCATTGCCTTCCTTTTCGGCATCAGCATTGCCATCCTTGTCGGCTGACTTGTCCGGGACTGCGACATTTTCCTGGTTCGCCCCTTCGCCTTCCTCTTCGTCAGACTCGGAACCGCCGCCAAGCATGCCTTGTTCCTGCAGCTGGTTGAACTCTTCCCAACCGTTGGGGTCATTGAAGTCACAGATGACTTTGGCATCGGCTGGGACCACTGATCCTTCGCCAACGATAATCTTTTCATATAGTCAATACATGGATACATGTGAAAGAACTGGTAGACATACCACGTCACCGGGTACCAATTCACGGGCCAAAATTTCCTGCTGGTTGCTGTCGCGTATGGTGATGGCACGCATGGCGATATCACCTTTCAGACTGGCGACGACGTCGGCGGCTTGCTTTTCCTGATACCAACCGACTGCAGCGTTCAGACACAGAATACCGATGATGACACCGAAATCGATCCAGTCATCCAGACCAGCGGCAAGCAAGACCGCCAGCTCCATGACTATACTACATGTTAGTTTTTCCTCCAGTATTTCCAAGAGCATTCTACTCACCGTAAAGAATAGGGCCCCGGAAGTAAGATATGACCTTGGCAATTGGATTCTCTTTCTCGGAGACCAGCTCATTCCATCCCGCGCGCTGTCGTCTCTGAGGGACCTCTTGGCTCGAAAGACCCTCTCGAATATCGGTGATGAGCCAATCGTCGGGGAATTTGCCGGCCTGGTTCTCGCGCTTCTTGACATGGACCTTGCGCTTCTTCCATGGCGCATACCAGAGGCGCTTCCACTCGACTTCACCCTCTTCCTCCTCTTCTGTAGGCCCTTCGCGGTAAGTAGAAACATATTTGACCAGTTTCCCGTACTCGTCTAAAGTAGACCAGTCCTCCTTCAGAGAAGCACGAGAGATGCGAGAGCTTCTTCGGCGGGAATCGCCATGCTCCGCATCGCCTACGCTCGCCATGTTGGCTGTTTTGGGGAAGGGAGACCACTCGAATTGAGCCAAACTGAAGCGGGGTTGTTGAGAATGCCCTAAAGGGGAAGAAAGTCAAGGGAAAGCAGGGAGACCGCGAGTAGAGACCTGCGACACTGGAGAGATGTAAAGGGGACCCTTCCTATCTTCGGCCCTTCAATGCACCAGCAGTCAGGAAAATTCCAAGCGAGAGGAAAATAGAGAATGAGCAATGTGCTACAGGCCAGTATATTTCCCTCTGTCAATCATGCTGACGTCGAGACTAGGAAGCTGCCGGCTGGCAACGACCGCAGAGAGAGCCCTCTGGAAGGCCGAAAGGCACAAACAACCGATTCGAGGGATCCTTGACGGGTCTTGACGTAGAAGACATTGGACCTATCCGGACAAACCTTGTTAACAACGGGCCGTTTCTGACGGCCGTGGATGAAGAGGGTGACAGGCCAGTTTTGGCCCGAGCTGGCCACCCACCCATGGGTTCACGCGAGGGTTCCATGGACAGAGCTCCATGCAACAATGGTTCTGATCAGTTCCATGGACAAAACAAGAAAGTTGTACAACGTTGCAGCTTGTGTGGAGTCGACTTCTATGAACCCGGTCTCTTCCGCGCCATTGGCCCAGACCGAGCTATCCTCCCTGTCACTTCGAGCTCCGCTGACACTGCCCTAGTTTTATTCAGAGCTAGAGCTCATGGAATAGCAGATTGGTGGGGGTTTTCTATAACTATGTCCCCTGGCCCTGAAGCGCATGGATTTGAACCAGGTCGACTCGGTAGTCTTCGACGTCATGCTTTGAGCCTATTCCGCTGACACCCGGACATCTCGATCCGCATGGGGCCTCTCCGCTTCAGATATTCATGACTCATTGAAAGACCCCCAGCGCAAAACAAAGTTTGGGAAACAACGATGAGGAAAGGTTATACAACTCCTTGCCCAAGACACGCTGCTCGGACTGGACTGCCCATCACGTGATATAATTCAGCCCTATGCAGTTCTCCAGTCTCCACTATGTATCGTGGAGTAGAAGTGATATCAAGTAAACAGTGCCAATTGCGACAATATTGTTTAGGCCAAGCAGCACATAACAAGTAATGATTGACGGAACTATATCAGTTGCAATTTATGATTTACGCGAAGGAATGTGCCAAATGACGCACAAAATTTGTGTTTGATTCATCTAACATAGTTTTTGACATCTCGGCATTTGCGCTCAACACGCTTACACGTACCAGCGTTGCACATTTATTTGGCCTTGCCAGTAGGGATGTTGAAGAAGACCGCGGGGGCACCGGGGGCAGGAGCCCGGTCACAACGGTAGAAGCCCTTGCGGTCGAACTGGATAATGTCACCCTCTTTGAGCTGAGCAATGTTGCAGTCCGCAACGCAAGAGTCCCGGTGCTCGGTGTTGTAGTTGAGGACATCCTCCAGAACATCATCCTCGCTGAGCGAGTCCTTGGTCAGGAGGTAGTCGAAGTCAACCAGCTCGACAGGCACCAGCTCCTGGTCGGTCGACAGCCAGGTGACCTTCTTTTCGGTCTTCTTGACATCACCGGTCGGGTTCAGCTCCAGCTCAAGGTTGGTAATAACACCCGAGGCATCGGCAGAGATCTTGCGGATGAAGGCGTTGCCCCAGTTCATTAGGGTGATCTCCTCGTCCGGCTTGAAAAGCTTGGCATCGGCCTGCTCGAGAACGACGGAGCCGCTGAAAGCAACGGTCTTGTTGCCGACGGCGGCGTTCTTAGCGTGCTTGGCCTTCTGCTCGGTGTACGGGGCCGGGGCGTTGGTGATGCTGACCTTGACAATGTCCTTGTTGTCGATGGCGGTGTGGCGGGGGGCAACGGGGTCAATGTATTTTTTGTTAGTAGCCCAAATCAGAGCCCAGTCGAACAAAGTCACAGCGCGGGATGGGCCCTGCTTGAGGATGAACTCGCGGAGAGCAGGGATGGTCATGCCGCGACGACGGATGCCACGGATAGTGGGGAAGCGAGGGTCATCCCAGCCCCAGACAATGCCGGTTTCGACAAGCTTGGTGAGCTTGCGCTTAGACAGGAGGGTTCGGATGAAGTTCATGCGAGCAAAATCCCAGACCTGCACAGTGCGGAGCTTGAGGGCATCCAGCATCCACTGGTACTGGGGGTTACGGTCACGGTACTCAATGGTACGTAGGGCGTGGGTGACACCCTCCATAGAGTCGACCACAGGGCAGGCAAAGTCGTAGGTTGGGTAGATCTTCCACTTAGTACCAGTGCGGTGGTGGGGGGCGGGGTTGCAGCGGTAGATGACTGGATCACGCATGGCCTTGTTTTTGTCGTCAAATGAGATCTTAGCACGGATACACCAGCGCAGACCCTCGGGGGTGCCCTTCTTCATTTCCTCGAAACGAGCCAAGCTCTCCTCTGGGCTGAGATCACGACGTTGGCTGGGAAGACCGTCCCATCGCTGGGCAGCCATGGTTTCCTTGTCGGTATCATCGGCATAGGCATATCCGGTCTTGATCATCGTGATACAGTAGTCGTAGAGCTCATCGAAGTAGTCGCTAGTATAGGTCAGCTTGTTGGGCTTGATGCCCATAAGCGCAAGGTCCTCGACAATAGCATCCTGGAACTCCTGCTTCTCGTTCGAGGGGTTGGTGTCATCGAAACGAAGCAGCATGGTGCCGCTGTACTTCTCATGGGCAAAGTAGTCGTTGAGAAGGGCAGCCTTGGCGTGTCCAATGTGGAGGTATCCACTAAGCAAAGGGTCAGCATGAGCAATGGCAAATACGTAATCACAATAGGCAACTTACGAAGGCTCGGGAGGGAAACGGGTGACCACACCATTCTCAGTATTGCGCAGGTCAATGTCGTAGCTACCACCCTCCTTGGACTTGGCCAACTTCTTCTTCCGGTCGACGGCGTTCATAGACTCCACAGCGGACGAGGTCCAGGGGCACAACTCCTCCAGGAACCGATACCAGCGGGTCAGGTTAACCAGATTTCCCTTCTTCAGAGCAGCAACAGCAATGCGATTGCCACGGAGGGCACCCCACAGAGCAATGTCGGCAGTCGAGAGGGAGTATCCGACAACGAACGAGCGTAAGAGGAGGTGGGTGTCGAGACGCAAGAGAACGGGGTCGAGAGCCTTGAAGTCAAGGGGTGTGAAGGACTCGAGTTGAGAAATCCACTCGTTCTCCTGTGGATTCAATACATTAGTCTCGTGTGACCCATTTGATCGCGGGGTAACTTACGAGGTTGAGGTCCTTGCTAGCCAGGTAAGGGAATTGGGTACGCAGCTCCTCAATAGCCTCGATAGTACCACGGACAGAGCGGGAGCCAGTAGTGAGCTGGAGAACAGCCTTCTCGCCCTCGTCCAGAAGCGCAGAGTCCTCATAGTTGATGTCGATCACCGGAGTGGGACGGGCCTCGTTGATGGAAGTGGCAATGAGCACCACGGGCAGCAGAGCCGCATGGTTGGCACGCGTGGCCACGGTCAACGTAGACTGGGACATTTTGCACGAATTCGTGAGAAGTGTTACTCTTCAAAAGTTGGCGGGGCAGTCATTTCACTCTATCGCGATCGGCGTATCGGGACAAGGTTTTTCCGGGACAGAGCTGGCAGAAAACAATTGCAGTCAAGCGCCGAACTAATTGCTCCGTCATCGTTCAGCCATGTCGTCCTACGGCGCTGCTTTGCCCTCTGCGGCACGCGGCATTCTTTCATCATGCCGTTTGCCTCTTAGGGAGAAGTCAATGTCTCCCGCTTTTTCCGTCTTCCAGCAAATCCGAGGTGTCAAGAACAACCCGCAGGCCAAGGGCAAGGGGAAGAAGAAGGAAGCCAAGACGGAGCGGAAGGGACCCCGAGAGTTCCAGCAGAAGCATTTGAAGGATATGGAGCAGTTTGCTCTGTGTGATGCGATGCGGTATGTTTGTCTATACAGGACCCTGAAGGTCTATTAAGACCCGATCATTTTTTGACATTGTTCCCGCCGCAGCTATATCCGGGCCATGGAAGTTGGCCGCGAGCCGACAGTTTCGAAATACGAAGTGCACATTCGCATGCGGACAAGGAAAGACGGCCCTGTCATCCGAAACATGATCCGATTCCCTCACGCTGTCCAAACCGAGTCCCGAATCTGTGTTATTTGCCCTCCCGGTTCCAAGCAGGCCAAGGATGCAATTGCCGCAGGGGCTATTCTTGTCGGTGAAGATGAAGTGTTCGAGGCAGTCAAGGCGGGCAAGATCGAGTTTGACCGGTGTCTGGCTCACCCCGATAGTTTGCCGGCGCTGAACAAAGCCGCGCTAGGTCGCATTCTTGGACCTCGTGGTCTGATGCCAAGCGTGAAGACTGGTACTGTGGTGGAAGACGTCGCGTCGCGTGTCGAGGATCTCCGAGGAGGTACTGTATACCGTGAGCGCGATGCCGTCATTCGCCTTCCGATCGGTCAGATGGGATTCTCCCCGGAACAGCTCCGCGACAACCTGCGCACAACAATTGAGTCGATCAAGAAGGACGCCGCTGGACTGAACGACCGTATCAACAAGGAGATCTACGAAGTAGTGAGTATTCCAACCTTCAGAATGTTAAATTGTCTGCTAATGCGTTGCTAGGTGCTGAGCTCAACCCACGGCTCCGGCTTCAGCTTGAATGGAGAGTTCAGAACCGACAACTCCCCCGAAACCTCTGCCTTGACCGGCGTGTAAAATACCATCTGTCTTATATTCGATTGGCGTGTACAGATTATTGTTTTATTAGGAAAGGACATGGTGTATCATGGTATCATTTCTGTTCAATAGAGACTCCCGCAAACCTGAACGCCAACGCTATGCAACTCCAGCTCGCCTCCAACCTTTGTGGAATAGAAAGAGCGATCTATACCTTTAGATTCTTCAGCGCAGCGATTGCACTGACATCTTCTCCCATGAGGTCGTAGAGACGTAGGACTGCCATAGTTCTCGCGTCGCGCTTCTTCCCCGCTTGACTGGCCTGTTCCAGCGCAGTCTTCAGATCCAACAACACCGTCGACTTGATCTTGGCCACACGAGGTTGCTGTGCAAGTAAGAATGGATGTTGCTCGCCCACTCGTGTAGCAATGGATGTCAGGAATACATATTTCTGGACATGTCGCTCAAGCCGTTTCAACGAGACTGGTGTTGTCCCATCTTCCAGCTCCTCGTCATCGCTGCCCTCACTGTCACTCGAGTATATATCAGATTCGGAGTCCGATTCGTCGGATGCAGGAGCTGCCTCGGCCGGCGACGACCTATCGGCAATCATCAAACGGTGCTCCAATTCCTCAACTCGGTCCGCATAATCCAGGAGATCTTTGCCAATATCAGCGTGGGTGCGCAATTGGCGCTTCTGGTTCAATAGCAGCTCCACCTCTTGACGCCGAGCCTCAACTTTGTCGCGGATTGATTGCACATCGCGTTGGAAAGACAAGAGACCAACTTTTACACCTTCGACCTTCTCCTCGCCTCCTCGAAGCGCAGTCCCCAGTGATAGAAAGTCCTGATAGTTCTCGTTGACGAGGTCCAGCAGCTCCTTGTTTAAATATTGCTCCAGTCCCCGAAGCTCCTGTCTCAAGTCCTCGAGACTCTGGTGTCGATTAGTCAGGGTCGATAGAAAGGTGGCGGGATCGAAGTCGGGGGCGAGAAAGGATGTTCGAGCTAGCGGTTTGGGGAAAGGAAGGTCAGAGGAGTCCTCGTCGAAGTCGGAGGCTGACTCGTCGGAGTCGCCAAACTATAATTGAATTAGCGAAACGCATTAGAAAGTCAAATAGCGCAATGACATACATTGAATCGATTCATGGCGCGGCCGAATCAACGGAGGGAGTGAAGGAGAGACGAGTGGTGGAGCTTGACCCCAAACGTGTCGAGTCTTGGCATTTGTTTGGCAACTATGTACTACTTACTTTCCACGCAACTTGACTTCTAACTTCCCGACCTCGCTCCTGCGCCTCTCCTCTTCTGTCCGTCCGCTCAGACACTGCCAGCACATACTAGACAACGCATCTAGGGCGCATGTACCCTTCGACTTGAATGCCTCTTTGAGTACTCGGTTGCGCCCCGCATACTCTTGAAACGTGACGAGCGGGGTTTCTGCTGCTCTGCGCTGTCCTGCATTTACTCGAAGTGGTCCGCATTGGAGAATGGACCCAGACTCTCTGTCCGCGTGTCGTGACAGTAACCGGCTGTCCTCGTCCTTCGGCAGACAAGGATGGCCCCGACAGTCTCCGTCCTATGCGTCTCCAGCGGGTGATGCAGGCCCCTCACACCACGCCACCTGGCGGCTGTACGAGTCAACTGTAGATGAGCCGGATAGAACAACCCGTGTATCGGGCCCGTGCCAAATGAACGGAGACTCAAGACCTTCATCCCGAAGAGACGGACTCGTTAATCTTCTTCCTGAACGGACTCACACTACACCATCCCAGCCAGTACTGGTCAGATCGTATTCTGGCAATGCCGAAGCTACGACAGTCAAGCCGTCGCCCATGTCTCCGCGCCGCCTCTTTCCATTCTCCGGCTCCAAGAGCTCGGTTCCCCCCTGTCCCTCGGATCCGCCGCCCCCGTCGGACAAGGATTTCAGTATTGAAAGCATACTGCAGGCCATCGAGCCCGATATACAGGGGACCTTGGATTCGATTGCCGAGATCTGCGGACGAAGCAAGCTGAGTCTCGCCAATGAATATGGCAGCCATATTGCGCCGCTCGGAGAGATTCGCGCTTCTGCAAGCGGCTTGGTGCCTGTCGAAGAGGCTAGCCAGAGTGACGAACGAAGTGCCGACGAGGGTGTAGTTATATTTGATGATGACCCTGGCCTGGTAGAACCTGGCCGTGATATGCACCCGTTCTCCTTCTATCGGTACCTGGAGAATCTTCGCCAGGCCGCGTCGACGTTGGAACGCAACGGTGCGACGGGCTCGGTCTCATCAGCGCACCCCAATGCTTCATCATCCGCTACTGTGGCCGCTTACATGAATGCACCGGAGTTGGACGTTGCCCCCTTGCCGGCTTCTCGAGAGTTTGTCTCGAGACCAAAGAACACTGGTCGGAATCTTCTGGCGAAGAACAATACCTCTGGCCTAGAAGATCACTCTTCTCCAGATATTTTCACCCCAGCCGTTGTTTCCGAGGTTCGTCTTGATGCCCAGGCTGGTGGGAGAAATGCAGACACTCACCCATCTGTTCTATCGATGGATCCCTACGAGTCTTCTGGTAATCGAGCGCCAGAGATAGTTCGCTCTCTCATTAGCTGGCTGAGATGGACTGCGCGAGTCGCTGGACCGGAGTCTCACCCTGCTTTGCAGTCAGCGGAGGGCCGACTACGAGCGATGCTGGAACCCTCCGTCCAGGACGGATTCTCCCCGCAATCTGTTTGACCGTATTTTGGATGCACGTTGGCAGTTGTGCACCCTGTAACGATTTACAATGACTGACGATGATGACGATGATTTTGATGTATAATGAACCCCAATTACGAGCCTCACTTAACTGATGATATTCGTGCAGTTTGGGGTCTGCAATTTATCGAACGTTTCTTGCAAATTTGAAATGTATTTTGATTGTCTCGTAGAAACCAGCGAAGTGGTATAAACAAGCAACGCCTTAATAAATGCTCAATGCAATGCAATCAGCCCCCCATGATCGCTGGATATAATATCGACAACCCTTTCCAAAGCCATTCTTAGGACGCCCCAGCCGTGCTCTCCGCACCCCCAAGTAAAGTCTTCGCAAATTCCTCGAATCGCGCATACGACCAGCCCTCCTTGTACTTTTCCACAAGTGGCCTCAAATCCGGCTCCGCAGGAGCTTCAGGCTGCTCGTCCTTGTCCTCATCCTCGTCGTCACTCTCCTCGACTTTGCCTTCAACCAGCTCTCCAAACTTGACATCCACTGGCACCTTGCCCAAAAATGGAATCCCCAACTGCTGCGCCATGACTTCGCCTCCACCACTCGAGAAGAGGTTACTAACCTCGCCACAGCACGGACAAGCATACCCGGACATGTTCTCAATGACCCCAAGCACTGGGATACTCGTCTTGACACAGAAATTCGCCTCCTTGCGCACATCTGAGGTAGCGACAGCCTGCGGCGTCGTCACAAGCACCGCACCCGTAAGACGGGGCACATTGCGCTGCGCCGCAGTCGCAGCATCTGCAGTAGAGAGTGTGAGAAGCTGCTCCGCTAACGCGATATGCTCGTCACTCGTGCCGGGCGGGGTATCAATGAGCAGGTAATCGGTCGCTCCCCACGAAACATCGGACAAAAACTGTCGAATCATGGCTGTCTTCTTAGGTCCGCGCCAGATGACGGCGTCGCCGCGGTCGCGGAGGAGGAAGCCTAGAGACATGCAACGGAGGGAGCCGCGCGGGGGTGTAGATGAATCGGATTGTGCGGGCACGGCATCATGGACTGGGACTGGCAGCCAGCCATTTGGAGATTGGGTGATCTTTGCGTCTTCGAGGCCGACGAGGCGCGGGATTGAGGGGCCTGTTAGGTCTATGTCGAGGATTCCGACAGATTTGCCTTGCAGGGAGAGTGCGAGGGCCAGTTGGAGGGTAACAGAGGATTTTCCTACGCCTCCTTTGCCGGAAAGCACCTGCGACGAGGGTTTATTAGCGTTCGTTTAGTAGAATGACCCAACTGGTAGCTGTTTCGATGTTGCGCACACTCGTCGCCTTCGTTATCGATAAGCCGCGAGGGGCAATTTCTGCGGCGCTGTGTATACAGGCGCATTATGGTTTCCAGAAAGGACTTACTAGGACAATATTCTTCACTCCGTCTAGAGGCATCTCTGCGGGTCCGATCTGTGTAAAGTCGAAGTGTAGAAACGATGGCGGCCGTCAAGAGTGAGGAGGGCCGATGTTCGGATGCTTATCAATCGGGCTCTGACTAAAACGCGGGTTGCGGATGAAGGCTTCTACAATGCAGTACAAGTTGGGAGTTGGGGTTTTGGAATAATCCTTTTTGAAATAATCCTTGTTGACATACATCGCTAGTCTGCCTAGAAGACATGATGACGCCAATATCCATGATCGGTCATAATTGGTCCATAGGAGTCTATTTGCCCTGGACACTCACTTTTGTTTGAGCCATAGTGAGGAAGGATAATTAGGTGGCGGGGGATTTTATGTCCATTTCTGGACGACAACACCTCCACGCTTGAATTCAGGAAGCTCTTCGAGGGCCTGGTCCTTGTCCTTAAGCTCCTTGCTGGGGAAGGTCGTCATCAGCACCCATGGACGGTCTCGGCCATCCGGAGTTGCAGCGGAAACGAATGCATAGACTTCGCCGATGGTGGCAGTTGTGTTGAAGCGAGAGGTCAGTCGGGTACCATCACCCAGACGGATCTGAAGAGTGACGGTCGGCTGTGATTCATCCACCTTGTGCGTCGGCTTCCAATCGCTAGTAGTAGTGGGTGCGGGAGTGGCGGATGAGGATGTAGACGCCTGGCTCTGAACGCCAGGTGTCGGGCTGCCGAGACGTTGGCCGGCACCCGCGAAGGGCTTGTACTTGGGCTTTGGCTTCGTGTATTTTTCCTCGTGCTGCTTCAGCTCCACGTCCACTTCCTGTCCCGCCTCGACGTTCATAATCGCAAGAGGGGCACGTCCTTGGCGGATGCCTTCGAGAATCTCGGCGTTGCGGGGGTCATCCGTGCGGTACAGTTCGCCTTCATCCACCGAAAAGCCATCCGTCCAGAAGTGGAGGGTCCGTTGAACACGCTGAGGGCGCTGCGGCGCCGATCCGGTGGGGTCTTCGATCACCCGGCTCGGGGCATCGTCACCACCCAAGGTGCGGGCAGCTCCGGTGAAGTGCGAGGGTCGCGACTGGGGCTCATCTGAAGGTGGGGGCTGTGCTCTGTTCATAGATATTAGGATCAGCACACTACAAAACAGCGGGTATTTCCCGGAACTTACCTTCGGGCCTTCTCAAGAATCTTCTTCTTCAGATCATCCGGGTTTTGCACGGCCAAGCCTGACTTCTCTCCACCAGCGAAAAAGTCCTGGTCCACCGAGCCGTCGCTGTCTGAGGAATCATGCTCATGTCCTCCGGCAAAATCGCCCAATGTTGCAAACTTCTTCTTCGGCGCGGCGCGTTTCGTAGAGGATGTAGACTCAGGTGCGGCGGAAGAGGAGGATGGAACAGGATCTCCGCCTAGAGTACGGCCAACCGAAGCTGCTCCAGAAGATCCTTCGGCTCCAGCTTGCCTACCACCACCAGTATTCATGCCCTGCAGAGCTTCATCTTGCTCCGTAAAGAACTCGGTCACCGCAGCTTCCATATCCCATTGGTTTGCTGCGAGGTACTCTTGAGCCTACAGAAATAACAGGAAAAGGTCAGCGGCGTGTCAGGAAAGGAAAGTCACACGAAGCTTACCTCCGCGGGTTGAGTGCCTGTCATAGCACAGAACTGAGACACGACCTCGTCGTGCTCTGCCGGGTTGTGTTCCATAATTGAGCTCGGCAGTCGAGTGCTGGGGAACGGGGGATGCGGAAGAAAGTATATAAACTTTCGGAGAAGAAAGAAAAGTTGATTGTGAGGTGCGCGAGGTAACAAAATGCTTAGATGTAGGAGTACAGCAAGATGAAATGGACGAGACAAATCAACATCGCGGCAGATACGTCACTCGCCATTGGTCAGCCGGAGGATAGGATCTTCCGCTCCAGCAACACCTCAGGCGGAATTCGATCTATAACCGACTGTACTTCAGCATCTGATGCCTCGGGGCCATAATCCTTTACTTCCCTACTGACATACGATAAACCGTACATAATAAAAGTATTCTGATTAGTGCGAGAATGATGTACAATGCGCATCCGTCTTTTTAGCTTGTTCGGGAAACTTCCTGAAGGTTACTCAATCCACGCCGTCTAGGAAGCTATTTTTTTGAAAGGTTCCTGCAAAGCCTAGTCTGCACAAAGGAGAATTCTATAATTCAAAGCAGCTCATATTGTAAGTATCATCTACTGGTGATGGTGAATGTACAGTCCCCACCTTGAGCCCGGTGTGAATAGCGGACATTAAGAAGGCAATATAGGTTACTTCTAGAACATTAATATGCTGGTTCAACACATTTGAAGAAGCGCTCGGAAAGTCGTTTAGAAAGAAAATTATCAAGATACGAACCCTACGTTGTGACTTGGGTAACTTAGACTTCAACCACCTTTAAAGTACGGGTCGATATGCTGACATAATAAGAGTACCCACCTGCACTCGCCAGCGAGGAGCGCAGTTTGTTGACTGCTTGCTCGATTTTGTCCGCTCCCAATCCAGAGAACCCCTGGTCATATACGATCTTGCCGTCTCCGTTGGCACTCAAGACTCCAATTCTTGTCCCCGATGGCCTCCGATGCGGCCGGCTCACAAGTCGACCTCTACGACTCGGCCATGACAGTCCCCTCCGACTCGGAAAACTACTCGGCGAACAACGAGATGTCCTCCTCTCCTTCTTCTACCTCTAGCTCGCCCATGATTCTCTACCAGCCCCCGACTATCTGGGGACTCCTCCGCGGGGCAGCTATCAACCTGTTCCTCCCGTTCGTGAACGGCTTGATGCTTGGATTCGGTGAACTGTTTGCCCATGAAGCGGCTTTCCGCCTGGGATGGTCGAACACCAAGGTGCGCTACAAATCCATGCAAATCGATAATTCACCCGCTCCTGTTACTGACTATTTCTTTGTACTAGATTTTCCCGATGTACCGTCGGTCACATCCTGTGGGCCCAGGAGTGGACATTCGAGAGCTCCCCTCCGAGCGGAGACGGGCAACCTCCGCAGCTGGTATCAACGACACAGCGTCCCTGGAGTAAACAGTGGATGGTTATTCTATAATCCGGTCCAAACCCACAGGATTCTCCTCGAAAAAAGAAGGCCTGCATGGGCGCGGGAAACAAAATCAGTACATGTTTGATTGAAGTGATACCTTTGGTCCACACCTGGAAGAAGAGACTGTACATAGACTGCTCAGAGGGCGCCTGGCGAACTGGGATTTACTTTTCACAATGTTACTAGAAATATCGACATCGATCTATCTTATTCAATTCGATCCAGTTCCAGGTCAACTGTAGACGCGGGTGTTTACCCGCGACACTCCGCTCGGCAGAAAAAAGTCTCTCCGATTGCTGGAGACTCGACTCGCAGCTCTCACCCACTCCATCACTCAATTCAACCACCATGATTGGAGCTGCTGGCTTGAAAGGGCCTGGTGTGGCTGCTGCCATTATGCGGCAACGGCTTGCTGCGATTCCTCGATCTACGCGATCGGTTCGTTGTTCCTGGATACTCCGGGGTATCGGAAGTTGAAGTTGACTGGTTTCGCGCAGATATCAACCTTTCGGCCGCAGCGCCCTCGGGTCCCCGGCCAAGGCCAATTGACTTTGGCATCTTCTGGGGTCACCTGGCATAAAACATCTCTTGCTGTTGGCCCGGCCGCGATTCGTTTCAAGTCCTCCATGCCCGAACCGGCACCCTCTCCCGTTCCCGAGACGACCACCCCAAGCGAGTTCGTTGAAGCGACTGACCTGTCCGATTTTGACCTCTCGACGATTCCCGAAAGAATCGGATATCTGAAAGAACTTGGGCTGGACTACGGCTGGGGTTCATCCTCGGTAGCCCAATATTTCATTGAACACTTTCACGTCTGGGGAGGGATGCCATGGTGGGCTGGCATCGTCGCCACTGGTCTATTGTTCCGCGGTGTTCTCCTTCCCTTCGCGCTCATGGCTTCCGATCAAGCTGCCAGATCTCACAACGCTAAGCCTTTGACCACTCCGCTCCGAGAAGAGATGATGCGCCACTTGCAACAAGGCAATCAACTCGCAGGCCAGCAGAAGAGGGCCGAGCTTAGCGAAATTCACCGGGCACATGGCATTCAGGTGTGGAAGACACTCGTTCCCCTCCTCCAAATTCCGCTTGGTTTCGGAATTTTCAGAGCCACTCGCGGCATGACCAGCCTACCTTTGCCAGCCTTCATGAATGAGTCCTTCTTTTGGATCAAAGATCTGACTGTGGCCGATCCGATTTACATCCTTCCCATGATCACTTCTTTTGCTATGTACCTGACGTTCAAGGTTCGTTGCTTTCTGTATCTCTCCTCAGCGCCAATTGCTAATTATGATCACAGAAAGGTGGCGAGTCCGGCATGATGGACTTCATGAAGGGTCCGGGTCAAATGATCCTCTATGTCTTGCCAGGAATGTCTTTCCTTTTCATGGCGTTCCAGCCAGCGGCCTTGCAACTTTATTTCGCGTCCACCGGTGTCTTCGCCTTTTTTCAATCCACTATCATGCACAACCCCTGGGTCCGCGACCTCTTCCGCATGACCATGCCCATCGGTGGCTCATCAGCGCCCACACTTGACCGGACACAAAGTGCAGGCGTAGCGCGACTTCAAATGCGGATAGCAGAGGAAAAGCGCCGTGCGGCCGAAATCAAGAAACAGCCCCAGGAAGAGGCGCCTCCGGCATCCATCACGAAGGTTAGCTCCATTGATCAGTGGATCCAAGGTAAAAAGAAGGGTTTCAGCCAGTGGTCAGAAGATGCCTCGAAGTCAATGAACAAAGTACTAGGCAAATCTACTACGAATGCCGATGGCACGCCTGTTGCGGGGCCGCGTCTCTCTGACGCGGAGCACAGGAAGGCGGAAGAATACGAGAAGGAGAGAAAGTCGGCGGATGCCTTTGCTCGTGAAGAGCGTAACCACGCCCGTCGTCAAGCCCATATGCAGGCACTTGCGGCTGAGCGGGAGAAGGCTAAGGCTTCCTGGCAGAAGCAGCAGGAGGCCGCAGTCAATAACCGGCGGCGACGGAAGTGATCTTACTTGATGTGTATAACCTGTACAATATGGCGCTGTACTTTGCATTCTGATTTGATGTATTTTTGGATTAGACTTCAATTCAACCATACTCTCCTATAATTACGGCACTTCTATCCGTTTAACAATCCAACGTTGGCCAATCTTAAGCTTTTTGTAGCTCTGTTTGTCTATATTTTGAGTACATCGTAACGTTAGACCTTCACTGGCGAGAGTGTCCGGTAAGTAAGAAAGGATGTACATCCAATTTCAATTTCTCTACATGTTTCAATATAAACACGGTATTCAAGTGAAGTCTAAGATTGAAGTCGAATGTATTCACAGCATCTATATAAGCTACAAGATCCCAAGCCGAACGCCGAATATATTTCCATAGCGCCTCAAGAGCAACCCAAAAGTACCATAGGACCTTCCAAGGTTCCAAGGTGGGAAGCCAAATGCGAACAGATGCAAAGAAAAAAGAAAAAAGAAAGGAGAAATCAAGAAGTCTGCATGGGAACAGACACATTAAGCAGCGGCAAATCCGCCTGATCGTCCTCGACAAAAACAGCCCGCTCTAATTTCTGTGTCATGCGAGCACAGAATGGATCCACATGTGCAGTCCAAGCTGCCGCAACCGCATAGACCATTCCAATCCAGACAGGGATACTGATAGCAACAACCCACGGCGGACGAAGCGGCAGCCACTCTCGCTTGTCGTCAGTTAACGCCTCGGGTCCTTCCCAAGGCTGGCCACTGATTCCATACAGCATCCAGACGAGAATAACTCGTAGCATGGTGCCGTGAACTAGATAGACAGCGAAACTCTGTTTGCCCAGCCAGAGCAGAACCGAGTTTGCGAGAAATTCCTTGGTTGATGGGGAGAGGTAAATCGCTAGGATGATCAGGTCGATTCCAAGTGCTGTGTAGCGTTTACCGATGTCGGTTTCTGGTGGGAAGATGTGTTGTGCTAGGTCGAACATGGACTTGGACCAGCCCATCCATTCGGGATTTTCGCCTGGGTACGAGGCGACTAGGAGGCCGATTATCGCTAGAGGTACGGTAATCATTCTGCGGCCGTAGGTGTGGGTTTTGATCCAGTTTTTGAGGGTCGTGGAGTGGGAGAGTTCACTCAGAAGCATTCCGTAGACAGCTTGCATTTGGAACGTTTCTGGTCACTGGTTAGTATTCCATTGCTTCCACTTCCGCCCAATTATAGTACGTCCTCGGAATGAATAGGAAGTTAGTACTCACCTGCATTCTTCGCAGGATCCTGATAGAAGTATACGATCATGCCAATATAAACAGCCACTCGATACTGGAACTTCATGAACATGGTCGCAACAAGCAGAATATACACCAACATGGCCGCCTTCAGCAGTGGCAAAAGAGCCCATTGGTGGTCATCGTACGCCATATAGCCCGTCGTCCAAGTAGACAAGAAATTCTGCCCTAAGCGTATGATCTCTTTCCAGAGAGAATCTTCTAGTTCAGGAGCAGCATATCGACACCACCAGCAACTAGAGCGGTTGGCAACGACAAAGCCACCGAATTGCGCAAGAACCCATGAAATAATCAAAGCAATCGTGGCGGGGAATATCAATCGCGGCGGTCTGCGAAACGCGCTTGTAGCGATAGTCGTGAAAGACGCGGCTGTATCTCCAGCTCGAGATTGTTTAAGAGGCTTTATAGCGGAGACGTAGCCCGTGAGGAAGGCAAATATGGTAACGCCAATACGGCCTTGCCAAGGGATGCGGAGGATAGGCCACTGTAGGACTCGCGGTGCTGCGTTTGCATCATCGCAAGGCGAAAAAAAGTTTATAATCCCAGGCGCGGGCGAGATGAGTGAGTACGACTAAAAACGAGGCGATTCCTCGAAGACCCTACATGAGAGGAAGCCCATGGTCAGTTGAAGAAAGTCTTGAATGGAGCTGGTGGTATTCATACATCAATCCACTTGACGCTTTTCCTTGGATCGCCTCTCTCCAAAGCACCACCCTGACTCCATGGCAAGACTGCGGGGATAGTTTCCCTCAAACGAGTGTAAAAGGGCATCGGTTTAGCGAAAGCCATTGTTTATATCAAAAGGACGGCCCGGTTCAAATATCAAACCGCATGAGGGCCACCGAATCCGCCCAAGAGGTCGAATTGGATAGGAGAAAGAAGAAGCATACGCCACACAGAAGATGAAAGGAAAGGAAGGAAAGAGATCATCCCACGAGGGCTAGGGCATGCATCTCTCCATCCACGCGTATGAGACCTGCCAAGAAAAAAGGGGGCACGCGACTCCTTCACGGAGATGCTCGTCGAGAGTGATAAGAGAACGAGCTGAAGAATACGAGCGTATGGAATGATCCAATGGCGCGATCGAGACGGGCCCACGCCGTCGAACCCAAGGCCCAGAGGAGGCGAATACGCTGGCCATCGAGGGCAGGAGGCGGGTACTGTCGATCATGACGACGGATCGAGAAAGTATACACAGCCTTGGTATTTGGTATGCCAGGAGGAGAAAAGCGTCATACGTTGCGAATGAGGAGGGGGTTGGTCCCTTGCAGCGGCCGGGAAGCAGAGTCCCTGCAGGGCACGGCGTGAAGATCTGTTTATCTTCATCTTTCCAAGATACTACACTCAAATCCTGCTTGAATCCCATGGTCGTATGCAACTATCATCGAATACACAAGTGAAATCAGGTCCGTGGCAAGGAATGGCCTCCTAGATTGGGTAACCCAAAACAGATCCTCCGGAATGCAGGTTTGAAATTAGGGCTCGTTTATATGCGCACGAGTCCTCTTCAGCGTAAAGATCCGCATGAGTTGCCACTTATCATCTAATTCCAGCAAATTCAGAGATGGTATCGATCTTTTTATGTCCCGCAAATCCCTAGGTATAGAACAGAAATAACCCAGCAGCTATGTATGATGATTCGACGAAACCATGAACCGGACTTCCCACGTATAAGGTTCCAAAAAGCCAGGCCCAGCCAAAACGCCCATGCAGTAGAAAAGAAACGGTTCATTAACGGAACAGTCTGCGGCCACCAACACTGCCCGAATTCCATGTGACTGAACCCTTGACTCCCAAATTGTCCAGGCTCATCCCCGAGAAACCGACACCTCCACCTTCACCGTCGCGTTTCGAGCGTCGCAATGCTTCACGCAAGTGTGCAGGTAGAAGTTGACCCCTGTGGGGATTGGGTGGTGGTCGGAATTCGCGGTGCGGGCGCAAAGGCGCCGAGAACTGACCCTGTTGTTGCAATGACGGAGAGCGAGAGATGTGCTTGCCAGGAGCGGATGATGATGTAGAGTTGGGGTTGTGGGCCGGAGTGGAGGAGGGCCTGGCTTGGTCTGTGTCAGGCTCTTTCTTGACGCCATTGTCGACGCCTGGAACGGGAGTTCCAGATGGTGTAGGTGTTGCTGTGTTGGATTGTGTAGTCGCAGCTCCAGCCTGCGCTTTGGCCTGCGCTTTCTTCTCGGCAGCCTCCTGTTCGGCTTCGAACTCGGCCCGCGCAGCTTGATCGTGTGCCGCGGCCCATTCCGCCTGCACCGTTCGGGCCTTTTCCACCATCTCACCCGCGAAGACTTTGGTGAATCCGTTGACCGTAGTGACGACGCTGGCGGGAACTGATTGTGAGAGGGCGTGGTTAACGATTCGACGAAGCGATTCCTTGCGCAGCTTTGCACGCTTGAACAAGTCATATCGCTCAGATTGCATGGGATTAAACGCATCAACCAGAATTCTGAAATCATGAACCACTCGTTAGCTTCAAATCCACATCACAATAGCGAGAAATAGCTATAAAAAGCGGAACATACGCCAGGTTCTTCTTTTCAGCCTCTGTATCAGTTGTGCCTTCTTCACGGCCCAGAAGCTCGCCCTCATCGTCGTCGTCATCCTCATCACCATAATCGCCGCCGCCGCCGCCGCCGCCGCCCATACCTCCTCGTACTGAGCCCTCGGCGTCAGCGGATCCTAGCCGCGCATCTCCTGCTCTGGAACTGAGAGCATCCTCGCGTTCGCGTTCGCGCTCTTTCTCTGCCTTGCTCTTTCGTCCGCGCTTCTTCCCGCGCGCTGCTCCGGCAAAGATACCATCTGCACTTGTTCCGCCCAAACTTCCAGTGTAACTGCCCGTCACGCTGCCCGCGTCGCTGGCGGCGCCGAAACTACGTTCTGCTTCGAGTGTCGGAAATGATGTCTGGCGCAGGGGGTGCATGCGCGCCTTTTTGCCAACAGGTAGTGATGCTGTTGACGAGAGGGAGGGTCGTTTGAGAGGGTTGGCAGGGGATTGGTATGGCGGTGGTGACGACATTTTGAAAGGCTGTCAAGAGAATTGAGTGTGTCCAGAATGCGTTCGTTGGGTCGCAAGAGGGAGTGGGGGACGAAACACAGCAGGTAAAGACGAAACTGATAGGGTTGGTCCAATCTGGTGAGGTGCTGTGGACTCGATGAGCTTCGCCAGAGCTGTGGATGCGATGATTTGAGAGGCGCAAAGCGACCTCCAAGTGAAGCCGGAGAGTTCCAGAGAAAAAAGCAGAGTTCCGTCACCGAAAGTGGATTGATTTCGCCAATTCCACACGATTAGTTGCCTGACACAGCTGTAGGTTTCGTCGCGCGATAGGCGATTTGATGTCGGAGCCGCGATGTCGAGATCACGCAGACCGCCTTCCCTTTTGAGACGCCGTAGTGAACGTTAAATGAACACACATCAGTAGAACAGGATAGAAGGACCCTTTCTTTGTACAGCTATTTACGTGATTTACGGGTATCGTGGCTATGTTTTATGCATGCAGGACGATGATTGTATGATAAAAATTCAATTATGGATAACGAATGGATAAATCACAAAAATAGAAACCCGAAAAGTAATCGCTGATATGATCCAGCTGAAACGTCAAATGAACGGAGCGCTCAGAGCATAGGATATGCAATGCTGCGTATTATGTAAAGACCGGAAAATCAACAATGGACATGAATCTCGAAACGGTGCGGAATGGAGGACAGACTGTGCAGCACGCCAAATGAAATAGGCGCAGTAGCAGAAGGAGGGGAAAGGTCGGAAGAGAAGAAAAGCATTGTCAGTTTCTGAGCACCTCAATAGAAGCAGTGCGCTCAGAACTTCTCCCCAATCCGGGGTGCCCCCCTGTCCAGTCGTTGCGCTCATAGTAGCGGAACACAAGATCGTAACCGTTCAGATCATGGACGATACGGTCAATGCGGCGGTAGCCCTCAACGTGCTCCATCTTAGGGCTGTGGCGCATGGCCTGGCGCTGGTGTGCCTCGTGGAAGCTGTTGGTATCAGCCTCGTCGAGGTTAGGCTTGGTCTCGAACAGAGTGATGCTGAAACGGCCCGGCTTGAAGATGTCGACGACTTGCTGAATGATGTCGGAAGTAGTCTTGCCATTCTGCGAGTGCGGAACATTGGTCTCGAAGGAGGCATACGAGCAGTGAGGCTCCGGCGTGACGTGCACGGTGAAGTAATGGGTCGGAGCCTTGCTATCCGGAGATGGAACCACACCGTTGGCGGAGAAGCCGCAGGGGGTGAAGAGGTATGCATCGATACGAGCGTCCGGGAACTTGCTCTTCGGGTAGACGTCCGACAGACCGCACGACTCGGAGACAACACTTCCGAGGGCGTGGCCTTCGGTAGTCAGCTCCGTAGGCAACGTAAAATCGCCCTGGACCTCAGGATCTTCCAGATCAGAGCCGTTGCTAAAGACATCGACATGCTCAATGCCCTCGTCCTTGTCAAAGTTGCGGTAGCGCTTGTCGGCCACGGCGGTGGCGTTGTCAAGATAGAACTGCTTGGCATTCTCCTCTTCCAGATCGGTCATCAGAACCTCCAGAGTCTCATCGTACTCATCACAATCGGCAATTGGAGCGGGCTTGGGGAAGCTGAGAACCTTGGTCTCGGTCTCGGTGAAGTTGGCTTCCTCCTGAGGGCTCGCCGGAGGAGTGAGCAAAGTGTTGGGCTCAGTCAGGTACAAGTACCAATGCTCTCCGTTCATCTTGCCAATCATGTAGGCACTGCCGTTGAGGAACAGCTTGTCCATGTTTCGAACCTCATCGCGCCAGCTGCGGTGAGGGCCACGCTGGCGGTCAGGGAACAAAAAGTTCTTGCGGCTGTAGAAGACCCGGTAGGGGGCCGCTGCCACAGTGATACCCCGAGACGGCGGAGCCGTAGCGCGAGGGAAGCCAGCAAACAGAGCGGCAATCTCCAAGATGCGCGGGAGACCAGACAGCAGAGTCGTAGTTCCACAAGTCTTCAAAATGAGCTTGTGCGGCCAGACGAACATGCTGGACTCGGACAACAGGTACGCGTCTACGTCATCAGACGAGACGATCGAAAGCACTTGGCAGTTGACGAGGTCCAGCATATCCTTCCAGATTTCACTCGGCACATTCTTCAGACCCTCCGGGCCTGCGGCGCCAAGCTCGGTGGCAGATGGCGCAAACCACACCTCGAGCAGCTTCTCAGGGCCTGATTTTGGGAGTTAGCATTGCCAAAAAAAAAAAAGCTTTTGGTTTACCAACCTTCAAAGGCATTGCTGGAGTCGAGATCCTGAGTAGCATCGTAGTTGATAGTCAGTGACGTACCACCGAACGACGACGGGGACGCGGTGTAGTTCTTGGGAATGCCGACGTGAACCATTTCCGTAGATTGTAGCAGCCGAAGCTAATGACTTTGCGCTGAACGGGGTTGAAAAGTTGTGTGTGAGGTCGGACCGCCCTAGGTACCGTTTGATGAAGACAAAAAGGCTTTAGAAGCACTGTCTACTTACCCAGACGAACAAGGGGGCAGTGCCCGTCTGAGAAGAGAAGGCCCTTAGGACAAAGTGTAGCTGGACAGACCAGGCAGGTGTAAAATCCCAAACAACCGAAGGGCTGCTAAGGAGGGAGGAAGGCGAAGGAGAGGAAAAAGCTGCGACAAGGAATGTTGACGTTCAGTCCGGTACCCTCGTGCTGGAAGATACCGATACTGGTCAAAGTATCGGGTCTAGCAGACGAGAGTATCTGCTTGTTGAAAAGGATATGGGAAAAAGTTGGAGATGGAAACGACTTGCGGGAGTCGTGCTATCGAGGCCTGATGAGAAGTTCAATTAGTACAAATTTGGTAGAAGCGAGAACCCCACAGTGTAAACAGAAATCCAAGTTAAAAAATGGAGCACGAGACTTCATTCCAGAGCAATTGCTCTCAAACAAGGCCATGTGGGTAATTTCTGCTCGGAGTCGCCAGATGAGGGGTAATGACGAAAAAAAAAAAACACCTACTTTGCTGGCTTGGACAGAAATCGCAGAAGATCCTTCGGGCTCATGAAAGATATGGAAGGATTTCGGCTTAGAAGAGCACAGTGTCGCGCGAGGCCACAGTCGTGAACATCAGCGAGGCAAAAGACGAAAGACTCTGTCTCTCAAGGCTGATGAGTCCGAGAATTGATTGCTCGGGATGTAGGAGAGACAGAAGGTGCTCTCTTAAAGTGGTTCTTTGGTTAATGCACAGCCGTAGACGTCGTGGTCGTTTTGAAGACCTCAACTGGAGGAGTGACAGCTGTAAAATGTTGGCCGTAAAGCTCAGTTCGGTTGGTAATGCGCGATTTTGTCTGTGGGCCCGAGCTCGTGGGGCGGCAACGGATCAAAATTTGTCTGACATCAGGAAACGAGAGCCGTTAGTTTGTGTGCCCTACGCCACAGGCGCAGAATTGATGCCAAATCTGCAGGGTTACACACCAGGGTGACAAGAGAGCAGAGACACGCAGTTCAGACCGTCAAAGACGATACCTCGAATATGGTGTGGTGAGAAAGCACCGCAATCGGTCGAGACTCTTGGAAACGCACGCGAGCGGTGAATCACGGCAAAATAGACTTCCCGCGTCCCTGACGGAAATAGGTAAGCGATCTATACAAATGCTTGGAGCCATCCTCCCTTTAATTAGTTTGATACGATCACGAGAATTTATAACGAGGTGGTCTAGGAAGATATCTTATAAAAAAAAAAACAGAGAGTAAGGTGTGTGAGCTTGGTAGATTCGAAGTCTGAAAAGTGCTGGAAATCTCAATGGCACGTGTAAACAGCCTCCCCTAACGCCCGATAATAACGCCGTATCCGATGGGAAGGACTAGAGAACCACTTTCCCTATCCACTGTGTTTTGACATGGTACACAAAAAGAACTACTTATGCCTCAAGCACCACGTGGGCCAGCTCCACCTCGTTGGCCTCGGCGATCCTGCTAGCAATAAGGTCTCCAACCTTCTCCGTCAAACGTGCGCGGAGGTCTTCAGTAACGGTAGCAGGGTGACCGTTGGTTAAAGACGCCTGGCTGTCACGAAGCGATGCCAGAACGCCGACAAGAGCGTTCAGCACGCGCTCAGCTGCAGGCCGACGAGCAGCGTCCTCAATACCATCGCTGAGTAGCCTGGAGTAGTCGGCGAGGTTGGGAATAATCAGAACGCGAACCACCTCGGCACCGCCCACGGCCTGTAACCCAATCACAGCGCCATAATGAGCGCCGAAAGGCTTGGAAGGGTCGAGGAAGCTCTTGAGACATGACCGCACCAGGCGGGGCTTAAGCATATGAGAAGATTGGGAGTATTTCTTTGAGATGAGTCCAAGTAGTGAAGCAGCGAGGTCTCGTAGAGCAAATTGTTCAGCCAAGTCAGCGGCTCCGCCGAGTTGGCGGCCGATCAGACAGGTCAAGATAGACGGGACGAGAGAAGCGATCTAATGCCGTCAGTTGCCTGAAATCAAGTGGAAAGAATAAATAAAGGGGAACTCACATAGGGGTCAACGTAAAGGGATGGGTTTTGCACCAAGGCCTCGGCCATGTGCATCACTTGGGTCAGAACAAAGATGTCCTTGAGGCTATGTGTGACCTTTTCGGCAATAAACTGCACAAAGTACGGTACCAGCTGGTGCAGACCAGGGTCTTCGCGCAGACTAGCATAACCGGAGGTCCGGTAGTCTTCACTTGTCTCATCCAAGAAAGCACTGCAGACCTTCTCGAAGTACAACTGGAGCTCCTTGGAGAGAACGTGCTTCACCAACGGTTTCACCGCCACGTCACCGGTACCACTCATCGCCTGGAGGGTCTGGTTGGCATTGGGACCCTTGGATACCAACTCGAGGTTGCGCGAGTCTGCAGCAGTAGGGTTCTGAGGAATGGACGGCTGGACGCCTTCCACGGCGAGCCAATGGCCTATGAGGGGTGTCAGTGAGCTTCAGGGCAGGCTACAGGTTAAATTTACTCACCAGTAAACGAAACCTCTCGAGGAACCTTGGGCAACGGAGCGTTGATGAGCTTCTCGAAATCCACTTCCTCGTCCTCGACGTAAAAGAGCGGCTGTCCAGGACCGAGTGACGCTTCGCCGAACCGCAGCGGGCGGAGGGACTCGTAGCCATATAGTGGTTCCACATCAAGGGTTCGTAAAGCTTGAGAGATATCCTGGGTTGTGAGGAGTGTCCGTTTTCCGTGGCGCATCGCTTTGAGCGCCTCTTCCAGCACCTGCGCGACACGGTACTCAACGTCGCGTGCGAGATTCTCGGTGACATCGTGGTTCAGGTTAGTGATGCCGACCGACTCCGCAACGTCCCGGATATTGTCCGGGTTCCAGACGGACATGGTGATGGGGTATGGAGCAGGATCGTAATGCGGATGGGACGATCGGAATTATCGAGATGGTCGAAGTCCAGAGTGATGGGTCTGGAAACAGCGCGCGAAAGGGTGATGGGCGGAATCCGTGACAGAACTAGAGTCGCATGCTGAGAAACTCTCGTGCCGGGTCAAGTGAGGTCAAAATAAGACCTGATACAACGATTGACGTCGACCTGGATGATGTCGCAATGTGAAGGAGTGAGCTCGGCGATGAGTGAAGTTGCGCGGGTGGTGCTACCGCGTCCCGTACGAGCTTTATGCTCTCTCCGTCGAACAACACTGACAATGTGAGGGGGAAAATGCTTATTATCTTTCACTGGCAAACACACTCTAATGAAATAATTGAATTGATTCGGACTAAAAACAAGAGTGGAGAGTGCTGACTACTGCTCCTCCGGGTATCACAACAGATTGCTCGCGAGTTACTACTTGGAATCTTCTTTCGCATCAAGCTTAGGCTCCTCCTCTTTAACGGGCTCCTCCTCGGTGGTATCCTGAGTAGGCTCAGTCTTTGCTGGCTCCTCAGTCTTGGCAGGGCTTTCTTGAGCAGTGCTCTCGCCCGCAGCGTCTGTAGGCTTGGTTCCCTCGTTCGTCTTCTTCTCTTCCTTGTCCTCGACCAACGGAACAGCCCGTGCCTCGTCTTTCAGATCCGCTCCCTTTCCACCGTAGGCCTTGGGGATCTTGTCTGCCACGGAAGTAGGGAACTCACGAGCCAGATTGACGCCATTGGTGATGGGGTGGAACTTGCGAGTGGTGTTGCGGCTCAGAATGAGCTTCATGGCAGTGAACATCCAACCCATGATAGCAGGGACGTTGACAAAGAACTTCTCCCGCAATAGCTCAGGGTAGGCGGTGGAGAATACATCGATGACCTTCTTGGTAGCAGTCCGAACGCTGGGGTCCATGCGAAAGAACTTTACGTTGAGGTAGTCGTGGACCTGAATCATCTGGTAGGGATCCTTTTCGCCGTCGTAGTCGATAACGGAAGTGGCATCCTTCATCTTCAGATCTTGCACGGCCATCTCCATCAGGGCAGCACGCCATTTGACGAACCTGGTTGTTGTCAGTTTCATTGCTCATCGTAAGTCGAGATTGGCAGTGCCACTCACTCGTCAGCATCCGCAAATGTTGCTGTCATGTCCTTCACTGCACCGTAAATGTTCCATGTGAACACCAGAGGGCGACCGTCCTCCTCGTATGTCGTCAGGTAACCCAGGCCACCGTATCTGGTCGCGCTGTATCGCCCGGACTCAACCAACTCAAGTGGGTTCGTCTCCTTGCGCCACTCGAGAGCTTTGGCCAGTTGATCCTCCGCTGCCTGGAGGTTGCCCTCGTTGGCACGCAGGAACTTGATCAGTACATTGACGGTAGGGATGTCCTCGCTACCCTTCAGGGAAACACCCCACATCTCATTATAGCCGGTCTTGCGGAGAATCTCGGGAAGGTGGTCAAAGAATTGTTCAAGGGACGGAATATTGGTCAGGTATGCGGGCTTCTGAGGTTTCTGCTCCTCAGGCGTGGCTTCAGACTCCGGTGCAGCAGCAGTGGCAGCAGAAGCATCTTGGGTAGGCTCCTCAGCCTTGAGATTCTCGCAATTGGCGGGTTCATCTGCCTGGGGTGCAACATCCTTGTCGGTGTTTTCGGTGACAGGAGCGGGAGTCTCAGCGGGCTTGTCGGTAGCTTCCACAGCCTCGCCCTTCTCGGGTTCAGCAGGGGTTTGTTCGACTGGCTTCTGGTCTGACATGGTGTTCAATGATCAGGAGAAAAGGTAGATGGAAAGGAAGTGAAACAGCTCAGGGGAAAAGAAGGGCAGGGGCCAGCTGCCTTGTCAACAAACCACTTATCAATCGGGTCCGGCGCGCCCCACCTGTCATCCGCAACGGCAGTTCAACTTTACCTTGAAATCCGACATCCCACCGTGTTCTGCTTACTATTTTCATATTTAGGGCTGGGAGGTTCATTTTCATGTGCCAGTATCCATTTACTACGATGTTGAGAAAAGGGCACCGGAACCATAGCAGTGTCATTTGCGTATCTCAAAGTCGATCGGCAGGCCGGCATCGGTCTAGCCCTGAGTTCGAAGTCCCGCGATCCAAGCCTTTGGACGTTCGTTCATGAAGAATATTGAAAATGGTCACACAGCATCTGATGAGCAAAGAGCCAGGGAGCTTGTTGAAACAGCTGCTATTAATCCTCCTCTTTCTAGCGACGCATGACTCCATCGGCGAGGTGCTTATAGGAGGGATTTTCTTTAGTGACTTGTTGGGGAATAAGCTATGCCCGTCATACCAAGTCTTCGCACTACACTCCTTCGAATAACTAAACGAATACCTAGTAAGATATCTAAAATACGGCATTCGAAACTTGGGGCAATCACTGGATTGTCAAAGCAGGAAGTAGAATAAATACTGCCTTCAGTATGCAGATAATGACCACCCGAAATTAAATCCATAAGATTGCGCCTCAACAGTGTACATTTGCTTTGGTTTCCCGCAGTCTAGAGAATTTTGCCGAATAACCCTGAGGCCTATGATATTGTGCTCCAAAATACCAAGGAGGAGAGGCCACCGCCGGACAATTTTGGCCGGGACTGGCTTTTCCGTCATCTCATGCGTATGAAGTGAGCATATATAAAGTGCGCCTGGTCTTGTATTGCTGGGCTGTTCAAATATAGCCAGAAGACGAGCATCGTCAGAGATGGCTAATATCGTCTTGTGACATTGGCCGAGAGGCAATTTGGCAGGATTCCAACGGGGATCGTCCTTCATGGCGACTTGTTCATCGGTCGATTTGTTCTGATATGCAACCTCCCATGCGATGGCAGCATTTCCATCACTGCTTTGGCTGCATAGTCCATATGAAGTTTGATTTCCTCGCTGCATAATGGCGACAAAGGACTGCGGATGGCCCGAACGTGGCCGAGATGGATTTTCTGGGTGGTTTCCAGTGCAAGGTAACAATCTTACACCGCGAAGACCAAACCAGTCGATTCGAGGTACTGTGTCGGATGCTAAGTAGACGTTGCTTAAGGCCGTTTGCCAATATTCCAGACCACTTAACGAGGCTCCCGTGGACTTCGTGCCGAAACCGCGATATTGAACAACCGTCGCACCTCCACGGTTGATTTCACAGCGTAACAATGTGTCCGACTCTGCAAACTCGACGCTCTGTGCCCAGTTGAGCGAAGTGCCTTGGAATGCGCACTCCACATGATCTTCGGAAGTCAGGCCTACTCCAACGGAATAGATGTGCACTTTGTTTCCTAGCGCCACAGCTACCAAATCTTGTTTGCCCGATAGAGCAATCTGGTATCTGGCGGCTTGGCCCCCCGAACAAAACCATTGCTGTGCTTTACTGACTTCCCCTGGCCGTGGAAAGATTGAGGGGCTTAGTGTAAGCTGAATTGTGCCCAACGGCGAAGCGATCTTCAGGTCTAGCCCTTGCATCTCGGTCCAAATTTTCCCCTGGGTAGACCAGATGGGAACATTGTTTGCGCAGTTCGACCGTGAATTGCGGATCTTTTTGCAATTGCTGACCCGAAGTCCAAGTAACTGGGTTTTCGAGATGTAATTGAACCACGACACCAAATCAGTGTAGGAAGTGTTATCGGGCAGCGAGTCTGTCATCGGTGTGCTTTTCAGTTGTTTCCGGAGAACATAATGAGCCAGAGCATAATCGCGCCATGTTCGGCATGTTCGCGTCACAGAATAGAATGACTCGATGTCGAGATATAGCAAGATTTTCTGAAACAACTCCAACGGAAGGCCGAGTGTCATTTCGACTTTAATTTGAGTTGCATTGAATGAACATCCCTGGGGTGGATTTGAAGTTGAACAAATCATCACGGAATAAGAGTGACGTTGGCCAAATTAAGTGGCGCAAAAGCAATTGTGCATACTGCCTCAACAAAAGGAAATGTTCAGCTGAACGCAGGGGTCATGCAAGGGACACTTTTTTTCTTTGTGCCCTTTATATCTGGAGTTCAGCTGCGCTGATCTTACTCCATATTCACCTGAGTGCCCCCAAGGTAGATAGGTAAAAAAAACTCCAATCTCTAAAAAGCAAGTTTATCTATGGCAGCCCATCTCACTGAACCGGCTTACAATAAAGAGTCGCTTTAACTGAGTTAGTCGCATGCATTTTGCATTCCAGTCCCTTCTCGTTACCCCTTGGGCGAGGGGCCTTGTCATCGGGGAAGGTAACGGGTGCTCTCCAACAGAAACAACATCGAAAGATTTTTCTTGACTATGATTCAATTATTCATGTTTCTGACATCTGAACAAGATCTAGGACTGCACGGAAAACCGATCGCCTCCATAGAGTTCATTCCCACTTCTCAAATTCAGACCTACAGTTGGGGATTGTTAGTCAAAACGTTTATTTGAACCTGCCTTCCCGATCCAGAACGCATATATATACAAGCAACGAAGATAAACTCACTGCGCCAAGAACCAATTACCCCCCATGTGCTAGATAAATGCTTCCATAGAGCCTTTCATCTTCTATCAAGGCCTTTCTTCCCATGTGGAGATGTATAGGGTTTCTCGACTTTGGTTTCCCTTTAGAGTAGCAATAGTCGCGTATGAAATCACGCTGGACTGAGACTGTTCAGTGCTGTGGTTATTTTAAGAGAATAGATAGATTAAAGAGCTTGAGAACAATAATTCAACCGGTGACATCTCCGTATAGAATTTTGGAAAATAGTTCCATGGAGGGCACCAAAGCCGGCTTAGTGCTGACCACATCCACCGGGAATCATCCCGCAAAGTCTGCCCCCGCAATCAAAAGCTCTATACAACCTCCCAAGAATACACCTGTTCACCCGAGCAACCCAAACGAACGATCGATGCAATGGACGACATATTACCGCGCCAGCCAATTAGTGTCATCGTCCCAGCGGAAGCACCATCCATAGAGAGTGAGCGACTACTTCTCCGCCCCGTCACCGAGGCCGACCTGCCCGCCCTGTTTGCCATTCGCTCGAGACCAGAAGTGGCTCGATCCAAGTAAGCAAAGCATCTGCCCATCAAACATGAAAAATCACCTCAAAGTTCACTCTAAGTACTGTACTGACAAGCCCAGTCACCCCAAAACCCCGTTCTCATCAATTGAACAAACCCGCGAATGGATCACCAGCAAGATATTCACCTCGGGCAACTCCGACGTGATGGGGCGCTCCTTTAACTATGCCATCTTGGATAAATCACTGCCCGAAACGCCTCTGATCGGCTATGTAAGTATCAACGAAGTAGTGCCCTGTCCTGAGATCGGGTACTCGCTGCTTCCCGAGTCGTGGGGGAAAGGGTTTGCCACCGAAGCGCTGCAGTTGATGTTGAAGGTTTGGTGGGGATTGCCGAGACGGAACTGGGGCGATGAGAGTGAGGTCGAGAGGGTTTTTGCTATCAGTGAGAGGGGGAATGTCGGGAGTTGTAAGGTGTTGAGGAAGTGTGGGTTTAAAATTGAAAAGGAGGTGGATTTGGAGGTGGATGAGCTTTTTGTTTGGAGTTTGGAGAAACCGCGATGAGTTTGACATACGAGATTGTATTTATGCACGGGCGGTGGCTCTTGCAAGGTTGAAGAGCGACCACTTGAAGGATGTAGTATAGGTATAGCCGCAGGGCTAAGCGGAATACCTGATCTATGACCCAAGTTAAAAGCCATTAGGTGCCAACCATCGGCAGATCTACGGCGAAAAGGATTTAATGTCTAAGTTGAGAGCGCCGTGGTAGCGCTCTCGATGCGTATCATTGAACGTGCGCGAAACCCAGAAACGACAAGAAAAAAAACGCACTCTGGATGCCTAGCAGCTCGTATACATAAATAGAACGCGGAAGTAATGTGAAACCAAAAAGCCGCTGGGGAATATACAGAGAAAAAAGAAAAGCGTAGATCGTATCATGTTAACACGGACTGGAGACATCGTGAGAAGACACAGAGACAAGGCTTGAGACCAAGGCTAGAATATGCAGTCAGACTATCTATTGTCCGTTGCGAAAGCGCTCGGGCATTTGGGGAACCGAGGGCGGGGGACCAGACTCGGTCTCGTCCTCGTCTTCTTCCATCTCATCCGCCTCTTCGGGGTGCCTAAACTATTGTGTTAGTTGTGTGAAAACAAGGAGCAGAGAGACCGGTAAAACATACGCAAGCAGGTCCTTGATGTTCTTCATTTCGTAATGCTTTTTCCGATGCTCCTCAAACTGGCGATGCTTTTCCTTCGCCTCCTCGGTCGTCACAAGTCCGTCACCATTCTCCGTTCCGACAACGACGTGCTTCTCGCCCTTGTGCGAGTCCGTGCTCATACTCCGGTCACGGTAGATCCGGGGATCAGACCCAGCCGGTTCACCGAGCGAGTCCTCCTCGGGCTCACCGAGCTCCAGATCCGGAATGTCGTCTTCCGAGAGACCCTTCCTGTGGCTTCCGCCCTTAGTCGAGCGGTCTAGTTCATCGACCACGATACCCTGCGCGTCGATAAGGTTCTCCTGTGCTTCATCGAGGCGGATCTCCTCGTCGTCCTCGGTCGGATCGTAGTGCGGGGCATAGGGCGTCTTGGGCTCGTCGATCTTCATCTTGGCGGTGCGTTCCTGCTCTGTTAGGTACAGGTTCGCTTCGTCCCACTTCAGACGAGGGGCGTTGTCGTCTTCGTGGTTGCTGGCCATAGACTGTCGGCGAGACGAGCCTGGTCGTGCTGCATTGGAGGAAGACCGGCGCCGCCCGGCGTTCTGGAGAGTATTCTGCAGCGTGAGGTCCTTGGCCTCGCCGGTCTCGGGGATTGTGGGAACAGTAGGCGGACTGAAAGTCGCAGCAGCTGCAGGAGCTGTAGAGTAAGAGTGGGAGTTTTTCAAGATGCCTGTATCGCGAGTCATAGGTGAGTCAGTTTACATATGCACGGATTTCCGTCGAGTTGGAACTTGTCGACGCGCCCCCCCCCTTGAATAGCTCACCTCTTGGCCGTGCATGCACGTTGTCGGTGCTGTTTGCCTTGGCCGGCATATGCGGTGCGGTCGTCATCTTGGATGGTGGGGGAGGAGGAAGAGTGCCGTCCGATTTTCAAGTGGACGTGGACACTCAGAAGGATAAGGGTGGGATACGAGGTGTTGTGTCAGGCGTTGTGTCAGATGCGAGCTCAGCTGAAACCTGGGCTGATGGTGAGTAAGAAATCTTGGAAGTGTAGATTATAAAGGCGAGGAGCACAGAGCGCAGAGCAACGAGTCAGCTGTGAGTTTGAAGGAAGGCGGTAGGTGGGCCCATGACGTCGGCCTCGGCGCCTGACGTCTTCCTTGTTGGGTAGACGCGGGGGAATACTACCATGCTACGTATCACGGCTATCTAAATCATTGTCTCTCCTTAGGTAGAGATAGCTACGAAGATTGGCTTCCTCTACTGTTTTAAGCGTAGAAATTTCGTCATTAGGCAGAATCAAATCAGGTACAGGCCTGTCGGTCTTTCAATGCACAGGCAACGCCGTGATACTCCGCCTACATACAGCCCCGAGTACTGAAGACACCATGAATCGAATCTCTAACACCAGATGAATCGCCCGAATGGGAGGGTATCTGTATATGCAAAAAGCCAAGGCCCGCCTCGTACAGCCAAGAAAGGAAAGAATTGTAGGAAAGAATGAGAAAACATGAAAAGATCATGCAATAGAATCGAACTCTTCTCGCTCGCGGAGTCGATTCCGCGCGAGAAGATCACCCCCACTGGCAGATAGCTGCATCCAGTGCAGTGCCAGGCACATACTCTGGGGGTCGGATTTAGAGTCCTTACCGCGTCGATACATCATCTCCGCCTTGAAGGTGTCCCGCGGTCGAGTCAACGGCAGAGTCACGCGCGGTAGCAGCTCGGGGTGCGTGAGATAGAGAATAGCCAGCTCGCGCTGTGCGACCGCGTTGCCCTCTTTGGCGGTGATGATCCACATTGAAGCCGCATCTTCAATGGCATGACCGGGCCGGGGATAGAAATCGGACCCGGGGAGCGGATGTCGTCGCATGAGCTCCTGCGAAACGATGCGGTCTGCTATTTCGACCATGCTATGACATACCTCGTCCTTGAGGCTCAGTGCGGCAAGACCAAACTGAAGAAAGGCCGTGCCGCGGTCGGTCTTGCTGAGTTGGTCTCCAGGTACAAAGGCAGAGATAAACTGCAGATCTCGGAAGAGGGTCTTTGGTTTCACATCCAGGATCAAGTCTCGGAGCGTGGATACAATCTGATCCTCGGATGGAGCCGAGTAGTCCGACCTTTGTGAGCCACAGGTGATGGAACCGGGCGGAGAAGAAGTGGTTAGCCCAACATCTACTTGGAGCGTAGTTGCGTGATTTTCCGAAAAGCTGTGGCGAGTGGTGCGTTGCCGTGGGCGAGAGCAATGGTTTCGTCCCATGTCATCATCACCAACCGGCCCCGTAGCCGTGTTATGCGAGCTAGCATCATGTGATGAAATTAGAGACGCAACTACTAATGACCGCAGATCACGCAGCGCATTCAATTTGACAAATGGGTTGCCGTGACGCGAAAATACTTCGATCAGCCGGCGGAAGACTGCCCTGTATGAGAAGGCACCCTCGTCCTCGCTCTGGGATCCCTGTTCACCCTTGGGTGTCTTTGTACTGGTAGTGCTGCGAACTCGCATAACAGGGGAATCCAGAGACCTGCTCCGTCGACTCCCGGATGGTCGTCGCTGCTCGCGAAGATGCTTCGACCGCTCGTCATAGTCAGAGTAGAACTTTTGAATAGCTGCCCGTTTCTGCATTTGCACCCGAATGCGTGTTTGATCGAGGGTATTGGTGAACCAAGCATCCGTTTCACTACCACAGCTCCACACCGGCGACCCTAGGTCACTCAAAAGTAGACTTGTCAGGGTTTGACGTAGGTCGTCCATGAATGCTGTTTTGCCATGGGTCTTGCGCTCGGCTCGACGAGGCTGTCGAGTTGCAGTCTCACTGAACATGGATGACGGTCGTGAGTAAACACTTGACACGCTAGCCGCATACATGGGATGTCTCTGTGGCGTCGACCAAAAAGTACTGCATGTGTCTGCAGTTGAGGTTGAGGCGGCTCGTCCTGGGGATTCCCCGATGGAGGACACATCGATGGAGGGCACGTCTCGTTGAGGCCGGTATTTGTCAGAGATGAAGCTCTGAATGGACGGCTTGCGCCCCAGAGATGACATGTCCTGAGATAAGCGAGGCAACGGGTCAGGAAGGAAGGTGTTGCCCGCGTATAAGTGAGAAGGCTGAAGAGGGTCCTCGCTGGCAGTTGTGGAAGGCCGAGGAGTGGTGGGTATGGAGAGACCAGGGAAGGGGCGGGATCCGTAGCCTTCATATCTTGCTCGCTCTCGCGGGAACAATTCACTGGCCCAAAGCACCGGCGTTTCCGACATTGTTTCACCAACAAGACGATTGATGCTGGTCCGAACCTCGTAGCAGAACCGATGAATTCGCTCCTCACCCTTGCAGAAGTTTTCGATTGCATTGTGGGCCAGCCACTTGCGAGTGAGTTCGACCTGTTCGTCAGACAATTTCTTCGGACCGCCTTGGCTACTTGGTGCCTTCATCATGTTCATGACTTGCAGCTCGGGCTTTTGGAACAAAGACCCTCCAAGTGATCGAGCTCCTCGAGATCGCCTATCGTCATAGTCGGCAGACGTTCTCGCCGAATATATCATAGTCTTCAGAGCCATGGCGACATTTCTAGCTTCCTCGTACCGCATGGAGTTTTTGACATCGGTCATGTACCACATTTTGTTGCGGACCTTGGAGATCGTGCCCATTAAATCCTTGACTTGGGTTTGGAGCCGCCATAAGCTCTGATCAAGAGACACAAAATCACTCTCGCAACGTTCAATAATGACTCGTGACTTCTTCAAGGAGCGAATGCATGACTCGTGCATAGGGCCCAGGATCCAAGAATCGTCCGCATGAGAAGAGTCATTCAGACCTTGTCGGAGTTGCCGTGACGCATTCCACCAGTAGTGTGCTCCAACAAAGTCAGAATAATGGTGAGTCGAGGCCATGGCTTGATTGAATCGATGCTTCAACGAGAGTGGACTCGACTGTAAAGACCTAGGCAGTCGATCATGATCATCCGAGTAATAAACATGGTTCTCCTTCACTAAGCGGACAATGGCCGTTTGCAAGGCCTCGTGATTCTCCTCCAGACCTAGGGTCGTTGAGTGGGTGTCATCATCACTATCGTGGACCGATACCCTCGCCGATTCATTCTCACAATCCGGAAGTAGACTCCAGGTCAGACCTTGGCCATCTTTGGCGATGGAAAATATTGTCCAGTGTTCATCTGACGGGTGCTCCAACCTCGGCCGCCCCTGTGGCTCGTCGATATCTGTCAACTCGAAGCGAATTCGAGCCGCGGGCAGGCCTAAGCCTTTTTCTGATAGGAAGATAGGCGAAGATTCCATGGAAGAGATGGAGCCCATTTGAGAGGGTGGTGCATCATTGTTGGGTCGGAAGAAGCCAGGTTCCAGATGTGGTTCAGAGCGAAGGTTGTAGGAGGATGAAACGCTGGAGGGCCAGGAAGAGTGGCCGGCAGAAGCTAGGGAAGAGTGAACTGAAGGACACGATTGTGGGAAAAGAGCGTCTAATAGGGTAAGTATATCTGTGGCGGACAACAAGACAAAATTTGACGAAGAATTTCGGCGACATGAAAGATCTGCAAGTGAGGTGGAGACTGCCTTGGTTGAGGATTCAGTTGGGACTGAACTTTGGAAGCGCAAAAGCATATTGCCAACATGCTGCTTGATTGTCGGGCGCAATATTGAAAAGTGGTTCCTAGTGGGTGATCAGTAACTCCGCGCAGGCAGAAAGAGCGAGATTCAACGTACATAGAGCGTAACACGGCAAATACTTGAGAGTAAGCGCGGAGGCCAACTTGGCCAAGCAGCTTCTCGCGAGCATCTTTCCGAATATGAAAGTCCAGTAACAAACCATGAGTCTGAAGACAAACCGTCAATAATAGTTCACCCAAGGGCAGAGGATCATACCTCGGGGTACGTCAAAGCGCTATAGAGGAACTTTGGGAAGAACCACTGAACAAAGAGATACTCCAGGAAGCGACTGCGGCTGTCAGGATGATCCAATTTCTGGAGAACAGCTTTGGCAAACTGAAGAACAGCACGAGGAAAGCCACCATCGGGATCATCGAGCAAGCGGAACAAGTCATCCACGGCAGAAGCAAAGAACTCCTCGGCGACATCCGTCCTGAGGGGATCCAAGGCTTCGGCCGCAAAATCCAATCCAGCCGGGGTATCTATATGTTCCAAAAGAAAGGCGCCGGTTTGCAGGATATCCATGAGATAGAGCTCAAACTTGGGCCTGGCTTTCCAATTGCTGCCAGTGGCCCAGGAAGAGAGGACCTGGCCGATAAGAGGGTAAAATTTACTGCTGCCATGGGACATTAGTTGGGCGCAGACAGACGACCAGACATCAATGCGCAGCCTGGCCTCGGGCGTCTCGAACTCCAGCGGCGCGGCAAACACGTTACAAAGCAAGATGGATAACGGATCGGTTCTTTCAAAGGCATACGCATGGTCCTTGAACGGGGCGGACTGGACCGGGTTTCGATTAAAGGAATATTGGCTCCGAGAGCGAGAGGAAGAAGGGAATGCAGGGTCTCCAGAATCCAATGTGGTGGCCGGAGAGGTGAAAGCGGCCAACTGCGCGGAGTTGAAACTGCGCAAACGATCGACCAAGAACTGGGGATCAGAGCGAACCAGTCGCAAAATTTCCAAAAGGTCTGCGCGGGATTGGGGGCTTAGTTGATGAAAGAAATCAGAGCCGTCTAGGACGGGATCCGAGGATGGTTGGTGATCGTCCAGATCCAGCTGGTCGTCGCGCCGTGCGCTGGACACGCACGACTCCTGGAGGTCATAGAGCATGTGATAAAGGGCAACGAAATTGGCCTTGTCATCATGTTTAAGAGCTTCGACCAGACCACGCTGGACAGTATTCCCGATGCGGATCATGCGCGACGAAACCCCGATAGACACCTTGGCGGCGCGCAGCCGTTTTTCCAGGGACTTCCTTTGGGTCTGTTTACGCTGGCTCTGGCGATATCGGGTGGCAAAATCTTCAAAAGAGACCTTGGGCTCATCATCCTGGGCAGGCATCGCGGGAGTTTTGGTTTCGCCGTGTCCGAGGTGTTTGTCCGCTATTAACCTGGAACTGGAACTGGAACTGGAACGGCCCGATCCACCCAACTCACCTGGCCCCACGCTGGGTTCGACGGGCGCAAACACAGGGGACACGGTCGCTGGCGGCGACGCTGGTGAAGGAGGAAGAGGTATCGATGCGGGATCCGCTAGATGCGATGGATCACATGGTGGATCAGTCTGGAGGGGAATCCGCACGGCTGCAGCAGATTAGATCGGGACGTCAGGCACCGAAAACATTCTCCACAACACAAAAGGAAAAAGTACGTACTGGTCGTAGAAGCCACAGAGGAGGAGGGATCCTCCAGAGGGCGGTCCACCATCTCGTTTGTAGTCGCGCCAGAGGGAGTGCACCGTTGCAAAATGCCCCTGGCCGTGGGCTGATCCTTATCGCATGATTCTATCGCGGGGCAAGAGACCGACTGCTCATCCGAGCGACGCACCCGGTCGAGGGGAGAGCAACACGGGAGGTCCAGGATGGAATATAGAGGGAGAAGAGGGGTTGAATGTTGTAAGAGACCACGATCGGGGAGTTAATAAAAATTCACGTTGATGCAGAACAAGGCCAAAAGAAGGCGACTCGAAGCGGACAGTTGCAGATGGCGATTCCAGACGAAGCAAGTACTGGTACTTTGAGCGCGGAGGCCGGGACGGGCTATTCGTGCAGGAATTTCGAACAACGGATAGAAGCAAGGAGTACCGAGTACACGGGCGTGCGATGCGTTGGCACTGCATGCACGACTGAGCTGGTCGCTCTCCGCGCCCGTGTCTGATTCGCCCGTCGCCCTCCTTGGTCTCGGCGGAGTCAACTTCTGCTGTTCACGCTGGCAGCCAATGACGTCTCAAGTCCTGCGTCTTGACTGGTCCGAGTCTTGGGGTTGATGGGTTCCGTGAAGACGGGGGAAAGGGCCGTTGGGGGTGGTCGTGTCACTATATCGAGACAGAAGCAAAACCAGCCAGGTCCAGCCCCATCCTATAGATAGACGCGTTCTACGGGTCTTCGATCCCGGAACGAGATGAGTCGACCTGCAGGATGCTCGCATGCCGGATGCTACACATCTACCGTTCTCATGACCGTCGCTATGCAATTGGCCACCCCTGCAATCGCCTGCAGATGCACTAGTACACTTCATCTAATCCACCCCCTTCCCCGAGATCACAGATCTAGTCGCCGGAAATAGCAGGGTTTCATTGTCATGGTTCTCATAGCAGATGCTGAATCCTCATCAACCCAAACGCCGCCACAGTAAATGCATCTTATCCCACAGCGCCTACAAATATAGCATCACATATGGATATCACCGGCACACCCACTTCTTATCAACTTCTTTTTGTCCTACGCGGACAGCAACCTGGTCCAGTGTCGCTTTGAGGGTCTCTTTCGACACCTTTGGGAATCTGGATGTGTTGTTAGCACGTAGTATAGAAATGTGGTGCCACTCCCGGGAACATACTTCTTCTTCAGGATCTCCACCAGCCCGATTTTGCTGAGATCGCTACCATCCACGGCCTGCTTAAACTCATCAAGCGATTCCGGAGGGAACGGTTTCTTCGCCTTCGACGTTGGCGGCGCCAGAGCACTGCTGACTGCGGGGGCATTCGTGGTGGGATTCACCCGGAACGCTTCCAACCCATTCATAGCAACCCGCCCCTTTGGCGCCGCGGGTTCGGCCCGAGGCTTCTGCCAGTATGCAGTCGAGAACGGATTGATCGGGAATTTGACCGCGTCCAATAGCGTTTCGATTCGGTAGCTCTTTAACCCAGGATCGACACCGTCTGACGCCCAACGGATTCCACTGGAGACAGGTTCAAGCTCGCCGACGATGAGTCGTCGCTTGCCCCCGGCTAGCGCATCGTCCTCGTCATCCAGGAACCCGTCCATATCGTCTTCCCCGTCATCACTCATCTCGTCTTCGTCCTCTGAGTTAAGGTCTTCTCCCTCCTCGGGCTCCTCCCACTCGGCCTCCGAGTCGTAGTCATAGTTGGTATCGGGTAAACCGCGGTGGTACGGATTGCGACAGAGCTTCTTGACTGACGGCTCGGGCACGGTGCGCGTGTATGTGCCTTGGTAGGGGGGCCGGACATCCTCTCCGAACTTGAGGGACTTTATCGTTATTTTCCGGAGAAGATTGTGCAAATTCTGAACCCGCGCGGGGTCTTGTTTGACGCCAGGCTGCGATGATAGCTCACTTGCAAGTTGGATCTTCTGTAAAACCTCCTTAACGGGCCGGTTGTTTCGACCTCGGCGTCGGCTGAACGGAATAATGTTAAAGACCTCGGATGGCTTAAACGGTATAGGTTGACTTGAGGTGTTATCGGGATGCATATAGCCGTCGATTTTCTGGCGGACATGCTGCAGGGCTTCGGAGTCCCGCTCGAAGCGATGAGGGGGTGCGACAACCGTGTGCGACTGAAGGAAGAACTCGGGGAATGCCTTCTGGTAATCGGACTGGGTGTCTTGAGAGGCTTCCGTGGAGTTATCGACAGCAGTGGAAGCTGCCTTCCTCGGGGAGGCCGGTGCAGCTCCAGTGGGAGCTGAGGGGAGCCGCGGTTTGGCAAAGAATGAATTCAGCTTGGGTTGCGCCTAAATGAAGTGTTAGTAGGACCACGTGTGGAGATGGAAGACCCTTCAACGGGATTCACCTTCTCCTTTTTCTGTTTCTCTTCTTCCTTGCGACGCTTCTCCTCCTCCTTGGCAGCTTCTCTAGCGGCCTTCTCCTCTTCCTTCGCTTTCTTCTTCTCCTCTCGCTGCTTTTTCTCTTCTTCCTTTTCGGCTTCACGCTTCTTCTTTTCTTCCTCCTTCAAACGCTTCTCTTCCTCCTTGGCAGCATCGCGCTTCTTCTTCTCTTCTTCTTTTAAGCGCTTCTCCTCCTCCTTTTTGTGTTTCTCCTCCGCTTTCTGACGCTCCTTCTCCTCCTTCTCTTGCTGCTTGGCTTGTTGACTAGTCGGGGACAACTTGCGCTTCTTAGCAACGGGAGTGGCAATCGGGCCAGATTTCGTCGGAGAGCCACTGCCAATTTGTTGGGCAGGGTTGGATTCGGTAGATACACCCACAGTAGGTGTCACAGTAGCAGACGCGATACTCTTATCATTGTTCATGATGGGTACTTCCAAAGTGAAGGAATGTCGGCTGGATGGTGATGCAGATTGTTTAATGGGTACAGAAAGGGACGGGTCGTGATTCTCTTGGTTTCCTTTGGAGGTATCCGGGAAGGAACGTTTGGGGCTTGGGGGAGGATTCCCCGCCCCATCAACTTCGTGGATAGAGCGTTTTCGAGGCCCCGGTGAGGGTGATGCCGGAACAGACTGGGCCGCTGGCATTGGAGATAAGCTCATTTCGGTATCCATGAGCGTCGCAGGGAGGGGAGGTTGAAACGGGTCAGGGTCATACGGGCCGAGGGCTAGGGATGTTCAAACATGAATTGGACAAAACCGTGATGAAAGGAAGGAAGTTCGTAAAGGATTTGAAGGAATGATGGTACAACGAGGCCAACTCGAACGGAGTGATCTCCAGATCCGGAGGGAGAGGAACTGTGGGTTGACAGGGACGCGTTAATCGTTTCGCGCGGCGCGTCCGATAAGGCACGTGTCTGCTTATGTCATGGCCCTGACGATGTGAGGAATTACTTGCGTGAACAGCTGGATGGATCATAAATGCAAAAGAATGAGATGGAATGGGGCAGCTTCACTCGCAAAGATGGTACTACCTCTGACTTGTGACATTGCTCGAATTGTAAAGGTAGTCAGTACCTAGGAGTTCCGGATTTATCCATCCAGGTGATCGCACCAGACTCTAAACAAAATCTACAATTACACTCGAGTTTACATTCTACAGGCGAAGCCTTCCGAGGTATCTACAGAGGACTATATTTGGACTATAGGTATTTTTCATGTTACAATTATTCATTCTTCAGGTTGGAAGTTATGGATAAAGAAAGCCGGGATGAGCCCGGATGCAGATGTAACAGGGTAAGTAGATAAAGCCAACCCATCAACTTCTTGAGCATTAAGGTGTGCGATGCCACAAGAGCACTAATTTGAGAGGGCCACCGCAAAGAGTAAAAGAGGGCAGAGAATATTGACATAAAGGTGGCCTTGGCGAGCCATCAAGACCGGCCAAAGGCAACCAGACACGACGATTCGGCGGAGAGATATTATGTGCAGCGTCGGTGGTAGTAATAGGAAAGCAAGTAAAGATCATGAGGAAGGTGAAGTGAAAAAAAAAGAGGAAAGAAATATAAGGACAAGCGCTGCGTGAAGAAATATCAACCCGAGGCGCCTCAGTCGCTGAGGTCGGGATTGGCAACAAATAGTCGCACATTGGTCATGGAAGTTGTTCGTTCGTCCACACTGCCGCGCCGCCGTAACTCGTCTGCCTTCTTGGCTTTCTGGGCTGCTTGATCTGCGGCGCTGGGAGCCTGCATGTCGGGGACCCAGTCCTCTATCTCACTGCTGTTCGTCGTGTGGGTTGTGGCCGCGTCGTCCTTGACCAGAGACGATACTCGACTCTTTTCCTCCTCCTGAATCTCCGCCGGGGTGTTTTCAGACACACCCGGTAGGTCGGTCTTCTCGTTGGGCGGGGTGCTGTTGCTACCCATTGTACCCTGCGGCCGCTGGTATCCACTAGGGTAGCGGGCACTCGCAATCGAGCTGCGGCCGCTGCCTGTTCTTCGGTGCATAGCAACACCCTCGGCGCTGCGGTCATCCTCTTCCTCTTCGCCGATTTCGTTGGCACTGAGTCGGACGGGCACCTTCGCGCCCACCAGGTTTGACGGCGAAAAGTCCAGGCCACCCTTGGTGTGTCGAATCTTGCCACTGTTCCCTGATCGCCGGGCGCCTGCGCCGTGGACTTCCAGGTACGCGCGCTTCTTGTCGCGAATCGCCTGCTCGCGCATTCGAGCGTCTTGGGGCTGGGCACGATCGCACCAGACGGTGGCCTTCTGTCTTCGCATGAGAGCTACATATCCGAGCTGCGAGCTGGCGGAGCGGTTGGAAGCGCTTCGCCGGATATCTGGGTCTGTCTGCGGCATCATGTTGTTACCGGTCGAGTTGGTGGAAGTGGTTGTGCTGGACATGCGTCGGGACGGGGAGATGACCGGAGGAGTCATGGTATGTGGGGAGACGGCGGCAGGCGGAACCCCTTGGTACTGCTGCGAGGCGGAGCCGTGGGGGAGAACGCTGGAAGAGGTAGTACGAGTACGGCTGTGGGTGGTTTGGGCAGCGGCAGAGTGTGACGCTAGGGATCGAGGAGCATCATAGGCTTGGTATGGGTAAGCAGGTTGGGCAGAGCCGGATATAGGCTTGCGGGATGGAGGGCCCTGGTGGATGGGCATGCGAAATTCGGTCATGTTGGGCGGGAGCTGGACACCAGCCATGTAATCCGCACTTGCGGCTGATAAGGGATGTCAGGTGAGCACGCTCGGTCGCAAGGGAGCACGTGCTGGGGTGTTTCCCTGGAGATGATAGCGGACCAGCGTAATCGCAGAGCACGTCTTCTTATTCAGAAGTGGTCTGCGATAGCGATGGCGCGCCGCTGACAGATAAATGGATCTGCGGGTTCAGCGCCCACCGCAGTATGCAGCCACCGGGGACCCTTTGAGAGAGTAGAAGCGGAGAGTCTTGATTGAAGATCTCGGGAGGCCAAGGGAGCTAGGAAACAGAGGGCGATTCAATGGCGATAGACCATTGGCTTTGTCGATTACCGAGAGTAAGGTGAAAGATGAAGAGAGGGTCAAGTGGTGGTGAAAACGGTGGGTGCGTGGGTGCCCAATTGGCAATGCAGCACTCTTCCGACTCCTTCGATCAGGTATAAAAAGAACAAGAAGTTGAGGAGGTTGCTGGATGAGAATGAGACGAGCAAGTCGCAACGAACAGGGGGAGGGGGGAGCAAAAGAGACTTAGCCGTACCAGCTGGGCTTGATTGGCCGGTACCGCGGAACCCGGCGGACCTGAAGTTGCTGAGCCACAGCGTTTTTGCAAATACACGTATTTTTCACTTTGCTCCGTGCAACGCTGTCTTCAGTGCGCCCTACGCTTATGGTACCCGTGCCTGGGACTGGTAGCATTAGGGCTACAGATTGGCCTTTTTCTCCTCTCTTTGAAACGCCACATGCCCGTACTCGCGAAACCCCGCGTTGCGCTCGCATAGAATCATCGCCCGTCCAAAGTAATTCGTCTAGTCATATGTGTCATGCACCGCTAGACTTTCCCATCCCACCTATGTACACGAAGTACCCCGTGTGGTCCTCCACCGGCTCCACCATCCACCCGCCCGTCATCCTAATACAGTACATCCGGGCACCGTTGAGACAATGCTGGTCCACAGATTCCACATCTTCGCCCATCCTTCGGGAGTGTGCCAGATAGACGGCCGTTACGGTGACGGGAGCTCCATTGCCCCGGCTCTTGGGGTTAGGCGAGATCTCGGAGATCATGGCATGGTTTGCTGCTAGCAAAACATACCGCTGATGCAGATTTTCTCGTACTATAGCCCTTGTCGGAACAGCCTTCTGATCTAGGGCTTTCACCCACCAACAGAAAGGTGGGACGTGGCCTGGCCCCAGGAAATCTGCTGGAAGCCAGGTCACTGCTCTAGAATATTCTCTATGTGCAACCAGATCTAGACCTCCCAGGTGGAGAGGTCGTCGATCTGGACGCTCTCCTGGATGGGCAGGATGATCGTTTGAGTGGGGTTGCCGCGCACCCCATACCGATAACAATGTGCTTATATCGATTGCGGATTTATTGACAAATTCCAGGTTTGAACGTAGAGATTCAATCAACAGCTTCTTCTATATTCCCAATACTACAAATTTGCAAATTCCAATTGCCGTTGCCGAGAGCCGATCACAGCGGGTTGATCAGCTAGATAGCTGTGCGGGGTATACGTCCTTGTACACAGGGATCGACATCCCCAACGTCCCATGGTCATAAAATGCACCAATCACTCTGCGTTTCTCTATCTGCTGCTTGCAGCACGGCATAATAACCTTGCAATCTTGGAGATCTGTCAGTGCCGAATACTGAGAATTGGAGAACAAGTGGCTCCGCGTTACAGCAAACAGAGCTGTATCTATGGCTATGTTCGTTTTCGCAAATTCGAAGGCTAGCGCCGTGACCTACAGCCGCCGCGGAAATGATCCCGCCACTTGGCATCGCTTCATTGGTAATGTGGTAATGCAAGATCAATGCTTGAAATTACGACGCGATAGACGATGATCATCCTATTAAGGAACATTCCACCCTGGCCGCTCCCTGTACGTCAGGTGATTCAAAAAGCTAGAGATGAAAAGGTCATTGGTGCAGTTGCCATAATGCCGAACAAAGAACCCCTTGATATCAGATCATTCCGCTTCGCAATGCGGAGTCTGGGGTCAAACTATAGCCAAATGCTACATTCCAGTGGCAAACCCCGATGTATTGCCAGCTAACGTCATGAGATGGCAAAGTGACGGCTTAGGAATTTGCAAACTTGGAATCGCAGTTTTACACTTACGGTTTCGTGATGGTTGGATATACCATGATGACACGTGCTCCGGTATCGAAGGCTGGAAGTAATGGCTTGATGGAGGGCCTATTTTCTATAAACAAAATTTTGAATCTACCATTTTGGTTGGGAGATCGAGATCGAGTGAGCCACAGCTGGGCAGGGCATAGCTGATATGGCGGACAGAGTCATGGGTTCGAATGCTGGGCAAAGTGTCTCGGTTCAGGAAGGACGTTTCTTAACTCGGACAGCACTATTTGCTGCTAAATTTGAATCCATGGTTTTCGCCTGAATCAACCAAAAAGCTTTTACCCAATTTGTCAAGAATCATTGGCCAAGCTAATAAAAAGCCAAGCGCTGAGGTGAACACAGGCGGCAAGAGTAGGGCTGAGTCGCCGTAATTTAAAAAATACGGAAACTGCAAATTCGCCTGCTGAGCCACATCCGCACGTGGAATGTGGTACTGGTGGGACTGGATTGGGAAATTTGTTAGTCATGACGTCAAGATGTTTCAGTTCTTCCGGGGGTTTCACCGCAGCTGAGAAAAAGAGTAACTATGGCTGGTGACGCTTTGATAATGTAGCCCAAATAGGATTGATTAAGCGTGTCTTGCATGGATAACATTACCGTGCGGGTGAGACATGCTGGACACTTTAAATTGCGAAGTTTATGTGAGACCTGAAAGGCTATGTACAGTGGGAAAACCAAAAATCTGCTGGAAACGGTTATGTGTGGGTCAGTTCCGCCTGAGGCAGTTTCACAGCTTCGCTCTGCCGTCTATGGAGACGAGGGCCCCGTCCTCTCGGGCAAGGAAGTCCTGGTTAGGCTCCCAGCCCATCCACGCTTGCAAGGTCTCTTCACCCCCGTCACCAGGCACGAGTCCACCACCGGTCCAAGCACCTTCATCTGCTTTGATGGGGAGAGAGGGCGTGCGGGACAAGTGAACGGCCGGACGCTGCTCATAGCCCGAAGCCTGAAGCTCGCCATGCTCAAGGACGGGCGTAGCGCAGGCATCGGTACCGTCAAAGACAGCCTCCCATTCGGCACGAGTCTTCTCCTTGAAACGGCGGGTAAAGATGTCGCGAAGGACGGGCCAGTTTTCCCTATCTTCCCGCTTTGGTATCGATTTCGGATCGAGTTCTAATCCGCGTAGCAATGCTGCGTAGAACTGCGGCTCCAAGGCACCGACGGCGAAGTATTTCCCGGAGTCCTTGGTTTCGTAGGTATCATAGTATGGACATCCACTATCTAACAAGTTCTCTCCTCGGGGCCCATCCCACGCGGGGGAATTTTGGGCCAGTCGGGGGAAAGTGGCTAGGTAGGCTGAGCCGTCAACCATGTTGGCTTCGACAACTTGTCCACGGCCGGTGGTAGAGCGCGAGATGATTGCTAGCAAGATTCCTAAGAAACACATAGCACCACCACCGGCGAAATCGCCAAGAATGTTGCCCGGTGCATAAGGCTTGTCTCCCGCTCGCCCTAACATGGATAGGACGCCTGATACGGCGATATAGTTGATGTCATGGCCTGCCATGTCCTTGTACTTGCCATCGCGTCGAAATCCTGTCATGCGCGCGACGATGAGCCGAGGGTTGTGCTTGAGGAGGACTTCGGTTGGGGAAAGACCGAGGCGCTCGAGGACTCCCGGGCGGAATGGGTCGATCAAGACATCGGTTGCGGTGAGCAGGCGGAGGAGAACATCCCGGGACTTTGCTTCGCGCAGGTCGAGTGTAATTGAAGTTTTGCGCCGAGTCAGCTGGTCACCACTGAAAGCATTGGGGCGATCGATTCGAAGAACGGATGCGCCGTAGTCGGCTAAAAGAAGACCAGCGAAGGGGCCTGCGGGGAATGATCAATGCGAGTTTGTCGAGTTTGGGGATAGGGATACTACCTGGGGCTAGACCGGCTAGCTCAACGACCTTAATTCCTTTCAACGGTGGAGCAGACATTTTGGAGTGTCGGAAGCTGGAAGACGTTCGTTCATAGTTGAAGTATTTAAGGTCGACCGGATCTTCGCAACCGAGGTCCGTGGCTGCCGATTGCGGGGGAACCATGTGTGCGCACAACTTTATACTTTCGGCATTGATAACATTTTCGAAGATTTAATAGCCTACTTAGAATTCAAGGTCGAGATAGGATTCACTAGACCCCGGGTACATAGACTATCAATTCAAATAAGCGACGGTTGTATTCATTGAGCCGTGGCATCTCCCGCTAGTTATTGTGTCCTTCAAACGGGCCAGGATAGTTGACATAATTCAATAGTCCAATCCAAAACCCAACGTTGCATCACTCCCTCTCGGCCCTACGAGAAGTCCTCGAGGACAATCTCCTCGCGACGCCGGCGAATCGAGATCTTTGCCAGTCGATTGGCGTTCCACGCAAATCCATATTTCTGCGGGGCGGGAATAGACCCTTCTGCCAGTTTGAAATCATACTTCAAAAGCATGTGGCACAGGAAGATCTTGAGCTCGTTGGCAGCAAAGAATCGACCGGGACAAGCATGATTGCCAAAGCCGAATCCCATGTGCTCGGGGGATGGCGACACGAGCTGAGCATGAGTTTCCCGACCAGGCGTCTGCCGCATTTTCAAAAAGCGATAAGGACCAAATACCAGAGGGTTCTCGTAAAAATCCGAATCCCAGTTCCAGTCGGCTGCCACAAGTAGACCTGTGTTTTTCGGGATTTTGGTTCCGTCGCTGAGTTGGAGGTCTTTTTCAACGAGGCGACGCATCGACACTTGGAATCCAGGTCAGAGCACATCCAAGCGATAGCTGTTTCTTTTGAAGGACTCACCATTACTGATAGGCTTCACCCTTTGCGACTCCTTCAGGAAACTGTCCATCAACTGGAGCTTGTACATGGCCGCTTTCCTCCATCCCTCGCTCGATATCACGGAGATAACCTCTTTTCGTAACTCCTCGACAACTGCTTGTCTCTCACACAGATCATAGATTGCCTGAGTCAACATGTCTGATGTAGTGTGGATTGCTGCGAATGAGAAGGTTAACTGCATGGCAGCGGGGTCATAACAGCGGCCTTTGGCAACCTGATCCAGCCACTCCATAGCATCGTTGTACCGCGGAAGTGACTTTCCTTGCCTGAAAGCAATTTCTTTAGTTTTTCTTCTTTCCTGGAGAACCGGGTTGATGATTTCCTCCGCCTCGTGGAGGTCTTGTTGAACCTGGCGATAGGATGCGAGGAACTGTGCGACTAATGGGCGGATGATTTGCGGTCAAAGTCGAAGCTGGTCTGCCGCGATGACGGAGTGCACAGTATGGTTGACGGTGATTTGTAGCCAATCGGCGTTGCGGCAGATTTGCTCGCCCAGGAACACCCTTGAGGATAATTGGGCGACGATCTGGAGGATGCTTGACCGCAAGGATACATCGTGCCATTCTCGATGAACATTAGCTTGAATCACACGACTTCCAAGTTTTGCGGCAGATGACCCACTCTCTTCATCCGTCCATTTATCTCGGAGACTAACTACGGTCTCCTCTGACAGAGGCTTTGTGAAACTCCCTATTATACTAATGAGAAGGGGATCGGCTTGTTTCCATTCACTGATGGGTGAACCTACCGAGTGCTTGCGTGAGTTTCATGCGCGCCGCATCTTGGAAGATTCCAGCGCCCTTTTCGAACTGAGCAAATGGGGAAAACCCTGCGATATGGGCATGGAAATCGATGCTCAACATTTTGTGGAAGCGGAGTGTGGGAAGCCTGGCGATCTCATTCGCGAATTTGGGGGATAGTATGGTCCTGTAGCCATTGTCGCTCAATATAGGGAACACGTTTGCCTGGACCGTCAGTCTAAACACAGTGGCACTAAATGTTATTGCGGGACATCTTACCTTAGCTAGGCCATCTTTGACCACCTTCTGTGAATCATGGAGGTATTCATCGAGAGTATTGGACCTTTGAACACCGAAAAGCTTCCGTTCGGCGAATGTGCGATACCAAGCATGCAGTGGCAAAAGATAGAAGATCAATAGAGGACTCAAAATAACAAGACCTAGGAGAGGGATGGTGTCTGGGCAAGGGATGGAATATACAGCAGTAGAAAGCATGTTTGGTTCAAAATATTGCGGAAGGAAGTTGATTTTGTGAGATGATTCACGTCTGTAGGGAAAGCCCAAGGCTCTTGTTATATCACCACAAGCTACTGACTTGGCACCAGAAAGCCTGTATCCAGCACAAATAAATAGTTATCCAACTTCCCTCTTCATAAAAACCCGAAGACTACATGTCCAAGCGCTCTTGCAGGACGCAGTACAGACTCAGGCTCGTCATTGAGTTGGTGGGTTTGCCTTCCGTCCTACTCTTGGCTCGGAATAGGTAATCAAAAGAGGGGTATGAGACCAGTGGCTTCATCCTTTGCAGTAACGTTTCACTATGTGCGAGGTCCTTGCACAGCATTTCGTGTGAAGATCTCACAAATTTCATCAATACTGAAGAGCAGCTCTTCGGATCGGATAAGTTCCAGCCTTTGTAGCGCCAGGACATGACGCGCAATGGTGATTTAGATAGATGGGCCTCACCTAGTCTGCAATTCCTACATTCGACCAGAAGAAAGCTACTGCAGCCAACTTTATCGGTTTTAGCTCTGACCTGCTTGACCCCTGACAACGGCGCCACCCGAGACATCGGCCAATTGGTTCCAAGAACAGATAGCGTCTAGAGACCTAGAGACTCTAGACTTGGTCAAAGCTTTCCTCTGTGACATGCATTCAATTTATTTTGGCCAGGCCTGCAGATCATGCGCCAAGTACGCGTACATTGGTCTTGTGCTAGGTTGCTCAGGGATCGAAGTACCTTCCGGGGTATATTATTCCTCCGCTGCAACAGAGAATACTTAGCTTCTAAATTCGAAAAGCAGCATAGAACTATAAAAAAATCCAAGGCCTCTGGAAAGGAAAATTAAAAAAGCGCTACAGACGGGCCGGGTGGACGCCACTCGATGCGGGCACTAGGCTGACCCCCACGTTTAAGGGGGACCCCCACACCCCCGGTTCAAATTCAAGCAGCCACATTGCACGGATACCAAAGCACTGCATCAGTAGCACATCAAATTCATTCATCCATTCAGCGTCAGCCGGAAGCCGGATCATCGGGATGAGTGCATCCGTGAAATACACAACCGGGCCGCCCGTCTACCGGGTCCCGAAGGGCCGTATGGTTCTCGGGGAAGGTCCCATCTACCGAGCCCGCGATTCGACCTTGCATTGGTTCGACCCTCTCGACTCGCCAAGCGAGCTATACATCCTCCCCGTTGACCCGGACACTGGCTCTCCTAAAGGTGAAGCGAAGGTCTTTACCCTCGAGGATAGCATCACTGTCGCAGCCTTCCGCAAGAACAAGCCTGGCAGCTACATTGCAGCCTATTACCAGGGTGTCTGCTTTCTGGAAGAAGCAACTGGCAAATTCGAAGTCGCGCGCGAGATCATTCCGACTTCTGAGCGGGACCAGCGCAGGTTCAACGACGGTGGTGTCGATGCTGCTGGACGCTTCTGGTTAGCAGAGATTGATATTACGGCCACCAAGTTCTCACTCGGCCAACTCCCTAAGGAATATGGTGAGCCGAAGGGTAGACTTTGGAGATATGATCCGGATGGCAGCTTGCATCTTATGCTCCCTGGAGGTCTTGTCTGCGGAAATGGTGTGAAATGGAGCCATGATAACAAAACAAGTGAGCTATTTTGCCGTATATTAACGTTTGGAGGGCTGTTACTGACGAAACTTCGCTGCAAGTGTATTTGAACGATTCCGTGGGACAAAAGATCACGGCTTTGGATTTTGATCTCGAAACTGGCGCTGTTTCGAACCAGCGTACTCTGGTTGATTTCCACGGAACAACTTCGGAACCAGATGGAATGGTTATCGAGTGAGTTATGGCTTCTATATCCGCGTGAAATTAATTAGAAGGCACTGACTTCGGATAGCAACGACGGGAACCTATGGGTTGCTGTATACGGGTCCAACCATCTCATGCACTTCAGCCCAGAGGGAAAGCTTTTGAAGCAAGTCAGGTTGCCAGCAATGTGCCTCACCTGCCCGACTTGGGGCGGAAAGAACCACGACATTCTGTATCTCACGACAGCACGAGATCGCTCTGAAAACCCAGATCTGAACGACGACGGCGGCCATATCTACAAGTTCCTTCCTGATGGTGCCAAAGGGCAGCCTAAGAATGAATTCGCAGGATGAACAGGCTCAAGATAGAGCTAAGACTCGATACACATACATAGAACAAATCCCAACATGAGTGTCAATTATAGGTCTGCAGCGACATATTTCTGAGTCGGAGATTAGTCGATCGTTCAATCTCAAACTTTCCATGGATTCTAATGTTTTTTGCTGATTGACCTTTGTCTCTGTGCCGATGCGAATAATAGTAGTTCTCCACGTTCTATGTAGACGCGACTCGCGGTTAATGTGTTATTTCATATTCACCGTGCCCATCGACATTCCATATCAAATGCAAAGAGCGAGACACTACATTCACCGGCTGAAGCTGTCAAAAATGAAGGTCCTGGATGCTCAAGTCGGTCCTTGCTGTCCGAAGGGCAGCCCTTCGGATCACGTGCGTGGGTTGACGAGGCGTTTGAAGATGTCAAATGAACGGTAAATTAAAAACCAAAGCGATCTTATCCATCTGTGCGATCGGTATTAAGTGATTTCTTTGATGAAGTTGGTCACTCAAGCCATGCGGATTAGGAAAGGGAACCGTATCGTAGGAGCAGTGGTTTGCTTGGGACGTCATCGAGGGGCATCAACCGCACCCTGCGAGAAGATACGACACTTTAACAGCCCTGTCTTCGTCCTTCATGACGGCCCTTTGAAATAGCTATGACTAACCGGATCTAATTCTTCCAGATCTCCGAGATTATCATTCTTCAGGACTGAAACGAACTGACGTCGACTGACAGGGATGGGGACCAGTCAAGCGTCCACCAAGAACATCCCTAGGACTTCCTTCGGCTCCCTCCGATGGCATTCCGGCAGATCAAGGCTCCCAGTGGCTGTCAGTGAGTGACCGCCTCTCGCGCGGGGCCTTGGACGCGGCTGGGATTCTTGCCATGCCAGATCCCTCGGGGGCACATTCCACCCCTCCACACTATGGCGCGTCGACGCGCTCGAAGGCTGACGATACTTAATTTAATTTCCCTATTAGTCCCCATCACTGCTACTTGCCCGTTTGTTTCTCTTTGCAGATTAGTGAAGCCCCAGCCAAGTGCATCTGGGTTGGACGGTTACCAGCTTGTTATACACCCGCCATCTCCATACGTCGCGCACTTGCTGTGAATACTTTCCCCTTATCTGTGCGGCATTTCATTTACGTCGGCGACGCTGCAGAGCAGCTCGCCATTTTGATACTCTCATCATGGCCACTGGATTTTCTGCGACGCCACGGAAAGAAGGCACCTGGACCAAACTCGTGATATTCATCTCGCTATACTGTTTGATTCTCGAATCTATCCTGGAATGGGTACTCGTTCTTTTCTTATACGGCAACCACTACGTCGATTCAAAAATGACTCTGAGCTTGGTCCTCTCTTTGGTTTCGGTATGTCATATTCTCGCATCCTTTGAGGTTCGTATATCGCTAATTGATCCATAGTCCTTCCTTTCAGTGCCTCTCGTCTCTCTCCAAAGCTTGGTCGCTTGGCAATACAACAAGATCGGCGGCTTTGGGCAGAAGAAAACCGTCCTACACAATGTCTGCACGTATGTCTACCGATTGTGTCTCATGTTGTGGCTTGCAACGTGTGTGACGGGTCTGGTAGTGGCCGCTCAGCAGGTCTACTGTCTACCATCGGGGACTGATGCCACCTACTGGAGGGTGGGCATCAGCTGTGCATTCCACCGAGCGTCTGTTATTGTAGCCGTTGTTACATTGTAAGTTGTGATTGAAGATGGTCCAGGATTCTGAGCTGATACGAAATCTAAAGGATTACCGTCTGCACTCTCTACTGCGCCAGAGAATTGTGCGATCGACCGTACGACGTTTCACTCATTGGCATTTACAAGCGCAAGCCCAGACACGTTTTTGAGGACGGCAGTATCTTCTCCGGTCACAGCTGGGACAGTGATGAAACTCTCAAGAACGAAATTCTCAACCTTTGCCGCCAACACGACGGAATGGCCAATGGGGAGCAATGGTATCTCGATCCCCTCGCCAACAAGGTCAACTGCCATCCAAGCATTAAGCATCCTGCACCTATTCGCCTACGCCCCCAACTCACAGTCAACACGGATCCTGGATCTATCCATGGCGAAATTATATCGGGAGTCACCGTCTCCCCCGATGATACCTGGCCTCGTCATTCCCCAGGGGGGCAAACTGTCGCCAGCGACTTCTATCCAATCTCGCGCACGTCCACAGTGTTGACAAGCGACTCTCGCTATCTTCTCTCCGACATGATCGTACCCAAAGTTCCCCCCATTCCCGAGCAGTACACAACTCATCCTACTCACAAGAGAGGGAAGTCCTCGTTGTCCTCCATCCGGAGATTCCTTCCCAAGGCATTCCCGCTATCACTTCCTTTGTCGTCAGATCCGCAGATTCGTGCCCTGGTCGACCCCAATGCCGCCTCGGACGTTGAAAAGCAAGTCGTCACGCCTTCGATCAAAAATGGGACCGAATCAACAACGAAAGAAGTAACATCACACAAGCAGTCTACTGGTGTACAAACCACGACTCCTACCACACCAGCCAGCAGGCCTGACGGTCATATCCGAACAATGACCATGAACTCCGCGGATGCCCCAGAGGTTGTTCCAGAAGAAGACTTTCCCACCCAACCAGCCAAGGTCCGCCGATCCCAAACAGCCTGCTTCGCACCAACCTCTTTCTCCGTCCACCATCCACACCATCCCAACTATACTCCGGGCCCATCCAACCCCCGCAGCTACTCCATGGCCTGTCGACAAAACACCACCATCCTCCCAGCCCACGCCGACATGAGACGAAGCAAGTCGCGCCGAACACCCATCGTGCAAGTCCCCACCCGCAGCAACTCCTACCAATTCGACCAAACCCACATCCCACGCCACACCCAAAGCCAGTACCAACCAACCTACTACTCCCAACCCACACGCTGGGGAAGCCAACCTATGTACGACCCAAGCCGCTCAGTCCCCGCGCTCTCTGCAGTCTCCCGTCGCAACGACGTCGAAATAATCTTTCCCAGCACGCGCCGCGCTCGCAGTAGCACGCATGGCGGGAAAAGTGGTTCCCTCGGCTGTATTCTGGAATCAACAGACCCCTGGTTATCGGCCGACCCACGCCGCGTTAGCGCTGCTGTCTCGGAGACCCGGCGCAATGTCATTGACCAGAGCACCTATCGAGGTGCCAATCGCACCAGCATTCCCTTTTACTAAAAACCATAATGTGCTATATCTTGTCTGCAGGCCAGACGATTTGATTCTACCTGTTGTTTAACTTGAGGTTATACGATTGTATCGGAATAGCGAGAGGCGTGCGTAACAGCGTCAATTTCTTCATCTTTCGGCGTTGGTCTTTTTTGATACCAGAATTTAGCAATAATTACGAGATACTGAAATGCAAACTTAAAGAAATGATTTGAATCAGAAATCACATCAATTTGGTGCAACCGATTATCCTACTCCAAAAGTACATCTATGCAAAACATCCTGAAACCTTTGCAAACAAAGCCACATTCCGAGCTCCATGCTCAAACCAACGCCCACGCCTCGCAGAATGCAGAAAAAGCTAATACACGGGCTGTAAAATCAATATTTCACGAGAATAGAGAAGGTTCAGTAACCTATACCTTCTTCTCTCCACTCCTGGCCTTCCGCTTCTCAGGATGCTTCTCGCCATGTTTCTCGGCGTACTTATACTGGTAAGCTTGCCCTAACTTCGCATCTGCACGATCTCCATCCCGACGACGGTTCTCCTTGCCCTCAGCCAGAACACCTGGTCCACGGCCCATTTCCTTCTCTCCCCAGTACATCATCAGAGCCTTGGCCATGCGATCACGCTCCTTGAGAAGGAGGTCCACACGACGCTCCCATTCGCGCTCTCGCCTTTCGACGGAAAGAGCAATGCGCTCATCAACCGCAGCGGCAGTTTCGTCTTTGGCGGCGATGACGGCTTCAAGGTGCTTGATTTCGGATTTAAAGGTCTTTCGGAGCTGGGATTCTTGGGTGGAGACTGAGGTGCGCAGTGTCGTGAGGTCTGTTCGGAGCTCGGCTTCGCGTTGCTCGGCTGCCGTGAGCATGTTGCGGATTTTGCGCATGGACTCTGCGTGTGAAGAGCGCAGAGTAGAGATGGCGGTTGAGTGAGCGGTTTGGAGGCTTCGGATTTGGTCTTGATGAGCTGCTTCCAGGGCGGCTGTGTCCACGGCGGGTTCTCGCTGCTCCGAATTGAAGGCACCATGAACAGTTGGTGGTGAGCGTGGTGAGCTGGGCGGTTGGCTGAGAGCCTCTTCTTGGAGACGAGCGATGGTTTCAAGCGACTCTGCATGCTGCTCTTGTGTGCGGGTCAACTCTTTCTGGGTCTTAGTGAGGGCCGAGTTGAGCTCCTGCGTTCGTGCTGTAAGGCGCGCGTTCTCTGCTTCGATAGTCGTAATGAAGATTTGAGATTCGGCAGCTTGGTCTCGGAGACGGGTTGCCTCAGCTTCTGCGGCCTTTTGGGCGGCCAATGCGTCTTCAAGTCCTTGTTGAAGCCTGGTGAGTTCCTGTCCCAGTTGCGGGACATCAAACCCATGCGGCACGTCAAAGTCATGCGGGAATTTCTCCTTCAGAGGCGACTGGGGGCCCGAGTGCCCAAGATCCTTAATCAAGTCGAGGATCTCGCTGTAGGTACTGCGGTTACCAAGTGGTAGATCGGCCGCCGCGGCCCTGAGCGCATTCTCTTGGGCCTCCACCTGTGACTGCACACGGGTCAGGTCAGCTTCAAGAGAGCTATTCCTGTCTTCGAGGGGTTGGTTCTTGGTTTCCAGGGTGGTGAGTCGGTCCTCGAGAGCTTCGTAATCGGTGTTGACGCGTTCAATTTCGGTACGCAGTCGTTCGTTTTCCAGAGCTTGATCGTCAATTTCTGCTTTGAGCCTCTCGATCTCGGCGTTCTTCTCGTGTACTTGTGATTCTCTGGCCTGGGTGACTTCTCTTAGCCTGGTCATTGTCTCCTCGAGAGTTGTGTCTCGCTTCTTTAATTGCTCTTGAGTGTGGTTCAGCTGCTGGCGAAGGTGAGCGATTGTCTCCAGCCTTTCGGCGCCCATGGAACTCTGAGAATCCCGGTTTTGAAGTTGATGCTGCATATCATGGATTTGTTGTTGGAGAGCGCCAAGGTCGGGAGTGTTCATGCTGGACTGTTGAAGGAGCCGTTCGCGGAGAATAGCCTCATCGCCTCCCTGGCTTTGGATTTTCTCGATCAGAGTGTCTTTGCGCTGCAGTTCTGCCTGAAGGTGGCGAATTTGCTCCCCAGCTGAAGCGGCCTCGAGAACTCGATTGCGGTTCTTCTGAATATGCTCATCGCGATTTCGCAGCTCCTCTTCCAAATGTGCGACGCGACGATGCAAACGGAGTTCCCAGTCCTCGGGCTCATCAGGCTCGTGTTCCAACGCGTCTGAAAGTTTTCTCAATGACGGGGATGCGGGGCTCTCCAGATCATCCGCAGGGTCTTCTTCGATATCTTCCAGCTGAGTTGAGTCTCTTGGAAGAACACTGGTCCTGTGAAGCAAATGCGACGGGGTGGACATGTCCACCGGCGGTCCAAATTCGCTATAGTCGCCCAACTCGGCCTCCTCTTCGACAGCCGGTTGTCGTGACTTGAGCGAGCTGTGACGCGATGCAGATGCCGGCTCGTGGTTAGAGTGGTGTGCGCTGAGTTTGCGCGCACTTGACATTCCGTCGCCCATCAAGTACTTCTCCATGTTTGCAGTAAAGTCCTCCGGACCCCCAACTTCAGAAAGATTGTCTTCCGCGTCTTCCTTCAAATCTGGCAGCTGGTCTTCTTTTCCGTCCGAAAACTGGCCACTGGGGAATTGGCTAAAGTCCAGCGTGTATTCCGCAAGGCGAGCATCAAGGTCCGAGCCAGTCGGGCCTCCTGGGGTTGACGGACGAGAGTGATTTAAAGCCTCATTGTCAGCATGATGTTCTTCATCGTCGCTCGCCTGTTCGTGGTGGTCTTGTTCCTCGTGTCGAAAGCGTTCAGAGATGGGGCTGTCGGCGGGCAGCGGAGACTCTGGTGGGCTAGTGGTTTGTTGTGGAGGAGACGATGGCATGAAAAGCGGTGTCACCAGTGTTGACTGCCCAATCGTGTCGTGGGAGGTTGGGAACGGGGACGTGTAGCCGGTGTTGGCCATTGTCGCAGACGCGTATTCGGATCTGCTGCAATAGATGCGGGCACTACACGCGCAATATGCAGAGGCTGGTATGGGAACTGAATAACGGAGGGTTTAGTGGAATCGCATGCCCTGCGAGGGGCTTTTGCAATAAATATGGGAATAACAATAGCAATTGCAGGGAATGAAAGACCAGAAAGATCTGAGACGCGGATCCGATGATCATCTGGATGCATCTCGCCGCCCGAACGCTAAGGCATCGTATTTACGTGCTACCTGTTTGGGCCTAGCGGATTCCTCCGATGAAATGACAGTAATTCTTACTTCCATACTTTAATCTCTATGTGTCCCTGAATAGCTACAAACCATCTGATTCGGTCCCTCTAGTACGCTCAGGAACCGGTCTTCCATTCTGGATAACCCGGTGGCACAACCGAGGGCTCCTCCGAAGGCCCTCCAAACAACGTAGGTCGCGCCTTCAATTCATCCACAGCTTCCTCCATATCTGCAGCCACTTTTTTCGTGGCACGTCCACCGTTGGAGGAAATTTCACGCTAATTGTATTAGTACTTGGCTATCTCCAAGGTGCGAAGATCAGAGCTCAGATCTTACTTGCTTTTTTGGGTCCATATCATGAAACCCGCCAGTGCCACGAGCCTTTCCACCTTTCTTACCACCCCGGTGTCCTATCGCCGACAGCCCTTCTCGTGATCGATTGGCAAAGTTCCCCCGATTAGGGTGGTGCCCGTATGCTGCGGTGGCGATTACAGGCCCATACCTAGCCACGATCGGTCTCAATCGAAGCAACGGTGTTGGCCCGTGCAGAGGACTTAGCGTTCTTCTTTCTATTGTAGAAGATTCACTTAAGAGTCGCCAGGCCGTTGTCAGATATTGCTGCATGATATCGGGTCTTTCATCATAGAAGCAGATTGCCACCGACTCTCGCAAGGAGGAGGTGACTATATAACTTGCCGGCAACAAGATGTCGCCTTCGTAGCCACATTGGCTGATTGGATACGAACATTGAGATAATACGCTCGGAACTACATCCAGGCCCTTGGTCTGATGTCATGTTCAATGGCGTCTCGCCTCCATAGACTAAGTGGCGGGGACCATACCGACATCCATCCTTTTCAACCGCAGGTCCTCTGGAGGGAATTTAACGCATAGATTTTCCAATGAACGTGTTTCCCAGATCTACTTAATTTCCTGAATCAATTGTATCCTGATTTCAGACCTCGAAACGAAATGTCTTTGCTCAAATGAAGGCAATTCGCGGTAGATATTGAGCGGGAGACGAGGCGAAGTGAGCCTTCGAAGATATGTGGCGCATTGTTTCAACCCAAGAACATTGCATAGAGCTAAGCCAGATCGTTACAGAACACTCGGCCACTCAATGATCAATTAAAATTTTCGACGTCGTCATGCACAACAGGGTCAATCACCGATCACCGATCACCGATCGCCGGTCTCGCGAGCCCGCGGGACAAGCTTATCAGCCGGCCCCACCGTCTTCCTCCCTTCATATACGCGAGCTCCGGAGGTGCAGATTGATACAGCTCACACTCATACATCAATTCCGCCCAGTATGCCACCTTTACCGGGTGGGTCGCTGGACCGCCGACGGGTAATCTGTTACCACCAAACCATCATTCCCGGCGGGGACTCATACGTGTCCATGCTCCCGCTCGTGGAAAACAACACCGGGGCCACGCATGTCATCCTTGCAGCCATTCATATAAATGGAGAGCCGGGAAACATCACTCTCAACGATGACCCGCCCGATAGTCCCAAATATGACCCTCTATGGGCCGAAGTGCCCCTCGTAAAGCAGGGTGGTCTGAAGGTGATGGGAATGCTCGGTGGTGCCGCGCAGGGCTCTTTCCGGCGACTCGACGGCGACTTGGACCAATTTGAAAGATATTACGGCCCTCTACTGAATATTATCCGCCGCTATGGACTTGACGGATTGGATCTCGATGTCGAAGAGGAAATGTCACTCCAAGGCATCATCCGGCTCATTGATCGTCTGAAGGCCGACCTGGGCGACGAATTTATTATCTCATTGGCCCCCGTCGCAGCCGCGTTACTGGGAGTTGGAAACCTATCTGGCTTCGACTATCGCGAACTGGAGCAAGCGAGAGCCTCCAAGATCGCTTGGTACAATGCCCAGTTTTACAACGGCTGGGGTCCCGCAGAGGACCCTCGCATGTACGCAGCTATCGTTGCGCAGGGCTGGGCCCCGCGCCGAGTCGTTTACGGTCTATTGACAAACCCTGGCAATGGATCGCAGGGCTACGTGCCTCAAGAGAAGATTGGGCCTGTTCTCGGGATTCTGGTTCAACAATTCCCGACCTTTGGCGGTGTGATGGGTTGGGAATATTTCAATGCACTGCCTGGCGAGAGGGCCAAGCCATGGCACTGGGCAGCAGAGATGTCGCTCAGCATGGGCATGAAAGATGTTTTGACTGCGGCTAGCCAGTTGATGATGGGGTCGACGGTGCAGAATATGCTCCGGGACATGCAAGGCCGATAACTTGGACTAAAAAGGAGCTTGGTTTGAAAAAAGCGATAGTTCTCAATACAAACCAGAAACCTTGGAATAATAAAGTTGCATACAAAAGGAATAAAAACATCGCATAAAGATGAGGCTCGAAAGCAGGGAGTGTGGATAACGTCATCGCAACCACGCCCCTCAGGGAACACCAATCATCAAGTGCAAAAACAACATTACCGGCCTGCGCTCGACTGCCAATGGTCTCAGCTCTTTCACTCCTCTGCACCTGTGATGTCTCCAAGCTTCGCCTTTGCTGCTTGACCCGCAACGATGGCACCCCTGCTGCGCGTGGTTGCGGCCACAAGTTCGACTGTGGTCCGCTTGTTCTCCTTCATCTTCCTGAGATGGGTATGACTTGCAATCATTCAATTCCACTTCAGAAACTGATTTGTTTAGATTCCGGGTCATCCTTTTGTGCCCATCGTCTTCACCTCACTAGTGGTGTATCTGTCCTCCCTCTTTTCTTTACTGAATGGCCAGGGTGCGTCTAATGAACGCGCCGAGAAGAAACAAAAGACCACTTCCAGTAAGTCCGTTCGAGAATGAATTCAATCATTCGTTTCTAAAACGTTTCTAGAACGGACTCAAAGGTCCGATGGAGAAGAGTCCGGTGATTCCGCGCTGAAGACACTGTTGACGGGTCTTCCCTCAAAGCGGTCGCCGCGATGGACATGGATGACGGCGATTATCAACGTTATCCTGGCCATACTAACACTCGACTTTTTGATTCGAAGTATTGTGGCCTACCCTAGTTCTGATGCCGCTTTTTCACGCATTGGATACGTGTCACCAACCACGGCCAACCTGCTCTTCCGTGAGCCAGACATGGCTCAGCTGCCAGTGGTCGTCTCCTACCAAGAGAGCGAACCGGCTTCCAAGAAGTGGACCCAGGAGGGCACTGTCTATAAGCTAGACAACACCACTGACTTCACAACCTCCGTGACATTGAAAAACCTGAAGCCGTCAACTCACTACAAGTATTCGCTCTCTAATAACAAAACCGGCACCTTCGTCACAGCTCCAAGGCCCGGATCTCCCGTGGCCAATAGGCTGTCATTCGTGACATCCAGCTGCTTGAAGCCGAACTTTCCATACAGCATTTTGTCTCACCCATTGCGGGTTCCTGGAATTGAGCAAATGACCGAAGCCCTTGGAAAGCTGCCAGCCCTCCTGAAGCCAGCCTTCATGCTCTTCCTAGGAGATTTCATCTACATTGACGTCCCCTTTCGATTTGGGTCTTCGATAGATCACTATCGCAGCGAATACCGCCGGATATACTCATCTCCATCCTGGGCATATAGCTCAGTAGATGGCCCAGCCATTGACCTCCCCTGGATCCACACTCTTGACGACCACGAGATCGAGAACGACTGGTCTAGAGGAAACAAGACCGCGCCATACCCAGCAGCCGCTGATCCGTTTATCCACTACCATGTGAGCGCGAACCCGCCCGTCCCAGAGAAACCCTTTGCGCATCCGGACAATGTCACCTACTTTTCTTTCGTCAACGGCCCTGCTTCCTTCTTCATGCTGGACACGCGTACCTACCGCTCCGAGCCAACCATGGAGAACTCCACAATCCTAGGCTCAGCGCAGCTCCAATCCCTACTCGCATACCTAGCTCGTCCGGAACCATCCGGCGTGCGCTGGAAAATCATCTCCTCCAGCGTCCCATTCACGAAAAACTGGCACGTCGGCACAACCGACACATGGGGCGGCTTCCTGAAAGAACGCCGCACCGTATTCGAAGCAATGTGGCAAGCCGAGCGCGAGCAGGGTATCCGCATAATCCTCCTCAGCGGCGACCGCCACGAGTTCGCCGCAACACGATTCCCAGATCCTGAGCTCAGCCTCTCATCAGATGAACTACAACCCAACACAGCCGGTCGAGGCATTCACGAGTTCAGCGTCGGTCCTCTGAGCATGTTCTACCTCCCCATCCGCACGTATTACCAAACAGATATCGAGGACGTGTCTGTGAAATATGCACCGGATGGGAACAGCAAGTTCGGGCTTCTCGATATCGCTGATGATTTCGAAGAGGCTGGTCCCGATGCTTCATCACCCGCTCCTGTGCGGAGCTCTGTGCTCACGTATTCGCTATATGTGGATGGTGAAGTCGTTTGGCAGTATCGTCTCAGTGTGCCTCATAGTTATGATCCTGCTGCTCATGCTGCGGGATCTGGGAAGAGCATGCATCTTCCGCCTGGTAGGGTTGTGGAGGATAAGCTTGTTGCGGAAGGCTGGGATGCTGTTTTCAAAACTGCTCTTGGTACTGCAGAGATGCTTGTGAAGGAAGTTGTTCAGAAGGCGACAATGGTGTATTATAAGGTTTTGGAGAAATTGTGAAAGGAAGGGAGGATTGATTAGGGGACTTCGAGAGTCACCGCTGGCAAACTGCAAGACTATTACGCACTTGATAGCACAAGTTACAGCGACGCTCTGTTTCCCAAGGCTTCAACATACGCTTCTATCATAGGAGTGGGCACAAGGAATAGAAATGAAAAAAACCGATTCTGATATAGACAACTCGTCATATTGTGCAGTTTACATGATATACGGTAAAGAAAGCAACGCCAAACTCCCGCCCAGATGCAAAGTTGATGAGCCACATGGGAGCATGCAAGAAGACAAAAGACAGCAGCCCCAAGAACTATCGTCCTCGTCCACGTCCCCCACCACCACCACCACCCATGCCGCCCATTCCGCCCATTCCACCCATCAAACCGCCCATCTGGCTCATCATACTCTGCAAATCCATACCAGCGGGCAGACCAGGCATGCCTCCTCCACCCTGGCCACCACCCATCATCTGCATCATCTTCTGGATATCGCCCATACCAGGCATACCGCCCATTCCGCCGGCACCACCCATGGCCTGCATACGCTTCTGCATGGCGGCCATCTGCTGCTCCTTGTTTCCGCCCTTGAGCATGTTCTGCGCTTTCTGCATCTGCTTCTTCTGGCCACCGACACGCTTGGCCATGCCGGCCATCATGCGGTGCTGAGAGAGCAGGTCCTCGACTTCGCGGACGGTGGTACCACTGCCGTGGGCGACGCGGACCATGCGGCTGGGTTGGTCGGTGAAGAGCTTGCCGTCACAGTCCAACTCGGCGGCTGTCATGCTGTCGAAGATGTAGACCATGCGGCGGAGCTTCAGCGAGCCGTCCTCATCGTCCAGGCCCTGAGTCAGGTTGGACAGACCCGGAATCATGCCGGAGAGCTTGGACAGCGGGCCCATCTTCATGATGGACGTGATGTTCTCCCGGAAGTCGCGAATGGTGTAGATACCTTCGGCAATGTGCTTATAAGTCTCCTTGGCGGCGGCGGAGTCCTTGGTGACGGCCTGCACGTGCTCGACCAGTCCGGCCACGTCGCCCATGCCCAGCAGTTTCTGGACAAATGCGCGGGGCTCGAATCGCTCGAGATCCATCATGTGCTCACCTGTTCCCAAGTAGATGATAGGGGTGTTTGTAGCGGCGACGGCAGAAATGGCACCACCACCAGCGGCGTGGCCATCTGTCTTGGTGATGATGATGGCTCCGAAGTCAGCGGTGGCCTTGAAAGCCGCTGACTGGGCCTCCGCCGCCTGACCGATGGTGCTGTCAAGAACCAGGATGGTTTGGTCGGGAGTCACGGCGGTTTGAATCTGGGTCATCTCAGTGAACAGTTCCTCCTCCTGACGGTGACGACCACTGGTATCGACGATGATAATATCAAAGCGCTCCTTCTTGAACTTGGCCACACCCTCGGCCGCGACAACGGCAGGGTCCGTCTGCGTCAAACTACCGTAGTAGGGGATCTTGGCTTTGGTCGCGTTCTGCTTCAGCTGGTCGAAGGCACCAGCACGGAAGGTATCGGCGCAGACAAGGGCGGTCTTGAAACCGCGCATCTGATAGTGACGAGCGAGCTTGGTACAGGTGGTGGTCTTACCGGCACCCTGCAGACCAACGAACATGATAACGTTTGAACGACCCTTCTTGGGGCGGAAGGAGTCCGCATGAGGGTCGACCAAAGCCACCAGCTCATCGAAAACGGTCTTCTGGATCAGGCGCTTCTTGTTCGTGGCGGCCGGGATGTTGGCGAAGTTGACGCTGGACTTGATCGACTTGCGGAGAGTCTGGACGAGCTTGACGTTCACGTCTGCGGACAGAAGGGCGGCACAGATCTCTTTAAGCATTTCATCGAAGGCCTGGCCGAGTTAGCATCAAGTTGGCCACGTGATGGGTAAGGCATACCTTCTCATCGAGGTTGTTAGACCTCGTCATGTCATTGACGGCCGCATTGATGCGCCGTCCCAGATCCTGGAGGACCATGGTGGATAGATGTGTAAATAGCGAGGGTGAGAGTTGGTCACAGATGGAAAGTGTGGAGGGGCGAAACCAACAGACCAAGGTGGTTTAGTGCGGAGTGCCAATCGGAGAGCGGGAGCCTCTCACCGCCCCAAAAAAAAGTTGGTCGCTACAAAGTGATCTCGGCGCTCGACATTTACTTTTCCCTCAGCTCTTTCAATTTTTTTTTGTCATTCAAGATGGTCGGCTCCTACTCCAAAAAGCGCAAGGTCACTGATGGCATGAAGGGCAAGACCGCCCGCCCCAAGAAGTTCCGCAAGCAAACCTTCTATCACAGCAGCTCCGAAGACGAGCAGGATGATCAGCAGGACGACTTCAAGGCCGTCAATCTCGCCGATTCGGATGAAGAAGAGGATGGAGGTGTTTCAGTGACCAAGCGCTCTGTCGTTGAGCCTAAATTGAAGCCCAAGAAGAGCAAGACTGCGCCTGCGCCTGCGCCGAAACAAAAACCTAGTCCCGAAGCCGAAGACTCCAGCGACGACGACAATGAAGCGGATGCAGATGAGATGGATGACGAGGAAGACAACGATGCCTCCGGCTCCGAAGACGGAGACCTTTCCGATGAGCCTATGTCAGAGGCAGGAAGAGACGGACGCCGATCCGTCCCCAAACGCAACGATCCCGCCGCATTCTCGACCTCTATCTCCAAGATTTTGTCTACCAAACTCCCATCATCCGCCCGAGCCGATCCTGTCCTTTCGCGAAGCAGATATGCTGCTCAGCTCAGCAATGAACACGCCAATGAGAAGCTCGACAACGCAGCGCGCGCCAAGATGCGCGCAGAGAAGAAGGAAGAGCTGGATCGCGGCCGTGTCCGTGATGTGTTGGGCATTGAGAGAGGGTTGACTGGAGACGTCGCCGAGGACGAGAAGCGTCTGCGCAAGATGGCGCAGCGCGGTGTGGTCAAGCTGTTCAACGCCGTCCGCGCGGCGCAAGTTCGGGGTGAGGAGGCTGCCAAGGGCGAACGCCAGAAGGGAACTGTCGGTATGGGAGAGCGGGAGAAGGCTATCAACGAGGTCAGCAAGCAAGGATTCCTTGAGTTGATCAATGGCAAGAAGGGAAAGCCGTTGAACATCGAAGAGGCTTAAAAAGTGAACCTTGGAAAAGGCGCATGATTGTCCATGGCATGTTTTTCGGCGTTGGGATATTGTATCTTATTTGATTCCTTTTTCATTGTACCTAGTAAAACGAGGATCTATGAATCATTCTCTCCATAGGCGGGCCCAATAGAGCTTCCCATTGATAGGACTTTTATATTCTGCCTTTCCCCAGCATAGGTACTCGTTTATCTCAGAAACAAACGCGATTTCCACTACGCCGTCGACTTCCTCGTGATAGGATCAGATCGCTCATCCACCCTCATCATACCATACATATACTGCGTCAAAACCCGCAAAAGGGTCCAAAACCTGGGCACGGCCCAGGTTTGAATAAAAATCGAGGTCTTGCACTCATAAAACACTTAGAAATTACGGAAAGTAATCTTTAGTACACTTTTGATCACTTTCCTGGGGGTTATCTATCGCTTTATATTAATAAATGTTAGGATTTTGGTGCATAATCTATGCATTTATCCAAAGCTACCAATTCAACACGGAAGTATCCTTTCTGTCATCTCTCACCGGCTTTCATCTGAATTTACTACAGTTCTCTTTTTATCTTCTATGCTTGAATTTATATTTATGAACTACCACTCAAAAAGATGCCGAAATTCAACCTCAATCCACTATCACCAGCATCCCTCCAGGCAACAGCACAAGCTTTTTTTGAATCATGGAAAAGTTTATCCCCCGATATCGAAATCCCATTAACACCTCTCAACACTTTAACCGGCTGTCGGGAACGGCTCGAGTTAATGCTATCACAACCAAGTACCTACGAGGTCATAGTCGCCAATGCGCCTGGTTTTAAGCATTCAGATAGATCTGAAAATGTGATACTGGGCTTCTTTTCAATCAACAAAGAGGAAAAGGCACTAGATCAGCTTTTTGTCCACCCTGACGCGCAGAGTCTAGGACTCGGTGGGATACTGCTGGATCAGGTTAAAATCAGGCTCCCAAGAGAGGATGGAGGGTTCTGGCTAAGAACCGCCGAGGGAAATTTGTCAGCTTGCAGGTTCTATGAGAAAAAGGGGTTGCGCCTGATCAGGAGGGAGACACACCCAGTCTGGGGCCATTGGACTTGTATCTACGCTTGGCGATGAAGCTCACTTAATGGATGGGTTGGGATAAGGCTGTGTTGCGGACCCTGTAACTACGCATTTAGTTGAGGGGCCGCAGTTTACCGATGAGCCACCAAGAGCCAACCGTTCCCAGGAGCAATGCACTAATGATTTTCGTGGGATACAAAGTGCACCCCATCTATATATCTTATCAAAGCCCGAGTTAGAGAAGGTGATACTGTGCCTCAGCATAACTTGAAACTCACTTTAATTTTGCTCGTTTCAAAGTCCAGGCCGGTTGTTTATTTGCGGAGAAGGTGGGGTGTAAGGCACAAGTAATCATGACCTCCTTGAGTTCTAGGGTCTAAAGTTGATCGGGCTCATTTTTGAATGTAGATTGATCAATTATTGAGGCCCAGGACGGCTTTTTATTGACTTTGAGCTCCGGCATTCCACATTAAGCTGGATGAATCTAGAATTGTAGGAATATAGTATACTCTTGTTCGCGTCCCACGGGGACAATCGGCCGACAGTTCTGGAAAGCCCGGCTTTCCCTCAGATCATGATATCCTGGCTATATACCATCATATCGGAGATGGTGTCTCTCTGCCACTGCCATACATCGAGGGCGTTCTTCTCCTCTCTGCTGATATGAATCCAGTGACTGAGGCTATAGTCGTGGTGAGTGTCTATGGCATGCTGGGGCAGCTGCGGAGGCTGTTTAATGCAGGGAAAGGAAGCGTTTAACGCAAGAAATCGAAGAATGGCGAAGTTGGGTTTATCAACGGCTTGCTCGGTAGGAAATGAGTTTTATATAAATAGTACAGGAGAGTTTTCATTCGGTATCTTGCAAGTCTGCTGGAAAATATTCAATGCAAAGTAATACAGAGTCCCAATGGACTATCGAGGCTCTCGCCAGCGGCTCCTTTGTGCCCTCATTTCGACTCAAAGTCGCTCGCTTGTAGATTCCGTGTCATCGGAGGCAGCTTGACAACCAACCCGTCGAGATCCTTGCTCATAATCACCTGGCATCCTAACCGGGATGTCTCGGTCAGACCAAAGGCCAGATCCAACATGTCGTTCTCGTCATCTGAGGGCTCCTCCATCTTGTCGAACATGTCCGGGTCCTCCACAATCACATGGCAGGTTGAGCAGGCACAGGATCCGCCGCAAGCACCTATTCGCAAATTTGTCAGTTACATGCACCATGGACACGGATATTTCAATGCGCGACTCGACATACCCTCCATCTCAAGGTCATTGGCCTGCGCAATATCCAGCAGGTTATCGCCCTCGGCAACCTGCAATTTCACCTCGGTACCGTCCTTGTCGACGAACGTAACGTTGATTCTGTTACCGAAATCAGTCAGAGTTGTCTTTTGATCGATCGCGATTCCGAGGGACTCACTCCTCGCCGGGCTTGGGCGGCGTGATGTGGCCGTGGGCAACATGCGCAGTGGCGGAGAAGGAGCGCTGTGCCGATTTCCACTCCTGCAATGAAGGGTGAAGTCTCTTCTGTGCGCCGGAATTCCACCGACCCGAGTGTGCGATTCCTGCGGTCCTCCACGGCGTTGTTGTGTGGCTGATGTATCTCCGCGATTGAGCCAGACACACTTCCCCGGTGGTCGCCTTGGGAATGGCGCGCCGCAATTGTTGGCCGAATTCTCGCCAGAGGGCCATTGTGAAGAGGCTGATTAGAGAACCAGGTGAAGAGAAAAGGAAAAGGGAACAAGAACGAGGTGGGAAAAGAAGTCCTGGGGCAGCGGAGGAGTGAGTCTCAATGGTCCAATGGCCGCGGACGAAAAAAAAGACATGACAAAGCTAAGGCGGCGTCGGACTTGCGCGTTGCTCGTCTTTTCCGAGCTTCCCTTTTATCCCCGAATCAACCAACCCCTCACCCACCATGGCCTCTCGTGAAGGGATCAATCCCTTGCGGCCTTATTATATCCCCCAATCGGGCCTATCGCCCACCAACACCACGCAGGAGCCCTCGCCGTCCTCGTCCCATGTGTTTGGCAGCACCGCGCGGGACTTCATCCCGGATCTCGACTATGGAGACTATCTCGACGCCTCGCCGTCCGTGTCGGACTGGGTCCGGGATGCCGTGAACCGAGCTCTCGTGCGCTACTGCCAGGTTCTTACTGCACAGCCCTTCGATGTCGCCAAAACGATCCTGCAGGTGTACGTGGTGCCGGATGCCACAGACGAACAGGACCGGAGACCGACTCCGGGTGCTGGGGGTAGCTCCTACGAGTCGGTATGGACATGCATTACCAGACTGAAACGAAAGTGAAGCTGACAATCTTACAGGATCCAGAGTCGTCGGACGACGAAAGCACCTATTTCACTTCAGCTGCCCCGTCAACCCCCACCCCGACTACGCCGCGATCTCGAAGGGGCCGACACCATATCACAGACCGCAGTGGCTACATTCGTGCGGACGATGCATCTTCGTCTAAAAATGCACTCGCCATCAAGAACCCGAGCTCATTGATGGATGTGCTCTCCCAACTATGGACAACCAGCGGACCAAGCTCCCCTTGGAAAGCCTCCAACGCCACCTTCATCTACTCGCTGCTTCTCCCGACTTTAAACACATTCATTCGCAGCCTGCTCTCAGCCATCGTGGGCCTCCCAGAGGAAGACATTTCTTCGTCCATGGCAGCCGACATCCTGACCGCATCTTCGCCCCTGGTCACCCTCCTTCTATCATTCATCTCGTCGTCCGTGTCCGCCCTTGTGCTATCCCCCATCGATACCGCACGCACATTCTTAATGCTCACGCCCGCCACACACGGCCCGCGCTCTCTCGTCCGCGCCATTCGCGAGCTCCCCACTCCCAACTGCACAATTCCCCCGCACCTCGTCCCGATCACCATTCTCCACTCCAGTCTTCCAAACTTCATCATGACAGCGACCCCACTCTTCCTCAAATCCTACTTGTCAATCGACCCCCTCCTCAACCCGTCCATGTGGAACCTCTTCACCTTCCTCAGCTCCGGCCTCGAACTGGCTGTGCGCTTCCCTCTCGAGACCGTCCTCCGCCGCGCCCAAATCGCTACATACACCTCTCTCAGTTTGCGTCAGAAGTCCTCGGGCGGAAGCATCCGCGCTGCGTCTATCGACGCATCCGATGTTGAGACCATTGTCCCTACCCCTCGCACATACCGCGGTATCATTGGCACCATGTGGCACATCGTCCACGAGGAGGGCCTTAGCCCGAACCCCTCCGACTCCGAGCGCGCCAGCGAACTCGTTGGCAAACCCACTTCCCAGCACCAGATGCAGAAGCGGCAGCAAGGCCAGGGTATCCAGGGCTTGTACCGCGGCTGGCGCGTCGGTATGTGGGGTATCGCTGGTATCTGGGGCGCCAGCCTGCTCGGCGGCATTGCTGGTGCCGGTGAAGAAGAAGTGACCTTGCGGGGTGGCCATGGACGCTCCAGCGGTGGACAGTTTTAGGGAAACTTCCTCTTTGCTAAGATTCCACGCACCATCTGTCGATTGATTGGTCTTTGCAGCCACTCCCCTTTCTCTTGGTATCCATTGCAGGCACTGGCCGGAAGGATATATCTTGTTACGCTGCTTATGTTTCTTCGACTCTCCCCTCCTCCCTCTGCTCACACCGTATACCCCAGGGAACGGATCCAGGGGTCAGGCGAACGCCGTCGTTATTTCGCGCCTTGTACAAAACCGCACTTACATAGCAATTATTAATTCTCATGAAACTACCAGTTCTCTATAACTAGCCGGACCAAGGAAATATTGCAAATGGTACTAAACACCGTATTCTCTCAGCCCTTCTAAACCTCCGGGTATCTCTCCAAACGTCTTTCTAGGCATCTCTTTAAATATGCACGGACAGATAGTCAAGATCATCTACGTAATTAAACCTATTCAGAGCATCTCTTTGACCCCCCTATCTCACCGAAACCTGTATCAAGTCTAGGATTCATCCTGATTTTGTCTTTTGGAGTGTAGCAAATTCTACAACTAGAATGTTTGGGACATTTTCGTATACGGGACGATATCATTCCATTCATAAAAAAAGTATATACGTGAGCACACGAGAACAAGAACAAAAACGCCAGCCAAATCCAATCCGTCTAGAATGGAGATAGCAGACCACCGCAGGACCAACCACAGACCATGTTCATATCGGTCAAGTCTCTACGTCCCCGGTCGAAAGTACAGGCGAGGCACGCTAGAGGTAGTAGAAAAACAGAAGGTGCTTTTAGAGGTGATATTGAGGGATGGGGTGAGCAAGAGAGGGTGGGTGGTGGGTAAAGAAGAAAGATAGACCGTATGATGGTACATGGAGCAAACGGGGTGTGGGTATCAAGGTGCCCTCGTAGGAGGAAGGGGGGAAAGAGCCCGATGCAGAAACAGAAGAGAGGGAGGGTTCGTTTATTTCTCAGCAAATCGCCGGTCAAAGTAGCGGAGTACGCCCATCACACTGGCAGCTTCGACTTCCATCGCCGCTCGGCCGCTGCGCTCAGCCAGTGCCAACTCACGAGGGTTGGGCAGGGTGTGCAGCTTAGGCAGCCAAGAAGAGATCTCGTCAGAGGCCTTGGAGAAGTTGGGGTGGCGCGAGAGAGTGGTGAAAGCGTCGGCGCAGCTCAGGGTGATTTCAGAGGGCGTAACGGGCTTGGCTGGGGCAGGTCGCGGAGGCATGGAGGGGTTGTTACGCGCGGACGGGGTGGCGGGGGCATTTCGGGACATGCAGCATCCCCCGTCTGCTCCCTTTCCGCCGCAGCAGCCACCTCCCGTTGGAGTTCCGCTCGCTGACCGGGAGGCTGCCAGCGTCTTGCAAAAAAGGGTGCTTCGGGGATCGGCCTGGCACTGGGCGCAAGTTCCGGGTCCGTTGGCACAAGGGTTGGTCGCTTGGCTGATGGGGGGCAGAGTCACTTCCGAGCGGACGTCGCTGTCGGAAGGAGGAGGGGTGAACTGTGAGATAGACTGGATCGGAGCGAGGCGGGGGGCTTCGAAGGAGCTGCGGCGGCCGCGCTGCTGCTCCTGCGCTGCCATCTCGGCACAGATGCAGGGCGTGCCGTCCTGACAGAACCCGCACGGATCGACAGGTGGCGAGGAAACTTCGTTATTGTTGCCGTGAGAGCTGGGCTGGGCGGGAACACCGGCGAATCGAGATGTGAAGTCAATCTCCATCTCCTCCGGGTCGGGCTTGATCTCCGGCTCTGCATTCTCGCGCCGCGGACTGCCCACTCCATGAGGGGGATGTCTAGCTCGAGCGGACTCGTGGGTATCAATTGGCATAGAGAAAGCATCCTCAATGCACTGGCAGTGTGTGTTGGAGCAGCTGGAGCACCCTAGAGGTACGTTATCGGCGCCTTCTTCCCGGTTATGCTCGGCACTGGTGGACACGATGCCCTCCATGCGGGAGCTTCGGGTAGATGGGCGAGTGCGAGGTGGTAGAGGCACAGAGTCTGGGATGGACGATAATTTGCTGCTGCTGGAGCCAGTGATGGAAGTCCGGAATTCTTTGACGATAGCCTCCTTCGCACTGCGTTCAATGGAAACCTCCTTCTCGAGAGAGTGGCACCGGTCACGCCACCAGCTCACCTCCTCACGGCATTGTTCCACCTCCCGCGAGAGGTTGCTGACCTGCTCGGTGAAAGCTGCGATGCGCACGTCGTGGCCATCCTCAATTTCCTTGATCTGCTCCTCAAGTTCCTGGACTCGCTGGGCCCGGCGCTCACGGAAAGCTCGCTGAGCGGCTCGGTTCTGGGCCTTACGCTTGGTTGGCGGAGTGTCGGTGGCTGGCTTGCGGCCAGGCTTCGGACGGGGTGGAATAACCCATTCTTTCGAGGTGATGGAGCCGGGCGTCCCGGGTCCGGGCGACGGGGCTACTGACGGCGTCATGGAAGGCCGAGCGGCCAGCATTGGTGCAGGGGCGAGAGCCGAAGCAGGCGTCATCGACACGCCTGTCGAGGCCATGGTGATGGTGGAATCACTTCAGGTCCTGCGTTGCTTGTTAGCGGGAACATTGAGGGGGAGAACGAGTTCGGGCGGGTTCGGGTCACGCACAGGCCGTCTCGGTCGGAAGAGCGGAAGTGCGCTCATGCAAGCCTGATAAGCGAGACAATGAGCTACGCAAAGAGGAACCGGGATGGCAGAGAGACTTTGCCAAGGCGAACAGACGAAGTCAGCGAACGGCTAAGGTATGGGCAAAAATAAGGTAGCTTAGGTGTCGGGGGAAAGTGGGAAAGGAAGGGAAGAAAAGAGCGATGATCAGATTAGATTGTGCTCACATGATGCCGGTTTCGGATGTGCGAGTCGGGGTTTGCTAATCCTCAACGGGCAAGGGGATCCATCAAGACATGAGACACAGAGTTTTCTAGCTTTTTTATCTGATCCGTATAAGCGCAAGGGAGGGTGGAGGCCGGCAAACTGCACCGACGAGTGGGCTGACGCTGATTCCGGTTTCTGTTTTCCCAATTTCCCTCGCCAAGAGCGTCTCCATCGTGGTGAATACCAGATGGGGAAAAACAAATTGCTAGACTATGTGACAGCCTACTGCACATCCTCGATTGCGTTTTGATCGCAACTCGAAAATCAAAATGCTACTTGTCGAGAACAGAAGAACTCCCAGTTTTCACCGTAAGGACCGTGAGAGGGTATCTAACTCTTGGCCCATGGATCAACCCCTCGCCCTCACCTCCTTCGGACCCGTCCATTACCTAGCAGAAATGGGGTTGCAACCAATCAGGCTCGTCAGGTTGTGCGGCATCTCTTTTCCCGAGCCAGAGGCCAGTGGTGAGGGCCTTGATCGACAGGCTGGGAACTGCTGCCGGCAAGCCCTAATGCCGCTCTCGGACTCTGATCTTATCTGATCACGCTAGCCGCCCGCCTGGTGCCCATTTTTGGGCAATCCGAGCGACCGCGATCCACGTTTCTGCTGCTGATCGATGATGCTGCGAGGCAATTTTCACCAAGTGGATAAGTGGATACGGGTCAGTCAGTCCCTCTCGATGTTTTGTCGTCATTAGGTCTCCAGCCATTATGGGTTCTTTGTCTTGGCTGCTCCTCACCCACAAAATTCTTATCAATCAGTGGCTCCCTCCATCCTCCACTACCCACCGCAAGCCGAATGAGGCCGAAAATCGGGCACTTGGTTTGGTTTGGCACTCATCCAGCAATTCCGTGGAAATTGGAATTGTGACTCTTACTGGGGTTCTCGGTGGAAATGGCGGGAAACTGATCACGCAATATGTTTTTCTACATTCCGAAATTCGAATCGGTCGGCAATTGCTGAACGTAAATCGGTATCAATGGAAAGGCTCGGATCCATTCCGCTTTTATTAGGCTCTGTCGGTTTCTACGGCTGCAGACGCCCAAGTGGACTCGGCTCAAAGGTCAGCGAGGGTTATCGAAGACTACTCAGAGAAAAGAAAATGAACCCTCTCCAAGGGTTCTTCCTAGTTTTAATTTCAATGAACGTAAATTTCATCGCAACATAAAGTGAAAAGAGCTTGTTATATGTGGCCTAGTCAGAATTGGCCACTCCAACGCTAGTCAATGTTGTACAAGGTTGCCGGGAACCGGTCACATCTCCGTCAATTTAGGTGCACCGTCGGACGGAGGAGCAGAGTGCTTCGTCTGTACAAAGATCTTCTGCATGCCCTGGTCTCGCTTATCAAAAGCCTCATAGACCTTTTCTATGTCCTCGAGGCGCACGCGATGAGTCACCATGTCCAGCGGGTTAAGTTGCCCGTTCTGGATGAGCTCCATAAGTTGTTTCCAGTATTTGTGCACTGGTGCCTGTCCGTTTCCGATGAACCGAACCCCAGTCTCCATCAGAGCTCCGATGTTGAAGTGATTCGTCTGCGCACGGTCAGTATTTGTCTTTGATGGGTTTGGGCGTAACTCACATATGCTGCATAGATCCCAGTCACGCCCACTCGTCCAAAAGACCGAACTGATGTGATCATCTCGTTGAGAATCTCGGAACTATCGGTCTCTAGTCCTAGCATCTGCTCAAAGTAATGCGACCATCCCTTGGCGTATTCACCTGCGGCACACTCCAGGGCAACATCGGGTCCTCCGTAAACCATTTTCTTTAGTTGCGATGTGACCGATTCGCCCTTGGGAAGCTTGCTGAAGTCAAGGGTCTCGACCTTCGGAACTTTGTTCTGCACATAATCCAATCGCCATGCCCCGTTACCACCATCAATGAGAATAACACGATCGGCGCCGTGGAAGAAGCTGAATTGAGCACACATCTGGCCGATTGGTCCTGCACCCCAGATAGCAACCACGTCTCCGGATTTGACACCAGTGTCAACCACACAGTGCCAGGATGTGGCCAAAACATCAGATAAGAAAAGGGCTTTCTCATCGGGCACATCGTCCGGAATCGAGAGCAGGTTCACATTGCCGTAAGGAACCCGAATGTGCTCAGCTTGGCCGCCAGCGAAGCCGCCCGTGAAATGAGAGTATCCAAACATTCCTGTTATCTCTTAGTCCTGGCCTAGTACATCACAATCTTGGACTTTTGGAACATACCGGCTGTTCGTTTCCCATATAGCGCATTCTCGACGGTGTTCTCGTTGGTTCTTTCGCATTGCGAGAACAGCTCTTTCCGACAGTTCATACAGTCACCGCACGCGATGGGGAAAGACACCACGACCCGATCACCGACTTTGACTTTATCCGCCTCCGGTCCCACGCTTTCGACCACACCACAGCATTCGTGGCCCAGCACATCACCTTTCTGAAGCTGTGGAATGACTCCTGTAGTCATCTTATCAGATTCATATTCCCCACACCGGGTATAGGAAGAGCTTACCATGATATAAGTGAAGATCGCTTCCGCAGATGGTGCTGCCAGTTATCTTGACAATCACATCACCTGGATCGACAACTCTAGGCATGCGCATTTGAACTAGAAAATGCCGTTAGTATTGCTAACCGGGGCAAAGCGCGAGTCGATTTCCACACCAAGTTTCACTTGGTTTTTACCGTCCCAGACGGTGGCTTGGATCAAATCCCCAGTCTCCATTCCGTGCTCATTGTTATAGTTGCTTATATCAGTTGTGATCGATGCATTGCCACCGTGACCGACAGCCTTCTCTACCAAATTGGCGGCCTGCGTGAAAGCCATGTTTATGTTTGCCTTGGGTTATTAAAAGTAAACTTTGCAGGACTGAAACCCTTTAGATATTTGGTTTTACCGTTCTCTTTGCGATTGCTGGATTACTTATAGTGAGCGATAACTACACGTCATCGAAACCTGGTATCTCCCATTCTTCGATGCACTTGGAAATTTATACTGGGAGCAAGTTTCGAATAGGCTTCCCGCTGACATCACTATGAAGTCGCCCCGCCTCGGCGTGTCTCTATTCTACCTATCAAGCTTGACGAGGCGGTCAAATAGTATTTTAGTACCTTCCAGAAAACTTGTATTGTGTCCTGATCGATTCCAAGGTTATTTGAAGGTCCGTGTTTGGGTAAGTTACGGTAGCTCTCATGTACCTGAGGACCTCGGTGGAATCTCCCCACAGTCTACCTAGTTTATGCCCTACGAGATACGTTAGTGCAAACTATAAACAAAAATTTAATACAAATGACAAGCGACCTGGGTACTAGCTAGGAGAAGTTGAAGGTATACCCATTGCTGATAAGCTCTGGTGGTATATTCCGCGCTAGATGCCGTAATCGCGTGTTACATTTGTTGACTTGCGCCCGGGGAAGGTCCATAGAAATTGTCCAATAGTTCTAACCCTGGTTAACCATATCTGCTCTCGTACAGTCGATTTCAGACCAAATAAATCAGATTGATCCCAACAGGTCGCTCGAACTCAGGCACAGCCGTTTATCGTGTGACCAGCTCGAGTGGCCGTTCTCGGTGATAAGCAAGGGCCCCTTGCAGCTCCGCCGTTCCCCTCACGAGTCACCCATCTCCAACTCCGACAACCCACACTCTTCCCTTTGACCACTATCCTATATATCAATCATGACTCGGAGACACGCTTATGGACTCGACCGGCCCTGGGCCTCCCAGATGTCCGCCCAACTGCCTGAATCTGCCCATGACCGCCCTACTCCAGTGCCCCGAGCTCCGGCATCAGCCCCGACCGACGAGCCCGTTCGCCCAGAGGACTACTCGAAGCCGTTCTGCGAGTTCATGACCTCGAATCCCACCATCTTCCACGCCGTCAAGTCTTTCTCCGAGGAGCTTGAGCAGCATGGCTACAAGCCCCTCTCCGAACGTGCGGTGTGGACGCCCGAGCTGAAGCAGGGCGGCAAGTTCTACGTCACCCGCAATGGCAGTTCGCTGATCGCGTTCAACATTGGCAAGGAATACGAGAGTGGAAATGGGATGGCCATTGTGGCTGGACACGTCGATGCCCTCACGGCTAAGCTGAAGCCCGTGTCCAAGCTCCCCAACAAGGCGGGCTTCCAGCAGCTTGCCGTCGCCCCGTATGCCGGTGGACTCGGAAAGACCTGGTGGGATCGAGATCTTGGCATCGGTGGTCGTGTCCTTGTCCGCGACTCGCGGACCGGGAGGGTCGAGAATAAGCTGGTCAAGCTGGACTGGCCCATTGCGCGCATCCCTACTCTCGCCGAGCACTTCGGGACCCCTGCCCAGGGTCCGTTCAATAAGGAGACTCAGATGGTGCCAATTTTTGGCATTGATAATTCGGATCTGTTTGAGCAGTCAGAGAAGAGCGAGACTGGTGATATTAAGGACGGAACATTTGCTGCAACCCAGCCCGAGAAGCTTGTCAAGGTTATCGCTAAGGAGCTTGGTGTGACGGATTATAGCTCTATCCTTGAGTGGGAGCTGGAGCTCTTTGATACTCAGCCTGCTCGAGTTGGGGGCCTGGAGAAGGACATGATTTTTGCCGGTCGTATTGATGATAAGCTTTGCTGCTACGCCGCCCACCAGGCTCTTCTAGCCTCAGAAGACAGCACCTCAACCGGCACAGTGAAGATGATTGGCATGTTTGATGATGAGGAGATTGGCAGTCTGCTGCGCCAAGGAGCCAACTCCAACTTCATGAGCAGTATTATGGAAAGAATCACCGAGGCTTTCGCGACCGACAACTACGGACCCAACCTCCTTTCTCAGACCGTTGCCAACAGCTTCCTGGTCTCGTCGGATGTCATTCACGCCGTCAACCCCAACTTCCTTAATGTGTACCTGGAAAACCACTCGCCCCGTCTCAACGTCGGTGTGACGGTCTCTACTGATTCCAACGGCCACATGACCACTGATAGCATCAGCCACGGTCTCTTGAAGCGTGTTGCTGCTCGCTGTGGCTCCACACTTCAAGTCTTCCAGATCCGAAACGACTCGCGCAGTGGCGGTACCATTGGCCCAATGACCAGCGCTCGTATCGGAATGCGGGCTATCGATTGCGGTATTCCGCAACTGAGCATGCACAGCATCCGCGCTACCACCGGAGCCCTCGACCCCGGTTTGGGTGTGAAGCTGTTCAAGGGCTTCTTCGACTACTACGAGGAGGTCGACAAGGAGTTTTCCGACTTCTAAATGAAACTTGTAGATGATCCCTGATTTAGACATTATTTGTACAAGCCGTTCCAAGGCGGGTTTTGCTTTTGTGTCTACAGCGTTAGCTAGAGCCGCAAGAATATACGAGTGATACACATAAACACACTCTGTCCATTTCTTCTATAGCTCCATATATATCCATCACAATATTTGGTTTTGTAGTCCGAAGGAACTTTAGAGGATTTTATTTGGGCCAACAATCTTGGCACATCGGGGAAGCAGTATATACTAGTGGCCTTCTTATAAATGACCTGTCTGTTATGGCCATCAGTGGTCATACATATATACCATTTCCACACTTGCCGACGGTAACCTCAAGGGTCTCTCACAGTTGCATCCCTCACTTATGAGTGGGTTGTAAACATCCCTTTAGATGAACGTCCGCCGTGACTTAGAAATTTGTTCATTCACTTATCCACGAGCAACCCCGACACTCGGCTCTAGTTTTTCATATATGAAATGGTTTTTTTTGGGACTTGGCTGGGAAATCTACTGTGTACTGGATTCAATGCTCCTGTGAACCGGGAAATACGTTAGCTGGAGTCCACATCCTCTCGAGTCACGTGTTAGAAATTTCGACTCGGAAATCACATGATCTTACCACTAGCCTAAAAAAGTGTACACCTTACTTAGTAAGGGTATGTCTGACAGGAACTCTTGTAGCACTGGGCTGCATCCTCAACTGTTCTATTCCGTGAGATGTCGCCCATCCAACATGCATTTTTCCCTTCCTTATTATCGGGATGCTAGTCAATTACCGGGGCCTCTTCCTGATCAGAATGAGATTGAACGGGCAACACGAACCCTCCCCAAGAGATCAGATTACGGTGGACGCCTAGTCGTAATCAGAGAGAAATATGTTGTAAAATATGGCCCACTTATGACAGAAAATGAGGGGTATACTCTACTTTTTGTTGAAAAACGGCTCAACATCGCAGCGCCGCGACTCTACGCCATGTACCGCAATCGGGACATCTTGTATACCGTCATGGAATACATCCCCAGCATTTCTCTAGGGATGGCGTGGCCTTCTCTCAACGAGGCAAATAAACATTTGATTGTTGGACAGCTACGATGTATCTTTGATCAGATGAGAGCGCTGCCATCGCCCGGATTTTATGGCAGCGTTAACCGAGGACCCTTTCCCCATAGGTATTTCTTTTCTCGTGAGAAAGACGCTGCTATTACCGGTCCTTTTCAGACGGCGGAAGAATTCGGAAAAGCCATCGCACTTCGCTCAAAAACTATGTGGAGCGAATCAAACAGTCATAGCTTTCTCTCTGACTATCTTGCTCGCCACCTCCCAGTGGCGCTTCGCAATCATCCACCTATATTCACCCATGGAGATCTCTCTAGAGAGAATGTTATTGTCCGAAAGGTCGTCAATCCTGTCACAAATGAAGAAGAGTACGAAGTAGCTGCTCTTGTGGACTGGGAAGCGGCTGGATGGTATCCTTCGTACTGGGAATACTCTCATATCTTCCCTCTGTTACAGTGGGTTGACGACTGGCCAGAATATGTTGAGAAGATTCTTGATCCCTTGCCGCTGGAGGGTGCCATGATGCGGGTTGTATTTAGTGATCTAGAGTTTTAGAGCGAGATGATACTATGTTTACCCTAGTGTCTTTGTCCGGTCACAATGAAAGGCTTGATCGGTGTGATTCGATCTTAAGTTACATTCCAACTTAGAGCTTAATAGCTGGAGATTTGATTATGCTCCAATGAGGACTGATTTTTTTTTTTAAAATAAGTGGTTTCCTATTCCACGCTGCCGTCCGTCTCCTCACTTACTGCTAGATCCTCGTCTAATGTCATAAAATCGTGTTCGTGCTATCTTCAATCGCCGGCATCGAAGCACTGCCCGGGGGTTACATAACGTAGGTTCTAGTCATTAGATGTTGCCTTCTTGCACACGCCTGCTTAAGTGCTATGCGCTCCACAGGAGACGGGTTCGATGGGTCGACCACTATTTTGTCGATCAAGCGATTCCACTCGCTATGTTGATCACCTGCAAAGAACATGATGACCGCTGGACTAAAAATGCCAAAGGCACTTTTCTGTACCATATTAGTCATATAATCTCAGTTCCGACACATAATAGTTACTGCAGAACGCTTAGTTGCATCGCTCGCTCCTTCTCCCCGTGCCGGAGAGCGGTCTTGTTCCTCGGACAGTTTCTCGGAACTGGCGATGTCCATTCGTGTGCCCACATGAGCTGATACCTTGTTGTAAGCTGATGGTCAAGTGGGATGGCCCTCAAGAAGCATTCAATGACTTTGTTGATCAGAGTCTCGACTTCTTCCTCGCTATACCGATAACGATCTGGTCAAGTAGCACTAGGCCAAACGGAATGTAAAAATACAGCCGAGGCAGCAAGTAGTGGAGAAAGCATCACTAGGGTGGAGGACTTGGAAGATGCCAACATGGAAGACCATGTGAGCGAACAAGAGGACAAAACGATAGAAACAGCAGCGCAATCTTCTCCGGCGGAAGTTCAAAAATACAGGGCAACGGAGAGGCCTACAAGATTGCAAACACGACCGCCCATTTCCTAGCATCTGACTGGGGGCTTGAACGGGCCAATTTATCGAGCCCAAAAAGCTCGGCTGCGGACAATGCCTGGAAGGTAGAAAGGCCGGTGACAAAAGAGAGACCATGGCGCCGGCTTCTTCATTCGATGACACCGCACGCTTCATTCCCAACCCCTGTCACTATGATTTCAGGTGTTGGGTGAGACGACACTGGTCAAGCCAAGGACGATCTGCAGACCATTCACATCTTCCTAGGTTTCGAACGACCCAGAAAACCCTCTGATTTATATCTTCAGATACAGCGTATTCTGCAATCAAAGTCTGACACATATGACAGGCTTTTGAGAATAGATTCATAGGGATAAGAGGTAGGATATCCTGATAGAGATTTGACGAAATCAAAGCCTGGTATATATGAAGATCTTTTGCGGCTTGATTATTAGGGACGAGAGATAGGAGATCCTGATGAGGACAAGCAAAAGTAGGCTCAGCCGTAAGACGAGCGTCGGAGGAAGAGAAGCTTATAGTATGCCGAGCCGCCATACATAATTGGCCATCCATAATAAATAAAATCAGAGCAACTCGTACACCGTAGCCAGACCTAGTGCTAATTAAACAGGAGTGGCCGAGGGTGGTCAGTACTTTGTCAGTGATATACTCGAATGGGCCATAATTTGTTTTGGCTGACTTCGCGAGTGGTTTCGATTTGAGGATCTTGATAAGCTGGTCTCGACCTCGAATCGTCAGAGAAATACAGGGACATAGGTCAGCTATACCAGCGTAGTATGTGCAGGATCTCTCCAGAGCTGATTGTTGCAGTGAATGTCTCGTAAATTCTTTCCGTGGATGGAGTTTCAAACACTTTGCACAGTAGGCCCAGCGCTGGTTTTCGAGTCGAAGAAGGAGTTGATCTCGCAGTTTATCCTGAATTGAATTCCTAATACGCACGAGGCATGGAAATTCAAGATATTTGTGCTTCACTATCGTCCCGAATAGGCCGAAGAGCTCTTTGCAGCTGAGGGATAGACAAACTTGATCGACTAGGGAGAGGTGTTGGAAGATCTTCTGTAAGATACGCTCATCCAAACAAAGTATAGCGGAGTTTGGCGCTTTCTTCCAAAAAATATGAAGCAGCCCGAGGCGCATCTTCCGACATCGCGATATCTTCATCTCGAGTCTTCAAGGAGAAAGATGATGTCGAACGTGAGACAGGGGACGAGTAGACCGAGCGAGTCAATCTGGTCTATGAATATTTTGTAGAGAAAAAAGATTCCGGCGCTACCGTCTGTGTTTAAGAATTGTGACTTGGTGACGTACTGATTCCAAGTTCCGATTCCAAAAGCATCTGGCATCGGTAGGTTTGGATCCGATGCCTATTTTGTCTGGTCAACACGCAAAATGAGCTTACAGTTACTCGTCCATTTCCCCTATTCTTGGCAGTATGGAAAATACAGCAGGAAATATTAATATAATTACAGCTCCCATATTAGTCCTGTATAAGTCTGTAGAGTGTCTAGAACAAAAGCTTGGCCTACCAGGCGAACATGACAGACGTCTGCCTAGTCAGAACTCGAGCTCTCTTCTCTATTACTCATTTTCATGGAAGTGACCACTGGCTCAGCCCAAATCATCACAGACGTAGGTACAAGGTAAAAACTGAACGCTTCAGATAGCATCAAATGCAGCTGTTTTCGGCGCTCAATTTACAGGCACTTAGCGTTGTGGTGAAGGGTAAATGAACTAAAAGAGCACTATAGAAGAAAAAGATATGACAAGAAAAAAAAAGAAAGTGCGATAGCCCCCTGAATATGGATCTGGATGCGAAAGGAGCGCGCAGATCTAGCAGCAATGACCCGGGGGCCGAAATGGTGACCCGCTGTACTCCCTGATACCCATGATGATTGACCGCGAAGGTGACCGTTTAATATAACCGAGCAATATAGCGTTACATTTAACGGCGCGGTGAAGATGACGACTCAGATTCCGAGTGCTGGCGCTGATACTCCGAGATTTCAGTGACAGACGTAGTCTTGGTAATTTGGTTCTTCTCCGATTGCACAGAGTTTCTGAGGCCTTTTCCAGGAACTAGGGCCAGCACACGCTCCGGGTCACCTGCGCCAACGACTTCGGGGTCGTCACCTGGGGCGCCGATAGTCGACTCGTCCCAGTGGCCTGAGCGCTGGGTAGACATTTGGCCACTGCCGTAGGTGGGACGGTTGCCGCTGAAGGAGGACATCAGGCCGGGCAAGATGCGGGTTATGAGGGGTTTGAGGGTCGGGAGACACGCGCAGATGATGCCCGTGTTGCATTCAATCGCGGACCATGAGGCGGCGCCGACATTGTCGTCTGGGTGTGGTTAGATCAATATTTTGGAGGAGTCAAGGTAGAGAGACGTACAGGTAGGATCGGTCGAGTCGGCGATCTTCTTCAAGCTGATCAGGCGGACGATACTGGTAATGCAAACACTATGGCGAGTTAGTTGTATATGGGACAAGACAGAATAGAGATACTCACAATCCACCGACAGCGAACATGAAAATCAAGGCGAACTTCTGCTTCTTGGGGATATCGATTGCGATCAAGGCTGGGATTGGGATGATCAGAATGACAAGATCGGTGGTGATGTGCATGCCCGCATTGGAGAACCACAGGCCGGGCTTGCTCAAACAGAAGCCCTCGATGGTGGGGTTCCAGAACTTGGCGATAGGGATGCAGTTCAGGAATGCACTAATCACACACCAAGTGCCGTAGACCGCAAGGACAGTGATCATGATCCAACAGATGATACGCATGCGGTGCGTGGGGAATACTCGGAAGTATTGCAATAGGATTGAGGCTTTGGCGCAAAGAACGGCGGCATTGTAGAAGGGGATGGTGAGCCAGAAGGCCTTGAGTAGATCGAATTAGATATAACAGAGATCCTCGTAGGGATCGATATCTTACCTTGAACTGCCGCTCGAGGACCATGGGTGGGATGTCCTTGAGGTGCATTCCCATGCCGTTTGTAGCCTCAGCTATGTCTAGGCCCATGAAGACGTATGAATTGACCTTTGCTATCAGTCAGTCATTGCATTCAAGATTCCTAAGTCACATCAGCGACTTACCAAGGCGATAACGACCACCCAGTCACTGGCTTCGACACGACGCAAAATTCTGTTACGAGTATACATCCGCAGTGCGACGAAACATGAAGCAAGCGTCGTGAAAATGACACTCACGGCCATAGCCTGCGCACCGCGCGGCGAGAGGTAGGGGTTACCATAGTCCCTCTTGAAGACGGCATCACGGAATTGGAATAGATTCATCTTCAACCGATGCCGTGGAAAAGGATGAAGCAATCAGAAATGAGATGGGATATGTCCAGGATCGAGGAAGGATTGCCCTGTCTGGACTTTGTATTTGATCCAGGTAGATAGACGGTCAATTCCGAGGGAAATAGATCGGGGTACAATCGAAGATTCAACCGAGTATAAGGAATAAACAGTTTCTCCAGGTCCACATATGAGGGGGAGGCGTCGAGGATTTCGCTTTTAAGTATCCCGTACAGGTGCATATGACAAGAGAGGACCAAGTTCATAAACAATGCAACCAGTCAGAAACGGTTGGAACCGAAATTCACTAGTCAGGTCTCCCTGGTTGACAAAGCGGGATGATCTCCCTGCATCCTGTTCGCCTGGATTAGCGGGCTGTTTCGTAGGGACAAGACAGGAACTTGCAGTATGCAGCGCAAGGGACTCCACGATTGGCGAATCGGGTGTCCCTAGCGGCCCGAATCGATACATGAATCAGTGAAAAAACTCCAAGTCGTTATTGCATATATGCTTCGGCCCTGGATGTGCCATGTTCCCGTTGCCGTGGTACTTGACTTTAGCAAATTACCCGTGAAACATGGCAAACGTTAACGTTTATACACTTTCACCACGTCGCATTTCGACAAAAATGAAGTCATTTTATTCTTCTCTAAGATCACAGATAATGGCAGTTCAACACCGAGAGTTTGACGGTCGCATGTGGAGAAGACAGGTTGAATGTATTGATCAGATTCTTCGGTCCCGATCGTCCGGGGATGACGATCATGGCATTTAAGATTCAAGACCGTGACGCCACGGACAAAACTGAGCCTCCGAGATATAAGGTAGGACTCAAAATGGAATTACGCGCCCTATGCGCTTTGTGGGTCGAAGAATCAACCTCAATCCTACCTTCGGAAAGAACTCGACTATCGTGACGTCCAAGGTGACCTCGCCGAAGGAGCCCCCAAAAATCCCTCAAACCAGTCGCATGAAAACCAGATCTAGCCGGTCCTGTACCTGTCAAATCGTTGATCATTACGTATGGCACAGCCGGTCGCATGGCACCATCGATCTGACTGGCAGCTCGAATGCTGCATGGAGCGAGAAAAGCAAATAGACGCGCATAACCCGGAGCTGGCGACCCCGTAGGCCCATTCGAACGAGCACTAAAGCACAGTACTTAATGCACATGCATCGATAAGAGGAAGCAGCGGACGTTAAAAAGGGCCGGGCTCCGCTTCCCAGCAAACTTCCGATACATCAACAGGACTGGGTGCTGACCCTTAATCGGATCGGATGATCGACACGCCTCTCAGGTGGCCTCGTTCTCCATCACCTGCTGCGCGGAGAACAGTCCGAATGCTACTCCGTAGTGAAAGTTAACATGGGGACATAAGGCAATCTCAAAAGGTGATATGTAGAATATTTTGGTCCCGTGGGGACGTGCGCGTTAAGGAGATCACTAGTGGAGAGGATCTCGGAATCCACTGTCGGGGCGTTCACCGTTGTTAAGCTCATCGCACGGATCCCGGGGGCGCAAGGGATGCCACTGGTCCTGCTCCTTACCCGCAAATAATATTTCCGACAGCAGTCATGTTAGCTGTCAAATAGATCGCAATGATTGACGCCCAGCTCAGGATTCCGAGAACGCTAAGAGCGTTACGAGATCTTGCCAGGAGCGCGCCCATTACTTCCTGCCCCCGGTCAAAATTGTGCACAGAGCTCTACGGAGGCCGGTCCAGATTATGGACCTGAGACGCTCGGAGGTTCCGGTCCCACCTTGTCCTTTTGTCGTCTCGTCGATGTTTTCATACACATAGAATCCGATAAGACGACTTCCATCCAAATCAACGACGTCAACCAAGGACCAACCATCCTGCGAATCTTTAAAATTACCTTTTTACACAACCGGGTATCCCGGCGGAGTTTACGAACGCCACCGGGGGCAAGTGATATATCATATTCAGCCACACGACTTCTCAATTATCGAATGCACGGATCTTTGAATGCGACCCTATGTTCTTCCTTGGCAGACACGAGAGCAAATGGTCTTTGTGCGACCGAAGCAGTTTGCATTGTCTGTTGTACGACGCTTTTCTGCATTCACATGCGCTTTTTGCAGCTACGCGTGGGCCCAGAGTCGAACAAGAATAGCCCAGATTCGAACTCGAGTTTGCAGCAAGAACCAAAAACCGGAAATTCAGTAGCCCAGTAAAGATTGAGCCTCGTCATCCTTCAATTTGCATTGAGTTCTCGAGTGTTGTGTGTCGGCGAGGCGGGTCCACGCATGGTCTAGATTGCAATCTCACAATGTAAACCGCACGAGCGTAGCGGTCTCGTAGTGAATCTATGCCCCTTTATCCAGATGTCTGACTGCCACGATAATTCTATTGTCTAGGTAGGTAGATGGCAATATATTCGGATCTACAGAGAGGTGGGGTAGTGGGATATTTAATGCCCTGCTAACTGTGATATCAACGACGTTTAGATGCTACACCGGCTACATACCTGCAAAAATCTACATTTAGACTACATATTCTGACATGGTGCGCATCTATCGTCAGTTTGTCTATCAATGGAGCCGAAGAGGACCTTCGTATACTTCGAGATTTTACTGGCGATAAGGCCGATAAGCGTGCACGGACCAACCAACCGTGCGAGAAATTTCACATCAACTGATTCGAATTCCCTTCCGACTTTTTTTTTATTCCTCTACGTTTGATGTCAAGTGCTCGCAGAGGTTTAACAGACGGAAACATGGCGGAATCGGTATCATCGCCGCCCAAGCCCGTCCACACAATCGTGCTGGACGCCGGTCCCATCATTAAGAATACCCCGCCGCTTTCGACTTTGCTCGCCCAATGTGAAGAGATCATTACCACACCGGCCGTGGTGAGCGAGATTCGTGACCCCGATGCCCGCGCCCGTGTCGAAGCCCTCTATCTCCCGTTCCTGAAGCAGCGGTCGCCCTCTCCCAACAGCTTCAATGTCATCAGCGAATTCGCCCGCAAGACCGGTGACCGGTCGGTCCTTAGTCGCAACGATATTGAGGTGCTCGCGCTTGCGTATGAGATCGAATGTGAGCGTAATGGAGGCGATTGGCGTTTGCGCAGTGTTCCTGGACAGAAGCGCGTGAATGGAAAGCCCCCAGTGAAGGTGGAGGAGCCTAAGGAGGAGGAGTCGAACGGAGTGGACGCCGCTACCGATGATGTCAAGGCGACTGCCACAGACAGCACCGAGGAGCCTAAGAAGGAGGAGTCTGCCTCGTCGCAAGAGACCAAGAGTGTGATTGAGAGTGCCACCGACGAACCCGCCTTGAATGATACCCCCGAAGAAGCGAAGGATGAGGACGAGGACGAGGACGAGGATGATGCTGCTGATTCTGACGGCGGAGAATGGATCACTCCCTCCAACTACAAGAAGCGGCTGGCCCGCGATGAGGCGGGCGGTGCTGCCGGCACTACCACCGAGCCCAAGATCATGCAGGTCGCAACCATGACCACAGATTTTGCGGTAAGTTCACAATCTCTCATGCCTGACACCGTTCTGGCTGCTAATTTGTGATGCAGTGTCAAAACGTGCTGTTGCAGATGAACCTGAACCTGCTGTCGACAACAACTCTCCAACGGATCCAGCACCTCAGGACCTTCATCCTGCGCTGCCATGCCTGTTTCCTGACCACCAAAGAAATGAGCAAGCAGTTCTGCCCTCGTTGTGGCAAGGACACACTCACTCGTGTTTCATGCACCACCACTGCCAATGGCCAATTCAACATGCACCTGAAGAAGAACATGCAGTGGAACAACCGGGGTAATGTCTTCAGTGTCCCCAAGCCCATCCACGGAACTTCCAACGGCAAATGGAAGGGTGGTGGTGGCAAGGGAGGTTGGGGTACCGAGCTTATCCTAGCCGAGGACCAGAAGGAGTACGTTCGATCCACGGCCGAAGAGGAGCGCCGGCAGCGCCGGGAGCGCGACCTCATGGATGAGGACTACCTTCCCGGCATCCTAACTGGCGAGCGCAACAAGCATGGCGGCCGTCCCAAGGTGGGTGCTGGCCGCAACGTCAACTCGCGGAAGCGCTGAGCGTGGTATGAACGACCTTGCATTATGAAAAGTACATGGGGCCGGAGTTTGGGCACAAAAAGTGATTAGATCTTCACGATGGATATAGTCGGCCAGTTCATGAGCAATGGCCGAGATCTTGTCCTGTGACATTTCACGAACCTTGCACATAGACCATACCGAGTAGAAAATTACGATTATTCTGGAACTTTGGAAGATCTGAACGTTTCGAACGTTTTTGTCATTGGTAGCCATCACCAGAGATAGAAATTCCCTGACAATCTCGAGATTGGGTCTTTGCCAAATGTCCATAGTAATGCAAATCCCAGCCATCCACAGACTGTACAAAAAAAACACCAAGCGCCAGAACACGGGCCTAAGCCTTCAATCCATTTTTCCCAATTTCGAGATTTTTTAAGAGCTCTCGGTCTGCTGGGTGAGCAGGAGACCGTAGCGCTTCTTGAGGGTCACACGGTGGCGGGAGTACTTGTCATCGGGAGAGAAACGAGCAGGGTGGCTGTGAGGAGGGTTAGCTGCTGAAATCTTCGACGAAGGTTGGATCGGTGATGGTGCACATACGCGGACTTGGAGACCTTGCCGTCAACCACCTTCTTCAAGGTGTAGATGCGCTTGCCGTCGGGGCCGAGGGTGTACTTTGATCAAAGTTAGCGAAGGTCCTGGGTAAGTTCCTGGCGAGTTCCTGGCAGCTCGTTTCGGCCCAAGCTAGGGTATGTTTGAGGGTCGCGATCGAGGTAAACGTACCATAAGATGCATTCTGAAGCAGGAAAAGTTAGTAACAGGTCATTATCAAGGCCCAAAAGCCCATGCGAAAGGAATCAAGAGACTTACTTGGCGGTAGTTATGGTTGTCGTTACTGGGAGTTCCGGCGCCGAAGAGGAGGAATTTTTTTGGTCGCCGACTGAGGGCTCGGACCACGTGCTTAGTCACCACGGCGCTTAAAACGGACGCCCGCAAAAAATCGACTTCGCTTCTCTTCTCTTATGAGACAAAGCTCAACGCTTCGTGTTAATGATGCACAGGCGCACTCGCTAAACTTTTTAGGCCTTCTGTGGGCATCTGCTATGATGATAACAGCTCTTCAATAATTGGCTCTCTACCGACTTCCCTTCGGGCCACACCGATCCTCCGAGTAAGTTTGCACCAGAGCTCTTGAAGCTATCCTTCCTATTTCTACTTTCGCCTTTTTCCAATCCCCCTCTTCGATGATGACCGAAAATACCAAGCTCAGGCAAGCGGCACTTTGATTTCTTCGCTGCTTGTCGATGATTTTGCTTTATTGACTACAACGGTATCTGAGAAGATCACAAGCACACACATGAATTATCAGCTTGTAGCAAGGAAGAGTTGGCTAATTCGGACTCTTCATAGGAACTCGGCATTGATTCAGTAAAACACAAGATGGACACCACCTCTCCACAGCCCAAAGCCGGGCCACGAGGCAAACGTGGTGCCCGGCCCGGTAGACCAAATTACAGGCATATTCATCGCCATCCTCTTCCAGTCAATGTGCTTTCTGTGCCCCCTGTAATTCCTCATAACCCTCTCTCTATCATTAGTGTTGCTCTCTCGTACCTTACCTTCCTGATTTCTCCGCCGCGTCAAGAAGTCTACTCTGCATACTTCGACTCGGCTACCTCGTCTATCCATGTGACAGATGAGCGTGCCATCAAGGCGTTGTGGGAGATGGGCTTCTTCGGCAAGGGTACTCTGAGTCGAAGTGAGCCTAGCTGGCTGGAGCGCGAGAAGAAGAGGCGAGGTCTACTGGGGGGTAGTACTAGTGAGGAGGCGACCAGGAAGCGCAGAACTGAGCGTCGTGAATTGAAACTGGAGCGTGCGAGGGTCGAGAAGCTGGCAATTGAGGAACGGCTCAAGGCTGAGGCTGCGGCGAAGGAGTCTGGCGATGTTCTTCCTGCTGCCGAGGGCCATACTATCCCCGGAGAGAAGTTCTCGGTTAAAAAGGCCATGGAAGCCAGGTATCGCCAGTCGCGGTCCCAGACAACACCCAATGGAGACGCTTCTACACCAGCAGACTCGCCAGCAACGCCAAATGGGAAGTCAGTGCGCTTCTCGCCTGTCGTCCAGGAGAAGGAGGTTGTCTCCAGCTCGGCAGCTTCACTCCACCTCCCTGATTCTGTTCTTGATGAGGAAGAGGCTGATGAGGCTCCCCTTGAAAATGAAGAACATCTCCAAGTCTCCAATGAAGAAGCATTCTTCCTCGTCTACAGCCTCGGCGTCCTGCAAGTCTACGACCGCGAAGAAAACAAGCCCATCCCGACTTCATCTCTCTTCCCACTACTCTGCAATCATTCCTACTTCCCTCCTCGCACTGCCTCCGCCGAACTGAAGCCCGACGATCCTTTCACAATGTCATACGTGGTGTACCACCACTTCCGGTCCCTTGGCTGGGTTGTACGTTCCGGTGTGAAATTCGGAACCGACTACCTGCTCTACAACCGCGGCCCAGTCTTCTCTCATGCCGAGTTCGCCGTCATCATCATTCCTTCATACAGCCACTCCTACTGGTCCGAGACCGAGGAGCGACGAGAGTACACTACTAGCCAGCAAGCCCGCAGCTGGTGGTGGTTGCATTGCGTGAACCGGGTCCAGGCTCAAGTCAAGAAGAGCCTGGTTCTCTGCTACGTCGAAGTGCCTCCGCCTAGTGCCTCATCTGATGATATCGGAGCTTTGCTTGGCCGCTACCGAGTCCGGGAGTTCCTCCTGCGACGCTGGATTCCAAATCGCAGTCGTGACTAGAAGGCGAATGTATGAGATCGGGCTTCAGATACCCACTCAACTCATCTTCTGTATCAACAGAAATGACATACCCCGTCAATTGTTCTAAGCAAATTCTATTCTATGGAACCTTATAGCCTACTTAAATTCGCTGTAACACGTAAAGAAGCGCTATACCGCAAAGGGTAATATTACTGGGTGTCACGTGAACGACGCGTTTCGCGTCTGGTTCCCAATTTCTCCCGCCACGACAGTTCACATTGAATTGCTGGAAAGTCGGGCGAGACAATTCATCTCTGGGGAGTTTCCAAGCACAATAAATGACAGTTCCAGCCATAACCACTCTTATGATTCTTTAAACGGATGGAGACGCAGGATAGCATCGATATCGCCACGCTTCAACGCGTCGCGTTGGGGCTAGTATGTAATGACCTGCAGCGTCCCAAGTTCTCATTGGACTAACCCCGGCCTCTTCAGGAGCACGAACCAACCCAGTCATTCTTTCTTGGGCAATCGAAAACCGACGATACTACGCAGCAACACTCTCGTTTCAACCACGCCGGTCATTCTCATGGGGACACTGGACTGGCTGGCACAAGGTCCTCCGCAATATCATTATTAGACCCTGCACGCTCTGCACCGAAGCGCTCTCCTCGCCCCTCCCCGTCTCCGCAATATGCAGAAAACCCGATGAATTCCATTCCGAGTGCAAATGAGCCGACCGAAGGCCATCCATTATCGGCGACACAATCTGGAAGCATGGAGTCCGGTGAGGCTGCCCCCGGGGACACCCAGGTTGTCTCGCAATCGGTGTATGATAGTATTATCCGACAGAATGGAGAGTCAATGTATCATGGGCACTCACAGGCCGGTGCGGACGGTGCAACTCTCATGACGCTGCACGAGGGCGATAGCGGCCATCTCGACCTTCTCGCCGAGTTCGACTCCGCCCGTCTTCCGAAACCCCACCCCCCAGATCACGATGAGGAAAGCAACTACGACGGAAGCGAGTCCTCTCCAATGGCGTCATTGGAATACCAACCCGAGTTCTTCCCTGAATCGCAGCGTTTCTTGGCCAACACGCCGGGAACTGCTGTCAAAAAGAACCAGACCCCGGGGACATCGATGAAGACTCCCAGTCTGTCTCGGAACCCGCTGGCCGGGGATCTTGAGTCGAGCGGGGGTCTTATGGGTCTGAGCCAGCTTTTCAAGGCGACCCAGGCGCCCTCGTCTCCCCTAGTTGATGGTCCACAGCCCGATATTGTGTCAGATCGTCCGTCGCCGAACCTCCCCATCCAACAACATCGCATAATCAACAATATGTCCTCTCCGTTAGCCCATACCCGGGTGCTTTTTGCGAGAGAGTCCTCGGAGCCGAATCTCAATTACATCTCGTTGAAAGAGTCACAGTCACGGCGGGACAGATCATTAGGAGAGCGGCTCACCCGATCGGCCGGTAACATGCAACAAGACGACGAGATCGACCAAGAATTCTATAAGGAATCGAGCTTTGTCGAAAGAGCAAGAAGGCAACGTGAGCTTGATGAAGAAGCTGCGGCGCAATTTGCAGCTTTGGAAGCTCCTGCTCGGTCCAAGTCTAATGTGACTATCTCGCCCGAGAACCCCATCCTCGAAGTTCATGAAGACGATCCAATGCCCGACGCTGCTGGAAGCGAAGAAGAAACCGAGCAAGAGGAAGATCTGGGCCCCCAAGTCCCCCAGTCGCAGGAAGTACCCCATTCCTCGGAGGAAGACAAGGAAAACTACAACGGTCCTCCAGTGCCTGTCCAGGCAGCAAATAGTGCACACGATCGTCTTTCTCAAGCGCTCGCTATGGAAGAAAGTCCATCTTCTCGCACGAACACAATGGTGGACCCGGATATTGCCTATTCCAGACAGGGCTCAATTCTCGAAGACCATGATCAATACGTTTGTCGCTCATCGCAAGTGATGGTGAAGGATTCACAGCAATCACCACAGCCGTCGCCAACGCCCATACCGAACGACTTTCATCCTGTGGATCAGCCACTTCAGTACGAAACGCAAGTTGAACCGACCTCCGACGGCGACCGAACGTCTCCTGCTCAGCAAGCTCTGCAATCGTCGCCTCCGGGCTCGCAGACGGGGAGCAGGTCAGTATCTCGACACCTCTCAATTTCTCCTACAAAGTGCTCGAACGTGTCACATCCGTCTGTGTTGCAACCAGGCCAAAATTCCTCATCCGATGAAACTAGAGGAGCTCATTCTAGCAATCCTTCCCAGCAAGCAGCCTCAGGATCATTTCCCAACAGAACTGGATCGGGCTCCGGGGAGAAATCATCCTCATTGCCCTCGCGTGTAACGGAGACGCCCGTTCATCAGCGCCCTCAAATCAATGACATCGGAAGATTGACAAGCATCCCTGAGACCAGTCCCAATCGCACTGAACCTAATGTATGGGAAGGCGAAACTAACGGCGGAGATGGAATGAATGAAGACGATGATCTCCCTCCTATGTACCCTGCTGGTCCCCCCAATCGAGCTAGCCAACCACGACCATCTCAGTCTCGCGCGCTGTCTTCGCCCATTAAAACTCTTCAATCGCAAGCACTTCCACAAGTGTTGTCTAGTCCAAGCGGACGGCAGCGACGCAGATTGACTGATATTGCTGCGGACCTATCACCCCAAGTTGAAATGAAATTTGGCGACTTTGGTGTGAACTTTTTCACAGCTGAGGACGAGGCGTTCAATTCACTGGTGGCCGAGGGGTCTCCAACCCGGCCGAAGAAAAAGCGCCGAGGAAATACTGGCCAGAGCTTCCTCATACCTGATTCTACTCCTCGTGCGCACCCTCCCAAAACGGTTGCGCGTATTCCTGAGTGGCCCACGCCCCAAAAGCAGCAGTCTCTAGCAGCGATTCACGTTCCCGAAACTACTGTCCGCAAACCATCGAGGCCTTCTCGATCATCCGAGAACGTCTGGGAAGTCGGAGCTTCCCCTCAACAGTTGATTCGCCGGAGGTCGAAGGCAAAGTCTATCAGACCACTTTCTTCTCATAACACCGAGGAGCCGTGTCCCTCCATACAACAGCCAGAGACTCAAAGCTCCGCGAGACAAGTTGTGGCTCACAATCTTCAAAATGTACCGTCTTCTGAAATCACCGACGTCCATGTTGATTCCGACGTGCTGCAATCGGATGCCACCACCTTCCAAAGCCCACCTACGACTCCCAAACCGATCTCTGGTCCTTCCGATGACAGTCAAATCGCACCTAGCCAGGTTCTTGCAGTGTGGATGGGCCAAAAGCGAGCATACTACCCTGCGACATGCTTCGGGACACCACTTGGTGTGTCGTCAACCAAGTACTCTGTGAAATTTGAAGATAGTCTTCCTGTTGAGGTCGTCAAGGGAGCTGTTAAGAGATTTGAGCTTCGTATCGGGGATGGTGTGAAGGTGGACATGCGCGGTGTGCCCAAAGTCACACACATTGTACGTGGCTTTGACGACAAACTCACCAAAGAACAGCTGGCTCAGGCCGCTGAGAACGGATTCTGTCCCCAGACCGATATCTATGGACATACCACAGTTATTCTCGGTCCTAAACAACGCAAAAGCCTTCCAAACGCTGGCCTGGCCAGCAGCGAGAACGTCATCAGGGTTCCCATTTCCCGCATCTATCTCGACATGATTTTGTGGAACCAACTACAGGATCGTGCCTTTACATACCAGCAGCCTCAAGCAGCACCTCGGGAAAGCAAGTCTCACACCCCCTCTGAGAAATCTTCTCTGCCGGCATCACCGAGCACACGCTTTTCTCGCAGCATCTATGAATCCAGTGGCGTTTTTGCTGGAATGGCATTTGCTGTGTCCTACAAGGACGATGAATCATCCAAGAACCGTATCACGAGGCTTATTGTGGAGAATGGCGGGACAATCTTGCATGAAGGATTCACGGAATTGTTTGAGCCTTCGCCCATCCGGCGAATTGATACACCAACTAAGGGGAAAGGTGATGATGGATCTAGTGATGGAAGTGTCGGTTTACGGTTGAACGGGTTGGCTGAGAATGTGGGATTTGCTTGCTTGATTGCCGATACCCACTCTCGTCGTGAGAAGTACATGCAAGCATTAGCACTCAACCTGCCTTGTTTGTCAGGCCGCTGGGTTGAGGACTGCGTCGCCAAGGGACGTGCCCTTGACTGGGATATCTACCTCCTGCCAGCTGGAGACTCAATGTTCCTCAACGGTGCCACCAAATCTCGAGTTATGGTACCAACTCCGCCGTCCGAAACTCGCCTAGCCAACACAATATCGGCAAGACCAAAATTACTCGATGGCAAGTCAGTGTTGATCGTCATGGGGCGTGGCAAGGCAGAAGAGAAGCGGAAAGCTTACATTTTCCTGACCTTCGCCCTGGGCGCTTCTCGCGTGGAGCGCGTTCCCGACCTGGAGACTGCCAAGGCACTACTAGACTCTCAATCGGAAGTTTCTTTGCCTTCGACTTGGGATATGGTTTATGTTGACGATGCAGATCAAGCGGCCGCAAAGGCTATGTTAACACCCCAGCCTAGGACGCAAAGGATTCACCTGTTCCACGGAAGAAAGCGGAGGAAGTCTGCGGTGTTTACCATGTCGTCTACGCCCGAGTCGTCATCATCTATGGCTACTGTGATTGGTAGTGAGTTTGTGTGTCAAAGCTTGATTTTGGGAAGGTTATTTGAGGAGTGATGTGTCCGGCTGCTATGTGTTATCTCGATACCAATTTCATTGAACTTTTTTTTTTGATGCGGTCAACGTCGTACATCATCAAATTACTCAACATGACACGTTGCAATTTAGTGCGGATACCTTATCTATACAAAATGACTCATGTTGACACCCTGTCCCAATCGGGCTTAGAGTTGATCTCGAGCGCCCTATTTAAATCGTGGCATAAACCGTGGCATCAGGATAAATATAGCCCTCAAGAAATCCAAAACCCTCCTTTTACCCATTGAACCATTGAACCATTGAACCACATTCAAATCCTGGGAACAAAAACCTCAAAATGACCGACCTCGACCACGGAGAATTCCTCACAGAGCAACCTCCAATCCCCGAGGAAGAATTCGTCGTCTTCGGCACCGTCCACGCCTACCCTGAACACGCAGATGCTCTCGAAGCAGTTTACGCCGAAACAACAAGACTCGCCGAATTTGAACCCGGCACGATATATTACTGCCTTGCCAGAGATGTCAATGATCCCAATATCTTCCATTTCTATGAGCGGTATACGGGGAAGAAAGCCTTTGATGATCATAATTCCCAGCCGATTATTCAGAAGTTGGTGAAGGATAAATTAATGAAAGGTGTTAAGGCGAAGTTTATGAAAGCTATTGCTCCGGCGTCTGTTTGATGTTAAGGATGAGGTTCATGTACCTGGGGGTCCATAGAGATCAATTATCTATCCTCCTATCGGCAGATCAATATCTTCGGTTTTCTCGCTGTCTCTTTTCTCAAATCTCTTTGCAAATACAGTGATCAATCACTGAAAATATTTCCTTGTAAGCTTTGAAGCCATGATTAAGAAAGGTCTCTACATTGCTTCATTCAGTATCACCGTTGGAGATGCTAGGATACATGATACATTTGAATACTAAGAAGCTTCTTCACCGTCTTGCACGTCGAGTTCGTGTTTACAGGTGGATTTCAGTGAACTGATTTGATTTGTATTCAAAGATGAGATGCGGGTTTCTAGAAATTCATAGCTGGCGCGAGGCAGTCTTTTCCCGCGACTATGTCCAAGGACTCCCGACGAGAAGGGATCTTCGCCATCAGGCTTTTAGTCCATCGCCCGTCTCCAGAAGTCACTATCGTTGTCAATGCCGTAGTCATCGTCAGAAGAACCCAGGTCCTCCTCGCATTCCCAGATATCATCCTCGTCCTCGTCTTCCTCGTCTGCCACATGTTCTGGCCATTTGATAACCCATCCATAATTCAGCATTTCTCTTCCGATATCAGTACTCGGTCCATATGGACCAGACTCAACAATTATTTCTTGAAGAGATGGAATTTTCTTCAAATGTGCGTCAACCAGGGCCATCACCTTAGCGAGGATCTCTGTGCTGTGAGGTGCGCTGGGACTGAGCATCCTCATACTTATGCTGTATGAAGACATTATGAGTGTCTTCAAGTTGGTGCAGTGGTCCTGGATCGCTGTGAGGATGCGAAGACTGTCGTCCTCCAGGCGGACATCGTCGTAGTGATCCTGTAGATGAGGAAATTCGATACGGATAGACTCAAGGTGATTCGCATTGGTAAGGCCAATTTTGTCAAGGAACTCGGTTATATGCTCGGGTGCATCGGCGATGAAGTTGAAGCGATTGCAACCATAGAGTATTGATCTAGCCTCGTGGTGGATCATTCGGTTCACGCGAAGGAGACCGGCTGCTATGTCCCGGTACGTGCCCATACGCCAGAGGTTGATGTTCCTGTCCCGGACTAGGGAATACTTGTAGATTTTGTTGCGGATTTCGCCGGGGAGAGTGAGGAAGTTCGTCGGCATGGTGCCGGTTACGGGACTGCTCATTCACAGCCCAAAGAATCCGTTGATCGTGGTATTGAGAGATAGGGAGAGAGCAAAGATAGATGGTGTATCTGTCCGTTGAGGCGAGCGAGCGAAAACGAAGGAAAAAAAGCGGCAAGGTCAACCAAGGAAAGGTGATCGAGCTCCCAGGCAATATCGGAGAGGAAGCAAATGCGAAAACAAACGAGGCCAAGTGTGCCGGAACCACGCAGCCAGGGAGACTGCAGTGGCCCACACAGAAAGAAAAATGGAGCAAGCAAAAGAGACTAGTAGAAAGGAAGAGAGACGGAGAGAGAAGCTACTGAACTATCATCTACAAGAGCGGTGGTCAGCTGATCGAGCTTAACAGGCCTGAGGCTACGTTACCAATGGGACTTACAGGTGCTTTATAATTAGGACTGACGATGGTTCATATACTACAGCACATATGTTATGAGAAGTGGCCCTCCCGCTTCTATAAGCGTGGAGGTGGGTGAGCGCAATCGCTGAATATTGTCTCCTTCAAGGATTATATCAGCCAAGCAGTGTCGAAATTTGAAATGATAAGTACCCTCATATTTTCCTACACGTCACTCAAGATGGCCGCCTTAATTCCAGAGCCTAGGAAACCGAGGAACTGGAGTTTCCAGATCGGTCCTGGTAGGATTGGATTACGCAAATCCTCAGATGTATTTTTAGAAGTCAACATTTAAATATCCAGAAGTATGTAGCGCCAATATATGAAACCAATTGAGAACTGATAAACAGTTTTTGCTTTAACATATGTGAATTTGAACCGCTGCCCACGTTCATACAGTGAGTATCTGGGCTTTTCGCAGCAGAAGACACCTGAAATGCTGATTATATTCGCCCACTCCGATGTCATTCGAGTGCCTTTGTGGTCATCATTGATTAAAATCAGGATCACTTCGAAGTCCACGGCGTCTTGGCTTCGTTGCTGCCTTTTTGACATCCCTTTTCTCGATCTCTTCAATTTTGCCATCTTTGGGTTCTCCTTTGCGTTTCTTTGTGGACTTCGTAAACGTCGTTGGTTTCTTTTTCTCGGCGAGCATCTGCACCAAAGTCTCAATCTTCCCTGGCCGCGCTGTCGGGGTAGCAGTTTGAACACGCCATAATACCGCATACCGATCAGACTTATTAAGAGTCTCCAAAAACGTGGATGCATCCGGCACCTCCTTCAATGCAGCAGCAAAATCATCAGGGATGGCAATAGTTGACGGTCCAGCATAAGCGCGATCCCAACGCCCATCAGCTTTAGCGGCTTCGACAGCAGCTAACCCCGCAGGGCGCATTCGACCCGTTTCAATCAACTTGGCGACTGTGTTGACATTCTTCTGAGACCATATACTCTTAGCTCGGCGAGGCGTATATCGCACCAACCACCATGTGTCGTCGATTCCTCTCACCCAGCCGTCGATCCACCCGAAACATAGTGCTGTTTCTACGGCCTCGGCTGCTGTTACTGACGGGATACCGGAGGACTTTTTGGCAAATTTGAGGTAGAACGCGGGGGCTGTTTTGTGCTCGCGCTCGAAGAACTCTTCTAGTTCTTTGGTAGTTGGGAAGGCGTATACCGGGAAGTCTGTTGGTATTGGCTTTGAGGACATTGAGAATGGAGCTGGAAAGTGAGAGGTGTATCTGGTAGTAGGCTTCCTTATAGTATAGGCTCGGCAAGGAGGGAAGAGACTCGGTCGTAGGAAGACAGAATTCCGAGGAAAGGTGAGGCCGAGGAAGTTCATGTCGCCAAGGCGGTTATCAAGACTGCAACGCAACGAGTTGATCCCTGCGTTTGGGCGGGGATCCGAACCCCATCCCACCCATCAGCACAAGATCGGAATGAGCAATCTCCCATGCCTCTTAGTCCTATCACTACAAAGCATTTGAATGCGATGTAATTTAGAAGGTTTTTAATTCTCGATCAATTGTTTAGAGAAGTGGCGGGTATGTCTGGAAGTCTATACCCGAAGATCAACGAGTGGGTCTTGGGTCTATACTCCATGACAGCAATATTAGCCTGGTAAACGCTGCACATGTGGCATCAATGACCCAAAGCCAGCATTGAGGCAAGGACAACAAATAATCCAACGAAAACAATGGCTCAGGTGGGAAATCCCCGGGCAAGAGTCTAGGTACTTGCCATGTATGTTGATCTTAGATGAAGAATGATTGGAGGGAAAGATCTTTGAAGATTCTATTGTACATATAAACACCAAAATAAAACTTCGTATCGCTACAAAAATCCGATATCCACGGATGACACCATCATGCGCCCTTATTTGGCCTTCTTCGAGGCCTTCTTCTTGCCCTTCAGACTCTTCATCTGAGCAGCGCGTTCAGCACGAGCCTGTCGCTTCCTCCACGCAAGCCACCGGTTGCCGCGGTCATACGGCTTGGCGAAGATTCCGGCCTTCTCAGCAGCGCGACCAATGATCCAGTTGGCCTCACGGTACATGTAACCAGGGCGTAGCTGAGGACCAACTTCGCGGTCGACAGCCTCCACGGAAGCAACCTGGGTGTTGTCCGCGTTGACACCGGCCACCGAAACCGTGAGATCCGACTGAACGGCGACGGGCTCGGCGCGCGGGATGCCAACCATGTTCAGCTTCCGTCGGCTAGGTGCATTGCGCGGGTGCGGGAGCTTCTCATCCTTCTCGAAAACAATTCCGATATACCGGCGCTCCGGGTGTCGCTCGGGATCAAGGTAGTATCGAACATAGCCGGCCTGGGTGGCGTAGATTGTGTGGTCACGGCCCATTGCGCAATTCTCGCCGGGGAACCATTTCGATCCGCGCTGCTTGAAGATGATGCACCCGGGCACCACGTATTCACCGCCCGTGCGTTTCGCACCGAGACGCTTGCCGGCAGGATCACGCGAGTGTCGATTAGCAGTTCCTTGAGAGGCGTGCGAGGCGAATCGGACTTGTGAGAAGGGGAGGAGTGGGCGAGAGATGGAGGGCGCGGCTTTCGGGATTGTCATGTTTGCGGAGAGGGTGCGTTGGAAGAGGGATTGCGGTTGGTAGGCCTGCTGGGCCGATCGGAGGGAGGGAGCAAATGCCCGTTCCAGCGCCCGAAGGGGCGCCAGCAATCTGGGCTGCAACATTGTTGGTTGGGGTTTTGGGATGCGGAAGTCGAAGCTCAAGGGGAACTTTTCTCGGAGGTGAGGCTTGGCGTCACGTGTGCGGGTAAGCTGGCTTCATCTATAGGCCACTCCGCCAGCTTCCTCGAGCCATTCCCCCATTTGGCTCGCCATAGCCTGCAAACTGAATCTGACACCATGTTGCGCAACTGGGTTTCTACGATATGGGCTCTTGTCCTGATGGTGTCCGTTGCCCAGGCCCAGTTCAACTTCTTCGAACACATGTTCGGCGGCAACCAGCAGCAGCAACAGCATCAGCAGGGTTCTCAGAACGTGCCCAGCGACAGCGGTCGGTATCAGAGCATGTGGCGCCAGGGTAAGTTACTATTCGTGTTATATTCGGCAGATCCATCCCTCCTCAAGTCGCGATTGTTCGCTGATCATGACTGTCCTTTCTGCAGCGCAATGCAGCGACTATCTTTGCCCCGGAACCCTCGCGTGCGTCAGCGTCCCACATCACTGCCCATGCGCACACCCCGATGTTGAAGAAAAGGTCGAGCTCGGAGAAGGTAGCGCAATCTGCGTATCGAAGGGAGGGTTCAAGGCTGGGGAGGCGACCCGAAAGATTGAGCTGGCCCGCAAGGGTCTCCTGTGATCAACTGCATTTTATGGGAGCGTGTCGTTTGGTATATACTCTGCATCGCACTGGTCTGGCAGTGTCCTGGAACTGAGCTGGATTGTGTGGCGCCGGATTGGATTATGACCCGCCACTTTCCAGCCCATGTTCCGTACTCTTTTACTCATTCAATTGGATAATGTAAAAGCTTTGGAACAATTTGGTTATAATAAAGCCGTCGAAGGCCTCATGTTGAATCGAGCCTTATTCGTTCAATACATGTAACAAGGCCACTCATGTAGCCACTTACAAATTAATGAAACGCCCACTGTGCGATGCGACGAGCTCAAAAGTTGAATGGCAATGTAGTCTCGTGACTAAATTAGAATCTACTTGACGATTAGAATTGCCAGATCTCGTGGAACTATCGAGTAGAAAGTGTCTTGGAGAGGCGGCTGATATAGAGCCCTCGCTATCTCCGTTTTAACCCCGCGGCAGACTTCCGTCATCCCAAAGTCATGGTTTCTCTGTCACAACTCGTCTCTTCCGCAACGCCACCCAACATCCCTCGAGCCAGCATATTTATCTGTATTCAGAGCGCATAAAATCCTATCCCCACCATTATGTGGACTGCCAGGCTTCGACAGCCGTCGCTGTTGTCGCCACGCGCGATTCCGTTCCGTCGACCACTGTCGAGCCTCCGAGGCAACAACACTCATCGTGGCCCGCGCAACAGTATAAAGCGACCGGAGCGTATCGAACCGATACAGAAAGCATCAAAAACGCCAGAGCAGCCTGAATCTGCCAATTCCGAAGCTCAAGATGGCCCCGACCCGAATTATGACCCTTCGCAAAATACCCTCCTCTCTCCCGTCCATCTCCCAGAAGATCCCCATGCCGTCCTCAAGGAGAATCACCCTGCGATCAGCATATTGGCAAACTCTGGACTAGTGGTTCAGCGTCAACTTGAAATGATGAATGTGATGATGTGAGTTAGATGCATCTGTGATAGAATGCAATAGGGCTGATGCTAATTCTGGGCAGTGGCTTCGAACAAGCGAACAAGTATGTCATTATGGACGCGATGGGTAACCACGTCGGTTATATGGCAGAGCAGGAGAAGGGCATGGGCAATGCGATGGCGCGCCAATGGTTTAAAACCCATCGAAGCTTCGTGACGCATGTGTTCGACCGACACGAGAATGAGGTGCTTCGGGTACGTCGAGCGCGCAAGAGAACATACATAGAGGATATGGTGGGCTGATTTCTTATAACTTGTAGTTCAACCGTCCGTTCTCTTGGATCAACAGTCGAATCCAAGTATACGACCCCCTCGACCCTTCTGCGAGCAATTACTCTTCTTCGACTTCTCAACACACCACGACTCCCGGGTCTCTCGTCCAGACTGATGCTGCTACTCGCGTATCTCCACTCGGATTCGACCAAATGCGAATCGTTGGCGAAGCCCAATCGCAATGGGCACCCTTACGTCGGAAATACAATCTCTTCACATACCATCAGTCCCCGAACCCAGCAACAGATATGGCCACTCAGAAGTTCCCACTGGATAGCTCCGATCTATCGAAAACACAACAGATGCAACTAGCACAGACGTCCAAGCAAGGCCAGGGCGAATTTAATCAGTTCGCATACGTTGATGAGCCTTTGCTATCCTGGGACTTCTCTTTGCGCTCTGCTGACAACCGACTGATCGGATCGGTGAATCGTAACTTTGCTGGTTTTGCTCGAGAGATCTTCACCGATACCGGTGTCTATGCATTGCGAATGGATTCGGCTGGATTGGGTGTCTTGCAGGCGCCGAATGAAGCCAATACGCCAACCGGGATGACACTAGACCAACGCGCAGTGATGCTAGCTACGGCAGTGAGTGTGGACTTTGACTACTTTAGCCGTCACAGCGGCTCAGGTGGATTCGGCTTCATGCCTCTCTGGTTCCCTGGCATGGGCGGTGAAGCTGCCGCTGGGGGTGCTGCTGCTGGAGAGGCAGCCGGTGGTGCTGCCGCTGGTGGTGCTGCGGCCGGCGAAGCTGGTGCGGTTGGCGAGGCAGCTACGGGTGCAATTGGAAGGGCCGGTGCTGCCGGTGGCATGGCAGAGGGCATGGCCGCTGGAGCCACAGGTGCGGGAGCTATGGCTGGATATGAAGCAATGCAAAGAGGCATGTCGGGCGACCAAAGCAGCCAGTCAGCGTACCCAGACCAGCAATCGCCAGGGCAGCCAGAGCCATACGAAGATGCTTGGCCTCAAGAGCAACCAGATGACCTCTGGGGCGAGGATGAGGACCCTTGGAGCGATGGAGGGGACGGTGGAGGAGATGATTTTGACTTTTTTTAGTAATTGCCAGATAATGGCCAAACGCTGTACGATAGAATTAGAATAACCATTGCCCATATATTGTTTGCAAGACGGGATCGGCCCGCGGGGCGATCTCGTCGACACAGTGACGCACCCCGCGAACTCCCCATCTTTCCGTTGCTTTGACTTCCAACTTCCAACTCCCACAACTCCTCGCCACTCACCCCTGCGGACCGCAAAACTACTTGATAGCCTCTGACGGATCAATAAACCCCGAATCCATTCCGAGCCATGGCCTCCTCCGTCGCGCAGAAGCGATTGTTCCACGAATACAAGAACCTCTCAACCAACCCGCCCGAGGGTATCACCGCGGGCCCAGTCTCCGAAGATGACATGTTCTACTGGGAAGCCCTGATTGAGGGCCCTGGAGACACACCATTCGAGGGTGGTGTCTTTGCCGCAGAGCTCAAATTCCCCAAGGACTACCCGCTGAGCCCGCCGACTATGAAATTCGTTGGAGGCGGGGTGTGGCACCCAAATGGTGAGCGCTTTATCTCCAGTCTACCCCAACTTGGTGTCCAGGCCAATGTGACAATTCCTGCGCATACCTCATGCTAACTTAATTTTCTTTGCTCTCGCTAGTCTACCCCAATGGCACAGTCTGCATTTCCATCCTGCATCCCCCCGGTGATGACCCCAACCACTACGAGCACGCCTCCGAGCGCTGGTCGCCCATCCAGAGCGTCGAGAAGATCCTTATCTCCGTCATGAGCATGCTGGCTGAGCCGAATGACGAGAGTCCTGCCAACGTCGAGGCCGCTAAGATGTGGCGGGAGCGCAGACCCGAGTACGAGCAGAAGGTCCGCGATGAAGTGCGGAAGGGGCTGGGATTGTGAGAATGACAAGACTTTGAAGCATCTTACAATTCAATGGTCTCTTTTTGATGATTGGCGTCAAGGGGTGCGTTAATTTGTCTTTTCTTGCATGGCTTGGCTGGCGATAGTTTCTTCCTTAACAGCAGCTCATTTGTATGTAACATCTCTCAAAGAAAACGAGAGTCTACCCATTTTTCCAGATCCTTTTCTGATTTCGGTGGTTTTCAATGCTTTATTTATATTCTATACTGTGGTGTACTGCATAAACCCTTGTCCTCTGAGGGGCATACCCCCTGCCGATGTCCCTACGAGCCTTCGCCATGATATCAATGCATCGCCTCATTCCTGTCGAAACATTCTCCTATCAATCCACATCTCCAGACCACCTTCTCGATCATACATCAATTCAATCTCCGCTTTGATGTTCAGCATCAGCATGCGTTGCAGCTCCATGCGCCATTCTGCCTCGGGCCCATCATTGGCCAATACCGGGTTGTTGCGAAGCATGGCGACGATTTTCTTGCGGTCTCGAAATGTCAAGGTGAGAAGGCCGTCACTACCGGAGGCTGCTGAAGTTGTTATTGCGTCCGAAACTTTGAGACCAAGCCACTGTAAGTTCGGAATGTTGAGACTTGCGTTGTCGTGCAAGTGTGCCAATGACCCGTACTTGTATGTCGACAAGATCCCTATTCCGTGTGGATCTCCATCTACCAGAGCATAGAAACGGCGCGGGATTCGGTCATTTGATGTTGCATCGACGAGCTGTCGGATAAACTCTCGTGTACGGATGTCGGGGTATCCTTTGCCCTGGGATTGTTGTTAACTACCTGTGTTCGGGACAACCAGCAAAGGAAAAGCTCAAACTCACAGTGATGAGAATTCCTTGGCCAGCAACTGCCTTGATGTGATAATTGTTTTGCACGAGTCGATGAAACACGGCCTGGGTCGTCGCATAAGTTTTGGTTACTTCATATGCGAACAGCTGGTCAACCGTACCTCCTTTTCGATAACGAGCACCCAACGAGTAGCTGAAATGTCAAACTCGTCACCTTCTTGAATTCGAGGAACCAAGGTATCCTGGATCGATTAGATTATGGCCCAGGCATGATAAATCGTTGCGCTGAAAGCTGACCTGGGAGCTAAATTGAGCATTGACGACGACATGCGAATCACGTTTCAAGGAAAAGCACCCTGTTATCAAGCCTTTTCCCGCAGCTTCCTGTGAGAGTGCACGTGTGTTCAGCAAATGCCCTCTTGGCTCTCACTGTCGCTTCATAGCGGAGACTCACAACATTCAGTGCTCCGCGATCAACTCCAATTGTATAAGCAAGCTCATCTATCACAGTATCCACCGTGTCCTGGGAGCGAAAGTATGCTGGGTCGATGTAATAAATATCCCTGGGAAGTATCAGAACGAGATCGGCCTCAAGTTGGACAACACTCAGAACTCACCTCTTGGAGACCCATTGCCCCGTCCGCACTGCCTGGTCAATGATGGCAAGGATCCGAATGATGACAGCTGTAGAAACAAATTCGTTTAGCATATTTACACGGCATTGAAGCACTGCAGTTCCAAGCGATCACAAGCACAGAAGCGTACTGAACTTCCACGACTCATACGCCGTTGCTCCAGGCCAGGAGTACGTGCGATGCATCTCCACATTCTGCACGGCCTCAAGAGCACCGCTGCCTCGATTGATAGTGCAGTTTGCCGGCGTGGCTCTGCATCGTATCGCGATGCAGGGCTTCGCTTCGGCTGGGGACAAGGAAAGCTGATCGACAAGTGCTGTGAGAGTACTGTCGATATATGCGCGGACCGAGGCTTGTCGATCCTGTTTTGGAATCGCTGTCCGCGGGGAACTGGCGCTCGGTGCCATTGGTGTGTCATGTACTGGCGAAGGGACGAGATGGGCGTTGGTCCAAGTGGGTGACAGTAGATACTGGAGACAACGTTTGTACTGCACGTAATTGATTTTCTACTCTCGGGAAGTTCAATATTGTCATACTCTCGAAACACACCTAAATAAACAAAATTGAGTTTCTAGTGGATGTATTGGGTCAACCTCAGAGCCATGGGCGCGTGGTGTGTGTCGGATGGCGTTTTATATCCGCACCCCACACCCACCACCCGCCTTCATTGACTTCAGGAAATAGCCAAAGCATAATATTATGCAAAAGAAAACACCGCCAGTTCCTTCTAGTGTTTTTTTATTCCAGTGAAATCACATGGAAGACGGCGCGTTCTTGGTTGTACACCGCAGTCTTGAGACTGCTGACTCATCTTCCCCGGGTGCTCCTGATCCGCGTTATCGATAGCTGGGGCTCCAACTTCTTCAATTGTCCCCAGACCTCAAAACAAAATGGCTTCACACATTGGCCCATGGCGAAGTGACGCCCAGGGCCGTCTGTCGCCCGATGAGAATGGCGACCCCAAGACTGACTACACTCGCTGGCGATTGGTCAATGAGGAAGGCCGCCAGACTTGGCGGTATCTCGAAACCGATGCTGAACACCACGCCTGGCCGCAGTCAATTGCTGATAAATATCATCTCGGATTGCCGACTGTATGATGCCTGAATCACGTTTGGTTTTCCGTTCCTAATTCGCTTTTACAGGGCCTTCCAGAGCTGCAACATGTCAAGACTCCTCTTCAGGCTGCCGAAAATGGCCTGTCCTTCTTCTCGCATCTGCAGCTGGAGCCTGGCAACTGGGCTTGCGAGTATGGTGGTCCTATGTTCTTGCTGCCGGGTTTATTGATCACTTGGTACGTGACCAACACGCCCATTCCTCCGGAGTATACGACGGAGATCAAGCGCTATCTCTTTGCTCGCCAACACCCGGAGGATGGCGGCTGGGGTCTGCACATTGAAGCTCACAGCTCTGTATTTGGTACTGCCATGAACTACGTGGCATTGCGTCTGGTCGGTGTCAGTGAAGATGAGCCTCGCATGGTCAAAGCACGTGGTCTTTTGCACAAGTTCGGAGGTGCTATCTACGGGCCTCACTGGGCCAAGGCCTGGCTCAGTATTCTGGGAGTCATGGATTGGGACTGTGTCAACCCAGTACCTCCTGAGATTTGGTGAGTAGCTTGGAATACCCATTCAGGAAACCGGATTTCTGACTGACTGTTCGCAGGCTTCTTCCTGACTGGGTTCCCTTTGCCCCGTGGCGCTGGTGGATCCACATCCGCCAGGTCTTTCTGCCTCTGTCCTACATTTGGTCTAAGAAGTGGTCCTTCCCGCTCAATGACTTCACCAAGCAGCTTCGTCAGGAGCTGTACACTCAGCCTTATGACTCAATCGATTTTTCTCAACATCGCAACTCCATCCACTCCGCCGATAACTACTACCCCAAAACATGGATTCTGAACGCCATCAATGAGGCTATGGTTCGGGTCTGGAACCCCTTCCTCCGCATTGGCCCCATCGTCAAACGGGCTGAGGATTGGACCTGGGAGTTGATCCGCATGGAGGATGAGAACACCGACTACGCGGGACTGGGACCCGTGAACAACCCGCTGAACATGGTTGCCTGCTACATTCACGATGGTCCCGACAGTTACTCCGTTCGCCGTCATCGGGAGCGGTTGAATGACTACATGTGGATGAAAGGCGAGGGAATGTTAGCCAACGGAACCAACGGTGTTCAGGTCTGGGATACAACCTTTGTCACGCAGGCGGTTGTGGTCGCCGGTCTGGCTGATGACCCCAAGTGGCGGCCCATGTTGACCAAGGCTCTGGAATTCATCGACGACCATCAACTGCGGGAGAATGTGCCTGACCAGGAGAAATGCTACCGCCAGCACCGCAAGGGCGCTTGGCCTTTCAGCACGAAGACTCAGGGATACACCGTCAGCGATTGTACTGCTGAGGGCCTCCGCTCCACCATCCAACTCCAGGAGATGCACAACTTCCCCAAGCTGATCTCTCTGGAGCGTTTGAAGGATAGCGTGGACTGCCTGCTGCTGATGCAGAACCCGACCGGTGGCTTCACCGAGTACGAAACCACTCGCGCGTCGGAGAAGGTTGAGTGGCTTAACGCCGCCGAAGTCTTCGGTGGAATTATGATCGGCTATGACTATCCTGAATGCACCACAGCATCCGTGACTGCCTTATCGCTCTTTAGCAAGTTCTACCCAGACTACCGCGCCGATGAGATCCGTATCGCAAAGAAGAAGGCCGTCGGGTATATCAAGCGTGCTCAGCGCAAGGACGGCAGCTGGTATGGCTCTTGGGGTATCTGCTTCACCTACGCTGCCATGTTTGCCCTGGAAAGTTTGGCTAGCATCGGTGAGACCTATGAAACCAGCGACAACTCTCGCCGGGGTTGCGACTTCCTGATCGAGAAACAAATGGCCGACGGTGGCTGGGGCGAATCGTACCTCAGCAGCGAGAAGCATGTCTACGTTCAGCACGAGAAATCTCAAGTTGTTCAGACTGCTTGGGCTTGCCTGGCTCTCATGGAGGCCCAGTACCCCCACAAGGAGCCTCTAGAGAGGGGTATCAAGCTGTTGATGGCTCGCCAGCAGCGCAACGGCGAGTGGTTGCAGGAGTCGATCGAGGGTGTCTTCAACCAATCCTGCATGATCTCGTACCCCAATTACAAGTTCTATTGGCCGATCCGGGCTCTTGGCTTGTACAGCAAGAAGTTTGGCAATGACGAGCTTCAGTGAGCTTTACGTTTAGCGAATCCAATGTACATCAACCTAATAGTCAATCATATCCGAGCTGCTTTCCATACCATTAAGACTCCTCTACTGCAATACCCGGACCGAACGGGGGCCAAAAACGGGTCCCAACGAGGAGGGGTTGACAATTGACACGCTGACAATCAAAGAAACGATTCCTTACCCATCTGAACACTCGTGGCAAACACCCAAGATAAAATGCCAGTTGTTATCTGCCACGGTTCCTACCATATGTACTATGTACCATGTATAATCAGCCCCACATCAGGACCGGAGCTTGGGCCGCCGCGGAGCCGCACTTCCCTTTGCCTCCCCCACCTCGTTTTCCTCTCTCCCACTTCGCAGATCTCTCGCCTACCATGGACTACGCAGCTAAGGGCGACGATGCCCTCGCCAAATCCAATGCCCATCTCGCTTTCGAATACTACACGCGCGCCTTGATCCAGCACCCCCGCTCCCCGAACTACTACATTCAACGCGCCACAGCCCTGGGACGCCTGAAGCCAGAGCATGGCGGACCGAACCCCAACCACGCCCTGCAGGACTCAGAAGCTGCCCTTGCACTAGCCGTCGAGCGTGGCAAGCGCGAGCTGATCCTGTCAGCACAGTTCCGGCGTGCAGTCTCGCTGTTCCAGCTCGAGCGGTATGGAGATGCGTTATACCTCTTCAAGCTGCTGGAAGAGAAGACGGCTGCGACAAAGAGCGCCGGAGATGAGAACAGGGGTTCCAAAATACAAAGCGCTATGAGTGGAGGGAAAGGCAAGATGTACGAGACGCAGTTGCCCATCTGGTTGGCGAAAGTCAACCGCAAGATAGACGAACTTCCGGAGGGTGACGACAAGACTAAGGTCTCTGTCGTTGAATACCCCAAGGATGTCGAGATTCCTAGCAAGGAGCGCTTAGAGGCCGAGCTTGCTGGTAAGTTGGGGAAGTCCGTGCTGGCAAATGAGGAGTCGACCAAGCAAACCCCATCCGCACCAAGCGCAGCAAGTGACGCTCCGAAGCCCACTGCCAGCTCGGCTGCACGTTCGGCACCTGTCGCCCCAGAAAAGGTCCGGCATGAGTGGTACCAGTCTCAGAATTCCGTTGTCGTTACGCTCTATGCCAAGGGTATTCCCAAGGACAAGGTCGAGACTGAGCTAAAAGATGACTCGGTAAGCTTCATTCAAGCCTATGCATGATTTGCCATGGGCAGGCAGTTGACGGATCCATCTAGATATCGCTCCGATTCCCTCTTCCCTCCGGCTCTGAATACGACTTCACTCTGGATCCTCTCTACGCACCCATCGATACCTCCGCCTCCAAAGTCTCCGTCATGGGCACCAAAATCGAAATCACCCTCCAAAAGAAATCAACCGGCCAGAAATGGAGCTCGCTGGAAGGCATGGGCGAAAGTGTGAAGCTCACGGAGCGTCCTACTGCCTCAGCAGCATCAAGCGGACCCGCGTACCCGACTTCGTCTCGCCACGGAACAAAGGACTGGGATAAAGTTGCGTCCTCCCTTACTGCCAAGAAGGGTTCAAAAACGAAAGGTGAAAAGGGCGACGGCAACGAATCCGATGATTCGGATATCGGAGGCGATGCTGTGGACGGCTTCTTCAAGAAGCTGTACAAGGACGCCGACGACGATACCCGCCGCGCTATGATGAAGAGCTACATTGAAAGCAACGGAACGTCGCTGAGTACCAATTGGTCTGAGGTTGGGAGCAAGACGATGGAGCCACACCCTCCTAAATGATTCCGTGGTTGAATCTATTTAGATTCCGAATCTTGCTCGATATGTTCTGTCTTTAGTTCGCCGCATGTAGCTACAGGTGTTTTTATTTTGCATAGCTTTGCTACTTTTTGAACAGTCTTTGATCGATGAAAATGAATTATGTTTGACCCTGCATTATCCAAGTTCTAAAACAGTAGAGATGGACCTCGGTGAGTTATCTAGCTTGTTATGAGCATTTGCGGGTTCTCGCGCCAGGGAAAGCTAGCGGGCGCTAGATGTGCGACGCGATTCTGGGTGGTTCCATGTATTATAACGGTCCCATAACGACCACCCCGATCAACAAGGGGCTCTAAATTCCCCTCCTTTCCCCGCCGTCAGCTTCGAGTCAACTACCATCATTCGTACAATGCCCGTTACAGTTGCGGAGATTGTCGCGCCTTGCGACGACCAACCGGAGCTCGTGGAGCGTATAGCTTCACGAACGATAAAACCTCCCGTTACCATAGTCAAGCCCAACCCAGAATGGCCGCAACGGTTCGAACAAGTCAAAGAACGGATCGAAAAAGCCCTTGGGACCTTGATCTTGGACATCGGTCATGTCGGCTCTACCAGTGTTCCCGGCCTACCAGCCAAAGACATTATCGATGTTGATCTGACAATGAAAGATCCCACGGATGAAGCATCCTACGTGAAGCCTCTAGAAGAGGCAGGATTCCGGTTCCTCTTGCGCGAGCCGTGCTGGTACCAGCACCGCTTCTTTGTGGAGAATTGGCCCAACGCCTACCACGTTAATCTCCACGTGTGGGGTCCCGACTCGCCCGAAGTGGTCCGACATCGTATCTTTCGTGACTGGCTACGCAAAACGCCGGCGGATCAAGAACTGTATGCCAAATCGAAATACGAAGCGGCTGAACAGACGGCTGTAGCTGGGGATTCAGTGGTGGAATATACCCAACGGAAAGACAAAACGGTCCGGGAGATCATACAAAGAGCATTGCGTGATTTGGGCTATGTTGAAGGAGACACTCGAGAGGTGATTTAGATGGTGCTGTCGGCATTAGAGATGAGTGTTGAAGCCGGCGAGTCATTAATCGCTGTCCGGTTAACTTTGCCCCGTGTTGCCTTCCTTTTGCCTTTACCCCACACTTCGTATCTCTAGACAAACAAACGGTACCAGCAGCATTGAATCCAATCCAGCTGTGGAGCACCACCTATCCCCGAGATTCTGTTACAGATACGATTATAGAAAAGCCGGATCTCCACCTCGATGAGATGGCAGTTTTTCTGTAGGACGAGACGGACGGGGATGACTCGCAGGCTAGCTGCGCCTGTCTTAGATAGGCCTGGCCGTGGTCTTGGCCTTGGCATTAGGCTTTAAGGAAGTTTCTGTGTGTAAGGCCAGGAAGCCAATTTCGAATCTGTCAAAGATCGATTCTTGCAGACCTGAACTCGACTCTCGGGACGAGCTGTTTATCCAACCCGCAAATTGGCATTCTTGCTAGTGTGAAATCCTCAATAGCGAAGCAAAATGGTGTCCAGCACAGATATTGCCTACTTGCGTCGGTGTGTGGAGCTAGCCCGCGAAGCTCTTGAGGCGGGTGATGATCCGTTTGGGTCAGTGCTGGTAGATGCCACCGGCAAGATTCTCAAAGAGGACCGCAATCGGGTTTGGACCAAGGCAGACATCACCTTGCATCCCGAGTTCACGCTGGCCATTTGGGCCCAGAAGCACCTGGCCCCTGCCGACCGTGCTACTGCCACCGTCTACACTTCTGGCGAGCACTGTCCGATGTGCTCGACTGCTCATGCGTATGCGGGGTTGGGACGGATCGTCTATGCTAGTTCGTCCGCACAGCTTGAGCAGTGGGGGACGCAGTTCGGCGTGAAAGCTGGACCGGTTGCTCCGCTCCCGATCAATCAGGTTGCGCCGGGTCTGATTGTTGACGGCCCGGCTCCAGATCTGGATAAGGAGATTTATGAGCTGCATCGATTGAAGCAGGCTCGAACTACAGCTGAATCATAGGTGCTTACCGGGTGTGCTATCTCGGACATGGTTGGAAGGCTTGACACTTCCTCAAGATGATGCTGTATCATACTCCTTTCACCTAGGGCATCAATCCTACTCGGGTTTCGCTCTCAATGTTGCCTGGCCTGATATTCTAATGCCGAACTAAGCCGGCCTCAAAGATGACGCATAATCTGTTCTCACTCCCAAAGCTATTCAAAAAGTCTTCTAAGGCGGTCCCAAGATAGCTCTTCAGCCCTCAGTCATCTGCTTTTCGTTTCCACAGCGTTCTGTCTTTTGTTTTTTTTTGTCTTGATTCTGCTAAGAAAAACTATTATAACCGTGAGCTTCCAGTGTTCTACAAATCACAGGGCTTTTCTATTACGTTTGAGATAGATTAGTGTCTCTTGGCATTAGGGTTTGGGAAAGAGTCGAAGTGTGTGTGACACCGGTTTACGGAAGTACTCACAATAGGTGGTGAGTGCCACGCGTCCGAGCCTATAATGGAAATCGATCACGTAGATGATATGTTATTTTTCATGGTGCCATTTCCACTTTGATTTCTCTCTCAGGTCATGTGTTCCTGGAAAACCTTGGAGGGCGGTTCAAAGTACCGTCCGCCGTCGGCGCCGAGTCGGGAGGAGTCCTCATGTGACCATAGCCGCAACGGCTACTATGTCTTAGGTGGAGAAAGTGGACAGAAAATACTGATTTGTCTGGTGTATTTGGAGGAATCATCATTGGAGAGCTTTTAGATGACCCACGTGAGACGAAAAAATCCTGGGCAAACCTTATTATAGCGTGCTTCGTATAGGCTGGTTTCAAGCATGTCACTTAAACTCCCACCCTCGGAGCAACACGACACGTCCGATTGATCAAGAACGAGGGGTAATGCGGACTAGCTTACAAATAAAGTATAAACGAACAGATTTTCAATAGGCGAGTGGGGCTCCAAAATAAGCTCGTCGGTGACCAACCCTAACTTTGACTAAACATTTACCTAATCTTTCCGATTCCGTTGGAGTCACTTGGAGTATTTTTGCCCTCCCTCTCTTCCGTGACGCTGTTTTATTATTCATGATTTCTCAATGGAGGTTTCTATAAGCCCATAATTTTACCTAAGCCTTCCGGTCGGACTCCGGGCTCGACTATGTTATTATCCCAATGCTGTCTGCCCGTCTGGGTAGACAGTTGATCCTGCGCATCTTCCCCGGACCCCATTATTTCAATTTAAAAGACGAAATATAGCAATCGCAATAATGGTCCGTAACATCCACATCGCGGTCCTTGATGTCGACATTCCAGCGCGTAGACTGTACGAGGCTCGCGGTCTCTGCAGCGCGCATTTCCGCGATATCCTTCGCGAAACGGCCTCGCACTTGAACGAGACCACCACTGTTGATAATCCGATTCATATTACCGTCACCCCCTATGACATTCGCGGAGGTCATTATCCCGACTTCCACCTGCTGCGCGGCAGTCCGACTCAGGAGCACCTGCCCGTGTCCAACCCAATTGATGCAATCTTGATCACCGGAGGGTCTCCGGGCGTTTATGAAATGCCTCACTCGCCATGGATGCAGATTCTGGAGAAGTTCATCCAGACCGTTTACAGAGGCCACCCCGATGTACGCATCATGGGTACCTGCTTCGGTCACCAGCTTATTTCTCACGCGCTGGTTCGCGTGCCCGAGGACCCGGTCCGCGACGTCTATGTTGAGAAATGCCCGCTTGGTCGCGAGGTCGGTATCTACACCGTGCAGCTTGAGAAGGATTTCCTTCAGCACTTCCCTTCGGCTCTCGGCCATCTTCCTCAGGGCCAGCTCCGTATTCAGATGTTCCACGGCGATCGTGTGATGGCCGTGGAGAAGGGAACTGCCGTGACTCTTAGCGAGTCGCCTCCTGTTTCCCTTCCTGCTCCTTGGATCAATATTGGAAGTACGCCTATCTGCCCGATTCAAGGGCTTTACAATCCCGGAAGGGTGCTGTCTGTCCAGGGACACTATGAGATGGATGCCTTTGGTATGCAGAAGATGTGCGTGGAGAATGCGCCCGTTATGGGGTGGAAGGAGTCGAAGCTGGCTCTGTTCTTGGAGCAGGTTGGTCCCGATATGAAGGAGAGACAGGACGATGCCAAGTCATTTGCTACTGCCGTCCTCTCCTTCCTGGCTGATCTTGAGGTATGAAATCCCGGGGGGTTACGTATAGGAGGCATTGAATTAATGCCTCAACCTCCAAAATGCTCATTGCATAATGGGAACGCTCGGCCAGTGATCAAAACAAGGTACTCGGGGAACATCCCGCCGGCCCCAAGCATGGCCTAGCCCTGGGCCTACTAGGGCATGCACACTTGGCCAGATGTATCAGTTTACATCCCTTCTACATATGTGAAGCGAATTTTCTGTGAAGGGTCCCGGCTCAGGTAGTCTGCCAGTCCGTCCTTTTTCCCAAGCGCCAGCGCCTCATGATGTATTGAAAATGAATGTCACGAAAGTCAAAATTTTTATGTCAAATATTAAAGTGGTTGAATCGTATAAGCATCCATATCTAACATATGTACATAAGTCCTCGGGGTCTTCACTCATCGGTGTCAACATCGTGGTGAGCCTTGTCTCCGTCACGGTACAAGAAGAACTGAACAAAAATCGCCATATCCAACAGCAAAGTACCAAAGCTACCAATCAACCAAGACAGGTTGACAAGCACATATCTTCCATACAACGCAGAGGCCTCACCGGGACGACACTTCGTGTGATGCCGGTTTTTAGTCGTTCCCTGGCAAACAGGCGAGTATGCCAGAATGGACAGGACGTAGGTCAAATTCCCAATGCAAGCGAAAAGGAAGAAGAGCAAAGACACTCCATCCGTAGATTTCCGGCGATAATTGAGCAGCAGCTGGGGAACACGAGAGCCCAGGTACAGCACAGCGCAGAGGTACCCGAAGACTTGGCCCAGTGTGTCCATGGTGAGGGGTTCTGGTTCTGGTTTGGATGTTTTAGGGCCTGGGGTGACATACCAGCCCAGGATACCTGCAGCGCAAACGAGGGCGATGGCTGTAGTGTTGAAGAAGAGAGCCTGGAGGGTGGAGATGCGAGGGCGGTGTCGTCGGGCGCGCGCTGTATCTGAACTCGGCTCTATTAATGGCATCGCAGGCGACAGATGTGTGCCGTCAATATGGTGGGGGTTCAATATTTCGCCAATCGTTGTTGCAGAGTGCCGTCTTCCCTGCGTAGCAGATGACAGCGATGTTGGTCGCGCGCCGTCATGGGAGTGTTGCCCATTGTGTCTTGTGGCCGGATCCTGAATTTTAATGTGACCATCGGATTTCGGCAACAGGGAAGATCTTTCTGTTGGCCCAGGCCCATTCGCGTCGCTGCCCTCAAGAGCACCGGTGGCAGATGATTCGGGTTCCGGCGACGGGGACGAAGAGAATTCTTCCCTAATGTTGAAGCCTCGGTAATAGAAGCACTGTCCCAGCAAAACAATATCCGCCAGTGTATAATACACCGCCAGGATAGTCATTGTTGGTAGCACGCCCTGGAGCACAGCACCGAGGATATTGAACACATCGCCCGCCAACCACACGATGAGAAACAGAAGCGAAAGGCCATCTGCAGAGCCACGTTGGAAATTCTCAATAATCTGTGGGGAGAAGACAACAACCCAGCAAGCAATTGAGATAGATCTAAACATGAATTAGTAAGTTTGTTGCAACATGACGGTCTATGTGGGGGACGAAAGATCATCGAATCCGAGGACGATCTGCATCATATTCCTGCGCACGCGCGACGCACATAATCCCCCGCATCGCATCGTGTAAGAGTAAACTGAAGCAGAGATAAGAAAAAACTTACCCACAGATCCCACTCAGGGCCTCGATATTGAAATTGGCCGCCTGTGAAGGGAACATGGTGAAAGCAGGCTGAGGTGACACAGAACCGGGTCCCAGGCACTCACACGGCTACAGATGAGCACCAGGATGCGCAGCAGATAGCGGCAATTATGAGCCACTATTTGGAAATGAAATATAGTCGCTGAACACCTCAAAATATGCCAATTGAAGTGATCCGAAAAGGTTGAAGGAATCCGCGGAACTAGACTGCATGACGTCGAGTGGGTCACGTGCGTCACGTGCTCATTCATCTACTGACTATGAAAGGTGTCGACGTTAACATGGCAGCGTATATGGCGCTAATATATAGTGGCCACTTTTGTTCTTTCTTTCTTGACTCCTTCTTGTCCGATAAATCAATAATTGAACATGGGAAAAGTGCACGTTGCTTTCACACGTCCATCTCAGCAGCTTAAAGATCACGATATCTAAGAAGTGCGTCTTGGGCTGGTTTGGGATCCACCCACAGGGTAAGTATTGGAATAAACCAAATCCGTGCTGTTGACTGATTGGATCGTCGCCCGTACAAAGATTAATAAGTTTACTAAAAAAGATTCAGGGGCTAGGAGGGGAACCCTGTTAGATATTTTGCGTTTGATTAATTGGTTGATGAAAGTTCTTATGAGCTGATGGTGCCTATCTAGTGGCGACGAGGCTATGTAGCTGTCTACTAACGGTGCGGAACCCAAAGCGACCGTCCAGCCAACACGTGCTAGCGAAGGGATCAGTCTATAACGCGTTTTTCACTTGAGGACGCCGTCATCAAAGGCACTGGGATCCGACTGACCCCGAATCTCCCACATCAATAAAGTTCACCACTCATGACAATCTATCATTTTTGCAAAGTTTCTACAGAGTAAAGGGTTACCTAGCTTCATCAGAATGTCGCCGTGCACCATTTCTTCACACTACCCTGTCGCAATCGTTGGAGGTGGGGTCGCAGGCCTAACATTGGCACTGGGCCTCGAGGCACAGGGCATTATTCACTATGTTCTTATCGAGGCTCATGATTCCTTGGCTCCGGATGAAGGCGCTAGCATTGGTCTATTGCCGAACGGTCTCCGGATTTTTGATCAGCTAGGACTTATCGATGAGATTGAGAAGCACACTTCACCGCTGCAGCGCTGGCGGCATTTGGATGGTGAAGGCGAGCTGATCTCCGAGACAAACGCTCTTGGGTACTATCCATCGCAGTAAGTACTATTCTATCTTTTGAAGCTCGTTGTTATTAACAGAACAGAATCGGATACGGCGGTCTCTTCTTGGAACGACGCAAGCTTCTACAGATTATGACAAACAAGCTGAAGAACCATGGAGCCATTATTACATCGACTCGTGTGTCCTCACTGGAGGAGACCACAGAAAATGTGGCTCTGAAGCTCAGTGGCGGGTCCTATATTACAGCTGATATTGTCATTGGAGCAGACGGAGTACGTAGTCGCGTTCGCGAAGAAATTGACCGGTCCCAGCCAGGTCCTTCTGTTCATTCAGATGACTGTACGTGTTCTCCAAAACCTGTGATGACTATACTCAAGCTGAATTTTCTTTCAGACATTAATGTTCGATTTGCTTGCGTGTATGGTATCTCTCCTCCTATAGATGGCATCTCCGAGGGCGAGTGCTTCTCTGTCTACCGACCCGAAGCGGCAATCCTCATCTTCACAGGCCAAGCGGGTATTATATTCTGGTTTGTCTTTGAGGACCTAGGCCAGACCTATGAGCTCTCTAAGTCTCCGAGGTATACCAAAGCCGATATAGATTCTGTCTGTCAATCAGTTGCGCATCTTCGCATCTCGTCCACCGTTTGCTTTGGCGATGTGTACACAAGACGATCAGTGGCCATGAAAGTATCATTGGAAGAGGGCGTGGCGCCAACATGGCACAGTCACCGCATGGTTATTGTAGGCGACGCCGCACACAAGGTAACAAGCGACCTACATTGAGCCAGGTGAAAAAACTGACAGGTTTCTCCAGTCAACTCCCAACGCAGCGATGGGAGCCAACCAAGCCATCGAGTCAGCCACTGTCTTACTCAATGAGCTTCAGGGCGTTTGGAATAAACCTGAAGAAGAAATCCTATCCTCGAATATCTTTCACGATGCCTTTGGACGATATGCTGAGCGCCGGAAGCCTCGTACTGGCATGATCGTGCAAAGGGCAGGTATTACCTGCAGAGCTCAGCTGGGACACGATGGCCCTGTAGCCGCCGTGCGCCAGGAGTTGCCCTCCCTGACAGATGATGACTGGCTGTTCCGCGGTTTTATGGGCTTTTCAGACTCTCCGGTGCTGGCTGGAGTGCCACTGTCACCCCGAGGTGAATTCTTTCACCAAGCAGTAGAGCAGTTCCAGGAACGGTTTCGGGCGCGACAAAATGGACAGCTAAAGGTGTCGAACTCCGGATTGTTTGGGAACCAGACACAGGCTTGAGTCTTCCAGAAATATTATAGCTTCTGGAGAGATTAGAAATAAACCTGTCGAGTCGCCCCCTTTGTGCAAAATATTTAAATCCCGCATATGAGAAGGCCCCCTTCGGGCACCTCTCGACTTACTTTGTTAGATATCTTGCTACTATCAATTGCCTATGTGGGTAAAGAATGGCATTTGGATTTACCTCGATGCTTGTCCCCACTTTTGAAGCACAAGTTCTGACAGATTCTTAGGGAGTTAGGTGGGGATGATGAGCCTTTGATACAGAAAGCTATACTAAACTTGAAAAACAAAGAGAAGCAATCTCATGTGGACCGTTTCAAGAATAACCCCCCATAGAAAAAGACCGTATTATTTAGCAATCCTTCTTGTCCACCTGCATTCCCTTCCTCAGAGACGGACTCTGCATCACCTTGGACCACTCGTGCACTTTAATGCTGTTCTCCTCACTTAAGCGCACTTCTTCTTCCGCTCGCGGAATCATCTCATCCTCATAGCCCTGCAGTGCCGCAGAACGCTGTTCGATGATGAAGTCACCCTCATTCCAGAACGACTTGATGGCCTTGCATACTCGATAGGCGTCCTGGATAGCATGGTTGAGACCCTGACCCCGCTGGAAGGTCATAGGATGCGCAGCATCTCCTGCCAAGGTAACACGACCCTGGCGATTGTCCCACTTGTGCTCTGGCAAACTCGGGTCCCAATTGCGCAGCTTGGAATACCATACCTCGCTGTCTTCGGGCATCCACTCGAAGACGCTGCGCCAAGGGTCAACGAATTGACGGGCTAGTTCCTTTTGATGCAGGACGTGCTCTCGCATCGTTCGGTTATTGACCTCATCGCGGGGCTCCGGAAAAGAAATGTAATGGAAGAATATCCAGTTCTCTGGGTGCTCGCTATCGTCTCCGTCGTGAAGACTCAGCCACGCACAGTAGCCGTTGGGGTGAGGGGCCACCTGGTACAGGGGATGATGGGGCTGGGCACGAAGAAAGAGAGCATGTTCACGCGTGTGACGGGTGAAACACATGGTCGACGCATAATCAATCGGCGTCACCTTGGCGGCCTCTTCCCCGACAAGGAGCGAGCGCACCGTCGAATGTGGGCCATCAGTGGCAATCACAAGGGCGCCTAGTTCCTCCGTGCCATCCTCAAATTTGACCGACACACGCTCTCCACCAGGAGAGTAGACAATGTCACAGACAGATTTGCCCCACTGGACATCAATACCCTGCAGGAGCATTGCCCGGAACTTGTCGCGGCGGAGACGATAGAATTTGTGGGACTTGATCTCAGTGATGAGTTCCCCCGTCTGGCCATTGTACATTGGCAGTCGATCAGTATCCTTAGTTGCAACATGGGGATCAACTTGTGTCTGCTCGATCTGCTTCAAGATCTCCGCCGACATTAGATACTCCAGGGGTTCAAGGCCCCAGTGCAGTCCCATACTCCAGTTGCGCTTGCGGATGGGGCTTTCTTCTTTCTCAAAAATTTTGAAATTGATGCCAGCCTATAAAATCGTGAGTTGTCTCAATTTCAGCACAGGTTTGGATCTGGTACCTTTTTCAGGCCTTGAGCCAGTGCGAGACCCGTCGAGCCTATATTTCTGGCTTTAGAATTTCTTTTGAGATGAGATATACGCTGAGAATAAGAACTCACCAGCACCAATGATCAGAACCTTTCTCTTGCCCTTCATAGCAGCTGGATTCATAGATCCGTTGCCAGATGCATTGGGCGTTTCGTTCGAAGTGCGGTTGATCATGGTTTCTGTTTTGTTCTTTGTGATTCTTGAAAGTAACTTGGATTACTTAGCTCTAGTTTAAAAGCTCGTCCCATCTCAAATATACCCCCGGAGCATCGATAGCCGATGCCGAGTCCGATTCCGGCCGCCGGAAGGCCGAAAAGACCCCGGCAGTCCCGCATTATGCGAGAACCGATTCCTTGCCCCCAAAAATAAACATTAGTCTGCTAAGCAACAATAACGCATAGAATAACTATATGTGAGCATTACAGGATTGTTTTATGGGCAGTTTTTGTGAATGATATACATGATTGAGTCCCATATGAGTGAGACCGTGCGAAATTGAAAGGTCTGCTTATTATTAGATATATTCCTTCTATAGACAGATATATCATTCTGTTTTTCTAGTATAATAAGACGTCATTATAAAACAAAGCAGTCCAACGCCTCTAGGCGATAACTTGATGCCTATCTATGTCTCAATCTTGCCGTGAATCTCGGCTGTTTGGTGCGCCACACTCGCCACATTCTGGTTCATCCAGCTCAGATAAGTCTGCCAGCCTACGGCCACGCACCCAGAGAACACACTGCGGAACTGAGGTGGAACCCACAGAAAGCTGACAAAAGCAACCCCAGACCACACCTTAACACTATCGACGATGCTCGTAGGCAGTGCAAGTTGCAGTCGCACTAGAGTTTCCCCTAGCGAGGCTCCGGAAAGTAGTGATTGCATAGTGAAAAAGTAGGCGTTGAAGACAGGCGTATAGACCGCTTGTTGGACAATGACCTTGGTGATAAGTGATGCAATCTTCGACGTGAAGTTGAAATGGCGATGGAGGAACATAAACCTAAGATCGTTAGCATCTTGTTGGAAATAAAAATGCACAAAGGATATTTTTACTCACCATTCGTAGGATGGAATGCTAGCTATTATGCCCACAGTTAAATGTCGTAGGGTGCGTCTTGGGTCGTAGCCTTGCGAGCCAGTAGGCTCCGAATGGACTTTTTTAGACCTATAATCATATTTTTCTCTATGACTACTGTGCTCTAACGGAAACAATAGTTGAGCACTTAAGTCACCACATAACCACACCACTACTGAGCTGCATATTTGTGTGGCATAAGGTCTTTTGGCTTGGATTCGGGAGTAAGCCCTAGCGAGTTTCCCAATCGCACTGCGCTCCAGAAATCCACGAATCGAAGCTGAAGCCGATGATAAAGTGGTAGTATCTGACGAAGGCGAATTTGCGGAACGCCAAGATCGTGAAGCCGAGTAGGGCCGACTTAGATTTCGATTGCTGCGTACCAGGGCGGCTGATGGGTACCGCAACCCCGGTCTAAGTATAGGTAACGAGTGCATAGAGAAAAAAAATCGAATGATCCAGTGCGGAGATTTGAAATTGCACATATAAGAGATAAACACTTGGGGCTCGGAGATCGACGGACTTTGGCCTACACTATTTCTAATCGGCCATTTCCCGACGTCGGCCCCGCATAAGCTTATCCGTGGCCGAGGCCCACCCGTTTCGCAAAAGCCACTAAAAATTACGCTTAGCCTGACATCCATTGTTAGCTGCGGTCTCCACTACGGACGCCTTCCTTTCCCCTCTCTCTAACCACTCTAGATAATCGCTATTCCTCGAGTTGCACCCCCGAGACTTTCCAATGGATTCAACATCGCCTGTACTACCCACTCATCTGCCCTCTCCGGCTCCCAATAGCGGCGCAAGCAGTGCGTCCAAGACAACATCTGATTCTGGCTCAGCAGGGACGCCGTCCTTACACATCCGAAGTTGTACTTTCTGTCGATCTCGCAAAGTGAAATGCAATCGCCAGCAACCGTGTGCAAGCTGTCTACGTGCTGGCACCGATTGCACCTATCCGCCTGGGCCAGGCCGAGCTCCGAAGCGACCTCGGCGGGCCTTGGATGTACGCGTGCTTGATCGATTGTCGCGTCTTGAGGCGCTCATGAAACAGGTTAAGAAGGGCCAAGTACCAGAAATAGTAGCACCTTCGGAGATCACGACTACTTCTATGTCGAACTCGGAGGATACGTCGAGCCAAGTGGAGCAACAATTTGGCCGCCTTGTCATCGATGACACGCGCAGTTGTTATGTGAGCAATATTTTGTGGGCAAGTCTTGGCGACGAGGTATGTAGTTTTTGAACGTGCTAGGAGCATGATACATTAACTCTATAGCTTATGTAGATTGAAGAGTTGCGCGACTTACTGTATGAGCCAGCCTCGGAAGCTGACGAGAGGGACGACGATTTCGAGCTCTCAACGGAGGGATCTATAGCAGATTCCGCAGCATCTTTAGGATCCAACGCCGCGATTATGGGTTTTCAGGCGCTAGCGCAGTCCTTGCGCCCGTATCATCCGCCGCTGTCCCAGTCGGTGGCTTTGCTTGAGATCTTCAAAGAAAATGTGGCGCCGCTGGTACATATTTTCCATATGCCGACAATGATTCGCTCTTATTGGGACGCTGTAGCCTCACTAGAGTTATTGGACCGCAACACTGAGGCTTTGCTCTTTGCGATCTACTATTCTACCGTGATCAGCATGGAACCACAGCAATGCGAGCCCGTATTGGGTCTTTCGCGGGCGACTGCACTCAAGCACTATCAGTTCGCTGTACAGCAAGCTATGGCTCGTGCTGACCTATTAAATACCCAAAGTATTGTGCTACTGCAGGCAGTAGTTCTATTCGTGTCAGCCCTGCGCAACGAAGACGCCTCGCGTACGGCCTGGTCTCTGACAGCGCTCATCTTCCATATCGCCCAGGCCATGGGCTTGCACCGTGATGGGGCCGCTTTTGGTCTACGACCTCTAGAGATAGAGCTTCGGCGGCGCCTGTGGTGGCATATTTGTCTACTAGATATCCGGTCTTCCGAATATCATGGGTGTGAGCCAATCGTCCACGAGTCTATGTTCGATACCCAAATGCCGTTGAATATCAATGACAGCGACTTGACAGCTGAGATGACCAAGCCACCTACCGAGCGCGAGGAAGCGACTGAGATGACATTCTGCCTTATTCGTTGTGAGGTGATGCGTGTTGTGTGGAAAACAGGCTACGTACCACCAAGTATGCGGCGGCCAGGCCAGCCTGCCGATGGCCTTGCTCTTCCAGATAGCGCAGCTTTGGCCAAAGACCTCCAGCAGCGGTTAGAGGACCGCTATCTCAAACATTGCGATCCCACGACCCCATTCTTTCATGTCTGTGTGACTGTGGCGCGTCTCATTATCGCACGGACCTGGCTAGTGGTATACTACCCGCTCATTCATAAGGATAATGGAGCGAGCTTTCCCACCAGTCTCCGAGACCGACTATTCCTCACATCGATCAAGGTGCTTGAGCTGTCGAACATCCTGCTCACTAGCCCGGACATCGCTCAGTGGCAATGGCACTCTAAGACCCACATTCAATGGCACGCTGTTGCTTTTGCCCTTTCCGAAATTTGCGCACGCCCGCCATCCGCAGACTGTGATAGCGCCTGGGAATATTCGCAGACAGTCTATAGTCGGTGGATGATGAAAGAACACAAAGGCAATCTTTGGCGGCCTATCAAACGATTAATGGCCAAGGCGCAGTATGTGCGAGAGATGCAGAGGACTAACAACCATAGTCCCAAAAGGCATTGGAGAGTAGCAGGGATGCCGACAGAATTTCCCTCATTCTCGACTCCCTCACCCAGGGGGCCCGCCGTAATAGAGAGCTCTGCTATGGCCTCAGAGATGACAAGGGGTGCGACCCCTAGCGTCAATGGCTGGAATGGTGTTCTTTCTGGCGAGCCTTTGGATCCATTTTTCGATATGTTCCCCAAACAGGACTTCTTTGGCTCGACTATCGTCCCTTCAGATGTTCCCGACGTCGACCAAACCATGACGAACTGGATCCTGAACCCTGATGATATCAATCTTGGAATCAATGGTTTTGGTCTCTAGACCGATTGGGAATTGGTGTAAAATGGTCTGATAAACAATAGACAATGTCAAAGCTACGATCGCCACACGAGATATGAATCAGATTTGCAGGTTTCTCGCACAAGTCTAGTTGCTACTTGCTAATCTCGATGTCTATAATCTTCGCGAGGCGTCTTGAATTGCTTCTAGTATATTGATGGCAACTTATGGACGGCGAAAACGGGCTAGCCGCCTTGTGATATGCAATCTCCCTCCAATAATGATCGTTTGGTCAACGGAACCAACGACTCGAAGCATAAATGGTTTATCGCCGCTTAATTCGACACATGAGAGGCGTCCGATGCCAAGCCACTGTCCCCTTCTGAGAACTCTGCCAGTCCCGCGACTCAGGCAAGAGCTCAATGTCAAAATGCCAGAAAATCTTGGCTAGTATAATGCGGGTCTCGGCGGTAGTCAACCTGTCCGACTTGTTAGCATGCTTCTTGCTTAATCTTTTTTTCGTCGCTCACTTGACACCCAAACATGTCCTGGGCCCGTAACTGAACGGATTTACTACACCTAGTCGGTCCCCAGCAAAAGGAGAGTTGCTCTCCCGGGCCTCCGGTAGCCATCTCTCCGGGCAGAAATCATCGGGGCGATGGAAGTTCGATCTTGAGTGATAAGCCGCATGTTGATGCACTCCCACAGTCGTACCCTCTGGCACAAATCGCCCATCGATCTTTTCGCCACCGGCTGGCACAAAGCGACCCGTCGACGAGGGTGATGGGCAGTGAATACGAAGCGATTCTTGCATAACCGCCCCTAGGTATGGCATTCTGGCGACGCGATCGGATGTGATCTCAGCATCGGACGCAAATTCCCGGCGCACCTCATCCGCCAATTTTTGATAGGCCTCTGAGTTGGTTGTCAGGGAGTGGAAAGTGGTTGACAGCCAGGTCGCAGTCGTGCCCGTTCCAGCACCAATGATGGTGGCAGAGTTGAGACGCATCTCCACGGGCGACATGCGGTCCTTTTCGCTAAGCATGTAACTCAGGATATCACGGCGATCCGTCTTGGTAGCCAGACGCTTCTCGATCTTGGCGTCGATGATCTTGAAGTTCTCGAATGCGGCCATGACACGGGCTTTGGGGAGGAGGTATGTTCGCCATTTGACTAGGTTGTATGTCTCCAGCGCCTGGATCCTGCTTGTCATTAGCTCCTCGCACAATTACCTTTTGCTATGCGGTGTCATACCAGACCTGAGATTGGATGGAGTTTGTTAGAATATCCAGCCATCGACCACCGTTCTCCTTATCCAGAGCTCCTTCTGGCTGACCGCATATGAGATCGCCAATGAGGTCCATCGTGGTCTGCCATTGTATTTGTCAGTCAAGGCGTTCTCAATTTCATCGACAACACCTTTACTTACCCACTCAAAATATTTATTGAGATCAATTGGAGCTGGACCATAGCGTCCTTGCAATTTTTGAACCAGAAGATCCACATACTTTACGACAGTGCTATCATGCTCCTTGATGGATTTTTCTGAGAGCGCTGGCGCCAGGATCCGCCGCAGTCGCGAGTGATTGGCTTTATCAGCGCTCAGAATGGCATGCACGTTCTATAATCACAGTCAGCTTGCATATTTTTCGGCTCTAGTGTTAAAACCGTACCGGGATACCAGGTCGACTGAAACCTGCTTGGCAATTTTTCTCCATCTCCACAGCGCGCAAGCCATAGATCGACTTCCATGCCGTTTCTGTGATATAGGATAGGTGCCCCGGGGCGACCCGCACGACTGTGCCATATTTTTCGTGGAGCTCGATACTTTTCCAGACCAACTGGCCTGTCAGTCGGTAGTAGGTCCAGACGAGTTGAGTCGCTGCGCATACTTTGGGTCCTGGGTATGTGCGCAGCGGATGGAAATAGACATTGTAGATACAACGAAGAACCGGTGCTGCCAAAATCTAGAAAAAAAAATTTGAGCCATTTGGCTCTGGTCTGCCGTTATTTAGAATTATCGATCGTATCGCAACTTACTGTTAGGATAGCGATTGGGATGAAAGGGCTACATAGGAGGCAGAATGCCGCTTTCAAGGGAACTATTGATTCCATTTAGAATCCAACCCGTTAACGGAATTAAAAAAAAAGTCAATAAAGATACAAACGGACTGGGATTATTTACAGAAGCCTAGCTCGTCTTATTAGTCCACACTATTTTCCACGCTTCGATCCGAGTCGGTGATGTATTTCAACCCGGTACTGAAAATACAGTCGGTCCTTCGGACTCCGATCGCAGTTCGGCATCGCTCGGGCTTGCACGCGCATAAGCTTAACCGACACCCTAAACTATAGCCTCAGAGGGGCGCGGCAACAAAGCCATGAGTAGCTGTGACCCACAGTCTTCCCATTTTGTAGGCAATGAGACGCGGTACTTGCTAATCTACCGGCCATTTGTAGGGCCGAGGTGCCATCGCATAAGGGATCCCCGTTGTAGAGCCCCTGTTTGACATGACTGTGCTTAGTCTTCTGGTAATCTCTTAATGAGCTGGGTTGGCCAGATTTATACACCATTCTGTGTGAAATACCTTCGATTTGACTAGTGACCGACGGACCCTTTCCCTAGCGTTTCACCATGTCCAAGCCACAACAGGAGCAGCAACTCGCAGGTGCAAACACTACGAATACCAACGAGGCACTGCTTGAGGCCCAAAAGAGATTAGAAAGCCAGTCAACACTAGAAAGCAAGCGACTTACTCATCCGCTTCTTTACGATGCAACGCCGCCGACCGTGCTTGTCGACTTTGACGGCAACGATGACTCCTACCGGCCATTGAACTGGCCGTTCCGCAAGAAGGTCATCACGACCATTCTGTATGGTCTCACAACCTGCTGGATCACTTTTGCATCGGCCATCTATTCGGCGGGACTTGAGCAGGTAGCCGCGGACTTCAAAGTCAGCACCGAAGTGTCAGCATCTGGCGTCAGTCTAATTGTCTTCGGCTTTGGTCTAGGCCCGTTGGTCTGGGCGCCCCTGAGCGAGGTGTATGGTCGGAAATGGGTGGTCATACTGGTGCGCCTCATCTTTATAATCAATTTGGATACTCTTACGCTGACTGTTTCAGCCATTCTTTATCGCCGCCATCTTCTCCTTTGGATCAGCAACAGCCAAAGACATTCAAACCCTCCTTATTACCCGATTCTTCGCCGGTCTATTTGGCAGCGCACCAGTTACCAATACGGGAGGAGTTATGGCCGACATCTGGCCGCCTCAGCAGCGCGGAATCGCTATTGTGGGATATGCCATCACCATTGTTGGCGGACCAACACTTGGACCAATCATTGGCGGTGCTCTGGCTTCCAGCTATTTAGGCTGGCGCTGGACTGAGTACCTAACGGGCATTATTATGATGGCTCAGGTGGTTCTGGATGTCTTTCTTCTAGATGAGAGCTATGCTCCAGTGCTGCTTGCCTATAAAGCTCGTCGGTTGCGGCTAGAAGGCAAGAACTGGGCTTTGCATGCGAAGGTAAAGTCTGCCCCTCTCCACAAAATGGTTAGAATAATCTTTCTAATCTATTGTAGCAAGAGGAATGGGACGTTTCATTATCGGAACTATCGCAGAAATATCTCACCCGTCCTTTCCAAATGCTAGGAACGCCTATATGTCTACTCATGAGCATTTATGCCTCTTTCGTCTACGGTAAGCATGATCCAGAGACACTATATCAGTCCTTTGACGCTGACATAGTGATATATGCTAGGCATTCTCTACGCCAACCTTGAGAGCTTCTCCATTGAGTATCGGGAAATCCGTGGCTGGGCTCCAGTGGTCAGCAACCTACCGTTCATTTCTCTCCTAGTCGGCATCTTCTTCGCCGCGGGAGTGAACATCTATAACAATAAGTACTATTTCAACCAATTCAAAGCCAACAACAATAAGCCAGTCCCTGAGGCACGATTACCGCCAATGATGCTAGGTGGATTTGCCTTTACAGCCGGTCTCTTTATCTTCGGATGTAAGTATAATCCTTACTACTGAATAGCAAAGCTAATGATTTTGGTAGGGACTTCTTCTCCTAAAATCAACTACTGGCCCTCTATCATTGGTATCGCATTGACTGGCTTCGGATTCACAACCATCTTCCAGTCAGCTCTCAACTACCTAGTCGATACGTTCACTCGCTTCAGTGCTAGTGCGGTGGCCGCCAATACATTCCTTCGATCTATGATGGCTGGTGCGTTTCCGTTATTTATTATCCCTATGTACCATAATCTCGGCGTTGATTGGGGCACGACTATATTCGGTTGCATTGCAGCAGTCTTGATTCCCGTTCCATTTTTGTTCTTTTTCTGGGGAAAACGAATCCGTGCTCAGGGCGAGTGGAGCAAGCACACTGTTTAGTGTTCGAGTGTTTAGGATTTGCTTCTTGCTCGAAGACTTTTGCCTAGTTAGAGATGGTTAATAAACTGTAACAGGCTAGTGCCTGGTTGTCAGAGCACGTAATATAAGGGCCAATCAGCGGTAAACGGAACTCTCTGTATTGCTATACCCCTGAATCTGGCAATTTAACGTAATTCACAAGCGAGTGGCTCACACAAGCGAGTGGCCCACCCCATCCAAAATCGCTCACTCAAACCACCTACCTCAATTCAACTAGCTACAATGCCACCAATTCGCACTGAATCTTCGCAGAAATCGACCAATCAGGAGGGCAGAATCTTATTAGCCCTTTCCGATGTTAAAAGCGGCCGCGTTGAATCGTTGCGCGCAGCAGCGAAGCTATACGATATCCCCGCTAGAACGCTATCGCGGCGGGCAAAAGGCACAATGTCACGCGTCGATACACGCCCAAATTCGCATAAATTGACTCAATTGGAAGAGGATTCGCTTGTCCAATGGATATTCTCTATGGATACGCGTGGTGCAGCGCCTAGACGTGCTACTGTACGAGAAATGGCCGATATTCTTCTTGCAGCGCGTGGAATCACCCCTCCGCCGACCGTTGGCATTAATTGGGTATCTAATTTTGTTAAACGACGTGATGAGCTTCGAACACGCTTCTCTAGGCGATATGACTACCAGCGCGCCCTTAACGAGGATCCAAAGGCTATAAAAGAGTGGTTTTTGATGGTACAACGCGCGATTGATGAGAACGGTATCCAACCGGAGGATATCTACAATTTTGATGAGACTGGATTCGCAATGGGCCTTATATCAGCGCAGAAAGTGGTTACACGAGCAGAATACTACAGTCGGCGATCACTTCTACAGCCAGGAAATCGCCAATGGGTCACTGCGATCGAAACGATATGCGCTGACGGCTATTCGCTGCCGCCCTGTATTATATTCAAAGGCCAGGTTTATATCGCTGGTTGGTTTGAATCAAATCTCCCTAGGGATTGGCGAATCGAAGTATCGAATAATGGCTGGACTACCGATGAAATCGGCCTTCGCTGGCTCCAAAAGATCTTCATTCCGTACACTAATTCGCGTGTACGAGGACGATTTCGCCTATTGATCCTTGACGGGCACGGTAGCCATCTTACACCTCAATTCGATCGAATCTGTGCCGAAAATGATATTATACCACTGTGTATGCCTTCACATTCGTCTCACTTACTTCAACCGCTTGATGTTGGGTGCTTTGCAGTGCTTAAGCGTGCGTACGGTCGCTTCGTGAGCGATTTAGTCCGAACAGGCTATAATCATATCGACAAGCTTGATTTTCTAGCAGATTATCCTCGCGCACGGCTAGAAGCTTTCCAGCCGCATATTATTCAAAGCAGCTTTGCAGCTACTGGTATCGTACCAGTTAGTGCCGAAAGAGTGCTTTCTAAGCTTAATATATCGCTTCGAACGCCTTCACCACCATCAAGCCGACCAAGCAGCAGATCTAGCTAATTCACACCGAAAACGCCTAGAACAGTGTTTCAGCTAGAAAAGCAAGCTTCTATGCTTGAAGAGCTACATAAGCAACTATCGAAAAGCCCTCCTACCCCATCGAAAACTATGATAAATCAAATTATCAAAGGATGCGCAATAACGATGCATAGCGCTGCGCTCCTTGCGAAGGAGAACGCCGATCTACGCGCAGCGAATGAAAAGAAACGTCAAAAGCGCACTCGATCGACTAGGCAGATTGCACACGAAGAGGGCCTATCAATCGAAGAGGGCCTACAGCTAGCTCAGCAGCTAATTCAGCCAGTAGAAGCTAATGAGGTAGTATCGCATGAGCAGGGCGATTTACCTAGTCAGCAGGATCAGCCACGCAGGAGGGCTCCACCAAGGTGTAGTGGATGCGGAACGATTGGGCATAAGATCAATCAATGTAATAAGCGATAGATTAGGATTAATTAATGCGATCCGGTTGATATATTCGCCTTTGAAAAATGGTGATGAGATTGGTGGGCCACTCGCTTGTGTGAGCCACTCGCTTGTGAATTACGTTATGGGGGTTTATGATTACATAAGAAATAATTACATCGGATCATCCAATAATCCGGCCTCCATAGGCTGTTCGTTCCGACAATCTATGAGCCGCTTGCGAACACGAAGTTTATTTCAGTTATTTCTTTAGGAAACGGGGCCGCAGTTCAAAGATCCAGAGCTATATATACAGTAGGAGGGACCTGGAACCATTTAGTTTATATTCAACCGGTAAAATCAATGTCTGTTGGTCTACAGCACACCTGAACGCCCGACGATAGATGCATGGAAAACCACCCGCGATATCCGCTGGATAAACTATACTTTCATGTTTTTGACGACAGCATCTATTTGGCCTGCGCAGCCACCCACGCCTCGTGTGCCTTCTTCTGTCGCTCCCAATCCTTGCGGAGCTTCTTCGCCCGGCTCTTGGTGATCTCTTCGCCCTTCGAATCGCGGGTAGGCAGACCCTCATCGTCCCAGGCGCTGTACTCATTTGTACGGAACATCTCGAGGTGACTCAGCTTGCCCTTCTCCAGCTGTTTGAGAGCCTCCTGTTCACGCTTCAGTTTCTCGGCCTGCTTCTGGCGGGCGCGAGCCTCCTTTTCTTCCCGTGCCTGGATCATGTCTTGGGTAACTGGCCGGACGAGAGCGGGGAGATTGTCACGGTCCTCGAGGTAGACACCCAACTCGAACAGGTCGATGTCTCGGACGCGGTCACAGAGGGTGAGGATATCCTTGCCGACGGAGTCGGATGACTGCAGGGAAGAAACCTTGGCCCGGAAGTTCGACAGGACTTCGGCATAAGGCTTAGCGGAGCCGGAAGCATCCTTGGGGGCGGGCTGCTGTTTGATTGCTTCCTCGATTTGGCTGGGAGAGATGCCCTCCTTTGAGCGGGCAGCTTGTCGGAGAGTGTCGCGCATCGTAGAAAGCGGGAACAGGAATGGCTTGGCCTCCTCGGGGACATCAATACCAGACCAACCAATCTCAGTGCTATCGGCAGTGGCAGTTCCATTAAGACCGAAGATGTTAACGATGGAAGTCACCCAGAGAGCAGCAGCCTTGACATCCTTGGGGTTCAAAGTGGCCTTATCGGCGGTGTTGTACTTCGTAATAAGCTCGGAAATGGACTGCAAGGCAGCTGGTGTGTTGAAGGAGTCGCAGAGCTGGTTATATACCGCAGTCTTGGCCGCCTCCAAATCGGTAGCAAATGTAGTGTCGGTGCCAGAGCCCTGGAGAGCGGCGGGATCCTTCACCTTGAGGAAGAAGTTGTTTACCTTGTCTTCCCAGGAGTTTCCGGTATTCACAAGATCGTCAGTGATCTCAACACCATCCTTCCAGCCACCCAGAAGGAAGACGATGCGCAGGCTTCGCGGGTTCCAGTCCTTGCGGTCGAGGGCCTCGCGGATAGTTGTGAAGTTCTTCAAAGACTTTGACATTTTGGAACCCTGGATTGACAGATGGCCCATGTGCAAAAAGTAATTGATAACTTGATCATGGTTGTGGCTATTGAAATAAGCCTCACTTTGAGCCAGTTCGTTATCGTGGTGGGGGAAAGCAAGGTCGATACCGCCGGAGTGGATATCAATGTGTTGGCCGAGCCGAATACCATGAAGGGTACTACACTCGATATGCCAGCCAGGCCGTCCCTTGCCCCAAGGGCTGGGCCAGCTGGGCTCACCCGGCTTGGAAGCCTTCCAAAGAACGAAGTCGGAGGCGCTCCGCTTCTCTGTAGTTTTGCTGGTGAGGGAGCCTTCTCCCTCCGCAGCGAGTTTGTTGTCCGAACGGCTCCATGGCTCGAGGCGCGCATAAGGGTGCCCCGCCGCCTCGAAGGATTCGATGTCGAAGTATACCGATCCATCCTGGGTGGTGTAACCAAAGTTGTTTTTAACAATACGGTCCACGTAATCGGCGATCTCCGGACCGTGATCCGTCACGCGCATCAAATCATCGGGGTCGAGTACGTTCAGGTCCCGCATATCATTCAAAAACCGCTCCTCATACTTTCGGGTAAGCTTGGTGAAAATACTGTGGTCATCGGCATCAATGGAGGTACCCTTCAGAGCATCCAGATACGGCAGGAGGACATCCTGCGCATTCGTGTAGAAGGACTCGGCGAACACTGCAGGATCGGTTGCGCTGTTAACGCGCTCAGCTTCCGCCAGAACCTTCGCAGCCGAAGTGGCGGTCTTGATGTGCATCTTGACCTTGGCCTCGTCATCACCCGCCTTCTCATTGCCCGGGAGAGCGCCACCATTGAGAACCGTCGCATATGTTTTCGCCACGGTATCTTGGTATTGTGATGGCGGCAACTCGGGATCCAACAAGGAGAGGTTCTTCTTGAGGTATGCTTTGTAGGCTTTCTTCGTGGTATCGATCACTTCCGCGGTGACAACGGGGTTCACGGCGGCGAACTCATTGAAGAGATGTTGTTGTCTCGCGCGCAGGATAATCTATATGATTGGTGAGTCATTCCTTTCATTTACAAATGAGCAATGCAGAAGAAGCCAAGTACCTTATCATCGATATCCGTAACGTTCATCACGAAATCGAGATCGAACTTAAAGTAGTCGCGCATAATGCGCCGAATGATGTCGGTGCTGACATAGTTGCGGGCGTGGCCCAAATGCGCATCGTCATAAACGGTCGGACCGCAGGCGTACCAGGTAACCTTCTTGCCCTTGGGATCGACAGGAATGAAAGGCGATTTGGACTTGGTCAAGGAGTTGTACACCTTCAAGGGCGGCAGTTGCACTCCCTCATGCGAGGGAGGCTGCCGCCATGCCGGTTGTTGGCGAGTAGACATGGGTCTAGAGACGGACAGAACAGAGACAGACCAAAACCGAAGCTGTTTAGGCCGAGCAAACGAACGGGGAAGGAGGGGCATAAAGTCGGAGGGGCACTTTGCTTTGGAAACAGCGTCGACTCATCGCATTTGCGCCTGTGATTGGCCCTTGCGTCCTGAAAGGGCAGCCCTAAGCCCTAACTTCCAAGATAGGAAGTCCAGCTTTTTTCTACTTGCGGAGATCTGGAGATCTTTAAGACGTCTTGATTGCAAGGTCCCAGCTGCACGCATTGCTCGGACTTCTGCAGCTATGCCGTCTCCGTTCCTGACCCCCGGCTCATCTGCAGGGCCCGACAACATCGCCCTCCTCCATCTGCGACGCGACCAGACCATCCCGACGATCCTTCGAACCTACGATGACCAGAACCTGGGCTACAAGGAAGGCAAGGTGTCCAACACACGCTTCGGTTCATTCCCGCATAGCACTCTTATTGGACAACCATGGGGCTCCCAAATTCCCGCTTCCAAAGTCGACACCGGCTCGCGCGGCCGGAAGGGTCCTACAAAGCGCAAAGCTGAGGAGCTCGATACACCGGGCACGACAACCGGCGCCGAAGATGACACGTCCTCTCTCAAAACGCCAGTCGCTGCTGGCAGCGGCTTCCTCCATCTGATGTATCCCACCCCCGAATCGTGGACATTGTCACTCCCGCATCGGACGCAGGTCGTCTACACCCCAGACTACAGCTACATCCTCCACCGGCTCCGCGCGCGAGCAGGAGGTACGGTCATCGAAGCAGGTGCGGGCAGTGGCTCGTTTACCCATGCGGCCGTGCGTGCCGTCTTCAACGGATATCCTCAAGAACAGCTGGCGAACAAGAAGCAGCGATTGGGAAAGGTGTGCAGTTTTGAGTTCCACGAGCAGCGAGCGGCAGCTGTACGACAGGAGATCTCGGATCATGGTTTGAACGGGCTGGTGGAGGTCACGCACCGCGATGTCTACGAGGACGGGTTCTTGCTGGGTGACCCCAAGACCGGCAAGTCTCCCAAGGCCAATGCGATCTTCTTGGACTTGCCTGCTCCCTGGCTCGCCTTGAAACACCTTGTGCGCAGGCCAGCTTCTGGCGCCGAGTCTCCGTTGGACCCGGGCTCGACTGCGTACCTCTGCACCTTCTCTCCTTGCCTTGAGCAAGCTGAGCGCACCATCCGCATTATGCGCCAGCTGTCATGGTTGAACATTTCGATGGTCGAGGTCAACCACAACCGCATCGATGTGAAGCGCGAACGTATCGGCTTAGACTGTGAAGGTATCCGCGGCGCGACAGTATACCCCAGGACCGTGGAAGAGGCAGTAGTGAAGCTCCAGGAAGACGACCAGCGCGCCAAACGGCTCCGCCAGGCCCATTATGACGGCAAGGAAAATGACCCGGAAATTCAAGAATTTAAGGCCAGAGCTTCCAAGGACTCATCCGCCCAGACTTCTTCCGCACCATCATACAGCCAGGGCCGCTTGATTCACCGCTCAGAGCCGGAGTTGAAGACGCATACTTCTTACTTGGTATTCGCCGTTCTTCCCCGTGAGTGGACAGAAGATGATGAGCAGAAGTGTCGCCAGCAATGGCCTTCTCAGAAGTTGGACGCCCCCGAGCCAAAGAGTGGTAAGAGCAGGAGGCAGGCCAAGAGAGAGGCTAAGGAGAGGTGCTTGCAGGAAGTTAAAGCAGAAGAACAGGAGCAGCCAGCAGAAGAGAAGAATGAGGCATGAAGAACTGTATATCAAAGCATAATTATAAATGGTGTACTATTAAAGCACTGGGTATTGGCAAAAGCATATTTCCTCTAGATGACTCAAGGATGTAATTAATTCAATTTTGCTCATCGCAAAGACCTTTAGTCTTTCAACCCGGTGATTTCTAGAATTAAGAGAAAGTAAAGGGCACGAGTTAAGATGATTGTGATCTCATTCAAATGGACTATGTTCTAAAATGCTCTCAATATGAAGGGGAATTGACATGAAAATATGGCCATGGTATGTAGCGATTGCAAAATCAGGCTAGCGATGACGTTAAGATATCGCGCTAGAGGTTGTTCTCCACTCTGAACTTGTCCCATGCTTCATTCAGGGTTCCAAAGACTGCACTGGAGATCATCCGCTGCTCAGTGGTAGCAGTGGTGGGAATCTAACCAACCGTTATCAGCAAAGGGTATCCATGAAAGTCAGTGCAAGGATATCAAATAACGTACCTTGTCGGGATGCACCTTAGCAATTCCCTTCATATATTGAATTTTCACCTTGTTCGGCAATACCAGCTCCGACAAGTTGATCTTCTTCCACCCAGAGTCGGCCCAAAGAACAGTATCAAGACTACCCAGCAGAGCGCGCAGATTGTCCTGCTTCCCGTTCCTCCAGGTTGCGATTCTGGCGTCGACACTGTCTGAGAGAGCGAATTTCTCCTCATCAGCACGCTCGGAAGCTTCGTTGGCCTCCCGCAAACGGCTGACAGCTTTCGAGTCTTGACCAGAGCTTGATGCTCCACCCAGGTCTGACAGCGCAGAAGCCTGCTTGGGCGCAGGAGTTGCCCGTTTCTTGACGGGAACTGCCTTCGTTGGGGGCTTGCTGATACCAGCGGCCTTCTCGCATCGGTTTCGGCCTTGAATACTGGTGCTTCCGCCGTGGCCCACCTCGACAGCCAATTTCCATACCTGCGCCGCGTCGACCCATTTCTCGAGCTGTTCCAATGCCTCGGCTTTGCGCATCAAGGCCTTGCCGAAGAAATCCTTCATTGGCTTGGCGGGCTCGCCATTTCCAAGATCAATTGTTTCGGATTCACCCTTCGAGGGACCAATTAAGGCCAGAATAGCGTCGGCATCGTCAACGGCGGACTTCGGTTCACCGGTCTTCAGCGCTGTCATCGCGCGGTTGCTGCGGATCATGATTGTGATTGGGTGCTTTTCAGGGAGCATGTTTAGAGCAGTTGAAAAGCTCTGATAAGCAGCTGCATAGTCACCTCGCTTATACGCTTCTGCGGCCTTTTCGCGGTGGCGATGCGTAGACTGAAGAGCCTCGGCCGATACAGGTGGAATAGGTCGCGGCGGGGCTTTAGGATGCACCGGGATTGATGCTGAGCGTGTCTGAGGTGTGACTTGTGATGGAGTCGCCGGTTTGGGATGTTGGGATGAAGGGGCGGGAGAATCGAAGAGATCAACAGCGGGTTCAGGCGCTGGAGGCGGTGCTTGAGGCCGCTTTCGCCTTGCTGAACTAACATAGGCTTGTGCCGATTGCTCCTCCGTGGCAAATCGTGACAGACGAGATTTGGGTTCCGTGGAATTGGGACGTGATGGCCGTTGCAGGAAATTAGGCTGTTGCATGTGTTGGGCGGGGGATCGAGACTGCTGGCGAAGGTCATTGCCACTAGTATCCGGCCGAACAGGTTTACGAGGTCGAGCATCGCCGGTTTCAAGAAGCATGGCCTCATCTGTGAAATCTCGTGGTTTCTGTCGCGGTTGATCTGTCCTGTCACCACCACGTCGAGGTGGCTGCGGTGGAGGGAACGAATCTTCGCGTGTAGCGGAAGCATCTCTCATCCACTTGGGTTGGCTGGGGTCATGATCCGTATTGAACTCGTTCACAGCCTGCTGGAACTTTTTGCTTCCTGTTTTCCAGAGAGAGCCGGCAGTTTTCCAAAGGTTGTTGCCAAGCTGGGATGCGATTTGGGCCGGGTCTTTCTCGGCACCGGGGCTCATACTGTCATCTCGTCGAGGAGTCTGTGACCTGCCTTCCCGCGCCCAAGACGGAGCATCACGATGGCGACTACCAATTCGCTCCACTGGGTCATGGGATGGACCGTTCGACGGTGATTGTCCCTGTGACTTTTGTCTAGATTCAGCGTGGGCTTGTGTGAGAAGCCAACCAACAGCAGCCTGCACATCTGTCCCTGACGGTGTAGCCCTTAGGGCCTGGCGAGATTTTTCCGCGAAGAATCCCATATCGACCAGCTCCGCGATAGCTCGATCCTCATCGCTCGACGGCATGGGCGATGCATCTTGGCTCCTCGTTTCTCGAATTGAGGGAGCCGGAGGCGATGGGGTAGGCTTTTGCCGCGGTATTTCCGACACGGGCTTCCCCAGCAATCCAAGGAAGTCGTCATCGTCATGTTGTGCGGGAGGAGGGGCGGCCGCTGTCTGGGGCTTCAATTGATTGAGGCCAAAAGGATCGTCGTCGTCAAATGCATCCAATCCTCCTGTGTTGTCGCGCATTGAGATCCCTCTACCTAATGAATGTTGTGAGGTATTGGAGCCGATCTGGGGCGAAGCGTTGGAGCTCGGGATAGGGAAGTTCGTTGATGCGTCCACAGGCGCCGCAGCATTGAAGGCGGCTAATATATCATCGTCGTCGGCAGGAGGAGATACGGACTGTGAGACTGGCGCGGCAGCAGGGCTCTGGGTACGGCCTTGCTCAAGACCGTCCCAGAACTGATTGTTCTGCCCCCCATATTGCGCCTCGTACTGACTTCGCTTCTCTGCTTCCTTCTTTGCCTTCTCCTCCTGCAAACGCTTTTGTTGTTCCGCAAGTGAGAGGTTCTTGTTTGCGGCGGAGGAGTTGAATGAGACCAGATTGGCGAAGCTATCTCCGGTGGACGTGGCGGGTTTGGAAGGCGACGGAGTGCGGTTCGAGGCAGCGGACATGGGCGTTGACCTTCCAGAGCCACCAGTGGACCGTATATTGGGGAACATGAGGCCAGAGCTCATGGGCGGCGGTTTATTTGATGGGGCGTTCGAGTTGTTTGACCAACTCAACCCGTTTAGGTCGTCCATGGCGGGCTAGATAGTGCCCCGTTGCGGAGGTGAGGGGGGTGATATCTGAATGGCTCCGGGGTAAGGATTAGGAAGTAGGAGACGCATATAGAAGGTAGTCCATGATCTCACCACACAAAGGACAAGGAAATTGACAATTTGACAAATGCTTACAACTTCATGGAGCATGTGCCAACGCTCCCGCCCCCCTGCGCATGTGGGGATGACGGCGGGCACGTGATATTTCATCACTCGATGTTTTTTTCCGCTTGAAGCAGCTGAACAAGTAGAATAGCCACGTTTGATGATCTGAAAGTGGACTTTCATTATTTTCTGCATTCGTAGCTGGAATTGATTTTCTTTTCGTCTCCTGGGTGCGGATGATTTAAGTGCCGGGGGGGGACCGTATAACAAGTTCGGAGATACATATAACTATACTCTTCGAACCGGTCTTGGCGTGGGAGCCCATGCAATTGCAGACGTGACTAGGTAGACGATGTTCCGATGCCATGGGACTGGGCATGAAATTATGGTGCACCTATGTATTTCCAATTTGCAAGTACATTACTGAGTGTACTCCATTTCATAATGCAAAGAAACGGAATCTTCCCAACTGTGTTTGTACAGATGCCCGTGGAAAATGACGCGTTAATATTATCCTAGGGTTGTAGCAAAGGCGCTATTCATGCATATATATTCCTTAGACAAAAGTTTCTTCTAGATCTAGGGTGTGTAGTCATAGTATGGATCCTATGGAAAGGTCAAACGAAAAGAAGACCCACACCACAAATGACCGGAACTATGAATATGACCGTCCAATCAATTTCGATCTTGTCTAATTTGACATAAGGGGGAGGCGGCGAACTGGCGAATGTGTGGGCTTTGGGATTCTTGCATGATGAATTCAGATATATATTTCTCGCACCTCATCTTGTACTTAGCTCTCCAGCGGCCACTGGCAACTCTGACATATCGCCGTACGGGAATAAAATAGAGTATGTATAGTGGAACTCTCTCTCTCTCTCTCTCTCGTCTAATTTGTCCACATTTGTCCACATTTGTCCACCCCACTGGAACCGGCCAACGATTAATACCTATCATCTTAACAGACCAAGAGACTCGCGTTCAAGCTTTGCCTTCACTCTGGTTACCATAGCTTCTCCGTTATCGGATTCGTCGATTATGATATTTGCAAACACAAATAAAGACCAGGGGCTAAGGTCTGAAGACAAGTCCCCGTTCAGCTTCCTAGAATACAAAATCAACTCCGCGAATTGTGAAGCTCGCAATAATCTCCACTTTTCAAACAATACGGCATGTGACTCCATTCCGTTGATCGTGAAACTGGCAGCTTGAGGTAATCATTTCCTCAATCATGATCCATACTGCTCAACTGTCTTTTTCGTCCTTGATGACGACTTTGTCATCACCTCTGGCAGGCTGGCTTTTGTGTTGGAAATGAGTCCTGTGCGAGACTGCGTTGCCTCCGAAATAGTAATTTTCAATTAATGACGATCTTGTCAAGCGCAATGGCAAAAGAAATCCACAGACCAAATCTCATATCCAACGCCCGGAAACTTTGTTAGCGTCATTCAACCGCTTTGTCCACCGGAGCAGACGATCGACTAGGCCATGTGGGTGTACAGGGCACCATATCATCTTCTGCGCGCAGAAAGGGAGGTGTTTATCTTTGGGCTATAATATAATTTTCCGATCTCACACCTCACACAATAACTCTTCCATAGTCCAGCCAACGCTTTTGGGTGGCGGGACTCAACAATTACAAAAAAGGCCTGGCCTACCGAGTCTACATGCGTGTATCCATGGGCGGACATGGCATCGAATCCGCTAAGTGAGAAAAAACCCGAGGACGAATCAAAGACGAACGCGAAAAAGCCATATGGTAGAATGGGCAGAGCTGATTGAACAATGCATTGTCAAGCGACAGAGCGCGCTAAAGCCAGACGGGCAAGTGTCTCGGACGAGGCAAGCACCCCCCCCCCCTGGAGCCCCCTTGCTGGCAAGCCTCCCGACGAACCAAGTCTCGACCCGATAAAAACCAGGTTCATGCCAAGAAAGTCTGCAAGTAAATGCACGCCAATGCAAGAGAAATGCACGAACGGCACCGTGGCTTCAATAAGGTGATAGACCAATGGGGTGGGCACAACTTATATGCGGAATTGTGAAAAGCACGGATCAGGGCCGGTAGGTGGACAGATCGAGGGGCGCGACCCACTCCGCGAACCCCTAGATGCTGATGGCGCTGATCTCTCCGAACGCGTATCCTCTGCGCTGGAGCTGTCCGACTTTGCAGAGACTTTCATGCACACGGGGGGCAATAAATACGGTGAGCACAGGTGCTTCTAGCATTCGAGGCTATGGAAGCTCGCTTATTGCGATGTGATAGATCATGGGAGAACGTATGTCATCTGGGTCGCTCGCATTCCTGCTTTGCTTAGTCTAAGAATTCGATCGTCGGGGGCGTTGGTTTGTTTAGGGAGGATCATCAGACATCCAACCGAATGGTAGAAACTCGTGAAGCTGGTAATGACTAGGGCCTAGCGTAGGCTACCCTTGGATAAGGCGAGTCATCCCTGCCCGTGGCCGGTTGTCAGGCCCGAGACGAAAGAGTTTAGTAAAAGCGACCGTAATTTCCGAACGATGAAGTCCTAATCTCCTTTCGGTGCGAGGGACCGCCACAAGTGCACAGCCGGAGAGCTGATCCTTGCTAGATCGATGGTTCTCGATCAGGGGTGGGTCTTGATGTAGCTCGTTGACTCGTCGTCAAGCTCTCGTGGGTGTTTATTGCCAAATTCCCAGTCGATTAGTCTACCACCAAAACTCAAATGCACCTAGCAAATGATACGCCTTTTCCGCTAGCCCCGCGTGTTTCTGGAATTCCGTTGTCACCTGTCGCTTTATATGCAGGGGCCGGGGCTAGAGCTGGTGTCGGAAGTGTTCTTGTTTATCTGCGGCCCATGGGTTCACGACGCGCCTCTGCCCGGTTTTTCTCTTAATGCTTGCGGCGACGATCCTGTGAACTGACCAGCCTCTCCTTCTGGTTCTGCAGCGCGACCTACACCGACTTGTTTCTCGTATTGCGTTGGACATGCGAACGGGGCCGGTAGGGTTCATATAGTCGGAATCGCTCCGCCATCCCGAGATATTCATGTTCGCTGTGGCTGTTTTACCTGAAACAAGCTGGCTAATATGCGGTGGTCTTTGCTTTTCACCTCAGCCCTATTCTTCCTCCACTGCGGGGCAGCATTGGCAGCCCCGACAGTAGAATTGGGGGAACGGGGCGTTGATGCCGTCGCGACTCTCAACAAAAGAGCGGACCAAGATACAAAAACGACCGCAACAAATAATGACGCCACTCAACCAACCGCGGCGACGACCACAGGGATCGAGACGATTGGATCCCATGAGGTAGGATCTAATGCGACCACTGCAACAACAACAACAGACCCAGGCACGACTACCTCACCTGCTAGTCAGACCTACGCCGCAACCACGGTGCCTTCACTAGATGGACCCAGTTCCTCAAGCAGTCAAGCTTCACAAAATGAAACCCATTCGGCATACTCAGGGGGCCTCCCAATCAAACCGGAAATCACACCTGCATTGGGTGTGGGAGGCTTCATACTTCTCGTTTTGGGAGGGGCGTTGGCCCTCATTGGGATCCGGAAGCAAAGGTAAATGTCTCAGCTCGGAGGGAATGGGAACATGGTGCTAATGCCAAATAGTGTCTTTATATTCCTTTCCACGGCATTCCTCGCAGCATTGGGTATTACAGTGAGTTTTCTACATTTGGGTTACAACCGTATCGCAAGCTGACCTCGGGACCCCTGTTAGGTTCTGATCATCTATGTCATGAATCCCCCCGTCAGCAACGGAGCACAAGGAGGATATTTGGTCGCCGTGGTCGTCACGGGAGCGATCTTTGGTGGCCTAGCGCTCGTCTTCAAAGAAATCACAGAGGGCCTGTGTTGTCTTCTGGGCGGCTTCTGCGTCGGCATGTGGCTCATGACCCTCAAATCCGGAGGCTTGGTCACTGGTGACGGACCAAAGGCTGGATTCATCATTGGTTTTTCCGCTGGCTTTTATTGTCTCTCTTTCAGCCATTATACCCGTGCGTATGGGTCCATGTTCTGTACTGCTTTTGGTGGTGCTACAGCATTGGTACTCGGTATTGACTGCTTCAGCCGAGCTGGGCTGAAGGAGTTCTGGCTCTATATCTGGGGTAAGTCTTTCGAAACATCTGCATTCGGGTCGACTGAGATCCTAACACACTGCCCAGGTCTGAACGACAACATGTTCCCTTATCACACCTATACTTACCCCGTGACCCGCAATATTCGCGTAGAAAGCGCCGTCATTATCATCATCACTGTATTTGGTGTGATCGGACAGATGCGATTGTGGAAAGTCATCAAGGCTCGCAGAGCTAAAGAGGAGAGCTCCCGCCAAGAAGCGGAGAAAAAGAAAGATGAAGACGACGCCGAGGTTGGCCGACAGCTTGAAGCCAACAATCTCCGTGAACGTGCTGAATGGGAAGAAATGTATGGCAATGGTCACGATGGGGAAGAGCCATCATTGTCAGAGACTGCGATCGCCGATGATTCACGAAGAGGATCGGACGGATTTGAGTCTTCAACACCTCAAGAGAAAGACAATGCCATGGAAATGAAGCCTATTGCCACCATCGACCAGAGTGCTGGTGCCTCTGACTCTGGAAATCCCCTCGAAACGGTAGAGGAGGTTGATCATGACACCGACGCAGAGGATCAAGATGCGTGCAGTCAATGTGAGGTAGAAATTGGTGACTTGGAAGCACAAAGACCGGTATCTGCCATTTCTCAGCGAACTTCTGAGGAAAAGTTGCATTTCCCGGAAGACAATGATTCTGAGCACGGGGCCGTGGTCGATTCTGAAGTCGGCACCCAACGAGGATCAAAGCGCTTTTCGAGCAAATCTTGGATCAACAGGCTTCCCGGTCGCTTCGGAAATGTCCAATTTCCGGACCCGCAATCTGTGTCTCAGGAAGCCTTGATCGTTCACGATGACACTGCATCTTCTGTTGCAGGCGTGGTGGATGAACTCACCATCATTTCTGGGCCCCGGAGTATCGCTTCTGGTATTGATGAAGATGGGAAAGATCAAGCTCATGAGAAGGAAATTTCCAACGAGGGTGCGCCGGAGCAAAATGTGCTCTCCGAGGCTACTGTGGGAAAGCTCAACTCTCAGACACGTCAACCAGCTGCGCCACCTGCAGTCACAACTGGAGGAGATCTTGCTATTTCTCATGAACCAGAAGATGGAAATCACCACACTACTGAAAACGATCAGGAAAATCATGGAAACAACACCGTTCCGACAGACAGCCCCGGGGAAAACCTGGGAGTGAAGTCTGAGAACGCGGTTGTACAAGTCCAGCAAGACGAACCAGCATCTCAACGGGAGAACCAAAAGCAAGAACCCTCGGCCACAGTCGTCGAGAAAGTTGAATCCAATGCCGAGGAAGCTGTGCTCGAAAAACAACCTTCAGCTTCCCCCAAAACCGAACCAAAAGAAATTAATGATTCCAACGATCCTCGGTCCAACATCGAAAATAACGTCACTGAAGCCGACTCTGTTTCTCAAACAAACCCGACAAATCCAATGAAGAAGCCAACTTTGGACATGACGACCGTTAAAAAGATTCCTGAGCAGACCTCCAAGGTGATTCATTCGTTCCGCACCAAGGAATGGGCGAAACATCTTGCAGATGCCGAAACTCCAGACCTTGAGCCCCTTGAGCTCGAAAATGATGTTCAAGAAGACTCAGACAAAATCGAAGAAGCAGCGGCCCCGGTTCATGTTGACGGCCTGTTGCAAACGGCCTTGAATGCTCAACCGCCTCCTGCGGTGATGAGCCCGGAGCTCAGCGTGTCGAGCTCCGAACAGATACGGCGACTGTCTGATTATTCATCTATACCTTCCCCGGAGATGTCTCGGTCCAAGACACGAAACAGCTTGCACAATCTTTCCGACAAATCTCCGCCGCCGTTGATGCGCAACGCGTCAATGGCATCGATAATTCCGCGGCAGGAACAGGATGCCATTACTCCAATGCTTCGCAGCACATCGACTCCCTTCTTGACTGTCACTTCACCAGGCAAGGGTAAAGCTGAACCGGAGTCACCACGCTGGAATGGCCCGCCTCCTCTTCTTGCAGTCCGTGAAAACATGGTTCGTAACCGAATGTCTTCAACATCCCTTCGTCATGACCCGTGGGCTTCTCGAAACGCTTCACACCAATCTCTTCCGGATGCCATCCAAGCCACCTCTCCAACAGTGGCCATCCCCGAAGAGCGAGATGAAGACTTTGAAGCGGCTGCCCTCAACGATAATGACGATGTCCCACTTTCCCAGCGCCGAGTCATTCTACAACGTCAGAGCATGCAATTCCCCTCAGGAATGAGCGCCATGAATTCACCCTCCCCGATATACCCCCAAAGCTACGAGCGCTCAAGATCACCACAATCCACTCAAGTAAACCCCGAAAGATCGGCTTCCAGAATGGCCGCATGGCGCCAATCAGTGAGAGAAGACATCTCACAGCGGCGCGACCCACTCGCTTTCCGCGGCTCTTCTCCGGGACCAGCCAGCCCCGAAAGACCGCGGAGTCTCTGGGGATCCGTGCAGCAAATGCGAGATGCCTCCTCGAGCCAAGTTGATCTGGCCGTTGCAGAGGGAATGCAACGGGGAAGTATGACCGACCTTCATCGTCAGGCAATGCGGCGGATGCAGGCCTCTGCAAACCGTCAGTTGTAGACATTTCTTTTGATACCCTTACCCTTCTTTCCTTTCTCTCTCGGGCGTTATCGGGAATTTGATTCCTCGCCTTGAATACGTATAATGTTTATGTATATAATTCTTAATGACTTGATGTGTAAAGGCACTTCATTCCTGCCGGGCATACTCTCCAACACAATATCACTGCAGGAAATGCTTCGGTGCACTCTCGAAAATCTTGATCGCTTGTTCCAACCGTTTCTCGTACTCTTCAACCTCCAAGCTCTTTTGGTCATCTTCCGTCGATGTCTCCCTCTCGGTCTTCGCCTCAGGCTTACCCTCCTGCTCAAGGCCAAGCCCAATAGAACGACCCTCGCCCCCTCGAGCCGTATTCAACGACATAACATCACGGTAAAGACCCATCGAAGCAGGCAACTTCACCCTATCCATAGTCTATGGTTATCATGACTCTGTTCTATCGGCATTTGAAAAACAAGCTTCACTTGGCCGTGGCGGATGTCGGATGTCCTGAGACTGGATAGTGATACTGCTAGTACACTTCTCGATTATATGCTGGATAATTGGGGTGTTTCGACTACGGAAGGTCAGAGTCCAACGGAGTTTGTTCCCGATGCTGAGTTTCTTTTGTTCACACTGAAGATGATTCTGAGCCAGCTGGACTGGTCAAGTCCGGTTTACTGGGCATCATTCATACTAGTTGGTTACGGAGGGTTTCGATTCTTGCATGAGCTTTAGATAAGCCACAGCACGCCCAGCTATTCTCAACAATGGCTATTTACTGCATCCTTTTTACGCAACTTTTGTTTCTTTTATACTTAAATATAAAAATCATATATTTATGTCGCTTTTCTACACTTCTCTAACTACCGTACTAGGTAAATCGGCAGTTTCCTGGCCGGGAAGTCACGTAAGGTTAGTTATCACGCATCCTACTCTTCACTGACTGGCTGCATCACTAGTCCGGAGGTCATGATTAAACCTTGTTAGTTTCTATCGTCCTTTAAAATGTGACGCGAGAAGATCCGCTCTTCCTATTTTCGAATGCTTTATTTGACACTAAGGATGGCCTCTTAATCGTCTTTCTAGGCATATTTGAACCCATCTTCCTAAACGTATTTTAGACGTATTTTTAACATGCCGAACTCAAATTTTACTATTCAAAGAGTAGCCTATGTCGTCTTCTCTTAGTGGCCGTTATCAGCGCCGGTACCGGGGTCAGTGCGTGGCATACCACCTGACCGGAATGGACCGACCCCATATCGTGCTTCGGTCACAAATCCTCGACGAGGCATTCTACCGCGGCAATGCCGCGGCGTAGTTCTCGTTCAGTATCGGGATGCATGACTTGTCGCCGTCGGAAGGTGAAATGCAGTTCTCGATCGACACCGTGTGAGCCGTGCCGCCGTCTCGGCCTCTCCTGTGTCTCATCATTTCAGCAAAACTTCAGAGTTTGGTCTCTCTCAGAGAGGCAATATCCAAATGAAACATCCGAGGACCAGACAATCCTAAGTCCCAGGGTACATGGAGAAGACCCAAACTCAGGATCCCAGACATCGCAAAATCGAGTTGAGAACTTGCCACAATCGTCGGCTATTCGTCAATCCAATCGAACGACCGACATTGCCGCTGGTGTGAATTACACACCTCATGGCTTGAACTCAGATTCGACGGCACTTGAAGATGATGGAATAGAGGATGTGCCACTTCTCAATGATGACCAGAGCATGATCCCCCGAAGAAATGGGGTGAACCCGATTGACTCATGGATGGAATGGGACAACCTGTTCCCTCTCCCCATGCCAAATCGCTCACCTTCACTTATTGATAACGACTTCCAAATCCTAATGAACGCTCCATATGACCATACTTGGGACGTCGCCTCCTGGAATCAAATGAATCGAGTACCGGAATGGCTGTCGACCAAAAGGTCAATGTGGAGCTGTTACCACTACCTCATCAACTTGGCTCAGGCTATTCCCGACTCCCCCTCTTCCATGGAATTCTGAGCTGGACATACGCCTATTTATTCAGACTGGGGCTATATTCTGAGCCATCCAGATTGACGCACTATATTACCGCATCCGACTCAATCCGACTCTTGTCCAACGAAGTTTCGGACAACTCCGCAGCCTTGACCTGGCTTACTGTCAACCCGTCGGAGAAAATATCGCAATATATCTCTACAACATTTTTTCTATGTCAACACGACCTGATAGTTGGTGATTTCGAATCTTTCAAGTCTCGTTTACATGAAACCAAGCGCACGTTCTTCCGACATTGGAAAGCGCAAAACATACCCGGCCCGATAGAATCGCGAATTGTCATCTGGCTTGCGTTTATGGAGCTTCGTTTCCTAATTATGGAAGGAGAGAAAGATGCAGGTGGAAGTCAAGAAAAAGATCTAATGGCAATTCTGATGGATCTCAAAGCTGTGCCAACACTTCGAGGTGCTCGCAAAAAACAGTCATATCTCTCAGAATGTTTCGGTAACGGGCTGCCCAAAGAGGAGAACGATGAAGATCTAAGAAAAGAACGCTGCCGTGAGAAATTTGACATGCTCTCTTTCTTTCTCAGCAGGGTTCGCACATTTGAGAAATGGGATCTGGAGACCCAGTCGCGGAGAGATGGTGAGCCTCTCTTGGTGGAATTGCGAGAGGCGAAGATTGATGCCTTACGTGCAGACCTTGCGCGTATCCAAGCGGTAGGCTTAACCCGTACTTCCGTATTGTCTGACTGCTTGAATACTAATTTGGCTACAGGAATGCGAACTGGCCTTCCCAAACCAGAGAGTCAGCTCGTTAAGCCATGAAGACATCGACAGTAGCATGTTTCACATCATGACAGCCAAAGCACTGTGCCTCTGCTCTACAATCATGCTACATCGAGCCATTGATTCAACAGTCCGAACAGACCCGGAAGCCCAATCTGCAGCTCGCAACTTGATTCGTATCGCTCGGCTTTTCCGAAAAGCAAAACGCCTCGAGACACCCTGCTCTGTCATCTGGCCTCTTCCGATATTCATTGCTGGAATTGAGATAGCCGATGAGATATACCAAGATTGGACTGTTGAGTATATGCGGGAACTCGGACATTGGGGAGCTCATGTTGTCAAAGGGAGAGAATTGATGGAGCAGACGTTACGGTGGCAGGAGAAACATGGGCGCAGGGCTAGTATCACGGATTATCTTGTGCAATATTAATTTCTAAGGGACAACTTTCTATTGCGATCTTCAACGACTCGATTTTTCGAAGTCGGAACTCATGGCACCTCAGGACGCTCGCTGTTGCCACCACGATTCTTCAGCTGAACACCCACCAACGACTTCGGTCCCTCGAGATGGAACGTTTTAAAAACACCTTGACAAGGCGGACCCTTGCAGGTGGTGATAGCCCCTTGAGACAGATTATAGATAACGCAGGCAACCGTGGCGGTTGCGCTGCGGAATGGATAGCCAGGCAGATTTCCAATAACGGAGTCAAGTGGATGATCATCCGGATGGCAGCACAAAGCCTCGGGATAGCTAAGATGGTCCGAGAATGCCTTGATAAGCTGCTCGTTTGACAAAAGACCGTGTCTATATGGGCGAATACCCTGCTCCAGTCTCTGGCGACGGTGCCAGCTGCTTCCACCCGGGTATCTGTCCTGGACGGTATCGCGAGCGAGGAATGATTTGTCGGTGAAGTGGTTGGTGTGAATCAAATAGCCGTCATCTATGTTGCCGTATACCTTATACACGCGACTAGGTGTTATCTCGAGACAGAGGCCAAATCCTTCGGCCGTGGCCAGGGTGAGATTGTTGGAGACGTGGCGTGGGAATTGCTGGATGAGAGTGGTTGCTTCTGACAGGTGACTGCACTCCAGGATCATTCGACGGAGCAGAGAGATTGGCATTACGGGCTCGTTTGTCTTTCGGTGTGGTGAATAGTCCTCGGTGGACATCAAGGAGTTTGCTGTCACGCCCATGCCGAGGGAGTTCATCCCTGAACGACCGAGTTGACCGGCTTCCGTGACCAGGAAAAGCGACGGCTTTGCTTCTGATGGATCCGGGTGGACCTCAAGGTAGATGATGGCATCCGTCAGCCAGAGCCTGGCAGACATGTCCCAGTTCTGTGCGTTGAGGACATCACCAGAGACCGTGGTTTCCTTGAGGAAGAAGGCACTAGTGCACTCATTCGCTTGGTCATCTTCCTGGTTGGGTGTTTCATCGGTGTTCAGTCTTGCCAGATCGTATCGGGCATTCAGCAAGACAACGTCTTCAAGCGAGACCCCAGCGCCGTCTGCAATGCCTCTCATCTCCTCCAGGCCAGCAGGATAATGGGCTGTAACATTTGGGATGTACACTTCATTAATAATTTTGTGCATCAAATCCCTATTCAAATCATTAGCTACTTTGGAGATATGATGTCTGGGATCAATGAGCACATACCGTTCAGCCAGCTTGCCCGGTCTTTTGTAGTATTCCACATTTGCCTTGACTTTACTCATAGCCTGCTGGCCATGTTGATAGCCTCGATCATAGGGAAGGCCGCGAACGACGACGTGTTGGTAAGCGGGCGAGATATCAGGATTGGCTCTCATGACGAATCAAATGCGTTGAACTGATTTCTTCAATGATTTAACCAAGCTTTCGGGGCTTATCTTTCGATTTTATAACCTTGAGATTACCGGTTGCTGCGAAATTTCCTGCCTACATGGTTCCTGTTGCGGCTCTATTGCCGACCAGGCCCCTATCAAGGAGGACTCAATACAGAATTTAGTTAACATTCCGTCACTACATCTATTGCCGCTTTCCCTATCAAGCGCACCAAAGGCGCGAGACCGTGGAACCTGAGTTCTGCACGACCTGGCGGTCGCCAGTGTTTCCTAATCGGGATCTGTTAGCGACGGGCTCGCCAAGTAGTCCCGACTGGGCCATGTGGATACGGTCCGGCTTTGTCTCTCCGCGGTCTTATCACCGATTGCGGGGAATTGCCATTTGGAAGAGATAGTGTTTGCGCTCGAGTTATAAATATAATAGCACGGGAATTGGCCATGCGATACGGACACTTCGAGAACCCGCTTGTTCGCGTGAAATCCGATTATACACTATGACTGAGAAAGATGCCGAAGTCGGCGCGGCTGTTGGGCTAGACACCAAAGAGACAGCTGTCGACAAAAACCAAGATGACTCGATGGTGATTTTTGCCGGGTCGGGCGTTGGTGAGGTCTTTGGGTACTCGGACGGCGAGGCGAGAACCGTTCGTTGGAAACTGGATCTTATTTTACTTCCCATGGTGAGTCCATCATAGTATACCCTTCTCTCAGGATTTGATTTTCTAACGAACAAACGTAGATGTGTATGACATACATCCTCTCGTTCATGGACAAGGTGGCTCTATCTGAAGCCTCCATCTTCGGTATCGAGAAAAGCGATGTAAGTTCAACCTGGCGCTTTCCAAATTTCAACTTGACTTGGCTGATGCGGAATAGCACTTGGTCGGTCAACAGTACAGCTGGGCCAACGGGATTTTCTACTTTGGTTACCTCTTTGCGCAATACCCTAGCTCCATTCTCATGCAGAAGCTGCCCATTGGCCGATACTTCGGCGCGATGATCATTCTGTGGGGTGTTGCAACAACATGCACTGTCGCGACAAACTCATTCGCAACTCTCGCCGTGTGTCGGTTTTTCCTGGGTGCTTTTGAGACGTGTATCACGCCGATCTTGACGATTTTGGTCGGTCAATACTGGACACAAAAGGAACAGGCATTGCGTGCCTGTATATGGTGGACTGGGGGTGGAATCGGTGGTTTTATCGCCGACTCGATCACTTATGCCGTATCGGGAGGGGCCTTGGCGGGCTCGAAGTATGAGACATGGCAGGTGCGGCTCTCTTTCGTATTGACAATCTCCAGTTTCTTGTTAACATGAAGTGGCTTAGATTGTGTTCCTTGTCTTCGGTCCCGTTAGCATTGCGTGGGGTGTTGTGCTGTTCTTCTTTTTGCCTACGTCTCCGATGACAGCTTGGTTCTTGACCGAAAGGGAACGCAAGATCAGTGTCATGAGGGTATGCTTTGCTCTCCACTTAATAATAGCTCTACTAAATAGGAATCCCAGGTTGCTTCTAACCACGCTGGCATCGAGAACAGAAAATACAAAATCTATCAGGTCAAGGAAGCGCTTCTGGATTTCCAGGTGTGGATGCTGTGTGCGCAAGCCTTCCTGCAGTGTATCCCCGGTGGAGGCCTGACCGCGGTAAGTGTTATCCAGCTGACTGGTAAAATGAGAGCTAACGGACGCATTTTAGTTTGGAAAGCTCATTCTCACGGGAATGGGATACTCGGACCGGGAAAGCATAGTCCTGTCTTTTCCGCAAGATGGTGTCCAACTTGTTTCTACGGTCTTCGCTGGTGTGGTCTCACAGCTACTGCCTAATACCAGATGCGCATTAATGATTTTCGCAAACGCGATTGTGCTGATTGGCAGCGCTCTGGTTGAAAGTATGTTCAAACCCCGTTAGCATCCTGGGATCGGTTGGGATAGCCTGCTAACTCTGTTATTCCTCCGACAGAGCTGCCCGCTTCACAAGGTTTCGGCCCACTTTGCAGTAAGTCACTTCTCAATCCAGGCGTGAAGCTAGTACTAATGACCATCAGTCATCTATGTCAACACTATTCCATACATTATGTGCATGAGCTTGATGTCGTCGAACATCGGTGGGTTCACTAAAAAGGCCACATGCGGAGTATGTCTGACACTGAACGATACAAGAATCTCATTTTTGGTTCCAAGCTAATGCCATGCAGGTTATGATGTTCATGTCCTACAGCGTGGGCCAGATCGTTGCCCCGCAGTTCTTCATCTCCTCACAAGCGCCACGATACCCCACGGGGTTCCGCGCCTTCTATGTCAGCGTCGCGCTCATGATTGTTATTGAAGTGCTCTTGTTGTGAGTAATACCTCGAGACATTCTGACGAATTGATTGAACTGACAATTTGCAGTGTCTACCTATACCGGCAGAATCTCAAGAAGGAGAGAAGGGGCTCCGGTGATGAAACAAACAGTGTATCATTCTCGGATTTCCAGGATTTGACTGACAAGGAGCATCCCCAATTCCGATATGCATATTGAGTGGATTGTAAATAAGATTGAGACTTTTTATTTATTGTGTCTATCCCAGCCGAGTTATCCTTGTTTTGGTGTTTTTTTTTTTCCTTTTTTTTTGGGCAATCTCCGCATCACGCAACGCGTGTTGACCTTGCATTGGGTCGACATGCAGAAACTAGGACTAAATTTGACATCTGCATGAGATAGTCATCGAAGCGCCCCCTTCCTAAGGATTGTAGACTATTGGATTGGTCCGGTTGTGATCACCGGGAGGAAGGGCGAGCGGATGAAACAAGGGAGGGTGGACTAATCCGAGTAAAATCGGTGCAAACGACTCGTCGGGTGTGTTCGAGGTCAATTCATAAACTACATAAGAGCCAAGAGCGCTTTTTCGAGCATTGAATCCATTCGACTCTAGATTTGAATGCCAAGCCGAGGCCCTGAAGTCCCAGGGGGTTCTATAGTTAGCAGTGAGCTCAGTTAGTTGTGCGCGCGCCTCACACATTTTGCCTCATTTTTAAGCCTTGAGGATCCTTCGTCATCGCGGCCTTTATTTCGATCAATTCGTTCATTTGCAGCTTTTCCCTTCTCCGTCATTCCCTCGTTTAGTTTAACTTGTCTTTCCAGGAGACTTTTTCCTGTGCCGATCTCCCCATCTCTGACTGTGCACTTTCCCTTCGCTTTCCTTTTTTTTTCTCCTCAAAACGGCGTCCTTCGCAAGTCCTCCTCCTCTGCCGAGGGACGGTGAACCACATTCCACTCGCTATCGCTCACGTGGGACACATTCCAGTCGAACCAACCTCGTGGAGGCGACTCCGGGCTTCGTTCGAGCACAGCGGCGACAGTGCGTCCCCCTCTCGGGCCCGTCGTCGCTCCCTGCCATCCTCCGCCCCTCCGCCGTCCGCCTCGCCAACCCCATCAACCACGTCCCTCGAATCACCCCGATCGCCATCCCGCCTGCGAACGCATCCGACGAGAATCTCGCCTTCGCACCCCACTCTCCTCTCCTCAGTGTCCCCGAACGACGGCGCAGTCGTTTGACCCCGTCCCCGACATCCCCAACCAGTCTCATCGTTGAACGAAGTCAGGGGGAGACCGAAAGTGGACGCACCAGCATCGCCCTACCTCCACGTCACAGACGTTACGAACAATTATCACCTACCGCCATGGCTGCAGCATTCGCTGGAAGTGCGGCGCGAGAGGTCGAGAACCTGCGACCACCAGAAGCGGTTCATTTAACCGAAGATGGAAGTCGTCGAGATGACGGCCGGCCGCGCCATATGCAGTCACAAACCTCCCTCCGATCACAATCCCAAATCGCTTCCGTTCCCTCCCACACTGGCCAGGCCCCTCCTGAGATCGCTGAAGAATTGGCCTGGGGCCCCGCCCATCCATGCTATCCTCACTTCAACCCTCACGTCCCCATTGGCTCTCAGGAATATCTCACAACACGCGTTATTCGCATTCGGCGCGACTGGATGATCAAGGGCGATCTGGCGCCGACATTCTCCAACCTGTACCCTGAGATTTTGGATCCGTTACTATCGGAACAAGAGTTTCGCAAAGTAATTGCGACGGTCAACGACGGCCTGATCAAGGCATTCGACCCGTATAGCCTAAGAAATTGGTTTGACGGAGCACTCGGCCTGCTGACGGGCTGGATTTGGGATGATTTGAACGCCCCTAGCATTAAGGGTCAATTACAACATGTCGAGGACTGGCTGGAAAAATGGAACCGTGAAGTGGGTTCCAAAGATGGCGTGCACATTTGGAGCCTGCGACGGACGGCATACATGTCGATCGACATCCAGATCCCTGATCCCAAGGTTGGCATCGTCCCTAGTGAGGGTGGCCCCTCCTTACCAAATACCAGGCCCAGCACTGGCATGGGCATGGGCAATTGATGGGTCTTCCCATTTGCCCCTCTCGTTCGATATCCTCATTTTGGTTGTATATTTCTTTGTAATCTGGCCGTGTTCTGTTCCGGGCTTTTGCATGATATCCCTCCCCAGTGGCTTGCTTTCGACTCTACATTTTACCTTTTCTTTTCTTGAAAATCTTCGATTCTTTACATCTTGTCACTGGGGGTTCTTGTTACTTTCGGCTCTCGCGTGGGGTATTATGCCACCTGTCTATATCTGACTTCTCTGCCGGGTTCAAATCTTGTTAACTGAACAAGAACCTGGAAAACCAAATATCGAGACCTCTGGTCCTACTTATTCACCCTCTGCCTTGCTTCGTAGAACGTCGGCTTACCGTAGACCGATACCTCAAGGATTCCCCTCAAAAAACAGGCTGCGAATGGAATTGAGCCAAACCCAATTTCAAGCAGCCCAGCTAGATAATAAGCATGCAACTGCACAAGAGGGTATGTTACCCACTCAAATTCAGGCGGTGTCGATCCACCCCCCACATCCCCCCGTCTCCGAGCTCTTCGACACTCCCCAGGATGAGCTCTCGCCATAACCCACAATGTTGTCGGGGATCCTGATCTTTAATCAAAAGGGCGAGAACCTCATCTTCCGCGCTTTCCGCAGCGACTGCCGCCCGCGTCTGGCCGACATCTTCCGCATCCAGGTCATCTCCAACCCGCAGGTCCGCTCCCCGATCCTGACCCTGGGCTCGACCACCTTCAGCCATGTCAAGCACGAGAATATCTACCTGGTCGCCGTGACCAAGAGCAATGCCAATGCGGCGCTGGTCTTTGAGTTCCTCTACCGGCTCATCATGCTGGGGAAGAGTTACTTCGGGAAATTCGACGAGGAGGCCGTGAAAAACAACTTTGTGTTGATTTATGAATTGCTCGATGGTGCGTTCTGCCCCTTTTTGTCTCGTATCAGAGGTACATAACTAACTTGAGGTGAATATCTACAGAAATTCTCGACTTCGGATACCCGCAAAACACCGAGACCGATACGTTGAAGATGTACATCACCACGGAGGGGGTCAAGTCAGCCATCGCGAACTCACCCACAGACTCGAGCCGCATTACGCAGCAAGCGACCGGTGCGCAGTCATGGCGCCGGTCCGATATCAAGTACCGCAAGAACGAGGCTTTCGTGGACGTGATCGAGGACGTCAACCTCCTGATGTCAGCGACCGGCACGGTCCTGCGCGCCGACGTGAATGGACAGATTGTCATGCGCGCATACCTGACTGGAACCCCCGAGTGCAAATTCGGATTGAATGACCGGCTTCTTTTGGACAACAGTGATGCTTCCGGGGGCAATGGTATGCGCGGCGGTGGCACCTCGGGCGCAAGCAAGACTACGCGAGCCGCTGCAGGCTCTGTCACGCTTGAGGATTGTCAGTTCCACCAGTGCGTTAAGCTGGGTCGGTTCGATGCCGACCGAATCATCTCGTTCGTGCCGCCGGACGGTGAGTTCGAGCTGATGCGGTACCGCGCTACGGAGAATGTCAATCTGCCGTTCAAGGTTCATCCGATTGTGCGTGAGATCGGTACGACGAAGGTCGAGTACAGCATTGCTATCAAGGCCAACTACGGCTCCAAGTTGTTCGCTTCTAATGTTATTGTTCGCATTCCCACCCCGCTCAACACCGCGAAGACTACCGAGCGGGCGAGCCAGGGTCGTGCGAAATATGAGCCCGAGCATAACAATATCGTCTGGAAGATCCCTCGCTTCTCGGGCCAGAGCGAGTATGTGCTCAACGCCGAGGCTACTCTCACCTCCATGACACACCAGAAGGCATGGAGTCGGCCTCCGATCAATCTTTCGTTCAGCATTCTCATGTTCACCTCGTCCGGTCTGCTTGTGCGTTATCTCAAGGTGTTTGAGAAGAACAACTACAGCTCTGTCAAGTGGGTGCGCTACATGACCCGCGCGGGCAGCTATGAGATTCGGTACGTTCCATATTCTTTGTTTGGATTTTTACGCGAGTCACTGACCATTTTTTCCTATCCAGGTTCTAGAAGTGTCGATTCGACTGGGAGGGCGTGTTGATATCAAGAGCTTGCGAGCAGCAGTCTGTTATCCTTCTCGCTGAGAGCCATCGGGCGGTGTATGGCGTTGGATGGTGTTTTATACATACTCGTGTTTACCTTTCTAAAGCATTGAAAATCTGCATATCAACCAGGTCTTCTTTACTGGATTCCATTTCTAGACAGGGACTCGTTTAATAACACTTTCCCCCTGACTATGGACATTGCCATCACCACCCTATTCCCGGTTCGTCTGCGACATGACATCCTGCCATTCATCACAAATCTTCAGTCTCGCATTGAGATCCGCCCTCATGATATCAAACGTATCCGCCCCAATAGGCAATCGCACAGGCAACTCTTTACCCTCACATCTCCCCTCACCTCTAACGGCCTCCACAACCAATTCACAGCCCTTCCCCGGGTGCCCAGGCCAGTCCTTACTCCCCGCAGCACTTTGCTCCGCAAGCTGCTTATTCAGGTCTGCATACTCAGGGACCGGATTCGGTACTCTGAACTGCACATGTCCCGGAGACGCCAAATCGGTACTAAAATGCCCGAAAGTAAGAAGCGAGGTACGCAAGTTAAATGGCGCTAGCTCTGCCGCCAGAGAAGGCACAATTCCCTCGAGCAGACTCTTGGAGCCAATATAGGATGTGGCCCCCGGCATGATGTAGTGCACACTGACGGAGCCCACGAAGAGAAGAGTTCCCGTTTTGCGCTCACGCATGAATGGGAGTAGTGCTCTTGTCAGATTCAGCGGCCCCATGACATTCACGCGAAGGGAATTCGTAAAGAGTTCCTCGCTATTTGCATGTCAGTGAACCGGAGTGTCATGTCTCTCGCGATTTCACTCACTTGAGTTCTTCCAAAAGTCCAGCTTCCAGGTAGCCAGCGTTATTGACCAGGACGTCGATATGGCCATAGATAGCCCATGCCTCTTTGGCCTTCTCGTTCAGCTCCTCCTGCGAGGCAGTCACATCCAACTCGAGCACGGCAGCCCCCGCTTCTTGCAGTGCGGAGAGACGCTCAGCACCGCTGATTCCATTGCCCCCGCGAGCTGTCGCGATTACTCGATCTCCCTGTCTTTCTATTAAACCCCAGCTCACTGCAAGCATCGGAGTAATTCAAGGGCTTACCTTCGCGATAATGGCTCGCGCCATAGCCTCCCCCAGACCGGAGGAACAGCCGGTAACAAGCCAAGTCAACTGTGCAGCCATTTCGAATGATGATATACTTTCTGTTCTGTGGATGATAAGGCGAAGGTAATTTCAGCCGCACATTTACGCTTTGCTCGAAACCGCACTAAGCTTACCCCGCTCTGGTGCACAAGAAATTCAAGAGCACCGTGCTCATAGCGAATGGCGACTGTCAGAGTTATCACGAGCCTCCTGGTAGCGCTTATTTACAGCGAGAATACCGATCTCAGGGCTCTGGTCGTGTGGATCGCATGCTGGGGGCTTTGAACCAAGCTTGGACTTGGGGCCATGAATCCATAAGAATCCTTATTTGGGATTCCAGAGAGGTGTCGCCATATGCCAGAAGAGAAGCTTTTGAGTACTCAACAATTCTGGAAAAAGGGTCATTGATTAGAATGTTCATTTTTGTCAATGGTCGGAATTGATATTTCCTCACGGCTCTTTTCAAAATTGAGGCCATCACTTTGCACCATAAATACCTATTTAAAATTCGTTCAAACTGATGCTAACCGAATCATCCCTCTGGATGAGCATATGCACCAATAGCTAGTTGATAATTATTCTATTAGGATCTGAAAGTCTGTATCCTTATGACCCGGGTTGATACAGAGTCTATCTGCTTTTTTTCCTCAGAAGAAGAACCTGAACGGTGAACCCCTCCTTAGGACAACCGAGTCAATTTAAATGAACGCACAAATTTAACCGGCCTTTTGTTATTCAGTTGACTGGAAGCTATATCATATAACACTGGTGGTGAGAGAATAGCGAAGTTTCTCGCGTTGCGAATATATGATAGGGTTTATAATGAACTTCTCCCCGGCAAGACTATAAAAAAGAGATGGCGGATAAAAAAACAAAATTTCAAGACCCTCTCATTACCCTGTACGAAATCAACAGAAAATGGGAATAACTCGGGGGTTACAGTGGGTGGGACCGACCTTCTGCCCAGGTTCCAAAAGTAATGCATTGCTCCACCCCCAGAGTCTATATGGATAAGATGAATGTCTTCTTTATCAAAACGCAACGCTTAAATAGAGCATTATATCTGGCAACCCATTGGGTTATATCCACGGATATCGTGTTGTGAAAGTACACTGTCGAACCGAGGGGGATACGATCATTTTCAATAAATAGATCCCGCCCAGACCCCTTGTATATTGTAACGACACCGAAACCATCCCGTCGAGAGTCCACAACGGGAACACTCCGGTAGAAGCTCCCAGGTCTTGCGTTGCAGCTGACAAGGTTTTCCGAGTTGCGGGATATGGATTAGGGTGATGTCGGGTACGAGTCGAGAAACAATCCATCAGAGTTCCAGGGCTATGTTTTTATCATGAATATGCAAGACAAGGTCAAGGTAATCGATGGAATTCAAATCCAGTGGTATCTCAGATAGTAAAAGTACAGTTCATAGTGGTACAGTGCTCAGGCCTGGAACAACAAGGTGCGAAACGAGCAGGAATCATGTGCAGGAACCAACCATCCAAATAAAGACAGAAGCAGATTAGACAGGTGGCGGTGGTGGGAATATTCACATAGCCAGATGCGACAACGGATGAAAGGAAAACGATCTTGCGCGAGAAATCGAAAGAATCGGACAAAGCTCAAAATGATAATACAGGGTTTCTTGCAACAAGTAATCGAGACATGGAGGGAAAAGGTCGTATAATACAGAAATCATGAAAGGAATCAGAAGATTTATTGCCGTCCGCCTTGGAGACCGATTCGGCCCTCTCCCACAAGAGAGTTCCATCGTCGGCTGACGTCGGCATTGTTTGTGCGGCCCATCAGGCGCGCGCACTCATTCCATTCTTGTTGGGAAAGGCGGAACTTCTCGAGGACCAGCTCGAGGAGTTGTTGGTCTTCTTCGGAGGACCATTCTTCCGAAGAAGTCGAAGGCTCATCTGGCTCTTCGATAGAAGGCAGAACTGCCTCTGGATCAATGCGCGGGCCAAAGTCTGGAATGCGCGCTTCCATGAGACGCTGAGGAGACGGTGGTGATTGTGTGATGGGAGGAGAATGCAAAGAATAGAAGTCCGTCGAGGAGAGGCCAAGCGGCAGGTTGTAGGGAGCATGGCGGCGGCGTTTGGGGGTGGAGAAGCGGTTGCGGGTAGGGCATATGTCCGCGTCGCTGTCATCATCGATACTAGAGCGACGACGCTTGTTCGCGCCGCGCGCGGGCGCAGAAGGCGGAGGCGGCGGCGTGGATGGAACAGTAGCTGGAGGAGGTGTTGGGCGAGGCGATGCAGGTCGAGCGACCTTCCGCGATCGAGTTGAGCGACGCGGCGGGTTGATGGGAAGAGGGCTCTGGAGGCGCTGCGGCTTGACAGACCGGCGCGGTGATGGAGCTGGCGATCCGCTCAGCAGAGACTGCAGTGCGCGACAGGTGCCGAGAAGGCCGTTGCCAGAGGGGTATCCTCTGTCAGAGGGAGGTGGTGTAGAGAAGAGGCGGTTGGGGGTGAAGCGAGACGACCGGCGCACATCGCATGGGAGGGCGGAAGGGAGCAACATATTAAAGCGAATACGTGATTCGAGTGCGTAGAGCAGGGTAAAGGTCGGCAGAAGTGAATATAGGACCACCAGAGTGGTTGTGGTTGATGGGTGAGCGCGAGAGAATTTGTGCGCGTTGCGCTGGAAGATGCGCCGGAGGCAGTTGCGAAGCGCGACGACGGAGTTGGGAGAGGAAGAAAGAGAGTGTAAAAAAGTCGTTGAAATGCGCTTCGATTTCCACCGAGACCGGGTGTTTGGAGGGGGGTTAAAGAACCCAAAGGGTGGTTGTTGTTTATTGAGCGAGTGGTTGTTAGGAAGAAGTGGCGGGGGCTGCCGAGCGATAAAAGAAAATTGGGCTTTCGCTGGACTTGGGACCTTGGGACTGCCGCAAACGGTCAAGCGAACATCACCCGAGTCTCCACTCTTTGTTTTTCCCGTGTATTTGGAGTTGTGAAAGGTGAAAGAGGTGAAAGAGGTGAAAGAAAGTGTTGCTTATTATTGCAGTTCCATTCAAATAACAATCCAATTCAAAACGAATGAAGTCAAAACCAGGGATTGTGGCCTGGATCAGGTTCAACGAGCGACCGATGACGATTAGGAAGGATAATAGGAGTAGAGGTGCCGAGGAGTCGGTGAGACTCTTCTTCTATTATACTACCTTGGTATCTAGGATCTATTCCCGGCCGGGACCTGAGCCCCTCGGTCTCCTTCCTCGTGGTCCCCAGTGAAACACCGCACAAAGGAGAGCAGAGGATGTATGAAGCAAGGACGCATGAAGCCGAACCCTTGACAGGGGACCACGAGGTACCCTTCACCCCTGAAACGGACCGCACGGGTCGATCCCTTTTCCAATTACACTTCCTATTCTGGTGCGCGACCCGCGACGAGCCGCGTGCTCCACGCTCCACGCCAACGTCAGGCAATTGGCCCCCCTCGACGTGGTGGTTTGAGGGGATCGTCGTTATCGGTATCATCATGAAGCAGGATAAGCCGGCTTAGCCGGGGTGTAGTGGCCATGACGTACGTCTTGCGCCCGGCGACGAGCTGTTGGTCGCCCTCGAGGACATGGACATGCGCTAGTTCTCTGTAGAAAATGTGTTCGAAATCCGACTTTGCCACCCCGTGAGCGACCGGGCGCGTTTTAATATTCCCGACTCGCAGGGTCGGTCTGTCTCCCATTCCCGGCCCTTCTCACCAGCCCTGGAGGGTTGGAACCCTGCCATACCAGCCCTGAAGGAGACGTTGCCTGCCACTGGGCTGGTTCCCAGCTTCTATTTTTCTACGTTACATTCAACAATTGAATATACGTCGTGCTTGGATTCAACATTTGATTTTTTTCGTGGAGACGTCGCGTCAACCACGCGTTCGGGACGCGTGACGCGACGGCCAATCAGCGCCGATACGGCCCAGCGCGAGCTCTGATTGGCCAACGAGCCTCGTACCTGACGATCGGACGTGAAGAAATGCCTCAAAGCGTGAGCATCACCACCAGAAAACGGGTATACTTCCTAGGCGGTCCTAGAGACGCCTGCACGAGGTCTGTGCGAAGCACCGGAGAAAAAACGTGTGGGAGGGGCCTGTGCCTGGAAGGTTTTCGGAGAATACGCTCTCGAGGTCCAACCTCAACCCCTCTTGGTTGCTGATTTGTACATCACTGCAACTACGTAGGCCAGCAAACCCTCTTGAACACGTGCTACAGCTGCATACAGACATCGGAAGCAGTTATGTAGCCAATAGTGTCACTCTAATCCTCACGATCAAACTTGATCTCATGTTGATGCTGTATCAAACTCATCTCGATATACATACTCCTTGCTTCCTGCGGGGTCCGTTGCCCGGGCAGAGGTTGGGAGCCCCAAAATTAACCTCGTGGCTTGCATTATCTCGCAGCGCCTACTGCACTGCTATTCTCGCTTGCGGGGTGCAGAATGCAACTCGGCCCGAGTTTACAGCCTAACGTGCAGTACTTTCCCCCGATTCAGTATCCATACTCTAAACTCATCCTACCAAGCACCGCCAATAAATCTAATAGTGAAGATCGGCCTCTGTGTGGACCTACCTAGGGGTTGCTCTCCCTTCTCTCTCCCTCAAAGGGCTGTCCTTCCCTATTCACCCTCCGAGGAGTCCAAAAAGGACTGTTTCCATTCACCGAGGTGGCTGGGTGGGCAACTTCGACCCAATTCTACCCTCTCACTCCATGACCCAGTCTCCCAGCCACAAGTCAACATCCCCTCCATGCAAGGGATACCAAACGCAGATGGGACTATTTCCCATCAGAGCTGCTGATAGGCGTACACAAGGTTAGCCTCGGGGACCTACAGTATATGTCCACGGGAACGGATGACATGAAGCTGGAGTACTAGCTGCAGGTTACCGTAATCCGTGTTTACCGAAAACAATGAGCTTCAGTCTCCTTCCCCAACAAACTACCCCTGCGAAACCAATGCAAGACATCGCCGTGTCCACAACGGGCGCTAACACTGATCAGATCTGCACCTTCGAAACACTTCGTGCGTCAAGTGGCCGGGTCGCCCCGTTGCCCCTCCAACCATGCCCTAGGGCTATCAGCTCCTTGAGAGGCTCTGTGGAAAGGTTTCACAACCTCGCCTCCTTCTATACTCGACGTGTGACCCTTTCGTGTCTTGGCGTGGGTCTATCGCCATTGTGTCTTATCCCGATGCCGAATCGGGAGATTCCACATTCCGGAGTATCGGTGACAGGTGATCGGCGGAGTACCGCACAGCCCTGGATCCGAGTCCCCGTGTTGAGGTAATTGGCAGTTGTAGGCAAAATCAGTGGCTCGGGCATGGTGGAGAAGGCCCATTATATTTGGAATGTGATGGATTTGTTTTTGTTTTGAATCTTCTCTGAGACACTGTTGCAGGACTCGGAGCTGACGTCCACCATGATGCAGATTATCCATGGCAACGATGCATGTGTGCATGCTGAATGGGCTTGCTGCACAGCGTCGTTCAAATGCTTAGCATGAGAGCATGGCCAACACCGTTGCATTGCCGGCATTGACAGCTCGAAGGGGCCATGACCTTTCCTTTCTCAAATCGTCAAGTCATCATGAGACACTTCAACCAGTAATCCACCAACTGAGCCTACATGGAACCCTCCCCTGATCCCCATCTTAACCAGGATCAACACTTTCGGCCCTCCATCGGGGAAATCCCCTCTCCCTGTCCTTCCTCTAGCCCTACCCATGACCGCGCACGCCACTGGGTCCACCAAGCGGGCCTTTGATCACAAGGACTATCTTTCCTGTGTTCTAAGTGGCCATTACCCCCATCTTAGACAACCAGGGATGTACAAAAGCCTCAAGCACCAACCAGAGCCGTCGAGATAAGACAAGGTCCCCGCGCTGGGGGCTACTATTCACAGCCAACAGCCAATGGGTTATTTCCGCACCCCTCCCATCCATTGCGAACAAGGGCTTGCCTTTCTCGAGCCCCTCTTGTTGCCACTGTGAAAAGAGGGGAACAAACTATTGATTCTGTTCTAAACCTCCTTTTTACTGTGGCAATGTCTTTGGACAGAGTATCGGCTGGTGGGCACCTACTTTGTCATTGAAGCTGAGGTCCAATCTGCTTTCACGACTACGTGTCCTTCGAGTCATCCGGCCTGTGAGAGTAGTCTTTTCCCTATGCGCGATTTATCCTGTGTTTCTCTTTCTCTGGATTTTAGATCTATTGACTCCCTTTGCTCTCTATCGATTTTTCGCTTCTCTGAAGTCAATTATTGAGTCTGCTTGTAAGGGGATCCTCCTGTTGTATGGTTGTTTCTCCCTTTCCCAAGATTCGGTTACTTCTCCGGCAAGCTGTTGTTAACTGTGAGGTTCTTGCAGTACCCTCGCTTGCCTTCATGTAGTGAAGCTTGATGAAACTACAACAATAGTCACCGGTCAACGTTACTTACGTATCGGGTAACGTCTGCTATTCCTTGGCTTTCCCTGTCCGTTTCATGTTTACCTACATGGTATGCGGAGAGTATATCAAAGGGAATTGATACCGCCAACACCCAGATCGAAACTTTTGTTTGCATCTGTTTAATGAAAATCACGTCTCTACATGCAGCGAATTCCCAGGCTAGGTGCAGTGACCCATAGTCACGGAAAGGGAGGAGATGGTAGTATCAATTCCCATTACCAATAGTGGCTCCCTTTGTGAAGAGGCGTCTCAAAAATTGGCAAATTGCAACAGATACCAAAAGTAAAATGACAAAGCACCCCACTGATCTAGAAAAAAATATAAACCAAGCATTCTGCGTCGCGCTCGAGCCCTTCGTTCCAGGTATCTCTGGCTAATCTCGCAACCTCCAGGGCTATTTCTGAAGCGCCATCTTTAAATGTTTGACCATCAGAGACACCTAATAGCAGACTTGGCTAAGCAGCCTTGGCTAAGCAGCCTTGGCTACGCCTTCCGAAACAAGCATCCCAACCATCTCATCCCATGAGCTGGTAATGCGTGTCCTCTCCGAGCTCCACATCCCACCCTCTTTGGCTGCATCAAGCCCTAAATGTTGGCCCTGTGCCGCCGTGTAAAGCGCATCTCTGCTCGGGAAAGTCAGGTTGACGACCATTTTATCGCCAATCTGCATTCCAAGACCACCTGCTAGACACACCCTCAGCGCCGCAGCCGCTTTACCGCCTCCGTGCCCACCGTAACTGACGATGATGGCTGGCTTCCCCTTCCATTCGTGGTAAAGGTAGTCGATTGCATTTTTGAGACCCGCTGGTATACCCCAGTTGTATTGCGGGGTGACAACGATGAAGGCGTCGAGTGCCGCTACTCGCTGTGACCATTTGCGTGTGTGCTCGTGAGCGTAGCCTTCAGGTGGTGTTATCTTGGATGGAATACCGGGTTCGTCGTAGAATGGTAGGTCCAGGGCGCTGATGTCGATATAATCAAAGTCGAATGAAAGATCCCTTTCCCCAGTTGCACGGGCGGAATTTGAGTGAGGTTGAACGGTTTCGAGAATGAAGTTGGTGATTTGGTCCCCAACGCGTGGTTTGCGCTGGCTGCCGCAGATGACGCCGACCCGAAAGGCTTTTTTGGAGGGAGAGGTAGACATTCTGAAATGGTTCGGCTAATATCAAGTATTTAATCAGAAGGAAGAAATCTACCGCTTTAAATACGTTGCCTGTGAACTACGATAGGGAGGAACAGCCGCGGGGACTCCGCGGGGTGCTTACCTTATTAGGCTAGGCTTCCTACTATTTTTTACTTTGCTTCGTCGCTATCGTAGTGTAAGGCGCGATAATAACACGGTCAACAACCATGCGAGTTCAGACAATGTTCTAATTAGAGTTCTGTTAGACCGATAACATTACCACTAAACTGCTACGAGAAAGCCCCGGTTCAAAAGAAGATCATTTCCTAGATAGTTCTGCATAGGTATGTCTCGTGTATCGCATACCGCAGACTTTAATCATACATTTCATGGTTCCCTGGCTTCCCATCTTGCGAATAGGTCAGCCAGTGGCCAGATGTGGTCATTTACCACAAGTCGTCCTCATCCATTCCGAAGATGCGGCGCTTGCGCTTGCCGGTGACTGGGTTGAAAAGCTCTTCGTAGACTTGTCCGCCAAGGCTGGCCTGATTCTCCGCAGCTCGGGACTCAGAGGCTCTGATCTCAGCAGCTCTCTGTCGGGTAAACGGCTTCGGAGACGGGGTGCGATGATGGGTGCCAGTGGGTGTGGAGAGATCTCCCATGTTGAAGAACGTAGTATCATTGGACGGGTATTTCGGCATATCATCAAGTCGCTCGGCAAGACTGGGATAGATTCCACCTCGTCGGTGAATGTCTGGGGGGAAACCGCCTCATAGGGGGTTCGACCTGGGGCACGGAATGGGTGGGCTGGTTCCAGGCGATTGATCTGGCTCACGAATTGCGGTTGGCCCCTGTTAGCCTCCGGAGTTCTGGGTCTAATGTTGGGAGTGGTTTGCATGAGCTGGTTCATGTGCTCGCGGGCCTCGATTAGAGCTTGATGGGCACGTTGTCCTCCCTGTTCTGGGCGAAGATTTTCCTGTTGACTAGAAGCGGACAGGCTGTCTGCGGCATTTCGTAGCTTTGGTCCTGCTCCATGAGCCGAGGTATTGCCGTCAGACAGATCGGGAGAGTGGTTGACGATGTCGAAGAGTCTGTAGCTTTTCAGCCTCCACCCAGGCTGGGTGTGAAGCGTGTAGTTCTGTTCAAGGGAATTCTGGAAGGCAACAAGGACATCAAATTTCACGAGTGCAGGGTCGGAACGGGGTCTCGGCTTCCAGTTTTCAATGGATTTCTGGTAGAGCTCCTCAAGCTTATCCTTGAAAGGGAGGTACGTGAACCATTTGTGGCGCAGAGCCTGCTTCACATTCATGCGCTGTTTCTCGTCAAGGGTGAGCAGATTTTCAAGAAAGTCCTTGGGATAACCAGTTATTCCTAGTTCCGCCAGCTCGAGTTTCAGACACTCTTGTTCATCCATTGTCTCAGACTCTGGACTGTATGGCTGATGAGATGGGGTGGTTCCTGTCAGCAAGACGGCGGTCACACGGCCTAGGGAGTACAGGTCGATAGCTTTGCTATATCCCTGTTTGTTGGACGGGTTGACCTCGCTGCTCAGAGAAATTAGTATCCAATGTTGACACGTTAAAGAGTTTTTTTCTCCTTACGGGGCGCAGTATTCAGACGTGCCGACGATCGTTTGCATCCGTTCGATAGCCTGGGTCACCTCTCTGGCACATCCAAAGTCTGTCAGCACGACTCGACCACCTGCTTCCAGAGAAGTCATGAGAATATTGTCTGGCTTGATATCTCTGTGAACGATGTCCCTGTCGTGAAGGTACTCCACTGCAAGCAAAATCTGACGGGTAATGAAGGCTGCTTCAGCGGCTTTGAGTGTCCCTCCTTTGTATCGGAGAAAAGAAAGCAGGTCGCCGGCCGTCACAAGCTCATTGAAGATGTAACTAGGCTTTGATTAGGATTTTCCCACCAGAAGCATCTACATGTCGTGTTACTCACATCGTGTCCTGGGAATGGATAGCGGTTTCAAAGCTGATGATGTTTGGCTAAAGAGGTCATTAGATCAAAGTAAGTTGAAATAACGATGAATAGCTCACGTGGGACATCTTTGACAAAATTTCTGCCTCGCGATAATATACCGCGATCCTCTCCTCAACACTCTGTGGTCTGTGATTCATGGTAATTTCTGATGTGGGTTGGAAAACCCTGGACCTCTGGATATTTTCCAGCTCTGCTGCAATGTTATCTTTGACCTTTCTGAGATCAACAATTTTGCAAGCAATCTGCTGTCCGGTGGCAGTCTGGTAAGCCATTTGAACGCGGCCATAAGCGCCAGAGCCCAACACTCGTTGAGTTACGCAGTAGCTATTCTTGAACATCTGCATTTATATCTCGTCAGTACATAATAAAATCCAGAGCAAACTATCAGAGAGTTACTCACGCTCATCTCCTCCATTTGCACGCGGGTGAAAGGGTTTTTCGTGTATGTGGCGGATTCGAATTTCAGTTGGAACTCGGGCAAGATTTGGAGGACATCGCCATCACTGAGCAGGAAACTCTTTCCGTTCATCGGGTAGCCATTCCACCGAGTCCCATTGCTAGAAATATCCTGGGCATACACAAGCGGGGGGACCTCGCTTGGGTTGATTTCATCATAGATGATGGTGTAGACCCGGAGATGTTTGTTTGAGACAAGGGGATTGGTGATTTGATACTGACTAGACGGGACCGATGTAATCCGTGCATGAGTAACACAGAAATTAAGGAACGAGCATGGGCACACTTACCAGTGATTTCCATCGCGTCCGATGAAGATTTCGTCACTGCTGTAGATGACCAGGTGGTCGGTGCGGTCTTCAGTCTCGGGATTCCAGCGGAACAAGGTGCCCACAAGCACGTCACCAGTGTCTGTAAGACCCTGAGACATGATTGCGGGTTGATACTTATCGAAATTGAAGGTTTGAGTAATATGGGGAACAATTTGCGGTGTTGGGGAAGCGAAGTCGTGATGGCTTCGTCGAAAAGTCGCGTCTCCGATATCGATTCCTCGCTTATCCACAACAGGCGCCAGGCCCATCATCGGTGCTTAACTCGTGCTAATGCTCATTGATAATCATAATTTTTGTTCATAGGCAGACAAGGCAAAGCTAATAGTTTAGAGAGCCCTTTAAAGGAACATGTAGTATATACAGTGGGCCATTTAGCTACCTTGCATCCGGCGGAAGCGTTCTTCAGCAGCTCTGGCTCGTCGTTCTCTTTCTAATCTCATCCTCATTTCCGGTGTCATGCCTCGTGTCTCCTCATCACGCTTCTCCGCGGCTGTCTTCTCAACGGCACCAAGAGTGCGACCAGGCTTAGTAGCAGCCATCTGTGCCTCTCGTTCAGCATCCTCCTTCTTCAGCCGCCCCAAATCAGCCTTGCGACGGTTCGTCTCCTCTTCCTCTGCAGCCTTTCGCTCTCGTTCAGCCCGTGTATCTGCGTCAGCCTTGGATACAGCAGATGGGACCTTAGCCGAAGCCCAATCCCATTTAGATTCACCCAGCTCATGGCGGGCCACCCGGAATGCATCACGAGTGGGCCTATCACCTGCGAGCTCAAATGGAGACCTGCCTTCGTTGTTGGTGGCTGTAGGATCCGCATTGGCTCTAGTGAGCAGTGCTGTAACAATAGCCGGTGCATTCAAGCTCGCTGCCAGGTGAAGAGGGGTGGGACAACGGAAGTTCTGCGGTGAGTCGGTAGGCTGGAATGTAAATGATGAGGGTATCGAGTTGTTGGAGAAATATGACATTAGGGCAGGAACCTTAGACCGGCGAATCAGGGCCTGGATCTGGGTTGTGTGCAACTGTGCAGCCTCTTCCTCTTTAGACACCTTCGGCTTTTGTGGTTGTGGGCGAGGTGTGGATGGCTTGGGCTCCTCCTTCTCTTTCTGCTTTGCCGCAGCTGCAGCCAGAGCGGCCTCGTCAACCTCGCTGACCTTCACCCGGGTTAACTCTTTGAAGCATCGCATAAGCTCGCTTTGGGTCGCTCGGCGGGTGTTAAATGGGAAACCCCGGACTCGGGGGTCGTTCTGCTTGAGAACCTGGCCCTCGTACTTGTCAAACAGAATCCTCCGGTTCGTCTTTCCAGTAGCACGAATGAACAACAGCTCGGATGTATCAATCATTTGTCGCCAGTCCGCTAATAATTCTCGGATGTCCTTCTCAAGCGCAGCTTCGTTGTAGCGACGTAGACTGGAACCAGCAGAGTGTGCAGCTCCCCGAGAAGCATCGCTAGCAGACTGGGAGCCACCCTGCTTTCGTCGAGTGGTATATCGGTGGAATGTTTTGTGTGCAATAACTCGCGCTTGTCTCTCCTCAACACCTCCCTGCTTGCGGTGGATTTCCGGCGCTAGAGACACCAGGATCGCAGCAAAATGGCCACCTCCAATCATACACATGAAAATATGGGGACCTGTGGCGGTCGGCTTTTGCTGGGCTTGCGCATTGTTCGTGCGCGCGTTGACCGGGGCCAGTTGTTTCTTCCGTATTGTGTCCACCAAGTGGCCTGGCTCATCTTGTTCAGCATTGGAGAAGATCGCTCTGTAGACACCCAGCGATTTGTTCGACGGCAGACTGGAGCTCGAAAACCAAAACAGCGGATTCTTCGGTGTACCCTTCACGGCTGTGTCACCTTCCTCTTTTGTCTCTGATAGCTTAGCCTGCTTTTTGAGCAAAGCTGTAAGTGTAGTTTCGGCATCCTCCTCTTCGGACTCCGATGTCTCAGATCCAGATATAGACTCGTCGAGATCTCCGACCGCCTTCGCAAACTGGACCTCGTCTAGAGGCGCGGTCCCACGCAGTTGAGATTTGAGATTATACCGATGGTGGTCTGAGCGAACGTGGCTGCGCTGTTCCTGTACGTTTCGGTAGGAAACTTTGCAAAGAGAGCATTGTGTCGAAGTAGCGATTGCAGATTCTTGCGCTGCGACCTCAGGGTCTTTAGAATCGTCCTCGGGGTTCTGTTCGGTGACAGGTTGATTGGCAGTTTTTGCGCTTAGGGTCGCAAGAAGCTCCTGTGGAAGATCATAGACTGCCCAAGTTAGTGGAAAGGATGTGGCAGAGCTGTAAAACGTACGTACCATATAGAGGTCTTTTCAAGAGCTCTTCAATGCGAGCTGTATCGCCCATGATGGTTAGGTAGAGAGTGTTGGAATGTGCCCCTCTAATGACGATTAAGGCTCACCTTACCGCCTTGAGATCCGGGCGGCCGTTCGGCTTATATGCGGCTCTTTTGTAAAGTTTGATTGACAATCACTTGAATCACACCGATCTGAAACAAAAGCTTCAGCTCAGTCTTTAGTTCACAGCAGCTGCTCGTATCTGTGGAGCCTATATTGTGGCTGTATTTGGCCACCAAACACGCGCTATGACTAAATGGGTGCCCGCTCTGACTCACTGTGGGTTATGTACGACGCGACTCCCAGGCTCATTTATGATTTCTTAGCCTTGATACTTTCTGTACATGATTTGGTTTGCAGTGGCATACAATCTTGTCTACCTCGAAGAGACAGCTCTATTGTCGATTATGCACGTGACTGAAAACGCCAATTGCCGGCTTCGGAAGTACGTCATAGTTCCAACGCGTGGCCATGTGGCTCTTGAAGAAACGTTCAAATAAACCCTGTTCTGTAATTTTCCCTACATTTTGGTTTTAAATAATCACCAGGAAAGCCATTTCAGATGGAGATTGTGGTTGAATTGCACCGAAATGAGTCTGGCCTTGCTCCTTAAAATTAATTCCAGGATATATATCTAGTCCGTAGTCGTTCGTCCAAGCAATGCAGGGACCCGATTAGATAACTAGGTAGTGTCACAGATATGTAAGTCACTCATTTGGTTCAATCAAAGTCGCCTCAGTTCCAGTTAGATGGTCAAGAGGAAATGGACCTCCATCCATCATAGACCCGAGTTGTAGGCGGAGCGCAAGGACTCCCGCCTTACCTACATCGACGCTTATCGCCGGATGACGCCTCCTATCACGTCAGCATATGTTCGGGCTTTCTTTAGTTGTCTTTGCATGGCTTTCATTTTGCTCGAGTTCATGCTGATATCGAGGGAAATTAGCCGGGACAAGCATTGTGACAAGCAGGCTAGGTCGCTTTTGGAGAGCAGGGGATCCACCGTGCTGGGTCAGCGCCCGGACTTTGGAGATTTGCGGGCGAAGCAAGCTCGGGCTTTTAGTAAGCAGTCCGCGAGCTACCATTTCCGACACCGCCGCCTTTCTCTTCCTGCTTTCCCAAGGAAAAGGTATACTGGGGCGTATTGTCGCTTGTCATCAATATGTTAGATGGCTATTCCCAGGCGGTGCTCGGGGGCTCCGATCCTGGAGAATCCCTGCAGTCGCCCCTCGTATCGGCTTTCGATCACCGCAAGCAGTCCTTCTGCACCGATCCCGAGGGCTGGGGTCCCCTCAGTCCGACAGGCTTCCATCTGACTCCATGCTTCATTGACGTGGGCGTGGCTGCGGTCGCCGTGTGGGGGATGTTGTCCGGCGCTGGCGCGCTGTACCTCTTGCTGAAGAAGCGTATTCCGCAGCCCGTCTCGAAGAATTGGCACTTCTACGCCAAGCTGGTATGCTAGCCCCACGTCACTCTAGCCGTTACAGGTTCATCCCGATCGCTAACCACTTCTCACTTCAATAGGTTGTTCTCGCCTCGCTGATCTTTGTCACCGCTCTTCAAGCAGCCCTTCAAGCCGAGACCCAGCCGAAAACTTTCTGGACCGACTTCCGTTTCTGGTCTTCGCTCGCGACTCTCGGCTCTCTGGGTGTGATCTATGTGGTGCAATATTATGAACATTGGCGGAGCCGGCAACCGAACGGCGTCGTCTTGTTCTACTGGCTCTTCTTCATCATCGTCTATGGCATCAAGCTACAATCCCTCGTCGTGCGGAAGGATTACATCCACCACCTCCCGTATTTCGTCCTCATCAATATCAGCTTGGGCTTGGCATTGTTCGAGTTTGTCTTGGAGTACCTCGTTCCGAAAAAGCAGAGCGCCTATGATGCGCTGGGTGATGAAGATGAATGTCCGTACAACTATGCGGATATCTTTTCGGTTCTCACCTTCAGCTGGATGACGCCTTTGATGAAGTTCGGATACAAGAACTATCTGACCCAGGATGATTTGTGGAACCTCCGTCGTCGTGACACTACCCGCGTCACGCTCGATGACCTGAACGAGGCTTGGGAGGAACAACTGCAGACGAGGAAGCCGTCTCTATGGATTGCCCTCTTCAAGGCGTTTGGTGGCCCATACCTCCGTGGTGCCATTATCAAGTCGGGTAGTGACACGCTCGCTTTTGTCCAGCCGCAGCTGTTGCGGTATTTAATCTCCTTTATCGATTCGTACCGGCGCCCTGACCCCCAGCCAGTCATCCGAGGTGTGGCAATTGCGCTGGCAATGTTCCTTGTCTCGGTCGTCCAGACCAGCTGTCTCCACCAATACTTCCAGCGAGCCTTCGACACTGGCATGCGGGTGAAGTCGTCTTTGACTGCCCTCATTTATTCCAAGGCGTTGCGGTTGTCGAGTGAGGGTCGTATGTCTAAGACCACTGGTGATATTGTAAATCACATGGCTGTCGATCAACAGCGACTGTCTGATTTGACCCAGTTTGGCACACAACTCTTGTCTGCCCCTTTCCAGATTGTTCTGTGCATGTTATCACTCTACCAGCTGGTAGGACCTAGCATGTTCGCCGGTGTCGGTGTTATGATCCTCATGATACCTCTGAACGGAGTCATTGCGCGCATGATGAAGAAACTGCAGATCATTCAGATGAAGAACAAGGATTCAAGGACACGTCTGATGACTGAGATTTTGAATAACATCAAGAGCATCAAGCTATATGCATGGAACACAGCTTTCATGAATAAGCTTAGCCACATTCGAAACGATTTGGAGCTCAACACCCTCCGCAAAATCGGAGCTACTCAATCAATTGCCAACTTCACCTGGCAGTCGACCCCTTTCCTAGTATCATGCTCAACATTCACCGTCTTTGTCTTGACTAGCGACCGTCCTCTGACTACCGAAATCGTCTTCCCTGCCTTGACTCTTTTCAACCTTCTGACGTTCCCTCTTTCCATTCTGCCTATGGTTATCACCTCTGTCATCGAGTCTACTGTGGCTGTGCAGCGATTGATGGACTACTTCACCTCCGAAGAGTTGCAGACCGATGCGGTTGTCTTTGAGGACCCCGTGGAACATACCGGCGACGAGTCTGTTCGCCTTCGTGACGCTTCGTTTACCTGGAACCGCCACGCTGGAACCAATGTCCTGGAGAATATTAACCTGAGTGCTCGCAAGGGTGAACTCAGCTGCATCGTTGGTCGTGTTGGAGCCGGGAAGTCTTCACTTCTTCAATCGATATTGGGTGAACTTTATAAAAATGAGGGTGAGGTCATCGTCCGTGGTCGTGTCGCGTATGTCGCGCAAGCACCATGGGTTATGAACGCGAGCGTACGGGAGAACATCGTGTTTGGACACCGATGGGATCCAGCCTTCTACGACCTTACTGTTGAGGCCTGTGCCCTGCTGGATGATTTCAAGAACCTGCCAGACAGTGACCAAACCGAAGTTGGCGAACGTGGCATCTCACTCTCCGGAGGACAGAAGGCACGTTTGAACCTTGCCCGTGCAGTGTACGCTCGTGCCGACATCTACCTGCTTGACGATGTTCTTTCGGCAGTTGACCAACATGTCGGACGCCATATCATCAACAAGGTGCTCGGCCCCACTGGTATTCTCAACGGTAAAACCAGGATCCTGGCCACCAATGCTATCACAATCCTCAAGGAGGCTAATTTCATCGGTCTGATCCGCGACAAGACTATCATTGAGAAGGGCACCTACGAGCAGCTCATGGCCATGAAGGGTGAGATTTCCAACCTTGTCCGGACCAACCTGGTGGATTCATCAGATGACGATCGTGATGCCAGCGGCTCTGAGGATGGCCTTGCGAGCCCTGAGAGCTCCGATGAGACTACGGTTATCGCCAATGAAGAGGACTCGGATAGCGAAGATTTGGAACAGCCAGGCTCCCTTGTCCCCATCAAGAGCGGCCACAATCCTCAAAGGAAGACCAGTCATGTCACTCTTCGTCGGGCTAGCACCGCCAGCTGGCAGGGCCCGAGGCGCAAGCTCGGGGACGAGGAAAACATCCTCAAGTCCAAGCAAACCCAGGAAACATCTGAGCAGGGTAAGGTTAAATGGAGTGTCTATGGCGAATACGCCAAGGACAGCAACATTGTGGCAGTTGGTTTCTACTTGTTTGCTCTTCTGGCCGGACAGACCGCCCAGGTGCTCGCTAACTTCTGGCTGAAGAGCTGGACTCAGTACAACGAGGAACACGGCAGCAACGAGAACGTCGGCAAGTTCATTGGTATCTACCTCGCATTTGGTCTGGGATCATCGCTTCTGGTCATCTTCCAGAACTTGATTCTGTGGATTTTCTGCTCGATCGAGGCCTCCCGAAAGCTTCACGAGCGAATGGCTTTTGCAATCTTCCGCTCTCCTATGAACTTCTTCGAGACTACTCCTTCGGGTCGTATTCTCAACCGATTCTCTAGCGACATCTACCGTGTAGATGAGGTTCTTGCCCGCACATTCAACATGCTCTTCGCCAACTCTGCTCGTGCGATTTTTACGATGGTCGTTATTGCGTCGTCGACCCCAGCCTTCCTGCTGTTCGTCGTCCCGTTGGCCTATGTTTATCTTAGCTACCAGAAGTACTACTTGCGAACCTCGCGTGAGCTCAAGCGCCTGGACAGTGTTACTCGGAGTCCTATCTACGCTCATTTCCAGGAATCTCTGGGTGGTATCTCCACCATCCGCGCCTACCGACAGCAGGAACGATTTGCTCTCGAGAACGAGTGGCGTATGGATGCCAACTTGCGAGCTTACTTCCCCTCTATCAGCGCTAACCGCTGGCTCGCTGTACGACTTGAATTCCTTGGTTCGATCATTATTCTGGCCTCTGCAGGTCTTGCCATCGCCTCTGTTGCCGCCGGCACCCGTCTTGCGCCAGGCATGGTCGGTCTGGCTATGTCTTATGCTCTCCAGATCACGCAGTCTTTGAATTGGATCGTCCGTCAGACCGTCGAAGTTGAGACAAACATTGTATCCGTTGAGCGTGTTCTCGAGTACGCCAATCTTCCTAGCGAGGCGCCCGAGGTTATCTTCAAGCGTCGTCCTGCTATCGGTTGGCCTGCTCAGGGTGCTGTTTCTTTCAAGAACTACAGCACTCGTTACCGTGAGGGTCTTGACTTGGTGCTGAAGGACATTGACCTTGACATCAAGCCTCACGAGAAGATTGGCGTCGTTGGCCGGACGGGTGCCGGAAAGAGTTCTCTTACACTGGCTCTCTTCCGAATCATCGAGCCTGCCAATGGTACCATTAGCATTGACGATCTCGATGTCTCTTCCATTGGCCTGTTTGATCTTCGTGGTCGCCTCGCCATCATTCCCCAGGACCCTGCCATGTTCGAAGGCACCCTGCGCGACAACTTGGATCCCCGCCATGTTCATGATGATACCGAGCTTTGGAGCGTGCTAGGTATGATTGAACTCATTCTCACAGCTATATGAATATCTACTGACCTACTAAAACCAGACCATGCGAAATTGAAGGAGCATGTCTCCCAGATGGAAGGCCAACTCGATACAGAGATCCAGGAAGGAGGTAAGAGCGACTCGTATTCACGCCTTGTGTCAATGTCTGACTGATGATTCCAGGATCCAATTTGAGTCAAGGACAGCGCCAGCTGGTCTCTCTCGCCCGGGCCTTGTTGACGCCCAGCAACATCCTTGTTCTGGACGAGGCAACCGTAAGAATGCCCTCTCCTCGGCCTTCTCCGTTTGACAGTATTGGCTAACAGCATCATCCCAGGCCGCGGTTGACGTGGAGACGGATGCGTTGCTCCAGCGCACTCTGCGCAGCAGCATCTTCCAAGATCGAACGATCATTACGATCGCGCACCGGATCAACACGATCATCGACTCGGATCGAATCGTTGTTCTAGAAAAGGGCCGTGTGGCGGAATTCGACACGCCAGCCGAGCTGATCAAGCAACGCGGTCGCTTCTACGAGCTTGCCAAGGAGGCAGGCTTGATTGACGGCGACGGCCTCGCCAGTTCACAAATCTAGAACCCAATCGGCTGTAATGAGCCCTTACGAATTTCCGCGTCATCCGTATTCAGCCAGCCTGCACAGAGGCGCCCGGCCCCCGCGATTCTGAGTGGCTCGGGGAATCCGGATCTTGACCCCAGAGCGTCGGGCCGATCTCTGTCTGCGCGGTTGCTGATTGTTCAATTCCCGCGCATGGATCATGCCTCTCATCTTGTCCCGACCGTTCGAACCCCCAGTGGCCACCCCCTTGTGGCGCGGGCGTCTGTGCATAGTGGCATCTGCTATGGCGAAACCCTTGTCAATGCAACACCCCAGGCCCCCCTGACAAGAATCCAATAGGCAACATCGTGAGCAAAACAAGATCTCGTTTTTCTTTAAGCAGACTTCTTTTGCGCCCCGGCTCTCCGTGTCAATTATTGCGTGCCTTTGCGAGATCGAGGACAGCTGATTGGCGTGACCTTGGAAAATCGAAAAGTGCTTTGTTCAAATTTCATTTCCTTTCTACCCCTGTGATCAATTGCGTGTATAGCATCATGCTTGCTTTTGTTGTTGATAGCATGTGAATACTTCATGTCATTCAGACATAATGCACATTGCAAGATAAAATCCAAAACTCCGCGCCCAGACCCCAACCTAGCAAGGTCGAACTGTACAATGCATGCACACAATGACATAATTACTCCTGAGATCGTGATTATTTGCAGTAGCGCCGAGACCCAAACGCGGTGAAATCTCGATATCCGTCCATTGTAGCGGTGAACAAATGTCCAGCGTGGCACCCACCACCGACATATTAATAAAACGCCGAACCCAGAAAGAACCCGCCTCTATCTGTCCTTGCAAGGCAAATAAATCACTTCGCCAGCGGAAATCCCACTCCGCGTCAACCATGTAGTCATGACTGGGTCCTACACCTGCCACAAACGTCCCGCTCCCCGTCTCTAGTTCGACGATCATATTGGGCTAAGAATAGGTCGGGAAATATATGGTTATGCTTCAATAGTCGCCATCCACAACCGGGGTCCCCTTGCGTACATAAATTGCTCATGCACCATTGTTCTCCCCACGCGGTCTGACCGAGGGTGTTGGATGAGGCGGTGGATGTGCATCGCTTAGGTTTCCTGGATGTAAACGCAAAGGGTGCCAGGAAGCGACAGGAAGCGATAAGCGTCCAGGGTAGGCTCAGCTTCTGCACTATGCATGTGTTGTTCTTGCAGGCCGATGATGGTTCAGGGCTGGAGAAACTTTGGAAGGTAGAATTGCCACCGGAATACCATTGTTGCCTATACCGTATCTAGCCAGCTCGATCGCGGGGGATATCGAAAAATGTCCGGTACCTGATCCACGCCCATCGTCGGATGCCACCACCGGGAAGTGAAATGTCATATATCAGATCTTGCATGGCGCGCATGTTGCATGCCATATTGTTCGCCCCCCTCTCTCGTCTCAGATTGCCATACCCCGTCCGTGCTCGGATCAGGAGGGTGTCATTGGAAGAGGTAAGTTCCTAGCCTTTCCCTTCGTCGGCATTTGTTTCAGCCAGGCAAGGGAAGGTCAGTGCTTCGGGGAATCGCAGCCCCCGTTCCAGAAATCTTGTCCAATGGGTTCCGACCGGCCAATTGGACGGTGAAGAGCCAAATCCCAGGTTGAAGTTGTGAATGTTAAACTCAAGGGTAGAGTCCTGGCTCGGTTGATCTCGCTTCGGCATCGATCGGGATCAGACAATGGACGCCAGCCCCTCTTCTACCGTATGATTACGTCTCTCTCCACCTGCCTACACACCGGAGTGTGGCGGGGTCGGAGGAGATTTCCGGTCCTTGGAAATGCAAGATATTCCTAGCTGGGTGAAAATCAAGCCGGCCTCATGCACTTCCCCTCCGATCGACCATTACAATATCCATTTACGTGACCGTAGCAGTGTGCGATGTTATACAGTGCTGCAAGGGCTACGTACAGACAGGATCCATCGCCAAGAACAGGCGGCTCATGATCTGCATCTGCAGATGTATCTCAAAGCAGTTATTGTGGACTCCGGCCCGCGAAAAGGTTAGAATCGGGGATAAGGGGCGGGGGGCGGGGAGTAAAGAGATGGCGGGAAGATGCAAATCCCGATCTCTGTGGATGTCAAGGTGCATATGACCCGCGCCAGTGACCAGGACAGCGGATTCACATCGAGCTGCATCCGGCAGCTTGGGCGGCTCGGTCAAAAGGCAGAAGTGGGATTAGGGCGTTTGGATCCCCGGGGAATGGGGGTTCGCTTCCAGGCGAATAGGTCGGATTCTCTTGGCGTGTCGACTTGCCTCGGGGTAAGTACAATGTAGTTTGTGTGAAGCTATTCGCGCGGAGTACTTTCCTTGAACGGATGGGGGTTCGTTTAACTGTACTTGGTTGGGTGGGCTATGTGGATACGCCCCTTTCTCTTTTCCATGAACTCCACGGTAGAAGCAGAAGAACAAGAGACGAGGCATTTCGAACAGCACCATCCCCGATGGAGCCCGAATGATACAGAGTCCCAGGAACCCCAGCCACAGATCATCTCGCGTGGACCGGGCCTCCCCGGCAAAGTGGAAACCATTTCCGTGGGAATGGGACCCCTATTGAGTTTACAGCAACACAGTCCGGTCGTCTGTCATCATATATTAGAGATAAGCCTATTGGCGTCATGTCTTTTCAGGGCTGGCATTAGCCTTGCGACATGATCAAGAAGCACAATGACATTGACCGCAATCCCAATCGATCGGGTCGGGGCGCAGATCCGCCAGGGACGATCTGGACGCTTCGGGCAATTTGTCCGTCCATGCATCCCTCGAGGCTGGAGGACACTGCATAGGCCTCCGGGTCAACAAGCCCGTACACTAGACCACCGGGAAGAGGGATGTGGATCGGCTTCGGGGCAGACGTGGATACTATTATACATTGTACTGTAGATGAAGCCAAAAAGAAGGGGCCGTATGCACGCCATCGCGAAAATCGAGTTCCGGTGTGGTGGATTCTCCGATTTTCAGGAAGCTTTGGGATGGAGCTCGGGGAACTGTCTGGTGTCCTTCCAGAGTTTACACCATGTAAACTTCGGGAATAAAGCTCAGTAGTGGCCACGCTAGCCATGAGATGATTGGCTCTCGATTAAACATCACAAGAGGGCGCTCTGCAAGGACCTGTGGAAGTTGCAAAGGGCCCCGGGCCGGGGAACTGGGTGTCAAGCCACGGCCCCCCATCGGGGTTATCCAGGTATCTGGGTTCACGATTTCCCAGCGCGCAGGATACAACTTGCGCTCGGGGACCCTTCAGGTTCCCGCCCGGGCCTGGACCTTCGGGGGAGGTGTGTGTCGTTTGTGCAACCCTGTGCGGTGCTGTGTGGACAAGGTCAGGTTGGTATCGGAATATTTCAGGGTCTAGATAGAACCCCCCTTGAAACACATGGCGAGCGAGTGATGCGCATGAAAACCACGTTTCAAGCTTCTATGAGCTGAAAGGATGACGCGGAAATTACCTCCGCACGACGCAAGGGCTTCCTGTTTTTAGAATTGAAAAAAAAAGTACGAGACCCGAGCGAGCTGGAGCTGGGCGATCACTAGAGTCAAAAGGGTCCACTTACGTAGTTCCACCGGGCCAAGTGGACCGGCCAGAGCAAAAAGGAGAGTCAAATGAAGGAAAATACAAAAATCGTACATAAGTACCGGGAGATCGGTCCGCAAGGAACAGGTGTCATACCCACGCGAGTGAGCTCGGTGCGCAATGACTTACACCGCCTCCACTATCAGAGTCGATCGCGCTCCGGCCCGGATTGAAACACCTTATGTCGGCGATGACGATCGCGATGCTGGACTGATTGGCTCATCGAGATGCAGGGCGCTTAGATGTCAGGGACAGGGTCGCAGGACCGTATCATCCGAGGACGTGACATGCAGGAAATTCTACGTTGCATCTGCTACATCAAAAACAGAGTCCCGAACAATGACATTAGAAGCACCAAGATAACGAGGTACTTCAGCAATGATGAAGGAGGGTGGCGTGCGTAAGCGGAAAATAATAGTGCTGGCTGCATGCAGTAGGGCTGTCCCAGACAGGCAAACTACGGAGGCGGTCCATCGGGCCGGGCCACAATGGAGAAATTATCATCTGCGGTTTCACTTTTGCTTTTTTGTCCCTTTGGGGAGACTTATTGATCATAGTACGGGGCGAAAGTCCAGAAGTAGAAGTGGTCTTTGCATTCATGTGCTTTTACCCTCGTATTATGCTTATGGGCTGATCTTAGTCTCGGGGTGGAGGGCCAGGCATGGACGGTATTGGCCGCACTGCAATAATCCTCTTACGATCTACAGCATCCACCGAGACAGCCAAAATACTGGTTTTGTTTAGTGGCCACGGTGCTGACTTGTTGACTGGACAGCGCAATTTCCTGTTTCTGTTTTAACCGAGAGGAAAAAAGTTCCTAAACGATCCAATCACGCGGGGCATGGCATTCTGAAACCCCAGGATCTCGAGAGATAAGATGAGGTCAGATCAAGAGTCCATCCCACGCAACACGCCCGTTCCAGAAGTATGGATTTGTACCTGGTAGCACCAGGGCGCCATGATTGCCAACTTTGACCCGACTGCTGGGTTAGGTGGGGTATGCACTATGCTGGATTAGGGAGTTTGACAGCTTTAGCTTGACCGGACCGAAGTCCCCGGCCCGCCCCAGCTACCTGAGCTTTGGGGTTGGCTGGTTTGGGGGGTCGAGTCTGGAACCCCAATGCCCTGGACCCGCATGGGCCCAGGGGGGCAGTCGAGGGAAATGAAACTCACGGTCCACCACCCAACCATATTCCCCAGGACACAAGTACGGCGTCCATAGCGGCCATGAACGAGCCCAGGTGACCGTGAACGCCTCCATCAACCTCCTGGCCGAGTAAGGGATGACGTAGACCCAGATCGACCTTCCCGATACTGATCCGATCGAGGCCTCCCATTGATCGATCGTTCATGCGGCGGCTGCCCGCTGCTCCACGGTGCATTAGCCGAATGCCTCACTGACCTGCGTCCCGAGAAACCAAATAGAGTACGGCAACGATGATCCTGCTATTTGTCAAGGATACGCGAACGGCTTCCTGTCTCCTGCCTCCCGCCACCCGGTAATCACCCAGTTGCCTCGAGGTACCTTTTTGCAGACGGCCTCGCTCGTGTACGCGAACAGACCCCAATCGCTTTTCGATCGATACGAAGGTGCTCTCTGACCTCCCTCTCCCACGCGAGAAAGCGAATCGAGCTCCGTAGAATGTCTACCAAGAAAGAGCCTTGGAGGGGAGTTCAACGGCAAACCCCTCTATACATGCCGGTGTGGCGGTGAACTACACCCCATGTCCGTTCCAGAAGGGCACAGGCATGCAGATCCAATGTAGCGAGTTCGCACAGTCCGGATGCCCCTCCATGATTCCCCGTTCCCCACCATCCTCTTCGGGCCAACCGTGCACCCGCTGTCACATCCGGTTCCTCCAAGTCCCCAAAGTCTCCCAAGCCCCCAACGCCTCACCATCTGGTTTCAGGGTGATTGCATCACGGATAACCGAGCATTTTCCCGATCGGAAAAGGCGGGTAACCTGGTTAATAGCAGGTACTTGCTTTTGTTTGGTCGCATGCCTGTTTGCTTCTCTTCCTCTCATTCCCACAGCCAAGGCCTGTCAAAACCGAATGTCTCATCCATGACAGGATCGAGGTGGGGGTTGGAATGGCGAGGGGCGTCTGTCAGACAGGGCCTTCCCTGCACCTTTAATATGAGCAGATCCAGTGTGGGACGTGGCGGTGCGATCTCAGCTGAAAATAACTGTGGCACTGTGTGGCTCATGATGTCCGAGCGTTATGTACTGTGGTACAGGGATGGATGTCATAGGCCAGGCACTTTTCAACCCTGTGCCAATGGGATGATGCCGTTGGAAGATGTCAAATGTTGGTACTTTGATCGGGTCCGAGAGTCTAGACCCCGGTATACCTCGTATAGCCAAGCCCATGCAATGATCTACTGTACTATGGAGTAATCCGTGCTTTGAAAACCGACAGGGGATAATAGGGGAGTGCTAACGGCTAGGCCGATTTTGCTTGAAAAGAAATGACGGTGGAGAAGGCGCGGAAGAAAAAGCAAGTCAAGCGGGAGGAAACGGAGTGAACGCTTGGGCAAACGGAGACCCCCCCCCCCCCCCTAATGACCCCCTTGCGACAGGCGTGAGTGGATATGGCTTCATTCGGCGGCAAGCCGTTGGCTGTCCGTGTTGATCTCCGTGGACATTGGCAGTTGTATCTGATCAAGCGATCAATGACAAATAGCCCAAAAGATTTCGGAGCTACCAAAGTACCATAGTCCCTGTCGCTCTATTGCCTTCGGTAACTCTAGTGTCTAGTGCCCCGGGGATGTCAACGATGATCGCTGTTTTCTTTCAATTAATCCGAGTTACATGGTGGCGAATATACTCGAGAGTTGATCGATCAGAGAGGCCAAGAGACAAACAGACCGGACAAAAAACGGCGCAGGTACGGGTTGCGCATGATCTTTCTGCAGCCCGATCGCATCGGACCCAGGATGTCAAGTTGCCTGCCCAGGACCCGACAAAGGCGATGGAATCCACTATCAGAGTAGATTAGGTAAATGTTCCCTTCCCCCTGGGTTACCCCAAAGCCCGAGCCCGACTTTAGTGCGACTATTGCTATCAAACTGTCGGGATTCACTCGAAGTTGGGAATTGGTGGGGGTAACCCCCAAACAAAGGAACGCGGCAAAGTACGTTAGCCCAGAGTGGCATAATTCCTCGATTCCTATTTGCGGCGGGTCGCTCATCCCGGCGTGATCGTCCAGGATTAGGTATCAGGTTCTCCGGATGACAGGAGGGGGCGCAAAAAGTGTCTCGATTCGTGCTAGAACCGTCCTGCTCGATTACGGTCCGCGGCTAGAGGGGCTAGGCCTCGAGCTCGTAAGTCAATTTGGTGCTTTTGTTGGTTCATTCCATTTCATTTGGCGAGATTTGAGGTCTGATCTCAGGGGTTCGCCTACGGCAGCTGAAAGGGACAGAGAGGCCAAGCGTAATCCCGGCGTTGAAGAAACCCCGCGAACGCCTGTCATGTTCGGAGATTCCTGAGCCCTGGGAGATCGACGACGAGGGGAAGGCGAATGGGGTCATGACTGGCAAAGCCCTATCGGCGAGTCATGCCTCGACAACCCAGGATCCAGGATGTTGGGCCACGCTCAAGCCTCAACCTTGATAGGTTCATGGAACCTCCGGGCCGGGACCACAGCCCAGTGGCTTCGCCTATTGGACTGGAGGCCCCTGCAACTAGCGCCGGGGCACATTCCACTGAGATCCGACGATCGAGCACACTTTTGGTGGGACATTTTTCCTGATGACGGATCCGCCGATTCTATCGGTACCACCGAAGCTGAGCTCCGATCGTCCCGTTAAGAATAGCACCCACATTGCGTGGACGTGGGACCTAACGCAAGGGCCTCGGCGTTTTGATCATGAACGATCAGAAGAGGGTCCCTGGCAGGTCGATGGTGCGACTGGGTTAAATGAGCCACCATCTTGTCGCCACGCCAAGTGTCTTTCGCAAAACAAAGAAGTACCTTGGTTTGACGTGGAGCCTCGCGCTTCGTCCCGTGGGGAAACATGGAAATGACGGTTTAGCGATGTTTGAAGGGTTGGCGGTTAGCCAAGTCCCATGGAAAGTTTCCTAAGGTACTTTCCGATCGAACGGACCCGATCACGGAAGGGTACCAAAGTAAAAACTAAATTTAAAAAAGAATACAAAGTGAGAGGGTGCCATCTACGAAAGCCGTGGGAGGAGAGGGGCCAGGGTCGATCGATAATCGACAGCGCCACACTGGCTTGGGCTCTTCCCCGAGAGACGGTCTTGACGCTAAAGTGGATGGGCGGGACTGTCAGAAAAATAAAATAAAATAAAACCAAAAAACCAAAAATGCAGAAAAAGAAAAGAGAAAAGAAAATGACACGATCTACAAATAGTAAACAGGGACGAATCCGGATCGGGACAGAAGGCAGCCCCCGGTGGTTAGACTGTACTACTGCATGTCGGCCTCTGCATAGCGCGATCAAAGAGTTACCTGGGATCCCCGGGCTTCATTCAAGGATGATCCATGCTCGCGGTGTTTGATGCTTCTCATCAGAAGTACCTCTTTACACTTTGGTCCAATCTCACAGTTGAGGAACTGAAATACTCTGCGCATCCACCCCGATTTCTTTGCATTAATTTAAACACCCTCTTCTTCCCACTTCATCCCTCTCTTCTTCACATCCCACTCGACTTGACCCACCCCCTCTCTGGTTCCTTGGTTCCGTGGTCCTTGCACCCCCTCCAGGCCCAACTCCAAGAGATATTTCATACCCAACCGGTCCAACCCCGTTCGTGTTACCATCTCGACATCCCGCGAACACAGGTGGATCCATATCCTCCTGGTTCCTGCATTTGGATTTTCGCCGTATCCGACCCGTCGGTTGCCAGCAGTAACTTCTATCTGCGGTCTTCCCCTAAGACTCTATTGGTCGTGCTCACAACCAGTGAGTATACCCGTGGACAACCAAGCTCAGTTCCGTTTGCAATAAGCTTGCTTCAAGCCATTCGGGGTTGGAATCCACTTGTCACACCGGCTCGCGCTGCCCCGCCAGAAATGGCGCCCGCCGTTGGCCGTCGACGGCTTGTGGATGACCTCGAAACGGCGTGATGCGGCGTGCATTGGATCTCGAAAGTTTAGAAACCAATGGCTGACGATCCGATAGGATCTCCACTAGTGCGCTCTACAATTCAAGCGCCAGCTTCGCTTTGCTTCTATAAAAAGGAGCCTTCCTCTGATAGCATTCGTGCTGGAGTTGGAGAATTGCTCCTGAACATTCTATCCCCCGAGGGAACGGTCTTGCACATTGCGAAATACCGGAGTACGAGTACTTCCGATTCCAACACCGCGCCACTCGACTAGGCCTCGGCCCAGCGTTTCTATTTGCTGCACAATGGTCTATAGTAACCACAAAACTGCCACCGGAGCCATGAAGCGGTCTGCTTCCGCACTTGAAGGTCCTCCCGGTTGGGATGTTGCTCCCGTGGGTATAGCCAACAAACATACTTGATTCAATCGCTTATGATAATCTAGCCTATGATGACTCCCAATTGCTCTGCATTCCGCTTGCCTTATGCCCACTACGCCATGATCTATCTCGACCACGAGGGCAAGCTCAAGGTCGATGAATCTTCTTCTATCCAGGAGCAGAACTCGACCGTCTTTACCCCTGACGTTCGCCAAAACTTCCTCGAGATTCTCGGTGAGAGAATTGGTTTCCACCAACCCATCACTCGCCGTAAGCATTATCTACTGTACAACGCCCAACTTCCATCTGACAAAGTTTCAACAGGCACTTTGGACGCCTCGCCACGCCGTGTGCGCCGCCGTCAGGGCCCCGCTCCCTCCCTTGCTGATGACCGTCTGGTTGATCAAGTCTCCGACAGTGATGACTATCCCCAAACTGCATCCAACGACATGGTCCCCCTCCGCGTGGGAGAGACTCAAAAAGTTACCAGCTATTACGAGAGTGCTTTGAAGCACTTCCAGCAGCTCAACTGTCGCATGGTCGCCAAAGCCTTTATCAAGTTTATTGAGCCCCGTAAGCAGGTTCGTCACCCTTACAACGGAGGCAAGCCCCCGCCGGGATCTGCCCCTGGCACCACTGGCGACCCCGAGAAGACCAAGCCCGAGTGGTGGCCCCCTGGTGTTATGCACAAGGAGCCCGACCACCTGCGCAAAGAGTGTATGTATTACACCTTGTTTGATATAAATATGTGTCGCTAACACTGGCGCAGATCGCATTGAACTCCTGCTTCACATCATTCGAAAACTTGGAAGCCATGGCATTACAGCCGACAAGCTCAAGGAGGTCGCTGGCGACACTAAGCGGAGCTTGAAGCACCCTTCCCACGTCGATATCATCTTTGAGATCCTGCGGGTGCGAAAGATGGAGGAGCGCTATGAGCGCGGTGAAGTTGGTATGTATCAGGACATCCAATGCCATGGTCTCAACTAACATTCCCCCAGATGCCAACATGGTAGTCTATGTCCAGAATCGAGGCCCCAGCCCCAAGGGCGAAGACGAAGACGAGGATGCCAACGAACTTCCCACAATCAGTGTCCCCGAGCACATCGAGGACGGTCTTTTGACCCCGACCTCGTCCGTCGGGCAAGTCAATGCCCCTATCACAACACCCATCGACACAATGCCTCTTTCCCACGGCCGCTCTATGCCAGGCAGTTTCTCAATGGGCGAGCCCCTGAGCTTCGAAGCCCCTCGCCACGACCGTCCATACTACACAACCCCGCCGCAGTACTCAGACTCATTCTCGCAACCCATGCTCAGCACACCCGTCAGCGCCGAGATGATCAGCCCACATGAAGTCTCCGTCTTTGACTACTCGACGCAAAACCCGTACCCGACTTCATCACCCGACCAGCATCGCACAGTACCGGGCCAGTACGACGCCTGGACACCCACATTCCGCCAAAACATCTTCAGCCCAGTGGACTACAGCGCACCACCAACCAGCCAGGGCTTGCCTCCACCCGCAATGCCCTACCACATGCCCATGGCATCACCAGCCCAGATGCACGACATGCACCACGTTCAGTCACCCATGGACATGAGCCAGCGTGCCCTTCCTTTCCGCACAGGCTCTTTAGGCCACCCCCACGGCCTGCCTCTCACGCACCAGGCCTAAGGCTTTAACGTCGGGCTGGACCCGGTTGAACGAAGGATGAATTGGCAGGATTATTAACGACTTACACGACTGATGGCTCTAAATACCATATGAAAGCACTCAGCATACAGGGGCTTGATCAACGGAGTTTTCTTTGCTTTGTTGTTCTTTGTGAATAAAAAAAAGGATAGTTTCATCCAGAGCGGCCGCGCAGTGATCTGGTTTTTCTTTTTCATTTTTCATTTTTCTTTTTGAATATATTTTCTATGGTTTGGTTTGGCTTGGCTTGGACGATTCCGGTTTCTGGCTTTGCATTCTTGGATTTTTTTTGATTTTTTTTAACTTCTGTCTTTCTTCACTTTCGCTAATACTCCGTTTCCCCCGTCTGTCTGTTGATTTGTACATGATCTCCTTTTTAGCTCCCGCATGTATGTTCCATGGAGTTGTTTATAAACAATATACGGTATATAGTGATCATGAAATCTTTCGATTTAAAATTTTTCCTTCTTTGCAGAAGAGCCTTGTGTTCAGGTAGTCGGTGACTCTGCTTCTGACGCTCGACGCCAATGGATTCTCGGCTACAAAGCCCCAAAATCTAGCTTGCAAAGTCCTGAAAGCGTGCTGGGGGCAGACCCCTGTCCTTTGACATTAGTGTTACGTGAGGTTTCTTATCCAATCGGTACAGAGTTGTCCCCTGATTGCCATTGATTGAGCCTGATTCAGCCGTCCAACTTTCGTAAAGCCTAGTTTGCATGTGTTCTAAGCGACCTTCTCGCGTAAGCTTTTGCTGGTTGGCTTAATAGACTAGTCTAATATCCGTGTTTCTTAGTGAATTGTACGCAGATCTCCAATACTTGAAGTCCTCCTAATCCGCAGTACTCGTAGCAGACCTGCCGGTGCTGTTTACACGTTGCTAGTGTGGATAGCTTGCTACGAGCAATGATCTTTGATTCGGCGATGGCGCCGTATGGATTTTCTACGCTAGAAGCGTGCAAAGATCATTCCAAGTAATTTTTTCCAGGAGTCGTAATGGCTTTCTGCCCTACAAGTACGTGGTCCCTCCATCCAAGCCAGCTCGCCCGGTCTCAACATAGCCCAGATCCAGACATCAGGTGGTTCCCTCGAGTATACAATCGACGACTGCAATTATTATGGGCACTCCTTGGATATAAATCGCGAGTAGCTTAGCACCCACCTGGCTTTTCCAAGGATTCGATACTGCAAAGCCCTCCGCTATGACAAAAGATATCATGGTCCGCAACAGCCGCTCGCTTAATCCGGACAAGCGCGCGGCTAATAGTGGAGCCGTGCCGGCCCTCTTCGAGCTCGCGTGAACCAGCAAAGCATCATCCACATTTCCTCGTTGACAAGGTTGCAGCGCAAAGCATTCCCATCTGCGCGTTCTGGAGGTTGGTAGATACCGGGTTCTGCAGGGAGCCATGGCTAACCCATTTCCAGGCTGCGTTCACTCTTTCTTTCCCGTCACCTCAACCTCTCTCCCCCGAATCGGCCGCGTCTCTTTGAGCAACTTCTTTCATCACATATCGCAGCCGATAGTGAACACGTTTTTCGCGACATGGTTCTTGTTCGTTTCGGCGCGAAATAGACTCCGCGATCGCCCGAAAGGTACCACCGTCCCTTCACCCTCGCCTCTGCGACTTCGAAGCATTGCAACGTTCGACCAATTGCGCAATCCTGCATTGCTCGGCCGATGTGATGTGTTGGAGAAACAGGCAATATAGTTAATTTGCAACATGGACTGACTTTTGGTCCTCGCCTCGGCGAATCCACTCCTCAAACAGCATTCAAGTCCTCCAACTCTGCTCCTTACCACTGTCCACGACCAAATCCTTGCCAGAGAACCTACCGCGAAACGGATCGAAGAACAGCCCATAGGGTGGAGCTCTGAAGTGGCTGGAGGCGGTCTATCCGTTCTCTTCCGCTGATTGCGGGCAGGATGGCGACCCCGTTCAATCCGTTCGGCGTCCCCCGCGGAAATGCACAAGCAAGCGCCACGAGCACACCAGGACGTGGCCGCGGAGCATCCGCTGCTCGTGGGGCGTCATTTCAACCCAGGGGCTCTAGGTCCAGGGCATCCAAATGGCGTGGCGCAGGACGGGGCCAATCGATGCCCCGTGGCCGAGGCCGCGGCGCTGGCGCTGCAACCACAGGCGTCTCTCACTCCACAGCATCGATGTCGCAAATGCCGAACTCTGGCAACAGCAATTCGCCATTCGCCCAACTAGGCCAGCAGAACACCATGGGAAGCCCGTTCAGCAATCAGACAACGCAGCAGTCGCCTTTTTCTGCCATCGCAAACGGAGATCCCGGTCGAAATGGTAAATTTGCTCCACGAGGCGCGTTGAAACGAAACTTCCAGCGACAATCGCCAACGAGCGGCACAAACACGGCATCAATGGCGTCTGTACCCGTAGAGGATGCATCGGCTGTGGCCTCACACCATGAAAGATACGAGCAGGTCAGCAATATCGCCCATTGGACCCCGCAACTCAAAATTCGATGAGAGACAGATTGTCTGACTTATCTTGTAGCTTAAACTTGATCGAGCAAAACAGCGGCAGCAGGCAATTAGAGATGGACAGATGGCGGATCCGAATCAGCCTACGTCTTTGAATCAAGCCATCACCCCGGTGGGCTCGTGTACCAGCATGTGTCCTGAATTCGAACGCGTTGAACGAATTGTCCAAAAGATGGTGGACAAGAGCGAAAAGGTACCACTCGCAACCTTTTTACACTCCCTCGGCCCCGCTAACCACCAACCCGCAGTATCTACACCCATCAACCAACACTCTCCAGAACATGGAGATGAAGATGCTTAAGCGTTTTCGACGATCAGCAGCTGGCTACGACGAACAATTGCCTTCAGATATTCGGACACCAAAAACACTCCTTCAAGCCACGAACTACCTGATTCGGCATGTCGTCGGTGGCAACGAGCCACTGGGCATCATCCACAAGTTTGTCTGGGATCGAACCCGATCCATCCGAAATGACTTCTCCGTCCAGCAAGTTACTCAAGAAGAGGACGTGGAAATCGCAGTGACTTGCTTGGAACGGATTGCGCGCTTCCACATCGTGTCGCTTCACCTCCTCTCCAGCCCGGCAAATGAGGAGCCTTTCGACCGCCACCAGGAGCGCGAGCAACTGAACAACACGATGCTTTCGCTTATGTACTACTACGATGATAACCGTGGACGCATTGCATTCTCGAATGAGGATGAATTCCGCGCATACTACATCCTTTTCTCCATTCACGATCAACGCCCTGATCTGGAAGCTCGTGTTCAGAAGTGGCCTTCCTCGTTGCTGAATTCTCCTCGTGTCCAGGTCGCATTAGACCTGTATGCAGCGTCCTGCAACACTTGGGATTACCAGGGTACTCTGGATGCGCGCCGACCCAATGCAATTGCACAAGGATTCTACACTAGGTTTTTCAACATTATCAACTCACGGAGCGTGTCTTACTTGATGGCATGTGTCGCTGAGATCTACTTCAACCATGTACGGCAAACCGCCATCCGTGCGATCTGGAAAGGATACTGCCGTCAGCCAATTTCACAGCAGTCCAAGAACGAAGAATGGACTGTGGATGAACTGACCCGGGTTCTACACTTTGACGATGAGGAACAGACAATCCAGTTCTGCAATGATCAGGGTCTGACGTTGAGCGAGAATGCTAGCGGTCAGCTTTACCTTGACTGGGGCAGCCGTCCCGTTGACTCTATCGGTATGTTCCACTTCAAACAATTGCAGGCCCAGCTTGCTTTACCGAACCCCGCCAACTTATTTTAACTTCTTTACTAGCATTTTCTCCATCCTCAGAACACTCCTTTTCTGAGTCCTACGTTGAGTCAAAACGGTCAGGAAGATCTCTAGTTGCTGTCATTCTGGGGATGAATATTCGAGAGGCCGCGAGGATGGGCATGGTTGACAAATCCTACTTGCACCAACGGGTAGACAAGTCAGCAGATATTGCCGTCGATGATGATTCTCTCTTCGTCACTGACCAGTACAACCGGACTCCTGCCCCTGTGGTGGATATGGACTCTCCCGAGCTGGAAAGTGAGGCAGAGTCCGTGTCCGGCAACGTCTTCCAGAATCCTGCACCGTCTTCTGCCAACCCATTTGCCAATGCTCAGCCAGCTGCTCAGCAGCCTTCGAATTCTCCAGCAATGCCTCCCCCCGCAAACCCCTTCGCTTCGATGTTTTCTACTGCCCCCGCCGCAAACAACCCTCCTGCATCGTCAGCACCCTCCCCGAATCCCTTCTCTTCAATGTTCTCCAGTGGCGCCACTGCCATTTCCACCCCTGCCCCATCCGCTTCCACCCCGAACCCTTTCTCTTCGATATTCTCTGGTACCACTGCTGCTAGCAGTCCTCCTGCCTCGGCGATGCTAGCAGCCAGCAATCCATTTTCCTTGCCGGCACAAACAACATCGGCTCCCTTTGAACCGTCACCTTCGCCATTCTCCTTCTCCAAGCTACCCGAGACAACCCAGAAAGAAGAGGCTACTCCGGCTACCACTGCTCCTGCGGCTTCATCTGCTCAGTCCTCTTCAATGTTCTCGGGTGGCAGTTTTCCAAACGTGACATCAGAAAAGCCCAACCCCTTCGCCGCCTCTCTGGATTCCATTGCGTCGTCGAAACCGTCTGAGCTAAGTCAGAACAATGGCTTCCAGTCCCCATCTCCAATTTTCCCGACCTCGAAACCCTTCTTCCCATCTGCAGGTGCCAAAGACAGCTCCTCGGCAGCTACCAGCACTGCGGCTGTAGAGCCAGCCATGAAATCGAGCTCGCCGTTTAATTTTGCAAGCCCGGCGCCACCTTCATCATCCTCGTCTTTGTTCAAGTTTCCGACTCCAGCAACCACAGACCCCAGCGAAAACAAGCCATTCTTGTTCCCTGCAACCAATGCGCCGGCTCAGCAGGCTTCCAGTTTGTTCAAGCCTGTTGAAGTGCCGGTTTCTGAAGGGCACTCGCAGTCGCTGTTCATGCCTTCGAAGGGGCCCAGCCCTGACACTTCTTCCCAAAGCCAAAATTCCCTGTTTATTCCGAACACATTTGCTCCCAGGAAGTCTACTCCTCTTCCTGCATTTGGTGACACTCAGCCTCCGAAGCCTTTGTTCCCAGGTGCTACGGCGGGGTCACCAATGGAAACGAAGGTTCAGGAACCACAGCCCAAGGAAACGGACACTACCAATACACCCCCTGGATCACCTAAGATTGCCCCAGCCGAGATCAATGTCTCCAATCAAGGGCCAGAGGCTCAATCCAGATCTCGACCAGCAGTGATGGAGTCCGCTCATCAGGTTGTGGATGGGGATGCGGTTGCCACAACACAGGAGCCTCCTCAGCCTACCAGCAGCTCCCAGATCGACGAATGGCAACCCCCTGGTAAGCTCACCTATTTTCTATTCAATTCCTTAGAGTTTTCCTACTAATCTTGTTTCTCATTAGTCTATGCATCAATGGAAGAGCAAAAGGCTGATTGGGAGAGGTTTCTTTTTCGAAACCACCCCGGTGGTGTCCCACCTCTACGTGAAGAAGCGGCAACGCGCAAGCGAGCGCTGGAAGAACCAGCTGCTAGTGAATCTACCCAGGAGGAACCCGGCTCAAAGGTGGCCAAGGTATCGGAGGCGACGAAAATCTCCCCTCCCGCCAAGAAATATTCCCTTATCGAGCAATACAATAAGGCAGTGCCATCCTTGCCGTGTCTGGAACGCGCCAAGGAACTGTGCAAGCCTAAGCCACCGACCGAGGAAGAACTTCAAGCTGCGAAGCCAAACAATCGCCAGGTTGATGAAGATGAGCTACTGCTGAATGCAGCTCGGATCGCAGCCGAGGAGCTGCGGACTGGGAGCATCTTCGATGGCTATTCTCCATACAGCGAGCCGTTTCGATCCTCCTACAGTCCTCGCAACAGCCTTGGATTTTCCAGCCCGTTTGCACAAAGTCTCTCGCCCCCGTCGCGTCCGATGCACAACTATGAGGTTGCCTATGCTCCCGATACCCCAGATGGTTTGGGCAGGACAATGTCTCGCACTGAGCAGCGGATCCGAATGACGGGTGCACATGGACTGGCATTCAAGCCTTTGGACTTTACTCGAAAGGGGAGGGAAGAGTTTGCTCGGAAAGAGAAGGAGAGGGAGGAGAAGGAGGAACTTGCCCGGAAAGAGATGGAGGAGCAGCGCCTTGCTCGGAAGGACAAGAACAACTTCAGTCGAAGCGGGTAGTGTCATGTATCGACATGATGCTTGGTGGATGCAGATGGGAAGCAGGGAGTCGACTCTTTCATTTAAAAAGGGCGTTATCGGATATTCCGACTCCTCGCGAGAGATCTGTATTACTGCACATTTACATGGAGTTAGGAGAGGTTTTATCATTCGAGTACATACCCAATATCTTTAACGTTCTGATAACGCAATGTACGATCATAACTTGTGCATATTTGATATCCCTGCTTACTGTAGAATATCATATTTTCCCTATCCTTGCCATTCTGGACCAGTTGAAGAGTGTGATGCCAGTCGGCACTTGGGCTGGGAATGAGATAGCTCTAGCGGCGATGGTGGAATAGGTGGTGGATACGCTGAAAAGAGGCTGGATGTTGCGATATGGGGTTAGTACGGCTTTCCCGGTAGAACCCATCACTGTCATCCGAGTCCATGCATCGCTGCTCTGCGCCTCAACGAGGCTCAAGATTATAAATCTACCGTCTAGAAACCTCGCGACATGATGTAGTTAATAAAATGTCTTTTGAACTCGTTGCTGTTGGGCTGAATCCCGAGGCGCGTTTAATAGAGATCGGCAAGACCGTGGTTCTCAGGCATAATCAGGCACCAACTCTCATCTCATTCCGCCCGAATTCAACTACGCGAATCTCTCAGCACCGCTTTATCAGATGCAACGGACCGATTTCGTGCTTTCAACTCTACCCATCTGAGTCTAGAAGCATACTATCCATTTTGATCTACTGGCACCATCGTGGCAGCCGCATCACTCGGTCTCGTCCATCTTGGACACAGGTGGTTACAGCGACTTCATTTCGGCGCAGCACTGCGAACACCATCCGCCCATCCTATTAAATGTCCTACAGGGTTTAGGGAGAACCGAATCATTTATAATAGATCTTCTTTTGTGTCGAATACCTTTTCGAGGACCTTCTCCAGGACCTTTTGCGGGTCATCACGTCAGGAAATGAAAATCGCAACCCTTCAATTCGCCCCGAAGCTGGGGGATGTTGATGGTAACATTCAGAGGGCGAATGAATTATTAAAAAAGGGTAAATCCGTCTCATTGGGGGATCAGACGCTTCCCATTGAGATTGGTGTGGATTTGTTGAAACCTGATGTCTTGGTGGTACCGGAGCTAGCGTTCACTGGTACGTACTGATCCAAACATGTGCTAATATCTTTTATTGTTGAGATCTCGTACTCACGTCAAATTTTCGTTCAACTGATTATGAATAGGTTACAACTTCCCTTCATTGGAAGCAATCAAGCCATATCTCGAGCCAGTCGGTTCAGGGCCCAGTGCTTCATGGGCACGAGAAACAGCCAAGCGCCTGCAGTGCAAAGTCTGCGTGGGCTATCCCGAAATAGAACACAGTCTCACGGAACAAGCCAAGTACTACAACTCTTTGCTTGTGGTCAATGAGCACGGGGAAGTGATCCACAACTACCGCAAAAGCTTCCTGTACTTCACCGATGAGACATGGGCTGCCGAAGGACACGTGGAGCGGGGGTTCCACGAGCTCTCCTTCCATATGCGAGACTCCGCACCCGCGCAGGGCGCAGACGATATTCACCGAACATCCACAAGACGGGTGGCAACCTCGTTCGGCATCTGCATGGACATCAACCCGTACAAATTCGAAGCCCCCTACACAGCATGGGAATTCGCCAACCGCGTGCTAGATTCGCAGTCCCAGCTCGTCATTCTCTCCATGGCCTGGCTGACGCTCCTTAGTCCAGAGGAACTCGCTGCACTAGAAGGCCAGCCCGAGATGGACACGTTCAACTACTGGCTGAACCGGTTCTATCCGCTGATCGAGAAGAAGATGCAGCATACACATGATCTGGATGGAGATGAGGGCCCTAAAAAGGTGGTGATCGTCTTTGCGAATCGGGCCGGGGAAGAGCCGGCGGCAGATGATACTAAGCCACCGGCGCGATACGCGGGGACCAGTGCCGTCATTGCTGTGACGCAACGGCCGCGTCCCGAGGGGTCACCGGTTGGGGGCCAGGAGGATGTGATCGGCGGGAAACCGGCGTTGGATGTGAAAATCCTCTGCTGGGATCTGCTGGGGGCGACCGAGGAGGGTATCTGTTTCGCGGATACCACGGGAGACCCGGAAATGGTGTTTGGGGTAAGATCTAGATCGGAGTCAGAGTGAGACTGTGTCTCGGGTATACTTCCGATACGTCATTTTGAAAGGAAGGGAGGGGGAAGAGGGGGGAGGGCTGTGCTGGGTGTATCATTTCCCACTCAGATGTACAAATGGTCCAAGACGATACTATAAGTCTTGCTAGATAATCTCTTCGCGGATATCTATTACTTTCCAGAATGGGAAGTCTTTCTAGACATCTTTCATTGTTCTACAAGTGATATTTGAAAAACGTCTCCTACGTGTAGAACTAATAATCTATCCACTATTTTTGAACGTAGACGGCCTGGGTATGTCGTCAGTAAGGTGGTCAAAGAGTCACACGTACAGGCAGACAGATAGATCATGGCCACCCACTTAGGTCCACTTACAATATCCCCTGTATTTAAGTGCTGCCCGTGTCGATCTGGGTTGCAGGAATTATATCTCGACATCTATATCCACGATGCTTGATAACCTCGAGACAAAAGAGCCAGCGGAGGGCATATTGCAGTCTACATGGTCTACGGGACACAAGGCTATAATTGCAACGTCGGATCTCCGCACCTGCAAGTGATGATCGCATGGGAGATCGTCGAGCTCTGCAGGAATCTCGCCCACCTTAAATCCATCGGGGTCTTATGACCCAGGCGCAAAAAAAAAAAAAAAAGGAAAAAAAGGCAGAAGAGGGGGGGCGCACCATGTGCAACCCAAAGCAAAGTTCATGTGATAAACCTGCTATCTTGATAGATATGGACTTATCTAGGAGCGAATGCAAGTGCACGGCACATCAGTCCCCAAGGGCAAAGGTGGCCCGTGCTGACACACGGCACGTGATTGTGCGACTGGTAGCCAATCACAGTGTCTGATCGCGGGGTGTGCGAAGGAGGGGCACGAGATTGCAGCACCTGATGTGAAGAGAACCAAGTATTTCAGTCTTCGCGATTAGCGAGAACGAGTAAGACAAGCAGTGTCTTTGGGACAATTCAGCCTTGTCTAGAGAGAAAATAAAGTTGTAGGGTAGGATGTACAACTCACCGGATGCGAATCGCGGGAAGATCCGCGCCGACCCATCAGGGTCAGGTGATGCGATGCACACTTGGTGGCAACGGCCAAACGTAGACCACCACTCCTCTTCCACGTGAGCAGTCCCTCTCGACTCGAACGCTCGACTTCCCTAAAGAAGCATCCCTTTTTCATGTAAAATCCTCGTTATCAGTTTCATTACTGTTCCAAACGGTCCTCCGGCTATCTCTTCCTGCTAACTTGCTCCCCCGTCCATTTGGGGCTGATTTCGAAGTTCGTCAATCGCGAACAACGTGACTTCGCCCTTGTTATTGTCCGTGGCAGGTGACTTGCTGTCAGGTGATAGATAGGATCATCCAAGGTAACGAATCTCCCGAGTTGTTTCACTGCCTTTGTCCAAGTTTTCATTCGCGCTGGCCTGCGTGGTCGTCGCGGTGCCCGTCCTCGCTGCTCCTCTTTCCCCCTCATCGCCCCCTGTGTCGTCGGTCGCCTGCAGCCTGTGACGCGCCTTTGATGCCTTGGCGGGGCTCTGAATGCGCCTCGAGCCGCCTAGGCCTGAGTCATGCTGCGATAGACCAACTTCGCGTCGAGGGTGAATGGTGCGAGTCTCCCAAAAGCGATGACCCTGCCTGATCCCGCCCGCCCGGAGGGGGTGGCCCTCACCGGGCGCGTCGGCCTCACGCGTTTTTTCTGTTTACCCCGAGGGAGACGATCGATCTGCCCGAGGAAGGGTTTGACATGTCATTCACGCACTAACCCTTCGCTTCACTGACTTTCCCCTCTTGTAACACTACTTTCAATCATCGCTGCGCTCCTGCTTGCTCACCTTCGATGACTAACTTTGGATTCCAGGACTTCATGTCTGACCCCACCATGAACAGCCCCGACGGAAACGCCCACAAGCGCAAGCGCGAGGGCTCTGACGACCTTGGTCACGACCCTCAGCGCATGAACCGTTCGTCTCACGGCAGCAACGGCAGCATGCCCGGTGACAGTCACTCCAACTTCGGGCATTCGCTCAACTACGAACACGGCATCCCCAACACGGGGTCCGAGTTGAACATCGATCAACAAATTCTCCAGCATGTCGGTCACCAGAATGGCATGTCCGATGACAATGCCCTCACTGCCAATGCCAAGGCTGCACTGGCCGCTCACACCCCTCAACACAAGTACCCCCTACCCCCGGACTCCGCGTTCGATGCGAGCAACTTGACTCAGGGCTTGAACTTCGGTGATGACATGGGCCAGGGGCCCATGACCGGTGCTCACAACCACAACTCAACGGCTGCTGCCGTGTATGCTGCCCGTGAGGCTCAGAGCATGAACCAGAAGCCCACCGTCGGCTCGCCCGAGTGGCACCAGGTCCGCAAGAACAACCACAAAGAAGGTTTGTTATATCTCTCACAACAGCTTGCAATGACCCGATATTAACCTGTTTGCAGTTGAACGTCGACGCCGCGAAGCCATAAATGAAGGCATCAACCAGATCGCGCGCCTTGTGCCAAATTGCGACAAGAATAAGGGCGCCATCCTACAGCGGGCCATTGAGTACATCTGCCAGCTCCAAGAAGAGAAGAAGCACATCGACGAGCGGTTCGAGCAGCACAGTATCACCACCAGCCACGCCATCAGCGAGATCGGTGCATCGAACCAGAAGTTGAAGTCCGAAATCGGTAGACGCAACCACATTGCCCTGAAGTGGCTGCAGCGCTGCCGCGAGGCCGGCCTCGAGTTCGACGACTACGAGGAGGCAAAAGAGCTGGAGACGCTCGACATGGAGTAATTTCGTTCCTGTTTTTGCAGTTTTGCACGTGCCACGATCGTCTCGACTGCTTCGTTTTCGGCGGTTAGGAATTTTGAACATACCCTCATTCTTCGTTCTTCTATCTGGTTGCTCTGGAACTTTCGTTCCCGGCTTTTCTCCCCTCTCGGTTGATTTTCCTACCCGTTAAGGCGGTTTCATTTTTACGCGAATTCTGCACTCCTCTTATCAGTGGATGTGGATTTTGCTCGGTGCGGCGTATCGTTTTGAATTCGTTTCTGATCACCTCTTTGGTTTGCATGCTACTCAATGCTTCTTTTTTAACTTTCATTGTTAATGGGTGGGCCGGCGAAATCTATGGATGGGATGGGCTTGGTGCAGTCGGTATAATGCAAGTCTTGATTCTTATTACTATGCGTCTGGCTATAGTGTGCCCAACTATTTGTAGTTTGTATGGCATTTCCCAGTGGTATTTTCTGTCACCGTGATCGCCGGAAGTTGACCGATTACCCTCCTGGCAACCCAATTGATCTGTATCAGTCTTCTATAGTTCATCGGGTCCTTTTGGCCCCTTCCCGCTAAGACGGTCAAATTGCAGGAGCGAATTTCCAGGACGGCATTAAAAAAGAGAAATTCAAGGATCTCTCTGTGAATGGAGGTATTGCATGGCACTCTTTCTTATAGATACGTGCAAGTGCGAATGGTAATTTTTCACTGTTGTCGAGGGATCCGCTATCACGGGTTAACTACCGCCGTTGACCCTCCTCGTTCACTGTTTTTTGTTACGACCCCTGCAGCCACCAACGAATTAAGGGGCCGCAAACTTACAAATGGCCCCTCGAGAGCCAACCACTCCAGAAACCGTCACGTAATAAAGAGATCGGCGTAGACGCTCGGAGTTGACTCCACACATCGTGTGTGATAACGGAGACTCCTCTTCTACTCGCCTCTTTTTTCTCTCATGCTCGTTCTCGAGACTCTCGTACAATGGCATCTACAACCACAACAGAGGTCTTTTCTCTCGAGCAAGAAGTGTTCACGGTCTTGCCCGATCTGCAGCAACGGCAACAGCAAAATCAACCACCGCCGACGACAGCCTCGGCCCGAACAATAGAGCCTCTCAACATCGAATCCACCCCAGACACAGAGCCCAACTACCCAACAGGCAGCAAGTTTTGGTTCACCATCATCGCACTGTGCGTAGTCCTTATTCTCGGAGGACTTGACGCCAACATCGTCGCTACAGCCGTGCCGAGCATCACTAATCACTTCCACACCGTCGCCGACGTAGGATGGTACTCGTCTGCATTTCGACTCTGCACCTGCGCGTTCCAATTCGGGTTCGCGAAGCTGTATAAGCTCTTCTCAATCAAGACCATCTTTTTGATCAGCAATGTTATCTTCCTCGTCGGCTCTTTACTCTGTGCCACGGCTGTTTCGTCGACCATGTTAATTCTAGGGAGAGCAGTAACCGGCGTGGGGTTCGCCGGTGAGTTGGCTGGGTGTTTTGCGGTCCTGGTGCATATTGTGCCGCTCAACAAACGGCCAGTATTTGCGGGTTTGATGGCGTGCGTGGAATCGCTTGCGATCATTTCAGCGCCTATACTAGGTGGTGCATTGACGCAGTCTTTGGGGTGGAGATGGTGTTTCTGGTATGCTATTCGCGTCACAGGCATGATCAAGAAAGCTCGACGCTGACATTTACATAGGATTAACCTTCCTATTGGCGCTTTATCGCTGGCGACTATGTTTTTCCTCTTCTCGGACCCAAGAACCCGCCGAGAGGACGGCCTCACAATGGCTCAGAAGATCAGAGAGCTCGACCTCGTCAGCAACTGCTTGTTCATCCCATCCCTGACTGCGCTCTTCGTCGCGCTATCTTGGGCGGGAACAAAGTATCCCTGGTCAGATGGGAAAGTGATTGCATTGTTCGTTGTATTCGCTGTGCTACTCGCCGCTTTCCTCTTCAATCAGTATCGACGCGGAGACTCGGCAGCACTCCCCTTCCGCATCATCAAAAACCGAAATGTGATCGCAGGCTTCATCTTCACGACGTGCACCAATTCGATGACGAACGTCTTGGAGTGGTACTTACCAACATACTATCAAGTCGTTCGATCCCGGGTAAGACTTCCTGCCCAATTCATGATTACAAGAAAATGCACTGATAATGCTATGTCCTGCCAGACCCCGAGCGAGAGCGGCTACCTGATGATCCCCATCCTCGTTGGAATGATGCTGGGGCTCTTTCTTCAGGGCATCGGCACCACCACGTTCGGCTACTACACCCCATTTATGATCTTCGCCTCCATATGCATGCCAATCGCCGCGGGCTTGATGACAACATACGATCTCCACACATCCCTAACCAAGATCATCCTCTATTCCGGATTCGCAGGCTTCAGTGGAGGCATCGGCTTTCAAGGCTCCCAAGCGGCTGTTCAGACCACCTTGAGTGCCGCAGATGTCAACCTTGGGATCGGGGTCATCTTGTTCGGGCAGAGTATGGGACCGGCGGTGTTTATCGCTATTGCGCAGGTTATATTCACGAATCAGTTGTCGTCGAGTTTAGAAGATGTCGTCCCAGGCTTAACGCCTGGTTATATTGAACAGCACGGACTTGGCGATATCAAGAATGGGGTTCCCATGGAACAGTGGGATACCGTTTTGGATGGTATCGATCGGAGCTTGAGTCGTACTTGGCACCTTACTGTCGCGTTGGCTTGCACGACGATGATAGGAAGTCTCTTGATCGAATGGCGCTCGGTCAAGCAGAAGCAGTCGTGAAGTATGGGCTGGCGGCACGAAAAGAGCGTTCAGATATATCGGTAGCGTAGGGCATTGCGAGACCGGAAACCGCAATCCTTTTCAATCCTGCTGCAGCCTTATTCAGCCTAAATTGCTACAGATCCATTATATGTCCGTAAAAGCCCACTGTGTACGTCACTCCAAGGAGGATCGACACAAGCATTTTCCACAGATGGCAGGCAAAGTAAAAGGACAAGGTAACAGCAAGGCGCATTGGCCATCGATCGATCCCAGAATTGCCATATGGTGTTAATTACCCCGGACTCCATGCGGCAAATCGTCGGAATCAGCCGCTCTCTTTCTAGAAAGGCCCATCGGCAAGGCACGAAGCGCCGGCACCGTGACAGATTGCCTGTGTCCTGAGCGGGGATCTGACAGTATTTTCAATCTGTTGACACGGGGATCTGGTATCCTGATATTACATCACCCCTCAGCTACCCCTCATCAGTCTCCAAATACATGTAGTACATAGATATTTTGGTAATAGGATTACGATCCTGCATTCAATCTCGTGGTTTCGTTCTGTAATGGTATAGGCCCTACATTTACTAGTCGATTTTAATTTGTGGAAATTTAACACTAGATAACTAGATCACTTAGGTTGTTGATTTTCCTTCTAGAAGTAAGGGCGATAGAAGCAAAAGTAAGTGATTCGTACCGTGATCGTATCCTTAAGCACTATACCTTTGACTAAGCTATATAAATAACTCTTCCCTATTTTGTCTATAATATAGAATAGGAGAAAGAATAATATGATCATCTCTTGAGTACCTGCTACTATATCCGTAAACTGCCCTAGAGTCGTATTCGCGATTTATTTCCTAAAAGGACTCTAGGCGTAGTCAAACAATATTATTTTAGGGAGACCTCAAAGTAGTCTAAGAGCCCCTTAAGCAAAGAAAACTACCTAAGCCTCTTTAGTTGATATAAAAAGTATATCACAAACATCTAAAGAGGATAGAGTGCTAAGCCGCTCTTACTAACTTAAGGAGCGACGATAAGCGCTATTGAAGTTACGTTTAATGTGCTGCAAGAAGGAATTGTCAGCCTGCCACAGCCCAAACTATGGTAGTGGAAATCAAGGACAAGTGAGGTTTTCACCAAGTTGATAGTTTAAATTTAATATATTTCATTTTAATTACGTCTAATCAAGCTTCAGAGCTTCATGTGATTTATATTGTAAGTCGGTGCCAATCCCAAAACACTTAGAAAACATATACATTATTCAATTGAGCACTTCAAAGGACAGGGCGGTTATCCACGGTGGAAAGTAAAGATCCCTTGCTATTAGTCTATCGGCGAGTCAGAGCCGGCCCATTCAACTAGGTAAGCTTCTAGGGAGTCCTGGTCAGTCTCACATTTTGCATCGTCTAATCCGACGTTCACGTCCGGTAATATAGGCTTAGATGTGCAATTTGTGACATGATCCGAAATTTCCGAGGTGTCTTTTGACGCACCAAAAGTGAAGCTCAAAAACTCAAAATCGCTTGATGTTGAATAATCGCCTCTAAGGGCCCAAGGCTGCTCGTAAGTCTTGGAGGATAAGTCGGGAGAAGCCAGGAGAGGAAGAGTTTGGGAATCGTTATTTCCCAGCCACTCTATCCGAGGCTTGATTTCACATAGGTCATCTTGACAGCCAACAGAAACTGACGATGAAGTCCCTTGAATACACTCCAGAGTCGAGATATCTGTCTCTGGACTCTTGGAGACGCTTTCGGCTGAGTGTCTGAGCATCCCATATCGTACAGTCGGGATTTTGAGTTCAAGACAGCCAGTGGGCTCCGGTTCTTGCCATATCCCCGGGCCTATGGATGTCCCACGCCCTATCATTGGCCTGTCTGTTGCGCCGTTACTCTGCAAAAGATCCTGACAAGTCCTGGCAAACTCCATGTCTCTTGATTGAGAGAGTGAGTATCCACAGTTCTCTTTCGCAAGACACATTTCCACGGTCGCGATACCCATCCGCTTGAATGCGTCCCGGGTGGCATATGCCGGGGCGTATTTACCCGCGAGGTCATCCAAGACAGAAGTGCCGGCCAGAATGGCATAATCAAGGTCTTGGACAGCCTGATAGAGAGTCAGCAGATAACTTGGTCAGTTAATGAAAGACTAAGTGATGACCTACCCACTTGTGGCGAGCACAGGAGGAATTCCACAGGGCGAAAAAAAGATAACTGCCTTGCAAAGAGATCAGTAGATTTCTTGTGAATGAAAGCGTGGCCTCTGCTTACCTGCAATAAAGATCCCATGCACCGGCAAGTACGTGACGTTGGTTAGTCCCATATTGTGCAGCAAACGATATACTTGAATCACTTCTTGGCCCGCCTTGGCAACTTTAAGACAAATCATGTCCGGACTTTCCGGGGCCTCGATGGTGAGTTGCGGGATGTTATCATTGACAAGGCCAGAGCATTCAACCAGTCCCTCAGGTATCGTGACACTCCAACGATAGAGCGTAATGATAGCTTGCCAGTATTCCAGCTCCATCGACAAAATGCAATGGCTGGAACCAGTTTTCTCTTGAGGCGGAATCGAGCTTCTCCATTCATCAAGTCTCTGATTCATGTCCACCCGCCACGAACTAAAGGATGAAAAGACTTTAAGGAATGAGGGGGGTTTCCGGCTTCGGCTCATGGGGTTTCTCTCTGTTGTCACTAAAGCTTGTTGGTATTGAATTGCGTTGTGGATTTCCGATTGAAGGATTCGCAGCTTGAGGAAATGATGGGTTGTATATTTATAGCTGGCCATATTTTCCGGGGGTATCAAAGTACCGGATGGTGTGATAAATTTGTCGTCAAGGATGGAGGGAAACTCCGTTGTAATCACTTCATCTGGAACAAAGAAAGGCCGGCCGAGATACGGCACAACGAGACGCTCCAGGCTGTATACACACCACCACAGACGCCGGCGCAAGTCGTCAGTCCAGTCCTGATGTGTTTCATGGCCACCCAAGGAATGATAATGTTTGGTATCACTCGAGAATGGACCGGCATCGTGCTCACAGTACAGACGTAAATCTATAGCTGAACGAACAGCCACGTCAACCAGGCATCCAAGTGCGGGTGCGGTGGGCCTAACAAGAGCAAAACTTGCGAGGAGGATCATCGCCTGTAGCTCTTCGAGCTCATTGAGCTGATCTGAAGAAGTGGCGGGCCCTAAGGATCGTTCCAGATAGGCCATAGCGGTAGCATGGTATTGCTCGGGCGTGGAGAAATTTCTCGACAGTAGCTTCCGTCTCTTGTTTGGTCTTGTTTCACACCACTTTTGCTGCCGTCCACGGTCAGTGATCGGCGAGACAGAATCACAGTAGATCGCGGCACCTATAGCGAGCACGATGAAGAGGAAATATAAATTGCGAGCGGAGCGGTCTCCCTCTCGAGCGGAGTATGTATGAATGAGGACCTCTCTCAATTCAAACCGATGCAGCACCGGCATATGTGGATTCGCGTGGTTGAAATATAAATCTACAAGCTTTTCTGCTTGTTCTCGGCTAGGAAGACTTACACATTCCTTGGTCGACCGGTTTGCTCGAAGGCCGAAAAAGAAGGTGCGGATTGAAGTTCCGTCGCCTCCAACCCGATCACATCCTTTGTCCAGCCGCATGATTTCACGCCTTGCTGCCTTCCCAAACAACAGGTCCAAAATCAGATCATCTGGATTGTTATTGAATTCAGGAGAATCTTGCTTTGCTCTCGAGGTCCCTGTCTCCTTATTTGCCGAATTTGACCTTTCAGTTGGCACGTTGAAGTAGTGAGAATTGGCGCTCGTCGAAGATACCTGGATCGCTGTATCTTCGCTATCTGCCTCTTCCTCGTCGAAGGCGACGACTGGTTTGCAATTTATCTGGTGACGTGACAGGACAGCATTGAGATATTTGATGCGGTTCTCGAGAAAGTACACGTAATTACGTGGTATTTCCGCTTTGGTGATCGGGTCATAGCCCACACATCGGAGCTGCGCTTTCTCGCAGGATTGACATCTTGGAAGCCGTTGGTCACAGCGGTGCTTTCGTAGGCGACAGCGATTGCAAGCCGAGACGTTGCGAAATGACGAGGCCGGAGTCATCGTCAAGTCCGTGGAGGTACAGGGTTCCATTGCAGGGGCTGAGGCGGTCGCAGTCACGCCACTGCTTGGGACAGGAGAGGCTTTGAGGTCTGGCATAGTATGGCCCTTCTGATCTTCAGGGGTTGAAAAGGAACCGACTTGACGAAAAAATTTGGTCTGCCTTTCGACAGACACAGAACAATCAATTTTTATCTGCGGCAGAGTCTATTCTCTCACCAGTCCATGGGCTATTGAGAGATTTTCAATGTCGCACTTTGGTAGTTGGCCAAGGCGGGTCCGGTTTGCGAGGCGAACGATGGACTCAAACCTATGAGGGTAGGCACTGAGGCAATAATGGGCTCTCAGATAGAGACCGAAGACCAGGAAAGGGTTGTTCCATCGCTTCAGGAGTGGATTCATGCCGGCAACACATGACGATGGCACAAGCATTACTCGATGGAAACCTTTGAGCATGGTGGAGGCTACAGGCCTTTGCCGCGTTATCTATCGATTACTCGATTCGAATATGTGAAAGAGCCTGCCGATAGGAAGGATTTGGAACCAGAAACGCCCCCATTACTCGATCAAAATATCAGAATGGCTCCAGCTTGGTCTGCGCTGACCGGTCAGATGGTTCTTTGGCTTCCCATATGACGATGGTATAAGCATTACTCGATGGAAACCTTTAAGCGTGGTGGTGGCGATAGGCCTTTGCCGCGTTATTTATCGATTACTCGATTCGAATATGTGAAAGAGCCTGGCGATAGGAAGGATTTGGAACCAGGAACGCCCCCATTACTCGATCAAAATATAAGAATGGCCCCAGCTTGATCTGCGCTGACCGGTCAGATGGTTCTTTGGCTTCCCGCGGGAAGCCAAAGCCACTTTGACGATGCCACATGTCTGCTTGCAGGAGAAGAGAGGGCAATTATGGACGAGGCTGGACGAGAGTCGGCCTAGGGGAAAAGATGGGCGTAAGGCCGGCTAAGATTCTGATTGATCGAAGACTGGTTGGTGTAAACTAAATCACAACCACCGGCGACTTGAACAAATAATATTGCCCGCCAAGTAGGACGGATCTCGTCCCGTTGTTAGCGGTACATTATCAACGTGAATGACTGGTTATGGGGAGCATATGGGGAGTCACCCTCTCGCGGCACCTGCAATCTATTCCGCTCAGGTCCAATCACGGTTCCCGGGGAGGCTTCCGATGACGCTGAGATTCCTATATTTTATGCCCCAATAAGGAAAACTCAATCTCTTCGTACCCCGGTCAAAAGCCGAACACGGCAAAAACATCGACCCCATATCCTGCCGGGCCAGAACCCTTTAAACATGTGCACCTAAAAGAGCGAATATAGTGTTTGATAGTCCAAATTATAATAGTGACCCCCAGGAAACGAGACATGACTCCTGAGAGGTGTGCTATTTAGATACCCACGTTATAGCCTTTGTCCCAGACTGTTATGAGTATGATGCGGTAGGCGGAGTACTGGTAGAAGTGGGTCTCGGGTGTTGATACTTTTGCTACTGTAAATGCGGGGTTAGAGTTTACATGGTCGGCAGACAAAATAGCGCTTTGTTAGTGACGGGTTTTTCCGCATGCCGTAGACCCCTCGGCCATAGATAGAAAGTCCTTCGGCTGGTAGATCAGATTTTCTATAAGAGCGGAACTACTGACCGGAGGCTTTTATGTGATCAGCCATTTATGAGGTGACCTTGTAACTCATTCGATTTCAAATACATCCTCACCATTCAATCGATTGCCTACTCGCCTACTCCTACTTCTCAAGAACAGAATATCGGCCCCTTGGAAGTTCAGTATGGGTCAATTCAATTACTGGCTTAGAAAGCTTGAAGTCTCTACTGAACCCGGGCTGTCAACAGCCCAGCTGATGTTGTCAAATGAGGACCTTAAGCCCGGTAAGACTGCACAAGAATCCCCTTGCCATTCTCCTCTCTTTCGTTGGGAGAGAGGTTGTTGATCGCATGAATGCTAATACGCGGCTCATTTGAACAACAGTCGAAAAAGAACAGCGTCAATGGCGATGGCTCAATTTTGTTGCCTTTTGGATTGCGGACTCATTGAACGTTGTGAGTAGTTGCTCCTCAGCGGGGTTGAAAGAAAACGTGGTTTCTTTTGGAGAGATTTCTGCCATGGAGGAGCAAAACAACAGACAGTACTTTTCCTGACCGGACCACAGAATACCTGGATGATCTCTTCTTCCATGATAGTCGATGGTCTATCCTGGTGGCAATCTTGGCTATGTGTCTGGATTGGATACACCTTTTCCGGCCTTTTTGTGTGTCTCATGGGCCGAATTGGTGCTGTCTACCGGATCCCATTTGCGGTGACGAATCGGGCCTCGTTTGGGATCTGGGGGTCTTTCTGGCCCGTTCTTAATCGAGCGGCAATGGCAGTGATATGGTATGGGGTCCAGGTAATCCTATCTGTCTCTATTATTGTTGAGACCCCCATTCTAATATCAGCCTTTAACAGAGCTACCTTGGAGGTACGCTATATAAAATAGGGCCCGTTTCGTTTATATAACACAAGAGACTAACACTCGGTGCTCTAGGTGAATGTGTGACCTTAATGATTCTGGCCATTTGGCCAAGCTATGCTCATCTACCGAACTCGATTCCTAAAGGGGCAGGGGTCACTACCCAACAATTCGTGAGCTTTTTTTCTCTTCTGGCTATTCTCTCTGCCAGCTCTATGGTTTCCCATCTATAAGATCCGGCATCTTTTTACTATCAAGGCATACTTTTCTCCCGCCTGTGCTATTGCCTTCTTTGGATGGGCGATTGCTCGTGCGCATGGCTTGGGTCCTATTATCACTCAGCCTAATACTGCACACGGTAGTGCTTTGGGGTGGGCATTCATTAAGAGCATTATGAACTGTATTGCTAACTTCGCTGCGCTCGTGATGAATAACCCTGATTTTGCACGCTATGCAAAAACGCCGCAAGATGCCCTATGGCCCCAGCTCGTGACAATCCCAGTGGGCTTTGCTATCACGTCGTTTATCGGCATCATTGTTTCCTCCTCTTCTGGCGTGATCTTTAAACAGCCAGTCTGGAACCCCTTGACTCTGCTAGGGATGTTTCTAGAAGATGCGAGCTCGGCGGAGCGTTTCGGTATCTTCATCATCGCGAGCGGTTTTACCTTGGCACAACTAGGAACAAACATCGCCGCTAACTCCGTGTCCGCGGGTACCAATCTCACAGCTCTGCTTCCTCGTTTCTGCACCATTAGACGAGGTGGGTACCTTTGTGCAGCCATTGGCCTTGCTATGTGCCCCGTAAGTATACCCTATCTCGGGCCTGTTGAACAATATCTAAGAGCTTCTGCAACATCAGTGGACACTCGTTTCATCTTCTAGCAATTTCACTCTCTATCTCTCTGCTTATTCGGTCTTTCTCTCGTCGATAGCAGGAGTGATGGCAAGTGACTATTATTTGGTACGCAAGGGCTATCTTGATGTCGAAGAGCTTTATAGTGCGTGCAAAAATGGCCCTTACTATGGCATTTATGGGGTGTCATGGCAAGGCTATGCCGCTTACCTCTGCGGAATCTTGGTCAACATCGTTGGGTTTGCTGGAGCTATTGGAGTCAGCGTCCCCGTTGGTGCGGTGTACATCTATAACGTCAACTACTTCTCAGGATTCTTTGTATCCGGGGGAGTATACTGGATTCTGACCAAAATGGTGCCCGTTCCTGCCACAAGCAACAATTGGAACGAAATTCCGTACCTCGCGCGAGCCGTGTCCGATGTGGACGAGAAGAAAGCGGAAGAAGTCGAGGAAGTGGTGTGAGTGGGACTGGAACAACGCGCAATTCTGAGTCTGAGCTGAATCGGTGTGTATTTACAATCAAGTGCAAATTTCAATCAAGTAAACAAGTGCGACATGGCCTTGTTCCACCTTAGTGATGTTGCAGTCATGGGAAGTTTCTTTGATGAGATATTCTTGTGGCGTTGAGCAAAAGGCGCACCAAGCTTTTGCTGGTTCTCCGCGTAAAACAGTGTGCTTCGCAGGATAAACTCTGTGTCAACAACTGCGTTTCGCAGGGGAAAGGTGGGTCAACAAGGCCACTCTAGTGACGTGCAGGCACCTCTCCGTGGTGCTAGAGATTAGTACTCGAGTATTCCAAGACTACTAGAGGAAGCCAAAAACTGCACTGTTAATACCTGTACAACGGAAAGTCATTTATTTCCAGGAACATAGGGTGATTTTCCAATATTTGGGGACTTTGTAGGTTAGAACCCTGGAGGTGACCGGAACGAACGTAAAACCTGTTATTTATTATTGTTAATCAGCTGCTTTAAGCGTCTTGGCATAGCTTAAGTTGGATGTTTGTGCTAAAACAGGTTCGAGTTTTGGGTCGAGGGTATAGAACCGGACTATGGGTTACGGTTACCAAACCCGCCCCAAAGCGAGGTCTACAACTGCACGATTCTTCCACTATCCAGACTAATAGCTGACTTCTCACCCCCTACTGACCTTTTTTGGCAGACAAGCTTCCGAAAAGATGCTGAATCGAGTTCAACAAGCTCCAGCACGCTCAACGCGTACAGGAGATCTTCAAGCAGCACAAGATCTCACTAAATCGATAGCTTGAGCCGAATTATCTTGCTCAAAGAATACTAAGTTACTATATTTGACCCATACAGGGTATGGCAACTTGTGCTTTCGACTTCAGCGAGATTTCCCAATCTACAAAACAAAATCATTAAAGAATTTTCTTCACATCACTGTACCAACGTGCTGAATATTCCGTCTCTCCTGCCCTGAAAACCTCCCATATGTCTTTGGTTGAGTGTAATATTGCAAGCAGTTGCAAGAAGGCCGGCTGGGCTCGAGATGTAACTACGACGATTCTTTACGTAAACTGTATATGAATCAAGGCCTGCCACAGCCCCAGGCAAGGTCTTCTACCAGTTACATCCGCGATGACATCAAAGGATTTGTTACAGCCAAGGTATCAAGCTACTATTTCCTCTCATTTCCCCTTGCCTGTAACCGGCGATAATAAAATTCTCTCATTCTACGAAAAAGAAATCGGTATAAATGTTCATGCCTTCGAGAAGCAGATACCCATACCCCATAAAATCCACCCCTTCTAAAGCCAGAAAGCTTCAGCGCCCAGAAGACCTATGGAACACTCACAGGTTAGATGAAGCCGTAAACTCCGACTCGGAGGAGGATCCAACTTCCTGAACGGTAACAGTGTTCCCAGACTCGCCAGTAACACGAACAGTAACAGTATCCGTGCCGAAGCCAGAAGACTGCTCGAAGTAGTTATAATAGGTACGGGTAGTACCCTGCCAGGTGCTACCGCCGTCAGTGCTAACCTCCAGCTTGGCAACTGGCTCGTTGGCATTGACGACCTGCATCGAGAACCAGTACTCGGAGGTGCCGGACTTGTTCTTTAGCTTCAAGGGGCCGTCGAGGTCGCAGGGGGTGTAGGACCAGGTGATGTCAATGACGCCGGTGGAGGGATCGGAGAGTTCGCTGAAGGCATCTTCGAAGAGGTCGAAGTGGTTACTTGCGCAAGAGGGGCATTGGTCGACGATCTGTTTCCTTGGTTAGCACTAATTTCCACGATTAATGGGGAAATTGGGATGTTGACCATTGCTTTGATGGTCTTGCCGTTAGGACCGGTGACGGCGACGCAGGCGCCGCACTTGGAGGCATCGCTCCATTGGTCCACCGAGAGAGCAGTGCCGAAGAGGCTGCTGGGCAGGGTGTAGTCTGAGAAAGAGCAAGTTCCACCGGCAACATTGCCGCCGTAGAAGGTGGCTTCGCCGGGGGTTCCTGAGGAAGAGGAAGAGCTGGGGGATGACAAGTTAGATGAAGTGGTGCCAGCAGCCTGAGCAGTTGAAGTAGAGACCGAGGTCGACGGGGTGGTCAAAGAGGTGGTCTCCGAAAAGGTAATCACTTGAGCAGCAGCATGTGTGGTGGGAGCAACAATCTGAGCAGTTGAGCTCTCGGTCGAAGTAGCAAACACAACTGCCTGGGTTGTTTCGGGAACAGGCGCCTCGGACTTGGGGACCGAAGAAGAAGTAGAAGAAGTAGTGGGAACAGGAGCAGGAGCAGGAGTCGAAGTCGAAGCAGCAGCATCGCCAATCGGGGTAGAGGACTCGACCTCTACCGGAGACTGCGATTGCACCAAAGCCTCGGGAGTGGATGAGGCAGAAGGAGTGCTGCTTGTCTCGAGAGTCGATGTAGCCGAGGGCGTAGGCCAAACGGTCTCATACCAAACAACCATCTTGTAGCCCTTGGGGCAGAAGCTCTCCTCCTCGTGAGGTGCGAGCGGAAAGGCAGAGACCGTGGCAGCTATACCGAAGATGGCGACGCCAATGGAGGCAAGAATCTGGTACTTCATTGTGGTTGATGTGAATGAACGAATTGAAGTATGAGACTGAAAAGAAATGGCAATGTGCCGGCGTCGAATTTAGACGGAAAAAATGATTTACGAAGGACAGTACGTGCAGAAGCACAGGAAGGAATGGATGTCTGGATATCGAATCCCAGACCGGAAAGAACTGTGCCAGACAGGTGTGGGAAATGAATGCGAGAGAAAGAACGTTGGGCTGGATTGCTCGGGTATAAGAAGTCATGGACATACAGCCCACCAGGGGCCATTGTTCTAGGCTTCACACTTAGCGCCCAGAACGAGTCAAGAAATGAAATCGAGATACCTGAAACGCGCGTGGGCCTGGGGGCACACTGTCGACGCTCGGATGACGCCAAAAACGGTGCGATCCGTGCCTGGTTAGGTTTAGCGAGTGCTGCTTAATTAAAGGAAATGAGACGAGTAATTAGAGGCGATCCTTCATACCTTACTACTCGGAGCTGTCCCGCTCTACAGAAAATGAAAATGGAGGGATAAAGTACTTCGAAGATGACTAAATCTATCGCGCATCCCACATAACCTCGTTCAGGCGCAGCATTGCATCGGCGCTGGCCTTCTTGGCCGCCATAAAGTCCTCTCGGCTCTCTGCGCCGCGGGGTCCACGTAGCATCTCCGAGAAACACAGGTCCACAAGTACCCGGAGCTCATCGTACGTGAATGGCTCGCCATTGCCAGCCGCCAGGGCCTTGTCACCCTGCGTCGCGAACGCCTCTTTCTCCTCCTTCGCGTAGTCCAGTGATTTCTCGGCACCCTCCAGGAACCAATCCAGGAATTTGGCACTGCGGGGCAAAGCCACAATCTCCTGAGGTGTAGGGTCTACCGGGCTGGTGACCGAATCCGTTGTTGTGTCGACGATGATATTCTTGAGGTTCTGCTGCAGGACCAACACGTCAAGCTGCAGACGCAGAGCACCATTTTCGTTCATAGCTCCAATGTAGCGGGTGCAGGCCACGAACACGCGGTCAATGAAACGTGCCAGACCCGAAGCAATAAACCAATGTTCGGCCGGTCCCAGATAGGTGGAAATATTAGTGTCGAACGCGATCAAGTCGCTGTTTAACTGGAGAATTGATGGAGAGGCCGCCGTCGGTTGGTTCAAGATGATATGCCACCAGCTCTCCGTCGTGCTTGGAGATGGGGTTGTAGGCTCGGAATTCCGGACCGTCGGGGGATTCGGTCCCGACATGGTCTTGGTCAGCATGTGGATGATGCCGCAGCGGATATCAACGTGCAATGTCAGGAGTGCCTTCGACCCGAGTGCGTGCAGCGATTGAAGCGTTTGGTCAAAAATTTCTGCCGTCTCAAAGTTCAGGGGTAGGTAGACCGGGCTGTTGATGCTATCGCGCTTGGGTTTCATGGCTCCGAACAAAGTCCATCTACGCGATGGCCGGCCGTTTGAAGTCGAAACCGATGACGCTGGTTCCGATGAATTGTCGACTACGAGTCTGATCTTTGCAAGGTGGCTTCCAAGCCATTGCTATCGTAGATCATTAGTTCCAAGTTCCAAGAAGCCACTGTGAAATGCAAGATTTGTACGTACCATGCTGTTATACAGAAGCGAAAGGGCAACCACGGTCTTCGGGTCAGAGATAATGTCATAGGGCTCCAAAGGTGTCTGGTCGGTCCGCTTAAGGAGAAGGTCGATTTCCTGGGCCGATCAGTATCTAGAATACAGCATTCTGGGGCGGAAATAATTTACCGTATCAATAAGCGTCTGCTTCTTCGTGCCGGCTCCCTTCCACAGCTCATTAACAACGTCGTGGATATCACCAGAGTCGGCGAATGAAGCAGCAGCTTTCAGTCGCACCCCACCTCCATGGTTGCGAGCGGAAACCTTCGTGACCATCGCTACCGACGCCCGTTAGCATGAGTATTAGAAGAGCAAAAGCTATCTTTGCACGTACCTTTATACCACCCGCAACACTTGTCGTAGTACGTGACAATCTGATCAATTAGAAGCTGCGTGAACGCCTGATCATGCGGAATACTTGAGAGCATTTTGCTGAACTCTCGTACGATGGACATGAACTTGACTGTTCCCCGGAAAATCGGACGGGGCGAAACCTTGGTCCACTGGGGATCTTCTGTGAACGCATCGGCAGCAATAAAGCAAAGTGTGCACAGATCCGTAATGGTCTCGTCCAACTGTGGAAGGAAAACGTTGACCATGAAGTCATCCAGGAAGGAGGTCAGTGTTCCCATAGAGATATCCGAACCGACAGGGACGATATCCTTCAAGCGCTGAATGAAGGAAAGTGACGGCGGCAAGAGCAGACGCATGTTGAAAACACTCGGCTCAAGAAGGATCTTATGCCCAGTGCCTGAATTGCCCTTTTGGGCCTGCACGGCATCGGTTGCGGAGGCCTTTTGCCTGGTCTTGGAAACCAGACCTGGCACTGACGATTTCAAAATTTCGTCCAGTTCATCCTGCTCGGCTTTCATCTCCGAATTTTGGTCAATATCGGAGAGCTTAAACATTTTCTTGTTTTTGTCCCGATTACCCAGGTGAAGGTTCCGCCTGGTCTCTGCCTCCTCGCCTCTGGACCTGAAAGAGGTCTCGCCATCGGTTGCGAGATAGTCGTGTAGCAAAGAGCGGATCTCGCTTTGTAGAAGTTTCCACAGTTCTTTGAATCCACCACCAAGTGTCTCGCCCTTGGTAAGACCTTCTCGGTCCACAATTGCCGCAATGACATCATGGACGATTCGATGGCCCTCTGCAATCGATTCAAACTTGGCATAAAGAGACCAGAGGAATTCAGTCAGCACATGGCCCCGCTCTTCAATGTTCCGCGTCGGAAGGTTGGACTTGAGCTGGTTATCGTGTGATGAGTAGGTCCGGTTCGGGGTGGGGTAACGAGCATCGACTTCGGCATTCGTCTTGTCGACCACGGCAAATAGTTCCACGGGAAGGCGCTGTTCGATCCGATCAACTGCAGTGTCGAGATGGCCCATCTTGTTCAGAGACTCAATCAAAAGTTGTATGTAGGAAAAGGTATCCGCTTCTGGGTTTCGCGAGGCATCTTCAACCATCGGTGATGATGCATCAAACTTGGCCAAGAACCTGTAAACAGGGCGCTCCCAAGACCGGTTGCCGGTCCAGCTGGTCGAGATGATGTCCCCTTCTCCGGTGGACGCTTTCCATCGGTCTGAGCAGTAAGGAGACTTGAGATATAGATGATCGTGCAACTCTTCAATCAAAATGTCTGTAATTGAAGTTTCTTGATTGTTGAAGTATGCGCGAATATCGGCCAAAGCACCAATATCCTCAAGCTCGGAGCGCCGGAGTAGTCGGAGTGCTGTGTGAAGGATGTCTACCGCCGCGAGGAACCGTTTGTCGGAAATTGACGACTCGAGCTTCTCGGGAAGAGACTGAATTTCTTCAATCTGGGCAAACAGTTGAAGAATGTCATCGTAGTTTTGTGAGGATGTCGCCAATCCTTTCAGCTCTGGCTTTGTTGACAACAACCCAGCTTTTGACTCCTCCAGAGAGGTTCGCAGGTTGCGGACCCGGCCTTGAGAGCTCGAAATATTGGACTGGATCTTGTGGTATATACCGATGGAACTGTTGAATCCTTGGTGGTGTTCTATACAAATCACGTCAGTTCCGGAGAGTAAGGCTTTCCTAGGGAAAACAAACCGTTCACAATTGCCTTGAGCGTCTTCTGAATCTGGTTGTACATGTGCAAAAAGTCCGGCTCGCGGTCTGCCTTACCCAAAGTGCTCGTATCCATCAAACTCAAGGCGACATGCACAGGGATACATTCAGCATCAGTCATGAAGTCCCAATCGTGCTGGATAGCCTGCAGTACCGCTTGAACCAAAAAGCCGTCAGTACAGGGAATTGCGCGACTACCACAAGAGTATAGACTAACCTTCGACAGACTGCATTTCTCGCGTACTGGCCTCCGCAGCGCCTGAATCTGACGGGTCCATGCCTCTACCATGGCTATCCGGTGGCCGTAAACCGTCTCTGGTCCGATCATCTCGCGAACCCTGGTATCTCCTATCGGCGGTTTCATTCCGTGATCGTGATCGTGAGGTCGAAGGCTGCTGCCGATCACGATCTGACCGATCGCGCCGACGTTCCGGGGATGGAGCCGGCGAGAGAGAAGGTTGCTGTGATTGCTCTGGGTAGAATCCGCCGTAGCCGCCAGGGCGAGGGCCTCCTCCTGTATTCCCAGCACTTCGACCGCTGTACCCGTTCACTCCGAGGTTGTTGCTGCCCCCGTAGGCGCTATCGCCTTGGTCATATCGGCCGGAATCGGAATATCCGTTACCGTAGCCGTAGCCGCTTCTCCCACTCATCCCCGCTAGACCTGGTCGCTACGGCCAGGTGGTGAAGCCGAGAACACGGTAGTGGGCTCCGACAAGGGGCGCCGGGACCGCAATTGGGAGAGGGTTCGGTTTAGATGATACAGTCTGCGCGCGACGAGGAAGGGAGGATAGTGACCATTCTTGGCCGCACGATTGGTGCGGAAGCAGTGAGGTTTGTGGGGTGAGCGATGTCAGAGCAGTTGGCGCGGGTTGGGGGCAGACCGAAGTGCTGCCGGGTTCCACATGAGCTTCCCGCATTCCAACACGAGAATCTATGGGCATACATGACTCTACTTGAATACCTTGGAATACTATGCTATTTATTTTTCACAAGGACGCACCGCCTGTATCTATAAAGTCGATGAAAACTCTGACATGTCGCCGTGTGGGGATGAAACAGAGTATAATGGAAATACACACACGCACACACACATGCTATTTATTTTTCTGTAAGGACTATCGACTTACAAGTTGGACCTTATTTCGAAATGGGCAGAGTCTCACGCTCAAGCCACTTCTGGGTCAACTCATCGTTGTTAAAGAAGTGGTGAGTCTTATCCCAAATCTCAGCGTGGTAGTCATTCACCCACTTGATTTCGGCGTCGCTCAGCAGAGATGGCTCGATCAAGTTGCGGCCGATGGGAGTCATGGTGACGTGTTCAAAGCCAAGCCACTGCTTGTCACCGAACTTGTTGGGCGGGTTGACCTCGCGACACAACACGACATCTGCAAGCATCAGTCAGTACTTGTTGGGTGATTTGGGATCGGAAGGCTTACTCTCAATGCGAATTCCAAACTTGCCGTCCTCGTAGTAGCCGGGCTCTGGAAAAGGTTGTCAGCTTGGGATATGAGTCGATGCGGGTCAGGGCCATTAACCGTCAGAAATCACGTTGCCAGCAGCAATGGGAACCTCGGTGTACTGGACGCGGGTGCCGATGCCCATGGGGCCCTCGTGGACGTTCTAATCAGAGTTAGCTACGTTCATGAATATTCCCAAAGACAAAGGAAATTTACCAGGTAGGAGCCAATGCCGTGGCCGGTTCCGTGGAGGAAGTCAAGACCTTCCTTCCAAAGGTGCTGGCGAGCCAAAACATCAATTGCAAAGCCACTGGTTCCCTTGGGGAAGACTGCTGTGTCAATTGCAATCATACCCTTGAGGACCAAGGTGAATGCCCGCTTCTCGAACTCGGTTGGCTGGCCAAAGTGGAAGGTCCGAGTGGTATCGGTCGTTCCATCGAAATACTGGCAGCCAGAGTCGCAGAGATAGATGACTGTGGGGTCGATGATCGAGCAGCTACCCTTCTCCGGCTTGTAGTGAATAACGGCACCGTTGGGACCAGTGGAAGAAATGGTGTCGAAGGACAACCCGGCAAAGAGGTCGTTCTTCGAGCGAATCTGCTCAAGCTTGTCGGCACCATCGACTTCGTCCATGACAGTTTTCTTGTTCACCAGCTCGTTCTCTAGCCAGGCAAAATACTCGGTCAGAGCAGCGCCGTCGCGAATGTGACAGGCGCGCATGCCCTCCAACTCGGTCTCGTTCTTGACGGCCTTGGCATCTGCGATCGGACTACGGGTCTCTTCGACCTGGTCCTCGCCGCCCAGGTTGAGGCTCAGGGCCCAAGAGGTCTTGTTTGACAGCAAAAACTTGGCAGGCGCCTCGGCAGATTGGCTTCTCGCCACACTCAGAGCTTTAGCATCAGCAAAGATAGAGTCGTAGGGCTTCACGACCACGTCCTCGCCGAGATGAGCCTTCACCTCTGGTGTGAGCTTCTCGTGGTCGACGTAAAGCTCTGCAGTGGTCGGGGTGATGATAGCGTACGAAAAGAAAACGGGGTTGTAGGGGATGCTATCTCAAGGTCAGCGAATCGATGATCACAAAACAAAGAGTAGAAAGGTATTCTTACTCGCTTCCTCGCAAGTTGAACAGCCAGGCAATCTCATCAAGCATGGCTATCATGAGCTGTTAGTCAATGGCACCGCCAGGGTCATACAGGGGTCACCGTACAAACGATGAAGCCGGCCTTCTTCTTCGTTTCCAGCTCCTTGCGAAGATCGGCAATCTTATCCTGGAAAGGCTTGCCCGCATACTTCAGGGGATGGGTTCGCACTTTCTCGACAGGCCGTGCCGGGCGATCCTTGCCCCAGACCAAATCGACCAAGTTCTGCGGGATACCCACCAAGGACGATCCGTTCTTCTCGAGAGTCTCTGCGAGCTTTCGCGCACCGGCTAAATAGTGATCAGTCTTAGTTTTGAGATCGAAGGTGAGCCCTAAAAATTGAAGCACTTACAAGCCGTGATCAAGGAGGGGTCGACACCGACGGCTTTGCCGCCCTGGGCCTGTTCGGTAGTCCTAAAAACCCACTCAGTCTCTAGTCTGGCATTCTGTCCAATCGATATATCCCTACCATTCTTGCCAGCTGGGGACACCCTCGATGCCGCGCTTGAGGAGCTGCCAGTTACTGTCCAGCTGCTTCGCAGCTTGATTGAAATAACGGCCATCGGTGGACAAAGCAGCCTTGCTCAGGGAAATAATCGCAGTACCCGCAGAGCCAGAGAAACCCGAAATGAATTCTGCAATCGAATATTTGTGAGCCGTGCGGAAGGGAAGGAAGGGTCTGTGGAGAGCGGTGGCTAACCTCGGCGGCCGTCGCAAGGTGCAATGTATTCGGACTGGTGGCTATCTTCTGAGGGCACAACTACGGAGAAAGTCAGCCACAATGAATCTTGCGTAGAAAGCGAGGCAAGCTGAAATAGCGACTTACTATACACATCCACCTTGTGCTCCTGCATCAGCTGTCGCAGGTGCGCCAGGCGCTGGGTGGTCTCTACGGTCCCCATTTCGATATTATACCGCGGACGGGAGAGAGAGAAGAGCCGGAAAGGCTGTAGCGGTCTCGACAATCGCAAGGAAGTCCAGGAAAAGCGAATGGGATGGGAGAAGAGCATGGACACCAAAGGAGGGCCGCGGGGTGGGTGGTGGGGCAGTCACGGCTCGCACTAAGCTCAGGGGCCAACACGGAAAGCTGAGATTGGGAGGTTTCAGCTCCGGGTGATATTGATAACGAGCTCTCGGTCGTGTGAGTGGCTTTCTGGTGGGAGGCGGCAAAGTTGCTTATAGGACAATCCTCGGAGGTCGCATCCACCGGCCCACTGCGGTGTTGTCATGTTTGCACTGTTTCCTCGATGGATATACTGCGATGGCGACGCCATTCGCTAGGGCATTGTTGGAACAGTCCTGGGAGGGCATAGTACAGAATAGCTACCCTGGCAATAAGATTGAGCCACATTGGAACCTCTTATTCGACCCAGTTCAGGCGTTTGTTCTTCGGCGGAACTAAAACCGAGCAAGGGACAAGTCTCTTAACAAATAGAACAACTTTAGAAAGCTAGAGAACCAGGGTCAAGGCCATATTGACTAAAAGTCCTAAACCCAATTTGAAAATCAAACTATTCATTCCCTAATATTTTAGTCAGGTAGTCCATGAATAGTGAATACTTGGATATAGGACAGTGATGAGTGGACTCTTGATTTCCGCGCAAGCCCCGCGGTTAACCGCCTCGTCATACCGCCCTCCATACGCACATATTATTGGACGCGTTCAGAACAAACAAGATTACACCGGCAGATGGGTGGCTATCACCACGTGATCCGTTGTATACTGTTCCCTTTTTCCACCTTCGCACTTCCATCCCACTCAGGACGTCCTGCGGCTTGCATCTATCATGGCCGCGCCCTTTCAAGAGATAGGCCATGGCTCTGGGGAGCTTATTTCAGAGGCGCACTTGGTATGTTTCACCCTTAATCTTAGAATTGAAGCCTCTAACAATTTCTCAGTTGGTGACCCAACTTTACGATCCCGCGAACCAGCGGAACCCAGCCAAAATCGACGAAGTGCAGTCGCGGCTGCAACACATCCAAAAGAGCGATCATGCTTGGGAAATTGCAGATTTTCTCTTGCGAGAACGCTCCGCCCACCACCGTTTCATGGGTGCTCTGACTTTTACCGTGAAGATCAACGTATCCGGGTAAGTATCAACAAATGCAATATCCCTTTTTGCCATATTAAAGGAAGCAAGTTGCTCATGAAATTCCAGTGGTGATCTTAAAGAGACAATGACGGTGCAAATTCTGGAGCGCCTCGTCAATCACTTCATTGCCATCGTGAACGAGGGTGAGCAGGCGTTCGTGATTAGGAAGCTTGCGTCCAGCCTTATTGCGATCTTTCGGCATCCAGCAACATCGTGGAAGCGGGCCCTATGGCAGCTGGCTGCCAGTCTTGCACATGGTGGTTTCGTCCAGGAAGAGGAGGCCCAGACCGTGGATTTCCTGACTGGCGTATTGCCAGCTTTGAGTACCCAGCAAGCCACCGCCCTATTGTTCTTCTCGGTTGCATTGGCTGAAGAAACCCTGCGGCTTGACACTGAGCCTCAGAATCTGGTGGGGCCAGTGATTCAGCGAGCCGTGTCAAATATCAAGGATGGCTTCTTGCTAGTGCAATACATCACGCGGCAGATCGCTCAGCATCCAGCTGTTTCGCAGAGTGAATCTCCAGAAGTAACACTCGGAAATGAGGCAATGATTGCCTGGAAGGTATGTCTATCAGCACAAGCATGGCTTCACTGCCGTGGATAAGGTCGCTAACTTCTCTGGATTGTAGGCTTGGCTTGGAGTCTACGGCAGCCGGTTGCATCCCGGTCACGGCGAAGAGCGACGTGTTCTGGCAGTTTCCTGCGGACGGGACATCATGGAGACGCTCAGAATTCCTAGTCTGAGCGAGAACGCAGCGTCCATCTTGACTCAAGCTTTTGAAACGCGCAGTTGGGCCTTTGATGCTGAATCAATATGGACCATTTCACAAATCCTCTCCGATTCCATTGTGACAATGCACATCTTAGAAATGACAAAGGGGAATGAAGGTTCCGAGAGTATGACATTTGTTGACCTTTTGGTGGCATATGTCTCGCATCTTCAGCTGAACCTATTCAGCGACCCGATGAAGCCTGAGAATGCTCGAATTCTCGGCATTGTTCATGATATCTTCAAGACACCTGGATACGCAGTCATTGATGACCTAGCAACACCTCGAGTCTTGGAGTATTGGAATGAGATTGCCGAAGGACTTCCCGACGAGCTGCAGCAAAATGACCCCAGATATGAAGCGGTGAAAACACACCTGGCGCAGGTTGTTCTCGGCTTGTTCAATAAGCTTCTTTATCCCACTCCCAGTGACCTGTCAGACTTGAGCGACGATGAACGGGGTGAGTTCAACGCGTTCCGTTACGACGCCTGTGACTATCTGCTATCGGTGTATCCAATTCTCGGCGTTGAGTTGGTGAGTGTTTTCCAAGAGAGCGCAACCACCCATCTTGGAAATAATGACTGGCTTGGATTTGAGGCTGCCATGTTCTGCATCGCCCAGCTATCGGAAGCTGTCGATGAGAACGGACATGCGGACCAGTGTCTCGATGCCATCTTTGGCAGTGATGCCTTTTCCCGACTCTGCGCCGGGGGTGAGACTGGTATCCCGCTTAAGGCACGTCAAACATTGGTGGATGCCTTTGGAAAATACGAGTCCTACTTCGAACGTCACAATTCGTTGCTCCCAGGTGTCCTGAACATCCTCTTTGAATCGCTCAATTTCGAAACGTGTGCCCAGGCGGCTTCGCGATCTATTTTGACCCTTTCCAAGTCGTGCGGCCGTGTCTTGACCGCAGAGCTCCCAGTGTTCCTCGATCAGCTTGATCAATTCCGCGCAAAGCCGACTGCAACTGTGTCGACTATGCCCAAGGTGCTTGAAGGCATTGCAACAATCATACAAAGACTACCAACCGACGATGAGAAAGTACAAACTCTTGAAAGAATCTTGCGCTTCTTCGTCCAGGAGGCTAATCAGGCACGGGATGAGGCCGCCAGCTCTGCATATGACATCGCTCGTGCCCATGGCCATCTTGTGCTTAGCTGCATCGCCAGTATTGGAAGAGGTCTGCGAGCCGATACTGACGAGGTCATCAACGTCGACGCAACGGAAGAGGAGAACCCTTACCCTCCGTCCTTCTGGAATGCCGGACCAGGCTCCGGTGCACAGCAGCTTATCATGGAAGCAATGAGGCTTCTCATTTTGGATTTCCCCGTGGACAGTGGAATTATAGATTCGGCCTGTGACATCCTCAAGGCTGGGTATACCGAGTCCTCGGGGCTTTTCGTCTTCCCTCCATCCTTGACAGTTGATTTCATCAAGAGCTTCCCGCTCGGCATCTCTGGCACAGATGTCATCATGGCTACTGCCTCCTCATTCCTAGCCTCGCACGCTTCACACTCAATGCAAATCCGGGATCAAGCCGTGGCATTGATTGTTCACGTCGCGCAGCTCTTCTCCTCGATGTTAGAGGAACCGGATTTATATGACCCGGAGACCGCGAATGCAGGAATTGATTTCCTCGCGCGCCTCCTCCCAAAATACTACCCCATCGTATTCTCCCTGACGGAGCCACTTCCTTCAGCTTCCGATTCAGCATCACAGCGCCCACCGATCTTCGTGGTTTTGTTGAACTTCACGCTGCACGCTCTAACCCGCCCAGAGCCTCTGACTCTTCGTTCTGGATCCGCTTTTTGGGTTGCCATGTTGGATCTCCGCGGTGGCTCTCCGGAAGAGACAGCAGCCCTGGATCAAGTCCTTGAGCAATTCATACCCACACTTTGTGAGACCTTGATCCGACAGATCGCGGGCCATTGTGCACGATCGGATTTGCTATCGCTTAACGATGTTCTGCGTCGTACGGTCTTCAAAAAGATGGGACTGGCGCGTCCAAGTCTTACTGCGGCACTGAATGCCCTGGATGCGCAGGTCAACGATGCCGACGGTCATCAGGCCTCGGTTCTCTCACCGCAGGATAAGTCTCGTTTCTTGGAGTCTCTCATTGTCGCCAGAGGACAGCGACAACCGTCGTTAGACCTAATTCGTGCATTCTGGTTGAAGTGTCGGGGTATGGCATTTGACTACGCCGGGTAGAAAGAGGACTAGCATATCGCAGACGACATGATGATCATGATCGGAGTTCAAGGGTATCTCAAGGATTCGAGGATGTTTTGTTATATAAAGTTAGATATCCATTTTTGCAGGCAATTAATAACCATTTTCGCATAACCTTGGAATAAGACTCAGTTAACCACTTGGAGTTCAGCGATCGGTCGGTGAATTTTGGCGGGAATGAAGCTCCTAACTTGCTTTACTACGCTCAGCTATCATTACTTTCTGTAGGGTGCCTTAGGACCAGACCCAATGACTGACTAGGTGGTAAACCAGTTAGAAGTATCGACATGTTAGATGTAGGCGGCCCACATGACTGCATACGGATACCCGCACCGCCACTGCGGCAGTGCACTTCACAAACAAGGACAAAAATAACATCCCTTGACGGCGCTACACGACGTGGTCCAAGTGCGAGTGGAGTGCCTCGAGGCACGGCTGCATTCCTGCTGCTCACCGCACTGCGGCTTCAGGTCGCTTTTTTCTCGTAGCCTAAATCCTTCAAGATTGATTTTTCCTAGGATCTCCACTTGCCACCAAACATCAAGATTTGTTTTGTTTTTGCTTCACTTGGACTTGCGTATGCCTCAAATTTCAAATACTCCAGAATCTTTGCTTCCTCGCTCAGATTCCAGGAATCCGGCAACTACATGTAGAGGCATTACTACACAGGGCCGGCCTTGTCGTCGGGCTCTAGCATCATCTCAAAGTTCAAACACTACTTCCAAGCCTCGAAAAGGTGCTAGCCATGTACCCGATCTGGAATCCTTGTACTGCTGGCAGCACAAGGACCAAGCCGTGTCATCCGCATCATGGAACGACCCAAATTCCCCGGCAAAGCCACGAACCAGCATCGATACCTTAATGGATCGACTCGGTGTACTCGAGATCAATGAGCAGCCCGTGCCTCAGAGAATACATCAGATACGGCCAAATCAAAGCAACTTCAGCGAGAAGCGCAAACCTCGTCCCAAGCGGACCTTGTGCTGCTTTGAGATTGTGGACGATTCTAGCGATGATCACACGCCGTCTAGACCGGTTCGGAGGCCTCAAAGTCGACCTTCTCATGGGGCGACGTCCTCTCCTCAGAATTTGCAAAAGCCTCATCAAGATTCAGCCGGGAAACCGCAATCTGCAGGGCTACCATCTGGACAGCGAGTATCATCTGCTCCTCAAACACGGCAACCATCTGTCCCAAATGGCAGAAGACCTTTGACTTCATCGCAAACCCGGTCTCTGCTATCATGGATTCCTTCTTCGCTTTCTCCAAAAACAACATCTCTTCTCCTCACAGAGCTCTCCAAACCAATCTCATCAGCCGATGACGATGGTTATATCTACATGTTCTGGGTGACACCCCAGAATGCCACAACAAGCAGTGGTGGACAGTCACCGCTACCTAGAGATCTCGCATCGTCTCTACTCCCATCAGCACCACCGAACAACCACCTCCGCCCACCAACCCAGCCTCGCAGCGTAAGCGATGCCATTCGCGCCGCCCGAGACCTAAACGCATTAACCTCGAACCCAACATCGACCGCACCGGGCACACTCCGACTAAAAATCGGGCGCACCAGCAACGTTCACCGTCGATTGAATGAATGGACCCGACAATGCTCATACGATTTGACTTTAATCCGCTACTACCCGTATACATCATCCGCATCATCATCTCCGGCGAGGACACCACCTGCTTCGGGAAAGCGCAGCAATAGCCACTCAGCTATTGATGCTCATTTGGTTCCAGGTCGCAAAGTTCCTCATGCTCACCGCGTGGAAAGGCTTATTCATCTCGAGCTGGGAGATATGCGTGTTAGAGACCTTGGTCGATGTGGGGAGTGTGGTAAGGAGCATCGGGAGTGGTTTGAGGTCGAGGCTGCGAAGGAGGCTTTGAGGCGGGTGGATGAATGTGTGCGGCGGTGGGTTGCTTGGGGGGAGTCCATGGTCTGAGGAAGATTTTATAGATGGAATTGTACGAGCAGAGTAAATTTCACTAGATCCACGGTGATTTTGTTTCAGAATGAACAGAACTCTCAACCCATATCTCATATATAGACTCGATCCAATATGCAACCTTTCATCCTCTTGCGGTCTTGCACAACATAGTGCGAGACTTTCTGTGAGAAATGAGAAGAATCTTGATATTTCTACAGCTTTGCCGCTCGAATAGCATGTCTCCTTGCTAATTCATCGTGATTTGCAGGCAACAAGTGGTCCACACCCGATGTGTTGAGATACGTTGGTCCAGCATCTCGCATCAAGTCCGTCATACCAACAAGTTGCATGGCCGTCTCAATCTCTTCTTTAAGCACTACTCCAATATTAGCAAATTTCTGGCATGCTTGGCATGTTGCTTACATTTGACAGCATGTTCCACCCCTTCTTGCCCATAGTTTAGGGCATATGCAAAAGACCTACCCAGGCCCACTGCCGAGGCCCCCAAGCAAATAGCTTTAATAACATCCGAGCCACGATGAAAGCCACCATCCACGAGAACTTTCATCTTTCCAAAGATCTGTGGGCACTGCCGATGGAGTTCCAATAAGATAATGATTGCCGGTGGAGCAGTGTCGGCAGCTCGACCACCATGATTGCTCACAACAATACCATCAAATCCGACGTTCATTGCAAGGATGGCATCCTCTGACCGTTGAACACCCTTTAGTAGAATGGGAAGCTTGGTAATACTTCTCAACCAAGCCACATCATTTCAGTTCAGAGAAGAATCAATGAACGAGCTGTTAGACTTGGCCAGCCCAGCACTCTTCTTGCCATCAGGTTTATTACCGCCTTGGGTAATCTTCACCATTGTAGCATTTCCTTCAGATTTGATGCGCTCATCAGCTTCCCGCTTTGACATGACAGGCAGATCAGCCGTAACGAAGAGGGCTTTGACCTTGCTTGAAGCTTCAGCCTGCCGTACCAGCGCTTCAGTTTTGGAGCGGTCCTTGTTGATATATAGTTGGTAAAAAGCCTGCTGGGGAGTATCATCCAGGATTTCGGACAAAGAATACGAAGCCGTAGTAGAAATACACTGAATGATCCCTGAAGAGGCAGCACCTTTCGCGAGCGGTAGCTCTCCGTCCTCGCAAATCGTCTTGGCTGCACCCACTGGTGACATGTAAACTGGGATATCAAGGTTACAACCGAAGAGACTGGATCGGGCAGTTACTTTAGACACGTCTCGCATGATCGCCGGACGGAACCAGATGCGCTGGAGGAATGTGCGGTTTGCATCGCGTGTAATGTTGTCGTTGGCAGCACCGCTATTGTATGCCCATGACTTTAGGCTGAGAGTTTTCATTGCGACTTGCTCAAAATCATCCAGATTAATGATGTCTTCCAAGGATGGTTTCTCATATTCATTCGAAGCGAGGATCACGGATGTTTCATCTTCTTTACTCCATTCCGCAGAAACAGTTGTCGTGTCCAAGTCACCAATTAATTGCTTATCGATATCTTTGATGAGGGTTGGTGAGTGGGTGCTGTTGTAAACCTTCGAAGCATCGCGACCTGCAAATTGATAGATGACTATACTGCTCAGTTCTACCCAGGTGAAACATGTTTCTTTCATGAACGTACTCTCTGAACCACCGGGATGATCAGGCGCAAATCGGGTCACATCGTATACCTTCCCATTGACCACGATCCAGATGTCGTCTATTTGAGCATGCTTGGAGATTTCGTGCGTTGATAATTTCCTCCCCATAGCGGCTGTAGCTAGCTTGTCAATCAGCCAGAGTCACAAAAGAACTATTGACATGAATTTCCAGTGAACGATACACTCTGAAGATTCGAGAAATGATGGGAGGACGATGAACCTCTGGGGTTACTCCGGGGTCAACTCCATGTGGTCAAAGCGCATCGGAATGTTTCCAGTGAATCGGAATCGTGGACCGCGGAAGAAGCAGTGGAATCAATGCCGCTCGCCGGATTATAGCTCAATCACCCTGCATATTCATTGCCTTGATTAAACATGGTTAGGACCGGCGACGTTACAATTTGCGCCATACACTTGAACCGATCGTCTCTAATAAATTGAAGTCGACATAATGGGTATCGTTCAATGGCATAAGCTATGGAAGATGGATGCTATGGACAGGAAGAGTATTTGAGATAAGGGAAAGAGCCTTGACAGATCAGAAACACATAAGCCGTGATCACCAGTAGCAACCAGTACAGTCCCCGCCTTAGTAGTCACGGAAAACGGCCACCATATCATCCAAGCGAGCTACCGCCGCTAGAAACAGGGCCTCTTTATTTTTCCACCGTTGCAGACGCTCCAACTCACCCTCAGTGAGATACTCCTCTTCGTGGCCCTTGACATCGCTGCGTTCCGTCTTTTCCAGGAAATCCCGTTCAAGCTCTCGCTCGTGCTTGATACGCTGAAGGGTTCGCGACATGGCCTTGTATGTGTCCTCTAGGATACTGCTGCAGACTCGGTCTGCATCATGGTACCAGAGGAAGATGGTCTTGGAGGGCTGGCGTTGGGCGTCCTTCGGCACTTCCTGCAAATCCACAAATCCACCCCTCTGCATGCTAGCCAGGGTCTGCCGCAGGTCCTTGAACGGCAGCAGACTGATCTCCTGCAGACGCTTCTCGTCCAGTTTTCCTTTGGCCTGCAGTACGCGCACGACTCGGAGGGCGACATCGCCAAATCGAGACTCGATCATTCGTTCCAATTCCAGGTGTCGCAATTTCCGGGCGAGGCCACGGAATCCAACACGCCATTTTGAGGGGCCCACCGACAGAGTGACAGAGGAAGCCAGGTCGAATGGTGGTTGTGAGAGGAGGCCGAGGTGCTGGTTGACCAGGTAGGCACGCATGGCTCCCGAGGATGCTTCATCCTCATCATCATCGGCATCGTCGTGGTCGTCGACACCGTTTTCCAGGGGCCGCTTTCCGCGCCGATTCATCGACTGCGAGGGGTCCATCGGTCCCAATGCCCCTGTTAGATCTAGACTGGGATCAATGTCTTCAAGTAACGTCTGGACGCTAATTGGAGTGGAGAATTGTTCTCCTTCTTCCTTCTCACGGGGGATTTCTTCTGAATCTCGGCAGCGGGGTGTAATATATTCCACACGACGAAGAAGGCAGGCGTAGACTTCCGCAGTCGCTGAGGGCGCATCTTGCTGCGCAAGGTCGACAAAACGAGCGTTCCGTAGAGCCACATCGAGCTTTTCATAATTGACTCGCACGACTAATCCAGACTGTACTTGAATTCAGCTCCTGATTTACAATTGAAGCGGTAAAAGAATCAAATACTCACCTCCATGGGAATGTTGTCGAAACCATCCTCATCCTCAGACCATTCGTTTTCCTCTTCCTCCTCTTCATCTTCCGCGTGATCGCCGTTAACGCCATTCTGGCGGTTCTGTCGTTGCCCATTCGCGAGACCGTTGCTGAACTTCCTTTTAACACCTCGAGGAAGACCATTAAACATGAGTCCTTGAGTGAGGTCACCGTTAGTCCGCTCTTGGACCAACTCCTGGGCCTTTTCTCTTATCGCCTCTTCTTGTTTCTTCCCCTTGAGTGCCTTGATATCGGAGCGAGCAGCGACCGCCCGCTGTGCTTCAAGAAAATTGTCTGCGGGACTCTGGAAGTGGGCATCTCGGACCCGCAAGATGTATCCATGGGACGCAAGAGCCTTGAGAGTGGCATGGAACGGTGCCGGTTTATCCTCCCCGTCATGATCTCCATTTGTGGTGGCGGGTCCGTCCTCCATATCCATCCCATTCTCTTGGGGCTCTTCTTCCTCATGCTTGATTCCATTCGGAGCCATCGGTTTTCGCGATCGAAGCTCAGGACGTCCTTCGAGTTCCTTGACCGAGGCATGCCCGAGGTACAAAATTGCCTCCATCACACGAGCAGCATATTCTCCAAGTCTTTCCTCGACCAGCTGGAGTATCTTTCCGGATCGCACGAGGTAATAAGCGGCTTGTGGGTTTGCTTCATAGTACGTGTTGCCATCTTCGAGGGAGGTGAAGTGGTAGATGAGGTGGTGTTGAATCATGGCAGCCAGCGCATGGCGGAGCTGCTTGTCATTGAGACGGGAGTAAAATTTGAGTCGAGGGAGGGTCAAACGCTCGTAGCGTTGTAGGATTGAAAAGATGCGCTGTGTATCGTTGAAGTCATTAGTTTTGCTAAAAGATCGCCTCTGTCACGCGACTTTGTGCGGCTGAAGGCCATAGCAAAGAGCGGGAGACACTCACAGCAAAGAGCTCGCCAAAGTGATCCTCGATCAGAAGCATACATAGCTCCGCAGCGTACTGTGCAGATATGCGTCAGTGCCGATTCGCAATCGGTTAGAGAAGGTCTGGCGAACCTGGGATAACATGTTGGCGGTAGTGGAGTGATGACCAGCCTCCAGTCCGCACGAGGAGCAATTAAGGTCACCGCGATATATTCATTGGAAAGTTAGAGCACGGCGCAAGTGGAGGAGCAGCCCTCACTTTTTTGCTTATCAGTCACGTGGTTCCGGTCAGCTGATCTGATGTCGACAACTCAAACACGCGGATTCAGAGTCCTACAAAGGTATCGGCAGCAGATGTTCGATAAATAATCCCGAGATATTTAACTCCAAACTACCTCAAATAAACCACTATGCCAATTGTAGAACATGTAGAAACAAACGATAATGGAGAATAAAAGATATTCCGGTTCCGTCCGACTCGTCACGGCAGCCAATCAGGGGCCACGGAGTCAGCCAGCGACCCGGCATCTTGAAGCTTTTCGTAACCCGTCTGCTTCCCTCCTCCCTCCGCATCCCCCTCCACCTCAATTGCCTCCCCCCTTCAAGCCCGTTTGGGTTCCCGCTTCTTTTTTCCTCTCCTCTTCAGTCCTCGGCGCACAATGCTGTCGCGGTCTTCCCTCAGCCGAAATGCGCCGCGTGCGCTCGCCGCCGGTCGTCGGTCCATGGCCTCTGCTGCCAACCCGACTTTCCAGTACGACGTCTCCGAGGCCGCCGGCGTGAAGGTTGCCAACCGTGAAGTCGCCGGTCCTACTGGCACTCTGGCTCTCGTGGCCAAGGCCGGTTCCCGTTACCAGCCGTTCCCCGGTTTCTCCGATGCCCTCGAGAAGTTTGCTTTCAAGGTTGGTCCCGACTGCCATCCATTGACCATCACCCGCCTCCTCTCCGTGCTAACTCGACCTTCCATAGTCCACACTCAAGCGCTCTGCCCTGCGCATCACTCGTGAGGTCGAGCTGCTGGGCGGTGAGATCTCCGCGACACACTCGCGCGAAAACCTCGTCCTCCGCACCAAGTTCCTGGCGGATGACCTCCCATACTTCACAGAGCTGCTGGCTGAGGTTGCTAGCCAGACCAAGTACACTGGTGAGTCGATTTCTCAATTGGCAGCGAACGGCCTACAGAGAGAAGCATATCAGTGTTAGGTCGGTTTTGCTAATGCAGATCGTTTGATATCAGACCACGAATTGAACGAGGTTGTCGTCGATCTCCTCAAGTACCAGCAGTTGGCTCTCTCCTCCAGCCCCGAGAACATTGCCTTTGATGCCGCCCACGGCATGGCCTTCCACCGCGGCCTGGGTGCTCCCATCACCCCCTCCGAGTCCTCCCCTTACGAGAAGTACCTGTCGGGTGATGCCCTCGCTCAGTTCGCCCAGGATGCCTACTCCAAATCCAACGTTGGTCTCGTCTCCACCGGCCCCAACTCCGCCGATGTTTCCAAGTGGGTCGGCCAGTTCTTCAAGGGTCTGCCCACTGGTGCCTCCTCCAGCCAGTACAAGGTCCAGCCCTCCCAGGCTAGCAAGTACTTCGGTGGTGAGCAGCGTATCGCCTCCAAGAAGGGCAGCGCCACCGTAATTGCCTTCCCCGGCTCCAGCGCCTTTGGCACTGCTGGCTTCAAGGCCGAGGCCTCCGTCCTCGCTGCTCTGCTCGGCGGCGAGTCCACCATCAAGTGGACCCCCGGCTTCTCTCTCCTCTCCCAAGCCACCAAGGGCTTCTCGCAGCTCAACGTCTCGACCAAGAACATCGCCTACTCGGACGCCGGTCTCTTTACCGTCTCCCTCACCGGCCAGGCCAATCAGATTGCCGCCGCCAGCAAGAATGTTGTCGACGCCCTGAAGAAGGCCGCTGCCGGCGAGGTCGCCAGCGAGGACATTAAGAAGGCCATTGCTCTGGCCAAGTTCCGCGCTCTCGAATCCGTCCAGACCCTCGAGACCGGTCTCGAGGCCACTGGTTCCGGCCTGATTCACGGCGGCAAGCCCTACCAGATCGGCGAGATCGCTCAGGCTATTGAGAAGGTCTCCGAGCAGCAGGTTAAGGAGGTATGATTTGAATCTCCATCCCCCATATATGCTTCTTATACTTACTATTTTGCAACAGACCGCCAAGTCCTTCCTCTCCGGCAAGGCCACCCTCGTCAGCGTCGGTGACCTCCACGAGCTCCCGTACGCGGAGGACCTCGGCCTGACGGTTTAAACCCCTTGTATACCATACAGCCCCTAGATCGAGGAAAAAGCGTGTTTCCTCGTTTTGGTTTTGATGTGACCACTTGTGCCTAGATTCCTTGCCGATATCTCTTTTGTCTTCAGGGTGTAGTTGACTGTAATACAATTGTACCTTATTTGATGCAGTCTTTGCGATGCTTGACCTTGACCCTATTTTCCACGTAGACTCGGTTGAGATTGACATCTTGGAAGGAAGCCTTGAAGTCTCTCGCTCTTTGTCCTAAGTCCATGATGAAGGACTTGCACCCCTAGTGCTCTCCTATTCTAAAACAAGACGAAAATTCAATGGACCGGTCATTTCGTGATACTAGCGAAATTCTTCTAATGCTCATAGGCTTTACCCTCAAAGTGCCAATTCGCCCACCATCAACATCCCCTTTCCCAACTTAACCAGTCTGTTGCGGGTAAGGGCAACAGGCCGTTGACGCAACACACTCTGTAGTATTCTGAGCCGTAAAGGCTAGGGGCGTTGGTATCGACGTCTCCAAAGAGCTAGTCATCCGGTCTTCGGATCTGATTCCGAAGTTGGGGTAGATCCATGTGTTATTGTCGTCCACCGGGGTTCTGTATAGAGCCTCTAGGACGTGGATCTGGGGGGCTGTAAGACAGACAGATTGATTACTGCTGGCTGAGCAAAGCAGAGCATCTGGGTAGAAATTTTGTATCTCTAGAGGGAAGCATAATTACCAACATTGGAGCAGGCACCGGTCCTAGAGGCAAGATGGGAGACCGGAAGAACTGGACGATGATGAACACTCAGGTTGCGCCAGGGTGTGGTTTTGCGGTTTTTCCTAAAGTGGATAGAGAATCAGACAACCTTGAAGTGAAAGTCACTCCCAGGGACTGGCTAGTCTTGGCTAAACCAGACAATTGGTACATGATTTCACTTCGTCTTCAACATGTCCATCCAAGATTCATATAACCTGCAAATATCTAAGAATCTCCCAACTACGGACCGCAACAGCATCAAACAAAAAAAATCAATAGATGTGCCAGCTATTCAGGTTAAGTATTTAAATATTTAGTCTATCCAATGGGCATCTTAAAGCTTAGCAGAGTGCTATCATTGGCCTTCAGCCCCGACGCTACATGCAAACAAAACCCAACGCCGTATCTCAGGCAATTAGAGTTCTGAAACAAAAATAAAAACCTCACTATCAAGCTTCCAAGAGCTTAACGAGCTGGCGTATTAGCGTGGAATCCTTGACAGAGAGCTGAAGTCGTCGCGGATCACGTCACTCTTGTACCGGCGTTGTACCAAAGGGAGTTCCCTAAGGTCACGGATTTCGTCTTCCTCGTCCGTCGGATCAGGTTCGTCCTCTAGCTGCTGGCTTCCTTCCGTCGGGCGTCTCACGCACATACTTCGCTTTAGAACGCTCCATAGGACTGCTCGTCGTCTCTTCCGACCACCGAGGTTGACTATGTCTGCGACGTCATTCTAGCCTAAAGGAAAATGAAAGCAATTGGCTTTTGACCAAATATTACAGACATGTTAGACCCAATTCCTCATGCGTATTCCACTAACCCGAAGCGCATCCATATAGCCGAGGTCAACACTGGCTGCGGGTAATGCGCCGATGCATCCACAAGGAAGATCACAATTACAATACCAATTAGCACTAAACGAGCGAACGGATGAATGGAAAGAAAGCTCAAGCATAAGCACGATACTGTAAGTGACGACTGTGGCCGGGTTGTTGTCAAAGGGCCGATTTACGCTACCGAAATCGGACGATTGATTCCTAACGCCGATATTGATACGGAGCATGACGGAGCTGGGGCTCCCTGGTGCCCCGGGGCGGCTCCACGCCGAGAATATGTTCCTGAGCACGTGCAGATTGGGATTGCGGTTTACTTTAGGACGGGAATTGTAGCCAATTGTTTCTCTAGGTCTATTTTGTTGACATATGAAAAGAGGGGAAGAAAAAGCGAACTACATTTAGGTGCTAAGATACGAGACTTGGGCGCGTTGAGTAAGCAATTGCGAGTGTATTCACTTGGGTATCGGGTAGACGAAATTATGAGTGTACGAACGAGGACAACCCTTTCCCTCCTCGACCGCTGCATAGCAGAAGGGTATCTCAAACCTTCTAGTGCTTCGCGGTGACGGTCTCGCCAGTCAGTTTTTCGACTGCTTCTTTGGCCCTGTAGAAAAAGGAGTTAGTCCGAGGTATCACATGAAGGGGAAAGGAGGTGGATCAAAAACGTACATGTCACCAAGAGCCACCATGCAGACGGTCTGCCAGATACCAAGACCTATACGGGGAGCCACACCCCGGTAGAGACCCTTGATACCGTTGTTCTGGTAGATGTAGTTGAAGGTTTTGCCGACCGTCAGGTTCTTGGGCCGGTTGGGGTCTTCGGTCTTGCTCTGCATCTCGACACGAATGACCTCAATTGGCTGGTTCCAGGCGGAAAGACCACCACCAAGACCGGACGCGAGAACCTTCTCCCAGGGGGAGAGCTTCTGGCTGTCCTCCTTGCCGGTGGTCTTGCGGATAGCGGACTCGGCCAGACGCGAGAGACCGAAGCGGGAACCCCAGTTGGTGGTCTGGCGAATAGCCACGGCGTTGACACCGCGGTTGATACCACGGATACCCTCCTTACGGTAGATGTCCATGAAGGTCGCGAAGGTGCTGGGAGGCTTGACGCCGGCGGCAGCCAGCTTGTGCTTGGTGATCTCCACCGTCTTCATGCAGGTACAGAAGCCCATGGTGGCATAGGCCTGGGCGACACCACCAGCCATACCACCGGAGATACCACCGACAAAGTCATTGGCACCGAAGCTCTTAGCGTAGTATTCGGCCTCGGAGGCGACGAAGAGGAGGACCGCGCCCTTGGTGGAGGCCTCAATCCAGGCCCACGGAATGAGTCCCTGATAGTCTAAAGGACCGGAGTTGCCATGTTAGCCTGTTTTGTTTCCACGTCCAATGATTGGGTTTCATCCCCCCACACTAGTTGCGTGGATCGGAGGAAACTGGGGGAAGGTGTCACGTCACGTACAACCGAGGATCCCGCCACGGCCCCAAATCCGACTCATAGCACCGGCGAAGCTGTCGCCCCGATTGGCGGCCATGGTCGTCTTGATCACTTCCAGCGGCTGGTGGAAAGAAGGGCACGTCAGCATTGTGTCGGGTCGGTGGTAACCAGTGTATAAAGGGTGAAAGACGTACCTGTCCCAATGTGGTGACCTCGAACATGTTCAAGCCAGCGCCGAGCAGCAGATTGCTGAACTTGACGGGCTTCTTCTCGAGCTTAGGCTCAGCGACCATCTCAGTAGGGGTAGACATCGTGTGTATGAGGATGCGCTGAAAGGGGCCCTGACCAAGGGATGTTGGGGCTTCGTCGCCTTTTAAGGGATCGAGGGAGAGTGGAGAGGAAGAGGGGATGGGGAAGTTCTTGCGAAAATAGCAAAAGAGTTTGATGAAAGGAAGAGAGATGGAGGAAGTCGCCAATTGTCTTATAGGGAATCGACGAGTCAGCTGTGTTTGGCGTTCCACTCATGCCATTGGGTACTGGGTACCTCCCATACCACCTTAATCGGGTGGCTCCGCAGGTACCAGACTCCTCCGTCGGCAATTGAATTCCAATTGCCTCCACTGACCATTCGTTCTCTACGGGATGAATCCGACAAAGCACGGACTCTATTCTATCACGATCCTTAATTCGTTCATTATATCGATTCATCTGCAATCAAGGAATGTAAATAACTGCCGAACCAGGTGGGTCGGTGAGGGCGGTCGGTTGAGAATCAACCGCCCAACAATTCACGTGTGCCAGATTCCACTCTGTAGCCGTCAGACCAAACCGTCTGGCTACGCCGTACACCTCTGCATGATCGTCCCGACCTGACCCGCTGTCAAGATAAGATTGCAAAAATACGATTCTACTCTGTGCCAAAGCTTAAAATACAGAGCATCCTCTGTTCATTCTTTTACGTGACCAATTATCATGTTTGGGGGATGGAAGTGCTGTTACAAGGCCCGCTCGAACCGGTCAAGTCCTATCATACAACATGACAAAATCACAGAAAAATAATACAAGTCTTAACTCAAAATCCCGGAATTCAACAATGAAACATCACTCCTTTACAGCTTGGCACCGACCAGCTTGGCGTAGGCCTCGGTGGAGAAGGACTTGGGGCGCTCAATGGGCATGCCGAGGGCACGGTCGATGATCAGCTGGGGCAGGACACCAAGGGCACGGGAAACACCGAACAGGACGGTGTAGTAGTTGGCCTCGGTCAGACCGTAGTATTGGAGGAGGACACCAGAGTGGGCATCGACGTTGGGGTAGGGGTTCTTGGTCTTGCCGTGCTCAGTGAGGACACCGGGGGCGATCTTGTAGACCTGGCTGACCAGCTGGAACATGGGGTCGTCGGGCAGCATGCGCAGAGCGAACTCACGCTGGGACACGTAGCGGGGGTCGGTCTTGCGGAGGACGGCGTGGCCGTAACCGGGAACGACACGGCCGGAGTTCAGGGTGGACCAGAGGTAGTCCTTGATGGACTGGTCGCTGAGGTCATTGCCGACGGCCTTCTTCATCTCGGTGAGCCAGTTCAGAACCTCCTGGTTGGCCAGACCGTGCAGGGGACCGGCCAGACCCTGGAGACCGGCGGAGAGGGAGAGCATGGGGGAGCTCAGAGCACTGCCAACCAGGTGGGTGGTGTGGGCGGAGACGTTGCCACCCTCGTGGTCGGAGTGGATAGTCAGGTACAGACGCATCAGCTCAACAAAGTCCTTGTTGCCGCCGAAGCCGAGCTGGTTGGCCAAGTTGAAGGAGTAATCCTTGTCCTTCTGGATGGGAGCGACCTTGCCGTCCTTGAAGACATTGCGGTAGATCTTAGCGGCAATGGTGGGCAGCTTGGCGATAACGTCCATGGAGTCCTCGAAAGTGTAGTTCCAGTACTCCTTCTTGTTGATACCCTTGGCGTAGGCCTTGGCGAAAGCGGACTCGTGCTCCAGAGCAGTCACGGCCAGGGAGAACTGAGCCATGGGGTGGAGGGTGCTGGGGCAGCGGTCGATAAGCTCCTCAATGAACTTGGGGACGTCGGAGCGAGCCGCCCACTCAGCAGACAGGTCACGAACCTGCTGCTCGGAGGGGATCTCGCCGGTCAGCAGCAGCCAAAAGAGACCCTCGGGGAGGGGCTCCTGGCCACCGGGGGCCTTGGGAAGGAGTTCCTGGATCTCGGGGATCTAAGGGGTGTCGAAGGTTAGCTCGCGAGTCCTTCACTTCTCCATGTCCTCGGCGGTCACTTACGGTACGGCCACGGAAGCGAATACCCTCCTCAGAGTCGAGGACGGAGCCCTACACAAACAAAAGTCAGTCTCCAAAAAAAAAAAAAAAAAAAAAAAGTTGGCGGCGATAGCTCTGGTTGCGACGTACCTCCCAGACAAGGGACTTGATGCCACGGGCACCACCGTAGGCCTGGTCAAGAGTGACCTCGCCGATCACCTTGTTGCCATAGTCCCTGCGATGGTTGTAAGCTATGACGAACATTGGGAGCGGAAGAGGGCGCAAACGACATACTTGCGGAGCTTCTTGACCTTCTCGATCTCAGCGGGGAGGTTGTCGGCGAAAGTCTCCTTGAGGGACTGTTGAAACAAGTTAGCATGTCAATTGAGCTTCCCGAAGCTCCAGGAGCGTACCTTGGCCTTAGCGGAGTAGCAGCGCGCGCCGTTCAAGGTGGCAGACTGGATGGGCTTTGCGATAGCGGTCCGCAGAGCGGAAGTACCAATGCGGAGAGAAGAAGCCATTTCGACTCTGGCAAAAGAAAGGAGGGGTATATGGATGGAATGAAGATTATGGAGAAGGGTATGGGGAGAAGAGAAGGAGAAAAGAAGGAAACCGAAGGAGAGCTCGCCCTGGATTTTCTCGGATTTTTCCATCTGGCCGTATTACAGCCGGTACGGTCACGGTTCGGGAGGCCGTTCACAGTGAGACCGCCTGGTAATTTTTCCCCCAACGGTAACACCGAGTACTGTCGGGCTGCCGGCAGATCCTCACGCAGTCCGAGCAGTTCCGTTGGTATTTGGGACCCAGCTTCCGGATCATCTGATTACGGCTCTACACTTCCTTTCTATTCCTGGACATGCCTAGCTAGATACTGGCGTATTCCCGATTCCTATATATTGATCCTTAAATTACATACCTCTCTACTGGGGACATCTGTCGATGTATATCCCGGTACCAGCCTATCCCTGAAGGGGGAATGGCAGTGACGTCGGCAAGTCGCCATCCTGCCGTGCCGTCATCCGGAGCCCCGAGCTGCCAGCATTGGCCCTCGGCATCGTGGTTTTGGTACACGGGGGTCATCATGACCGCTCTGGCCCAGGTGCATCCCAACTGGATCGCATCTGACACTGTGACGCCATTGCAGTCCTACGCTCGTGTCCTTATGTCCCAACGCGACTCCCGTTTATAACCGGAATTCTTCTGAAATAGTTCACCGAAATCGGGAGCTCCACGGCACGAACGGGCAGACGGGAGGAGGCTAAAAAAACCAAAAATGAAAAAAGGCCCGGCGCCAATGATCGGAATCATCTCCGGCCCCATGGTATCCACACCTCCCTCCCGTAGCGCGAGAAAGGAGAAAGGTGTAAAACCCAGGACCAAACTTTCTTGCGGTAGCCGGGGGAACCGTGGTTGGATACGGGGCACCGGGGAGACCAAGCGCGCAGGATGTTACGGAGTGCGGCACAGACCATATATGCAAGTCGTCTACGGGTAACTGAAGCAACCAGCTACGCAGTATATAGTCACGTGCAGTCTGCCCAATGCGGCCTAGCGCCCAGCCCCTGCAAAAGTTCTTTCTCCCGTTTTCCTCGTTTCTCCTTCTTCCCATCACCATTCGCCAACTCTTTTTCATCACCTTTCCATCTCGCTCATCTTCGCCATCACCCGCACGGATTACCTGTACCCTGTAAATCCGTTCCCTGGTTTCTTTCACCTTCCCCTTGGATCTCACGGCAGTACGCCCTAGGTTGTACCTCGTACTCGTACTCCGGGCAGGGTGCCCTTCCCTGGACACACATTCGCTAGGCTGTATTCCAGCTGTAGGCGCCAGTTCCCTGGTTTCGGTGAACACGCTCGTGCTGTAGTGAAGAGGCGACACCTATAAGATATCAGGCTTGACACTTAATCTTAGGAGCTTCTCCTGCACTACACTGCTCTCGAAGTAACGCTTTTGGGCCATTTGTCCCTCTCCGGATTTTCCTGGTCCGTACAAAGACCTGCAATAGAGCCGCCTTAAGGATCCTCCTTTTCGCGAAGTGAAACTTGCGCGGAACAACACCGCGCCGTGAAACATGTCGTCCGCCGTAGCGGAGTTGGAGAACTATCTCCAGTCCATGCTGGCCTTGAAGCCACCAGGAGTATCGGGATCCAAGATCCACAGCATCACCACGCTCTGCACTGCCAACGTTCAGGTACGCTTCACTTCATGCCAGTATCCCGAGACCGGAGACTAATCAACTCGACAGAATGAATCCGTTCTCATCCAAAAGATTTTCACTCATTTCAAGAAGGCACCGGGCACCCACAAGCTGGGCGTACTCTATGTCGTAGACTCTGTAACCCGACAGTGGGTAGAAGCTGCTCGCAAGGCCGGGCAGCCTCCAGGCAGCGCCGCCCCTGATGGCACATTCGCCGCCGGTGTCAACCGAGTCACAGAGCTCTTGCCCGTGCTGATGACCGACATCATAAACAATGCACCCCAGGATCAAAAGGTACGCACTAGACATGCCTGCGTGGCGGGGCCGTTTTTAGGGGTCGATCGCGTCTATTCGCGTATCGTCACCTCACGGCGCCTGTACTCGACTTCACCTGTCATTTTTCGGGCGTTTTGGCCCTCCTTTTCTAGATGATCGTATTGCTCACGTATTTATTTTCTCCACTTCTAGGAAAAGATCAAGAAACTTATTGACATCTGGGAACGCGGCCAGACGTTCCCGACATCCATGCTCTCTTCATTCCGAGAGAAGTTGACTTCTCCCTCAAGTAAGATCGCCCTTCTGCCTTCTACTTATCTCACTCGCAAAACTAACATGTTCCACAGATGTGGAGTCCACTACTCCCGAGGGATCTCCTGCCCCGGGCATGAACCAGCTGGGAGGCCAGCCCGCCCCCGCAAATGGATCAGCGGCTGCACCGGATACTTCGAGTATCCTGAAGGCGTTGGCGGACATGGCCAAGCAGAACACCGGTGCCCCCGCCGCCCCGTCAGCCCCGGCACCAACCAACCCTCTTGCTGCTTTGATCCCTCAGGCCTCCGCTGATTCCTCGCTGGCTTCGTCTGCTGCCAATCCATATGCCGCAGCTGGCAACGTGGCCAATCCCTTCGCCGCTCTGGGCGGTCTTGGCCAGAACCCTATGGGCCAACCTCAAAGCCAGAGCAACACGCCCAATCCCTTGACCTCTGCACAGAACCCGCTGGCCGCCATGATCCCCCAGACTGGTGCCGCGCCCGGCATGCCCGATGGCAACGCATTGGGTCAGCAGCTTCAACTCCTCCAGATGCTCGCCTCACAGGGCATTCCTCAAGACCAATGGGGCGCAGCTTTGCAAATTTTCAGCATGACCAACAACATGGGCGGTGCCAACCCTGGCCAGATGCCCGGCTTCCCTGGTATGCCCGCTATGCCCGCTATGCCTGGTATGCCCGGGCCTGGTGCTGCCGGCTGGGGTGTTCCTGACGCGCAAAACCGTGATGAACGCGATCGCGACAGAGAGCGTGACTACAATCGCTCGCCCGGTGGATACCGACGCCGTTCTCGTTCTCCAGGTTGGGATCGTGGACGTCGCACCGCATCCCCTCCCCGCCGTCGTGACAGCCCCGTCTATGGAGACTACCACGGCGATTCACCCGGACGCCGCGGTGATGCACGTGGCCGTCGTGGCAATGATGGATATCGCCAGCGAAGCCCTCCTGGACGCAGACGTCGCTCTCCCTCCCCTCCTAACAAGGACCCCAACCTGCCTCCCCCCGGCCCCAAGCTCATTGAGTGGGACTATTCGATCGGCCAAGGCAACATGAAGGTACTCAGCCGAACTCTCTTCGTCGGCGGAGTCACCTCGACCGAGGCACAGCTGCGTGCGCTCTTCGGCAAGTTCGGTATCGTCCAGACCTGCATCGTCAACATTGACAAGCGCCACGCCTTCATCAAAATGATCAGTCGCCAGGACGCAGTCAGCGCCCGCGACGGAATGGAGTCTTTCCGCTCCGGTGAAATGCAACTCCGCACCCGCTGGGGTGTCGGCTTCGGTCCTCGCGACTGCAGCGACTACCAGACCGGCGTCAGTGTGATCCCTATCGAGCGCCTGACCGAGGCCGATCGCAAGTGGATGCTCACTGCCGAGTACGGTGGTACTGGCGGACGCCCCATCGAGTCCGGAATGGTCGTTGAAGAGCCAGACATCGAGATTGGCGCTGGCGTGTCCTCCAAAGCCATCAGCCGACGCATCGCAACCGACACCGGCGGCAAGCGTGGCCCCCAGTCATCCCGCGGTGGGCCTACCAATGAGCAGCGGTTCGGCGGCGGTGGTCGCCGCCAGGAGCGCGATGGATTCGGTGGGCCCCCCAACGCCAACTCGGCTCCTCAGGGCGACCGGGACATGTCCAACATGAACAACCCCGCCGTCCCTCCCGCCGTCCCCGCATACGGATTCAACTTCGCCAGCATGCCCATGCTCCCACCAGGCTTCATGATGGGTGGAGCTCAGGCCGGCCAAATGCCCGGCTCGCAGCCCCCGCCTCCCGGCCAGGGCAACTAATTCCCCAAAAAGCGACATCTTTCACTTCACTTCTGCCCACCTATACTCGACCCTTTGGGCCCATGTTTTCTCATCACAACTTTGTTGCATCTGGGTTCTCGGTATCGTCCACATAGGGAAACTGGCGTTTGATGGTTATTCTTTCGAATGGAGAGGGAGGCTTTGTTCTTTGCCTGCGTTCCCATGGGTTTTTCGTTTCTCATGTAACCACACTACCTGCATATTCCCATTTCCACCCCATGGTTCCATAATGAATCGACGCCGTTCAGGTGGCGAGAATCAATACTGTATTATGATCTTTATCTTCATTCTATCTATGCTTCTACGGTAACGGCGATTGAAGACGAACATTGTGGTTCCATGCGTCCAATGGCCTTTGGGCAGGTAGCTGTGGTTTTTTACATGCAAATGGTCCAGATACGAGACTTTAGGATAGTGACAATTAATCAGTTTAGCATCAACAGCTGCTAGTAATTTCACTTATTCACATTGTAGCATTATCGTAGTTTCATCACCTCGGGACAAGTCTCCAGGTCTAAACCTGATTGTCCTCGGGGGTATACCGGCGACCATTTTGATACTCATACGTAATCCCCCTCATATAAAAACCCCCATTTTCTAGACCAGGGCAATGCCTCGTCAGGTAGTAGGTGCCGCAGCCTTTGATGCGCGGAAGGACTGCTCGAAATCGGCGATGATGTCGTCGATATGTTCGGTACCAACAGAGATACGAATCGCATCTTCCGTCACACCAGAGTCCTCTCGCTCTTTTTCACTGAGCTGCTCGTGGGTGGTGGACCAAGGATGAATAGCCAGGGTCTTGGAGTCGCCAACACTATAAAAAGTCAGAACATGCACGAATAGGAGACAAGTCAAGAAAAACATACTTGGCAAGGTTGGAGATCAACTTGAAGCCATCAACCACCTGGCTACCAGCAGCAGCACCGCCCTTAATACCAACAGACAACACACCACCGTAGCCACGGGTCAAATATTTCTTTGCCGTCTTGTGGAACGGGTGATCTTCCAGACCGGGGTACGAAACCCAGCTAACATGCTCATTCTTCTGCAGCCACTGAGCCAGAGCCAAGGCGTTCGTAGCATGACGCTCACAGCGCAGACTCAAAGTCTCAAGACCGAGAATCAGTTGCTGGGCCGCGAACGGGTTCAGAGCTGAACCCAAGTCGCGCAGGATCTCAACGCGCACGCGGATGGCGAACGCAATGGAGCCAAAGGTCTCCCAGAACTTCAGACCGTGGTAGCCCTCGGAAGGTTCGATGAACTGGGGGAAGCGGGCGCCGTTCTTGCCCCAGTCGAATTTGCCGCTGTCGATAACCACGCCACCGATCGTGGTGCCATGACCACCAATCCACTTGGTGGCGCTGTGCACGACGATGTCGGCGCCGTGGTCAATGGGTCGAGCGAAGTATCCACCCGCTCCGAAGGTGTTGTCAACCTGTTTACTTCATCAGCACCTTCTCAAGTGTATCTCGCGTATCAAGCCACACTCACCACAAGAGGAACACCCCTATCATGCGCAACCTTGGCAATAGCCTCAAAATCAGGAACATTATACCTTGGGTTCCCGATAGTCTCCACATAAACAGCCTTGGTCCGGTCATCAATAGCGGCAGCAATATCAGCCGGATCATCACCATTAACAAACTTGGTTGTAATGCCCAACCGCGGCAACATAACCTTGAACTGGTTATAAGTACCGCCGTACAAGTTACTCGTAGAGACGATGTTATCACCGGCATGTGCCAATGCCGAGATAGCCATGAACTGGGCAGCTTGGCCGGACGACGCGGCGACGGCGGCGACACCGCCCTCCAGGGCGGCGATGCGCTTCTCGAAGACGTCCACGGTGGGGTTCATGATTCGACTGTAGATGTTGCCGAACTCCTTCAGGCCGAAGAGCCGGGCGCCGTGGGCGGAGTCATTGAAGGTAAATGAGGTTGTTGCGTAGATTGGGACTGCGCGGGAGTTGGTAGCGGAGTCGGGCTCGTGGCTTTTTTTGTGTGAGATCGGATTTGGGATCTGGTGCAAGTGGGATTGGATACTTACCCAGCGTGGAGCTGGAGAGTCTCGAAATGGAGATTCTGGGGATCGGACATGGTGAAATGCGGGCGAAATCCAATGTTTGGGGTCAGTGGTTATAGGAACAAGATACTCGACTGGTTTGCCTGAGCAGTATATTGGAAGGCGATACCGGAGGTCTGGGGGATTTCACACAGTTATAAGGGAGGGGAGACTGCGATGGCGGGGAAGCGGATGGCGTGATTGAGTTGATTGCAGGCCAGACCCCAGCTCCGTCCTCTCTTCTCGGGTAAAGGCTTGTATGTCGTGTCGATTCGCCGTCTCCACTCTTTGTTTTTTTCTCTCTTCAGACTCGTCATGCCATACGCGCTTGCCACACATCGGCGGCCACTAGCAACTAGCATTGCTGGCTCGATCTTGAGGCGCACGAGGATCTATCCACTATCCCGCCGATATTTATACCCTTTGTAAGATCTCAGCAAACTTGTAGTCTATGCAGGTCCCTGGCTCTTTTGCAGGTCGGTCGAGGGGTACAGGGCTCTGCTATGGTCGAGTGGGGAGAACCGTGGATCAACCGACCAGTGCCCCGTACCCCCGCATTGAATCTTCCAGGGTTGCCCGCGGGCGCTAGGAGTACCCCGAGATATTTCCGAAGTACCCCAGCTAAGAGAACTTTTGAGTGCTTACGAGTGGGCACGTTAGTGGCTTGAAAGATCTTAGATATTCACTATGCCCTGGTAGCTTTATGTGGTTACTTCTTCGGTGCGACTCATTGTAGAAAAGTTCAAGCGCCAAATCCGGCGATGACGGAGAACGAGGCGAATTATTGTCTAGTGCAATATATTGCATCTCTTTCCATGGGGTATTCAAGCGTGCGGTATTCACCGGTTCAGCATGATTGGAGCCCTTGCAGTGAGCCGTGGAATGTGATAGATGGCTGCCTAAATGACGAAATACCTGTTTTGAGGCAGCACTTGCCAAATGCTTCAACATACAAAGAATCCATTTGAGGATTTACAAAGGCGTTCGACATGTAAAACACAAGCACGATCGGACAATATCCAAGTCGACCCTGTTTGAGCCACTGGATCACCGGACACATTGGTTGGCGGACGCCACCTGGGAGCTAGTGTGGAGAGTGTTTCACATGCTCCCGGTAACCATTAGGCATTCGACTTGGCCTGCAGACTATGCTGATGGCTGTGCTGCGTTTATTGTCAAGTGCATATAGGCAGCAAGAAGATGAAAATAGACGTTGGTTATTTGTTGTCAGTGAGAATATAAAGAGGCCGTGATCATCGTGAACACTCTTCAAACATCCCCGACCGCAAAACAAGGTAAGCAAGGTCAGCCCTACCGATCATGCGTGCATCCACCCATTTGCCAAGGTGTGCCCGATGACGCCTGCGCGACGAAGGTGGCTGAACTGACCTACTATATTTTCTTAGCCTTTATTTACTACCCTCCTGCCCTTTTTGCGTCCTTGACTCAACCTTCCGAACCACAACATCTTTCTCGCACCAACAACATGAATCTTCCCTTGATCCAAGCTGTGCGCATCGTGCAGATCATCTTCGGTCTGATCGTACTCGCGCTGGCCGCTTATGGTGCGTTGATCCTCCGTTGACCCCCTGGTGCGGGTGAGTCCCTGGTATGCTGACAGCCGCTGCAGTGATCAGCTCCTTTAGCTGGTGGTCCTCCTCCAGCACGGTCGACTTCATGCTCTTTCTAGGCTGCTGGACAAGCTTCGTGGCTGTCCCTTACCTCGGCGCTGCCCCGATCTTCTTCCCCCGCTTCGCACACCACTTCGTGATTCCCGCCGTCGAGGTGATCACCATGATTTTCTGGTTCGCCGGCTTTATCGCGCTCGGTGCGGAGCTGCCTTCGCCTGCGTACTGCACGTGGAGTGCATGCCATGCTCTTCAGGCCGCCACTGTCTTCGGCGCACTTGAATGGTGTGTATTCTCCGATGTGACGAGTGAACAGCACACTAACTCGTTGGAAATAGGGTTCTCTTCTGTGTGACGACCTACTTCGCCATCGTCGATCTCATGAATCACCAGCGCAGCGGTGAAAGTGTCCAGAAGACGCAGCACAACGCCCATCTTGGCGTGTAGGGAATGGTGGTGTCTTCTTTTGGAGGATTGATTTCCGGTCCAGAGTCCCCCTACTTAATACTGCGATTGTTTTCCAACGATACCCGATACCCCCCCTCGGCGGCTATTAGAGTGATCCACGACTTGATGTTTTTTTTTTGGGTTGTGTTTAATTTGAAATTTGAAAATTGAAATACGAAGTTGAAATTGAATCGAGTTGATGTAGTTACGGCCAGTGATAGTTAACTAGTTAACTTATGTCAAACTTATTATGGAATCCGTTTATCAGTGCTATTTCCCGTTTCGCTTATCGATGGACCCACTGGAACGGAAACGGTTCGAACGTCCATGGTTCCATTCATTGGGGATTTTTCGGGCACGCGAGCCAGAGTTTTCTTTGCGCACGTAAAAGTCCTGGTTTTGTCTAATTATCAATTGGTCAAAGAGTAAATAGGACGCAGTAAACAGTGCTAAGTAGAAGTATATGAGCAACAAGCTCCTGATCGGCACCGGCGCTGCCGAGAAAGGCGGGTGGCGGGCGCGCCTCGTGTCACCTCGTGGCAACGTTAGTTCGATTTCTTCAGGGCGTGCTAGTAAATCTGCCGGGCGTTGGAGCTACTTGGTCATGCAGTGATTAATTTCTACTGGCAAAGTATAGATAAGTAAAGCTCAGACCGTTCGCCACCAGAAAAAGTTTTCTTGGTCGGCGCGGCCCACATTGAGAGTTTTCGCGCGGGTAGTATCCGCCGACGTATGAAAATTTCCGTCAAATAGCCCGGAAACGTGCAGGCCAAGAAGTGAAGTGATCATTGCATCTGTCTTCCAATCTCTACCCGGGCATATTGATTACATTCTGCAGTCGGTTCCTTTTACATAACGCTATCTGGGCCGATCTGGGAGGGATTAGCGTCGCGTGCTTCTCCACCTGTTGCAGCAGAGCACTCGGAGGCACCCGCTCAACGAGTTGAGAGTGGAGAACGTTACGTGAAAGACCTTCTGTTTCAGATCCTGTCCGCCCTTCTCCTCTTTCCTCCAAGTCTCCAGTCCTCGATCTGAACTGCTTCAGTCCAGACATGGCCTCAGGTAAGGTCGAGAAAGGAAAGATGGACTCGGAGGGTCCAATCACGCCGGTTCTGCAGCAATATCCTGCTCCTGACGACGCCTACGATGTCGACTACGAGAAGCACGGCGCTGGCCGTGAGTCCAATCCGCTGCCCGATCTGAAGCGTAGACTGAAGAGTCGTCACTTGCAGATGATCGCTATCGGTGAGTAGATCGTATGGAATGCTTTTCGGCGGATTTTTTCATGCTAATGATCGCAAAGGCGGCACGATTGGAACTGGCCTGTTCATCGGTAGCGGCGCCGCCGTCGCAGATGCCGGTCCTGTCGGTGCCCTCATCGCTTACATCTTCGTCGGAAGTATCGTCTACTCGGTCATGATCGCTCTGGGAGAAATCGCAACCTATATCCCGATTCCCGGTGCCTTTACCGCGTATGCCACTCGCTTGATCGACCCCAGTCTCGGTTTCTCGATGGGTTGGATTTATTGGTTCTCTTGGGCGTCGACATTTGCACTCGAATTGACGGCCACGGGTTTGATTATTCAATTCTGGGATTCCGATATTCCGATCGCCATCTTCATTGCAGTCTTCTGGGTCGTGATCATTCTGTTCAACATGGTTCCCGTCGGCTTCTATGGAGAGATGGAGTTCTGGTTCTCGAGTATCAAGGTCATCACGGTTATCGGCTTCATGATCTTCGCCATCTGCATGAATGCCGGTGTTGGCAAGGAGGGGTACCTCGGCTTCCGGTACTGGGTGACCCCGGGTCCGTTCGTTGCCTTTGAACTTAACGATATCGGCGGCGACGTGTCTCTCGCCAAGTTCATCGGCTTCTGGTCAGTTCTGATCAAGGCCGGCTTCTCTTATCAAGGCACGGAGCTGGTCGGTATTGCGGCCGGTGAGACCGAGAACCCTCGCAAGACCGTCCCTTCCGCGATCAAGAAGACTTTCTTCCGCATCATCTTCTTCTTTATCCTGACCATCTTCTTTATTGGTATCGTGGTGCCTTCGGATGACCCTGACCTGTTGAACAGTGAGGGTAGCGGAGCTAGCGCGAACAACGGCAATGCTTCGCCGTTTGTGATTGCGGCCCGACGCGCCGGTATCAATGCTCTTCCGGATATCATCAACGCCGTCCTTCTGACCGTGGTGCTCTCCGCAGCCAACTCGAACGTGTACAGCGGTAGTCGTATTCTGGTTGGATTGGCCCAGGAAGGCTTTGCTCCGCGGTGCTTTAAGACAACGACCAAAGGCGGTGTTCCTTACTGGGCCGTTCTCTTCACCGCTCTGTTCGGCCTGCTGGGCTTCATGAACGTGTCCAGCACGGCCGCCAACGTCTTCAACTGGCTGCTCCAGATCTCGGGTGTGGCCGGCTTCATCACCTGGTCCTCCCTGAATCTCTGCCACCTCGCATTCATGCGGGCACTCAAGGCACGCAACATCTCGCGGGATGTTCTGCCGTACAAGGCCGCGTTGCAGCCTTTCCTCTCGTGGTACGGGCTGTTTTTCAACGTCCTGATCATCATTACCCAGGGTTTCACCTCATTCATCGGAGGATTCCAGGTCCAGAACTTTTTCATGGACTACCTCAGTCTGATTCTGTGGGTCGTTCTGTATGTGGGACACAAGGTGATCTACCGCGATCCCTTCGTCAAGCCTCTTGAAGCCGACCTGGACACTGGCCGAACCACGGCTGAGAATGAGTCCTGGGAGACGACCGAGCCGACGACCTGGTACGGCAAGATCTGGCACTGGATCAGTGGCTAAGTGCATTGTATATTTGTATATTGTTACCGGTGTGGATATTCGGGGTTTTTATTCGTTTCGTGGCATGGGGTATGGCGTTTTACGATTTTCAGTGTATATGATAGTTACCATAGAGTTAACGCGCAACGATAGACCGTGCGCAAAGCATACTTCATTCAAAGGCCGAAGTTCTCGACGACATGAGTTGCCATGTGAAACCCCATGTGAGGAAAGCAAATGACATCGTCGCGTCTCACAACGTAGCCGGGGTGGGCCACTAGCCTCGGTACTTGCTTATGTATGGGACCCCTTACAGTTAACCAAGTACCGCCACAAAACAGCCGAGGTCCCTTCGCCGATCGTTCCGTGAATGGAGGAATAACCCAAAAGGTCGATGTCTCCGGATTTCTCTTTTCTACTCCAGACCCCCTACTCTTCCCCCACACTCCTTGTCCTTACCTATCCGATCTCCGGGGATCTTTCTGGGAGGTTATCTCTTTCACTCCTCTGATCAGATCCTGAGTCTCTCTCTGGTATGTGTCGTCTCCGTCCCCGCGACATCCGAGCGCAGTCAGACATGTGCTAATGACCGTCGGGCCAAATAGACACCATGTTCTTTTCACAACCCGCCCATCTCGCTAAGGCGGAAGAGCTCAAGCAGGAGCCTCCCAAGGGCACTCCCTACTCGGTCGCAATCCCCGGCACCGAGCAGCCTGGCCGAAGCCGTGTCTATCGGGGATGGAATACACAGAAGGAGCTGCTGAAGACTCTGGATCCTCAGGTACGCGAGACCTCTCGGCAAATCGGATGGAAGAGGATTCTAATGCAACTTGTTTTTTCTAGGTTCTCACTGCCCATGACATGTTCGAGTCGACCGCCAACCGCCAGCCCAAGAACCACTGCCTCGGCTGGCGCCCATTCAACCCCACCACCAAGACCTTCGACCCGTACCAGTGGCTTACATACGAGACGGTGCAGAAGCGCCGTGCGGATTTCGGTGCCGGTCTGGTGGAACTGCACCACAAGCACAACTGCCATCGCCCTGGCCAGTACGGTATTGGTCTTTGGTGCCAGAACCGCCCCGAGTGGCAAATCACTGGTGAGTTCTTCCATTCCCTTGAAAGTATTCAGAAGCTAACTTGGATGCAGATTTGGCATGCATGTCTCAGGGTCTCTTCTCTGTCTCTATCTACGATGTCCTGGCCGCGGACGCCACCGAATACATCATTAACCATGCGGAGCTGAACTGTGTTGTGACCTCTCTGCCTCACATTCCCACTCTCTTGAAGCTCAAGTCGTCCCTGCCCAATCTGAAGATGATTGTCAGCTTGGACCCGCTCGACGGTGGTGACCAGGATGGCCACTCGAAGCGTGCTCTGCTGGAGTCCGTGGCTGCTGGCTTGGACGTCGCTATCTACAGCATTGACCAGGTCGAGGCTCTGGGAGAGGCCTCAAAGCGCGGCTACAACCTTCCCTCGCCCGAGGACACCGTCACTATCAACTATACCTCTGGTACCACCGGTCCTCCCAAGGGTGTAGTTTTGACCCATCGGGCCGCCGTAGCGGCCACTTCGGCCGGTCTCACCACCATTGGCCAGGCTCGTGGTGACACAATGTGCTCTTATCTTCCGTTGGCTCACATTTACGCTCGCCTGGCAGAGCACACTGCCTTCTGGGGTGGTGCCCGTATTGGTTACTTCCACGGCAACATCGTGGAGCTGGTCGATGATCTGAAGCTTCTGAAGCCGACTGGCTTCATGTCAGTTCCGCGTCTTTACAGCCGCTTTGGCACTGCTGTGCGCGCTGCCACTGTCGAGCAGCCTGGTTTCAAGGGTGCTCTGTCCCGACACATCATTGCGGCCAAGACTGCCAACCTCAAGAACCCTGACCCCTCCAAGGCTACCATCCGCCACGCCCTGTATGACCGCATCTGGGCCAAGAAGGTTGCTGCTGCTCTCGGTCTCGAGCGGGCCAGGTACATGGTTTCGGGCTCGGCTCCCCTAGACCCCTCCTTGCACAACTTCCTCCGTATTGCCACCGGTACCGATGTCATTCAGGGCTACGGTCTGACTGAGTCCTATGCCTGCGGCACCGCTCAGTCGGCCGAGGATCTGTCTTCTGGCAACTGTGGCCGTCTTGCTCCTTGCACCGAGGCTTGCCTGATCTCCCTACCCGACATGGAGTACTCAGTGGATGACAAGCCCTACCCTCGTGGCGAGCTTCTCCTGCGCGGTACCAACATGTTCCGCGAGTACTTCAAGAACCCGGAGGAGACTTCCAAGGCCATGACCGAGGATGGTTGGTTCCGTACCGGTGACGTTTGCCAGGTGGATGAGATGGGCCGCTTCATCATCATCGACCGCCGCAAGAACGTTCTCAAGCTGGCTCAGGGCGAGTACATTTCCCCCGAGCGCCTGGAGGGTGTCATCATGTCCGAGCTTGGTTATCTCGCCCAGGCCTACGTCCACGGTGACAGCATGCAGACCTTCCTGGTCGGCGTGTTCGGTGTTGCGCCCGACATGTTCGCTCCCTTCGCCAGCAAGGTCCTGGGCCGCAACATCGGTGACACGGATATGGATGCCATCAATGCTGCTTTGTCTGACGACAAGATTCGCAAGGCTGTGCTGCGCGATCTCGAGCGCGTGGCCAAGAAGCACAAGTTTCAGGGATACGAGCGTGTTAAGAACGTTTCTCTGAAGCTGGAGCCTTTCACCGTGGAGAACAACCTCCTGACTCCGACGTAAGTTTCAATGTTACCTACTTTTTTTGATCGGAATCACTTTGCTAACTATCCTCCCAGTCTCAAACTGAAGCGTCCTCCTACCGTCAAGCTCTACCGCGGCCTCCTGGACCAGCTGTATGCTCAGGCTTTGGAGGAGGAGTCGGCTCCCCGCGCCAAGCTGTAGTCTTCTTTTCGGGGTGTTCTCTCGAGCGCCTTCCAGTCTACTCGGGAACTGTACATAGGAGTCTGCATTCCGCCCGGTAGCCGGGCTATGCATTGTAGTATATTGAGCTTGAGCCTTGATGAATTTTTATTTCTATTCATAACTGAGATTTTGTTTTCTATACATCGTAGGGCTTGATTATTGTGGTAGATTCTCCCTGAGGTCAGTGGAGCGAGCTGAAAGTGGTAGTCAGGTTGAGTATCATACCGTCAGGTCACTCTGTCATGATATACCACAATCTATGGATGCTTGAAAACCCAATAAAAAAATTAAAAATTAACAAGAATTGCAGTGTTTGTAAATTGCATGGAAACGATGCCATTGGGAAAGAATGGCAAAAACAAAAAGTTATGACAAGAGTGGGATTCGAACCCACGCCCCGTAAACGAGATCAGGAAACCAATGTTTGGTGTTAAGGTGGACCTTAACCTGACGCCTTGGACCAACTCGGCCATCTTGCCTGTTGAGTGATTAGTTGGGTCAGAATTGACATTATCATGGCATTCTCTGGTAGAGTGAATTATTCGTACCTTACGGTGGCCTCACTTAAGTCGATGACACCGAGGCAAGTCTCAACCCAGTCATGTCCATTTAATTGAATTTGTATTTGAATTACAGCTTTCCATTCATTCAGATATGAATAACATAGCCTTGGAATTGCAATCTCTTCGTTATGTGAAATCGTACAAGTGTTGGGTCCGTTCTGAAAATATATATGTCGTGCATCGTTTTACCTCGAACCATGCGGACGGTTAGCAAGGGACGAAGGTGGCAGTAGGTCGCACTGGCTTTAGCTTGAGCGTTAGATTGTAAGTATTACCTACCTACATAAACTCGCCTCGATAAAATGCAACCTTTCAGTTAGCTACATGCGAGGGCGAACAGAAAAACCGAAAAAATTCATGTTTAGATACATATCAAGATTCCACCGACCAGAAGCACTAGTTTTTAACCATCACAAACCCCGAAAACTCCTGTTCAACGCCCTAACAACGGAAAGCCATTGGAGGTGAGAAATCACTCCTCATCAGAGGAGCTCATGGCGAAAGGATTTTCCTCTGATTGGGTAGATTCCTCCTTGGGCTCGGGGGTATCCATTTCGCCCTTCTTAGACAGAAAGTGCTTTATGCGCTTGATGTCGGACTCAACGCGGTGAATAACGTCTGGCAGCTCACGGAAGACCGCACGAACGGCCGCAAAGTCATTTTGGTTGGTGGCCTGGAGGAAATCCTTCTCTAAAAGAGGGGTTGTGTACCACCTAGCAGGAAAGGCGAGACCTAGGCTCTTACCCTTGCGGGCGGAACTAGGAGTGGACGAGGTTTTAGAGCTGTATGTGGATTGTTTCTGCACCTTCCGGGCTAGAGTCCTAGGATCGGTGAGTGGAGCTTGAGCTTGCCGTTTGCCCATGGCGCGAGTCATCACCTGTGAACCTGGGATGGTAGACCCAGCAAGGGACTCCAAGAACGGCGTTACCGAAGACTTAGTAGCGCCGCCAGAAAGAGACGCGGCAGTACCACTGGCAGAAGAAGCAGCAAGACGGGCCGCAGGAGAAGCAACCGCATGGGTGGCGGGAGAGGTAGTAACGCGGCTTACAGAAGAAGCGGACGGAGGAACGATAGCTCGCAGAAGCGGATGGTTGGGATTCTGCTTGCGTAGAGGAGCAAGGATCCAGTTGGCGAGCTGTGGAGCCTTTCGGAAGGAACACTTCTTGCCGCTGGAATTGTAATTGCAAGAAGCGCAACCACCAGCAAAGATAACATGGCCCTCGATAACAAGAACACGACAGGACGCAAATGGACCGCAGCCCCCACGGCAGTTCTTGCAAGCCTGGCCTGCAGGGGCTTCCATGCCCGTTCGTTGAACAACCGCTGCGTGCTTCGCGATGGGTTCGCGACAGTTTTTGATTTTTCCACCGCGCCAGTCCACATCCTGCAGGATGGGAGCTCGCAACAGCCGACGCTCAAAATGAGTCCGGAAGTCGACCGTGATGGGATTGCCGCATTCGTCAACACCAACAGGCTTTGGTGCAAGACTGGAGGAGGTCGTGCCGGTCATAATGAATGATGGACCGAAACCAAGAAACGAGGGCAGAAAAAAGTGAAAGACAGTTTGTTTACAAGACTTGGAAGCAGCCAACAATCAAGAAGGAAAGGAGTGTGAGTGGAAAAAGAGAAAGGGAAATGAAGGAAGAAGAGACGAGGGAAAATGAAACGAGGGAGGCAGGTCCCCATCAGTGTGGTTGTTTACAGAGAAGGAGAGAATAAAATGACCAAAATAGACATTATAGATACACACTCTAATCCCAGAAGAAGGAAGGACCCACAAGTTAAATGGTCGGGATCACCTCGGGACTAAGTTCGGCGATACGCTCCACACCGACTTCACTGAAGCGATGTGCGGCCCGTATAAGAGCACCAGCTACCCCGCCATGAGGGGTTTCACCTTCCATTGAACATCGAAGCACCGTCACAATGGTTTATACCATCGTCGTCCGTGAGTATCCCGCATCCACCGCCTGGGCAGTTCATTCAGATACCCAACCACCCAATTGAACCCTACTAACGATGCACCTTAACTAGACATGCGCGCAAAGGCAGACCAGGAGTCCATCTCCAAGCTGCATGCCAAGCTCCTCGAGGCTTCAGCCGTCTACTCCAAGGACAAGGAGACTCTCTCCTGGTTCGTGATGCAGTCCGTCCACGATCCCCAGGACTTCACCATCGTCGAGCGGTACCTCCAAGAGTCGTCGCAGGAGTACCACCTCAACAATTCCTACTGGAAGACCTTTGACCCCTATGTGATCCCGCTGCTGGAGAAGGATATGGATCTGCGCCGGTTTGAGGAGTTGGTTCCTTCTTCCGCTTAGATCTGTATCCCCCAGGTTGATCAATCTGAAGGTGGATTGTATCTAGAGCGGCATTGGAGGAAACATGACACATGTACACGAATAAATAAAATTTACCAATACTCTGAGAGTCAAATGAGGTTGATTCCCTGGCTATACTATCTATACTGACATAGATGAACCCGGAAAGCAAATGGAGCAAGAACGCCCGAAACGCCGAAGCCCACGCGGGGGAGGGGGAATGAGAAAGCAAAATCGCCGCCGGAAAAGAAACGCCAGCCTGCTAGCACACTTGTTTGCGCCCCGAAAGACCCATGTTATCATCTCTCAGTAGAGCCCGAGCTTTGCATCTTGTCGTGATCGTAATCCAGAAAGCGGAATTATTGTTCCATACGCCCGCACCAGTAGTCGAATTGAAGCTCAGATAGACTTTTCGTGGAGAGTCCCCAGGTCCGCGCAAGCCAGAGTGCCAGCCCGCCGACAACCCCGACACTACCGACGATCTGGACCAGGACCCAGCCACGCCGGCCGAGGTCGTCAATCCAGCCGACCACGCCTAGAGGGTCGTGCGAACTCATGCTTGTGAAACGGTACTCCTTTGATCCACCGGGTCGCATGGCATGTAAGCCACTCGGACCTTTCTCGCCGACGGGGATATGAAGCCCACAGAAACCAGGGGTTTGGGAAATGGGCACTAGTGAGCCATCTATAACGCATTCATTCAGTTTCTCGGTCAGCCATATGGCACGATCACCTCGAGCCAGGGAGGCGTATCGGTCACGCTCGTTTTGTAGGCTGCGCTGCAGGTCTGTTGCCCAGTGGGCCAGACGCACGTGGGCCATGCGCTCTTCATGCCGCGTGTAGTCTGTGATCCGTGCCATTGCATAGCTGGGTGGTGATTCGCCGAGAGAGGAGATGGATGAGTTCATAGAAGCTCCTGACACGCCACGCCAGCCTGGTCCACCAGTAGTAGCACCCGAGAGCGTGTTTGGAACTGGCGCCGTTGTGGGTGGAAAGGGTGGGAAATCTCCGCGGCGCAGTGCTAGCTTCTTTGCGGCTGAATGGCGCATCCAGGCAAGGTTGTCCCGGTCGAATAGCTTCGCAACTAGAGTGCTAAGTTCAGACACGACAAGCGGCTGTACGTAGTCTGGATTCATCAGTGTACTAGCGTCCATGACTTCCGTGTCGGTGGTTTTCTCGGACGATACTGCGTAGGGTGGCTGTGGCCCCAGTCCTTCAATTTCTCCTGGAAGTGAGTTGCCAAATAGAAAAGGTTTGATTCCGGCATCTTGAGCTCGCTGATGAAACCGATTCTTGAGCGAAGTGATTTGCTCATCTGTCAAATTGTCTGCCTTTGCCACGACTGGAATGACATTGCTCAGATCGCAGAGCTTGCGGATGCATTCAACATCGGCAGCCAGGGTACCTATGAACGTTAGCATTGAGATAGTCAGAGAAGGGCGTGGGGACATACCATCCGATATCAAGTACAAGATCGCGTCAACTTGGGAACCACCATTCCCCGCAAGCAGATTTTGAAAATCTACTCCTGAGCTTGCAAGCGCTGTGGTTGCTCGGTGTAATTGCTGTCGCATGTATTGGACGATGGCATCGGTTTGCCCTGCCCGGCTCAGAGAAGTAGCGGGCGTATCAACGAAACAGAGGTTTCGCTCGAGTACGATTTCGCCAATGCTTTTCCGGCGTCGTAGCACCCGCGAATCCTCTAGATCCGACCACCAAGATGGATACGGTTTGGTACTAGCGTAGATCTCAGTGACGGCAGCGGACACCCCGCGAGTGGGGGCCCCGTAGTGGGGATGTGACGGCCGGCGGCGCTCGAGTGAGATCACCGACGAAAGAGCATCCAGAGAATCAACGTGCACGATATCTTCACTAGTCTGAACGATGGATTTTATGAGGGATGTTTTGCCGGACCCTATTTATCGATTCATCAGCGAACGCGCATTAGGGTGTATGTCCACGTGGTAGAAACCTACCCGGAGCTCCAGCCAAGAGTACTTTGAACCGACCCATAGCTTTCCCCCGCTCGGTAAACGGTCGTCGGCTGGGCATCTTGATGCTGGGCATGATAAGCTGGGAAGCTCCACCAGGCCCCAGAAGAGGCGATGCCCTGAACCTCTCCTCCTCATCCCCCGACATAAGATGTTGGCTGCTGATTTCATCTGAGATGGAGATGTCGTCAAGCGGCCGAAAGGACTGATTGGAAATAGATTTAGGACTACTAGGCAACGAAGAAGGCTCGTCGGGGTTTAGCGGGGTCAGTGGGCGCGAAGCCGTATCGGAGGGAGGAGGTCGCGATAGTGAGTCCTGCACTCCATATCCAAAGGGCTTGATTGTTGATCGTCGTCGTGAGCTCTGGAGCTCCTCTGAATCCTCGAGTCCTTGCGACGGACTGCTCATGAACTGGCCGTCTGCGGGGAATGAGCGCGGGGAGCTTGCAGCCAACTCGGAGCGAGACAAGGTCTCCCCTAGACTCTGCACCCCATACATGCTTTCCCTCATGTCCCCGGGCTCATCGATAGGAGAGCTGGGCTCATCGTCGGAGGCATGCGGGTTGCGAGATAGGAAGAAGGTTGAGGGGGCGGCGGTGCGGGGATCAAGGGACGGGGAGGGGTGGTCGAAGGAAGGTTTGCGGGCGAAGGTCGGCAAGTCGGGAACAGGTCGCATGGTCAAGACATCGAGGAGATTCAAGGATGCTTTGAAAAGGGTCTGTAAGAGAGATGGGTGCAGCGATATCGCCGGGATCATGTCATACTGCGTATGTAAGCCATCACGCGCGGGGTGCGGGAACAAGGACGATAGCGTTCGATGCCCCCTCCTAGTGATTCATGACTGGCTATAAATGGTAACTATCGGTGCAAAATGATGGAACGATCACAGTATATATTGGCCTGGCCATAATCATTCCACCGCTAATCTAACAAGCGTATACAATGCTATGTTGGTGGCATCATTGAATGACAACATGATTGTACAATCGGTTGTGTCATGGTACATGGATCCTTTCCGGGGTACCGAGATTAAGTTCTTCAAAGTTTTTGGATTTCTGTAGTATACTAATTGGGTTTAATACCTTCTTCGTATCGTGCTTGTAGATGCGATGGGCGTTAGGGCGCCAAGTGGGTAGGGTGATCGTTATCTTGGTCCCATCTGCATCCATCTGGGATTATCATAAAGTACCTTGGAATGCACTATAATTATTGAAAACAAACACAACAGGCAAGATGGCCGAGTTGGTCCAAGGCGTATGGTTCAGGCTCACCTGATCCAAGTTTCCATATCTCGTTTACGGGGCGTGGGTTCGAATCCCACTCTTGTCATGTCTTTCTTTTTTTCTTTTTTATTTCCATCTGCTTCTGTGTCCTTTTTACTACTAGGTCTCTCTCTCTCTCTCTCTGCCAGTGGAAAATTCTGGTATGTTTGATTTCATCACATTTTTGTCGATATTTGCTCTGTTGAAGTGTCGAAGTCAGAAGAATTTCCTTCTATGCTCAGTTTTCCTCTTTCCGGTTTGGTCACACGCGTCACTCAGCCTTGTTAACATCAAAAAGAACACGATCAGAGGAGGCGTAGACAGCAGAACCAAGTATAGGTGTTCATGGCATCAAGTATACGCACATGTTGACTAAACGAAGCCTACATTCCTGGGAAACTTCCAGACATCCTATGAATAGCCGATTGGTAACTTGCATTGTTCTAAACATGACCTCAACCACCGAGCGCCTTGTACATCTGCTCAACGTCCTCGCCAATCTGACTTTCCAGATCCTCGATCTGGAGACGGTAGAAGTCTTCATCTCCTCCCGCCGCCGCCACCATAGCTGCAGGAACTAAGTCTAGGTATTCCTGCTTGGACATAGAGACGTGGGCACTGACAGCCGCCCGCTTGGCCGACCACATGGCGTGGTACGCATTGGTAGAGTTGTCGTTGTTGGCGTCGCCGACAACATAGATGCCCCCGACGCTTGACTCCATGTTGGACTTGACCTTGACCGATTTTCCATCCATCTCCAAGCGTAGCTGCTTGTGAAGGGTGGATGTCTGAGTAGTAGGTACGGAGATGAGCATTCCGTTTGTGACCAAAGGGTTGGGGCTACCAGCATTCAGGTAGACTTTATACTCGTCGTCCTTGGGCTCCATGTTGGTCGTGGTGGGTTCGAGCTTGTTGATATCATTCTCCCGGATGGGGATCTTGTAGATGTTTTTGATTACGGTTTCCCAGCCTGGCCAGCGTGCATCTGCCTCTGCCTTGTCCTCCTTTGTAATTGGTCCGCCGGTCACGATGGTTATATCGGTGGTCAGCTTTCTCATGTTCAGGGCAGACCCAATGGCGCTCACAAGCTTGCCATAAACGACCATTTTGCGGTTCTTGTAGTCGTGACCATCGCACCAGGGACACCAAAACACGCCCCTTCCAAAAGCTTCCGCAAAGCCCACCTTATTCGGTAGGACATCCTTGATACCAGTAGCCATAATGACCCTCTTAGCCGTAACCTTTCCGCCTTTGTCGTCATAGACACGGAAACCCTTCTCGAGGGGAATAATGCCGGTGACCTTTGTCTTGCGGGTGGCCCAGAAGGAATAATCAGGGTACAATTCATCGATTTGCCGTCGAACTGCAGTTCGAAACTTCAGTGGCACTTGCCCTAGACAGAGTCAATTCTCAGCTCCTCATCATACGGATAGACATTATAATTACCGTCTTGGCCCAGAACGTCGTGCATGTACCGTGTCTGCTCATTCCGGTACTCTTGCGAATCATACAAGAGAGATGTTCGGGCAACTCGCGCGAGAGACATGGATGCAGCCAAGCCGCCAGGGCCACCACCAACGATGACAACGTCGTAGTCCCAATTAGTAGGGTTCCACTCATCCGGCGATGTGTAGTCGGTTATATTGAACTCAACATCATCAATGGCGATGTGCTGGGTCAGCTCGGAGACCGCATCTTCGGGAGATTCAGCAAGAGTCTTCTGAGGGACAGATAGGGCCGAAGCAAGAGAAAGGGAAAGAAGCCAAAGGTGCCAGAAAGAAGAATTGAGGTGCATCATGTCGCGGGCAGCGCAGAGGAAAAGCGGGTTGACGACTTGTCGATTGAGCAACTGCGGGACCAGACTCCATATTTGTAGTGCAAAATGAGCTCCATTGTCGTTCAATCACATTGGTTTCACCCATTCGAAGTCACGTTTATTCTTAATCCTCCACTTTGACGCGGTTGGTAACTTTGTGCAGTGTAACAGGTCCTTGCGCAACCACTACTGCAACCGAGCCAAGAAGGCATCTGCTCCCCTCTTGACGGTTTTGATTTGTAGGCCTAAGATACCTGCCCCACGGATTGCCCGAGTTGTGCAGATCTGTCCAGCCCTGACGAATAGTGATGCGCCCACAAAATAGTTCGTCCGCTTCAGCTAGCCACGCTCCACTGCCGATCTGACGAACGAGCGTAATTTCGACCAAACATGAGCTCGTTCTTTGTCCATGTTATCACCATGTAGATTTTACCAGTCACATCTGCAGTCGGATGCCGGTAGTCGTATCCCTAGTGGGTTAGATATCAGACCCAGAAAAGGGATCATCACTGCAAAGGACATTAGGAAAATTGAACTGCGGTTTACGGTTGGAAATGTCGATGCGATCCGCACTACTTTAGGCCTCCACCTGCTCCTCTGTGCCGAGTCCTACGTAAATGGGTGCGAGGCTGTACATTGTACGATACCCCTTCGGTTTTCCAGGCTATTGTAACTGCCTATGTGCTCGCTGCGTATAGGTACAGGAACTAAACAAGTGTGATGCAGCTGCTACTAATGCATGGGATGGCTTTTCTCGGCATGCATGCGCCTCAAGGTCGTCTGAATCCCTCAACGCTACTGTCCATCCAACCACCCTGGGGACATTCCCCAGCGTCTGCCGCCTACCGAGACAACAGCCAGACGGGCATGTGAACTATGTCTTCCCACAATGCCGTTGCCAAGTATCCTCGGTTCCTGTATTGATCTCAGGCGGGAACTAGTACAAAGCGGCCGAACAGTCATCCCCCACATCCCATCGAGGCTGCCTCTTTTTATGTATCGTCACCGCTAAGCTTTAGATAGCAGCATAGGATGATGAAGCCTACATTTGCAACATTAAACACCCCTGGCGCCACCAATAATACACGGGAATGATTCCAAGAGGTATCTACAATCTACAAGGACCTTGTCGCCGAAGTAAACTAAATTGTATTCAAACCATTTACGCACATGTATCAGAACAAGTGAAGAGAGAAATATTCCAGTTGGATTGTTAAAGAAAAGACAAAAAGTTTAAAAAAAAATGAAGGGTCGTTATCCCGTTTCCCATTTCCCGTAAGAACAGATTGTAAGCAAGCAAGCGGCGAAGTCATCTAGTCAACCTCCTCCATGGTGCTCTCGCCGGCAGCCTCAGCGGGGGCAGCAGCCTCGGTAGCGGTCTCAGCGGAGGTCTCGACATCCTCATCGATGTTCAGACCCAGAGAGACGAGCTTGTGGATGCGCTCGGCGAAGCTGGCGGGCTCCTCAATGGTGAAGCCGGAGACCAGCAGGGAGGTCTCGAAGAGCAGCTGGGTGATGGACTTGACGGTGCGGTCGTTCTCGCCATCGGCCTCGACCTTCTTCTTGAGCTCCTTGATGATGGAAGACTTGGGGGAGATCTCGAAGGTCTTCTTGGAGGACATGTACGAGGACATGGAGGTGTCACGGAGGGCCTGGGCCTTCATGATACGCTCCATGTTAGCGGACCAACCGAACTGGCCGGTACGGATGGCGCAGGGAGCGCCCATGAGCTTGTGGGAGACGACGACCTTCTCGACCTTGTCGCCGAGGATGTTCTTCAGGGCCTTGGCGAGGTCCTCGAACTCCTTCTCCTCCTTCTCGCGCTCGGCCTTCTCCTCCTCGGTCTCCTCGAGCTCGAAGTCCTTGGTGATGTCGACCAGCTTCTTGCCGTCGAACTCCTTCAGCTGAGTGAAGGCGTACTCGTCAATGGGGTCAACCAGGAACAGAACCTCGAAGTTCTTCTGCTTGAGGGTGTCGAGGAAGGGAGACTGAGCAACGGCCTTGATGGACTCGCCGGTGATGTAGTACATGTTCTTCTGGTGCTCGGGCATACGAGTGACGTAGTCGGTGAGCGAGGTCTGCTCGTCACCAGACTTGGTGGACTGGTAGCGCAGAAGCTTGGCCAGGGTAGGGCGGTTCTGGGCATCCTCGTGGATACCGAGCTTGATGTTCTTGCTGAAGGCAGAGTAGAACTTGTCGAACTGCTCACGGTCCTCAGCGATCTCGGTGAAGAGCTCAAGAGTCTTCTTGACGATGTTCTTCTTGATGACCTTCATGATCTTGTTCTGCTGCAGGGTCTCACGAGACAGGTTGAGGGGAAGGTCCTCAGAGTCGACAACACCCTTGACGAAGCTGAGCCACTCGGGAATGAGGTCGGTGGCATCGTCGGTGATGAAGACACGACGAACGTACAGCTTGATGTTGTTCTTGGTCTTCTTGGTCTCGAAGAGGTCGAAGGGAGCGCGCTTGGGGACGAAGAGAATGGCGCGGAACTCAAGCTGACCCTCGACGGAGAAGTGCTTGACACCGAGGTGGTCCTCCCAGTCGTTGGAGAGGGACTTGTAGAAGGAGGCATACTCCTCAGTGGTGATGTCGGCAGGGTTGCGGGTCCAGATGGGCTTGGTCTTGTTAAGCTCCTCCTCCTCGATCTTGGACTCCTTGATGGTCTTGGTCTTCTTCTTCTTCTCCTTCTCCTCATCCTCGTCGACCTCCTCGACCTTGGGCTTCTTCTCATCATCCTCCTCCTTGGTCTCCTCAGCCTCCTCGTCGGGGACCTCGGTCTCAGTCTCCTTCAGGACGTGAAGGTAAATGGGGTAGGAGATGAACTCGGAGTGCTTGCGAACAACCTCCTTGATGCGGGACTCCTGGAGGTAGTCCATCTGCTCATCCTTGAGGTGGAGGATAATCTTGGAGCCACGGCCGAGCTGCTCGCCCTCGGTGTCCTGGGTCAGGGTGAAGGTGCCACCGGCAGCGGACTCCCAAACGTACTGCTCGTCATCGTTGTGCTTGGAGACAAAGGTAACCTTGTCGGCAACCAGGTAGGCGGAGTAGAAACCGACACCGAACTGGCCGATCATGGAGATGTCAGCACCTGCGGACAGGGCCTCCATGAACTGCTTGGTGCCGGAGCGGGCAATGGTACCAAGGTTGTTGATGAGATCCTAAGTGGGTCCGTATTAGCATTGAGTCACAGTTTGGAGATGTGAGCATTTAACTTACAGCCTTGGTCATACCAATACCGGTATCGCGGATGGTCAGGGTCTTGTTGACCGGGTCGGGGATGATGTCGATGCGCAGATCCTTGTTGGAGTCGAGCTTGGACGGGTCCGAGAGGGACTCATAGCGGATCTTGTCCAAGGCATCGGAGGCGTTGGAAATCAGCTCACGCAGGAAGATCTCCTTGTTGGAGTAGACGGTGTTAATAATAAGGGAGAGCAGCTGAGAGATCTCAGCCTGGAACTCGAAGGTCTCCGGCATGATGACGGTGTGATTCTGAGAGCGGTTAGATGGAAATCCAGCAATTGGTGGGCCGACTGGGTTCTCCACAAGGATTGAAGAGAGATATGAGAGATAGGAATGGGGGCAGTGAAGAAGTGAGATGGGTGTGAGGGATACGTACAGGATAAAGGGGATAGAGAAGAAGAGGAAACTGCTGGAGAGGACCAGAGCAGCGATGTGGGTTGGGGAGGAGATTAAAGAAGAGGAGCGGGTAGCTTTTTGTGTTTCCAAAAAATTCTGGTGGGTTTCTACGATGATCCAGCAACTTCCACCGCTGGTCGGTCAGGCAACTGCCCCCTACAGATTCGATAGTGATGTGCCACGGGGGTACCGGTTCTAGAGCCTTCGACCCCGATCCTCCCTGGTGTCTTAGTTGCTTTTTTTAGTGTTGATTCCATCCACTTGCTTTGATGGGGGCTGTCAAGTTCACTGTGCTTCTGGGGAGAGCTCAGTTGGTGCCTCAGGCAGCAGCGTCTAGAACCTTCCGATCTTTTGACGTCGGTTCTCTTGATCATTCTCTATGCTTTGTTTGCCTAAGCCTTGAAGACTAGTCTCCCTAACGCAGGGCCACGCAGATTGTACGACCAGCCTGTATTGCATATTCCTAAATAGATCACCCTGCCCAACCTGTTTCCCCCGGAGCCTTCATTTACAGATGAATGAGCAAAGATACAAGAATAGAATAGAACAGAAAAGAACAGAACAGAAAATGGGGCCGGATGGTGCAACACCTCGAAGCCCTCGAGCTTGCTATGCTAGATAAAAGATGCAATATAGGTCTTGGGGGGTGGTTCACAAAAAAGTAAGAAATATAGGGCAGAGAATCTTGTCGAGCCCGGGGGACACGAAAGCCAAACCAAAAAATAGAAAGGAATCTTCAGGGCGAAAAACACGAGCGCCCAGAAAGGGAAGGGAAAGAAAACGCAACTTTTCCAGCCAACCCGGACCCAACCGCTAATATGCACTGTGACAGGGTTAAAAAAAAGGGGGGTCACGTAACACATGTCATTAGGAAAGAGGCAAGAAAAAGGGGAAAGGAAATCAAAATCGGAGTAATACAGATCCTGAAAAATCATCCGGAACGTTGGAACGTGAGGCTTTTATAAGGGTCCGACCTTTAAGCAGCCTGGGCCTGGCTGCGGCCCTTGGCGGGCGCGTTGCCGCCACGGCCACGGGGAGCGAAGCCTCCACGACCGTCGCGTTGGAAGCCACCGCGGCCCTGACTGCCTGCCCGGTCACCACGGCCACGACCACCAGCACCGCCGCGGCCAGGAGTGAAGCCGTTGCTGCCGAAGGCGTTGCCACGAGGACGGCGCTCCTCGAGGACGATCTGCTCACCACCGACCTGATGAGGGTTGGCGGCGACGGCAGCAGCGTAGCCGGAGGGCTCGGCGAACTCAATGAAAGCGCAGTTCTAGAGGGAGGAAAAAGGTCAGTATTCAAAGCTTGGACCACAGTGTAGGAGATATGGCTTGATACGAACCTTGGGGCGGTTGACGTCGAGCCACTTCACCTTGCCGAATCGGGACAGGGCCTGACGGAGGGCATTGTCGTTAATCTTGTCGGAAACGTTCTTGATGTAGCCGTGAACGACCTGTTCCTCGCCGGCGCGGGACTGAGTCTTCTTGTGGTCGGCACCGGCGGTCTGCCAGCCGGCACTATCGGTGGGAGTCTCCTGGGTACGAGCCTCAGTGGCGGGAGCAGGGGCGGCAGCGGGCTGGGCAGCGGGCTGGGCAGCGCTGGCGGAAGGAGCAGCGGGGGCAGCAGCCTTAGGGGCGGCGGCCGGAATGGCGGGGACCACCGGGATCTTAGCACCCGGCTTGGAGGCGATGTTGGCCCAGGTCTTAGGGAGGGAAGGGGCGGGGGCAGACTCCTGCTCAACCGGAGTTTCCTCCTTCAGCTCCTGCTCAGGAACAGGGGTGGGCTCCGGGGTCCGGGGCTCGTCATTTTTCACAAGCTCAGCCTCAACAACGGGAACCGGAGCCTGGATTTCCTCCTGGGCGGGTGTGCCGTTGGTCTGAGGAGCAGCCTCGGGCTGCTCAACCTCGCCATTGGTCTCCTGCTCAAGCTTTTCATCAACCTTGGAGGCAGCAGCCTCGTCAGTCACCTGCGCCTCGGCCGCCGGAGTGGGCTCCGGGACCTTGGGGGCCTCGGTGACGGGCTCAGCAACCTTCTCCTCAACCTCCTCCTCAACCTCCTCTTCCTCGTCGGCTAGGTATCGGAAGATGTCGTTGAGGACGTAGTAGCCGTTGGGCTGCTCAGCCAGAACGAAGGTCTGGATGAACTTGCGGGAAGGCTCGGACTTGTTGGAGATCTCACCAATGACCGAGACCAAGATGTTGTCGAAGGAGGCTTGAGAATCGACGTTCAGGACGCGCACCTTGCACTCCTGGAAGTCGAGCTGCTTGATCTTATCGCCGATGGCCTAAAGAAACGAGCAGGGATTAGCGACGAACACAGATGGCGAAAGGATCCTTGACCATCCGAAACTCACCTTGTTGCCGATGGAGACGGGAACCGACTCGGCCTCGGTTCCGAAGACGAGCTGGGAGCGCTTAGAGTAGAACAAGTGGAGCTTGTCGGGGTTGCGGCTCATAGTAGTATAGAACTGCTCAACGAAGAACCAGCCAACCTCATCCTTGCTGATCTCGTTCTTTTGATGATCGGTGGGAGTGGCGGTAGTAGGAGTGGAAGACTGGACGGGCTGGAAGTTGGCCGCGGTGTTCATGGTCACATGGGCGTGGTTGTTGAAGGACTCGGGAAATCCATGCTGAGCAGCGTAATTGCCGTTGAGAGGAGCCTGGGACATATCGGCCATGGCGAATTGAGGGGTGTGTCTTCGGTTTGGTGGGAAAACGTAGAGACGAAATTAAAGTAGCCGGGGGTCTTGGAATGCTCGGTTGACGACCAAGAGATGGACTGATATCTAGAAAGTATCGAGCTGAGAAAGATCTAAGATCACCTTGTGTCCGCTCGCTTCACTAATGCTTCGTCAGTTCTGATATCGCCATCGCGGCCAGGATTGGTCAACCAGGAGTGAACTCACAAATGCGAAATGGACCAAGCACCAATGCAAGCAATTGAAGTGAAGCAAAGGAGGGGAAGAAATGAATCGGCAAAGGCGAAAAACGAAAACCCTCTAAGATTGCGGAGAGGATTCGGGGAAGTATGTGAGAATCCAGAAGAGATCGTGTGCGGATCTGATCGGGACCGAAGGGGGGATGACAAGGAGATGCGAGGAGCAAGAAGATCGATGGCGAGAACGGACGAACTATAAACTGGAAGATGGAGGGGAGAGAGGTGGAAGATGCGGAATGGAAGCTTTGGGGAAATTCGCCTTAGAAGAAAAAGCGACTTCCTGCTCGTCGACTCCGTGCGGGTTTCGCGTGCGCCGGGATTCTCACCGCCCGGCAGAAAGTGCTCTCTCCACCGAGCACCTTTCGAGATAGTGTTGCGATAACAGGAAGAAGACTATTGACGTTCAGGTTCTCGATGACCTGCTCTTTGGTTGGCACTTGAATCATTACTAAGAAGCGGTACGAGGTAGCTTTCGTTGCGATTTAGAGGTATGTAGAGATAAAATAGACACAGGATCAAGGCCAGACATATAATAGGTTTGAAAAAGAAAAGGATCATGCGAATATCATTAGGCCAAAACGCCATGAGAAAACATCAAAAGAAAGAGGGGGTATGTATGATAAGACGTGCGAATTAAGAACGAGTGAGATCGTACAGCCTCAAGCCACGAGGCCCGTTTCGGGGGAATAGACAGAGGGAAACAACACCAACATCGATCGCAGCGACATTATTTTGCCATGCGCAGCGAGTAATTTATGTCCAGGTCACGGCTACTAGGTAGAGGTGTTTGCGGCAGCCTTTTCGTTCAACTCGGGCTTGCGCATGACTGCGTCCTGGCCAGTCATCCTTCGTCCGAGAGCGCGCTCCACCTTGGCACCGAGGGCCAGCTTGTTCAAGTTGTCGGACTTCTCTGTGGTGGGCACGAAGCGTTGTGCCTGAAGGGGCTTGTTCTCAAGGCGCTCCAGGCCATCGCCGAGGTGGTGGATATCGGCGACTCTGGGGTCGCCGCTGGGCAGACTGCCAATCGTGCGTTCGGAGGCAGCTAGCGACGGGCTTCCGCTGACGGTGGAGAATCGCTTGGAGTTTCGGTTCTAAGAGACGAGAGTTAGGATGACGTTTTTCTTTGAAATTTGCTATGGCCTGAGAGAGCCTTATGGAGGGGGACTGGGGGCACCGGGAGACCTACCGAGGTAGTCATGATGGGTCGTTCTGAGTCAAGAGACTGTTGACGCGCCATTTCTCTCTGGAGAAGATGGATTTTGAAAGGGTGTTCGTGGGAAGACCAACGCTTTTGAGGGGGGAGAGACCGGATCGGATCTGCGAAAAGAATTGTTAGGGACGTCTTAACCGGCTCAGGAAGCTGTGGCTTACCAAAGACTTTGTGGGGTGGGATGATTGTAGGGGAGAGGAAGAGATGGAGGGGAGTGAAACAAGGTAAGGCCTCAAGAGGCGACTCAGGAGGCGCCAAACGGTCCAGTGGGTCAATATCGGTGGGGTTCAGCGAAAGGCCGGATGAGAGGGATCTGCCCATAAAGGGAGCCAAACCCAGCGATCCTTTTTAGGGCAGACGGTCGGTCAGACGAAAGGTTGATGGTTGGACTAATCCTTTAAGAGGCCAGTGATAGCGTGGCTCAGCGAAGCCCAGAAAAATGAGATGTTGAAGACTCCCGGAGTACTGAGTATTATTTCCGTGCCACCCAAGAAAGATGATGGTGGAACTTTTGCCACGTGCGGATCAACTAGGATGGAGTGTAAAGTTGCCTAGTAATGTACAGGTATAGTACAATCTTGCAAGTTCCCTTTTAATTTCAAGATTTGCGACCGGTGGAGAGCGGGGAGAGAAGCTGGCCAACAGTGCGCACTCGATCTGGGTTGATGGGGGAGAATTCCTTCATTTCATCTATTGCCGATGATCTGCCTTACGGAGAGCTTACGCATTGTTATATCATAGCCGCGGCACGCCAGAGAAGCCCAGAGGCGTCTACCGAGAGGAGGTAAGCACTTAACAGCAGCTCCCGCCCGAGAGCCTTGGCATCCTCATCATAGCGTGGAGACGTCTTTCGTCCTTCCTATTCGCCCTGCTGTGCTCGGACGAGAACACAAACTTTGCACGCTGTGATAGCACACTCCGACTCGAAGTGTACACAAGATGCCGAGGCCGAAGAGTCTTCTTAAGGACTTCAAGCCCAAGAAGAAGGCCGCGAAGCAGGTACCGTACTTCACATCGTATGACCGGGGTCAGCGCTAACTGTTACAGGCGGCGCCAGTCACAGCCGATGACTTTCTCGCTGGTGAGGATCGACCCTGATCAACCATTTACGACGCGGGCTAACTTGCCCCAGCGGGCGTTGAACTCGAAGAGGCCGGTGAGAAATGGCGCGCGGGGGACGCGGCCAAATCCATGCGCTTCTTCATGCGCGCCATTTCCAATTACGACGAGGGTTTACAAAAATATCCCACCGCCTTTGATCTAGCCTACAACAAGTATGTCCAAAATCCAGACTTGACCCTTGGCGATGATGGAATTATTTCACATGCATTGTCATTGCCCAATCGCCACTAACTTGCCCACAGAGCCCGAGTTCAATATGAAATCACACAGCATCCCAAGCTGGCTGCCCAGCTGCCAGCGCCCCAGGCAGAGATCTTGCAGGTTGCGCTGCAGTCGCACCGCGATGCGTTGAAGCTGGAGCAGGATAATGCCGATGTGCTTTTCAACTCTGGTCAGGTGTTGAATAGTCTAGCGGAAGCTATCACCGACTCCAAGCATCCGGATGAGGAGCAGATCATGCAGGCGACTACCTATCTGCAGGAGGCCATTGAATTGTTCCAGAGGTGTCAGGTGCTGCAAGATATGCGCTACACCGAGATGCAGGAGCAGATTGAGCAGATGGAATCAGCGGGCCCAGAGACACAGGCCCAGGCTCCTGAGCCCGCGCCGGAGCCACCGGTCAGCGAGGAGGATGCTGGAGACGAGGAGCAGACACAGTGGGCAGCTATTGTGGAGCCTGTTACTAAAAACACGCTTGTTGACACGGCAGTGGCGCAGTTGGATACATTGACCACACTATGCAATGTGTTGACGTTCAACCCCAGTGGTGGTGGCGTTGGCTGGGTGCAGGAGTATTCCTCGGGGCTCGTCCAAACTCGACTTCCTGCCTACGTTGAGGGTTCGGATAGGCAATATGAAGCAAGCCTGGCGCGAGCAAAATTCATCTGCGCCATGCACGAGGTGCTTTACCGGGGCGGACACACCGATGTTGAAACCTATCAGCAGGAAGTTGGGCAGGCGTTTGGACCGGACTTGGATGTATCGGCCGACGCCGAAGGATTATGCAGCAAAGCCGAAGCATTGACCTCGCTCAACGGAGCGTTATCCGATGTTCCCCCCATGAATGACGTTGAATCTTTCAAACGCTCCTTGTCCGTGCGCTGGCAATCACTATCAACCGCCTTGGACGCGTTAACAAAGGCGTCCAAGCTTCCAGATGCGGATAACCTGCCCAAGATCCATCTCGCCCGAGGAGATGTGGAAATGCACCGATGGCGACTTGGAACGGCGCCCTGGAACTATGCGATGTCCCAGCAGTACGGTGCCACACTCTTGAAGAACGCGCAGACGTACTACCGAGGAGCCGCCGCTTTAGCCCGCCGCGATGGAGCAGCCGACGAAGAGCGTGACGGAACATGCAAGGAAGCAATTGCTGCCGCAGTGGAGGGACAAAAGGCCAAGCTGGACCAACTCAAGACGACTGCTCTCGAGCAGGTGGTGGCTGTAGCCACGGAAATGGTGGAGGATGGAATGGTGGAGGGCACATATTTGAGTGCTCTGATTTCATGACCAGAAGACACAAAATAAAGAACCACTTAGATACCTGACCGAGCATTGACTTCCTCGTCCATTTGGATTGCATCCTCGCGAATGTGGTTTTCTTTACTGAATTGAGTGGCCGCCGTAGCAGCGCCCTCAATGTCTGTCACAACAGACTCGAGATGAGACAGTAGCTTCTCGATTTCCAATCTCTGGGCCTGCACCGTTTGCGCAAGCTCCCCGTTCTGGGCGGCAGTGGCTTGGAGCCTGTCGTTCAGTGCCGACTGCGCTTCTTGGAGATAAGGTGTCAAATGTGCCTTGTAAAGATCTTCTGCGCCGAGCGTGTGAGGGCTGTTAGGAACAGAGTTAGCTCAATAAACACAAATCCAGCAGAGTCCAAGGACAAATACATACGCATTTCCAGGTCTTTGCCCATCGCCTTCCGCCTCTCTTCGCGCCCGCGCCTCAGCAACCAACCGGTCCAATTCATTCAGATGTTGCACAGCCTGTCTCTCCGCAATGATCTCTTCAAACTCAGACTTCGCGCTCTCCTCCAGTTTCGCGTTCAGTTGTCTCCACACGTTCTCCAGGCTCGCAGGGACATGTCGCGCAGGCGTTGGGAAGCAGCTCGAAAAGTTGGCGTAGGAGTTCGCACGTAGTGTACGAGCGAGCGCCTGGTCGAAAACTTGGATCAGGCGCGAGGCGCGTGGGCCGGGGGCTTCGGACGCTGGTGCTGGCGGGGGAGGGGTTGCCGACGCAGCGGGTTGTTGAGGTGGATGTGAATTGTCTTGGGCCATTGTGTAGGTGAGAGTGCGGTTCGAACTCGGTCTGTGACCACAGTTGTTCTTGCTGGGTGTGGCTGCAGAGAGTTGTTTCGCGAGGAATTTGGACTTCGAATTATTGGAGATGCCTCAACGGCACCGCGACGCGCTTGTCACGTGTCAGGGCGTGTCGACTCTTTGGAGATGGCAAGGTAAAAATCAAAAGAAAAAATAATTGGAAATTATGGACGTTCATTACATGGACCAGTAAAAGGTCAAAATCGAATTGAAACGTTAGTGAAGCATGTGTGGCTTTTGCATTAGGATATTGAACCTAACTACATAGCCCGGCGTCATCCTTCACAGAAACATTGAATGTCCATACCCTCCTTCAGCCCGATAGATAAACATTATTGTGTAATACGGGGTTACTAGATCGCATATTTGCCCAGAGAGACTTGAAGGCCGGCCACGAGATATTGATGTAAATAAGGCTGTTCCAAAAGCCCTGTAGAGGAAGAACGAAGCTGGAGGCATAGTTGAGCCCGAAAGAAAAGTCATTGGGGCGAGCGAGAGCATACACTCTGTTTGCGGTTGAAGGAACCTATCATTTGAATGAGTATGGTAATGTTCTGTCTCACGAATAAAGGTTGGATAGCCTACCCATGTTACGAGGAGCGCGATGAAAAACAATATGGCATACTTTGTATACGCCCAAGCAGCCGAGCTAGCCTCTGTAGGTACCGCTCGTCGCTGAGAGGCAAATGAGTCTACTCCATCAAAGCGAGCATTTCTCATCGATACTTCTGTTCGTAGAGGACTTGGACCAGGTCGGGAACTGGATTCTGGCGTGGGAATCGACATCGTACCGGCAGTTTGAAGCCCTGTGATGGGCTCAAATGGTCCACCCTCAATAGTGACGGAGTATGGACTGACTGAAGATGCAGTGAAGCTGCGTGTAGGCCGACAATCAGAAGGCGATATGGAATAGCGTTCTGGCGAAGAGCAGGCGATCTCGCTGGTGACTTGGATGCCGGCCAGCTTCAGAAATGGGGTTTCGGAGGGAGAATCGCTATCGATGGATTCAATGCCTCCAAGTTTCCGAAATTGACGTCGCTTTTGGTAGATTACGGACCCGGCCCGTAGGTAGATGGCGAATGTTAGAAAGATGACGAACCAAACGGGGCCATAGAAGACGGCGATGCGGAGAAAGTCCCAGGGGAGCGAGACCCAGCACCATAGCTTGAAAGTATTAGAATCTGAAGAGAAAGAGGTGCTATTATCAGGGCCACCTACAATAGCAGAACCATATACGCGACCTCGTGCTTGCGTCTTAATGAAGAAGTATGCAAAAGCCGGGACGAACGGTAGACCGTAGCAGCATATCACATACTTCCATTCCAGCTGACGTAGTTGCTCTGAGTTATACTTATGGAAAAAGGTCAAGTAGACATTGCAAGCCATGGCAAAAGTCCACAATGCATCTGCCGGCATGAACCTGATTTCGGTTAGAGCCGAATGGCGCTTGGAACTTCTCTACTCACCACTGGATCAAGAAAGCCTGAAACTGACACAACGAACTTCCAAAACCAGCATGTATACCCGATTGTGAGATCAAAGTAGCGATATTGGCCATAATGTTCCCCCAGGAAGCATAGAAGACGAGGCGATTAATGGGCTTGCGAAATGCGCGGGAGCCGATGAAGGTAGTGACGATGACGAAGGTGCCGGCTAATGAGACCGCGGAGCAGATACGCTCTGTGATGGAGATTGCAGATAACTGTGCCTGAGAGTGTGACATGGTGACATGGTCTTGAGAATGGCGCTTGTTTAGCAAAGGGCTTCAGGCTCCGTGAGGGTAGCCCTCCTTGCCAGTCAGTGGATGTAGAGAGTTGAACGGGGGTGGGCAATACGATTGAACCCGTGTGACAATAAAACCCGGAGAAACTAGGAGTGATGTATACCCGGAGGGCTTGGTATCCAGTAAGTCGGGTCCGTAGATTATTCTAAAGATATCCTGATTATTTCACAGTCCAATAAAAATAGCAACGAGGATCATGGGACCAGCCCGATTCACGTCTTGTTAACGACTGCTTCTCAGCCAAGGAAATGTCAGTTGGCTTTGAAATCGCAGCGGATTTTCCAGGAGTAGAAAATAGGTGGCCAAGTATTTGGGCGGTTAAAAGAAACATTGGAAATTTCCCCAAGTAGAGCAACATCCTTTCAAGGAGTTGCTTCTAAACACTTCCAAAGTTACGACCAGAGTGTGCCATCTAAATGAAAGGTCTGGCAGTCGAGTAATAAAAGGGATTATCCGCATGTTTGGCAGTAACTAGAAGCTCACCGAGTGTCCGAACCACCTGAAACATCTCAAGGGCACTTGATGATCCCGGTTCGGCATGACATGCGTTGGTTTGCTTCAATCGCCGCCTCTTACCCGCAGACCTTGTTTGCCCTCTTCAACCCGGGGAAGTCTGCGAGCCCTAAAAATTGCCGGGTATCTTGAATCCAGCACGTTTCAGTGCAAAATGGACCGCATCCTGGACACGGAGTACCCGTGTGTAACACCCCTGATTCATTCGGACGAATCCTCTCCCTGAAGAATCTAATTGCCGGTGGAAATCACTAGGATACCCTCACTGCAAGAGACACACTTACATTATCCTTATTTAACACCGTAGGCTTGAATAAGGAATATGCATAGATCGTACTGAAAGCCGTGCATCTCAAGCAAGTTGGTTTTTTTGGAAGTCAAAATAACAGTAGAAACTGAAAAGCAGAAAAGAGCGTTGGATGTAAATGTGGTTTTCAGAGCCTCCCGGAACTTTCATCCAGAAGTCGAGCTATAATTAAACCAGGTTAAGAGAGGCTCGCCGTCGCAGCTCTGGAACAAATACTGAGAGGCAAAACATACATAATTCGTGAACTGATTTTGCAACGTGGGATCTATCTGTGCATTGGGAACGTGATATGGCGATTGTGGCATTAATCCAGGAGCAGATGTTTAGAAGTAGTATGAAACAATCAAGCATGTAGTAGGGTCACCCGGAGGCGATCGAGTCCAGGTCTGCTGGATGAAGCGCCCCCCAGTGTGCCACTCGGGAGCTCAGATGTCGCGACTGGGTCCCGATGCACAATGTAACAGTGCCTTGCGTTTATATTTAGGATAGTCTCAGTGAGAAAAGAGGCGGATATCTAACGGAAAATCAATATGCCTTGCAAATATCATCCCTAAATTGAATCTAGGCAGTAACTATTTGATCAAGACAGAGGAAACTTTTTCTGTTCAAGGCAATCGAGGCAAAAGAACTAGAAAAGGCTATGCAACATGAAGCCACTCACACCTTGTCTTGCGTATCAGATCCCAACAATGTGCAAAACGAAACCTGAAAAAAAGTTGAAATGAAAAAGAAAAGATTGCCCTCATCGGGTATAACGCCGAGGTCTCCCATATCCGATCGTCTAAGTCGAGCTCATCATCTCGTTATGCGCAGTCTGCTTCATTAATATGCCGACTGGGGCGGAGCAATGCCTCCATATGCACCGGACATCTGCTGCTGCTGTTGCTGTTGGTGCTGTTGCTGCAACTGGGCTTGGAGTTGAGGCAGATCGTGGAACCACGGGTGCTGCAGGGCATCGGCGGCGCTGATGCGCATCTCCGGACGCAACTGAAGCATGCGGTTCAACAGATCCAAACCAAGAGGGTCGATCTGAGGGAGGATCAAGCTCAGATCTTGCGTCGCATAAACGTGGAAAGTGGGCTTATACTCCGGCAGCTGCGAGATGCCGGGCCATGACCGCTCGGATGGCGTTCCCATGAGTCGGAAGATCTTCAGCAGCTGGTCTTCATTGGTCGTGCCCGGGAAGAGCGGACGACCCGTGTACATCTCGGCCATGATGCAGCCGGCTGACCAGATATCGATGCTGGTGTTGTAGGTGCGACTGCCCAGAAGGACATCGGGGGCTCGGTACCACAGGGTGACAACTTCGTTGGAGAAGGTGTTGACTGGGATACCGAACGCCCGAGCTAGACCAAAGTCACCCAGCTTCAACTGACCCTTCTTGTTGATCAACAGGTTCTGCGGCTTGAGATCGCGGTGGAGAACCCGGTTCTCGTGACAGAAGGCAATGCCCTTCATCAGCTGGTGCATGAATGACTTGATCGTGACCGGGTCCAGCTGTCCTCGATCGCCCCGAGTGTCCATGTACCGCTTCAGATCCCGGTCCATGAACTCGAAAACTAGCATGAGTTTGTTCTCCGTGTGGATGACATCGTAGAGTGAGACAATGCTCTCATGCTTCAACTCCTTCATCAAAGAGATCTCACGAATGGCGGTGGACGGGGTCCCTTCTTCCGAGTCGAGGTGGATTTCCTTCAGCGCAACCATTTCGCCAGTCTGGCGATTGCGACCTTTAAAGACCTGTGTAATTTCTCGTCAGCGACGGAACGAGAGAGGGAGGGCGGCGCCACCGGGATGCACCGGGTCATCATGGAAGGAAGACGGGACGTACAGTTGCATAGGTGCCTTCACCGAGCTGTAGAACAAGACCGAGTCAGTTAATTGATAGGACGTAGGGATGGCAGACGGCGATGGGGCGATACCTTCTCCAGCTGTTGGAAGGAGCTGGGCTGCTGTGATTTATCCATGATCCTTGAGGATTGGGAGGTCACTCCCGAGTGAGGTTTGTGGAAAAGAAAAGAGCCAGGTGAGACGAGGGACGAAGGACGGGATGCAGGATCACTGAGATGCTCCATGCTGATGAGGGAGGAGCCCCGCGCGCAGTGGGGAGTCCGAGGGTTGGCCCAATGCTTATGGCATCCAGGCACTTCGATGGCTTTTTAACTTATTTTTTAAGTTCGCTCTGCGAATGAGATTTATTTGTAGAAAATTCGACTAGCCTTTAATTACCAACCTATTTCACTCAGTAGCGGCGAATACGCCAACAAGAAAGGAGAAAAAACTACGCGCCGGAGAATCGACGATCAGGTCACGTGAGGCCGACGAGTTGGACCATCGTCGATCAGCCAGGCCCACGGGTTATCATTATTCTAGGGTCCACAGATGAACGTTAACACTATGGTTTCAAAGTGGCTTGCAGAAAATAGCAACTAGGTAGGCTAATAGGTTGATATTCGTACGTAGCTCTTAAGTTTGACCTCAAAAGTAGGTATGTTCAAAATCCTCTCGTATATTTATGCTATCATGATCTAACAGAGTCCCTATGTTCCTGTATTATGCGCAGAGACCTGTCTCAGATAATCATAGAATTGACCAACGGATGTTTTGTTGACGGCGATTTCATGGTTGGTCCAAGAAGATCTATCTATCAGATAGTTTAAGAGTTCATGGACAGTCCTGATACAACCGGAGGAAGGATGGACTGCGTGGGATGGCTACACCTGACGTGAGGAGTAGGATCTGAGCCTAAATTTCCAAAGAGATGAGACTCATTCCTCACGCCCCCAACATTGATGATGCCGATGGGCATGCCTCGTTTGTGTGCTCGTTCAACCAAGCGCCAGGCTGAGAAGGTGGCCAGGCTGCTGCCCAAGACGAGTAAGCGGCCAGCATCGTCGATCGCCTCTTCAGCCGCCGACTTAACCGCCGGCTCGATGTTCTCGCCAAACATAACCACCGCAGGTTTCAATATGCCGGCACTTGATGTTGGCAGCCATGCGCCGTCCCTTTCTACCTCTACCCGGCCTCTCGTACCATCTTTCAGGGTGGGAGGTTTCTCCAAGCAGGTCGGACACGATGGGTACCGGAATGTAGAATACGGCGCTTCTGCCAGATCGACATCGCCGTCTGGATTCAGCTTCAGGCCTTTACGCCGTTGCTCGTCCGGGTTATCTGTGTCCAGTGCTCCCGCCTCAACCATCCGATTCAAGAATTCTGTCCATGCCGGGTTGAGCTTCTTCAATGATGATTGGAACTCTTCTCGAGGGAAGTGATTCCGACAGCTTGTACAGACAACAGATCGTAGGTATCCGTGCAGCTCGATGGTGGGCAGATCCGGGTGAGCGAGAGAGTGAAACGAATCGACATTCTGTGTCACGACCGAGCTAATATACCCCTTGGTCCCGAGGTCTCGGATTGCCCAGTGGGTTGAGTTTGCTCGTGCTTTCACGAGGCCTGGCCATCCGATAAAGCTGCGCGCCCAATATCGCTTGCGGGACTCATGATGTGACAGGAATTCATGGAAGTAGATTGGCCGGTAAGACTTGTTTCGTCGGTATGTCCCTTGTTCTCCTCGATAGTCAGACAAACCGGACGCGACAGAAATCCCTGCGCCGGTCAGGAGGACTGTTTGAGAGTGCCTCCCGACATCGATGCCCCGGAGATTCGGAGACGGTGACGCGGCGAAAAAGGCGCTGATGGCGTCGATGGCCCCAGCAAGCGTGGTAGCAGAGGGCGGAATAATAATGGCCGGCGGTAATGGGCCCGTGAAAGGGATTCTAATTGCAGGCGTCGTCATTGAAGACGCATCGTCACCAGGTGGAGGTCTTGGCGAGAAAAGGCGGCGGAAGCTCCGGGGACGACGCAATTGTGTTCGGGCGCGTCTTGGCTGGCGAGTCACGGTATTTGACCCTGTGTGGGTAAAGCTCTGCAAGGGCCTTATGAAGGTATTTTTAGGACTTCCATTTCTAAGCTAGACAAACATAGCATTTCCGATCAATAGGGAGCGTGGTGATAGTAATCATAGGATAATCGTAGAGGGACATCAGCGCATATGGATCTCCGTCTGCCGGATTACATGATCGGATCGAATGATCTCCAAAAGGCCATTTCTCCTCATCAATTTTCCGCTCAGGTTCTCTTGGTTCTTTTGGTTCACTCTGAAGCATGCAAAGCCCGAAGTGAACAACCTGTCCACTCAGCCTTTTTGCCCGTGCTCGCGTGCCTCGAACTAAGACCAGGCTGTGATGCCGCTGACACAGCCCCTGCGGTGCAGGCTTCGTCCCTCCCTCCACTCTCTCCTTAGGGTTTCCAGTCTCCGTGGATCTGCTCAGCGGCGCGTTCTCACCTCCCATCCCTCTATTAAAGCCTGTTTCTTCGTCCATGCCCGACCTCGTTCCATCCGCTCTTTAACACCTCTCGCCATGTCACAAATTAGGGGCCATGCGAGCCACGGCCACGGCCACGGCCACCACCACCACCACCATCACGACAATGTATATCTGACTTCGACCAACAAACGTGACGCCGGCGTTCGTATTACCCGAATTGGCCTGGCCGCCAACCTATGCATGGCCATTGGCAAGTTTATCGGCGGCTACGTCTTTCATTCACAGGCTCTGATCGCCGACGCCTACCACGCGCTCACCGATCTCGTCTCCGATTTTTTGACATTGGGCACCGTCTCATGGTCCTTGAAGCCTCCGAGCGAACGATTCCCCAACGGATACGGAAAAGTGGAGAGCATTGGCGCCTTGGGCGTGAGCGGGCTTCTGCTCTGCGGCGGAGTGTTTATGGGTCTCAATGCCGGACAGGTTTTGATGGCGCAATTTTACCCCGACGTGGCGGAAACACTGGCACACTCTAGTGTATTCGGACACGGTCATTCACACAGCCATGGTATCGACGTTATGGGTCCTAGTATCCACGCGGCTTGGTTGGCGGCCGGCTCTATTGTTATTAAGGAATGGCTCTACCATGCCAGTGAGTGCTTTCATCCTGAGCTACTTGATATTGATGTACTAACTGTATCATAGCTATGAAAGTTGCCGAGGAGCGCAAGTCGTCGGTCCTTGCCTCGAACGCTGTTCACCACCGTATCGACTCCTTGACAAGTATTGTGGCCCTAGTTACAATTGGTGGAAGTTATGTATTCCAAGATGCCACCTGGCTGGATCCAGTTGGCGGACTCCTCATCTCCCTAATGGTCATCAAGGCTGGTTGGGGTAACACCATCACCTCCCTGTTGGAGCTGGCCGATACCGCCGTGGATGATGAAATCAGGACGAATGTCCAAGACGCCGCTGCGAAGGCCTTGAAGGCCCTCGAGAGCGGTGGACAGGTGACCATTCGCGACGTCCAAGGCTTCAAATCTGGACAAAATTATTTGATGGAAATCGAACTGGCCGTGCCGGGGTCTTGGTCTATCAACCAGTCTCGGGCTGTGGAGGAAGCCGTCCGCAAAACTGTCGGCGCTCGTGTTCGCGGCGTGAAGCGTCTCAAATTCCGATTTATCCCTGTAGAGCAGAAGGAGCTTACTTTCTCCGAGGAGTTCATCTCACAAGACACCGACGCAAGCCCCGAGCTCCATGAGCACGAGGCCAATGGTGCCGCCTCGAGCTCCCACACTCACGAAGAGCATGACTCTCGGAAGACGCGGTAGAAGATGAAATCTGAACTGCGGAAAAAGATGAGCGGCAGTTGTTCGCGCTGCTATGATACCCCACAATGGCCATCTTCGGAGAGATCTGTACCGTGTATAGAACATATTTGGATATAGAAATATATGCGAGACTGCAAGACTGCAAGAATTTCCAATTTTATGCTCGACCAATTCTACTGGTGTCTACGTCCCGATCATGACGACCAGATGTAGGAGCTTCGCTGTGGACTGGTAGCAGAGCCGCAAAACCATACGTAAACAACCACCCAAAAAAAAGGTTACGTTTCATCAACGATTGCAGTCAGATTGTGTGCCTGACGGGTACGGTAGCCTCATCCCGAGCAGTCGGCAAGTGTTCCCCGTGATGCTCAGGTGGGGCAGTAAATTCTACCGAGCTATTTAGCAGAGAGCTATTTAGCCGGAGCCAGTTCTGGATGCACTCGCTGGGAGCACTAATGCATGGAAAATCCTTGGGAATCATGTGGCCCTGACTCACACCCACCAAGGTATGAAACACGAAGGAAAACGGTCCATTTAACCCTATTCGCACAGTTGTGCTTACATAGAGTGGAGCGGGGACCAGGCGTGGATGGTCCGCTTTACATCATTGCGGGCTCATCTACTCCGGGACAGGCTCGTTGCACTCCTTTCCTCTGACTTCGTGCATTCTATTTTCCCGTGCAGCATAAATTCGCAACCCCCACCTCCATAAGACCAACTGATCTACCCGAGACTTGTGCGATTACAATTGTACGATTCTGGCGCGGTCATTCACCATGGCGTCGCAATCTCCCCTCTATATTGGGTTCGACCTGTCGACTCAGCAGTTGAAGGGGCTGGTCGTCAACTCTGACCTGAAGGTTGTCTACCTCGCCAAATTCGACTTCGATGCCGACTCAACCGGGTTCGACATCAAGAAGGGCGTCTTGACTAACGAGGCCGAGCATGAAGTATACGCTCCGGTCGCGCTGTGGCTGCAGGCCCTGGACACCGTATTGAGCAGCCTGCGTCAGCAAGGTCTGGACTTCAGCCGTGTCAAGGGTATTAGCGGTGCAGGACAGCAACACGGAAGCGTCTACTGGGGCCACGAGGCCGAGACTTTGCTGCAGAACCTCGACTCTGCCAAGTCGTTGGAGGAGCAGCTGGAGACGGCATTCTCACACCCGTACAGTCCCAATTGGCAAGACGCGAGCACTCAGAAGGAATGTGACGAGTTTGACAAGGTTCTTGGCGGCCAGGAAGAGCTCGCTCAAGCCACAGGAAGCAAGGCGCACCACGTAAGAAGCTCCGGAATGATTGCTTTTGCGGATGACAGCTAACCCCGCGGATTAGAGATTCACAGGCCCCCAAATCCTCCGATTCCAAAGAAAGTACCCCGAGGTGTATCAGAAGACAGCGAGGATCTCTCTGGTGTCCTCATTCATCGCCTCAGTTTTCTTGGGCCGTGTCGCTCCTTTCGATATTTCGGACGTGTGCGGTATGAACTTGTGGAATATTAAGAAGGGTGCCTATGATGTTGAGGCTCTCAAGCTCTGCGCCGGCAAGTTCGGCGTCGAGGACTTGAAGAAGAAGCTGGGCGAGGTGCCCGAAGATGGCGGACTACACCTGGGCCCGGTTCACCCATACTACATGAAGCGCTATGGCTTCAGTCCGGACTGCACGGTCATCCCGGCCACTGGTGACAACCCGGCGACCATTCTTGCATTGCCACTGCTGCCATCAGATGCCATGGTGTCTCTGGGCACCTCCACGACCTTCCTCATGTCTACCCCCAGCTACAAACCCGACCCCGCGACACACTTTTTCAACCACCCGACCACTGCCGGATTGTATATGTTCATGCTCTGCTATAAAAACGGCGGCCTGGCACGAGAGCACGTCCGAGATGCGATAAACGAGAGTCTCAAGGATACTCCTTCGCAGCCCTGGGCCAACTTTGACAAGATTGCCCTGCAGACTCCCCCAATGGGCCAGCGGACTGCGACAGACCCTATGAAGCTGGGCCTCTTCTTCCCACGACCGGAGATCGTGCCAAACCTGCACTCGGGACAGTGGCGTTTCACATACGACCCGACCACCGGACAGCTGCAGGAGACTACAGAGGGCTGGGCCACACCCCAAGATGAGGCCCGCGCGATCATCGAGAGCCAGATGCTTTCCCTGCGCCTCCGTTCTCGTGGCCTGACGCAGAGCCCTGGAAACGGGCTTCCTGCCCAGCCCCGACGAGTCTACCTCGTGGGAGGCGGGTCCAAGAACGAGGCGATCGCCAAGGTAGCTGGAGAGATCCTCGGCGGCGTCGAGGGTGTGTACAAGCTCGACATTGGTGACAATGCCTGTGCCCTTGGAGCAGCATACAAAGCCGTGTGGGGAATGGAGCGACAGGCTGGTCAGACCTTTGAGGACCTGATCGGGCAGCGATGGCAGGAAGAAGAGTTCATTGAGAAAATCGCGGATGGGTACCAGAAAGGGGTATTTGAGCAGTACGGCAAAGCAGTTGAGGGCTTCGAGAAGATGGAGCAGCAGGTATTGCAGCAAGAGGGCAAGAAATAAATTAATAGTAGATGTTAACATAGAAAGGTGGTTGATGTACTTTAGTACCGAGATATGATAACCTTGGAACTTTGAACGTTAGACGTCACTGAACAAATCACGCACCCCCTTTCCCTATTCGGCCGAACCATAACCTTGTATATCCTTTGCCTTTCCCCCTCATATCCCTTCATTCAAAGTACTTTTAAGCGTTTGATTCCCTCAAAATCAAATCATCCGAAACTAAGAAAGCGGCCAAGCGAAGGCGGAGCCAGGCACGGAAATCCGATTACGATACCATGGATGTGCTCCTCCACCGAAAACAATTTTGAACCCAACACACATCCCCCTCGGTCCCTGTCCCTCGCCCCTTCACCACTTTGAGGGAGTCCCGGCTGGTCGAAGATGGAAGAACAGGTGAGTCTCTCTTCCGACTTCAGGTGCAGGAAAAAAAATCATTCCATAACCCCTCCCCCACTGCCACCGAGTCAGCCCCTCCGACGGGTCCCTTTGTCCATGCATTGACGCATGCCCTCCCCCACAGGTAGCAAATGCCATTGAGATCGCCTGGAATCCGTCCTCCGACCAAGCCCTGAAGTCGCAAGCTTTCGACTATCTCAACCAGCTCCGCTCCGATCCCTCCGGATGGCAGGTCTGCCTCGCCCTGTTCACCAAAACCCCACAACAGCCCGAGATCGTACGACATGTGAGCTTGGAGGTCGTCAATAGTGCTGCCCAGGCTGGCCTGATCGATTTGGCATCGCTCGGCGTTGTGCGGGATGGATTGATGGGCTACCTTCGCCAGGTGTACGGGCCTGACGCCAACGCTGCGCCCGATGCGCCCTACATCCAGAACAAAATTGCGCAGACCGTCACTTTCCTCTTTTCCGCTCTATACGCGAACGGCTGGGAGACTTGCATCGACGAGCTACTGAGTCTGACCTACAAGTCCGCCGGCAGCACGACTCGGGACAATGTACTTGGAATTGTGTTCTACTTGCGTGTGGTAAACTCGATCCACGAGGAGATCGGTGATGTGCTGGTGTCTAGGTCACGCGGGGAACAGGATAAGGCAAACTCATTGAAGGATTTGATTCGGGTACGGGACATGCAGAAAATTGCCAGCTCCTGGCAAGAAATCCTGTCCGAATGGCGGGATGGTGATGATACGGTCGTGGAGATGTGTTTGAAAGCAGTTGGCAGCTGGGTCAGCTGGATCGATATTGGTCTTGTTGTGAACCAGACAATGCTCGATCTGCTCTTCCAGCAGCTGGGACGGGCCGAGAAACAGGAATTGCGGGAGGGAGAACAGCGGGTGCGCGATGCGGCCGTGGATGTTTTCACAGAGATCATTGGCAAGAAGATGAGACCTGCCGAGAAGATCGAGATGATCGTCTTCCTGAACCTTGACTCGATCGTAACGCAGCTCTCGAACAGCCCTCCCTTACGCGAGAACCGATTTACCTCTAAGTACGATACCGATTTGGCGGAGACTGTCGCTAAACTTGTGAATATTACTGTTATGGATATTGTGCGGGTGCTGGAAACCGACAGCGGTGCGGTCAAGGAGAAGGCAGATGGTCTTCTGCAGGTCTTTCTGCCTCATATCCTGCGATTCTTCTCGGATGAGTACGACGAAGTCTGCTCGACCGTGATTCCCGGTGTCAATGACATACTCACCTACCTCCGGAAGCTTTCCAAAACCAACCCTGCATTCGAAGAACGCAACAAGACCTTCCTTCTCCCTATCCTGAAGGCCGTCATTGCCAAGATGCGCTATGACGAAACCTCGAACTGGGGCGATGAAGACGAGCAGACAGACGAGGCAGAGTTCCAGGAGTTGCGCAAGCGACTAGGTGTGCTGCAGCAGACTATTGCTTCTGCAGATGAGCAGCTATATATCGAAGCCATTTCGGAAGTCGTGGGCACGACCTTCGAGAATCTGCGTGCTTCCGGCGGTCAGATTGACTGGCGTGATCTGGACCTGGCTCTGCATGAGATGTACTTGTTTGGCGATCTGGCTGTCAAGGGTGGCGGTCTTTACCAGAAGAACCAGCCCACGGGCCCGCCTGCAGTTCGACTCATTGAGATGATGCTCCATATGGTGGAGTCTGACATCCGCTCCTTCACCCACCCAGCAACACAGCTCCAGTATATGGAAATCTGTGGGCGTTACAGCTCCTTCTTCCAGCACCACCAACACCTCATCCCCGGTGTTTTGGAAAGCTTCCTTCAGCTCGTTCATCACCCCGTCCGCAAGGTCAAGACCCGTTCGTGGTATCTATTCCAGCGTCTCGTGAAGCAACTGCGCGCTTTGATTGGCAATGTGGCTCAGACTGTTGTTGAGGCTCTGAGCGACTTGCTGGTGATCCAGGCTGAATTGCCCTCTGAGGGCTCAGACGGCGATGAGATGTCTTCTGAGGATCACGAGGGTTCTGCCGATGCCGTCTTTAACAGCCAACTGTATCTCTTTGACGCAGTCGGTATCATCTGCTCGACCAATGGCGTGCCTGCCGACAAGCAGGCACTTTACGCCCAGTCAGTACTGAACCCCATTTTTGCCGACATGGAGCGGAATCTGGCAGCGGCCAAGGCCAATGATGAGCGGGCATTGCTGCAGATTCATCACGATATTATGGCATTGGGCACTCTTGCCCGGGGCTTCTCAGATTGGATGCCGGGCACTACTACCCCGGCTGCCCTGCCAGCCGCAGAAGTCTCAGAAGCCTTCTGCCAAGTGGCAGAGGCTACTCTGGTTGCCCTCGAATCCCTCAAAGCATCTTTCAACGTCCGTACTGCCGCTCGCTTCGCTTTCTCGCGGCTGATTGGTGTTCTGGGTGCGCGCATCCTGCCCCAACTGCCCCGGTGGATCGACGGACTCTTGACCCAGACTTCTTCGCGCGATGAGATGGCATTGTTCCTGCGCCTTCTGGATCAAGTGATCTTCGGATTCAAGGGTGAGATCTACAGCATTCTTGATACGCTCTTGACTCCGTTCTTGCAGCGCGTCTTCTCGGGCATTGCGGATCCCACGACTGGAACCGACGATGAGATCCAGCTTGCAGAGCTCAAGCGTGAGTATCTGAACTTCCTGCTGGCCGTCTTGAACAATGATCTCGGGGCGGTCATCATTAGCGAGAGAAACCAGCCAATCTTCGAGACCGTCATCACCACCATCGAGCACTTTGCCAAGGACATTGATGATTTCACCACTGCCAAGATGGCATTCTCAGTTCTGTCCAAAATGGGCAGTTCCTGGGGAGGACCGGATATCGCCCCTGCCAATGGAGCAACGACTACCCAGACCCAGCTCCCCGGCTTTGGCGGGTTCATGATCTCCCGGTTCTCGCCCTTGTGCTGGGCACTTCCCACCACTCCATCCTTCAATTCCAAAGATGCACAGGCCAAGCAGGTTCTTGCCGAGGCAGGTGGACTGCAGCGCACTATCTACAGCAAGACGGGCATGGAATACGCCGACTACCTGCGTAACCAAGAGCTGCCTGGAATGGGCATGGGCGCCGAGCTGATCGAAGAATTTTTGACGGCATTAAGCCAGCTGGACTTGAAGGGATTCCGGCAATTCTTCCCGGTAAGCATTCCTCCTTATCACTTCGTCATAATTCCCACCTAACATCTACGACAGTCATTTATCCAGCGATTGAGCGCATGAACACCCCCTCAACGACCTTTTCTATTTCCTTCTGTTTTTAGATTCCCCCATCCCACATTTCCTATTTCTGAAAACGAGGTGACGTCTGTCCTCGCCGACCTGTGATATGATTTTCTGTCGGTGACTCATTCCATCTGTCATCTGCCCTGGATACCATCTCTTGCTACACGTTTCGACCCCCCCAAAAGAACCCAAAAATTTTCAAGGATTGGATAAAACGCCCAAGGAAGTGGAAAAAAAGTGGTTCCCCCCAACTCAAGTACATAGCGTTGATCACTCCCATTCTGGTGCATTCGCATCGCATCGTGGGCGTTTCTTTGTATCACCGATATAAGCCCCTTCACACTGGAGTTTTGTCTTAGGTAGATCATGAATGAATCGACTACTCTACAGAGCTGAGGATCAAATACGGCGTAAGGCATGACTTCGTTTCCGATTATTTCCTCCATGGGCCGGGACATTTTTAGCAAATGGAGAGTGACAATTGCTATTGATTAGAAGGTCAAGATGATTAATTCGAAAAAAGCCATGGAATTATAGACATTTAGAAAGGATACCGAGAGTTCAGCATGTACTTGATCCCCTACTACATTATCTAGCTTGGCATAGGCTACAAAAGCGTGGTGTAATGAATACATAGAAAGTGGGAACGGAGAACATATTTTAAGAAAGATCACCGTGAGCTTTGATCCAAATGTATATCTGTTCATTTACAGAAGTCGACACTAAGAATGACCGACTCGACGATGATGGACTGGCGTGCTTAACAGGCGATGTCTCAGTCGGGATTCGTGGTAGGGATCAGGCAAAAAATCACCGCATATTAGATGCCTTAATCGTTTCTGGCTCCAGTAGCGGTCATTTTCGGCGTCAATCTCACGGGTCCTCATATTCTAGTTGTACTTTTTCTTCAAATCACAGATCTTACAGGGTCCTGGTGCTCACTTGAGCGAATTGCCATCAGAATCCGTTCCATTTAGCCGACACTTCCCACCCTGTCTAATACATCTGGAGGGAACAAATTCATAAAACGAAGGAAATAGAGAAAGGAGATCACACACTATTTTCCGAATGCCTTTGCCGCGTGCGCGACGTGCTCGTCGGCAAATGATGCCATGAAATAGTACGAGTGGTCGTAGTCTTCGCGATAGTTGACCTTGACGTTTTTGAATCCCTTTTCATTAGCGACGGCCAGCAAGTTCTCGGGAAGAAGCTGGCCCTGCTTGTAGAAGTTGTCGCCGGTGCCCTGGAGGGGTCGTTAGAGTCTTATCCACTCAGAGCAGGAGGATGATACATACCACGTCGATAAGAATCTCAAGATCCTTGTCGGTCCACTTCTTCAGGAGTTCAGTGGCATCGTTCTCCTTCCACTTCTCCTGGTCCTCGCCGAAGTAGCCCTTGAAGGCCTTCTGGCCCCAGGGGCAGTTAATGGGGTTGCAGATCGGGGCAAAGGCCGAGACGGACCGGTACTTGCCGGGGTTACGGAGGAACTGTTCGAATCAGTCAGAAGCTTGTTCCAACTAGAGTCAAAGAGGGAGAAACGAACCAGAGTGAGAGCACCGTGACCACCCATGCTGTGACCAGTGATGCTGACTTTGCTGGAGTCGAGCTGCGGGAAAGCAGCAAAGACGGTCTGCGGCAGCTCCGAGGTGATGTAGCTGTACATGTTATATCCATTGTTGTAGGGGGGCTTGGTGGCGTCGACGTAGAAGCCGGCACCAGTTCCGAAGTCATAAGAATCATCCTCGCCCTCGATATTCAGACCACCTGCAAATGAGGATGTCAGGACTGTTCTTAGTTCCATCGGATGTATTTTCCGAGGTAATTTGACGAATAGCTGATTAAACTTCTCGGGAGGGCGATGACGTACGAGGGCTAGTATCAGGATACAGCACAGCAATGCCCAGCTTGCTAGCAGCGTGCTGGAAGAAGCCCTTCTCGGAGCAGTTATCGGCGGTGCAGGTCAGACCAGACAGGTAAATTAGGACGGGGACCATCTGAGAGTCTGCCTTTGGGGGGAGATAGAGGTTGAAGCCCATCTCGCAGCGGGTAGTGGTGGCATTGTGAGTCAGCTTGAGCAGCTTGCCGCCGAAGGAGGCGATGGTAGCCTTGGTGGTGACGGACATGATGGGTACCGGATATCGATGGAATCGAGATGAGGGTCCGACTACGAGGAGGGAGAATATAAATAGGAGTTGACGTTTTTGCGCGGGGTTTTGTCCCGCATGAGGGGAAGCTCCACTGTGTTCTGCTTGCCTTTTTGGGTCGATCCCACTGCCGCTTTAATCACTTTAAATATCCATGCCACTGATTTGGTGGCTAGCTATGGGTGTTGGCAACATGGATAGAGCAACTGAGCGTCTAGAAGAATTGCGTAGTGCCAACGCATAGGGGAAGAGTGGATGAAGAAAGAAGTATGAAGATTTGCCAGGAAGAGTATCAAGGTTTAACTCAAAGCAGAACACCATTTGAGGCCGAGTTAGACAACTTAGGCGCTCGCTATGTCCCATTCGACCTACTATGCCAAAAGCAATATAGACAGGGCGCTTATCGGCAACATTGGAATTCTAGAAACTCAACTGCCGGTCGATACAATAGACTCAAAGCAACGGGGGATAACAAGCCCCTACGCATTAGGAAAAGAAACCCGGGAGTATCAAGAACTCAGCACGCCGAAATTAATCCGAGCGTTGCCCACAGTGGAGAACTGCCAGGTAATAAATAAATTACAGATAAAAGAACCAAAGCTATGTGATACATTCCCATCATCCCATCAATCCAAAAACACCGGAACACCATAAACAACGGGCGCAGCCCCGTTCAAATACTTCAACACACACGATCCCCTCGCACCTGCAATCGCAGTATCCAAACCAACATCAGTTGGACGAGATTTTCCTTTCTTCACAAGCAATCCCCATGTATCGAAGGCAGAGGTACAGAAACGATCGATGTCTTTATCGGTAACATCCCACAATGTAGCCACAAGCGCCGGACTACCCGCGTGGAGATAATTCATGGGCGTACCATACGGCTCATACTCGCCTGCCTCGGTTAAGGTGCCGCTGCTACAGCCCATGAGGAAGGTGACGGCGCACTTGGTCATGCGTTTCACAGTCCGACCGCGAATGTATTGAGCGCCGCTGCCGTGGCCGAAATACAGGAAAAGATCCTTGGTTTCGAGGGAGGTGCGGAACTCGTCTTCTGTTGGCTCGCGCTTGATTACTCCCGTCCAGAACTTCTGCGCTGAGAGGTCTTCTTCAAATGTTTTTTGTGTGGTGCGCAAATCGCCTGTTGGGTTGAGGATGAAAGCGCCCGAGGTGCGATCTAGGACTGCGCCGGATCGGGAGTCGCGGAATTGGAGGACTCGGTCGCGGAGACATTCTAGAGACGGGACGCGGCAGACGGGGAATCCCTGGAGACATGGAAGAGACTCCCAGGGGAACAAGTGGAGGGCTTTGTCCAGTACTAGAATGGTATGGTTGGGTGGCCGAGATGCGAGCTCTTCTCGTGCGACTTCGTGATAGCATCGCAAGGCATCAAGGGTGTCGACAACCATCATGTCGAAATCGATCTCATCGTAGGCATTGCGCTCGCCTTGGAATTGGAGGATATCGACCACAAAGTAGAGAAGGTCCATCAGCGTATCCTCCGGTTCTTCCTGCTGCTCGAGATCTCGGAGTCCAATGAACAACTCCACAACGTTCTGATGAAGCGTAAGGTGAGGCGAAGAAGCTTTCCCGGCCTTTTGTCGAGAGGGCAGATGCTTGTCAAGGATGCCCTGGAAGGCGCTCAAAAACTTGGCCAGGGCAGAGCCATCCCGCGAAAGCGGCGAGAAAACACCCCTGAAACCTCCAAACCAGACATTTTCAATGTTCTGTAAAAGGCTTTCCATCTGGCTATCAAGAGCCTCGCGGTTCTTCCACCACTCCTTCTTCGACTGCTTATCAGTTTGAGCTTTAGCCGCATGTGCGCTCTGGTTTGCCAGCTTGATGAGCTCTAGCATTTCATCCTTTCCATTCTCGAAAGTAAACTGCTCCTCTTCATCATCATCAGAAGTGCCTCTTCGCAGAGGTAGTCGCAGAAGGAAAGGAGAGCGATTCTTCTGAAGCCGGGAGACCACAAACTCGGTCTGATCCGCACTCAGAGACAGTGACAGGACGTTCCAGTTCTCAGGCAAAATATCGACGTAGTTGTCAGTAAATTTCGAGCAAATTTCTTCGGTCATCTCGATAGTGGAGGGCGACGAGGATGGCCAAAGCAGTGGGTCGGAGAAATCGGCTAGTTTTCGGTCGAAGTCGATAGCCATGCGTTCGCGGGCAAATGCACCAACACGGCCAATTTCTGACGAGAACGAATATTAGAGGATTCAATTGTATTACTGGGAATTTAGACTGCTCACCATTCATGTTCGCCGGGGATTGCGCCCAGGTTGCAGGACCCCCCGGGGTAGTAGCATGAGAAAGCATAGAAATTCGACTCATCAGACGAGATGCTGCGTGGCTTTCAAGAGTCGAGCCAAGAACAGTGGCATCTGCAAAGACGCTAGTAAGGCGTTCGCTCGCCTTTGAAAGCATGATTGAGAAGTCCTCACTAGCCTTTTGTACTTTTGCACGAGGACCGCGGGCAGGGGCCTTGGCCTTCCTCGTCGTTGGTTTTGTTGCTGGCATGCCTGTGTCTTCTCCTTTGGCTGGTGACATGAGGGAAGGTAGCGAGATTGTGGATTCCGGGAGTACACAATACACTGCATGGCTTGCAAAATTGCGAATAGCATCAGCCAGAAGGTGCCCACTCTCCCCGATTTCCAGGGAGACTTTGCTCTCGCGACCAGTTGCAAATTGTCGAGCTTCGGCCAGAGTTTGCGCGGATCGGTCGAAGTCACGGAGAGACCGCAAGCAGTCTGCTTGTTGTCGAAGAACGTCGCCCTTTAGCCGGAGAAGAGACTTCGATTGGACTTCAGGTAGCGGAGTTTTAGGTGTTGATGCCTTCTTAGCGGCAGTGGATGATGCCGCGCTATTTGCACGAGTGCGTCGACCGGCAGTAGTAGTTGAGGATCTTGAGGGTGTGCGCCGACTACTTCTCACCCGTAAATTCTGCATTTGCTCTTCAAGGGCCGCGACATCTGGTGCTTCCGACATGCTAGTCACATCAGAAGATGAGACAGTTGTGATGGCTTTATCCGCCTCCTGAAGCAAGCGGAATGCCTTCTCATGCTCACCCTGCACCTTGTAGAGAGAAGCAAGTGCCATATGAAGGGAAACTGTCTCAACGCTTGTCTGGATCTGCTTTAACGATTCCGAAGCCGAGGCCAGAAGATCTTGCCCTTCATCCACATGGCCACCGAGGATCCAGTAACAGCCAAGCTGAGTTTGAGCTGCGACAAGCCGGCCATTGGCATCAAGTGTCTTGTCAATTTTCAATGCTTGTTCTCCGTAGTAGATGGCGTCCTGGAATAGCCCATGGTGGGCGGATAATCTCGCGAGGTTCAACAAGCAGGTGTGGTGCGAGCCGAGATGTGGCCAGAATGGAGCACCTTGAATGTAGCTGGCTGAGACGTCCGGTGAAGATCCATTCTGAGACAGATCAAGCTTGGCTACACCTTCAGCGACCACATCAACATCAGAGCTCCCTGCCACAGGCAGTGATTTGTCTTGCTTCTTCTGCGCCAGTTTCTCGATCTTGGCCCAGATTCGGCAGTTGAGTCGAACAGACAGTTTGGCAAAGAAGAGAGCCTGGGTCATTGACCCCTGCGCTGTTGATAGCCGGGACTGAGCAAAGGCAGCGTCAGCAACAAGCCTCTCCCATGAGATTTTGGACGGAATGGACAAGTTCGTCAGCTCTTCTGACTTCTGGCATTTCTCATACAGAGCTCTAGCGGCGGTGAGAAGCATCGCGGCTTTGTCAACTTGCGAAATCTCGAGGAGATATTCAACTTTTGCGAGTTTATAAGACAGAGTTGCCAAGGAGGACACTTTGTTCTGTGCAAGATATTGCTCGCCACGCGAAAGAAGATTCCCTGCCTTCTGGCAATGACCAATTCGGCAGTTTTGCAAAACCAAACGTGAAAGAATGATGATCGCATCCGAAATATCTCCGGACTCTTGAAGTTCGGCAGCACGTAGGATTAGCTCCAGGGTACAGAGCTGAGCCTTCCAAAGGCCGTGGATCTCGGTGTAATCAACCAAGGCTTTAAGCTGGAGAACCCAATAATCTGTATCGTGGATATGGAGACGCAGACTCTTCCAGTCAGAACACTGGCGAATCATCGAGGTCCATGAAGCAAGCGTGTCGTCCAGTTGATTTAGGTCCATCTTGCCTTGGTGGAAACCGACGATCACTCGTAATGAGTTTGTGATGTGGGTTACAAATGAAGCCAAGTCTGCGTCTTCTCCGAAGCCGCTTTCGCATTTCAGCCCTTCAGAACCTTCTGTCATAAGCCGGTCGGTCAGGGCTGAGTCAAGAGCACTCGGGTACTCCAACAGAAACCGGAGAGCAGCGAGGGTCACTCGGCCATGGCGGATTGGGTGAGATTTCAGAGAAAACATGTCGAGGAGGGTAGTTAGAACTGGACTGAGAATTGAACGGAAGTCGTCTTCGCTAGGACATTGTCCGTGCATATCAAACAGCAAGCACATCTGCCACTCAAGAAGCATTCCCTGTCGTTCGGGCTCCAGTTCAGTGTCCTCATAGATGGATAGGGACTTGGATCCCCTTCTGCGCAACTTGATTTTCAAAAGAGTCGAAAGGACTCGATTGAGCATAAAACCAGGGCTTTGTGGATCTTGGCTGACCGAGCCTGGTTGGGCTCCCATGTTGCTGTCGGCAATCTGTTCCAGGGTTCCAGAATCAATGTACTCTGCAATTGACTGTCGGAGGGCTTTCTCAGAGTCACCATACAAGCCGCCGTCCAAGTATAAATGGGCAATTCTCTCATACTTGAGGGCCGCAAATGCGGTGGTTCGGAAGGATGGAGAGCAACCACAGATCATCTGGGTAGATTGCTTGAGAAGAGGTAAGAGCTCACGGTGAGATTGTCCAGCCTCTTTCTCTTTGATATAGCGAGACCAGAATACATTAGAGAGCTTCACAAGACCCATACCAATGCTCTCATTCAGCACGGCATCGGGGGAACTTTCGTCGCTGTTTTCGATAGTGGCGAGCAGGCGATGACAATCACTCAGAATGGGGAGCATGTCATCCCAAGGGGGTCTTCGAGATGTGATCGACAATTTTCCAACAGCAACAGCGGAATCGACGGCGGCAAAAATGATGTTTTTGGACATAGAGACGCGAGCCTTGAACATCTCAAACTCCTTGTCATCACCATCTTCTGCCGGTGGTCGTCCAATATACCGCCTGAGAAACCGTAGGAAAGCCTGGAGGTACTCTCGGATTTGAGAGGCGGTTTCGTTCTTGATGATATCGCTGTCGGTCGTCTTCATCATTACATCACCGAACCAAGCAAGAGCAAGCTTCTTCAGCCTTGCAGCCTCAACAAGAAGTTCATCGAGCTCTGATGCGTTTCCTTTGAGATGTAAGCCCAAAGCTTCGGTTGCTTCTGAGGTAGACTTCAACGCTCCATCCAAAAACTTCTTCGAACCCTTCAAAGCCTGAAAGTAGACCGAAGCAGTTTTGCATTGAACTGTGGCCAATAGAAGGCACTGGGCGTTTGAAAACGGGGTGATGGTCTGGCTGAAGAGCTTCAGTGATTCCTCAAAGCAACCAGCATCTAAAGCAAGTTGCCCAAGAACGGTCATAATCCTGGCAGCGGAAGTCGCATCCTTTGCATCCTGGGGTTTCTTCTTGATCTCGGAAACCGATGACTGGAACCGAGTGATTGTTTTGTAGACCATGGCAAACTCGGTCTTCTCAATTCCTTTACTGCGGTGGGAGAAGCTTCCGAGATAGCGAAGGAGCGGGTCGAACACCTCTTTGCTTTCGTCACAGATATGTCCAGATATCTTCCACCCCAGTGATCGAATTTCGAGGGATAGGAGCTGCAGAGTTAAGTTCGTGATCGGTTTCAGGCTTGTCGAAGAATCGTCGTTCGAGCTTGACTTGCCGGAGCAAAGAGAAAGCACGGTATTTGACAGCAGCTGAAGTTGAAGAGCGGCTTTGTCGGCAGGTAAGCTTCCAGAATTGAAGGCCGAGGTGATGATCTGGGCAGGGCTGCTGGGATCGGACAACTGCAACAGAGGACATAATTTTTGTACAGTCGAAGCCTTTCGCTCTGAGACAAGAAGGCGCATCGCATTAGAGTGGAAGGAAATGAGGAGGCCGTATACGGATTGTGCGTTGGCGATATTCGAAAATGTGAGAAGGTCAGACATCCGCTCTCGCCCTGTCTCTTCCTCTGATGTGGCGTTCATATCCGTTGCTATCTTTCCTGTCTTCTTCATGTCCAGGTGTTGTTGTATCCTTCGCTTCAGGGACCGTAATTCCTTGCACGCCATGTCATTCAACCCCAGAGAAATCAACTTTCCCGCCAACACGCACACTCCCTGTTCGAGCTGCATATTTGGAAGCTCCCCATTCGACTGGTCAACTTTGAGAGTTCGCAATGTCGCCAGAGCAAGCCGCGCACACTCGGCAGCCGCGTAGACACCCGTGTCGACGCCAGCACCCGACCTTCCTGACTTGGTCGAAACATTGTCCGCAAAAGGTGTCTGCCGTTTTGCCGTGGGCACTTTTAACGCATCCGTGAGGGTCTTGAGTGTGGTATTGAATACTTCTGTGGAGAGAATGAGCTTCTCCTGGGGCGACAATACGGACCCATCCTGATCGACAATTGTGTGCAACGGGGTGTCGGTCGCGGGCTTCCCTTTGGTGGTTCTCGAGGTCTTCGCGCGACTAGAAGCAGTAGTTGCCTCCTTTGAAGATTTCGTCGTTCTCCGTGAGGGCTTTTCGGGGGCTTTTGACGATGCGCGTAGGAGAGTCTGGAGAGACAACACAGTGGCATCGGAGCATGTTGTTGTTGATCGGACCGCCAGCTTGACGGACTCTGTCATAGAGCTGGCAGGTAGGACAGTAACCGCCATGTTGGGCTCGTGAGCCGTTCAGGATGCCTGCGATTACCGATAAGGACGAATTGAAGCTGTGCAACTGATATCATCAGAGTCGTGGGACTCACGGGTATTGTTGTCGTAGCAACAAAGAACGCTATACCCGCTCGGGAGTGGTGGCCTTAGGGCCTGAGGCCGGAACCACTCGCTTTTGCCGCCGCCGAGATCTTTGCGACTGCAACAGCTACCACAATCCCGCAGCTATGGCGACAGCACTCAGATTGAAGCCCTTGGGGCTGAACCGGCATCTTTTCTCCACACCTACGGCATTCACTATCTCCAGCCGGTGTCGTGCGGCCGCAGCGCGCACTTACGCTACCTCCGACCGTCTCCCGAAGATCGCGGACACCTCAGTATGGACGGCGATGATCCCCGCGTTTATGCGGAGAAAGCGATCGCGCAAATCAAGCGAAGCAAAGGAGTGGAACCCAGCCACCTTCTACATCGTTATGTTCACGCTGATCGGCTCGCAAGCCATCCGAATGCTCACCTTAAAGAACGACTATGCCGCATACCGCCGGAGTGCGGACGCAAAGATCGAGCTCCTCAGGGAGGTCATTGAGCGTGTTCAGAAGGGAGAGAATGTAGATGTGGAGAAATTACTGGGTACTGGAGATGAGGCAAAAGAAAGAGGGTGGGAAGAAGGTATACTATAATTGCTCGTCTGGGTCCCATATCAGTCTGGCTTCTGACATTCTTCTTCTAGTCTTGCGAGAGATCGAACGAGAAGACAACATTTGGCACGAGAAGCAGAAGTCTGCAAAATCAGAAAAGACCACATCCGAGGCTGAGAAGCAGCCAACTCAGAGATCGAAAGGAAAGGAGCCCGCAATGGCGAGTGCGGAGGACGAGACCAAGAAGACGCTGTCGACAAGGAAGGTCAATTTCTTTTAAGGAACCCGACGGAACTGCAGGCTCTCAAGGGCCTCCGGGCATGCAATTGCATTATCAGCGCATTGAGCCCTTTTTGCCGGAATTTGATACCCACTCACATCTTCCATGTATAAATATCATCCTACTCAAACGAAGAACAAATATTTGAACGCACGGTCTTGGCAATAGGCTTTGACAATGACATGCTCTCTAAAAAACTACCATATTGCGTAATCTTTAAACAGAAAATCCGATTCTACCTGCTCTAGATCTAGGTACTATACAGAACTCAAGCCACCCCGACAGTAGCAGACAAAGTGCCGTGCACGAAGATCTAAGTCGAAAGAGCAAGACAACGTGCAGGGACTCCATACACACCAGGAACCCCCTCTATGTAGCATCCGAGGTCCTCCCTTTCCAAATCTATCTGCTGTTGGTACAATGCACACCGGCCATCCGAGAGAAAAGAAGAAGAAATAATCATGTAGGTTTTCTCCGCACAAACCCAACTAGAGCCCCATCTTTGCACAAAAAGGAACGGGAAAGAGATGACAGGGCAGAGGGATCAGGAATGAGAAACCCAAAGAGATCCGATGCTAAAAACCGAGCAAAGAAAAAGACAAATGGGCAAGGATCAAAAAATGAGACTCAAATCGCTATGGAACTAAGATGAAATCACTGCTTGGAGCTTCCCTGGAGGAATTTGGGCCAGTTCTCCGCCCGAGGGACCTGCACCCGGCCGATGTTTTGATCCAGGTCAAGGATGAGCTTGAGAGCGTTCCTTGACCGGAGGTAAGGGAGGGGAGCCTTGGCCTGAGTCAGACCAACGCCAGGCTCGACATGACCGCTGGGGGTCTCATCAGCCTGCGTGCCAGGCATGGGCAGCGCCTTCTGAAGAACCTCGTAAGCGGCCAGTGTGAAGCCGAACTGCGGCGAAGACCGCAAAATACGCGCAGGGCCACCCTTGAAGAAGGCCTTGAGACCCTCTTCCTTCCACACGGTTGCAGCACAGTGACGGAGACCGGTGTACTTGGTATCACCCTTGCGGGCTTCGACCTGCAGACGGGTCTTGATCACGTCGCAGGGGGTAGTCAGGTAGGCAGCGGGCATACCGGCGATAGCACCGGCAGTAAGAAGCTGGACCACGCCGAGCTTGTTGGTGGCGGTTTCGCCGAACATGTCACTCTTCAGATGAGCATATGTGGGGAAGTAGATTGCGGAGAAAGGAACTAATATTCAAGTCAGATAACTCTCACAACTGAAGAATAAGCGAGAGACTTACCATCACGCAGCAGACAAGCACTAGCGCCCTTGTACAAGCCAACAAGACCCAGGTTCTTCACAATCCAGAGAGCAGAGCGGCGAGGAGCACCCTCCACATTTTTAGCAATCTCACCCTGGACCTGGAGACGAATCTTGACAATCTCCAGAGGGTTGGTGAAAACCTAAACAATGAAATGATTAGCACTTGAAGAACACAAATTGAGAGATGCGGATTAAACTTACAACTTGACAACCACCAGCAGCACCACCAGCAAGGAGCTCATGGGCATACTTGATCTTACCGGTGTCCTTGTCGGTGAAGATGCCACGGACAAGATCGTTGACCGTGAGCTTGATGGCCTTCTCAGGAGCCACGCCGATCAGCTGCGGGATCACACCGGAGTACAGGCCTTTGAAACCCTCGTTCCTGATGACCTTCTTGGCGCAGTCAACGGAGTTGTTGTACAGTCTCTCACCCGGGCGGCTAGATCGCTGGTTCTGCATACGAGTCTTCACCAGATCGATCGGGTACACCATGAAGGCACCGAAAGCACCAGCAACACTGCCCAGAGCGAAGTGGTGCGCCGACTCCAACACACTGTGGAGGGCACCCTTGGCCTTCTCCTGAACACCAGACACAGCCTGGCCCGCAAGGGCAACGGGGACACGCCACGAAGCGTCAATGACCTTGGCGAAATCCTTCTGAGCGAGACGTCCCGACGGCGCATCCAGACCGGCGAAATGGAACAGAATGTCAGCCTCCATGGGGGTGAACAGAGAGAAGCGCGTGACCCGAGTGGCCTCGTTCAGGAAGTCGGAGCGGGTGATCTTGCCATCGCTGCTCTTCTTGGTGGCCTCGCGCACGATCACGTCGATGATATCCATCTCGCGCATAATGTTCTGGAAAGCACGGACGGTGGCGTAGGAGATTTTGTTGGTGGTCGCGATGTTGCACAGGGTGGGCAGGTTGTCAAGCACATGGTCGGACAGCTTGTGCTTCGAGGTCTCCAGAATGATGCGCTGGAAATCCTCAGGCTCGATATAACCATCGCCATCCTTGTCGAAAACGTGGAAAGCTTGGCGAATGCGCTCACCCTGCAAACCGCGCAGCATCTGGCAGAATTGTGGGTAGGTCATGTCGTGGCGGGTCTTGGTGCGGCCGGCGTACAGCGAGGCCCATTCTGAGTTCCAGTCGAAGGGGATGCTGTCGGGGCTCTTGGTCGAGCTGTACAAGCCCTTTACGTTCTCAAACTTGACAGTTCCCGTGCCATCGAGGTCGAACAGGCGGAACGCGATCTCGTACTCCGCATCGGGTTTTGTAAGGAGGTTCTCGAAGGTCGCCCAGTCGGTCAGGTTCAGTTTGCCGGTTCTCCGTCGGTCTGCCACTCGGAAGAGGATGCCATACTGCTCGCGCTTGATTTTGTGCTGGATCGAAGAGGGGACAGGTCAGCAACACATTCGCACCAGCATTGGGGATTGGAGCGATAAGGGAAAGGCAGAGCAAAACTTACATAGTCCTCATGCTTGGGGGCAATAGCATTGACGAAGTCATCCTCAGTCATGAACTGCTCTCCGTTCTCATCCTTCTGGGCATGACGATGGAAGTTGAAGCGGGCCTGGTGCGACATCTGAGGCTCCTCAGAGCTGCCGACCAATGTCTCCTTGACGGTATCCTTCACACTTGCCATTGTGCCAGAGTAAAGAGGCGCTTCAAAACTTGACAATTGACTGAAAGCGATGGTCCGCCGCACACACTGGGGGAAGGGGGGGAAAGGAAGGTCGAGAGTGGAGAACGGGGAGGTTCGAGTCAAAAAAGGGAATGACCGCAGGTTTAACGATGCGATAGCAATGCAGTTCTTGAGAAAATGACGCTTTTTGCTCGGTGCTTTTCTTTCTTCTTTCTTCTTTACTCTAAATTAAGACAACGATACGACTTTACACTGTCCAGTGAATACAGTTTGTTTGGCCACCCGAGTATGATTTTTTCACCGCCCCCTAGCAAGGCGTTATTTACCGTGAGATCGGACTCGGGGCCGAATTGTACCCCTGGGGATCTCCGTACTTCTTTCGTCTTCGGTTTTTATCCGATTTCTATCGATCGTGAATTCTGTCCGATGGCATGATATTATACAACTATAGAAATAGTACTATTCTAGCACTATGATCTTCGAGTTCGTGAAGACGAGAATCCGACGGGACAAATTGCCACCACGAATCCATGGTAGATGGATCCCGGCCAGCCAATCGCCATATCGTGTCCCTGGTTCCTCGAGAATGCGGTAAGCGGTCGAATTTGACGTGTTTCCTTAAGGCTCTGCTGTTCAGATGACCATCGGAAGGGAAGGGGAAGAACCGGGATGGCCGGTTCACATGTGCACCCGGTGAGCGTGTGCTGGGGCATAAGAAGTCCAATGTCGGGTGCCTCCGTGTTCGGTGCGGAGCAGTAGCGGGTCACTTTGGAGAAATCGGCCTTGAAAGTTGGAGATGCACGATGCCATTGGCCGTTTCCCCTCTCCCCGGTCCGCGCATCCAGGCTCGGCTTAACTCCGGACGCTGGTCTCCGCTCTCCTCACGTCGCGTGAGGGAGAGGCTACTGCCCCTAGCTATGAATTGTGAGGAGAATGTAGATGGGTGAGCTAGAGCTACATAACCAAGGCTGGCTCCAATTGAACGCGAAGCGAAAGCAATTGATTTACGTTGTTTGTGTGGTGTTGTTGCCGTGACGCTTAAACCTGCCTATTGCGGTGAATCAATTTGTTTTCAGTGCACGGCCTCGGTCCATTGCGACAGAAGCCTCAGTGGCCTCGATGTGTGCAAGCATGGCAGTTGGATTTCATAACGTCACCGGGTCCAGAATCGCTGAAGTTGAGTCGGGCTGACATACATTCGGAGTATAGAGGGCTGCTCGGGATACCTGCCACTTCCCACTAGCTCCATTTTAGTTCTCCCCAGATTTCTCCAGTCGAGGTCCTCGGAACAACACCCTCTTGAGCGGCAGCAAAACCAAAATCATCCCATTCAAGCCATAGCGGTCGCAATAATCGCAACACCGCCAACGGTATCGAGAATGAAACGATTCGCGGTCGCGACAACCATTGGACCATAACCATCGGCCAGAGCAGAACAACAACTCGAAGGAGCACGTGAGGATGAGGACTGTGCTTGAATACGCAGAACGCAATAACCACGGAGTCGCCAAACTGCAAAGAGGCCATCGTGGTGATCGTCAGTTGGAACTTGTTATGCGTCCACGTAGAGCCCGAGTTATCCTTGTGGAGAACTTCGATGAGGCCATATTCTTTGGGGAGGAGACGCAGCGGTGCACATTTCCAAAGCGAGAGGACCACGAACGCGATGATATTTTCCAGAGCTGGCGTGCGTGGGATTTCCTTGTACTGACTGCGCACCATGAAAGAATAGCAGTAGAGATAGAACATGACTCCGACGACGATGTGGGAATAATAGACGCGGGCAAGTTGATCCATTAGCCTTGGGATCTTATTAAGCATGAATTGCTGGATGGAGAGTTCGATGTCGATATGGAGGAGACGTTCGACGGAGAGGAGCTTAATCGCAAGGTGTTCGGCTTTCTGAAAGACGGCTTTTATATCTATAAATCGTCAGCGTCGGGCGCATGTCAACTTTGAACCTCCAAACGAGTACCCAGTAGACCAGCAGCCAGTAAATTATCTCCAACGGAAATGGAAACTGCCTCAATAGTCGAAAATGAATCGTCTGCCTAGGCTTTGTGTGATGCGTTTTAACGGCGCCATGCTCATTCTCAGCAACATATTCTTCACTTTCGGAATCATCGTTTTTGAGTAACCGTGTACGGCTGTTCCCCATTTGATAAGACTTCCCCCTCCGGTTGATCCAGGTGCCGATGCTAAATATAGCAACGACTGCTACAGTCAGGATCGGAGCGGAAGAGCCTGTAGTCCTTGTACACACAAGCCACGTTCTAAAGCGTCATGCCTCGTTGCTTCTTCGCTGTGGCTTTTATTTCCAAGAGAGTTAGCCATGGACACAGGTAGTCTATTCAGGTGTTGTGCTGTCCTTCTATTGCGGAATAACTTCAAATCCCCTTCCATCACTCTACTTACGGCCCTCACTTTCTGCTATGATGCAAAGATCCTTGAGATCTAGTTTTCGGAGCTGAATCGGCTCTCTAAATTGTCAAGTTCGTCGGATTTTCAATCCAACCCATGCCAGGGACATTCACGTGGATTCGGGACTCGGGGATTGCGCAAGACTGCCAATTCCAAGGAATGACCTGTCCCCATATGGGTGAATAAATACACATTTTCAACCCTCGAGCAGCATTTCTCAGTAGAATCGTGGAATACACGACATACTCCGAACGCCGAGTTTGTAGGGGATGGACGCAACCGATCATTGTTTATCTGCAAGGACCTACTGGGATTTGCCGGCTGCATATCAAAGTTCACGGATCTCTGAGTTTATAGAGAATTTGGGCAGGGCATCCAATCATATACTTGAGCATACTAGTGCGAGTGATAATGCCGGGATAGTGATGAAAATGCAGACGGCTGTGATCTCAAGAGAGCTCTTCATGGTCTGTGCTTCAATTCCTGAAGAGGCTGGGGTGTCGCCCCCTCTATTCCTTATCGAGTGGCTTGGGAGGGGGGATCCTGGATGGACGACAGGACTGCCGGGTATGCTGGAGGGCACAGGCTATCACACCCCAGCCCTAGTCCAACTGGGAATATGTACCATCATACGCTATGGTTGGCCAGAGATCAACGGGAGGCTTTCCAAAGTTGACACTAATGTGTGATGGGGAAGTGATTTGTGCACGACAGTGCATGGAGGGGGCGCTTAGAGAAAGGGTGATGGTTGGCCGCGAAGCCAAACCCCCGCCCCACGAGACCAGCGGCCTTAGGTATATAGGCGCCGTGTCCTCCCAGGGGCGAAATCCTCTTCCCTCAGTGCGTATCGTTGTTTGAGATTTTTCTATTTTCTCTTATTCTATTTTCGTCTTGCGCTTCGTCTTGGCTGGTCCAAACGAACTTTTTTTTACCTACTCTACGTCAATAATTGTCTTCTCTCTTCATACTACCAACCCTGGTGCCTTTGTTGATCAAAGTGCCCCTGTGATAAAAACTTTTACATTAGTCTTTTACATTTTCAAAACCTCCAACCTCTGATATTCCTATCAACATGTACGCCGCCAGACCCAAGCTGTCCTTGAGCATCTCTGCTGCGCAGAATGTTACACGACCCTCTCTGTCGCTAAAGTCGCCGAGTGCTATGTCTATTCCTCGCTCTCCGCTCTCACCAGTTTCTGCGGCGAGCCCGACAGCCAAACGGTTTTCATCCTTGCAAGTGCCTTCTTACAGCTATACCAACTCCTGCTCGTCCAAGAGCATTCTGAAGAAGCACTCGTCGGCGCGAGCAGGCGTCCCCGAGAAACGCATCCAGTTCAAGGGTACACCGACAGTCCACTGCGTGACTCCTATCGAGAACCCAGATGAGTACTATGGCAAGCACACCAAGATGTCCCGCGAAGAGCGACGATGGGCCGTACGCCAGTGAACCAGTTCGTGGACCTCCGAAGCGACTAAAGCTCTTATGAGTTTCTAATCGACCACGAATCTGCTACCCTCAAATAATCGACCTAGGACAGAGCAACCGATATGGCTTAGAGGTGATCGAACGTGCCTCATGACTGCATCCGTTGCGAGTCATGACATGGTTCGATCGATCCAAGGCCGACTCGGGTCGCGTCTAGACGCACCCTCGGTCTGTTCGAGCCGGAAGAAGACTATGTCTCAGTGTGTTGAAGAGACCATTATATTCATGACGTTGATGGGCCTCCGATTGATGACCTTGCAATTCATAAATAAGCGAAATACCTATCTAGTTTAACCAAGTCGGTCTTTACCGTTAATGTTGCGGTGTTTTGACATCGATATGCATATAACTACCTTTTCCTCCTGCGTAGACTTATCTGCTGAATGTAATGAATGGCCTGGTATTATTATCCCTGTGGGTAAGCACTCTGAGCGCAATAGTTAGGTCGTTTTTTGAATATGTCGTAGTTATTAAGTACAGAACTAACAAAAAGTCACGCGGGGTATATTGATGCGGGGAGTAGACTGGATAGGAAAGAACAAAAACAAAAGAAGAATCGTAATATCCCAAGATCCCAAAGGCCCCGGAGCCCAAACCCCAAGCATGTTGTTTCCATCTTCGGCAGTTCATTAAATGCGTCCCATAATTCGTTCATTTATGAGCAGGGTGAGACGCGGCGACGCGCGCAACATGAAGCGCTTAAACATAGTGAACGGGAGGGGATTCCTTTTCAACAGGAGCCTGGTTGTGGTATCCGGTGTCAGGGTACATAGGCTGACCCGGCTGCGAAGGGTACTGCGGCGGGTACTGAGGCTGAGATCCGTACGGGCCAGGAGTGTTGTAAGGCTGTTGCGGGTTCATAGGAACAGTGTAGTACTGAGAGGCGAGCGCTTGCTGATGAGAGCGGCGGCGTCTAACGCAGTAGAGGATGGCAAAGACCCAACCAATGAGCTTGAAAATGCCACCGATGATGAAGCAGGCGACTGCGCCGTAGTATTCTCCGTTATGGCTGGATCCGCAGTCAAAGTCGTCATCATTACTATAGTAGTCATAGCTGCTGGAGTCGTTGAAACAGTTTGACGTGTTGGACAGGTAGACGCCGACCAGTGCACCGCCGACGATGAACATGACGATGGCACCGAAGAAGAAGGCTAGGGGCCACCGTCGGGACATCCCTTGGGTCTTTTGCTTGGGAACTTCGGTGTTCACTGGCATGTTTGACATGGTGGGCAGTAGGGAAGTGAGGACAGGGATGGAGTCAAGAACGAGTTCACAGGGCGACCACGGGGTTTTAAAATGTAGGAGCTCCGCCACCCCAGGGGCTTTAGTGACAGATCCGATAAAAGCTAAGAAGTAGCCTAATGTGTACAGCCTATCAGGAGTAGCGTTGGGTATATTTTGGGGGCAAAAATAGGCGTTGGAAGGCTATGTTACACTGCTTGAGCCTCCCATGCCGCACTTTTACTTGGCGAAGCGCGGATCTAAGCCCCGAAATCATTTGGCCCCTTTCTGAGATGAGGCTCATTTGGTTTAGCGCAGACACCGTTCGAAGCTAAAAAAAGGTTGTACCAGGAATTTTCGTGGGCTTTTCTTGTTTCGGTAAATGCCAGACCACTAATCAAACGGGTGTTCACAACGCAGCCATGAGAGGATCAGCCCAGGTCGCTATACTCCAGCCCCCAGACATGACAGCACGGACTGAGTTCGCGTTCCACTGTGACTACCGCTACGTTTATACACCAGCTTGCTGCTCTCCTCTGGGCGAAACTTAGGCAAAACGAAGAAAAAGTCCGAGCGGGTTGATGGTGGGCCGATGCTAATCTAATTAGGTTCTTATTGGCCTGTGGCGCGTCCCTGAGAGCTCTCGTTGGTCCAAAGGGCCGGACCTCGCGTTAGCCAACTCACAATGTAAAAATAGAGAGTAGATTCATCATGGCGAATTTGATGCTGACCTCGACGTGAACTGAGGGAATTTGCTATGTACATGGATTACCACGATGAAATAGTTTTCTCTGAATCGCTCGCAAGGGACCACCAAGCCCATATTATTTAGATTCCAGGGGCCAGCAGACCACAAGCGGTCAGATGTGAAGGGGCTTGCAGGGGCTGTGTGCGACGCTAACCCACTGCGTGAAGCGAGAACCTGCGGGTCGAAGGAGTCACCTCAGCCTCGTATTCCAGGTCCCCAACGTTCTTGACTTGGTCACCGTTAAATGATCTTGGCCAAACCTAATGAGGTTATCGATTAGAATTTGACTGTAAAGACCATCCGTATGCGCGCTCCCCACTCTAGAACAAAGCCTGAGTATCAAGAACAGTACCGTTTAAGCTACTCACAAGCTCGCGGGTAAGGTGAGTACCCTCTGGCAATGACTCATGGAGTGTTCTCCCCATCCACAGAAGTTATATCCTTCGCGAGTCACTTCAGCTGCACATCGCAGAGATTGCTGAATGGCCCGCTCTCATCGCCTTCGCTTCCACCGATCTATTCGGGCATGCGGATTTAGTAAATGTTGGAAAGGCGAAGACATTTATCGCGTTAGCAAAAAGAGAGAAAATCTATTTCGAAAGAAGGCGTCACGACTGACGAGGGGCGGTATGCGCTTCGTACCGTGACAACCTCTTTCTGCATCTATTATTAAAAGTCCCAAGACATCAAAGGCCCGAACCTGGCCACCAGGCATTATTAATTTCCTTCTCGTTTCATTATCAATGACAGTTTTTGTTGGAGTTCGGCTTGCACCCAACAAGGATTTACTCTCGCGTCTCCGGAACGTGTTGCTCAGAACTCTCCATCGGCGACGGCTGGATGGTGTCATCTTTCTCCACGTCATTTGAAGTCTCACGGCTCTCGTAGTTGGCAGGAAGCTTGCCATCGTTCTGGGCGAACTGGTGGTCAAGCTGGGCTTTTTCTTCGTCCGTCGCATCAGTGAGGTGGACAGCAACCTCTTCGCCGAAGCTCTTGGCGATTTCCTCGAGGGTCAGGCCAGCGGTCTCGGGGAAGAAGAAGTAGATGACTGAGGGTTTTGTTAGTTCGCATATTCATCAGATGGGGTTGCCGACAGAAATCTTACTTGGAATGAAGAATGCGGACCAGCAGATGATAACCAGGTAGTATTTCCAGCCAGCGTTGTTGAAGCCCATTGGAGCAGTCTCCAGGAGAATGAGGGTGGCTGTATCGCGTTAGTCAAATTCAAGGGCAGTGAAAGGATTGAACTCACCAGCAAACTGGCCGAACAACGAAAAGCCCATGCCAATCGGGCGAATCTCGGTAGGAAAAATCTCCGAGACGTAGAGGTACATGGTAGTGTCGCAGAAGGTTCTGAATGAATGTTAGCATACAACAGTTAGACGTTGTGAATGGAGTGGACTCACCCCTGGAAGGCCAGGTACAGATACATGAACAGAATACCGAAGCCGTTTCCGACCTTGTTGGTAGTACCAGCGTACTGAGCGGTCATAGCAGCGAGACACGAGGTAGTGCAAACGATGCCCACAAACCCAGTCATATACATGCGACGGCGAGAATTGACTCGGTCGTGCAACCAGGCACCCAGAGGGTTGTAAATCAGACCTGGCATGAGTTAGTCTATGGTATAGTCACGACGAGATATTCCATTTCTTTACCAGCAGTAGTCAACCAGATGGCACTGAGGAGAAGAGGCATACTGCCCTTCTCGCCCAGGTTAGTGTACAGGAGAACGGCATAGTTATTCTGTGCAAATATTAGCGGCGTTCAATTAACGAACAACCTGATTGACTCACGATAATCAGGGGACCGCCAAATTCAGCACCCCACTGGGTAAGGAAACCGATAGCCATGCGCTTGCGGTATGACTTCTTCTTGACTACCGCCTTCCACACATTTCCGTATTCTGACAATCTCTCGGCCTCCAGTCGAATCTGTTCCTTTGTCTGGTAAAATTCCTCCTTGGCAACCAAGTTGCCGGGGTCATCTGGAGATTGCCGGAGACGCAAAAGAACACGCTCAGCCTCGTCAAACTTGCCCTTGGAAATCAACCAACGGGGAGAGCGAGGGAGCCAGGGAGATCCGACGAACAGGACCAAAGGCGGGAGGCATTGCAGAGCCAAAGGGAAACGCCAGCCGAAAGACGGGATGGAGCTCTCTGCATAGTAGCATGCAAATCCCACCCAGGCGGAAAGCATGTATCCGAACACAAGGAAGATAGCGTGGTGACCGACGAGCCAGCCTCGGCGGAGGGCACTCGACATCTCGGAGAGGTACATGGGGCAGACGGTGACCAGGATACCAATTCCAAGCCCGCAGATGAAGCGACCACCTTGGAACATTCTGCATCATTGTTAGCTCTAATTTTCAAGGCGACAAGATGGAATGACATACGCAAGAGAGTTGGCACCGCCCTGAAGGGCGCCGCCGAACATAGCAAAGAAAGCACCCAGTTGGATGTTGGCCTTGCGACCAAAGAACTCGCAAGACCACATCATAAAGAGGGTGCCGACAGCACCACCAGCACTGAAGACACCATTGGCCGTCGAGATGGCGGGGGTTGTAATGCTGTCGTAACCAGGCTCGCCCTCGGCGGGGAGATCGAAGTAACTATACCATCCTGGCTGGCCAATGGTACTAGAGATGATAGAAGCACAGTAACCGTAGGTCTGGTAGATGCATTAGAATCGCCAATGTCATGCATCTGAAACGCAGATTAGGTAGAGACTTACCATCGACCCAACGGCAACAAAGACCGTCACCAGCCTGTTGTAGGTACTGGTCTGCGACCCGAAGCGGCCCATGATGATCTGATACCAGTTCCGGACTGGACAAGATGTATACGCAAAGAATCACACGTGAATAGGGAAAGATGCCAGCATCCGTTCAAGGCAACAGCAACACGCTCAACCGGGATAGTAATGTGAGAGGACTTAGGATTTTTCAACCAGAACACGAGCAAGGGGGAAAACAATTAACTCATTGACATGGGGTGGAGTGGGGCCTCTATTCAGTCGTGGAACATAAACTTCGGCGATTCACTTAGTCTACTCGGACAAGACGCGAAGCCATGCCGATCATGACGGGCGGGTCTAAGCAGGGCTGTACTGTATTGACCGGGGTCAGAATGCGCACTAGGAAACGCTGGAAGTTGGGGGCCGAGGGATTCGCGGATCTTCACTGTCGTCGGCCGCTTATCCACTCAGAACAAGGAAATCGTTAGCCTAAGGTTTTCCCATGATGAACCTTCTTCACAGTGAGCCTTCTCCAAAGTGTTACCTAATTGGGGAGCTTACCCGATGTGAAAGTACATTGACGGAACTAATGATTCAGAGTTCGGTGATTTGAAAGTATCCACGAGGTGGATGCTCCATGCTCCACACAAAGGTGTCAGGAAAGTCCCTCACGTCCATATGAAATACCCCTCCAGCTACAAAAGTACCTACTATTTAGTGGCCTCAACATTCGATAGTTCAAGATTGGTCTTCATCCCCCTGATCCCTGTTCGCCACTGCACCGGATCTATCACAAGATTTGCACCGCTGAACAATGGCCCAGTCCGCTTTTGACACCCCGTTTGATCAGCTTCCGAACCCTAAGCAGGTTTGGATGGGAAAGCCCGGAAGCTACGAAGAAGGCCTGGGCAAGCTGGCCATTCTCACCCCTGAAATCGTTGCGAAGGCAGCCGCCAGTGAGATCAAATGCGGCCGCCGCGTGACGATGGGATGGGAGCTGACGAAGTTGGATTATCCTAATCTCAACCGCCAGCCATGTCACCATCAGATTGTGCCTCTTTTGGGTGGTGTGGCATTTGACGACATCTATTCTATGAACCCGCGTACGTTAGAGCTCCAGCTCTGTATTTCTCCGAAGTATTGACAGCCACGAAGAGCAGAGTAGTCAATGGGATGGTCTTCGTCACTTCTCGCAGATCGTCCCGGGCCAGTCTGAACGGGTTTTCTACGGTGGAACGACCGCTGAAGAGATCAATGATCGTCAGAATGATCGCATTGGTCTTCAGCATTGGGCACGTGAAGGCATCGCAGGTAGGTTGCTTTGTCCTTGAACGCATCATTTCCGGCACATGCTAAAGGTCGGTTGATAGGACGTGGAGTCTTGATCGACTACGCGACGTGGGCCGAGAAAAGGGGAATCACGTATAGCACATTCTCGACCCATCAAGTACGTCTCACGGACATCCTGGAGATCGCCCAGGAGAACAACATCACTTTTCAAAAGGGCGATATCCTGTTCGTCCGTATCGGGGTAACCAAAGAGTGGGACACGGTTATGACCGACGCTCAAAAGCAAGCCTATTCGGACAACTCTAGCCCGGAGCACGCCGGGGTCGAGGCCACGGAAGAGGTTCTCCGCTGGTTGTGGGACAGCGGATTCGCGGCCATTGCCAGCGATGCTATTAGTTGGGAGGTACGACACCCCGAAAATGCGGAAACTGACCCAGGATGCATTGCCATTTGCCGCTTGTGGCATAGATGACAGCGACAGGACGATCAAAGAATACTCATTGACATCTGGGACAGGTTTACCCACCGCAATCCCCTGACATCTTCCTCCACGAGTACGTCCTTGCAGGATGGGGTATGCCGATCGGTAAGTTACATAAACGTGGTAACTATTTTCGCGGAACTTGTCCGCTAAACGCCCCAGGTGAACTTTTCGATTTAGAAGCACTAGCACGATCCTGCGAGGAACTACAACGGTGGACCTTCTTCGTCACGTCCGTGCCATTGAACATGCCCGGTGGGGTCTCGTCCCCTCCCAACATTATGGCGATTTTCTAGGTCATTCATCGTGTGATCTTGCGCCCGGGAATGTGAATCCATGAACTAGAGGTTGAAGTAGGAAGCTATGTGTGTGACGTACCTGTCTAGCAGCACGCCACAATCGATAATCAACGTATTACTCTCGGGTGGCACCGTGTCCACCCGCATTGAGTAATTCTGAAAAATCAGAACCCACTCGACTTACCAATGCACGGCCACGGACAGGGACTAGGAGCCGGAGAATCGGAATGATCCCGGCCAGGTGGGTTCGTCGATACGTAGCAGGCAATGAGCGACATATAGAGTGAATCAGATTCTTTTTTGGGAGCTCAGGACGCCCAGAAGCCTAACTTCCCGGCAGCTTGGGTCCGAATCGTGGAAATGATTTTCAATGTCATAGCCTGAGACAAAAGCGTGCGTGGAGATGTCGTGTTTTTTTTTTCACTTTGCCGAACCTTTGTCCTCATTTGCGAATGTGAGTCCACTTGGGCAGGGAACAGATCCTTCGATCCACAATGGCGCAGCACTAACTCTACTTGACCAGCCAGTATCTGCAGTATCTGCCCCGCGCAACAGGCACCAAAAGCACGCGGTTCAACCCATGGTCCAATCCAATTGTGGCGCCGACGGGGACGTTGGGCCCACTTCCCGCGCAAGCGGCCCGGGTCTCCACTCGATTCCTCAGTACCAGCTGGGCAATGCATCTGGACCGTTTTGGGGCATATGTAGATGTAATCGCATTTCGTACGTGCATGAGGGAGGTAGCATCGTGGGTAGACGGAATATCTGTTACTTCCGTGTACGCTTGGCATAGAATAGGCACGTTGAGTGAGCCCAACTGATCCGAGATAAGACCGTAAGTTGACCACGTTCCGGCCAAAGAATAGACTTTCCCGAGTGACAAATTAGGGTAACGTACTGCAGGATCTGACAGCGAAACTATAATGTCCATGAAAATTACCAGAGAAGGCCCAAGCTGAAACGAGGAAACGCATCGGCGAACTATAATTTCCGATGTCATGAACGCAAGGCGAATTAATTTCCCAGAACCCACTCCATTATCATGAATGGTGCCTTCTGGGCTTTACATGGCGGAACAATCGCAAAGTAGTCCTTAAAAGGGAGCAGTCCTGAAACAGCCGACCCTTATGGTCGATTCCGGCCTGGTCACTCTTTACAAAAACCCTGGGTCCAGTGTTGCAGCTATCCACAATGGCTTTGGTTCCGTCATTGCTGGGACGCAGTCCTGGAGATGCGAACATTGATCGGAATGTGCAAACTTGGGACTATGTGTGCCAGTCATTATGCATTATTGGAATGACTGTTTTCTTCGGGCTTCGGGTGTATACTCGTGTGTTCGTTCTGAACGGGTTCAATAAAGAGGATTGTGGGTGATTATTACCAAGAATGGCCGAACCCAAGCTGACTCGTGTAAAAGGGATGGTTGCGGGGGCTTGGTTCCTTGGAACTGGCTACTCCGTTATTGCCTTGATCAGTAGGTGTGCCAGCTGAAGCACAGATATGACTGAGTTAACGCAAAAGCAGTGGGACACTACGGAGGAGGCCTTCATCTCGACGATGTCCCTCCTGAACACAAGATCCCTTTTGAAAAGGTAAGCCAGTTGTTCAAATGCAGATACCTTAACAACATCTAACAATCTAGACCGTGTACGTGACAATGGTCATGTACGGTCCAACAGCCTACCTCACGAAGGTCTGCCTCCTGTGGATCATGACCCGTGTATTCAATCCTTTCCGAAAGGCCGTTATTTTCATCTATGTCTTTATGGGCATCATGCTTGCCTACTACATCCCAGCGGTCATCGTGAAGATCCGAATCTGCAACCCCATCGGCAGTTTCTGGAACAAAGACATCCAAGGCACATGTCTCGATGAGACATCTATCATCCTGGCCGATGCCGTCGTGAGTATGGTCAGCGACTTGATCATTCTCATCCTCCCACTTCCCTTAACAATGAGCTTGCAAATGCCCAAGAAAAAGAAGTTGCGTGTCATCGGTCTCCTGGGAGCGGGTGGTCTGGCCGTGACTGCCAGTGTCATCCGTTTGGCGCTCATCGTCACCACTGGACAATCCAAGGATGCCACTTATGCTTTTATGAGAATCAACATGCTTGGGTACGTCTATCTCAGAGATTTCCCGAGCCTCTCAAATACGCTAACTAGATCTTCTTCAGCAATGCCGAAATTGCCATGGGTGTTATCTGCACCTGTCTCCCCGCCCTTTCAGCCCTCCTTATCCGCGTCTTCCACGAATACTCCAGCAACAAAGCAACTCAATCCGAGTACAAGCTCAGCACAGTGCAGAATCAGTCTAAGACTCAGCGGAGCAAGAAACAAATGAGTGTACTGGAGGCAGAATCTGATGAGGATGGCCTCATGTACAACGCCCAGGGCAACCCACGGGTCGAAACAACTGTTCACGGCGATACCGAGCGGCAAGGAAACCCGAGAAGCTCGCCATTCAACGGTGGTATTGGTATTACAAGAACTGTCGACGTTTCAACCTCCGTGGAGACTCAATAAATGAAATGGCAAGGGGAGGAAAAAACACTGCACATACACTTCCCCATGCATACTGGATTCTTTTTTGCGATGTACATAATGTCGGCCCTTCTCTTCACGTCCAGTCTTTTCACTCCACTAGCGAACTTGTTTTTCTGCTCTCTTTAATAATATCTATCCAAATGTGCACCCGATGGCAATTTTTACTTGAACCTAACACGGCCTACTGGACCGTGCTGCGCCCGCTGGGCCCCATCTACTCCGCACATGCGATCAACTCGCGCTAAAGAAAATATTGAATTGGATGTCTTTATCAAAAGTACGGTTCTCGAGCACGGGTCGTGTCGCAGTGGGCCGCCCCATCGCCAGGGGACGGGGCCGAGTTTGGTCCGACATGATCTCTTTCGGCAAACCTCGGGCCACTGTCGGCCTGATTGCAATATTGTGGATCCTGTAATGATCAATATTTCACAAAAAAGAGCCTAATGCATGGTTAAAGAAAAAGGGGGATCAACTATGCCATGCGAGACTAAGTGCGTCGGTGATTTGACGGGCGACTTTTGGACCAGGTTGAGGTAGAGATCTACAAAACAAAAAGGGCCACCACTCGGCAGACGTACGTCTGGGTAAAGTCTTGTCACAAAGAGTGAGTTATCTCTCACTTCAAACTTAGTTCCAGAAGATTTTCTTCTAAATCCACATGTACCAACATGGGAATAGCCGTATTGAATTTCCCATGTATACTAGTGTCTTCAATGGCTAGGCAGCCAGGATTATAAATGCTACAATAGCTCGTGGGCGCTAGTGGTCATTTTTATTTCTCATTTTCTCTGCAAATCGAGTAACCAAACTGGCTGGCCGACAAGAGGTAATGACTGTGGAGCCACTCGTTAAAGAGCATGTGATCGTCAATGGAAAGCGTATCGCCTACGGAATACATGGCGCCGGGCAGCCTGTTGTTTGTTTACGCGGGACTCCCTATCTTCATCCTTGATCTGGAGCAACGTAGTTAGCACCTCATATGTTCTGGCTCCAAAGTTTATGTCTATGACCTGCTCGGGTGTGGACTTTCAGAACGCCCATAAAATTTAGAGATTGAGGCCTCGATTATCTGGACAAATCTCTATCCTGGAGGAACTACCCGCTCAATGGGCACTTGATATATTTCATCTCATTGCCTGCAACATTGGAGCTCGAATCATTCAACGATTCCTTGTCTTTCCTCGTAGACTACGCTGCTAAACATTGATTGAGGTTGTGAACTTCGACAGCTACTCCTCCAAATAACAAAATAGCTGATGAAGAACGGATTGAACCACTCATTACGTTTGAAAGACCATGAGGAATGAGCGCAGTTCAAAAATCTGGCCGCTTTCTGCGGTGCGTTACAAACAAAAGTTTACAGACAGCAGCCTTGACAACTTTCTGGAGCATATACTCACGTCGATTAGCCAGGGCAGCTTGATTTAACACCGAGTGCGACACCAGGGCCGGAAACATACGATGAAAATTGTCGGTCATGTTCATGAGCTCGGCAAGTTACAAGTGAAACTTATGGGGCGCGGATAGTTGTGCTTGTTGTCGCGGCTTGTATGTACAACTACCCCAGCGAAGATACTATTAGTGAAAAGCAGATCTTTCTCAGGTTGGAGGGTAAGTTTATGAGAGTTAAAAAGGCCGAGTGTCTGGGCAAAAACGCCTCAAAACACCCAGATACACCTCAAGATTTCTTCTTTAGTCTTTTTAGGGCAGCCTTTCAAGGCTCGGGTGGTCCGTGCAGATCCGATCTTTTCCTGCTCGCCGCGTCCAACTTGTTCGTCAGTTCCTCAATGCTTTTGTCCACAGCTTCACTTGCGACGTTGTGCAGGTCCGCAACGTACGCATCGCGAGGCTTACTGAGGAACCGACGGGGTCTACTAACCCTTGCGATTGAGACATCATGGTAAGCCAGGCCCAACCTTCGGGTACCTAATGAAATTTACTTAATCGAGTCCTTACTAGTGATGATACATCGGTGTCTATCGTCGAAAATAATGACGAAAAATCTTCCGTCAGCAAAGCCAAAATTCATTTCCTCGAAAATATCACCTCGGATTCACGAGCGCATCGCGGCATTCACCCGATCCTTGCCCTCGAGTCGCATCAAGAGAACCTAGCAAGCCTTGTCGACAAGGCTCTGAGAAGCCTACCGGCATCACAAAATGACGGAAATATCATAAGTCTCGCAGATGGGTCCACGCGCCGCCGCCCGGATTTCATCTCGGCCACCAGGGGCCCAGGCATGCGCTCCAACCTATCAGTCGGACTAGACACGGGGAAAGCTCTCTCGGTTGCTTGGCAGATCCCCATGGTGGGTGTCCACCATATGCAGGCACATTTGTTGACCCCAAGGCTGGTGTCATGTTTGGAGGAAGGCGATGACGCGCGTGTCATGTCCCCTCAGTTCCCATTCTTATCCATTTTAGTTTCGGGAGGCCATTCGATTCTGGTTCACTCCAAGTCTTTGACGGATCATAAGATCATGGCCTCAAGCGAAGACATTGCGATCGGAGAAACACTTGACAAGGCTGCACGAGAGATTTTGCCTCCATCTTTATTACAGGAGGCACAGACTACGATGTACGGCAAGACCCTCGAGCAATTCGTCTTCCCGAACGGCAAGGCCGATTTCGCTAATTATCGGCCTCCGATGAATCGGGGAGAGGAAGTGGTCAAACGGCAGAGCCAGTGGGGTTGGAGCCTGACTACCCCGTTTGCTAATACTCGAGCGCTGCAGCTGAGCTTCTCGTCTGTGTCCAGCATGGTCAACAAGATTGTCAAGGACAAGAACGGGACCTTGTCTGAGAAGGAGCGAGTCGATCTGGGCCGAGAAACAATGCGCGTATCGTTTGAGCATCTTGCATCTCGAACTATTATCGCCCTCGAGGCTCTCCGTTTACGAAATACCGGTGATGACGAGATCAAGACTCTTGTTGTCAGCGGCGGTGTCGCTGCCAACAAATTCCTCATGGCGGTGCTCCGGTCATTCCTGGATGTGCGTGGGTTTGAACACATCCGCATCGTTGCGCCACCCGTGTATCTGTGCACCGACAATGCGGCCATGATTGGATGGGCAGGTATTGAGATGTTTGAAGCCGGCTGGCGGACCGATCTGAGCTGTCGCGCTCTTCGCAAATGGACTCTTGATCCTCAAGCCGATGATGGCGGGATCTTGGGGCCCAGTGGCTGGATTTCCAGCGGCACAGCTCTCTAATGCTTTGTACCATAAGCTCCCTGTATATTAGCGATTCCCTATTTGTATATCAACAGCAAGCCGTTCTACTCCCGTTTATCAAATTGGACACACGATCCTAGTCAAATTCCAGTCCCAATCTCTTTTTTGAAGTAGGACTACTTTGTATGGACATGAAGTAGAGACAGGCCCGGTCAAATAAACAAAGACGCCGATGAAATGTAACAGCCAGATGGCCCCCAGCTTCCCATCCGAGTCCTCCCATCACATGAAACCTCCGCAGTAGGGTATCGATGACGCGCCGTTCTAATCCGTGCAAATGAACCAAATCCACCGGCACACTGTGCAATAGAGTATTTGAAACAAAGTAATACATCAAAGGTATGGTTGGCATGATCAGCCGCCGACGGGTGGGCCTGTTCGTTGCAATGAAGCGACCTGTTTCCGAAGCTCGAGGAAGAAGTCCTTTCCGTTTGCCATCGTGTTCACTGCATTCATCAGTGACTGGATCCAGCAAGTTGAGGCGGGCAGGGCCAGTTGAGACGTACACTTCGAGCCCCAAGGGCCACCCGATCGTTGGTTGTTGTCCTTTCCGGCCGGCTTGTACGGGGTTGCTTTCGGTTCTGCAGCGATAGATACATTAGTAGGTGGCGCGCGCACATGTAAGGTATCTACTTACCTCCAGATCCTATGACAGCAGCAGATGAACACCTGATTAGCTTCATCCTCTCAGCAGTAAACGACAGTCCTACCTCTCTTCAGAAGGTTCCTGGCCTCTGAAGCATTGAAGCCCCGGACAGGAACGTGCTGCTCTTGTGATGGACCCGAGGCGCCAGAGGATGAATTGTCATTGCGAGGACCTCCTTGTCCACCTCCTCGGTTGCCATTGTTGGATTGGCGCTGCGATGATTGGCGACTGGGCCCGCCGCGCCATCTGCAGCAAACAGCCGGGATTAGCGGGGTTCGGAGCGTGCGTGATGGAAAAGCGAGGGGAAAGTCTTGTACCTGTTTTCCCCAGGACCGCTCATAGCTGCAGTAGATAAGAAAGACTTGGACGAATTGCGCAGGTTGGAGGTGATATGCGGGGAAGCTGTGCACGTCCAGCTCAGATCGAGAGTTGCGGCTCGATACCTGAGGCCTCAACGCAGATGTCTCCGCCTTGGATAACAAACACCCGCCGGCCCAGAACGACTCAGCCTTCACTAGACCAGGCGCCTTTGCTTTATTGTTTTTGCTGCACAGTCTCAGTTGCGCTGCCGGGTTTCTACAGACTGTTCTTCTAATATCTGCGATCTGGCGGCGTCTCGCCCCCTGAACGCGACCTAACGTCTCTTGATTAGCAATCTCCAAACTCGACGTTGATCAAGCCGCGCAGCTTTCCAAGCTCGATGTGAACGATGGCGCCGATGTCTCGACACTCTTTTTCAGGCAGAGCATCCAGAAACCAACCTAAGTCGGCTTTGAAATCATCGCGCCACGCAGTCGATTCGCCTGAGGGTCCTCCTTTCAAGAAGCGCAAGTACGTCCCCGGGGGACCTGGGGGAGGTGGACGCTTCATAGATGTTGAGGCCTCCCAAGAGACAACACCTAAGAAGAAAAACAACACTCCGAGACGACACTCCGCAAGCGCGCGCAGTCGCCCCATTCGCGAAATCGAACAACCAATGCAGGCCCCTCCACCACCACCCCCCTTGTACCAACAACACCGCCTTCTGTGACGCGTCCTCGACGAGACAAGAGCCAGAACCGGGGTCGCTTCCCTTCATCCACAGCTGCTGCGCTGGCTTTACAACAGGGGGATGGGTACAAACCGCGAGAAGAGCGAGGATGGGAGGAATTCCATCCTGACTTGGACATCGATGGCAAGCTCGCCGTGTTCACAGCCGAGGAAGTGGACACGGTCGAGCCAGTTTCTCTAGGCTTGGAGTCTCTAAATGGCAACGGCACAGATAGTAGCACGGGAACGCCTGTCGCATACCCCTCGGAACTGCCGTCGCCTGCTCCCTTCAAGCGTAGGCCTGGACGTCCTCCACGCCGCCCTGAAGCCATCCTCAATGCTCTCTTTCACCAACATCCCAAGATCATACCGCCGCCGGGGCCGAACCCTCGGGAGAGATTGACACTTCCAAAGCCGTCATTCCGGCTAAAGGACCCTTTCACGTTGTACGAGAACAAGAGTGTTGGCCACCAGAACTATGTCGATCGAACGATGGCCAGTGTTGGCTACCAGGAAAGCGATCTGTTCCTTCGACATGACCGGCGCTTCATTCGGATGACCGAGGGCGCGCAAGAAGACGACATGGACGTGATTCAGCCTGCCGTAGTTGAAGGCGATGTGAATGCGACGACCGGACGGGTTGAATATGACATGGATGAACAGGATGAGAAATGGCTGGAAGACTACAATGCCAAGCGCCGGCAGGATCAGCTTGAGCCGATCAAACCAGCCATATTCGAGATCACCATGACCAAGATCGAAAAAGAATGGCATGCGCTTGAGAAACGAATCCCGAAGCCGAACCCCAAGCCACCACAGACACATCGACCGCGGTCCAGCTCTGCAGCCGCAGTTAATGGCGAAACGGCTGGGGCTGGAGAAGAGCAAGATAGCAAGTGCGCTATCTGTGACGATGGTGATTGCGAGAACGCGAACGCCATTGTTTTCTGCGATGGTTGTGACCTGGCGGTTCACCAAGAGTGTTATGGTGTTCCTTTCATCCCTGAGGGCCAGTGGCTGTGCCGCAAGTGTCAGTTGCTGGGCAGAGGGACCACGAACTGTATCTTCTGTCCCAACACCGAGGGTGCCTTCAAACAGACCACCTCTTCCAAGTGGGCGCATCTTCTCTGCTCCATCTGGATCCCCGAGGTATCCATTGGAAACCCATCACTCATGGAACCGGTCACCGATGTTGAAAAGGTACCGCGCAGCCGGTGGAAGCTGCTTTGCTATATTTGCAAGCAAAGAATGGGCGCCTCAATTCAGTGCAGCAACAAGAACTGCTTCGTTGCCTTCCACCCTTCGTGCGCACGCAGGGCTCAGTTGTACCTGAAGATGAAAATTGGCCACGGGCTCATGGATTCCCATCTACTCAAAGCATTCTGCGACAAGCACGTTCCGCCGGACTGGCGATTGGAGCATGGAACTGACCAGGCAACTGCCGACGCAATTGAATACTACCGCGATACTATGCAAGGTAGACGATGGGGTGATAGCCAGGCAGCGGCACTGCAGATGGGTCCGTCACACGTCGAACCTGGAGAAGAAGAAAGGACTCTTACCCCTCGCATCACTTTGACCGTTGGTGGGAACAAACGAAAGCGTGTCCCTAAAACAGTCTGGAAGCTTCCCTCTGGAGCCCCAGTCATCCCTCAAGTTGTTTTGAATTCCGTTGTCGCGGCCCTCCAGCGGTTCACCGTTCGTCACCGAAAGCAGTACGCCGAAGACGCGTGCAAGTACTGGACACTCAAACGAGAGGCCCGACGAGGTGCGGCGTTACTGAAGAGACTTCAGCTGCAGTTGGAAACCTTCTCCTCCATGGAGATGACACGAAGAGATTATGTGGCAATGGGCGTCACCGGCTACAAGCGCTTGAATCGTCGCATTGAGTTTGGAGAACGACTCTACAAAGACCTTGACAAACTGAGAATGCTTTGCGATGAGGTGAAGAAACGTGAAAGGGAGAAACTGAAGGATGCCGAGATGCTTCGCAGCATCGTTGATATTGTCTATTTCCCTACGTTCCCTATGCTCTGGCCGATCTTCGAGAAAGCGCAACTGTGAGTTCGGTTCCTACCATTTGCTAATCCTCCACGCTAATTCATCTGTAGGTTGGATGGCAAAGGTACATTTGCTGCAGGCTTGTCGTGCATACGGAAGCGACTCGAGGAACGATTCTACCCATCTGTCGCCTCATTTTCTGCCGACCTGGCCAGTCTTTTCACATCAGAGATTGGCGTTGAGTCGGCGGGCGATACAGCTGAGCTTCAGGAGCAGATCGCCGGCCGGGCCTCGGGACTAAGCATTGAGCAGCGTGAGAAACGAAAACTTGCGAAGCGGATCATCAAGGCCATCCAGCCAGCCCTGGAAGATGCGATCCGAAAGGAGAGCGAGTTGAACCGCAAGCCGTTCGAGAAGGAGTTGAAGGAGCTAGACGTGATTCTCGACCACAGTGTGATGTCTCGTCGTGATTCCATCGATATGGAGGGCGATACCGAAATGGACATTGCTCAACCCGATGCCATGGAAGGTGTTGAGACCGGCGATGCGTCAGAAGCTCCCGCGGAGCCCCAGCTCGTGGACGGCATTGCTCCTGACCAGGAGGCCGCAGCTGAGGAGGGCAATGGCGAAGAGCCTGTCGCTGAAGAGAATATTAAACCCAATATCAACACGACTTACAATCGACACCCCACTCCGGAGTTGACCGAAGAGGACCAGCAGCTTCCTCTAGCTCGTGGCGGCATTCAATGGTATATGCAGCCATTCGACCCTGTCGGCACAACGATACACGAAGAACGCTGGACCGGGCGGGATGTGATGCGGGGCATGAGCGAGGAGCTGAGTGAACTAGATGAGGACGAGTTGCAAGACCTGGTGGATGATGACGCGGACGCAGACCCTACAAAGACGGCCGAGGCCGGCAAGTCGAAGCAGAACGTCCGCCGAACCCGTCGCGGGCGCAAGTAATGATTACGAGCACTAAGCGCAGGATGTCATGGTTAATTTAATTTGCTGGGTTACCTAAGTAGATAATACGAGTTGTCTGCGAGTTATCCAAGAGGATTCCGTAGCTGTACATTCCTGCGGCTGCAGCTGCAGCTGAAGGTAGCGCGGTGGCAGCCTTGGCACCTTGCGTTGCTGTCTGGCCTCTGGCCCTTTTCTCGTTGTTTCCACGTCCTGCATCTTTTCTTTTTCTTTTTTCTTTTCCTTCTCCTTTCACTGAAATCTTCGGGTCATTTTTCATTTCTCAATTTTCTTTTTTTGACGCGTAGGCGAGTTTGCAAACTTGCCAGCTTTCGGGAGTGTTGTTCCATTCCGGAGCTTAGCGCCCGCTCTTATCACTGATTTCTCTTCCTCCTCTCCTTCCTTCCCCATCCAACGTTTTTACCTCTGATCATCATGGCTGATTACGACAACGATAACGGCCGCTACGCCGGTAAGCGCTTTCATCGACTCAGCTCGTTCTCCATCTAACCAGCTCCTGTAGACGAGCCCCGGTACGACCGCGACCGCAGCGCCTCGCCTCGCGATGAGCCCCGAGGTGGTGGCGACCGCGCTCGCAGCCGCTCCCCCAACGGCCGCCCCGATGACCGTGATGACCGGTATGTCCCACCATCGATTGTTTCCCTTGAACGCGACTCCATCTAACCTGGTTGCAGCCCTGGCCCCCTGCGCAAGGCTCACCTGCAAGAGGAAGAGGATGAGGAAGGTGCCCTTAATAGCGGCTCTAACCTGTTTGTCACCGGTATCCATCCGCGCCTGACTGAATCCGACATTTCCCGTCTGTTCGAGAAGTACGGTGATGTCGAGAACTGCTCGATCATGCTCGACCCTCACACCAAGGAGTCCCGTGGCTTCGGCTTCGTCAACATGGTCACTGCCGAGCAGGCCGACGCGGCCAAGGAGGGCTTGCAGGGCGAGGTCATTGAGGGCCGCACCCTGAGCATCGAGAAGGCGCGTCGCAGCCGTCCCCGTACCCCGACACCCGGCAAATACTTCGGACCCCCCAAGCGCGGTAAGTTATCTGTTCTCTAGGTCTCTTTTCATTCCGTTGCTGATTTTCTTTGTTTGCAGATGGCCCTGGTGGTGGTAGTGGTGGTGGTGGTGGTGGACGTGGCCCGCCCCGCCGTGGAGACCGCTACGACGACCGTCGTGGCGCCGGTGGAGGAGGCAACTGGCGTCGCCGCGATGATGACTACTCCCGCTATGGCCGGTACGACTCCTACAACGACCGCCGTGACTACGGTCGCGACTATGGCCGTGGCGACTACCGCAGCCGTGATTATGGTGGCGGTGGCAGCGGTGGTGGCCGTGATTATCGCCGTGACTCCCGTGACGAATACGGCGGCGGCGGCAGCTACCGTGGTGGTGGCAGCAGCGGTGGCCCTGACCGCTATGCCGACCGTTACAGCCGTGATGACCGTCGCGGCGATGACCGTCGTGGCGGAGGTGACGAGTCTCGTGGCTACTACGACCGTGATGCCAACCCTCCTAGCTACGAAGCGGCCCCTCCTCGTGAGCCTCGTGAGCCCTACACTGGTGGTGGTGGTGGTGGTGGTAGTGGTAGTGCTGCTGCCGGCGGTGGTAGCGCTAGCGGTGGCCGTTCCTACGAGGGCCGGGGTGGTGAAGACCGGTACGCTAGCAGGTAATGTATCCCTCACAAAACACAGAAGCATTCTCTGAATGTCTTCATGGCTGAATGTTCGTTACCATTGCCCAAGTTCCCTGCTCTTTCCCCCAAAATCCACTCTTCCCTTTCCCCCTTCACTTTCTGAAATCGTTTTAATGCGGGATTTGAGCGACGGGCCACGGGCGTCGTTTCCTTTTGTATGTTTTTTTTTTTTTGTTTCGCGTCGCTCAATACGATAATTCGGAGCGCCATCGGCCGACTGCGACCGACTCGGCAACTATCGGTCATTCGTGTCGTCATCTCTCGATCGCTAGATGATGTGTCTCTATTTTATCTGTTCGCGACGCAACTCGGGAATCTCTAGCGGCAAGGAAGAAAACAATTATCGATGTAATTCGGTTTGTCTCTTGGGTCAGCACTCTCTCGGTCAAACTGTTCGCCTTATGCACACCACTACAACTCTTCAGCTCCAACTCCAACTCTCCAGTAACGGCTCGGTTGTATTCGACCAACTAAATTGTCGGCCTATTCCATCACCCCTCACCTTTTCCGCCCTGGTCTCCAAGGGCGTCGTCTTCGCGCTTGTAGTATCGCCGAAATAATGCTACAGGCAATTTAATGTCCGATCTAATCTCTGGAGCGCTGACGAGCCTTGGAAGGTGAGATACTTTGGGAGCTAACTTGTGCAGATATATTTCTCTTTGCTGAATTTGGCAAGCAGCCAGCGCAGGGCCTACTTACGTTCTCTAGGACACTGCGATCCTCGAGGCCTCTTGTCAGTATCTTCAAAGCATCTCTAGCTACCTAGCTACCTATTCGGTGTCCCGATGGGTATGTGGTCGTGTTTGAAATATTTGCCGAGAACTGGCTTATTTTATTAGATTTTGGAAAAGGTGAGAGAGACATGCTCACCCGAGCTTGTGACTCCACCGACCTCCCGTAGAACACAAGTAGCTGCCAAATAGATTCTTTACCTGGTTACCCTGCGTAACCTTGGAACCTTTGGACTTCACGAACGATCGTGTACTAAGTTCCATGCCAAATGTACTGCAGGGCCTGGGGCCGTATATGATAACTTTCGAGTATGAATTGGGGTATCACACGACTCCGGTTGCCTGAGAATCTAAGAAGAAAAAAACCGAAAGCCGATCACCATCTCCGAGAGGCCATGCTCAAACCATTTGTCCCTCTCGCCGTAGATTGAGTCTTTGTAGCACCTGCAAACGCCTAAATAGCAAAAACAAAACCCGCCTCGCTGGAGGTTCACTCCTAATTTCCGTTCGCGTCACCTTCCACCTCGTTGCTTTTCTGGATCAGAAACTCTCCGAGCACGCGGAGGGGATTTGCAGGCCTAGAATCAAGGAGGTCAGTCCGGTTCTGGGCCTAAAGGTAATCTGGACACTGGCGCACTCACTGGTCCTTTGCCACAGATTTCATGCCCTCGAGCAAGTATGGAATGATCTTTTCGTTCATGTACACGCGTGCTGGAGCACCACCGGGGCGCACCTGAGTCGCGGAGGCAGCAGCAAGATCTGCAATTGGGGCAGAGCCCATGCCGTTGGTCTCGGCCATTTCCGAATTGGGTTTCGGAGGTGCGTCTGCGAAAGCTGGGATCGAGGGAGCGGGGACACCGGAGGGTGCAGTTGGAGGCTGCGCAAAGGAGGTCAGGACCAAGATGAATTTCTCAAGTAAAGTGAAGGTGGTCCAGTAATCTGGGGTGATGTAAAGAGGTTGGGTTCCTCCGGATCAAGGTTGCGCAGAGCGGAGCTGTGGAGCTTCTGCAAGCTCCCGCTTGAACGAAGGGGCCAGGATCCTACCTGTGCGTCGGCCATGGAGGGCAACTCGTCTAGCAAAGGGCAAACGACTGTCAGTCTTTCAAAACCTACCCCCTCGTCTGCTGTTTCGCGCTTGCACCTGTCACGTCGACTGCAAACACGTCAAACACCTAATCGGGATATAAATCACACGTGACTTCGTGTTTTCCGCGAGTCGCTGGACACGCGCCTTCGACGGCTGAGTTGCTCGGTCTTTCTACTGATTCTGCGCAGTTTTGTCCATGGCATCCATGCGGCATGTCATTGCTGCATTTTTGGGAGACGCAGCGCTCCGTGAAGCGCAGAAAGACCTCTGACCAGTATTCCGACGTCGAAGAGGCCGCCCACGCGAAGCCGCCGCCGAGTCCAAGCGCCTCCACGGGAATTACGGAACCCATTCCTGCTGATGAACCTGATGCCTATATCCCGAGCAGTCAGACGGATTTGGAGACCTCCCTTCCTGCGATAAAGTCCGAGGAAGACGCTATTGAAGGATACGAGGCGCTGAAGACCGAAGATGATGAGACGGAACCGAAGTTACACGTGAGGTTGCGGGATGGCGTCTGGCAGAAAGGGAAAAGCTCCATCTATGTGGATGCATTCAATCTGGCGCTGGAGACTGTGCTGGAGGACGAATCGCATCTCTTCCATGAGGCTGAAATAGAGGTATTTAAGCAGTGGAAAGAGTTGTCTTATGAGTCGCAATACCTGTATGATTTTTGCTCCCAGCCATGGCTACGTCTTTCAAGATTGGCAATTAACGTATTGTTGATACCAGATATGTGCGATTGTTCCTCCGCAAAACCTCCGCTTGGCACCGTATCAATCGGCTAGGCTACTATTCGGACATTTCATATCTGTCTTTAGTGGCTGCTGATCTACAAAAGGATCGAAGTTTGCCCCATGGTCAAAGCCAGGACGATGAGAAGAGCGAATTTGGCTCTACCTTCCGGTTCGCTGGTGGAACACAAGAGATTACTACGTTGGAAGAAGCCTCTTCTCTCCTGTTACTGGATGAACTCAAGGGATTCGCCAAGGATGTTAAAGCACAGGGAAAGACCAAGAAAGACCTAGTGGCAGCTTTGTGTGAAACGAGTCAGAGCCAGACCGGTCTGGGATTTAAGAACCAGACACACACGAACCAACCCGGTAACAGGGATGATCATTTTGTACAAAAGATTCTGGATTACACAGGCGAATGCATTCGTCTCTCGCCAGCCCCGCGCGCCCTCTTCGAACGAGTCCATCTCGTCTTTTATAGATCGACAGAGTGGACGGAGAAGTCACTAACAACCATAATTCTCGCTAAAATCTCGAGGAGGAATTTCCCAGAATACGTCGTCTGTCGATCAAACTCGATCTTCCCATCCAGGGCCGCACTGCTGGAATTCGAATCTGCAATACGAACTCAATTTGAAATCGACAATATCTTGGAATTCAACGGCCCTCCAAGCACGGAGGCATTACAAAAGATCATAGACCTCGCAGACAAGTTCTATCCCCGATGGCAATCCATGGTCAAAGAAGAGCAGCAAAAAGAAGACTCGATCTATGAAAGCGGCGAAGGCGCATACCTGCGTCGATTCTCGCCAGCCTGGGTGTATACGAGAATCATCCATAAAAGCCTCCACCCACTCGGCCGATTTAAAGAGCATAAACGAGAACACGAGGTGATCTCTGACCTTTTGGCGCAGCGACTTTTCCATGCTGCTCGTCGTGGCGCTTGGTATCAGCGGAAAGCACTGCTCGAAGAACACTACATGTGGGCGCTCATGCCCTCCGAAGGCCGCAATGAAGACAAGCAGCGCAAGTTCTGGAAACGAATTGCGTTGCGCACGTGTGAGGAGGGACTGGAAGACCCTATGTGCCATCTGATTTATCACTATGATCTCCAGAAACGGATTATGAAGCTGGAGAGGGCACTCAAGGTTGTCAAGAGGGAGCAGCATGATTTCGGACATGTCATGCTAAGCAAGCCCATTGAAAGAACAATCGAAGGCATCCGCATAGACCGTGATATCGATGTCTCGAAAAGGGGAAAGGCGACGATCTGGATTGACGAACGAGAGGGCGGCGAGTGTAGAGTGGAAAGCATGTGTCTGAGCTGGTACCGCGACCACGGGTGGAAAGGATATCATTCTGAGGGAGGCATCGTCCGCACACTGTTCGGCTATCTGTTCTACGATATCTTGTTCACTTACGTCCCGAACGTCTTCCAGACTCCATTCCAGACATGTCCGCTCGACCTTCACACGGATGTCTTCTACCCGTCTCGTGCGTCGGAGATCAATCACCGACTGGTGGAGATTACCAATGGCGATGCCGAGCGCATCATCCGCGAGATTCATGATCGGGAATCTGCTGCTCAGCCATGTGCCATTGGGATCGACTGGTCGTTTGAACTGGATGACCTGGTTGAGATTGTGCAATGCTTCCGTGGCGAGGCATTGGCGACTATATGCAAAGTCATGGCTCAGGAGTATCAGCAGCGAGGCGGAGGGATTCCGGATCTCTTTCTGTGGAAGCCTGAAGAGCGGATTGTTAGATTTTCGGAGGTCAAGTCGGAGAATGATCGTCTGAGTGATACCCAGCGGCTCTGGATTCACATTCTCATGTCGGCTGGTGTCCAGGTCGAGTTGTGCAATGCGGTAGCGAGGGAGGTCAGGACGGAGTGAAGTGTTCATCACGTTGCATTTGTACATGGATCACGACGCAAACGAACAATACAGCATCATCGACTAGAAGAAATAATTATGAATGAAGAGGTCTACATTACGAGCTTTTGCTCAAGGCAAATCAAGATAGAACGATAGACATGAAAGGGTATAACTCGTAATAGTTCTTTTTTTTACCGGACGTATCTAGCATATCTTAATGAGAACCGCAGACATGGTCTGACGGGACCCTTCAGAACCCCATTTCCAATATCCACAGACAACCACGCCTTCGCTTATGCGACAAGGGTGGAGGCGGTGGCGCTCTCGTAGCGCCAGGTGGGGGGCAGGACACCGACGGTCTTGTAGTAGCGGGACAGACGGTGGATACGGGACTCGATCAGAATCAGGCGGAACTTGGAGTCCTTGTCCTTGCGGTTGCGCTCGAGGTGCTTGCGGACAGCGACGGCCTAGTTGAAACTGTTAGTTGGGTCGGTCCTAGGTAGGGGAGACGAATTTATGCACATACCTTCTTGATCAGGAAGTAAAGGTCCTCGGGGAGCTCGGGGGCGAGGCCTGTATTCCAAAAATCTCTCTGTCAGTCTAATTCTTGACCAAGCAGAGGCTTAGCTGCTGGTGCATTTCTGCGACCAGAGTGTGTGTGTGTGTGGATGTCGAGTTGTTGCGGAGAGAAATCTCGACCCAAAGAAAATTTGGTGTGAAATGTTCCCAGGCAATGCTCGTTTTTCATCCGATTGATGCGATAGGGGGGAGGGTTGTGGGAGTCGTACCGCTGGACTTCAAGATACGGAGGATCTTGTTACCTATTCACGCACACAATGATTAGCATTTCTCCTTCATTCGCAAAATCCAGCACTTTCTGCTGCAGAGATTCCATACCAGTGACAATCTTGACCTGGGCAACACCGTGGGAGTCACGGAGGACAACACCGATCTGGGAAGGGGTGGCACCCTTCTTGGCCAGCTTGCAGATGTGGTCGACAACCTGGTCGGGGGTGGTCTTCATCCACGCGGGAGCGGTGCGGGAGTAGGGGATGGCAGAGGACGAAATGCCCTTGCCCTTGGAGTGAAGGCGACCCATTTTTGCTGAAGTGTCCGGCGAGGAAGGCTGGTCGGAGGTTGTCGAGGTGGATGGGAAATTTCAACGGTGGAGAGTTGGAGGTTTGGGCGGGAAGAGAATTGTGTGCGTCACGTGGTCTCGGTGGTTCGCTTATTTTTCGCAGGCTTTTTCCTTACCGCGACCTCGTCTCTTTCTCCCCGTAAACATTGACTTGCTTTCACCACGACTTTTGTCCAACTGATGTGTTCTGGACGGTCGCTTGGCTAAGAAAAGACTTTCAGCATTATACTCGCGCCAATATGTACGCCATAAGATCCTCACTACCACCAGGTCAGTTCTACTCTGCTTATACACTGCCCACGACTCCCCATTTTATGATGAAACAACACTTTTTACTATTATTTTCTGGTACCTCTTATGTCAGAAGCGTGTCTTCGGATGCGTCTTCGATGATCTAACTGGACTTCTGATCTTCGCCCATGACTTACACACGATTGTCATTTACATTGCGAGACTTGTCATACTGACTTTGCACTAGGCTCTACAGAAATTTTCTGCGAAGACGATAGATATTTAGATAGCGTTCAATGAACATTTCCTGTCATCACATTTATACCGCTGTAGTGGTCATGCTATATGCATCTGCTGTAGTTCACATTGATCGTACATATTCGGGTCCAGGGGAGAACTCTCACTGGCGCAGTCTTTTGGACATGCGCCTGGTCTCCGTAGTTGAGGATGCATGGATGATGTCTTCCGTCGACCCCTTTCGCTTCTTCCCTCGAGATGCTTTCTGAGCAGCTTTAGCCTCTGGCTCTTCTTCGAGTTTGACATCGACTTCTTCCTTTGGTGCAGTCAAAACAACAGCTGTCGTGACTTCCGTTTCAATCTTCACTTCTGAGTCTTCTTCTTTCACTGCCACATCTACCTTCTTCGTAGCCGCGAGTCGATCAGCAAATGACCGTAGATCGGCAGTAAAAAGCACGCTGTGAGCCCATCCTGCTTCTTGACCCCAAAGTTTGCGGAAATGATTGCCAATGGCGTCGTACGTTGCCTTGGTTAAAGATTTATGGGAGCCCTTGCCAAAGCGGTAGTCTCGCTGGGCAATTTGCCAGACTGCGAACTTGTTAGACTAGCACGACTAGCTCGGTGTTCAAAACTCACCATGTGTGTCGACTGGAACTGACTCCCCCCAACCCAAGCCAAACAGGGAGACGCAGTCTGCCACCTTAGGCCCGACGCCTTGCAATTCGAGAAGCTTTTCATGGGCTTCTCGGTACCCCTCCCGGCCCTCTGGTTTCATTTCGCTTCCTGCCTTGGCCTCTACGCCAAACGCAGGCGACTCGGGGTTGCAGAGACCATTCAGCCATCCATTTTCTCGCTCCTGGGATACCATTATAGCGGTCTGGTAAATATATCTCGCCCTGTATCCAAAACCCAGACTGCGAAGATTACTCTCCACGTCCTTGCCTGCTAATGCCTCAGGCGTGGGGAAATCATGGTATGCGCGCCCGTCGACTTTGCCGACAAACGGGCCGTAGTTGATGCACAGCTTTTCCACCATTTGTGAGATCCGAGAAATATTGTTGTTGCTGCTGCAAATAAATGACACCAGAGCCTCCCAAGGGTCCTGGCGCAAGATGCGGATACCACTGAATTGAGCTGCCTTTTTCTTGAAATTGGGATCTGACGATGACCATTGCGCGTAGAGATCTGTGAGATTTGACGAAAGGTTGAGATAGTGTTTTAAAATATGCACAAGATGGTCGTCTTGCGAGTCGAGTAGATGTGTCTTGCTATCTCCGACTTCTGTGTTTGATTGCGCGCGGGAAGGGATCTCAGAGGAAGGTGGCGTTGGCAAAGGGGGAGGTTGCGATTGGTATGCACGGTAGTATAGACTGCTTGAATCCTGTTTCAGGGAGAGAAGGTGACCGTAGAGGACGCATCGCCACTCCTGGCTCTCGGGGATGTTGTGCCATCTAAAAAAGGGTCAGTGTCGTTGCTCGTGGTGAGATGGATGGGGACGGACCTGAAGGATTGACCACAACGCAGTGTTGTGTTTATGCATAGCTCACTAAGACTGACCGGCAGCTTTCGCCATTCTGAGAAAACACCAGCCATTTTTTGAGCAAATTGAATGATTGCGACAGAAGTGAAGAAGATCGAAATGATAGTTGATAAGCATTCTGCCGTGTCGCTCGAAGGAAGAAGGCGGTCGGAATATCACCGCCCCAGTAGGAGCTTCCAGTTTTCCCCTTCACAGGAGCGACAGGACAAGAGCTTCACCACGCCTCCAGCTCAGCATGAACGGAGACACCTATTCCTCCAGAGGTAAGTAACTATGATCGCTATACTCGATTGAGTCTAACTTTGCCAGATTCTGGACGTTCGCGCGATTACTACGTAAGTGCCAGCTTTGCAGTTATCTGACTGCGACTAACCTTTCCTAGCGCGACGAGCGTCGTGATCGTGACAGGGGCGATCGGGGAGAGAGACCGGAGAGACCAGAGAGACCAGAGAGACCAGAGAGACCAGAGAGACCAGGGAGACCAGACAGACCTGAAAGGCCGGAGCGGGGAGAGCGGAGACGATCTCGGTCGCCTCACTACGGGGCCCGGGGCGCGCGCCGTGAGCAGGAGGCCAACTCCTACTCTTCGAGCCGCGACTACCGTGCTCGAGAGCGTGAAGACCGTTATTCCGGTCGACGGGACGATCGGGAATGGGATCGCGGTGATCGCGGTGACCGTGGAGACCGTGGAGACCGCGGCGATCGCCGGCGCCGTGACTTTGATGACAGACCTCGACGCGGTGACTTGTTCGACGAGCGACCCCGACGTGGCGGCCGCGAGGATCGGCCTGACCGTGGAGACCGTGGAGATCGTGGAGACAGAAGAGAGCGGAGGAAGAGTGCTACACCCCCCAGCGCAAGGAGCCCACACCAGACCTGACGGACGTTCCTTCGATCTTGGAGCGCAAGCGCCGTCTGACACAATGGGATATCAAGCCCCCGGGCTACGAGAATGTCACTGCGGAGCAGGCCAAACTCTCTGGCATGTTCCCTCTGCCTGGAGCTCCTCGCCAGCAGCCGATGGACCCCAGCCGTCTGCAAGCCTTCATGAACCAGCCCGGCGGATCGGCTGAAAGCACAGCGCTCAAGCCATCCAACTCCCGTCAATCCAAGCGTCTCTTCGTATACAACATCCCTGCCACCGCTACCGAGGACAGCATCATGTCTTTCTTCAACCTGCAGCTAAACGGCCTGAATGTCATTCACAGCGTTGACCCGTGCATCTCTGCCCAGATTGCCGACGATCGGTCATTTGCGCTTTTGGAATTCAAGTCTCCTAACGACGCAACTGTTGCCCTTGCTTTTGATGGTATCACTATGGCAGAGAGCGGGGACAAGGGCCTCGAAGTCCGACGGCCCAAGGACTACATTGTGCCGGGAAGCGCAGAACAAGAGTACCAGGAAGGTGTGCTCTTGAATGAGGTGCCGGATTCGCCGAACAAGATCTGCGTCTCCAACATTCCGTCCTATATTCCAGAGGAGCCCGTCACGATGTTGCTCAAATCTTTTGGCGAACTCAAATCGTTCGTCCTAGTCAAGGATGCTTCTACAGAGGAGTCGCGAGTAAGTACCTGCATTTATGATATATATGCCATTCATCACTAACGCACTATAGGGAATCGCCTTCTGCGAGTATGTTGACCCTGCAGCCACTCCCATTGCCGTGGAGGGTCTCAACGGTATGGAATTGGGTGACCGCCACCTCAAAGTCTCCCGCGCCAGTATCGGTACCACCCAGGCATCCGGTTTGGACATGGGCGTCAACGCCATGTCGATGTTTGCCAAGACTACTTCCCAGGACATGGAGACTGGCCGTGTGTTGCAGCTCTTGAATATGGTCACCGTGGACGAACTCCTCGACAACGAAGATTACGAGGAAATTAAGGAGGACATCTTTGAGGAATGCTCCAAGTTCGGAAAGATCTTGGGTTTGAAGATTCCCCGCCCCAGCAGCGGAGGCCGCCAGCAAGCCGGCGTTGGCAAGATCTACATCAAGTTCGACACCGAACAATCCGCTACCAATGCTCTCAAGGCGCTGGCCGGCCGCAAGTTCTCTGACCGCACCGTCGTGGTGTCGTACTTTGGCGAGGAGAACTTTGATGTAGATGCTTGGTAAAGTGGACGGCTGTTGACTTGATTAGTACTTTCCCATTCCTTTTTCTTTGCCTCTGGTAAAAGGAGTCCAAATGTATCATAGCAGCAAAGCCCACATGCACTCGGTTATGATGGCTTGATTCTGAATTTTCTTCCAAAATGTAATGCCCTGGTTTACTTCCCTTTCATCAATTCGATCCGATCCTGTACAGCCTGGAGACTTCCACGGTTCCAAAATTGTAGTCTGTCTACGGCGTTATTACCATGACAGGGTACTTGCATGGGATACCCCGTCGTTAAGTAGATCCAGCCAGAGCTTGGGCCAGCACCCCAGTTCTATAAAGCTCCATCTCAATGGCTTTCCAAGTTTCTTCTTTCCATATCAACCATCGACTACCCGTGGAACCACAGCCAGATCTATAGTATATTCTACGGTAGTGGAAATTCACGATGTTTCTCATAGGGCTTTGCCACGGCTCTAAAGAGAAATAGACAAAATGCCCGATGCCAAGAGTGTAAGTCGATTCAGGTCAGGGTTATCTTTTTGAATGAAGTAGATTCTACAAATTGTCCCTTATTGGCGATTAACGCGGTGAGATCGCACTAGGAGGTCGACTATCCGAACCTCCAAGGGCAGTGTCTTCACGCCTAGGCGAGGCACACAAATAGAGAAATAATTCATTGAATGTATATCTATGGGACGCATTGAATGCTATCCTCATGCTTATTACATCTAAAAAGACGCATAACTAGACATAGCCCGCCCAGAACCGCCGTTATGCCTGTACACACGATCAAAAGACCGAACCCACTACCGTATGCACCCCAAGCCCGTCCTTTCCAGCTATCTGCCTCAAGCAATGCCTCACTAAAAGGACCACTCACAACATTGCCAATCCCTCGTCCAAATGCAATAAATGAGAAAATAATCGTCGGATCGGACGTCGGATCAACCCGCTGGACTTCGTTTATCATTCCCGACCAGGTCGCTGAGTAACTGCCTGCAAACAAACCATATGCAACAGAAAATACCAACAAGACAGGGATTGTTATAGAAAATCCCCACAGAAGGAATATCGAAACTGCCGCTCCGACAGTAGCGATCGCAATGCAGTTTTGTACATGGTATCGATCGCATAAAAATCCCATGAAGACGCTGCCGAAGATAGATGCCAGATTGAAGGCCGTAACTGTGAATGAGGAGAGGAATTCAGAGGCCCCGATAGTCCGGGCGAAAGTTGGGAGGTAAAGCGCCGGCAAGAAAAAGCCGAGCGCCTCGAAAGTGTTTCCAACCTGGTAGAAAATGAAGACTTTGTCGAGTAAGAACCGGAAGGTCAGGCGGCGAGAAGCTCTGATGGGAATCCGAGGCTTATGGGAATATAAGAAAGGACCGGCCAGCACGAAAACCAACACCGACAATATTCTCAAGGTGGTCTGAAAACCGAATCGGCTGAGGAGTTTCTCTAGAAGCGGTGGAAAGACGATGCCAGAGAGCCCGGAGCCAGCCCAGACCATACCGAACGCAAGCCCTCTTCGTTTCACGAACCATTCCGGCATGAATAGAATGGATGGGCTATACGCTATACAACCACCAAAGCCAAAAGCGACGCCCTGCGATAGAACGAGATGGGTCACATTCGTTGCGAAAGAGCCCATGGCAAGTGACAGGCTCATGATGACAAGCCCTATCGTCGAAAACCAGCGAGTCATTCTCGGAAGCAGGATCATCGCGACGATTGTCAACGGACAGCTCAGATAGGCAACGCCCTGTTCAATTTATTAGTAGTAGATCGTTTATGATGGTTGTTCATGCTCTTACTGTGGCACACGTTCCGATCAGTGCTACCATCCTTGAGTCTTTGAAGGCTTCCTGAGTTCGATAATAGCTTTGAAAGACGCCGAAAGAAAACGCGAGCCCTGTAAAGTAATAAGTCAGAGCTCTCATCAAAATACATCAGGTAGTAGCTTACCCCACACTAAAGCCTCTATCATAGCACATGCTGCCAAGAACAGCCATGCCTGGATACCGCCATCTTGCGGAGGCAACTTCTCTTCTGCAGGGATGGTCATTTTCTCCCTAGGCGCGCATGAACATGGCTCACAGCTGCTGGTTGGCGATGAGCAGGCGCATATTAGATCTGGTGTCTGCATCACATCGGAAATATCGAGGCTCTCTGCAAATCATATCCTTTGGTGTGTCGAGTCTCGAGTGACAAGGTTGAAAGCTGGACGGTAAATTTCCGTGGAGAAACAAAGTTAAGCTGCGCCGCATTTAAGGAAGGGGCTTCAGCTTGGAGTCAATCAAGTGACGAAAGGAATTCATAAGCGAGTCGAGATCATAGGGGTGGCATGCGACGCCTCGCGGAAGTGGTTGAACTTGCAACGACGGAGCTTTTCCAGCCCCTTGGGACGAATGTTCCATTTTGATTATGCAATAATCCCTTCGATTTGATAATTTGTTCCGAAAGAATGCCATGAGCAAGATGATCCCAGGTACATAAGTGGCATGAGGCAGGGCAGCGATACTTGCTCCTCGGCTTAGAAAGCTTCAAAGGTTGCAGTTGACGTGCTCTGCATGGGGCGTGAACACATCTCAAGGGTATTCTCGGGGATTTTCAATTCGAAGATCAGGGAATCCCGGCTAAGCAGGGAAGTTGAAAGGGTGTGGAATGTAGGATGTTTTGATCAGGGACGCACTTTAATATCGATAAAGTAGCCCATGATATCATTGGCACAAGACTTGCTGTGGGGTTTGTCTCCTTGCTTGGGGCAATTCTTCGGGGGCTTTTTCCAGGCTCGACCGGGGTAGCTTGCTACATTTGACTTTGGCTCAGCTCATCTTCGACTGCTATACCGCTATACCGCTATACCTCGGCCTTCTTGATATACACGTGACTGCCCCTCCCCTTCAACCGTCAGAGCCATCCATAAGAGCATTGACAAGTCATCCGCCCTCGTACACCATTCAGATAGTTCCTCTTCGACACCAAGGCTCCCAGGGCTCCCGGGTTTAGTGGCATCTCCACTGCGTTCAGAAGACTGTCTCAACAAAAACGGGTCTCGCAGAGTCAACCCTCTTCTTCCCTTCTTGTCTCTAGCGGCGATATGCTCTCGATATCACACCAAAAACGTGAGATTCTCATGGAAATAACAGCGCAGAAGCTGGGGGAAGCTACGATGCGCGAGCCGTTCGATGGTGGCCACCTGGAGCTGCGCAGCTGACCGGACCAACTCGAGTTGTTGAACGTGAGCCAGCTCCGACTTGTTCTCACTGTTCCACATTCCTCAGCGAAGCTTTCGTGGGGAAAAAGCATATTCCACTTCAATACTTTTGTGCCAGCAGAAGAGCTGTGGGCCACCGCTCCGGTACTCACCGCCTTTTGTGGATCCTTTTGTGGATGCGGCGCGCGATACCAGTGACTACACCCGCCATGCCATATAACATTGCGTGAGTACTATGAATCCCTGGTACTAGAGAATGAGTCTGTGTGTTAACATGACGGACATAGTATGGTCAGTGACTTCTTTTTCCCTCAGTCGGGTATGCTCTCTCCTGAATTCTAGAGTCTTGATACTAACGGAGCACAGGGGGAATTGAGAGTCACATCTACCAACTGTCGTCCGTGAGTGATCAACAAACACTTTGACAATGGATTTTCTGCCATTTATATAGTTTCCAGCTCTGACCTTTTCTTTATAGAAACTGATTGATCGTGGCCACAAAGTCATCATTATCACCCATGCATACAAAGGTCGAACAGGTGTCCGATATCTTACGAATGGACTCAAGATCTACCACGTTCCTTTCTTTGTCATCTACCGCGAGACCACCTTTCCAACCGTCTTCTCCTTCTTCCCTATTTTCCGAAATATTGTAATTCGAGAACAAATCGAGATTGTTCATGGCCATCAAAGTCTTAGCAGCTTCTGCGGTGAAGCTATTCTTCATGCGCGTACAATGGGTCTGCGAACCGTCTTCACCGACCACTCTCTTTTTGGGTTTGCCGACGCTGCCTCGATCCTTACCAACAAACTTCTCAAATTTACGTTAAGTGACGTTGATCACGCTATCTGCGTCAGCCATACTTGGTACGTTATTCATAAATACCTATTCTAAAGATAGAGAGGAACTAACTTACAGTAGCAAGGAGAATACGGTCCTCCGAGCTTCATTAGATCCATTAATGGTATCAGTGATCCCCAATGCTGTCGTTGCAGAGAATTTTTGCCCCTTATATACGCCTCGTGCCCCGGATCACGTTCCTGCTTCTCTGGCCGATCCACGACTATCCCCTACACTAATCGGACCTAATGATACGATCACAATTGTGGTCATCTCCCGTCTTTTCTATAACAAAGGCACCGATCTATTAATCGCGGCTATTCCTCGAATCCTTGCCGTCAATCCTAATACCCGCTTTATCATTGCTGGCTCGGGTCCTAAAGCTATCGACCTTGAACAGATGTTAGAACGGAATGTCCTGCAAGACAAGGTTGAGATGCTAGGATCAGTACGTCACGAAGAAGTTCGAGATATCATGGTACGAGGCCATATTTACCTACATCCTAGCTTAACAGAAGCCTTTGGCACAGTCATTGTCGAAGCCGCTAGTTGTGGGTTATATGTGGTCTGTACCCGAGTTGGAGGTATCCCTGAGGTCCTTCCCCAACATATGACTACGTTTGCGAAACCAGAAGAGGATGACTTAGTCGTTGCTACAAGTAAAGCAATCGCGGCCCTACGCTCGAATAAAGTACGGACCGACCGTTTCCACGACCAGGTGAAAATGATGTATTCATGGCGGGATGTGGCCGAGCGGACAGAGCGGGTCTACCAAGGCATTACGGGCGATATACCCCCAGAGGAATTCTATGGCTATTATCCAGGCCAAGGCTGGGAAGCTAGTGGTGACAGAGTTCGTAGCTTTGCCCTCATTGACCGGCTCAAACGATACTATGGCTGTGGTGTTTGGGCGGGCAAGTTGTTCTGTCTGTGTGTTGTGATTGATTACCTTCTCTATGTTTTTCTCGAGATGTGGTTCCCCCGGGCTAATATCGACATTGCGAGAAGCTGGCCGAAGAAACAGGCACAGGAAAAGTCTCACCCATCTGCCATTTCCCAAGGACAACAGTAAAAGCATGAACTGAACTTTCTCTCTTCCACTGGTCTTATCCTATGTTCCTATAATCATGACTTTTACATACGGTCGATACATATATATTACTATATAATCTTAAGAAGACAGGTCTTCCAGTTTTGTCTCCAATATCCATGATTTGGACTTAATTAATTATGTTGTGCGAAAGAACGTTTAAAGCTGTAACAATACAATTTCATGTTATCATCTGATGGTGCTAGTCAACAGCCTTGGATTATCTTCAACTTGCTATCGTAGCTAGCTCCCGTATAGGGACAGGTTATTTAGTATTTTTGGCTCTAATTATTTATTACCTAAATAAAGAAACCATCGTCTGGTCCTAGGAACTCGTAAATGTCCTCTATCAAGTGACACAGATACAAGCTTCTGTCAGGATTTTAGGTGTATACATTTACATATGGATATGTCCAGAACTTCCAATTCAACATGGAAGGTTCCAGTTGAAGTTCCCATTCTGCCATCTCTCACTTTTCTCTCACTTTTCTCTCACTTTTTCCTCACTTTTTCCTCAGTTTCCTCAGTTTCCTCAGTTTCCTTACACCAGTATTTACTTTGCTTTCCATCCACGTCAGCCTATATAACCATCGTTATTAGGCCTACCCCTCATTTCATGACATCTATATTCTTGGATAAGTGGCACAGTTATCTTAGGAAATCAGCGTACTTATCTTGGATGAGCGGAATATTTTTGTCTATAAATATGGCTCAAAACCCAGACTGAATTGAACAAGAGCTTTCATTTCAATTTTCCTCTCAATACCCCCGACAGCTTCTGATATATATATACATTACGCCTGCTATCTCATCTCAGTTTCGAGTGGTTGAAGGCCAATTAAACCCCCACATGTCGCGGGACTTTCGGCCTTCATGATGGCATGTGTCGTCATCATTACTGGTGCTTCTCACGCGTATAACTCTCGACTTCTACGATTGAGATCACTTACCCCTGTTGTAAAATAACACAATTTATCTTTCTTGATTTTACAGCAGTCATGGAATCAGTCAGTATGAGCGACACTGTGGCTAGTGGAGTTGAGGATTTTCCTTCTAGTATCCGTCGATATCCATATAAAGGAAAGAACGACCTTTCGACCATTATGAGCTATGAGTCGTCCCTTGGTGACCAAAATGACATGTTTCTTATTACAAACATCAACAAACACAGATTCGAAACCGATTTCCTCGACACTGACAACAAGTTCAAAGAATACTTCCATTCCTCCCAACTGCTCGTCATCAAAATGGCTTCATATCCACACGAAATAGCAGGCCGGACTTTTGCTGGTCACGTTGTATCTGAGGTGGGCCTAATGGGCACTCAAAACACGCTACGAAACCCAGGGGGATGGTGCTTAGATCTGCTTTCGAGCAACAAGTGCCCCGATGAGTCCTTTCTTCCACGGCGTCTTCAAGGAAGAGGACACCCCACAGTCGTCATCGAAACCGCTCGGTCGGAGTCTGCATCAAAGCTCAAGAATGATGCTGCGCGCTGGCTGTTATCCTCCAACAACGAGGTACAAGCTGTGATCACTATCCACCTGGATCGCAATGAAGCTATCACCATCAAGAGATGGGGTAGGCAAAATGGTCAAGCTGTTGTGCAAGAGGAGACCTGCATCTTCAAGGAATATGGGTCAGCAAGATCCGCTCGGCCAACCCCTCAAGTGACGCGTGCACCTTTCACTATCCCTTACGCTGATCTTTACTTACGACAAGCACAACCTAGCACGAATGAGAGGGATATCCAGATATCCCAGGAACAACTGCTTGACGTGGCTGACGCTGCCTGGGCTGGCATTTGACCAAGATCTTTCCTGTCCCACCCTGCGCCGTATCTTTGAGGAAGGGAATACCCCATAGTTGTTATCAAAGCTTCTTAGTCAGAGTCTAAATCCAAGCCTAGGAATGATACTGCACACTATTGTTACTCTTTTACAACGAGATATAAGCCTGTCCGAGGCACTCGCATTTTGCGCTAATATCATGAAGATGTTCTATTCTCGCATATCGGGCAGCCACGGCTTTATATGGCAGCAGATATCCACCCATTTACGGCAGATGAGCGAGGAGGTAAGCTCTTGATGGAAACCCTTCCGTGCTGTAGTTCCGGGTGTACCGGTTGAAACAATTGAGGTCACTTCTTCCTCTGGCCCTCTGAGGTTTAACTGTACGCCAGGATTACTGGGAGGTTGAGGGAGGCGGGGGCGAATTTGTGTTCGGCTGAGGGGGCTAGGACCGAGAGGAAGGTTTCTGGTGAGAGAGTTCTGAATCCCTCGATGTATGCCAGGGCGGTTTCGCGTAGTTTTGAAGGCATGGCTGCAGGGATATATTGAATGAAATTGGAAGAAACCTTAAGAAGACCGACCGTTCCTGATATACTGCTATGGGTCGGAATTAAGCGCCCTATCTCCACTGCACGTCCCTTCCTTCGATGAGCGTCTACAATTTTCGACTATGAGGTTGAGAAGCAAATGAGTTGCGATTATTTTATTTATACAGGGAATTTAATTGAAGTGTCACATAGTTTGAAGTAAGAGACTCGAACATCTAGTTCAAGAAGTCCCCTCCCGAGGCAACTAACTCGTACTCATAATCAGGTTGAAACTCCAACCACATAGCTTCAGGCGTCGAGTGCTTGTAGGTATAACCTGCCTCCTTGTCCGGGACAATATGCTTCTCAATGCCCGAAGCAGCGGCAGCCTCTGCCAGAAGCTGCACGCGGCAGGTGTTTTCCAGCAGAGTGAACAAGTAAGCAGCTTCATCAACCGTTCTCCCCGTCGTCAAAAGTCCGTGATTCTTCAAAATGGCGCATCGCTTGTCATCCAGAGCAGCAGTAATCCTCTTGCCCTCGTCTGCCTCAAAAGCGATCCCTCCGAACATGTCGTAGACTGCGTGGTCTTTGTAGAATATACATGCATCTTGATTCAACATCTCCAGGGGCCGACCAAAGCAAGACCAGGCCTTGCCATGAACACTGTGGAAATGGCAAGCTGCGTTGACATCGGGGCGAGCATCGTGTAGAGCGGAGTGGATACTGAAGCCGGCGGTATTGATAGCAGCCTAGAGGTGAAGGGATTAGCGAGCCCATCTTGTATCGGATTCAGCAGAACGTACTCGATTGCCACCAATAATCTCCCCTTTCATGTTGACCTGAACCATGTCGCTCACTTTCATAAGACCAAAGTGACGAGCAAGGCTAAACACCCAAATTAGTATCTCTCTGTCCGGGGCTCGGAATGGAATCACTCACGGATTAATCCAGAAGGTGTCAGGGTCGACCGGATCCCGAATACTGATGTGACCTGCGGTTCCTTCGCCGTAGCCCTTTCGGGCCATTACCCTGAAGGCGCCGGCCATGCGTTCCAGAGCCCACTTTCGCTCGTCGTATGGGTTGGAGAAAGTTGGGATACCTTGCATGGGAGCACCTCGGCCTATGGTCGAGCCAGATCCGTCAATGCTGGAAAGTCCGTCCATGAATGTATCGTCGACTCGTAGGCGTCGTTTTTCTTGGGCGGAGTTGCTAACGTTCCCCGGTGAGCCTTGTACGAGCGTAGAGGCTGTTGTTGAGTTGAGAGTAACTGTCGACATTTTGGTTTTATTTTCAAATGTAGCAATTTTATGATAAGAATGATTGATCGAACTCAACGTTGGAATTTATGTAGAAATGGACAGATAGGACGCGGCTGGATTTAGATATAGGGACCCCCTCAGTGGGAACCGGCAGTCTTCATGCTCCACTCATCGATCGACTATGTAAGAGCCGGTAGGAAACCCCGACCACCATCAGAAGAACCAAACAGGACGAAGATGCGAAAGGGCCCAAACGTCAGATGGCAGGAAACTCCGAGATGTCTCCACTCTCCACACGAAAAGCCCCGCTCGTTTCGCCTCTGCATCTTTCATTCTCTTTCTAGCCAATTACCTCTATTGCTTAGTTTCCTTCTACTTCCTACCTGAAAGTATACAATCTTGAGGAATACTTTTGTCCTTTAATTACGCCGTTTTACTTGTGATTATTCTGAACCCTCCCCCCTCCAAATGGCATCTCCCGCCCGCACCTTTCTCGCTTTCCAGCATGATGCGCATCTTCACACCCTCGAAACAGTGGTGATAGCAGTCCACCCATTCACATCCCTCGAAGAATCAGACCGCCAGCTCTTTAAAGATGGCACAGAGAAACACCATGCAATCATCACAGAAAAGACAATCTTCCACCCCCAAGGCGGCGGCCAGCCCTCCGACACCGGCGTGATGAAAGGACCCGCATCAACTTTCACCGTCACGGCAGTGCGCATGAGCGTAACCCACGACGGCCAAGTATTGCACCTGGGCCAGTTCGACAATTCAACCTCGTTCAGCGCGGGCGAGACCGTTCATCAGGCAATTGACGTCGACAAACGTCTTCTTTACTCCCGCCTACACACCGCGGGACACGTCCTCGGTGCCGCAGTCCGGTACCTCTTGGAAAAAGAAATTGAGAATTTCGACGAGTTGAAAGCTTCGCATTTCCCGGACTCTGCGGCTTGTGAGTTCCAGGGTGCTATTGACGGGAAGTGGAAGGATCCGATTCAGAGACGGCTGGATGAGTACATTGCTGCCAAGATGCCCGTTCAGGTGGAGTGGTGGGATGAGGACGATTTCCGGGCGCGAGGATTGGAGCGGTTAATTCCCGATCCCAGTCTCGTGCCGCCTGGCGAGAAGTCTCGCGTGGTGAACATTGTTGGTGCGGAGGTTTATCCCTGTGGAGGGACGCACGTCGATACGACGGACTTGTGTGGATCGACTACGGTTAAGAAGATTTCGAGGAAGTCTGGGAATTCCCGGGTTAGTTATACAGTTAACTGAGAATGAAATAGACAAATAGATAGATGGTGTTCTATTATGCCTGGGTTCGATACGTGTCTCACGATCAAAGCGCCAGCACCTCAATCTTCCTCCTTCGAATGATCTCCAGCCAATTTGCGTCAGGTTCAGCGTCAAGAGCAGACCAAATCTCTTTCACAACGTCAAACTGTCTCTTCATAGTCCCGATCCCATATCTCTGTATTCGAGTCCACCATAAAACCCAGGTCTCTCTATCCAGCGCACTACATGAAGCAATGAATGCTGGCCAAGTGATCGGAGCCATCTGATTATCCGGAAGCCCCGACTTGATATCCTCAACGATATGCAGGTATGAAGCAGCATTTGCCACGTGCTCGGCTATATCAGACCTGCTGGCTCCTTGGATGTGTTGGAGATAATAGATGAGAGCACTGAGATGCCAGGCATGTGCGTGGTGGCTGAAAACCACCTGCATTGTTTCGTCGTTTGGAAAGATGGCTTTTGAGAGTTCATCGTTGAGTGACCAGGATAAGAGTTGATTTCCCAATGACTCACACGCCTCAAGAATACCTTCTGGTATTGCCCGCTGGGGAGTGAGCTTGTCGTAGAATGATATTTCCTTGCATAGTTCGAGTGTTTTGTTGATGGCGTATGCAATTTCTGCAGTAACACCGTATGTGAATTCGTAGCACCGGGTTTGACTTAATGGACGATGGGGTGCCTCATAGGAATGGTGATTGTGTGGAAATGTTGCAGGATGACAAGAAGTTGTCTTCGCGATTAACATCATAAAGGAGCTCATCTCAGTCAATCGTGAGGTCTGCAAGCTCATCATCTGCCAATGCTGACGACTTTTCCGTAGTTCCAGCATAGCTTGGATATGGACTTGAAAGTCAATTATTGATCCTTCCATGACCTATACCCTTGTCAGTATATGGAAATCGCAAAAACACCGCAATACGTACACCGATAGTGAGCAACGAGCACAAGGCCACCAAAAATTGCCTATAATTCGACTGTGATGTTCCCTCCGTCAAAGCCAACTGCATACATCGAAGTGCCATTTGTCTGTGCAAGATACCAGTTTTATGGTATCTGTGCAGCGATGGATTGCAACTGCTCATATGAAATGCAGCGGTGGCAACCAAAGAGTGGAAGATGCATAGTCTAACATTTGGAGCAGCATTTTTCGCGAGGGGCTCCATAGACCCCTCTAAAGCAGCTGGCACGTAGAGAGAGCGGTACGGGTTTGCTATATGCGAAAGAGGTTGGAGGATATTGGCGACGTGTAATGAGTAGTGATTGAAAAGTAGCTCGGTTTCTGGATTGTCACAGATACGTGTCTGTGGCTGATTCCTCAAGAAGAATTCTGATTGGGGCGTGGTGTATCGTATGAGAGTCGAGGGATCAATTCTATCGTCAAATTCAGGTTCGTCTTCGCTCAAACCGCCCGCGGTCATGTGAGGCTCATACTCTTCCAGAGAGTGGCTCAATGAATCAGAACTCGGGCAAGAAACCACAGGGGCGAGCGCTTTCTCGTTGCGCAATGTCGAGAATGATGTGAATGGACCTTGGTTTGATGGAACGAGCCCACTCAATGAATCGGACTCGATTTTCATGAGAAACAGGTCAACTTCAGCAAGATTGAACCGATGTACAGCGTTTCGACCTTATCCGGTGGTCAGTCACGGAAGATCATCTAGCAATAGTAGAAAGCACAAACCCAAATCTATTCTCCTTCTTCCGATCATCGTATGATCTCCACTTGGAGAAGACTCATCATTCGGAGACATCCATCGTAATTTAATGCCGTAGCCCCCACAGATGAGGCCAATCCTTGCACAGGCTTTACAGCCTCGGGGAGTCTCATCACACTTGACCTTACGTGCCTTGCAGGTCCAGCACCTGGCTTTATTAGCACCTTTCTTGTGACTTGAATTATAGCGTACGTACCCTGAATATGCAACTGGCCTCTTCTTATGACCATCCATAATACACCGCGGCGGAGGGAGGTTGCCGGTGGCTGTCCACGGTTTTGATGGCTTCTTTGCACGTGATTGGTGGACTAACCGCTCGAGCCCTTGTTTGCTTTCTCTGTGAACTGATGTATCGGAGTTGAGTCGTTGGTTACTGGGAAGAAGATTGAATTCGATGAGAGTGGACAGCGGATTGAGGTTTCGAAGCCTCGGGTTTTATTCTGGTTGGATAGAGGTGGAGTTGATGATAGGTAATAGTTAGACTTGCGGGATGTTATTTTGGGTTTGATTGATCCTTGGTCTTGTGTAGATTTTCAGTCCTAGGGATTGTAATCATTTCGTAGCCTACAATCCATGTCTATTCCATTCTACAGGTAATAGCTTCGCTATCGCTTAGCACAAGATAAGTAAGGGATTACCGAAGCGCTGCAATTGACTAACATATAGACAAGCGGCAAGAACCACATGTCCGATGACTAGGAAAAAATAAACGAAATGAGCGGGTAATAGGGCACACAGAAAGCGGACAAGAACAAGATATGGCGTAGCAAAAATTACATCACAAGAAGGGTAAAAAGGTCCCAGAGCCGACCCGCAACGGATCGTATTATCAAAACCATTCTTTTTGCGATGCGTGGCCCATCCAGCGGAAGTAAAAGGGAAGAAAAAACACACAAAACTGCGTTAGGGGAGTAAGGGAGTGTGGGATTGAGACATGTAAAGGAAATGGGGAAAAGTGAGCGCGAGTGATGATGGGTTTCAGCCGTCAACGGCACAGGAAGGATTCGTCTTAACGAAGGGAGAAGCCCTTGCGCTTGCCCTTTTCTTCGATTGGGCGTCCGCTCTCGAGGCGGTTCTTCTTTTCTTCCAGCTCCTGGCGCTGCCGGTCGAGCTGATCCTTCATCTCGCGATGTCGGGCATAGAGTTCGTCTTCGCTCTGCTTGAGCTTGCTTTCCTTCTCGGAAACCTTCTGCTGGAAGACCATCTTCATTTCGGCTTCCATCTTCGACAGCTTCTGCTCGTGCAGGGCGCGCTCCTCCTCTTGCTTGACGGCCGGGTTGACTTCCTTGAACACGCTGGGGTCCTGGGCAACACCCATCTGGGTGAGCTTGTCCGAGCGGTAGTTCTCGTACAAGAAGTTGTTGGTGTGCTCCTTGAGCTCCTCCATGTGGGTGCGGATCAGCATCTGGCGCAGCTTGACGAAGTCGCAGTGCTCCTCGTTATCGACCTCGATGGTACCCCAGGGGTAGCTACGGCCACGGACACGACGGCCATCGGCGGCGGTGACCTCGGCGTTGGCACCAACCACGGCGAAGGGCACCTTGGACATAATCTCCTGGTTCTCGGCAATAGTCTCCTCGTCGTCAAGCTCGTAGCGGGGGCCCTCGAAGATTTGAATCGAGTGGTGGGAGATATCGGAAAGAATCTGTAGAGAGCAACCATTAGAATGCCATTGTGTTGGAAAGGAAAATATGTCCACGTACGCGCTCCTTGAACAGGGCAATCTCCTCATCGGTCAGGGTATCGGATTTGGCGATAACGGGAATCAGGTTAACCTTGGTGTGCAGGCGGCGCATCACCTCGATGTCCAGGGGCTTCAGGGAGTGACCAGTAGGCTGGATGAAGTAAACGCAGGCGTGGATACGGTTGTCGACGATGTTGCTGCGGTTAACCTTGTTCTCGGCCTCAAGGTAGGTGTCGAAGCGCTGCTCGATGTTCTCGACAATAGGGCGCCACGAGTCATCGTTGTTCACAAAGTCACCGAATCCGGGGGTATCGATAACGCTCAGGCGGAGACGCACGCCGTTTTCCTCGATGTCGGCGCTGGTTGACTGGATCGACACGGTTTTGGGGATAATGTCGGCGTTGGGGCCGGTGCGCTCCTTCGGGGGGTAGAGGGAGGTGTTAAACAGAGTGTTGACGAGGGTAGACTTTCCGAGGCCAGATTCACCTGGAACACGCTGTCAGCTCTACTCATAAGAGCCATTGGGTCTTATACGTACCGACAACCATGACATTGAAGTTGAATCCCTTGCGGACACTCTTGCGGTGCCACTGGTTGGGCAGGTTGGCGAAACCGACGTAGCCGGTGAGCTTGCGGCGCACGACGTTCTTCATATCGGTGGCAGCCTGGGCTGCGGCCTTCGGGTCGCGGGAACTAACCGTCTGGGCCATGCCGGAGCCCATGGGGTTGCTGCGTTCAACGAAAGGCGACTCCTTACCACCGCTGGGAGTGGGAGAGTCGCGGGACGCGACGGGTGAACCATTCGCAGTCGGCGAAGCTAGAGAAGCCATCAGTTTTCCGATTCTGGGGATGTCGGGTGCGATTCTCTGATTCTTGGAAACGAAACCGTTCGGATGGATAGCTTACACATGGCGAAAGTCTTGTTTGGGGGGTACGGAGGTTGAGAAACGGCGACGGCACAAAAAGATCCCCTAAATTCCGATCAAGTCATTAACATCTTTGCCTTCTAGGTGGGGTCTCAAAGGGGAACAGAAAAAAATTCGGGGGGCAGTGATGATCAAGAAATGCCGGGGCCTTCATACCTGGACAAAGCGTCAAGAAAAGGGGGTGGGAGAAGCACCGAAGAGAAGCGAACGAGTGGTGTCAAGCACGTTGCTTGCAGAAACACAAACGAGAAGAAAAGAGAGGTAGACGGGGAAAGGAAGAAGGAGGAGGATGGACTGCCAGTCTGGGAAAGAAAGGGGGGGAAGTCGAGGTTTCCAGCTATTCTGAGGTGGGTTTGGATCGACCCGCGTGAACAGCTACTTGTCCCCCCGGGCTCGATGCATCAACTGCCCTCTTTCATGACACCGCCTATTCGTCGCTAGACTGTCGCTTACATGCATCCTACTTGAGTCAATTGCCACTGATCTACTCCGATCTCCTAGCTAAGGTAGCCCCGTCGAGTTTACAGCTGTCAACAACTAGATATGACACCTAGGTAGGGGACTTGGAGTGAGCCATTGAAGCTTAAATGGGTCCCTAGAAAAATAAGAGTCTCGAAAATAACCCGACGCGAGGTTGTTATTTTGTGTACGGATTACCGTTAAGCGTACCATTTCTCCATTTCGCGACTCCTTGGATCAGGGGTTACGGGGTGCTCACGTGAGCTCCACCCGGTGGAGCCGGTTGTATACAACCCGTTGGCACTCTGTACTTGGTGCTTCTTTGTGAATAATTCATTAACGCCGAGGGGCAAAGTGCAGCGAACCAAGAATTAGCTTTACATTCATTTTCCGACCTTGCTCTTCTTCTTCGGCCGGGTGTCCTCCGCATCGGAGCCACCTCCGCCATCCGAGGCATCGCCCATCTCCGCGTCGCTACCACTGCCGCTGCTCTCGTGGTCCGAGTCGAACTCCTCAGCGACATCTGAGTCTGAGTCTGCGTGGAAGTCCTCATCGGGCGACTCGTCGTCTTCATCGGCTGAGCCACGGTCCGCCCGGGCACCCTCCTCGTCACTCGATTCCATCATATCGTCGTTGGTAAGAGCGGCCTTGAGCAAGCCCGAGGCATCCTCCGCCATCTCGTTCTTGATACGGATGCCCTTGGCCTTGAAGAAGTCCTCCAGAGGTTGTTGCTCCTCGCTATCTATTGTCAGCATATGTAGAGGCCGATGATTTGGCACAATTTCTTACCGGTTAATGTTGCTGAACTGATGCTCGCCGAGACCAGCCTTCAAGCTGACCGTGATATCGAACGTGCGGCTGGCAGACACGGCACCCCCGACACGCGACATCGTGACCACGGCAACGTTCTCCATCTGAATATAAGTGGCGGGCTTGGGAACAAAGATAAGACTCTTGTCCAGGAAATAAAGCAGACCCTCGTTGGCCTTGATGGAGCACTTAACCCCGTGGTGACCGTGGTGGCTGGTAAAGTCCTTGGATGGCATGATAACCTTTTTGCCGGACAGGCCGCGGAAAATCTTGGTCACCACCTGGTGAATTGGCTCTTCGTAGTGTGGTTGCAACTTATCCTTGTACTGGGATTGCAGGAGGTCCCTATAGTAGTGTCAGTAGATAAACCAAATGCAATATTCTGGGAAAGCTGACTCTGTCATGTTGAGCTCGAGGCTAATCTCCTCGTCCAGCTTCAGCTGCATAACCAGGAACGGGTACCGAGTCTGACCCTGGCGCAGTGGGGGGTCCAGACCCAGGACAATGAGTGTGTGGGTATCGTCATTCTTAGGAAGCAAGAAGAACTTTTTGATGGCGGAGTATTGGATCTTGTAGTCGTATGTTTTTCCACGAAGACGGAAGGACGATTCGTACATGTCGATATCGAAACGACCTCTGCAAGGAGGTGAGTATTGGACTTGAAATAGAGAGCAGATGTAACAAACCTGGGTGTAAGGTGAAGAACATCCAAAAAGGTAGCAAACGTATCGCCGGCCACATCGCCGATCTCGGCCTTGTCCATAAGTGTCTCGTAGAAGAGGTTGGCGGCGTTCTGCTCCTCCACCTCTTCCTCGTTTTCCTCCTCACCATCGGCACCCTCGGCGCCTTCTGTCTTTTCCTTCTTCACTGCTGTGCCAGGAATGTAGAAACGCATTTCAACGAGCTCATCGGGTCCCGCAGCGGCCTTGCGGCCCCTGTTCTTTGTGCTGCCAGCCGGTTGGCCATCGCCGTTCGCATCAGCGCCAGAGAGGGCAAACTCCACCGCCACCTCGTTCTTTCCAGCCAGGTTGGTATTGGAGATTTCTGAGTAGGGAACCTCGAAGGCGGGTCGGTTCTGAACATTGAAAGACAACTCGGCCTTGGTGAATTCTGCCTTCCCCCAGTTCCATCCTCGCAGGGCGTGTTCGCGGGTCTCGACGTTGATGCCATACCAGATTTTGAAAGCCTTGCTCAACCGCTCGAAATCCTAGACGCGCAGGTCGTTAGCCAATGATCTGCGGGATGCATTCCTATCTCCACGAATACCTCTTGGTCAAATCCATCCAGCTGAATCACTCCCGACGACCGCGACAGGATTCTCAGCTCGTATCCTTTCGCGGCGCGACTCCACTGGGCGGCACCAATGTTGCTGCTATCCAGAGTGAAAGTATCACCACCACCAGATGGGCGCCATCCCAGGCCACTCTCAGCCAGCTTGCATTTTCCCGGCTGTTTTGACAGATCCAGGTACACGTTGTCGAAGCTCTCCCTGTGACAGGTTAGCTGGCGAGACAGGTAGGTTCACCCAGGTAGGCTCACATGATGGAGAAGCTCTCAGGAAGAATCCGAGACCGTTAAGGAAAGTAAAAGAATCTGGACTGTAGCAGGTCAGGTGGAGATTGATGGAAAAGGGAGGTGAGTTGGATAGCTTTCAGATTTCTCGGTCGCGTTGCCGCGCGCCGCAGGTAGGCTGCCAATTCCCCCCGTTTTGGTTTAGATTGGTGCCTGAGGAGTCAACCATCCTCATGTTCTACGCGAGGGTCTAGCCAACATCTCCGGTAAACAGTTGGTCATCAACCACTTTCCCTTGAGGATCCAGCTGGGAATATCTTCCTGAATGTTAATCTGTACCTCTTGACAATGTAGTCTTCACCCTTGGTTGCAAGCCCGATAGCCCAGGCAGCAAGTCGACGCCTCAGGGCATTGGCTTTCAGAGTGAGGCAGACCGAAGCCATTGTTGGCGGATCCATGTAGGCTCAATCCGTTAAGGGAGGGTATTAGGGGACCCAAGCCGCCAATACCGAAAGAAGTGAGGCAAATTTACATTAGGCATTAATGTTGATCAACCAGATTTTTTGCGAAGCAATGACTGCTCTAAACTATTCCCCGGGTATTTTTTTTTTATGGCCAGCCGTCGCCCAGTTTATTTCAACCCTTGCAACCTCCCTTTTCTAAGCGATTCGAACGTCTATGGCTCCAGTGACTTTTTTGATATCCCTGAAGACGTCTCGGATGTCGGTCACGTAGGTAATTCTTTCACAAGGCCTTCCTCCCCATAGGAGCCCTACCATCTCCCACGCCAACCATATACGAAGGCGCCCGAGTCCCCCTCCTCTGAGAATGGTGATTTCCCATGGGACTCACTCGTGCGTCATGATTTCTTGATGCCCACCGGGAAATCCTGGGATGTTGGGATGCCACAGTAAGTAGGACTTGAGGCCGGAGACTTTGGAGATGGTTTGTCCAGTCGCTCTACCGGTCTTGTGAACATCTTCTCCGTTTCTGAAACCCCCAGCAGAAGATCCTTCGTTATTGAAATCCTATGTATCGCGGCCGGTGTAACTGAAGGGCTATAATTAAATGTTAGTTTTCAAACAATCAATCAATTCAAATCATTGAGATATATAACTTGCTCTTCGTCACCGCACCACAGGAAGAGTGGCTTTTTGTGCGCGATGCGAAGTCGTGGAAGATATCCTCAGAGGTAAGAGATAGTGGTTGTTACTTACTTGCTAATAAGAGTCACATCTACTTATCCATGGGATAGCATGTCTGATGAGGAATGGTTCTTCTACTATAAAATAAGGCATATACTTTTAGCAAAATAAGCCATGATCCACCTTTCTACTGGTGGGATAAACATCAAACATATCCCAAACAACCTAGTGGGGGATCAAACAACTTATTACTCTAAATATAATCCAGATTTATGTATATATCTCACTTCAAGTCTCACTTATGGCTTCACTCTTGGCCTCACTCTTGGCCTCACTCTCGGCCAGGTTTTTCTTATTGTTTTATTGTTTTACGGTAAAGATTGAATGCGAGCTATGCAGAAATATCAGTTTTCATCGAATCTAATCCAGGTGCACCCAAATTTATTAGGGTAGAGGACACTTGCAATATCCCAGACCTTCGGCATGGTGAAATATATATAGGAAGGTTCGGTAAGCGGAAGGCTAGGTCCACTGATCTGTAGCCACGGAAGGAAGGGGAAGTTGGTAAGTGTAGAAATAATGATGCCTGGAAGCCCATGACTATGAAACCTCCGACACACTTATCGTGCACAGCCAGACCCAGAGGAGTGCGTGTGCACTGCGTAAACCGAACCCGATTTTCTATAATTAAGTGTTCAATGCGGGGTGGATCTTTGTTTCGGCCCCGTACGTATGTATCAGAGTTACGGCAGCCATCAGCAGGCTTTGCATGAACCATATCGAACATGGGTATTATTGCTGGGGTGTTTATCATAGGTGCATGAGTATTAGACACGATTGCTTGAGACCTGTCTATCTAGGATCAATCTAGGATCAATCTAGGGATGCGTCGGGCGCCCAAGTTCGGGAGCCCGGGATTCGAAACACCCGATGTAGATCCTCATTCAACAGGAGTTCTACCGTCATCGCGAGGTAATTGGGTGTTGTATTACGGGTTGGGCTGCCATGTAAATACTATGCAGCGCGGATAATCCTAGTCAGCAGTAGGAGGTGGAAAATGCCGGCCGTGGTATCTGCTTGCACAGCCTGCCACATTCAAGCAAGGCATGATTTGGGCGATAGCATCACCCACGGTCCAACACCCGTTTTTCATCCTGCGGGATGCACATATGATTGGCCTAGACAGTAGTGGGCCCACTCGCGTAGCGGGACAAAGCGTGGCTTGGTTTGTGTCTCCGCCGTAATTCCGTACTGGTGGTATTTGGGTATCGTTCCATTTCCCCTTCGCCCCTGTTGACTCCTCCAACCACCTCAAGTCATTCGTTGTTCATTTGTTCATTTGCAAAGAGGCTTCGGTCTCGACATGCATACGCCATTCTTTTGAATTTAGAATTTTCCATGCCACATTCCTTACTTTCTTCTCGTTCCACGCGTTGAGGCTTGCCTCCTGAATTCTTAACCCTTTCCCTTCGCTCGCTTTCGCTTCAACTTGCTCCTGGAGACTCTACACCTTTCGCCTGTCGTCGCGCCCGCAACAATGAGGGTATCTTCATTGTTTGGGCCCGCGGCGGCCGGCCTCGCGACTATACTCGCTTTACCGACCGCACACGCTTTGACATTCGACGCCGTTTCGATCCCCGACCTCGACCTGTCTTCCCTCGGCCGGGTAACCATCACCGGCGACTTCGACGGCGTGTCGCTATACGAATATGAAGGACAATCGGAAATCACCCGACGCCAGGGGTCATCTATTCTGACTCCGCTTCCAAACGGCATTCTTACGAACCTCTCCTCCGCCGACGCGCAGATCCGTGATATGTGCGCTTTTACGAAGAAGGACGGAACATTTGCAGGGATATTTGTCGGTGGAAACTTCACCAGTCTCGGTGGTGTTGATTCGCCAGGGGCTGCGCTCTTCAACCCTAATTCCAGCCAAGTCACGGCTTTGTCGGGCCTCAATGGCTCGGTGTCGACCGTGCTGTGCGACCAGTCCTCTAACCGTGTTTACGTTGGCGGGTCCTTCTCCCACGACAACTCTTCGAACGCCGTCGCCTGGACTCCCGACCATGGGTGGACCGATTTGTCGTTCGACGGCTTCAATGGGCCTGTGAATTCGATCATCCAAGACAGCAACGGCCACATTATCTTTGGAGGATCTTTCACTGGACTCGGCAACTCCACCACGACTTCGTCAAACAACACCAAGCAAATTCTCAACCTGTCGAGTGCGACCATCACTTCCGACGCGGCCACCTCCATCAGCGGCTATGAAGATCCCACCAACATCGTGTGCTCGACCAGCGGTGAGGCAGGCAAGGGCAAGACCTACCTGCTTCATGATTACGCTCCCGGTTATTGGCGCGCCGAGCTTGGCTTCGAGTTCTACCCGACGAAGGTTCGCCTCTACAACACCCACATCGATGGTCGCGGCACCAAAGACTTTTTGTTCCGCGCCCTTCCTGACAATGGCATCATGAACTTGACCTACACGGACGAGACCGGTAACAAGGTCTCTTGCGACTCCTCTTGTCCCCTTTCCAGCAGCACCAGTGAGAAGTATCGTGATTTCACCTTGGTGAACCCCGTTGGTATGGAGGGCTTCCAGATTGAGATTTTGGATTGGTACGGACAAGGTGCCGGTTTGAACGGCATCGAAGTATTCCAGGATCAGATCATGACCTACGCTATTGAGAAGTACAACGAGCCCACCTGCGCCGGCATTGAGTACCCCTCAAAGGCGACTCGCACTGGTTCCTGGACCGTCGAGTCTGGATACCTGTCTGCCGACGTGACGGACTCGAACGACTCGGATACATCCGTGGTCTTTGAGCCTGATGTCAAGCAGTCTGGTAACTACACCATTCTTGTGTACACCCCCGGGTGTCTTCAGGACAACTCTTGTAATTCTCGCGGCATGGTCAATGTCACGGCAACTGTTGCTACTGGTACCGACGATGCCTCGCAGCCGTCTCCGACCACAATCTATCAGACCAACAACTATGACAAATACGATACTTTGTTCTCTGGATACGTCGATGCTGCCAGCGGTTCTTTCCGCCCCAGTGTCACCCTCCGGCCCATTGTCGGCCAAGGAGATATTACCGTTGTGGCGTCCAAGGTTCTATTTGAACTGCTGTCCGCATCGAAGACTGAGACTGGAAATCTGAACGGAGTGTACGATTATAATCCCAACTCTAAGACCACCGACACCTCCGACGTCACAAAGTCAGACATCAACAAGGCCGGCACCTCGCTCAGCCACGGCGCTTCTATCATGAAAATGGCGGAGCGCGATGGTGTGATCTACGTCGCTGGTAACTTCTCTGATACGGGCATTGACAACATCATGTCTATCACCGATGGCAATGCAACCGCTATGCCAAGCGGTGGATTGAACTCGGAGGTGCTGACCATGGCTACTTCGGGCAACTTTTTGTATGTTGGCGGCAAGTTCACCGGTACTTCTGACGGTGGAGTCAGCGGCCTCTACCATGTGGCATCTTACTCCTACTCTTCCAAGAAGTGGTCAGCCCTGGGCAATGGTCTGAATGGCCCCGTCAGCACGATCTACCCAATTCAGTTGAACGTTTCAAATGCGATCAACGAGACCACCATCGCTGTGAGCGGTGACTTTGACCAGATCCGTGCTACCGATGACCAACCCGCCATTTACGTCGCTGGTTTTGCCATCTGGGTGCCTTCTCAGAAAACCTGGCTGCAGAGTCTCAATGATACTCAAATGGAGTTCGCTGGTCAGCTGTCCGCAGTTGCCTCAATCAACGACACCTCCATCCTTGCTGGCAGCCTCGCTACTGATGGTATTACCGCTGGAGGCGCGGTGTCGTTGCAGAATTCCCATGAGCTGAACTTGGTGCCCCTGAATATGAACTTGAATCACACCAAGTCGAGCGTTGGAGTTATCACTGGAGTCTATGATACCGAATCTGGACGTAACCTCACCATCGTTGGTGGTCAGTTTGTCACGACCGCCAGCAACGGATCGATCGTCAACAACCTTGCTTTCCTGAACAGCACTGAGCAGACTATTACTGGTCTTCCTCAAGGCCTGGACAGCAACTCGACCGTCTTGTCACTGCTTGTTCACAACGACACTCTATATGCCGGTGGTCTCATCACCGGATCCGTTGGCGGTTCCAGTGTGGGCGGTCTTGTGACGTACGACTTGTCCAAGAACACTTTCCAGGAGAGCCAGCCTTGGGCGCTCCATGGAGACAACGTCACTGTCAACTCCATTGCCGTGCGTCCCGGTTCATCTGCCATCTACGTTGGCGGCAACTTTGATACTGCTGGCTCTCTCACTTGCACGAGTGTATGTGCTTGGGACCCTAACCAGGGTTCGTTCTCCTGGCCTGGTGTAACCATCAGTGGTACCGTACTGGCTCTCACCTGGGTAAGCTCGACGACACTGTATGCCGTGGGAGATCTTACTATCTCGGGCAACAAGACCGTCGCCGCCACCTTTAGCACGAAGTCCGAGACCTGGACGGCTCTTGACGGCGCGTCTACCTCCGACATGCCTGGCAACATCACTGCATTCGCACCCGCCAGCGAGACCATGTCGGAGTTCTGGGTCGCAGGTACAGCGACTAATGGATCGGCTTTCCTCATGAACTACGCGGACTCCAAGTTTGCGTCTCCCGGTAACCTGTTCTCCCAAGGAACGGAAATTCGGGGCATGGAGATCCTCCCTATTACCCAAGATCACTCGTCCGTTTCTCTCTTGAAAAACGATCAGACTCTGCTGATCATGGGTGACCTCAACATTCCGGGCTTCGGACTCGCCTCCGCAGCTCTCTACAATGGCACCGGGGTCACTCCGTTTATCCTTTCGTCCAAGTACGATGGCAAGCCCGGCAGCATGTCCCAGCTGTTTACGGAGAACCAGAACCCCTACACTAACCACTGTGAGCTACATTCCGTCCCACCTCTTAATATACTCATCACTGACCCTGAATCTAGCGTCCCACCATTCCAACGGTATCGTCGTCCTTGTAGCATTCTGCTGCGCCCTGGGCACCGTTTTCCTCATCGTTGCCGCCGGCGTGATCATGAACAAGATCCAGCGGCGCCGCCAGGGCTACTCCGCCGCCCCCCAGACATTCGGCACAGACCGACCTACCGACATGGCCCGCGTGCCACCTGAGTACCTGTTCAACTCGCTGGGCGCGACCAATCCCGGTGCCCCAACCATCTAATGCCTCCCCCTTTCACCCTGCACAAAATTCCCTCGCCTCTTAAACCTTTTAAGAACGGCGTTTTTTTTTCTTTATCGGAAGCAACGTTGCTTATACCCCCGCCCTCCTTAATGTCTGATTTTGCTAGCGCATGTTTTTGTGTATCGCGCCGGCCGTTCGCGGTTTGTTCGTGACGGATTTTGGACCCGTCCCTGTTGTCTACCTGACTACCCCGTCTCCTCAGTTTCCCTTGTTCTCTCCTGTGCATATTTGAGATACATGTGGCAATCTATGTAACTTAGTGATTACGTCCTGAGGACGTGGGTAATACAACGATCTAACTGACTAATTCTGTGATTTCAATTTCAATTTACGATAAGAACCGCATCACTGCAGACTTCAACTCTGTCGATGTCGTCGAGAACCCTATTCCCTTTGAACGCGGTGGTCGTACGAGCCATCCGGAGGAGCAAACCCCAAGGACATGACTCAACTGAAGCCCGCGTGGGAAATCTCCAGGAACCCACGTCACATGCCCTATAGTGAATGGCAAAAAGGCAACATCCATGAGCTAGGAACAAGCGAGATTCAAATCGTCCCAAATGGGAAATCGACATCCCCAGATTTTGTATAAGTACCCCCCTCCTCCACCTCCCCCTTCCTCTTCCTCCTCTTCTTTCTTCTCTCGAAGTCGGGCTTTCATCAGCGTAAACCCCCTAAGGTCAACCTGATTCCCGCTCGCCTCCCTCCACCTCACCTCATTCCCGCCGCCCCTCTCCCTCATATGCCCTCACTTACCCATGCTTGCACCACCCCCCCTGAAGGTACCTTTGACGGCTCGCACTGATGTCGTGCAGGCCCAAGAGGTATTACATGGGGTTGTGGCTTGTAGATGGTAGCTTGTATGCTTGCTTGTAGTGTAGTTTAGTTGTAGGTTCGTTGACCTGCTCTCTCTCATTTCCCTTGTAGCGTAGCGTAGTTATAGTGTCACTTGCAATGCTCTCTCTCTCTCTCTAGGTTTGTAGCGTAGTGCAGTGAGTGGATAATGTCCATCTTCTAGACCCCGCGAGTAGTATAGTAGTTAGTGTCCAGTGCTGCGCCCTGAGACGACGATGGCGGCAGTGCTACAACGAGCGATTTCAGCTTCTTTCGCATGGCTCGCGACAGAGCTCAGCGTCGCTGTCCAAGAGAAGCGCCTTATCCTACGACAGCCACGACAGCCCCGATCCAGATGGCACGCGCCACAGTCGTTCAACGTGGCTCAGAACACGCCTGATTGAGCAGCATGCGCAGGGCGGTACTTGTGTGGTATCGGGGAGACGCGGTAAGCGCGCATCGCCCAAAGCCTAACAAACAGGGGAAGTGGCTACAGCGCTCAGGTCGGGAGTCCCAACCACACGAGCGAACGAGCTTCAACTGGAGCACAGCCTACTGTACAGAAGTGGGCCCTGAGCCTCCCCTGAGCCGTTGACAGTCACCGCAGGAAAGACCAGCCCGGTGCAACGGCCGAACGGAGCACCCAAGGGGGATTTCCCAGCGTGATCCAGATTAATATTAATATCGTACCGAGTCCACGGACGGCGCGGAAGAGTCCACGGTCCAAGCGTGTGGGGGCCAATCGCCGGCATCGCGAATCTGCCAAATCTGCCCCGGGTCAGGTGCCTCCCCGCAAGTCTCCAGGTTTCTCTTCCACACCCCGGTTTCCCCCCACGTATGTCGCGCCTACGCCCTTGCCCGGTATGCGCTCCCGAACTGGCTGGTGAGTGGCTTGCATCTCTACGCAGTACATGTTACTAATGGATCCAGCTTGACATGCCGGACTCGCAAGCTTAAATGTTTGTTTCCTCTCCGTCTCCTCCTGTCCCCGGCTAACCAGACTTATAGGCGACGAACAAAAGCCCCAGTGCTCACAATGTCGTAAAGGCGGCCGAGAATGTCGCCCCAGTGAGGGCATTGTCTTTCGTCATCAACAGAATGCGTCCATGAACGAGGACTTGGCCCAGCCGCCTGAGGGTCGCGGTAACTTGAAGGGGTTCTATTCGTACAAGAACACGTTCGACAAGGATAGCGTCTGGCTGGATATCCCAAAACACGGTATGCACAACGGCGTCAGTTCCGTAGGACTTGTGGGCTGACTCCTTCGCAGTCATCTTCGTCGACAACTCCGATCCGTACGCCGACGATCTCGAAGCCACCGAATCCAGCGCTGAGGCGCTCGCTCACTCGCGGAATAACAGATGGGGCAGTGACTCGAGGGCCAGCGATGCAGGATCACACGGACTCGATACTTTGTCGACAGTCGCTTCCCACGATCGCTTCCCTTTCTCGCCGATGGAACACTCCATCTCCGATAGTATCTCGTACCCTTCGCCGAACCGATCGCGCAGCAGCGCCATGCCCCCACCCGCATCCCCGTCCATGTCTCTCTCCAGCAGCAATAACACAAACATCAACTTCCTCCTGAACCCTTCCCATTCCATGTCACCGCCCCTCGACCTTACCTTGGGCACAACCGACCAGAGAAGTGCATCCCTTCCAACGAGACCTGCCCCACAACAGAGGAGAATATCACATCAGGTGAATGACCATGCCGAGACGGACTTCGAGGTGGCTTTCCTCTTGCGGCACTATACCGAAGGGCCAGGGTTATGGTATGTACCCAGAGACCTTTTATTGGATCAGTGCTGACCGTTTCCTCCAGGATGGACTTGTTCGACTTGGGCACATATTTTGCCTCATATATACCAGTCCGAGCCATGTCAAACCCCCTTCTCAAGTATGCTGCTTGCGCATATGCGGCAAAGCAACTCGGTCGGGTCAAAAATGCCAAAGCGACCATGGGCGGTGTATGCTCACGTCAGGCCGTCATGGAGGTATGGCCTGATAAGGACGACGACTTCACCTGGCATGGCGCCAAGTATTATGAAAAGGCCATCCAACTGCTGATGAAGGAGCTGCAACCCGATGCCGAGGGCCCACCTCCGTTGAGCACACCCGAAGCGTTTGGGCAATGGCAGGCCTCTGAACTCTGCGGAGATGCACAGAATCCACGTAAGCGTCGAAGGCGTGTCTCGGAGAGTCGGCTTTCGCACGGGGTACACTCCGACGAGGTGTTGGCGGCGACGGCCATTTTGTCGATATATGAATTTCTCGATGCGACCGGTCCTGCGTGGAATCGACACCTGAGCGGTGTCAAGTCTCTGCTTGATGTGGCTGAGGTCGGGATCATGCCTATGGAGCAGCGGTCGTCAGACGGAGACAGTCCGTATCACACGTACAAAAAGTCGCGTCTTTCCAAAGCCCGCAAGGCGACATTTTGGAATTTTGCGCGGCAGGATTATTTAGCTGCTTGTGAGTGCTGTTTTTCTTTTCTTTTTTCCCCGATCGTGCTGACAGAATTCAGTCATCAATGAGTGCCACACCAGGCTGAATACAGACGACATCGTGCTGTGGACCGAGGCCGGTTTGCAGTTGGACCACATGGGCTTCATCCGTCCCAGCAATACCACTGCTACGGGATATCCCGAGGGCGACGACGTCATGAAGGAAGATCTCATCTGTAATGCCCTCATCTGGATTCTGTCGAAGATTGTCAATTTCGTCAGTTCCGGGGATGGGCTAAATCTGAACGATAGCCGATCTGTAGATAGTGGACCATTGGGAGTGACGCAACAAGTTCTCCTGGAGCGGTGGTATCGACTGGAAGCGGAGCTGGATGCATGGTACAGTGGACTACCAGACACATTCAAGCCCTGTGCGAGGATAGAACCGTCGCAGATGTCGCACTTCCAACCGGCCGAAGAGGCAAAAGACCTAGTCACGCTTCAGGAGGTGTGGTACAGCATCCCCATGTGTGCGTCCACAATGCAGCATTACCACATGGCCCGGATTCTGCTGCTAATCAACAAGCCGCATGAATCAACCAGTCGACGAAGCACCATCACGCTGCGACTGCAATCATACCGCTCCATCGAAGCCGACATTGGCTTCCACAGCCGCGAGATTCTCGGCATCGCCCTAGCGCGGCCCGACGGCAGCGTAAGGATCCACTCCCTGCAACCGCTGTTCGTCAGCGGGCAATGCGTGACCGATTCCCGCGAACGGCGAGTCGCGATTCGACTCCTGCGAGCCATCGAGTCTGATCTGGGCTGGGCCACAGAGTACCGAGTGCAGCAGCTGCTCAAAGAATGGGGCTGGGACGAGAGCTTCATCCGTTCGACGGCGGCGACCTGATCCGGTAATGGCTGCTTTGGTGATAAGATAACCAGTGCTAAGCACCGAAGGTCCACTCCAGACCCTGGGGACTTTCTTGGCCTTTATAAGAGAGGTTGAGATCCAACTCGCCCCGCAATCCATGCCTTCGATCGTCATTTTCACGTGTGCGAAACCCGTGATACGATCGGGCCGGACTTTGGCTCCGGTCAATTGGCGATACATAACGATGCATCATGAAGCAAGGACCCGGCCTTGATTTTCAGAAGCCCCAAAGGGCTCGGCGCCAAACAGAAGCCAAAGGGCTGTAACGGGGATCCCACCTGCAGAAAGCGGACGCGAAAAAACATTCGAAATGGCATGACCCGTACCGCAGTAACGAGCGACGATATACCCAACATTGAACATTTCAGAGGAGCATCATTTGAAGATAATAGGAATAGGAATAAGAATAGGAATACCCTTAAGATAAGCAAGAAATAAAGCACGAAAATTTCCCGCAACACCAGTAAATGGAAACCTGCAGAGTCTCGGTCCAGTTTCCCAACTTCTGCCGTGGTTGCATCACCGCCGAATCATCGGCAAAAACGTTAATTCTCAGTCGGGCTGCCGCGCCCTGATCCTCCCAGGGAAGTTAATCGGCTCCCAGGAACGACCCCATACTACGACAATTCACACCCTTAATTTTTTTTCGCTAAAGGGATCTCCTGGAAAACCCTAGCGCCGCCCTACACCCTTCACTCCCCTGAAGGACTATGTTGTCATCCGCCCCACTGATTGGCGCTCCCCACGCGGGCAGCGGAAGGTTTACCGAACCGGCTGTCCTCCGTTTCATTCCTATTTCTGCATTTCCAAGATCGTCGGCGGTAATCTCGGAATTACCCCGGGACTACCTATACAAGGCAACCCGGGTGTTGTGGGAGGTGTGCATGGGCAGAAGGTATGGCGATTTGAATGGGATCGCGGGGTTGGATTCCGGTTCGGATCTGACGGGCATAAAAGGGTGAAGGTGGATCTGTTTTTTATTGCAGAGCTTGAAGATTTGACTATACTTGGATGTAGAGGTGTGTCTGACTGTAGGGCTTGTAGGGCTTGTAGCTATATCTGTTAATACGGATGTTTTGACTATTGGCGCTGGACCGTCGGGGATTGCTTTTGCGGTGCAGCTGCAGAAACAGTTTCCCGGTGCTAGGTATGAGATCCTTGAAAGGACGGATAATCTGGGTGGGCTGTGGTGGGTGAATACGTACCCCGGGTGCGGATGTGATGTGAGAAGATACTGTTCAGTGTATCTGGGACTTTTACTAACTTGTGTACCAGGTAGCGTCGCATTTCTACTCGTTCTCTTTTGCGCTGAACCCGAACTGGAGCCGCAAGTTTGCGTCGCAGCAGGAGATCGCGGCGTATTTGCACGATGTTGTGGAGCAGAATGATGTTCCGAGTCATGTGCGGTGTTTGGCCACTGTGCAGAGCGCGGCTTTTGACGAGACCTCGGGGACTTGGGTTGCTACTATGCTTGATAGTGTTAGTGGGGAGGTGTCCCAGCGGCGTTCGAAGATCTTGATCTCGGCCGTTGGGGCACAGAGGGAGTGTGAGATTCAAGGAGCGGAGATATTCAAGGGCAAATTGTTCCATTCTGCGCAGTGGGATCATTCGTTCGACTGGGCTGGGAAGGACGTCGTGGTTATTGGTGAGATGACACGTTCGTCTGGGATGAGAAGTCGCTGATGATAGAAAGGTAATGGCTGCAGCGCCACGCAGTTCGTGCCTGTTATGAGTGACGGCGCGAATAAGACCAGGAAACTGGTTCAATTCAGTCGCCAGCCCCACTGGCTCGCTGAACGTCCAAACCAGACGTACTCGCGCTCGTTCAAGTGAACGATGCGCTACGTCCCTCTCGCCATGCGCTAGTACCGGCTCTACCTGTACGCCATGATGGAGAAGGATTTCCTCGGCTTCTACCAGGAGACCGGGAGTTCTATCCGCGAGGATCTGAAACGGGCCCAGATCGAGTATATGAAAAAGAATGCGGCGGAGCGGTACCATGATGGCCTGCTCCCGCGGATGGAGACTGGCTGTAAGGGCAAGGTCATGGAGACGAATTACCTGGCGTGTCTGCGTCGTGAGAACGTTGAGCTTGTGCACTCTGATCCGATCGAGGAGGTGACTGAGACTGGGGTACGGACCCGGTCTGGGGCCGAGGTGCATGCGGATGCCATCATTCTGGCCAATGGGTTTCAGACGCAGCAGGTGCTGTTTCCGAGGGAGATCACTGGTGAGAAAGGGGGGAGGTCACCTTGAACGAGCACGTACGTTTCCCTTTCACTTTGGTTTTGAAGACCACTTGACCACACGATTTAGCGGCGAAAGTTCTCGTCCGGCTCAGCACAGGCTTATTACGGAACCTGCGTCTCCGAGTTCCCCATCCTCTTCATCCTCATGGGTCCCAGTACTACCACGGGTCACCTGTCGGTTCTTTTCTCGACCGAGTGCGAAATCAATTTCACGCTGCGAATTCTGCGTCCAATCCTGAGTGCACTCTATCCGCCCGTGATCTGATCGGCACTCACCTATCCATTCGGGCGTCTTCGATCCCCAGCACCGGACACTGTCGCCGTGACACACGCTGCAGAGCAGACATACAACAATTGGATCCAGGTAGCGGCCAATAAGCTTGTCGGAGCGACCGGTTGCACGAGCTGGTATGTCGACTCGCGGACAGGGCGGAATACGATGCTGTATCCGGATTGGCAGTTTAATCTTTGAGCAGGGAGTATTTTCGAGCCTCCGAAGAGAGAGTTTGTGTTTGGGAGGAGTCCGGTGCAGGTACCTGCAAAGGATACAAAGAAAGATGACCCGAGTGGGCAACTGGATCCCGCGTGTTCGGTCTTCGCCGTGGTGGGTGTGGCCGTTGTGGTTGGTCTGATGGTGCATGGGTCGATGGATATGAGTGCCGTTGAGATTGCCAAAGGGCTCCGGGACGCGGTGACTCGTGTACAAAGCGAGTGTGTGACCGGTCTCCGCAGTCGCCCTATTCTGGCTGGCTGGAAGGGGAGTGTAAAATGACAGGCGTGACGAAATAAGCAGGATGTATCGATTCAGTCGTGATATAATAAGATAGACCGAGCTGCGCGGTTGTTCCCGGCGTCTGATTCGAGTATTCCCGTATTTTCCTGGCTGTAGGTTCAGGTCGATCTCCCCCACCCCGGATCTGCGGGGTGATAGGTAGTGATCATGACAGGATGCAGTGCTGACTCGACAGATCAACTGCCAACGTGCAGTGACCACATTCTAACGTGAGAAAGGTCCGAAGGGTCTCGGATTGGCCCGATGGGCAACGAATGCCGGGGTCGATCACAGCTGGAGGCAGGGTAACGAGTGTGATTGGGCGAGTTGGCGCGAGGATCGGCGGGAAGGATGACGGGTGCTGTCCACTCCGCGGTGGGTATAGCGACGTTGGACGAGGGGATCAGAAGGTGCAGTCTTATCGAATGACAGAGCATAGCGGCTGGCGCCGGAGAGGGAGACCGTAAGACGTCCCGTTCCTTGCAACGGTGGCGGTTTCTGTTTTTCCGTTACACGAACGGTGACGGTCACGATCACGATCACGATCACGATCACGAGCTGCAGTGTATCCCGGGTCTGAACGCTCAATATTGAGACAGTCACTTCGATCCGAGGATGGACGAGGGTTGTTTTTCACCTGGGTAGTCTACATAGGTCTGGAGGTACTCCGGTGCCTACTGATTACCTGATTGGGAACTAATTGTCCGACTCCGCACGAGGCTGATGGTGGAACCCGAATTACGCTAAAATACGCGCTACTAGCCGTCGAGAGACGGGCGAGATCTAGGCCGTTCGCACTTTTGGGCAGGCACTGCGGCCCAGTGCGGAGCCCTCAGTACTCGGTACTGTAATGCCATTATACCCCTGATCACGTACTCCGTACTGGAGTAAGAGATCCAGGTGTACTCCGTACTCCGTACTCCCACGATACCCGTACAGTCTATACAAAGCCACCCGCCCGCACTGCACATGGCACACTGCAGCGCAACCCTCGTGCTCGGTCCAAACGTGGTTCATCCATCCCCAACCACGGAACTCGTGAACCGCTATTTAACTAGGCCTTCCAGAATCTTTCCTACTAGTACCAAACCACCCTGGCACGGCTATTGATGCTTTCCCGTGTAGATCGTTGCTTTACCGGTTGCCCGTGCCCGTGGAGATCGTTTCCCCCTGCAGTCCGCTTCCAAAGTTTCCAGTAATTTTCAAGTAACCGACGCCGACTCGCTCCAACCCTAAAATGCAGACCAGGGTTGGATACCCCCTGGTTCTCGCCAAGCACTGCCGGGATTGAGTTCTCGGGGGGCCGTGTGCGACTAACCGTACCGAGCCCATGCGCGGAGCTCGTGGGTTGAGAAACCGTAGTATGGATTGACCCGCTTTTTTGACGTTGGACTTGGACTTGGACCCCTCTTGCTTCTTCCCCCCTTCCATCTATAACCAGGGTCGTGCCCACGGTCCTTTTTTGGCTTCGTTTCTTGCCTTGCCCCAATCTACATTCCCAGATCCCTTCGTCGACACTCCTTTACGGCGCGATTCTCGCGCGCGGATTCGTCGCGCTGGCGCGTTAGATTCCCTAGGATCCTGAGGATATGCCGGATTGGCTGTACGACTAAACATGGAGTCTTTCGAAGCACTTTGTCAAGCTCCCTTCCACCTGGAATCCCTATTCCCCGCCACCGGTGGCTTTATTGAGGGCCGATTCTGCGAGACGATTGGTAATATCTCATGCTGCTTGCCATGCCCTCTTGCCGACTGGCGCTATGCCGATAATACGGCCCGGAGGGTGGATGTTGCGGGCTGGATCAGCGTCGCCATGCTGCCTCTGTGTCTCTTTCTCCTCATTTCATACGCCGTTCTTCCTGCCAAATGGACCAACCGTCACTACCTGACTATTTGCTTCACTCTGGGTATCTGCTGCATGGAGGTATGTGCAAGTGAGTTGATGGGTGCGAATCAGGGCTGACCACTACAGATCGCCTTCATTATTCCTCTCGGTGCCAAGCCTGACCAATGCTATAACGCCATTACACCTAATGACATGTATTCCAACCTTTCGTGCGCCTTCTCCGGTTCGATGTTACTATTCGGCGGCTGGATGGTGGTGATATGGAGTTTCATCCGCACAATCGCCTTCCACGTGCAGGTATGCTGGGAGGTTGTCATCGGACCCAAGTTCATGTGGGGGTCCTTCCTCTGCGGATTTGGCATCCCGGCCATCGGAATCACCGTGATGCTCATCTTCACCGGCGTATCCTTCCGCTTCGGAGAGATCTGTCACATCAACATCAAACATGGTGAGCAGGACTACTGGTATCCGATCGTGGCCTTTGCTGCGGCCGCACTCATCGTGCAATTAGCAACCATGGCCTACTGCATCCACGTCTACCTGCGCTCGCTCTTCGACAAATCAGCCTCGACCACCGAAAACAGCTCCGGTCTCCCGTCATACACATCCAGCGTGCGCACTCAGACCGCTCGTCAGGCCTACCGCCGAGTGAAACGCGTGCTGCAGCTGCAGTGGCGTGGAGTCACCATGGTGGTGGTCATCATTGCCAACGTCATCTTTTTCGCCGTGGTATTCATCGACCTGGACCGCGAGATCGCGCCCACGCCCGCCAACTTGAAAAAAGCAGAACCTTGGCTCGCCTGTCTCCTCATGGGTGGGACCAGGGAGCAGTGCAAGGAGTTCGCATCTGCACTCGGCCCCAACGAGGCGACCCTCCTGGCGATGATATATCTACTATCTCTGGTGGGATTCTGGAATTTCATTGTATTTGCCCGACCATCCATGCTCGCCGGCTGGCTCGATCTGTGGCGGCGGGGCTTCTCCAAGCGCGACGAGTACATCTCGGCCGATGCAAACAGCCGCTACCCAGATAACAAGGGCTTCGAGATGCTTACGACCTCTACTGCCAAAACCCCCGACCCGTACATGCGATCGCCCAGCCCCAACCGCATGATGGGACGTACCTCCGTGACCAGCCCCAGTCCGACATTTGACCGAAGTATTCATTACGGACAGGAGGCCCGCTACGTGCGCCCCTCGATGAGTTTCAGCGGCCCGCGACCACCCAGCGCACAAGACTGGGACCCGTCGAGGAGCTTTGCACAGAGCCATACATGATAATCGTTGGGTCGAACTCAGTTTTCATATTCCGTCTCAAAAAAGGGTCAAGGCGGAGGAGAGGGGCCAGGGCGAAAAAAAAAAAGTTTCAACTATTTGGTGTTACGAATGGTGTTTCCACGGCGCCCTCCCTCTCCTCTTCCTCCAAAAGCGTCGGCTGTTCTAGTTCTCTTAGCAACCCGGGGGTATGGCTCACGATGTTCCGGTCTAATGTTTTTTATTGTTTCTGTATAACCCACTTTCTATCGAACCATAATCTAAATGTGAAAAAATTACATTGATACTTAGCTCGTGCCTCGTGCCTCGTGCCTCGACCCCCTTTTCCAATCCAGCGGGACTCTTTCACGACCGATCGTCTCCACGGCACACGGCAACTGGTCCGCCGGAGTGGGTTCTAAACTCGCCCGGACAGATTCAACTACTCCGTACTCCATACACACAAATCGCAGAGCCACGATGCAAATCCACAAGACGGGAAAAGACACCCCCCACCACGCGATTCCGACAGCCTAGTGCCGAATACTGTCTAGCTAGCTCAACATGAATCACTTGAGACATCGCCTCCCCCGCCAGGGGTAGATAAAGAAACAATTTTGAAACTTCTCGCGTACAAAGCAAAAGAACTCCTCGAAACGGAGACTGCACGCGATTCGTCGTGGAACGGAGGCGATGGGACAACTACCCAAACGGGCAAAACCGGCCGTTCCTGCATGGCCGTGTGCAGAGAGACCTGCGTAAGCCCAGCCACCGACGAATAACGGCCCATGGTGCGCTAGCCGGTTTTCCGTTGAGATGTCCGCCCGCGTTAATTCCCAACCAGTATAGTCCAACCTAGGGCTCTAATGATGATAGGCATGTGCATCCACCGCGATAGCAATAGAATTGGGCAGGTCCTATCTAGTGGCAACTACGGCCTGTGTCAGCCACGGAGTGTGCCGGCGTGCTGGGATGACTCCACCCGTAGCACTACTCCGTCGCCAGGCGTGATGCTGAGAGGGACTAGTGGTAAAAGGGTCTAGTCTATGAGATTGAGAGGAGAATCCCCCGGACTGTGAACATGGGGAGGCAGAATTGAGCGACGCGAGGTGATCGCATGAGCACGGCGATATTGACTGAGTTTACTATTGACAGTCTGAATCTTCAGAACATGCAGGAAAATAGACTCGGTTCTACTGCGAATTAAGATTGAACTCAAAACCATCGCCGAGTCATTTGCCACCTCTACTCTACTCTACACCTTAAGGTCCGGTCATCAAACCCCGCAATCCAACACAGGGTCAACCAAACTCTGCGACCCAAAAATCAAATTCGGCCGGTTCTAACGCTCCCCTCGCGGATATTTCCAACGCGGACCCAAGGCCTCCAACCTCACAGGGGCTGCCAACTTCGCACCCGAATAATAACCGAGTCATGGAAGGCGGGGTGACCAGCGGCACGAACCGTGGACAGATTGTAGTCTGGAAGAATCCATCAACAGGCACTAGGCCAATACAAATCTGAGACATTCCTTGTTTTTCGGCCCGCCTGAAATCCAGTGAGGCATTTCTCGTAGCATGTGCTCACATCGGAAGATCCCAAGCCACCGCCCCGTCAAGTGCGGAGAAGACGGTGGGGATCCCGTAGTCAATAGTCCATGTCAGAGGATGATTTTGGCGTGCATTTTGTCCCGCCACAGATTACGAGAACTAACACGACTCGGGCCGCCGAGGCACATGTGATATCTGCGGTACAACGTATCTGCGGTACAAGGTTGAGTTTGTTTACGGCTCGTGTTCGATGGTTGGGTGTTCTACGCGATCTGATCATTTGTTCTAATGTTCTTTTTGGCGTGCTTGTGTTTTTCAATGGTGGGTTCAATGGTTCGTTTCAGATTGAAGATCACTTTGCTTCGGTAGTAGTGGGCGGGTCCCGTGTTGGGTCGCGTGGGTTCTGGGGGTAAATAGTCTGGGGTAGTGGGTATGTGGTAAATTAAATGGGTGGACCATGTGTTCTGGCTTGTGATGGTGTTAGTGTGGAAACACTGGAGAACTTAGTGCAACGGTTATGCATGAAGCCAAAATGAACAGGTGCGGGGAGGCTAGTCTCGAGGTCAATACTTGGTGAAATCGGATTCTAATATTGCTTTTTATTCGTATTCTCACGTATAGCTAAACATTACTTTCAGGAGGCTGTATATCATCCTCGGATTTGAATTCGTGCTTCTAATTCCTGTCGAATAAAGAGCCAGTAGGACCGTGGCTCTAGCCGGTCTTAATTTGAGGACGGTTGACGAGAAACATGTACATCCTCATTCACTTGAAGACTCTAGAGCGGGGATATATCAATAACGACATCCAGAATGAACTCATTACCATTTCCGCGTACCATCAAAGGTTGTTTCCTGCCACTGCACGCGCGTAACCACGGTCGTATTCAATGGCACCTCATCACCCAGTGAATCATTCTGGCTAACATGCAGCTGCACTCTCGTCTTGGATAATGACTCGTTTGCGGGCCTCAAAGCCGTTCCGTCGGCTGCGAAACTTTGCAGTCCAGATGCTTTGCCATCTGCTGTTCGTGTTCTCGAGGTGCCAGGATGACTCCCGAATTTGGATGAGAGCATCACGAACAACGGGCGCAGTGTCGGGATGCAGGCGGAGATGATTCCACTTGAAGTTTCAATCCGACACAAGGTGCAGGCTTCGGCTAAGGTCCAAGATGTATCCGTAGGCTGGAATTGGAAAAGGGTGGAGAATCGGTAGGCGCTTGTGAATATCACGCTGTTGAGAAGATTTGTTAGTATTGATCGCTGACAACGAGGTAGGATGTGCCTCCGGGGAAACGGAGAACATACAAACTGCCCAGCAAAAAAAACAGCAATGACGGTCAGTCGATGGACAAGTGTGGTCTGCAGACCCCAGACGTCGCGCATTGGAAGAGAAAGAATCGCGATATCTGTCAGGATATTTGGCACTGCATTTCCTACGAACGAGTCCTTGAGGTTGATACATGTCCCTGGAAAACTCGTATTCCACGCCTTCGCAATGGGTGTGCATTGGAAAACACTGACGCAAAAGATGGCGATGACCCACGAAATCACAATGCTGCCCAGGATGTATGTTGCAATGCAGAAGCTTCGTGTTAGGAAAATGCGCGCGTACATCAGGAAAATGGAGATCTTGACGATTCCTACCGTCGTGCAATAGACGAATTCATACGCCACCAGCAACTGTGATTGAGTCATTCCTCGAACTTCTGCGTATCCCATCCGGTTCCTACGGCTCATACCTTTACAATCATCATCAGGTTTCCGGTTGGTAAGGCTTCCGCGTGCATTCCCATGCCGTGACCAATCACTAGAAACCAGAATTTAGAGTCTGGGGATTCTCGATGAAAAGTGTCTAACATATCGGTGAGATTTATACCGCAGCATGCGAACAAGAATGCTTATGTGGGAACTCCCCAGCTATTTTAGCTCTTCCATGGAGGAACCACGGCACTACCAGTGACTTCAGCATCAAATCGTCGTCCCAGATGATGCTCAACCCTTCTGGTGACCAGATGATCCTGCACAAACCCGGTATTCTCCAGATGTGTGAAGAGCGTAACGGGCTACAAGCTCGTATGAACTCCGCCATTTAGCGCACCACGAGTGAATCCTTCGACAGATCCCGAAGCCGTGTCATCCAAAAGTACTCCAATATCCTTTCTAGGGGAAAAACTTAGGGTATTTAGTTTAATAGTTCGGGTTTTCTTCGGAGCGAGTCCGGAAACTCTTTTTAACAGCTTATTTACAGTTACTTAACCTCCTCTGGGGGTCTTTTCTCACTCTTATACAAATGTCTGAATTAATCACGATGTCTGTGGCTGAGAAACCCGTCTTCGTCTTCGTGCCCGCTGCATGCCACACTGCGGATACCTTCGATGGTATCCTCGCGAAGCTGACCCAGAAGGGATTCGATTATGAGGCTGTTCCTACCCCGTCTGTTGGCACAGTTCCTCCGAATAAGGGTCTGCATGCAGATATAGACTATAGCAAGGCTTTACTGCAGGATTTGGCGGATAAAGGACGGCAGGTTGTCCTGGTTACTCACTCGTATGGTGGAATGGTCGGAGCTGGCGCCGCGAAGGGCCTTGGGTACTCGCAGCACTCCAAGGCTGGTTCGCCCGGTGAAGTGATCATGGTCGTTTGGATGGCAGCATCGCTACTCCCAAGGGCCAATCCTTGTTGTATATGCTCGGTAGAAACTGGCTTCCTTGGATGCTTCCCAATGTCAGTTCTTGATTACTTTACCTTTACGGTGCCCTTGTTTGCCTTTGCTAATAAGTATTTAGGATGACGGCTATACCTACTCCTCCCAACAAGAAGTTGTCTTCTATCACGATATGTCGCCAGAGGAACAGCAGGCGGCAATTGGCAAGCCGAAGGGCCAGCCTACGCAGACCTTCTTGGAGCCGGCCGTGTACGAATGCTGGCACGAGATGCCGAGCATGTAGCTCTTCTGCGATAATGATCAGGGTCTGCCGCTGGTCTTCCAGGAAGCCTTTGCAAAGACTCTTGGCAACCCGGTGGCCTTCCACACTGACGGATCTCACTCGGCGTTCTTGAGTGTGCCGGACCAGGTGGTTGAGGGCCTCGAGCTGGCATTGAAGGAGGGTCGTAACAGGGCGGAATTAATGTGAACCGAGTGAGATGAAAACTGCAAGATTAGCATTGAGTTAAGTCGATGCAAACAAAAATACACAGAGAAGGCCGAGGATATAGCGAAGAGCACACATCACACTTGAATTTTAGCGGATCCACACAGCTGAACTTGAGAACAAACATGCTTTCAGGTCAAAAACTCACAACTCTTCACCCCAGGCATGAATACTCTATTTTTTATCTGAATTTATTCAAGTAAATGCTGTAAATAAATATTCTGCACTCTATTTATCTGTATAGTTTGACATTGCATCATTCCGAGTGCTCGACGTCACCGCGGCCGTAGGCGGAGAGAGAAGCTCCCGAGCTGGAAAGCTGGAAAGCACAGGTAACACACAACTCCATCCCCGCTCCCCAGCCTCCTTCACAACCTCTTTTTTCCCAGCTCTCTTTTCTTCTCCCTTGCTCAACTCTGTTGCTTGCTGCAGACCTCTGAACCTCTACCATCTCTCCCCCCTCCCTTACTCTCCGCGCTCGGATTCCTGAGTCCCACCGCCATGGCTCCTCCTCCTCCCGCGACTTTGCCTCTGGCCGATAGGCTGAAGGCTCTGGCCCAAACCCTCCAGTATGTTCTTCTTGGTTGCTTGATGCGGCCACTTGCAGCTCCAATGCTAGATTTCTCTGTGCTAACTCGTGCTTCGCTGCAGGTTTGGCTGGTTCATTGGGTATGTCGACTCGGGAGAGAACCTTCGAAGCACTTTCCCCGATGTCGGGGTCGCTGACAATCCTCTAGACACCTGATGCTACTCCTCTCCGTCTTCCGCTACACCCTGTCCTTCATCGTCTTCAACTACTACTCCTCGTGGGCGCGATTCTCTTATCGCTTGGCGTTCATTTCGGCCGCCGTAACCTACGGAATTGTCGTGTACAAGGGCCACTTTGCCCGCGGTGTCCAAGGCAATGTTTCCACCATCTTGACCAAGCTCGCCTTTGATGAGAATGTCCAGTACCTGGGTGAGTAACTCGGCGATAAGAGTCGGCATGTGACGCGGAAAACTGACGTGATTGTGTGATAGGAATGGCTCTGGTCTGGCTGTACTCGCGCCAGATCATCCTGGCTCTCTTGCCCTTCAGCGTGTACTCGGTCTTCCACGTTGCGACCTACACCCGCATGTACCTGATCCCCACGCTGCAGCCCCCGCAGGGTGGCTCTGGCCCGACCTCGCCCGGCTCCCCGAGCTCCAAGACTCCCGGCAAGCAGAACCCACTCGCTGAGACCATTGGCCGCTTCATCAAGCAGTACTACGATGCCAGCATGGGTGTTGTCGCCTCTCTCGAGATCCTGCTCCTCTTCCGCCTGTTGCTATCTGCGGTTACCTTCTCGAAGGGTAGCTGGGTTCTGCTCGTTATCTACCTTGCTTTCTTCCGCGCTCGCTACGCCCAGAGCTCTTTCGTCCAGCAGGCCGTTCGCCAGATTACTGCTCGCGCCGATGCGTCCATCTCCCACCAGAGCACTCCTCCCCAGGTCCGCCAGGGTTGGGAGGCCGTCAAGGGTCTGGTGCGCCAGGGCTACGAGGCCACTGACGTCAGCCGCTACATCTCTGGCCCTACCGCTGCCAAGAAGCCCCAGTAATCTTATCACCGGCCGAGTGACCGGCATGTGAGCTGAGCCTCGCATTCTATCACAACGCTGCGATTCGATTTTGAAATGGAAGATAATGGTACTCGATAGCTACCATAACAGAAGGTTGATTGGGATTGTACTCCCATCGGGCTGAGAGGAGGGTTCGAGGGGTCTGTGTGGTTATGGGCCGTGGAGGTTATTTTGTAGAAAAGATGCGGACGTGGAGGAATCCCGCCCTGATGATGCTATACGCAACGCAACGCCATGTTCTCTGTTTCTTCTTGTCTAGAAATCCGCAAAGCCTTATTTTGTTTTTGTCTGTTGCCAGTATACCCGGCTCAGGTATGCTGCAGATTGATGTGATCTCTACAGTGATGACGACAGTATATTTGGGTTCGGGCCTTCCTTATCTAGCACCTGAGATAAGCATCGACGGATCAGGCCAATTGTCTCGTGCTATCTTGTGCTAAGTACATTCATGATCTTCATTTGTCCTGTAAACAATCTCTACCCCGTAGCTCGGTGCTTTGCATACCAGTAGTCATTTTTTGATACCATGAAACTTCAGACCACGCGGCTATCGACATCTTGAATAGCTTAGCTCCAGCCCGTATTATGCAGGGGACTTACGCGATACGTCATTAAAGACGCAAATCACGTTATCGTAGCCTTCATGGTCTAGTGGTTATGACGTCGGTCTCATATTGTGAGCATCGCACCTTGACGGTCCTGATAACAGGATTGCCATCCGAAGGTCGCCAGTTCGATCCTGGCTGAGGGCAGATTTTTTGTTCTTGGTACATTTTTACCAGATGGTGGGTTTGGTGGGGCTCTCTACCACTGTAACTGAGAGTCATTTTGGTCTGTAAGGTAGCGTTTGATGGATGGAACTTTGGAAACAGCCTCCGACAAAATTTGAGTCAAATAAGTTACTTCCCATGGACTCCAGGGATCTCTGAATTAAATATGATCCAGGTGGATATAGTAAGCTTTGGAATTGAAGCTAGCGACCTATAACTATTTGATTGGTTAAATTGTGTCAATGCATAATGGCTAACCTTCCGATTTTATTACACGTAGCATTTGTCGTTATTGTAGGGCTCTATATTGCACTTAAGAGGCCAAAGACCCCGGCCTGTAACTACCAAAGCCCTTAAATATGCCTTCCGGCCACTCTAGACTGTTATACAAGCGACATCAGCCAAAGAGTGATCGAGCCGCGGCTCGCTTGTCAACCACACTAGTGCCCGCTCGATGGCCCATCCCCCCAAACCTGTCAGATTAAGCTCAGATTAAGCAAACCCGGACACCTCCACAGAGCCAACCACGCAGACATGTCTCCGAGCGATCCAAATGAATTCGTGACCGTGAGGTCATTACTACCAACACTGCCTCTTCCCACAAATAACGAGAGGGCCGTGGTGACGACGAATCGCCTGACGATACGGGCCCTCCAACCAACAGACCTGGAAGCATTCTACGCTTTACGGACGGAAGAAGATGTCATGAAATGGACCTCAGCACGTCGAATTGACCGAGATATTGAGGAGACTCGGGCTAAACTGAACCCCTTCCTGTCACCGAATGATACGGCCACCTTCAATTGGGCTATCTGTTGGAAAGATACCGGTGAATTCATCGGTATTGGTGGCTGTCATCTCTTCCCTGCTGGGCATGGGTGGCCTGAGGTTGGGTATATGCTCCGCAAGGAGTTTTGGGGTCAGGGATTGGGATCTGAGTTCTTGAATGCTTGGCTGAGGATGTGGAGGGATTTACCGAGGAAGGAACAGGAATCGAGGGTTCAACGGAAGATGGTGGCTGGCGAGGGTGAGGTGGATGAACATCTTATTGCTATTACGGGGGATAGCAATGTTCCTAGTCAGAAGGTTTTGCAGAAGGCGGGATTTGAAAGATTCAGAGAGTGGACTCAAGGGAGTGAGGGTGATGGGAAGGGTAGTGTGAAGCTTGTGGCTTTCCGTTTCTTTCCGTCTAGATAAAGAGACCCTACGGAGTATACAAGGAAGATACGCCAATCTTTACCATAATAAGCCTAGCACCAGGTACGGAAAAGCTCTATCTCAGCTCATGCAGCCATCATGCAAACCTGAAGAATGATCACCGGAGAACGTACTGCGTTATTGTATACTCATACATTCATATATACAGCTAAGTATTTTATTTACATGATTATGCACCCAGAGCGACGCCGGCGAGACTTAGGTTGCATGGACCTTGTAGCAAGGGGCCCTTTGTCTGAGACAGTCATGTATCTCTTTTCCTCCAAAAAGGAGGCGTTTCGAAGATACAATTCCTCATCGGATAAAGTTTTCTTTGGGCCACCCTCCACCAAGCCACTTTCAAACCGTAGTCGGGGACTAAAAATGATGTCCTGGGGATCAACCTCGTACTCATTCTGATGGAGTAAAAGTGACCTCCACCTGGGGTCTTCAGGAGAATGACCAGGACCAACATCAATCCACCGGGTAAATATCAAGCTCATGTCATGGGCACCCAAGTCCCGCAGCTCGATATGCCATTCCGTGTTACATTTGGAACACTTTCCATATTCGGGTGCTTTGGGTGCACCAGCGCAGTAGGATGTGATATGAGAGCTAACGCGCTCTGAGAATTTGGGCGTGGCATTTATAATATGTCCACACACCCAGATGGTGTTTCCTTGTGGGAGTAACCTCGAGGCATTTTCGCGCCTCACGACTGCCAACCCTTGGATGCGCAAGCACAGACTCGGTGCTGTCGGGCAGACCCGGGCTTCGATTGACGTGAGGCTTGTCTTGTTTTCCCCAAGATGCTTTTCTTCGGGGGTCAATGCTGAGGTATTTTGTGATTGGGGTGTGCTGTTGCTGCGTAGGCGATCCACCCGCACTTCGGTGTGAAAGAGCGAGTCTGTGGAAATGCCATATTGCAGCCCGTGATAGAAGCATCTCATGGCCAGATATACATGAGTAAACTGAAGCTGATAGCCACACCATGCTGGATAATAAAGGCCTGCGAGGCCCTGGACCAGCCAGTGGTCTTCATGGTCTTCGCGATCCACAGAACCAAAGCACTTGATGTGTTCAAATTTGGCAGGCGAAGGAACGTTCTGCCAAAGGTGAAGCCGCAAGCAAATAGAGCATAAATAGTATTCAGGCAGGTCGAGTGAGAGTCTCGTCAAAAAAAGAGACCTCTCGTCTTCCATATCTCCGGGGAGACATTTCGGTAGTCGGCCGTTCAAAGAGGCACCGTCTTCCGAAGCAAACAAACTCATCAGCCTACAATTGCAAGCTGCGAGACATGCTATATCGGCTGGCGATAGAAACTCTGAAATCAACAATAGAAGTTCGACTGGGAGACCAATTAAGGTAATGGGCCGGTTAGCACAAGCCATAGTGCCCGAAGCTTCCAAGGCTTCCAAGGCTTCCACTGAAGATACCAATGGGAATATTATGGAGGAGAGGTATGTAAGGAATATAATTCATGCACAAGGACCTTATCAACCGTGGCGTTGTCAAGCACATGGCAAGAGATAAGAAGATACGGGGTCGAGCCAAGCGGCGCGTTACTTACGGAAGGCGGTCGGAGACGGCATAAAGTATCCAATGACGCATGTGATGCCTGAGGCAGGGCGGAGAAAAGAAAAACACCGCCGACCAGAATTTGAGTCGGGCCCGAGATTCACGGAGATCTTGATATCTCCCCTTACTCACCCTTTTTCTTGTCACTCTTTACATTTCCATCCGGGGGCTGCTCCTTTCCTTTTTTCTTCAGCATCCCCCATCGACATCTACGGCCCCGACGGAGATCGCGGGAGTCTTGGCCCATATTGCCATGAGCCTGACCTCGCGAGTGCTCGGTCTGTTCTCCACAACAGCGACCTCGGACTCGACTGCAAATAATGCGCATGACCTCGCTGGTTCGGCTGTGAATCAGCCGACATTCGGTTTCAATGATCACATAAAATCCGGCACTCCCCGCCATGTGCGGGATGAGGCTTCAATGGAGGATGAACCCCGTCCGCCGTATCTTCATGTACGACTCATCTCCGATGACAAACTGTGCACAATATAACGTACGGGAGCTAACATAAATCGATCTTACAGGCAATGTTGGCGGGTGGAACTGGAGGCTGTTGTGGCGACATGTTAATGCATTCGTTGGATACAGTCAAAACTCGACAACAAGGCGACCCGACTTTCCCGCCCAAATACACATCGATGGGTTCATCATACGCGACGATATATCGGCAAGAAGGTTTCTGTCGAGGTTTATACAGTGGAGTGACACCGGCTTTCCTGGGGTCATTCCCGGGCACTGTGATCTTCTTCGGAGTGTACGAGTTCACCAAGCGGTTGATGCTGGATTCAGGAATCAATCCCAGCTTGGCCTACTTATCCGGCGGCTTCTTCGCAGATTTGGCTGCTTCGATTGTCTACGTGCCGTCCGAGGTGCTTAAGACCCGACTTCAGCTGCAGGGACGCTATAACAACCCGCACTTCCACTCGGGATACAACTACCGCGGCACAACCGACGCATTCCGAACCATCGTGCGGCAAGAAGGATACTCGGCCCTGTTCCACGGCTACAAGGCGACTATCTTCCGCGACTTGCCGTTCTCGGCCCTGCAATTCGCCTTCTACGAACAAGAACAGACGCTGGCTAAGGAATGGGTCGGCAAGCGGGACATCGGACTGGGATTGGAAATCTTGACGGCCGCGACCGCCGGCGGTATGGCTGGTGTTATCACATGTCCGCTGGACGTTGTCAAGACGCGCATTCAAACGCAAGTGAATCATACCGAGCACAACACCGGATCATCGGGCGCGAAACACACCGGCGATCACAGACCCAAGGAGAGCCATCGGCCTCATGCTGGATCGTCGCATTCCCACGCGTCGCACCCACACTCGCGACCGATTTCCACCTCCTCGCCCTCTACATCTGTGTCACCACCAGGCGCACCGCGGTTAGATACATCGTCCGTGTTCACGGGCCTGAGGATGATCTACCGTACCGAAGGGTTCGCCGGGTGGTTCCGCGGCGTGGGTCCACGCGGTGTGTGGACCAGCATCCAGAGCGGGACAATGCTAGTCATGTATCAATACCTTCTCAAGCAACTCGAGTCCTGGCAGGGGCTTCAGGGAGAGATGTCATCGTCGCTGTGAGAAACCTCTTCTGCCTGCATTTATTGGGGACACTTCTTTCATTGGGGCGGCGTTCGGTCTTGTTTGATGTATTTTTGGGGAGTGCTTTGTTTTGTATACTCCCATCTCCCTTTGTGATAGACATAGAAAGTGGCCCTCCTTTGGGGCCACAGTGTATGATAGCCAGAGTTATTGGCAGAATCTCGATACAGAGAATTAAAGAAAGAAAGCATTTATACTAAGCTGCTCGAGGTCAGGGACCGCGTCAAAAAGTTCAAGAATTCCGAAGTCGAACAAGACGCGCTAGCGTGTTTTGTTTTGGCGGTCCGCGTAAACAACAAGCCTTCAATTCCCCTCCTCCTTGCATCTTCCCTTCCCCCTCTAAGTTACTAAATTAATATTACTTTTGATCGTTTGATGCATTGGTCGGTCTTTTCCTCTGATCCGTCGTCTCATATCTAACTGTACTTCAGATATCGCAACCATGTCAAGCGGTCTACCATATCTCAAGTCGCTGCGCAAGCCCGACCTTACCGAGTTTGCCGAGCGCACCGATCTCCAGGAGTATGTTTACACCTGTCGCGCGCGCAGTAGCGCACGCTAACAAGTCATACAGATATGAGGACTACAACAAGAATGATCTCGCCATCGCGCTGGACAAGCACCTGAGCGAAAATCGCACCATCTTCGGCACCGACACGAAGCTCAGCAAGTTCTACGAGCGCCTGGGTAGTTCGGCGACGCCCGCGAAGACACCATCCAAGCGCAAGTCCGAAGCCAAGGTCGAGATCTCCCCCGTGAAGAAGACTCCTGGTCGCAAACCCAAGGCGAAGGTTGACGAAACGTAAGAGATCCCCCTCCCCCTCCCCCTCCCCCTCTTCCCTCCCGCGCGTCGCGCAACCACTTTGCGACAATCTACTAACTAGTGCGACAGCTCGTCCGACGACAACGCCAAACCCGCCAAGGTCACCAGAACCCCCAGCAGCTTGGCACGCTCCGCGCGAACCACCTTCGAGATGCCCGCCTCGCCAGCCGTCGTGGCGGCGAGCATTGATCGCCAGACCGCCAAGGTGCGCGAGGGTCTAGAGAACGCCTGGGATGACAGTGGCCTTCTGGAGCACTCGTACTACATGCGCTCGGCCCTGAGCAGCCTCAAGGCCGTCGAGACCATCCTTATTCTCCTGGAGGGCGGCAGCTTGCTGAAGTCTCTCTTCCCGCTGCGCCATATGGCGACTTCGCCCGCCGTGGATGCGCTGAATCTCCCAGAGGTTGCGATCAAGGTGCCCGACATGTTCGTGTTGATCACCGGCGAGTTCTGGGCTCCTTTTGTCCTGTGGTCCCTCACCAGCGTGTTGCTGCCTTTGATTGCTGCCTGGTTCATTAACCTGAGCTGGAACGCTGCCACTGGTGGCCAGACTGTTCGTCGTGGTCGCTCGGCTGCTACTCGCGCTAGCTTTGACCCGCTCACCTTTAACATTGCCAAGGCGCTGTTGGTGTACAAGGTCTTCGTGGAGCATTTCAACTACTTCGATCTCTTCAGCAACTATACCATTGTCAAGGTCAACTCTGTTGTTCCTGGTCGCTGGAAGGGCATGTTGACCGGAACTGCCATTGGCGTTATCGGTACCCTGTACGAGGCCATCTTGCGGCGTTCGTAGGCCTGATGGCTTTGCTGCGTCTGCCCTGGTTTGTACAGGTGGTGGATGGTCAATTAGCAGACCATCATGGGGATTCGTTTTTCTGAATGGGTAGTGGCGAACGATGCGAATCTGCTGCGTATTTATTTTACATCCTTTCTCCTGTTTGCCCTGATGTTGGTCTGGTGTACAATCCAGACGAGTATTTCCCGTTGTTGGTTGATATCCTCTGTGTTTTGGAGGCGTGTAGTGGAATATCTGCCGCACGCTATCCCGTGTTTGTTGGTTTTGAAAGAGCTCGCGGATTAGGGTTCTAGTTTTAGTCACTGGGGTATGCGATGATGCGATATGTGATTCTGGGTTCTGTATTTTTGCCTTCTTTATCTTCTTGGTCTCTCGTTTCAGCCAGACAAGGCGCCTGGGTTTGGGTTATTTTCTGGTCTTGGTTCCTCTTGGAGGTTGTTTTTTTCTCTTTTTTTCCGACCTCTTTAATGTGTTTGGTCTTGGTTGAGTCATAAGGAGTATCAACAAGTATTATAGTAAACTTTGATTCTTATTTTGCCCAGACGTGGGAAATAGATATCATCCCCTTTTCAACCTCTCCGCCAGCTCCACCGTAAATAACACCGGCACCGATGTTTCGACCTCAACGGTATCCGCACGGATATGGTTGCTCGTTGAGATTTGGCCACCGATCTCTGTATGCCAATCCTGTACATCCCATTCAAATCCCCGCGTGGTGATTGACGCAGGTGCCGATATAGGAATGATACCGATGTTCTCTTCAAAGAAGTACTCCTGTTCTTGATGGTGTTTCCGTTTCCGAGATGTCTCACTTTCGCCGGCCTGCGACTCGAGAGATTCGGACTCGGCGTCTGCGCGCTTGGTTGCTGGCGTGCGGATGATATTATTCCCTTGCTGTAGAATGAATGTGATACTCTCCTCAGAGACGAGGTACAGGTTTCCACCCGCGGCGGGTTGGTTGTTTTGATTCTCAGCGTTGGGCTCATTTGCTTCACGAAGTTCTCGCTGCTTCTGCGTCATCATGTACAGATGATGGATCTGCGAGAAAGCTTGGTCGACACGGCCGCCTAGGCCTCCCAATATCACAATTTCAAGAGTTGAGTTTTGCGTTGGCTGAGATGGTGCACTGTTTCCAGCTACATTGTCTTGCTTGGCTGTAGATACTGCCTTCTGTTGTCGAGGAGAGGCGATGATCTCCGCAACATGCGCATTGAGATATTTCAGACACTTGGTGAAGTCTGTTGAATATTGATCTGGGTCTTCGACGATTGCCACACCCAGCTTTTCGTAGAACTGTTGTACTGATGGACGGAGAGAGTCCAGGTCACCGACTATCCTGTCGGGTAACTAGAGATTGTTAGCTTATATATCGGGGGTACATGCGGGACATTTTGCAAGACTATGAGACACCGAGTCTCAAGCTAGCATGGGTACCTACTTCTGTGGCCTCTTTTCCGAGCTTCTTCATCATGTCGTACAGCCGATTGGCACCTCCATCAGCGCAGATAATGAAGGATGCTAGATAGTAGTCAGAATGCGAACATAGTAATACACGTAACAGAGCAGACATAAAGCCTGGGATAGGACGAAACGCACCATGTTCACTTAATACGCCGAATGCGCTCTCATTAATTGGCTGATTCAGGATGAGCAGCGCATAAGGAGACGGGCTCCCCGTCGCACCAAAGAAGCGACTCGGATCCCACTCCATGACGGCGCTTGATGAAATGTGAACGAAGGGAGTCGCGTGTAACTGCTTCCGCGCAACGTGACTGGCTGGGGGCAACTTCCAACCTCAGGCCTCCACTTCTCTTCCCACCAACTTCACTTCCGCGATCTTCTTCTCCTCCCCTCCCTCGTCCTCTGGAGGTCCTTCGCGGATTTGTGTCCTTTGCAATTCTTCCCATCATGTTCCGACCCGCCGCCCGAGCGCTTGCCCGTGCGCCTACTGTTGCCCGTGGCCCGGCGAGCACCCGATTGATAAGCACTGGTCCGGCGCCGAAGTCGAGAAGCTGGAAGAATACCGCTGTTCGCCTGGGTCTGGCTGCCGGTGCCGTCTACTACTACAACACTAGCAATGTGTTTGCCCAGGAGCCGTCCTGTACGTCGTATCGCCGCGCTTTTTTGTTCCGGGAAGTGAGGCGCGAACTGTTCGGAACAGTCGCAACTCGGGGCCCATGGCGTTGGAGGAATTTTGCTAATTGGTCTCCTTTATAGTCTCTATCCTGAACTCCAAGAAAGAAGATGCCGATGACTCTTCCCTCCCCACCCTTGATTCCATCACCCCCAAGATCCGTCAAGAGCACGCTGCCCGGTCTCAGCCGAAGCCTCCTGCCTCCGAGGCTGAGAAGCTCGAGGGTGGCTTGGACGCCCAGAAACTTGAGGATGAGATGGATGAATCGGCCGCGTTCAACCCCGAGACTGGCGAGATTAACTGGGACTGCCCGTGCCTGGGTGGCATGGCCCACGGACCGTGCGGAGAGGAGTTCAAGGCTGCATTCAGCTGCTTCGTATACTCCAAAGAGGAGCCCAAGGGCATTGAGTGCATTGAAAAGTTCAAGTAAGTGATTACGATATCATCCCGGGATCGAAGCCGATGCTGACAATTTTGTAGGGGCATGCAAGATTGCTTCCGCAAACACCCTGAAGTGTACGGCGCCGAGCTAGAGGACGACGACGACGACGACGTCGAGGGCGGCGCTGCCCCCTCCGGACAAGCCCCGTCCGCTGCCGACATCGACGCCTCTTCCCACCCCGACGAGAAGCGCGCCCGTGCCAAGGAAGTCAAGGACCAGGTGAAGGCCGACAACGTCGACAAGGGCGAGCAACCCGAAGCTGAGGTCCTGGTTCCCAAGGCCGCCCACGACGCCGAGGACAAGAACTAAGTGCACAGCATTCCCGCATCTCTGATATTGACCCGGTGCCCCATGCGCTGCTCACTCCAATGCTAGTGGACAGGGATCGGGTGCGTGTATTATATAACAAAAAGTGCAAAAAGCCCTTGCCGTCTCCCGTCCTTGACTCTGCATTTCTCCTCTCCACGATCTTCTCAGCATTTCCATTCCCCCGTTCTGCGCTCCTATGTTGTTCCCAATCTTGTCTCACCGTGTAACTTAGTGTATTGGTATGCCCTGTGCTTCTTTGTGTTTCAGACACCAAAAGAGGTGAGATAGAATAGACCTGTTGCATCATGAATTTCTTTGTCTTCTACCGTATCCTCGGTTACTTCTTATGATATCTGTAATAACCCCGTTACAATAGAAGGGACAGGTTTCAACTTCTTAGTGGCAGTTGTAACCGCCACTATCAAATAGCTCGGTCCCTGCTTAGCAAGTACATAATAGAGTCTATCAGAATACTCAAATTGATACGACAAGAGGTTACGTTGTAAAGAATGAATTGGATAGGGATATGATATCGGCATTGCTTCTACTGTAGAGAAGTAGGAAGATGCCACTGAATGGGGAAACATGCGCATCGTGTTGTATCTTCATTCTCGTCTTGATCCTGGTCTTCGTCTTCGTCTTCATCTCCATCCTTCCATCTTCACCTCATCCTTTGAACCTGCTTCCGTCTGCCGATATGTGAAACACTAGCCTGCCAAGTTGTTTCGCTTCGCGTGAGTGATTTGTCTGGCTCGGGCAGTGCTATGGGTAAGAGATACGGATCATCCCACAAGGCGTTGGTCGCACACATTCGGACGACGAGCAGCTGAGAGTGGATGTACCTTGGAGACATCAAGGACTTTGAGCCCAGGGAACTGGTGGCTCCGTTGGGTACTCAACACATAAAGCTGTACAAGCACATGCAAGATCCCTTGCAGTGGTTTTTCCCGCGTTGAATCGTGGAAAAGACGTGCCATGGAGACAGAGATAAGGAGGTTTATTCCATACTCTATAGCATTATTACCAGTTCACATCGCTGAGTTGAAGCTTGCGGGACCGGAAGGCAGAACGGTTGGTAGCGGCCTTGTCCACTCGCTGGTTGGCGGGGATGCGCTTCTCGAAGGCTAGGTTCAGATGTTAGCAAAGATCGAATTGGATCCAGGGATAGAAGACATACTCTCAGCAGGCTCGGGCTCATTCGAAGCTTCGTAATTTAGAACCAAGTTCTTGATGCGCTGCTGCTCTTCCCGGTCAGCCGCCTGCTGGCTGCGCATAGCAACAGCAAACGTTGAATTGGAGGGCAGGTCGATGGTGCGAGTCTATGGGTTGTTAGTACCAAGCCTGATGAAAAAATTTAAGGACTATTCTTACCTGTTGCTTGTTCCCCTTCTTCGTCATCAAAGAGAACGCCATAGTCTTCGGTGCCACAGGTTCCGGCACAGGCGTTGGCGCCTCAGACGAAGGCTCGGTGGACTCGGCGGACTCGGCGGATGTAGCCTCGCGAGGAGGACGCTTCATGGGCAGAGGAATATCAAAGACAGCCTTGCGCTCAAAGCGTCTCGAGTCCACGCTCTCAGCCATCATCTTCTCGAATTCGCGATCGAACTCGGCCTCGGCTGCAGGGTCTCGCTCCTCTTCCTGGCGCGTGACGATGATCTGCTCGTCCTCGAAGTCGCTCTCGTCCTCTGCGTCCTGGTTGGGACCGGATGCCTCGGCTTCGTCGCTAGATTCGCCTTCCTCTTCAATTTCGGGTATTGCGTCGTCTTCCAGGCCTTCGTCGGAGGAGCTGCTCTCCGCGTCTTCTTCGTCGGGCTCGACGGGTCGCTCGGAGTCAGGCATGTTGTAATTTTCCGCAACGGCCTCACTGAATAGGCGGGTTGCCTCTTCGGGCTCAGTGGCTAACTTCCATGCGGGTCGAAGGGTGGAGAAAGTATCCTGGACCAGGAAATCCACGTCCATGGGCATCGGGTCCTTGGTGAAGAGGTAGTACTGGAAGAATGTGAGGAAGAAATCCAGCTTCTTCTTCGCCGAACCACGATCGAAGCAGTGGCCACATGTATCGAGCAGAGTGCAGGCCAGGCGAACACGGAAAAAGTCATCTGGAAGATCCAATAGGCTGATCCTTCCGGCGACAGGGGTCCCACCTTCGTGGCCGAAAGTGATGATGCGGTACAGCGTATCAAAGACGACAGGGGAATCAATCATCTTGTAGTTGTAAAGCTCGCCAAGGTATTTGACTTCGGCAATACGTTTCTGGTTGAATTTGAAGTCGTTCTGCTCGAGGCCCAGGGTGACTTGCTCCAGGACATTGTCGACAATGCCGATCACAAAGTCCTGGTGATAACGGTAGAGGGCGCTGACCAGGATTGCCAGGAGGTGAATGCTGCCGTACTTCACTTTGACCGGTTTGCTGAAGACATGTTCCAGGATTTCGATAACCTCCTGCTCCTCCCAATGGAGTTTGCGAACGGTTTTTAGGACCTTGGTATAGTTGCGCTTATTCATGTCCAGGTAGATCAGCCGGCGGATATACTGCTCCATCGGAGTCCGCTCTTTTTGCTGAATGGCGGGTCTGGGTGGGGGGTCGACATAGTAGATAGCATTCTCAATCACCATGCGCTCATTTTGGGCCAAGTGCTGGACAGCCTTCTTTCGACTCAGGGTCTCCAAGAAGGAGGCCATTCTCGGAGCAGTCTCCGGGTTGCGCAAGAGATAACGACCGCAGTTCTCCAGGAGATTACCAATAATCTCAATGTTCATGCGCGAGAAATCGTCGAGGGAGACCTTGAAACAGTGGAAGATGATGTGCTCGGGCACCACGCCAAATTTGGTCAGTTCTGCTAGGTAGCGTACATTGCCCATTCGCACTTGGCCCAGGAACTCCTTGGCTTTACGCCGCTGAAGACTCCGAAATTCTTCATCGAGGTAGGTCGTCAGTCCCTGGGGGATATCTGGCAGATACTGTCCCAAAGTGGCTACCAAACGCGAATACAGCGGCAAGAGATCAATACGTCCCTTGGGAATATCCGAGACGGCCTTGACAAGCCTATTGCGAGATGCCTTCGAGTTGACGAAACAAAAGTCCAACGCAAACTGGTCCACTTGATCTTTGGTTTGCAGTTCTGGAAGTTTGCCCAATAAAGCATCGACCTGAGCGCCAACAGTCTTGCTAGCAATTGCAGTTGACTGATCATCCGCGTCTGCGGCAGCTTTCTCCTCCGATGTCTCCGGCTTCTCCGTATCGGTCGAAGTATCGCCATCAGTCTTCTTCTTTGTGGACTCTTCCGTCTCGCCTTTCTTTTTCTTGCCATCTTCGAGCAGAACCGCAGGAACCTTTCCTTTTAGATCAACAAGGTTTTCGTAAAAACGTCGCTCTTCCTCATCTTCCCAGGTACCAGCACCATCGCCCTGTCCACGAAGGTAATCCGTGGTTTTCACGAGGCCGATTCCTCCACTTGAAGATGCGTCTGCGGTTTCTTTTTCCACTAAATCGGGCATCTCGGCCCCCAGGGCCTCACAGAGCACCTGGGTATTGGCCACGAGTTTCTCCAGGGATTTGGTCTGCTTTTCGAAATTCGCCTGGCGATCTTCGAAGATTTCACCACTCTTGACGTACGCTTCGGCATTCCGACGGCTCTGGCTTGCCAGCGCTTTCTGGTCACGAACCACATGCGCCTTGACATCATCCAAGTACCGGTTCAGAATATTCTTAAAACGCTGCTGGGTTTTTTCTGGTGTCAATGGCGGATCCGTCTCGGCGGCGTCTGTGGCGCCTTCTGTATTCTCCTGTTCGGTACCGGCGGTCGTAGTCGTAACACCATCAGCTTCCACGGTCTTCCTACCATCCTCTGCAAGTTTTGCACCAAGGATATCCCAACTGAAGCTCTTAACGAAAAGCACCGCAAGCGGCAAATTGGCATGGTCACGGTCGTGCCCTAGTAGCTCTTTCAAGACCTCCAGCGGGAACGGCTCGGCCTGCTTATCTTGATCCTTCGCAGCAGCAACGGGCCTCTTGAGCGGGGCATCTGGCAACTTGACAGCGATTCCAGAAACAGTCTCTTTGGCTTTCGCGCCAAGATCCTCAGGCCGCTCCACATCGTCCAGCGTCCTGAGAGCACTGACAAGCCATAGCTCCGTAACAATGCGCAGTAAAACCCGGTGTCGTGACAACCGTTCCTTCTCCTCGCGCTCGCGCAGCTCACCTGTCAAATTCTTAAGCGCTGCTTTATCCGGGGAGCTCAGACCGCGGCCGAGCAGCCAACCGATCTGCCTAGTAAACTCCGCAGGACCGAACCGCTGATGTAGCGCACTGACAATCTCGACGCCGACGGCGATTTCACCGGGCGACTTGAGTTTGCATAGGCCTTCGTAGCAGGCGGAGATGATCTCGGACAGATACTTGTGGAGCGAGAGGGTGCGGATGTCGGATAGGAAGGTGGACTGTGCAGAGGCGCTGACTCCAGTGCGAAGACGTTTAATGAAAGCGGTATTCTTCTTCAGGGCCGAGTCGAGGGACTTGCTGACGGGGAAGACATCTATGGCGGTGGCGGGTCAGTAACTGAAGACCAAGTCAGACCGACAATGGAATGACGGTGTTTCGTACCTGTTTCACCAGCCCAGGCTCTCTCGTTAAGATCGCGAAGCTCCCCTAGAGAGAAGAAGATGTCAGTAGCCGATCGCGGAGACCTGGAGTGGCTCTCGCATACTTTTCTTCTGCCGGTCCATGGCCATGAGTGCGGTCGGGACCTTTTCAATCAAGAGGACCCTTCAGAACGTCAAGGAGATAGAGGTGACGTGTTCGCCACATTGGGGAAAGGGGAGGTAAGTGCAGCAGAGCCTGGTACAGAGAGATCGGGGAGGGTTGAAGCTCCTTGTGCGGGCGGGATGTTCCCAAGGCGGTGCGGAGATGGACTTTTTATCGATCCACTACGTAGCTACCATCTTTCATCTTCAACCTTCACGAGAATGACATGATAATTTGAACTCAGCTACTAACACACAGGCCCTCATCAAGATCTCACTTCCTCTCTTCTTCACTTCGCTTTTATCAATGTTCTCCTTCAGTGACCACTCTCGCTAAACCCAGACTCCCGGCCCTGCTCAACCTCCATCAGTCGTTCCTGCATCTGGTGCTTCTGATCCTGCTGGCTCCAGCTCTGTCGGCGATCGAATCGTGGTGACCAAGGATGCTCGGATACAGCTTCCTGGTTGGCACCCGGTGGATCATGAATCTCATTAGAGATGGTCTGCATTGGAGGGGTTGTTTGTTCTCGAGACCGATCTGGGAATGGACCCTGGTGGCTAGTGGACTGCATAGTGCTTGGAGTTTGGAATATCCGTCGATGAGGTTTGATCTCAGTGAATACCCAAGTCAAGGATTGGGAAGAAATAGTTTACAAGAGAAGTCTGGTTTAGGCGTTGATGCGGGGTCTGATACTCCCAAGTGGCGAGTGTGGTGACGATGTAAGTAAGGATGGCTGGGTACTCTTTGAGGTACATTAGGAATTGCTCTAGACGAATAAGCAACAGTTAGTACTTTTCAATGTAAATGCTGTTAATTATTTGCCTTGTACAGCCGCTAGGGGCTGGCGGCGATTCATCATATGCCTGGCATTGAAAACGGCATTTGATGTTGCTATCATGAAGCTATCCCAAGTACCATGAGCATAACCCCCGCAACAAGAAAAATCCTTGGCACTTGGAATCAAGAAAAGTCAGCAAGCTGCCGTGGCATGGCTTATCTGTGTAATCTTAATGAAAATTAGCTGACCCTAAACAACATCCACGACTCAGCTCTACAGACAATACATCACCAGTACATCCGGGATTCAAGATACCCTACGAACCCAATATTGACTAAGACTTTTGAAATTTAGCAAGCTACCGTACAAGTCATGACAGCATCGAACCCTCAAGCGAAGGCCGTGGCAAGCAACAAGAACAAAAAGCAAGGATAAGATACATGATCCGCACCCACAATCCAAGGTTCAAAGACCACAACACGTATCAAGAGCAATTGAACGTATCAATAAGCACCACAAGGATCAAAAGGGGCGATCGACAGGTCAGCGCAAGGAAAAAGGGTAAACAGAAACAAGGCCGTCGAGTCCGGGAAAACATCATGCATTGAAAAGCAGCTCAGTCAAGTCCCACGGGACATAAACAAAACGATACACAGGACTTAGGAGCACCATACATCGTACATCTCCATGCTAGAACAGAAAAGTATTTCAATGAATCAAAAAAGGATTAAAATCAGGGTATGCCTCACGCCACGCTATGCGAGTCACCGAGCCTCTAGGGGTGACTAAGAATACTGCAAATATGTACCGAGAAAGCCGATCCGATGGGAACGGAAGAGCTGGAATTCTTCTGTTGAAGAGCCGTGAGCCAGGCAGTTTATTTCGGCTTGCGCCAGAAGTATTGCTGTGATGTGTTAGTTATGGTAGGCCTGCATTGGAGGCGGAGCATACATACCTTGTGTTGCTTGCGGCAGTTACGCAGACCGGGCTTCCTCAGGTTATTCACGACCGTCTCACGACGCATCTCATCGTCGTCAAAGTCCGGGATGTAGTAGTACTCGCTCTCGAGAGGCTTGCCCGCAGCATCTTTACCTTCACGCGCAACCTTCCCGATACACTTTGTGTTTTCGAGGATATAGCGGATTTCAGCCCGGGCTGGGCCAGAGTGGTTGTGTGGGTTCGATTTCCAGAACGAAGGGGGAAGATTGTTGAGGATGGTGGAGAATGGGGTCGAAGACAGACGAGAGAAAGCAAGCTGGTTCACAGCATGGTTGCGGACTCGGTCGAAGCTTTCGTCTTCGGGCTGAGACCGAACCTTTGTTGGGGTATGATCATCGTCCTCGTTTTCATCCTGGATTCTGGAAGGCTGTCGGGGAGACCGTGTGGGCTGAAGGGGCTGGGCAGGCAGCAGGCGCGGCGAGGGGACAGGCGAGTCACCTGCATGGAAAGAAGCCATACGAGGAAGCAAATTTTCACCGAAGGGGCCGAAAGAGTGGATGATAGGGTCGTTTTCCTCGTCATTATCGGACTCGTCCTCGGGTCTACTGAGGTCGCTAGATTGAGAGCTCTGGAGAAGGGCAGCAGCACGGCGAGCACTCTGGGAAGTAATGCCACCAACGGTATTATGGCGTTTCAAAGGAGAGCCTTCATCCTCATATACCACAACAGCAGCACGGACACGGGAGGGGGTAAAGATTGGGGAGGATGGCGGGATAGCACGCTCCACGGCAGGCGACGGCGAGACGGGGGAAGCCAGACGCTGGTTTTCAGCAAATGGACTCTCCTGCAGGGCTCTCATAGCTCGCTTCTGGGTAGGAGTCGCTTCATCGCAAGTCTGTTCGGAGTCTGTGGACGGACAATCCTTCCTATCATTCTCAGTGCGAGGCCATTGGACCAAAACACGAGCCTCATGCACGTCAATCATAATGTCCGCATCCTTGATATCTGACGTGAATGTCTTCCCCTTAGCCAGGTCATACTTCTTGCCCTGGCAGTGAATCTTGATCCCATTCCATCCCATGCACATGATCTCAACCCTATCCCGGTCGAAGGGGTTCGGTGCCGGCTTGTAGGTTGCCTTCACATGAACGCGAGAAATCATGCGGCTGGCAGCCAGCTGATGTTGGCACGAAGCACTGGATCGACCCATGAGCAGGGGCTCACCGTTCTCGGGCAGCATGAGTGTAGGCACGGCCAACAGGGGAGTTCGCTCGGATACGGCAGAGAAGGTACGACGCGCCGACGCGCGAGAGGCAGCGATACCGGGCGGCGAAGAGGACATAATATGTGTGGAGGAGGTCGGGACAGGGGTAGGATATGTCGACACGGCGGGTTCGCGTGCAACACGCTTTTGGGGCCTCGGAAGAGAGGGCGACGAGGACAAGGGCTCAAAGGCAGGCAACAGGGAGGCCGGACGCTTGACGCCAGCCGCTGGAGCCAGCGAGCTCCTTGACGGAGAAGAATCCATGACTGTAGAGTGGTACCAAATCCACACGAGCTCCTTTTCTTTAGCGAGGACTTGAGTCGAGCTCAAGGGACTCGCGTCACCGTGTATTCCCTATGGAAAACAAAAAGGATGGAGACGTGTAGAAGAGGACCAAAATCTCTTCTAGAGAAAAGAGTAAGGTAGGGAAAAAGAAATTGGAGGGGAGAAGGGAGGAAAGGGCTTGGGAGAAAAAGGTGAAGAAGGTGTGTGGTGGTGGAATGCCCTGGGGCGGAGCGTTCTCGTTCGCCCTGCGCGGAAATGCACGCTTACAGCCCGAGACGCGTTCGATAGGCGCCGATGAGGGTTCACGGGCTCCACTACCCTTTCACAGTCCCAATTGACCTTTCCCAAGCTGCTTGTAGAAACTATCTTTTCGGTTTTGAGATGTGATTTTACAACGCGCGTGAATCACGCTATATAGGACCAAATATTGGAGCTGTCGTCGTTCTATACTCGAGATCTGACAAAGCGCGGTCGCGTCTGAAGTCACGTGCCCGTGGATTCGTGACCGCACGCGAGTCGGAGTATGCAGTATGACAGTCTCCTCCGGGTATGTCTGGTAGTCGTGGGTGGCATCTGTGACCTCAAATGGCTTCAATTAAATGCTTGAAATAATTTGCTCACCTCACAAGAGTATGTTGTGGTGTTAGTAGAATTTCCAGGGGCAGCTACGACATCTATCATAGCCCCCGGCTTTAGAACCTAGACAAATGATGGATAAACCAATTTTACACCATACCCATGAGACTTGAAATTTAAAGCAGGGTTTCGGTCTAGCTGGCAAACCTTTCGAATTAATTTCGACACGCTTGTCAAATTCTGCTCTGCGGGGCTCAAACGCGGGCGCGCGGTGACCGTTACGCCCACTTCCACCGCGACGGACAAAGTGGAACAAGACACTCTCGTCATCATTTCGGGCGTTCTATGATTCGCTGTTTCAACTGGAATGACCAAAAAAAAAATCAAGATCAAGGGATTCACGTTGTACTCACAGCATTTGGGGACAATTATCGTGGCGTTGAAACTTTCAAGACACTGGTGGTAAAGACTGTCAAGATACCAAGCAGTTGACTAACCAAGATTGATGTCACCACAACATAAAACACTTTGACACAATTCTACAAGTATTTGGCTTTCCATGCATTTCAATTATTGAGTCCCTGTCTGCTTTTCCGGGGATTTTGATTGGCATGGTTTTTAAGGATCTGAACTACCGGCGCCCAAGGGCGCCAAAGAGTCAACGTCAGACAAGTCAAGGAGGCATTCCATATGCCAAAACTGCGTGGCCGAAAGTGGTCCATAGCCACCTCTACTTCTAACCTGACCTTGTCAATACGCAATTCGAGAATGCAGCTAAATTACCGGTCTGGATCTCCTCCGTAGTAGCTCCAATTAGATTTTAATGAAGCTTTGAAGTTGAGCAAATACAAAGCGAATCTAAAATTCTGTTCAGGTCCAGCGAGTGCGTATGCAATAAATCTAATTTTTCCACATCGGCATACATCTGCGAAATCCATTTGGAGTGCTGGAATGATGCATTATCTATGACCAGGACAAATTTTGGCTCCGGCCCAAGTCTGATGGACATGGAGGGGCACTGAGGTAGGTGTGTATGTGAGTTTTTCGCAATATACAGTATTGTACGTAGTTGAATCGTTCAATTATTGTAAAGAGCGGAAGCTAATTATATATAACTTAACCTAATACAGGTCTGGGTAGTTTTTGGCTGATTTGTAGGCCTATAGGTCTACATTTTGCCCCATGCTCAGCATCTAGGGCCTTTATGCTGACCACGAGGCAAAATGTACGGCCGAAGAAACAAAGCATGAAGGTCTGCGGGTAAGGATAAAGAAATGAAGGAGAGGAGAAGAAAAGAAGAATATGGGTTCGTCGGATACGACGGGTGCCTGGGTACGTTTAAGTGAAGGTAGTGTAGATGGAAGAGACTCACGCCCCAACCACGGGTCTAGAAGTTTGAGGGTGAGTGGTTGATGCCAACACGCTCCCGGTCGAAGATGGTGTCGAAGATGATTCGAAGGCTTCGAGATCCAGCACTGTTGCTAGGCCCTACAGGGTGGAATGTGAGTGCCACCCACCATTTGCAAATGGCAAGGGGTTGTATCTTGCCGGTAACGTATGCCTATCTGGGTATTATTCTACTTGCCGGGCAAGCTTTTGTAACTTAAGTCAGATAGATGTCATTGACTGACGATTCTTGGGGCGAAAATAAGCTTAACACCGTTTTGTTTGTAGCGCGGGATTCATCGCGTTGCACTTGTGACCCGCCGGCGATGTGATTGGATGCAGTGCGACTTGTGCCGTCATTGACATTTCGCGTCAGCATCACCGTTGTCGACAAAGATCCCTTTAGTTTCCCATGGATTTTGCCAGGTGAGAAGATTTCTCTTCATGAATACGTGCAATGAAGCTACTGCTGCCTCTATATTTGGCGTTATTCAAATAAGCGGCCAAGGGACATCATCAAGCTCAAACCAAGCTTCATGGCCTCCACAGTCTCATCTTACCTTTACCCATATGCCCAACAACTTGCACTCCATGTCCTTCGGCGTATCTCGGGTGCACACCTGAAAGTCATTATTGCGTATCAGGATCCTTCAGAAGTCATCCAGGTGGGGGATATTGATGGCTCCGAGCAACCCGAATCTACAGTGACCCTCGTCGTCCGAAATCCTAAACTATGGATGAGGATTTGTTCGTGTTTAGACCTAGTACGGCTCAATCGGTCGCATCAAAAAGTCAATATCATGGCACTGACCTACTGAATCCTTTCAAATAGGGGTTTGCAGAGGCCTACATGTTCCAGGAAGTCGACTGTGATAATCTAGGTAAATTATTCGATGTACGTCCATTCATGGCCTTGGACCTTTCATAACAACCTACCTTCCGAAGCCGAAGCCGTCTAACCAATCCAGTAGATTTATATCAAGAACAAAAGCCGCCTAGGTTCCGGCAATCCTATCTTCCAGCTCCTCCCTCGCCTTGCATGGCTTCTCCAACCAACCAATAGCATCCGGGAAACCCGCCAAAACATTACATCCCATTATGATACCTCCAATACACTCTTTGCTGCATTTCTTTCCCCGGACATGAATTACTCCTGCGCCCACTGGGACGGTGATCCACTCGAGTCACTGGAATCGGCGCAGAACCGCAAGATCAGGAATCTCCTGACCAAAGCTCAGATCCTGTCCTCGCATCATGTGCTGGATATTGGCTGCGGATGGGGCGATTTGGCAATCAAAGCTGCTCAGATAACGGGCTGCCGAGTGACAGGGCTGACTCTGTCAGACAAGCAGAAGGAACTCGCGGATCAAAGAGCCAAGGACGCCGGCGTGCAAGATCGGGTGCGCATACTGCTTTGCGACTATCGAGATGCTTCCGGACCGGAACAAAATGGTGGATTCTACGACCGTGTAATCTCAGTGGGAATGTTTGAACACGTCGGCCCTGAATACTTGGACCAATACTTCGAGGTAATTTCCCGACTTCTGCACCCTACTCACGGGCTAATGGTCGTTGATGGAATTACCATGACCAATATGGTATGTATAAGACCAGCTTCTATTCCACTACCTCTAAAGTGCAGTAAAAGACTAAGCGGTTCTCTGGCAGCTCCGCGAGACCAAATCAAATGTCCCGACATTTATCGGCCGCTACATCTTCCCCGGTGGTTACCTACCAACAATTCACATGCTCCTGAGTTCCATCCACCAGGGTTCTGATGGAAGCTTGGAGGTCACTTCCGTGCAGAGTATCGGTCCTCATTATGGGAAGACCCTGTCTGCATGGCGAGAAAACTTTCTCCGCAACTGGAAGACAATCGAATCGGACTATCGTGCCGCACACCATGAGGCGTCAGATTCAGAGGTAGAGAAATTTCGTCGACTATGGCTATACTATTTTAGTTATTGCGAATCGGCGTTTCGTGGGAGACTGCTGGGGAATTACATCATTGCTGCAGCCAGGACGCCAGAGCCGATGGTTGAGTACGGTGCTAGCCTTGAGCAGATGATTGAAAATTAAGTATTGGGTAACTGTGTTTCAATCTAGGTACATAAAGATCATCGCCAAACTTCATTACCAGGGGCTATATTGTAGTGATTTAGCCTTTCTAGTTCTCTTGCCATAGCAGGATATCGCCACATTCGCACATACCAACCTTTGTAGAGCTAGAAGTTGGTGTCGGATTAGGTGGAACGGCGTACAGGTTAACGTTAAGACAATTGAATCTAGTCTCTTGAAAGCCAAAGAATTTAGCGTTCGCAAATTACAAGAGGCAATCCCCTCCCAAAGAAATATGTAGAACTCTACGCAGGCCCTCTGCGTTGCCCCTCAGCGGGGGCATCCACCGTAAGTTCAATAGATTAAGCCCGACAATGTCGCGCGGCCACTCACAGAAAGAGCACGGATACCTCACATGTTGGTTAACATTTTTAGAGAAGCACTTCATACAATCGATCATGCAAATCAGTGGCGCAGATATGACGACTGGGGTAGGGTCTGGCCATCTCCAGGCCTTTTTGGATATGTAGATCACATTCCGAGGAAGATCAGCAAGGAATTTAGGTTACTGTGGAAATATCATAGTTGATCGTTTGCCATTTCAATTCAAGGGATTTAGATCCATGTGTTGCCATCGTGCTGAGTGCACTGGGGGTCGCGTGGGGTGCGTGGATCTGTCCTGAGGTACGCGTGGGTCACATCTCGGTGACTATTAGCGTGATGAAATCATAGTTTGGAGAACGGGCCAGTGGAAGAAAGATTTGTAAATCATGGTATAAGACAGACGATAACAGAGCGCAGCGCAAGTAGACCTGGAACCCATTCGTATTCCTTTTCAAGGACATAGACCAGCTATGTCCACAGGCCACAGTCTCCAGTCAAACGGACGAGCACTATATCGAGCACGCAATCAAATAGCCAAACAAAGTCAATTGGAAAGACCATCCAGGTTCCTTCCATCAACAAAAGAAAGAAAACAATGGATAGATCTGATAATCAGATTGTTTGCACTTGAGGTACTGAGATAAACGTAGCCATAGAGTCTCCGGAGGGTCGGAGACATCCGTGAAAGAAAAAAAAATAACAAGGATTGAATTCCCTCCCCAAAGGCCCACATCAAGCACAAGATAAAATTTAAGATACACAGAAGAAAGCAACCCTTCAAGTAACAAACCGTGATATGGACAAAACAGCACTGGGCACGAGTCAAGGGTTGCCCCTCTCCAAGGCTCCAATGGCGTGTTCAAAGGATAAAAATGATAAAAAGCTCATCCAAATCCGTGGACCTTTCTATTTTCTTGGGTCGGAAATAGGGGCATCATGAGACGCTTAGTCGTAGAAGACGAAGTAAGCGTTGCCAGAGGACGAGCTGGCCTGTGAGAGAGAATGTGATTAGTCGAGACACTTGCGATAGAAAGAGAGTCTTGTGGAACTTACAGTGCAGCCGTTGCCGCTGGAGATCAGACCCTCGTTGTTGTAGAAGTTGCCGTTGCCATCATAGCTGCAGTTGTCGCTGAGGTCGTCACCAATCAGCTTGACCTTGAAGTCAAGGTCGGCGTTGGTGGTGGGCTCGTTCTTGAACATGGAGAGCCAAGTGGAGCCGGCACTGTAGCCAACACCGAAGTTCATGGGGGCCCAGTTACCAACGGGCTGGGAGCCGTCACCCCACTGGCAACCCTGCTCGACGGAGACGCCCTTGTTGTTGACGTAGTATTGAGCGGAGGTGGTCTTACCCTCCCACTTGAAGTAGGTGGCACCGTTGGGGCAGGTCAGAGGGTTGGTGCCGCCGGCAGAAGCGAGGAGAGGAATGGTCTCAGACTCAGTACCAGGGTAGTCAGTACGGCAAACAGCAACGTTTTGGGACAACTCGTTGCGGATGTTGACACCACCAGTACCGGGGATACAGATCTTCTTGGAGAGAGTGGGGTTGGTGAGGTAGAGCTTGCCGTCCTTGCACTGAAGACCACCAACGGACTGGCCGGTGGCGCCCTGCTCAGAGGGCCACTGGGACTTCTGGTAACCAGCAGGGCAGGCGTACGAGCACATGGCGCCGCTGGTGCAGGTCTGGCCAGAGACAGCGGTGACAATGTCACTGATCACCTCGTCCACGATAGAAACGTACTGGACACCAGCCCAGCCACCAATGCCGAGGTAGTCGAGGGGAACGGCACCGTAGTCGGAGGGGAAGGTAGAGCAGTCGAGCTCTCCATCGGGGAAGTCAGAGTCGACACCGGCGCCACCAGAGCTGGGGCTGAAGCTGGAGCTGGAGGAGCTGCTGGTAGCAGGGGCCTGGTAGGTGGAGCTCGAGCTGGAGCTGGAGGTCGAGCTGGTAGTGGGCTCCACGGTGCTGGTGCTGCTGGAGGACGAGCTGCTAGGGGTGATGGCAGCGGACGTCTCAAGCAGAACCTGGGGAGCAATGGTGGAGGTCGGGGTAGGGGTGACGGTGCTGGAGCTAGTGCTGGTCGGGCAGGCAGCGGGGATGGGGCCGTCGAGCCACTCCAGCTTGTGGTCAGCGAGACCGGCACAGGCTTCATCCAGACTGATGGCCTCGGTGGAGCCAGACTTGCTGGGGTCCATAACAACGAAATCGTACACGGTGGGACCGGGAACGGCGACGGTGTTGGTCTCGGTCTCAACAGCGCGCTGGTGGAAGTGAGCGTGGCCGTGGCCGTGAGCGGCCGCCAGCGAGCCTGCCGTGGCAAGGGACACGGCAACGGAGTTGGTGAACTTCATGGTGAGTTGGGATCGGTGTCAAATTGTGAATCTGTAGGAAGAGGAGTTGAGTCAGTGAGTGCGATCGCCAAGTGACTATTGCAACTTCATGTCATTTCGTCGCTGCCTCGGGTTCTCCGCGCTTTCAACCTATTCAAGATTGACCGCGCATTGAGTACCAGGCTGACGCGACGGAAATTTCCATTCTCCTCCGCATCATATCCTCCATGTCGATCCGAGGGTGTTGTAGGGAACGGTCTCACGTACATCAACGGCAAACCAGTCGCGCGCTTCGAAAAGGGCTGTACAGATGGGAAGGGAGAGAGCGACAATTGTTTTCCAGTAAATGAACGTGGTAGAGAGACGAATCCCTCAGGTCGGATGGGAAAACTTCAAGGTTGGAGGAAGGAAGAGAAGGGGAAGAAGAGAGGAAGGGAAACTCCAGGGGCGAGGGAGGAGTCGGGCCACAATACACAGCGATACGCCCCACGGAGGAACAAAACGCTAAAAAGGGGTGAGACAAAGCCCCGAGTGGACCCCCGTCATTTCTTTAACGATCCAAGCTGGCCTCGACCGGCCTGACTACCTTGGCATTCTACTGTGTACACAAATACTCTTTCCGTTTCCTACCGCCCCATGAATCCCGTCGACACTATGGATCCTATGGAAATGGATACCGTGGGCCGCGAGATGACGAGTTTTGGTTATTTACCTTCACAGTTCGCTGCCGAAATTACCATTTCCAGGGGTCGGCCAATCAGCTCCTGCAGACGGGCAGGCGCCAGGAGACGGGGCCCCACTCGTGCCAGGCACACCAATCACGCGCCCGGATGGCCCCCGAAATTCCTCGTGTATCCATGGGTACCGTTTGGTATTCCCCCCATGTCTACTCCGTCCTCTTTGAACATGTGCCACTGCCCGCCGACTCCCGTAATGTGTGACTGTATGTTATCGGCCTTTGCTCGTACTCTCTCTCCTGCCAAGCGACCGTTGCGGAGCGTAGTCCATACTGCTCCGCAAGGTTAAATCTGCACATCTGATGATCCCACGCCAGGGGCTGTGTCTCCTGGCAGGCCCCGTCTTGCTTTTACTGTAGGGGGAAATTGCGTCCTGACTCCCCAGCTTCCCAGCTTTCCACCCCAGCCTCCGGCTTCGTTTGTAACTGCCGGCCTAAAATTTGGTCTTGGGAGTGAGCTAAGCCCGGAAGGGGCATTCTGCCCCCTATACGCCTGGGGACCGGGAAGGTCCACAAGGATCACGATTTCGAGCGATTGTTTAATTAAGACCGGACACTTCTCCAGACTCCTGGTTCTCCCGCTGTGAACTGGGACTGACGTAGAACTGAGAACCCGCATGCACCGCAGATGAACACCGACAATCAACCCGCGCTCGACCCCTCGATAGTCGGCCTTTCAAATGGCGATAAGCGCCTAGGGGCCTGCTTCGTCGATCCGCAGCAATCTTAATCGTCCGCGTCATGGCTCCTTCATTTCCCGTCCATTACAACTAGGTGTATTCCCCCTGAATCGTTACATACATACGGCGGTGACTGGGATTCCTGCGCCTTTCGTATCTGAGACTCCATCTGGCCGGCCCATGCTCCTGTTGAATCAGCCTCTAATATGTTGCACGGCTTGGCGGTAGGGCAGATGCAATCAACCAAGGCATCATAGACGATAATTGATAAGGCATTACTATACCCCGTAATGAATACACAATAGTACATTCAAGCGAACCGACGACCCCATACTCCGTCAGACCCGACAATACTGGTGCCTATCTTATAGATCCAGCCTTGGCCTGCTACCTTGGCCTCCTAAACCCCGGCAGTTTTCTATACTGCGGCTATCCTCACCGGCCCGACTCGCCCCTTGCGAGCCAGCCTCCGAACTCTTCGGGGTTCCTGGGGCCCTGAGGCCGCTTTTCTTCGGTGGCGCATTATTACTAGCGGTAGTTGACGTACCTCTCTTTGCTCCACCGGCTATGTTTCCGCTCAGGATCTGAAGATGAGCTTTTAGGGTGTGACGGTTTACATCCTGCCGAACCCGATCACGTTAAAGTCGACGTCAGGTCTTTATCACATTTTAATTGTTTTTGGGTCCTCTCTTTTGCATCGTTTGTAATTCCAAACGCGTTGCCAGCTGTTTGTTTGAGCCCGACTGGTCCTTGCGGAATGGGCCTGCAAACAAACTGCCTGTCTCACCTCGCTGCCGCAGATTGCTATAGCACAATTCGGATGTAGGATTTGCCACTTCCTCTCGGTTGAACTGTGGCCGGCAAGGCTCAGCCAGCGGTGGCTCTGAGCCACTATAAATAGCAGGCTAAGCCGCATTGGCACCCCTCGTGTGGCTCGCTCGGGACCGTGTGTGGCTTTTTTTAGAAAGAAGATCGTCGATTTGTAAAATGTGTGCTTGCAGGGTCTGAGACAATTTCAGACCATGACATGCGCCATAAATGAGCTTGTAAGATATCTGAAACGTTGCCAGTTGCAGTGCGGGTCATCTGGGACGTAGCGGCCGTGCTTTGCAGGCATCACGTCTCGTTCGATTCTAGTGACGCATGGTAATTTGATTAGATTATGTTGATATTTTAGATGTGTACATTGAATAGGATTTGGTTCTCGTGCTGCCCATGTCGGCCTTAATTGTTTAAAATTGTTTCCCTTTTTTTGGGGGGGGGTTTTTTCAGGAGAGTAACTGTGGTGCAGGTATTCAGTAGACAATGGTTGTGAATATATATCCAACGTACCGAAGTTCCCAAAATGCAAAAACCAGCCTAATCACCAAGTACCTACCTTAGAAAGCGATGTAATACCCACTAGCCACATCTACCTGCTTTAAATCCTTGTTCACCACCTGGAGAACCCTACATATGTAATCAAATACTAAACTTGTGAGGACCGAAACTGGACCGGTCATGCCTCAGGCCAACACAGGTCCAGACTAACCATTATGCCAAGCCCGGGCAAATCGTCACCGCCTTCCGAGAATTTTTTTTTTATCTTCGATAGCATCGCCGAAAAATCGAGTCGAGTCTACAACCCGACAAGATGCCGTCCTCTACTGCCCTCACCTCCAAGGTGTCTACTGGATCACCGTATCAACTGGACACACCCCAGGTTTGTGACAATTACCCCCAGAAAACCCAGCGCACCTACTAATTGTTGATAGGTTGTCAAAGCCTCGTCCGCGCTGCTGCGCCATATCAAGTCGAACCAGGAAGCGAAGGAAAAGTCCGCGACCAAGAAGACGCTGATCGGCGACAACGATGAGGACTCCGATGATGAGGAGACTCCTCTCAACAACGAAGCCATCTGGCTCATTCTCACCACCAAGAAGCACGTCGTGGACAAGAACCGCCTGAAGCCCGGCAAAATCACCATCCCCCACTCCCTCAACTCTTCGCCCTCGCTCAGTGTGTGCCTGATCACCGCCGATCCCCAGCGCAGTGTCAAGGACATTGTCGCCGACGCCTCATTCCCCCAAGAACTCTGTTCGCGCATTGAGAAGGTCATCGGTTTCGGCAAGCTGAAGCAACGCTACCAGAGCTTCGAGAGCCGCCGCCAGTTGCTCGCCGAGCACGATGTCTTCCTCGCCGATGAGCGCATCATCACCCGCCTTGTTCCTACTCTCGGAAAGATTTTCTACAAGTCCAGCAAGCGTCCCATCCCCATTCGCATCCAGAAGATTGAGAAGGTGGACGGCAAGCGGGTCAAGCAGGACCCCAAGAAGAAGACCAGCAAGGAAGAGAAGCACGCCGAGTTTGCTGCTCCCCTCATTGTCGCCAAGGAGATCGAGCGCGCATTGCACAGCGCCCCTGTTCAGCTCGCTCCTTCTACCAGCACCGCCATCCGTATCGGCTCTTCCAAGTTCACTGCTGAGCAGTTGTCGGACAATGTTGCGGCCGTTGTCAAGGGTATGACCGATAAGTTCGTTGCTAAGGGCTGGAGGAACATCAAGAACATTCATATCAAGGGTGCCAACACCACGGCTCTGCCCATCTGGCTGTCTGATGAGCTGTGGGTGGACAACGCCGATGTCTTGGAAGACGGTGCCGAGACCGCTGCCATCGAGGATGGCGCCAAGGCCAACAAGAAGCGCAAGTCCACTGGCGACGAGAAGGCGATTGAGGGAAAGAAGACTAAGAAGACCAAGTCTGCTGATGACGAGGACGAGTCTGCCGAAGTGGCGGCACGGAAAGAGAAGCTCCAGAAGCTCAAAGCCCAGGCCCTTGAGGATGGGGAGCCGGTCAAGGCCGACACATCCAAGGCTGGCAAGAAGAAGAGAAAGTCCACCTCATGAGCGGGTCTAATTTGTTCTTTACCTAATGTTCTGCATGTAAAGGGTATCTTCGGCGTACAAAATATATCACGTGTGTTTCATTATGACTATATTCTGTTCACATTATGCATATTTCTATTCCAAAAAATCCTGGTATAGAAGTCAAGTAGAACAGAACGCAATATTGACTAGAATAGACTCGTCCATCGCGTCATACTCTAGGATGTGATGCCTGCATTAGCCGAGTCCGACCTCGGGAGTGCGGGTCTTGGCATCCCGACGATAACCACATCCTCAGATCACCGCGGATCACCGAGACTCAAACTCGACCAACTTCCTAACACATTGGGAGAGTAACATCCTTTCACCACCGTTCCGTTGTCCCCATGATTCCTCTCGCCAGACACTCCGTTCTGCGGGCTGCCCGCTCGCAGATTTTCCCCACCCCGACCCTGAGACAGCCCGCTTCGTCGGCCCTCGCCCGTCTCCTCTCCACCCTCGCCGTTCTCGAGCAGCGCGATGGCAAGCTGCAGAACTCCTCCCTCTCCGCAATTGCGGCTGCACAGAAGCTCGGTGGCCCCGTGACGGCCTTCGTGGCTGGCTCTGGTGTTAAGAGTACCTCTGCTGCCGAGGCGGCGAAGATTAAGGGTCTTGACAAGGTTGTTGCGGTCGAGAACGATGCCTATGAGAAGGTACATACTACGTGCAAAGCCCTTAGATATAGCTCATGCTCATCTCTCATTTCCCCTCGATCTTTAGGGCCTTCCCGAGAACTATGCCCCTCTTCTCGTTGAGAACATCAAGAAGGGTGAATACACCCACATCATCGGTGGCCACTCGGCCTTCGGCAAGAGCCTCCTGCCCCGCGTGGCCGCTCTTCTGGACGTCCAGCAGATTTCCGACATCACCGGCATCGAGAGCGAGGACAGTACGTACACACCGAGTCAAACAGTTTGACATGTGACAGAACCGGTGCTAATCACTAGGACAGCCTTCATCCGCCCCATCTACGCCGGTAACGCCATCCTGACCGTGCAATCGACCGACAACATCAAGGTGATCACCGTGCGTGGCACTGCCTTCCAGGGCGTCGAGACCGAGGGCGGCTCTGCGGCGATCGAAGACGGCGTGGACTCTAACGCCGCCGCTACGACCGAGTGGGTGTCCGAGGAGCTGGCCAAGTCCGAGCGCCCCGACCTGGCCACCGCAACCCGCGTTGTGTCCGGTGGCCGTGGCCTGAAGTCTAAGGAGGAGTTCGACCGTATCATGCTTCCGCTAGCTGACTCGCTCGGCGCTGCTATTGGTGCTTCTCGTGCCGCAGTCGACAGTGGCTTTGCCGATAACAGTCTGCAGGTTGGCCAGACCGGTAAGAACGTTGCGCCGCAGCTCTACCTGTGCGCTGGTATCTCTGGTGCTATTCAGCATCTGGCTGGCATGAAGGACAGCAAGGTTATTGCTGCTATCAACAAGGACCCAGAGGCTCCTATCTTCCAGGTTGCTGACGTTGGTTTGGTTGGTGATCTCTTTGAGAAGGTACCTGAGTTGACTGAGAAGGTGAAGAACGCTTAACGGTCGTGTTTTTTTATTATTTTCTCCGTTTTTGCGATGACCTCTTGAGCAGGTCGCAAGCTTTTTTGTGTTGAACCGTACAGAATACCACTTAGAGAGGGCTGGAGCCGCCGCTCGGCCTAGTCACTTTGCAATATAACAAAATCTACCACACAATTTGGACTCGTTTAGATGAAACCCAATTCTTCCTTTCTGTCCATATTTTATCTTCATAATTGCTTAACTTCAAACAAATCTGCAGAGCGCAGTTCATACATGGGATTACCAAAACGGGACTAGCGCGTCACCACGCGTCGGCGCGTCCGCGATAATCGAGGGGAATTAGTTAGCAAGTCCACCGTCCAATTGCCAAATACTCCAGATGCGCGACATGACCGAAACGTTTGAATGATCCCATCATCGCCCGATTTCCTTTCATCATTCGACCCTGCCCTCCACCTCCACTCCGAAGACCTCAGCAACGCGCCCAACCCTCCCTCCGAATCATTCTCCGACGATCTCGAGGCAATTCACTTCCAGCGCCGCGAGCAAACTCGCAATAAAGTCGTGATTCAGCACCGGGCTTGGAATTTGTCCGATGTTTTTCGTAGCGACGACGATATAAGACCTGGTTCGAGCTATACGTCTTGTTGACGAGTGTCAGTGCTGATGTGATTGAAGATACTCCGACAAAAGCTGTCGACGAGACTCCGCGGAAGATTACCAGAACCCCGGCTCGGACATTATCTTTCCTCCCGTCTTCTCCCCCTGTAACGACCATGCCGTTTATTTCGTCGCCTGCGGCTGCGGTGCTGGGCAATTCGGACGGCAACGCGCAGAAGAGAAAAGCGCCCGAAGTCGGAGAGAGCTCGCAGTCAACAGAGCCCAAGCGGCAGAAATACGTCGGTGGATTTGTCGACGAAGATGACGATGATGAGGATAATATCGTTGCTCTAGAAGAGGAACAATTCGAGTTACAGGAATACCCCGAGGCAGATCCGTCTGAACTTCCTGCGATCTTGGAGCAGGAGGAGATCCTCAGTCTTTCTCAACAGAATGATACCACGCCCACAGCCTCGAATCCCCAAACCGAATTGGTGTCTCGACCTATACCTAGTGCACCGAAGAGATTGTTCCAGATCAAGACATGCACCGGCAAGTCGCATCATATTCCTCTACGAAGGGCTCAGGCTCCGGTTTCATATGAGCGCATGATTGCTAGTCGGTCGGAGACAGATCCAGGCCGAGCAAAGAAGAGCTACTACGGAATTGAGATTCATAAATTGCTGGACGAAGCCGCAAAGGAGGCAAAGACAAAAGCCTCTGAGCCGGCGCCGGCACCGCCAGTCCAGACATCGATAGAGAAGAATGAAGGAGACGCCAAGCAGAAGAAGATGGATTCTATGATGTGGACTGAGAAGTACCGTGCTCGCAAATTCACGGACTTGATCGGAGACGAACGCACGCATCGCTCGGTCCTTCGCTGGCTGAAGGGCTGGGATCCAATTGTCTACCCTGGCTTGTCTCGGTCTCAGAAGAAGAAACCTGCCCAGGAGGATGAAGGAGAGCGCGTGCATCGGAAAGTTCTACTACTCAGTGGACCTCCTGGACTGGGAAAGACAACCCTTGCTCATGTCTGTGCTAAGCAAGCTGGCTATGAAGTCCTCGAGATCAACGCAAGTGACGAACGCAGTAGAGATGTGGTCAAAGGCCGCATCCGAGATGCACTGGGAACGGAAAACGTCAAGGGTGCCAATGTCGAGGTCGGCGAGAACAAGGTCCGCCGAGCAGCGAAGCCTGTTTGCGTTGTTGTCGATGAAGTTGACGGTGTTGTTGGAGGCGCTGGAAGCGGCGGTGAGGGTGGTTTCATGAAGGCTCTTATCGACCTTGTGATGCTTGACCAGCGGAATTCTAAGCAAGCAGAGAACGGCGGGAACAATGGCAAGAAACGCAAAGGCGATACCTTCCGGTTCCTCCGACCTTTGATTCTGGTTTGCAATGATCTGTATTCCTCAAGTCTTCGGCCTCTGAGAGCTTCATCCATCGCCGAGATGATTAATTGCCGACAAGCTCCACTGGAAAACGTTGTCAATCGAGTGAAGAATATCTTCGCACGGGAGGGAATCCCCGCTGATGGCGACGGAGCTCGAAGGTTGTGTGAAGCCGCCTGGGGAATGGCAAGCAAAAAGCAGCGCGGCCCTAAGAGTTCTGGATCTGCCGAGGGCGATATCCGCAGTGTCCTCGTCGCCGCCGAGTGGGTGGCACATAAACTCCGGAATGAAGGCTCGTCTATGCGATTAACTCGAGACTGGTTGGAGTCGCGAATCCTCAACACTTCAACAGAAGGCGGCTCTTTCTTCAAGGAAATGAGCCGTGGAGGTGTCCGCGAGATCGTGAACCGTGTCTTTACTGAAGGCGCTGGCTTTTCTCACTCTCCAGTCGGCATGACTTCTTTCCAAGACAAATACGACGGGCCCAACACCAAAGTACCAGCCGGCGTGGCTGACTTGCGGAAACGGCATGCTATCAATCGTCTTAGGGAGATGGTGGATGCCAGCGGTGATCATGACCGATGTATCACCGACTGTTTTGCCGCATATCCCATTCAGCAATACCAAGATGATACCTTCCTCTCAAAGCCCTGCGATGCGTACAACTGGCTTCACTTTCACGATTCCATATCTTCCAAGGTGCACGCCTCCCAGGAGTGGGAACTGGCTCCGTACTTGAGCCAGTCGGTCGTCGCGTTCCATCATCTCTTTGCTACAGCCCACGGAAAGACCGAAGCCGCTGATCATAAAGACGAAGGCGAGGCTGAAGAGGAGCACCCATTCTCAGGCCCCAGGGCAGAATTTGCTGCATTAGAAGCACAGAAGGAAAACCGAGCAATTCTACTCGGATTCCACTCGTCTTTATCTGCCTCTATGACCCGCATGTTCCGCTCCATTGAGAGCGTTGTTATCGATCTGCTCCCGCACCTGGTTCGGATGCTATCACCAGATGTCAAGCCTGTCATCGTGCGCAGCGGCGGCGAGCAGCGCAGCACAGCTAGCGTGCGCAAGGAATCAGAGCGCGCACTCGTACAATCTGCCGTGCGTGTCATGGCCGGAATGGGCGTGACATTTGAGAAAGTCCGAGTGGAGCACGAAGGTGGAGGCCACGGCGGATGGGTCTACAGGATGGAGCCGTAAGTGAGATCCAGTTCCCGTAAGAGACAGACACTGACAGATTCCAGACCAATCGACTCGCTCGTGGCATTCTCAAAATTGGCTACATCTGGATCCTCAAGCGCCAATGTCCCCGTTCGATATGCTGTTCGTTCAGTCCTGGACCAGGAATTCCGCAAGGAGACCACGCGCAAACAGTTCGACGCGCGGAACGCCGTCACGACCAAAACGGTACTTGGAAAATCACCAAAGCATGACGCGGCTCAGAAGGCTATTAGAGAAGGCCTTGTCAAGCGTGACTTCTTTGGCCGGGTCATTCAAGAACCTGTTCGGGAGGCCAAGGATACTGATGGCCCCAACCCGTCGGACGAGACGTCCAAGGCCGGGAGAAAGGTGTGGGTGACATACCACGAAGGGTTCTCGAATGCGGTTCGCAAGCCCATTTCGTTGGGAGAGTTGTTGGCCGGGCTTTGAGTTTGATGTTGGCATTTCTTATGGAGTTTTCGATCAGCATGGCTTTTCATTCAGATTACCCTTTTCTAGCTATTGTTTTTTATCATATGTAAATACTTCCGGTTACGATGAAGAGAAATGTTCCAGAGGAAATCAATTAATTAAAACAACAAATTGCAGATTATATATCAAGCAAAATTTATCTAAACCCATAGCCCCAATAATGTAGTTTTTAGATATCCAGTAAAGCACTTTTTTTTCGCAAATCATAAGAAGCACAAACCCACGAAAGGCAGCGCGAAAACAAAATTATAGTCGGTATTAAGTATCCAGGTCATTCCATCGTCACAAACGCATCAGAAAAGGAGGGTGGTATCAAGGAAAGCAGGCGTCGCATTGGAAGCGCAAAGTCGATGTATGGCGGCAAGTTTAGCGCATGGTGAAGTAGCTAGTGACGGCGCATGGTGAAGTAGGTAGCGACGGCCTCGTCGTGGTTTGCCTGCTTGCCAAGGCTTTCATCGGACTTGTTGATGTGCTTGGGGTCGAAAGCCTTGAAGAACTTCTTGGTGGCCTTGATGGAGTCCTTGAGAGGTGTGGTGGTGGAACTGACGGAACGGATGGACGAGGCCGCTGAGCTGCCCCGGGTGGAGGGGGTGGGGGTGTGAAGACGAGGGAGAGCAAGCATGTTGGTCATTTTGATGGATTGATTGTGGTTGGCTTGGTTGATTGTTGGGTGGATGGTGGAAATGAGGTTGTTGATCAAAGTCAAGTGGATGATTGTTGTGGTTGTAGATGAGAAGAGAAGAGAGGAATGTTGAGAACTCTTTGATTTGGTTTCTTTGAGATGATCTGATCTGATGGATAGAGAATGTGTTTATGCCATGGGGATGGGGTCTTATATAGATGAACCAGACAGTACATCCTGCGTGTCACTCCGTGCTTCACTCCGAAGTAAAAAAAAAAAAATCAGAAAAAAAAAAGCCAAAGACCCACTCCGCAAGCCATGATCGTGACCCTGAGCTCAAAATAAACTACAATAGTAGTGAATCAACGGGAAAAAAAAGACGTCACATCCCGTGTGGATCCCGCGACACGGCTTCGGAGTAAAACTTCGGAGTTCGGCCATCCACAGTGGACCCTCGGCCCTGACCAACCATCCATACACGAGGTCGGGATGCGAAGGGAGTCCATTGACGGATCTGGCCAAGGCTCTTTGGCCGCCAGGGCTGACACTTGTAACAGAGAAAATATGACAAACCGACGAAGATCTATGCTTTGGAAGAGGCTGCTTCGCGGACTCCCAAAGGGGTCATTGAGGGACGCGCTAAGCCCAGACATTCCGCTTTTGACAGCTCTAGGTCTTTGAATTCTGGAACTCGGTTGTCTTGCTACAGTATACCACCAATAGTGAGTACGGACTACGGGATGAAGAGCGTAGACGATGCTCGGCGCTTGCGTAGCATTCAACCGGATTGAATCAGGCATACACCGCAAGGCTCGCGGGCTAGAAAATTACGTACATATCGACATCAATGCGAGTCTAGAAGCCTCTAGTAGAGTAGAGCCTGCATGAACTCGGAAGGCTCTGAAAATTCACGCTGTAGATCGCGACTCCACTATGGAAAAAATCGTGCCACATTACGGAATAAAATGGGGCTGGTAGACGTGGCGTGAACTCCGTCACGGCTATCTGCGGCCATCATTGCCCCTGGTGATCGGGTCTTTCGCGACATCAAAAAAATATCTCAACCCTCGTGACCCTGGTCATGATGTTGAGGGTCTTGATTTCCAAGCATTAACGAGGCTGTGCGGTGTGCGACACGAAGTGGCTTGCGTGACTCACGGAGCTTCAACAACCGTCAGATGTGGTATCACCCATATTGCTCTTGCATCTGATCAGCCGTCAAGAAGTAAAGTCTAGATCCTGTCCGATGGGACTGAAGGTGGCGTCATAGGCGTTGGGGCTCTGTCGAATGCAAGTCCGAGGTTTATTCCGACGCTGAGTTTTTACTCCGAGGTGTAGTCCGAGGCAGTCCGAAGACCCTGAACGTGCTCAACTAGCGATGCTACCTGACTCAGGCGAGGGAATTCTAATCGGAGTAGTACTTTCTATGGTTCTTGTCCATTTAGTTATTCCTTTCACGCTTGTACAGTGCCTTGCGAACGTGTTGCGCGCAGTGGCCCTTATTGGGCCACCAACATTGACCACGGTCAATCAGCCACTTGACGCGGGACTCCATTCTCCCGCCCTTGACTGCTCTAAAACACGCCCACCGCTCTTGGAAGCAGTGCATATCCACTGCTATTCCCACTTTCATGAATATGGCGTTGTCGACTCATTGCGAGTTCTGGTAAGGGCGCCGCTGCCACTCAGTAACAGGAGCGAGTCATGATTCAATGAGGGCGCATACTGTATTGTCGGCATTGAGCGACCCCTGGAAAATCAATGAGATCTGTTGTTATGGTATTCCCGTTGCTGCGTGAGGCTGGAATTGAAATTTGAAGGTGCTAGTCGATTGTCGTGGCAAGCCGAAGCTCACACCTTCGCTCATGGTACCTTGAAACTAAGACCCCGCTAACCAGTTACCCTCGGCATTTGTTTACTCTTTAGATACTCGCGATCGATGTGCCCAAGGGTCCAATTAGAGGCCCGTCGGGATTTGGGGATCGCTTGAATGCAACAGAACCCCTCAGATTACTAAAGATGAGTGAGCTGATCGCCGAGAAGATGTGCCGAATGAGCATGGTGTGAGATCATATCGTGGTGCGGTGAACCTTGACTGCCGAAAAGGCCCCATCAATGCCCAATCACAGAGCAATTCCACAGCATCTTTCCAGAAAGCTCTCCAAATCGCAGGGTTGGGACCCATTTGTCAGCGTTCCGTCAGTGTTATGCCGAGTGCCCGGATTTACCTGTGGATCCGCGGGGGTGATCTCAATTGCTTGGAGAATGCTGAAATTCATGATTTAAGAGCGCAATACCTGCCCTTCTTGTACCTTGTACTAAATCTACTTCTTCAATTCCTCTACAACTTCATCAAATTCCACACAAATCATGTCTCTCAAGCCCATCACTCTGTACGGCCACGCAACCGGCCCCAACCCGTGGAAGGTCGTCATGGTCCTCGAGGAGCTCAACATCCCGTACGAAAACAAGATCGTCGATTTCCCCGACATGAAGAAAGAGCCCTTCGAGTCTATCAACCCGAACGGCCGTGTCCCCGCCATCGAAGACCCCAACACCGGCATCACCTTGTGGGAATCGGGCGCTATCGTGGAGTACCTGGTGGAGACCTACGACAAGAAGCACACGATCAGCTTTGAAAACGGGTCAAAGGACTATTTCCTGGCCAAGCAATGGCTACATTACCAGGTGTCCGGCCAGGGCCCTTACTTCGGCCAGGCTGTGTGGTTCACCCGTTTCCACCCAGAACAGCTCGAGAGCGCCAAGGAGCGCTACTACAAGGAAATCCGCCGTGTCTCTGGGGTCCTTGACAAGTTCCTGGCTGATAAGGAGTACCTCGTTGCTGGCAAGTTCAGCTACGTTGACCTTGCTTTCGTCCCGTGGTTCCACTTGGTCGGGTATGTTGGCATTGAATTGTCCGAGGATTTTCCCCACCTTGATGCTTGGTTGAACCGCCAGAAGGCCCGCCCGGCTATTTCAAAGACGCTGAAGCTGCGCGATGAGGCTATGGCTGCTGCTCATTAAGGGCCATGACGAGGTATAGCCCTGAACATTTCTACAAACAGATTTATCCTACATAGGACATGAGAAATGAAATGGTTCGAATGATCTTTGGAATGATAACCACATGTAGAACGGTACTCGAAGTGTACCAGGGATGTAAATGTATCGACAGGTGTACCAATGTTCGACAATAACCATCTTGATCGTAGAAATAAACTTGAGATGGTCAATTGAATCCCTGCACTTGGTCATAAAGTACGCTAACCAGAGACGGGCTAGTGGCAACATGGGGCTTGGCACCGCAGCCGCGAGTTTTCCGTGTCGCGACATCCACCTCCCCCATTGAATCGAGCACCCGGTCCAATCATCCACCGCTGGCCTAATTTCCCATCAGATTGGGCCCTTTTTCCTCCAGCTCAATATACCTGCCGGCTATTCGACCCAGCTACGCGTAACACTGTTGCGCTGTGCCAGGCAGACTGCCAACGACAGACAAGGAGTCGATCTTCTGTCGCGAGCGACAGCTGCTTTCTTCCCTTGATCCATCATGGATGAGTCTTCGCTCCACCCCTCAGGGGCCTCTGAGAATGTCCAGCACATGACCGGCGCAGAGGGCGCCATAGATGCAGGCAACAGTGCTTCCGGTATGTACTGCTTATCTCCCCTAGGTCAGTTCACAAGCTCACCGGATGCAAAGAAGCGCAATCGCGCCAGGATTCCCCCGAGAAGAAGGTCGAGAACCCCGCCGGATCGGACAACCCTATGGATGCCCCTGCCTCCCCCAAGCCCCAGAACGGCAATGCCGAGCCTGAGGACGAGGAGATGGGCGGCACCGAGACTGATGCCAAGCGTGATACCGAGGGATTAGAAGATGCCGTTGGCGAGTCGCAGCCTCCGGAGCCGGCCACTGAAGGTCTTGAGGACGCCGTGGGAGAAGAACACCCCGCGCCAACCAAGTCCTCTTTGGAGGCCTCCGCGCGCGAGCAACTGGTGACACAAACCCATGCCATTATCCTTCCCAGTTATGCCTCCTGGTTTGACATGAACGCCATCAGTCCCATTGAGAAGAAGGCTCTCGCAGAGTTCTTCAATGGCCGCAACCGCAGCAAGACCGCCGCTACTTATAAGGACTACCGTGATTTCATGATCAATACCTACCGTCTTAACCCCATTGAATACTTGACTGTCACTGCTTGCCGTCGCAACCTTGCAGGTGATGTGTGCGCTATAATGCGTATCCATTCATTCCTTGAGCAGTGGGGCTTGATCAACTACCAGGTGAGTAGCCAGTGTTTTCTCTTCTCTGGGGGCTGTGATTGACATGACTAGGTCGACCCTCAAACTCGCCCCTCCAACATTGGCCCTCCCTTCACTGGCCACTTCCGCGTCATTGCCGATACTCCCCGGGGCTTGCAGCCTTTCCAGCCCGGCCCCCAACCCCAGGTCACCTCCGGCAAGCCTCTTGCGGCTACTGATCGTGCCGCTTCTGCTACCCCTGCCAAGGAGGGTCTCGAACTTCGCCGCAACATTTACGACGAGAAGGGCAAGGATGTCACAACGGCCGACGATAAGGAGAAGCAGATCAACGGCGACTCGAACGGAATTGAGGGTATTCCCCAAGAACCTAAGAAGAAGTCCCACTGCTTCTCGTGCGGTATCGACTGCACACGACTTCGCTTCCACTACGCTAAATCGGCCCCGACATCAGCAAACGCCACCACCGCTGACACAAAATACGACTTGTGCCCCAACTGCTTCCTCCAGGGTCGCATGCCTTCCAGCCACAATGCTTCTGACTTTGTCAAGCTTGAGGACAAAAGCCACTCTCACGTGCCTGATAAGAATGCTCCGTGGTCCGATTCAGAGCTTGTCTTGCTGTTGGAAGGTTTGGAGAACTTTGATGAGAACTGGGAACAGATTGCCAACCACGTGGGCACCCGGACTCGTGAGGAGTGTGTTATGAAGTTCCTGCAGCTGGATATCGAGGACAAGTATCTCGACGACATTCCCGAGCTGCGTACCGGTTCCGGCCGTGACCCCATCAGCCAGTCCGAGAACCCCGTTCTGTCCGTTGTTGCATTCCTGGCACAGATGGCGGAGCCCGCTGTAGCTGCCGCTGCTGCCGGCCGCTCCGTCGAAGAGATTCGCAAGGAACTGCGGAGCCAACTGGAGAAGGACGGCAAGGGCAAGGAGTCCGTCAAGGCCGAGGACTCCATGGACGTGGACGCCGCACGGGAGGCCTCGCAGACCGATAAGCCCAAGGAGTCACTGTCCACGGTGGCCTTGGCAACTTCCGCCGCACGCGCTGGCGCCCTGGCCTCGCATGAAGAGCGCGAGATGACCCGCCTAGTCGGTGCCGCCGTCAACGTAACACTGCAGAAGTTCGAGATCAAGCTTCAGCAGTTCAACGAGATGGAAGAGATTATCGAAGCCGAGCGCCGCGAACTGGAGCAAGCGCGCCAGCAACTCTTCCTGGACCGCATGGCCTTCAAGAAGCGCGTCAAGGAAGCCCAGGACGCTCTCCAGGCCGTCAGCCTCCAGGGTTCCAACGAGCACACCAACAGCATGCTCGCCCACGCCGCCACCGCCGGAATTGGCAACCACTACAGCTTCCAGCCCGTCGGCGGCGACATGCGAGCTGGCGCACAGCCTCTGAGCGCTGAGGCAGGCGCCGATTTCAAGACCCTCGACCTGTAACCCTTTCCTCTCATGTATGATATGCTACTGCGTGGATGGGGGAAGAGTGGATTGAACTGGTGTTATGAATATCTGTTTGAACTTGAACTTACCTGGCTAGGAAAAGGCGCAGTTTTTGTTGGGAGTTTGTGTCGATTTCGTCCCTTGTAGACGGTAGCCCGTCTTCTGGGTTTGGATCGTTTCTAGGGGACGATGCAGGGGGCTTCTTTTACTTTTACTTGAATGTGGTTAACCTTTTTTCCCAAATCATATGTCTGTGATGGAACTTTTTGTAGTTTTGTAGGTTCTATGTACAATGGGTATCGTATTAAGTCTGGCTCTCGGTCCTCTGGCTCGTCAATTTCTGTAGGAAGGCGTCCCATGCTGCGGATCCGTATTTCGGAAGCTCGACGGCAACTGTTGGTTTTGGCTTCGGTGATGCGACGGCAACTGTTCGTTTTGGTTTCGGTGATTCGACGACAACCGTTGGTTTAGGCCGTGCTTCGTCGACCTCCATCGGATCTCCCTCATCGTCATCACTGTTCACCACGGAAGCAGATATCGGAACTGGTTCCTGGCCTCCTTCACCTTCCTGGTCTTGTCCATCCTCCTCCTCAGAATCCTCAAACACATCATACTGCTCACTCCGACTCTCCCTTCCACTCCTGTATGCCGCCTCCTCAGCCTCAATCCTCCTCCTCTTCCGTCTATTCTCCTGCAAATCCTCCTCTAACTCCGACCCAATATCTCCAAACTCCTCCCACTCCGCACGGTACAGTGTCCGCTCGCGCCAATCCACCATATCCTCCCTGGTCCTGCGGACGACAAAAGGACGGTCTTTCGAGTCCTCACCCATTTCTTCTTCAGGGACGATTGGGAGCTCTAGGAGCGGTGGGATAGGTTGGTTCAGGGTTTGCCATAGTCGGACTTCTTCGCGGCGGTCGTATTCTTGGTCCACGTGCGCAGCGTGGACTTCTTCGGCGTCGGAGTCTTGTTCTTCTCCGGAGCTGGATTGGTAAGAGCCTTCGGAGTAGCGGCGTTGTCGGGGGAGCGGTTGATCTGTAGCGAGGAGGTGTGGTTGAACGAGGGGTGCCTCTAGTTCTGGTTCAAGTTGTGGTGGTGGTGGTGGTTGTGGTTCGGATTCGGATTCAAGCTCCGGTTCAGGCTCAGGCTCATGGTTTTGTGGTTTCTGGGCCGGCTCTTCCCCTTGTGCTTGTTCGACCGGTTGGTCTACCTCCTCTTTCTCTTCCGGGTCTTCTTCCTCTTCGTCTTCTCCGTCGTAGTCGTCGTCCTCATCATAATCAACTTCGCTCTCAAAGGGGCCCAGTCCAGGTTCCTCATACTCGTCGTCGTCAAGGCTCAGAATCCTTTCCACCTCATCGTAGTCGAGAACCCGCGGTTTCCACCCTTTTCTATTGCGAATGTCTTTGATAAGAATGCCATTCTGGCGTGCAAAATCGACCAATAGGTTGCCTCGGTCGTAAGTCATGTTCAGCGTGTCAAGAGCGGCTTTGACATCTCGTGTTCGAACCGACTGAATTTCTTCACTGGCCATGGGCTCCATAGCGCGCACCCGCGACATGGCGAAGAAGAGAGATGACTGAACCAAGCGGCGCGTGATACTCATGGTTAATGCATAAAAGTCCATGAGGGCATCACCGGTCATAGAAGGAGACTCGGCAGAAAAACTCTTGTGGTATATCCAGTTGTCTTCAACTCTCCTACCGCCCAAGTTCATAAACAGCTTCCGGGAGAGCTGAAGCCACACTGGTACATTGAGGACGTTCGCAGCTTTGTCAATGCCACCGCGCAAAGGAGGGTTGACTTCCGCCTCGACGAGTTCCCTCGCCGAAGCCTCGGTGATAATCCCATATTTGTGGTATCGGTCTCTGGAAGCCCACGAGCTCTCGGCTTCTTCCTTCTTGCACATGACATCGGCGAGCTCATCCAGCTTTTCCTCGCATTCCTCGCTGACTTCGGCGGCGCCGGGATAATCACCCATGAGGAGGGTGGCGTTGTGCTCGGACTGGAGATGTTGTTTCGCCAGGCCTTCGTGGAGAAGATCGATGTAGTGCATCACTTCGAGTTCCGATTTAGTCGGGATCGCCGCTGCAATCTCCTTGATGCCGTTCTTGCCTTTGCGATCGAGCATATTGAAGAATAATTCCTTTTCCGTCGCAGTCCAGATGACAGCTCCGTACTGCTCGACGGTGAGAAGTTCCGGATGCTCATCCATGTTCTTTAACGCAACGTCCTTCTCCATCTCGACCAGCAGTTTATTGTAGGCGTTGATAGATTCACGGGGAATAGCTTGGAGGCGAGCTTGCAGCGAGCGGACTCGGTCCTGGCGAGCGTCCGGATTCATGTCGTCGCCGACATATTCAGCGAAGTCAAATGTGGAGATATCTTCTTGTTCATCTTTCACAGACACTGATACAGCGCGAGAATTCGAGCGCGTCTTCCGCTCGATTGAGCGGACCGCATGCTCGTCATGATCGAAGTCGGATTCGGACTCGTAGTCGGACCCGGTGTCATCGGGCTCATAGGAAGAACTATCGCTCATGGTGCAGGGTCGCAGACTCGCCGCGCATCCGCAATGATCCTAGACGAAACATCACAGCTGCGCTTGCGAGTGGTCGATTAGTCTCCAGTTACAAAAAAAGTTGAGCTCCACTGCGCGGCATGCGTTATCGACCGATAAGCTGGGTTTGCACTGTTTGTGTCCCCTTCTTCAGCACGGCGAGGCGTCAACTTGTTACACGCATGGAGTTTGTTCGCAGATTTGGGCTGCTGGCTATTTCGCGGTCGCCGAGGAGGCCCCCGAGGGTCTCTCCAGTGTCGCATTGGCGCAATGTGCGCTTCAACACAACGGCGTCGCCACCATCCGCTTCCAGTATTGTGCTCCGCGACTACCAGGAGGAATGCATTCAATCAGTACTCAGGTACCTTGACGAGGGCGAGCGCCGGCTTGGAATATCCCTAGCTACGGGCGCTGGGAAGACAGTTCGTTGAACCCGTCTCACCTCCGGGTGTCGGACATGAGACTAACTATCTGCAGGTAATCTTCACCCAGCTCATCAATCGAATCCCGCCGCGCGATGAGAAAGCCACCAAGACTATGATCATCGTCCACCGCCGTGAGCTTGTCGAGCAGGCAGCGAAGCACTGTCGACTTGCATACCCCGATCAAACCGTGGAGATCGAAATGGCCAATAGTGTCGCAACTGGACACGGGGATATAATCATTGCGTCGGTTCAAACACTCGCCCGGGGGCGCATTGCCAATTTCGACCCGAGTGCCTTCAAACTTATCCTTGTGGATGAAGCACATCACATTGTGGCTGCATCATATCGCAAGGTACTGGGACATTTCGGCTTGAACGAGCCATCCGCCAAGGCACCGGTGCTCGTGGGAGTCTCGGCGACATTCTCACGTTTTGACGGGCTCAAACTGGGCGCTGCCATTGATCACATTGTCTACCACAAGGACTACGTGGACATGATTGGAGATAAGTGGTTGGCGGATGCAGTTTTCACTACTGTTAAATCCGAGGCGAATCTGTCGAAAGTCAGGAAGGACCAGTTCGGAGACTTTGCGGTCGGGTCGCTGTCGGAAGCCGTTAATACGGTCAATACAAACAATATCACTGTGCGTGCGTGGCTTGCTAATGCGCAAGACCGGAAATCTACGCTCGTCTTTTGCGTGGATGTGGAACATGCTCGGCAGCTTACGGCGACCTTTCGTGACCATGGCGTCGATGCGAGGTATATTACTGCTACTACGCACAAGAATATTCGTGCAGAGCAGCTTGATGCTTTTAGGAAGCAGGAATTCCCAGTTCTTCTGAACTGCGGTCTATTCACGGAAGGCACCGATATTCCGAATATCGATTGCGTACTCCTGGCACGGCCGACTCGATCCAAGAACCTGCTTATCCAAATGATCGGGCGAGGACTTCGTATGTTCCCCGGTAAAAAGGACTGCCACATCATTGACATGGTTGCATCTCTCGCCACGGGCGTCTTAACGACGCCAACGTTATTCGGTCTTCATCCAGATGAAGTCTTGAACAACTCTACCGCGACCGAATTAAGAGGAGACCGCGAGGAACCTACCCTTGAAGCCCCATCTACAGAACCCGAAACCGTCCCATCCGAGGATGTGAAACTACAATTCACAAAATATGACAGCGTTTACGACCTACTAGAGGATATGCAATCAGAGAGACACATCCGATCGCTCAGCAAGAACTCCTGGGTGCGAGTCGGCGACGAGAAATACATTCTATCCGAATCCTCCGGGTGGTTAACTCTCGAAAAAGAAAAGGATGTCTACAACGTACGCCACGTCATGAAGTTCACAGACCCAGTCTCCGAGCAAGCACAATTTACCCGGCCCCGCCTTATCGCCTCCGGATCCAACCTCGAGACCGCCGTGCGTGCAGCTGATACGTACGCAAGCGACAAATTCGAGGAACATTTCATCGCATCCTGGAAGCCCTGGCGACAGAACCCGGCTACGGCGGGACAGGTCAGATTACTGAATCAAGCCGGAATCCGCAAGGGCAAGGTGCAGGCTGGGAACTTGAACCGGGGCCAGGCGGCCGATATGATCACGAAACTGAAGTTTGGGGGGAAGAAGCGGTTCAAACAGAACGAGGTCCAGAGAAGGAAGGCTGAACGAGAAGCTGATGCTGCGAATAAGTTGAATGAGCTGCAGAAGAGGACTGAAGTTAAGGTCGGGCCTTTGGAAGGGTGAACTGGCTCTTGGCCGACTTGTAAAGTACATTGTTGATATTGCGAGCATAACCGGCGTTTTTCTTTTACATAAATAGCATTGTCTCCGTCCAATTACGGGACTTTTACATGAGTGAATTTTACCCTAGCAAATCTAGATGACCGAAAGCCTAGGAGTGGAATACATAACGGTTATCGCGCCCTACTGCTTGTCACTGATCAAGAAATATGGCATCATGCTTGGCCAATTACACCATTCCAGTCTCCCAAGTCGTGCTGCATGAAGCAAAGACGAGGATGCAGATGTGATCTGAGATCAATTATAAACCCCCAATGTGCATTCAAATAGATGAGTATACCCCCAAGGTCTGTTCAATTCCAGAGTAGTGTGATGCACCAAAATGGCCGTCACACTATCAACAGCCGGCGTACCGCTGGTCTCACTAATGTATACAAAAGTATGCTGTCTTACTTCAAGAGAGGTTGATCTTATGACTAACGATCAATAGAATGCAGATGAAGTAAATTGCCGTGTGTCACACCTGTTGACATTACTGAACGCTTTACTAGAATGTGAAATTGTTTCAGATCCCCAGCGGGATCGTTGCAATAATCGTGTAGATCTGGCTCGGCATGAGGGCCCATGCGGCTCTTCCCAGGGGTTGAGGCCTAGCTAACGGAACATTTAGGTCGAAATACTCTTGCAGCCCGACCGGTGTTGACGTTATTCTGAGACAATAAGCTGAGCCAGTTATCCCACTTTGTACTCTGCATCATTTAAGGATCGATCAACAATAGACGGCGTATAGCGCAGGTTGATCCGAAATGCCGATCACAACAAGCTCATTAAATGAACGTCCACCCGTAGGATAAAACTTATGAATTCTACCAGGAGAAGATTCTCTTCTATCTCGCTTCTATTACAACCCATCATCTACCGTTAAACAGGTCCTGTCACAAAGTGAGGAATCATCCACCAAAACACCGACTCTCCATACTAAATCAATACTCAGCAAACAGCAAAGATGCATTTTACCTGGGTCCCAATCCTTTTAGCCATGGTATCTCGTACCATAGGCCTGGCCATCAAGACTGCGAACGACGACCAAAATACTTCAAACCAGACCCACGTACTCGTCTCATGTCGAGAGGTCAAGGACGCCAAGGAGCTGGTCCTCCCTTCGCCTGTTGCAAACCACACCAAATTATGCGAGGAATCAGGTGGTGAGGCTACTTGTGGTGCGTGCGTCTTACCTGATGTGAGGAAGAATCTGGATTATTATAACTTCGCTTGTGCGGAGGGGAAGGGATATCCGTCGACGTTGGAGAAGTATTCGGAGGAGAAGGCTAAATCTGTGGCTGCTGAGAGGTGTTCTGATGAGGGTGATGAGTCTGATAGTGGTGATGATTCAGATGATGGGAGTGAGTCTGACTCGGACTCTGATTCGGATGACGATGATGAGGAGTGAATGGGAAGGTGCATAGCTGTATTTTACCTTCGCTTTTGTATCTATATAGTGTCAAAGGAAACTTGGATCGATCGGCAAAGATGTTAAGACTCAATCAAATCTAGAATCATATACGTCTTCTCCTTACTCCGATGATGCCATTCCGCCCCCGCATCACAGTAGATCTTGCTGATTTAAAGGCAGCAACCAGGATGGAAATATGATTGCGTTACAGTATACTTCTCCAAGGCCGACATGATGGGCTCGCGGACATTTCTCAACGTGAACAATGCTACTAGCCCGGTCTCTTCTATCGCCGAGACCGACCAGAAAGAACAAAGGTCCCTGGTAATGATCTTGACTCTTCCCGATCATTTTTGGCGTCAATTTCATGGGTCCTCACAATCTATACGTGAAATGTTGTTAAGATCATGGTTACCGATGATTCCAAAAAGTATATTTATTAGCACTTTTGAATAAGGGTCGCGTTTTGAAGCGCAGTTCCTACTATGACCGTATAATAACTCCCGGTTAAATCCAAATTCCCGGGAGCCAGAATCTCATTTCAAAGGCTTCCTACCATAGACGACAACCCTGGTAAAAATCAGTAACGAAACCATTCTCAAGGAATGAGACAAACTTACTCCTTAGTATAAGCATGCAACCGCTTATCTCTCAGCTGCTGCTTAACAACAGCCTGAAAGATCTTGGAAGGCTCCACACCCCAACCCAGAACCTGCGTACACAACCTAAGCCCGTACGAATCCACAGCCTGCTGGGCATGAACGGCCTGGTATTTTCCAAGTTCCTTGAGGTAGGGGTCACGCGGCCACGGCGAGTACGGCAGGATGTAACTGAACTGGGTGACATCTTCAAAGCCAGCGTCGCGAAGCCAGTCGCGCAGCAAGTGGTAGACGTTCATGAGTCGACCCGTTGCGTTTGTGCCGGCGCTCAGGGCTCGCATGTACTCCATAAATGGCGACGAGTCCCTGAGAGTGCCGTCATCGCTCCAGCCCCAAACGGCGCATTCTTGGATTTCGAAGTATCCGCCTGGCTTGAGGTGGTCGTAGATTCTTCTTAGGAATCGAGGCCAGTCTGATACGCATCTGTAGATGTGTTAGCGTTGAGGTTGTGGTGAATAGGGATGGAGGAGGGCGTACCCTGAAAGTAGTCGCGCGTGGATAAAATCGAAGCTGTCCTTCTGGTACAGCCACTCCGCTTCATAGTCTTCGACGATGAATTCTACATTTGGCACAACCCAGTTGGGCTGGATGGCACTGATATCGTTTCCAATGACTTGCGCGCTTGGGTATTTTCTAGGTTGAACGTCAGTGACGATAGGGAACGTAAGCCGGGCAAGAATGTGATTTACTCTGCCACGTCCAGGGCCCAGATGCCCGTCCCCGTTCCGAGGTCTAGAATTTTCTGTGGGTTTTTGATTGGCGCTTTGTGGAGTTCGCCCTTCATTGTGAGAAGCCAGCTGTAATTCATTAGAAGTTTTCGAAACGCGAGTTGTGAGTAGTTCTAACATGTGATGTGCCTATTGATGATCAGTACGTGTGCCAGACGCGAACAAGACGAACATACCAAGTCCATGCGGTCCTGCTCCTCCTCATCGTTGGGCATCCTGTCCCGGTTAGCAGCGCTTCACCATGTGGGCTGGTTGAAATACCAGTAGTTGGTCTAGCAATGGGTTAGTAAAGGTAACGACCAGCCATCAAGACCGAGGGGCTTACAGTAGTGCGGTTGCTATGGTATCGCCGGCCATTCTCATATTCATACTCCAGAACACTGGATGATAAGGAGGTCAGGTCGGAAATGTCGCTTTCAAATTCAGCGCTTTCATCCTGGGGAAGCGGTCAGCGATCAGTGGACGAGTCGATCGGAGGACGAGACGATCATACGCTGAACTGGTCAACTTGAATATGACCGGGCGCGTTCTCCGGACTGCCCGAGACATCTAGGGGCGGTGCCTCCGTGTTGGCCACAGCATCCGGCACTGGCTCTCGAGCTGGCTGCGCACGTACAGGTTTGGGGGATTGGGGATTGTCGGTCATAGTGGGTTACAGGTTAAGAAAGAGTCTGGGTGGGGAAAAGCTCTCCAGAGTAGTCCAGGGTACTCGGAGACTTATAGCGTGTCTTCCGTTCATTTGGAAGAATGTGACACCTCTCGCTCAACGGTTCGATTTAAACGGGTCGACAACGGGGAAGATTAGATTTTCTTTCATGATGCGGTGAGGGGCTGCGCGGCATCATCTCGGGACCTGGACATGATTTACAACCTAATGTTCCCTCCCAGTAGTGTATTGCTTCTACGAACCTCTATCGCGCACGCTTTCTATCCAGTCTAGAAAAGACCGATAAATTGATCAAAATTGACCGGGACGTGAGCTGTGGGGAATCTGCCGAAAAACAGGTTGTAGGATATTGCAATTCCCAAACAACCGCTTAGCTGCATGCCTGCGGACACTAGGAAGCCAAAAGAGTAGTATGTTTCGTGGAGTGCGCAGGCCCGTGTCAGCACTACAACCCGACGCAACGGTTCACCATTCCCGTTCTAGACTCTCCAGTTCCCACGGGCCCCCGATAAAAGATACGTCGACACCGCCAGCGAACACGCCCCGAGCAGGGAAACCACCGAGGCAAAGATTTGCAGTCCTGCAAAGTTCGTCCCGTTCTGTCGGGTCAGGATGCCACCCATGATAGGAAGGCCGGTGAGACAACTAAACGAGCTGAGCAAAAAGTAAAGAAAACAGGCACACCCAGGCCCAAGGAGTGAGTGCCTACCTGATTGATATCACCATTTGAAATGTTCCAAACCGCTGGCCCAGTGTTTCTAGACTCCCGGACTTGGCGACGCATGGCATGAGCAATGACACGACGGCCCCGCTCACGAAGCCGTAGACCAGTGAGAACACGATGATCCCCGTATGGGACGGGCGGAAGTTGAACGGCAGCCACAGGCACAACATGGAGCCACCCGTCAGCAGAGAACACGTTGTGAGCACGTTGAAATGGCCGATGTGATCGGCCAGATACGGTGGGAGGAGCCGGCCAATCACGGAGGTTGCGCTAGATTTTGAGGTACGAGTCAGTCATTTACATTGTTTCCAGCAGAGATCTCGGTTCAATGTACTTTATGATGGAAATCAAGTATAGAGCCAGCGTGGGGGAGAATCCTGCATTTTGTGCCATCTCGGAGATGTAATCGAACGGGCCCCAGAGACCCCACCTGTGCTCGTCAGTGAATTCCCTAGGATTTCCTGCAGGGAAGAAGACGCGACTTGCATCACCAAATAGGCTCCCAAGGTGTATAGCGCAAACTGCTTCTCCTGGAATAGGGTCACGTCGAACCAAGGCGCCTTGCTATTCCACTTCTTCCTCGGCAGTCTGGATCGAACCATAAGGCAGGATACGGCCAGAAGAACACCAACCAGCAAAGCCGTATAGCGCACGGCACAATAGAAGCCAACTCTCTTAATGACTCGATCCAGGAATATGGGGAATATCACACCACCCACACTAGCACCACAGCTCGACATACCAATAGCCAGCCCCCGTCTCTTGACGAACCATTGGCCTACACAGACCATAGCCGTGGTGAAGACCCCTCCTGCACCGATCCCGAAGCCTAAACCCTGCGCCAGAAATATCTGGTAGTACTCATCTGTGAGACTCGTCATGCACAGGGAAAAGACACAGAGAAAGCTGCACGGGTACAGTACCGGCGCCGGGCCGTACGTGTCCAGGACTCGTCCGTAGAGTGGACCGAGTGCCCACATGAGACATATTTGGACGGCGAAAATCCATGCTATCTCTGATGAGCTGTAGTCCTGGAGGGTGGTGTCTTGGTAGACCGTTTGAAACACGCCGATTCTTCTCGTGTGTTAAAAGCAGGCCCCGGAGCCGTGGGTTGGGATCGGGTCACTCACGCGTTTAGGAAGCCGAAAGTGCAGAATAGAGATAGAAACGCACCGCCGACACATATCCATCCCTGAGCACCTTCTTCGGGCGGTAGTTCTGGTCCATCTGGTGCGGCTTCTTTATCCCGAGGCATACTGGGCCTTCTAGAGACGGGATTAAGATGTTGGAATGTGGTTTTTATTCAAAATGAGATTTTTCGCCTGTTGTATAATGACATCCTAGAGATCGAAAACTTTTAGAACTCGCGATCATTGTTCTAAAGCGTCGACAAAGCCCATGTCGAGATATCGATTTCCCCTCCCTCGACGGACCACATCGGCGGCCGCCGGCTCCCACTTCTCGGCGCCGCTTTGTCCTTTTCGAGTCTTCATGATTTGTAATACCGTGCCCACGAACGTATGCTATGATTCAGATTAATCATGGCATTGACTGGGAGCTTAGAGCGTGTCGTCTGTGTAAGCTGCAAACCGCAAAAAAGAAATGCGATAAGGCTGGGCCGAGAAGCAGCTATTGGTTCGGTGCTGTTTAAGATTAACTACAGTGCATTAACACACGACTAACCGAAGCAGCAAGAAGCTAGAGTGTCAGTATACATGCGCGACACAAGCCGCATACCTCATAGACCAAGTCTTCAAGGTGCTGGAAGATCCAGACCTCGATTCGAGCTTCATTCAACTGGACGGACTCGATCATACCGTACGCCCATTCTTCATGGTGATGGAACATACCCAAGGGAAATGTTGCTTCTTTTGCACAGGAATATGATGGTAATCCGGTTAATTTTCTCACCTTGCCACCAGGCCAACTATTAACAGTACCCTAGACTTCTCTACATTATACACCGGCACATCCTTGACCAAGTTCCCACAATGGGCTTTTGCAAGTGCAAATCTCCCGGTCTCGCATGAAGCCTTGGATTCTTTTATAAAGATAGAAGCCACGACGGCAGATACGTAGAGCGAACTTCCTTCGAATTGATGGATGCACTGCCTCCTAGTTATTTGTGTGTTATGGGTGCGGCACTAAAGAACATTGAAGATTCTAGAGACAAGTCGAAAATATGGGGTCTATCTGACAAGGAATTGACGAACGTGAAGAAGAAATTAGAGGGCCATTGGACCTTATGTGGCTATTCCGGTGAGAGACAGGATATTCATTTTCTTCTTGAAATGCTCTTAGCTACATCCATAGTTCTGAGAACCTATGTGCTGGGATGTTGGGACATTCACGAGTTCAGAGATCCAGGAATCTTCCGCCTTGAGGGCCTATCAAACGGAACTTTTGTATAGATCCGTTTCCATACAAACTGTATACAGGCGACGACACCATCATCATCCATTCAGACGACTAAGTGACGACTAAGCAGTTCACTTCATATTCATATTTAACCCACGCATCATGATACTCCCTCTCTCCCCCGTCGCATACTTCCCACCCAATTTTTCACACCAATTTGTGAGTTCTGCCCATCCCTGTCGTCATGTCCTACTTTCAATCCTATCTACCCTACGTGCTCTTCACGAGCCTTCTATCCACACCTGTCCTGTGAACACTGTCTCCCTGCCAGCACGATGCATCACTTCGTCTACCAGCACAAACCACAATTTCCACAACCATAATCCAGCACCCATTACTAACAAATCCATCATGACCAGCCACAATCAAGAGCAATGGACAATAACGTGGCCGCCGCTGCCGCCCCTGCAGTCGACGAGCCTCACACCGAGGTACGTCTCCCGAACACCTACCTACTTACCAAAGCCATGCACTAACACTACCCAGAGCCAGCATCCTGAAGCTACCGCCGAAGCCCACTACAACGAGGTGGTGGCCAAGCTCCGAGCCCTGGCCCCCGGCATCGCAGCCAAGCTCGAGCAAGTCCGCAAGGCCATGCAGGAGCTCGAGACTCTCCAGCAGCAACTCGGAGAGCTTCAGCGAGGTTTCACCGGTGGCCTGTACCGAACTGCTCAAGACGAGCAGATGGATGAGCTGGAAGTTCAAATCCAGGATATGGCGAACCGCCTTGAGGCTGAGCAGATGGAGTTCGAGGATATGGAGGTTGAACACACGGCGCTGCTTCGTTTGCTTCCTGATGGGCCTCTTCCGGAGCTGGAGTAGTTCTCGGGTGTTGCTGGGCAAGAGAAGAGTTATGGGGTCTCGACTATGTGAGGAGATGGGTTGTGCTGGATTCTGAGAACTGAGGTTGCGTCTGATAACTTTTCGGGAAGGAGATGAATATGTCCTCTCTCGTTTCAAGGGTCGCTTAGCTCACTAGTTTACTTCATTTACTTCTATGGAAATTTGAAAAGTCGACATGGAGCAGATCTACAAGAATATTTTGGGGGGAATGTCTTGAAAAAGAATTGATTTGAACAGATGGAAATGTATTTTGTTCTCAGCAATAACTAAGAAATTCATCAAAGCATTAAAAACTCCGTAACGAAGCACCTCTGCCGAGTTAGATAACTTAGATGTCATCCTCATCGGAGAAGACCTCCTCACCACGCTTGCGACGGGCAGCGCGCTCCTTCTTCTTCTTGCGGAGCTCAGAGCCTGGAATAGGTTAGCATTGATCCTTGCAATTAATGTGATTGAAAGGAAAAACATACCAGTAAGCTTCTTCTTCTTCTCGACGACAATCTTGTTACCCATGGCGTCGAACTTGTCCTCCTCGTCATCGCCCTTGGCGTCAAGACGAGGACCGGAGCCCTGACCCTGAACCCAGTTGTGGCCGGAGGGGGTCATGAGACCGTGGTTGACGGCCCAGACTTCCTCGGTCAGGTTCTCAGTGAACTCACGGGAGTGGGTAATGATGATAACACCACCCTCGAAGGACTTGATGGCCTTGGAGAGAGCACCAAGGGAGTCACGGTCGAGGTAGTTGGTGGGCTCGTCGAGGACGATAACGTGGGGGCGCTGCCACGAGCAAGCGGCGAGAACAACCTTGACACGCTGGCCACCAGAGAGACCACGCATGCGGGAGTGAGAAACCAGCTCGGCGTCGAGGCCGAAGTTGGCGCAGTGCTGCTCGATCTCCTTGCGGACCAGGGGACGGAACTGACCGGAGGCGAGGGCCTCCTTCTGGTCAACCTCGGCGACCTGCTTCTGGTGGGAAACGATAATCTCGGAACGGGGCAACCAGGTGTTGTCGTTGGACATCATGGGAGTCCACTTCTCGGACTTCATGCCGATGTTGTCACCCAGAGACCAGGAGATCTCGTACTCGTAGGTGTTCTTGAACTTGCGGCGAGAGTGGATGCCAATGACACGACGGAAGGTACCCTCGACCTTGTAGATCTTGTCCATGGCCTTCTCATCCTCCTCGGTGACGATCTTGTTGGCGCGGTCCATGGTCTCACGGTCCTCACCAGTCTGGAAACGCCACTGGATGTACTCGGAGGGGGTAGAGTTCAGGTGGTTATCGATGTGAGCGAAAGCGTGCTGCTTAATGTAGGCAATACGGATGTTCTCGTGCTGGTAGACATCACCAGCGGTGGGGATAAGTTCACCAGTCAGGACGTTAACGAGAGTGGACTTTCCGGCACCGTTGGGACCGATGACGGCAATACGGGAACCCAGGGAAACCTGGAAAGTGATGTCCTTGATCTGGGGCTTGGGAGTGCCATCGTACTGGAAAGACATGTTGTTGACACGGATGATAGCCTTGGACTTGGTCTTGACACCCTCAAGGAAACCGGGCTCGGGGAACTTGAACTCCATTTCGGAGGCACCGAGCTCGTAGTAGGAGCGAGCGGAGGGGACCCTCTTGACGAAGTCGGAGAGGGTACCACGGTAACGCTTGAGCTTGAAGCGCTCGTAGTGGACAACGTGCTGAATGACGTGGTCAAGGAAGCGAGAGTCGTGGGAGACCATGATGGAAGTGCAAGGGGAGGACTTGAGGTAGTTCTCGAGCCACTCAACGTTCTTGACGTCCAAGTGGTTGGTGGGCTCGTCGAGCAGGAGAATATCGGGGTTCTCGAAGACGGCACGGCACAGAGCCAGCTTCATCTTCCAACCACCAGACAGGGCACCGATGGAGCCATCGAGCTGAGACTCCTGGAAGCCGAACTCGTTGACAAGCTTGTCACGGACCTCAGCCTCGACGGGCTCGAGACCGACCTCCTGGAGCTTCTTGATGGTCCAGCCGGAAACAGTCAGCTCGGTATCGGCAGCGTCAAGGTCGTGCTCGACGTAGACAGTCTTGACCTCATCCTTCTTGGGGAAGCCCTCAAGCTGCTCGTTGTTGATAGCGCGCATGAGAGTGGTCTTGCCGGAACCGTTGGGGCCGAGGAGACCGTAACGCTGACCACGCTTCAGACGAAGGTGAGTCTGGTTGAGAAGAATCTTGGCACCATAGGCCAGGGAGAAGGTGCAGTTGCAAAGGTCAACACCATCCTCCTCATCGGAGGGAACCTCGTCGGCGGCAGCAGCCTCGGGAGAGGCCTTCTTGCGGAGGATCTCGGCAATGTTCTTGGCCTCGGCCTCACCAGCGACGGCGATGATGTAGGGAGAGCAGTTCTGGATCCAGGTGGTGTTGTCGCTGTCCTTCTCGTCAACGAGCTGACCGGCGATGGCACCGATGTAGTTGATGACGGCCTCGGACTTGGCAATGACGTCCTTGGAGATCTTCTTCTCGGCGAGGATCTCCTTGAGGATAGCGGAGACGGTGGAGATGTCACCAGCGGTGGAAACTTCGGGGATCTTGCCATCCTTGATGTTACCGACACGGCTGAGGGTGTCGAGAGCCTGCTTGGTCTTCTCACGGGCCTCGGGGTCGGCGAGGGTCTCGTTGTTCTTGTTGAGGGCGGGCAACATCTTGGGCAAGAAGGGAGCGACAATCTGGGGGTCCTCCACAAGCTTACACATGTTGTCGACAATGACGGCGGACTTACGCTTGATAGCAGTCTCACGCTCGACGAGACCACGGTCAAGCAGGGGAACCATGATGGCCAGGGTGGGGCCAGTCACGTCAGTAACGAAAGTGGTGGCACCGAGCAAGTGAACGGTCTCGGGGACGTTCTCGGGCTTGGCGATACACTTGATGAGCTCGGGAATGAAGCGCTCAATATCCTTGTTGACAATGAGACCGCAAACCTTCTCCATGGTGGCGTAGGCGGCCTTCTTGATCTCGGCCTTGGTGTCCCACATAGCCTCGGAAATGACGGGAATCAGGGCAGGGACCTGGAAGGAGAGCTGGGCGGGAGAGGTCTCGATGAGGGCCTCAAGGCAGGTCAGAGCAGCCATCTTCTCTTGCCACTTCTGGGCAGTCTGGAGAGACTCGAGAATGGGGGGGACAACGGCCTTGACGGCGTTGCCGGTGACAGCCTGAACGATGGCGGCGGCGGTGCTCTGGGCGGCCTCCTTGACGGGGGTAACCTTGTCACCGACCGCGTTGAGAACGGGCAGAAGGAGGGAAACGAGGTGGGGCTCAACACCGGGAGCGATGGTCTGGTGGGAGGCGATAGCCCGGATGCCCTCGAGGGCACGCTCACGGGCAATAGCATCCTTCTTGTTGGTGAGCTGCTTCTTGAAGGTCTCGACGGCCTTCAGGGGAAGGGTCTGCTCGGGGATGGGGCCGCTGAAGAGAGTGGCGAGGTTGCTGGCGGCAGCGTTGACCTCATCGGCGCTGGTGGAGATGTTGAGGTTCTTGATGAGATCCTCGAGGACGGAGACCGACTGAGCGGTCTCCTTGCCGGAGACGGCGGGGGTAGAGGCGACGTCGACGGCGGGCATTTTGGCGGAAATTTTGGTGGTTGGAAAAAACAAAAATTATAAAGAAAGAGTTTTTTCTATGGGTATCTTGGTGGTGAGCTGTGCCCAACTGCGTCGGCTGTCCAAGGACGCAGCGCTCGTGTGTAAGAGCTGGTCTATTTCTGTCTATGCAGAACCTGAAAAACAGAAAAGAAAGTGAGGACCAGACCTCGAAGACAAAAAGATGCGGAGGAGAGGATGAGAGGGAGGAGGGGAGAAGGGGGGGCGAGATATTTATCGGCTGTGTGGCCCCTCGCCGCCCAAAACCTGGGTCAAAAATTTTTTTTTTTTGAGCGGCGGGCGTCCCGCACTAAACCCGGAATCGGTTTAGTCCGACTATCCACTAGGCCCCGATTGGATGTACTGGAGTGTCCTCCCGAATCCCTCGATGCTTATTGGTGTCCGGCCCGTTGCTGGGAACAAAAAGAAATTGTCGTGGTGGACTGGTGGCAGTTTCCGTGGTGAATCAGTGAAGATGACATCTTCCTACCGTCTCCCTTCATTCACTACACAGCTGTCCTAGGTACCCGGTCCGCCTAGGTATTTCGATGTCCTTTTTCTTTTTCTTTTTCTTTTTACTACTCGGGTACATGACTATTTCGGCGGCTCGCTAGATACCTAGGGATCCGACCCTCGAGGCACATGCAGTTCTCAGTCTAGGCTGCTCCGAGGGGTGAATCCGGGGCATGGCCGCAGCTAGTACATACTACCAGTACTGCAGGGCGACGATGGCTGCCATTTCTCCCAGTTCGCCACTTTCAGGATCGGGTGGCGCAGTCCTATCCCGGCCGTTGGACGTCCAATCAAGGATCTCGAAAATGGGTTTCGAGAAGCCTTGCACCCGACAGTATTTTTAGAGTTACCAGAACCATCACCCGTAGACCCGTTTTTGTCCGTCCGTTCCAAATCTGATACATATTTCCAGGGCTGAGCTGTAATGTCCGGGAGATCAGTCTCTGTCATACTTGTACCTTTGTACATGTACCTGTAGCTGCCCTGTAAGCTGACGAGACAGCTCAGGAATAAAAAAAAATAAAAAATTTCAATCAAATCTAATCAAATAAAAAAGAAATGAAAAGTCGGAGAGGAAAGATTGATCTGCAGGCTTCGATCGGCGAGGTTCCCCCGGGGCAAGCAATCCGAGTCAAGATTTATTATTTTCAGGGGTACATGGGGTCCTTGATACGTGACGGGACGAAAACACATCACGGACTAGGTATCTAGGGATATATCCAGCCTTGGACGTCACCAAGTCAACTGAAACAGGCAGATGGCATGTAGAGTACGTTTGATACTGCGCAACACCGCCCTTTCCATCCTCACCGCTTCACCCCCCTTATCGCTTATCGCGGACTGCATTGAAATTTTTTCTCTTTGAAACTAGCCCCTGCATACTCTATACTTAGACTAGTCAAGGAAAAATCTGTTTCTTTTACCCGGGGTTGCACTCCCCGTCACCTTATCCCTTATCCCCCGCGAAAGCGAAAGCACCCGGGTGGCAAAAAAATCCAAAAAAAATCGAAAAAAAAAATCGAAAAATGAATTAAATGGCGTTCGGGTCAACCGGCCAGTGGGTCTCAAAGCCTAACTCGGCCCTTGCTGTTTCGGTGCTTTGTGACCAGAAACGGAATTGGATTTTTCCAGTCAAACTTTGTACGGGAAAAAAGACTATTGTTTTCCCATCGGGCTGGCCGTAGGCTAGGCGTGATTCGTATCGAGGTTCCGATGCACCCGCGCGAAACTTTCACTCCCGATTTTTCTGGAAGCGAGCCGGATCGAGTAATCGGGAATCAGGTTTCATCAGTGTATCTGTGGCGTGTGATTGCCGGGGAGATTATTACGTCGCGTTGAAGTCAATCTACTCTACAGGGTAACTTTGTACCGGGCCGTGGACTTATTCTATATAATTTGACCTTGCTATGTACTGTAGTTCGACTCGGGAGTCTGGGGGTGGATCCGCATGGTATCGCGCCCCAGTTGTCTATTCTATGGGGCTGTGGCAGGGCTGGCCTTATCGCCCTTTTGCTGCGAAACTGGGGAAAAGACGTCCTTGCCGGGTCCCCACCCCCTTTCTTTGATCCTGCGGGATTTGAATCTGGGGCAGGATCCACGTAGTCTGTATGTATAGCCTCTACTCCAGGTGACGGCCTTCTCTGGACCCCGAGGTACTTCCTAATAGCGGTTGTAACTCTGGCGTTCAGCGGCCCCTTTCTGACGCTGCCCCTGTCCATGAGCCTCGTAATTTTACTACCCTATGGCCAGCCCCTTTCAGCCATTAATTTGTCAAAGCGCTGCCCCTTTCCTGCCTTGACGCTCAGGCCTACTCTCTGATACACTGCCCACGGGTGCTCTGGACAGTGCCAACCTATCATCTCTAGACTCAGAAGGGAAAAAAAGAAAAAGGGGCTCGATATGTCTTTAATGAACCTTCTGAGTAGATCCCCCGGACTAATTCGGCCAGGGAACGGAGAACATGAGAGGAAAATTGTACCATCTAGGAAGATCCCCGAGACAGGCCCAGGAAGTACGACTGAGCCGGTATTGAGCCTTGCTCGTGGATTATCAGACCAGATCTGTATCTCTTACGCCACTCTAGGTTCCATACCCAAGAATGAAAAATAATAAGTGTAGACAATTACTATGTCAGCCGGGTCTGGATCTATCAACGACAACAAAAAACGCAAGTCAAACCAAACCCGCCCGAAACCCGGCACCCAGAATTCTATGTCCAGATCGATAGAACAAGGAAATCAAACAAAAAAGGGGCTGGTATATAAACAAGACCTCCAAAGCGTCCAGAGATCCAAGTCCGGTAGCAAGCTGTCGAGTGTCACTCCCGGAACATCAGCCTTGGGTGGAGGTAGTGGATCGGATCCAGATTTCTGGGTCGCGCAGAACCCTTAGTAATGATTTACGGGGTTCTGGTGCTGCCAGGTCTGATAACCGATCGCGGGGATTGTCTGTACAAGTAAACCGCTCAAACTCCATTCCCAGATGCGCAACTCCAGTGCGAAGTAAAGGCAAAAAATGATTAATGATTGCTCTGTCTTTTTCTCACGGCTTCTTCTTAACGTGGCGGCTCCCTGATTCGGCGGGAAGTTCGTCGCCGTCGATGATGCGCCAGAGACGACGCGGAGAGAAATTATTACCCACTAAATAGATACCGACGAACCAGGCCGCGAGGAGGTTGGCCAGGTGGTGGAGGAGGTAGGCGTACGTCACGCCGTAGACGGCGGAGTACATGGCGATGGCGAAGAAGATTATTGAGGTGACGTGTTTGAAACTGTTGATGTTAGCATAGTACACATGGGGGAAAGGCAGAGGAACTTACCGATTCATGATCCGCGGGATCATCGCACCGCTAGTCATGGTCTCGACGAGGAGGAGGAACGGCATGATGGACAGCACGTTGTGATGGGAGGAGAATGGCATGAACCAATGCACCACGAGATTGTGGGCCCAAACCAGGAGCACCAGCACATTGATAGGCAGGACCCACAACATGAGGATGAGGATGGACTGCGCGTAGTTGTTGAAATTGATGTGCTGGGCGGATTTGGTTTCCCTGGCATGCCATTGCGCCCGTACGCATGTCGCCAGCTGCACGATACACGCAACCATGTAGGCAAACTGGTAAGGGATGATCGTTGAGACGAGAATGAGCAGGACAGCGGTGTGAATCACGCGTCGTCGAGGGCTAGGAGTGCTGAAGATCGGGAGATTTCCTCGGTCTTCGCGTCGAATATAGCCCGACTTGCTGTTCACGGCTCCATAGATAACGGAGAAAATGTTGACGAGAAGGAGGGCGGCATAATTGACCAACACGCAAGCGCCAACGCTAAGAACCCCAAAAATTGGAATAAGGAACCAGAAAAATGCATCTTGTGATCCCAGAAGAAGATCGTTCTTCGTAAAGTCAAGAGGAGTTTCGGTTGAGTTGGTGCGCCAATGGAAAGGGTCATCGGACTGAGGGAGAGCTTTCGAGGTGGCGAGAGAAGATGCCAGAAGCGACATGGCCACCAACAACAACGGAAGAGAGGTGCGCAAGGCGCGATCGAGGCCATCGGCGAAGGGGACGAAGTAACCAGACTCATCGTAGATCTGGAACTGCTTGCGGAGCACAAGAGCCACAACCAGCAGCGGGAAAGCAGCAAAGACAGTGCGATATCGCATCACCAACTCGCCAAGACTGCTGGCAATATCAACCTGCAGTGAAATGTCAACCGTTGAGCCCGAGCTGGGGTCAGTCCAGAGCTGGAACGACACCCCGCCCTTCGAGGCTTGCTCGCGGAGCGGCGTTGGCATGTAGGGTGCGATGCCGTGCAGGTTGACATCGACCTCATCGACGTTCACAAAGAACTTCGACTCGTGAGGGTCAGGAATTGACTGCCGAAGCAGCGGAGCGAAGAGCTCCTCCTTTTCAGGGTGCCGGGTGATCTTGAGCCGGTAGTCGAGAAGACTCGAGTGCAATGCCGGAATTTGCACTTCGGTGAGCATGGGCCTGTTAGCAGGGAGCCGCATCTTGAGGCCTGCACCCAGCAAACTGCCGAGTCCAACTTTGGCTCGAATCATCGAATCTGAGCTGTCCGAGAACTCTGCGACCAAGAAGCCGGGCGTTCGCACGTTGGCTTTGTCCACGACGGCCACGAACTGGTGCTCTGCAAGACCCTCCAGATCATACTGAAGGTAGGAGAATGGTGGCACACGCTCCCACGCATTTCGCGATGTCAGAGTCGAAGCAGGAAGGTGAATAACGTCTTCCGCCGCATTCTTACAAGCCAACCGGGTCGAACCCACAGTCCCGCCAGAGAAATCCAAGTTCATAGAGAAGACGGTTGACCGGCCATTGTTCAGCGGGAAGACGCTGCAAAACAGCACCTCGATATTTCCCTGCTTATCCAGAGTCTGGTCTGTAATGAGTGTGAACTTCTTACCCGAGACACCCTGAGGCGGAATCGGCAACAGTCGCACATCAGGGCCATGTTGCAGGCCCAGTTCGCGGAGGATGAGCCGCTGGCCCTGAGCCAGAATCGTGTTGGCGTTGTCTTCGAGAGTCAACAGAGTATTCGGTTCCATTTGGGCTAATGTTCTTTCGGAGACGGACTCCAATCCAGTCAAATACCACCGCTTGAGCACTCGCATGCGCTCTGCTCTCGGTTTAGTTTGTGTCGGGCGTCGGGCATCGATAATCTCGAACAGCGACTTGACAATCGCCTTCCGGAACTGGTCACACCAGGTGATCGAGAGGTGGTCCATGCCGATCCAGACGTTAGGAATGGAAGATGTGAAAACAGTGAATCCATGCGTCTCGGGCACGAGGGATGTAATGCTGGTGTAATCAGAAGGAACCACGGTGTCGCGCGCACCACCGGCAATCGAAATCAGCGTCACATGCCACAGCGGGTTGTTGTTTGCCCACGTTTGCGAGTAGGCCTCACGCCAGTAGTCGTTAATCTGTTTGTAGGTATGGACAATGTCGGAGTCGAAGGAAACGGGAGGCTTCGCGTGCGGCGCAGACATGGTGATGATCGTGTTGACCGAGTTGGCCTGGTAGTTGGCCATGGTCAGGGAAGTGCGAGCCACAATGCCACCCATAGAGTGACCGATCAGGATCACCGCACTGGGGTCCGGTAACCCCGGATCCCGCCGAGTTCGTCGTGGGTCGTGGTAGAGGGAGAGGATATAGGAAATGGCTTCGTTCACGTATTCTGCCTGATCCAACAACGTCTGCCCGTGGAATGCGGCCATATCCTCGTTGAAATCCACCATGAAAAAGTCCAAGCTGCGGGTTCCGGCCGCATGGCGGTCCTCATCGTGTCGAACAATATCGTAGTAATGCCGGGAGGCCTCCGCGGCCAAGGATCGGACCTGCCGGTAACTGCCAGCATTGCCGGGAAGAAAAAGCACTGGAACGCCATTTAACTAATCACAGTCAGCCAGTGCAACGCTATATGCTCGTCGGTGATATCTTACCCCGATGTTATCCTGAGTATACGGGTCCACGCCCTCTTCTCGGTAGAAGAAGAGGTTATATTTGCTCGCAAAGCGGGTATGCTCCGTGTCGAATTCCAGCATCCGAATAAAAGTAGGACTCATCATCGGCACACCGCAACCATCTCCGCCAGCCTGCCTGCTCGCAAAAGAGCGCATGATCGAGAAGAGAAACGCGACGGCGGCAACGGTGGTGAATGCCGTGAGGATGGAAATGGACCAAGGACTGCGCAGACGAGACTGGCGCGCGCGACGGCCATCGGAAGAGGGAGCTTCCATAGGAAGCCGGGGCGAGCCCAATGGCATAGTTTTGGTATCGTTGGAGGAGGGTTGGGACGAGGGGGTGCGCCAGAGGCTCGAATTCCGCGAGCGCGGATTCGAGGAACCGTTATCGCGACGAAGATCGAAACTGGTGCCGTGCCTGGCTATTTGCGACCGAGATTTGTCGTTCGTCTCGATGGCATTGCCATGGTCCTCTGGAGATCGAGTCGGGGAATCTTCAGTGTCGTCCGCGACAGGGGAGCCAGACGAGCGTCTGTGCATTGAAGGAGGCGGAGTCGGGACACATCCAGCACACCGAAAGGATCTTGGCACAGGGCCACGCAGGACCCAATAGGTGAGAGCAGGAGAGGAGGGGGGAGAAGAGAGGGAGGTGGAAGGGGGGAAATTTTCGACTTGCAGGAATGCGGAAGGTCAAGTTCCCAAGGAGAAAGACGTGGTTTCTGGTCGGGGTTTGGCTCGAGACTTGGCAGAGGGAAAAAAAAATGGTACCTGAATCCCTGACTGGTATTTTGTGGAGAAACAAGGAACACCTTTGGGATGTACCTGTAGGTTTCCTTTCCAAAGGTACTAAAGGTTTAGAATCAGACTGAGAGGGAATTGGGGCTTTTGGATCTTGAGCATTTGGACGGAATTGGTATCTTCGGTCTTGGCAGTTGGCGGGTGTCACCCCAGTCGAGACCTACCGTGCCTTATCGACTACGGAGTAGAGTGAGGTGAGAGATTGCCCTAAGCAGCGCTAAGTAGGTCGCTAAGTGGACGGGTATCAACTGCCGCTCTCCATTTCTGCTCCTAGGTGATCTGATCAATTTGCTAGCCATGGTCACGATTCCCGAAGGCAACCATATAAAATCCACGATGTACCTGCAGGACGCGTACGAGAGGCGATCACATCGAATCAAGGCCAAAAAAGACTTTAACCTGTTTCTTAAACGCTCTTCAAGCTTTCGGTAGCTTAGGCCCTGGGTCTCCTGTCACCGTGCCGGGTGAATAGCGTGACCAGCTTATATCTGAACAGGTCTTGGCATAAGGTACATGTACTTGGTTATGTACTTGTGTACTCCGTACCCGGCGCCCAGGCATAATCCCGGCAAATAACCTAACTTACCCTCCACAATTAGCCTGATCTCACACCCAGCCAACGTAGTAAGAGATCGGCTCGTATGTCGTGTACCGTGAGACCTGAGTGCGGGGTTTTCGCCCCGGTCGCTCTATAGATACACACTTTCCAATCCTCGTCTCTTTCCCCTGCACATTTTATACTCAGGTACGTTAATAAACGAAATGTTTTCTTTACTCCTAACATGAACAAACCCTTCAACCCTCGGACTGGCAGCTTGCCAGGTTGACTTTTGTCCAAAATTAAGCAGATTCAGATCGTGTTGTCTGTGCTTGCAGCCCCAGTGGGTCGATTGCTTGGAACTACTGCTAATCGTTCCTTGGCCCTATATCGTCTCTATATCGATACTCGGCAACCGTATTTCGAATCAAATCGTTCTATTGCAACATAGGTATCCATTGATATCGTCGCGAAAAGGAGCAATCGTATCGCATGTACATGTCACTTATAAGCAACTTGGCATCCGGCCATCATATCATCAGGGTATCCCAAGGGGTGGACATCATTAAGTCAAAAAACAGGTCACCATCCTACTCCACCTGTTTAGTAGTCGCCTTCTCCGGGTCACTGTCACGCTCCATTCCACGGTGTGCAGCCACAACCGCCAGATCGGCATCGTGCTCCGCATCAAAATTACGACCGAGACGCTCAGGCCCGATGAAGGTCACGATGATGGTGTAGGCATAAACACAACCCATAAAGATACAGATGACCTTGCCGTAATCGTAGCGGTGGGCTGATTCCTTCGTAGCCGGGAGGGGGAAGCGCTCGCCGATCGTCGACTCGATGGTCGAACTAGCGGACGACACGAGGTTGCCCAGCTGGTAGGACGTACCGACAACGAAAGTGCGAATGGGACCGGGTGACAGCTCCATTAGGTGAATAGGGATGACACCCCATGCGCCCTGCACCATGAACTGCTCAAAGAAAGCCGCTGCTATGACATTGTGTGAGGTGACAAAGGTGTATGGGTAGAGAAGCGCGCCGCCGACGATGCTGATCACGATGATGGAGAATCGGCGACCGAAGATCTGACTCGCCCATCCGCACAGTGTACCACCGGTCAACGCTCCCAGGTTCGCGACCACTTGCGTCACAGTCACCGCGTTCTTGGAGAAATTAAACTGGGTTTCCAGCATCGTAGGGTAGAGATCTTGCGATCCGTGAGACATGAAGTTGAAACCGGCCATGAGCAGGACCAGGTAAATCAACAAAAGCCAGTGACGCTTCAGCGCAACCTTGCCCTCGGATATGAAAGAAGCAGCCACACCACCACGAGCCTCCTCACGCGCAGCTTGTCTCCGGCGGAAAGTTTCCGTCTCCGGCAGACACAGACGGAAGGCGATGATCAGCACGGGAGGACAAGCAGCGAACCAGTACAGCGGGCGCCATCCGTGGGAAGTAGTATCGACCAGACCACGCGCAAAAGCAGTAGCCAGCAAATAGCCAAAGGCATAGCCCTGCTGAAGCAAACCCGAGATAATACCACGAGCCTCTGAGGGACAATCCTCGAGCGCCGTGGCAGCAACATTACCAAAAAGACCACCCATAGCAATACCAAAGAGAGCACGGCACGCCAGGAACTGCTTATACGTCTGAGAGAAACCAGCACCCAGTTCTAGAGCCACGAACAGCAGCTGATTGACCACAAACGGCCACTTGCGGCCCCACCGATCGGATGCAATTCCGAAGATGATTGCACCGACGGATCGCAGCATTAGCACCAATGTGATGCCCCATGTGATATCGGTGACGGATGTATTGAATGTTTTGGCCAGCTGAGTCGTTGTCAGAGAGACGGTGAAGAAGTCGAAGGCATCCCATGTCCACCCAATAAACGCGACCTAAACAGAATTAGTATTCCACGTGCAAGACGAGCTCTAGAAAAAAAATACCGAAAAAAATAGCCATTGCTGGCGGTTGAGTAGAGTCACCGCCTTGAATGGATTCGGCGCCTTATTCATCGGCGGAACGAGTGTGGGAATGCGTGTAGCGATGTAACGCCCGATACTCATGTCCTCCTCTACGTCCGGCGAGGACGCCGGCGTGTGTTCAGACTTGTGAGTTTCTGCCATGGCGTTCACTCGGTAAATAAAAATTAGGAACCGAGGGAGCGTGCCACAGCGGAACGGAACGTGTCGGGGCCGAGTTGTTCGGAGGGAAGGGGGGGGGAAACAGAAAGAGAATGGGGGAAAACACGACTCTAAATACATCGTGACACTCTCACTTTTTTTTAGCCTTTGGTCTCATCCGCCCGCACATCTTGGGCCTTGGTCCGTGGGGCTAAACCCCGCTCCTCGAGATCCAGGGACGCAAACGCTTTGCTATTTGCTGGCAGCATGTGGTGGTCAGCTCTAGTTCGGGACTGGCACGAAACAGGCGCCGATCTTTGCACCTTCTGGGAATCGATGGACCAGCTCTTCTCGTTTTACTTCTGTCATCCAGATTCTTGGGGCCCTTGGAACGTGTTAACGTTGCCGGCCGGAGCCAACTATAGACGCGGCTTGCTGCCAGGCACGTCCGACGTCGTGCAGCACATCTCCAACTCTCCACATCACCCAGTCAAAGTACCCCGATGATCCAGATTGGCTCGTATCGCCGTCATTTCCAAATTCTTCGAGTTGACTGAATCCTTTGACGCTCCTCTCGGCCTATCAGCCTCGTGGTCCGGATATACAGTTACAGCCAAGACTGGTATCTCCGCATCCCCGGATCCCTGGATCGTCGTTCCTACCCTGGTTCTGTGCCGCCACTTCGGCCACGGCGCTCGGAGAGTCTCCGTTTATACAATCGACACACAGGAGTGCACGATTTGAATCTGTCCTGTGTGCGCTTGCCTTTGCCTCTTATTCTGCAATCGTCCGGGCTAGACTAACTCCGCCTTGATCTGCTCAGACCGGGTTGTGGAGCTCTCTGGAGACCACCTAACACCTGGGCCTCCCCGCGACCCACATCCCTCCGGAGTCGAAGCGAGCAAAGGCTCACGGGACGGATTCCTGCCTTCTATGCCGGGGCATTCGCATTCGCATTTGCCATGATCGGCACACCGATCTGTCTCGGTATAGGGCTTGCCGGGGGTTGTTGATTTAGCCTATTTCACGCTGGCCATTGAACCCACGATCATGAAGCGAGTGTTGTTGTAGTCAATATTTTGATGAGATGGGGAGAGGACATGACATTCGTATTTCGTTACGGCCTGGGAACCTGCTTCGGCGTCGAGCGTCTATCAGAGTGCGAGCCTCGGTTAATAACCTTTTACTCGAGACTTGGCGCAACGGGGAAAAGCTGGGCAGCACCGGTTGACAAGGCAGTCGTGGCTCAAACACACTTTCGGACGTTCGCCGATACTTATAGGCGTGTGGCTAGCCTTTGCCAGGTGGCTGATAGAATGTGGCAGCGGGTGAGATTGAGGCGATGGTCGAGGTAGACTCACCTCGACTCATATCCAGGTCCAAAACCGAGGCCCCACAGAGGCGAGATAAGTAATAACGTCAGAATAAGCGACGGCAGTGAGCCAAGTCGCACGCTGTATTAGTTCTTTATCTTGGCGGCCGAAGTCGTGCACTCCAAGACCGCCAAACCCCCGACAAGAACTGAGGTCGAGGGCTTGTTTGCCTTGGCCTGCAGTGCCATGGACACCGGAAAATTGGCATCAAAGCTTCTTCCAACCCTGTCTCGATAACAGACTAGAGGCGCCGTCGCTCAAGAACATTACAGAAAAATGTCCAGAAAGATGCGCGAAAAGATATCTAGAACATCCTCCCATGTAACCAGGGAGACAAGGAGTATACACAGAAGGATACCAAAAAGGGATGGTCAAGCAGGAGAGCAGGACAGGAGGGAAATAGTCGACATAATACCTACAGAAACCCCATCAAAGCCCCTCCTCAATCTTCTCAACCAGACAAGCAGTTCCATAAGCACAAATCTGCGAACATGCACCAAAACTAGCAACATCAAACCTCACCGCAATAATCGCATTTCCACCTCGACTCATACACTCGCCCACCAGCCTCTCCAGCGCTTCTTCACGCGATGTGTACATCAAACTGGTAAAGAATCGAATCTCGCCTCCGACAGCTGATCGCACAACTGCCCCCAGGTCCGCGCCCCAGTTCCTTGTTCGCACGGTGATACCGTAGACTGTACCGAGTACGGATTTGATCTTGTAGCCTGGGAGGTCATTCATTGTTGAAGTGATCACTCCATGGGTGTCGGTGAAGCATGACGGGACTTCTTTATCTTTCTTGGGGGGTGCCATGGTTGTATCGTTGGTGGTAATAGGTTTCTCTGGCGGTCTGTTGGGTTAGTTGGTGTGCTTGGAGCATTGTGGGGGTGCCATGTTGCCATGTACTTTGCGGAGACTTATTAAGAGGGGTTTAGTGGGGTATTGTTATGATTGAAAGAGCGAAAAGCAATGGAATTGAAAGGCCAATATAAGGAAAAGTTTGTGCCTCGTATTCAGATCATCGCGATGCCGTCATAACCGCGCGATTTTTCGAGAAAGGCCTCAAATGACCACAACAGGGCGTAAACTACTTTTTCTCCTAACACTTATTGAGGGCTATCTGACGCTGAAGATAGACCAGCCATGGGTGTCCAGATCTGATCGATAAGCAGTGCTGCATGCAGGTTCCCGCGGGGTTCACCCATGTGTCAGTCAAAGGGCCGGGGGCCCGGGCCCGTCCTGGCAAATTCTATCTTTCATTCGTCTCTCTTAGAATAGAGTACAGCCATTGTAGACTTGAAGATGGAGCATCAGCCACAGTGCCACCGGTTTCGATTCTAAATAGGAAACCATCGCGTCCTCCGACAGGGGGCTGTGCTGTGCTGATCCACGGACCTGAACGGGATCTGAGGCGATGCTACGTCTCAGCCTTGCTTGGCAGCTAATACTGCGGACTGCCATAGTACTCTTATTTAATGTGCCGCTCCTTCTAAGATTTGCTCACTTACCTTCATTTCATTCAGAAGCGTCGATACCTCTCTCCGTCTCATTATACCTTCCTAGATCATTCCCATCATGTCGCATTACCCACCCAACCAGTACGGTGACTACGGTCAGAACTATAACCAGCAAGCCCAGGGCTATCCGCCTCAGCAAGGATACGGCGTCCCGCCGCCGCAGGGCTACTACCCTCCCGAAGTGAGTGCCATTCTGTAGCCTGTATCATGATATTATACGATACAATGCGCCATAACCCCCGGGCTCCCAATAGATCGCTCACAATGGACATTATAGCAGCAGCAGCATGGCTACGGCCAGCCCCCCACTCAGTACGGCCCGCAGCACGATCACCCTCCCCGCTACGAACAGCACCCGCAAGGCCAGTATCCCGGCCCTGGGTACGGCGCCCCGCAAATGCCTACCCAAGACCGCGGCCAGTCGCCCTATCCACCCCAGCAACAGTACCAGCAGGGCGGCGAAAGCGCCTCGTACTACGGCGCAGCCCCGCCCACGCACCAGCAAGGCTACGCACCTGGCTCTGGTGGCCCCGAGGGCGAGAAGGGTCTCGGATCGACACTGCTTGGCGGCGCAGCTGGCGGGTTCGCGGGCCACAAGTTGGGTGGTGGGTTCCTGGGAACTGCAGGCGGTGCTGTTCTAGGAGCTGTTGGTATGAACATGGCTACACATGAGATGTAAGTTGCGCTGTATTTCCGAGTTTGGCTCGGTGCACATGGACTGACGTTATGCGTTTTGGCGGAATAGCAAGGACCACAAGAAGAAGAAGGACAAGAAGGACAAGAAACATAAGAAGGAGAAGAAGCATAAGGATAAGCACCACAAGCGCCGCGGCTCGGGATCTAGTTCCAGCTCGAGTTCTTCGAGTGATAGTGACTAGAAGTTTTTCTTCCATGATTTAAGATTTATTGCTGGGCTGGTTCGATTGGTTGGGCTCGCCCATGATGATTGCACTCCTACTTGCTCAAACATTGAGCTTTGATGAAGACCAAAGGAATTGATGCTTTTTTTCTTATTCATATGTACATTCTTATCGAAGTGATCACTTGAACACAGGCGTTGCATGGTCAAACTGCTGTTCTACTAAGATGCTCAAGTTTCATGTAGTCTAGGCAGATGGGCTCGAATGCATTGGAATATGTACTGAATCTATTATACAGGTATAGTAAACGCTAAAGTGATATGTTCAATCAATAGACATTTCAGCCAGGAATTTGAGTCCCTGAACTTTCAGTTCTTGGTAAAGTTTGAGGCTTTATTAAGTCCTCAGAAGAGTCCTTCGCCGATGTCTGTTTCCCGGAAACAAAGATATCGTCGAGTTCCGCCCCTTCGGTCAAACTGAAGCTCAGCTGCGGTGAAATCTTGGGGGAATCCCAGAAAAACTGCCATTTCGAGGATATCGGATTCCACTTCATTCGTGGAATTAGGGAAGAGATGCGTCGCCATTGACGGTGCATAAATCGGTTGGTGATCTCGTGCGGCCGGCCATTGGCGTATTTGCCAAAGGTCCAGCCTTTTTGCGGCCCGTCGGTCAGAAACTCCAGGAGGCTATCTTCCTGAGCCACCGTAGAAGATGTCTTCTTCCTTCGCTTAATGGGCGCCCATGGCAAAGCTCCCGAGATCAAGTCGTCCAGAACAGCCAATTCTTGATCCGGCAGCGGCGGCAGTACGCTATTCAATGCGTCGGCGTACCATTTCCTACGCATGTTCCTGCGACGGTTACGACTGAGCGGCTGGCCCCAGCTGTTCTTCTCGGGTATCGCTGGCTGGAGGCTTTTCACATTTGGCCGAACACGGTTCGATGAGAGGAGGCCATTGTTCATTTGAGACTTCATGAGACTGAGAATAATCATCGGAGGCTCCCAGCCATCTTCGTATTCCAGCGGTCCATCGACTAATTGCTTCAGGGACTTGGCGTCGGTTGGAACATCGGCGGCCAGTAAACGGTCTAAAAATTTATGCCGCTGTTCCCCAATGCGCCCGTATGAACAGAACAGAACTTTCTCCAATGGTCTTTGATATCCTTCGTTTGCTCTTTGAATCAGAGACAGTCCTTTCCGGGCCGTTCGAGCCCAGTCGGCTTCGGTGTCAGTGGACTTCTTTCCGGCGGGCTTCTTTGAGCCGTGACGATATCGTTTGAGAACATAGCCTTGCATGTAGGCCCGGGCGACGGGATCGGGGAGATAGGTGCATTCGCGAAGAGTGGCGCGTAAGATTTGACGCCATTGTGAGGGACCTCGTGGGTAGAGAGAGCCGGATATTTGAGCAGACGCCATTGAAGGAAGAGCACAACCCAAACCGGCAGAACGCGAAAACCTTAGCGGGTAGCGTGTCACGGGACGGCGACGCGCGCTTTTCGCTCTTCAGAACCCCAACCCCGCGACTTGACTTGCCTTGCATTGCGTATCCGATCCAGATCGGTTCCTGACAAATTCCTCCTCCAATTCCGGGCAATCCAACCCGTTGGATGGTCCTCACTGTGACCTGTTGCGCTTTCCCTTCCCGAAGGGTGTAGCCACGCGCCTCCTTTTGCTCGCGTCTCCCCGGCGTCTGGTAACAACTCCCCACCCTTATGCCGCCCTACCCTTGTTGCCGCGACTTGATACTGACCGGACTGGAAAGGGTCCAGTATGTCCTACTCGCAAAATAGTATAGGGTCAGTGAATGGGCTGGCATTTTTGAACACTTCTCAATCCCTCTCCTCAACTCCTGGCGCAACTCCTCCGCCCCCAAAAGGGTCGCAGATGTCTTCCTTCGGCATGTCAAATGGCATGTCAAGGAGCAGTTTCGGTGGCTATGATGGAGGAAATGATTATGGTTCCACGGGCCAGTACCAGAACCAGAGTGAAACACCACAAATCTACCGCGTTCGTTATACTACCTGAATACGCCGCACAGGTTTGTGCTGATAATATTTTCCTAGGCGGTTTACTCCAATGTGTCTGTTTACGAGATGGAAGTCCGAGGAGTCGCAGTTATGAAGCGTCGATCCGATTCCTGGTTGAATGCAACTCAAATCCTGAAGGTGGCTGGGGTTGTCAAAGCCCGAAGAACGAAGACCCTGGAGAAGGAAATTGCGGCCGGCGAGCATGAGAAGGTACAAGGGGGCTATGGAAAATACCAAGGAACGTGGGTCAACTACCAGAGAGGTGTCGATCTGTGTCGAGAATACCATGTCGAGGAGATTTTGCGACCCCTTCTGGAGTATGACATGGCCCCCGATGGTACCGGAGGCGCTTCCCAAGGGACACTGGATACACCCACCAAGGAACAGGCTATGGCTGCGCAACGGAAACGACTCTACAGCGGCGCTGAGAATCGCACCATGTCTCAGCCCCAACAAGGGACCTTCTTCCAAAACATCTCGCGCGCTGCGGCGACTGCCGTGAACGCCATCAGCAAAGCTAGGTTTGACTCTCCGAGTGCCAACAGCCGCCGACCAAGCGTGCCTCGCAAGCCATCACAGCAGATGGGTAGCCAGGAGTCACAGATGGCATTCAGCAGCCAGAACAGCATGTACATGTCCGACAGCGGATTCAGCAGCCTACAGAATCGCTTCCATCAGGATGATCATGATGATTTTGCGGAACCCCCGCGCAAACGTGTTCGCTCCTCCTCGCATCACGGTCCCCCAATTGGCCTGCACCGCGAGCCGTCCAACCTCTCCATGCACGAACCTACTCCTACCGAGCCCAATGATTCCTTTTATCAGGACATGGACTTGCCACCCCCGCCTATGGATGATGGTCAGAAGCGCGGTCTGGAGCCCGTGCCTCCGGCCTCAGAGCCGGAAGGCTTCCAAAAGACCAAGCTGATTATGACTCTCTTCCTCGACAAGCGGACAAAAGACTTCACCAACCACCCCGCTCTGATGCAGCTGACTGGCGAAGATCTCGAGATCCCGCTTGATGAGTACCGAAACAATGCTCTTCATTGGGCTGCGATGCTTGCACGTATGCCGCTGGTCCATGCACTCGTGGCCAAGGGAGCGAGCATATCACGAGTTAACCTTGCCGGTGAGACTGCCCTGCAGAAGGCAGTGGGAACCCGTAACAACCTCGACTACAGAAGCTTTCCCCGTTTGCTTCAGGTACTTGCACCAACTATCGATATGGTTGATTACAGTGGCCGGACTATCTTGCACCACATCGCTGTGATGGCCGCAACAGGTGGTGGGGGGCATGTCTCTGCCAAGCACTACCTGGAGGCACTCTTGGAGTTCATTGTCCGACATGGGGGCTTGTCATCAGCTACCAACGGCGATCTTGCGCAAAATGGCTCCTCCGGTACCGATTGCATCTCTTTGGGGCGGTTCATCTCGGAAATTGTCAACCTCCGGGATGACCAGGGCGATACAGCGTTGAATCTTGCAGGGCGGGCACGCTCGGTCCTTGTTCCACAGCTTCTGGAAGTTGGTGCTGACCCGCACATTCCCAACCATACCGGTCTTCGGCCTGCCGACTACGGAGTCGGTGTTGATATGGTTGACAACTCACAGTCGCAACAGAACGGAGGTCGCAACGATACCTTTATTGATCAGCTGGCGAAGTCTAAGAAGGAGATACTCGATGGTAAGTTATTGTCCTGCTTCGCCATTTTTCCGTACGCTAACCATAACCCCAGCCGCTATGTCTCAAATCAGCACGATGGTTGAAGAGGCACTGGGAGGTATTGATCGGGAGTTGGCCTCGAGCCTGACTCAAAAACAGGAGAAGTTCGATCATTGGCATTCAAAGATTCGCGAGTCTGCCAAGGCCCGCCAGATCGAGCAGAAGCAGCTGGATGCATTGAAGCAGCAGGCTTCGGACCGAGTGGAAGTCGACCGACGCATCAAGAATCTGGAGCGATCTTCCGAAAGCTTAATGAGCACATTGAAGGGCACCCAGGGTTTTGATCCCTCCCGAATCGCTGTCGTCGGTGATGCGGACCAGGATTCCGGCGTGGATGTCATCGCATTCGAAAGCCTATTCCCAGATACCTTTGCACCCTCCTCCGGGTTCTCTCAACAACAGATCGCATTCCTGGCAGCATTATCTCCGCCGGATGCGCTTCGGCATCGGCTCCAATGCTACCAAAAGTTCAACGCAGGCATAACCGCCGAAGTTGACAGCCTCAAGGCAAAAAACGCCGTTCTGGGCCAGAATTATCGACGCATGGTGATGGCATGCACGGGCTGGTCGGCGGAACAAGTGGACGAGGCAGCAGAAGGCTTGACACAGTGTGTCAAAGAGTTGAATGATAACCCAGTACCGGAAGACGAGGCCATTGAGATCCTGATGCGGGATCGTGGGCAGGACTGGTAATTCTTGACATCTTTTCCTCTGAGCGTTTGTGGGACGGCGTTGCATTTCTCCATTGTATGATACGAATACCCGGGCGGCCTTGCCTGATGTCTATTGCCATTTGCTGTAGTTATGTTTGAATAGACACACTGTCTGTACAACTTGATGTGTGATTCGTTCGTATGGGCGTTTCTTGACTCTAGTACAGGCTAAATGCCGTGGGGAGATTAGCCGGTTAAATGCGTCCTGTGCGGATGTGGCTTGGCCGGTTTAGTACTTAGCCAATATAGCTGTCCTCTGTTCCCCGCATTTGTACTCTATTCTTTGGCACCGGAGAAACTACTTATACCTTGTGAGTGTCTTCGGAGCCAGGTATTCCGTCAATATTCTTTTAATCTCCTAGCAAGATCACAGGAACCTCACAAAAGTCGCAAGCATGGCCGCCGGCATTCTACGCGTCAAAGCAGACGCAGTCATCAATGAAAATGGAGAACGTGTCATTCTGCGCGGAGCAGCTCTCGGGGGGTGGATGAAGTAGGTCTATTGACCCAAGCCTCCCGGAGGCTTTCTCCCATGCTAACAAGAACAGCATGGAGAATTTCATCACTGGCTTCTCGGGCCACGAATCCCAGCACCGTGCTGCCATGCGCAAGGTCCTCGGGCCGGAAAAGTACGAATTCTTCTTCGACAAATGGCTGGAATACTTCTTCACCGAGGCGGACGCCAAGTTCTTTGCGAGTGTGGGACTCAACTGTCTGCGACTACCGTTCAACTACCGTCATTTTGAAGATGATATGAATCCGCGCGTGTTGAAGGAGTCTGGGTTCAAGCACCTAGACCGGGTTGTGGATTTGGTTAGTTGTTCCTCCTTAAGGTCGTTGATAATGACATCTTCGTTAATGGTCTGAATAGTGCGCTAAACATGGCATCTACACGATCTTGGATATGCATGCCGTGCCCGGTGGCCAGAATCCTGACTGGCATTCTGATAACCCAACCAGCTATGCCGCCTTCTGGGACTACAAGGACCACCAGGACCGCACTGTATGGCTCTGGGAACAGATTGCTGCGCGATACAGACAGAACCCTTGGGTTGCGGGGTATAATCCGCTTAACGAACCCTGCGATCCGGAGCACGTGCGACTTCCAGCATTCTATGCCCGCGTAGAGAAAGCTATTCGAGCAATTGACCCGGATCATATCTTGTGGCTGGATGGGAATACCTTTGCTATGGAGTGGAAAGGGTTTGAGACCGTGTTGCCGAATTGCGTATACGCCATGCACGACTATGCAGTAAGTGCATCTTGATGCAAGGTACCCGAGTTTTGCATATCTCTAACCGTTTAGTCAATGGGGTTCCCTACTGGGGATAGATACAAGGGGACGCCCGAGCAAAACGAGCGTCTCGAGCGACAGTATCTCCGCAAAGCGCGGTTCATGAGTGAAAAAGGCACACCGGTCTGGAACGGCGAGTTCGGACCTGTCTACGCCGATCCTGCCTTTGATACCGATGCCGTGACGGTGAATCAGGAGCGATACAACCTCTTGGGAGAACAGCTGCGCATCTACGACAAATACAAAATCCACTGGTCCATCTGGCTATACAAGGACATTGGTTTACAGGGCATGATCTATACTGACCCGGAGAGTCGATGGAACAAAACAATTCAGCCTTTCTTGAACAAGAAGAGAGATTTCTGGCTTGATAAATGGGGACAACGCCCTGCGGCCGAGCCTGAAGCTGCGTTGAAGCCTCTTGTTGATTTTATTGATCGCGTTAGTCCCTCGGCTAAGGATACATATCCCACGCCTTGGAACACGGAGATGCATGTTATGCGTAACGTGTTCAATACTTTTCTGGCTGCTTCGTTTGTGGATGACTTTGCGGCTTTGTTTCAAGGCTTGGATGAGACGGAGCTGGAGGAGTTGGCAAGGAGCTTCCATTTTGATGAGTGTGTGCAGCGCAATGGCCTGAATCGGATTCTGAAGGAGCATGCGCAGGTAACCCAGTGATAAACTGCTTGATAGAGGCCTGGAAAGATCAGATTCATGAAGAAGTACTGGTTCATTTGTGATCTACTAAGAATAGAGGGGTAGCAAGGGTCGTGGCAATACTATCTGAAGCCGGTACATTTTGTATGGAAATGTCTAGCCCCACGCACAATGTACTATCCACACACTATCGATAAGCAGAAAAATCGAAAAGATCGCGGGGTTTTGCGCACTTTCGACGCTCGAGGATTTGAGGGTTTTGGCTTGGAACAAACGACTCGACAAGCACAGTCGACATGGCCGAGTCACCCGTTCCTGAAACGCTGAACAGCGTCTTCGACGCTCCCCTCAAAGACCGATATGATCCCGTTCGCTTGTCCTCCGAGAACATCGTCTCCATCTTCGAGCTGCCCCTGGCCAAGAAAGTCCTCGGCAACGACGCCGACAGCGAGGCAATTGCAAACATCGCCAATGCCAATACCTCCTATACAGCCTTCGTCGCAGACAAGGCCCGAACCGCCCTTCAAACCCCGCCCGACGGCTTGACGGTTGAGCAAACACAATCGCAAATCTTGCACATTGGACTAGCGGCGCTGTTCAGTTTTCTGCAGTCTAACGTTACCGGACCCCCTCTGGACTTCAACTCGGCTGAGATTCTTCTTCCCCCTGCCCTGCGAGGCGACGTCAAGGTTCTTCGAGCTGTGCGGGCGAAGATCATTCGCGATCTCACCGTTGACGGTGAGGCGGCCTACAAGCTTACACCCAACCCTGAGTTGTTCTCAGTCGCCAAGGCCCTGCTAGTGGATGCAAACAACGAGGGATCGGTTGTGGCGAAGACAGCAAGCATGCGTGTCAACTTCCTTCACCAGAAGATGCTGTCTGAAGTCACCAGCACATTGCAAGATTTCATCTACAAGGGCGTGGAAGCTCTGAACAAGGCGGATTTGACTGCGGATGAAAAGGGACGGTTCTTGTTGGAGCGCGCGATTATCAACACTCACCACGGTTTCGATGTCAAGGCACGGGCGGATCTTGACCAGGCATGCCAGATCCGGAACTTTGAGTTTGCCTTGACGGGTCAGATGGGCAAGCGGACGAAGTTCCAGGAGCGTGATACCAGTCAGCTGGTTGTACTGGCGAAGAGTTCCGATGAAACCCCCAAGTCTGCCGGTCCCTCTGGCCCTAAGAACCTGGATCTCAACGATGATACCCTCCTCGAAGCCATCTCTTTCACCGAGAGCAAAGCTACAAATGTCCAGGATGAGCTTTCGCCAGCTCTGCAATCGGTCGACCCTAATGACCAGCCTATTCTCAACCCTGTGGATTCCGCTATCTTGTTAGCGATGGCATCCGCCATCACCAACACCGCACCTGAGAACGGCTTGACGCGTGAGGAGACACAGCCATACGCCACTCGAGTTCTCGAGGGCGGCAGCTCGAACTGGCAGATCTACACGGAAGCCCTTTTAGTACGCAGTCGCGTGGAGGGCTACCGTGTGCGTACTGTCGAGAGATCTGTGCTGCAAATGCAGGCTCTTGTTGACCAAGTCATTGCAGACACAGCGACGGACGACTCGGCTGCGCAGCAGCCTTCAGCTGAGCCCTCCACCTTCTTGCCTCGTCCCGAGAAATCCGAGTCTGCCTCTGCCGCTGACCGATTGGAATACATCTGGCTCATGAACTTCTCAACTCGGTGGAGCCTCGAGGCCGAGTTAGCCAAGCGCTGGGTCGAGCTTGGTGGTCTCCGTACTGCACTTGAAATTTACGAAAGACTTCACATGTGGGCCGAGGCCGCTTTGTGCTATGCTGCAACCGAGAAGGAGGCCAAGGCTCAGAGTATTGTGCGACGCCAGCTTTACGAGGCGACTGGTCAGGACGAAGATGATGAAAATGAGAAGTTTGACGGCCCAGAGCGGTCGGCTGAGACCTTGCCAGCGGATGCTCCCCGTCTGTTCTGCATCCTGGGAGATATCGAGAAGAACGAGAAGCTTTACGAGCGTGCCTGGGAAATCTCAGGAAAGCGATATGCCCGCGCTCAACGCTCTCTGGCTCGTCATTACCTCTCTCTCACACCACCCGAGCTAGAGAAGGCCGAAGAAGCCTACCGCCAGAGTCTGCACATCAACCGCCTCAACCACGGCGCCTGGTTCGCTCTCGGCTGTGTCCAGCTCGAGCTACAGCATTGGGAGGACTCTACCGACTCCTTCACCCGCTGCGTGCAACTAGACGACACCGACGGCGAAGCATGGAGCAATCTAGCAGCTTCAATGCTACGGACGTCAGTCCCGGAGTCCACCACCCCCAGCGAGGAAGTAGACGAAAACAACCCCGACGTCGACCCCCACAAGCGCAAGCGTGAAGCCCTCGTCGCCCTCCTGCGTGCTGCACAAATCAAACATAGCGATGCCCGCATCTGGGATAACGTCCTGACAGTCGCCGCCTCAATCCCGCCCCCCTCAACTCCTTTCCGCGACGTGATCACGGCGCAGAAGCGAATCATCGAACTCCTCGGCGCAAAGAAGGGCGAGAAATGCATCGACGGACCCATCTTAGCAATGCTAGTCGATTTCCTCTGCACAGCCTTCGAATACGACTCCCTCCTCATCCCCTCCGATTCCGGCCCCATCATTCGCACAGGTACAATCGCAGGCCAGATCCTCTCCCTGATAGACGACCACGTCGTTCCCCTAATCACGCATTCCGCTGCACTGTGGCTCGTCGTTTCGCGCGTCGAGGCGTTCCGCGAACGTCCAGCTGCTGCTCTGGAGGCGCATGAGAAAGCCTGGCGGGCGACTGTTGCGAAATACGCGCAGGGTGCATTCCAGATGGGCGATGAGAAGCCCTGGCTTGAGGTTGTTCGCTCTACTGAGAAGCTTGTTCGGGAGGGGTATGCTAAGTATGGGCCTATGGATCGGGAGGGGCAGACGGTTGAGGGTGATAAGGAGCTGGCGATGGTTGCTAGTGACTGGCGCTTTAAGGCGAGAAGTGCCGTGAGAGGTATTTTGGGTAAGGGGAAGGACTTCTGGGAGGACTCTGAGGGGTGGACTCGGTTGAAGGCGCTGCAGGGTGAGGTTACTGGCAGCTAAGGCAGTACATATTGAAAATAAAGCATTTTATGGCATCTTTAGGCCTCAATCAAAGCCAAGTTGTTTAACAAGTATGTGTCTTTTATTGTGAGGTCTGTTGAGCCTGGTTTTCTCCGATTTCACGAACTTAGATCGCTGGCTCGTGTGAAAGGCATCAACTCAAGCCTCCATCTTCCTTTTTAACATCCCACAAAAGCTCTCAAACAACACACTATCTGTCCCCTGAATCCATCGTATCAGAACCTGCACTTCACCATTTGCCTCAGGAGTTTGCCCATGCATCAGTTTCACCTGAACACGGACCCCGAGCGCCACCTCCTCTGGAACAGTCGTTATCTGCATGCCCTCCTGCCCGGCAAGCTTCATCTTGCGACGCGCCTGTCGAGACCAGACATTCTCAGATGTGAATCCCACACCAGCACTGAGATTTTGGTCCCAGTGCCAGTACCACGAAAGTGAGTCCAGCTCCCCATTCAGAGTAGCGCTAGCAGTGTCGATGGATGTCTCTGGGGAAAGCGTAAAGGTATAATCACCCGGGAAAGGAAGCAGATGCTTCGGGAAGCCTGGAATGCCCCGTGCTACACTCTATATAAGATCAGTATAAATCGGAACGGATGGCTAAAAGGAGTTAACATACCGTCTTAGGATGCCGGTCCCCCCACGACCAAGCAAGAGCCCAGCGCTTCGTCTTTCCCTGTACAAGCTCGGTCACCGCGTAATTGCGGTTGTTATTTTTCATCAGTGTCTCGACGAGGACAGTGACGCTGCCGAATTTTCCTAGCATGGATGTGTACCACTGTACTTGGGTGCGCAGTTGCATGCTCTCTTCGATCATTCGTGTCACGAAGGCGACCTCGCCGCCTGGTGTGACCATTTCCATGTCTGCGCCTGTGCATGTCTGTGCAATGTGAGTCTTCTTTCTCTATGATAGATGGGAGGACGTATGTACCTGAGATGGTTTCTCTGACTTGAATTCTGCGGATTGAGTCATCTCTTCGTGTGATGCGTAGAATGGGGGGTTGCATATTGTAAAGTCGATTCTGAAGCTATGTTAGTGGTCACTCAAAGCCCAGCGAAGTGTGCCATGGGTTACCTTTTCTGTCCGAACTTGTTGAGTGGGAAAAGAGAGTCTTTGGGGTCAGTTCTCACGATTTGGACTCGTGATTCGAGCTTGTTGAGTTTGACGTTTTGCTCGGCTGTGCGGGCGTTATTCTCGTCGATTTCTGAAAGCTTATTAGAAATGGTCTAAGGTATTGCCCAAACAAATACCTGTTGCGAGAAATTTCCACTGAGGTCGAAGTCTGCATCCCAGTAAAGGGTAGATGCTGCAGCACCCAGTTCCGCTAAAACTCATCAGTCCCAGATCCGGTTTCATCAATTCGAGAGTGATTACTTACATATCAAGGCCAAAAACCTCTCTATTAGTATCATATCCTTCTTTGATAGTGCCAGCAGTTGAGTCCAGAAGATCTTGCAACCAGATGATGTAGTTCAGTCTATACTTTTAGTTTGGCATCCAAGTAAACAGCAGGATGCCTGTCATACCTGTTAGGAACCTAGAAGGATTTCAGTTGTGTTGATCATGCAAGTCGGATATCTCTCTTGCATACCGGTGGGCATAGTCGATCTTCAGGCAGTTCAATCTTCAAACGAAAGTCCTGCTGCAGCAAACTGATAGTCAACGCTCTGCGGCACCGTCAGCTCTGGCATGAGTCAATGCGTGGGTAAGATTTTTACCTCACGGATGCCGGATTATTAAAGTCAAGTTGGCCATTTGATTTGAGACTGGTGAGTCGTCAGTCTCCAGATCTACGTCACCTTCAGAGTACTCACTGCTTCGCGAACTCCGGCGACTGCAATGCAAGGGCTGCGAAGTCGACGCCATTCTTGTAAAGGCTCCGCGAAAACTCCATCTCGCTAGGTATCTGAGATCAAATGAGATTTCTCAGAACTTTGTCGAGTCCTCGTGTGATTGTTGATAAAGTGAAGATCGGCGGGAAGGTTCACCGTTAAGTAGGTAACAAAGTCATGTGATTAAACAGACCCTTATATAGTCCATGCATTGGAACGCTGAAGCCAAGATGATCTATATACAACAATGCAAAATATGATAATAATTCGCCAAATAGAAAATGTCAAATGATGAAAGATTATGTACCGAACAGAAATCGCCAAACCCAAGTCGTTATGTCGTCAAGGGCATCGGGGCCCCGTATATTTACCCTCAAAATGGTCTTCTCATCCTTCCATGGGAGAGGAAGATAATGTCGAACGTAAAAAGGCTGCCTGAAATCACTTTTGATCGGACTCCTCTTTATGCAGACTGCTGCTTCCGCTTGAGTCGCTCAGTTCGCTCCATGCGCCATCCAGCGCCCCAGCGCATCTCGATCATGAGGAGAGGGACCATGGCGAGAGTGATGCCGGCGAGTAGGAAGAAGGTCCACTCGGCTGTGATGGCGTCGATGAGGGGCTGGACGGCTGCGACACCGGCGGCTCCGACTTCGCAGCGCATCAGGTTGTTGACTGCGGTCGCACTGGCACTGGCTCCGGGGTAGAGGTCGATGACAAGAGCGCTGTTGATGGTGAAAATGGCGGTGGCACAGTAGGCGGTGATGTATTGGAGGATGACTGGGAGGGCGAGGTGGGTATTCAGGGAGAATCCGTAGACGCCAGTGCACACGATGAACACGGCTGAAATCCACCAGGTGTTGCGCATGCGGGCGTATTCGATGGGGAAGTCGGGGTGGGTTTTGGAGTTGATTCGGGTTTCGAGAGGAATGTTGTTGCGTATGCAGTATTCGCGCTCTGTGACTTTGTGGTTGTAGTCCATCAGGTAGCCGATGGAGTATGAGCCGGACATGCAGCCGAAGCCGTTGGCCAGGAAAGTCAGACCAACTTCCATTGAATTGAGCCCATATCTGGACTCGAAGAGGTCAGATGTGGAGGAGGTCACCATCGACCAGACGGTGTACACGATGGCACCGTAGAACAAGGTGATAAAGACATCCTTCTCGGCCAGGAAGCCAAGGGGGGCCACGACGGTCTTCCACGTCACCTTTTTCTTTTCCTCGGTGGGGATGGAGTCCTCTTTGGCATCTTTTTGGCCGGTAATGCAGTAGATCCATGGCTTGTGAAGACCATGGAGTGGGACGGTGCCGTTGCCGGCAACGGTACGCAGGGTTTCAGGGAGGAAGAATAGAATAGAGAAAAGACTGATTCCGGCCATGATAACCAGGAACCAGAAAATGGATCTATATCCCAGGTATTGAGACAAGATCCCACCGAACACGGGGCCAACACCCTGGCCGAGCATGCGTACTTTTGCTCCGTTAGCATGATAGATTAAGACCAATACAACACCAAAAACTTACCTCCACCAAATATTCCAACCAAGCTTCCTCGCTCAGCTGATGTGGTGATGTCACCGATCACCCCAGCACCTACTCCAGTCAGTAAATGATTACCTAGTCCAGGGCGGGGTGCATACCGATCGAGATAGTCGCGGAACTACCGGCTGCTTGCAGGGCACGGAAAGCCATAAGCTGGCCATAATTTGTTGACAAAGCCAGTGCAATATTTGCAATTATATAGACGATAAAAGTCCCGATAAAAATCCCGCGTCGGCCGATGGTGTCGGAGAAAGAGCCCCAGAAACTAGGAGCGAGACCTTGGACAATCATGTATATTGTAACCGTTAATGTTGTAAGCGACATGGAGACGTTCAGGTCCTATGTGATGTAAGTTTAATGTTTGGACATGAGATGTTGTTAAACCGGTATAAAGTGAACTAACCTTGGAAATAACACCCAAGGCTGGGAAGTAGATGTTGGAGGATAGCGGAGAAAAGATGGCAGCCAGCGAGACAATGCAGACAAGCTGCAATTTGCGGGATCGAGTGAAGACATGGTATGGCGGTGGTGATGGAATTTGGCTCTCGAGTTTGAAGGAGGAGGAAGGTGTCACAAGGTCCTTTTCATCTGTTGGTGAAAAGCTAGGACTGGAATCGCAAGATCTCTCGCTGACGGCAGGAAAGTTGAGAGACTCTGTGGGGTTGGAATTAGACATGGCGAAAGAAAAACAGTTAAGTGATTGACCTAGGGTTGCATAACTGGACAATCATAAAAGAGATAACTAGAGAAGGAATGGAGGCCTCAGCCAGCCCAAACAAAACGCTTGACTATGATTTCGTAGACTGCTGGAATGGACCAGCCCTTTTGTATTGCCACGTCAGGTCCTCGCCCTCCCCTGATAGCACCGATCCGAAACTATCAAACGGGCCCATGGATCTGAAAAGAGTCAAGGCCATGTGCTCCACTGTGGATTTGTGGATTCAGCCAAGTGGATCCAGCCAAGGGGTCCACTCCTCCCCCATCCCCTTGGCAGTAGGCCGTGGCAAGCTTCTGGACAAAGACGGTAAGCCGAGTGCCGCTCACTCGGTGACGAATGAATCCTGATCAGCGGGAAAGAAATCCTAGGCTAAATGCCTAAACTTTCAAATGTTTTGAAAGACCAAAGGAAAGAAACCAAAATTCTGGTCATCCTAAGAACTAGGGAGCATATTGCATCATCAAGCCTCAATGGCTTATGAGTTTCCTAGGGTACACCAAAGGATATCACACCAGCATTGCTCTTGATTCGGGTAAGTAGGGTTAGTCCGTAGAGCCATCTCCAGACCCTGGCAATCTTCATAGTTGAAATGCCAGTACCCATTGCGGAAACTGCGGGATTTCTCGTATCGCAAGCACACGCGTTTCCGACGTATGGCCGTCGAAATGATCTACATAGCATGTGAATTACGCAATAAAGTTTCAAATTGACAAAGGAGTACATAATTCTCGTGATATTGGGTGTCATCGTGTTCGGCACCTTCTTTTTTTCTCCGAGAGTCCCGAGCCCCGAAGTTCTGCAGACTTAAACCTGCATGATAAGAGCGTCGCAAAAGTCGAAAAGCCAAGGCTTCGCGAGGGATGACAACTACACACGGTGAAGCAGCCACCGACGGTAGGCTCTCGACCCGAGTATGATCATCCCGAGCCGTCAAGAAAATGCCAAGCTTCATCACCAACCGCTGTGCTGGCGGAATTTATGTTTCAGGGAAACATTATTAGCTCGCTACGCCAGTTAATTACGTAGACAATCCCCTAAATAGGGAGTAGGGGAAGCTGCCCTTGCTTAGGCACACAGATCCAGAACCCAATCGGCGGCCAGGAGAGGGGACGACGGAGCCCTAGTCTAATTAGAATGCATTCTAGGGCCGATAAGCGTACGACGATGTACCCGCAAGCTAATGTAACCAATGCATATACATTTTTATTAAATGCAGACACCATAGGGTGGAGCTGGAAGGGGAGAGGAATGCGTGTTATTCAGCTCGGGCTATGGTTCGCACTAGGCGGGTTTGATCGGCAAATCGAACGGTGTTCATAAGTTTGAAACTTTGGGTTTACCGCCTATTTTCTGCCGCGTTTTCTGCCGTCTTAAATATTCTGTCTTTTGTGCTATTTACAAGGAACCTCGTTAATATTTCGCAAACTATCCACTAGCCTCAATGATTGCACCAAAGAGGTATACAAATAGCATGTAAAATATAAAATTACTCTATTCCGCGTAGAAACGCATCGGGTAGGCGAGGTAGACAGCGAGGGCGGTGAAAATTAGGCGGTAAAATCGTGGTTTCAAACTTATGACACCCCACTGTATGGAGACCGTTCGCAATGGTACCAATCCTCAGCCGTCGATCATGACCCACCGGCTCCGTAGTTGCTGCCCCCTTCGGCCTGCTCTTTGTACCCGAAGGTCCCGCGGAGGTTGGTTGGTCTGATCCTGTACCTTAGCGTCGGCTGCGGCATCTTCCTCCAGTAGTGTCTCCGAACTATAGTCTACACCCACGAACCTAGAACGATGTTCCAAAGCGCCCTGAAATCGCGACGGAGCCGCCAAGAAGTGATCGCTGCCCTCCATTGATCGGAGACCGAGGCTCGGCGGTGTGATTTGTTATCCCGCCATCTCGGATTGTATCTGGCTCGGCAAGAACCTTGACCTCACAGGGCTGCCAAGGCTAAATCTTGCTGTTTTCTTAGCTGTCGCTCAAAATCTATGGTCTCTCCGTTTCCCAGCATACTGCCCTCGCATGGTGTAATAAATCCCCCAATGTTCCCAGTCGCCGATCTCGAATTCTCTCATCTTGCGAGGCGCCTAGGCATGATGACTATGGAGCAAGTCGTAAAGAATGAGATATTTCTTTATCCAAGGATCAACCGAGGTGAGTTCATTAACGCAAATTCCAGTGCTATTACAGGAGTCTCTTGGCACAGGCGACTGATACTATAACAAGAAAGTAAACCGATCCCCGACCAGTGGACCTCGACTCCTCACGCAACTGGTTCCGCAAATCTCAGGAAGTCTTGACCCGCAGCCCTATACGGCACTTGGAAGGCCCCTGATCGTCATCAATGCCACACGAGGGTGGACCGGTCGATTGTGTGATTTGGACACTTGATTTCGAGTGAACTAGCGGAATCAACTATAGGCCATTTTCGACTGACCGTGTGGCCTTAGTAGCTTAGTAGGGCTCCTGAAAATCCTCTGATCAACACGGCGAAACAGGTGGGAACGATTGCATTCCCCAATGGAAAGAGCTCAATGGCCTCGTGGAGTCGAGTCCACGATAACGGCCCGCTTGCCACGAAGCCAAGATCCTGGCTCGACTCCATGACGCACCTAATTCTGGCCCAATTAGGCTAACGAGTCTCGAACTGACCCCCGTGGCTCGATTTTCTTGGCGTTGCCGCTGAAGATGATCGAAAGTACCTAATTTTGGGAGATCTTATGTAATCGGCATTGGGATCAGAAGGCTATTGCGCGAAGAAACATGCAGTTCGACGTCCCAGCTAGCGCTTGGAGGGGTATCAAACCCCTCGGACTCCGTCAAGATCCTTCTTGGTAGATCTGGTATTCAGGCCCTCTTCACCAACACACGATATGCGCCTGCAACACTGTGGGTCCTTCGCTTTGGGATGCCCCGCGCATATATGTGAACTCGCATAACGCCGTTCCAAGGTTCGTTGATCCGAAGCCCTGAAACCCTGAAACCGTCTATGCATGTCAGCATCAGCACCGGGATGAAGTAGGTACAACCCCGTTCTGCAGAGGTTGATAGGTCTCGCGATTCGGTAAGTGGAGCTCAATTGCATGCACGGACCGAGAATCCCTGGCGCCGAGGAATTCCAAGGGCCAACAGGCCGCGACCGCGAAACCACGCCCGAGCGGCGTACAAAACACGATAATCACCCGGAACCGTGCGCGTCGAGCCCTTGGATATGGTAACCCCGCAGAAACCTACAAGGTGAAACTTGGAATATTGCGGGTGGCGCTGGATGTGGCTGCAATAAATAGTGGGAGATGCCGCATGGTTGCTTGGCAAATACCTGGGCTTAGAATTGCGTAATTGTCTATGTAGAATTTGGAGGATTTGGTTCCCTTATTTGATTTATGCCCAGATGCCCAACCTTAGAATCGAAACAAACTGTCCGATCTATATACCGAAGGATACACCACCTATAAACTTCAGAAGAGTTAAAATGTCTATCTATATTCCCATATTAATGATGCCATGCTCCTCGTAGGTCACAGAAAAGAACGATATAAAGCATCTCTAGTTTTCAATAATTGTTCAATAATTTCCGAGAAATATACTTCCAACGTGCGAAATTTGCATTATATAAGCTCACGCGAAGAGATATACCGCCAGAGCGATCAAGTCAGAACTACACCAGCAAAAATGTCCCATTTGCAATACTACAGCTACGAAGGCCTGAGCCAGAAGCAAAAGTGAAAACTTCTGGTACAGCCAAGCCGTCCGCATTGGCGATCGCATCGAATGCGCCGGCCAAGGTAAGCCATACCGACCATTAACAAAGAGTACCAGTAACATATCGACCGGCGGCTGGAACCCCAAGGCTGGAGTATTCATTCGAGAAATCAACGCACAAATCGAACAAGGTTTCGCAAACGTCGAATCGAACTTGAAGGACGCTGGCGGCAAGGGCTGGGAGCAGGTCTTCCGGGTGAACTCGTACCATGTCCCGATCAATAACGAGGCCCTCGAGGCTATGTCGCGCAACTTCAAGCACTATATGCCGAATAATCAGCTCGTCTGGAAGTGTGTTGGTGTAACAAGGCTTGGGGAGGATTATATGAGGGTTGAGATTGAAGTGGTGTCCCATGATCCTTGAGATAAATGGGATATGCATGTATTCGTGAATAAGCTTGTCATAGTCGCTAGAAACATAGTGTATCGATGAGTCCTGATATAGGACCAAGTTAAAAGGCACCAGCGTGCAGATGTTGGTTTTAACGGCCTCCTCTCTTGCCTCCCCTTCCTCTGCCTCTGCCACCTCTGCCACCTCTTCCTCCCCGAGAAGATCGTCCCCTGGAGCTCTGCATGCTTTGCAGGTCTTGCTTGCTCAGGTTCAACGTGCCACCAGAAAATTTACCAATGGATGATCCACCAATCCCACGATCTCGTCGACCCGAATTCGATGATTTCGTGACCTTGGTAGGCTTCTCAAGGATAATGCCGTTCTCCTTCGCTTCTCGTCGTCGCTTCTCGTCCTTGGCAGCGGCCTTGGCGTTGATTCCTCGTCGGTGGGCATCGGGCATTTTTTGTTTGTAAAGAGAATCCTTCGCGCCCAAGGATTGCATGCGAAGGTCCAGGGCCTTGAGGCGGTTTTTGCCGGTGGGAGCGAGGTCTGATGACGAGTCGAGCAGGTGAGATTCTCGAAGTAGTCGCTGTAATGCGAGGTCGTGTTTCAGATTATCGGCATCCACTTCATCGTCGGACTCGTCTTTCTTATTTGACTTTTCCGTTGATTTCGTGGTCTTGGTTTCTAAGGATGATGGTGGTTTCGCACTCTGAGATATTCATGTTTAGTTCGAGAACCGTAGGACGGCTACGGGATATGCTCACCATAAATGCTTTGAATGCCTTCTTGTCCATTCTGTCGTCCGTAGCTCGAGTGTCCGTGTGTTCAACCACTTCCACGACATCCTCATCGCTTTCGTCTTCCGAGACTCCGTCCCACTGCTCGTCCATCTCTGACCCCTCACTATCCTCGTCTTCCTCTTCATCCTCCTCAGAGTTCGAGTTGCCGGTGGCTGGCGTAGCAGGCAAGTCTAGAGGCGCAAATTGTGCCTCGAAGTACTTGCGAAAAATGTCTTGCGCATTGTCGGCCGGAGGGGGAGGCGAAGGACTGGCATCGCCGGTTTTCTTGGACCGTGACACAACGGAAGTGTCCCTCTTTCGCTTGCCAGTCATGACGGGCATTTTTTGTAAGTCCGAGTGGTAGGGTTGCTGTTGTCAACCGCGCGATGTTCCCCGAGGTTTTTTTTTTTGGCCGAGCTTCAAATCACGTGCGATAAGTTGCGATAAGCCCCTCGATATAGCGGCGCAACTCATTTCGGCTTCAAGTCTTCCAATTGTAACGAAGATGACCAAATTCCGACCGTGCATTGACCTACACTCAGGGCAGGTCAAGCAGATTGTGGGTGGCACTCTCAGCAGTGTCGCCGCAGACCTGAAGACCAACTACGTCTCCAAGTTCCCCGCCAGCCACTACGCCGGACTCTATCAAAAGAACGACCTACGAGGTGGGCACGTTGTGAAACTTGGACCGGGAAATGAAGAAGCAGCCCAAGAGGCACTGCAAACATGGCCCGGTGGTTTGCAAGTGGCTGGAGGAATCACTGATAAGAATGCGCAATATTGGATCGACCAGGGCGCCGAGAAGGTGAGCTCCCCAACCCACGATCAATTCCTGCTTTGGCACTGTCATGTGGACAAAATCATGATCTGTGGTTATCCGTCATGCTCTCCGACAATGACGCTGATTCATTTCCTGTGGTATGCGGGGACACTAGGTGATCATCACTTCATTCCTTTTCCCGTCGGGCAGATTTTCCCTCGAACGACTCAAATCGATACTCGAAGCTTTGGGCGGTGATAAGTCTAAGCTGGTCTTGGATCTGAGCTGTCGCAGGAAAGATAATACCTGGTTTGTGGCGATGGACCGCTGGCAGACCATTACAGAGATGGAGATCAACCAAGGTACGTCGCACCTATGGTGAGGTATTACGATTTTATTGACAGTTGATAGAATCCATCCGCCTTTTGGAACCCTACTGTTCCGAATTCTTGATCCACGCTGCGGATGTGGAGGGCCTTCAGCAGGGCGTTGACGAGGAGTTGGTGTCGAGACTGGCCGAGTGGTGCACCATCCCCGTTACCTATGCTGGCGGTGCTCGCCATCTACAAGATCTGGAGAAGGTGCACACTAGCAGTAAGGGAAAAGTCGACCTGACCATTGGTAGTGCACTGGATATCTTTGGTGGCTCCGGAGTGACGTTTGACGAGTGCATTGAGTGGAACAAGACTCATTAACAATGGGACTGGACTAGACACTTCCCCGCCAAAATATCGCAACGATTACAACGATCAATTAAATAGACAATATCACTCAAATATAGAAACAAGCCATATATACCGTAGTTATAGGACGGTGGTGTTCCACATAGGCCGAGACAAGTCGAGGCCGGCGGCTGGCGCATGACCGAAAGCGGTTTAGGGGCTGGATGTGAGCTCCCGCCCGCCAACCTCCGTATCTTCCTCACTTCCCATCGTTCCAGACCTCCTCCCCTCGTCCTTGGGTGTCTTCGTGCTTTAAATTTAGGCTAGCTGAGACCTCTCAGTGCCTCCTCCTTGACTGTCTTCTTTCGAATCGCTCCTGTCCTCTTACCGCCAAGATGAAGCCCGTCGTGTCGGCATTGAATGCCTGGTCCTGGTAGGCCCTGCCATCTCAACAAGGACTTTGAGTCGCTCGAACCGGATATCTAACTTGTGTTTCTTGGTAGTGTTGTTATCTCCGTTTTCGCCATCGTTATTCTCTCGGTCCTTGGATCACTCTTTGGCGTACGTTTACCCTATCCCAGTCCGCATCATTGGCATATTGCGCCCCATCATCGCATCGCCTACTTCTCGGTTTCGACAGGATGAGAGGCTAATATGATATTCCATGCCACAGAGTAACAACCATGCCTACACTGGCTCAGAAGGAGAACCCGAAGATGGCCCTGCAGTTGCTGCCTCTATCTACGTCGCCGTGCTCGTCTACGCTGTACGTCACCAGCCAAGTCAACCGAAACTACCCTCTGTGAAATTGGATCATTGCTAACATGATATTTCACGACACAACAGGGGTTCTTCGTTTTCTGCGGCTTCCAGGCCTACCTTCACATTCTAGACCGCAGGGGCGGCGCCATATCACTCCGCTAAACATGAAAAATCCCACAACAATATCTTATTCGGTGTCTTTAACGGTCCTTCGGTCGATTTGCAATCATTGCGTCTTACATATTTCTCGGTGTGTCTTTGGAGAACATGGATTTCAGGGTCCGAGAAGGCGGGGAAGGATCCGATCTGAAACGGATCGACGGTCTCAACCTATCTGGACTTCTCGGTCATGCCACTACAACTGCTTCAGTCTATTCGAGGTGGACTCAGAGTCCGTCGGTATCACGAGCTAGGAATGCGGTCTCTATCTAAGGGCCTTTGCGGAGCGGGTATCCCAGGCTCCCTTTGCTAGAGTACACAACCTTTTTGCGCATGTACATAAACCGCTCGGAATTATAGCCAGTTGTTTCTTTCTTTCTTTCTTTTTTGTACGATTGTATCACTCATGGATGCTTTTCGCTCAAGCTCGAGGTCGAGTATAGAAATTTCATCATTGTTCGTTATCGAAAAGCCCTATTTTTGTATGCCCAACGCCTATGCATGCAAAGAATCAAATCTACCGGGTATTTACCTGTTTACTCTTCGTTTTCCCACGGATCCAGCATCTTGGACATATAGGGTCCGTCCAAAAAGTACCCGAGGCGCGCGTAGTAGTTACGCACACCAACACCGGAGATAACACTGATCTTAGTGCTTCCGTGCTCTTCGCGCGCAATCCGCTCCGCCTCCTCCATCAAGAGCGTGCCGAAGCCTCGGTGCTGGAATTTGCGAGCATCGCGGCCGTGAAGCGGAACCGCAGATCCGTACACGTGGAGCTCACGGACGATACTGGTCTGCTGGCCGGTGAACTCGGGGCGGAAGGTGTGAGTGGCACTGCACTTGCGCAGACGGAGCAGACCGATGAGAATATCCTGCTTTGGGTCCTCGTATGCCAGGAACGTCTCCCAGCCGCCGTTGGCGGTGTAGTCGCGGCGGATCAGCTCGACTTGCGAAGGGCGGATCTTGTTCTTCACTTCGTTGATACCGACTTCTCGGGTGCGCACGTCGCGGCAGGTGGTTCCGAAGTCCTTCATTCGGGCTAGAGCCAGCTCACGCAGGTTGCCGTTCTCCACACCGGATGTGACAAGCGGCATTGGAATATCACGCTGGACGCGGTAGATACGGGTCCATGGGGGGATCAACGCCAGGATGCGAGCAACAAGGTCGACGAGAGCGTTGGGAGTGTAGTTCTTATAGCGACCGGTCCGCCACAGTTCGTAGAGACCAGTGCCTCGGATGACAAGGGTGGGGTAGATCTTCAGACCGTCGGTACGGAAGTCAGGGTTCTCGAAGTATTCCTGGAACTGGAACAGATCACGCTCCATACCCACGTTCGGCAGATCGGGCATCATGTGGCTGACAACCTTGAAGCCGGCATCCTTGGCGAGCCTGAAGGTCTCAGCCACGGCCGCAACAGTGTGGCCACGGTTCGTGTCGCGGGCCACATCCTCGTACAGGCTCTGCACACCGATCTCCAAACGCGTGCATCCATACCGAAGCATGCTGCTCAGATGCGTGTCCAAACAGTAATCCGGCCGTGTCTCGATCGTGATACCCACGCACTTGACGTTGCTCATTTCACCGGCCTGTACTGCCTCGTCAACGTTATCCGTCTGGTACCCGCTCAGTGCATTGTGAAGTTGGGAGATAAAAGTATCCCTGTAGTCCTCAGGCAATGACATGAAAGTTCCACCCATGATAATGTATTCCACCTTGTCCACGCTGTGGCCCAGAGACTTGATCTGATCCACACGTCCTCGCGCCTGCTCGAAGGGATCATAGCGGGCACGAATCGCACGCATCGACGTCGGCTCGTATCCAGTATAAGATTGTGTCGAGTACTCGAAATCGGAGTCTGGTCCACCGGGGCAGTAGACGCAGATGTTTCCAGTATATGCGATATGGGGGCAACGGTGGGGTTTGCACATCACGGCCACGACGGCGATACCAGAGGAGGTTCCTGTGCAACAGATTAGCTCAGTGTCGAACTGGCTCCAAATAGACTTGACGTACGGATCGGCTTCGCAATCAGCTTCGGCAGAATGTATTTCTTGTAGTGTTCCGGCACAGCAGCGATGATGGCTGTCAGTGGCGGCTGGGTTGACAGACTGTGCTTCTTCGACATTTTGCCCCGCAGCACGTTCAAGTTGATATCCTTCCGGGGCTGCGAGGGATCCTTCTGCGACTCCCAGTCCTGAATGAGCGCATTCGCAATGTCGGAGCAGGCTCGCATATACCGCTCATTCTCCGGCAACTGCTTGGAGTTCTTCTTAGCCGTCTTAGACGGCATCGTCACAGTCATGGTAGCCATGGCGAAAAGGAATCACCGCACAGCGGTGAGAGGAGACCACAAATAAATCGCAAATAACGATAGAAGCAGGAGCTCCGGTAAGGTAGTGGGGTTGAAGCGATTAGATAGAAAAAAGTTGGTGGCCGAGGATGCGACCCGAACTCAACTCGGGTCCGCTTAAGTAAAAGGATTTGTTCCCGAACGAAAACTCCCGAGCGCGCATCCCGATCCTTTACTTTAACTTCATCCTCGAGTAAACTTTTTCTCTCCCTCTCCTCTCCTCTCTCGTCCTTCATTACACAGCAGTCATGCAGGCCTTCCGCCGTAACACCTTTTCGGCTGTCCGCAATGTCGCGGCCAAGCGCTCGGTCACCTCAAAGGCCAACTCGCCTTATGCTGAGACCGTGAACAACCTGCGGATTAACAAGGACACCCGCGTTCTGTTCCAGGGATTCACTGGAAAGCAGGGAACGTGAGTATTTCCAACGTGTTTCCCCTTCGATTGAATGCGCATGTCGCTGACGTATAGCTCTTGAACAGTTTCCACGCCGAGCAGGCTATCGCCTACGGTACCTATCCTCCCGCTGCGATCACAAACAAGACACGGACTCACAAATAGCAGGCACTAATGTCATCGGTGGTACCAACCCCAAGAAGGCTGGCACCACTCACCTCTCCCTTCCCGTGTTCGCCAACGTCGCCGAGGCCCGCAAGGAGACCGGTGCTACCGCTTCCGCCATCTTCGTCCCGTATGATTTCGCCGTTCAGGTCGCATATTGAAAGGGGAAAAGCTAACATGGGATAGTCCCCCGCTGGCTGCTGCCGGTATCGAGGAGGCCATTGCTGCCGAGATGCCCCTGATTGTTTGGTTGGTGTCCCATTCTGGAGCTAAGCTCCCTAAAAAAAGTTTCGACTAACATTGGGTTCGCATCATAGCATTACTGAGGGTATCCCCCAGCACGGTACGAGCTATTCCATCATTTGCGCGTCGAAACATGAGCTAATCGAGTGCTTTTAGATATGGTCCGCATCACCGACATGCTGAAGACCCAGAACAAGACCCGTTTGGTCGGCCCCAACTGCCCCGGCATTATCGCTCCCGTAAGTGACAAACATCTTGGCGCGAGACGCAATATACTCATTTTCTCTCGCTTTTATAGGGTCAATGCAAGATCGGTATCATGCCCGGCTTCATCCACAAGCGCGGCCGCGTCGGTATCGTCTCCCGCTCCGGTACCCTGACCTACGAGGCCGTCAACCAGACCACCCAGGCCGGCCTTGGCCAGTCGCTCGTCATCGGTATCGGCGGTGACCCCTTCTCCGGCACCAACTTCATCGACTGCCTGAAGATCTTCCTCGAGGACCCCGAGACCGACGGTATCATCATGATCGGTGAGATCGGTGGTTCCGCCGAGGAGGATGCCGCCGAGTTCTTCAAGGCCAACAACATCCACAACAAGCCTGCCGTTTCCTTCATCGCTGGTATCTCCGCTCCCCCCGGCCGCCGTATGGGCCACGCCGGTGCTATCGTCAGCGGTGGTAAGGGTGGTGCCGACTCCAAGATCGCCGCTCTCCAGGATGCCGGTGTCGTTGTCGAGCGCAGCCCTGCCTCCCTGGGCAAGGCTTTGCTTGCCGAGTTCGTCAAGCGTGACCTTGTCTAAGGGACAAAACCTTTTGTGACTTTTCATGCTCCTTGGTGACCTGGTTCTTTGGTTCTGAGATATATCCACTGTCTGCATGATGGTGATCTGCGGTTCATTTTATCTACGCCGCTCCTGTATTCTTTTTCTCCTTTGTGTTAGAGACCCTTGAAGTAATTAGTTTCGTGCATCGTGTAACTTTTACTTTAATTCTTGTCCTTTGTGTAGAGATCTAGACTATTCTTGCTCCATAGTAGCGCTTTGTGTAGAACCTTGCTCTACTGCCTTACAAAAGCTCCCACGAACCCTGGAAGCAGAAGCCTTTCCCAAGGGTTACACTAAAGTACCAAGATCTTTGTCTATTTTGCGACTAGTTATAATAAAGGTGACAAGACATAACGAGTCCTTGTTCTTATTGTCGATGTTATCTGTATCAATTCACTTAGCCGAGTCTTTAACCGTCGACCATCGTCCCTTCTATAACAGTCACAGTCACTTCTAACTCAACACGAAACTCCTAAAAATATGGCTAATACCACTATGTCAAGTCCTAAACATCCTCTCATCATACTCACCTACCCTAGTTTTATCTCTATACCCGCGATAGCATCCCTAACGCGTAAGCCTACCTCGCCCTTCGCCTAAAAGCGTGACAGACTCTTGACCTAGCTAAACGAGCAAAGTATAGCGCTCCGCCGATCACCCGAGTAATATCTTGAAATCGCCGACGTCGTAGATAAACTAGCCGAGCAGATCTCATCGATCAAAATCGAGAACAACCAGTCGCGCTGCTTCAGCATCAAATGCAATGCCTTCACTAGCACCCTGCTGTGCCATAGCGAGCTGCTGAAACGCCATCCGAGCCGCGCCGTCGAGATCGCCGCGTCTATCGACCTAATGCAGCTGTAGCTGGTTCGACTTACCATGAGTATCCTGGCCAATTTGAAGGCCAGATGTATAGAATAGGCGTATGTTTCTTCCCTTGAATAAATTTATCTCATAATGCATATTTGGTTTGGCATGAAATAGCGACTTAAGCGTGGTAAGCCTAGTTTTCGACCAAATCCTTCCCAACTATCTTGTACATCTCATACCAAACAAATCAATGCGCCACTTTACGCAGAGCTTTAATCACTTCCTCAGTCCCAATAACATCGGCAAACTCCCCATCAAGACTAGCAACCGAGACCTTATGAATAGTCTCCGAATCAATCCCAGACTTCCCAAAAGTCGCAGTAGCATCCTCCACGAGCACAATCCGTCCCTTATCAACTTTCACATCCTTCTCATGCGTCCCGTCGGGATTCACCTTTACTGGCCCCTCCCCAAGAAACCGATCCACAACACCCAAATTCGCCGCCATACGCGTCGTCGTGGAAACGCAATGATCAGTCGTCAGCCCCGCAATAACCAGCTGCCGAATACCCTTCTCTCTGAGATGCGCCTCAAGCTTCGTTCCAATGAACGAAGAGTTAACAGTCTTCCAGAACACGGGCTCTGACCCGTCTGATGCTGGGATGGCGAAGTCTAGTGGACGAATTCCGTGTGCTGGGTGGAGGGGATGAAGTGGGGAGCCCGGTGTCACCGAGGAGTGGAATACATGGATCACTTCCAGTGGTGCTTTAGATGTTGAGCGCGCGGTACGGAATGCGGTGAGGAGAGCCTGGATGTTGACTTCGTAGAGTGGGTTGGAACGTGTTGTGCCCCATTGAGATACTGTTTCTGGGTGGCAGAAGGCGGATTGGTTGTCGATTAGGAGTAGAGCGGTTGGGAGATTCAGGTCGAGGGGAGACATTTTAAATTTGCCGTATGAAGATGTGAATCAATGCAGTCGGTTTGGATTCGTGGTTGAGTTTTTCTTGGGGGTTTATAGGCTTTGCCGCTACGGGTGAGTCACCTTGCTCGTGATGACCAATTGTTCTCGCGATGCGGTTCTGCCAGCCCGCAAAAACGTCCAAAGGTAACTTGGTAGGCTTTATGAGATGATCTGGTCGTGGTATAAGAAAAATAACAATCGATCTCGTCGGGAAGATCACTTCATTCGATGACATCAGCGGACCAGCCACGCGAGCTCTCTATACAACCCCGAGATTGTTTATCAATTGAACAAAGCCGTTTCCCAGTATGCAAATCATTCCAGTATCCCAACTCCAAAATACCATTAAAAAGAAACATCCCCTAATCGTCCTCCAATTCCTTAATCCCATCCTCCAAATGAGGCACTTCGTGCTTCCCGATGCCAAGTCTCTTCCTCCACTTAGTTTCCTTCTTGAGCTTCGCTCTCTGCCGGCGTCTCGGCGCATAATTGATGGGAGATTCACCTCCAATAAAAATAAACGTATCGTAAAGGACAGCTCCAGTTAGACAACCACTGATGGTAGCCACCCAGCAGCCCCAAAACCACCAGCCTTGATGATCGGTGAATGTGTGACCACCATAGCCAGCCATGAGGGCAACGAGTCGAGGCCCAAAGTCTCGCACGGGATTCAGACATCTGCAACCGTCAGTATTTGCATAAATCAAAGAGATAGAAAACTTACCCTCCAGTGTTAAACCCAAGACAGATACAAAGCACATAGATTACCAATCCAATCACAAACGAGTGCATACCTGCACCCGGTGGAGCATTACTATCATCACCCATCGCAAATATGGCACAAAGTAATACCGCATCGGCGACGAATTCAGTAAAGAAGGCAGTTGCAGGACTAACATGACTCAGTGGCTCAGTATAAAGCCCAAGACCCGAAGTACCCGGCGGAGCAGTAGGCGCGAGGCTGAGAATAGAATCTCGATACAAGCAGTAGGCCAACCCAGCTGCCGTGATTGCGCCAAGGAGTTGAGCAGCAATGTAGTAGCAGCATCGTCGACCGGGGAAACCGCGGAAAACCCAAAGCGTAATGGAGATGCCTGGGTTTAGGTGTGCACCAGAAATTCCACCAGCGAGGTAGATCCCAATCATGAACCCGAGACCCCAGGCCCAGTTCTCCGAGAGGCGGGTTCCTGCTGATTCTCCTCCGGTTGACACAGAGAGTGTGCCGCATAGCCCGATGAGGACGGCCACGGTTGTCTAGATGGAATGTTAGTAAAGGTGCGTTCTTGTATCGGGTGATAGAACTTACCGCGAGGAACTCTGCAAATGGCTCCTTCATATAATGTCTGATTTTGACCCACGAATTCAAAAATTCTTCTTGTGATTTTTCGTCCATCGGTTGGTTTGAACCCTGCGGATTGCCTTGGGTGGCTTCTGATTCCATTGGACGCAGAAGACCATCAGCCTGTGGCGCGTACACTGCATTGTGTTTTGATAGACCCTGCTGCGCCGTCGATGAATAGCTTTGATATCCCTGCCCATTATTTCCAGGCTGTGATGATGATAATCCAGGCGTTGCACCCAGCTCTGGGGCAGGTGCAGATTCACCCGGAGGCCCAGATTCTTGTGCTGTTGTTTGATCTTTATCATCTCGGCGCATCCCTGGCCTAACTACACGGGGAAGAGGCTTAGCCAGACCCCAAATTGGCTTCTCATTTTCTCGTCCATATTTGGGGTTCTTTTGTCGGTACTCGGCGTCGACATAGGTGTTGTTTGGTTGTGATATTTGAGGTTGAATCGGCATCATATTCTTACCCGCCAACGAATGAGTTGGCCATTGACTGGCCTGTTGTTGGCTCCATGTTCTATTTGCCAATGAAGGGGTTTGGTGTCCATAGTAAACGCTGCCAGATTCGGTCGGGCGTCGAGCCATAGAAGGACGTGAGAAGAGCGGCGGGCGTTGTTCGTTTAAAGGTGTTGAAGTATTTCCATGTTGAGTCTTCTGCTGGTTTTGCTGTTCTAGTTCGAGCTGCTGCTTCGATGGCCCTGGTGTTTGAGGCTCGTCGTTGGTTTGCTTCTTGGGCGACGTGGCCAATGTTTCGGTCGATGCTGAAGAATTTGGACTACTGTCTCGTTCTTCAATAGGATGTAATTGAGGTCCAGATGGTGACCTGGGTGGCTCATCATAGTGTTGTTCATTCATAGTGCTGACGCTAGAAAGCAGAATGCGAAAAGAACTAGGGAAAAGAAACGCTCGAAGAGGAGAATGAAATCTCTCCCTGCCTAGGAGATGGGGTTATTATATATATGGTCCTTCAATCGGTGTGACTCGATGAAATGTCTTCCTAAAGGCGGGGGGCAAATTGAAAAATATCCTATCAATGCTTCTCAGACCTCAAGTGACATCAGGTTGATGTTCAAATAAAAGATGATTGATGCCCATCTATCCGTAAAGAGAGCTAGTAGTGATGATCTGGACGGCATATCGGGCCCTCGGGCCGGCCTACCAGGGCAAATTCGGAGAAGCAAGATCAAATCAAATGTTTTCAGGTTCGTTCTAGGGATCCATATAATATAGGCTGTGTCCTCATACCTGTCGAGCCGGTGCGCTTCCCACCAATCATAGACTCGGGATTGATTTGGCCCACACCCGGCGAATGACGAATTTAATATCCAGGTTCCACTACGCCAAGAATTTGTTCTTCGCCTCTTCTCGGCTCTTCCCTGTACCGGTTCATGGATCATTCGATCTCATTCTTAGACTATTTCATCTACGTTCTGCGGTTGTGAGAAAGGAAATTTCTAGAAGATCTAGGTTCTCGCTCACTCCTAAATTCAAAAGGAGCTGAATGTACGCCCAATCAAGACTGGGGCTTACTTTAGAACATATTCACTTGTCCATATTTAACCCCATCAATCAGTGCCAAATAGAAGACAAATCCGAAGTATCAAGCTTGACATTCTCGGTACTCCCTCCCGTAGAGAACAACCGAGCATATGTCGCATTCTCACTTGGAAAGATCTGAGCAGTCAAAGTGCTCTCCCCATCACCTCCAAATATTTCAACACTGGACCAATCCACCAAGACCTTCAAACGCACAACTCCATCCGCATTCGGGACTAATGGGGCATGATACACGCTCGCGAAGGTTTTATCGAATGAAACATCTCCCGACTTCCTGCGATCCAAGAAGACCTTCCGAGCCTTGAAATCATATCCAACTCGTGTTTGTTGCTGCATGTCCGAGGTGGCCTGAAGGATAATCCCAAAGTCAGATGTTGCAGAGTCTTGTTGGCGATCGTCAAAGCTTAAATTGATCTCCAGTGTCTTTCCCCGGGAACCAAGATCTTCCGTTCCTTCGGCGACAGACTTCCAAGATTGAGAATGTTTCTTGTGGCTCGTGATAGACTTCCAGTCAATTCGCGGTTGTTGAACAAGGGTAACCTTCTGGTCAATGGTTCTCAATGAAAGGTGACGGGGAGCAGCCATTGCGCTTCGCCAGGGATATGTGGGGATATTCTCGCCATACTGCCAATTATTCATCCACCCAATAGAGACATGATCGGTATCCGGGAGACCATTGTAACTGTTAGCAGCATAGAAATCAGGACCCCAGTCCATCCAATTCGCAGTCCCGTTGCCGGGATAAACACTGCTGGCGTCCGGGACAAACGTCGTGCCGTTGAAATCGCCAACAAAAAACTGCGTTCCCGAGCCAACAGTCTCAGGTGGTCCTCCAGGGTTCACCCCAGCAGCCATAACCCATTTCGTGCTGACTTCGTCGCCATCGAGTGGTAGTTGGAATATGTTAGGACATTCCCATACACCACCGACAGCATTGAAAGGGCCGAATTCACTAACGGCGGACCATTCTTTGAGATTGTCCGACGTCCAGATGACAAGCTTATGGAGTTCTGAAATGGCAGTTATGAGAACCCATTTGTGGCTTTGATCGTGCCAGAACACGAATGGATCACGGAAATTCTCATACTGGTCCTTGTATGGCGTTGGAGGGTAGTGGATGACTGGGTTCTCGGAGTCGTATGTGTGCCACGTTGTACCGTCGTCCAAGCTGTATGCAATCGACTGGGATTGTTGCGAGGCTTTAACTTTCTTTCCACTTGGTAATGTTTGTGCGATGGGATACTGAGACCTGAGTGTTAGATCATGAAAAAGAATGTACCTTTTGGACTCACAAATGAAGTGTACATGGCAACCAAGGGGACTTTTCCGTCCGCGCCAAATCCGCTGGTATTGTTTACGTCGGCGACAGCGCTGCCAGTAAAGAACATCTCGGTCACGTTGTCGGGAAAACCTCGGGCCAAAAGGGCGATGGGCTGTTCCTCCCAATGGGTTAAATCCTTACTGGTGGCATGACCCCACGACATATTTCCCCATTGGATTCCCCCGGGTTGTATTGGAAAAATAGATGGTAGATATCATTATGGTGAAGAAGTCCGGTGGGATCATTCATCCAGTTTTTGGCGGGTGAGAAATGGTATTGAGGACGGTAGGATTCCGTGTAGTTGGCGGCTAGGGTGGGGCCCGCCAGGAGGACTGGTCCGAGAACTTTGGAAAAGTTGACCATGTCGCTTTTAGGATACTATATAGAAGAGAATAGAGAAGGAGTTATGAAATTGATTGAATTTCCGTTCACTACTGCACAGGTATTTATAACACCTCAGGGGCTAGGGTCTTCATTCCCCATGGGGAATGTCCGCATAGGCAGCACCCACACCGATGTTTCTTCGGAGAAATATGAATCTAGTTCCACCGCACTCCTGTAGAACCTCGAAACATTCGACAGTCGGGGTTGATCTCGCATAACTTCGGCGCTATACTTGGACTTGCGGAGAATGTCCGACTTCTCATTGTTTCGCTGCGAGTTTCTCTTGCTTTCCTTTCTTGTTCATCGCTTCGGTATTTTCCGATCCTTCCGTACTGGCATCGGTGCCCTGGACGTTTGACGTAACGGTCTGACCATAGTTACTTGGTGCGGCGTGGTTACAAGGAATCCCCTCTCCATCCACGATGTTCGTGCACTGGTAGACCTCGTCTTGCAGAGTTGTACCCCACATTGGCAAACCGAGAGTGCTGTTCACAGATTGAATCTCGATATCCTCAAACTTCAGCCCCGGGCAGGGATGGACGTCTGAGCAATAGATAGAAGATGCAATATTGTATCGCGACGTCCCCTTAATGTTGGACCATGTGATATCCTCAATCGCAATCTTGGAGGTGTTGCAGGTACTTCCACTCTCGCTATAGATGCATTGCGAGATTTGAATCGGCAAGGCAACGTTGTTAATCTCGAAGTTGCGGAATGTAATATCCTTGACCAGTCCACTGCCACCGCCTCCGCTATCACCATTCGAGCTGCTGTCATCATTGTCCCCCTGCCATGTCTTGATCAGGGCGGCCTCTTGGCAGTTGTGGCACTTGATGTTCTCGAATGTGACGTTTTGTACATAGTCGGGCGTAAGGGGGTATTGCCCGACCGATCCGATGGCCATGCCGTAGTTGCCATAGCAAGTGATGTTTCTCACCATGAGATTGGTTGTGTTGCCCTTTACTGCAATGCAATCATCCTGGTTAGTGACGACTGCGTTTTCAACAAGCAAGCTGTCACTGTTCCACGAGTCGTATCCGTCGGTGTTTACCGTACCCCACTGGTCATCGCTAGTCGCGTTGACAAAGAGGTTGGTAATGGAGACGTTCTTGCTGTAAGAAACAAACGTCGCCCAGAATTGTGGCTGAATGATAGTCAACCCATCCACAAGAAGGTTGGTTGAGTTGTAAAAAGTGATACTGATAGGACGACCGGGCTGGTTGCTCTGGTTCTTGTTTTGCGTATACCAAGCCTGGCCATTGCCATTGTACCAGCCACCTTCTTCGCTGCGAAAAGTAACGTTTTCACCGCCAAACAACCAAGCAGTAGACTGGTTCTGGAAGACGACCGAGTAGGAGTGAGACAGCCAGTAAGGAATGTCGGTCGACCAGCGCAGTTCGCCACGAAGTGTCACATCGCAGTTCACCAAGTTTGTCGTGTTCATCACCGAGTTGATGTTGAATGTATGGTTCGCAGGAAAGATGACTTGGCCATCGTGGCCGCATAAATCGAAGGCCTTGTGGATCGAAGGGGCATCATCAATGGCCTGACCATCATTGTTGAGCGACTCGGGATACAATGTACATGTGCTGCCATCTTGGTGGACATAACCAGCGGTCAAAGTCACCAGCGTTAATGGAAGTAACAAACGCATGATGGATGATTTAACCCCCGGGTCTCTCGCACTCAATTGAATGGATGAGACTGGAATGTTCAAAGGAGGTCGAGTCAAGGGCGAGGCGGTCTATAAGTATATGCAGTCGGCCTCTGTTTCTGGGATTTCCCCGACGGCATTTGCCCCTTAGATTGCATTTTCAACCTCCGGGAATTAGCCAGAGGTTACATCTTTCCCCGCATCAGTTTCTCCGACTGGAATCAGGTGATTGACATCCAATCATCACGATTCCTTGCGCTGCAAGATCTTGGCTCGCGCCACGCGGTCAGAGCGTCAAGTCAGGGGAGATTATAAAGCTGCGAGGGGGTCTGCCGATGATCTGCACTCTGTGCTCGTGGCGTACATATATGCATCATCTGATATGATTTCTAGCCACGAGTTCAGTTATTTCGATGCTGTCATCCGACAATGGTTAATATAACACCGCAAGACTTGAATTCATGACTTGAGTTCCGTAGTGAATGGCAAACATCGGAATTGAACGAGTGACGGTAGTCGGTTGTCGGTGTCCACTATCCCGAGCTCGGATCTCGCTATACATACATTTCACGCGATGGAACATTAACCGCGGATCACTCCGCTAGGCCGTGAGTCAAAGCTCACACAAGCCCTTTTCGCGTGGATAAATCATCATATTCAGTAAGATCGGCAGAGTCATTGGTGAGATCATTGTGTCTATTCATATTTGTCTATCAAAGGCTGCTTCTGGGAGTGAATAGCTCGTCTTCATGGCCCTCAGCTCTGTTTCTTTGCTTCAGCGCGTGGGAACCGACGAGTCCGGCCGCGCAACATCTCCACTCGCTGTTGAAGAGTCATATTGACTTGGTCACCCATGGGGATGAGACACTTTGCCAAGTGGACATAGTTCTTGCGCAACAAGTTCACGGTGATAAAAATATAGTCCACGTTTCGGAAGACCAATGCCCTTTCCTCGGCATATCGTTCCCGGCCCTTGACAAATGCCACAGGGTGATCTCTCCAGTGGCGACGCGGGTTCAAGTGGTGTGATGTGTGGTATCCGTCATTGAAGGAGTACCGGTTGCTCTTTATTATTTTGTTAGCCACAGCACCCAGTAAGACAGCATTACAGCACATAACTTACAGGGACATCAATGAGAGTGATGCTCGAGCGGTAATCCGAATCAGGATGGATCGGGTCCACGAAAGCATGTTGGCCCCAGTTGCCAACCATCAAGCCACATCGCATGACCGTAAGCGGAAGAATAAGCACGAACAGTGTCGCGCGGGAATTGACGTAGTTGTAGAGGAGGTAGATGGTCGCGTAGTTGCCAAGTTCCCAGAATGCCGCTCTACAGGCGTATTTCACTTGGCCGTTTCGCCAGAAGTACAGCGGAAGCTCCAGCCAGATCAGGAAGATGAATCGACCCACGTAACAAGCAAAGTCAAACACATTGTCCCGGTCGTAGAACATGGTCGTGCTGAGGTCGTCCTCACCATTGCCCTCGACATGGTGATGTTTGATGTGGTGGTAAAAGTAGGAGTTCCACGTATGTCCAAGCATGGGATCCAGCAAGTATGGGAAAAGCGTGTCGAAAAGCCAATACTTGGAGGCCAGGACTCCGTTCCCGTGGATGTGCTGATGCTTCATCAAGGTGAAGGCGCCGCAATAGTACAACTGCATGACCCAGTGTAGGACGCCGTGTAGGTATGAGAAGCGGTGGTAAAGATAAAAGCCGCTAGGGACAATGGTAGTGAAGTAGAGAATGAGATGGGTCACCATGACCACATCTGTCGGAACGCGAACCACGCCCTTTGCCCAACTGATATACGGCTGCAGCACATATTGCTGGATGGCCGGGGACAGCTTGGTCCGCAAGGTTGGTGTATCCCAAAGCTGGAAAACAGTGGGGTCAAAGTCAGGATGAGATGCATCGTTCATGTCATGCAGCTTCTGCGCTGTCTCTTCAGCGCCAATCTTTTCCTGTAATGGGCTGGTTGTCTCATCTTGTACGCTATCAGTGATCTGTCGACAGAGATATCTGGGGAGCAGCTCTCACCATTTGCACCAATATCTTCAAGAAGGGTCTCAACCACCATCTGATCCTGTAGCGTGAGCTCAGGATCCTTGTATGTTGAGGGGTCCATGGTGGGTAGTTAGAGGTGGTCTCAGCACGGGTCAACAAGGCGGCAACTTCCAAGGCGATCACGCTGACAGAAGATCCGGGAACACGTTGTATCACCCAGGCCACCGGGATTCAAGAAGACTTAAGAGCTTCCTGAATGAAATTAAGGAATCGGGACTGAGCAGAGCTAACCCCAAGCAGTATACTCCATCTGGACAACGCGTGGCCAGGGGTGGAAAGAGATTTTCCTGGTTCACATGTGGGTCCAAATAAAGCAGTGACAATTTGACGCGACTTGCAGCCTCAACTAGTCATCCTGTTATCTATCGAGATAAACCGCATGAAGAATCTAAGAAAGATTGTAATTACTTCAAATTCGCGGCTAAATTGTTCTGTGTTCAATAGTGAAATTCTGGCTGTTCTGCCTTCAGGGGGAACGCGACTCCACAGTTTCCCCTGAACATCCCTTGGTTCTAACAATAAACACTGGCAAGCCCTCAGCCGTTGACAGTTGATGCAATTCAGATTCTAATTGACTTCCCGTTCTTTTGATTGGCACGTATTTCATTTTTGAAACGATCATTGGAAGATCATTGGCCCGCCCTCCAGCCCCTAAGGCTGGTTGGTACCCTTCCTCCGGCCGTGCTCTAAAACTATCGCCAGGCAACTATTCCAGCAAGTGCTATAACTTAATCCATGACTGCAGTTACGGGAAGCCGCTAGAACCCGACTTTCTCGGTCGGAAAAATTGGCGGCCGGCAAAGCTATGCATGGTGCTCGTTGAGCTCCAAACGTTTGATGATTTTGAGATCCAGCTGTCGATGACATCGAAGCACGTGTGCATGAGTCGGATAGCTCTATGGCTCGATCACCACATAGTCAGGTCGTCTCCAAGGTCGGATTGATTGAGCCCACGTTGGGAGCTGTGCAGTATGCGCGAATGGCATTCTTTGTTGTCGTGATGCTTTCGCACATTTTCCCTGAAAGCAGCCTTGTAAATTCCACAACTATACTATGATCCCATGTGGCAGAAGAGCGAAGATAAAACAGCCACCGGCTTCTAAAATCCTGTCGGCACAGCCATGGTTCAAGATGCGTGGCCCGGTCCAAGAAGTTTTCAAGGCGATTGTCGACGTGGTCAACGCTCTGCAGAAGTCGACGGGGGGAAGCTGCGTGTCAACCGTCAACAATCCGGACATCTTGCTGGGTCAAGGGACCGTCGGTGCCGAAATGATGGAGCAGATGCGTGCCCGTGGCAGTGAGTTGGACATCATTATTGCACCCTGCGGCAGCGGGGGGCTTTTGGCAGGGTTGGCTCTTGCTTTCCATGGCTATCCGACAAAAGTCTTCGGAGTAGAGCCTTCTAAAGGAGACGCCGATGATGCTCGGCGAGGCCGGTTGCAGAAACGTCGTATCGATCGAGTCGAATTGTCCACAATAGCGGATGGTCTGCGATGCCCCGTTGGTAAGGCTGTATGGGAAGTTATTAAGCGGCCAGAACACGTCGAAGACGTGTATGCGATCAGCATCTACAATCGCAATTCCCATCAGCACGGATATATTTCTAATTCTTATCTGCAACAATGTTACACTCAGTTGAGATCAAAAGCGGGGAACCCTGGTATTTTCGAATATTTCGGGCAATGTTTCACCCAGTTGCCACTCGCGACTCGCAGGAGCGGGGGAACCCTGACTTGTCGTGAGTAGCTATCACAAGTTGCACTTCAGCCCCATCCTTGCCTTGTGACAAGTGACTGTCTTCAAAAGGATTCGTGTGTCAGTTTTGCGCCTCCCATCCTGCATACTTACGTTTCTTTTTCCGACGCATTCAAGGACAAGAAACCATGGCTGGACTTGCTACAAACGTTTTAGAGCTTCCTTTGAAGCGAAGAGAAAGAGCTTCAGACCACTCGGGATACAATCTGGAAACATCAATTCTTGGACAAGGCTGATTCATTTCAGAAAATAATCCAGAAACAATGTCAAATCTTGCACATAGCTTGGGCCTGTCTAAATCTCTATGCTTCACAGATGTCTATAGCATCGACGAGCCTGACTTGCTTGTCGAAATTCCTCGGCCATGCTATGGACTACTTCTTGTCTTCCCGATAAATGAAGGTTACGAAGCACTCCGGATAAAGGAGGATCAGGATTTAGAGGACTATAACGGATTTGGTCAAGAAGAGGAAGTTGTCTGGTTTAGACAAACAATAGGGACTGGGTGTGGAATGATTGCTCTCTTGCATTGCCTAACGAATAGTGTAGTACCTTCACTCATCGACCCACAATCAGACCTAGCCCGTTTATTCGAAACAATACTGCCTCTATGGCTCATTCCTCGCGCCAATGCATTATGCGATTCGGTTGCTTTAGAAGCGGCCAATGAGTTGGCTGCAGCTGAAGGAAACAGTGAGGTCTTGTCGGCGAATACCCCGATGGATCTGCATTTTGTTTGCTTTACCAAGTCTCTACAAAATAATCTTTGGGAGCTTGACGGCCGGAGAAGAGGCCCGCTCAATAGGGGCTCGTTGGAAAAACAAGAAGACGCTCTAAGCGAGCGTGCTTTGGAGCTCGGGGTCCGAGCTTTTCTGGAACAGGAAAAGAAGCAGGGCGAAGACGACTTAAGATTTAGCCTGATTGCTCTAGGACCAAAGCCTGTTGAACAATAGCAGTTGAAGGCAGTATGGCTTCCATGATTGCCAGTAGAAAGTCTTTGTTTATCGCTCACTGAGCCCATTTCTTGACGGTTTTCTAATATGCGATGAGATGCAGATGGCAATGGGCGCGCTGCTAAAGTATAACGGCTTGGTGGTAGAAAAGCGCGGCTGCAGCGGTGACTGTGGCTTTTATCAGTCCGGGTTTTCATGAGCGTGTTGAAGAGCATCCGGGGCAACGCTGTCGAGTGGGTGTGGTTTTGACCGGGGGAAATATTGATCCCGAGGATTTTGCGATGTTAGTACGATGAGCAGAGTGCTAGCATGGAGTAAGGTATCCCAAACATGCATGGATGCTTTTTTCTGCCGCTCTGTCATCATGTCGATTCATCACTACTTTAGCCAATAAGCATGAGTCTACTTTCCCTTTGATCACCACTTCTCGGATATTACGGTCTGCGGGCCATGCACCCACATGACCCTTCACGGATATTTTGGCTGCCGTAGTAGATATAAATAGACATAAGCGATGATTGATGTCTTGCAACGCATCGCTTATGTCTTGCAACGAATGCTTACTATCTGCTATGATCAATATAAGCTGAGTTGCACATATGTCGCTCTACTTCCCTCCGGTGTCTTAGACATAATCCATCGACAGAAAACCAATTCCCCAATTTGGTCATCAACAAAGTCATATACACAGATAAAATGGTCAGCACGGTGTAGAATGTCTCACAACCCCTCAAAGGCCTCCAAGTTCCCACAGTTCGAGCACCGACCTTGCCCGATGCGGGGGGATCTGCATCAACAAACCACCAACCTAACTGGCGCGGTGTCTCGTCTAAAAGAGCCCAAGTCTTTGCTAGCTCTGACCCCGGAGTGAGATCTACATGACTTATGTTGCCTATGTCTTAGCACAAGCCTCGATTTTGGTATCGAGGCCTCTCATCCATACTACCAAGGTTTGTGAATACTGTGCCGTGTGGACCGAAATCCGATCCCGCCCTGCATCACATCATCGGGATTTTAATAGAAACTCACCGGATCTGATCGACCAGAGTATATAAATTGGTGCCTGTTCCCGTCTCCTCCACATAGTCCCAAGCTTCTACAATTATCACATTCGCTTGAGTATTCTGCACCAACTTTTACCACGCTCACCATGAGATTCCTCTCTGTCATCGCTCTTCTGGCTGCCACTGCCGTGGCCAACCCCGTCGCCAGATCTACCAAGAAGGAATTCCACCTGAAGACCACCGGCGCCGCAAAGGCTGATTTCAACGACCTGTTCGTCATCACCTACCACACCGGTGCCGGCACGAACGACGCCCTTCTCGAGAATAAGGGTTCCATCGCCACTCCATTCTACCTGAATGGCACCACCGCCCTCGCCAACCTAGGCAACGTCTTTCCGTGGGGCTTTGAGATGGGCGGAGACTCCAACTATGCCTGTGCGTGTTTGTTTATACCCCAATCTGAACCCACCACAACTAACAATTTCCAAGCCTGGGAGTCGGTTCAGATCAACGCCGGCGGAGGTGTCGATGGTTTCTCCATCAAAGACGGCAACTTCGTCTGGTCCGAGGAGGAGGGCTTCGGTGGATGGCTCGGTAAGTAATACACATTTGACGTCATATGTCCCCTGAGTTCTTGGCTAACTTGAGGTATCCACAGTCTGCGACTGGTACCACAATGCTCCTCAGCTGTTCTGGTGGGACAAGTACTACCCGCCTACTATCCCCTGCAGCTGCAGCAAGGTTGACCTGAAGCCTATCTACCTGACGCAGTAGATGCCCAATCGGCGGGCGGGTTGTAGGACGGCTTTCAATTAATGTAATCGGAGCCAATGAATGTGATGGCTGACGTATAAATAAGTGAAGATTCGAGTCAATTATAAATCTAATTCTTATCATTGCTTTCTGTTTTCGTACATCGTCATGTGTGGGAATCATTATGCGGCAGCTATTTGCGGTGTGGTTTCGTAGTAGCGACGGTCCATACCAGCCTGCAAGCGAGCTTCTTCGTTGAATGGTCCTCGAATCGTTCCGCGGAAATGTTTCGAGACGTTGCTGCGGAAGACCTGTACTGGGTCTGTTCCTTCTTGGTCGCAGATCCAGCTTAGCCATCGGTGGCCGGTGGTGACATGTGTAATTTCGTCGTTGTGGATAACCTCCAGGGCTGCGACACTCTCGGTGTCCCCGGCGTTGCGGAACTTCTGGATGGTCATTGGGTTGACATCCAGACCCCGGGCTTCATGGACCAGGGCGATGATGCTAATCCGGGATCGAAGGTCGTGTGCGGTGTCCATGGCGGATTCCCAGAGACTGTGGTGCACTGGTAGTGCACCGAAATGAGATCCCATTTCCTCCATTCGTGTGCGTAGGAGGGAAAAATGCTTCGCTTCGTCGCTGGCGACTTTCAGCCAGTCGTGAAAGTATGCTCGTGGAAGCTCTTGGGAAGACTTCTCGGCTTGGAACGTTGAGAATCGCACGCAGATGTCGATTGCCAGGTCGATGGCCCAGAGTTCAATGTTGGCCAAGGCGTGGAGCATGGCGACTCGACTTCTCACGCTTCCTCCATTTCCAGCGCGTGGCATTCTTCCCGGTTCCAGAGTCTTCATTTTCTCGCGAGGAGGTTGATCCGGGGCGGCGATGGTCCCCCTTCCAATTTCCATAGGTGATGCAGAGCCCTCTCGATCACTGAAAATGGAGAATAAGTGGGTAGTCAATTCAATTTTGTGCTCCGGATTAGCGGTGTTCAAGATGTGAACGGCCCAGTCACATAATGTCGCCTTGTCATCGAGGTATTGTGCCATGCCAGGATCAGCCCGAGTAGGCGCTGGCTTGTCTGACGGTCGCGCATGCTTCAACTTGACTTTCTCGCTGACGGGCTCAATTTTGTCAAGCTTGACAATCGATCCGTCTTCGACTGGGAAGTCCAGAGTCACAAATCCATCGCGAACATCGACGGGGAATGTGCAGGCTTTGATACCTACGCTCGACTCGCCGGTCTCCACATTGAAATCGTAGGCGTGCCACGGACAGGAGACGACGTAAGCCGAGTCTTCTATGTCAACGTGGGAGTCTTGCATAGGGCCTCCGGCATGCGGGCACTCGGCTTCCATTGAGTAGTATGACCATCCCCCTGTCTCGTTGGGTTTTGAACTGCAGGGATCGATGGACGGTAGGCGGAACAGCACCAACCGTTTCCCTGTGGAGAGATGAATCACATACCGTGCCTGAACAAATTCAGACAAGGGTCCGCAGTTGATCAGCATTTTGATCACTGTGGCTGTTCGTATGCACTGTTAGGAGTGGAAGTCGCCGCTTGCTTCTTCTCGGCTTTAATTTTTGAGATCACGTGCTGATAGTGGGACGGCCCCACCGCGGGGGGAAGATGAAGTAAAGTAAATGGGGCTTGGGACATGAGGTTGGACGAGACTGAAAAAGACATAAGCGCTGAAAGTGTGCCATTGAAGAAGAGTCAGTATCCTTATTTAGCTCGTACTACTTCCAAGGTTAGAGAGGAATCGCATCTTCCTGGGGTTTTTAGTTCCCGAGCTTTCACAGGAAATGCTGCACTACGTGAGAACAACCTGATGAGAACTGAATTTCCGCATGCCGACTATCCGTATGTAAGACTGTAGTCTGTTCTATGTCCTTAGTGGGCCCAGGTAGGTACTTGCGTAGTAAATGCACCAATTATAGCCTTGGATGCTTCCCGAGTTCAGAGGAAGAGTGCTTGATTCTCCAGTATGCAAACAAATGATCGGGCTTCAGTCATTGGAGCTCTCCTGTCAATTGATTAAGAGACTTCATAAAGACCTATCAGCGATTCTTGAAGCTGCTGAAGAGTATGCATAAAGTAGCACGGCCACAAATTTCATTATGATTAAAGAGGGTCCAGTGAGCAAGAGAGTGGACCTGGGTCAAATAGATACCCGCAACCTTTGAGCGAACAGTGTTAGTGTGGAGATCCTTGGATTTCCACCAGATCGATCTTTTGCAAGGGATTCTTAAGGCTTACACAATGCATGAACGTACATTATTATGCACTACGCATGAGCCGTGTTGCCAAGCACCTAGCAAAGCTAGTGTTAGTAATACCGGCCGAGTTAGAAGCCCGCTCCGCAAAAAAAGGGGCGGAGACCTTTGCGGGGGAACAACCAGCGGAACATCCCACGATAACAACTGTGCAAATGTACTCGGCTCCGGCCACCTAGGTTTACTATCTGTAGCAAATAGGCAAATGACACATCTGCACATGCAACTGCGGCTTAGAATGAAAGTTCTGCAGCGGTAAGATACCGACAGTAGCGGGAGCTGAGACGATCATCTCGCACCATTGGCCGAGATCAGGCCCGAAGCGGGCATGGTGGATCTCACAATGCAGTGTAGCAGCGAGCTGAATTGAATGGCCGAGGGTAACTCAAGGGGTTTAATTCTGCGCCGGCTGCCTCTTGGCCTCGAGTTTTTTTCTCCCCTGTCTTCCCCCCAGATTCGCTGTGTGGACTGTGCAGCCAGCCAAGCCTCGGGTATTCTCATCCCTGCATTGCGGCCGGATCTGCGCCCAAAGATCCGAAGGCCAAGCAGCTTGTGTTTTTGAGTGATTCTTGCGAATATTCTTTTCCCCGCCTCGGCAGACACCCCCTTCCTGCGTGCGCTGCGTATCTGCGATCGATCCAATCATGGGAGTGTCAGGTACGTTTCGATCCGATCCATAGCCGCGCGAGGCTTGCGACTTTCACGCGAGAGATCGGCCCTGACAGCTCTTACCCATAGTGTTGAACACCAGCGAGAAAGGCGAGAGCCCGCTTGCCGACCAGCAAAAATATGACGCGTCGGACTCGGAAGCCCCTCGGGTTCATAACATCAATGAGCGCAAGCTGATGGCCAAGATTGATGCGCGCCTGCTGCCGTGCTTGTGTATTTTGTACCTGCTTGCCTTTTTGGACCGGTAAGATCGTCGCGTCTCTATTTTCAAGTGTCGCAACATACTGCTGACGGTTGTAACTCTTTGCGCAGTGTCAATATCAGTAATGCCGCTATTCTTGGACTCAAGAAAGACTTGAACCTCGAAACGGGCACCAAGTATAATACCGCATTGACGATCTTTTTCGTTCCGTACATTATCTGCGAAATTCCGGCGAATATTCTCCTCAAGAAATTAAAGCCGCATGTCTGGTGTACGTGGTTGTTCCTACTCGATTTGACGAGTAACTGACTTTCGGCCATCTAGTGTCGCTTTGCATGTTCATGTTCGGCGTCGTCATGATCTGCCAGGGATTAGTGACAAATTGGGGTGGACTGATGACCACGCGATTCTTTTTGGGAGTGTTCGAGTCGGGCATGTTCCCCGGATGTGAGTTGATATGCGAAAATGCAGGTTGGCCGGCTCTTACTGACGACCGGCAGGTTTCTACCTGATGGGCATGTGGTACAAGCGAAGCGAGGCCCAGAAGCGATTCAGTTTCTTCTTTAGCTCAACCACTCTGGCTGGTGCTTTCGGTGGTCTGTTGGCATATGGTCTGTCGCATATGAACGGTGACCGAGGCTACAGCGGTTGGCGCTGGGTGTTCATTATTGAGGGTGTAATCACCGCTGCAGTTGCGATCCTTTTGTTCTTCCTCCTTCCCGATTTCCCCGAGGAGACCAAGTGGCTGAGTGAGGATGAGCGCGCGTTCCTCCGCGAGAAGTTGGCCAAGGACGTGGGCAAGTCGGCTCACAACGTGAAGATGGGTTGGCCTGAGATCAAGGGTGTCTTGAAGGATTGTGAGTGAAATTCCAAAGACATCTCTGCCACAGATACTGACCGCTTCTATAGACAAGGTTATTCTTGGAGGCTTCATGTACTTTGGTCTCATCGTTCCAGCATACAGTTATGCCTACTTCGCCCCCTCTATTATCGAGAGCTATGGATACAATGGTATGTGCCGTGCCTAGTCTCTTTTACGGTGAAACATATTGCTAACTACATTTACCAGCGGTCCAAACCCAACTGTACTCCATTCCACCGTGGGCAGTGGCCTTTGCGTTTTCCATGATCGTTGCTTTCTGCTCTGATCGATTGAAACACCGCTTTGCCTTCACGGTGATCACTGTGTGTATCGCCATTGCTGGCTTTGCTATGGTCTTCAGTATCCATGGCAAGGAGCATAAGCATGCAGAGTACGGTGCGCTCTTCCTTGTCACCAGCGGTGCCTACAGCGCCATGCCTGTTATCGTGTGTTGGTTCGCAATGAACTTGGGCGGTCACCACCGCCGTAGCGTGGGCACCGCGTGGCAGATCGGATTTGGCAACATCGGTGGCATCATAGCCACCTACTCCTTCTTGTCAGACCAGGCTCCTTTCTACAAGACGGGTTTCACCATTTGCATCTCATTCTGCTGTTTATCTATTGTTGCATGCTGTATATATATGGCTGCGATTTGGTTCGAGAACCGCAAGCGTGACCGCGCTGCCATTGACCCGAACGCCGTCCCGGAGGACCAAAAGGAGTACCAGGGTGATCTGGCACCGACCTACCGGTACCAGTACTAGATGACGTCTCAACTCCCGGTTATGGAATTGCCCCAATTTTGGGTGTTTGCCCACCCAAAGGAGCACAATCCGGGGTTTCCAAGGTTGCGGATGGTCAGATGATATAATATGAACAGAGCCGACGGACTATGGATATACGAGTAAACAGCACCGAGATGGAATGCGTGCAATTCACAGAACAAATCAATAATGAAATGAAATGGCCGTTGCCCTACTTGCAAATAAGCGACCAGTCGAGCGGAAACCCTATTTCCACTGCCTTCTGTGTGATGTAATGGACTCGTCACGTGTCACATGCCTCCCTCCCAAAATAGGGTTAGCGCCTCGCTTAGCTGAGTAAGCCTCCCACTACACAAACCCGTCGTGGGCCACTCTGTTTCGTCTTTCTTCCAACCATCTCTTCATTTTCGCAGAATAGTAAGTCACCACCCTTTTCTCAAGGGTTTGCCTCGAGCTCCATGGACCCTCGACTGACCCGGACACAGACCATCTACGAAGATGAGAGCTAAGTGGAGAAAGAAGCGCGTTCGCCGTCTCAAGCGCAAGCGCAGAAAGATGCGCGCCAGATCGTGAGTTTTGCCCTCAGAGCTCTGGGATCTTCCGAGCTCGCCTCAATGCCATTGGCCATTGCCACAAAATTATCATCGATGCTAACAGTCGCCCACAGCAAATAAACTACTCGCCCCCTCCATCTCAGCTCCTCATGTCGAGGCTCATGTTTGAACGCTGAACACGACAATTGATGAATCGATATTACGACTTCCTCTTACGCTCCTCATTCAAACGAGTTACCTGCCCAGATTGTGTTTCCGCCCCCCATTCGAAGAAGCTGCAGTTCGCCTGACGGAATCCACCGTCCAAACAACGTTCCCCACCTTTCCAACTCTTTCGGATTCGTTAACGTCGGTTGTTCTGATGCTGGGCATGGTCTTATTTGTGCGGTCTTCCGCTCATTTTATTTTTACTCGGAGGGCTCATGTGTTCGGTTGAGGGTTGGAGGATTAGAAATAGTCCTGAGCTCGATACTGGGGTGACTGGTCAATTTTCCTTACTGCTTCCAAAATGGTCCCTTTTCGAAGGGCCAGGAGCCGTGGAGAGGTCTCAAGAGAGAGTTTATCGCCCAAAAAATTACTGGAGAAAGCTCGGGGGTCTTTGTTTTCGATAGCTATGTCTGCCGATAAATTTATGACTTCCAAAGCACAGGTCTTTCCTTAATTACCGTAGTTCGGTTCGTAGCTCTTGTAGCTCTTGAGCATATCTTAGCAGCTAACCTCTGCGAATATTGTGCTCATTTGTGAGAGTTGTGTGGATTCGCTTTGTGTGGGTCTTATTCACCGCCTTCCTAATCCTCGGCGCTAGGAATTTTTTCTGCCCGCGACTTAATGACATTTATTCTAAGAGAGCATTTCGGGCGATCACTCGAGCCGGACGACTTGAAGTTCTCTCCTAGCGTCGTCCTTGCTATATTCAAACACGATGCCATCCGAAAAAATTGATAAGAAGCGCAAGCGCGCCTCAGACCGCCACGAGCGGCCGAGCAAGAAGCCCGCTCTGCAGCTGCAAGCACTTCCCCCACTGGCAGCTAGCCTCGTCGAGGATAAGAGCGAGCTGGCTCCTGTGATCGGTGAGTTGATTTGTGCTCCAATTGCTTCGTATTAACAACACTAATATGTTCCATGCTCTAGCTACCACCCCCGGCGTCCAAAACTCCAAGTCCCTCCGCTGGACACCATACCTCAAGGCCCGCGACAATGTCTCCAAGGCCACCCGTAACCCGGGCATCGCCTCTTCTGAAATCTTGTTGCAGTCATCCGAGCACGAGAAGATGGATTTTACCGGCCGCGAGGGAACCGGCGAGGATGCGGATTCGCAATTGAAGCACTATGTCGCCGTCGTGGATCCAGAGCGCAAGACATGGCAGATCGTGGAGGCTCGACGAGTCACCCTCCGCGGAGCTGTCCGCAGCAGGAAGCAGGAGGATGACGAGTCTGACGAGGAGCTGGTGAGCTTATTGGATCTGTTGGACGCTTGGGAATGGCTCGCTAACGAAGATACAGAACACCATGCGCGCTCAGCGTACGGCTCTTACCAACACATTCGGTACCAAGCAATCGCGGAAGGCTGTGCAGTCGATGCAAGAGAATGCTCAGCTGTCCAATGCTCCCGCCGGAACCGTCACCGAAGCCGGTGCTGCCCTCATTTCCTCATTGCCAGCAGATGTTGCCTCCGGCGTGGCCAAGGCTTCCGATGTCCAGGCCGAAGTGCAAGCCGCTAAGCCCCTGCCCACACCCGACCTCTCAGCTGCTCATCCTTCTGACGTCTACCCTCTCGAGACCCTGGTTCCAGGCGGCCAGTCTACTCTCCGCCAATTGAACGGCGTGGACGAGTGGAAGCAGCAAGTGGACGCCGGTCTGGAAGTGACGACTGGCTCGCGCTTCGTCGCAAACCGCGTCGTGGCCGTCGCCCAGGCCGACAACTCGACCCAACTGCAAGTGCTCCGCCTGATCCAAATGCTCCTCGAACTTGCTCGCTCCCTGAAGAGCATGAGCCGCGACAAGGGCTCCGGCCCAGGCAGCAAGCGTCTCCCGTCTCGCGACGACCTCCGCCGCATCCTTTCCAGCACAACCGGCACAACAACCAAGGGCAAAGACGACTCCGAGTCCTCTGAAGACCTCCTGCCCGACTCCGTGGTCGACTCCGTGCGCCGCCGCTTCGCCCCGAGCGGTGGCTTCCTCTCTAAGCACGACCTGACCCTCCTCCACACCACTATTTGCGCCCTCTCCCTGCACATCCCGCCCCAGCCGGCCAAGGACGGCGGTTCCAGCTCTCTGGGTGGCAACGCGCCCAACGAGCTGGCCACTGACCCGTCCGACCTGCGTGATGACCTCCGCCTCGACTCGAATACTGTGCAGCAGTACTTCCGCGAGCTGGGCTGCCGTGTTGATCGGCCCCGTGAGTCGGAGTTCGCCAAGTGGAACATTAAGGGTGGACGTGCCGAGGCGCAAGCGCGCCGCGTTGCTCGTCTGCGTGTCCCGGTCGAGTTCCCTAAGGTTAGCCGTGGTGGTAGGAAATAGGTGTCGAAGGTGATTGATTGTGTTTGGTAAAATCATTGTCTATGGTATATCCGGCGTTTTTTCTTTACCATTTACTACACATTTCCCTGCTGTTTGTTCCAAAAATTGGTTGTATACGAATGAAGATATCTTGCATATACTCTTTTGCACGAGTCCGTAGAAGCTACGCATAGTTTCCGTGATAAGTATGATGATAGTACTGTAAAGACAGTCACGAGAATATCTATTGCACGGAGTGCTCCAGGCCAATGGAGTATTAAAAGGGTTCTGGTCTATAGATACGAGCTGAATATCCAAGATTTGGGAAAACGTGCATATCGTGATTTATTGGTGCCTTATACATCCACATCCAGGAAGATCAAACACAAAACAAGAACATGGTATCATTGCTCATAAAGCATGGACTCTCAAGTCTATAATGCAACTCTTATCATAAAGACAAGCGTGGAATCAAGCCTCACGCTGTGATTCATAAGGACGGGCCGAGCTTGCCCTCCGATTCTCCCCATGCCGCACTCTATCCGCCTCAAGCTCCTGCGCAAACTTACTCTTCGCGCGAATGTCCGGCCCCTTCCAATAAAACACATAAATCGGAATCAGGACCATAAATCCAACACATCCCAGCAACGTACTAGCCCACTGGAGATGATACTTGCCACCCATATTTTCATACATAGGCGTCGAATACATGGTGGCAATACCCGCTAAGAAATCTCTTGCGAAGCCATTACCTCCCGTCGCGGATGCAGAGTATGGTCCGTACGCGGCGACCATGTAATCGATTGTAGCCATGTAGATGGCGTAGTTGGCCATTGCGATTAAGCACGCGAAGATCAGAGGTGCGATCCAGGGGATTGGGGGCCCCATCGATGTCCAGGCAAAGCCCAGGAGGCCGATTGGTTCGAGGGGTGCGATGAAGAGGAGAAGTAGTAAGCGGCGTTCAGCGAGGCGGGAGGCTGCGCCTTCTTTGTGGCGGAGGCGGATTTGGCGGTAGATGTCGGGCAGGAAGATGAGGTAGGCGAGGATGTAGCCGACTATGATTGAGCCGAAGGTCATGCCGACGGCGAGAACGGACATGTTCCATTGGCCGAATACTAAGGTGAAGGATTCGGTGAAGACGAAGATCAAGGCGTCGGAGAAACCGGAGAGCAGGGAGAGGAAGAGGACGATAGGTTCGCGGAGGAACATTTCGAAGGGACGGCGCCAGAGACGGAGGACGTCGCCGACGTCTAGACGGGGTGTTTTTAGTTCGTCGGGCCCGTAGACTTCGTCGCCGTTCTTGCGGCGGCGTTTGGCTTCGCGGTCGACGAGGATAGTGGCACGGGTTTCGGGGACTAAAAAGAAGTGGAGGATCTGGGTGACGGCACCGAAGATCAATTGGACCCAGAATACCCAGTGCCAGCTGAGATACTCGCCAATGATACCGCCGAAGAAGGGACCGATGGTTGAGCCGCCGACGGATGAGAGCACGACGTAGGCCACGGCGAAGCCCTGGTCATCCGGTTCCCACATATCGGCGGTCATGCCTAGGGTAACAGAGCCGCCGGCCGAGGAGAGACCGCCGAGAATACGGCACACGACAATGGTGCCGAAGTTAGGTGCAAGGGCGCAGGGAATCTGCCAAATGTTCACCAGGAACAGAGAGAGCTGCATGATGGGCCAGCGGCCAAACTCCTCGGACCAGGGAGCCCACAGCTCACAACCGAAGGCGTAGGCGACGAGGAAAACACATTGTCCTACTCGACCGGCCTGTTCACTGATGTGAAATTCCTTGGTCAGGCCGGTGACGGCATTGGAGTAGACGCCGGTGTTAAAGTTCATGGACATCTGCACGATGAAGATGACAGACAGAATTGTCCACTTCTTCCATGTGGGAAAGCAAAAACCCAGTTTATCGTAGCATTCGTCTTCTGTGAGCTCGCGCTTGCCGGCTTTTTCTACCTTGAGGGCATCTTCACGAGTTGTGGGGTCTGAATCGGAGGCATTCTCGGCTTGGGCGTCGTCACCGCGCTGGACCTTCTTCTTTTTCTCGCCTTGTTTGAGTTCGTGGTCTTCGAACTTTTCATCGATTGCTTCCCGCCTTTCGAAGAGCGGGGAGCCCGGGGATTCAGCCATGAGGCAGGGGGTGGTGCGCTGCTGAACCCTCTATCGGTGCGGACTGGTGTTGACTATAGGTATGGGTATGGGTATAGGTATAGATAAAAAGAAGGTAGAAAGACTAGGATGTGGGGTATCAGGTGGACAAAAGAGGCAACGGAGGCAACATGGCGAGATCGAGGAGATTTATATACGGTCTACCAAAGTGGAACCCCAATCTTTTGGAAAACCCTTGGCTTTGACACCATGCAACTGCACAACCCAACGGAAGCTCCCAGTTAGACAACCCGGGGCAACAGGCACGTCGGGTCCACCCGTCCCCAACATTGCAACATGAATGGCCGGAAGTTCCATGGAAGAGGAGTCAGCCTGGCAAAACCTGTTGTGGATGTAGTTCACGGCCCGTGGGGCAGACTGTCGGCAACCCGACATCGACGTCATACCCACCCGGACTACGTCAAGGCCAAGGGGATACAGTCGTGTACTGTAAAGATGTGCGAGGGGCTCCACTGCTTCTTCGGTTCTTACTATCGTGCCAATAACCTTTGCTTGCGCTGCCCCGGCGGAGATCAAGAGAAAGTCTGGAAGGGGGCTAAGCGCGCGATGTTGTCATAGCCGGCGTCATAGCCGGCGTCTTTCTATGTATCCAAGCACGATCAGTCGTTCGATGAGGACCCTTGATTTCTCCGATCGTCGTCAACTGTGGTCGAATCAGTTCACGCATACACTTTCTCCGCGTGTGACAATCCGACGCTGGGGATGTGGAGTCACCGTGTCTTCCATTATCCTGACTGCCTTCACAGTAATCCACGTCTATCTAGAGAGAAAAAAAAGAGCCATGCACCTACTTATATAAGCCCGAGGGCAAAAGATTAATCAGATTCTTGGGTATAGAAGGTTCACCAACAAGTCAAGAGAACCAGCAACCAATGAGCGAGGGTCGGACATTCCCGCAACTCGATGGCAAACCGGTTGCAGCGCTGGTACGGCCGAAGATGGGCTCACCCAATATGAGGTCCGGTTTCGAGTGTGCACTAAGACATCTTCCGCCAAGACAAAATGCTATGATTCATTCTCTAATAACACAGAAAGCAAGTTCAGTCGTCGAGTGGACTATGGTGGTATACGCCTGTCCATACATACACGCTCCCTTGGTACGTACTGCAGGGTTCATTGCGGACCGCACTCCCGACCTACCTGATCGGCGGATATTCCTCGGCCTAGCCATATTCTACCATTCGGTTACTCTCCGCGGGAGCACTTCAAAAAAAAGAGATCGCCTGATCCGATGACGGTATAATCCGTAGCTCCAGCCAGACAACCATCTAGGCCCCAAGGAAAGACAAATCGTGTCGGATGCCCACCCGAATGCCCATCTTGCAATTTTGAACATGATTATGCCCTCGGATATTTGCAAATACAGTATATGCATAACACATGCGCGCACGCCTACAGGTACCTACAGGTATATGCACGCACATCGTAAGAGGCTTCGGCCCCCTCCTGAGGCTCCACTTTAAATCCGGATACTCCAGGTCCCACAACAATATACATGTACTGGTTTATCCCGTAAATAGAACTGACATAGCCCGGCCCTGGATTTTTATTTGTCAAGTGGAAATAACTCGCGTGGCTGTTGTTCTGCCCCGGTTTCCTTGTCGTGGCAGGTACAAATGCCAGATACGTAGGAAGGTTGGAGTCGATCTGATCACCTCGGCTGCGTCACTTGCCCTGCGGTCCCCTGTAAGTTCTTATTTGCGGGGGAAGATCCTTGCATTGTGGCGAATGACATTTGAAATCTTGAGCTATTTACTTTAGTTCAAAAAACGTGTGACTTCGAGCACATGGTCGACCACGCGGAACGGTGCCTGCCAGATGAGGTGTCTCCCGTAGACAGATATTACGCTTCTCAGGTTGCTAGCAGACTCGTAACCATCTGAGCCAGATCCAATTCCTATCCGTAGTGGTCATTAAATATATCATTCTTCATCATTCTACGGGCAATCATGATCATCAGCCCATCTCTGGGTTTCAGCCTCTGAGATCTTCTTCCGACCATGGGCCCAGGCGGCTAAGGCTTCCGCCCCCTCGTTTGGCTGTTGACTCCACAACCTTGTGAATCCGAGGTTTTCATTGCTTCCATCGGTCTTCAGATTTACATTTCAACGTTGACTTCTTAGGTGTGTAGCCGTCATTCGAACTATCTTGTCTATATCAGAGATATGATGTAATATACCCTACTCTATACAGTACCACGGATGGTAGTTTCAAATTACACACTACGATGAATAATAGTCCCTCGATAACCCGAAATTTCATTATTTGACCGGCTCAATCATTCAATCCCACCGCACTGGATCTATGTAGATACAAGTATATCCAACACACGAAACGTGTTCCAAATGTAAAACGGGATACCCATGGGGCAATTGAACAAAAGAATCAAGACAAGATTTGAACACTGGAGGGATCAAAAGGATTATTCGACCATGTACTTGATAAACGCACGCGTCGAGTCATGTTCAAAGGAGCGGACAGGTAGGAAAACAGTACCCAAGAAGAACCAGAACAGCCACCTATGCGGCGACACCGACGGGGGTGGCGCCGATGGCGGAGTGCGCACGAGTGCCGACCGGGGTGCCGGTCTTCAACTGAGGCGCGGTCTTCTGGGCTGCTTCGGCGCTGAGCTCACGGGCGATGGCGCCCTCGAGAGACTCGCTGGCGGCCAGGCCGAGCTGGGATTCTTCCCAGATGGGCTCATTGGCTTCTTCGGCGCCCTCGACGCCGACGCCGACGAAACCGCCGAGGTTCTGCCAGTCGCTGGCGCGCTTGATGCCCAGATCGTTCCAGACGGCTTGGACGGCCTGGACGAGGTGGTCGCGCAGAGGCTTGACGTGGCCTGGGGTTGGGGTGATGCGCAGACGCTCTTCACCGCGCGGGACGGTGGGGTAGTTGATGGCCTGGACGTAGATCCCGTGGTCTTCGAGCAGCTTATCGGAGGCACGCTTGGCGAGCTCGGCGTCGCCAACTAGAAGCGGGACGATGTGGGAGGGGTTGGGGATTACGGGGATATCCAGCTCCTTCAGCGCGGACTTGACTGCGCGGGTGTGCAGCTGCTGGAGGACCCGGTCACGGGGCTGCTGGGCCTGGTACTGGATGGCGGTGTCGGCACCGGCCATGGTGGCAGGGGGCAGAGAGGTGGTGAAGATGAAGCCCGGGGCCAGGGAACGGATGGTGTCGACCAGAGCCGAAGAACCGGCAATATAGCCGCCGACACAGCCGTAGGCCTTGCCCAGGGTACCAGTGATGATATCAATGCGGTCCATGACGGTGCCCTTGGTGCTCTGGGGCGAAGCGGTATCCTGCGAGGCATAGGCATCGTAGTCGAGATGTTCAGCGACACCGGCTCCGTGAGGCCCATACATGCCGACGGCATGCACCTCATCCAAGAAAGTGATGGCGCCGTACTTATCGGCAAGGTCACAGATCTTTTCAATCGGAGCAATGGAGCCGCACATACTATAAACAGACTCAAATGCAATAATCTTGGGCACATGAGGCGGTAGGGACGCAAGCTTGGCCTCCAGGTCTTGCAGGTCGTTGTGCTTGAAGACCATCTTCTTCGCACCGGAGTGACGGATACCCTGGATCATAGATGCGTGGTTCAGACTGTCGGACAGGATCACGCAGTCAGGCATCTTGCTGCCGAGGGTAGCGAGGGTTGCATCGTTAGCTACGAAGCACGAGCTGAAGACCAGCGCGGACTCCTTTCCGTGCAGCTTGGCAAGAGTATCTTCCAGAGCGACGGCGTGCTTGTTGTGGCCGGAGATGTTCCGTGTACCACCGGCACCGGCACCGTAGGTATCCAAGGTACGGTGCATGGACTCCAAGACCTGCGTATTGCGGCCCATGCCGAGATAGTCGTTGGAGCACCAGACGGTCACGCGCTCCTCCGCAGAGGCGGTGTGGGCCCGAGGGAATTCCTTGGCCAGTCGGTTGATGTTATTGAAGTAGCGGTACGACTTGTCCTTGTGCTTCTTCTCCAGCTCGCCATTATAAAAGCCATTGTAGTCGAAGTGGCCGTTGCTCGGGGCCTCCGGGCGGGGACCGCCGCGGACCGCTGGATCGGTGGCGTGGGCGGAACGAATCGAGCGAGGGATGTTACGATGAACTAAAATCCAATTAGTGAAGATTCACATTGACGAGTGTAGATAATTCTCACCCTGCTCGTTCTTCTCGTAGGACTCGGAGGTAACACTGGCCGGGTGACCGCCGGTCGTGTGCAGCGCACGACTGCCCGTCGGGGCCTTGTAGGGCTTGATGCTGGGAATGCCGGCCGCGCAGGAGGTGAATCGCTTAGTACCGCTCATACGGGCACTTTGCACCGCGAGGGCCTTGTTCATGACGGGGCAGCGGCGGGCCAGGACCTGGAGGTTGGACATGGTACCGCCTCCGGTGCTGGGACGAGTAGCGGTAGAGAGGGTGCGCAGAGCGGTGGGCGAGGTGCGCTTGAGGAAGGGGCACATGGCCCGGGACTGTTGGAGCATTGCCTCCATGACGAATCGAATTGAATCAGAACAACACACAATCAAGGCGAGGAGGGAACAATAGAGAAGGAAGTTATATGGGGCCGGGATGTGAAAATCGGCCAGGGCGGGGGGCGCCTGAGTCAGCCCTCGGGCGCTGATTAATTACGAGATGCGATTGGCTGCCACATCCTCGATCGGAAGATCCTGCCGTCTTGAGTTTGAGGGGTCCTTGCAAATCCCGAGGTTCTCCTTTTTAACACGAGTTTTCCAGTGGCTGAACTCTGAAATCTTTCGATACGGTTCTAGTTTTTGCGGGGGCGGGCCAAATCTCCTGTAGAGGACAATGCGAAGCACAACTCTGTGGAATATTTTGGGGTCTCATATGCACGCGGGATCTCAACACATGCAATTGCCGCGCCACTCGGGATTCTTCAACCGGCGGATCCGTGACGAACCATTAAATTTATCAACATATGACATAGGGCTACTACCGATACAGATGCGCTAGCCACATAGAGTACTATTGCCTTATTAGTCCCGTTGGTCTACTTCCACCACATTGGGACAATATATAAGACACCTGTGTGGAACCTAGTACAGTACTCATGTTGAGTATAAGTCTATGAAAGGCCCATGGCACCTACATGTAGGCTTTTGGCCTTAAAAGGAATTCTCCAACAGTACACACATATCCCGGGAGAGCACTGAGTAGAACTGAACAGAGATCCAACCTGGTCTTCCATTTGCTGTCTCTATTATATAACATGGCTCCTACAACCACCAAAAACCCGCTCAAGAACACCGAGGTGCCGGGGAAAAGAGACGAAACTGCAAAACACGTCTAGGGTTCCTCTGACCTGAAATAATCGAGCACTAGCGTCTGGGTAACGACGCAGAGAAGAGAGAAAAAAGAGACCAGAACATAGCATTAAAAAGCGTATCATCATGCATCCACTTTATCACATTAGACATCGTATACGTCGACAGCAACATCGCGAGACAAAAACACACCAGGAAAGAAGCTTGTAATCAAATCAAGTTTTTTGCATCTATCAGAAAAACACTTATTTTCTTCCCCTCGTCTTATGCACCAAAAATCTGTTCGTCCAGTCTTCCAAATACAATGTAGGAATTCAAAAAGAAAAACCCTTCATCCGAGGGAAATCGGGGTCAAGGGTCAAGGATGTATGGTAATACACAGCGAAGCGGTGTCCGCCAAATCAGAATGGGAAGACAAGAAGAAAAACAAGAAAGAAAAAACAGGAAGGAAGACCTGGAGATATCCCGGAAACGCCGTCACCCATTTGCACTTGCACTGTTGGAACAATCCAATTAATTTAGTCCGCCGTCACCGTCGATCAGACGAAGGCGCTCTTTCATTGTCTTGGCGCGCTTGGAGGTGCCTTTGCCGGGACCACGGCCTCGGCCTCGTTTGGCCGGGACTGGTGGAGTCTCCACGTTTTCTGACATTGGTGTGGCGGCGCCTGATTGTTTTGCGCTGGCGTCGTCGAAGTTGCCCTCGCCTTGAGAAGAGTTAGTGAATGACTGTGATGAGAATGGGACGGAACGGGCTTACCTTCGTGGTACATGTCGTCCAGAGTGAGATCACGCTTCCTCTTTGCGGCAGCAGCCTTCTTGCCGCCCTTGGGAGCTCCACCAAGAGTCTCGCCACGCTCAAGCGCCTCCTTCTCCTTTTGCTCGAGCATCTCGGCCTCGTCATCGTCGGCGAGCCACATGGCAATATCCTTGGTGCGGTTCTCACGGGCGCGGGTGTTGAAATCGACACCGCCAGAGGCGCCACCGGTGATGACGACGCGCTGCACCTCTTCCTTCTGCAAGGCACGCTTACGGATCCGCTCTTCGATCGTACCGCGGGTGATGAGTCGGTAGACTGTGACTTGTCTGGTCTGACCCAGACGATGAGCACGGTCCATGGCCTGCGAGTCGATTGTCGGGTTCCAATCAGAGTCATAGAAGATGACGGTGTCGGCAGCCGTCAAGTTGATACCGAGACCACCAGCGCGAGTGGAAAGCAAGAACACGAAGATCTCGGGGTTCTGCTGGAAGTCTGCGACAGTATCGCGACGATCCTCGAGCTTTGTGCTTCCGTCCAGACGGCAGTACTTGTAGTTTCGGTAGGTCAGGTACTCCTCCATCAAGTCGATCATGCGCGTCATCTGGAAGTACAACAGAACACGATGTCCACCGGGCTTGAGTTCCCGGAGCAACTCGTCCAGCTTGGCCAATTTGCCAGAATCCGTGACGAAGCGCCGCATAGACGGGACTTCGATGTTGGTGTAGCGGGCTCGTTGAGAGATCGGCGGCGGTAGCATTGGCGGTTTGGAGTATGGCACAGGGTCGAGCTTTTTCATGAGAATCTGCTCCTCGAGTTGCCTGGAAGGAGGATTGTAAAGTGTCTGCCGCAAGTCTGGGTTAAACAGGGTCTTTTGAGCTTCGCGGTATGCCTCTTGACCGGAGCAGGAGAGGGTGATCGGCGGTGCTGAGGCGGCGGGGACGGCACAAGGCTCGATTTGATGGAGACCTTGACCCTCGAATGATGAGCGTGACACGTTCATCAGCTTGCGCATCCGACCTTCGGTGGTGATATCGCGAAGGGCTTGGCGATCGTCACGGTCCACAATGTTGAACATGGAATGCGGCAACACTGAATTGGCACCTGCATTCTCATCATCGTAGACAACATTGAGAGAAGAGAGGCGGTTTGACTGGCCAAGCTTGCGGGCTGCACGCTCGTAAGGGCCAAGGCGGGACAACTCGCTGGCTTCGCCAGCGGACGTGTCAATGAATCGCAAGAAGGAGAATGCTCCGTTCTCGCGAGCGCTTCGCTGGATGTTTTCCGGTGTCCATACGTTCATCATGTGTGAGAGGTACTTGTTCCGGAACCCAGCACGGTTGTTGTCGGGGCCAGGCATATCGACGCGAGCCGCCGAACTGCAGAGGAGACGCGGCAGTTCATATTCGATTGTGTTCTTGGTCGAATAGCGGACGTCGACAAAGTAGCCTTCTCGGACAAAGGAGGCACACTCCGCAAAGGTTGCGGCTGAAAATGGAGACTTGGTCTCTGCACGCTCAAACAGATCGGGGTGGTTGCAGACCTTACGGAACTGCATGACCAGGTTCATCAGAGTTGTGGTATCGGCATCGTCACCGACAGCCGCCTTCTCGAGAATATCAATAATGCTGACACGGTTCCGAAGGTTTGCGTATATTGCACGCTGGCGGTAGGTCAGGTCACAGAAGACGTCCTTCTCGACCTTATCGCCAAGTTCCTGTTGCACATTCTTTTTCACACGACGAAGCATGAAGGGCTTCAAGATCATATGGAGACGCTTGAGCTGGTCCTCGTTGAGCTTGGTGTTACTCTGAGCATGAGATTCGATGTCCTTGGAGAACCACTCGCTAAACTCGTCGTGAGAATCGAACAATGTAGGCATGATGAAATGCAACAAGGCCCACAGCTCTTGCATGTTGTTCTGAATCGGAGTACCTGTCAACAGCAGACGGTTACGGCAAGAGAAGTTCAATAGATTCTTCCACCGAGAACTCTGAGACGATTTGATGGCTTGAGCCTCATCCAGAATCATGTACTGCCACTTGATCTTCTGGAAATACTGCGCATCGAGTACAACGAGCTGGTAAGAGGTCACGAGCACGTGGAACTCGGACTCGCGGTTGTAGGTGATATGCTTACGGTCCCAGAACTTGCGAAGGATCTTACGGTCCTTCGCGTTACCCCAGTAAGGTAGAACCTTGATATCCGGGACGAACTTGGCGATCTCCTGCTGCCAGTTGTGCAGTGTTGACGCGGGCGCAATTACCAGGAACGGACCCCAGATGTTGTGGAACTCGGCCAGATATGCCATGACGGAAATAGACTGGATGGTCTTACCGAGACCCATCTCGTCTGCCAGAATACCGTTGATGCCCTGCTCGTATAAGTTGACGAGCCAATTGAGACCCTTCAGCTGGTACTCCTTCAACTTGGCAGTCAACATGGACGGCTGGGAGATTTCGATGTCTCCCAGACTGGTCGGGTTCTGGAAGTTCATCTCGCCTTCATCAAAGGCCGCCATATTATCTCCGCCTTGCTCCTGGTTGAAGGCACGGGCGCGGTCCTGGGCTTGCTGCACAGCGTTCTGTGCATTTGCCATGGCAGCCTGCTGTAGAGCAGTCTCATCGTCAGCATCGAAGTCGAGATCCTCGAAGTTGGTGACCTTTCCATTCGGGTCGGCATTGGGGATATTCGGCTGAGCGGTTTGCCTCGTAGCGACAGCAGTGACACCATCTCCAGCTTCGGCTTCCGCCGTCTTGATCTTCCGACCGATGAAGTGAGAGTAAAGCTCGGTCTGAGAGATAAGGAAGTTGAGCTTGCGCTTCTGCCGGTTTGATTCGCGCTCTGCTTCTGCCTTCTTCGCCGACTCGAGTTCTTGCTTCTCTGCCAAACGGCGCAAGTCACGCTCCTCACGCTCGTTACGCTTCCAGAAGGACATCATCTCACGCATGGTACGCTTAGCACGGGCTTGCGTATCCTTCGTGCTCTTGTTGGTACGCTCTTGCCACTTGCGAGACTGCTTGCTAGCCAGCTGGGCGGTTTTACGCAGGTTCTCTTGACGGGTGGAAAGCGACGTGGTCTTGATGCGATAGACCTTGGGGATGTCCTTGCGGGCAATATCACGCCAGATTTGCTCGTATATCTGATTGTAGCCCTTGCTGTCGTAGTGCAATGGAACGGGAGTGCCCTCCTTGGAAAGTCGAGAGTCGCGAGGAGTATAATAGTCGTCATCAAGTCCGGCCATGTAAGCCGCTTCAGCGGCATCCTTCTCGGCCTGCTTCTGCTCTCTGGACTTCTTCGGGCGTGTAACAGGACCACCGCGTCCAGATCTGCGGCGCGAGGGAGACGACCGACCGATATGGAACGAGCTAGTGATGCCACCTTCGTAATTAGGAGCCAAGGGAGTGACCTCGCCAAGCTCGTCCTGGGCATTCCCACCCTCCAGAGCGCGCTTGGTGGACTTGATTTTCTTATGAGCTCTTTCGGCTTCGCGAAGGAACTTGGCCTTCTCTGCCGAGTCCAGGGCCTTGTCTGCCTTGCGCTCAGCTTCGAGCTTCTTCTGCATTTCCAAGCGCACGGTATTTTCACGGCGACGCTTCCGCTGCATGTCCTTCTTGCGTTCCTTTTCGTCCTGGATTTCCTTTTGTTGAACTTCGGCGACGACGGAACCCTCATTGAGCGATCGGAAACGCTCTGCTCCTATAATGGACTGCTTCTCGAAGGACCGACCGAGATCGAGTAGGAAAGCATTGCGACGTCGCTTTCGCCGAGCCTGTTCAGCACGACTGCTCTCGAGGGAGCGCTTGTTGCCCTTTTCCCGATACAGCTCCAGCTCCCCATCGAAGCCGGGTCCCTCGACGTCACTTTTCTCAGCATTGTCGATCTCGACAATAGCACGATTGACCTGCTCAGCATCGACACCCGGCGGAAGGGGTTTCCGCAGTGGCGGTCGTGGAATGATAGCCGGCTGATCCGATCCCGGCCGCGAAAAGCCATTGGGAGCGAACGGACCCTTAGAAGGGTCCAAGTGATGTTTCTCCATATTCGGGCCTTTCTCCGACTTGGGATAGAAAGTTCCGGGAACTGGGCCTTGGTCTCGCCGGTGATCGTAATGTGAAGGTGTATGTGCCGTAGGCGTTGCGATCGAGGAAGGTGGAGGTGATGCCTTTTTCGCGGGTTGTTCATCAGATGGCCCGGATAGAATGCTGGCGAAAGACATGGGATCGGCAGCTCGAGCGGGCTTCTAGAGCAAAACAACGATTAAAAACAAGCTATTAAGTTAGAACAAGGAATGCGTTATGGACGTACAGATTCCCGAGGTGGGGATGCTGGCCTTGACTCCCGATGCATGGGTGGTCCATATCCAGTTCCATTGCCTCTTCCATGATACGGTGACTCGGCTTCCCGGGTGGGAGACTGCGAATGGCCGTCTGGGCGGCTGGTAGGATGGCCGTGGGGGGTCGAGGGACCGTAGGGCGAAGTGCCGTTGCCCGGGTGTACGGAGCTAGAGAAGGGACGCGGCAGCGGAAGCTGAGAACCAGGCGCCGAATGGCCCTGGTATTGTGATGATGCTTCTCCATGAGGTTGGTGAGGCGGGGGCGCCGCGCCGTTCAAGGCCGGAGGGAGCGATGAAGGCATCGGCGAAGACGCGTGCGAAAAGCGAGGACTCCGCGCCACGGAGGGTGGACCAAAGGCCGGGGGTGTCTGTGGCGGGTACTGTTGCTGTTGGGCTGGCGGCTGCTCATTGTTGGGATAAAATGGGCGGTTCTTGTTCGGGGACTCGTAGGCAGGGAACCGATGCTGCTGAGTCGGGGACTGGGCGTTGTATGGCGGAGCGCCCGTCATGATGGCCGTGTCCCCGGCGCCGGGTGAGCGCGACAGGGGCTAAGTGCTTTGAAAGAGATAGAGCCGAATGAATTGGAAGGGATCCAGGTCAAAGACCGAGAATGAGGCCCATGGACAGCTGTCAAGGGGGGTTCGCAGATCTAAGCGTGAACGCGACGTCAGCGTGGTTTAGATGGGTGGGATCGCAGGAGACATGGGGTAGCGATGCAATAAAAGAAAGAAAAAGGAGCGACGATGATCGTACCTGATGGGAGGATGGATTCGTTTGTGGTGGGAAGATGCAGGAGGGAGGATCTTTGTGGCCGCAGAGACCCAAGCAGAGAATGCGCGGATGGGGCTAGCGAGGATGCAGGGAGGTGACCCGGATGGGTGTCAGGTCCGAGATGAAGAAGTTGAAGGTGAAGGGTGAAGGTGAAGGGTGAGAGAGAGGTGTGGTGAGATAACGGGAGGGGAAGGAGTGACTGAAGGGCGAAAGGGGAGTAGGATCTGGCCGTTCCCACGTTGCCTTTGCTTCATCTGCTGCTCCGTCGATGGCGTCGTCGTCGTGGAATACGCCTCGGTCTTGTTTCCGTCGGATTCCGTCTTTACTCGTGTCAATCTACTAGAATCCCCCGATCTTGTACTCGGCGCGTTTCAGTCGAGGTCCGTCTTTGTTGAAACGCTCCACGACGCCGCAGTCCTTTTCTGTGGCGTGGGCAAGGCTGGACTCATACAAACACTCGTGTACTTGACTCGACCCTATACAAGATCGTAGGTGTTTGCTGGCTACAATTTAGCATATAGCGGGGGGTTCGCAGTCTATTACGCTACTTCTGATTCTGTTATTTCAGCCAGACTCTTCTGGGTCCGATTGCCGGCAGACTTCCTGCTCATCCGAAGATTTCTTCGCGGCCGATCCCGGTTGATTTTGGCTTCGTCGGCACGCAGCTCCTCACCGGCACCAACACCAACACCAATTTCTTTATTGCCTCATACGTCTAATGCATAGTGCAGTGTTATATGAAGCAGCAAGCTGAAGGAAGGGAAAATGCCATCATTGATGACAGTCGCAGAATGACCTGGTCATGCACAACGCCGGGGCCGCCAAGACCGATCCATGGAATGACTTGGGTCGCTGAAAAGGAGGGGAAACGGTTGTGTACCTAGGGCCTTCCAACCACGCCAACTGTCGCTAGCAACTTCCAAATGATCAACGTCATGTTGCGGTCGCACTTCTTGACTATTATCTAGGGCAACTCTTGTTACTGGTAACGTCGGCGTATTATCACTATTATCTGAAACCCATCGCATATAAGGTTTGGGATTTTCGCAGGAAGGGATGGATCAAACACTCCCGGATACTAGACCCATCACAATCCCAGGCCCTATGGCCAAGGTGGCGGCTGAAGATCTGTAGAAAGTTTTCCCATTAGTCGATCTCAGTCAGTTTGTTGTTCAGTGAGTGTCATTCAAATCTCTTGCATCTTGCGTCTTGAGTCTTGAAATTCTGGCCACGAGGTTAATAAGTCTGCATAAGACTTCCTGATAGGAGGCTGAACTAGATCAAGGAGTCTGTTGCGGGAGTTCCGTGCGATTTTAACAAGCCTTGGGCCGTTCTGGTTCTTGATCGAGAAGATTATATCGAAGGCTTTCTTTGACGACGAGAGAGTTACGAGATAGAACGCGTTTACGTGTATGACGAGCGGGTCACTGCTGTTGAAAGGATGCAATCGAAGCAGACTGGTATTGGAAACAAACAGCGGAAGACTTATCAATTCCGTGACCCAAAGACCTGGACACCTTTTCCGAGTCTGCTGTTTACCTTTTGCCAATGCCGCTTTGATTGGACTCGGAAGTATCATCATCAGTCAATTTGGCGTTCCACATTTTGATTCCCTTCTTCTGATCCGGGGTGGGCGGCGACATTCTTTTCAATCGTATTACAGCCGGGATGGTAGGAGTGATGTTCAACTCTGCCCGTCTCTGGCCGTAATGGTCTGCGATATTGTATACCGGGATCTTGTCTAGTGTTAAGATTCAGCTGGAACATGCAGAGAGGCGGGGTGATTCTTGTTTTTATCACGTGTCTCTGGATGTGTGTCTCTGGATGCTGGACGATATATGATAATTCTTGCGCTGGTTGGTGCAAACGTTGCCGGACAAATGAAGAAGATATTCACGCCTGGTATACCGTGGTGCACTTACAGGTTCAGAAAATGGGACTTCTCCATTGACGATTCGGAAGAATGAGATTGGGCACATTTACCCGACATGCTTCTATGTTATTATTGAGAATGAGTCGGCCACGATCTGGTGGGCGATTGTTTTTTGAAGCTTTACCTGGTTAGAGCAAATAGGAGGCGGGATCGTGAGTTTAGGTCTGTTGATTCGAGGGCTGCAAGGGAGCTGGGACCTGGAATGATTCCCATAGGGTCACTGAACAGCAATCGGAAGCTCAAATGGACCTTGTGGCCGCGCGATGCTACGTTGAGTCCTTTCCATCGAGACTCGATCGGGAATACCCTGACATCGTTGGCGATCAGATCGTCGGTGGACCACCAAAAGGGTAAGAGACAAATGCGGGGCCGAGGATCTCCCAACGTCTGGCAGATCGCGATTCCCCCAAGGTAGCTCGAGTTCCTGGAAAAGACCATCAAGGGCCGTGAATTCGACCTCAATCTCTGGAGACGAACACGTTCTTTCAATAAATGCAGGGGTGAACGGCATTGATATCGTATGATGTTTGCATTGCGATCTGTGACGTCGTCCACTCCGCATTACCCATCATGACTGCATACAGATCCCGAGACATCAGAAAGACGACGATCCATTTCTGCGCGGGAAATTTGGTTGGCACGATTCGATTGCCAATTGTCTTTCAGAGCTCGGTTTTATCCCTCGCCTGAGCTCCCCTGTTCGGTTGAGCGGCTTCGATGCCTTGTGTCGCGGCGCGCCACGGTGCACGGAACCGAAAGATTTGAGGTCATCCTGTCTCGGTGTATGGGAATGTCGAGGATACACGTTGTAAATTAGATGTAGACAGCCAGACAACGAGACAAAAAGCCATGTCACGCAACTGGACAACGCAATGGATCAGCGGAGATGCCGGAACTATGACAGATACCGAACCTGTTGTCCAAAGGCTCCCAATCCTGCTTCGGATGGGCTGCCATCATCGCCATAACGGTACTACGGGATTGTACTTTTTAACCCTATTTGTAGCTGTCCGCTTTTATAAGCTCCGTACTCTTCCTTTTCCCATTCTGCCTTCTCTTCATCTCTCACCTCCCTCCACACCCACTCTACCTTCCAAACTCACCACATCTAGATCGCTCAAGCAACATGGCACCCACCATCCCTGAGAAGCAGTGGGCCCAAGTGGTCGAAAAGAAAGGCGGCCCACCAATCTATAAACAAATCCCCGTCCCAAAGCCCGGCCCCGACGAAGTCCTCGTCAAAATCCGATACACCGGCGTCTGCCATACCGACCTGCACGCAATGAATGGCGACTGGCCACTGCCCCTCAAGCTCCCCCTTGTAGGCGGACACGAAGGAGCAGGCGTCGTCGTCGCCAAGGGCGAACTAGCTCGGGGGATCGAAATCGGCGACTACGCCGGCATCAAGTGGCTCAATGGTTCGTGTCTGTCATGCGAGTTCTGCAAGACCTCGGATGAGCCCCTCTGTGCTGAGGCCCAGCTGTCGGGTTACACGGTCGACGGCACTTTCCAACAGTATGCCATTGGCAAGGCCGCCCACGTTTGCAAGCTGCCTAAGGATGTTCCTCTCGATGCCGTGGCGCCTATCCTCTGTGCCGGTATTACTGTTTACAAGGGTCTGAAGGAGTCTGGCGCGCGTCCTGGTCAGACGGTTGCTATTGTTGGTGCCGGTGGTGGCCTTGGCTCTTTGGCTCAGCAGTATGCTAAGGCGATGGGACTGCGCGTTATTGCTATTGATGGTGGTGATGAGAAGCATGCTGAGTGTGAGTCACTTGGCGCGGAGGTTTGTTTTCACCCTGCCTGACTTGGCTGGTAGATATGAGACTAACATTTGGATAGACTTTCGTTGATTTCACCAAGTCAAAGGATCTCGTAGCTGATGTCAAGGCCGCTACTCCGGGAGGTCTGGGCGCCCATGCTGTGCTTCTACTCGCTGTCTCCGAGAAGCCTTTCCAGCAGGCTATTGACTATGCACGACCCCGTGGTGCAGTTGTTGCCATTGGCCTTCCTGCACACGCCTTCCTCAAGGCTCCTGTTTTCGACACAGTCGTGAAGATGATCAGAATCAAGGGTAGCTATGTCGGAAACCGTCAGGATGGTGTTGAAGCTGTGGACTTCTTTGCTCGTGGTCTGATCAAGGTGCCGTTCAAGACCGCTCCCCTCAAGAAATTGCCGGAGGTCTTTGAGCTCATGGGTAGGTGATCTATGAACACTCCGTACTGAAAACGTGTGCTAATATGATGGATACAGAGCAAGGCAAGATTGCCGGCCGCTACGTGCTCGAGCTGCCCGAGTAAACATAGTCTGATCGAGATGTCTGACTGGAGGATCTGATGGGGGAATTTAAATGGCATAGAGCCATACAGTGTGAACTACAAAGCAGTGCTCAAGGAAGCACATGACGAGCAATGAGATGTACCTTTACTTACAGCTAATAAAACGAACCACAGTAGCATTTATTTTCTCAATTGCTTCTTATGCTAAGCATAATCAAAAGGGAAAAGGCAATCCAGAGGCGTTTGCCGGTCACACTCCAGCCAAGACGCCAGCCGAGAGGCAGTAAAGGCTTCGGCTGAGCATCGTGTCAGAAATATCATTTCAGCCCCGAGGATCCTACAAATAAATTACCTGCAGAGATAGCTATTTCAGAATTGCATCGTAAGCTAAGCATACACAAGTAAGAAAGTAATCTAGAGATGCTATCATTTAAAGCCCACTCTTTTCCGTCTCCGTCTCAAGCCTCTTTCCCTCATCTTCCGGTCCAACCGTAGTCTGAGGACCATTGAATGTCTTCCTAGCATGAACAACATAATACAGCAGTGAACCGAGCCAGAGAGCCCCGTTAATAACAACCGTATAATTCATATTCTCCGCTATTCAAAGTGTTAGCAAAAGCTCTTTTACTCAGCAAACCACCAAATGTGAACTTACGTGTCGGATTAGGCCCCCCAGTAGGAACCATGCACAGCACGATAGCAAAGATCAGATAAATCACCGCAATCCAACCAATCGGCTTACTGAACTTGCCAGTATAGAATTCACCCGGGACAAACTTATCCTTGCCCCATAGAAGGCGGCACAGGATAGGCGTCATCCACGCGACGTCATTTCCAGCAACGGCGAGCGAGAACAGTGCGTTGGCGGCGGCGTTGTCAATCAGAGATAGGAGACCAATGGCTGCGGCCGCAACCACAACACCGCAAACCATGCGCATGGGCTGGTAGCGCATCAGTCTGTGCTGGCTGACTTTGCGGAAGAAGTGTGAGAAGGGAAGGGCACCGTCGCGGGAAAATGCCCAGCTCTGACGGGAGGCAGCGAGGACCTGGAGCCTATTAGCGAGAAGCACTGCGAAGAATAGATGAGGAAACGCACGATACTGAGTCCCATGAAAAATTGAACGGCTGCGACGACCGCCATGAACCCGAGGGCACCCTGCTTACCCAGAGCGTCATAGTAGATCTAGACAGTGATCGGTGAGCCCAGTAGCAGCAGAAGAAGAGGATGCCAGAAAATACATACCTGAGCCATAGGCTGCCCGAAACTCGAATTCAGAATCTCAATATTCGTGCTCATCGACGCCGCAATAACAGCCATCGACAAGAATCCCAGAATCCCGCACAGGCCGGTAGACGAAATAATCCCCAACGGCACGGCACGAGCAGCATGCGTCGCCTCCTCACTCATATGCACACACGAGTCAAAAGCACCGATCGTCCAGATAGGCGACAACCATGCCAACATGAACGTCCAACCCGCGGGCCAGGTGGTCAAATTCTCAACACTACCAAACACATACGACCCCGAGTTCACAGGCGGGGCATTGTGAGCTTTCCCAATCGGCAGTGCAATGACGGTAGCAACGACAAGGCCGATGTTGAGGAAAATACAAATCGACTGGATTTTGGGCATGACCCTAGCGAAGAAGATGGCGATGAAGCCGTGCGAAAAGACGGTTGCCACGTACGTGCCATAGATGATGGGTCTTGAAGCGGTCCAGTTCCCGTCGCGTGCGATGGAGATCATCGAGAGGAGCATGTTGGCGAAGCCGTAGTCGATGGAGCAAAGGCCTCCGATAAGCCCGAGTGTGTTGCTGTAGCCGACCAGGAAGCTGAGTGGATTCTTCCATTTCTCAGTGGCGTAGTAGTGTGTCCAGAAGTAGAGGCCGCCGGCTGTGGGCATGGCCGAGGCCAAGTCGGCCTGTATTGGACATGAATTAGTTGGTGAGATTCTATGTATGAGGTCTGAGTCCGGAAATTCCTTACCATTGCAATACTGACGATGAAGATGAAGACACTTGCAGTCAGCCATCCTAAAAGAGTACTATCAGTACCCACACCAAAGACGTATTCATTATGAACTCATACCCTGAGAAAAGGTCAGTCAACAAGTCACTGGAGAAAAGAAAGCAGACATACCCAAACCATGCCGACAGGGCCAGCCGGCATTGAAAACGAAAGCGTCGACGCAATGGACGGCAACAGTCCCATAATACTAAACGCAACCGCAAAGATCTGGACGGTCGAATAGTGGCGACGCAATTCCTGCTTGTATCCCAGCGTCGCTGTCCACCTGTCAGCAAATGCTTACACCCCAAGATCTCTCTCAGCGTCAGCAGAAACGTACCGAGCAGCTCCGTATCCCCAGCCCGCTCATCCACGATCTCACCAACGCCCGCCGCCTGCAGCGTCTTGTTATCGACCATCGGAGGTTTGATCTCGTCCGCCATTATTGTAAACCGGAGGATGGAAAGTGAATAGAAGATGGTGAGATTAAAACCAGGGTTGGGGGTGCGACATGCATAAACTAAATACACCGAGACGCCAATAAGCTTTCTGCCAGACAATCCGGTCTAGGTTTGGAGTCAGTAAGAAAGTACCCCAAGTACCGAAAGCAGGTCACGATCACGAGTCTCGAATCAAAGACAAGAAGCCACACCTCGGGCCCATATGCCATCCCTTTAAAACCAGCCCATCCCTTCGTTCCGGCATTCCAACAGCCTCCCAATCGACTAGCATGTGGCACATCTCCAAACAACACATGGAGGTAAGATAAGCCTACGCTACGTATGCATGCCAGACGAAGAGTAGAAGCGGGGAACGCGGAACCCACCAAGGTTTAAGTTGTGAGCGGGGGACGGGATAAGCGTTGGTAGACAGGAAGTGGATCGGAATATTCGGGGGATGATTCCGCGATAGTTCAGGGTCAGATAGGCGTGGCTATTCCGGTTGGTGTTGCAGGCCGCTGATAGTGCACGAGTGTGGCGATGGGTCTGGGCAGCGTGTGAGGCTTATCGGGTATGTAGTTCAATGTACCGGTACCTAGATTGACGATTTCTTGCTTGTACTTTTATAATAAGCGATTTTGGTTTGCTTTCTGGACTGGTTCTTGTAGGTGGCAATAGTATTGTCCCTGGAGCCGCAGAGGCCGTTGGCACGGACTGACCCCAGATTTAGGAAAGTGGGGTGCGTGGAGTGGAGCCTGATAAACTTCGACTCTTCGTCGGGTAAAATGACGGCGGATGATAGGGGCATGCATCGTATCTGTGAGATTTTGCCAGGCGTACTAATTTCACCCCCTACCAAGTTATGCTTGTACAGAGGTCTACAGAGATCTTACTATAAGTGTGCCTAAACAGCTTATTTTCTTTTTCCGAATCTTTTAGGTATTTTGTTAAATGTCTTACTATGCACAAGACATCTTTTGATTCCTCTTTTCGGGGTACCATTTTAAACGTCTCCTTGAATATGTCCGGACAGATAGTCATAGCCGCCTAATTAGGACTACTTATAACTTCTCTTTGGTCCGGCTGTATATGAAAACGGTCTATTTAGATCGTCAGACAAGCAACTGGCCAAGTTGGAGCAAGTAGCAAAAGGGGGATAAGGGTGAGTACTGGAATGGAATCGAAAGGCAAACAGTTCCAGAATTCATACAAAGACATCTAGTAGCTCTAGTGAAACAATACAGAATACAAATTGCAAGCCGCCATTCACGAGGACGCAAGGCTCAGCCACCAGGGCCAAGCATCACCAAAACCTGACAAGCCGAGCCCTAACATGCAAAGAAACGTCTTGGTTACGAGAATACACACGCAAAAGAAAGGCTAAATATACATTCATATCGGAAGGAAGCACCTTCCATGCAAAACGGGTATACATTCCCAAGCTATCAGACCGCCCCAGGCCCGGGGCCCTTATGATTCGACTGATCAAGCAGTAGCTTCGGCTTGATATAGTCTTCGTCGATCTGACGGAACCATGCCGCGTGGTCACCACTTGCTCCACCAGAAAACAGATCCCGTAGTGCTTCGCGGGCACTGAGGCCGGACGCTTCGCGGTGGGCAGGCGAGGCGCTCACGGATGCTGGGTTAGGTGAGGGGGTGTGTGTCCCCGGGGATGGGTGTGACGCGGAGCGACGAAGGCGGTGGCCGCCGGCTGCTGGGGGGAGATCGTCGTCCGAGATGCTTTCCAGGTCGAGATCAAACTCGTCCGGGTGGGCGACTGGACTTGCGCGGCTCTTTCCTGAGGGTGGAAGGCCAAATTCGTCGTCACTGTCGATGCTGCCAGCACTGGGGCCAGCGGAGCCACCGTTGAGGAGGGTTGCCGTTGAGGAGCGATCGCGTCGCGATGCCGCATCCTTGGGGTTATAGGCTGCCGAGTACATTCGGGTGTGGCCGTTGCGTGGGCTGGGGCGCCGGCTGTTTCCAGAGGAGTAGCTATCTGTGCGCTCGCCGATGCCACCTCGCTGGGGAGAATGGTGGCTAAGGCCATCGAGAGGGATGGTTGGATCTCCGCGGCGTGGAGTGTAGCCTAGAGCAGTGCCAGAGCGCTTGTAATAGGTACCGCCGTTGGTAACCTCGATGTCGAACTCGTCGTCAGAGTCTATTTCCTCCACAACACCAGTCCGAATACCCAGAATCTCCAACATGCGAGCTGTGGTGCCTCCGAAGACGATGACGGTCAGCACGACCACAACCAGGACTGTAGCACGCAGTGTCGGTGAGTTTGGTCCTGAGAGGCCGGAAGCCAGTGCGACACCGACGGCACCACGCAGTCCGGCCCAAAAGAGCATCGCTTGGTAGGCGAAAGGAAGTTCATCTGCGACCTCGACGCCACGACGCCGAGCTTTGTAGCGGATGAACCAATTAATGGCCTTGGAGAGCGGGAACACGGCCAGGTAGCGGGCAAGGCAGATGCCAAAGACCGCTACAAGGATGAAGAGCGGATTGAACTTGACGTTCGACTCGACGAACAGGTCCAGACCCAAGTAGATGAAGATGAAGTTCTCCGACAGTTGTGCCATTACTTGGAAGAGGTACTTAGTAGTCAACTGAGTACGGCGGGACATGTTGTAGTAAGCATAATGCTTGAGAGTGATTCCGCAGAAAAGCAGAGACACAATACCTGGTAAGAAAATTCCAATTAGCCGATGTGCCTTTTCACGAAATAAGACCCGATCCACTCACCAGAAAGACCGACGCCATTGGAGAAGAAATAACAGGCGTAAGAAATGAGAATAATTAAACAACTCTCAATCTTAGGCATGCGCCGAACCAAAGTGTATTTCAGACCCAGCGCCGTAGCAATGCCAACCACAATACCAATCAACATACTACCAAAGAACACGAGCAAGAAAAGCCCGGTAGCTTCAAAAAGATGAAGGAAAGTCAAAGACCCAGCATCATTCTCAGCATATTTCTGCGCCGTCTCGAACAGAACAATAGCAATAGCATCGTTCAGGATCGACTCGCCAAAGATGATGGTATATAGCTTTGGTTCGACCTTGTAGAGATTGAAAATAGCCAAGATAGTGACTGGGTCGGTAGCTGAGAGTGTAGCACCGACGGAAAGCGCCTCGACGAAAGAAATGTTGAGCCCGCTCAGCGGGATCCGCGTCCAGAGATACAGAACCAGGCCGAGTACAATGGCCGAGATGAAAGTGCCAGCGAAGGCAAAGGTAAGAATTGTGCCGATGTGACGGAAGAAGTTTGCTTGATGAAGCTCGTAGCCGGAGGCGAGGATGATCGGTGGTAGGAGGAGGTTGAAAAAGAATTGGTAGTCGAAGGCGACGCTGTCTTGGAGGGTAGATTCGGAGGAGACTCGGATGATAAGCCCAACGAACATCCCTGGAAGGCGTCAGCTCGATCCGAAACAACATGCCGTGGATATTGCGACCACGGGAATTGGGGCTGTGGATAGCTCAAAGACACGTACCTGCGAAAATCGACAACACGGTCTCATGCACAGCTTGGATCTTCCTTTGCTGCAGGATATAGCTCGTGAACAGGGCAAACATCAACAGCATGATCATAATAAACAGCGCCCAGGAGCTGGTCATCTCCTTCGAGCCCGCTTCGGGGGTATCTGCAGTCAAAATTCATGGTCAGGTCACCGCGCATGGAATAAGGATATAGCGTCATCAGCCAGGGGGGAAACAGGGAAGCTCGGTGCACGCGTACCATCGGGGTCAGTATCTTCCGACGCTCGCCCTATAATAACGAGAGTTAGCAGGTATTCACAGAGCAAAGGCATAGCGACATACGTAGCAGAGCGTGGAAGGCCTCGCCCATCAGTTGGCTAGCCATCGCGACTGAACCCTTAGTCGGGTAGCGGCGCGGACACCTGGGAGTTAGCTCTCGCTAGTCTGAACGGCAGAACCAGGCGCGCATAATCCCACCGGGAGTAAAGAGAGCAACGAGGAGGGTAAGCGGAACGTTGAGTCGGGATTGCGGTGGCAGGGCTGGGAGTTCGAAGTAGCATTAGAGCGGACGGGAGGGATGATGGATGCAGTTGCGTATACGTAGTACAGGACGGGATACCATAATTACATTTACATGGGGTTCTGGTCATGAAGGCGGTGAAGATTAGTTGTACGGAAGCTGTATCGTTATTGTAATTCAATGAATCTAACACGTGGGCCACTTTGAAGCCGCGCAACCGCCAAGAAGCCGGTCGAGGCGCTTTTTGTTTTGTTCTGGAAGCTTCGACTTGACAGGGGTCTATTACCTCGGAGTTTCTATTCTTGGTTGGATGCTAAGCAACTACTGATAATACCGGCAAAACATCAATGTGGTCATAATCCTCCCCCTACATTATTCAAGAGTCAACTGCATGGCTCGCCCCACCCTATCCGCACTACATCATCGGTATGCCCGGCAGAATGAGGATCGGCATAAGAGTCAAAATGGACACCGGTAAACCCTCCGGGCTATCCATAATCAAGTTCGGGGAGACCCCTCGGATAATCTCTTGGTGAGCCATGCTGCGGCCAATGCAGCACACCCACCGAATCGTAGGACCCAGCCCACGCTATCATCCCAAGGTGCCCCACGAGGTTTCTGAGCCGCTTTGAAAATGGCGCTGCAGGCAAGACTGGAGAAGATCTGCGGGAAGGAAACGGCCACATTGTGGATGCCGAGGACGATACCGGCTTGTATGAGATTCTCGTCGTCGCGCTTGGGGCCTTGTTCAACATCACTCTCGCCGACACCGGAGTTTTCATTTTCATGCTCGTCTTCGACGGACACCGGTGCGTAAGATCCGGAAGAAGTATTGTGCCGTGAGGCCCCGCCCTCTGTGTGCGCAGCCCTACGGCGATTCAACCGACGCTGAACCTCGATGCGAGATACCTCAGCGGAGATCAACGCGAAGGGCGCCCATAATGTAACAGCCCACGAGATGCCAACGAATCCGATGGCAACAGACCCCGCCGGATAATAGGAGATGAAAAATGTGCTGAACATGCAGAGTGCGAATAGAATATGAGAGAGAAGCCAGGTTCGACGAAGGGTCAATCCCGGTATCTGTAAGCGTGAAAGCCACGTCGGGTTCGCGGGATCGACACGCTTGCCGAAGGATGTGCCAAGAAGGTGCTCCTCCGCAGTGCTTGTCGGCATGCTTGAGATTGATAACCGCCGCGGGGCAGGTTCCTCTTCCTCATCCGATTGATTTTCTTCTTCACGCTGTGCAATGGGCTCCATTTGATCATATGTGGGAACGACAAATAGCGGGAGGAGGATGTTGGCACTAAATGAGATAATGGCGTACATGAGAAGCGCGAATGTTCCAATCCGCGTTGCGTCCTCCCACGTCTTATCGATCTCATCTTCCGGAAGGTCAGGATGTTCTGCGAAAATCGGGTTGACATAAAGTTGACCGATGTAGGTTGTGGAGTAAAAGAGGAATGGAAACCAGCCCACCCATGCGGCAACTTGCACCTCGCAAACTCGAGCGATTTGTGGTGGTAGATTGCGGATGGACTTGAATGTTTGCTTAAAGAAGGAGACGAGACCAAGCCCGTCGGAAGGTGGCGGTCCATCGAGTCTGGGATCTCGCTCTTGAATATAGAAACAGCTCAGAGCTAGCGTGCCGATGAGTGATACAGAGGCAATTGCGCACAGAACCTTGAACTGAGTATTCCCCAAAAACGGTAACGTCTTGGGCAAGTCCAAATACCCGAAAATGTACCCCAGGATGTTGCCAACGCCAGTCAACCGGCTAGCCCAAGCGTTGGCAAGCTCCTGTTGGTGGGCGGGACAATTGTCCACGATGAAAGCACGAATGCCAGCTTGCACTATACGCAATTATTAGCAAATTCAACAGAAAAGAAAAAGAACAGAAAAAGACGAACCGGTATTAACAGCAAAATCAAGACAATACATAATGATCGTAGCCATTATAATAACCACAATTCTAGTCCCGTTCGATGCTGGATCGACACCAAATATGGATAAAAATCCACCAACGATCTCCTTTACCCACGCAAGCGCGAGTAAAGATACGACCGTCGCGGCGCTTCCAACAACCATGAACGGCTTCCTCTTACCCCACGGCAAGCGGCAATTATCGCTTCGAATGCCGATATAAGGCTGCACCAATGTACCCGTCAAAGGCCCAGCAATCCAAACAAAGGCGAGAAGCGACTTGCTCATTCCAAGAGAGAGAAGGTAGGGCTAAACACAGAAACGAAGCAAATTAGCATGTCGTTTCATCCCAGGTGTTGAGTTATATATCCAACTTACCGATCCATTAGACAACTCCACAGACCAAACAACCTGTAATCTGTATACAGAGCATGTCAGCACCGATCCAATACGTGGTGACATTCAACAAGACAGAACATACCCCCCAATAGACAGCGTAAGCAGAAACAAATACCATCCGCTCTTAGACGACTCGTCGACCCGATCAATTGGATCCCCCAGAGACCCTCCATTCTCGCGCCTGTTCTCCATGAGTGGCGTTCTCGCGTGGACGTGTTCTCGATTGCTGTGTCCCATGGGGCTTGCGATAAGAGCGGTGACCCACAGCGAACCAAACGCGGGGAGACGGTCGATAGGGACAGAGGTGGATCATGGGAATTACGAACTAGATAACCGCAGTCTGAATAGGAGGTGGGAGGTAAGGCCTCAACGCTCAGCAAAGGTTATATGATCAGCTAGCAAGCTTGGCGTGGGGCGTGACACATCAGGAGGTCGGAACCGTGTGGCGAGACGTCGAGTCAGGAGACCGAGATCAGAATGCCGGACATTGCGCGCTGCTTAAGGATTTGGTGTGATTGTTTCCAGCGGGAATCACCCGCGTACCCGGCTCTTTTAGTGACAGAACGAGTGGTTCCTGCGAGGCTGTGAGGAGGTCGAGACCTCCGAGCAGAGTGCGTCACTTCACGTGACAATCACGTATCCATTCCATGATTAGAACAACACGCAACGTATTCACCAACTACAGCGTAACATCATGGAAACATTTTGACGGTTTTATGGATTGAGATTCGTTAGACTTCTATAGTATTTCCCAAGCCGTCTTGACGTCACACTAGCCCGCTCCTCCTGAAAGATACCCGATATTCCAGAAAAGCGAAGCATACCGGATATGTCCATATCCCAACGTGCACCCCTGACCCTCCTGAAGAAAGTGTACCGACCAAGTGCCCGTACCCGCCAGACAGCTCTTTGTCCGCGGGCAAAGACGAGGTGATAATGCAAGAGATCCGTAAAGCACAGATGTCCAAATACAGAGAACAAAGAAAATAACAGGAAGGATGGCATGCAGATGTCACATAAAGAAAAAAATTACAACCACACTATATCAGGACGCCTACACACCTGTAGGTCCGAAAGATAACGCTTACATATGCTGAAGAAGTTGGGGTGCGATCATCTGAGATGCTACCATATTCGGCACGGCCGATGGCATAGTCATAGATGAACCCATGGTCGTCATCGTGGGCATGTTGACCATGGTGTGTGCGGGAGCAGGCGGAGGTGACTCCTCGCCGGACTCGAAGTCGTTTGCCTCGTCCAGGTCTTCGTCATGCGCGATGGGCAGTTGGCCGTCGTGTTGAGCTTCATGGATGCGACGGTGCCTGACAAAAAAAGTTAGTTTTGACCACGACGGCTATTTCTGGGGAGGAAGCTTACTGTGCAAGGTTATCAGAACGCGAGAAGGCCTTGCTGCAGTAGGGGCAGGGATATGGGCGTTCTTGAGTATGGGTCCTCACGTGTCTAAGCGCCCGAGTTAGTCGGCGGCAATCGAAACCATCACACCCACACATTTGTGCAGATGACGGCCCCGCAAGGGACCGGGTTTAAAAATAGATTGGAGAGCTTACCTTTTGAGATGTTCTAACCTCTTGAAGAGTCTGCCGCAGGAAGGGATAGGGCATGAATGTGACTTGTGCGGGTACGGGCCCAATTCCATCATCGTGGCGCTTCGAGCTCGACGAGCGGGGCCAGGACCTGAGCGATCGGAACGGCTCGTGCTGTTTTGAACGCTTGTTCCGATGGCTGCACTAGTGGGGAGTGCTGCAAGATCATGGGAAGGGTGGCTCATTGGCACCGAGTGCTGGTCAACATTGTCGTCCAAATTCTGCAGAGGAGTTCCATGACGGGAAATTTCCCGAAGCAGATCCTTCTGAGGTAGCATTGCACTCGGGTACGTACGCGACAAGTCATGGTGAGACTCATCGCCCTCGGCAACGGGAGCCACAGAGCTGGACACGGAGCGTCGAAGGTCGCTGGGCCGGTGGGCAGCGTAGTTGGAAGGCTGTGCGGATGGAGGCTGAGATGTACACATGACACCGGGGGTGCCATTCGAGGGACCCGGGGTCACTGACGGTCGTCGCCTGCGCTGCTTGTAGGTCGGAGATCCCTCAATGGCTGAGTAGGCGCTGGAAGAAAACGACCGAGAAGCGGCAGGGTAGTGACCGGCAGCGGCAAAATTAGACGGCGGCAGCTGCATCATAGGGTTATACGGCGCATGACCCGCACTAGACAGGTCCGGGATCGCACTGTAGAGGCCGGTGTCTTCGTTCGCAATATAGGCAGGCTCCGTCCCGAGACCAATCGAGTGCGGAGGAGGGGTGACAGGCTCGAAGGACAGACCGCGATTGCTGTAGTCCTCGTACTGAGAGGAAACGAAGGACGGAGCGGGCGAGTACTCGTAGAAGGTGGGCATGGAGGAATGGCGGTGGTGGATGCGGGAGAACGGCATTCCGTTGCGATCATACTGAATGGGGCCGTAGTCCTGCTCACGCTTAATGATGCTCTGGACCAGGTTGTTCGAAAGGGGCATCGGCGGGTGGCTGTACATCGGAGGGTGACCCGAATCGTCCTGGAGTAGCGGAATCGCTGGGGGAGCCATCTGCGGAGGAGGCATTGCGTCAACGGTCCGAACAACGGGAGAGTTGGGCTGACCATATGTCGTACTTGCGTGGGCAGCAAACGAGGACGAGTTCGCTTGTTGAGCCTTGGTCAATTGCTCGTACAGGGACTGGGACGAGTCGAATTCGAAAGACATGGCAGGCTCGCCGACGGCGACCGTGGTCGCTTCCTGGCCCATCTTCTCGCGCTTCAGGTCGCGCTCCAGCGCGTCCAGGAACAATCGATCGTGCGGGACGCTGTACCAGTAGAAAACCTTCTGCTTCTTCTGGGTGCGAATGCAGTTGTTCTTGTACAGGAAGTCCAGGAACCCGCTCTTGGGCTCCTCCAGGCTCGCGTCGGTTCCGGCCTTGAGATTGCGCAGGTCGGAGAAAATGCCTTCTTCAAACTTCTTGGAGTTCTTGACGGGGCGGCCGAATGCCTGGAATCGAAAAGCGAGGCATCGCACGATGTCGGTACCCGAGATATGGAAGAGGTTGCTCCTGCAAGAAATCCGGATTAGTCCAGCTTCCGGAGGGCTTCAGCGGTTGTCGCTCGCACTAACCAGAGGACACAGGAGACATAGTCGCCGGTTGGAAGGAGGAAACGACGAATGAGCTGATCGGGTTGCCAGTCGACGGGGGCTGACAGGAGAAAGTATTTGACTGGATTGTGTCAACACGAGCTTCAAAGAGGTTGTCGAACGATCGTTGCATGACGTACGGTTATCCACTTGCTGGAGGGCGACCTGCGCATCATGCGGGAGGCTTTGCTGCGCTTCGGTCGACAGCATGAAAGTTTCCGGTTTTTGTGGCGGTGCCATAGGGGCACCCGGTTGGGGATACATTGTTTCCACGCGCGCTCTATGGGGTATACATCAGCTCCGACCGGGAAGAAGCGGATAGATAAGGTTGATCGCGAACAAAGGAGGGTCAAAGCAAGTGCTTCAGACCTGTTCCTGACTCTGTTCGAGACATTCAAAGAAGTCGCAAAAAGCACTCACCGTGCAGAGAGAGGTGAGTCGACGGGGGTCGGATGAGAAGCGCGATAAACAAGGGCCCTCGGGGGGAGAGTCGGATGACGGGACGCGATAGACAGGGCGCAAAGGGATCTTGATTCACGATCGGACGCGAGGATTCGGAGAGAAACAGAGGTACCAGCCTCAGTCGGGACAAAGAGTAGCAAAGAAAGGACGTCAGAGATTGAACTGGACCAGCCGGCTAAGCCTCTGAATTCGCACAGCGGAAAGAAACGAAGGTGAAGAAGTTTTGATGAGCGGGAGGAGAGAAGAAGAAGGGGGGGGAGCGATAGACGTCAGTGATTATTATTATTAGAGCAGAACCGCTGGGGGAAGGCGGCAGTTACGACAGGTATATATTACAGGGATGGGGGCCGGAAATGGGGGCCACCGGTCATAATTTACAGGTACAAGCGGGTAACGTACCAGGGAATACCCAGATCCTCCACCGTGGGCCACTCGGGTGTCCCTGTCGTTCGGTGGAGGCGGGGCCTGCGTTATGATTCGTGCTCGGAGCTGCTCTTCTTTGCGATTAATAAAAATATAGAAATAATGAGAATTGGGGAAAATTGGGCAGAGAAGCGACCAGGGCCATGTTAGCGCCTTTCCCCTCGTCCCCCAGGACGAGTGCCTTTCGGAAGATGATCGCCCCTCAACGGTAATTCGACGTGTCCCGTGTCGAATGTCCCGGGGGGTTTACATGTACAGAGTATAGTGTCTGCTCACTGGGTGACGGGACCGATGTCTGTGCATTGTCGAGGGGATCACCTTCTCTTTCCACAAACTGCTCCGCTTGTGGAGACACCGAGGGTGTGCCAAGAACGCGCTCGCAAGTCAAAGGCGCCGGGACCTGAAGCACCTGGCTGGTTGTTTCAGATCTCCCGGTGGGCGCTTACATGCATCCCTCCTGGCCATTGAGCCCCGTTGAAACCGGCCCCTTTTCCCGTCTCATCTGTGCTAATGTCACTGTCACTATTTCTCCGAATCCTCCCCCACCCCCTTGCTCCGCTGTATACAGCACACGGTTGTGGCTGGAGCTGATCGCTTTCCGGCTTTCCGGCACATCCTGGTCTGCACGACAGATCAGAACGGATGCGTCCAAAATGGAGTCTATGCTTGGGTGGCATGCTCTGTTTATCCCCCCCCCGAGATTCTCCCGTCAGAACTGTACCTGAATTCCCGTTGCGCTAATTTGGAGTGCATGCAGTACGGAGTATACTGTAGTACTGTAGTACTTGACCCCCTTATCCCCTTTACACGTCAAAAACTCTACATAGTCGTATTCATGGGTTTTCATTTTCTCGATCGACGCCGTTTACAGTATGAAGATCTGCACGCCCAGACCATGTAGCCCTTTATTCCATGGTCGATTCCATGGTCGCGAGGCCAAACAAGTCGGATGAGAAAGCTTGGCAACCGGTCACCGTGGATGGGTAATACATACCGTGCACCACGGTCCAGAAGGGCCGGCAACTTTTCACTTTTCTCGTCTCGGAGAAACCTTTTTGCGTTTCTCGCTTTTTCCCACCGCGCTACTGTAGTTGCAACTGCTATGGAGACCGAGGCACTATCAACCTGGCCCATTTTTGCGACCGACCAAAAATACGTCCAATTCCACCTTCGAGGCTATCTGCTCCCGTCTTTCGGATCTTGATGCAAATACGACCTATTCTACCTACGAGGCCATCCGCTCCCGTCTTTCGGATCTTGGTGCTGTGGAGCTCAGGATGCGAAAGGGGCTTAAAGGGGCTCGACGTTTGATGTTTCATCCTCCAACACGATCACCGGCTCGTGTCGAGCCTGATCAAGACCTGTGCAGACGATGATGTCGACGAACTAGACCAAGCCGTGTCTTACATTTTTGCGGAGTAGCGAACCGACTCGCAGAGCTTTGCCGGATCGAGGAAGGCGCACGGTTGAATCCTTTTGCCCGGGTGGAGTGGACGAGCAATACGGAGTAATAGACTCTCGGTCGAGTTTTCGAAATCGAAGCCCCTGGAGCTCTCGGGATAAAGGGGACGAGCACGGGGCACATGGTGCTTGGTGCCGGGTGCCGGGTGCCTTGTTTGATCGTCCGCCCTGAAACGATCTCGAAGTTCTACAGTATCTGCTAACCTTGTCGAGGGCGTGGGCCGTTGGTCTCACGTTTTACCAAATCCAGTGGCTGAGTGAGGAGCCCATGATGCTGCAGTACGCCGCTTAAGGAAGGTCAAGAAGACGGCATCCTGCGTGTACCATGGGCCATCCATTGACCTCTGATCCAGACGATCTTTTTCTGAGTGTCGCGGTATATCTACCGAGACTCCGTAGTGTTTCGCAAAACCGACGGGTTCCGTATTGTATGGAGACATGACCTCACACCGTGATCGACAACGGGTTTACATTCACACTTCATATCATTGACAGTCTCGATTGCCGGTCCGGCAGGACTACAGATAAGCCTTGAGAACGTGGCGTCTAGGGAGGTAGCGTGGTCCGAGGTAGTGGATGCCCGGACATTCTAAACCACATTCTGGAAAATCTCCGTCCCATCGTTCTCATGCCCGTCGCTTCCACGCTCCGTAGTTCAAAAGTATCCCACCCCTTTCCAAGTCTCCTGACTCGGTGGACTTGAAGCCGGTGGGCGTTGATCAACGGTTAGTATTGCCGACAATATCATTGTGACTGCCATGCATCCATGGATTAAGGTTCAGCCCGCGTGTTTCTGCAAGTGTTCACTTTCAAACACGGTTAACCGGTTTCAGATATAACACGAGAATCTCCACCTTGTTCACAAAACTCAAATCATTTGCGAGCCTCATGAACTGGATTTTCCAATAGTGCGAGTCCACTTTACGCCCGGTGAACCTTCTTCAACGTGGGTTCACGTGGGCACGAGGGGAAAAGCCTGTTTTGTTTTGTTTTTTTGATACACTGAGCAAATTAGGCGAGTAATTACCGACGATAGATTTTTTTTCAGCAAGGACATTTCCATCGTGTCATAAGTCATTTCTATGATGTTATTGACAAACTATGTACAAGCGAGACGCACGCCGTTAGACGGAGTCGATGCTCTTTCGTCTCTTCTCCAGCATTGCTTCTTTCATGAACGGGCTTCTTTCCCGGATCTTCTGTCCGAAGACAATTAACAAAATCGGTGCAAGAGACAGGGCCAATGCGATGAATGCAAGCAGTGTGCTGGCCCAGTTGAAACCAAGAGTGGAGTACATGCTCATCGCAGCCATAGGAAGGAAACCTGAAAGTGTATTCTCTCCGGTGACGATGATTCCGACTGCACTCCCTGCATATTTGCTGTATGCGTCGACGACGTAGTCCGCGAGACCCGTTACAACGATGACACTGCCCGCTCCCACCATGCCGAGACCGATGGCGGGTGCAATCCAGGGCAGGTCGGGGTAAGATGTCCAAGCGTAGGTGAACATTCCGCCAGAGATTCCAAACACACCTCCCACAATGGCGAGATACAGTCTCGCTTCGGGAATGGGAGTGCCTGGGACTTCTTTGTTTCGGGAAGCAGAATTGAAATAGAGGCTTCCGGAGAAGAGTGTCCCTACCCAACCCACACACTCTCCGATCACGATGGCGGCTTGAACATACCCAGCCTGTGCAGGTGTCCAACCATAGAGACCCGTGAACACCTGCTCAACTGACTGCGTGAACAGGTACAATGTACCAACAGTGAATGCAGACCACAAAGCCGAAAAGAACACCACCGACTCGGTGAAGAACATCAACAGAGGCCGCGATGCGCTGCGAGCTACCATCGTCACCATCGGCGTCCCTTCGCTGTCAATCTCATGCTGGGTATACGCCAGCCTCCCTTCCTTCCGCAGTTTCTTTGCGCGCTGTCCCAGAATCGCGACACCTCGGCACTCCTTGAACAAGAACGCATACACTGGGAAGAGGGCACCATACCAAATCAGCTGCAAGTAACTGATCCATCTCCATCCGAGGAATTGGTAAATAGGTGCCCCGATGACGGGTCCGATACTTGCACCCGCCAGATAGAACACAATATACAGACTGACGGGCACGTTACGGTTCCGCTCCGTGTCCCAGAGATTTCCGATGACCGTGGCAGCAGTGTTGGACAGAATAGCGACGCAGCTACCAGCGAAGAACCGCGTCACGATCAGCGTGGCAAAGTTTTGTGCGAGGGCTTGAGGGATCACAAAACAGATGAAGATCAAATAAGTGCCCAGGAATACCCGCCGCACACCGAAGTCTTCCATGAGCGGCAAGATGAGAAACGATGAGAGGGCGCCACCCATAGCCCATGACGTGACAGGCCAATATGAGTTGGGAAAAGAGGCGTCAGAGATGCCAAACTCCTCGTTAATAGTGGCGTGTGCAACGGTGATGATCGTGCCATTCACCATCGTGATAAAAGTGGCAAAGACAGCAAGCAGAGTAAGCGTCCACTTCCTTCGCAGAGACCAGTTATATGGATTGCCGCGGTCCCGCGGCCCATCCCAGTCGACAACTTCGACATTGCTACCGGGTTCTTTGTGGTCTGGCAATTGTTAGCACCGGCTCACTCTGTAAGCAACATCATGTCGATCCATACTGATTGTCTGATCAGGCTCGCCAGATACATCGCCACGCAAGAACACCATATCTGCTCGCGGCTTCAGCGAAGCACTCCGGACCTAATCCAATCCACCCGGAGCTGCGTTATCCTTGTGCTCCTTTGTTTGTCCAGGCGGGGAATTTAGATAATGAGGTCACTCTTCCGTCCCAAAAAATGATCTCGCAGTCGCTATAGATCGCCACAAAGCCTTGATCTAGGAGCAACAACGCATGGAGCGACGCATTCAGTTTAAATGAAGAGTAGCATAAGAAAGAAAAATTTTCGCTTGCACCGTCTTAACGCAAAGAAGCCTCATCGGTCTAATTCTGGGTTCGCGAACCCACCGAGCCCGTTCTCTCGAGATAGTGACCATTTTAGGACTAGCGCGGATGGGCCATGGAAAGACCCTCGTCACGTCGCATGTGGTTCGTCGATTCAGCAAGACTAGTTGATCATGGCTATTACTCTTATAAGAATCCATTTGCTAAACGCAAAGGCTTTGCTGCACCCCGCTACTCCGCATTTCTCCAAGTTGTTGACACTGAGATCTTGGCATACGCTTGGTTGGGCTTGCTGTCGCATGGATTGGTCGCTTTGGAGTATCTTTTAGTCATAGCTTTGCCTCTTCGGGGTCTTTTTTGTGAGATCTCTGTGCAAGCTAAGTTCTAGACTTCGGACTCGGTTGTGCTCGTTGCTGTCAATGCGAGGTGCGAGGCCGGGGCATCGTGCCGAGACTTGCCGAGAGGGTGGCGGGTCGTAGACAGTTTCAAGTAGATGGTCAAATAAACCCGTTTCCAATACCTTTGCTGCTTTGAACTGTATAGGAAGGCCGAGGCTAAGTGCACGGGTGCGCTATATGAGTCACGTGACATGACAGGCAGGTTTGAGCTCACTCTAACGAGGCTGCGATCCATACTTGGGCAGATATATTCCAATCAAATGCACAGCATTGTGCGCGCCGCTTGTCTAGATTTATTCTAGATCCTCGTAGCCTTAAAAGTGACTGTATTTTCTAACCTGTAGTTTTTGGAGGGTGATCACCCTCACAAAATGGTGAAAGCTCGCGCAAGTGTTGGCCGACCAGGACCCTGGAACGGCGATCGGAGGCGATCTACATTCTTACTCACTTTACCGCGCCAGACAAAACCTGACAGAGCAGTGATATCGATGAATTGAGGGAGAAAGTTATTTAATTATGAAATGAGAAAACTAAATTGAAACCACATTTCTTTGCGCTGTCAACTCCACTTGGCCGCATAGCGCGGAAATCGCGGCTCCGCAGTGGCCCACCACAAGCTTGATATTGAGGAGCTTGTGAAAGACTCTTGTATAACATGCTAATCAAGATAGAAATTATTTTGATATCCCACGTATATTAGCAAAAAGGGGGCTAGAAGCATGCGTGGTTGCTCATAGGTTACACTTACAGTGGTTATATCATAGCTTGCCACATTCGTTCCCATGTCCCAAGCTTCCCCCCGCACATGATCAGAAGTTAAATACCTTACTCTCCTCCCCCATCTTTTTTTTTCTTGAGAAACCATTACTTTCAAATCTACAGAATATCTTCTCTGTGAACTACCCGGTCAACTCTCAACCTGTCTCTCAAACCCATCGGACTAAAACACTCAAAATGGTCGGCACTAACCTCAACCACAACCCAATCGATCCCACCGTCTTACAGAAGCGCAACTCACTGGACAGTAACAGTGATAAGAGCACACAAACCCATGATATGAACGATCTGGACATAATCACCGATCGAAACGTGGCTCCGTAAGTCGATGTCCTCTTGCGAACTCCCCACCTCTTGACCCTCTTCTAACTTGCACGATATTCCAGCTCCCCCAAAGCCATGTGCGCTGAACTAGCTCACGAACATGCCCTTGAGGATCTTTACAACTCCACAGAGCACAGTTCTGAGCAGAATCCCGTACGAGGTACGTCGCTGATCGCCCTTTTGATTTTCCGCCTCCTGGCCCTTCCGCACAATCTAGCTTGATATTGAGGACTAACGAGAGGATCTCAAGGACCCGTATACTCCGAGAACTTTTTGGAACATGCGACTCAGTACGAGCCTCGCAGACCCGAGGACTAAACTGGAGCTTCAAACGCCAACCATCTACATTCGTCGATATGGTTTCGTAATATTGGAAATGCTTGCAAACTCCGCGACAAATTGGCGTGAATACTTTTCATTATGACCGTTTCCAAGCCAGAATACGAAATATATTATATGCAGAATGAAATTAATGAAAACATGAGGAGATTGGATTGTTCTTATTCCTACCATAGAAATTGACTGGTGATGTCACAATGATGCTCTACCTACCCCGCGTCAACTGTATCCCATGGATCTGACCAGCGTTAATTATGCTTAACTGGCTCTAGACTCATTCACGAGCAAGTTCATAATTTCAGGTTGCCATTTAGACATAATATGGAAGAAGAGAATGCTTGAAAGAATTCTTTCGACCCGGTGTCTTGAGATTTATTATATCAACTACTTTTCTATACAATTTCAAAGCTGCAGTACTATGATGTCGCAGCAGCCGAATCAAATACCTTCTTTCCCCGATACCAAGTCTGGCAAACCTTCGCCTCCAGGAGCTTCTCCGGCGACCACTCCATATCAACCACCAAGAAGTCCGCATTCAATCCCTCCTTCAAACTTCCAGTCCAAGAATCAGCAAAGCGCGCATAGGCCGAGCCATTACTAGCAGCAGTAGCCGCCTGGGCCAAGCTCATCGCAAAATGAGAATTAACAGTGTTCGTAGTCTCCGGCTCAAGAGCCGAACGCCTGGTAGTGGCATTGTACAGATTAGGGAAGGGGAAGTGTCGAGCAGTAGGAGAATCCGTTCCAATGGCGAGAGGAGCGCCTCCGTCTAGGAACTCCTTGTACGCGAAAGCCCGTTTGCATCGGTGTTCGCCGATTAGAGTAGGCCATGCCTTGAAGAGCATTGGGTCTGAGTGGACTGGTTGGACGGATGCGGTGATTCCTAGTTGGCCTAGTCGCTTCGCATCTTCGGAGGTGGTCATTTCGAGGTGCTCGATTCTGTGCCGACGGCCGGGCGTGCCAACCTGTGATAGGACGTCGATTGCCTGGTGGACTGCTAGGTCGCCGATGGCGTGGATGGCGCATTGAAGTCCGGCTTTGTCGGCGTATTCGACTACCTCTCGCAACATGTCCTCGGGCCAGATCGGGTCCACTAGGGAGGATTTTCCAGAGTATGGCTGCATCAGAGCGGCGGTACATCCATCAACGACGCCGTCGCAGATGAGTTTAATTCCAACGACGGTAAACTCGGGGTCCGTGTACTGCTTCTTGAGCTCGATGGCTCGGTCCACGTAGCGGAGGTTGGCTTGTTGGTCGTTTGAGAATGGGACGAGCCAGTGGACTCCGACGTGGAATGGGATTCCTTTGTTGCGGCGATACATGTTCAAAATCTCCCATGTGCTGTCGTCCATGGCCATGTCGATAAGTCCGGTATAGCCGGCGGCCGTGTATCCCTCGACTGCGGTGTTCAAGGCGCTCAATTTATCTTCTGTCGAGTAGAGTCTGTCCAAGAAAGGCCACGCATTGTTGATGACAGCGGATTCATCCAGGAGACCTGAGGGCTTCCCATCCTTATCACGGTGAATAGTACCACCGGGGAGATCTGCCCAAGTGCTAGAACCCATTTCCTCGAGTGCAGCTGAGTTGCACCACATCGAGTGGAGATCGAAAGCGTCAATGTAGATAGGTCGCGAATCAAGATCGTCGAGCATGCTAGCTAGAGCGACTCCATTGGTGGACGATTGGATCCACCCTCGGCAGAGAATGCGTGGTGCCGACGGGTGTTCTTGGGCATACGTCTTGATCACTTCCCGGATCTGCTCGAGGGAAGTGCATTCAATGAGATTCGCTTTCCGGAGGGATTGGCCATGATGCAGAATATGAACGTGGCCGTCGACGAATCCTGGAACAACGACGCGATTGTTCAAATCAACGACTGTAGCACCTTCCGGGATCTTGATCTCAGGACCGACATAGGCAATGCGGTCATTCTCGATGATCATGCACTCTGCGAAGTTGTCACCGTCACTGGCCGATGACGAGGCGACGAAAACCCGACCGTTTCTGAAAACGGATGTCATGGTTGAATTTGCAGATTGGGCTGATCTTCTCGATGATGAAGGACGATTCGCTGATTTGAGACGATATTTAAAGAGGAATGGGAACGTGGGGTATTCGGGAGGACTTTCCTATTGTGAGCAACTGAGGCTGGAGATCAAAACGGCACGTGAGGATGAGAGATCTCTTGACATATTCACAACGACTATGAGCTAAGAGATCCGCGGGAAAGATGCGAGGCATCTGCCGATGAGAACTGGACATCGTTATCGTAGACGTAGACCGAGCTATTTCGTAGCGATTGGCTGAAGTCAGTTAGCCGACATTGCGCTGCGCAATTTGACGCAATTGGTCAGACTTCAAATACAAAGTGGGTCCAATGGCTTCGACGAGAGATAACGAGACCAGCAATCGTCAAGAAATTATGCCCTTGGTATGAAATAGCGGTTCCCTGTTTGAACTATTTCTCCAATTTGGAGGATATTCAATCAGACCGGTCCTTGGCTCAGATATGGAAATACGAGCGAACCTTGACTCTCTCAGGACCTAGAACGCTCTTCACCAGATATTATGAGCAAGCGGCGATTGTTTCCCTTATACGAATCTCCTAGGTCCTATAATGACACTCCATGGAAATAAAATCCATTTGGTTCAGGGTGTGCTGTTGACTTACACAACCTCTAGAATGTATCTTATCAGTCCTCATTTCGGTTCCGAGGTCCAAGACCTCGGATCATCCAGCAGCTCGGTAGGCTTAGGTAAATCACATTACCCCAGGTCCCGTTTCTCGCAAGGCTAATCCCCGCATTAAAGCCCAGGATAAGGACGATAAGTTTGTCTCCGTTCAATCCCTTTATTGGCCGTTGCTTCAAACTTCCTCTTTAAGAAAAGCCGCATTCCACTTTGACGCCTGATCTCCGATCGTGAATGGCTAGAGCTTCAGCTTCTACAAGCGATGATGATAAGACAGGTATCGAATCACCATAACGTGGCTGAGGATGAATGTACATCATGGGGATGATAAAATGGCACTGACTCCGTCCTTGACCTACGGTGCAACTCCTTCGTTCTTCGACAATTTCTCCTGTCTTGACGAGCAAGGCTAAATATTCTGAGAATGTCTCCACATACAATAGACCCTGCCTGGCCTCCAGGAACGGTTAAACTTGAGGGTGGGTGAATCTGCGTTTGAATATCACGTCCTTGATTGACCAACAATGCTTTGAACAGACATCACGCCCTCGGGTGATTCCGCGGAGGTGATTCTTGAGCCAAAACCGACAAATGATCCAAACGATCCCCTGGTCAGTGATGAAATCCTATTGCTAAACGTCATCCATCCAGATAGCTAACATTGCGACCGATCAGAACTGGCCACAATGGAGGAAACACCTGAACTTTGCATTTGTTTCCTACTATGTGATGATGGTCCTGGCATTGTGAGTGTACACCCCCTCTCTAAATATCGGCATACCATACTGATTGGCCCAGCATCGATGTCGCCACAGTCACTTGGGGCTCAGTAAACGCAGACCTGGGCTTCAGCTTCGGCCTACTGAACGATAGTTATGCCGCCGGCTGCGGATCACTGTGCATCGGTGCCGTGATTCTCGTACCCTTCGCCCTCAAGTTCGGAAGACGACCAGTCTACGTCCTTAGCACTGCCGTTCAGTGTGGAGTCAGCGTCTGGTGCGCGAGGATGCAGAATGTGGCAGATTTAATGCTGACCAATATTCTGAGCTGCATCGTTGGAGCCCTGGCAGAAGTTCTGGTTCAAATGACAGTGGCTGATGTCTACTTTGTTCACGAGCGCGGCATGATGAACACTATCTACTTCTGGTTTACGACGGTTGGTGTGACTCTAGCACCGCTTGCCGGTGGATACATTACTCTTTCCCAAGGTTGGAGATGGGTCTGGTGGTGGATGGCTATTCTCTTAGGATTTGGCCTCGTGGCTCTCCTTTTCTTCTACGAGGAGACTATGTTCTATGCCGAGACCATTGACGGCATTCCCGTCCACCAGAAGCTGGCTCCGGCATCGAACAGTGGTAAAGAAGACTCTGAAGCGCTGCCTTCAAAAACTCTGGACATCACCCTTGATGGACCTCAGCCCGAGGCTGTCCAAATCGATTACTCCATTCCCAAGAAAACCTACTGGAAAAAGCTGGCACTGTGGGCCAATTCACCAATATCATTCGGCCAGTTCGCCAAGCACAGCTACCAGCCCTTCTTAATCATGTTCAGCATTCCAGGCGTCTTCTACATGGCTCTCGAATACGGCATCATGACTGCATGCACGACAGTTCCTGTAACAACACTCTCTACAGTCATGACACTCCCACCTTACAACTTTGGTTCCGCACAAATCGGTCTTATGGGACTTCCGCCCTTCATTGGAACGAGCATTGCGACTCTAATCACAGGACCGTTGAGCGACAAGATCGCCATCTACCTCGCAAAAAGAAACGGAGGCATCTTTGAACCGGAGATGCGGCTTTGGCTTTGTCTAGCATTTACCCCGTTTGTTCCAGCGGGCCTTTTCATGTTTGGAATCGGTCTTAATAATGGGTCGCATTGGCTTCTTCCAGCATTTGGACTTGGAGTCAGCTCATTCGGGGTCGTTCCAGCTAGCAGTGCTGCGCTGACCTATCTTACCGATTCATACACTGATGTAAGTCTTATATTGAATGTTTCTCTTCGAATTTGAAGATTGTGCCACTGACATGCAACTTATCAGATCATTGCGGACTCGATCGTTAGTGTCACTGTCATTCGCAATCTCATTTCTACCATGTTTGTCTTTGCTCTTCAGCCATGGTGCGACCGTGTCGGCTTGACTTGGTTCTATGTGACATTCGGCTTGATTGTGGGAGTGATTATGCTTGGGAACCTTATTTTCATCTATTATGGAAAGACGTTCAGAGTGAAGAGTGCAGGCAGGTATCGTCATTTTAGTACTCAGAAAACATTTTGAGTCAGCTTAAGCGGGTTAACATTTGTTTATTGGGGAGGTTTGAAAATAGTCTCACCAAGCTTTCAATGATATACGCAATTCCCATTTCCACCTATAGATTTGAAGAAACAGTTGGAGTAGATGCCTTCTTGGAGTGTAGAATCTTTCAAAAACTCCGTCGGTTCCCGCGGGCAGCCGCCGACCCATCCTTAGGTCGAAAACATCTAGGCGAGGCAAACTAGCCAACCTACCGATGATGTCTGTGCTTGGGTCACATTGACTGGATTTCCGAGATAGTTGATAGGCAAGCGATAAAGACTTATTCGTTGGGGAAGGTCAAGGACATGCGGGGAAGGCAAAGGGGATGGAATTGGTTCCGATTTCCGAGGTATTAAAAGGCCATCACGGTACCCACCCATTGAAGCTTCTCTCTAAAACATTTGATTATCGCCATCATTCATAATTTCAAGCATACCCTTTGGTCATCAATCTTCATAATGAAGACGTGCAAAATCGCTGTCATACAACTTCACCCCAAAGTGCGTGCGCCGAAATCTAGGTCAACCCCCAGTTGAAGTTTAAAGGCTGATGCGTTATGTCAAGGAAAACGAGATCGAATCAAATCACCAAAGAGCCTTAAAATTCATCAAAGAAGCAGCAGACTCTGGCGCACAGTTAGCCGTTCTCCCGGAATACCACCTCGCCGACTTCTTCCCCAGCCACGACCTCTCAATCAGGCAGAGATGCGCCAACTGGCAGAAATACCTCGACGCATACTGCGCAATAGCCAAAGAACTAAATATCTGCGTTGTGCCGGGATCACTGGGCGAACTACATGACGATAACACGATCGTCAACGCTGCATACTTCATCGACAACACCGGTGCTATCTGTGGGAAATACGAGAAAAAGAACCTCTGGCACTCGGAACGGGGCTATGTCAAGGGATCTAAAAACGAAACCCGCCACATCGCGTTCGACACACCCTTGGGCAAAGTCGGGCTTCTGATCTGTTGGGACTTGGCGTTTCCTGAAGCCTTTAGAGAGCTTATCGTACAGGGCGCTAAGATGGTTATTGTGCCTGCGTTCTGGAAGTACAGCGATGCAGGGGAAGTTGGAATGAAGCGCAACCCCAAGTCTGAAGGCGACTTTGTGGATGCGGCTGTCGTTAGCAGGGCATTTGAGAATACTGCTGCGGTGGTGTTTTGCAATGTTGCAGGGCCACCGGAGGAAGGATATGCCGGACTCTCTCAGGTAGCGATGCCATTCTTAGGGCGCGTTGAGAGGTTTGAGAATAGCGAGGAGGGAATGAGGATTGTGTCTGTCGACATGGATGTTTTGGAGGAGGCCGAGGCCGCTTACAAGATCCGCGAGGATATTGCGACTTCAGAGTGGCACTACGGTTATCGCCAATGAATCGTGCCTAATGCGCAGCGAATTCTTGTTCATTGCGCGATTGAAAAATCGACTGGTTTCCAAAGCTTAGTCCAATGTCCAATAGATGTGCCTGTGGAGACATCAGACATATTCGGGAGAGACATTAGAAGCGAAGGCATTGCTCAATTCTTTCATGTAGATATTTCACCGCCAAGTGTAGGAATCCATGGCGATATCCATGTGTTGCTTCATGAAAGCTTTCCTGTGAACTCGAGGAGGACCCCTCTATTTAGAGCGAATCGCTGTTGTGCGACCTAAGCACTACCCATAAGCAACGTCGTTAGCTTCTTTTAACGAACACGGGGTTTCTGGCACTCGTGTTCTCTGTGGCTTTGTCGCAACACACTCGTATCGATGCAGATAATCCGATCGACCACGTCAGATGCAACGTAAGCCCATCTGGGGTCGAGTTGGGAATTATCAGGCAATTTATTCCCCAACGCAAGCTTGGCAAGGGAGACACTAAAGCGGCCACGTCATGATAGTATGGTAAGACGTCGCTATGAAGAGGGCGGGGAAGGGTTTACCTAACCGAATGTGACCAGGACTGTTTACCTCGGTCTGTAGCCGACGACAGCTCTACTACGATTTGACGGACAGTTTGCAGAGCGTCGCAAGCAAAGCAGCCATGAACCAAACAAAGCGCGGTTCAACCTGGCGGCGGGACTGATGGTTGGGTCTCTTGGCGAATCGAATGAGAGCTGATGCGGGAAGGCGGGCCAATCTTCTCTCGCACTTGCCATCGTGGGTATGCTGCATCTTATTTTGGGATCTTCGAATCGACCCCCCCAGGGCGTGATGTCATGAATGGCACCCTTTGGCCCCCCATTGGATTCGGGGGCCATTGAGACGTGGATGATTCAAGGTTGGGGCAAAACATGGCAACTGGAGGTTCGCTGCCGCGTGGACAGCGCTCGCCCTAGATTCGGGTGCGCTACCTGCAACGCGACGAAAATGAGCTGGAAGAGAGCCTACCCGGAGACTCCGAGGTATCCTCTATCTGGATCCGGATTCCATGAATCATTGGGGCTCTTTTCAGCAGACTAACCGGGTTTGAATCATAGCGCACGATGTGGCGAAGCCATAGCTCATCATGAAAACGGGGCGCAGGGGCCGGGGCCGCCGGCCCTGATTATTCGGGGCCCTTTGTCCTCTTTCGACCCAAAACTCTCTTAAACGCTCGGTCTTGGGGGCAGACGAACAGTGATTGGCCTCACGGTGGAGCTAACGCCCATAGCGTCAAAACGAAAGGGAAAGAACCCTCAGACTCCGCTGCTACCTTGGCGAGGAAAAACAAGAGCCTCACGGGTTCTGGGTTAATTTTAGGCGCAGTGGCACTGCTACCTTGGTATTTAATGCTTCTTTGCTCCCGATAATTGTTTTCCGGTTTTCCCCCAAGTTCTTCACATCCTCTTCACTATCAAAATACCCTTTGACACCGCCCTTTGTTCTACTTTATAAACACCCAAATACCGTCATCATGCAGTACAAGTCCCTCGCTGCTCTCCTATTTGCCACCGCGGCTATTGCCCAGTCCAGCTCAAGCAGCTCTGCGTCCTCTGGTGATGATGACTCTGGCTACTTCCTCGACGTCCCTGTGCCTCCCTCTTCGATCCAGGCCGTCCTGTCGACGGCCATCCCGACTTCCTGGCTCTTGAGCATGGAGACTGACGCGGCCTTCGCTTCCGCCCAGTACAGCGAGATCGCTGAGGGCACTTTTCCCGCCTGGTACAGCAGTCTCCCCGAGAGTGTCAAGCAATGGGAGACTTCCGCTGCTATGGCCGAGGCTTCGGCGATGTCCAGTCTCTACGGAAGCGCCACGCCTACCATGGGATCCATCACCGGCTCTACGAGCTCGAACGGCGCTAGCAGCACCGGTGGCTCTTCTACTCCTCTCATTGGATCATCTGGCTCATCCTCCATGGCTATTTCCACCATGACCATGACTACCTCCACTTCCACCTCCACCTCTCACGGCAGCTCCTCCGGCTCCGGTTCCAAGTCCACCACTAGTGGATCTTCCACCTCCACTGCTGGTGCCCCCGCTGCTACCGGCGGTATTGCCATGAGCCTGGCCGGCGCTGCTGGTATCCTGGGCCTTGCTCTCGCTCTGTAAAACGCATCAAATTGTAACTGGATTGACTGATACAGCAACGTTTGGTGTTTTGGTACTTTGCCGCCATACATCAATGAGATGCGGCTTTTATGTCCATTGAGATTTATTGAATCTCAGCGTCACGATACCTCCTATTTACTATCTTTACTTAATTATCATGAAACTCACTTGCTCTCTTAAAGCTCTTGCTTTGCTGTAAAATTGAAACAAACTCATCAGTCTCCCCTAGCCACAGAGCGCTGCTCCGACAGCCGGCATCGCCTAATGCGATTAGTACTCTTATTGAAGACCGATGCGAAGTACTAAATACCCCCAAGATGTTAAAGAAAAGGTCCGGTTCCGTTTCCAACCATAGCGTCCGGTGTAGAGTCAATGGCTGCAAGTAACCAACTGTCGGATCTGATTTAGGACATGGATCAAACACAACAGACACGAGACGCGGCCCTACACGATGTGAGGAAAGTAATCGTCACCTGCTTGGACAAGTTACTCGAAACGCGTGCCACAACAGCTCCAGTATTTATCTCTGTGGTATCGGACATCGTTTCGGCTACACCAACATTCGTATTTGTGGCGAAACACGGAAAAGGGAAGGAGAGAAGGGTCACGAAGACCATACGTACATGTATTCTACGGCATCAAAGTGAAAGGTTCGCAGCACTAAGGCCGTGGATACTACTCATTAGAAACAAGAGAGTGTGTGAAATGTTGACACATCGGTCTCTGAATACGCATGCTGTCTCGGAACTATGGAATCTTCCATCGTCAGTAAATATTTTCCCCCTCTCCATCAGCTCAGGGCCTCGCTTCATTTCTGAATTTATCATCCTCTTTACCCAGTCTCCCCTACCAATCTCCACCTATCTCGTATCCCTCCTCTCCAAGACTACATTCACAGATCTAGAGAGTTCTTTGCCTCGCCTGACACTACGGAAACCTGTTCTCACGCTGCTCGTCCCGAGCAGGCAAGGTATTCGCGAGTCCATTGAGGACACCCTTATTTTCATCTTTCTTCGGCCATTTCCGTCACCAATTCATCGAGCGAGGGGCCATTTGACCTGCCTGTTCACCTGACGAACATGTCAAGCCGGCAGATCCACATCTTCGGGGATCTCTTTCTCCCTGATCCGAAAGACTATCTGCCCGAGGTAGAGCTTGAGAAAGTCAATCGATTGCTCCCTCTGATTGAGAAGTTCAAGAGCTCTCTGAATGAGAAGCTTAAGAGTTCGGGAACCGAAGTGAGTCTTCCAGTCGAACTACAGCACAAGTGAGGCCAGAGGCTAACCTGGGAACAGACAGATCGCGAGGATGAAACCACGACGCAGAATACAAGTGCCTCGACGAGTGATAGCATTTACTAGAAAGCACTTGGTGTCGACCGAGACATCCGTGAAATGGTTCGCATGAGCTTTCAAGAGACGGATCCCGAAGACGACCAGGGGAAAACAAGAAGATATAAATTGGACACATAATAGAGGACAAGGGTTCGAAGGTAACAAGATTGCATATTCAGGTCTATGGTTTAGGTTGACTGTAGCGATCAGCGAACGCAAAGAGCCGCTCTGGTCGAAGCAGAAGTGTATGGGCTATAATTGGGGAAAGTGACAGCTTCTCGATGATATAGACCTTAGTGATTCAAGGATGCAGCTAGTAGACGATAGCAGTGATTCATGTTGACTAATTGACTGGCAAGATCAGTGATTCGAGACCTCAGTGACACGAGAAAGTCGTCAGGGGTGGAAATACAAGAGAAACTTGAGAGGAAAGCGAGAGGAAAGCGAGAGGAAAGCGAGAGGAAAGCGAGAGGAAAGCGAGAGGAAAGCGAGAGGAAAGTGAGAGGAAAGTGAGAGGAAAGCGAGAGGACAGCGGTTCTTGGTGTCTGTTGTGTGAAACGACTGACTACCTAGATTATGCACATTGCACCTAAACAGTAGCTAGATTACATGCGAATGCCAGATCCGATGCTTGATATATATGCAACACACTTTGTGGTAAATATATTCAAATGATAGGCTGAGCGACGAGGGGATATATTATAGACAAGATCTACAGAAGATGCTCGTCCGACCGGACGCATAGCGAACCGCGGATATATATGTCTCATTTTTCAGGCTAATATCCAACAAATTTGATAAATCAGAGTTCATTGGTTAACTCACGCCACGTATGTGGGAAGGGCATTAAAATTTGCTGAGTAGAATTAGAACACTGAACTAGTCTATGGGGAAAAGACCCGAATTACGGCGGGAAAAATCACGGGATGGATGAGTTCCACCCCGCGCAGCTCTAGTGCTGGAGGTTGCGACATTATATATATCTCTCTCATGGGCTGCGCCCTCGTAGCCCTCTGGCGTAGGGTGGACAGATGAAAATAACAGATGACCCTGCGCCCTCTCTGATTGGTCCAACCATAATGGTTCGAAATGAGAGCTCTTTGATCGCTCGCCTTACAAATAGCATACGTGCTTCTGATTGATTCAACCAGAATAGCTAGTCCGTAGGTTCTTTGATAGCCCATTTCTTTGATGCTCGTCTGCCCGTTAGTAGATGGTGTATCCCCTTTTCTTCCTGCGAGGATGCCCTCATCCTCTCTCAATGTCTTGAGAACATCGCGATGATGAGAAATTTTGCTGTCCCTGCGTATATTGCCCTTGGTAATCCTGCCGCTGGGTACTATAGACGGTATGTCAACCGACTGGACGAGGTTCCTGATTATACCTACGTCCCTGGTGTTGGTCCCAAATGCGCATACTGCTCGTCGCTGAACTGGCCCAATATAATGGTTGGTGTCGCCCGACGCACGATGTCTCTGGTTCGTGTCCGCTGATTCTGCGAGCAGGTTAATTCCCGGCTATATGCGCATGCTGATGCGGTCATCTGAGCACCTTTCTCGACGCCGGCCGAGTGCATTGGTAAGGCGCACACGGCTCGTTGTGCAGTCTCGTCATTCTCTGTCGGTTGTCTTATGCTTCGGGTCGGGGAGATGCGTTCTTGCGCTGTAAACAAGAGTTGGGCTGGTGGAGGCATTGCATCTTGTGCATGTCGTGCGTTGCATGCAATCTTGTCCTGCTGCAGTCTCTCCATGCGTCCGCGGATAGCTGCAGCGCGTTCGTCTTGGGCTAGCCGTACTTCGAGGCGCGCGATCTCCTGCTCCGGCGATAGCATGTTCATCTGGTCGACATCCATTGCGTCTCTTCCAGCGTCGTCAGGCTTCTTGACCTATGTGCTATGCATAGCAAGGCCACATGGTTAGGGTCCTGGTAGGCAGAGGGATCCATTGTGCAGCTCCAGTGCTGGAGGTCGTGACAACTCGATAGTATGTGAAAAAGTCCCAAATTTTGCCGCCTTCTCCCTGAAACGTGGTGTTTTTGGTATGATAAGACTCGCAAAAATCATCTCTCTTCAACGAACCACGGCCCAGTGGTCTAGCGGTATGATTCGCGCTTCGGATGAAACTGAAGTCCTTCTTGGGATGAAACCCAAAGAAGTCTGCGCGAGGTCCCGGGTTCGAGTCCCGGCTGGGCCCCTCTTTTTTGGTTGTTTCCCGATCTCTTTTTGCGACGAACTTCAAAAAAGGATCACTAATGGCCAGGTTCAACGTGAAAAGTATACAGACTACGAAGTAGAGACACAACAGACGCGAAAAGGAAACCAGGAACGCCATTGCACAATTTTTTTAAGACGGCTGAAAGAAAGCACACGGAATTTGGCCAACACCTCGCAATATCAAATCTCCGCGGCGCTTCTTTGCTTCATCGCAGCGCCAACACAAACCAGATGGAAGGTGGGAAAGAACGACCCTACCAGTCCCACGTTAGGCCAGCATGTATTGCTTGTCGGCGACGAAAGTCGCGCTGTACGATTGAAGCCCACTCGTCGGCATGCATGACGTGCCGCGCCCACGGCACGGAGTGCTTCTTCCCCGCCGACAAACGACGAAAAACGTCGCATAGAACGCCTAGGAGAAGCCAAAGGCAAAATATCGGAACTGCAGAATTTTCCGGTGAATTAAGCAACCCAACGCCAACACCACGAACAATACCGTCATTCAGTTTCCCCGCCGTGCAAACACTCCCTCTTTCCGATGGCCCATTTTCTACCGGCAATTCATCCTCGCAGTTCATCGGTGCCGTATGGCCCCAAAACCAAGCAGTTCAAGATACAGCTCTGTCTTTAGAGGCAGACGATGACAACCCACATATACTCGGCCCAGCTGTCATGGGCGATAACCACATCTTAGCGGACTACCTATCTAACATACCAGGAAATCGAGGAATGCGAGCCATTCGTCCAGTGGAGCTTGGCAGCTCCTCATCTCCGATAGTTTTCACAAAAGTGCAAAAGCGGCCACTGGGAATGGTGCTCAATTCAAATCCTGTGCTACATAAGCTGCAGGTAATCGAGAAGCTGATAGAGCCCTGGGCTCTTCATCTGGTCGATATGTAGGTGATCTCTAGAACAGCATTTGTGTGTGCATCGGAAGCTGACTTGGCGCAAACACTAGGTACCTCAATAAAGTAAACCCGTGCTTCCCATTGTTGGATGAGAATACGTTCCGTGAACAGTATATCAACGCTAGAGGCCGCATCTCCCCCGCGTTTCTCTCATGTTTATATGGGCACATGCTGGTTTTCTGGCGGCATGACCCTGAGCTATCACAGGTACGATGTCCGGACGGTCGGTTCATATGGAATCTGGCCTCGGAGGCTTTGTACTCCGAGCTACATCTCGCCCCTGGACTGTCAACTATCACCGCGATCCTTCTGAATATCGGTGGTCGTCCGACTACTTCTATGATTGGGAATGGCATTCAACTGGGCTCAGCAGTCGCTCTTTGCCATTCATTGGGACTAAATCGAAATCCACTCCCATGGGATATACCGCAGGCGGAAAAGCATCTGAGAATGAAGATTTGGTGGTCGATGCTCGTCCATGATCGCTGGTAAGATAAAATCCTCAGTTAATTTGATTGTCAGTGTTTTAAACTAATGTGAGTTTATTCAGGTCGAGTCTTGCATATGGTACACCACCTCACATCCGACGGACACAATACGATGTCCCCATCCCAACAGAAGAATATCTCTCTTTTCATGGACAACACAAAAAGGCACATGGTGCATTCATAGCTCTCGTGCATCTTACAGAAGTGCTTGATCACTGCCTTGAGCACGTTTACAACATCGGCCTGGACGGGCCGGAGAGAAACCTTGATTTGGAGCTGAACAAATGGATCGAGACCCTGACAGGAGACGTCCGCAAAATCGTCATCCGAGGACTGAGTTTGGAAATCCCAGGGGCATCCAACTTACGCCTTGCCTACCTCGCCGTTAGACTCCTCTTACGAAGAATCTATTTAGACAGAGAAAGACAGCGACCCGATTATAACACTGAGCAACTCGCGAATCAAACCATGGATGCCCGACGAATAGCAGAAGATATCGTGATCCTGGTCCAGGAACTCGAACCGGCTCAACTGGGGGATTTTTGGCTTCCAGTTGCTGCATTCACGTTTGTTTCCACGGTCACTTTCTTGATACGCTGCGCCCTTGAAACGGAACAGTCAGCTACTGGACTTTCCCAAAGTACGTCTCTCCAAATGGCAGACGAATTCTTAGCATCTCTAAGATCGCATCAAAAGAACTTTGGGTGGGATCTTGGGGATATCTGTCTTGCTCAGCACTCGGAATTGGTTGAAAAACTCCGGACCTCTCCGCCTATTAGTGTGCCATCAGAGGATTTGACTACAGAGGCTCGGCAGCATTTAGTCCCGGATACGACATTTATAGATGAATTGTTCCCAAGTATTTGGGATACGTTGCAAAGTATGTGATTGTGAAGCGTCTGCAATATAAACAATGTCCTGCTATCTAAAGAGGCAGAGTGCCTGGGGTAGTAGCAAATGCCTTCTCGAAAACTTCCAAACCGCTCAGGATCTGATCCTTGGTTATGGTGATCGGAGGCGCGATCCTAAAAGTACCTCCAAAGCTGGGGTGACTGCTCAGATTGGCCCAGACGCCCAGCTCATAAGCGCGGTCGCCGATGGCCTTTCCGAGGGCGATAGCTGGGGCCTTCGTTTCGCGACTCTCAACAATCTCGACGCCAGCCATGAGCCCGCGTCCACGCACGTCACCGATACATCCGTACTTTTCCTTCAACTTGTGCAGTCCATCATGAAGCACCTTGCCCATTTCCCGAGAGTGATCAACTAGCTGATCGCGCACGACGATCTCGAGGACCTTGTCGCCCACGGCGGCGGGCAGAGGGTCATTGACGTGGGTAGTGTAGAAGCAATAATCGCGCTCAGCACAAACACGTTCGATCTCAGCACTAGTAACAACCGCACTCAGCGGGAGACCATTGCCCAGAGTTTTGCTGAGTGTAAGAATATCAGGAACGACATTTTCATGACTGATGGCCATGATATCACCGCAGCGACCGACCCCTGTCTGGGCCTCGTCGACAATCAGAAGCATCCCACGCTTCTCACACTGCTTTTTCAGTGCAGCCAGATACCCAGGTGGTAGGACATGCATTCCGGCTGATGACTGGATACATTCCACGATACAAGCAGCGAGCGAGCCACAAGACTGCATATCGATCATGTTCCATCCGTATTCCATCTCGGTTTCCCAGTCATATGAGCCATCGGGTCGACGGAAAATGGAGCGGTATGCGTTTGGAGCCGGGAGCATGAACATACCCAGCATCAAAGGACCTTAGCCTTTGCGACCGAAATGATACTGCGTGCCTAGGGCCTGCGCAGTCATGCCGTGCCAGCTGGCGCCGAGACCGACGACCTCGAACTTTCCGGTGTACATCTTGGCCATTTTGATTGCCGCTTCGTTGCTCTCACCACCTGTGGAGAGAAAGAAGCCTTTATCCAGTCCTGGTGGGAGGAGATTGGAGAGTCGCTCGCCCAGGCTGATGACGGGAGGCGATACCATTCCGGAAAAAAGGTGGTCCAGGGATGCTGCATGATCTGCAATCACTTTCACGATTTCTGGATGGCCGTGACCTAGGAGGCAGGACATTTGCCCCGAGGTCCAGTCCAGAACTTTATGCCCCGAGGCTGTGTAGACGTAAAGACCTCTGCTGCCACAGATGACATCTTTGTTAAACTTGGTGCCATAGTTGAGGAGGTATTTTTCGGTCTTTTGTTGAAGTTCTGCTTGATTCAACCCTTGGTACAAAGTGGGCGGCTCGACGCTGTTCGATGGAATAATCGCCGTCTTTCTGTCGTCTGCAGTAATCCCGGGCACCATGTTGCTTGAGTGAATATAAAGTCGGAAAGGTGATAAGATTATGTTAAAGTGCTGTGTATGTTACTTGCAGGTTTTCAATCATAGAATGGAGCAAGTTACTCGCTTTATCTATTTCGTCTGAGGGGATCTGATCCACTGATATCATTTTACCGTGGCCCGCGGGGGTGCAATCGCCGCGGAGATTTACTAATTCGCATATGGACTAACGAGCTCAGTTAACCGTCTTCCTTTATCGCAAACTGCCAAGCCAGCCACATACATGGAATCAAAATGTGCATACCCGAGTCTCAAGTAATGAGTACTGCATAGTTGTCTCGGTTATATCTCTTCTACCCGTGCTTACTAGCCGTCTCTTCAAACTTTGAATGCCTGTATCATCACCACTTCATTCTTAAAGGGTCTATTCAACAGAGCGTCAAATTGTGAGTAGTTGGTGCTGCATAGATTCGGCTAGGTTTCTATCAGTGTCGTAGTGTGTGATCCGATTATACTTAAGCCCTGGTTCCTTTTCTATTTTTGTCCAGTCTAGAGGAACCATGGCAAACAAAAAGTCTTCAAGGCTACAATGGAGCGGTGTTCAAAAAATTCGTGTGATTAATGTCATACTTATGTGGACGGTCTGGAAAAAATGACCACTGAGCGATTTGAACGCTCGACTTTCTGGACTGGAATCAGATACTCTACCAACTGAGTTAAGCGGCCTGATAATTAAGGTTGAATTTCAAGTCAAGGCTGCATCAAGCTTGTGGGTTTTCAAGTTCATACACCCTTTCACAGTTCGTAAAAAACATGACCGAAATATTAGCTCTACCTCCAATTGCAATGCAATCATTGCTGAAGTGATATATGTGCATCATTACCACAACCAATCTAGTGAGACAGAAGTAGCGCCTAGGGATGAAATACACGCAAAACAAGGGTATTGGATAGAAATGGGACACACATCGTCCATCAGATCTCAGGGAGCCGCCTGGCCCTCGGACTGGGGAGACGTACTTCCATCTTCCACAGCCTTGCCCCAAGCCCGCTCAAAGGCTGATTCTCCTGGTGTCTCTTCAGTTTCCTTCTCTTCCTGTGTGCCAGTGACGGCAATGCCGGGGTTCTCCTCGTTGTCAGCAAGGACTAGGCCACTTTGGGCCCAATCACTGCTAGTCTTTGGTTCCTTCTCAACCATCACGGCCGCGTACGAGGATGAGCCAAACTCCTGCTCGCTTTCGGCATTGACGGCAGCTTTGTTGGCCTTGGGAAGCTCAAGATCGAAGTTCGAGCTGTAGATCACGGCGGAAAACGCCTCCAGCTCGCGCACATTCTGGTCCATGGCGACCAGGTACTCGTTGGGCGCGTGGGATCCGTTTCCGATCACGTGTGCCTGGCGAGCTAGCACAGCTAGGAGGTTGGCAAGCTTTGTCTTGCGCTCTGCGGTACTGGGAGGGACAACGGTGGCCATGGAGTCGAATGACTGAGGGGCCGTCTCGGGGACTGGAGATTCCTTGAAGGCCTCATTGGCGCACTTTGCGTCAACCAAGGTAGAGAAACCTTCGTTGTTGAGCAGAGTCAGGACAAAGGAGAACGAAGGAGAGTCGATGAGGTCGGCGGTTTCGTCAAGAAGGTGGCGCAGCTTCGAGGCAGTCTGCGAGGAAGATGGGTCGGCCACACCCTCGACGCCTGACTCACGCAGGACGTATTCTTCTTCCTCCGCGGGTGGAAGCAGGCATGACAGCCATTTCTTGGATCTGATAGCACAGCGTCAGTCATCTAACTAATTGTGCTGAGAATCAAGGGAGTGCCTACCGTCGCTCCTCTTCCGTGTTTCCTTCGACCTTTTTCCGAATCTGGAGAGTCAAATCCGACAGCTTGGACAGGCTGATGTCCTCGCGCGGGTTCAGAGGACCGAAAACTTCTTCCACGGCGGGCTGAACCCGCGCCATCAGTTCCTTCCATCCACGGTGGAGTAGCCACCAGCTAAAAGCAAGATACCGTCGGTTGGTCTCGAAGTCATCGCCCAGAGTCTGTGTCAAATCATCGTCGTGGTCTTCTAAGCTGATAGTCGAGTCTGCCGGAGGAGTAGCAAGGGAGATGACGCTAGAGAGGTAGTTCCGACGACCGAGGAGGTTGAGTTGGACGCGGGTGAAGATGGTAAGCAAGGAGAGAGTGTAGATGAGGGTAAAGCATCTCGTGATAGCTAGAAAAGATGTCAGTAAGCTATACCAAAGAGAGATAGGACCGCAGGCGCCAGCTTACATGTGATCTTGACCTCGTTCCACAGCTGTGTCTTATTCCGTTTCACTCGGGGCTCGCCCTCCGCATCCCCAGACTCCACCTGGCTGGCGTGCACGTAACTCTCGCTCTGGAAGCTTGAAAGACTATTGCGATCATCATTATTGACACTGGGTGACACCGATGTCATGTCCGAGCCCGAGCCTTCCCCGGGGGTCAGGCGCGCCAGCCTCTCCGCCCGCTTCTTCTGCAGCTCCTTCGTGAGCTCCTCGACGGGAAGTGCTTCGATGATGTTCTCTGTAGCGGTCGGCAACAAAGCAAGGACGGTATAGGTGCAATCGGTTTGGTTCTGCTCGAATCGCCGGCGCAGACTATTATCGCCATTGTCAGCCCACCTGGATTCCGGTCTGGGGGAGTTCGAGCCAGTCACAAGCTCGCGTGCCAATAGGGCAGCAAGGATAACACAAAATGGGAGTCGGAAGTACTAACTTTTCGCGGGCAATACGGTCACTGCTCATGCGCTCGCGTGCCTCGGAGATCTTGGATAGCACGTACTGGCCGGCCAAGTAGCCAGCTCCCAGCACGCTAGCCCCGATCGCGAGGCCTTTCCGATTGCGCTGGAACCAGCGCCTGGTGGCACCGATCATATTGAAGATGTGTGGAGGATGACTCTACTTGGAAGAGGCAATCATGTCAAGTTCATCGGTGCAGTCGTGCAGTTGATAGAGATGGGAAGTCGGGCAGGCGAGGCGGGAGACCCTCGGCCGATGATTGCGGTGACCGGGGAATCAAACCGGCCTCGGCTAGCGAAGTGCTCTATCGAATGTGAACTTGCACCTGCACCCGGCATCAGAATAGATGACGCTTACTGAAAAAAAAAAATGTTTCAGCCATCAATACAAGTTTATTTCAACCACTTTCCATCTACAAATAACATCTCAGGTACCGAAAGTGCATGTTCCGCATTCGGCGCAACCGGCCAACCCGCAACAACGAATCCCTGTCTTGAGCGAACCCAGCTGGTCTCTCAATTCTGACATTTATATAAAATCCCATTCTCATCAAAGAAAACTAATTCTTTGACTCGTTTCCGTCACCTCATAGAATCACTACCCCAGCCAATGATAAGGCGATAAGCGTTATTCGGCCCAGCCCGATGTCCGATAGAAACCGCGCGGATTATATCGACATCATCACCCCACCTCGAGCTCTCTATACCGTCAGCAACACTTCCATGACCCTCAACTTCCTTCTTCCAGACTCTCGCTGAGTCTGCTCTCAACATATTTCACCAACACCCTCCTAGACGACCGCCCAGTCGCGCGCTGGTCCGTTCATCAGCGGGTGGGGATGGAACCCCGCAAAACCCCTCCGGAGTACTTCCTGGAGATCTTCGCCGACACCACCGCAGTGCGCGATGTGCTGAAAGGTATGAGTCTGACTTGAGGTTGCACGGCATTCCGCAGACATCCTTTAGTCCCGTATATCAACTAATACACCTTCCTAGGCGTTCTAAACCTCATCTTCTTCCACCGCTACTTCCCCTCAATTCGCCCCGTCACCTTCGATGTCTTAGACTTCACACTTCCTGCGATAAATGATGCAGACCTGGAAACCCTGATAGAGTCTCGAGTGAGTGCCCTTGTGCGCCAGCATCTCTCCTCGGCGGCGGGCGCGCAGGATGGCAAGGTCGGCGGGGGCGGGGGCGGAGTGCGTGGTCGCATCGCTGTAGAGTTCTACGAGAAGAAGCGGCGTCGCTCAGGCCTTTGGTTTGGTGGATTGGCTGGGAAGAGTGAGGAAGAGGTGTGTTGGGAGATCTGGACGCTGGATGTGACCATCGCCACACCGCGGACCGAGTCTGGTGAGTCCTATATGTCCCGTGTGCTTTGGCTTTTGGCCTTTTAAACAACCTTCTTTGCTTCGAGCCGCTTGATAGAATCTCTGCTAACTGATTTACAGAGCGAGCGAAGGTGCGCAAAGCCATGGCCAATATGCTCCAAAAAGCCGCACTGAAGATCCTCAACGTCGTCAACCGCGACAAGGATCATATCCCGCCTATAACCACCAGCGACTCTAACCCCTTCCCATACCGGATTGTTGTCAATCCCCGGACAGATGGCTGGGGCAACCGCATCGGACTGTACTAAACCAGTGAACCATGACTCACAGCATTATGAGGATTGTACTTCTCTCGCGCGGGGCTATGTACCGAGCGCGTTCTACGAATTTCTTTTCTGTTTCTCCTTTAGAACACGATTGATGACGAAATAGTGGCGTTGCAATTGTTTTTGTGGTTCTATGTCAGGGTCCTAGTTCGGCGTCAATAGGAAGGGCTCCTCTCGTTCAGGTGTTACGGTTGTACAGCTAGCGACATATCGGCTAGTCAAATGCAGAATACATTGAAATCAAAAGTCCTTCGGGAGGACGTAGGTATGGGAAAGCAGATAGATACGGGCTATGGGCCCAGAATATTCAACATTCATAAAGCAGCAACGGACATTCCATCACACGCTGAAAGATTGTTACAAACGAACCAACTCTACCATTTCGATATGTGATGAGATAAAGCACGTATAAGCAAACAACCACACGACCGAGACTCACCACCCCGGTCTCAGTCGACTTCCCCCAATCACCTCCATTCTATTGGCATCCTACTCCAATAGCACTTTCGTAGCGAGGGTCCGAACCTCCTAATGCGCGTCACTAGAACCCGACTGGGTACTGAGAATCGATAGATCCGTGACCTATCTATACATCAAAGTCATGGATAGACAGCGTTATCGCAGCGATTCTCTGCTAGAGCTATGAATAGCTAGCTCTTCAGGTCGAGTGGGGCTTGCTGGCAGCCTCGGCCTGAGCGCGGAGGTTGGCAGAGGTGCCGGAGCTGGAGAAGAAGCGGCCAAGAACGGGCTGGAGGAAGGAGTGGAAGACAACTTGGGCGCCGCTGTTATCTGGTCAGTGCCGTTGGGAGACGATTCTGTGGTGTCGTGACTTACTTGGTCTGGGGCAGGGCCATCCAGAGGATCGCGACAAACTTAAAGATGTAGTAGAAGGCTGTTCCAGAGTTAGTATGTCATCTGGTAAGCTCGCGTGATGTTTGAACGTACGGAACCAGTAAGCGGCGTTGATGGCGCTCTCAATGACGGTCAGGAAAGCGAAGACGACCCAGTACTGAAGATTGTCAGTCAGATAAGTGCTCATGCGCAAGTAGGAAAGTTGTCACGTGGCGCCTGATAAGCCCGAGCCAGCGAATTGCTTGGGCCGGAAACGGCAAATAGTGACGGCGAGAGGTGGGGGACATGAGAACGTACAGTGAGCCACTGCGGTTGATTGAGAGTTAGTATAGCTCTTATCATAGACTGAAGCAAGGCACGGGAGCCCAAGGACATCTTACCTGAGTGTCATCCGAGGTACCCGAAGTGAAGAGGGCCTGGAGCGAGTAGTAGCCGGGGAGAAGGAAACCGGCGAAGTTGACGAGGAACTCGCCAGCGATGTTGAAGAAGACAAGGAAGAAGTAGACTCCGACCAGGCCCAGGACGGCGTAGACCTTGGGGATAGAGGTCTGACGCTCAAGGTTGTTGAGGACGGGGTACTTGGAGAGCTATTGCATCGAAATGTCAGTCGGGACGGAGCTCAAAAACAGTGGTTATAGCAGCAGATGGCATTTGAATGATAGCAAGCAAACGCAAGTGCTCATGCTGCTCGCACAAACTGTGGGCTCGGAAGCAATGCAGCCCCATTTTGGTGCGAGGGCTGGAGCTGGCGAGGCACCAACAAAAACACACAATCGCGGGAACGTACCTCCTTGTCGAGCTGGGCTATGTTGTGCTGAGCACGGTCCTGGAAAGAGGCCATTTTGTAAGATGGTCTTAAATTTTCGCGATATCTTTTGAGGTAAGAGAGTCGAGAACTGCAATGGAGCGAGGGATGATGAGAATGCAACCGGTCGAGCTGGCGGTTACGCTGCTGGCCGTGCGCGGTCACGTGATGGCATGACGTACTCTGCGATCACCTGCGAAATTCACATGGCATCCTTAACCTAGGCGTGAGTGAACGGTGTGAATGGTCATTCCATGCTGTACCATGCATGCTGCACTTTCTGAAACGTGCTTATCTGTGATCTAAATGCCCGTTATCTCACAGCATTCTAGACCCGCCAGCTGCAACTAGCTATCACATTGAAGAGCTCATGTTTTAATATTGTTAACAATTTTTCGGAAGCCAATTAGTCAATCGACCCTGTACATAGTATTATGATTCCAATCAAGACGTAGATGCAGAGTGGTGGGTGGTCCTCGCGTGGTACAGTATATGACGTATAGGGCTGTCTGACCAAATCAGGCGGAATGAATCAGCGGCACATACATTGCACTATGTACTCTTTTCTTTAATCCAAAATCCCCAAAAAGTCTCCGACAAGTTTCTCCTGATTTAAGGTCGTGTGGGTATTATTAGAACAGTTTCATCATATCCCAAATGTGGCTATATGCGGGCTATAGTATCCACCTATGTGGCTTGTCCAATTACTCATCTACAGTGAACGTGAATATGGCTCGCACATAGCCAATTTAAGGTGAATGAAATCCTTACACCAAAATATAGTTTTCGGCTCGTCGGTCTGGTCAATATCAGTCCTCGATGGATATTCAAATGTTACATTATTTCTGTTCCTGTCCCGTAAAAACGCCCCACTTAGCTACTTCCTAAACCAAACCCAAGCGTCAACACGTTGGAGCCGCCTCGATTGCGCGGTATCTAGTACCCACTAGAACTTATATGTAGTTCGTATCCCTCACTGGGGGCCAATTTCAGGTTTTGTTGCTTCCGTCTTCAAGACCTCTGAACAACCATATCCTCCATTTTCAACGCCCCACAACTCTTTATCTCTTTCCTTTGTCCTTAGAGAAGGCGGTTGAAACCCATGATTTTGCGCCTGTGACACGTCACTTATTGCAGCCAGAATGTCGATAACGTCTCTTCCGGCAGAAGTGATGTCCATAATATGCAGCCCTTTGCAGCCATTTGAAAGGAAAATGCTCAGGTTATCATGTTGCTCATTGTTCAGAACGTCGTCTGAGGATTTCTTCGATCGAGATTTCAAAAGCATTTACTTTATTGTAACAAGCGACAGCCTTCGCAGACTAGAAGACCTCGCCCGATCGGATGATATCAGAAGACGAGTACAAGAGCTTTGGATGATACAGACCGTGTTTGAGGGCTTACACAATCTGGACGAAAACTATATGAGAGAATTTCGTGTGTCATCGAAAAGCTGTCAACCAGTACATGGCGATGAACTGAAGGATTGCTATAACACATATAAAGCCATAGTTGGAGACAGCTCCAATCTCCTGAACTCGGATACCTCCAGTCCTACACTCTCCAAATGCGTGGAAAGATTCGACGACCTTGACGGAGTTGGCCCTGCACACTATGCGACGAACTTTTTACTTGATTCACGACAGCACAAAGCTCGGTTTCTTGGTTGGCGCCACCTGATCGGCCAGATTGACTTCCGCTTCACAATAAGTTCCCTGGACCGGCTCTGCGATATCGGCGGTAGAATGCGAAAAATCAACTCGTTGGCCTTCTCAAGACTTCTCCAAGCGCTCAGCGGGTCGAACCGGAAAATCAGGACGGTTTTGATGTTGTCGCCAATGAGAGTGTAGGTCTGCTGAGCAACATCATTGAAACTTGTGCTCTGCCCGTATTATCCAGGTTAGTATTAACAAAAGTACTGTTCTTTCGCATATCACAAGGGTATATCGAAAGAACAACTTACCATAGTTTGCAAAAGTCGAAACCTTTTGTCCTAACCCCCGGAAGCGAGACATGATAAAGAACAGGAGTAATGATTGTAAATTTGATCACTGACTATCTACAAATGCCCAGACACACCCGCGGTCATAAGGACTTTTGCAATACACCGAAGAAATTGTTGTATCAATACTATTACCATGTCTGGTCCCATTCATCTGAAGTAAAAGGAACTGAGCTTTCGTGAATACCGCAACTTACTCCTCAAATCTGGCTAGATGGGGGCCAAAGTCATATAAATCAGGAAAACAGGGACCAAGACGCTACAGGATTTACCGTGTGAGGGCATCTGGGGCTTAGTGCTTCTACTAAAATCTTGGTGCCTAAAGTCGATCTCTTCTAACATTCGAAGGATTCATTTATACAGTTTCCCACTGTCCCAGGGCTCCCGCCGGAGAGGGGGTGGGGGTATGACCCTCAGCAAAGGGGTTAAGTGGAGATCGCCGAAGCCCTTGATAGACTTCATGATATTGATGATGAAGAGAGGAGAATCATCTGATCAAGCGGAGTGTACTATTCCTGGGGATCAAATTGTTCCTAGTATGATTGATAACCAATTCTGGAACTACAAATGACTTCGAACAACGGCACGGTATTGTGGCTCTTGTAAGTTATTCAAGGGGACAAAAGGTATTAAAATGAAGGCGCGGGGCTTATAATACCCCTGAATCTTAGGAAGTGTTTGCTATATCCCGCGCCTAACCACCTAACTGGGTAAGCGACGCCAAGCACGTGATGCACAATGTGACTTGTCCGATCCCCCGTTTACAATAAACGGGAATATGACTCGTACAAGGCTAAAGCAACGTGCATGACATCTTTACACTTGAGATATTTCAGCCATCGAATCAGGATCAGCCCCATTGTCCAATGTATATTGCCGGTGCTTAGCCTGTTTGATCAAATCACGTGATGTACTCTATACGTTCACCACGTCTGCCCTGGGAAGACAATATTGCCATACGGACCGGTAATATCCGGACTGGATAGTGGCTTGCTTCCACCCGCCTAAGAAAAAGTGTTATCTTTAGGTGTGTGGCCTTAAACTTCCTAGTTGGGTGAGAATTGCGGGGTTAAATCCTCACTAATTGCCGGTCCACCCGTCACCCAAGAGCATTCGAAAGCTCAATTGACCGATGTTCTAAAGGATCAGATTCTTCACACTTAAGTTAGAATTAATTGACTAGTGGGAGCAACGTTAGGTAAAAAGAAAACCAAGCGGGGATGAATGGCTTTGTGGGAGTTGCCGAAAGTATCGACTCACCGCCAGGGACGTAAGTGCCGTAAATGAAGTGATTGGAAAACAGGGGGTACTCAACTGAGAACCGATTGCACTCGACACTCAAGGCCCGGAGGTGCAGCACGCAGCCGAGTCCCGTTACCTTTTCTCCTCTCCCCCTTTCCATTATCGAACACTAGGCTTGTACGGAAGACGCCAGCTAGTTTCTGGCCCACACACACCCTCTCCACGTCCACCACGTCCTCAATCCCTCAGCCTCAACCCTCGTCCACATTGACCATCCTGTGGACCGAAACGACATCGAAACGCCATTGATTGCGCACGGACAACCAAGGGGCACTGACACAGCGTGAAGACCGATGTAACGGATTCGGTCCTCTTCTTGCTCTTCCTATCGGCTCCCAAGAGAGCTGGGAACGATTGAGGGGTACAACGCGGATATATTGTACACGAATTGCCGGTATATAAATCCGATCATCTTGGCGAAATCTTCTTGGACGACGTCCGCGAAATCTCGATCCATCCCGTGTCGAACCACCCCGTCCACGAAGATAACACACCACCCTGGTTTCTTGCCATTGACGCCTGCCATTGCCCTCCTTCTTTTCGGCACCCGCTTGCCTTTTCACTTATAAATATCTTTGGACTTCCTTCAAGCTTTCCCAATGCGGCCCCAGTAAGTCGACAATATCCCCTCCGAGTCCTCGGTCAATCGCAGCTTCTAATCACGTTGTGCTCTGGATAGACGCGAATACCATATTGTTGTGCTCGGTGCTGGAGGAGTGGGAAAGAGTTGCTTGACTGGTACATATCACCTTCGGAGTTTTTTAAATTGCGCGTGCTTGCAATGCCACTACAGGCATTGCGGTCTGGATTCAACCAGAAGCTCATGACTTCACAGCACAATTCGTCCAGAATGTTTGGATCGAAAGCTATGATCCCACGATCGAGGATTCATACCGTAAGCAGATTGAGGTAGACGTATGTGAATTGACCCCGATTCGATGTGGACTTCGCTGACATGGACATCTAGGGCCGACAATGCATATTGGAAATGTAGGTTCCCTACGACGGACAAACATGGTACTGAGAAAGAGAGGAAACTGATCTATTGATCTTGTTTGCAGCCTGGACACAGCAGGAACAGAACAATTCAGTAAGTATCACCACGCCGACGCTCTACTTCTATGCTAACAACCCTCCCAGCGGCCATGAGGTAAACTCTACACCAAAACCAACACCGCAACCCAACAAACCACTGACCCCTGCTCAGAGAACTGTACATGAAACAAGGCCAAGGTTTCCTCCTTGTCTTCTCAATCACCAGCGCATCCTCCCTAAGCGAACTCTCCGAACTCCGCGAACAAATCATCCGAATCAAAGATGATGAAAAAGTCCCCCTAGTAATCGTCGGCAACAAATCCGACCTGGAAGACGACCGCGCCGTCCCCCGAGCCCGCGCCTTCGGCCTCTCCCAAAACTGGGGCAACGCACCGTACTACGAGACCTCCGCCCGCCGCCGCGCCAACGTAAACGAAGTCTTCGTTGACCTATGTCGCCAAATCATCCGCAAAGACTTGGAAGGCTCAGGCTCAAATAGTGACTCAAACCGCAAGCGCGAAGGGTCTGGTCGAGATCGCAAGAGAGACCATAGAACGCAGCGCCGCAGAGGCCCTTGTGTTATTCTTTGATACATTTACATGTGTCTACCTGGGCTCCAGTCCACGGTGAGCCTTTAGGCCCTTTGAAAGTCACGCCTGCCTCCGCTTCTATGCATTTGACGCGTCATATGATTGTTTTTGTTGCCCCTCTACTCGACGATTTCCATGCATCTGCGCCTGATAGATCAACGCGTCGCCGCCTACCCATCTCATAACTCATATTATACCATTATACTCTTTTCCTTCTCATTTCGTCAGGCTGAGCACGCTTGTGCTATTTTTTCTTCATTCTTATATCAATGGGGTCTGGTTTGAATGGCCCCCAAAAGTTGACTTGATTAAAAGCACTGATATTTGATCTCAATTTCTGAATCTGCATATGCTTCCCCAGTCCCGATATCTGCCCTTTTGTACTGGGTTATGCGAAATAGTACAAGTCATAGATTCGATAAAACGCCATAAGTTCATTCCAAGAATTCTATGCTAGTATATCAATCCTGCTCTACATTCGGAACACACCGAACCTGGTCTGGATATCCGGCTCTGCCTTTCCTCCGACAGCAGCTGCCAACCCTAATCCCAGCATCTTCCTCGTCTGCGCAGGCGGGATGACACCATCATCCCATAAACGGGCAGACGAGAAGACAGCCTCGGACTCATGATCGATACGAGCTTTGAGAGCTGGATCAGCCGATTTGCCAACAGCCTCCATGACAGAGGAGAGCTGCTCGGAACCCATGACGCCGATCTTAGCATTCGGCCACATGAACATTAGCCGTGGAGAATAGGCACGGCCGCTGGGATACAGTTAGATATGGAATTTGGATGAGTCGGGGAGAGAATACTTACCACATTCCGTAGTTACCAGCACCGGCACTGGAACCGAAGACAACAGTGAACTTGGGGACATCAGCGCAGGCAACGGCTGTCACAAGCTTAGCACCGTTCTTAGCGATACCGCCCTTCTCGGCATCAGCGCCAACCATGAAGCCTGAGATATTCTGCAGGAAGACGAGCGGGATCCGTCTCTGGGCACACAGCTCAATGAAGTGAGCACCCTTCAGCGAGGACTCGGAGAATAGGATTCCATTGTTGGCCACGATGCCGACGCGGTGGCCGTGGATCTTTGCAAAGCCTGTGACCAGTGTTGTGCCGTAATCACGCTTGAACTCAGCGAACTCACTGCCATCGACGATACGCGCAATGACCTCGTGGGCGGGGATCTGGCGACGGAGGTTGGTTCCGACAATACCGTTCAACTCGGCGGGGTCGTAGATTGGTTCTTTGACGGCATCCTCGAGCTGCAGAGGAAGATTGGTCGCGGGGTAGTTCAAGTTTGCGACAGAACGGCGCGCAAGAACGAGAGCATGGGCATCATCGACGGCCAGGTAGTCCGTTACTCCGGAGATGGAAGAGTGCAACTGACCACCGCCCAGATCCTCGGCTGAAACGACCTCGCCCGTGGCAGCCTTGACAAGCGGGGGGCCAGCCAGGAAAATGGTACCCTGGTTCTCGACGATGATGGTCTCGTCACTCATGGCTGGTACGTAGGCACCACCGGCAGTGCAGGGACCCATCACGACCGAAAGCTGTGGGATACCGAGGGAGCTCATGCGGGCCTGGTTGAAGAAGATGCGTCCGAAGTGGTCACGGTCTGGGAATACATCTGCCTGATGGGGGAGATTGGCACCTCCCGAGTCGACCAGGTAGATACATGGTAGCCGGTTCTCCTGGGCGATCGCTTGTGCGCGGAGATGCTTCTTCACCGTAATTGGGTAGTATGTGCCGCCCTTGACGGTGCTGTCGTTTGCTACGATCATGCAATTGACGCCTTCCACTGTGCCAACGCCCGTGATAATACCACCAGCAGGCACATCCTCGCCCTCATAGACCTCGTGGCCCGCGAGCGGGGACAGCTCTAGAAACGAGGTGCCGGGGTCGATCAGTGCTGAGACTCGGTCTCGGGGAAGCATCTTGCCCCGTGAGACATGCTTTTCCCGGGCCTTTTCTGAACCGCCTTTCGAGATTTTGGCATGGAGGCTGTTCATTCGGTCCAGAAGTTCTTGCATCTGCTGGCTGTTTTCTCGGTACTCGGGTGAGGAAGTATCCACCGCTGTGGGTAAGACAGAAAGTGCAGAGGCATGATGAGGGTGCGCGTAGTTAGCGACAGATCTTGAAGCTATCTGGGTAATGTGTTTGTTGGAGAAGTTTCGTGGGCGATAGGTGTGCTGGCCGACTCGCGAGCCCAGGCTGCGGAGGACGAGCGGGGAGGGGGCGCGCATTGCGGCGAGGAGTGAAGTGAAGTAGCTACCCAGGTGGCTGTCACTTGGAATAATATGAGATGGGTCCAAGGAGATGCTATAGGATCGAGAATGGCATATTATAAACTCGGCATAAGAAGTCAGAGTTGATGTGCACGGCTACGGAGGGATAAAGAAGCTCCAAATTCCCCAGATGTGCGGAGTTGCGACGATTGCCGTGTCTACCCGCGGCCCGTCATCACCGCCTTAAAGAACGATTGCGCTGATGCCCTCGCGACTGATAGAATATGAGATGAAAAGATAGATAGATTTTTGCATTATTAGAGAGAATAAGGAGTAATTCACCCAGAGCCATAACAACAACACAAGCGCTGTGGGAGTAAAGCCTACAGCAAAGAGTATACCTGTACACCCATACTCATGGGCGGTCTCCGCGCCGACGACTGCCGCCTTTCCCCTTCTGCATTGTTCCCATGTCTTAAATAGTTTTTACTTTCCCAAGACAACTTCCTCAACTCCTCGGCCAACCGTCTTAACATACAACAATGGCGTCCGTCCGCATCCCTTTCCTCCTACGCACGTCGGCTCGCTCGCTGCGGCCACGCGCCGTCCCCGCACTCTCCCCAGGTTTCGTGCGGAGCGTGTCAACGAAGCATCCCGCCGGCTTCACACCACCCACAGAAGAAGATCTTATCGAACTCCGAGAGCGAGTACAAGAATTCACAAGTAAAGCCAATTTTTCCCAGCTGGTGTACGATTCGTGCTAACGTTTGCTCTGTCTAGGGCGAGAGATTCCGGCCGAGGTTGCCCAGCGGACAGATGAGCAGAATGAATTTCCGGCGGATATGTGGAAGAAACTAGGTGATGCTGGGTAATTCTGCCCTACGATTAATTTACGTGCGATCTGCTAATTGTGATTTCAATCTACAGGCTGCTTGGTGTTACTGCCAACGAGGAATATGGCGGGTTGGGCATGGGTTACCAGGCCCACTGCGTGGTGATGGAAGAACTTAGCAGAGCTTCTGGTGAGTTTTCTCCGCGTCTTTTGATCATTACGGTGTCATTTCGACGGCATTTCTAACCTGCCTTTCTTATTCAGGCAGTATCGGCCTGTCCTACGCTGCTCACTCCCAGCTCTGCGTCAACCAGCTCTCCCTAAACGGCTCAGCAGAGCAAAAGGAGAGGTACCTACCCGGTCTGCTGTCCGGCGAGAAGATTGGTGCTCTGGCCATGTCCGAGCATTCTGCCGGGTCTGATGTGGTTAGCATGAAGACCACAGCAAAGGAGGTGGACGGTGGCTGGGTGCTGAATGGCACCAAGATGTGGATCACCAACGTAGGTTACAATTACCTCGGCCGCAAGAGACCATACTAATTTTCATTTTAAAGGGCCCTGATGCGGACTTTATCGTCGTATACGCCAAGACTGAACCCGAGAAGGGCTCCAAAGGCATCTCGGCTTTCGTGGTTGAGAAGGGCTTTGAAGGCTTCTCCTGTGCCCGCAAATTGGATAAACTTGGCATGCGTGGCTCAAACACGGGCGAGCTGATCTTCGAGGACGTCTTTGTGCCTCGAGAGAACCTCCTTGGTGAGGTAAACCGCGGCGTCAAGGTACTGATGGAAGGTCTTGATTTGGAACGACTGGTCTTGAGCGCAGGTCCTCTCGGGTAAGTCACTCCAGTTAACCCCATAACATCCCTTCTGACATCTCTCAGTATCATGCAGGCTGCTCTTGACCTTGTTCTGCCCTACACCCACGTTCGGAAGCAGTTTGGTACTCCCATTGCCCACAACCAGTTGATTCAGGGCAAGCTCGCAGACATGTATACCAAGCTCGCTGCATCGCGAGCATACACGTACGCCACCGCACGTGAAGTAGACAACGGTGCGGCTGCACCCACTCCGCTTGTGATCCGGACACAGGACTGCGCTGGCGCAATTCTCTACGCTGCCGAGCGTGCGACAGAATGTGCCCTGGATGCTATCCAACTCATGGGCGGAAACGGCTACATCAACGAGATCGGAGCTGGACGTCTGCTCCGAGACGCGAAACTGTACGAGATCGGAGCTGGAACTAGCGAGATCCGACGGATGGTGATCGGTCGTGCTTTCAACAAGGAGTATGCCTAAAATGTTTTCGCAAAAAAATAGATACCTCGCAATGAATGTATTATTCGACAATGTGTCTGGTGCTCCGTATATCGGAAATGCATAACTTTTCCTCGTTCGTTCCATTCGTAATAGTCATGAGATCAACCATTCGAATCCCATACAAGCCAGTTCATATCCTACTTCTTCTGCCTGGTCGACCTGCGCACCGGGCCAGATGAAGCACTTGTCCTACCATCATCCCTCTTCGATGCAACACGTTTCGACCGCGGCGTAGTCTCCCCTTGCTTTTTATTCGTCTCCGGAGGAAACTCCGCTTCAGCTTTTCGCTTGCGACCTGCCTTCACCGGAATCACAACAGACAGGTGGGGCTCAGGCTTCGGCGACTGAGGCAGTTCCGGCGTCGTGTTCGACGCATCGCCCGCGTCTCCATTCTCCGTAATATTATCCAGCGACACGATATCCGACATCACATCCGAGCTGTCGTCGTCGTCTTCGCAGGGGAATTCGTCGTCGGCAAGGGCAGGATCCAACTCACGCATCTCCTCCGCCTTCCTCTTGCGCAACCGCGACTTGTCCAGCGCAGGCTGGGCGGACTTGAAAATCTCGCGCCAGTTCTTCAGCAGCGCGACCTGTTCGCAGGCACCCGGTTCGTAGATTTGTACGGCGATATCCTGGTCCCTCTCCAGGCCGGACGTCTTCCAGACCACGCCTTGGAAGGACGTGATGTCTGGCTTTAAGGAGGATTGGGGTCTGGGGGTGCGCTTGTTTGCTCGGCGGGTTTTCGTCTCGGTGTCTTTCGCCACGGCACCTTGCTTCACGGTCGGGTCGTCATCGTAGTAGTCATCCGTGTAGTATTCCCAGTCGCTGTAGTACTCCTCCACTTCAATCCCTGGGTCTTCGTACAGGGCCGCTTCGTAGTATGAGGTTGCGGCGAGTTCATCCTGCAGTAACAGTCTTGGTTAGAGTCGGCCTGATGAAATCACATTCTGGGACTTGAGCACTCACAGCAAGGTCCGGCACAAGGTCCTCGAGCAGGTATTCTTCCTCCCATTCGTAATATTCCTCGTCGTCGGACATGGTTGAAATGATTCGGATTGATGCAAAGGTGGCGTTGCCTAGATATGCAAAACAGGGTGCGATCAAAGACAACAAATTATAAACACCCGAGGAATGGATAGATAGTACAAGCAAGTGAAAATGCAGCAGAGCTGGAGATGTGACGAATGTGACAAAGATCCGGCTGATCTTTGCATCAAAGAGGCGAGTGCTAATGTAAGCCTTGGCATTTTTCTGCTCGGCTCCACATTTTTTCTATATCGCGCGTTGTGACCCCTTTCCCGGTGTCTCACACTCGCTACGAGCTATTTCCTGCTTCGAGAAGTGGCTCACATGATCAATGTGGGAGCCACGGTATTTATTATGCCTCTGAGCTCGGATTCTGGATGGCTAAGATGTCAATCCAGACGATACCTCTTACAACTTCCAACGAGGGACCCGAGACAAGTCTGTCTCCCAATAATCGTTTTCAGTTTAGTATGATGCGGCTTGAAGCCGATTAAGCTATGAAAAACTTAAAAATTACCTCGCCTCCGGCTCTTTCGCTCACCTTTATTGTTCTCCTATCTTTTTCTTCCCAGGAAACTCGTGGCCTTGTCTGCAGGTCTGTCAGGAAACAACAAACATTCCAACAAATGTACGAGCCTATCGAAGTCATGGAAAGACTATAATGGTATCACATAGGAGGCTATCATCCGTAACAATCGGGAGCCTGGGTACCAAGCTTGTCTCCCATGTATTCTTCAGATACCAAGGAGGTAAGAAGGGACCTGTGGCGAGTCTACACGCTTGCGGAATCTATTTTAGGTCCCACCACTCTCTAGAAACAAGCACACAGCAGGACCAAGGAGATATTGTAAGCGGGCCTAATAAGGCGGTCATTGCGATGGATCTCTCAGGTGGGCGCTGGATACTGCGCCAATGGCTTATTGCTTCAGGGCTATCCAGGGAACGGCATTGGGTCGGGTGCATGAAAATAACAGTCTTGTGTTCGTTGAGTTTCTTGAAGACCGGGTCGAAACGGGAGTCGCCCATGTTTTAGCCCTGTGCATTCGTCATGACGACGAAGTCAGAGGCACCTAGTTCAGAGCGTAGTCGATTTCTTCGAGAGAGCCCTCCACGTCAGGGAGTGGGAGGGAGGCGAAGAAGCCGAATCTGTCGGGATATTCGCTTGGCTAGCTCGAAATCTCCTATTTTGAGATGCGTGCCGGGCGAAGTAATGCTGAGGATGGATCGCTTCATGCCGACCTTGTCCATGAGCTCGATATGGCCTCCTGGGGTCCATTCCTGTAGGTTCATGAGCGTACAACTTTCAGTTGCGGATGCTTAAACCAACAGGTATACAAGGCATGCCATCGAGCTTGTCCCATCCAAGAAGCTCATATCATTTTCTCCAGCCTGGAGGCACGATATGGCAATTTATATCGATTTTCTCCATAATCAGTCAGATTTGAAGGTGTAGTATAGTCTATGTCAGCTCAGGGCCGCGGCCCTTTGAGTAGGCTCCTCAACGGAAAGACCGGCACATTAAAAAGCACATCCAATGGTTCCCCGAATGCGCGTTCCGGGCAACAAATCTGTTTTGTCAGGACTGAGATTGAGTGGGTGGCGTTTCAATGTGCGGGGCCTATCGAGCTGGATACCGTATCCGGCAATGTACAACTGCGCAAAGTTTATGGATTACTATAAGCGGCGGGGGCCGTTTCAACGCCAAGGTAACTCAAAACGCTGACGTGGATTGCGCAATGATATGGCCCCCCCGGGGGCCATGCTTTACTTCCACTTCAACTCTTTCTTTGACATCGACACCGTTGAAACATCAGTCACCATGTTCGCAACGCTCATATCTAATGCTCGGATCTTCGATGGTGTCTCTGTGGTATCGGAATGCGGCCATGTCCTTATCGAGTCCGGTCGCATTACACAAATCTCGTTAATGGAGCCTCTGTCGCCCGAGTCGCCATGCAAGGTGGTGGATGCCTCTGGCTGCACATTGCTGCCTGGCCTCATTGATGCACACATGCATGTGTTTCAAGATGTCCAGCTCCTTGAAATTGCGATGCGATACGGCGTCACCACAGTATTGGACCTGCATAATGAGCCGGAATGGTTCAAGGCGATTAACGCGATCACCCGCCAGAGAAACGATGTCGCGGATGTCAAGTCGGCGTGCTATGCTGCGACTATCAAAAACGGGTGGCCTTCTGCAATTGTCAAGCTAGTTTCTCAGGAACCGGATGTGGGTGCCACTTAAGCTTGCTTTTCGAGATTGGATGCTGATGCTCAGTAATAGATCGATGATCGAATTGCCAAATGGCCCGATCTTACGGACAAGAAATCCGTTGAGGAGTATGTTGCCAGGACCAAGGCTGCTGGTGCCAGGTACGACTAAGAGGCCCTTCGCGGAGATTTGAATCGAGAACTGATATACACTACAGCTTCATCAAGCTGATGCAAGAAGATGGCTATACAATTGATCTCCCTTTCCCTGAAGTCCCAGTCCCCACTCCCTCATTCGAGCTCCAGAAATGTATCGTGGATACAGCCCATGAAAATGGCCTTCTGACTCTTGCCCATGCTCTAAGCAACCACTCCACTCTCCTTGTTCTAAAAGCAGGGGTGGATGGTCTGGCGCATGTCTCAATGGATCCAGTCACCGATGAACTGATCCAAGCATTCAAGAAAAATAACGCTTTTCTCATCCCTACCTTGGCCATCAATACCTCTTGCAGTGGCGCGGAACAGGAATCTCGTGAAAAATTTGCGAGTGACCTGGAAGGCGAGGAGAAGGAGCATCTTTGCGGTTGTATGCACATCACGAAGAAAGAGTTCTCGTCTGAGACTGCCTACGAGCAGGTTATTGCTCTGAAAGAGGCTGGAATCGATATTCTCTGGTAAACATCCCCGTATTTGAAACTAGTCTGTCTGGGCATACTGACTTCTTTAGTGGAACTGATACATCCATCGACCTGAAGGGAACCCGATCGGGTGCTTCGGTTCATCATGAGCTTTGGCTTTATGTCAATAGATGCCGTTTCACTCCCTTGGAGGCTCTCGTCTCGGCCACCTCTAAGATTGCAGATCGCTTTGGATTCTCCGATCGGGGTAAGATTGAGGAGGGTCGACTTGCTGATTTGGTACTCGTGAGTGGAGACCCTGTGCAGTCTATTGATGCGCTGCGTGATATCAAGGGTGTTTGGAGAAACGGGGAAAGACTTGCCCAGAAATAGTCAATTTCTCTCTGCTTACTCCGGCAGCAAAGTCTGCTGCATTCTGTAGATGAATCTCGAAATTATCTATAGATTGGGCGTCTTGTAGGAATTCAATGAGTCTGTATTTTGCCATGATTGCTCAAGGCCAACATAGGGTAGACGGTTATTGATATTTAAACGGTACCATTGTAAATATAGGTACCCATGCATCATGCTATCTGTCTTCCCATACAAACAACCAAACCCGATTTCTTCTGTGTGTTCTCATACTGGATCAAGAGTGTGTTCCGTAATAGGAAAGCGGTCGCGGCTCCAGTTCTCGGCTTTCCCCGCAGTCTCGCTTTGCGTCGGCTGTTGCGGGTCAACAGCGGCGCTGTGAATGCTCAGTTGAAAGCCGCTTTCATCCCCAGCTTGATTTCTCCAAACCCCGACCATGAAAGTTTGCTGAGTCTAGTAATATTGGGCATATCTTTGTTAGCAGCTCAACTCATTCCAAAGTTGCACGGCTGCTCACACAACCACCATGACCCTCTCATCACTTCTCCGCATTACTCCTCGCCTCGCCCCGACCGTGACCCGCAGAGCAACGAGAGCTGCGTCGTCGGTGGCTGGCAAAACCCAGACAACCAAGTCTCTAGACTCAATTCTTATTGCTAACAGAGGAGAAATTGCCCTGTATGTGTTTTGGTCGTTTTGAAAATTGAAGGGCTTTTACTGATAGGCTCTACTAGGCGTGTTGGACAGACTGCGGCAGAGCATGGCATCCGCGTTACGACCCTCTACACTGACCCAGATAGTCGATCCCAGCATGCTTTGAGCTCACCGCATGCGTTCAATTTGGGTTCGGTGTCGGCATACTTGGATGGGGATCGGATTATTGAGATTGCGAAGAAGGAAGGGTGCCGAGGGATACACCCTGGTTACGGATTTGTGAGTTGTGCCTTTCTCAAGAGGACGTCGAAATATGTCACCTGGCTTTGGCGTGGTTTGAAGGAGAAGCATTGCTAATAATTTTATCTAGTTGAGCGAAAATTCTGCCTTTGCCCGGAAATGCACAGAAGCTGGACTTGTGTTTATCGGCCCACCATGGAAGGCGATTGAAGATATGGGTGACAAGAGGTTTGTTTGCGGGATCGATTACATCCGGATAAAAAAAAAACTGACTCGTACACAGTCGCTCCAAGGAGATAATGCTCGCGGCAGGCGTGCCCTGCGTCCCCGGTTACCACGGCCACAACCAAGATCCCGCATTCTTAGAAACCGAGGCCGACAAGATCACATATCCAGTGCTTATCAAAGCAATCAAAGGAGGCGGTGGCAAAGGAATGCGTATTGCTAGCTCCAAAGCCGAGTTCCAGGCTCAGTTGGAATCAGCAAAGTCGGAGGCTATGAATTCATTTGGAGATGACCACGTCCTCGTCGAGAAATACATTACGACCCCTCGCCATATCGAGGTTCAGGTATTTGCAGACAAGCATGGAAATTCCGTCGCTTTGGGAGAGCGAGACTGCAGTATCCAGCGGAGACACCAGAAGATTCTTGAGGAGTCACCGGCGCCGCATCTCCCCGATGCAACCCGAAAGGATATCTGGGCCAAAGCTCGAGCTGCAGCTCTGGCGGTTGGATACGAAGGTGCAGGGACAGTGGAGTTCATCTTTGATAATGACTCGGGCGAGTTCTACTTCATGGAGATGAACACCCGCCTGCAGGTTGAGCATCCCGTCACGGAGATGGTCACGGGCCAGGACCTGGTCCACTGGCAGATCCTAGTGGCCGAAGGGGCTCCGCTACCTCTGACACAAGAACAAGTGGAAGAGAAAATCGCCCAGAGTGGACACGGCATCGAGGCCCGAATCTACGCCGAAAATCCCGACCAGGGATTCATTCCTGACTCCGGCCGTCTGATCCACGTCCGTACCCCCGCAACCACAGATGACATCCGCATTGACGCCGGGTTCGTGGAAGGAGACGACGTCTCGGCCCACTACGATCCGATGATCGCCAAGTTGATCGTCAGGGGAGAAACACGCGAGGAGGCGATCCGGAAACTCGGCGCCGCGCTGGAGCAGTACGAGGTGGCTGGCCCAGTTACCAACATCGAGTTCCTGAAGACCATCTGTCGCAGCCCGGATTTCATTGCGGGTGCGGTCGAGACTGGCTACATTGAAAAACACCGCGACGAGCTATTCACCCCTAAGATTATTGACGATGAAGTGCTCGCGCAGGTTGCGCTGGCTTGTCTACACCGAGACTCTCGCACCGCACCCCAACCGTCCGGGCTCGCGGGTGCGGTCGGGTTCACATCCAGCTATCAGCAGCGGCAGCTGTCATTTACCGAGTCAACGGGGCCTAACCACGACGGTCCCACCTACAGCGTGCGTGTGCAGCAGACAGCAGACCAAACCTTCAATGTTGAGATCGGGGATAGAGTGTTTGAGCAAGTCGAAAGCCGCATGGACCCCGCCTCGCACGTCGTCACCTCCTTTTTCCCTCACACGCGCCTAGATACTACGGTTGTCCGAGACGAAGACACCATTATCGCATTCCAGCGAGGCATGCAATACCGACTAACAGTGCCACGGGCGAAGTGGATGGAGAAAGCACTTGGTTTGAAGGACGTTGCCAATAGCGTGCTCGCCCCGATGCCCTGTAAGGTTCTGCGGGTGGAGGTGCAGGCCGGACAAGCGGTAGAGAAAGACCAGCCGCTGGTGGTTATTGAGAGCATGAAGATGGAGACGGTGATCCGCAGTCCGCAGCGGGGAACAATTGCCCGCGTCGTCCATCAACAAGGAGTAAGTCACGCGCCCCTTCCCCTTTGTTCTAAACCCAAACCCGTGGTCTCTGGCCCCAGCCATTTCGCTTGGAGAAATATTCAGCAATATTCCTCCCTCCTCCCCCCCTTTTGAGATTTGGTTCTTGGACTGTTACAACGAACAGAAAAAAAACAAGACTCCCGGCTCCGCTGATGTAGTTCGAGACGATGACTAACGTGTACCTTGCAGGACCAATGCAAAAGCGGAACGCCCCTGGTGGAATTCGAAGAATCGGAGTAAGAGATTTTAGAGTAGATCAATAATCGCAATTGAGTTCGATACCTGACCGTTGGAACAAGCGGCTATCAAATGTGATGTTGGTTGGTAGTTGACAACTCACGTAGAGAAAAACGGGGGTGTGGATCCTCACGGAGTATAGCTATAGCGCGAAGGATTCGTGATTTTCTGAAATCGCGCTACCCGCCCGGTGTGAGATTCTCAGAGCACTAATACTATCGTAGGGGGAGTCCTGGGTTTCAATGTAAGCGCGCCCGGTTCAGGTAGAGGGAAGTAAGGATCGTGGCTGACACCATCTTGTTTACTCCGTACTAGGAGATAAGATGGTGCCTCGGTGGGTACAACCGAAGTAAGTGGAGCCGACGATGCTGACCGGCCCACCGTGAACATGGTCAATCTGGTGTCTACCTCTAGGGCTGGTAGCGACTTACCCAGATTACCCGCACCTTCGTCATATCTACTAGGGCTTGAGCAAGAGGATGGAAGGTGGTATTGCCACCACTTTACCTGGGGTTTAGTGGCGAAACAAGTGCATGCATGACCATGATGCGACAGAAGGCGGCAACTGCGGGCCTGACAAGTCATATATCTTAGAGTTGAGGGAGTGAAAGAAGCAAAGATAGACCGAATACGTAAAGACTCCGAAGCCTAAGTAGTACCAAGTACCAAGTACCCCAAGTACCCCAAGTACCGGGTACCTAAGATGGTACTTGTCCAGGTCTCAGCTACATCGCGATGACTGTAATCAAAGACCCACAACGAAGATCGATCTCTAGTGTATTCGTCCACCTGACATCACTCAAATGGGAACCCGCTTCCAACTTTCCCCAATTCAATCATAAATAAAATTCCTAACTCAATTGTTTCGACCACTCGCTGGACCCACGACCATTGATCCTCCCTTTCATTGGAAGCGGCATCTCGGCACGCCCCATTTCCACCGCAATTGTCGCATTCCCCAGCTCCTGGGCCGCGCCCGGTGCAATCCTTGTTCCAGAAGCCCTCGAGCTCTTGAAATAATAATGAAAATAAAAACTGGAGCTCAGAGTCAGCTTCCTGCTTGTCCTGCACTCTCTCCTTCTTTTCCTCTCATCCCTCAATCCAAAGATACCGTTTTCTTTTCCCCGTACATATCATCCGCATAGCTCCTAGCTTTAGCTCCGCGGAAGCTATCTCCATTGACCATGTTCAACCGCACGGTCGCTCGCTCCACCGTCAGGGCGCTCAACAGCGCCCGCACGGCTTTCATTGCACCAGCAGTTGGCTCTATCCGCCCGCTCTCCTTCACAGCCGTCCGCTCCAAGGAAGAAGACCCAAACAAGGACCCCATTCTCTCCGCCACTGACCGCGCCGAGAAGGGTGCCTCCGGCGACCATGAGGGTGAATTCGCCCGTACCGATGACAGCGTTCAGATTCCATACCCGCCTGACAGCCAATATCCCGCCCAGCCCGTTGTCCAGGGCCGCGGTGGGATGCATTTCAAGCGCACCCTGGCTCAATTTTCCCTTGAAGGCAAGGTCAGCATCGTGACGGGTGGTGCTCGTGGTCTGGGTCTGGTCATGGGCCAGGGTTTGATTGCTTCTGGCTCCGACCTGGCGATCGTCGACTTGAACAGTGCGTTTTGAAAGCTTATCGCTGATTCCGGGAACCCGCTGATCTTATTTATAGAGACTGAGGCCGAGGATTCTGCATACAAACTTATTGAGCAGTTCCGCAAGGAGAACCCCGGCTTGGAACAGTGAGTTTTTACCTCCATTGAGACCTACTCAGTCACCGGTCTAATCCGAGTTTCTAGAATGCCCAATGTCACCGCCCACTACGCCGACGTCGCCAATCCCGACTCCGTGAACACGGCTTTGGCCGAGGTGCTAGCCCAGCACAGCAAGATCGATAACCTGGTCACCTCTGCAGGTTTCACCGAGAACTTCGACGCGATCAGCTACCCGTTCGAGCGCATGAAGAAGCTCTGGGGCGTCAATGTGGACGGCACCTACCTGTTCGCTACAGGCGTGGCTAAGCACCTGATGGAACGCAACGCGCCAGGCAACATCGTCATGATTGGCTCCATGTCCGGTGCCATTGTCAACGTGCCTCAGCCTCAGGCTCCCTATAACGCTGCCAAAGCCGCTGTCCGACACCTCGCTGCGTCTCTCGCTGTTGAGTGGGCTGGCAAGGACATTCGCGTTAATTGTATTAGCCCCGGCTATATGCTGACTGCTCTGTAAGTTAGCCCGATTATTTGTCTCCAATTGTACTATTCGGAGCCTGGAGCTTGGAAACTGTGCTAACAAACCCTCCAACAGTACCCGCAAAATCCTCGACGAAAACCCCGAACTCCGCGACAAATGGACCTCCCTCATCCCCGTCGGCAAAATGGGTACTCCCGAAGATCTAATGGGCGCCGTAACCTTCCTCCTCTCCGACGCCGCCAAATACATCACCGGTGCCGAGCTCCGCGTCGACGGCGGCTACACCGTGACCTAAGCATTTCCCTGCTTGCGCTTTCCTCACATTTACTGCATGATCTACCGGCTTGTTTTTATGGATGCGATGCGATGCAATATAGACCGTTTTTCTATTTTATTTCATGAACCGCGGCAGCGGATAGCTATCTTGAATGGACTTTTTAAATCCATTTTCATTGGTACTAGTGTCCAAAGGACCCGGAATTAGTAGCCAAGCTCCGCGGTTCCGGAGAATTAAATCGATTGCACAGAAGCTCAGTCTTGACATCAGCGGCTGCGTTTTGTGTTTTTGTTTGCGGGGAACCCTGGAAAGTACACGACGTAGTCGATACGTGTACCCGGTACTCCGAGCTATGACATGTACTTTTATCTCCACGCAATATTCTGTTCGCCCTTGACCAAGTCATTCGATGTCTCGGTTCGGATTGAAATTTGCCCCGTAGGTCTAAATTCCAAACATTAAACCCCGTGACTCAAGCCCTGCATAAATTGCAGGTTGCGGTGTAGCAAAAACATACCGCCTCTACGGAGAACAGTTCCGGGGATCAAAAGTACAAGTAAGCAGCCACTGGCACTCTTTCGAAGCTATCAGTTTTACAAAAGGACCTTGGAAGCTATCTAGTTCCAAAAGTCTCCAAACGCCCAACATCCAAAATTCGATATCAGATTCAACCCCTTACCGTTTGCCCCTGAATAATATCCGGAATGTACGGAGTGCCTTGATCGGATGACCCTTGACAAGAACCCTCGGGGAAACAGCTTCCGATCTCCTGTGCCAAGCTAAGCTTTGGTGGTTTGGGGGGAATTGGTACTTTTGCTGTCGTGTGGTGGACTTCGTCCCTGGTGCCTCGGATGGGAACCACGGGAAGCGGGTTGTATGCATAAACTTGGATGGGGGTGTTGATATTTTGCTGTTTTTGGAAGTCTCCTAATATTGCAGACTTTTATTGCTGGCTTATGCGGTGGCAATGTGCAGCAGGACCAAGGAGATATTATAAATCGGCTTACACGCTTTATTCTATCGGTCCTTCCAAATCTCTTAGGTATTTCTTGAGGCGTCTTTCCAGCATCATTTGATCCCTTTTTCCAAGGTACATTTCTAAACATCTTTTTGAATACGCCCGGACAGATTGGTATGACCACCACATTAAACCTACTTACAATATGCAAAAAAAGTGTTCAAATGTTGATTGTACCAAATGGTAAGAATGAATATCAAGTCAGGTGCTTATGCACAGATGCCACCGTCCACCATTTCCATTCACTGCTCCAGAGCATCGTAGATTGCATTTACATAGGATTCAACCCGTGAGTCCCCGGTAGTCCCAGGAGTCTTCATGCGGTTCTGAGCATAGCAGATCGTAACCCGCCTCTGAACATCCATAATAGCCATCGAACCACCCCAACCGCCCCAATAACAGCTCCCATCACGGATCCAGCTCCTAGTAGGATCTCCCGGAAGTCCGAATCCGAGTCCGAAGCGCAATGGCTTTCCTAGAACCAAATCGGTTCCTTTTATCAGCTCCGTCATGGCCAATTGAACCGTCTCGGGACTCAGGAGCTTCGTTCCATCCACCGTTCCACCCAACGACAGCGCGGAGAGGATGCGGGCATAGCTTCTGGCATTTCCGAAGCCGTTGATCGCTGGCAGCTCCGTGTTTCTGAACTCGGGTGTTGCAGAAAACTCGGCTTTTAGGGAAGGCGAGGACAGAGCTCGCGCTGGAATACCTGTCGCGTTGAAGTCTGGTGGGGGCATGAATGGCGGGGGAGGAGACAGTTCCGCGACTCGGTGCCAGTCTTTCTCAGCCACGCCGAGCTGGAGGTCCGCGCCAAGTGGACCTGCCATTTCCTCGGCGATGAACTCTCCGGCTCGTTTTCCCGTAACGCGTCGGATCAGCTCGCTGACCAGGTGGCCCTGGGTCACCGGATGATAGCCACTCGAAGTACCGGGTTCCCACCACGGAGCCTGTCCAGCGAGTCGCTCGGTAGCTCTCGCGTTATCGCAGATCTCCTCAAAGGTAATGGGCTTCTCCCAGGCGGGAATAGCGGATGAATGAGTCAGGATATGCCAAACTTTGACGTTTTCCTTCCCGTTGGCTGCGAATTCCGGCCAGTATTGCGATACATTGGCTGATGGGTCGAGAAGGCCTCGGTCGACGAGAACGAGGGCGGCGAGGTTAGTCACGCACTTTGACATTGACCAGGGACACACGATTGTGTCTTTTGACCATGGCTTTGAGCGTTCCTGGTCGGCGTATCCTCCCCACAGGTCGAGGACATTCTTGCCGTCGATGTTGACGCAGAGGGATAGGCCGAGCTCTTCTGTTGAGCTTATGTTCTGCTCGACGAGTTCTCGCACTTTGTTGAATGCTGCATCGCAGTGACCTTGTACTGTCGCCATGTTATATTTGATCGATACACTTTTGCAGCGGAGAGGTTGAAGAGTGTCGGTGGCGGTGGGGTTGCGGGGGTAAAAAAAGACCTCGGCAGGTTTTCGGGTTGCTATTATTGTTCAAACGTTAACATCCTAACGCTAAGTGACAGTGAATTAGACACCGAGAACGAATACTTTTGACGCCATTTCAGACATTCTCCCGATGCATTTCTAGAAAGACTTTAATGGCGAAGGGAACATTCCACACCTCGAAGCCTATTTAAAAACTCCGGCGCTTGTGACGCATGGAGATGGAGTGGATTGGAGGGTTGAGGGATGGGCCCACAAAGCTGTAGATGAGAGCACGAGGATCTCTCAGTTCCTGTTTCTATTTCTAGTTCGAAATTTCGTTGATGCTACGTGATTCCTTTCCTTCTGGGTTGTAACGTTGGGTGATGATGCACCAACGCGGCCCTGTCCCATTGCCTTTCCACCTGGCTACTGTACTTAATAGGTCTTATGGAAACCGATTTGCGGTGATTTCTTTTGTCCGTAAATATGTACGCACTCGGCCATATGATTAATAGGATCCTATAGGGGAGTCTCAGGTTCTCAAAGGTGATTCCATGTTCTCTTTATTCATAGATTGTCACCAGGGAACTCACTCCCTTTGATAGGTATTCTAGGCACTAAATTTGGTTTTGGAAATGACAAGGAAGATCTGGATCTAGAAATACATAGAATTATGTTTGCTTTCCACGTTGAGTTTTGACAAGGCGATATTGCCAGAGCTATCTTCCCGATAACGTCACAATGGGGGTTCGCGGCCCTGACATCCGGGATGCCGAGTGGCCAGAACAGGCATTTCGGCAGCTCTCGGCTTACCTGCCATAGCTTTGAGTAAGAATGCCATTACGCATATAGAATCTCTCTGTTGAAGTGATAAATCTGATGCTCGTAAAAGTGAATATATGTCCCATGAGAGTTTAGACACATCGGATGATCCACGACTTATAGACGGCCTCTGGTGCCTTTGAGAAACTGCATGCCCAAGACAGTAACCGGTCTTGGATGTTTAAAACATGTCTCTCCTCCGCATCGCTGGCATACCAAGCGGTGGGGACCCCAGTGAGGCCAACCCGGGGATACGGGGATATCTAGGGGCTTGACCTTCACGTTCGACAAATGCGGGCGAGGCGAGGCGAGCTTGCGTCTGCAGAGATTCTTGACATTCCTCCATGGACTCTTCCGCCAACATGATTCGACTGTTCATCTCCACTGCCGGGAACATGCATCATCGGTGGAATCATTGTGGGTGTAGGTGGGGAAGATTCGACAAGATGCTTCCCCTCGAATATCGTGGACTCCGAATTCTTCGATATTTGTAGATCAAATATTATAGCGACGATGATGTCGGAGCAGCTCATCTCATTAAGCCCCAGGTATCCGGATGGCAGCCAATAGGTTAGCGTCGTAAGCCGAGCCCCAGGTGCAAGGGGCGACTAATCGGAATGCGATGATGAGGGGGCTGAGTTATTCGTCACGGAGCTAACCAACTTCAGCGATTCATGCCTGTCAGCGGTCCTTAATAAATGACTCGTCTGCTGTTGAGACTTCAGTCCATAATATTACCAGCCCAATCCCGGCCCGTCCCGACAGTGTTGAAAGATGACAGGGATCTGACGCTCTTTTCCTTGTTCCAGCGCTAACAAGAGGGGAATTTCGCCCCTGTCCCTTCTTCATTCTATCGATTAGTGGGGCGTTTATACGACACGACAGGCCACACCGTGATTCCACTGGCCTAGATCCTATGTCATAGCCCCAGGGCATTGATTTCACTCATTGTAGGTTGTTGTTTAATTCTTTTTGATCCCTCCATCTCTATTGCTGGCATTTGTATGTTTTTCAAGATTCAGTACCCTCCTGCTAAGAGTGCCCATAAAAGCCGGTTGCTTTTTCAATATACCCTCAATTCCATGCAGGTTCATTCTAGAATAATCTGCATTGTTACCCCACACATTTCATAGGTCCCCTTGATATTGAACCAGTTCTACTTGACAAGCTTGCCATCGCATGACCAAGGGCCTGTCACACTGACGCTCAGTTAGGCCATTACTCCTGCCTTGGTAAAATACCGAACTCACCCGTGGCAAAATTGCATTGACCAACTCCCTGGAAGTTGCCCCAAGATTATTACGAGCTTGGTGCCTCATTATTCGGGCGATGTCGTCAGCATTCAACGCTTGAATAACAACGTCTTTTCTTTGAAGTTCTACCCACGACATATCGCTCTTCATATCCCGGCATGGAACCAAAGGTCCCGTCTGGGCTGTTGACGATCTCCCAGTCTCCCAGTGAACTGGGAAAGGAGAAGCTGAATGTCACCATCATCAGGGGTCTCTGGCAAGGTATCATTCCCTTCTTTATATGCGCAGCTCTAAGACTGTACTGATGCGGTTTCCAATCCAGCTTTCTTTGTCTCGCGACAGGCCAGCAATAATCAGACGGACCGTCGACTTGAGTATTTGTTCTGGAGAATCTGGAGTAGCGATACTCTGCAAAGCGATGCCAGTATCGAGTCTTTGGATCGTCTGGTGTCAAGAATCATGGAATCTTCAAATGAGATGCCTAAGACACCGGTCAAGGTCAGTTCGCTCTCGGCATCTTCGTTCGATGCCATCAACTCGCCCATCTCCTCCCATCAACATTGACCTCTCATCCAGATCCCACCATCACCTGAGCTCACTCAGCCTTCTCAGCACCTTCCTTCAGCTCCGCGAGCTATTCCACACACTTCGTCCAAGTCTCAGCCAGCCATCCAATCAAAGAGTCCCCTTCCCCCGATCTTGAAGAAACCGAACAGTGTACACGAGGCGCCTAAGTCAGCTCGCCTTCTCCTCAAGAACCCCGACGGTGAAAGCGTCACTCTAAATCCATCAACGCCTCCTAATCCAAACATGGTCGAGCTTAACACCAAAGATAACGGATCAGGTCGCAAGATACCGAAGAAGCCCCATGTCAACGCTAACCGCACAGGACGAAGCTCTCGTCGTCGCCCGGTTTTCAACCGCCGCAAGTCGTCCCAAACATCCATACGCAAGGCCACGTCGCCTCCGAGCGAGCAGCTCGAGAACTCCCATTCCGCTGCATTAGATTCCCTGTACAACGCCGATTTCACGTCTCCGTCCGAGCTCTCACAGCCAGAAATCCAAGGCATGATGAGTCCGGAACCAGAGGATAGCTGGGCAGACATCGAATCAGTCGAAGGACCCGTGCCCATCAGGAGACAAGCCAGCAAGCCAGTGACATCGCCGGCGGCAAGTTTCCTCGCAGGGAGAGTGCATCCGTTGAGAAATCCCGAAATCAGCCCCGCCGTTCTCGAAATTGCCGATAAGCAAGACCCCATTCTTCCTCAAGGAATCCAAACGGTTAGTGGAAGCCCCATTCCCAAGGAGGGAACCCAACAGCACGCTGAACCCATGGACTTTAGTTTCTCTGATGCTTTCCCAAGCACCCCTGATGAGATCGCTCAAGACACTGGCCCCTTTCAAGATACTGGGGCTGCTCAAGACGCCAGCATGGCCGGACTCACTGACGCAAAGCGCATCCCCATGCCCAAGAGCATGCTCCGCGACCTGCTCACTATAATCGAAGACCCCAAACCCCTAACCGAACGGATTTCCCTCCCCATCCGCCCCTGGTTCACAGCAGAGCACGCCTGGTGCCGACTTCCAGAACAGAACTATCTCTTGGATTGGATGATCCTAGATGACCCGAGAAGTCTGAGCCCACAGCCTTCGCGGAAACGACTGGTGGAGCGGGGATTTCGGAAGAATTTTGCGGATCAGGTGGAAGAGTTCTCTGCGTATGAGAAGAGGATGAGGGATGGTCTTGGTCTGCTGGATTGTGGAACACCCCAGCGGGAAATCTGGAATGATAATTGGGAGTCTGATGCTCCTACCCTGATGGTGGAGCTGATGGAGAGTCCTCAATCGGAGCATGGGGAGTCGGAATGAGAAATGGAAGTGGATTGGAGGGTATGCTGGGACTTGCTGCGGCAATACTCGGTATTCAACTATCATACTCTTACGCATCGTTCCCCGAATCCTCAGGAGGGATACTTTCATATCCCTCCTTTACTATTGTCTGCCTTCGGGTCCATAGCCCTTTGAACACAGTTTCAGGTTAGATCAGGCAATATGGCACGAGAATTTACTTTTTTAAGATCAAGAATCGTCCGTGTTCCAGGGAAATATACAGATACAGTTAAAATATATAACCACGCTGACATGGAGATGAATGATGCGTATTAGGAAGGATATCCAGTACGTAGTCTCAAGGAGATGAATTAGAACACAGAGAATTGGAATTATCCTTGAATTGTATATCCTCTATAGAAATGACCATCTGTATACAAAAAGCAACAGTTTATAAAGTCTCCATCGCGCCGTCCGATCGCATATACCGCCTACCAGTCTTGGAACGTTAAGGATCTTACAAAAACCCACGCTCGGTACGTTCCGTCGGGTTTCTGGATTTGTGCGACCATGCCCTCTCTCAAACATTTTCTGTGCCTTCTTCTAGGGCTAAATGGTTGGTGTATCAAGTATTAGTCAATGGTAGCAGAATTTGGACAGGCAGAAAATAACGTTATAACGAGAGGCGGTCAAGAAGTTTCAGAGTACGACTTCAATTGTGGCGATTAAAACTGGTTCCTTAAGTAACCAATATTGGAAATACTGAGCACCAGTTCTAGCATGTTAGCTCAGGGGAACGAGCGCCGGGCTCATAACCCGGAGGTCCCTAGATCGAAACTAGGACATGCTATCCTTCATTTCTTTTTGTCCTCCCATATTTTCCTCTCCCGTTTTGAGTTCCACTATATGAGTTTTGATTCGTCCATCAAGCATGAACCAACTAGCATGTTAGCTCAGGGGAACGAGCGCCGGGCTCATAACCCGGAGGTCCCTGGATCGAAACCAGGACATGCTATCCTACAATTACTTTTTTTTTTTTTTTTTTTTCTGTTACTCCAAATATTTTACCCAAATTTGTTATTAGCTTCTTACGCTCCATGTAATTAAAAATTGAACGTTTCAGGCGACCAAAAAGGTGATTGAAGACCAGAATCCAGGGCAGTAAGACACGCAGTCATACTCAATCTGACCACCCAATCAGCTAGACGCACCTACAGCATTTACAAAAACAGTCGTCATAGCTCTGGAGAGCATGCATCTTGCCAGAATATCTGTTTTCTAAACTGAAATAGTGAGCTTCCACGGACATGAAAGCAGGTCTTGATAGTTGACTCAGCAGAGTAACCGAATTTATCCATTCATATGCTATCCACAAACAAATGCACACCGAAGAGAGAAAGAGACATCTGGACAAGTTTGAAAAGCAGAATGCGCTTATTTGCGTACTGCCTGTACACCTAGGTAAATTAAAGTAGAAGCTTGTAACCTGGTTCTACCCATGTCCGTTCCAAAATCTGAAAGGAAATAATATAAATGAAATGCCCTTCAAACCCACAACACATCCATATGATGGATCAGGTAGTGGAATATCTTTCAACTGGGAGGGTGATCGCCAAGCATTAAAATGCCCCAAAAGACCTACCTTGCTCAGTTTCGTCGATGCAAACAGTGACCTTCTCCAAGTCCTGACTTCGAATGAGTACTCCCCGTATGTTCCCGAAGCTTGTCTTGCCGACCGAATGCCCTGTTACATTTGTGGCATTTGAACCTCCTAGGGAGGATATGTTTTGCCTTGATGTGTCTCCATAGAGATATGTCTCGGGTGAAGGAACCATCATAGGTACATCCGGCCCATTCACATTTTAGCTGCCTATAGTGAAGCGTTAGATATCAAGATGCCCCAGGTAATTGTGTGAAGTAAGACTTACCCCGAGTCTAGACTTGGAGAAGATCCGAGGTCATGAAGGGTCGGATCCGCGCGTTGTCCAATATAGTGGTCATCGAAGTGAAAAAGTTCGGGTTGAGGGAGATCAGTGGCTGAGTCTTGTGGTTGAGAGCTGCTGTAGAAGCATGATTCATTGATCGAGGTTGGTACCGTCGGTTGGATAAGTTCGGTATACCCATCAGTTACCCAAGCGGACGGGTGAGGGTTGTACTGGGTTGCGACCGAGGGAGTGGGGGCATTTGGAGTGAGAAAAAGGGAATGTTGGTAGCTGGAGGTATCTGGAGTGAAGATTTGACTATTTGGGATTGCGAAAGATGTCGAGAAATGGTTGCAGGCATGACTTGAAGATTGGGTACCGTCCCTTTGGCGATACCCGCAGATCAAGCAATCCCAACTCATGTCAAGATTGCGCACACGGAATTTATCGTTAATCGGTGGAATGCGAGAAAAACAATGGATTGTAATTTCGTCCAAACAAGAAAAGCTTTTATTTTGACGGCAAGCCTGATATTTATGCTAATAAGATAACTAGTATCACGTAGAGCAATCAAGGTGGCGCAAGCAGAGTAGAGCAACCCGAGGTGGAGATCTACATACATCTACACCGATATTATGTCGGGGCACGTAATATAAGGGCCAATGAGATTTCGGTGCCCTACTTGGGTAATTTTAACTTCGGATAGGATTTACACGAACGAAATGAAGACATAATTTCTGTAGCGAAGTCTCATTACAGAGTCTTCATGCGACCTTCGAGAACCAATTCTGATATCACTGTACAAATTGCCAACTTCGCCAGTCTAGACCCATTGCCTCAGATTCACCCTATGGAGCTTTGCAATTGCGGGGAGTGAGCAAGAACCCACACCATGGGTAGAGACCAGGACGTGGGATCATGCACATTAAGGCAGTTCCCAATCGAAAAGGATTAACTTATTGATGTCAAAAACAATATTCTCTGAGTGGGGCTTCGAGTGCTGTGAGTCTAATATCTGATGTGTTTTCTTCACATTACAAGAGGAAGATTGCACAACATCCATAAACTAGTATACTTAAGGATGTTTTTAATTGATTAGTTTTGAAAGAAACAAGTGACCCAGTATTAAGTGGACTTCAGGTCGTTTCTTCCTCAGGTTTCTCTCGGATTGGTGGTTTGAAACAGAAAATGGACAATCTTGTAGAATCGTAAGACAAGAATAGTTAGAGAGAGCATCTACAATATCACGTATTACTAGGGTAACAGGGCAGGAAAAACGGACCCAAAAAAAGGTGGGGGGAAAAAGGAAAAAAAAAAAGGAGTTTAGGATAGCATGTCCTGGTTTCGATCCAGGGACCTCCGGGTTATGAGCCCGGCGCTCGTTCCCCTGAGCTAACATGCTAGAACTGGTGATTAATGTTTTCAGTATTGGTAACTTAAGGAGTTAACTTAATTCACCGCGATATAGTGGCACCATGAAGTCTCTAAGCCCTACTGGCCGCCTTTTATTACAGCGATCTTTTCTCCTAGTCCAAACTCAGCTACCATCGACTAACACTTGCTACACCAACCATAAATACTACTTTACACGTTCGACCCTAACGACCCCATAGCTACTATACTAGCTCTAGAAAAACAACCTAGGAAACCAAAGATTTACTCTACCCTATCCAGATCTAGTAGCGTTCCAAGCTCCACGCTGCGCGACCGTGACCGTGATAGAAATTCCAGAAAGGAGTGTGCTGTGGACCAATAGTGGAAAACTTTCTGTGCGGCTGATATATGAAACGTAGAAGATGGAATAAGAAGTTGGGGCCTTGGAGAGAACTGGTCGGTTATCAAGTTGTGACAAATTATTTCTCTGCTTTCAGAAAATGGATCACTTCACATATCATAAGCACCAGGAAGTCTCTGACAAAGGCCTTTGATGAAAGCAATTTCAATGATACATATGGCTTAAAGATAAGACAGTCTTCTTAGATTGCATGCTTAGAGTTCAATCTCCTCAATCACTTAGCCCGTATTCCGTATCTCCTTGCCCGTTTACCTCACCGATTTCCTGGATACCTGGAAGCCTCGAACTGATTCCCGAAGGATCTTCTAGCCACTATTTCCTTGTATCCTTTGGCTTCTACTTTCCTTGCATATCCTGATGGCGGGATAGAACCAAGGTTCGCAGTGTTTGCTCGATTCATTGACTGCGCAGGATGATTTGGCCCACTACCAGAAAGCCCCTTGTCGTCGATTCCAGTCATCCAGAAGCTAATGGGTGATGATGGACGACCCGGGTCTCTGGCGTACCTGAAATTGCTCATGAGATGGTGCACACCACCTAAGTTAACACTCTTTTCCCATGGACCACGTTCATCAGGAAATTGAATTTCTTCGAGATCAACAGCTATCACTTTGCCATTGTCGCAAAACAAGAAATTGTCCAATTTTTGGTCCCAGTGTTCGGCTCCGTGCTCATACAGTTTTTTGAGAGTTATTTGCAGTTGGGTTTCCACTGTTTCTTCCTTCACATCAGTCTTGTTGCGTGTTTCCCGCAACATCGGAAAGAATAAGCGCTGGGACCCCGTTAAAAGAGCCCTGGCCATATAGTTCAGGAATCACTATCCCTTGAAGCTCGTCTAATTTTTCGTAGGCCCCTTTTTCAACCTCGAACTCCTTCTCCCAGCCATCCTTCTGTTGCTTGATGATGATTGTTATGACTGATGGTGGAATATTGTGCCGGAATGAGCCTGGTAGAAGCCTCAAGCGATGTACCGTCGGGTGACTAGGATGCAGCTGCTCGACGTATTCCGCAGTTATGGGCAGGCTATCCAGATAGAACTGCTAGTACTGCGTGAGATTTGCCCAGTTTCCCGCGTAATTACTAGTAGATATGGCTTACCTGGCAAGGTTGCGTATGCTGAAGCGTAAGAGCCATGGAACCATGTATGAGGGAAAGGGTTAAAGGGTCACCAACAGGTCGAAGAAGGGGATCTGAGGCCCAGAAGTTTACCAAATACTGGGCGCAGGGAATGGATGTTAGGTGCCGTGTGGAGAAGTCAGAGACAGGCTTATGCGAAAGAAATCGCAAATACGAAAAGACACTGAGTAATGCTATAAAAGGTAAGGCAAGTTCAAGGGTTAGGAGCTGACTGAGCGACCCCCTTGCTGTTTATCCGCACTTTGCACCTGCCTCAAACTCTGTAGAAAACCAAGACCTAGTCACATTCCTCGTATTTAAGGTATACTCTTATGTTCAGGTTGAATCTCCCGCTGTTACCCGCCATCTTTGTGTTATTCATCGTCTGGTCCGTACCCACGGGTATGGAAGAATAGTTCTCGTTATAAATAAGTATTAGGTCCCTTCGACTTGGCAGTTTAACAAAATTGTGTAAAGAGGGATAAATGTTCCTCTTAATAGCTAAGCTATCTAGCCACTTGTAACGCAGACGTCTCTCCAGAAACCCCTCTGTCTATGCCTAACATTCACTGCCCTTTTTCCCCTTGATCAAGTTCACCAGATGCTCTCCCACCACGGTCCCCATAAAATCATAGCCCTTGGCTGTTAGATGCAATCCATCGTCAAACATCTCATCCCGGAAGCTCTCCGAGGCAGTGTGGTACGGAATTTTGCTGTGCAAGTCAAAGACATGGCTATGGCAAATTAGTATATTTTCCACTGGTCTCCAAATTTGGGAGACTCACTATCGCTCAGCTTGATGTTCCAGAATATGGGAGTTCAACGTGTCGCGTCTCGTATCCAAGGTATCGGATTTGACCCCACATTCAGGGACGGTCAAGGCGAGCACATTCGCGCCAGTGGCGAGAGCAACGTCCCAACAGTCTTTCAGTGCGTAGTAAATCATGTCGGCCCGGTTGCCGTATCCTAAATCACTAAAAGAGAAAACAGAATTAGCAAAGTGCTGGTCCAGTAAGAACATCGAGCATACTTGGTTCCTCCCAGAAAAATAACCCAGTCGTACTGCTTCTTTGCACATTTCTCTTGTATCCGGGACAGAAATGACCCCGGAGGGTATACTACCAGGTCGCCTGAGACCCCATTCACATCGATTGTCCTTCCGGCGTTGGGAAATTCTGCCGCGAGGATGCCCGCAAGTTTGATCGCGTACGGGTGGTGCTCGAGCCCCCACCGGTAATAGCCCGCCGTTAGGGAATCACCGAAACAAAGGATGGACAGCTTCTCTGCCATTTGCTCGTGTTGCACTGCGGGTAATGCGCTTGCTGGCTTCTGTTGTTTGGCTGTTGTTCGATGGATCGACCAGACTAGATCTTCTGTTCTGGGAGGGAATGTTGTGATGCGGGCTGCCCCGTCTATTTATTCCCCGGCACTTACGCTTGGAGCCTCATCCGCTGTCCAAACAACCTGACATAAGGTATATCTTGACTTTCATCGAGTCTCAACTGTACCAAGCATTGTTGCCTAACAACAATTTATGAGTCATTGCTATATAGTGCGTGTCGAAACCGACGCCACCACCTACACTCTTTCATTGTTTCTCGAGCAGTAATGCCAAGACCAGCTTAGTCTATATTGTGAGTTTTTCCGGAGTACCCCTGTCAGCTGGATGTGTATTGCTACTTACGTAGACTACAACGTTTTTAATTTTCAAGTATTCGTTTGTAAAATCAATACATCCGACATCTCCATATCGCACCTCCGAAACAGCCCCCCCCGCCCCCCGACACTTCGCGGCCGTTGCAAAGTCTTTTTGACGACTATAGAAAATGTCGGTTGGAACGCTACAGGACTCATCCATTCCCTCGACTTGAATATTCCTCGTGCAAAACGCTCGATAGTCCTCATAGCAATGCAATAGTCTTCAATGTTCTCAGGGAGCTTGCCTAAGATTAGCTACCTTGTGTCTTGCAATTGACTCTCGGGGAATAAGCGCTCGGCGTATCTCCTTTCCCCGGCCAATCTCCCCCAGTCGATCCGATATCCAGTTCACCTGCTCTTTCAGACAGCTTAGGCAGCTGCGCCGTCACAAACAGTGACCATGTTGTGAAGAAGACCCCAAAGGCCGGTGTATCCTCAATAGCTTTCGCCTCCCCATCTTCGGCGACATGTCCAAGCAGATACGGAATGCTAGAGCAAAGAAGCGCGGCTACAGATCTTATCTGCATCCGGATCTCAACTAGTGGTGGGCATGGAACGCCAATATTGAGTGCAATAGGCGCATATAGTACCATTCTACAAAGAACAGACAACTGTCCGAGCCACTTGGCCGTCCACATTCCACCCACGGACAGGGTAGGGAATACCACAACAGCTAAGGGGAAAGGCCTTCTGTCGGTTGATTTCGGATTGGGGTATGTCTTGTATAACCATTCCTCGGGTAGAGATCCCTCCCAAATCTCCAAGTCTTCAAAAAGACGCTGCAGTTTTCGAAGAGCCTCTATAGCTTCCACTCGATTAGGCGTTCTTTGTATCAGTGTGGCGTTCGCGATACTGATCTTAGTCACTCGCGGAAGCAACTCTTCGAAGAGAGAGACTCCGCGGGGAATTGGTGGCGATGGAGCCACAGCTGGCGTGGCGCTAGCAGAGGACGACAGCTCATCGATGTTCTGCATGTGTATTGTCCCAAGGATGGGACAGTTGATCCATTTCTCGCCATCGGCGTCCAGGGAGAGACGTGTACGCAGAATTTCTAGCAGGCCTTGGCGGTGCGGACTTCTAGACTCTAGCTTGTCTTCACCCACGATCACCTATGCAGCAGATACTACTGTTAGCCAAAGCAACCTGGATTCCAAAGAAATGTAATAGTAGCATGGCTACATACATCATACATCCACAGCAAGGCCACCGCTGCCAGAGTAGCTGGAGAATATGCCTCAGCAGCATTGTTCAACACCAATCCGAGTTGCGTAAGGGCCAGTCCATAAGATTGACGAGATCTACGGAAATAGATAGCACTCATTTTCTTGACTTAGGCGAAGCTTGCTTGTGCTACTGCTTCGACTGAGTTTCGAAAGTATCCTGCTTCGGCATTCGATCCATAAGGCCGCGGAAGAAAGTCGTAGTATCCGGAAAGCCGTTGGCTCGCGTCAATACGTAGTTGTGAAAATAGTAGGAGACCGCACATTGGAACCAATCAGTAGGCATTGAGACGGGAATAGAGCTGGAGCTCGTATACACGGTGACTGTGTTAGATAGAGATCTACCGGACGGCAGACCAGTCTCGGCCCGAAAGACTACAGCGTTCTGGTCCCGATAGCCTGGACATACTCTGCGAGATTTCTGACATCTCTGGCAATGTGGCTTGGCTTCATCGCACTACGTAAGATGTGTTAGTACGCCATATGGCTTTTGGTACGTCGCGAGCACGGCGGCCCAAATTCACTAGACTTAACTTTCATCCGGATACACGAAAGACAACCCCTTCTCTTCAACCGCGCATCGCGGGATCCGATCTTCTGGGTCGATTTCATGTAGTGTGGTGCATAGGAGTGTTCTGTCTTGAGAAAGGTCGAACACGACGCTAATCACCGGTACTTATTCTCATTATGGCCCCTGGGGCACCAGTATATACAGTGGTAACTTGCAGGGGGGCAACTGGCTGGAAAAGTCAGACTACTAGTTACCTCACTGATGCCTTATTAGGGGTCGGAATGAGGTTGCTAGCCGAGTCACGTTTTTGGCAACTGCAGCGGCTTTCTGCCTTGGGAGAAAACCGTCAGAACTGAGATTATATGACTAATATGGTACTGAAAAGTGCCTTTGGCATTTTTAGTCCACCTGTCAGATCTCCGATAGTTATGAGCCCGGATCGCACGATTTTCCCTGAGTTACTAAGTGGTTGATGGCTTGACAATAGCAAGGCGCAGAGAAAATAGTTTCCCTAGTATCCGCTGTGGGTAATGTTACCCAATAAGAGTTATCTTTTCCTAGAGTCAGACCTACATAATGGCGGCCGGAACAAGCGGGGTCCCGCTCAGCTGGTGCCCCGGAACAAGCTAGCTTAAAAATGCCAAAGAGTAGGCTGACTGAAAAATAGAAGACAAGATGGATCTATTCGCCTTTGGCTAAAGAAACCTCCACTAAATCTCAACTATATGTGCAGGATACATCCAAGATGGCGATACCCTGAGGGATTGTGTCAGAACTGAGATTGTATGACTACATAATAAGGTACTGAAAAGTGCCTTTGGGCATTTTTAGTCCAGCGGTCAGATCTCCGATACCTAATGATTAGGTTTGGAAACAATTCAGCTGTCCCCGCACAATGTAATTCGGATTGGTTGGAGCTTATTCTAGCGAGATGTTATCAGAGTAACCTCGGGGTTCTACTGTAGACTTGGGGGAAGGGCGGCACGGTATTAGGGAATGCACCGACAGCGAGGCAAGTGGGGACCAATGAGCCAATGATATCTAATAAACACCATCCCTGCAGCGATGGTCAAAACTCCTTTCGTATGCTCCTAGTAGCGTAGTAGCAGCCGATGAAAGCGCTTATTAAACAGTGAATGCTAAAGTGGCGGTGAGGAGAATTTTATTTAAGAAGCAAGCGGCCTTCGTTTAAACCCCCAAATTCCCTTGCCTTAACAGTACGATATGGATCCCCAGTCAGACACTACGATCAGGTAAGTAAATCAAATTGAGTCAGAACTGCTGGACAATGTGAGCTTAATATTTACGGAATAAAAGCTCTTGCCCTGTTCTTTTTCGATATTACATTACCCCCGAGCATGCGCAAGATTTATCTAGGCTTGTAGAGGGCTTAGATAAGCTTGCCCATAGCTCTAACCTGGAGGTCAACAAATGCCCAAGCTTTCTATCTATCGGAGGCACCGAAAAGCAGCATATAGATTGTGCCTTGCAGGATTTGAAGCGCGACACTGGTGTTGACTTCGGTATCTCAGACCTGACACCTGCTTACCGAGAGACAATCACCTGTCCTCATCTTTTACCTATTATGACCATATCCCCTAATCGCTTCATAACGTTCATGTCAGCAGAGCCGCTGGAAGATGAGGTCGTATCCTTCATCGAGTCTGGGGAGATCAAGCACGATGATCTGAATACTCGCGTCTCTAAGTTTCGGGACGACCTAGGAATTGAAGAAGATTATATCAAAAGGATCATGTTTTTTGGTCCAGACGATCAAGTCGCGAATTTTATGGTAGATGAAACGCGAGGCAATACGATGGTACCGAAAGCCAAGAAGTACTTTTCCGAGGGGTTTCAAAGGGCCACAGCCGAAGGGCCTCTTATCCACGAACCGATGAGAGCGTGCAGATTCACTCTTGAGGACTTCCAAAAGCCCCATCTAAAAGAGGACGATCAAGAGCTGATTGATACTGTCAAATTGGCTATTCATAACATTACCTTGCTGGCAAGCCCAGTCCTCGTTGAGCCTATGTACTCGATACATGGTCGAGTTGCAGTGGCTTGTTTGGATGATGTGAGACAGATAATACTTCAAGCCGGCGCTGTGATATCAACTTTTACTGGGGCCGAAATACCCGATTACGTGATAGTGAGAGCTGTACTATCTGTTCGCGAATCGCCTAACTTTGATGAGCGCCTCCGAAAATACGGACCTGAGGAAGCATCATTCCAAAAATCGTTTTCCCATTGGTGTCTTGTCCCCGAGCCCCTATCTGATACCATCGTCGCGAATATACGGAGAAGCAAGAATCTACCGATCCTCGATAAGTAGGAATCGAATAGCAAAGAGAGCCTTTTTGTCAGGATTTTAGGTGTATGCAGTTATTTATCAAGAGCTTCCAATTCAACATGGATGTTCCCGTTCTGCCATCTCTCACCGCCTTTCATCTGATTTTCCAACTCTCTCATTGATATCTCTCACTTCAGTATTCACTATGCTTTTTCTTTCCACCAACCTACATAACCTCGGTTATTAGGCCTACCCCTCACTCTATAACATCCTCTATGATGTCGTTGATATCTTCATGATGTCGTCAACATCAGAGAAAATGGCTCAGTTTCTTTCTATAAATATAGCTCATATCCCAGATTGAATTGACTAAGAGCTTTATCTCAATTTACCTCCCACTACCTTTTCTCTCTCATAAAGGGCAGACCAGGAAGATTCTCTCTATTATCTCTCTCTCTTATATTTCTTATCTCTATTACTAAGGGTCAGCTACTACGCCGCAGTAGTAGCCTACCTCTCCGGAAGGGTGATAGGTTGGCAGGATTTAAATATTTGTTCTTTAGGACGGCCCAACCGCACTGGGATCCTAAATTATTTATTTTTTCTCTCATCTCTTATCCTTACCCGCCTACTCGCCACTTCCGACACTTTTAAATTCTGATCTCGTGGCACCACTGTGATGGCATTGCCGTGAACCAAATATCATTATTTTAAGCGACATCATTAGGAAATAAGTGACTCAAGTCCCGTAGCCTTCTGTTTTCGAGTTTGTCTGCCGAACCATATACTCTATTGTTAATTGTATCCAGGGGTTGCGTAGCAATTTTCTAGACCTCACCCACACGGGCCATACCCATGGGTAGACCTAACAAACCCGACCTAAACCCGCCGAGCGTGGCTCTTCGTAGATTCCTATCATGCCAGGTATGGTAGGCGGTATTTTGGATCGGAAAGGGCTGTGTGTAGGGAGGGGGGGGGGGTTGGAGACTTGTGGTGCCACTGTACTATATGCACATTCCACTATCCATATATGATATTATTTGATTTCTGTCTCCTTACCGTGGTACATCACGATGTCGACAGACATAGCTGAGGAGGTACGTGGCTCCTAAGCGCTTGTTAGGCATTTGTTTTTATTAATATTATAATTATAGACGCCTCTTACTTTCCTGACAAACACAAAACGTAGCCCCTTGACACGATATATCGAAATTTTCTAGGACCTATCACAGGTTCTGTATTACATGTGATCTGCGCCTCGGAATTTTCTTTCAACTGTCACAGACATTTGTCGGGGTTGAAAACCAATCAAGAAACGATGTTGAATGGGTCGAAAATAGCGCCCGGTTGTTGATTTCAAACGGCGACAGTAATGCATCGCAAAGACTACGTACGTTCTATTCTCACACTCGGGCAAATGAGGCGCTTGAAATGGGCGAATCTATGACAGACGCGCTGGATAGCTCTATTAAGCTTGCGGGAACATGGCACAGCCCGAAGGGTAATAAGATCAATATCGGCCTGGACGGGTACCCAGTAAATTGCCTGGTTGGGATTGATCCGGAGGAGCCTAGCAATGAGCAGCCAGATCCACCTTACGATGAACCTTTTCTTTGAAGTGGTCTTGAACTTTCTTAAATTCCGTTTTGATGCTCTGCATCGGTGTCAGATAGTGAATAGAATACTGATTTATACCAACCCGCTTTGTTTGTAACGAATCAGGGCATGGAGCTCTCAAAGTGAAAAGCTAGATGTGCATCACAGAAATCCTAGTCTTCAACCTTAAACTTCTTTTCTATTTCATTCCTTCCTAAAACAACCCACCAGCAGAACCACGGGACCAGCCCGTTCAATTCAAGCTCAAGCACCCTCCTTCTCAGCATCAACACCAACCGGCCCAGCCGGCCTTCTAGCCTTCAACCACCTCAGCAAAACCCAAGAGGCCGTAATAAACCAGAACGCCAAATTTACAAGATCAACCCAAACCGCGTGCCGCATTCTGTTAATCTTGCTCGCATCACCCAAATCCGAGGTACTCGAGTCCGAATCCCGCTTCGAGCTCGAGGTCGAAGGATGAACACCAATATACATCCTCCCGAAGATTCCAAAAAGCGTCAACCAAAGCACGCAGAGCACAAACTCCCACGTGAACTGCGGCAGTCTCAGCGCGGGACTGGGGTTGTAGTTCACACGGCGCATACAGAACGGTACAATCATGTGGATTGCCGCCGTTGTTGTTGCTAGGAAGCCCACGATGAGCGCGAAGAGCCATTTGGCGTGCCAGGTGTTCTTGGAGTCGTGGTCGTGTTGCACGTCTTGGCCGTAGAGGCCAATGACTGCGAGGCCGAAGACGAATTGGAAGAAGCGCAGAGCGGACATAATCATGGAGATTACCTTGGAGCCTTTGCTAGGCTTGGGATCGTTTTCGGGAGGGTAGGACATGTTTGTGCCCGGGGCGACGCCCGGTGGGTATTCGCCCATTGGGTAGGGTTGGTAGGGTGGGTAGGGCTGAGGGTACGGGGGGTAACCGGCGGCGGCGGGGTCTTGGAATTGTTGGTGTTGTTGTTTTTTGGCACTTTGCTTTTTGGCTTGGGAATAGCCAAGTTTGAGGAGTTTGACTGCGACAAAGGACATTGCGTTGGCAGTGGAATGGTTGGTTGGTTGAATGAATGAATGATGAATGAATGAATGGAAGGTGTAAAGGTAGACCGAGCTGGTTGATCAGAGAGTTTGATCAAAAGAAAGGCTGCGCGAGCGCGCGAGTGTGTGGTGTACGAAATAAAATATAGGCAGCGCAATGAATCACGTATTCAAAAGAATAGTCGAAGTGGCAGCCTGGCCAAATAAGAGTGAATCGTGAAGTGAACAATGAATAGTAAACCGATTGGGTCATCAACCAGGATGACGCAGGCGCAAAGAATGGCACTTAAAGGTAGAACGTGGAGCTTCAAGAGATTGTAAGGAAAGATAGAAAGGAACAAATGGTAGACAAAAGATCGATGCTGGTTTCAAAGCCGGTCACAGAAGCTTTATAGACGAGCTCGACTCCCCAGGACAAATAGGGCTGCATACAAAGATCGACTGTTTCTATTTTCCATTGCACCCAGACTAACATGAAACTGCCATCTCGTTCGTCCTTTGAGTGTCGGCGGTTCGCCCTGGATCCACCGCGTCGGTTGTTTGTCCTCCTCGCTGATCCATAGATCGCCGAGATGCCAAAGAAAGATGAAACGCAGCGGGGTGCCAGACGGGAATAAACATCTGCAAGCACGGGAACCTGTGCTGATACGAGGATGGCGCGAGGTTGGCGCGAGCTGGTGTGGGTTGGCGCTTCACTTCGCGCGCGCCAAAGGGAGGAATTGTTGTTTCATCGAGGTGCTCTTTGGACCAACCGAGAGCCAATCAATGGTTCCAAGGTTAATTCTAATTCTATTTTCTTTGATTCAGAAAGACTCTCAGATGATTGGGCTGCATACGCGGCCCCAGAGCTCGCTGGAGCTAAGAATAGGTCGACAATGATCGGGATCTACAAGAGAAGCGTCAAGGACGATCAGACTACGAGACTCGAGAGATGGTTTTTCGCATATGCACATTGCCCTACATGGCTTTCCGTCTTTATTATTACAGAGACCTTCATGGAACCCCGCCGAATGAATCCATCGATCCAACATGCTTGAGAGGGGAATTTCAGATGCAAAACTCGTAACGCCCAGTCTGAAGACAAACCAATGTGAGAGACACACGGGAAGCCGAGCTCTCACCCGTCAAGTGAATTGTCAGGCCGGCCGGCTTGTCCCGGCATCTGCAGCATTTCCAGCCGGCACTGGCCTGGTAATATTGTCTGGAGGCGGAAGCGGAGGTTTGAGCTCAGACGGAGATGCAGGGTCAGGGCCAGGGATGGATCCCGGCTCGTCATCATCGTACTCGTGGCTGTATTCGTCGTCGTGGACACCTGAACCCGTCGCGGAGGAGTGGTCGACCGACGCGCGGTCGTACCCCTGCTGGTAAGAGCCTTGGGCATTCTTCACGTTCTTGGGTGCCTTCTTGGTCTTGCGGCCCTTCATCTTTGCCTTCTCGAGAAGACGCTTCTTCTCGGCGAGGCGCTTGCGTTCCTTGCGGTCTTTGATCTCGTACTGTCGGATGAGAGCTTCGGGTGGGTGGCCGAAGATGCTCTCGTATTCACAGAATTCGCAGATCCAGATGTCTTCCAGAGCGGGTGGGTGGTGGATGTTTGTGTATTGTTGTTGAATTTTGCGTTGACGCGCAGCCAACGCATATATGCTGCCCGGAGACCGCTTCTTCTTGCGGCTCACAGAGCCCTGATCTCCTTGGGCAGGGAGGGGCTGTGTACCCGGTGAGACGTGCCCTTGCATCTGAGACATGTTCGGGCTCGTCTGTGTTCCTGTAGAGAACCCGCGGGGATTTGACGTGGTAGGCGCGAGGGGTGAGGTCGGTGAACGGTGGGGTATAGAATAATTGCGCTGCATTGCCATTCCTTTCGAGGAATCAGACTCGCAGGTGAATGTGAATTGAGTCTTGGTGGGGGTAGTATTGTTCTCTTGGTCCAGCAAGCTCACATTACTGGCGCCTCGAGGTGGAGACGAAAGGGTAGCGGCGTTTGCTATGGCAGTAGAAATGATGCCTTGATCAGACGATTCGCCTGGCAATACCAAGTCAGCATATCACCGTATTTATCTAATTTGGCAAGTCCACCAAATGCACCAATTGTAAGACATACCAGGTCCAGGCGATGACATATCTCGCCGACTCGGCGTTCGTGTATTCATCCAAGCATTTTGGGCGTTCGCAGACAACGGGTTTCGCCCGCTGTTGCTGCGCGTACTCCGGCTCAGACGGCCTCTACCAGACCCTGATATGCCACTCGCCAACGGTGAAGCAGGATTTCCACTCCCATAATACGTGCCCGTACTCCCATCGCTGGGCGGAGGATTCGAGTTGGCCAATCCCATACTCGCAAACTCCGGCGACAGAGCAGAGTGGTGGTTCATATTCCCCGGTGTTGGGATTTTCCGTTTCTTCTTGTTATTTGTGTTTTCAAAAGCGTCATACCCGTCGGGACCAGCCGAGGACTTTTGCGGACCGTCTTTACCAAACACCTGTGGTTGTGAGCTCGGTGATAGAGAACCTCGAAAACCAGCACTTCGGCGTACGACTACCGGTCCGTCTTCATCCCCACTATCCAGCTCCACTGCAGTATCAAACCCGTGAGAGTCAGCCTCCGGGGTTAGCTCGTGTCGGTCCGTCTCGATCGTCTGCTGCACGTAGACTTTAGAGTCATTGACCGCCTCCTCCGAGTCTCCGGAGACACCATAGAAGATCTGCGATGCTGGGGGTGTTGGCGGGTAGTGGATACCGTCGGCGGCGTCGGTGGACAGGCGAGAGCGCAAGGTGCGTTTAGGGAGAGGCCGAATCAGACGATCGGGGTAGACAAGGGAAGGTGTGTCAGGGGCCGAGTTGAACGTCCCGTCTACACGAGTGCACACCACGTCAGTAACCGAAGAAGTAGTAGACGATTGTACTCGTCGAGGCTGGAGCCTTGAACAAGGAGAACACGGAGGTCCCTATACGAGTAGACGTACTCAATGTGGCAGTCATCATGCAAGTTCACACTCGCCCTCAACCACAACTACACGTGTAGATGAGTTGAGCCAGCCCGGTTCCGTTATTTTCCTTGTTCCCCCTCCGTCGCTATTGTCGTGATTGAGCCAGCAATACGGAGATCAGGTTCGGTGTGTCGGGGAGAAACGCGGGTTCGGAGACTACTGTGGCCCGAACATGGTCAGCCAAAGTTGAGATAAAACAGCCAAATATGGCTTTGCAGGCTTCAGAAAATAGCCGTCAAGTCGGCAGTGCCTTCTGGGGCACCCTTCCAGCTACCTCGGTGTTCCACAACGAGGATTATTGCACATACCCACAACGATAGCTATTATTCAGCACGATCAAAACAAGGAGCGATGACGGGGTGGTTGAACCCGAAAATGATCAGAAATCCCAGCCCGAACAGCCAGAAGCCAGAACAAGCCAAGAGCGGAGAACAGACAGGATGATGCGGAGGGGTTGAGATGTGAAGCGAAATGCCAGCGAGTCACGGGAATTCGGAACGCTCACGCGCTAGCCATTTCGGGTAATCTGGGCACCCAACCGGCTTCTTGGGGCTTCGCTATTATGCATCTTCCCTTTTTTCACAGGTGCATATGGGACCGATATCTCTTCACTGTATTGTCTTTGTCTTGACCGACTCTTTTCAGATTGACCTGTGTTGGCAAGTACACCAGAGCTCCCGTTTCCTAGATTCTGCGGAGCAGCGGGGGAGCTGCGGAGGGGAAGTCGAACCGAAAAGTGGCCGACAATGTGATGAGATCTTGATATTTACAAACTACGAAGTTGGACTACGAAGTCTGGAAAGGATCTGGGCTGGCGGTACCTGCATGGCCGCCGCGAAGGGCCACCGAATGCCTTGCGTAAGACCGCTTGTCCGCGCAAGAAGCTCGACGAACTCAAGTCGAACCCGCTGTGCCACCATTGTGTCCTTCAGGTGTGGTTTCCAAGTTTCAAGGTCCATGGCTGAGGTCCCTGAGACCCTGAACTCCTAGTGCAAGTTTTTGGTGAAGTTCCTGGTGGAGAGTGACTGACAGCACAGAGTGGTACCCTCGACTGTGGGGGTAAGCGCATTGCCCTTGGAAGAGCTGCAGACGACGACGGAAAACCACCGAGCTTTCAACATGCAGCAGCGTCTTGCAGGATAATTTCTCCCAATCCGCCGTGCGGCATTGAGCCGTCCCCACCATGAACTCGCTCCAATTGTCCTTGCGGCCCACATTCAAGTCTCGCGTGTCAGAGAAATGCACAGTGTATGTGAAGGACTCGAGGATACCGGTTTCATGGGAATAATGCGAGTCAGGTAAGACGGTTGCCGTGCCGGTGAAGGGGGGAGGGTCGAGCAAGCGAAGGGAAGATTCCTGCGGAAGTACGCCACGGGCAATGTCAGACAATGAAACGCGCAATATATAGCCGTGGCCTCGATAGAACAATGCAGATAGCTATTCCGGCAAAAAGAAAGAAAATGGACGTAAGACACGGGTGGTAAATGGCTCGCGCGTTGAGAGGCGTCGAGAGCGGGGAAGGACGGGCGATTGGATCTTTTGGAGTCCCGTTCCGGCGCTTTTCTCCTTCTCTCCTTCTCTGCAGCCCCCGCCAATTCTTGCACTCCTGACTATGTAGTCATCGGGCTCTCCCTCGAGCCTGTTGACGCCTTGCTACAGTTCCATCTGCGATTTTCAATTGTCTGCCTCTTTCTCCGTCGAGGAGCTCTCAATCGCGCGGAGCTCCCTCGCAACCGGTTCTGCTCTTCTGCTTGTGCTCGACACCGTCACTCCTGCTCGAGAGCCCCATCGAATCTCTTTGATTCGGCTTTGATACACTATATCCCTACATATTTACACTTTCCCGCCAGTTCACCATGTCGCCTCGTCGCTCCTCGCGAGCTCGCACCACCCAGCCCTCTCCTGCCCTCCTCCAACACACCAACTCCTCCAGCTCCTCAACCTCCCTCACCCGCGAAAGGAGCACTCGTTCGAATAATAAAAACCCCTCTCCTCAAGGCTCGGCTGGACCTCGCTCCCAGTCCATCGACGAGGCCGAAAACGGCTCGAGAGCCGACCTCCCGCACACGCGCACGCGCCAGCGGGCCCGCGATGACGATGACGAGCCTCCTCGCGAGGATGATGAGGAAGACCCAGAAGATGACGAAGAGGAAGAAGTGACTCGATGCCTGTGTGGGCAGCAGGAATACCCAGGCTTGCCTCTCTCTCGCCGCGAAGCTCTCGGTCGCGGCGCCATCAAGCTGGAGGGTCATCCAGTCACGGATTCATCCGAAACGCTGTCCGATGACATCGGGAGCATGTTCATTCAATGCGACTCCTGCAAGGTGTGGCAGCATGGCGGTTGTGTGGGCATCATGGACGAGGAGACCAGTCCCGACGAATATTTTTGCGAGGAGTGCCGGAAGGATTTGCACAGGATCCGAGACGAAGCCAATGGGTAAGTTCAAGAAGAACATCATTTGCGGCTCTGCTTAGTGGATGCGTCTGGTCTGAGCTCAAGTCGTCCGAGTGGCTCTCACTGCCCGTGGCGACTGGACGTCGCTCTCGTCTTTTCCCCCCCAAAGACAGCGCAGACAACACGAGCAAGGCTTGAACAGCTATGGAATTTGCTGTCCTTTCTTTTTCTGCTTTTCTTCTTCACATGGAAAATTTTATCGAGGTGACTATGCTAACCACCCCGCAGCTCTCGTTCTTCGACTTACCTGCCCGTCGCGCCGGTCACGTCGCCGGCGCCTTCCTCTCGAGCCTCTTCGCGGGAAACATCCCGACGTTCCAAGGACCCCAAAGCGCGCCTCAGCGAAGGCGCAGCGAATGCTAAACGGCGGTCGACTATGAACAGCCGGGATGCCGCTTACGACGAAGAAGAACTGATCCGACGAGCCATTGAGGAAAGCAAACACGACAACCAAAGCCCTGACGACGATACAGCTACACGGAGGGCCAAGCGGAGTCGAAGTGACAGTGAATCGTGGGTGTTCCTGGATCCAATTCCGTGTGCTGTGAGTTTAGCTGACAATTTGTTTTTGTTATTCAGAAACAGACAAGATTCCAAGCGTCCTCGCACCACCTCTCCGTCCCCGACGGCCGTGTCGAAGGAGAGTCATCCGGTCTCCCAACCTCCGTCTGACGACGAGTCCAAATCGAAAGCAATGAACGGAACCCGGAGACAGAGAGCCAATTCCCGAAGCCAGCGGGACAAGGAGCCCGCCAAGGATACCGAAGATGTAGAGCCGGAAGCTCCTGAGACTGCCAGTCGCCGGAAAGAAAGATCGAATCGGCGCAAAGGAGATGGTGAGTTGCAACGCATCCAACAATAATTGACGTCCATCTTACTCACTCTCAAATCCAGAATCCGAGCAGGAGACCGGATCCCCCACGAAGACAGCACCAATCGAGCCCGAACCTGTCCAAGCAAGTCCCAATACCCCCACACCTCAAGAAACAACGGCCGCTCGCCCCGCAACTCGCAAATCCGGCCGTCCCCCGGCTCGACGAGGAGGTCGACAAGGACGCAATCAATATACAAACCGCGACGTAAACGGCACCGGCACCGGCACCGGCACCGAGTCACCACGCCGCGGACAATCACACGAGATCGGCGCCGACTCACCACGAGTAGGATACAGCGGGATCAACGGCACACAAATCAACGGAGGAGACACTGGACGCCCAAGCAAACCTCGACACATGCACCCGCAGCGAACAACAATGAACGAGATGAAGCGGCGCGTAGCGGGCATCCTCGAATTCATCTCGCGCATGCAAGTCGAGATGGCCGTCGCCAGCGAAAACGCATCCACCCCTACCGGTAGCAACGGTGACCGCACGCAGGGCCTGCTGCTAAAGAGCATGGTCGACCAGATCGAACACGCCATGCCCGTGCCCAGCGACGGCGAGTCCGCGCCAGACGACGAGCCCCATGAGAAAGACTTCAAGGAACTCAGCAGCATGGAGATGATGGACGTGCTCACGCGCCACCTTCTCAAGTGGCAGCAGGAGTTCGGCAAGTTCGGCGAACGGTAGCTGCCGCGCTGTCGTGCCACCGGCACTCTCCAAGGTTTTCCACGTGCCTCGTCTTCAAGGTTGTCCTGGCTGCTTATACGATACCCCCCCTTGTTCGCGCCGTTGTACATTAGAATTTGTGTCGGCGTCTCTTTTTGGCTTTCATATCGGATCGGCGTCGTGATTGTGATTGTTTTCTCTCCTCGTCCTTCTGGAGATCGATGTGTAATTGGTTAAACATATCATGTTTGCTCTCGGCCTTTTGGTCCAAATTTCATGTGCTTTTGTGGATGCTTTTCAAGTGTGGCTTTTTGTTTTGGGTAGGTGCTCTGGGTGGTGTTTTGGAAAATAGGATCTATATATGGATTCTTTTGTAAGTTTTGACTAGGTTGAATATCACTGCTCTTGTGTGGACTTTTCTTTCGGTTTTATTTTATTACCTGCTTAGGAAATGTATTCCATGGGTTTCTAGTCAGTTGGGTTTTGTAAGATTCCAAGGTGTTGGAGACCTCAGGAGTTGTTGATGTCGTGTAGTAGTGATATATAAAAGGAGATATCTAAAGTACCCTTAAGGCCCATCAAATTGGGCATTAATCTATCAAATAATTAGAAAAATGCCTCACCCAGCACCGTATGAACCGAAATTCCGACAAATAGCTCCGTAGAGCCAATTGACCCTGTTGGTATACCCCCACACAGTGACGCGGAGCTTCCCGCGCAAGGACAAGTCCAGCAACGAAAAACAAGAACCACACAGCTCAATTGCAAAAGAGGGTACCTTTACAGCGTACAGTAGCCACTAGTCTCCATAGTTCTCAATTTTCAGACCGGAATACTCAAATGCAGGCACCCAATTGCAGTCCAAAGCAAGGAGGTTCGGAGGGTTGGGCATCTGTGTCACAAGTACGATGGAACCACATGGGCATCACCACCTTGCCGGTCTCAGCAGAATTACAGCTTTACAAAAGGAATTACGACTTCAGTTTCACATTCAAGCTCTGATTCATTGGCATTATCGCTTAGGTACAGGCCCATACATACAACATACAAGTCATGTATCTATTTTCACCCGAGCAAAAAAAGTAGGCAAGCCGTCAATTGAAGGAAATCGTAAGACAAAGGAAATAATAAATCACACTATTGGAGAAACCCAAACCCCCACGTCACAATAAATTTACAGACGAGAGCCGTGAATGACCTTGAAGTCGACGACGAGCTCACGGCCACCGTCGTTGATGACAAGGGCACGGACGGAGCCACGGCCGTCGGCAAAGGCATCACGGATGCGCTTGAACAAGTGGCCCTGGGTGATGACGGGCAGACCCTGCTTGACATCGCCGGTCTCGGTCATGGCGACGAGCTTGCCGTCGTCACGGAGGTCGAGGATGCGGTAGGTCTTGTAGATGGGGCCCAGCATGGTCTGGACAACGACGGAGGGAGAGGGGTTGGCGACGAAGCTGGACTCCTCCTGCAGCTGGCGGGTGAACAGGTCCACACCGAGGTAGCGGTGCTGGCCGGTCTGGGGAGACACGGAGATCCGGATGACCTGGCAGGGACGGCCCTGCAGGATCAGGATGTCGCCAATGCGGATGAAGTGGCAGGGGATGGGGACGGTCTCGCCGGAGGCACCGCGGCCGCGGGGCTCGACGATGCGGACATCCTCGCGGATGCCGTCGCTGAAGCGGGCAGGGCCACGCTCGTCTCCCGCGACAACCTCCTCGCGGTCGTGGTGGTGGAAGGGGTGCATGATGCGGTCGGCGGCGCGTTCAACACCACGGCGGAAGGAGTGGTACTGGCCTTCGTCGTCGTAGTAGCCCATCTTACGGGGTACGTCACGGACAGTGGTCTGGACTTCGGTAGGGGCGGAGTGGTAACGAGGAGCAGAAGTCTGGGTGGCTTCGACCTCGAGCTGGTAGCTATCGCCTTGGTAGAGGGACTGGGGCTGGGGCTTGTAGGAGCGGTTGTACGAGACGTCGACGGACTGAGCCGGGGAGTACTCGTAGTCTACGGGTTCCTGGTAGCGACGGTCGTAAGAGACGTCGAACTGGGGGTTTGGAGAGGTCCGGCGACGGTAATCTCTCTCGGTGACGTCGAGTTGGTTCTCGACGGTCTGGTCGTAGACTTGACGGTCCTCGAAGCGAACAGAGGACTGGTGGTTGGGGTAGCTGAAAGGGAGAAGGATGTTAGCCGGGATTGAAGCGAAAGTGTAAACATATAAACAAAAAGCAACACGCCGAACCCCGGTCACCGCTCATTGGGGGGAGTGGATCCCTCCGAGACGATTGGCGTGACACGTAATTCAGTCCGGGGCCGAATCCGCGACGCCTCCAGACTGGGATTCGGCCCACACACGAATGGCAAGTTCACGAGTGTCTCCACAAGTGGAAACTTATCTCACCGGACCCAGCCGCGGTCTCGGGCTCCAGAAACCTGGAAATCAAAACAAAAACACAAGAAGCCAAAAATACGTACCGTTCACGGGTGAGATCAACCTCGGCCGCGTAGTTGCGCTGCTGATAGGGACCGGAACGATCTTCCTTGATGCGGAAATCGACTTCTTCTTTTCCGTAGACACGAGGGTCGGGGAGGGGGCCCTTCGTATCTTCCCGTTCGACGCGCGAAGTACGATCGAGTTGGACTTCTCCCTCTACTCTCGTGTGAGTAGTTTCAGAGACAGCGTCACTCCGGTACGACGACGGGAAGACACTGAAGGGGATGGGGACGCGGGCGTCAAAGTCCAGATTGACGGATGTCCGACGTCTCTTCTCGAATGCCTTTCGAACTGTTCAAGACAACTCGAAAGACTAGACAAGAAAAGACTTGGCTGGGGGGAAGTCTTTCTCGGAGAGAAGAAAAGATGGAGGTGATCGGGATGATCAGATCTAATCTTTCGCGTGGGGTGATGATGAGGAATGTAGCGAGGAATGGAAAGGGAAGAAAAGGAGGGGAGGAAGGAAGCTGGAGGTTATCGTTTATTTATCTCATGCGGTGTTTGTTTACTGCGCCTTGCCTGATCGGGGCGTGCGCGGATCACCGAGGTTGATTTCTGGTTCATACTCTTCCCGACTTACGAGTCGCTGGTTTACCGTCGTTACCGATTACCGAGTACAGAGGACAGCGTAGAGAGTGATTAGATGGCTGGAATGCGGAGTCACATTCCAGCCATCTGTATCTCGGGTCTCCATATAGAGACAACTCACCGTACTCCGTACTTTAGTACGTATGGAGGTATACAGTACACCGCTCAATCTTTCACATGGAGGCTGGCCAGCCCCGTCTCCGCGTATCGAACGGCGGTTCCGTCCCCATAGCAACGCCGGGTCGAATCGGACACGCCCGCCGATCGCTCCACTCGCGTTGTTTGGTCGATCGCATCACATCGAGAGAACAGGGGGAAATTCGATGATGGAATCCCTCGTTATATAGCCGTAGCCACCTCCTTCGGGGACGAGTCTGGGTAAAGGTGAAATACGACTCGTCTCTCGGTGGAGAAAGGGAGTGAAACCGCCAACGCACTCTCTCCACTCGATTTGATGCATCCAGATCGCAGAGTCCAGCGCAGCCCAAGCGTGTCTCCAAGGTGGTTGGGCCAGTCTGCAGGTGTCTAGACCGGCGTATTACCGAGGCTGGGCAGTGCAAAGGCTGCACAGGCGAGCTGAAGTGGCTGGTTGCTGGGCTCCACTTGCTGCACGAGCTCTGGTTCCCCGGCTACCCTGGGTGGATTCGTCATTGTTTCATTCGTCGTTATTCGTGCTTTTGTACGCTGTACGGAGTACTTTGAAGGCACTAGCACTATCCACGACTATGTCGATCAATTATGGTCCCAGGTACACAAGTGCCGGGAAATACGTCTAAGAAACATGTCTAAAACACATATTGCAGTCCAACCATCATCAACGAGAGAATTATACACGATTTGAAGAAACGAGGGTATCATCTGTATATGGCACGGAAACTGAGAATGCAGTTTCAAAAAAGAAAAAAAGAAGAAGAACCAGCACAGCGCCGGTTCCACCGGGAAAAAAGAAAAGAGTGTGTAGTCGAACAAAGTGGTGGACGCAAAACTCGAACGTATACTCAGGTATTAAAGATTAGATCCTTTCGGAATATTGCAAATCCGTCTTGACAGACGTGATCGCCACAATATTGACACAGAATAGAAGAGAAGGCATTAAACAAGTAGGATGGGTTCAATCGTGAGAAGTGAAGGGTGTCACGATCGTAGACCGAAGGCTTTGCGGAGCATTGGGAAGCGCCTCTTTCGTCCGGAGCCTGCGATCACGACGTTGCGTGCGGTTGGGCCGGGGTCAGTGGCATTCGTAATGTCGGAGCTGGCGTCGTTGAACTCTGGGCCGGTGGGGGATGGTTCGATTTCTTTGCCTGGATTGTCACCGTTGACGGTAATGCTGCCATTGCGGGCTCCGTCGACTGGAGGCGCGGGCTTCTCCGTTTCTAGAGGTGATGTGGGAGCGCTCTGGAAATGTTCTGGAGCTGGCGCGGGCTGCTCTTCTTCAACGGCTGGACTGAGCGGCCAGGGATGACCGGCGAAGGTATGTCGCTTGTTTTTCTTGAGCACTTTCGGCGATGATGGTGAGGATGGCGGTTCTGCCTCAATAGTGGTCGTATAGGTGCTTTCCCCAGCGAAGGGCTCTCGCAATTGCTCGCGTTCAAGGCGTGACCGCTCAAGCGGCGTATCTCTCCGGGAAGGACTCTCGACATCTGCCTTGTGGATGCGGTTGTCGGTGTTCTTGGGCTTCTTCAGACCGAGACGAGTGAGTAGGCCTGGCTTACGTCCTCGACTAGGCTGCATGATAAATTCCTCAAGCTCCCTCTGGCTCATACCGCGCTGTCGAGCCACGGCTGCCATCCCTGACATGTTCGGCGCTGCATTCTGATCACGAGAGCCTGGTGGTCTGGCACCCACACGAGGCGTGACAAGCAGCGGAGCCTGATGCGGACGCTCTTCTTCAGAGCTATCCTCCAGATCGGTCGAGTCGCCGTCATGGGCTCCCTTGCGACGTGGAATTCCGCGAACGGGACGCATGGCATTGTTGTTACCTTCCTCTTCGTCGCTGGAATCGGCAAATCGACTGCGGAAGACCTGAGGCCGGGGTCCCTCTTCATCATCGGAATTGGCGAATCGGGTTGTTCCCTTCGGTTTGGGAGGAGCTTTGGTAAATCGCGCACGAGGCGGCCCTTTCTTATTTGTGGAGAAGAACGACGTTCGCTCACCTCCACCAGGTGGGCCTCGTAGTGTTTTGCGCATAGTCCCGGTACCAGAACCAGACGACATTGGTCGGTACTCATCAGGAGAAGCTGCACGGGCTGTCGGAGACTGCACTTGATTAGAGGTAGGGCCAGCGCCTCTCATCGTCCGGCGCATGGAATGTGAACCTTCACTGCGGGGCGAAGGACTGGAGCGCTTGAAACTGCTTGAGGAATCACTGCCGTTGGAAGTGCTTCGACGAAGAGAGCTGGGGAAGCCAGCGGAACTTTTCATTTGGAATGCCGGACCGAGAGAAACTGGTCGGTTTTTTGTCTTGCCAGTCGCAGCGCCATTGACATTCGAGTGGCGATAGTCCTGCAAGCCAGAGCTTCCATAAGCATCTACAGACACGGTCCGTTCCTGTTTCGCCCCTGATTGAATGGTTCCATTTCCCGATGCTCGAGTTTGCGACTTGGACGTTGTCGGAGGGGAGGGGGATTCAGGGAAACCTGCAGCAGTAGGAGAATCTTTCATCTGGCGATTGACAGATTCCTGCGTGGGCGTACTGGAGCGAACCTCTTCCATGGCCTGGTCCGTGACATCCTGCGACTGACTGTCGATAGCTGCAGTTCGAGTGTGTGGCTTGGGAGTTATGTCACGACTCTCACTGATCGGTTCTAAGGGACCCGATGACCTAGGGATTGCTCGACTATCAACAATGGCGTTGATTGACCCGAAGCCATCTCCATCGAGGTCTTCTTCTGCATCACTGTAGATACTATCGCCGGACTCGCCCTCAGTATCAACGTCGTCAAGCTTGGGAACAGCGCTTGCCATAGGCTGCTTGACTCCTTTAGTTGTAGATTTGAGGCTGCGGTCTGAGTTCGAGGTTGGGAACCCGCCTGGGATTTGGTATTGCTCGAGGCTTCCCCGGCTCGATCGTGATCGTTCAAAGCTGGGGCGCTCATTCTCGAGCATGGGAGTAGCTGGCTGAACAGCAATTGATGGCACAGCCGATTCAGACTCCTCATAAAATGGCGGCTGTTCACTAAGTCTGCCCTTGGCAACACCATCCATCTTCACATCCGCAGATGACCACTGCGGAGAAGAGGAGGGCTCTCCATTGACAGACAATTGCTCCACGGTTTTGACATTATGAACCTGCGGCGGCTCCGCGGGGTGGACCTCGGCAAGCATCCCTCCAAGAGCATGATCATTGGAAAATGAGACACCTCGATCAGGCGCCTCATCACCAGACGTGGTGCTGGAGTCATTGTCGCTAAATTCGGGGATCACTGGCACCTGAGAACCGTCCCGGTTTTTTCGCACACTACCAAATGATGGAAGGGTCGGCCGAGGCTTCAATACTTTGTCGAAGTCGTCATCGCCAGTGACAAAGTCCGATGCAGTCTTCTTCTTCCCAACGCCAAACCAACCCTTGCGAGATTTGGACTTGCCCTGGGGTGAATCCGGCACGAAATCTTCGGGGGAAGTTGGAGGACTGGCTGCGATTCCGACGACCTCGGCCTCGTCATCGAAACTGACCTTGACAGACTTCTTTTTGGAAACGGGCCTGGAACCATCGTCTGAAGCTACCGAAGTACCGTCGGACATCTCACTCGATGGCTGCACAAACCGACCAACCCGTGCCCCCCTGTCCGGAGACAGGGAGTTTCCGCGGGGGGATTTCAGCGCCGATTTCACAGGCGAAACTGATCTCGGTGGAGGTTGATGGACTTGATCACCAGCTGCGGATACGGAAAGCCACTTGGAAAAGTGGGCAGATCGGCCAGGGCTGCTTGGCTGAGGCACATGCTCGGGTTCCTGCAGCGAAGATGCTTCGTCGCCCTTCGGGGACGGTTGAGGCGTCGATACTGTCTCAGCATGATCAATTGTCGGCGATGCGGCCGCAGCTCGGTCTCCGGTCTCCACAACACGAGGAATATCGACTTGTTCATCCGCCGGCTCCTTCTCCTCGATGACTGTCGATGGCCATCGTTCGATAGTTTGAGAAGATTGATCCCCGACACTTGGTCTAGTAAACTCAATTGGCACGTCGTCATCCGAACGTTGGTCCCGTGTGCTGGTACCAAGGGGTTTTGGATCTATCCGCTCAACCCTTGCATGAGCCGGCTCTGCCCGCGACATGCCTTTCTGCATACTAACTGCCTTAGCTGCTGCAGCGGCGGTACCTGCCGGAGCACCAACGGATTTGATTGCGTCTTTCTCCGCATTCCCCGCACCATAGGATCTGGACTTCGCGTTCGGCGACTTGCCGGGTCCTTGGGAAAGAGAATGCTGGGCACCGGCGGCAGCCGCAGGTACCACACGAGCTGCAGATGCATCCCTACTCACTGGCCGATTCTCAAGCACCACCGGCGGCGAGATAGGCCGGGAAAAGTTGATGGAACTCCGGCTATTCGGTCGATCCGTCTCTGGCACCGTACCCAAGCTACTCAACCGATTATGCGCCGAATGTACGGCAGATCCCCCTTCTCGCCCTCCTCGATCCGCACTGATACCTCGTGCAATTGCCCGCGGTGGAGAAGCGGGAGGTGTTCGCATCTGCGGCTGCACGCTCACAGCGCGACGATTAGGGGGTTTCCCGTTCACGTACTGAGATGGAACTGATGGCAGCGGAGGAACATCGGCGGGAATGTGATTGATGGGACCTGAGCTGGTAGATGGGCGATTAGGGGAGGGTTCGCGAAAACTTCTTGCGGTCATCGATCCCGAGCTGCTCGTTCGACGCAAATTGCCGCTGACACTCGCTGACCTGCGGCCGGCCATGGGACTGGCCGGCGACTGGGTGGAGGCCCGCCGTTGGACCATTCGCTTGGTCTCGACATTTCCCACGGAGGTTGGAGTCGGTGTACGATTGCGTAGGGCGGCGGCTGCAGCTGCGGACGAGAGGCTACTTGTGGAAGGTTGGGACTTTAAAAAAGCATGAGTAGCGGCGGTCTGCGCGGATTGAGACGAGGCAGTAGGCAGCGGCTAGATCAGCCACAGGTGTTAGCGCATGCGAAGTCATTGTAAAGTTTTAGTGCTTCGAGGTATTCGGGGATCGTGGGACTCCTCAAAAGGGCCCAGACAGATCGAGACGTACCACCTGGTGATGGGAGGAGCTTCTCTTGCGACGGCCGAACATGGCTGCTCGGGCTCTTGGGCTTCACGGGAAAGGAATCGGATAGCCGGCCGGACACTGCGCTCAGCAGCGCCGGGGTTGATCCGAAATTGAAACGGAAGACTCGGATGGGCGATGGTCGTGGCCCGACGGAAAGAGCTGTAGAACGCGCGGTGAATGGAAGAGAAAGTTCGCAAAGTGGGAAGAGAAAGAACGCGACGACGAGAGGGCCAGGAACGAGTGAGCCAGGGTTGATTGTAGGGATGGAAGATACCTGGATCCCAAGGGTTTTTTTCCAACAGGTTACATCCAGTGGAAACGCTGAAGGATTTCGGGGGAGGTGAGCACTTGCGTCATGACTGCCTGTTGGGTCAGGCACGGTCTCCTCAAAAACAGGCTGATATTTGGCCCGAATCAGAACTTTATAGCCAGCTCATCCATTACCAATTGTTAATAAATACTTGATACTCAATATTAAATACATCATTACAAGGTCTTGCTTTTACGGAAATGTCCCTGGATGCCTCACCCCAGCTGCCCCTCCCCAAGGGCGTCTCGAGTCGCCTCGTTTCAACCCCCGAACTGACCTTTCACATTCTCGAGGCCGGCGCCACTCCCAATCGTGATCGTCCCTTGGTGATTCTGTTACATGGTTTCCCCGAAATCGCCTATTCATGGCGTCGAGTCCTGCCCCAGCTCGCCGCCGCTGGCTTCTACGCCGTAGCCCCCGACCAGCGCGGATTCGGCCGCACGGTCGGCTGGGATACACGACCGTATGAGGACGTCGATCTGCACAGTTTCTCAATGACCAACCTGGTGCGCGATGTGGTGGTTTTGGTGCATGCGTTGGGCTATCGGTCTGTTCGGTGTGTAGTGGGTCACGACTGCGGTGCCATGACGGCTGCGACTTGCGCCCTGATCCGACCGGATTTCTTTGAAAGTATTGTTCTGATGAGCCATCCTTTCAATGGGAGTCCTAGTCTGCCTTTCAACACCGCGAATGAAGGCAGTGTTGAGGAACAGGCTGCACCTGCATCTGCAGCTGCAGCGCGGGGTGGAGGTGGTGGTGCCGAGGGTTCTGCTGCTGCTTCGGGTATTCATGATGCTTTGGCGAATGCTGGTCGCAAGCACTATAAGTGGTACTATTCGACTCCTCAGGCTGGTCCTGATATGTCGTGTCTCTCACCTGAGGATCTGCATCGCTTCTTGCGCGGGTACTTTCATCTGAAGAGTGGTTCCTGGCCCGGTAACAAACCGCGTCCACTGTCAGGCTGGACTGCCGAGGAACTTGTCCATATGCCTGGATATTATATCATGCCCTTGGATGCAACGATGCCACGAACCGTAGAAAGAGACATGGCCGATGAGCCGACAAAGGGAACGTCGTCGCATTCATGGCTGCCCGAGAATGAACTTGCAGTTTACACGTCCGAGTATGCTCGCACCGGATTTCAAGGTGGGTTGAACTGGTATCGTGTGTTTACTGCGCCGGGTGGTCGCTTCTCCAAGGATTATGATATCTTTGCGGGGAAGAAGATCGAGCCTCCCTGTGCCTTTGTGTCTGGAAAGCTGGACTGGGGGATCTATCAGCAGCCCGGTGCGCTAGACAAGATGACCGGTGGCGCGGTATGCTCTGATTTCCGGATACTTCGACTTCTTGACGGAGTCGGTCACTGGGTTCCTCAGGAGGCTCCGAATGAGGTTGCGCAGACGATAATTGAATTGACCAAGAGCCTTGATGCATAGACGATGATGAGATATGATAGTGCCCTTTTCCATAGGTACATAGTTCTCACAAGTACATATTCTCAGACCCAGTCACCATTTACAAACCCCAAAGTCTCATCCTCTTCCCTCAAAAGGCCGATCAAAAAGAATACTCTCTGCGGACATCAGCTTGCAACGAAGTCTATGGGATTACACAGTAGGTTATCCGCGTGGTCATCGATAGAGAAAGTGTATGTATGTTCAACACCACAATCGTCAAGTGGTAAGTCCTTACAAAGACAGTCGAAAGCTTCCGAGGTCAGAAATAGCCGATCTTATTAGAGCCAAGGAATGCAATATCACAAATTCAAACATTTTTTGAAGAGGTCTTCATTAAACAAGTCGACCATAAATAACAAAGGGTATGTTTCAAATCCAACGCGACGCACACAAATGCAAGTCAAAAGCCAAATGAAAATATTTACATCAACGCGCCAAAGGCAACGGCAATCAGAATCGGCGCAAGAGCAAGCAGCGTGTTCTGCGGCGGTTTCAGCATCGCAGCACCAGACCCGATCGGGGCCGTGGTGTACATGTACTGGAAGGAAATGTCGCTCGAGTTGAAGCAGTTGTCACGGGTGACTTCTTCGATTTCGGGGTCGTCGACCTCGGCGAAGATGATGTCGACACACTATCCATCATAATCAGTAAACGTATAAATATACCAAGATCGAAAACATACGTTATACAAGCCCGCACCGTGTTTAGCCGTCTCCACAACCTGGATAGTTGCCTTGTCACCAACATTGACGCTGATGTTAGCCGGCAAGGGCACCTGAGGAAGACAGAAGGTACCGGGGTAGGGGTTGTTGGACGGGCCAGTGATCAGGAACGGGGGGACGACGGGGTGGCTCATGTTCTCTGGAGTCTCGCCGAAACCGAGGTTCACATAGATGAGGGCGGTCGCGTGGCCCGGGAACCAGCCCGGTTGAACAGCGAGAGCGCCGCCGCGGATAGGCCATTTCGTGCGGTTCGTGGAGGTGGGCATGCCTCCGCCTTTGGAGTGGTTAGTGAGCTTCAAGGATCTGGACGGCGTATCGCTTACATGGGTAGATCCATTCCATGCCATAGGGGAAGATGTATGAGCCATTTTTGGGATCATAGGCTACTCCCAGACCGTTTGTTTCTGCGACTGTGCCGTTGGTGTGCAGATTGTTTCCTCGGTACCCGGGGTATGTGATGACCGAGTGGGCATGGATGAGGCTGGCACAGACCAGGACCACGAGGGTGGTCCAGTGGGTTATCGATGCTTGCATGGCCATGGTGAATGTGAATTTATGTAGGCAACGAAGGCGAGGCTTGGACGAAAGTGAAGAAATTATTAAAGGAACCGGTCCCTTATTTTCGCCGAGCAACGGTCAACGTCGATCTCGAATGGCACTATTCAAGCGAACTTGGTGTTCGCGGGAGAGAAGATGATAGTGAAACCAGACAGAGCACTCGACCAAACCAAGCCACGGATGATTCTCGAGGGCTGGTCGAGCTCTTTTTGAGGGGCGCCCGGTGCAGTGCACGCATCGTGGGCGCGGACGAGTCAGGATGCAGAGTCCTGATGTGACCGGAGGTGCAGGCTGAACAGCTGATGACTGGCCGAGTGCCATTCTGTGGAGCAGGGATGTCGGGGATCATCACGGCTTACTGCAAGTGCAGTCACTTTAGGGCCGTCTGGGCACGGTGATTGGCGGAGCGCCTGCAGCTGGAAGCGCCGAGGGGCAACGCTAGGTCTGGATCTGAGGGGTTGTCCTGTGCTGCTCAGCGCTTAGAGTGCTGGGAGGTGTGATAGATGCAGGTGTCTACATCTAAGAAACGGTCTTCCGGTGGGAACACCCGTGGTGTTACTGTCATGTTGTCGGATGGCACTCCGTGAGCTGGGGCTGTATAGATGTGACGGTGCGGGATGGCTCCACCTTGCGACTCAAGTCAAAGCTTCTCCAACCGAACCTCTACTCCACTAATTTTTGCCCAGATGGACGCCGATCAATTTGGGTTACAATGCTAGCTCGTGAATTTGTCAAAACAAGAAAACCAAGACCATAAAAACTATACATAGTTCTTAAGACAGGGATTGATAGAAGGACTCGGCGAATATCAACATCTTCTGGTGCAATTTTGCAAAAAACAAACTCTACCTATCTGTGAGATCATCTTGCTGATAGCAAATGAGTGAGAACACTATTACACATCCTAAGCTAATGACATCCTGCTTAGATCGAACCTCCCTACCTTTGATCGGAACCATAGAACAGCTTACTAATCCCGACAATCAGCGGGGCCGCGGGGCCCAAAAAAAAGATCGCAGCTCACGATAAACTCCAACTCAATCATATATCAATTGACAAACACCCGGAGGCCCGGAGGGACATTGAAATGCCACACACATCGCGCCGAAAGCGCGCCTCAGTCCCGGCACAAAAACGCCTCCAAGTAACCGACGACGACGGCTGGACCCATGTCACCAGCGGCAACAACGTGCGCCGCGCAATGCGCACAGCTCGCGGACCGAACCCGCAGAGTGACAACGCAGACAAAGAGAAAGACACACAAGCTCAAGAACCAGTGCTAGCACCAGCCGAGGCACCAGCGCGACTCACGCTCGACGAGCTACAAATGCAGTACGCGGCTCATCGGGAGCGGTGGGTCGATTCCGATACATGGAAGACGCTCACGAGACACCTTGCTGAGCAGATGAGGGAGAGGGAGCGGATGGCTTCGCGGGACGAAGCGGTCCGAGGGCCCATCGACGCGATTGTCTGCATCGGACTCGGTAGCCCGAGCGGGTTCCTGCGCGACGGATGGGTCGATCGTCGGACGGTCTCGATGTATCAGCTCGCAGCACTAGACTGTATCGCGAAGCAACTATCCCGTTCGTGCTCTTCTCTCGCTTCACTATTTTTCAAAAGATAACATCACCAGGCCCGGATAATAACATCCCCCTCTCATTCCCGATCTACGCACAAGATCCCGTCTTCAACACCCTCGACTGTTTACTCCTCGAGTCCCTTGGTATAACCATCGTTCAGAACCCAGTCGCCTTCGAGCGCATTACTCAAAATACATTGCTATTCTGCCCTGGTGCTGAGAAGAAGCACCTTGAGCTGGTCCTGCCTTCGAATCCGTGTCTTGTTTTCGGGGGACCATTGGAATTGGCGGATTCGGACGTGATACAGAACTATATCTCGAGGGTGGATTCGCGGGCTTTAGTGCCGTTTTCGATAAACGAGCATGCTTTTTGGAAAATGAGGTTATACTTTCGTGTTGATGAGGAGGATGAGTGAATTAATGCTGCTATTTGCGCGGGATATTGCTGCATTTTGCATGGGGAGGAGTTTGGGCATTTGGATTGAACTATATAGCCTGAGACACGGTACTTGAATATAAGGGGCATTTCACTTGGTTTCCGATTAGAAACCGGAGCGCAGAATATGATCACACTCACCTGCCCAGATGGATCGGTGATGAAGTGTCACTCAGTGCCTATGGAGCACCTTCTCCACCTAAGGAGCATCGTTCTACATAGATACTCTTCTACACTCAAAACAAAACACCGAGCACAGCAGGAACCTCGGAAAAGAAATCAAAATTAATATCTATTTACATTGAATGCTAAACCGAACCAACGCAACGCAGCGCAAAACAAAACCGTCGATATCCTATGCAGAATTCCATCCCGAAATGTCTCATAATAGGGTTCCATGAATAAAAACGCCTTGGGCAAAAATAAAAAGCGGGTCGTAGTGAAAGTCACCGAAATGAGGCAACGCAAGATCAGGGGGGAGATCGGATAGGGAGGATGTCGAAGTAAAAGGAAGGTCATTAAAGTAGAACACCAGGAAGGCGGAATAATGGCGTATATGCATGCAGGGTTTTCATGATCATGATCCTATAGGGTAGGGGCATTATGAGACGGTTTTGCCGTTGCAGGATGGGATTTGGAGACCGGGTTTGATCTTGCGTGCTTGATCCATTAGTCCCCACTTGTCTTCCCAGTCCTTGCCGGGGGTGTTGAATTGGATTTTCCATGGCTCATCAAAGGCTTCGAACCTGTGTTGTGTTAGGAAAGGGCCGAGTTGGGATGAATTGAAGGGGGAACATACCAGAAGTAGTCAGTGCCGTTCTCCAGAGCTTGGCAGACCCAGTCGGACATGAATGTGTTCATGTTGTCGATGCTTGCCACTGATCCTGGGGTATCGGAGTCGCAAGTTGGACTAGCACCACAGTCTTTGCCACCGCCGCTGGGCCATCCAACCTCGGAGATGATCTGTTTCTTGCCGGTGCCTGCGGTCAGGACGACATCGTGGTTTTGCCAGAAATTCCAGGTCCAGGATGCTGCTACGTCCACGTTGACGCCGGCGAAGAAGGGGTGGACGTTGGACATGACGACGTCAACTGCCTTGACGAGCTGGGCGTTCCAGTTATCTCCGAGGTCGGACGTGGAGACTAGCATGTCGAGGCTGCGCTTCTTGAGTGAGTCGCGGACATCGTTGATGTAGCTGATGACGTTCTTTTCGGCAGTCGCGATGTCGGGGCCTGCACGATACAGAGCTTCGTTGCCCACAATAATGCCCTTGAAGATAGAAGGGTCCTTGGTATCGTCGAGAATGTGGTTGAGCTGGTTGAGCTGGCGCGTGGTCGTGGTCTGGTTGGTATCGATCCACACACCCAGCCAAACCTTCATGTCGGTCAGTCCCAACCTGTCAATCGCGTGCAGGGTCATCTCGGTCTGGTTGCAATCTGTGCCGTAGAGTCGAACAGTGTTGGTCAACTGCGAGAGCACAGCCAAGTCACGAGTGACATTGTTTTGCGAAGGCGGGTACTTCAGACACAATGGGTACTGTACACCCCAAGGCGTGTAATCCATGCCAGGGAAGACCTTGTGCAAGTCCTTGTTGTTCATGAGCGCCTTAATTTCAGCCGAGTCTTTATTGAGATCCCCATTCTCTTTTGTATCCTCATCCGCCGACTGATCATTACCAGACGAGGGCCCATCCTTGCTGCCCTTGTTCCCAATCGTTCCTCCAACCGCACCACCAACAATGGCACCAAGGATGATGAGACCAAGAATGATCCCAACGAGCAACCCTCGCTTCTTCCGCGCCGACATCCCAGTTCTAGGTGGCTTCTTCTCCCCGACCCCAGCTTCCAAGCCACCGCCAGGAACAGGCCCGTAGGAAGGACCGGCATTCCTGTTATTTCCAAACAACCCACCAAGCACCCCACCGGCAGCAGCACCACCCGCACCACCAGTCGCGACAGGTGCCGCCCTAGGCCCGAACTCATCCTCGCCATCATCGGCGATCTCATCTGGGTTAATTTCGGCCTGCATGTCCCCAGCACCGTACTGAGAGTGTCGTTGATAAGGGTCATCTCTCACGATCCCACCCACATATGGACCGGGGTGCTGGTTATCCAACATACTGCGTCTGTTGGAACCGTCGCTAAGATGCGCCGAAGACCGACCGGGAGTCTGCAAGCCAGGCGAGGCAGCCGCGGCACCTAAAGCCATATTAGAGCCATACGACTGTTCCGGTCGTAGAGATTCCGCGCTGCCGTAGCCAGCAGGTGGCACGTAGGGGTTATCCGAGCCGCTGGTGTGGAAGCCGCGCTCAGAGGGCCCGGCGAAGCCATCACGGTCCATGTTGTGGACTGCCTCGATGCCGCTTAGGCGGTCGTGACTGTTCGCTACTCCAAGGGCGATGCCACTGATCCCACCGCCGACAGAGGAGGGGCCAAGATTATCGACGTCGGGGGTGATGGTGGAATTGTGTCGCGCCGAATCGACGTAGCGATGGGGTGGTGGTACTGGGTAGTCCTGGTCACTCATTTGCGATGGTGCTGGATTTTCCAGCTGAACTAGAGGTATGCAGGGACGGTGATCGCTGCCCGGGAGAGCAGACTAGAGCCCGGTCCTAGCCAGGAGAATTCGCAGGAGGACAGGGAGAGAAAAGGTCGAGGAAAGAAAAAGAACTACAGCATCGCAGGCGATCCACGGTTCCCGAGATGAGGGGAGGTGGGCCGAAACAAGAAGCTGAGGCGCAGTTGTGTCAGGTAAAATTAGGGACGAGACCGGCTTGAGAGAGTTTTCCCTGCGTGACAAAGAAGGAATGAGGTAGGATTCTTACTAAAAGGTACGGGTTCAGGGCCAGCCGTAGAATGGGCGGGAAGGTTTTAAGGCTGCGATCGTCTGTCAACACAAGCGTGGCCCGGACAACGGATGTCAGAGTTACTTTTCGATTTCTCGTACCGCCTTTATTTATTTTTTAAAGGCTGCTGAGTTTATTGCGTTGCTTTATTATCTGTATCATTCGGTCATTAATAAACTACCGAGTGAACAATATTCTGAACACCATTTTGGGGGAGCGAACATGATCGCTGAATGCAGGGCCCAAGGGTTCAGTGTGGAGAGGCTCCGAGACTGTGGGTCGCGTCTATTTTTGGCCGAATGCGACCCTTGGATCTTACTGTTCCCGAGTACAACTACAGGCGAGGAGAACACTATGTAGTTCACAATCATCACGTCGTTATTCATGACCCGTAAAACCATAAATAATATCGTAGACCCGTAAACCCCCCATCCCTGCGCCGTGCAAATCATTCCAGTCGCTCCCTTGTTTTTGGTGTTGATTCCACAGAGATCCCTTCAACGCTGACACATCAGAAAAGCACAGAGACGGAATCATACAGGGAATGACGGAAAATAAGAAAAAAAAAATAAGAAGTAGAAATAGAAATCGTGAACGTTAACCGTCCACTTCTTCCGCACTCCGCTGAGCAGCAGACGGAGCCCCCGACTCCAGACGTCGACTCCCGCGCTCCAGGAACCGCCGCTTCCCACGACGAGTGTCGAAATGGTCCGGAATCTCCGACGGCTCCTGGCCGGCAGCCAGCATGCTACTGCGCATTTTATTCCGGTAGGCATCCACTAAAGCCCCAGTTAGCTTATTCCAAACCTTCGACCTCGGATAGGTGAGACACGTCTCAGCCCTTCCCCGGCACGTGCGGGCCCACCCGCGAACAATCAAACAAGACATGACTGCCGAGAACGTACATCCAGGAACAGAAATGGAAGGTTGGACTTACACGACCGTTGCAAAAATAGGGTCCGTCCTGCAAATACCCGACTCTGGCTCCAGCTTAGGCGGTATCCCAGGTCGTTCATGAGGACTTCGTTGCGGTGGCGCCGGCGCGAGAGTTTGGGGACGTCGATGTCTCGCTCGCCGTCGAGAGAGGGTGTGGGGACGGTCGTGCGCCCGACGGTTGCATCGACCGGGTCGTCTGTTTGCTCGGTGTCGTCGCCGAAGAATCGCCGGCCGGTGAGAATGCGGCCTGGTGCGTCTTTCATCTGTACCGGAAAGTAGGTGCGCGGGTACACGGCGTTGGACTTGCGATACGAGTCGGGGATTTCTTCCATCTTGACTTTGTCTAGCATGACCTTGACGCGCACACGAGATCCGCGGTGCGGGTCTTCTACCAGGATAAAGGTGCGCTTTTTACCCTCTGGCAGTTGGCCGAAGAGGTCTTCGTTACTTGGGCTCTGCTCGTCGTCGACGACGAAGCCTGTTGTGTCCATCCGGCTGGATGTCGCGATCGTCGGGTGTCGACCTAGTGCGCTGAGTCCGCTGTCGCGCATCAGTGGTGGCATGGATGGCCCACTGGGTTCGGCGCGCGGTGGTACGGCGGTGTCATGGAAGACTTGTGCCTGATGAATGTCGGGGTGGATAGGGCCGGGTAAACGGCCTGTGTTTAGGGGACGCTGAATCCCAGGGTATTCGGAGCCTATAGAAGGAACACAGAGCAAAGAGAAAATTAGCCTACGCTGTACGTGCAAAAAGTGTCGGGAGAGGGCCCCAGAGTTCCCAATGAAGAAAGGCACGAACATGCGCGCGGCGGCATCAATGATAAAACAAAATTCGCACAGGGTATGAAATATCGACCAAAAAAAAAGACAAAAAAGAATAGAAAAAAGAAGAGAAAAAAGAAAAGCAGACTGAGCCTGGACCATAGAGGTACACCAGTGCATGCCTCAGCCTTCAACACATCAAGTAACTCCGACATGTATATATACACCTCCAAAGTAAGCATAACATATGAGACAATTTCCTGTCCATCAGACATAGACATTGACATCCGGGGTAAAATTGTACAGGAGCCACTGGGTCATTCCCACCGCGCATGTCGCAGAAAAGAAACATCGACGGAACGCATCATATGTGGTGATCAAACATACCGCTAACACCAACTTCCATCTTTGGACTGCCATCCGGCTGAGCATGATGATGATGCAGCTGAGGCGGCCCCATAGACAGGGGCCCGATATTGGGACGAGGAGTGGGGGCCGGCATCGCCGTGCTGGGCAGACAAGGACCAACAGGTGTGGCGGGCGCCATGTGAGGAGTAGAAGCAGGAACAGACTGGCGTCGACTCAATTTAGCCTGTCGACGAACCCTGCGGCTGCGGAGTCGAGGATCCTGGTTGCTGTTGCGCCAGCTATCGACGGCGCGCTGGATGAGACCTCTCTTTCCACGTAAAGCAGGGTTTAGTTCGGCTAGGGCCCAGCCAACGGCGTTGCATTCGGTCTCGTAGACTAGGCGGTTTCCGCGGTACTGGTCTTTGCTGCAGCAGGCGCGCGGGTATACGCAGTTCTCGGTTTTGAATTCCTGGCCGAGCGTGTCCACATTTACGGACTCGACGTCGCAACGGATCGTATATTCCATCTTGACTCGATCTCGCGAGTACTCGAAGGCGATCCATTGCACACCGTTGCCGTCTTGTCGTACGACGAGCGGGGTGGTGGCGGGAATAGGGCCTGGTGCTGCGCTGGAGCTTGCTCCCATAGGCGAGTTCTGGTGCATGCCGACAGCAGACATCCCGGTGTTGTTGGGACTTGGGAGCGGAGGGTTGAGCATCGGTCGTTGCGATGCTGTTTGAGGGTTCGGGTCCATTTTCATGGCGGGGCTGCTGGACAAAGCCGTGTTAGGGGTATGCGTGGGTTGATGTGGCGACATTTGCGCCGTTGTCGTCTGAGGAGGCATCATCATGGACTGCGAGGTGAGAGTATGCGACTGCGGTGAAGGGTGCCCATATGGAGGTTGAATGTGATTCATAGGCGAATATGGCGCGTAGCCGTACATCTGGGGCGGCATCTGTGGTGACTGCGTGTAGATGTTGCGAGCATGCTGATCATGAGGCTGCGAGGCTACGGATGCCGGAGAGTTGGATTGAGGAGTATGATAGATCGGGGGGTAAGGCCGCTGCATTTGGGCAGTGGCAGCCATGTGGTCTGGTGGTCCTGTCTCTTGTATCAGTGGTGTCCCGTAGAAACAGTCCATGCATTCACACCGGGTAACGTTGCAACCATGGTGTATGAAGTACGATGCACATATCACTATGGAAACAAAAAATTCAACTTACCGCTTGAGGGATAGTGCGCGGATGCAGATGCAGGGGTATATGAAGAAGGTTGGTTTGAATAGTAGGGCGGTTCTTGTGACGGTGGTCCGTAGGCGCTTTGAGAATGGAGTATATTATTTCCCGGCGGATATGTAGTAGAGCCGGAGGAAGATTGGATCGGCGAAGCGCGGCCTTGCTTCAGAGTTTGGCCTTGATGTGAATGGTGATATTGAGAAAGCTGAGGACTTGGTCGTCCTGATCTGCTGTGACGATGCTGTGATAGAGACACATATCAGTTTACCGAAGGGAAAGGTCAAGGCGGCAAAAGGTGTTCCAGCCCAGAGGGTGGTACAACAGCCTAAGAACGTGAGAGGGGAGGCAAATATGAAGGATCTTGAAAACACAGCCATATCTTCCAGTGACGCCATAAGGAGATTTGGATTCTCCAAAAGCCAGAGCGGCTCCTCATGGAGGGGATTGATTGTTGTCACGGACGCCTCGAACAGGGATGAGCTCAGATGCGTCACGAATGGGCCAGGGTATCAACCAGGATATGCCGTCTAGGGCCAAAGAAAACCACGGATCTGTGTAGCGCTGGGGCTGTCACAGCTTTGCGAGTGGTTCTTTTCTTCCGAAAGGACAAAGCACTCGTGTTTGCCCATTGCCCATTGCCCATCGAAGTCGCTACACGGACTCGGGCTCTCATTAGCCCTGGAGATTCGGTGCCATAATCTGAGGATCAGATGCTGCGTCCGAAGTGCAGATGTGGTCCAAATTTGGGGGTTATAGCTTTGCGCCAGGTGTGTTCCGGTATTGCGGTCACACCCAACGGTTCACGGCGATTTGGAGGGTCAATCCGGAATTGACGCTGGGCCTTTCTATGTCGAGATCGCATTCTCGGGACAAAGCGCAAAGATGAATGCGATTCCCAATGGTGACCGAGTGCTCCGTGGATCACAACGGGCCGTCCCCCACACGGTGGATATCCGCCCACAAGGAGCTTCGATATGGAGAAAAAAGAAATACAGAGGTCGGAATATGATATCGAGGAATGCAAACCAAACTGTAGAAGAAAAAGAATCGAGTACTCACGGAATCGTCAACGGGCTCTTCCTTGTATTTTGATACCGAAGGAGGACCGAAGTCAGTGTGAACCATGCCGGTGTTCTCACAGACTGGGATGGAATCTTTCCTGGAGACAGGGAAGAACTAGGATGTTTGGCGCGCTCAGCAAGAAGCGCGTGGAGTCAAGGGCGATCCCGTCGGCCTGAGGCTCCTGCGCGACACACGGCTAGACTGGGGTTCGAGGCACGATGAGAACGTGAGGTGGAGGGTCCAGGGTCGTTTATTTAGCTGCACCCGTGAGACCCATGGTGTCCGGGAGTCAGCGGTTCTAAATCGACGAGGTGGTAGAAAAATAAATGAGAAAAATAAGAAAAAAAAATGGATTTCAAATTAGAAGAAAAAAAAAAAAAGGGAAAAATCCAGATGGGGGATAGGCGACCATCACAGGGCACAAAGATTCGGGTTTTCCCAGCAGAGCGAGAGTATCAGGATGGGCTCACTAGCGGGAAAGTGGTGTAATAACGACCAGGATGGATGCAGGCAGGGGAGATTACTACACGACTCGAGGGAGCTTGGTAAACATCCGAGCCTCAGGTGGAGGTATTGAAATTAACGAGTGTCATCATCAGCACGGCCTAGCCGAGAGGCAGATCTAAACGCCTTAAGAGGGGGGAGGGGGGCGAGAGTGAATGATGTGCAGCATGCAGAGGAGCAGGTGCGTGGAAGAGAGAGAGAGCGAGAGACCACAGTTACTAAAGCACCGGTGAACTGCACAGCTCCGAGTGGAGACTCCGGGACGAAGAACGATACCTCGATCGCCTTTGTGTCTATGTAGCTGATCTATACTAGTTTGGTAGCTTCAACGGCCTGGGATGGCGGGTCTCCTTTCTCTCTTTTTATTTTTTATATTTCTGCCTTGGACTAAGAACGGTTCGGACTAGGTGGAGTGATCCTGATACGTCCATCGCGGGTGGGAAAACAAAGACGCAGCGGTGGCCTAACCGTGATTGGTGATTAGCATTACAACGCAGGCAAAGAGTGACCCGAGGGGCCCTCTCGAGATTCCAAGGTTTGGTCTTGAGTTTCTCGTGGACAGTCCATACTCCAAAGAGTCAAGCGCCGATAGCAAGAGAAAAAGAAAAAAAAAAAAAAAAAAAAAAAAACTTTACCTCGCAGGACACACACACACTCTGCACTTAAATTTGGCAATTGTTCTAGAGCAAACTTCCGTCAGCACTCGATATTTAAGGTAGCAATTGAGAGACCCAAACAAGAAGGTGATAAAATACGTATATGTCCCTGACGTTGGGCCCAAGATCGAGCACCAAACGTGAGACTATCCGCGGCATCCGGACTAGAAGGAGGGGGGAAGAGATAGTGGCAGATTAGAGCCCCCGGTGGACCTCGGACTACAGAACTAGAATGAGGACATCGGATCGTGCAGAGACCAGTTTCAGGTACGGAGTACGGGTTTGGCTGAGCGATTTCCAAGGAGTATATCGAAGGGGATCGGCGGGGGCAAGCAACAGGATGCTCGTGTGGACAAGGAGCACGCTGGTTACACGGATCTGACTGGGCAGATGTCAGCCTCGGTCCACGGCCCAACTTCCCCCATTCTCCACCGGCCCCAATGAGATCCAGATTCACGACTCCATCCCTCGGCGGCCCCATTGAAATAAACTCGAAACAGCCTAACGGCGCCCATCACACTCTCTCGCGAGACCAGTGTTCGTTAGTGGCAGGATGCAGCCGTGTAACCCTAGCCCAGCCTCAAAGGCGCTGATCCCCGGATGAACCAGTACAGTACCATCGTACGGTGCTGTTGCTTCCCGAACTCTGCATCGTCTGGCCATTCAACTTTCTGCGCTTTCCAGCCCGCAGCTCGCACGGCCAATGGAGAGATACAGTTCGCCCCATACTCTGCCCCCGATGCTGACCTCCACCCGGGTTCGCCCCTAGACCTGAACGGCTCTAGCCCTGCATCTCGGTCGGCCTTTGCACCTCTCGTCTAAAGGCCGTTCGACAAAGGCCGTTCGACAAAGGCCGCGCGCGAAATCTGTCGACACTTTCGAATCCTTCGGGTCCAGACTCACCTGGGCATGTGAGTTGGCCGGGACTTCTACAACAATAATAGCTCCGGGTGGAGCTGCTTCACAGCTACAGCTACCCAGGTATACAATGTACCCGGAACGTGCCCTCCCAGGTACTGGGGCACGTTGGGCATCCTCGATCGCCACCCCCGGTCCCCAACCCGTCATCACCGCCCCAGGAACGACCCATTCACTCTCTGAGGCTCAATCCAACCTTGGAAACCTGAGAAAAGGCAAAGAATCGCGATGATCGCGGCAAAGACAACAGGGCCACGGACCCGGCCACGTTCCCGTCAAGACGGAGGGACGCGCTTTACCTTGTTTCGAGAGCTTCCAGAATAAGGCTAGCTTCGGGCCATCGTAATCGCAGCCATTTACGGCCGAATGGGGGAGCCAGTAATGCCGCGCGGGGACTCGACGCTTGGTTCAGGAACTCAGCTGAAGGTTGGGGCTAAGTCCGTCGGAGCATGGCCAGCCCCATTTATTATTATTATTTTTCATTATTTTTTGTTTTGTGGCTTTCTCGGTGTGTGACTGCAGCTCGTGGGGGCCGGAACGAAAACGGTGTACCATTTCCCAACACGGAGTCCAATGGCACCTGTGATCGATGCAGGGTGCTAGCTAGTCCATCGCTTAAGCCGTACCCGTACCCGCCCCGGTTTTCTCCAACGTCTCTTGTTGCTTCTGATTGTCGCAAGCGGCCCCCCTTAGGACCCATTCTAGACTTCCACACCAAACTCTACAGTAGCTACTTGTATTCTTAGCGATCGTTTAGGCCGGAGGTACATTGTGATAGCGGGCACTCGAACCCACCGCACTTGATCTCCCACCCCCCCAAACTCCTCTAGCAGGAAAGTACCCGGGCCGCAGCGTTCGAACCAATCGTGTTCCGTGAATATTGCCACAAATAGGACCTCCATGCAAGGAAGCGATGTCCTTTGCCGCTGACAGCACATGTGCTGCGACAAGACGTCGTACCGTTCCAGAATGGTTTCACGGTTGCAATGTAAATCGTGGCTTAATACCGGACCGGGGTGAGAGAGAGCACCGACGAACCAAGGACGAAAGAAGGAGCAAGAAGTAATCTTCCCGCAATCTTAGGGGCACACCCCTGGGCGGATCAACCGCTCGAGATCAAGTCTTATGATTGCGCAGCCAAGTGCCACTACCGCCCCAGATCGACTAGGTCCAAGGCAGCACGCGAGAGTCCGGAGCTTGGCTTGCATTTGAGGTCTTAGGCGGAACGGACCCCACTCCCCACCCCCCTATCCATTTCAAAATAAAAGTAAAATCAAAAAAATAAAAAAGTAAATTTGAAACTCAGAACATATGTTCCAGACATGGACAAAAATGGCGGAAAATGACTCGTTGCTACTCACACTAGACTTAAAACCGCACTAGCCCCGTCTCGATCGACGGGATACGTCAAGCGCGAGAGTGTGGCCTGTGCGGCACCACCGTTGGCTAACGACCCTCTCGACCATGTCTCTCGAGCATGTCTCAATCGGTTTCTTCCACGGCTTACGGTGTCCGGAGTAGAGCTCCAGGAATGACGGTTCTAGTCCCGGAATCGGTGCTGACCTGCAGGACTCATCCACCTCAATCACCGTACGAGCACCCGAGATTCGATCTAAGAACGGACCGGCGACGCCACCAGTCGATGATCATCCAGATGGGGTTCCGTCGGAGAAAGTAAGCACCTCGCAGTCGATTACTGAGAGGAGCGGTGACTCCGTGTTTGATCTGTTGTTTTGGTTTATTATTTCGTCGTATTTTTCGTCGAATTTCTGCTTTCTGATTTCCGATGTCTTTTTCTTTGATCCACCAAATGCACGACCTGTTCCCGGTGCGGCAACACGGGCCACGTTGGAGCCGGGGGCCGCCCTTACTGCGTGCGGATCGCAAGAATCAGAGTCATCTTGACCTCACATGCGGCTCGGGGGACTTTTGAGTTCGTCCATTGATATTTTTATTTCCTATGGGTCTCAAGTAAATGCACCGCTTTTGTGACGCAGGACTAGCGGATCAAAAGGCTCGAGCCCGTCGGGAGATATAAGGGCCCGGTGGTCGGCAGTCGGCAAGGATTGTCGAGTTACTGCTCCTGCTCTGGCATCATGCAATGCTCGGCCCCGCCGATATGTCGACCTGCCATTGGGATCGTGCATCGCTTGACACGCCATATAGTTAGAGCCACGTCGTAAGCCTGCGGGTTGTGCGTCACGGGTATAGTATAGTGCTGGGTCTTAAAGTGAACGTGCGTGTTTACCTTTCCGGATATAATTCCTGTCTGCTAAGATGCCATCTACCGTAGGGGTGGGGAGAATGATTCCGGGGCCACCGGTTCCATGGGCGTAGCATCGCTGGGACGTGGCTTGGCTGATGTCTTTGTAACTCGGGGTCGCGTACCCGCATCGCTTGGCATACTCGGGGTTTCCTACAGCCCTGACATGCCCCCGAAATAAAGTTGTCGTACCCTGGCTGAAACGCACGGAATTATCGTCCATCCCGGAGGATCTGCTCCGGGGGGGGGGTGGAGGGGCAGGCGCCAACGGTCGTGAGATTTTTAAGTTTGTAGAAATGTCTTGAAGTGAAAGCATGGGCTAAGACTCCAGGTTCAGTGGGTGGTTGAGGAGGGGGCCGTGATCCCTGCAAAGTCAACAACCCCCCATCGGAGAAAACTGGCATGGCACTCTCCGCACTCCGGATCGTCCAGATACAGTGCTCCGGGAGTCCCCCCAAAGAGAGTTTCTCCGAGTATTGGTTGGCTTGATAACTGGACTCCTTCTGTATCGGTCGGATCTGCCCGTGGACACGTAATACAAGATTTGGCCCCCTCCACCAAGTTTTCAAGTCCAAGTACAAGTTTCATCAAGCTTGAAGACAGAAAATGAACCGAATCATATTCTGGTTCGGCCCCACCATCCGGCTGCGAGTCTGGTGCACGATGGAGTCCCGATTGCTTTTAGTGTAAGCGCCTGTTCCTAGACACGCGTCTATAGAGAAGTGCCGAAGACTATGGAAACTACTGACCGCACTGTCGTGAGTTGCACACCGATACTTGGTGCATGTACAGCATGGTCATCGTGGGAAATTGTGATCTATCGGAAAGCGTTAGACCTGCAGCACCGCAGTTGCGTGGCCGGGCCATGTTTCAGAATCTTGACCGCAGGACAGTTCAGCCTTAGCTGGGAATAGGAAACTCGGGGCTGATCGCTGCACGATGCCCATGGAGATTGGACCGCCCCGTCCTCGAACGTTCCCACCGAGGAAATCCGTTGGACTTGTTCTTACAGTATGTGCAAGCGCCCCTTTACACGTTGCAGTGTATTCGCAAAGGCGTTGGCACACACAGGGTATCAGTCCTTGGTGCTTGGTGGCTCAACGCCTGAAAGTCAAAATAGATTGCCCATCTTCCCTTCTCCGAACTACGATGATACACCAGGAGACGCTCAGATGTCAAAAAGGCGGACGCAGGGGGTGGCGAACCAAACCATGTGCTTGCGTCGATCATCGATAGATTGGGTCGGGCAAACAACCGGATTTGAGAAGCACAGGGCAGTCGCGGTTCCCGAGTTGCTATACAACCGCGAGTAAGGAATACCGTTCAGGCTCCAAGGCCGGAAGGGACCGTCGCGTGCTCCCGAACCAACTGGTGGATAAAACACCCAACAAATGAAGTATAGTTCGCAGATGCATCTCCAAATGAAAACAACACCGAATCCCCTCCGAGCTCAACATGATTTATGTAAAAGTAGAACATCCCCGATTCGCGTGGTTCCGTTCCCGCGCTCAGTGTTACGGGAACAAACCTCGGAGTTTAACGCCACACACCCAATGCACGCCTCTGTTTTCTTTCCCGTTCCCCGCTTAGCGGTTATCAAAATGAGGGTTGCACACAGTCAAGCGATGGAGGTGCGGGCCCTGCTATGTACAAGACGAGGCATTGCTCTCATCGACATGACTCGTAAAGCGTGAGTCGATCACCAATCACCACCTCCAGGCATACTCAACTTTACTAGAACATTTCGGATCTACTTACCCTCCAACCGCGAGGATTGACAAAATGCCGCAACGGACTCTCTACCAAACACGTCATAAGCAAACAATCTACAACGGGATACCTGATTCTGCCCTGTTTCGTCTTCCACCTCTTGAGATCAGCTCCCAGCACCTTCTTGAATGGAACAAGATCATCTATCCCGCATATTGAGCCTGTAGCCCTGCTCTACATTTAAACACGATATCACGGTCTACACATTTGGCGATCGGAAGGGACTGAACGCCAAGAAAACCGTTGACCCAATCGTCTCCCCATGCCCCGTATCTAGCTTTTAGACAACCCCATACGGAAACCCTATGTCACGGGTGTAATCCAGATAGCTCAGATCATCAGTGATGACCAGTCATCCTGTTAACCGAATCCGATGTATAAGGTAGTGTTGCATTCGGGATAGATTCCGGATCCACGTGTACCATCTATCACGTCTATGTCTATCAATCGAAATCGGATGGATAACAATGTAATGTAATTCTCCGGTCACACCGCCGCTCTCCACAAACCTTGAATCGAATCTGAATTGTGATCTTTAATCACCTATTGATCCCAACAATCTCGAGACTCGAAGGGGAGACGCCACCACCTCCCCGACTGAGACTCAGGCTCGAGGACGTTTGCTCAAAACGTCTGTGGCGCATCTAGATCCTGCGGCCTGATGTCTGATGCTCTTTACAGCCCCCAGTTTTGCTTTTTGCTTTTGTTGGACGTAGCATTTCCCCCTTTCTCGTGCATTGGGGGTTGGTTTTCGTTTCTCGCCTTGACCTGGCATCTACTGGGACGGGTGTCCGGGCGGGAGGGATAATCTCCGAGTCATGCATGTCATTTGCGATATTTTTGGTTTCCCGCGGGGGGCCTTGCAAAGTTGCAAGGCTCCAGTAGAGGAGGGAGTAGGAAGAGTCTGTTACGCTTACGACGGCTGAGTTTTGCTGACGGTTGTACGGGAGCTGAAGCTGACCGGGCTATGCACAGCACTTTTTATGTCGAAGTTCAAGTAAGGCTGTGAATGACGCTGCTTACATTATTAATGTTGATGCTGGTCACCGTACAGTAGTTTTCGAAATCAGTTATACCTCCACACCCTTGCGACTTCTTTCTAGGAAAATGATTTCTCTGAATCAGTTCTGATTGGATATTCCCAATATGACCCGCTTGTTGGACCGCCTTCTCAAAGCGTACTCGTCATTTACAATACGTCTTTAAGACCTTATGGGATGTATTTTACATGTAATCCCTATATGCCAACGGCCTCTCCAAGTCTTTAGCAGTAAGTTCTCTATACGAAGCCACTTTAGCAATTTTTAGCTCAATGAAAAGTACTTCTTAACACAAAAATCTAAAAACATAGCCTCAAGGCTCTTTGCTACGAAACTCTATCTTATCTGTGATACAATAGAGAACCAGTCCCTTACTGTATCTCGGATAGACGAGGAAGCTGAATACAGCTATACCCTCCAAATATAAATAGGCTGGAAACAAACAAAGTGACCGCTTATAATAGAAGCCCCTGTTCACCATCTCCCAGAACAGCCCGGGCTCTACATCGATCAGATAACTGTCTTCTTCTAGGACAAGTTCCAAAACATAGTCACAACGAGTCAATTGCACAGATATGTGCAGATGCGGGAGTGAAATTGGATTATTTGTCGTCCTTTTTCACCAATTAAAATCCAATTGAAGATCCCTGAGCTATGATGAAAGGGATGTTGATTAAGGCTGTAATGCCTTCCTTGAATGGTGTATCAACGTAGTCGGTGCAGAAGAGAGTGACAAAGGTCATTTTCGCCATGCAGGCTCGAAGATAGAGGTTTTGGACAGGTAAAGGCAGACACATTAACTATTTGAAGAAGTAAAGTGCGATATGAATCATACAACAAATATTTGCGCCACGTGAACTCAAGCAAGTGAAGACCAAAACAAATGGAAAACCCCTCATTATGTTACGATTCATATGTGGTATATAGGTGATAATCTTGCCTTTGCTGGCTAGCGTTTCCCGGGCGTGGTCCTGACACATTACCTTATAAGGAATTTTAATTTGCTGGAAGAACTTCTAAAGCATTATCAATAATGTTCATTCTAACCGAAGTTTGTCACATTGGTTCACCAAATCATTGAATAGTCCGTTTAATACGATCAAGTCTAACGGGTCCCTGTCATCCTTTCCATTCATAACATATATCTGAATCACCTGCCAATATGTTCCATTGCCTGGCATTGACACCACAGAGGTGTCCTTTGCCCGCAAGTATCATCTCAATTACTGGCGAGAACATAAGACCGCAACTATTACGCACAAGGCTCCTTGACATTATACTTTATGAGAAGCCAGTTCATCGGGGCTGCGGTCCAGTGGCCCAAGAACATGCCCACCTGAGACGAGGAATTAGTCTTCGCTCTCATAAGAAGTTCGAGATCTTACCTGCATCATCCACCAATAAACCACGTTGTTTGTTCGCAGGTCGAAATTCCAGATGGCTATCTGGTATATGGCCATCCATCCGTAGAGACCGACTTGAAAGGAGGTTAAAGACAAAAAGTCTGCTTTCAAAGCGCGCCAGACGGTTACGGGGCCGTATTGCCCAGACATCGGAGCTATTGAGAAGTACTGGAAGAAGATTCCAAACAAGAGCGCAAACCCATAATCTGTGTAAAATCTTTAGTGATGCACAGAAGAGCTTCAAAGAAATATAACATACCGACCAAATAGGACACCCATAGATGGTGCCCATTGATCTTTGCATCTGTCCCATACACGAGCCATTCCCCAACGATATCCCCGAGCAAACAGCCGGCGCCACAATGGCAGACGGCGACCGTTACTGTAGCAAACATGGGTCGCTGGGACATGTGTGCATGACAATGGCCCCCTCCGTTTTGTGATTCTTCAGTGCTGGGCTTAGAATTATCTTGACTCTCTCCGGAATGACCATTATTATTCCTGTGGCAATGCATCAGTACATTTGTGATCTGGGTTAGCATTGGATAGGGGATACAGACTGGCTGCTTGGTTCTGGATGCTTCGGCTCTGGTAATGGAGGCCGACCGTATTTGAAGTATGTCCACAGAGTGATGGGAGCTAGATACAGGGCATTTAGGACATAAACCGCAATCCTGGCATTCAATCACAAAAATCAGCTCCACTGCGCGACAAGTAAGGAGGTAAATCAAGCTTACATAATACCCATCATTGATCTCCAACCTCGTCGATATATGATATCAAAAAGAATCACTAGGGAGGTGATTAGCCCTAGCCCGATGAAGATCGTCCCTAAAATAACAAGAGACAGCGGCGGATGGTACGAGGCCATAGTGAGTCTATAGGGGTAGGTACGTCTGAAGAGTACCAAGGCACATTATCTCATGTATTTATCTGTGCTTTCATTATATAGAACCTCGACCGGCCCTGATGTCACTATAGGAAAATTGCCACCGAAACAAGACCTGGCTTCCGTTTTGGGGAAATGCAGGTAGCCCAAACTCTAAAACGCGCGAAAACCACGCAGGAGCAACAACCACCGGGAATAAAATTATATTATTGTGCCCGGCAGTGTTATTGACTAAATAAAGTAAGGTGTGCAGACCTGAATAATAGGCAACCGGTTTCTAAATGAAGACCATATTTATTGCGATTGTATGGCGAAGCAGAGCGGTGACTTCAAGCGGGTCTTCGGCCCGAAACCGGCGAGGCCAACTACCCGTAAACTGGGCCTTGAGTAGCTTGCCACCTCAACGCACAAGTCGCGCACTCATCATACGAGCTGGAGAGTTCGTACCTGAACAAAAAGCGCAGAAATAGTGATCCAAATCATCGGATATTTAAAGTAAAATCGTTACAATCATTCCTCAATGAGCTTTCCCTGCTCTCTTCTGCTGTCGTTTGGATTCGCGGACCAGGCGACAATCCGGAGGCCTTTGTTCACAATCCAACAAAAGTTGCGGGTTCCCGGTTATCCAAGACAAACATTATTTGTCGTTTATTGGTGGAGTTGACCCTAACAGGAAGGGCTCCGAGAGGGAGTCATCTGATTACGGTCGGTTCCGAGGAACCGTCGCCGGCGCCGAGGAGGGAGACACTGTCGATATTTTAGTGATTAACGACAGCCCCGTCAGTCAGGCTAATCATTGGCACAATAACGCAGCTTCATTGTATACATCAAACCGTGCACGTCTCATCGCCTCCAGGTATCTTGCAGAAGGGAACTCCGAGAATGGATAGAGTCCCCGGAGTGAGACGGGTAGAGATCATAATACGCTCTAGAGCGAGCTAGGAATCAATTTGTCTTATCCTCATCAGTTTGACCAGAGACCCATAGCACCGGGTGCGAGCTTCTTTTTCCACTTCTCTCCTCGCGATCAATTCGAGCCCAATTGATACCATTCACACTACCGCATGCCCTACGGCGATGGCGTTACCGGAACTTTTCATTTATCCATCAATATGCAAACCGAGCACGTTCTTTTCGGAGCCGAGCTTCAAGTCTTGAGGAGTATAAGCGGCATCTCCACGTTGAAAGATCTGCACCATCCATTACGGTCAATGATTGGTAGCATCAATTGTTGGATAGGGTCTTCGGCGAATTCGCAACAGCGTTACCCTATTTGTGTGGATAGTCTCTTGATAAACGGCAAAGCACGGATTGACAGCACGGTAGGATATATGCCGCATGTCTCAAGTCAGGAACGTGAACTGCCATCCTAAAACCCGTCCTTACAGGGCTGCACCCAAGCCAATGATGCTTCGGGCCGGAGTTGACACGAGTGATCTCCAAACTAAAACATGTTTCAACACTTCATTTGATCTGACCCATATTTACGGCAAATACTTCAGAAGGCTGGAGATCTAAGGTCCTCAGCATGGCGAACATGCTAACTATCATCGATAGGTACTTCCTGTTTCCATCGGGCAGCGAGGTTTGGCAGGCGGGAAGGGGAAAAGCAAGTCAGTGATCATGCCAGGGCGCCAGAAACTGGCAATGGATTCTATATAGATCCATTGGGCTGTTACGGTATTATAACACTGTCTCATCTGAGTGTGACAGTCATTACAGATAGCATTCTGCCAGAACTACAAAGCGGTAGCCTAAAGCAGATTAGCGCACATCGGAATAATTTCCCCGGAAGAAGTCGCAAGAGTGGAGGTATAAGTGTTTTCGAAAACTAGTGTAAGAAGTCTCATGGTTGTGAATGATAATGATAATGCATTGGCCGAGGATCCTTAACAGACACCCGGGAAGTATGTTGAACGCAATATCAAGGCTAAGCTGACTGCTGTATCATACAACGACCGCGTGTAAGCGTAAATTTAATAATGAGATGCAGGGTTAACGCCGGCGGTTTTAACCGCGCGGGATAGGCTTGGGACAGGTAAAGGTTTTCGGGCAACCCTTTGGAGTGTGATGCAGTTGGATTTTCGTTTCAATTCCACGCTCAGGTCCAATGCGAGTGAAGATGCGCGTTGAGATGCTACTACGGGTGGGCCGGCGCAGCCGTAGGTGTCATCTTTGGTCTCTCTTCTGGCGAGTTGGTCGACTCGCGAGGGCGGATGGGCAGACGTGATGACTCCGATTCGGCAACGGGTGGTGCTTCCAGTTTCAATTGCTCTTCACCTTCATCCTCATCATCGCTTGAAGACTCTGTGCCGCGGCGGCCATGGCGCTGGTTCTCCTCCATGTGCCGGCGCTTGTCGTCGGCGTACTCCTTGTGGCGAGCATCTGGGGTAATTGTAAGGGTCTGTGGTCTGGGGCATGCTCTTGGGTGTTGATGAAGCTTACCTCGAATCTCCTGCGTCTTCACAGCATATGCTTGAATCTCCTCTTTGGACAATACCCTTAGCACAATGACATATTCCGACCGTTCCTCGAACCGCTCGTTTCCTGCCTCCAATGCTTCTGGGTTGACAAGTCTGCGGTCAATCTTGGTCCACCGTGCTCCTGTTGGAATACCCTGCTTGTGCGCGTCCTTGAGCGGAGCCACTCCTTCCCGTACTGGGTTCGGCTCTTCGGGGAACTTCTGACGTGGAGGTTTGAGGATACTCTTTGGCGCGGGCTCGGGCTCTTTGGTGGCAGGCGGGTCAACCGTGATGGCCTTGCTATCAATGGGAGATTGACGCGACCCACTCGAGTGGCCGTTCTCTAGAGCCCGCTGCGAGCGTGACGACCGGTGATGCGAGCGGTCGCGATGACGCCTTACAGAGCGATCATCGGCGCTGCTGGTGTCTGTGCTGCTGTGCCTGCTGCGATGGGGCACCGCAGAAGGCTCACGCCGGTATTTGCGAAGATCCTCGTCATCAGAATAGGCATCCGAACCACTGTCTCGCCCTCGCGATCGTCTTCGTGACCGACGACGAGGATGATTGGTGCCCGGTTCTAGGTAAAGCTGCTTCTTCTCGGCACCAGGCGAAGTTTCATGGCGTTCTCGAGATGCAGGCTGCGCCGAATCGTAGTCTCGGTCAAGATCATGGTGACGTCCATGACGAGGTCTCGAAGTACGGTGATCATACTCTGACATGTCAGAGTAGCCAGCGCCCAAGGCTGCGGTTCCAAGCCCCGCTGCTAACATCTGCTCACCAGTGCCATTGTGCGGCCGTGGGGATCGATCGTCGCTTTGTCGATCACTCCCGTGATGATGTTTGCGGTGAGAACGCCGACGGCGACCGTCACTATATGAATCGTAGCCGTCGTCGGACTCGTGCGGCAGGGCAACCAAAGCACGGTCGTTACGTCTTGTTCTAGAGGTATCCCTCGTCCGGGACGTATCTCGATGACCGTCGGTGGTTCGGGATGAGCGCCGACCCTCACGGTCAATCTTGTCAAACCCCCAAGATGTTGGCGGAGGCCCATGAGGCCGTTCAGCTCGTTCTTTGCGCAAAAATTGGGGATGTTCATCCATCACATTCATGCTGACAGGCCGATCACCCGAGGATCTTGCTGTAGGGTGGCGCGGCTTGACAGGGTAATCTCTGTCAAACTGCTCGCGTGGTGTGGTGTAGGAATAGGCATCGTCAGAATCGATATCATCACCCTTCTTCCATCCATCATAGGCCGGGTGTCGACGACGCCCGCTCGAGGCATGGCCGCGATGTGCGTGCTGGGGAGACCAATGCTTGATGCTATCACGCGGGTCCAGACGACCAGTATCGCTTGCATAGTCCGTGCTATATACTCGCCGGTGGCCGTGATGTGAATGTGAAGAGTGGGGGGCCAGATACTGATTGGAACTGGAAGGAAGAGGACTCGGGGAGCGAGCGCGACCGGAGCTGACCACCGGACGAAGATGGCCTGATGATGAAGAAGGCACAGAGAGTCGCGTGGGGGGATCATACAGATCGCTCGCAGACGCCGTGTGGCTCCTGTGTCTTGACTGGGGCTGAGGCTGGAGTGTATACTCCGTCCGCTTCTTGGTCGGCTGGCCGGGATCACGGAACTTTTGGTAGGATACCGGCTGGGCTTCAATCCGTGATGTTCGATGAGGTTGGTGTCTATGAGTGGTCGAGTATCCGACATCGGATGGGTAGTAATAGTCGTCATAGTCATGGCGACCTCTTGGTGCGTCATAAGGGTCGTAGGAGGAGCCGAGCTGCACCATGCCGGTTGACGCACGCGGTCCAGCCACCTGATGACGTCCCCCGGTTGGCGACATGTTGCGATGGTATGTTGAGGAGCCCATCTTGGTCGGAGGATATGGAAGGTACCAACGAAACCCGTTGCTTCGCAGGACCGCCGCGTGGTTGAGCGGGGTGGGCGGGTGAACTGCTCGATCAACGTTAGACGGGTGCATCCTGACTATTTGGGCTTGTGATCATCTACCTAGTGCGATAGCGGTCCAGTTTAAGTACAACAGCTCCGCGTGCTTCGAAAACCGCAGGTGGGATTCGACGGGGCCGAGGAGGAGAGGGTCGCGGATGGCTGGAGGGTCGGCAACGAGTAAATTCAAGGGGCGTGGTCTTGATCAATTCGATACCGGGATTTCTCAACGGTGGGGGTCCCCCAACAATGAATGAAGCCGAAGAGATGAAACAGAAAAGGGGAGAGAAAAGTCCTGGCACGGTAAGATGGAATGACGCAAAAAAGTGGGCGGGCACAGATGACAAAGACCCCACTTGGGCCGCTGCAAGGTCTTTTTTCGCCGGGATGATTTGTGCAGTAGGCACTAGTCACTGTTCGTGACGGCATGTAGAAAGTATGGAAAGTGTCGAACGTGTTTGGAATCTTCTGTGGGGTAAAGAAATGTTTGGATCGGACGGGCATCAAACCATGGATCTCGCTCACTTTCCCCGTACTTTCCTCCGGCTGTTGTCGCTGTCGCTGCCTTGATGCCTTCAACCTGAGGCTCCGGGGACTCCACTGCCGATTCGCCCGGGTCTCGGGCAAAGTCACCTGGGCGCGGGCGCGGGCGCGGGCTCAGCGGCGTTGGCATTCCGTGCTGAGCCAAAGGCGGACCGCTGAGGTCCGGATCGGTGATATCATTCTACGTCGGAACGAAATCCAAGGGCAATCGGGAATCGTATGATGTAAAGGATTTGGATTCGGTGACAGCACTGTAAAACACTACAAGCAAAATGATTGGAGCAACCGAAGTATATTTCGGAATGCTCCGTTTCAGCATCAACAAGACTACAATAATCTCCGGGCACTATTCCACTATTCCACTATCTCATTTCCTCAAATCCAGGTAAGGAAGAAATCCCAAATTCCCGAACAACCACCATTGGCCGCCGTCCATTCTATTCCTGAAACACAAACGAACGTTCCGAGATTATTCCATCCATGACCATCTCCACCTTCGCCATTTACCATTCACGCAACGCCCGTCCCACCAATACACCCCACCCGCTCCAATGCTACATACATACAGTACATTTCCGCGGCCACTCCTTTGAATCCACCAGGGCACCCGGGATGCCATCCGTAAGGCGACTCCAACTCCATCCCCTTATCGCACGGGAGGCTTGGCCCACTTCCCGGGCCACAACCGCCCCCAACCAGATAAGGCGAGCCACTAAGAAGCCTCGACAAGGCGCATCGCGCACCGCCAATCCAAACATTCCAAACGGCATCGAAACCAAGTCCCGCCCTGCCTGAGGACCTCCCCTTGACCCAGGCCACGGAGGGCCTGATGCAATGCAAGCAAGGTGCCCTAGCTCGTCCCGACATTCTGAAAATTGGGACGGATCGCCCGTGCATCTCCCGATCTGCAGGGCTCGGCTGCATTTCGTGCCCGGGTTCCGGTTGTCTGTTGTCGCGGGCCTGGGTGCGGGCGCCGGTCCGACCGTCTTGAATAATGGCTCATCCGATCCCCTGGATAGTCCGTTTCTTGGGTGCGGTCCCCGCTTCACTGATGTTTTAAGGGTGATCGCCTTTCGTGACGCCTGCGCCCTGATGGAGCCGGGGTTGTTTTTGTCCTGCCTCGATGCCTTTTTGGCTGAGGCAGGTATGGCACGTGGATATTGGTTAATTGAACGAGCGCCCAGAGGGCGAGGGTGCGGGCGTGTTCTCTTCTATTTCTGCTGGAGAATATAAAACACCATTGTGATGGTGTGAGATTGTTCAGTATCGTGAACTAAATTCAAGCTCAGATTGAGTTCAGTGAACGGCAAGTATCACCGATAATCGACTCGTGGAGTGTTTCGTATCATCGCAACCCTACACCGTATCCACAACGTATAATGCCTTCTCATAAAATGCCTCTCGCACACGGATCCCCGGCTGCCACTTCCTCCTCGGCTGGCTGTGTTTCATCTCAGAGTCTCGGCAACTTCTATCACCTTGACCTCGCCGATGTCGGGAATAGTTCTCCTGTGCACCGATTGCGCTCTTCAAACACGGACTTTGCTGCATTCGGTGCCCCGACCCGGCGTGCGGCGTGGTGGGTGTGCTGCCACTGCGATAATATGTGCAATCCTGCACTAGCACCGGATAGGTGCTCGGTCTGCGAGCACTACAAGTGCGCTTGTTGTAGCGCAGTCAATGTTTGAACCACGGTTCTCGACTGTATTGGGAAAGACCTGGGAGATGATTTACGACTACAGCTCGGATTGATTTTTATGACTCGTGTCACGGCTTTCCTATGATGGCATGGTGTTTGGGACATTGGTATACACGGGTGAATGGGCTATAGATGGATGCGTAGGCTACTGGTTTCATACGTCATCTCATCTTTCTATCTTTTCTTTCTCTCTGCTCCCAATTGTTATGTTTCTTTGGTTGGTTCTGGAGCTCGGCGTTGATCTTTCTCATTTCATGTTCAGCTATTCTAGATCTTCTTTCTACTGACTAGTCAGCTTGACCGATCACCAATAAACGCAATTCTAGACTTTCGAGAACTTTGTCACACGTTATAATCTTGATTTTCCTGTTGGAGAGAAACTCGTCATTGGCGTGAGCCATAATTCATTTAACTTATAACGTAATTTCCCAGCCCATGATTAGGTTAGATTTATGTCCAAATTATATAGTACGTGATATTCGTGACAGCTATACACTCGTCATACACTACGGTGTGTTCCTCAGGGAAGAATCAATGTAAGTACTCCATACTGCTTTACAATTAGGTATATGACAAGTCCCTGACCTGATTTCGTCACCCCATTCAGATTTATCAAATCCTCTTACCGATATCAGCATGCCTCTCCCTCTTGGCGTCTACCGTGCGGACCACGTCAGTTGAATATTGCGTCCTATCCTGCTCAAGGAATCGCGGACGCAGCTGGAGAACGGGGAGATCTGTGCCAGCGAGCTGCGATCCCGAGAGGACGAATGTATCCGGGACGTAGTGGTTAAACAGCTCGCAAAGGGCATCCGCGCCATCACTGATGGAGAGTTTCGCCGCCGGTCGTTTCATATCGACTTTCTCACACAAATTGGAGGTGTCGAGTACCGCGAAGACTTGGCAACTATCAAGCCAACGCACGACTCTCCACCAAGGCTGTTCGTGACCGAGTAGCTGCACCATCCAAATGCCATCCAAGTGGATGACTTCAAATTCCTGCAACGCGGCTATTTCGCAGCGACCGGCCGACATGAAAATCGGCATGCATCTATATCGCGGGAACTATCGAAGACAGTGGTTCGCGTCCGGCGGGTATGAGCAGATCGCCGAGGTGCTCTTCCAGCAGATCGACGTCGATGTCTACTTCTTGGAATTTGATGACGAGCGCTCTGGTGACTTCAAGGGTATTTGAAATCTCGCTTGACAGCCTGGTCCCTGAACTAAGCTTTCGCTCTAGCTCAAAGTGCAAGCAAAGCCGACGCTACGATAAAGCTAACTAAATAGCGATCTTGGCAGACAGCCGGGATTGGGTTATCTTTCTAGGGTCCCGGTCCGGTAAATAGGTCCGAAACTCTACAAGCGAGATCGCTACAGCCGACCGAACCGTGTAAAAATACTTTGACCACTAGGCCGATCCTATGTTTATCTCAGCATTAGCTTGCAATCCCATGGACATTCAGGGAGCTGCGGGAAGTCAGTGTGGTGTTGCCGTAAAGGGTCATTCGGAATTACATGAAAGAATCAACTTGCAGTGCTAAAATATTTCAAAGTCATGATAACCAATCCTTGCAGTTTGGGCTATCATGGCATTATCACGCTCTTCTTTGTCCTCCTTTTTGTACCTTGCCGCTTCAGTTGATCCCATTGGCCAATCGTCAGTTTTGCTCATGATGAGATTAACCAGTTCTCCTGGCAGCTTTGCTGGAAGTGCTCCTTCAGTGGCAAGAACAGCATCGCGCCACCAGTCATGTCGTTGCGGGGGCACGTTCCGTGTAGAGCAGATGCGGTAGTGAGGATCAACCAAATATACGATAACACACCGTTGGTGACCCGGGCGCGATTGATCTTTCAACGAAACAGGCTCGGTTTTATATCGCAGAGTATTGGGCCAGGCCATGAAGCGACCTTCCTTTGCCACCAAAGACCCCAGAGCTTGAAGCTTCTTGGGGAAACCCAAGCGATGGAATTCCGAGTAGTCTATAGAGTAGGGAATGCCGAAGATCTTGTGGAAGGCATCGGGCTCCTCTGGGTAGTCCGATATATTCAAATCGTCTTCCTGCTGGAATGAGATGCGCGAGTTCACATTCTCAACATCGTAGTAGTATCGCGAGGTCGCCACAATATGCTCATTGAGGAAACCATCAACGTGGAAGTCGCTGTCACTGGTGTAGACCGGGGTTTCGGGTGTAAGTTCAATGCTAGATACGCGGACGACTACTTGCAAGCCCTTCTCTCGGAACTCATCTTGCAGGCAAATGGTCTGGTACATGTGATCACCCAACAAACCATTAGGTGCGGAGGCAGCACTACGGCCCTTGCTCTTTTCAATGATGGGGTTGGCCGTTTTGCCCTTCTTCCAATCCTCGTATGAGTAAGAGATGCCAGCCTGTGGATAAATGAAGGTATGCAATCTTCCCCATTTGAAATCCAACAATTCTCTGAGTGCCTCTGCCGATGGCCATGACAACTTCTCCAGTTTCATCGCACCGAGTAGATCCTCGGGTTCTTTGGGCAGTGACGGATCATGATCAACTATTTCAAATTTCGAGCCAGGCTCGGGTAATGCAAGGTACTCCTGCACTTGGACAATGTAACGGTCCCATGTCTCGTTGGTCCAGTGCCCATCTGGTAGAGTATATTCGTAATGATTTGGGTTTTTAGGCTCATATCGATCATTCATATCACTCTGTTCAAAGCCGTATGTCTTGATTCGCAACGGATAGCGACTGGTTGTGTCCTTAATCAAAACGCTGTTCCAAGGCTCCACGCTAAGCGAAATCAACTTTTCAATAGCTGCATATGCCTGTCGATTCTTGGGGTGAAGATTGTTGATGTACGAAGTAATGCGTACTTCTGTACTGGAGGATTCCTGTCTAGTGAATTCTACCTCACATGGCAACCATTGGAACCGGTTTGACCAGCGGAAGAATGGCTGCAACGTTGAATCTTTCAGTTGAGCCTCAAGTGAGAGCCGCCCACTATATGCCGGCGTACTCTCCTGGAACACGTCCATTGGATGCTGAGAAATCGGCATGATAACGGTGTCTGACGTTTTGGTTGGATATGTTAAACATCCATCTGGCATGGAAGTATGACCCCTTTCACTGAGCACGGGAGTTCGGCCATGAACCAGCATAAATAATGACGGATCAACTAGTTGATACATCGGGCTCATATCTTTTTGCTTGGTTGATGCCATCTGGACGTTCTCATGGAGAAGCTGTTGAAATGCTTACAGGAATTCATGATGCAGCGACTTCCCAACAAACACATCCGATTTGCAGACTCCGGAATCGGAATTGAGAGTAAGGATATAGCGGCGTACTACAAAATCCATCGCCTTGTCTCGCAACTCCGCAACACACCAGTTCCATGTTGTCAGAGAGACTAGATCCATGTCCACACCTTCATCACAGTATGCCGGGTCCCACTGTCCGCTGAACTTGGAATCGGACAAGAGATCTGCATGCCACTGGGCAACGACATCGTTGTCGAAGATGTCCTCTTCCCAATTTGGTATTTCCGTCACTCGTTCCATCAAACGAAGCATAAAGACTTCGGGTAAAGTCAAACGAGTGGCTCGACCCTCTAAGTACGGGAAATTTGGAAGAGCTCCATGTGCAAAGCTCTGTCCAATTTTCAACTCATAATCAAGAGGTACATCCCCAAATCCGGGGACCTGTAGCGGGCCAGCCCCAGAGTTGTCAAGATGAATGTCACTCATTGAATTGTTCGAAGGCTTGACAACTTAGAGCTTGGAGGATGAAAAATTCTTGCTGAAGAGTGAATTAATGTAACAGTTACGGTATCATGGGATTTTTCGCTATGAGCTCCACACGGAAATGGCCGATGCGCGCTAGCGCGATGGGTGTAATTTATCTGTACTGTGGTATTACCGTATCACCACTGTACAGAACTAAGTGGGCGTTGAGGAGAAACAACCCTTACTAGCAGTGGGAAAAATCAATCCACGTAGCGTAGTAATAATAATCTCGTAAGGAGTATCGGTCGAAAACTTTATATTTGCGTTCGCACTGCGAAGGTGAAAATTTCGATATAGATTCCTTCAGGTCTCAAGTTTCATGGGCGTTCTCTATGCCAGATGTGCATGATTCATTCTTTCAATCAGTTTCACTCTCGATCTCTTATCTTATTACGTCTCTCATAGAGGGTGGCAATCATGAGATTGTTATCCCATCTCATTCCTTTAATATGCTTGTTGACTTTTGAAGTCCAGGCTCGGGCAGTCTTCGCCCACTTCATGGTATGTGGATATTTAAATAAGATATACAAGTATTCGCGGACACCAGCTGCTGGCTTCTGCAGCTATAGCTGCAACTTTGGATTTTGTCCGATTCACAATTGCACTTGTACCTCGACCGGACCTTTGCATGTACCCCCTGCCGCCAACTCCACCCCTTACGGATTTTATAATGGAGGTGAATCAGACAGTGGCCTTTGCAAATTTGCTTGTCAGAGGGGATACTGTCCCTCGCCCACCTGCGTGCAAACAGAAGGTGATAAGAACACTGAATATTACGGTGATGCCGCCCTTGTCTGCGCGGATGATGATACTCGTACATATTGCGATGTCGACTACCCCACATGTGACTACAGCCTCTCATTCTCCAAATTCAGTGATTGAGCGCTGTTTCGGATAGCTATAGTGCTGATTGCATCAACTTCTACACTCTCGGTGTCTTGTCCAACATGTTGGATGTGGCCTTGGTCAACTACACAAGCATGCACGGCAGCTATCACGGCTACTTCGAGGATTATGTCGAATACGTGAAAAAGGAGGTGCCTACCACATTAGACAATCTTATGCAGCCCAGCGGGATTGGAAATGGCTACTTCGAATGCACCGTCAGCGCAGGTGGGACGAACATCTCGACAACAACCTGTCCATACAAGCTCCCTGCGTCAGACAACGTAAATGTCAACCTCGTGATCTACTACACGCCCCTCAATGCTACGGCGTTCTGGGATTGGTTGCTCTCGGGTTACGGCTTACAGAGGACCTGGGTCCAATTGACTGATCATGTCATCGAAAATCATTGCTCAACTCACATTCGTCCCAACCAGCCTGTGTGCCATGAGCAGGTCTACACCTGGAAAGGCTATCCCATGGCCGCGGACAATATCGTGGTTTCCGACCCTGCAACGATCATAGAGTCCACGTATCCTAAGATTGCGAATCTGAAAGACACCATCGCACTCACACGAATTCTGATTAGCACTGGTTCATGGGGTGGCTCCACTGACGATGCGGTGCTTGGTATCTCCACAGCCGTCTTCACAATGGTGCAGGTAGTGGCAAACATGGCGCAGATTGAGGTGATCGCTTAAAAATACGATTCAACGAAGAAAAAAGAACTCGACGAGGAGATCATTATGGCGTTGTTGCTCGTCGTGCCTTTTCTAGGAGAGATCGACGCCATTTCCGAGAGCTTAGCGGGCCTGGCGGACATCATCAAGATGTTCAGTGATGTGAGTTTGCTGGCTGATAGCATCTACGAGGTCGCGACCGCCTCAGATACAAAAAAGGCTATTATGGGTATCTTCGGTGTGTTGCTCCTTGGGGGAGTGCGTACTGTTGAGGAGTTCCAAACAATGGGTAGACTATGACGTGAACTCACCACTGGGGATATAGCGAAGATAGGATCAGAGTGGGAGGATGCCGACATAAATATGAAGAAGTTGGTTGATTCTTGCTTCTAGTAAGAATGGAGTTGGATGTCTGACATGTAAAATTTGTTTGACCAACCATTTGCTCAGTGTATAGATATCAAATGCTTATCCGTATACTACCTACTCTATATGTACCTTTTGGAAAAATCTGTTCGTGATGACAGAAGCTGGTGTTGAAAGAATCATCCTCTTCCCTAAAGAGGTCTGAGCATCCTACCACGATACCCACGCTAGGGTTTTGTTAACTATAGAAAATAAAGATGGGTCAGGGGTAAGATGCCCGCGTATGCATTTACCGGATAGTGTCTGGCAACGCTTGGCGGTCCCTTTCCGTTCTAGCGCTTAGCTCCGAGGCTTACTGCACACTGTGCTAGGTCCCGTGCAACTCCTAATATTCCAGCACGTCCCAGGCCTACCGCTTACACCACTTGCGAACTATTGCAGAGTGAGCCTTCCAGAGGGAACAAAGTCGTCAAATAGCCAAACCAACTAAAGGGCCAAAAAGTTAAACCTTCACCATGACACATCATGATACAACAACCACGACAGACTCGACTATTGGAGTATGTCTATATCTTCCTATCTCTCCCACTCCTAGGAATACTAATAAAGATCACTTGCAAGCATCATGATCCTGGTCATCATCATCATCACAATCATACCCATCACCATCATCATCATGAAACGGACGGCCTGGGCAGCAGCCATATCGGGATGTACGGCTCCACTGCCAACAACAACATCTATCACATGTCAGGCTCGGAAGAACATGACGGTGGCACTTCATCGGAGTGTAGCCCAATAGTTGCTGCTATTCGCTCCTTGGTTATGTTGACTGTCTTTGTAATTTTGGCTTTTGTTACGATCAATGCGTTAAAACCCGGGTCTAGCTTCCCCCATTGGGGATAGAGTAATGTTGCATGAACATTGATTTATCCATATAATTTAGAAACTACGAATGATGGTTACGTAAATGAACGCTTTTTCCTGGGCAGATCTCAACACTTGAATATCATGAGTCGATTTTCACCTAACTGCGGTGCCCGATACCCCTCTGGTTAATCACGACAAATCCCTTCTTCGGGTCGTCACCGCAGACCCGCTTCTTCAGTTCCACGATTTTTTGCAACTTAACATGAACGAGCTTGGGCTCACTCTCCACCAGCTTGTCTCTCTGCTCTGTGCTGGAATAGTAGAAGCCAGAGTTGTTCCCGGGCTTCTCATACTCCAAACTGACGTTCAGTGTCAAAATAAACGCAATCTCCACACGGCATACTTCTGAGTTCTTGATACCAATATTGAGGGATTAACTTGTCGCGACACGCACTAGCTCCAGTGACGTGGCAGTAAGCTAGCTAAATGTAAACCAACCTACCCGTACGGGACTAGCCTGGGCGCTGCCACAACTCCCCATCAATCTCCAGGTTCCCCTTTTTCCCCAGCTCACGTCTTCAACCACCATGAACGCACCAGAACACGATACTGACGGCCCTCCACCATATTCAGCCCGGGACCCTTACCTCACGGCTGTCTCATCTACCATCACTAACGCGAACGGCGCCAGGCTAACCGCCATCCCGACCAGCTACCACATCCACCGCGGTTTATTCGGCGGCTACAAGATCCTCAAAGATGACAGTGCACAGGAATTCCGCGTCAAGGTGCACAAAGTCCGGCTGCCGGACATGGTCGTCCTCCGCGAAACGTCGCTGTTGACGGGCGCCGAGGTCGCACATGTAAAGTTCCTGGAACAGAGCAACGGCTGCGATATCGGCATATTCCGCCAGCCCGGCGTCAAGGGTTCTATCGACTGGACGCGCATAGCCGGCGACCGGCGCATGTCGGCTGTGGTACCGCGCCTGGACGCCAACGGCGCGGTAATCGCCAACACCAGCGTCCGTAGGACGTTCATCTGGAAGGGCATTTCTACAATGACGCTAGAAGACGAGAAGAGTGGCATGCTCGCCGCTACTGTCCAGGAGGTGGCCAATCTCCAGTCGCTAATTGCGGTTGTCGAGATCGGTGTCCCCTTCGGCGAGCCGTTCCTTATCTTGGTGCTGACGGCCTATCTCGCTCTGTACGAGAAATTGCGGATGATTGACAAAGTACCTGTTGGATACGATGTCGGGCGCCATGTTATCGGGGGCCATGTTATCGGGGGCCATGCTACCGGGGGCCATGCTACCGGGGCGCATGCATTCCAGGCGAACTTTGCTGGGGCGGTAGGGTTTGCTGGGACGGGAGGGTTTGCTGGAGGAAGCTTTGGCGGCGGGGGTGCTTGATCATGTAGATACCCTGGATTTCTGTGGATAGTTTTGTTCATAAGGAGTGCAATTGAAGGACTTATTGTACAACTGACTATCGTCTTTCCTGGGGATGGCTGTGTATTGACGCTCAAGTTAATATCTTCTCTATTATTGTCTTGATCTCTGACTGCATACGTGAATTATATGCCCTCCGATGGACAGGACGTGTCTTCGGCGCTGATGGGCCATGATTCTGCTTGGGATGCTGCACAGAGAATTTACAGCGCTGGAGTGTGGATCTCCACCGTATGACAGCTTTGAACGGGCACCTAATTCGGACGACAGGGTAGTACTCCGTGATTGGCCGGAGCGATCACAACGTAGGTAAGGGTATTCATCGTTGGACATGTGGGTAACAGTTGCATAGCCATGCTGACTAGCGAATTTGTCGACTTCATTGATACCGGCCTCCCGAATGGCATATAATTGGAAAGGGGGAAGGCGCCAAACACCCATCTACAGGCTGGGCAGTGGGATCACTTGGAGAGGGCCAAATAGAAGAAGGGAACTTAGTATATTATATGACAGGTCGAGACGACCCTGAGATACACAAGGCAAAGTCTTATAGCATATGTAGAATAGGTGGTTGGTTGGTTGGTTGATGTCATTGATCACGACCCCTTGCAAGAAAGCGATGTGCAGGCTACCACCTAAACATAGCCATGTATGTATATGTAGGGTGTACCGCTTCTTAGCCGAACTGAGAGCCCCGCCGAGGTCAGTCGCGGCCTAGTTGCCGTCTATGTTCGCTGCCCTTATGGTTCGCGACTTCAAAACCATTGGGACACCTCCGCGAAATCTAATACGACGTCCACCGCCTTAACTTGAAAATCATTTACCCCACCCGCGGCTGAGGGACAGGTAGGCTATCTAGGTACCTCAGCCATACATCCTAAATGTACATGTAGGGCGTACCTTTGCCCGAAACGGAACTGAAAAATCATCCAAGGGTCAGAGTACACACTAGAGCCAGGAACAGGCAGACTCGGTTCAAAAGAGGAAAACGGTAAGTCTGGGTGGATCAGCACAAGCCTGGGGCGGCCCGCGGCAGAAAAATGTTACTTGGTTATGGTGGGGCGGCTAAGTTATCCGCCAACCAACGAACGCCGTTGAGCACTTGACAGGCACGGTCGCATCGTCTGCGTAGTATTTACTTGGACTTTTCGCGAGGAGAACCAAGATCTATCGGTACTCAGCGTGTATATCCCTCAACTGTAGAATTCTAATTTTTGGGCCTATGGAGCGTGACGGCTGCGTAGCTTGCGGTACCGTATCAGTCGAAGTTCTTCGGGTTGTCATATACTCGGTACCTTCATCGATCTCATATTCATACATACTCTTCACGTGGGCATTCAACCAAACTCGTGGACTGAGAACCTGTAGGCCGATAGCCCAATCAAACGCTAAGCGCTGGCCACGATCCACGTATAGGGGTCCCTATGTAGTATTGCCGTTGTTACAACCCAGAATAAGTAGATTCATGTAGCATTAACGAAAAAACAATATTGGAGAATGCGATTCGGATGAATCAACGTAGTGAGTCCCCTAGTCTCCGTGCGCCACAGCCGTTATTATGGCAATTACCGCCAATCAAAGAAACCTTTCCCCTGCGCCAATCTAACTTATCGTGCAGGGAAGGCGACTTGTTTGGGTCCTTGCCACATGGAAAGATATGAGGCTGTATTTCCGTACTATTCGGTAAGTCAAGGCCGCATTTGGGATGTCAAGTTGTGCTCCAGGGTGTCATTGCCCTGAGAATATGGTATGTGTATGTCATAGACTCTCCAATACTATAGCAATCAGCGCTAGATTTTCACCATAGACCCTTGTATCATGAATTTGGTTCAGTGTTCTGTATGAAGCGAAACTTTAATCTAGACCGTTATGGATTTCTGGGAACTGCTACACGGGCTTTTCTGGGTCAGCGGCCCAGGGTTGCTGGCGATATTATTTAAGGGTCAGAGCTTGCCGCCAAAGAAAAGCTCTCGGAAACTATCTCCTCCCTCTTTGAAAACAAAACCGTTCAAACCAAAAACACTCCTCAGTGTGCTTTTCAAGATGAGGTATACCGGCCTTTTGTCTTTTGCCTTGCTCCCACTTGTGCCCGCCGTCGCCGGCTTTGACCAGAACGGCCGCACTGTGACCATTCAGCTCGCCAATGATCATTCCGGAGTCAATGCCGACAGATGCGTCCCCGCCGATGGCAAGAAATACCCCGTCAGCGCTTTCTGGAGCAACAGCGCGCTCTCGCAAAACGGTGGAATCTTTGCCACAAATGGGCAACTTATTGCCTATCCGCAGAATGCGGCTTGCAACATTGAATGCCCCCACGGCACTTTGGGCTTCAATTCCAGAACCACTTGGCTCTCCTTGGCAAACGGACAACAGGTGGATATGCGAGACGCTTTTGTCACGTGTCACGAAAACTGGTGGTAAAAGAGGTCACCTTCTGCCAATTGGTCAACTTCGACAGAGTCTCCTGTCAATTAATGTTTCCTGTGCTTTCGGTCTGAGCTTGTCTGTTTTGGGGCAATGGATTCTATATTCCGGGTGTCCTGGCGATGAGTCTGGCCATGTTGTGCAGACGATATCTACAAGTATAATTGGACACAAGTGGCGTACTGTGAAGGTTCATGTTCTAAATAGGAATTAATATTACCCTTAGTTGGGTAGCTACGTTGAACAGTTCATAAATCCAGGAAAGCTTACGACAACGGCGACAATAACGATGAAGACCGGCAGATCGACCAGCTTCTCGGACAAGCAAAAGGAAACCGTAGACGAAGTTTGTGTAGACCAGACAGAGGCCATTGCAGAACTAGGAAGCTGACAGATGTCGGGTCAAAGGTCTTAGATTTCTAATAATACCTAGATGGACCTTAACAATACTGGCGGTTCATCCTCCTCTCGCGCCAGATCACCCTTGTACGGTAGGATACGGACAAGAATCATAGGGATTATCTCCGGCACGAGAAGGATAGGATCGCTTCCGAGGCGGCAGTGCTACCGTCACATAGACTACATTTCAATTTCCAAAAACGTGATGTTGCAAGTGGTGCGTGGATCCAAGACAACCTTGGAATCTTGCATAGTTTCCGGCCATGCAGGAAGTCACGCGTTATTTCAGATATAGAAATGAACCCCTGCAAGCTGAACAATCGCTCCCGGATAAAGCGTGCAGATATTCTAAGACACTATTTCTGCACGGCCCCCAAACCCCACATAAACTCGGCCCCAGGTGAACCTGGGGCCGAGTCTGGAATTAAGTACGTGGTTTTTTGAGCCGGAATAGCAACAGACAAGAAGCTCGTCAGGGTATGCCCTTGGCAAACGGTGATTCTATTCTTATCATAATCTCTTCTTGGCTCGAGAATCGAATATTTCCCGAAATTACATTACGCCTTTTCTACACCATCCCGTCCAACACTACTTTTCGAACCCTGGTAAACGCCTTTATACCCTTCAACTTCCTCCCCCATTTCTTCAAAAACAACTTGCGCAAGTTTTGCATCCTTATACAGAACAACCCCGCACGGATTCTTAACTTCCATCAAAGCTCCCATGGCACCTTCATACCCGGCATCAACCACGCCAGCACTGATCCCCACGCCGGAGCGCCACAGCGACGATCGTGGGAACACACTCGCCATGCAATTCCGAGGAATGCTAACCGTTTCGTTGAAATCGATTAAATAGGCGCCGGGCTGTAAAGTGATTTTGTTGTCGGTGAATGGTAGGGTGGATGTTTTGGCTGCTTGGCGCTTGGTGTTGTTGAAGTCGATCGTGGCCGCCGAGGCCCAGGTGGAGATTTGATGGAGGGTTAGGTCGATGCCGCAAGGTTGTTGTTGGTGGGAGATGTTTCGGAGGTTGTGGACTAGGTTGCGGGTGATGATTTCGAGGCCGCTTAGGATCATTGTGTAGAGAGGTGTTGAATGAAGGTTGAGTGCACGGGCGGTGATGATGGTACATGAAAGATCCCGGGATATTGTACAGACAAATAGACGTAAAATGGCACTTTGCAGGCTGTCCTATCATCCCTGTTATTACCCCCTTAATTCTCACCTGACACACTGCCGAGGCTACCTCGTGACGTGTCTTTGATTCTTACTCTCACTAGCAGGGAAATCAGCCTTATGCGTGGGGGCGCTAAGAGAATCTGCATGCGTCCCAGTTTGGCAATAGGCCGTTCCAAGCTTAAGGGGGGAGGCGGAACAACAACATCAACGTAATATATGCATTTTTTTTACACTGGATTGTAATTCGTATTTCCGGATCCATCGGATCAGTTTCTATGTTTACTGCGTCGACGCTTGGCATGCCGGGGCCGGCGCCAATCCAGCTTCCTGCTTTAGTCGCGTGACCACGGGGCCTAGAGCGAATGCGCTTTCGGGGCTGCTGTGGTCTGCACATGGGCTGTGTTTTAGAGGGAGGAGCCAGTCTGTGAGACTGTAGCCCATCACCTGCTGGATGTTCTTGAAGCTGCTCCCGAGATCGAAGGGGTTGTCGCCTGGGCGTGTGTGGAGGATGGCGAATACGTGGCGCTCTGTTGTAGATGGGTCGTTCGGGGGCTGGGTGGGGGTGGGTGGTTCGAGTGGATAGGATACCATGCCGAATGTTGGGGCCCAAGGGGAGTCGGCTACCCATAGTCGCTCGAGGAGGTGGTCGGGGACTCGGATTGCGAGAGTCCAGACGACGGAGTGGCGGTTGAGGTTTTCGATTGTGGTGATGTTGAGCATGGCTAGTTGGACGGAACTGAGGGTCATGCCCCCGGAGAATATGAAGAAGAGTCCGCTCCTGACGGTACGTTAGAAAGAGACCAAGTCGATATCATAGAAGATACTTACAATCCAATGCAGACGCACCAATGAGGGTTCACGCTTCCGGTCTTGACAGGTCAGTACGAGGCTAGTTGGATGGTGCGGAATGCGCTCACCTGGCGTTTGAGCTCTGCCGTGAAATACGCAGACACGATGAGAGTAAATGTACAAAAAATAGCCGTATAGGCAACGAACTGAATGAAAAATTTGAAGGATGTCTCCGACACCACACCGCCGACCCTATGTCCTGTTAGCCAACAATATTAATTTGACTGGGCGTGTGTTCGGCATACCAAGGACAAAAATGGTCCATTTTGCGCACGCAGCGATCGACCTCACGGCAATGGTGCGCTCTGTCCGTCTTAAATTGGCAGCACGTTGAGCAATACGGCGGTCGGCCGTCGTCTTGGCAAACAAAAACATCCTTCGTGTAGAACCTCTCCAGGCCAGCTGGATCTAACTCAAATGCCGTTCCTCCAGCGTGGCTGTTCACACCACATTCAAGGTCCATCCCGTCAAGGTCCACCCCATCAAGGTCCGTCTCGGTCGGCTCCTGCTTCTCTGCATCTCGAGCCTTCCTCGAACTCCTCTTGCGACGGCGCTTTCCGTGCGGATGTTTGTGGTCCTGCGAGGCGGAATCGGACCGGATACGTTCGGCACCGAAGGGAAGGTATCCCGGCTTCCATAAGACATTATACATGAGGCGGATGTAAGTCGCGACCATGGGTATTAGGAGGACATAGTAGATGGCCACAATAGCGGCGCCGGCGCCGACTCGAGAGCCTCGGTTATAGGATGGAAGGGGATGAATGAGATAGTCAACTGGAGACAGGTTAGTCTGCGTTCTTCATTTTTGTGGGGGAGACTCACTGCATAATGGCTTCGTAATTGCGTAACTCGCGTAGACGACGACGCCGAGCAAGACGGGCGGAATGATTCTCGAGACCGCAAGGTTGACGCGCTTCTGCGCCTGGGTGGCCATCGAAAGAATATGTCTGCCTCACGACTATCACAGTGTCGGATGCATGAAGGAAAAATAGCGATGACCTCCAGGCAGTCGGGGAGTCGGAAAGGTTGGATCGAGAGGCGGAGACGAGGTTGCGGGCGCAAACCGCGCAAACAGGGCCTCGGCAGCCCTGACGTAATCGCCCCGAACAGCGCGATTGAAGGCCGAGGGCAACGCCTGAAGCACGCAGTCGAGTCATGATTCTTCTTGAATCCGGGGTATCGAATGTAACGTTTTTAATCGTGCCATCTGTGCCATCTGCACTATTTGCGAGCGTACGAAAATGAACGAGCACTGATGATAGCTGTGTCCATGTTGGATCGCGCCGATGGATCATGAACCATGGTTCGTAGGTATAAATGAAGCCCTAACGTTGATATCGTGGTTGGTGGTGATCGGGCGGACAGTGGATTAGAAATGGCGAACGCGAAGATGAGAAATACACAATGCAAAGAGGTCGCACGGCAGGGGAATGGGTAATCGATAGCGCATTCCAGGAACATCAAAACACGAAATGACATCGCATAGTTCCCTCAGGCAGCAGGCGGGCTTAGCGCGACACACCTGACCGATGACTCCGTTATCGAGTCACCGATATCTGCCTACGAGTGGACCCGAGATCACAAGGCTGCAGGCAAGGCATCAACGGTGAAGGAGTTGATGGGTCAATTGGCAATCCGGAAAGTAACGTTAAGTGGTGACCGTCAATTCGGCGCGCCCGGGGCCAGTTCTTGCCCTGAAATGCCCGCATTTCACCCCGGCAAGACGGTGAGCGAGCGAGCAGCCTTGGCTGGGTGGAGCATCGCCCACTGACTCAACTTCAGTGCGTCCGCGATGATTCACAGCTTTCCTCAGGTGTAATTCTAGACTCGCCAAACCATGGGGGCTATTCCCACCCGGGCAAAGCGGGTAAATCACCCAGGCTTCCCAAGGCTCCAAAGCCCCGGTGGATCAACCGGGGTCGCTGAACCCCCAGATGCGCAATGCTAAGGCGGAACGGTCTTCATGGCCCCAGCACTAGCCCGAGTAAGCCATAATTCCCAATACGGTGCCCTGAGGCAGCCTACGGCTGATACCTTTCCTAGCCACAGTGTCGTCTCTGCCTGATGTTCTTATGCTATACTGTTTCCGTTCAGCGCCTTGATGCCTATATAGTCCGGGGTCATCCTTCGTCTCGTGCTTCATTCTTCATTCACAACTCAACTCATCCTGATCTAATCCTCCATTCTGAGGATTCCAATTTTATAATTGTAACTCTATCCTTGTATACCAGCATTTGTATACTTCCGGGGGTCATCACTGCCTCCAACATCCAACATCCAACAACGTCAACCTTGCATCCAACCCTGATACAACCTCTGATTATCCCATCCACCACAATGTCCTCTCTGTGGTACTGCTGCGGATGCAAATTCGGCCCTCACAACTCGGCCCTTTACGACTCCTGCATTAACTGCGGATCGTACCGCTGTGATATGTGCGTGGAAGAGAAAGTCTCGGACCACCTGAGCAACCACAACCACACCCACTGCCACGAGACTTCACCGTACCCGTCCGTGGCCCCAGCTCACACAGCCCACACACTGTCTCTCAACACGAGGCCGACTATCCCGGTACCAGACCTGCCCGGTGTCCGCCCATTATACCGGCCGACCCCGACTGTGCTCGGGGCGCCTCTAGGTGCCCCGTCACAACAATATTCGCAGACATACATGTACATCTGCTGCAACTGCCAGGATGGACCAAAGGTTTACAACGTTCAGCCTGTCTGTGTCGTCTGTGACCATGCTGCCTGCGGAGATTGCACCAACGTCAAGTGACGTTGATGTATTCGTCTTTCTGGAAAAGACTATGAAGCAATGGTGAGACCATAATCCCTCCCGCTCACTCAGCCCACTGGAATACAGCATGCTGACATTCGGCCGCAGTGACAACGAGCGAGTGATTTCCATGTGTTTTTGATTTTTTGATTTCATTTGCATTGGCCTTTTTTTATTTGTGTTCTGCTACATGCAAAGCGGGTCATGGGTATATCAGCATAGCCGGGTTTATTTTCTGGGATTTTCTTTCATCTGTCTGTGAATTTTGTTTTCATCTTCCGATCATTTTCTGCGATTAGATACGACTTAGACATGATGTTGTATACTTCGTTGCTTAATTTAGTTAGGGCGAAATGAGGTAAGCGGGGCGGGATCCCTGTCTGCCTTGCGTCCCAAATGGAATCTATTCGATCAATGAAATTTCCCCGAGTCTTTCTCCCTTGAAAAATAGAATAATAATCCGTAAACCATTTCACATCGAATGGCATTATTCTCGTGCATGGCCGCGCCCTGAAGACTCTACAGTCATCCTTCTCCGGTTCTAACGTGACCTACGAACCGGGGTGTTTTCGGCTGCACGCTAACGTCCAGCTCCATACAATGCCTGCAATTCGCCCACAGCCGAGCCGCAACACCCGGGCAAGGACCTGTTGTGCGTGATTTATGGGCTCCGGATTCCGCAACCAATAATCGTTCCTGCGATAATCGCGCATTGCTGCGGCTGCTGTCGAGGTTACATAGTCACGTTTAGGCCCGGGCGCACGGCGCCCAAACCCGAGACCGCCTTTCGCACCTGCATTTACGCCCATCAGCCCTACGCCCCTGGTTAAAGAAGCGGTCCCTTGGCTCACTGCCCCGTTGTTGTCCGCGCCAACACCCACTCCGCGTCTCAGCCCCTCCACCGAGACCACTAGTTCTTTCGTATTCGCATGCAGGCTGTGCTCGGGAAATATCCCGGTGGTGCCCCGTTCTAGCTGTCGCTTTCACTTTGGCGCACGGCCGCCTTTGGAAGCTATATCTCCGAGGAAATGAACGCATCAGTCCGCACTAGTTGCTGTTCCCGGTGACGTTGTTTGGGGACCCGGGTATTCTGGTCGGGCGCGGGCGCGGGCACGGGACACGAGTTTGGGAACGGACCCTGGCAATCTTAGTCCAAGGGGATTGACAGGACCTATAGGAACGAAGAACAACCCCCGTAGCGATCATTATCGGCATCCCCGACCCGTCCTGCGAAGAGTCATCCGCTATTCTGCCCTGGAGGATTTTGACTCACAGGCCAAGAACGTTTCCATTTGCCCGGGATTATATGCTACATGTTCATTGGCTTCCGGGAATGTATAGACCTGGCATAAGCTGCAGCGGCAGGAACCGAGGATGAATGGTGAACTTCCTTTGAAATCGATTCCCTGGCCATCTTCGTGACTGGAATAGCACAGTAAATGTTCCAAAAATGAGTCGACTCTATTTCTATTCTTGTGATGCTCGCTGAAACTCTGCTGTGACACCATCCAGTTGGCCCCCATCTCTTTGACTCTATACTTAGCACACAGCTTCTATCAGCCCCAGTTACTATTCCTGGGAATAGGTACTGCCCTGAGGATATTCTAATTTAGTTCCCATTCAATTGTTTCAAGAATAGTGAGAGAAGTTGGGCGTGTTGACATTCTTTGCCCCGCGGTCCGCATGGGCCACATCTGCCACATCTGCCACGCCAAGACGCCTAGTGATCATCCTCAGGTCTGTCACGTGACCGACCACTGATACTCTGTGAAGTTACTCAGTGAGTGCTAAGTGATTATTTATAGTTACTCAAGTGTCTAATCAGTAAGCGCGTCTGATTTACTTAGCTAAGCCTGGACTGACCCCGGAGAGGAACATATCCCTCTAAACCCTCTACTCTAAAATATGTAGTCAGTTGGTAGCTTTGATCCTACCATTTATTTTTTGAAGTGCCTTGTCCTATCAAAAAAGGACGCTAGGTCCAAAAGGCCTATAAGGGGGTGGAGACCTCAAAATGATATAATATTTCCTATGTTCTATTTTTATATAACTTAAGTACGGCTGAGTGGACTGGAAGCCCTGTTCTCCACACCCTATGGTCGTATGTACTTGATGTACAAATTGAAAGGATGATCAGTGTAAGAAATTGAAGGTAGGAACAAACTAAGCGAGAAAATCCGCCTGTTTTATGCAGTAAAAGCAACATATTATACACCATGAAGATCGATAATTTCACCAGTACATACTTGTGCGTCGAAGCCCTGCTCTTCGTCTCTCTCGGCCATTGGAAGTAGCTTAGGAGTCCAAGCAATGACTGAAACATGTTGATCTTCTTTGTGTCGTGGCGACTTATACAGCCGCTGTGGTGGGTTATAGATCATGTCGAATGGACTGATATCCTTAGTCTCGAGTGTCCCAAACAGTATGACGTTAAGAGCCACGCGACTATAATATTTGGAGCGACCGTTCGCGTCAATATTGAATCATTTCCCGCACTCTCTCCTGTCATCTTCGGTAAGCTAGAATCCTCGAGCTTTATCGCAACATCCACAGCTATCGGTACAGTGGCCAACGCCGAGCTTCCGTGTTTTTAAATCGATTGGGCGATTCACGCAACATCCACAGTCACGACCGCAACATCCTCCTTTCCCAGCGCAGTCTTGGACAAGAAACTGATGCATATACCATCTAGGATGGGATCGCCAGAGGTCTATAGCTCTCGTGAGGGGCCCTGTTTGTAAGGCTCTTTTCGCCTGCCATCGCTCTTGCGTAAAAAGCCAGTATTGTCTTTTTAGGTTCTGAAGTTGCTTTTCAATTTCCGTGTCTTTCTTATAGTCGAGACTTCGTTGTTTTTCTGTGAGCATACATGCCCATGTATTGTGGTATATGTTCTTTCGGATTATTTCCGATTCTCTGGATTCTCTGCGGTTTTTACTATGTGGAGACTGTGGACTTGGGAAATACTCAAGTAACATGATCTAGCCCCCCGTTTTGTCTTAGACAATTCCAGCTGTGATGCATGACAGGGAACAATCTATGAATTTACTAAAAAAAAGCGGTTCATCACAAAAATTCCCTTCGGAAAGCTCCGGAGGTTCGAATGCTCAGGGACCCGCGGGAATTTGTTTCAAAAACAAATCAATGCCAATTTATCTACTCAAAAACTTTATAACACCGGGAAAGGAATTGAACAAAATTTAATATGTGATATTCACGGTTACTAAGAATATGTGCTGCATACTAGTCGGCGCATCATAATCATACAGCTCCCATTCCTGAAAAAAAAATTCCTGCACGAGAACCCAAGAGCAGTCGACGGGTTCCGAAATGAAGCTCGACTGCGAATTTACGACAGCCGAGAAGATGCAGACGCGCCAACGTCATTTCGCCATGGACTGAAAGCCCGCGAAGAGATCGACAGATCAAAGCCCGGCTCCCAAGAACAATGATTGCGTCCGGGTGTGTCGGGATGTACTTCAAATGCAGATGCAGGAAAACGCCGCGCTGGCTAATGATGCATGGACAAAGAAAATGGAAAGGATAATACCTCGGCGAAAGACTGAGGGAGTATCGCCAAAAAAAAGAGGTAGGTGGTGGATAGTTGGCGCGTAGCCATGCGCATGATAAGGTCAAAAGGCGTTGTGATGCCAGCTCACCTTGCAGACTCCTCAAAGGAGGTTGGGTGTTGGGTTGGAGAGTTACAGGGGCAAGACTCGCGACGGGTCTTGGAGAAAGCGCCTACGGTATGCGGCTATTTCGGCAGCCACGGTGCTGAATTCTTTCACCTTGTCACGTCGCATCTCGTTGATAATCTCTTTCAGACCGGCGAGATAGGTCTCTTTTTCTTCTTCGGTTTGGCCTTCTCGGACAGCTCCCATCTCGATAAGGATCTTGTCATCTGTCGAGGTTAATAGCACTGTGGTCAGCATGCGGACAGGGTAGAAGAAAAGCAGAAGAAAAGAGCGACGTGGAAGATGGAATGGAGAAGAGACGCGGTGGGACCACAAGTAGGAGAAATGAAAATGGCCCATGCATATATCAGAAGGGAGGCCAAGGTGTGGGAATGTTGGAAATAGGAAAGGAAACCATATACAAGGTTGCACGGCTGTTAACTTGTCGACGCACCGCTTAGATTGATGTCCCGGAAATGCTGGAAATCACAGCACCGATCGTTGCAGACACCACCAGCCACCTCGTAAGGACAGAAATATTTCATAGTATCAATGTCATGGCTGTATGTTAGCGAACGGTAGCCGTCCGAAACGTCCTGAGCGTAGGTGGGGTGGTAGCGATATGCCTTGAATGCCCGTAAGGGGCTGACGTAGGGAGAAAACTTTTGTCCCGAGGTGGAAGACTGCACTTGGTCCTGAAAGGTGGGTTAGTGCTGACGACTGGTTTCTTTAATGCAAGGCGTTGCTCATACATCGATTATTCCAATCTGGAAATCTCGCCTTGGTTCCGAAAGATAAGGCCCCGGACGTGCCCGTGTTAGTGTTTCTTCAGCTTGAGGTTGATCCCGTGAGCGCGGTGACTCCGGTAATTCCTCTACAGGGGCGGGAGGAGCGGGACTGAATGGAGGGCTGTAGGCCTCGTCAGCCTTGTCATCTTGCTCGACCTTGGATTCGGCCTCTTCGGCGCTACTATCAGGCTCTGGAGGCTCATAAGCATCCGACTCGGAAGAAGAATCTCTAGAGCCCCTGTCACTCTCGTGCCCTTGGCCATCGTGTTCAAACATGGCTTTATCGTCTTCAGGGACAGACTCTGGCACTTCCTCGGGAAGGGGATAGTCAGAATTATCCGTATCCATATGCTCCTCCACGCCCGTCGCTGGAGCTGAGTCTGCAGCACTGGCTTGGACACCAGCGAAATCGACATCTCTAGCAAAAGAACCGTGGCCAGAACTGACACCATTAACAGATTCATCCATGGCAGAGCCAGTCGAATCAGACCGGGAAGGAGAAGATGTTAAATCCACGCTATTGGCGTCTTCGTCCGCTATGATCCCATTGGCGGGTACATCAGGTGTGTATTCGCGAGACTCCGATGAGTCCACAGCGGCTTCTTGGCCAGGGGTGAGAGCATCCAGAGGAACACCTTCCTCGGGATCTGCGGGAACTGATATAGTCGAGGACGCTGAGTGACAGATGTCAGTAACGATAGACTCCTGCTTCACGGGATGTGACGAAGAGACAAGAGTACCTTCTTTGACAGCAAGGTCCTGTACTTTAAGTTTCGCCTGTCGATGGAGCTCATCCATATGTTCTAGCGGCAAGGCACTGGTCTCATGGCTGAGATTTCTGAGCTCCTCAAGAAGCTGGAGTCCCCCGTCCAGTCCTCCAAAGACAGCTGCTAGCAGTCGATCAATATCCTCTCTGCAGCCAGAGAGAAGATTTTCGGCATCTGGACGGGAAAAATCGGATTCAATATCTTTCAGTTGCAGGAGATTGGATCTGAAGCTAGCCAGCTGTTCCACGTTCAGTGAAGCCAAAATTCTTACGGAGGATCCACTGAAGAAATCAATGAGATTGGACCGATTAGCGAAACTGCTGATGCTAGTGGCGGCGCCGGCTTCCAATCTTGGACCTGAGGATGGGGCCGTGGAAGTTTCAGCGATATCGGGCTCAGCCGCACTTGACTGTGCAGCAGATGATGATGAGCCGGAATCATCCAAGGTGCGCGGAGACTCAAAACGGCTGGCAGCAAGCTTTGCCTTCCGCTTCTGCTCAAGCTCAGCAATCTTGCGGCGCATGGCCTCAATCTCCGACTCGCGCTTCCGGATATGGTCTTGGTCACCGGGCCGGAATGATCCTTGCGGAGTCGACGTAGAAGCTCTGGTAGACGAATATTTCTGAAGAGACGGCCCTGTGGTCTCGAGAGTGACCATAGGCGTTGCCCCTTGCTCTGGGCTGGAGTCAACGTCCATGTTCTCTCCTTCATCATCTCCATAGAGAGATTCGTCATCACTAATGTCGATGATAAGTTTCTCAGCTGGCCCAGGATGCCTAACTGCTTGGGCCGAGTGTCTCTTTGGAATAGCAGCGGGCTCATCAAAGTCGGCGGCGCGAGGACGTTTTCGCTGTGTTGCTCGGCTAACAGGTGTTGAGTCCACGACAATGGCTGGAGTAGTTTCAGCGGGGCTCAGCATGCCGGAATCACGCTGCGATCCAGGCATGACAAGCCCTGGAATACCGGCGGCTTCTGTGGGCAGGGGTACAGGCGGGCGAACAGGCAGTGGATGTTGAACAGCAGCGGCAGTGGGCTCAGACAAAACCGCAAGTTGATCTATCTTGGCAGACTTGTCAGACTGAGTCGGCTGCTGAGCTTGTTGCTCAGCTTGCTGCTGCCTTTTCAGCAATGCTTGTCTCTTCAGCTCTTCTATCCGCTGCCTTGCTAATTCTGTTTGAGCTTTATTCCTCTCTCGGACGGAAACTCCATTCTCCTTGCCGGATGTTCCATTGGAAGAAGGCGTGGGTGTTGCATTTGCGGGCGTTTGCGTCTCAGTCAATGCCACTTTAGACTCCGATGCCTTGGCAGCCTTAGCCGCAAGCATTCTGGCAATAAGCTCTTTCCTTTCCATTGGTTTGCTGTCGTCAGTCTGAGAAGCGGGAGACGCAATGGCCTGGACTGTAATTGGAGTGTGCTTTTTGCTGTTTCCCGGAGCCGCTACCTCCACTTGTCTGGGGCTAGAGGTGGGCGCCCCAAAAAACTTCCCAGGTACATTGGCAGCCTGAGTCGTCTTCTCACTCTGAGAAGCCGTGATTTTGATACCGACCTCTTCATAGAGTCGTTTCAAGATGGTTGGGTCGATCCCCTCCGCTACCAGTTCATGGTATCGGATATTGTGAGGTGCCAGACTAAGCAACGCGCCCTGAGCTTGAATACGGAGCTGGGCTGCAGATTTTGGAGGATTTTGGTCCGCCGGAGTCGTTGCCGGTGCATCTCGCATCTGCATCTCTATTGCGCGATGAACCACAGCTGGATCCGCCGAAACCGATAGCGGTGGATTGTAAGGCGAACTGCTCCGGCTGGAGGAGCGTGACCTTGTTGATACGGTTTCACCCTCTTCCAGGTCGGAATACCGAGTGACAGATGCGCTGTTCAAACAAGCCCGCTTGGCAGTCTTCGCATGTTTCTTTGTTCCAAATGACCGCCCGCCTTCACTAACCTCGCCTTCTTCTCGATTCGAATCCGCAGCATTTGAGGTGCCTTGCGCCTGAAATCCAGAACCTGGGGGTTGGCCACGGTCCGTTCCATGGGCATTGAACAGACTAGGGGCAGGATCGGAGGACCCTGGGGGTGCGAAGGGCATCGGCGCGTATCCAAATGAAGGTATGGGCATGGGATGAAAAGGTGGGCCTTGCGCAGGGTCGAACTGGCCCATAAATGGCAAGTGAGGGGGGAAAAAGAACCCCGGAGCACCGGCGCCAGGTATTTGCGAATTGCCATTCAAGGCCGCCATATTGTAATCAGAGTTCTGTCCAGGGTGGGACGAAGGGGGCTGAGCAACTAAAGTGTATTCAGGATTGGGAGGGTAGGTTGGAGGGATTATCGAAGGAAATGAGGGCCGCCACTGCGCTGCATAATCGGGGTGGCCATTAAACGCAGCGGGTGGTTGGTTTGACATGGTGAAGAATCCCCACCGAGGATCGAGAGATATGGGTGTGGTGTAGAAGCCAACCGTAGATGGTGATATCTAGGAAAGCAGAAGCGACGTCAGATCCCCCATGTCATGGTGTGAACGGCGTGATAGAACTGCGAGTCTTTTCGAGTTTGGAGACGATCACGGAGTCGCGGAATAGCGTTTCACTGGGTGATCTAGGTGCGGGGTGATGTAGGGCGATGAGGAAGAAAGGAAGGTGCAACATAAACGGGTAGTCAAAGAATGAAGTGAGTCGAAAGTCGAGGACAGAGTCGCGGAAGTGGACCAAGGTGAAATTAAGCGCCCGCGAAAAAAGAGTGTCCTCACGTGACAGAACACGGGCCACGATCGGCGGGAGCCCGAGGAACGCAGTGTAAACAAACAGCGTCAGCGCTCTCCACTCGACGACATCACGTCCATCTTGACTCAACCTGGAGATTTCACTTCGTTTCTCTTGTACTCTACGTTCCTACCCCGTTTTCTTTGTTTTTCGTGTTTGTACGCCTACTATCGCCTCTTACCTTTTCCAAATTGCTTGTTTGGCGATGGGACACGGCTGAGAGCTCGAATAATGACCTATTGAACGACCTTCCGACATGCTTCCTTCTCAACTGAACGGCGCCAACGGCTCGCCGAAGCGAGCAAGCCTGTTTGGGCGCTCCTCGCCCTCGCCAGCGCCATCGCAGACCCGTCCAAAGTCTGCCATCATCACACCATCCAAAGGATTCGAGCCGGCCAAAAGTCACCTCCGCAACTCCTCAATTTCACAAATATCCTCCACTTTATCTCCGGCAAGTGCAACCCGTGAAAGGTCCAACTCTGGTCGAAATAATGCCTCTTCTGGAACCTTTGCGCCGAGCTTCATCAAGTCTGAGGAGCTTAAGCGCGGGGCCGACCAGATTCACGGATTAGAAGGCGACAATGATTTCTCGGGCAATAAATATGTGTGGCTCCGAGATCCTGAGAAGGCCTTTATCCGTGGTCTAGTATTGAAAGAATTGGAGGGAGGACAGCTCCTTGTGCAGAGCGACGATGGCGATGTGAGAGTTTCTTCCTCATAGAAGCCATGACCTCAGAGCTGACAGCTTCAATAGCAACGCGAAGTCGATGCGGACCAGGTCGACAAGGTCAATCCGGCCAAGTTCGACAAGGCAGATGACATGGCCGAATTGACACATTTGAACGAGGCTTCGGTGGTTCACAACCTTCACACCAGATACCAGTCTGATTTGATCTATGTTAGTGGGCGGCCTTTGCGAACTAACGGTAGTTGAGAGCTATACTGACGTCGATATACCAGACATATTCCGGACTCTTCTTGGTTACGATCAATCCGTATTGTCCGCTACCTATCTACACCAACGAATACGTGAAGATGTACAAAGGCCGTGGGCGAGAAGAGACTCGGCCCCATATTTTCGCGATGGCGGATGAGGCTTTCCGGAACCTGGTGGAAGAGGGCGAGAACCAGAGCATTCTTGTGACGTGAGTCTCTATTCTGAACTCTCTGCCTTTCAAATCTAACTCAACCATTCTCCTCAAAGTGGTGAATCCGGTGCCGGTAAGACCGAAAACACCAAGAAAGTCATCCAGTACCTAGCAGCGGTTGCCACTTCCGATACGCCTTATGGTCGATCAGGCACGAAGAACCTCTCCAACCTCTCCCAACAAATTCTCCGTGCCAACCCTATACTTGAAGCCTTTGGAAACGCTCAAACGGTGCGAAACAACAACTCCTCTCGATTCGGCAAATTCATCCGGATAGAGTTCTCGCGTTCCGGCCAGATCTGTGGAGCATGGATTGACTGGTATCTGCTGGAGAAATCGCGTGTCGTGAAGCCGAATTCCAGCGAGCGAAACTACCATGTCTTCTATCAGCTGTTGCAGGGCGCGGACAAGAAGACCCGCGAAAAGCTCCTGCTCAACAACATGCAAATCGAGGATTTTGCTTACACAAGAGACGGAAATGATTCTATCGTGGGTGTGTCCGATAGTGATGAGTGGAACTCTCTAATTGAGGCTTTCCATGTGATGAACTTCTCAGAGGAAGATCAATTGTGCATCTTGCAAACGATTGCCGCTGTCTTGCATCTCGGCAATGTGACCATTGCGAAGGAAAGTGTTCGCGCAGATCAAGCCGCCCTTGGTCGCGATGGATATGCTAGCGTGGAGAAGGCTTGTCACCTCCTGGGCATTGCCCCAGAGCCATTCGTGGAAGGACTGTTGCATCCTCGAGTGAAGGCTGGTCGTGAGTGGGTCAAGAAAGTGCAGACACCGGAGCAAGTACGCCTGGCGCTTGATGCCTTGTCCAAAGGTATCTACGAGCGTGGCTTCGGTGATCTGGTGACACGCATCAACAACCAACTTGGTCGCTCGATGGCTGATGACAACTATTTCATTGGCGTGCTGGATATCGCTGGTTTCGAGATCTTCGACAATAACAGTTTCGAGCAGCTCTGCATCAATTACACCAACGAAAAGCTCCAGCAATTCTTCAACCACCACATGTTTGTCCTTGAACAGGAAGAGTATGCCAGAGAGCAGATTGAGTGGCAGTTCATCGACTTCGGGAAGGATTTGCAACCGACCATCGATCTGATCGAGATGACCAACCCCATCGGTATTTTCTCATGTCTTGACGAAGACTGTGTCATGCCCAAGGCTTCAGACAAGTCCTTCACAGAAAAACTTCATTCGCTCTGGGATCGGAAGACCCCCAAGTACCGCTCTGCTCGTCTTAACCAGGGCTTTGTGCTTACGCATTACGCTGCGGAAGTCGAATACACCACACATGACTGGCTTGAGAAGAACAAGGATCCCATGAATGACAACATCACGCGCCTGCTGGCTCAATCTGATCAGAAGCATGTGGCAAACTTGTTCTCAGATTGCGCAGATTCTAGTGAAGGCGAGGAAAACCCCAGAAGTCGCGTGAAGAGGGGATTATTCCGGACCGTGGCACAGAAACACAAAGAGCACCTCTCCAGGTTGATGGCCCAGCTGCACTCGACTCATCCCCATTTCGTCCGTTGTATCTTGCCAAACCACAAGAAGCGTCCGAAAATGCTACATGCTCCCTTGGTACTGGACCAGCTCCGATGCAATGGTGTCCTTGAAGGAATTCGAATTGCTCGAACTGGATTCCCTAACCGCCTACCCTTCGCCGAGTTCCGACAACGATATGAGGTTCTTTGCAAGAACATGCCAAATGGATACCTGGAGGGACAGAGTGCCGCTCAAATCATGCTGGAGAAACTCGGGATGGACAAGGCCTGGTACCGTGTGGGCCGTACCAAGGTTTTCTTCAGAGCTGGTGTTCTCGCAGACCTGGAAGAGAAGCGAGATCAGCTCATTCGGAGTATAATGAGTCGCTTCCAGTCTGCCGCCAGAGGCTTCGTCCAGCGCCGCATCTCAAACAAGCGCCTGTACCGTGCCGAGGCTACGAGAATCATCCAGCAAAACTTCCACGCCTATCTTGAGCTTAAGGGTAGTTCTTGGTGGCGAATGTTTTCAAGAATGAAGCCTCTCCTTGGAGACACGCGTACTGCCAAGGAGGTCAAGAAGAGAGATGACCAGATCAAGGAGATGGAAGCAAAAATGAAGCAAGACCTCGCCGATAAACAAAAGTTGGATGAGGACAGGCGCCGTGTGGAGCTCGAGATTCAGAAGATACAGCAAACACTGGAGAGCGAGCGTGCTCTTGCACTCGACAAAGAAGAGATCTTCAAGCGCTTGCAGGACCGTGAAGGGGAGCTCACCGAAAAACTTTCGGAGGCTATTGCAGACCAGGAGACTTTAGAAGAGCAGTTGGATAACTTGGTGGATGCCAAGAAGAAGGCTGACGAGCAATTGCAACTGCGCGTCACGCAACTCGAACAGGCTGGACAAATCATCCAGACACTCGAGTCCGAGAAAAAGCAACTACAATTTTCGCTGGAGGAAATTGAGAACAGACTGGCCGAGGCTGAGGGTCAATTCTCCGGGAAGAATGGTCAGATCCAGGAGCTCACCCAAGAGATCAAGATGCTCCAAAGCCACCTCAGTTTGAAGGATCGGAAGCTCCAAGACCTGGAAACCAAGCTGTTGAAAACGGACCAGGATCTTGATGTGAAGCTTGCCAACACATCGAAGGAACTGGACAGGTCCAAGAAGCAGGTCCGCGAGCTTTCTGACGAGAACCAGTCAATTCGTCAACAGATCAACGAGCTTTCCTCCACTTCAACCGGCTACGAGGAAATGCTCCGTCGCAAGGAAAGCGAAATGGCCGTTCTTCGAAATGATGTCAAGAAGCACGACGAAGACACAAGATCCTTGGTCGCTGAGAAGACCTCTCTTTCTACTCGCCATGATAACATGCAAAAGCGTCTCCGCGAGGTTCAAGCTGAAAGAGATGCCATGCGATCAGAAAAGGTCCAACTGGAGCGAGAGGCGGCAGATGTTAAGAGATTACTTGACGAAAAACGATCTGAAGATGCCGAAGCTGGTGAAAGCCGCCGGATGCTGGAGCAGCAGGTTCACGACTTGAAGGACCAACTCTTCAAAACTGAAACAGACCTCAGCCGTGAACGTCAGTCAAGGGATGATGTTCAAATGCTTTCCGAGCACAATCTCGCCCAGTTGAAGGAGAAGTACGAGGTACTGAATGACTCCAAGATCGAAATTGAGAAGGAGATGTACATTCAGCAGGACAGTCTACGTCGAGCGAACGAGGCCCGTGTCGTTGCCGAGAACTCACGTAAAGAGCTGCAAACGGAACTGATCAAGCTTCGTGAGAGGTTTGCAGATGTCGAAAATGCCCGCTTGAATGCCGAGGCAGATATCGAACGCAAGATCAAGCAACAGGCCGACGAGCATATAACCAGCCTGCGGACCGATCTTGATGAGAAGACACAGTTGCTCGAGGATCTTGAAAACGAGCGCTATCAACTTTCAGTCCGGGTTCAGGAACTTGAACACGCAATCTCGGAGTCTGACAATTTCCGCATTCGCCACGATCAACACAAGGAGCGTCTTGAAAGGGAGCTTGTTACCTTGAGAGGCCGATTGACAGCTTCGGAGAACGATAACCGATCCCTTCTGACCAAGATTCAACAAAAGAATCTGGATATTGCTCGCTCGAACTCGAAAGCCAGTGACAACAACAGAGTCCGATTGACGAATCTCCAGAAAGAAAAGACCAAGCTCGATGAAGAGAACAAGAAGCTTGAACGCCAATTGGGTGAGTCGCAGCTTGCGATAACGTCTCTTGAGAAGCAAAAGAGAAGTTGTCCTTAAGCCTCGAGGATCTCAACCATGAAGTCCAACGTGAGCACAAGACCAGTCGCAATGCTGAGAAGGCCGCCTCCACGGCCAACATTCAGCTCTCGGAGGCGAACCGCAATCTCGAAAATGAGCGACAATTGCGGGCCCAGGCCCAGGCGAATACCCGGCAAACTCAGAATTCTCTGGATGGAGCCCACAAAGAGATCGCAGATCTCCATCGCCAATTGATTCTTCTACACAGAGTCTTCGAACCCGAGGCGTCTGAGCCCACCAAGTCCTGGGAAGCCGTTCAACCGCACCTGTCAAAACAGGTCGACTTGGCGCAAATTCTTGAGACAGTACAGCACAAACTTCAGGTGACTGAGGAGAAGTACTCGCGCGCCGAAGGCCAGCTTTCGGAGATGCGCCGACGCCATGCGGATGAAATGAAAGAGCTCGATACCAGATACTCGACCTCCAAGCGCGCCCTGCTTGAGGAGATTGATCAAAATGAAGTGGCCAACAATCGCACACCTACCCACTTCAGGAAGAACTCTGAAAACGCGATGAAGAGGATGTCAAACCCGGCGACGCCCAACAGACGCTACAACAATCTTCAAGAAGGAGCACCTGATTCTGCTCGGTCAGACAGGACCGTCGATACAGTGGGCTACCAGAAGCGGATGGATGCGGCCGCGGAAATCGAAGAACTTCAGAACAAGCTTCAGATGACTGAGATGCAGAACAAGCATCTCCAGAGTCAGCTCCAGTCCACTCCCACACGAGATATCTGGCAGGATGAAAGTCCTTCGATCCGTCGCATGCAGCTTCTCGAGCGTGAGAACGGACGTCTTCACGACCAGCTGGATGATTCTGCTAAAAAGGTCTCGTCTTTGGAGCGAAGTATCCGCTCTGGACAACTGTCGCTTCGCGATGTGCAGGCCAAGTCGCATGAGGAGCTGTATGATCTGATCAACTCGCAGGAGCAGTCTCGCCGCTCCCTGCTCAAGGTCCACAATGATACCATCGCTGAATATGGCGAGGTCAAGTCACACCACGAGAAGTTGAAGCGCAGCAAGGCGGCTTTGGAGGTCGATCTTCGCGACGCTCGCTCCGAAGCCCAAGAGCTGCAAGCCGGCAGAGAACATGACGCCTCCAGCCGTAACCAACTCCTTCAGGAATTCTCTGAGTTGCAAATTCGTCTTGATGCCGAGACATCCAGGACTGCCGACCTTGAGTCTAGCCTTAGCTTATATAAGAGTCGCGCGGATGACTATTTCAGCAAGGTTGAGCAGGCGGAAATTACTGTTCTGAAGGCTACTCGTGCTGAACAATTTGCGAAGTCCCAGAGCCAGGAAGCCACAGAGACTTGCGCTCAGATAATGTCTGAGCGGAAGGAAATGGATGCGCTTGTTGAAGACTTGCAGCGACAGACTCAGTCCCTCGAAGCTCGTATGGAGGACCAAGCTGCGGAGCTTCAAGGAGCTTTGCAGGCCAAGCAGCGTCTCCAGAATGAGCTCGAGGACTATCGGAACCAGCGCGCCATTGATCTCGAGGACAAGGAGACCTCGATGGAGCAGACAAGGCAAAAGTACCAGCGGGAGTTCACCACCATCAACTGTGAACTCGAGATGGAACGTGAGCGCCTGCTCAATGTTCGCGGAGAGAACTCTCGCCTACGTGAGGATCTGGAGAATCTTCGAAGCAAGTGGGACGACGAAGTCATCAACAGCTCGACCTGGGCGAAGGAGAAGGCCCGCTTGGATATGGTCATGCAAGACATCAGCAACTCCCGCGACGAAGCTGCGAAGGCCCACAACGAAGCCCAGAGCAAGGTTGGCTCACTCCTTTCGCAAGTGCGGACTCTCCGCACCGACATCGATGATGTGACGGCCGAGCGCGACTTGCTTCTTAAGGATAAAAAGATGCTTGAGGGCCGGCTAGCAGAAGCCGGCGAGCGCCTTGAGGATCTTGCCAAGGGTGAGAGCCCATCTATGCGCAATGCCGCCAGCATGGATCGTGAGCTTCTCGAGCTCAAGTCCAAACTTGCTCAGCAAGAAGACTTATCTACTGCCGCTGTTGGTAAGATGCGTCGCGCTGATGCCCTGGCTACCGAGATCCAGAAGGAGCTTACCACCGAGCGTGAGACCAATGCCCAGCTGTTCAAGGACAAGGCTGGATTGGAGAAGCAGCTTAAGGAGGTGCAGCTCCGATGCGTTGATCTGGAGACCAAGAGCTACTCATCTGGTAGCCAAGATGTGCGGTTCTTACACAAGCGTATCAAGGAGGTAAGAAAATCACACTTCACTCATTGTCTCATGAAACTCTACTTACCCGTCTTTTTCTTCAGCTCGAGACTCATCTCGAAGAACAGGAGAGCAAGAACAGTGCCGAGCAGCGCTCTCTTCGCAATGTCGATCGTACCGTCAAGGATCTCCAATCCCAGATTGATCGACGCGACAAGATGAACTCTCAACTCACCGACGACATCAACAAGGCTCGAGACAAGATCGAGCGACTCCTCCAAAACATCGACGAGCTCCAGCAAGGCGACACCGAGACGCAGTTTCAAGCTCGCCGTGTGGAGCGAGAGCTGCGCGAGGAACGCGAGAAAGCACTACGCCTGGAACGCGAACTCGAAGGATTAAAGGGAATGCGAACACTTACCCGGGCCCCCATGGCCGGTTTGAGCGATATGGGCAGCCGACGAGGAAGTGCCGTGTACGGATCTAATGACACCCCTCAGCGAAAACCCAGCAACACCAAGGGGTTCTTGTGAATAGGGCCAAAGCGATGTGTACCACGTTGATTCTGGAGTTCAAGCCATGATTTTTGAAATTTTGCGTGTGTTTGCGGTTGGCGTATTTGTTCATTGGAGGGAGATAAGCACTTTGGTCTTTCTTGTTGACCCCCCGGTCTTGTTCATATTACTTGAATGACCATTCGCTTTATCTTCTTCGGGGGTTGTATGTATTGGATGGCTGTTTGGTTTGCTTTTCGGTTTCTGGGAGTAAATATGCTCGGTGAGAATTAGGATAGGGCTATCTACAATGCAACGATTTCAGATCAGATCAGTACTTTAAGGCGTACTTGGGAGACTTGTAGATTCTTGTACCTTGTCCGATATTTGCATTGTCGATTAGTACAGATACCATCAAAAGCAACCAAGTAAAAAAACCACAATTTGATCCCAGTAAATGCTAACGGCTGCGGTTGGGGCACGTGATATCCGCGCGGCAGGCGGTTAACTGCCGCCGAACCTCATCGGCAGCTGTCAAGCTTCAGATTTCCTCTCCGGATTCCTCCCACGACCCTCATTACTGCTGTTTGGGTCGCAGACCTTGCCAATCTTTCATCATGGTAAGCCCTTCTACACTCGTTCAGGCGACCCTATTGATCCGGTCTACGAATTGCCCGTGAACAAATTTGCTAACCGGCCCCTCCACGATGAACAGGCTCGCAACAGCGAAAAGGCGCAGTCCATGCTGTTCCGCTTCCGGGCGCAACAAGCAGCGGACATGGGAATTATCGACCTCGGACGTACACGACGACCCAAAGCCATCAACAGCGTCGACTCGGTCCAGACATGCGAGCGCTGGCGCGGCCAGGTTCTCAAAGAAATCTCCCGCAAAGTGTCACGCATCCAAGAACTCAACCTGAGCGACTACCAGATTCGCGATCTGAACGACGAGATCAATAAGCTCATGCGCGAGAAATGGGCGTGGGAAATGCAAATCCGAAATCTCGGTGGTCCGAACTACATGCGTGGAACTGGTCGGGTCTACGACGATGAAGGCCGTGAAATTCCTGGTGGAGGAAAGGGTTATAGATATTTCGGTCGGGCGAGAGAGTTACCTGGCGTCAAGGAGATGTTTGAGGCCGCGGCGCGCAAGGCGAGAGGGCCCCTTGAGGAGCAGGAGGGTGCTGGGGCTGGTAGGGGTGGAGAGATCGTGACGAGGAAAGTCGATGCCAACTACTTTGGATACGGCCTCGATGAGGAGGATGGATCAATCTTGGCCTATGAAAAGTCCAAAGAGAAAGAGGCTGTTGAGCATTTGCGGGGTCAGACCGAAGATGACGCCGAGGATGGCTGGGAGTCGTTACCGGGTGATGCGGGTGACGGCGTGGAATGGCGGCTTCCCACACTAGAGGAGGTGCAAGAAGAGCTCGTGGATCGACGACGCAGACGTCTGTTAGACAAGATCTCTTAGAGGTTGCATCTGCCGAGGGTTTCCTTGTTTCTTTCTTCTCCTTTGTCTCGGCGTTACGGATACTTCTGCGCAATATTCACACATCTTTGAGCATTGTCTAATTCCTTTTCAGTGATACATCGACCTGGTCGTTCAAAAGATACATTTCAATTATATCCAAGAAATTCATTCCACAATATGTACAGTACATTAGCCGGTGGCTATTGATCTCGATTCTTTCGAGACACTCTTTCGGCTCTCAGGGCCTGGGTCATGCTCATACGTTCAACCTGTAAAGGATCATCCCGACGCCGTTGTTCTTCCTCCAGATCATCCAGCATAAATCGGCCGACATCTCCATGCCGCCATTTCTGTATGAAATGCAGGGCGGCGCCATCTATGTTGGGCACTCCGCCCTTTCCAAGCAGCCCAGTATAATGTGCAAACTTCTCCAGCAGCGGCATGACCTCATTTGTGGGCTCAGACCAACGCTGATACGCCTGCGCATCATGCAAGTTGATCTTATACAACAGATAATCGACGAGAGTGACGGATGATATGACAGCATCCTTGACACAACCACAAAGCGCCAGCTTCAGCATATTCTCCGCGTCTGGAACGTATGGCATGAAGACACCGGGTGTGTCGAGCACGTACACATGCGACCCGTTCTCTCGCTCGATGATCTTCACCGGGGTTCCAATCTTCCTTGTGATGCCCGGCTGGCCTCCGGTTTTCAGGGCCTTGGCTTTGCCCACTCCATAGTTTCGTAGATGATTGATCAATGTTGACTTCCCGACATTGGGCATGCCGACCACCATGACACGGCACCCAACCAGCTTATCGGGAGCTTCGGCATCGTTTCGGAGGTGTTTGACGATCTGGTTGACGTCTGCGCGGGAGGACGAGCTGACGAAGAATGTGGCACTTTTGGGATCGAAGCTTCGGATCTTCTTCTCTGCCTGAGCGATACAATGTCAGCTTGCGGTTCACTTTCCTCGGATTGCATGTAATGCGACTCACTAGCTTCTGTGCAGGTGATTGCGGAGTACTGCTGAGGTCTCTCTTAGTATAGACGATCAATCGCCTTTTCTTGCCCAAAGCCTCCTCAAACATGGGGTTGATTGACGTGACAGGTGCCCGGGAGTCACGGCATTCGACAACGTAGTCTATCGTGGAGAGCATGTTCTTCATCTTGGTCAGACCGGCTCGATGGTGGCCCAGGAAGTAGGACCTTGGGATGGCCCCATAGTGCGGAAATGCCTGACGCGGGACAAATTGCGCCATGCTTGGATTTGGAATATAAATCACTCAAGTAAAAAGGGCGTCATTTTCGCCGCGCCCGAGGGAGTCGCAGAAACAGTCGTGACTCTCCAACAAAAGATTGCCGCTCATCACGAGGCGGAGAGCAGGGCGGTGTGAGTATTAGGTATGACGACGGATCGGCGTGCCCGAGTACTCTACAACGATCTTCATTTGCCGTTTCTATGTTCAAGTCTCTCTATTTTCTTCATAGAATTCATGCAGGTTACCTTTATTTGACGGGATATCTTTTAAAAAAAAAAAATTTAAATCACGATGTCTCTAATATCGGCTTTTCGGCCACCATCCACCCGCATATCTTCTATTCGACATAATAGATCACGACCGCGTCGCCGGAGAAAGACACCAAGAAATGAGCATGAAGTTGACTCCAAAGGACATCTACATGATCCAGATGCTCATTCTATAATCACACCGTCCAAGCACACCCCCAAACCTTTCAAAATCCTACGGGGTTCGGTGGCGGCTGGTGGCCCTCTACGTCCATTTCGCCTGGTAAAGCAAGATATCACCAACCTACGCCGACGATATGTGTCTGATTGGACTGTATTCAATTAATTAATATTTGCGAGTGCTGTCTATCTTTTCTTCACGAATCTTCTGCCCGGCATCACCTTCGCCAGTGACTTGTATGTCCTGACGGGCAAGAGCTGGGATACAATCGAGGTCGTCTCGAGTACTGGGCTTAACGGGATTATTTTCTCTTTGTCAGTGCCAACTTCCATCTATACCACACCGTGTTGCCATTAATGAGTTGAACAGGTTCTCGATCCAACTCCTCACCATTCTTGGAGTAACGGGGCCTTTCTCTGTCTTGGCAGAGAACATCTACTCGCTTTGTGATGAAGTATTCCAGGTACGATATGGGTATTGATCGGTACGGTACACGCAAACCTGGTGGCTTTGCCTGGGACATCGTCTTGCTCGGGACTACTACTGCCTTGTGTGGTATCCTGGGTATCCCGCCTGCCAATGGTCTTCTTCCACAGGCACCCTTGCACTCGGAATCCCTGATGCACACAGAGAAGGAAGAGCAAAGTGTCATCGTCGACGGCGAAGAAAAGATAGAGACGCGTGAAGTGCGACGGGTCTATGAGCAGCGCTGGTCATCGTTCCTTCACGCGGGGGCCATTTTCCTTTTCATCAGCCCGCCATTCATGAAAGTACTCGGCTTGACCCCGACGAGCGTCCTCGCGGGACTGTTCATGTTCATGGGTGAACAGAGCTTATCAGTCAAGTAAGCCTAAGCCTACCATCGATCGAGAATATGTACTAACGTCAGTTACAGTCTAATTCTATACTGCACTTTCTATCTCTTCACACTACTCTCAGAGCTCTTACTACTACTACAGTCCATACACAACCCCAGCGAGGTACCAGACATCACCGATACACCCCGCAACCCATCCTACCTCCCAATCCACCTCTACACCCTCCTACAAATCGTCATCACGGTCGTGATTTTCATCCTCACCTTGACACGTGGTGCGCCCGCATTCCCAATCCTAATCATCGCTCTCGTCCCATTCCGGCTCCTAGTAATGAAGCGATGGTGGCCCCGAGAAGTCCTCCGCTTCGTTGACGCTTGGGCCTGTCGCGAATGAACCCCTGAAGACGATGAGGACACGGACAAAATACAAGGTCAGGATTCTCTGGACAGTGATACCACCGTTCCAATTGGAGTTCTACACGCAGATTCTCGGGGTCGTTCGACTGTTCAATCAAGTTCGGTTTCGAACGAACCGCGTGCCTCCCAGGCTGATCTTGCGGATCAGAGAATATGGGGCACGACTAATGAGGATATGAATCATGATTGGGTGGAGCTTCAGGAGCGTGGAGATGAAGAGCTGGGACACGAGGAGGGTAGGTAGAAACGGGGTATTCCAGGCTTTATTCCCATAGACCTTGTAGTGTACATCCAAAAACATCGACCACAACCAAAACAGTATGAATGTGGAATCAGGAGCAGTATTCTAAAATATCAATATGGGGAAGAAAGAGAAGAGAGACATGGGCTTGTGGGTTTCGTGGGCGCGCTCGATGATGAACTTCTTTATGCTATGAGGCTTGATGGCTTCACAGCTGTTGGCCCATGATTTGGATGCCATTGGGCTGTTTACTGAGCTAAACATGTATGAAGACGATATAATTTGCAAGCGGCGCTGCCGGGTATCTTGTATCTGTACATCTTGCGCCAGATCTATATCTTTCCCAAAATCTAACACCTCGAATCAAACCAAATTCGAAAAAGATAAATCACGCCCTCCATCCCTGCACAAACTCATGGAGACGATCAATAACAACACCGAATATAGCATTGACACTGTCCCCGATAAGTTGTTCGAAGTGCCGAATGGCTTCCTCCTCGGACATCTCCAAGTGAAACCGCTCTTTGACCTTCAACACTGCCTTGTCAGGCTCGACTCTAATATCTGGGATGTTGGCATCGACCATCAGACTGAACAGATTCAGAATCAGGTTTGCGGATTTGCGCAGGGTGGTATATGCGGTGTAGCAGTATTGCTTGAACTGTAGGTAATGGGGTGAAGTCGTGCCGCCCATGCCCTCGACCATTTCCTTGCAGAGTTTCATCATCGGGGCGAAAGGCTTGGGGTCGCGTCCGAGGATGAAGCCGAAGTCAGCGTGGAAGAAGTGGCCGTCTGGTGCTAGGAGGAGGTTTTCCAGGTGGCGGTCGCCGACGCCGAGGAGGTAGGTAATCACGCAGTAGCCGGCGCAGGACTTGATGTATGTATCCATTGTTTCCTTGCGGACGCCGAGTGGCTCGTTGTCGTCTGGGTTGTTTTCTTTCAGGTACGCGAGGATGGATTTGTACTTGGCTGATGCAGCAGAGAGGGATATTGAGGGGATGAATTGGACAGCACCGGCAGTGGAACTGGTAGCAAGAATCCGGTACGGTGTCAGTTTCAAATCCAGGTTCTCTTTCTGTAGGAGTCGATCCATCAGGATGATGATCTGGATGACCAGTTGATCCTGACGAAGATCGTCGCCCACTTTGAACAGGAGAGGGTAACGCCGACCGTCGGTCGTTTTGAAGGTAATTTGAAGGGGGGATAACGTCGACTTAAAGACATTGGATTCGTCAGGGTAACATCCGACTAGCTTGACGTCCGGATCCAAAGGTAAAGGCAGTGGCGGATCGATGTTTACGAGATCGTTCTTCGGATCACGAAGAGATTTCTTCAGCTTCTCGATCTTCACGGGTCGGGTTTCTCGAGAGAAGCGAATATCTTTGGCAATCTTCGAGAGTATAGCAACCAATTCACCTTGACGCAGAAGTATCTTCCGATTTTCTGCGTTGACCTTCTCCAACTCGGTCATGAAATAATATTCGACTCGGGCAAAGAGTCGACGTTGCGTTGACAGCGTACCGGGACCCGAGTCATCACACTCCACCATGAGGTACCAATGCATATAGTTCCCGAGCTTGAAATTGTTGGCGGCGCGTGAAATCAAGAAGTTGGCTAGAGAAGAGTCGTGAGCGGCTTCATCCGCGTCGTCTCCAGCATGCTCTTCGTATTTCAAAGCTTGGACCAATTGCAAAAGATAAAGAAGAAGCTCTTCATCATCTGCCTTGCGCAGTCTTGCCACAGCATACGATCGAACCGCCGGGTTATCGAACGTGGGCCCAAGAAGTTCCAAAGCATCATCAACATCGATCTCGGTCCATTTGGGCAAGATATCCACTGCTTGTCGAGACTCTCCCTCGTCGCGCCAGTTGACTGATTTGACGAATTTGGTGAGCGCTCTCTTTTCTCGCGTCAAGTAATACCTGAATCTCCAGACGATATCTTTCTCCTCGGCAGTGAGATCTTGTGTCGGCTCGTATGACAATATCACATTCAGTTCGTCACGATTCTTGGGGTTGGGCTTGAGGTCCCGATCCATGAACCCAGTCCGATGGCTGCGAATCAAGCGACGGTGCTTGTCTTCACACGGGTTACCAGGCTGTCCAACCTCTGCATCGTAGATTTTGATGACTCCCGCACCATCACCGCCTTCAATTCCAGGGCCAAGACGGACTTCTGGAACCGGTTTCAATGCTGAGTTGGGATTTATTGGTACGCTCTGAGGATAGGACGAAATGGGCGGCGGAGCATACTGGTGATCAGCCCAAACGATGGGATGATCAAAACGAGGAAAGTCCACATAGAGGACAAAGTTCTCATCATCTATCTCCTCCTCTTCAGAACTATCGTCCTCGGCGTCACCTGTCTTCTGCTTCAAGGTCTTCATATGAATAGCTCGTTGGCGAGCAGCCTCTTCGGCCTGCATTTTCAGCTTCTCGAGCTGACGAAAGACCATTTGATCCATCCAGTCAATCCGGGTAATTTCACCTATTTCATGTTTCTTGATCAGGACTTCGATTCGTTCCAACTCCATCTCTTCCGGCGACAGGGCCAGCACGTCGCGAGTATTATGCTTTTGCCTCTTTGGCGTTGGCGTAGATGGAGTAGTAGTTGACGAGAAGCCATCCGCAGCTTTATGGCGATAGAGCTTGCACTTCTGCCGCCCTATCTTCAACTTGCCCTCGGTGTCGAACAGAGGAATAGTGGTTCCGCCGAATGGCACGTCATGACCCTGTGGTTCATCCCCTGCCAGCGGAGACAAATCCCAGACCGTGATTGCAAGCTGAGAGTTAAGCGGGGCATCCTTGATGGACATGGGCATTTGCAGCCATTCGTTCCATGCTCGGATAGTTTTAAATGCTTTGTATGAAGTCTGCAATGGAACGCCGAGGGGCTTCGAGTCCGACCATAGCTGGACTGTGACGAAGAGATCGGAGGAAGGGTTCTGGGCGGATCCCAGATGTCGTAATTGCGGGTTCTTGAGTAATCGCGAGTACGGTATTTGCTTCTGTTTGCCCTCCAGTGAGCCACTGCGAGGCTGTTAGTTATGCCCTTCCCGGAGTTGGAAGTAGAACTTACATCTTGACGCAGACAGGCAGGTCCACCTGCGTGGAAAGCGCAAAGGTAAATGCTTCCATGCTCGTGGGGCCCCTCAGTAAAGCAGCAAAGCTTCCCCGACGTCGCGGTGAGCTCCTGCGGGGACTGAGTCAGCTATCATCACGTGCTTTCATGTACACAATCAGGTGGATAGCTTCGACGGATTGCAGATAGCAAATTTAGATTGATTCTTGATTAACTGGGCTACTGTAGATTTGTTTGCATTTTTGTAAGATAGAAGTGACACAAATGATGAGATTTGAGACTTGTTTGAAGGCGAGTCATGCTCATCTTCGCGACGACAAGTCAACTTGGTCCTCCACTCAGTTCTCTTGCTGGGGAAAGTCAAGCTACGAGTGCTTTTTGGAAAAGATAAGCAGTCCCCTTTCTCACACTTGATAGCAGGACTCGGCATTCCCAAGTTTGATCAGTTGGCAATGGTTCAATGGTGGGACATTGCAAGAGAAGAGTACTTCAACCCTAAAGAGTTCGTCTCTTGATGTGCACTGCAAAAAACGCGTACTTGATGCCCGACGGCTACAAAAGTAAAAAGAAAATTCCGAATCGCGCGGGGGCCACGTCAATTCCAAATGATAGATCACAACTGCAGTGTGATTGTATCGAATCCCCGGCGCACCCCCACCGATGCGGTCACGTGCCGACACGCGATTCTTACGCGCCCGTCGATCATCGAATGTATCCTTTCGGCCCCCAAGTTACGGTGTGGTAATTATAGTCTTGACAGGGGTCTTTTTCGACTTTTGGACACCCTACTGTCTCTTTGGTTTTTCTTTGTTTGAACTTGCATAACCTTCGTGCGCTAAATCAAGCGCTAGTTGAGCATGGAGCGTGTCCCTCTTTCTCAGCTGAGTGAAGCAACTGCGCGCAGCTCCAGCTCTCCTGCAGCATCCAATTCCGACAAAGAAAATCCTCGAAGTGCCAACAAAAGAAACACCGCTCAGATGTTATCCTCGAGCCAGTCAGCGAAGCGCAGACGCCTGACCGACCGCGCATCCAACATCCAGTCGCGAGTGCCACCATCGTCGCAGCGACATAATAATACGCGATACTATGATCCTGATCAGGATGAGGCAGAAAGGAGGCGAACCCGCAAGAAATACAGAGATCTGACTGGTGATTTCAATGGTAAGCATTCTCATCTTCATTGTGCAGTGGCGATGTAACGAAAATGGACGTGTTCTAACATCTACCACACCAGACTCGCGAGCCGAGTTTATGCAGTCGGGGAACAACGGTATCTACGAAACAGTGTCCAAAGCGAACGAACTTTACGAAAGTGTCAAGCAAACCGCCGACGCGACCCTCGACTCGCGCCTCCTCGTCAACGCCGCCGATCTCTCGCATAAGAAGGCCGCGCAGCTCGCACTCGGAGACAGCGGTGCCGGTATCGATGTGGACGAGTTTGTCACCAAATGTATCTCCTTCATGCGACGCGGACCCGACAGCTCGGAGGCCATACCCAGCAGCACTCAAAATCGACGACGTCACCGCCGGAGCCAGAGAGAGGCCGACAGCGACGACGAGGATGGCACTGCGGGCGATGCAATGAATTGGGATTGGCTCGGTCGGGCAGCGTGTCTTCCCCACAATGCGAGACCCTCGGTGTCTGGATGGCTACTCGGCCCTTTGTCCGTGCAAAAGCGCTCACGGCAGATTACCCAGCGGACCAGGAACGAGCGCTTCGATGCGACACAGGCGGTCCGGCCACAGGACCTTGAGCAGGAGGATCTTGGCCAGCAGGAAAGCTCAAACCTTACTATGATGTGTGCAGTGGTCAATAAGCTGCTTTACGACGCTTCGAACGCCGCCCAGGATAAGGTGAACCGGAGCTTGACAGATGTTGGGGACCCTACCGAGGAGATGATTCAGGAGATTATGGATAAGCACGGTATTTCCGAGAACGGGGGCATAAATCTTTTCCGCTTTTGCATCAATCCTCTCTCCTTCGGGCAGAGCGTCGAGAACCTGTTCTATGTCAGCTTCCTTGTTCGCGACGGGACAATCGGTGTGCAACCGGACAAGCGTGGGCTGCCGACTCTTAGTGAGTGTCTTGAAATATCTTTGATATCGTTCGTAATATACTCACCATGAATAGTTTCTTCGACGCCATATGCACCCAGCGAAGCCCAGAAGCAAAAAATCCAAAAGCGCCAGGCCGTGTTCAGCTTGGATTTTGAAACTTGGAAAGAGCTAATCGAAGTGTTCAACATCTCCGAACCCATAATTCCTCATCGTGAAGAACAGGACGAGATAACTGGGCGAGCATGGGTTGTCTAGATGGTTCTTGACGCGATGCGACCATGGGAAATCGGTGTTTTTGCTTGGATTTGATGATACCCACTAGGCCAGATTTAGCAAACAGATCAGTTCGAACTAATTGGATAATTACATTCATCATTCAAGAAATAAGGTACCTCAGCGTTATCATATTTAGTCAAGCAGACGTCAAAGTGGAACAGAACTTTAGAAACGGGCCGAGGCCCTCGAAATCGATAAGCTGCGATTGGCGATCATTCAATCATCACGTCATCCCTTGGAGCTTCGTCGACTGCGCCTGCTCGATTCATAAAACCTGCGCGACTTTTCCCAGATGCAACGTTACTTCCCTTCGCAACGTGCATTCGATCCACCTCCAGTCTTACAATCTTTGAACTCTACCAAATCCCTCTGCCAGCTAGAGATAGCTATTGGCAACTGAGACATTCAACGCCAGGGAGCGTAGCTACGGATACGCAGAGACAGAATAGGCTGCAACAACGATGCCGCAGCTTTTCCCGCCCAATCCATCGGACCTGATGGTCATCCGCGCAGTGACGCCTGGCATCATTACCATGAGCCTGCCATTCGCGCGGTTCGGAATCTTGCGTTTCGGCGGTCGAGGCACGCTGGGTGAGTAGCGCCCTTGCAGATCAGAGCTCGCGCATTCCATGAGAAGGCCGAGGACGTGGTTAGACCCGAGCTAATCCTCCTTACGTGCTACAGTCAAGCTCTCCACGGGCGCCCTCGCCGTGTTCTCACCCGTGAACCTCACCCCGGAAGTCCGCGAGCGGGTCGACTCGCTCGGGGGCAACGTCAAGTACATCGCTGCTCCCGATCTCCAGCACCACCTGCACATCTCAGCCTGGAGGAAGGCCTATCCTCAGGCCGAAATATTGGCCCCCGAGGGCCTGTGGGAGAAGCGAAACAAGAACCCCGAGTTCAAGGGCGAGGAGCCGTTCCAACACGTTTTCAAAAAGGATGCCAGCCCCACGATCTCGGAGGAGTTCGACGCTGAATTTGAGACCGAGTATGTGCACGGGCATGGGTCCCGCGAGCTGGTCTTTTTGCACCGTCCTTCGCGCACGGTCATCGAGGCCGACATGCTCTTCAACCTGCCTGCCACTGAGCAGTACTCCAAGGCTCCCGATGCCAACCCGTTGAACTTCCTCACCAAGATTTTTAAACCCATGCTCTCGACCGGTGCGCCTGCGACTGGTCAGCGTCGCTTTGCTTGGTATATTCTGTCGCAACAGGATCGCGCGGCTTTCACCGCATCTGCGAAGCGCATTAGTCGGTGGGACTTTGATCGGATTATTCCGTGCCATGGGGATGTCATCGAGGTTGGGGCCAAGGGGGTATGGCAGGATGTGATGGCATGGTTTCTGCAGGACGACTCCAAGCATGTCTAAGACGGTTGTTCACTCAGTGTAGTGGGGTATTTGGGGTATTTGAGGAGTGTATTATCATTGTGTTCTTGAGTAGTTTTTGTTTGTTTTTTTCCAGAGATGTCTGATACCCCCTGTTGACGTCGTGGGAGGCTGGTGTGGTTCGTGTATAGTTATTCCAGGTACCAGCAAAAGATTATGATTATCGTTATCATCAGGAACCAGGAATAGTCCACACGTTCAAGTCTCCACACCGATCATCTGCCGAGGTGTAGCTTCTGTGCAGTCGATCCTACATGTCAAAAACATGCAGATGTTTCAGTGAGGCAATTGACAGTGCCTAAGTGGCCCGAAGTATCCGTGATCGGCCTCGGTTGCACACTGGTTCCCACCTGAAATCATTCCATCATCGTGCAACGCCCTTGAGGCGCCCCCACGTCATAAGGCTGAAATGGATCGCAGGCAAGGGCGCGACCTTACTCGAACACACGCTGCCATTTTTTTTTCCAGTGAGACTTGAGACTCGAGGTAGCCAGACATACCCTAGACATGCGTACGTTCAAAAACACCTGTCTAAGTACGCCGACCATGCGCAGCACCCCCAGGGCTGTGAGATCGGACAAGAGTATCGGACAAAAGCACAGGCTGCAATGATCGCCAAGTGGAGACACACTAGTCGATCGGGAACGTCCATGGGACATTAAACCAATTGGTTATTATTACCTCTAGGCACCGATTTACTCAAGTGTCAGCCACACTGTCCTCGCCAGCACATTCGCGAAAACAGGGATAGCCCCTATACACGCGGGACCACGGACCAACCCCGGGGGCCGCTCGCGTTGTCTAGGATTCTGACAGGTTTGAGCTCCTTGCTCTTTACTCCGGATAGCGAGGTCAGCCACGGACAGGGATCGATATGGCCATTGGGCATTCTGCACGCTACGCAATGATTGCATCGCAGCCACCTCCTAGCTCCTTTCGGGTGGGATCTGACGACACGGAATGACTCTGCAGAGTGGCTGTGGGTCCCGATACGTCCTTTTGTCTTTTTGCTAGTGGTATTTGGCTTTTTTTTTTATAGTTTTACTTTCTAGTTTTGGGCCTCTTTTTTTTCTAGTTTGTTGGCCCTTGCATCTGACGCGGGTTTCTCCCTCGTCGGTTCGGAGAATGCCCTGTGCGACAGACCTGGTGACCGTTTATATACCTCGTTCATCCCCGGGGAGGTGGTTTGCTTTTTCCACAGATCTTCAGTACCTGGTCTATCTTCGGTAGATTTCTTCGCCTGCTTTTACTACATTCGCATCTCGAGCTTGAGTCCAGATCCTCACCATGCCCGTCATCTCGCGCCTCTTCTCTATTCCCCTCCGCATTGCGGAAATCGCCTTTGCTGCGGTACGTGGCATAGCCTGCGTTTTCTAAATGTCTCCTCCTAATCTGGTCATAGGTTGTCGCCGGTATCATCGGCCACTATCTCGCCTCCTTCAACCAGATCGACCCCTGGCCGCAAGCTCGGTGGATCTACACCGAGGTCATCGCTGGCGTGTCGATATTGTTCGCTCTCATTTGGCTGATCCCCTTCTCGTCCGGCTTCTTCTCTTGGCCACGTACGTGTGACTTCTCATACCTCCGATCGTGTCGCTAACGTGGTTGCTCAGTGGATATTCTCCTTTCCTTCGCTTGGTTCGCGGCCTTTGGTATTCTTGTCAACGCGATCGACCAATTGCCCTGCGGCAGCATCTGGTCTTGGGGCTTCCGAGGTAACTCGCTTTGTTCGCGCTGGAAGGCTGCGGAGGCTTTCAGCTTCTTGTCCGCTATCGTTTGGCTTGTTTCGGCTCTTGTTGGTATCTGGTTTACTTGCCGCAAGCGTGGAGAGGCTAATGCGGGATCGTAAGTATTCCGTTTGATCGTTGGCTGGTACCGTTCGATGCTAATTTGTTTAACAGTGGCCGCCGCTGGGGCCGCTCCCGTGCTGCTCCGTCTGCCGCTTAAATGGGAGCTTGATGTGCAGGCCACCACAGCAGTCGTCCTAATGTTGGCATCGAAGTCTAGGACTATGTTGAATGGATGTGAAGATGGCTCGCTTAGTGGGACCGTCTGCACCACCTGAAAATCGTGGTGAATCTCGGTCGTTTCACAATAATCTTCTGACCTTCTCGTCGCATTCTCCTCATGATCATGGGGCAAACGAATTACGACTTACGTTGATGTTGATACCCTTGGTGGATGCATGATGCTTTTGATGTTTAATGATAGTCACTCGTTCACGTTCGCAATGAAACTTATTTACACAAACTGGTACTCTATTCCTTTTGTTTATCGGTGTTCCATTTTACAACTAGGTTATTTCTCGAGCCCCACCCAAGTCACTTATCATGATGCAACCGAGTGTTAAACTCGCTTCTACCCTTGTGTAACTTCAAGATACCGCTTTTGTTTCTAGTTATACTACATTTAGGTCCAGCCTCTAATTGGTGGATTGAGGGATCCCGGCATACCTGACTCAGAGGATGTTGTTTTAGGTCCCGTGGCTTAGAGGTACTTTAAATACCCTCACCCTCGCCAACTTCTTCCTATGTAGAATTCCCCATTCACTTCAGCTTTACACAACCCTTGCTACACTTTCTGCTATTGACTCCTTTCATCATGAACGTTCTACCACCACTAGATTACCCTCCCGTCAACCCTAGTGACTACCCTCATATCCCAACGCAAACGCCACCCACAATGCTCAAAAAAATGCACGCTCTTTGCGCCAGTGGGGATATTCAGGAATTTTGGGAAATTCTTGACTTACCACGCTCTTTTCCGGATGGATTCGACATATGCGATTTGTCTGCTATAATGATCGAAGCCATCAAACGAAACAGTGTGCTTTTTGTCAAGGAGCTCCTTCATCGCGGCATGCCGGTAGATCCACTCTATGCCCTCGAAGCAATAAAAGTGAAGGCAAAAGATATTCTAGAGACTTTTCTGGGTAACGGGTGGGATATAAATCAGCCGATGAGCGAGCTTAAACCCCCGGTGCTAGGGTGAGACTAATTATACCGGTGTTTTACTAGATATAGCCTTAACCATTTTTAGATATACTGTTACAGATGAAGAAATGACAGCCTGGCTTCTTGACCATAAAGCTGATCCTAATCGACAATGTGTTATTGATCTCACACCACTATCCCTTGCTGTCGAAAGCGCCCCGATTTCCGTCATTCGTCTTATACTCAGTCGTGGTGGTGATGTTCGAAAAGGCCAACTCCTCCATCATGCCATTGAACGGCAATCGGATGCTATCGATGTTTTGAATCTGCTAATCGAGAAAGGCGCACCCATCAATGCAACTGTATATGAAGACTACCCATCTTGGGCGTTGTTCCCGTTTATGGGTCTCGGCACACCTTTACACAGAGCACTTGAACGAAGAAGAGGGGATGTGGCTCGCTATCTGATCAGTAAAGGAGCCAACCAGAACACTAAGGATGCACAAGGTCGTGTACCTTTAGAGTGTGCGCAAATGACGAATCAGTTGGATGTCATTGAGGCATTGGAGAAAGGGAAGCAATCCTGTTTTTCCCTACGCTTGTATGCCTTTGCGTATCTTTTCGCACATTTGGAAAGAGTGCTGTGGTCCAATAACTACGTCAAAAAACGTGATACGCCTAAGTAGTGTTTATTTTAAAAGTAACTTTGTATAGCTTAGCGCGGTCTCGGGTACAAGCCGAGAAACAAGCGGTGTGTGTCTAGAGGGGAATCTGTTTTCGACTTTCACTTTAGCGCTGTAGATTTGTTTCATCCTTTGGGAATCGACGCCATTTCTGCTGGGCTCAAACGTCCTTTGGCGAGGACCCACTTTTATTTCATGTCGTGGTGATGTAAAGCTATCAGCCTCATTTCCGTGAATATTGTACGTATATTTCGCCTACTGAGGGCTCATTAATAGACGAGAACTTCTTACGACAGGAAAGACAAGATTCTGTCGATCCCAAGGAAGTGGAACCAAAAAAGGCAGAACTCAGGTCCGAATATTACATGGGGGAAGTATCCCCCACTCGGGCGCTCACCACACAGATTCATTGGAAACCGCGAGAATCCCGCCAAGCGACCGACCCTCTTTAGCAACATGAAACTCGGCCTGAGACGCACCCATCCAGTTGATTCGATGGCATCAGTCGACGAGATGACTAAGAAGAATGATGCTCGGGCATGTGGACCCCAGGGGGACCCAGGACCCAGCGATAGCTCGGGACAGCGTGGAATTTTAGTTCTCCTTGACGATGGAACCTACAAGGCTCTCCTAAAATGCATTGGCAACCAGGGACGACAAGCGAAGATGCCATTCGCTGGCCGTCGCCGGAGAGACGCAGCAGCGACTCGTACCCGCCCGAGGATCTGAGGACGCGGTATAGAGATGCCAACCCTGAGCGCGTCCCGGAGGCTCAACATGGCGACCGCGGAGATCTCGAGCGAGGCAGCGTGCCTCTCCTCCCCGGGCACCCCGACGAATTTGAATTCGACGATGAGGACTATGACGATTTCAGTGTCGACCGGGATACTGGCTATGACCCGCCGTTTTCCTGCACGTTCGCGGGATTTGTCGCATGGCTCCGCGGCCCCGTCCCGCCGCATGTCTATCGCATCAAACCTTGGTTTCCTAAGTGGCAAGCTGCGCCGGCACGCCTGGTTGATCGGTGGGCTCCTAAACGGTACATGAAAATAGCTGCTCTGTTGCTGGGAGTGGTATTTTGGATTGCCGTGTTCTTTTCATCCCTTAAAGCGTCTGTGGCGGGGCAGGAGGTTTTGGGCTACGGCAAGCCCGCCAAACTGTCGTGTCACCATCGCTTGTGGTACGTTTGCATTCTTTTTAAGTTGACTGGTCAATTTTTTTGTCTTTCTAAACTAACAATTATTTAGGAGTAATGCTACGGACTGCGGTATGAACGGGGAGCTCTGTCTGCCTTTCGACGAACAATCGTTCGCCTTTCGTTGTCCGTCAGGCTGTGCTGCCGCCATACTTCTGGAGCCGTACAACGTCGGTGCTTATGAGTATAATTACCAACCACTCGTCATCGGTGGCAAGCCATCGGGATTCCGTCAGGACGGTCGCAGCAGTGGCCACTACCGCGGCGACTCATCCATCTGCGCATCAGCACTTCATGCAGGGATAATCAACGACGCAAAGGGCGGCTGCGGTATTCTACACCGTAGAGGTGAGCAGGACAAGTTTGAGTCGTTCGAACAGAATGGCATCGAAAGCATCGAGTTCTTGTCTCATTTCCCCATGTCTTTCATGTTGACTCGCCAGGCCTCGTCGTCCGGGTCTCACGACGCGAAGCTGATTGAATGCTCCGACATCCGGTGGACGTTGTTTGCCTTTACTGTGGTTTACACAAGCTTCTTGTCAATGTTGGTGACTTCCGCACCAGCCTTCTACAGCGTGATCTACTTTATAGTGTGGTTCCAAGTCGCCATGGCGTCTGACCCACCCACCTCGGGCTACTACGACCTGGTCTCGATCGGTCTTGGGCGATTCTTCCCAGGTGCATTCGTCGGCTTCGCCATTTACTATTCCTGCGTGAAGCATACACTCCGTGATCTGAGTGCACACCTCGAAAAGACCATTCTGTGGCTCGGTGGCTGCTGGGTCGGTGCCTTGAACACGGACACTTTCGATCGCATCCCCATTTCGCGCCTCACCCCCCACGATATCCAACAGCAACCAGGTGGCTTCACGGCTCTGCTCATTATTGTGGGCTCCCTCATCGTGATCACCTTCCTCCAGGCACACTGTTTCCGTCGCGAAGGCCGCTTCTTCCCAATGCTGGGATTATATGGCCTCATGATCCTCATCATTCTCATCCTCGTCTCCGTGCCGCACATGAGCCTCCGCATCCATCACTACATCCTCGCCCTCCTCCTCCTACCCGGCACAACGCTCCAAACCAGACCCAGCCTTTTATTCCAGGGTATCCTCGTCGGCTTATTCATCAACGGCATTGCGCGATGGGGCTTCGACTCCATCCTCCAAACACCAGCATCCCTTCTCGACGGCGGCAAGCTAAACACCGTACCCCCACCAATCAATCCACCCCGCATCGAGGACCAAAATCACCTCATATTCTCATTCGAAGACCTTCCGTCGCACGTCGATGGTATCAGCGTGCTGGTAAACGACGTTCAGCGCTTCCAGAGCCTCAAGCCGAAAGGCAGCAGTCATATCAATGACTTTGCCTGGGGCCGTCGGTTCAGGAATGAGATCGAGTATTTCCGCTTCGGATATGTGCACGTCAATACGTTGGGCGGTGTTTGGTATGAGGATTTCTCGGAATCGGCTACTTGGGCGACTGATGGGAACTTTTTCTATCCGGTCTAGAACATAGATTGAGTTTGGCGTTCTTGTTGGATTAGATCCTGTACTTGTGGCGTTGAGATGTGCATACATGAGCATGCAAATCCATATAGAAATGGACTTTTTTGGGAATCACACGAGGTTCTAGAGCGCGTTAATGAATTGGACGGTGAGCCGTTGAACAACGTAGACATTAAGCCAACCAGGTCAGGAGTGCAATACTCTGCTCCAAACACAACAAATAACAAATAACAACAAACAAGATAAGCCTAGAAGATCAAACTTTCCCCCAAAAAGGCCCCTTTCCCATTTCCACAGCAGAATAATCGATCCCTTCGTCCAAAGCAGCGGACTCTTCACCCTCATTTTTCAAATGCAAAACCAAATCATTCAACCGCAAAACAAGATCTTCCAAATCCACATCGAAATCATCGGAATCTTCCGAGTCCACATCACGCCCCTCTAAATCCGAAACCGTTGAAACATTATCACTCGTCTCAAACCCATCAGGTCTCAAGTCCCCCCACTCATCACCCAGCACCGGATTCTCACCTCTGTCAACAGCAAAACAATACCCAAACACTTTCTTAGTAAAGATGCAACGATGATAGCAGCAATGGTGGCTCAGGATACATTTCTGCGTATTCTTCTGGCACTTTCTCATCCGACCAAAGCGCGGTGACCAGTGGCATGTCCCTTCATAGCAGTGTTGGGGAGGCTTGCAATCCTTCAGGTCTGAGCATCCTACTTGGCATATGCCGTCGACGCAATGGTGGTTCCAGAAGCATTCTTGGCTGGTCTCGCATTTTTCGGGCTCTTTGGGTTCTTTGGGGCCGGGTTTTTTGGTGCCTCGGACCGAGAGGTTAAGAATGGTATGGCTTGCTGTTGTGGTAAAGGACGGGTTGACTGATGTTACTGGTGTTGTTCGGGGGGATGAGAGCTGGGCTGTGGTCGTGAGGAGGAAGATGGAAATGGTCGGTACTGTAGATGGTTAGTGGAACTATTCTGCTGAATGAGACGTATGACTTACCGCTAGATAGAAGTTTCATGTTGTCATGTTGTCGAATTTATGGTATAAAATGAACAGATCGGTAAAGTCTTGGGAAGTATGAGATTGGTGATACGCGGGAGACGAAGAGCCTCACAATATCCGCTTCTACTTTTGACTCGGTGCCAAATCCAGAGAGCACCAATCCCGAACGGGTCTTCAAAGTTGTTGTACCTCGCCAAATAGAGCAAGCATCAAGCAAATAGGAAAAGCGTCACAAAGCCTTGAGCTGGACCGTGGAAATCTTGCCAAATCGAGTATTTACCTAGCCTCTTCATCTCTCATCACTTTTGTTCTTTCCTCCCTGATCAAAGCTCTACTGTTTGTTTCTCTGACTGTTTTTAATAGTCTACTGAAATCAACAGGACACACTAGCCTCCAATATTGCAAGACTCGTCACCCTCGACAACTGGTTTACATTGGTACTTTCTGTCCGTAACATGGCTTCTACCACTTCACGACCACAACACACCTCTACCGGACTGAAACCCAAGAAACCCAAGAAAGCCTCAACACGTCATACTATCCGCAGCATTGCCAGCATCATCCTCATCAGTCTAACGATAGCCAAATCAGCAACAAACGCACTGCCCAACATCACAAACACCCTCCCCCCTCACAACGGAAGCAACAACTTCTTCCAGCGAGCAGCAGCACCCCCATACCCTGACCCCCTGCGAATCCAACGTCGACTGCGACTAGGGGTACAAATGCGTCGATGGAAGGTGCGACTGGGGCTGCGATGACCAGAGTGACTGCTTGGCACCAACTTACTGTGCACATTGTTACCCCTGTGGCAAGTTCGCCGACAACTGCATGAATAATCGGTATAGACCTTGTAGTGCACATCTGGATTTTTGTACGTGGAATGAGCAGTGTTGTTCGGGGATTTGTGGGCGCATGGGGCACTTTAAATTGTGTCTTCCGAGGTATCGGGGTGGTTCGAGGGAGGTTGATGGTGAAAATGAGGCTGAGGTGGATGACGAGGTTGTTGAGTGATTGTTGATGAGTCTGGTCTTTCCGGGTGTCTAATTGCTCTTTGTGTATTACATTCATATCTCACTATATCGTCTTTCTATTTCGCTTTATCATGTTTAGAAAAAAAATGTATAATTTGATATCTTTGGAATCCATTAATTTTAGTATCTCAGACACCGACAAGGCCAGCATAAGAATTGCATAATATATACGCTGAAAAGAACCAGGACCGGTATTCGTTACAGAAAAGAAACCCGCAGATGCAAACTCCAAGGGGCTGATGCCGCCAGATGCAAATATTAAGAGGAAATGCAAAACACGAACTCAATCCTTGAGGTACTTGTGGCAGCGAACTTGTACAATGCTCTGCTTGCCGCCATCCTCAATGATCAGTGCGGTGAGCTTGCCACCCTTAACGCACCCGGAGTCAAGGCCCTTGGTGTATTCTCGGATGTTGAGACCTTGTTTGGCGTAGTGTCCGTATATGACTGTCGTTGTTTGCGAGCGAGGGTCTTTGGATGTTGCCTTGAGACTCGAATAGACCGTAGATTGATGCTTGTCAAACATCTGAAACGTGTTAGCAGATACCCTGCCTAAAATGGGGTCGGTCGTTTGATGGAAAGATCCTACCTTATCCCACTTTACTCCTTCAGTGTCTGAGCTCGGCACATGTGTCTTCTTATCAATGCTCCGCATATTCATCACAGCCGAGGGATCTTGCTTCTCGAGGTCCACGCCCGGTACTAGACCACCGTGCACCACAACCACCTGGCCCATGTTGGGGATCTGGCCAACCTTCAAGATCACTGGACACGAGTTCAACCATTCAACCTGCTCATTGCTAAGAGAACAAGCCAGCGCACGCTCATCTAGCACCTTTGACGAGAAGAATTCATCATTGTCTTTGCTTTCGCTTTCGGTGGCAGGAAAATCCTTGGACGCCTCGATGTTTCCCCGGTGAAGAAGGATCCGATCCTCGTGGTTGCCACGAACACTGGAGGCATTGAGTTCTCGCGCCAGATCCACAACACCTCCGCTGTCGGGTCCCTTGTTGATAAGATCGCCGGTAAATATAAGATGGTCGCCGTCTTCGCGAGAGAATGAGACTTTATCGAGTAATTTCACCACTGTAGAATCACCGTTAGCTCTAACATTCCTGACCGAATCCAGGAACACCTACACTCTTCCTTGCAGCCGTGTACATCACCCACCACAATCAATCGCTTCTGACTCCTTGAACCACTCTTACTCCCTTGTGTCTCGGGCCCAGGCACCAGCGCAGGGTCCAAGGAAGCAATGTGTGTCAGTTCGTCAAACCGTGGCCGGGAATTCGTGCCGAACCACCCGCCAACATCTGCCTTCGTAGGGTCCAGCGATTGCTGCAGCGTCTCTCGCTCCTCCAGTGCCGGCGACATCATGAATGTCCAGCCGGTCCAGCACAGCGTGAACAGTGTAAGGTAGAGAAGGACGTAGCGGCGGAATCGCGGCGCGGAGACGACAGAGCAGGCTATTTGCAAACAGTCTGGGTCCCTGTCATCGGGGGAAGAGGAGAGGGGGTGGTAGGTGGGGTTGGAATTCGACTGCCACCCGTTTCGAGCGGAATCGATTAGCGGGCGAGAGACGCGTGAAAAGCGCGAGCGTGCGTTGGGGGCGTAATAGGAGTCCGCCTCGTCGTAGTCGAGATCTGAGCCGTGGGCGGCCATGGTCGGCAATGTTGAAGGAGAAGGCCCTTAGCTTGTCCAGGAGGCACGGAGCTACACATTCGTCGACTCGGCGGATGAATGTTGGCGCGGCCGTGTTACGTATCTTCCCCGGGGCCGCTTTTCTTTTTTTGGATCGCCGGTGGTCGACAAGGTACCCTTTGCATTTGGTTCAACTGCCGAGATACGAGATGGCTATACGGCTGTGAGGGTTTGAACTGAAATAAGTTCATTTCTATTAAATATGGACTACCGATACTTCTCGTATTCCTCGACCTCCTTTCTGCGGAGACTAACCCGCTGGAGGACGATATCGTCGTATACTTCCTCCACCTTTTTGCCTTCACGAAGCACCTCGCGTTCGTGTCGAGCGGCCTCGTCCTTGGTCATGCACACCAATTCCTTCAAATCAATAGGAGTATACTTCTGACCGTCTTTCTCGTATGTCAGATCCATCCCGAAGCCCCGGGCTGGCTTTTCCCAGGGGATGAGAACAAGACGATTCGACAAGCCGGTGATAGCACTCTTGCCACGCCACACCTCCTCCATCAAGAATGCGATGTCATCCTTGCTAATTGGGAGACGCAGTCCGGTCGAATCTTGTCCCTCAACCTGCCGTGCCATCTTTTCCATAAAGCTTTGCAGGAATGTTGCAGTAGCTTCGTACATCTTGTCGCGGCCCTTTCCACCCATGTTATACTCGATGGGGTATCCACTCACACTGCAGATAACGTGGTTGGCCACGGTGTATCCAAAGACAGCGGGCATAGTTCCCAACACGGGGAGAATGCGCACCCGGAAGTCGGGGAGGACACCAAGTTCGCCGACTTGGCCCTTGGCGAACTCTTCCTCGGGGAGGGGGAGCAAGCTTGCCTTGCCCGGGCCAGGCTTCTCAGTGGAGAAAACTGCCGCAATGCCTGAGGACACTCCAAGGGCCTTCAAACGGCGGCGTGTGCTGCGGGAGAGAGGATCATCGGTGCTGAGCGAGATATCACCCACGACAACCCGAGTAGGGTCAGACTTGCAGCCAGCACCCATAGATGAGATCACAGGCAACGAGTTCTTGTGGCAGTAGTGCAACAGGTCCACCTTTGAGGTGATGTTGTCAATGCAGTCCAGCACGTAGTCCGGCCGACGGCCCTCGCCGTCATGTGTTAAAGTCCAAGGTGCAAGCAGATGATCCGCGGCATCCTTGCCGAACAGTTCGTTGCGGCAATCAAACATCACCCACGGCGCAATCTGCTCCAACCTCCTCCGAATGCAGTGCACCTTTGGTGTTCCAACGTCCGCTAATGTGGCCAGCGCATGGCGGTTGAGCGAGGAAAGTGTCACTTGGTCAAAGTCAATGAGTCGGACCTTGGCCACACCAGACCGAACCAGCGCGGCGGCTGCATGCGATCCGACACCACCACAGCCGACAACCACAATGAAGGAAGCCCGGATTTTCGCGAGGCCTTCGTCGGTGAGGAACACGCGGTTGCGGGCAAGTTGTTCAAGAATCAGGTCTGTAACGTAGCCGCGATTCGTTAGCTAGTCTCCCTTAGATGAAATATGATCTTTCGCACCATCGTCATAATCTCCTTGTTGCGCCCGGCGAGCCAGAGCGGCACTGCGCTCATCCTCCTTGCTCATCGGGATTGCGGTGTTGGGGATACCGAGTGCTGTGAGCTTCAGCCCTGTCGTCAGCCCTGCTTCCAATTGTTTGCACTATAAAGGTACCAGCGAGCTAACCTTCTCCGCATGGTGCTGCTCATCAATGTCAGGAATTGAAGCCTTCAGGTCATAAACAGCCTCCTTCCGTCGATAAGCCTGGTATCCAAAAATGGCACCCGCAACAGCCGCGCCGGACAGAACCGCAGTCGTCGCAAGCTGGGAACTTTGCGCGCCAGCCTGGCGCTGGAACCAAGACGACATATTCCCAATCACACCTCGCTCGTCTGTCTCTGGATCGTGGTCTCGGTGGTCTCGTGGATCTCGTGAAGTCAGGCGGGGAGTGCGGTCAGGTTCGGGGAATCTATCGAGATCGTCAGAATCGAATCCGTAGTCGAGATCGGCGTCGTCGGGCGTCTGCCACCACCTGGGACCAGGGGGCGCCATCTTGAAGACAAGAAAGTCTTACCATCACCAGCTTGGGCGTCGGACCTCTTATAAGCTAGGAATGCACGTCTGCAAGCCCATGCGCTCATCAGTGGAACCACGCCGACGCTATCACGTGAGAGGCCGCGGCCGCGACGCCAATTCCGACGACACGTCGTTCTTGATTGACCGCGCTTCATGCAGCAGGTACGTTGTCTATCGCAGACCGGTGGGTTTGACAAGCTCAGTGACTAACACTCAAACAGTTCTGAGAGAACTTCTCGTTTTCCAGTCTCGATGACGATAACCATCACTTCCAAGAGCTTTTCACGACACACCCAGATCTCTGGGCTGGGCAGCGGACTTCATCCCTTGGCGGCTTCAGCGTTGCACTTGTGGAAGGAGACGTTTGTTCCTCTGTGGTTGATTGAGAAAATGAACAGAGATCTAAGAGACTCGGCGATCGAGATCGTTCTTCTCGTGCCAGCCGCATGCCTTTGTTTACGGGTTGACACTCGAGCATACAACATGTCTGGCGCAAGTGTACATACCGCAAGTTCTCGAAAAAATACTACTAATTTTGAATGTCCATATTTGTTCCCCATCTCACGCTCGGTCTCTGCAACATCGCGTGCCTCTCCGGCATGTTTTGATGCATGCAATCCAGTGTCTTGTTCCTGATGGCATTTCCTATCTGGAAATATCACATCTTGAATGTTCACCCAATGACGAAATTCACTGTCGCACCACTCCGAGGCTCGGTATATTACTATTAATGCTCCGTCTGTACACCTTCAAGGTAACGACGTCGAGCATGCCGATGACGAGTGACAACAAAGGTAGTTTTCAATCCGAGGGTATGAGCTATTCTACAAATTCACATGCATTCTCTTCAATTATCGAGGTGTTGACTGACACGCTCCAGAGCTGCTACATAATATGGAATCTGGGATAAATGGTTCTCTAGAAGGACATTGAAAATGACGTGCTCGGCATTACTGTGCTCAATGCAGTACAGAATCAATTCAACTAACAGATCCATTTAACTGAACCCAGCCGGATTACTTTCGGAGCCATGGGGATACCATTAACTGCATGTCCATGCTGTGAAAATAACAGAGTCGGGCTGCGAACCCTGCGGCCGACATATGCCAAAATTTCAGGACGTGATGGCCTCATAGCCCTGTGATCTCGTCTCGTTTCGGGATGATGCCTCCAGGCCCTCTATATAAATACTCCTCCTTCGCTTTCCTCTCTTTTTCTTCTCTCCTTCACATTCTTCTCTTCTTCCAACCGCCGGCTTTCTTTCTCTCCTTGTCTCTTCCTTCTCCTTCCTACTTTCTTCGACCATCGACCTTCTTCTCTCTTTGGCTACTAATCCTCCAGTCTCCAACAACTTCTGTTCTCTTCCCTCGTCCTTCTTCTTTGCGTAAATTTGCTTCATCTTTCTCGTAATCCTCCGTCCTTTTTGTCTGTGGGCTTCTGTTGCAATTCCCTTTTCTTTTTTGTGTGGGCTTGACATTCTGGGCACTCTGGTGACCCGCGGTGCGTTCGATGATGAAAGCAAGCCAATTCTGCAGACATCGGTTGTGAAGGTCGCGAGGCTATCCGATCTGAGGTCCATGCTATCGTCCTTCGGGAGAGCTTTACTGAGAACCTGTGAAATGTCTTGATGCATCTTCTTGTATTTAGTTTTTATTTTTCGTGAGGCCCAATATTTAGCATGAAGATCTCCTACGAGAAGAACTGATGGGAAAGAAGTATTCAATTCACAAAAGAGAACGCCTGGTGATGCAAATTTTGTCCGCACGCTGCAAAAAATACAGAAAAGTCATTAATACGATCGAGCACCACCGTGCCCTCAACAGAGACAAGCGTCTACTGCAAGAATCGGCCCAGTGCACCTCCGATGTTCTTCAGATCGAGGAGGAAAGTGTCATGTCCGAACATCGAGACGTCTTCGCCGAGCTCAATGTGCTCGACGGTCTTGTTACCACCCGCACGGAGGGTCTCGGCGATCTCGCGCTGCTGCCAGGCTGGGAAGAGGATATCGCTGGCGACACCCATGACGAGGACTTGGTGGTTCTTCAGAGGCGCGAGGCCGGCGATGAGGTCGCTTGGGGGCTCGTCTGATGTTTTGGAGGCTACGGACCGGTCGGCTGGCGGGACGTTGGCGGTTGCCTCGGGCTGTTCCTCGTACGGCCTGTCGGGGAGGGTCAGGCTGCACGCAGGGTCGGCGACGTTGGGAGAAATACCGCCGCTTGCGATGCGGGCTTCTGCCTCGGCACGGCGACGACGGGCTTCGGACTGGTGGGCGTGCCCGAGATCGAAGAGATCCATGGCCTTGGAGACATACAGCAGACTGTTGGGGTCGTACTCGAGACAGAACTTCTCGCCGGCGTGGTCGAGGTACGTCTCAATGAGGAAGTCCGGGCACAGCGCGGGCTGTTTGCTAGGGTCAGCGCGCTGACGACCGAAGCGCATCTCCCACTCGGGTCCACTGCGGTAGGTGACCGTGGCAATCTCACGAGCCAATTTCATTCCCGAGTGCGGCGGGATGGCATCGTAGTAAAATCCGCGTGCCCAGTTGGGGTCCATCATCAGAGCTTGTCGCTGGGTGTGGCGCATCGCAATGCTGTAGGGGTGACTACGAGCGCAGCCGCTGATGCTGACGATCTTGCCCACGCGCTCGGGGAACAAAACTCCCGCAGCTAGACTTTGCATGCCGCCCATACTGGAACCGACGGAGGCTGCCAGCTTCTGAATGTTCAGGGCATCCAAGAGCCGGAATTGGGCGCGCACCATGTCGTTCAGTGTGAGGATTGGGAATCGTGTCGCATACCGCTTCCCATCAGATGGGCCTTTCGATGAAGGCCCGGTGCTGCCGTAGCAGCCACCGAGTACGTTGGTGCAGATGATGAAGTACTTGTTTGTGTCGAGAGGCAGGCCGGGGCCAATGAACTTTTCCCACCAGCCGGGCTTCGGGTTAGATGCAGTGCTGTGGGCATGGCTAGATGCTGACAAGCCCGTGTGCAAAAGGATCGCATTACTTTTGTCGCTGTTCAATTGACCCCAGGTCTCATAGGCAATGTCAAACTCCGGCAGCACACCACCCCAGTCGAGGAGGAGCGGATCATCACAGTGAAATTGTTCGTGCTGGCCAGTCGTGTATGAAGGTTCGGGTCCCGATTGCAACGATCGAGCCGAGAGTAGGGCTGATTTGGCGTCTTGGGCATCGAGGCAAGGAAATGACATAGCAGAACTACCCAAGTTCTCGGGAGTCGACTGCGCAGTCGCCAATGAGGACTTTCGTGGCTGTCCACTGTGTAGTAGTCTCGAATGCGCCGATAACGGCCGAGGTGCGCCGGCGAGCATCGATAATGGCTCATTGGGTCGCCATTGTGCGGCACGAATGGTGCGCGATGCAGAGCGGGCGGCACTCTGGAGCGAACGCATTGCGACGGAGTTTGGGAGTCGTGGGATTGAAAAGCAGTTCCGGAGAATAGCTATCGACGAAGGTCATATTATATTTCCCGATTGCGCAGGCGGAGACGCCATTTTGATGCCTCAGGCGCCAATTTCAATATCGCGTCATCTGGCTTTGCGGTGATTGGTCAGAGTTCGCCGCGGGCCGGCAACGTTTCTTGTATAGATGTGAATCCACTGAAGCTTATTCGCCGCGGAGTATGGGCTGCGATTAATAAACAGCTGCGTGATTCTTGGAATGGATTTCCCAGTCAAACTAAAAGTCATCACATGATACATTTAGTCTGAGCAAGGCGGAGGGGAGGGTATTCTACTGAGACAGGTGGCGAAAATATATATACGTCATTGCATTTGATGCGAAGGCATATTTAATACATAGTATCACGCGGAGTATCTATCTCTAATGCTGGTAATCAAACGCCTTGTCCGGTGCAAATGCCATAACCCATCATGAGGGTATCGCTCGATTCACAAGTCCAAATGCTCAAAACGCCGTGTAATGCTAATGCCGACCAAGGAAATAAAAATATAAAAAAATGAAAGGGATTGCGAGAAGTGACCTGGTTTGACCAGCTCACTTAGAGGCTTGTTGTGGAGTTGGTGATGGAGTTGATAGTGTGAGTAGTGGAGTTTCCAAGAACCTGGAGCTCGAGAGAAGCCATAATGATCGTGTTGTTGTTGGACTGAATGTCGATGGCTGAAGCATACATACACCGCCAGCCTTCACAGTTTGCGTGGAAAACCATTCTCTTCCCGTCGGTAGAGACAGTTGCGCCACCGGGTGCCTTCAGTCCGAAGTCACCAGTTTGCAGGAGCGGTTGAGGGGCCCGAGTGTATGGTCCCTTGACCGACTTTGCATGGGCATATTTCACGTTGTAACCCAGAGACGTAAAGCAGTGGGATGAGAAGAATAGGTAATAAGTGCCGTCCTCGGTGCGGATGATATCGGGAGCTTCGACCAGTGGTCCGTCCGTCTTGTTGATGTCGAGAATAATTGTCGGTTCGCCAACCAGAGTGATGCCGTCGCTCTTCACCTCTTGAAGCATAATCGGAACAGAATGGCGCGGTATCCTGGAGTTGCCGCAGTAGCCTCCACTACCGACGCTATTCCCGTCACCTTTGTAGACAACGTACATCGTGCCGTCCTCGTCTCTGAATGGCGATGGATCGATAGCACCGCCGTATTTGTGTGGACAGGCAATCGATTCGTTGAGAGGGACGTAGGGACCGATAGGATCTTCGCCTTCGGAGACGGCAGCCCCAATGCAGTGGTGGGTGCCAAAGTCCTTGGCCTCTCCGGCGTAGTACATTACGAACTTTCCATCGTCCTAACTTTTCTGTTAGTCATACACCTTCCCCAAGTCACAAATATTCAAATGAGTCACTCACCCGTCGAATCACATCCGGAGCCCAGTGGTTCACCTTGCGTTCCCAATTGCCAATGGTCGGCAGCGCGTCGTGGTCCTTGACAAGGGTCCAGTTCACAAAATTGTTCGACGTGGCGACGGGAATATGAATTGAATTCGGATCGTTCTTGTGCGGGTTCGTTCCAAAAGCATACCACGTGCCGTTATACTCCAGAAGACCGGGGTCCGGGAAGTCGTGGATGGCCCAGATGGGCGCGTTCTCCTCGATATGGTAACTGGGGCTATTATGTTTCGGTCTGTAAGGCGTCCAGGAATCGCCGTCAATTTCATTTTGGTTGCGCTCGCGCCCTTTTACGAAGACGATGGGGAGTGCAATGATCAGTGCAAGTAATGCCAGACTCAAAGCTCCCAGAATACCAAGTATTGTGAGGTCTCGTCGAGTCCACGGCCGCGAGAAGATGCTCTTTGTCTTTCCACCACCCTCGAGGTCTGTCAATGGCTTTCCCTCCAACCCCGTTTGGCCATTCTCACTGCCGGACAGGTGACTATCCGATAGTGACTGGACAGATGGCGTTGGTCTTACGTCGGGGCGCTTTAGACGCCCGGCGAAGAAACCTGCCATCGTGACAGTGCGGGGGAATAACTTCCTGCGCGATAGTGATCAACTCCGGACTTTTGCACGGAGATATAATCAGCCCGGAGTATGGGCGTTAAATAGGTGCGCGACTGGGGGTAAACGGCTCTCAGCACCGAGTCAAGAAGGAATAGTGCACCGGGCATCAACAAGGCTGTCCATCGCTCTTCTACTTAAAGGCTGTTCACGCGGATCTCGGGGGCCAAAATTGAAATAGCAGAGTCAGAAAATCCAAGCGGGCAGCTTCCTCTTATGCGGTAACTACGGACCCAGGGGCTAGCGTTCAGACGGGCGAAACGATGTGAAACGGGATTGTAAGCCGAGGCGCGACCGATTGGCTCTAAATTCGGCTCTAGATCCAGGCAGCAGTCGAGTGGCCCGGATGGAAAGTTTGGATGGAGCATCGGCAGCCCCATTTAGACACTAAAATCTAAAGAGACGGGGGGGGCCTGGGGGGCCGCCCTACAAGAAATCCCAATCACACAAACGTGGCGCGGGATGAGACCATGAAACTCAGTACCGAGATAGGTATCTTCTACAGCATTAGTCGGATCTTCTCTGGTCCTTGCAGGCCACTGAGTCCGAACAGCGATCCGTGGACCCTGAGTCCCTCCTGGCTCTCATTTGAGGCTTAGGGACTCTGGAGTCAGAATCGATTATCCCGGAGGCCAAGCTTTTGTGAGTGGTCAACAGGGACTCTACTAGCCAATGATACAACATGCAGAGTTCGCCAGTCGCTTATCTTTTTCTCGTTTTGGTTTAGTGTGACCCCTTGTCTCCTGCTGATCTGCCCGCCCCGGGGCGCAGTCTCACTTTTCACGCATGGCCAGCTCAGAGAAAAAGAGCCATGCTTTTTTTCTGTTCCGGACGGAGCCCAAAAATGGATATTGTCCGTAGAGTCGCAGGCAGACATGCATGGTTACCGTTCAATAGGAACCATGGTGCTGCTCTCAGGTCTCAGGTCTCACTGCAGAGTGGAGTCAACAGTCCGCAGGTGCCGACGATTGGACTGATCTATCGGCTCCCGGGCCCCGGCAACACGATTTGATTTTTTCCTCTTCGGCACGTCCATTGCACCCCATAGATTCGGTAACAATATCCAAGCGGTCCTTTTTCTCCAGGTCAATCTCCACCGAGTGACACACGAGAGGGAAAATTTATGAGCCACACATGGAAGTCCTCGCACGCACGTGGGCTCCCGCCCTTACAGTCCCACCGTACTTCATACATGCTACCACTTTACTTGGTGCAACAACGGTGTATCAATGTCCATCGTCTATGTATAGTAATACACTAGTGCATGAAAATATCTGCCGTCAACCCTCTCGATCTCCATCAGATGATCCAGCCGGTTTGCCGGTGGCGCAGAGGGACTGTAGAAGGGACTAGGGTCCTAAGGCTGCCAATTTTAGAAGCCTGGGGCCATCGCTAAATAGCACACCGCCACGCGGCGTGATCTCCATGGAGTAGACCTTTTAATGCATCCGATCTACACGCATAAGCATGCGATAGGTCGAGGTTCCCGTAACCCAGAGCCTCCTCAATCCGGATGCCCAACTCCTGAGCGTCAGATCAAGGATTACGTCAGCTAATGTATTGCCACTCCAGAACGACTGATTGATGTTGTTTGTGTCAATGTTGTAAGACTGATACTTGCTCCTGTGTGAGATTGAAAAAAAAAACCAATAAGTGCTTCGGATGTTTCGCGTTTGCATCGCACAGATATCCGTCGTTGGCGTTCCTTGTCTGGCCAGATGACCCTTGACCCTGTACGAGAGATCTGTACGAATCGAAACGAAACATCAAAGCACTTATTGGCCTTTTTCAAAGGTTTACCAGGTTGTATTCAGGTGCTTGGTCGATGGTTCGAGGAAAGTTCGGAGAAACAGGTTTTGAAAAATACAGTAGCGAATGCTGCTGACCTGCGGTTGACTGGTTTTATAATCTGACCACCATCGGAGTACATCTCGTTTTTGGGACGAGGCCCAAGTGGTCTCGGGATTCGAATACCTCGTATAGGAGTATGATATCTGTGCTTGCTGATGCATCAGAGCGTATTGCGCAACCTGAGCCGTATTGTCAAAAGCTGAATGTGATCGTGATCCGAGATGGGAATCGTTCCGGTCATTAGTAGCATACTGGTCAGGGAAACGCTTCAATAGACTCCATATACGCCTCCTTTAGGCACTTTCCGCTTGTCGGACAGCTATGATCTCATCGATAAGGGTGGTTCAAGGTGAAAACCACGTCCCAAGTGTCAAGAAAGCGGCGACAGAGGAGGTGAAAGGTAAGTGTTATCGAGCTACATCGAAAGCGCGTGATGAAGTGGGTCCATCACCACCACCAATCATATGGCAAGCCCTAGTTCTAAGCGGCACATCATGTGACGCACAACCCACTTGCAATATTCAACCACACCACAAAAGATTCCTCTCCCCGACCAACGACAACCCGTGCACTTTGAGCCCATTCACGACCACCCCAAGGAGGCTCCGACAAGATGACTGTTCGCAACCAAGGTACGTTCTATGCGTGCTTTCAATCGCCCGTCGCTATTCGATCGATTGTCGCCAATTCACCAATACTGACCGATGAATCCAACAGGTCTCGCCTCTTCGCGGAGCAAGTCCCGCAAGGCTCACTTCTCTGCCCCTTCCTCCGAGCGCCGCGTTCGCATGTCCGCTTCCCTCTCCAAGGAGCTCCGTGAGAAGTACAACGTACGTTATTTGAATCGATTTCAATCTGGGTCTGGCCGAAAAAGGGTTTTCGAGAATTGGGAAAACGGGCAACACAGGCAACCAGCAATGAACTTGGGGAACAGGCGATTCTAACGAAACATGAACCAATAGGTCCGCTCCATCCCCCTCCGCAAGGACGACGAGGTCACCATCGTGCGCGGCTCCAACAAGGGCCGTGAGGGCAAGATCACCTCCGTCTACCGTCTGAAGTACATCGTTCACGTCGAGCGTGTTGTCCGCGAGAAGACCAACGGCCAGAGCGTTCCCCTCGGCATCTCCCCCTCCAACTGCGTCATCACCAAGCTCCACCTCGACAAGGACCGTGAGCAGATCCTCGCGCGCATCGCCAAGGGTCGTGAGGCCGTCAAGTCGGCTTAAGGGATATCTTACGTGTGGGGTTTAGGTTCATGTTGCAATGGCGGTTTGACGGCGCGGGTGTATTAGAGGGCTCCTAAAGAAATGGAGGTCCCAACCTGCTATTATCAGGATCAACTTTTCTGAAACCTGCATTGCGATGAATGAAAAATGAAAAATTTTCCTTTTTCTTCCACCCTGGAGTGGTGCTTGCTGAACCATGAGTTCTGCGACGCTGGAGTTCTCTTTTCCTTACATTTTCCTGTGCGTATAGGAACTTCCGTCGAATGCTACAGTGCAATCCGAAAGCTTCCCTTCCTTTCGTCAAGCGCTTCCCTCGGCTCCTTTTTATTCGCGCTCGCTCGGCGTTGTAGCGACCCTTTTTGCCCTCCACTTCGGTGCCCCAGTTTCCTCTGGACATCCCAAGTATCGCCTGATTATCTCCTCATCAATCCCGATTCCTTCGGGGCGGAACCTATGGTTCTTGGGGTAAACGATTGGCGTAGAGAATATTGCAGACCTTCTGGGAAGCCAGGAGTGTTTGTCTCACTTGCAGACCTACTCTGAGCCTAATGGCTAGGACGCAGTGGGCTTGATAGTGAGGTAAATCCATTACTCTTTATCAGAGTGTAGACCGCACCGTAGAAGTTAGTTCTTTGCTGGGGAGTCCTAGATTTACTTGCATCTCAAATATCAATTGGTTACATTTATCTGAATCTGATCTCTCATATCGTTCTATCGGTGTTCTCGTTACTACTAGACAGCATTTGAGTGCTCTAGGCTACCTTACACTAAGTTGTTTGTGTACCTAAAACCCCCGCCGATGTAGCATCCCGGTGGATTGCAACATGCAGGGCACCAAACAATTAAAATAGAGGTTTTCTTGCCAGAATCTTGATGTTTACGGGCTATTGTAGTACTTTGGAATATTTTTGCAGCTCTTTGCTTGGAATTCGTGGTCGGTTTTGTGTTGGAGGAAGAATATCGCGGAAAGTATATTTACAACTACTGCGGCTCAAATTTGATAGGAAAATTATTCAACCACAACCTTGAAAATCCTCTGAAATATCACTTGATGCCATAAATCGAGGAGTTCCCCCAAATATAACGAAAGTACTTCAATTGATCTTTACGCTAATAAGGGGCGTCAAGCCTTACGTGGTAAATGAGCTTCCGCAGAAGACCATGATATTTCTCAAGTGAAGATTGGAGATAATGGGGATGACTCCTTTATAAGCTTCCCCTAGATGTATTTTGAAACATAGTTTTTGCCATATCAGGCTAATTTTCGGAGTATAGATACTTTGAGCCCTCTCATGACTTCGCAGCTGTTGGAGACTAAGAGCTTGTACCGTGTCGGTATGCGTCTTCGATTGCGCTGTTCATCGCCTTCTGGCATCTGAATTTTGAATATACGATTCGTAAATCGATACCCCTGGGTCCATTTACTTCCAGGATTTGTAACAATAGGCAGCTTTACAAGCCCCTGCCCATGTCGTCGTCAGCTAAGCTTAACCATCAGGCTTGGAATGTCTTGGCGGAAACGGCAACTTGTTCAGGAGCTTTTCACGCTTTCCCAGACATTGAAAGGCTATTGCTATTCTCGAATCCATGGGCGGTGATCATACTATGCCCTATTTACACCGACTAGTCCGGAGGCGTGCCAGCTCTTGCACAACGTCTCGGCTACCCCGAGGGGGGGGGACATCCCGGTCGAACTAGCCTACGGGGAGCTTCCAAGAGCACCGTAGAGAACGACCATATGTTCAAGATGACAGAATGGCTCCTAATATAGATGAATCCATGCTAGAAACGCAGGGGCCTGTGGTTGTTTCCGGTTGTTTAGACGGCTGATCACAGCCTCTGGATGGATCAAGCAGAGCAACTCGGGCACGCAGCTGACCGAAGACTGACCTGGATCGACAGCTTTATAATATCAAGTATACACGATCAAAATTACTCTAGACTTATGCAGCATATTATATGAATTGCCTCATTGCGGTCCTGCGGGACTGAACGTGCCCTTTGAAGGTTCGGGGCGATCATTGTCCAGTACGGATGCGAATTGCGAATTGCAAATTGCAAACTGCGGGGTCAAAATTTGAACTGAACGATTTTCGAGATGAAACACAGACTACTGTAGCTCTTGGTCAAAATAAGGAAGAACCTCGGAATTCTCGCAAATGGAAGACAACGGGCCACGTGAGCGGCTCCACCAAAACGGCGTTGTAGATGCGCCGATGCGCCTCCCGCCATCGTGGCATACGCAATCCGCAATCCTCGTTTCTGCCATAAAATCCGAGCTCGGCCCCTTCAACTCCGGCCTGCGTGGTAATTCCTCTCCTCTGCCAGCAATCCACGCCCAGCCGGACACCGAATCGGCCCGAAGTTTAGACCGCCGTGTCTCCTATTCTGTTTGCGGTACGACCGTGTACCTTCCGATCGGCATCGGAGCGTCGCATCGTGGAATACGCATTTGGACATATGCAACAGGACAGAAGATTTCCGACATGCCAATTCTCCGATACGCCTAAGCTCGAACTCTAACGCATCCACGCGCCTGCGGCCCGGACAGCTATCAAGCTGCGACATCTCCTGATCCCTATTCGACCTCCGCAGTGCCAATCAAGCACCTACGCGGCGTGGTTTCCCCCGTCTTACCGGTGCGCGTGGCTGTCGCAATCTTGACAGGGGGGATTCGGCCTGTGACACCGCCGCTATGCCGGGATTCCGCAAGTTGATCCTCGCCGCTATCTGCCTTATAACCTTCATCTTCGTTATTCGCTCGAGTCGTCCCTCCGATGTCCCTGGTGCGCCTGGATACAGACCTGTGAAGGAGATCTTTGACGAGGAGTCGGATTCGCTTAGAGAGTCGAGGAGGCAGACAAGGCCGAGAGGGCAGATGCCTTTCGGCTCGTCGCCGACTGCGCCGTTACGCGATCGCCTGCGGTATCAATTCCCCTATGACCTCGAGAGGAGTTTCCCCGCATACATTTGGCAGACTTGGAAATATACGCCGGCATCGGTTTGGTTCGAGGAGGGTCTGCGCGCCTCGGAAGCAAGCTGGACCGAACTCCACCCGGGCTTCACGCACGAGGTGATTCCCGATGATACGCAGAGACATTTGATCTGGTATCTGTATGGCTCGGTGCCGGATGTATTCGAGGCTTACGATTCCATGCCGCTCGCGGTAATGAAGGCGGATTTCTTCCGCTACCTCGTTCTTCTCGCGCGCGGTGGGATCTACAGCGACATCGACACATTGGCTCTAAAACCAGCCCACTATTGGCTCCCCGAAGAGCTGGACCGATCGAAGATTGGTTTCATTGTCGGCATTGAGGCCGACCCCGATCGACCGGACTGGCATGATTGGTACTCGCGCCGTATCCAGTTCTGTCAGTGGACCATTGTCTCGAAACCGGGTCATCCGATTTTACGTGAAATGGTCGCATACGTCACCGAGGAAGCACTGCGCATGAAGAGACTCGGTATCTTGAGGCAGGGCAAGATGGACAAGACCATCATGGAGTTCACAGGGCCTGGAGCCTGGACTGATGCGGTCTTCCGCTACTTCAACAACCCGGAGTACTTCGATACCCGGCCTGGGGATAAGAATGTCACCTATGAAGATTTTAGTGGCCAGAGTATTCACCGAAAGGTCGGTGATGTGGTTGTTTTGCCTATCACCAGTTTCAGTCCTGGAGTTGGCCAAATGGGTGCTGGATCCACCGACGACGACATGGCCTTTGTGAAGCATAACTTTGGCGGTAGGTTTTCTATGGCACTACTTCATTGTTGACGCAATGCTAACTTGATACCAGGCACATGGAAAACAGACCCGTCGCTATGAAACTTGTGTGATTTCCGAGATACCCCAGGCGCCTACGCTGTCCATCGCTGTCTGCAAAATCGATCTCCTGGGACAGGTTTCCAGATATCCACGCAGCAGGAGGTATTACCCTCATACGGGTGATAATATGCCCTTTTCACCATCTTCACCACCTTCGCCACCTAATATCCTTTGATCTCAACCCTTTTATCTCCCCATCCCTGTGTATCCTCCCGCCTTCCCCTCCCAAAGGGCCCCTTTGTCCTCCAGCCACGAATGCCCTCTAAAACAGGGCAAAGGCTCGGACGACTCTGGGCTTGTACGCATGCCATGTCTCACGATTAGCCGTACATATGATTCCCACACTTGTCTTGTGCAATTCTCTGTATTTTGCTTTTCCACTTCTAGACGCCGGAGAGGCTGGCCCTGAATAGATTAAAATGAATAGTCTTTATCAACTTTTGTCCCTAGTACTAAATTTGACTATATCTAGGGGGACTATAGATTTTACACAAAGAACACAGTATGTACTCACTGACGTGGATTATGTAGCTAACACGAAAATGAAAATACCACCAAAATTTCACGGACTCGTATTTATGCCACAAAATGTTCAAGTCGCAGTGCATTGCTGATATTAACCACAGTTGGATGGAAGGTCCAGTGGGAAATTATCTGGAATATTTGCAAACATGGTTGGACGCGAGAGGGGGCGTCGTATGAAGCAGGTGGGCCAGCCCGAGATATAAATATTCCAGGAAAAGGCGGGAGACAAAAAGGCATGGTCAACACTCTTGGAAGTGAGCGGAGGGTGTAGAGGTTTGAGAAGATGTGGCTAAGCTCAAAGGGCCAAGACCGGGTACCTAGGTAGGCAAACGTGGTCAAGCTTCACGTGAGATCGGGACCCTGGAAGGTTTTTGTGGTGGTCTCATTGGGATGAAAGACAGTGAAAGCCCAGAACACGACGGTTGGGTAAATGGAGCCGAAAGAGGTGTTCAGCAATCAAAAAGAAAGCTGTAATTCCCATTTAAACCCGTGTCAGATAAGGTTGTTGAAACAAACCAAGCGCGAGCTTGAGCGTGAACACGATCAGAAATCACTGAAAAGCGGCTCATATTTCTTTTTCAGATCATCGGTGTAGACGTTCTGGTTCCTGACGTCGGAGTCCGGATATTCCTCGAAATTGCTCGGGTCGGCGGGATGTGATACTCGGGGGATAATCGGGCCCTTGACCCGGTGATAGAAGAGATCGTCCCAGACCACCTCAGCGAAGAATGGATGGGCTTTGACTCGCCCTGAGCCACCGGAGATGTACCCCAGTCGTTCTGTGGGGTTGGTCTTGCAAAGCAGCGAGACGATGTTCTGTGCTGCTGGGGGCATGTTGGGAGGGAAGCGTAGTCGGCCTTCGACAATTTGCTCATAGATGCGCATGGGGTTCTGGTCCCAGAAGGGAGGTTGTCCCACCAGAAACTCGTAGATAAGAATACCAAGAGCCCACCAGTCCACCGCTAGTCCGTGGCCGCTATTGTGGATGACTTCCGGTGCTAGGTATTCAGGTGTGCCGCAGAGGGTGTAGGTTTCGCGGTTGCCGACTTGCTTTGCGAATCCAAAGTCCACCAGCTTGATATGACCGTCGGCATCGAGAAGGATATTTTCGGGCTTGAGGTCGCGGTAGGCCACTCCGTGGATATCGTGTAGGAATTCGATCGTCATTGTAATCTCCGCGGCGTAGAATCTCGAGGTCTCTTCGTTGAAGCGTCGCGAGCGTCGGAGATAGGTGAAGATCTCACCTCCAGGGCAAAAGTCCAACTGCGACTGGTTAGCAGCTTGTAGGAGATAGGGTAAAGGTAGACAAAGCATACCAGCATGTACAAGCTAAGATCGTCTGAAAATGACGCAGCGAGATTTGTTATGAAAGGATGTCCGTTGACCGCTACAAGGGTCTTGCGTTCATTGCGCACATGTTCCACCTGCTTCAGTTTGATCACTGTCCGCAGGTCAGGCCCCAGCTGTATGCAGTTGGATCGGGGCAACACTTACCATCGGCCTTTCGGAGGACCTTCAGCGCATAGACTTTGGTCTTGTCCTCCTGGTTCTTCAATCTGGCGAGCCATACTCTAGCGAAGGTGCCTGAAAAAAGCCAAAAGAAATAGTTAGCTTACGGAAGCAATGCGACAAGAGCGCGACTAGTCGCATAGTGTTCCTGACCGGTGCCCAGGGTTTTCAGAAGCTTGAAGTCATTCAGTTCAAGGCCCCTTGAGGATATGCACAGTTGCTTCTCATCTGCTCGATCGGTGACGAGGAAGGGGTGCGCAAATTTCTGCGGGACGGATCGGATGGAGTGGACTAGATGCCTCTCCTTCTCGTGGATTCCTTGTCGTATGCTGTTGGTTTTGAAAGGGATCGAACTGGCGACAGAACCGCTCTGCACCTCATTCGGTGAGGAATCCTCGACTGTTCCGGTCGCCATTGGACCGGCAGAGCATGTCTCGCGGTAGAGACAGGACGGGAAAAAAGTATAGGAGCCCACCCGGTTAGCGCGGCACCAATCACGTCGGCAACTCAGCTGAGAGTCCGGGGAGGGTTGCTTTAGATCAAAGCAGGAAACATTTGCAGGGAAATCCTAAGAAAGAAATCCGGGGAGGTTAGGAAAGCGCGGGGCAAAGAGTTGCAAAGGGGAGTTCCTAGCTCTGACGTATCCCATGGGGGCGGGGCTGAACGGATAGGGAACTACGGTGATAAATCGGAAGTCGGAAGCCTGGTCAGCTTTTGCTTATTCGACCCTCTATATGCGGACTTGTTATGATACACCCCGAAAATAAGACTAAAACAGAAACAGCTCAGATCTCGATATCATATCGCGATCTCCGATCCCCGATCCCGGCAGGTTTCAGGCTTCGGGTTTCGGGCGCATGCTGTCGCATGGGGAGCAACCAGATGCAGCTGCATCGCGTGGAAAATGACGTATCGATATGCGCCGGAAAAGCTAGTGCGTACAAGTAGTTGAAATGGACTGCGCACTCAAGACTTCGAGTTCAAGATCAAGCCGACGATCAAACTGGTGCCGTTAGCAGAGAACCTCGAGGACCTAGGTCCGTCGGTTTGCCATCACTTACCCATACAGACCGAGAACTTCGCCGAAAATCAGAATCAGAATCATGCCCACGTACACCCGAGATTGTTGCATGTAAGCCCGGACGCCCTGAGACAGTCGTTAGTTCCGTATCCCATCGAAAGAGTCCCAGGCAAAGAATCCATACCGCGTCACCGACAATGCCAATAGTGTAGCCAGCGGCCACACCGGAGAGCCCCACGGACAGGCCAGCTGCGAGATGCATGAATGAACTGTGTCCGGAACATCAGCCCTTTGTCAGCCCCTTCACCCCAGAGCGCTTGCAGTGTCCAAACATACGTATACAAACTCATTGTCGATGCCGGGTTGAGTGCTCCTGCAATCAGGACAGCGATGACGAGACCGTAGACTGCGATAATTCCGGACATGACGACGGGAATGAGAGACTGTAGAATCGACTCTGTTAGCTTTGGGCCAGAATCAAGAAAAGGGCCACTAGTATTCTTGCCTTCATGATCAGGTCAGGTCGGAACGTTCCCACACCCGCAATGCCAATGCCAGCCTTGGCCGTGCCGTATGCTGCTCCTGCGCCTGTGAAGTTGTAAGCTTTCGTCCGAGATTCAAGATGCCGGTTCCAGCGTGTCGAGCCACGTACACCCGAAGACCATCTTCAAGAGTAGTTGTTAGCATTGGAGTCACTTCAAAACGCTGGATGTCCCCGGTCCACTCACTGCAGCGGCAATGCCGGCCTAAAAGGAGAAGCTTGTTAGTGGTGTCATTGGTAGCTTTGGGAGCTCACGAAGCCACTCACGAAGGAAAAGAACGGGGCGAAGTTGGGCGCCAACTCGCTTTCTGCCATGATGACGCGATGGGCGTATGTAGGGAAGGCAAAAGATAAGAGCTCGTCGAAGCGAGACTACAGAGGGCGGAGGAGGAGAAGGTGCAGGACCGCCTTTCTCCTTGTCGCGGAGGGTCACTTGGGTCGCCGTAGCGCCCAATCGGTGACATTACGTGACTGCGCGCTTTGGCGGCAAAGGCCACGCCGTCAGCCGGTCCTGTCACGCCGATACTCAGTTACCCGTCACCCTTCATCCTTCTCCTGTATGCTTTTTCAACACTCACTCCTCCCACCCCTCACCTGTCTCCCTCCTCCCGCCCATATCCTCCCACTTCGAACCCTCTTACTGCCCTGGAGGAATGCTGAGGGTATGACCTCGCAAGGAGCCCGGACTTTCTTGCGCTCTCGGGTCCAGGCGCTCTTCGGTTACGACTTTTGATCACCAATAACCCCCCCCCCAACAGCCTACCGAACAGGCCAAGCTATGGCATATTGAAAGCCCAATTTTGCACAGAGACGATTCTTATTTGACTCCCACGGACCATTGTTCCTTGCTGGGATAACTACTTTCATTCTTCCCTTTTTCCCTTCGCCCCGTTGCCCCACGATCTTGAAAAGACCCTCTTGCGACGCCCTGAACGCTCTCTACGATCGAATCTCGGATACCCAACTCCTTTTCGCCCCTTCTACCCCCGTGGGATAGCGATCGCTCTTCTATCAATTAATCCCGCGAGTTCTCGTCGATCGTCGGTCGGGTGAACATGGCAGACTTGGGTGGCCAGCGTAACCGGAATTACCGGCCCTATGGGGCTCCTGCCTCAAACATGCAGCGAGATGCCGCGTATTCGGATATCTTTGGCGCCGCGCCTCCGCCAGGCCGATCACAGACCATGAACTCGCAGACTCCCCAGTTCTCCCAGGGTCGTGCCCACACCATGTCGTCGCAAGTGGCCCCTCCCCAGTTCCAGAGGGCGCCGCCACCACCAACCCGCCAGGTGCCAAATGGATACGGAGCACCGCCGCCCGTCACCCCGACAAATGGATACCCACCACCGCCGTCCGGTGGTGGGTATCAGGCATATAACCCAGGGGCCGCGACAATGTCCTCGCAGCCGCCGCCGCGACCGTACCCTCAGGCGGCGGGACGCTATGCCGCGTACCCTCGACCCCAACGCCTGGATTCGAGACCGGGACCGCCCCCCCAATACACCGATCCTCGAGACTTGGGTCGACCAATGCCTCCTCCTGCCTTGAATTCCGATGCGACGAGATCACGATCGATGGCGAAATTGAGTGGGCCGTCCTACCAACCGGCCCCGCCTATCCCGCCGAACAACTTCAACCATACCTCTGCGGCTGCCTCTCGTCGTGATCAGTATCATCATCCCAGTTCCCACATGACCCAACTTGGGCGCACAGTTCCAGAACGGCATACCAATGAGCGAGCCATGTCTATGACCACCTACGCGACAGACCACAACCAGGCTCACATTATGAACAGTGGGAGATCCATCCCGGCACGGAGACCACCTTCGGGCGGCCATGAGCAGCCGGTACCAACGAGATTCGATTCAATGCCGTCAAATGTGACTGATGGCTTTATCAACAATCGTCCGCCAAGTGATGCCTCGGCGCGGTCTCGTACAATGTCTATGGCGTCGACCGTTCTCCCGGACCGTACTATGAGTGTCCAGAGTCAGGCAACGCAGGGCTCTAACGGCCAGACCACACTTGTCTCGAACAACTCACGCCGGACTACTACTAAGGTTCCTGTGGTCTACCCTGCCCTCCTCTCTCGAGTCGCCGATGTGTTCAGGGAGAAGATAACCCTTGGTGAACGGCAAAAGAACGGCCTGTCCTACCAGAATGCTTTCACCGGTACTGATGCCGTGGATTTGATTGGCACCATTATTAGGACGAACGACCGCAATCTCGCTCTTCTACTGGGTCGTGCTCTGGATGCCCAGAAGTTCTTCCACGACGTCACCTACGACCATCGTCTCCGAGATGCCCCTGGTGAGGTCTATCAATTTAAGGAGACTATGGGAGAGGACACTATGACATCAGACGTTGATGGTGTGTTCACACTTCTCACCGAATGCTACTCCCCTACTTGTACTCGGGACAGTCTCTGTTACTCGATTGCCTGTCCCCGACGACTAGAACAGCAGGCAAGGTTGAACTTGAATCCTCAGCCGGTTCTGAGAACCTCGGGCTCCAAGGGCAGCCTGCATATTGATGATGACGAGGACAATGATAATCAGAAATTGTGGATCAACATGGTTCCGAAGGAAGTCTCGGATTCTATTGAAGACCGAGAGAAGAAGCGGCAGGAGATTATCTTTGAGATCATGTACACCGAGCGTGACTTCGTCAAGGATTTGGAATATCTGCGCGATTTCTGGATGCGACCATTGCGCGCAGCGGGCACCACGAATCACTCTCCCATTCCGGAGCACCGCCGGGAGAAGTTCATCCGGACCGTGTTTGGAAACTGTTTGGAGGTGTTGAAGGTCAACGGTGCCCTCTGTGAGGCACTCAACGCCCGACAAAAAGAAAGCCAAATCGTGAAGACCGTCGGTGATCTCTTCCTTCAGCACGTCCCTCGCTTTGACCCTTTTATCAAGTACGGTGCCAACCAGCTGTACGGAAAATACGAGTTCGAGAAGGAGAAGGCTTCGAACCCGGGCTTCGCTAAATTTGTTGAGGATACCGAGCGTCTCAAGGAGTCTCGGAAGCTAGAGCTGAACGGTTACCTCACCAAACCCACAACTCGTCTTGCTCGATACCCGCTTCTCCTTGAGTCTGTCCTGAAGCACACCGCCGATGATAACCCTGACAAGGAAGATATTCCCAAGGCTGTGAAGCTCATCAAGAACTTCCTGTCTCGTGTCAATACCGAGAGTGGAAAGGCTGAGAACCACTTCAACTTGGTGCAGCTCAATGCCGCCCTGAAGTTCGGTCCTGGGGACTATGTGGATCTGAAGCTTACTGAAGAAAACCGGCAAATGCTCACCAAGATGGCCTTTAAGAAGACCACTGCAGAAAGTTCCGAAGTAACTGCATATCTGTTTGATCATGCGGTGCTTCTGGTCCGCATCAAGGTGGTCAACAAGCGTGAGGAGTATCGGGTGTACAAAAAGCCCATTCCTCTGGAGCTCTTGGTAATTGCTCAAATGGATGAGGTGGTCCCCCGGATGGGAATTTCCAAGAGACCCTCCTCCAGCCTTTTGTCCAACAAGACTACCGTGAACCCTCCCCCCGCCAAAGACGGACAGCTCCCGATTACATTCCGACACCTTGGTAAGGGAGGTTATGAACAGACCCTCTATGCCACGTCCCCAACTCAGCGACGCAAATTTATTGAGATGGTAGAGGAGCAGCAGAGAAAGCTCTGGGAACGTAACAGCAATTTCTACAACAAAACAGTCCTGAGTGAAAGGTTCTTCTCAGCGATCAACCGCGTGAACTGCTGTGTTCCAGTTGGTATGCAGTACTTAATTCTATCTCCAAGTGGCCACCATCGCTAACAAATTTTCTTTTTCCATAGATGGCGGACGAAAGTTGGTCTTTGGAACAGATAGCGGTATCTATATCTCTGAGCGATGGCCCAAGGACAAATCAGCCAAGCCAAGAAGGGTTCTGGAGGCTACCCAAGTCACGCAGATCGACACTCTAGAAGAGTATCAACTGCTCCTGGTTTTGGCAAACAAGACCCTGTCCTCGTATCCCATGGAGGCCCTTGAAATCGCTGAAGGTGCCAATGCCATGGCCAAGCGCCCGAAGAAGATTCAGGGCCACGCAAACTTCTTCAAGGCAGGCATTGGTCTTGGTCGACATCTTGTATGTTCCGTGAAGACGTCTGCCTTGTCAAGTACGATCAAGGTCTACGAGCCAATGGACAATCTGGCCAAGGGCAAGAAGAAGTCTGCTGTCAGCAAAATGTTCCAGAGTGGCCAAGACACACTCAGGCCATTCAAGGAATACTACATTCCTGCTGAATCTTCATCGATTCATTTCCTGCGGTCTACATTGTGTGTTGGCTGTGCACGCGGTTTCGAGGTGGTCAGCTTGGAGACAACTGAGACGCAATCTCTTCTGGACCAGGCCGACACATCTCTCGACTTTGTTGCCCGCAAGGAGAACGTCAAGCCGATTCACATCGAGCGCATGAACGGCGAGTTCCTTCTCAACTATAGCGACTTCTCGTTCTTTGTCAACCGCAATGGATGGCGTGCCCGTCCCGACTGGAGGATTTCATGGGAGGGCAACCCGACAGCATTCGCGTTGTCTTACCCGTACATCCTGGCGTTCGAGCCTAACTTCATCGAAATTCGCCATGTCGAAACAAGTGAATTGATCCACATCATGACGGGAAAGAACATCCGAATGCTCCACTCTTCCACTCGAGAGATCATCTACGCCTATGAAGATGAGTCGGGCGAGGATGTGGTTGCTAGCTTGGACTTCTGGAAGCAAGTATAACACCCACCAGGTGCATGCAGCCAATGTCCAACCCAAACCCACCTCCCCCTTCCGTCCTTGCTTCAGTGCGACTCTCCATCGAGCGGTCCGAGTCCAATACTCTATGACAGACCTCCTGCAAGCAGCTGAGTGGAAGGAGACCAGAAAGATACAAAGAGCCACGCCTCTTTGACCTCCGTAACGTCTTAATACCACCCTCCCGCCCACTCAGCTATCCAGCCTCCCTCTTCCCCTTTAAGCGCTGAGCGTCTCATTCCTCCCATCAGTATCCTATGATGTCTCCTAGGAACTCCAAATCGGGCAAACACACGCATCTCCTCATTCCTCCCCGCCCAAAAGAACTGATCTCAGGGTTTCCTGTTCTTTCTCGTTTCTGTGTACAATGGAGCGCAAATACCACTTCTTGCGTGTCTGCTCGTTTCTTGCGCACCCCCGTCCGTGTTGCATCTCCTTCACCTTTTTTTTAAAATATTCTGTTGTCCCCCCCTTAGTTTTTTACTTTTATCCTCTTTTTCTTGTTCTTCTGTTTCCTCCGCATGGCCTGCGAAGTGATGACCATGTTTTTTTCTCATCTTCGGAAGCTTTATTTTCTGTACTGTTGAATTCGATGTATTTTTTCTATTTTCAATGTCATTGGTGCCATTGATATGGATGCATTGCTTCGCAGGGCTTGCTTGCTTTGTAGGTTGTAGCTTTGGTCCACACGTCGTGGAGTCTCCGAGTAGAGCGTTATGTCTCACCCGGGGCACGGATGAGACCCAGAGCCTCAGATAAGGTCGAATATGATTTCAGAGTTCAAAATTCACTCTTAAACACTGATTAGGTGAATCGTTTGAATCTGCAATCTTGAAACTCAAATGGATATACATGCAGCCAGCATGGATTCTTGGTACATCGATGGATCCGGGTACTACATACTACGCATCTACCCACGACAAGCACTGCAGACGAGATACTTTTCCTTCCTCATTTACTAAACAGACTAGGAAGACAGCAAGGATAGAGACAAGGGAGGTCCACCAACACAAAACACAAAAGAGACGAGGGAATCTTGCTGCGCTGTGGACTTTGGACAAGATGCCAGGAATCAAAAAAACAGATAAGGTCCCCGGGAAGGGGTAGGGAGTGGACAGGGGAATAGAAAACGAAATATGCAGGAACAGAAACTCCCCGGGGGTGATTAAAGGAACAAGGAAATGAACCAGGGAAGAAGTAATGTCTGGGGCACGGGGGGGGGACATGGTGCTCGGAGATAGGGAGAACAGCGGCAAGAAATCCCAAGTTGACAAGTTGCTCTTTGGTGCAAAACCGGAGGGATGGGTGGTTGCAGTCTAGTGATGGGACCTTGTCCATCTCCGCAGAGACATCGGGAAAGAAAAATCAAGGAAGAAACAAAAGCTATTAACGTGAATAAACAGTCAATATTATCCCCATAAACAAAATCAAGCTTTGTGCCAGAGGTCCATGATGTTGGCACAAACGGTATCACATTGCGAACCGGCGCCCCGCTGAATGAGCCGCATCGTCGACGGGGTATATCTAAGCCTCCACATTGGCTTCGCTGACATTGCCCTGGCTTGCCTCGCGGGCCATGCGAGCCTCGATCTCTCTGAGCTGGCTCTCCCGGGCCAGCAGTTCCTGTCGCTTCTCGGCAATCTCGCGCTGCACCTTGATTTCGATCTCGCGCAGCTTCTCCTCCTCGCGGCGGAGCTGCTCCTCCTTGAGGCGGACGGATTGAGAGGCGAGGTCCTCGGGGTTCATGGTGGAATCTTGAGCACTGTTCGTGGATTAGCAAGGTTATCAAAGGGTCGAGGGAAAGGGAAGCTTACGAAGTAGCACCGTCGACGCTCTTGCTGAGCTTCTCGGTACGGTAGTTCTCGTAAAGGAAGTCGTGGGTGATTTCCTTCAGATCAGCCAAGTGGCTGTGGAGCAAGGCGCTACGGATGGCCAGGAAGTCGGAGTGTCGAGGGTTCTCAACCTCCACCACACCCCACGGGTACTGTCGGGCGCGCACTTTTCGGTTGTCGATCTCGACAAAGTCCTCTGAGCCAACGATGGCGAAGGGCATCAGTCCCCGGAGCTCGGCGTTCTCCTCAACGGTGTCCTCATCATCCTCCTCAATGTCGTAGGGGAAGTTGTAGACGGGAATGCGGTAGTGCTCAATATCCTCCATAATCAACTTCTTCGACTCGGCCAATTCTGCGGGGGTGAGGGAGTCGGCCTTGCCGATGACGGGAATGACATTAACACGGGGAGACAAGCGCTTCATCAATTCGATGTCGAGCTCGCGGAGGCCGTGGCCAGTGGGTGTGATGAAGTAGAGAAGAACGTGAACGCGGTTGTCCCTGAAACGGGGGTTACGCTTGATCCGGGACTCCTCTGCAAGAATATCATCGTATTGGCGCTCAAGGTAGCCAACAATCTCGCCAAAGCTATTTCAGGGGTGTTAGTGGGGAGAGGTGCCATTGGGGTTGTGAGAGGGGACATGCCTGGCCTCGTTGTCAATTTGGTCACCGAAACCGGGGGTGTCGACGATGGTCAGGGAGATACGAGTGCCCTCTTCATCCAATTCAAGCTCTGTTGAGGAACGGTGGGTCAGCATTCACGAACGGTTGTCTGGAGGAGACTCGCAACTCACCCACGGTGACGGGCTTGATGCGGACGCCCTCCTCAATGTGAGCGTTGGCAGCATCATCGGCATCCTTGCCCTCCAGCACTTGTTTCCCACAGAGAGTGTTGACGAAGGTTGTGCGACCTGAGTGGAGCAGAGGTCAGTGAACAATTGATCAGGACACGGGGAGACAACAATAGAGTAGCGTACCAGTACCGCTGGCACCGCAGACCATCAGACAGAACTGAATTCCCTTCTTGACATTCTTCTTGCGTCGAATCTTCATCTACCCACAGAGGGGGTTTTGAGTTAGCTCAGGTGACATTTTTTAAAGTATGGGGCAGGAGCAGAGTAAAAGGGGAAGCATACCGCGTTGAGAGCCGACGACATGGTGGGCTTGGGAAGAAATAGATAACGAGAGCAAGAAAAGAAAGACGCCGAAGCAAGACGGGTACAAGAAGAAGACAGACGGAGACTCTCCTGAACTTGGAGAGGTTGGAGGGATTGGGATGTTCGAACGTCGTAGGGGGGTCGAGGGAAAGTCAGTGTTTCCCCCTTTCCTTTGGCCGCCAATCACGGGACACGCTGTGCTCCAGCTCTCCCCAGAGTTCATTCAGCACCCGATGAGTATCAATTGATGCTGTTACATCTGCAGTTACTGACTACGAATATTGGCAGATATTCTTTAGCTACCTAACATCACTAATATTCACATCCGTGCCGTGTATAAACATAGAAGAGTATACTCAGGGGTTGCTCGGTGGGTCGCTCCCGACCACCGGAGAGATTAGTCATTCTCCGCCTGAGGCACCCGTAGATCCGTGAGCTTCGCCCGCATTTCGTTCTTATCGCCGATCTGCCCTGTGCGGAGTGCTCTTGACTCGCTCTTCCGGTTCATGCCCGGTATCCCCAACGTCATGCTCGACAATGAATACCCGCCAGGTTATCGACGAGTCTCTCGGGCCCTACTCACTGTCGGCCGCCTTCAACAATGATAGCAGTTGCTTCTCGGTGGGCCTGAACACGGGCTTCTGCGGTATGAAGTGCAGCTCGATGGAGCTGCCCAAGAGCTTGAACGAGAACTGCAGGGCTAACTTTGAACCTAGTGTTTAATTCCAATCCATGTGAGCTCAAGGTCTCCAGAGGTGAGCTTCTTCTCTAGCCGATACGGCTCGAGCTTAGAGCTAACCCTTCCTTGCTACAGACTTCAATGCGGGCATTGGTGTAGTCGAAATGCTCGGCCAGTCCAACTATCTGGCTATCGTTGGCGGAGGACGGAATCCCAAGTTTCCTCAGAACAAAGTGTGTATACACTACCTCCGATGCCGGGGAACTCCATACTCATCGTCTACCACAGCTCGTCATCTGGGACGATGCAAAGCAGAAAACCGCCATTACGCTCGAGTTCCGCACCTCCGTCCTTGGTGTTCGCCTTTCCAAATTCCGAATCGTCGTCGCCCTATTAAACAGCATCCATGTGTTCGCCTTCTCGACCCCTCCAAAGAAGCTGTCGGTCTTCGAGACCTCGGATAACCCGTTGGGCTTGGCTTGTTTAGGACAGAAGCTCCTTGCATTCCCGGGTCGATCCCCGGGACAAGTGCAGGTGATCGAGCTGGAGACGGGGAACATAAGCATCATACCTGCTCATAGTTCGCCGTTACGAGCCATGGCCTTGAGCCCCGATGGAGAGGTGCTGGCAACCGCCAGTGAAGCCGTAAGATTAATTGCAGCCGCTGTCAACCGGCTACGTTTTACTAACATCCTACTAGGGTACTCTGATCAGAATATTTGCTTCGGCAAACTGTACGAAACTGGCGGAACTGCGCCGGGGCGTAGACCACGCGGTAATATTTTCTCTCTCGTTTTCTCCGTCAAATTCCCTGCTAGCAGTAACATCCGATAAATCCACTCTGCATATCTTCGATATACCCCATCCCCACCACATGGTTCGCCGCAGCCAGTCTCCAGCTTCAGTGACGGAGGAAGGGACCAACAAAAAATGGGGCATCCTGGGAAAACTCCCTCTTCTTCCACGAGTGTTTTCGGATGTGTATTCGGTTGCCAACGCGCATTTTGAGATTGGCGAGGAAGTGAACGCTGGATCAACGCAGCCTAGTTCATCGCTTGGTCGGCCGCCCAAAGGTGTCATCGGCTGGATTGACGAGCAGACATTGCTGGTGATCGGATCCGGCAGAGATGGGCGATGGGAGAAGTTTGTTCTTCGGGACAGCGATGATGGAAAGCGGTATTGCATGCGGGAGGGTTGGAAACGATATCTCGGGGGCTGAATAGAAGACATGCAATGCCTGGATAACTTTGGAAGATCATTGCAGAAGATCGAGGATCAAATCACCATATGCAGCACATTTAAAGGCGCTCAAGCTCCAACCAAATAACGCCGCTGGGTCACTTTGGACCTACTCAGGCGAGGTGATACCCGAGCCAACTTCAGCTGAGAAGCTTGGGATCCCCGTAGGTCATGTCGATAGCTTAGCAAGCTTCGAAATATTTCAGCGACGACGATCATGTCTGTCTTGATCACTGCGATGTCTCCGGGATTCAGGCGAGCGAGACCTGTCTGCCGACCGGTCTCTTCTAGACTTTTCCTCTCTTTCCGGTGAGCGGCGCCGAGATTTCCTCTCTCGACCAGGCGAGCGTTCATCGCGATGCCTGCGCTCGCGCGACCGAGATCGATGCCGGCGACTATGCCGACTGGACCGTTCTCTGCTGTCGCGGCGCCGTGAAGACTTCTTCTCAATTGCGAGCGCCACCTCTTCTTTCTTCTCTTCAATGAGGAATTCCTTCATGGGATCTTCCTCGTCGTGGTTGAGGATTAGGTCCTGGAGTTCCTTCTCCTCCTTCAACATAGGCCGTCGCTCCTCTCTGTCAGCGCTGCCTCTTCTCCGCCTACGGTCACCGTCTTCGATCCGGTGGCCTTCGTCGATTGCCGCATCGCCCATCAGCTTTGCGACGTTGTTATCCTCTTCCTCGTCATCGCGCCGCTTGTAGCGTGTATGGTCCACTCGCAGCATACGACCCATGACGGTTGCACCGCCGAGGTTGTCGACTGCAAGATCTGTGCTGCGCTGGTCCTCGTATTTGAGGAACGCGAAGCCACGGCTCTTGCCGGTTTCCTTATCGCGGACCAAGTTGACATGGACTGGCTCTCCGTACTGCGAGAAGATTGTCACGATATCACCCTCGGAAAGGTCGAATGGGAGTCCGCCGATGTAGATGTATGCTGTGTCGCGGTAGTCTGCATGCCATGATGCCTCCGGAGGTCTAGACAGGGCGTGGTTAGTTGGCTGAAATAGAAGAAAAAAGCTGGAACGTAGTTGAAGGCTTACATGGCATTTTCAAGCTCACGCTTGTTGAGCTGCTGGACCTGGCGAATGCCGTTCATGGCGTTGGATGTGGTGAGGAAGAAAGCAAAGCTCCTCGGCCGCGCTTGGTCAAAAAGGGTCCCCACCCGGAGCATCTGCGGAACCGTAAAATCGTCTGTTTACTCAACCCCCTGCTGCGACCTTCCGTGACGTCGTGTACTTTTTTCGCCCAGTGCTGTTTAAGAGTCCACGATCGAAATCGCGTTCTCCCGTGGCACTCGACACTGCGTGTTATTTCCATCCGCTCGTCCCCAGATTCCCCTGACCGCACGCTTGACTTCACCCCCTCCGCCCCAACTCCGATCCGGCATTTATACGCGCTCTGTCGCTCGACATTCGAAAACGAAGTGCTTGGAATGGTGCATGCCGCCTAACGCATGGTGGGACTCGAGCAGACAATGTCATCCAGTCCGAATCGCGGATCGAAAGCGGCTGGTATGAACAGTCGGCCGACCAGCAAGGATGGCTCCAAGAAGAATATCTGGTCTTCGCTGCTAGACGGCGTCGCCAATGGAAAGCGCTTGCCTGAGAAGAACCTTCTGATCCTAGGTTCGTGTTCAAGCCCCCCGGCTCTCATCCCACTTGGTTTTGTGGCCGCCTTTCACTGACTTGGACTATAGGAGGTACCCCAGAGACCCAGAGGGATTTCCTTGAGACCTTTTCTGCAGACCTCTCAGCGGATCCCAGCTTAGTGAATGAGAAACGAAAGGGGAAGACGCCGCCAATTGCCAACCAGTTTGCCCTGGGATACACATATCGAGATGTACTCGACGCCGATCAAGAAGGTACGCCTACACTCACTCCTTCTATAGCTTGGCTTGGCTAACATATTCACTCAAGATACGCTGGCGCGTGTCTCGGCCTACCTGTTGTCCGAACCCTCTCCGTCATTCGCTCCGCTTCTCAAACCTCTCCTGACCCCTCAATCCATCCCGGAAACGCTGGTTGTCATTCTGATGGATTGGTCTGAACCCTGGACATGGATGCGCAGACTACGAGAATGGGTCCGTCTTCTTCGTTCTGTCCTCGTTACGCTCGACGATGATACAAAGATCGTCATGGAGGAAACCATGACAGAATGGCGCGACCGCAAACGAGGAATGGACGCCAACTCTGCTGCGGCGGGAAGTCTGCCAAATTCCGGTGGACCAGTCACAATACCCCTGGGACCTGGCGAGTGGGATGAAGGACTCGGTATCCCGATGTGTGTCGTTTGCCAGGGAGTATGCAGACCCAGCTCAGTTCCTTGCGTACGACAAGTCTCGCTAACATATTTACAGGCCGATAAAATTGAGAAACTTGAAAAGGATCATGGCTGGAACGAAGAGCAATTTGATTTCATCTTACAGTTCCTGCGAACAATTTTGCTGAAGCGTGAGCTATTCCCGACCTCCATGGCCTCAGGAGACTAGATTCTAATATCACGCAGACGGCGCATCACTCATTTACACCACACCTTTCCTTGCCAGCTCCCTCCAGAGCTTGATCCACTCCTCACTGGGAGTCCACTCTCTTTTGAAACGCCAATCATTAAAACATAATGTCATCGACCGGGATAAGATCCTCGTGCCCGCAAACTGGGACTCATGGGGTAAGATCCGCATTATTCGTGAAGGGTTCGATATGGAAGGGGCCTCGACGGCCTGGTCAATCGAGATTCAAGATCCCCCCGAGCCGCTGGATCAAAGCGCAGACAGCGCAGAGGGCGAAGATGATGGCACAAGTGCCGTGACAGTGTTCGAACAAACCATCAAAGACCCTAAGCGCGACACCTCAATCGCCCACCCCACAGCCACTACCCGCGGCTCCAAGATCGAAGTCGAGACTAACGACATGCAATTCTTCCTTGCCGATCAAGTCGACCTCCTGGAGCAGCTCAGAGCCGAGGACGAAAAAGAGCGCGCCAATCAGCAAGTCCCGCAGCTGGAGATGTCGCCCATGGACGAGGGCAAGGTCAACGAGCACATCGGTCCTGTCCAGTTCAATATGGGTGGTATCCAGGTGGATGCAGAAGATATGCTGAAGAAGCTTCGCGTATGTACCACTTCTATCATTGAAATCATAACTTCTAACACGTATACAGGACCGCGAAGCCAGCCGTGCCCCAAAAAGAGAAGGACCGCCCACAGCCCCTGGCGACGAGAAAGCTCATAACCAAGCCCTGGCCAACTTCTTCGCCGGCCTCGTCAAGAAGCCCGGTGGCAGTCCTCGTGGAAGCCCATCTGCTTGATTCCCCAGGCTGTATTTTCGTTCTGTGAGCGTACATATTGAGCTGGTTGATATCCTGTTGACTTTACGGCTTTGGTATAGGAAGAGGGAGGACGGCCTGTGCATATTTCGTGTCTCTTTTCCTTGAATTCTTATGGCTTTCTGCGGGGTGTTAGATAAAGATACCAATATGAAATCGTCTTTCTGATCTGCTGGCTGTGAATTGGGTTTGAGCTAATGGAGCTACACAAAGAGCTATACAAAGACGTTTGAGAGTACTACAATCTATGATGATGGAGATGGTGTTCTGATGTAACCAAGTGGAACAAAGTAAAGGGATCATAATGAACTAAATGAATGTGTGCTTGGTGGCTTGGTACCGATGAAAGTAGTAGTTAAGGTAGTATTTGATACACAAGCCTCTCATTTTCGCTGCTCGGTGGTCTCGGCGCGCTCTAGGTCACTGGTTCATCAGCCCTGATATCCATTAGGTCAGTCTCACTCTCCATGCTGACCGTTATCAGTTTGACTTTGTGAAACTTATACTCTTCAAACGAGTCACTGTGCTCTTCTAACACCCGCATTTTGGATCGTAACATCCGCCAAAGACAAAAACTTTTAATTGAATATCTTTGATAACCTCCATTTTCCTGATCAACTGAGCAGCATATAGAAAAGTACCACAACCTTGGAAATAGCGAGGAGTGTTCCGGGCGAGGAAGTCCTGTGGCCCAGGGTATGATGACGGTACATGATAGAAACAATTATTAGCGGGAAGAGATCCGTTTAGTATACATAAAACAACAGAATAGAAAAACCTCCCAGCTCTTCAGATTTATAAAAGATCACCAGTTCTCCCACACAGCGGCAGGGATAACCTTCCTCATGATCTCCCAGTGCTCCAAGGCACCGCGGTCCTGGTACTTGTAAAGTCTCTTGACTTCCTTGTCGACAAGAAGGCGGCTTCCGCCCTTGGGGATGGGATCGAAAACGGCAGGGTCAATCTCATGGGTGGGAAGGAGGTAGTTCTTACGGGAGTCGCTACCCAGGAAATCAGCCTGCTCAGGGCTTCTGAACTTAAGCGGAGCGCCAATGTTCTTGGTGCAGAAGATAACCATGTTGGTGAAGTCCTGGTTCTCATTGTCCGCGGGCGGCGCGTTCTCGCGGAAGATGCGGCAAGTTGGGAAAGTGGCCAGGATGGTGCGGACGACAAGGCCTGTTGGGTAGAGGGCGAGATCGCCGGCGTAGTTCTGTTCAATATGTCAGCCAAAGCTAGCTCAGGTTGAGGAGTGGAGTTGATTAAACTCACGATGGCAATGACACCATCATCCTTGAGAAGGGAGCTCAGGTCATGGAGGAAATCAATAGTGAAAAGCTCGGCGGGCTCGGCACCGCCAGTAAAGACATCGTGGACGATATAGTCGTATTGATGCGCAGATGGGGTCTTCAACGCCCGCTTGACAAATTTGGTTGCATCATCGACGGTGGTCGCGTGGTTGGAGGGGAAGTTGAAATACTGCTTGGCAAACTTAACCACCACAGGATCGAGCTCGACGACTGTAGTATCGATGCCGTGTTTCATGAGTGCAGCGGGGGTTGTGCCAACTCCAAGACCACTATTTCACGCTCGTTAGCCGTGACACTGAGAATGCGAAAGCGAATACTTACATGACCAGAGCCTTGCTGCCGGCGTCCACACGATGGCTTCCATGGCTATTCTCGACCAGACGGACAGCTTCAAGCATGGTGAAGACCGCGTAGACAGGATCTTGGACCTGCGGGTGGTAGCCGGGAGCCATTTTAGTCCACTGCCCACCGAGGAGGCTGTGGTCACAGCGCATCACGCGGAATCCATCATTGTGGTTCTCCAAAACCGAGATATACCCAGTGTAGGACTCTTGGCGTGCCAAGATGGAATAGCCCTCGCTCTGAATAGCAGAGTTCACACCGCCGATACCACCAAAGTGGACATCAGCTGTGATCGAGAAGAGGACGGACGGAATGGCCAGAAGCAGCATCTTGGAAGGGACGACGGCAGCGTACAAGATCGCAATGACGAACTGCAAGCCAGCGCGGGAGAAGACGACGGTGAAGCCAATGAAGCGAGATAGCAGGGCTTTGGCGAAGTGCTCGCCCAAGGAGTAGACGAGATATGAGCCCACCAGGGGTACATGCTCCGCCGCAACGTCACCCATATCCTCAAGGTGCAGGGAGTATTGGATTTGCTTGCCAGCAATGGCCACAGTCAACAGAGCGAGTGGGTAATAGCCAAACAGCTCTGTGATCACAGGTCCAAGGGGGTTTCCTAGCATGGAGCTCTGTTGCATCACAAAGTACTGCAGAGTGGGCGTCCAGAAAGCAAGGACGGGAAGCATATACGCGGCCAGACGACCGAGTCGCAATTGAACTTGATCTTTCAAGAACCATCCGGCAGCCGCAAAAATGCCCAGGCCGTAGACATGGAAGATATGTGCGGGCAGGGCACCATACGTCGGGGACAGCACCAGCAGCATCACAGGGGAGTAAAAGGCCAGCAGCACCAGCAGGGTCGCACCACTACCGAGACGGTAGAAGTCGACCCGACGAATGTACTCTTCGAGAGACATTGTGTGCAAGCTATCGAATCTTTGCTTCAATTGATGCGGGAATCGATCCAAGGCGGATCTGGGAGGAATTGTTAGCAGAAGCTCGAAGCTCGTGTCAAGCGAATTATGACACTCAAGCTGAAACAAGGGATTTCCGACAACACAGAGAAACAAATTACTGACTTACAGACTCAGTTCTCCAACATATCAAACGGGAGGAGAAAATCGCGGAGTGGCAGAAATAACGCTTTTGCCGCCCACTTCCGCGTTCCCAACTTCACCTTTCCACACCGCGTTGCGACAGCTAAAGATGCCACACTTCCCCATGAGTTCGGGTTTCAATTCAAGCGATGCATCCAGAAACGTGCATCCTTCAGTCCAAGTAAAGAACCGCCGGAAGCGGTACCTGGATCTGCATCCAGAGTACTTTTCGGCGGATCTTGAGCTCGCCGGTCCGCTTGCTCTTTCCTTGCTACCAGCTCCAACCTGGACCATGGTTCCAGTGCTGCGAGAGGGCAGCAGAAAGCAAAAATTTAAGCTAACCGATGTGGAACTACTTTTCTAGACCCGTTGTTGTATGATCGCCTTATCCGCCGATTCCAGACACCACAAGAGAGGGAGGCCCAGGGCCGTGAGAAGGGGTTCTCGGGCGTCTTGCAGGCAGACATGCAACGCTCTGAGGCGAAGATGGATGCTCTTGCGAATCCGGACCCCAACGCAATGCTCAGCTATACTCGTGGACCTGATGGGGAGATCCTTGCTGAGGACCGTGATGACATCCCCGCTAGCAAGGAGGATGGAGAGAAGGCCTGGCAGTGGGAGATGGGGTTGCGATTCATGAGAGGCGATGATGACGATTTTGACTATAAGGCTGTCGACGAGAATGATGACTACGATGATTGGACCGAAGAGCAGGACAAATACTTTGAGGATGAGGAGCCTGAGTGGGTGATCGATGATGCCCGTGGCGATGAAGCTCGGTCGAGACTGCAGGGTGAGACGGGTGTGCAGGATTTCTGATAGGAAAAGTCTTGCAGCGATGCTTCAGCTCTGTGAGCATTGCTTGCAGATTGTACCAATCTATCACACGCCATGGGCAACACTCGCGTCTCTGTGAAGCTCGGATACCTGGATACACGGTGACGAAGCTTCCGGTGACGAAGCTTCCGTCGAAAGAGACTATGTTCCCAAGCCCATTGTCATACCGGATCGCCTTCTCAATCCCAACCAGAGGGACGAGGCGTCGGCTCCTAATAGCCAACCCACAGAGACCGAGAAGACCCAAGAGATTACCAGCAGACAATCGTTTTCCAGGCTCAACGGACGCTGTCCAATTGACTAGCATTCCAATTCTGCGAGTCCCTCCCAACTCCCTCCAGAAAAGTAAGTGCGATCAACCGGAAAACTTCCTTATTACTAATGTATCGCAGTGTGGACGCTCTTGAGCTAAGCCGAACTGAAATTAAGATGCAGCTCCGGATCATACATGTATAACTTTCCCGACGTCGAACTCGTCCTTCGACCCCTTCGAATTATTCCAAGGAAGCACATACCCCCGTTGATTTGACACGACTCGTATCCCCTGAACTTTAAACTCTGTGGTGTAGTGTGTGTGTCCAAAAACCCAAAATTTGATGCCACTCGACTTGGAGATCTCTGAGAGGATATCGGTTGCAAAGGCGGAGTTCCAAGGGTTATTCGCATGCTGCGGGCTGGATGTGTTCTGGAGAGACGGGGCATGATGCGTCACGACCAGTATAGATCGTTTTCTGTTCTGTGTCTTGTTCTTGCTTTGTATTGACTCCATCTCGCTCATCAGCCAGGCAAGGTCCGACTGATGAGATCCATTATGGTCGTCAACGGTCCAATCTTGAATTTTTTTGAAGTCTTGTATTTTCGACCTAACAATGTCCCCTGCTTCATCTGGAACTTTAGACCAGAGTGTGCAGCCAAGGATAGTAACACGGGATCCTGGAATGTCGTAGCGTCCCCGGTGGAGGAGGATTAGGCGCCCGTTCAAAGAAGGTTCCTGCTCGAGTTGCATAGCCTTTTGGAGTCCTGCTGCAAAGGTGACTTGATAGAACTCATGGTTGCCAAGGACTAGAAAGACAAGCTCGAATCGATCCGTCTGCTTTTGTAAGAAATCGCGATAGTTGTCGTAGTCCACTAAGCGCCCAACATCACCAGCGAGGATGAGATGTTTAGCGCATACGGGTATTTCAAAAGATAGGTATTGTTCGTTGATCTCAAGATGGAGGTCAGAGAGCACTTGGAAAGAGGTGGACAATTTATCGAAAATCGAGCATACTTTCTCAAACATTGTGCCTGTCCAGACCTAGTGCTTCGAGTCACTGGGAACGGGGGTGCAGAAGAGTGGTGGTACAGGGCCATGGGCGGTCAAACGGCGAGCTTGCGTTTGAGGTTACGGCAAAGGCGGCTGTTTCTGGAGTCCAAAGCGGTCATTTTCGGCGTCAACTCTATTGTAATTCTTGACTTATTCACATATTTTGTTGATTTATTGACTGCAGACGGCTGGGTCGCTATCCCGTCGCCGCCAGCCCTGTGCTATGTAAATGATATTTACATGTAGTGAGATCTACTGCCCTTTCCCTTCAGCCAGGAGCTTGATTGCCTGCTCTTTGAGCTTAAATTTCTGGATCTTGCCACTCGCAGTCTTAGGGAACGTATCTGATGGCCCCAGGAAGAAAACGTATTTAGGCACTATCAGAAGATGTTAACAATGGTCCTGAATCTGGAACCCAAGGTGTGAAATCACAACTTACCGAGGTGGCTGCTCAGCCTCTCGCGAACCCATTCTCGAATCTCCTTGGCAGTGATGGATTCGGGTCCTTGTTCTCGCGCAATCACAAAGGCGGCCACGACCTCACCATATCGCTCATCTGGAACCCCGACGATGGACACATCGCCAATTCCGGAATTGCCTAGCAGGCAGTTTTCGATTTCCAGGGGGTGAATGTTCTCGCCACCGCGAATGATCAAGTCCTTGATGCGGCCGGTGATGGTGACATACCCATCTGGTGACATGGAAGCTTCGTCTCCAGTCTGGATTCTCTGGTTAGACTGACCCAGAATTGTCGACAGAGTACAACTTACATGCATCCAAATCTTCCCATCATCATCTGCGATCATCACCTCGGCTGTTTTCTCTGGGTCTCCCCAATATTCCTTCATGAGGAGATACCCACTCACAGCCAACTCGCCGCGTGTCTCTATTGGGAGGATCTGTTTCTTGTTTGCAGGGTTCACAACTTTAGCCTCCACATGCGGCATCAATCTTCCCACGGTGTTGATTCTTCGATCAAGTGGGTCATTCGTGGTAGTCATAAGGGACACAGGGCTGGTCTCCGTCATGCCATAGCATATTGTCAGCTCAGTTAGATTCAAGACTCTGTGCAGCTTCTTCATCAGCTCTGACGGAATGCTACTTCCAGCCGCGATGCCCGTTCGTAGATATTCGAAGCCTTCGCTGGAGATCTCCCCCGATTCGACCAAACTGAGTTCCTCGAGGAACATTGTCGGGACACCGTAGAGCGCGGTACACTTCTCTTCTTGCACTGCTTTGAGGGCAGCGCGGGCGTTGAAGGATTCGGCTGGGAATACTATGGCTGAGCCGTGTGTTGCCGTTGCCATGTAGCCTAGGATACATCCGAAGCAATGGAACAGTGGTGGTGGGCAGCAGACTATGTCGTCCGGGGTGAGGAGCATGCGATCTCCGATTTGTGAGCCGTTATTTAGGATGGAGCGGTGGCTTAGACATGCAGCTTTTGGCATAGCCGTGGTACCGGACGTAAATTGAATGTTCACAATATCGTCTGGGGAGAGGTTCTGCTCTGGTAGGGCAAGGCCATCCGCAGGAATGTGTGACATGATTGATGAAAATGGCGTTAGGCTCTTGTATGGAGACAAATCCATGCGACCGGAAGAGTTGTCCACGAGTATGACCTGCTTCAACGAGGGAACTAGAGCGGATTGTACCTTCGGGTTCGAGAGGTCTTCAATGAGATGTTGGAGGATAGCTATATTGCTCCGAGGACTTTTGCGAGGAAGGTTGGACTCGGCGCTAATGATGAGATGGCTAGTTTCGAGGTGGCTCAGAGCAGAGACTACCTGCATGGCGTTGAAGGAGGGATTGAGCGGGACCTGGTGGTTATCAGAAAGAACAGTCCCCTGTAATTGTCAACAGGGATCCATACCAGTATAGCACCAAGCTTAAATAGTGCATAAGTTGCCTGATATCAATTAGCCCCCTGCTCTTCCTGTAATAAAGAGACCAATGTACCACTGCAAATTCCATTGAGTTTCCGAGCATGATAGCGACCCGGTCCCCTCTCTTCACACCAACAGACTCTAACCCACGTGCGAGAGCATTGCTTCTGCTGTCGAGGCCCCCATAGGATACTCGGTCGTTTTGGTGCTTGGAGATGACACTGACAGACTAAAAGTTAGTGTCCATGGGTGAAAATAGGACTGAACCAAGGAATTGGGTATACTCACGCTGGTCTATCGCCATGATCTGCCACTATTCTTGCAAAATGACCCCCTACAGTAGACTCAAACAGGGGAGGCTAAAGGAACGCAATCATGTTAGCCGCCATTATGGATCCTTTGTTCAGATGGGATGGCCTGGATTGAAGACCGGCGTACCTCTAAAGGACCCCTTGCAAGACTCTCTGTCAAGAGTCCCCGCCTCAAAAGTGGGACAGCAAGTGCATATCTCCGTCTCAAAATCGAACCCCTAAGAACAGAGTGGCCTCCGACGCGAAGCGCTCCGCGTACCCCGCTGTAAACACGCATGTTTGCTTTCCAATCCCTGTGCGGTCACCGAAGCCTCATGACTTTCGTTTGGCTGTAAATGCAAATATGTCGAAGGTGTAAATGCAGCGACGCGTCTCAATAACCAAATTGTGTAAAGGAGAGGCTATTGGACTCGCGTGAGAATGGCGGGAGCTTCCCCGCATCTTAATCTGCGGGATCGGGTCGTTCCGAGGCCCCGATTCCCCGATGACCTTTTCCTCATGATCGTGACTATATTATTTTCCCTACACCTAGACAACGAAACAAAAGGAGTATTTAGGCGAGCAGTGAGATCATGCTGGCTACGGTTATAAAAAGCTAGACCTGTGTAACTGGTTCTCGAATTCGATGCTCTCCTATTGGATACGGAACTGATGGCATGCAGAGGATCTCTCGAAGGCATAGAGATTTTTCTGGCAGATTGGCCAGATTCGTCAATCCAAGCCAATTCCATGCCTTGATACTCCGTCTGCGCGGATCCAGAAGGGCTGGCAACGTGTTTCGACAGTGCGGAAATGAACCATACAAATTGCATCGACGATAATTGCCCTCACAGCAACTCCTGCGCCGAATCCTGCAATGGAGATTTATTATGTATCACTGGATGTCCTGATACTGGCTGCATTGATACCTGTGGGGCCGAGAGGGCGGGTAGCCAAATCGATTGCATAGCATCCAGCTGCTGGAATCAGGTTGGTCTTCGTAACCCCGCTAGTAAAATCATCTAACGCGGCTTACTACTAAAGGTCTACTCCTGCGAGTACCAGCAAACCGTTGAAGATTTTATCGCGCTCTACCAGAAGGAGCATCTCGATGATATTCCCTTCTGGCCGCCCCCAGACAATGCACCTGGTGGATGCTCGTGTAATATCGGAAGAGCCTGCAAGAAGGAGATTCTGATCTACGATCAGCTCACAGCATGTTATAACAATGTGACCAACCTTGAAAGGATTGGATATGATATGGATGATTCCATCAGCAATGTCGAGGCTTGTAATTGCTGTGCGGAGAGTGCTATTAGGTCAACGTACGTGTGACCACTGACAAGCTCATTAATAGAATATTCTGGATGAATTAACTGCTAACCTAATTCGCACAGAATTTACGATACATGCCCGAACACCAAGCCTTCCGTTATGGATGCCGACTGGTGGTTCAACAGAATCTTGGAGGAGAACAAGTGGACCATGTGCCGTTTATACCTCGATGATTACGACTGCGCTGGGGATCTAGGCTACGGTGCTGAGAATGCTGGTGGTACACAAAAATTCTACAATCCCGGGGAATTTCTCAAGAACGGCACCGAGACCCTCTATAACACGAATGGCGTAGTCTCCACGCCCGTCGATGGAGCCAGTTTTACCTGGACTTACATCTCAGACGTGCACACGGTCACCGTTAGGTCGACGGATCTTGCTGTGACGGCCACGATAACAGAGACTGGCTCTAGCAGTATAGGGACCGGAACCAACAGTGTAGAGACTGGAACCAGCAGTGCAAAGACTGACGCCGGCAGTACAGCGATGGGGATGGGCGTTATTTCCAGTGTGTCGCCTTGGGGACTTCTTACTCCGCTTGGCGAGTTAGGACTGAGATTGATTTGATGATTGGGATAAGCGAATGGAAAAGACATTCTATTTTGATTCATACAGTGGTATGCGAAATCAGATTTACCTCTACACTCTTAGACTTTCATTCCCGATCCCTGGCTTGAAATACGCGAATTTAACTTTAGCTATTCCCAGGTAAAAGGGTGTGGCTCATCAGGTCGTCGGTCAGGGCGTTACCTGATGGTCTGGTGGCCTGATGACCTGGTTGGCCTAAATACTCCTAAATACTCCCAGGTAATCCCTGCCGGGCTATATTGTTTCACTCGCAACGATGGATGACTTACTGTTATAATACCATAATAGTACGCAATGGAAGTGCAACAATCTTTCACGCAAACAGATGAAAGGGGAAATCCTAACAATCGGGCAAGACTGCTTCTACTCTCTTATATCTTTCCCCGTCACGCGTAGCCTTCGTCTACACTCTTTTACACTAATTAGAAGCCTGCAATGGCGTTAGAGAAGACTGACGCTAGTAGGCAAAGGTGCCATTTTATAACTCTGGCTTTGGCTATCTATTGCAAAACAGTGGCAGTTGAAAACAGATTCCCCCTGAGACACTCATGCTTGGTTTCTCGACCTATACGCAAAATCATGCTAATCCGTATTTAAAAAGGCGTAAATAATCACGTTCTAAGAACAGGCCCCCGCTTTATTTCCGGCGCGACCATGTTACCACCAAGACGAAACTACTACCGTGACTCATCGTAGGCTTTGCGATCGATCTTGTTCGTATTCCGATGATGACTCACCAACAAACTAGGCTCCTGAGATCAGGCAGTAAGAGCTTGCTGACGAGAGAAATACCCTCTACAAATAGTCTTACCTCGTCCTGTTGACTGACCTTCAAGACACTGAAGTCTCACTTGTTGACCCACAGCCGTCAACTAGCTCCTTTAGACGGGTCGCAATGGATCCCTTCCCACTGGAACCCTACCGCTCCGCGCGACTCCTCTACCGCGCACCAGAGGACAATCCAACAGACGATGCATTCTTCCAAGCTCTCTACGCCGACCCTTCAATCGGGTCTATGGCCTCGCCCGCCCTGCAACGCCCGCTCAGCACTAAGGAGCGGAAGGAGTTGCGAACAAAAATCGAAGCTATGATGTTTATGTCAGTCATGATATGTATCATCCCAGATGAGGGCTCCGATAAGGAGCCCGAGACAATCGGAGTGATCTCGTTAAAACAGGAAGCTCCTGTTCTCGCACATAATCGCACAAACGAGTTCGGAATTGCTATTGCGCGTCAGTACCAGGACAAGGGGTATGGGCCTGAAGCTATCTCGTGGCTGCTGGATTGGTCTTTTTTGACTGCAGGGCTGCATCGCATTGAGCTGAATGTCTATGAGTGGAATGAGAGGGCACAAAAGGTGTACCAAAAGCTTGGCTTTGTACCTGAGGGACGGAGGAGGGAGTGTTTGTGGAAAAATGGGAGGTGGTGGGATTGCATCCATATGGGCATTTTGGCTCATGAGTGGGAGGCGAGGAAGAAGGCCACTGATTCCTCAAATGCTGACTGATGATTGTAATGAAGTAACTACTACATAGGGGATATTTGACAAATGAGATAGTATCAGCCCTGGCAAGGTTTTGCGTCAACCGCTACTCTCGCATATAATTATCGTGATTGTCATATTAAGCATCAAGGAACTGGGGGAGCACTTCCCTAGAACAACCAATAAAGGTAGACGGGAAGGCCGATATTAGGATCGCGAAGAATAAGGGCTGCAGAACTTCAGAAGTATCCCAAGGCTGGGGTAGAGTATGAATCCTTTGAGCTCGTGGGGCCGAGGGATACATTATAACGAATGCGATACGGGCTGTTGCTCTTATCTACGTACGATCGAATTCCTAGAGGTGTGCAGAAGCAGCACGGTCTTTGTTATCTCAGAATAGACGAAGAAAGGCGGGAAAGGAACGACGGTGGGATTGGATCGGCGCCACGTCGCCAGGTGTCACTCCAGACTTCCTAGAACGCTGCATGGGGATAAAATTGGGTACTCATTGAGCACTGAAATTCAATACCTGAAAAGGCGCGATACGGCCAAGCGAGGCGTATTAATCAGTAACCCAATATGGACCAGCGTGGTTTCGGGTACTGGCCGAGAAACAAAGCGTGAGTGTCCATAGGGGAATGAAAGTCTAAGAGTGTATAGTAAATCTGATTTCGAATACTACCTGTACGAGTTGCTAAATGAATAATTTTGAAAGTAGAAAATCCCCCCGAATCTGCACCGTCAGCAGCAGGACGCCTGAACAATAACTACGGCCTCTCACGGTGAATGCAGTCAGCAGCTCCACATCGGCAAGTCCTGCCCTCTACAGTCCAATAATTTGGACCATAGTCGATTGTGACTTCATCAAAAATAAGAATATCCCGCACAGCTTCAATGACAGTGGTAGCATACTTCCCAACAACCGTTGCCGTGAACTTAACATTCGCATTACAGGAGTGGTTCATGAAGCGTGTCCAATTACCCTGGATAGCTGGAGCAACGTATGCAACCGTCCTCATCTTGTTCTTACCTTTGATTTGCGGGTCGTCCCAAGGCAGCCCTTTGAAAGATTTGTCCCAAACGATTTGCTCCAAGTCGTATATTGTGGTTTCATCCACGCGTTCAATGGGAACGATGCAACCTATGAACTCACCGAGCCACTCTCCTTTCTTGAAGTTTGACAATGCCCGAATTCCAAGCCCCTTCAATGAATATTGAATGATTTCTAGCGCATCATCTGAAGTTGGTGTTACACGGCATTCGCAGATATCAGTACTGGAGCAAAATGGGCAAGCTCCCCAGTTCGGTTTGCGGAGTATTGGATGTGGGGCACCGTCATATTCATCTGCTTTATAGATATGTTGATTAACATGAACTTGTAGCAGATGGTTGAACCGGGGGCGTCGAAGGTGACCTTCTAGCGTCTTGACTGTATGGTGTGGATGGTCCTTACCAAGATGTTTAATCTCGGGACTCAGGGTTTGCCTGAGTTGAGACGACCACCGCCCGTGTTGGACCAAAGGCCCGGACCAGTCCAGACTGCGACATCTAGCAAATAGCTCGATGCTGCGTGCATTGTCATCAATCAGTTTGTCAAGGAGCTGCCACTCAACCATTCCATCCCGGTCCTTACAGGCACGTTGGAAAGCTTCAGAATAAGCGCAAATGGAGAAAATTTTCCACCCGTGATCTCGAATAAAGCGGAGGATCCAAACATCTTCAATTGTAGCACTAAAATTCGGGCCTGTATTACTCACCTTAACGTACTCATACACGACCAGGTCGACAAAGCTTTTTTGATTATTGATGATGGTCTCAGTGATTGCCGTATCTTGTTCAGTCTTCGAAGCGTGGGGTAGATTCATGAACCGTGCTGCACAGTTTATATCCCAGTAAATGCAAGCCATGATCTGATTGGCGTTTTCATCGGGGATAGACGCAGGAGCCGATTCCCCTGATGGACTAGCCGCTCTAGTTTTCATGTTTGAGTTTGTAAAAAGTCAATAGGAACTTTTGAAGGCATCTAAATTTAGCTTTTCTTTCGATGTGTGAGGACGGTTAGTACTTGAGAATGATATGAGAGGGATAGAATATAATGGATACTACGAGGACTTATATACTGGCTTTGTTTTGATACTTTAGCACGGTGTGGCGTATAGACAATGCCCCTTTCGAAGCTATTATCAAAGGCCTTTGTTACATTTCGGTCATCAACGGCTTTGATCGGGCATTGTTTAAGGATGACTTGAGAATTTTGCTGAAATTGGCCTAGCAATGGTATTTTTATACCTGAAACGTTTCAAGTAAGTGTGTTCAAAAGAAGCAAAGGCAAACAAGACATAGCGAGTATTGAGTTGTGTTGAACCATATATTCAGGCTGTGTTTGCAGCGGCTATTTACGTCCAGCAAAGGCAATTTTCTTGAAACAGAATTTTCCCCTAAATTACATAGCTGACGTAGCATTATTTCGAGTCCAAACCAGAGGGAACAGAGAGAGCAAAGCAAACCCGTTATTTAGCCATCTCCAAACAAGGGGAGACCAAGCTGTACGCGGGTATACGTTTGACACAGTCGAGTGGATAGTGAGCGCAATGGTTTAGCAGGAAATCCAAGCTGGAGTAGTCATATAGCAGATTCCGGGCGTTTTGTTGTAAAGTACACAATCCCCATTCGAGTAGGCGTAGTTTAGCCCAGTGGTGGAACCCGCGGTGATCAGGGAAAGCGGAATGGCGCTTGGCGCCACCTGGTGGGGAAAGCTATGCGATTGCCCGCTCTCTCCACTCGCGCTTCCTGACCCTTCGACTCTTTGACTCCGGTCATGTTTGGCCATTGATTGCCTTGTTTTCACCCGGCTCAGAAGCCCCCCTTGCAGCCATGGCCTCCGAACCGCCCGAGGACGCCATCGACAACTTTGTCAGTTTCACCAGCACGACGCGTGAGCAAGCTATCAGCTTCCTGAAGGTCCGGACTGCCTCCCAACTCTCATGGGATAATGACTGATATTTCCTTTGTCGCAGGCAAACAACCTTGACTCCCAGAAAGCGATCAACGCCTATTTTGAAGACCCGACAGGCCCAAAGGTGACAAATAACTCGTGAAGCGCGGGGCTCGGAGCTCTGGACTGGAAGCTAACTACCTCTCCCCGGTGTAGACGTCGAGCCTCTACGATGACAGTAACGTGCCTTGTATGGTTCCTCTACCCTATCCGTACACTCCAGTGACTGATATACCCTGCTCTAGTTGGCCCGCAAAACAATGCGCTCCGAATACCCGCAACGGCTCCTCCTTCGCGCCCTCCGTCCCGAGCAAATATGAATGAAACATCCCAAGGCGCCGGGTTCGAGTCTTCCGCTGCGACAGCACCACAAGGTTCTACCGGTGAGCAGCCTCCCGAGGAAGACTATCATCAGTTGACAGCTACTGATTGGGATCAAGGCACAGGCGGATCCGGACAAGGACTGAGCCTGGCTGAGCGCGAGGAACAGGAACTGCAGCGGGCTGTTGCCATGTCTCTCGGATCGGGAAAACAGGAGACCGGTGTGACGACAAAGAGTGATGCGCATTTTGGCAAAGCAACGCGCGATCATTACGATGAGGGCGCTTGGGCCATGACCCTGTTCAACACCTCGTCCGAAGAAGTTGTGATCAGCCCCGACCCTGAGGACCGCAGAAAAGTGAACGGAGAGCCTGCGTTTATCCGCCCTACACAAGAGCACCTCTATCTGGGAGGATTTCTCACCATCCTCCATGAAATTCCTCTTGCGCGCGAAGCCCTCTTACTGCGAAACAAGGTTCTCTTTGACTATGGTCACGACCCGCAATGGTGGAATGGACAAGCAATCAACCTCCCCAAAATCGTCACCGTTCACGACGGACAGGAAGCAGATGATGACTGGGACGATATCATCCACGAGGCACAGCGGCTGATGGCATTCCTGGACTCTACACAACGCGCCTTTGGAAGCAGTGATGCGCTAGCAAATCTCAAGCATGTCACGTCGTACTCCTCCGACTCGGAGGAAGTCGTCGCCCGGTTTCTCGAGAAGTGGCATGACGCTGCAATTCGGGCAGACCCCGAGAATCCATTAGCCACGCTTTTCATGTCTCATGCCTACAAAAACTCTCCGTTTGAAGTAGACGAAGGGGAACCGCCTATTGAAAAGGAGCTTTTCATATTCAGCCCTGTGGTTGAGCCAGATCACGGACAAACGCTATACGATGTCTTGGATACTGCGATCTGGAGCGATAGCCCCGGCGAGGAGCTTGACGATGTATGGCTTGAGACCATCGGAGAGGTCATCGTGATGAAGCTCGATGCTCCGGATAACTCCAAGTCTGTGGATGTGAAAATTCCCTTTGTGTTCTATCCAGACCGCTATCTCAGCAGCTGCCGAGAGATTTCGCATGATTTCCGCACCAAAAAACTCAAGGTTCAGGAAGAAATAGAAAATCTGGAGCAGGTCATGCGTCATTTGACCCATCCACGGACTCCGGCAGGCACGTTGACTCGGAGGGATATTCTCGAAAAAGCTGCCGCCGCAGTCCCCGTCGTTCTTGCGAAGAACATGGCCGCGAAAGATGACTCGATGAGCCCTGAAATGGCAAACGAGAAGGCAGAACGGCTTGTCCACGAGCTGAAGGCGGCCTCCGCTAAGCTTGAAGCGAAGCTCAAGGAGCTAGAGGAAAAGAAACAGACGGCTCTCGAGACCATGCGCAGCTACTCTAAGGAGCTCACGGAGCCCTCTCAAACCGCTGGGGAGCCCCCTCTCCACAGATACACCTTGCGAGGAGTTTGCACCGAACCGCATGTCACCTACGTCTTGAGAGCCAGCGATGCCGCCAAGTCTGGTGATTTAATGGACATTGATGAGAAGCAGGACAGCGACTCTCAATGGTGGCGCATTAGTTTCTCGACCGAAGATGGGAAAACACGACAGGCCGCGAAGAGAGAAGCACAGGGCAATCATTCTGCCAGTCAGGAAGGCGATGTCGTTGGCTACACAGCTCATAGAGTCCGCGAAGTTGAGGTTCTTCGAGCCGCTCGTGAAGAGTGGAGGTCAGTCCTCCTTGTCTATGCCAATGACAACGCGGTGAATGCCAAGGTGGAAGTGGCATCTCCTTCACTTCAGGTAAGAAAAGAGCTGTGGTGATTTCAACATTTGCTAACTCAGGGAATAGGGCTTCGTGAAAAAAGACAACGAATTATTCACAGCCGAATTTGACCAGAGCACCAACGCCGATGAGGACTTGCGTAACTCGCCAAAAAAAGACGCCGGCCGGCAGCAGCAATTGACATCTCAAAGCGGACATTTGGTGAATGTGTTTGACTGTGAGGTTTCCGGGGACCACGATCGTGGTGCCGGCCAGGAAATGCAAGAGAAGGAAGGATCCCGACTACTAGGCTCGCCCGGCAACACTGCAAACCCGGCCGTATCGCGAGCCTTGGACGATGATATGGAGTGGAACGTGGACGGCGATGGACCGGGCCACCTGGAAAAAGCGAAGTGAACCTCGGTGCAGTGTACGAGTGACGAAGAAATGATCCGTAGAGCAGTTCGCCCGATACATAATACAACGCTGTACAGGAAGCACTTGAAATGCCCGTATACACTCGTTTGATAAGGAGCCGAGTCCCCACATTTGCCGTGTTTGCACCAAGCTACAGTCGACCTCGACAGAGCCCATTCCCCAGTCCTACCCATTGAGCTAGTACGAGCTAGTACCTACTGCACACGATGTCACTCGAAAGCGAAGCCATGGCCGGAGCGACCATCGAGCTCCTCGAGGCCCGTCTGCGCCGCCTCTCCTACCTCCTGACCGGCGCCACCGAATGGACGGGGATCCCTACCACGCCCGAGAAGCCCGCCTCTCACGAAGAGACCGTCTCACGCCGAGTCGCCCGCCTAGAAAGAGAGCTGGAGAAGCTCAGCCGAAGTGTCCCGGCCGTGCGGGACGTGATCCAACTCCGTACGTCGCCTCCGGTCCATTGTTGACATGCGCAACCCCACGCGCATCCCCAGATCACCAGCCCACTCGCCTCTCCCATTCCGCAGCATTAGCAAGCCCTGTCAATCCACCTAATGGCATTTACTGACGGCTACCCCAGATGATCGCTTCCCAGACCTCTTCCAATCCCCACCGGCTCGCAAAATCCCAGACGGCCTCTCAACACGCACCCTATCCTCCATCGTCCTCTCCTACGCAACTGCCTTCCCCGAAACCGCATCACGACTTACGTCTTTGAATGATCTACCCGTCCCAGATGCCCAGAGCTCCGCGGCATTGATTGAATTACAACCTAAATTGGACCGGCTTGCGCAGACTCAGGCCCAACAAGCTGAATCTATTTCTGAATTGCGTGTCCGCACGGCTCGCGTGCTGCAGCGCTGGTACGAGGTTGGACTTGTGGGCAGTGGGGAGTGCTGGGCCGAGTGGGAGGGACGACTTGAGGATGTGGAGAGAGAGGTCCGGAGGAGAGAGGTGATCAAGGAGAGGAGGGAGAATGAGATTTGATCTTGTGGATCGTTTATCGGTTGCATTGACTTGCGCGTTATGATATCCTCTGTTTCCCGGCGCATTGGGTTTGTACAGTTTGGCAGATTGCTAGAACATAATGAAATGATACCAAATACCAAGGACCCCCCCATGTTCATGAGTCTATAGGGTGATTGCGGACCATAAAGCGGCCTGCAGGACACACTGATCTTCGTGGAATACAGCGTCATCAGGGACTTCCCTGTCCGGAACCGACGGAAGTCCGAGGCTGTATTGGCATCCTAGCCTGGCCTTGCCAAGCCCGAATGTCGATATTGGCGTTATCCGTGTCACGACGCTGTTCTCTGCCGATCTCATCGGAACCCGTCATTAGATGACATACGATGCATTCCAATTACAATCAGAAAGAATGTGAAAATGACATGCGAGTTTACCCCGGATTCCTGACCTCCGCCATGGCATAGGGGTCTGAAACACCCTAGGCGCCGGATGCGAGAATCAGCTGGGGTTAGCCCTATGGGTTATCCTGGAACACTTCTAACAGTATGATGCCTAGGTCCAGTGGTCTACGATAGCAAGGTGGCGAGGATTCTGTAACGGCCATTGACGACATGCTACACGTGTTAGAACGGGCAGGCATGTGTCGGGCAAAAGTACGAGATCGGATCCAGCGAACTACTCGGCGGGGCGGCGTGGTGAGAACCTGGGAAAGCCACGGTAGGCAGTGCAATGCACTTGTGCATGATACTATACATCATAGTGCGGAGTATAATATATTGGGAATATTAATCGGATCGAAGCCTAAGCCTATCGCACTAATCCCCCGGGCTTAGACACAAGGTTGTATTGTCAACCGCGTCAGCAGCGGAGCCTCGGATCTTGGTGACTAAGAATTTTAGCGGTTATTTATAGACCCAGGAGAAACAGTCTCGACTGAACAATTTGCAGTGCGATTGCAGTCGAGGAAAAGGTAATCAAACGAGCCAGAGATACGGTTTGCCACCGCTGCAGGAATCGATCGCAGTGGGCCAGGACCGTGACACTTCATTTTCCGGATTCCACCGTGGTCTCGATTCCAGGGGCGCGTCTGTGTGTTTTGGGGCCGGGCCCACATCCTTCTCTCTCTTCTCTCCCACGCCTTCTCCTCCTTTTTCCGCCCTACACTCTCTTTTTTCGACAGCCCTCGGCCTATTCATTCGTTTTTATTCTCTTCTCCAGCCTGGTGCTGCCGTCGCCTCTCTCGGGGCCTCTTTGTGTTTTCTCGCTACTCCACCTCCTTTTTCGTCTCTGTTCCGGACCCTGGTGAACTCCCCCCCCCCCGTAATTGTCTCAGGTACGAACCACCCTATTTCCCGCCCCGGGATTTTCTTCTTTTCCTTTTCTACCCGCCTTCATTTGCCCGTTCTTTCCTTTGTTGCAATTGCGGAAGGCGCCGAGTCGAGATTCAATCATCTTGGGGACCTGTGTTGGCTTTGGACCCCACGCGACCGGGACTGTGGGAATAGTTGGACTGACAAAGGCCCCCCCCTCCAGTGATCTCAACAGCGCATCACAATCTCCAGACGCCTGGCCTCGACCGTTGACGACATCTCATCTTGATTCGTCGACTCTTCGATACCATCCCACTCGATTCACCTTTGCGGTTCCCGACTAGCAAGATCGGCCCCTCTTCGATCCTGTATCCCCTTTCTTCGACCTTCTATCGCGTACTCTTCATCACTGCACAAACCGAGCGCAATTCTACGTCCAAAATGGCCAACTTCCGCGCAAGCAATATCTTGGGCGACCCCTTCGCGCTCGCCACTCTCTCCATCTCCATCCTGGCCTGGCTCATTGCTTTCATCTCGTCCATCATTGCCGACATCCAGACTGATTACCCTAACTTCTCATGGTGGGCTACTTGTTATATGTTCTGCGTTATCGTCGGCCTGATCGTGACTTTCGGTACCGACACGTGCAATGTCTACGGTGTCGCAATCGTCGGATACCTGGGCTGTGGTCTCGTCTTGACTTCGCTGAGTGCGAACAACCTGGTCTACGGTAACCAAGGTGCAATGCAAGCTGCTGGTGCTGGTTTCATCCTCCTTTCGATGGTCATTGTAAGTCAGATCATTAGATGTGTCCTCATTGACACTGTTCCTAACTCGTCTCTAGATCATCTGGATCTTTTACTTCGGTTCGGCCCCCCAGGCTTCGCACCGCGGTTTCATCGATTCCTTCGCCCTGAACAAGGAACAGCCCGGCTCCTTCCGCGGCAGCCGCCCCATGTCCAGCGCTTTCGGTGCCCGCCCCGAAACCATGGCCACAAACAACACCCCCCAGATGTACACCTCTGCCCAATTGAACGGCTTCGAGACTTCGTCGCCCGTCTCGGGATACGCAGGGGGGCCCCCGGGCGCCGAACGCAATTCGTCCCAGCCTCGCTTCGGAGCCCCGACCCCAACCCCGGCCCCGGCCCCAACTAACAACGGCCAGGAGGGCACCGAGGTGCCTCAACCCACCGATTACCCCTACCGGGCGAAGGCTATTTACTCATACGACGCGAACCCAGAAGACGCCAACGAGATCAGCTTTGCCAAGCACGAGATTCTCGAAGTATCCGACGTCAGCGGCCGATGGTGGCAGGCTAGGAAATCCACCGGAGAGACCGGCATCGCACCTTCAAACTACCTGATCCTCTTGTGATCATGATGTCCCGTCTCTTCTGTGCTTTTTTTGAGTTTTTGCCCAATCCTGTCACCCAATCTTGTTCCCCTTTTTGATACCCTTCGGATCTTTTGTCGACGTGTGTGTATTTTGGTTTACCTAACGTGATGTCTTGATGGCCTCCTTTCCTTTTCTGTGTCTATGCGATCTTTCTCTATCTCTCCTTGGAACGTATCTATCTGGTTTGATTTGTCTCCAGTGTCGCGGGCCGTTCTCCCGCAACCTTTTCCTTCTTTTTATGGTTCATATGCTTTCTTTTTCCTTGTCGTGTTGGGGATCTTAGGCGCGACTGGAGTCGTTCTGGACTCTGGTGATTTGTCTTGGTTTCCTGCATGAAAAGTCCCAGATGTAAGGGTTTGCATCCCACACTTGTTTGTCGGTTTTTTTCTCGTTACCCTTAGAAGACATGAGAAGCTGGCTTTGAATGCAACCTTGTACCTCTGTTCATCGTACTCGGAGCTCGCCTAGACCGCTTGGGTAGCGCTTATAAATCTCTGCAAAACTGGATACCATGATATCAACGTTGGTGGACTCCGCTTTCATGATTCTAGACTCTAAATCTCCAGAGCCCCGCATTCCTTCATCATCTCTTGCCAGATTCACACATCCGCCTCGAGCTGGCTTGGCTCCAGCGTGGTATCAATTACCACACACAGGACAGTATGTAGCAGATCAGATCGAAGATAATGGCGTTGTATCTACAGCCATTTAGGTACAGATCCACATTATCACAGAACTGCGGCAAACCCAACGTGCTACGAGGTTACCGCTTCGGTCCACCCCACCGATCCAGGCCCACCACAACACCGTTAGCCCCTTATTATTGGAAATGAAGAAGCTCCGAACGAAGAGCAGACTCAAAAAATGGGCGTTGGAATAGCCGGCTTATCACCGTGTTCGCCGCTTAATAACCTATCTCGTCCTAGTCTCTTCCCAATCAAATCAACACTCAGACCCCGAGTCCTTGAAGCGGTAACTGCTTCCTGATCGTCAAAGCGGAGAATTCAGTCGTCATTCGATGGGCTCTCCGTACAGCCGAACCAAGGAGATATTACAAATGGGCCTCAATACTTTATTCTCTAGGTCCTTCTAAATTTCCTCCTAGTAGTTTTTTTAAATGTCTTTAGAGACATCTTTTGATACTAATTTCCAAGATACCTTTCTAAACGTCTTTTTCAAAACTCCCGGGCAGATATTTATGACCGACCAATTAGACCCACTTAAAATATCTCCTTGGTCCGGCTGTATTCGGGCTATTTGCTGTCCTCTGGTTTGACCAGTTCATACCTGCAGCTTGCATATGCGTAGGGATTTGCCTGTTTTCGGAGTAGTTTCCATGGAACCATGACCGGTGGGTTCGACCCTATCTGGTTGCTGATCGGGGTCGTTCTTAGTGTGGCGCTAAAATGGAGTTCTACCTTGGCTGTCCATCACCGCTGTTTTGCTAGGTGATCTTGTCTTTGTTCTGTTCTACCTGGGAAGTAGCTGTGGATTTCGAGCACTCGACGGTCCTTTGTTCGCTGCGACAGTGGTATTGTTTGGCAACGAGGGTCGTTCATGCAGTGCCGTTGGTCTTGGTACTGAGACGGGAGCTCGCATTCATTGATTCGGACCGAGCTTTGTATTCGGATCTGCCGGGATCGGAGAAGATTCAACTTCATTTTTCTGGGTTGGCTTTGCAGATGATATACGAGTCGACAGAATGTCGGGAGGCAACGTTACCGTGGCGTCCACGGTGCTCGGCACGATTGGTACGGTCCTGTGGTGTATCCAACTGATTCCGCAGATATGGTACAATTATCGACGGAAGAAGACTGATGGATTCCCGGCGGCGATGATGTTTCTATGGGCCGGTTGTACGTATGCCTGTCAAGCGGGAGATGCTGGTGCTGATTTGTTTTTGCACAGGTTCTGTCCCGATGGGTGCGTATTTTATTTTACAGGTGAGATCAGTTGTCCGGGGTTGCCGACATATAAAAGAAACTCGGTGGTGGATGCAGAGCTGACCATGAGGTTGATATAGCAAGTCAACATACCGCTACAAGTCCAGCCACAAATCTTCGGCTTCTTTTCTCTCGTCAGCTGGGGTCAGATCCTGTACTATAATCAGTGAGTCTGCCCTTCTGCATGGCCTGTTTGGTGCTCTAATCGATTATGTGAAACAGCAATTATAGCCGATTAAAGGCAACGCTGGTCTGCTCTGCATTTATTGTGTTATTCGCTGGACTCGAGGTTCTTCTTATTCTGACGCTGAGGGTGAGTACCCGCATCAGCTAATAGCTGTAACCCTAGGACCATGTCTAAGAAAGCTTCATAGATCCCGTACAACAAGGGTATTACCTGGCCAGATTTGGTAGTTGGGATCGTGGCGGCGGTTTTTCTGACTGCTGGTCTATTGCCGCCATATTTTGAAATGTGGAAGAGAGATGGCCGCGTGATTGGGTTTAGTGAGTTGCCCCGCCCCTGGAATATTGAAAAGAGTCTGAAGTCACTAATTCATTCCAACAGACTGGGTATTTCTGTCAATCGACACGCTAGGCGGGCTGTTCTCGCTTTTCGCTTTAGGTGCGGATCTCATCCCCGGGCCTGTACTGGAACTATCGGATAGGTGAATGTTGCTAACGGGGGAATAGCCGCACAAGGGACATTTGATATACTAGGTGGAATCTTGTATATTCTCGTGTCAGTAATTCGGCTCCATTCTCACGCCAGGCTAACCGTCAACAATAGCGTCGTTCTGGAGTCAGGCATTTATGTCAGCCACATAGTTTGGCGCATTCGCTATCGTAAAATTCGCAAGGAGGCCAAAATAACAGGGAGGAGCATTGATGACGTTTTGAACTTGCAACAAAACAATACGCAGATAGCAGGGGACCTCGAGTCGGGTGTACATGATGACTCGGGGGAGACCCTGCACCGGGAACCCACTGAACAGCGGCCACGATCCCCTGCCGACGTGGAACGGGAAAAGACCATTGAAAAATGTTAATTCGGTTACGATGTTTCATGATTGATGATTTTCTGCACGGGTACGGAGACCGTGATTGTACATACCTAGGTGGCCATGTTCGGGTTGCCCTACAAAAGAATATTTTTACTCCAGCATAGATCAGACCAATTGATCCCATCATACCGAAGGCTCAAAAATAAAAAGCAAAGAGTTCTAGATCCAACGGAAACAGACTAACTGGCCCATGCGGCCGGTATTTCCGTATTAGCGGGGGATCTCAGAGCTTTGCCCAACAATCGGAAGATCAGCGCGAGCTGCCAAATAAACGGTCTCGTGCAACTTCACCCCCTCGTTTCCCTTCTGCTCCTCCCCTAGAACTTTCGTACCCTCTCTATCTTTGTGGGAGCAACAGGAGTATTGTTGTCCGTGGTATGGAGCCAACCTAGCCCTACTAACACCCTTGGAGCTAGGTCAAAAGCCCCCAGCCCCATCCGGGACAACAAGTGCCACCCCCCTATCTCACTCTTTCGAGGAATTTCGAGGAAAAGACAATGCGAGACTTCTAAGCTTCTCTGGCAGCAGTCACAATGCCAGAGAGACGCCTTTCGCGTCTGCTCAAGGCCACACTCCTGCAACGATCATCAGGTCCCAAAGCGGGCAACGGGGCGGACCCGCGTGTCCACCCAAACTCACCCTCTCGCCACTCTCGCGCTCAGCAACCCTTCGACTCCGCCAGCGAGAAGTCCTCGTACAGCGTCGTCTCTTCGCCAGCCGAGCCCTCTTTCGACGAGCCCGGCCCCGACCCTGCTCCCGACCGGCACGAGGGACACGCGCTCAAGCCCCGGCGCCCGGACGAGCCTTATCCCATCATCCCCTCGGACCAGCAGCTTCATCCTCCCGAGCGTGAAGGTCGCACCGATATCCCGCCGCCGATTGAGCCTGGTCTTTCGCCGCTACATACCCCTCTCACCGACGAGCCCCCTTCTCCCCTCGAGACTCCACTCCAGACGCCCCAGCTTTCCGACAATACCTCTATCCAGTCCACCCACGCCAAAAATCGAACGGCGACTCCGAGCGAGCCTCCATTGACACCGGCATTAGAAACCGTCGTCGAGCAAACTTTGGACGCTCGTGAACCGTCGTCGCCGTTCTTTCCTCCTCCATCAAGCAAGCGACCCAGTCTTGCCGTCCGGCGGCAGTCTTTGCTCCCAACGTCACACCAGCACTTGATTAGTGGGCTGTTGGATCCGAGTTTCTTTTTCTCGGGTGAACAAGGCAGTTTCCGTGCCCCCGTAGCTGCGAGCGAAATGGTTCAACGCCGAGTCTGGGTCAAACGGCCAGGTGGCTCAGCCACCCTGGTACCATGCTTGGAAGATGCAGTGGTGGATGAATTGCGAGACCAGGTGATCATGAAATACGTCAACTCTTTGGGAAGAAGCTTCGATTCACCGGATATTGTGATTCGAATTCAAGCTCGAGAAGGTTCGAACAGACCGACACATGCTGAACGCCTACTCAGCCCGGAGGAGGGTCTCTTCTCCGTCATTGATTCATACTACCCCGGAGGTCAATCAATAGAAGAGGCTTTGATCATCGATGCTCCGTCACGCCGAACCCCGAAGCCTTCGCCTCGCCATCCCGCCTATCATCACCATCAACCCGGCGAGAATGGTGACTATTTCCCTTTGATGCCGGCCAATCCAAACCCTACGCCCCCCGGACATCCCGCGACCTCGACACAGGCTAATGCGCCTGCTATATCAATTCTTACCACTGGCGTCGCCCCTCCCTTGCCATCGCCAGGAAGTCGTGCATCGCGCCATCACCGCCGGCCGCCACTCACCAGACACACAACAAGTTCCCCGACGATTCACGGCCAAGTGCCTATTGTGACAGGTATTTTCATATCCGTGTAATTCCAAATTCATCTTGACTAACGTCCAGAAGAAACCGGCATTTCCCCCCATTCCCAAGCTCCTCCAGCTGCTCCGACGCAAAACGCACCCACACCTCCTGCGCCGCTGCCCGACTCCCCCCAGACCAAGACACATACGCCACCAGCACCGGCTGCGTCTCCGCGAGCTCTTCGCAAATCGAAAGGTGCTATATCACCTGGTGCGGTTTTTGGTGGATTGATCGATGGTACTGTACCGCCAATCAACGTTCTGATCGTGGAAGACAATATCATCAACCAAAAGCTGTTGGAGGCGTTCATGAAACGACTGAGCGTGCGCTGGAAGTGTGCGGCAAATGGCGAGGAGGCGGTGCGAAAGTGGCGGCAGGGCGGATTCCATTTGGTACTTATGGATATCCAGTTGCCCGTCATGAACGGCCTGGACGCCACCAAGGAGATTCGTCGTCTCGAACGTCTGAATGGGATTGGTGTCTTCCCGAAGAATGCATCTGGTCGTTCCAGTGCTTCAAGCGCTGCAACCACTCCTAGCGAAATGGATAGACGGCCTAGTTTCCATCGCTCTGTCAGCGAAGAGGACACATTGTCTGATTTGTCACTGTTCCGGAGTCCGGTGATTATTGTCGCATTGACAGCTAGCAGTTTGCAAAGTGATCGTCACGAAGCTTTGGCAGCCGGCTGCAATGATTTCTTGACCAAGGTATGCACCTCTCTCTACCCAATCTTCATACTTCATACCAACTGACTTTAAAATAGCCCGTCGGCTTCCCGTGGCTTGAACAGAAAGTAACAGAATGGGGTTGCATGCAAGCTCTCATCGACTTCGAAGGCTGGCGGAAGTGGCGTGGCTTCATGGACTCTCCACGACCCGCCTCGCCTGGTTTCGACAGCGCCGCTAGTCCAATGCAGGGTGGCAGCCGTCATGAGTCCGTATCGCAACCACAACCCGGGTCGCCATCAGCCACTCGCATTGCCGCCAAAACACCCCACCATAAACTGCAGAGGCCTAATCTGCCTGATGCCCAGGAAATCCTACGTGAGGATTCGTGGGGTAGCGGTAGTGGTGGCGATACTGCAGATTCATTCACTCCCCCAGAGGCTCCGCCAACGAATGGAGTTCCTCTGGCGGAATCACCTCAAGAGGCGGTTGCAGCTCCGCCTGAGCAGTGATAGAACCGTGGTATATTGCATGTCTTGATATATCAACGCCGTCACACTTGATTATTTCCATATGTCTCGACTATCTGTCTTTTCCATTGGATACCCCGCATAGTAACGATTATCTTATTGTTTTTGGATTTTTGGATAGCATTGGCGCTTCGAGGTCTCAGACCTGAACGTTGGTTTTCATTCTCGCCTTTCACTTGCATTGATTCAGAGCTCCATGGCATCGCAACCTGCCGATAGAGTTGTTTTCTCTTTTTCTTGTTCCTTATTTTTGCTGCTCGGCGTTACATACACGCAGACTGGACATACTCGAAGTATACGAACGGGATGTCATCAAGTCTACTCCGAGGTTCTTTACGGTTGATCTGACCTGTTCCATCTGTCATCTCTTCGCCGTTTGGGCCAAGTGTCCACTTGTATTTAGACATTTAGGCTCTAACGTGTTTCTCCTCATTCGAACTTTACGAGTGGAGATGGTTAATTCTCGAACATAGATCCAATTAAATCACATAGAATAAACAACCTAAAGCTCCAAAACAAGCTTGACACCACTCACACCTGTCTTCAACTCATCCAAAGCCTTATTAGCAGATTCCAACCCCCCTTCAACCACTTGGATCCTCGGACTAGGAACCAACTGCCCAGCCGCAAGCTTCTCCTGCAACCAAGTCTTAAAAATCCAAACGAGCCTCTCCTGTCTCTCCTCCGGATCCTCAGGCGCCGAAACAAAAGCAGTCTCAACCCCCTTCGGAACCTTCACGTCGATATCCACCCTAGGCGCAATCGCCAACTTAACCTTCTCCTCCCCTCGCAACGCATCCAGAACATCCACAGACAACTGCTGCGACCCAGTAGCATGATATCCCATCTTGAACGTCAATCCATCTTCCCGCGATGCATTCACAATTTTCTTCAACACATCCTCAGACTTGTAATCAAAGACCCGCGATGCCCCGAGTCCCTTCAGGTACTCATGATGCTGCGGACTAGCTGTCGCATAAACCGTATACCCGGACAGCTTCGCCGCTTGCACCGCAAACGCGCCCATACTACTCGACCCGCCCCAGACGAGAACACCCTCGGTTCCCTTGGAAGACGGCTCGCGTGGAACACCGGCCCACAGCCACCCATTCCACGTCGTCAGCGCAGCCATGGGAAAGACACTCCCCTCCGTAAACGAAAACGAGTCCGGAAGCACGGTAACCATCTCCTCCGAAACAAGCACGTATCTTTGGAGTGCTCCGTAGTTCGGCGCTCCCTTCTGGTAAAATGCACTGGCGAATGCAGTCACTCTTGTACCCTCGGGAATGACAGTATCCACGGAGCTACCTGACTTGACCACGATGCCGCTGACGTCGGAGCCGACGACGGCGGGGTATTCGGAGATGAAGATTCCCATGTCTCGTTGGTACACATCGACTGGGTTTACGGCCACGGCGTGGACTTCAATTAAGAGTTCTTTGGGGCCTGGCGTCGGTGTTGGTCGCTGGACTATGGATAGAGGGCCGCCCTGTTGCGGAATTATGGCCGCTTGGTGGGTTGACGACATTGTTAATTGTTCTTGATATTTGAAGCTTGAAGGATCGGGGAAGTATTGGGGATTAATTATCCCAAAGTTCAGAGTGGTGCTTGATTATTTGGTAATGATCGGATTCTTCGAGGGCTCGAGACCCCCTATTTATACCTGTCTATTTCATTTCAACTACCTTCCGAACTATGTAGCATCGGAGGACGGGTTCGTGGTCGGAGTTAAGTCAAGTCGCGTTGATAGGAAACTCCCCGGGTTTTGTGTTATCTCCGTTAGCCCAACGGGTTTGGCAAGGGTCACCGATGCGACTCATTATTTCACGCGGGGTTCTGGACCATGAATCTCCGTGGTGGCATTGGTCATCAGGGTAGCTCGTGTATACATGGTTGTTCATTTGAAGGCGTACACTGGGTGGGGGTCTTGGAAATATACGAGAGACAATATCTGCATAGTGTGCCACACAGTCTGATCGGATAGATCAGGTACTACGAGAGAGAGATTCCAAGACATATGTTAATACTTGATGAAAATTTACCTCTTGAGAAATCAATGTGTCTCTGATATGCCAGTCCATACCTTAATTGGGCCTGAATTCGCGCCTTGGTTCGGCCTTCAGAATCCATATATCCCTACCCTTAAACTTATTTTCTAACACTACTCAACCACACCTAATCCATTTGGTCTGAAAATTTAACTAGTTATAGGTTAATATATAAATATAAAAGGCAGTCATATTTTACTGTTTAATATTTAGTATACGAGGACACGGTGAGTAGGGGGCCGCCGGCACCAAAACACTGTATTTTAAAGAATGTTTTTGCTTGCAACCTCAATGCCTCTGACATAGACAGTAATGGACATACAGAAAAATTTTAATGAGACATTAGGTGTAAAAAGAGCAGAGTAGACCCCAGGAAACTAGCAATTCTTCATAAAAAGTAACAGCAACCCCCCGACGATGAGAGTAGGAACTTGATGGCTTGCACTTTACAAGCAATACCTGTAGTCACTGTTTTCGAAATCGGTTTCATCATGCAAATTAGGACCCTCGTTATTGGGTTCTGACACAGGACAGCCGTCCTTTTGCTCAGCATCGATATGTTTTCCTTGCTCCTTGTCCCGGCGCTTATTTTCGAGGTCCAAATAAAGTCGGAATAAAGCAAGGAAAGCCGTGACCAGGCAGAATAGGGAAAGGAGGCCTGTAAATGCAGTCTGAAAAAGGAGTTAACGTCCTTTCAAAATTCTGCTTTGGAGAAGACGGGTGGAGGAAAGAAGAAAGCCAGAAGGTACGAACCTGGTGTGTTGGCGCTTCTTTAGAAATAAACATTTGTGGACCGGCAATGTTTCCCGCACAGTATCCTAAAAAGAAGATCGCATTGACTGTTGCCTTCTTCGTTATTCCTCCGACATTGCTGGATATCAAACTGAGCATTAGAGGGAAAATATTACTGGACGCAAGCAGCAACATTACGCCGGCAAATCGACCACCCTTGTTATTTGTATCTTGCTGGCGAATCAGGAGCGTTCCGACGAGGGCAACGATGTTCCCGATAATGACGAGAATCAAGCGAGATTTTCTAAACCTCTGAGCAGCCAGAGATGACACTATCACAACAATGAACTGAAAGGTGGCAATAGGCAGATTAAGAAGCAATGTAGTGAATGTGTCGAAGCCGAGACTCTGGATGATGAGGGCCGAGAACTGATTTCAGAGTGGTCTTAGCAGCAGTCCAGGTGGACTTTCGTTCACGGAGAGTTCAATTACATTGGATATGACGCCATTTGTCAACGACCCAGTCGTAATGATCACGAAGAAAAACCAGGTTTTGAGGTCTTTGATTGCTTCACAGAATTGTGAAATTTTCCACTCATTTGTCTTCCAGGAACGTTGCACTGATTGGTGCCGCTGTTGAGCGAAAAGTCGCTCCTCACGACTTAAAAACCAAGCTTTTGAAGGAGTATCAGGAAGAATGAGGAAAAGCAGAACACCCCAAAGGACGGTTGGAAGACCAAGAATGATGAATAGCCACTATATGGTGTTAGCCCACCATGCCTGTGTAGTTCCAAGAAGAAAATGTCTGACTCACTCTCCACGATTCCAGGGGGTGATCAGACATATGCGCACACCCATAGGCAATTAACGACCCCAATAAAGCCCCAAGAGAATTTCCTGCGAACCAGATCCCGTGACGAGAAGCATGTTAGGGTGGCCTATACCAGATACTGGTAATTAGCGCAAACCCGGGGCTGACAGCGCTTTCAAAAACTCCAAGAAGAATACGCGTGACACAAAGCCCAGCAAAATTCTGGGTTGCCGCATGGCAGCATAGAATTGCACCCCAAATAGCACTGCCACTGGATCAGTTGAGAGTCTCGCATTCACTCGTTTGAGGTCCGTACACAGCAGTACCCAGGGTCTTTCCCAATGGAAATTTGACCAGGAGTACCGAGACTGGAAGATTTGCAAACAGGTAGCCAAAGTAGAACACGCTACTTAGCCACGAGAACTCTTGACCAACGAGGTGCTACCGAAGAGGGAAATTGTAAGAGAAAGACAGTCGAAACAAGAAAATTGGTTTAATCACCTACCGTATCAACAATGATTCCCATGACGCTGGCATTGGCAAGGCTGGTCTTGTCCATAAATTGGAGCACGTAAGTGAAGAGCAAGACCGGCATCAATATAAAATGGGGTTAGTTTAATTGCAATACTGGACAAACAGGATATAACAAACATTAAGTCAATCTTCTTCTACACATTCCTCTCAATAACAAAACCAGTCTCACTCTGCTGCATATCCTGCTCGTTCACGGCAGCTTTCTCAGAGTCTGATTCTGGCTTGGAAATAGGATCATTTTCATGGCCTGACATGGTTTATTGAGAATTTTTAATGCTTTCAAGTCTTTTTCTTTCTCGAATTCTGGAATTGATGCTAGAAGGTGATCGGGGTTCGAGAGAACCATGCTACGTACATAAATAGGAAAACATAGACGGATAAGGAATTCTACGCCCATGCGACATTATTGGCGAGTTTAGACGACAATGAGGCCCGCTAAAACATTCTACCAGCTTATTGGCCGATTTTGACGACCGGGGCGCTATAGTCCCAGGAAACAAGCGTACGGAACCCCGATTGCGGGGTTCCCCGACAACCCCTTGCCCTCGGTAGTTGGCAGATATGAAGTTGTAGCAAAGCACCTAAGATTAGCCGCCATCAGTCCAACACATTATACGATGAGCTCTAGTCTTCAAGTCTCAGACGATTCCAATGGGAGGAAAAGGCGGCGTGTCAATACTTTAGGGCGTTCCCGGGATGGTGAGAGTTGTCCAAACCCACAGCGAATGATGAGCTTGCATTCGGCCTCATCTGGAATGTCCTCTTCTGTTCATCTGGTTTACTCTCTTCATGAAAATCACTGACCCTATCATACATAATTATTAGGCTGTGTTACTTGCAGGGCCAAACATGTCAGATGCGACAAAAAAACGCCGGTGTGTAGCCGGTGCGAGCGTCTTTGCATTGATTGCATATACTGCACAAGCAAGGCAAAATCCAATGATAACTCACAGAAGAGACCAGAACTTCGTCGACTACAACCGCAGATAAAGAGTGCGACCGACATTCAATCTCCCTCGAATACCAACCAAGGCTTTTTGGGCAATGAAGACATGCTTCTCCGACCAGAAGACTGCTTTGACCTAGAAAATATCCCACTAACTGATGATGTTGGTGAATATTTATTCCTGGATTCGGCTACCCCGTACAGAGGACTTCAAGAGCCAGAGGGGGGACTCTACAACCAGCAAAATCCACATATCACAGCACGTGAGAACATCTCCTGCCCAAGCGAAGATGTCTTCCTACGGTTATCATCACCAGGAATATCATTTTCTACGCCGACGACATATCATATCCCTCTGCCAAGCTCGCTTGTACTCAGTCGAGATGACCATGCAGCGCTGAGCTTCTATCAGGGATCTTTTGCCCTATCCCAGACCCTGAAAGACTCAAGATGGTCCTTTGCCACTCTGTTGTTACACGTGATTGCAAAAAATGAGATGGCCATGCATTTTGCTTTGGCCGCCTCTTTTCAACAAATGCAAGGATACCCATCGAGCAATTGTTTGGCCTCGTATCATTTCCAGCAAGGACATATCCTTTTTCGGAGAGTACTGGTTGAACCAACTTCTGAAGACATGGTTGCCACTATGGCTTCTTTCTTCTTTAACTTCGTCTATATGCTTAGAAGTATCTCTTTGAAGGAGATAGGGAAGCTGAGCCTGGCCGCCCTCAATTACATAAAGAAATTCCAGCTCGACTCCCTGGGAACTGAGCCTACTTTGAACATGCCTCAGACTCATGTTGGACGACAACAAGCAGTCGAGCTTCAGGGCTCTGCAAATCGTACGCTTCTTGCTCGGCTGTTGTTCTGGATCTACAAAGAAGATGTCAACTGTGCCTTTCTAGGGGGAGGCGGCCATGTAGGGAAGCATTTCAGAAGCAGTCCTCAGCGGATGATGGATATCTGGCGCCTGTCTCGACCAACTCTTCAACTCAACTGGGGCATCGAATACCCGATACATCAAAGTCTCGATGATATGGAGATGTCTCACGCCGTCGACATGTCTGTGGACCTTGTTCTCCTTCGATTCGAAATTACCGACCGCGCGAATTCGATTCATCCTTGGTTTCACCAAATCAGAACAGTAGGCAACCTGTTTAGTTGTCAAGAAAAAAACATCTATTGACGATAAATACAGAAGTACGACCTCATATTTCAGATTGCGTCCTCGGCTACCACTTTATCGCAGAATCTAAGCTCTTTCTGCAACATAAACATTGCTATTTTCTATGCCCTTCAGATATTTTACCTGCGCGTGCAGTCTCCTGGTATCACAGCATCTTTGATACCTGAAGCCCACTCAATCATGCAGGATCTGTTGGCCGCATCTCACAAAGCGTGTTCGATGGGAGAAGTGGCCATTTTTGAAGGTTTTCAATGGGCTCTCTTTATTGCGGCTCTCGAAGTGGTTGATCCTATCAGTCGAGAATGGCTCCTGAGTAAAATTCAGATGCCCCGCTACAGACTTGCGGCACAGATGATAATCGAATCTCAGCAAGGCAACCATTATATGGGGTTACTGAGAATGGCTTTTTGTAATGGTGAAGAAGTGATTAATAAGGGGTAATGATGTACTCATAGCAATCAATTTCAACTATATTGAGGAATGGAGATAGGCTTTCTGCTTTGGTAACAACTTACAACTTATCTCCGCGAATTGGATTGATGGGAATAGACGACGGAGTAGGTTTTAGGATGTCCCCCGAAGCGGGGCGTCGTCAACAGAGCCAATGAAGTGACTCCATTCTGGGACAATGATAACGCTCCCCTTCTCTAAGGAACGGGGATGGCGATTTAAAAACTGATATTAGTGGTAGATATTGACGACCAAACCTACGAGAGACGAAACCTAATGCTTAGATATCCCACCCGAGAAAAATGTTACCATGATAATACTATATTAAGCCGCTGTTCTAAACCATCTGTGCTGTAGATTTCAATCTCGCAAAAAAGGAAGGGAGAATTTGATGCTAGAATGTCATATTTCGGACCAGGATTGGGATTAGCGAACATTGATCAGCATGGAGAGGCCTGTTCGCCAGAGTCAGAAATACTTAGGGGGATGGGTGAAATTGATCAAGAGTTGCAAGAATTGAATGCCCAGGTAAGAATTGTGTTATACGTTTTGATTAGAGGTATCATGAATTACTGACGCAGAACATGATTGAAATTTTCAGATTCATGAAAACCCGGAGCTATGTTACAGAGAAGTGAAGGCTCATCAAAACATCGTCTCTTTTTTCATGAAGCATAAAGTCTCTGTCACACCACATGCGTTCGGAATGGACACGTCGTTTCTTGCCGAGTATGGAAAAGGCGGGCGCGTTGTAACCTTCTGCGCCGAGTATGACGCCTTGCCCGACATTGGCCACGCCTGTGGGCACAATTTAATTGCTACTTCCTCCATCGCGGCTTTTTTTGGCGTTCGGGCCGCTTTAGCAGCGACCAAGCTTCCAGGAAGAGTACGCCTTCTTGGGTGTCCTGCAGAAGAGGGGGGCGGAGGAAAGATCAGGCTGATTGAAGCTGGTGCCTTCACTGATGTTGATGCCGCAATAATGATGCATCCATGTCCCAGAGGAATAGATGCAAAAGACGGAATATCATTTGGATCTTGTCTTGCCGCAACCCGTTACAAAGCGGTTTTTTCGGGCCTATCAGCTCATGCGGGGGCTTTTCCTTGGATGGGAATCAATGCCCTTGATGCAGCTGCCCTCTCATACTCGGCCCTCAGCATGTTGAGACAGCATATTCGACCCACCGATCGTCTTAATGTCATTATCGAAGAGGGTGGTCAGAGTACTAATGTTATCGTGGATCGGGCAGTGGTAGCCCTTGGTGTACGATCTGCGACGAAGCAAGAACTGTTACACTTAGCAAGCAGAGCGAGGCAATGTTTTGAAGGTGCCGCTCTGGCTACGCAATGCACAGTAGAGTATGTTGATGAGTAAGTCAAACAAAGATCCAATGGTCTTCCCATCAAAATAAGATACTCTGCTGACTTTTCTCGATAGAATGAAACCTTATGACGACCTTAGATCGAACAAAGCTCTCTGCATTGCTTTCTCCGAATATATGGAAAGCATTGGCCGGAGTTTTGCCTGTGATCTTCAATACCAGTTCGTGGGTGGTTACAGCACCGATATGGGTTTGTGGTCTTAAATATGATATGTTATCACTGATTCATCTAACAATCTTTACAATAGGCAACGTGAGCTATGATGTCCCTTCCTTCCATGGAAACTTTCATATTCCAACCAAATCCGGTCAAAACATTCATTCGGCTGGTTTTACCGACGCAGCTCAATCTATTGAAGCCTATAAGATGGCAATAGAAGTAGCAAGAGGAATGGCTGCTATTGGCTTCAAGCTTCTCCAAGATGAAGCTTTTGCAAACGATGTATGGAAATCATTTGAGTCTGACGTTCCCAGATAGAAGATTTGGAATCACGTCTAGGCCTTTTTATAGCTTTCTAGTGCCTATATCCCGAGAATTCGAGCAATTGGCAAATCGTAATGTCGGCAATGTCAATTCCGATTTCGGTGTATCTCGTTACGCATAATCAAAGGATCATGCTTAATTAGTAATAAAATGTGACGCTAACCGAATGTGATAGGACCTTTAGTCGACCAGAACGCTAAAGAGTCATGCCGTCGGCTCACTAGTCGGTTTTCTCCACCGTGTACTAGACGAACCGGGCAGAGTTAGGATAGTCACGAGGTCGTGTATAGAATAATTGACGCTTCGGTACACGATAATCTCACCTCCTGGGCATGGAGATAGCTCCTTTCCTCATCGACTATTACCATCGACCGATGATGAACAGGTTTGCGAAACCGTAAGTGATGGTTGTAAAAAAATGGGCTGTTTAAGGTTCGTCGCGTTATGGCGCGTTTGGGACGAAAACTAAGTGGGGCGACTACTATATATCCACCAATCGCCGAAGGATGAATGGTGTGCTTATGTAGATCGAATTACCCTGTGCACAGGTCAATCGGGATCTGCGCTCTTGTCTGGTTTCTCAGGGGTCCTTTGCATGGGCCGTAGATGGGGTCAAGGCAGCAGTGGGCCGAAGAGCTTCAAGCTCCCCCCGGCCACTACCCAGGTTCGCAGTTGTTTGACTGAAGTCGTGTTTCTTTCAGCAGAGGAAAACTAGGATTCGGGTTGGGATGATCTAAGCACTAGTTCCTTAATGGTCTGTACGACCTGATTGTAAACTTGGCATGTTTGACCGTAGTACTCGTATTGCGAGATGATTCGTTTGGTCTAAGCGCTCAAGCGTTGGCCCCCACTGGGGTCCAGCTGAACGGCATAAATGTTCTCTTTCTTCACAAACGCATCTCTGCAATATCTTCAGCTCGGTCGCATCTAGCCTTTCCACACCCCCTTTTAGCCACGGCAATATACCATCATGTCCGCAAGCCGCCAGTGCTACTGGCCGAACAATAAGGTCGCCAACGGGAACTACCCCTGTTCCGATAATGAAATCACCGCCTGCTGTGGATCAAATTCCATTTGCCTGTCCAATGGATACTGCATGGACATTACTCAGCCCTTTACCTTGTCGCGTGGAGGGTGCACGAGTGATACTTGGGCATCCGGATGTCCAACAGCATGCCGTCAGTATCCAGCCTCCTTATTTTGGCCCCAAATATTGACGCAACACAGAACAATCCGAATTCAATTATCAAGGCTCGGCAATTATCAATTTAAGATACGATAGCTCCAATGACTCTTCCACATACTGCTGTGGTACAGCTGTCGGTACCGGCAGCGGGCAGAACACTGATTGTCAATTTGGTTACGATAGCTTCGTTTTAAACGATGCCCACGTTCTCGCCGGATACGCTGCCCTTGCCGACTATACAAACAAAACGTCTACGCCTGGGTCTATTTCCAATAATAGTACATGTTCCAATTCTTCCAATTCTTCGAGCTCCGCTCCGACGACCGGTTCACATGATGTCGCGCTCGGCGCCGGTTTGGGTGTTCCGCTGGGCGTCATTGCTCTTGGCTCGTTATTATGGGCATTCTGGGAAAGGAGACGCGCGAATAGGTTAAGTAAGGCTCTGACGGATAACATTCCTGTCCAGAACGTTGCCAATACCCCACAGACGCCCCAGTCGCGCCTTGTGACGGGCAAGTCTGGATTCACGGAGCTGGATGGTGTGTGGCGACCTCAGGAATTGCCAGGTAATAAATGAAGATCGTGCAATATACCCCCAGGTGCCCCAGATGGGATACATGTTTGAACTACTCATCTAATACATTTAATTTCCTGCACAAGTACGTCATTCCCTGTAACTGTGGAATGCACATCAGTTTATTACACCAGTTTTAAATCAAGTTAGGGTGAATTTGTTGGCGGGATTTGAAACACATGATGGTATCACGACGTAGGATTGAAAGATAAGAAACAGGAGCATAGCAAATGGCAGATAACACCGAGTTGGTCCGTTACGTCGGTCCTACTTTCTTGATCTAAGAGGCATTTTGGTGCCTATCCAATTGGACTTCCATCCACGGGTGCCTGCTTATTTCTCCGATCCCTTGTTCCCATACTCATTCTTCGCCTAATCGCTCACGCTGTGCTATCCAGCCCTACCCATTGACCTGATCTCTGCATGAGGGTATCCACATTCCCCGAGTCGAAGAGATTTTAAGCGGTACTCGGGTGCCTGTGCCGAGCAGGTCGCTCGAGTTCGAGCCCGTGCGAGATGGGCCTCGGATTTGCGGGATTCGGGGGAATTCTATGCATAACCTCCAGGGGGTGGAATGCGGCAAATACAACAGGGAGGAAACAGGCCTGGGCCAAATAGGCTCAGTATTCAAGTCCAGGTGTTCGAGATACAAAATGGAGCAGCATGCCTCATATTGTTCTTCATCTCTTCGCTTTCTGCGGACCACGCTGATCCATCGATCTTCACCTCGTGGTACGCAGATCTCTTTTTTCTGACGTATCCAGAATGTCGTCTCTGGGTGTCCGTGGCAATAGCCTCAATATTGTGGCAATCCTGGGTGTTCTGATGCCTGGGATCATGTCCGTTGGCTATAACGCTGCATCACTTGGTGGAGTCTTGAGTTTGGGGAGCTTTGAGAAGCAGTTCCCTGAGATCGATGTCCAGCATGCTAAGAATCAGGCATATACATCGAGTATCCAAGGAACCGTTGTCGCTGTTTACACGATTGGCGGTTTCCTGGGAACCTTTTCCTGCATTTGGCTGGGAGACAAACTTGGTCGTCGAAGGACTATGATGGTCGGATCGTTTGTGCAGATCATTGGCTGTATCTTGAACGCCAGTGCCTGCACCCTGATCCAACTCGTCGTATCTCGGGTCATGATCGGTGTCGGCACCGGTGCTTTGCTGGCCACGGTTCCTCTTTGGCAGTCTGAAATCTCCCCTGCGAAGAAGCGTGGCACGCACGTTGTCAGCAAGGGCATTTTCAGCGGCCTGGGATGCGCGATCGCGCTTTTCCTTGAATACGGAATGTCTTTCATGGGAAACAGTGTGGCATGGCGTTTCCCATCCGCATTTCCCGTTTTGCTTTCGGCCATCGTTTTTGTGTTTGCAGCCCTTCTTCCCGATTCGCCTCGCTGGCTTCTTCGTCAAGGAAAAGTCACTGAAGCCCGTGAGGTCCTGGCCATGTTGGAGAACACTTCTGTCAATGATGAGATTATCGAACGACGGGTCGAGGAAGTGCAGGCTTCACTGGAATTGGCCGGCGACAAGAGATCATTGGGTCAAATCTTCCATATGGGTCCTCAGCGGATCTTGCATCGAGCTATGCTTGCTGCTGGGCCTCTGATATTCCTTCAATTGACCGGTGCCACGGTCACAACTTTTTATAGTAAGTCCTCTCGCTCTCAAACCCAGCCCAGCCCTTTGACTAATCGGCATTTCCATTTTAGCAACCGAAATCTTCGAGAAGAACCTTGGACTTAATGACACAACCTCCCGGCTTTTAGCAGGAGTATATCAGCTCGTCGGTCCCATCGGCGGTGCCGTCTGCGTCCTCGGCATTGAAGGGGTTGGCCGCCGCAAGCTCTTGATGGGCAGCACGATCGGAAACACTATCTGCCTCGCACTGATTGCAAGCCTTGGTTCCCAATCCGGAAATATATGGGCATCACATGGCGCCGTGTTCTTCTTGTTCTTGTTCCATTTCAGCTATATCATCGGGTTCGGTGGCATTCCTTATCTTTTTGCCACGGAAATTGCTCCCCTTCATCTACGCACCACCATCAACAGCTTGAGCATCAGTATTTCGTGGATTTTCAGCATCTTGATCACCAACATCACACCTCTCGCCTTTAACCTCATGGGCCAGCGGTACTTCCTCGTCTTTGCCGGTCTCAATGCCTTGATGACCCCTGCGATCTACTATCTGTTTCCTGAGACGGCTGGACGCAGCCTCGAAGAGATGGATGAGATATTCGCACTTTCTCGCGGCGTACTGGATGCTGTTCATTTGGCTAAAAAACTGCCACATCGTCATCAGATCGAGTATCAGTCTGGTAAGAAATTCGATGATGACCTGAAGGACCCCGCAGCTTTGGCCTGATGGTGGTTCGAACGTGTTAATTGCTGGGCAATTACTTGGTATGATTACGTTGCAGGAATTAACGACCGTGTACTTTGAGCGATAAATCAACATTTCAAATGCAGCTTTCTGAAACTAGACTGTCTTGGAAGATCTAGAGTCCGCATTATAGAACAGAGGATCGTCGAGCTCGCGATGAAAAAGTCTTTGGTCCTACAAGACCATATTCTGCCGTTAGGATACGAAATGTAATACCTCATCAGATTTTACCTTTGAGGCACCGATCAATTTGCTTGGTCATTTCCAAACATTCCTCGTCCCGAAGGGTGGTGGTGAACACCTGGATTGAGCATGGTGCTCCCTTGAGCTGCTCATAATTCCCTGCAGCGGTTAAACGTTAAAACAAGCTTCCAAAACTTAGTGCAAAGTCAGATTCTTACATGGCGGTGCAACCTGGCCCTCTTTCAGCTCAAAAGTCTCTTTGGCGTCAAGCTCGCCTACTTTTCCGAATGGAATGACACAGGCTGGATACTAGGGATGGGCATAAATGAATTAGTAAGTTGGACTGGAATGCATCTCATGCATAACTTTGCATAACTTACGTCCAGCAAGTTTAAAAAGGTAGTGTAAGGTGCCACTCCAAAGTTATCATGCGCCACTGCTGATGATTGAGCAGGTGGTGCAAGGCAAATGTCCAGATCGTGATGAAGCCACATTTTTCTGTATGATTCGCGTATCTCTGCTTTGCGCGTGTTCAGTAAAGCCAATTTGCCCATGCTGTCAAGGCCACTCATATCCGGAAGAGTAGGCTTCTGCAGCTTCAGCCCTTCAATCACTTTTCCAAGATGAACCAATGAAGGCACGGGGGGTTCCCCAGCTGCCTGCATGTGGCGGATGGCGCCTTGGTCTAGACTAAAAGTGTTCCAGGCGATTTCATTGGCTTCCAAGAGCTGGCATTCTTTCTGAGATAAGGGGATAATCTCATGACCCTGGGCCTTGAGAAGGCGAGCAGCCTCGGCTAGAACTCGCCGAACAGGGGGATGCAGAGGGAAATTAGGGTTTTCGGGAACGACACCGATTCTGAGAGTAGGCTTGGTGGATACCTGTCTCCACGGGATGTCGAGGACAGTAGAGTCGTAAAGAGCAGGCCGGGCGTTGAAAATTGCCTTGAAAAATGTCTCAATGCCATTCGGATCCAGTGACAGGGGCCCCGCGCAGGACAGAATAAACTTCATTCCACTGGTCGTGCACACGCGCATTCCTCCGTTTGGAACCCTTGCTGCGCTGGTTCTGAACCCATACGTCCCACAGCAGGTTGCTGGAATTCGGACCGAGCCTTGGAGTTGAATTAGCTTCGGAGTATTCGGGCTCACTTTGAATTCGCTTACCGCCAATGTCGGTGCCGACTCCCAGTGGTGAACCTCGAAGGGCGATGAGGGCTCCTTCGCCTCCACTGGAGCCGCCCGGTCCTAGGGTGGTATTCCAAGGATTCAGAGTACGTCCAAAGACGTTGTTATCGGCCTCGGCAGTCTGCGAAAATGGTTAGTTTGAGAATAAATGACGCATGACAAAACCCGCGTACCATCATTGTTTGTGGGACATTAGTCTTGACGTAAATTACCGCTCCCAGCTTGAGCAAGATATCAACGAGGGGGAGTTTGCCGAAGCAACGTCATCCATGAAGGCGACCATTCCAATGGTCGCTTCTCTTCCTTTGTACTGGAAGTTATCTTTAATGCTAACAGGAAGGCCGTGAAGGGGACCCGCCGACTTGCCCTGAGCACGGAGGTTGTCCAGATATTCGGCTCGGGCCTGGGCTTCCTCAAACATTGTCTCTGTAAGGCAGGAGACCTGTTTCAAAGGTAAATAAAATATTAAAAAAAAAAGAGTCATTGCCATGGGTACTGGTGGAAACCTACCAACTGCTGAGCAACTGCAGCCCGCTTGCAGTATGCCAATGTCACCTCTGCTGAGGTCAATTTCCCACTTGCCAGAGCAGAGAGTAGACCAGCAACATCATATTGCTCAGTAATCTCTAGTTCGCGGTCGGTTAGAATTCCAGACTTGCGAACTGCTTGTTCCTGAATGAGATCGGTCTTGTGGTCTGACAAAGGCGCCTGGAAACTGCTCAGGAAATTTTGCGGAACTCTCCAGGCTTTGGGGATTCTGTTTGCACAAGCTTCTCGTTTTTCGGCTACCCTTTCTTGCCAAGGTGCACCTTGGCCGAGAGAACCCATTTTGAAAAATGAAGGTGATGTACGGCAAGTGTATATTTAAGGTAGGGTCTTAGCGTCCGCACTTGCAGAGTTTGCGAAGTTTCCAAGTATGCGTGCCGTAGCGAAAGAACGAGGAACAAATGAGTCTGTTGACAAGATTTGGCCGTTTGTTCATTAAGTAGCTCGCCTTTGCTAGAGCGAGGCGCGAGGCAACCAAGGTTCCTTGGGTAGTATGCCTCGGCTAAGTGCGGAGACGCGGGGTTGGATGGAGGTTTGCCGACGAAGCCATTCGACTCCACGATGATGATAAGCTAACGAGACGAGCTATTAATTCGCCGGCTCGCTATGACTCCCGATTCGTCAGAGCTGCCACCTCTGCCAACGTCGCCAACGAAATGATGTCGCCTACTTCCGCACAACCCAGTCCAGAATCAACGGCGATACGAGTTATCACTGCGAACAGGTCATTAGTTTCGCTACTCATCTTTCCGCTCACTCGATCTTGATCGCCTTAGCCCGTGTCTCCACTTCGCCCGATTTACCTTGCAATGCGCTTGCTCAAAATACCCCCTCAGTGATGCCGTCTCCTGCGTGTGACCGATGCCATTCGATCAAAGCCCGCTGTTTAGCGGGCCCCGCGGACAGCTGTTATCGCTGCTATCGTCTGAAGCATACTTGCACTTATTCCAGGCGTCGTGAAAAACGAGGCCGCAAGCCAAAACTCACTACTCCTGATGAGTCAGTGCATGTGTCAGGTGGCAGATTGGATTCACCGTCACCATCGCCCAGCTCGCCAGATCAATTCATCGAAGACTCAGATCAACAGCCGAAAGAGGAAGAAGAGGACGCCGAATCTACACAAAAGCCAAATCTCGCAAAGATCTTATTCCAACAGGGTATCATTTCCCAAGCCTTAGAATGCTCTGTATTCCAAGTATGCGCCTTCCTCTCATTTGGCCCTCGCCTCAGCTCTGAAATGAGCCAAATGGTCTTAACCCGTAGGGAAGAAGCCCCTACACTTCTTTTAGATCCATATGAGGCAGTTGCTCGCGTGTTATACCGCTGCATGACAAACCAGACTCCCTGTAGCAATGCAGAGTGGTCAAAAGGTGCATCCGCTCTTCAAAGTCTGCGGAACGCGCGGATAACCAAGGCTGACTATGTGGGCGGCTTCTTGGCTTTGGGAGCAAGCCTGGTGACTTTCCACCGCTTGATATCTGGCGTGTCGGCTAGCACGATTTGCAGACATACCCTGTCTCTCATTCGGCCATTATATTATGCGGACCAAGTACGAGAGTTCGATATGAAAGAGCTCTTGTGCCTGATATATTTGGACACTACCCAGTCCCTCTTTCGAGCTTGGGTCCCCGTGATTGAATACAGCGTCCGAGATCCCTATCTCGTCAATCATCATGCGGGCCTCTGCGGTCCGCTGCTTCCACTTCTTTACCGTGTTTGTATCTTGGGAGCGGCGGTTCGTACTGGGCATGGCGATAAAGTCACCCCTCGTGACTTCGAGTGCCTCACAAAGGAACTCACAGCATGGTCACCGAACGTGTCGAAAGATACTTTAGAACGCTTCTCGGACCAAGAAATGCTTCTTCTCCTTACACAGGCAAACCTTCATCGCACCGCGGCACTTCTTCTTTTACATCGGCTCCAGTATCCATTCGGGGAACGAGACGCCGAAGCAGAATACCTATCGCGGTTAATAGTGACTGAAATGATTCACTGCTTGGATGGAGCTAGCCAATTTCCACCCAATATTACACTAGCCCTACTGCTGGCGGGGGCAGAGGTACATGACCAGGAGGGAAGAGAGCGCATTCTATCATTGATTACCTCAATAAAGGGCGCATATTTTTACCCTTTTGTTTCAAATCTTCGCATGTTCCTCGCCCGCGTTTGGGGTGCCAGGGACCAGGGGACCGCGCGATACCTTTTCCGTCTTATTGAAGATGACCCAGAATTGAGTGTGCCGCTATAACAAATAGAGGTACTGTTGTAACAAGATAGGGTCAATATTAAATCCCAATTGGGTACATTTTAATTTTCTCTCTGGGGTCCTGCACTGTTCTTTGTTATACCCCGGGGATGTAACTATAGGTGTATTTAGATGTACACTGTGACCCCCAATTGTAGGGTTCCAGTTCCGCAATCAGACTTTTCAATATTGAAGGCTTCATCATAACAATTAAAGCCATCTTTCCGGCACCTACTGGCTCGGCCAAACGGGGTATTCTTGAGCCGGCAATTCGCCTCTGAATGAGCCTCCCTGCTGGATTATGATGCGGTGCTTGTGGGCTGAAGTAAATGACATTTTTCATTCTGCCAAAGTGACAAGTCAAATAACCATCATGTATGTACATACCTAGGCTGCGAGTGCTTTCAAGAATGCCGGGCTTTCATGATTCTGTACAACCTTGGAAATCGGGGTGAGATACGCCTCGGAAGCTTCCTGGTTCTCCAGCAGCCGGCGAATGTAAGCCTGGGCGACTTTCATCCACATGGCCTTTTCAGCTGCACTGGCTTCCGAACCTTGCCAAACCCAAACCCTGTTACCAGCATCGTAGATGAAGACGTCGTTTCCATCGAGGTCGTGTTTGCTGACGCGACCACCATCCTTAACAAGATCGAAGGATAATGAACCCGAGGCGTCGCTAAGTCGGAAGAGCTTGCGGGCACGAGAGCTATCGCTCTCCGCACTTCTCTTTGCAAAGGATCCAGGTCGTGCGCATTGGAAGGTGGACTGGTTGGCTTCCTTGCCGCCCAACAAGTCCACAATGATCCGAGATCTCGACTCGAGCTGGGAAAGAACTTCAACGTCGACATGCTTCGCCAAGGTCATGTCATTCACCACCTGTGCCGCCTTTGCCTTCTCCATTGGACTGCAGCTCTTGCCCTGCCAGACCCAGATCTTCTCTCCCTTATCCAAGACAAAGACGTCGTTCTCATCGAGGCTTTCCCACGTTGGCTCGGCTTCGTGCACAATGATGGTACCTGTCCGGGTAGCGCCAGGGTGCTTGAAAATGCGAAGCAATGTGAGGATATTCTTTTTCTCCTCCGGCTCGACATGGGTGAATCCGGAGCGCACACCTCCAGACCGGACCGAGTAGTGACGGAACAGCGCCAAGAAATTATCCGAGGGCTGTGCCTGGACCTCACGATGCTGGGTCGCAGCACCGTGCAAGAATTCATCCAGCTCGACTGTTTTGTACGCGGCAGTGCCAGCCTCGTCCTGGGTCGTCTTGCTGCCTAGCCAGAAAAAGATGTCGTGGCCTAGCTTGTCGTCGCCGACCTTGTAAGTGTGCAGCACGATGAAGCTGTCTCCGTCGTAGAACTCGCCGACCTTCTCCTTGGGCCAGGGAACAACTTCGAAATTCTCAATGCGCCACACGTAGAGGCCGGGCTCCTGGCCAATCTTTCCATTGTTCCATGCGGGTTCGGAGGCGGCGGAGTTGTATTTGACGCGGTGGTCGAGGTCGGACCCGACCAGCTCAACGTTGCTGTCCTTGACGTCGTATTCTTTCGGGTGAACAAGACCTTCGTGGGGCGGCATGTTGCTTTCGGCTGCAATTGTGAGAGAGAGAAGGCTGGAGCAGTGAAGTGCAACGCTGCTTCATGAGCTCAGGTGGGGCCAGGAGCTGAGTCAGGCGGGGTATCGATGAAGTCATTGTGTACTACATTGATAGGATCCAATTGATGCTAGTTTAGTTAAAGACCCGTTTGAAGTTGATTTTCATAGTTCGAGGAATTCTAATACTCCTGCTAAGTTTGATATCCAAGCCTCCTGGCAGTTATCGTCCAAGTAAAGCGACTTTTTATCCTTGATAATAGCCAACCATTCATTTCTGCTAACGGCATTCCATAACACATCAATTTTTGGTGGGGGAAATTGAAGGTCAGAGTCAGACAGAACGACATCAGGCCATTGACCGGCTAGGCAAGGGAGAGGCCGAAACCATAAAGCAAAATCTTTGGCATACATCCTCGAAATGCAAGGAAAGCTTTGATTCTGATTGTAATCATAGTGAGCTAGGTGCCCTGCTTTTCCGGTCTATTATAGCTCCATCCAGCGAATTGAGCCTTAAATTCCTCACTCAGTTCCGGAGTTGGTGACGACGACGATGCCCAAGCCTGATCTTGCTTTTTAGGGAGAGGTGGACGAAGTTTCGGGATGTATTCCTTCCTCATGAGCTTGGGCCAATCTATTCCATTGAAGAAAGGGTGTGATTTAATTTCTGCTGCCCCATTTGCTCCAAGTCGTTGAAGCGGATCGGGCGAGAGGAGCTTCATGATAAAATCTTTTGCTGTTTCTCCAACAGATATGCCATTAAAAGAAGATTGAAGTTCGAGGGTCGTATCCGCGGGGGCATAATCAGTGAGATCGAAAGTAACAGTCGCGACTAGCATTTCATGAAGAATGATACCGAAAGACCACCAGTCAACGGATGCATGAATCTGAGAGGGATGACTCTGGGAGCGTAATATTTCGGGAGCGATATGATCTTTCGCGGCATCAGAAGTTTCTCGTAGATGCCATGCTTCTTCCCAGGAAGATTGTGGCCAGGGGAGCCGACTGCCAGATATATCCCGGAAAAAAAGGTCAAAGTCACCGATAAAGAGATAGCCGGTAGAATCGATCCAAATACGTTTTGTGCTCAATTTTCCGAGCACAATATCGCGCTCATGGAGATAATCGATAGCACAGAGTATTTGAGCTGCATAGAAGCGAGCCTCAGCAAGATCAAGGGGGCCTTTTCTCATTAAGTGAGAAAAAAGATTGTAATGGTAGAGGGAGACGCAAAAGAAGAAGTGCTGCCTCCCAGGTGCAGAAGAAATGTCTTTCGTAGGAACTTCAATGTCAAATTTCAACGGAATCACGAACGGACTATCGAACTGAGTGGCGTTTGGTCTGACAGCCATGTTATCCAGTTTGCTCTCTTGAAACACGTTGCCAGCGTAGTGCATCTGGGTATCCAGCTTCCTGAGATAGTTAGCAATATAATGCTGAGTAATCATTATAATAGAATGTTGTAGCAAAGGGAAAGAGACCCTTACAGGTAAATTGACACAGGTGCAAGGGCACTCATCGATGTTTTAGAACTAAATTGCAGTTCAAACCCACGGGGGTATTCCGTCGTTATAGTCAATGGCTTAGTGGCGATGAATTTGGTCATGATTGAAATAGAGCCCTTCCCACCATGAAGATCGAGCCACTCTTCCTTGGATTTTGTTCCCTTCTCAATAAGCGCAGGACGAAACGATGTTTTGCCCAGAAATGAGTCTGAATTAGTATCCCTACTATCATCTGCAGGCTGATACAGCCAGATATGGAGTTCGGCTTGTCTAGTAACATCAAAGGTGTGTGCACTTCCGTTTGTCAAGCGATTGCCATCCAGCGCCCATACTGCGGGCTCGTGAGGTCCCGGGTAAAAGGCATGGCAGCATACTTGGCTTTTGTCAAAATCGATAATGGCGTATGGAGGAGGGGGACGGGTGAGCTCATCATCTGATCGGCCGGCGGGAGGCTGAGGATAGAGGACATGGCTGATTTTGGCGAGCTTCACCTTAAGGAGACCATTCAAAGGCGCGGTTTCTAAACAGGGTTGGTTATTATTGCTCTTGAATCGTTGATAATATCCAACATACTCTCCACTGGCTCCATGGTTTGCTTATCTTGGTTCAGACCAGCGGAGTCTTGGAGAAAAGAGGAATATGTCTGGTGGAAATACAAACAGGGGAGAATACGGAGAGAGTTTCGATGGAGATTCGGATGGAAATCAAGTGCTACGCCCGGTGGGCTTCGACCCGAGCCTTGAGAACCATTATTCGTACCCTCCCGTTCTCACCCCTCTCACCCCGTTCTCCAAAGATGAACTTAGATAACACAAACCAAAGCCAAGGGTGGTAGTATTTCTCATCGTCCACAGGATCCAGGATCATTGGCAGATGTTTAATGTACCATTCTTCTTGGAGAGCATCATCAAAGTATTCTGGATCCACTCTCACTCGTCGCGCCTTAAAATACTCCCAGTACGCAGGATACCACCCAGCCTGACCCCAGTCAATGATCGCTGCTAACGTTCTCTTCTCGGGGGAATCCGTTTTTCAACCGAGGAGCCACTTCCCTCACCACTTCCGATCCTTCTCGTGACAGAAGCTACAAGGTGATTATTCCGGATCCCCTTTCTCTTCCCCTTACTCTTTCCGGGCATCTCCGTAATTCGATGCCAGTCTCCTGATGGTATGCATCCAAAGTCCTGCGTAGAGGTTGACTCGGCATATTTGCGGTGAAGGTGGCGGTCAATCATTTCGATAAGGGGAATTGTTCCATCTGAGTTAGCGTCTCCCGTGATAGCGTAGCATTCACCAGTCACCGTTCACCATTCAGATGTTCCCAAGGCTTTTTACCCCGGTCGTGCTAGGAGTCCTTTGAAGTTTCCCCCCTGAAGCCCCTACAAGGTTCACTCTCTCACCTATGTGGAAACGTGTTCATAAGGATGACTGCCAATCTTGCCCCTGAGAATGAAATCGCTACGGCGGACGTGGCTGAGGCCGCTATAACCCAAGTTCAAGAATTGGAAGAGACATCCCAGTATCTGAAGCTCCCAAGTGTGATCTTAATCTCCATTGTACTCTGCTTGGCCACCTTTTGCGTAGCAGTCGATAATACGATCATTTCGACCGCCGTGCCCCGGATTACCAAGACTTTTGACAGCATTGACGATGTGGGCTGGTATGCATCGTACGTGTTTCCCATAAATCTTCCAATTCTGAGAAGAAAAATGGCGCACAAATTGACCGATCGCCGAACAGAATCTATCCATTGACGTCCTGTGCATTTCAACCATCCTACGGAAAGATCTATTCGATCTTCTCCAGCAAATATGTTTTCCTAGCAGCCTTGTTCATTTTCGAGATTGGGAGTGTGGTTTGTGCGACCGCGCCGAGTTCTCATGCTTTCATTGCGGGGCGGGCATTAGCAGGCCTCGGGTCGGCTGGCATACAAGCAGGAACCACCCTCATTCTTGCGGAGAGTGTGCCGCTACGCCAGCGACCGACATGGAACAGCATCATCGGCAGTATGTTTGCAGTGGGAAGTGTAGCTGGACCCTTACTGGTATGAGGAGATTGGACCCCGATTAGCAACCAATTCCTGGCAATGATTGACACCTGGTGCAGGGAGGAGCCTTTTCGGATTCAGTAACATGGCGGTGGTGTTTCTACATCAATCTTCCCATCGGAGGCGCAGTAATGATCTTCATCGTCTTTTTCTATACTGGAAGTCGCGGTACCGACAAATCTTCCAGGCCTATCGGGCTCCGCGCCCAGATCGAGCGCTTCGACTTGGCTGGTACCTGCATTTTTGTGGCAGCAACAGTTTGTCTTCTCTTGGCACTGTCATGGGGCGGCACCACATATGCATGGGACAACGCCCGCATCGTCGCCCTGTTAACCATCGCGGGTATTTTGTTCTGCTCGTTCTACGGCATCGAACGCTGGAAGAAGGATAACGCCATCGTTCCTTTACGCTTACTCCGCAGGCGAAGCATAGGTGCAGCTATCTTATTTGGTATCTGCCTCGGAGGAGTGTTCTTTGTATGTATTTCCAACACAGACTTCGCACTGGATCCTGCTAACCAAGACATTACCATCGTTTTAGGTCAATGTTTACTACATACGTGAGTACCGAATGAATAAGGATGGCAGAATCATTGCTAATCAAGACTTTAAGCGCTGTGGTTCCAACTGGTCAACGGTGTCTCTGCCGTTGAATCCGCGATTCTATTTATCCCATTTATGCTCAGTGTCGTCGGCGGATTCATGTTCGCTGGCTTTGGGACCGCTGCAACGGGATACTACACACCTTTCGTCTACGCCGGCTCAATCCTCATGTCGATCGGCACTGGCCTGCTTACAACCGTCCAGCCTCATCTAACCTCGCGGGCTAAATGGATCGGATTCCAGATTTTGTGTGGAGTCGGAATCGGCTTCGGAGAGGAACAAGGAATCTACATGGTGCAGACAACCCTCCCCGAAAAGGATGTAGCGATTGGCGTTGGCATCGTCTTCTTCGCACAGACATTCGGTGGGGCCCTCTTTGTGTCCGTGGCGCAGACTGTCTTCCTAGAAAACATCCGCAAAGCACTGAAAACGATTGCCCCAGACCTGAATCCTCAAAGTGTTCTCAACAGCGCATCCGCAGGCTCTGCTCAGACATCACCAGAATTACAGGCAGTGTACGCCCCAGCAATCAAAAACGCTCTCCGGGTTGGTATGATATTAGCAACTGTCTCGGGTCTAGGTGCCTTGCTGTATGATTGGAAAAGTTTAAAAGCGAAGGACGAGGATGGAAACAATGGACCTAGCAGGGACCGTGGGATAGAGCTGGAGGCACAAGTTCGAACAGAGGAAAAGAAGGTGTGAGAAGTTTACTGGTGCAATAGGACCAATATGCGCACTGCATAGAAATGTATTTCATGATCCAGACTAATTTTTGATGACGAAGTACAACTCGCTCCTGACCGGCATCATTTTCCAATGATTAGTCCCCCTTGTAGCCAACATTTTCGGTAGACATTGGTATTCTTATTATCCAAAATAGGTAACACGGGATTAGAAAGAATATGTAATTCAGAAGCTGAAATTCAGAGGAGTATGGATAGGGGCCATAGGGGCTAAACATAGCCGAAAATACTCTCATCTTTAATGCTTCGAGCTCTGCAAAGGCCTGTTCTCTACACCCTATGGGCGTATGTACTAACTCAGAATAATCTTAGTTTAATGTTCTCGAAAAAATGTGTCAGTCGGCATTATCGAATCAAATTTTCTATTACTCTTTCATGTACACCTTTTCCCTAAAAGCTATTGAATGTCCGCAGAAACCGAATATGGAGGCGGATGCTCCAACTCTTCAAACTCCGTCATCGAAACTTCATATCCGAGATGCCGCTTAAGCAGTTCATGAGTAATGAATCGCTCCGGAGCATTACCTTGAGCATCAACGAACGAAACATGGGGGTTAACCTCGCTGATTCGCTGCAGCTCGTTTGCATGGCGGTGATGGTGCGGGCATCCGTCCACGCCAATCAGGAAGATGGTAACGTGGACCCAAGAGAGACCGAGAAGATCAAGCTCAAACTCATCCATGTCGAGCGCTTCTCCGTCGAGTAAGAGAAGTAACCGCAGTTTCGGGGTCTGCGGACCAGCTTGCCAGCCGTAAACTGGATGGTATGTTGCTGATTCGGAATGTTTTTGGAAATGCAGTTCCTTTACTTTCTGCCATCCGGTCATGACTCTTGTGAGACCCCCGAATCCGACCCATCGCCACATTTCGTCGAAGTTCCAGTGATTTATGACGCCGATGTGATCTGCGTGGCTTGAGAATGTGGTGAGTTCGTAGCCTTGCCAGTTTTGGTCGTGGTTGGCCATTGCGTCGGTGAAGCGACGAATTATTGCCTTTGCAACGTCTGCGGTGCAGAATGTTAGTGTTAATTGTAGATTTTATAGTGTATCAGACTAACCTTTGTTTTTTGGTTGAGTCGATCTCGAGTACCCAGTAACGAGATACTGGTTATAGTTCGGTCGCACAGGCTCAAAATCCATGGAGCCGGAAACATCCAACAAAATCATAGTATCATCCAAAGGAGTTTCAACCCCATCGAATGGTCTGAAAGCGGGAGGCATCACTTGGTGTGAATAGCCCTTGGATTTATGCTGAACGTGACAGACATCATCGACTGCAAAGTATGCAGGAGGCGGTTCCACTGCAGACGCCATTCGAGCCCGAGCCCTATCCAACGCAGATATGATATCTGGCTTCAGGCGAGCCCCGGTACTCCCTGCCCTATGATTCAAGACCCAGTAGAGGCGTTCCTCGGCAGTGTCTTCGTATCCTCTCCACGCCGGTGTAATTCCTCTCCACCCCGCAGCGGCGTCGATCGAGAATTTGAGTGGATTGGAAGCCAAGTTTGCCCAGGACACAGGGATAGGTTCGAAGTATCCGGCTCGAAGCAAATGCAGGTATTGAAGAGGGTAGCGAGTTCGAAGTTCGGATATTTTCTCAGTCATCCCCATCTTCTCTTGGTAAATAGTCACGATTTCCCATGTCGCCTTGTCTGGCCATCTTCCACGCTCTTCATAGAGTATGGCGGTGCGCAGGTCGATCCATTTACTGACCTTGATGGCTTCCTTTTGCTCGGATGATTTGATTGAGAATGCCCGCTTGAGCCCAGAAAGCTTGGATCGCTTTGAGGGTTGGCCAGATGAATTAGAAGCCGAATCAGCGATAGACATGCTCGACATCGAGGATTCAAGTGAGTTGGTCTCCCAAATGTTAAACGGCGGTTCCTGGGCCCGAACGGCGGCCTGGGCCCTGGCATTCAGGGATTCATTCAATCTTATTGTCTGTCGAATCGACACAGCGTGGTAATGCGGGCTGGGTCTTTGGGACCCATATAGACTCGCGCCATTGTATCCATATGGAGAGACCACATTGGTTGCGTACGGGTTGTTGGTAAACCAGCTCGCTTGGTAGCAGTCATGATAGAACTTTTCGCCAGGATACATAACAGCCCTTGACCACATCTCCAGGACATTAAGGCGGCTCATTTTTCTGGCAATATACCGGTGGATATGGCAGCTGCAATAGTAGTCTGTGTCATGTTCCGGTTCGATTTCCGGGTTGTAGATGTGAGATAGTTGCTGGACGCTCTGTAGCAGAAATTGCATCTCCTGCTCATCTCGAGCACGAACATTGCCGGCCTCGATGACTGCATTCGTATGCAGTGTGGGTGAGATCCTGTGTGCGCTCGTGGCTGAATAGGAGGGGGGAAGGTCGGCTGACATCTTGATCCTTGCGGACTGCCTGGTCCCTGTCGGTTAGGAAGTGATAACGTTTCTTAGAGATCTTCAGGTCGCATGCAGGAATCAAGAGAAAATAAGCACGCGATGATGCGGGCGCACGAAGAGCCACGAGGAAATAAATCGCGCGGGGGCGACGAACACGGGTATGTCGGCCAGGCCACGTTTTGCCCGGCTCAGCCACAGCGGCTGGTTGAAAGCTTGTCATCGTAAATGACCGTGATTACGGAACGGGTACGTTTACCCGCAACTTTTATCCTTGGATACAACGCAGAATGCTGTATATGAAGCCGGATATCTTGGCTTTTCTCGGCTTCCTCACACAACCCCGTGGAACCAAAGCCCGAACCTATGTCCTGCCGAGAATACCGGTCCAGTGCATCCACAGAGCGGGGATGATGATCCACTTGTCCGTTAACTCCGGCCAGTCGGGCTTGGCCTTGTCTATCAGAGGACAAGATTAGAAAGCATTCGTCAGGCTGATAGCTCGATGGAGATTGCAGATCAATTTACGTGGGGTCGCACCGGTCCTGTTTCAATTATAAAAGGGCTCCAGACTTGCGAATGGTTTCTAACGAGATCCCATCACACCACAACCTTACAACTCACCAAATATGGCCAAGAACTCATACGTCTTACCCCCGGGATCCCGAGTCCTCGTCACCGGTGCCAATGGCTACATCGCCTCTCACGTTGTTGACAAACTCCTCGGTCTCGGATACCTGGTGCGGGGCACTGTCCGCGCGCCGAAGCCGTGGTTGAACGAATACTTCGAGCAAAAGTACGGCCCCGATGTTTTTGAAACTGTCTTCGTGGAGTCCTTTGGCAGCAAGGATGAACTTGAGGGGATCATGGAAGGAGTGGATGGAGTCATTCACTCGGTAAGAGGTTCAATATTTCAATTAGTTGTTCAAGTGATGTTAACATCTTTTATTTTACCCTCAGGCTTCGGATATGACCTTCAGTGGTGACCCAAGCGCTATTATTCCCTGGGTGGTGAAGGCTGCAGTAAATGTTCTGGAAGTCGCGGCCCTGAATCCCGCCATCAAACGGGTCGTCTTGGTTTCTTCTTCGAGTACCTTGTACAACATGATTCCGGAGCCTAATGGACGACGCGTTGATGAAAGTAGGTCATTGGAATTTCTGCCGGCATTCAATGATGAACATTAATGGCTTCCATCGCAGATAGCTGGAATGATGTCTCCTTGAAGACTGCATGGGACAAGAACGTTCCGAAAGAAGAAAAGACAGTTGCGGTCTACGCAGCCTCAAAAACGGAGGCAGAGCGAGAGTCGTGGAAATGGGTCAAGGCACACCAACCTCATTTTGAATTCAACACCGTGGTTCCCTGCTTCAACGTAAGTTGTTCATTGGACCCCCGCCTACGAGGTACTTTACTAACTTCAACAGCTCGGAAAAACGCTTTGCCCCGAAATCTACGGGTCTACAATGGGCCATACACGCACACTTCTGCAAGGTAGCAAGATGACTCTCATGTTCACTGAACGTAAGTATCTTCTTTTCTTCCATCCTATGGAATTCTAGTACTGAAACTTCTACCCAGAATGGTACGTCGATGTTGAAGACGTTGCTCGACTCTGTATCGTTGGTGTCCTCGAACCGACTGCAAAATCAGAGCGCATCTTTGCATTTGGCGAACAAATGCACGTTGCTGATATCATTTCCATTCTCCGCGAACTTCGACCGAACAATAAAAAGATTCCAGATCCTCCCACTAACCCAATCAGAGACCGAACAGAAGTTGTTCCGAGGGCTAGAGCGGAGGAGTTTCTTCGCAGTGTTTTCGGACTATCCGGTTTTCGTGGTGTTAGGGAGAGCCTTGAAGTGGGTATTGAGGGATGGGAGTAATTAATTCCATGTGATTTTTTGAATGGGATAACTAGCTTGGTCGTAAGCTCGTCAGAAATGCTGATTATTATACATGCTCCCGCACAATCTGGTGAGATCCTTGAGGTCTATCGTCTCGATCCGTGGATGTCTGCGTGACCTCGAATGTTTGATGGATGCCCACTTCTATTTTCCGGTGCGCAGGTGTCGAGTGTTCAATGGTAAGTCGCTCCTCGCTGCTGGCTGGGCTGGACCCTACCCATGTATTTTCCGTGTCCATTTGGCTTTCGATGTTCGTGACCATGACGGCCAACTTATCCGGCCTCAATCCTGCCTTCCCGGGCGCGCTCCCATCAATGGATCCCAATGGCAACCCTCGCGATCCACTTACTCTGTTCTTACGAGATCCTGACGGTCCCGGGAATCCAGACGGATAGTTCGAGTCGTTGCGAGAGCCCAACCACTGACGGAGGAGAGGTCGTAGCGTTGCAAGACTGCCGGCGGTAATTCCAAGGCCGGCTTCAATGTTGGACCAAATCGCGATTTGGTAGGTAGCCCCTAGAGCATGTTAGTACTTCAATAACGACCGATATGATGAGGGGTTCATGTGATCGTACAGAGGAAGTCTTCGTTGGCGAATGTCTTCACGAATGGGAATCGGACAATCACGGCCGACGAAGCACTAAATGATGTCAGTTGGTTTCTTCCAGGTGAAGAGTATTTGTGCAACGTACATGCAAGCCATGCTCAAAATACCCACGACAGCCAGCTTGGCCTCCTTTCTCATGTGCAGCTTGTGCACGATGAAGATGGGCAGAATACCAACGGTGAAATCACACAGTGCGGAAAATGCACTGTAGACGTACGTCATGGTAATTATAATGTTGATGCTAATGCAGTACCCTTCGATATTAGGGTCCATGGCCGTCCGCGTCCAGAAATATGACAGCGGCTTGCATTGCAGGAGCATTAGGAACATGAAGACCAGACCCGCAAGAACGGTCAAAACCATGACGGTATAGAGGATCCAAATATGGGTTTTCTTGACGGTGATTCGCAGGAGGAAAATGCAAACGGAAATCTTGCAGAAAATGGAGGCGAAGCAGTATGCGATTTCACAAAGCCACCAATACTGTGCGAGAGACGTGAGTGATGTACATTTTAGGGGAACTTCGAGGAGAATTGCGTACCTCCATAGCCGTCACACGGTCGTGTGCTGTGAGGCTTGCAAAATGGTAACCGGTACCATATAAAGTGCCTCCTATCATACAGGCGGAGAACATAACGTAGAATATCTAAATCATTAACATGTTGTTGCCGGATCTCTGGAAGAGGTGAATTACCGCTGCGAGCACCATCGAACCATCATCCCATCCAAAGGCCTTCACTAACCAGCCGCGAACATAGCAACGAAGCATCACCGAGATCGTGGCTATACACATGAAGACGGCCGCAACCGTCCTCACAGCCAGAGCCCTCGATTCCTCGTCAGTCATTCTGGCGGGTGATTGACATGAGGTGAGGTGACGGAGAACTTTTTTTGTGGGGAGGGAAACTTATTATAGTTCCGGACAGGGAACAAGTGCACAATCTGCCAGGCGGATAGTGGTGACCACTCACGCAAACCTTCAGGGGCCTGTTTAGCGAATCCGAAGAAACCAGAAAAAAGTACGTACCGCCAGTAAGGATAAGGTCCTGATCGGCAATATGCCAAGGGGTGGACAGGCTCTAGCCGAAGCTGTCATACCCGGCAATCGCAATTTCGATAAAAATGGCCGGCCCATGTGGAGTGGACTGACAAGCACTGACAGGGGGTGCAGGAAGCGAAAAAGTCCCGCTTTTCATGGGGCACTGCGAATACCGAGGTGGAGCGTTCAGGAGCGTTAACCTAGCGCCCACCAGCGACTCTAGTGCAGACGTCCAGTGCCACATTGATCCACCTGTCGGCGCGTCCGCCCGAAACTGGTAGGACCACCGCGAGTCCGGTGTTCGGCAGTGTCAATCCCTTCTGTTGTCAGCTCCACGCCTAGATCTCCTGAACTTTGGCATGGCCGAGAAGACCCGGTGAAACACGCGCTAGGAAGCGGGCCTAAGTATTGGTAGTTCCGAAGCCGTGAAAGTTGGATCTCAGTCTAGGAACTTTTCCCCGATATCTGTTTGCCTTGTGATCGCCCTGATCGCCCTCGATCCAAACAGTGACCAAAATCCAATCGAACTGGCCGTTGACAATCAAAATGAAACACGAAAGGAGGGGTGAAGCACATGGCATGGCTGATATTGCCTTCATGGTGGAACATCGTCGAATCTTAAATCGGAGGCGGCACAGCTGATACCCAATCCGGAATCCGGTCGAGTGGAAATCTTCTCCACAGCCTGAAGACCCAGAAGACCCAGACAAGCCCATTGTCTTGATTTCTCCTTTGTGGGGTTGCCCCAGGCACCAAACATCTAACTACATCCAGGATGGACCACCACTGACCTTGGAACCCGAATTGGAAACGCACGTCCCTCGATCATGCCAAGGATCCAAACTTGAAACCTGTTTGACAAACCCCCGTTATGGCATGTAGTCCTAGGGTACCGCGCGATCACTGTCATTATTTCTGCAGTACGGCATTTCCAGTGGCGAAGGTTTACGTACCCGCTTTGGGAAATTGGTATACTCGTGTTTGTGGGTCTTCAATAGCCAGTTTATCTGTTCACGTACCGACGTCGTATTCGAATTATTGACTTTGACCATGCCCCTGGGGTGATCCGAGGTATCTCAGATCTCGATTCAAGTTGGCAGCGATCTTCTTATACTCAATTCACACTCTCACGTCGCTTCAGTATTGAAACACATTGTGCAGGGCATTACCACGATACGTTTCCTGGAACTCGATGGATATTACGGAGCAACACGTGCGACTTCCTTGGCATTTTCCGACCACTCGACCAATTTGTCGCGGGTGTGGCGCCCTCAACGATCGACTTCAATAGCCTAATTACGTCTTAGACGAGTATTTTGCTTTGGAGGCTTTTGTCCATGTCCCTGGTTCATCCAAGTCCCTGGGAATGTGGACTGCAACCCAATAAATTTTAGACTATAAATTTTAGATTCTCATGATGTGGGGTTGTCTTTCTCACAGCTAAGCTTACCCCAGGTGTCTATCTACATCGTTTCTTTGTTGCGCTTGTTTCCATAGTCTTGGACCATGCATATTCCTGACTCGCGGCGATCATGACTTACTTTTCAGATTCAAGAAAAGTCCTTTTATGCACATATGGCTTGCACGAAGCTTATTATGAATTTCTACGTGGCTTGAAGCTTGTTTTAGACCGCGTGCGATCAGTGGGTATCAAGGTTTCAAGAATTCAGCAAGCACATCGAGATGTTCCGTGTACTCACGGCAAATTGATAATCGATGACTCCCTCTCCCCTTTTTCCAAATATTGGGGGGTCTTTTCTCGACCGGAGACTTTGACATGTGGCAAGCTTGCTGCGCCGGGTTGAGCTGCTTGGACTCAACAACTTGATTGTCCCCGATCATAGGGGAAGACTGTGAATTGCTTGTCCAGTTGTTCAAACTAGGGGTTGAACTGGCGACCGATCTCATTTCCGCCTGGGATGAAACCCATCAGGAGTCCGCACTATCACCCAGCACATCCTCGATGTCTCCACTCGCATCTTCCGTAAGGGCGGAATCGCAATTCGGCTCAAAAAGGCATGGGGATATTCTCTGCTTTGTGAAATCGGATGTCTCGCAAGCTCATAGGTGAAAGTGGCACGTCTTTTGGCTCAAGAATGTTAGTTGTTGTTCCGGCATATGCCTCCGCGTTCCACAGGGAACCAGTGAAGCTGCCGAACGCGATCCGCGTCGTCTCCAACGTCAAAGATCTCCCAAGTTTTGATGCCCGGTCCAATCGCAAGATAAGATTGAACAGCTTAGCCCACAATCAATGTGACCCGGAATTTCTGTAGACCCTTGAACAAGAATCCCTCTATCCCTCTCGGCGTTGAGTCCTTTTTTAGTCTTCATACTTCCTATTGCGCGAGTACTCAACTCTCTCTCTCTCTCTCATCATGGACGCGCTAATTAACTCCGTTGGTAGCAAAGTCCAGCCGCAGAATTCCACTTGGAGAATGCTTTTTCTCTCCATTTGGGTTTCTTTCGCATCATGGATTTCAGCTTTCGATAGCGGGTATAGCGGCGTCGTCTTGATCATGCCCTCCTATCAAAGGGCATTTGGACACTGCACCCAGGTGCCCGATTCAAGCACTGGGGCCACTGAGAAGTGTGTTCTACATAATGGCCACCTATATACTTATCTTCTCTTCGGTGAGCACTGCTCTTAGGTCGGATAGTCTGGTTGCTCAAAACGTCGTTGTTGCCTTTCTGTGTATCTAGGCTTTCGTCTTTGGTGGTTTCATCGGCCCTAGCGTCTGGCTAGCGTCTACGGAAATACACAGCGTGCGGCTCCGAACGTATGGTCAAGCAAACACGACATTCTTCTATGAAATATTCTCTTTTGGGGTCCAATTTTGGACACTATATATGCTCAATGTGCACAACGGGAATATGGGAGTCAATGTTGGCTACTTCTACTTCGGATTGACCGTTGCTGTGTTGATTCTCACGTTCCTGTTCGTACCAGAAACAGCACGTCTGACACTTGAGCAGATTGATGACTTCTTCCTTTCTGGCAGTAAGGCCTGGAAGACATCGACTAAGAAAAATATTGCCTTTGCTCGTGGTGATCTCTCGGATTCGCCGAATTCCACCCAGGAAACATTTGTACTGGCGAAAGAAGTGATTTTAACTAGTGGCGAGGAGATCGGGGATATGACTTAGTTGGACATTTCAGTTCCAGTAGTCCCCTTATTCCGACATTTCATACAAGAAAGTTAAGCTTCTAGGTTTAAGTTGAATTTCGAGGGAATCACTAGTGTACCAAGAAAAAACGAAAGCTTAAGTGTACGTGGGAAACAGATAGAAAGATGTCTAGAAAGACGTTTAAAGAAATTCATAGAAATAGATGCAGAAGTAGATCGGCTTCTGCAGGACAAAAATGTGCTCACTACGGAGCCACCTCGAAAATAGCAGACGACCGTCTGGAAGGTCGGGGGATGAAAGCTCGGAGACTGCGTAAATGCAGGGGTCTACTCGGCCCGAGGTTCTGTATAGGGCAATGCAGGCCGACTTCCGGACTAACATGAAACCACCGACTGCTTCTCCGAAATGCGGCCTGAACTACCTCGGGCTTTGAGTACTAATCAGTCGTGATCAACCCCATTTTCTACACTTGTTCGGCACTTTGAAACTCCAGGGTCAAGCCAATATCTGTGTTTCGACATGCTGCATGAGCTCACTAGCTCAGGTACACGCATCAATGCTACTAATCCCGCGTTGCCAAGTCGAAAATTAACGCAACGGCCGTTGAACCGGTGTTTCTATATGACGGATGAGGCATTCAACACAAAAGCTACATGAAACTATGGACAACTGTCGTCAGCTAACCAAATCCCGGAGTTCCCACATGCCTCGAGCCCCCGATCGCTGATCGGGCCTGGAACGCTGCCGCCCGTGATATCGACCAGGTGAGATATTGGGTCTATGCGACCGACTGGTACAAGGCGGCCGAGTCTAACTTCTGCGCCTACTACTGGACCCCTGCGCCCCCCGGTCAGGACCAGGGTGCTTTCCACCAGTCGGAGATTATGTACGCCCTCAACGCGCTCTACGCCAATGCCGATACATACCCCTTCACTGAGACGGATTACAGGATCCAGGAGAAAATGTCTGCTTATTGGGCCAACTTTGCCAAGACCCTGGATCCTAACCTAGGTGATTCTTACACTGGCAAAGGTACTCTGCCTCAATGGAAGCCAACAGTGCCAACGGCAGTCAGCTTGTCATGGAGCTTGGAAACTACTTTGGAAATATGCCCATTGCCAAGAAGGCGCAAGTCGAGTTCATTATGGATTGGTATCACCAGCAGATCCCTTCCTAAATCTACAAATTTCTCTTGAGAGATGGTTGAGAGGTTTGGATTTTTCTGCCATGAACAAGTGTTTTGAGGTTGCTTGAGAAATACACGCCAGTCATTACCGGATCATAGACTTATAAACAAGAATATACACAACAAACCCTCGTAGAGTTTTCCTGTAGTAAAGTCGAGGACTACGTTCCAGCTGCCCAGTTCTTTGTTCCCCTCTCGTCTGATCGCCTGAACACCATTACAGCCGACCATGTGACTGTGCTTCGCGTCATTCAGGACTTTTGCCTGGACGTCTTATTCCGGCCACCCAATTAGTGAAAGAATAAAAAGCAGGTTTGCGATAAGTATGCATGAAGTAAGCAATCACAAGGCATTCTACTCGACCTTCCAAGGTGATCTACATAATCATGCAGCACCTGCAGCACGAGATCTGCACGTCGACAATCTAGTACTACCGTTCCAAGTAGCCCCGCTGCACATCTTCGCCAGCTCAATGAGGGGAATAGATGTGTTGTACAGATCCCGGGAGTGAAGGGCCATGTGAAAGGATGGGTTACCTTTCTTACTGAGCTGAGCATTCCTGTCTGACGGCGTTCAGATACCTACCCACGGACTCTCTAAAGTTTCTTTATTCCATTCCTGACTGGCAGCTGATCCCTGCAGGTGGCATTGTGCAACATTGATTGTTCTTGGCCTTTTCCGGTCTCTTTGTCTTTCGGCCCTGAGACTTGATTTCTTATCTCTTGTCATACTTAATTTGCCCGAGCTGTCCTTTGATGCCTTGCCTTATTTTCACCCCACTGCCCTCATATCTCCCATTCCGTTCCACCAGCTCGGCAGCCTCAAGGTAGGCATCCGCTTTCCACTCCAGCACTACATTTCAGGCGTCATCATTCGTCTCTTGAATAATTCTGCGCGGGCCAAGGGAGAAGTCACCACCCCATCTCTTCTGAAAAAGTCCTGCGCTTTGATCCTCTCACCAAACTATCCCGGCACCCACGCCGTTCTCATCCTCCATCTCCATTCAATCCAACACCACACCTACTGCGACTATGGATACTCCCAATAAACTCTCTTGGGTACAAAATATCTTCGCTTCGATTCAAGGCCTCTTCACTCGGGAGCCTAGTGACAAAGAAAGCGAATCCGATGCTGTTGACGGATGGATTGGAACGCGAAAAGGGCGTGGCAGATGTCGATCGGTTGGAGAAGTTCACTGATCGATAGTTTGTTATGATGACCCGATTACCACGCCAAGGGATGCCTTTTATATTTTGTGTTGTTTCTTTGACAATCTAAACGAAGCGTACTCTTCTGCTCTCTACATTTCCACGCACACAGTATGTTTCGGAATACAATGTCACTACTCGAAATCAAGAGCTTGGAATCATCTTTCACTCAGAACGAACAGCAACTTCATAATCAAGGAGCCACAAGAATTTATATGCCCGAATTAATATAGACATTCAGTTCAAAATCCACCTTCCGCTCAACCGTTCGATCTGTAGTAGCCTCTCCACTATACATGTAGTCGGTTGGCCTTAGGCTAAGGCCCCCAATAAACGAGCCTAAGCGCTGTTATCGGACGCGCTAAGGTCTATCATCAAATCTAAAATTGACTAATAGCATATTGTCATCAAAATGAGTGTTCAATCCTATGTATATCAACAGGCCAGGATCCATCATTGGCATCAACTGAATCCATACAGCTCCTCGTGACTCTCAACAAGTCTTTCATTTCAAAACGGCAACCATGAAGCTTTCGTACCTTCTTGCTTTCTCTTGGGCTGCTTCAACATTTGCTAGAGCCACTGTTCCACGCGATGAATTAATTTTCGCGACAGCGATGGATAACGAGGTCAACACCGACGTAGAGACTGATATGGACAAGGAAACTTTAGGTTTTGTTATGGATCTCTCGTCACCTTGCCCACACAAAAAAACAAGAAGAAATGTGACTATCTTCGTGCTAGATGGTACGTGGATTCAATCCGTAGCTTACCATCATCGCCTGATTTCAGAACACAACTTCGGTAAGCAAAGCAAAAGCTCAGAACATCATCATCCTCGGTGAGATCTAACTGCCATAACAGATCGATATCATGGACGGGGTTCCTCTCAATTGCCATTTCTTTATTGATAGACATTCGAGTCAAAAATCCTTTTGGTTGAACAAGATAATACATACTTGTCTGGAAACTGGAAAGCGCTATAAGTGACAGTAAAGTAGCTTTGCAAGCACCCAGCTACGAAGGACCTTCTATTAGTCACCGTCAGCGTTACAAAGCCAAGTGTCTGATTTGACACCCTTCAAGTACACCTCGTGTAACACCGACGGGCCGGTTGTTGTCAGGTTCGGAAAGGTCTTTAGCAGGAATGCGTTTCAGTCTCACGGAATCAGCAAGAACTCTATCAAGAATCTTCGCCGTAAGGAGTATTCTTGAGTGCTCCCCAGGTGAGGGAATTATTTGGCTTTGCGGACGTTTAGATGAAATCGTAGGTCTAAGTTTGGAGACAAAGACCATGGCGAGAGAGATTTCTTCGACTCTTGTCATACTTGACAAATGTATTAAGATGCTTTCTGCAATTAAGAAGTTGGGTTTGGATTTCTTATCAGTGCCACGTCCTTCATACCGTTCATGACATGTTTGATTCGACAGCACGGAAGGGGGCACATTCTTCAGCGGCTCGTCGGGATTGACGGGAGAACGGCAGATAAGCCATGCATGTGCTTAAATAATTGGCTCCGTTCTTGGGAAACGGTCTGGCATGTTTTGACCGTTGTTGTTTTATCTCTTCTGCAACAGTGTCCCTTCGTTTTGATTCTCATGGCTTGAAGAAACGTCCTTACTCCGACATCATGGGTGTCTCCAACGCGGCCCAATTGCACCTCCTGGTCTTCCTAGTTGGTTACCTCCTCTTCGTTCGCTCCGTCTTAGCATCCTGTTATATGCCTAATGGCACGGTCGACACAAGGCCGGAATATGCACCGTGCAAAAACACCGACGGAGAAACGAGTATGTGCTGTGCTCTGAATCACCAAAGTAACGGCGACCTCTGCCTTTCGAATGGATTGTGTCAATATACGCGTGATTCGCCGACGTATTGGCGCGGTTCATGCTCTAATGCGAATTGGACGAATAACAAATACTGCTTGGACGTCTGCCTCGATGTATGTACAACTGAGATATCGAGACGATGAGGGATATCCTCGCTGACACAAGGACACGATAGTCTGTCAACGAAGACGGCAATGCGCAAATAACACCTTGCGATGGCACCCCGGACTCGGAAACATGGTGCTGTGGTTCGACGACAGACTGTTGCTCGGGCGAGTATGCGATTACACTTGCTCGGAAACTGGGCAGTCGAGCTTCAAATAATTCATCAACGAGCCATTCATCTTCCACAACATCAAGAGATTCAGGGCTTTCGAATGGAACGAAGGCAGGTATCGGAGTCGGTGTTTCAGTCGGGGTTATTGCGTTGATGATTTTCCTGTTCTTCGTTCGCCGTGCAGACAGAAAGAGGGTTGGCACCTCGCTGCATCAGCATTATGACTACCGGGCCACGGGGACAACAAAGGAAACAGTTGGGATCCCAGTCAATGACCTTCCGTCAAGTTCAGTGACCGCGAAGCAAGGATTGCCGACTTAATAGTTTACGGGGTGGGAGATCACATCACTGGAGAATGGAAATAAAATATGGAATGGAAGGGAATCCATGATGTGGTATAGATACATGGTCAAATCGAAACACCGCCATACAGATGTATAAGTACAAGTACAATTCTTCGTTTTAGTCGTCGGTGAAAAAGCCGAAAGGAATGTACTGCTCACGATAGAGTTACAAAGCCACTTCGTCGATATGGCATTTAAGCCTCCACACGGGTAGGGATCTTGACCACGCCGCGCTTGCGGTCATTAGTCGGCACACCATACCGGCGACCGGGGGCCCAGGGAGCACGACCGTCCTTTCCGGTGGTCTCCGCAGTGAAAACGGCATCCGAGAAGCGGTAGTCAAAGCGGCCACCCTCGGGCTCGACGTGCTTGATGCTCTTCTCGCGACGACTCTGGGCGCGCTCGCGGCGCTCCGTCTCAACCTTCTCTTGGCGCTCCATCCGCTCGGCGTGGAGCTGGGCAACCTTGCGACGCTCTTCGGGGAAGGCAGCGCGGTCAAGTTCCAGCTTCACCAGCTGCGGGTGGGGGATACGCACATCCGCAGGCTGGAGGACCTGGCGGGCATTCTCACCCTTGCCGACCCAGTCGATGGAGTTGGGGTTCTCAATGGCCTTCTCGGCAAGGTCCGAGGGATGTGTGATCTTCTCTGCAACCTCGCGCTCCAGTGCGGGTGCACCGGAGAAGACACGGCCGGCATCAACACGAGTGAATGATCGTGACTCGGGCACGGGGTAGAAGATCTGAGGGCCGGTCGTGGGGTGGGCAGGGAGGTCGTTAATGGGTTCATGGAATTGCTGGCGCTCGCCATCCTGGGCAAGCGGAGTCGTCGGAACCATTTCGTGAACTGCGCGGGCGTATGGCAAGGCGAGGGGTTTGCCCTGATTTGCGAGTGGTCAGCCAGGTTCCCAAAACATAACCACGGTTGCAATAGGTAAATGACAGCAAATTGTATCAGAGAAAAAGGAGTTTTTAACCAGTCAAGCAATCGCCTGTGTCTTCAAGACTAATCGATTTTTTGTTGACTCATCATATGCGTCGAGAGGGAGGGTGTTGAACAAATGCAAAATCGGAAAATCCTTACCTGTGCCCGTTGTCTCCTCTCCAATTCGACTAACCGTACCACCGCCGCAATCCGCTTCATATCAATACCGAGCTGGACACTGACAGCACGCACGCTCTTCTTCTTCTCAACGACCCGCTCATAGATCTCATTCCGCAACTCCTCGCTCAGGATGTTTTCGCTGATGAAGTTCGGGTTGTTCGGGAATGGCCGGTTGCCGCCACCCTCATTGCTGTCCCGAGGGTTTCTTAAGTAATTCGTTTGACCGGGCATATGGTGCTTCAGAGCAGCTCCTTCATTATTGAGCCATTCGAACATTGTCCGCCGGAGTTTGGTCTGGGGAGCTGCCGTAGCCGAGAATTGACGGGCAAGGCATTGTGATGAGGGAGATAGAGAAGGGATGGATGAAATTGAGGAGGAGGATGGAGAGGATGTGAGGTAGGGGAGGAGGGCGTTGGACACGCGACGGCTCTGTATCCGGGGCGCCATCTTCATGTGCGTGACTACAGAGAGCCGAGGACTTCGGGAATAAGGTAAATTATGGGAAAAGACTGGGATGATGAATCAAGATTCAACAGGAGCAGCGGCCATTGACCTCACGCTGCAATTGTTGGGGTGCGATCGGTCCACGAGTGTCTGGGGTGTTTGTGCAGGGGAAGAAACTTTTCTGCGCGGGAAGGTCAATCGTGGCATCACGTGATGCCCTAGCTTGCACCCTCCACAGCCTTCTGCTGGGGGCCTCTTTTTGAGGTGACCTCTCTGTTCAGTTTCAATGAAGCGAAATTGGTGTTCCTCGATGTCAGCTTCCGTCTTAAACAGAGTGCTAGGGATTTTGCAACACAGCCCAACCTGCCCAGGTGCAAAATTGCTGAGAATATATCCATTTACCTCCAGGACTAGCAGAGAATTGTTAAATTTGACACATGGAAATGAATTATCTAGCCTTGCAACACTTTTGGTAGTCAATATCCACTATACCAATCATTTTCGAAGACTTGACATCTACTAGACTGCTCTTATAAAGACAGGAAGGATATACGAAGGCCAATGTGGAAAGCAGCTCATTGTGTCAAGTACAAATTGAAGCAAATGTATCAGTATCACTAACAAGTATCAGCACCAGGACCACCAAGCAAGGCAAGGGGCAGGCAAATAAAACAACTTGGTAACAGATGAACGCGCCTCATCGCCTCTTACTCAGACATTCACAAAAAGACAGCCATAGCACCATGAAGCACGACAGGACTTTGCACAAGAGCCCTGATCTGAAGCAACAAACGAGGGATGATATGAAATTGACGATGCAAGGAACCCGGACAAACGAGAGAAGCAGGGCTTTGAGCGAAAAGAGTTATACGCTCAGACCAAAACCCAGACGCCTTTTTCTCCGGGGAATGTGAAAAGCCGAGTGAAACGCCTGTGCATTCCGAACCCTATGCATGGAGTGGAGAATGCCGACAAAGATATTAAAAGAGAGGGGGTAAAAAAGTCAAGGACAAGAATCGAAAGCCAAGTAATAATCCTTCTTTGGTACTTGCATAAGAGGGCAGAGAGAATTGCAAGGCGATAATAGCAAAATCCATTTCCGGTTCACACGCGAAGATGCAATGATAAAGACACAAATATTGAGCAGGTGGATGTAAAGGGGAATCACGGTCGAAAATAAGAATCTCCCACCCGTACAAATCCAAAGACAGCCTCATAAGGTGCATACCTGATGACCCGAACGTATATGGGGCAATGAGAGCATAAGCAGAACGAGACAATAACAGAAAGCACAGGGGTATGAGGGAGATGAGAAACGCAAATGGTCGACAGAAACACAAACGCTGTGCGAGCGCCGCGGACCGACCACAATAGGAATACAAGCTTGACAATGACCTGAAATGCAATCCTCCCAAAGGTGCGAGAAAAAAAAGGGAATGTGAAAGAGCGCCCGAGTCCCCATGCAATACAGAAAAAGACAAAAAGCAGCCAAAGCAGAATAAGGGCAATAAGTCCAAGACATTAAAAGCAAAGTCCGAATCAATACTCCCGAGAAGTATGCAGCCGCCGAATGCTGATCTAACTCACGAAACGAAAGGAACCCCCAATGCGCCAATACCCCAGTGCGTTCATCAAACATGCCGGGCATTATCTCAGATATAATGCTTGGGGCCTCAGCGGCCCATCATGTAATCGGGGTAGAAGGAGTTGAAGCCGTTCATGTTGGGCTCCGCGTTGTTGCCGGCCGGGCCTCCGGGAGGCGGAGGCGGCGACATCATTTGATTGACTCCGTTGGTGCGAATCCCCAGACCCGAGTTGTGGTTGAACGAGCCGTTATTAGCCATGTGCGGATGTCCCGGAGAGTGCATGGAAGCACTGCCGTTGCGAACAGGCATGGGCATGGCGAGGCCCGGGGGAGCTGCTAGGCCCGGAGGCGGACCACTTACTGACGAGAACATGTGGTTGTGCATCCCGTTCAAGCTGCTGCCTCCGGGAGCCCCACCTTGCCCGGAGATGTTGGCCGGGTTCATGCTGCCTGGCTGCCCGGAGCGCACACCCAGTGGGTTCTTTGAGAAACTGAGGCGGATGCCGGTCTTGACACTGTTGGACAATTTGTAGCCGTAAAGCTCATTAAGTGCCTTGCTGGCCATGGCCACCTCGTCAAACTCCACGAAACACATGGGTCCGTTCTGCTTGTTGCGGAAACAGAGTCGCTTATAGCCGCGCTGCTTGGAAAAAAGCGCCTTGAGCTCTTCCTCGGACGTGTCCGGTGGCAGGTTACCCACATACAATGTGTTGCATGGGGGGTTCAGATCATTAGGGTTTGCAGCCGGAAGGCTGTGCCGAGGAGTGTGCTGGCTGCTGTACGGGAAGCCATGGCCCTGGTTCACGTTGCCCGGGTAGGCGGACTGGGGTCCACTACCGCTCATGCGCTGCCCGTGGCCGCCAGAGGCGTAGTTTGGCAGAGGGGGAGAAGACATGGTCGTCGACAGAGAAAGATTGGCGAAACGACCGGCCGGAATTTGGGGATTGGTCGAGCGACGTTGGGCTGAAATCGAATGACCATTCTCCGCGTAGCCAACGGGATCTTTGAGCAACTCTCCAGTCTCCTCATCCGGATCTTCATCGATCATCGACTTGCCGGTCACACGCGGGAGATCGCCAACTCCGTTGCCAATGGGAGACTGCGGAGAAAAGAGATTATGAAGGCGCGAGCCGGACTCGGATGCGGAAGGCAAGCCCTCGCCGATGGCCTGCGCGGACGGGTTGTTCGCGGACAATCTCTCCAGGCTCTGGAAGGTGCCATTGAAACGGGAAGACTGGCGTGACAAGGGGCCGTTGGATGCGACTCCACCTAGCAACCCGCCTCTCGCGGTGTGATCAATCGTGTTGCGACGTGTGTTCGCAAGGTTGGAGCCCACGGCGCCAGGGTACATCTCAACAACCATGTTCGCGTCGTTTTTCGAGTTGGGCTTCCCATCGAGGAGGGCGCGTGCCTCTTCAGCGGCGGGGACCGTGTTGAAGCGCGCGATCGCGCTCAAAAACCCGTCGTCTTCCGGATGGTCGGAGTTGATGAAATCGGCATCGACGAAATCCTTGGCGAAGAGCAACATGCTGCGGAGGGCTTCACGGCTGGTGTTGCGCGGGAGTTTGCGCATCAAAATGGCGCCACCGCTCCCCGCGCGTCCCAGGCCGTTAAGGCCCTGGAAGTTGCGGTCGGAATCGCCGAGGCGCATACCGCCGTCGAAGGAGGTGGAAGGGCCGAGAGGCGAGAAGGGGTGGGTGAAAGTGGGGGCTAGCGATGCGGGCGCTTGCGAGACAGACGGGCTATACACGTCGGTCGACATCGCATGCTGAGTCGTCGCGGACGCGCGGGAATGAAGTTGGGTCGGCGAGGAACCAGATGAGACGGATTCGGTGCGCTGCGTCGTTCCGAAGGAGCCTGGACTCGTACGAGTAGACTGGTTCGAGCTGCCGCTCATCCCTCACGAAGACTTATGTGAAAAGATCGATTTTCGCGACACGAAAAGCCACCCAAAGAAACGCGAGGATACGCGAGGCTAGAAAGGCGTCGCACGCAGAAGAGTTGCGGCGTAGTTGCGCAGTGATGCGACAGAGATGGGAGGCGACACGAAGCGCGAAGAGGCGAAGGCGAAATTAGCGATTCAATCGAGAGTCGAGTTGGCAGGGACGTTCGCTCCTCATCGGATCTGCGACAGGTTTGCGCGTTGAGGGTACTCCTGAGAGTGAAATGGGTGATTATGACGGAGGTGAAAGACAGAGGCGAACGGCGCGACAGATGGAGATGGAGGGGGGGAGCGAGAACGATGGAAAGGAGACGAGAGGCGATGGAGGGGAAAGAAAGAGAAGGGGGAGAAGGGGGGAAAGAAAAGAGTCCGGAACGGTCGAAGGTGCCCACAGGTGCCAGATCCATGGATCTGTAGACGCGACTCGTGACGGGTGCGTGACTGCCCATCGGTACACGATCTACAGGGTTGAGTACAATGGAACCGAAGTACCTCCCCGTAAATTACTCCTGTATTGTAACAGATATACGCCAGGACAGTCACTTTGGAACCGCCGCTTGCAGAACGTGGGCAAAGTGCGTGCCCCGAGCTGGCATGGAATGCCCCGGTTTTTTGCGTCTTTCCTGATCTGCTTCTGTAGGGGATGGGTGTCCGGAGTTCTAGAAGTTGATGCTATCCCACTGGCCATGTGCAGGTATGTAGCTACCCTGCTAGCCTCCTCTTTAGCCATCGAGCTATCTCCCTGGCTACCTAACAGGCAGCCACCAACCTCGGTATTTCTGTACTCGGTCTAAGCAGTTCGAGAACAGCGCCATTATCTCACCGTATGAATCAACGGGCTTGCAGCTGATCCGTCGAGAATGAAACGCCGGGGAGGCTGCGCCCTAAGGTTTCAAAAAGAGGCGCACTGCTATATCCCGAACATCGTTCATGAGGACTACACTAGACAACACTCTCCCTGAGGCTTTCACTGCTCCCCTGACAAAACAAGTCTGGTAAAGAATTCTCCCTTATGTGGATTCCCCCATAGTCGACAAAGGCCCCATCAAAGCCTGTGGCATCCTAAAATCCGTGCGCCGGGAATTCCTGACGATCAACGACCGAACTACATATGACTCAGGCACCATGCAGTTAACCCATTAATGTCCAGGTCGTACACAGCACGCTGTCAGACCCCCGTCCGTGGAATCTGCAAACTCAAAACCTGGCGATCCTCCAGGACCTGCGACCAATTGCCACGGTCGCAGAACCTCCGCCGCTGCGGATTGGCTGGGCCGCGGAAATGGCCATGGCTTATCGAGCGCGGTCGAGGGTCGGTCATTGAGCCTGGTTGGGCCGTGGCCACAAGCGCTTTTCTCCCGGAACAACGACCAGCCTGATGTGGCATAGAACCGCGTTTTTTCGTGCCTGGTGAGGGCGAGAGCCGGTCATAGGCGCGTCACTTTGTTGGCCCTGAGGTGAGCACACCCCCCCTCTTTGTTGACTGCCTGGAATCGCGCGAAAGCTTACCTGGAATTAGGCACCCGCTCGTTCCCTTTTTCAAGCGCCGCTCGAATCAGCTGTCCGGGGGTGTTGTCCCCGTCGTGAAGATCTACACTGGTTCCAGACTCGTGGGTGTTCATGCAGTTGAAGGTTCATATCAAGTAGGATTTCATGCCGTGAACTACTAAACGCAGGGTCCGAGCATCTGTCACGTAATATACATAGAGGGTTTAGGATCCACGTCCTGGGCTTCCCAAAATAGCCCAACTCAGTAACGCCGCAAATGCCAGTGATATCAGAAACAAATTACAAGAGCCTTTGAGACTGCCAGGACCCGAGTTGCTCAGCTCTTTTGCCCTAATCCTGTGAAGGCGTATATCGCACGTGAGGGCGGTGTTGATCCATGTGCAGGTTTGCCGGTATACTCAGCAGGACACCCGTTCCGCTGCACTCCCTCAGAAGTATTCGGGACAACGGAAACATGGACAGGTCCATAAGGACACTCGGGTCTAACAGTCTTCAACCAAGGACGACGGTATCACGCCTTTTCGTAGGTAGCGGGCTTCTTCTCAACAAGGCCAGCCTGCAACCAATACACGTCAGCCAAATTTATCCACAAAACCAAAAGAGCCCAAGAAGCACATCCAGAGATAGAAAATGAGGATGCGCTAGCTAAAAAGGCCACCGCATCTTGTCCATCCTATCCCAGCAATTGCCCCGGGTACACCCAACTTACCATGCTCAAAAGCTTCCACACCGGATCACTAGGCTGCGCACCAACACCGAGCCAGTACTTCGCACGAGACCGGTCGAGAGCAATCTCCTTGTATGGGCGGGCATTGGCGTTCTCTTCGTACAGGTTGGTCGGACGCTTCGGGACAGGGTTGAAGGTGCCGATGACCTCGAGGGGCTTCGCGCCGCGGGCAGACCTGGAGAGTGAGAGTCAGCTTGAGGCGATTCTTGAAATCGAAAAGTCGAGCACGTATTCAATCCGCTGCAACTCTCTATCCGAGCCGGGTGGGTTGAATTGAAGATGTCGTGTGAACTGGACCAGGGCCACGTACCGAGCCTGCGCAACGACAATGTTGTAGAAGGGGCTGTGCTTGTTGCCGAAGCGTGCCAGCCGAATCCGGAGAACCATGGCGGAGGATGTGAAGGGGTGCTTGCGATCGAAATGGACAGCGCGATGTTCGAGAGACCAAAACTCCGCAAAAGTTAGGGAGGCTCGGGTAAATAGTTATTCCGATATTGCTCAATGTGGATTAGCGTGGAGGATGATGCAATTGCGATGTATAGGCAAGTTAGGACCTTGCTATCTTGCTCCTCAACCTCAATTATCTCGTACTGTGTCGCAATACCCGGTACTTCAACGATTTGAAAGTTTTATGTTCCGCCAGATTTTCGCTAAACGGTTCCCACTTTCCGCTGTTCGTCGCTACAGTAAAATCACAACGATGTCGCTGAAGGTTTGCTTGAGCTTATCATCCGGAGAGCTCTACATCGAGGTACTGACCATTTGTACCAGGCAATTTCGGCCGATGATGCCGCCTCCCTTGACAAGGACCTCATGGACATGGGCGGATGGTCCCTCGACCAGTTGATGGAGCTGGCAGGCCTCTCTGTTTCCCAGGCTGGTCAGTTACTTACCGCTCTAATCCCCCTCACAGCCGTGCTAATGATTGATCTTGACAGTGTGGAAAGTCCACCCTCTTAGTGCCGGAAAGAACGTTCTTGTGGTCTGCGGGCCAGGAAATAATGGTAGGAGGCATCCTCGGCAAAATAACCTGATGCGGAGCACATCTAATGCATTACAGGCGGCGACGGTCTCGTAGCAGCCCGACACCTCGCCCAATACGGCTACACGCCGTCCGTCTACTATCCAAAACAAGGCAAAAATGAGCTCTACCAGCGCCTCAGAACCCAGCTGCAGAACCTCGCCGTCCCCTTCATCACGGACTTCTCATCTGCTCTTAAATCCACCGACTTCCTCGTTGATGCTATCTTCGGCTTCTCTTTCGGTGGACCATTGCGCGACCCATTCGGTTCTATTGTCTCGCAGATTGAGTCTGCCTCTGTTCCCGTTCTGAGTGTCGACGCACCCAGCTCGTGGGATATCCAGAGCGGTCCGCCGAAGGAGGGGCCGGGCGCGAAGTTCATGCCTGCGGCGCTGATTAGCTTGACGGCGCCGAAGCCGTGTGTCAAGTTCTATCGGGGAAGACATCTTATTGGAGGGCGGTTTTTGTCGAAGGATATTACGGATAAGTATGGGCTTGACTGTCCGCAGTATCCGGGAATTGATCAGGTTATGGAGGTCGGTGTTGATGCCGAGGGAAAGCTTTAAGGGGATTCAGATGATGCCACAGGTTTGACAGAGGTGTATTGAGACCGAGGAATGGATATCGTGTTGTTGTCGTTAAGAAGTAGTGTAAATTCTATCTATGCACCCTCCCGAAGAATAATACCTCGTAGCCTTGAGACTTAGAGAGATTCTCTAATCTCGCCAATGATTCCCTTCACGCGTGGTTCTTTTCCAACTGCGGATGCAGAGATGCGCGAGAGGACGCTCTCAATCTCGTAGATTTCCTTGGCCGCGCTCTTAATCTCGGCTCCCAGAGCCTGGACCAGAGTGCCCAATGCGACTAATCCTCGGTAGACTGCCTCGGAGTCCTTTTCACCAGCGATTATCTTGGATAGTTCCTCGAGAAGTACCAAGCCTAGCTCTGCGGATTCGGGTGCGGATGCTCGGCCCTCCGAGGTGAGATAAACGGCAAAGTTGACGTACAGCGTGGTAATAGCGATGGTGAGATTGCGGTTGGGCGAGTCACCGCTGTTTGACAGAGCAGATCGCACACCGGTCAGAATGTGGTCGGATGTGTTCATAGCCAGGGTCCGTCCAGCGGGCGTCTCGAAGAGGTTGGCAAAGGTCCGGACGGACAACATCGCATTGTTGACGTTGAGAGGGGCGTCGAAGATTCCGCTGCCCAGGAGGCCTGTCACGAGGTCGTCCCCGTTAAACTCCGTGGACGCGGCGAAAGGTGCCGCAGCCGCCAACAGACGAAGAAGATCCAGTCCCGGCAGCCTGTTGGCGGTAGGCCATTCTGTAGCGACCTTGAACACCAACGGCACGCCAGATTCAACAACTGGAGAGTCTGGAAGCTGCTGGGAAGATTCTAGCTTGCCGCACAGAGCCACGATATCTTGTATCTCTGACGAAGTCAAAGCCTTGTCTTTTGCACCTTCGGAAAGAAGTTTCTCATTGATTTCCTGAAGCTTCTTCGTGACGACTTTGAGGTTTGCAGAGCGGATAGAAAGGTAGGTCTTTTGCGGAAGAACCCGAGATCGTTCTTCTGGAATCGATTGCTGGGCATTTTCGGCGGTTGAAGCATCCCCAGGACGGTATCGTCGATCAGAGCCCCAAGGGTCTGAGCCAGGAGGAGCTGATTCTTGAGATTGGCCCAGAGTTGCACCCTGGGTGTTCTGTGTGATGAAGTTTGCAACCTGATCCAGGTAGGTCATAGGCAATTCGTTATCGCCGATGAACTTGGTGGCCGCTTCGTAAGGGTTCTGCGACGCGTTGTACGGGAGTTTGAGCGGAGGCTTGCCGTCTTCGATATCGACATCGAAGACATAATCATAATCCTGCCCAAGATATTCCGTCTTGCGTCCACTGCTTCCTGCCGAGTCCACCACTGTACCAACTGCAATCCACTCCTGTGTCCCTGCTGACCAAGTGTGGGCTGTGACACTGCCATCGGGCTCATTGATCATCTGAATCTGACCCTCCTTTGTTCCTGATTTTTGCTTGAGGAACTCCGGACCGGGCAACTGCTCTTTGTTAATATTTCCAACTTGCTGTGCAGGAATGGCGGACTCCTTGACAGCCTGGTCAAATAACTCAATGACCTCGGGCGCGGCAGCCCGCTCTGGACTTCGGCTGAAGATACGAGCAATGCGATCACTGGCACCAGTAATAATGTCACCGGTTTCGCTGCACACAGCCACACTCCAGACGGAGATAGCTGGGTGTGTGATGGTCTGAACACACTGAGTACCATTCCATACCCGGACCGTTCGGTCCTCGCCGGAGCTCACTAGCTCACCGGAAGGCAGCGCGGCAAGGGAATAGACGAAGCTCTCGTGGCCATGGAGAGAAGCGACCAGCTCGCCCTGAAGGGTATACAGCCGAATGATGCCATCGTTGCTGGCCGATGCGAACTGCGCTCCAGTCGGGTTCGAGGCAGGGACCCTGCAGAGGGCCCGGACGACGTCATTGGAGTTCTGTATACTGGCAAGGAGCTTTCCGGAAGTATTGAATATGCGAATCATCTTGTCGGCACAGCCTGTGATAATGTCAGCATGGTGTTCTCTTCCAAAGCAGCCGGAATAGCGAGTCAACGTACCGGTGATAACGGTGTTCTTATCGTAGGCTAGCACAGCCCATACGCTTCCTTCATGACCATCCAACACCATGTCAGTTTCCCACTTCCCAACCTTCCAAATCCGAGCCGTCGAGTCCCAGCTACCACTGACAATCCATCTGCTGTCGGGTGACACGTCCAGAGCACAGACGTTGTGAGAATGCCCCAGGAGCATAGCATCCGCATTGTCATCCGACCCTTTGCCGGGCTGTCGAGCTTCGATGATGGTGTCCTGCCCACCAGATAGAACAAGGCCCTCAGGGTACTCGGCCGTAGGTGGAAGGTAGGCTAAACTGTTGATGAAAGCCTGGCCAAGTGCGGTGATGGTGTAGTCATAGGAAGGAGGGGGATTCGAGACGAGCTTCCAGAGCCGCACAGTTGCATCGCGTGAAGCTGAGAGAGCAGCATTGGGGTTAGGGAAGGCCACAGCGCGCACCTGAAATGGAAACTTGAGGTCAGCGAGCTTGATCACTTGCAGTAGGAAGGTGTCTCGACGAAACAGCAGGAGCTAGAGCCTTACATCATCGCCGTGGCCTTCGAGGGATGCGGAGATCTTGAAGTCAGGCATGCATACAACTGCGAGGCCGAGATGAAACAAACAAAAGCTAGAAAAGGCAATTAAGCAAAGAGGTCCTCTGCTAGGAGTTGTTGTCCTGGATGCGTTCCTGGGGACCCCGCTGCGCATCATATCACGTGGGCGGTGGGGCCATGACGAACCTGCTAGAAGTTCATCTCTAATCAGTTCTATTTTCAGAACGTGATTCAATGTGGTGCTTCACCGGAATATTTGAGAGATATACTGAGTTGGATAGAACGGAACCACGAGTACAGTTGTACCTAGCCTCCATATAGGTGGTGTGATAGCTAAAGAAGTAAGTGAGACAAGTCTACTTCCTATCTGATAGCTCGTCAACAACAAAGAAGGCAAAGTGAAATCCATTAGTGTACAGTCGAGGCTTTCATATTCCCACTTGACTAAACACATTCTATCCCAGACTGACCAACGCTGCAAATCACAATACAATTAGATTATCCTTGACCAAAATACATAAAACCAAATATATAAAAGCTGCGACGCATCTTGCATACGACAAAATCAAGGCGAATACCCCCGTAGCCACTGAGCGATCACATCATGACTTTCCTTTTCCGCGTAATCTGCCGCATGATTACATATCAGCCCCAGATCTTCTTGTTCTCCGTACGCGCTCAGAAGCAGTTGGACCATATCCAGATGACCGTGCTCTGCCGCTGCATCAATTGCGGTTCTTCCGTCCTTCGGCGCAGCTGGTGCAGAGACATCCGCCCCGCATTCGAGAAGCTGTACAGCCATTCCAAGCATCCCATTCATGGAAGCCGCCTGGAGCGCCGTAACACCCCGGTCGTCCGCTGGTAAAGCATTCACATCTGCCCCGTGCTCCAGTAAGAATGCAGCTACCTCGACCTCTCTGTGTTTGATAGCCTCTTGAAGAGGTGTTCCATAGTGTTGAGTGGCAGGTGTGTTGATCGTGGCACCGTGGCCGACCAAAAAACAGCATGATTCGTAATAACCCTGGCCAGCTATTCGTTGAAGGAGAGTGCTTCTATCCCCGCGGCGATAGTCCACGTCTACCCCTAACTTTATGAGACGGTCAGTTATCTCCAGCAATTCTCCTTCATCTTCGTCCAAGCAAAGTGTATACAATGCATTCCATCCGTTTTGGATTGACTTGGAACGGAGAGGCGGTGGCATTGAGCTTGTTTTCTCGAGTATCATGTAACAAACATCAATGGCAACGTGGTGGATGTTTTCGAGAGCAAGTTTTAGCGCATCTTCCCACAAAGGGTGTTTTTCCAAGTCTTGAACCTTTGCAAGGAGCAAATTAATGAGACCAAGGCTTGATTCGCCAGTTAATGCATATGTCAGGGCATTTTGAGAGTGAATCCCATCGAGCATGGCTGTTGCAAGAACATCGGCGCCATGCCGCAACAATAATTCAACCATCCCCTCAGAATTATTGGAGATAGCCCAGCCCAAAGGGCTCATCAGCTCATCCACACATTCATCGGATGCTGCTATCTCAAGAGGAGTGTCGTTAACATTCGCACCGTGTCTCAAGAGGAACGCCACTCCCTTGAACCAATCCGCACGAGCAGTTTCTCTTAGAGGAGACCGCAAACCATAACCCCCCGTTACGTTGACACGAGCGCCGTTTTTCACAAGTAGCTCGAGAAGCGGCAGAGACTTATGTTTTGTAGCGGCCAGAAGAGCGGTTGTGCCCATCTCGCTTGCTGAAGCGTCGACGTCTGCTCCAAGGCTTATGAGATCTTTCACTAGTCCGATATCGCCGTACGTGGCCGCTGCCTGAATGGGTGTTAGTCCTGACACCGACGATGGAGCTGCGTTCAAATTTGCCTGATGCGCAAGCAAGAACCCAGCTATCAGAGAATGTCCGTTTAAACAGGCTGCCTGCAATGCAGTCAAGCCTGCCTCTTCTCCTGCCGGCGCATTTACATGTGCTCCTGCTGTCTGAAGCATTGACAAAATCTCCCAGCTTCCACTTTCCGCTGCCCCTTGCACTGCGGTTCGTCCGTTGACAGCCGCAGGGGGAGCATTGACATCAGCACCGCTGCTCAAAAGGAATTGAAACATTTCAAAGTTGCTTAGTCTTGCAGACATCTGCAAGGGGGTGTCGCCTACACCTGGTGCCACACGGGAGTCTGGATCAACTCCTGTGGACAGTAAGAGAGCGACGAGGTTCAAATTTTCGCTTAAAACTCCGTACTGCAGGGCAGTATATACCGACCAGTTGCTATCATACTGAGGCATATACTTCCGGAATCCATTCGAGGTAAAATCCGTGTCTGTGACGTGGCAGTCACAGAGTTCTTGGAAATCAGGGTGTGCAGAGACTGGGCAAGCCATCGCGGACGCCCCGTGCTCCAGCAAAATTTGAAGAAGAGAAATATCGTTCATTTTTGCAGCGAGCTGAACTGGGGTTTGAAGATATATCATTCGATCCTCGGAGTAAAGTCTAGGCAAGACATGACCCCGGAGATGTTGAACATCGGGAACATTCAAGTCGGCTCCGGATTCTATGAGATACTTGGCCACCTCCAAGTGACCTCGCGAAGCCGCAGCTTGTAAAGCAGTTCCGCAATACTGAGAAAGGTAAAGGTCAACCCTAGCCCCTGCGTTTACAAGCAATTTCACGACCTGCAAGCTACCAACGCGAGCTGCATCAATCAGAGGAAACCCAGGCTCCTCTTCTGTGATGAAGGTCTCTGGATCAGCACCAAAGGCGAGAAGTGTATGTAGAATTGGAAGGCGGGACTCCCAACATGACAGGCTTGGAAGCCATGACCAGCGATGCTTGACCTTTGGGGGAACCCCTGCCTTACACAGTAGCTCAACCATGGCCTCATGCCCACAGTAGACTGCACTTGACAAGTATTCTGCCCAACGTTGACTTTGAGGTGGTTCATCTTGCAACTGGGCCCCGCACTGAAATAATCTCTTAGCAAGAAGTATATTTCCAGACTGAACAGCACACCGAAGGGCCCTTCTTGCGAACACTTTCATCGCGGGGGAATCCGGCCGACAGAGGTAGATGAGGATATCAACACCACATTTATCCATGATCCATTCGAAGACTTTGTTGAATTGATCTTGGTTGAGTAGATTGTTGACTGACAGAAAAACAAAGCGTTTTAGGAAGACAGTGAGGACCGAAAACAGATTCTTTTGTGGAGTCCCGAGCATTTCGATCAAGGAACTTCTAGTTTCCAGATCGTCAGGTGGAAGATAAGTCTGTATCATTCTGTCGCTCTGGAGGCAAAAGGACAATTCTAAATGCAACTGTGGTAGATCGCTAGCGCATTGAGAAGAAAGATATATTGTAGCAAGCTCGAGGGAGGTTTCGGGGGTTGAGCGAATGATGCTCGTTTGTAGTCCTTTCGAAACTAGACATCTCGTTAGATTTGGTCAACGGTGATGGAAGCAGCAAATGAACGGCGGCGTATTCCAGGACATTTGTAGCTATCAAGCACTTACCAAGTGTTTGTATCTCCTGGGTGTATTGGTACCAAGGAAGGTTACGAAGAAGAAACTCGCGAGATGTGCCAGAAATCTCTGCCCGGGGCGTAGACACAGTGATATGATCCGGGAGTACAGTGTTCTCAATGCTGCATAAATCCCTCGAAGAAACGTGCCGCGCGATTTCTTTGTCGATTTTTTGTCGAGTGTACTTTCGGCCGTAGAAAGCGAAATCACTATCTTTCCCTTCTTGACTTCGCTTTCGCTTCACAGAGGCGACACTGACCCAATCTCTACGAGAATGGTTTTTCCTTACGCCCCAAGATTCGAACTTTCCGGTGTATTGGTTTGGACTAAGAGGAAACATCGTCAGATTCCAGATTTATTCACCGGACCAGCAAAAAGTAAAGACTGTACCTCGCTACAAAGCCATATCTCTCCTTCATATGGCCTATTGTCCGTTCTAATGGATTTGCCGAATAGAAAGCGATGATCTCTTCTCGGTGCTGATGCCATATCTCTTCCGGGATTCGGCGCGCTTTTGCCGGCATTGTGAGAGAAACCACGAAGACAAGACTGGAACCTCAAAAATTCGATTATTGCGCTCCGGGACGTCTCACAGAGGGGAGAGAAATATTTTTTCTTGCGGTGTAGACATTTTCTCAATACCCTGGTCGCTGGCGTGTTCAGCTCGAGTCAAGGCCATAGTGTTGATTGGCCGACGCCCAAATCTCCTTTCGGAGGCGCAGCCTCACCAAATGGCCGCAATGATTGGTCAATACCAAATCTGAAGGAGGATGGATCATTTCCCGAGTAGCGCCCTGCCAGAATTTGCTTTAGAGACACTAGCTCGCTTGTGGGGTTGCTGGGGCTAAATGCAGCATTCTCATTTGCTTCTTCCAATATCTGGTTTTCTTGCAAAAGTACCAGAACTGCCAGAACTGCCAGAACTGTGAGGACCATCTCCAGAATTTGATTTATCCACCTGCTTGGCTCAATACCCCCCTAGACAGAAGCCAGAATCTGGTTTGGGCCCTGGGATATATATATCCTTTTAGAAGCATGTAGAAGGTACCGGCAACTCTTCAGGAAGCGGCCAAGATGCCCTGGTCGATAGACACAACACTATCGTTGATCTCGCTTCTCATCACGGGAACGTCGTCCCTTTTTGAGATCTGGGATCACGTCACACATACTTACAGGAGGATTTCATCCAAAGGTCAGCTCGTCCGGGCGCTCAGAACAGCAGCAACTAACCCGTCTCTCAGATTCTAGCACCGAAACTTTGGTCGCCGGAGGGCTACAGCCGATCAATATAGACCCGGAACTTCTGCTCGAGTCGGGGCTGCATGGCCAGGATCTCCAAACGCAACTGGTTTGTCGCCGACTGTAGAAGCGTGGTTCTTCGGCCAGTTATATGCTAACTCCGCCCAGGGTTCCGAGCCGAAACTGAGTCGCAGAATTGAATCAGCATAATACTGGGGTCATTTGCGCATTAGGAGCTGGCATGGATTCGGTCAAGCAATGTAGTGGCAGTCTCTTTTTGTTATCAATATAGAATAGGAAGCCGTCCTCGTGGGATCTCCACAGTAAAAATGATTGTAGTGCGGCAAGAGCAACCCGGTAATCTCTACAAGTCATCCTTAACAGTGACTGCCGCAATGTTAGATTCCATAATAAGAAGGTATTTCCCAGGACGACGATTCGCCAGATCGGTGCCCAAGCCTGGCAGGCAGGAATTGGCGGTGAAAGCGAGCCGCCCTCCCCCCCCCCCCTAAGTCCGAGTTGGCAGGAAAATACCCAACAAGAGAAGGTCACTGTTAGTTCTACCCCGAACTTCACTCTCCCTAAACACACTTTTGAAACCAGCTCCGGGTTCAACTCGAGTCAAAGGTCGAAAGTCGAAAATCGAAGTCGAAGTAAACCGAGGCGGTTAATCCCGATCGGGACTAGCGTGCTTACATCAGCAGTGGCTGCAGGTGACCCGTTAATATTCACTTTCATCAGATCAATTCGATCACGATCAGTTCGATCGATATCACCTGGAGTGGGCTGTCGTGCCACCGTCCTTCTGTACAAGATCTTGATGACTTGACGACCCTGACGAATCTCTTTTCTACTTTCCTTCAGGCTGAATCGGGCTTTGCATTTTACACGCCGCTCGCCCTACTGTGGTGTCCATGGTGGGCTCTTGAACACTCGCGGGTCTCTATTTCTGTCTCTCACTACGTGTTGATCGAATATCATCTGAAAGCAACATGGCTTCTGGTGAGTTGTACGGCTTTTCCTGATCATAGTTTTGTGCTAATCGCCGGCAGATATTCCCAAGGTGGTCCCTCTGACCTGTCACGGCCATTCTCGTCCCGTGACCCATTTGAGTTTCTCGTCGAATGTCGAGGACGACCAGTACTATCTCATTTCTGCGTGCAAAGGTATCATTTTGAAGAAGTCATGTACATTTTAGTGCATATGAAGCTAACTGTCTGGATCAGACAACAACCCTATGCTCCGAGATGGCATTACTGGTGACTGGTATGTCAAGCTCGGCTTAAAATAGGTCACATAGTATAGTGGCTGACATCACTGACAGGATTGGAACATTCCTCGGCCACAAAGGCGCCGTCTGGCAATCTCGGCTCTCGGCCGATGCCGCAATCGCAGCTACGGCAGCTGCAGACTTCTCAGCGTAAGCCGTCTCTCATATACCGAGTTACGCATCAGTCAATTAACCATGAAACAATAGAAAGGTCTGGGACACCTACTCTGGCGAGTGTCTTCACACACTGCAGCACGCACACATCGTGCGAGCTATCGCCTTCCCAATGCAAGCCAACCCGCAGATTCTAGCAACCGGCGGCGCAGAGAAGAAGCTGCGCATCTTCGACCTGAGCCGCGGTGGCGGTAGCAGCAACGGCTCCTCGCCGCCTCCTCCACCCACGGGCGGGGAGCAAGGCACAGATGTCACGAGCTACGAGATTGGGCCGGGCGTCCACGGCGGCACGATCAAGTCCATTGTCTGGAACCAAGACTACAACATCGTGACGACTGCCGCGGAGGACCGTAAGATTCGGTGGTGGGATCTGCGTTCGCGGCATCCGGTCCTGGAGTACGGTGTTGACGGCACGATAGGCTCGTGCGAGTTGAACAGCCTTGCTGTGCGACCTAATGACCCCGGTATTCTGACCGTGGCTGCTGGAAAGACTGTGTACCTCTTCGACGGCACGCAGCCGGGCCGCCTTTTGAAGAAGGTTGATTTCAACTATGAGGTTGCTAGCGCTGCTGTGAACAGTGACTCCGGGCGGCTGGTTACCGGCAGTGCGAATGACACATGGGCGCGAGTTTATGACCTTCACACTAATGAAGAGCTGGGTATGTTACAACTTGGGTCCACGTTTTATTGACTATGTGAACTGAGGCTAATGTTCCATTATAGAAGTGCAAAAGGGACACCACGGCCCTATCTGGTCCGTCAGCTTCTCCCCTGACGGCAAACTCTACGCCACTGGTAGCGAAGACGGCACCATCAAGTTGTGGAAAGCATGCCGGGAGCCGTATGGTCTTTGGCGGTAAAGTGGATCAGGATTCCACTCTGTACAGCTATAAAGTTCCCATTGTTTTGTCTTGCTCTTACCATCTCTATCTATAAGGTAGTCAGTAATGGCACCTGTGTGCCCTATAACAGAAAAAGAAAAAAAACCTAACCTTAGCTTTAATCTACTTCCTTTATTACTAGGCAATACCGGGGAAAAGACCACTTGTACGCAGCTTGGGTCAAATCCCGTAGCTTCAATTCATATTTTTAGATCCTTGGTGTCTGGGAGGCACATATCAACTTGTAAAACCAAATTATAAGAAATCCCCAAACTCGCAAAGCCATAGACTCGACATCGAAGAAAGAAAAAGGCCCATATAACCCATTGACAATTTCATAAATGCAAGTAAAATTACAAGTCTTCTGTCCTTCACATGTCATAGAGTAGAGTGATGAATTGAGCGGGCCATCAAGCGGAAGAAAAGAAGCGGAATCCGAAAAAGTTGTGCAACGCGAGCGTCAAAGCTATGTCCTGGCACCCCCTATTGTAGCCACGGCCCATTCACTCAATCATATCGATATCATTGTCCGTAACAGCAGGCGCGGCCACAGCTGCGGGAGCATCAGCAGCCACCGGTGCGTCTTGGACCGGCTGCGCCCCAGTACCCTCGGTATCGGCGTCCTTGTTGCCCCAGTAATCTTCCATCTCTTGATCCAGCTCCTCCTGTGTCTTTCGGGGACGGGCGTTCGAGCGACGGCCTGGATTCTCCGCATTGCGAGGACGGCTCTCGCGTCCACCTCCACGCCGGCCACCGCTGCGGTGAGCTGTGTCGCGTTGACCGGGGATGTAGCGGTCGATGTGATCGGGGGCGGGCTTGGTCATATCGCTGCGGCGGCCACGGCCGCCAGCTCCACGCCGGCGTCGGTCTCCACCTTCGGTTTCACTCTCGGGGCTCACTGGGCGTTCCACGCGGTCGAAGAGGGTACCACCCGTGCGCTCGCGGCGACCTGGCACAAGGGAGAGGCGAATGGGTTGGCCCTTTGCGTTAGCACCGTCAAACTCGCGGACGGATTCATGTGCATCTCTCAGTCTCTCGTATGTGATGAAAGCAACGCCCTCGGAGCGTCCAGCGCGGTCATAAACGAGGGAAAGTTCTTGGACGGGGCCGATTCGGCCGAAGAGGTCCTGTTGGACAATGTTTGTTAGATTCTGTGGAATCGTTCAATGTGAAGAAACATACTTCCAGATCGCTCTCGGTGATGTCGTAGTGGAGGTTTTCCACGCGAACCTTGGTCAAGGCGGGACCGACACTATATCCATTAGTATACCAAGCCATAACGATCCCATGTCGTGCATGGAGCAGGTGCATTTCATACCGGCCAGGCGAACCTGAACGACCAGCATGGCGAGTTCCACGAGACGGACGAGCTGTAAGAACAATCAGAAAAGCCCCAATATACCAATAACAGAAACACATACAATCACGGTCATCATCAAACTTGTCGTGCACCCAGTCGCTAGCAAAACAGCTCCGTTAGCCTCCCGCCAAGCCAGACCATCCAAACAGGAAGGGGTATTCACAGGTTCAGATTCACAGAGTCCTTTGCGTAAGGCTGTTGAACAGAAGAGGACAATGGTTAGCTATAAGTCAGAATTGCAACGAGAATTGCGTTGCATGTTCGCCACGGCCTTGTCGTTGGCGAAGTCTGCGACCATCCAGAAGACTGGCTACGGTTGTGTCACGACGCAAAAGGACTCGGTGAAGGAAGAGGAGGGCGGACCTGGAAAGAAGGGAAGGAGGTCAGCGGGGCATTCGTTCTTCAATGCGACAGCAATATCAGTGGGTTCGAGATCGGGACAGTACCTTTCTAACACCATCACGGTCACCGCGACGACGAGGTTGGCTGCGCCGACCGCCAGAAGGACGATCACCAGAAGGACGACCTTTGCCCCGCTGCAATTGCGAGATTGTTGTTAGTGGTTGTTTGCGGGAATTGTAGCAGAAGTAAGCTGGCGCCTTACGGTGTCTTCGGCGATGATCTCGTCCAAGCTACGATCCATCTTGGACCTGTTAGGAGGGAGGGGAGAAAGAGAAGAAAGATGTCAAGGTGATAGAGAGTGAGGATATGCGATTGACCCTTTCAGGTGTCGCAGGGTATTGAATGAAGTAGAGAGAAGGAATGAGCAGTGGCTAAACAGAAGATTACCACCTCGTCGGGAGGCGCGATCTGGCTGGGACGCCCAATCACGTGCATTGATATCCAGATACCCAAAAGGGTAAAGCGGACGAGAGTTCTTGGACTATTCGAGTTATTGATTGCTTCAGTTCAATTCGTTTTTTTTTATTTTATGGTATCCTTTTTACTTCATGGTATCCTAGTTTCGTAACAAACAGAAGAGAATGCAGAATACAATGTGAAGAGGGGAAGAACCGCCGAACCCTAGGATGCATGATGCGATATGGGAAAGCCAGGGGCAGGAAAGAGAATAACAGAAAGACACCACCCTAGAAATCACGGCAACACCTAACCAAAACAGACCCTCCTGTATCACCGGCGACGCTGTGCAAAGAACAACTGGATCTCATTCTCCCTTCACTGCCTTCCATTCTTTTTGTTCTCCTCAATCATCTTCTCCATGAAGCTGATGTAGTCGAACTTGGCCAAATCTCGGTCCTCCAGCATATCGGGGCCTTGATGCTGAGGCATAGTTTTGACCAAGTGCTCGATGACTTCATCTGGAATAAGCGAGTGCCGGAGATCCATCTCAGTGACATATGGCTGTGACGTGTAAGCATATGAAACATCGATTATATTGTTGAACTTCGAACATACCTTGCCATCGGCAACCTCCTTGAAACTCTGGAAGACTTGCTCCGCAGTATTTTGGTCCTCCGTTACACTAACCATGAACCGAATAAACTGCTCGAAGCTGACACCGGCATTCTGTGCCAGGCGATTGGGTCCACACACTTCCACGTAGACCTGGTGCATCTCGTCCTCATCGTAGACCAGGCCCAGACTAGCCAACGCTGCAGAGAATTCCAGCTCTTGCAGGGTATTGGACGAGTCCCTGTCAAAGTGGCGGAAGACTGACTCGAACTCCTCCAGCTGAATGGGGGTCAAGTTGGTCATGTTGCGGGCCACCATCTGGTTCTCCAAGAAGGCCAGCTTCTTGGAGATGCTAGACTTTGTCAGGCTCAGCTCGTACGAGAGTTCGTCCAGGGTGAAGGTAGTGAAGTCGTTCTCCTCGATGTTTGCCTCCGCACACTGCTCATCAAGTTCCGCGATGGTGTCGAGGAAAGCGTCTAGCGGGGGCAGGTTGTCGTTCAATTTCTTGACATGCTCCAGCTGGTCTTCAACGTCCCCATCCAGCCCGGAGATGGCTAATGACAGGGTCTTTAGTGTGAGCGCAAAATCATTTGCCTTGTCGGCAAACGAACGGCGCAGAGAGTTCTTGATGTCGCGGATCGTCTCGTTGATGAGCTGACTGCGCTGATGCTCATCTCGGGTCAGACTCTCCCATTCTTGATCGCAAGTCTCCAAGCTCACTTCCGTCGGTGGCTCATAGGGGCGTAGTCGGTAGGTGCCCAGCTTCGTCTTGATGTTGCCTAGCAAGGCCGCCAGATCCGACTTTTCGGCAACCCACTGTCGCTTTTCATTCCGTTTATACAGCGAGAACTGATGCGCCTGCTCTTTGACGTCTTTGTATGTGCCCTCGAACGAGGAACTCTTCCATCCATCGCGCTGAGCCCGAATCAATCGGAGCAGCTCGCGCATTCGGCGCTCGTAGCCGCTTTGCATGTCCCATGCACCGTGCATATTGTTCACGAACTTTTCTACTCGGCGACCGGCATTTTCGACCCTCTCCAGCTGCGAAAAGGCGTGGAACCAGTAGGCGATATAGGTCATCAAGGAACGCTCGTCGGGGCGCGGCACATCACACACATCGTCCACGTCGAGCAAGTCAGGAATACCGATCTCGTTTGACGCAATTTCGAATGCAAGCTTCATGTTACCACGGTGGTCACTCTTGTCCAAAGAATCGTAGTCGATCAGGTCCGGTCGGTGGATATCGAGCAGAGCGCAGAAGGCCAGCCCGTCGTTCCAACTGGACGAGAAATCACGGACCTCCACATCGTCGTAGCACGCCGTCTTGCGTTGACACCACAGCAGCAGGCCCTCCTTTGCGGTCATGCCCTCCTCGTTGATGTCGCTGATTGTGAACCGGAGAATGAGGGTCCAGATCAGACCCAGGATGATCTTGCGGTTACCATCGACGATATCCTCCGCTCCGATGTTGGTCAACTGGATCTTTCTTTCCTTAATAAAGTCCAGACTCTTGTTGACATTCTCGAATTTCTGCACCCGCAGCTTGGGCTTCGACGCATATCGACCGAGGGACTCTCCGCCAAGGATCTCGAGTAAATGAATGAGAATGACCTAGTGAAAGCAGAGACAATCAGTGACCAGACTTGAGGGATTTGTATTGCAGGATGCGGGGGAGACAAGAACTCACGCCGTCAGAGAGATCAGTGACCAAGTCAGCGATGAACAAGGTCCGCGCCTTCAGCTTGTCGTTCAGCCTAGAGGGGGAACTTTGTTAGGCGCAGTGGCAGAGAGGGGTAGAAAGGACGGACCATTTTGTGAAGGTCTTCTGCTGCACATTAATCCACTGCTTCTCGACCGTCAACATCTTGACTCAGGGCGGCATCCAGGGCCTAGGGCCGATTGGCAAGGAAAGGGATCAGAGATCAGGGTTCGGGGTTCGGGGTGGGAACCAAGGTGGATGATCAGCGCTTAATTTCAATGCGGGAAGTGACGCGATCAGACAAGCATGGAGCACAAGGAAAAGACGGTGCGTTTGCCAATGAATTGAAGTCGATCAATTAGGGGCGGGGTGTTTCTCCCGCTCCGCCAAGTCACCCTGGCAACCGCGTTTATACTCGACTGTCACGGTCAAAGTCGATTATTTCTTTGTTTTGAAACTGTCAAGGGCGCTAAATTCGATAGAAGCTGAAAGAAGTCAGTGACAGCAGATATGCCTATGAGCAGAGTCCTGCATCCCCTGGCGATTGACCGTGCGGGTGTATCCCTTGATGATTAGCCTGTCCTATCTTTAGATCTTAGTATCGTGAAGATGATGTGCATGTTGAATTTAGGTACTGTCATAAGGCTCAGCGTCGGGGCACTCTTCACTTCACTCTCCGTTAAATTAATTAGTAAATTAGTACCTTGGTGGCTTGGGAACTACAGACAAATGAGTAATCGCGGATGATATCATTCCATTGGCGTGGTCCGGCTAAGAGCGGGGCGTGCAGCTGCAGAACTCGAAGTCGAATTCGACTTTAAGAACCTCCACAACTTTTCGCATAATCCCCCGATACCCTCAATCCTTCAGCACCATGTCCATTAAGATCACCGATCTCCTCCCGCTTCCCAACAGCACCGCGCGCATTCCGCGCCTGGGCTTCGGCGTGTACCGTTCACCTTCAACCCAATGCGTTCAGTCGTGCCTCAAGGCTCTGGACGTGGGATACCGACACATTGACACCGCGCAATTCTACGGTAACGAGAGCGAGGTTGGCGAGGCTCTGCGCACCAGCGGTCTACCCCGCGACCAGGTATTTGTTACGACCAAGATTCTCAGCCCCGCCGGCTCTGTCGAGGCGACCTACGCCAAGCTGCTGGAGAGCGTGGAGAAGATTAGCGGGCCGGGCGGATACGTTGATCTGTTCTTGATTCATAGCTCCAGCTCTGGTCCGGCTGGCCGGAAGCAGCTGTGGCAGGCGCTGGAGAGGCTCCATGGTGAGGGCAAGGCCAAGAGTATCGGTGTGAGCAACTACGGCGTGCACCATATTGAAGAGATGAAGGCGTATGCCAAGATTTGGCCGCCGCAAGTCAATCAGATTGAGGTTTGTTCCCTGGTTTTCATATTTACTCGATTCTTGTTTTATTTGATCGTGGTGGCTGACTCGCGATTCTTCGACTCACAGCTCCACCCGTGGTGCCAGCAGCGAACGATCAACGAATACTGCAAGCAACACGGCATCGTCGTTGAGGCCTATTCGCCAATTGTCCGCAATTACAAGGCCAACGACCCGACGCTAGTCGAGGTCGCGAAGAAGTATAATCAGTCGACACAGCAGGTGTTGATCCGCTATGCACTGCAAAAGGGATGGGTGCCACTGCCCAAGACCGATAATGCGGAGCGAATTGCGGCTAATGCCGACGTCTTCGACTTTGATATCAGCGCGGACGATATGGACCTCTTGGATTCTCTCGACCAAGGAGCCGCAGGAGCTATCGTGGAGGCCGTTGAGAACGAGTGAGCACCGTGCATTTTGTCTTTTCAAGACCGCGGTGCTTCTGTCAGGTAGGGCCAATCGGCACGAGATGCAACTATGACCCGTATCAAGACATCAAAAAGGCATTCACCGATTGAAGCGTCGAGCGAGACGGATTTATGTCATGTTTGGACGAAACGATCCACGCGAGACGCTGTCGGATGAACTGCTTGCTGATCGGGTTCTTGCTTTGTGAGGCTTCGAAGGTTCCTGGACGATTAGAGTTAGTCTTATTTTTTGATTCCCCATTTCATCTAGCGTCTGAATTTATCCAGAGATTTCTGGGGGCATATCACATTACCATCGTCCTTGTAAAATAGGCAGATAATCGCCAGTAATGCTCCTGCCGACAGGTCTTTGCCCGTGTCGCAGGTCACCAGTAGCGAGCGCGATGGATCAGCTCCGAGCTGCGCGCTGACAAACTCTTGCACTTTGTCGAGAGACTTGCGTAGATCACGACTGCCCAGCTTCAATGACCCACACCCCAGGTTCAATCGCTTTTCATTCCCTTCCACGGCGGTGGGATTCCCATTGCAGTCAATGACTAAATCATACCTGCTGGTGTCATCCACAAGTGCGTCCGTTTGGCCGATGAAGAGGTTACGAGTTGGCGAAATGAGAGTCGCGGACTGTCCGCCACTCTGTTGCCGGTATTGTTTCACCAACTCAGAAATAAGATCCGGAAGGTCTTCTTCAGTGGTTTGCTTCAAAACAGCCTGATTCGCCCAAAAGACCGGTGGCGTCAGCCCGTGCGCCCATCCCTCGCTGTCATCCCCAGCACCCTGGATGTATCCACCCTCGGACATCTCAGCACCATGGACACGTTTCGAGGCGGAGCATAGGACAAAGAGATTATACGCATCGCTCTTATGCAGATCTGTCGGGTAAAAATACGAGCGGTTGGCCCATGCAACACGAATGGGCTTCCCAAGCTGTTGTCGCAGCTGGTCCAGATCCAGTTTCAGGCCCTGGTTTGGTAATATCAGCCAGCTATTCCACGCAAGCCCTTTCACCCGGGTGAAGAGGGGGTTCAAAACAGAAACCCCTGCTGAGCTATATGCAGGGATCCTACCTTGAGTGAAGATACGAAGCCATCGAGACGGGTTTCGATTTGTGATTCCTCGGATTCGCCGAGGAATTTGGGTGGCAGTTGTACGGAATGAAAGGCTGTCTCTGTTGGGAAGAGAGCTCGGTTGATCACGGCGCACCAGATTGGAATTGTCTTTGACAGGGCGTCTGGCATCACTATAGACCTAGTGTCAGCCTCGGTGCACGGTGACAAGGGTGGGAACGGAGATGGCGCCTGCTAGGGCGCCACGCTCCCCGGGTTGAAACATACATTTGCCTCGGCGGGTCGAGTCGACTATTACACACCTATAGGGGTTGAGATGAAACTAGTTAGTTGAAGCCAGTCCATGCAAGTCATAGTTCGAGATCTTCCGGGAATAGAAGATGGTCGATGGGATCCAATGAAGGCCCAAAAAAAAGGGACGTGAAAGGAAGACGGCAACGAGATGACGGGATCTTCCAATCATCTCAAATTGTGGCCGGCGAGAAACGGGGTAAACTAACCCCCCATGCTTCCTAGCTAGCGGAAGAAGCTGCAGGTTCAGCCTACGAAAGCTAAAGTCCCATTGACCGGTGTGGCCGTCCGTGCTCTTGAAATAGGCACTGCCCACCTTGGCATCGGGCGAGATATACCAGCTGCCGCAACGTTCATTGGCGACAAGCGGCAAATCATAGTGGTCTGCAGCCTCTCGCACAAAGTCCGCGTCCGCTTTAATGGACTCCAGCCGGTTGGAAACCGACAGAGCCGAGCGACGCAAGGAGGACAGCGTTTGTGAGATGGACTGTTGGGCCGACGGGAAGTGCAGCGCGTCCAGGGTCGGAAAGGATCCAGACTCCATGCTGTAACCGGCCGCCAATTTTAGCTTGGGTATAGCACTTGTCTGCGGCCGTACTCTGGGGTAGTACCAAATGATACTCGGCCGATATCCGGGCCCTTGCTCGGAGAGCCTTGAAATCGGGCTGGTGCTGATCAGTCCCGTAGCAGTGAGTCCAACGTTGCTGAGAAGAGAACGGGGCAATCAAACAACTTTGATACACGGAGCAGTGAAAGTCGCGAAAATGGCAGATGCGTTTGTGATCCGATGGATCGACCAATCAGCAGGACGGTGGTCTTTTCAGAGTGGAGACCTGCGTTGAGGCCCAACTCGGCCTTGTCGTCGGTCTGTAAAAAGGGTCAGGTGGGGGGTGGAATGGAATAGAAATGGCGGGGTAAAATACTTCGTATGTTGATGAGAAAAGTAAGGGAACTGAAGAAACTAGGATGGTTCTCTGCTTCACTCACAGAAAGCCTTTCATTCCGTACTCCAGGTTTACTTAGATTTAATTCTACTACATGAATAGTCATGGCCACGCTTCATACTCGTCGCAAGACCAGTTTTGAAATTTGAAGCTATGTTTTATTCTGAGATAGCAGAGAACTGAGCGGGTTCCTCGGTGGAACTCTTATCCGCTCGTCTTGTATATAATCGTGACTTCGAGAGTCTTCCATTTCCATCTTGATTTATTGACCGCAGTACAATTCGATAGCCTTGTATGGGGCATATACTGCTCAATGCCAACAAGGAAAGTCTATGCAACTCGCTCCGTGCCCCCTAAGAATCCCCGCGCGGCCCGGGTCATATTGCAAACCGGAGCTCAAGGGGCCAGGGTGCATACAAATCCCCGTATGACTGACCGGCATGAGTTCAGGCCCTTCAGTTGGTGAAAGTATCCGATAGAGACCTTTGGGCATGGTCCGTGGGTGCATTCTTGCTTGTCATGTGATTCTTCTCATCAGTATGCTTAAGGGGGAAAAATGAGGGGGAAGACAAGCACGTCGTTTCGAAGCGCTGTAGCACATTCTCGAGATATTCATTTCCAACGTCGACCAGGGCCGTGAAACTACGACATCCATGTTCTGCGAGTTTCCACGAGTACAAAACACGCACTAAGCTGGGACGGGCCTGGCACAGGCGCCGCTGACTCGATGATTTGCGGCCGATCATTGGCGGAAATTCAGGTACCAGTACTTACTTCCGCACGTTAAATAGCTGTAGTACAAAGTACCGATACACGCGACACGGTCCATGACCTCAAGCCCGCGGACCCGCAACTGCCCGGACAATCTCATTGTGGCAGCGTCATGCTTTCCTACTTTCCGTAGACCTGGTTCCTGCCCTTTAAATACCTCTTCCCCCACGGTCTCCCTTTCCGGTCAATTGCCTCGTTCCTTCTCTCGCTTACCCTCACTACACTTTCCCTCTTTTTCCAACATCATTCCCCACCTTTAGATCACACTGGATCATATCCTCCCCTAGCTTCCCCGGTGCATTGCCTGTTTACTCTCAACCACACCTTTTCCCTTATTCCCAGACCAAACAGGGACCAATTTCTCTCTCCATCATGCCTAAGGTTCGCTGACCCCTCTCGTGGCTCTCAGACCCACCGACACTAACCGTCATGCAGATCACCCAAATCTTCTTCGACTGCGACAATACTCTTGTCCTGTCGGAGGAGCTGGCCTTCGAGGCCTGCGCCGACTTGGCCAACGAGATCCTGGAATCACAGGGCATTCCCGATCGCTACACCGGCGAGCAGCTCATCAAGGACTTTGTCGGGCAGAACTTCCGCGGCATGATGATCTCGCTGCAGGCCAAGTACAAGTTCGAATTGGATCACGATGAGCTCGAGAGATATGTCACCATGGAGGAGGACAAGGTTATCGCCAAGCTGGAAGCCAAGGCCCAGCCATGTGTTGGCGCTTGCGAGGTCCTGCAGAGACTCTACGAGTCCAAAAAGTACGACATGGCAGTCGTCTCATCCTCGGCTCTGCGTCGCGTGCGCGCTTCGATCAAGAAGGTCGACCAGGAAAAGTACTTTGCCCACGACATGGTTTTCAGTGCTGCTAGCTCGTTGCCGAAACCCACTTCCAAGCCTGACCCGGCTATCTACCTTCATGCTCTTGAATACGTCAAGAAGACTGCCGCCGAAACCGTTGCTGTGGAGGACAGCAAGTCTGGCGCACTCTCCGCCATTCGCGCCGGCATTCCCGTCATTGCCTACGTTGGTAGCTACAGCGGTGACATGCGGGAGGAGATGGGAAAGCGCCTGATGGACCTCGGTGTCAAGATTGTCATGAACGATTGGTCTCAATTCGACAAGTGCATGGAATTTATCGAGAGCGGAGCTGACAGCGAGAATCCTCAGTCCAGCCTGTGATATAGCTTCTTTTTTTTCACGCCTGCACGATTTCATGATAGCAAGCGAATGGCCGTTTCGGAGCTTTTGTTTAGGTCTGTTTCTTTTGCGACGTTTGTTTATGTCAGAGGAACCCCGATGTTTCTCATCCCAGAATTCTTACCGTTGAGTGGTTTTCACTCGAACTCGGATGGAAATGAAGCCAGGGCTCTCTGAGTGGTTGCGAGCTTGCATTTGCTGGCAGGCCCTACTTTTCGGGATCCTATTCATTAATAAAGTATCTTTTAATCTTCGCGCATAGACCGGTTTTACAAGCAATGAAATACCGACTACGTGATGCCCTAGCCTGCAAAGATAGTGTAACGAAGGTTTCCCCCTATAATTTCCCTCATCTCAAAGAAAATTCACCCGAAACTCTTTCCACGTCAAGTCTGCCTCGGTCTTCAAGATTCATCCTCCTCCTTGCCAGACTAGATCTACAAGAAGTGCGCCTACAGTAATACAATATCTCTAGCGGTGCACGATGTCTTATCGAGCCACTGTTTATTCAACATGCGATTCATAATCCAAACAATTTGAAGCCCTCACTGCACCAGCATTGAGCAAAGTGATAAGATAAGGGTTGAAACCCCACTATGGGCAGCTCTCTTCCCCGCCAGCTGTCTCCAGCCGTGTCAACATCGGGATTAGCCCGGGGATAGCTTGACTACATTTACACTGGTTATTGAACTCTCCCATTGTTTCAACCCCATATTCCACTCGGCTCTCTGTCACGAAATCACAAACATGTCGGCACCCAACCAAGCCAAATCCAAGCACATTTCAAAGGGCCCCTTGGTATGCCATCACACCCACCTTTCCTCTTTGGTCCATAGTTTGCCCTGAAAAGAAGGCAACGAACCATCGCAAAAGCAATTACCTGCAAAGCGAGCCCCCTCTACATCATCCTATCTCGTGCTTGCCTGACCACGCCTCAAATTCAGGATCCGGTCGAGGCCCGGTGGACTCGATTGGTTAAGACCAACTACACGGATCCGTTGGGCGTCGAGCGCACTTGGGAATCTGCGGAGCGTACGGTAAGATTTTGCCCCGTTACATTTTGGGTCTCTTTGCATGGGCCATCTTGATTCCCCCTTCTCCGGGGTAGCTGCACTGCATCCGGAGTAGTCATCCGAACCCCTGCCTGGGCCCGAGGCAGTCATGATCTACTTGGAATCTTCCCTATTGCAAAGCCGCACTATGATATGACTGTGCTTTTCGCAGGCTCGCAAGGCTCACCCGGGTTCGCACTGGTGGAGGGAGCACCACTGCCATCATTGGCCGCCTCGGAGATCAGTACCCGGCCGTTTCATGACACTTGCTTCCTGCAGTCCATCGATTTAAGGCGGCAACTGCGTCTTGCACTTCTACTTGCTTAGACCCTTGGGCTAACTCGATCTCCACAGACCCGCCCGGCCGACTGCGCGATCGATGGCGTAGGGATCTGCACCATTCTGAACAAGTCCACGGGGCCTGAACTGCTGCTGCAAAAGCAATACCGGCCCCCGATTGATCGCGTCGTCATCGAGGTCCCTGCGGGCCTTATCGATGCTGGTGAGACTGTAGAGAAATGTGCGGTGCGAGAGCTCAAGGAAGAGACCGGTTACGTCGGTGTGGCGGAGCAAACCAGTCCGGTGATGTTCAATGGTAAGTCTTCGGAGTTTATTGATCTGTGCTATCTTTGTGCGGCTCCTGATTAGATTCCTGGTTTACAGACCCGGGTATGTGCAATACCAACTTGAATATGGTCCATGTGCGCGTGGACATGTCGCTGCCCGAAAACCAGAATCCCAAGCCGCAACTTGAAGAAAATGAATTCATTGAATGCTTTTCTGTTCCGCTGGCTTCGCTGTTTGAGCAGATGAAGAAGCTTGAGAAAGAGGGCTACGCTATTGATGCTCGGGTTGGTACACTCGCTGAGGGCATTGAGCTGGCGAAAAAGTGGAAGCTGTGAAGTCAATAGATGAACATCGAGTGATGCAGCTCATTCCATCGATACGCAATGCTGGTTGAATTGCTAAAGTATGGTGTCTCCTCAATGCATGCCTCGTGGCAGTTTTCATCCATATTTTCAGAACTAGATCTTTCCTTCCTGCTGAAGCCCCTTGTAGAGTGCCCATGCAGCCAGAGTCTTCCCATCCCGCAATCCTTCTTTCCAAAGATTCTCCAGCGGAACAATCTTCAACGTTATCTTCTCGCCATGGTCACGCAACCCAGTCAATTTCCCTTGTAGCTCTTCAATCTCCTTCCTCGGCATCCGCTTCTGACACAAGAAGAGCGGGATAAACTCATCACTCCCTCCAGCGGACGGATACACGGCTTTCTGCAGCACCTCCCCGTTCTCATCTTGAGCAGGCTGCAGAGCCAAGGAAGTCATATCAATCAACTCGTCGTGCTGAACAGACAACCCGGTCTCTTCTTCGATCTCCTTCGCCGCACCTCCAGCAAAAGTTCCACTGTCATCCAGCATCCCAGCAGGGATTTCAGCAAATGCCAAAGACCCGGCTGGGATTCGAGGCTGAATAGTGAGGATGGCGCTCTTTCCCTTTTCCTGGTTGGCAGGGATATCATCCGGTTGGAGAATAAGCTGGGAATGACAGTCAGATACACTGCATTTGAATATCTTGCTGAAATGTAAAAGGGTAAGCAGGGAAACCTACCAGCATGCCGACACTGCCACCTCGTAAAAAGACACTTCCAGGTAACGTCTCCCCGCTCCCGTTCGACACGTCTGCTTTCAACTTGACAAACCCGAGCCGCCCGCCTCCGAAGCGGTCGATGGATTGGATGTCAATGCTGCGCAGTCTATACGGGTCATCGTGAAACTCGTGTGATGGGTTCTGCTGTCGCTCCAGGGACAGCTGCAGTGTCCGGATCCAATTCTTGAAAGCGGGGAACGACAGCAGGTCCTCGCGGGACAGATCCGGTATGCTGTTGACGCGTGCATCAGACCCCGGGATCGTGAAGGTTGACATTGTGGCTTGGGCAAGTCTGGATCTTGTTTGTGTCGGGCACCCGGGTGCGAGTTTCATATGCCGCGCAGTTGGGCGCAATTTGGAGAGCATGGATTTGTTGAGTTGGGGGCGTTGATCTGAGGCGGTGAATATGCCTCTTTTTGGAAATTCTATATGGGTTTCCCGTTATTTGCCTATTTCTTTTCCTTTGTTATGTTGAGTTTGGGGCTTGAGCGATGTTGTCGGTTGTTTGTTGTTTGGTGGCTGCGACGCGCTATGACGTATTCGGTTTCTGGTTTCTGGTGGTCCTCCTAACCACCACTATAGATGATGCATGGCTGCGGCCAACTATGGAGTGTCTACATGGAGCAAGCTATCATAATCAAATTCTATATTATGGACATGTCAAGTCCTTGAATTCCTGTCAAGTTTGGCAGATCTATGTACGTGTCTATGATTCCTAGAACGATACTCTGTCCATGATTGGAGTTACACAACGTTGAAACTCTTTTCTCTGGAGCCTAAACGATTACTCTATCATCCCATGTGACAATGCTCGGATAGAGTCTCGTTGGATGGTGATATGACCCCTCCACATGCATCCATGGTCTGCTCGAGGTCTCGCTTGACACTCTTCGGTCCTTATATTAGAGGGGGGGGAAATATACAACCACCTCAGGAGCCAGGAATGTAGCTCACATTAGCCCCAAGGCTGTGCATAGATAGCAACCCGCCAAGACCATGCTCCATGCGGTCTTCTATTATGGGAACATTGAGCTCGGTCTTCTGAACTTCCAATCAACCAATTTATTAAAATAGCTGAGCGTCAGCTCAGCTATTATTGCAAGATAAACCAATCAAAAGTCAAGCTAAACTTGTAGCCAAGACTTGGTCCATGCATGAATATGAGTACCTGCTGTACCGACGCTTCGAGTGCAAATCTAGAACTGCAGTGGAACTGGCTAATTTCACCCGGGTGAAGTGACCCCTCGCACTAAGCTTCCCTCGGACCCCATTTCACCTTCCAAATCCCTTCATCTCGGCGATATGCGCCTCTTAGATTTAAGAACCAGATTATCCCGTCTCCATACGCGACTTTACAGTAGAAGAGTCGGTGGGTCATCCCCGATATCTGATTGTCGCTTCACCCGGGCGCAACAGACCCCTGTTGCGAACGTTGGACGCGCACCCTTCCCGCAGGCCATAGCTGATCCCTGTCAGCTCCCTTGCATCTGTCCGTTGCTTTGGCATGATTTGCGCTGCTTTGGAGCCTTGAAGACAGGGATATACAGTATTCTGACCGCAGCCAATGATCTGCTCATACTGCGATCGGAAAGGGGTTGCGGTCCGGTTGGTTGCCTTGTCTTGGGGGTGCGAACCGGCCGAGTAATGCGTGCATCACAGAAGGAGATACAATGATTTGCATGCACTTTGACTGAATATGATATCACTGATGCATAGATGTAGACTATTGATTTAGTGCATTGTTTCAACTCTTTTCAAACACGCATTTTGAAGGTGTCTTTCCAAGGGGGGATTTTCTGGTTTGTTTACTCGGATACAGGGAAGGTCGCTGCTATGCGGGATTGACGCCCTCCACTCAAATGCTAGCTTAAACATACTATGCACCGCCCCAGTCAAGGATATCTATATTCTCGGCCATTCATTGGCGAGTGCTACCGACGGAGCATCGCGTCATCCTGAGGTATTTTATCTCCCCGGCCGATTATAGATTGTTAGGCACTGCTATTTGACAACACGTCGGATGATCCAGGGGTTCCGAGTTGTTTTTTATTCCTAGTTGATATTCGATATATCCATGATCTATACTACCAGGTCACAGGGTCCTTTTGCAAAGTAAGCTGTGGGCGTCTCGCTGGAGGCTGCTGACGATTCAAGCTGGAGCCTAACTGACGACTCGGATTATCATTTCAGACCCACTCGGGTAAAAAGGAACGAGACGCCTCATAATCATCAAGTGAACTGCCAATGTACTGCCAATGTCGTATAAGTCTGTGTATCAGAGTTCAGTAGCGTAGAAAATGGGAAATCGTCATGGCTAGGCCAAAGCCATTGCAGACATCCTCAACGTAGCCTTGCATCCTCAAGCTCCCCAGCGCCATGTGGTCCCCTAACAGTGGGGTTCTGCCCGATCACCAGGGTGCTGTGAACACCGCATGATAGCATCAAATGCTGTCTGTTGGGCGTCGCGCAGTCAAGATGGAGCATCCGCGGATATTTGGGCAGGTGGCTTAAATAGCCCGAGGGTTGCTCGGGTTGCTCGAAATAGCAAGGCGCTAATCACAACCGCAAGCCTGAAAGTAGGGTCCCAAACCGAGCATGCTGGTCGGGGCGGGATTTAAAGCCAACTTCACAGAAGTAAATATGAACGGGAGACTGCGGGTAGCGCAATGTCCCGGAGCCAGCGTGAGGGGAGTTTGGGCAGTAAAAAAAGAATCATAGTTTCAGGTCGAGCTTTCCCTCTGATCTGGGTGTGGTCCGTGGCAAATATCGGTGTAGAATACGCGCGATGCCCAGAAGCGGTGACTGCGACAAGTAAAACGGTTGCCAGATCCGATGCAAGGCATGTCGGCAACCTCGTCGGCCGCTTACTATCCCCAGGATCAGAAAACAAATACCTCATAAGTTGGTTCACGATGGACTGGAGATTGTTGGATTGGGCATCTTAATATGAAGTTTGGAAAGCATTTGGGTATTCGTTCCAAGGGCGTCTCGGGGTTGAGAAGTGTAGTTCGGGCTCCAGTAGGGCCGTTTCCCAGCCCCCTAGTAATGAAAGCGCGCAGGAGATGTTTTGAGGGGGTAGTGAGGCCAACCTCTGTATTAGTTGGATCGATTTGAACCTATCGTGAGCATGACGTTTCCTTCTGTTTGTCTTCAGCCTCGGCGAGGCGCCGTGTGATGTTTTACACATTAAGGCCCGAGTACCCTGGACTGGGGCGTCAGAAGTGCGTCAGCAATATGGAAATTTCGGAGCATTTGTCTTCTAGAATGCATGAAAGAAGGGTCTACTCCGTATTTAAAACCCGGGTAAAGGTATGATGGAACAAATTACATGGGTTGGTCGAGCTGGTTCTGCGATGGTGTGGAAAGGCAACCGCCCTAAATCAATAGTGGACCACAACACGCGAGATCCTTGCCGGGAAGATATCACACTACGTCCTCGGTGGTTTAGCCCCTTCTCACGCGCCCTGGCTGAGGCAACCAGCAGCCTCAGCCATAGGCACGCTGCTTTTGCTCTTTCAGACACATTCCGTAATACTTAAAGACACCTGAGTGTCCCCCCCCCCCACGCTTAATCGGTCCCGTGCCATATGCTCGGTCTCCCTTTCGATCAACGTTAGTTTGACCCCTTTCGCCCTCCTTAGCCCGGACCTAGGGAATAGTCCTCCCCGCCACCGCCACTTTGACTTTTTGCTTGCGCCGTGAGGATCCGGTGAGCTAATCCCGAATCAGACGATGTGCATTTAAATGGATGATGGACTCTCGGCCATCAATCGATCGTAAAGAGTTTCGGCGCGCGTCCGGCGCAAAGCTAGCTACCCGATTGGACATCAAGGCGTCGAAAGCATCGGGCAGAATCCAGCGGCAAGTCCCACCCTTTCTGCTACTTATTATTCGTCTAACCCTCACTCAGGTGTTCCAAAGGAACCTTGTACTCTGAAGAATACTTTTCAAGGGTTCCAATGGCCAATCGCATGTGCTCATCGGCTAGCCCACCGTTATCAAGTGGCCGGCCTACCTCTGGTGTTTTGGCCGATGACTGTACCTTGGACACTGTCAGCAGTCAAGGCGCGCGCGTATCAAAATACTCTCGTGGAAGTGTTTCGCGAACTGAAAAGTCCCGCCGCAGGGAAAGCCCTCGGACATTGAGGAGTCATCGACTATCCGCCTCTCAGCATTTAGCCAACTATGCGGATGTGAGTGGGTTGGCGAAACCTATCGTCACGAGTTTCTCCTTACCCAGAGACGCAGCTTGTTCAAATCATGATGTGAATTCACGGCCAGGGCTGCGGAGGTTTCATTCAAATCCCAATGCACTTCCAAGACCTGTCGATGAGAAGATCGGGGGTGATGATAGCATGCAGCTTGGGGATCTGCCGCAAAGGCCGGTGACAGACCAACCGGCTCTTAAGGACTTGGCATCAAATACAGAGACGGAATATCAGGAAATGTTTAGACAGCCTGAGACCAATCCGATTACCGAAGAGCAATTGATCAATGAGGTTCGGGGCATCTATGCAGGACTAGTGATGGTGGAAAAGAAGTGCATTGAGATCGACAAGCAGCAGACGGAGTCCAAGACGGAGCTATCGAAATCTCAGTGGCAGGCACTCATTTCACTACATCGAACATTACTCTACGAGCACCACGACTTTTTTCTCGCTTCGCAACATCCATCGGCAAGTCCCGTGTTGAAACGACTTGCCGATAAGTACGCCATGCCCGCCAGAATGTGGCGATACGGAATCCATTCGTTTCTGGAGCTCCTGCGTCAGAAACTCCCAGAGTCGTTGGACTATATGCTTAACTTTATTAACCTCGCCTACTCTATGATGACTCTTCTCCTGGAAAGCGTGTCTGCATTCCGAGACACTTGGATTGAATGTCTCGGTGATTTGGCACGATACCGAATGGCGGTGGAAGAGTCTGATATGAGAGACCGTGAAGTCTGGGCCGGCGTATCGCGATACTGGTACAATCAAGACGCCGACCGAAACCCTGATGTTGGCCGGATCCAACACCATCTAGCGGTGCTTGCTCGTCCGGACGTTTTACAGCAGCTCTTCTACTACACCAAGGCTCTGGTTAGTGTGCGCCCATTCCACAACGCGCGCGAGAGCATTATTCTCCTCTTCAATCCTTATAATGGCCAGCCACTTCACCAGCATACAATGGTGACTGCTTTTATCGCTACACACAGTGTGCTATTTACTCGAGGCCCGGCTGAGCAATTTACTACCTTGGCAAATCATTTTCTAGCTCTTCTACGCAGAGAAATTCGTCGGCTTGGTCGACAGGGACAGCAAGGTGTCTATATCATGTCTTGTAGCTTTGCGGCAGTGCTTCAGTACGGCGAGCCGGAGGCAGTTATGGCGATGGAATTCTCGAAGCAACGCGAAACTGAAACTATTGCCGAGGCACACGCCTTTGCTTTAGAATGGACTAGTGGTACCAACAGCACGGGAACGAATAACGAACCCACGGCTGCGACTTTGCAGGTTTCGACTCAAATGGCTTACCAAGGAAGCTCCCTCACCTTCCACACTCTGACCGTCCTTCTTGATCAAATGGGTGATCCCAATATCTATCCAAGTGTCCATACGTCTTTGGCCTTTATATGGTGCTTAGCCCTTCACCCGCCCGCCATGCAACAGCTTGAGCAAATGATTCCCTGGCTGGCAATCACCCGGTTTCTCAACACTCTACTTCGCCCAGATACCATCATCCCGAAGATCGAAAATGATTCCTTCCCTCTACTCGACGATGTCACAGTTCAGCAGCTGCCTGAGGACTTCCTCATTCGTGGCCAAGCATGGAGTCAGCTTTACTACCCCGAGAAGTTCTTTGAAGATGCTCCATCAGAAGACGAAAGACCAATCATCGAAGAGCCCTCCACGGTCATCCCTAGAACACATCGGTGCTTGTGGCTTGGGGTGAGGATAGCAACGGTCGGTGACATGATATCCTACATTTATTGATAAGCCGGAGGACAACAAGCTGATCAAGGTTACAGTTCAATCGCTGGATGAAATACACTCCATACCGAAGATTTGAGGCGACTCCACTTGCAATCGAGCTTGCCCCAACTGCAGCAACACTTGGAGGTCTCAACAGCCAAGCACCTTCGATCACGACTCAAGCTTCTCATGCAGACATTGAGATGGATGGTGCCTGATCTTTAGGCGGTTATCACCGACTGCTAGAGTTCATATACCTGGAGTGCTCAAAACTAAACGATACTCCTGCTTTACATCCTGAGTGGACTTTTGTGGCAGGTGGGATTTCTTACTCTCCATCACATTTGGGTCAAGATCTTGCTCTTTTGCATCACCGACTTACGTATTTCATTTTTTTTTCCTTATGTACACGGAGCCTTGGAATGAATTAATCGACCTCGACTATTCGACAGTCTCAAACACAGAAACAGACTCCCAACAGATGGCTCAAGATCTCCGGAAGGTCTGCCAGGCCCCAGAGCGGACTCTCTATTTGGAAACCCAGCCAACATGGATCTGGAAGCTAGAGAAATCTTCCCACCATGGCCGATTCATTTGCATGGCCCAGTTGGACTATTCATCGATAAACACCTAAAGGGCCTTTGAATACCAAAGGAAAGGAAATGAAAGCATGGCCATAGTACATTGGTTGTTATTGATGTCGGCCATTGCTAGAAAACACTGTATAGCCTAACCAAACTCTTAGGATATTTTAACCCATGAGATTATACCCCCGGGGAGTGGACCTACAAATGCCCTTTAAACACGAATTGTCTGTCGAATGCGCTAGTGTATCTTTCGGAGACCGAATGATTCCAGTGCAACATAGCATCAAACCAGAACCAATCACGTAGGGCCAAGAACCGCAAAGTATCAGGTACTGCGAACAAATTCTTTACGGGTAGCTTCATGTCTACGACACCATTGCAATGCCACTTGACTTGCATATGGAGCTGGTGAAGATCGAGCCCGGACCCGCCCGCCTTGATGCGTTGACCAAAGAAACAAAAGTAGAAAAGAACGCGCAATTTAAAAACATAAAGAAAGCGTGCAATTGCAACGAATGAGCGTCCGCAGAATAACACTTTGGGTGCCCGGCTAAGCCTTGTAGCGATTGCACCCCACCGTAATTCAATTTAGGCGCGAAGCTTGCGGGTTACCGATAAAAGGCCAAGCTGGCGATTATCAACATGCAACACTCCCCTTCTTCCCCTCTCTCCTCTCCAGATGGGGCCCCTCCGACTCTGCGCATGATTTGAACTCCTGGACATTGTTGTTTCTTGCTTCGTATGGCTGGCCGAGTAATAGCCTTCTCTATTTCCTGGGCATCTTGAGTGTCTCCCGGTTGAGCTCCCCGTCGCTTGTCTCCGCCTCCGACGCTTAAGCTGCCGTATCTCCGCCATGGCTGATTCCTGGGGCGTCGTTTGTCGCCAATGTGTCGCTATCATCGCTGACGTTCCCACTTCGGTCCTACTTGCCACTGTGCTCGCTACTGTTCTGGGACTATTCGTCCTGGTGAGTCGGTCCCCGCCGGTTCCTGCGCCGGGTGGGCGCAAACCGGACTGGCCCATACCCAATCCACCCTGTCAATCGACCCATGCTGACCTCTTGGCCTGGTTAATAGTTCTACCTCTTTCTATCCCTTGTCGCACCTGTACCGCGCGAGTCTCTACCTGAAGAAAAAGAGTACACGACGCTCTTGAAAGATGGAACCATTGCAGACCCCCAGCCACTCCCCTGCTGGTTTGATGCCCTGAAGGCCGCAAGGCATGCCGGCAAAACTGCTGACATCGAACCAGCGGAGCTGTTCATGTCCGTAGTCGTCCCTGCCTACAACGAAGAAGACCGGCTTGCAGGCATGCTGGAAGAAGCAGTCAACTACCTTGAACACATGTACGGGACACTAGGAACCGAGAACGAAGGTGCAGCAATTGAAACTCGATCTATGCGGAAGCGCAAGCCCAACGGAAACACAACAAACGGTCACGCCACGGGCTCGCAATCGGCCCGAGGGTGGGAAATCATTATTGTTTCGGATGGGTCCACAGATCGCACGGAAGAGGTGGCCTTTAGATTTGCGAAAGAGCATCAGCTATCTTTGCACCCGAAGGGCCACGCCGGGCCCTGGACCCCTCAGGCCCACGAGGGCGTGCATATCCCGCCGGGAACTATTCGTTTCGTGACTCTGACTCACAACCGCGGTAAAGGTGGTGCAGTCACACATGGCTTGCGCCATGTTCGGGGTCAGTATGTGGTGTTTGCGGATGCCGATGGGGCGAGCAAGTTTGATGATCTCGGTAAACTTGTCACCGCGTGTCAGGGGATCGAAGATGCCGATGGGCGTGGGGTGGCTGTTGGATCTCGGGCGCACATGGTTGGCAGTGAGGCTGTGGTGAAGGTAAGAACATTTATTAAATCCAGAAGCTTGCACGCGAATTGAACACTGAGCTAACATTGGTCGATAGCGGTCCAAGCTGCGCAATTTCCTGATGCACTCGTTCCACCTGATCCTGAGGCTGATGACGCCGCCCAGGACTGCCACTGTCAAGGACACGCAGTGCGGGTTCAAGCTGTTCTCTCGCGCGACATTGCCTTACATCGTACCATACATGCATTCCGAAGGCTGGATCTTTGATGTCGAGATGCTCATGCTGGCGGAGTTTGCCAGCATCCCCGTGGCCGAGGTGCCGGTGGGGTGGAGGGAGGTCTTGGGAAGTAAATTGAACGTCATGCGTGATAGCATCGGCATGGCCTGGGGACTGGCCGTCCTGCGGGCGGCTTGGTCGCTGGGCATCTATAGACAGCGGTGAACTGTTTCAGCTGGCTAAAGCCGCCGATCCACTGGTTCATTGGTAATATTCGGGCGTTTTCCGGCGTCATATCTCACCGTGCTGCATGATATACTTGGGATATTCTCTCATACCCGCCTGATTGGGCACAGCAGGTAGTTCAATACAGTACAAACCAAAGCCCCACCGCATATCAATTTGTTTCCCGAGCCAAAACCTAAATCATCGCGACATTCTTCCGTTTTGATGGGTTTCGGCATCCGTTCCCGCGCGGTGGAACCACCAGGGGTTTCTTACATAGCGTTGGGTCCCACTCCCTTTCTGGCCAAGTCCGATCATACCGCATAGCTATCCATTGCCGCGTAGGTGGTATTGTGGCTGCCCTACTGATATCGTCATTTCGACCTTCATGGGAACTCTTCTCCGTCTTCGCGGCTGGTGTATCCACAGTCCCACTGGTCCCTGGCCGTCTCCAAGCAGCTCTAGTTTCTTTGGTGGCTATAATATGCTCTTGACCGGCCGTTCTGGACTAGGATCTGTAAGAGTGCATATGCCTAGCCAAGTAGGTAGATGAAGCTGAGCGCGGCTGGATACAAGCTAACGGGGTCGGCTATTTAACTCCGTCGTTTGAGGCTTTGGAGCTTTTATTCTCTTATCTCGCAGCCGAGTAAATCACAAATAATTAGTTCAAATAAGACTCTGAGCTGGGATGCTGATACTGTGGACTGGAATGGAAGGGGTTGTCGATCAGATGTTGCCCAGACTGTAAAGCATTGCATGACAGGCAGGGTGACACCCCCGTCTCATTAAAAACAGGGACCTTGTCCTCCATGCGAACGCCCTTGGTCTAGTTTGTATCTTCTTCTCGACTACAAGGAATCGTCATTCTTAAATCGGAACAAAACACGCAAGATCTTGACCAGACTCTTCACTCAACAAAGTGAGCCTCTTGAACAAGATGGTACGGTGCGATAGCCAACACTATACAGCTGGCCCTTCTCGCATCCAATATAGTCATCAAACAGCAATCGGATCAGAGAGTAGCTTGGTCAATAGCTCGACTTCTCTGAGCAGTCAATCAACCAAGCCATCGGTTTTCTTACGGCTACCGACAGAGATCCGGCTCCGAATCTACGAATGGGCATTATCTGCCCCCAATGACTACGTCGACAGGCCTCTGATTGTAGTCGACGATCGCGGCAATATCTCCTCACGAACTCGATATCAAAATATGTCCATGTGTCCAAGCCGGACTGGCGAGGACGGTACGGCGCGCAAGCTCCTCGCCGTCAGTCATCAAATCCACGATGAAGCAGAGGACTTCCTATATTCACATAATACACTCTTCTTCCGGCACGCTTTCGACCTTGACCGGCTGGGGGAGTTCCTGGATACGTTGAGCAGCACGGCGCGCAAGCACATCCGCAGCGTCGGCTTCGAGGTGTTTTTCTTCGTGCACGCCGAGCCGGGTGTGCCCAAGCGCACTTTCAAGCAGTATGAAAGAGCAGGCACCCTGCTCCGCTCGAGACTCCCTCAATGGAGCAGTGTCCTCTTCTACCTCGACCCTTACTTCTACTACCCACCCAATTCCGTGGGCGGGCGAGATTCGGCTTCTCGCGGTGTGATGAATCTAGCTGCGCGGTTTGGGGCCTTGTGCAGAGAGGTCATTTTCTATCCACTGCCTTTTATACAACAGGCGCAGCAGCTTGTTGTTCGCAGCAGCTCCCCGGACAGAAGCACTTCGAGGAGTCACAGCTTGGGCAGATCGGATTCTGCAGGCCATTTCCTGCAGAAGTAGGTGGCTGTCAGTATGCATGGACTGATGTCTTCAATGGGATTGTGATCGTGGTATCATCGATCTTGTGTCCGGCGTTGGTTTCCATTTTGAGACAAATCCTCCGTTTTACTGCATGCCACTTGATATTTCATGGTTCTCCATGTTTATAGGACTTTGGCAATTTGCGATTTGCGTTGTCTAGACCTAAAAAGCCGGATCTAATTCTAATTTAAAGATACATACCCTTAGGAAGTACACATCTAAGCCTTCAGTGGGTTCCGTCGTTACGCGGAACAAGAACCATCATGCAATCACAATAGTATAGAGGTCGGCCCCAATGTTTATCGTGCAACCCAAGAAGCATCTGATACTCGGCATTTGAATACGAGTCCCTAAAGGGGTCTAACCCCGGCAATAAAAACAAAGAATCTCAGAACTCGACACCATTCAGCCAATACCAAGCCGCAACTCAAGCACCTGGCAGGTCGTGACCGCCTATGACATCACTCGGTATCTTATCAACAACCCCAAGCTCCAAGGGAGCTTCAAACTGTCTTCTACAACAACTATCCTTTCAGAAAAGACAATGGCCTTTCCGCTCCTCTCCCCTCTCCGACTCGGCCTAGGCCTCGGAATCGGCATATCCACCGCAACTCTCCATCCCTTCTCGCCCTTCCGCGCTACCCCCATCCAGTGCCAATACACCGCGCCCTACTACCGCCCCGAATCTCCGGCTAATGCTGAGACGGGATGGGCCGTCGGTCCCAATGATCCCCTTTTGCAAAAGCAGGGCCATTCTGGGCAGGCTCGAGCAAGCTTTTTGACTCCGGGGAATATGAAGCAGGTCAGCCTGGGGAGCGTCCTTGGTTTGGTCGCTGGTGTAGGGTTGAGGGCGTTTTCGAGGGTTTTGGTGGTTGTTATTGGAATGAGTGTTGTTTTAATTGAGGTGAGATTTTTTCGATCTGGGTTGTTGAGTTACGTACTGACAGATGATACATACAGTGGGCTGCCTCCAAGGGCTATAACATTCTCCCTTTGCACCGGATTCAAAAGTATTTCAAGAGTGTCGACGTCCGTCGGGCTGTCTCTGAGCACCGGCCCTTCAAGATGAGTTTCGGGGCTATGATGGCACTTGCGGCGTTTGCGCAGTTCTGAAAAGCATGTCTTTTGGGTGGAACGCTATTTGTACATATAGATCCCCAGCTGCAGCCTCCTTTTAAGTGCTACCAGGAACTGCCACTGCGAATTGGTGGTTTTTATATTTCATACAGGGGTATCATATCATCTGCGATCTAGTCACAACTATAACCAAACGTTGAAGGGACGCTTCATCCCAGCACCAGATCTTCCAACACGCCCTCCATCTCATCGCGAGACAGCGGCACACCTAGGATCTCCATGCCGCTAGGATCCATGCGCGAGGTGATCATCTGGTGGTCATGGAACTCCTTCAGCAAAGTGCGGAACATCATCTCAGAAGATGCAATGAATTCCTCCGTTGCCTTTTGGTATAGCAAACGGAATTCAATGCCATTCTCTTCTCCATTCTTAGCGCCGTCGCCTGCCGTTTCATCGTCGGACTGGTGACCGTCGTCCATCACGGAGAAAAGCTCTGTTAGCAACAGACGGTACAGGTTGCGTGCGTTCTCGGGAAGACTTTTAAGCACGAAGCCGACACCTTCTTTGCCGCCCACACGACGGCCTTTACGGCCGAGTAAAGCGTGCACTTCTTCCACCACGTCTGTCTCGACTGCAAATGGTGAAAAGGTCGTGCTGTCGTGGAAGACCAGATTGAACTGGTCCCGCAGACTGATGTCCCACATCAGTGGGAAGTTGGGCGTATCTGCTGTGAGAAGCAGGCGGATGCGCGGTGTAGCGGCCAGACGAGCGAGTAGAGCCTGGTTGACGGCACGCCGGAGTGGTGGAGCATCAACAGAGTTAATCAGGACTGTGACGGGTTCTTCGTTGGCCGGTCGAGCTTTGAGAGCTGATTGTAGAAGTTCCAGTACCTCTGTCGGTTGGGCGCCAAGCTTGGAGGGTGCATCATCGCCGAGGATGGCTGCCACAATAGTAGCAAAGATCGATCGAATAGAAATGCCGGGTGTGTAGCCATTGACGATGATTATGACTGGCGGCTTCGCGGGTGCCGAGAGATGGTACAGCCAACCTGCAAACTCATCGACGAGCTTGCGCTTCGAGCCATATCCAAAGAGGCACACGTTGAATCCTTCCTCGAACTCGAAATACCATTGCGGGAATGACCGGTGGTGCAACGAGAGCAGATATTCCTTCTCCTTTCTGCATGGGTCCACGAATTGGCCCATTTTATCGAAATACTCTTCGTGTGTCAATAAGGGAACCTTGTTCAGAGTCGTGTTGGAAGTCCTGGTTGGACCCGCGCGGTTCTGGAAAAAATAGCGCTCGTGCGCTGGCAGTTCACCTTCTGGTGTCGGGGACCGCTTATTCCTAGCACCCTTTGGCCGACCGGCCCGGCGCTTGGGAGCTTTTGTATCTGATTTCGAGGTCTTCTCCTTATCGCCTCCTTCAACACTGTCTGCCAACTCCTCGCCAGCTTTATCCGCTTCGGGCCCATCTCCTTGTAGAATCTCCTCCGCAAGTTGCTCGGATCCATCCCAAGCATCATCTTCATCTTGTTCAAAAAGCACTCGCGCACTCTTCTTCTTCGCAGATCGGTCTGCATTCTTCAAGCGGCCCGGCGTAGCGGCATTCGGAGTCTTGGGCTTCGTGGGCGTGGCAAAGAGGTTCCGAGCCTTGGATTTGTGGGTAGGCGTCTTCAGCCCGGATTCCTTCAATGGCGTTGCAGCAATTCCATTGGCCTTTTTTGGAGTGGATTGACCGTGTGGTGTAGGAGGAAGCTCGTAGGGGGCATCGCTGTTCGGGGCCTGGCCGTTCAGGGCGCCATTGGCCTGCACGAGGGCCGTCCGTAGCCGCTTTGGGGTCGATACGGGGTGGTCATTTTCCAGACCGGAATCTGACAGCTTGCGCTTCATGATGGGCGAGTCAGAGGACGTGAAGTGGTTGGAGTGACGACGGGGAAGGGAATCAACAATACCATTAGATCCGGATAATGTGCACAGGGACGACGCAAGGGGTTGGCTGGGGGCCGGGGGGAGATGTCTTTCAAGGGCTCTGAATCGAACTCGAGACAGCACTCGGCAGCAAGCGATCGACAACTGGAATGGGCTTGTTGACGGTTGGAATACAATGTTCGCGCAGGAGTGGAGTTTCGAGGTTGATAACAGCTTCTTTGCGGGTCCACGAGGTTTCTCCGACTCCGCTCAGCGCAGAAACAGCGCGCGCTTCGAACCCGAGGCATTTGGTCTCATTTTTTCACCACAAGGGGAGCCCTTCAATGATTGTAGGATTTATATATCTCAATCCCCGGTTATAACACTCGTAACCGTGGATGCGACCAGGTTCGTGTCATGTGAGCGTAGGAGAAACAATTGGAAATCCCATCGAGTCCTCTTTTTAAAGCTCTTCCTCTAGAACAATAACCTATTATATCTCCCGTTCATTTTCTGCCCATTTTATCATCTATAGCTCCCGTGGGTTCACGAGGCGCAATCGCTTGCCGAGTCGGGATCTCCGAGACCGGATATCTTTTTTCCTGCCCGTTTGGGGTAAGAAGTTGACTCACCTTATCAGATCTCTTTATACCCTCCACTCCTCCGCTCTTGTCTCTATGATTCAGACCTAACACCCTCCCAGCATGGTTTCCAATCCCCAGTCTGCCACAATGGCGGCTAGCTCCTTTGCCCGCATGCTCAAGGGCCAGGTACGATGCTACTCCGCACCATTGGACATGACCATTCCGGCCTCCAAGCAGCGCTACATTCCCACGAGCGGCACTTACCCCCAAGGCTTCCTGGTATCCGGTACTCATGTCGGTGTCAAGGCATCAAACACTCGTTATCCTGATCTTGCCCTCATTGCGTCCGAAACGCCTTGCTCCGCGGCCGCGGTCTTCACCACCAACAAGTTCCAGGCTGCGCCGGTACAGGTGAGCCGGCAGACATTGCAGAGTCGCAAGGGAGAGGGTATCCGAGCTGTGGTGATCAACTCTGGCTGTGCCAATGCTGTTACTGGCAAGGGCGGTCTCGAAGATGCCCTACAGATGGGCCGGACGGTGGACGAATGCAGCGGCGTCGAGAAGGATAGCTCGCTGGTGATGAGCACCGGTGTCATTGGACAGCGGTGAGCGACCTCTTGCAAGAATGGTATATTTCGACCAATATGTACTAATTGATACGACAGCCTTCCCATCAGCAAGATCCTTGACCGCATTCCTACCGCATACGCCGACCTTGACTCGACGCACGATGCCTGGCTGAGGACTGCCCGCGCCATCTGCACCACCGACACATTCCCTAAGCTTATCTCTCGCACGTTCACTCTGCCCTCCTCCCCGGACCGCACCTATCGCTTGGCCGGTATGACGAAGGGCGCAGGCATGATCCACCCGAACATGGCCACACTGCTGGGTGTTGTGTGCACCGACGCAAACGTCGAGCCCGCCGCTCTGCAGTCGATCCTCAAGCATTCCGTGAATCGCTCTTTCAACTCGATCTCCATTGACGGTGACACCAGCACCAACGACACTATTGCAGTCCTGGCCAACGGAGCTGCCGGCGGCGAGACCGTTCGCGCGCCTTCTGGTGCCGAAGCCAGTGCGGACTACCAGGCGCTGCAAACCGTGTTCACCGACTTTACACAAGAGCTTTCGCAGCTTGTCGTCCGTGACGGCGAGGGTGCGACCAAGTTCGTCACCGTGCGTGTGCGCAACTCTCCCGACTACGAGTCTGCCCGTCTGATTGCCTCGACCATTGCCCGCTCTCCTCTCGTCAAGACCGCTCTGTATGGAAAGGATGCCAACTGGGGCCGTATCCTCTGCGCCGTAGGCTACACCCAGGGTTTGCGCGATGGCACCGTCGTTCCCGACCGTACGTCCGTTAGCTTCCGCCCTGTTGATGGCAGTCCGATCCTGAAGTTGCTGGTCAACGGTGAGCCCGAGACTGTTGATGAGGAGCGTGCCAGCGCGATCCTGCAGAGTGAGGATCTGGAGATCGAGGTTGACCTCGGTGGTGGTGAGAAGGGCGCCGCCGGTTGCGGTGGTGAGGACGCCGTGTACTGGTTCTGCGATTTCAGCCACGAGTACGTGACCATCAACGGTGACTACCGTACTTAAAAATGCATATACGGGGGTTTCAGCGAACAATCAGATTCAAGGAATAGAAAAATGAAAGCGGGTTGATCTTCTTTGAACTTGCACATGCGTAGTGGATTTATGCAATAGGTAGAATAACGGGCAGAATAACGGGCCAAATAACGTCTCGCTGAATGTCTAAAGCAATGAGAGTAGAAAACTGTCTTCAAATTTTGGTTATGAGACAGTACTATCCTTCTCTGGGAAATGGTGGTTAAATCTAGTTTTGCAGATACCTGCCATAGTCGTGGTGGACAAATAAGTCGCTGGTGGAGAGTAATATATAACTACACATTGACTAGATCCCCCAAGAGCGATAGCTTCCCGGGCTTCTCCTAGTCGATGATTATTCGTCAGTACATGGCAAATGAAACGATATATGTCAGAGATGACTCGGCCAGAGATGTACTCAACCTTCCAAGGTTCTGTCGGTGCAAACCTTGGAAACGCGGGGAAGCTTCCCGTGACTTTAGCTTGTAATTTGAGGCTGGGTTTTGACGACTGCGAGATGATTTCATCGATCACTCCATCTTATATTTGACTTGCATCTACAATCCAGAGCCCGATGATAAGATATCTGGTCACATTCTACCACCCGAGGTAAGCGCGGGGGAGTCTCGAGGGAAATCCCGGGGTGACATTCACCTCCCCTTGACGTCATCTGCATCATACGAATGCGATCGGGTCCCTGGGCGGTTCCTTTCACAATTACCAAGTGTTTGCAACCCTCATTTATATCTCGCCTGAACACGTCAAGTCCGCTTGTGGAGATTGCGGCCAAACCTCGGTTCCACAGGGCCCATAATCCACTCAACCGCGCACAGGAACCTCTCCACCTGCGGGGACTTTTTGCTCCTTGGACACCGCATCTGAAGCTGCCCAACCTACACACCTTCAGGACTCCTGGCCAACTGTCCATGCACGCGTGGCTTTGGACAGCGAAACTGGTCGGAGGTTTTTTGAGGGATCCCGCATGAACTGGGCTGCGCTTAGCTGGTGTATCGAATGGCCTGCCCCTGTTCTCTATATTATCCCATCATTTTTGACCGCCTCGTGTATGTTCGCTACTGCAGCTCCACCGAGTTGTGTGGCGTGCCCTGCTTGATCGACCCTCACTGACTATGGCCTGGATTAATCTCTAGAACAAATTAGCGAGCTACGCGTTTTTCCGGCCTCGAGCTGTGTTGGTTCCCTCCAAGCGACCTGTTCATTCTGCCTCGGTATATTCTTTCGTTGAACAGACCCGCTTTCCCCTCTCGACGCTCACGACCGGACACCGCTTGGTATTTGTGTCTGGCGAAACTCGAGTAACAGCGTTTGTCATAGCCATGAAGTCCGCCACGAGGTTGCCAGAGGGCCACGGAAGCGTCTACAAAGAAGTGCGCTTCTCGCCGACCTCGACACCCCTCCGCCGCACACAATCGCTTTCGGGCAGCACACCCTCGAAGCGATCGAACTACCAACCGAGACCCATCTCAAATATCCCCGAAGAAAATGGTTTTGTCCTGGACACCTCCCATTCCACCTACATAGCCCAATCGCAAAAGCTTCTTGAGAAGCAGCGGGTGCATTATGAGGGCGAGAGGGAGCTCTTTGCTCATGAAAGACGGCTGTGGGAGCAAGAACGGTCAATTTTGAGGGCTAAGATTGCAGAATTGGAGTCGTCGTTGAAAAGCACGAGGAATCAGACCGGTGTATCCGGGTCTTCTGCTAAGCCCATGTTTGGAACACCGCAGTCCCAAGGGTCCAGTGACTATCATTTGGCCCAAGTGTGGGAGGGCTCAAGTCCAGGAGGTCGGCCGACGAGGGTATTCCGCGACGAAGAAATCCCAGACAACACTCACCTGGTGCCGATTACCGATGTCCCTCCGTCCCTTGATGCGGCTCTGTCACCTCAATCACGGGCGGTTGATGCCACGGGTGCGACCGTCAGCGTCCCCGTGCCGATCGAGAAGCTTGACAGCCGGCTAGACGGTATCACCCTCAAGTCCACCGCATTGCCGCCGGGGGTTGTTGCCCGTGTTATTACCCCGCCGTCGCCGTCGCCCCTGGAAACGTCCCCTGCCTCTGGCCCCTCGGCACCGGCAAGGCCGGAGATGGAACATCGAAACAGTCTCAAATTGAAGCTGTCAGAACTCCCTCCGCCCAATGTAAGACTCCTCAAGGATGCGGGCCACACTCCGATGGCGATCATCGAGCCCGACGGGAGCCAACGGTCCACCAAGGAGGCTTCTCCCGTGGAGGATCCCCCGTACAACCAGGAGGAAGCCCCTCTTGCCCCCGTGGTCACTCAGATTCGTCAGCCGCCAGAGATCTCCGAGTCGTATTTCCCCCACTTGCCCGACGATCCCGCCTTGAAGGGGCCCTTGGGTCTTACCAACGACGAGGCACATGACAATAGTTTCCTGAGTGAACTCGACCAGAAACTCCAGGACCAGGCCCTCCTTAGCCAAGCCAAGCGGGCCCTATCCCCCTCCACAGAATCAATCGATCCCAATGAGCCTGATTCGGACCCCCCTAAACAGGGTGAGCAAGAACCGGAATTCAGGTTTAGGAAGTCGACCAATTTTGGTACAGCCTTTGGACTATCGAATATCGGCCAAATGTGAATATGACCCCCATTTTCCCCACATATACACATTTAAGTTTGTGATCTATACACATTGGCGTTTGACTTTATCTTTTTGATTTTCTTCAGGATTGCACTTTATTTGCGATCTACTTTGTGTCTAGCAGAGACGCCTCATGACGTGATGAGATATCCAGACTATGTTGCAATCAATTTTGTTTCTACTTTGTTTCTACTTGGTTTCATCCGTCCTGTCTTCGTTTCTAGGGTGATGCCCCTCTGTTTGCATGGAGGGGATCCAGGCTCCGAAATTTCATGTCATATCTGCCGGTGCTTTTTTTACATTGAAGTTCCTTGCGTGTGATGTGTCAAACCTAGAAGGTCCACTGAACCTCATCGCACCAATCGAGACTGTCGCCCTACCGGCACCTCCTGCGATGGGGCGATCTTCCGTGTAAGAACCCCTCGATCCCTTGCATGGGATGTGCAATCTTCCCTGGTTCAGCCACGTGCGGTTCGCTTTCTCCGCGCTACTCACACAGACAGGAGGGCCCGGATCCAAGCCCCGACTGCAGTCATTGCAGGTACGACCGCTCGGATGGCTCGGGCTCTCGGTCTCTCGGGCTCGTGCATAAGGTTGACATGTACGAAGTATATGCCTAAGGACCTGCATGTCATGTATGGCCCCGGCACACAATAACGCCATGTCCCATACACCAAATCAGGGGCCTCGGCCTCGTCCCCAAAAGATGACCTCTCATCTATTTCCCATGTCTTGACGGTTCTTGGCTCTTCTCCTTTGAAACCTTGCTGATCGTGGCCCTTTGTGGCGTTGAGTTAGAAAAAGCCACCAAGGGCTAGTTTGTAGCCTTGCAGGGAGCCTGGTTCCTGTCTGGCCCTTGGCTCTCCCCGAACCCCCTCGGATGCTTGGCCTCGCCTTCCAAAAAACTACATAAAGGCCATGGATTTCAGTCCAGACTCTCTTCTTCATTATCATTCATTCGACAATCAGAGTCTCCAACAGTCAATCTTTTTTCTGTCTTCTCTCGGAGCTCGCTCCTCAAATCATTCTTTCAATCTTCCAGTTAACCACTCTTTAATATCTCCCCGGATTCACTCCTTCGAGCTCTATACTCCACCAAACACAATGCCTTCCAACACTTTCTCCATCTCGGCCGCTCTGTGCCTCGCTCTGGCCATTGGTCCCGCTTCCGTCGTTGCTGCTCCCCAGCTGGTAAGTACCGAGCCACATGGATTGCCCTTGCACCCTAGACATCATCCGAACTAACACGGCACTCCAGAACGGCCTTCCTCTCCTTGGTGGTGACAACACCAACGCTGCCCCCGCCAATGGCAACAGCGAGCAAGACGCTGGTGCCGGCTACGACGTCGGTATCCCCGGTGGCCCCGGAGTCCACTACGGCGCTGGTGTCCACAGCGAGCACCACGGCCCCTGCGGCCCCGGCCCTAGCGGCGAGAAGGACGCCGGCGCCGGTTTCGCCGTTGGCATTCCCGGCGGCCCTGGAGTTCGCTTCGGTGCCGGTACCCATGACCAGTACGAGGCCGTGCCGTGCCCAGAGCCCATCGCTGAGCCCACCACTACCACCTACGTTCAAGTGATGATCCCTCCTACCTACACCACTCCCATCGTGATCCCTACGGCCACCCCTGCTCCGGCCTACGTGCCTCCGACTGTCGTTCCTGTCCAATCGAAGCCCCTGATCCCCCACCCTGCGCCTGCGCCTACGGCTTCGGCTATGCCCTCGCCTTCGCCTTCCGCTAAGCCGGTTTTCAACGCCGGCTCAGCTCTGGCCCCGAGCTCGCTCGTGGCCGTTGCTCTTCCTATCATCCTCGGCATTTTCTACTAGACATGCCACTAAAGCGGTGAGGTGATCACAGGTCCGTTCGGACATGACTCGGCCAGTCGGATCCATCTACAGTGTATCTTTGATCTGTACTTGTGTATTTTTTTTCGACCTGTCTACTCTTTTCTTCTGTTCCATGTTATTTTAATGGCCACTATTCTGGTGTGCCACATCCAGATATCCTGTATCTCGGCTGATATATGAGAGGCCGCTTGTCGTCTATTGTAATGTTTATCTGTTCTTGGGGTTTCTTGGTGATGGGAGTACGGGCGTGCGAGACACTTTCCGTACTATTCTATAAATGGACTGTTATTTTCCTGGTTAATCATTTGAATTACATTGTAATTGGTAAACTTCCTACAGATTCCCATCTACAGTGGATAAACAGATCTACAGCGAATAAACAGATCTGCAGTGGACAGCAACGGGTCCTGCATATGCAGAAGCACAGGGATCAGTGACTTAATAATTTAGTAATCTCGTGGCTTTCCCAAAAAACCCAAATTTGATCGGTGGAGATGGCGATCTCCCGTCAGACTGGGCCCCCGGGCCTCGTTGACGCGAGGGATTTGTTTACGACGTTACTTCGATAGTTCGATCTGCGGTATGTGATGCATCACCGGGAGAGTTGGATGAAAAACCAAAAAAAAAAAGCAAGAAACGGATGTCTTTGCGCTTGCAGCATAGGCTGCGTAATAATATCGACCAGATAAGTGGCAAAAAAGGGCAAAAAAAGATGGAAATAAAGGAATTAGGTCGTTGTCCAGCAAATCATCAACGCCAAGTCAGGTCATGTCATGCATATCACGTATCCCAGACAACCATGTCCGTCCTCCTGCCTGAGCCCCGTTCGACTGAGCCTGGAATGGGACATCCAGGAGGGAAAGAAGGCTAGGGCTAGAATCAGACTGCCTTGCATCCATTCCATTATACTCCCATCGTAAAGTCATGCTCAATACCAGGTGTGACGCTGGCAATGAACTTCAAAAACACCACCAAGTACTGATCCACACGAATGGCAACCTGCTCTTCCTCATCGGCCTGAAGAACCTCCCACTCGTCTCCAGATTGCCCCTGCTGGTGCTCTCCGAGAGACAGGCCTTTTGTATCTTCGACTAGTCCCTCAAGCCCCCTGTTTCCACCAGCTTGCAAAACACGGTTGGCCTCCTCGCGCGACTGTGACTTCTTCAACTTGTCCCGCCGCAGCTTGAGTGCCGCATCGGCGCGGTCGAGTAGCGTTTTCATGACTGAGGCGTGGCGGCATGGGTGAACAGTGGCCATCTTTACGTTGCCGTCAAACCAAGGGAAATCTTCTAGTGTCACGGTCTTGTCTTTGTAGTCGCCCACGATATCCTCCATCATCAGATGCGGGGGAAGTGGCTCCGATGGGGATAGGTATCCGGATAGATAGAGACGGGGTGTGCGGTAAAAGTTCGAGTATGTGATGTACAGTGTATAAGTTCGCAGAGGCCTAGGTGTTGGAGTCGTGTCAGGAAAGATACAGATAGATGAAGAAAGAAGGATAAAGGTATACTCACTGGGTGGTCCCTGAATGAACAGCCGGTTCGCGAATAATGGCTTCCTCGTCATCGTCATCATCTTCCATATCGGGGATTTCCTCGTCTTCTTCCTGCTCGCCCAAGTTCCCTGATTCGTCGACGGTCCGTACATCGCGGATGCGTGCGTCCTGCTGATCCCGGTCGGCGACGAGATCGCGACCTCCTCCCGTTCTTAGCCAGCCGTCATCGCCATCAGTACCTGCAGCGCCCCCAGCGCCTTCGGCACCCTCAGCGGAGAGCATATCCCGGACGATCTCATCTTCGTGGTCCGCATCACCAGCAAAGTTATCGTTCAGCCGTCGGTGACAGGGGACTCCACGGGTGACGAGAAACTGCTTGCCAGCAGGCAGATAGGAGACACGCTTTGCGGGGCTGGATGCGTCGGCCCAGGACCATGTGGGAAACTTGTAGACGAGGTAGTCGCCTGCCAAGACGAACTCCTCGGGGGTGATCTGGCCGGTGGCACGGAAAGTGGATGTACGAGAGACGGGTGCCAAACGGTCTCGCCACGTTGATAGAGTAGAATGTAGGATATTCATTGCGTTTGTGTTCGATGTAAGAATCAAAGAGTTGGGATACTTGAAGGTGGGGTGGACGTCTTGATAAGCGGTGGAGCACATGATCGGCCCCGCGTGAGCTCATCGCCTTCCAAACATCACCCTGCACCTGATTCAGGTCTTCGGCTCTGGTTTGAGTCTGCAGATCAGATATTCGTGGCTTTGCAAGTGACCAGGTCGTGACTAAGTAGCCACTTGCGAACCTTTGTCAACCAGCTATGACCGGCCTCCCAGCCGCATTATGGGTTTATAGAGTCGGGATCTTTCCTCTCCGATGTTCGGTCCCGACAATATCCAGGACTTGATGTCCAGTACTGTAACAGTTCAGATCCTTCTCAGGCTCATTCCCCCTCTTGCATCATCCGTCGTCGTTCTATCTCCGCTTCCACCTCATCTACCACCATGGGAATCGCCTTGTTCCTCCACCGTTCCGTCTCTGCCCGCACGAAGCCTTCTGTACTCCTCATACCCACGACCAAAAATCCAAGTTCTTCACGATCAACATCAAAGACCTCCCACCATTCCCCGTCCACCAACTTTACCCCTTCTTCACGCGTTGCGAGGTAAATAGCTGCCACGGCCAAGGCATTGGGCTGATGTGTTATGTAAAGTAGCTGGGGCGATAGTAGAGCGGCGTTCAGGTGTTCAATAACTCGACGTGCGACGGCGGGCCTTGTCGCACCCAGGGTTTGCAGGTAGGTGAGAGCAATGGTGTGTGGGAGGGCAACGTGTGTGTCGAAGCCGAGTGTTCGGAGGATGATTGATTCGATGCGAAAGAGCACCAACCGGGCGGACTGGTAGCCGCCCTCAGAGAGAATATAGGACTCTGCCGCGGGAGGCTGCGCGGGTGCCCCGCGGGGGTTCACAAACCATAGCGGGGAAGACTCTTTGGAGAGAAGGAAGGTGTAAACGTTCAGGACGGATCGTGGTGAGGTGGGCTGGAAAGAGAGCTTGGCTGTCAGGTAGAGTGAGGCAGCCGAGACATCCTAAATGATGATTTAGTAAGGAGCTAGGCCGACCGAGAAACACGCCTGGAGCGTACGTACCTTGGCCGAGTAAATCCGTAAGCTTCCTCCGTCCGCTCCCAGCCAGAAGCGTGCAAAGATCACGATCGCCTGGGCGATGATGTCCTGTGACAGACGAAGAAGAACGCCGGCTGCCTGTGTAAGCTGGGCACCGGCACAGCGGATTGATGTTTCTAGGTCTGAAGGTACGCCGTCAATTGCCGAAGAGGAATTAGAGAGCTGATCGGGGGTGGCGAGCGCATTGGACAAGTGCTTGAGACCGGGGTTGGTGGGGGCCATGATGTCGAGGATTTGCAGATTTGCAGATTTGCAGCTTTACAGCTTTGCAGGGAACGTGCAACGATGACGCGCAGCTCGTGCAGCAGCTCTAGATCAACGTCCCGCGAATTGCAAAGATAGGACGAAGAGAAGAGTGGTGGAGACGCGGGATCGGAGTTCAGCCACCGCTATTTCATACTTTGGGACTTCCCCAGCCTCTCGTTTATTTACTCGCCCCAAAAGCAAAACCCTCCCAAATCTCAAGTGAAACACGTATGATTGAACCGTGCTCTTCCGATCTTGATCTATCTGTCACCTGGCACTGTTTCGTCTTCGTGATCGCCCCTAAACATCCTTCCTCTCTCGACCTCCCTAAAAGTGTCAACCCCCAAATATACTCAAAAGGCTACACGTTGCACGTTACACACTACCCACGCCACATTGCATCTGATTTGACGTGGCATTCGAATCTTGTCGACCGTTCTGTCGACCTTCTCTCCCAAATATGTCCCCCGGTCTCTCCCAAACCTCGAACTCCCTACATTCCGATGCCTCGCAGGGGCCCCACGAGACCGTTGCCTCGCCCCCAAAGTCAACGAGCCCTGTGATCTCATCTGAGAACCAATCTACCATATTACCTTCGCACCGTCGAGCAAACACCGAATACGTTGCTCGGCCCCCTATTTTTGAAGAAAACTACGATTACCCCCGCGATCGGGACAACCCCCCCGAACCCCTCCTGGACAGACACATTCCCCAAAAAGAAGTTCGAAGCCAGGGCAAGGATCCTGTCGGACTGGTTCCAAGGCAGATCAGATCCGGTTGACTTGGGAATCTTCTTGCGCTCTGACAGCCATCGAATTCCGGACGAGATGGATACGCCTCGTCTCACCGCTGCACCCTCACATACTCGAGTGAACTCCGTCCCGGGGACGGGCCGGTTCTCCTTTTTTGGCCTGCGACGGCAGGCTGAGCAGAAGCCAAGTCTCCCTGAGCCGGCAGATGACGAGTTCTTAAACCTCGACATCTCTGTTGCCTTGTCAGTACCTACTTGTCCAGACGCCACTAGCGAGCAAACACTCGATGCTTTGCGAGAACAAGCCACCGGCGTCCTACAACGCATGCAAGATGCCTATAAACAAAGGACCTTTGTCATGCACCAGGCCCTGGCAGACCGAAACGAGAAGAATAGCGAGCTTGAGGAGACACGTGCTCGGGTGGATCACTTGAAGATGCAGCTGGATGGTATGGCTGCCAAGGTGCTGGAGCAGGAGAAAGCCATGCAGGCCATGGCCGAAGAACTCCGGCAGGAGAGACGGCTGCGACAGAAAGAGGAGTCTCGCAGCCGCAGCCGGAGCCGTACTATGTGTGCTATCCCTCCGGAGGATGACATTCCATCTCTTGTGCTCCAAACTCCCCGCCGAGGCGGCAAGCGTACAAGCCACGGCACTCTCACCAGCGATTCCGGCTTTGAGTCTGGAGATGAGAGTATCGCCGACAGCGTCTTCTCGCAACGAGAAGGTGTCGAGTCTCCCACATCTACGTTGACCGCGTCGTCGCCCAACCTCTCGCAGGTTGCTCTTTCAATGCCGTCCGTTACTCCAACACCGACACCGACCATTCAAAAGAACCTAGTTGCTGTCACGAGTTCGCCGACGCCGACGCGTCCGTCGACATATGACCGAGTCATGAAAGGTCTCGCCTCAACCCGTCTCGGTAGTTCTTTCACGAACACCGGCAATTCGAACCAGTGTGGCAATTGTCATGGTGTTCCTGCCTCGGAGGCCTGGAGTGTCATGGGCGTGCTCAAGGATGAGAACCGGGGCCTCAAGACGCGCCTAGGAGAGTTGGAGCTGGTAATCGATGACTGCCTGGGCCTCGTTGGTCCTTGAGCCAGACTCGGAGCAGCACCGTTTTGATTTTGGGACTTTGGTGATCGAGTATCTCGCAGAGACCTTGTCTATATAGAGAAGCAATATGGCGTTGGCTTAGCCTACGGGTCTATTACGAAGTGATAGGGAGCCAAGGAGTACTTGATGCAATAATATGGGGTTTTTAATGATCTCGATTGCTGTTGCGAAGCTTCGTGTAGACCCTGGCCCTGTTAGTGTGGGGATAAGCTCGGGGCCCTCTTTGCCGGGGTGAACACGTTGCGCTGTAGAACCGGCTCGAACAGGGACAAAAAGAACGTAGCAGTAGACATCTGATGAAACAGAACAAATTGTCGAATTCTCCAGTCGCTACTGGCGCGCGTTGAGTGACGGCGGTGGTGCAGACGTGTTTGCGGCGAAGACCAAGTGGCCTTAATTAGCGCGGAAGCGAAAAGTGGCCAGCGAGCCTCTTCCCTCTTTCTCTTCCTCCCCCCAATCTCTCTCCGACTTCCTTTCTCCCCCTTCTCCTTTTCCTTTCTTTCCCCGATTCTCGATCACTTTCCGCTCTTTCTGCTGGTCTTAGTTCCAGCTTCCTCTATCTCATTTTCGACGGATTGGAGGGAAATCAGTCACCATGAGCGGCCGTGAGTTTCACCCCCCAGCCATCCAGCACGCGATCGTTACAACCCCCCGAATCGATCCCAATGGAGTCGTGGATATTGACGGAGGATTTTAGTTCGCTTTCTTGACTTGATCAAGCCCTTTACGCCCCTCCTCCCGGAGGTGGCAGCTCCCGAGACCAAGGTGCCCTTCAACCAGAAGTTGATGTGGACGGGTGTATGTGGCCCTCAATTCCCTTCGCAGACTTGACATGGATCCTAATCAAACATTTTTTGCAGTTGACTCTCCTCATTTTCTTGGTCATGAGCCAGATGCCCCTGTACGGTATCGTGTCCTCCGACACCTCCGACCCCCTGTACTGGCTGCGAATGATGCTGGCCAGTAACCGGGGTACCCTGATGGAGTTGGGTATCACCCCCATCATCTCTTCCGGCATGGTCTTCCAGGTATGTCTCTGCGAATCAATTGAGCATTCCGCGAGGCGATTAAGCTGACTGGTGACTTCCCCTATAGCTCCTTGCCGGTACCCATCTCATCGATGTCAACCTTGACCTCAAGACCGACCGCGAGCTGTACCAGACTGCTCAGAAGCTCTTCGCCATCATTCTCTCCTTCGGTCAGGCCTGTGTCTACGTCCTGACTGGTCTTTACGGCCAGCCCAGCGACCTCGGTGCCGGTATCTGCGTTCTCCTGATCGTCCAGCTGGTTGTGGCGGGTCTGGTGGTCATTCTGCTGGACGAGCTTCTGCAGAAGGGCTACGGTCTCGGCAGCGGTATCTCGCTCTTCATTGCGACCAACATCTGCGAGTCCATTGTCTGGAAGGCCTTCTCTCCCACCACCATCAACACCGGCCGTGGCCCCGAGTTCGAGGGTGCCATCATCGCCCTGTTCCACCTGCTCCTGACCTGGCCCGACAAGCAGCGTGCCCTCTATGAGGCTTTCTACCGTCAGAACCTGCCCAACGTTATGAACCTGCTGGCCACTCTCCTGGTCTTCGCTGCCGTGATCTACCTGCAGGGCTTCCGCGTTGAGATCCCCGTCAAGTCCGCCCGCCAGCGTGGCATGCGTGGTTCCTACCCCGTTCGTCTCTTCTACACCTCGAACATGCCCATCATGCTGCAGTCCGCTCTGTCCTCCAACGTCTTCCTGATCAGTCAGATGCTGTACTCGCGCTTCTCGGACAACCTGCTCGTGAAGCTCCTGGGAGTCTGGGAGCCCCGTGAGGGCTCTGCCCAGCTCTTCGCCTCGTCGGGTATCGCGTACTACATGTCGCCCCCTCTGAACTTCAAGGAGGCTCTCCTTGACCCTATCCACACCGCTGTCTACATTGCCTTCATGTTGGTTGCCTGCGCTCTCTTCTCCAAGACCTGGATTGAGGTTTCCGGCTCCGCTCCCCGTGACGTTGCCAAGCAGCTCAAGGACCAGGGTCTCGTCATGTCCGGTCACCGTGAGCAGAGCATGTACAAGGAGCTCAAGCGTGTGATCCCCACCGCTGCCGCCTTCGGTGGGGCCTGCATTGGTGGTCTCTCCGTCGCTTCCGACCTTCTCGGTGCCCTTGGCAGCGGAACCGGTATCCTCCTTGCCGTGACGTAAGTTTCCCCAGCATCATTATCTCCTCGGGAGATCTTTTGACTAACGTTCTCACAGTATCATCTACGGCTACTTCGAAATTGCCGCCCGCGAGGGTGACATTGGCGCAGGCCTCAAGGGTCTCGTCCCCGGCAGCTAAATGACCAGACCGCTGCATTTTTCTTATGAGCAGTATGACGATGGACTATCTTAGTCCTTCGTGTTTCTGTTTGTTTTTGTCTTTTTAATTGCCCGCTTTTTTTTTTATACTATTTTGGGGAGAATGCATTGGGTGAGTCGGCGAGACTGGTGCTAGTTGGAGCACGGAGGAAGTGGCCAGTCGAAAGCGCCTTCGGGCCTGTAACCATATTCTAAAAGACCAAATGAGTTTATTGCCGTGACCGTTGGATGTGTACCTGTACCCTCTATAAGACGTAGGTCATGTCCCGATGAGTTCTGATCCCCCACGAGCGAGTCGGTACACGTTACACGATACGTGGGGCGTTACGGTCACGTACGGTCAGCAGCGCAGGCTCGGTATCCTCGGGTAACTCACACACCGGTTTCGCAGGCGGCGAGCTTAAATCGCAGCAAAGGGCCCCTGGGATTTCCCCATTCGCATGCTCTAATTGGCCGGAGGCCACGACCACCTTGGCGGGGAAAGTATTCCAAGGTTCTTTTTATCGCTGTTTGACTCAACTCCTAACTTTCTATTTTAACCTTGCCTTCCCTCCCCTCCCCTTCTCTCCTTCACCTTCTCCACTTGCATCCTCTTGTTCAATTCCCCACTCAAAATGGCTGCGCAAAACGGATCCTCCAACGACTTCACGGTCAAGGCCGGTCTGGCCCAGATGTTGAAAGGTGGTGTGATCATGGACGTCGTCAATGCGGAGCAGGTACGCTCTTGAACAAACCTCTGCGATAATGATGGCATCTCGCTGACAAGTGCGTTCTCTTCCACAGGCCCGCATTGCTGAGGAGGCCGGTGCCGCCGCCGTCATGGCTCTCGAGCGTGTTCCCGCTGATATCCGTGTCGAGGGTGGCGTCGCCCGTATGTCCGACCCCGGCATGATCAAGGAGATCATGGAGGCTGTCACTATTCCCGTCATGGCCAAGGCCCGCATTGGACACTTCGTTGAATGCCAGGTACGTGTTTCGAGAACCCCCGCCACCCGACCACCTCCGCGGGGCACGGAGGCTAATTTGCCCCGCCACCACAGATCCTCGAATCTATCGGCGTCGACTACATCGACGAGTCCGAAGTCCTGACCCCGGCCGACGATGTCTACCACGTCACCAAGTCTACCTTCAAGGTCCCCTTCGTCTGCGGATGCCGCAACCTGGGTGAGGCCCTCCGCCGTATCTCCGAGGGCGCCGCTATGATCCGCACCAAGGGTGAGGCCGGTACCGGCGACGTTGTTGAGGCCGTGAAGCACATGCGCACCGTTAACGCCCAGATTGCCCGTGCTCGCGGGATCCTCCAGTCTAGCCAGGACCCCGAGCCCGAGCTGCGCGCTTTCGCCCGTGAGCTCGAGGCTCCCTACGAGCTGGTCCGCGAGGCCGCCGAGAAGGGTCGTCTCCCCGTGGTCAACTTCGCGGCTGGTGGTGTCGCCACCCCCGCCGATGCGGCGCTGATGATGCAGCTGGGCTGCGACGGCGTTTTTGTCGGCTCTGGTATCTTCAAGTCTGGCGATGCTAAGAAGCGTGCGCGTGCTATTGTGCAGGCCGTGACCCACTTCAAGGACCCCAAGGTTCTTGCTCAGGTTAGCGAGGGACTGGGTGAGGCTATGGTTGGCATCAATGTTCAGAAGATGCCCGAGAGTGACAAGATGGCCGGACGTGGTTGGTAAATACCTCTTTTTATTCCTGTCATCATGGGTTAGAATCCGGGCCGGTTTAAAAACTTCTCTTGTACATGAGCCATGAACCGTTTGTCTTATTACTTGACAAATAATAAAAAATTTAGAGACGCTTAGCTTTGGACGGTTTGACGGGTTAAGAAGAGCTATCCACCTAGGTAGGTATAGGATAAAAAAATTCGAGACGGAGAAAAGCGGAGAAAAGCTATACTTGTCACCTGCATACACGCTCCCCACACGCGCAGCCAAGAACAGTCACCCACGAACATACCCGATTGGGAAGGCCATCCAACCCATCGAACTACTCAATTAGGCAACCGAGTCCATATCTCTAGAGATCCCGCCATGTTCTGCACAGACACGCCCTACGGGCGTAGATCAGAAAGCGTCAACCTGATAGGCCCTCCACACCGAACCGATCACCGAACGCTCTGGGGGAACCTCCGGACACAAAACTTCGCCATTGGAGCGCATCCTTTTCGCTTAGCCAATGGCCAATCGGTGATTTGCCTGCCTATCTTCGATCCCGTTGTGCTCCCGTTCCGTCACCGAGTCTACCCGTTGCGGATTTTGAGCTGTGGTATTGGTATGTACTAGTACATGTAAAGTACATTTTGCGTCGTGGTCACCCCACGGTGGGAAGGTGCGTGGGGTGGTAATATATAAGTATGGACGAATTGACCCGAGCCAATAGCGCTGCTCAATTTATTATATGCCATGGGACGAGCCACGATGAAAAAGGAGGCAAAGTGCTCTCTCTCTCTGTGTATGCATTGCTCTAATCTTGGAGCTCGTTACACCATCAGGTCCTATCACCTGGTCAAGAGCCTTCTGACTCCAAGGAGAACTTAATTACCGCGTACCCAGATTAATGTAAATACGGATTGACTCGGCCGAGAATTAGCATGCCTTGTAGCGAATGAAAGCTTGCCCTGGAAGAAAGGACTTGTATATGAAGGCCGTCCGTTCTACATATTCCATCCACAGCAGAGGGCATCTTTGATCTATACATGTCTACGGAGTATATCAAGTGGCATCTGTAAATTTGATTATTGCTGGCAAGTATGGCCGGGACAATCTGCCAAAAACCGAATAGTTAAGTCAAGGTCTATATCTGGATACAAAGAATACGAAGCCTCACGATGGAGATAAAAAGCAACGAAACGAGCCTCCCAGAAAAGAAAAAACGCCGACGCTAGCAGACCACTTAAAATCAGAGAAGATAGATCATTACACATCTGTGAAAGCCGCTGTCGAAAAACCCCTTGCAATCCGGCCCTTGGTGCGATCACGTTTCTGGTATACAATTTGGTCATGAGAAATTCTTGTTTGCCGAGTCACGACCGATGCCATTAACTGTCTTTCCAGTCACAGCAACAGAAGCATCTGCGGGTTTGTCGTCGAGGCTGGCGCCGGCGAGCTTCGCTTCCGTCGCGGCCAATTTTTCGGTCGTCTCATCCAAGCACTTCTTGAGGGCTTTGATGTAATCGATGGCCATCTCTACCGCACTCGCCTTGCTGATGGCTTGGTTGGAAGCCTTCTCTTTTTCCTTGTCGCCGGGCTTGATGCCGGTTATGGCGGCCTCCTTGGCCTGTCTCGCTTGAACGAAGTCTGGCGGTATCAGAGCCTCGATTTCTTTCAGAGCGCTATTAATTCGATTCCGGCGACCCTGCTCCGCAAGCTTATGGTTGGTGCGTTTGGAACTCAGATTTTCGGCCAGTGTCTCGGGGTAGGAGACGCCCGAGGGCAAAGTGCCGTCGAGGATATGCTGGTAATTAGACTTCGAAGCCAAATAAAGCGCATCTTGCGACATATCTGAAACAAGATTGTTAGCATTGGCCGTCTGAGCAATACGAGGCAAAGGAAAAAGGCGGGGGGGTGGGGAAGAAAAGAAGAAGGGAAGAGGGAGAGGCTGCGACTCACTGTCACCACTTCGCATTAACGGCTGAATGCTTGGGCTGATCTTCGGTCGCAACTGGGGACTCGCCTGCGTGGAGCTCACGCTAGGTCGTTTCCGACTGGATACTGAGGATCTGGACAGATCCGATCTCTTCGGGACCGGACCACTGGGAGATGGCATAGCCACCGTGCGCGGGCTCATCGCAATGGATGCGGGCGTTCTTTCTGCGGCGGATCGAGGCTCCAAGGACGGCGTCCCATGTGCAGATATGACGGGACTGGCTGTGCTGGTGCGGAAACTAGTTTCGATGCGATTGACCTTGGGGCGCGGTTGTACAGCCGGTGTTGCTGCCTCGGGAAGGCAGATGTCCTCCATGACCTCGTCATGTATCTCTAGCTGCGCCTGGCCGGTGAATTGACCCAAGGGATCCCGCGCATGCTGTGAGCGCTGAATGCGCATCAGAGTCGCCGGAGTGGCAGCTGTACCAGGCGACTGGGCAACATGCGGAGTGAGGGCTGGAGACTGGCGCGGGGGTGGAAGTGCCGGGGGTGGCATCAGCGGTTCGGACAAGGGTTCGGGCGAGACGGAATCCTGGCCAGAGCCTTCATTGCTGCTGACCTGGAGGGAGCGCACATCGTTGTTTTGCGGCTTGCTCAACTCTTCCGTCAGACTGTTGTAGAACTCTTCCGAGTTAGGCATCGGCTTCCCCTTGTTACGCTGGGTCTGTGCTCGAAGAGAAGGTGATTGTTTGACCTTACTCCGACCGGGGAGTCGAGAGGCAGTCGAAGTTTGCCGACGATTCGGCTTGCGAATGATGCTGGGAGATGGGGGAGCCGAAGTCCCTGGGAGTTGGTTCACCTCGGGGTGCGTATGTACAAAGCCCACGTCTGATATCTGTCTTGCGTGGAATGGGTAGCCGTTGTTGGAGTTGCCGGCATTTTGTGCTTCCAGCGCGGGAGACGTGAGAGGTGTGAAATATTCTCCGGGGACGGTATATTCAGGAACTCGGAACTGATTCTCCAGCGGAGTCATTGCGGGAGAAACGAGCGGAGTGTATAGCGCCTGGAAAAAAAAGGGTGAGTGGGCATTCACGAGGGAATCGAACTAGAAACGTTTGAACGTACCTGTTCTTCATTGATGCGCGAATATCGATCATATATCTCCGCGTTCTCGTCGACTTGTTGCGAGTAACGGGCGGCATTTCCGTGCAACTCCATACTATTTGGTGTCGGGGGAATCATGGGCTGACCCTGCATATAGTGGTGATTCGCAGACTGCTGCGACGAATCCTGAGCACAATAGCCCGGGGTCATACCGGGGGTAGAGTAGGACAAGCCGTGCGACTGCACGGCGCCATGGCCGCCGAAGTCCATAGCGAGGCCCTCGATCGGAGTTGAGTACTGATGAGATTGCGATCGGTGATCGGAGGGGATGGCCGACTCGGGGGCAGTGGTGGTTGGAGGCCCCATCGCGTGTTGCTGCTCCTGCAGCTGGGAATGTGCTGGTCCGTGCCCCTCGAGGTCGGCAAAATGCATATTGAATTCGAGGAAGTTGGAGAATTCATCTTCGCCGGACGCCGTGATGAGCGAATTCTCATGAATCTGCTCCGGCCAAGACATGGCCGTCTGTTGCTCCATGGTCGGTTTTTTGTCGTTTCTGTCTCGGTGCAAGCCAATCGGACCGGAAAGGAGGGGGAAGGTCTGAGAGCTGAAGGCCGGGAAGCGAATTTAAACGCCTTGACGCGGCATCTGCGAGCGAGAGGGATTCAGGGGAGGAAGAGAAGAGGGGGAAGCCTGAACCAGAGAAAAGCAGAACCGAGAAGTCGAGGGTGGAGAGGTTCCAGTGTCTTCGGGCGGAGACGGTCGCCTGTACAAATGGAATCTTACCCGGTGGCTAGACTTCGCTTTTTTTTTCCCCTCGCGCTAGATGCGCCTGTAATGCGAACCGATGAAGGAAATCGAGAATTCGCCACTCCACCTCGAAACGTCTCCTGGTCAGGGTCAATATCACCGTGTCTTATGTAGTCGTACCCGGCAAAATCCAAGACCCCAAATTCCCACTTTTCCAATCCAAATCCACTTTTCAACCCTCGAGATCTAACTTATTGGCTCAACCCGTTTATAATGCACCTTGGACCGAGCTTTCGGTGGCACCCGTCTAAACCGTCCAAACCGTCGTGAACCCCAAACCGACCTCCAACCTTCCACGCTAAGGAGCCACCTCTACATCACACCACACCTCCACGATGCGCCTCTTCCTGGCAGCGTGGCTCTGCCACCTGGCCGCCGCTTCATTGACTGTATCCATTCCTCCGTCCACCCTCCTCCCTAATCCGCATTCTCTCCCCGCAAACACCCATGCCACTCTCACCACCAAGGATCGCGTCTTAACCGCCTCCCTCACCCGCTCGTCAACCCTGGTCTTCTCCGATGTTCCCTCGACCGGTCCTAGCTCCTACCTTCTCGATATCCGCTCCGGCGAATGGGTCTTTGCTCCCTATCGCGTCGACGTGGCCGCCGATGGAACCGTGCTCGGGGTCTGGGAAACTTTCCGAGGCAACCCGTGGGATAATCGCGGTGCGGAGAAATACGTCGTTGATGTTGTGGGGCAGACAAAGACCGACGTCGTGATTGAAGCCAAGGTCGTCGGCCGCAAAGGGTTCTACGAGGAACGTGCCAAATGTGAGTCTTTTTCCAAGCCAAGACGCTGTGTCGGGTTGCGCTCACATCTATAGTCTCGCCGTTGAGTCTCGTCAAGAACCCGATGATCTTGCTTGCCATTGTCGCTCTGGGAATCACCCTAGGCATGCCCAAGTTGATGGAAAACAGTGGGTTCCTTTGATTTCCCTTTTGGACGATCGTATCTGACAGGTTGTAGTGGACCCTGAAATGCGCGCCGAGTTCGAGCAGCACTCCCGTTCATCCCCGATCACGGGTGCTACGAACAGCGCCATGGCCGGGGGTGGGTTTGATCTGGCCGGGTGGATGGCTGGCACCTCGCCTGGTCCCATGGCCGATGCCGATGCGGCCCGTGGTGGTGCAACAGGCCGGGATACCAGTGGTGCCTCTCGGCGGCGAGGCTAATTTGATAGCATGATACTGCAAAAAGTATTGGTATGATTCGTGCTACAGCTGGAGATGGCTGTAGGTTGAATTCGACGTTGTATTACCTCGGCCCTCTCTCCTCGATCTCGAGATTATCTTGATCGACACCTCCACTTGGCAGTAGTTGCTTACAAGTCCAAGCGACGGGGGCCTTTAGTGAAAATTATACCAATGTGCAACTCGATCATTTCTTAAAAGACATCTAAGTTTCGAGTAAGCCTTCCAAGCAAAGATACCAAATATAAACAAGTATTCCCGTGGAAAAATATCATAGCAGTCCATATCGCAGCAATTGAAAGCCCAGACCCGAGGACCTTTCCGAAAGTACAGAGCGTCAGCTCAAACCGAGCGAGCAGAGAAAACCACCAGTCATCAGCATAAAGAACGACACGAGCAAAGTATCAGCAGGTTTAGAAACCGCCTCCGCCGAAATCACCACCACCGAAATCACCACCACCACCACCATCATCCCAACCACCACCCCCTCCGTCATAACCGCCATTGTCATAACCGCCATTGTCATAATTGTTATGATCTCCCATATCTTCTACCGCATCGGCAAGCAGCAACCCACCGAGTAAGCCTCCACCCACGCCTAGAGCGGCTGCACCGGCAGTTCCCATACCACCCGATTTTCTTGGAGGTTGTTGCTGCGGATAGTAGCCCCCCTGCGACGGATATCCTCCGTATCCTGGTGCGGGGTAGCCGTATCCGGGTTGCGGAGGTGGTTGCTGGGGGTAGCCACCATAGTATCCACCGGGCTGCTGTTGAGGATATGAAGCGTACTGGGGTCTCGGTGGACGTGAGCTGCTTCCAGAGCTCTTGCCCATCAGTTTGCTGAGAAATCCGCCCTTGCTTCGTTTCTGCTCCGGCATGGGACTCTGTGAAGAGGGACCGGGAGAATATCCGCCACCGATTGACTGCGGCCGCGACGGATCGCTATAGTAGTCCGCTGCGGCACCGGGCGTAGGACCCCTGCTGCCTGTGCGCGCATCTTCTTCGGCCTGAAGTTTGGCTGCAAGTCGTGCGTCTTCGTCCATCATATTTGGACTGGCACGGTTCTGCGAGGCATTTGCGGGGTTATACGGGTTGTTCGATGCCATGGACTGCTTTTTGTCGCCCGCGCCTGCTGCTACCGCTGGGTCGGCGGGGCCCGATTGTGACGAGGTGTATGATGGTGGCGGCTGGCTCGGGGGAGGACCGTCAGCATCCTGCGGCGGTTCCCATTGTGATTTCCCCGATGCAATATTGACGTAGAACCTGGGAAGTCAGATTTCAGCTCTTAGTGGGGAGCCAAAGGGGAGCCTACCATGTCTGATATCTTTCGTCATATTGCGCCTTCCAGCCCTCCGGAACCGATGGCGGGGGAGGGCCAGACGGCGGGTTGAAGGATGACATGAACGTCGCTGGTTTGAAGGACTTTGAGAGGAGATGTATCAAGGAAGGAGGGGCGTAAGCAAGAGAAGACTGAAAGAGGGGAAAGACGGAAGCCAAGCGAACCAAGTATTCCCAGGACCCGTAGGTATATATACTACTAAAGCCATCCCTACGATACTCGGCCTGAGGCATAAGCAACGCAATTAGGCCCTGCGCCACGGTGGCGCAGGGGCTGTGACATCATCCGACGTGGGCATCAGGCCGGCTTTCGCCTGAGGTACAGAGCTTATGTCTTCATTCTTGTGTCTTCTTGAACCTGCATCCGGATCAGAGGAATTCGTTTGCAATGGAAATGGAATCTTCGGTCATGGTAACAACTATGATACAACCGTAACACCCCATAGTTAACGTACATTGTTCGCTGAAGCCTACAATACAGAAATGAAACAAAGAAATCAACAGGCAGAACTCCATGCTCCGATGCTCTATAACAGCAATGAAGAGGTATCAGAAAATCAAAATCTCGGACTGGCCATTGGGACCTAGTCAAAGTTCGGATCAACGCTTCCGCTGTCGGGATAGTAATAGTCATCTTCGAGGTTATCCGACAACTTATCCGGACGATCAAGGTCGAAAGCCTCCAAGCACTCGAGGTCATTGGGGCCATTTTCGGGACCCGAATCTTGAGTCAAGTCAACAGGATTGGTGTCGGTGATCACTCGTGAGCACTGCCCTGACTCTATCTTTCGTCTCTTATAGCCATGCGGTGCAGACATAGACCGACGCTTAGCTGTGCTGCCGTTGTTGTCAATGCTGAGGCCGCGTTCGTGCTTGATCCGGACCTTCTTCGGGTTAGAAACTGCCACGGAACGAGTCTTGCCAGAATTTCGAATCTTGGCAAGGGCAAAGTGCCGGCGAATATCCCTTCTGGCCTGGTCGTCAAGGCCCTTCCGATGCTTGACCTTGGGACCATCAAACTGTCGTAGTTGGTATTCATCAAGCAATGGAACCTCGCTAACTTTCCTAAGCGGAGTGCTTTCGGGCAGATTACGAGCCCACCGGGCGAACGGGCCTATGTAATTAGGCCCTTGAACGGCTCCATATTTTCGATGCATTGTGAGCTGACCGGAGCTTAAGAGGTCGTTGGCCAGACTGATTCCGTCCTCGCCATTGGACGGAGGCTTTGGCGGGGGGGCATGGTTGAATTCGAAATCGGTGACATCGGGGTCTGCGCAAGGACCAGATGATAATACGTGGATGCCGCCCCCATAGTCGCCAATTAGGAGGTGGGACTTGTCTTCAGAGAAAGCCCCGCTGACAATATCATGCCCAAACTTTGCCGTATTAGCCACCAGTGCATCTTCAGGAGACCGGCGGATGTCCCACTGTTTTAGACAACAATCGGAGCCGCCAGTATACAATTGGTCCATTGAGCCACCCCACAGGGCTACCTTCACACCGAAATCCGACATTTCTCGATCATAGTCATGGCGGAGGGGAGTGGAGGAACTGCCGTGCTGGAGTTTGTGCAGAATTCGACCAGGATTCCGATTATCCCAGACGTAGGTGCTTCCATCCGTGCAACTTGCCGTGACATATGCGGTACTCATGGGGCAGAGTGTCACCTCATTGATATCAAGAGCAGGACAAGGAAATTCAGTAGTCGCAGTGAATCTGTCGCCTGTTACTTCATACTCGTAGATACGGACCACTGAGCGGTATCCACGTGGAAGCTTCGTGGACGAACTGACTCCCGGGGTGCTAGCGGTCACAAATCTCGACATGGACGGATGCCATTTGATGTCGAAAATGTTCTGCGAGTCAGGACTCAGTTTGCGACTCGTTATCTCGGACTCTTCTACCTTCCACAATCCGAGATGGCCATAAAGGGGGACGGAGAAATGATCTTGAGACGGTCCCGCCATCCCTCCGACGAGGAAGCGTCTCGTCACCGCATTCTGTCCCCATGTCAGAGTCGTTGGCGTGAGCTTGATATTGGTTTTTTGAAGTGAACTCCGTTGGATGTCCAAACGAACAGGGGTTGGTTCCTGGTCAGTCCCAAGATTCCACAACTCAAATTCTTGAGCGCCTGTCGCAACGAGATCAGGCATCCAGTTTGACAGAGCCATCACCACAACATTACTTTCATGCGTTAAGGTTCGAATGCAAGAAGCTCTCGGAGAAGCCTGAACGTCCCAAATTTTCACTGTGCGGTCGTAGCTCGCAGAGTATAGTCGATCTCCAACCCACTGGACAGCAACCACGCTCGAGAAAAGACGAGTATCTGTGGCACTGACAGAAGCTGGGCGAGGAGTCCAGTGGTCTGGGAGCTCATCTAAAGAATTGTGCACAAGGTCGCCTAGGATCAAATTTTTTCCACGATTGTACTCGTCAGAATGAGTAGTAGCACCCGCGGCGAAGCGGGTTCCTTCCGGTGACCAGGTCAGGGTGTTCACGTCGTTCGACGCTCCTTTCCACGACTTCCACACCTTGAGGTTGGAGCTCGCGGCTGCTCGGATTTGGCTGTGAGGCTTTTTGCCATGTATCTCGCGAGTTTGTAATAGCCTTCGAACATCGGTGGCAGTATGTAAGGGACCACTCTCAGTCTGAACAGGTGCCGAAGATAAATCTGCAACAATCGGCATTGTATGAGAAACACGGGTGGTGGAGTCTTCTTCTGATCCACCCGCAATGACTACCAGGTCTTTTTCGAGTCCATCTTTATCAAGCCCTGACAAGGTGCGGAGATTGTAGGTCACTGGATCCTTTCTAGGCCGACTAGAGCGACGCGTAGTCGTCATTGATGCATGTGGTTCCGGAGACCTCGAAGAGCTAGGCGACGATTTATACACCGAGGGCGAGATGCGTAATTGCGTACGCATAGGCATTGCCGAGCTTTCGCTGGGATTTTTCCTCGATGTGGATGTCGAGGTCGAGGTCGAAGTCGAGGCCGAGGCCGACACCGTTTGCCCTGTAGATTCTGGAGTCTGTGTCCTTCTGTCCACTCTGGTCTTGTTTGCATTCGAGAGGGTGACATTTTTCCTGAGGCTTGCTTGCCGATTGGGCTCCTTAGGCTGGGGAGGCGAGGGAGCCGGGGAGCTGTGAGTTGACGTGATTCGATGATTTGGAGGTGGAGGGTTTGTAGGAGTCTTCCTGGGGGGTATAATTTGGACTGTGCGCTTGGTTTGCCAACCGTCATGAGTCGGTCCCGGCATAAACATCGTATGCCCATGAGTGACTGGTCCAGACTGACCCTTTGGCCGTGAGCATTGAGTAAATTGAGCTAACAATCGCTCAGCCTCCTGCACGGTAGCATCGTAGTCTAGCTCATTCTCAAAATGCAGCCCAGCAGCCGGGCTCCTGCTGTCTGGGTAAAAGGACGAACTAGACATGATGTGATCTGGTCATCAAGTCTGTCAGTCTTGAAGCGATATGAAGATAGGAGAATCACCATTCGCCATACAAGAGGTAGGCTCAAATCCGATACATGACATCAAACGAAGACCTCATCACACCAGCGAATCATTGTAAGCCTTTCGTGTGATTTGAAGGGCAGTCGTGTTCCCAAGCACCGAGCAAGCAACCTATCACATCATCACCATGATCCCTCGATCTGCTGAAGAGGCTCTTATGGATATCCGATAGTTTTCACTGACAGCAAGTAGAACTTGTGTTTTTCAGTGGGAGAGAACCCGGGCGATATGGAACGAAATCCGGGGTGGTATCAAGATGATCGAGATCAGGCGCGATAAGCAGGGAGAAGGGATCGGAGGTAGTACTGTTATTGATTGTCAGTAGGAGATAAGAGATGGGTCAAAAATTGCATACATCAAAGCTTTTCGAGAATGTTTTTAGGGAAGACAAGAAGCGATCTTGCAAAGATTGGCATGTCGCGAAACACGCGCGCCTCGTGCGGGGCGGTGAACGCCACGAGCGACCGCCGCGTTAATGGAGACCCAGGCACAATTCAAGTTTGTTTGAAAAATCCGGGATCAAGGTGGAGCACCTGAGTGTTTCGATAGTCTGTATCCATGCCATGGGGCCTACAATCCTACAATCGGGCTATTTGGCATCGTGTTTCTATATCGTGAGCCCATCCAGCAGCGGGTCCATTCGGTGTACTTCCCATCGAGTGTAATTCAAGTAAGCTCAATGTAATTTAACAATTCCTATTAAAAAAAAGAGTATGGTATATGTACAGTTTCGGCTCAGATCTCCAATAGACAGTGTCAAATAGCACCCAAATGTGCCCAAAAAAACAATCAACTGTCTATTGTCACGACGGTGATCAGCGAGAAGCCGGTGTCCTCTGTGGTTGCGGCTCCCTGAAAAGTTGCACCATTTAGAGGGGAAGTGCCCGTGCACAACAGAGATAATCTCGAACGAACGACGCAAGCTACTTTCACTTGCGGATAGTGTTCTTCTTGCGCATTGAGATCATCATATCATACAGCACATCCTTGAAGGCAAAGAGGAATGCGGCAGTAATGGCACTCTGGGTCACCTTCGGCCCAATTCCTGAACAAAGTAAGCCTGTGCGCTATGCTATCTTGCCACATCTCCAAGAGGCAACTTACCCTTGTACAGTCCCGTCCATCCCTCTTCCCGAATGATTCTCTTGAGGCTGCCATTCAGGCTCTCCTTGGGACCACCTTTGCTAGCCACGTGCATCCGGCTCTTGATAGTAATGTAGGGATAGGTGATGCTGGTGGCCAAAATTTTCCCGAGAGCACCCAGGTAGAAGGCATCCTTGGGCGTCATCCGGCGGCGGCGCTCGACAACGTTTTTCAGCTGCTCAAAGATGGTATACTGTAGGATTGGGTTGATCACCAGGATCAGCGCCGGGAGAACACCGGCGAACAAACCTTTGGGGCCCTCCTGTCGCAGCAAATCCATCAGAGTGCTGAGGGTGGATGCCTTGGCCTTCTTGGTGGCCCCGGGCAGGGTCTGTTCCTCCGACTCGGACCGGCGAGCCGTCATGCGAGTGTTGATGACCCAGATGGGGTTGGTGATCAGCACCGTCGCACTGCCAGCAATCGCACCTGCAATCATGGACTCGACCGTCGTGAGCTTCTTTGAGGCCCGGCCAGCCTGAGTGGCCGCCTTCTCAAAAGTTGACCGGGTCCACTCATACCAGTAATAATACACGAAGTTGGTGACGCTGATGCCGAACAGGGCCGATTCCAAACCCGAATAGAGTCCAGAGATGCCCTCTCGCTGGACAATACGACGGACTGCGTCCAGGGTGGTAGAGTGGGCCCTCTTGGACTCGACCTGGGCTCTCGTCGATAGAGTGATCAGAGGGTATCTGTGAAGTGGATCTTAGCATTGTTGGCCCACGGGGAAGAACGTGGGGAGGAGTACGTCAAAACCATCGACAGGATTCCACCTCCGGCACCCGCCAGCGCGTGCGCGATGTTGTCACTCTGTTGAACGGCCGTGGAGGCCGCTGGTTTCTGCTGCTCACGTTGAGACATGATGAAGGCGGGGAAGGTTACAGGAGCTTGGGCGGCGGTTGGGGATCAAGAAAATAAGATCAGGAAACCGAAAGGAGCGGATGAGGTTGAAGAAAAAGGTTCAGGAGACAGGGCGCGATAATGAATCGGCTGGGTATGGGGCATGAGCCATTGGGGGGGGAAAGAGAGGTTCATGACGTTTTGCCGAGTTGCTTCGTGCCTCGGCTCCGGCGCATCTCCACTGGGGAACATTCCGACTTACTCGGGCGACACGACATATGAGCATCGATCGTTTTTCCCTCCCGGGTCCACTGGACGCGGTCGGGTTTGACTTGAGGGCTTGATCTCAATTCTTCGAAGATCAGTTGATTCTTGCATGTGATTCACTCGTTCCTGGATTCAACACGGGCCTTGCTTCACAGGGGCTTCATGTTCCCCGTGTAATTTCCACGGTCAGGGTAGTGCACCAATATATTTTCTACAGACGATAGGGATGTTCCTCTCCCCGAGCTTTTACGTAGGATTGTGATGACACAGGAGAATTCATCTCCTACAGAATAAAAAAGAAATTACAAGTTCTCGCCATTAATTCATTCAGAAACGAGATGAATCCAACCTACAAGAAAAAAAAAACCAAGAGAGAATGAAAGGTCCTAGAAATATGCGACCAGGATAACAAAAAGAGAGAGAAAACACCGGCGATAATTACGAAGCAAAACGGGGAACGACACAAGGCAGGGCCGTCTAAAGCACAGGGAAGAGAGAAGAAAAAGGGCTCCGGGTGGCACTCGCGAAACGAATGGGAAACCCCGTCGAGTCCTCGGCCGTCTGGGCTCTGCCGACTAAAGGGCATGACAAGCCTGGACGATGAGATGCCGCGCCTAGAGAACCCTTATGATGTAACATTGCGCCAAATGGAAGCATCGTTCTGGGTCGAAGTCGTCTAGCAGCAGCCGCCCGCGGAGCCGGACTGGACGCCCTGACCCTGCCCAACCTGCACGGTAGGCTTGTTGTTGACGGTGGCCGTTCCCATGCGCTCCTTGATCTGTCGTGCCATTGTCAGGAAAGCCTGCTCGACGTTGGACGCGTTCTTGGCCGAGGTCTCGAGGAAGGGGATTCCCAGGCTATCGGCGAACTCCTACAGGATTTCACGACGCATTAGCAACCCAAAATTCAAAGATTCCATAGACAAATGATCCCGCAGCGGAAGCAAGCGGTTGTCAAGAAAGTTCGGTGCCTACCTTCGCCACGGTGTACTCGACCACCTTCTTGTCCTCCATATCGCTCTTGTTGCCGACGAGCAGCTTGTTGACGCCCTCGGTGGCATATCGGTCAATCTCCTGAAGCCACTGCTTGACGTTGTTGAAGGAGTCCATGTCGGTGACATCGTACACCACGCAGATGCCGTGGGCACCACGGTAGTAGGACGATGTGATGGTGCGGAATCGTTCCTGGCCAGCAGTGTCCCACTGTAATCCGGGCATTAGCCAAGTTTCCATCACCGCCACATCTTCGTGAGCAAACGTACAATCTGAAGTTTCACGGTCTTGCCGTCGAGTTCGATAGTGCGGATTTTCTGCGGCATGTGCGTCAGCATAACATTCCGGCTCATAGCCCCGCGGATTCGATGTCAACGTACGAAGTCAACACCGATAGTCGAAATGTAGCTTTCCGTGTAGGTGTCATCGGCAAAACGGAGCAACAGGCAAGACTTTCCAACACCGGAGTCTCCGATGAGGAGGAGCTTGAAGAGGTAATCGTATCTATTTAGGTTAGGTAAGACAGATCGGCGACACGAAGTGGCCACGACAGAGGACCAGCGGAACCAGGGATACTCTAGGAATGAGAACCGCGTCAGTCGGGGTTTCCAAGTAAAAAGACAAGCTCCGAGGGAAAGCTCTGAGAGCCTAAAAAGCGGAGAGGGAGACGAGAGAACGAGAGAAAGAGAGAACGAGAGAACGGAGACGAGAGGGTTTAGCGTTAGGAAGGCTAAGACTTACCACTCTGGATTCATGATGGAGGAGCGAAAAGGGCAGCGAGATCAGCGGTGAGAACGAGAATATAGCGAAGAGAAAGCGGCGATGGAAGAGCGAAGACGGAGTTGTCGGTGGAGGGGACTGTGATGAACGCCTGAAATGATAGGAGGTGCAGGAGGGCAGAAGCACCTGATGCGCAGCCTTGTTTCACTCTCTCCGCCACCGCCTTTGGCTTCAATTTATTTTGGCGTGGTTTGGATTTTGTGTTTGGATTTCATGTTTCTTCTTAATTCTGACGCTGACGTTGATCCATACTCTACTAAAATGGTTCTGAAACGTGATGGTATTCTTTTCGATAATATCCCATGAGAGTCTCATTCCCCCGTGGCAGCTGATCTACTATACCTACGGACCTAGTCATCAGTCTCGTACTCTGCCCGGACGAGATGATCCTCTCTGGCTCATTTTCTTCTTTTTTTCAGACCTTTTTTAAAAAGAAACCCCCCCCCCCCCCCCCCCTTGTTAGCCGCTCACGCATAGCCATGAGCCTGCAGCCATTCCAAAACCAAAGCCTCGTCGCGATCCTTGTAAGATGCGTTGGTTCGGATGTTGTCGGACACGATGACCAGAGCTCGAGCATAGGCCCCTGTATTCTTACTTTTGAAGAAGCTTGCGATGTCCTCGCCAATCTTGTGGTCAGCAAACTTGGACAGGCCCATGCGGACGAACCGTTCGAATACCACGTTGTTGGACGAGAGATGGCCTTCCACCGAGGCCCAGTTCGTCTTCATGTACTCCCACAAAAGGTGCCGCGCCTTGGAGTTGGCAGCCAAGGACACCGCGCCGCTGTGGGTATCCTGAATGGCCACATTGTCCGAAAAGACAAAGTCCAAGTAGTCCTGTACCAGAACTGGGTCCTTGGTGCGACCCATGGCAGCCAGGCAGATCTCCTTACCGTCCACCGAGTCTGTTCGGAGGTATTCCTCCTTGACAGCCTGGTATTCCTTTTGACCACCCTCCGACACATTCAAGCTGAAGATCGCCGAACGAAGGTTGGTATGCACGGCACTCTTGTCTTGCCCAGTAGCCCAGAGGTCGAAGCGGCGTTTGGCTTCCGTGACGATGCTAAAACGTTCGTCAGCAGTGGTCGTCAATCGTCATAGAAAGTAGAACTCACCTTTCATGACCAGCATTTCCTGCCATCGCAATCAGAAGCTTGCGAAGCTGAACAGTAAGATAGTCCTCGTTGGGCTGGAACTCCCAGCCAATCTGCTCTGCAGCCGGAGCTACCAGATTCCGGGTGAACTTCTTCAGCCCCTCAGCAGCCTGCTCGTTCTGGGAGAAAACGGACCGGAGGCTGGCCAGCGATGACGACAACTGGGACCAGACACTGTGAAAACGAATGTTAGAGCTGATGGATGAATGGCGAGAGTGGCCAGATCAGGAATACTCACAGGTAGTTTTGCTCGCCCTTGAATCCTTCCAAAAGAGCCAACAAGGCCGGCGTGGTGCCTTCACCAGAAACCGCAAGAGCAGCTGCGTCTCCCACCAAGCCGATCTTGTCCTCCGTGCTCAGAAGGTCAAGGGACTGGCCCAACTTGACCAGACGTGCAGGTGGATAGTTCGTCCGATAAAAGCCAGACAAATCCTTATTGATCTTGTAGAAGCCATCCTCGCCAATACCGCTCACGGTATCAGATTTTTCAGTGAGAGCACGAGTATCTACAGTAGCCAGCTTTTGGCCTGATTTGATACCAAGAGGGATCCACCAGGTAGTCTCGTCCTCGTCGGGCTTTGCGTCTCCCGTAGACAAGAATCGGTTTTGGCGAACACTGACTTGACCAGGTTCCTCTGCCACGGTAACAACCGGGAACCCAATCTTGCGAATCCAAGGATCCTTGAGAAATCAAGGTCAGAAAATGATGCGGTTGAAGGAGACTAAATTATTCTGAACTCACCATGAAGCCGTGCACGTCCTGGCCAGACGACTTACTCAAAGCGGACCACAGGTCATTGGTAGTTGCGTTGCCTGGGCGAAAGTAACCATCAGCAATGTTGGTTGGTTGCAAATTCAAAGCGATTCTAACCGTATGCATGCGACTTGAGGTAGTCAGCGACTCCTCGAAGGAAAGTCTCTTGCCCAAGGTGGACACTCAGCATGCGAATGACCGAGCTTCCTTTCAGATAGCTGATATGGTCGAAGATCTGGTCCACCTCGAGAGCATTCCGGACGGGCACTTCAATGGGGTGGGATGCCCGCAGCGAGTCGAGATGGAATGCTTGTTGCACACCCTCAGCCTGTGACAATGTCAATGGTGATCTTGATGAAAGATTTTTTACCTCGAGAGTTGCGTACGACAAACTGAGACCAGACATTCCAATCTGTACACAATTGTTAGGACCTGCAAGAGCCAGGGTTACCAGAGTAGGTAACTCACCCGGATAGAAATGATCGACAGCCAGCCAACCGACCCAGGTTGCAAAACCTTCGTTCAGCCAAAGTTCGTTCCACCAGTCCATGGTCACGAGGTTACCAAACCACTGATGAGCCAGCTCTTTAATACGAGATGCGTCAGATTGAGAGACTAGAGGTCGAAAATGGAACGGAGGAATCTTACCGTGAGCTACCACATAGGCAATTCGGTTCTTATACCGATTGTCCGACTTTCCTTCATCAAAGAGAACAGCTGTCGTCCGGTAAGTCACCAGGCCCCAATTCTCCATAGCCCCCATAGCCTAAGCAGAAAGAAAGGATGAGCATAACCGAACGGTCCAAATCCAAGAAGGGCTTGTCTCTTACAAACTCATGCACGGCCAAGAGGTCTGCCTTGGGCAGCGGATACTCGATCTCAAAAATCTCGGAGAAGTAATCAACCGTCCGATGGGCACACTCCAGTGCGAAGCGAGCCTGGTCCTCCAGACCTCGCGTCGTGTAGACACGGACCGGAATACTCCTTCCTTGGTACTTACGCTGGGTCATGGCTTCAACGTACCCGAAGTCACCCACAGCCCAGGCCAGAAGCTGCACAGTAACACATCTTGTTAGTGCGGCCCTCACAAATCAGCTTGATTCATACTAACGTAGGTGCTCATCACGGGCGTCTTTTCAAAGGTAACGAATTTCAATCCGGCGTGGCTTCCAGCCCTTTCGGATTTAACGGGCATGTTGCTGAGCGCCGTCTGGCCTTTGGGGATCTCGATCTCGAAATCGAACGTGGCTTTCAGATTGGGCTCGTCGAAGCAAGGGAAGGCCCTGCGTGCGTCGCAAGACTCGAATTGAGTACTCAACATGTAGTGGAAGTCGCCTTCCTTCGGTGTGTCGGCGGCCGGCTCCCCCACGGGCTTATACTTGGACCGGTAGAAACCTGCCATAACGTTGTTCATGGTTCCGATGAAGTCGACCAAAAGCACAATATTCTCCGACGAGATTTCATGAGTGAACTTCAAAGAAACGCGCTCTGACTCCTTGTCATAGGTTATTTCGCTGGCCTTTGCGAGTCGAGTGCCTGGAGTCGTAAAGCAGCACCGTTAGTCAATCGTAATCTTGCATATGGCATGCTCGTTCGGTAACAAACCATCCTTGGCCAGTACTTCGGCAGACTGGACATTTATCTCTTTCGAGTTCATAACAATTTCTTTGGTGGGACGGGTGACCTTGGCGTCGATCTTCACCACGCCCTTGTATTCCCAGGAGCTACCGAGCTGTAAATCAAAGAGGGAGACATGGTAGTTGATGGGTTTGGCCCTGTTGCTTGGATGTCAGCTCACACTCCCCAAAAAGCTAGACAGGAGCCTCCGACAAGCAGGGGGCCACTCTCCGGTGAAGCATCACTCACACGTCAGGCAGAGTATCTCTGTCGGTTGACGCCATCATGCGAGCTTCAGCGGAACAGTGTCGAACGGGAGCAAAAGCAAAATGTAATCGAGGCGCAGGGATTGGAAATCGCGGGCGCGGTCGAGAGGATGAAGGGAATGAAGAGAAGAAGGAGGAGGAGGAGGGACAGAAGGAGGGGGAGGGGCGGAGAGCGACGGAGTGACGGGTTTGGACATTTACGGCGCGTCTCGTCGTTGCAATGGATCTTCTTCCCCACATCTGGGTTTTGGCACCACGGCTATCGACGGCTTACCGGCAGACCTTCCCGTTGGTTCTGGCGAGCTGGTCCTCTGGGGCGATTGTGAAAGCGACGAAGCAACAGGAAGTTTACACGCGGAGCTCCGTCGGAGCTTGGGCCCTGCTGCCGAGCAACCATCGATTTGGACCCGCACCGTTTTCTCATTCGACCTAGAACTCCATCTTGGCCTCCTACAACACCATGGCTGACTCGGATGAGGAATACGTGGGAGACGTGACCGAGGACGAGGACGATTTCCCGGTCGCCCGGAATGACCGAACTCGCTCCGGAAAGCGAAAGCAGCGCGGCGGCGCAGAGTGGGAGCTCTCCCGGACCTGGGAGACGCTAGTGGAGGGTGCCGATGGAACGATCAGCTCCACGGTCGAAGGACTACTTGAAGCCGGGAAGCGAAAGAGGTTAGTATACCGACCGGATTCGTGCCGTTCAGTCACTAACCATATCGCGAGGCAGGTTGTTGAAAGATACGACTCCTCTACAGCGCGGTATCATACGACATGTCATCCTGATCCTCGATCTTTCACAGTCCATGTCCGAGAAAGACCTGCGGCCCACGCGATACCTCTTGACTCTTCGATACGCTCAGGAGTTCGTGCGAGAATTCTTTGAGCAGAACCCCATCTCTCAACTCGGGGTCCTGGGCCTACGGGACGGTCTGGCACTTCGAGTAAGCGACATGAGCGGCAATCCGACAGAACATCTTGCGGCCATCCAGTCACTCAAGATCCAGGACCCGAAGGGCCTTCCCAGTCTCCAGAATGGTCTTGAAATGGCCCGAGGGGCCCTCTAGTACGTTCCTCCTATGCATGGTCCCGACGGTGTAGTCTTCCTTTTGTGATACTAACCTGCAACCACAGCCATACCCCCAGTCATGGTACCAGAGAAGTTCTGATCATCTTCGGGTCCCTCCTTTCTTCCGATCCCGGAGATATACATCAGACGATCAATACTTTGATTGGCGATAAGGTACGTGTCCGGATCGTCGGCCTCGCCGCCCAAGTGGCTATCTGTCGCGAACTGTGCACCAGAACGAATGGAGGCGATGAAACCGCATATGGAGTTGCACTGAACGAGCAACATTTCCGAGAATTGATGATGGACGTGACTACACCCCCGGCCTCGTATTCGCAGAAACAATCCGCAAGCTCATTGTTGATGATGGGGTTTCCCTCGCGTACCGTGGAGGTCCGCCCATCACTTTGCGCATGTCACTCAAAACCGTCCCGAGGAGGGTATTTGTGCTCGCGATGCGGCAGCAAAGTGTGTAGCCTGCCCGCGGAGTGCCCTTCCTGCGGCCTCACCCTTATCCTATCGACGCATCTTGCGCGCTCGTATCATCACCTGTTCCCTTTGATGAACTGGGTCGAGGTACCGTGGCGTCAAGCCTCACGAAGCTCCGCTTGTTTTGCTTGCGGGCTTCCTTTCCCGGCAGTGCCTTCCGAGGATCAATGGCAGGCCACCGAGAATCATGCCAAGGGAATGAGTGTAAGCAGTCGCTATGAATGCACGGCGTGCCATAACCACTTCTGCATTGATTGTGATCTGTTTGCGCACGAGGTCGTTCACAACTGTCCCGGTTGCCAGAGTAATAGCGCTCGGGCAATCCACAACGAATCAGGCAAGCCTGACGGAATGGATACAACCGTGTAGGGCACAAATACCTTTTTTTCTTTCTCTTCTTTCATGATTGCATGGGTCGGCGTCGGTCAGGGTCTCAAAACAAGAACGGTTGAGAAGGACCCCAGGGCTCGGGGTATTAATGTGCATTATATCCAAAGTATCCAAAATATTTACAACGTCAGAATATTCAGAGTATTTGGGAGTAAGAGAGTTTCATGACGGACTCTACCGTGGTAGCGCTGATCGCTCTGGGGGCCTCGGTTACTTACTTAGCTTCTTCGCCCCACGTTCTCCGCCGCATCGCTGGCGGCGCTGGCGGGACTCCTCTCGCAATCCCGTAAACCAACAATGGCACAACCCTCTCAGACCTTTCAGGCCTCAAACTCATTTGAGAAGCTGCAGTCATACTCGTTCCATACGGATCCTGAGTTTGCAAATGGCCTCGCTATTATCCTCGGCCATCCTGGCACCCCCGCCACTCAGGAGGAGATGAATCGCGAGGATGATCTCGTGTTACAAGCCAAGTGCTTTTTCTTCTCGCGGTACTGTGCCCTGCACTTTTGCTGCACTTTTTGCTAATGTTGATGCGTAGGAAAGAAAATCTCAACCCGCCAATTGATTTCGCCGCCTATAAATCCTGGTCCCTATCACGATCCGCAGGGGAGCCGAAAGCTACGGCAGTCTCGTCGCTAAAGCCAGACGAATCAGAATCGTCATCAGAAGCAAATGTCAGCGGAATTGAACCACCAATACTCCCGGAGCCCGCTTACCCGTCCTCGTTCGCTCACATCGTGGAGCTCATCACGACCGGGCAGCCCATCCCGGGGATTGAACAGATACCCGACACGGTTTTGACCGGACACGACACCGCGAGTGAGAAGCCTCGGCGACGGAAGCCATGGGAGCGGGATGACGCAGAGCTTTCACCCGGTGAAACTACCAACCAGGCTGCCTGAACGATGTCTCTTCCAGGAAGAAAAGCCTGAACAAAATGGTTTACGGGGACTGACATTCGGGGGAAAAGATCATGCAGGTTCTGGCTCAATAAGAATATTAACCTGTTGTAATTGACATAAAGGGGTCACGGACAATGCCGATGACCGAGTAGTATTATAGTGATGAATAACAGCCGTCAGAGGACAGAGCAAACAGGTGCGAGGGCAAAGCCAGCGGTAGATATTGCGGAGACGCATGGCATGTAGGTCATCGTGAGATCCAAAGCTCCGGAATGATCATCACTGAATAATTGCTCCGTACTTGAGTCAAAAAAGAGCTACCATCGCAACCAGAATGAGGTCCCGGTTTGTTCTTCGGACCATGCTCGTCATTGGAAGACACAAGGAACCCGGGATGCCCGAAGGTGGAAGAGGAGCAAGCCAAAGATAGATCGGCAGGCAAAAATAGCCTGTGAGATTGCATCTGCAGATATTAAGAAAAGCTGGCTGTTGGTGGGCCGACAGAGGTTCAGGTACCGACAGGTGAAGGTGAGGATAATCAATACAGATGATAATTTGTGGTGTGGCTTTTTTTGGTTTTCTTCTTCTTTTTTCTCCGTCTTGTTTCGAACATCTGGGTTGATGCAAACTCGCAAAATCGACATGGACGCCCCGGTAGATTCAACGGAACGGCGAGTAAGCAGGGCCCCATTGATTTCCTCGGTTGACGCGACCGCCGTTCTGTCCGCTTGATGGGAATCTTTCCTCATTGAAATGATTGAAACGACCAACTAACATGCCGGTTCCTGGTCCAGGGCGCGTGGCATGGGACGGGTTGCAACAGAGCATTGCGACGCGGGAGCCAAATTTAGACCCACGAAGAGAAACCATATGTTTCCTATGCACATAAACATTAGCCAAGGTATTCCATCCGAAAGACAGTGTAGGTGCCTGGTACCGAATATGACTGGCCACGACCTCACGCTGGTGAGCAGCGGCGTTCATCAAAATCCATTGAATCAGATAATTCCCATATTGATCTCCTGCGACTATTTCTCGATCAGCATGCTGTTTGACAGAAAAGAGCCCTGTGTTTAACATACTGTCAATCAGTGGCATTCGAGGTCGATCAGCGCGACCAGTACAAACTCGAGATAGATAGCGATCCAGGAACTCCGAGCCTCCGATTTTCAAGCATTTTTCGACGATCTTAGATGCAAATTGATCCATACTGTAGTCCACGGCAAAATGGAGAACATGCTCGACCGCGCGGCCTTTATCGTGAGGGGCGCCATGCTCACAAATATGCTGAATGCACCAGTTACCGAATTGGCCATGTGCAAGGACGTCCACCCTCCCCAGAACTTCTTCAATGGCGGGCCGCTTCTGGTTGTCAGCACTCCTTCGAGGTCAAATCCAGACCTCTGGTCAGGAAAGAGAATTGAAGTGCAGTATAGGGGTGGAAAATCTTGATTTCTCTCACCTTTTCTTCTTCCACGCAATTTTCAAAGATGTTTTGAACAACCAGGCTTCCGGTCTCGCCTTGGGCGACCTCATGCCACATTCCGCGCAACGCCTCGTTCACCTTAGCCATGACCTTGGGTGGCTCGCCGCTCCATCGAAGCTCAAACAGTTTCTGCCAAACATGGCATGCATATCGGTGAATCACTGTCTCCGGAATTCTGCAAAGAAGCTCGTGGACCATGACAGCTTTATGTTCCTCAGGCACGCAGTCAAAAGCTTTTTGGATAACATGACATCCAAAAGGATCCATACTCAGACTGAGGGTATGGCCTCTAATTGCATTCGCAATAGCAACGACTTGGTCAGGGCCTCCATGCTCAAAACAGCGCTGGACGAGAAAGTTGCCGAATCGGTTTATCATCAGAGGATACGCCTGGCTAACAATTGCTTCGATAATTTCGTATTTCTGTTCAGTCGTACCGACTTTGAGCTTCTGTTGTAGGAAAATAGATGCCTGTTGATCATTGTTGCAAACTATCTTGTCCACAATGTATTTCCAGTCACATGAAACATTCTTGTCGAGCAAACGCCGATAATTGAGAGGTTCAAGGGGTGACATGTAGGTTTGAACGGAGCTTCCACCAGCCTAAAATCATGAATGAGTATTCAAAAGGCAAGTAAACATAGTACTTACCAAGGAAGTCGTCCACGAAGTTCCATTCGTTTTGGTGGCCGTAAACTCCGTGGCAGTGGGAGAGAGGGCCGTCGCAACGGGCCGAGTGTGAAACGGGGGGATGGAATAAATCCCAACTGGAGGGAAAACACTCGAAGATCTGGCCATCGGCAAAGAAGGGGACTTGTGAGTTGGGTCAGTGGGAGACCCTGAGTTGAACCCATTCCACGGGTTATTTTGAGACGGCAACAAAGCTCCAACCCCATTCGCTTGCATGGCCGAACGACGAGGATCAGCATTGGGGTCTTGTAAATGTCGAGTCTGGTCATCTGCAGGTCGAGAATAGAAGCCATACGGACTGGCATGGGGTCCTGAAAGCATCCGATGGGACTGCAGCGGTGCATGTGCGGCAAATGCAGGATGCGCTGTAGAGCCACTCCAGAACCGGCTAGGATCCTGACATATGGGGTGAGATGGCTGAGGGGAACCACCGTAAGGCTTTTCAAAAGAGGACTCGATGGTATTCATTCCAAAGGAAGGTTGATCATGTTGATTCCAAAGCCCACGAGCACGGTTGTAGGCTCCAGCGGACAATGCATCCGAAATGTCGGACTGAGAGTCCTCCTGCATGTTCCATGCGTCCTGAAACTGACCGAATATGTGATTCGATGCATTGAAGGCACTCTGTAGATGTGTGATGGTCTGCTCAGTGATCTCACGGCCGCCGAAGTCTGCCTCGGATGGAGGGCCCAAAGCCTGATCCAGAGTGTGCTTAATGACACGAGTATGGGCGAGTTCTTGCTCCTGCAATGCAATTTTAGAGTTTGCAGCAAGCAGCTCCTGCTTGAGTCGAAGAAGTTCCGTTGTCTTGTTATCCTGGGCACAGGGATAATCTCCATTGGGGAGGTCGGTGGTTGGCAATGGGCCGATGGTAGATACAATCCGCGAAGGATGGGAAGGACGACCAGATTCTGGGTGGACCTTCAAAATTATCTCGGGAGACATCTTGCTCTGTATATTCTCGACTTCTGAGGCTGGTTCAATCAAATGTTCGACTGTCACATGTTCCTGCTTCTGCTTCTAGGGTTGTGAGACCACCAACGTTTGTATCCACGATAGGCATCTGGGAAAACTGACCTTGCTTGACGGGAGGTTGGCGTCCGAGCTAGAAGAGCTCTGCGTAGCTTCATGTTGAGGTGCCCGAAAATGATGGGAAGGTCTGTGGTGGCTGTTGGGATAGAGGTGACCCTGTGAGAATCAACATGAGTATCCTGCACATCTCGAGCTTCCAGCTTGCAAGACGCACGGAAAATCCGCGTCCAAAGGAGAGACAACTTACATCACCACTATCGTTTGAGATAAATCTCCCCTCTCTGCCCATGCGAGCATGTTTTGGCGGACCGGCAACAGTTGGCATCTTCACAAGTGACAAAGGCAGGTGTTTCGAGCAGAAACGTAAGTGAAATCTTCCGGGTGCGGTTTACATAACACGAGAGAAGAAAGACACGGAGATTGTCAAATTGGACTGTAGAGGTGGGAGATATTCAAGGGAAGAGAAGGGAAAGGAGGAGGAGGAAGGCGGGTGCATGTCAACAATAACATCAGTGGAAGCCACAACAAGGGAGTGCACCAGACCAGGAAGGCGCGTAGCCAAATTTTGAACAAGGTTAGAAGTTCACTACAAGATCAGATTCGTCCCGTGTAGGAGTCCGGTGAGATCTGGCATGATCGGTCTAAATGGCCGGCCTCGTATACTCCCGCGAATCCCATTCCAATGAGATCGATCACTAACGACCACTAAGTCTGGCAGCCCCGATCCTGTCAAGGTCGGGGTAAGACTATCAGCATGGTGCAAACCTGCCAAATCCACTTCCCAGACCATTAGCTCCATTCTCTGATCCTCCAAAGGCCGGAGGAGCACACCGCCGGTATCGATATTCATGCTTCAAGGCTGGCAGTATGGGGTCAGTTCTCGATATAACCAGACGAACATGGTAAATGTGAATGGGGAATAATCCGAGCTTGGAGGGCGGAAGATCTGTGTCCACTACCAATGTTTTGACATTTCCAGGATAGTCTTGATCAGTGCCATCTAAGTAGCCCTCCTGCATCTGGGAATCTGCAGCAAAGTATTGAAAGAGATTGCGGCTGATCTGGAGGGCCAGACTGTTGACTCCAAGTGAGCATTTCTTGATCATGAAAGTGTCAGGTGTCACTCTGCGGAATGACTTCCAATCTACCGTTCTTGTCGGGGGATTGCAGCTGATCGACCTGGATGCTAGCCTTGGGTCCAGGTCACCGGAGCTCGGAACCGTTATCGTGAACTTTTCGGTAAACCCTCCGGGAGACCTCGCCGTTTCCCTGGAGCGGTTGACGGCAGCGCTATAGGAAGGCCTCAGATGTTTCTTCGTCATCACACCATCAAACCAATGCCCATTTCCTGGTAATTCTTCATAAACAGAGGACCTGTCCACGGGCAGGCCCACTATGGGCATTGCCCGCTTATATAATGTCCATGGAGCACCCTCTCCAACAAAACAGTATATACATAATGGCAGTACCTCGCGTACTAGTAACTAGTAGCCGTGCCTAGGTTACATTCAGTCCGCCCGTTTGCTATCGTTTGAGAAAATTTTTAGGACAGGGACACAAAAGGAAGGCAACATCTACGGCCACTTTCTTTTTTCTTCATACCTTTTTATCTCTCTTTTTTATCTCTTCTCCCCTTATAAACATACAAATAATCGGGCCTAACACGCCTTGAGCTTAGCCACCCGCAAGTATGGACGAGCTCCAGAACAGACTTGGTAACTTGCCAGACTGGGGATATGTTTTATATCGCACCACCTACACTGCCGAAACCGACACTACTTTCCCACACGCTGTGGGGTATATTGAGGCCTGTCTCAACAGCGGTTTCCTTACGGATGGGAAGCCTAGGCCTAGTGATAAAGACCGTATTCAAATTTGGGCCAAATATCGATCGATAATTATTGAAGATCCCGCACAATTTGACGGGGCTTCTATCGAGACGATTCGCGCTCATTTTAAGGCATGGGTATATGCCCAAGACAGGCGTGATTCCTTCAAAAAAATTTGAATATGTCTTATTATTAATTAAGAATCCCTGCAAACGCTAAAGGACGGATTAGTGGAGGATGTCAAAAATGATAGGCACGAATTACGATGTGTGAAGATTCTTGAAGCATTTCCGATCGTGGATTCGTTCGACACTTTTCCCGGGTGGATGAAATGCTCCACACATATACTGTGGTTTTTCTCGTCTAATATGGGAGATGGTGATGAGATGAGGAAGTTATATTATGAAATTGATGACTTTCCATTCGAAGGGGTATACTCCGGATGATCCAACCCAGTTTGCGTGATATTAGTAAAGACAGAGATAAATCTTTATACATCATGGGCAGTTGGGCCCGTAAACCACGGAAATCGAGAGGCGGAGGCCGCAGAATAGCATATGAGATTATTCTCGAGGGGTAAAGATAGGTAAATCGCTGTGGCTCGGAAAGGGATATCTCTTCCGAATTGATATAAAACTGTCGGGTTCTGGAGCTTTTGGTGGGCAGTTCGATAAACGTCTTGGACGAAGAATCGATAGCCAGGCGCATCTATGCCTGATGTCTCTTCTGATGTGTCGAGAGAAATGGCGAAAGTCAGAGGTCGGGTTTGAAACCCAGCCAAAAGTAAAGGCCCCCTTGTGGACACATCCTGTGAAAACTGTATCAGAAACTACGTTAGTGGTAATCTTGCGCATAGGTGTGAGGCAGGCTTTGTATGTATGAATCGAAGTAATTTCAACCCAGCCAGATCCGTTGTTCTGGACATTTATCGAGCCCCAGGTGCCGCCCATTCTTCTTTGGGTTATCTCCGATACCAATATGCTGTTTTGGTCCAGCGATATCGACTCCTCACGAAGCTCAACTTCCAACACCACTCCAACCGAGATGGAAAGGTCGCTGAGAGCCCCCGTTTCCAGATTCAGTTTCGGATCCAATACACGGTGACCCGGTAAGAGTTGAACAATGACAGGAACTTTGCAATACTGGTACAAATCACCTCCAAAAAGTTGCTCCTTATCCACCCAGAACTGAAGGAGGCCACCACTGAAGAAAGCAACCGTATGTGGCTCGGTGCCCTTTACTTCGAGTACTCCGCATGCCCGTAGTTGATATCATAGAACCGGCCAGCCGTATATTGACTGCATTAACTCCCAGTCGATATCTGGGAAGCTCATATTTAAAAGAGCCTTAATCTGGCCGCTGGAGGACCTTCATATGGTTGCATATACATTGTCCCACTTGAAAGTTCCATCGACTCCGAGGGTGCTGGCAAATGATGCCTCGGTATCATACTGCAAATGATGAAATCTACCGTGATGCTCCAATGGGTAATTTATAATATATTATATAGTAACTTTAGTATTTATCTAGTAATTATTTAAATAAAAGTAAGGATTTATTCTCCCCAAGTTGCCTCTGTGTGAAGTCCGTCAACTTGCATCCTTTCTATCTATGCGTTGTATTAGACAAATTAATCTCGTTTACCGAGCCGAAACGGGCCGAGAATATCCCGTCTGTCCGATAGGGAGACTCCAAGCGAGACCAAATCAAATGTGGTTTGACGAAGAGCACCATAGGGTGGAGTAGGATCGAGGGAGAGGTGCAAAAGGCCGGCGAAATCCATGACAGCACCGCCAGGATGACGGAGAAAACCAGACGCATCTCCGCGGTTCGTGAATTTGTGGGCTCACAGGGGCCTAGTAATCACGGGGGCCAAGGAGATATTGCAAGCGGGCCTGAAGACCGGTCATGACCTATCTTTCCGCCTACCTACTTTGATCATCTTACTAGTACTAGAGTGAATAGCGGCCATTGGGAAGAACAACTAGGTGGGCTACTTCCAAAAATAGTAGATTGATTTGTGAGTTAGCAATATTGAACAAGACGTTAAAAAAGTATAGCTTGAAGATTTAAGGAAATGTCTAAGACGATCCAGGGCACTTATATGTAGGCCTTTTGCCTTGACGGGATTCTCCAACAGAAGAAAAATAAGAAGACTGCTAGAAAAGAGGCTTAAAGAGCCGGATGTAGCTTAGAATGAATAGGAGAATTAAGTATTTAGGCTCCCTTCCTGTGGTTACAATATACCCTCCAGCACACTGCGTTCGGCGTATGTATCGACCAGTCCGGGCACAAGTGGAGCGGAGACGGGGACGGCGCGAGATTTGAGGCTCCACAAGCGCACATCACGTGACCGGCCTATATTACGGTACACGTCTATAGATAGAAACTGGGAAAGACGCCAATAATCAAACTTACCGGGGTGTGTGTCCGAAAGGTAGCCATAGGAAATATCCTGTGTAGACATCGTCCCTCTGCCTTTACGTATGTTGTATGTAATCCCTTCAAGCCGATTGCTCGGCGCCCTCCGAGGTATCGAGATGGTATCCTGTAATGTAACGGCCGGTGGCGGTCGCACCCTGCAAATCGCCCGTGGACGGGGCCAGCCAATCCAATTCCCTTCTTTCGATTCCCCTATTCGTTTCGTTCGGCTCTGTTAGGGTGCACTGTCCTCCATTGCGCACTGTGTGTCTTGCCTCCCGCGTGTGTCCTCCATTCTCGACGCTGATTCGCTCGAGGAGATTCGTCATCCGCAAACTAAACTGCAACTCGTCCCCTACACTCGGTTTGCGCGACAGGGCGGACCATTTCCAGTGAGAATTCCATTCCGTGAACGCCCCCGCCAACTTTTTTTCCCGTGTTACTCGGATAGGTGAAACCGGCAGTCTCGACGTGTGTTGTGCCGAAGAGAAAGAGACACGGCGTGAGCGCGCGTGCGCGAGAGAGATAGAGAGAGAGAGAGAGAGAGAGAGAGAGAGAGAATCAACGTCTGCCTGGTAAAAGGACGTCTTGCACAGGCCTACGCCGTGGACGATGGCCACGACCACAGTAACCGGCCATGGACGAAGGGCATCCATGCGGCAAGCGGAATTGCAAGTCCCGACAAAGACCTCAACCTCACAACCCACGAGCAGCCCGGTCGATCAGTTCCCTCCCTACGAAGAGACATTTGACGCTGCCGCGGGGTCGGCTCGTCCGAACGCAAACCCCTCGGTGAAATACGCTCCTGGCGAGCTGTGGGAGCCTCGAAACTCGGCTTTTTACTCTCGGGAACACGCCAATGGATCCGCGAGAAATCCTAAACATCGGCCACGGAAGAGTATTAGCGAGGCCATCTCCACAATTCGGACACGCAACGGCAGCGTGAGTGCCAACGCACAGGAACTCGCGGAGGCACTCCGAGCGCCGGTGTCATATCGCCTGATTGTATGTCAATGAAGATGTATTTGCTCATGGGATGCTTGCTAACAATGCTTGTTGTGTAGGGTCTCTGCGTCATCTGGTACTTTACGTCCGCCCTCACCAACACATCCTCGAAATCCATCCTGAACGCTCTTCCGATGCCCATCACATTGACCATCATCCAATTTGCATTTGTTTCAATCTGGTGTCTGCTGCTGGTGTATCTGTCCACGGTAATCCCATGGCTGCGCCAAAGCGTGCCCATTCTCAATCATGGCATTCGTTACCCATCTCGCGACGTGATCTCTACCGCTTTGCCCCTGGCCGTCTTCCAATTAGCCGGGCATATCTTAAGCTCCATGGCAACCTCCAAGATTCCCGTGTCATTGGTTCACACGATCAAGGGCCTCTCGCCTTTGTTCACTGTTCTCGCCTACCGAATTCTGTTTCGCATTCGATATGCTAGGGCGACTTACTTATCGTTGATTCCTCTCACTCTTGGAGTTATGCTTGCATGCTCCACTGGAGTGTCTACCAATCTGTTCGGGATTCTCTGCGCGTTCTTCGCTGCGATCGTCTTTGTATCCCAGAACATCTTCTCCAAAAAGCTCTTTAACGAAGTAGAGCGTTCTGAGACTGATGCGCAACGTCCAGCACGGCGAAAGTTGGACAAGCTTAACCTGCTTTGTTACTGCTCCGGACTTGCTTTCTTCCTTACACTGCCGATCTGGTTCGTCAGTGAAGGGTATCCCTTGGTGGCTGATTTCATTAAGGACGGCGTCATTTCGCTCTCAGGAAGACAGGGTTCTCTGGACCATGGTGCCCTGATGATTGAGTTCGTCTTCAATGGGGTTTCGCACTTTGCCCAAAACATACTGGCTTTTGTGCTGCTCTCCATGGTGTCCCCAGTGTCCTACTCGGTCGCCTCTTTGGTCAAGCGGGTGTTTGTCATCGTGGTTGCGATTGTGTGGTTTGGAAGCTCAACCACCCCCATTCAGGCTTTTGGTATCGGTCTTACCTTCGTGGGTCTCTACCTCTATGATCGCAACAGCCACGACGACGTGGCTGATAAACGAGCAAATGCGGACCACTTCCGCGCTCGGCAGTCTATCTTGCCTACGAATGTGCGGCATTCCAGCAGGCCATGGGATTCGAATGGCTACGCTTTCCCGGGGGGAAGATCGTTTGATGGGTCTACATCTAACAGCTCCCACGTGTCCAATGGCCCCAAGAAGGAGGATGACGGACCTGGGCGTGTGCGGCCACGAGGCGCCAGTGTCTCTCGGAACTGGTTGCCCGGAACCAAGCAAGAATCAACGTGGCAACCCAGAGATTCCTCCGCAGCTGCATAGTATGTCTCGTTACAGCCTTTGCCGGACGGATGAACGTGTCTCTGTATTATATCATGGAACATGGCGTTGTGTTGTCCGTTTTCATTTTCCTTATTTTCCTTATTTTCCTTATCCGGGAGGCATTGTACCCGCTGACTGGCTTGTATCTTCTCGGCGCCGGTATAGACGAAGGGGAGGTTATGGGATTGAGTGTGTAGGATGTACATAATTCCAATCTATGACTCTACCAAGACGCATGGATGCAAGTTCGGGATGTAGCTACCGTCAGTAAAGAACATTGTCATAATCGGGCCAGGCCCTTGACTGCTCCAGCTCGGTGCAAGTCTGCTCTTGGACAATGTTGCAGAGGAAGCAGGGACTGAAAAAGCCCTGCCTCCTACAATAAATCATGCCCGTGAAATGAGATGGAGAGTGTAAAAGGGGGAAAGCGCGCGGTGTGTTTTTGACGGGCGGATCGGAACATCGGTTCTTCCGCATAGCCGAGTCCGGCCGCCAATCCACGCGAGGCAATTTGCGAATTCACTTTAGTCAGCGGTGCCGATGGTCAGCAATTCCATTATGTAACCCAGCAGATTCCAACTCTGAACAGCTCCTTCTCCTCTGACCTGCCCCCCTTCTTCAACCCCATCTCCCCATACCCCCTTCCCCTCCTTCATCTACAGTCGCGACAATTATGCGGCCGCAGCTGTTTCGTGCGGCCGCCCGGTCTCTCCGGGTCCCTAGGGCCCGAGCCTTCGTCACAACGGCCCCTCGCGCGGCCGAGGTCGAACTCACCATTGGTACGTCTCAATCCTTGATTCAGGTCGATGTACGCTAACGATCTGCTTCAGATGGCAAGAAGATATCCGTGGAAGGTAAGATTCGCGCTCGACTCCCGCAATTGGTCCATTTCTCACATCCTTTGAAGCCGGCTCGGCTCTCATCCAGGCTTGCGAGAAAGCCGGAGCAACAATCCCCAGGTATGATCTCTTTTTTTAAATCCAGGCTCTAGATCCACGAATGCTGACCTCGGTGACAGATACTGCTACCACGAGTACGTTACCCTCACAACCGGATCTTCCGGTCATTGATTGCCCTTGCTAACACTCAGCCACGAAGAAAACTGTTGATTGCAGGAAACTGTTGGTGCCAGCCGCCCTCATTTGCCCATAGCACATGCTAATATATCACCTTAGGTCGTATGTGTCTGGTCGAAGTCGAGCGCGCCCCGAAACCCGTGGCCTCGTGCGCCTGGCCCGTTCAGCCCGGAATGGTTGTGAAGACGAATTCGCCGCTGGTTCACAAGGCGCGAGAAGGTGTGACGGAATTCCTTCTTGCCAACCATCCTCTTGATTGCCCTATTTGTGACCAGGGAGGAGAATGTGATCTCCAGGACCAGTCGATGCGTTACGGTGCCGATCGCGGACGGTTCCACGAGACGGGTGGCAAGCGTGCTGTGGAGGATAAGAATATTGGTCCCCTGGTTAAGACCTCGATGAATCGTTGCATCCACTGCACTCGTTGCGTTCGATTCATGAACGACGTCGCGGGTGCGCCCGAGCTGGGAACCACCGGCCGCGGAAACGACATGCAGATCGGAACCTACCTGGAACGGAACCTGGACTCTGAAATGTCGGGCAACATCATTGATCTATGCCCCGTCGGCGCTTTGACATCTAAGCCCTATGCTTTCCGTGCTCGCCCTTGGGAGCTGAAGCACACCGAGTCCATCGATGTCCTTGACGCGCTGGGCTCCAACATTCGAATTGATAGCCGGGGCATGGAAGTGATGCGGATTATCCCTCGTCTGAACGACGACATTAACGAGGAATGGATTAATGATAAGTCACGGTTCGCTTGCGATGGCTTGAAGACCCAACGACTCACCACCCCCCTGATTCGCCGCGACGGCAAGTTCGTTCCCGCAACCTGGGAACAGGCCCTGGTGGAAATCTCCGCCGCCCAGCAGAAGCTGCAGCTGCAACCCAACGAGTTCAAGGCGGTTGCCGGACATTTGGTGGACGCCGAGTCGCTGGTCGCCATGAAAGATATGGCCAACAAGCTGGGATCGGACAACCTTGCTCTTGACCAACCCGGTGGTGGCGCCCCTATTGCCCACGGCATTGACGTTCGCTCCAACTACCTGTTCAACTCCAAGATCTACGGTATCGAGGATGCGGATGCCATTCTGCTGGTTGCCACCAATCCTCGTCACGAAGCCGCTGTTCTCAACGCTCGCATTCGCAAGCAATATTTGCGTTCGGATCTGGAAATCGGCCTTGTCGGTGAGGATTTCGAGAGCACCTTCGACTATGAGCACTTGGGTGCCGATGTCTCTGCTCTGAAGACAGCTTTGTCCGGAGAATTTGGCAAGAAGCTCGGTGCTGCTCAGCGCCCCATGATCATCATTGGTAGTGCAGCCGCCGAGCATCCCGATGCAAAGGCCATTTTCGAGGCGGTCGGCAGCTTCGTTGAGAAGCACCACAACAACTTCAACACTCCCGAGTGGCAAGGCTACAACGTCCTGCAGCGTGCCGCCTCCCGGGCCGGTGCCTATGAAGTAGGCTTCACTGCCCCGTCTCCCGAGGTCGCGCAGACCACTCCCAAGATGATCTGGCTCTTGGGTGCGGATGAGGTCGCGCAGAGCGAGATCCCGAAGGATGCCTTTGTCATCTACCAGGGTCATCACGGTGACCGGGGTGCTCAGCTTGCCGATGTCGTTCTCCCTGGCGCCGCATATACCGAGAAATCTGCCACTTACATCAACACCGAGGGCCGTGTTCAGGTCACTCGTGCGGCCACATCGCTGCCCGGAGCTGCTCGTGATGACTGGAAGATTATCCGTGCAACTAGCGAGTTCCTTGGTGTCCCTCTCCCCTACGATGATATCGAGGCCCTTCGTGACCGTATGGAGGAGATCAGCCCCGTGATGCGCCGCTACGATGTTGTCGAATCCACTTCCGTCGGCGCATTGAGCAAGGTGCAGCTGGCTGATCAGAATAAGGGCTCTCCCACCACCGGAGCTCCTTTCAAGAAGGTCATCGAGGACTTCTTCTTCACCGACGTTATCTCTAGAAGGTGCGTTTCTCATTCCATTATCTTATTTCTCTTCTTTATCTATGACAAAGGACTGACATTTTTCCCCTTTCTCTCTAGCTCACCTACCATGGCCCGTTGCTCAGCCTCCAAGGCCACCGGCAACCCCGAAACCAACTTCATGGCCGCCGGAGAAATGTCTCCGCAGGCGTTGTACGGCTAAACTATGGGTTCCCCCATAGGCGGTCAATCGATTCCGTGTTTTGTCTAATGGTTGCAAGGCGTTGTCATTTGTATCACATTAAACTTCCCTTTGATGTACCGTTTCCTTTCCATCTTCTGTTTTCTCCATCATCTTCAACACCCTTTCCTCCGGTTTCTGTGGTTGACCTCCTTCGTCCACTCACCGGTTTTGCCCAGGAATAATCGGTCGAGGTTGACTTGTACATAAAAAGATTGAGAACCCTCAAAATTTCAATTTCCATATCGGAGAATATCTTCGCTCATCCATATGTGTGTACTAAATATCGAAGCACCTCCGTCGAAGGAAGCTATATTCGAGCAAATCGCAAAACCTATGTTCACTGGTCCTTTGATTGCTCGGATACATAGTCTTTCATCTATGCAAGGGACTCACAGCTCGTCATCATCGGATTCTCCTGCAGTGTCCTCCGCCTCTTCGCTCGGTTCTTCCCTTCGTTGATCCCGTCTGGTAAAAGGGAGCTCTCTCCGCGGAGGGGCTGCCCTCGCTTGCTGTGATGCTGCCTCAGATTGTGTCGCTTGACCGGGCAAATCAAGTTCGTCGTCCGTGGCCGGTTGCGATGATAATTGCCTTTCGTTGTCGGTACCCTCATCAGTAGCCTGATCTGTGGCCGGGCCAATCTGAGAACCGTCATCGGTCCTGTTCTCGTCGACATCCATCTGTTCGAAGCCCCCGTCTGACTCTCCATCCGCTTGCTCCATTTCACGCGCATGGCGTTTTGATGTGTGGCGGGATTCGCCGGCTTTGGGGGGGTTCCCGGTAGCAGTTTGAATCTCGAAGACTAGGACGCTAGCGATCAGTTATACTGTGGCACAAAGGCCGATGCCTGGGACTACCGTCTTACCTTTCGCCGGATCTGCGGAGGCGGATGCGAGAAGACGCTGCTGGTTGCGAACTTTCAGCTTTTTTTCATTCAAAAGCTGAGCGAAGTTGGCCACTAGTTGGCTTTCATGATTATCCTTGGCTCGAAGGAGCTCCTCCAGTTGCTCATTCAGCTTTTGAATGGTATCTTCGGCGACACGGTAGCGGTTGGTCAGGTTCGTAACATGCTGCTGCAGCGCATCGGCTCTGGATGCAGCTGTTCCTGACCATTCAAAGAGTTCAATGGCTTGCTCATCGTCCCGTTTGAAAACTATAGTACCGAGCCGTTGCTGGAACCATGTTAGAAACATATATATCATTGCTTTGTAAGGAGGATCATGTACTGTGATAGATTGAACCCTGTTTCGGATGGCGATAATCAATTGTCCGTCATCACCAGAGCCGGAAATGCTAGCGGTGGTTTCAATTCCGGTCGAAGCCAGCTCGTCAACTTCGGTGGATTGCCCTAGGACGCGGGAGACAATTCGAGCCCACTCCTCCTCCGTCCCTTGATAATTCTTGACGCAAAGATCTTTTAGGCGAGATTGTTTGACTATCTATTCGTTAGCCGGGTTGATTTCTGAATTTCCCAAAAGAGATGTACCGCAGGCTACGTAAGGGCACTCTCCCTCAGTGGCAGTGAGGGTCAGGTCAAGCGCTGCGGGCCCGGTGTTGACGACGTGAACCAGAACGAAGGCATCTTGTGAATCAGATCGAGAAATTCGCAAAATCCGGGGAGGACTCATAGTAAGTTCGAAATTTAGAGGAGTCGGGAGTCGAGAGGAAGTAGCTCAAGAGGGTTGCTGACGTTGACGACGGGAGGGAAAACACAAAGGCAACGATTGTTTAGGAGGTATCCACCATCACTCTGACGCACTCTGAGGCGCCCTGAAGCACTGGAACCTTTCTAGGCTTCCGTTCTATTTGAGTGTCTGACCCCTGTGTTACTGTATGTACCACGTCGTTAAAGAGTCCAATAATCCGAGAGATCTAAACGTCCCCACTTCAGCACGTTCCCTCTGTCCACGAGGAATCTCGTCCAGCCTCCGCCTACGACGCCTCCAAACTCCCTTCGCCTTGTTATGGAATGACTCCTACCACGCCTCTACTCCTGTTGCTCTGCTCTCCCCTCTCTACATCTTCACCCGGTTGCCTGAGGGGGTTCATCGGACACTGAGAGGCGTTTCACGCGATCACCCCTTACCCAACTCCGACTACACCTACACGACTGCTCATCGTTGACACGGAATGACGTTTATCCTTCTTCCTCGTCCAGTATCAATGTTGCGAAGCGCTGAGTCTACTACCTGAACATTTACGCCTACACGCTCCGAACGACCCCCAACATCGCTTGGTTCCTTGCCCCTCCGACACGCTCATCATGGACTCGCCCATGGGCCGTACCAGACTAAATGTGGACGAGACAATCGAGTGCTGGGACGACGACGATGACCTGCAAATCAACGATGGCATTCAATTCCGCGCTCCATCGAGCGCTGGATCCTTTGCCAACTCTTCAATTCGGCCCTCCGGGCACCGTGATTCAATCTCGTCTCGCCGGTCTGCCCGCTCCGATCTCGAGTCAAATGCTGGAGATGAGGATTGGCAGGTCTTACTGCCCTATACTGATGACTTTTCCAAGGAAGAAGCTCTTGCTTCGGCCAAGAACGCGGGGATTCCCCTGCCTGCGGATATCCCAAGCTCTGCTCTTCTCGGAGGCGCTATCAAACGCTTGTCGGCTCGGAAGACGAAAAGGACATTTGTTGATGACTGGTCAGATGAAGTAGAGCTTCCAGGACCGGACGCAGTATTGGAGCTCAAACTGCCTCAGGATTCGCGTTTCCCAGATACCCTGCAGCAGATCAGCTCTGCGGCCACAAGCCCCGTGAAGTCTACGGCCTCGCCATCCTGGAATGGAACTATCTCCACACGTTTGCAATCTGCACTGGCAACACTAGATCGTTTCCAGGATGAGAACGAAGCACCTCTCAACCAAGATGTTCCCACAATCAAAGCCCCAACGTCTCGGTCTCCGCGCAAGACGGCCGTTAGTGCCACTAGCGGAGGCCCTGCAGTGCAACAGGAAGATGAGGACTTTGACCAAGATCTTGAACTTCCCCCTGACCATCAACCTCTTCAGCTGACCCGCCGAAAAGATCACACCGGTGTTTCCAGCCCTACTCTAGAAGACTTTGACATTGAATGGTCTGAGGGTAGCATAGGTGTTCGAGTTGGTGGTACCACTCGAGATGGACGTTCCGTTCCAAGCTCTACTATGTCAATAGCAAGCCCCAGCGTCTCGAGTTGTATTACTGGGGAAAGCGAGGACGACGGTCTGGATGGTCTCGTGTTCCCCGATGGACCTGTGGATTTCAATGCCTCTCTAAGAAAACGTCACGACAGTCAGGTTACAGATGTCCCGATTGCGGTCGGGGAGAGTCAAGACGCATCACATTCACGGGATGCAGATGACTTTTTCTCTGGAATCGAGGTTGACAATGGAAAAGCATTTGCCTCTGGAAAGTTAACATTGAACCCCAACGTCAAATGCAAGACAGAATGGCCCGCAAGTCCTACCCGTCGCTCCGCAACAACCTTAACCTTTACCAACGGACCGATCACCAACGCATCAGATTCTCCTCGTACTCGCATCCCTCGCCTGTCCGGTCATGACCGTACCCATTCCACCCATCTCGAAACCGTATCGGAAAGTGGCGCACCGCTTTCCAAATTTCGAAGATCCCAGTCGCGACTCGGACATTCAACCCAATCGTCTGTTTCTAGTGTGCCGGCAACCGATACACCTTCGACATCCCCCAAACCACTAACTTCCGGCCGACGGATCCTCAGCCAGCGAGATTCCAGAGATCCTGTGACGGCTAGTGCATCCAAGGCACCCAACAGGCATCTACGAACGAAACGATCTATGCCCGTCGTTCGCGGGGGTGGGGGAGCTACTTTGGCCCAGTCCTCGCAACGATCCTCGTCTCACCCGGATGGGCCTGTCCGCCATGCCTCCTTCAACAGACCTAAGACGCCAGTCGAGCGCACATCCAACGAAGGAAGGTCTTCGGGATCCGGCCGCCGAGCACAAGCCCCGTTCATTCCAGCCGGGTCATCGGAACGACAATCCCATCACAACAGTGTTAAGAGCTATCTTCCTTCGCGCCGCACCAATTCAGACGGCTCTGGCGATCTTCTCAATCCACAAGGTATTTTGACTCGCCTGTCACGATCGACTCGCCCGGAGGCTCTCCGTCTTAGCTTCGGTGACTCCGGCATAGAAACTGCTAGCTCGGCAGCAAAACGTACACTCACTCGGCCGGCCAGGCGACGCAATTTTGGAGATGGTACTGAGCTGGAATCCTTTGACGATTTGCCTACATCCGCCTCCACTGAGAGCAAGTTTGTCAAGAACCCCGCTGGCAGAGGTGCCCCAAGATCGGTGCGCACCAGACTCAGTCAGAGCCGCATTACCCCACCTATCGAATCTCCGACACAATCCTCTACGCCACCTTCAACCTGGAGGTTGACCCCGACACCGAGATTTGCCCGCGACACGAATGCGTCCCGCAATGCGAGGGAGCAACGCATTGCTTCCCTGAATTCGAAGAGCCGTGACTCTAACCCGCTTACCTCTTACAACTCCAATTGGAAGGCGCATCCTATTTCTCGTATATCCCCGAACTCAGCCCCCGTCCGGAGCCGGAAACCCAATGCCACAACTAAATCAACGTCCAAGCCTCACTTGATCAAACCGATAGGATCAGGGGTACAAGAGTCCAAATCTGTGAGGGGCATGCGGTATAATCCGACAAAATTCCGCTGGGAAGGGAACGAGAACCTGGTGCAAGATTTCGACGTTGTTGCGGGTCCCAAATCACCTAAGCCAGCTCCAGCTCTAATCACCAATGTCGGCACTGTGCAAAATGTTCAGGCAGTCGGTGGCATGATATTTGATCCACACCGCATGTGCTGGTTGAGAGCGGGATCTGAGGCTGGGAACCAAGGGGGGGGTCATGTCCGAGGACGAGGATGACGTTTTTGCTGGCTTGGATGACTTGGAAGACAAGGCGGCGGGGGCTACCGGGGGAATCTCGGGAGCCTTGGAAGACTTCAACTCTCATCCCGCCGGTGATGATCCGAGTGCCGGCGAGTCTTCTGATGAAGGCCCTATCACGGAAGAATTCGATGTCGGCCCGGAGTTCATTCGACGACAACGGGCCGAGGAAGAGAAGTGGAGGCGGAAGGTGGACAAATGGATTGGGTCTGCTCACGGAGACCGTGAAACCCATTGGCGATGGGCCATCCGTGACCTGGTGGCTGATGATACAGGATATCCGGCGGCATAGGACGCTGGCGAACCCGAACTTGCGAGAGGAGTTCCTTCGAGCTTTGGCTTACCCTACATCATGACATCCGTGCGAGTGCCCCTGGCAATAAAGAGGAACTTGCGAAGGAGCATGGATACACGACCTTTATGACGTGAAGACCCTTTTCTTCTTTCTTCTTTTCCCAGTTTCCTTGATTGGCCGCGATGAGACTGGCCCATACGATTTTTCCGGTTCTAGAAGCCTCTCTTTTGCGCTTGTTTTGTAATTATATATTTATCCGGATTCGAGTACATAGGTTGCACCTAATATGATGGGGGAAACGCGAAGTATCCTTCCCTCTTCCTCCAACCTTAACTTCCCAATTCGCTGTTGCTTCTCACAGGGCTCAGGCTCCGAATACCCTCCACATCCGATCAACAGGGAAGATCCATGCAGCACCGCTTCTCGGGGCAATCCACAAGCGCTCCTTCCCCAGACGGATCCGAAACACCTCGGAGTCGGGGCTTCCAAGGCACGGCGCCGAGGGGAGGGGGCCGGGTGGGATGTAAAGAGAGAGAGGGAAGGTCATCTCCGGGAACATGGCTCACTCGGGAAGCGACAGAGTGACACCGGGTGATAGATTGTATGACGCTTCAAAGGCTTCCATCCTCCCCTTTTCAGTTGACGACTGGTCCGGACCGACAGCGATGCGAGTGTCCGATGCCAAGTCCATTGAACACGGTGTCTCACCTGTCGCGGAAGAGCCAAACGCATGCAATCCTGCCATCCCGCATGCTGCATTGATTGTCCGTCAACGAAGACCAATCGAACTCGGCCCCTCAAACGCCACGTCAAGGTCACGCCTCGCCAGAGCTTTCTGACAGCACCTCGATCAAGGCGAAGAGGAGGCCGTGAGACACTGCCCCAGGCGCTTACTCGTCCTTCGGCCCATTCGTGCCCATCGTACTTGCGACTCGCAGCTCTGGAGCACGAGGATTGCCCCAGACATGTGGATCTCCCCAAATCCATGTTCCTTACGGCCACGGCTATGTGCATGTTTGGACTTTTGCCGGAGCAATCTCCAGCCCGACTTTTGTTTGACGGGGGCAAACCTGCAGAAACAAAGCCCTGGGTGACCGTCTCCTAGGTCCTTCTCTCCCCGGCGTTTATAGTTGTTCCGCGCAGGGCGCAGGTCGGGGAGGTGAAGTTCCTTCCCCTGGGTACTTGTATCGGCGCCATTCAAGCGGTCGACTGCCAAGTCTCTCTCATAGGTGGCCTCGAGTGACCCAACGTGGCTCTCCATGAGGCAAAGTGATGGCACCGGGCATCGAGGCAGGAATCCGTATCACCATTGCTTGTGTGCGCTGTCGTATCAGCCTGCTTTCACCCTTCAATCGTCTCGGCGGGTCGGAAAGAATTCGACCACGAACCCTAGTCCTTTCGTTTTGCTTCGTTTTCTTTTCTTTTTTTGACCCATGCCATTCTCTTCCCTGCAAGCTTAGGCAATACCCTTCACGCTGTACCTTACAGCCCTTTGCTTGACTCGCCTGGCTCCATCATTTCTTTTTTTTCTGTGGAATATTTGCTGTTCGTCGTCCAGGGATGTCCTCTGTTGCTCCTGCCCACTCGTTTCGACATGGTCTCGTGCACTCCCTTGGGCATCGGTCATGTCCTGCAAGATTCGCCTGGGGGCCTGCGGGTCCTTTTTAATGCAATTGCTACCCCGTTGATGTTGTCCATGACTTCCATGATCCCTCAGAAGGTGTGTCTCGCGATCTCTCATAAAGCACGCGTGCCTTCTACAACTCCGAGTATTCTCGTCTCAACCAGCTCGTCATCAAAATCCTCAAAGCCTCCAGTCACTGCATTCAGCTTCTTTTATCCAACTTTTTCTTTCATTCACATTTGGAAGCCCACCGAGGTGTGCCTGAATTCGAAAACGGTGGATGCCGACTTGCCCATTGCTCGGGACACTAGACAACGATGGGCAGCTTCGTGAGGCGTAATGAAGGAGCTGACAGGTATCTCATGAACCAGCAGATGGCAGTGCCCGGTACTTATAGTCATCCAGATGGCCATGAGTTCGAGGCCACTGGATCTGGTTCGTATCACTTCCCCCAGCACTCCTTCAACCCCTATGGTACTCAATTCGGTCCATCTTATGGGCAGCAGTCAAACCTGTCTTCAGGCATGCAACATCTACAGTACGCATCGGAGCATACGATTCCATCGATGTCCACTTCGGATGATATGAGACTCCACCATCCTCCGCAGTACATGGCCCAGTCTCGTTATCTGCAGTCACCTAGGTATCTTCCTCTTCGCGACGCTCTCAGTGAGACGGATATTGAGAGCCAAGAGTCTCGGAATGAGAGCACCATGCTATCGGAGCCCGTGGTACCTCCTCTGGATGGATTTCCCGACGTGAAAGAGTTTGATCAACTGATGCAGAGGTGAGTCGGCTCCATGCATCTGGTTCTCGGGGCTTTTTCAATTGTCAGGGTGCTGATTTAAGCCCTTACTCTCTTCAGCTACGTCGATGACCTGTCAGTAAAGAAACAAGACAAGGCATTGATCCACGCGAGAAGAGCGCGGAATATCCGAACCGTCTTGATCGATCCAAAAGATACAGCGGTCGAATCTGCCCAATTTCGGTAAGTGCTCTCTTTTCAGTCCCATGTCTAAAAAGACTTTGACACTTATACCTTTCAGGTTTTGGGTCAAGAAGATGTTCAAGCTTCAAACCGTTGGCATGGGAACTTTAGATGTAGGCTCTATTCATCTGACGGAAGCGCCTTTTCGATTCTAATGAGGTATATTAGTGCCGGAAGATGATCTGCCATGAGGGAAAACCCGTTGCAATTCGCGAAAAACTGTTTAAAATCCTCACCAAAGCGCATCAGCAATGTCAGCACGGCGGCCGCGACAAGACCTCTGCACACGTCCGGCGTATCTATTCATGGTAGGGATCGTGATGTATGTATCAATACTACCACCTTAAAACTGACCACTTGCTTAGGGTCCCAAAAGAACTGATTTCCCGATTTGTCAAAATCTGTCCGACATGTCAGGTTCGTCGCGGAGGATCACGTCTAACACCGCCCAACTCCCGGCGAGGATCACCTCGTCTGGATATGATACCTCGATCTCCAAAACTTCCATCGCCGCCGATTTCTAGACGAGAATCGTCATTCGGTGGTCAAGTGGCCCTCGATCGGACACAGCCCGACTATTTTAGCCAATTGCATGGCCATGGCTGGATGGACGGTCATCAAACTTTACAGAACCGTTCGGGCTTGGGTGCCGGAGTCCGATCCTTCCATGGACCGATGGGTAATCTCTCTCAGTCCATCGCAGGCACCTTAGACCCCTTCTCCGCCGAATTATCGGTGCCTCCATCTCAGTTGAGCTATACGGCGGGGTATGTCCCCACGCATGGCACTCCAAACCAGCGAGAATTTTAATCGCCTGCACCGACTTGGTTGAATAGCTGAGTATTCTCCGAGTCGATTTTTTTTCTTATTTTGTTTGATATATATGATCTAGTCTGTGGTCGGTCTTAAAAAATGATGTTTCGATGGAGTATTTGCATGACTCAATTACTGGCCCAGAGGGAAAGGAGAACCAAAAAAGGACTGGAGAAAAAGAAAACGGTGGGAATTATTTGAAATGCCACAAAAACACAGATACTAAGTAGAAATTCGAACGCAATAATGAAAATCAATGCTTCTTATTTGACATAGGCAGTTGCTTTTGGGTCGGAAGAGAGGCCAAGAAACATATCTCGGTTTGAGTCGATTCGATCTTAGTGATCCTCCACAGGGGTCCGATTCAGGTCTTAAGATGAACGCACCACAATAGGCTAGATTCTCAGCCCCATGACTAGGGCTCAGTCCCTCTTCCTTCTCGGTACCCAATGGAAGCGATAACATCAATTCATAGATTTGAAATTCTGTCGGCAGACACCAGCGGTAGTGTGTAGAGCTAGGACATCATCATATCGAATTCATTACGGGGAAATCTGTCGGCATACGAGCAGATCTAGTGGAGAATTCCACAGAAAAGGGCGAACAACAAATATACCCTCGCCGGGGGTTGGTTGAAACAAGACCTGATAACTCCCCTCAGGTTTATGTCGCCTGTTTTCCTTAAACAGGGAGCGAGAACTTCTTGCCTTTCAGAACCCTGGCTGGTATTAGTTACCAGGAACGTTTCATGTGAAGACAATCCCACTTACTTGTTGTAGTAGATATAGAAGAAGTCCGAATAGAGCAGTGTCTGAACAATGCCTGCAATGATGGGGACCGGCTGGAACGACCGTTGGAAGGAGGCCTCCGTGAAATACCGGAAGATCCAATTTGGGATATAGAGAGCCCTGTATACACCAAGAGCAAACAAGTAGTGGGTTGTGATCGTGTCAGCTTCGCCCGTCCGTTGCAGCATGAACAGTTGAGGCAAGATAGCGACGGACTCCAGCCAAATAGAGAATGTCCAGAGGATCTAGACGCGGTTAACGCGGGCTCTTGAGTTCCCCTGAAGCAACGGTATAATCACAAACCTCGGAGAGACGGTAATCGTGAGGGAAGAGAAGGGCCAGAATGGCACTGATTCCAAGAAGGTACTGGACCTTGAATGTATCGATATTGGGGTCATGGGTGGGCTTGTAGTCGTTCAGCATGAGATAGATAATGTAGCCCGAGGATCCAATGAAGAGGAGCTTGAAGGTGGTGAGGTAGAGTGACTCGGTGAAAGTCCAGAAGAGGTCTACCGACAGTGTCATCCCACATGTTAGTGCACTTCGGCCAGCAGCTGGGAAGGGAGGTGTAATAAACGCTCACCGAGATAGCGAGTGACGAAGACGAGTAGATAGAGCACTTGTGACTTGAATGACAATCCGGAGCAGCTCTGCGATTCCAATTTAGCGGCGAACGGACGGAAGGGAGGACGAAGCATACGCTGGACGTCTTCATCTTTTGTAAAAGGATGAAGATCGACGCGAGGTGGGAGAAGTCGGCTGCGCTGGTCAGTTCTGCAAAGCCATGCGCCTTGAAAGATTGCTCACCTAGAAGCCTGAAGATATTCATGGTGCCGTGTAGGTGGGTTGGATGGGTTGGGGGGGAAGTGTTAGGTTGAAGTGAAGGATTGGGGTCGAAGTTGTTGACACGAAACCAAACCGAAGGGGGAGTTGCAGGTGTGCAGATCAGGTACGCGCCACTCGGTGGAGCCGGGGCTTTACTGTCGCCCACACTTCATACTTCGTACTTCATACATCAATTTATTATGGAAACAATAATACAATAAGTCGAAAGAAAGCTTCTCATGGTTCATGAATACATGAGCCTCACGCCTTTTTGCCCTCCCAAATTGACCCACCCCCCGTTGCCAACGCCGTGTAAACCGAAAGATAAATTTTATCCCCGACGTCCTTGGTAGGGACGTTGACGAGATTCAGAACAAAACTCCACCTCCAATGCTCTCATCAGCCATTCGCTGCAGATGTCCCTCCGCCAATTCGCTTTTAAGAGCGCAGATTGAGCTTTCGCGATCCAATCGGTCCCAGTCACGGAGCCCTGCTCTCTTCGATCGCTGGGTCTCCGCCATCTGCTCAAGCAATTTCTCTCTGTCGACCTCGAGTTGAGACAGCCGCTTTTCAGTCGCCGTATCCAAGGGAGAGGGTAGAGCCCTGCCACCGGGGATGACAGACCCTAGACCTGCAAGGTGATTCGGACCCCTGGGCGCCGGCGACGAGGCAGCAGATGTGGAGCTATTTTGGCGAGAACCAGGATGGCGATAGCCTCCTCCCGTAGGCATTGGAGGTGTGAATGAAGCCCGGGGCCCCGAGGGAGCATTATGTGATGCGGCTGGGGGTGGTCCGCGACCACGGCCTATCGGCATTCCTATCCAAGGTCCCTCCCGAGCACCGTGTCCCCGCCGCGGGCGTGTCGGTGCAGACAGCAAAGACATATTGTGAGATCCACGGTACTGTGGAGGTGCCACTTTCGGACCTTGATATGGGACAGAAGGCGGGGAATGGTTCATGGCCAGGCTCCTCGGTTGAGTTGGAATGCTGCCACTAAATCGGGCACCGCCCATTTGCCGTTGTTCCGACACTTCTTTTTCAAGCGAATGGCCCGAATCATCTTGCTCCTTTCCAGCACCAGCAGCACATCCAATCTCTGGGTTCTGATTTCGGAACGGAGAGCGGGACGGTGGCCCCGAAGGACGGTGGGAGAGTGATGGGCGAGTGGGTGATCGACTGCGGCTTCGAAGAGGAGCCAGCCCTTTGCCCTCGGGATGAAGAGCAGGAGACGAAAGTCTAGACGTAGTACTAGATTCGGCAGCTACTACATGTGCCGGTGAGGCTTGCCCCGAACGTAATAAAGACCGATCCCTGCTTGTGTCGCCAGGAGCCCCTCGACGTGGGACATGGGAGGGGCTTTGCGAACGGAACATATACATCGGTTGAGCAGTCGGTGAGAGGCCCCGCCCAGGTCTTGCGTTACTGGGACCGGTCGGAGAATTTCGCCTCATTGCTCGAAGGTCTTGACTTTGACACCCCGGGGTTGCATCTCGGATTCGTTTCGGGCTGCTGCGGCCCCGGGAGACATCGCGTGGTCGGCCCTCGCTGTACGGAGACCGAGACCGCCACGATGGGGGAGGAGATCGAATTCTGTCTTCTCTTCGCGGTGAGGGTCTTAGAGGGGGGGTCCGTCGTCTCCCGTAAGGGCCAGGACCGTATCCTCGGCTCTGAAAGGGAGGAGTTCGAGAACGGCGACGATAATCGGGCGGCGAGCGACTTCGTGGCCGACCATATCCTCGATCGGAGGGCACCCAGGTATCGGCACGCGGACGAGAGCGATTTCGCGGTGGTGAACGTCGACGACTGTCGTAGCCGCCGCGAGAAAGTGACCGGCCAGGTCGGTCGGCTGGCCGGTAACTTTCTCCTCCTCGGCGGTCGTCAAATCTGCAGGGCTTATTAGTAACCATAATTATGGCTTTGTTGTCGAAGTTTCACACCTTCTGCGATCCCAATCCATGCCGGCTGGGTATGAGGCCCGGAAAGGCTACGGAACAAAGTGAAGCGCGCGCGAAAGGACTTTGGATCGGGAGATGACTAACACTCGTGCATAATCTTAAGGCGGTCAAACATTGACGATCAAAACCTCATCTTCCATGTATTAGTTCGTCAGATAGCATAGAGTACAGAATGTAGGTATCGGAATGTCCTGCCATGATACAAAATAAGAAAAAGAAATGTGAATGGCGCCATGACTGAAACCCTCCGCCGCCAGCCTTAACGCTTGCCACGCCGCTCTTCCTCTTTACGCAACCTCTTGCAGCTCTCCTGCGCAATCATGTCGCTAAGGTCCTCCTGGAATCCCCACTGCGGCTGGTTTTGTTGCTGTCTTTGCGTTTCATACATGTTCTGAAGGCTGTCCTTGCTGAGACCATCTCCAGCTTGAATTGCGTCCAAGTCGACCGACACGTCCACATCACCGGGCTTTTTGCGTTTTCGGGTTTGATCGTCGACACCTAGGACCGGGGGGTTGTTTCCAGAGGAGGCCAGGTCATACGCTCGGTCTCCACCGAAAAATCCTTGAACGCTCGTCTGTCTCTCCGGGATGACCTGGTAAGCACTCCGAGGGTGAACGGATTCCTCCGTCTCCGTGCCGCGGTGATGTTTTCGGACATCAAACTCCCCAGAGATGCTCTCCATTCCCATCGGCTCGGAAGGAACAGCAGAGGCCATGCCGCTAGGTGTCTCTAGACCACTGGGAGAATGAGCTCCCGTTTCAACGTCCTCTTCATCACCTTCCTCGTCTTCTTCCTCGTCTTCCTCCTCGCTCTCTTCTTCCGATTCTTCGGATGCTTGCAACTCTCCCCAAAGGTCTTTCTCAACAGGTTCGCCTTGTTGAGCATTCTGTTGAGGCTGCAAAACTCCAAAGATGTCGCCCCCGTACAATGGCCTGTTGTGTTCATCGACAGGCGGTTTCCCATACCCTCCGGGGTGGTAGCCCCACATCGCACCAGGAGGAGGCGGCGCATTAAGGCCAGGAATTTTTAGCGCAGGGTAAGATGGCGGGGGGCCATAGCGCTGTTGGTTAATGAGCCACGGAGGAGGAGCTCCCGGTGGCATGTTGAGAGCCTCCTTCAGTTCATCACTCAAGTCACCGGGCCGGAGATGTTTGAGGTTGGTCTCGTATTCTTTCCCCTCGTAGTATATCTCGCCGTACCGAGTCAGCTCGGGTTTGGTTTGGAAGCGGAAGAAGGCCTCATATAATTTCTGGTAGTCGATGTCCAGGCGTCCCATCTTCGGTTGAACCCTCTCCCGTTGCTTTTGTTTCAGACTGGACTGTTCCTGCTTGTCCAATGCAGCATCACGCATTTCTGCAATGCCCGTTTCTTGTATGAATTTGGGAAGCGCAAAGGGGGCCTTTTCGACACCTCGTTTAGACGAGAGGTATTCCCGCTTAAGAGACCAGTGTGAGGGAACGGGGACGACATTACGGTGGGCCTTGATGTGGATCAGGAGTCGAGGATCCGATGCTGAAGTATCTGTCCATTCCACGATCTCGGGTTTGCGTACCATCGCCTTCAATTCAGCCACCGAGAGTTTGTTCAGCTCCTTTCGTTTCTTTTTAGAGACCTTCGGCTCGTTCTCTTGCTCCTCGTCTGGGATTTCATCCTCGTCGTCAAAGTAAATCTCTGGCTTTTCAGCTTCTTTCGTGGGAACATCGTCACCAGTATCGTCAAATTTGCCGACGATACCCTTGTACATCTCCCAAAGCGGATCGTCTAGCTCCGGTGTGACTGGGACCGTAGGGGCGACCGATGCATCCTGGGAAGCAATGGTAGACCGAGGTGTTTTGGACAGCGTTTCTTCAATATTCTCAGTTGTGGTATTGGCAGCCTGGAAAGAAACACGTCAGCTTCCTGGGGTGTCCTGAGGTGGTGGTAAGGGACTGAAACTTACCTCCGCCTTCTGGGCCTTTTTCTTCGCCCGTCTGAGCTGGTTCTTGCTCTGTTTCATGATGGGCCGTCCTGCGATTCACGGTCTCCTTTTTGAACGCGAGCTGCCCTGCTTTGGGGGTGGCGTCGGGGGATGGATGAAGGTTGGCTGAGGGTCTGATGCTCGCGCCGATAAAATGCCAAGCCGTCTTGTTGTTCTGACTGGCGTTACCGCCTTCCATCTTGCACGTCCAACGCCCTCATATTATTTAACTTACCCTCTTTCTCCATCTATAACTTGATCTATACACATTTAGATCTAATGTTGAAGTAAATAGAAGAAGAGTAACGAAAGCTCTTGGGTTGGAAGTTTATCTAACTGGTAGTCCACCCCAGCCTACCGTCGCGGTCATATGGATCTAACGATGATCTTTCTGAACAATTAGAGTCTCAAGGGGAAAGAGGATACGTAATGTTGAGGCTTTCGAATTTCGAATTTCTCAGTTTTTTGTATTGACAAGAGTGTCAAGGGGTTGTTTATGGTACATGGTTGATTTGAATGGTACAAAAAGCCTCAGATGCCAGGCGTGTGGAAGGTGTAGAAAATACCAGAAGTCGACAGGGTGGATGACATTAGCTCCTTTGTGGTCTGAGGTCAGCCACACACACACGACCCGGCGTACAAATAGTGATTCGGGGTATTTTAGTATCTGGGGAGTCAATTAGGCGCACGGGTCTATTTCTTCTTCTTCGCGGATCTCGATTCTGAAGAATTGTTAGTGGATTTTATGAACCCGCGGAGTTAGGGTCCGTGTATTTACCGGCAGCGGTCCGTTTCTTCTTGGGTCGACCCTTTCCGCGAAGTTTGGCACTGATTTAAACGGTCAGCGTTGAGCGTGCCGAGGAACAGATCAGGAAACGAACATCTGAATAGCTTCCTCGCGATCGTCCTCTGCTTCGTCAAAGGTCGTCAAGCCAAGAGGTTTGTAAGTATTTTGCAGATCTCGGAAAGAAACTGTCTTTCGTGGATACCATGCTGCGAGAGCCGGACCACGTAGCCGCTGTCTGAGGATCTTATTGCCGAGTCGAAGCCTCTGCGGATTGAAGGTGAGGGAGAAAATGCGGCATTGTGCCTAAGACGGGGGAGAAAAGCAGGATTAGCGCGTATCACGTCTCGAGCGGGAGAATTCGCACCTTGACCAGGTCCAGAAGGCGAGGTTGAGGCATCTTCGCGATCCAGGTGTGTCAAGCCGTGCCGCCGGAGGAATCATTGAAGGGCAGGAGGGTTTCACGGATGGTCATGTGATACCGCCGCGTGACCCACTTTAGGTCCGCTGCGATCCTCGTTCAACGTTTGACCCTAAACCCAACACAGGCGATGGGCTCGAAGAGGTCTGCGGCCATACTTGGCAGAGGACCGTCCTGTTCGCCTGTCAAAAGATCCAAGGTGAGGCCTCACCTGTCACTACGGCATCGCAGCTGTCGAGATTTTGATCTGGCTGACGCTTTTCCAAGACCCATCATGACGCAAGGCCGCCTAATTGCGAAAATGTTGCGGACAATAGTGACCGGCTTCAACCATCAACTCCTAGCTCTCGCCTGTCTCTCCTAAAGCATCTCATTCAAGAGGTGATGAATGAACCCGAGTTTTCTGCGGTGGATCCAAACCTTTCGAAGGCTGTTTCCATGCTAGATGATGCTTTTCGCCATGTGGGGGCGCTTTCCTTGCCTAGTGAGGGGACCTCTGGTGCTTCAAAGATATCGGAGACAAATCATGAAACCAACGATTCAGGGAGCAAGCGATCCCAGACACCTGTGCTGCCGCCCATTTTAGATGACCGGCTGCAAAGAGCGGTTTTCACTCACCCGGCATGCGGAAGCAATAATGATTCAACCTATGACCGGCTTGAGGTTCTAGGTGATGCATACATCGAGTTAATTGCAACCAGATTTATCTGGGGAAAGTTCCCAGGTATATCCTCCGGTCGAATCTCACAGATTCGAGAGCTTCTTGTGAAGAACGAGACCCTTTCGGCATTTGCCGGGGTGTATGGGTTTGATCGGAAGATTTCAGTTCCAGCAAATTACTCCGACCAGCCAAAACGATGGACCAAAATAAAAGGCGATGTCTTCGAAGCTTATGTGGCCGCCGTCATACTTTCACATTCCACCAATGGTTACCATGTTGCGGAAAAGTGGCTGACACAGCTGTGGTTACCAACGCTCGATGATTTGGGCCATCAAAAGGCCGAATTTCGCTACAAAGAAATTCTAGCCAAGAAGGTCATGGGGAAAGGTACCAAGTTGGAGTACAGAGAAGAAAAGGGAGCAATTGACCACAAGGGTAGCGGCACACAGACATTCTTCATTGGGGTTTATCTGACGGGTTGGGGAAAATGGAAAGATGAGCACTTAGGCTCTGGGCAGGGCTTGAGTAAAGCGGCGGCTGGTGACGAGGCGGCAAGGGATGCCCTTTCAGCGAATACCTCTTTAATCTCGACTATTGCTGCGGCGAAGGAGGCAGCGCTAGCGATGAGATGAATTATTTACAATCCATGAAGTTGAGTATATATAGAGAGACATCGAATGATCAGTGTTGATTTAGTGAAACCATCAAGTAAAGCTACTCCAATAAGGATGGTGCGAACAACTAGAGTTTGCCTCAATATTTTTTTTAGGCTTCATGGTAGGGCCGGAGTTGGACCAGGTAAGGGATCAGATGGAACTGTAAGTATGTGGACGGGAACTTCAACCCTGCGATTGCGACTGAACTAGTCCTTAAGGAAGAGAGTTTATTAATTATAAGAGAGTGGCTTTTATTCCTTTATACGATCACGTAGTGTTAGCTGTTATATAGGTTCTCGGGAAACCCTCTTATAGAGTTCCTTGTATACCTAATTAGGCATCCAAGTTACCTTATATTATTTAGGGGCTATAATAACTATCCTCCTCATCCAAAGGGTCATCTACGATCCTTTAAGGGTTAAGATAGGATGGCTAGGATATATCATTATTATAGTTTTAGTAGAGGGGAGCGTAATTAGATTACTAGGGCGTCTCTTTATTTTAATCTTATATTATATTACTCTTTTTCTTCTTCCTTCCTGCTCTCTCTTCTAACTCTCCTTCTCTAACTCTCCTTCTCTAACTCTCTAGTTTAAGTCTTATAAATAGATATATCCTAGCGTTCTCTAAATATTTCTAGCTTTTAACTTTCTTTTTTATATAGATTATTAAGGGTACAGTTAGAGATATCCTAGATTTATAGGCTCTACTAGCTTAGGTAGAGATAATCTAGGATTAGATATAATAAAAGGGGCCTATCGAGGGTAGCGCTAAGACTAATATAACTTTTCTTTTAGAGCTTATAATAGTTATAGTTTAGCTTTACTAATCTTTAAACTAGCTAAGAAAAGCCACTAAAAAGCTTATAGTCTAGTTAACTAGAAAGATATTTATAGTATACCTATTTAGTATAATTTAATACTTTTTTATTAATATTTTAATAAGTTACCTATACTATATATTAGTCTTATTTAGTAGATTATATAGCTAATTTAGTTTCTTAATCCTTTTTTTTTAGCTAATAATATTTTTAATAGTAATAGACTAAGTTCTATAATAAGTAGAAGCTACACTCAGAGAAAGATAATATTAGATATAATGCTAAGACTATTAATAAATATTCACTTTTTAAGAAGATTAAGATAGCGTTCTAAAGTATATATTAATAATATATCTATTAATAATCTTAGTAATTTAGATAATAATCTTATAATTAAGTTTCTTTTAACTAAGTTATTAGGTCGTTCCCTTTTAATCGCTATAATGTCTATATATTAGTGATATTTTAGCTTTATTTTATTATAGCTATTCTCTTATAATATATTTTAGTAGATTAATTATTCTTTTTCATTTACTTAAATTTCTTAATACTATTTTTTAAATTTTATATATTAAAGTTTAGTATCTATTAATTATACTTTAAAGGCTAGCCTTTATTTAATTAAGAAATATAGTTAATAATTATATCTTTTTTCTATCTAAATTTCTTTAATGTTCTATACCTTATTATTAGTAGAAGATAATATTAATAAATATATTAAGATTACTTTAGGTATTATTAATTTATATTTCCAAAAGTAATATATAGAAGATATTATAAATATAGTTATATTTTTTTAATAATACTAACGTAATCGGTAAGCGAGTGACGCATGTAAGCGAGCGACGCACCCCAAAACACTATATTAAATGCGATATTTAAGAACGCAATATTTCAACAACCACGAGCTTATTTAGCTTTCAGTAATTCACTAATTTAGAGCACAAATAGCCTAATTTGGGAGTCTGGGATAATTTAATTATCATATCACTACGTTTACATAAAATACACTGTAATTTAGCTTTCTGAGCTTGAAATATATGTCATCGACTCAACACGACTTAAAACCCTTCGAGACCTTCAAATACCCCTAGACTCATTATAAAGGACATATATTTAAAGGAATTCTCCATGAGAAGCTGCTGTTGCGGAAATATAGAGTTGTAATTTATCGCTTTTACTATGGTGTTTTGGGGTGCGTCGCTCGCTTACATGCGTCACTCGCTTACATGCGTCACTCGCTTACATGCGTCACTCGCTTACCGATTACGTTAAGTAATAGGCTTACTAACGTAATTCCCAGCCGAGTGACGCACCCAACCGAGTGACGCACCCCCAAACACCATAATAAGAGCGATATTTCAGCTCCTTATATCTCAGCAACGAAAAATCATTTCTCTTTGATACTTGGCAAACTATCATTCTTAGGTATAAAAATCAGAATATATCAACTTGAAGGTAATTCAAAGGTTATTTTCTTGCGTTACTATAAAATACACCGTATTTTTGATGTTCAGGACATAAATATATATATCTAGATCGTTATAGCGTGAATTATATCACGGTCCTAAAAATACGCAAGATATATTATAAAGAACATAGAAATATAAGATGACTTTATAATACTCTATCGTTGCTAAGATATGATGTTGTAATTTATCGCATTTACTATGGTGTTTGGGGGTGCGTCACTCGGTTGGGTGCGTCACTCGGCTGGGAATTACGTTAACTAATCCTATTAACGTAATCGGAAAGCGAGCTACGTATATAAGCGAGCTGCGTACCCACCTACCCACCCTCTATAATTTTAAACTATCCTTTTTTAACCAAAACGCCTTTATATTGATTATTCTATCTAACTAGGCATTGGTTTGCCCTATAACCTATCTAATTACATAAAGAATAGGTAAAATGACGCTATCGCGCTAGTGCTATCGCCTACTAAATAGGCTGACTAGGTGCTACTATAGACGGTGCTATAGGCTATATAATAGGCTTATATTATAGGCTTATAAATACTCCTAAGCTTCCTACACTAATATACTAGCTTCGTAGGCTATAGTATACGTCTTAATATTAATATATACGCGCTTTTGCTTCTACACTATATTAGTAGCGCATAATTCCTTAACTTCTTGCTTAAGTAATATACTGTTTTATATAGCGATCTAATAGCCCTTAATAAGCTAGTTTAACGCAATTTTTAAGGGTATTAGTAGGCTATTTAAGCGTCGTTTTAAGAAAGCCTAGATTAACGCGCCTTATTTAAGTAATTTAGCGACGGTCGTAGGTATTTTTAGGGTAAAAACACTAGATCGACTACTTAGGCGGCTTCCTAAGAGTGTAGATATCTAAAGCTAAATATTAAGCTTTAAAAGCACTTATTTTAGATTAAATAGCACTAATCCTACTACTATAAAGCTATTTTTAATTATAAGCGCTTAAAAAGCGCTTATATAAGCTTCTAGTTATCCTATAACGTATTCGGTAAGCGAGCCGGCCATGTAAGCGAGCCGGCCACCTCAAAACACCATAGTAAATGCGATAATTTAAGAATAGAATATCTCAACAATCATAAGGTCGTTTGGCTTTATCTTTTGTATCCTATATACTTAGAGCATAAGAAGCCGATTTGACGAGCTTGCGTCAATTTAATTCTGATTTGACAAGATTTACCAAAAATACACTGTAATTTAGCTCTTTGAGTTTTAATTATAGATTATCAACTCACGATATCTTGAAAACTTTCAAGACCTTCAAAATACGTCAGGTTCAGTATGAAGAATACAGGTTTATAACAAGACATTGTAAGAAGCTACGGTTGCTGAGATATAAAGTTGTAATTTATCGCATTTACTATGGTGTTTTGAGGTGGCCGGCTCGCTTACATGGCCGGCTCGCTTACCGAATACGTTAAGGAAATTAAGTTTATTAATGTAGTTAATACTAAGCTATATTTTTTAATTAACTAAGGTTTTATATAAGCGCTTTAAAACAGTAAAATAACTATTATTAAGTAGCTATAAAAGATATAAGCTATACGCTAGTATATATATAGGAATTATCTTATTTTCTAAGTAAATTTAGTCGAAATAGGGTATAAGATAGCTACTATACCTATTAAAGACTAATAATTAATATTAATTATATATATAGCTATTTATTAATAATATAAATAGCTTTTAAAGCTATTAAAGGCTAATCTTATCTATTATCTATCTATTTTAACTAACTTTAAAGCGCTAATCTCTTAGAAGGTTATTAGCCTAAGCTAGATTATATAGTTTACTCTTAAAGATTATTATAGATAGAACTATAGGCTTAAAAGCGCTAATTAAATTAATTATAGTTATTTACTCGCGATTTCCTAGCTATAAACTAATTACTAACTACTATATTATTCTATTTAGGTAATAACTTTCGTAGTTATAGTAAGGCCTATTATAAAGCCTATCTTATTAAAGTTATAGATATTCTTTAGGAGGATACTATATTACTAAACTATAGCTTATATATAATTAAATCACTTTTAAATAACCTTTAGATCCTCTTATTTTACTCACTAATAGTCGTATTAACAAAAAAAGTAAGCTTTTAGCTCTAAATAATAGTAAATATAACTATAGCCTATTTTTCGCTAACGATCTAGACTAGGGTTAAACTATATTTTATAAGTAAAAGATTCGCTATTTCTCGCACTATAGAGGGCCTAGGGGCTACTCTACGTATATCTATTAATAATATCTACTTTTTAAGCGATTCCTCTTTAATTTAGGTTAATTTATAGCTATTTAGGCGAGTTTTAGCGCAATTTATAGTCCCGCGTAGTTATATACGTAGCGTAGATTTAGGTATATTAAAGTAGCGCGTAGTCTTACGTATAGAGCTAATTTCTATATTTTTAATACCTTATATAGCTAAAGAAATATAGCCCTCTTACTCAATAGAATTTCGGCATAATTAAGTGCGTTTTAGTGGTATAGTGGTCGATAAAGAATAGAAGGACGCATTTAGACGCGAAAAAATAGGTAGGTACATAGCTCGCTTATATACGTAGCTCGCTTTCTAATTACGTTAAGTAATTAGAAGGGCGTAATAAAATATAAGGCTAGTTTCTTTATAATTTATAATTATAGGTTTTTTATTAAAAGAGCTA